CGATAAAATTAAAGCTATTATAACCTTTATATAGTAGCGATAGCTTTAAGATAAGACTATTAGTATTAAAAAGCTATTAAAAGATATATTAGAGGTCTTAGAGGAAGAGCGCGCACCTCTAACGTATAATAAACTAACTATAATCCCCCGAAGGTAATAGCTCGTAGAGTATTAACGATTAGGAGGTCGTTTAAGTAAAGTAGAGGAGGAAGAGAAAGGATAGAAGTATATAAATAATACTTTAAAGGGCGAAAGGCCTAGGAAAGTAGTATCTAAAAGTACTAGTACCCCTTTAAAGGCGGTTCGAAACTTAAGCGCTTAAGAGAAGGTAAGCGCGAAGGTATCGACTAGCCGTCTAGATACTATATAAGAACGGTTCGAAGGTTATTCGGAACCTTAAGTAGATATCGAGACTAGCGATATAGATTAGACTATAGTCTCTAGATATATATTATATATTAGTGCTTTCGAGGCCGAATCCGTAGTCTTAGACTAATATAGTCTATATATTAAGGCCTTCGAAACCGAAATAACAACCTCGGATCGAAGTCCGCGAGAGCGCGAAGATATCGATACGATCGGTTAACCTTTATAAACGATAGGAACGGGCCCGTAACGCCCTTTAAAGGTTATAAAAGCATTAGAACGCGTTAAGACTCGATTAAAGAAAAATACTTAAGTACTACGCGTTAAAAATAGATTAAGACTTATCGAAGGAAGATCGTTAAGGCGAATTATTAAGCTTACGAGGAAGATAAGGGAAAGTTATTAACTTAGATATTATTTTTAGATTTTTAATATCTATACTTCGAAAAGATTAATATACGTAATTCTAAAGGCGTATCTCTTAGCGTTTACTTCCGCGAGATTATCTTCTTACGTATATAAAAGATAAGAAATCTAAGCTTAAGAATTAATATCGAAGTCTAAAGAATCATCTCTTAGTCCTTATAACCTCTTCGAAACTACTTTAATTCTCTTAAGTACTATTACGCGGAGAACTATCCGACTAAGAACTCGCTCTAGTGTACTAACGAAGATCTAAAGTAGTCTACGACTAGCGATTCTAGCTCGATAAAGCCGCACTAGCCCTAGTACCGAGAGAAGGAGAATATTAGACGACGGGCGAAAGGCTCTATCGAAGACTTCCTATATTATATACTCTCTCTTAGTTCGAGTGTTAAGTCTTATAACTCTACTAGCTAATACGATCTTTATTATAAAAGAGATTATCGTTCGAAGCCGTAGGAATAGGAAGTTACTGAGCGTATATTATTAACTCTCGGTTACGGTTCGAAGGCTCGCGATATAGTTGATACGCGAGTAGTTATTAACCCTATTAAACTGGGTAGTCTTAATATTAACTCTACTATAGAGGGTATTAATAATATTAACTCTACTATTAAGGGTATTAATAATATAGACTCTACTACTAAGAGTACGGTTAATATTAACCCTACGAAGAGTAACCGGAAAGGATAAAGACTAGAGGAGGCGCTTAGATAGTCCGCTACTAAGCTAACTATATCTTAAATTTTATTATCTCTCCTTTTATCTCGTCAAGCTGCGCCCGAAGCGCTTTAAACTGACTATTACTTCTATCTCGACTCTAGCGAAACGGAATAGGCGAGAAAGGAAGAGATCGTAGCGTTTCGGATAGGTTAAGTACTCGAATATAATAGTATATTTAAACTCCTTACTTACGGTAGTTAAGGTAAGCCTAAGATATCTTCGATATAGCGATCTCGAGGAAGCGGTCTAGCTATACTTAAGTAAAGCTAGATAGTAAATCTATCAAAGGATCGATATCGATTTCAATTACTACGTTCGAATCTATAGGAGTCGCGATAATCTTTAATCGCTTACTACGTATTCGATCTACTAGCGTATATAGAATCTTATTAGTACTATCTTTAAAGCGGATACTTCGACCGCTAGAATAGCTCTAAGCGATTATATCGTTCGAAGGCTTAGGAGAAACGAAGATAGAAGTACGCTTATCGCTAATCTATAGCGTCGATAGGTTCGAATCCGTACTTTAGAGGTCGGGATTCGTAGGATATAGAGAGTAAGTCTTCTCTCTAGAATAATAGAACGAGTAGTCTCCGTTTAATAGCTAACCGGAGTCTAGCTTATCGGGGATAGTAAAGACGCGAGTATACTTAGAAAAGGCCGGTTTACTCTACGAAAGCTTACTTATACCTAATATATATAGATCGTAAGGTTTCGATTTAACGTCGCTATAAGTATATACTAAGACTATTAAGAAGTTCTTCTATTAGGATAGGTTTCGAGAGCCGAAGTACTCTAAGAGTCGTTATACGAGTCTTCTAGCTAACGGCCGTAGCTTACTACGCTATCCTAACGAAAGGAAACTACTCTACGGAGTAAAAGTCTTCTTAATTAGATCTCTCTATTCGTATAATATAGTTAACTTATTATTACTATTCCGATAAAACGTATCTATCTACTCTTTATTAATATCGCTTCGAAATAAGTAAGAGGAAGATAAACTAAAACGAACGAACGACGGTTCTTCCTATCCTTTCGACTAGCGTCGAGACGAAGGATCTTATTAATATTTCGATAATAGAAGTCCGAGCGATCCTTTCGGTCTTTATCCCCTTTAAGACTATAGGAACGATTATCTAATATTCTAGGAAGTCGTATCTAACGATATATTATAAATAATAATTAAAGAAGGATAAAGTTAAGTTAAATTCGAAAGGCTATTTAAGAGATGATCGAAAGAGGAAGAGATAGTAGTGAGTAGAGATATTTATGCGGTTCGAAAAGCGCGTCGTCGCGTATATACTATCGCTAAGTATAACGATAACGTTCTCGCCACCGACTATCGGAGTTATTAGGCACCTCGCTACTATATACGTCGATAATATATAAGCGATACTAAAACGCTAGTGAATGGCTTTCAAGGGCTAACTAAGTGCCTATTCCCGGCTATTAAGAGTCTTCGATGGGAGATCCCCGGCCGTCTCGGAGCTCCTGTGGAAGATACCCGGCCGATCTATTTCTTTTGTCTATAAGGTGAATATCTATAGGGAGGACCCGGGACGATAGTCTTATTCTCGATGCCGTCGAAGGAGAGCCTTCGAAGTTAAGTAGGGGAGGCTGCGACTGATAGGGCTGCTAAGCTAATGTAATAACTGTCACGCTAGGTCTTCGGCCGAAGGCCTTCGGACTAGCGTTAACAGGACCCTGTAAATTACTCGAAGGTATATAGTCAGACGGTCCCCAGGACCTGGTAGAATTCACCATGTTCCTCCATTGAGTCACATGTGGTAGCCACCATAGCCACGTGACCTCACGTGGCCCTTGGCACTGACCACATTCTTACTACAGGAGCGCTAGGCGCTCCTGTAGTAACTAACAGGTTACCCCTGGTCCTCGTCCTAGCACCTACATTGGAAGCAACGCTGGTCAAATCGTCTCTGTGTGTACTAGGACGATTCGGACGTACCTTGATGGAGACAAGATCAGGTCGATCAAGAGTTCCTCAGGCGTCAGACGAAGAGGCAGAACCCGCAGCCCTTGCGGTGACCTCAGAACAGGTATCTTCTGTACCTGGGAAATGCGTTATACCACGCCCGAGTGCGTACGCACACGACAACAGAACAATCGCCGTTCTATATGCTGCATGGCGTGAGACCGAGGTTATTATCGGACGAGGTGGGACTAATACTAGAGACAGATGCAGTACGAGAGGACCCGGGGCCGGTGATGGAGACGATCAGGGCAGAGGTAGATCGATTAACAGAGCTCAGAGACAAGCAAAATCAACGCTATATTGACCGAGAACGCGTCAAACGTGTGGAGTTCGACGGGGGCAGTTGTGTACTCGTACGGAGAGAAAACCCAAGGAAATGGGAAGCTAGATTTTAGGGCCCGTATCAGGTCTCCAGGAAGCTGTTCGCCAACACGTACGAGCTAAAGAAACCAAATGGGCACACAATCGATCACCTAATACATGGAGATCGACTACACAAGGCAAGAGTTAAAGGACGAGTCACACGGGGATGGAACATGCCCGGACGCGTACGAAGGGATCATGGAAGTGACAATGACCCAATGTAATTTCAAGAACAGTGGAAGAGTTCGAAGGAATACCTGAAGGTTACGACGGAGACTCAGGAGGAGAATTTTGAGCATGTCCGATAATAGGCATTGCTGTCACTCATTGAAAACATTCCATTTGTGAATCGTATAGAGGACGTACGAGTTGCTTAGTTTCACCAGATGGCTACTTGTCCCAGTCACCACGTAGAGGTGCAAGTTAAGACTGAGTGTCGTGAACATCCCTCACCGACTAGGTTTTGCCTCGTATAGGTATACTGTGCTGGAGAGTGTGCCTGCGAACAAAAGAAACTGCGTACGTACCTCAGAGAACGATCGGGTTGCCGCGGCCCCCCTGCCGCAGGCGAGGAGGGACGTGAAGGAAAAGGACGCCGTCGTCGTTATCGTCGTCGTCGTCGTCTTCATCGTCAGATATCACCACAGGCCCGTTGTTATCCGCCCCGGCGAGTACGAAACTACAACGAGACGCGTGGTCCCGCCACTTACAGTTCGCGCAAGCACCCCCGAAGTGTCCTCGAACACGACGACACTCCGGAAAAGGGTTGAGACGGCCTCGGCACTGCGTACAGCACGAAGGAGGAGCAGTGCCTCTTGATTGAATCAAGATGGCGTTGATGTAGGAAGGCCGGTGCGTACCGACCCTGGCAGGGGTGATCATTCTACCTCGTACGAAGAGGACATTCAAGCCAGGTTCGGCCAGCAACCGGAGCCCCTGTGGTGAATGGACATACGGCCGCAATTGCTGGCCACCCACAAGCAGAACAGGAGGAACCCTCGTAAGGGCCCACGCTGCTGCGTTGCGGGCGGCCATGTCGGGGTCCCAACGGACGACGGCAAGGTTATTGTTGGTATTCCTTCTCTTTTGTTAGTTGCGTACGCGCACACGGCGGGAAACTAGGCGAGTGCCTTCAGACGGCACTCACTGGGGAGACATCGTCTGTAACAACCACAAGTCAGCATCTGATAGTACGACATAGCGAGATTGCTATCCACTCACGTTGGAGAAGGAACTGTCTGTGGAGCGGATTAGCACACGCCAATTGGACAGGAAAAAGGCGGAACGTACAATGGTGTTGTTGGTGGTGGTGGCGCCGATGGTGGTTGGTGCGAAGGGATGAAACGTGAATTTTGTGGGTTTAGTGTGGTGACCCGACACCAGTCCGGATACGGAAAGGCTTCAGGCTTGGCGTTGTATTTTTTCACGTGACTAAAATCGCGCCCGACTGTGGGGCAACCCCGAATCTCTGGGAGAAGTGACACTTGCACGGGCAATCCTGACGGTCTCAGTCTTGTCCCAGAGGAAAATAGGCCACTTCGGTATTTTCGAAGTGTCTATATACGTCTTTCGCTCGGTTTGAACTGCTACACGATATCCTCCTCGTCTTCGCTTTTCTCGTCCCATAGCTCAGGACGACCCTGTATTCGTCGAAATTTACGAGCGATATCCTAAGCTCGCTTCATTTATATATCGCCTTCCTGATTTACGATCCGAGAATTCCAACTCAAAGTCCTAAGGGTTCGTAAAAACTTGTCGTGCTTCGAGACAGTCCGTCTCATTCCGATCCTTTCGGAACTTCCGTTGCTTTTGTGCCCGGTCCTGTAAGCGCAAGGGTATCACGGGATGGTCCAAGCTGAAAAAGGGGTCGGTGATGAGCGGTACTACGACCACACGCGCTGTCGGTACAATCGTGTTGTATACTTTTTTCTTCTATCTCCGTCCTCCGCCTGAGGCAGCCGCAGCAGCATTTCACAGCTCCACCGTCGCCGTCAGCACCCGTGAATCCTCAATTTTTTCCTTCCTCGACTTTAACCAACGCATCAAGACAAGCCTTTGCCCCCTTCGCGATGAAACTCGAGTCTTGCCCACCGAGGATGAATCCCACGCCCAACTCGTGGACCGCCCAGCCGTGGAAGGTGGGATTGTCGTACACGCCGCCCAGTCCCATGATCTTGCCGTGCTTCCTGCACGCTTGACTCACCTTCTTCATCGCCTCCGTGTACACGGGATTGTCAAACTGCGCGGCGATGCCGAGATCCACGGTCAGGTCGTTCGAGCCGACCAGGAGCACGTCCACGCCCGTCACGGAGGCGATGGCGTCGAGGTTCTGCAGGGCCTCTTGGGTTTCGATCATGACGATGACGGTCGAGCCCACGTTGTTGGATTCCGGGATTACGACCGAGTGCGGCTGGGCAGCGTACGCGAACTGAGGGAGCTGCCCAGTCATCGAGCGTTTCCCGGCGGGCGGATACTTTGAGATGGCGACGGCAGCTTCGGCCTCACCTACAATGGGAAGCCAAAAGGATATCAGTTCAGTCCCTTTTCCAACTCCTTTCCAAGTTCGATATGCTGCTTATCAGAAACGGGAGGGCAGGGAGAAAGAAAGGCCAAAACCCTCCCGAGGAAAGAATACATCTACTGGCGTTGACGGATATGGAACTCCTTGTGTGCACGCGTGGGTGGATTGGTTCCCGATAGCCGTCCGCCACGAACAGCTCCTGGCAAACGTACCTCTCGTGCTCACGTGCGGGAAAACGACCCCCATGGCTCCTCCATCCAGGACTCGCTGGACGAACCCGTCACCGCACTGATACGGCACCCTGACGAAGGGGGTTGTCCCCGCCAACAGACCCGTCGTGCACAGTTGGCTGGCGTCGTTGATGGACAGGGCCGAATGCTCGAGGTCGATGAAGAGCGCATCGAAGCCGGCCGCGGCGGCGATCTGCACCACCGCCGCCGACGGCGTGAGTTTGATCCCGAACACCTGTTGAACATATAACATGTATGAGCCCCACGTTATCATGGCTTGTCCGTTTCAAAAGAGGGCTTGGCATTCAGAGGACGGTCTCCGATGTTTTTGTGCTGGAGATGCTAAGGGCGAAGGGACAGGGAATTGAGGAGGGTGGAGGGATGGCGAGGTAGAGGGAGGTATGGATGGATATACCTTGCACAATGAACCGGCCTGCTGAAGGCGATATAGATTGTTCGGAAAGATGGTCGGCATGGCTGGTTATCTAGTTAGTCTTCTGTTTGCTTGTTCTGCTTGTTTTCCTGCTTGCTCTCTTCCACCGTGGGTCCTGTGAATCTGGAACATGTGCTCTGCTAATTAACAATATTCCATCAACTTTGTAAATCCCTCCACGAGAGTTTTCCCACGAACCGCCCCCGCCTGCTCCGAGGGTAAAAGCGACGGGCGGAAAGGGAATTGGAGATTGAGGGACGATTTCGTGGAGAAGTGCGGGTGTGACTCGTTGGAAAACATGGAAGCATACTTCAATCAACACATCCCTCGGGTTGAGATGTGCCGAATCACGGAGCTTGACCAAACCCTAAGCCAGCCTCCATTGGAGAAGGATGCAGTTGGACCATGCTCGGAATCGACCTTTCATTGCTGCATGAATTGTATGACGGCAAAAATGCCTTCATCAAAGCTGATACGAAGATAAAGTGGCTTCCGTAGTGAGCCTCACTCCCAACCATGCAACTAATATAGTCCCCAGTCCAACTTGCGACTGGGTCAACCATTCCTTCCATTGAAACAGGATAGGTAGAGAGACAAAGTCATAATAAAGCCTTGACAGCATCTGCATGTTTGCCGGTTGCTTCGAGGGACGCGGCGGAATATCGGCAGTTGAACAATGCGGCTTGCGAAACCCCTGCAGCAAATCTGACATACTCAAATCCTCTCGTCGCTTTCGACTCTTCCAGAGACAGGGGGATTTCGTTACGGGAAAACCAAAAATTTCAGCATAAAATGGTATTATGGCGACCGATGCCGTTCCACAGTGTGATACAGGATGTGGTGATGCTGAAGTCTGACCTCGAGAAGTCAAACGACTCGCACCCGACAGATAGAGATAGAGCATCACAAGTGTTGTCATTTGTGTTGATAATGAAGGCACAAAAGGGCAGAGGACCAGGTAATTGATCAAGCCGCGGTTTCAGCTGCCGTGGAGTTGTGGTGGGTTGCTGTATCACCTGCACCATCTAGTGTATTTGGCCCTGTCGGTGCGGGTGGTGTCGCTGTTACTGCCAATGTTGTTGCTTGTCCTTCTGGATGACGCACTAACGCGAAATGGTCCGAATAAGGAGGTGGCAAAATGATCCGCGAGTATCCTGGCGGAATGCGAGGCACTTGAGGGAGGAAGTTGGGTGGCGGCCGTCGGTGACGGTATCGTAGACTACGATAGTCTGGTCTATAGCAACGGTAGAGTCGGAAGCAGGCGTACGGGAGGAAGACAGTGATCAGACCAAGGACGAAGCCCACGAGATAGCCCGGCCATTTGGACGTGGAACTTCTGGGATCTAGGATGCCCGTGGAGTCGTGGGGTGCCATAGCGAGGCAAAGCAGATGCAACAATTAGCGGGTGAAAGGGATGTATGTAGCACAAATGGGAGAAGATGAAAAGATTTACTTGCTGGCTCACTTTCGGCGAGAGATTCTTTCTCAACAAACCCGTCCGATTGACCTGAATGATGTCTGGGGAAAGTGCATCTGCGGTTGCGCGTTGGGGCAGGAATGATCGAGAGAAAGGTGTTCTGCAAAGCGACACGGGGGACTCTGCCATCAGACATGACACCCAGATCGACCTGATACATCGAGGTATCGTAGAAGGACCTGTCAGACGCCGTGAAATGATTTTCCCAGGGAAGAAGTCGGGAACATGAACATAAATATTGATATCGGTGGAAAGGTGTAGATATGGAAGAAGTTGCCGCGTGACCGGAATATCATTATTCCGGATGTGCTCCTTCCGTGTCTTCTCCATCCAGTTAGAATGGACGCGTCAGAAGAGCCTACGTCATCGAGTCATGTACCATTTCCCCAATGGCAAAAGGTCCCTGGTAGGTCTTGATAAGTGTTGGTGGTGTCTCAGCCGCAGCTCGGTGCGCTCTGTCGCACTCCTCGACAGGATCCTCAGACGGCTACTACTCTCTCCTATGCTCTGAACCTTACGATACCCGTGTTGCTTTGCCCAGAGATCCTACGAACACTTCAGGACTATCTGTGTTGGTTAGTCTTGGGTTCACTTCCACCCCCCCTCTGTTGCACGACCATTGAGCACAATGACCTGAGTCTCCGTCCGTAAAAGCACAACAACACTGGTCTCAACCTGAGTCTACATCCACACCACCATGGCTGATCCCGAACCCGGGTACTCGTCTGCCCAAGCCACGGGTAGCACGAATGAATCCACGCCCCTCCTCCCCTCTGACCGCCAATTCATCTCCGCGCTTCATCAATCGCAGGACTTCATAGCCTGCCACATTGTCAAAGTCCACGGAGAGGACAGCGCGGTGTGGAAACTCCGACATTCGTTGCAACGCTGGTTGTCGTCCAAATGGGGTCACTACTTCGTGATTCTGCTGGTCTCGGCCGATATATGCTGTATCTTTGCAGATTTCCTCATCAGTCTGCACATATGTGAGCATGCGGGCGAGAAAGGCTTCAACCTCAAGGCGTGGGAGCGGGCCAACGAGGCGCTCGATTACGCAAGTCTGGCCTTTTCATGTCTGTTCATGGCTGAATTGTTGGGCAGTGTCTTTGCATTTGGGTTCAGGTACCGTCTCCCTTCGGCGCCCATTCCAGTGACTGCTTCTTTTCGTTCGCGTATTAACCTCAACCCCCCTGTGCAGGTATTTCAACAACTCGTTCCACATCTTCGATGCCCTCGTCATCATCACCGCCTTCATCATCGACGTCCTTCTGCGCGGCCCCTTGGAAGAAGCCGGCTCCCTGGTCGTCATCCTGCGGCTGTGGCGAGTCTTTAAAATCATCGAGGAATTCTCCTCGGGGGCCGAAGATCAGATTGCAGAATTGCAGGACAAGATTGACGAGCTAGAGCGAGCGAGAGAGGACGTCGTGAAAGAGAACCAGCAGCTCAGGCACAGGTTGCGGAGCGGGCATGAAGATGCCGATGGGCTTACACCTGATGGTGACGGCTAGCGGGTAGCAACCTTGCTACAAGGTCCGAGATGTCTGGTCCAGGAGAACCTGAAGCGACCTCTCTCCGCCAAGGACAACCCGGGCATAGACAGCAGCTTAGCAAGCTAGAGATGGACTGGTACAATGGGAAATCCTAATTCGACACGAGAGGGGAGTCTGTTGGAGTACATGGATCTGTTCGGCTATCGTCTTTCAGGTCTCACCTCTACGAACACGCCAGCATTAATACCTAGACACGAAATGAATGAACGACAATGATACAGACAGGCATTGATACAAAAGAAGGAGATTTTCATTCTGGGGCTCTGTAGATGTACGGAGTAGTTCGTGACGCAGCCACGCAACTATCAACGAGTGCTGATCCTACACCAGGTCAGCCATGACCGTAGTGGGCGTCCATCGAGTAGTAAAAAAGGAACAATCAAACAAGAGACCAGGGTAGTCACATTCTGAGGCAATAGGACTCTCTCTCCCCTTGCGGCGATCAGGACCGTGTCCGATCACACTCCTCAATGAACCTGTAGATCCCTTCGAGCCCCTCGTATCCGTTGCCATTTCCATCGGTCCAGTGCTCGGGATATCTTTCTCTTCCGGCGGTGTTGTGTCGTGGTTGGAAGAAGTACATGGCGGCGTCTTCCTCGGCTTCCAGCAATTCGCTCTCGTGGAGACTCGAATATCCCGACGGGCTTGACATCCACGGGTTTTCACCCATGGCCTCGTCGATCATCTCAAACGCGTCGGGCGACTTGCTCGTGGCCGACAGGTGCGAGAAGCCTGCCGAAGGATGTTGAGGTGGGGTGAGCATCTCCTGCCACTCGACGCGGTCTTTCTTGATGCGCTTGCTCGGTCTGTCACCAAAGACACAGTTGGAGTCCATGAAGCCGGCCTCACTGGCTGTCTTGCTGGGCGCAAAGGGAAACAGGAGGGCCATTTCCGTGCCGTTCCTCGCGTCAAAATCTTCATCTTGGCCGACCATGCCGCGCTTAATGTTGAGTTCCCGGCAAAGAGCCTCGACGGTATCTGCGTCACAGCCAGGAAAGCGGACACGAAGAGTCGTGCTATTGTACAACGAGATGGGGAGGTCGCCCAAGGTTGCCAAGTGTTTGAGGTCGTTCATGACGGCGGCGAGATCTTTCAGGGCGCGAGCAAAATCGATCGAGAGGTTGGACATGAGCGTGGTGTTGTTCAGGGTGTCTTTTTGGACCTCGTAATCGCAGGATGCGGTGGAAGCAGAGCGAGGAACACTGGCCAAGGGACCAATGGCGGTGATCGTAGGAGAGACCTTGAAGTCAATGAAGGACCCAGGTGCAGTCTTCGAAGACATGTCCATGGTATGCCTGGCATCTTCTTGAAGGCTAGAAACAGCTCGGAACCGCTTCTCGCCTGTTCGAGGATTGACTCCGTCGAACCGGGCTTTTTGACCCGAGAGCCAAAAGGCTCGTACGGCCTGCGAGACGTTGGTGACCACCTGTGCCTGCGCCGCCGGAGAATGAGAGAAGTATCTCGGTCCACCGACTCGACCACCTCCTAGTCCATAGCCACCTGCATGACGGCACAAAGTACCCCCGGTAAGGTTCGGTCGAAGGGTAGATGCGAACGGGGCACGGCCAGTCAATCGTCCCACGGCCGCACCGGTGCGTGAAGAAGGATAGGACGCACGAGTGGGACGGGCATTTGACGCAGCATGAGAAGAGTAGTGTCTGGTGTTGTTGAGACCGTGCGAGTTTGTGCTGTACCAGCGGCTTTGGGCTTGACGGATCTGAGCGAGGCGATTGATGGGTTGTTGGCGTTGAGAGACGCGGGCGTAGGCAGGTTGGACGTCTGCCTCGAGTGGCTTGGTTGCCTGCGGGACTTTGTCACGTATGAACCTTCCCGTCTTCGCGGCGGCGAATTTGACGAGCCTCATGGCCTTGGAGACCAAGAGGTGTCCTCCCGACGACGCCATGATGTTTACCCACCAGGCGGAAGCACACTTGTCGACAGTGATGAGGAGGGAATGGGAGGTGAAGTTCGAGTCTGGATGGTTGAGGTTGGAGGCCCAAGCATTTGCCACCAGCGAGTCGGCGATGATTGGCCGGAGGCGCCGAGAACCTTCCCCGCATCAACACATTCTCCGATTCCGAACCTCCGACTCCGAGTATGTAGATGTGCTCAGCATTTTCCTTCTCAAGAGTCTATCTTTGAGCGGGTCTTGTTCGCACCAAACCTGTGGTACGACGAGTCAATCATGTTCCTGGCCACAAATGTAATCATGAACCAAGAACTCACCCTGTGCCAGGGAAGCACTAAACCGGACAGTGCACATGTAACGTGCCAAAGCGCAAGATAGGGGGGGTGACTCACTAGATGCTCATCCAATTTGACTCACCTCTGCATCATTTATGTTGAAGACCATCTGCCACCGCAGTTTCAAAAGAGGTCTCTCAGAACCCGTTGCAGAAAGACGCGTGCTGGGCGATACCATGGAGTCGGCCGTGAACAGCTCAGACTTCAACGTTGCGGTGCCTCATCCAACATTGAGGTTGGCACTCACTCCGCCTCGAGAGTCTGATGGAGCTGCAGTGATCCTCGGCCTCAACCACCCAAAGGTATACATGAACCTGAATGGCCCGCCCTATCCGTATACAGAGAAAGATCGGACAGAGTGGTATGCCAGGATCTCCAACGAATGGAAACAAAATTGGTCAGAGCTGGCGGCTATACGGAAACATGAGCAATCGAGTTCCAGCATCACTGGGAATATCGCCACGCCAGCCGACGGTTCGCAGCGACCGTGGCTCGGCCGACATTGGACTTCAACCATTCGACATTTCGAGGAGTCGGACACAGGGACCAATGGAAAGTTTATTGGCGAGATTGGGGTGGAAAGAGAGTGCTTTCTCTATATTCTAGATGAAGAGGAACGAAACAGGCGGAAAGAGGAAAACGACAAACTGCAAGCTGGTGATCCGAACATCACTTGGGAAATCGGATGTGAGTGTCTTGCTTCCCACTCTGTCGATATCGTCGCTGCACAGCCATGTGTACTGACCCCAACCAGTCTGGCTCATCCCCGAATACCATGGTCGCGGGATCATGCCAGCCGCCCTGCGGAAACTAATGGCTGAAGTGATCATCCCACACATGAACGCCCACCAAATAGTCGGGACATATTTCGAGCACAACCTTCCCAGCAGAAGAGTGTTTGAGAAGTGTGGATTCTCCTTCGAGACCGTGGTACCGAATGCCGTTCCAATCAATCCTGCTAAGATCGGCGGTGTAGAGGGACCCAAGGTCGGAGTGGGCATTCTCAGGTGGAGGCGTCAGTTGGCAGACTGAGGACGGTTCGGGACTCCTCCTCTGGAAGCTGCTTGGCCGGAACAGATGCAGGGACTCGTTTCAGAATCATAGTGGTTGCAAGAGTTGTGTTCAGGGGAATAGGACTCGCAGCAACAACAAAGGCTCGGATGGCATGGCGGCCTTTGTTTGTGGTGGCCTATGTACCACTGTCGTGCGTCCTCAGTACTTTCTGTTCTGTTCGGCTCGCGTTCCGAAGCCGACGGGAAATACAATCCCACGTTCACTGGCTTCAGGTCACTCGGGGATTGGTGCGATCAGTACGGGTATGGAGGTGAAGACGGCACGCTGTCCACTAATGGAAGAGGTTTCCGCCTGCATCACGTCAATCCTTCGTCAAATCCGTCCTGCACACGGGAAGGGATCGACTTCAATTCCATCGAAAAGCCCCCTTAGTTCGGAAAAGGTATCCTCTGCACGCCAATCTCAGTTTTCTGGTAGCGGCCGCATGATAAGGGTTGCGCGAGCTTTGCTGGGAACGAGGGCGCGCTTTATTACCACCATGAGGCATAACCAACATGCAAGGAACCTCGCTTTTTCAGGCACCCATGCACCATGAGATTGTGCATCATGCAGCCATGAATGCGTTAGTGGCTCGACGGGGCCGGCACTCAGGAAGCCCCCCCTTTTTTCTTCTCTCTGCCTGCCAAAATCTCGATAGATCAGATCTTTGGCGCACGCGGCGGGGAGTCAAAGTCGCGTCAACAGTTAGGCATCGCCGAGCAGCTCAGTAGCAGCCATGAGGCATGTAGGTAAGGCTGATTCGGTAATCTGCGACACGCTCTTTTGAGTTTGTCTCATGGAGCCCGAAGTTCGGTGGTGGCTTGCTGAAAGTCATGTGTCAAATCTCGTGCTCGCCGTGCTTGCTGGTGCCAGCGGGTGCCCACTGTGCTCGCCGAGTCCCAGATCAACCTCTTCTAAGCGAAGCTTGGGCTTTAACTGGCCTAGCCACTACCCTCCAAGGCGCCCAAGACGCTCCAGTCGTGCCAGTGTGGCCCCATTCGGGGGGCCTAGTGAGCCTGGATCTGCCCATCATCTCTTTGTTGCTTTCTGTCCTTCCCTTTGCCTTTTGCCTTTTAGTCCTTTGGCTTTTCCACCGTCGCCTGGTCTGGTACGCCAATCACGCCCTCATCTCTCCGCCCTAAACTCTCTGGTTCCAAGTCCATACCTTTTCCGAGTCCTCCCTTGCTTCCAAAGAGTCAATAGTGCTCCTCCAGCGGGGACTGGCTCTCGCCTAGCTCGTGACCTGGACCGAGTGTGTCGCTTGGTGAGTGGTCGCCGAACTGGCCCAGCTCCACCAAATGGACCCTTCTCTCGCTTCTCGTTTTCCACCTTCTACGCAGTTGGACTCTTGGGAGGACTATCTCCCACCCCGGAATCTTCTTTCAGCCGCATGGCATTTCAAAAAGTTGAGCCATCGAATGATTTCGCCAAACCCCTTTGTCTCGTCTTCCCTCTTGAGGCATGGTTTGGTGGGGCCCCCCCAAGTCCACAGGGAACGTGGCTCAAATGGACTAGTATGGGTACCAACAAGGTCCTCTCGACCACACCGATGTTGATTCATGGCCTAGATGCATCGTGTTCGTGTACTTTTGCCCAGCCTAATGCGAAGTTCAAGAAGCCAGCTTTTCCCATCTTTCCCTGTATCGAGTTTTTGCCATTCTCTTGCTCCTGACAGTTACTATTGAAATACCTACCAACTCGTCTCTGTTCCTGTAACCCAGACAGCATCGATCGTGCACGACGTCATGGAGCAATCGAGTGCTCTGTCTTCGCATAGCCCGCGTTGCTTTGCCTCTAAACCTCAGCCTCAGCCTCAGCCTCAGCCTCAGCCAGAGACGGCCTCTCAATCCGCCGCGAGGCTGCTGTTCAAGTCACACTGGAAACTCAACACAGAAACAGCCCGCGAGGAGCCCAGATTACGGAGGCTCCTCGGCCACATATCGGTCTACGACCAAACACGGATATTTGCACAAGCACAAGCACCTACACAGCCGTCAGCGGAATCAAGGCCAGAACCAAACGAGCTGTCCGTCTATATCCAACACCAAGTGCCTTCGTTCAAAGAATTTCAAGCCGCCCTCGAAGCCCAACTGGAAACTCTCGCACAAATCAGAGCAGCGGCCATACAGTACAACAACGCCGAGGAGTACGACAGCGACGAAGGAGAGGACGGTGACAGCGACTACGACAGCTGTGATGGAGACTGGTCGGATGATGAGGACACGTCCGCCGAGAGCGACGACAGCTGCACCGACTACGAGAGCGAGGGCCAACGGTCCGAGTGCTCGAGTCCCACATTCGACTCGGCGCACGCCAAGTACGCCCAGGAAGACGAGGACGATGATGTCTGGGCCATCCGGCCTCTTATACCCCTTGTGACCAACCGCCCAGCAGACTCGGGATAGGGCTGAAATCTGGGGAGGGGAACCTACTTTTTCAGCTTCTCGTATTTGGTTGTCTTGGCACGTCTCATGGCAGTCTGGAGCCAGGCGGACGCATGAAAAAAAGGGGACATGGTGTTTGTATGTATTCAGCGGTGACTTCACACTTCTCAATCACGAAAGTTTTTGGAACATCGATCGACTCTCTCCCCTTTTGGGTTTGTCTTTCTCCGGTTTCTTGGGAATCTTCCTTTTGGTCGCCCGACATGTTGAGCTCGTAACAATGCGAAGAGCACTCCTAGATAAGACGTGAGATATTTCGATAGCCAATACCCCTCATGGGTTCGGAATATACAATGTAATTTGATCGATCAGTGGCCACAAAGTTAGTTGGAGAGAGCCATTCTTCTACCCAGTGATTCCCTTGGTTAACAAGACTTTTACCTTCATCAGCGTTATCGCAAGGACTTTGTCTGCCCCTGGTCATTGTCCCACTCCGGGGAAACTTGCAGCTCAATGAAACGAAACGACACACCCAGTCAGGCAATCGAACATAGGTGGCGTAGCCCGGTAAGAGCTGATGTCATTTGATATGAAATGATATTAGATAGAGTGAAGAAACCAAGATGAAAGAAGGGAAATTAAAACAATCCTAGATAGTAGGTGAGATGGAGGAGAAAAGGGAATGCATGCGTATGCTGAATTGTCTAGAAAACTATCCTGCGGAATGGTCAAGACCATCTTCGGTCAATAGGGTTAGAGATATCGCCCTGGGCGTGTAAGACCACTGTCTCTGTCTTTTGTCTAAACGCATAGCGCGGATGTGAAGGTGTTTCCACCCATTGGTCTTCAGAGAGATAGGAACTACAGTCCCCATCCGAATCTGTGGATTGACGTCTCTTCCGACCGCGTGATAATTCTTCATCTGACCAGTCAACATCGTCGGTCTCCATTTCTTCGGGACTGGCACTCCGATATTTACCTTGAGATGCCGTCACTCTCGAGAACTGCTGACATTTCTCGGAATCACAAATCTCTGTTGCCCGCGTATTTCCAGTCCGAATGCAGAGTTTTCTTTCTGTACAGCCATCAAGAAACGCTCGTAAATTCTCAAAGACTGTGTATGCAAATCGAGCGAACAGGAGTTCGGGTGCATTGCCGAGCGGGTGAAGCTCGACGCCGTGGTAGAGACGCGCAACATGCGATCCTGGTTGTGTGTTGAGGCAGTATGCCACAAGACGGCCACCGATGGGAACGATAGCAAACTCCTTAGCATCGAAGACAGTATGGATGTCGCTCCTAAGGCGAATTATATTGTTCGCATGCTTCATCTTGTCTGTTGCAGTGGAAACTGCATAATCAGACATGGAAAGAGCCGCGGGGTAATCCTGTTGAGTATTCGCGTCCGATTGGTTTTCTTTCGTAACATCCCGTGCCATAAGGCTTTTCGCTGAGTCATGTTCACGCCTAGCCTACTAACGGCTAACCTATATACCACCTAGAGTCTACCACCACAGTCACCTGGAGTCCATCAGTAAAGTACCTAGAGTTGACCTCCACGCACGCCTAGAGTCCGTCACTAGAGTACCTAGAGTTCACCTCCACGAGCGCATAGAGTCTATCATTATAGCACCTAGCGCCTGTTTTCGCGCTCTCACAACAGGTTGCCTTAGGGTAGCCATCACCACCCACTGCGGTATTTTATTACTTGCTGAGTGGAATCTCCTGGGGGGCCTTGGTCTTAACCACGAGCGTGCTAAATGGCTTTGACGCCGCGATTCTGATCGGGGTTCAAGCCAAGCTGAAATGTGACGACTTCGACAAGAGTGCAAGAGGTGGCATGATTGATTAATCCTGAACCTCATCAAAGACATGGATATCAGTGCGGACTTCTCGGATCGCTTAGCCAGTGTCCAGTTCAACGGGTATGGCTCTTCGTTGGATTGGCTTAATAGCTGGCTCACGACAAGGAAATTGAAAGATGCCTCGCTACTGTAGGAAAAAGCGCCGGACAATGGGGTCTGCTGGCAAGAAGAGGGCACTTCCGAACATGTTGAAACACCGTAGAGTAAAAACGAGGGGCCAAGTCATAGGACCTCTTCATATATTGAGGGTTGTGCTCGCGCTATTCAGGCCACGGCTCTGATTCAGTCAAATGGCGAGTGGCTCAGGCCTAGAAACGGAGATGGAGTTGGGAGACGTCAAGATTCGTTGCTGAATATCCTGGTATTGGATGGACGAAAGGGACTTTTTGGTTTTGGAAGGTGTCCTTTTCCACGTGCTGCCTCAAAAAGGTGGATTTGAATTGTTATATACAAGGCAAAATAGATCCTTCTGCTCGTCAGGCAGTCTAACGAGACACACACACACACACACATTCAGTCAATGCCATTTTATCTTGCCAGCTTGTTCTCCAGAGGAATCCTTTTGTTCGATCTTAAAACGCCTCAAGCTCAGGTATAACCCAACTCCCGTGGGGAACCTGTGTCGGAGCTGCCGCTGTAACTCCACGGTCGCTTTGCCCGAATCATCCCGCACCATTGCAAAGGTGTCTCAACGCCACATTAAAACGTATCCTGGTACTATTCCGCACAGCGTAACTTAATGCTTCCTGCCCAGCATCGAGCTGTACTCGGAGCTCTCGGCAAACCATTTGTTGCTGTCGAGGGTCGAGTTGCGTTTGAGGAAGCGCTTGTTCATACGTCCGCCTGATCGTGCAGCCTGGGAAGACGAAGAAGCCTCATCAGCCTGTGGAAAGAGAAAGAGAGAGGGGGAGAGAGAGGAAGGGTAACAATGTCAAGGTAGGGCTAGCCAGGATCAGTAAGACTCACCCCGTAGGCTACCGCACCTCCGGTGCCAACAGTCGCCACGGTGAAGACCCCCCGCATAAACTGTCTGTCCTTGGGAGACATGCTGGGGTGGGCGGTATGCGTCGAAGCATATCGAGCCGGGGCGGTCAGCCGGGGGCCCATGGCCATGACGGAGCGGCGAGAGATGATTTGACGGACGACGTTCATTTTGGCTGGGGTAGCGAGATAGAGAGGTGAAGTGGTGGTGACTTTGGTGAGAGCTGGGAGATGTTTTCTGGCTTTTGTTTTGCACGAAGCACGCACACAGATGCAGATTGAGTTGAGATGTTGTTGGTGTGACCTACCATGGGTTCAACTGCGCAGGCTCATGACGGTTTTTAACTTGTTGTTGTATGCTACTTGCCCATAGCCATGGCACCATCGACGTGCCCGACTTCAGCTATTGGGTGTCTGCACCATCAGCACACACGGCAATCGAGGGTCAGCAATGGCAGAACTCAAAGAGCGCAGGTGTTGTGTGATGGTATCACCAGTTCGCAAACAAAGAAGAGCAGTTCTCTGGTGACGAAAAGGGATCGACGACGGCGGCCTCCGCCCCAGGAACAGCCACATGGGAGACGATGTCCCTGGATCGGGAGATGCCAGGTTGGAACTCCTGCTCGTATTACTCGTAGACCTCAAACGTTGATGATTGGTCGATCCCACGGCAAGGAATCAATCGGCGCCCCACCAAGACAGTCAGGCCACGGAGATTTATTCGCGTCATATACAGGTTCTTTTGAACCATTTGGCCCGGTCACTCCTGTCATTACAACTATCCTGGCCAGGTCTCATGCCCGGGAGTCTGGAACAATCTCCGCGTGGGTCCAGACTCAGCCCGTGTTTTTCTGCCGTCACACTGGTACCGCTAGCGAGGCGCAGCGCAGATCAGAGCAGTCTGAGTGGCCAGAGCAGTACCGCTAGGAGCTTGGCAATACGGCGGTCGGGGGGCGTGGTGTGACCGAGGGGCCTCTTACTCACCCTCTAGCAGCACCCAACATGTCTCCTGCAGGAATTCTCCGGACTTCCTGTGCCGAGTTCCAACGTCGTCACTCGACTTCCTTCTTCAACAGCACCAACTCCACCGCCAAAATTCCCTCTTAACATCCGTCATCGTGGCCTGACATCTTCCTCTCCTCAAACACTACCGCCCCAACTCGACCGCCGACCTGTCCACCGTTAGTGCTGAAAGACTGTTGCGATCTCGCCCTAAAGCGTGAGAAGCGTGAGCAGCGCCGACAGAGACTGGTCGACAACCTCCCGGATAAGCGCCTTGTGGGTTCATTGGGACATCGCAAGACGGTAATCTTTCGGACCTCAAAGGGTCTTGTTGCGTGAAAGGGGAAAAAACCCCCAAGTGCTTCAGTGTGGGATACGGCGAGTCATGTCTGTGGGCACGATGCCCTTTCGGCAGCTGTACCACCAGCAAGACGGCTCTCCTGACTTTCACGGGCAACATGCATTTCAGAGTCCGCATTCCCAACTTGCCATCGTCGACCCTGACTCCATCGATTTCACCGGGTGGCATGAGATGGACTTTACCACTGCTCCGCTCACCACCACTCCGTCACGGGGGACGCTGAACTCACATCCAGCCCTCAACCAAAAATACTCGACCGCCATGGACAGAGATCAGGATCCGCTGGCGTATCTTCGCTCTTCCAATCACCGGCAGGGGTCGACGGGTAGCCTGATCACCTCTTCTGCCCATCAACAGTCTCCTGAACCTCGTAGATCCTCAGGAGACATGTACTCCAACACCCAATATTCCTACTCTCAGCTTCTCAACATGGAGGCAAATCTTCCACCCATGGATCAGTCGAGCCTCATCAGCTCACGCGCTGATGACGATGCAACTATGCTCAACAACGACAACAGTCTGACGACAACGTTATCAGCTTCTGACTCTCTCAACACCAGCCTGGATCCTATCGCGGCGTCGATAGCGTCCAAGACAGACTCGACCGAGAAGCTCTGCCCTCTGATTGCCGGCCAAGTAGACAGCTGCCAACCACAGCGCTGTGGCCCCGACGCACCTTGCATGAACTTCACCACCCTGCCGCCTATTGAGGAGTGCACATCTGTCCCCTGCATAACGGGATCGACGACCTCGCCCAGTGAGACCATGATTAGTAATGACAGCATGTCTGTCGAACTACATCAACGGCCCAGCATGAGCGCGAGAACGAGCACGACAGCCACCTCCCGTTCGGCGACCACTCGACGCTCATCAAGTTCCACCACCGCTACCACCGAACAGCCTGATACCGTTCCTCTACCTCCCCGAAGAACTTCTGCCGCCGCAGCCCGCCGTCAAAACCGAACCAGTCCCACCATGACCACCGCAGCATCGCTGGCTTCGGATGACGAGGACGAGGAGCAGCCAACCGCAAAATCCACGGCTCCTTCCAAAGCCGACGCCAAACAGCGGGCGAAACAAGCCCACTCGCTCGTAGAGCGCAAATACCGCGAAAATCTCAACGCGAAAATTTCCCAGCTGCACAACACGCTCCAAGCGTCTCATTACGGGCCCAAAGTGGGTGAGGACGGCGAACTCGAGGCCGCGAACTCGGCCAACGGGCTCCCTCCTGCCAAGGTGCGCAAGAGCGATGTGTTGACCGAGGCGATGAACTACGTCAACCAGACCGAAGTTGAAATGCGACACATGGAGAATGAAATACACAGACTGACCGAAAGAGTGCGGGTGCTGGAGAAGCTGGTGCGCTGCGAGGATTGCAGTCTGCTCAAGCAGATGGTCAATTTACAAGTTCAAGCGGTCTGATTCCACAGACTCAACGAGAAAAGCAAAAAAAAAAGAAGAAAAACAGGAACCCACAACCTGTCAAGATATCAAAAAATTCATCTACCAATATATGACACTCGATGTGTCTCTTCCCAGCGTGAGGCGCCGGGCATCTTTGCACTGCTTCTGATGCATGAAACCCATCTGCCTGTTTGCCGAATGTTTTGCGCACGCATTTTGGAATGTTTTTCTTGTCCATTGTATGAGGTACAGCGAACCAAGGTCTACCAAATTTCTTGTGCTAGGAGTTCTGGCGCTCGTGGAGTCAGCTGGGCTGGTGAGCTGGGCACCCCAGGCTCGAGAAGAGCCAGGAGATCGGGGATGGGTCGGGCGGCCTGAGTTATAATTTATCTAGCTGATGAAGGAAGGTATCCTGATGATGTATGTTCCCCCGCTTGTAGAAAGGAAGTGCCGGGTTGAGCAAAATTGTCTGTTTTATTTCACGTGGCTGGACTCCCATTTTTGGGTTATGGAAATATTATACGAAATGAGAAGAGAAAGTAACAAATGAGAACTCACCTTGACAACGAACGCTACATACGAATTCAGACAGGTATATGCAGGCGAACGAACGAGCGGGCGGGCATACCTACAAATAACTATGCAGTATGTATAACTAGTTATAGTTTTACAGGGTTTGTTTTATGCCCAGATATGTCCGTATGTATGTACGTACTGATTCTTTTTATATATACTGTCTCATCCTCCGAACCCGTATATCTGTTATGTGTCAGTGCATGTATGTATGCACCAACACAGCCAGCAACACGGGTTCGAAACATGGACATGTAATCTGCCTTGATCATAACTCTATTATCATTCGTCGAAGCGGGGCGTCGCGCCGTGATCTATATGTGTGAAGGTCTATCCATATGCTTGTCTTTATGTATGTTCGAGTAGACCCCAGAAGATGGGGAACTTTTTTTTCATTCGTACATGCCTTGTTATTTTCTTCTCGATCTATTAGTACTGTCCAAATACATACACACACACACACACACATTTTCCGTCTTTCGTTCCTACCTTCTTTTTGACTCGATTCGAAACCGAAACAATCCGTCCGTCCGTCATTACTGCTGCCTCCGTCTCGCGGAGGATTTTTTTTCCCCCTCTCTCATGAAATTCATGCAATCTCAATCCTGACCCCCGCGCCCTTCAGCGCGGCCATGTCCTCCAGACTGCGTTTGGGCAGGTCGATGCGCAGCAGGCCGCCGTCGAGCCGGGCCTTGAGCTCCTTCATCTCGACGTCCTCGGGCAGGGTGAAGGTGCGGCGCCAGGCGCCGACGCGCCGCTCCGAGAGCAGGATGGTCGGCGTCGAGTCCGCCAGCGCCTCCTCTTCCATGGTCTCTCGCGATTTCGCGCGCTGCAGCGGGCCGCCGTCGTCAGTCTCTTCTTGGGACTGTGGAGGGAGACAGAAAATGGTTGTTAGAGATAGACGGGAGTGAGAGGTGGGAATTGTGAGATGAGGTTCAGGGGATGGGATTTTCTTGGGGGTGTGGAGGGTTTGGGAACGGGGAAAGAAGAGTGTATGGTCATATAAAACCCGTAGGTGAGAAGAAACGTACCTTGCCGTGGCCCGCCTCGGTGGCCCATCCGTCGCCCTCGCCCTCCCACACTCTCTGCCCTTCCTCCCCATCCAGCAAGCCGATGTTCTTGGGCCGGCCGGCCACGCCCTGGACAAGCAGCGTGTGCGGGCTCATCCACGTGATGACCAGGTCGGTCTTGTTCTCCTCGGTGACGCCGGGCGTCTCGATCTCGATGTGGTAGGCGCGCAGGGTCTCACGGATGTCGGTTGCCGGGGCGAACGCGGTGCCCGTCGTGGGCGCGGCCACGCTGCTCGGCGCGTGCGGGCCGTTGAAGTGCGACTGCAGCGTCGCCTGGTGCAGCGACGTGCGCGGGAACTGGAAGTGCGACGGCTGCGACGGGTGTGGCTGCACCGGGTGCGCAGGGTGGCCGAGGCTGGCGGACACCGGGTCCGTCTCGACCAGGCGGATCACGTAGTTCGAAGGGACTGAGTACGGAAGGCCAGGCATGGTTTGATTTTGGTTGTTTGTTGTTTTTCTAAGGAACTTTTTTTGTTTTGAGAAATCGAATTCGGTCGGTGGGTGGTGGCTTGTATTGAATTCCCTGTTTTCAGATAGATCACAGAAGTGGTGGAAAACAGTCCGGACCTTTTTTGAACCAGATCAAGGAAACCGTTCGAAACCAATGAATGGATGTATACGTGGGGGGATCTGAATGTGTCGAGATGCTCTTGTGGACCAATGTCTATAGCTTGAAGAGCGACCACAGCTGTTTATATATATATAGATATAGATATCTAGGTCAGCAAGGTTTCAATGGGGACGGACACTGCAACTCTGCATCATTGCGTGCCATTGCGAGTTCCCTCCGCCCGGATCAATTGGGCTGTGATGTGTTTACCCTTGCGTCGCTGCAAGATTTGATCGACGGGCACACCTTCTGATGTGAAAACGCGTGCCATGGCGACACACGTGAGGGAGGGAGGGTGCTCGTCCCATTTGGGAGTGAGGGATGTACAAAAGGGGGATGCCGTCAGTGCTGAGGCGACGATGACTGGATCATGACATTGAACGTGGTGTAGCCGTACCCTGTTCCTATGCCCGCATGTGCGTTCTTTGTGCAACCATCATACGATCGAGGGCGGGTTCCACTGAGGGACTAGAACGGCTTTGGCCTATAGCGGCACTCGGCGGGACCAGGTATGCAGGTCAGAATCTCATGATGAGCAAGTGGTCAATGCGGGGGAAGATTGGCTCAGTAGCGAAAAGTCATAATGTCGTTGCTAGAGTACTCCTTCATCCAGTCTCATGAGTGGATTGTACGCCATCTCGCTGGAGCTGGCCCGAACTGCATGCATGCTGACATAGGATTGGTCTCGACCATTCGAAGGAGATAATCCGGTATCAGGGCCAGAGCTCCAGACGCAGAGATGGCCGTGAATGTGAGGGTGGTACTTCCCACGAGATGCAATGGGGAGTGAGGCCTTTTCGAAAATCATTGGGCGTACGTGGCTTGTACTGCTGTGTATAACTTACTACACGGTACGACAGAAGGGCCATACAGAGCCTGTGCAGTCTAGAGCCAGCATTACTAAGACGCTGGAACAGGGCGGAGAACCAGCCAGGGCAGGGAGAGGGAATGCTGAGACGGAAAGTCCCTCACTCAGGTACTGTATGAACCTCGTACATTAGTAGATAGGTACTAGCGGTGGTGTGATATTCGTCGTATTATTGATTAAAGTGCGCATGCGCGTATTACATACTAGTGTGTTATTTGTCTAGCTTTTTCGGTTGAGGGAGGCTCCGTCGATCGGTTGTTGTTTCGGCGTTTCCGCCCGTGCCAAGCTTCCCACGCCCCCCCTGAAAGCGCAGAGCCTTGCGGTGATAGTCTTGCGGCGGTTCATATAGGTACATCCACCAAGGTATGCAGAGATCCATGGTTCAAGGAGCTAGAGGGTCTGAACCGCCGAATCCAAGCTGAGGAATGAATTTGTTGACTCGACTTGGACATGAGAAATGTCCAGGACAAGGGCACAGAAGAGGAGGTTACTGGCAACAGCCCACGGTGATACAAGACAGCGTACTTGTGCATAGATAGAGGCTCTCATTTCCGCCCCGGTAGTTCCAATGAACGTGGCACTCACTGCAGGTACCGAAGAGTAGTAATAGGTTTCAACCTTATTATTGATCATAGTCGTATGAATGAGGATCCATTTGCGGAGAAAGCACGGCCTTTCCTCCTTTCACCCAAGCCAGCCGCCATTACTTTTTCCCACACTTTCGTTTCGTAAAGCCGCAAATTCCCCCCTGGTGCCCCATGTTTGTTGTTCCCTTGGTGTTCCAGATATCCCAAACGCCCTGTTGCCCCACAAAATACTCTATACAAGCTTTTGCACCAGTTGTGATCCCCATTCTGATATACCGCTGTGGAGGCATATGGTGGCTGTCACACACGCGATCGCTTCCCTCATCAGAGTCGGCTGTTCCGTGCCTCCATGTCGGACATCATTTCGGCGTGCATGATTTCCGCCAGCTGCGTCGCGGCGCCCTTCTCCAGGCTCAGCTTCCGCCGCGTCTGGGCGGGCTCGCCAACGAGGCCGTATCGTTCTTCCAAGTTCTCCACCGGAAGCACGGCCTGGCAGTTGCACTTGCTGTGATGGTGGCCGTAATGGGCGCATCGGGCTGCACCCTCCTTGACGGTCATCTGCACCGGCGACACGGAACCGCTATTGTGATGTTCCTGGGCGATGACACCGACCGGGCACAGACACGAATGTCGTCTCTTGTGGTGGGGTGATGGCGGAGGAGTCAGATCTTTGGGCATGGCGATATCGGGACAGAATCCGTCCCACTCCTCCTCGCTCGACGAGCACTCGTGCTCGAGAGAAAACCGACGTTCTTGGGATGTACGTCGCAGGTGGCAGCGGGCGCAATAGTGCGGCCCCGTACTGCTGGCCGAGGACAGCCTCCTGAGTAATGGATGCATTGGTTGGCCTGCAAAGGAATCGTTAGTCAACATGGTCCAAAGTTTGGGGTTGACAGTGAACATACTTGGTGATTGAGGGCTCTCAGAACCGTCCGTCCTTCCGCGGGAGGGAAGGGACGTGAGAGGAAACATGCCATTGAATTGATCGTACTGGACCATGTCGGGCAGTGGATGTTAACAAGGTATGTGTGTGTGTGTAAGTGGGTAGATCTTGAGATGATCTGGATTGAGGGCTGTGAATAAAATTCTGCCTGTTCGTTTGTGTTTGGACTGGGTAGAGTGATGGAAGCAGAAAGGGACTCGGACACCTCTTGATCACAGCAGTCATTTTATGGACTTCCATAATCATAGCATGGCAAAGCAAATGAAGTTCCGCTCCGCTGTTCAGGGCTCGTTTTCCCGTCCAACCAGCTGAGTGGTTCGGGAGGATTCTCGATATGCACCCTTCCTGCTGTCTGGTGATGGCCGGACAGGTACAGGAGGATTGGGTAATGGTGGGGGCACCTGATCGATCAACCCACCAAAACGCCATGGCAGCCCCCCTTTGTGAGACATCTGGGCTTCCTTAACCGGAATAGCGGTTCTGGGCGTGGCCATAAGGGATGTGCCTCCCCCCGGAAGCCGCCGTGGTCGAGGCCTCTAGGTGGTTCTCGGCGCGACCTCCACCCAGAATGCCCGATCCAAAGATCCACCCCGTCACGCCACGTTTGACTTTCTGTGCACTGGAAATGGCTCTGGGGTGGTCATGCCAGCGTCAGATCTTTGTTTCGCCGGTATCAAGTCGTGATGAGCGTCGATTGAACCGTTTGGCTCTCCAAGATCTAAATGACGGTATGTATGCTGGCTGCATCTGGACCACGTTCGACAGAATAGGATCTCGACGTCGGTATTGTTTGAAATCGTCTCAGCAGATGGTTGACTACCGTTTTGAGCTCTGGTCTGCGTTTCTCAATGCGATACGAAAACTTGGCCCGGGGAAGATGCTTCCAAGCAAAAGTCCATCTACGATGTCATGCAGGCTTGTAGCGAGGTATCATGCGTGTGATGCTGTCCTCAGGAGTTGTTTTGCCTTTCCGAGACGTCTTGGACCCGGCGTGTCACGACGACGGCAAGACGGCAAGAATATCCCCTACATAGGCTTCCTGACAATGGAGAGGCACAAGCAAGCAAGCAGGAAAGGGGTGTTGCGCCCTTTCTGCGTCTGCCGGCGTCAGGACGGTCTGAATCCAGCCACTCCAAGGCCGCCCGAGGGTTGCTCAATTCGGGATTGAATCCATGGGGAAGCTCTCTCAACCGACAATGCTTAGAAACCCCGGATACAATTTCCCGCAAAACCACGCAGCAGCCCAGCTTTTGGTTTGCAGCTTCGTCCCCGTCCCAGAGTGCCGGGATCAGAGACGCCAGTTGCACGGGGTAAGTAAGTGTCACTGGAAGAAAGGGGGGATTCGTAACTCTGGACATCCCCTAGAGCGAACCTGAAGCTGTCTCCTGATGTCTCATCCGAGCTTACGAGACTTTAATCTCAGATTCTTTCTTTCCTCGTTCCCATCTGCGTCTGAGATGGCACATGCATGGAAGACGAACAGCCTGCTTAACAGCCCACTGTCTTGTCAGTACGAGCTTCCCCCATGACGTGTGTATTTCGCGACGCTCACGGTTCGAAGGAATGTCGGTCGGTCGTGGTATCTGGTATTTACGGAAAAACAGGTGTTGCTCGTTTAGTGAGGACATACTGTGACGAGAGGCGCGGATGGTGATGCTCCGTAATTCGGGGGCAAAGGTGTGACTCTACCAACCTCTCACGGTCTCTTCCCGTTCCCGTTCGTTTCTTTGTTTTCCTCGATCATGCTTGCAATCTGGACAGGTGACGCCCTCAGTGCGACCCACACAGGTCGAGGAAATTACGCGAGTCGTTGTTAAGGGAGTCTTCGACTTGCAACTTGAAGAAGTGTGAAGCTAGAGGTGTGAGGTGATAGCGTTGTGCATATGCCAGGGGTGATGTTCAGCTTTGGGTGACCCTCATACAACTCTCTGAGCACGCTTCTTGCGCACGATGATGGAAACACTCTCGTCGAACTCGTGCAGCTTCAACCTTTTGTGAACATCCGTCTTCGGGATCCGACACTTGCAGGCAATAACATCAAGGGTGGTGACTTCCGCAACACCGCAATTCTCAAGCTTGAGGTTGACAATGCCTTTTTGTATGGGTGTTCTGGACTCGGCCCCTACAAGGAGCCGTATGGCATTGACTGAGGCATATATTCATTTTTGGTTAACATTTATTCATCCCCGGAATTAACCTCCTGTCTTCGCCTTTTCATTGGAAGAGGATAACTAAATCATACCGTGGACGGTTAGACTCTATTGTCATCCCGACTTGTTTCCTCTCCGTGCTACTTCGAATACAAGGACATGAGAACAAAGACCCAAGGAAAAGCAATATGAAAAAGGAAACTTTCTTTTTTATGGTTTCAAATTGGATGATGCTATTACAGGACCACGGAGACTATCTGAGAAACTATGATAGAAACCCGCTCATGATGATGGTATGTTGTACAGTCCAATGCAATACAGCGCTTTGTGATGTTTTTTTGAGACCCGGAACTAGAAACTTCGCACCCAACACCGTTCAGCATGCTTATGAATTGAAAGGAACGTCACTTTCGTCGTCGTAAGGTGAGAGAAGTTTTGGAGATGGTAAGGAGCGTGGAAATAGCCAAGGAGGGATTGTTGAATGCACTGTATGTAGATGGTTTGGCTGCATGACAGTGCTGCGAGGTCGAAACGTCGTGAGTAGCTGGTGTTGTATCCTCGGATGATGTTGTGTTAAGAGGTTGTCGTTTCGTCGCTAGCTCTCCGTGGAATCCTGCCCATTTACAGCTGCTCCATTTTACTCCTGGCTGATTTCGATTCTCTTCGACGTCTTCGCCTTTTGCAGCTTGGGGACGACGATGCTCAGGATGCCGTTCTTCATGCTGGCTCGGACTTTCTCGTGGTCGACCGGGTTGGGGAAGGAGAACGAGCGGGCGAACTCACCGACGCTGCGCTCCGACACCCAGTAAGTGTGTTGCGGTTCGGCCTTGGACACTTCCTTGGAGCCGGTGGTGGCTACCTCTTTGCTGCCCGACGTCGTGGCTTCGTCTTTCTTCCCCTCAACGGCTTTGGCTTGGTCCGGCTTGGTGCCCTCCTCGCGGAAGCTCTCGGTCCTGCCCTTCACCGTCAGAGTCTGTTCGTCGGCAAACTCGATGATGACGTCCTTCTGGTCGATGCCGGGCAGTTCTCCCTCGAGGATGTAGCTGTCCTTGGCTTCCTTCACGTCAAATTTAGGCGCGAAGGTCCGGGACGCGTTGTCGGACAGCTTCTGGAGTTCCGAGAAGGTGTCGTTGAAGAGATTGAAGAAGGGGCCCAACTCAGAGCGGTAGGGGCCGAATGAGGATGGGATGCGCGGGAAGAGAGCCATTGTTCTGGTGTGAGGAGTTGTTCGCTTTGGTTTGGAGATGCTCGAGATTGCTGGAGTAACTCGGTGTGGAAGTCTTCGAAGGGTATTAGACATGAAGTGTTCTGATGATCTGATCTGGTCTGGCGAAAGAAACAGTCTGAAGGGAGAGAGGTGAGGTCTGATTTATAGACCTGAGGCACCGCAGGCCGACACCTACGACGGTGGAACGCACCTGGACGACCCCAGGATACGGAAGTGTGCAGAAATGGCGTGAGGTTTCTAGAGAGTTCAGTCGATTCCGCTTCTGGACTCTCGAAGTTGCTAGTTCTCAAAATGGTGTTGTCCACAAGCACGTCCCTGGCCCCGCCATGGTCGCGGTGATCTTGCCCTCCGCTGAGGATCACGGTTTGCACAAAGTGATGTTGCCCATCAGGTGAAACGAAGCACATTCAGATTGTGGCGTCATTACAAGTATTGACCCCATAGATGTGTCTGGAAATTTCGGGCGGTGACTCCAGGCGGGCTCTTAGCGGTGGCTGAGAATCCACTCCCCCGCACCGAGCTTTCTAGACACACCCATGGGTCCCGGCCACCTATTGGATAGGCTATGACCCCAGTGGCAGGCTGAACGCCACAGAAACTTCCGTGGGGCCTACTTTTGCGGTCATTACAATGGAGAATCATCACGATACCATCACCATGGCTAACTCCTGCCTGCGCCCTCTAGCATCAAAGAGGAACTGTGCTGGAAAACGGCAGAAAGTCAGGTAATTCCCCGGTTTTGCCATCCACTCCTCGACGTGGCCAGCGACACTAACCGCGACACGCTGTCATCCAGGGCCCCTTTCCCCAGTCCTTTCGGCACCATTCTCCCTAAACTGGGTACTGTATTGCCTCCTTCCGACGGCCAAGCACAGGTTACAACGAAAGCGCAAACCTGCCCAAGCGTCGTGGCAGGGGATCGTCATACGCGAATGCCTCCAAGTCCAGCACGCCATCCCCGTACCTTTCCACTGTCGCCCCAAGAATTCCATGTTTCACATACGCGAGACCTCCTCACAACGACTCTTGCCTCCTTCTTCCATATTCTAGCCGCGTCGGGAACTGTCATTTCTTCAGGCAGAACTCTCATCAGAGACATCAGCTGAAGCGGTCGTCACGCCGTGGACCTGCCGCTGCTGCTAGTCGTGGCAGCGATGGTGGATGAGGTGATCGTCACTGTGCTGCGAGCTGCCCCAGCATGTGAGAATATCCCTAGGCGGTGAGCTGAATGGGGTAGTGGCGGTTGCATGGGGTTTTCGTTACGTGGCATAGAATATGATGGAGGTTACCAACACGGTTGATTGGGTAGGAGCTTGATTCCTCATCCTGTGTGTTGTTGACCTCATGAAACAAAAAGAGATGGATTGCGTAACGTAGCGTAGAATGCTGTCCTTCTGATACCAAGTTGATGACTGTAGCATTGAATCATAAGCTGTCTACTATCGAATACCTTACATTCTCGGGCGCCAATCGAGGCGTCCAGTGCTTCAGGTTTTGCTTGATATTTCTTTCACCTATGACCAAGGCATATTGTCAGTCCCGGAGGCACCACGGGATGTGAGAGGAACATGGGGAGCAATGATATGATGCTATAGAAGCTGGAGGGTTACAAGCCTCCATCCAGGTTCTCAGAAGGGATATCTCTGGAGCTCTCCGAACAAAACTAACTACATGCCGTCGCTTGACAGGAAAGGAATGGACTGATGAGGGGGACAGTGTATTTGACTGTAGAATCTTTCATCAAGATACAATGTATTAGTACTAGAAGTTGAGTAAATCACAAACAGCCTCGCCAAGATGGCTTTTATCCCTCAGATTGATGTCCTCTCGTAACCCACCATCAAGGTCTTGTACACCGGTGTAGCCTTGGACATATTCGCTTAACGCGCCACAAAGACAGTTGATCTGAAACACAAGGCAGTTACAATACCGCGCCGTTCCACGTGTTCCTTTCGAACCCGTTATTTTTCGACGTCTTCTGGGAAGGGGCCTAAGCCTGGCCACCCAGTCTGAGTGTCGGTGCTCTTCTTGCTGGCATGGGACGTCGTCGATTCTCTCCTTGCCGGCTCAGACTCCTTTCCTTTCGCCACTGAGTTTTGTCTTGACGTCGATGGGGCACCTGAGTCGGATGCTGTGGGAGCTTCGGGTGTGCTCGATGTGTAAGTACCAAGACCCGGCCAGCCCCAGGAGTTATCTAGTTCATGGGAATGCTCGCCCATGTTGTTTTCGTTGAGTTTGGATGAGGCTACGGCCTGCAACGAAGGACTGAGTGAGCCGTTGTTGCCTGATTCGCCGTTTGCGGAGACAGTTTGTGGTTGACTTTGGCTGCCGCCAGGTAGCTTCTCATGCTCATGCGCAAGCGAGTGCCGGATCGAGTCCATGATGTGACTAAGCTTTGAGTCACGCCTGTGATGTGGTTCAGCAGCGACCGGGTTTTCTGTGCCGGCCGGCGAGTCTGAATGGTGGCCGGCGAGTGAGCTCAAGTTAAATTTGGTCATTGTTTCGCGGTGTTTGTTGTTGGCAATATTTGCTTGGGTGATTCCCAATTCGATCGTAGTATGTAGAAGAGTTTCTTTGGTTTGTGCTTGGTAGTTGGTGGAGATGACAAGGGCCTAAAGATGGTGAGTGCCAATTCCTTTTATATGGGCAAACTCTATCAACTATTTCAGTCACAAAGAAGCAATAACATTCGGTAGTATTGGACGGGTGTCACGAGGAGTGCTTCAATGGACAGATTCGGCTAGGAGGAACCATGAACTCCATCGAATGACTGGTAATACAAAAGGGATCACGTTACCAGGCCGTATAGCCCGACAGTCACACCACAAACATGTCAGTCTTCGGCGGCTGTGGCCGAAATCGCGCATAACGGGTAAATCCCGTCCACGTTCACCAATCATGAGATTCTGGTGCTGAATGGCTGTCAGAGCATAATGAGCAAATTGATCATCAGATCTGGACGAAATACGAGTACTGTAGCCTGCGACAAGATTGATGTGAAGGAATGCAAGATGCGTGGTGGGAGCCGAAGGGGAGAATTCTTACTTGGTTTTCCAAGATACACATGATGTCAGCGATTTCAAATGACGAATGTCAGACACGTCCTCGGTATCTCGATAACCACCACCAAACAGAAGAAACACCACCTCACTTGAATGAATTTCCTGCCCATAGCTTGCGCGCTTGTCGGTTGGTTATCGTATCCAAGGCCTACTGCTTTGATGGAGGCTCCCCGGTGTCATGCACCAATATTCATGGCATATTGCCCCTGGATTCTCAAATGGCCGGCGGAATTAAGAGCAGAACATACTTCGAGGCTTCGGTGAGCAACCCCAGAATAAGTCTGTCACTCCCAGGGACTCACTGCTACGGCTCCCAAGTACTTATATCCTCGCATCAGCGGTGTCACCAGCCTCTATGGCTGTTGTACTGACCAACATCTAGCCTCAGCTGTTATTCATCTGCGTCATAATGCGCGATTATATGAGTACGTCTTATGCTGAAGAGGAACATTGCCCAGTATCGGAAAAGTGATCCCGGCTCATACGGATGTTGTGATGCTCCGGGAAACGGTTCACGGATAACCTTTTGTCCTTCCGGTGTGCTAACACAGGAACAGGCGTCAAGAATCAGCCCCCAGTCATTCTCGACGATTGTAGTAATGACTGAGGGTTGGTTTGCTTCTCTCAGCAGCAGCGTTATAACAGTCATCTAGATGGTGCTGCCTTTGACTTCTCCTCTCAGAGGCTTCTTGTATAGGCTATTCTCGACCAAAAGAAAATGCAACCCCGAGCCCCTTGCCATGATATCAGACGAAAGTTCTCTGTGCGAAGTCCTATTGTATTGATATACCTGGAGCTACTGACATCGTATATCATTGGCTAACTGAACCCATATCTGGGGTTAAGATCTCCCCTGACGTTCCTCACTTCTCGTTACACTGATCGATTTCTAGGTCAAAGCGAGTATACCTATGGTGCTTCGTTTACCACTCATGCACCCGATCCCGCAAACTCGGCCGAGTCTGAAATGTAAGAAATTCGTTTTGGCTGCTCGCTGCTACAGCTTCTCGTGCCAACCTCGATTTCGTCCAAGCCCCTAGGTCAGGGGTACATCAGATACAATCGGAGGACTTTGAAAGGAAACACTGGCAACTTGTCACTGCACAACCTCGGTCATTAGGTCGTCCGGCCACCGTGGTGCATCTTTGCCATTGCCTCTGGTCCCGACATTATAACCTAGGCGGACCTGGTCATTGTCAAATTTGATAATTGGTTTGATCGTGCGCACAACGGCATCAATGGCTTTGGTCGGTCGATCTTCAAAGAATGAGGGCTGGAAGATCGTGCCGTTCTTTGTGATCATCTCCATATATCGGGGTATCAGGTAGTTCATGTTGTTGTAACATCTGGTCGACCAGTAAGTTCAGTGACTCCCTTCCGCCGGCAAGGCCAGAGCGCAGAGGAACTGTAACAAGCAAAGATACTCACCTGAAAACTGGTTTGCCGTTTCTCTTCCAGACATCTTGCCAGATCTCATCGGGATACTCTCCCACTGAGTTTGCCAGCCACTGATTGTAATAGTTAAGCGCGATGTCCACCTTGAAACTGCCGCCTTCTTCGGCACGCCTCATCAAAGCGCACAAGATTCCAGTAACTCCGGCAATGCCCGTCATATAGTCGCTGTTGGGGAAGACCGGTGTGACAGGCTCGTCGTTCATCAAGCCCATGGCTTTGCCGAAGCCTGCGGAGATGCCGACGCAGGCATCGCTGATCTGCTGCCATCCGGAGCGATAGTACCAAGGACCATTCCAGCCGTAGCAGTTTTCCCGGACCGAGATGATGCCACGCTCCCGATCCTTTACCAAGTCGATAATACCTTGTTGGCCGAAGCCATACTTGTCAAGCACACCCGGTCGGTAGCCCTGGACCACGACATCGGCCTCCTTGATGAGGTCTCGCAGCTTCTCTTTGCCCTCTTCTGTCTTCAGGTCGATACTGCATTGCCATTTGCCCCAGCTGAGGTCAATGTGTAGCGAGCTGAAATCTACAAGGTTGGGGGAGGTGACCCGCATCACGCTCGCACCTAACTCCGCGAGACCTCGAGTCACAGCTGGAGCGGCAATAACGCGTGTCAGATCAACCACCTTGAGTCCTGCGAGGGGTCTGGCTGCCGAAGTCTGAGGGGTTGACGGCCACCACGAAGGCTTCTGTGCAGGATTTGGGGCAGAGTGGATTTCGAAGAGCCCGACATCAGCATTTGCCTTGCCGTGTTCACTGGCCCGGAAGGAGTCGACCGTCTCCGCGATGACGCCGGCTTGTTTGTAGACGTCAGATGCGAGATGCTGCATCTCGGCCGAGTCGATGGTGGCCATCTTCTCGATGAACGGCTGCATCGCTTCCTCCCAGGTCTTAAGCTCTGGACGGTCTTCAGGCAGACCGATGCTGTCGAGGGATGGCTTCGGATTCATGCTGCCGTGAAGGTGGAAATAGCGACCATCCTTCGTCTGGTAGATGTTGGTCACACAGAGCTTGTACAGACTCGATGCCATCTTATGGAAGTCGTAGTTGGGAATCATGTCGTACATCTTCTCTATGTTCTTGGAGAGGGTAATGGTGTGGTCCGTGTCGGGGTTGATCTGCCAGATCAGCGTCGACATAAAGAACAGCTGGGCGTGGTCGGTGTTGATCTCTGCCCCGGTGAGTTCAACATTGTATTTGCGCTTCACGAGTGCGGAGATGATGCATGCTTCGAAGGCTTTTAGACTCGCAGCCGACTCGGCGAAGCGCCAATTGATGGGGATCGAGGGCAGGTCGCTGCCCTTGAACGTGATGCGTGAGGCAAATTCACGAGCTTCCCTGGGAATGTCTTTGGCGATCTTGGGATTCTCCAGCAAGCCTTCGGTCAACAGCTTCTTTGATTCTGTGGGGATGGAATAGGAGGACAAGATGTCCGATAGCGAGGCGTCGACGCTACCCATCGTGGCCAGATATTGACCGCGTTCTTCTCCTTCGATATATGTCACAACTCAGCTTTGGCCTTTCCGGCTTCCGACTCTGACAGCAACTCAACCGCCGAAGAGAGAGATTCTAAAGATGGCAGAAGATGAGAAGAACCTATACAACGTAGTATTTTTCTCCGATCTGAACTTGTGCTTCAGTAATGCGATATGCTCTCCTCAGCATGAAGCATTGCATAGACTCAGCCTTCAACAACGCTAGGCGAACCTCGGCTCAATAGAGGGTAAAGCTATGCTTATTTTTCGAGGCTCACTAGGCAAGCTCGAGCGCCTCGTCGTTTGACTTTCGGATCGGGTATTTAGGGACAATGACTCGCCTCCTATTGTGTGGGGGAATCCCGGACATCCATCCCCATCTTCAGGATGCGGAGAGGGGTAGATATGGACCGAGGCAGACGACGAGATGATTGGATATGCTTCGAGTCAAGGCCCATGAGTCGAAGAACAGGTGCTGCTCCGTCCAGTTGTTTGCCTCGGAATACCTCAAGGGGCGTTTTCAGGTTTGCAGAGTGACGCCCGGGATATCGGCATCGCATTCATTGTTCGTCAGAGAAGGCTTACATGAACGTTGCGAGGATAACTATGATGCTTCCGTTCCCGGGCTGGAAAAGGAGAGATTCTCCCACTTTGGGCCGAACCACATTCAGAAAGTAGTCGGTCGTGGCGGCGACTGATCCTCAAGACCTTCTCAGCAGCTACTTAGTGACAGAAGCACCACCTACAGCTGGTACCTACCGTGTGTCCGCAGCCTGCCATTCTATAACAACTATTTACAAGCAAGATGGGCGACCCAGGACCAGCCTCGATCCCTGCCACGCGACCTTGTCGCATCGCCAACTGCTCCGGAGCGCGTGGTGATCCAGGATACCAGATGCTGCGCCAGGCCACTTATGGACCTGTAGACTTCATCACGGGCGACTACCTGGCGGAGATGAATCTCGCAGAAAATGCCCAGAAGATGGCAGCCGGCAAGCATGACGGCTGGGAACCGACTGCGTGGGATGGCCTTGAGCAGACGCTCGATGTGATCAAAGACAAAGGAATCAGGATCATCATCAATGGTGGAGCGCTCAACCCCAAAGGTTTGGCGAAGAAGACGCAGAAACTCGTCAATGAGCGAGGCCTGAATCTGAAGATCGCCTATGTCTATGGCGACGACCTGATGGAGGAAGTCAAGAGCAGCCTGGAGAAGACCGGGAAGCTGCCACAGCATCTGGACGGAGAAAACGAGAAAGTCTCGCTGGCAGAACACGCCACGGACTTGTTGGACACCAAGGGGAAGCCTATCGTCAGTGCAAACGCATACCTTGGTGCACGCGCCATTGTCAAAGGCCTCGAGCTGGGGGCAGATGTCATTATCTGCGGAAGAGTGGCAGACGCATCTCCAGTCATAGGAGCAGCCTGGTTCTGGCACAAGTGGTCCGACACAGATCATGACCGTTTGGCGGGAGCATTGGTGGCAGGACATCTGATCGAATGCTCTGCATACGCCACGGGGTCGAACTTCTCAGGATTTGATGAATACCCCTTGGAAACATTCGTGGACCTGTCTTATGGGATTGCAGAGATCGCAGATGATGGTACCTCGATCATCACCAAGCACGAGGGGACCAATGGCCTCGTCAACGAGGACAACGTCAAGTGTCAGTTTTTGTATGAACTCCAGGGAGGCACTTACCTCAACTCAGATGTCTCTGCCGACACGACGGACATCAAAATCACACAGGTCGGCAAGAATAGAGTCAAGCTGTCCAACATCAGAGGATACCCACCGCCGCCAACCACCAAGCTGGCCATCTTTTATCACGGAGGCTACGAGGCGCAGCTGCTCACCAACGCAACCGGGTATGCGACCGCCGAGAAATGGAGGCTGTTCGAGACACAGATGCGGCATGCTCTCGAGCAGAAGGGCCTCAGTGACCAGTATCAGCTGTTGGACTTCCAGATCCTGGGCACTCCGGCGGCAAACCCACGATCCCAGTTCTCCAGCACCACGTACTGCCGACTGTTCGTCCAAGCCGACACAGAAGCCGCGATATACGGGTTGGTGAAGGCGTGGAGTGAGATCGCCATGCAGCACTTCTCCGGGTTCCATCTCTCGCTGGACTACCGAACCGCGCTTCCGCGATCTTACCTCGCCTTCTACCCGGCCCTGTACCCGCAGAACGATCTGAAAGAGGGCGTAGCAATCCTGTCCGCGGACGGCGAAGACGCCCAGACCGCCGACGCCGGCCATCCTCCCAAGTACCAAAAATTGGCACCACGTGAAAACTACGAGACCGCACATCCCGTCGACCTGGCCTCCTTTGGACCCACACGCAAAGCGCGTCTCGGAGACGTGACCCTCGCCCGCTCAGGCGATAAAGGAGCGAATATCAACTTCGGCGTCTTCGTCCGTCGTGCCGAACACTACCCGTGGCTGCAGACCTTCATGACCCGGTCGAAACTCCAAGAACTCATGGGCGACGACTGGGAGGACGACTTCTTCATCGAGAGGATGGAGTTTCCCAACATCTGGGCGGTGCATTTTGTCATTTACGGACCCCTGGGCCGTGGCGTGAGTAGCTGCCGCCTCCTGGACGCGCTGGGCAAGGGCTTTGCGGATTACATCAGGGATAAGGTGGTGGATGTTCCGGAAAAGTTCCTGGGAGAGGTCGATGCCGTGAAGAGGGAAAGGAGAGCCATGTTGTGAGTGGTTGTTATTTATGACGGCAGCATTATTTTTTGTGCAACTTCTCCACCAGGCAGTCAGTAGTGTGTAATGCCGCTGCCAAGTAGGGAATTTGGAAATGCCAGAAACACTCCTCCTATCTTTCGCAATTCACGTCTCCTTTATCGGGTCAAGATCTGATCTTGGTTAGGCTGTAGAGGCGGTACCACTAGTGACGCGTTTGTTTTTCTCATTTATGTCTAGCGTGCCTAAGTAATCACCTCTACATGCCTCTGAGCACCCACTGAGGGTTCTTACTGTACATATGTTCCGAGTAGCATGTGCACCTGGTTTTAGCCGAAGATCGCGAGGCTGTGACTTGTGCGAGGGCAACTCCACCGGAGCAATATTTTTCCGAGAGAAGAATTTTAAGCCGAGGTTCATCAGGCTGTCGCCACGTTGTTATGTAATGTGGCGCCGCATTGACGACGGACTGAGCCACAAACCACCAGCTCGATGAAAGATTTCGATCGATCGTCGAATTGTCAAATTTCCAAGACGAACTTTACTATACTGAGAGGTTCTCCGATAACCCTCAGGTTCCTAACGGCCGAGAGTTCACCACGGCCAAGCTATTCGAGATGGGACCAGATCAGCCTTGTACAGCTAGCTTGTCGTCTCTCCTGTTCCTGGCCACGTATCAACCATGTGCAAACGTTGATACCATTGGGAAGATAAGGGCGAGCTCGGCACAATCGTTCCGAGATGTGCCATTTGTGTGACCCTTACTTTCAAGGGGGGCTGGCTATGTACAACCCCGGGGAAAAATTGTCGTGAATGCGCCCGATGTCCGACGGTTGCAAGGTTATCCACGGCGACACCGACGTTACTAAGACAGATGCCTTCTTTTTATCGATACCGCCTTTGACAGGCCCACCTTGCGCTGGCCGGATTTGAGCAGCATCCAAGATTTGACTGTGGAGTCCGACCGAAGGTTGAAGTTGCTTCGACCAGCTACATGACCTTCGGATATGGCCTTTCTTCTCCTCCACCCCTGGGTGTGATGCAATCATGTCTCGTGGACCCCCCTGCTGGGGGCGTTTGACTCTTCTTAAAGAACGCATAACTGCGCCGTGGGCCCTCAATGGTGGTGGTGGTGGCCGCCGTGTTTTTGCTCGTTTCAGGACGCTCGTCATTCTTTCAACCGGACGATTGATAGATATACACGATGGCTGAGAAGACGCGTGACTATGAAGACTCCTCGACGCCTCGGACGCTGTCGTTGTTCCGGCTGGTAGCCGATCAAGCTCGAGTCACGGAGGAAGTATTGAACTATCCATATCCCGGATCAGGCACCGCAGAGGATCCCTATCTCGTCACTTACATACCCAATGACCCGGGCAATCCGTTCAACTGGGCGGCAGGAAGGCGTTGGACCATCAGTCTGATCGTGGCGACGGAAGTACTCGCTACGGCATTTGCGTCGAGTGCGTTCAGCGGTACGTCTACGACCTCCCAGCTGTTTCTCTCTTGCCCTGGAATCATCGTGGCTAATTGTCTGCTGTTTCAGGAACCCTGCGCGAGCTCATCATCGACCTCGGCGCCAGCACAGAGCTGATAACCGCCGGCATATCCCTCTTCGTTCTCGGCTTCGCGGTCGGGCCACTCTTGTGGGCACCGCTGTCGGAACTCTATGGCAGACAGATCATCTACATCATCAGCTTTGGCGGGTTTACAGCCTTTTGTGCTGGCTGTGTCGGCGCCAATGACATCGGAACGCTGCTCGTCTTACGCTTCTTCGCCGGATCCTTTGGCTCATCTCCCTTCACCAACGCTGGGGGTGTCATCGCCGACGTTTTTCCAGCGTCACATCGAGGGTTGGCCATGGGTATCTTTGCCCTGGCGCCTTCGATGGGGCCGACGCTGGGCCCATTCTGCTCGGGGTTCCTGGCTGAGAACCAAGGCTGGCGATGGGTCATGGGCCTCTTGACCATCTTCAGCGGCGTCATGTGGATTCTCGGGGCGATCTTCGTGCCCGAGACCTACGCACCGGTCATCCTGCGCAAGAGAGTCGCGAAGCTGTCGAAAGTGACCGGCAAGGTGTACATGTTGGAATCAGACAAAGGGAAGGGTGCTCCGTCGCTGAGGTCTCTTCTGCCCACCGCGCTGATTCGGCCGTGGATTCTGTTGTTCATGGAACCGATTGTTCTGTTGCTGTCGCTCTACATTGCCATTGTCTACGGTATGCCACTTTGTCTTGTCCATCTGTTCGTTGTGGACCAAAACTAACGAGACTCTTCCCAGGTACTCTGTATCTCCTGTTCGGGGCGTATCCAATCGTGTTCCAACAAGTCCGCGGATGGTCGGAAGGCGTCGGAGGGCTTCCATTCCTCGGCGTCGCCGTTGGCATGGTCTCCGGGATCGTCTTCGCTAGCTGGACGAATAAATGGTACACCGACGAAGCTGAGGAACACGGCGGCGTCGCTCCGGCTGAGGCTCGACTGCCACCCGCAATGTACGGAGCGGTGGCGATCCCCATTGGACTGTTCTGGTTTGCCTGGACCAACTACGCGTCCATCCACTGGATCTCGCCCGTCCTGGCCGGCATCCCCTTTGGCTTTGGTTTCACCGTCATCTTCCTGGCCGTCACCAACTATCTGATTGACGCATACACCATCTTCGCGGCGTCCGTGCTGGCGGCCAACACGGTGCTCCGATCCCTCTTTGGCGCCGCTTTTCCTCTCTTTACGCCAGACATGTTCGACGCCTTGGGCATTCACTGGGCAAGCTCGATCCCGGCGTTTCTCGCGTTGGCATGCGTGCCATTCCCGTTCATCTTCCGGAAGTACGGAGCCCAGATCCGCCGCCGCTGCGTGTACGCCGCGCAGGCCGAGGCCATCATGGCCGAACTGCGTGCCAAGGCCGCCGCGCGCGCCCAAGAGGCACCTCTTAAGTCCGAAGAGGAATCCACGCGGAGATGGTCGTCGAGCAGAACCGACTCAGAGGAAGAGGAGTTTGAGCAAGATCTCGGGACTTCCGAAGCCAAGTTCGAACCGATCAAAACTAGGAGGTCTTTTGCGTCGGAAGTGAGCGCCGCTGCAGCATCGTTGACCCGGACCAAGTCCAAGGCCGGCAGCATCAGCGAGGCGGCAAACTATAACGCCAGCCCGTACGACATCGACCGGGTGAACACGTCGACGTCGCTGGCGGGATTGGATCTGACGCGGACACGCACCGCTCGCTCCGGCGGCAACCACTAATGAGATTTCTCACACATCGGTTGGTTGCTTGGCCGGCTGGGTGTTGTAAAAGGTTGATAGGGTGCATGGCTTTGGCATCGGCTTGTTCTTGGATTTTTATACGAACGGTGGAAGAGGCGCAGGTCATCGTCGTCGCCCCGTATGACTGACTGACTGACTGACTTACTGCATACTACTTACTATAGAGTGTATATTAGCCGAACATATCCATATATATACATAATACTGCTCATCCAACATTAACTGAATCTGTCCTGCGTCAAACATGCCCAGGAGCATTGAGAATAGCTATCCCGCCTTTATTTATTGATCCTCCCAAGGCCGTGTGAAAGCCCCAACCATTGCTACACCTCCATACCTTCACGTCCCTTTTTACAGGGTGTTCGGTCTGGCGGATCGGACTCGACTCACCTGGAACCCTGTCCATCTGTGTGGGTGGCTTTACCTGGTGCGTACTGTACCTTGGAGAAAGCCCCAGTAAAGACTGATAACAAGGAAAGAGAACTTGAAACTAGGACTATTGGCTATATGGCAATACCAAAGCCGCACTGACTCTATAGATTATTGGTCAGACTGTTCGAGATTGATGATGTCCGCACAGAGCCCGGCAAAGAGAACCATCAATGATGTAGGAAATACGGCAAGAAGTAACCCAGGCTCAGCATATATTCATATCGGTAGTACCGACTCCTTGGTAAAATACACGTCTAGTAGAACTACTGCGTACATGCTTGCTCCCACAGCCGCCTTCCTAAGATCGTCCTGCACAGTGTGACCAGGGCAAGAAAATCCGCTGTTCTCCTTGGACAAATCAAGCCCAGATCAAATCTTGTGGCATGGACAGCCAAAGTACAAGTCCGTTGAGCAGTTGGGGGTCTAAAGCCCGAGGTAAGGAAGCCAGGAAGACCCTGTCAAACCAACCCCTTCGTTCTCAGCTGCAGCTGTTCGTAGGTCGCGTGCAGCATAAGATTCTGCGGCACTTTTCCTTCACCGGCTGGACAGCATGGTTCTCCAATAGGCATTGCCAGGGGAGAATAAACAAAATGGGCCAGGAGACGCAACTCTCCATGGTCCATAGGGGTAGTTCCGCGGATGTCATTTATGCCGTCTCAGGGTTTTCGAGGGGTAATCATCACCAGGTGCTTGCGTAACTTCGAGCACCAAATCGTCTCCATAACCCGTAAAGCTCGACACCATAGGGCGTAGAGAGTTATTGAAAAGCGAAGCCAACAATCAGTGATCGGCCAGAGATACGGACTAGCGTGTCTTCGGCCTCACCTAAAACCAACAATGCGGCCTGATTGTCAGCCGCTACTATCTATCGTCCTTTGGTCGAGGCGTGTTGATCCGGTGATATTGAGCCCTTCTGATGGGAGGCCTCTCTGACAGAGTTGCGTCAAACAGGCTGGACACCATCCTTTCAGATCATATCGTAAGACAGATGTCCAGACTCTCATTCAACATGGTCAATGTCGCCCGATACTGATGCCATATCTGCCGTCTAGACTCAACGGCCTGGGAAGTGTTCGAATTCTTGACCCTGGATGGCCCGCTTCGTCAGTCCCATCCCTCAATAAAGGGCACAGGCGTAGAATTTGTCCGTTTACATACAGCTTTTTGTCCAGACCTTTGATCTTCCAAAACTGCAAATGCAGCAGATTCTTCAAGATCCTGTGCTCGAATCCATTGTACTTTCTTGCATTCTCCAAGAACTTCAGGGTATTCTGTACGCGTCGGAGATTGAAATTCGCAGGCGATGAGGTGCGGAATGAATCGCGTAGAATGTCGCGGATCTCGTAGCGTGCAGGGTGTGCATATCTGACTGCACGAAGGGAGGTGCGATAGAGGTGTCGGTAAGCATGGATAAGGGACTGTTTCGGGACGGGCGTGCTCATTGAGATGGGTTATATCAGCTGTGTTGCTTGGGCGTAGCGGTTGTGTTGAAATAGAAGTGACTGGTGTTTTACAAGCCGCGGATTTAATTGGTAACCCGCATCGGGGGCGAGGGAGACGCCGCCCTGTGCTCACCCCCGCTCGCGCGTGCCTGAGCCGAGGCTGTGATTGGTCGTCGAGGATGCTTAAATCACGTGATACAAAACCGGCCCCTCAGCTACGCGTCATGCCTTCAGTCGCGCTTCAAACCTTCCTGTTCCCTAAATCACAATGGCGGCACCCCTTCATAGACACCAGTCATCCTTGCAGGGCTTCGTAGACTTCTCGTCCTCTACCGTTCTGACGCCTGATCAATGTAGTCGGGCAACCAAGATCTTCAACCAGCTCGTCTCTCGATACGAATCTATCCAAGATGAGCGTACGGCGTACAAATATATCACCCTGCTCCGAACTGTCTATGAATCAGTTGTCTCCAAAGGTCATTTCCTTAGCCACTTCTTCTTATTCATCGATGCAGAGCTTCGATATGGACAGGATGCTCCTACGCCAACATTTGCCGAAATCTTGTCTCAGTTCGACAGTCTACATTCGTGGAGCCACGTACAATCAGATGAGCTCCAGGACACCCTCGCTAACTTTTCAGACTACCTTGTGAACAATTTCTTCCTGCCACGTAACGGATACACGTACTTCTCGTGCATGAATATGGAATTCTAACACTGTTACAGTCAAAGCATCTGGCCGGAAGACCCCTCAACCTACCCCTACCAGTCTCAGCCTCCCCCAAAGCCCCGACAATGTTGTTGGCACCACACAACGCCTTGCACGTCTGCGGCAGCAGTGTCTTACTCGCGATCGCTACCGATGTGTTATATCCCGCAAGTTTGATTTGAATGAAGCGCTGTCACGCTGGAACAGAGACGGTGACGATTCGAAGGATGACGATGGGCTTCCGCTTAAAGATGAAAGACCTGAATATTTGGAAGTCGCACATATACTGCCTCACTCCCTCACGTCCCTCACAGGCGATGTTGAGGATTCACAATTGGTATGTGTTTCGCACTGTTGCAATATTTGGTGCTTTCCATTGACGACATGATTAGAGTGAATCAAAAAGAATTGCCCTCCAGGTATTGAAAATGTTCGATCCTGATGCTGGACACCTCGTTGAAGGACCTGATATCGATAGATCGATCAACGCAATCGTACTGACGCATAATTGGCACCAACAAGTGGGGGATTTTACGGTATCCTTTCAACCTACGATTGATCAGTCTCCACACTCCTACAAGATCGATTACATTGACCCGAATCGACCTTTCCGTGATCCTTTACTCCCTGTCAATCGCCAACTTTATATCACTCCAACGAAGACCATCGATCCCCCTGCTCCCCGTCTTCTAGCTATTCATCATGCTATCGCGCGTATTCTGCATCTGAGTGGCGCGGGAGGTTATATCGATCGCATCATTCGAGATATGGAAGAATTAAGCATCAAGGAAGATGGATCCACCGCCCTTGGACAATACGCTCACTTGAAGATAGGTGGTTGGTTTGACGGGATTCCAGTTTGTTAAATCACTGGGACACGATCAGACTTTCTCCAATCCTTCCCTTGTATCATTCAAAGCATATGTTCTCGGTTCTTCGGTTCGGAAACAGGGTCAGGTGGCGTCTATTTATGACTTCAATGGCATTGCATTCATTACTTGTACCAACGTATTAAAAACCATCAAGCACCACTGGTTGCCATTTCTTTTTACGCTGCGCTTTCGCAGCTTTGGGCCGTGAAACCCCTTCGCTCGTTTCGTCACGAGTGACCATAGACATGATCACCCAAACATTTTCTCCTTTATTCTCTCTGAATCTTGCCCATGCCTTTCCAGCTTGATTGTGCGCTTGATCAAAGCTTTCATTGATCAGCCTAGGAAATGGCTCCCGTGACTCTGGTGCAGAAATTGATGTGTCTCTCTGGTCAACTCTTGGTGACAACCTGGTCTTGAGGTTTTGGACACCGACAACCGACCACGGGCCGTTTGTAGGCTCTGGCATAGAGTCTGTGACGATTGCGGGACTCACCAGCGGCGGGAACGCGAGATTCGTAGAAGTGATGGAGGACATGGAGAATGCTTTAGTATCGTAGCTGATTTCCAACCTCATCTTTATGAGCTGGTGACCTGATGACAGATAATCTAGAACCTACTTCGACCGCAAAGCTCGAATCCCATGGCTGTCTGGTTCGTCATCAAAACCACCATGTCTGCACTCATACCGTCTTGGCCCAACAGTGGTGCAATTTATGAACCAGTTCGCGGCTGCGGGATCTTCTCCTAGAACCACCAGGAGTCTCATGGCCTCGACAGCAGCGTCGGAGGTGCGGTGCCAGTATCCAGTGCACAGAGCTCTCTTGGCAAGATCCAAGGGTGTCTTGCCCTCCTTATCCGTGGCGTCAATATCGATGCCAGTCTCGACAAAGTATCTGATAATGCCGGTCAGCCAGAACCTAGCAGCCAGATGCAGAGACGTTTGGTTCTGTGAGTCGTCAACGACTAATTGCGACAGGTTCTCTGTCCTGGAGGAGAATTCTCGAATCAACTCTTCATTTCTTGATACCAGAGCCTGGTAGTGAGGCGTTCGGCCTTTGTCGTCCCTTTGATTAAGATCAGCTCTCATCTCGAAGAGCAACTTCACCATGGGAAGATTGCCCCTTGGAGAAGCAAGGTGGAGGAGCGTCGTCCGTCCTGGAAAATCAATTTGGCGATTGACGTCTCCGCCGAGTTCAAGCAGTTTGCGTGCAAGAGGCAAATGTCCTTCTATAACTGCCCAGGTGAGAGCCGTAGCCTTGTGGTATCGTACATTGTGTCGGAGCAGATGCTCGTAGAAAATGGAATGGAGTTCTTGGTTCACTCGAATCAATGAAAATATGTCTGCCTGTTCCAGATATTGGCTGATATGTCCGAGGACCTCGTTCGGTAGATTCAGAAGTGGCATCGCAAGTCAAATCGATGTGGGGAGCGACGCGGTGGATTGTACTACGGAGAATTGGCATCTGTTATCGATATGTAACGATGCCATCATGGACCCTAGATCAAGAACTTAAAGACGGCGCCAACTACATAATAAGCCTCTGGGCAGAATCCAGCCTTCCCTTAGGTGGCCTAGCGACTATTAAGCGTTATATGCTCACTTTTTGCGGAGTACAACAGGGATCAAGGATCCAAGTACCAATATATAAGTCGTCCTTCATTACGTTCGTAACTGAGTAAGTATACTAACGTTTATTATATTGATTATATTTTATACAATCTATATAGGTTAGACCGCCCAATGGTGTACCAATCAACCAATCACTGTCTATGACTCTGTTTCAGGGGTTGAATATCAATTGCACAGCTATGCCCGAAATTCCCGTCTCCAGTGCGCTCAGACTATCGCGCGGGACTTGTACATCTTGCAAGAGCGTCCCATAGAAAGCGCCAACACCTTTAGCTGATGACAGATCCGCCGTTGATGTAAATGCCTTCGGATATAGAGGCTTCTGACCACCTTATCTGGCGCCGGGAAATTCCACTCAACCCTTCGAACAAGACACAAGGATAAAACTCTACGTTAATCCTCGTGCCGAGAAACCTACCGTGTCTTCTCGATTTGTGAGTGATTGGCACTCCACTGCCTTCATGGCAAACTTTGAAATGTGTGGGAGAAATGACAGAATATCGGCCGAGCTTACACAAACCTCAAGTGACAGTGACGGCCTCTAAAGTCTGGACCTGTTGCTGGTGGCCGAGGCCCAGAGGTAACCCACTTTCGACCACAACATCAGAGCGTGAACATCTCTAAACATCAAGCCCTCAAAATTGGTACATATCGATCATCATCTCTCCAAGTTTCGTGTTCATCCCTCCACAGAAAGACCAGGCGATTAAAGCTTCGAGATGGGCTCGCCAGAAAGAAGGTCCAAGCTCCCACCCGTGCTGGACTTTTCAGGTAATTGAATATCCCGTCTTAAAGAGAACCACGGCAACGAACTGACCGTGACGGCAGCTTTTCGAAGCGAAGATGAGGCTTTGAAGACTGAATTCCTCCAAGCACTGGGACAAGCTTGTAGAGATAAGGGGTTCTTCCAGCTCATACACCACGGCGTGGAGCACGGGCTCCAACAAAGCATATTTGCCGCCTCCAAAGAGCTGTTCGATCTCCCTCTTGAAGAAAAGCTGAAGGCTAGACTGAAGGCTGGAACGAACGGACGAGGCTACGAAACAATAGGAGATCAAATGCTGGAACCCGGCTCAGCTCCGGACACCAAAGAGGCCATCTACTTAGGCGAAGACCTCCCCGCCGACCACCCGCGCGTGCTGCAGGGTGAATACGGATGCGGTTCGAACATCTATCCTTCCTGTCTGGGCCTGCAGTGGCACCAGACTTGCATGGAATACTTTCGAGCCATGACCACCCTGGCCCGCGAGGTCATGCGAGCTCTCGCGGCGGCCCTGAGAATCCCCGAGGACTACTTCGCCCGGTTCACCGATTTCGAACCCATCGCGACGCTTCGCTTGGTGCACTACCCGCCGACTCCCCGGACGTCGGACAGGGAGCGAGGCTGTGGTGCCCATCGCGACTTCGGCTGCGTCACGCTCCTGCTGCAAGACGGCGTCGGCGGCCTCCAGGTCCAGGACGAGGAGACCGGCGAGTGGCTGGACATCGACCCCGTCCCGGGCGCGTACGTGGTCAACCTCGGAAACCTCATGGCCCGCTGGACCAACCACCACTACACCTCCAACACGCACCGCGTGATGAATTTCTCGCCGACGGACCGCTACTCGATCCCCTTCTTCTACAGCGGCAACGCCAAATATACCTTGGAGACCATTCCCGGCCTGGAGCAGAGGCCGCAGTCTATCGCTGCCAGGAAATACGGCCCCGCCATCCCCGCGGAGCCATATGGTCCCGTCTCCGTTACCGACTTTCTACGAGAGCAGTTCGTCCAGTCGTACAAGCGTGCCCACGACTACAAACCAAAGGCGGTTGATGCAGCGGTATAGAGCTCGCGGGCAGCCATGCCTACCACCCAGTGAAGTAGCATTGGCATTCATACCCTGTTTGTTTGAGTGTCCAGACGGGCAAAGAAACTGCGACATACCTCAAAGAGAAGAGCGAGATGCATGCCTCTAGGCCTTGTCTCGTTGAGGACATCTAGTGAGAAGGCTATTTCAGTGGTCAGGCGACTAATCGTCGCTATCTGCCTGTCCTTGCGAGGCAAGAAAAAGGAATAATCGGACGTGTTGACGAATGTTGCTTAAGAATAGAGTCCCATGTGATATGCCGTCAGGCTCCCTTCTCTCAAGGTCCACATGAATACACAGAGATTGGAAAGACTCTTCTTTTTCTGACCCAGCCGAAGTCAAGATCAACCCTTCCTGTGGCGTTGTCTACTTCGTCATAGATGATCATATCACATCCCCCCACCACCCCTTCGTTCTCGACGTACGCTCAGCAGACAGAAGGGATGGGCACCGGGCCGACGGGCCCCTTGCTCGCGCCGATGTTGGCCTGGTGCATGGACCTGGGTCCGTATTTCAGGGGATAGTCCACCGCGGTGTGGAACATGCCGTAGTTGTCCCACATGATCATGTCGCCCTCCTGGACCTCCGGGAGCCAGATGTACTCGGGCCGGAGGACGCGGGACTGGACGTTGTGCAGAAAGGCGCGGATGTCCTCAACCTTGTCGATGACCTTGGGCGACTCGTCGACCGTCGACCGCAGGAAGAGCTTCCGCGCGGCCAGGCCGTGGACTTGGAACGCCTTCTCCCCAGTCACGGGATTGATCCAGACGAACGGATACTATGTTATTCGTGGCCCCGGGTCAGGACTTTCTTGAGGGATGATAACCGCGAGCCGATCACAAGGTTGATGGGAAAAGGGGTTCATACTCACCCGCTTGACATCTTTCTCGTCGTACTCGCCGAGTTCCTCCAGGGTGTGCTCCTTGCCCTCAGACTTCAGACCCAGTCCGGTCGAGGGCGCCTTGCAGTTCTCGATCCACATGTACGGATACGGGGCATACTCGACCCAGCTGTGGTCGGCGAGCTGCTTTTCGTCGCCGCTGAGCAAGTCGTAGAGCTGGGACGTACTGAAGAACGCGGTCAGGCCCGGCCGTGATTTCATGCTGAGTCCGGACCCGTCGTCCCACCGGATGGTCACGTCTGGTCCCGAGGGGAGTTTGACCGCTCGCAGGGTCGTGAACCACGCGGGATCGCGAGCGTACAGCGGGGCGTCGATGTGCCATCTCTGAAACCGCGTGAAGCCGGCCTGGAAATCCTCGTCCGAGGGCGGGTCCGCGTGGAAGCCATTCGAGAGCCCCTTGACGTGGAGGTTCTTGAGGCCATAATGATCCTCGCCTGTATGTGCCTCCGTTAGCCCTGTGTCGAACTCAACGGACGGACGACTTCGAGGAAACTGTGTGTCTTCCCGAACCTTGGTACCCCTTCCCGACCAGGCGCACGTTCTCTGCTCCGGGAATGCCGTAGACATCTCGAGATTTGGCCAGCATGCCGCCTTTCTTTTGAAACGTGGCCAGGCTGCCGTGGCTGTGAACCTGAGATGCGTCCGGGTCGAAACGCGTGACCAATTCCCAGTGTTTCTCGGGCGTGAGGTCCTGCTGGCCCCTGACGATAATGACCTTGTGCGTCCATATGGTCTCCTTCAACCGCTTGACATCGTCATCTTGGGGGTTCGCTGTCAGCTTGTGTCCATCCACCGTCCATTCCCCGTCCAAATGAGCTTCGTACCGGAAATCTGGTTTAGATCGAGTCCTTCGACCACGGCGCCGAAATTGAACTTCTGATCCTTGCGTTTGACCAGAGGCAGGACCTGGAATGATGGCTCGGGAGTGAGTGCCGCTGGCGACATGGTGTTTCTGGTACTGTTTAGTTGCTACGTATATATGGTATTATGGTCACTGTTCAAAGGTACCCTCGGCTTGGACTTCGACGTCGACAAGTTTATGAAATCACACGTTGTACCAGTATCAACAGGGCATGTCCGATGGGTTCTCGCATGACTGGCCAATCGACTCGCTGCTCTTCGCAATGACTGATATCCTTGGCCGAGCTGACGTGCTGTGGTGGTCCAGGGGTATGCGAGCTGTTATCACAGCCACACGGCCTCCCTGGAACGGAGGAGCTAAGACCATGTCTAGTTAGTGGCCATGATGGCCCATGGTGCGAGTCGATACATTCTCCGGACTTGGTGGGGGAGTCAGCGACGAGGAGGATGGAACGTCTTTGATCTGACGAATGGCATTAATGGCGTTGTTTATCAGAACTCCCTTATCAATCGCCCCATTCGTCAAGGAAACTGGGCCCGGGTTGACTTCGTACAGGTATCTGGAGCATCGCAGGAGCCAGACTCCCGTTATCATCAGCGAGGATTCGAGCACTATGATGCCGGCTCCCCTACAATGTCCGCTGCTGCCCCTCGGAGGGGGCTGGCCTGTCGCCTATGTATCCGGCGAAAGGCCAAGTGTGACAAACAGATTCCATGCCACAACTGTGTGAAGAGAGAGACCCCTGCAGAATGCGAACGCGAGGATCCCGCCAGCGATATGCGCCTGCAGAGTAGTAGTATATCCGGTGTTCGGAACCCGCCCGACGACAACACGTCTGCCGCCGCCGCCGTCGCCGTTCTTCGTGCTCGGGCGGCTGAACTCGAGGTTGTCCTTCAAGACAAGATCGCAGAGACCACCGATGTGGTGGCACGGTCTCCGACGAGAACACCGGCGACAGAGCAGCGGGCTGGGGGTAGGACTGTCGCACAGGTGAGGAGGTCGTCGTCGCCAAGCCAAGGGGCGTCCGAGATTGAAGATGCGGTTACGGTGCTGGAGTTCCTGGCCTGGGGCCGCATGAAGGATCCCGACAATGCCATGCTGTCGCCGGAAGCCCTTCGGGTCTCTGAGCACGATGACGGGATGGGCATCAGCAGCAGCCCGGCAGAGGAGGAGCTCGATGGCGCCCTCGAAGCCGGCATGAACCACCCCCTTTTGTGGCTCCAGATCCTACTCTCGTCCCGACGCCTAGTGTACCAGCTAGCCGACTATCACAGCAACTGCATGCCATGGCCCGGTCCGAAACTCTCTACACCAAGCACGAGGCCGTCTTGTCTACGACCGGAGAATGCGCTCGTTGACCACGGGCAGGCCCGCCTTCCTCGCCAACACGGCCTTTGACGCCAACTGGCCGTGCTACATTCCATGGGCCCGTCGCGCCAATGCCATGAGCTCCGCGCACAGGATTATCATGATTAACAGATACGTTCGTCCTCATCTATCTGGAGAATACGCCGCTAGGTCGCTAGCTCAAGAGAGATATACATATCTTATAGGAAGCTTCTCGGTCTCAGTTCCACCAACCCGGTCTTTGAAATCACGCGGCGGACCTGCCTGGCCGCGTCCAAAGCCATGTTCAAAGAGCACCTCGCCAGCAGCAGGGACGAGTCGAGCCCGATGCTGTGGACCCATCAGGCGTGTGCGATGGCCGCCTGCATCGTCATCTGCTTCAACACCCTCCACTCTTCGCCGCATTGCTCGAAATCCCTCCTCTGACCCGGACGACAAATTCCAGCTGCAGCTGGTCGACCACACGCTCGAGCACCTCCGGCTGTGCCAGCAGAAGAGCATGATCGCCGGCCGCGGGGTCAAAGTCCTGCGTGCGCTGTAGAAGCAGATCGGGGACAACAACCGCGTCGGGGTCGAGAGTCGAAAGAGGCCAAATGATGATGCTGCTGCTGCGCCCAGAGACAGAGACAGCACTCCCCCTCCTAGGAGTCGACGACGTCCTCGTCGTCGAGGCTTCGATGCCGCCGAGTTTGCGCGATCTTTCTGTGAGGATCAGGATCAGGATCAGGATTAGGGTCCTCACTTTCGCTCTTCGCGGCTGATAACGAATCGGCTGGGCATTTCAGACTGCCTGGCCTCTATTACGGAAGAACCGGATGTGAGGCAGCAGCAGCAACGAGCTGAGGACACGGCACAAGAAGCAGCCGACGAGGTCCAACCACTAACTTTTCCGACAGACTTGAATTGGTTGTGGAGTGTGCCGCTATCTGATGAGGATGGCGCGCAGACCTTTGATAACCTGCTTTCTTTTGCCAATCAAGGGAGCATCGAGTGCAAGAAGGGGAGCGGGGGGTTCTTTTTAAATACCCGCACCTCCAAGGTATGCACATGAGTTTATGTCAGAGGTCTGATACTATAGCATAGTTACCAGAAAACCATCGTGGGGAATAACACCAATTTGATACTCCTTTTCGTCTTGTGTGTCCTACTTCGTCCTGAGAATTTGCGCGCCTTTACAGATCGTCTACCTCTGAATCGTCTTGAGAAGATTCCCGAGGCTCGAATGGTAGTTTTGAGTCGTTATGTGTCGTATATGTGTCTGATTGCCCTTGTCCCCTGTCGTAGGGCGTTTGGTGTTCGCCCACTCGGGTGCGTACTATAAGGGGATGTTTACGACTGTTTACAGCCGATAACTGTTCCCTGTCTGTCCAAGAGGTCTGTGCGTGAAGACGAACATGAGGCTCTCCCTGTGCCCAGTCTGTCGTTGCATCGAGGGAGTCCTTCCTTCTTTTCGATATCATTGCTCTGTCTCCAAGCTCGGCCTTTCGGATCATGATGACGGGTGGTCCGATGCTGCAATATTGCACTGATGCATGATCCTCGGTCCATACGACTCGGGGAACTCGGTCTTCCACAACATATCAGCAATTTGTAGGAGCCAAATAGGCTCTAGACTCAACCCACAATGCTGTGCCACAACGCGCGGTTGTACCAAAGAACAACGTCTTGCTCCTGGTGTGGATGGGCATAAATATTCTCGGGCGAGATTGCTGGCCGCATGATTCTGGCGACATTGTGAGCGGATATGTTCAAATCGCCACGGGGGAAAATCATACTTGTGCATAAACTCCCTTACTTCTTTCAGATCATCGACAATCCTTTCTTCTCCATCCGGGCGACTTTTGAGGTACAGCTTGACCGCTCCTTGACCGTGGACCTGCAAGGACTTTTCGCCGGTCTTCGGGTTGGTCCACACCATCGGGTAGATGCAAATCTTGCTTTCGTCAATGGGTGGGAGTTTCTCCCGCGGCAGCTCGAGGCCTTCGGTTTCCAGGATATGTCCAAGTCTGGCGCTGTGGGCGGTGGACATCCATTTGAAGGCATGCGGCGCATACTCGATCCGCGAATGGAGTGCAATCTGTCTGGTCTCTTCGTCGAGAAGTTCCAAAGCTCTGGATCCGGCAATGTAGGCGGTTGCACCGGGTGGGATTCTCATCTCTGTCCCGGTCCCATCGTCCCAGCGGACAGTGACATCCGGCCCCTTCGGAGTCCTGACGGCCAGCAAGCAGCCCACCCTCGGAGGCGGGATATTGTACAACGCTCCGTCCCAATGCCACTGATAGAACCTACTGGCTCCGTTCTCGCGTTCCTCTTGGGGAATATGAGGCGGGAGATGGAATTCGCGATGATCGATGCCCTTGACCTTGAATCCGGGAGGAAACTGATAATGATCCTCGGGAACTTCGCCTCGTCCCAATATATGCACTTGCGGCTGGACAGGAACCGCGGGTCTGCTCTGAATTCCATAGATGTTAACGCCATTGTGGGAGGTCAAGAACGGATCAGCGCCATGTGCGAAACCTCCCGTCGTCTCGTTAGGATCGAAGTTTGCAGTCAGCAGGTACTGCTGTTGGGGCCTAAGCATCTCCGGCTGCTCCTTGAAAATCAAGACTTTGTGTTGGTGCAAGGCATCAGAGATCAGTTCGAAATCTGCGTCAGTGAGCTCGTTCAGATTGATTCCGTACACTTCAGCACCAAAGTCAACTTTGCTTCCAGCCGGATGCTTGAGAGGCACTATTCGTCCGTCTGTCTTTTCGGCGTGTGGAAGCGTGATATCCGACGCCCTGGTTGCGATAAGCCTTGCTTTGACGCCTTCTGGGGCAATGACTTCCGTGAGAGCTTCGACGGCCATTGTGGTGGCGGTGTTATCGTGTCGACAGGAGTTACGAAGGGGGTGATTAGCTGTTACGGAACGAGAGTGCCCTTTTCAATCTTCGACTTTCGCCTCTAGAACTGGCAGCGTTATCTACAGACGGGCATCAGCGACTGCACGCCCGGGCCAGTGCCAGTCGGCCGAGTATGGCTGCTGAAGGTGTAGGCAGGAAGTGCCCGTACGAAGCTCGACCAAGCGAACTTGGAGTATGGTCTTCGGCCGACGAGGGAAGTGGAGCTCGGCCGAGGGTTTGATATATGCATGAGTCTTGATCACAGTGAGCAAGCATACATGCGGCCTTTGGTTGCTACTTGTCAGGCAGAACGAAAGCATTTCACGGCCACCAGCTACCACAAAGATGCAGCTGCATTCATCCAAAAGACATATCACGGTAGACAGTATCGACATCCACTATATCTCCACCGGCAAGCATGATGGCCATCTCGTCGTCTTGTTACATGGGCTAGGCGGCTCAACAGAGACATTCCGACACCTAATGCTTCTTATAGCGCCTGACTATCACATCATCCGCATAGATCTCAAGGATTTGGAAAGACACTTCTTAACCAAGGGATGCCTCTTTCATTTGCACAATATGTTGCCGACTTTATCATACATATTCAGGGACATCCTTCAAGCTCGGCAGCAGGGGAGATCAACGGTATCGGAAGTGGCAGGAACAAAGATCCAGTCCTCCTCGTCGGTCACTCCCTCGGCGGCATCATCAGCTTACACTATACTACCCAGTACCCTGCCACAGTAGCAGGACTTTTACTTCTGAGCGCAGGCCGTTCCTTGAGGAGTATTCCGCCAGAACAGCAGCGCATGCGAGATCTTGCGAGAACAGCACGCGAGAAAGGTATGGACGAAGTTAGGCAAATTGCGGTCATGACCAACTTCCCAGCGTATCGCGCCAACAACAGTGCCCACGAACAGCAGGTGCGGGACGCTGTGGCCTCGTGCTCAGCTGAGACGTATGCATCCACGGCAGAGTTAGTCGCCAGCGACGCCCACCATGATCCCGACTACAGTCTGATCAAGTGTCCGGGGGTGTTCGTGGCTGGTGACCTGGACATAATTAGGCCGCCACAGAGGTCAAAGGACATCAGTAGTCTGGTGGGAGGCCCGTCGGAAGTGGCGATGGTCAAAAGCGGTCATCGGATGATCCTACAGGATATTGAGGGTGTCTCAAAGGCGCTCGTCAGGTTACTTGCAATGGTATGAGTGGGTGTTAAGTGGCACAGCAGAAGTTGCAAAAGGAGGTCGGTGAGGCCGTACGGCAAACCAAGAGTGTCTCTGGCGTCAGGTACTTTACCGTAGCTCGAGCTCACGTGCCGGCCTCAAGATCCACTACTAAACAACCTCCTCTCATTGGTTTGCTCGGGCACCCTCAAAAGCGGCGGCAATAACAACGCAACTTGACGTGGCGTGTTGACGTGGTTGGCGGTTGGGCACATAATGCGGCATGCCAAGTCCTGTCAAGGTCGGACTTGCGAGCTCTAATTAAATAACCACCGCGGTCGCCTGCGGCATTCCTCCTCCTTGTCTTTCTCTCTCAATCATCACGTACATCTCCCCGGTCCCGGCATCTGTTGAGACGCACCCACTCGTTGGATGTCCATGCCAATATCTCCTGGACGTTCCACTTCGCCCCTTTGGACAAGTTTCGACCTCACGCTGAGGTCCTGTGCCTGAAGTGCAGTGGCGCTTGCATCAAGCCGCGTTTGTGCAGCTGACCGCTTGCCCAAGACTCTGGTGAAGGCTGTAGCAACCATCGCCTAAACCAACATCGCACGAGCCAGGAAACTGCTTGTTCGATTATCTCCTGTTTTTCCCAACTGATTGCTATTTGTTAGAGACTGCGTCCCCGTTTCTCCTATGTTACGATTCCAGTTGTTCGGTTTTCCCCCTCTGTAGGTTGAAAGAGTTTGAGATGGCAAGAGTCAAGCAAAAGGTGGCCAAGAAAGGTGCTGCTGGCTCCTCAACCCGAGGGAGCCAGGTGGCGAAGCAGAAGAGACACAAAATCGCCATTGGAGGGGACCCCCAGGAGAAGAAACTTCCCACAGTGGTAAGAGCAAAATCAGCTTGTCGCGGCAGCATTACCAGTGCTTATGACCCGAATAAGATCTCATTCCAAGAGCGTCCCCCGCCTGGATATACTTTCATTCCCGCCGGGAACCCCGAGCTCACCAACGCGCTGAAGGAATTCGCTCGCCGTGGTGACCACAAGATCTACGCCGTGACGGTAAGCCCGCTCTATTTTGACATTGTACACGCGTGGTCCACTGACGACCAAGATCACTCCGCATGCTGCGCGCCATGAATTGTCGAGGGAAGTACATCGTGTCGGCTTCCACTTCCCCACAAGGATTGTCGACCAAGTTTGTGCCCACTACGGCATCCGCCTCAATAGTGAAGGAAAGGTCGTTGATGAGTCGAATGACGAGAACTTTTTCAGCAAAGTATATCGCAACTCGGACGGTCAACGTCCAGTGGAAGAGAAGGACCAGATCACCATCAACACTGATGCCAAACAGACTATCAAAGATTTGTTCCCCAATATCCCCAACAATGATTTGTACCAGATTATCAAAACAGCATTTCAGCTGGGCGATCGTAGGGTTGGCACTGCAAACGAACTACCCCTTGTTCGAAGAGCCCAGCTATCTGTTGTTGCCCACATCCGCCACAACTACACCCAGTATGACAAGTTGCTGAGACAGATGCCATACAATGAGGCTCGTCACATGGTGGAAAGAGAGACGCTCATCAAGCTGGTGGAGTGGCGAGGTGGTGAAGATACGACTCTGGAAAGCGCCACAGGTGCCGCAGATGATCTTCTCAAAGAAGTCATCGTCATCTCTGACGAGGAAGCGTCTGACAGTGACTCCGACAGTGTCGAACCCTTGGGCCAAGACCGTGTCCAGGTTGAAGAACTCCCAAGCACCTCCTACGCTCCCGGCCCTGGGCGTCCCATATCGCCCCTTCCACAACTGCAACCTGAACGAATGCTGGACTATCCACCTGCGGTTCGCAGCTACAGGCCATCTAACGCTGAGATTGCCCGACGAAATCAGAGCAGATATGCCATCTGGGAACAAGCTAAGCGAGACTATCGGTCCAGCGTGGCCCAGAGACCAGTCACTGTTCTGGAAAGGATCTACGAGCCTGAGCCGGCTCCAGCACCACGGGTTCTTGTCCCGCTTGATCCTCCAACCCACTCTCCTGCCCAGATATTCCATACTCAGGCTCCTCCAACAAGCATAGCAAGAGTGGATTACGAGGTAAGCGGGGTTCTACAAAGGCTTCCTACCGATTCTCTGTCGACGGGCAGATATTATACGGTGTTCACTAACCTCCGTGGCAGCCCACGATTCGAAGTCGACAATCAAGTCCACCAACGTACATCCGAGACGCCAACGGGATTTTGTATGAGAGGATCGACACTAGGCGTGCGAATCCTGCCGACACTTCCCAACACTACCACCACAAACAACCGGCACCGGTGATGGCGGGACCGCAAATTAGAACGCGCCCTTCCTCGCCCCAAGACTTCTCTCGTCGGGATTCGCGCAACCATGCGGATTTAGAGAGAGGTGATGGCACGATACTGCCATCGATTGAAGGACCTGATGGGTCATATATCTCTCCTCGCTTACGTCGAAATCCGTTCGAAGCACATCCTGAGCCTCGTGACACTAACCCAAGGCGGGAGGATGGCGGCAACGCAAGGAATGCTGCCTACATTGACCTGACACTTAGCTCCAGCCAAACGCCTAAGAGACGTCGGTTAGAAGAGGCGCAACCAGTCCAAGAACGCCGCATGAACAGAAGAGAGTCCCCGAGCAGGCCTGTTGAACATCACTATCTGCCACCTCGGCCGGTGGCTGCCCATACTGAAAATCGCACAGCTAATTATGGTGAGCCACGATCCAGCCCACGTCTACAACCGGCGGTTTCTACCCGGGAGACTGCTTATGCTGATCGTCAACCCCTCTACGATGCTCATGATTTACCGCACTCTGTTGTACGTCTCTATGAACCCATACCTGCCCCTCATGAGCTTCGTGAGACAACCACGATGCAGCGTCGTTATCCTCCACAAACCTACGCGGCGCCCACCCACAATGAGGTTGAGTCAATCCGGCCAGTTCGAGATCTGGGAAAGCAACCGCTGCTTTCACTAGGTCAGGTCTACGAGCTCACTGGCGAGTCTCGCACATATAACAGCCAGATTGCCGGGGAGCCGGAGAGGCTCGTCCGTGAAGAATACGTGCAACCTGTGATGCAAGAGCCTCGCGTGCGGTACGTTTATGCTGATGGAACCAGCGGCCGTGAACCTCTACAATCTCTGCCTCCACAGCATTTGCCTGAGTATGATCGACGCCCAGCTCCTCTGCACTCATATGCCCGCTGAGGTGCAATATTTTTACGAGTCGCCTGTTCGGACACGCCGCCAAGGGGAATATGTCGAAGAAGCTCGGGGTCGACGGTAAGATTTGAAGGCAGAAATTTGCTTCAGCATGCGTTTCCTGCTATTTTTGCTTATTAACAGTGCTGATACGTGGTCCAGGCACTGTCTCGATACGACTTTACGCGATCAGGTTGCTCAACCCTTTCGCCCTCTCTACACTTTGTAGACGTACCTCTACTCAGTCACGATTACTTGCTCCACATTCTGTGTCAAAAGTATTGTTTCTTCTTCCTCCAATTCCCGCATCAAAATGGGTGGGTACCAAATGCTTGTTTCCAAGTCAGCGGCGGAGTTCTGTACCGACTTTCGATCGAGGATTACCAATGGATTACGACGGATCCTATCGACTTCTCTTTGTAACGTTAAGCTTGACCAAGATACCCATATTTTTCGGTCACGCTGGATCGCAACCGAAGGCATTCAAAATGGAGTTCGTGTGAAGTACTGGCTTATCCACATCTCTGGGATAATAAAGGACACTGGCTGTGGGCTTCCGCCTTCCAAGATTTTTATGTATGTTGAGACGTGGCTGCGGCAATTGTCAAACCACAGAAAGTCTAGCAGATACGATCACAGAGCGAGAGCCAATGTGAGAAACTTGAAAGTTCAAATTTTTTTTGGTAGTTGTTTTATCCATACACTCGGAAATGGTCCAATTTCGTTCCAGTACCAGATCACATCTCAGTCCAGGACAATAGGTTGGAGGATTCAGATGATGCATTGTGCTCCTCATTACACTGCGACTGCGATCCCCACGTTCATGGCTGACTCGGCATCCTCTTCTTCCAGATCGGTGGATTTCGACCCTCCGTTCACATGAAACCAACGCAAAGTGATTCGTTTGAGTAGTATTCATATAACGAACATATGTCCTTGTTCACCCTTTCGTCGCATCTTACACGGACATGGCGATACCGTCCGCCTCGCCCGAGTTCACCGTTTTGCCGGTTTTCTTGATCTTCTCGAGCACAGTCTCGTACGACACCGAGTCTTCAGTGGTCACGTCGGCGGTTTGGGTGTCGAGCGACACCTTGTAGTCCTTGACGCCTGGGGAGCGGCGAGATATATGTGTCAGCAGACAATTGAATAGAATATTTTTTCTCTCTTGGGAAGCGAAGGAATGGGGGATTCAAGCACAATAAGCAATAGGCGGGGGGGGACGGTAGTCGCAAAATTCACACTCCACTGCGCGCCTGTAGCAGCAAGGCAGGGTATTCGCAGCCATAGGTCATTTGCTATGCTTGTTCTTACCATCAAGCTTCTTGAGGACGCGCTCGACGGCGCCGGAGCAGCCCCCACAGGTCATTGTCACGTTGAACTTGTAGTGATGTTCGGCCATTGCGTCTCTGTGATTGCGCGTGAAGGCTAAGCGAAGGGGTGGGGTGGTTACGAAGGAGGAATGCGGTTGCAGAGGACGCAATTCAATAAGTTCGTGGGCAACGAGGTGTACGTGTGAGAGGATGTAGGAAAGTAAGTCGTCAAGTTTGGAGTGGGTGGTGCTGATACTATATGTACCGTTTCGTGTTTGATATGTCGGGTGGGGTAGTGAGGCTGAGGTATTTGTGCGCAATTGCGACGAATCGATCGCTATCAGGGTTGGTTATGGTTGGTTCGTTCTGGGATTTCTGGAGGGTCGCAGCTCCAGAAAGGAACAGGAGAGGGAAGTGTTTTATGCGTCGTGTCGGCGCGTGTGAAACGTTGCTCGAGGTCTATTTAATTAGTAAACATGCTCATCGCATCTCGCAATCGGGGCCATACCGCCACTACCAGATACCTAAAACGCTTGAAGGGGCTCCGTTTCTGGATGCCACCGAAATTCGGGGGCGGTGAAACAAAGGAGGGGTGGTGAGCACCTTTTGCCCCCTGATATTGGGGGAGCTGACGGCCGAGCCCGCCTAGCTTGGGGGCATGCAAAGAGGCGGCGTTGGAAGGTACAGTATTATTGGTAAGCAAGGGCACCCAAAGGGGCTCCCTAAGGTACAGTAAAGAGCGTTCCTGAACCTAAGCGTGGGCTGGGCTGCTATCTTCGGCGGCTCAGGTGCCCACTCGCAGATGGCCTCTAGGCGGTCTTTTCGGGCAGCGAAGTGATGCTTTCGGGAGAGGAGATGGCGTGATTGGGGAGGCACGTGAAGGGCGAGCCAAACTGGACAAACTACACAAACAATGCAAAGTCCCCAAACCTGCCAAATAGGAAATCATATGTTTCGGCAAAACTCCGTGCTCACTTCCTGCTATTGCTATCCACAAACCAACTCAGCCCCAATCCGCTCCCATCAACTCACACCAACTAGTCTTCTAACAGCAATATCCTTAGCTATATACGGGCTGGGATTCTTGGAATGTCTCGTTCCCCTGGAAACCTTACACTGGACGGCATATTACCACACCCCCCCGTCTCTTTTGGCGGGTGCCTGCTCGAAGCATTTGTGCTTATTAGTACGAGACATCACCTCATAGTCCATAGTCGTTCCCATCCCGTGAGTACATACAAGTCTTAGAGAGCTTTCTGGCTTCAGAGAAATTCATACGGAATCCAAAAGAAGACATTTGAGTCTGCTCACCGAAGGCAAACAATAACCCCCGTGGTACCAACCCGTGTATATATACCTACTGTCAACATGGCCGTCTTTTCCAACATCGGCGCCGTCGTCACGACGGTTATCATGATGATGGTCGCAAATGCTCCCTCGACCGCGATGGCGATGGCGATGTCGGGCAGTTCGACGGCTCCAAGCGGTAGCTACACCCTCTGCCAGTTCTGGTCGAGCGTCCCGGGCCTCTCCTCGACGCAGGAGACTTCGATGACGCTGCCTCTCTGTCCGTCCAGCCTGCTGACCTTCTCGTACACGATCCCTCCCACCGCGACCGCGACCCCGACCACGACGCAGACAACCATGGCTACGACCACTCTCAGTCCCTCCGTGCCTTCTTCCACAGGCGCCGACTCCGGCTCATACACCCTGTGCCAATTCTACTCCAGCATCCCCGGCCTTTCTTCATCCACTGCGGTCTCGAGCATGACCTTGCCGTCGTGTCCTGCGAGCCTGCAGGACATCACCTACTCCTACCAGGCGCCTTTGGGCACTAGCCTCGCCGCTACTGCTACTACTACTTCTTCGACCGCGGCGTCTTCTGCTGCGGCAGCTGCATCGAGCTTCACCGGCGCGGCCGCCCCTAGACATGGTTTGGATCGAATGGTCCTTGGTGGTATGGGTGGGATCCTGGCGGGAGCTGTGGGCATGATGTTGTGACAACAGGTGGTTTAGTTTGATTTCTGGGAAGGGACCAGATCTACCTCGAAGGACGCTTCCGATGGGTGCTGGCAGCGACACGACGGCAATTTGTTGTTGTTCAGGTACATTCTCGCCCCCTTAGCCGACTTTGATGACAAGTCTGCGTTGGCGAGGATGGGGACACAATGGTACACGAAGTTTGTGCCTGTCACGCCTTAGGGAACACATTAGACACAACACATGTGTATTTGAAGTTATACGAATCAATGAATGTACTTTTGTTCCCATGTCCACGTAATTATCACATCATTTCGTTCCATTCCAGTCCAGTCCAGTCCAGTCCGTCCTCTAGCTCCGAGTCACCATACAGCGCAGCCAGCAGTCACGATTGCAAGAAGCATCAAGGAACGAGACGGTCTGCCCGTTGTCTGTAGTAGCTGGCTGATCTCCATATCTTTCTTCTCGCATATCCCGTATCACAGCAGCAGCAGATAGATGGAGGGATGGGCTGGCAGGGCTTGATCCTATATAGAACGTAGGCAGACGAAGAGACAACACCAGGACAACTAAGAACAGATTATTGACGTCTGATTTACGTACGTATGCCAGTTGTGGAAATAGCTGACCTCCAGTTCAGGCGTCAGCTCCAGCTCCAGCTCCGGCACCTGGTAAGCTTGTTCCTGTCGCCATTGGCGCCGGTAAGGAAGGAGTATGGGCGTGAATCGAATCAGTCTGGTTCGGTCCAGACAACAATGGAATATAGGGGGGGTTGGTTGGTTGCTTGCCTGCCTGCCTGATTGACTGACACACGGACAGACACGCAGCATGATCCATCACTCGCGGGGCAGTGCGAAGCGAAAGAGAAGAAAACAAAACAAAACAAATTGAAGGGAGACGGATGGGGTTTTGGACACAAGTAAACGGAAAATGACTGTACAATGCTTGTATAATTGAATAGATCGGAGAATGGACTCGCTGCGACGACAACCTCGATTGTGCTCTGGGTTTCTCTGCTGGCATTTAGCAGATCATGAAATGTTCAACCAGGTCGTGAACTTGAGGTGGATTGATTGCCTGAGTATACGGCAGTGTGTATCCGGTCGATGAAAGTTGAAAGGCTCCTGGAATAGAAGTTTTGAGACAAGAAAATGACCGGAGCAGGAGTCAACGACTGGGAACTAAATGTCCATTGTGTGCATAAGGTGCGGGAGCCGGAGCATAAGGCAACAAGCAACAAAAATGCTCTAACCCCCTTGCGAAAACGCCCATTTCCCAGAGCCACAGGACACAGCCAAGGCAAATGCAGATACCTCTCATGTCTTCTCTTCTCCCGGAATCGGTTACTTTCTGTACCACAGTCTCGTGATCTGAGTGTGTCTCACTGTCGCCACTGGTTAGTTTGACCGCTTTGGATTGGAAAGAGGGGACAGGGAACCCGGACGCACTCTTTTTCTGCAGCTGAAAGATGCCGTACATCAATGCCTCGCTCGTGGGTGGGCAGCCCGGCACATAAATGTCCACAGGCACAATGCGATCACAGCCTCTCGTCACACTGTAGCTGTAGTGATAGTAACCTCCGCCGTTTGCACAGGAGCCCATCGAAACCACCCATCGGGGCTCTGGCATCTGGTCGTATACCTGTCGCAGCGCCGGGGCCATCTTGTTGGTGAGTGTGCCTGCCACAATCATCACGTCACTCTGTCGGGGTGATGCACGAAAGATGATTCCCAGACGATCCTGGTCGTACCGTGGGGTCGAGAGGTGCATCATTTCGACGGCGCAGCACGCCAGACCGAAGGTGAGGGGCCACAGCGAGCCTTGACGGGCCCAGTTGGCGATCTGATCTAATGTGGTGAGGGCGAACTGCATAGCTCCCTTCTTCTGATCCTGCGACGGGAGGGGCACCTCTCGACGGATGCCGCCTGTGACGGGCAGTCGCGACGCATCGCCGCCGGCGGTGGGCGCCTGTGAGACCACCGAGGTGGCGGGTTTCGAAGAGGTCGAGGAGATGGAAGCGGCGGGAGCGGCGCGGACGAGCGAGTATGGGAGGATGGCCGACGCTGGATTGCAGTATTTGGTCAATTGAGCCCATTCTCGGGAGTTTGTGGCAAAGGAGGAGAGCTTCCTGCCAGAGTTTCTTGCGTACCTCGTAGCGCTCGCGGAGCGACCGTCCTCGACAGAGACATCATCTTGCTTCTGCAATGTCACCGACGATAAGAGAGAGGAGAGAGAATTGGACGTTGCAAGGGAGAGAATTGAAGGGTCGTCGAGGGAAGAGAGGCGAAACTGCTGTGTCTCGTTCGGTAGAGAATCAATGATGTCGAAAATGCCTGGGCGAATTGCGAGCTCGTTGATTGGCTGGTCTTTGTGCCCGCCAGGACAGCGAGATCGGCTTGCCGGATTGGGAAATATCTGGGGGGATCGCTCTCATACTCAGTCAACTAACTATACAACATGTTACTGCGCTTTTCTACATTTCTCCGGATCAGGTTCACTGGTCGTGCCCCATGGCCCTCAACTCGTCACCGTCGATAGCATGCATCGGTGTCATTGGTAAACATGACCAACCGCTGCACATCTCCCTCTTTCCTCCCCACAACACCACCTCCACCGCCGAACTTGATTTCCTCTTCCTCCTCAACTCCTGCCTCGACATCTTCGACCTGCGGGCTCGTACCACCAAGCTGCTCGACTCCGACCTCGGTCTACTCCAGGCCATCGACGACCGCCTCTCGTGTTACGGCTGGCTGACGAACACGGGGATCAAGTTTATCATCGTGGTGGACATGATGGGCCGGCCTCCGCCCTCTCCGTCTGAAGAAAATGGGTCCAAGGACTTGGGAAAAGACAAGAGACGGTTTCCTCCTGCAGCAGTGGGACTACGGGATGCGGATCTTAAGCCAGCCTTCCGTGCGGTACAGACTGCATACATCCATCTGATGCTGAATCCGTTCTACATGCCGGACGAGAGGACGCCGTTGCAGATAGCAAATTATGGGGGCAAAAGCCCCGAAATCACGAGCAAAAAGTTCATTGCAGAGATTCAGAGGATCGGAAAGATATGGTACCCGGGAATTGGAAGTATCTGAAGCAGACGAGATGAGCTCTGGAAGACAAGAAACAATGCTCATTGACCCGGATACTCCTACAACGCCGAGAATGAACAATCAGGTCCCGTGCTGACACATGAGACACACATTATACAGCCATCAGTGCTTCACCTCCGCTATTCTAAGGGCGCCAACGAGAGTTCTTCATGCATTCGCTTCTCCCGCAGCAGAATCAATCTTCGCCGCCGTCTCGCCCACCTCTGCGGCTGTCTCAGCGGCATCCTGCTCGGATTTGCTCGGCGTCCTGACCAGCGGCACCTCGTCCATCTTGGTATCTGGATCTGCCAGCTTCGCTGCCTCCTCCGACGCAACCGGGTCCTCCGCGGGCGGTGCGGCAACTGCCGCTGGAGCGCCGGTCTCAGTCATACCCTGGGTTTTGATATATTCCAAGACTGCTTCGAGCGTCTTGGCAGGGCCGGCTTGCTCCCAGAGGCGGAGAGTCCCTTGTTTATCAATGACGACCACACCGCGGGTGGCGGATTTGCTGGGGCCTGGCTTTTTCATCCCAATGGCGGATGTGAGAGTATTGTTCGGGTCACACTGGAGTTTGAGTCAGTAGTCTGTCTTATCACCAGAGGTTGAGACTGGATGCCGAATCGAGGCACGGGAGCTTACCAAAAGCTGGTACGGCAACTTCTGTTTCGTCGCAAAGGTCGTGTTTGACTTGGGGCTGTCTGAGCTCAGTCCATAGACTGCGAGCGATGCACCTGTGATGGGCGCGTAGTTGTCTCGGAAGAGGCAAGCTTGATTCGTGCCTGGACAGCAAGAACATCAGTAATCGTTCGCTCTGCATCAGATATCTTCGCTGTCTCCACTGAGAAGGGGAGTACAACGACCGCAATATGAGAATACAGTCTGACTTACAACCGGGCGTGCTCGCTTTCGGATACGTAAAGATGACGATGCCGGCGCCGCTCTTCTCGATCAATTCTTTCACTGTCACGCTCGTACCATCGTGCGTCTGCACCGTGCCCCCAAAGCCCTCTAGATCAATCTTGTCGCCCACGCTGAGCTTGCCGGAGGTAGTTGCCTTGCCCTGGACAGCACTCCCATTCGCCGTCGGAGGCTCCTCTTTGGACTCCTCGCCGACGCCTGCGGTGGCCGGGACGACCTCGGGGACGATGACAGAGGAGGTGGGAGCAGGAGCTTCCTCCGGTGGGTTGGTCACGGCAGGGCCACGGGTCTTTTTGGCCGCCTTGGCCGACCCGGACCCAGTCACGGCGGCCTTGGCCTTGCCGGCAAGCTTCTTCACCGTGCTGCTCCCGCTGCCTCGCTTTGCGGCCGGAGGAGGGGCAGCTGGTTCCTTTGGAGGAGGACGTTTGCGCAGTTCGACAGGCATCCTGAGTCCTTGGCTGGGGTCGTTCCGTCGCTGGTCAAGTCCAAGGATTGGAGTTGGCACTCTGATGGGCGAGCTGGGATCTGTAGAGTGAATATTGTCAGTCAGTCGATGTCCAGAATGTGACGAAAAACAATCTGATGCGACCATATAGCTCCTAAAATAATCACGTCATGTGTCTCATTCGCGTCTTGGGGTCATCCAGCCAGCTTTTGTGAAAGACACGTCCAGAGCTCCGCTCTTTGCGTGGGCTGTCGAGAAAACCTGATCTCTGTAAAGTCTTTTGAGTTAGCAGTCGAGTTCAACCGTGTGTGACTATCCACGATAGCGTTCAAGGTGTCGTCGAGCGCCCCGTCTTTGCTTGCCAGAACGCCTTCGAGCAACATGTAGGGTATTTAATCAAAATGCCACATAAAATGGGTTGCATACCGAAGGCAATGACATAGAGGGACTTACTCAAACATCTTTCCTTGGGATGGGAGGGGCTCAGTCCGACCCTTAGCTCCCATACATTCATCCATGCCACAAGGCTGAGTATGGCGCGTACACATTCCATCGTCCCGGTCCGTCCGCAACAGCGCAAAGGACAGGGCTGGCCAGAGAACAAAGCTGTGGATGAAAGTCCTCGCCATTACTACTTACTCCTGAAGGACCGATGATAATGTTTTGGGACCACTAGTGGAAAGAGAGAACAATATCGGACTGCTTTCCTATAATAAAACCCCTGAACGGCTAGAAATCAGCGTCTCTCTCCTTCAGCCAGGCCCTTCTCTGCGTCCCCGGAGGCTGCGAAAAGAGAGACATGCTCGAGCATATGCGTGGCTGCTGGGTACACACTTACCAGTGGTTGCTGTCTGTCCAAGGCGGGTTGGCGGGTTGGGTGTGGGAGTTTGCTGCTGGGGGGAGTCGGTGAGAAGCAAGTCCAGTAGTAGTGGTTTCAGGACGCCAGCCCTAGGGCCAAGGCAAGCTCGCTCTCACGTGGTCTTGTTGCAATGTTGATTTTGGGTTATTCGGAATCGAGGTTCGACGCCTGAGCGAGCGAGGTCGGCGCGGTCGGCCAAAAGCAGCTGGCGATGGCGCAGCCACTTACAGCCGCCAACTAACCGAACTACGAGTAATAATTTGTAAGCGAGGATGGATGAACTATAAGCTGGACAAAGGAGGTAAATGAAGCGGCCTCAGACTGCCGGTATATCGGAGGGGAGCTGGTCGTGGTCTGAATCAGGACAGATGCTCCCAGACTGGGGTGAGGTGGTCATCTTCCCTCCTTCCCAAAGCAGCCTGTTTCACTCACTCACACTCCGGGCCGCTTGGAAGGTCATCTTCGATCTTGAGCAGCCAAGCAGCATACGAGACCAGCATTTCACGCGTGACAGTGATGCTTGCCCCGCAATGCTGGGCGTATCGAACTACTCCGTACAGTCGGGGGTACAAGAGCGTGCAGAGTCCCTGGCTCCTCGAGTACACTTCCTGTCGCCCGAGACAATGCAAAACAGCTGTGTAGCACATTGGTATGGATTGGACTAGCATGTCGAGTCAAAATAGGTGACTCTCGAGCTTCGCCACTAATTATGTTTGCTTCCGCCAAAGCAATGAGTTACTGTTCATATGCCTCCCCAGAATCGGCCCCTCACAAGTCCTTCGCCATCTTTACCTGAAGATTGCCTTCCCCTTCTGCTCGGGAAAATTTGGCCACAGGTCATCAAAGCTTGGCTGTGCCTGGGCTTGCTAGCCTTGCTTCCCTCGGTTGCATTCTTCCCATCTTCCCCCTTCCCTTCTTCCTCTGAAGCAGTACTCGAATGATGAGCATAAGCGTGAAGCCAAGACAAAAAAGGAAAACGTGCCGAGAGTGTCGAGGGGTGGTCGGTGGTGATTCTGAAATACTGGATCTACGTGTCGAGGTGTGTCGTCCATCGTGGTAGAGGAGGGCGATCTTGAAAGTTCGAGTCCTCTGATCAATCCCGCATAAATGGAACAGCAACCGATCATACTGATGCTGTCGTGTCGTATGTCGCCAAACTTTAATTCATGTCTGATGTCTCATGTGCCAGAGCGACTCGTCAAGAGGGAGCTGGCAGAACGCCCATCAAGTCGTTGGTAATCGTGCAAGTGTTGCATGTTGAAATTGAGCCGAGTAAGCCATTCAGATAAAAAGTTTGTTTGCCGTGTGGTCCTCACAAATTCCCGGTCCGGATCTGCCATGTGCTAGAGCAAACCCCGCGCCGGATCCGACATACCCATTGGTGTTGTTGTGTTCTGGAAGAGCCGACAGCGGTCTTCGAGAAGAGGTTGGTGGAATAAGGTCAGTGATAAAAGGACACCAAGCCGTCATTCCGTTTCAACGATAATCGCCGTTGCCAGTGGTTATCCTTGTACCGGAACGAAGCCTAACGTCGAAGACTACCGCATTAGTCAGATGCCATTGTAAACCTCTACGCGAACCGAAGCAAAACGCAGAGGAGATCCCTTACATGGGAACCTTGAGGTTTCAGTACTCACATCCTGTCACTTCCTCCCTGGTCGTTACCGCTAGCACCGCGTTCGATGACCTTGCGTCGAGAGCTGGAAATGGCGGCGGGTTTGCCAGCTTGCGAGGCGTGCTGAGGGGTAGGCGCCCCGGTGGCTGCGGCAGTGGCAGGGTGAGCACCGCGTCGTGGCTTCTCTTCGTCCTCCTGGGTGGTCTGGTTACCAGCTGCCTGGGCGATGGCCTGGGCATTCTTCTGGTATTTGTACACGGTCCAGTCGAAGACATAGTCGTATTGGAATGACTCCCGGACGAAGAGGTCACGGAAAATCTTCCTCAAATACGAGTAGTCGGGCTTGTCATCGAAGCGGAGAGAGCGGGTGTAGTTGAGGTAGATAGCGAACTCGTTGGGGAAACCACGGCACAGAACCTCAGTGGGGGTGGTCATCTTTTTCTCCATGATACGATCGTACTTCTGCTTCTTCGTCGCCGCCTTGAGACCTTGCCATGGGAGCGAGCCACGGCAGAAGTAGAGCATGACATAGCCCAAGGACTCCATGTCGTCGCGGCGAGACTGTTCCACCCCCAAGTGAGTGTTGATCGAGGCATAACGAGCGGTGCCGGTCAAGTTCTTGTTCTCACGGTATGGGATGTGGAAATGAGTCTTGGGGTCGCGGTATTTCTTGGCCAAACCGAAGTCAATCACGTTGACCTGGTTGCCTCTCTTGCCAATGCCCATGAGGAAGTTGTCCGGCTTGATATCACGGTGGATGAAGGACTTGGCGTGGATGTATTCGATGCGAGAGATGAGCTGGTCCGCCAGCAAGAGGACGGTCTTGAGGGAGAATTTGCGGTTACAGAAGTTGAAGAGATCTTCCAAGCTGGGGCCCAACAGGTCGAGAACCATGGCATTGTAGTCACATTCGGTTCCAAACCAGCGGACGAACGGGATCCCTACACCGCCGGCGAGAGACTTGTAGACACGAGCTTCATACTCGAGCTGAGGGTGCTTGGCCTTGACTGATTCGAGCTTAATGGCAATCTCTTCGCCTGAGATGATGTTGGTGCCCAGGTAGATATCTCCGAAACTGCCGCTGCCGATCTTTCGACCAATACGGTATTTGTTACCAACACGCAAATCCTAGCAAAATGGAAGTCAGCAACAGAAAATGGGCAGCGAACGACCACGCAGGGTGTGAAAAGTTGTGTGAATCGACGTCCAACTCTTTTGCACCCCTGTATTTCATTCTGAAACCAAATCAAACCAACTTCTGAACACCTACCATTGTCGTCATGTTGACAGAATGATGGACAGGAATGCCACAATGTGATGTTCGATATGGATGAGGGGGATAGAATCGGAGGACTTATGTTGGGAATCGAAGCGTTTGTTGGAAAAAGCGGTGGCTACTGAGGAGAGAGTGAAGCGGTCTCAGCCTGTTTCTACCTTTGATTAGCAAAGCCCACTCGCCAATCTTGACTGCCTCGGCGTGACTGCAGCAGCGTGTGAAGATTTAGAAGGCTCAAAGGAATGAGGAACCAGGTAGGTGAAAGGTGACGTGGGAGTTGGAGGTCGAGGTTCGAGGTTGGGAGTGGAGGATGAGGATGAAGGTTGAAGGTGAAAGTGAGGACGAACCGGTGTGGGCGAATAAAGGATGCTGAGGTTGCAGGGAAGGCCAAGCGGGCAGAGCGGGAAAGAGGACCGGGTGAAAGAGATGACTAACCTAGTGCAGCACTTGTCAACGGTGGAAGTGATGAGAGATGCTTGATGACAAGTGAGTCGAGGCTCACAAGTCGATCAAGCTTGGGTAAATTCCCGCTTGCTTGTGAGTTAGAGACAGTGAAGCAGTTTTGGTGGGATGGGGGAATTGAAAGGGAGTGCAAACGAGAATGGGAACGAGATGAGGGAAAGAAAACGGAAAGGCCTGCGAGGTGATCACAAGCAAGCGAAGGGCTAGGGACGGAGACCTCGAGTGGCCAATTGAAAGGGGGAGCCGCGGGTCAGTCTCTGGGTCAGAAGGGGCCGCCAGAGGGGCGAATGGGCAAATGGGGGCGCTGAGGGGTGCTTCAAGAGCAATGTGAAGGGGGGCAGTGCGGGTGCCACTTCTGTCACTGCACTCCGTTACCGACACGCCCTTGTTCACTCACAAGTGCTTGCCTCGCTGGCACCCAGAGTCACTGGCAAGCTGAGGGGTCTCGCCAGCGCCCTTTCTCCTGCAAGGCCACAGGCCTTAGGTATTCACATACCACCCTTGTCTCTAGGCAACTGACTCTGTAGCTGCATCACTTCGGCGTCTGCAAATTTACACATGAATACCAAGGCAATTAAGATGTGCTCGGCTGCAGCTGAATCACTCGTCCCCAGAAATGCTAGCAAGAAATGAAATTCCTGGTTAAACTCCGTTGGTTGCCTTTCGTTGCTGCCCAGGCGAACCAGGCGATGAGGCCCTAAGGTACTGCTCAGACGGTCGCCTCGCCACAGAGCACCTAGAGATTCGACCTACCTAGGTGTGTAGAACCCCCGCTTAAGCGGTGGCAGGTGGGTGGTCGGGCTCCTTGGCTTACCTGTTTAGGTTGGTAGGGCCTGGCTTTTAAGCATGGAAACTTCCCCAGGCGTCAAGCCTGCACCGAAGGACAATGGCCAGATAAAGTGTCGTCTAGAACGTGTCAAAATCGTACCACCCTCACCTCTTCCCTTCGACTTGTTTCGTCATTATTTGCGAACCGTTTGCCTCATCAGTTGGGCATGATTTCCATCCATTTGTGTCCCTACCCTAGCTGCTTATTGGCCTAACTCGAGTGATTTTATCTACCGATGCTGAACAAACAACTAATCGCTGCTCCAAATAGGCCTGTTGGCTTTGGAGCTTTCTTCGGCGGCTAATGCAGTCCCCCACGTCCAAGCCCGCCACCTGGAACAAAGATGACAATCAGCCTCATCAGAATGAATGAATGAAGGAAGGAATGAATGAACACTCAGGCTCGTATTAAGGTATCCGGCGGATCGAACTACCTCTCAGGCGGCACGTCAGTCGACCTTCTGCCAGCACTGCCCTCATTTGCGTGCCGTCACGTCAGCTCATGGCAAGTCACGATGCATGGTCAACGGGTTATCTATCTGCTTCATCGTGCAACTCAGATCCCACCAAATGGCCGAATTGCGTTTGAGGCTGTTTCAACCTGTTTGGATCGTCACGGTCGAGCCGGGGTCTCCTCGGTCCAGAAGCTGATCGTCTGATGATCTCCCCTGACAGCTCACCGCTGATCTTAATTTGTCTGTTGGATGGTCGACAGATTCCAGACTCCTTCGGGCCCGGCACGACGGAGGAGAGATTGTAAGTTACAAGAAATGTCAGCTGTCGCTCTGGAAAAACATCACAGAGCTACAGGATGCTGCTAGCCCGGTCAGCCTGGCCCTGTCGAACATGGCCTTGAGGCGAGACCGACAACGACCGCCACAGCGGCCCACCGGTTTAGCCACCGTTGACTTCTATCCTCGTACTGATCAAGCCACCCGCTCGTGCCGCCCACCAAAACCGATAGACCCGAAGCCATGACGTCTTTATTAAGACCTAGTCAACTAATATTTGAAGGTTAATTCGGAACAAACGTGCATGCGAACCTTGTTTTGAACTGCTATGCTGAAGCTATACTCGGTACTGCGAACAGGATTCATTGAACACTTCAAAACTCCGAACTGGACACAAATCGAGCTCATGCAAAGCATCTGCCTCGACAAGGACCTTTCTTGTCCACCTCGCCCTTTTCCTTGTTCTGCAAATATATACCCTAGATTTTGCGGTCTGATTTGACATCAGGCTTGTGTTCCTGAACCGTCTTTCTCTTCCGACCCGGTCGAACAACGAGCGGAAAGGGTTATGCCTGGGTTTGGACCATGTCTGGCGTCCTCCAATGCCGGCATAACTACTTGATTAGAGAGTGGTAGTTCTCGTCAGAGGTCTGAATACTCATGCTTCATCGCACTACGCGGGTCTGTACGGAATTGAAAACGCCGTCAAGGAGAGAGGTCGTTGGCAGCAATGAATGAAATCCATATGGAAAACGAGCTCCTTCTGAAGGAATATCTCAGACCAGTCAGAGATGGTTGCGCGATTCTCTTCCTCCGGACTCACTGTCCCACTTCGGAGCTGATGCCGGCGGGAAGCCTCCGCTATCGGCGGACTTAAATCAACTACCGATGGAGATCTACGCCGCCGCAAAGTCGACCTCCTCGGCTCCATCATTGGTACGGCGACGGGCGATAGAGCTTTCTATCTCCACCTTCACTGTCTTCCCTCGTTGTTGAGTGCTTGAATCTTGCAGGACCATAGCTGTTGCTTCTGCCGGAGGTATAGAGCAAAGAAGGCGTCTGCGTGGACGGCCCATTCGGCAACCACCAACGATAAATAGACTGCGTCCAACACAGGGCGGGACATAATCTGACTCTCTGGATTGGGATCTTCTGCGAGAAAAACACACCAGTCTGCACGGATATCGAGGATACAGTCACAATGCGGCCAGCAGAATCAACCTCCCATCCCTACATCCTAGAGACATCCCGGGGCTCGCTCAAGGGCGTGGAACAACGCAACCTTGAGGGAACACCAATTCTTTATCGCTTTACCAAAGTCCCCTACGCACTGCCACCCACGGGGCCCCGTCGCTGGCGTCGCCCCCAGGCATTACCACAGGACTTTACATTCAACAACCCGCAAGGCGCTCCAGGGGACTATACACGTTTTGGGCCCATCTGCCCACAACCGCACTATGACCATGGCTCGATCGCCATTGCGAATCCGAATGCAGCTCCGCCCGTCAAGAACGAGCAGGACGAAGACTGCCTCTATCTGAACATCTGGGTACCGGCTTCGCCTCCTCCAAACAAGAAAGGGTGGCCGGTGCAGTTCCACATCCATGGCGGCTGGCTCCAGGTCGGCGACGCCCTACAGCAGAACGACTCAGACCCCTTTGACCTGATCGCACACACGACGCCGCGCATCATCGTCTCACCCACCTATCGGCTCAACCTGTTTGGCTTCCTCGCCGGGTCACATCTCGCCAGCCTCAAAGAAGATGCCTCGCCGTCCAATTACGGCTTCTGGGACCAACGTTGTGCGCTGGAGTGGGTGGCTCAGAACATCGACCTGTTCGGCGGCGACGCGTCCAATATCACCGTGGGAGGCCTGTCGGCGGGTGCCAACAGCACTTTCTTCCAGCTGAATTACGACACGCTCTTGCCCCCGGAACAGAGACTGATCCGGCGAGTCTACCTGTGGTCCAATGCAGTGGCGATCCAGCCGAACCCGACCACCTCGCCGGTGTTGACGCAGCAGTTCGACGATCTCTGCGAAAAGTTCGGCATTCCCGCGTCCAGCAGCCCCCGCAAGAAACTTGACCGGCTTCGCCAGATCCCGGCCAAGGACCTGATCGCGTCGCTGGCCACGATGAAGATGCACACCTTCCGCGCCTCGACCGACGACTGTTTCATCCCCGCCACCTTCCTCGCGGCGCAGCACTCTGGGTCATTCACGACGCGCCTCGCCGAGAACGACATCTCGGTCGTCCTCGGCGAGGTCTGCGACGAGAAGGAGCTCTACAAGATCGTCAATCCGCCCTCGTCGTACGATGGCCTCATGACCCAGTTGGCCAACTACTATCCCGCACACGTGGTCCAGGCCCTGCTGCCGCTATACTCGCTGCCACAGCGCAGCTCCACCAACGCGGCCGAGTGGGCCGAGGTGTTCAGCCAGATCGTGGCGGACGCACAGGTGCACGCCTCGCTGCGGGGACTCACGCACGTCCTGCTCAACCCGCCCTTAAAAGGGCCCGGCGGCAGTGTCGTCAAGCCTCTTCCCGCGGCCAACGTGCACCGGTACCGCATCTCGTGGCGCGCTCAGAACCTCGACCGCTGGATCTCGCCATCGGTCGGGGTCTGCCACGGCCTAGATGGCCCGATCTGGTGGGCCAGCGGCTGGCGCGCCGACTGCACCGACGAGGACAAGGCGGTGATCAAGCGCTTCCTGGCGCCGTTCGGTGCTTTCTTGGCTGGGGAGCCTCTCCCGGGCAGCAGCGGTGCTCGGTACATCCAATGGTGGCTGGATCCGCGGGGCAACGTGGTTGAGGACAAGGAGGACGAGCTGTGGGACCGCGGAATGCGCATCTGGGACACGGTGTGGGCATCACAGAAGGGCCTGGTGGCCAAGGAGAAAAGGGAAGGGAGCGAGAGCCGGTTGTAATATTTTATACGGAACGAATGATGAATTCTTGTGGGGAATTGAAGAGGACGAAGAGGCGGAAAGAAAAGCACGATAGGACGTGGTGGTTCCCCCTCCCCCTTCGCGGTATGAACGTGAGATGGATTGCAGGACAATAGAAAGCTAGCTCGACCACTTCTCTATTACATGTGTAGTAGATCTTGAAGAGCCTTTCGTCACAAACGAAAAAGTACTGGGTTATCCGTGGATCCGAATATCAATCAAGCTATACGAATACTTCTCATCTGAGGCGACAGACAGACCGTGGATGGTAAGTAGAGTAATGAGGCTGGCCACAGAGCTCGCTCAACTCCCTCGTCCGCCTTGCCCCTAGTCTTGCTCTTGCAGAGAAACACTTCACCTCCCTTTGCCACCTGGTCCTTGCCCATCCGTCCGTCCATCCATCGACGATGGCAAACTTTTTTGTTTTGGTGGCGTTACTCGACCAGCTTCTTCAAGTCGGGTCTCTCCTTGAGTTCCTTGAGCAGCTGCTGGAATGGCTCGTCGTCGTAGACCTCCGCCTGTTCCTTGAAGAAGCTGATGTTGTCTTTGAGCCATGTGCCTTCGTTGTCGGCCTGGAGTTGTGGGAGAGAGGATGAGAACGTCAGCATGAACAGGAACGTGAGCATGAGTTTGAGGCATGGACTTTGAAGGACGAGGACGAGGAGGAACAATTGCTTATTGGTTTGGAGGTGGGCCGGTGGGTTTTGGGAGGGCTCTCTTCAAAATACTCATTGATACTCACACTGGGAAGAAGCACGCCGTTCTCGAGCCCGCCGATGACGGGCGTGAAGCCGACAATATGCAGTTTGCGCGCCAACCGCTCGTCCTTGCTAATCTCGCCACTGTGACCGTTCACGCCACCGTTGGTCGGGCCTCCCGCCTGCTTCGGCCCGTTGACGACCTCGTACCAGGCCTCCTGGAGCCGCAGGGCGAAGGCGTCGAAGCGCTCCTTGGTGCGCTTGGGCCCCGTTCGCACCGTGCCCATGATCCGGTTCGGCGACGTCAGTCCGCGGTTGTACGGCTGGCCCGCCAGGAAGAAGTCGCTGGCCGCCTCGCCGGGAACGTAGTGCACGTTGACGAACAGCGAGGGGGTCAGGAACTCGGTGCTGTGCAGCACCGTGATCTTCTCCGCCAGCTGTGCCTTTTGGTACTGCGTGAGCGGGTACGAGTGTTGGATCTGACAAAGAGTGTCAGCGGGCATGGTGAGAAACAGGTCGGTCGTTGCGTTTGGTGTACAGCTCATGGGATACAAATGGAATCGGTCGCATCGCTCGATCAATGATGGCACAGCGACTTACCTTGTAGATAGGCATTTTGGCGTCAAGTCTTTGCTTTGATGCTGCTGTGGTAGGGTCCTGTCTTCCTGGGTAGGCACAGATGGTTGACTGGGTCAGAGTACGTGAGTGAGTATCGTCTCAGAGAGCGATGAAGTGGTCGTTGAGTGCTCCATTATATAGATCGATGTGCCAGACGGATCTGCAATACGAAAAGTCAATACTCATGCTCTGACATCCAATCATCACAACCCCCAAGAGTCAGATCTTCATCCCAAGTTGATCAGTATTCAATAAATGCCACGTCTCCTCACAGCGTGTCGTCCATCCTCGGTCCAGCTTAGGTTCAACAAGCATGAGACATTGTGAGGGTGTGTCGTTCGTCGCCCAGCTCTGTGCTTCCTCGACCACCCCTTGTGGAAGCGGCCGTCGAATCGCCGACAAGCACAATACATACCTAACATAATCGTGACAAAATGCGAGGCCCCGGGTTGAGTGATGGTCCATACAGTAACAAACAGGGCAGACTTTCCATGCGACTTGCTTTGATTAGTTGTCGAATGGCCACTTGGCGCACGTTCTCACATGCAGCATACGTACGACAGGACGTGAGCGATCAATCATGTCGAAGGACGCAGGGCAGGTGGTGTAAGATGGGGCGGGGGGGGGTGGTGGACAATGGCGGAAACTGGTGGAGGATGGCGGAGGCTGGTGGGATTCAACGGACCTTTGACGGAGAGGCGCAAACAGATGTCGTGTACGAGTATTATGTATCAGTTTGATCATCTGGACTTTAGGGGCAAAGCATGACTTCCCTGGCTTCAATCATTCGGACATAGGTGCCTGCAAATGCTTTGTTCAGCAATGTACCACGAGTCGACGTCGTGAATAAGGCTTAAAGTGTTTACCTGCAATCTTCCACCGCGTATCAAGCGTCCTCAATCCCTCCTTGAGGATCTCCACGCTCCGTGCGTGGTCACTGTTGGAGCTCTCTCGAATCATACGCACGTAAAAGGCCGCCGAGCGATACAGCCAGTGCAGCACGAAGGGAGCCACCATCTCGACGGGCAGTGCATTGCCCTGGAGAAAGTGACTCCCCGAGGTCGCGCAGGTCTTCGAGACGCGCTCGAGCAAATCGCGCGCGTGGTCGCGACGTCGGAGCTCCGCCGGGGTCGAAGGGTCGTCGATGTTGAGGGCGTCGTCGTACAGGACGAATAGAGAACTTTCCCCCCTGATGATGAGCCCCGGAGTTCCAGAGTGAATGTCCTTCAAAAATATCCCACTCACCTGTAACAGATCTGGGCGTGAGCGCCTGCAGGACCCTTCAGCACGCCGCTGACCATGCGGATGGACATTTGGATCGCCTTCTCCAGCTGACGTTCCTGGCTCTCGCGAAATTCTGCATCCATCGAGTGGTCGCTAACGTGCTCGAGGACACGGCAGAGGAGATGAGTAGCCTGCGCCAGCTTGGCAAATCTGCCCATACGCTCCGTCGCGGGACACGAGATGGTCATCTTGTCGTATGGCGTAACCATGCCGGCATCCCACGCCACGTCGTTGGCGGGTAGCAGATCTGTTGGGGCCGGATTATCGGTCTCAAAAGTGCGTCTCCCCGGACAGCTGATGTTGGCGAAGCGGTCGAGAATGAGAATGGCCCACCAGGCCCGTCTCTTCTCCTCCGACTGGAAACAGTCGACACATTCTCCCGGACTGTCGGTCAAGGTCAGGTTGATTTCCAGAGCTCTCCCGTACCTCGCGCAGGCGGCCACGGACAGAAACGCCGACGGATAGATCCCGTGGGCGAATTCGTAGACGGCGATCAGCAAGGCGGCCTGCAACCCGCGGATGCTGAAGGCGCCGGCCACCTCAAGCTCGGTGGAATAGCGTTTTGCAGCCAGATACAACGGCGTCCGGGGATCTTGCCTCTCCTCGCCCGGCCTCCAGATGATCAGTTTCATACAGAGAAAGAGTAAGGCGACGTCTCCTTGCCTGGGCACCAGCGGGTTCAGGAGACGGTTGTAGAACGAGTGCTTGGAAATGATAGACCACCAACAATGCACCGTCCCAAAGTATTCTGCCGCGTCCTTCTGAATGGCGGCGAGATCGCCCAGTAGGCGTGAGACACTGTGAGGAACGGCCGAGGCGACATCTGCGACCACCATGCGTCCGCATCTGAAGATTTCGTGATCCAGGAAATAGACGACCAATGCTTCTGAGGACTGAGGTTCAACTTGTGGTTTGTCGGACACAGCCACCACAGATTCTTCTCCCTCCGGTGCAGACGTCGAGGCCCGACGTTGAGGATAGACACATCTCCTCCGATGTCTATGTAAAGACGCCGATCAACCAATGTATGGTGCATTCTCTCTCTGTTGATTGGCTGCATGACCAAAGTCGAAGCACCGACTCACTCACCTTCGGCAGAGAGAACACTCCGGTAAAGTCTTGTCGCATCTCCGTTTCCTCTTGCGACAGAAACTGCACGATAGCAGGGCGCGAGAAGGGTGACGTGATACACTTGCCAGCGGGCTTGTTTCAGGCGAGAAACTGGCGCCGTCTTCACTAGCTTCCATGATCAATAGAGCATCTGGACAAGTCGTGGTAGGGGAGAGAGAATCAAGGATAGTCTGTTGTGATATTCCACCTCCGCCCGTCAAATGTCCGGGCACATCATCCGAAATTGTGTGTCAGACTGACATATAATATATATAATCGTGGTTGGCCGTATTCCTTGACGACTTCTCTGGATTGTTCTTCAATGCTATGATATATTTTGCGTATTTCATCTTCAGTCTCTCGTCATGCCGAACGAACGTCTAGTTGGGATTGAGGATGAATCTATGGTCGTGATTGCTATATAAAGGCACCTCAAGCACGCAACCCCATCCCACTTGTCTCCTTCTTGGGTCCCTGCCCTGAAGCAGACAGGAGGATCACAGCAGATATCGGAAGTTCCTGTTCTCCTTGTCTGTCAAGTCGAGGAACTCGTAATCTGCTGGTAGATCCTGGGGCTCTTCGCGGTCCCGCTTCTTGTTTTCCCACGCGTACAGCAAGTCCAGTGCAACGGCTAGCATTATGGCGATGGCGAGAATCACCACAATGGTAAGCTTAGCGGGGATGTATTGGGGCGCATCCTTGGCTCGGAAGGTCTCAGGTCCGATGATCTAGTGAAGGGAGTGTCAGTCAGTCCATGTCAAGCGGGGGTATCTGAGCGAATGCACGAAGAAAACTTACGTTGCCCACGCAGAAACTCATCAGCACGATTGCATTCATCGTGATCTTCTTTGTATGTCCAGCATCTGACTGGTCAGCATCATATCCTGGAAATTGCATGTGAGCAGGACTTACAGTTTGAGGTGATCCAGCTGTACAACAGCGGAAGGGCTTGTGGCTGTCAGCAGCTGTTACGACATGTCGGGATCCAGTGCACACTTACTTGAACCGACAGTGTTGGTCATGAAGTTGCCGGCTAGCAAACCACCCTTGTTATCCGGAGGCAGCCATGCCATCAAAGCTCCGCCGATCAATGTTGGAATGATAAGGACAATGATGGCGATGCCTCTGCCGTTGTATCTGCCCGCCCACCATGTTCCGAAGCCAACCGACACAAAGGCCACCGCGCATCCTGGCAGGTTGAGGAGGAGAGTCGTGTATTCATCATAGCCAAAGCTGTGGAGAGAGGTCAGGTCAGCGAGCAAATACGGGTGAGGACCGGGTGTCACATACTTCTCGATGATGATGCTTGAGAAAGAGCTCACGGCACCGTTGGGCACATTGGTGGTGATGACAACCAAGCTCAGCAACCAAGTCCTGTAGTCCATAAGCACCTCCTTGACTTGCTTGGTCTTCAACTTCTTGTTCTCGATTCCCGTCTGGTTCTCACGGACTCGCTCGATGATGTAGACCTTCTCCTCTGGGGACAACCGGCTTTTCATTGGGTTGTCTGGAAGGAAGAGCACCACCAAGATCCCGACGGCAATGGTGATGAGCCCGAAGACCAGGAATAGAATCTGCCACGACTTGAAATGGACATGCGGGTGGGAGTTGGTGTAATGCAAGAAGCCATATGAGGCTAATGAAGACACCGCCGGTGCCACCGATGTCTACCACATACCTGTTAGCTTGCACCCATGACAGCCGGGTAACGACGATAGGTCTTTGAATAGAAAAGGGTACGAACGCCTTGATACCAGATTCCCATTCGCGAGACTTGTTCATGTCGTTTGTACCACATGGCCGTGAGGATGACAAGGCTGTAACCGTCAGACATATATACCTGGCATTTGATACGGATCACACTTGCCTAGGAGCGACACACGACTCAAACACGCCGAGCAAGACTCGGAGAGCAACAATGGACGCGAAATTGCGGCACACACAGTTCAAGGAGACCACAATGCCCCAGAGAATCACTGCATACATTAGTCCTTTTGTCCCTAAGGATACCGAGTATTGCAATCTCATACCATTGCAGCCCAAATACTTCGCCGTCGGAAACTTCTGGATGAAGAACGACTGGAATGGTTCGCAGAACAGGAAGGAGACATAGAAAGCGATTGCCAAGTTTGAGAAGCCATTCGCCGGCATGTGAGTGTCTTCAATGACCCCCATAATTGCAGCATAGGAGACTAGTGTCGCTGTCAGCAGCATTCGACATAGGTTTCCCACACGTGAACTCACGCAAGGTCTTGTCGGTGTATTGCAAATAGTAACAGGCGAACATCAGCGGCATGATCATCCAGTCGACTTTTCGCATGAGCTTCTTCTCATCGATATCCACCGCCTGCCCCTGCTGGGCATTCTCCCGCAGAAAACCCAGAGCGGCATCCACATCCTTGTAGTCAACAAGTTTCTCGTTGATGCTTCCGACCGAGGTCACCCTGGTCTGGGGTATTTCGATGTCGTCCTTCATGGTTGGGGACTGAATAGAAACTCGACGCTCTTCGTGGAAATAGGAGAGGCTTTCCTACACACATCTTGCTGTCAAGATATACCTGGCTCAGGGTATGTAGCGGGGACTGTCCTGTTCGGCCACATGCCAATCGACTTGGAGCTGCCTATCATAACGGCTTATCTCAAATATCCAAGATTACAACCAATGACTTAATTATGCGCCGGCGACTCGTTGACTTGGAAGTTCTCGACCTGCCATTGTAAGAAAGGTCGGTCCAGAAACCCCAACGGCAGAGGGATCCAAAGGAGATGGCAGACGTGGCCGGGTGGTTATCTGCGTCTTCCCTTTGTTGCTCCCCTCAGGATCTGCAAGTGCGGAGATCAAGATAACGAAGCATCAAGAGGCCAAATGCCTTTCAGGAGGCCACGGCAAATCGTTTAGCATCCACTGTCTATCGTAGCGAGTTTCGTAGTCGGAGATGTGCGAAATTGGGGTATGTTATTCCCTGGAATATGCATAGACTCGTAGACGGCGCGTATAACGAGTGGTGATCCTGATGCCGCCGCGTCAAGGACCTTTCCTGGTTTGGACACGCCGCTCGCACTCCCGCAGCCTTGCCGATATCCATGGATGCTGTCAAGGTTGTAGTTGCCAGGTCTGGCAAAGCCTTGACATGTAGGCCATAATATCGTTTCTCGAGACGAACTATTGAGTGCCGTGGGTCTGGTGCCCGTGGAGAGAGGCGCATGGACTTCAAGCTGGGGGCGCGATAAACAAAAGGTCCAGGACGCTTCTGGCGGTACACTCGCGGTTAAAACGGAAGGGAGATTAGTAACAAGAACTCTCTCAAGATGGTTGTTCACATTCTGACAGCTCTAGATTCGATGCTAGAAGGCACAAAGCACTCTGGAAGGATTATGGTGGGGAATAGCATGAGCAGAACGAGAGTGGGAAGGAGGAAGTTATGTTCAATATATTTCTTACCCAAAGGTGCTGATGGCTCGGTGTTCTCAGCTCTCCTGATGAATGTGTTGAAAGTTTTGGCACCCTCCTTTCCCCTTGTGCCGCAAACCACGTCAAATCGATGCAAGACCTAAGTCTCTCTCTGATCGTTTGCAAGAACCAGCGGTAGCTATGCCTGGGAAATGATGATGGAGACAAGGCGTCCGGCAATGTACCTGAGCAAGCCGGGGGGCTACGATCTCTGCTTCTCCCAAACGCTGCGGCAACAGGAGGAGCATTGGTCAATGCAGCAGTATAAGACAACCCCTCGACGTCACCTCTATTCCTCGCTGGGCGGGCTAGAACAAGTTGTCTATCATATAGCAGCATCAATATTACCACGACATTGACATTGAGAGATCCAACACCAGAAAGAGCACCGTTTGAACCAGCATTTGCGGCTGAATGAAGACCAATAGCAGAATTCGACACACCAAGGTGAGCGACACGTGGTGTCCATCGGTCCTCAGGCAAAATCGATGTACCAGCAAGATCGCGCAGCCATGTTTAGGAATGCCGGGACTTGGGCACGGATGTCTTCTCTCGTCAAGATGCAGTCATGCCCCGTTCAGCACCTTCGAGAATGATCGTCGTAACCATGTTCACCAGGCGTCCTATACGTCGTCGCGGCAGCAACCTCCAGCGAGAAGAGCATCCTCCAAACCAGCCTTCCGACATGGTCCAGCCCAGCCAAGCACTTTCTGTAAATAGAATAGTCACTCACTAGGAGGCTCCCCGTGCTTCCTGTGTAAGTGCAACCAGGAGAGTCTCCGATCGCTGCGGTCTTTGCCCGTCCTGATACTTGCAGCCAAGTAAGTTAAAGTGCTGTCCAGGTCATACGTTGATGACATTGGGACACTGCGTTCTCATGCAAGGGATGTCTGCTCTATGATCAAATACCAGATACTGCAACGTCTCAACCTGTTGTGTGAACTGTGATGAGAAGCACCTAACTTACTCTAAAGCAGCAGGCCATGCGCCTTCAAGTGCATCGCGCTATTCGCGGAATTTGCCCAGTAGCTTCGAGGAATTGTCCCCTTCTGGCTTTCTGGAAACGTCTGTACTCGTGTGATGAGAGAAACCCACGGGACCCGGCACCTGTGTACAGGGCATCTGGACCGACACATTTCGGTCTCGACGTGCCATGAACTGCACAAATCTTTCGTCAATGGCCTGCTGGGCGGCTTCAGAGGTGCTGAGTCAGAGTTGGCACGCCTTCAAGTCGAGATGTGCGCCTCCTCGATCATAAGGTCTACGCAATGTGAAAGAGGGAAATGTCATCAACAACAACCAGGACGGGGGCGGCACTCGTACCCTTTGCCCGTTTAGGCGACGCACGAGTAGGACGACAGCAGAAGGGATGGCCCGTGTTCTATATTTAAACCTGGATCCGATTAATTCCCCCATGTTTGCCCCCTTGGTCGGTCAACGAGCCGTCAGATTGGTCGTGCGACAAACACGAAACATGTCGGAAAGTCGCCGCAGACCCCTCCAGGATGTGGTTTGGTCTCCCGGACCTCATCCATACTTTATTACAGGAGGCTCAAGCCGCTGATGCCACGCAATGCGCGAGATATGCCTCAGGACGCCAGGGAGAGTATGTTCTAGCATCGACGACCACGGGCCAGCTATAAAAAAAAAGAAGCACACCCGGCACGCTACAGAAATCAGGTCACTTCTGAAAATATAGTAGACTCGCACAGACGCATATTTCTCCCCCTTGTCGACCTCGCAACGCACAGTATCTCAAACTTCGTTACACACTGCGCAAGATGAAGTCCAAGCTTCTTTTAGCCATGCTTTTCGCTGCTTCGGCGGGTAAGTTGTCTTCCCATGTTCCGATAATTCGCATTGTGGCCTGACGCTGGATTGTGTTTAGTGGCAGCAACGGTGATGGAAGAATCGGAGCCAGAATACTCCCTCCAAAAACGAGCGTTCTACAAAGATGGCTACAAGATCTTTAAACGCAAGCGAAATGCTCACGCCTGCATGATGTCCATCGTCTTCATCGTCCTCTTTCCGCTGGGTGCCATCTCCCTTCATCTTCCCCTCCGAGGCGTTCGCGTGGTTCAGTTCATTCACGCGCCAATCCAAATCCTGGGGATGGCCATGATGATTGGCGCACTGGGGCTGGGTATCGACATTGCAGACAATGATTTGAACTACTTCGCCGGCAGCACCTCGACCAAAGCACATGTCGTGATCGGCCTACTGGCAACCTCGGCGCTGATCCTCTTTCAGCCGGCACTAGGGTTATTGCAGCATCGTTATTTCAAAAAGACCGGCAAGAAGAGCATGTTCGCCTACATCCATCGGTGGCTCGGCCGCATTGCCATCTGTCTGGGTTGGATCAATTCCGGCTTGGGATTCCAGCTGGTGCCCATCTCGCTGGTGGCCACCCACTCGCTGGTCCGAAACTTTGTGATCATGGGAGTCCTAGGAGGGATCTGGTTCTTCTTGATTGGATGGGACGGATATCGACACCACTGGGCGAAGAAAGACAAGATGTCGGCATACCGTGTTGGATGGGAAAAAGGGGTGGTGCTTCGAGGTCAGCGAGGGGAGGAGGCAGGTATCAAGGACAGCAAGCCAGAGTCGGGCAGTTCTGAGGATCACCAGGATGAGGTGAACCACCAATGAAAAAGACCAGAGGCTTATATGTGTCGACGACACCCATGTACTATAGAGATACAGATCACGTGGCTGTAAAAACACCAGAATAGAAATATTAATAGAGACGCTAGAATTACCAGGACAGGACTAGTGCCTTACGTCAGGCCACTATGGCTTGGCGGCTTGGCGGCGGCAGCAGAGAAAATACTATTTAGGGAGGCTCGCTCCCCCTTTCCAAACATGCACTCTTTTCAACGAGTTTCCTCTTCAATCTTAGATACTTGTACTGCCTGTGTGCTGCATCTGATGGCTGATGGCTGGTGGCTCCCTCTCCAACTCTCCCCATGTCATTGTACCATACTTTGCTTCCTCCATGCACCGTCACCATTGACCTGTTCTCCTCTTGTCGTCGACCACTCAAGTCGATTGGTGTTGACAGAAATGAACCCTCCCTCGTATTCATCTCGATGTGATTCCCCTGAAGCACCCAGTGTGAGGTTCCAGGGTGGCTGTTGCCTTCTGACATTCCCACCCAAGCTGAGGGGCGGGGTCTCCTCCTAGCTCGCACCAAAAGCTCGTGCGAGCCAGAAACTTTCATGCTTTATTTTCTCAAGGCAAGTTGCAGCCCTGGATTTGCCGTCCAATAAGTTCCACAGAGCTTCAGGTAGGTGCCTGGTGTAGGATACTTCACTGGCTGATCTTCAAGCACTGCGATGATCATTTACGGAAGCCTACCCCTGGCCGATGGATCCGTCAATCACCAAATACCCATCTTGTGCCTCGGACAAGACGCAGCTTCTAGTTTTAGTGACAAACCCATGTGACCTCGCCATGTCTTCTGCCTCGCCCGAGTCAACTGCTCCCACTGACGTGACGCCAGCCACTTTGCCTGTTACGAGAGGCGTACTTCTCAGTATTGGAGGCGCTAAAGCTTCAGCCAGCCACGGAAACTTTGCTTGCAAATGTTTGTGGATATCACACCACTCAGGCGTAAGCAAGCATCCTGCAGAGCTATTCGAAAGGGCTTGGGTGTGTCGTTTAGGCTGTTTGGTGTGAGGGCCTAGCAACTCGAGGTGGCAGGGGATGTTCCATACTTTTGTCCCCGGGTGAGATATAAGGCCTGCAGCACTCCCGCCCTCGGTCCAACACCTTTCAGATTCATCTCTGCCATCGGTGAAATGGAGATTCACAACCGACCTGACGAATGGAAAATCGAACAAGGCTTGGCCGGTGCTAAGCTGCCGTTCCTGGATCAGACGGGGCCTGAACCAGTCTTTGTCCAGCCCAGGCCATGGCCGGAATTGACCAAGGACCAAGCAGCCATCGATGCCGTCGGAAACCGTGATGAACTGTTTACTCGTGAACTCGAAGGCTGGAAAGGGTGCGTTATTTCTCTTGACTGAAGGCGTCAATTGACGTGGTGTTAGATATGTGGAATGGGAGAAATATCCAGAGAAGAAGGAAAAGGCACATAAGATCCTGACCTCCCAGGTCTTTCCGCCCAATCCGGAGTTCCAAATGGGACCTATCCCTGACACAAACCCCGTCCTCCCAGGCACGCACTGGAAGATGTGGCACCACGCAGTTGGTGGTGAGCTTGCTGATGTCCCTGAGGATTCCTGGAGTACAGTCCTTCGTGAAAAGCATCGTGAGATGTTGCATCTGCTGCAATTTCCGTACAATGGGGAACCTCCCAAGAGGTTGGTGACTGACAAAGCCGTGACACCGAATTCGCTGCACTTTGTACGCAACCATGGCGGCATTCCACTCATCGACAAAGATGAATGGAAGCTGGATTTGGATGGGCTGGTCAAGAATCCGCGTTCATTCTCCTTTGCAGATATCACGGATGAGTCCAAATTTCCTCGCGTGGAGAAGTTCGTCACGATGCAATGCTCTGGAACCAGACGGATTGAGCAAATCTCGCTTTATGCGGGCCAGGGAGATGAGGTTCCCCAAGCACCATGGGCCGAGGGAGCCATAGGAACCGCGAAATATCTCGGGATCAACCTGAAGGATGTTATCGAAGCCTGCGGTGGCCTTGTTAAACCAGCCAAACATCTCGAACTTTACGGCGCTGAGACCTACTTCAAGGACAACGAAGGTGAGTAACGCTCGAAAAAGGTCGACGACTGTTAACGCCAAAGGACTATTTCTAATATCAATAGTGATGAACTACGTCGTGAGTGTCCCGTGGTCCAAAGTCAAATACGACGAAGTCCTCCTCTGCTGGGAGATGAACGACGAACCACTGCCGGCCATCCACGGCTACCCGGTGAGAATCATGGTGTTGGGCTATATTGGCGCTCGAAGCGTGAAGTGGGTTTATCGGATCAAGGCAATTGAGAATCCTTCTCTTGCACCTGTCCAAAGTAAAGAGTATCTCTACTTCAAGTAAGTGTCTTCTGAGTTTCTTCGGTCCCAAGGCTAGAGACAAGTTCTGCTGTTCAGTACTTTCAATACTGACCAGAAGTAGTCAACAGACCGGCAAGCACAATCAACAACCGACAGACGGCATTCAGATTCAGGAGATGCCCGTGAGCTCAGCCATCATGTCTCCGTGGACCAAACAAGTGGTGATCCACAACGGCAAGATCCACTGCAAAGGTTGGGCGTATTCGGGCGGTGGACGATGGCCAGAGCGGGTTGAACTGTCGGCAGACGGCGGTTTCAGCTGGTATGCAGTGCCCAATGCCAACCTCTCCAAGAAGGGCAAATGGACCTGGAGAACGTGGTCGATTGACCTCCCCTGCGACGTGGAAGGCTGGGTCGAAATTGTGTGTCGCTGCTGGGACAATTCATTGAACACACAGCCCCTGACGGTCCGTGCCGCCTGGAATTGGGGACTCCACGTCACGAGCTCAGCACACAGGATCAGTGTTTACAGTATCAACAAGAGCCGGCCGCGTACCGCAGAGAGGTTGAAGCAATTTGAGGCTACCGGCTCGCCATTGGCACCTCTCACCTGGCCCGAGGAATTTCCGACCCAAACCTGGGAGAACTACAAGAAATTCTGGGAGGAGAACGAGCCGAGGGACGCGGAAGACTGAGATGAATCTGAATGGTGCCCGGCTTCATACCGACCAGCCCACGCTACGACAAACGTGACGCCGGATATGACATAGGAGAAGAAGTATGTCGCTATTGCTTCCCTTTCTCAGGCTGGAAGGTAGTTCCCCGCGAAGAAAGTGAGGACAAAGCGAGCATGGACCCAAGGACACCTCTGGAGTGGGGATGATGTGTACTGAGAACCTTCCCTTGCATGCTTTTGGGAGTTTCGTCTTCCTGTCCATCTTTTCACTGCTGCTCTATAGCTCGACCCGCATGACGCCAATTACTTGATACTTTGCACTACTTTTCCGCTGCAGCTGTCACGACCATAAGTCAGGGGGGTTGACAGGCCATCATCAAAGAGCGCAAGAACCTTGGCCAGGCCTTCCTTGCTCGACAGGGCCCTCCTTGATGGCCGAAACTCTGTGGACGTTTGAATTTTTTGGTGCTGTATGGAGATCTTTTCCTCTATCCACACGGAGATCATCTCTTTCTCTCCACGTTTATCTGCGACGCGACTCGTCTCCAGGTTACAAAGCACGAATGCCTGAACCATTTGCGGCATCGTCGAGCAGACGATTGGATGAGGGCGGCCCGAATAGCTTCTGCTTAGTTGACAGACCCTAGCTCGCGAGGGACAAAGCATTCGCGCGAAGCCTCGCGCGAAAGGCTCTCGACACAACCACCCACCGGCACATGCTTGGGATACGAGCAGCCAACCATGTCAGCAGGGCCCTGGATGCCCATGCTCTTATGGGCAATTCTCGCATTGAGCGTGCACCGGGCCCGGGGGGGGGAAGCGTTGAGACACAGCAAATTGACTGCGAGCCATTGACAAGCAGCGTTCGAATCGGCACGCCTGGAGCTCCAAGCGCAGTCACAGCGCTGAAGTGACTAATCGCGCGACAGTGCACGATGTATCGAGACCGTGTCGAGTCATGGTCTGTTTGATCACCTGAGAGCTCAAGTACTAGAGATATATCTATGCCAGAGGGCCACCAAATCATCAGCACGTTCGAGAGACAGTGCCCGTGCAATAACAGGTCAGTCCAAGCAAGCATGTCTCAATCTCACTATACACTGGCCGAGGGGGTCTCCCTGCCTCGAAACGACACTATCGAGCAGCTGTCGACGGGCTCTGGCGGTGGCTATGTCCTCTTAACCAGCACGCAGCTGCTGGAGAACCTCGCGCACTTCTCTCGCGAGAGGATTCCTGAACGGACTGTTCACGCAAAGGCTTCCGGTGCCCGAGGCTACTTTGAGGTGACTGACGATGTCTCGGATGTGACGGACGCAGATTTCCTCAATGGCATCGGAAAGAAGACTGAAGTGATGATGCGTATCTCTACCGTTGGACCTGCTCGAGGCTCTGCGGACACGGTTCGCGATTTCAGAGGGTTTGCCATCAAGTTCAAGACGAACGAGGGAAACCAGGATTGGGTCTTTAACAACCAAGTAGGCTGGCCTATTTCCTATCATTCCTCCGCCCTCTGGAGTCGTTTGGACACAAAGCTCACACAGACGTCAACGTCGACCAGCCCGTCTTCTTCGTTCGCGACCCGATGAAGTTTCCCTCATTGAATCGAAGCCACAAACCGCACCCGACCACCAACGCCTCGGACGCCAGCATGTTCTGGGACTTTCACGTCAACAACCAGGAGAGCATTCACGCGCTCATGTTTCTGTTTGGGGACCGCGGCCTACCATCATCGGTGCGCCACGTAAACGGCTACAGCGGCAACACGTACAAGTTCACCAAGGACAACGGCGCCTCGTACGTCTACACGCGCATCACTTTCAAGACGGTGCAGGGCATCCACTACTACACCAACGCCGAGGGCGCCGACATCGCCGGCAAGGACCCGGACGCGCACCTACTCGACCTCCAGAACGCCATCAAGCGAGGCGACTTCCCCAAGTGGGACATCTATATCCAGGTTATCAAGCCCGAGGACATCTCCAAGGCGCCCGTCAACATCTTCGACATGACCAAGGTATGGCCCAAGGCGCTGTACCCGCTACGCAAGGTGGGCCGGGTGACGCTCGACACGAACCCCAAGAACTGGTTCGCCGAGATCGAGCAAGCCGCCTTCAGTCCGAGTAACATGGTGCCAGGTATCGCACCCTCGCCGGACCCCATGCTCCAGGCCCGAATGTTTGCCTACCCGGACGCCGCGCGCTACCGGCTGGGCGTGAACTACCAGTTCCTGCCGACCAACGCACCAAAAGCCCAGGTCTACTGCCCTATTGAGCGCGATGGCTTCATGAACTTCACGCCCAACTACGGTGCTGATCCCAACTACGTGGGCACAAAGCTCAAGCCCGTCACGTTCTCGGACCGCACCAGCTCCGCCAAGGTCGCCAGCACCGATTTCAGTGTCACCCAGCAGACGAAGCAGCAGCTCACTCTGGGTCGGCTGGACGAGGTGCAGATCCCCTCCCCGATCGCGGCCTTCACCCAGGTCGACGCTCACAAGGACTTTGAGCAACCCATCGCGTTGTGGAAGATTATGGGGAAGCAGGAGGGCGCGCAGGCCCGGTTCATCGACAACGTCGCCGCCCATGTCAGCGATGTGGAGGAGAAGTGGTTACGGGAGGAGGCCTACGGTGAGTCTTGCCCTACTTCTGGTTTTTGGTTCCCAATTTTATGTCTTCCTTCCCATTTTTTGATCCCCCCATATTAGTTTTATTTTCTCTTCGGGTTCCTTTTGATTAATAGTTATTGTGTTACTCTCCATCTCGTCGATTCCACCACCATTGTTTATGTATTTGCCTGTATAAATATATCTATGTTCAGGTGTCACCTTTACAGATGAATCATCCACTAACATCCGCTCGTCCCTGCCCCAGCCATGTTCGCCAAAGTCGACGTCCAACTCGGGGAGAAGATTCGCAAGGTCGCCGAGACCAAGATTGACAACGACCACAAGCACCCGCACAAGTCGGCGTGGCATTGAGCTAGCGAGCTGGCTCTGCTGGTGGTGCTGCATGGATGTGTAATCCGTTGAGCATGCACGATGGGGATTCAGGACATAGAAGCTGAAACATGGGCCAGCCTCGACTGCCGAGTTCTCGTCAGTTAGAGTTCCGAGCCTGATGCAAATGCTGGAGGTACGGATGGGCATATGTTGTACTCTTCTTCCCTGACCCAGAGACCGTGCAAGGGAGGATGGGCGCATCTTGTTCCCCTATAACTGCAAACATAACGGTTAACTATGTATTTCCTGCTGGCTGCCCCAGGTAGGTAGGTAGGAAGGTAGGTAGGTATGCGAGGCTCTGACTCCGAAGAGATATATATGTATCATCAGGGTATACAGTATACATTTCCCGTACCCTGTTTCCTCCCCCCCAACCCCCCTTTCCCTTTGGGCTTTCCTTCCTTTCTTCCTTCCTTCCTTCCTTCTTTCTTTTTTTTCAGTCTTTCAGTCTTTCAGTCTTGGGGTCTTGGTCTCAATACTGGTTGGCTCGGGCGAAGTCGTGACAGACAGACAGACACAGATCGAGAAGTTTTAGCAAGTGCTTTTTTTCCTGTATATACACACATATATATACATATCTATATCTACATAGATAGAGAAAAGGATCCTGGGGAGAAAGGAACTAACTAGAGGCCGGCGCCAATATTGCAAAACTGAGGATGAAGACAGAAGCGTCAATCATCATGCGTATCAATTGCTGGTTATCGGGTGACATACCAGGCTAACATTGTCGTATCATTATCGTATCGTGGAATTATCCATGTCATGATAGGTAAGGTAGGTAAGGTATACTGATGCCTTTTGGGCCTTCCTTTTGTTTTCCTACGGCTTCAGTCACGTCGTAGAAAAATCTCATGTCATCCAATCTCCCTCCTATATCTGTACGTGACATCTCCCTTTCCCCCTCACGGCATCAGACCAATCGAGGGCCCCAGCGCGTTGTCCCACGCGTGCCAGTCGAAGTCGTAGAGCATCTGGCCCGGCGTCGTCTGTTCGCCCGGCATGTCCTGCGGGATCTGTGGGGTTATTGGTGGCTGTTGTCCCTCGCCCGGGCGTGTCGGCTGGTACTGCATCGTACTGTCCTGCTGCTGGTGGTGGTGTTGGTCGGACGCCGAGATCTTTTCGCCGCAGATGCACCGGCTCGACAGCACCGCGTTGGACGGGAAGAGCACGTGGTAGTCCATGCCCACCAGCTCCAGGGCCTTGCGCCGCGTGCGCACCAGCATGGTCCACGCGTCGCGTCCGGACGGCGACAGCTGGCGCCGCGGCGGGTCGCTCTGGCTGACGATGCCCTCGTCCACCTGGTACAGCTCGAAGATGGCGTCGATCAACCCCCGAGACAGAGCCGCGTCGTCGCTGTACGGGTGCTGGAGAAGGTCGGCCAGCAGGAGGGATACCGCTTGCAGAGGTTGGTATGTCCCGGGGTACATCCAGTGGAAAGGCTCGGAAATGGGATCGTTGCAGACGCGAATGAAGACTTGGATGAATGCTTGGGCGTGTTTGACGGCACTGTAGGAAAGTGGTTTAGACTTTGGTGTCCCTAAGGCAGGACCGTCGTGGTCAGAACGCTACTTACTTTGTTCGGATGTTTTCGTCTGCCACCATCGCGGGATCCCGGAAAAGGGGATGGTAGAGGACGCAGTACGCCTTGTGTACCATCAGGTGCAGGAGAAGGGCAGACCAAGCGGTAAAGTCCACGACCTCTTTATCGCTTGGGTCTGGTCGAAGAGTCCACACCCGATCAAAGTCTAGCATCACAGCAGGCCCCTGGTCGGCGGGACGAGGGGTGGTGGATATAGAGCTTTTCGTCTCCGCAGAAGCCCTCGCCTTGAGCAAGGTGTCGACAGTCGCACTGGTGCGGTCAGCTATCATGCGAAGGCGGCCGGCACAATCTGCGACCACGTCCAGCGATTGGAAGGCGTCCTCGAAATGGAGCACCAGAACTCTTCTGATCTCCCTGGTGATTTCGTAACGGCGAGATGCCACCAGGTAACGAACGTCAACTATGTCACATCAGCACGATCAGGATCTGATTAGCATAGCATCAAGGTTGTCAGCTTACCATCCTGAGGAGCACCCGGATCGTCGCTCTGGACGTCGTATTGACATATCGCATCGGTGTTTGCCATTTTCTGATTAATGAAGAGAGGTGACAGCCCAGAAGAAGATGAAGACATGACATCCAGGTGCAGAATATACCACCAAAGCCTGCGTCTGGTCTCCAGCTCGGCGGGCGACAGTCCCGATTCTGGGAGTTGGCGATGTAAGCCCATGCCGAGCGCAACGCGGAACGAGGTTGCAATAAAATCGGGCGCGTCCGAGAACTCTTCTTCTCTCACGAACTGGCTCTGCGCAATAATGTAAGCGGCCAGAGAGTAGATGCTCGGCCGTCGAGGAAACCCGGTCAGGCTCGCCGAGGCCATGGCAATGAAGTACATGTCCCCTGGATTGAGTTCGATGGACTCGCCAAAGATCCGCTCAAGACGGGCTGGTGAGGCCGAGAAGACTGCCGCAAACAGAATGGCAGATAGGAGAGAAAGGAAGCCCGGCTTCTTGCGCATGAACACGCTGGGCTCGGCATTGTGCACATTCGCAGATGGAATGCCGTCCCAGAATGTTCTGAAATCCTCGGCGAAGCTCTTCATGTGGAAGATTGGAGTCAGAGGAAAGACGGTTGACGAGAAGAAGCCGCACAGCTTCTCACAGATTTCACGACTGGGTAACAGGGCCATGACACACGAGATGTTGTAGTTCCTTCCACAGAACTTGCATTTGTTCGACGAGGACTTGGTCCATTCGAAGCCGCAATTGCGCGGTGGGCGAAACTTCTGTCCGCTCCACTCGAATCCTCCCTCCTGCATCCTACCAGGAAATTTGGGGAAAGGGCTTGTTTCGCCGAGGACTGTAGGCACGCTGTCACGGTTGAGCTGGACGGCAGTCAGCAAAAGCGTGGCTGTGGACGAAGTAACAATCCAGCAAGGGAAAAGGGCTAGGGAGCTCGAATACCTCATAGGGAATCGCATTTGCCCAGTAGGTTGAGCCCACGTAGGCTGAGCGGCCACCATCATAAACAGAAATTTGCCCTCTCTCGTGGTTGTTTGGCCTGGACACGGGCTCTGCAGTGGCTAATCCGGGTCATTAATTTGGCTGATTCAAGAGTTCTCAGTGGCAAGTTGCACTTACGCTCAATCTGAGGTACTGTTCCCCTCCCTTCCTCCGGTCTTGCATAACTTGTCGACGATGAAGATGGGAAATGCGAAGTTGACGCGGTTTGCCAAGTGGATGGTTGAGCCGCAACACTGGCACTCTCGTCGTAGACGCATTCGGTGCCACCTGAAAGACAGCGCCCACAGGTGGGATGCACCTGGAATGCAGACATTAGTACCTCCTCTATCGGATCGACACACGAGTCCAGGGTCCCCACTCTGTCACACTTCAGCCGCCGCTTGCGACAAGGAAGACACGAAGTAACAGGCCGTTGTCTTTTCTTCCCGTCCATTGTGGTTTGAATGTTGTCCGTCTCAGTTTGGGAGTGAAGCCGGACACATACATCATATAAGACACGTCGAATGGTTTCTGGGGCCCATTTAAAGCATGGGTAGTATTTCCACGGGCACTGACCAAGATGCTAGCCTGCCGATTAAGGTGTTGAACCATAAGCTTGGTGCAATTTTTCCACAGGGCGGCGACCGGTCGGATGTCGGATATGCATCGGCAAAGCATTTTCCACGCCCTTGGACTCCCCAATAGCAAAGTGTTGCAACCCCGGGGCGAGGCTCCAGTAAGCCATAGGTACTGTACCTTCAAGAGAGATCAACGTTTTAGGAGAGAAACACCTTCTTTTCCGCGTTGGCGCCAAATAGGTCCTTTTCGTAGCTTGGGACGCATCTTGACCAGTCAGCGACACGGAATAGCAGCACTCCTCAAAAGGGTCTCTTTTCGAATAGTGCGGCCTATCAGATGTCGCAATTGACTCAAGCTGGCTGCTATAGAGACAGCGAGTAAACCACGTCATGAGCCAAGTATAATCTTTGCAAAATCAATGATAATCCGAGCAGAATCAAACCTTGAGTAGATTTCTCTCGCGAGACATTTTTGAGAAACTCGCGGTCCTGGATTTATATTTCACCGGGCCGGATAAATATTGCGGCGATCCACTCCGGCCAAAAATCGCACCCTACTGTGATTGGCTCACGACGGATCGACCATCGTTGCATGGTTTGCTTCCCTGCCATCATCAACTGTCGCCTGCGCATCCGCATTGTTCGAGACACTGAGTTGTTGTCCTCTGTCGACCGCATTCTCTTACTGTGAGGGCCGCCATCATGGAGGCACCGCACATGGCCTTACGAAATCTACCCCGGCGTGCCCCTAGGCTCGCCGTTGCACTTCGACATGCGGATCGTTCGACTGCCGCTTTAGCTTACTCCCCGATGGCAGTATGGAGCAGAAGACAGTTCGCTACGACTTCGAGCCCATCATTCCCAGGCGGCCCTATGGGTATGGGCGGCTCCGGTTCCTCTCCGACATACTTCCAACGCCAGACGAGCCTACCCGCGAACACCATTATCCGATTCGTACCGCAGCAAACAGCATGGATTGTGGAGCGCATGGGCAAGTTTAATCGGATATTGCAGCCTGGGTTGGCTATCCTCGTCCCGATCATCGATGTATGCAATACATGTATCTTGAAATTCTGAGAGCAGAGACTGACACGTGAGGAAAGCGCATTGCCTACGTCCAATCGCTAAAAGAGGCGGCCATCGAGATCCCTAGCCAGAGTGCCATTACTGCCGACAACGTCACATTGGAGTTGGATGGTGTTCTTTACACAAGAGTATTTGATGCCTACAAAGCGAGGTAGGTGTGGACAATGGTTGAAGCTGGAGTGAAGTTCCACTAAAGGATGATCTAGCTATGGCGTCGAAGATGCGGAATATGCCATTTCACAGCTGGCGCAGACGACGATGAGGTCCGAGATTGGTCAGCTCACCCTGGATCATGTTCTTAAGGAAAGAGCAAATCTCAATTCAAACATCACGCAGGCGATCAACGAAGCCGCACAAGAGTGGGGTGTGATATGCTTGAGATACGAGATCAGGGATATCCATGCCCCGGAAGGTGTTGTCGCCGCCATGCACAGGCAAGTCACGGCGGAACGATCAAAACGAGCGGAAATCTTGGAATCCGAAGGTCAGCGCCAGAGTGCCATCAATATCGCCGAGGGTCGCAAACAATCCGTTATCTTGGCCTCGGAGGCATTGAAGGCCGAGCAGATTAACATGGCATCTGGTGAGGCCGAGGCTATCTTGCTCAAAGCAGAGGCAACTGCCCGGGGTATCGATGCCGTCGCGGACTCCATCAAACGGGGAGAAGCCAACGCTCAAGGAGCTGTCAGCTTGAGTGTTGCAGAAAAATATGTTGAAGCCTTCGGTAACTTGGCCAAAGAAGGAACTGCTGTTGTTGTGCCGGGCAATGTTGGAGACATCGGCCAGATGATTGCCACAGCTATGGCTGTGTACGGGAAAGTGAACGAGAATCAAACCAAGAATCTGGCAGCCAAAGTTGTTGGCACATCGACAGAGAAAGACGAGTCCCGATCGAAGGATGTTGGGGCCCGAGTAATTGAGGCGGCCCAGCACGGAGATGCAAAGGATGTTGCACAAACAGTTCTTGAAGGGTTTGAGCAGACACGAGAAGCAAGGAGATGAGCACGTTGCGCATTTCTCGGTGGCACAACAAAGGGACGTTTATCATGTCGGCGAAAAGCGAAACATTCGACTCCTTCCTGTATTACTTTGACATGGGTTGTGAAAGGGGAAAAGTCGCTAGCTGTGTACCAATATACCAGAGTGCTCCAGGACTATTGGCAAAAGTACAGACAGACAGAAAATGTAATAGGATATCACTGATTTCTACTCCATGTCGACTCTATATAAGCTTCACGGGGTGTTCGGCCTTATTGGTCAAGTCTTTGCCCCCTTATTAAGGTTGTAAATCGAAGCCTGTCTTGTCATATGCCAAACTGCGCATTGCGGACTCGCGAAACTACGTTTCAAGCGAATTCTGAACTTCTACCCCCTCCATCGCACGCACATCAGCCGCTCTTCTTCTGTCATCTTGATCCTGGCCTTTCTGTTGCAAGATGGCATAGTCTCCCCTTCTCACAGAATGTGCTTCGAGCGGCTGCACAGATAGATCCGCAATGCACATCATCAAACCCATCTGGCTCACCCATGGAGGTTCGACGTTTCCCGCACAAAACCCCCCTTTGGACGCGTCGCAAACCGCGTAGACTGTGTCGCATCCACACTTACACCACATTGATGGACTAACTGTTGGTCGTGAATAGGCGAAAAGAAAGATTTCGAGGTCTATAGCTGCCATGTCTCCCCCGACGGCAAACGTCTGGTTACCGCAGCCGGCGGTACGTCAAGATTTGTCCACCATAACAGAGGAACTCTTCGCTGATTGAATTGAAAAGATGGCTACGTGCGAATCTGGTCGACCGAGGCGATCTACAACGCGACCAATGCGAAGTACGACAAGCCCAAGCAGCTGGCGTCGATGAGTTACCATTCCGGCACCATTCACACGGTGCGCTTCTCACCTGGCGGGAAATTTCTGGCTTCGGGGGCGGATGACAAGATTGTCTGCATCTATACTCTGGACCCGAGTCCTCCCACCCATGCCACATTCGGTGCGTTGCGGAGCGATAGTCTGGCGCAGAGACGTGTGCTGAGATTGAAACAGGTTCAAACGAGGCGCCTCCAGTCGAGAACTGGCGTATCTTTCGGAGACTGATCGGACACGACAACGATGTGCAAGATCTGGGCTGGTCATACGACGGGACAATCCTGGTGTCGGTGGGCTTGGATTCGAAGGTGGTGGTGTGGTCAGGTTTCACATTCGAAAAGCTGAAGACACTCTCGAACCATGCGAGCCACGTCAAAGGTATTACCTTCGATCCCGCCAACAAGTACTTTGCGACCGCGAGCGACGACCGCACGATTCGGATCTTCCGGTTCACCTCTCCCACGCAGAATTACACGACGCACGACGCGGTGAACAACTTCACTGTCGAGACGACCATTGTCCAGCCATTCGTGAATTCGCCCTTGACAACCTACTTCCGGAGGTGCTCCTGGGCCCCGGATGGAATGCATATTGCAGCAGCCAACGCGGTCAACGGTCCCGTCAGTGCGATCGCCATCATCAACCGCGGGACGTGGGATGGAGACACCACCTTGATCGGACATGAAGGGCCAGTGGAGGTATGTGCGTTTTCTCCCAGACTCTACGGATCAGAACCTCCCACGAAAACTACACTTGACGATCATCCTACACCTCACACGACCGTGATCGCATGTGGAGGGGCAGACAAATGCCTGAGCATCTGGACGACGAGCAGTCCGCGGCCCATTGTAGTCCAGCAGGATGTGGCTGGCAAACCGATATCGGATATTGCTTGGAGCCCGGATGGACAAACACTGTTCGCCACGGCGCTTGACGGCACCATCTTGACGGTCATGTTTGAAACCGGAGAGTTGGGCTACGCAAGACCGATCGAAGAGAATGACAGGTCACTCTCCAAGTACGGCACATCAAGAAAGGGCATCGGATTTCCGGAGAGCACCGATGCACTCTTGCTCGAGGAAATGAGCAAGGCCGGTGAGCTGAAGGGTGTGGAAGGGCGCATGGGTGCGTTGATGGGCGACTTGCACGCCTCACTACCAGCGACCGCAGAAAAGCCAGCGGCAACTACAAACGGTACCACCACAAATACTCCAATCCTCACAAATGGAATGGCGGAAACGACGACGAATGGGCAAGCCGCGGCAAAGACACAAGACGATCAGAACCAGGCCAAACTGGAGAGACTGAAGAATCGAGTCGAGATCACTAAGGATGGTAAGAAGAGAATACGGCCTCTGTTAGTGTCTGGCGCCGGTGGGACGGAGTCTTCACTGCCGCAGACGAAGCTGGTCAGTGCTAGTGCGAATGTTCAGACGGTCGATGCCCCCCAGTCCGTGCTTGACCTCTCAAAACCGTTCGATGGGCTTCCCAAAGGTGGCCTGGCGGCGTTGTTGCTTGGAAACAAGCGGAAATACGCCCAGATTGAGGGAGAAGAAGAAGGTACTACGGAGAAACGAGTGGTGGCAGCAAGCCAGAAGGGGGCAACGCCCATCCTCGTTAACGGCACGGATGGCCTGTTGCCCGCACAACCGCAGCCAGCTGTGAGCGGCCAACAGGTGACACCAGAATTCATCAGGCCTGCTGTCGTCAACCAGGCTCTCGCCGTCAGTCAGCTTCGACTGGCCGTCCCCAAAGTACGGGCACATATCGTGCAAGGCATTGATTCCACCGGCAAACCAGGTGATGTCTCTGGCGACACGGCGGCCAAGTCGAAAGCCGAGTTTGTCTTCGAGGCCAAGAATCCCTCGGGACAGTCGTTAACCCCAAGAGCGCAGGATCGTGAACCCTGCCGGATCACCCTGACGAGAAAGGATCAGCCTCTGTGGCAGGATTTTCTTCCTCGCCCGGTTCTGTTGGTTACAGGGACCAAAACGTTCTGGGCGGCAGCAGACGAGACAGGTTCTATATACCTGTGGACGCCGTACGGCCGGCGGCTCAACAGTGCTTTGGTCATGGAAGCCCAACCTGTGATTCTTGCGTCCTACGATGCCTGGCTGATGTGCATCACCGCCGTCGGTGTTTGCTATGTCTGGAATATCAAAACAATGTCATCTCCACATCCGCCCGTGTCGCTCGCACCTGTCCTCGATGCGGCTGTCCACTCGCTAGCTGCTCACCCTACCGGTGCGCCTGCAATTACACAGGCCCGCCTGAATTCCGAAGGTAGGATTATCCTCAGCCTGTCAAATGGTGACGGGTATGCCTATTCGCCCCAGATGTACTGCTGGCAACGGCTGTCCGAGGTGTGGTGGGCCGTGGGCAGTCAGTACTGGAACACGACCGATTCGTCGGTGGGCAACATCCAGTCTTCGAAGGCCAGGACCGACTTTGAGAAATCCGTGGATGTGTCTTCCGGCATTGTGCCATGGCTGGAGAGAAACACAACGTCGGAGACGTTGCTCCGCGGCCGGGCATACTTCTTACAACGGCTCATCAAAGTGTTGTTGTCACGAGAAGGATTTGAAAGTTTTGAGTCTGGTGTCTCGATTGCTCATCTCGAAAACCGCATTGCTGCAGCGCTCATGCTCGGGGCCAAGGACGAGTTCCGGATATACCTGCTGATGTACGCCAAACGATTGGGCGCTGAAGGTCTGAGACTAAAGGTTGAGGAACTACTGAGGACACTGATCGGCGGGATCGTGGAATCGTCAGGTCAAGATGGAGAGAGTGTTGCAGCGACCGTCAATGCCGTGGAAGGTCGCAACTGGCAGGAAGATTCCAAGACGATCTGCGGATGGCCCCGAGAAGAGCTTTTGAAGGACGTCGTCTTGCTTCTTGGTAAGTATCTCCTCCTCACGGTCCAGAGCATTGGATATGAGAGACTAATTTTCTCAAACAGGGAAACATCGGGATCTCCAGCGGATCACTGTGCCTTACGCAAAAATGTTACATATCGTGGACGACATGCCGGAGGATCAAGATCAAATGGCCTTGTAAGCTTGCTTGCTTGCTCCATGCACGGGAGGCGTATGCAAATGGTTTGGAGTTGTCAGTGATCAGCGATATGGCCTCGAATCTTCAGTCGGGGTATGGAAGGATATTTCTTCTGGCGGGCAAAGAATTAATGAGCAGGGGGTTGTTTGTTGGCTCTGACTTGTTGCGATCTGAAAAGGCCGGTGATGGAAAAACTGAACTTCACTTGACTTTTGACTGCGTCCTCCAGTCTCCTCCTCCAAATCCACATCCAGCTGTTCTGCTTCATCAACCACTACTCCTGCTCTATCTACCGTTGCCTCGCCCGTCCGTCCGCCATGGATCCAAATCCAACCGACCTCGCCACGCCGCCAGGTCAGCGCCTCCAATCCCTCAGCGTGCCCACCTCCGTCACAGCTGTCAATTCGGCCTCCAGCTCGTCGTCACGAGTCATCACCTTCCCGTACCCTGCCACCACAGGCGATTCGTCGTCTTTCCTCAACAAAAGCTCTTCTTTTTCTCCTCCATTTACCCGAACGCCGTACAAGAAGAGCCCAGGGGAGTCGCCCGTTCGCCGCTCCGGTTACACTCGCCTACGACGTCTGGCCAACAGGGGCGTCTTGCGCTGGCTGCTCGTGCTCCTCGCCGTCTTGCTTTCCGCCCACGTCTTCCTCAGCATCTGCTGTTCCTCCGCCCGCGACGACCTCTTCTTCCTCTCCTCCTATCTCCCCAAGGAATGGGTGAGCCCAGGATTTCAGCTGCCCGGTGGTGGTGCGGGAAAGAACAACCATAAACCCCGGCAATGGCTGGAAGAAAACTCATACCCGAACGACCTGCGCGCGGACCGGCCCAACGCGGCACTGATTAGTCTGGTGAGAAACCAGGAGCTCGAGGGCATCCTGCAGAGCATGCGGCAGTTGGAGTTTCGCTGGAACCGGCGGTACCAGTATCCCTGGGTCTTTTTCAACGAGAAGCCGTTCTCGGACGAGTTCAAGGTTCGTTCGTGCAACTCCTCCTCCTCCTCCTCCTCCTCCTCCTGTTCTTCTTCCTCCTCCTCACCTTCTCTGGCGGGAGCTGACCGCTGGTGGTTTCCCTCGTCAAGGCTGCGACCTCGAACGCCACGTCTGCGCGGACAGAGTATCACCAGGTCCCTCGTGCCCACTGGAACACGCCTCCCCACATCAACATGACCCTCTACTACAACTCGCTCGACTACCTCTCGATGGCGTCGGTCGGCAAGGGCCACCTGCTCAGCTACCACTCGATGATACGGTGGCAGTCCGGGTTCTTCTACCTCCACCCGGCGCTGGCGGCGTACGACTACTACTGGCGCGTGGAGCCCGACGTGCACTTCTTCTGCGACATCCCCTACGACCCGTTCCGCTTCATGCACGCCACGGGCATGGTGTACGGCTTCAACATGGCCATCCTGGACGACGCGCGCAGCTTCGCCTCGCTGTGGTCGACCACCCGCGATTTCATTGCCGCGCACCCGGACCTGGTGCACCCGGACGCCCGCCTCGACTGGCTGCTGGACCCGCAGACGGGCCTCACGTACAACAACTGCCAGTTCTTCTCCAACTTCGAGATCGGTTCCCTGGGCTTCTTCCGCGACAACCCGGGCAACCGCCGCTACTTCGACTGGCTCGAACGCCAGGGCGGCTTCTACTACAGCCGCTGGGGCGACGCGCCCGTGCACACGCTGAGTGTGACCATGTTCGCCCCCCCCGAGAGACTGTGGTGGTTCCGCGACATTGGCTACCAGCACGACATTGCCCGACACTGTCCGCCGCAGGGACCGAGCGCCAGCACCGCGGAGGGAGGGGAATCCACAGAGGAATCAGAAGAGGAGGAAGAAGAATCATTAGCATCATTATCCACCCGCTTCTGGCTCCCCGGCTCTGGCCTTGAGAAGACTACCCGCCGACCACGACCACGCCCACGCCCACCGTGCACGTGCGAGCCGACGTCGCTGGACGAGAACTTTTACAAGCTCGTTCCCATGGAGTCGCCGCAACGCAAGCCCGCCGACACGTGCATCCGGCTGTGGCTGGGTGGGAAGTGGCTGCGCAAGAAGGCCGGCTGGAGCCAGGAGACGGAGCGCATGTTGGGCGGCGACGGGTACGGGGGGTATGTGTTCGACGGGATGTAAACGGGGGGAGAGAATGTGTGTGTGTGTGTGTGAGATGGGATGGGATGGGATGTTTTGTGGTAGAATGATCAAGCATGGACGGGACCCAAGGAAGAAGAAGAACCCACCTGGGAGGCTAGTGGGCTAAAGAGGCACCTACCTACCATAGGCGTACGATACCGCAAAAGAGAGATATGGCTGTTTGTTTGCTTTGACAATTTTGTAAGGGAAGGAGCTCGAAAGTAACGGGGAGAAGGGATGGGCTGGCACAGAATAATACTCGTGGCGCCCCAGTATATTAGTCAATACGTACCTCGCAAGGTGTGGGTGGGTAGAGTGCTCCAATAATACAGCATCCGTATAGACCGGTATGTCCTCGGGATCAAGGCGGAGACACAGAGCAGACGCAGTTTTTTGAGGCACGATTTGACTCGACTCGACTGTACTCGACCAAGCTAGCGAGTGAGAGGGAGAAAGGGCGAGTAATACATACATAGATGGATGGATGGATGGATGGATAGATGGACGGGCACTGCTCGATACAGCAAAGGCATTGAAAGAAATAACCAGGACTTTTTCATTCATCAACTCAGTCGATGCCCCCACGAGAAGCAAAGATTTGTTCATTCAGTCTCTGACTTCGGTGAAGATCAGGGAATAGTGGCTGTCGTAAGACTTCTTCTTATATCAACACTTGACCTGGCCTCAGAAAGGTCGACTTTGGGATGTTGGGATGCTCTGGTCCGCCTTTGCACAAAGCTCGGACGGTGGAGAGGAAAGGCGCTTCGCACGGGAGACGAAAACCGCGCGAGCCCGCAGATCCGGGGCTGCAACACGCTCCCAAGTCCAACAGGGCACACATCAGTGAGAAAAGGTCGTGGGCAGTCCGCTCACGCCTTTGCCGCACCGGCCTTGATGAGAATGATGTCGCCATCCTCCACGACTGCGGACAGATGTTGTTAGTCAAAAGCTTGCCTAATTCAACTGAGACGGCACCATATCGTGGACTTACCATAATCTTTCCCCTTGGTCATGACTTTCCCCGCCGCTCTCACAGCGTTTTCATCACCGTATTCCCTCAAAGTCTCATAATTATACACGATACACTGAATAAATGTCTTCTCGAAATCCGTGTGGATCACACCAGCCGCTTGCGGTGCCTTGGTGCCTTTCCTGATCGTCCACTGCCTCACCTCGTCCGTTCCAGTGGTGAAAAAGCTTACGAGATTGAGCGCTTGTCTCATCGTCACAATAACTTTGGGCAATGCAGACTTCGTGTTGAGATTTTTGCATTCTTCGGCAGCTTCGGCATCGGACATGACGGCGAGGCGTTCTTCAAATGAGACGGAGATAGGGATGACAGGGTCACCTGGAGAGTTGGTTTTGATCCACTCCATCACTTTGGGCAGGTGCTTGTTCTTTTGACGGAGGTAGTCCTTCTCTGACAGGTTGATGAGGTAGACTACGGGCTTGGCGGTGAGAAGGAAGAGAGGATTGATAACCTCGATCTGTTTGCCATGTCGTTAGCCTGCAAAAGCACAAGCAAAACGGTATAGAACAAATCAAGGCAGAGAAAACAATGTTTCAGGGTTGGACTTCCTCTCATAACAGCCTCTAACGTGAGATTTGGGTGAGACTGCTGTCGACGAGCTGGGATTATGTCGAGCTTATAGCTCTTGTTCATCATGAAAAGACGGGGAACACAGAAGGGAAATATTGATGTCTTACCTCTTTAGGACCCCAGTCGCCCTTTCTCACATCCTTGCCGTCTTTGAGGAATTGCAGGATTTTGTCGACTGTCGCTTCTTCTTCTTTCAGCTTCTTCATCTCGAGACTCTGACCACCTCTCCGTGTCTGTTTGGACAGGTTTTCCTTAGCCTTCTCGACGAATTCAATGTCCTTCAACCGCAGCTCCTCCGAGATAATGTCCAGATCTCTCGTGGGATTGACGTCGCCCTCCACGTGAATGATCTCTGCATCGTCGAAACATCGCACGACCTGGAAGATGGCATCAACAGCGCGGATGTGCGACAGGAAGGAGTTGCCTAGACCGGCGCCGGTCGAAGAACCTCGAGTGAGACCGGCGATATCGTACACAGTCAGGTTGGCGGGGACTTGGGACTTGGGTTTATAGTGTTCGCATAGCCAATCATATCGTGCATCGGGGACAATGACTCGGGCCTCTTCAGGTTCAATAGTTGCGTAAGGGAAGTTGGCGGGGTTGCCTAGTGAGCATTTTGTGATGGCTTGGAAGAGTGTCGATTTGCCGACATTAGCCAGACCAACCTAGAGCAAAGGAGCAGTTAGCCGCCGATGTTGAACCATCTCGTGTGCAGGATCTGCCTACATACGATACCGCTCTTCAGGTTGTTCCCGGGCCTGCCTAGCAGGATCTTCTTTTCTTCCACGACCTTTTTGGGAGGCATTCTCTTCTTAGCGTAATTGCGTTTTTGTAAGGCCTGGACGGTAAGGAGAGAGGCTGTCTTGCGAAGAATTGGTTGCGAGCAAGGCTCAAGTGCAGAACCGGCTGCAAGGATTGAAATGCGGAGTGGAGAAGCGAAAGGGGATATCAAGCAAGTAAGGGAGACCGTGGTGATGAAGTAAGGGTTCAGAGACTCGAGGGCTGCTCTGCACTCGAGGTCCCTACAACAGACGGGTTTGTGAATGAGTACATCGAGAAGACTGATTTGGCCCGACTTGACTTTTTTTTCTTGAGGGTTGAGGCTGCGGCGGCTCCAGTCACGTGGCCGACCAAGCAGGCACGTGATGCCAAGACCTGTAATGACAAAAAGGGTGCTCTTGATGTCTTTAGAGTCTTTCCACAAAGAGTTGACAGCTTCTCTTTCGAGGTTATAGGTTCCCCTGAAAAGGTCTGGCCGTCCACGAGGCCGAAGGCCCTTGGGTTACAAGCATGTCCTACTGCAAATGGACATGATGGAGTCACCCCCAGACTCATCCAACTTGGTCAATCAGTTGGTGCCCATATGCCTTGGGCGTAGATGCGCATTATATATGCGTTGCGCCGACAACGCAAACAATGGACCCAGTACAGATGATCTATGATAGCCATCACCAGCACAGCCCACGGCGGTATGAAGAGCTGAGTGTCATTAGTTCCGGTAGATCAGTATACACGAGAAGGTCAATCCTGGCATCTCTGCCTCGCCTTTCAGCCTTGTCCAAAATCTGCTCTCTCTCTCTCGCGCGCGCGCGCGCGCGCCCGACAGACTGATATCATGAGTCAAATAGTCCACGTGCGGCGATCCACCTCGCAGGCATCTGGCATATCATTGTTGTTGTCTCCTGGACGTCGTCGGCGGGACGAGTTACCCCGACGGAAGACGCTCAAAGAGGGGCGGCGGAGTTTGCTGGGCTTTAAATCCGGCCCACTCTCGCTATCTGGCAACACACCAGAGGCATCTGCGGTGCATCTCAAAAGTCTTTTTCAAGAATGGTGACGATCGATTTCGCAGGGTTTCGCCTCACGAGGTTTAGCGTCGACCATCTCGTGCAGCCTGCCCAGAACCTTGAGATTCCTCTCTCATGGCACTTCCCGTCAAACGCCCAGGAAAATCCATGTCTTGACGACGGACAAAGTTCGACCGGCACGTCTTGGTGACGTCCCTTCACTAGCACCGGGATTAACTACTTTCCCATTTCTGAGGGGAAGTGGTGCCAGAGATTGATATAAAAATGCTAGAAGATGGACGAGACTCCTTCCGTTGCTCGGAACCTGCTCTCGAGCACATGGTAAGAGCCAAATCACATTATCACACTAACAAACCGCGTGCACGCCTCCGGTGGGAACATTCTGCTCAGTTCTTCGTGTCGCCAACATGGGATTCCTCTACTCTCAACTTTTCGTCAGACCAGCTTATCCGAAAAAGTCTTTCGCGGGGGAGACCGTCATTGTGACGGGAAGCAACACCGGCCTCGGAAAGGAAGCAGCCCGACATATCGCTCGACTGGGCGCCTCGAAGCTGATCCTCGCCGTGCGAAACACCAAGGCGGGCGAGGCGGCAAAGCAGGATATCGAACAGACCACGAAATGCAGCCCCGACGTGATTGAGGTCTGGGAACTCGACCTCGCCTCATACGCCTCCGTGAAAGCTTTCGCCAGCCGCGCGTCGAAACTCCCTCGTCTCGACGTACTGCTTGAGAACGCCGGCATCGCCAGCCAGAAATACAGCGGGGCCGAGGGACACGAACGCACCATCACCGTCAACGTCATCAGCACGTTTCTCCTGGCTTTGCTCTTGCTGCCGAAACTCAAGTCCACCGCCAAAGAATTCAAAGTAAATCCGCGTCTCGTCATCGTGTCCAGCGAAGTGCACGCCTGGTCCAAATTCGCGGAACGGAACGCGCCCCGGATCTTTGAGGCACTGGACGACGAGAAGCAGGCCAACATGGGCGACCGCTACCAAACCAGCAAACTGCTGGAGGTGCTCACCGTTCGCCAGATCGCGCCCAAGCTCGCCGGGTCGGGGGTCATCTTGAACATTCTCAATCCGGGACTGTGCCACTCGGAGCTCAGCCGCGAAGGGTCGTGGGTGTTAGAGGTCATGAAATTCTTCTTGGCCCGCTCGACCGAGGTGGGAAGTCGGACCTTGGTGGCGGGCGCCGAGGCCGGCATGGAGTCGCATGGCAAGTACATGACGGATGGCAAGGTCGACGACGGCGCGCTGTCATCGTTCGTGAGGAGCAAGGACGGCGAAGCGACCGGCAAGAAGGTGTGGAGTGAGCTGAGCGGGATTCTGGAAAAGATTCATCCGGGAATCACACAAAACGTCTGATGGCGCTCAGACTTGATACCCCAGTGAATTCAGAAGGCTACATCTAAAGTCCTGGAAAGGCTAATAGTTAGTTACTTTGATAGGGAATGCTCATTTCATCTGCTTTGGTAAACTATCAAAGCCGATCGATATGTCTAAGACATCCACAACAAATGCCCTGCTGGTTTCCGACGATGCCTTGCCATGAATGCATTGCACCATTAACATATTCTATTCTACAATGCAGTGGCTCTGCGAATGATAATCGCGATTGATTTGTGCCGATGAAATGGATTGAGCTTCTCAGTTTAAGCCTTGAGAATGCCTCGTCCATAGCCAGAAGACTTTACAGAAACCACTTAGCACAAACGGCTTCCCCGAGGTCTGGACAGCGTCCCACATACCCTCGATGTGAGGCGTGTTTACCTGTTTAACCAATGTACTGGTTTAGGTATACCTTTAATAGTGTGTTGACTCCGTTGTTATCTCACGGATCTCAATTCGAATGGGCCTGTCCATCAGGATCTATGTTCCTGATGGGCTCGCCAAAGAGCGCGAGTATTGTCCGACGGAGGTGTGGCAGGTCGAAGAGGATGCCAGCGGCGACCTATCGCCGGGTTGCCGGAGCAACCTTCAACGGGGTGGACACCGGTGGAAGCCCTTGATAAAGTGTAGGCGGCTGTAAATGGCCAAAACTGCGTAGGAATCCAGACAGACCGTTGATGTGATATTCTGAGAAACCTAGGCGCGAGAGGAGGGGAATGGAGATCATTGAGGCTGAGAAGAACAGTGCGTACTGTCTCCTATTTTGTTAGCCTTCGACAGCGCTGTGATCCCAGCGTCGCCGTATTCGAATGATGGCAGCTGGACTCCGCGTGTTCCATTTCTCAGGAGGGTGCCAGTGTGGTCGCCATTGCAGCATCCTCCTTCAGCCGACCTCCATTTCGTCCCCCCTTCCGAGATCTTCTTCCTCGCTCTCGCGATCAAGCTCTGCTTCCTTCTTCTCCCACTTCTTCATCGCCGCGTCCCCGTCCTTTCCCTTCTTTTTCGCTTCAAAATACGCTGCTCTCTTCTTTGACGCTAGTTCCTCTCGTTTAGCCATTCTTGTAAGCTTCCGTTCCCTTCGATCTTCTTCCAGGTTGTGCAGGACGGCGAGTTGCTGCTTTAGCTTGGAAACCTCCTCTTCAAGTCTTTCTGCTTTGGATGTTTCGGCGGCGTCTGCCGGGAGCGACATTTGCGTGGCGTTGTCCCCCATCGCCAGAGAGCGGATGGCCGCATCCATCATGGATTGGGTAAATCCTGGACCGCCAAGAGCTTGTTCGAACTCGTCGTGTTCGGATAGGCTCCCTGGAGCCGTGATCGACACATGGAGGCCATATGTCGTAGGGATGCCGCAGGTACCATTGTCATTCAACGAGGCCAGCTCCAGGTTGGGTTTCACAACGCTTGTGATAGTGTATCTAGGTCTTTTCGCGTTCGGAAAGCCCTCAGGCTTGAGCATCTCGATATTGGTGACTGGTTGGCCGAGATTCGTAAGCTCTTGTAGAATTCGACGCTTGGCAACATCCCAGCGAATGACGGTCCCATTTACATGGCCTGAGAGGAGGGATGTCCCATCGTAGGATAGTGTGACACAATTCGCCTTTCCAAGGTCGGTAGAAGGGGCTTTCCAGCTGTCCTTATCCTGAAATTGTATCGCTGGTGCAGCTGACTGAGCAGATAATGAAAGACTGCTTGCAGGTGATTGTTGGAAGATGTCCCAAGACTGAATCCTTCCATCACTGCAACCGAAATATATGGCCCTATCCGCGGGGTCAAGTGTGACGGAAACAGCGTGGGAGGGCAGCAAGAGAGTCCGCAAAACTTGACACGATTCGATATGCCAGACGCGGCACGTCCCATCGTTGGAAGCTGAAACAGCAAAATTCGTAGAGACGCTGGAGTGGCCACAGGTCACCGCACTGACGGACGTCCGATGGCCGGAGAAGGTCTTGACGGGCGTATTTGACGCACCATCATTGCCATAGCTATCTGACAGTGGCGTGAAGGAAACTAGTTTTGCTAGCGACCAAACGTGAATACTCGAGTCAGCAGAGCCAGAAATGATGTATTCGTTCTTAGGAGTGATGCAAAGACAAGAAACAGCTTGGAGATGAGAGGCCGCTGAGTTTGTTACTCTGCCTGTTGCAACTTCCCACAGAATCAATCTCCCTTCTTCAGTTCCCAAAACCAAGATTTCTGCCCCGTGGGCATAGGCGAGACTGGATACCCGCTCAGGGAACGGGACTGTGGCTTCTTGATTGCCCTTTTCTCGACTATAGACATTCACCACTGCTTTGTCTGCCTGGGCCGCGAAGATGTGCGAATCGCTGATGGTCACACAGCCGGGGTGACTGGAACTCTTTTTGAAGCCATGCCGAAAGGCACGCTGAGGTTGAAATTCGTGCAGGAAAATGCCTACATCCTTCAAGGCGGCGCTGGCATGTGCTGCAGCTTTATTGGCAGTTAATGTCGCTGCAATGAAGCTTTCTGTGAGCATTTCTCAAGGTTGACGTCTGTTCGAAAGCATTTCAATTGTTTTCCTCGCTGGCAGCGAATGGAGAAACTTTTTGCTGCACCAAAATGCTGCAGGTTGATGGAGTCTCTTGCATGACTAAGCAGCTTCACGTGCTTGGAAATTTCGCGCCAAGGAATTATGTCTTGGCGTGCGCACGACGGAAACCAAAGCGCATCTACACAATTCATTGACTCAGTCTCCGGCCTTCGACGAACTCAACCAACAACCACGTCCTCGCCCAACTTGCGAATCTTTTCCCGCACGACTTCTTGCAGGTGATTGAGAGCGAGATGTCGACCTTCGAGCCCGTCGTAAGTTCTTTCCCGGCAATATCGCGCCCACAGCATGGAAGCGAAGGGACCAGATCAAAAAGTTACTGACAGGGTCTTCTCTTTTCTGCTCCAGGTCGTCATCGACGGCAAGGGACACTTGCTCGGTCGTCTCGCCAGCACAGTCGCGAAGCAACTCTTGAACGGCCAAAAAATCGTCGTCGTGAGATGCGAGGCGCTCAACATCTCTGGCGAATTCTTCCGTGCTAAGCGTACGCTCCTCCCCTCCTCGCTGTGCTCGACCACATCCTGTACCGACATTGAAAAGATGTATTTGGACTAACAAAATTTTTCTCTGCCTCGACACAGTCAAGTACCATGCCTACCTCCGCAAGATCACTCGTTACAACCCAACCCGAGGTGGTCCCTTCCACTTCCGCGCCCCCGCCCGCATCTTCTACAAGACCGTCCGAGGCATGATCCCACACAAGACCGCCCGCGGTGCTGCCGCAATGGAGAGATTGAAGGTCTTCGAGGGCATTCCCCCGCCATACGACAAGAAGCAACGCATGGTCGTTCCTCAAGCCTTGAGGGTCCTCAGATTAAAGCCCGGAAGGAAGTACTGCACGGTGGGCCGATTGGCGCATGAGGTGGGATGGAAATACCAGGACGTCGTCGCGAGGTATGTTCGATGTTCTTTCCATCCATTCAGTGGAACGTTTGGTGGCGGTTGGATGATTTTGCGGAAAGTGAGGGATCTGGCTGACAATATGACCACAGACTCGAGGAGAGGAGAAAAGTCAAGGGCGCTGCATACTACGAGCGAAAGAAGGCTCAACGAAAACAACTCGCCGAGGCAACCAAGTCGACGGCCGATGCGGGCGCGAACAAGAAGTTGGCTGAGCTGGGCTACTAAGCTACCCGTCATCACCACTTCTTGCCGAACGTACTGTCGCGCGTCTTTGCCCGTTTCAACGTCCACGGTCCTTTATCTTCAATCTTCAATCGATGATCGAGGCGTCGGAAGGGTTCTTGTTGAGCAGAGACACAGCAGAAGAAAGAGAAATCTGACAGTGAGGAGGGATGGGGGCGAAGCCTACTTAGCAGAGAGCGGTTTGGCACGATGGACAAATTTCTTTAATCGGCAGTTGCGGAATCAGAACAATGTTCCACGCTCGATGCAGGAATTCAGCTGGCATTGCCGCCGCTGCTGCATGCATTCTAAGTCTGTTGGGGGCGGCAGAGTAAGATAAACAAACTACGGTGCTTGAACAGCCGTCACACCCGGGAGTTATGAGCTTTTCGTGGCTTTTTGAAAGTGCTTCAGCTACGGATTTTCAAGAGCACCAAAAAGAAAGAAACTGATGAAACAAATTCTGCCTATGAAAAGAAGCCCTTGTTTCCCCCAGACAAATCGTCCAGAAGTGCAGTATGTCGTTCTGCTTTGTGAAACTACTTCTGATGTGCATGTCACCTCCGAATCGAGCGTCCCCTAAGAGTTGTGGTCGGTTCAAGCCCAGAAAAGCATCTCGAGAGTTGTATGTGTTGTGAAATCCCAGACCCCAGGACCACTGTGCTGCCCCAACCCGCAAAGACCAAAAATTATGTGCCCCACGTCATGAATAAGACAGCCCGCTACATGTCTTGTACCGAAGAATTTCCTACCCCCATATTGCTTCGTTTGAGTGAGTAGAGGGCTCTACCGAGGAAGAGCAGCACACTTCTGCCTCCTCCGTCATCGCCATCGCGTCACACTCGTATTGAGCAAGACCGAAATGAGTCCCCAACCTTTTACTTGACCGGCTCGGACTAGTAACGCTTTTCGCAATTGTTAGCCAGTACGAACTTGTGACCCTGAAGACAGCCCGAACAGATCCAAACGCCGTCTGTCAGCGCCGGAGTACTTGCATGGTGGCATTGAGGGCATCTCTTCTCTGCGGTGCCAGCCTCAGAACCCGCCTTGGAAGGCTCCGACTTTGGCTTCCCAGTGGTAATGTCGATCGGGGGAGGTGGAGGAGGAGCGTCAGGCGGTGGCAGAATAGGGTTGGGATAGTAGCCGGAATCCAGGCGAAGTCTGGGGTTGAGAATCGCCGAGCGCGTCTCCTGAGAATGGCTCAGATACTCGTGGGTCGGCATAATTGTTTCAACTCCGTGGACTGTGGTCGTGATGTGCCCTCTGAAGGCTCTCGTGAAACCGGTATTCGAAGCATACTGCCCAGGATGCAGGTAGGAGACTTGACCTTGGAACGAGTTGGTTTTTTGAGTTCTCCTTAGAGGAACCGGAAAGTGGGAGATTAACACTGACCATATTGCTGGACCGGGCCAAAGAGAACCGCGTTTGCGGAAGAAGAGTTGACTTCCGATTCTGATGGAAAGGGTCCCGTCAGTAGCCTTGCCTGGGCAGACTTTCTTGTGCACTTTGGCTTCCAAGGACGGAATCGATGTAGCAACGTGTTTGCAGTCCCTTTGCCCAGGATGCCATGATCAGACTCACCCTTGGTAGAGGCCTCTTGCTTTTCTGACGACATGATGGGAAGGGGTTCGGCTTGTGGAGTGGACTGGTGAGAATTTCGTGGGTGGTCCGAGAACAAAGGCTTCTTGAGCAATCAGAAATGTAGAGCACTTTATAGCCAGGTCCGTCTGTTGTCAGTGACTAACACAGTCACCGATGAATCATACATGTTGTTGGGTCGGAAGGGAATGAGTCAAAGTGAGCGTAGTGAAGATCTGATAGCCTAGGCTGTGTCCAATGCTTAGTGCTTAAGGAGGTCTTGATATTCACCAAAAACTCCAACTCGACTCATTTGGACTTTCTGCCTTCATCGTTCTGGGTATTTTCCACATAAGGATGCTTGATCGTGAGACACCAGATATCCAAGTAGTCACAAATAGTGGTTATGACATCGTGAACAAAGCTTCCGTACACGCCCAGTGCGAGACCCAGTGACATGAATACAAACGCCACTTGGTAGACATCATCACCGAGCGCACTCGGCCACAGTCCGAGTGCTGGACCCAAACTATCAACGATAGCACAAGCCAGCGGGACAACCAGGACGTTTTGATAGGGGAATTTATCCTTGACCAGATGAGCCACGATCATTTGCCCGACGGAATAGGCATTCACAATGCCAGCGAAGATGATAAATGGAACCAGATGGCGGTGGAGGATGGCTGGGTTCAACCAGAGATAGGTGGGTATCAAGGTCCAAGTGATAGCAATAGGAGCCAGACCCAGGAGAGCCTTGTAAGGATCTTGTCCCCTTTGTCGTCGAGCGTCCATGACGTTCAGTGCGCTGCTGACGGTGTTGAAGACCAAGACCAACCCGCCATAAAGCATGTACCACTCGTTCCAGGCCATCTGGTAGAGAGAGCTCGGAATAAGGTCGCTCTTAGGGAGGCCGAGGCCGGGGAGCATTGGCTGCTGCCAATAACTAGCACCACCTTTGAGGAAGGTGATGAAGTAGACCACGACCAAGGTCAGGATTCCTTCAACAGGGCCAGAAACTATACCCAGGGTCAAGGTGTGGGTATGATATTCCTCCCAAGTCTGAATATAGAAGGTAAGGATTGTGCCGAAGAGAGTGAGGACTGTGTTCCAAGACTGGCCAAGATTCATCGAGGCTGCAAAAAGGAGAACCTCAAGGCTAGTATTGCATGCATCAACACCTGCTATCATTAGCAGAGTCCGCCATGTCACAGAATTGAAGCTAACCATGGTCAAACAGCTCGCCCAAGGGGCCGCTTTGGTGCGTTCGGCGTGCCTGTGTGCCGTCCACAGCATCGAAAGTCTGATACAGGAACAGACCGACAGCCCAGGTCAGGTAGACCCATGGAGGGCAGTCGGTATCGAGCGTCGGGTTGTACCACAGCATGGTGAGGACATTGATGATCACGAAACTGAAACCTGTCAAGGTAATCTACTTGCGCGTCAGAGGATGCCTGACAAAGTCGGGGCTAGGTTTTCATACAAGGTTGGGCCTAAAGCAGTCTCAGTATCAAGTGGTTCACAGGGGAAGAAGCGCTGTACTCACGCCATCGACATGGGAAAGAATTTGATGACAACATTGGTGTAAAACGGCTTGAGGACATATCTTGAAACCAGAGATTTGTCCACCCCGGAGTACTTGTACTCGTGGAGCTTCTTGAGGTTTCGCTGCCGGATATACACCATCTTGGACTCCTCTAACAAAGCAAAGACGCGTTGAAAGAAACGTGCACAAGAGAGAGAATCGCAACAAAAGTGATCAGACACGAGAATCTAGAACGAAACGCGAGGAAATGTCGACCGAATCCTGGATATGAACGCAGAGAACGCAAAAGAAACATTCGACGAGATCCGGGAATTGGCGATGAAATTGGCGTTGCCCAAAACGTCATTCTGCAGCGGCAGGCACGTGAGGTCACATGGCGTACTACTTTACGTCACCTGATCAGGGCGGCCCTTTTTGTATTACCCTACCAAACACCTTGAATTTGTCACTAACATCAGCTTTTGTTCTTTTGTAAATCCAGACACAGCGATGCTTCTTTGAGGACGGCGAAAATCGCTGGCCATTGTTTACCATGAGAACCCCGGTGGAGAAGGTTTGAGCTACTCAAAGCATTATCTGGCTCAATACAGCAGTCTTACCTGAAGATGTTTGATTGGCTCAGAGAGCTGATCTGGAAGAGATTCATGCTCCCTTCCCAATATACATATGATCTGGGTGGAAGGCTTTCCCGAACCCACTCGTTGGCCACCTCTGTTGTGACACAGGTTTTCGCCCAGTATTTCAAGGTAATAAGGGTCTTTCAACAGCTGTGGTGGCTGGTGTTATGGCACCACTATTCTGTTGGTGAAGTTCTACTATTGTTTGTTACTCACCTAGTCATATATTCTCTGAGATGCCCTGCAAGGACCCGGCAGTCAATGCCTATTCAGTTTCAATGGCTGCCATTCCGGCTCCCTATTGTCCACTTTCTATTGTCCTTGGGTATTGAAAACTTCCTTGTTGTTGGGAAATTTTTGGGTCCCTATATATCTTCTCCACAACTAACCGCTGTTTCCTGAAACCTTAACGACCACTGTCTCTGAGGACCTGACCAGGCAAGCTATATATATTGAGCTCCAAATCCCTGATCAATTGCACGCACCATCACGACGGCTTGCACACTCATCCTCAACACGCTCTTACCTTAATTCTGCACGCTATTCCACCTGGACACCGCTACCGCGATAGACCAGCATTTAACTCGAGTCTCTCCAGAGCACCTTTTTAACAGAATGGCTTCCCTGGTCGCCAAGCCCCTCGAACCTGCTTCATTGACCCCCAACGAGTTTCGCTTCCTCTCAAAGAAACCTGATTACAACAAAGTCATTATAGACGCCGAGGAACTCCGACGCCGAATCTGGCTCAGTGAGCCTCAACGATGGACCACCACAAGAAGACAGTGTCGTACAGGCCTAGGCAACCTCGACAAGCTCCCCCGCGAGGTACAAATATATATCTTTGGCGCGACCGCCATCAACGACCTGCTTAATCTCCGAGCAACAAACTCCCATGCCAAGCAACTAATTGAGCAATGGGAGCCTTTCAGGGCCGTCATGACCCATGGTCGTGATGCGGTCCGCGCACTCCTGGCGACTGGCGCCGGTTACACATGGACAGTGCCTCAACTGGTCGACGTCCTTTTCATCTCCGAGTGTGAGTTTTGTGGTCAGCACGGTGAGATCCTCCACCTTCTGCGGCTCAAGCGCTGCTGTTTTCGATGCCTTTCTCAAGAGCGTGAATTACTGGCCGTCAATCTCGGTTATGCTCAGTGCACTATGGGGCTTTCACAGGCCGAGCTGCGGAAGCTCCCACAGCTGGTGACTGTGCCTCAGAGATGCTTTTGGGGGTTTCCAGCCCAGTCAGGCTACATTTTCGATTACAAGGCTGCCATGGACGTACTCCGACAGAAAGGGCCAAGGGCATCAATCAGTGTGGATCGGGAAGGCCCACCATCTTACAACATCCCACTGATACGCACTGGGTTGGAGGTAGACGCAGAGCAACGCAGTATTCAACAACGGCCCAAGTCGTCGATACAAGCCCGCCGTCGACAGCAGCCCCTACGCCTACTGGACGAGGAACTCTCTCCGCCTGAAACAACTTACGCACAACACGCCTGTGCGATCCGAGTCCCCTCGCTAAGGTGCCAGTCTGAGCGTCTTGTCAATGGCTTCCTCCAGACGACCGTCTCAACCATTGAGGTGGTTCACTGTGCCGGATGTGCTTACTTCTGGAACTACCACTCGGCGTTGCCCTGGCAGTTCCACCAGCTCTATTCACATCAGCTCGAGACGGCGGACTCAGAGTTCAATGAACATCTGAGACATTGCGTTTATGCTCGCCTGCTGTGGAGGTGGATCCATAATCCATTACATCCCAGGGCAAGGGAAGGCACTGAGCGTATCCTAAAGACCTTCAGGTTGTCGTATCTGCCAAGACACAGTACTTTCAACGGAGAAGATACGACAGCTCTGTTTGAGAGAATTCCAAACGATGTCGTGCTGCTGATGCACTCCAGCGACCACGACTTTACATCGTTTTCTCCAGAGTGCACCTGGCCGGAGCTCAAGAATGACGACGACGAGGAAGAGCTCCCAATCTTCAGCCGAAAATCACATGCCATTTTTCTTCAAATCGAAAGGATGCGAGCGATCGCTCTCCGACATCCGATCGACAAACGAGACTACTACTGGGACTGCCTGATCAGCCAAGACGCAGTGAGCCAGGCAAATTGGGCGTGTGCAAACGTCCACAATGGCAGCGTCTCTCTATTCCGTGGACCGGCTTCAATTCTGGGAGAGAAAAAGCGATTGTTTGAGAAGAAATTCCGAGTGGAGGGAAGGCCATTGGGCAGGCTACCTCAATGGGGGTTCGGTCACTTCTACCTCTGATGCCTTCGCCAAACGGCGCAAACAAAGACTCTCCTTTTCGTGAGGGTTGAGCGAAGCAGCGACATCACCACCAGTTTCAAAACACAACTCAACCAGCATCTCGACATTTTCACCGCGACAGCAACCAAGTAGAAACTCGACGACCCAGAATGAAGAGACAAGAGGGAAACAGGCAGCCGATACCCAAAGTGAGCTTTTCCTCGACAAATCAAGATCCACATCGAAAAGCCGCAGCGAAAGCAGAAACGGACCACCAGGAAACAATCGGCACCAGGCCACAGACAGCAACACGCGGACTTTCTAACGAGCAGTGCAAAGAGATATATCACCACCACCACATTGTGAGAACAGGACCAAAACATCAGGCTGTGACGCAATTTGAACGCGCATAAATCAAAAGAGTGGGCGAACGCAGAACACGACAGACCTGAACTCCAAACGGCAACAACGAACTAGTATCATCGACACCAGAACTCTGTTATCACAAAATCCCGGGTCAATCCAATCCAATCCACACGACGCCACCGGATATCGCTACTTTCCAATGTTTTTCCCAATCTGAGACACAATGATAGTTGGAAACGCAACGACTTGATAGGAAGTCAAACCAAAGGCCGACGTTGGGACGAATGGGAAACTCGACGGGGAGGAACCGTGCTTGGAAAACGAGAAAGACAAGAGGCTTTACTTCTCTTTCGGCCACAGAACGGACAATCGACAAACCTGCAATCCATTGGAAAGTTAGCTAGACGGCACAGTACGAACGAAAGGGGAAAGAAAGGGACAGAATTGAAAGTCGGAAACAGGAAAAGTGGTTTGCAAAGTGGTGCGGCGGAAAGCAGGGCGCTGGGCCTTCATAAATCACCTCGGATCTATTTTGAGATAGGTAGGGACCATGTATTCTATTCTACATCGTCTGCGGCCAGGGGACCCATTATGGGAAAGAAGGATACGAAATGAAGAAAATCCATATGAGGGAACATGGACAATTTGCATCGCGTGGCATGACGCGACAGGACAGGACAGGACAGGACAGTGATATGATATAATGGCGGATAGATGATAATAAGATAACCATGACGATGATACGTACTACACATGCGAAAGAAAGCAAGCATATGGATCTCGACAAAAACGAAAGAGAGCTTGCAAGCTATTCCTATCGCCGTTGCCATGGCACTGACAGTCATTGCATTGGATCGATTTCTCTCCACCAATTTGCTCGAAGAGGATGTAAAAGGTTGTGACGGTGAGACGGTGAGACTACGAGGAGAAGTCCCCCTTCCTTTGCATAAACGGAACAAGCAAGCAAGATCTGAGAGAGAAGAAGCCTTGAAGAAAATCGATGACAAAAAAAGCCCGGTCGCTAGATCTATTATATCTCACCTTCGGCCTCTCCCTCTTGTTCGTCTCGATCTGCTCTCTCGCCCAACAACAGGTCTTCAGTTTCCTATTTCTCGTCATTTTCCTCGCCCATATATATATATACCTGCCCAGGCTCACCGGAAGAACCAAGAAGACCATCGTCAGTACCATCTGGGGCGATACTCAGGCCACGCACTCAGCTCCTTTCGAAACCTCTCGAGGACCGCGCTGTTGCCGTCAAAGTCGACGCCGGCGCTGCGCAGCTTCTTGTGGTCGACCTCTCCCGCGACCCAGTCGGCGGCGTAGGCCATCTCGGCGCCCCAGCTCTCGACCATGTCCTTCACCTCGAGGGGCAGCTGGATCTTGCTGCGGCCTTGCCACCAGGCTGGGCTGGCCACGAAGGCGAGCATGATGCGCGGGTCGTCGGTCAGATTGGGCATGCCCGCGTGCCACAGCCGCAGATCGCGCAGGATCAGACTGCCCTTCTTGGTGCTGACCTGCACGGGCGGCGAGTGCGTGCGGCGCTGCTCCAGCGGGCCGGGCTTGATGGTGAGCAGTCCCTCCTCGCCGCCGTCCGCCTCGTCGCGAGGGGAGCGGTTGTGCGCCTCGTGCACCGACACGTGGTGGCTGCCGACCCACACCTCGGTGCCGCCGTTCTCGGGCGTCACGTCGACGAGGTTGATGTTGATGACGTACGCGAACGGGAAGTAGGCCGGGTGGGCGAACTCGCAGTCCGAGTGCACGGGCTGGCGGCCGTGGGCAGGCGCCTTGAGCGCCGTGTTGCCGTTGGCGTAGTGGATGACCGGCCGGGGCCCCAGCACGGCCGCCAGGATGGCCGCCGCGAACGGGTTGCACCAGACGTCCTTGAACATCAGGGCCTTGGTCGGCGGCGGCGCCTGATCCATGTTGCGCGTGTGCTTGCCGAAGTTGAAGTGGTGGTCCGGGTCGGCGGCGATCTCGAGAGCCTCCGGGGCCAACTTGGCATTGAGCGTGTCGAGGTGCTCCGGGTCGATGGCGTTGTCGAGCACGACGATGCCATCTTTGTGCAGGAACGCCGCGCCCTCGGCGATGAGGTCAAGTGTTGGTTTGCCTGACCGGCGCACTTCTTCGGGGATATGAATGGTGTGGACCTCTTGGTCGTGAAGAGGAGTATACGACCCCATATTGGACGGAACTTTCACAAAATCCCTCCCTTCAGAAAAAGATGAGACTTCTGAGCCTCTGATGATGTCCTGCCCACGGCGGCTGGGAGGGAAAAGATGAATGTCTTCGCGGTACGTCAATCCGTCATCCAACAATAACAACCTGTATCCCCAAAACGACTGGAGTCACCACAACCAAAGAAGCGAGTCAGTCCCACACCCACCCTCGCTCGCTCGCTCGCATGGGACCACGACCTGTCAAGCCGAGGCCACGCGATCCAGACTGGAAAATGGAAGCGGGCTTCTGGTGTCTCTAGGGCGGTGCTTATCATCGATCTGCAACCAGGTTGCATTGTCGATTGATGAGGGGTATGGACGGGCGAGTGTGGCCCAGAGCCAAAGGGGCAAACGGTCTGAAGTCTGGACAACGTTAAAGACGGAAATGACCGATGGATCTTGGTACGGTGAGGCAATCGACCGGACACGATAGATGTATGCGATATGTATGTATTATATGAGCATTCCACCGAGATGGTGTCAGAGTGGGAGGCCTCAACGGTGACCGAAATGGGTACAAGATTCCCTGTTTAGGATTCTCACTACACGCTCTGTTGCCGTGGCTTGTCTTCCAGCACTGATATAATAATCAAGACCGAACTTAAGAATCAGGCTCTCCCCTGGATGGGGTTAGTACTCCTGCTTTAATCCTTGCGACACTGCGGCAGCATTGGACGTCCTGAGTGAGATTGATATTGTCTGAACGAGTAAGGTGATAGAATCCCCCATAATTCCTCTGGTTATATATAGCCAATCGGTATGTGAGTACTCTTGGGAGGAGGGGTGTAAAAATATGGCGACTCCAGTCAGCCAACACAAGTATATGCTAGCATGTCCGCTCATACTTTTTGGTACCGTGTTGCATCCAGCCCTGAAGAATCTTCATCGTCCAAAGTATATATCGATCATTTGACACGATGTCAACATCTCAGACAGCCGTCACTCAATACGTGGACGCAGCAAATGGAGTCCGTTTCGCATATCGACGCATTGGCGAGAGGGACGGTGTTCCCTTGGTCATGCACATGCACTATCGCGGCAACATGGACCTGTGGGATCCTCTGCTTGTCAACACACTGGCCGCATCCAGAACCGTGATCATATTCGACAATGCCGGCATTGGCCGCAGCTCTGGCGAGGTCCCACGAACATTTCAAGCGTGGGCAGAGGACTTGCTCTGCTTTGTCGAAGCTCTCGGACTCCCCAAATTTGACCTATTGGGTTTCTCCATGGGTGGCTACTGCGTCCAAATGGCGGCACTGACGGCGCCACATCTCGTCCGCAAGTTGATCCTCAGTGGCACGGGCTCATGGATACCCTCCGCGGATCATGTGGCCGGGGTGGTCTGGCCACGGGAGGATCCTTCAGCCGAAGCATTGAGGGTGCTTGAAGAGGCAGAAACACGGGAACAGGGTCTCAAAGCGTTGGAATTTTCCTTATTCCCCGACAACGATCCAGGGCGCAGCGCTTTTAAGCAGTATTGGGAAAGGGTGCAAGAGAGGACGGCGGAGCCTCTCAGCCTCGATCTTCTGGATCGACATGGTAGTGCAGCGCAGAGACAGTTGGAGACCGCGATGGACCTGTTCACGAAAAGCCCTCGAACTGTCTTCGACCGGCTAGGTGAACTCAAGATGCCCGTTCTCGTGGCCAACGGCGATAATGATATCGTGATTCCCACGAGTCAAAGCTGGGAGCTGTATCATGAAATTCCTAATGCGCAGCTGATCATCTATCCGCGTGCTGGTCATGGGTTTTTGTGGCAGTACCCGAAGCTGTACGCTACGCATATCAACATGTTTCTTGATGGGGATGACTTTGATCCATATCTGTCCAAGCCGTAGTTGGATTGCTTGGTAACTCGGTAGATGCGTCGATAGTTTGCCAAAGGCTCAATCCGTAGTCTTCTTGAAGGTTGCCGATCCAGAATATTTTCTGAAGCTGACGTTTGACATCTTCCCAAGTGAGGAACTCGTGTCGGATACTCCGAAAGTGCATTAAACGTTTCCGGAACCAGTAGTACTCGTTCGTGTCGACAGATACCAGGCCCCCCATGAAAAGAAGCCAGAATATCAAGGCATCGGGCAATGCTGTAGGCTCGACGGCAAGGAAGGCTATTTTCAGCTGCCGAGAAAGATGGCCAGAGTAAAGTCTGGTGAATGGGATCTCTCGGGTGAGCGTCTGTATGAAGACCAGTGCTGCTATCACGCACACCCTTTCGACAGCGCCCTGACTTGAATTCTGTGACCGTAGCAGGTCATGCTGAATACACGTCACATCCTCGTCGAAGGCAAGAGGGTCAACCAGTATCTGCAAGTCAGCGGCAAGGCCGAGAGCGTGGCATAAGTATGCGAGCTCGGTAAGAGCATTCGACACAGACGGTGCCAAATGGAGGTCCCAACCCTGCGCTTCAGTGGCTATAAATTCTGAATCAAGTACCATCGTACTATAGAGCGACTTTGTCGTTCTGGGTGGGCGCGGAAAATGAGGATGGGAGAGCGTATCAACGGCACCAATCGTGTCGGCTCGATAGATCTTCATGTGCAAGGCATCTTTCACCGCCTCGAATCCGCCTCGTGTTCGTACCATTTCGGACATCCCAGCGGCATGCATTTCCCATTTTTGGTGGTTACCCAGATGATTCTCATTCAGCGCCAGGCACGACACGGCACCAATTGTCAGGTCCGAATACTTGCCGTCGTGGAGTCGCCGGTTCAGTCGATTGAGAATCACCTTCATGAGCAAGTGTGAATCCTTGAACGTTAGATGCCCAAACTTGAGGGAGAAGTGTGTGGCACATGAGAACAGGATCGTGTGCAGGGCGACCTCGTCTGTCACAACTGCAGGTAGCCATATAGTTTCTATCGGGTTGTATGTGAGCTGCACCTTTCTGCTGATCGGATACATCGCTGCAGCAAGTCGTGTCGGGTCTTTGTTTGTGTTAGCACCCAAACCGTCATGATTCCTTCTCTGGAGGCATACAGTAGCTCATAAACTCTTGGAAAGAGCGGACTTCAGGGTCGATGACCGTGTAGAGGGCTGTTGCTGTACCAGGAAGTACCTGCCTGGGAAAGAATATGTCCTCCCTGGCGGCCACCGTCTTGGTACTTGGAATAGGAAGCTTATCACCAGCCCCTGTTATTTCATCGGATGTCCTTTTACGTGCTTCATACTTCTTCGATTTGCCACGCTGCTTTTGTTTCACCACGGGGGGTTTGTAGGCCAGAAACTGCACCTGGCTTGACTCCTTCGTACTGGTTTTCGCTTGCCTCTCGGTGCATTTGGCTTCGTGTGGTGACCTTGGTCTCGTCTTGGGTGACCAATTCGCCACCTTGATGGTGACCTCAGGCACGCGCGAGGTTTGGATGTCGAACTCGTGAGAGAATCCATCATTCTTCACCTTTTTGCGACGCTGCCAGCCTCTGTCCACCATGAACAGAGGCTGAGAGGGGAAGATCACCGCTTCTTCAGCCATGTTCTTTGATTGGACCCCTGAGGAACAAGATGTGAAGACTCAGGTTTCAATAAATCCCAGCCAAGTCTTGTTTGGAAGGCCTGACCAGTGGTGAGACGCTGACTAATCGAGAGTCCTCGCAAGGCTGAATATTGCAGCCTCGTCCACATCGCGTTCTAGACCCGAAGCTGAAGGCGAAGCTGAAACTCTCGCTCGGCCGCTCGGCGTCCTCGGCCGAGAGCTCTGTCCAACTACAGAATAGCTGCCGTCTGCAGGCAGCAACCATTCGTCTTTTCCGGGAGCTGATAGGTCTTGATTGATACAGCCCTACGAAGTATTGATGGCGAAGAACTTCGTCCTTCTTCGACAAAACGAATCAATATGAAGGCAATTCTAACAGGAGCTACAGGATTCATTGGAGGAGAGATCTTCAATCAATGTATTGACCATCCGCAAATCACTTCGATTGTGGTGCTTTCTCGCCGAGCACTGCCTGAGCCGGCCGCGAGTAACTCGAAGGTCAAAGTTATTGTTCTCGAGGACTTCACGAGCTATCCAGACTCGGTGCTGCAGGAGCTTAAGGACGCGGACTTTTGCATATGGTAAATACCAATCTGTCCTCTTCGAGGGTGTAGCGGAGCTTTTGATGACCGACGCAATTGCAAGGGCGCTGGGCACATACACGGGCGGTGCAGATGTTGAAGCCGGCTATCCACTCGCATTTTGCGACGCCATGGCCAAGGCCCGTGACGGCGCTACGACCAAGTTGTTCCGAATCGTCTACTTGAGCGGCATGTTCGTGATCAATGACCAGCACGCGTCTCTGTGGTTTTTCCAAACAACCCGCAAGGCGAAGGTACGGCTTGCCACACACGTTCGAGGAGATGACTGCATTTCCTGACACTCTGCCCAGGGGCTCGCGGAGACGAGGCTGCTCGCCTTCTCCGACGAGCAGAAACAGAACAACCAAAATTGGGAGGCATATGTGGTCAGGCCCGGTGGAGTGTTGCAAAGGTCGACTGCTGGCATCAACACAGCCACATGCGGAAACAGACTCGTGATCGGCGTCGGCGTGCTGGCGACGGCTATGATCGAGACAGCGTTGGAGGGGAATCCTGAATTCAAGATATTCCACGCCCCTTTGCTGGAGAAGGGAAGGGCTGCGCTCCAGAAAGCCAAGTGATTCATTCCAAGACGGGCTGATCATCGGTGCATCTTTCCTAGTGACAGCCGGCGTGTGAACGCAAGTGCGGCAAGACAGGAGTTGGGAGTCATGGATTTCTCGTGCTGCACCGTCCAACTCCAGGATGTTGACCCCTTGGTTTCTAGACATAGTCCTTGATCTGCTCCCAGCTCCAGGCTCAGAACTCTTCGGCAATGCCACTCCCTCCGCCCACTATGCTCTTGCCTGCCTCCTCGATATCAGGTCTCAACTTCCCGATGCGTCCCCGGGGCATCAGCCATGCTCCCGTTTTCTCAAGTGTGCTCTCTGGAGAGAGACCGCCGAACAACTCGGTGTACGCGCCGTAGACGGGATCATATTGCAGCAGTCGCATAAGCATCTGTCCCCATCTAGAAATATGCCGCGGCAGACCCGAGCGCAGATTTTCGGGGTTGCCGCTCTGAGTGGAACGGACTTGTGAGCCAGAGCTCCAAGATACGCGATAGCAGAAAGGTTCTCGACACACTACAGCTGTCACGCCACGCTCTCTGTGTAACTTTGCGAATTGCAGAGCATACGGCGCATTCCCAGCCTTGCTCACACCGTACATATATGTAGGGTCTTGTTCGCCAGCATCCTCTAGGCGAAGCATTTCCACTCCTCCTGTCGGTGCAAAGAGGTATGTCGGAGAAGAGGCCACAAACATCACTCTGACTGACCCGGGCGGAGAGACCTGGGCCGTGGCCAACAGCGTCGGCGTCAAAAGCTTGGTGAACAGGAAGGGTGCTAGGCAATTGACACCGAGCTGTAGGTCGCACCCCTGTATGGTCTTCAAGCCCGCGGGCGGCATTAAAATGGCAGCATTGTTCCACAGGATATCGAGGCGGGTTTCCTTCGAAATAAATTCTTCCGCCGCTGCTTTGACGCTACTCAGGTCCTCAAGATCCAGTTTGAGAAAGAGGAGATTTCCCATGGAGTTTGGGTTCTGGCTTTCGATGTCTGCGTTGGCCTCGAGGGTACGCCCGTGGTTTCTGGCCGCGGTGTAGACCTTTGCATTCTTCGAATAGAGGATGCCCGCCAGCGCCTTACCCACTCCACTTGTGGTTCCGGTGATGATGAAAACCCGCACTCTGGCTTATTAGGGTCCTGGCGGATTTTGTGGTCTCGGGTCACGATAGCAATTCCTGGTTTCTTGAAGATCTCAAAGTTGGAGTCCTCTGCACCGGCCAATGGACGCCTCAGGACTGGTTTCGTGATCGTCGTTTGTCTGCATGTGAGGCGGGTTATGGCTCGGAGAGCTCGGCCGAGCAGCCATGTCTTCAAACCCACGACAAAAGGGAGAACGTCATTTCCTGTCTCTTCTCTAAAGGAATAAATTGTCGACCACAACGTGACTGGAATTTCTCCCTCAGGTGTTCCAGTCAGGGACATTCCACAAGCTGAACGAGCCGCCCCATGGGGGAATCGTGTCAAAGTCCCACGCTTGCAAAGGAGGGATCCATCCAGAGTCAGGTATGTTTGCTTGCTCAAATGACAAATGGCGACCCTGAACAGGTCCATTGGGCATATCACTGAATTGAGGGTCGCTACGAACCTCGTTTGACCGGAGCAGAGAGTCGATCGGATCGTCTTCGTCAAAGGTGTCCTGCGCCACCGTGCCTGGTTTGGGACAAGCCGGGGTCTGGTTGCGCGAAATGACGATAGGGCCAAAAAAAGGTATAGTAAATCGCAGCGTGTCACTTGTGTTGGGATCTCTGGGGCCGTTCTTCAATGCTAGAAGAGCTTCCATAACTTCGACCCCTTGGCGCGCCATGAACTCTCGCGGCCAACGGGAGACCATCCGCATGGAATCGATGACTCTAGAAACCAGTCTCATGTCTCTCTCCGTGTCAAACGTCACGACATCCCGTGTTGCGGCTTCGACCCGATTCAGGATCAGCGTTGCGGCAGCAATGACGGTACCAAAGTCAACAACACGAGCCGTATTTTGAGTGTTGTTTGTATCTCGGAGAGCAAGGTATCGGCGGAGATGCTCTCGCGACGCATTCAGGCACGCGAATCTGCTGTACTCAAATCTGTTGTCGGTGAACGCTCGCAGCATCCACGGTATGTGCAAGATTATGGTAATTTGATAGAACCATATTTGAGCCAGGACCAATTTGAAGGGATCTCCCTCGCCCAGGGATTGGGGCGAGGCATCCATAGCTGGAATCTTCGCCAGGATATCGCCCGACTCTTTCGCGAGCTTGTCGAGCTTTTCGTCGATGTCCAGCGTGGTGGTATAACCAGGAGCCGGCTCTTTCTGGTTACGGGCAGCAATCAGCCCGGCAATGATGCAAATTTTGCGTTCAAAAACATCAAGGAAGTTGATGATAGGCACCATTGTAACCTCTTCACCAAAGCAATCGTTGCCGACCCCACAAGGAAGCCCAAGGATAGGAGCCAGAAAGCGATCAAGCATGACGGTCCTCACCCACCTAATGGCGTTGACTCTCTGCTTGTCCCCATCGCTGTCTTCACTCCGGGTAGACTTGAGATAGTCCTTATGCAGTCCTAAAAATTGGGCGGTATATAGAGCTCGACGTGCCGCCAGCCAAGCTCTGCGTAGGTTGCCGTCATTAATGTAGAAGACGCTTTGGAGAAGAAGGCATTCCCAGCCTTCCGTTGTACAAGCGAAGTCGTCTTTCGAGGTAACGAGGTCTGCTACGTAGTGCAGGTACTTTTGTAGCACGATTTCGATGGGCGAGGTGAACTGGAGTCTCGAGGAGTCAAATTCAGGTGGCATTTGTTGGATGAGAATGGCGAAATGCATCAGGGCGCGTGCTATGTTTAGTGGTGAGCCTCTTGTCAAGGTGGCTATCTCAAAATCTACCTCTGCCGTGGTTCTGTTGCCATAAACCAAGTGGCCGAGGCCCCATGCATTCTTTTGAGATATACATCAGCAGAGTGGCGCCTGGACGATGCTTTCTAGCACTCACCGTGGAGACGACGATCAGATCTGCGTCTTCCTGTGTGGGAAGTAGTGCGCTCAGCACTAGGCGCAGCTTCTCTAGCTTCGCATTTTGGGGGCCTCCCGAGCCTTGGGACGGGCTGCAACGCTCAGCCGCGCTGGACGGCGTAGACTGTTCTTGGTGACCAAACTACAACCGTAAGCCAATACCGATCAAGGGGGGAAGAGAACGGCTCATCAAACGTACAACTGCGTTATCGAACAGCGATATAAGAGGCGGGTGATTGTGTCCTTCAATAGGTGCAGTTATTGAGCCATCTCCGGCCCCGACATTCAAGGCAGCTTCGATGGTGTTCAGGGATTCAACGTCTGTCAATTTCTCCAGGAGAGACTCTACGCGGCGCAGTCTTGCGCCGAGTTCGAGATTGTAAGTGTCGGGAGCATCTGCTGAGTGTTCCCATTTCTCGCAGGCAATACCGCGGCCAGCACACGCCGTGCATTTGTCTGTTGTATTGGAACTCAGGTCGCAGCGAATCTTTCGTCTCCTGCCTGCGGCTTGTTAGAGGAGATGGCGGAAGTCGATCTGCCAAGCACATGAGCCTTACATTCAAGACAACTATTCACCACGCGCCGGATCTTCTTCCGAGGAGGCTCCATCTTGTCGATTCTGTACGCCCAGACGTATTCAGGGGACACATGTCAGCCGAGACATTGAGATTTCGTGCCGGTCCGCATTACGTAATCTGATATTGCGTCTGCATACACAATGGCCGACCGTACGAGGTCTCCACATCCACTGGCCAATCATGTTCGATGCGCTTTCACTAACCATTCCGGACACTTGCAACTTCTCCTCCTCTTCCCAATGTAACGATAGCATCCTGATATCCCATGAACGCAGATCCCCGCCTCAGTTGATGGCTAGGCTGGTTCTTTAGGGTCTTAACCTGCATTTCTCCCTCCATGTAACAGTGCAATCGCATGAGTTCGCTCTGACGATCCTGGCACCAGCGTGGCTTTCCTCGCTTCCATTTGCGCCGAGGCAGTCAACAAGATGGATGCTATCGACGAACCAGACGAGCAGCAACCGCTTCTGACAAGTCGGTCGAATCATATACCTCCGGCAATTCAAGTTGATAGCAAAGGTGAGGTCCTGCCCTCGTGGCAATGATTTCCAACCACGCGAGGGGGGCACCATACCACTCCAGACCCTGGCCACTTCCCTTGGACCTACTATATCTCGCTACCGACGGGAGGGGTCAAGTCGAGCGGCAAGGACTGACGGACACCCTCTCTCATGTTCTTATCGTCCTTGATAACGAGCCCCTGTTTGGAGGCGTTTATCAGTTGATCACTACCCGTCAACCGGCCGTATTTGTGCGCTCTACTTCTTCCAACATTCACAGATTTTGATCAATGTCGCTCACTGCGGGAACTGCAGATATGGACAAGGACATTGAGATCAGAAAAGAGCCTGCGGGCCTCATTGCCACCGCGTCTATTGACGACATCAACGCCGAAGCACGCACAGCCACCGACGAAGAACATGGGCATTCTTTTTGGGAGGCCGTGAGGCTGTACCCCGCAGCTGTCGGCTGGTCTCTCTTCTTCTCGCTGGGTGTTATCATGTGAGTGACGGCCATAATGAAAACACTCGCACACTTCGGTAACAGGTGGGCGAACAGGTGTGCCTTTGATCCACAACTTCTGGGTCAATTGTATGCGACGCCAGCATTTCAGCGTGACTTCGGTTATCTCTACAACGGAAGCTATATTGTCTCAGCTCCATGGCAGACCGGTCTGAGCATGGGCTCGCCCATCGGTCAAGTCGTTGGCGCCTTTTTCGCGGCCTACCCGATGGAGTGGTTCGGCCGGAAAAAGACCTTTGGAGCATGTGTTATCCTCACCACCGGTTTTGTCTTTATCCAGTTTTTTGCGAGATCGCTTCCTGTCCTTCTCGTTGGTGAATTGCTCGGGGGGCTGGTCCTGGGAAGCTACGCCGTGATCGCCCCGGCGTACGCCTCAGAGGTGTGCCCTTTGGCCCTGAGAGGTGTCTTGACATCCTGTACGAACATCTGCTTCGTGACCGGCCAGCTGATCGCAAATGGTGTCATTGCTGGAACCCATGTACTTGACAGCCACTGGGCTTACAGTGCGCCCTTTGCCATCCAGTGGCTCTGGCCACTGGTGATTCTGATTGGTCTGCCGTTTGCTCCTGAAAGGTCAGAATCTTTAGGCACCTGAATCTGCATCGTTTTTGCTAACATGAACGTAGCCCATGGTGGCTGCAAAGACAAGGACGGTTCGAGGATGCCGAAAAGGCTCTCAAGCGACTGGCTTCGCCAAAGGTCGATGTGCGACCTACACTGGCCATGATTATGGAGACGGATCGATTGGAAAGGGAAATTGAGGCGGGCTCCACTGTAAGTTCTTCTGTTCTTGTGTGTCATTGCCTCTTTTTAGAGGCTGTTGTTGGTTGGCACTTTGACTTTGAGACTGACGGCGAGTGTAGTATCGGGATTGTTTCAAAAAGATCAACATCCGCCGAACAGAGGTTGCCGTTGGGGTTTACACCATCCAAGTCCTTTCGGGGATCTACCTTGTCGGCTATGCCACTTACTTCTTCACCCGTATGTGCAATGGATCACTCTACTTCTTTTTATAGGAGTTGCTTACATAGGATCAGTTGCTGGCCTACCCTCCGACCAAGCATTCAACATGGGCGTTGGCTTCCTTGCGATCGGCTTCGTGGGCACTTGTCTCTCCTGGATACTGCTGATCTACTTTGGCCGGCGCACCATCTACAACACGGGCCTGGCGCTCCTCGCCGTCCTCCAGATCATCATCGGCATCCTCGACTGCGCCCCCAACTACGACAACAGGCCCTCCATCTCGTGGGCTCAGAGCGTCCTGATGTTGATCTGGAACTTCATCTACGACCTGTCCATCGGCCCCGTGTGCTTCGTCCTGCTATGCGAAGTGTCGGCCACTCGTGTCCGCGGGAAGACCATAGCCATCGCCACCGCGGTCCAGGCCACGGCCGGTATCGTCATGACCGTCGCCATTCCCTACATGATCAACCCCGACCAGGCGGACATGCGTGGAAAGCTTGGCTTCTTCTTTGGCGGACTAGCCCTGTTGTGCCTGACTTGGTCATACTTTCGAGTTCCTGAATTGTGAGTTTACCACCTCTTTGTCGCCGTCGATTAAACATATCCTCCCCGACAGGAGTCGTCGTATACTGACTGTGTTGCTCCACCACAGGAAAGGGAGAACGTACCAAGAAGTCGACATTATGTTCGAGCGCAACCTCAAGACCAGGGACTTCAAGCACTACGTGGTCACGGGTTGAGATTGCAAGACGAGCAGGATCGAGGAATCCCTCGACACACACCACAAATCTATGAGTAATCTGAGATTGAGTCTGCGTATAATAGTGCTCAAGTACGATAATTTTGAAATGGGCCACTGTATATACCGAACTGAGGCATTTGTTGACTTGTGTTTTCCCGCCATGGGGATCATGAGCCAGCAATCCCGATGTGAATTGACCTATAATCCTGTTCTACCAACGGATGTAGTGAGGTCGGCAGTGTCTGGGAATAGAACGCTCGGCTGTTCTATTTGCTCCTTTCTCCAGTAACTCAGAAACTCCTCAAAAGGTCTTGAAAGGGTCAATTCATCTACGCAAATTAACTTTTTTGACATGCCTATCAACAACGCCCTTTGCGCCAGACCAACAATGCTGTCTACCCTCAAGAGAGAGAGGGGGAAGGAGAGAAAAAAAGCCTGGTCTCACAACGTCGAACGCCGGGTATCATGATCGCAACAGCTTCGTTCGTCCGGTCGGTCGGTCAGTCCATATACATAATCATGGCTGCCACGGAAGAGCAAGCACTTCAGTCCAAATCCATGTCTTCTTCCGTTCCTCCACCCACCAACATCTTCCTCTTCCTCTTCTGCCGCAGTCTCTCCTCCCCGACCACCCTACTAGCCTCGATGTCTCTCTTAACCTGGTCGAGCATAGGCTCCATCTCGGCCCTCGCGGCCTCCAGATCGGCCAACTCCTTCTTGATGAGATGCTCTCCCTGGGCCACGACCTTGAGATCCTGCCTGCGCCGGGCATCCCGCTGTGCCTTGCCGCTCAGTCTCCGCCGGGTGTACACGCGCTCCCGCCGAGCGCGGATCTCCTCGATACGCTCCATGGCCTTGATGGTCGCCTGGACGAGGTGACGGTCATATTTGACGGGGGCGTTGCGGCGCTTCGCGAACTGCGAGAGCAGCAGGTTCTGGTCGACGATCATCTCTTTGCCCCGGAGGGCGCGGTGTGTCTTGGTCCACTTGAGTTTGCGTGGTTGCCGCTTCATCTTGAAGTTCTTGTGGCATTTCGAGCGGCAGAACCGGAACACTTTGGCGTCGTTGCGCACGAACGTGATCCCCTTGGACGGGTAGACGGGGCGGGAGCACAGGTGGCACGTTTCGATCCTGTGGAGAGAGAGACCACCGATGTGTCAGCACGAAGAAATGAGAGTAGTATGGGAGGAAGACTAAAGTACGACGAACCTCATGATCGTGGAAGCGGGTTGTAGATGTTAGAGTGGCAGAATCAGAAGGGTCTTTGGTTGAAGGAGGGTGTCTCGAAGATCTCAGCTCCCGTGAAGTGACAGGTGCTGTGATGGCCTTGTTTTTACTCCGCCTGCCCGTAAGGTGGCAGCTTGGAAAAAGGTATTGCTGCCGTCCTCGAAGACATGGAAAACGCAGACTGCGGAAAATCTTTGCCAAGGCGTGGAAAAACTGGTGGATGCCACCGACTTTCCCCTCACGTGGCTGGCTGGCTCTTAACCTCTTTAGGCATAAATCGATGCCGCCCTGAACAGACTCCAAGATCGACGTCACAAAGAACGGATCACGTGTACGGCGTATTGAAAATCACCATATGATATGCTCTGGCCGAAATGTTTCTACAGGACGCAAGGATGCGTATCGAGATGCCCTTCCTGAGATTCAGCATCTATCATGTGCCCGCTCTCTATATATTCCCTCTCCTGAATGGCCCACGAAGCCCTGAATACACCAGAGATGATCGGCGGTATCAACGCCACCTTGAAATCAACTGAGACGTACCCAGTCCTGTCCAGATAACCAGCGGCGAACGAGCCCAGTTCGTCCTGGAATGGAGACTGCCACTCCCGAGTCCAGCTCGAGCGCGTCTCGGCGCAAAGCCTCGACGGCTTGTTTCAGCTGCAAGATCCGGAAGTCCAAGGTAGGATAATCTCCCCGTCATGCTCGGCCACAGTTTTCTGACCGCCTCCTCGTAGTGCTCCGGGGGGAACCCTTGCAGTGCCTGCAGTCGGTTGGGACTCCAATGTATATACGACGCCTCTCTGGACAGGCGACGGAAAATCCACTGGGAGCGAGCTGAGACCGAATCCGCGCTTCAGAAGGAGATGCTGCAGCGGCTTCTCCAATTGATCCACTCCGGGAGTGACGAGATTCGAAAGAGTTTGAGAGACGATGCGCATATCCAAACGCTTGCACAGAGGCTCGGCATTGACCCGTCTGAATACGCTGTCACGTCGTCGCACCCTGAGTCCTGGGCTGCAACCCACGCTCGAAAGACAGACCTCAACGAGTTCGGTGAGGACGTGAGTCAGAAAGAAGAGCTGATTCGACGGCAAGGGGTGCCTCCTGCAGAAGGACCGCTTCACTTCGCGTTTGAAACGGATCCCTCGACCATATTGACGAGCCGGGCAGGTTCGCACGACGATCAATGGCACCTGCCAATGGTATCTGGTGTGGCTACGCAGAGCCCCCGGAGACCTGACCCTCGAGACCCATTTCGAATCTTTTGTTTCAGAGACCACGATACCCCCAGTGTGGAATCAATCAGCGTATTCGGCGACTCCTCGTTCCTGTCAGCGACGGCCAGGGCAAGTCAGGTCCTGACCCTGCAGGGCGAGCAGACACTCCGTCTTGACATCCCGGAGTACCTCATCCAGCCGATTTTGTTCGAGGGAGAGCGGTGCCCGATGGCTGCTGTATATACCGACTTCCGGGATTACGGACGAAGACAACTGGCCGCAGGGTTTCCCGTCGAAGTCGTCCTGGGTTCTGCACAAGTTGACCTCGCCCTCTATTTTCGCGAACGCGAGCCAGAAGATCCCCACACCCCGGCAACCTGGGCCTGCGAGTACATGCGGCTGCTCAAAAACTTCGACGTCTATGTAGCTCTGGCTTGGATTTTCACCTATGCACATTTCATGCGCGTTAGTTTTGAGGGACATCCTCACCTAGGGAAGTGAACCACCCAATTAACGGGCTGATAGTGGACAATTGCCCCTTCGGCAGAGACGTATGCGTTGCTCCCCGAGGCAATGAGACCAACGCCTCTTCAAAGGCTCGTCCGTCATCATCCCGGTGTGGATCTGCCGATATTGTAAGTCTTCCTTCCTGCATCAGCGCATTGAATACTGAGCCTGGTTCGCGGCGCCCAGCCCTGAGATGCGCGACGGATTGATTCAAGATATGCGTGACTACATCGTGGCGATTCAGACTCTCGGATGCAGCGTCAATTGGGAATACGGGCTCGATGCAGCCATTGACACTGACCCGGCGACCGGGACGATGACCCTGTCAGACCAGTTTGCCACGCATGTATGTAGTCTTTCGCACTGGTCCATCAGCCAAAAGTTTGCCGATGTCTTCCCCGAAATGCGAGACTATTACCAGGTGGTCGAACAGGACACAATCGCGGCCTCTGAGGTCGACATCGGAGAGTTCCTGGCGCAAAGAAAAGGCCGCAAAGCGTCCTGAATTCGACGAGGCGCTGGAACGAGAGGAACAAGAGCGATTTAAGGGCTTGCCTGTCGTAATGAAAAGAGAAAGACTGCAGACCACTTGATGAGGTAGGCAGGAATATAGGAACAGGAACAGACCAATTTCGCCGGCTGTTATTTCCAGGCTGCGAGGGGCCGGAAATCCACTGCTCCGGATTCTTTATCCGCAGAATTTGAGGAGGTTGGGAACTAAATGATGATATGAGATTATGCACCAGATGTTATGATGGGTTTGGACGGAGTGGATGATTTGATGATGATATCCCAAATGGATCTTCCGTCGGTGGAACAGAGTGACGCTTGTACCATTTCCCCTTTGAGCACGGGGTTCTGTATCTATGTATCTGTGTATCTGTGTATCTATGCATCTATGTATGTAGCTCGTACGCAGTGTGTGCTTGCTGCATGGGCCTACAACGACTTTCCCAATCACATATAGGCCTGTCGTCATTAACGATCTCTCCGCTGAGCGTGCACAATCCATGACGCGTTGAAGAGCAGGTAGTTACAGTAGGTACTGAGTACCTCGTACATAATTACAGTGTACCTGGTTCCTAGCCACAGACACGTCTGTGATGTGATGCTTCTTTTTGCCTGGCCCCTCCCTTTACCTCGAGAGAGCACGGAGAAATATCTTGAGCAAGCACCTACCTCTTCGCTATGTGTCGAGTACTCATGTCTTCTTCTCCTCCCTAGACGTCGAACATGTACCCCCAGCAGACCCAGACACCACGGGGAAACGCCTAACGTTGTATGTAAGAAGAAGGGCCCCGGGCGCGAGGGAAATACTTGCTTGGTTAGTTGACGCCGGTTTGGGAACCAAGCACCACGCCTTTCCCCGGGCGGGGTTAGGGGAGAGGAGGAAGGGGGGGGGGATGGACAGCGAGGCTGCGAGAACAAAGGGGTAAGTCACCAAGGTACATACAGTATGTAAACCTGTAGTGCCTGACCACCTACCTTCACACCTAGCTCAGTGGATTCAGGCGGCATTTTTTCCCCTTCTCTTCTTTTTCTTTCTTTTTTGCCGTGTTTGAGACCACGACAGAGGCATGGGTGGGTCGGCGGAATCCCCCTTCGCCCTCAACGCCTTTCTCGTGTCAGACATCTCTCTCTCTCTCTCTCTCTCTCTCTCTCTCTCTCTCTCCTGTTGTGAAGCCCGCGCTAGATGCGTAGGGACGCGAGTACTCATGTAGCCATGAACTTCCGTGGCAACTAGGAGTACCTAAAACCGGTGTCTACGGCCAGTAGCGGTGCTGTGAGTCGGTAAGGAACAGAGACCGGGTGATGGTTCAACTGTGACGTCGAGACGATGGGAAGGCTGAACGAGATCATGACTAGGCAGATGATGATGTGCGTTTTAGGTATTGGCTGCCTACTCATTCCGCTGAAGGCTCGCGAAAGCAGCATCGCATAAGTCCAACTGCTACAGGAGACGATCTGCTCTTCACCCAGCGGGTACAGAACTCTGTGCGGTATGATTTGAAGAGCTTGTTCTAAGAGGACCGGTGTCAAAGTGGTAGCAGTGTCATATATCGTCGACGGGGTATTAAATACTCGCAACTGGGGTATTAAGTAGTAAGGAAGTCCATCAGACGTTCCGCATCAGAAGTGACCAGAATGTCTCTCTCTCTCTACCTCGCGCCTATTCAGCCTGCTCGTCTATCTGTACATTCGCATCCATCGCAATCGAGGGTGTTAGGGGTATCAGGGGTATCATTGATTAAGGACTGACATCGATGCTCGAGTATCCGTCAACTTAAACCGCAGCAGCGCCAGGGGCACGGTCGTAAACTGGTGCAGTGCCACCATTGGTAGCGGGAGCAGTAGTGGCGGCGGTGCTAACACTTCCAGCCGATTTTTCCATGTGAGTAGCTCCACGGTGCTTAAAAGGTTGCATTGCCCAGAGCCATCCCTCCAGGACCTGTCCCAGGATATTGGTGAAACTATTCAGTTGGTAAACACGGGGACGGAACGGATACCCCAATGGGGAGCTGGGAACTTACAAAGCAATGAAGGCAAAGGCCTCAAGAGTCTTTTTCAAGCCGCACTTGTTGACGCCTGAAGGAGAACGGGCACACGTTCCTCCGAAGTTATAGTCTTGGGCGGCGAAGATAAATGCCGTGAGCCACAAGTAGGAGAATAACCAAGCCACAGGGGCCATATAGCCTTTGTACGCTCCTATGGCGGGCAGGAACAATGCCGGCAAATAGACCAAGGCGTCGATAGAAGCCTGGAGATGTTGTCAGCGGCCATGGATCGATCGACCAGGCGAACTTCCAAAACTTACAATAGTGATCCAATAGACGAGATGGGTATTGTGACTGTACTTGGAGATGAAGTATGCGGAAATGCCGAGGACAATGATGGACGAGATCCAATGCAGCCAGTGGTTGGCAAGGATGGCTGGCCGATGCGTTCTGTTGGAGCGGCCAGCGGGCGCGCCGTAATCAGTCGTCGCGGTGACGGGCCCGGCATGACCACGTCTACCAAATCGAGCCATGGTGATTGTTTGCTGAGAACTTCTTTTCTCTGGTTCGGAAAAGGCTATACCAAGAAACAGCCTTGCACAGCCTCGTGATTTAAATCGGATGGAGGTGGTCCGCACCGGTCCGCAGGGGTTCGCAAGGCGCGAGAATGGTATATGAAAACTGTGAGTTCTGATAGTCTGTGAGATTGCGAGATAAATCGAATGTCCTGGCACTGGTATCCTAGAACACAGCAGCCTGGCCAGCACATAGTTATATGCAGATTTTGTAGCGGCAAAGGAGGACGATGTCGTCCCGAACCGGGAAATTCCAGTCTTGTGATGGTGCATTTAGTCATTATTCGTTCATGCGCCGCTCGTCACGATTTCGTGCTGTTCCACCTTGGAGTTCCATCAAGGTGTCTTAGTTCGGCGAGTTGCCTGGACTCTTGCAAGATAGAGAACAGACAAGCACGCCAATGCAAGAACTCTTCGAATGACCCACAAGTCAACCACAGATGCAATAGGCCGGGAGGGATATACCGTTCTGTAGAATGTGAAACTCGAAATCCCGTATCAAACTGTCAAATATGGGTCAGGCACCTTGCGGATGATCAGCGTGTGGTGTGGATCGATTGGCTCGATAGCTTGCCACGAAGACACATCCGAAAACCATGACGAGTGCCGACGGACGGCTTGCTCATCCTCGAATGGCAGGGGATCAAGAAGATGTCGCCAGCCTTGTCCGAGGGAAAAGACCCGGCATGCTTCCCTGCTTATGCGGGTATGCGGACGTCACATCATGAGAAGCATCAGATGAAATTTCTCATCATCACTTCGTGGAAAATGTCGAAAGCCAGAGATGTCCCACAAGCGGATAACAAACCCGCCTTGTCCCCACCACTGCTCCACGCGAATTCAGCCTTCTTGATCCCACGGCACCAGCGCATCCTCGCCGACTTTCTGCGTGATCAGCCGCATACTCAGGTTGTAGAGCGCGTCCGCCAACTTAGGGTCAGAGGCTTACGACGATTCCTTGCCGGGTTGTCCCTAAAGGCAATGTGAGCAACTCGAGTCGGAAATCACAAGTAACGATGACTTATTGGGTTGACGAAATAGAGGCCCTGGTAGTTCTTCCCCTCAACTTCTGGAGCAGTGGCGGCCCACAACGCACAGTACGAACCTTGCTCGACATCCCTTCCTACCGTGGTCATTGCCCAGGACAACGTATTTCCAAAGACACCCGAGCAGGCGGCCTTCGTGTTGACGGTACCTGGATGCATGCTCAAAGAACGTAACTTTGTTACCGTTCGGCTTGATGACTTTCACCGGCAGAATGAATTTGGCGAGCAAGATCAGAGCGAGCTTCGAGCGTGCGTACAGATGTGTTGAGCCAAAGTTCTCATCGTTGACCTCCTCAAGGGAGCCAAAGTGGATGTCTGGAGGGGACGCACGGTGAACTTCGGAGGCTTCGAACACATCAGGAGGTCTTTGACGCCTTGCGGATAAGCGGGTATAATTAGCAAATTCACGGCGTAGAATTGGCCGAGAAAGTTGCCGCCAAAGTGTCGATCAATGCCATCTGTATCAAGCCCGTAGGTGTTCGTCTTGATACAGGCTGACAAAATGAGCTGTCGGAACGCATGCGTTCCTCTTTGCACCCTCCAAGTCGACGCATTCAAGCTTATTACGAAGATCCGTGAAGACCTACTTCACCCTCTTTCGGACTTTCGAGATCGCAGCCCATCCAGTCCACGTCGGCGATGGGAGGTTCCTCTTTAATCTGCTTGATGGCTTCGTTTCCTTGTTCTTCCTTCCACTTCACCCTGATAACCTTAGCTTTAGCTTGGGCAAACTACCGCGAGATCTGGAACCCAATGGCATTTGCGCCTCCTATTACTACCGCCGTCCGGCTAGAGAGGTCGTGGAGTTCTTTCTTCGGACCGACAACGCTATGAAGTACTGACTGCATGACGGTCTAACAGTGGACGACGAAAATGGCCAGAGAGTAGTCACGGATGATGCGTCTACCGAGGCTAATTCAGGTTTCGTATTGTTTTATTTCTTCTACACCGGCTGAGGGTATAGGACTATGAGATCATGCGATCATTGCGGAAGAAAGAATCCGCCATCGCAGGCAGAACGGAGCTCGTTGAGCATCACAGCTTCCGACTATCATTTTGACATCATGACCAAATCGATCCGCTGATGGAAATTGCATTGCAACGCTTTCATGGATCGCGGCAGTCTGGCGTACCGTAATCATCATCCATTTGCGCATGGGAGGGAATGCGCCCGTGTCATTCTCTCGCACGAAAATTCTTCCTGCTACTCGCTGGAGCTCGCCACTGCAGTTCACCAACTCGCTGATGCAATCCGTGCCTGCGGCGTCTAGAAACACCATAAACAGCACACGGTATTGACGCGTTTGTTATCTAGCCAAAGCCCGAGGCAAGAAACAGGACGTGTCATCTCGCGTGGCCTTCGAAAGAAAACAATCTATTGATCCACCTCATCACCAACAATTGTGGGAGACCTGATTTTGTCATCTGGTTGCCGATCGACTTGCAGCAGGTCATGGACGGTATTTACGTGGCTAACCTCAGCGGATGCGAGCATACCAGTGATTCTGCTATCTTCGGCTGTAATGTTGTGAGAATAGGTACCAGTTCGTCAGCATTCTATTATCTGACTGAATCTCTATCAGAGACGAGAACCTTGCAGTTCACACATACATGCGATTGCAAGAGACGACCACGTTTTCATTGGTTATTCTTAGCGCTGAGCGCGCCATCTCTGCACCTTGCGAACCACTGCGGACCAGCGTGAGCCAACTCCATCAAGCTTGATCGCGAGGCTGAGCAAGGCTGATTCTTTGTATAGCCTTCGGAATGAGTCCAATCTGGATAAGTCCTGGCGAATTAATGTGAGTATGAATATGGGCGCGATTCATACTCGCACTATTCGTGAATATTACGCACACTCCATCAGCGGGTCAGTTGACAGAGGATTGAGGCTCCTCAAATTCCGGGATGGGAAAACAACCAGTCTTCTACGAGGCAATGCCCGCTGAAAAATGGTCTTGCCACGTTGGGTTGACCGATCACTGAACTCCGTTTCAGCGACACCACCAGATCAGCAAGCACCGTGATTGATCAACCCGAACCGGTAAGCCCATTTCAATCGGGCATTGCCTCGTACCGCCTCGCATGTTCAGCGTGGCTACGTGACGTGATCTCCCGTCTCCCATGCCCAGCTTGAGATCGGTCAATAGTGAAGCACAGCATCAGGGAGGATTACAAAACGAAAGATGCCATTGGTGGGGATCTCAACGATCCAGGAGCTGCGGGAGCATATGCCCAACGTCACTGTCCAGCATGGCCACCCCTGCAGAACGCTCGTGTAAGATGCGGACATTGATTCCGAGACCTTTAGTTGGACCTCTGACTATCCTGTAGTGCACTCTTCGCACAGCGAAAGTTTTTAAGCTGCTCTTCCCTCCACACTGGAATCCTCTGCTAGTTTGACTGTCGTGGGAAAATGGCAGCTACGAGACCTATCGTGAGAGCATTTCTTGCCCGTCCTCATGTCAGTCGACCTCTTGCCGTGCAGAGCAGGATAAATCCCGTCTCCAACACACGCTTCCAGAGCTCCGCGCCTCAAAACGCTGTAAATAAAGTCGGCGCTGCTACTGCAAATATGTCTTCCGCCAACGCAGGGACGGTCTCCGATGCGATCAAGCATGACCACGCGGAGCTGAAGGAATACTATCACAACATCCTGAGTGCAAAGGATGATGACTCGAAAATTCGTTGGCAGAATCAGTTCGCTTGGGAGTTGGCCCGTCATTCGATTGGAGAGGAAATTGTCGTGTATCCAGCCATGGAGAAACATATGGGTGAAGAAGGGAAGCATCTAGCACAGAAAGACCGAGATGGGCATAACAAGGTATTTACCGTGATCGCCCGTTCTTCAGACATGCGGCATCATTTGCCGTGGTCGTGCAGTATGTACTCAAAGCTGATGCGGAACATAGGTCAAGGAACTCTTATACAAGTTCCAGGGCTTGTCTCCCTCGGACAAAGAGTTCGAACCAACCATCAAGTCGCTCTGGGACGTGCTAGGCAAGCACATCGAAGAAGAGGAGACCGACGACCTGCCCAAGCTCGAGAAAGCGATAGCAGATGGCAATTCGTCGCAAATGGCCAAAAGCTTCGAGAGAACCAAGATGTTCGTGCCGACGCGCAGCCATCCTTCGGCGCCAGACAAGCCTCCCTTCGAAACCGTCGCCGGACTGCTGGCCGCGCCGTTGGACAAGCTAGGCGACATTTTTCGACGTTTCCCGCAGTAATGGAGGCCAGCAGACTGTCAGGGTACTGCGGCTGATGGGATGTAACCAAGACTGCGATTGGGATGGGGTGTAAAGCCTCGTGTATGTTGTGGTTGTTTGGTGGACAGATCAGTGCTCGCCAGGGAGATTGATGCCGGTAGTTCGCGCGAGACACATGTGAATAGCGAGGAAATATGTCCCGTAACAACATGACCTCAAGATGATGTACCGCACCGTATGTAGCCAAGACAAGGAACTGCGTCCGGGTTGAAGTCCACCTGTCCACCTGTCCACCGCCGAGAACAGTGAGAAGCTGAGCTCGTTGCAAGCTCCCAAGAGCTCCCTAAGTGGAGATATCCCGGTCGTTCACGCGCTGTAGTCGTTCTTTGACACATAATTGCCGCCCTTGGGACCCTCATGTCAAACCGAAGCTCGAAGTTGTCGCGGCGCACTCATAATGACCACAGAACAACGTTCTTTCGCTGGGCCGAGAACGGGCTAATGCAGGGAACCGATGGAGCACTAGCTGCGGATCAAATGTCCGCAGGTTGAGGACCCTATCACACCGGGGGCATTTTCAAGCAGCGCGGAATCGGCGATGGCATCCTGCCCTGGCATTTCTGCAGCTGGCAACGTCCGTGACAGCCTGTTCGAGACATTTCTTAGTGTCTTTGTCGTCTTAATACAGGGGGCAATTGCCTGATATAGGCGGACCCATATCCGTGTTCTTCTGAATCGTCGTCATCTGTCATTGCATCGCGCGATGATTCCACTGATGCCTCAATGAATTCGTTAGGATACCGTTTCCGCGCGCGCCACAGCTTGACCAAGACCGTGGAGGTATCCTAACAGAGGAGGTCGCCTGAAGGCGGAGACATCATCAATCCCCAGAACCATGCTGTCTACACAGCTGCCCCCGTATACCCCATACAGAGTCGAGGGTGCATTACGCCAGATTTTGCGGCGGCGAAGAAGCCTCGGTTCAATGCTTCGTTCCGCATCAAGCTTGGCCATAGTGCATGAATCCCTTGACTGCCTCGTTGTTTCTTTTGAGTTCTTGGTTCCCTGTCTGTGTCGGCAACGCACGCCAGGTCGCGCCTCGGCATATGTGTGTATCTCCTTGCTGAGTATCTTGAGCATCGATTGTAATCAGGCTTCCTGGATGAGGTCCGTCTGGTCAGGATCTCCGGTTAATGGTGGCATAACCGCGGTTGTGTATAGCCAACGAATGAAAGGGTTCACAAAACCGAGCCAAACGGTCTTCCGTCACAAGATGTCTGTGCAAAGAACGTGTCTGGTAACAATCTTCAAAGCAGCAAGATGGAATGGAGGATGACAAGCCATTGGTACCGAAGTGTCGCACAGAGATGAAGATCGCGTCGCGCACCCCGCCCACAGCCGACCACAGTCGAGCTGGATGCCTCCGATCGACAGCCGAATAGACCAGCATGCGAGGGTGAGGAATCCATACTCTCGAGGATGCATTCGACAACAGATCGAGCCGTGGCTTGTCATGCACCCGCCCCCTCTCCGTGGTGTGGCAAGCATGGACGCTGACCAGGTAGATTCAGGAGGAGCCGCAAAGCCACTCGCGCAACGAAACTCGGAGCTGGTGGTGACAAGGGGCTCGATCTGGACCCCAGGGCCACCCAACGATATGTTATCAATTGTGGGGATGGGGCGAAATGTGTTAGAGGGGATGGACCCGGCGATATGGGTTGCCTACTGCACTTTGGCATTGCATTGGTTCAGATGTTCGGGTCTGGCTTGGACGATCCCCTGTCCCCCTTCCTTTCAGCAGAAGCCTTGACGACCCTGGCCCAGAATAATCTCTGTGCCCTGTATCCGGTGGAAGAGGTGCACGTATATACCAAACCTGCGGACGACATGGAACAATGCTTCAGCCCAGGCCGATCACACTCACAGTCCTAAAGTCCAGTGAGACCCGACTGCGGCTGGTGTGCAGAGCTTTGACGATGAGATTGATAGATGGTCAGCTTCCCACACTTTGTTTCAGACATCCGTTGCGCCCTATACTGGTGGGCTCGTCCACCAGGCAACCGCCCTGTGAAAGATGCTATCTCGGCCAGTCGGTCGGTCAGCGTGGCCATCACCAAGCACCCTTTTGCTAGACACAGTAGATCTCGGAAGCTTCTTCAGTAGTATGTATGGAGGCAAAGGGCGAGTGCGTAGATGTCCTAGCCTTTGACGCCGCTGAGCCACGACGCCTGGGCTATGAGAAGGCTAGTCGCTGTACCGCCGTTCGAAACGAGGAGGGGAGTCGTGCAGAGCTAGTGCACAGAGCCATGTCTGGAGGGATGGCGCCCGTCTGTTTTCAAAACCACGTGGTGGCTGAAGTGACCCCGGTGCTGATATTATGTACAGCGACCATGTCCGCGTGGCCTGTTTTTCGTATTGAAGCGACCGACCGACTGACCGACCGACTGACTCGTAGCTGACCAAAATAAATTGTGTGTGTGAGAGAGAGTCAGTGACATGCCATGCCCGTTATTGGCAAGAGAGCTAGTGAATGGTGGAAGAATCCGTCCGTCCGTCCGTTTGTGTGAGTGAGTCGAACGGGTTAAGATTTCCCTGGGTACGAGTGACTGTGCCCTAGTCAAGGTACGTAGGTAAGCTTCGTGGTGGCTGGTATAAGACTTTTGCTTGATCGCTATCGGCCATTTGGGATGTTTATCTCAAGAAAACTGGCTAGCGACCGCCCGAATCAATTGGCCAACGAAAGGCCCCCTGCGGACAAGTCCCGAGTCCTTATCTCTCCAGGCTTACCACGATGAGCAGGTACTGTACAGGAGCTTATATTCTGGGGTGTCGTTGGTTGGGGGCAAGGCGATACAATGAATGCCTCGTGGCTCCGAGAAGGGATGGTTGCTGAGATCTAGAACTGGGAAGGTAAAGTCGTGACATTGATATTCGCCCCTTCAACCACCTTCGTTGCGATACCGACACCGACACCGACACCTCTTTTTCTTAATACAAACCCGACCATGGACGATATCCTCCCCCAGAAAGAAGGCCTGTACTCGGCTGAGGCCGTCGGCAGCGACAACAGCAGCGATGCCATCGACCAGGATGGCAAGGATATGGCCCGTATGGGCAAGAAGCAGGAGTTCTCGCGCAACTTCAACTGGATCAGCAGTGTCGGCTTCACTTCCTGCACCATGGGCACCTGATATGTCTCCCCTGCATCTCCCTCCTTTGTCACCCTTCAATCTCGCGTACTGACATTGCTGCGTGCACGGAGTTTGTCGCCTTGAACAACTTCCAGCTGCTCGTCGACGGCGGCACGGCGGGCATGTTCTGGAGCTACACGTGGGTCATCACGGGCCAGTTCTTCATCGTCCTGAGCCTGGCCGAGATGGCGTCGATGGCCCCGACGGCCGGAGGACAGTACCACTGGGTCAGCGAGTTTGCCTCGAGACGCTACCAGAAGGCCCTCAGCTACACCTCGGGCTGGCTCAGCTCGCTGTGCTGGCAGTCCTTCGTGGCCTCCGACTGCATGTTCGCCGCCCAGCTGCTCATGGCGCTGGTGCAGCTGGGAAAGCCGGACTTTGACGTCAAGAACTGGTACACGGCGCTCCTGAGCATCCTGATCGGCAGCCTGGTCACCGGGATCAATGTCTGGGGGGCGAAGAAGCTGGCCCTGCTGGAGAACGTGTTCGTGGCCCTACACGTGGCCGGGTTTTTCGTCGTGCTCATCACCATCGCCGTCGCCTCGCCCAAGAACGACGCGAAGGACGTCTTTCTCACCTTCTCCGACAATGGCGGCAACTTTCCTCTGCGTACGTTTGATCCCATCCTCACAGTGATTTCTCTCCTCGTGCCAACGAACCGCATACTGACCTGAAGTGTGTGTAATAGTGGGCCTTGCCGTCATGGTCGGCCAAGTCCCTGCGATGTGGAACGTGCTGGCCTCGGATGCCGTCGCCCATCTGTGTAAGGAGCCCGGCGTCACATACATCCCAGACCTTATCCAAAGCAGCCACTGACGGTCCATATAGCGGAAGAAGTCAAGAACGCGAGCGTCGTGACGCCCAAGACCATGTTTTGGGCATACATGTTCAACATCCCCCTCGCCTTCGCCATGTTGATCGTGTTCCTGTTCGGCATGACCGACGTGGCCACCGCGACCACCGAAGCCTTTCCCTTCGTGTGGGTGGTGCAAAACTCGCTCAGCACGGCGGGCGCCCAAGGCATCACCTCCATCATGTTTGTAAGTGTTCACACTGCTTCCTGTTCTTACTCCTACTGTCCCACCCAAATGTGCTGAGTGCCCTCGTAATCTTTAGATTTTGGTCTTTATGATCGCCGTCAGCTGCTTCGCGTCGACGTCGCGCCAGCTGTTCGCGTTCGCGCGCGACGACGGCATGCCGTTCCCAACGTGGATGAAGAAAGTCAACCCGAAGCTCAACGTCGCGGCCAACGCCTGCTTCGTGACCTGGGGCTACACGGTGGTCATGAGCCTGATCTACCTGGGCAGCCCCGTGGCCTTCAACGCCATCATCAGCCTGGCCATTGTGGCGCTGATGGCCACGTACGCCATCAGTATAGCCTGCGTGCTGTGGCGCCGCATCAAGCTCCCCGAGACGCTGCCGCCCGTCTTCTGGAGCCTGGGCAAGTGGGGGATCGCCGTCAACGGGCTCGGCCTCACCTACGCCATCTACGCCTTCTTCTGGGCCTTCTGGCCCATCTACTGGGAACCGAACGCGGAGGAGGTATGTCATAAAAGAAATTTCATAACAGCCCCTCCCTTTACTTGATTTGCTTGTTTTGCTTCCTGCCATTGCCCTCACCCCATGGAAGAGTAAGCTAACACGTGTACAGATGAACTGGGCCGTCGTCCTGTTCGTGGGGGTTATGTGCATCTCCGCGGTCAACTGGGTCCTCAGTGCCCGGCGCATGTACACTGGCCCGGTGGCGACGTGTGAAGGCCGCCAGGAAGATTAAATGATTTCTCGAGCCGTGCAGGATTCGTCGTCGTTGTCGATGTGGTTTATCTCACTGTCCACCCTCGCGGCTATGTTCTCCTCACTGAGCTGCTCTGATCGGAGTAGACGAAACCAGGAGCTCTATTTGGGCGAGCACGACAATTGGGCTCGAACCAAGAAAGACCTGTGTGTGTCTCATCGGCAGAAGGCTTAACTAGTGACGAGACTCAAGAAGATGTTGTCAGCATTTCTAGCCTAGAATAGAATATCAGTGCTCGACCACCCCCCAGACCGTTCATTATCGTAAAGCCCCTTGTATGCTGTTAAGTTTTCGCCAATCTCACCACACCTACCCCGGTGAAGTCGGCTCCCGAATAGAATCATCCTTCTGCATGGGTGCATATGCATAATGCAAATACGAGGGCACAGAGATCGGGTCGACTATCTCCAGCGTCACATACCGATTGTACACGGTCTCCCCACACTTGTATTCAACTGCCTTGCATACCTGCCAGCAAGCATCCATAACGCCACTTTTGGAGGGGTTTCAAATATTTCCCCCCTACCATGGAAAGCCCTCCATTCAGAAGGTGGCATGGACATTGTCATCAGAGATGACTGTAACTATCTCTGCGTCATGGTGAGAAATGGCTGCGTCTGTCCGGACTTGGCAGTTATTCCGGGGAATGGGATAGACATCGATAGGTTAGACGGGTAGATAAGTTGGTGATCGGCAGTATGTCGTAGGTAGGTATCTGCAGAGGCCTGAGTCCCAAGTAATACTTGTTTGTTTTCGTGGGGTGTGGGCCGCACACGGTGGCTGGATGCGACAGTGTCAGCTTAGGCGTACTGGTCTCCGGTAAGATGACTGATATAGACCCTCTGGGCACGGAGCGACCCCGTTCAGGAAAAAGGGAGATGGCGATATAATAATGAAGTAGAATAGGATAGAATAGGAAAGGATAGAACCCAACGACGACAAGCGGCTTGTCAGTGTTGCCCATCATTTTGACCGCACACGGCTGGGCGCGACTTTTCGTATACGACACACCGACACACCTCGGGCAGCTAAACTGATCGCATCTCACCAAATATGTCACTCACAACCACGGCCGCGACAACGAAAATGACAACAACAGCTTCCCCAGCAGCTGTCGAGGCCATCTTCCGATACGAAGAGCCTGACCGGTCGGTGCCCGCTGAGCAGCGGAGTTTGTTCTCCGCGCCAGCACCGCACAACCTCAAGGAGGAGAAGTTGACCCTCCACGACTACCGAACGGACACGAAGCTGGCCAAGGGCGTCGAGGGTCTTCACAAGCACGGCTTCACGGTCGTCGAACACCACGTCAACCCCAGCGCGTGGGCCACCGAAGAAGCCATCCGGCAGACATACATCCCGGTGGTGCAAGAGCTGGTCAAGAGCGTGACCGGGTGCAGAACCGCCCTCGTCAACAACGTCGCCTTTCGTCGCAAGCCTCCAAGCAACGCAGACGCAAACAAGAAGTTCTACCACCCGCGTGATGGGGAGATAGACAAAATGGTCGGTGCGCTGCCGTCGGACCGCCCATTGGGTTTGTTTTCCTCCATCATCCTCATTCAATGAGAAGCACAAGCTGACGTTGCACTTCCTCGAGTGTAGTGTCTCCGCAGGAAGCAGATAAATCCCTCGAGCCGGCTCGGGCCATGCACGTCGACTACACGATTAAAGGCCTTCGCGACACGATCAAACACTGTCGCGCTGATTTTGCCGAGGCGGGCGCTGAGGCGATCAAGGCGCACGAAGCTGGGAGCCGCGGTCCGCGCGTGGCAGCGTACAGCGTGTGGAGGCCGCTCAAGACGGTGAAGCGAGATCCCATCGCCGTGCTGGATTGGAAGTCTCCGGGCAACATTCAAGACGACCTGTGTGCCTTCGACTATCGTGCCAAGGGGTATGAGGGGGAGTACATGCTGGAGGCGTACACCATCTCGCGACCGGCAAAACTCGAGGACCATCAATGGTACTATGTCTCTGAGCAGAAGCCGCACGAGGTGATGATGATCAAGTTTGCGGACACGGAGAGTGAGATTGACAAGGATGTTGCGGTAGCTGGGGGCCATGGCAGTCCTTTTGTCATGGGTACGGAAGATGAGGAGCCCAGAGAGAGCATTGAAGCCAGGGTGATAGCATTCTGGTAGAGGTGGCTCGATGTGGCAACAGACAGGACATACCCTGCTAGGTAGTGTACAGATCAAAAGTCATCATTCCTCCAGTCACAGAATGGGTGGTTTGGGTGGCTGTGATGGCAGACAATACACCTAAGTATCATGTCTGTTGGCTTTCATCTTCGTTTGAAATTCAGAAGATCATAGACACCTTTTCCATGGAGGAACTGGTCGTTAAGTGTAAAGATCAATCGACGAGTCTGGGAGCGTGGTGTCTGTAAGAGGCGAGGAGGCGTGGGAGGCGAGGAGGGTAGAGGCACGGCGGAGCATAGACCCCCAGCGCAATGCCTTTTGCCCGAGACGTCAAATGCTCCTCCGCACTGCCGCTCCGCGCATCGGAGAAATCACGGGCTTCGGGACGTCCCCATGCGGAAAACTAGCCGGGCTTTCTAGAAAGCGAATCTTTTTCATTCCGCAGCTACTGTCGTTGTCGTTGTCGACGTCGCAGACTTCTTTTACGTGCAGGCCTTGCTACTCAACCCCTCCTTCTCGACTCGACACCACCGTGACTCCGACTCACCTTTCCGACGAAACATTCATTTCAAAGAAAGAGAAATCATTCACGACGGACCGTTCCGACCGCAAAACCACCATGGCCTCAACACTCGCCATCGGCGTAGGCATTGCCGCTGCTGCATTCTTTGTACGTTCCCTCCTTGCTTCCACTCCACTCTTCACATCCCTGCGTCTGTCGACGTCGTACTAACGAACCGTGGTCACACAGGGCCGTGCCGGCGTCGTCGCATTCCGCCGCTGGCGCAACCCCAACGGCCTGAACGCCCTCGGCCGGCCGTTCTACAAGGGCGGCTTCGAACCCAAGATGACGCGGCGGGAGGCGTCGCTCATCCTCGACCTCAGCGAGCGAACGCTCACGAAGGAGAAGATCCGCAAAAGCCATCGGGCACTGATGTTGTCGAATCACCCGGACCGAGGCGGCAGTCCGTACCTGGCCAGCAAAGTCAACGAGGCGAAGGAGTTTTTGGAAAAGAATGGGTGATGAGGGTGACTGACTGACTGAGATGAAGAGGAAGTATCGAGAGGTTCTTCGGGACACTTCTTCGGTTTCGGGAGGGAGAGAGAGAGAGATGAATTTGTGGCTTTTGCGGAGCATAGCGCGGGCGTTTAAAGACGGATGAACATATCGGGCAAGAGCAACAGCAAGATCACGGCGTTATTTTGTGGCATTACACATGAATCTCACTCTCTGCGGTGACGAATCTGTCTTGTCTTGTCGCTGTCATTTGCATATCCAGGGAAGCGGAAGACTTGTACAACAGAGAGGATATCTATATATCTCCGCTCGACGGGAGGGAGGGAGGGCCGATGGCAGGAGGAGAAATCTGTATATTGATTGACCTGATTGAGAGAATCTCAAACCCGGGTTGTGCCTGTGGCTTCACGGCCCTGTTCTCTTGATCACCGTTTCCATCTCTTCGTCATCTCATCGCAGTGTTCCTCCCTTCGTTTGATTGAAAAACCTACCAATGCATCACCGATGCTGGCTGCTTGATGATATATTCCCCTACACCTGTCGACACACCAACTCCATCCAGAGGCGTCAGAAACGGCCACTCTGCCTATAATATGTCCTGTCTCGAGCTGCATGATTATATTGTATACTCGCTTCACTCCGGGGCTGCAGAGTATGTATGTGTGTGTGTTTTGCTCGCTCTACACCCAGTCCTGGCTGATCCGGGGACTGGTCCCCAAACTTCAAACGTGCCTAGGTATCCCTCGTCCAACGGGCCGAAAACAAAAAGGGCTCCGCAACAAAGGCCGACATATGGAGGTTATCCTCTTCGATCAGCCCCCGGCGGCCATGCTCGCGCACGTGTCGAACCGGTCCTCCAGAAACTGGTTGAACTCGTCTTCGACCTCCCACACCAAGACGTGTCCCTTGCCCTCCCAGACGCGGAACGCGCAGGACCCGTCGGGACCGTCCTGCTCGGTGGAGAGCTCGTCCCGCAGCATCTCAAAGTGCTTGAAGTCGATCATGCGGTCGATGGTGCCGTGCACGACGGCGATGCGCGGCCGGCCGACCACATCCCCCAGGGTCTTGATCTGCGAAGCGGACTTGTGGTGCCAGCCGGCGGCGATGGCCTGCAGCATGAAGCCCTTCTTGGTGAAGCCGACCTTGTCCATGCGCTTCTGCAGCTCGCCGGCGGCGAAGCGGTCGCGGTTGGTCGGGAAGTTGCGCTCCGGGTGCTCCGTGTCCGGCAAGGCCAGGAAGTTGTCGGAGAATAGGCGGTGCGCGATCTCGTCCAGCTGCACGTCGATGTCGCGCGGGATGAACATGTTGATGCGCTGGCGTAGGTTCTGCACGAACGGCACAGTGCGCACGATCCGTGGCGCCGTCGAGATCAACGACAGCGACGCCACGTGGTGCGGGATCAGGAGCCCGAGTTCTTGTGCGATCATCCCGCCCATACTGACGCCGATGATGTGTATGTCTCGTTTTGGGGGAGTCAGATTCGTGCTGCTTGCGTTGGGTGCCGGGTCGTGGGGAGTGACAGACGACGGCGATAGCCAGCCGACATGCTCGAGCATGTCAATCACATCACGGGCCATCTCAGACGTAGAATATAGACATGAGGGTTTGTCGCTGAGACCCATCCCCCGGTTATCGAACACAAAGCACGAGTACTTCTCCAACCGGTCGTGGCCGAAGTATTTGGTCTGTCGTTTCCAGGCGGTGCGGTAGGCGGCGAGGCCCATGATCCACTGCAGAGGACGGTGTCAGGACAGGTCAGGACAAGGAGGTCGGTGTGAATATGGGAGACACCCTGAGATGGAAGCCGAAGAGGGGGAGCGACGATGAAGTAGTCACAAAAGGGCTCTCCGGTTCCAAGACAGATCACTTCCTCTGTCGAACAGAGCCTAGCTTATCATCCAGAAACTCGACATATGTCTATTCGTAACGAATAGACCCAGTTCACTCTCGCAGGGCATGCCTTTGTCATTTCCCCTCCGGCTCCTCGTCATGCCGGAATGTACCAACCAGGATCCAAGCATCACTCACACTCCACAGTGGCGAACGAGATCCAAACGAAAGAGAGAGAGAGATTCAGAGGCCACATACCACCAACTTGACATCCCCCTTGCCATGAATTTCCCAGTAGAGGTTAAACGGACCTCCATGCCTCCCCTGGGCCGCCTCGCAATACCCGGACCTCGAGGGCTCCAGGTGCCAGTCGACGGTATCAAAGGCGGGATGGACGAGGATTTCAGCCGCCGTGAGCGGCATTCTTGCTGTGCACCGGAAGGTAGATAAAAAAAATCCCTAAAGGGTGGCCTAAGCAGGCAGTTGAGACTGGAAGAAGACGGTGGTCCCAGATAGAAGGGAAACGGGTCGCGAAACTCTCTTGACTCTATCTCGCCGTGGTTGTCGGTCGTATTTTCTACGGCGGTGACAGGTTCGTGTAATGTCGTCAGGGAGTGAAGATAACGAGGAAGGCAACAAGTTCGAGGGCACACCCAGGGCAAAGCATCCGACGAGGCTGGCAAGGCTGGGAGACTGTGTGACTGGGTAGGCTAAGGTCGAAGATCGATTACGGAGCGTGGAGGTCAACGAGGAAGGTTTGGAAGACGATAGACGTGCCGGGCTTTGTCTACCTAGCCGGTTCAGGCCATCAATACGTTCGCTTAACACAACCACGTATTCGTGGTAGTATAGCACAACACATCTTGGTCACATCTGACCAGCTCATTTTGATCATGTCATTGCATTGACCTCGGTCTATGATATGGATGCAGATCCTCCGATTCCCGACCGGAAAGGATTGTCGTCCTCCAGCCGGCGAAATCGACCAGTGATGCTATATCCCCACCCAGGAAAGCTACCTCAATCACCACCACTAGCTGGTTGGGGGAAACTACACAGCCGTAGTTGTTGAGCCATCCAGGTTAGGTTTGCTAGGGTACTCACTGGTAAAAAAGGAGCAAGAAGTGAGCAAGTCCGCGCCAGAGCCACTGCCATCCTGTGTATAGTACAAGCACAGACTCACAAGGCGAGCGGCTGATCATCCTGTCCTCATGCACGACATAGTCACATCACGAGAATCCCCAGTAACCAGGGACCAGGAACCAAGAACCAGGACCACACAAGATAGGGGATCTCGAGATCTTCATTGTCTCCAGGGGGTCTCCATCCTTCGGCTCCTGCAAAGTTAGTTGCCCCTGATCAGCATTGCCCACACGTTGACATGCATCTGCACACCGCGTTCATCGATCGTCAATCACAATACTATGCGAATTAGTAAAGAGTCAATCCCGCCGATCCAAAACGCGGGGTTGTTGTGAAACGCTTGAATGCTGGTGGCATCTGCTCAACACTAACAAAATCCACTATAAACACCCCTTGAAATAGTGTTGCCAACCCAGGAGAGTCTCTCACATCTCCAGGATGCCCCGAACCGGGACAAGCAAACATCATCATTCCAGCCTTGGGTCCTGCTTCGAGACACAAAGGCGAAAAAGGGTGCAAGGCTCGCCATGCCATACCTGTTGATGCAGACAGACAATGAAAATCCATTTCGTTATAGCAATATTGTATCCTGCTCAACGCATCGTGCGGGACAGTCCCACTCACTTTAACCTCGTCGACTTCGTCGCATGGGCAAGAGTCGACTCATCGGTGCTTTGAGGATCTGTCTGCGGAGCATGGAAGTTATATAAGTTTTCTTCTCCAAACAATGGGAAAAAGTGTAATAGCTCCGGTAACTTTCGCCTCCAACGTTTTCGTCGTGTTTGAACATCTCCTCCAATGGCGCAACCAAAAACCCTCGTTTTCCTGTCGTTATCTGTCCTGGCAGTTGACTTGGCGTTGCGCGCTGGACCGTGTTCCAACCACAAGTCCAGAGGGAGATGTTATTTGTTTTATGTTAGAATCAAATACGTACAACTGAGTAAGGCGGTGTGTGCCCCCAGCATGTGGCCAAATCAGAGGAAACAAAACTCGTTAAAAGGAGTGGACAGATGTGATCAGCTCGCGCCAGGTTGGCTCCCTTGCGGGAGCACGTTATTGATCCATCCTAAACATCTCTTCGTCGTCCATTTGGACATCGCGATCGTCGCTTCCGGCCCGGTAGTTGCGCTCGTCGGAGAGGTTTTGCGTCAACGCAGGAGGATGCAATTGCAACAACGGATTATATATAGCGGTCAATGTACTGTCGGATGATTTGCTGTTGAAAGATTGGTATTGTTGTGGCAGTGGTGGTACAGGTGGCACATCGGCGCCCAGATAGGATGGCTTTGTACGAGGAGTTCCGCTGCTGAACGTGAGACCAGCTGTCGCCGCCGCCAGCGTGCCATCATCAGTCCCCGACGTGCTAGGTCGGAAGTCTGCCCCAGAGAATCGATGAGGTGGCAGTCCTGGAGAATGAAAGCTCTCGGCGTACGAGCTCGACGGGATCGATCGGTACGAACGCGAGAATCCAGTACTGCCAGTGCTGAACCTTTTCGAGTCCGGCACAGGGTACGCTGCCTCGCTCATTGGGGGAGGGGTTGTCTCGACCGAGCTGAGCTCGTCTTGCATTTCGGACGAGGAGAACCCTGGAGAGGCGGAGGAGACTTCGCTTGGGTCAATCGCCGAGGTTTCGATCTCAGATTGGCTGGCCGCTAAATTCTCCGCAGTCATGTTACACAACACTGAAGCAGCCTCGAGCAATTGAACCTGCTGGTGTTTGGAGATGAGCAGCTTGGACGTGATGGCCCACGCGGGATCATGTTCCCAGCTAAGGACGCCTGCGTCAGCCCACGTCAGGAGAACCACGGGAGTTACCTACAGATGCTTCGTGAGACAGCTGCTGTGTTTGTAGCCCTTGCCGCAAGTATCGCACCGCAATTCAATGGCCGACTTCTTACCCTCGCCTTTGATGAGGTGCGAGCCTTCGCTTGCTCGCCGGTTCCGATTCTTGAGGTTCTTGGACGAAGCTGGGCCGTCCTCGTCGTGAGAATTGTCCTCGACGGCATCGTTGTCACCGGCAGCCGCCGTGCCAGGGGGCCCGTTAAAATACGAGTGCATACTCGGCCGAGCACTCATCGACTGCGACTCCGTCATCTTTCTCGAGCCGGTGCTTCTGCGGTGGCTCTGCACCGGGACGCCAGGTAGATCCCCCTGGTCCCTCATCGCCGCGGCAATAGCAGCCTGGGCCGTCGTGGAAGCCCCCGCGTTGACGCTCTTCCTTCTGTTGACCCGGTGAGAAGGGTTCGTAGCCGAGAGTGAGATGGAGTGAGAGTGTTGTCGGGCGGAGGTAGGAGGATGCCGGGAGGAAAAGCTGCCAGAGACAGGACGAGATGTCGGTTGTTCCTTTTTGTTTTTTAATCCCAGGTCAGCACAAGCAACGGGGGTCGGAGGTCGAGAATTGGGCCGTTGCCCGTCACTCACCTTGGAAGAGGCCATGTTGAGGTAGTGTCGAGTCGTTTGCAAACAGACGACTCTCGCGCTCAAAACTGGAAGCAGTCTTGAGACTTGAGAGTCGTCAAGAACGAACAGCAGCCAAGGTAAGGTGAGAGGGAGTGAGTGTTGTGTGTTGTGGGGTTCGGAATGCCCGAGAAATCAGAGGGTTGAGGAGCGCGAGGGGGTGAACTCTGCGGGCAACTGCAGCTGGACTCAAAATAACCACGGTAGTTCGGCTGCCCAGTGACCGTCTCGGGGGGACTCTATCGAGAACAGAAAAAGTCTATCGAAACAATCCGTCACTGGCACAGATGGTTGAAGTCTGGTACAGAAAAGTAAAGTTGTGGGAAAATGTGTGGCCTGGACCGTGAACTGTGTGGGAGTGGCAGGCGTGGAACGATGGGCGGAAAATAGTTCTTGTCTGTCAGTTGGGGGGACTTTTATTAGGAATTCAGGTTCGGGATTTGCCTGCGGGTGGATTCGTGGTTCGTCGATCGAGGATCGCAGGCTGTGGAGTTTCAATTCAGGTCGAGAGACGACCGAAGCGTGTTGGCTAGCCAGGACTTGTTGAACTGAGATCACGAAATGTCCATAGGCATTACAGGTCAGATCATAATCTGGAAGAGAAGTCTGGTGCTGATGGTTAGGCAGACGGTGGTCTCTTTCTTTTTTTTTTTGGCCTCCTCTCTGACGGACCTGCTGATCGTGCCGATTTGAGCACCCTCGTGCTGATACTATTCTTTGGGTTTCTCCTCTCCCGGCCTTTTGTTTGACTGGCTGACCGCGTTCCTTGCTTCTGCCACACCTGCTGCGGGGTCGCCCGTGCCTGGACCTAAGCGTGTCAAGCTCGCAACAGGAAATTAATCGCACCGAGCTCCAGACCAGTTCACTGGCATCTGTTTCAGCAGCACGGGCGGTTGAAGAAATTATCCTCCTCAGGCGCGCCCTCTACGGATCCACGTTACGCGTTACCGACACACAAAAAAACAGATCAACGGCCAAAAGGGAGAGTGCGAGATTTCCTCCCAGAAAAAAAAAATTAAGGGAGACGGGAAGGGGGACAACGCAACCATAATTTTTGGGAGTTGATCAGCTCCTTGCGATCGATTGATGGCGACAAGATCACACACTGCGGGCATGGGGCATGGGAAAAGATGGGGCAAGCAGCTGAAAAGAGCATGGTCCTGATCAAGTCATGCACTACTCAAGGTCATGGGTCAGGCAAGCCAGCCAGGGCTGATGGGCTAAAATGCGCCATCAGACTCCTCGCCCGTACCTGACTAAAAATTGACTGGCTTCAACCCCCAAGCGCCAGACACCACGGCCCTCCTCATTCACACCCCCCCTTCGAACTCTCCAAACTCTCGGCCGACCAGAAAAGGTCCAAACGGGTGACCCACTGAAAGTATTGCGAGTTAAGAAGACCGGATGCCGTCTTCTAGACCACCGTGAAAGAGGGGGAATAACACGGACCTCTCTGGGCAAACCGTGAGGAGAGTGTCCGTCAGAAATATCCTGAAGGACTCACACTGCGTGCTGTTCCCAAAAAAATAAACACTATGGACACTCCAGGCAGGCGACTAGTAGCTTGCAACTCCGCGAATCAACGTGTTTGCTTCACGGCATGCAAACAGTGGCTGATTGGGGTGGCCCCAGCAAGCACAGCCATTGTGTCCACGGCCCCGGCTGGCGAGAGGCATCTCATTGGGCGTCATAGGTGGTGGAACGAGGACAGGCACTAGCAAGCAATAGGCACTTCGCCGGCAAGGCACCATGGGCTTCTGGGAGAGCTTGTGGGGAGCCGAGACCGGGTATTGTCAAACCAGCGATAAGATCGAAGGCCCAGCAGCCCATGCGAACTGGTATTACACAACAAGCAGGTGCCAGGAACGGGTTGTCCTCTAACAGGTCAGTTCCATGGACGACTTGCGAGCCTGTCAGGCGAGGTCGCCTGATACCAGCGGTGTCAGGTAAGGTAACAAAATCACGCACCATCCTAATCCTGGATGCCGTCATCGGCTGAAACTTATGGTTTGCAATGTATGCCTTGCGCAAGACACGGCTTCGTCCCGTGGCCCCGTGGCCCTTTTTGTCAAGTAGGATGTTTCCTTGTCCACGAGGTCAGCAGCGTCACTGGTCAAGTAAGTTTCGTCATCATATTGAAGACGATCTGAAATCGGCACGGACACGGGAAACAAGGGCGGCTGAACGAATTAGTCTGGCATGCCCTGGGTCTTCTATACGCGGGACCATGCAACCTGGGACTTGTATATTGCCTGTTGCCCAGAACACCTGTCCTTGAACAAAGGAGAATGGCAATGCCACTCACTGGTTAACAGCTACCCGCGTGGCACCGAAACTTGTCGATCAATCATGGTGCTGATCCTTCGACCGTCCCCAATCGGACAATTCAGCAGTACTTCCAACTATGATACAACAGGCAAAAGATCATCCTGATTGACACACGTTTTCCGAGTTCTGCTGGTAGGCACTTCGGCAACCTGGCACAGCGGAAGGAGATATACCCGAATTCCCAGAGACAACACCCAGGAATCATATACTGGGTATCGACACCCACAGTATCAGCAACGAAGAACGATGATAGCGGGGTTCCAAGGGGAGCCTCGGCTGAACTGGGTTAGGAGGTTAGATTGCCCCAGCTTTTCGCTCCCGTTGCCGTCGAAGGTGCAACCGAGACCCGAGTTTGAGGGGCTTGCTGGGATAGCTTTTGAGCGTACCGGGGCAGCTCCTCCCGAGGGACGCGTGGTCAAGGGAAGGGATGCTGCTCGGATGTAGCAATAGAAGTGATGCTCGAGACAGCGTATACCGAGTACTATACGAACATATACTTCGTATCCACGGGTCCGAAATCGGCGAATGTGCAAATCGAAGTGTGAAAAGCACCAGCAAGCAGTTGCTGATAACGGCCGGACCAGCATTGCTTGCCCCTATCTGAACAGTGGCTCCCTTATCGCACCGTCAGGAAACCAGACCGAAAGCGACCAAGCGGCAAAGAGGCACAAAGAAGACTCCCCACTGTTTCTGTGATTTGATATGGCGATTGACAGGTGCCGGAGTCTGCTGCACCAGCAAACGGACTACCTCGCAGCAGCTTGACCGAATACTACCTGCGAGAGGGGAAGACGGAACATCGAAGAGGAGTTCTTTGTCTGCATTGCCGGTCAAGCCCCGCGTTACAGGTGGCAGAAAGGGGGTTGTGAACCGAAAAACGGCTCTCCTCAACATAACGTGGCATGATTGCTGAATTATGATTGCTGCAGTGCACACAATGTTCCGGCTGAACTCGAGATGGGATCGATATACAGCATGAGGAAGCCAACACAATTTCTCGGTACTTGTCCACAGACACGGCCAATGTCCGCCTATGTGTCTTGGGCGAGGCTGAAGAGGCTTATTATTGTTCTGTGTCCGGCATTGTGTCTCTGCCTGCTATTGGAAGAGGGGTCCGATACCTAGCGACACTGCTTCACATCGTCTCGGTGCGCCCAGGCGTCGTTTCTGTCTAGCTCCCTCACGGTGGCTTTGCTGGCCGGACTTTGACCTGGGGCTTTGGATGGCATCAGCCAAGTCATCATTTCCCTCGTGCTTGTGGCTGCTCGGTTCCATCTCGCCTCTACCCTATTCGGCTCTTCTAGCCAGACCTCGAATAGCTTCGCGGGTGTTTCTCACTCCCCTTTTCCTGTCGCTCCGGCGCCACGGACCTTTGAGCTTGCCATGGACTTGGAGGTAATAATACGAAGACGAGTGCTGGTCACATTTTATTTTCTCCCCTTGGCTGTCTACATATGTGTGTTTTGTCATTTGCTTGGAGCGAATTCATTCAGAAGACTGGGAATTCAACCCGTCGTGTTTCGGGGACCGGTCGAAGCCCTAAGATCTGAAGCCCAAAAAAAGCAAATCCCCCACCTTTTTCCCCTGTCAGGGATCCGGAATCCTTCGCAGTTGCACCTGCGGCTGTCAATGCGTCATTGTTGAAAGCAATTCAACAACACAAAGGCATTATCAGTGCCCAGATCTTCCCAAGTAAACATGTCCTCAACGACGCAGTCCTGGGCTGCTGCAACACAGTCATGGGCCTCGTGGTTGCTCGATTCCTACGCTTCCTCTGTGTCGCCTATGGCCACCGACACCTCCTTTCGGAACCACGAAGAATCCCATTCCACGTCCGAGTACTCCTCCCATGACGACGGTCAATCGTCAGCGGGTTCTGTTTCCGTGTCCTCTGCCTATGGTCCCTATTTGAAGACTGGCCGCGGTGGTGCGGGCAACTTCAATTGGCAGTCAGAGGTGCAGCTCGCGCCGCGATCAACTTCACCTGTTGACCTTGAGGCCAATCGACCAGCACACCCACATTCGTCCCTGGCGGAGCGCCGCAAAGCAGCAGCCCGGTTGGAAACCCTCAACACCCATGATATGAGGCCCTTGCGCCAGCACTCGGCCCAGTATCTCTCCGCCGGGCGCGGCGGAGCCGGGAACTACGTTCTTGCTGACATGAAATCTCTTCAGCGAAGCCCTAGTTTACCGGCAAGCTTTTCGTCTCCCGTTGCAGGGAAACCTCCTAGTCCACAAGATCACCGTCTATATCCGGCTGGAAATGCTGGACGAGGAGGAGCAGGCAACTACGCGGCCGCCGCAGACGCCAAGGGGCGGGTAGAATCCGAGAAGGAGCAAGAGCAAAGACTCGCCGCCGAACAGAGGAGAGGCCAGATCGCCGAAGAGGTGGACGGGTTGCTACAGCCTCCTCCGGGCGCATGGCTTGGTGGCGGACGCAGGAAGAGTGAGTCGATGTATGAAGATGTTTGAGCTCCCTGCAAGATTTGTCTGGAGAGGGAATTTTTGCAGGATCCATCGGCTGGGGATCTTTCATGCTCCCTGGGCGCCTTACGGGTACAGTGCCTCTCACAGGTGGTAAGACGGACAATCGGAGTCATCCAGGAACAAATCCTCCGCTACGCCTACTTCGGCGCCCCACGAATCCCGGCAATGGATCCAACTTCCTAAACAAGAATCAAATTGGCCTGCGCTGAGCTAGACACGCCCTGAACAACTCTCGGGATCCAACGGATGGCGGGGAAAGTGCGGCTCCTAGGCTCAATCCTACCAAGTAACGAACATGTCAATAGGAGCGGATACGTCTACGATTACTGCCGCCCTAACTACCTATAGGCAGTTTGAATATGCTTGTGTGGGATATTTCGAAGGAGAGAGCTGCATAGGCGATGTTCATGCTCGTCCACCTCAGTCAAAGATCACTCCGTCACAATGAAAAGCACAAGGTCACAAGAGAATGCCGACTTTTCCCATTTCATGGGGTAGCGTCGCCATATACGGGAAATATACACGGAAACTGTTGGGTCTCTCCAAGGAGGTTCGACGAAGCCATAGGTTTATTCTTCAGGCGACAACATGGAACAGTTGCTATGAAGACCAAGCTGGTGGCCGGAGAACTGAGCGGCTCCTAAAAGTTGAGAAGACCTTGAGTGTGTCAGGGATGTCATTGTTGGGGCGGCCTTGATGGGGCTCATGGAGATATCTTGTCATCTAGTGCATTTCGAGACAAGCAGGGCACGAAATGTGAACAACCCCTGCTCGACTGGGCCCATATATAGAGTAGAGGCAGATCGACTTTTCAACCGAAGTGACACAAGTGGACGAGACACAGCTTGGTACGAATGACTACCAATTTGAAAGAATCCGAGCAAATGTGTCCATGCGAAGGCTGCCTTGTTCCATATGGCTGATAGACTGCCTCAGTCTCTTCGAGGCTATACCGCGCCCTCCGAATGATCATCCCAATACCTATCAGGGTCCGTCCTCTGGGCTTGCCTACTCAAGCGTTTTCAATTCCTCGTTGAGAAATAGTTGAATGATATATTATATGTGTATGACTGGGTTGTATTTTGAGATTTTGATCCAATTGGGGGACGAGCTGGCTCGCTATTACGCCAAGTTGGGGGACCGTTGACGAACAGGCATCAAGTACATTACGGACGAACCCATATGCGTGCGCGCTGTACGCAAGGGGAGAGAGACAGAGAGAGCACAAGTAGAAGAACGACAAAGCCTTGGCTGTCTGTGCTGATGATGGATTGTACTGTAGCTCTCCTCTCTCAAGTTATTCCCGCCTCGTTACATTCGTTCGGTAAGCATTTCCTTCTGAATCCCTTCCCTTATATCAGACCTCTCTCTCTCTATGCCACAGTCCGTGTGCTTAGGGGACAAGAAGCACCACACCTATGGGCAAACCTGTGAAAAATTCTTTCAGAGCATCGTTTTTCTGTATACCATTTCCCCATCGTCCCATTTCCCATCACATCGTCAGAAGGATCCGTGCAATTTTGAACTTGCACACCAGTCAATCCCAGAATCTATCTAGCTGAAGATTCTGTCGAAGTATTTCATGAACGTGTTCCTGTGATTTATATCACGCAAGTCAGCCATTGTTCATCACTCGTCTCTACTTATCAGACGTCTGGAAGAAGACGAGGAACATCCGAGGAAGACAAAAAGGCAAGGACGAAGGGAGGGAGGGAGGGATCGAACAGAAGAAGCAGACAAGACACCCTTCCCTTCCCTGTTTGCCTGCATAGCAAAACGGAGGATGCTGTAACGAAACCATTAACAAAGTACAACTCACCTAGGCGGCCGAGGCATATAATTCCGCTCGTACTCGGCAATCTCGTCCATATCCCGGGTGAGGTCGACCTCCTCAGGCTTCAGCCACTTGGTCTTCTTGAACCACTTCCAGAAGACGAACAGGACAGGAAACACGCCGATCATGGTGTAGCTGAACAAGAAGGTGGGCACACTCCAGAAACCGGGCAGGAACACCGTGTAGCCGCCCACAAAGGTCATGATGAAGGTCCCCGTCAGCGCGTAGTAGGCCGAGAACGGCTGCCACCACGATTTGTACGGGAGCGTGTTTCGGTCGATGCCCTGGACTTCGAGTGCGCGCTTGAATTTCAGGAAGGTGAACGCCATCACGGAGAAGTTTATGAGTTGAGACGCCGTCACCTGTATTTTATACATGCATGAGCATAATGGGGATTGAACGAATCTTTTCGGGCTTTTGCAGCCGGTAGGAGGGAGAAGAACAAAGACGCAAAGCGCGGCTTCGAACGTACCAGATTGACAAACCAGCTCAATACCACAGCAGCATCATTGCTGACTTGCAAAAAGCTGAGCAGACTGATCAGCAGAACGAGCGCCACGCAGTAAATCGGCACGCCATTCCTCGTGCAGCGCGTGAAGATTTTGGGTGCTTTTCCCTCGAGCGCCAGCCCAAACAGGCTGCGACTGGCGCAGTAGACGTAACTGTTGCCGGCCGAAAAGGCGCTGCCGAGAACCATCGCGTTGACGATATGTGGGAGTACCTTGATGTGCAGTCTGTTCATGGACACCACGTACGGAGACGCCGCGGCGCCAGGCTTTCCCGTCGAAAAGGCTTCGGTGAGTTCTGGGTCGTTGTATGGCACGAGGATGCCAACACAGAGAGAGCCGAGCATGAAGAACGCCGTGAGGCGGTAGAAGACGGCCTTGTACGCCCTGGGGAGGACTTTGCGCGGATTCTCAGCCTCGCCAGCTGCCATGGAGACGTAGTCCGGTCCAGCGATGGTGAAAGACGCCTGGATCAGACACTGCAGGAACCCTAGAAACCGGCCTAGGGAACCGTCATAGTAGAGTTCGGTGAAAGAACCTGGGTTGTTCCAATATCGAAAACCAAATCGGTCACCAAGAGGATTCCCACCCAGCATGGCAATAAATGTGTATATGATCAGCCCCACGATGAGGAGGACCTTCCCTAGCGCGAGCCAGAACTCGGTCTCGCCGTACCATTTGACCGCAAACAGGTTCACCAGTGAATAGCAGACAATCACGATGGCGATGATCCCGCCGGCGGGGACGATGTCACTCCAAAAGTGGATGATAACGTTACAAGCCACGATTTCGAAGGGGACCAGCATCGCTTCGAAGACGAAGAAGTTGTAACCTGCGGCAACGCCAAAGGCTTCGTCGACATAGCGGCCGGCAAAGCGAATGAAGGGCGACGAGATGGGGAGATAGGTGACCATCTCGGCCATGCAGTTTGTGACACAGAGAATGAATGTACACCTGCAAACACGCAATCTTGTATTAGTTCAAAAGGGGCAGTCCATGAATTTGGGCACCCTCCCCCTGGAAGTTCTCCTTTTACTTTGGAAAGCGAGCATCACTGAGTGAGGCGGAGACAAGGTGTGACACATATTCCACGAGGGCCAAACTCCGACACCGACAATATGACGCCTCTTTTGCTTGCTGTGTCCCAAGCACAGTTCCAATATCTCTGAAATTTGGGATGACATGACCACGAACAAAAGATCCGAGACTTACCAGATGGTGAATGCCAGAAACAAACTCCCAGGTCCACCATTGAGCAATCCCCTCCCAATCTGCACGTACAGCGCCGTGCCAATCGTCCCGCCGATGCCGATAAGCTGAATATGTCTCGGCTTTAGCTTTCGATGAGTGCTGTCATATCCCACGTCGATGCTGCCGTGGTAACTAGGTGTGTCGGCCAGACCATAGTTGGCCTTGATAGATGCCACAACGGACTGCTTGCGCGAGCCACGTCTCACAGCGTGCTCCTCGTCCTTGTCGGCGTCGTCGTGGGAATGGGTCCGCACACCCCGAGCAATGGGAGTTTCGTCGAACATATGAGGAGGCAGGCCATCCTTTTCCCCATTGAAGCCATAGTCATGCGCAGAAGACATTTTGGCAGACTTGAGGTCAGAAACAGAGAGAAATTGAGAGCAGAAACAAAAAGTCTTTGGCGCAGACAAAATGCGCTGGGAAAGAGCATTAGGGAGGAACCCGCACGATATATCACGACGTAATAGCCGACGTTATCACCAGAGAGCATCTTTCTATCATCTCGAAGTTCTGGCCTGATCCCAGTTCGCCTCTTCAGTTAGCATGAGCGCGGCACAATCAATGTTCTCGCATTGGACATTCTGTAACCAAGATCTTGGTCCTGTGGGCTTCGAGCCTCGGCGAGGTCTTAGCCGTGGATCATTTTCTCGTAAGCTGAAAAGAAATCACTGTCGAGGTGAGTTGCAGAGAAAGGCCGTGAGGTAGCAACGGCGATTGCAACATCAAACAACGATAGACGATGGAGTTGGGTGGAGGAAAGTTGGAGGGAAGCGTCTGGGCTGACGATACTTGGGATCTCTTGGGGAGCTTCGGGGCTCTTGGCAGGGCATTAGGGGCGGAGCTGGGCTTGGAGGGCAAGCGGGTTGGCCTAGAGTTAGTTAAACCAGCCGAAGGCCAGTAGGCCCAGAGGCCTGAATAGACCCCTCGCTCTCGGCCTGGGGCGCATCGCAGTCAATCCTTCAAGTTATAGCACCCCTGCCGCCCGTCGTCGCGTCGCCACCCCTCAAACCCAAGAGCCTACCTAGGCACTCTATCTAGGCAGAGGTGAGCACCAATCCTTGACCCACTGGCCCGGTTCTTCTTCGTTCGTCTTATCTTGCTTTCAATGGATCGTCGCAGTACTTCTGTGAAGGGATGCAAATGTGTGGAAAATCACCTGAAGTGGTATTCTGACCCTGCAACTCGGTATCTCGATTGTCGGCGCAGAAAAAGTTCCCGCCTTAATAATGCTTCCCTAGCCTCAAAGCAGCCTTTTTCTCCCGCACTGTTGCCGTCGAACCACTGCTGCAGATACTTACAAGCTTCCAAGAGCTCTTGTGATAGAGGTCGCAGCAATGTTGAACCCTTGGGCCTTACCACTGCTGCTCCTTCCAGCTTCCTCGATAGCTCGGGAGATTGTGTTCCCTCCAATATCACCGCTGCAGGCAAACCTTGGAAGCCATGCAAGCCAATATCGGTCGCCCGTCGCCTCGGGCAAGGATCTTCCGACCGAGTTCGAGAAATACTCGGGACTAACCACCTTTGCAAACCTCCCTTGGGTACATTGCTTATCGCCAGATGACAATGTAGACAAGTATGATATTGCCTTTCTGGGGGCTCCTTTTGACACAGGCACGACCGCTCGACCGGGGGCACGATTTGGTCCCAGTGGAATCAGATGGTAAGCCCAGTCAAGGGCATTTCCACCCCCATCATGACCAACAGTGTTCTGACCGGACCTGAGCAGGGGTTCTAGACGAATGCAAGCTGGGGCTGGATGGGATCCGTACACCCACGAAAACACATTCCTGGGCTGGGCGCGCATCGTGGACTGCGGCGATGCTCCGTTGACCTTCCTGGACAATACCGTAGCCTTGCAGCAGCTTGAAAAGGCGCACAAGGTGGCTTCTGGCCGGATAGCCAATACCACAGAAGTGGCCGATGTCCCTCGAATCATAACGCTGGGAGGCGACCACACGACCACCTTGGCGGCACTGCGTTCGACCATCAACCACTGGGGTCCTGTCAGTATCATCCATTTTGACAGCCATATAGATACCTGGGGTATGCTCGCAGCTATTCTTTTGTCTCATGGTCAATCAACCGACGAGGGTGCGAGCTTGTTCAGAGCAATCGCCTGATGATCGATTGATCGTTGCGGAGAATAGAGAGTTCGGTACTGACTATTGGTTTCCCGCAGATCCAAAAGTTCTTGGTGGAGGAATATCGCATTATGCCGGGCTCAATCATGGCACTTTCCTCCACATTGCGCACGAAGAAGGCCTTATTCTCAATACTTCAGCACATGCTGGAATCCGAGCCCCCGTCATGAACAAGAAATCCGACTGGCAAAACGACAAACGGTGCGGCTTCGAGATCATAACCGCCAGGGATATCGACAAAATCGGTGTTTCCGGTATTATTGACAAGCTCAAAGCCCGAGTGGGCGACACGAATGTCTACATCTCTGTCGACATTGACGTCTTGGACCCGGCATATGCTCCAGCCACGGGGACGGCTGAGGTGGGTGGCTGGACGACTCGAGAGCTCCTCAGCATCCTGGATGGCCTTGAAGGTCTGAGGGTCATTGGAGCCGACGTTGTGGAGGTTGCTCCAATATACGATAACCCTGGAGAGACGACTGTCCTCGCCGCTGGGGAGGTGGCTCACCGCCTCATGAGTCTGATGGTCGAGACCCCGGTGAAGCCACAGGAGAAGAAATGAGCCAGACCTTCAGACACCCATCAGAGGAAAAGCCTGAACGTGACTAAGCATGTCGACAGATGGGTATGACCAAAGTGGCTCCGACATACTAGTCAATGTTGAGGCAGCGGCGGCTTGCACAGTATAGATTAGACCGTCATAAGCACATGCTGAACCAATGGAGAGCGCTGAAGAGTCAATGCCGGATTTAATTTGCGGATTTTGACTGACGCCCAGCAGCGGCAGCAGCAGCGGGGAGGCCACGAAAGGGGGGAATGCCATGCCTGGAGGTCACGCCTAGGGAGTCATGGAGGGGCAGCCCACCAGCCCACCAGCCCACGAGGGGCATTTGTTCGCCTCGTCTTCTTCAAAACCGACCAGGGATCGAAACACTGTCCCAATCAAGTCAAACATCCAGTCTGAAAGAGTTCCGCTTTCCTAAGCTGTGGGAAGAGTATGTAATCACCCTTTCACACACACACACTCCCTGTCTCGCAGGTCACAGGGGCTGTGCTCGCTCTTCCTCGGTGGTGGCACGATTCAACTTAGTAGCTTTAGACTCAAAGGGCCCGCAACTGACTCTTGTCGTTCTATTCTCCTCGCCTTCACAGTGACCGAAACGAGTCGATTCACAAAACTACCACCATGACTGACCCAACCTCACCGAGCCCTTATTCAGAGAACAAGAAATTTGAACCCAAGGTTCCGGTTGAATTGGAGGCGCCTAAGAGCGACGAGATCTCGTTGGAAGAATTGCGCCAATGCGATGGTACGCACACGATCAGACATCGCAACAGAAGTCCCTCTCTGTGGCAGGACAGTATGCTGAGACTGCGACTGTGCAATTAGGGACAAATCCGGATAAACCTACGTGGGTTGCGATAAAGGGGACTGTCTTCGATGTCTCCAAGAACAAGGCCTATGGCGAGAAGGGTCAATATCATGGTGCGGCTGCTGCACTTGCGCCTCCGTGGTGTTCCGCAGGCCATGTTCCCCGGCTAACTAAACCTCTGTTGCAGTCTTTGCCGGAAAGGATCCTTCTCGTGCCCTCGCCCTCTCCAGCCTGAAGCCTGAAGATTGCGTGCCAGATTGGGATGATCTGGACGACAAGTATAAGACAGTCCTTGATGAGTGGTACACTTTCTTCAGCAAGCGGTATAACATCGTGGGCAAGGTCAGTATATCCACGATACACAAGTTGTGAGGTGGAAGACAGAATTGCCGAAACGCCCGCACGGACCGGGCGGGAGATTTGCAAGAACGCAGAAAAAACACTCGAGACGAGGAAAGAGCAGACAGATAGGTCATACAAATCTCAGGCCAGGGTGCTGACTGCGTTTGCCTTTACTTATAGGTCGCGGGCGCTCAGAATACAGGATAAGAGGGACAGCAGCAAGAAGCCCTCGATTTATTGCGACGCTCAGGAAGATACCCCGGACCGAAGTAGGGAGACACAGTCCTTCACCTTCAGCAGCACGTTGGTGCCGCTCATTGCTCGATGCTTAGCTGCAGACTGATTGCGATGGTTCCGTTCAATCCATCCATCCATCCATCAACCTTTCCGTGCTTTCCTGGCTTGCCGCTTCTTTGCAATGATGCGATTCCTCTTCGCAATGCGATTCTTCTCCTCCGGCTCAACCGGCTCCGGGCCTTTAGCTGTCTTGGAGGATGATCCATCATCGTTCTTGTCACCACGCTTCCGCTTCTTGTTAACACTGGCGCTCCTCTGTGACTTTTCTTGCTTGTTGTCTCTGGCCTTCTGTTCTCTTTCATTCCTCCGCTGGATAACCTGGGCGTTCTCGATGGCAAACTCCACGATCAGGCGTTTCCCTCTTTCGGCGCCAGCATTCTGGGACTTGACCATGTGCCCATTGAGCCACCGAAGGCCGGCCAGAGCATTCCGATGACCAACATATTCAATGAAGCCATAGCCTCGGCTCCGACCGGCGCCTTCCTTGACCTTGCTTCCCTCTTTGTCTTCAAACACAACTTTCGCTTGTTTGACAATCCCTTTGCCAGACAGCTTGCGTCGGCGCTCAGCTTCTTGCATCTCGCTACCACCCCGCCGTAGCTCTTCTTTACTCAAAGGCTGTCGGAGGCCAGCCTTGACGTCCTTGGCAAATCCGACTACTGCCTCACGAGCCAATGCCTTCAATTCCTTGCTGCCGATTCCTCGGGGTAGATTTCTCACACTCAAGCGGGTCAAACTCAGGCATAGGTTCGGGTTGCTTTTGATTAATCGCTGCCGTTGCCGAGAACTGCTCTCTCTGATATCGATCTCCGCCTTGCCCAGCTGCTCGTAGAGCCTCGATCCCTTCGGGATGGAACCTTCCGAAAGCAGGTACAGGCGTCGTCTATCTCGATCTCGGGCATCTCTCTTTTCACTGGCCTCACTCGCCCGCCGTTCTGCATCTTCGCGGCTAAGAGCTCGAGAAACCTGGAGAACACGCCCTTCGAGTGTATAGCGACCAGACGGATCTGCTGCTTCGTTCTCAAGGATGGAATGCTTCAACCCTTCCCTCTGTCGTCTCTTGTCATCTTTTGCATGTTCAGATGGCATCTCGTGCTTTGGGGCGTTTTTGACACAGGATTTCGCATCGTCAATATTGAAGAAACACACGAAACCTGTGCCTTTCGGGCGATCAGTTTCTGGGTCGTAAACGACCCGTGCATATCGAACCGGTCCAAAAGCGGAAAAATGTTGCCGAAGGAGATCGTCGTCCGTTGTATAGGGTAATTTCTTACGAAGACAGAAGTATCGTTTTTACTGTCGCGTGATTCGGGGTGCGAAGCCGCACTGTCCGTTTCCGACAGTATATGCTCTTCGTCGCTTTCCGCGCTGATTCCATCAAGAGACTCTTCTTCAGAATCTCCTACCAATTCACTTATATCATCGAGATCTTCATCATCCGGTGCCTCGTTTCCGGATTCTGCGTCGCCCTCCACAGCGCCGTCCGTTTTGGTGTCATCCTCGTTAGGATCAACCGCACTCGGTTTGTCCTGGGTTGGTGTCGCAGACTTTGGGCGAGCATGTTGCAACTCTTCCCAAGTTTTCTTGTCGACAGCCCAATCCACGGCTAACGTGCGCCCGCCAACTTCCTTCCCATTGACCCCCGCAAGTGCCCTCTCAGCATTCTTTTTCCCTCGTAGGACAACAATCCCGAACCCGTACTGTTCCTTAGGACCCTTCTTTGGCACGACCGCATGCTTGACCTTGCCATAACTGCGGAATAACAGCGAGAGATCTTCAGCCGTCTTGATACTCCATGGCAGGTTTCTGACAATCAACTTTGGAGGCTGGGTCTCTGCTTGGTTCTTTTCTCGCTGTGCACGAAGTTGTACGGCTGTAGTATTGACGCTGCTCTTGGCACCAATGTCTGCATCACGGTGTCTTGCTTCAGCCAGCTCAACTTTGATCTTCCTCCCATCTAGCACTGAGTTGTTGAATTGTGCAACAGCAGCCTGCGCGTCCTCTGCATCGGCGAAGGTGACGAAGCCGAATCCTCGGGAGATCTTTGTCTGGGGGTCCAGGACGACTGTGGCATGTTTGAGAGGGAAGGACTGAGAGAAGTATTCTGTGAGTCGCTCTGTGGTTACGGAAGCAGGTAGAGAGCGGACGAAGAGTGAGCGTCTCTGCTCCTTGGATTTAGCACTTGTGTTTTCGATTTGATGGTCAGCTTCTGGAGCGACGGCTTCATAGCTGCCATTGGAGAGTTTGCGCCTCTTGCTACTCAGATCCATGGTCGAGTTGCGACGTATATTTTCGCCGGCTTTGTCGAGATGACGGGAAAAATGAACTTTTTGCAGCCCAAAAATTTCTCCAATTCAAAGCGGAGTCGCACGTTGCAGTTTGTGAACCAATAATCTGCCGTATGAATCTCTACGTCAACGCAAAGGGCTGATCAGGAAATTACTGAATACATCCACGTGACGAGGTACGGAGTGACGACCCATTTCAGTTGATGTTTTTGAACCTTTTTAAAGTAATTCGAAGGAGATACCTAGGGAGAGTGCATGCTGCCAAAAGCATCAGGGCTTATAAGACCGTCCTGGTGGCACCGATGAATGAGACGTCGATAAGTGCATGAATCACAGTTTTCCTGTCCAACTTGGAAGCCTAGCACGCGACATCATGGCTGAAGAATTCGACAACGTCGACTTCCTATCACAGGAAGCAGCAGTTCAGCGGTCATCTGCTCCGCAGCGGACAGCAAGTCCTGCTACAACAAACACACCCACAAAGGTGGTCCAGCCAAAGCCACAAGCACTGCCTGGGAGACAGGGTCCGTCGGCAATCCTAGTATCAACTCGACAAAAGGGCAATCCTATTTTGAAACACGTTACGCAGCTGCCGTGGGAATACTCTGACATACCATGCGACTACGTGGTCGGCGCCACGACATGCGCATTGTTCCTATCTCTCAAGTACCATCGCTTACACCCAGAGTACATCTATAGTCGCATTCGCCAGCTAGGGAAGCTTTACAACCTCCGAATTTTGTTGACCATGGTGGACATCACGAATCACGAGGAGGCTCTGAAAGAGCTCTCCAAGACTTCGATGATCAATAACTTGACGTTGATTCTGTGCTGGTCCTCCCAAGAGGCGGGCCGCTATCTAGAACTCTTCAAATCCTATGAGCACGCCTCATCTGCATCGATTCGGGCCCATCAAGCAGAAACTTACCAGGAGAGTCTCACTGAGTTCGTCACGACGCCACGGAACATCAACAAGACCGATGCTGCTAGTCTGATCATGAATTTTGGCTCTCTTCGAGCGGCTGTGAATGCGGAACCAGAAGAACTGGCTCTAGTACCAGGATGGGGCGAGAAGAAGGTCAAGGCTTGGTACACTACTGTCCGGGAACCGTTCCGTGTGAGAAGAGCCGCCAAATCTAATGCAGTACTACTGAGGCAGGAGACGTCTTTGTTTTCTGAAGGAGCAGGCACTCCGGAGTCAAGACCAGGAAGCGGACACACACCGATCCCTATTGGTACTGTACCCAGCCTTAGCAGGCAGGGGTCAGCTGCTGTTGCGATGCAGAATACAACTGAAGCGGGCCCGTCCCATAAGCGTCCTCGGCTGGAAGAAGTTACCATGGACGATTTGGATGAGGAGGAAGAAGCTGCACTCCTTGCTCTTGCCGATGTAGAAGCTGCAAAAGCGGAGGCACAAACGACGCGGCCGGCCGAGCCACAGAGTCGCAAAGAACCAGAGCTGAGCGCAGGTGTTGCGGCGGCACTAGCAAAGCTACGACAGAATGCCTGTGGCTGAAACAGGAAGCAACAGTCACACAATCTCCACCATTTCCCGGCCCATGCACGTAGGATAGTGCTGCTGCAGCACAGCTTGATGCCTTGCCACCCGTTTCAACGACCACAATACGGACAGGGGAGACGATTTTGGTCTAAGGCATTTCAGCAATGTCTTCAATTTCCAATTGGAATGCTTCATCATGGAGGATTCCCATCCGGTCCCAAAAGGCATTGACTGCTAAATCTGGGAGCCATTATTACCAACATTCTGCCTTCTCCACAGACTCTGCATAATCACCAATCGTCACCACGAGGCAGACACCAAGGCTGATCAAGAGACGTAACAACACCCCACTAACCTCGAGGCAGTCTATAATGGAGATCTCCCTTCTTTACGTCTACTACAGATGGTGTCTGAGCTCTAAGCTGTCTGTTATTGCTTGAATACTATCTGATCGCACGCTTTCAGCCACGGCAAATTCTATTTATCTCAAATACCGGAAAGGAAAAAGACAGCAAGCTCGCATTTGATATGGGAAGTTGGGATGCAATTGCCGCTTCGGTGAGCGGAGTCAGTCCTAGCGCCTACGGCTCTCAAGGTGGACCCATGTATCGTCCCGTCCTCAGGCCTCCTGAGTATACCGACGAGACCTTGATTACGGTGCCAGTGCTGGATCTGGATGCCTTACAAGCCAGACATCCATTTAAGCACGAGGGAATATCGAGCAAACAGCCAATGACAGAAGGGATACTCCAGCGTCGTTGGGGATTCTTCCACCATAAGCCGCCAAGTTCTCAGCCCCTTTCGACCAGACAAGTCAACATCAGCATTCGCCAGGTCACGAGGAGAGAATATCTGAAATATTACGCGAAAAACGACCAGGGGCGATATGTCGGCACGGAAGATCCTGCAGAAGATTGTGTTTTGGACGGGGAAGACTCCAATCGGTGGAGAGGACTAGCCGCAAGACCAGGGATAACTGCAGGAAGAAGGGAGTCGATGGCGGCAGCAGCAGCAGCAGTAGGAGGAGGTCAAATGGCCCAGATGAAAATTGCTGGAGCTGTTGAGGTAGACAGCACTCCGGTCGTTCCAGAGTCTGTGGGTGCTTCTGCAGGTAATGTCACTAGTGGTGGGGATAAGAGCAGGTTCGGTGTCTCCAGGGGCCTGCGAGGAGGCGATGGAGGCGGTGGAGTCATACGTTGACTGGAGACCTGTTGCAGGACTCCTCTTGTCATGATACACTTGCCTGTCCTGCTTGTTCGACCATGTTGTTTGCTTGATATCTCTTGTATGGTTCCGTTCATAACGCAACCGGCACGGGGGATGATGAGACACACCCCATAAGGACCCTTCACCGACATCGACACTGACGCCATATTGCTCGTCTTTCTCAGGGTATAAAGGCTCTATCTTGATCTTTTCCCGAGGACTATTCCTTCAACATGCCTCTCTTATTTACGACCTCGACCGAAGGCCAGGGTTAAAAGGTGGATTCGCAAAATCAAACACTGGTATCTCCAAGCATTAGCAACAAGACACACACATTGACCTCATTCTTCTGGCGATCCTTCTTGGGGGCCGAGTGCCAACCATGGGCCCGGGTCTCTTCAAGAGTCTTCAATCACAGTGTTTCATGTCTGCACCGACCTCCACCTCTTTATGCCATTTATCATTCAAGACTAGCCTTTCTGCTGTTTGACTGGACACTGTACCTAGAAAAATGTCTCTGACAAGCCTATCGTTGCAAAACGGTGGGGTTCCGGCGCCGTCTGCACGGTAGATGGTTGCCATGGCTTAACAAAATGCCCCAAAGCAAAGAGTCTCTGGCGCCCTCTTGTTCTCCTTCGACCTGTCCACGGCATCAATATCTCAATGCGGGTCTGAGACCCATGAACAGGAACACTATCTAAATGTCGACTGCTACCGACGTCACATCATCCTCAGGGGCAATTGCAGCGCTGTTTTCGCGGCTCCCTGCCTGAACTCGGGAAGAATCTAAGTTGTTCCACCCTGTATTACCCAAAAAACACACAACGATCGGCAAGACAACGAGGCCTCCAGACGCAAAGACTGCCGACACAAGTGCTCACGAGCACGATCCCGTCCATTTCACCTCGTCCATCCTCGATGCTGATTCGCGGTGTACACACAGGACTCCAATGTCCGAGGTAGCTCCCACCACAGTGAGACGGCTGTCCAGACTTTTCAATCTACCTATCTCTATACCTCGTATATATATACACACACCAATTTCGAAACCGCCTATAGGGTTGTCGGTTCACCCAAATCCCTTTGAAACAGCGCAAGTGTTCATCAAATTGAGCTTGATACCCAGTGAAGGGCTGTCCTGCGCGTGGGGTGGGAATATCAGCCATGCCTAACATCAAGCACCAATCGACTAGGCGCGCGCTGCGGGAGACCTTCGATCGCCAATGCAAGGAAGAGCAGAGCTTGAGCAGGGCGAGTCCAGCTATTTGCACTTTTACGAGAGAAGACGAGTCATCACAAAAGCAGCCCGACTTGTGTATCAGATGGAAGAAGAGTTAGAACGATAGTAGACCTCACACTATCGTCGAAGCGGGCAAGTCTCAAACTCTCCCAAACCTCCGAAGTCTCGTACCGCTCTACATGAACGGAAATCCCATATCGAACGAGTGATTGTGGTCAAAATGACGGAAACACCAAAATTCAAAAGCCCGACTCGACTACCCATCGACCCCTAAAAGAATCTTCGGAAAGATGAGGTAGCGGGTATGATCTGGTTCGACGACGCTAAGATAATCGGAGAGACCAAGATATCATGGGAGGTATGGGAACGAAACATTGACGAGGACGGTGATCCACAAAAGACTTTCGAGGAGACTATGGCGTACGGAGCGGCCCCATCGAGGGACTTACCTTTCTTCACGATCCCTAAAAGAGGTATCTATAGTGACACGGAGATTGCTGAAGGAGTGGATATTTCTATTACACCGCAGATGATCAAGCGATTCTAGAGCGATTACTGGGCACACTCGAGTTCGGAGGATGCCCGTGAACAGGCGGAAGGCATAACTATCTGATGTGTAGACTCGTCTCATACACAAAAACCATTGATCGCTCACAATGGGCAGAACTTATCACAAACCAGGGCAACCCACCGTCCTTCCCGTTGTTCTTCTTCTTCTCCTTCTTTCTTCGTCTTCTTGTACTTCTGCTTGTCGACCAGTGGGAACCCTGGGCGCATCCAGACAACCCAAGGTAGAGAATGCTGTGCATCTGTGTGCGGTCGACAAAGCAGCCCCAGTGGGGTCTGCGTTCAGACATCGCATTCAGCCCTCCCTGCGTGTGCCTCCCTGCGTGTGAAGGGTGTGTCCAGGCCCGATTTCATCACCCTAGTAATACGAGATGTGATATGTGCTGTGACACAAAGCAACTGTCCAAGAATCCAGCTGTAGCACGCCGGTAAGGTGGGGGGTTCCTCGAGGAGGAAGAGGCGACAATACGACGACCACACATGGAGGACTGGTTGAATCATTCGTTCGAATCTCTCTGGGTCGTGCAGCGCTTCTCAGGAAGCACGACATAACATATGGCCAACGTTTTTGGATTCCCCTGCTTGTCTGTGCAGTTCGCCGGAATGATGCTGCCACAAGTGGAGAAAGAGATTCATCAAGTAGGATAGATGCCTAGAACCTACTGCTTACTGTATGTTTGTTTTCAGGAACTATTTTAGCCATGTAATATATAACATAACATACCTGCATACTTTACTTTACTTTACTTTGTTCACGGTTGCTGCTGGGGCCCTATGCTCACTCATACGAATTATCCACCCTCCTCCTGTGAGATAGAAGCAGGATTGACAATTCCAAAAAAAAAAGGAAATAGAAAAAGGGGGAAATCGAATATAGATTATGTTCTCCTATTCACACAAAACCGGCCCGCAGTTACACTAATAGGCCTCGTTCGTTCTTCCCATTCTTCCTGATCTTCTTCTTCGTCAGTGTTCGGCGGTTGGTGGTCAGCCCTTTAGTGTGGAAGGCGTCCCATGATTGAGAGAGCAGATGTGCACTGCTCCATCCATTCCTTCATTCAAATTGACCCCCCAATTCGACGGGGCACGTCTCTTGCATAGCGTACGTTCTGTGTCGCGGACGTTCATCTCCATCTCCATCTCCATCTCATTGATCCCCATTCAGGGGCAGTCTGCCCCGAGACGAAACGAGAGAGTGGATAGAATGGAATAGCTTTTGCGCATTTGCGGCGACATGGACGAGCACAGAGATGTGAGAAGAGATATGTTATCTATCATCATTATAAGCAATCTAGAACTAGAACTAGACTAGGCGTAGACGACACACACACACACACACACACACACACACACACACACACACACACACACATACACACACGCATTGCAATGGGTTACAAAGGCGATAGGGGCTAGCACAGCCACAACTCTGTACTAGGGTATCTTCACTTAAGTGAAGGGCACCGGTTTTGATAGATCACGGCAAGCAGCAGTGATAGATCAATATTAAGCCTTACTTCTCAGAGAATAGAGTGCCAGTTGCAACCCGAGACCTTCTATTCCTCATTATTCCTCGTTTCCAAGAGACTGTGGCTACCCAACATGATGACGCATAGTCATTTACGCCATTGTGTGTTGTTCGCGGTGGTGGTATAGTCAGTGCCTCGACCAGAAAACCCTTCTCAGCGACCGACCTGCAGGACAGGCCCCCTATGCGTCCTCGAATTTGCATGCCAACTACCTATCGCACCCTCGTACAATATATATAAACACATGTATACGAACATGACAAAGCCTAAATGTCCCTATCGGGGCACCTGAGAGAACCCCTTTTTGGGGAAGTTTTCCCAAGTCGACCACTGGGTTTTTTCTTCTCCTTTCCTCTCTTCTCCAAATCCCTTTTTTTTGGTCAGTGACTGTTTCGAGAGATCGACGACGCAGGTTGTTTATTGCTTTGTAATAAATCTCAGGGAGCAGCCTTGGCTGACTCCACGGACGAAGAGGTGTCAAGAAGAGATCGGACACCAGAAAAGGCTGGCGATGCGTCAAATCAATGAAGGAAGAATTGCGTCCTGAATTGCTGCTGCTGTTGCTGCTGCTCCGTGGGCCAGTTGATCTGGAAACGAGCGACCTTGGGGCGTGTTGTTATCAAATCGTGCATCATAGAGGGATCACTGTGGCCTTGCACGCCACCTCCAGCTCCGTCCATTCGCCGTCAACATAGGCCAATGTTCTTCGCTCGATAAGGGGCGTGAGCGCCAGGCAGACTTTACGCTCCTTGGTTTCTTTGTCGGCGGCGCCACCAGCACCGGCAGGAGCCCTTTGCCGCCGCCGATCTTCTATGCGCTCATAGGGCGTCAAGAACCGGGGCCAGCTGACGCGGTAGTCTTCGTGCAGTCGCCTTGACAGTTCGATGCTGCAGTTCAATCCAAGTTTGAATACGCGGGTGAGGCGTCGACGCAACTCCGCCCGGTCCAGGTCCTCTATGAACCGCGGTGGTTCGTCCTCCGGCATTAGACGACAGACGTCAGCCTGATGCTCGCGCCTCCGAGGCGATGGCTCTCGGGGGATCAGCATGTCGATATATGCAAACATCATGTCTGCCATGTGGTGCGCATCTGAGTCAACGGAGCGAATTACGTGTCGGCTTAGGTGTTCGTCCCACAATCGCTGGCGTATTTCAGCTTCGACTTCCGACGTGAATGCTGCAGACATGACGATTAGCTCACAAGTCAATTCTCAGGAGGGGAAGGAAGGGCTGACCCTGCTTGAGGACTTTCTCGACGATCGCTCCACCAAGTTCCTGGAAGTACAAGCCCGGGGGGAGGCGAGCTCTCAGACACCACGCTGTCACAGCACAGCCGACCAACGACTGGAGAAAGTCATTCAGCCCGATTTTGGCTTTCTGGAAAGCTTGGAGCCTCTCAGAGCGCCAATCCCCGTCTTGAAAGCTGTCGAGTCCGAGCATGTGCATGAAAAGAGAGCGGCATTCGCCAGGATATCGAAGTCGTGAGTCAATGATCATTGGTTGGTTAGACGGTATACCCTGCCGTAGGCTATAGAATTCGATTGCCATACGAATTTCGTACTCAAGTAATTCCATCTGCGACTCTATGGCCCCAACAAGTATTGGATTAGGGAAAGCGCCGCGAGAAATGCTCTCAGTGCGGCTCGCTGCAAATCGCGGACCGTCGCTTTCTCCATTGTGCGCCTCATCCCTCACCTGGATATCAAGTCTATGGCGGAATTTGGTGCAACCATGAGAATCTCTTCTGTTGCTTCTGTGTTGGCCGCTTGGCTCTGGTGCTCTGGTGGGGGATTCTTCCTGTTGGGTGGGTGCCAAACTATCTGCGGACGTGGTACGAGTCGCATCATTTTCGAGTGTCGTTGGTTGGACGATCCTATGGCACACCAGCCAAACAAGAATTAGCATGGGCCCACCGGATAACTTGAAAGTAGGGCTTGAGTCAAGGACAGGGATCCGCAAAATCATATAGAGATGCCAACCTCGAAGTTTGCCCAGAATGAGGACGATCAGCTTGAGACTCTGAATCCCTTTCCACATCACTCGAAGGGCTCTTCCGTCTCCTCGCCTCTTGCTTTTCCTCCTTGCCGTCTGATCGATTTTCGGATCCGTTATCTGTTCGGCGACGTTTTTCCGCTCGTGTCATTTCTTGACCGTCACTGGCCCCAACGGGGTCTGTCGCGGTCGCTGTGCTCAAGGATGCAATCTCGTCCTTCGTGTACGCTCGAGCGACAGGCTTGCGGCTCAGCTTGTTCCAGTCAAGCGTGTGGGTGCCGTCCCTGTAGAAGGTGTCTAAGGTCGACGATTGGGAGGTCCCAAGTCTGTCTTTCCAAAGATACTTGATCCTTTGTTCGACCTGGGATGGCGACAGGGCTTTGGAGAACGATTTGTGGTCTCCAAATTGCGTACGCAGGCTTTTGGTCAGCTCTGCGATTGCTTGTTTGTAGTTCTGAATCAATGCGCTTTGAGGCCCTTTTTGATCATCAATCCACTCGAGTAGCGCTCTCTGAGCGAGGGGTGGCCAATGGAGGGATTTCGCCATCTTGAGTGTCGTGAGAGATGATAATTCTGCAGATGTGCGAAAACAGACGGATTGGGCCCAGGGTTCAGGATCAGGATCGGGATATATATACCAACAAACAACAAAGACCATTCAGGCGAGGAGAAATTATGCGGCATGTGACAGCAAAGCATTCCTTCCGTTTGGCACCCGTCCGGGCCTCAAGGAAGTGGGCCTCAGTAACAGGTCCTGAAATGCGGGTGGCAGCCGTTTCATTGTTTGTTTAGGAACCCTGCCACATTCCAGGCCCATTTGTCTTTGTCATATTGGCCCAATGCAGCATTGAAATGCCGAAAGCAAACTTTTTCAACCAGCCTTTGGCCGCGTTCGATGGTGTTACTCTGAGCCAATGTCGCGGAAGGCAGGGAGAAAAAGCCATGTCTAGGATCTGTGGCGAGCTAACCAGTGGTTGAAGGGCAGGCCCAAAGCCGTTCCAATATCGGAGGAAATGGAGAGGTAGATGTGGTGAAGTCAGCCAGATGTGTCCCCTCGATATGAACAGTAGATACGCAGCGTGAAGAAGCCACTGCCCTGGAAAGGTCACAGCTTCTGCTGCCTTGATCTCTGCCTCCAACTCACAAGACCCGCGTCCGACAGGCTTCGTTTCCTGTTACATGTCAACGGCCCAAAACCATCTGGATGGCAAAATCTCTGATCATCTCCACAAAGGAAGCCGGTTTTTGTGGCAAACATCCCGCAAGATCAAGGTAAACAAGAGAAAAGGCATAGCCTGCTTCAAATTCGGAGATGCCAAACCCTCTGTCTCTTCAGTTAATTCTCCGGCACGGAAATTGAAGTGTTCACTCTTGACTTCTCTGATCTCTTGTTGAGCTGCATTCAAAACAGAATGTCTGCCGCAGTGCCCGGACAGGCCTTGAGGCCTTCCACCAAGCCAAGTCATCTTGCAGAGTACCGACCGTATATCGAAAATTATCCTTGGACTCGTGAGAAGCGTATCACATTCCTTATTGGAATAGATTTCGGAACTATCCATTCAACCTCCGTGGTGGCAGTGGCCGACAAAGGTCACCAATTGCTGGCAGGGAGCGCCAAGCTCAAATCAACACCTGTCGGAACAGGAGAGTACAACTCTCACCGTATTCCATCGAAGATTGCGATTTTCCACTATCACGCCGAAGCACTTGGGAGAAAGCCACGATGTGCGATGCTGTTTGGCCACGCAGTGGACCACGCTCTGGAAAATGGCAAAATCAGAGACAAAGATGTGGTGGATCTGTTGAAATTGTTCCTGTTCCCCGAATACGCTGGCAGTGAGAACGGAACGCATGACCCGCTGATGCGACAGACTCGGGAAAGCCACGAACGTCTTGTCAACAAAATCAAGACCAAATATCAAGGACAAGTTTTATATGTCCAACCCGAGCACGGCGAATGGGGTTCAAAAACAGTCAACAACACGGAAGATGTCATCGTTGCTTACTTCGAATTCATTTGGCAAGAAACCTTGGGGAGAATTGCTGAGCAAATGGAAATTCGACAGAATTCTGGTAAGGCATGGGAAAATCTTCGCAAGATCCTCAAACAAGAGTCACACGTCGCAGTATCTGTCCCCATGAGTTGGGGGGAAACAACTCAGAACCGTTTCTTGGAGCTCTTGGGTCGTGCCGGCCTTCCAAGCTCAACAACAATTGTCCCCGAGGCAGTTGCAGCCGCCCTGTGCCACTTCGACAATACCTCGGAGTTGGGAGACGACAAAGACGAGCCGCTCAATATGATTGTCGCGGATATTGGTGTAAGATTCCGGGTCCGCCCCGAAGCTGGCGGGCGTTTCAGACTCGTTTTCCAAAGAGTGTATTGAATGAGTGCTGATGAGTATGCAGGGGGCCACGGTCGACGTGGCCGGAGTTAGCAAGTACTTTCTGGATGGATCGGCCCGATTCCGAGAGATCGTGAAGCAGAAGGGTATACTTCACGGTTCCCTGAAGCTGAATGAATATATGGCTCGACATGTCGGCGAAGCATTCGGCGTTTGGGGCTTGGAGTCTGTCCTTGTCGAACTTGGTTGGACCAGAGATAAATGGTTCCGGCACATCAAAGACGGCTTCGAAACGGCAAAGAGATCGTTTGACATCACCGAAAACGGCAAAGAATATTACCGAATTGAGCTTCCCCGTATTGATTCATCAGCAGATTTGGATTATGCCAGGTCGTTTGCTCAGCATGCAAACTTCATCCTCGATGATACGGGCCTCTGGGTCAGCAGTGGCTTCATCAAAGCAGTCTATGACACATGGCTCCAAGAAATCATCAAGGTCATCCGAGAATCTTGTGACGAGTACGCTGAGAAGTTTCCAAATGGTGTCTCGCCTCTCCTTGCTCTGTGCGGGTATGGGTCTCTACCACCGTATGTTTTGCGGAAGTGCAAAGAAGAATTTCCCAAACAACAGGTCGTTCTCGTCGAACGTGGGGAAATCCCTCTTATTGCAATGGGGAATATAGTGACCTTGCGCCGCGCTGACTTGTTCTATGACGTCCTCGCTCGCTATAGTTATGGCATCAGAGTTGACATACCTTGGGAACATGTCGACGCGACATCTCAAACAGATGGACAGTTAGACGCGGATCGGGGAGGCGACGGGAAATACCTCCCCGATCGTGCGGCATGGATCATCAGACAAGGACAGAGTTTGGTGGGACCAAAAAGACTCTTCTTTCTCGAGGGTCGCACCCGCTTAACTGGATCATATCCGTTTCATTGGGATATCGACATTCTAAGCAGCAGTCATCCTGAAGTGGTGGGCGCCGAAAAATATGCGGCTGTTTCAAGAGCAATCGAGGCCGAGAAGATTCAGGTTGTTGAACGTTACCCGGTCGGGCTTACGTACAACATTTGTGGGTGCAAGAGCATGAAATCACCCCCTGGGATGCCTGGCAAGAAAACCATCGAAATCGAGTATCGGGTGAAAATGGACTGTACCGGAATTTCCCCAACACTCAGCCTATACATCCCAGCAAAGGACGGAACGTTCAAGAAGCGCCTGGATGAAAATTGGGAAAAAGAAGACCGGTACACTAAGATACTGGACATTTCTCTGGGTCCTATCCATGCCCATACGGTGTTTGGTGATCACCCTCGGGCACAACTCGATCGTGCTTGAACAGGAGACAAGAAATGATTGATTTCTGAAAGATACCAGAGGAAGAGAGCAGGTGATTGCATGGCCAACGGTGGACAGGTATGGAAGACCGAGGTCCGCCAGGCAGGCAGTCGTGCAGGATTGTGTGAAGCTTCAGAGAGCCAAGGATGCCAAATCAGCTCTGGCGGAAACTTTGCCGAGAAGATGACGATGTGTCGATCGGCGGGAAGAAAAGGGGCATTGGGTTGGATGTTTGCACTTGAGTTGTACTCGAGATTACGCGTTTGGGGAATTCTGATAGACTTGAAACGCACCATACGGTGTACTATGTATTGTGGTTTTGATGGCTCAAAAAGCCCAAAGAATATTCCCATAGATGAGGATTTATTCATGCCAAGAAAGGCCATTCGTGTCCTCTGGATCCCACCCTTACCTCTCGACGCACAGCATACATCCAACAGAGAATCCACCGTAACTGGCAATGAGGAGAAGAAATTCAGGTGTGATACGTTACTCGTGCCAATGACCCCAAAGTACAACAAGATGTGTACAGCTTACAGACGCAGGTAGAACCAATCCCCCTCACTTTCTCTGTTACGGTAACTGTGCTCATTTGATACCAAGAGTCTGGAATCCACCTCTTTTAGAACCTGGTTGATCAAATCTTGAATTGCTTGTACCCTTCCACCAGTCCGTCCGCTCTCTTGGTGAGTGCTGCCCATGCTGGGATGTAGTGCATCGCCTCATCAAAGGCGGGTATCACGCCATTCTTGTTCACGTCACTCCATAGACATACCACTCGCCCGGACATCGTGCTGTTAGCGATGGGTCCTTCAGCACTGATAGCCGGAATATCCCAACCGACGTCCACTGTCCAAGCTCTTCCCCACGAGCGGCTCCATAGTCTGATCTCCTGGCTGCCGCTTTCGGGCACGGGGGGAAATCGTGTATCTCTCGGCGCCTGCCCGGCGACATGGAATTTCGTAATCGGTGCTGTCTCAAAGATGAGTTTGCACGCACGGGTGTTTTTCCCTAAGAGCACGAAGCGGGCTTTGTATCCACTGTCACTGTTATTGAGGCGAGTGACATTGAAGGTGAGCCAACTGTCGTACTGTTGCCTGGAAGAGACAGAGGTGGAGGAAGAGTTGGCAACATTGGGTGGGATACCAGCCCATGAACAAGTTTGCATATTACCGGAAATTGAGGGGTTTGCGGGTGTGCAGACAATGTCCTGTCCGGCGGAGCTGGGTATATCGTTGACGGCATGGCGAGCGTACGGTGTAACGCCGGTCAAGCAGACAGTGTTATTCCCTCCGACGAGGTCCACTTGTTGTTGAAAGAAAAGCTTCAGTCTGTTGTTCATAGAGAAGGGGAATGCGGTTAGATTGTAAACCATGGTGCCGATGAAGACGAGGAGAAGAAACACCGGTATTTGCCAAGTGAACCGGTGCAGAATGGGCACAAGCGGGGAGAAGAGGAGTATTGTGCAGCCAGCCACCATAATGTATAGTAGAAACATAGAACTTCCGTCCTGTCCTGTCTGGTGTAGACCTTCGGTCAGTAAGAGGCCGATCTGACCGACGACGACGAGATTGATGGGGACAAGGATGAGCATCTGCCAAAGCCACAACCACGACCACTGGGATTTGCTCCAACCTGGTTCTTCGACAGCGTCAGTTTTGTCCTTGCCGGCTTTGATGTCAGGGGTCGGTTCTTCTCTCCCTTGGCGGTATCCCCTCCGCAGGAGACTCGACCTTTCCGTAGGCACATCATCATTGTCATCATCAGAATCCAGACGATCCCCAGCGTCTTCCTGTCGCGTGCCTGAACCGGCATGCGGGTGGAAGGGGTCCTCTTCAATGAAGCGCTGGCAATACACCGACTTCCTGGGCAAGGAAAATAACTCTAGGAAGGCCAACCACGTGGTCAGCCATACAAGAGCGGCGTAAACCAGGACAAAGTATAGACCGACAAGGTGCAAATGTTCTTCAAACACCGTGGCAACGACAAGTAGCACCCACCACGCACCCCACATCCATGAAAACCCGTAGACGCGGGTGAGTGAAGAGGGCCGTGTGTAGTCCGCAGCTCGGCAGAAGAACCACGCAACAAAGACGAAGGAGCTAATCATCATGGTCCACACGGCCCATTCACTGCTGTGAGCAATGTATTGGTTTTCCTTGAAAACCAAGTATGCCAGAGCAATCGGGACTGCACACGCTACAAGCAAGATGAGCGGGAAACGGAAAAAGCCACGCCATCCGTAAAGCTTGATCTTCTCATCTCCATTCTGGTGGTGAAGGGGACGAGACCCCGAGAAAAGATAAAACTTGTCGACCCGATACAGCAGGGCGACCGTGAGGAGGATTACCACAGGCCCAGCGACAAGAAGTGTGACCGAAAGAGCGAAAAAGGTGTGGGCTTTCAAGATGGCAAACGTGCGGCCGAAGAGGTCAAACCAGAGTGGCGGACTCCCAGGGTTGCTCTCTGGGTCCAAGTTTGTCTTCAGTGAGGCCGATGTCAGGGCTTCTGTTGTAGCTACAGCCGCAGAGAGCATGTGCCAGAGAGAACCTTTCCCTGTGTGCCGTGAATCGTCTTGATCGGTGTGGTATCTCGCCCGCGGTCCAATGAAGGCAACATCCAATCCACGATAGCCCAGCTTGCCATTGAATACGACATAGTCTGTCTGGCTCCTGACCAGACCTCGATTGAAGCCATCCGCCGAAGTAGACGAGCCAAAGGGGTGCTTGGAGTGAGCATAGGCTTTCGTGACTGCTTCATCGGTGCTTCGAAACAGCGCAGCTCGCCCCCCTGCACCAGCTCCTTCTAGATTCAGGAATGAGCTCACGATCAGGGACATGGGATGCTGACTGAAAACGCTTGCCCCATTGAGAAAGTCTTCTTCACCATTGTTCAAGAGGAGGACCACTCCATTTTTTGGTTTGTTCCTGGGTGTAGTAAAGTATTTGAGCAGCTGTAACACGCAGACGACTCCAACGCCGTCATCGGTAGAGCCGAAGCCCGTCGATACACTGTCATAGTGTGCATTCACCAAGACTGCGTTGCGACTTGATGGTTTTCCGTCTGAGTCAAGCCACCATTCGGTTTTATCATCTTCTACTCCTGGGATATAGACGATGATATTAGTGCCCTCAAAGTAGACAGACACGCCGGGACTCGAGAGCACTTCCCCCGAAGAAAATGTAAGGTTGGAGGTATTGTCTGCGAAGACATATGGAGAGGCCTTGTTTTCATTCGCTATCGAGTTGATTCGTTCGAGGAGCCACTCGTGAACCTGGTCATTGCGACGGCTGTTGTAAGGATGGTAGGATGCGGTGAGAAGCTCCAGGTCCAGCCAAGCTTCGGTCAGATTCAGGCCGTGAATGGGAGTGGGCGAAGTTGGAGGAGAAGGGACCGTCGTATGGATGATGAGGAGGGCAACAATGACGACGAGGTAAATAGCGGACGTGATGACGGTGACAGGCCAACGAGTGAAGGCGAAAGGGTTGGAGAGCCTCGCCATGGCAGACGGACACACACCAGCCGTCAAGGCATTAGGAGAGAGTAATGGATACAATAAAAAGGGCGTTCACCAGGCGCAGAAGAGAGAGGCAGGGAAAGGAACTGGTGCAATAGAGAATGGGAAACCATGAAAGAAGCGCAATTATTGGAGGTCGTCTACCCTGCGGCCCCCCGCCATTACGACGATAAGCTCTGCACATGCAAATCATTCTCGCATGGCAGCCTGCATCACCCAATAGGAGATTGTTCGGCTGTCGAGCCACCTTTCAAGACCCAGCGAGTTATTTCGGCTTTCCCTTTTATCCCGATTGATGAAGGTGCTAAGTCAGTCGAACTCGACGGAAGAGGGGGTTTTGGTACATCTTCCATTTCTTCCACCCTAGTGCTCTCTGTGCTAATCAGAAGTGGTTTATGTCTTTATAGTGTGGCTCTACCATAAGGCGTAACTGTAATCGATGTCGTTCCGGTATCCAGAAACATTGCGGGAAATCATACGTAGTGATATTGAAGGAGCATAGGAGCCTCTTTCCAGACAGGGTCCTTGCTTATCCAGGCTATGGGTTCTCCTAGAATGATCTTACCGTTCGTAAGGTAGAAGGCCGCGCCATACCTTGATGGCTTCCTACCGTTTTCATAATGGTTGATTCAGAATCGTATCTTTACCTCTTGATACTTATGTTGTTCGGACTTAAGAAGCTCCTTTAATGTTTTAATGCTCTCCCGTTTCCCTCGTCTAGTTCGCACGCGTAGGAGGGAGGAAGTGTCGTTATATCAATTGCTATACTGTTTGGGACATGTTATTGTATGGAAGAGAAATCAGATTGAATAATGAGGGGCAGCAGGGATATAAAGGTATGTATATGAGGGCGTTATATACTGCGTACCAGGTACTTGTTTCTACATTCCGCAGTCGTAGGCACGTGAGAGCACGTGCAGGTTCACATGACGTCCCTTATTGGGCTTGTGTTGCTGAAATGCCAACCTTGGTGTTGTCTTTCAGGTATGAAACCTTGTTGAGCCGAGTTAACAAGCTGAGTAGTCAGTTCTCGGAATCCTTCGACCTCTACCAAGGGCAGGAGGCGCTGTACACGGTGGTAGTAGACCGCACCGGTAGTTCAGGAATGTCCTCATGAGAAGGACTACGCCGTGACCGTGGCTGATCTCGCATTCGCAGCGGTAGACATAGTACGGAGGCTCTTCACGTTCCAATGATGTCTCCGTCATGAGTTGCGATTTATGCAGATAGTTGGGCTGCCTACTTAGTGTTCTGCGTCATTGCCTGCCTCTGAAGCGCGACAAGGCTACCGAGCTCTTTGCAGTGGAGTATTCCCCCTTATCGGTGGAGAGGATGGTGTTCTGCCAAAACGGCCTCGGCAACCAATGAGAAGATCAACGCTGTGGCCTGCACGCCCTTTGTATGGTCATGTTGTCCGTGGAAATACCTGCTTGTCGTGAATGGGGAGCTTTCAGACACATGTGTATTCATTCTGTCATGTCCCGAGTAAGGACCGCTGCGACGGGCGACGGGCGACGGGCGACGTGCTCTGCGAAAGAGAGTTGGTCAAGCAGAAGGCTTCGGCTCTAACGCTGTCACCCTTTTCGCACCCCGAAAAGAAACTTGATCAAAGATGGAAAGCGATGTATTCTGTAAATGAGGAAGTTCAGACGATGGAACATGCTAGAAGCACATACATTCTATCGTAAAGATGGTTGGGCCTGGGATTAACGACAACGCTGCTCGTGATGCCGCTCCGGCCGTGGCAAAATCCCTCGCGCTGCCTCTGTGGTCGAAGATAGAAACAAGTCTCTGATCTGTCACTAGGGCAGGTCAAATATAGAAGCACAAACTTCTTTTGCTTCGGTAGGGAGGAGAAAGAGAAGGAATGTGCGGCATTCTCAGGCAGTGAATGTGCCTTTCAGCTTCGGGGGCCCCTGACTGGTACTTAACTGGCGGACATCCGGACACGGGATCCATTGATGCATGATGTATTCGATCTGCTGTGTGAGTATCTGCGAAGCGAAGAGGTCCCGTCTCACGGGAGCATTGCCGCGCAACATGATACCTCGGTTGAGCGTCCCGAACGGCGCGAGGACGTGCACAAGCGTGGTTTCTCAAAGCTTTGATGCGAGCTCGGCAACGACGTTATATTCCATCGGAGGGGCTTCCGAATGCATTCCTGGGTATAGGTGTCACGGATCAATTCGACAGCTTTGAGATATCGGGCCTGGAATACTCCACAAAGTCCGTTTTCGTGATAGTCACATCGCAGTCTGCCTATCACTGCACGCTGAAGAACATGCAGACGACGTCGGGGAACCCCCCAAGCTGCAACCAGGTTCGTGCTCCCAAAATAGGTCAGCCTGGGTGCCGCAGAGGGTCATCAACAAACCTCTAGCGCCACCTGGAGTACATCTTGTCGGTGGATATCGGGATTCAGCCGAAGACAAGGAACGGCATACGCCCTGTGCAGCCTTGCTCCCACATTTGCGTGAAGCAGAGGTGTGGGTATGGAGATCGTTCCCGAAAGGCGGCACTCTCTGGGGAAGATGCGATGGAATTGGGAACATCTCCCGCGCTCTGCAGTCAGGGCAGTCTGCGGGCCGCGTTGTCACCGTTTGATCCACAGCCATATGTGCTCGATTCGGAGCTTGGACACCGGGGCAAAGTCATGGCTGCCACGTGTATGGCAAGCAAAGGCTTGGTGAATTACTCAAAGGATTGTCCTATCGCTAGAACTCAACCTCAGAGCGAAGCTTTTGTACTATGTCCTCACATCAAGGTCACGACAGCATGGACGCTGAAGCAGACTATTGACAAGCCGGGGCCAATCCTGGGCCACGAGGGCTTTTTGACTGGGCGGGTGAGAGGGGTACCAATGGACCAATCTGACAAGCTGCTATATATACATACACGATACGGCGGCGAAGGGACTTGCAGATCTGTATGGCGATGGAGATGACTGTGCCGCTCGACGCATCGTGTCATCATCAAAAACTTCTCGCAAAATGGCCGTGGCCAAGTCGCAGAGAGCAACAGACATCCTCAAGAAGTAATACCGATGATGAAGGAAGTCAGAGAAATGCCCGGAGAAATTCTGTGTGTCGGACGGAAAACCCCCGAAGCTCCGACATGCCGATGGCGCACGCAAGCAGTTAGTGTTCCCTGCGTCCATGGCCTCGTCTCTACCAATCCTTCTTTTCAACTCGCCGTCTCTCCATCCAGCTTCATGCCTTGGCCTTAGTAAAACACTTTGCCCTTGGGCTCCTGCCCCTGAGGGATCTCCCCCTTATCAGATCATAGGCCGGGTTGTCGCTTGCCAGGCATCAGTCCACTCACCCTGCTTCACACTTGGGCGGAAAACCAAAAGTTCATGCATCCTAGCCGATGGCTTCCATCTGGCTCGCCCAACCACGCGTCTCCATCAAGCCTTATTCCGTCTTCGGTAGCTGAGGTGCCAACCTTTGGGGTGATCTGAAGCTCTTCACCTGAACAGTCTTGCTTCAAATCCACGCAAAATGGAAAGCCAGTACGGTACGCGTCATTCCCTGACCACTCTGCTTCGTCCTAGCCCGCCCATGTCTCCTCCAACGAGCCTTGGTCGGAGTCTTGGGTGGTGGAAACCACCGATAGAAAGAAAGGCAAAAGTATAAAGGTAGCCGTGAGAAGTTGTCACTCGTTCACATCTACTTCAGGCATTCGATCAGACCGTGATTTTCACAGTAACAAAAGAAGCTCGTGGCACTCTCTATTTCCCGCGTCCTGGTCTCGTGTCCCTGACTTACTCAGATCTCCATCTCGTCAGAGGCCATCCCGTAACAATACAGCCTACCCAGCATGGCCTTGCACACACCAGCTCTTTGGGCACCCAATCTCTTCTATGTGGCCTCGTCCATCCTGATCGGGTCCACCATCGTCACATATCTCCTGAAATTTATCAAACTTGACATCAAACCCTTTCTCTCCACAAAGCCTGGCAAAGCCCTCGAGGCCTCGCTCCAGACAGCCTTCGAACGCTTCCTTAACATCCTGTCCGTCTCAGACCCCCTCAGCCCTCCATCAAGCCCAGTCACCATGTCTTCACGAGGCTACCTGGAAAGCGTCCCTTACCGCCGTGGCTCTCGCCCCGAGGTTGAAGGCATCAGCAGCCCCATCCAGAGGACGCAACTACCCCCATGGGAACAAAAGGACGTGGAAGACCGCCTCCGCAGCCTCATCATCGACATCCCGGCCCGGTATCCACAGTCCACCTACCTCGGCCGTTCGACCTTTGAACCTGAGTCTCCCACCTCCCTCTATGCCCGCCACCGCGTCTTCAACGAAACCAAGTACTACGGAGAGATCCTCACTGCCAACACTGAAGACGGATTCATCCACTCAGCACTCCACCCCAGTGACGTCAAGACGGTTATCGAGAAGGGTTGGGGCCAGAGACATCCTCTGTCGGGCCGCGTCGGGTCTCGATTCATGCGCCTCTTTAACGCCAACCAGCCGAGCCCCGTCGAGGGCTCTCAAGTTCTGCTCTACGCACCCCGAGACCAGGAAGATTTGGAGGTCATCAAAGAAATCATCAACGCCGCAGTCTGGTGGGTCGGCGGCATCGACAACAGAGTCGACGACGAGAACTTCTGAGCCAGTTATGATTGCTACACGGCATGCTTGGTCATGCTGTGCTATGGCATAACTTACGACCGGGGTGGGGTCTTTTCAATCAGTCGAGGGTGTGGGTGTGGGTGTCTGTGTTTCATGGCGCGGGACAAGCTTACTCTATGTTGATGGGAGGCGCAAAGCAGGGAGGAAGGAGTCTGGAACTGAAATGGACCAGAACTGTACTACAGCCACAATATGAGCTCAGGCTTTATGGAGCTTTACAGCGTGCATGTTACCAACGACCAAAAATACAAAACCACAAGAAAGGCCTAGGATAAATAGCTAGAAGAGTTATACTGTCTCTTATGGCCCGTCAACGAAGAAACCTTCTTGACCACTCTCCCTTTCGCACCCTCATCTCTCTCTCTCTCTCTCTCTCTCTCTCTCTCTGTCTGTGTGTGTGTGTGTGTGTGTGAAAAAGGCCCAACCGAAAGCGCCACGAAGCAGGCAGATAATATTCTAATCATAGACATACCACTTGAGCTGCGAATGAATCGTTGGCTAGCTGTTTTCGGCAACTCCGCCGCCCCTGCCTGCTTGTTTGAATCCTCCGAACGACACTGTGGCATATTATCGCGCCACAATCCCGCTTCCTCCTCCGCCTTCGTTCGGGCTTTTTTTGTGTGGCGGCCTTAATGATGTTTGTCGCGGGTTTTTTTTGTTATCTGTCCCTCTGTCCACCCTCCCACCTACCCATATGTCTGCATGTCTGCGTGTGCCCATTTGCATATTCTTCTGCCTGTCTGTCGTTCGAACTAGTCGTTGGCTGGCTGATTGACTGGCTGGCTGGCTGTGTGTGTGTGTGTGTGTGTGCAGGTATGACTGCTTGGCGGCATGGGTAGACCGCGTTCGGGGGCTTTCCAATTCCCTCTCCTCCCCTCCCCGGTGCATTTCCGTCTTGGCACACAGTGCGCCATGTCTTATCTATTAGAAAGGATTGGTAGGTATGCCATGACAGGGGCGGAAGTAAATGAGGAACACAACGGAGGAGCGCACGTGTGAGTTGTCATTTGTGACTTGTCGTCGACCGTATCGTCGTGGCCAGCGCTCTCGGCGGATCAAGCTTCCCCTTTCCTCCAGGACAGCAGCATGCATCTTCTTCCACATTCGGGTATATGGTGCGCGACGCATCGTTTGAGGGATCCAGGATTGAGAGGCCAGGAACCTTTTTGGCGACTGGTGTCGGTCATCTTCGTTTCTTCGTACAGTTCCATTCAGTCTGGTCGACGGGAGATCATGCATGCCCTTCGCGGCAAGCAGTTGCATCCACGTCACCACCCATCGCCCTACAGCATATCGTATCATGTCAAATCACACGCACCATAAATACCATTCCAAACCACGCGGTCCGGTGTCCATCCTACATTCCCCCGGAGGCCGTACCATGCCAATCAACGCCCTGCCATCCATGTAACCGCAGAATGGAGCTCATTTGCTCAATAGTATGTGGCATACTTGGACGTGCCGTTCAGAACTTGGACGAAATTCCGCGCGATGATCCGGTCGGTTTGTTCGCTGCGTGCAGGCATGCTTGTGTTAGTCATTTGTCTCTGAAGGTCTCAAAACCCGAAGGTTATGTCTCCTATGCCTCCACACTCCCCTGACTTCCCATGGTGGGAAAAGTGAGGGGAGACGCCGAGGACAGAACACGGACAAATAGATCAAAAATACAATGACTCACCTGGGATGCAACTCGTCAAACCACAGATACCCATCGGGATTCGTGCCGTTCTGTCTCTTCACACAGGTCTTCTGGTCCACGGTACAGTGATTCTCGTAGCCCCAGACGCACTCGCCGCCCTTGACCACACCTGTGCCGTTCAAGTACATGGCGGGGGCATTGTAGATGTCGGTTATGAGCGAGTGGGTGTCGAAAAGGGCGAAATGGGCGCCCGGGTAGCGGTTGGCCACTAGGAGCTCGTAGGGGGTCTGATACTTGAAGACGTTGTTGACCGTGGTGGTGAACTGCTGCATGGTGTACGCGATCTCGGTGTGATTGGTCGTCTTGTTGGCCCAGTACTGATTGGGGCCGACACCGTGGAGCGAGTCGTTGGCGTACAGCGGCGCCAGGTTCAGTGGAGCGGTATTCATGAGCACAAAGTGCCGGGCGCCGCTGGCGTAGAGCTTGTCGAAGACGCTGTAGACGCACGACGTATAATCGGAGAGCACCTTGCCAGGGATTTGCGAGTCGGTGAGGAACGCGTACACGCCGAGATCGTTAGTCCCAATCCACAGAGCGTAGACGGCGTCCTGGGCCGTCAAATTTGGCGTAAAGAGTTGAACGGCCGGTGTGGAATTGACTCGTGTCGTCGGGATATCAGCCACGAAGGCCGGGACTTCGTACTCGAGAACGGAGGGGAAGGGCGCGTCGATCGCTGGGAACCATCTGGAGAAGGAGTCTTATCAGAGAGGCATTCACAAGCAAAGGAAACGTGAATTTGACCGGACGAACCTCGGCGTGATGTTGTTGGAGCAGACAGCCCCTGAGACAGCATAGTCATACAGCGTCATCTGAGGAGTCCATTTGCCCTGCACGGTCGATCCGGTGTACTGTACCACATATCTAGGCCAGGTCCGCCCACCACTGGGTGCACTGAATGTCTCTGGCAACAAAGTGCCAGCCGGTGGGGCAGAGCCATTGTGGTTGATGAACCATCCCAGGCGAGACTCATCAGTATAGCTGTCACCGAACGTGAGGAGAGAGTTGAAATTCTCAATCGACCATGGCCTGCTGTTGCTCTGTCGAGGGACAGCTGAGCTGATGGTTGACGAGACGAAAAGAGAGGCACCCAGGACAAGAGGCCCGGGAATGGAGGAGAGCTTCATCTTGAAGGAGTGATCCTACTTGTATCAAGAGCTGTTTTTTGGTCGAGGGGTTGAACAAGGTCGAGAGAGTAGCCGAGCCCTTTTATACCAGTTTGCCTGCGGAGTCTGAGCACCTCCATTTTGCCTTTTTTTTTCCTTCCCTTCATCCTCTGGAAGAGCCGGACCTGGCTTCCTGCAGACTCGAGCTGTTCAACGTCATGGGAGCAGCCACAGCGTCGTCCAAATCTAACGCGGAAGCCTGTTCGGGTAGGACAAGACCGTCCAGGAACAGAGAAGCCTTCGATCCGGCCCAATAACGACAGACGGTGAACAGGAACCCCATCATGTGCATACGGCATTTGAACGGTGCTGGGGAGAGCTGGGACAAATCAATGGCTCGACTCCGCGTCATTGATGTTGAGGCGTCAACGTATTGGGAAGTTCATCATAGCGGCGTCGACGGATGGAGGAGGGTTTGAGAAATGCCGGAATTCAGCCTGAAAGGATACGCGGATCGTCGTGTCTTGTCCCCCCGCAATCTTTATGGGCAAGTGGAGGTGTGGAGGATGCCAACATCGGGTCTGGACCTGTGTCTTTTCTCTCGAGAGATGTCAACTGTAACTAGTGTGGTGTAATTGTTTGATCCTGGTGTATGAAGTGTGTTGAAGGAGGAAAAAGGAGGGTGTTAGCCTCGCGAAGTCTTGGCTTCTCCTGCCACGAAGATCAATGCAATGGCTGGAAGGATGACGGGAGAAGGAAACCTGGTTTCATTCATGCATTTATCAAAGGGTCAGGAGACGGTATCGATCATCTCCTATCTATCAGCTCCTCTAGAGACCAAGGCAGGCGACTGCGGGCATATGATATCCTCGAGACCAATATCCAAGCATTCTAGCGTATTTGGAGGAATTTCCCTGTCCAAGTTGCTCTGGCCAGCCTTGTTGTATCGAGATTTCTTTGGAGATTTGCGGGCTCTTGTGTATCTCAACTTCATGGTGCCTCCGCCAGCTTTCGAGCTTGGGCGGGTGTGATGCGCTCCCCCGTCTTGTCATAGTGTTTCGACGCCATGATTTGCCATTTCTTCTTGTCGTAGGTGTCAGCCCACTCTTTGAGACTGTGGGGCGATGAGCCGGGCTTCTGTGCGTTACCGTTTGGAGTTGTGGGCTTGTTGTTGTTGTGCTGAGTACAGTCAGTCCAATCGGGAGGTTGGTTAAAGCCCTTTTGGTGGCGGGCATACCTTCTCGTCAGATTTGGTGCTATCGTCTGTCTGCTCCTCCACTTTCTTCTTCTCCTCTTCCTCCTTTCTGGCTTGAGCAGCTTCTCTTTCGGCTTTCCTCTTCAGGCCTTCTTCGCGATACCTCTTGATTCTCTCTTTCCTCTCAACATCTTTGTCCTTCTTGTCCTCGTCGATATGGTTCCTGTTTCCCGCTTCCAGTCGGTGGCTGATGTGTTTCCAGCGTGACTTGAGCTCGCCCACATGGTTGAAGTGCTTGGTCTGTGCGAGGATGTCTTTCCACTGGGCTTCCGGGTTCTCGCCTTTCATGCGCAGTATGATACGATCGTCCTCGGTAAGATCAGAGTCGACGTTCTTGTCCTTTCCCTTTGTGTTCTCGTGGCCACTCTTGTTCTTGTCCCTGTCATGGTCATCTTTCTTCTCTTCACCTTTGCCATCCTCCTTGCACATATCCTTGGCATGGGCTTTTCCACAGCAAGAGCACTAGAGATAGTCATCAGTAATCTCTGCGCAATGCAGATGCCCCTTAGATCTGCGACACAGCATGTGACGTGCTGGTTAGGTTTTCTTACCGGCTTTGGTTTTCTCGGCTTCGGGTCCGGAACACCTTTCATGGCGTCCCAGATCGACATTCGGATTGGGATTTTTCGGCCATCAGGCTTGGTATACCACATGGTAAAAGACATTGTGGCGGCAGTGAAGGCGTTGTCGCGTTGAAGCACTCGTCACAGCCCTTGGAATCGCGGTGAAGACAAAATGGAGGAATTGATATGATGGAATGAATAAAGGAAACAAAAGAATGGCGCGGGAAGTCTATTGTTACCATTTCACATTATCACAAGCCTCAGCGAGATAACTGGTAGTGAATGTGTCACGTTAATGATACGATGTCAATGTCACGGTTGCCGGGGAGAGATACAGTTACAAGTTAAACACACTGCCGATGACGGTCAACCGCCAAGCTATGAAATACCGTGGTAGGGCTGGTGATCTAAGTAAATAAATTCGAGTATACCCGTACTTACTCTGAGCTAAGAATAAGACTTTAGGTGTCTATAAGTTGCCAACTTGAGCCGACTCATATGCTACTAACATTGCTACATGGCAAGGAGACGGCATCTTGAGCTGAGTCAGAGAGAGACTGAGCCATTCTCTGAAGTGGTGTGTTGGTCCTTTTTTCCGCTCTGCATTCGAGCCTCCTCATATAGTGTCTCCTTATATTGCGTGCCTTTATGTAAATGGTGGGCGTGCACGGGTCAATGGGAAGTGCTTGGTATTGGCCCCTGCATGCATTCCTTCTTTTGGTTCACCTAGCAGCTCGAATCCTCGACATGGGTGACAGAACGTGGCTTCGTCGGGTGAACTCCAGATATCTTCAATTCGAGCACGTCGCCATGTACCAGGGTGCCATCATACTCGTGGGACTGCCACGCATGCCGAATTTGGAGGTAGAGCTCGTCCACCTGCTCGAGAGAAAGGCCCTTGGTTTCGTAGATGCAGAAGTAGACAAAAGCCAGACACAACAAGCAGAAGCCGCCCCAGACAAAAAAGACCTTGGCTTGGAGATTTGCATTCCCTGTGCCTGGATTGACCATGTAGGGTGTGGCATAGGCAATGGCCAAGTTGAGAAGCCAATTCGACGCAGTGGTGAGGGCGAGGCAATTGGCGCGCGCCTTAAGAGGGAATATCTCTCCTGTCACCACCCAGGCAACCGGGCCCCATGACGAGCAGAAGAAGAAGACGTAAATGCAAACAAACGCGATCAAGACTTGATTTGAAGCAGGATCTGTGGGTCGAGCAGTGCCGACCGACGCGATAATGAGTTGGCACATCGCCATTCCAGCTGCCCCGAACAGAAGTAACGGACGACGACCCCATTTTTCGACCAGATAAAGGCCGGGAAGCGTGGTGCAGACACTGACGACGTTGACGATGACAGAGATTGTGAAGGCATTGGAGATACCTGACCTTTGAAAGAAAGACGTGCCGTAGTAGAAAATGAAGTTGACACCGGTGAGCTGCTGAAGGGCTTGCAGGCCACAACCTGTCAAGAGCCGCTTGAGCAAAGGCGGACGGAAGCAATCAACCACATTGGACTTTCCTATCGATAACTCGTAGTCGTGGTTAGCTCGAATCTCGGAGACCTCCGCGATGATGGCGGGGTGATCGACGGGGAGACGACGCAGGCGACCGAGAGATTTAGCTGCAAGATCCTCTCGCGATTTCTTGACGTAGTAGCGAGGGGTGTCTGGTAGTACCAGCAGGCCACCGGCGAGAAACAATGCAAAAGCGAATTGAACGGCAATTGGAATCCGGTAACATCCGGTGTCGTTCCTCCCCTTGGTAGCATTTAGGACAATCGCCGCCACGAACAGTCCGATGGCGATACACAGTTGATACGCGCCCACGATCGTGCCACGGAGCCATTTTGGGGCTGTTTCTGATTGGTACAATGGGATCGTGGTCGACAGCATGCCGACTCCCAAACCTGCAAAAAACCTTCCCGCAACAAACAAGGGGATTGCCGTCGAAACGGTCTGCAGGATGACTCCGAAAGTGAATATAACATTGTCGACCATCAGAGCCCAGCGTCGACCCAAGGTGTCGGCAACTGGAGCCGCAAGTAGCGCTCCGAAGAACGTGCCAGCTGACAAAATTGACACTATTTCCGACGTCTGACTGGCTGTGATGTTGAGTTCTCCAGTGTCATCGACGTAGCCGGTGGAAAATGTGTTTTTCCAGTATTTCATGGCGAGGATGCCGCTGATAGTGCCAGTGTCATATCTGTGCCATCATTGTCAGAAACATCGTAATAAAGGGAGACAGGTCTCAACGCCGTACCCAAACAAGACGCCCCCAAATGCAACAAATATGCCAACCAAGATTGCGGCGCCCGAAGACCCAGCCGAGTCCACGGGTTTCTTCAACGACAGCTTCATAATCAAGCAGTTCGCGGGACGAATAGACGCCCTACTTCAAAGTCGGGTTGACCAAGTATGGTATTTCCAGAAGGAGAAGCTGAGGTAAGACACCAATTCTAAGGGTTAGAGGTTAGGCAGGGCGGGAGACTGACTCTAGAGAGAGGCTCTTGTGGTCGACGCTGTTATATATACCTTGACCCCATGGGGGGATTGCCATCCCAATCTATGGGGTGCCGGACCCCAGGGGATCCCAGTCTCTACCTGTCCTGGGAGGGATACTTTCGTGACATGCCGCCTGTACCCCATCGTCTCGCCGTGACTCTAGTCCTGCCGCTCAAAGAATAAAGGGAGTGAAGAGCATCGTGCCGCAGTCCAAGTCAAGGAAGAGTTGATTGTTTTTCGAGAATGGTTCAGCCCAAGCCGGTCACGCATGCGTTGCTAGCGACAAAAGGCGACGGGGATCGGAGGGAGTACGATGTAGACGTCTACAGGTGCTCTGGCTATTTATCCCAAATGAGTAAACTTGCCGGAAGACCCAATAACCTTAATCCAATATCTGTGAAAGGCGATCGGTTGCGCTCGTATTACAACGGGAATAGCCTGTATCACTCGGCAACGTCCTCTCTCGACGACGCCGATATATCGTCTAGTTATGAGATTCTGGACAATAAACCGGCCCCCCCAGTCCGCAAAACCACGATCCTCCAGAACCCCAGAAAATCAAGGCCCCTCAACCCGCGCGGCGTCTGGCCGACGCTAGTTTTGTGTATCGAGCGGCTGATTCTCTCCAAATGTCTGGTCTTTGCATGGCTGGTCTTCATACGTATGCCTTCTTTGGAAGCTGGATGTCGGGGCACCTTGCCGTGAAAACGCGAAATTCGCCCTAGAAACGCCCTGTCGCTAGAATCTTTTGGGCAATCAGGCGCAGTTCCGTGTGGAATTCCACCCATTCGCCCAAAGTGCCATTCCGGGCGCGGCATAGGCTGTAGCATGGGCTCTATAATCAACCAAAGCGTGTTGGACTCTACCTTGACCTCCTTCTAGCATGAGGTTGCTATGGTCAGCTCCGGAATCTTTACCATGAGCTTATTTTTCGAGGCCTGTAGACCTCAGCAGTGTTCATACCCTAAGAAGAATACAATGGAGAATCGAGGGCATGAAACTTCAGCTGCTGATAGGTGCCATAACAATCCTCTGATTGATTGACCATGGATATCGGAGCTGAGCCATCTTACACCAGATATGTACACCCTGCCCAAAGACCTTTTCTGTTCCTTCAAGCGTCGACTCTTGAGGTTTCGCTTTCTTCTTTTCTTCCGTCGACGTGCCAAACCAATCTCAACATAAAGAAGTCATTGTCAATATGCCTCTGGCCGTGGAAAACGGCAGGGAGAGAGCAGTATACTGGCTCTACCAGGTGCTCTACTCCTCCTACGCCTTACCATTTTCGCGGGTTTCGTCGATATTACAATCCTCGCCCTCACACACAACCTAGTGACGCAATCGATCGCGCAGTGCCTGTCCATCAGCGAGATTTCTGTCAAAGTGATACAAGGGCTCGAGCTTGACGTCTTTCTTGAACAAGATGTAGCGCTTGACGGTGTATGGGAGGGTTTGCTTGAGCTGGTATGCCATGTGTCTTCGTGTAGGGACGGCAAATATGTGGTCCAGCTCTTCGAGAGTTCGCTGCTTGGTCTTTTGGAGGCGAATTATTAGTTTTCTCTCTTTCATGGCCCGTGCGCGCAGGAAAAATGGTTGAATTGACTCACTTCTGGAACCCACAGGAATATCATCACGAATGCCACAATGTTCAAAGCGCTTTTCAGCAGTCAGCAACAGGAATTTGTGTCTCTAACAGAGAGCATTACTCACGCATAGAAACCAAAAGCCCCCTGAGGAGTCAAAGCGCCCAGCATTCGAGGAAATGTCAGACTCAGAACCGTGGACCAGAAGAAACATGTCGCTACACCCCACGCCATACCAACCTCTGCAGGACGTTAGCAATTAATCTCCCCTGAAGGAGATAGCCGGGGACGAAAAGCTGGGTACACACCTCGGTGAGATAGTGGAAAGGCTTCTGCTGTGTAGGTGAAAGGCACAGGGCCTTCTCCGCAGGAGTAAAATGCCGTGAAGATGTAGACGAAGAGCGCCACCAGTCCAACGTGAGCCTTGCTTTCCGACGGGATCCAGTAACAGAATCCAGCAGCCAACAAGGTCCACGCCATCTGCGGGAAGGTAAATAGCAGAAGCGATCGACGACCAAAGGTGTCGATTGTGAACACCGCCGGCCACGCGAAGACGAAGGCTACCAGGCCAAACCCCAGTGATGCAGCCAGGGCGCCTGTCACCGAAGCACCTGCCTGCGCAAATATAGTTGAAGAATAGAAGGCTACTCAGTTATTAAACACATGATCCAACGACAAATATACAAAAGGACGTTCTCTTACCAATGATATTGATACCGCAAAGTTGTTGGCCAATCATGACCACAAAGGACGCGAGGGTAGAGCGTCTGATGCGCGGAATGGTGAAGAGCTCGGTGAATCTGCGCAAGTAGGAGGATGAATGGGCACCGAGAAGCTCTCTCTCCAGCTTGATCTGGTAGCTGATGTAGTACAAGTCCCGAGCAGCCTGCAACTCGGTATTGCGGAGACGTACAAGAGAGTTGTAGGCTTTGCGGTACATCTGCTTCTTGATATAGTACCGAGGAGACTCTGGCACCAGGAATATAAATGCCCACAGCGGTACGGCTGGAATGAAGGCCGAGCCCAGCTGCAAGCGCCATGCGATGCGACCGACATCTTTCACCGCCATGTTGGCGGCACAGCCGAGGAAGATCCCGAAAGCAGTCCAGAGTTGCCAAGACATCACAAGCTGTAGACTCATTAGTGTGGTCACGCAAAAGACTTTCCGTCTGGTGCGTGTATCGGGTGTGAATTAGGAAGACGAGGCAGGGATAAAAGGCAGAGATGATGGTCAAGAGAGCTTACCGCGCCTCGAATTGGAGCAGGTGTATTCTCAGCAGCAAAGATGGGGATGGTTGATCCCTTGAGTCCCATTCCTACCCCGAGAAGAAGTCTCGTCACAAAGAGCTGCTCCCATGTTTGAGTGACAGCGGAGCCAATGACCGAGAAGCAGCAGAAAATGGCCGCGACGAAGATGACAGGACGTCGTCCCAGCCAATTGTTCAGAGGATCGGACAGCCAGCAGCTGAACAAGGCCGAGGCCATATACGGAGCCGAATTAACCACCCCGACAATCCACTGGTTTCGAGCGGCGTTGGGGGAACCGGCAGAGTCTGGAATGCCAAACTCGGTAGGGAAGGACAAGTTGGCCCCGTTGGATCCAGTCTGATCCCAGCCTTGTACTGCGGCGCCGATAGAGCACAGTGCGATGGTGAGATACAAGGTCCACGGCTGGCGCCATTTGCGCAAAATTTCGTCTTGAAGGGCTGTCCTTTCGTCGTCGGCGATGCCGGCAACGGTGTCAAAGGCAGCAGGATCTTGAGCGACCAATGCGCCCTTTTCGAGGAGAGGGAGAATGTCGACCAGGTCATTTCTTTGCGCAAAACTCTTCACATCTTGGAGCAACTCCTCTGCAGGAATGCCGGCGAGCGGGTTTGTGATCCTGAAATTTGTGAGCAGATCGAACACCCCGGGGAATGTGGCATTGTTCAAGGCTCACTTTGCAGCAGTGTTGTGATTGAGGTCGATACCGGGGCCATTCGCACGTAGACTCTTCTCGATGTCACTACCATCCCTGTACAGTCCTCATTAGATGCTGCAACTAGGTTGTATTAGATAGGAAAAAAAACTTACGAATGATGCTCTTCGTGGGCCACCACTTGATCGAGTTTGTTCGCCATTGTCGATCTTGTGCTCTGAGGGATGCTCAAGGAAAGACCACAGGCCAACCTCCAAATTGCTGAAGTCGCTCAGAGTGTATATATACTTTCTGCACGTCTCTACTTTTCGTGGAGTCCCCATATGGAGAAATCTCGTGTCCGAGAACACCCATAATAGTGTAAGTCCACCTGCATCCCGAGCAGGCATGGGACTAGACTTCTGCAGCATAAGCCTAAGCACGAAGAATGCACGGCAATATTTCCCATAACGGGCATTTAGTCGTCAGAGCAGCCTCGATCTAGTAATGGGTTGGCTTTAAAGTAGCGTTTGAAGGTTTTGGAGCACCACCAACTCTGTCAGCGGCCAGTGTCTCTCAAAGTTTAGGCAATTACTCCATTTCCAGGCACTTACCCGGTCGGCCATGGCTTCTCCTGGAGCAAAGAAAGTCTTCCCTATGGAGGCGGACCCGTCAGGCCACTCCCCGCCGTTAGATCAGCTAGGTGAATGTTTAACGGAGACCCGAGGCTAGGCAAGCTCAAGCACAAACGGAGGGAGAAATACTCGTGTAAACTGCCTAATACGGCTATATAGACGATCGATTCGTATTGTGGGGTTTCTGGCCTCGTTCTAGGCCAATCACATGGTCAGGAAGTGGATAGTTGCAATCAGACACCGAGTTCTCGCCAGGTATTCTCAAAAAGGAATTCCTAGCGGTCTGGGGGGAGAGAGATGTCGTCGCTGGGGTCTGTGGGAGGGGAGATCTCTTTGACGTTCAGGCGCAGACCACGGTGGTGGTTACACTTACGTCTTGTCTGCCTTTTCAGAATGCTTCGGAGCAAACATATAACAGCAATGCTCTCCAAAGATCACTTTCACTAACAGCAAAAAATCACTGTATCTCCTTTTCTGTCTCCAGATAACTCCTCAAAAATGATTTTCCTGCTGCTTGTCCCTGGATGCCTGGCCGTTCTCCTCCTCTTCTTGGTCGTGGAGCACGTCGCGATCTATCTCTGGGATTCCAAAGGACTTCGGAGGTATCATAATCTCAACTTCCTTTGCGGCATCACCAACCTAGGGTACATTATTCATCTTTGGCGTGGAGATGCGTTCCGAACGCGTGAGCTGATGGCAGCACACCGCCAGCATAAGGTCGTCCGCCTGGGTCCAAACGCTCTTTCCTTCGCAGACTTGCGAGCGATCAGAGACATCTACGGACACGGCACCCTCTGCTCCAAAGGCGACATGTACTCCACACCTGCTGGTGAGCACCGGAGCATTCTGGACAGCGTGGACAAGCAAGAGCATGCAGCAAAACGGAGGCGCTTGGCTGCTGCATTCGCAACCAAGCATCTCGAGGCGTGGGAATGGAAAATCGTCGACAAGTGTGAGAGGCTCGTGGCACAATTGGATCGTTTTTGTGTCCCCAGCCTCGAGAAGAGTAATGCTGACACCACCGTGGTCGACTTGCGGAAGTGGACGAATCTCTTCACGGTCGAAGCCATTGCAGATATTGCTCTGAGCGAGCACCTTGGGATGCTCGAGGCTGGCCACGACAAGGTCCTAGCACTGGAAAAGAACGGGATGACTCGTGAAGTGAGCTTTATCGCCAGCCTCCACGGGCTAGGGCGATCAATAGCCCCGATCGTATGGTCGAGCCGGGCGTATGGTCTCTTGAAAAGGGTTGTTCCGTTGTTCTCACGGAAGTTCCAACAAGAGCAGGATAACAACACTAGCTACGACGCCATTGTGCGCCGGCTCGTGCAGAATCGCTTGCGGAGACAGATCGAGGGGGAAGAACTGGATGACTTCTTCGCCTCCCTCTGGCATGACAAGCAGGGGAATGCGACGAACTTGCCAGTCGGTGAGATCGAGGCCGAGGTCAGCGTATTCAGTGAGCCACCCCTTCTCGTTGTTCTACTCTCGACAGAATGTCTAACAAGTACAGTGAATGCCGGGTCCGACACTACCGCCATAGCGTTGACGCATGTCCTGTACTATCTCCTCAAGAACCCCGACAAGCTCGAAAAACTGCGAAAAGAGCTGGATCATTACCTGATACAGAGAGAGGCCATAGCCCCTTCCTACGGCGCGGTCAAGGATCTACCATATCTCCGCGCCTGCCTTGACGAGTCCCTACGCCTGTCGCCGCCTGTGGCTTTTGGTCTGGAGCGCAAGACGCCCGCCGAAGGGACCACGGTCGCCGGCCAGTGGATCGCCGGCGACACCCTGGTCTCTGTGCCGGCGTACGTGGCGCACCGGGATCCCGTCGCGTTTCCCGAGCCCGAAAAGTTCGTGCCGGAACGATGGCTCGCGGACGAGGCGAAGGAGATCCAGAAGTACTTCATCTCATTCAGCGCCGGGGCGCGAGGCTGCATCGGCAGGAACATCACCTACATGGAGCAGTTCATGCTCGTAGCGACACTGATGCGTCGGTACGATTTCGCCTTGCCGCACAGGGACTGGGAGTTGACGTGGGAAGAGCGTTTCAATCTCTGGCCACGCGCCTTGCCGCTGAGGATATCACGTCGGTGTGCTGCAGAGGATGATTGACGTGGTAGCTAGACGGTGTGAGGGAGTAAGGTGTAGTAGACAGAAGTGAACCTCCTATAGATCAAGTACCACTCCCCGTTGCTTCTTCCTTGCTCCTGGAATCACCGTACCAGGGGCATATCTCTTGTCGTCGAATGGGGTATTCAACCCTCCTCTGGTGCCGTCTCATGCTGTCTGGGTTAGCAAACTATTACTTCCCTAGTCACCACTTCTGGCACGTAGACGGTTCGCTTCCGACCCTCTCATACGCATTACAGCTTTCACCAAGAAGTTGGGGATCCAGGGACGTTGCATGGATGCATTTGTTCTGATATAGTTTAGTTTCTATTGTGAGTTATAGCCAAGGCGCTAGGAATAATACATACCCCGGATATCTTATAAGACAAGCAGCCCCAGAACAGCAAGACATATGATTACCGCTCATTGTAGCTAGTTCCAATAGAGCACCTCACAGGGGCGCACAAAGGCTTGATTGAACTCAAGAGACGGATAACTTACCTAGGGAGTACACATGTTCATGTGGGGATGCTAGGAGAATCACAACCTGTGCGAGGGGTTAAGGCAAGAAGTCGACGTGGTACGTTCAGCTCATCTCCTCTCGTGTCATCATAACAATACGTACACTGACACCACTTGCAACAGGCTGGTATGCGTCCCGAGCACAGCCGCAGCGCCCATGCTGACGCCGTTTGATCTATAGTCTTACCTGTCGCGCCCGTCATGTGAAGTGTGACGAGGAGAAACCCATCTGCGCTGTGTGCCGCAAAGCACGGCGGCCATGTCGTCAACCCGACTTTATCCATGCATTGCCTCAAAATACCTCTTTGAGTATCCGCAGCGACCCGAGGCCAGACGGTTCGTCCAGTGGTCTTTGATGATAAGCGCCGTTGTCTTCTTTGATCATATCGCTAACTTGAGCAGAACCCGGGTTCAGTTCCCAGCGTCAGGAGCCCTCGAGTTTGTATTCTGAGTCGTTGAATGTGTCGCGCGACAACACGGCGGCTGATACTAGAGGAAATAGCCTGGCATGCAACCCTGCACCCTGGGGCACTACAGCGTTAGACGAGATCTTGCTACCAGCGTCCGACAAGCTGAAGTTTGTCTCTGCAAAGCAGACCGAGTTGCCTGTCCCCAGCGCTGGTTTACCTCTCCTGGCTGCGTCGATCACGCCACGCACGGCCTTCCTGTTGAGAACCTATGAAACGGGGATAGCGACATGGATGGATGTTTTCGACTGCTCTTTGTCATACCAACAGGGTCTCTTGCAATTAGTACCCCAGTCGCCACTATTACTCAACTCCACCTGTGCGCTTGCGGCCCGTCAGCTCAGCCTGATCACGGATCCGCAGACGTGGACCCCGGTGGCAGAGCAGCATTACGGAGAGAGTCTGAGCATGTTGAGGTCGACACTCGAGAAAGCTTCCATGAACGCCGAGCATGCCCTGGTGGCAACCATTTTGCTGAGCAGCTATGAGTTGCTAGCTTTCCCGGGTCTCAACTATCACCGTCATTTCCGGGGCGCCAAGTCGTTCGTGGAAGCCCTGGAAGCGTACAAGTCCCCGAAGCGTATGACGCGTGCATCGTTTTGGATCTATGCCCGCCACGAGGTTGGACAAGCGCTAAACTTGGAACGTCCACCCATGCTGGATCCCACAAGGTGGCCGAAGCAAGATCTGCTCCATACGGAGAACGTCGGCGAAGACGTGTACTGCAATGACGCTCTAAGGCTATGTGCCGAAGTCATCCACCTGATTTTTGGCTCGCAACCCCTGCGGCGGGGCAAGAAATGGGTCAACCAATGGTCATGCTTGCACGAAGAATGGGAAAGCTGGATTCAAGAAGCCCCCAAAATCTTGCTGGGGCAAGAATATCTCGACCGAGCGTCCCGCCGCCGGTACTGGTTTCCGAGATCTTGTTTCGCTTCGGCCCTGTGCTTCTATCACGTGTGTCAGGTCTTTCTGCTCACACACCGTCCCCAGGCGCTCCCGACAACGTCTAGGCAGACTTCCGGCGTAGTTCTCGAGCAGCAGATACAGCAACACGCTCAAACCGTCATCGATGTTGCCCTGTCAGACATGCCTGATGGTGTGCAGGTCGTCATGATGCAGCCAGTCTTTCATGCTGCAAAACACGTCCAGGATGTTACCCGAAGGAACGAGGCCATCATTCTCCTAACAGATATTCAGAGAAGGACTGGGTTTCATACGGAGTTCAAGGTTGATATACTCAAAGCCATACCGAGCTCTTCGTAGTACAGTATTTTATGTCCAGCATGTTTTGGCGGCTCAGGTGGTTCGGTTGTTGCAACCAGAGCACAATTAGTCGGGCTCAGAGAGTGATTTCTCGCCGTTATATGCCGATTCCGCCTTAGGGGAAGGCGAGGCACAGCCTCCGTGCGGAAGATCCCTCCAGATGATGGGAGGAAGCCTGCTAGATTCAATTAGACTGAGGTGACTTGGTGAGACCCTTGGGACTGGTCTCGGTCGGCATCCTTTGAGCTCTTCAAGGGCACGAGACTGCTTTTTTTTCCCGCAAAATCGTCCTATGCCCGTCGAGAATAGAGGCCTGGAGATATGTGAAATACTCGCCTTGATGGTCATTAACGTGTCAATAGGGGTAGAAGCCGACGGGGGTGAGTCGCACTGTATAGATTATGCCAAGCACAGATCTGATTGGCCATCTTCCCAACCCCTGAAAGTCAGGACAAAAACTGCGGAGTTCAAGCCCGAGTCGGTTGAGGACACTTTTATTTGGCTATGGTGTATCTCAATCGTGCCCTGCTCAATCCTGCCGTCAACACCTCTCCAACACGCCTTCCTACCTGACATACGCCTCTCAACCTCGCCAGAGAGATTTATTTCGACTGACTCGAAAAGAATGCGGTTCAGCAGAGCGGCAGCCTGTGCCGCGTTTGCGAGTTGGATAGGGGCAGGCCTGGCACACAATATCGCTCTGAAAGCACACACAAGAGAATGTTTCCACGAGGAACTACACAAGGATGACAAGATGACGGTGACGTTCCAAGTCGGCGACCGCGAATTTGGAGGTGCTGGGAACTTGGAGATTGATTTCTACGTATGCAATACCTCACAGCGGCCCGTCTTGCCCATGGCGATATTGAGACGTCTCCGGCTGACCATTGACGGCGCATGCGTCTAGATCACGGATCCTTCAGGCTCTTATGAAACACAGCTCAACTCCGTCTCGTCGGGCGACTACTCGTTCGATGCCCGCATGGATGGGAAATACGTGTACTGCTTCAGCAACGAGCATTGGTCTGCCAACAGCAAGGAAGTCTCCTTCAACGTGCACGGCATTGTCTACGTTCCCGAATCTGAGGCGCCTCAGGATCCGCTGGAAAATGAAGGTTCGTGCCAGCTTTCCCGCGGTGCCTTGAGACCACAGCAGGAAACTAACAGAACTTTGCACGCTTAGTACGCCAACTCTCCGACCTCCTCGCCCAGGTGAAAGACGAGCAGGCCTACATCGTCGTCCGTGAGCGAACGCACCGAAACACCGCCGAGAGCACCAATTCAAGAGTTAAATGGTGGTCGATATTCCAACTGGGTGTGCTGATAGGAGAAGGAGTGTTCCAAGTATGGTGGCTGAAGCGGTTCTTCGAGGTGAATAGCCGACCCCTTCCGTGATCCCATGGTTTTCGCGCCTCCTTTGAGCCTGGTTGGATTTTGTTGGAGCGGGACACTATGAATTTGCTTCTGGCTGGACCAAAAATTACACACAAAAGTGGGAAACTTTGGCTGACGGCTGTCTACGTCACAGGTCAAGCGCGTTGTATAATAGTTACGAGGTCTTACGAGATGAAAAAAGTTCTCGGTCCATATCATTTTACTGCCTGTCATCGTCTTTGGGGACTCGTCGCGGGAAACATGGGTTGTTCGAATATGGAGCCCGACGCAGATATGACATCGTGAAACTGACAGGAAGACTATGCCACACGAGGTTTTACAATTGTGTGTATACTCACTGTCTGGCAGCAGTAGTGAGTGAGGAGGTGTTGAGGATGGACATGCGTCACAATGTCATTTATCGGCTCAAGAGGCTACAGGCTCGAGGAGCAGGTGAAGGCCCTGGTGGTACGAGCAATTGAGGACGAAGCAAATGCAAAGACAAGCAGTTACAACCTTTCCGCATACAACAGAAGATGAGGTGTAGGCGGAACCAGCAGAAAAAATGCCCTGACCGAGTGAGGCAGTTCACATATATCACCTAGTTGATATATGCACACACAATCACCCCTTTTCATGCACACACAGGTCGCAAAAAATACCCCCTTCATAGGCAACAAAAACTCTCAAATCGAACCCAGCTGAGTAGGGTTCGACTTGAGAGAAACCACTCCGGGCCAGGCCTTGCGGCCATCACTTCGGGAGGTTTTTTGGGGGGCAGAAGGGGGTGTTGGCGTGCTGTTTGTTGTTGAGTGTCATCGTATGTAGTCTCTCGTTGCAAGTCACACCCTTTGTCTCTGCCGTCATCTCCTCCACTAACTAGGAGGGAGGGAGAGATAGAGCAGACACTGGAAGACCAAATGATATTAAGACAAGCCGATGTTACCACCACAATCGAGCTGGAATTCGAATCCAAGTCAGAAAGTTGAAGGAAAGTCGGGTTCACAAAAATATATCCTTTGATTTTCCTTACTCGAAAGTGAATATCTCTCCCTGAGAGAGTGGGTGGGTGAGGCACAGAGAGAGAGAGAGGCAGAGAGGAAGTCCAGGTACCGGCCCAACGCGACCATCTCCTATCCTCCTATCCAGAATCTTCCTCACCAATATACTCTCTGCGTGTCTTCCCTTTCTCGTTATGCAGGCTGCATGAGGAAACCATCTCGACAAAGCAGTCGAAGTTCAATTTAACTCCTCTCAGGGCCTCACCAACTGTTATACTGATGGATGGCGCCATGTCACCGCAGACGCACAAACACCGGCCCAGCGGCAATCAGGATGGCGTGATGGGCTAGCGAATCCGAAATACGAGCAGCGCCATCGTGTGCTTTGCCTGATCCAACCCCTGCATGGTGCCGTGGCTTGACCTCGGCTTCGCTTGTGGACTCGTTCGTTCGCCCACCGCCTCCTCTGAGTGTCCCCCACCTTCTCCTCTCATTACACGATTACATTGCCGGGACTGGCATAGTATACGAATCATTGGCAAGGTAGGGACAATCCTCACATCGCATCGCAAGCGAGCCCGGCTGGTTGGCTTTGCTGGGCGGTCAATTCCTTCGCCTGGAGGGGATCGCTCCGTACCATTGGCTTGATGGCGTTGATTTCCCATCGAACGGCGTCGAAGCTTCAGTTCGCCCGTCCTTTTGCCTTGCCGAAGTCACTGACGGTACCTTATGGTGGCCGGATAGTCTTCTTCCCGAGAGAAGCTCGTGGACGATCAAAAAGTGTCGTGATGTTCCCCCAGGTTTGTCGATAGCTTTTCTTGATGTTGTGCGTTTCACATTGCTGCTATCTCAGTATGCGTTCATTTGCCATTGTTTGGTCAAAGCGTATTGTTGAGTTGGTCGTGCCACATTCTTGAGCGAGTTGCTCTCTGCTAATTTCTTCACCAACGCCACTTGACTTTGCGAGATGAGGTTCCCTTGGTCAAAGACCGGAGCGGTGGACAAGCCATCAGACTCGGGCGTCCGAGAAAGCCATCCCAGCACACCTTCAGAGCAACCAGTCTCGACAGAAACCCTTGACCCCGAGAAGAGACCAGTCCCCTCTGATGTGAACGGAGCAGAGTCCGGTTCACATGAAGCCCCATCAAATCCGACCACCGCGCCTGGAGAAGATGTCCCCGATTCGGCGCCGGCCGATGAAAAATCTGCGCGTGAGGCAAACGAAGAACTATCCCGTAGAGACTCAACAGCAACCTCCGATGCAGGCGAGCCCGGCGAAGACGACGAGTCCAAGTATGCCAAAGGGCTGCCGTTACATCTGTTGACGTTCGGCCTAACTCTCTCCACCTTTGTCATTGCTCTGGACAACACCATCATCGCAACCGCCATTCCCAGGATAACCACCGTCTTCAACTCCCTGGACGATGTGGGCTGGTATGGCTCCTCGTACCTGCTCACGACGACCTCGCTGCAGCCGTCGTTCGGCAAGATCTACACCTATTTCAACGTCAAGTGGACCTACATGTTCGCTATCTTCATCTTCGAAGTCGGCTCCGTGCTGTGTGGCGCGGCCAGGAACTCGACAATGCTGATCATTGGCCGGGCCGTTGCTGGGATTGGCGCGGCGGCGATTTTCTCGGGCGGCATGACCATTGTTGCATATTCCGTACCGTTGCGCAAGAGGCCGATCTACATTGGTCTGCTGAGCTCCATGTTCGGTATTGCATCTGTCGTGGGTCCTATTTTGGGAGGAGCTTTCACCGACCGTGGGTGCACTGGTTGAGCCACCCCAATGAGACATGACGTGCTGACCTTGCTTAGGTGTGTCATGGCGTTGGTGCTTCTACATCAACCTCCCCATCGGCGCGATAGCCATCACGGCGGTTTTTTTCTTCTTCAAGAACCCCGAGCGCCGACACAGCAACCTGACCATGAGGCAGAAGATCGGCCAGATTGACCTGCTCGGCGCGTTCTTCTTGATCTGCGCCATCGTCTGCCTCCTGCTCGCTCTCCAGTGGGGCGGCGTCACGTACCCGTGGTCTGACTCGAAGGTCTGGGGCTGCATCCTAGGGTTTGGGCTGTTGATCATTGTCTTCACCGGCATCCAGCTGTGGAAGGGCGACCTGGCCACGCTCCCGCCCCGGATCATGCTCCGGCAACGCACCATATTCGTGTGTGCGTTCTTCTCGGCCTTCCTCGCCATGGGCCTGTACACGCACATCTATTTTCTCCCGTTCTACTTCCAAGCGGTCAAGGGCACGACGGCGGAGGGCTCCGGGATCCGCACGATTCCCTACCTGGTCAGCATCACCATCTCGTCCATCGTCGTGGGCGCCAGCATCACCACCCTGGGGCCGTACGTCCCCTTCACGTGGTTCGGCTCGGCCATCTTCGCCGTCGGGTCGGGCATGCTGTACAGCCTGAAGGTGCACTCGTCGACGGGGACGTGGATCGGGTACCAGATCCTGGCCGGGGTCGGGGCCGGGGCGTGCGTGCAGATCCCCTTCATCGCGGTGCAGGTGGTGCTGAACAAGAAGGACATGCCGGTCGGCAACGCCGTGGCCATCTTCTTCAACTCGCTGGGCGGCGCCATCTCCATCTCCATCGCCCAGAACATCTTCTCCAACACGCTGGTCAAGGAGATTCCCAAGTACACGAAAGGCGTCAACCCGCAGACCATCATCATGGCCGGCGCCACCCACATCCGCCAGGTCACCCCGCCCGCGCAGCTCGCCGGCGTGCTATACGCGTACAACATCGCCGTGACACACTCGTATATCCTGTCCATCGCGTGCGCCACCATCGCGTTTCTGTTTTCACTGGGCTTTGAGTGGAAGAGCGTCAAGGGGAAGAAGCTCGAGATGGGCGGCGCGGCATAGCCTGGGGGGAAATAGGAGAAGATAAAAAGCGCCAGATGTAAGAAAGAAAACAGGCATCGTGAGAAAGATGGGACTTTTCTAGAAAAGAAACCCAAGCAATAATACACATTATATTCCTAGAGTCAGAGGCACGTTCATCCAAGCGCAGTGTAGAACTCATCCTTATACTGGACCAAAGCCTGCCGGCAGGGTGAATGCCGGGTCCTCCTGGTTCCAAAACGCCATAAAGTCAAATTTCAGAACAGCACGGAGCAGTCCGCTCTATGAGGCTGGTCAGTCTGTCTGTACACACACGCGCACACACGTATAGCCAGAGCAAGAGAGGGAAAGGGAGAGTCAGAGGCAGAGGGAGGGAGGGGAAAGTGGAACTCACCGCATGTGAAGGCGCCTGGGACGGAAAGGCCCAGTAGCACGCCTGCGTCGACAGGACGGTATGCTCGAGCGGGACAACATCTCTGTCGTTGTCTCCGTCTCCGTTTCTGTCACCGCAAGCAGTGCGGAAGGGGTAGCGCGTGAAGCGCAGGACGTAGGAGCCCGTGCCGGCGTCGTCAAAGCCCACGTTGACGACTCTGACGCGGTTCGCGCTGGGGACGTCGGAGCCGACGATCGGGGTGGCGAGGCCGGTTTCCTCGAGCCGCACCACCCTCATGGCGATGCTGTCCAGGATCTGGCCGTCCAAGCCGCACTGGCGAAGCATGCAGACGGCGCGGCGGCGGAAGCTGGCGTTGCGGTACCGCGTGGCAACGAAGAACAGGATGGGGATCAGCCGCGCCGGCCGGCGCCGGATCATCAGGCTGCAGCTCACCACGATGTGCTCGAACGCGCCGGCGTACGCGTCAAAGGCCGTCTCCTGCCTGAACGGCCCGCACCGCGACAGCACGTGCAGGCAAAGGTGGTACGTCCGGAGCAGGGCCAGATCCGTGAGCATGGCGACGCTAAGGTGGGCGTACATGCTGGATTCAAACGTCGTCAGCTGGTCGATCCAGGCGTTGAGTTTGTCCGTGAGGTCGGGCACAATCTGAAATCTCGTCTTGGGCGCCATGCCGTCGAGTTGCAGTGCCGTGCAGTCAAAGGCGATGGCTTGCAGGGCCCAGGCTGCCTCTTCCATGCATGTCCAGAGATGTCTCGGCTCGAGGTGCAGGGGGAGCGGGAGGTCGTTCGTCGCAACGGCTTGGGCCTTGCAGTCCGGCGACCACCAGGCCATGGATTGCGGTCTGGCGATGTGGTACAGCTCGCTGGTGTGCAGCTCGAGTCGGGAGAAGATGTGGTCGAGTTCTGCGATGGCCGCGTTGCCGTCGTTGTACTGGGGCGACGACGGCCGGTACGTGGCGAGGATCTTCCTGCCGGCGATGAGATGCTGAATGGCCGCGAACGAATTCTCCTGGAACTCGTCGCACAGCACGAGTAGCAAGCAAGCCATGAGCAGCAAGCTCGGGTCCGGGTTCTCGCTTCGGCTGAGCAGCCTCAAAGCTCGGCCGTAGTGCGCGAGGAAGACGGTGTCCTTGTCCGACGGCGCGGCACAGGGCTGACGCAGGCGCAGCAATCCCAGTCGGGAGGCTGCGATGGTGAGGTGCTTGATGCTCTCGTCGACATGGCAGGCTTGCAGCACCAGCCGGTTCCAAAAGTGGTGGCTGCCGTAGTTCAGCATGTCCGGGGCACAGAACTGGGTGAAGAACTGGAACGCCCTCAAAGCTTCATGGTCGCATCGCGTAGGGACATTGGAGTCAATGACCATTAGCACCGCCACGGGAGGCGGATCTCTTCCGTTTTCTCGAGGAGGCGCCGGATAGCCATCGCATTTGCGGCCTGTGCTCAGACATCGGTTGCAGGATGGAAGAGAATAGTCACACTTGACACGGCGGGCGCGGCAAGTGATGCAAGCCTTGCCTCGCTGTCTCCTCGGTCTGGTCTTGATGTCGCTGTGAGCAGGATCCAAGGCTTCGATCATATCGTTCGCTTTCAACTGTATGGGCAGGACTGATGACTGGCCTTTTCCCGTTGGATCTGCCGTTGTGGACAATTGTGCTCTGGAATCGAATTGTAACAGTGTTAAATTTCGGACAAGACAAGGACGTGCTCTGAGGCGCTCGACCTTCTGTCGGCCGAATATAGAGTTCAGGCCCCTTGCTGTCGCCACAGAAGCTCAAGTCGGCAAGGGAACTGCCAGTTCAATAAATCCGCATCTTAAGCCCGTGAGATGCGATTGGTCTGCTCGCGAACTAGCCGTTAGTTGCATATCGCGACCCAGAGTCTTTCTCCGCTCTTGGGTCACCGCTGTGAGGCCGCAAGGCTCGGCAAGGGGCAGACGATGTAGAGAGACATTTCTGAGGACGACCGATCGGACGCAGGAAGTCCGACGGGACACCAGCCAAGGCCTGGTACAGAGTATAAAAATGCTGGAACCACCACTGGTTTAACGGACCAGCAGAGCTATCGACATCTCGACCCAGACTGTATACTCGACATGTCGTCAGTCACCGCAGACGACACCATCGTCCTCATCACAGGCGCAAACCAGGGGATTGGCTATGAGTGCGTCAAGAAGTTGGCCGCTGAACAAGCCAACTATCACATCCTGCTCGGCTCCCGAAGTCTAGCAAGAGGGAAAGAAGCCGCCAGCAGCGTTACGAACCTGGCGAAAGGCACCACGGTCGAGCCTCTCGAGCTCGACGTTGACAGCGACGAGTCCATTGCTCAAGCAGCCAAGCACGTCGAAGAGAAGTTTGGTCGGCTGGACGTCCTGCTCAACAATGCCGGCATCAGCCGCGTCAAGGGCGTGGGTTTCCGCGAGAACATGACGCGAGTGCTTCAGACCAACACCGTCGGCGCTGCCTGCGTCACAGAAGCGTTCGTCCCCCTGATGCGAAAGGCCTCAGTTCCGCGCCTCATCTTCATGTCCTCTGGACTCGGCTCCATCACCCTCACGCTGGACCCGTCGTTCTCGTATTACGGACTGGGAAACCCGCCAGAAATTAAACCGTACATCGTGTCCAAGTGCGCCGAGAATATGATCGGGGCACTGTACGCGGTGCAACTGGGCAAGGAGGGGTTCAAGGTCAACATGGTCTGCCCGGGCCATAGGGCCACCAACTTGAACGGGTACAACGAGCACGCCGGCCCAGCTGCTGACGGCGCCATCGAGGCTTGTCGATTGATTGTGGACACGGACAAGAACGGTCAACATGCCACGTTCACCACCTCGCCAGAGACCCAGTATCCGTGGTGAGGAGGAGTTTTGACATGTGGCGCGACCACTCAAGGGAAGCAGAGAGCTCTACTAGTCCAAAACACCTAAAGAATTCGTTATCCCTGCTCTAGGTAAACGATAGCGAGTGAACTCTGACAGGCTTCAGGAGGTCGATAGATCGACCGCCGAGGGTACGTAGCGAATCTGAGAAAGAATGTCAACGGAGTACTTGGTACTGGTGTGGCTTTTAGTGAGAGATACCTACCGAGGCAGCGCTGGCAAGGTTTCATCGTGCTAGGGGCAAGGGAGGCCCATTCCCATCACTTTTCTTGCACTGAGAATATCAGAGACGTAACTCTGTATGTCCCGGATAAGTGTTCCAAACGTAGCGGTCCAGAGCAAGTGTGAAGAGTGCCTAGACAAATTGCAGATAAGCAGGAGAGGCGCCCAAATATCTCACAAGGAAGCCTAGAAATATCCACAGAAACATACAGATATAGTTTATGATTGCAGAATTTCTTGCCAATTAGACCAAGACACTATGGCCGAGCGGTTAAGGCGTGTGACTAGAAATCACATCTCTTCGGAGGCATCGGTTCAAATCCGATTGGTGTCGTCAAGTTTCTTCTTACCTTTTTGCTTGTATCGCGAGCTTTTTCTTTTTCTTTTTCTTTTTGGGATATCTCTTGGCCCTCAGAGCATTCTGAATTATTTATTTTTGTTCTTAGCTATTGTGGTGGTGTGGTAGCCAGGAATGAATACGTGCGCATAAAACTTGGCGTGGCGCCTTGGCACTTGAAGGCAAAGGAATTACCCTGCACGAGTAGTAGTACTTATGGTAGATCGGTGCCTACCCTGTATACCGAGTATATATTCAGCGCATTAGCAGGTCCAATTTACATAGGAACAGAGCCTTAAATACTCGGTGCATTATCTACTTAACGGCATTCTCCTCCATCAACTTTTTTATTCTTGTCGTAGTTCCAGATTCCTCCTTCCAAGACTTATTTGTGTCTCCACAGTGGAGGATGCAGGCACCTCGCTCAGAATCGTGATTGATCGGTTTCAGCAGGGCGCCAAACGGGGGCTAAATCATCTAATATGAATGGTTATAGGTGAGTGTTAGCAAAACCACTCCAAGAATTCGTCTTCTGACTTCCCCGATGGTGTAACGGTAACATCGCTGATTTTCACTCAGCAGCCCCGGGTTCAACTCCCGGTCGAGGAATCATTCTTTTTGCATTTTTTTTTACAGTTTGTTTTGTTGTGTATTTTGCTCCTCTGAAGAGACACTGTTCCCTCTTAAGGTAATATGCTGTTGTTTCAGGTGAAGCGTCAGTTTTTCAAGCCTATATTGTCCGTCATGGAGATACTCCAACAACCAAAAACAGCGACATGAATACCTCAATTACGCAATGATATCTTTCTTTGGTTGATGGCGCTTAAGAATGCAGTCATCCCGATCCCTGCTCGACCCTTTTCTGCCTGTGTGCTGCTCTGGAATGTGCCTGGTGGCTGGGCAGGCTGGCTACATGCATGGCAGCTGTTCTAAGCCTTGTGCTCCCGTGTTTGACGTTGTCCACCGACAACTCACGAAAGCGCACTGCGTTCTTCCACACGCAGGAGACCATTACATCTGCATAGTAGGACAGTCTGTACCAAGGTGAGCACCGACAGTTATCTTACGGTGGAAAGGTGAGAAGACGGATGTGCTGTCTGCCTTGTCAAAAGCTTTGCCCTCTTCCACACCTCATCCAACGCGTTGATGAGAAAAACCACTCACAGTCGCACACAGCGAGGCTTATTTTCTCCTGCGTGATCCTGAATCGACTGTCCGAAGGGTTACACACGGGAAGAGAGACGAACAAACAGGGACCCAGAACAGGCATCCAAGCCCCGTCCGTGTCTCCCAGCGCACGTTCAAACCACTTGGGCAGAAGTGCTTCCGTGCAACGCATGTCTATCTTGACCTCCCTTCGGCCTTCCAACGGTTTTCCTTTCTTTTCAAACAAAGAACCAAGCAAGCAAGCACGCCCTTCTCTCTTTCTTTCTGATTGCTCACTCACCGACTGTTTGATTCCGAGTCACCCCTCCGGCCATTTGCTGGCTTTTACCCCACGTTGACCAGCCTGCCTGCATTCTTATGTACGTATAAAAGAGATAACAGAGAGGAAGAGAGGAAGAGAGAAGAAGTATCGACACAACACACGCACGGTAGACGGATACCTGAAAAAGCCCATCTATCAGTCCATCTTCTCCATCAGAAGGGGGCTGGCTGACGTCCAATCCAGCACCGATCACAACAACAACAACAACACGAACAAGATCGACCAGAAGCGAGCAACGCCCCAGTTCATCTCTATGGAGATCTGGCGCTACCGCCCAGACGGCTGGCACGAACCGATCCTCTTCACGCGCGAACGCGGCCGTGGACGCAGACGTGACGGACAAGCGATCTATCTGGGACACGGCATCGGCGCTACCTTCCATGTCCCTCCATACATTCGCCCTCCCGGACCACGTCGAGGCCCACGACCTACGCCTTGGGACTATGACGACGACTCCGACTATTGGTAAGTAAAAACAAAGAACATCCAATCTCACAGGAATGGAACTGGGGCAGGTCTTGCAGCAGAGCTGACTGGGTATCCCTCCCGGTGGGAACGAATCATTAGGTCCGACTCCGACTCCGACTATAGATACCGAAGAGGCATCAACTGCTTCACGCGCAACAGCCCCACGGCCTTCGCCCGGGCGCTCGCCAACAATCGGGTCGTCGTCAACAACATTTACAGGCCACCGAGATATTATTACTGAGAGATGCCGACGGATGCACCTACAAAAGGAGGGTTGTTCTGGACGTCGTTCCGCTGATGGAAATGGTCCCGAGCGGTAAGAGGATGTGAAAGGGAAGAATGCTGACCGGGCCGACTCGGGCTGGTGAGGGAGGTGAAATTGTTCCGAAAGAGATATGGCTTGAAAATTACTACACAATATGAGTTCATCAGACATGCTCAGCCTGTTCTTGGTCCAGCACGACTTTATTCTCGGCTGGAGCGCCTTCCTCGTCGCCCTTGACATCTCGCCTGTGGCTGAGCATCCATCGATACAGGTCTGGATTGTTGTACGTCGGAGTCCAGCTATCGTGCATGAGATCCGGGTATCGCTTGAACTTGACTTCCTTTGCATCTGCCTTCTCCAGCGCGTTGACCATCTGGATCGACGCCCGTACAGGGATGATGTCGTCGCGATCGCCGTGGAAAACCCTGTGTCAATTAGCATTGGCAATGTCAGGCATTCATCCCGTCAACGGTGCAATTACTCACCAGTGCGGCACATGTCTGATATGACTGGCTCGCAAATGGTCCCCTCCACCACATATTGGAGCCAGCGTCGCGAATCGACGTGGCGAATGCATGGCCAGATCCCAGGTGCCGTACCCGCCCATGCTGAAGCCCGTGACGTGGATCCTGTCCACGTCCACGCGAAAGCGATCGACAATCTCGTCGAGCAGCGCGGACAAAATGGCTCCGTTCCAGCCGTACCCATTGCCCATGTTCAAGGACGGCGTGACGGTGATGAAGTTCTCGGCCAACAGTTCGCAGGTCTCCCGCGGCACCGGTTCCGAGGACCGATCGCCCTGCTGTGTCTGCTTCCCTTTCCGCAGCCGCGGGGCAATGGGGATATCGATGGAGGGCATCTCATTTGTGATTGGATTCGACCTCAGCTTGTCATAGCAGAGGATGACCTTGGGTACGCCGTGGCGGATGGAAGCAAAGGACTCGTGCTCGCCACGCTGCGACTCACCCGCGCCGTGCAGGAAGAGAACCAGCGGCCACGCCTTGTTCCGATCCTCGTCGTACGCTGGTGGCAGCGAGACGAAGTGCTCGTAGCCGAAGGGGGCATTCGAGGCGCGCTGGTCAAAGTATTCGAACCGGATATGTCGCGTGCAGGCGTAGGCATGGCCTGGATCCTTGGGCACAGTCTCTTTGGGAACAGTGGTACTTGTGCCCGACACCGGCATAGACATGACGACTACTGGGACGTTCTTGGGCCCTCGTTTGGCCGTGTGGAAGTCGTGCAGCGAGTTTGGATTCTTTTCTGGGTCGTCACGAACCACCACGGGGGCGCCGGCCGCTCTATTGCTCACCCGTGGTGCTTGTAGCGGTGGTGTTTTTGGCGTCATATTGACGTTTTATTCGCCGTCTGAAGATAGGCCGGAGATTGTGTCCGATCTTCGAGATGCGCAGGGGTCAAAATGAGGATTTGTTAGGATATTGAGCATTCCACTTTTTTAATATCCTGTACGCTGAGGTTCTACCCTCGTTCATCAGCCTACTAAGGACTCAAGACATAGACGGGCTTTGACGGAAGGATCACAGTAGCTTGCCAAACCAGTCGATACAAGGCAGATCGTTCTGTATGTGCACGGGGAGACAAATGTCCTCCATGTGGCGAGAAGATGTCCGGGGTACCCTTGTAGGATCCATGCGTGCCATGGTTGGTAGGGTGAATTGTAGATCGCTCTTTTTGTGACTATTTGCGATTGAATCGAGACGAATCACCATGTCAGGGTTGTTTCATTGCCAGAGATCACCGTCAATGTAGAGTGCAGCTGAGCAGGAGAAAGGACTGGCGATATGAGACGCGGGGCCTAACCCAAACAAGCAAATTACGTAGTTCGGTCCCCCGGGAGAGCAAGGTGGGCAGGCCGCCCTTTTTTCAGATTGACCTCAGCAGATAACCCGAATATCTCGCCCAGATCTTAGATTCAGTCCGAGTCTGCAAGTCAGACTGTCCTCCGTGCGGCGCAGACGGCCATGCGGGAACCATGGGAAACTCTCAAAGCGCGCACAAAATCTCGGCGCAGGATAGGTAAGGTGAACCCACTGATTGACTGACGGATTGACATGGGGAGAACCAAAACCAACCAGCTTTCCCTGTTTCAGCACGCTAACCTGTGTCCTTCTCCTCGCAGGGCCATTCTGGATATGAAAAACCAGCGGGACAAACTGCGCCAGTACCAAAAACGAATCACCGTCATCACGACCCGCGAGACCGAGATCGCAAAAGAATGCCTAGCCAAGGGCGACAAGGCCAAGGCCCTCCTCGCGCTGCGCCGGAAGAAATACCAAGAGTCGCTCCTCTCCAAAACGGACGCACAGCTGGAGCAGCTGGAGAAACTGACCAGCAGCGTCGAGTTCGCGCTGGTTCAGAAGGACGTGCTGTTCGGGCTGCAGCAGGGCACGCAGGTGCTGAACATGATCCACAAGGAGATGGGCGGCCTGGAGGGCGTGGAGAAGATGATGGGCGAGACCGAGGAGGCGCGCCGGTACCAGGAGGAGATTAGCCAGGCGCTGGCCGGCCAGATGTCCAACGAGGACGAAGACGAGGTCGAGGATGAATTGGAGGCCATGGAACGGGAAGTCGTCGGTCTCCCGGACGCGCCGAAGAAGACCATCTTGGGCGAAGGCACACTCCCGGAAGTGCCAAAGACGGAGCTGGAACAGGAACAGCAGAGGATACAGAAGCAGAAGGAGAGGGCGCGGCAGAGAAGAGTCGCCCTGGAGGCGTGATGATTTTACAATACAACTTTTATGGTTGCGGTCATGGTAGTAGTACACTTGACGATGCCTTCTAGCGTTGCGACAATACAACACATGCCTTCTTGGAAATCCTTGGGACCCTTGCTGATGCTTTTGGTCTCACTGTCCCGGCATGGTCTGGTTAGTATTGACCAGTCCCTGAATCAACTTATGATCTTGAGGATTTGCCGCCGCTTCGTACAGGACGTGGACCGGTTCGCGGTTGAGTGGCATGAAGTCTCCCTTGAACCCGAGGTAGCTGATGCGCGTGACATCCTCCTCTCCCCCGGAATGGTTGTCCTCGAAGAAGAGGTCGATCGAGGTGGTGCCGTTCCACAGAGCCCGGTTCAAGGGGATCTCGGCCACGTCGTTGCTTTTTGACAGGGTCAGCCGTTGGGTGGGTTTCAGGTCGGACGCGAGGCTGAAGTCCATGTCGTCTCTATTTCGAAAGAGCTTGACGGTCTGAGGTGCCGAGTCGGTGTCTGACGTGCGCACGATGATGGAATAGAGCTTGCACGATCCCGTAAAGGGTACATGCATCAGTAGCTGTTCGTCCGCATCGCTTTCGAGGATGGGCTGGTCATTCAGGCGCTCATCCCACGTCTTTTGAACGATCGCCGCACCCGAGCGCGGTTCAGCCTCGTTGAGCGTCGTAATGCCTTCGAAGTTGATCTGTTTGTAGAGGTTCGATTGGAGGGCCGGCTCAAGGTCGTGGGAATGGTCGTGTTCGTGACCAGCGCCATGGCTGTGGCCGTGGTCATGATCATGATAGTGGTCGTGAGAGGACATGTTGGATATGACACTGTAGTTGCTCCGTGACTGCTGAAGTAATATTGGAGTGAGTGTTTCTGGGGATGGCTGCTGTTGGATCAATCAGTCGTCTTTTTGTACTGCCTACCATGTGTTGAAACACCACTGCACGAGTAGCGTCCTCGTCTATCAGTGGGCAGGCCATCCAGTTGCCATCGAATGTTCCAGGATGTATGACGGGCGTGATGAGACCCAGTGTCACTGCTTAAGAGGGAAAAGTGGCGCTGCTTAATTGTCTTGGCCACGCAATCAGCGAAAAGGACCTGAGAACTGCATGGCGCCGCTTTAGAACACCACTCAACCTCTTCTCTTTTGTCTATCTCAGAACTGTTCAGAGGTCATTGGACTTCAGGAATAGCTCGAACCCTGCCTCATGCGGGTCTATGAACTTGCGACATGCCAACAGAAATTTACATTGCCTCCTCAGTTCGTCATGATGGGCAAATGGCACACTCTGATGTTATATGATGGTTTGGGAAGTCTAGCACAACCTGCGTCACGGAAGGGAAGCGAACCAGTTCGTTAGCAGAGAGAGCCACTGCCCGTTCATCAGCACTCATTGTCTCATTGTCGTTGTTGTTCCTGTGAGCTATGGCTCCATTGAGTGCTTTTCCTTTGTGTTCTTCCACAAGTCGGACACTTGATCAGAGAGGTTTGGAGTCGTCGATGGAGCAGTCTTGTTACGTGGAATCGAGAACTGAGCAGTACTCCAGAGTGGTCAATAAGTTCGTCTGTGCATGTAACCATGCTCCCTCTCGACGTCGACGTCGATAAAGTTCGCGGCACTAGGGCGCCGCCGTTACGCAAAGCGTGGGGCCAAAACTTGGCACCAGCACGTCCGTTGTTAATTTCCACTCGCGACCCTTGATGACATCCTTATCCATGCTTCCTGACTCACCTCTGTTCACACCAAGCAACAACCTGGAGCCAAGCTTCTGGAGAAGCTCAATGACACTTCATCAGCTTGCTGGCGGTGGACAGTTCTGACTAGTATCCGAAGCTGGCTAGACTTCTGGTAGCATCGACAGCTCAGACAACAACATGTAAGACCAGGGCATCAACACCCCAGCGAACAGAACCCATTTTCCCAAAACAAGCCAGATCCAGATGAGTTTGCCCTCAAATGTGACCCTTTAGCCATTATAAAGAGACAGGATGGAAACATGGAGCCCATGACAGAGCTCGGTGGAGGGCATGTCAAGCAGCCCCAGGACATGGCTGCGCACATGGGCGGCCACGGTTCACTGTTGCGTACGCAATAGAAGCAAGCTGAGGCAGAATGGAGACAAATGGACAGCCAGAACAAGATATCTTGCCCATTTTGTGAAGATGTCTCTTGATGCTGTGACCTGCCGACATATCTGATGTTCAGCGGTATCCTGGGCACCAATGCTCTTACGGGCCCCAGACGGAGGGGAAAGCCATGGGCCCAACGGTGAGAATACTCTGACCCTTTCACTTACAACCTGGTCGAGCCGAGCCGGTATGTGACGACTTGGTTGTGACATGTGCACACTGAAGTCGCCCAAGGATCTGGGGCCTTTGTCCGGCAGCCCGTCTATCCCGGTGGAGTGTGGGATCTTCTGCATTTGAGGCAGGCCTGTCACTCTCCAGATATTGGAGTTTGGCTGTGTGCGGCTTTCTCTCGTCATTGCTCAGGGACAAGGCTGTGAAGTCATGAAGCTCTATCAGTGGCCTCAATACACGATGTGGCACAGACAGCACCAAAGGACTATCGGTTCCCTTGTCTGTTCAAAAGAGGAAAGACAGGAAGAGTCTCGATCCTCCCGTCAAGACGTGAATATCAGTTGCCCAGCCAGGAACAGCAGGTCATCCGAATACTGTTCATTTTCGCGCCAAGGCGAGGCCGTGAATTCGCTGCCGGTCCCTATACAAAACCCACATTCTCCCAGTCCTCCGGTGTTTTGATTTCATCCCCAAAACATCTCTCTTCGTCCGTCACCTTTCGATCCTATTCATCATCAAACACTCGTTCCCTACGCTTTTACATTCGTTCAGACGTCCCTGTTGCCCATCATGGCGACAATTACCACCTGGGACGCGATCATCTTCATCGCCTCCTACGCATTCGCCGTCTTTCTGACCCTTGTCGACGCTCAGTCCTGTGAAAACATGACCACAACTATCTCAGTCTTCAAAACCCTCACTGTGACCCAGCCCTTGGTCACTGGCCCGGTGACTGTTACTTTGACTGAGCAGCCCTTCGATGGTTTCAACTTCACTCACGTCTCCGGCACAACCTACCCTGGAGTCACTGCGACTACAGCCACAGTCACTGACACAATCACTGTTGGAAATGAGACCAGCACCCAGTCTACTTCAGGTATGTCACTCCTCGCCACCGCAAGACCCTCAAGAGCCCTCAGCTAATTTGTTGCGCAGTTGTTGATACTGTTCGCTCAGGATCTGCCATTACTCTGATAAGCACCACCAAGATCACGTCTTATGGTAAGGGAACAAAAAACACCTTGAAACGCGTCAATATCGGAGAACTCACAAAAGCAATAGTCAACAGTACTGTCTCTGCTACCGTCCCTGCCGTCTCTGGCAGTGCGACTGGAAACAACATCACGCGTGGTGAGTGACTGCGAACTGCGAACTGCGAATTGCGAACTGCGCACTAGCGCCGCATCTCTTCTCTGTTACATGATGCTAACCAAAGACAGCATCTGTCCCTGTCTCTTTGACTTTGACATTCCCTATCATCACTGCCAGTCCCCCCTGCGATTCGGGTCTTCCGAACGGAACATGCGGACATGGTAGTTTCATCTCGGTCACTGAACCTGCGACTCAGAACTTGACTTCCACCATCACCGTGACCAGCACTGCACATGTCACACGTGACACCATCACATCGGTTGCTCTGTCCACGGCTACTGTGAACACTTCAAGACCATACTTCGTCAACGGGACTTTCGAAACCAGCTTCCCCTTTTCGCCCCCGCCACTGTCGTCTGCTATGAGTGTCGCGACGTCTGCCTTTGACAGCATCACTGCAAACCATACTGTTGTTGCCACCACTAGCACACGCACTACCACGACCTTGACCACGGTTACCCTAGCCGGGAGTTCGTCCACTGTTAGTACTACCAACTCCACCCTGGATAGTGCCACATGGATGGTGTATACAATCACGACCACCTCCACCGTCGAGCCAGTCAACTCGATCTTGAGCATCGCATCTTCTTTCCTCGGCAATGCGTCTTCAGAGGTTGCAACTAAAACGGTCACTACGACAGCCACGGGCACACCTCTGGAGACCATCCTCAGCGATGCCTCTTCCATCCTCAGTGAAGCCACGTCGGAGATTGCAAACAAGACCACAGCCACACAGAACGGAGGCACCATTACCACCACAACTGTCTTCACCACCGTGGAGGCTACCGAGACTATGGCGAGCAGTGCTCCTGTCACCTTCACAGTGACTATCTCCGAGTATGTCAATACCACTACAACCTCCATCGTCGTGGATAACACTGTGGCTGCGATTGGTCGCTTCAATACCACGACTACGACCACTGCACAACAGGAATCAACAACCATATTCTTGCCTGGCACGACCACAGATGGCGTGTCTTTGTTGTCTGTTGCCATGCCTAGTAGTGAGAGCCTCAACGTCAGCGCATTCACTGTCTCAAGCAACGCGTCGGTGTCGTTCCCTACCATGTCCATGTCCGCATCCGTGTCCGGGTCTCCATCAGTCTCGCTCTACACTCCGACCATGACCGGCACCGCATCCTCCTTGCGCGCGCCCGGTGTCTTCGGTCTGATCGCCCGCTTCATGATGGTCCTCGACCTGGTCAAGCCGCAGACCCTGGTCCGAGCCATGCCTGGTCTCCCCCAGCCTGCACCGGAAATCGCCCCGCCTCCGCCGAGCATGACCACCACTCTTGGCATCGAGGTCTCAGTCTCAGTCTCCACCGAGACCGTGCCGTGCAACTGCACCGGCTACTCCAACGAGACGACCACCACTACGACGACTGCTGCCATCACCAGCAGCGGCGCCGTGGGAGGACCAGCAGGAGCAGACTCGACCGTCTGGCTCACCAGCACTGTGCAGAGAACCTCGACCGTGACATCTACCTTGACGACAGACGTTCCTGGTCCACACCCAGCCAACTCCTCGTCGTCGTCGTTGCTCTCGCTGACAACCACTCCGGCCGTTGCCACGATGCTGACTGCACCCCTTGTGGTTTCTGCCACGAGTTCCCAGCCTGCGTCTGAGACCAGTGCCGCCGTCGTCGGCGTGACAATCACTTCTGCCTCACTCGTTGCGAACATCACGTGGACCTTTGCCCATCCCAACGGCACCGAGACCCCTGCGTCTGTCACCGCATCTGCTCCTGCTTCGTCTTGGCCTCCCGTGTCTGTGCCCGCGGTCACCGTGAGCAACGCCACAACACCGATGCCGTTTTCCAACATCACCACGACGCCGACGAGCAGCACTGTCATGAGTGACAACAACGCCACCACCGTCAACAGCAGCAGCACCACCGTGCACCCGACGGTGACGAGCTTCCTGAGCACCCACTCCACGGCCCCGTTGGGCGGCAGCGTCGAGACAAGCACCCAGACATTCACGCCGACCACGATCACGACGGCGGCATCTTCGTCTTCGTCCTCGTCCTCGCCGCCGTCCTTCAAGTCGGCGACCCCGCTGACTGTGCGCACCGTGTCTGCCTTGTTGCTCCTGGCCGTCACCGCTTGGTATGTCTTGTGAGTGAAGTGAAGCGAGCTGAGGTGAGGTGAGGTAACGTTGATCTGACCCTGGCGATGATGATTCGACTTCAACATGCAGGAGTGGATTTCAGAGGATTGGTCGGAACCGTTGTCGCCTACTCGCAGGATTCAGGATATCTCATGCATGGATTGCCATCGGACGGATATGACGAGCTTTTCGCACGCAGTTGCACATACGCATCATCCACAATGATGGTGACACAGTACGACACCAAAGGTGTCACTCCATAGTCGAACATGGGAAAAGAAATCAAAGTGCTTTCAATCTCGTTGATGCCTTTATGTCTCTGTATTCTCTCTATCGTCGACACGTGCCATGCCATACTCCCGTCATCTAACCTATACTCACTCACTCATACTAAGTACCTCTACTGCACGGCATGCCCTGTTTGTTCTTGATCAGCCTTCGGCTGAGGCTCTTGCGTGAACATCCAATCGCTCCTCACTTTGGTCCATACACTCGATCTTGCGAATAAGCCCCTCCTTGACTGCCTCGTGTTCCTTCCCAAGTTGATGTTCGAAATCGACAGTGCTGTCCCTCAACTCGTCGCTCTGCAGACTGTCACTCGCGAAATGTCGGTCGCACAGTTGATCGAGCCCTTCGCCGAGACTGCCCAACTTTAAGTCGGTATCGCTTTTCAAGGCCGAGAGGCTCCCAACACAGTCCTGATATGTATGAGTCCAAGGTTGGGTATCCAATGGTTCTGGAGAGCGAGCTTGCACTCGATTCACCGCTTCGGTCGCCGCAGGTCCATCCATATTCGGTCGCCAGTCAAACGCCTGAAACCCAGCAATGCGGCGTTCATCCCCGGCTATCACCTCGAGCTCCGGATATTCGACACTGGCGCCCACGCTTATGCTACTTCGATGTCCATGAGTGCGCGCGTATGCTCTGAATTCAGTGCTGCTGCTGCGGTACAATCTTTTCCATCGCCCAACAAATCCTTTCCGGCTCCTTTTGTGCCGCACGCCCAGAGATTGCGTCCCTCGCACCCCGTTGTTGAGGGCTTTGTCAACGCCATCTTTCTTGACAAACTGTAGCATCTTCCAAGATCCAGGGGTGTGTACACCTCGTGTCGTCGTGGGTTTGGCCCAGGGCGTCCGGGGAGTTAGAGATGAAGGCTTATTTTCGTCTTGATAGTCGAGAGCAAAGTCTCGTGTGGCAACGCCATCTTTTGGCCCCGCCGAGCCGCATCTCTCCTCTCTTGTGTGACTAGGGAAACGTCCCCAAAGCCCGAAGAGATCCTTCAGTGGAGTGCTTGCCCCTGAAGCCTGCTCATTTTCATTAGATACTCCAGTGATCGTGAATCGTCTTCCGATATCCAATATACTCTTTTTTCTGGAAGTCTTCTTGCCTGATAAAGTGTTTGGTGTCTCCTTCCCGGCATCAATGCTGATCATGCTTCTTCTGCGACTCACGGCCGGAAGAGGATCAGGTTTCTTCATGCACACCTGAAGTCGACGGTTTTCTTCAGCCCTTGAAGATTCATCTCGGGTTTTCATTTGTTGCAGTGAATTCAAGTCAAGTTCTACCTCCGGGTTGCCGTGGCCCTCATGAGGTAGCTGTACCGCACTGATGCTCGACCTTGTACTTCTCCGCCGACCGTCACGGTCAAATCTTGGCGACGTGAGAAAACCACCCAGTGTATCGTTTTCAGGCTCTTCCAATGCTCGTCTGAAAGATCTCTGCCACATATTGGTCGCTGACTCTTGAAACTTGGTGGGGCCATCGTAGATTGATCTTGCCTCATTTCCATCTTCTGACTTGGAAGGCCGCCCAGTAACAGAGGCTCTCAAAAGTGGTGGTGACTGTCTCGTATGAGATGTGACGAATGACTGGTGGCTATACGAATCTGGAAGGGTTGCAGTGATATAACGGCGGCTTAGAGGCTCAATTTCGCTCAACCTTTCATTCTGTATGTCACGAACGGCTTGCACGCTGATTTCCGTCAATTGTTCCGTTCTAGCGTCTTGTAATTGATCAGTGCTGACCTCGCTCATTGATTCATTGCCTTCGGTTGAATGCTGAAGTTGCCGGCGAGGCACAGTCAGACGTGGGCAAGAACCAACATTTCTCTGAGTTGGCATGCTGACACTTCTGTTCCTCTTTGCGGGCCCATGAGCTCGGCCTTCTTGTTCATTTGTTTGATTCTGCATTGAAGGCCTCCTGCTAAACCAGGCACCTTCCTCCGCAACTGACATGTTGCCGAAGCTAGCACTCGAAGACCCTATAGGTAAGCTAATCGATTCTGATCTCCCACCGATGGCGATGCTGTTTGGATTTCTTTTGCGTGTGCCTCGCCTGGACGGTCTTACATTGTCGAATTCCTCGTCACTCCAGTAGAATGACGAGGCATCCTCGTTACCGGTAAGGGACCTGGGCTTTTCAAATGCAGTGGCGTGAGCCGGTGAGATAGCAGATCCCCGACTGGAGCAAGCCCGACGTCTAGCCAGATCACCTTCAAAGAGTCGTTTAGTTTCAGGATCCGAGGGTCTTCTGTTATGCTCAGCCGTAATAAGACCCCCGATCTTGGTAGCCATAGACATGTGCCCGGTGGATAGACCGGAATCTGGAGAGTTGCCTCTTGGCTGCCGTATCGTCGTGTGGCCTGTGTTCGGTCTGGAGGAAGCAGCCATAAAGGAGGGACTGGCGAGACGTTGAGAGATTCGCATGTTGTATAGATGCACTGAACTCCGGTCAGAACCGGCAAGCGAAGAAAGATCCTTCCTAGACACGCCTTCTCTCCCAGGCATTGTAGGATCCATGTCAGCCATGGCCGTTTGATTCAATTCGATTGCGAAGGCAGCGGCATTATTGTGAGACGTTCTTCTTGAAATATCTGCCGATGGGCGCTCGCCGCATTTCGAAATGAGATCGAGCAGGTTTGGATCCAGCTCCGACACCAAACTGGCTCGTGGATTCGTCATATTGGAGATTTGGCTCTCTCTTTTGGCCACAGGGACAGTATCCCCCGTCATTCTGAGCATCCCCATGAAATCTTTGCCATCGTGTCTGGAGAAAGCATGGTCTTTCGACGGAGAACTGGTGAAGGGATCGTCTCCTTGAGTCTCAAGGGAGGCGAAAGCAGGCGTTATCCTAGATTCGGATGCATCTGCGAGCTCAATGGTACTATCCACGCCCCGGTCGTTGACACGCTTCGCGACTTCTGAAGGTGACTTATCTTTCGTACCCTGGACAACTCTTACAAAGGAAGGGTTTGATGGGGTGGAAGGAGCGGAAGATCGTTTTGCGTTGTCGACTTGGGTTTGAGACGCCTCGAGAACGTGGGTTTCTGTAGGAGAGGGCGGAGCGCCGTCGGTGGCAATGGGCTGGATGTCAGCCGGTGAGGATAGGCTCAGTACCCTTCGTGGACTCAATTTAATTGTGCCGTCGCTGGCCTTCAGTGCAGCTGTCTGGATGCTTTTTGCGTCGCTATCATAGCCGCCCTCGCTGGCAGTCCGCGACATGAGAAGCTCGAGGAGACCAGTGGATCGCTGGCTCAGTGTCCCCTCAGGGACACTCATTCCCATTTGTGCATTTTCACGTCTTGCCGTATTGTGAGGGGTATCCTCTGATGTTATTTGAGGTCTTGAACTGCTCTTACTCAATCTCGACTCCGAGAGCTTCTGCTTGATGTGATTACCCAGTTGCTCTAACCGGCTGGGCTGTTTCTGATGTTGACCTTGCGACCCGAACTTGAAATCACGGTCCAGAGATGGCTCTCTTCTATGATTTGATCCTGATGGTAGAGAGGCAGTTCGGTAGCCGCGGACGGAAGAAGAGGATCGGAAAAGCTCGCGGAGGGCTTCTGTGTCTGCCCTCTGTGCACCTGGTTGACTGACAGCGTGCGGGATCTGCGTAGCAGGTAGTTGCACCGAAAGAGCTGAAGGAAGGGTCTGAAGGTCAGAGGCTGTGTGTTCTTCAGGAGGGCCAATGCCGAAGCAGCAAAGGAAAGGCGAAAGAAGGCGTTTCAGGGTACACATGCTCAATAGCAAAAAGCAGGTCACACCGACGGAATGAGAATGCAAAAAAAATGTAGAGCTGGTAACTTGTGTGCCATGAAACAACGGGAAAACATCTGGAGCATCAAAATGGTAAAGGAAAGACTCGGTATGGGTCAAGTGCCAATGACTCTGACATGGTGAAGACAAACTCAGAGAAGCTCGACTGCGAACCAGGAGGATGGCAACAACGACCGACTACCTGGAGAAGGAGCCATGCCGGCTTCTCCAGACCTGCTCCAGCCATCGGTATCGTTTGTCCTGATACACATCAGCCCAGTTATTTGGCTTCTGGTTATGTCTCCTCCAAAGAATAGGTGCAGCCGGTTAAGGACAGATGCAAGGATATCCCAATATTGGCCTTGCCCTGGCCTTCAATGCAGCGATTGGAAATGGACATAGTTTCATAAGACAACCAGAGTTACGACGAGACGGTCGTGGATCCAGCGCATGGATATTGGCCGGTCAGTCCATGAAGCAGAGGGTTGAAAATTATTCGACGACGACGCTGCAGACGCCGAAACGCTCGTCGCTTCGATATCGTGGCGCGAAGTCACCTGTGCTTCACAGTAGGCATTGGACGGTTGAACCGGAAGCCGACTTGCCACCTTTCCATCTCGACAACCAGCCATCTTGCTTCGTCCCACACTGAAGGCATTGATTGAGCTTAGCTGCACCATCTGGCTCTGGAAAGGAAGAGTAGACCCGTTATATGTACCTTTCACACCTACGATAATTGTCTCTACGGAGGGTCAAGTCGCTATCATTTTTGCCTGGTTCCTGAGGCGATGGCCAAACAATCAGTGCTAGATCTCGAGGTCCAGGACTTAGATCCAGAGGGTCACACAACAGTAACACTCAGATATGACCCCGGAACTCAGAAGTTTCAGGTTCACCATCCTCAGCGAACGTTGTCGCCCAGCACATCGTTTTTCACGAAATGCATGGCCCCGTTCCTGCCAGCGGGGTACCCTTCTTCCGTACGATCGGATTACACTCCGTACCAGATCTACGATTCCGCCCAAGCATTTGCTTCTACCATTGCAGGTTTGCTAGCCTCAAGGGCTGTCTTTGTTGGAATGGGCGTTGGGTCTGAGGATGCCTCGCTTGTGACCACGATGTTACTGTACGTTGCACAAGAAACCATTGGGCGGGTTGCCACTATTCTGTTCGCCTACCAGTTTTCGCAGAAGATCGAAGCAGAAGTCAAGTTCTATCGCTTCTTTGCCGACATTGTCAACGATATAGCCTTCGTCCTTGACTGCCTGAGTCCAGGTCTGCCGCTGCTGGGGCGAATCTGGACTCTGTGTATCAGCAATGCGTGCAGAGCTGTCTGCGGAGTCTCTGGTGGGAGCAGTAAGGCTATCTTAAGCTCTCACTTCGCCAAGGAAGGCAACATCGGAGAACTCAATGCCAAAGATGGCAGTCAGGAGACTGTCGTCAGCTTGGTCGGTATGTGGGTTGGAGGTTTACTTGTCAGCAAAGTGCAGGGCACTTTCGAGACCTGGTGCTGCTTGCTGCCCTTGCTAGCAATGCACCTGTGGGCAAATTGGAAGGCTGTGAAGAGTGTGCGTCTGACTTCACTCAACAAGGACAGAGCCACTCTTTTGTTCAGTGCGCTCCTTCAGGGCAAGGTCAAAGGTCTCAATGAGGTAGGCGAGGAGGAATCCATCTTGGGGCTAGGAAAGATACTACGTGTCTTCAGTGACCAGAACGCCTTCCAAGTCGGTGTTAGCGTCAACAAGTTCCTGCAACACTTACCTGGCAATGCGAACAATTCCGCTCGAAAATACGACCATTTCGCTCAGCTGCTGAGGGTATTTCAGGAGGAAGATTATCTGCTCTGGTGGGATGTGCAATCAAACCAAGGATTCGTGCTGCTGAAAGAATCGGCCACGGCTGAAACACAGGCGAGGGCGATCTGCCATCTACTTCGAATTTCGATGCGCATGAAGGCAACCACGAAACCTGTCAACCTTTCGCAGCAGCGGATCCTCGCGCAAAGCCGGCAAGAGACCTCCAGTACCACACCGAGTCACGAAAGCCCAGAGGAGAAGTCAAATATCCACGGTCAGTCCTTGCACTCGTACGACGGGCTTGACCCAGTCGTTCAGTCAATTGTTGACACACTCCATGAAAATCGACAAGAATGGCAAAATATGCACGATCTCGCCCAGCGCGTCGGGTGGGATCTCAACCTCACAAATCTCGTCAGAGGACCTTGTCACCGCCTCCGAATAGGGGACGCTTCACATGAGAACAAAAAGAACAAATGAGGAAGTCAGTCCTGGTGAAAATTCTGCGACAGTTCCACCGACAGCGACAGTTTGTCCTCCCCTGCTACCGCGACCCGGGTAAAAACCATGTGGCCCATTAGAGGCGGGTCAAACCGAGCCTGGTTTGTAACGTTCACGGCGGAGCATGGGTGACATGGGTAGGCAGGCTCAAAAGCCACGACATGACGGCGGTCGCTACGGAGGCGCCATTGACTACGAGGATATTGCTGGTTGGCGATCATCCGGGCACGAGCCACCGCCCGTCTCTGGGCGATGGGCCTGCTGCCAGTGGTCGGAAGCAGCATCGATGATAGATTGCTGTAGCATCGAGAAGTCCACGTGTCTGCATGCGCCCGGATGTCACCCCAAATGCGGAAGAAGGAGCGGAATGGGTAGGTTTCTCATCTAGGCAATTTTCCAGAAGCATGGGAGAAGGCCGCAAGCGGAGTCGCCGCCACCGCGATCTAATTTTCCGGAATACTGGAGGAAGTAGATGATTTTGAAGTCCGAAACGAGATGAATGGTCGTTGGACGTGTGTTCTTCAGTGTCTGGTGGAGGCGAGGAAACACCTCATACAACAGGTCACCCTAGCCATTTTATTTACTCGTCCTCCGTCCACCACCGGCCTTTCTTTCCAAAAGTGGAGTAGTGACTTCAATATTCGTCGCCAGCTGTGCTTGGCATTCGATCGAAGCATGACCGGACCTGTTCGTTTCGAAGAGATCTGCAGTGCAATCAGGGCAGAAACCTATACGCACCGACAAGTGGGAAGATAACTCGATGGATAGAGAGCCTTTCGTCCGTAGCCGCATCCTCCCTGCGACTGGTGTCAGGGGAAATTCGGTGACCGCTCTTATTCGGGGGAACAACTTCCACAAATGATAGCCGTCGCCACCTGCCAAAAGTAAACACGTTGCAGCTGACCCATCTTTGTCAATGGCCACCCGGCGCATTTGTTAGATTGGCAGCCCAGCGATGGCGAAAAACCTAGCATGTGGACGGTCGAAGGCAATAATATATCTCTCGTACGTCGGTACTAGTAGATATTTTCATTTACGGCGTCATTGGGGCTGGTTTGGGAGGGAGCGGTGAGGCGTTGGATAGGCCCAAGCGAGAAAAAGGCGCAAGCGGCAGGCCTGATGAAGAGAAGGATCAGGCCCAGCTTGTTTGACGTCGTTTGATATCCGGGCAGCGAGAGAAACGGATCTGAGGAAAGGCCGGGTAAGGGAGTCGATAATCCTTGGGGGCAGCGAAGCCACCCAGCAGCGGGCCACGGGACTGAGAAACAGACTGGACTATCCCCGGAAGGCCATCGCCAGAAACTTTTGCCAAATAAGGGTCGCAATAATTGCGGGTGAATTCAATTATTGTCACCGTCACCGTCGCCCAGGTCGCCAGAAATGGAATGTGTGCTGTTGCGGGGCAGGGTGAGGGACAATGTTTTTTTTTCCACCTTCCCTCTGAATCGGGGGGGCAATGGGCAATGGGCACAATGGGCACAATAGGCAGGTGACTTCTCAGGCCGGAGGGCGGAGTTCTGGAAAACGCGTAGAATCCCGAGGGAACAGAGTGGAAAGATGGTAGAAGCCGGAAAGAAAGCGTGTGGAATGTGCATAGAAGCCTGAGCGAATTGCTAGAAGCCCGCAAGGCCGCCTAGAAGCCAATCAGGCCCGGGCGATCGGGAGCGGGCTACGCAGGAAGGAAACAGGTACGTAAGAGCAAGGACATGAGCGCATAGGTTCCCTGTAGGCATTGTGTGATCGGCTTCTTGCGCACGACCCATGCCTACAGGTAGGTGGTGAGCACTCGCAGCCCTATGAGTTGGTCGACTTGCCCCCCTTCGTCAGCATCATTTAGGGGACGTAGGGGCATAAGGGCAGCCGCAATCTCTTAAAGTTGTGCCCGGCATCCTTCGCATCTTGGTTTGTATGCCTCAGGGGTGGTAGGGCACCCCTCCCCGTGGGCATTCATTTGATCATCATCCCATCATAATGCCCCCCAGTTAGCCAATCCGCAAGCTTGGACAGGGGCCCATTAAGCTGCAGGCCTGATTTAGCCCAGGCAGCTAGTGGTGCTTAAGGCAAGGCTCCTTGGGGCTAACGAACAGCGTTGCAGCAGCTGGGCCGAACCTCTTGGTCTTCCTGGACTCGTCCTCTACCTGACTGATGGTGACTTTGACTGCGTCTTCGGGTTTGTTTTTGCCTGTGCCTGTGCCTGCGCCCTGTGCCCTTGTGCCCTTACGCCCTGGCTGCCTGTTGTCCATGCGCGTATTCCCATCCGCATCTTTCAAATGCATGCTGGCTCCCATCCCATCCACTACCAACCACAACCCCCCCTTGCCCACCCCCTGACTGCATGTCCTGGGTCCATCATTCCGACTGAACCAAACCCTCTGACAGCCCAAGAGGAGAAATACAGCAGCCTGTCAAAGCCTGACTCGAAAGGACCACTAGCAAAAAACTAAAACCCCCCATACCACGTCGATTGAAACCAGCCGACCCAGAATCTTCCGGGTATTGACTCTGTTCCTCATCTAATCCACCCATCGTCTCGCCTCCGCCTGCGCTGTGCGAAAAACCTCGACACTCCGCGACAACAGAGTATGACTCTTAGCTAAACCTTCCACAGAACATCTTCTGGCCTCTCCACTTTCCGGATTCCTTCTGTCACCCAGCATCCTGGGCATCCACATCTATCATCCACCACACTGTTACCTTCTTACCATTGTCCTCATTCCACCGCCCCGTCACTATGACTGTGCCCGGGCCTTGATCTCACTAAGCCCAGAGGCAAAAGATTCAGACAACGCTGCCAATCACTCGCACAGGCGCCATTTTCTTCTTCAGCTTCCCTTTGGAACATTCCAAAACGCATCTTGGAAATCAGATGTTTGGGCTGAATTGGCATTGCGGCTGCGCTGTTTGCCCTTCTCCTGTCGCTCTTTAGGATCTTGAGATTGTTGAAATATTGTCTTACCGGCACGACTAATTGCACCCTCACCGTCTCCGTCCGCCGCCTGTTTGCATCTCGCCGGCCTTCACTTCAATTGGACGCTCTGATCGCCCCGTTGACGTCTCTCCAAAACGAACACCGACCGAGCACACAACGCACACCCTTCCGCCACGTTGGCACCCACAAAAGCCGGTTCAACCAGCCAAATCCAACACTTGTTATCGCATCAAAGGCCACGTTCCAGTCCGACATTCGGCGCTTCACCAGTCGAGACCTTTCTGCGGAACCCCTGTCGTGGTTACACGGCCTTCTTCTGTGACACGAAGCGAAGCTCGGTGGCGGGAAGAGTCTCGGATATACACAGCGGAACAGCCTTCTATCTCGCAGCGTCCCTGTACTACTCACGACCATACCTTTTGCCCCCATTGCCGTGGACAAGCTACTGGCGCACCGAAACCTGAATACACCGATTCTATCCCAGGAAAGTCTCAAACCGAAATCCCGAGTCCAAGCCGCCGCAAGCATTTCCTGCAACAGAGTACAACTCTCCTGGCAAAGATTGGGCACCGGGCGTGTGACATAACACTTCAGTCTAGGTATCTTCAGTCAAGCAGCGGGCAAGTTAGGGCGAAGTCCAGCGCAATGGTTAAGAAGAAATCGATCTCAATAGCTTGGCCATATACACCCGAACCTTCACCTCGTCTGGAACCTTTGGTTTATCCGTTGGTAGACATTCCTGAAGACTTCACCATGTCCGAGGAAGAGTTGCCTCGGGCAAGGCCCATCAGTGTGGCAGCTCGGAAAGAAGGGGCCCTGTCGCCAGGAGGAAGACCGACCTTGGACGATGTGCTCAACAATAAGGCACCCTCGCCTTACACCCTCGCCGCGTACACAGCATTCCTCTCTCAGCAACACTGTCTGGAAACGCTCGAATTCACGACAGAGGCCAAGAGATATTCGGACAAATATGACGAAGCATCAGCCAGCATGGGAGGCATGCCTCTCACAGTAGAGACGCAGGAAGGATGGGAATTGATACAGGACTGGACACGGATTCTCGAAATCTATGTCAAGCCAGGTGCTCCGCGGGAGATCAATCTGCCGGCAGAGGAACGAGACGATTTAATTGAACGATCCTATGATTTCAGACCGCCTCGGCCTGACTATCTGGATCCTGCCATCAAACGCATGTACGACTTGATGTCGGATTCGATCTTCATTCCCTTTTGCAACAGCCTCAAACAAGTTTCCCACGCCCAAACATATACGCCTATGTCGGAATTCGCGGACATGGCTGAACTGGAGCCCTCACGGCTGACATACGACGAGCGAGGGTTGCATCGCCGGATGCCTTCCCGCCGGCGGCGATCTCCTCCACATACATCAGCAGTGTCATTTGAAGCTTCTCGGTCTCCTCTGCAACAGCATCGGCCGACACAGTCCTCGTCGTTGTCCTCGGCATTAGGTCGGCAGAGTGGGGCACGCTTGTCGACACACGTGTCACACTCGTCTGCGGTCTCAGAAAGTGCATTGACTGACAGCAGCGGAGGTCCGGATAGCCCTCCTGTGGGTGATCTTCTAGAAGCTGAATCAGTTATAACCCCACCGACAACGCCGCCAACGAGCGAGCTGGGTGGGACCATAAGTCATGGGAGTATGAGCGGATTGGCAAGCGTCAAATCGCATCGAAGCGAAAGTGGCGGCTGGAAGAAGGCGATGAAGATCTTCAGCGGCGGCAAGAGGAAGAATGGCAGCAACGAGCACGACTGACATGCACTAGAGGAGTCCTTTGGGGCTTCTCGAAGCACAATGATCTCTTCGTTGAAGGCTTTCTGCCTGATTAGGTGATAATGTGGCTTTTCTGCAACGGGATTACGAATGGAATAGCGAATGGGCGTGTGCCAACCGGGGACAAAAGCCGGCAGCATTTCGGATCGTGGGATGGTAATGGAGTTCGCAATGCGACTACGAGATATGATTTGGCATGATGGCGTCGGATGATTGACTTTGACTGGAAATATGCGAACGGGTTCAGCACTTTCTTCTTTCATCTGGGCAGTTCTTTGGCCTGGTCCGGTCAAGAGGCCGGATCGTCTCTTCATATAAGAATTATTGATGCTGGGGGGAGTAGAGCACGATATCAGAGGAAATACCTGGGTCAGGGATATGAGATGAGTGGAGTCCGCCAGTCTGGGAGCGGAGCAGGACAGAATTGGGTATTTCTCGATGTACACAACAAGTAGTGGGGACGATGTTTGGTGATATGGCTTAGTGGATGCTGATGATATGGGATAATCAGGAGTAGTGAGGGAGTACCTCGAGTCGAAGTACTGTTCGCGAAAATGAAAAATGTGTCGTGAGCTCCCCTGAAATGTCGATTGCTCCTGATCCTAACCAACTTTTACTCGATTGTGTCCAAGTCCATTGAATGCTCTTCCATTCCCAAAGAAACCCACTGTGTCTTGACTATGGTACAATGAGGAATGGCTGGGCCATCAATCGGTCAACAAGCAATATGGGTGAGAATGATCTGCTGGGGGGACACGGCAGTGCCAAACCGCATCCTCTTTCGAATGGATGAGAGCCACCTCAAACACACGGACATGACTTACCCAGATGGAGATCGAACAGGCCGATGCTGCCCGAACATCATGCTTGAAAGCTGGGTGAGGGTGGTGAATGGATGATGAATGTGCCGGCAGTGGTCGGGAGCTGGCTGTCCTCCCTCCCAGTGCTGGTTGCTCCTCTCGTCCTGATCGACCATCACTTGGACCTCTTCGTTGGATGTCCGCCATCACCGGCTTCCACCATAAGTAAACTCCATCATCAGCACCCCGTCATCGTGCACCAAGGCATCAGCACATGAAAAGGCACCCTCGTCAGGCCAGCCAGCAGAGGCTCCCACAAACACAGCCCTCCACCGACCGACTGCGCGTTCATGTGTTCCACTACCTGGCTTTGTCCATCCTCCCACCTCCTCTTCATCACTAAATCCAGCCGCATGGGTGACACCAATTGACCTCGTATCAAAAACCAGCCTAAGCCAAAGAGCAAGGATGATGACGAGCGATGACGATTACGCCCCTCAGCGGCACAGCCAAGTACGCCTCGGGTACTTTGTGGCTCACAGGGTTACGAAATCAAGACATGAAACACGGCATCGCAAGGAGTGATCACGACCTGGTTCAGCCCAATCAGCAACTCCTCCTGGTAGCCATCTGCAAAAAGGGGCCAGCGCGCCGGAGGATAGAGTTCGATGAGGCAACTCACTTGTTCATCTATCCATCCTCCTCGTTCCTGGACCAATCGATAATGCGCCATGTCTCGCCTACGAGGATAGCCAAAAGCGCCCCCTCCGCCACAAGAGATCTATCTATCCAACTGGGACCCCTGTCCCGCGCAAAAAGCCCCCTGCCTCTCAGTTGCTGGTGCTTCAATTTTGATGTCAATGAGCACGAGGCGCTGGGGTTCGTTTCCACAAGGAATCGGTAGACTCGATCATCTGGCATCCGTTCCCGGAACCTCCACTTGCTGCTTGCGAAGTGTTCCTGTTCCTCGCCTCCTCATGATCGATTTCACTGAGCGCCTCCGGGGTTGACCATTGTCAGGAGTTTTTCCATCTGCTCAGTCGCCAGATGTGCGAGTATTACCCCTCGCTCTTATATTTCTGCGGTGCAGTCTCGTCTTTGTATCTACCTTTGCTGCTCCTTCATGCTTGTTTCCCCGCCACGACTACAAAAGTTTGTCGTAAACGCCGGGAAAGGGAGCTGTCAACCTAAACACGGATTCAGCCGAAGTTTGCTGGTCCCACTGATGACCGCTCCTCACAAGGTAACCCTATTCTTTCTTCTATCTCTTTGCACAGACCCTTTTCTCTTTTATCAACTCAAGAGTACTTGTCGTGTGTCATGTCTTTAGACAACATCAATGCCGAGTAAATACTCGCACAGCGTCGTCCTGGCTAATTACTCCAGGCGGGGCATCATCAGCCTGCCGAACGATGAGAAACCGGAAAACCAGAAGGCGTTTAGGGCTCCACGGATTCTCCCTGGTAAACCACCACCTCATGAACCTATTTTCAGCGACTATCCTGGTGCCAGGGCTTCTTCTGGATCTTCGTATCAAGCCCGATCCTCAACATGGCAGCCGAGGTTCCCAGGACGAAGGTTGTCGAAAGGACAACGAAATAGCCGTCCTGGTGGTACACCGACTTCACAACGGTGTCCACAGGACGAAGTTTCCAACAATATCAGGGTCAAAGGAACGGCTGACGGCACTCGTCCACATACCAGTGAACGAAAGATAATCTTGGACTCGGAGACTGAGGGGACTGTGAATGGCGTTCGAACTGAGGACTTCTGGCTCCGCAACTCTGACCCATCCAACGCCGAACTGCCAACTGGTTCCCGCCTAACCTCACCCTTTGACGAAAGATGGGGGCTTGCCCTTCAGTGCGACCTATCTGGAGTAAAGACAGAAGCGATAGCTCATACCAATAAGGGTATCTTGAAACGTGACAAGAAACTACTATCGCCGGTTGCCGCACGGAAGTACGAGTCTGGTAGAGGTTCCAGAGTTGCAGTCCAACCTCCAGATGCGGATGATCAACCACTACATCGACAACCACGAGCTCGACAGCACGATGATGCCGTGCCTCTTCTTTCCGCACGGGACTCCAACGTCTTGCCTCGGACTCCGGAAATTGGGGACGCTGTTCATTCCAGGAGACATCCCATTCCTCGAAAAATTGTCCAATACAGCGATACTAGACATCACGTGCCCGTGCTTGATGCTGCAGATCAAATTTCGAAGCCTCAAAAGCCTCGTCGGCCGCCACTCAGCCGAGCCAATACGAGCTTCATTGATATGTCGGATGACGAAATCAGTAATAAATCCCGTGGACACACTCCTCACACATCAATAGGGAAATCGCCATCTACATATACCTTGATCTCAGAAATTGAAGTTCCAGATTCGACAATCTTAAATCGAGCAGACGACCTCCACGGCCTCCATGGGGGCGTTGCTTTTGGAACAAGGCAGGGGAGCCGGAACAGGTTGGAAAAGGTCCCGACATGGAAAGCTGGTTTGGCTGAACCACAAGTCCAAAGACGGCCTGTCAGCATGGGTAGCAATCCTTTTGAGACCACGGCTCTACCGAAACGCGCTGCCCTCCACAGAAGACAGACTGATGAACCCATAAGGCATTCAGTCTCACGCAGTCCAGTTCTAGAATCCCGCAGTCTATCGTGGTTGCTGCTAGACGTGGGATTGAACAATCAAATGAAAGACGACCGCTACGACGAAGCCCAAAACTTTCCACAAGTTACCTTGCAATTGCCAAAATCCGAAGCTCGTGCCAAAGTCAGCAACGCGAGCCTGAGATCTAGGGCCACCCTGCCCAGCCATCCAGAGTTCGAGCCTACCGAAGCTGACCTCTCCAAATTCATGGATGGCAACGACAAAGGGAAAGCCAACATCAATAATGCTATGAAGAACGCCTCCTTTCAAAGGCACGACGACTCGGTTAACGTGTATCCTCCTCAGCACGACTCCAACGGCAAGCCGTCAACACCACTCAGGCCTCCACAGTCTGGAGGGGGAGGAGAGGAGCCACGATGGTTACCTAACTCAGCGAGATCAGAGCCAACGTCCGCGGGGAGCGTTAGCCGCCATCAGCATACATTCTCGAACATTACTTCTTGTTCAGTTGTGCCGGAAACCCAATCCCAGCCGCAACCGGGCGCGAAAAGTTTAGCATCGTCGGGGCACCTCAAATTAAAGTCTACACTGAAATCCGAAGAGGAAATGAGGATGAAGATACCCACTCCTATCCCGTCTCCTGCTACGTCGTCAATGTCTCCCGAGATGTCAGGGAGGAGGATGGTCTGGTCATCATCAGGATTGGTTCATCAGGCGTCGAGGCCAGCAAATATACCTGAATTTGGCGTCCCTTCGCTTTTTCGGTCCGGTGATCAAACAACGGACATTCATGGACAGACAACTTCGAGATCTGCCTCGCAATTGGGATCTAACACCCCACAGAACCGGAAAGCCGGACCGGAAACAATACGGAAACAGGTATCATTCCCGCGATTTCCCAAGATGGCAAGTGGTCCACCACAGGCCAGGGACGCAGCGCCTGCCAGTACGATGGAACGCCATCAACGAGACGACGGCGACGATTGGATATTCCCCACTGTCCCTGTTTCAGAACTAGCTGCCTCGAGGGCATGTCTTCTGGACTTAATGACAACAGATGTTGAAGCTGAATCGAGACTCGAATCGAGACTCAAATCCAAACCATCGAATACCTGGCATGAGCAGTCTCCGAACCTCGGCAGGCAGTACCAAAGTTTGCCCAGCCAGATAGGACACAGCGGCGATATGGACGATATCGTTTCTCTTTTCTCTAATGACCATGAAATCTCCAGCGACGTCCGGGACTATGCACATCAGCAAGTCACCGCGGGGGACGAAAGAGATGACCCAGACGCAGCTCTCCCACCACCAGACATCTCGCGTTACCGAGCCGATCGCACCAGCTCCTGGAACAGGCAGTTTCGTCGTTCAGAAGCTTCTCTCACCGCGCTCCCTCGCATAGCAAGTACAAATGTAAGCATAAATCGACTGTCCCGTGCCAAACGGGAGGATGCGACGCAACCGCTGTTCTGGGCTTGGAATGTCAATCGACCTGCACCTCTTTCTGTCCGAGCCGACATCCATCAGGAAAGGGAGGAGAAGAGGCCGAGGATGAGGACCGGAATGAAAGAGCTCTGGGGACGATTGAGGCGATGCATTGAGAGCTGAAAGTGCAGTTTGTTTATTCTTTTCTGCCCCTGTCTTTTTATATTCCATTTGCTCTTTCCTCAACACTTGTGGTTTTTCCTTTGACTTCTACTTTGAAAGGCTAGATCCGGAACACAGGGCAAGGCACACAGGACAATGTGATGAATACATGACGTGCAGGGCACGATAAAAGGATGCAGGATCGTCCTAGGCGGTTTGACACAAGATTTCACAACGTATACTATGTACTACATACTTTTTTCCAGGCATTGTCCGCCTTTCTATACAATGGGGTATACATGGCCCAGGATGGTGGTACGAGATGATGGACGGGTGTGAGCATTCGAGGCGCACGAAGACACACATAGATGTATATGACAAACGAGATAGATGAGTGGATGGAATGTACGAACGTATTATACTTTTATGCAGCGGTCGACACGGAGTACAAAATGGCGACGGGCCTACCACTACCACCAATTACGTCCGAATTGATGGACTACGACCATTCCTTCATCGCTGTCACGACCTCCCCTCCCGTTCCGTCGTCCCCAAGTCGTCATTTCCGGACTGTATTCATAAGGGTTTGGCTCGTGGAATTGAGGTAGGAAGGTGATGCAACAGATGTTAAATGTTATTGGCTTGGGAAAGGTTGAGGAAGTGTTGAGGTTATTTATGTACAGCCTCGCGCTGGTGATGTTTGCTGCCCGTTCCAGGGCCATCTATTCATCCGTGCTATACGTAAACGTCTAGACGGTCATTGAGTACTGTCGGATGATGGTCCTTTTGCGCTTGGGGTTGTTCTGCCTTTTCATCAATATCTTGTCGTCGGTGAGGCGCGGCCTCGACGCCGTGTGTCGTGTCGGGTCGTGTCTCCAGCCCTTCCTCAAAAGATGGCCCAAGCAGGGGATCATGGCTCTGCCACCATAAGCTCCACAGCCTCAAGAAACCGAAAAGGGCGAATGAAGACAAGTCGTTGTCCACAGAATCGAATTTCCACAGTTTCTGTACACAGGGGTCCTTTTTTTGAATAGCAAAAATCTCCCAAATTCATCGCTCAAGAATCCCAAAGTCGCCGTTGTGCTCGAACCTCCTGCCTGCCTGCCCTCCACGTTCAACCAAACATGCTAGCTCCGCCACTACTCACCGCCTCGATCTCCTCTTCCGACCAGGACTTCCGTCGGAATCGGGCGGGCAGCTCATCTCTGTCAAAGAATTCTCCCTGCTTGGGCTTGATTGGTCCTAGTGCTCGTCCGGGCGTGCCGCCAATGGCACCGTACGACATCGAGGAGCCCGACGAAGCTGCGGCAGAGAACGACGAGGAAGGTACACCACCATTGCCGCCGCCACCGCGTAGGGGACCGTGTTGCTGGGCTTTGGAGCGATAGGTAGCGAAGCTCTCTGGGAGGCTGTGCGTGGGCGAGGCGGGGTGAGCGTGAGGAGTATGGTCCACCGATTCTGCAGGGAGGGGTGTGTCAGTAACACGAAGTTGTTATCTGGGAGAGAGGTACGTACTGGGTGGTGTGCGTTTTCCAATGAATTTTATGAGGGGGGTGCGCTGGTGTGTAGCGCGGAGGACCAGGGAGGGGCGCATTGTGGGTTGTTGAGCTCGGGTTGTCAGACTCTGCTGGTCAAGGAGGTGTTTGAGAGCTATAGATAAATAGCAGAGTCGCTCTGTTTTCCCCGTGGAGAGCTGGACTGGACACTTTCTTATCCTTCCTCAGATCCGGGCTGGAATTTCTTTTGCATGCGGCCCTTCGCGCGCCCGAGCTCGGACAAACGCAAATAGCAAAGAAGGAAAGACGTGGGCTAGCCCTTTTGCGAGTGGGAGGGTACCGGGATACAGGGACGATCTATATACTGGAGGGTGGATAGGTCGAGACGGTGTACACCTTGTCGAACAAGAGGATTGCGTGCTTGGTCGTCGATAATTTCGAGGGCAGCGCCAGCTCGGGAGCTTGCGAAGCTCGAAAATGTTTCTGTTCGGAGAAAGGCGTGACGGCACCAACGGAGGCTTCGCCCTCTCGCTAATTAGCCATCATTTTGCCGGTTCGGGAACTTGTTCATTGTTCAGACTTCTGGTCCGGCCATTGCAGTCCTGAGTGTCTCAATTCGACTGGTGATCGACTGACTCGTGCCGTTGGATGTCACTCCTTGATCTTGATCTTTGGCGAGAGAGGTGCTCACCTTGACCCGTCGCCAAGTCCCACGCTCTGTGCAGCCACTCGAGAACATGTCCGCTCATCCCCCAGCAACAGTAACTCAACCACCCGTACTCAGATGATGTGTCTCCTGACAGACTCCGATTGCCACAAATGAGACACGTCTCCCCCCCAGCACGACATACCGGCAGATCGAATCACAAAAACTATTCCCCACCAAGTAATCAACTCCCTGAATACCTCGGATATCAGAAAGTCGTGAAACCCCGGCCGCCATGCACGAGTTCGCCCTCTACGGCCAAGTGCGAAAGGATGACCACCATCGAATGCTCCAGCAACTAGCCGGATTTGCACGTATGCAACCCCAAGATGCCAAAGAGATCCACCTGGTCTTCAAGGCCCGCCAGCCTCCTGGAGTCGATCTTGTCCAGTCTATTGGTGCGTCGCATCTCGCCAGTCAGTCACAGCAGGACAACATCCAGCGTGTTAAGAACATGCTCAATGCTGGCTTGTACTATGTCCAACTGGTTGGGGAGGTGTCGCCAGGGACACGGGCTGGAGTCTCAGAGAATGGTGACGTGACCATGACAGATGTCAACGGTGGCCAAGGGGCGGAAAAGTCCAGTGTGAAGTGGTCCTTTGAATTTAAGGACACTCCAGACGCAGGCAAGCAGGCAGTCAGCTCAAGACTGATCTCCCGGACGCCGATGGAGGACGGCAACTTTGTCCAGTTTCTCGATCATTTTGGCTATGAGTATGACCTCTCTGTCCTTTCTCTTAGTGGGAAGGACTCTGGGCTAACGAAGTGACAGCTACGTCTCGCGCTACATCGTCGTTGGGTCACGGTTCTATGACCATGATACAACTCTTTTCCTCCACAAGGTGCTACGACTGCCCCAAATCGCTGCAGACCAAGCTATTTCAGACGAATCATTCTTATCCAAGCTTGACCATCTACCCGATGTGGATGGCTCTGGTGGCTATATCCTCCAGGCATCCATCGATGTAGTTGATGGGAATAACCCAGAGCTTAAGGAGCGAGCAACGCGGCAATTATTGGCTATCAAGGAAGCGTTGAGGCAGGCAGTCGATTTGTCGCCGGGCGATAGATTGGCACTGGATACGCGGCTGCCTATCACTTCACGTAGAGCTTGAAGTCATAGAGTAATTAGAGAGCAACATGCTTGTGGCAGCCTTGCACGCCTGGCTGCTGCTGACTCAGTCACTTCCACGTGACGTGTAACAAATAGACAAATGACGTCTTTTCAAACGCGTATGCCGCGTCGACTTTTCGGGACGCTCACCTTTAATTCCAAGCCCAGGTAGGTAGGAACGTGATTACCCCAAGTAGACTTGTCAAGACTTCTTTTTCCGCTGAACCTGGCTCCTCATTCATGGCTGGCACCTCTGAGTCGCCGTTGTCGTCCCGCTTCCTGTTCCCGCACCGCTCTCCTTGACGGAGATATCTTGAGGCGGTCCTACACCATGAAACGATCGGCCCCTACCCCGGCTGGCTCTGTCTCTCCACCACTGATTAGACGCAAGATCGAGTCGGCTACTACCAGTATGACGGGGAGAGTCTTTTCCTCAGGAAATTGCTGACCGTGTCTAGGTAAGGCCGTGGCTAGTTTCTTCAAGCCAGCCTCACAAAAAGAACCGGAGAAGCTCGTATGGCGGACCATTGACCACAGCCTCATCATTGGGCGGTACAATGCTCCCCAGAATCCGCCCCAGCCACGCACGCTGCCTGTCAAGATTGCGGCTTTTGATCTGGACGACACTCTCGTGGCTCCAAATACCGGAAACAAATGGGCAAGATCTGCAGTGAGTTGGAAATGGTGGGATCCCTCGGTCCCTGGCCGATTGAAGTCGCTTCATGATGATGGCTATCTCATCGTCATCCTCAGCAACCAATCAGCAATTAGCCTGAAGGACAATTCCAAGTCCAAGACGCTTAAAAAGGACATGGCTAGCCTTACAAACTTCAAAAGCCAGGCCACTTCAATCCTGAGACAGCTCGACTTACCAATCAGTATTTATGCCGCGACTGCCCAGGACCGATACCGTAAGCCTCGATTGGGCATGTGGGAGGAGATGTTGGAAGATTACGATCTGCAGGCCGAGGGGGCTGTGGACATGACAAACTCGTTCTACGTGGGCGACGCTGCCGGAAGGGACAAGACCGACAAGAGACGAAAGGATCATGCGACGTCTGACAGGTACTCGCTAAACTCATGGCATTGGTAAATAGTATGCTCACTGCCATCAGGGATCTTGCGGCGAACATCGGCATCCAGTTTCACACCCCAGAAGAATTCTTCCTCGGTGAGACCACTGAGCCGTATGAGCATGTCTTTGACCCGTCAAAGCATCTTGAACTCGCAAAGCCTTCTGATTCTACTGTGAACGGCGCAGTAGAGCACACGGTATCCGCACCATTCACCAAGAACAGCCCCCACGAGTTGGTCATTTTTTGTGGCTCACCAGGCGCTGGCAAAAGCACTTTCTACTGGGATGTCCTCCAGCCCCTTGGTTATGAGAGAGTCAACCAAGATATCCTTAAAACGGTGAGTCCCATAATTTTTTACGTGGCGGGCGCTTCATGCATGGAGGTCACACAAAATCCTGCCGTGCCATCCCTCCATATGTGCTCTTCCTCTGAGGAAAAGTTGTTTGAAGCTGAGACATTGCTATTTCCGTACAGCGCGACAAATGCATCAAGAAAGCGAAGGAGCTTTTGGGGGCAGGGTTATCCGTGGCGGTTGGTATGTTCAGCTTTCTTGTTGCTCGAGGCGTTCTTGCTCAACCCCCCCCCAACCTTTCCTCCTTTCCTGCTTTCCTCCTCTACGGTGACACGCCCGTCATTTGCTGGACAGGGACAAAATGACATGTCATGCAGAAATGGCGTGCATACGGCTGTCTCCATCAGATGTCACTCCTGTACAACTCTACACAACATCTCTTGTTACTCCTGTCCTACCACCAGTCACAGAACTTCCCCAGATTCCGTTGTAACCACAACGACTCGATCATCTTGTGACAACATCTACTCCTTGCATCATACGCCAGATTACCATCTGGCCCAACCCTCCCCCTTCCGCTCTTCCCCGCCTCGTCCCTCCACCTTGTCAACCTCCTTTTTGAAGTGGCACCGCATCGCGCCATCCTTGTACTTACTGACACTCGTGCTGGAATGACAGACAACACAAACGCAGACATTGAAACCCGGGCGTACTGGATAAAAGTCGCCCGTGAATTTAATGTCCCTATCCGCTGCGTCCGCTTCACTGCCTCGACTCGCCTGGCAGAGCATAACGACGCTGTGAGGGCAATGAATCCAAATACGGTGTGTGCCAGTCCTTTGCGTCAACCTTGATACTTTTTAGAGCTTGGAGCTGTCTATCTACTATCTATCTGCATGAAGTACACGGGGCTGACGGCTTCGCCATGTTCATAAATAGATGAATCCTGAAAATCGGACTCAACTTCCTGGAATCGCATTTCGGTCCTTCGCCCAAAGGTTCCAGGAACCTAGGCTCGAGGAGGGTTTTGAAGATATCTACAAGGTCGACTTTGAGGTAGGTCTTCTGTATCCTTGTGCTCGTGCTACCTCCTCCCACTCCTTCAGCCAGGTTCTTGCTTCTCACTGACACGATGGGATTTGTAGTTCAAAGGCACCGAGGAACAGAAAAAGCTTTGGTCAAGATACTGGGTGTCGAAGTTTTCAACATAATTGAAGCATTGCAGGATGACTCGGATTTTGCGGCTCGGTCACGACTTCGACAGCTCCACTGATCGGTGTCTACAATGGCACATATACGTCGCCTTGCCCAGGAGCTGGTCCAGGTACCAATTATGTTATCAGTGAACATGAATCGCGGCATGGGACATTGCAGGTAATAATGATCTCAACTTTGCGGCTCTACCTCTCACTTCCCGGCTCGCTCTTATGAGTGCAGGAGAACCAAAGTATGCTACATCTCCTGTCAAGCCTTTCTCGAACTATGAGGTAGACTGCGAAGTAAGTCACCTGGAGACAGGCCTTTCTACCGTTCTCCATGTGACAATCGATCGCTATGCAGATGAGAGAGCGTCTTGATCGGATCCCCATCTGAGCAGCGGCAGCCAGCCATGCTCAACAGCGGATGTTCACCAACACACCTCAAAAAAGATGCTGTTGGAGAACGGCAGTCGAATGGCGCTTATGAGTCTTGATGTGTGAAAGTTACCATGGCATTTCTTAGGACAATCAACAGCCTATCAAGCGTAGGCGGGTAAGAGGGACACTAGGAGACAATTTTATTGGCAGAGTACCACTATTGACGCCTTTGAGGCCCAGACGGCATGTTAAATGGTGACACAGTGCAATTACTCATGCACCATTGTGACTGTTATTCGGCACAGGTCTTTGTGGACTTTTCACCACCTTCGGCGACGAATAAACGATACACATTCGCTCAAATATTGCTGTCACAGCTCTGATTGAATCGTATGACGACCGGCGGTACGACGACAAGATCTCCAGAGATCCAACCGGACTTTCCCTAAACAGAAGGAGAGGAACTGCGATACGGACCTGTGGAAGCTTCTAGCAATTGACGCCATGCTTCCCAAAAGTCATTGTTTGCTTTAGCGGCCGCTCCCCGGTCAGAGGTCTTTGCGCTGTGGGGATGGAATAGAGTTTTCCTCCGTTAGACTATTGATTGCGGCTTTCCCCAACCATTGCGGCACCCTTGCACGTTGGAGAGCGTGGCCCTATCTCGGGGGTTTTCAAAGGCGTTGTGGCTGAAACGTTCAAGCAGGGGATTCGAGATATACCTCCGAAGCTACAGCTGTGGTTGCAGATGGATTTTAGCAGCACGCAGTTTTCAGAAGGAATTGGAAGCACGTCTCGGTATTTGTCTCGTTTCGCGAGCACATAAATAGAGTCATTCCCCATGAGACTAGAGACTGGAGCCAGCATCCCAATGATGCATCTTCTGCATGCCGGAAATCGATCCTGAGTCCGTAGGTATTGTTCCTGGGCGGATACATTCTCCATTCTTGTTGCAAGGGGCAATGATGCCATGCGGACAGAGATGGTGATAGCGGCGATTACGGTGGAGCGATGGTAAAGCGTGAGCTAGAACACGAGGTCGGCCACTTGCTGGAACATCCTAGTCAGCAGCTGATTCGCCGCCCAGCACGTAGCGCCGCAGTTTTGGCGTGAGAGGAGCTCCCGTTCGCCTCGAATCCTCATCCTGCTTCCTCGCGAAGCTGCGGTGCTACCGGTCCGCGCAGTGAGGTCGTAGTACCTTGGAGAAGAGAAGGGGGGGGTGACCAGCCACCTGCATTTCTGCTCTCCCATACGTTGGATATAGCCCAGGGAAAGCCAAACGTACAAAAGATAACAAAAGGAAGAAGAGCCAATGGAGAATTGGGTCTTGTCGCATGCAAATTCTGCGAGCTGGAGAATGAGTTAATGCGTGATGGGGAACATGACCCTAGCTCCTGTACCGGCAGTTTCGTCCACCTGAGTATATCTGATACCGTTCCTGCATCTCCCGTGCGGCCTTGCCCAGTTCCTTGCAGAACAAACTAGCCTCCAGGACGGGCGGAAGCATGAAAGCGGCGCGGGTGAAGGCACAAGCGCCATCTCACAGCATGGGCTGGACACCTGCAATTAACAGCGGCTCCGGACCTTCAAAATCTGTGTCTTGACTTTTTTTGGTGCTGGTTGTGGGACACACCCGCAAGAATTGCTTGCTTGCTTGCTGGAGAGGGCAAAGCATGCGACAACCCGGTCGTTGTCCCTGCAAAGCCGCTGAGCTATCACTTCTCTTAGCTTCCCCATCGTATCTATAGTGCAGAGAAAGCAGCCGTGACAAGTAACAACGAGGGCCAACCGCAAACAGGGGCGGACAAGCCACAAACCTCATCGTCAATGTCTTTCCTTTGGGCTTTGCAGGCCGCATCCCCGGGTGCAGAGCACACCCACCAGCTGCAGCTCACACAAAAAGCTCAGACATGTCGCAGCAGAAGCCCAGCAAATGCTCACAAGACCAGCTCCTTTCTCAACCTGCTTCCGTCTTCTCTCTAGCCATCCGAACTGTCCTCTGCCACCCACCTGATTTCTCCCACCCACGGCTCCTCTCTCGGTCATTATTTGCGAACGGACAGAGGTGCGATTGGAGAGCGGAGGAGAGAGACCAAAGCGCCTCTGTGAATTGAGTGTGTGGGTGAGTGATAGATCCGAAGCCTTCGTAGGGTGGCGGAGGGGACCAGAGTCTGTCTGCTCACCTGCTGTCGTCGGTGGCGCCGGTTCTGGCTGCTGGTGAGGCCGTGATTCGAGCCCATGCACTTGTTGCCCTCTGGTGGCTGGTGGACGGGCTTGACGGGTTGACGCGGGGGCTCCTTAACCCAGGGCGGGCGTGCACCGGCGGTTGCTTGTTGACCAGTTGGTGGCTGCGGTTGGGCGTGGGAAAAGTCTCAGAGCCCAGGCCGAAAGTAACAGGGCAGCCAAGGACATGCAGGGTCAGACCCTGCAACCCTGGTCCCCGCCCAAGCGAGCAGCAAAGGATTGGCTACAAGCGACGCTGCATGGAGTCAGCCCAACCGGTGCCACAGCCAACGAGCCCAGGGCCACGGCACACAACTTTTTCCTCTGTCCATTCACGCCTCTCAACATCCCTCTGCCCTATTCACTCCATTCGATTCCTCTCTGTGTGTACACATGGCACTCGACTGATGGAACATTTGCAGACAGGCAGAGCGTCCTTCCCTCAGCCTCGACCAGTCAATCTGTGCCCGGCCTGAAGCAGTCGCCGTTGACTGACCTAGCATTCACCACCGCCGCCACCACACCACCACCGAACCAAAAGCTGCGAACCGACCTGAGCTGCTGACCCCCAGCTTCGCCAGTCGGTGTTGACCTCACCACCCAAGACACACCTCGCCCGCTCCCCAATTCACTTCAGACCACCTTCACCAGCCCATCATGCGCGCAGCTGTCCGACTGTGACGTGAACGAGACCAGTCTCAGTCCCCTCGATTCCCTCTCACTCTTGTTCCCAAACACTCGATCTAAGAATAATAATTAGCAATCCTGCTATCTGTACCTCACTATGGATCACACCACTCTATATCCCTTCGACACGCTGCCCCCCGCCACTCGATCTTCCACCTCTTCTGTCGACACGCCCTCACCCACGGTCTCAATGTTCTCCAAGGGCCATTCTCCCCGAGGCTCTAATTCCTCGGCTGCATCCTCTCCTGTCCCCCGCGAGTCTCTCGACATGTTTGGAGGGGCTAAGCGGTTGGAAGATGTCACCGAGGAGCCTCAGGAAAGAGACGAGTTTGACGGTTACACGTTGGTCAACGACGGCACATGTGACTGGAGTGACTACGACAAGGCTTTCTCCAGTGACTATGGCTACTCGTCGCCTCCCACCTCCCCGGTACAGCCCGACTGGATCCTGGCAGCACCCAATGACTCTGCATTCACCTCTCCACCATATCACACGGGGCGTCGCAGATCGGCAGAACAGCCCTCCTCGACCCAGGGCCACCGCTTTAGCAGCAAATTCGGGTCACTATCGCGACGATGGAAGAACAGATCGGCTGCTGGGCCTCAGCTCTCAATCGTCACGCACATCAGCGCCTCTGCCTCTCGTTCGGGGTCTCTCAGCTCTTCGCAGATCTGCAGCCCAGCTCTGAGTGCTGTTTCCAAGCATGAAAGCAGTCTGTCGACGTCCTCGACCGTGCTGGCTACGAATGAGGCTTCCATTGACGCAGATGTGAGACCAATTGATATTGGACAGAAAGGATCAGAACAGGACCTGGCGGAGTCGGTTCAAGCCACCACACCTCTCTTACCACCCATGTTTTCTGAGTACTTGAAAAGAGAAGAGCCTGTCCAGTCCCCCCTTCAATCACCGGCCATTGCACCTTCGCACGCCGTCGTGAGCTCACGGCCATCCTTGGATACCCCGTTTTCGTCCCTGCCATCCCCTCCCTTGTCGACAAAACCGTCAATGGTTTCCATGCACACGAGATCCCGGACAAACACCGTGAACAATTGCTCTTTTGGCGATATCCCCCCCTTGCAACTTCTCGAAGACCCTTCTGATCCTTGGGCCGTTCGGCTGGGTCATGCCAACTACACCATACACCCGGAGCCATACACACCCGAGACCCTGGATTTGGATTCTTATGCCGAGTTTCGCAAGAACTGGGATCAGGCCCGAACACACTATGCTAAGCATATAACGAGGACGGCTGAGCATTACGGAACGACGTCCAAAGTCTACAAGCTGACGGAGGAGAAGTGGGCGTCCATCGACGACACCTGGAAGCGACAACATAACCTTATGAGGACCGCCCTCGCGCCGCTTCTGGCCCGTCTCAGCGGTGATTCAGAGACGCAGGACTCAACCACGTCGAGCTCTGTGCTCGAAAAACCTCTTACCAGAGTGGCTGTGCCTGTCATTGACGACAAGAGTGGCAAATTTCCCAAGCTCGGGGATGGCGAGATCGTTGGGCCAATGTCTGTTGCCCCCCCGCGCACTTTCGGCGACTCGAACAAGGGCGCAGAAATCGGGAGTCCACCCATCTCACCACACAAGCGGAATCTCCTCAGAGTCCTATCGGACATCTTTCGCAACTGATATGTACAAATCCCTTACGATCCTTGTCACATGTACACAAACCTTCCTTGCCACCACTGTACACATTTCTTTTCGGGTTATACAGAACCACTTGTCTACCGTTATCATGGCTGGCGTTATCGAGACAGAGATCTACAAAGGGGAAGGGCATGACCGCAAGGTCTCGAAAAGAAAAGAAACCTCGAATCAGGGAGCGATCCCTTGTACCCAACACGTGCTATGCCTCTTTGCCTGGTATCAGCAGCAGCCATACTTGTCAACCTGTCCTCCATTGCTTTACGATGACCACGATGAAAAGTCTAACGCTCCTTCCACAAAATTAACCGCATCCAGCACATGATATTCCAGATGATGACGACTTGCAACCTTCAGCACAGCGAAGCAGACATATAATTTTTCCCTCCTTGTGTTTTCAGTGTTTTTTTCGGCATATGGTGGATCTCGAAAATTTGGTGTAAGGAAAAACAAATTCCGGGTTCGTCACCAGAGGTCTTCCGTTTCATTTAGGGGATGGGTGGACGAATAGATGTGAGTAGGGAGAAGAACACCTACAATGGCGGCTTTCATATATCAATCACCAAACGGGCGTCCAATCCTCTCGCGAGGAGACACGATAGATAAAAGGGTGCTGATGTATGCTAGCGCAGTCGGACTTCCAGTTTTCTGCTAAGGTGGTAGAGGGAGGGAGATTGGAGCTGGGAGCTGGATGGGGGCACTGGCGGGTTGTAGCCAGAACGACAGCTTCGAAGGAAGTTAGACACAGTTCTATAGGGGTGACCAAGATAGTGAGTGGATAGAAGAAAAAATTTGGCAGAATCTGAAAAGAAGTTGAAACCAGAAACTAGGGAGTGAACGTCACGCATTTATTACTCATTTCTTTGCTCATTCATGGACTTTTGCTGGTGCCGTGTTGTTTCTGTTGTCCTTTACTAGATCTATCTATCTACTCTGGCCATTTATTTACCTGCTTTTGAATGACAGGCATTTTATCGAACTTTCAAGTGGGCCAACTAACCCTCACTGACATTTTGCGGCGAACACTGGCTTTCAAGATATAAAAAAGGGGGCTTCTCTCTCTCTCTCTCTCTCTCTCTCTCTCTGTGTGTGTGTGTATGTGCGCGCATTGGAGCAGGCAGGAAAAGCTGAACCATACGGGTGCTTGCTGCAGCCACTCGGGTCGGAAGATGAGTTGTGGAAAGAAAGTCGACGGCGCCGCATTGCTCGAGGCGTAGTCCGTAGTGGCTGAACGATACTGCAAGATTTGAGACAAGACTTGAGGCTGGATGAGAACTGCCCTTTTGAATGCCGGCGTGAAATTGTTTGCACGATCGTGTAATTATTGTGCACATGCTACATAAATTGGAGCTAGTAGATCTTGAATCTGCATTGAGAATCAGTACTTGGACTTCTGCTCGGGACAAGTGGGAAGATAGAGAGAGAGAGACAGGGAGAGAGAGAGGGCACATGAGGATGAGTTACATACCCTTCTATCCGTTTAGATAGACTAGCCAAGGAGCCTGGAGACCACCCGACCACCCTCTTTCCAGGTTCGATGGCGAAAGTTGTGTTTCATGATGAGATCGAGAGGTAATATGCTGAAGCATGGGAGCAGAAGAGCAAACGAGGAAGGGGAAGACTAGAAGACATCCTGCCTTGAGATATGGCAGAGAAAAAGAAGACCTGAATGCCACCCAGTCACCCTCTTTCCAGGCCATGCGAGTTGTAGAATGTCAATAAAGATTATTGGTCGTGATACATTGGTCGTTATCGTTGACATCGTGAGACATCGCTATCAATATTGGATACTAATGTTACAAATGTAGGAAACCCATGCTGCAGAGATAACCATCGTAATGCTTTCGAATGTCCGTCGAGAAGGCAGCCGCATAGCCCGAACCCATCCACCACAAACTGAAACAAAAAATGACAAAGATGATCTGCGAAAGATCCGCCGATACAAATTCCAAAGATGGCTCATTCAACGCCAAATCTGAACGACATGGTGTATCTGATGCCGGCGATCAGCTGTTGTTGGACGAGTGTGAGAACACAACGGAAACTGACTTACCTGAGCTGCGATAAAGGATACCCTCAAGAACTCCTTTAAGCCTCCCTCCACCCTCTTTCCCGGAAGATAGTTGTACATGTTGAGTAGGTCGTGAGTAGTTGTACAGGGTATCTCGAACTTTTGATGCAAGATTGCAAAACATCGTCGACCGTTGTCCAGGATACAGTAGACCTTCATAGAAGATAGCATATGTCGATAGTCGTACAGGGTATGTTGAGGTGAGATTGTAAAGTTGAGGTGAATTGTTACTGTCCGTTGAAATCCTTGGTAACGTGGTGCAGGATTGAATTGATTGGAGATGTTGTAGTCCATGATGAGGGATGAGGTAAATAACTGGAATTCCCACTGCGGTCAAATGAGGTACAATGTTGCTGTGATAGTAAAATAAATTCTGGAAACCACCCTCCCACCCTCTTTCCAGAAGATCTTGTCTTTGAGAATTTGAGTCGTTGGTGATAGTGAACAGAGTGTAGCATTGAGATATTTTGTGAAGCATGCTGTTCTGAGATTGTGGAATGTTGCTTGTTTGGCATAGCACACTGGAGGTTGTTGTGTCATGGTGAACAAGTGAGATGTCGAGATTGCCCTTTGGCGTCTGAAATTGGGGGTGACTTCTGAGAACCACCCTACCACCCGCTTCCCAGGAAGTTGATCTGTGCAGATGCTGTACGTTGACAGGTTGTTGACTGAAGTATTGCACTTTTGGTTGTTGTGCTTGCCATTTGTGTCTTGTTTGAGGACTGTGATGTCTGTTCCGAAAGTCGAAGGTCTCCCTCTCAAGACGACAGAGAATGTGTTGTTGTTTGAACGACAAGAAATGCTGGAGACCACTCTACCACCCTCTTTCAGATTTCATTGGTTTGAAAATGTGTGAGATTGACATTCTCGGTCAACATTTGACGAGAAGGCCTGATGTCAATTGTTGAGAGTTGAGTTTGCTGATTGTAGTTGAGGCTGTCATAGTGACAACCTGAGACGCCCTCGAAAAGAAGTCTTGGAGTCCACACCGACGCGCTCTTTCCAGGATTGTCCAAATAGATTACAGAAGTGTTGTTGATGTAGAAGTGTTGTTGATGTAGAAGTGTTGTTGATGTAGACGTCCGAGAACCATACAGACTGGAATAATAGTGCCGAGCTCTGAAAAGTCTGAAGAGAGGATCGTCAAAAACAACCCAACCGCCCAGTTTCCAGGACGCATTGATAATTGAGGACGTGTGATATAAGAACTTGAAGCCGAGTGTTGCTAATTAAACTGCAAGTTCTTGTTGAGGTGTCGCTTTGCTGAGATGCTGCTTTGCTGAGGCGCTGCTTTGCTGAGGTGCTGCTTTGCTGTAGCATTGGACTCCACTTCGGTGGCAGTGGCACAAGTCTTGCCGACATAATTGAGACGTTATCCACGGAGGCGGATTATAGCTGATGAAGAACAACCCGGAAAACCACCCTGCCACCCTTTTTGCAGGCTTAATAGCCTCATTGGGTTGTTGTCAATGTGTTGCAGGTCCGGATGACGTGGACTGCAAGGAGGTATGTTGTACAGCATTCCGGGCAGGAACTGGCTGAACAAGCCACCGTCTGATCTGCAGCTCAAAGGGTGCCTGTCAGCCTGGTTCTGCCTTTCCCACTTCCGAGTATCGTTTGTTGATGATCAGGAGGATGGTGTTTGGAGATTGATGTCGAAGAGGTCGATGTCCTGCAGGTCGCCGTGGCAGAAGTTGATCATGTCGAAGATGTCGAAGAGCTAGAGGAGGGTGTGTGTTGAAGTATGTGAATGGAGGTGCCATAGGAGATAGAAGATCCTGAAATATCGCTGCGGTGGCAAACATCTGGTCGGAAACATTTTGTTGTTGACCAAAAGAACAACCTTCTTGTGGGTCCAAGCGACTGTCTTCGACTGGGTCAAAGCCACCAGTCTGCCGCCAGTGCCCAATACTTTCTTTGTAGACCGCCCTGGCCAAGTTCTATGCCTCTAGTGCCTTTCTGACGATAGGCTCTGACGTCCTCCGGCCGCCTGATAAACCAACTAGGACAGCGTGGAATCATCGTCGTCCTGCTGTTCAATTACTGGCAGGAAGGCACGTTTCCCTAGCCCGTATGATGTAAACGGGCCGTTGTGCCTGGCGGGGCACTCACCGCCAACGACAACCTGTTGGGTGCGGTTGGGCCGATTGACGATTATATGGGATTGAGGCGCCGCTGTCGGCTCCTCTTCTTGCTTCCAGTAACCGCCGAACAGCGGGTAGTTGGCTGCAAACCACACCGGGTCGGTGGGATCGCCCGGTTCCGAGGCGTCCACGTCCACCTGGGGCGTGACAACAGGCCCTTGAGCCAGGGCGGCCTCTACTGGGAGCATCGCCTGCGGCGATTGCCCTTGCGCAGGAGCCGACTGGACTGCGTGTTGCAGACCATCGACCTGTGGTGGCCTGTTGTTCAGGACGTTGTTGTTCTGGGCGGGTTCCCCTTGATTGACCGCAACGGGTCCTAGGACCCCGCCGGCCCACGTACCGGGCCTGTGAGTGCACGACTTGCTGTGCCGCCTCACGTTGTCGACGCGACTGCTTGTGTGGGTGCAACCGAACCCGTGCCATGCGCACCTAATGATGCTGGCATTGCCGGTGCAGGATCTTCTGTGCCTGCGGAAGTTGGACTTGTCTGTGAAGAGCTTTTGGCAGCCTCCGCAGACTGAGCGTTCGCCCCGGTGAACGCTCGCCAGATGGCTATTGAGTGTGCTCTTGGCCGTGAAGGCCTTGGCACACTGTGTGCAGTTGAATCGGCCGGCCATCTTGACTGCTCTGGTGGTTGAACCTGTAGAGCACTGTCGTGGCAAGTCCAAGTTGTTGGTGCTTGAGCCTGGTCTATTGCAGGCTCCTTCACAACGGTCAGCCTGCAGTGGGCATCAACAACAAGAGTCAGACTATACCTTTGGTGTTTGGGAGGCCGTCCTCCAGAAGAGAATTGCAAGAGCAGGTTGCTAGTGTTGTGCTGAATGCAGCTTGCTGATCTGGATTTTCTTGGAGGATAGGACTGTGTAGTAAAGACTGTATGGATTCTCTGGAGGGAGAGAGGAAGGACAACAGCGAAAACAGGGCGATATTTGTATTCGGGCAGAGAGGGCGTCGAAAAAAAAAGCCATCTGGCTCAACCTTGATGTGTCTCCATCACGAACTCAGAGGCTGCCGTAAACTTACCATTGTATAACCAAAATCAGAACGCAGGTGTGATGGAGTCGCAGAGCTCTGGCCTGGAAAGCAAGAATACATCAAAAAGACAGAGAAAACTGGAATAAACTTTCAGCGCGCATGGTTGAGCAGCCTGAGAGTAAAGCGACCAGAGGAGAACATGCACATGTGAGTCAGGAAGTACACAAGACCAGTGAAGACGAGAACTGGAACGCCATCTGATTGCTTGCCAGTCATATTGATCCAAAATGGATATTTGCTCAAGCAAGGGGAATAGGAACTCCTGCGGGGAATTAGCACTTGCTGCATTTACCGGTTGACGAGAACAACAGCAGCATATCCATCCCCGAACTATCCTGCGCCCCGTTTGGTTAGCAGTGGAGACCAGGGCTGAAGTTCCAAGCTCAGCCATCGCTCAAATCTTGCAAAGACGCAAACTCGATCAATGATATTTGCTGAGATGCTTGCTGTAGCTTGAATGAAGGTAGGTCCACGGGTCGAAACAGCTTCCCCCAGTGCAAGTCAGGTTCAGGCGCTGGGGCTGCCAATCGGTGAAGCTCATTGTGCACAGTGCCGGCCACTGACAGGAGTCCAAAAAAATCCCATATTTTGGTGGCCCCAGGGTCCTTGGTCGTGTCTTTGCCTGTCGTGTTGCCGGTGGTAGACCCGCCACTGGCCATGGCGTCGGCTTAAGACAAAGCAGACAACAGTGGTTCAGATGGGGCCCTGAAGACCATGCGGCAGGATCAGGGTAGAATTTGCAAAGCGTCTCCACGTAGACCAGCAAGTACTCTCCAGGACGTGGTAATTTTCTCTCTCTTCAACCGCGTCGTGTTTCACGCGTCCTACCTGTTTTGGGCGTAGTCGTATTTTTCAGTACGAACCGCAAAAATGCATGAAAACTCTGCAAAGAGAGTTTCTGGTGACTCGAAAGGACGAGCCCGAGGTAGCGAGAGCAGGAGACATGTATCAATCGTGTTATCTGCTGTTGGGTAGGCTTGGTTGAGCAGTGATTGAAGGGAGAGCTGAACAGATAGCTCTGGTGAGGTTGGAATTAGGTGCTTCGTAAATGGGGTGTGCGGCACCGTAGTTCCAGCACGTGCCACCACCAGCACCAACAGTACCTCGTACCAGCCTCACAAGGTGCAGGTACCCGCCCAGCCTGACTAGCCCGCTTATTGTGCTGCCATGGCGCTTGGTTCCCCAACTCCACCCGAACCACCGAAACTGCCAAACGAAGTCCGAAGCCAAACCGTCCCCCCTCCATGCACCGTCTCTTTTCCATCCATTCTTCCTACCCAGCTCCCGTATTCCGCAAGCTTTGTACCTGTGCTCTGGCATTCTTATTCCAACTTCCTAGTCGTTTCTAACCCATCCTGCTCCGTCTCCCTAGAGCCTCGCACGTCGATTTCGGAGAACATCTCCGCTATCAGCCGTACCAGTCTCAAGACCCTGCACGATGGGGAATCTGTGTTCGAAATCGGCCAATCAACCTGACAATTTCGCCACCCCAGGTCATACTGTTGGGTCGAGCACCCAGCCCAGACAGACTTCGGCGCCTGTTCCGCAGAAGATCACAAGCAGCACTCCAGGTCGACCTCTTGGTGGAGGAGATGGGGCCTCGAGTGCTGACGATGCCAGAAGTGCTGCCGCCCGAGCAGCCGAGGTGAGTGTTGTTGTTTGTCTTAGATCTAGCGGATCGTGCCTGGATCAGAAATGTGGTCTTGCTGCCTCTCCTCGATGCTGCTGTGGCCCTGGACGAAGCTCGTGATCTGACTGAGGACACCAGGAGCGCGCCGCGAGGGCAAACAAGCCCGGCGGGAAACTTTCCAGCCAGTTATCGGCACAGAAAAAGCAGACCCAGAATCAACTTCTAAACTCGGGCTCTGAGGCTGAGCGTAGAGCGCGAGACGCCGACCAGGGTGCAGAAGCTCGAAACTGGAACTGAGTCACGGCCTGTGGGTCCTTGCAGCTTGACGCGGATTCTCAGGGTTGTACTGTTCGAGGACGACCGGAATGCTTCTTCCTGCACCGCTCCTTAAGGTTAAAACATCCTCCCAAAGAGGGATTTCACGGTCAACCGAGCTTTCCAATCCTTGAGTGGCTCAAAATGCCCGCAGCTCCAGCTCCAGCTCAAGTCAAGTATGGACCCACAACGAGTTCACGAAAGTACTTGGGATGAGGACGTTTGATTCTTGTTGGTGATTTTGCATCATAGAGGGTTCCCACATGGCCCCAGCAGAGCTACACCAAACGGACTGCTGCTGGCCACTTCAGAGCTATGCAAAGCGGCGAGGTGCTGTCCTTTCTGAAATGGAACATTTCGGCGTTGTGTTCTCTCTTCCTGCATTGCTTCGATGGTTCCGTGTGACTCATTGGAGTCCGTCCGACATTTCTTGAGCACATTTATTTTTCAGCCTTCTTTCCCTCTCTCTGGAACCAGGTTTGCTTGACCCGGATCCTTGATCTGCATTGAGCTGGCCGGGGGCAGCTCAAACTCAGTGGAGCGGTACAAAATCCGGAAGGTGACGGTATTTTCGTGGACGCCTGCTCCGGAGGACAACGTGCAACCAGGGTTCGACTTCTTCCAAAGCAGCTAGAGGGTTGTCCACTCGCCTCTGTTTTGTCGGACCAGAAGCAAAATTGCTGGGCGATGCAGGACGCTTCTGACTTTGATGTCGAAAGGCTGTCGACAGGCCCTCATTTGTATTTGGATGGCCTTTGTGAGAATGCCTTTCGTTGCCGCAGTGGATGAGGGTGTACAAGGGCCACCTCGTTTACAGCCCCGAATGCGGCATGGAGCTATCTGAGCACCCACTACCATGATTTCTTCGCTCTCCTTTCGTCGCACTCAAGACGTCTTTCGCAACTAGAGTTCTTCCTGGCTCTCCTGGCTCTCCTGGCTCTCCGGCTTTCTCCTTGCTTGGTGTTTTGCTGCCGCGCATTCCTTAAACCTTCCACGTCGTGTTTGCCCTGTTGATGCATGGCTTTCCCTTTCCCTCGCCCTGCCTTTCGTGACTTTGGCAAGACTCCTAATCCAATGGAACCCTGTGAGTCTTGATGGACCATCGAGCTCTGTCTGTGGGCCCCTTTTTCCCTCTTGCAGTTATTCGCCACAGTCCCGGATTGAGCAAGACGAGAGCGTGACTCCTGATCCTCCCCCAGCGAAACTCATCAGGCCATAGGTTGAGATGAACATGAGATCGATCATCAGGCAGAAGACCACGTAGAGGCACCCTCGATATTTTCGTGGTCGACTCGACACTCGCCGCTCTCTTCGATGCGAGGCTACTTCTACATAGGAGAAATTTATACAAATGAGAAAAGAGAAAGCATTCAGATATGTTGTCTTTAGGAGAGATTTGTAGAGAGAAAACAACGCAAGTATTTCTTCTTGATATATCACCATCATCTTAACTCTCTTCTGTCTGACCTTTGACCTGAATGAATAAAATCACCCGCAAGTAGGAAAAGGACCAAATACCGAACATTGTTGCTGCTCGTTTGCTCGTTTGCTCGGCACCGACGAAGGAAACAGAATTCACGAGACGAGAAGCACAGTTGAACTGTCAACCACATTTTCGAGGGCGTGATGTAGATTCAAGCTCATTTAGCCAGCAGAACTCCAATAGCTCGATTTATCGATTCAGCAGTACATACTACACGTGAGGCGTGAAGTGCAAGCAAGCTCCGGACCTGTTTTTTGTGGATGAAACACACACAAGGTCCGATCCGCCTGTTGATCCCTCCTCTCCAGCCAGCCACTCTGGGATTTACTCGTGAGTTAGAAGGGACGGCTACGTTAAAAAAACCGCCGCGATTACAATTGGTGAAGAATTACCCTCACAAGAAAAGGGATGGATGTTGGAACTCATTCGCCGAGCCTCTACACGTGTTCAAGAGAAGAGCATAAGAGTAGGTAGAGGCAGCAGACTCAGCAGTGCCATGAAGACGAGAGGTTCACTGATACAATACTTTCTTTTCCCATAAAGCGTTAAGGACCTGGGAATCTAGAGAACATGGATGCAGCAAAGTGTCATCTGCGGTCGACTGACCCGCTATCTACTCTTGTCTTTTAACCAGCTGTATCTTCGCATCCTCCATATTTCAAGCTGGGCATGTGGGTTTTTGCATCAGACACATTTCGGGGTCTGCCACATGAAAGGCTCCATCTTCCTAGACCAGCCGGATTGCTGGATGAGATATAAACAGCACTTTTGTTTCTTCTCCCGTCCAGCAGCAACCCAGCTGAAAGGCACCTCAGCGCCTTAGGGTTGTTTGTGGCACCAAAACGCCTCACGAAATTACCACCGTCCCTTCTAAAGTATGCCATGCTACGCAATAGAATGCGTGGCACAGTTGCACCAGCAGGATCTGGCAGGGACATCTTGTCATTGTTTCCATTTCATTGCTCATTTTCACTCCGTACCGGCTGTGCTTGGTTTCGGTTTCATTGCGCATGACTCCACGTCGAATTCATAGCTTAAATTCGTCTCGTTTCGCCCAGCTCTTCACATAGTCCAAGGATGAACAAGTGTCAGCCAGCTCTTCCGTCCTCGGACCAGATCGAGCCATGGGCCCATCAATCTTTGAATCAACCCCGTCTGTGGTTCTCTCCGCTTACCGTATCCGGCGGTCGTTCGTCGCCATCGCGTGGAGTTGCATTGAGTGACGTCCATACGGATGGCATCAAGCCGATCTCCACTTTCATTCATTTCGAGGGGGGCTATTCTCGGTCCCCTCGCCGGGCAACAGATTCCCTCTGACAGCAAACATCTTCCCTGTAGTACCCGCAACAAAGCCATCGACCTGTCTGGCATATTGCTCGACTTGACGACTGTTCAACATGCTCTCCAAACGACTGGGTTCGGTTGGCAGTTTGAATAATTTCTGCCACTCGTCCTCTGGCAGTGGAGGTTGCTTTGACAGTGCTCTCGCTGCATTCTCTGCTTTGCGCTTCTGCTGCCACTGCTGGATCTTAGCCTGCTCGCGGGCCAGAGCGCGGGAATAGTACGAGAAATTGTTGGCTTCAACATGATGGGTCTCGATGCTGTCGAGAAGGTTATCGGCGGTTTGAGAGAGATAGGGGTCGATAGAGATGGAGAGTGACTCGAAGGTCGGTGCTAGGGTGTCGTTCTTGACGATGGGGTTATTCTCGATCTCATCAACAGAGCTGGGAGGTTTCATGACGCCCGATGCCAGCATGCCGGGTACTTGGTGGAGGAAGGTTGTGACGAGATGAGAGTTGTGGACAGACACGGGAACTTCGACGAGGATATCGGTGTATTTGAGACCGGACTTGAGCAGGCTGTTCACGGGTCGTTAGCGTTGATGTTCTTTCAGAAATGGTGCCGAGGGAGTATTACTTGTCAGTGGTGAATTTGTTCTCCTTGTACGCAGTCATGAATTGCGACGACAATCGGAAGGCCCGAATGCTGAGTATCCCTTGCGAGCTGCGACTGACATCGTGCACCAGCGCCACGGTCTTCTCATTCAATTCCTTCTGATAGTGATACTGATTCTCAATGAAATTCACGTTGATGAAGTTTCCCAGGTTTGCGCTTGTGTACCACCCCACATTGTTCGCGTCAACATTGACCTCACGCAGCATGCGGATCATCTCGGCTTGATAGGCGGTGTTAGCCTTTGCGCGAGGAGCAGATGCAGCAGCGTTGAAGTGCTGCGGTTGGTTGTCGAATTGCGCCTCTGGTGGCAGGTCCACGACAGGGAAGGGAAATGTGTTGGTGACTTCGAGGGTGCCACTGCTGTTGTCCATGCCAACAAGGGAGCCGGTCGCGACGGTGGGGAAACGACTTGCGCAGTGTTTGATCACTTTCATGACGACCTTTCCCACCAGTCAATTACATTCACGAAATGAGAAGAAATTGCACTCACCAACGCCTCGAGCTGGACCGCCTTCACCTGCGACTCTTTTCTGCATGATTGTCAGTGATTTGGACAGTGGAGAAAACAGTATAAAGGAGCACGTACTCCGGTATGGACGCCATGATTGCAGGCCCTTTGATGCAGGTTGGTTTGGGAAGACTTCTGCCCGACTTGTTTGTGGGGAGGGACATTTTGGCGGCGGTGATAGTGGGAGAGGAAGGTGAGCCGAGTCACGTGGTTATGTTGTATTGCTTTTTTCTGTCGGCAAATTGTCTTCTTAACTGGAAGCTATCATTATTCACGCTGTTATTTTGGCGAAAAATGTCGACATAGTCTTATGAACATACCACGTAGATCAAGGGATGCTTTCGTCGTTGTTGAAGGTACCCAAAGCACAATTTCTGCCACGAGGCTGAGTCCCAGCCTTGTGTCGGAGATGAATGACGTTCTCTCCAAAAATTATTTCGTCCACGGATTGAAGATACTTGATCGACCATCCAGTTCATCCTGTCCTTTCCTATTCTGTTACGGAGTATATAGACCTCATTCCGTTGCTTTGTACGTCCTTCCATGTCTAATAATACCAATCTTGATATCTGGTTTGTGAGTGACCACCCAACCTAGCTTCATTGCCTCACCTGACACCCTGCATAGGCTGGTGCATTTGCGGCGTTTACTGTCGATTTGCTTGTCTACCCCCTTGACACTCTCAAAACACGTCTCCAATCGCAAAACTATGAACAGCTATACAAAGATGCCAGTGGCAAGACGAAACCTTCTTTATTTCGTGGTCTCTACCAAGGCGTTGGTTCCGTCGTCCTGATCACAATCCCCTCGTCTGGCGCGTTCTTTACAACATACGAAGCCTTGAAGTACGGCATCTCGGAAGCGGTTCCTCCAAACTCCACGATATTCCTTCCCCAACCTGCCATCCATGCGGCGGCCAGCGGCGGCGCTGAGCTTGTCAGCTGCGCCATCCTGACCCCGGCCGAAGTTCTCAAGCAAAATGCTCAGATGCTTAGTGCTCGAGGGAAGAGAACATCTACTTCCTTGGAAGTCTTCAGGCATTTTAGAAAGAACCCTTCAAGATTATGGCGAGGGTATACTGCGCTGGCTGCAAGGAACCTGCCGTTCACAGCTCTCCAATTCCCCGCCTTTGAGTTTCTGAAAGGATATTTCATGCAAAGGCGGAAAGATCGGAATGGCGGCAAACCCGTCGATGGAATAGCTGAGCGTGCACGTATCACGGCAATGAGTGCCGCTATCGCCGGAAGCGGATCTGCATGGATCACCACCCCGGTTGACGTGGTCAAAACCAGAATCATGCTTGCTGCTGGATCTGGTGATGATGGCCCAAGAACTGATCCTAAGGGAAAAGCGTCAAAATTCCTCATGGGCGGTGTTCAAGGGTCCCGGAAAAGCGGACTAATCGTGGCCAGAGACATTCTCAAGACGGAGGGCGTCCGAGGCCTGTTCCGCGGAGCTCTCCTCCGAGCCTGCTGGACTTCTCTGGGCAGTGGTCTATACTTGGGTTGCTATGAGGGTGGCCGTTTCTACCTGGAGAAGAACAGGATGGAGGAAAGAGAAGGCGATCACCTTATGCAGCGCGACTGGTCGAAGGTCAAGGTCGGCATTGGAAGCTCCAGGTCTCAGGACGTGGTGAAAAAGAGTGCGTGGCAGGAAGACTGAATCGACTCAATCCTCCCCAATAACCTCCGCGCTATCCCAGGTGGCGGCTCATTCGGCTATGCCCAGGCACTTACTGCTAAATGAAGCCATGCTCGCCAACGAATATCTTGCGTTCCTGGATTCGATTATGCCATCGTACAGGTTGCAAACACCATCCGTCTCAGATTGAGCTCTCGGCTACTCTGCGAGACCCTGTGCGGCCGCGCTGCTGCGTGGGACGAGCCGCGACCACGACACATTCAATCCACGGTGGATGGACGAAAGATGATTCCCCAGCTATTTCGGAAGCATTCCCAAGGTCAGACGGATGTCTCAATGCGGCAATGCTCTCTCAGACGCCTCGTCTACGTCAAGTGGCCAATTGCCAGACATTAGTCATCCTGTCTCCCAATCAATCCCTGCCGGAATCCCGTCATTTCATTTCACCAAAGTCCGAATCAGGGAAGAAACGTGACTCGCGTCCAGGATGGAAGACTAGTGCGGCCGTAACAAACTTGTGTGCAACGGCAAGTCTTGCCCTTGGATAACTCAGCATGCAAGGTTGTGTGGCTTTTCTCGCATTATCAATTCAGTCCGTGGTAGATATCCCTCACAGACCTCGACGCCTGGCGCGTCAATTGTATTGGGGTGGCCGTGAAAAGTTCAAATACAGGCTGTTCTTCCTGGGGATTTAGCATGGGCGCTTCAATTCGACTCGAAGATATCGAATACGTCGGTCCTTATCTCAATCTTACCTACATACAACATGGCAGATATCTCAGTCCTCGTGATCGGCGCAAGCGGCGCTTTTGGAAAGCCTCTCATGGATGAGCTTGTACGCCAGCGACACCAGTTCAAGCGCATCGCCATCCTTGCAACCCCTGAGAGAGCCAGCAAATTCAGCGATTCCGGCGTCGAAGTAGTTGTGGGTTCATTCTACGAAGTGAAGTCATATCGAGGTCCGCTTCAAGCAAGTAAACCTTTGCACCCGTGACTGGCTTTTGACCTTTGCATCTAGGCTTCACACATGTCATATCAGCAGTCGGGAACCCCCTTATGGTTCTGCAACCTGCCATGGTTGAGGTTGCTGTCGACGCCGGGGTTCAGCATTGGTACGCCTCCGAATGGAACAGCGACATTGCGCAACGCCAGATTCAAAACCTGCGCTATTTCCGGGACAAACAAGCTGTAAGGGCTTATCTACGTGGCAAAGCCGCTCAAACCCCTGGCTTCCAATACACCCTCATGGTCACCGGGATCTTCACGGAGTGGGCGCTCGATGAGTTCTATGGGTTCGACCATGAGAAGCTCACAGCAAAGTTGTACGGCCGGCCTGGTGCGAGGATTGGTGTAACGAGCATCCCCGACATCGCGCGGTACACCATTGATTCGTTACGGATTCCGTTCGAAGGTCCAGGCCGCACACTGCGGGTGCAAGGCTGGACAGGCAAGATCGAAGACTTGATTGGCGAACTGGAGCAGGTGAGGAAGGTCAAGTACCAAGTCACCTGGGAGGACGTGTCTGTGGCGACCGACCTCGAAGAGCAGGCCCGAGCGAACGAGGACGACTTGTCGGAGATGATGTACAGTATCAAGACGTTGCTGGCCAGTGGATACGGCGTTGCGGACGGGGTTGGCAAGTTGGACAACCGGCTCTTTGACTTCAAACCGGAGACGCCGCAAGAGACCTTTACCCGTGTCTTCAAGGCGCGGATCTAGCGGGGGCGAGAAAACACTTTTTACGAGGGAGAATCAAGTGATAGAAGCGCGGTGTCAATACAGGGAACAGAGAAGATGCAGCTTGCTGCTGTCTCCAACATGAGCAGGCGTTCTTCAGCATTGGTCACAAAACACAGACTGGGTTTTCCATCTTCTAATCAGGTCCTAATCAGGCCCCCCTTCTGATGCTTTTATCATGTCAAGGCATTTCTACGTAAACAACTATTAGTGAATCAGGTCATCTCCACGTCCCCATCCGCCGCCGACTTAGCACCCGCATGACTCCTGGCTCCATCCTCTTCATCGGCCTCGATCTCAAGGTCACCATCCTCGTCGTCCTCGTCCTCGTCCTCCTGGTCATCCACATCCTCCCATCCATCGCCCTCATCCTCATCCATTGCGCCATCTGCCCCTCCCACTAACTCCTTCTTCAGACCCTGCACCAGCTCGACCGCGTGTTCCCGGAGCGGCTCATCCTCGTACCCCAGGACGCGGTACAGCCGGAGACAGGTCTCGAGCCACTGCCTCGCGGTGTCCAGGCACTTGGCCCGGGTTTCCGCATTGGTGTCCGCTTTCTGCGAGATCAGCACTTGGCACCACCCGCCGAGGTACCAGCATTCAACGCTCTGGTCGTCCTCGCGGATGAGGCCTTCCAGCACGGACATGGCCAGCGGTTCCAGCTGGACTTCCATGAGGAGACGGCTGAGCGAGACGCGGGTCGCAAAGTCGGGCTTGCGTCCGTCGTCGCCGGCACTGCCTTCATCCGCGCTCCCGTTGTCTTTGGAACTCTCTGCCTGAGACGCGGAGGATGTGTCCTTCCAGATATCGAGACTGCGCGTCAAGGCTGTTCTGGCGTCTTCGATCCGTTCTTGACTAATCCGCACACTCGCCAATGTCTGTAGCACCCCCGCACTCAAATATTCAGGGCAGACGGCAACGGCCTCGGTGACGAGCGACTCGCATCGTCCCTCTGCGTCGTTCTCCCACGACAGATCGGTCATGTAGACTTCGGCCATGGCGCAGAGCGCCTCGGCCAGTTTGGATTTCTTTTCGTCCAGCACCCTCTTCGTCCCCGCATCCTCATCTGCCGCGCCCCCAACGGTGGTGGTGGTAGTGGTGGTGGTGTTCATCTCGTTGACCGCCTCCTCGAGCACTTCGATCTCATTCCGGAGCACCTCACAGGCCTGCTCAAAGTATCCGATGCTCTCTTTCCCGCCCTCCTCACACAGCTGCGCGAGCCAGAGCCACGGCTCCGCCGATATCAGCGCGCCGTCCTTGTCGATCCGCGTGGCGCGGGTAAAGTTTCGTCGCGCCGAGTCCACATCGCCCAGCGCGACTTGGATTTCGGCATTCAAGGTCAGGACGGGTGGCAGGGTTGGAACGCCCTGGGCGGCCAGGGACAGCAGGTCGTCAATATCGATTTCATCCTCCGTGCCCACATGCTGTTCTTGACGCTCGGCTTCGAGTCTTTTCAGGGCTTCTTCGGCAAGCGGGAGAGCGAGTTCCGGCTGGGACTGTTCGAGGAGTTCGGCCGCCTCGGTCAAGAGGTCTTCAATCGATTTCTGCGACTTTTTGGGCACGCCTTTCACGAGCGGGGAGGTCGTCGAGCGGAGGATGTCTTTTTGTCTCGCGTGTGCTTTTGTCTTGGTTTTGGCCATTTTTCTTTGGTCAACTCGGGTTCTCACGGAGTATTAGAAGAAAATATCTCCCACAAAACCCCCAAGGCGTGGCTACACAATAATGATTTCTTGCCCAAATCCACAAAACTTTTTGAACGTTTTTCGACGACCGCTTTTTCGTGAGGAAGGTCTCCCGAGCACAGCCTTGTCGGACAGCAAAGCAAGGCAAGGCTGGATGTGTCCAAGATATGCTTGATGCTGCCCAGTCAAACTTTCCGGTTCATCTACCTCGGCGACAGCAGTCATTAGAATATATATTTCTGGGAGACTAGGGCCTGAGATCCCCAAGGTTGCCGTAAGTACTACAACTCTGCCAAGGCTCTTTGTATCATAGATTTGTCTTCGGCTGCTCAAGTGGTCATTTGGAGTGCTCGAACCTCTTTTCAGACCGACTAGGCTCATAATATATTTCGAAGATGGAATCACGGATGGGTCACCATGCAACAGAGTCCCAAAGCCAGGTCTGCCCAACGGTATTCATCATGTTGAGGTCTGCACCTAAGAGACCCACATCATTCCCCGCCGTTTGGTTGATATAAGAATTGTCTGCGCCGTATTGGGCCACGTTCTGGTTTGTTCTGTCATCATTCGGTCTCTCTGGATCTGGCGCAGGTACTTCCGGGAACATTGCTTGTACACTTGTCAGCCACACAGACGCGCAAAAGACTGACAGAATGTGTGGTTCTTACCTTGCTGCATGATCAGTAAACCATTGTTGAAATCTATATTCTCGAAGCCAGAAAAGTCAAAATCGTCCATGGTTGTCTCAAATTGATCTATCGTCACGGGAACGGATCCGTCATCGATCCGTGTCGTAGTTGGATTTGCGGCGACTTCATCAGGGTATTCCGGATCCCCAAAGGCAGGACCAGGAGTTGCATTGGAGGAGCCTGCAGCTTCTCTAGGTCTTATCCCGGATAAACTTGCCATGCTTTGAGAGGTGTCCGATCCCGAAAGCATCGCTTTGATTTCTCTTTCCCCAATTAGCCGAATGAGATCCTTGAGAATCTTTGATGTCTGCGCAGAGAGGAGGGCTCTTCCCGACAAGAACCGCGAGAGGGACATGATCCGAGCAACGGCCTGTTTGGCCATTTGCGCCTCCGACGACAGCGGCCGTGAGAGGGCCACGACGCACAGGACCATGCCAGCCGTGAAAAGATTGATGCCGAGAAATGCTGCGGCGTGACTATCCCGTGCTGAAATCAAGCACTGGCGGTACTCGCCAAGTTTCGAAGACCGGATGGCAGATTCCCAACAGTTATCTCTGCTGGCAAGCAGGATCTCATGTACATGACGATGCGACAGTTTGACATCGCTGCCAAAGTCGATCTGCCCGGAGGAGTACCTCGAACGTTGGGAGCCGGACGTCGCTGCGTCTGACTTGAAGTTTCGCAGATCTTGAGACAATAACGGTCGGTGTAGAAGGATCTGGACATTGTCGTATGCAATTTGAAGGGCCAGTGCTTGGAGGAAAAAGGGTCTGGTGTTGGCCGTCAGGGGTTCTGCATTGTTCCGACATAGGTCTTCCAACTTCAGCTCCGGCGGCAGAGAGGCGAAGAAGGTGGACAGTTCTTTGTTGATTCGATAGACTTTGAGCGCCAATTCGGATACACTCGAACTTCGATGAAAATATAAGTCGCCGATGATAGGCGAAGATATCTGGTACAACTTGATCTTGTACTTGAGGTAGGCAAACGTGGTGACCGGTTCCACGGTGCCGTCCGGCATGGTCGCGGTTGACCGGAATGACGGGTGTTGCACAGTGGTGTCGCCGATATTCTCTGGGATCTTGATGTCAATTTCGCCAATTGGAATCCCACAGGGCCGGCCAAATATTGTAGCTGCAAACCTAGATCGAAATCAGTCGCACATATGTAACTGCCAGATCCCTCCACTTACCGATCAAAGATGAACAGAGCCCAGAAGACCCGTCTGCGCTCCTCTTTCGCAATTTCTGACAACCCTCGCCAGGCCGACTCTCTATGGAGCAGCATGAGTTGTGCACATCTCATTCCAGCACCCAGCACCACAAATGCAAGGTTGGGGCGACCGTAGTAGACATAATACGAGGCGAGAAGAGTACACACTTGGACAGACTCGAGTTCCGCCGCATCGTACACAGAGTGCATGCTGTCTTCGACCTTCTTGAGGGATAGCTTTCGGAATGTTTCCAATTGGAAGGTAGGAAACTTCTGTCGTACATCCTCGTCCGAGGCATAATGTGCGCCCATGGACAGGACCAACAGGATGAAGATCACCTGGTTTGACTTGGTCCGCGGAAATCTCCTCGATGCCATCAGCCTCTCGTAGGAGGATCGGAAAGTTGGCTCGTGGAAAATCATCATGAACCAATGAACAGCGTCGAGGTAGTTGTTGAGGAAATAGTCCGTCACCCGTTTGGAAGGTAATTCGAGGCCCAGGAGCTGTTCCATGGTAATGTCATCCTGACATGTTCCTAACTCCCCTTGAGAACTACCTACGCCACCAGGAAGTGCAGAGGTAGAACTCTCAAGAATGATCTCAGGGCTGAAGTTGTCAATGATCTACAGAATTCCCATCAGTCGCATAGCCAACACACAGTCCGGCAAACTGACCTCCTGTGTCAGTCCCGCAGACGAGATCCTCTGGTTGTAGGCTTCGGGATCCGTCGCTGAAAGTCGGTCCAGGCTCACGGGCGCCTTCACTTTCGCGGGACTATTCGTTTGTTGACCGGGTGTCGAGCTATTCTCTCGGTCTTCGCCATGGCTGAACCGTGACTGCGGGGAGGCACTGGTCGTGGCGTGCAGCGATGCTGGAGGGTTTGGGCCAGGCTGCTTCTCGACCTTGCCATTGTCTGGATCCGGCGAGGACAGACTTGGCCACTTCTTGCGGCTGTATCTGAACACTCCAACTTTAGTTCATCGGCAGGTTCGTTTCCTAGAAAGGCTTGGAAAGCGACAAGAGCGACTAACCTTTGCCTGGCCTCAGAGATACAAGGTACCTCGGACCTCACGCACAGGGAGCAAGGTCGCTCTTGGTCACACTGGGTATCGAGATCAATAAGAAATGTACCACGAAAGGCGCATGGTCCACTCACCTTCAATTTCTGTCTTCGGCATCTCTGACAGGCTGATTGAACGCGCGATCGGCGCTTTGCTCTTGGAAGCGGCTGGGGTTGCTGTGGCCATTCTGAATCTGCGTCCATGACTAACTGTCCATTTCTTTAGAATTCCTTTATAGGATACACAAGTATCGAAGTTGGCATAAAGAGGGGCCATGAATTGGGCCGCTAGAACAAAGATCGGGCCAGGTTGAACTTCATAGTCGGGCAGAGTCTTGTCGAGAGGAGAGAGGCGCGCAACAAAGCCTCCTAGCAACCCCATGCATGATAGAGATGATAGAGGCACGGGTATGTACCCAATGGGTAGTGGGTGGGTGGGCAGTCGAAGAGCTATTACTAAGACGCGGGATTTGGGGACACGGGGCAAACCGGGGGCTGCTTTTATTGCTAGGCCCTCGGTACTCCATGCCTAAAGGAGCCCGGGGCACACTGGCTTAGGCACTGTAGCAGGAACCCAAGCCAACCTGAATTGCGGAGCTTGGGCTAGTGACGCCTACTCCGTACAAGCCTGTGAATCTCTCGCCATACCCATTTCATCAGACTCGGGTGTGTTCACTATTAATAGTTGGTTCAACAAGTCACCTGGACTTTAGTTGCACCAGTGCAGTAGTCACACAGCTTGTGTCTCGGAAAGGTTCTACGTGTTGAGAGAGGTGAATGCAAGGAAATCTGTGAAAAGGTCCTCTTCCTTAAATACACATCCGCTAGACCGCCAACCAAGCCCAGCCAGTGTCCCAGACAAGAGACATTCACAGCACCGTCCATGCCAGGAATATTGATACATGTCCCAACCTATGCATAACCTCTTCTCCGTCGTCCCTGGTTCCGTGGACGCTGGGTAACAACGAGGGGATTGATTTTGTGCTTGTCTCGCGTCTTGTAGCCAGATTTCGCCTGAGAGCCGGTCAGTAATGTGGAGGATACACTGTGGAAGACGCAAACTTACCGGAATTCCCCAGGGGCTCACAGGGATGCGATTCCCCTTGGATTTGCCTCGACCACCACCGTGTGGATGGTCTGCTGCGTTCATGGCCACACCTCGCACAGTCGGTCGAATATTGAGCCATCGCGATCGACCTGCCTTGCCCAAAGAGGTGTATTTGAAGTTGACATTGCTTGCAACGCCAATGGTTGCGACAGCATCTTTGTCGATGAGTCGAACCTCACCACTGGACAGGCGCACAGTAACATAGTTGGCCGCCTTCTCGAACTTCCTGAGTTGATCCGTGCTCAAGGTGGACAGATCCATGTCCCCATTGTCACCGATCAACTTCATCATCTCTTTTTGCACGGTGTCTTCGCCTTTGCCGATGATAATTCCATGTGTTCCTGCACTCCGACAGATCTTCCCAATGTCGCTTTTCGTCGGCGTGATGTTGAATATCGGAGTGCCGACAGGGATCATGCCTAATTGCAGACAATTGCCCCTGTGCGCCGTTTTGGACGCGAGGACACCCTGGTCGATATGGCCACCCATCTCGTCAATCAGTGACTGTGGAAGGCCTGAGCGATAACTCTCAACCGTGTCTCCGGCTCGCAAGCCTTCTGCCGCGAGGATGTAACTCCTTTCCTCGGTCTGCAGGTTCTTGACAAGGGCGATATGGGCAGTCCGACCTGGGTCGTGCTCGATTCGCTCAACAAGATGCCTTCCACCCGTGCGCCTTGCGAAGTCAACAATTCGTATCCTTCTCTTATGTCCACCTCCCCGGTGCCGAACCACCACATGGCCTGTGTGATTCCGGCCACCTTTGCCGTGACCCTTTTTGGGAAAAGTTAAGGGAAAGTGCGGGCGGCCTTTCCATAAGTGCTCGTTCAATGGACGGACCAAATGTCGAATACCCGGTGTTCGGGGGGTGTAGCGGCGCAGTCGAACTTCGAACTTGGAGAGTGAGGTTCGGTCATCAGCTTGAGCGAGAGGGAGATCTGTGATGGAGGTGTCTGTGACTGAGCCAGTCGGGTGCACAGGATCGATGACCTGTACCTGTGCGTAGGACCTGCGCAAGATGGGTGACGGAAGTTGACATTTTCTGCACAGCGACCGGAGAGGTATTCGCGGTTGAAGCATTTCGCGCGGCTCGAGAGAAGACAGGGCCTAACTAAGGTTGTTCCCTCGTTGATCAACTCATGGTCATGTAGCAGTGATATATGAAAGACACTTGAATACGGGGTTGCTTGGAGCTCCAATCCAAATTTCACAAGCACCGGTGGAGCAAGGCTGGCTGATCGGCAAACATTCCTGAAGCAGCAAGCGCAGCCTTGTCCATATCTGTACACAGTCTCGCAGTATCCAATCGATCACAGCGTGAGGAGGAAATCCCCTGCCTCATGATACAGTCAATTTGCCTGTTGCTTGTAGGTCTCTTTGGTAACATCAACCATGAATGTAGCTGCTACGGAGATCGACACAAGTCACCCCAGAAGTACGCCGCCAACCGCGAATGTTGCGCAACAAGACGCTGACAAGATCATACAGATCAGATTGGAATGAGGCGGATGCTTTACATCATTCTCCCAAGGTGTCCCCCAGTTTTCCTGAACTGCCTCTCAACGTCTTCCATGTTTTAGGGGTTGAGTGGATCCCAACACTCTTGGTTCTTCTTCACAGAGAGCCTTGTACAGAGTTTCTTGAATAGCTGGTGCTGCCGCACTCATAGCCGGCATTGCGGTGCCAAACCAGATCGGAACAGCAGCCACCGGTCCCAATCCTGTGAGAGCACCTAGGCCAAGAGCGGCAGCAAGACAGGCACCGTTAATACCCCAGCCCACCACCGGCAGTGTCGTGGCGGTCGAAACCCCTGCTGCTATCATGTTCGAGCCTTTGGGGTCGAGAACGTTCGCAACGCCGTCCAAAAGACCAGCAGGCGCTGCTGGAAGGTTGAACTCAACATACTCCTTGAGCTTGTGCTTCTGCCCCTCCACTTTGAATGGCTGAAGGCAATCGGGAAAATGTAAGGGCTGCTTGAAGGAGATGGAGTACCATGAGGGGATGAGTAGGTGGAAAATAATGTCCTGCTCACGCTCCGACTCTCTTTTTAATTGCGCCCTAACTTCTTGCATGTACAGACAGCACTTGTCCAAGTTATCTGACTTGGCACAAAACGTAGGCGGAAGAGGTGTCTCCGTGATCAGTCGATAAAATGCTGGATACCAGTTTGTGTCAGGATGGTAGACAAAGAAACGATGATTGTCCCTTTCCGCCTCCTGGATCACACCGATTTTCTCTTTGATGAAGTCGTAGACGTGTTTCGCAAAGCCGTCGGGGCCTCCGCTTCCGGACACGGTGATACTGTTGGCATCTCCAAGATGCTCTCCGATGTTGGCCAGTGCCTGGATTACTTGGTATCCCTGATCAATTTGGATGGCTGCGACCTTCTGCATCCAACATCCGTAGTAGTTGATATGATCGACGAGCAAATTTCCAATGACATGGATGCCATGGACATTCCTGACCACCCGGTCTACTGAATCAGCAATTCTTTCCATGCTCTCAGCTGCAACTTGGGCACTTGCGGCCAGGGCCTCGGCGCTATGAGAAATTGTATCAAGATCCGGTCTTCTAAATGTTTTCGGATCCAAGCGTTCGCTGGTATTTGCGGTGGCATTGCCGGCTCCGTATGTCGAGTGGTCTGCAGCGGTATTCATGCTTATGCCGGCCACTCGGCAAAGAAAAACAGGTAACGGAAGACCTAAGATGGTGTCGATTACCCTCAAGAGTTCAGACGACTGAATTGAGAGACTCGGCGTTTTTGGGGCTGTGCTGGTCAGCATCATGAATGACAACATCAATCAAATAGTCTTACTGACAGTGCTCGAAGTTTCGAAGGTCCTATTTCCAGCCCAAAGGCGATCTCCTGTCGGTGAGATTTGTTGTTCGTCAAAGTTACGTTCCCAGAATTGTAGACTCTTTGTCGTTTTATAGCATGGCACCCCTTCCTTGTATACACTCAGTTGACTAATTAAGGCTTGAAAGATTGAGAAAGAGTTGCTCACGGGCTGACCACGTCCTGGTCGGGGTTTCATGATCAGTTTGTCTCTTGCTGCGAACCGCCAGCATTTCCAGCGTTCGTGCGACGAGTTCTCAAGAAGCGAGGTTCGAGGCGCTCGGGGACGATGCATCATCAGTCGAGTACCACCCGTTTGCCAAGGGCCACCGTCATGCGTAAACGCACAGCTCGTTCCGACCCCAAGGTCGAGTCTCTTTTGCAGGTTGGAGGACATGGGTGTTCCGGCCAAAGGTACAAAAATAAGGAGAAGTTAAACTAGAATGGCCGCCCCCACCCTGGCCGCTGTGAGGCTGTGTGTAAGAGGCGTGGTAAGGTGTAAGGTCGTGATGAAGCTGTCTGGCTGGGAGATGTGTAGCTGGTGTAAGTGGCTGCTTGGATACCACCTGCAAACCATATCCCAACGCACTACAACATGATTATATTCCTGCACCTGTATCTCCATCCTCCTCTGACGCTCACTCATATCGCGGCCTCAGCCTGTCCATCCCGACCTCGTCTCATGTGCGAGGGCAAGGCTGTTTCAGCCGCCGGCCCATCTGAGGTATGGCTGGCGCTCGGGCGGCTTTTGATACAATCAAGGCGTGGCAGTGTGGGCTATGCCCCTTGGTTGGAGAGAACCATGAGAACCACCATAGCCAAATGACTGGAGAGCAACCAGCCTTGGAATCTGGAGAGGCTGATAACATATGGGTCTTATGAGGCTACTCCATGCGGACAAGAAGAGACTAGTGTCGGCGTTCTGGACACCGACCCTCCAAAAGCGGCGGCGTGTAGCTCCCATTTCCGGAGGGGAAATTTCCATGCAACTTGCGTCCATCTGTATTGTATGTACATGTTCAATTCAACCTCCAGTCCGTGCAATTCCTTTGAACAAGTCCTGCATGAAATAACATACACACCAATCCTTTAGATTCGTCTCAAAGGGACGGGCGGCCACCATGGGTGCAAGTGGAAAGCTCCTCCGCACGCCCTGCAGCTTCTCGCAGCTCCAGACTCGCCCGCTCTCCGTCGTCCGACATTCGATACGGCGAGCACACCACCTGCACGATTCCTTCCTGATCTACGCTCCCGCCGCCAGACTGGGCAGCATAATATCCCGCGCAGCATCGTCATCCTCCCCGTCGACCTCCACTCCACACGTCGCCGCCGACCGAATCGTGCGACCGCTCGTCCCTCCACCGCGTGAAGGGTCGGGGCCTCTGCTCTCCCGCCGCCCAGACCGGGCCCTGCCTGAGCTGCCTCGACCGATCTCAGTCTGGCTCAAGACACTCCCGGTGTTCATCGTGCTGGTGACGGTGGCGTCGCTGGCCATCTTCAACTACGAGAAGTCGTCGTCCTCGACAGTCAATTCGATCCTGTACGCACTGCGTACCAACGAGCACGCCCGCGAGCTGCTCGGCGACGAGATCTACTTTGCCAGCCAGGTGCCCTGGATCAGCGGCGAGCTGTCGCCCCTGCAGGGCGTCATCGACATCAGCTTCTGGGTGAAGGGAACCCGGGGCAAGGCTAAGACGAAGTTCGTCAGTCTGCGACGAGGCCGCGGCGGGTTCTTCGAGACCTTGGAGTGGAGTCTACAGATGGAGGACGGAACCGTGGTGCAGTTGCTTGAAAAGGAGGGCACGAGAGATCCCTTGGCGGGCCAGAGGTTTGACTAGTTTTGAAAAGGAAAAGAATAAACCAAGAAAAGGCCCAAGTCGAGGTAGAATTTTGAAGAAGAAAAGTGAGGGATTTTGTACATTAAACTTATACCTGGCCAGTGACGATGACGATGACGACGGAGAGGATGAGACAAATTCCCTCTCTGTCGGGTTCCCGAACAAAAATGAGATGAGGGCTGAATCTCCAAAAGAAACACCAAAGATATGCTTTTTTCTTCTTCTTTCCCACTCTCGTTCCCTTCAATCGCGCGGTTTGACTTTCGACCCCTTGGTGTTTATGCCTGTGCCCGTGCTCGCGCCGACCGCCTGCCGCTGTGGCATTTTTCCAATATTCCAACCCCATGATCTTAACGTCCTGACGACTTTGGGGAGGATCGCCGCGGTGAGGGGGACTCGAATGAAGATGAAGGATTTGTGCACGGCATATGCGAGGGCCAGTTGAGTCCATATACCTAGTGGCACCGATAGTGTTAGCTGTTTTTCCCCATCCTAGACTTTCCTGTAGCTTGACGATGAGGCATGTCTCCCCGTGTACCTGAGAGCCCCGGGGGGGTCTGGGGCGGGGGGACATAATGAGAGAGAAGGAAAGGGGGAAACCACATACTGGCATTGTCGCCCTGATTCGCCTTCTGCGCAGCTTTGTACCCGTGATCATTCGTCTGCTCTTCCAACACCCTCCCGCCTGCCTGCGTGGCCTGGTGATCGAACTCCCTCAGGCCGGCCTCCTCACTGGCCTCATCGATGGCCCCGTCGGTCACCATCTGGGCCTTGGCGGAGCCCTGGATCGGCCACTTGACGATCGACTTGAAGGTCTCGACGACGACGTGCTCGTAGTGCCCGATCGTCTCGGTACCCACCATGCGCACCGCGAGGAAGCAGAACGGGAAGTCGGCCGCCGAGAGCGCCAGGTACACGCCCACGGCTGTCCAGCCGTACTCGCGGGACATCTTCTTCAGGCGCTCTTTGATGGAGGGTTTCTGGTCCGCCGGCGGCGGGGAGCTGCTGGTATTGGAGGAGTTGTAGCGACGACCTGTGGCATGAAATCGCCGCCGTGTGAGGCGTCCCTGCGTCCGGAATGCTTGGAGAATTGTTGAAGAGAAAGAGGAGGATGTACTCGCAGGTCGCTGGGTATGTATGGATCGTTTGAAAGAGGTTCGGGACGGGTATGGGGAGGGTCTGGTGCGGAACGATTGCTGCAGGGGAGCTCGAGTCCGATACATGGTGCGGTGTGTGGCAGGCGGACGCGCCCGAGAGAAGAGCTGTCGGAGAGCAGCATTGCGCTGGAATACGCGCATGCTCTCCATTGTCGTGGACACTCAGGATCCCACAGGACTGGCAGCGGATCAGAATGATTTGTGGAATAACAAAACGAGGGCGTCGAGTGTGATGAGAAGAATAAGGTGCCTTGCCCCGTCGATGTCAATTTCGTCACTCTCGGAGTGGGCAACCCGAAAGCTCCGGATTTGCGCCCTGGTACGAGATACACATACGAGTTATTAGTATTAATTCTCAGCATGATCATGAATATTTGCACTCGTTTTGGGTCTTGTCCTTGTTGTACAGCCCGCTCCTCCCATCAATACCGATCCATCAGCGCCCAATTCGCTCACATGTACAGTTGCACTCCGAGCTCGATGTCCACCCCCTGCATCAATTCGTCCGGCTCCAGCATACTCTTATTAACATTCATAACCACCCTGCACGAGAATACAGCCAACGCTCAGTACCATCCATGACAGACTCCAGGGGCTTTTTCCCGAGAGGCTCCTCCCAAACATGACCCTGTTCCTCTGCCCGTTATACGATACTAATCCCCTAAGGACGTTTGGGTGGCCTTCCCCTTCTCTTTGGGCCCCGAGCAGCAATGGAAGGCTTGGGAGGTGCCAATCGACCCTTGCTGACAGTTCCACTATTAATGGCAGCCCAGGTGGCGACCTGCCTTTGAGGTTGTTTGAATTCGTCTGAATCATCACTGTCCGGCCAATCCGAAGCAAAGGCTTTCACGGTCGATAGTATGGGCCGTTTCGGTATGGTTACGGTCGGTGAAGGGATTGGCACAGGGGCTGGCGGGGACACTTTCGGGAATTTCTTATTGTTCGTGGCTGACTTGGGAGGTGAAGCGGCTTCTTCTTCGTCGTCGTCGTCGTCGTCATCTCCCTTCTCCTCTTCTTCTCCGGCTCGGGTGACCTCTACCTGGGCTGGACTGGCGGCCTTGTCACTAGAGGAATGTTCATCCAGGAACGACTCCGGAGACCAACCGTCATCCAGGTCTTCGCTTTCGTTCTCCATCAGCCCAGCCGCAGCCATTTTTGCCAGCCGATTCGCCTGTGCTTCCGCCGCAGCCCTTGCCTGACTTAAGGGGGAGGGAGCTGAGGTCGATTTGGCTAGGATGGGTTTCTTTGGAGGAAAAGCTGATGAGGATGCTGAAACTGTCCTTAACCTGTCACTCTGCTCGGCCGGAGAGCTTGTCGCAACGATATCATGGACATTCTGCATCACGGTCAGTTTGGGCGCTTTCGTGGCCATTCGTGGCGCTGGTTTGGGGGTGCTCAGTCCAACGTCAGCGGGTGGGCTCGAGGCAGAGCTCTGGTTCCCTACGGATTCATCGTTCGAGGATGCGGAAGAATTGAAATCCGGGTCGACTTCGTCCACCCTCACCACTTTCGCTGTTGGCTTGTCCGTGGATCTGCGGCGCTCGGAAGAATGGTCAGAAACAACCTCATTGAACTCGTCCTCCGAGGGTTCTTCATAATGACGGTGTTGCGTGCGTGTCTGGCGCCTGGTAATTTCAGCGTCGGGGGGTGGAAGGTCAGCTCCATCTGCGGCACGTTTCCTGCGGTCACGATATCGACCGGGCGTGAAGTCATCGTCCTGTTCGACCACCTCATGTTCAACGCCTCGCCGAACCTTCTTTTGCACGGCTTGGGGATTTCCTTGGGCGATGTTGAGAGCTTGCAGATCCGAGCTGATGACCGGTGCGGGAATTTCCACCCCCTTCAAGGCTTGCTGCACCACATTTGCCATCTTTTCGATTTCTCGAAGTCTCTCTGTCGGAAGCGACAACTTCACTATGAGTGACTTTCGCTCCTTTTTCTTGTCGACTTTGGCTTTCTTGGAAAGGTAAGGACGGTCACCATCATCCATCCTCACACGCTTGCGTTTACGCTCGACCATTTCAATCTCTCCGTCTTCCACGCCAGCAGGTGCGTACCCTGCACGCACAGCCGCTTGCTCCACTTCGACGGGGCCAGGAATATGAAGACCATCTTCTAGATCCGGATAGTCGTATGTGATAGCCTCAGTGGGATCATAAGCATGCTCAACATCTCTGATGACGCCGCCCTCGGGGAGAACGTATTGGGATGTCAGATCGGGAAGGGGAACCGCTTCTGCAGCCACTTTAACTCCTTCTGGGTTTTCGTCGAAGTCATCCTCATCCTCTATGGAGGACTCAGGTGGACCAGCAGTTACCAGCGCAGGGTCGATTGGAATGCCTTCTTGTTGCGCCAACAGAAGGACACCTTCTTCCACTCTGTCATCCATCTCCTGGTAGCCGCCCACATAATGTTCCCCAAGCTCCGGCCTCGTGGCTTTGGCGACTTCTGCCTCTTTTCGACGCTGTTCAAGACGCCGGGACTGAACCCCATGATCATCGTCTGCCTTCTGGATCCAGGCAATATTGGAATAACTGAAGTCAACCAGGCTTTCCACTGAGCGGGGATCCGCGACGGCCTTCGTATTATGGCCGAGAATCGTGCCGGACGGTGTATACGGCTTGTATCCGGGCCTGATCTTGCACCGCCGGCAGCCACATATATTGTGACAGCTAGGACACACCCAGTTTGGATTAGCAAGGATATCCTGTGGCATGATATCGAATCGTCGGAACAGCGTGCCATAGCAATAATTTTTGCTACATTTCGTGCATGTGGCTTGCTTCCACTTGGGTTCCCAGTGGAAGTCGACATGGCATCGAGCATGGCTCTTCAGAAACTTTTCAGTTCGCTTGATCTTTTTCTTTTTCTTCACGTTCCCGTTCGCGTCCACCTCATCCACCTCTTCCCGGTTGTCGCCTGTTACAGGAGAGGGCGGACGCCGAATGTCCCGAAACGGTCTCCTCTCCAACTCAAGCTGGCAGATCTGCGCCAGTGTCCTTTTGTCCCCGAGCCGTTCCAGTTCAATTTTAAGTGGCATTGGTGATTTCTCTGTTACTCTGCCTTCATATTGCAGGAGCTGTTGTCTCCATTGTTCGTGCTTCTGCGTAAGTTCTGCCCAGGGCCACTGCTCAACCCACCTCAATTTTGAGATGCATGCACAGCTTCTGCCCATTGCGTAACATTCCATGCAGATGTCGTATGTATCTTCTTCACCGTTCGCCAACGTCTCGACGCAGCTGGGACAAGTGAGAAACCGGTTGAAGATATTGCAGCGGCAATAAGAACAGGTAATGTTGCTGTCGTAGGGGATGTACTCAATTGTCTTCTCGACATGGCCGGGGAGGAAACTTTCTGACACCAATATTTCGGTGAACAGAAACTGCAACCTGCGGAAGTCTTTTTCTAGTTGCCGGGCTTTCGAGTCACTGGGCATACGGTGCTTAAGATCCATGGATTTCTGCCTGAATTTCTCTGCCAGCCGAAGGAGCTTCGAATATTTCTGCATGGTATAATAGATGATTGCCTTGTTCTTGTACTGTTCATCACGGCACACCATTCGCGCTCGGGGCAGAGCTTCGTGCATTGCCATCTCAAGAGTTTCAACGGTGGTTCTGTTCCACGCGACCTTCATCGTCCTGGTTCCACGGTTCCACACCTGATGCGGAGCCAGGGGAGGAATGAGGATAAAGTCGCCGGGCTTCTGTTCGACGACGTACGTCTTGAATGGTGCATTCTTCCACGCGTTGACCTGAGCGAAATGCTTCTCGATCTCGATGTCATGGCCCAGGCGAGAGAGCCAGTACTCGGCGACCACGGCCCGTTCTTTGGACTCGGTCATGAACCAGATCGAGGAGCCCGGCTTCGTGAGTTTGCCGTCCTCGGCGAGGCCCGTCGAGGCTTCGACCATAATGTTCTGGCCGAGACTCGCGCACATTTCTCGATGGGCGGGGGTATACGTGCCCTCATGACCGATATAGCACATGAGATTTTCCGCCCGCATTTCTTTTGGAAGACTGCTCATCAAGTCTCCAGCTCTGGCGATCCCTCTTCCTTTCCTCACTCCTGGCCGGACAGGGTCATTTTCATCCACCTCGCCGAACCCACCCACGTCACCCGTTGAGTCGTTGAGATAAAACACACCGGGAGGGAGGATTTCAGACAATTTATCTTGCCACAACTGCGGGCAGTCAATATCCTTGAGATACATCCGCTGACGCTCGGGGTCCTTGTAGTTGCGTGGGGTCCACTGATTTGTCAATAATGCCATGTTGTTCAAGTAGTGGCCGATCGAGAGCGGAACGTTGGTCTTCTTGGTGAGGTCTCTCGCATTTTCAACTGAGAGAATCCGTAAGAACTTGATACATTGTGCGAGTGCGATGTAGGACCATACCTTTTGAGCCGCAGTTGTCGCGGAGCCACTGTAGCGCGAACGTCCATTTGTCAAGTCGCTCTTCGTAGCCCTCGATGACAAGAGGTTTGCCGCCCAGAATGACGTGAATCAAGACCAGCTTCTCGAAGTTTTCGAGGCCCTGGTGATCTATCATGTCGCAGTGGATGCGCACCACCCACTCGAAATTAGGCTGTGACTCGACGAGCGCTTTCAGATCGAAATCCGGCGAGATGGGCTCAAAGGCCGCACACGGTCGTGTGGACGGCATGATGGCCTGGCTTCGAGGACAGGACCAACAGCCTCGCTCAGTTGTACAACCCTTGTTTTTGGCAAAGGTGAGTTGGGAATGAAGCGCATGCTAAACGAGGAGGCGGGGCACCGTGGAGGGAAAGAACGAAGCGATCGGTCAGTCCACGGTCCACCTCCTCAGTGTAGGGAGAAGGTGACCGGGGGTTGATGAGAGGAGGTGACTGTGCATGAATGACAGGGCGCAGGGACCTAAAAGTGACTCGGCTCTTTCTTCACCTTGGAAATCTGCGACGCGAAACTGAAAGGAGATCAATATTGCGGAGAAAGGCTACACTATGCCCGAAACGGATAGACATCCATCCCAACCTCGATTCTTCTCAGCCTTGCCGTGCAGCTTTTTGCACTGTCTCTTTTGCCCCAAAACTACCATGGGAGCTCCCTAGATATGTTTCGGACGTCAAGGCCAATGCATGCAAAGATCACTTGCCAGGTCTTTCGATTCTGTACGCGAACGCCTTCATTGGTGCCTGGGATTCGACGGCGACAGCACAGGATTCTCCATCATGGAACGCCGCTCGGGATACCAAAACATATATCAGCACTGATTCGCTTCTCAAGTATCCAAGGGAGATATCTAGCTACCCCGGCCTCGCCCGCCCCATTGACTCAGGATCTCCCCACGGTCTATAAACCTCCCACCACTGGCATTGTATCAAAACTACCCTCGTCATGGATCCCTTATGCCGAACTCATTCGCCTCGACAAGCCCGCGGGCACATACTACCTCTTCTTCCCCTGCATGTTTTCGACGCTTCTGGCGGCACCGATGGCTGTGCCTACAGCTTCACCACTGGAGGTGATGTCGACGACAGCTCTATTCTTCACCGGTGCTCTGATCATGCGAGGTGCCGGCTGTACAATAAATGATCTTTGGGACCGCAATTTGGATCCATACGTCGAACGGACACGATTACGACCGATTGCGCGGAAAGCCGTTTCTGTTGAAAATGCAATTGTATATCTAGGCGCCCAGCTTCTGACTGGATTGACTCTGCTCTTACAATTTCCCCTACCTTGTCTCTACTATGGAGTCCCGAGCCTCCTTTTGGTCACTGTATATCCTTTGGCGAAGCGAGTTACCCATTACCCTCAGTTTGTTCTTGGCTTGACTTTTTCATGGGGCGCCATCATGGGCTTTCCAGCGCTGGGCATCGACCTAATCTCCAACCCTGGTGCACTTGCGGCCGCCGCGGCGTTGTACTCCAGCTGTGTCGCGTGGACCCTCAATTATGACATGATATACGCCTACATGGACATCAAGGACGATGCCAAAGCGGGCATCAAGTCGATCGCCCAAGCACACCAACACAATTCAAAGACCGCTCTGTCTGTCTTCTCTGCCGCTCAGATTGGCCTCCTGGCGACCGCCGGGTATTTTGCTGGGGCAGGTCCGGTGTTTTTTATCGGAAGCTGTGGTGGTGGTGCGCTGGCTTTGGCAACCATGGTCCGACGGGTGAAGCTGGACGATGTCAAAGATTGCTGGTGGTGGTTTAAGAACGGCGCCTGGTTCACCGGCGGAGTCATATCTCTCGGCTTGCTCGGAGACTATCTTCATCGGAAAACCCAGGAGGAGTCTCCATCCACGACTCAGACCACTGGCGGCGCTTAAATAGTATTCCGGTCGTCACTGACCGTTGGCTTCATAAAAGTCCTGGGTGCCGAGTCCCAAGTGCTCGTCAACGTAACTCACGATCTGCCTCCAGTCCATCATAGCCCCGTCGCCCGTGTCGCCACAAGCCAACTCCTTCTCTGTAGGCCGTAGGATCGTGAACCAGCCGTCCCTGTCAGCGCCCCAATCCTCCTGGAGCACCTGGATATGCTTCTTGGTAATCGGGTGGTGCCACATGGCGGTATTCATGGCCGGCGCCACAAAGATCCTCTTCTTGCGCATATCGATCACGCCCGTGGTGTCCCACGCCCGAATGACATTCAGGAGCAGACCGTCACTGATCCCGTTGACAATCTTCGCCATGGTGTTGGCCGAGAGCGGTGCCACAATCAGGACGTGTGCCCACCGCCTCAGTTCAATGTGTAAGATCTTATCGCCCCGCACCCAGGGTTTCGACCACTCATCCTCTTCATGGTACACGCCGTCCACGCCGGGATAGTCCAGGAGGGAGCGTAGCGGGGGTTGTTCGGCCGACTGGCCTTGCAGAAACTGCTCGGCGGCTTCTGTCAGAACGATGCGGATGGATACGTCCGGGCGGGAACCGAGGGACTGGGCTATTAGGGGAATCTTTATTGCTGCTACAGAGCCGCTTGCAGACAGGAGAATGTGGTGTTTACCGTCATTTTCATGGGCTGCGGCGGAGAAGCGCTCGCCGCTGCTTGTGGGATTTGTGGTCATGGTGTATTGTATGCTCTCTTCTTCTTTTTTGAGATGTCTGGGGAGAAGAGGAAGAAGGAGCCGGGTCTTCTCCAAGACCTTACATTCCCTTGTCCTTATAGTGCAGTATTCAGATTCGTTCGTGGATTTGTCAGGCGATCTGAAGGAGAGGGAATACCGTGTAGATTGTAGATCTGCAGGAGAAAGCGCAGACACCACAAGACCGACCTCAATTTGTCAACATTCGGTTGACATCATCCGAGCCGTCATCGACAATTTTCTCCAACAGCAGCAGCCACGGTGATTCACCTTTCTTTTCTTCAGACTATCCAACCGAGTTCCCAAGATGCTGCAAAGATCATTAAGAGCACCGGTAGGTTCTCTCATCCCTGTATTCCAGCGAACAAGACCAATGAGACTAATTATGGACAGGCCTTTCGCGCCGCCCTCGCCAGTCTCTCTCCCCGCGCCACTCCAGCATCTCTTCTCCCTCGCATATCATCCTCTCTCGTACAGACGCGGCTCCTCTCTCAAGAAGTCCGCGCCGCCATCGATAGAGCCGTGGCCTCCGCACCAGTCGTGCTTTTCATGAAAGGTACCCCCGAAACACCGCAGTGCGGATTCTCCCGAACGTCGATTCAGATACTGGGCTTGCAAGGCGTGGATCCGCGAAAATTCACGGCTTTCAATGTCCTGGAGGATGACGAATTGAGGAGTGGTACGTCTCTCCATGTTCACACCGCTCCCGCACTGTTTTGAGCCCATGCTGCGACCGGCAACAAGGGACCTGTTGAGCTTGTTTAGCGACGCAACCTCGCGCTCGAAGCTAACCTGGGTTAAATTTGGGTGTCTACAGGAATCAAAGAATACTCGGACTGGCCCACGATTCCCCAGCTATACGTCGACAAGGAGTTCATCGGCGGCTGCGACATCCTGATCAACATGCACAAGGACGGCAGTTTGGCGGAATTACTGTCGCAGAAGAAAGTCATCATCACGGAGGACGGCGACGAGGATGTCGAACCGACGCCAGCCGGAGGGGACAAGAGCGGCGGAGACGTGGAAGGCCACAAAGCACAAGAGGCGCGGGCAGAGACGGAGCAAAGCACCGGAGCGAGGTCGAAGGAAGCGAAGGGCGAGAGTTCGTGAAAGAAGGCGGCCAAGGCATAGAGGACACACATGTTTTGATGGCCCCTGTCGTGAGGGGCCGCTACAGCTACACCTGGGTGTACCAAATCAAACCTCTCGAGAGAGCTCGATGCTCCAGCATGGAACGTGTTATCGTGTTCAGAAAAGATTGAAGACAAGTTCGCGTGCGCAGATATATGTTCCGTCCTTCAGACGCATCGGGCGACAATATGTACAAAATAAAATATATATATACCCCGAAGATCCCCATCATAAATTCATCACCACGGAGTCCAAATCTCCCTCCGGCCTTTTAAATTTCAGTCCATGTCGGTGGACATCTTCAAACAAGAACACAACCACCAACAACAACGAAAGAGGTAAGCTTGGAAAGTGAGTGAGTGTCAAGGGGGCTCATTCATCAAAAACAGCTTCCTTCTCCTCCTCCTCCTCCACCACCACACCCCACTCGTGCTCAAGGCGGCCGTACATGATGTCCTTCAGGGCTTTCTTGACACCCAGGGCAAAGGCGGCTCCATCATTGGCATTTCCACCGTCCCGTGCCTCTTGCCCCAGCGGCAGGACCAGATCGGTGCCTCGGAAGTGGATATCCTGCACGGGGGCAATGAAGAAAGCCGTCCCGGCTCCAAACGCCTCGATGAGTCTGCCCTCCCTTTGGGCGTCGAGGAGTTCTTGCATGGTGAATTTCCTCTCGATGACATCCACGTCGCCGCCGCCGACCGCGCCGGATCGGACGAGATCCAACACGGAGGCGCGCGTAACGCCTTCGAGGATAACACCATCGCCCAAGGGCGCGGTGACCAGCTCTCTCCGTCCGGTTTGCTTGTTCTCCCACAGCACGAAGAAATTAGAACCCCCGGCTTCGGTGACGAAGCATTCGTTCCCAAATAACCACAGGATCTGATCGTAACCCCGGGCCCGCGCTTCTCCCTGTGCGACGAGCGAGGGGCCATAGTTTGCCCCAACCTTCGCGTTTCCAAAGCCGCCTGGCCAGGCTCGGATCATGTCATGTCGGGAAGCAAGGAGGCGCATGCCCTTTGAGGGGGCAGCAGGTTTTGACTCGGGCTGGGCACTGAGAGGGGCAGGGATAGAAGGAGGCTTGCAGCTCGGGTCATCCAAAGAGGGAAACATGACCATGATAATATACATCAGTGCCTCCTTCGGCTTCTGCACGCCCAGAGCAGGGGCCGTTGCTATCATCGTAGGTCGAATGTAAATGAAAGACTCGGGCTCAGCAATCCATTTGGCCGCCTCGACACCGACGAATTTCTTCAAAAGCTTGACAAACTCCTCGGGCGAGAAGCTGGGCAGTGCAATTCGAGCTGCCGACTGCAAGAATCGCTTAGCATTGCGGTCGGCCCTGAAAAGGCGGACCTTGCCGTCAACGCCTCTGTACGCTTTCATTCCTTCAAAGCACTCGGTGGCATAATGCAAGACAGACGCCGTGGGCATGATAGACAGTGGTCCATAAGGTCGGATCTCGGGTGCTTCCCATCCAGCTTTCTCGGTCCACCGAGCGGTAAGCATGTGGTCTGTCGTGCAGTTCTGAGCCCAAACTTCTGCCGAGTTGGCAATGGGCACGTTCTTGGGGTTCAAGTTGCGGGTGATAGTCAGTTTTGAGGCATCCAGTTCGGCAATCTGAAGTCCATCGGAGGCAGCTTTCTCGAGGATTGCGGCCGTGCCAGCCTTGGTCAACTTGGAAGTATTATCGAGGGTAGGTGAGGGTGGGGAGACGGGCGAAACAGCGGCGGGCGCCATGATGAGCGACTCGGTACGTAACGAAGACTTATTGATTCAGAGTACAAAGCACGTGTCAAGCCCAACCAGAACAGAATCACGAGCAACGTGCGAGAAGGAAGGATGGGAAGGGGGGAAGAGCCAAAAAGACGTGGACAAAACAAACCCGTGACTCATATATAGGTATGTTTCGCATTCGGCAGAGACGGACACAGTTGACATGAAAAATGCAATTCAACAGACCTCCGTGCTTGAAGTGGATTTCTGCAAGGTTTGGTGTGGAACAAGGCTTGAGCTCAAAGGATGGCACATCCAGCGGTCCGCTTCGTTCGTCTGCCCAATCCAGGTCTCTTGACGATCGCGACTTACCACGTTCCGCGCTAAAGCATACGCCTTTGCAAGTACAAGGGCAAGGTCTTATCAGGCCGGTCCGATATCGAACGCGAAGGACGACCGCAGGTTGTGGATACGTTGCATCACATGGCCGCTGGAGCAGAATCGAAAGATTTTCAGACGAGAGATTTTCTATCAGTGTGTTTAACCCGAGAGGTGGCCACAGGGAGCAACACAATGAAGCTCTTCTTCCACGTTGAGATTGGTGGGAAGATTCTCCAGCTGCGAGAAAACAAGGCTCCGCTGAAAAATTCCAACTTCAATTCCGCGATCCGCGAGTTTGGCGCGGGTATTCGCGGATATCGAAGACATCCAGGAGGCGAGGGCGAAAACGCGGGCCGTGTTGTCGTTGTCGGAGACACGGGTTCACTCATTCTCCAGGATAAAGAGGTCAGCTGTTGCAAATTTGCAATGCATGACCTCACTTGATACCAACCGACGCGCATCTGAGTGTCAGCACGGGATCAAGGACCGTCCACGTGTGGCCTTCCTTGTCGGTGTGGTCGAATGCTTTTCACAATGCCGCGAGCTGCTCAAAGGACTGCATGAGGCCCTTGAATAGCTTGGTCTTTTGCACGTTATATTGCTGTAATTGGCCATTAGCCTGGGGGCGATTGTGGGAGGAGGAAGAGCGCATACTTCCTGCATGTCGGTGGCCGCTTTCTTGGTTCTGTTCGCGATCTGGTCCATGGTCTCTTCGAAGCCCGCCACATTTTGCTCTAGTTCTGCATGGCGCTGATGTATTTCATCATGAAGGCTTTGAGCAGGGTCGAGGGTCTCCTCGAGTCTTTCTTGCTGGCCGGGCTTCATGGCGCCCCCTTGGAGCTGAGTGACGAAGATCGACTGCTTACCCAGTGTTTCAACAGCAAGTCTTATCAGGTCGAATTGAATGTCTTCCCATTCATTCCATAATTTGCACAACATCTCCTCTTTCTCTGTGCGCAACGCACGAAACTCCAAGACACGATCTTTGAGCAGGACTTCATCCGTCGATCGATAGTCGGTATCTGTTCTGGATGGGACCGGGGTGAATGCTTCTGCAGCAAACGGTCTTTGCAAAGGCTCTTCGGTCTCCGCCAATTCGTGGAAGTGCGTTTCAATGTCGACGGTGACTCCTTCGAGACCCTCGATCAGTTTTCTCTCGATTTCGTCTAGCTGAGTTTTGCTTTCAATCTCCACGCTCTCCCGGTAGTGATCGAGACTTTCTGGACTGGATGAGCACAGACCGATGGAACAGGGAGGCCTATTACCTGTAAACTTGTCTGCCAGACTTGAGCTTGCATCCAGCTTTCTGTCACTTTCTCTGGTCTTGGAGATGCGATGGGAATCACGCCCGTCCGAATGATGGACATTGCGAGATTTGTTCGCAGTTGGCGGTAGGACTGGCTGGCGATAGCGAGGAGTTGCACCACGAGAGCGACGGAAGATGGGCCTCAAAGATGGAGGATGAGATTTGTTGTTGGTCGGCTGCATGCTGCGGCGTCTGTGTGTAACGAAAGGCCCCCCCAATTTGCTTGTAAATTGAATGTGAGTTGAGTTGAAGGCGCAGCTGTGATGGATGGTGCGACTTTCTCCAATTGTCTCTTTGGAGAGTGTCCTCGAGTCTTGCCCTACTCATGAGAAGATCATTCGATCTATATTTTGGCCTGTGCTCCCTTTCTTCCTGTTGGTGCCCGTTGAGCGCCTGGTTTGATTCTCTGACCTGACCGTAATTTTTAAACCTTCAACACTCGATTGCACATCATTGCAATATTAACTGCCTACATCATCGCCAACGTCTCGAATAAAGAGGAGCTGTACACTCGTCTTTAGGCTCACGACTCTCAATACAAGGCTCGCCGGAAATGACATCCTGGGGATCCCAAAAACGGCAGCACAGCCACAGAGCCACTGTCCCTGATGTACTCGCTTGCATGAGAGGGGGCACGATGGTGTGGCACCCAATTGCTATCATCCAGCCTGCTGGCAACATCCTTGGAGATGACATTGATCGAGATGCAACGGTCTACAAGCGGTCTTGCCCTGCGTCATCGGGTCCTTAGTCGTGCAGATCCTGTGGCTGCCCAGAGTGTATGCGATTGGTTGTTAACGACGATCTACGACGACACCTTCCATTCTGATTGCCAAACTTGTTTTCTGCTATCCCTCTTGATCTCTTACGGACTGCTAAAGAACTAACATCCCTGGCCCGTGCGGAGTCGTTGGTGTCGTGGCCCTCACAAGATGACGTCGGTGGTTCTTTGAGGAAAGAAGCAGGTAAATCATCCATTCCACGAGGTGTTGATAAACCTTCATGTTGGCTCTATTGATTCCTGTTCCACTTCCACTCCACCTGCCCAGATATGCTACATTCGAGACTCTCGAGCATAATCAGTACCAAACAAAAACAAAACAAAGCATCAAAATGGTTCTAGGAAGAAAGACCAAGCGCCACCCAGGTGGAACAACTGTTACCACAACCACCACCACCACTCACCACCCGCCAGGAGCAGATGGCCGCGGTGCTCATGCAGTCCGCACCAAGCCTACCCTCAGGCAGCGGCTGATGGGCGGAAGGCGAACCAGAGCCACCACCGCTGCACCCACCACACGACGGCGTCGGGTCGGCACGCGTCGCACGCCCGCGACAGCCACTACCACTCCTCGTCGCAAGACCAGTGTCGGCGACAAAATCTCCGGCGCAATGCTGAAGTTGAAAGGAACCCTCACGCGGAGGCCTGGGCAAAAGGCAGCAGGGACGAGACGAATGCATGGGACCGATGGGAGGGGCACCCATCGATATTATTAGTGATCCCAATGGTCAAGGGCAGCAGAGGCGGCAGACACCGTCATCCAAGCCACGCTTACTGAGTAGGATCTGGTCTGAATCCGTCCTGTCTGTCTGGAGAAGCAGAGAAAGGTTGACAAATTTGAGCCCGTTTTTCGCCGCAGGTCCCACGCGGAATGAGGCTGAAGCAAATATACTGCCACGTGAGGCTTCATGTTGACTTTGTAAGGATATCACCAAATTGAGATACCACAGTGATAATGAGAATTGTAATTGTATCGACCGAGGCAGATAGATGGTGTAACTTTTGGTCGTAGATTTTATTCTTTCCTCTTTCGTTTTACAGCATATAGAAATATGCCTTCTTTCTGATCTGCTTCCTTCCCATTGTACTCGACGTATTCAACGTGGAAATTTCTGTTCATGTCACGAATGAATCGCATGTCCGCTTTCCGTCTCTTTTTAAAGCAGAAATAGCAGGTGGTTTCGGGACCGATCAGGTCGCTCAGTGTCTGGAGTAGTAGGGGGAAAGCGGGTTCAAAGTAAACGCAGTCGGCTGCAAGGACGATATCAGGGTGATGTGCACCAGGGGACAGAATGGCGGGTGGAGGTGACGTGCCCCAATCATAGACCTCTGCAACGACCTTCTCTTCCAGCTTGTTGAGCGCAATGTTCTTCTTCATCAGTGCAAGCATAGGTATTTGATCCGTAATGTAGATCTTTTGCTCGTGGTCGAGTTCACAGCCGATCGCAACGGCCAGTCCCACCAATCCACCGCCAGCGCCAATTTCCACTACGGACTTCCCTCGCAGTGAGTCGGTCCGGTGGTATTTGAGCATGTATCCTGCTAGGACCATGCCGGCGGGCCAGAGTTGGCCGCCACATCCTTCTTGCAGATCCTCGTGCAGGACGAGGGCCCTATCAGAGGGGAGGAGATTGTCGAAGGTAAGATTGGTTGTGGCGGGCTTTTTAATATCGCGCTCAGGCACGAGAGTGGTTGAGATGGCGAAGACATTGTTCTCCGGAGAAGGAGACCGGGAGGCAGGCATTGTTTGGTGGGTTGTTATGTTACGAATTGAGGGTACTCTATCGCGTTCCAGAAGTTTTCATCATGCGCCCGCTATCGGATTGAATGTCGTCGACAAGGGAATTAAGTGACTAGGGTCGCGCTCAGCGCATGCTCTGGTGTCTCAGCGGAATAGTGGCTGTCGCGAAGGAGCGATCTAGAAGCACGAAACTTTTTGCAAGGCTGCTGATAGCCCTGATACCGGGCACCCGAAATGATTGGATGGTAACTTAGCGGACAGATAATCCGGGGTAACATGCTTAGCGGCAGCTGTTGCTCCTGCCCTAGGAGCATTTCTTTTTGCAGTGTAAGAAGGCCTTCGTCCGCTTGCAGCATTCAACAGCCTGAACTGAGTTGCTCCAGCACATGAAAGACCTTGGATGCGAAGCACCGATGGCCGATTCGATGATTGGAAGGTGAAAGAATCCCAGGTCTCCAAAGTTAACGTCAGGTGCCCCTTATTGATCCTCGGCACTGACATCATCGAGCAATCAAGCGACTCCGACTGTCATTACAAGCGGGGACCGGCGGACTGGGGGCTAAGTAGGTCCAAGTCCGTGTGTAATATTGGTGTCTCCACCCGTTATTACCGCTTCTTTATTCGACGTGTCGTCATTGTTTGCGCCATACTGCGCAGCTGAAGCTTCGGTTTCCCGGTCGCTCTGGCGCCACTGTTGCAAGTCTCCAAAGTCACTTGGTCCTTCCCTGCGTGCACGTCACAGGCTCTTCAATATAAGCTTGACCCAAGCTCAACTTCATCCCATCCATCTTCTTTCTTCCATCAAGCCTCCATCAGTGCATCCATCGACTCTAATCTTTCTTACCATTACAACAACACTCAGACCACACATCCCCAGTCTCTTTAGACAAACACACATTCATCACAATGGCAACCCTGCACTGTATGTCCTCCGTCCCTCCGTCCTGCATTGAGTGCTTTCTACGTCACCACCTCTGGCTGGACAGCAGAGCTTGCCTCTCCCCCTAATGAGTTAAATAGTACGCTGCTAACCTGCTCGCTCTCCCGCAGACCTTCCACCTGTCAAACCCTCCGCAATTGCCCTGGGCATTGTCTTCAACCAAGCCGCCTCTGCGGCCGTGCTGGCCCCTCTATTCGGTGATACCTACCACCGTGCCAAGGCTGCCGACAGCAAGGAAGAATTCTTCAAGTCGAAGGAGACTGCGACCGCCGCAGCCAGCTGGGGCTCGTCCATCGTTGGATCTGCCGTTCAGACCTACGGTGTCGCTGCTCTCATCAATGCTACTGGTACTCTGTCATACAAAGGAGCTGCGTATCTGGGTGGTCTGATCTTCATGGCTACTTACAGCCCTTCGGTATGTCCACGCTACGCTACACGAGGTTGGGAACCACAAATGCTAACATATTCCCCCGTAGCTCGTCTCCCAACTCGTTGTGGAGAACCGGCCTTTGGACACCGTCGCCGTCGGCGTTTTGACCCGCGTGTTCGAGACTGTTGGCCTAAGCATGTTCCTCACATACTGGGGAACCCGGACCAACCCATTTGAGTAAACCAACTACTTTAATATGAACTGGCCAGTGGGTGCGGAGAGGACTCGTACGTGGTAGACGAACAATGAATGCGAGCGAACAGATCACAGGCACATAGTGAAAGTCGGAAATGCTGAGCAGAAATGGGAGTTCGGAAATGGCAGGGCAGCTGAACCCATCAGTGTATCCATAAAAATCCAATCTTCATTGAAAGAGAGCTAGCTACACTCTGGTGTCTCTCGGAATGGCAGTATCATGTTCAGGCTATCCTAGCGAAAACTTTGTTGCGAGATCATGTACAGGCTCTCCTGTTCTCGTGTGTTGCTGTGTGTTTCTCTTAGAGCAACCACCATGTTTGAGTAGCGACTCTGTTCGAGTTTTGGGAGAGGACCATGTCTGAGACGCCCTTCTCGCTTTAGAAAACATCATTCGTACCTGCGCCAATCTTATTGTCAATCGTAAAAGCACCACCATGATATTCCAACAAGCCTTATTCTCTTTCTGTTGACTAACACCAACGTAAGTCTGAGCGTTCCTGTTCTCGCCCTGGGGTATCATTTTGTGTTCCGACGTATGGTTGTTCTCGTGCCGAGGGACCGTTGCAGTTTTAGACATCCTCGCTGACTTCCTTGTCCACTGCATTCTCAAGCGCACTGAGCACATCAATCTCATCTTCGCCACGTCCTTCTTTCTTGGCTTCCTGGTCGATGACAGGGGTAAAGACAGCGTCAGTAGCTGTAACGGCGACGGCATCAGCGGCGGCGTCGGCGTCGGGACTCACATCCGCCTCAGCTTTGGGTCTTTCAGGGCTGGCGACCGGGCTAGAAGTTTTGACGTCTTTCTCTTCAGTGTCTTCCTTCTTGTGTTCTTCAGGAGCACCATCTTCTTCAGGCACAACTTCTTCTTCCACTGGCTTGGGAGTAATTTGCGTGGCTACGGTGTCTTCAGTGAGAGTGGGGTCGATGGTAGTGATGCTTTCAGGAGGTGCAGGATCCGTGATAGTGGCGTGTTCAGTAAGAGGTGGATCGACGACAGTGGTGTTTTCAGTCGGAGGATGATCAACGGTAGCTGCAATCTCTCCCTCTTCACTGCCTTCTCCTTCACTTTCAGATCCAGAGCCTTCTGCGTCTGCATCATGCATAACTGACTCGCCTTGGATAGCGGGCGTTGCGTCTGCGTTGTCTGCACCCTCGACAGCAGTTTCAGGGGTGTTTCTCATCGTCACATCCCCTTCGACAGTGCTTGCAGCGGCGGTGTCTTCAGTGGCGGCACTTTCCAATGCAGCAGGAGCGATAGCAGAAGTAGCAGCAGGTTGACCGGGATTTGGATTCTTAGGCTTCCTCCCAGGCCCACCAAGCTTCTTCTTCTTGCGTCTCGGAGGCAAGTTCTTTCGGGCAGGCGTAGATGTGCCGTCTGCTTGTGTGTTGAGCCCGCGAGATCCAGATCCTGGGGCAAGGATGCCAGCAGCATTTCCAAGTCCGCCACCATCACCAAGGTCATATCCTGCAGCTCCATTACTCATTGCCGCAGCAACGGCGTCTCCCAAAGTGCCGAATCCGTTCGTGGCTTTGTATGCTCCTTTGTAGAGACTTTCCATTCCGGGTCGGCGGTCTGCAAGATATTTTGGCTCCGGCATTCTCTCAGCCAGAGCAACGGGCACCTGAACCCATTTCTTGACTTCAAACACTCGTTCGTTTGAGCCCGAGTTTGCTTTGCGACGTTTTGAATCCGGAGCTAGGCCTTCGACGTCCATAAGATCGTCATTTTCTTCGTCGTTCTTGTCCTCATCATCGTCAACATTCATTGCGTCGACATTAGCAGTTGGATTGAGTTTGGTTTTGTTCACTTGAGCTTTTCTCGCTGCCTCGCGCCTCTCCAGTTCGATGCCTGGAATGTAGCTTTCGGTCTTTGGGTCCCAAACTGACAATTTGGGATTGACATTGCCCATGCGAGCACGTCGAACCAGTTCCTGTGGCAGAGTAATTAAATTAGTGAAGGCCAACATAGCGAAAGCCAAATTGAGGCATACCTGATTGGCTGGTGGAAGTTGCGGCCAGAAAGACGGCAGAGGTAGCTCAGGCCAGGAGTGGCTGCTATCCTGGTTCTCGGTCGACTGATTGTTCCCATCCGTATGATCGGCGGATGCGTCCTGGTTGACTTTGACTCTGGTATACTCCCAGCGTTGCACTGGGAGGCCTTCGGTCACGTCGAAATCGGGGAGGCCAGCTCGATTTCGTGGCGTTGGGTTGTTTTCTTGGTTCCTCGTAGAACGAGAAGACCGGAGCTGTTGTGAGGGATGGTTAACCATCAGGTTTCCTCCGCGAGGGACAGAACGACGAGGAATGAGAGGAGGGGAGGGTGTCGAGGGCACCGAGGGAAAGGCGACGGCGGCAGCGGCAGCCGGCGAAGCAACGACACCATTGCCCTGGTGCGAGGCACAAGGACGAGGACTCTGTACAGACCCTCCAGAGTTCACCACCGCCCAACTGGGGTTAGATGATTGACCACCAGTGTGCTCGGGGTGGTCATCTCTGTAGTGTCTGTACAGAGTCCTCCGGCTTTGATAAGGCTTCCCACAACAGGAACAATTGAAGTCTGACATGATGGCGGGCGATGGTGAGGTGGATGAGGCTGACCGTCGTTGGGAGAGAAAAGATAGAGCAGATAGAGCAGATAGAACAGAAAGATACAGGCAGCGATGATGCATTGTGGGGGTCCGGCAGTAACAGTCATGTGGTAAATTCGCGCCAGAGTGCGTCTTGTTTTCATCTCCTGGCGGAACCAAAGAAAACAACAACTTACCGGCGCCATGATATCGTGGAAACTTTTTCACAGATTGAACAGTCGGACGGACGGCAACCTTGTTTCTACCGTCAGGTCAGCGCATGGATGAAGACTTGGGAAGTGTGCGCAACTGATTTTGCGTGGGAGAAAGATTCACCTTCGAAAGGGATATGGTTGTTGTGGAAGTTCAGGAGGAAGGCTGAGAGGTGCATGCGGAGGTTTATCACAGAGGACATTTGCCAAGCGGCTCACAAGGACACTGAAGAGCTGTTATAACGCTTAGCGGCGGGAGCCCCCGAGGCTATGAGGTCGGAACAACTATATCTCCGACAATGGGAAGGTGGAGCGAGCAGGAGGAGTTGAAGCAAGATGAGGGAAGGCACCTGGGGATGCGTGAAAGCATCGCCTCTATGACAATATGAGAAGTACAACACTGAAAAGCAAGTCGGAAAAAGAATCACTTCATGGAGGCAGAGATTGGTATATTCATTGGTATCACACGGGACGATCAATCCCTGGCAGAGGAGATCCGTCCATCTAAAGCACAGTACGGAGTACATGAAACCAACAGGAAGAGGCAGGATTGAAGGAATGTCAGTCCCATCTGCAAGATATTAGCATGAGAGAAGACAGGAATATGGGCAAGCAGGAGCACATACCCAGTGTCTTTCTGTCTCACAATTCCACCATGGTCCCCAATCTCTTTGCCCTGCATGCCTAAGTCAGAAAGAGACCATGCGTATTAAGAAAGAAAGGGGTGTATTACCGTCTTTCCGCCTTCTACCACGAGTCTGTCCAGCTGGTAGAACTGTGATATTACCGTCTGCCTCTATTGAAACAAGTCAGTTTTTTCTTCCCGTGAATCGCACAAAGCCCGGGCAGTTCCCGAATCGTCGACCAAGATTTCCATGGACATATTCCAAACCAGAGTGTCTTCAATTTTCTCCCAAACCCCTCCAGGAAAGCTCCCTCTCGAGAAAGAAAGAGAGGAGGACTTACCTTCATCATCTGCAACTCCTTCAATCCCTTTTGCACAAACTCTTGTATCCGTCGCGGATCCGTCTCGTGCTGGTGTTCGTGGAACGCATCCCTCGTCCTTCTCCTAGCGTACATTCTGAAATTGTAGTTTGCGAACTTGTTCCCCTCGCGGAGCAACGACCGGTACAGTGATCGGACACTGAACGCTGAGGTATCGGCCGCGGTGGCCAGGGCGGATGAGGCCATTGTTTACCGTCCGAGATGGGTGCTCGAGGATGCCCGGTGAGAAGCCAAGGGCCAGGCGCACGTAGAGTGCGGAAAATGCTCGGGTCGAGGCTGGCTCTGAAAGACGGCTCTTGGTATCCTGAAGAACGTGGCGCGGAAGCAGGGCAACTCGATGGCTCAGAGCAGGTCAGAATTTTTGGCGCCGCCGGTGCTCACGGTGCGGCGAATTCCTTAGGCAGAGCTGTCAGAAGAGCTTCGCTCCGCCAACTACGTCTGCAATGAGATAGTTTGCAGAATCTTCAATAGCACTAGTAATTGTGCAAGAAACGGATTTGGTGTGAGAAAGGTTGGCTCGTAGGATATTCTTGCGACTTGCTTTAAATCCATGCCCTGCGCGTCCCGCGCAGATTGCGTCAATACTCGGCCTGGGATCTCCGAAACGACCGAGATCTCGTTCTGCGAGATTCCCATGCGAGCACCACATTCCTACACGACAACATCCCACCTCGATGCCAAAGGGGAAACTGTTTTGAGGATACAGCCAGAGCCAAAGATATAATGGTGTCTCATCTTCCTTCTCCCCCGTCCTCGCGTCCAAGCTCTCCGGACAGCAACTCTGGCACTCAGCCCCAGCTTGTCGAAGCACATACACCAGATTGCGGAACGCAAGTTGAACCAGAACACCAATCCAAGGGGCAAGAATCCTCTGATGGCCTCCTCTCAGACCGGCTAGACGCCCTTCTCGTATCGTACCTGAACCTTCTGGACACCTACACGACTCTTCGTGACCGACTTTCCAAGGACCTCTCCGGGGGGTTCTTTGCGCTGGCGCAAGCCAATCGGAATGCGCAGTCTACCTTGGGCGTGGGGAGGAGGTATGGCGAGGAGGGATTCGACGAAAGGATGAAGGCTGGAAAGGTAGTGAAAATCGAAAAGACAAGAAACGCAATGGTGCTTGAGAGCTACAAGGGAAAGGGACATAAGGAAGTGCACGAAGACGTTGCACAAACTCCAGCTCAACGGACAGCATCGCAACGGAACAAGGAAGAGATGGAATCGGGCAAATATGATTTAGAAGAGGACATTGAGCAGTCAGCCAGCACTCCCTACGACTTCTCTGTCTCGTCGACATCGAACTTAACCAAGGACCCTCTCAAATGGTACGGAATCCTCATCCCACCCGCCCTCCGCACTTGTCAAACCCACTTCGCCACAAGCATATCCTCTACCATCCCTGAAATTCTAAACACCGCGTCCGCAATGCGGAGTCTGGAAGAGGAGATCTGGATTGTTCGACGTCAGTTGGGAACTGTCGACAATTACGCAACTGCCAATGTCGATAGGCTTGGAAACAAGGATGATGGTAACATTGAAAGTGACACAACAGCATCCAAGATGGCGGGAGGTCGAAATTCGGAGAGTCCTCTGTCGAGCCGCGCAATGTCGTCTCCCAAGTTCCAAACATCGCATGTGAAGAGATCGTCCTCATTATTGTCCACTACTCCGCCTGCCGGAAATCTGCGAACTGAGTCGTGTTCAAGCCTTTTGAAGCTTGGCTGACGACGCCTCGCATTGGTACTATGGTTGCGAATGAAGGTGCTGGACCTACCTCTGGACCACTTCGGGTGAACTTGAGGCATCAAAAAGCAGTTGCTGAGTTCTATCAAGTACTTCGCGGTCCCGCCTCAAGGAGAGATGAGAAACGAAACATAGATTGCATGCCTGGATGGGAGAACATTCCAATGTTATTACTACGGATGAGTATACCAATTTGATCCCAATATGCCCGAGTCACCACCAATCAGCACAATTTCGTTTGCAGCTCCACCGTATCAGTATTGAGAAATACCATCAACCCCAGTCCTAATGTTCCATGGAGACGTCCTCTTGTAAAATAGTTGGTCCCTCGACCACTCTGGAGACATCTTCAAGCTCTTCTTCGGTCAGCAGCATCTGGTTCTCCTTGTCGGCATCATCGTCCTGGAACTCGACCTCAGCTCGTTCGGATCTCACATGGTCCCTTTTGATCGGCGATGAGACCACATGTCTCGCTGCAGGACTCCGCATCACTTCCTCTAAATCTCCATCCCAGTAACTGGGTCGACGCTTCTTCCTGCTCACTGAAGGCTCCACCCCTTTTCGCCAGACCTTGACGTTGGGACTCAAGTCCTTGATGCCCCTTCCGGCGTCACGGCTGGCTCTTGGAGCCGGAGCACCGAACAGGCTCATTCGGACAGCTGCCTGGGTTTCTTCGTCAACTTCAATGACTTCTTCTCCTTCTTCCAGTTTCAATTTAGGATCAAATGACTCGGTTGCCATTTCTTCGTCTTCGAGAATTTCAGTCGTGGGTGTCTCTGTCTCTCTTGACCTCTTTTTAAGTTGTAAACGTTGTCCAGACTCCACCGGTAATCTTGGCGGACTACTTCTGAACCGCATATCGTCGGGCAAATGTGACCTCGCAGGCCGCAGGGGGTGCACGGGGCGCTGAGGGGGCCTCGACAGATATGAAGGACCGCCATAGTACTTACCGACTCCACGAGCATTGGCAAGATCAATGATCCCGTGCTTTCTGAACCTACTGGGTGGTGCCTTTGCCAGTGGCGTGAGGGTGTCTGTTCTATACGAGTCTCGAATTCTGGAATCAGGAGCCGGGTCTCGTCCAACGATTTTGGCAGCTGCCGTTGAGAAAGAGTACATTGGTGGGCCGGGTTTTGATGACGGGCCAGGGCTGTCCCTGGCATAATACCAACCGGGCTGGAAATGCTCCGAGGCTGGAGCAACATATGCTCGATTCAGGCGCTCGTGGTGAGGGTAATAAGATCGCGACTGGTAGGAGTCAGGAGGAGGATACCATGCATTGTGACCATTTTGTCCAGTGGATGTTGCTGGCGACATTGCTCTCAGCAATGGCATTGGGCTGCCTGTCGCTGTAGCGCGATTGAAAGGTGGCGGGTAACCCAAACCTGGAAGATGCCCATGCTGTCGTCCTTGGGTGCCCTGTATATTTGAACCCGGAGAGACGCCGTGAGGTCCTGGTACATTCGGCGTCGCAGACCTGAAATGAGCGGCCGGATCAGGACATAACACTGTAGGTCCACGTGCATGTAGAAGAGGATCCGGACATGGTTCGACGTCGGCATACTGCAATTCTCTGGTAGCAGATGCACTGCCATCACTTCCATTGTGCCTTGGAGGCTTTGGGAAGAGGTCGCTGAACTTCCCACGCTTCAGCTTCGCGGAGTCAGCTGCTGCTCTCACTGTGGGGGCCAGGACCAACTCCTCCCCAGCACTGGATGACGATTCCTTGTGCTGTCCCTCTGATTCTACCGACTTCCGTAGGAGATGAATGACGATGGGTGACTCTTGTGCAGAATCAATCTCCATGTCGTACTCAGCGCTCACACAAAGCTTTGACAATGGTCGCTCCAAGTCAGTGGTGGACAGACGTCCTGAAGGAGACGGGCCGTCATATTTTTCGGTTGAGCCTCTCAAGCCTGTCTTTGCCGGATCTGAGGACAGATTTGGTATATCCTTCAGATGTGGTGCGGAGCCTCCTTCATCAACAGGTGAAGTAAATCCGCTGCTGGGTGGCTCAACGGCGAAGACTTTGCCATGGTCCATCTCGACTGAGAATAGGTCTGGGAGTCGCGGAGATCCCTCAGGAAAAGGCTCCCGTACGTCCAATGCAAATTCAGCAATGTCTTTGGGTGCTCTAGAGTACCTCCAGTCCTTGGATGGTGTTTTTGAAGCTTCTTTCTCAGGGTCTCCTGAAGGGTTCGGATCGGCAGCTTTGGATTGCTCTGTTCCAGGGCTCTGGGGCAATCTGGAATCAATGGAGCCGACAGGAGAGGCAGCGAACTGAACATCTTGACGGAATAAATCTTTTGCGTTTTGAAACTTCTTTTGCATGTGTGCAACGTGACCAGGCATGAAGACCGACCTTGCCAGGCTCGGATTGGTTCGTTTGCGGCCCGTGTTGGACAAGTTTGCGTCTTGTTGGGGCTTCTGACGTTCGCTACTGTCTTTCCCATTTCCTGCGGGTGTTTTCGAAGAGAAAGAATGGTGTAGGACTTTGGCAAAAAATAAAGAAGACCGGCGCCGAGGAGGTTCAAAAGGTGCTGCAAGCGCAAAGTGATTAGTACGAGACAGTATAAAGGTTTTGATCCGGACGTGACGGAAGAGATACGAATGTTACTCACGCTTTGGTGTCCCTGGAGGATAACCGGAATGTGTTGACTTGTTGGAAGAGTCGCTTGACGGCACTGAGCCGGGTGAATGATCCATACCGGAGAAGCTGTTCACAGGGTAGAAATGCAGTATCACTCAAACTCTCGATTCGACCTCGAAAGAAGTACCCAAAGACAAGGAGCGGACATCTGCAGCGAAAGGCAGACAAAGAAGAAGGGAAGAGGTAGGAATGAGGCTGGGGAACAGGGCACGAGAAGATGTTGACAGGTTGTGCCATGACACCGGTTGAGCGGGAAGGCCCAACGCTGAAAAAGCTGGCAGCCGGCATATCTTTGGCAACAGGCATGTATGCTTGATTGACAGGAAGCGCAGTTGCGATAGACGTGATGCGAAGGTGAGGGAAAAGTGAGCCGGTAACTTGGAGAGAGCTGAGTGACTGGAAGGTGAACAGTACCGACAGTAACAATTGTCCACGACAGCTTCCCGGGTGCACAGCAACTGATCCAGCTCTTATAAGACTGTCGAGTCGAGCAGCCGTCCAGGTGGGCTAGCACAACGATGATGGTAGCACAGAATAACACGAGGCAGTACAGGCTGGATCGATAGCAGGCACATCCGGGCATCTCTGCAACACTCCTCAGATATATTGTCGCAGGAACATGTCTGTGGTAAGCCTGATTAGCCGAGTCAGAAGCCGTCTTCCGCGCTTTGCTGTTGTACGAGAACAAGCGATCACTTGCTCAAGGTGTTGACTGGACACATGACGGACTCGAAAATGTCCTCGACATTGAGCTCACGATGTCTTTTGTCCATTCCGTCCTAACAACCCACTGTCCCAGTACACCGGCATGGGACGTGGACGAAGGAAGCATTGGGTTATCGAGCAAGCAGTAACCCCCAGGAATTAGCCGGCATCGAACACGAGTAAGATGGACTGTTCAGGATAGATCCTTGAGCAGTAGCAGGGATGGATATGAGATCATCGTCATTGAGATTGGGTTGATCTTGATCAAGTGGTGTTGGTGGAGTTGCGATGGCGCCAGAACGGAGTTGGCGTCATTCTAGAGGAAGAAGAGGAGCAAAAGATCCAAGCTACGGAATAACAACTACTATTACGAGTGGTATTGCTCCATCTGGCATGTGTCGGAATAGGGCACAAGCACATCCATCATGCATGGCTTGCGGATATTAATTAATTACGGGATGGCAGCCATATTAAGCTCTGCCAATGCTCGTATCTCATGCTACAACGTCTCAACACCCCACGGATGCCCCTAAAACGTACACCAACTCGAGGCTTGTTCAGACTCGATGCTCGGATTGTGCGGACAATAAACCTACACAGATAATAACATGTCTCACCGTGATCAAGATTCCATATGTGTAGCCACCTATCGGGCTGTCACTTTAAGCCACCATTATTCCCCCTTTACAGTTCATAGAGACCTGCCCGTCAGCCAGGTCTGTCCAAGGCCGTCACCTGGTCTGACCACTCTGGGGTATGTCAGTGCCTGGGAATAGCCTTGCCAGCATCGAAATTGTACGGGAAATTCCTGGGTCCTGTCAGATAATGGGTTCCCGGATCGATTCCATGATTCGTCGCTGCGACAGCTGAGATCACACCAAGGATTCTGGGATTGTTTCCATGCACCTTTATCGCACTGTGTCTGGCCAGAAATCAGCACAGGAGGCACCGACAAGGCACCTCGCATGGACGGCAGGCTGGTGTTTCAGAATGAAGCCCTGGTCCCTGCCTAGGCGAGTTTGGACGGTGGAGCAACGGGCGACAACGGCTAAAGAGTCTGCAGGCGAACGTGTTTAAGCACGCCCGGGAGGCCAATGAGACATCTGTGCCTGGGAGTGCTAGGCCCCCATTTAGAATAGGGCCGACCGCTGCAGGCTCCATACTAGGTCCACTGCAAGCCCTGGTGGGCCCTCCACCGGCTGCGAGATACCGAGGCGTCCTCCCATTCGCCCGCCCATTAGCCAGGTACCGCCTGTCCATCAGCCTGCGTCGCATGCATCGTCTGCGCTGCTGGCACCGCCATCAAACCTCCTGACACAGCTTCTCTCTCACTTGCTGTATCACCTTCTTCCTACACGTTTGTTTCCGTTCATTCCCTCGCCGTCCTGTGGTCGTGCTTTCCGCTCCTTGTCAAGCTCGTCTTTGTCCTCTCTCAGCCTGGTTCGGTCAATGTCTGTCGACTCTTCTTCTCGTTAGATACCCAGACTGCTATTTTTCCATTGCAGTGCAAATACCCCCCCGACTTCGCTCATTCACACAAACCACCGATACACACTCGTTCACGTCTTCGCGCTCGTTTATACCGCACCCGCTTTCTCTTCGTTCGACCCCTTTCGCGGACCGGTGCCTGCAACTTCTTCGTGTTTTTTATTCCAACCAACATACCTCTTGCAACTAGTTTTGCGAGATCTTCACCCGGATTGACAATCAATCATTATCACAAGTCAGCAAGATCTGGCGCGCCCGTATCACCCACTGAACCCCGCACGCCTTACGATTTTTTGAAAGGAGGGAGTGCAGAAACGCAGGAACGTGGTTGTGGTCGAGGATCGGTGGAGACAATATAACACGAGGTACGCAAGTCTATCCGTACCAGAGGCATGTCTTGAGGAGTTTGAAAGCGACATCCCTTCTGGCGAGATTCCTGTTGAGACGACCAGATGTGAGTTTTGTCGGACATGCTGACACAGACGCAGTAGTCTTGGGGCGTTCTCGTCCGGAACGCTGTCGCTTCCATTGACTCGTCGCTTGCAGCGCTGCCGTCGACTACTCTCATCCACCATCCGCATGTCGGGAACATGCCTGCACACTTCTGAAGTCTGGTAAACCTCCCAGTTCTGCTGAAACGCCGTAAAGGAGTCCAACACTCGAATCGCCCTCGAAATCTCGAACTCAGCCACAGCCACCATGGATCCTTATCAACCCCAACCACCACAACCCAGTCACGAAGCCCGCTTTCATTACTCCAAACCTAACTATGCTCAGCCATCGCAATACCAACAGTTTCCTCCACATCCATCAGTGAGAGTACCCCCGAATGTCAAGCTAAGTGCCCGCCAAGTTCCTCTCGGCGTAGGTGTTGCTCCTCCTCCGGTCAGATATGACAGCCCTTCTCGCCAGCAGCAGCAGAGACCAACAGGGAACGGGATGTTGGTCCAGAATTTCAGATTCCCCGTCGCTCCACCCATCCCTCCCTCTTCATCAGGAAGAGTTCGACAAGAAACATCCCAGTCGCCAGGACGTAAGTACAATATGCATCAATCCTACGTGTCATCGGTAGCGGACGAATTTGCTACCCCCGGAACAACACCGGGATCGAGATCAAGAGGTTTCCCAACTCCAACGTCCAAACGATACTCGGGTTCTGTTTATGCTGAAAGTGAAGTTCTGGGGGCCGAAGACCGTTTTGATCAAGATAACTTCGAACCGGACACGGATCGACCCGACTCAGCCGATCCAATGCCACAAATCGTACGGCAAGCAAGTCTTGGGAAACGGGCAAAACCTGCCCTTACCACCATCAAAAACCGAGACAGCCAGATTGAGCCCAATATCCCCGAAGAATTTCCAGTTCCTCCTACACACGTGAACAAGCAAACAACTATGGAAGCCCTCAGTGCAGCAGTGGCTGCTGGTATGAGTAGCCAATTCATTGGGTCCCGTTCAGATACCCCTGGCTCCCGAAGTTACACTCCTGTTCGGATGCCATTCGACACATCTCCTCCCCCCTCTCCCTCTGCCGATAGAGAGTATCTGCAGACTCCAAAATCTCCCAATACAATTTCGTCTGGAATGATTCTCGCTCAGACACCAGCCTCCGGCCACTCTCATAAATCCACAAACAATCTGCTTGGCTTGGGTATCGATCAGCCAGCCATGAGTGACAAGATCCCCGCCAGTCGCCGGCCGCCCAGACTGGATATGGACGCTGTCAAGGAGGCAGAAAGCCGTGGCAGTACAACCAGTCTGTCAGACTTGATCAGACGGGCAACAAAGCTTGCCGCCAATCTCGACAGAGGCAAGACAGCAAGCCGCCTAGGCATGTTGGACATGTGGGGCAACGGTGAAAAGATGGGTGCTACAAATCGCCATTCCACCATGTCCGATATGCTGTCGGCTTTTCCTGCTCCAGCCATAGGCGGTACTCCAACGAAACGAGATACTGCGTGGCCGCTAGGTGAAAAGGGTGACGGCTACGCTTCAACCACCGATCTGTCTAAAATCCACCCCAGAAAACAACGGCGGAAATGTTGCGGCCTGTCATTACCTATCTTTGTTATCGTCCTTGTTGTCATCATCGTTCTCATCGCCGCGGCTGTATTAATACCTATCTTCCTAATTCTTGTGCCAAAGCAACACAAATCTACCGACCTCAGCAACTGTGCCGCCAGTCATCCTTGCCAGAATGGAGGTACGAGCATCGTGAGTAACAACGCTTGTGTCTGTGTCTGCTCCAACGGCTTTACGGGAAACCAGTGTGAAACGTCTGGAAACGCAGCTGATTGTATGACCATTACGTTGAATGACGGCAGTAATGAGTACAAAAATGCAACAATGGGCCTATCAATCCTACCAACCCTTTCGGATGCACAGACGCGGTTCGATATCGCTCTTAATATCTCGACGATATTATCGCTTTTCTCGTCCAACAATCTTTCGTGTACAGGCGAAAACTCTCTGGTTGATTTCAACTCAAGCTTGTCCAATCCCGGGACAAGGAGAACAAGACGATTCATTATGTTACCGGGCTTTGAGCCACGCCCACCCGTGATCAGCATGCCTCATCTACCTCAAATCACAGCGCGTGCAGAAGCGGGCTGCTCAGAGCCATCCCTTGAGAGGAGACAGGATGGTGGCGTCGCAGGAACTTCAACCTCGAATGGAATTGTCTTCCAAGCGAGCTCGCCAACAATAGGGCCCGTCAGTCCGACGGAAGCTGTGGTGACTGGTGCCTCGACTGTCACAAGCGTGACTGCGACGACAGACGCAGGCTCCGCCACCACAACAGCGTCACAATCCCCATCCACCACGACCAGCTCCTCTACACCTTCTTCATCAGCTGTTCGCAGCGAAGAGCTCGACTTTGCCAAAGTTGTTGTTCTCTTCGTCCTCCAAGAATCTCAAGCCATGACCGTGGCTGTGAATGCCCAACAGCGCATAGACTCGTTCTTCGCACAACAGGCCAAAGGCAGCGCCACGTCTGAAAAGGTAGACGTCGGATTGGGAAACTTGGTTCTGACAGCCGACTTTGACAAGTTCACTATCACCGAAGGGAATGGACAGGTTGTGGGTGGGCAGGAAGGTTTGGGATCATCATGAAAGGAGAAGAAGGGCAAGCAGGTATGGAAGCAGTCCACACACATGGTGGCTTCCAAAGTTGCGATGTCGCAGAGAGCGGCGCAAAATGTTTGAAGATGAACATGGGTTTCTTACATGGCGCTATGTGAGGCTCGATTTCAATGCGTTAGGGAATGTCATTAGGCTCGATATTGGCCAAGGTTTATTGGAAAGAACCAGAGGACATCAAATGAGGCGGGTCATCTTGGCTACGAACAGCCATGGGGGTGTTTATGTCCTACTATTCGCCTTAAAGTTTTTGTATGATATTTTGAGTGCTGGAAGACAAAACTGCAAGCGACGTTTGAGTCAATATTTTCTTCGACATTAGACTTGGACACACGCATATAAGCCAAGTCGGGCTTGAATCACATTCACTGGACCTTCTCGCACATTTTCCTGTAGTCATTGTTTCCTCCGCGGTTATGCAGCATCTGGAGAGGTTTCTGCGCCAAGGTTCGAACTTGGTTCTTTTCTACGACTCCTGTACGTGTCTCAACATCACACGAAGTTTCGAGGGTCTGGCTTGGGTGAAACTCGTCGTGTCAGTGCGGATAGTCGGTCACTGCACTCGTGTAGATTACGGTTCACGGGCATGAATACCACGTCCTGTCCTGTATAGATATAGATGTGTTTGTTTATTTGTTTATTTGTTTGCGCGTGCGTGCGTGCGTGCGTGCTCTCTTGGGCTTGAAATGGAGCGCTAATGGTCGTGTATACCACATGTGCTATGCTATGGCGTGGCAGACCAAACCCGTGCGAGATAAACTGTACGCCGGTTTCGCGTGATGGCCAAGCGTTGATGAGCCTTGGGCAGAGAGGATAGAACAAAGTGCATGTGGTAGACAACTGATAGGCAGGGGTAAAAGGATGGATGGAGGGATGGGTGGGGAGTCCGTTCAGGGCCTTCTGAATACATCTACGAATAGAGAAGCAAAGCATAGCAGCAGGACTTCATGGCTATGCTGCTAGCTAGTTTTATGATATCGTGGAACAGGAAATGCGCATTTCTCATGTTCTCGTAGCCGCCGCTCCGTCGCGAGCGGCATAAAAACAAGTTCCAAGGCTGGGGTTCTTGTCCCGAAGCATCTTCTTCTCTCGCTACGCACCGGCTCAGAAACAGATGTCCATCTCACAAATGCTCGCTGAAGCGCTCGCTAATGCAGTGTCGTCTGCAACACTTTCCATCTTTGATTACCGTCACCACGACTCCACGGTCTTGCCGTCTAATCCTGCAACAGCTGATCGATTTCTTCCTTCGACAAACCCAACAAGTAGGCCAAGTCGAGCATACTCTCGCCAATGTTCAGTCGTGCTGGGGCCTCCATCTGGACCTTGGATTTGGCTCTCCATGCGACACCGAGGCCTGCTGTCTTGAGCATGGGAATATCGTTAGCGCCGTCTCCCACAGCCATTGTCTGAACAAGTGGAATCCCTTTATTGTTTGCTAAACTTATCAACAGGTTCTGCTTGTGTTGAGAATCGACTATTGGGTGCGAAGACTCGAGTTCTCCGGTCAGCGTACTGGAATCTGGATCCACGGCAAGGTGGTTCGCGAATGCGTGGTCGAGCCCCAATTCACCCGCAAGCCAGTTCGCAAGGGGTTGGAATCCACCACTGAAAACAGCAAGGGTGAAGCCAAGTCGTTTCAAGCATTTGCATAACTCCTTTGCGCCCGGAGTGATGACAATTTTGGGCTTGAGCCGTTCAAACACGTCACTTGGCACACCCTTTAGCAGTGCCACTCTTGCCTTGAGTGATGCCGCAAAATCGAGCTCTCCGTTCATGGCGCGCTCAGTGATGGCAGCGACTTCCTTTTTGACCCCAACAAACGCGGCGATCTCGTCAATTACTTCCTGGCAGATGAGGGTCGAGTCCATGTCGAATACACACAGGCGCTTGTGTCGGCGGTAGACATTAGAGGGCTGTATAATGACCTCGCAATTCCACTCTCTCTCGAATTTGTAGATCGATTCGTGCTTGGAGACGAGGGGAAATGGTAAGTACTCGGGATTTGGTGGAGGGCTAAAAGTGACCTCCATGACTCTTGGTTTGAACGGATCAGGGGCAAGGCATCGGTGTGAAGAAGTCAACTGCCTCTCGTCCGGAACATTGTGCACCAGGAGGCTGTCAAGCGTAGACAGGAAATGTGTCAAGCATAACTGTGATATGTAGGCACCGTACAGATGATCGAGAGGTTCAGGCTCAGGTGGAGGAGGTTCGAGGGGATACTCTGAAATGCTCGTAGTCGGTGCGGAGCCTTCAGCAATCTCTGGGACCGGAATTGGATCTGTAGGTTTGGCGGGAGGCGATTGATCTGGATGGATATGAGGATGTCGTGGCGCGCTCGAGTTGTAGAAGATGGTCGCGACAAGTCTCGCTGGATCACCAGCCTCAGGAACACAATTGGTGTGGGATATCGTGTGCACAGTTCCACTCTCTTGAGCCATTATGGGCGAGGGGGGAATGGCGCTGACGGATCTTCTCGATGCACTCGAGAGAGATAGATTCGAAACAGCGCTCCGAGGGACTCGAGGTGGTTGCTCCAGAACCCCATCAATGCTTGCTGACGGTCCTGTTTGACGCGATTTGTATTCGAGGTGATCGTCGAGAAAGGTACTGCTACTCAGAGAGTCCTTCGCCAAGCTGAGCTTGCGAGATCGAGAGGGCGACGCCATTTCCAGGACCGCTTTGAGACTCAAGCCTCAGAAGTTGAAAAAGTCGTTTTGCGCCGCAGTCGGAGTAACGAGGTACTCACTGTCGAGAAGCCACACAAGGTCGACGTCGGAGGGCCACAGAGATGGGAGAGGGGGAAGGGATCGGCAGGATGCAAGACGACGTCATAGCAGGTCGACACCAATGCAGGAACAACCCATTGCGGCTCGGATCAGCGTTGAGGAATGATGGAGAGAGATCGGGTGTTTTTTTTGGGTGGCAGGTCGCCGGTGCCTACCATTAAGCTTGACTGGCAGATTGGGCCTTAGCTTACCTACAGCTTGAATGATGGAACGGAGAAAAATGTCTCCACGGGTTCGTGCGGCGGAGCATACAAAGACTGGGTCTTGGGAGGCGTTGCAGCGAAGCGGGCAGAGAGGAGAAGAATCGCAGGCCAAAGGGCCGGCGGTGTGCAGCCCACCATCCCGTGACGTCGCTGACAGCGTCCTTCGATCACGTGCCTTAATGCCACGTGAGTCTTGGCTCTCGCACACAGAAAAATCTGGCCGGGCCTCGGCAGAACCCCGCGCCGGCTCTCGCTCTCACAGGTTAGGTCCAGACTCGAGTGATCTCAAACCTAACATATATTACGGCTGTCGTCAATCTGCCACAATCTCGCGACATAATCATCCGTCCTCTCCGCAATACGCGGTGGGTTTTTATTGTCGTGTTCACGTTTCTTGGCCAGATGAGGTGCTCGCAGGGGAGCTGTCACGTAAGTTGCAACCTCAGGCAGAGTCAGGCGAGTTGCTGCACTTCGATTGCCTAGCCTGGATGCGCACGGCGGTATAGCAACTGGGGCCCAGCTGAGGCCGGAGACTCCATCCTCTAAGTACGCATGTAATCCAGATTTTCTCCGACACCCGGCCTTCTACGGCTCTCGGAGTGAGAAGGCCAGCAAATGACACAAGACACTCAACGTCGAGAGTGGTCGGCATCCAATGACGATGGGGAAGGCTCTTTGCCTCCTCGATCACGCCATCGATCCAGGCAGTGAGGCAGTTGAGGGATGAATGACCTCTTCACTCATTTTGCAAATTTTGGCTGCGGATGGCGAGGCTCTCAAACTCCTAGTTCGCTCCACTGCTGAATTGCGTGCTCAACGATGATATCGCAGGCCGTTGATTTGTAAAAAGGTGGGTTTCCAGCACTTTCACCATGCCCCTGTGTTGCCGTCAGTTGCTTCTCTTTTCAATGGGTTTCCTCTCAAGCTTCTCCTTCTCGCTCGCCCAAGTCTCTCATCTGTTCAACCCCTTTGCCCCGAGTGAGGTCGACATGTCTTCAAGAGCAGAGACCCCGTGTGGCAGTGGCCGCAGCAGCCCCTCATTGGGGGGTGCTGACTCTGGCTACTCCTCCGGGACCAACAGTGAAAGTGAACTGTCCGAGGTGTACTTCACCAAACGTCACCTTCGGTTTCTCAACCGCCAGCTTCAGTTCCTCGAGCCCCAGGAGATCCTGAGATGGGCCATCACCACCCTTCCCAACCTCTACCAGACCACGGCATTTGGCCTGACAGGACTCGTCCAGCTGGACATGCTGTCCAAGCTCGACATCCCTCGACCGCAGATGGTGGACCTCATCTTCCTTGACACGCTCCACCACTTCCCAGAGACCTTGGAGTTGGTGGACAAGGTGCGAGAAAGATATCCTCTGGTCAACATCCATGTGTTCAAGCCAGCCGAAGTCGAGACCGCGGAAGAGTTCAAGAATAAATATGGCGACAAGCTGTGGGAGACCGATGACAACAGATATGATTACCTGGTCAAGGTCGAACCTGCACAACGGGCTTACCGTGAGCTGCAAGCATATGCTGTCCTCACCGGCCGTAGAAGAAGCCAAGGTGGGGCGAGAGGATCGCTCGACATTATTGAGGTCGACGAGGCTGGTTTGCTCAAGATCAATCCCATGGCCAATTGGAGCTTTGCCCAGATCCAGCAATACATCAAGGACAACGACGTGCCGTACAACGCCTTGCTGGACCAGGGTTATAAGAGTGTCGGCGACTGGCACTCAACCCAACCTGTCAAGGAAGGGGAGGATGAACGTGCTGGTCGATGGAAGGGTCAACAGAAAACGGAGTGCGGCATCCACAACCCACGCTCCAAATATGCACAGTACTTGATGGAGCAGGAAAAGAAGAGAGAACGTGAAGCTCTAGAACAAGCGTTGCAGAAGGTCAGCCTTGAGGAGCAGTCATGACACGAGGTTGGACACAGCCGGCCCTCTTGATTTGGGCAGCATAGCGTCGGCGTTCGGGACTTCGGCCATCGGCGATGGCTTGATGCATTTTTTTTCCCTGATGAGTTTCACACAGTAGAGGCATGAGCGACACGATATCGGCATTTGCATGCAGCATCAAGGGGGTGGAGGATGATTAGTGACGGTTAACGATGCACGGGAGAGATGACGGTGGCCGCCTCGAGCCTCACAGTGGTTTAAAAAGGGACATAGAGCTTCTTGGCAGCAATGGTGGCCTTGTTATCTGGACGAAAGAGAACTGAGGACCCCATTGGGGCGGCATGTCTGCGCGACGCACCCGTGCCGATGGAATTTATCAATCACAGTTGCAGATTATCTGACCGCCCATTCTCTCCTTTTGTCATTGCCTCGTGTTTTTCCCGAAGTGTCTTTTTGCGTTACTGGGATGCGTCTTTGTTAGCCGAATTCGACAGTCTGCATCTGGACACCGCTTCTTGCCTGCACCTTTGATGTTGCCAAAGGCGCAGCCCTCGAGAGAAACTACCGTCCGCCCACATCGAACCAATTTTCTTTATGTCGGACTCTGGGCGCGTTATCTGTCCTCCCATCTCCTTCTTGAACATGGCGACGGAGATCGGCAGCCTTAGCGAGACCGAAAAGGTGTTGGTGGCCTCAACGTTCCACAAGGCAAGCAATTTGGCCCCCTCCTTTTTCAGAAAAAGTCCATATTGTCGGACACCAAACGGACAGCACTATTACTCCTGCCAGGCACCGGATCTCGGTGCAAGCCTCGACACAGGCTGGTAGCTTTGGGTGCAGCCAACCACCATTGGAGCCCCGACCCTGGGGGATCACTCTAGGGGTGGCAGTGGGCAGGGGTAAGCACACCATACATCATTCAGGGTTCGTAAAAATTTGTGCGCGGGCTCACCCGTGGCTGGCGGGGATTGCAACAAACGAGAATAGAGTAGGTTTCTCACCATTTGGCCTTGGCTGCTGCTGCTGAACGTGGATTACGGAGTATAATACTTCTACTAGGATATTTCCCCGTCTTCAGGCTTTTGTCCATTTCTGTTCTGTGGTGTCTTTTCCCCTGTTGTCGTTGCCCTTCAGCGTTTGTCCAACTCAACGCTGCGTGTCGAGCCAGCAAAATTTCTGACGTCTTTCCTGGCCACGCCCCTCCTACACTGTCCCCATGGCCAATCCACCTCATGGAGGAGTCCTCAAGGATCTCCTGGCACGAGATGCCCCTCGCCATGCCCAACTTGAAGCTGAGGCCGAGAAACTGCCTGCGGTTATCCTCACCGAGCGTCAGTTGTGTGATCTGGAACTTATTATGAACGGTGGATTCTCTCCTTTGGAAGGGTTCATGAACGAGAAGGACTACAATGGTGTCGTTGAGAACTTGAGACTTGCTGATGGGGCCCTCTTCAGCATGCCCATCTGCCTGGACGTCGGAGCCCAGATGATCGAGCGTCTCAAGATCAAGGCGGGGTCCCGGATCACGCTCCGAGACTTTCGAGACGATCGTAATCTGGCTATCCTGACCGTGGACGACGTCTACAAGCCAGACAAGCAAAAGGAGGCCGATGAAGTCTTTGGAGGAGATCCAGAACACCCCGCCATCAAGTACCTGATGCAGGCGACCAAAGAGTTCTACATCGGCGGCAAGATCGAAGCCGTGAACAAGCTCAGTCACTATGACTACGTGGCGCTGCGATACACGCCCTCGGAACTCAGAGTGCATTTCGAGAAGCTTGGCTGGACTCGTGTGGTTGCCTTCCAGACTCGAAACCCCATGCACAGGGCTCATCGTGAACTGACTGTCCGCGCCGCTCGTGCGCGTCAGGCCAATGTGCTCATCCACCCGGTTGTAGGTCTCACGAAGCCCGGTGACATCGACCACTTCACCAGAGTCCGCGTCTATGAAGCACTTATGCCCAGATATCCTAACGGGATGGCGGTTCTTGGCTTGTTAGGCCTTGCAATGAGAATGGGTGGTCCTCGTGAGGCCATCTGGCATGCTATCATCCGAAAGAACCACGGTGCGACTCACTTCATCATCGGTCGAGACCACGCAGGTCCTGGCAAGAACAGCTCAGGCAAAGATTTCTATGGTCCCTATGACGCCCAGCATGCGGTTGAGAAGTACCGTGCCGAACTGGGCATTGAGGTCGTGGAATTCCAGATGATGACCTACCTGCCGGACACCGACGAGTACCGGCCCAAGGATCAGGTCCCTGCTGGTGTGAAGACCTTGGACATCTCTGGCACCGAGTTGCGACGACGTTTGAGAGTCGGTGCTCCCATCCCAGAATGGTTCTCATACCCCGAAGTCGTGAAAGTGCTGAGGGAGTCGAACCCTCCTCGCGCTAAACAAGGCTTCACCATATTCCTGACTGGCTACCAAAATTCCGGAAAGGACGCCATCGCACGCGCCTTGCAAGTCACCTTCAACGAACAAGGTGGTCGTCCCGTCACCCTCCTCCTGGGTGAGACCGTCCGTCACGAGTTGTCGTCCGAATTGGGCTTCACGAAGGAGGACCGCGACACTAACATTGCGCGTATCGCCTTTGTTGCCGCGGAATTGACCAAGGCTGGTGCTGCTGTGATCGCTGCACCGATTGCACCATTCGAAGAGGCCCGTCAGGAGGCCCGGGAGACCATCCAGCAATATGGTAGCTTCTTCTTAGTCCACGTCGCCACTAGCCTCGAGTACTGCGAGAAGACAGACAAGCGTGGGGTCTATGCGCGAGCTCGAAGGAACTCAATTAGGAACTTTACCGGCATCAACGATCCATATGAGAAGCCCACTGGTGCGGACCTGACTGTGGACTGTGAGAAGCAGTCTGTCAGGAGTATCGTCCACGAGATTGTGTTGATGCTGGAGAGCCAGGGCTTCTTGGGCAATGTGTAAATGCGATTATGAGCATGGGAAGGAATTGGTTTGATGAATGGATGGTTGACGGTTAGAGAATCTGGCGGGAAGAATATGAAGCCTGCTTATATAGACGCTTTGGTACATTAGCATATGCAGTATCTTGGTGAAATGCATTTGCTCCACAGTTATAGAGTCACAAGTGCGCAGGGGCCGATTTTTTGCTCGGCGTGAGGCTGAGAGGCGAGGCAGGCGCTGGTTAGTTTCGCTTGGGTAAGTGATCTGCAACTTGTGCATATATGTAAAAGCGGCGCGGTCGGGGGTGAGCCGCCTGCTAACTGCTTGATCCGCCAAGGACGCGTAGGTCATGTAAACCTGCGGTCGGACACTGTTTCAATCAACCGATCGATCATCAACCAGCAAGTTTGGCCTCTTTGACCTCTTTGACTTCTCTCATCACCTCCCTCCGTCTGCATCACTCTTCAGCTACGATATAGAGTCCTCGATTCGCGTTCCTTAACCCGCCACAATGTCGGACGGCACCATCTTCAAGCCGGAGAAGGACTTCACAAAAGATGCGGACAAGATCCTCCCTGAAGCAGAAGCATTAGCCAAGGTAGAGGCGCCGTCTGTGTTGGAAGAGAACCTGGCTGATGTACTCGCAGAAAGATATCCACAAAGCCATCGACAAAATCCTCCTGCTTGAGAAACAAGCCCGACAAGTATTTCATCAATTCCTGGAAATCCTGTGCTCTGCCTCGCTAACCACCGCTTCAGTCCTCAGATCTTGCCACGACCTCCCGGTGTCTAGTTGCAATCGTTACGCTATGCAAAGAGGCCGGAGATTGGAGCTTACTGAATGAGCAAGTCCTGCTTCTGTCCAAGAAACATGGCCAACTTAAGCAAGCCATCACGAACATGGTGCAGGCTGTCATGGGCTTTCTTGACGACACACCGGACCTTGACACCAAACTCAGTGTCATCGAGGCACTCCGGACCGTGACCGAGGGCAAGGTGCGCGGGCTCAATCCAATATGTCAATATGCCATAGGACTGACAGGAGCAATAGATCTTTGTCGAGGTCGAACGTGCCAGGATCACCCGCATACTTTCCGACATCAAGAAAGAGCAGGGCGACATCAAGTCAGCATGCGATATTCTATGCGAACTCCAAGTAGAGACCTTCGGATCGATGACGAGAAGGGAAAAGACGGAGTTCATCTTGGAGCAGGTGGCGCTGTGTATACTCAACGGTGACTGGACGCAGGCAGGAATCCTCAGCAGAAAAATCAGCACGAGATATTTTGCCCGAAAGCCGAAGAAGACACCGGAGCAGATAGAAAAGGAGAAGAAAGAGAAGGAAGCCAAGAAGAAGGTCGAAGGGGAACCTGAACAGGAGCAAGAAGACGACGTGACTGATCTTAAACTGCGATACTACGAACAGCAAATCACCCTGGCCAAACACGAAGACAAATATCTGGAAGTGTGCAAACACTATCGACACGTCTTGGATACGGAGTCCGTTGAGAACAATCCCGAACAGCTTCATGCTGTTCTCCAGCGCGTCATCTACTTTGTCCTGCTCGCCCCGTATGACAACGAACAATCCGATCTTCTCCATCGCATCTACCAGGACAGTCGCAACTCGGAAGTTCCCAAGGATGCAGCACTCCTGAAACAATTCACAATTACAGAACTCATGCGGTGGCCGATGGTCGAGCAGCAATATGGTGAACATCTTTGCTCGACAGACATCTTCTCTAAAACCCCGGACGCAAAGGATCCCCAAGCGCATACTCGCTACGAAGCACTGAGGCATCGAGTGATAGAGCACAATGTGCGGGTGATTGCCAAGTACTATACCCGCATCACCTTCCCACGTCTGACAGAGCTGCTGGACCTCTCGAATGACGAGACCGAGAAGTACATATCGGACCTCGTCACGAAGAAGACAGTTTTCGCGCGCATTGACAGGCCTGCACGAGTGGTGAGTTTTGAAGTCAAACGCGGACCAGACGAGGTGCTAGACGAGTGGGGCAACAGCATGAAAGGGCTCTTGCAGCTTCTGGAGAGGGTAGGACACTTGATGCAGAGAGAAGAGATGATGGCGAGGATTCAACCTAAGGAGGAAGTCAAAAGAGCCAAGGCCTAGTTCACCGAGGAATTCTAATGAGATCCTGGGTGATTGAGGACGCGCTGACCTGTATCAGTATTATGCTGTTCTGAGCAGGAATGCCACGCATAGACTGGAGTCGGCATGCTGTGTTTCAATGCTGCCGCTTCGAGTTGTTTTTGGAGAGGTTCCGAAGACCAGGGCATGGTCAGAATGGTTGGCTTCTTTTATCGGCTGGGTACTTGTGATGCAAGATCAAGGTCAGAATAGAGCTGAGTCAACCACCACCAGTTCAGATCGAGTCTGAGCATTCGAAGATCGACTGGTTAGACTCGGACTCTGGTTGGACCTAGCAACAGGTCAGCCGGAGTGGTAATAAAAGGGATGATCCGGTAGACAATCTGTGGCAGGCACCGTCACACAGCTGACCATCATAACCAGGAATGCTTATTCCAAAATTTCCAAGCTCGAGGACTGATAGAGATATTGAAAGCGAAGTCTATGACGAGATTGTTTAGTTTCAATATGGCGTATTGACATTTGCCCAGCAACACGACAATCTCGCACGCGTTCCCAGAGACGTCTCCCTATATCACGTCCATGATATTAGAGCTCATGCCACAAGCCATCAAATTGAAATTCTAGTTGTTCCTTTTGCTATCACCACCTTGAGCTTGCTGCACAATTACTTAGAACTCGCGGCACCAAAACTCCAATGTCATCTCACTCTCTTTCTCTGCCTCCTCCCTCGGAAATCTCTCCCTCGGCCTTTCACGAAGCACTCAAGCTATACCCCTCGCTGGTCGAGAAGGTGTACAGATCCAAGCTCAAGAACGACGCCAAAAAGGTCGCTGACGCGGTGAAGCGCGATCGATGGAGGTTCGAGGAGCTGCCTGCCGCTATTGCTGCCGCCGCGGGCCGTGGAGCTACTACTGAAGTCGGACTGGAGATAGCGCGGGCGGCAGCGCAAGCCTCAAAGAAGGACAAGAATAAGAAAAAGCAGAGTCCTCCTGATGTGCAAGACGCCAGCAGCAGCGGATTGACTAAAGATGCTGTGGAGAAGCTGGTTCAGTGGAAGATGTAAGTTTCCCATTTCCCATTCGGATTCTACCAGGGCTGTTTTGATTGTTGTAATCGTCGAACGAGGATGATCTTGACCGGGTATGAAAGAACACTGCAAGAATGTTTGCTTTTGTCTCTGCTTTTTTTTCGACTCTGCTTTCCTGGACCATTTGCCTGTCTGTCAGAGTCAAAGGCGGCAGTCCGAAGGTGATGATGTATACATGGCACAGTTTACTCCCCCGAGTCAAGAAGGATCGTCATGGACGAGGAGCAGATGTTCAACTTCGAACGCCGAAGGATCTGTTTTCTAATGTCCACCGTTTGTGTTTGGTTTTGCGTGTATCTTCCTACAGGAACCTCGCAGCGTGAACTTTTCGGACTTGGAGGCGCCATTCAATATCCCCCCCTGGTTGACTCATGACCTCCGGCGCTGACCTCTGTCGCCGTCTCGCAGAACCCACGGCCACTCCCGGCCCTTTCTCCCGGCCATGGTGCGCAAGAACGACGCGTCGGCGATCCAGACGCAGACGTCTCTGGCATTCACCAAACTCTCCTCTGGTGATACCGCCTCGACCGCCACCATCACCGACGCCTTGGACGCGGTCTGCAAATTGACCGGCATCGGACCTGCCACGGGGACGCTGATCCTCAACGTCTTCGACCCCGTCCACGTCCCCTTCTTCCAAGACGAGATGTTCCTGTGGTTCTTCAACACCGTCGGCGCCGACACCAAGCTCAAGTACACCCTCAAAGAGTACCTGGCGCTGCTTGACGCGGTGCGACCCGTTCTACAGAGATTGAACGTCGCCGCTGTCGAGCTGGAAAAGGTGTCCTACGTACTGGGACATGTGGACGTGTTGGACCCCGCGGAGCGCCAGACATTGCTGGATGCGTCCAACGAAACGGACGACGCTGCAAGTGGGAAGGCCAGACACGCTCCGGTCCCGGCAGCGGAGGATGATGATAATAATCATGCTAATGCAAAGGATACCATCTCTGCTCTACAGGAAGAGCCTCAACCAACTCAAAAGGGGAGAAAACGGGTAGCGAAAAAGGAAGATGACGAGGGAGAGCAGGCACACGTCCCAAAGCGACGGTCACAACGCAATAAGTGAAAGCGGAGCCTTTTTGTTCAAAGCAAGCTGGGAGAGATTATAATGATTAAGCTATTGTATCTTTTCCACGCCTGTTATAGAAGGATATGCGAGGGCACCAGCACACCCTTCCTTTTTTTCCCCCTCCCACCTTGTCCAAAACGCAATGCTTGTCAGAACCGAACGACCAAACAAAGAGCACAGCAAGGATATATATCAACTTTGTCCCGCGTTTTTTTTTGGTGTTGGTGGCTTTTCCCTCCTCACAGCATCAAACCCAACCCGGCAAGGGCAAGGGCAACGATGCCACGGCCCATCTCCAGTGTTGGAGCACCGTTACCAGATGAGGAGCCGTCGGTAGCACTAGCGCTGGCGCTGGCGGACGAGCTTCCGCTGCCAAAGGAGAAGCCGGTCTGGGAGGCAGAGTCGGTGGTGGTCGTGGCGGATGCGCTTGACGAGTCGCCGGACGTGGTGGAGAGCGCAGCCGTGGAGGTGGTGGATGGGTAGGCAGACGCGGCGGCACAGTATTGTTCGCGCTCCTGCTGGACGGAGGTGACACCGGGGTCGCTGGGGCAGTTGTTGTAGCAGGTCAGCAGGTTGCCGTACTGGGTGCACAGGCAGCCATAGTCGGTGCTGAGACACGAGTTCACCTGTCCTTGGATGGTGGCGAGGCAGGCATCGAGGATGCTGGAGAAAATCTGTCAGCATGGAACTGTGGCACGTAGAAGGGGTATCTGTCAGTCTCACTTCTGGGCGGCACAGCTCGAGGTTGACGTGCTTGTGACCGCGGTGGAGGTGGCAGTCTGAGCAGCTGCCAGGGAGGCAATGGATGCCAACAGAAGACTTGTCAACTGCATCTTTGTCTTGTCTTTGTCGAGAAGCGAGCGAGCGAGCGAGCAAAAGGTAAATATGCAAAGGGGTATATTCAACGAGAGACTCGAAACAGAGAAAGGATGGACAGAACACGCAACGACAAGGCTATTACCGCTGTATATATCGACACCCACGAAAAGAAGCACTGGGGAGAAAAGGAGTTATGGGGGGAGCCCCAAAAAATAAATAGAAAATAGCAGCTACCAGCAACAATCACCACAACGAACCACACGAGCACCGCTCAACGACCGAACTCTGGAGACACGCACGATGCATGGGATGTCGTAGTAGGTAGTCCACGTAGTGGATATTGATTTGAGACGGGGTGGGTGGATGCACGACGGGGCTTGGCTTGCAGCGAGGTTGAGCCCGGGCGACACGAGCCGGACGATTGGGCCAGTCGGATACCATGCAGGAGTCCGGAGTGTTGTGGGGGAGCGAGACCAGCATCACCAGCATCGCACCCTCCATCATCTCGTTAAGGAATACGGAGCCACGGAGGCCCTTGGATCCTCCCTTTTGGTCGCATCGGCCCCTGGCCGTGGCATTGGACGCCACTAGACTGAGACATGCCTCTGCATCACGAAGAGCATTGTTGTTGTGTGACTGGATCTCCTTTCATGCCAGCTGTGGGAACAGGACAAGTCAATCAGTTGACTCAAAAACAACATACAGAAGTGGGTGGTGGTAAGTGTCGGCGATGCGGCAGGTTCCAGTCTGGGCAGGCAACGGGGAGCCAATGGATCAATCCGAAAGGACGAAGAAAGAAGCCCTGTCCCCTGACAACCTAATGCATGTCAAAGAAAACAATTTTGGACCGCCAAACAAGCAAACCAGAGATCGAGTGAATGACAACAACGTGATTTTAAAAAAAAAGCTGCTGTACGGAGTAGCGGGCAAAAATTGAGAGTGATGGAAATTAGTGTCGGCGCTAAACAGTGCCAAGACTGGCTAGCGTCACTTGTAGAAGATTGATTTGTTCTTGGATGAGTTTAGCTTGCTAGTCACCCTAGCTTATTCCCCTGCAACTATCACGTACAGAAACTGGTTCCCCTCCCCTTAATAATAGACACTTTCCCCCTTTTTTGTTGTTCCACTTTGTCAAGGTTTGCTTAACGAGTACCGAGTACGAGCACGGAGAATTGACATTCCCCGGCCTTTCGTCACTCTTTCTAGGGGTTTTCTGGAGTATGTGATGGAATTCAGGTGTACTCGGCACGGAGTATTCCCCGGACTTTGGTAGATCTCCCCCTCGTAGGGGCTCCGAACTCTGTTCTTACGATAATGGATGGCTCTGGACCCGGAAACTTCAAGGGTCATGGGGGAGAGAGTATTCGCACACTGGCCAATAATAACCAGCCCCCAATGATCGTACCTTCAAAAGACCGTTGTACGAGGCACAGGCGCTGCCACTCTGCGGGATGGAACTTGGGTCATATCGCTTGCAACGGCCTGGACATACCGCTGGGAACCAAAGGTAGATGTATTGCGAGGGCAGTGCTCATGAATGTTGCTCCCGGACCTCAAAAGAGACTGATCCGCACTGTCCTGACTCCTCACTGTCTCATTCTGACTTGACCCTAGATTCGTGCTGTGAGTTGGTACAGTCCATGAGGATCCCGTCTCTTCCGCAATAACATCCCTTGTTGTTTCACTCCTCAATCAAAGACAGCCCGACTGCGCAAATATGGACTGGGGATGCCGGTATGAGATTTAGGTGGTTCGAATCTATTGCCGTGGCTGACATGGAGCACAGCATTCAGCCTCGGCCACCCATTTCCTCGAGCGAGACGAAAATGGCAATGAGGAACTTTCGTCCACCATCAAAAACTGGCAAGTTGACAGATTGATCTTCGATTCTGCTGCGGACACTGTGGAAGGACTCACCAACGAAGCTTGACTAATGCCAGGGCATCTTTACATTGAGGTCATTTCGTGATGGGGTGGTTACGAAAACCTGCTACTGAGATCATCCACAGGTTTTGCTGTACTTCAGCACCCGCATCCCAGCCTGGGTCGAAGTGTATCGAAAAGGCAGAAATGAAGTCATTGAAAGGAGCTGCCTCTTTCACAAGTTGTAGAGAGATCGGTGTCACCTCGCCGGACTCACGCAAAGGTTTAACCATTCTGAGATCTCTCCAGAACATGTCACCCTGGTATCTACTCAGTTTCCTATTCCTGCAATCCGAGCTGCAGGTAGTTGGTTCATATGAGCAGAATAAATCCCGGTGTGCCGCTGAACATCCGTTTCCGGGTCTCAAGAATGTAGCTTCAGCAAGAATCTCTGGACTGTCACTTCTAGTGGCGAGATTGCAAAGCAGCCAGGCGAGCGCTTGTTACTGACAAGTTCCTTGGTTCGAGGCGTTGAAGGCATTATTTCAGCCAACCACCTCCCACGGCTGTTCGATCATCGATCAGTCTGGCCCTTGCAATGGTTGTGAATGCACTGTCTTATGACCATTGGAACTGTAGCTCGAGCGTCCCGCTTCCAAGTGCATTATCATGTTGATATAGCACAACTCTTTCCCTTATCTGATGTGACACCTGAGATGACCGTTTGATATAGCACCTACCCTAAAACTGTCTTGCTTGCAGAGTTGTCGCTCTCAACATCTTGACCTATATGGGATGAGAATATGGTCACTGTAGTCTGCACACCTCAGCTAACACTGATATTTTCACATTATTGAGATTCAGGAGAATACTCACAAGCCCTAATACAATGCCGGAGAAACCCGGGTTCGAAGGTCGACTTCCCGAGCCAGCTGCCCTTCTTGCACCATTTCTGTTGACCCTGTTCGAACCGTACAGCCCGTTGAGTTCGTCGTCTGTAGGTGAAGGTCGAATGCGAAAACTCCGGTATGTTTGTCCCGCACTGTTGCCCGGAATGAAACGCGGACTTTAACTCATATTTTATCCCCCGGTGGAATGATTGTGCGGCGGTGCAAATCGGATCACAGCCTTGCCGGAATATGGCCTGTCGGAACGTCGTCGGCGCATCAGGGGTTTTGAACAACAGCCTGCAAATGAGACGCCAGTTAGGTAAGCATGAAGAATCTAAAATTCTCGACATTGTGAAAGTACCGCCCAATGGCCCGGACTTTATTCCTCCCTCGAGAAGGCATTTTGCCCGTCAAAATCTTTTCGGTCCTCGAGACAACTGCAAAACATGTTCCGCGGATCCTGATACCAGGGAATATGTATGTTGATCCATACAATATTTAGCCGCCACGACTGGATCGCCGGCCCTGATCCAAGCCTGCGTCTCTGGTTGACGCGGCGCAGGAGATGAATCGGACCTTGATGGCAGGTGCAGATATTCGACGCTGCATTCGACAGCCAAAACACGCCTTTGAAGGGTATTTTATAAGCCTCAATAATGTATGAGGCGAGGCAAGGTTCGCTGGACATTCGAATAGAGAAGAAAGGAGCTTCAGGTCAGCCTAGCAGGATATTCGAGAATACACTGAGTATTGGTCCTATGTTCAGAGCTCAGGATCGACATCAGCGATAGCAACGCAGCCACGGTCGAAGGCGTGATTCTCTTCAACAGGGGTAAGAATTCAGAAACACAGGGAGTCAGGTATAAAACCTTGAGCACGAGCAAAGCCAGCACCAAGGAGAATGGAGAGTTATTTTAAACCACGGTAAGGAGATAACCGTGAAGATTTGCTTCCAGTCTAGGGATTTCGGAAAAGGATCAGGCACCACCCTCCCTGATTGCCCGCGCCACCGAGAGTCTCCAGACAGTGACTGCCAATTGCATCCACACCATTTCTGCTGCTGACCTTCATCGTGCTTGAGCTTCTCCTGTACATGCTCATTGGCTTGTACTCATACTATTGCCCTTGTGCTGAAGAGGCGACTGGACGGGTGAGAAGAGCTGCTCAGTGTCCAATGTCCGAGATCGAGGACGGGTATGTGGTCGCATTGCGTCTCCAAGATCAAGGAGTCCGCAAGAGCCGATCAAACGCACTATTTCCAGCGGCCCCCCCATCTCTAACATAGGCGAATGAGCAGTGTCCGATAGTCTATCAAGGTGTGAATGTTTCAGCACTGAGCCGTCCGTGAGGAGACTCCTTCTTTCCTCACCTCAGCTGGTGGGTTTTGTCGATGCCTGTGGTCTCTGAGGTCGCCCAGGGTTGCCTCGAGCACTGGTGGGTCTCGTTTATTAGCAGGCTGTGGTCATTGCCGTTCAGCAAGTCTGCTGATCTCGTCCTCTCACACCTCTGCACTCCTGGGGGGCTTGATGGTCGTATTGCTTAACTCCTAGCCTAAGCCCTAGCGTCAAGGGCCACAGACTGTTCGGACTTATGAGAGCTTCGTGTCGGATTTCACCCCCGAACACGAGAAGCAATTGAGCATTTATTGAGACTGTGCCTGCCACCTTGATGAATAAATTGCTCTGGCGACTTTGCAACTTGAGAGACCCGTTGTTGTCGGGTGCAACTCAGTGACGTTTCCCACAAGGTCGGTGTCACTGATGCTTTCGACCATTTGAAAGGCTTGCTCCATGTATAAGACCATTGGATTCTGAGACCCAAACCCTGTCCCCGCTCACCTTATTGGAAGCCATATTTACCTAACCCGTCGAGAAATAGGCATAACCTTTGTGAAACTGAAAGCATTTCAGCGGAGAACCCGTTGCCGCGAGCTATAGAACAACAATCCTCTTTCAGCCACCAAGCCGGAGACTCTGCGGAGGGTCTATATTGCTCTTGCCATTGGGCGCAGTGCTAGTTCTCGCCCTCTAACACGTCAGCGTGCCTTCGAATTGAGTCGACCCTTTCACTCACGAGCCATGCTAGACCGACAACGCCATCCCACGAGCCTTCGGTAGCGTCGATACCTTCCTCTTTGTCAACTACCGAACATGTACACTGGGTCCGGGGGAACAACCAAAAGCGCTATATGGGGCTTTGCAGACACGGGTGGCAATACTCCAAATGCACTGCGCCCAATTTCGACAAATTGCGGCGGGCGCAGCAGTGATCAGCTCATACATTCCAACATTGATGGCGTTACTAATGCTGAAGCATCCACCATGGACCAAACACAATATCCACTTGAGCTGCATCACCCCATCCTCTGATATTAGTCATACCCGTTCCTGCACTTGTTACATATGCGCCGATGTTGCATGCTATCTTACTCGAAGCATGGGGTGTTTCGGCGGATACCGAAGTGGCTGGTCTCGGTGCAAGTTCTGAGTGATAGCCGATCAGGGATGCTCTTCGACCGTTGATGTGTTGGGCTCATGTGAGAAAGTAGGGGCAAAGGTAGAGGACTCTGATCTATCCTTGTGTCCACTCCTTCTGGCTGGGGCAAAGGTACCCGGTACTTCCCTCCTGACCTGTGATGGCTTGCCGGGGGCCTTGCGCTTGTCGAAACCCATGAACGGCAGCGGCACATATACATGCGCGGAGATATCCTGACGAGAGGTGGCTGTAGATACTACCCTCCGGATATTGTGTCGTTGACAACGTCTGGTGTTGGGCAGCTGGAGTTCTGGTGGCGACGAGGAAGTGTGGAAGTCCGTCTGCCAGGCGTGTCTCCAGGATCGACCACTCATAGCTGACCTACAGCTGGATACTTGCTTTTCCTGAAGCTTCGGATTCATTGACTACGTGGCGAGGCTGAGTCCTACCTGTATTGGACCGCCATCCTCTTGACTGGGGGGGGTGATGGAAGAGCATTTGGAGCTCCTGTGTCTCGAAGGCGTCGATCGCTCGGTGCTACGTTTACCGCTGCTCTCCAGAAAAATTTCGTCTTCCTTTTCCTTCTTTTTCGCAGGCACAACATTGGATCCAAAGTGGCTGATGCAAGTAGCGCATGCCCTTAGTTCCCCCGTCGAGTCTGTATATACAGGAAAGTCAGCACGGGTGTGCGGAGCACGTCCTAGAGTGGAATCGGAAAGATGATTATTTCTCAGCCGGTGGATTGATCGACTAGGAATAGCTGGGCAATCTAGGGGAATAATTCTTCCCAATTCTTCGTCCTACCCGCCCCAAACCTGGTCAAGTCGGCGGCAAATCCTGGCATACATCGGGCAACGCGCCATCCGACTGGCATGGCGAAAGAAGACCGGATCCATGCGTTATATGCCTATCACGTTGGATCTCTCTCTCGCATCGTGCAGCTGCTGAGTAATGGCACCATGGCCCCGTCTCGCCCACTACTGCCTTACCGTCGGGTCCGTTCAGCGAATGGTAGTGGAACAAGACTTGAGGGGAAAGTTCAATCGCTTGCGGCTTTATGTAAGGACGGTGCTCCGCAGGACTCGGGTTTTGATAAACCTCTTTCCATTGAGATTGAGAAATCACCACTGTCAACGAGGAACCTGCCATGGAGACCCAACGCCATCCCGCAGGTCTTTCGGGCGAACAAATGCGCAAGAAACGAATGCGCATCACCTTTAGTTGCACAAACTGTCGCCATAGCAAACAGAAGGTTGTCCCATGACCACCCGGTATATTCGTCGTGCGTGGGGACTGACAATAGCGAACAGTGCAACAGGGAGACGCCGTGCATGACTTGTGTGCTCCGAGGAAAGCAAGACAGTTGCTCCTATGGAGACGCCATCCCAGGGTAGGTCTCTTTCTCCTCTGGATGCCTCAGAGGCGTGTTCTTTACTCGGTGTTGATGCATTTCCAGTCGCTCCCAGAAAGCCCTCGAGGGTCCGTATGTGGACGTGTTCTCCAAGACGCCGGGCTTTAGTGTGCAAGATTTCCATGCGGCAAAGGAAGAGACGTGGAGTCCCGATCTGGCTTGTTTCGGCTATTCCAACGTGAACGTGCACAACTCTCTGGGCATTGTCAAGAAACTAGAAAATCTGGAGCTGGGGGGCAGTCCTCGCCCGTTGCAGAAGCAGAGAAACGTCACACTGTGCCAGGCCGCGTACGATATCTACAAATCCGTGCTGAAACAACTGCCGTGTTCCGCCTGCGTGAGAGATCTGGTTGAGGTCTTCTTTGACGACGTCAATTGGCAGTACACCATTCTTGACCGAAACTATTTCACAGTCAAACTAGAGGAGTACTACCATCAGCCCAGCTCGCCTCCTTACCAAGCAGAAAGGACATTTCCCTCCGAAAGACTGATATTTTCGGCCCTCCTCTTTCAGGTGCTGGTATGCGCCTTACAGTTCCTCCCAGCTGGTCACTCTGAAAACCTCCACAGCTTCTGTATGAAGGGCATTGTTGTGGATGGAGATGGGGTTCCCGACGATCCCACGATGCGGCTTTTGAGTCTGCTCCCCAAAAATGTCATCAACTTGGACTACATTGCAGCACAGATTCTGCGAACTGCATGGCTCAAGAACCGCGGCATGATTGCTGAAGCGTGGCATGTCATTGCCCAAGCAACCATCAACGCACAAGAGATAGGGCTCCACCGCGACGATGGCAAACTATACGCCAGTGACGCCGAGAGTGCCTGCGTTGAGCTATGGGACATCGTGCTGCGGCGACGTCTGATGGTCAACCTCTACCTCTGGGACAGGTGAGTGAGCCAGCAACAAAGCATGGTGCACACTTTTCCACGCTGCTAACGGCGATTTCAGCCAAATGGGCATGGTCCTGGGTAAACCGCTCAATTTCAAGGCCAATGACTACATCATAGTCCCGCCGACAGATTGCCAGATCCCAAGAAATCGGAAGTCTACAGCCCCCTTCGAACGAAGCGAGTACGAGAAGCCGAATACATTCACAGTGCGGTTGCTCGAGTACCATTTGCACAAGCACCTCCCACAAGTCAGAGAGTTGGAGTTGGAAGGCCCTTATCCGCGAGACTACAGCAAGGTGGAACGTCTTCACCAAGGAGCTCTGGAGTATATTGCATCAATCCCAGCCACCTATCGATTCGAAAATCCCGACAGATCGTTCGACGATGAGTGTCCCATGCTCGCATCACAACGCGAATTCTTCTGCGCGACAATATGGCTATTCATCCTTTTGCTTCACAGACCATATATCTTTTCAGTCTCCCTGAGCCGCACAAAGATCCTGAAGACGGCCATCCACATGTTGGACGCTCAGCAAAGATTTTTCGAAAGCCTCTCTCCACATCACTACAAGATGTTCACCCTCGCATATTTGACTGTGGAGCCTTGTGTCTCCATGTTGGCTGTATTGATCGCATTTCCACAGGAGAATGCACCATTGATTCCAGAGGCCTTTAGATGTATACGAGAGTCTCTGTTCAGACTAAATACAATCCGCAACACGAATAAAGTGGCCGGCCAGGGCGCCGATGTTGTTCAGAATCTGCTCCTTCGAGCAGAGAAGAATCGGCCAACACCGTTATCGACTTCAAAGTCCAGCAGTCCTAGGTCAGACGCGCACTCTTCCGAACTATTTGTGACACCCAGCTCCCACGGTGCAGCTTCCTTCTATGCAGTGACAGAACAGCAGCCGCAGCAACAGCCGCAGCAACAACAGTCGGCCTTATTCTGCGGCAATACCTCGTTCGGAGATTTGGCTGATTGGAGTACGCCCTTCCAGTCAACGTCGTCGACTGCCCCGTCAGCCGACCCCGGTTATGCATTTGATGGAACTCCATTCCGGCCTGTTGCTGACCTGACGTACAACGACCTAGCCATTGTGCAACCGTTTTCAATGCCCGAGGACAGCTTCAATGGAGGATCTGGCACCGGCTCTGGCACCGGCTCTGGCAGCAGCAGGGTTACCAGTGAGGTGCCGCAGCAGTTTCGCGGCGACTTTGGTGAGGGCTCTTTCTGGAGTTTCGTCAATAGAGGCTCTACCTAACGGAGTAGAGGAGTCTTGATCTCGAAGAAGGCCCCACGACGACATGAGACTCCGCTGTCGACTTATGTACACGATCGATTGAGGCGACCGCCCGTCGAGACCGCGGTGGGCTGAGATCGGGTCCGTCACGCTCACCACCGCCAGCCACCTGCAATACCACATAGCATAGCTGCTTACTGTTGGTTGCTCTTTCTCTTTCACCTTTTCGAAATGCCAGCCACTCTAAGGCTACGGCTTCCGATCCAGAAGCTGATAAGGGTCAGGGAAGGCGCAGCGCGGGCGAGAAGCACGATCCAAAACACATCCTCCCCGCTTCCGACGTTGCATTCTTGGTTGCAGAGCTCTTTACAGCAACAAATGTCGTTCGCATGAAAGCACTCCGTTTGGCACATTGGGAAACCTGATATGCGAATTTCAGTCCATTCTCCGCCTAGCACGTTGCTTACTGGTGAGCCGACTCCCGCCTGAGACACTGGCTGTCCACACCGAGACGAGGGCATTGTTGTTTTTGTTGTTAGAAGTGTTGTGAGGGTCGAACATACGGTACCGCCATCATTGCCATGTGCTATTGATTTCTATGGACCAATGGGAGTCTGAGGCGGTAAAGAACCTTGGTCATATTCATTCATATGAATCGCGTTTAGATTCTTTTACACACGGGGGCGGAATGGAGTTTCTCGCCATTCCGATATTCCATGACACGTAATGACACGACCAGGATTTCGAACCGGATCAGAGCATTATTTTCAGTATAGAGTAATCTGTCGAGCTCACCATGCCGACTTGCGACTCTTGGATATAAAGAAGAGGGAAAAAACTAGTGAGAGGAAGATGACTATCTGACCGCCGAAAATTCACAAGTGGAGATAGACTTTGGCAAGATGAACAAGTTCAGATTTCCCGCCACTGTGTATTGTGTACCTTACATTCAGAATCCAAGTGCTTTCCGCCGGAAGTGGCGTCTGGACCGATCTGGGTGGTTTGTGGTATGGGTGGTGGCGACGAGACCGAGGCGCCCTTGAAATGGTGAAACATCGCTGCTTTCTACCAAATACGCCCACTAGCCCATGCTGCTTTACTCCAGAACGCAAAAGAGATGCACAAGAGGCTTCAGAGTTATTTTTTTTTGGTGCGTCTACATCATGGGGAGAAAGTTGTCCACGTCATCAGAAAGTGCTTGTTAACTGGACCATTTTGTCTTGAAGAAGCTACTGTATGCCTGCAACCATCGTCTGAGATTCTCACTGGGACCGCCTGGATCGGCTAGGTTTTCCGTCTTCGCCAACCAAACAAGCGACACGCCCTTGAATTCGTCGGAGCCTGGAGTGGCACCAGGGTAGCAACAGGAGAAATAATTCCACTGGTGTTTTCGACCGTCATTGGGCTGACGTGCAGTATCAAGTCGGGTGATTGGCAGACGGCGTTTACAATCGCAGGATTCATTTTAACAGCCGGGACTTGTGAGTTGTATAATTTTTGTTTTGTCGTCTAATGAGAGAGTCGCTAACTAGTGAAACAGTGATGCTCGCCCTCATGGCGATAATCTCTAGCATCGAGGCCTCCGGGAAAGCAGTTGCCTGAGACCAGCACTCAGAATTTAGCGAAGTTGATTCCAATCCTGGGGTCTAATAACGATCGCCTGAAGCTTCCAGAGGTCTTGTGGTATTTTCCTTGATCTCAACTTCTGGAAATCGGCTATGATCTCTGAAACCCCTCCAAGTCATCCTGCATCAGTCTCAGTAGGAAGTCATCCAGCCCCAGGTATGTCCGTGGCATCGGAATGATTTCAGCCTGCGGACAGACATTGTCACAGGTCTTTGTGTAACGGACGACAAACTCAGCAGTCTGTGTCATTGCTCTCTGACAACTTCCTGTCTGTCAGTCTTCCCCTGGACAGCTGTCGACCCGGCAGAAGTCACGGTGCATGGTCACTTGGACTTCCAAATGCGGTTAGTAAGCGCTTGCTCCGAACCTCATTTGCTTTTGGTCAGAGAGCAAAACTGGTGAGGATGCTGTGTTACCTTCGGGGGCGTCTGCCGCTGCGCAAGCTGGTAAGCCAACGCATTCGATCGATGATCAGGATTTGTGATTCAATCTCCTGCTACTTGCCGAGTCTCCTCTTCCTGGGCGGTGCAGCCCAACGTCATGCGACTCCTCCCAGCTCCTGCAAATGCAAAATCGAAAGAAGTCGGTATACTGGCCCAAGAATGTATGACAGATTGCTGAATATGACCCAGCATATGTTCTAGACCCCATCTGTTGCTTTGTGCCCGTGGAAAGAAGAGAAAAGCGGTTCGCAATGAGGCTGAAAAGGCTGCAGAGAGGTGGTTAGGGTTGATGCACCTCCTAAAACGCCTGCAGCGACATCCTGGCGTTGTCAAATCAGACTTGCAGTGGCTATCTGCCCAACTCCTTCTCTTACGCCAGTGGGGGCCGCATCCTAAACCAGGCCTACCACCTTCTCTCCGGCTTGTTCGAGATATAATAAATGCGCATTCCCAGAGCGGCAGCCGTTCTGCCAACGGAGCCCGTTGTTCGAAGCGAATATTGAGGAGAGCTTCCCCGCTGTGTTGTTGCAAGTTGTCACTGATCTGTCTATTATCTTAGGCCGCAGCCATGGCTGACCCAGCTGGCAAGATCACCTTGCGAGGCGCTCTTAGCCAGTCCAAGTGGCTGGTAACGACTACAGCACCACTTCGCTCAAACACCTCTGGTAAAGCATGGCCGGAGGTCTCGGCCTCGATGTGGGAGGACTTTACGTTGGACAACCTCAACGCGCAATACGCCCAAGTTCTCGACTATGAATTCTCAACAGTAGAGCTACATGCACTGCTATCTTACCCGCCGTCTTCTGACCTTGTGCAAATCACCCAGGCTGCGGACATCAATCGTCTGATCAAACGGAACCGTCATCTGTTGGCAAACACTCTTACTCTCGCCCAAGGCTTTCTCGGTCTCCACCCAGGTGCTACGCCCCTTTCCGTGTCTACTGAGGTTGACAAGTCAAGTGAAGCCAAGCTCCCCAACGTAAGCAAGAAACTGACTGTGGACCACGTCATCTGGCTGGACAAACAGCCCATCGCGAATCTTTTGGTTGGCCTGGAGTCTGGCCGTACTGATGATATGCAGGATAGACGCTGTCTGAGCAGAAAATGATCACCCCCCACCCCTATGCTGCGGGACGGTGACAAAGATACCGGCACGCGCGGAAGAGAATGAAGAAGAAGAAATTTTGGGAGTTCCGGACAGCATGAGGCCCATGGATGAGACGACTGTCATGATGGAAAGAGAGATGATCTCATTTGCATTATCAAAACTAGTGCCTGCGCCGTGGAAATATCAGACCGTCCTTGAACTCCCATTCGAGTGAGGTGCTGAACATTATGCTTCGCTTCAGCTTAGCCGTAACCTTACTATCGCAGTCATAGTACCACCGAGGTGGTTTGGCATCCAACCGTCGACGTGTCTTTGTAACCGCTCCTTTCCGCCTGTCGCAGCTCCTGCCCTTCGTCTGTTGACCTCGGCTTTGTTCGCTGACTCCTCCTGTCCCGCTGGCCTCCGCGCTGGCCGCAACAGAAGTCTTCCAGTCGTAGAGCCTGGGGTCCACGAAGGTATAGACACGCTCGCGAGATGGCGTCGGTCTCAGGTCGTACTTGATCCGACAGCCGTACCCGCTAGGAAATGCATGGACGGAGATGTGGTCCTTCGGATTCTCGTGTTGGAAATTCCAGAACTGCACCGTGCTGTCGAAGTCCCAGAAGTCGTTGATGCTGAACTGGAAAGTCTCAAATTCCATGGCCGAGATCCACTCGGGTGTTAGGCGCGGGTTCAGCTCCGGCGTCACCATAAAGTGCGGAACGGTGACGGCTGTGCTAAAGTCGCCCAGCTTGCCGCCGATCAACTGCCGGTGCGCCATGTCGACGTCGATGATGCCGAGTTGGTGCAGTCGGATGATATCCCGGAGAATCCTCTTCATATCTTTGTTTCGGAGAGGTTCTTCCGCTTGACCGAATTCTTTCACGATGCACCGAATGGGCGGGTGTCTGCCGTCCCTCCCCAGAAAACGCCCGCGCATATCTTCGAGGCCGGGAATCTCACAGTTGCCGTTAAATTCGAGTTTGAGGTGGCTGAACCGGTTCATCATCGTACGTTCGTGTTCTTCGTCGAGAAGGAGATAGCCGAGGCACTTGACGGCTAGTTCCTCGTACCCGTCTTCCTGGAGGCGACCAAAGGCCCGGCATTCGCAGGAAAATGGCTCTGAGTAGTTGTAGAACGCGCTCATGGCCTCGAGATCGTCTGGTTTGGTGTGTGCTTCAGGACCCAACCAGTCCTCATCGTAGGGGAAGCGGAACTGGAGGGGATAGCAATTAGTTTATTGCTCCTTGGGCAATCTCATGGTTGGGATCCTCTGCCCACTTACGAGTTTCAGCGCGTAGATCTGCAGTTCGATCTTGACCTTGAAGACATGTGCGTGCAGGCCTTCTCCAAGGTATTCAAGGAACTCGATCTCCTGCGAGCCCTTGAAATTAAACGGCTTTAGCTTGGGGCCGTCGCACCGTGGCAGGGGCACCAAATCTGCGGGTGATTCAGGCCAGTCTAGATACATGATGAAACCGGAGCTCAGGTTGGAAGCAAACAGCGGGAAGACGACGCTTCTGAAGCGTTCCGGGAGTTTGACCAGGGAAAGTACGGGGGACGAGTGCGAGGCGCCATGTTTATTTATGTTGACCTGTGGCGGAAAACAATCTTATCCAACTTTTGTGGTTGTTGGGTGTTTGTTTCGCGATTCCTTTTTGTTTCGATTGCGACGAGGCTGTGCCAAGAACCAGATCCAGGGGGGTTCTTGGCATAGTCACGTGATACCAAGGAAGATAACTCCCGTGATGTCCGGAAAAAGGTCGGCGCACCATCTTCCACCAACCGACTGATATTATCAAAATGACACCAGAAATTCCTGCCCCTGGGGACGACCGGAGCCCGCGGAAGCCATATGAGGACAATGTTCCCGGCATCTAGCCCTCATGAATGTCACCATCGAGCATCACAACCGTCTCCAGTCTCCACATCGGCGGGAGTTTTTCATCTTATCTGATAATAATAATCTGATAAGATTATCGCCCAGGACGCCAAATGGGTCATATTTTTCTTCACATCATGCTCATCCTCTTCTAACTTCCCTTCGGCTCTCAATGACATCCTCATCTGATCCCGCCGGTGTCGGCGCTGGGGAGCTTGACGATCACAAGCTCATGTCGCCATCGACGAAGCCAGAATAGGCTCGAGGAAACAGGTTTTCTGCACGCCTTCTTCCGTCAACTCAGAATGAGAGAAGAGCGCTCGCAGTAGCCGGAATCCATGTTTCTACGGAATCGCTAAGGATTCAGGCGGGGAGTGGAAAGGGAAAAATCCATCTTTCCTTCTTTGTCGCCCAATGCATGTGTCCAACAGGTTTTTCCCGCAAGCTTTGGTCTTGGGGTTGCCTGTGTCTAGTCGTCTATGGTAAGGCTTCATACTCTCGCACTTGACCTGAACAGTGTGTGCTCTCTTTTTTTTCCCGTGCAGCTTCATATTTGTATTAGTCAATTGAATGCGCGATGGAGCGGTCAGGAACGTGGCTGGAGTCCCAAGCAAGTCGCTTCCCGAGGGTGTGAGGGACTGAGATGGTTCAGTGCACAAATACCTTGATTGCTGCCCTCGTGGATGTCCGTTTCTCTTCAGCTTTCCATCGTCTCTCGTTCTCTTCCAACTACTCGCACGAGCTGAATACCCTTCACCCAATCTCAATGGCGCCCAAAAGCCTTGTTCTTGCAGCTTTGGCTGCCGCTGCCCTGGCTCAGACTCCAGCAGATCTGGTTACTGTCCTCAATTCCACCGATGGGGCTTCCACCATCAGCGAAGTGGTGTCGGAAGTCCCTGGCTTTCTGGATGCTCTATCCGGAAAGACAAACCTCACCTTCCTTGCCCCGAATGACACCGCTATTGCCGAGTTCTTGAACACTCCGGAAGGACAAGCACTTGAGGATGCAGGCGACGACTACCTCTTGAACCTGTTGCTCTACCATGTCATCGATGGAGGGTACAACAATATCACGGACTACTATATCTCCCCGACCTTGTTGACGTCAAGCAATTATACCAACGTGACTGGTGGACAAAATGTTGGTATCTATTATGACGATGACGAAGATGTCGTTGGCTTCTATGGTGGATTGGACTACAACCCCGAGGGACCTCCGACGCCCATCCCTTTCTCTCAAGGATGGATCTATCTCATCAACGGCGTGATGAAGATTCCCCCAAGTGTCTCCGAGACCGTGACCTCAGGCGACTTCAATGGCAGTTCCTTTGTAACAGGTCTGAACGAAACTGGTTTGACTGAGCAAATTGACCTGCTCCACGATGCGACGTACATCATTCCGACCAATGATGGCTTCGACGCTGTCGAGCAAGCGCTCTCCGAGTTGAGCACCGAGCAGCTGGCTGACGTGCTCAAATACCACGTGGTGGCCGGCAAAGTCTGGCACTTTGACGACCTCGAGAACGGAACGCAGCTGACGACGTTGCAAGGCGAGTCCCTGACAGTTTCTGTTACTCCTGCAGGAGACTACTTCATCAACAATGCCGGAATCAGTTACGTCGACCTCGCGGTTTCTGAAGGCGTCGTCATCTTCGTTGACAACGTGCTGAACCCTAATGCCTCCTGGTCCCCACCAGTCAATGGTACCGAGGACGGTGTGCCCGCATGGCCAGTCTCGAACGCCGCCAACAACGGAAGCGAACCTTCAAGCACTGCGACAGCGAGCAGCACGCTTGCCACTGCTACCTTTACTGGGTTGGCTGCTGCGCCATTGAAGACTGGTGCTGTTGGTGCGGCTGCTATATTCGGTGGGGCTGCATTGGCGCTCGTGCTCTAGAAAACTGGAATAAAGAAGACGTCGTAATCAGAAGTAATAGGCGTTGTTGCTAGAGCGCAAGAAGGAAAGGGGGAGTCGAAGGCAGAAATTGAGGAGGAGCTGGAAGATAGATCCCCGCGTCTGGTGCTTACCACGCCACCGTAGATGTTCCATCTCAATAAATACTTCCGAGCATAGACACAGTGCTTGCCACTTCTCCGTTTATGCAGCTCGCCCCAAATTTCCATCCTTGCAAACTCACATCTCATCCTTGTGTGCCCCATGTCGACCCCATAACGAGAAGTCGCGTAATTCCAGCACCTTCTTTACCCCTTGGCCTGGAGGGTAAATGACTGTCACGCTCCGACCAGAGCGAAGCGACGAGGACGGCCAGCACTAGTTTGCAAAGGACGAAAGATACCGACCTCTCAGGTCCTCGAACCGATTGATCGTGCAGTGTTACCATGTGAAGCAGCCGATGGGGGTTACGGCCAAGAGACGCCAAAGCTTTAGCCTCGTTGACATGCCCTGGCAGCCCTGCAGCATGATCAGCGCTCTAGACAAGTGAGCTCATTCTGCGCTACGCATTCTGCAATCGTCGGACACAACCGGAAGCCATCCTCCTTTCCACTTTGATTCCAGCATCGTCGATCTCCACGGAGAGGCATCCTGTGACAACAGGATCGTGTTTACATGCCGAATGTCTTCGACCTCACGGGAGAAAGGCGCAATTCATCACCTGAAGACAGCCGCCCCGGTGACAAGAAACGTGTACTGTGTGCCTTTGACAGCCTGAACTGGGAGTTAACTATGTGCGGAGAGCCCGGATGCCATACGTCCCATTGAACGAAGAAACCGCCCGAGCAGGTTACACAGGCTTCGTTCCAGAAAAGAGAAAGGTTCCCGGTTACCCACGAGTCACGCTCAGCGTTTTCCATTCCTTCCATGTGGCGACTGACGGATCATGAGAGGAATATCCACAGAGCGTTGGTGCACAGCTAGGTTCTGCCAGAATTCCAGCCACGTCTGTGGGACCCCAGCCCAGTATTTGGGGAGGTAGGGGAACTATCAACTGAAGATGGTTGCAGGGTCGCAACTGAACACCATCTTTTGATCAGATTGATGATTTACATACCCCTAGTAGCCCATTCTGTTCGAACGGCAATGATCACCAGCTTCGAGTGCGTATAGTCCACCAGAAGATAGGGGATGAATGACTCAAGGCACGGTTCTATGGACAGTGATATGTCGCTTTTCGCTATGTGGCCTATACGCAAAGAACATAATGGAACAACCTGAAAGAGGCAGATATGGCCGATATCGGTACCGCTGCAACTGCTCCTTTGTAGCATTGGGCTCTCATGCATTGTCGCAATCCAGACTCGAGCAGCAATGGAGGTCTACATCACACTTGACCCTGGACTGGAAAAGCTTTGACTCTAACGTCCTGAGACTTTGCTCGAAAACTTTGACAGGCATCGAGCCAGTGATCGAATGGCTCGGTGGGAGGGAAGAGTCGACTTGTCGCGCTTGTGCAAGCTGGAAAGCGATGTCTGGATCCCACTAACCCAAGGCGGAATTTTTATCTGATAAGATTATCAGAAAATTTTCGCTGATAATCTTCGCACTCTTGATCGGACATGTGAGCAGCGTCTCCACCGTAACCACTCACAACTGGCCTCCACCGTATGCGTTGGTATACCCGAGTGTGGTAAGTGCTGTCGGATCCAAGGTCTAGAAGTGACCCAGGAACCTCTGCTATGTCCACTCAGTCACGATTTGCAGTCTTGTCAGGTGCTTTCGATGCACTTTGCCATCCACTCAATTCGCTGGAAAGGTAGGAGTCCTGGATTGGACTATAAATCTACCAGGATGTCTCTTTACTGCTCTGGCAGTCCCCTTCAGTGCTCTCACAAGCTATTGCCTGGCCTACCTTTGACATGAGGACACTAAGTTTGTTGTTATTGCTATGCGGCCTCTCACGAGGGGCCGTAGACAAGTATACTGGTTGCTTGAATGGCATCCAAACAGCTGTGTCATACCTCACTTTCAATGAAACTGACCCTGATTACTATACCAACGCATGCACCAACAAACTTGTCGTCATGTCAATGTGGGCTGCTGCAAAGGTCTATTGTACACCCCGCGAAATTGAAGCTGGCGAAAAGCAGTTCTCAGGATACTGCGAGGAGTATGGCAACGTCCAACTCATTCCTTATGCCGAAGTGCTCCCAAACCTCACCAACGAATACATCAAATCTCTTCCGGTTGCCCAGTATAGCGATATTGAAGACCTCACTGTCTTCAATACGTCGGTCATGATTTCCAGGTCTTTATACAAGGCTGGTAGAGACACCTATGTACGTCCTTGTTGTCTTCTTCATGTCTGCATCTCAGCACTGTACTGACTATGCGAAGGTTGTCTTCGATCTAGAATACGTCCTCCATCAAAGATACGGGTGCGTTCTTTCCCCCTGCAACTATCAAAAACATGTTTGGATTTGTGTTAAACTGTTCTAGTTGGGCCATGTACGGGTTTTGGGGTGGGCTGCTGTTAATAGGCGTTCTCAACCGTCTCGCTACACATTTCTCTGGATCTCGTCGTCTGAAAGCTGTGGACGACATCGAGGGAAGAAAGACATCCTCCGGCCAGAAAGGCCCTCGATCGGGAGTTGTCGCCTGTGTCAGCTCGGTTCATCATTGGCTCCGATCAAATGTCATCGTACCTGCAACATTTGGCTCCCATCACAACCGCCCTCTGTTCTGGACTACCATACCGACACGCATGGAAACGATTATCGTTGTCTCCTTCTGGGTCATGACCTTCATCCTGTGTTGCGTTGGCTATCAGATTTTCTGGCCCAACCTTTAGTATGTTCTCGACATCGTCCCCTCCTCTCTGGTTGGAACAATTGCTGACTGCCTTTCAGCTACACCGAACCTCAACAGGCCTGGCGGTATATTTCAGACCGCACTGGCATCCTTTGCTATGCAATGCTGCCCTGGCTGTGGATGTTCTCTGGAAGGAACAACATCTTCTTATGGCTCACTGGCTGGAGCTTTGCGACTTTCAACATCTTCCACAGACACATTGCTCGATGTGCGACGGTGCTGGCGATTGTCCATTCGGTGGGATGGTCGGTTTTAGAAGGCACCTGTATGATCTATTCGTATTTACTTCGTCCTGGACAACGATGCTGACTCTCCTTCTAGTTGGCTACTTCGCCGAGTCGTGGACGGAGCAGTATTGGTACATGGGAGGACTGGTAAGCTCTCACGCCGGTCATACGTCTCCACTTGTGCTAACACGAGTTCCAGGCGACGATTGCAATGAGCTTGATCGTGCTGTTCTCTTTCATGTGGTTCCGCGTCAGGTCGTATGAGCTCTTCCTCCTTATCCACATTGCACTCTCCGTGGTGACCATCGTTGGTTTGTTTTAGTACGTGCTTGACCCTCTCCCCCTCCTTACCCTCCCACTTGCTGAGCTCCGCAAACCAGCCACACTGCCATCTTCGACGGAGAGTACAACGGCTATCTATGGCCACTGGTGGCTATTTGGTGCTTTGATCGAGCAGCTCGCCTTGCTCGGTGGGCATACTGCAACCTTCACATCAGATTGTCCCACGCTGTTGTCAATTCCACGGCCTCCGCAACTTACGACAAAGACGGCGACTTCATCAGACTTGACATCGTTCCTGGATCTCGGATGCTTAAAGCAGGACCTGGCCAGCATTACTACTTGTACCAGCCAATGAAATGGAAGGGCTGGGAGAACCACCCCTTCACTTTGGGAGCTTACGAGACTGTCAAGGAATCGGACCCGGCAAGCGTTGTCACGACTGCCGAAGCTGGAGCCGAGCACAGGACCGACATCGAGGCACTCGCGGGCAAGGATGTCGAGGCGGTTGCCGCCCCAAGCTCATCCTCGCCGACTTCCCTAGACGTCACGCCAGACCCATCGCAGCATAAAGTTGACTTCTTCCAGGACAAGGTCGGTCGGCAGAAACTCACCTTCCTCATCCGGCCCTTTGGTAGCTGGACCAAGCGTCTCCGAGACGAATGTCTCAAGTCACCCACCGGAGTCATCACGCCCCACCTTTTCATTGAAGGACCCTATGGTGAGCACAGCCCTCTGCACACATACGAGAATGTCGTCTTTGTTGTCGGTGGGACCGGAATCTCTGGCGCGACGCCTTACCTGCAAGACCATGTCCGAAGAACAAGTAGCCAAGCACAAGCATCACGCCCGGATGGAAAAGTGGCTACGCGCACGAGAGACATCACCTTGATATGGTCAACTAAGCAGTCCGCGATGATCCGCAGCGTCGTGGCACACGAGCTGAAGCCCATACTCGGGCGTGAGGACATCCACATCCACCTGCACGCCACATCGTCCCGAGAGCCGCAGAGTAGCAGCAGTCTGGATTCCCACGAAGTCGACCTCGCCCACGCCGCTGCAGCGCGGGACAAGGAAGTCGATCTCAAGAGCACCCCCGCCACGAGCCTTAGTGACGGACTGACCATCTCGTACGGCCGGCCTGACATTTCCGCCACGATCCTGACCATCATCAACGACGTGAACAGCGCCGGCCCCGCCGGCGGCCGCATTGCCATCTTGACCTGTGGCCCGGGCGGCATGGCCGACGAGGCCAGGGCAGCGGTCCACACAGCCTTGAAGCAGGGTAAGCGAGGTGTTGAATACTTTGAAGAGGCTTTTGGGTAAGTTCTTCACCTTTACTGTCGTTTCTGTCTGTTTTGTTTCTGATTACTGACTGGCCGCTCAGGTGGTGATGTGATGATTGTCGAATCTTCGTCCATTGGATGGTCCATCTGACGAGAAAAAGGAGAGATACCACAGACAAAGTAGATAGAAGCTTATGATATACACTAAAAAATGCTGGTCAACCTTCGACTGGAACTTGCTTTGAACCTCCTTGAGTTGATGTTGTCTATGTCGTCCAAGTCCTGGGATTAGATTAGATTGTGCCATCTGATTAGATCTGGTCCGCCCCCTAGTTAACCCTGGACCGGCTCTTTCAAAGTCTCTATCCTCTGCCGAGTCAACCCTAGATGCTCTTCTGCAACCTCCCTCCCGGTCTCCATATTCTCCTTGGGTTATTAAATAAGCACGCTCCCTTCCCCCTCCCCTACCTCTCCCTCTCCTTTAAACAAGACGGTCTCTCCCGTTCTATTTCCCCTCCCATTGCACCAAGCCCGACACAAAACACTACCGTAAAGGACCAGAATGTCTAGCATTCCCCCGCTTCCCTCCTTTCCCAACACTCGTTGTCTCTTTTTCTTTGGTCTGTTCAGTGCGCAAACCGGAAATCCAACCGCTTATTTCCCATCTCCCGCGTTCTCGACAGGTACTGAAGCTGCTGCGCCTCGGTCATGGCGGTCCACTTCCTGTCGCGGTGCCGGTTGCGGAGCACGTAGTATGCCTTGGTGAACAGGTACAAAGCAATGTTCAGCAGGGCCACGGCGAGGAGCACACGGTTGCCGCGCTTGTAGGCGGGGGCATCATCTGCGCGCGATATCAGCGAGGTGAGAATTGCGAGGAGGTGATAGAGGTTGGTAAGCAGGTAACACGAATAGTATAACGGAAGAAAGAACAAAAATAAAGAGGGACTGACCTGCTCGATACACGTTGGAGGATATCACGCCGCCGGCTTGCACGAACATGTTGTACATGGCCGCCGACACGGTGCGGGAATGTACGGCGTTGGAGTTGCGCGAGTTCCAGCCAACTTGGATCGGGTGGGCTGGTTCGGGACGCATATTAGCCTCAGAGCTTATCCATTCATTGGAAGGACAGTCCACGACATGATCAATCTTTTCATACCATTGGGGTAGCTGAGCAGCAGAGTCGTGACGGCCCACGTGGCCCATTTGTTCATCTTGGACGTATCGACGCTGTTGAAGAAGATCAGGAATGGGAGCGCCCAGAGCTGGCCTGTCACGGCCGTGAATGTGAGCTCGTGCAGGATCTCGGCCACATAGGTCAAAAGCAGCATGTTGATCACTGGTAGTGCAAGAGATGTTAGCCGGGAATGACCTCCAGGTTTGGGCTTTCTGGTTTCTTTCTTCCCAAGTGACGTGGTTGCGTGGATGAATGAATGAATGAATGAACGGGAGACACATACTATGGAAGACGGTGTAGGGAATCGCCAACAAATTCGTTTGGAATGTGTCGAAGCCGAGACCGCGCAGAGAGAGCGTGAGATACTGCTGTACCGGCGTCATGGGAATCTGGAACATGAGCCCCAAGACATACAGTGGCCTAGGCAAGACAGTGCAGTTAGCAGTGTGGGTAGACTGGGACGAGACGAAGTCATGATTCAACGGAGATTTGCTTACCAAAGGTCGAAATCTTTCAGGCTCTGCCACAGGAGACCTGGGGTGATGGCCTGCCGGTTGTGCATGCCGCCCTTGCTGGGGTCGTCGCGGATCACTCGGTTGACCATGATGATCTCCTCCCTAGGTTGATTCAACAATCAACAAGACATATTCACATCGCCCAGAAAGTGACACGTCTCTTCTTACCTCTCTGTAAACCAGCCCGTCCTCCCCCGAAGCCAGCTTGCTGTCTGTGTTGGCGAGGCCGGCATAAGACCAAACGCCAAAAGGCCGACGAACATGGTCAATAGCCCCTAACATAATTTGCGTTCACCAACTGGAATTCTGGAAACAGGAGAACGAAGACAGCCTACCTCTATCAGGAACAACCACCGCCACCCAGACTGCCGCTGCACGCCTCTCATATGGAGGACGCCGTAGGCCAGGAAGCCCGAGATGATGTCGGCCAGACTCATGGCGGTCCAGAAGAAGCCCAGGCGCAAGGAGAGTTCGTGGTGCTTGTAGAAGTACGACAAGTAGAGAATCACCTGTGCATTGATGAGCGAGAAATGTCCCCAACACATTCTTTCCGGCCCCTAAGGCGTCCTCCCGAGCACTCACGTCTGGGATGAAGCCGCCCTGCAAAATCCCCAAGAGACATCGACAGAGGAGGAAAGATGTCCGCCCCTCGAGCCAGAATTGGGTCACGGCGACAAGGGACCACAGAGTCATTTGCATGGGAATCCAGCGGTCGGGACCGACCCATTTCGACACCAATTGCGACGGCACCTCGGCGCAAAGGAAGGACACTTTGAAAACCGTGTTGCCGAGATTATAATCTGAGTAAAGCCACCGGTTAGTCTATTGTGTCTCGCTGCGTTGGGGGTTTATGTGATGAAGCATCCACACCGTTGGTGGTTAGGTGCAGGTCCTTGAGGAAGTCGTCGCTCAGGGCCTGCGTGATATTTGCACGATCGAGTTCCAAAGCCATGAACATGATGCAGGCAAAGACCATGATCCGCACATCGGTCTTGCGAATCAACCTGTACTCTTCGCCCCAGGTCCATCGAGCAAACGGGTCGAAGCGGTGCAGGTTCTCCCTGAAACACGCGGCATGTTAATTGCCAATGCCGCGAGAGAGTGTGCAGACCAAGAACTTGCCAGTCTCGCCGGGGCTGGTACTCCTTCGCGGTGTCCGGATTGTCAAACACGCTTGCCTGTAAAATCAATCAGCCTCCCATATCCCCATTCTCAGCAGTAGCGAGATGTACCTGTGTTGCGATGGCGTGAGGATCATATGCTTGACCCCTCTGGAACCAAAACCTCTTCTCATGATGAGGCAGACCCAGGGGAGGGACGTCGTTTGGTGAAGCACTCGCGGAATCGGCCTTCTTCTCTGGCGGCTTGAGGAGGGCTTCAGCCTGCTCATCCAGCGAGATTGAGGAGCCATTCGAAGCCAGCTCATCGTCTAGGTGTCGATGCCTGCTGCTGCCGACAAACACGGTAGACATGGCTGGGTCCGTCAGGCGTTCCTCGCGGACAATATATCAATCACGTGCACGCTGGGTAGCAGTCTCTCCTCGTTTTCTCTCATTGATATCAATCTCCCGCTGTGTCTTTACGCTTGAGAATAGATGCCTGAACCATTTCTCTTTCTTGTCGAGAGCTGCATTTTGAAAGGAAGACGAGCTCGTGTGGTGGTGATGGAATGGATCTGGCTATCACGCAAGATTGACGATGGATGGCAAAATAGCCCCATGCCACACTGCTCGCCATGAAGCCGGGGCTTCTGATTGAGCCCTGCAAATTCGCTTATCTTCTTGGACACTCACGGTTGGGGCTGGGGATCTGCATCTGGCCGCGAACGACAAGAAACTTGATGGCGGAGCTGAATATGATGAAGGAGACATTGAATGGTATTGACTGAGCAGCAGTTACCAATGTACTGTACATTGGTCCACATGGACTAGTCAGTCCCTAGCAGCGAGAGTCTAGGCGCTAAATGGAACGGTACGCGCGACTATAGCCATTAAGGCCTGGAGGGTTAGGCGGTAGAATAACTGTAGCGCGATCTGTGTAGTCCCCTAGGTGACTAGCTAGGCACCCCGCTTACCCGTACATACTGTACAACATACAGTATATTGTAATACCGCCAGTACTGGCCGTAGGTGCTCTTTCAACCTCTCCATATCTTGCTGCAGCCATTAACAAAACACGATCTTCTCCAGCTCTACCTTCATTTTCAAGCCCCTCCTTCCTGTTGCACAGACCCCAGAATGTGAGCGGTAAACATGTCTTGTTTAGAGGTACGAAGACTTCCAAAAGACCGGAAGTGATTCAGCGATGTCACAGGGCGTGGCTCCCAAGCTTCCCGACTACCTACCATCACATTAAATCCGCTCAGATCTTGAGCTCCAGGTGCGATTTTCGAGACCATAATACTGAAGCCCAGGTGTATCACCAGAAAAAAAAATATGAATCGCCACAGACCAAAAAGGCTCCAGGGCCTTCATGGGATCGGGGTAGACAAGATGGGCAACATTGCGGACAAGGTCAAGGCAAAACAGTCACAAGCCGGCCCTCCCACTGAGAAGTTGCTACGCCTGGAGAACCTTGATGTCGACATCCCTCCCGACGATGTTGTGCAAAGCCTCACCTCAGCGGCAGCCACAAACGACGACGACAACAGTTACCTTCCATTCCTCGGACAGATAGACCTGAGGAATGCTGTTGCTGAGCACGTAAGCTCCATGACCGCAGGTACGATCCAATACAACGGTGAGGCAAACTGCATCATCACGGCTGGGGGCCTGAGCGGGATCCTCAACACCCTGCTGGCCACGGTGGAAGAAGGGGACGGCGTCCTCTTGACAGAACCCGTGTACGCTGGGCTGCTCAATCGCGTCAGGCTAGCTGGTGGCATCCCACATTTGGTGCCTCTGCAGTTTAACCCGGGGGAAGTATGGTCCCTGGACCGGGACAAACTGCGAGAAGTGATGGACTCGCCAAACAACAAGATCACAACGATGCTGATGATGTCCCCCAGCATGCCGACCGGGGCTTACCTCGACCAGGGAGATTGGACCCTCATCGCCGAGCTTTGTGTCAAGCATGATATTTTGTTGATATATGATGCAGCCATGGAGCGTTTGATATTCGATAATCTCCCCATTATCCACCCAGCATCCTTCCCTGGCATGGCGAATCGAACCATAATAGTGGGATCGGCTTCAAAAGAATTGCGCATGATTGGCTGGCGCGTAGGCTGGATTGTTGGCCCCGCGCACATTATACAGGACATCGGCCTGGTATCGATGGCCAATGTTGTTGTTCCTGTAGGTATTGCACAACGAGCTGCGAAGGAGGCGCTTCAGATATCCAAGGCCACTATTGTCGACTACGTTCGCGAACTGCAGCTTCGCAGGGATCTGTGCCTGAAAGAACTCAGTGGACTGCCCTTTGGCAAGCCGAGCGGCGGATGGTCGCTGTTGTTGCGTGTCGACACGCTGGGTTGGAGAGCGGATGCCGCCGCTGAAGCGCTTCTGGCACAAGGAGCCTGCGTGACGCCGATGGTCGGCTGGGGTTCTGACGAGGAAGCTCAATACATACGGATTGTCTTCTCGAACGAGCCACGAGATCGACTAGCAGGCCTGGGAAAGATGGTCAGGGAGGCATTGCTCAAGTGAGAGACAGCCCTATAGTTGGCAGTAATCTCGGGTTTGCGTGCCGTCCCATCAACCGCCAGCCCTATATTCCCTCAAAAAGGATTCAGCTCCTTGAACAGAAATGTTGTTGGCCACCAACTTTTTTACAACAACTGTTGTTGGAAGCCCACTGGAGATATCAGATAAGGCTTCGCACGCATCCATGGCACTCAGTACGTCGGTGTTAAAGTAACAAGCGAGACTGACAAATTCTTGAGCGCGAATAGACGGACTTTTGGCGGCTATAAGGACAGCCCTCCGTCTGGGGGGGCGTCACGCTAGGGTTTATGAGATAAGCAGCGTCCGAAGGGTTTAGGTGATAACATTGGGTGCACTACCGGTTCTCGCGAGCCTAGGGCATAAGGGCATGTTCGAGAAGATGTTCGAGAGATGAAGGAGCCAATGGAAGAACATTCGTGGTGGACAAGCTGACGTGCTACTCGGTCATAAGCCGACCAAACTCGATGAAGTAGTGGCCGCGCCGACCATGTGTGGCTTCAGCTCTAGTGGCCGCCGTACAAGACATCGTACAATCTCCCCAGCCAGTATCGCGAAAGATGACGTCGACGTGCAGTCAAGTTCCTCGCAGGGGTGCAGACCCCAGGGGATGGATGAATGGCAAAACGATACGACGACGCCCCGTGCTTTGGTGAGCAACAGCCAAAACTCTCTATTCCCACCAGGACGACCCATTGCAGATCGTGAAACCTCCAGATGCAGACAGCGGATGGGTCTGGAAGACAGCCTGGGGGGTTTAGGAATACTAATCACCATCAGAGGATTACATACAAACAGTCCTAAGGAGCCAGTGGTGAGGGTCAACGTGAGTGGCTGCGAATACCTGGTTGTCGCATACCAAACCCACCACCATCACCAGCGTCGGGTACGACGAGGTGTCCAACGAAGACTGCCAACGTCCTCGTCCGCTTGGAAACTCGTGGCCGAAGGGCGTCGAGGGCGTCTACATACTAGGACCCACTCGAAATCCTCAACCCCCAGTCCGGCGGATTCTCGTCGACCTATCAGTATCTGGGCGAGTCTTGACCCCTACAGCTTACTAACGGAAGCAGTCGTACCACAATATCGATACCCGGATCTACGTGCCCCAAATCGCGCAACGTGGAGGATTCCCTAGCGCTAAAGCCAGCATGCTCAATTGGGTAAAGGTGCGTACGAAGCATTCTGTTCACAGCCATAGCAATGGGGGTGTATATATGCCTAGCGAGGGAATGCGACGGGAGGCTTTGTGCATTGACAACCACATCCGCCTTCGCGTCCATCTTTGGGATCTATCGACAGAGATATTCGACTGCCACCATCACAACAATACAGTAACAGGAACAAGCTCACAAGTATGGCTGATATCGAGAGCGTGCGAGACTCAAGCTCGTCTTCCACGAGCGTCAACACCCTCGGTGAGCGACACCAATCGGAGGTCGATCTGGAGAAGGCAGAGACCATTCACCCAACCCCGACCTCAGGCACGGGGGTATCAGCGACACGGTCGCAGACTATTGGGAGGACACGCTCCGTGGCTACCGACGGCTACTCGGTGTATGATGTCGACGACAATGAGAGCGACGAGACAACTATCGAGCGCACCAAGACGAATCCCTTCGAAGTTTTCTGGGAGGGACCAGGCGACAAGGAAAACCCTCGCAACTTCAATCTTGCCCGGAAATGGATCATTGTCCTCATCACTTCTCTCGCTTCCTTCTGCGTGTAAGTAGGAATCTCACTTTGTGGAGGTTTCTTCTGTGGCGGATATTGACTGGTTGCTCATTAGAACGTTTACCTCGTCTGTCTACACCACCACCTACGAGCAGCTCAGGGAGGAGTTCCACTGCTCCAGAGAAATCGCCACGCTTGGTCTCTCGACATTCGTCTTGGGCTTAGCATTCGGGCCCATGCTGCTGGGGCCCCTTTCCGAGTTCTATGGGCGACGACCCATCTACATCGCGTCCATGTTCTTCTTCCTGATCTGGCTGATCCCTTGCGCCGTTGCCCAGAACATCCAGACCATGATTGTGTGCCGCTTCTTCGACGGCTTCGCGGGCAGTGCGTTCCTGGCCGTCGCCGCAGGCACCGTGGCAGACCTGTTTGAGCCCAAGGATCTTGAGTTCCCTATGATGATCTTCACGGCCACGCCGTTTATGGGTCCTGCATTTGGCCCGATTATCGGCGGGTTGATTAACCAATTCACCACATGGTATGATGATAATCCCCCTCATTATGAGAAGAAACTCGCCGCTGACAACAATACTTCGTGTACAGGCGATGGACTTTCTACACGCTCCTCATCTGGACTGGCGTCCTACTGGTCATGGTCATTTTTTTCGTGCCCGAGACGTACCACAAAGTCCTCCTCAAACGGCGCGCGGAGAAAAAGCGTAAGGAGACGGGAGATAACCAGTGGTACGCGCCGATTGAGAAGCTCAACCGCAGCATCCTGGGGACCGTCATCCACTCGTGCTCAGTGCCCTTTGAGCTCTTGTTCTTCGAGCCCATGTGTCTCCTGCTCTGCCTCTACTCGGCCATCCTCCTAGGCATCATCTACCTGTTCTTTGGCGCCTTCCCGCTCGTCTTCGGCGAGAACCACGGCTTCTCGTTGTACCAGGTTGGCCTGACCTTCATCGGCATCCTCGTTGGCATCACCATCGGCGTCCTGACCGACCCGTTCTGGCACAAGAATTACGTCAAGATGGTGCGCAAGCACGAGGAGCAGACGGGACAGGTGGGCATCAAGCCCGAGCCCGAGTACCGCTTGCCGCCCGCCATGTTCGGCGGCATTCTTGTGCCCGTCGGCATATTCTGGTTCGGCTGGACGACGTATTCGAGCGTCCACTGGATCGTGCCCATCATCGGCAGCGCGGTCTTTGGTACTGGGTTGTTCCTTGCCTTCACTGGCATCTTGACCTTCCTCGTCGATGCGGTGAGTCTACTTTGCCCCGTCCTGGTCTATCTGACATTTCATCATCTGACTCGTCGAATAGTACCCCAGCTTCGCAGCCAGCGCCGTTGCAGCCAACTGTCTCGTCCGGCTCCTGTTCGCGGGAGCATTTCCCCTCTTCGGAACGCAAAGTGAGTCGACTCCGTACAGCATTAGCGCTTCCCACTACATGACCTCCCGGACACTAACGTGTGCCTCGCAGTGTATGAGAACCTCGATTACCAATGGGCATCTTCCCTGCTGGGCTTCCTGGCCCTGGCCTGTGTCCCCATGCCGTGAGTGTGGCCCCTGACATCTGCTATTTTGTTGGGAAAGATGAGCTAACGATCTGTCGCTATAGATTCTTCTTCTACCGATACGGCAAGAGGATCCGGTCGAGGAGCCGATTCAATAACTCTGCATAAACCTCACGATGCACATGTATTTTGTCCCCTTTCGTGTTGTCGCCTGCAGCGTCGGAGAGCGGGAGGGAAAAAGCCGCTGCAGAAGGAACATAATGGTTCTTTCGCTCCATGTACCATACGCATAGTGTGGCGTTCGTTTTCTCCTGCTGGGAATATTTGGCTCTGTGAAAACAAGCTGAGAACTCGGCGGTTGGGATTCGACTTTCATATCTCGTGTTGAAATATTGGGTGTATTAGGAACACCAGGCTGACGAAAATTGGGTCTTCTGTCTCGGTCACGACTAATGATGTTGATGTCGGTATTGAAGGATGAAAAGGGATGGGAAATGTGGAATTGTCAGAGTGACGAAAGAAATACCAGGTTTCTTGTAATATGTGGCGAGTGAACGGACTCTGTACTACTACTATACTGACAAGTTTTAACTATACTTCTTGAAGGTTGTTCGTTCGAGATATCGCAAAACCTCTTTTTCTTTCTTTCACGAGCCTCAATGCCCGGCTTTTTGAATCTTGATACAAAAGAATCCATGAGCCGATTTGTCGTCTGTGAGCCGCGGGCATACGGATCCCCCCATTTACATGAGGTATGCAGCTAGCTGGCTGGGTGGCTAGCGAGAGCTGGATAAACAGTAGGGACGCGACATGAGTTCAAGAAGGAAGGACAAGGGGCCACACGAACGGATAAACAAACACCCACCCACCCACGCCATACAGTGCAGGGCGTGTGTGTTTCGGGGACGAGGCTGAGGACACCAAATCACGCGTTCTTTGCCTTCCATCACTCGCCCATGTACAGAGTGGATTGTGCTGGTTTCCCATTGCCAACCTCTCGGATCTGGACGCTGATTTAGGGGTGGGCGGAGGAAACTCCTGTTGTAAGGCAGACCAGTCGACCGACACACCAGCGTGTACTACAGATGGAGGACGTGATGGCTACGAGTGAGTGTTTCAAAGTCTTGTGTGTGTCTGGAGATGATGTCTTTACAGCTCCACTACTGACATACATGCATATTTGTATGTACATAGCTCTATACAGTAGTTAGGTTGTGATCAGGATCATGCCCTTAGCCACTCGTCGTTTTGTAATACACAATCTCAGGCCGCCTCCGAGGAAGCCCGTCCGTCTCATGGACGGCGCACTCCCTTGTAGTCGTTATGCAAAATGACTGCATTTGTACCTCGTTCAAAATGCTTTTGGCCTGCTTCCTCCTACTTCCCCCGACGTTCAGATGAGTTCATATTCCGTTGAGCTCATCCTACGTCGGCACGTTCCCCAGATTTTGTGCTGCTCTCGGAAAAGTGGGTGCGAAACAAAACCTCCATCTTCAGCTTCGTCACAGACCAGACACCTGGATTTACTTGCTTTTCGCACTTGCCACCTCTGCCAAACCGTCCTTCAACGCCTCGAGCGCCTTGTCGATCTCTCCTCTCGACTCATCCATGGCTGAGACGCCCATGTGACCAAAACGAATGTATCTCGCCGCGATCTCCCGGTGAAGGCCACCCGCAAAGATAACTCCCCGGGACATCAGCTTGGGGAGGATCTCCGGGGGAGTCAGCCCCTCGGGTAAATAAATTGCCGTCATGGTATTGGCTGCGTTGGCCGGGTCCGTCGCTAACTGCTTGAGACCCAGGCTTGCGACTTTTGACTTGACATATTCGCTCACCTTGCGGTGTTGAGCGAAGCGGGTCTCGAGAGGCTGTGAGAGAATCTGCTTGAGGGACGTGTTGAGGGCTTGGACCAACTGTGTGGGTGGAGTGGCAAAGTACGAGGGTTTCTTTGCCTCGTAGTTCTGCATGATAGGTACCCAGTTCTTGAAGCTAGCATAGTAGCTTCCAGGGTTGGACTTGCGCGATTTGAAGACGTTCATAGCCTTTTCTGAAACCATCAAAATCGACAGGCCGGGAGGGCAGCCGATGGCTTTCTGGGAGGCCGTCAAGCACACGTCAATGCCCATCTTATCAAAATGGATCTCTTCTCCGCCCACGGAGCAGACACCGTCAACAACTAGAAGGGTCTCGGGAGACACACGCCGGATGAGTTCGGAAAGAGGCTGGATCTGGGAGAGCACTCCGGTAGAGGTGTCGACATGTGTAACCGTCACGGCCTTGTATTTCTTCTCTTTTAGTGCGGCCTCAATCTCGGGCAGTTGGGGCCTGTCCCCAATGGGAGCTTTCAATTGCGTAGGCTTTGCGCCGTAGGTGGCCAGGCAGTCTGCGAAAGAGTCTCCGAAATAGCCAGTGTGCAATACCAAGACATCTTCACCCGGCTCGACCAGGTTGGCTGCCACGAGATCCCAGCCCAAAGTGCCGCTTCCTGCCAGTACAAACGGCTGAGAAGCTGGGTTGGTGGTCTGGAATAGATCTCTCAGCAGCGTAAGCGTCTCGCCGAAGGTATTCACGAATGGCTGTCCGACGTGGGATTGCGCATAGTGACTCATGGCCTGTGAGACTTCATCGGTGATCTCGATTGGCCCCGGGATCAGGAGGGAGGCATGAGGAGGCTGCGAGGACATTTTGGCGGCAGATGAGGTCGATAGTTGACGTTTCTGAGTTTGAGCGGGCGTTCGAGTAAGCTGCGCAGGGACCGCGGGGGGCACGTAGGGAATGTCGTCTGTGGCCGCCGGCAACGAGTCGAGCTCGACTGTGTACGGAGTGTTGATGCGAGGGTAAGAAGTCTGTTGATGTTGTTCCAAGTGTCGGGAGATCAGACTCAGCCGACTTGTAGCTTGGGAATATGGACGTGAGCCGGAGGGAGCCAGCTTGAAAAATTTCCCAGAAGACTGGTAAACGATGGTGGGGGATTGGGAGAACGATTGGACGTGCGAATGCCGATGCGGGAGACGTGCGGGGGAGCAGCGAGCAGCAGACAATGAGCGTGCCAAAGGACTGTGATGCGATAACGGAGACAACAGCGAAGACGACACGGACGAGAAAGAGTGTGGACGATAGAGAGATGGAGTCAAGGCCGCCATGATTGTCCCAGTAACAAATTGACACGCGAAGGAGCGGCGAAAAAAAAATTGGTTCTGCGGACCACGCGTGTTGTGGGTAAGATACACACTGTGGGCTTTGGGGGTGTTTGCCTGGGTGCTTTAGTTAGAGAGCGGAGGGGCCTAGGGAAGCCCGGGGGCACCAGAAATATTTGATAGGGACTGTACGAAGGACTGGTGGGTAATAATAATTAAATTGCCCGGACATCTTTGCGGCGGCAGGAACTGCTATTCCAGCACCTTTAAGCTTCTTCAGGACTAGCACCAGTCTTTTAAAATTCTCACGTGAACTCCCCTTGATCCACGTGACCGGGTCAGCACGTTGCGGACTATCAGCCGTTCAAAGGATCCTCAATCCTTCTTCTTCCATCTTCACACCACTCACTACCCGTCATCCATCATCATTACAGCATTATGATATTCTTCCTGACACAAGGCGGGTAACTCGAGAAACTCCATCTTTAGAGTGATAACTTTTATTATTGTGGTAGTCCAATTTTTGTGTCTACCAGTCTGACCACACGGCGCAGCTCGTGAGGGCAAGATGTCGAACATGACAGACTGGCGGGCTCTTTACAAGCGAATCCTTATGTTCAAAGCTAGATCATCAAAATCTGCAAATCTCCCATAGGACCCCGCGGACTGGATGGTGTTCTAAACCCTGGGCTGTACCTTTTCGCTGCCCAACGGTATTTTCTGAGTGACTTTTTCCTCAAATGTACTCCATCAATACGGCAGGACATCATCGTCAACTGCTGTCCGGTCAGTGTGCAAGCATAGCATAGACTTGAACATCTATCTCACCTTGATACTCAAACAGCTTCTTAGGAACGGCAAAACTCTCATCCTGCTGCTTCCACAACTTTTGCAACACGGTCTGACAAGTCCTCACGTTCCCCATTCCATAGTGCATCCACATGGTCTTCAACAAGCTGCGCACCTTGTCTCTGTCTGACTTGTTCGTACACAGGATACCCGCCACGAATAGAGGAGGTAACGCGGCCACCCCGGGACAGGGGCCGGATTGGTAAGTGACCGCAGAAAGACGATCTAGGATTGCTCGTCTGCTATCATCAATCATCTGCAGCGGAACGGACAAGGATCCACGTCGAAACACCTGGAGAAGCGCCATATGATGGTGGGCTTCATCTACCAGATAGAGGTCGTGGTATACGGGCCAAGGAAGATCCCCCTCGCCCTCGGTCCATGACATCTTCCGTTGTGCCATTAAATCTCGGATGCGATCGAACAACAAGTGGGACTGATGTTCCAAAGGCGAGTTGCAGTCGAAATGTGGTGGCCCAGGTGGACAGTCGCAGGAAAAATCAGAAACGCAATCTTCCCTCAGCCGCTCGAGATCGTTGATATCCTCAAAGATTGGCAGCAGAGTCGTTGAATATCCGGCGAGGTCGTCAATATACGCATCACATTCATCATCATTGGCGGTCAGTATGCGCCCCTCGAACCTTTTCGAGGAGCAAGCCAGAGCAACTGCCTGCAGAGCCCGGTATTTTCTTCTGAGAAAATTTGAAATGGACGACACACTGGCCCCGCTGGACCGGCCGTGCTGGGCAGAGAGGGTGGCGGCGCCATAGAGATGTGACCTCCACGACGAGGTACTCGTAGCAGGAGAGATGACCTCAGCCATGCATAGAAGCAGGGTGGTGGCAAGGATGTTGTCATTCTCGGTTGGGCTGAATCTGTCCAAGGCAGATCTCAACTGTGTTAGACTGTTTCCCTTCATCAGTTCGAATTGACAATCCCCTTCAAAAAGCCCCGATGTCCGTCGGTGAGCGGCAGCTAGTGCAAGAGTGGCAGAAAGTAAATGCGGGACTTGCATCGCCATGGGTACAATGGATGAGCAGATTTCGTCCTGAATTCCTTTGTGGCAGGAAATTGATATGGTCAATCTGTGGATGAAGTAATCGAATAGGTGTTTGGACTCTTCCGCTAATGCCGGCATCGAAGCCAGTGGCTGCAGGAATATGGAGGTTTTGGTGCACGATATTGAGTCTCCGACTTCATCTCGTGCCAACTTAGCCGTTGAGCGAGGACTTGGGTATATCCTTCGCTCAGGGCTCGGACTACTGCTGGTTCTTCTGGGTGAACACGTGTAGATAAAGTCCTTAGCCGTCGACAACTGGTCTTTGGTAGAATGAGCCATATGACACTCCTTCGATCGAGTATAAACTTACGATCCGAGGCTTCAATGCTTACGGCCTTTGCTCCGGATTCCAGGCAGCTGCCGAAACGCGATTTCTTGAACTGACGCCCGCCCCAGGAGAGCCTCCGGGAGTAGACACAGGGACGACCTACGCCCTCGCAGTACGAGCACGTTGGTTTCGCCTCGTTGCATTTCCAATGCCGCCGACGACACTCGTCACATCCCGAGCGTGACCGCTTCTGACGCGGGACTGCGCTGGATGTGGATTCTGCCATAGCTGTCTGCCAAGGACGCGCTTGCAGCTGACGCGTGCAGGATACCAAGCTATCGGAACAATAGCCTATGGCATGGCGATGCGATGGGAATGCTTCTCAATGGTGGACATTGAACTGCCAACTGGCAGCGGGGTGGGGTCGTAGGTGCCTACAGTCTCTGGAATGGCTGTAACACCAAAAGCTCCTCCATTAGCCAGCTCGATGGAAGAAGAGATATCGCAACCCTTCTCGTCGAGGTCTTCCTGCATCGGAAGGAGAACGGCAAGAAAGAAAGGATGCAGTCAATATCAGACGGGAAGGAGATAGGATAAGCTTTCCCTATTGGGTTTAGCGCACATCCTCTCACTGATCCAGTATATGAAGTTCAGCATATCGGCCACGAACGCAAAGATTATGTATCTGTCGGACATGTCCATTACCAAATTTGTGTGCAGGACGAAATGCCGTGGCCGTGTATCAGGACCTAAGCACATGTCCTACAGTTAAAACAGACATATCCGTCAGCAGCTTCTTGGGTAAGTATCTTGTAAGTATTTTGTACGCTTTCCTCTGTTGTCTTTGATTTAGCCCCTTCCCAACATTCACACAGCTCCGCTCAGCATGGGCGAAAACATTCCCGACGAGCGCACCGTGCTGCTGTCCCGGACTTCGTCCATCGCATCCAAAGAGGAAGATGCCACCTTTGATATCCTCCACGATCTCGGTGCTCTTATCCGGCGGACGATTCCCATATGTCTGTCATTCGCTCTGCAAAACGCGGTGCAGGCCATAAGTGCACTAATAGCCGGAAGTCTGGGCTCTTTTGAGTTGGGAGTCACCTCGTTCGGGTTCATGTTCTTCTCCTGCACAGGGACCATGACTGCCATTGGCGGTGCCACGGCACTCGACACATTATGTGGCCAAGCGTTCACTTCGCACTCGGTGGTCGACAATCCCAAAGTCCTCGGCCTCCTCCTTCAGCAGTGCTTGCTGGTCCTGCTCGGGATCTTTGGCGTGGTGTTTGCGCCCATCTGGGTGTTTTCGGGACGCTTTTTCATCGCCCTGGGGCAGCAGCCAGACTTTGCGTTGACCACCGGCAGATTTATGGTGCTCATGCTGCCGGCGGGCGTGTTGCAGATTGTGGCAGAGTCGTTGAAGAAGTTCTTGCAGGTCCAAGGCGAAAGCAATATCGTCGGAGTGTCTACCGCCGTGGCCAGCTGCTTGGGTGTTTTCGCCACCTTCGTCCTTGTCCGGTTGACGAAGCTGCAGCTCTGGGGTGTTCCTTGTGCCTTCTGCTTCTACCAATTTATCACAGTTGTTTTCTTGCTCTTCATCATTTCCAGGAAGCCCGCCGTCCGGAAGACTTGGCGCGGGTCAATTGTTGGCATTCAGAAGGGGCTGTCGCGGTTGGTATTTTATGCCGTCACTGGAATCTTTACGTGTGCGACGGAGTGGTGGAGGTGAGCCTTCTGTCTCTCCATTTTGCTATTGAAACTGACTCGTGGTGCGACCTAGCTTTGAAATACTTGCAATGATGGCTGCAAGGCTAGACCCCAACTCTATCGGAGCGCAGAGTGTAAGTTTCGCAAGTCTTCTAATCCCCCACGGACTTTTGCTGACATGAAGCACAGATATTGATGTCTTCCGACCTGCTGCTCACGACGGTAGCACTTGGAATAAGTGTCGCGTCCAGCCACCGCATCGCTGGCTTCCTCGGTGCCGGCAAGAGTCGGGAAGCTCGGAGGGCAGCTGCCACACCATACCTGCTGTCCTTCATTATCGGGGCCGTCGAATTCTTTCTGATCCTGCTTGCCAGGAACAGCTACGGCCGGATCTTCACGAGCGACGAAGCGGTGATCCGAAAGACGGCACAGGTGCTTCCTCTGATGGCCGGCTTCCAAGTCCTCGACCTCTCCAACGGTGGCGCCAGCGGAATCCTGCGAGGTGCGGGAAAGACTCATTTGGCCGGTGTGTGCAACTTCGTGGCTTATTATGGGGTGGGCCTGACGACGGCGTGGTTCCTATGCTTTCGCAAGGAGTACGGTGTCTTTGGTTTGTGGGCGGGCATCATCACCGGGAGCGGTGCCCTCCTGGTCCTGCAATCTTGCTGTATTTTGAGCATCCGGTGGAAGCAGCTGGCCAAAGATGTATCCAGGTTGCACGACACATCGGGCTAAACTTTATTACGGCGTCAAAAAAGTATTCTATAGCTATCTTCTACAGCTAGAACATGCATCTCAAGCTACGAATGAGCCCCAATCCTCCCAACAGATATGATCAGCCAGCGCGAGCACTTGAGCTACTGGCGCTAGACGAGTCTGCTAGGGGTATTAGGACGTCCAAAAAGATTAAATTATTCGACACATATAGAGGAGATTGGCGTGGACTTCGGTCAATATTTCATGGCTGTCGTCAAACATATCTGCGAAACCCTGTTTTGTCTGTTGACTTCATTTGAATTTGACGGCGGAAGGACAAGTATGACTGATACGTGGTCCCCATGTGTCCATCACATCCCAAACCCTATTACTGCAGTCTACAAAGACCAGACTCACTGGCCGAGTCTATTTCTAACCAGCCTCGTGATGAGCTTTTCCCGGGTCAGTATGATTCTACAGAATCCTGGTGATTTAGCAACATACCTCGATTGTAAACTCGGCTGCCACAATGCCCGTAATCTCCGCCTGATCCAACGACGGCAGGATCTCGACGACATCGACGCCGACGATGTTCAGCCCGTCCAGCGCGTCAATGATGATCTGGATGACTTCCCTGGGCGTCCACCCGCCGGACGCCGGGCCCGCGGTGCCCGGGACAAATGCTGGGTCGAGGCAGTCGACGTCGAGGGACACATAGACAGGCTCGTCGTGGTCGACGACGGCGCGGATCTGGTCGATGACGCCCCAGACGCCGTCGCGCTTCAGCATGTCGGCGGCGGGGATGGTGACGAAGCCGACCTCCTCATCGAGTTCCATGTCCTTCTCCGAGTCCAGCGAGCTCCGGATCCCCGCGTGCACATTCTTGCTGCTCAGCAGCCCCTCCATGCCGGCCCAGTAGTAGGGGGTCCCGTCGGCGAACTGCGCCTGTTTGCTGCCGGCTTTGGCGCCCGCGAACACCTTGGGCGACCACGTGTCGATATGCGCGTCGATGTGGATCGCTGACACTTTGCCGTATACGGTGTGCAAGGCCCGCAGGATGGGCAGGGAGATACTGTGGTCGCCGCCCAGGGCCACGATTTGTGGGTGATGTCGACCAGTCTTTGCAGTGTGTCGTTAGCATACATAGTCCATAAAGAGATACAAAGTTCTATCGTCGAAGCTCGAAATACCTTGGCTGACAAGACTCCATGTTCAGTAGATTTGACCTCCCTCCACAGAAGCCGTTTGTACCAGTCTTCCATCTGCGCGAAAGCAAGACCGTTGTCGAAAGGGGAGATGGGAAGGTCTCCACAGTCCACCACCGAGATATTCTGCTTGTACGGGTTGATTGACTGGCGGTAGTTGTAGTGGCCCCTGTCCCAATATCAGCTGAAAGACGCCTCTCCACGACTCTCTCGGGGTCAGACGCACGCGAGGGAAGCTGCCCGAGACCCCTGACGCACGGCATTTGGGCCCAGGCGGGTACCGGTCCTGTACGACGTTGCTGTGTCAAAGGGGAACCCCAGGATCAAGATGTCGTCCACCGGTCCGTCTTCTGTCAGGCACTGGACGGACGGAAGTTTTGCAAAGGTCGTAATGCCCGCGAAAGCGAAACTCGCTGAAGGTTCAAGGTCGTAGTCATCATTGTCTTTTGCCAATTTCCCGATGCTGGTTTGTCCAATGCTACTGCTGGCGGGGACAGCCAGAGCAGACGAGCAAGCAGTCAATGCTGCAAGGCTGTAGAGAGAAGCGAAGTACATCTTGGGGACAGGCAGGGCAAATTCTCAACGCGAGGAACAGAAGAATGCAGCTCTCGACGGAAGGGGATGTCCACGGGCAGGTCTCACTACATTTGTAGCCAGACTCTGTGCAGGAAACAAAGTTTCCATCTTGATGAACTCGACCTCAGTGCGAAGGGAGATACGGTCGGTCACTGCACGGACTCACCAAGATAGTCTATGGCTACCTTTTCCAGGGGCTCTCGTTACTTCCTTGTAGTAGACCCTTCGCATACTCCAATGCCCTGTGCAGTACGTGGTTGGTTTGAAATAATATGCAGCGGCGTTCTGCGGCCCTAGTGTATTCCTTCCCCTTTGGGACTAGTCGGCTTTCTCCATTGATAGCATTCCTTTCCTCTGCACACAGGCCCGAGTTTAGATATGCTATCACACCTGTCAGTGGCATGCCTGCAGTGTCTGGCAAGCAGGGCTAGGTTATGAGAAAGGACATGAGGTGGGGAGAACCAGTGTAGGAGCCCATGCACACCCGAGTCTTGTTACGGCGTGTACACCGCCCAAGTCCTTTGCATCTCGTACTCCCTGCCATTCACCGAATTATTGAATCAGCGACATCCTCGCGTCGAGAACATCCATTTGTCAAACCCAAACTTTCCTTGAAGACAAATGGGAATCCCAGCAGTCAAACAAAGTCGTCTTAGTATGGCACGAGACTTGCACGCTGTCAGGTGGTCGAGATGGTTTCGCCAGGCAGCAGCTAGGTAGCAGCCAGGCAGCGAGCCCTGGAGCAGCTAGTAAGGACGATTTCCGTCCACAAAGTGGTGTAAGTGTTTCTTTCTTGGATTTATTTTTTGCCGATACTTGTTTAGGTAAGTTAATTTTGAAGAAAAAGCCACTGCACTGGGGACACAGGCTATAGATTACTCTACTTAACTGCGATGAACATGCGACGTTGTCGTCCCGTCTCAAATCTTGCTTCTGATATACAAGGTCATACAATTTGTATTGCCGTCGCCGAGGCACGGAGTCGTCCGTCCAGGCAAGCAAGCAACATCAGGCGTGTTGTATTAAAGACGCCGCCGCATGTTGGTCTGGACTTATTTTCTCTAAATTCAGAAACCCATACAGGGCACCAAGTTGTGCTTCATCATCTTCAAGCTAACCTGCTACACCACGGATAGTGCAGCCGACCGAACAGCTCTACCGTCTCCTGTTCCACGCCAGCCTCGCGAGCGGCAGGAAGTTCATCCGACGCGGGAGATCTTCGGCTGCTCTCCCCCACGTACAGCCCTTCGACGAACATCTGAACACCTTCAAACCACTGATGAACTTGTCATCATCGATTTGATTCTTTTGGGGATGCGATCGAGGCGGACTACCTGTCCACCGAAGGAGTTTCACACCTGGGTCGGAATCTCGTGAATATACGCGCGGAACATTGACGGCCCAGCGGAGTCACTCGTCATCATCCATCTCCAGCACAAGGACCCAGGGGTAGAACTGGGAGCCAACCGCCGCGTTGGTCCTTTCCCATCTTGGTAGGACGTGGACTGTGAAGGGATATTAATCTTTCGAAAGGCTATAAAAAGGCTGGACCGCGCAAGGGAGTGCTAAATCTCCCAAGACTTTTCGAGTCAGATTACTTACCCTGATCCTCTCAAGCCGAGCGTGTCTAGCTTTGGGCGTCTTTCTGGCTCGAAATCAGACAGTACGAGACAGGAGGCCAGAGCTTTTAGTGTGCGAGAGCAGTTCATTTTGACAATGGCTGGAATTCCGACCCATTCTACCGCTGGTAGGAAACCTTACAATGGACCAACCTACACACATCAGCACCCCCAACTGGGCGCCTTGACAGGGCGTCTGATCAAGTCGCCGAATTTCCAGGGGCAATCCACCGTCCAGTTCCGCTCGATTCCATATGCCCAGGTCCCCAAACGCTTCGCGCCGTGCGTCCCCCTCCAAAGCATCCCAGACCAGTTTGACGCACGGCCACACCGGGATTTCACACAGTTCGGGAGCGCGTGCCCGCAGGTCGGTGCGACTAAGCCGACCTGGTTCGCAGCGTACGGGGGACCACTCGAAGATGACTTAGGACTGGAGTTTGACGAGTTCACCTGCTTGACCCTCAGCGTCTCCGTGCCCGAATCCTATCTTTCGGGAAATATCCCCAAGCCGATCCCGGTGATGATATATGTCCACGGCGGCGGTGCGCAGGAAGGGATCGGGCACGTCGACGGGCTCCACTCCAACGCTCCTTTGACTGCTTACTCGTCGGAGGTGTCCTTGCCCATCGTCACGGTCAACATCGGCTACCGCCTCAACTGGCTCGGTAGCCTTGTCTGCCAGGACATGATCGAGGAATACACCGCCGATTCTTCACCCTCGCCCCATGGCCCTTTTAACCTGACGATCCAAGATCAGCGAGCGGCATTCGCCTGGATCCAGACATTCATCGGGGGGTTTGGCGGCGACGTGGAAAATGTGACGGCGTTTGGCGAATCGGCCGGCAGCATCTTTCTGATCTACCACATCTGCGGCAGCCCGGACAGGCTCTTCAATCGCGCCATCCTGCAATCGGGCGTCATCTTCGGCCACACCTCGCTGGACGATAAAGATGCCGAATACCGGGCTTTGTTGAACCACTTTGAGATCCAAGGCTCCAGTGCGTCGGAGAGACTAGAGAAGCTCCGACAAGTCCCGGCCGAGGCGCTGGCCCAATATCCCGGGTACCATGTGATGCCGTTCATCGATGACATCCCGGGTGTGAGCGTGCCCAAGCCACTGTTCTCGCGAGGTAGACCGACCTTCATGAAGCAGACGTCCCTCATTTCCTCATGTCCGTGGCTGGAAGACATCATCATTGGGGATGACTTCTGGGAAGGCTATGTCTTCCGAGATCTTCTTCGCTCAGCCTCAGCGACGGGTGTCGTGGCTGGCGTACTTTCAATCTTCCCAGAGAAAGCGGCGGCCCGATTGCTTTGCGCGTACGGCTTGCCTGCGACACCAGAGCTTGCGTCCGTGACGGACAAGAACTTGTTCTGGAGGAACTTGACCGAGCTCATCGGCGACATGCTCTTCTCTGTTCCAATCCACCGTCTTGCCTCACGTCTGGCTCGTCAGAACACCACCGCCACTTCCAACAACAATAACGGCGATACTTCCGCCCGGAAGGTCTACCGCTACTGTTTCGGCCTCTCCAACCCCTTTCTGGGATCCGACCACAGCTTCGTCACCGGCCACCACTTCGTGGAGATCCTTTTCGTCTTTCTCACCCTCCTCGATCGGTACCCAACGTATCGGGGCAGATGGCTCGAACGACAGGCCAGAGAGACGGCGAGGAAATGGATTCTGTTCGCTTACGGCCAGTCCCCGTGGGATGAGTACGTGGTCGGTGAAGATGGCGACACCAACGAGGCCAAGATCGCCGTGTGCGACGACATCCGGGGATGGCACGTGAAGACGATGTCGCAGGACGAAGAGGAGAGTAAGTCCGACCCGTGGGGCCCCAGAAGATACGTGGGCTGGGGCGCGTGGGAGAAGGCGTACCAGGCGCTAAAGAAGCCCGGGATGAGCACGCAGGCTTGGGCGCAGTCTATCCACATCGCCAGGCTGAGGGTTCTCGGAGGTCTCAGGGCTCGCGAAGGAGAGGCTGAATCCGGGAGTGGGACTGAAAAAGCCAACGCCGGACAGGAGTCTGAAAAGGAGCTCATGGAGGCACAAGAGAAATTAGGCAGTGCGGTTTGAGCATGGCTTATATCTATTGTTTTGTTCAGTCGGGAATCTCCCTCTCTCTCGCGGCAGTAGTGCTACCAAGGTTGCTGTTGCTCGACTCGAGCGGATGTTTCTTCGGCTAACGCCGTTTTTATTCATGTGATAAGTAATTGTTGGAAACGTAGAATGGCGCCATTGCTTGGTCTCAGACTTGCCACAACCATGCTACTTTTAGACACCAGGTATGCGCGACTCATTTCCTGGACTTCGTAATGAATTAGAACATCCAAAGCGCACACTTCTGAAGCCTACCAAGACAGCGAACAAGTTCTGATGGGACATGTGTACCCGTTTGAACCCAGAGACTGCTTGTACATCCCCCTGCGAGACTGTCTAGGTATCAAGGCCAACGAAACCTCGACGGGAGACGTGCTCATTCGACGGCTTGTTCGTCTGCTTCGGTCCGTTACTTTTTCGAATATCCGGAAAGAGCCTTCCATATTCCTCGGTCTTTCAATGATTAGTTGGTCATCAGTCTTGCGAAAAGGCCACTTGGACACCTCGATTTTCTTTGAGCCTAATCCTGTACCTCAAAGAGCTCGCTGGAGGGGTTTCGATATGGGCGGCAACCCCGGATGGTGGCAGCATCGATTGTAGTGGTAGATACTCTGAAACTTTAGCACTGAATGTTGATCAGGCTAGTGTTGCAACTCGCTTCTTTAAAGACCATGGGAAAAACCATCTTCAATATGACTTATTGGTGATCGAGGCTGCCATCGAGGCTGCCATCGAGGCTAGTGCAGGAGTTCAAGGTTGCATTCGCAGCCACAGGCACCTCCATAGTCTCCTGGGTCGCAGAGATTCTGGCTTTACCTGGGGCTCGTCGTGTAAAAGCAACCTTGCCATAAGTGTGCCGTTTCCGGAACAACCTGTGGAATGTTAGCTTGTACCGAGTATTGCAGGCGAAAATCACTAGCGTTATTCTTAGGGTATAGTTAAGAAGATCCCCTGAGCACGTAGCATTTGCCATTGGCACTTACCGTAATGCGCGCCTGCCGTGATTATGCATGTTGTATTGGAGCTTAAACGCCAACTTCTCGTAATCGTCAAGCTCCAGCTGAGTGGGTGTTTTCGTTCTCGCACTGGGTATGGAACCAACTGGAGATTCTTGAGATGACTCGACAGGCCATGCTGTTGTTGGTGGAGCGACCGTTTTCAGTCTTGCAGCCTCAGGGGAGGCAAGGAAGCTGATCATTTGAATTGAATACCTACGCAAAACCTCGGCGCATTCGGAATTGGCTGCATCAGTATGATCGATCTCCTTCTCATAGGCGCACACCTTCCACCCCGAGCATGTAATCACCATTGGCGCATCGTTCAAAATATCTCTCAGTGGCAGCAACGCAGTACTTGTCAGGACCAGGGTAAGTCTTGCATCGGGTTCCGAGATAGTGTTCGTGTCGAAGAAGGCACGGCCCTCCGGAGCCTCTCTCAGGAAGTCCCTGGCGGTTTTGTGAATGAACTGTGCCTGAATGTTAAGGGCCCTTTGAAGGTTACTCAGATCAGTTCTGTCGAGGAATTCATCGCGATTACCGGAGTATGCCGGCACGAACTGCACAAGTCCCGCACACCGGGCAACGATCTGTGTTTCAGCAACTGTGGCTTTTTGCTCGAGTTCTTTCAAGGTCTTTTCAGTGAAAACATCGCCGAGCATAATTTTGAGATCTTTTAGTGGATACGAGACCAGAATGAGTTCGTACAGCGTGAGCGTTAAACCCATTGACAGAGCAACATCCAACAGGCGCAAGTAGGGCTTGGGATTTTTGGCATAGTAGGGATCACAACGCTCGAGCATATGGGCGAACAGCCCAACCATTCCATCTGGACATTGGTGGAATCGCTGCCATAACTCATCGTTATCATCCCCCCGGGCTGCTGCGGCTTTGAGCTCGTTCACAACGATATAAACCCACAGGAAAACACCCTCAGCTCTTTGCACAATACGTTGGCAAAGCTGGCGCGCGGGGGTGTCTGCCAGCTCAGCTAGACAATACTCCATCATGTCGTTTGTCGTGTGATCTTGGAGCTTGAGGAAAGGACATTCTTTGAAACCATTCTCGAACGGAGCTTCTGGTCTGCTTGAACAGCAGATTTTGATATTGGGATTCTCTGCGGTCATTTTCCTCAGGGTCTGGATCAAATCATACTGGTTGTCTGAGAACTCGTCCAAGCCGTCCAGCAATAAACAGTATTTGATCCGAGTTGCAGACTTATGGAACAGATATGTGGTGATTTGCTTCAGCTCTTGCGTCATCCAAAGGCGGTCAGTGAAGTCGCCACGTAACCTCCGTAAAAAGGCTTCTGGGGCCTTGCCATCTTGAGCGGCGAGATCGAATAAGCCAGGGTCAAGGCTCAGAATTTGATAGCACAGAGACATCCAAAGTCCATGAAAAGTTTTGAGAGCACTACTGGCTGGACGATAAAAAAAGAAGGGGAGAATGTGTACGTCCTGGGGGGCGGCCCACTTCTTCAATTGATCGTAGCCCCTTGAACGATTTTTCAAGTTCTGATAGATGACGTCGACAAGAGTCGATTTCCCACTACCAGCCTTGCCGTTGACCCAAAAGATCCCCGTGCCTTTCGCGAGCCAGTCAACGAAATGATGTGAAGTATTTAGATCAGTGTCGAAGACCCAGCGGAACGAGTTGCCAAGTTCGGAAACACGAGTTTCAATCATATCCTGGCGCTGCCGGAGATCGGCGAAGAAGAGGCTATCCATGATCTGGCGCTGATTGTCATTCCGCTGTTTTCGTTCTTGCCTTTGTTCCAAATCCGTTCGAATTCTCGCTTCAGACTGGGAGTTGTTGGCGAGGATGCTCTGCTCTGCAGCATTTACCTCCTGCAATATCGATGCATGGTTCTTGGAACCCTGCTGGATGATGTCGAGACGGGCTTTGGAAGCATGAGCTAGTATTGTCCGCTCAATACTGTGGGCTGTTCGTTTAGCATCGGTGTGCAGTTGTTGATTGTTGTCAAGTAGTGTCCGCTCTGCCATGGCGACCCGGGCCGCCATCTGAGTAGCATTGATCTCCTGTGACCGCAGTATGCTATTCGCTTGCTTGTTTGTGGCATTCAAAATCGTATCCAATATTTCTTGCTGCCGCTGGCCCAGTTTGGATATCCCATTTGCTTGTTGAGCCTCCCCAGAACGATACCGGAAACTAGATGGCTTCTTGGTGAGCATAGTAGACGTTTCCCTTTGACTCAGACACTGCATCAGTGTAGGCTGAGCGTCGCCTGTATGCGAATAATGCCATGAATATAGAAATCCACTTACTAAAGATCTTTGAGGATCATCGAACGGAGGGCAGTATCTTGGCATTGGAGCTGGCTTTCGAGCGACTGGATAGATCCGCGGTTGATCATGGTTCGAACGATCTGCTTGAAGGCCCGAGGTTGTCCTTTACCTTGAGCTTTGGCATATTTGATCTTATTGAGCACGGTTTGCAGGCTCGTAGCCGTGGACAAAACATCATCAGCTAAGCTTTTCAGCTGCTTGTCACGGATTGAGAGACTTTTCCCTGTAAGCTGTTGCGTGACTTCGGCGGAACCTGTGCTGATGGCGATGGCGAAGCTCTCAATCTTATCATTTTCTGCCAGGGATCCTCGATCACAAACTTGTTTACATATTTTGACGGCTTCGATGGCTTGTTCCACAAGCTGAGTGACGTTGCAGGCGAGACTCAATGCACTGAAAGGATCCATATCGATAGCAGGGAGGGCCGCTTCATTGGCTTCGAAGTTGCAGCCAGTTGAGGCTCAACAGGAAGGCGCTGGGTAGCAGAGGGCTCGTTCGTACGAATCTAAAGCTCGTCACACCCAAGGCGTGACAGCTTTTGTAGGGGTTCGGAGTGGAGCAGAATCGAGCAAGTCATGTCAATATCCTCAGGCCCTGTGCGCAATGAGGAATACACGTGCGGGAGATGCCACAGCCATGATGGTGGAGCAATGCGCCTTGACGACTTGTTCAGCCTTGGATTTTGCGGGGGGAAGGTTGGAAGGCAGATCTGGAGCCGCACTTTGATGCCAAGCTGAGTTTCCGCATGCGGGGCCCGAATCGGGACGACGCAGGTGCGCCTTCTTTCTTGGCATTAGGTAAGTTAGTTAAGACTTTGGTTAAGCTTTAAGTCAAGATAGTTAAAGGCTTAGTTAAAAGACCCCCATCCTACTATATCTCGTTCTCGTATCTACTGCCATCACCCGACAATTAAACTGCTGGAATACGAGAGCTAATGTCCTTTAAGTAGATCATGCCACTAATATATTGAATGCTTCTTGACACCATGATAAAATACCTCGTGGTGGTGGGCTTTACACCAAGCTTCAATGCCAAGAGAACAAGGCGCCAAATCAGCGGAAGGGCCCAACAGTGTCAGCTGGTCGCGTTGCACAAAGTTCGTTATGCAGGACGAGATAGTTCTACAAGTACGAACAGGCCACTTCACCCGCCGATCGACTGTAACCGGGGTCTGCGTGGTGGTTGGTATTGGTGGTGTGAGCTCGATAGCACCTTGTGACCAACCACAAGGGCAATAATGTCATGGAAGTACGCCTACTCGTCGACTGCACTTCTCCACTGTGATCCCACTGTGATCCTCTCTCTGATGCCATCCTGATAAAGAGCACGATTTGCAAGGACCCCGCATGGAACGGTTACATCGCTCACCACTCGACATTACTGGGGCGCTTGGTTCATCGCCGCGGGTATAAATTGACGCCTTATCTCTCCCATCTTGATCATTTCCACTGCTATTGTTGTTGACACCGCCAAGCTCAGATAAGCTCAAAAGCCAAGTCGAGAAGCCAAGCAGCCATGGCTGAGAAAAGCGTGATCGATAGATCCGACCACGAGAAATCCGCGTCATCGTCACCACCTGGCGCTCGCTCGTATTTTCCGCCGAGTCAACGCAAAATCCACGACACCAACGTGACTTTCGAGGAATACTACTTCTACGCGCAGCGGACCCGTGAAGAACAACGACTGCTCCAGGCACCAAAGTGGCAGTGGCGCACCGTCTTTTCACGGAAGAAAACTGCAGAACCTGTCGAAGAGGAGCATGAATTTGAGTCACACGATGGGAGAGTTGTGACAGAAGAAGAATGGTTGAATGCGAGTCGAGCATTCCGTACGGCGTCATGGGGAGCAATCTTCTACCTGGTGAGCAGCTTCTCCGACGACAAACGTGGAGTGCTAATAGTCTAGATCACCACCGATATCCTTGGCCCGTTTGCTGTTCCGTTCGCTATCGGGACTCTCGGTTTCGGCCCAGGCTGTGCCATTTTCACCGCCTTCGGAATCGTCAGTGTTTACAGCGGCTATTTGATCTGGAGGATCTTCATGGGTGTCGACTCGCATGAGTTTCCAGCGCGCAACTATGGTGATCTCGCCTTTCGTGCATGGGGCACCATCGCTCGTCATATCGTGAACGTCCTCCAGGCCATCGCCCTCCTCCTGCTTCTGGGTCAAGTCACCATTCTATTTGGTCAGAACATTTCCGAGATGTCGAAATACCGCATCTGCTACATTGTCTGCCCATTGATCTTCGTCATCGTCGGATTCTTCTTGACTCAGATCCGGACTTTGAGGAACTACGGGTGGATTGCCAACTTCGGATTCTGGCTCAACATCCTCGCCATCTTTGTCTCAATGGGAGCGACAGCTCATAATCCGCCCAATTTTGCCATTGCGACCTTGGGATCGGTCGGAAGTAAGACGTGCTGAGTTAGGTTTTGGAGAGTAGAGATTGACGTGATTAGGTGCAATTGATCCGACGACTATCACTCCTGTCAATGGCGTCTATCCTCCTACCGTACACTATTCAGCTCTTCCCACATCGAACCTCCTTGGAGCTGTCAATGGCATGCTCTCAGGAGTATTAGCATATGCAGGTCTTCAACTCTTCGTCGAGTTCATGTAAGTGTTCCCCCAAACCACGTACCATGTTGCGCAATTGCCACAAGGCTAACAGCAAAGCAGGGCCGAGATGAGAAGACCTCACGATTTCCTCAAGGGGATGTTCGTTGCTCAAGCTGTCATCTACGTGGCCTATGTCGTGTACGGTTGTTTCATCTATTACTACCAAGGACAGTACACTTTCAATCCCGCATACCTCGGGGTTTCCGATTATGGCTGGCAGACAGTCGGTTCGTCTCCACACCTTCCCCCTTTCTTGAAGCAGGGCTAATTCCCAACAGGCAACACACTCACCCTCATCAGCGGTCTGATTGCCGCAGGTCTTTATGGGAACATCGGCATCAAAGTTTTTTACAACAACGTTCTCGTCGACATCTTTGGAGCTCCATTGATGACCACTAAGAAAGGGAAATACTTCTACGCCGTGATTGTCCCGATCTGGTGGTCTATCGCGTTCATCATCGCCGCTGCGATTCCCGCATACGTCTACTTCGTCGGCGTTATGTCCGCGTCCTGCTTACTGAATCTATCGTACACGATTCCGCCTTGGATCGCGTTGGGTTACGATATCAAGAAGCACACCCTAGGTACATTTGATCCCGCGATTGGTCGAACTTCTCGAGGGTTGACTGGCATGACTCGGTACATTCGCGGATTCTGGTCGGGGGGTGCTTTTCAAGTCTCGATCAACGTATGGCATGTGTTGTATTTCCTGGCCTCGCTCGGCATGTGCGGACTGGGAATGTGGGCTTCGATCCAAGGGTAAGTTTCTCTCTACCACGTTTGTGTTGAGATTGATCTGACATGCTGTAGCATGATCGATGCCTTTAAGATTCCAGAAGTCAATTCCTTCACCTGCACGTCCCCATTGAACATCAACGGAGGTTAGATTGTTGTCGCGCGGCTGTTAATGCGATGTAGAAGCCCGTGGGCCACATAGCAAAGAACCAGACGAGCCAGTTAATGACGGAGATCGGGGAGGTCTCCAGCATGGCTCTCCCCGGACGACACTCCACGGACTAGTTAGACGATGATAGGTGATGGCTTATCCGTGCCATCTGCGAAGCATTCAGACTAGACCACTTGTCACAAGCTCCAGTGGGTGTCATTGTCATTGTCATTGTCTAGACCAATACCAGTATCAATTAACCGGTATGTTTGAACCAGTCATACATAATAATCCATCAACTGCCCCAAAATTATAGATCGCCCTTCCACCTCGTACCAAGTATCTACAATGTCGTTGAATCCTTGGAAGTGGTGTGCACAGCGGTGTCAGTGGGCACTGACACTTCGGCCTCGGCCTCCCAATCCTGAGCGGCGACGTTGACTGACAAGTTACGAGCACCGAGCATATAGTCTGCCAATCCGCACGAGCTCAGGCACGCCAGATAGAGGTGTCTTTCTTTTGTTGGAAAGAAGGGGGGAGTTCCTCCTCGCTGATGCCGTTGCTGCTGCTGCTGCTGCTGCTGATATCGAGATCCGTCTCTATCTCTCGCCCCCTTCTTGCGCTATAGATTGACTAGCTAGCCTACCGACCTACATATCTCCCTTTTAATACACCTATTACCTACCAGATGTCTCCTGTCTCTGAGGAGGGGAAAGCAGGAGACGCGACCGCGATCCGCGCGACCGCCACAAAATTCTTCAACGCCATCGAATCCGGCGACATCGCGACCATGAAGGGCCTCCTCACGCCCGACGCTGCGATCTGGCACAACACCGACTGCGCGGTGACGACGCGGGAGCACACGGCCGCGGTCCTGGCCGGCATGGTCGCGCGCATCAGCGACATCCACTACGCGGACCGACGTCTCGACGTGTTCCCGGGGGGCTTCGTGCAGCAGCACGTCCTGGAGGGGAGGAGGATCCACGACGGCGAAGCGGTGCGGTTGCCGGCCGCACTTATCGCGCGTGTGGTGGGCGACGGGGACGGCACCAGGTTGATCAGTAGGATCGATGAGTATTTCGATTCGGCACATCAGGCGACGTTTCGCAAGTTTATCGAAGTCCAGACGCCGAAATTATGACAATTTCTCGGGAGGGAAGAGGGAAGGAGGGAATGATGGAGGGAAATGCATCGAAGAGCCAGTCAGTCGGTGCCTGGCTCGGTCTGCATACATATACATTGTATTTCGAACCGCTGGCATCGATACAGAGAAGAGAACAGACAGTCCTGAAAGGGCTCTTGCGAATCTCTTAATAAAAGCATCTCGTATATATAAACAACATGAATACTCAGAGGAGCTTCATAGGAATTCCGGGAGTGAATAGATAGATAGAGCGGACCCAACTCTCTAAAGCTGGCATTGAAGGCTCGGGTATCAAAAATGTACAATATCGACGAATTCACACACCTCCCACCCACACACCAAAGCACGTCTCGTCCGACGCCGCATCCTGATCGGCCTCTGTCTCATCTCGGCCCTGAAACGCGTGCCACAGCGTGTGCAAGCCCGGCTGCGGCGCAGGCCGGGGGTTCGAGACAGGGACGTCGCCACGGAAGTCGGGCCATCGCTGGAAAAAGTCCGAATTCATCGTCCAGCACCGGATGTCCTGCATGCTGGCTAGGAAGCGGGGGGACAGGTGGCGCAGTCCCGTCAGGGAACTGGAGCGGAATGCGTCTTGGAAGTCGTACGGCCAGAGAAAGCGGAACATGGTGTGCGTGGCGTGCAGGAAGACGTCGGTGTAGTAGTCGTGGCAGATGGAGAGGCGCTCGCGGAAGCCGGGCCTGGAGAGAGGTAAGTGGTGAGACTATCACGGGCGCAATCCTGTGGTTTGTATGTTCTTACCAGACGTAGCAGTCAGCAATGACCGAATGAGGGAATGCAAGTTGTGAAGGTCTGCATGACATTCTCAATCAGCAACGAGCTGGCACCCACAACGCCCGAAAAGGAGGAGTCAAACCTTGGTTTGATGAACGGCGGCAGGATATTGGACGAACATGTTCCCATCGTCGTCGTCGTCGTCGTCGTCTGCTGCTGCATCATCTGTGCTTGTCAGGAACGGCCAGCACGACCTTTTCAGTGGGTGAGTAAGTGAGGGTTCCTCACATCCTGTCCGATCGTCTGACTTGCGATGGTCAAAACCGCCAGACGTTCTACATTGCTGTAATTCGGGGCAAAGTACTTTTCGTCCAACTCGCGCAGACAGCTCCATCGTGCGTCGACCATGACCGCTTGGGAGAATTGTGTCCAACCCTGCGCGGCGGCGGTGATGATGATATGCATGTCGAGCTCTGTGTCGCCGACAATGGTCGAAGCTGACGACTGTGCTGTTGTGCGGGAGATCAGCTGTTCGATGTCTCTCCAGGTCTTGCTGCGACGGGCAGCGAGGGGTGGTTTCGACGAGGGCAAACTGTTGCTCTCGACGGCGCCTGCCTGAGCATCCAGTATCGGGGGAGGCCAAAACACAGCATCGTCTTCGCCGTCGTAAGGGGTTGAGAGCTCTGCAAGGAGTGCATCAAGACTATCATTCTTCTCGGCTGGTGGGCAGAACGTGGAATCCGGCCCAGGCTCTGGAGAAGTTGCTTCCAACAACAGCGATGAATCTACCGTCGGAGACACCGTGGAGTTTAGCGAGGGATCGAGAGCATTTGTATCGCTCTTGTCGTCCCTGGGACCATCTTCAGGCTGGCCGAGATCAGCCAAGTCGGCGTTGATCAACCCTTTGATCTGAAGCATCCGTGTCCTGTGTCGCCGCAGTCGCTGATCGTCTCTGTCCCGCTGCATCATGAGTCTCGAGGCCAGGCTACTGGCCTTATCTTGTTGCAGCAACTGGACATTCTCTTGCAGCTGCTGGAGATACTCTCGGTCTCTCTGGCGCTTTCTTTGCTGGTTCATACGATCCATCTCGCGCTTCTTTGCCCGCCGACCATCGGGAGAGAGCGGTGGTTTAGACACCGGCCCCGGCGCCGTTGGTGACTGCTCCTGACGGGGCATGATTCCTGTGAGTATTACATTCAATATATGAATATATGTATATATTACAATGCTACATCCAGGGGCTTTGTGGAGGAGCTATAACATGACCAAGAGACGTACGAGGTAGTCATATTGCCTCGTTCTCCCGTATGTTGGACGCGGGGTCGGTTTTGCCTCGGAATAGAGTCTCGGGTATACTGGGCGTGAGATAGTTTATGAGTCCTATGTCAATCAGAATTATTGTCATTCGTAACAGCTCTGAAGCTTGCACATTATGAAGTTGGCTATTCGAAGTACAGCAATAATATCACCCTCGGAAATGGAGATATACTTGACATCGTTTTCACATTCTGGGCTTATCTCCCCGGGGTTTCAACCACTCTACGGCCCAATGGGAAACCCACAGTGGACACTCGGTCTCTAGCAAGAAGATGGTGAAGCCATCGGTCTGCACCTTCTTGGGGGTCGTGTCCTGCTCCTCGGCGGCTCGATGGGCCTCGCTAGTCGCCCCATGGCATGCCATGGCTGAGTTCAGCGTGGCTCCGTAGGGTTGAAAGTGAAGACCTTGGTTCCACGGACAGCCGGGGTCCTGGTTGGTGATGATGGCCCCAGAGAACTCGGCCATGGTGTTCCGGTGATAGTAGGGCAGCCAGTACGTGTCTTCCATGACGTTCCAGCGTGGAGGGATGATTGCGAAATCGACCACGGCGGTCCCGGGCTCGCGGTAGGAGGGCGCGGTCAGCACCGTGAAGATACTGGGATCGGCGTGGTCGAACAGGGTGTTCCCGAGCACGCAGAAACGTGCCAGGTCGTATTTGAAGGGGTAAAATGTCCCGTTCCACGCGGCGACGTCAAACGGCGTATGATCCTGCGTGCAGCAGAAGAAGTTTCCCCCTAATCGTGAAATAATGGTCCATTCCCGGTCATTTCCCCTGACCCGTCCAGCTTCGAGCTTCCCATCAAAGGTCGCCACGGGAACTTGAAAGTCACGGATGTTCGCCAACGAGCATGATCCGATGGGTCCCAACTCGGGCAGGCGAAAGTGTCCCTGGAACAACTCACAGATGAATCCCCGCGAGGGGCCGTGAGGGAGCGTGACCCGGTGACGGACACCTCGGGGAATCATGGCAATTTCGTTCTGTCGGACCAGCAGGTGTCCCATTTCGGTCTGAATGTCGAGGGCTCCCGATTGCGGAATGACGAGCATATCACCGTCTAGGGAGGAGAAAGCGTGCGCCGTCTTCATGTCCTCGGTGATGGCGTAAAGGTGAATCGCCAGCCCCGTTTTGAGGGTGGCGTCTCCCGAGTATGCCAGCAGGGCCGTCTGTGTCCAGTCCGCGCCTCGTTCGACGGGAAAAGACATCCACCGCAAAGCATTGGGGGTCATGTGTGCTTTGGGCGTCTCCGCATTGGAGCCATATGGTTGGAATTCACTATGTCTGGTGGAGGGTTTTGCTCGATACAGCCACGTCTGCAAGGTATGGCTGCGCGGCGATGTAAACGAACTTCCAGAGATGCGCTCAGTGACCAGGCCGAGAGGCGGCTTCTGAGGATTGCTGCATGCTACGGGGCTGGCGCCAGGAAATGCTTCCGACCTGGATGGCCATTGGGGGTCAATAGATACGAGATAAGTAATGAACACTTACTGTTGATGATTGCCAAATCCTTCGAGGTATTGGTATTTCTCTGGGACGGCGAAATTGGTGACAGGCATTTCAACTTCCGTGAGAGATGTGGCCAATTTTGCTGCCAAAGGAGAGTCCTGTCGGTGAAAGAAGGTCGAACTCGGGTCTTGACTTGACCTCCCAACTTCCTGAAGTTCATGGACCTGTATATCCCCATTTGAGCATTGTCTGCATCCGAAGGCGAGTCAGTAGGGCGTCTTGGTAAGTGGTAGCTTCGTCCCCGCGTTTTCCCTCGGCTACGGCTTTGGGAATACTTGGCCGAACAGTGTCACAGGGCACTGACACGCGATACTTTAATCGAACTGGGGGGGACTCTCTCTTTCATTTGGTTGTGGCCAGGATCGGGTTGTCAATGCATCTGGAAGACTCTCAATAAACAAGGAGTAATCTGGGAGGTATAATGTCATTCGATATGGCGCAGACCCCGGCCTGTACTCAGATGATCATTTTCAAGCACAAACCTGGTACCAACATCAAAGATGCTGCCTCGAAAGACGGGAAGACCTGGGCTGAGGTGGTTGCGTGGCTTAAGTCAAAGCCAACGGTGCGGCGACTGTATTGGGGCCGACATTTAGAGAATGAGAACACAATATATCTCCATATTGGTACGTGCACACAGTATTAGGTCAAGACAAATACCGGTTTCTATTCGAACAAGCCCTGACCCTTGGCCAATAGTCAGAGAAGGACTGTATCAACACTACGACTTTATAGCGTCACCAGACTACGCCGAGCTCAAACGACGCCTGCAAGACATCATACAAGGGGATTTGATAGTCCGACACGCCGATCTAATCGAATACACCCAGCCTTGCGGCTCGCTGGGGAGGGGAGCGCCATTTACAGGGACAGCGATCTACAAAGTGACGGACAAGGCTTGGGACCATGCCTGGAACCTCTGGGCAACCATTGTTCCTGGGGTCAAAGGGTGCAGAGGCGTGGCGGGCGGCTACATTGTGGAGCCCGTGGATGGACATCAAAGGTGCTTCATAGCACTGGTCGGATGGCAGACGACGGAGGAACACCACGCCTATCACGAGACGCGCCACTGGAAGAACCGAGCGTCTATTTTGACGCACGGACAGAAAGGGTTCAGCGAATACGGTCACATTGTCTTTGAAAACGAGAACGAGACTCATGGACCGCGTCTGTAGTATGGATGGGATACAGCACGAGTCGGTCATTCCCATGGATGAACTTCACGTTTGCGTGCTTTAGATGCAACATGAAACCCCCTTTGGCCCTGGTTCAATTTCCAACGTGGGCACTGACCTCAATCTCCACCTTCATATTCTCGAGTCCCAGCCGGGGCACCTCCACGCACGTCCAGATCGGCCGGTGCTCGTTTCCACACCACTTGGCGATCTCGGTCTTGAATTTCTCGATCACCTCGTCGTTGAGCGGGATGTGGTAGCTGTTGACCCGGAAGACCTGGCCCCAGCCTCGTTCTGCGCCGGCTCGCTTCAGGTTCATGTCGACATTCTTGAAGGCTTGCTCGATCTGCTCGAGCTGGGTGCTCGTGCCGGCAACGTCTCCGGTGGCAGGATCCCAGCCGCCTAGACGGGAAGAAAAAGAAAGGTTAGCAGGAAAGTGATCCATGATTTCATAACCAAAAGAAACAGGACTCCAGTCGGGCCCCTCCGTCTTCAGGCAATTGCCCTGCTGCATGGAATCTGGTTTCCAATCCTAGCCTTCTTCCCCTGCTGATGCAATACTCGGGTATCTCGGTTTTGCCCTCAACGGGCCCAGGCAATGAAAATCCAAGAAAATGCGAAGCAGGGATACGACGTGCCTTGTCCTGCGCATTCAATCCGGTCTCCCACACGCACTGCCTGACTGTAAATGTCCGACATCTTCTCCCCAAACCCCGGGTAGTTGTAATATTTCAGATGAGACATGACGACGACGGAACGTCTCGCTGGTAGTTTCAAAGTTGATGTTGAGTGAAGATATGGACGGATGCTCCGAAATCAATCCCACGGGTCACAAGCTCGAACCGGCTTGCTTTGGCAGACGGGAAGACAACGTCCTCACCACCTGCGACAAGGCTCGTCGACCATATTTAAATACTCTACCCTGAACCAAGGTTTCTGGGCGCTTATCAGTGCGATCTCTTGATATCGACGCTGGCGTTGATTGTAAATCAAATCGTTTTTGGAGACGACAACCTCCATTTCTCCGCTTTGCGCCGGCCGGATCCGGACCAGCTGGGCATGATCCTACACGGGCCAGTACGGTTCAAGTCGCAGACCCTCACCGCCAGGGAGAAGAGAGTCGATCAAGAGTCTCTGAACCAGCTGCGACAAGTTGGCCAGGCAGCAAAACCTCGACGACAACGTCAATTACTAAGGCTCCATGGAGTCTGTGGGGCGGAAAGGAAAAAGGGGCAAGCTAGCCTCGCAAGATTCAGCAACAACGGTCGGAAAAAAGAAACCCACACATGGCCCAGACTGTATGTATACCCCCGTTGATGTAATCAGGGCGGAGTATAGACCGTCCGAAGGAGGATATCGTCTTGCCTGCATCTCTGCACGTGTTGGAGACGTTCTGGGGCCCGTTGTCTGCCGGACCACTATTCCCGAACCAGCACAGTTGCCAGAAGCGGCAGCATTGCCTGAGCAAGAATACCTCCGCTTGAGATGAGTCAAGCAAGACTCATGCAGTACCGGAGCAACTGCTGCTAAGGATACTGGTAGGTCGTTTCGGCAGCGTGTGCGTATTTAGCCCAACACGGAAAGGGATGCCCTATGGCATAACTTTGCTGACGCACTCCCCAGGTCAAAGGCGAATTCATGTACGTTCAGTCTAGCATATAATCTCATTATCGCTCTTCGGTCATGCCTTCACAGGGCCTTGTACGTATGATGCCTGGACTAGCTCGCCCTTTACCACTGAAATGCATCCACTCACGACATCGCGGTCTCGCTGAGAATACATATATTGGTTTATCAGAAGTCAAGCTTGTAAAAAGCAGATCTTCCCAGGTCACCCGCTAGCCCAGTTATCTCCCCGTGATGTTCTCACTCCCTGCACAAGTGCACCTGGAAAGAAAAGATCCAGTGGCGCCTCCATTTTGGATCATGGGTCTGCCCTCGGTCGCACCGCCACCATTTGTGAGTGCGTTGCCATCGTCGCTTGGGAGACATCTATCGAACGACGCCGATAATAACCTAAGTCAAAAACGAGAGACTTCTCCTCAAGAACGTAACGTCGGTTCTCATGTTACGGCCCCGGTTCAAGCTTATGTCTGTCCCTGGATTGAATGGAGCCCGTCGTCTGGACCCAGGGTCTTCCCAAGGGGAACTCCCGTGGCGTGGTCGGAGTCGTTGTGCCCGCAGCAATGGCTATGAGACATGGCGAGCCTCCCACATGGTCCCGAACGTCAACTTTGTTGTGGCTGCGAGTTTTTTGGGTCTCACAGTGCTAAGTAAGTGTCCGATCTGCGGGCTATGCTCGTTAGACCAGTGTCATTCATGAGCAATAAGGCCGTCCGCAGTGACGACGCGATTGCATGCTTTGGGGGGAAGAGGAGCCTGATCTGGAACTCGGCCTGTTGCCTAGAGAGCACGCGTAGCGACGTGCGTTGGAATCAAGCCGTATTTAGCGAATACGCATCGTTGGAGGCCCTACAGATACTGACTGTGTGTCTCTATATTATCCCGTGGCGGGCACTGCCGAATCAGGAACTGGCGACGTCTATTATTTACCTAGGTAATTCTACGGCTCACAAGCAGCGAAATCGGGAAACTCTCTTTGCCGGTGAGTCAATGTTGGTTCAAGCTTGGATATCAACGTCATATTATCTAGGTACTGTATATATATGTATTCTTTATTTCACAGACAGCAGGTAAGTAAACATATCCATCCATCACGTCCTCTTCCACATCTCATCCCCGTTCATCAAACAAGGACCATATCTCGTATCCATATCCTTTCGTCGCCCCCCCCCCCCCCCCTCTAGAGCACCCTTATCTATATATCTGTATTCCAGACCATGTCTTCTTCTTCTTCTCCTCCTCCCCTGACAATCCACCACCTTCACATCTCGCAGTCGGAGCGGATCGTCTGGCTGTGCGAGGAGCTGGCGATCCCCTACACGTTGAAGACGTACAGGCGGGACCCGCTGCTGTCGCCGGCCCCGTTGGCGGCGCTGACGCCCCAGAAATCCGCACCGGTGATGACCACGACCAATCCGGTGACGGGCGTGGAATTCAACATGGCCGAGTCGGGCGCCATCGCCGCGTACATCGACAGCGTGTTCGGCGGCGCGAGACTGTCGCTGGACGCCGCCCACGCGAACTACCCGGACTTCCTGTTCTGGTTTCACTACGCCAACGGGACCCTGATGCCCGCCTTCGGCCGCCTGTTGAGCGGCGCCTGGCTGCAGCCCTCCCCGGATAACCCCTTCCCCAAGTCCCTCCTCGCCGGACTGCGCAAGCACCTGGGCGCCGTGGACGCGCGGCTCGCCACCACAGGCGCCTTCCTGGCCGGCGACCGCTTCACCCTCGCCGACGTGCTCACCGTCTGGTCCCTCACCACGGGCCGCCAGTGGACGCCCGCCAATCTGTCGGCGTACCCGGCCATCCTGGCGTATTTGCAGCGTATCGGTTCACGGGAGGCGTACCAACGCGCCATGGACAAGGCAGAGCCCGGTTTGGACTGGAGGCAGGGCCTGACGGCGGAGGGGCCCGAGCTGTTTCCGGCGTACAGGCAGATGCTGGACCAGACGGGGATCGATCTGACCCAGTGGAAGATTTGAGGTCGTACGGGGGAAGAGAGGGCGAACTCGAACTCCGATCGAAACGACCCACAGTGACAGATCTGATTTGCAAGGAAAGCGAGGAAGGGTGCTACGGGGGTACCACTGTACGAGTACAAATATGCCATGTATAACAGCAAGTGACACGAGGACGCAACGAGGGAGAGGGAGAAGAAGCATGAAGCGGCGGTGACCCGTGTACACCAAGCAAAGGGAAGGGGGCTGATGGATTGTCTACTCTTTCTACCCCATTCCGTGCCATTCAATCCGATCACATCGATTCTCCTCTAGTTTGGTCGGCCGCTGCCGCCGTGTCTCTGACTTATAGAGATGTTGACGTCTTTCACCGTCATGCCCCCTGATTCACTCGTTCCGTCTTCATCATGGTCAGAAGAGGAACACTCATCGCTTGAGTCCCTGCAGAGAATGATGAATGAGTGAAAGACATATCATGCCTCGAAAATTGCCTTCATCAGGTACTTTGAGGCCTCCTCCCTGCCCGGACTCTCCAGCATTCGATACACCCGGTTGCCACTCTTGTTGCCCAGCCAGTTGCCTCTGTCATGTGGCACCTCCCCGTCTGAATTTCTCCTCCGTCTGGCTCGTTTGTCGCCCACCGTCATGCCTCGAGTCCACTGACCGGCCGTCTCGATTCGGATATCTTCCGGACTGCGCGCGCTCGCTTTCCACAACGGGTCATCGTGTGTCAACACGTACCAGATGCACAGCGGATCGTGCAGGGCCAATGCGGCGCCTTCGCCCTCATGGCCGATGTGGAGACGTTCCATCTTGTCAAGCATAGGGGTCATGAACGCCGTCATCCACGCCGCGAGCGGAGACCCAGCCTCCAGATGTGGCTTGGCAAAGGCGTTGAACTCGCGGCGGCTGAGCATGTGGTATTCCGTAATGTCGAGACTCATGAGTGTGAGTTTCAGCTGCTTGGACAGACGCGCGGGGTATTGCGAGAGGTGAAAGCTGCGTTCCCCTTCGGTGGCAATGGGCATGGTGCTTGCGGGGATGGGTGATGACAGCGCATACACCCGAGCAGCAGCATAGGGGTCGGCATAGACGTTGAATTCCGAGACAGGCGTGACATTGCCGATCCCGTCGACGGTGCCCCCCATGGTGACCACTTCTTTACATCGCAAAAACGTCTCTGGGTCTTCGGCGGCAGCCAGAGCAAAGTTGGTGAGCGGGCCGATAGCAATCAAGGTGATGGTGTCGGGTTCATTCTCCCGGAGCAGGCGAAGGATCTCCTTGTGTGCCGGCTCGAGAGAGGGGATGAAGGCATTGGTGTCTGCCTCGAGATCGACTTCAGGTTTGGCCTTCTCGGTGATGAAACTGTCCGGGGGAGGTTGCTCGAACAGCCGGTTCCAACTCTCCTCGGGCGAGAAATGAGGATGACTGGTGTGTGTCCCAGCCAATCCATCAGTCCCATGAAAGTAATCAGCGCTCTCGATGCGGTCTTGCAGGGGTTCCTCCGCACCGATGGCGACAATCGGCTTGAACTTGGTCAGACCTTCGAATCCGATCGGTTTGCCCTGCTGTTCGCGCCAAGCCACTTCCTTCTGCAAGATGTGGAAGATGGCGACGACGTTGCGTAAGCAGGAGCGTACGTCGACATTGCCAAAGGTAATGGAGATGAGGAGCACTTCGAGATCATCGGCCTTGGCGGCGAGGGCAAGCAAGATGGCCAGGACGTCGTCGACCCCCGGGTCGGTGTCAATGATGATGCGATTTTTGGGCGCCATGGTGTTCTGTTGACTGTGAGGAAAGCCTCACGTTAGAGGCAGTCCCCGTTGAGAGAGTCTGTGTACTTGTAGAAGCACTGACGTTGATTGACAAGGCCAACCCAGTCAGTGGTAGAGGAGAGCGAGCAGATAGGCAAGTCGAATTGTTGATTGAGACAAGGATAGGTAATTGGAGTCGAGAGCTAGTGTTGGCCTAATAATGGGCTCGCCGTTCTCGATAATAATAATAATAAATAATATTTTTGGAAGGGAGAGAGAGACGACGACGCAGCCCCTTCGGTGATGTCCGGTTAACGTCGCTTCCCCGTGGGGCTTGGCATAAACTTGTCACACTCCGATGAGTACGGAGTAGTTATATTCTATCGATGGCTGAGCGACAAACGCATTCCTCCACGGGGGCATGCGCTTGCTTCCTGTCTTGGACACAAAATTGCTTTTTTAAAATCTGTATGTCCGGAGTTTTAGTCCAGAATGCAGAAACACGCTGAACCCTTGTTCCTAACCCACGTTCTATCCCTGAGAACGCAACCGGTTTATGCAAGTTAGATATCACACCGTCCTTCCTTCATCATGGCCGCTTGGCCCTTGAAGACGCGCCCCCGAATTGCTTTGTTGCGCGGCAAACATCAAGACAGCCGGCTAATCAGACAAATCGTCCCCGAAACACCCTGTAGCGAATCGATACTTGTCTGCTTCCGTCCGACCAGCCCTGGTCGTTTGTCTGCGTGGTCTCGTTGCACATTCTTATACCATCGACGCGTGTTCGGAACATAGCGTGCTCTTTGTCTTCCCAAGAAAACTGCTGCATGGAGTCTCGAGGTGCTCAGTAGACCTTCTTCTTCTCGTCCACGCTCAGTTGGCCAGGGCCCATGTTGACCAGTAGCAACAAACCGCCCATGATGGACAGGATCTGGAAAAAGTCGTATTTGGCAAAGTCCTTGTGTGGGTGGTTCTTATGGAGCTGCCAATGTCAAGCGTCAGTACAAGTCACCCAACGGAAAACGCCCACCACTCCACTTACCGTCCAGAAGTTGTTGACGAGCACGTTGAAGACGCTGAGCAGGACAACCAGGATGACGGCGCTGAGTTTCGCCTTGAATCCCACCACGACCATCACGCAAGCCACGAACCCAACCATGCTGACAAGGACTCTCCCAACGCTCCATTCACCTGCAAAGACGAACCCAATGAAGAGGAAAATCAGCAGGACTCGGCCACCAAGCTGGATGTACATCTTCTTGTCCTTCTCATCAATGGTCGGCAAGCCCGCAAACACCCTCTTCTTGACGAAGCTGTCTCCGAGCACCATGAGCAGACCTCCGATCACGGACAGGTTGCGCAGGAAGAAATTGAGATCGAAAATGAGGCCGTAGCCGAGGGCCTGGACAACCACGACGGCCAATAGACCGCCCACGGCATACTCGCCATAGCGACGCATGATGACCAGTGTTGAGCAAACCGACATAGTAATGACATTAAAGATGAGGAAAAGGTGGGTGATGCCCCAAGGGACTATTGATCGTAGTCAGTCTCTGCAGTTCCGTTGTTCCTTTCCACGGTTTACCCACTGTGTCTGTAGTCTCTCAGGTATGTGAGCTGATCGCCCCATTGGGTCACGATCCTGACCGCGTCCTCGAGGAACGTCACAACGATGAGGAATCTACCGATGGCAGGCAGGTATCTGTGTGTAATCTCCCCGAGTCAGCTTCCGACCTTTTGTGTTTTTCTCTCTTCAATCCAGGCCCATGCAGCGTGTTCAGCCCCAGGCAAGGTGAAATCAGGATATGCTCACGGTTTCAGGGGCTCGCCCATTGTGTTCAGCCAGTCCTCAATTTTGCTCGTCTGTTCCCGGATCTGGTCGAGTGGACTGGGGTCGTTGGTGGCATTGTCGCTCCGTTGGGAGCCAAATTGATTGTTCAGGCCCAGGTTGTAGCCAGCGGTGCCGCGTATCTGCGCCATGGTGACGCTGGGAGGAAGTAAATAGTGGCAGCTGGTTGTGTTTCGGGTTCGGGCGAGGGAGGGTTTCGATCGCAGTCAGGAATTCGTTCGGTCGAGAAGGAAGAAAGCGGGCAGCAGTCGAGAAGTGCAGTGACGGGGCGTGATAGCAAGAGAAGGGTAATCTGTCTTTTTCAATGCAGTAACTGCTCAGAGTTTCACGCGCACGCGAGTGAGATTATATCGAACAGCTGTGTGTCAATCTGCAACCCGGTTTGGGTTTCGGTGGAGGCACAGCACACCACGGGCATAAAATATTACTCGGTACTGCCTCTGGTATTCTTAACACGCTGGCTACTCGAAGTGTGCTATTCTCGACTTGGCCAATCACAGTGTCTGCAACCCCTGGATTTTGAATCTGACCAAGTCCACAATCCCCCCAGTCCTCTTTACTCCATTTTATCACCGCGATATACAGGTACTGCCACTTTCACCTCTGTCCCACAGCTTCTCTTCACAGTTATCGCTAATATCAGGTCCAGTCAGCCGCAGATTGTGTCTTCTAGAATAACAGCCCCTGTTCAGTCACGATGGCGTCGAGATGACTGGCATATCATATACGCCAGCGCCCAAGGGTTCTATCCTGGGGATCGTCCCGGTGGCGCAATGGCTTTCTCTTTGTTTTTTTTCTTTCTGTAGTACACTGTTTCTCCTTTTCCCGTACGGAGATAATATCTGGGCATCATATTGTCCCACCGGAATTCGACAGCTTGATCTCTGCTTTTGCTTTTGGCCTGCGGGCCTTACGCTATCCATGCCCATGCTAATGCTCCGTAAATGATGCTCCATCCGGGCCAGTCTTGGAATTAAAAAGAAACAAAAGAACGAAGGAAAGAAATCACACACAAACACGCCCACGCGTAAACAAAACAACGCGCCTTGCATCTCAAATGACCATGCACTATTGGTAACAAAGTGCGCCACATCCGTTCCGGAACCCGCTTCGGAACGAGTGTCTGCTCAAACACGGTTGCTTGACCAGGTCAAGCCTCCCATTCGGCATCCTTGAACGAAGGGTCTGTCACTGGCTCAATTGACTGGAATCGGTTCGGGTTCTCCATGCGAGGATTGACCCCATTCGTGTGACTGCCGTTGACGCCAGAATGGTTATTGTTTGCCAAGGGCCGGGCAACCGAAGAACTTGCTTCACTGCTGGTGTCATTTATATCCTTCTTGGACTTCTTCTTGCCTTTCTTGCTGGTCACCGATTCCCATTTTTCTTCCTGTGCCAGCTCGTTTGCCCACTTGTCTTGCTCCTCCTCGTTGACTTCGTCAGCCCAACTTGGTTGGCTGCCTAGGGCAGGTCTGACAGGTTTCTCCCGCTCTGATGCTCCCAACGCATGGGTCTTGCCTTCGCCAACATCTTTTTTGACTTCGGTGACGTTTGCGGTCTCGGGGACAGTGTTGGTGACGTTGGACAGTGGCTCTGCAGTGACAGACCCATTCACAGCGACCGGGGGTATCTCTGGCTTGTCAAAGGTGTCGAGGAGAGGCGCAACTTGGTTGGTTTGGGCTAATTTCTCCGAGGCTGGCTTTCCAGTCTGCCAGGCATTCTGCTTCGCCGTGAATGAATCGGCTTTGGTTTGGGCCGAGCTTCCTTCAGCCATTCTGGCAGTTCGCAATTGTGCTTGTTTCTTTTGCTCGTGGATGCGGTCCGACGCCTCCCTCAAGGCCTTCTGCTCAGCTGCCTTCGCCTGTCTCTGTCGCTGTTTTTTGGTCAGAGCAGGCTGAAAAGGGGCTTTGGAGGCGCCCGCTGCTGACTTCGGACTCTCGTTCTTGACATCTGTCAATCTGAGAATCTTAGGTTTGGCAGCAGGGGCCTCTAGCATGTCCGAAACGTCACCAGCGCGGGAGGTGGGTGCGGTTGACACGGGGCCGGTAGAGGGAGATCCGATCGGGGAAAGGTCATCGTCCGCATCGCGGCCGGTGGTGGAAGAGGTCTCGGTGGAAAGTCCCGAAGCTTCCAGGCCGTTTCGCTTTCCTTGCGAGGACTTCGCGGCAGCGCGTCGCTCTCCCTTGTTGGCACCCTGCGATGTGGCAGGCTCCAAGTTGGTCCCGGCCTGCGCTTTGGCGAGTTGTTGAGCGAATTCCCTGTTGCTCAATCCATCCTCTTCGTCTCGAGGCAAAGCCATTCGTTGACCCTCGGCAGTCTGAGCTACCACCTTGTCCCCGACGGGGGCGGAAACGAGCTTCCTTCTCTTGTTGGCCTTGCCTTCAGTAGCACTGGTTGGCGTAGAGGTGCCGCTGTTGCTAGTCTCGAGTCGACTGGCATGTGTCCGTTTCGCCTTCTGTCGTTTGGCAGCAGATCTCTCCAACTCTTGTAGCGGCTGTGGTGCTCGTGTGAACGCTTGACCCGTGAGTTTATTGAACAGATCTGGATTGTAGTATCGGGTGAGGGCCGCGGTCAGCGCAAGTAGCGCGACCCAAGAGGCGGCGGTGGACCACATCCTGGGTGATGCCAGTGTGATGGTAGCAATCTTTATGTCTCTGGACACCAGGCAACGGGCGACCAGATGGTATCCTTATATTCGACAATACCCCTAATCTTTACTGAGCGAGTTCGATAAGAAGTTCAAAAATCCTTGGAATTAAGAGGTAATACTTGTAGGAAGCGTGGCAAAGCAAGGGATGAGGGATTGGGTGATCTCGAGCCGGAAGCCAAGCGGTCTTGTCGTCAAACTCAATGGGCGTGTATCAAGGTGGGAAGGAAGAGAAGGTCGTATGTAGCTATGAAGGGGACAGGTGCCAGGGCAGCTCGAGAGTAGGTAGTGGTAGTTGCTGTAGACGGGAGCCGATGACTGACTGGAAGCCGGTGTTGAAATGTCTCAGGAGAGTGGATGGAGTCGAGGATCGAAATGCAGCGAAATTTAGAACAAGTCCCAAAGATCCGGGGTCAAGGCGGCTCCCTCTCAGTGGCTCAGACTCAGATTGAACCAAGGCCCTCCGTGGGAAGGATCACAACTTGGCGAAGTTTGGAGGACCTTTTGCCGCGTAATGAACGCCAGTGCTCTGGAGGCGCGAGCGAGCGAGGGTGGTGGATGGTTTGTGAGAAGGTGGAGAAGAGCGCAGGGAGTGGTGGAGTGATGGCGACGACGGTTGGTGGAGGGGTGGCACGGAGGAGAGAAGCCGGTATGGTGCAGGTGAGCAAGCGACCAGGTGGGTGCAAGGGATACGTCCTCAGTCACGCAGGGGGTGATCTCGTGTGTTTGTTATACGAGGGTGGCAGGTACAGTAGCACAGACGTAAAAAAGAATGCCGACTGATTCAGGAGAAGAAAAATGTGATCTTGGTCGAGTTGGTGCACGTACCAACGAAGCGAAGCTCTTGGAGGTCGCAGCGCAATTCCGCCCCAGCTACATATCGGCACCCCAAACTGCGCCCATCGAATCTCTCGTCACTCACTAGTCTGGAGCCATCACCTTCTTCTCTTTCTATTCTCATCAGAGGGTGTTAACAGATGTACGGTCAATGGACAGCCACCCTCCTCCACACCACAGCCATCTGACACTGATTCTCAGGCTGTTTCTCTCGAGGTGCAGTGCTCTGGCAGCGTCACCCTCGTCTCCTCTCCCGCCCATCCTGCGTCGTCTTTTAAATTGAGCCTTGCCTGCTAACCCTTACAGATGATTTTCCTCAAGGGAGCCACCAAGCAGCTTTGTTCTCCACCTCCAAACCCGCCTGGGTGTTGGCTCTTGGTCAACTCACCCAATCATTGCATACTGACCTGCACATGCAAATCATTTTCACATGGCAGCTGCAGCACCCAATAGGAGACTATTCTACGGTCGAGCCACGTTTCAAAATCTGGAAAGTATTTCGTGGTCTGTTCATCTACTGAAAACAGAGTCACTGTCGATGAGGGTGGAAGATCGCGGACTACAGTACCTCGTAGTTCAGGAGAGTCCTCAGGGTTAGAGCACCTAGTTCGTGATTCGGCAGCTCGGCAGCCGCAGCCACATGACCTCACGTGGGAGACCACATCACGTCACCTACAGTAATTACAGTGGACTGGGGGCTGAAACGAGGAACGTAATGAATTCGCAGAATCAGTAGCATGTGTAGTGTTCGTTTTCCCAGCCCCCTCTCCCGAACTCATCCTCTCAAGGTCTGCCTGTATTGCGATCGTAAACGCCTTGCTCTTGCAGAACGCCGTAAACTGTCGTAAGAAAACGTCAATCAACTCTCAAAATTCAACGCTCATCTGCACAAATTGGCACAGATCCGTCTAGGGCTGGCCAATCCCTCGGAAACAACTTCGATCCATATTGACATACCACGGTGAGAAGTAATGGCTATAGCCACCTGTGGCTAGCAAAAGAAGTATACTCAGTTCCGTGATTCTTCACCACTCCATCGGCTGGTTCGATGGGACAACATAATGAAACTGCCACGAATCCCTTCTCTTCGGGACAAACAAGTCTCCTGCAATCCGTGATACGGGATGCACAACTGGTGCAGGTTTGATGATCGGATCCGACAAGTGCTTGATCCGTACCGGATTTTTATTCTCACTTTTCTCACGGTGCGCCTGGCGATGGTCGATGCTTTCGTTGACACTTTGTGTCTCACTGCCGCTGAGGCCGTCATCTTCGTCTTCAGCATCACTAGGGTACACCAAGTCTTGCATTTCGACCTGTTCAGAAGATCGTGTCTTGGCCAACGATGGCTTTGGTTCCGTCTGTTTTCGCGGCCTGCCAATAACGCATAGAGGAAAGCGCATCTCAGGTTCCGCAGCAGGTCTTGTGCGTGCTTCCATGACTGCAGCACTGGGAGGAGGAAGCAACATCCAGGCAGCTTCGGCCCTCGTAGCAGGGAGCTGGGAAACCACCGGAGGATGCAGATCATTCACTTCGGGATGCCTTACTCGATTATAGTCGTATCGCTCACTCTCGTCAGTGGGCGCACGCTTGCGTCTGTACGTTGACGGTTCCCCGCCTTCTTGCTGCTCCTCGGCATCCTCGTGATGCATTCCTGAAGTCGCCCGATTCCATATTCTCGTTACCCTTTCAGTGAACCCAGCTAGAATTTCATCCTCACGGTCATATCTTTTCCAGTTCCATTTGGGCGGGTGTAAGGTCGTGCGGAGAGAGTCTTTAAAATTCTCCATTGCGCTAGACAGTCTTCTTTCTCGCGGTGGTCTCTCCTGATCCGAAGCAGATTTGTTCCAGCTCGCGATGACGTCCACATCCCCGACCTCGTTTGTGGTTGAAGACGTTCTTATTGAGAGCTCAGTGGGTGAGTCTGTGAGCGGCGTCGATGGTCTTGCTGACGAGTTTCCCGGCTCAGAGCTCGGTGCAGGTGTTTCAGCGGATGGGGGCTGAGGATTTGAGCCGGGCGGCTCTTTGGGCACTTTCTTTTGAATTTTCTGCAGCAGCGTATCTTTCTTCCAGCCTTTAGGTGGTCCAGGACCCAGCATCAACTCTTCTGCCCATGCTTCATTTGTCTGAAAAGGCCCAGGCTGGGTGACGATGCCTGGTTGAGTGACAACAATTTCTGCTTTCGCTTGAGCTTGCTCTTTCGCTTCCCTCCGCCTTTTTCTCCTGTGTTTGTAGCCGAGCCAGGGCGAGCAAGAGACATAGTAAAAAACTGCAGACTGGACTCCACGAAGGAACCAGTTGCCCGGTTCGGCGGTGTATGGGGCGGGTGCCATAGTCAGCGTTGAGCGTGCTGGGCTCCCCTTGATTTGAGAAGTTGTAGTCGTCTTCGCCGACCCATGGTACCGTTTGCGGCGACGGCAAACAGCAAAGGAGGTGACGGTGGTAGGTGGGCGAGTTGAGCTGGAATCAGAGGTGTGCGGCAAGTGCGAAGGAGGGCGTGCAAGAATTACACGATCAGTCAAATCACTCCTCGATCTGCAGACACGGTGACGACGAGGTGGAGGCTGTGGTTCTGCTTAGAAGTCTCATAGGCCGATGAGGGCAGCCAATAACACAATGACAACAAAGGGGCGAGGGGGAAGTCCAACTCCATCTCACGTGACCGGCTCACGATTGGCCTAAATATTAGCCGGCATCACCACCTTGGCTCTATGCTCCACCGCGCTATGCTACGGCAAGGCATGGCGTGCCCTGTGCTTTGGTGATCTTCCAGCTTCGACCTCGAGTGGCAGCACAATAGCATCTTGTCCTTCGCACCTCAACATCTAACCTGGTTCTTTCGTACTTCACACGAGCATCCGAGAATGTCACTCTCCTCTTTTTAAATGAGAGGAGACACTGAAGAGAAACACAGGCGATATGCTTTCTCTAATTCTGATTCGAGAGTCTGCTCTCTCTCCTTGCTAAGCTCGAGGCGGCTGCAACAACACTTCTTCCTACGGCGCCGGATTTTCCCAAAGGATGAAAATCATACAGATTGGATTGCTCCACAAATATAGAAGTCCCATCTATGACCCGGCTCCCTGGCTATGCAATGGATATCCAACAAATAGCTTCTCGTACATGTGTGAAATCACCGCTCCCCGGCCTCGAACACAAAGACTCATCAACTCAACTTCTGGAACTCTGAATCAAAGTCCGACCCTGCCTGTACTTGCTCTGCCCATACATCATGTTCTTCTGTCAACGTCGCTAGACCCGGATGGTAACCCTCAATTTGATAGCCCAACTCCAGAGGTGGCGCAGATTCATAGGCGATTGTCCTTGGGATTTCATGTGCTGGCTCCGCACCGTCTTCAAAATACACGATCTGGTAACTGGGGTCCAGTTGTCCCAGACGAGGGTCGAGGATGTCGTGCTGAACCGGGACTGCAGCAGGCTGAGGTGCAGGGTACGTCGTCAGCAGCTCATGGTGATCAGCATGCGGCAACCCCACCAGGCCCATCGTCGTCTGATATGGAGAGAAAGCTTCCTCCAGCCTGCGATAGGTGACATTGGAAACATGCTCGTACGGGCCGACAGCAGGTGCAGCCTGGTAATAGTCTCCCACCATGCCATTGGAGCTGACCATGATCGGAGCTGGTCCGTACGGATTGCTCATTTCATATCCTGGCAAGCGATGCTGTGCCTGTATCAAGCGGTGATAAACAGGTGGCCTATCCTCGAAGGGTGTTGAAGATGCACTTCTGCTCTCGAAACGCCGGACGCTGCGGCTGCGCTTGGAGCTCTTGACGGAACCTTCCCAATCGGGGTCGCTGTCACTGACATCGCCCTCATTTCTTGTTCTCTTTCCTGCCTTGTTGGGTGCGAACTTGTAGTTGGGGTGGGCTGCTGCATGATTGTCGCGTTCAATGATGGCGAATCGTTCGTACATCTCTCTGACCTCCTTTGGTTCCAGCGGCCAACTTGCGCCGGTCACCTGCGACACAACCTGGTGGTTGTTCTCTTTGCAGAATTGCTTCACCCGCTCTGCATACGCAGATCGATATAGCATGAACGAGTTCATCGGCCTGGCTACATATCCTTTCTTCCTCTCAACCTCTGCCAATCGTTCTTCCACTGGTCGGTGGACCCACAGTCCCATATCTCGGACAGGCGTCTTATAATCCTTTGTCAGGAGGCTGAGTGGTTGGTCGATGGCAGGTCCTCCCTTTTTGCCGCATGCTTTCTTTCTAAGATTCTTCCGCGAACTTGGTGACAGTGATGCACGTGACGATTCAGTGCCTCCAGTGCTCGATGGGGTCCCGATGGTCCGGCCGCTGCGTGTCAGAATTCCAATGTTCTGAGGAGGAGTGTGACATGGAACCGATCTTGCCATGGGCTTTCTTGGTCAGTACGTCTCGCTGGCATCTTTTGGTGGGTTCCAACTTACTTGTTGTGGCGTATAGTAGACCGGAGTTGGTGCTGTGTGGTAAAGGGACGGGTCATCGTAAGAGGCCTGCAAGAGGTAAGCGTTTTGTCTGCCATGGTCTCAAGGTGAGAGACTTACATATGTCTGGTGAGAGTTAATGTCTGTTACAATTGATGCTGAGGGCAACGGCGGCGTGAAAGGTTCCGGCTTCACAGGAGTGAAAGGCTCCAGCTTCACAACGACAGATGCGTGTGGATGGGTTTCGTCGCCTTGGCTGTAATGGCCATCGCTTGAATGAGGAGGTGACGGCGGGCGTCCGGTGACAGAGTCTTGGGCCATTGGGTCGATAAGCTCTTTCGACTGGAAATGGAAGTGCGCAAGTTGGTACAAAGCCTAATGTGGTGCTTCCCTCTTGTTGCAACAACGATACCGCGAGGTAGTTTGCCGACTGGAACGTGATGTTGAGAATATATGACAGAGAGCCTTCCTTCTCGTGATTTGGAAAGGCTCCTGACTGCTTTGGGGAGGGTGTCACTTTGTCTGAGCCGATGTTCCAGATTTTGAAGCAATTGACAGAACGGTTCAACGCAACTTTCAAGCCTCGTCGGATTTGCTACCCGTTGCACTCCGTTGAGGCGTGAAGCCGCACAATGGAGAGAGCGCTTTATCCCAAGGGCGCTGCTTTGATGGCAAAGACAATCGATGGAAGCACTCCGTTGTCCTTGATGAGACTATGATGAAGGTGCAGATCAGTCTTATCAATTGTTGCAGCAACCCGTCGGCTTGTACGGGAAGAGTAAAAGAGTCGTGCGGTGCTCAAAGACTAAGTGCCGGTATGGTGCAGTACGGATGGAGCCTGATACTTGCGGTGAGAAGGTCTGGTAGCCTTCCAAGTTGATTCTGGTGACGCCAGGAGCAGGTGGCTTTGTCTCAACTAGCCGCAAGATGATGGATAGCAATCTCAGGACCGAGACACTGGCGACCAGGCGAAAGAGAACCTTTGTTGATGCAAGAAGAACAGGAGGAGAAAGACTCTGAGAAGAGAACATATCAAGCAACTGCAAGAGTCTCGACCATGTTGCTTTGGGCGCGACGATGGTCGCTTTCAGCAGCAGTTGCCGCATCCGGAACCATGGCTACAAGGTCGCTTTCTTGCGACGGTTCTTTTTGTTTTCGGATCGATGAAAGCAAAAGGAAGGGAGAAGAGGAAACTCCACAAGCTGCCTCATCCACACAACCAGGGTATCAGCAGTCGTGAGCGGTGAAAGAAGGGGTGCCAGGTCTTTGGAGCTCTTCCTGCAGTCCCGCCATGAAGCGCATCCGGTTCCTGCAGCCTTCTGAGAACTTCGGGAATTTCCGCTGAGTACGCAGGTTCAGGTCCAGCTAGCCATCGTGTCGAGAGCTTATATTGACTCAGGCAAGGTCAATCAATTGGAGCAAGCAGGCTCTCAAAAGCCTTGCCCAACAACAAAACAAGCCAGGCGTCAGCTTGCTCAGAGGGGACGAACGTTTACTCCACCATCCCCTACGACGGTGGTGGAATGCACGGGCCAGCTCTAGTCGCATTCCTCATACGCTTCCAACCGTCGCTTGCAGTCACGACCAGAGGTATTCACCCACGTTCTCTCTGCTGCGAACATTGCATTCGGGGCGGGTCCTGATTCTGACTGGCCGGTGATTTGCAGCAGTTTCGGTCTCGCTGACTGGCTACCGACGGGTTGTCTGTGCGACGAACGACTTATATGACAGCGGCAACAAACATGATCTCCATGGAAGCAGCTGTGGCATTCCATAACCTCCGATACGCCGCGAACAAAAATCTCCGTATCTTTTCCAAAACCATCAGCTGCTCAGACTTGTCGCCGCGGCCGTCGTACGCTTGCTGCCCAAGGGCTTTCTTTCTGCCACGCTCCATTGATCGACCAGATGGCATACTCTTGTGCCTGTTTAGACTCCTGGTGGCTGACATTCCAGGTGGCTACAACTGACGCGATAGCCCAGCAGCCGCACACTCCACCCGTAGCCGGCCCGCTACCGTCTGGTCCCTGGCTCAGTCAGGATTCGGATCGCAGTCAACTCGCTGTCCCTTCTCAATTTCTGGCTGTTCAGTCTGAAGACCAGCATCCTTCAAGCCAGTTTCGGTCACTCCATCCAACCAATCGTCTAGGGGAAATGGAAGTCAAGTTCTCCTTGATTTCGAATTTGTCACGGTTTGAGATCGCATGCATCCTTTACAGGGGTTCGTGCCCATCTGCTCATACGCTGCTGACTCTTGCTGGCGGCATGATAGCATACCTAATTCTTTCAGCGTTCCTCCGGGCAGCGCACGGTCACAGGGCACGAAGTTGGATACTCCAACCGGAGTAGGCTTCCCTCACACATTTCGTTGCCTGAGGCACTGCGGCATACCCTAGATCCACCAGTAGCAGACAGTATGGATGGCTCGCGCCCACAGCAAAACCTTGTCCTCATCCAGTTGCATTTCGCCGTTGCAGATCACTGTCTTCAGTGGTCTATCAGGTGGCGCATCCTGTTGATCTTGTGGGTGCTGCCCTGACTAACTCATCTCTCATTTGTGGTACCTACGCCCGTCACTCCGCAAGTTAAACTTCTGACCTACCATAGATGCTTGCTCGGACTGCCTTTTCCACCCAGCTTCACGACAGCCACACCAGACTGTCGCTGGATATCCTCCTCCTGGTGACGCTCCTGTCCTTGGTGCGTTGGTCCGCTCTGCCACTTTGCTGGGCTCAGCAATGCCGAGGGCAAGGTTCGTGCCTCACTCGCCACCCCTCGAAGCTTCTTCTTTTTTTTGGGAATCCTGCTCATACCCCATCAATTTTGCTTTGTCGGCCGGCAGGCGCTGAACAATGTCGTATCGAAGAGGTTTGGTTTCAAGTTTTCCATTGGCCTTGCATTGTTACACTTTGTCGATCGCTGCCCCATGATTTGCTGGTGCAATGTCAAGCCAAAACTGCCGCGCGGAGTCCGGGCATCGTGCGCACCCACGAAAGGGTGAGGATATTGGAAGAGGAGGACGACGATGAGGAGGATGTCACCACCATGAGAACCTCGCTGTTGGGTGGACGGGAGAAAGATCGCACCGGATCTCAACAGCAAAAATTCCTCTGTGTTTCGATGGGATGCCTCGTTCGTTCGTTCGGTCGTTCGTTGTTTCTCCCTGCACATGGTCCCGCGGACACACACATCCAGTCCCCAGATCTGTGTCATCCCAACACCGGCGGCGTTCTCAATTGGAGCGAACTACTCTCACAGACAGTTGCTCTCAGCTTCTTATTTTTCGACTGCGTGCTCCGCTTTTTTCTCCTACAACGACTATGGGGCCAATGCCGCTCCTGATCCTGATGAGCCCCCGGTCGCTATTACTTACCACTCGCGACGACCCGGCCGCACTCCACTTGACGAGGCGGGTCGAGTCGAGTGGCCACCGTCAATTGACAAATACTGGGTTCCACCGCACGCATGCACACGCGCACACACACGCACACACTCTCTCGTCTCCGCCTGTCGGAGAAAAGACCACCATATCGGAGATATCCTCCAGAGGTCTAGACCGGCCGGGCACATGCCTCCTCCTCTCTCCTTCCCTACCTCCCTTGCTTCCACTCGTGATTCGGAGCGGGCCTTGGGGATCCAACCAACCTCTCTGCCTCCAGCACAGCACACACATTCACTGACACGAACATCCCTGTCCTCCTCGCTTGCTACGAAGGATCACCAAGTGCTGGTCAATACCTCTGGCAGGAGGGGAGGAGGAGGTGGTGGTGATAGTGGTGGGGGTGGCCCCCTTTTTCTCATTCAACACCAGACGGTGTTTCCCTCAGGTCGAAAAATAATATCCCGCGTGTCCAATCCGTCTTGATCAATTACTCGACATTCGGCCATTTTTCCTCGAAAGCAAGCCGCACATTTCTCCCTCCCCCAACGGGCTATCTGGAAAGAAGAAAGAAGAAGAAAGGGACAGATAGAGTCCGAACGTTTACCATTGTTTCAGTTGAAATAAAAGGGCTTACCGCTTTTATAAAGTATCACTTCAATATAACGCCTATCATCCCGCGTCGTCGAGTTCGAATTACGGGTAGCGAGAGCGGGAAACCGTCGCCTAGAACCCTCCCTCCAGAATCATGAGTGGCTATCCCTTCCGGGGAGCCAACCGCCAGGTACAGTGAGTCACTGAGAGGATGACTGAGCGCCACAAATAATCAATCGACTTTTGACAGCTCCCTCTTCCCTGTCCACACACCCTAAAAGGCAGAGAGAGAGAGAGAGAGAGAGAGAGAGAGAGAGAGAGAGAGAGAGAGAGAGAGAAAGCTCGCGCCAGTCTTGGTGGGGTTGGGCCAACCTCTTGCTGTGGGTGGGTATCATACTTGTATAGCGTATAGGATGTAAATAAGACAGGGGTAGCGGATCCGATCTGGCTATCCACTCTTGTCGTCTCGATCACGGGACAACAACCCAAGGTCTTTCTTCTCCCATCGGCCGCAGCCCAAGATCACGAAAGAGGGGCGTCAATACTTGTTAGAGTCGACTGGGATCTCAATACTCCCGATATCCTTCGTCTCTAACGGAAGTGTTTTCTGCGTCCTGTGCGGGTGTGTGTCAGAGATGACTTTGTGCCCAGGCGAGTAGGGATGCACCTCTTTTGACGCCAGGTTGAGCTGAGCGGCCGTTGAGGGCCGCAGACCTTCTGTATTGCCCAACTAGATGATGGAACTGGATAGGCCCGTGCTTCGCCACAACCCCAGAATTCCGGTCATCAGATTACCTTTCGGGCCACCCATGGTTGCCAGCATCTGTTCAAATGCACCGCGCCAACAAGCAAAAGGTTCCATTGTCTCCTCTGGAACCAGCGCAACCGGTATCGAGACCACCCCTACGCCTTGTCAGTGAAGTTCCCAGGGGCTATCACGGAATTGCATAGAGTATCTTCGCCTCCCCCGTATGGAGTGCTGGCGGCCACTAGAGAAGCGTAATATTCCAGCATGCGTTGATATAAGTGTTGGATTCGCCACACCATCGAGTCTTCCTGCACAAAGTGAGCAAAGACGTACCAAGCCTCGGTCCGTCTGTTTGTGAATTCTCCTATGACTCGAGCCCGGTCCAAGCGACAGAGGTCGTGGATCCTGTCAGGCACCCACATTATCACACTGGGGTGCCAGGCGTGGTTTTCGTGTACAGCCGAGATGCCATTATCTAGTATCGTCAGATACGCCAGCCCGAGGTGTCAGAGGGCATCGCTATGCGTTCGCAAGAAGGTGATGAAGGGCTCCTCGAACGTCATAAGTCCCTTCAGTTTGAGGCATGACGGTTGGGGAAAGTGACATTGGTACAGAATTCCACTGGATAGGCCCTCGAGACGCTGCACAAAGCTACCGCGGTCGAGAGTTGAGCATTACACCATGGTGAAGCGATGAAGGTATGCCGGGAGCATTCGTACTGAGTGCTTGCCCGTATCCTCCTAGGCAGAGAGTACGGAGAGGTATTTATTTGGCCGACAAGTGTAGCTTTCCATTCGCCGTGAAATAGATTCCGCCATGCTCGGTTGGACATACAAGATTAAATGGCCTGGTGTGGGAGAAGGGAAGAGCTCAAACCGAGGCGGCCATGTGAAACGCCTTCAAACACCCTTGACCATGACCTTCGCTTGCCTTTTTGCTCCCTCGCCTTCGTTGCTGACCTAGCACAGTGGTTTGTACGGTTTCTACAGGGGACGGGTCGGGGAGACAAGGTGTGGGCTGTTAACCTTTCCTGAAAAACTGGAGTTTAATCTGCCATGACGGGCTGTACGAAAACGATGCTCCAGGAATCTTTGTCCGTCGGATAAAGCATAGTGTTTCCGGTTCCATGTCTATCTCTCACACCCAGCCAATTTCGACCTTGTGCGTAAATCTCCTCCTTGACGACGATGAAAGCCATCCTTTTCCCTGTCACTTTGATCCAGTGATCCAAGCTGACTTCTCCAAGGAGAAACCCACCAACCATGACATGCCGCCGATCCCATCCATGTCTATTTACAATGTTCCAAGCTCCACGATGCGTCTCTCCAAAAGGTCCTTCGCGAAGTCGTAACCCAAATAGTGTCGACAAGTCGGGCACGATCCCGTCATGTACGATGGGTCTTGATGCTGATCGAGCCACTGCAGGAGGCAGCAGACGTGGTAGGGCCGGTTGCAGCATTTGTGCGTGTAGATCAGCAGTTGTTTCTTTGCTTGCTCACCCGTCGTCGCTGTTGGATCAACGCTCAGCTTCTCCTGACAAATCGGACACATGGTGTTCTCGCGGTCGACGGGCGGTTGGGCGAGGACGCGGAAGGAAAGATTATCGGCGAATCTTGAGAGGCCGGGTGTCGAGGTCGAAAAAATGCCCAGCCCAGCCACAGGCTCTTCTTCCAGCAGTGAGCAGAAAAAGTCCCTGCGGTAGTCCAAGGCCCGCAGTCTCGGGGTGGACAATTTGTCGATCTCCCTAAACAGCCTATCCCTGCATGCTGCGCGGGTCTGGAGCGTCCAGCGGTGATAGACCTGGAATCTGGAGTACCATGGCCCGTTGGGACGTCCCTCTGCTTCGTCTTCATCTCCCATGAAGTCTTCCACGGTAGCCAGGGACCGCAAGAGCCCCTCTTCCGCCGTCCACACGCACAACTCGACCGTTGACAGGCGCGCCAGAAACAGCGTAACTTGGGCCTCCGCCGCCGCAAGCCTGCGTACGACATCCGAATATTTCTCTATTGTTGCAGTCTTGAAAAATTCCTCTGGGGTCCTGAAGCCGAGCAGTACCTTGGGCCAGAGCGACACCCAGGCGTCCCCGTACATCTCCATGGCCTGGTCTAACTTGTCCTGACGTATCCCATCTTCATGCCGTTCCAGCAGGTGTCCGAGAGTGTTCGTGAAGTTGAGCACCGCCAGGGTGAGTGCGTACATGTCCTTGACATAGGCCCAGAGCGAAGGCAGCGCGGCGAAGTATGTCTCTGGTGCGACCGAGCATTTTGGACGTGGTGACTTGACGTTGAGGTGGTGTTTTTTGCATAGGGCCTGACACTCCTGCCATTTGTGTGGATTCGTCTCAAGATAGCACATGTACCTGAAGAAATTTGCGCTGGGTATGCAGAGGATGTGGATGCTGATGTATCTCTGTTCCCGTCGAGAGCGCCAGCGCGGGCGTCCGACCCCGATCCGGCGACCAGGGTCGAGAACTGCCCGAAGGTAGGGTGGATGACGAGTGGAGAGCTTCTGTGGACGTTGCTTCATAGTTATTAGGCTTCTGCTGAAAGGGTGTCGCGGAATAGATAAACGCAGCAGAGGTTGTCCAGTCTTTCGTGGGAGAACAAGGTAGATCTCGCAGAGTTGGGCGTGAATGTTGAAAGTACCAAGAGTGCGGTATAAATCGTCTTATATCCGGATGGATTGCCTGTCCCATCATATCGATATTTGTTTTCTGCTTTCTTTTCATTGTGTACTCCCCATAGCATTCACGGCCTGATGGGGTAGTATTTCCGAGACGTTAATTCCTAGTCATTCATTGTGCTTGAGTCGACCGCCCATACCTAATGGATAATGGCACTGAGATGTGCTTAGGCTGACTATCTCATCCAACAATGGCCAGAGGTTGTGTTGTGAAAGGCGCCCAACTCCTGACTGTTTGCTCGTCGATCCCATTTGATGTCCCATGGCATGGCCTGATAACAATAGCATGGCCTAGCACCACAGCAGGCGTCAGTGCGGAGGGTTGCAGCCTGGTCTGCCGATCCTCAGAGGAGCTTCATCAGGAACTTCTTATTCTATTGCCTACCAGCCTTTGACCTCCGTGTGATGAGTGCGCCTGATTCAAAGGGCGAGTATGCCAACCCCGGTTTTGGCATCTTTGAGTGGCCAGCCTGTTCAAGGCACTTAACTTCGTTGCTCAGTCTCGCTAGCGATGGTAGTCGTGGAGGGCGCTCTCATGGTAAATAACGAGATACCTCTGTTAACTTGGCTCGGCACCCATTTTGATCCACAAGAACAGGGATACCTGGGCATCACGCCGTCGTTGTTGCTCGCCGCCATAAGCGACTCGTCCCATATTAGGGTTGTTGGGCACCAAATGGGCTATTGGCAGAGCGACAAGTCATTCAGAAGCACAGAGGAAGTGATGCGATGGGAACGAGGCTGGTGGAAGAAAGGGGGATGTTGGGTTTGATGCAGTGATCAAAATATTACACTCCGAAAGTTCGTTGGCCCCGATTGGCGGAACCGGTTCCTCGACGCGTTTTTGCCAGTTTCCCCGCGTCGGTTTCAACATTGCACAACTCGACCTCGTCCTTCATACTTCACACTCCGTCTTTCGTTCTTCTTTCCTCACCCCTCGACAAGCCCTCGTGCGCCTGCTTCAGTCCTGACTTGCGGAGAAGAACACTCTATGTAATTCCAAATGCATGGAGAGCTTGGGAACAAGCTCGTAAGTCTTCCCTTTTTTCCCAAAGGGCCCAACTACCCCCAACTTCTCCTCGACTACTGACTAACCCTTCCCTCCTCCTTGCTTTCTCTCCCAGGTCCAACACGCGAAACGCACCCTCACACTCCCGGCCCTGCCCCCCTACCAGACCGAACTCGTGCGCTCCGTCGTGCGCGAAGTGCGCGACCTCGACCGCGATGTGACGCGGATCCTGGAGCCGTTCACCACCACCGCTTACGACGAGGAGGGGAACCTGTCGTCGCAGAACACGTTCAATCCGGCAGAACACCCCGCCACAGCGTGCGCCCTGCTCGTCGACCACCTGAGCATGAGGAGGGATAAGAGGTGTTTGCTGGCGTACCACCGCGTGCGGGCCGAGAAGTTGGAGGAGATGGTCTGGGACGGCCAAGACTTGGAGGTTGGGTTGGGCGCCGAGGCGGGTGGCAGTGGCCCAAACACCAGCATCCGTGGCGAAGACGCTTCTGCCGGAGCAGCGGCACCACCGGGGACGCATAACTCGCTGTCCCCAGAGGAGGAGTCGTACTTCCATGCCTACGTCGACTTCCTCTCGCAGTACAAAGGCCAGTGGACGGACATCGACCTGACCGGCTCCCTCGAACCACCACGCGACCTCTTCATCGATGTCAGGGTGTTGAAGGACGCAGGGGAGATCCAGACAGAGTATGGCGCGATCAATTTGTCCAAGAACTCGCAATTTTTTGTCAGGCAGGCCGATGTGGAGAGGCTGATCCAGGGCGGATTCTTGAAAAGGCTGAGTTGATGCAAGCCATATGGAGGAAAATGGTACTTGCTCTCTAAGATAAGAACCGTTGTTGGACCCTCTCACGATGGACGGTGTGATGATGAGGCCGATGACACGAGAAATGAATATAGGGATACTGAGATGCATGCTCATGATCTGATGAGGATTTCCGATTTTCTTGTGCCTTGCTATTGCATACTTGTGGCTGAATCATCTATTCTGCTAAGGCGATCGATCGCCTTTGGATCAAAGGACTGTTTGAACTCAGGTAATCAACCACCTCGATATCTCACCGGACATTGCAGCTTCGCGGCTTTCCTAGCACTTCCACAATCTGACTGCTGCTGATCATCATCATCAACAACAACATTGAAAAAGGGAAGTCAATGATTTGCAGTCTTGCCCTTGATATTGCTGTTAAATCAAATCGCTCGCCCAAGAGAGAAGACACAGGACAGCCCCAAACACCGTCATGAACTCCCATTTCATCCCAGCCACGGCAGCTGCAACGTTGTGTGTAGGCGAAGTTGTGGGCGCAGTGGTGTTGGTCCCATTCCCGTTGCCTCCGCTGGAGCTAGTGCTCATCTGTGTGAAATTGCCGCAGTTCAACCTAGTTCCATTCGCGCTGTGCACCACCACACTGCGATTTCCGAAGAAGGCTGCATTGCTCGGGTCGGTGCTCACATACAGATCGAGGTACATGGCCTGGAAGGTGCCGACGGCTTGTGAGTCCCCGGAGGTGGAAGAGGTGAGCTGGGAGATGTTGCCATGCTTGCCAGACAGGTCGCCTGGCTGGCAGGTCCATGGAGCGGTGCTATCACAAGGCGGGGTTTCCTGTCGGCCGAAGGGCGAGAGGTGACCGCCTGTGGCAGTGCAGTTTCCTGACGCAGGAACAGGGTATTGGTGGATGTGGTAATCTGCGTGGCAGAGTTAGTCATCTTGATATCAGTGAAGCTTGGGCTTGTCTCTGGGAACTCACTGAAAGGACCCTGTGTGATATCCGGGAAATTGAAGAAGTTGACGTTGAAATTCACACCAGTGCCATTGTCGTTGGAGACCCCAGTGATCTGGCCTTGAACAGGTTTATCAGCTTGCAGAACTGCCTGGAAAGTGGCACGGAGGGGGTTGTTCTGAGTAATGGGGGCGTCGGTGCTGTTGCTCGTCTCTTGCGCAATGACAGAGAGAACGAGGACGACTAGTGGGAAGAGCATGCTGAAGAGACGCATTGTGCTGGATCGCACGAGGTTGCGATCAGTGAGTGAGAAGTGACTGTATCGGCACGAGAGCACTTTGAGGTAAGCCCCTAGCAGGAGTACGAAGCCTTGAAGGTGGGAGAAGGGATGTGGCACGAATGGGGAGAAAAGAGCAATGGACAAATGGATTGCGATGAAGAGGGGAGATGATGGCGTTTTTATGTCGGTGGTTGAAAGACTTGGGTTGAGGTGAGGTGAGGTGAGGCGAGGGCAGCCCAGCAACCGGCAGGAATCTGGTTCGCAGGCAACTTGCGAATGTCACTTCAAATACCTTTTTGTTGGGCCCTCTCCCTGTAGCAATTCTGTCATGCTTTCAGGATTGACTGTCTGAACATCACTACTGGCTCATATTGACCAGGAGATGCGAAATGACAGATCAACGCCAGCTCTGGGGGAGATGCCGGTCTCAAGTCACACAACACGGTCCGGTTGCCAGAGCACATCACCAATCATTTGAGACACAGTATTGGGAGCTTCCATCCGTGGTGATCGTGTTATTTTTTCAATACGGTGCTGGTTGATATAGAGTCAGATCGGTCCAGTTCCGAGTACAGCCCGGTGGTTCTTTGCTGACTCCTTTCAAGCTACACAGGCCAGATCTTGATCTCCCATCCGTTCAAAAGTCCCCTTGCTGAATCTTCACAGGGCCGTCCGAACCGCACACTTGAAAGGCATTATCTGCGCCTTGCTCGCATCCCACGCTCCTCCCTTTGTGTACGGATCACTGTCCAAAAAGTCTCTGACCTCTTGCTCGGTGTTTGCCTTGATTAACATGGCACTGCCCGTCATATTCGGCGTCTCTCCCTCGGCGGGCTGTTGCGACAGGGTTGCACCACCAAAGACCACGATGCCAGCGTCAATCTTGGGTTTCAGCCCTTGGAGGTGCTGAGGCCGGACGGCCAGCCGTTTCTCCAGGGCGTTGGGGTGGTCGGGAACAATGACGAGCCATTCGTTCGTCGGGGTTGCAGAGGAGGAAGACATGGTTCGGACGGAGCTGGTGTTTCGTGGAGTAGTAGTCGACGGGTTCCGGTATAGAGCTCGAGTTGTGTGCGAGAAGGGTGCACCGAGCTGGGAGGCTGGGGAATATACACTTTTCAGAGAGTAGAACAGGCGGCAACCACAGAGCAATCTCGACATGAAGCCGGGAGATCAGTTACACTGGCTGGCAATGCGTAATCAATGGTCGAGAGAGTAAAGCACCATGCTAGGTGATACCGAGGACGGGCCGTTCGGAGGAATATCGCTCCTCAGGTTCGTGTGTATCTCGGCCGAACTCCTTCTCCACACCGTAGGGCGTGAGGCGGGGGATACGCCATGTTGTTTAGCCAATTGCCAGAAAGGGGCACCAAGGGGCTGTCGCCAATCTGCGGGGAGCTGGGCACTATTACGGAGTACAGCCTTCTCACTCGCTTTATTATCTATCTTGGTCAACAACCTCTGGGGCTTCAGATTGTCGGGCTCGACTCATCACGCATCGGAACAGCACCTTGTCACACAGCTCTCCGGGATCCCAACCCCGAAGTGTAGCTTCATCTCGCTCCCTTTCTCCAGATCCTCCTCTATTGTCAGCTCCCCTGCCAGCAATGCGCGAAAACATTCACCCATCTTGGAAATCAGCCTACGATAATTCTTAGGAGACCTGCTACACGCCCTCGACGCCCACACGATTGACTCTAGCCGTTCAGGATAGTCTCTCCCCTCTTTTCGAAAACGCCATGCTGGGTATCCATGAGTCTTCCGGTACAGTCAGGCCCTTACTGGCTCCGGTCGGTCCCGACATTCCTTCTATAGCATCGCTCTAGGTTGGTCTTTAGCCAGAAGTGCAGCTGCAACCTTCCTCCGTTGTATCTTCCCAGTGGCTGTCTTGGGTATCTCTTTCAAGATCCAAACCTGGCATCTCAGTCAGCGTGGGCCCAACATGCATCTGCCAGATGGGAATGCTCAAACCTTGCTCGGCGTTTTGAACTTGGCCGTCTTGCTGGCAACGTAATCGGTGATGGCCTTCTCAGTGACCACCTTGCCAGGCTTGGGGACAAGGGCCACTCCAACTTCTTGGCCATACAGCTCTGAAGGAATGGCAAATGTCACCCCTTCTGCCACGTCTGGGTTGGCGGAAATGACATGGTCCAACTCGATCGGGCTGATCTTCTCACCCCCCCTGTTGATTAGCTCTTTGATCCTTCCCGTGATGAAGACATAGCCGTCTTCGTCTTTTTTACCCTGGTCGCCGGTGCGGAAAAATCCCCCTTTAGTGAATGCTTCTCTGGTGGCCTTCTCGTTGTTGATGTAGCCCTTTGTGACGTTCTCACCCCTGATGCAGATTTCGCCCTCCTGACCTTGCGGCAACTCATCGCCTTGCTCATCGAGAATCCTAACTTCGACCCCCTGGCCGATTCCCACACTGCCGGGCTTTCGCTTTCCGCGGTGTGGGAGCTGGTTGGAGCACATCTGGTGGGCGGCTTCCGTCATGGCATAGGCCTCAAGGACTGGCGCTCGATACGTCCGTTCCAGCTCCTGGAAAGTTTTCGGGGACAGTGCAGACGAGCATGAGCGGATAAACCTGATGCTGGGCATCGGATTAGGCCGAGGGTTCTTCAACAAAATCTGATGGATCGTCGGCACGGCCGTGTACCAGTTGGCTTTGTGCTGAATAAAGTCGACCCAAAAGGATCGTGCAGAGAAATGGTCGGGGACAATGACAGACCCCCCGGCACCCAGAGGGGCTAGAAAACCAGCTAGAAGACCGTGAACGTGGAAGAGAGGCATGACCAACATCGTCCGATCTTGAGCAGTGAGTTCGTAGGTGTTTTGGATGTTCTGCATTGTTCTCGTCAGGTTGCGATGAGTCAATGGGACAGCTTTTGGGCGGCCGGTGGTCCCGCTGGTGTGCAGCACCAGTGCGACATCTTCTGGCTCAGCTCGAGCAACCGGTTGAGATTGTCGCTGTGCCAGTTTGCCCTGCTCTTTCACATCCAGGATCAACTTCGTCCCATCCACGTAACATTCCGCAATGGCAGCATGATATTTCCTGGCAGCCTTGACCGCAGGTCCGTCCCTGGCAAACGCCCCACGAGGCAATATGATGACGGCGGAAGACAGATCTTCAATGTAGAATTCGAACTCGCTTTGCTTGTAGGTGGGATTCAGAGGGGCGGCAATTGCTCGCTGAAAGGAGGTTGCCAGAAATGAAACGATGAACTCGTAGCTGTTGGGCAAGGCTATTGAGACGGCGTCGGATTCTCGGATGCCCAGCTGAGCAAGTTGCTTCTGAAAGACCAAGACATCTTGGGCGAGTTGCTTGAAAGAGACGGTCAAAGCATTGGGTTTCGTGGGGACGATGACTGCTATCGCGGAAGACGTCTGGGAAAAGGAGGTGGAAAGGGTGGCTGCAACCATGGCTACACAGACTGCACCAAACACCGAAGTAGAGAAAAAAATTGGGAGGGGGCAAGTCTGGGATGAACTCTGGAAACAACAAAATGGGTATCTCAATAGAAAAGCAACAATCTCCTATTGGAGTCGTATCGAAATCTCAACGAAACCAGCAAGAAAAAAGAAGTCTGGGATGGAAAAATGACGTGATGCGTTGCGACGTCCACAGATAGGAAGACCAGCCTGACACATTATTTCGCGGGCTCCATCTCGCTATTAGTATCTCACCGGACATGATGGAAGAAGGCGAGTGGGCCGAGAACGGCCCTGATTTTATATCGGGTGATAGGATAAGGCCATAATAGTAGAAAATGGTAGCGGGAGCTTTGAATTTCAGCTTGGAGAAATTGAAGTCATCCGAGGAAGACATGACACGAAAATCCCTAGATGCGCCCGAAGTGAAGCGATTGGTGAATCGATGGAACCCCCTGGCACGCAGCTTCCGATGCAGACAGGGCTTCCAGGCCCGTATTTTAGGGGGACCAGGCTTACCAATAGGGGCCACCGGCGCCCAATGGGTGAGGGGGCCGCCTGCTGCTTGCTAAGTCGCTTCCCTTGCCCCGAGAACTGCCCGTCGGTGTCTCAATCACGAGACCGCAGTTTTAGTTTGTTTCCGCCCTAGTCGCCTTTTTTTCCAATTCCAACTGCACGTCTGGTGTCTCCGCTCACATCCAACCTACATACTAGCCTCAGCCAAAGCACATGTGAAAAACATGTCTAACAATGCCGCGACACCCACGCGGGGAGGCCTGTCGCTCTATGCGAATCTCCTCGACCCGAAAAATGCTGGGCCTGGCACCATCTCCAGTGCGCCGGTTTCGTACAAGCCGGCCTCAAGCTCTCCCGAACAGGATGAGGCTGTCAAGAGACAGCAAGCACTCGCTGGTACATTTTCTTCGTCGTAAGGACCTAGAGGTTTGCTGAATAGATCTGCTCACGATTTGCGCCATGCTTTCGCGTGATATACAGCCTCCCTCAGATTCCAGCCTACCAAGAGACCCCAGGTCACTGCTCAAAAGGCAAAAGCAAAAGCCATCGCCAGTAAATTCAACATCCCACCCCCCGCCACCACCGAGGGCGCCGGTGCTGCTGCCACAGAAACACCAGTGCCGCAACCCCCTGCGCCCAAGACCACCATTGCAGACTGGACTGCTACCGCATCGGATGACGATGACGTGAACAACTTCTACACCGGAAAGCGCCAACGCGGGGGGCGGAAGAAGCGCAAAAAGAACAAGGCGGCGGCGGAGGTGACGCAGAACTGGGATGATATCTACGATCCGAGCAGACCAAACAACTATGAAGAATACAAGCATAGCGAGGAAAAGATCCGCGAAGTCAGAGAGTGGAAGGACCTCCTTTACAGACATCGTATGAGGCAGAGGAGTTACAGCGAATCTGAAGACGATGACTACCGCCGTCCCATGAACAGTAAGGAATGGAGTCCTATATTGGTTTGGGACTGGCTGACATGTTGGCAGAACATTTTGCACCACCTCCCATGTCCTTTGCCCCTCCGCCCAATCTCAATGACGAAAGCCCTCCACCGCCGCCACCACCGGTCGACATTCCGGACGATGCTACTGGTGAGGACGCGTACCTGAGACGATTGCGCATGAGCCAGGGCCAACAAAGTCAGCCCGTTGTTCCGTCGCCCCCAGCAGAAACCCCACTACCGGGTCAGATCTCCAGGGCACCCGTGCGGTACAACCTACCCGCTGCACCAGAAAATGTCCCAGGATCCGAACCAGATCTGGAAGATGGTCGTGCAGAACCCGAGCCCGGTGCCAATGAAGATGGCGATGCCGACGAGCCACGATCCAAACGCCCTGGTCAAGTGGGATTTGCCGAACGGCTCATGGCGAAATATGGCTGGAGCAAGGGTCAAGGCCTCGGAGCCCATGGCACCGGGATCATCAACCCCTTGTACGCTAAGGCTGACAAACGAAAGAAGAAGTCCGATGCAGAAGGTGGTGGCTTCGCTGCACCGGTTGCGACTGGTAAGATTCTTGGTGGTAACAAGTCCAAGACTGCTCAGGCGGAGGAAGAGGGCAAGTTCGGAGCGATGTCTGAGGTGATCCGATTGGAGGGCATGTTGAACGGCCTGGATCTTGACGACGAGCTCACGCGCGGAGAGGGCGGGCTGATGCAAGAAATTGGCGAGGAGTGTGGAGACAAGTACGGCAGTGTCGAGAGAGTCTACATCCACCGGCTGGAGAGTGAAGAGGGCGAAGCATTGGTGTTTGTGCAATTTGTGAGCCAGCTCAGTGCTTTGCGGGCAGTCAACGCGTTGGAAGGGAGAATCTTCAACGGGAATCCCATCACGGCGAAATTCTGGCCCAAGGAGAAATTCGACAGAGGTGAATATGTCTGAGGACGTATGGTCTATGGTCCATGATCCATGTACCTATGGGGGATGACGGCCTGTGATGCACTGCTGACAGAAGGCATTCCATTGACCGACCGCATTAGGTTGTCACGTGGTGGACGCATTAACATGGCTCTGTACTTGTTCCATTGATTGGCCCGAGAGATTTGGACATAGAACGCGCTCAGGGGGCCAATTGCATCATCGCTGGAATAAAATGTCCTCTGTCTGTAAACCTGTAAACCATTTTCTACAAGAACCACTACTGGAACCAGTTTCAAGCTCCGCAGTTCAAATCGTCGAATACCGCTACCGCTCACAATGTCAGGGCGCGATAGGATCAACCAAGCCTTTGCCAACAATTCGCAATTACGAAAGAGAATCTTCGACGCCATTGGTAAGTGAACAGCAGTTCAGATCACTCCCACCATGGTCCATGTTCACTCACTGACTTGCTGCAGACGCAACGCCGCAGTATGCGCCCCTTTTCGAGGACATTGCGTCGTACCATCTCAACGCGCACCTTCCGAACGGCTCTGCCCACGATGAACCGGCCTCCAAGAAGCGCAAACTCCCCGACGGCTCGTCTCTTCCACTCGCCGCCGCCGCCCCCACGCAGAAAGGTGGTAGTCACCCGCGCGAGGTGATCCTCGAAGCAAGAGATATCTCGTTCTCCCTCCCTCAACGCAAGAAATTACACCTGGGCATCGCGCAATATGGAGCCGATTTCAATGGTGCCGGGACCACATTTTCCATCTTCACCCGGAACCCCGCCACCAATGAAGTCGAGATGGAAGTGCCGTTGGACCAGGTCACCTACGCCCTGAGACTGCCCATACCCGAAAAGGCGGCAAAACAATACAATTTCGTGCTGCTGTTGAAGCCAGAGTCCAGCAACAACACCGACGCCATCACCTGGGCCGTCAACGATGGCCCGCTCAAGTCGTGTCACGTCTCAAGCCGTGACCTGGCGGAAATCGCGTCTGACCCCGGCGCCATCCTGGAAAAGGCGCTCGACTATCTCATTCAAAGGAGTGGCAACAAAGAAGGTCTCACCCTCCCCGACGCCGAGGAGTTTTGCAGCGCAAAACCCGAACCACACCGGAAAGGCGACAAGGCATATCACGTCAAGGGCTTCCGAGGGAGCAAGGACGGATACCTCTTCTTCTTGAACAATGGCATCTTCTTTGGGTTCAAGAAGCCGCTCTCCTTCTTTGCGTTCGAGGACGTCGAGAGCATATCATACACGTCCGTGCTGCAGCGAACGTTCAACTTGAATATCGTGTATCGAGCCAGCTCGGTGGCGGATGGAGGAGCTCATCACGGCGATGCCGCCATCCAGGAGGTGGAGTTTTCGATGTTGGACCAGGCGGACTTTCCCGGCATCGACGCCTACATCAAGCGGCATGGGTTGCAGGATGCCAGTCTCGCAGAGTCACGGCGCGCAAAGAAGCTCAACGCCGCGACCCACGGCAAAGGTGCGATCCAGAACGGCGATGGCGGAGGCGACGTGGAAGGTGAGGAAGGAGACGACACGCGCACCGAGCTGGAGAAAGCCCAGCAACAGCTCGAGGACGAGGAGGACGAGGAAGAGGAAGACTACGACCCCGGCAATGACGGGGAGAGTGAAGGCAGCGGGGCTTCGGACGAGTCCGATGAGGAGTTTGATCGCGAGTATGAGCGCGAGAGGAAGAAGACCAAGGGCCGGGATTTGGTCAAGGAAGAATTGGGCAGCGAGGCGGAGGACGTGAGTGTTACCGAGGACGAGGACGACGGGGAAGCACACGGCGACGACGCAGAAGACCATTATGACGAGGAGGAGGAGGAAGAAGAAGCGGAAGAGTTGTCCAATACAATCCCGAGCCACCATAAACACATGGCCGTGTCAGGGGCTGCTGCCGCCGCCGCCGCTGCCGGTACAGGAGGAGTTAGACGTGGCGGCAGCAGCTGGGGGGCCAATGGCGATGATAATGATGATGACGAAGAGGCCATGCCGGACCCTGACGATGAAGATCAATTGTGAACGAAATTGGCGGGCGATACATTTATCTATATATACACATATATATAGGTTGGGTCTCGGACGGACAAACAGTCCGTCACTCAGTCACTCGGTCGTTTTTTATGTGACCACGACCTTTTCCCCTTGTCAGCGAGTGGCGATCGATCATCGAGGAAATGAAAGGATGGACGGATGAAAGAAGGAATGGGTGGACCTGCTCCTGCACACGCATGTCCAATTATTGTTTGATTGTTTGTTTGTCGAGGTGCATGTATGTATGCACACGTACATGCCATGCTCCGGACAGAGAGAGAGGGAGGGATAGGGGGGAAGAGAGAGAAAGAGAGAGAGTGTGTGTGTGTCTGTGTGTGACAGGGTATGTCTCCCAGCTCGAGACCGATCGCCAATGCCAAAGGCCTTACCATTCAAACACTCAAGCAATGACCTCTCACTCCAAATGATCACCAACCAATGGACGACGACTCAGCAGCACAGAGTCCGACCCGGCACAGCCTCGCCCTGAGCACGGACGCCAGCGTCGCCTGCAGCCCCACGGCGAGGGCGAGGACGACACCCACGGTGCGCGGGCGGCGTGGGTGCACCCAGCCGACGTTGCCCTCGAGGGCGCTGACGGCGAACAGCATGAAGTCGAAGCAGCCGTGGAACAGGACCGGGTCGCGCAGGACCAGCCACGCGCTGTTCATTGTTGAGGAGGAGGAGGAGGAGGTGGTGGAGGTGTGTCCTCTGTGGAAATGGTCATGGTCGTCCCGCATGAGCTTCATGTTGATTCCGATCAGGGTGGCGGTCATCGCGTGGCCGGGGATGCCCAGCACCACCCTCTCCATAGCCGTCAGCAGGGCGAACATGGCGTCCTTGGGCGCGGCACCGCGACCCTTGTTGGACCGGCGGGTCGCAGCGGATATGAAGGCGCAGTTTTCCACCGTGGCGAAGCCCAGCGCTGCGGAGACGGCGACGGCGATAGAGTCACGCGGTGTGCTGGTCGAGGATCGCCGTGCCAGAAGAGCCAGCATGGCCGTGACCGTCACGTACTTGATGCCCTCCTCGACCAGGCCCGCGGCCACGAAGGAGAAGAGCAGCATGAATGCCCAGTACCCGCGGCGACGGGCCATGGCGCGGCGTCGTTGCCGGTGGGCGTCGTCGGTGATGTCGTGCTCAGTTTTGGCCGTCTCGGCGAGATACGACATGGCGTCGTCGGGGAGGCCGTGGAAGCAGAGCAGGGCGAGCAGGTAGGCGAGCACGGCTTGCGCGAGCATCGCGACGGTGATGCCCACCGTGCCCGCGAGGATGTAGGTCCAGACCAGGATGCTCAGGTCTGTTGGCTGCTGGTGGGACCTGCGGCGTTGCTCGACAGCATAGAGGCAGATGGTCGGGGCACATGTCAGGAGCAGCGCGGCGAGGATGGGGAGGTTCAACCGTGTGGCGACGGGGGACGAGGAGGAGAGATGACCTGGAAGCAGATGAGTTGTTGTTGCATTTTTGGGATAGCCATCCTGTCTATGAGGCTCTGGTGTCGTTGAGCGTTCGGGGACAGTTTGGGTCGACATATGAGCATATCACGCACGGCGCCCAGAGCAGTCACTCAGGCTGTCCGGGTACTTTATAAAGGAGAGACCAGCCTTAGGGAGAGGCTTTGCCCTCTCGTGAGGGAGTACACGCCTCGCTCGACCCCTGCTCGTCGTATTCGTGATCGTGATCGTATTCGTGTCTGGCCAGGAGTGCAAGCCACAACACGTCGTGACGGCAGGGGACCGACCGGTCTGCTACCCAGCATCCTGGCTGCGCGAGTGCTGAGCCAACAATCTCCGTGCCGACGAGATGAGATCCGCCGTCCAGTCGTCGGCTGGGGATGTGTGACTGGGTGTCTGGCCCGAGATCTCCTCGACCAACAGCCTCCCAAAGTCTCTCGCCCACCAGACCCGACGTCCGAGTTTCTCGACCAACGCGCCCCAGTACATCAACACCAGCAGTGCGACATGGTCATTGGCCCTGATGGCGTTGACGTACTCCTCGCCGGCCATGTTGAGCCATCCCAGGATGTAGCCCTGATAGTCGTCGTCGTCGTGGCTGACGCATTTGGCAAAGCACTCCTCAAGCAGGGCGATGGCCTTCTTGCAGGCTTCGAAATGCGCGACCTGCTGGACTCGACGCTCGTAGCTATCGCCCACGGTCTGAATGATCCGTCTCTCGTTGGCCGTGTTGAGTTTTGACAGGGCCGCCGCGCAATCAGCGTCGAGCGGCATCCGGGGCAGGTTCTCGAACGGCGTCAGCTTCTGCACGTACGTATTCTGGGCCAAGTATTGCTCTGCGTTGTCTCCGAGAACGGCGGCGCATCCGCGCAGCAACTCGAAGTGCGTCAGCGTGTTGCGCACCATACTGTCGTCGTTGTCGCCGCCCTGAGAGCCACCGGCCAGCTCGGACAGGAACTGTGACGAGGCCAACGCGAGCACCATCAGCATCAACGAGAAGCAGAGCACGGTCTCGTAGCGTTCGAGGCTGGCAGCCTCTTGGAACTGAAGGTGGGCACGGAACTGGTTCAGCGCGAGGGTCTGATACTTGACGGCCGCCCCGAGGTATTTCGCACGGCGGCCACGTTCCCCCGAGGAGGAAGAGGAGCAGCTGGCGGCCGACTCGAAGGCGGCTAGGGCGAAGACGCCCGCGCACAGGAACTCGTGCTGCAGCGACCACCGCGGCACCGCCATCTGCCAGACGTAGTCGTCCTGCGCCACCTTGCTGCACATGCTCCTGTACGTCACCGTCGACCAGCGATGCATGAGCTGCAGCTCCAGCAGGCGATCCTCGTTGGGGAACAGCGGCTCTTCCTGCTCGTCCACGGACTGCGGCGGCAGGTCGGGACGGGGCTCACGTTCTGCATGTACACGGGCCCGGTCATGATGACCCGAGGGCAGAGTCTGTGGCTGCAGGAGGTCTGGATATGGCCCTGGGCTGGCGTACTCACACGTAGTTCCTCTGAGCCTGCAGCGGCCACAAGGAGGGCCCGTCTCGTCGCACTTAATGTGGCCGACCTTGCAGGTTAAGCAGCCACGGCGCGACTTCTGGTGCGATCGTCGTGGAGGCATTCTAGGCCTAATTAGCCTTTGGTTTCTCGATAGTTAAGATCAGACGGGGCCAGAACAAGTGATGGCACTGACTGGTTGTGGTGGGAGAGACGTTCGTTGTGTCTGCCCTGAGAAGCGAAAACGAGAGGTACGAATACGATCACGACGGGTGGAGCAATATTTACTCGGTATACAGTACATCCAACAGTAGGGGTCCAGGACTTAGTTACTCCATCTCTATATAATCTCATGGTGCCATTCCAAGTGCTTCAAACTTCACAGAAAGCTAGGGTATCGGTGGTCGTGAAAGCAAACGGTCGTGAAAAATAACTATCCCTTGTTCCACCCCATCCAAGCAAGCAGATCCTCATATACTTCGTGATCAACGGAGGAAGCCGTTCTTGACCAGCCATGCCAGCAGTCTGGGTTTTTCGACCCCCCACCCTGTCGAGTCTGCATCCCAAGCTGCTTCGACTCTCGCGACGGGACCTCGGACGACGCCCAACTCAGCCTGCTCAGACCTTCTTTACCGGACTCCGCCCTCAGCAACTCCGTCGTCACGGGCGAACATTATCCACGTCGCCCCCTGACCAGCAGCAGCAGCCCTCACAGCCACACCAAAGCCACCCGGATCCTTCCTACCCTCCGCTCAATTTTTCCAAACTGGGTGCGTCTCGCGCCGTCAGGATCACCGTCATCGCTTCGCTGCTCGTCTTGGGGACCATGGAGACGGTCTTTTGGACACAGACCTTGTGGCGGTACTTCATGTCGACTCCTCCATCGCTCGATACCACTTCGTCGTCCAGTCCACCGTCGGAGTCTCGCGAAGGAAGCCGATAGAAGTTTGTTGGGTTGGGATCCGAGGACATGTCCGTCTTGAAGCATTCCCCACCGTGTAATTTTATCACGTTCAAACTGTGAGACTCACAATCAGGGCCTCGAAAGAGGACCGGGCACCCTCGTTACATCACTGCTCGTTCCAAAATGTACAACTCATTCACCGGCGACCGCAGCTTTGCTCTTTTTCCTATTGTTCTCGATCTTCTCCAGCAGCTCCCCGACGCGGAACGGCTTGGGCAAGATATCGTCGACACCGGCCTCGAAGGCTGCCTCGATCTGCTCGGCCCGGACGTTGGCCGTGATGGCGATGATCTGGATGTGCCGTTTCAACTTGCCCTTGTGCTCCAGTTCCCGGATGCGCCGCGTGCAGGTCAGCCCGTCCAGGACAGGCATCTCCACGTCCATCAGGATGCAGTCGATGTCGACGTCCAGGTTCGACGACGCCGTCTCGATCTTCTGGATTGGTCGGTAGTCGTGCCACGCTCGGGTCCGGGTCAGAAAGTCCAGGGCCTCGATCCCGTGATTCGCGTTGTACACGATGCAGCCACCCCGCTCGAGCTGTTTGGTGAGCACCTGCGCGTTGATGATGTTGTCTTCGACGAGCAGCACCGAAGGGGGCCTCTCGGTTGCCGCCGTGCTGGGAGATGGTCTGACGGGTATCTTCGCCTTCAATGAGGATGGAGTACGCCGTGACTTTGGTAAGGGAGCGGAGTGTGGGACCACCTGTACGGGGTCGGCCGGAGCAGTTGCTCGATGTGCTCGCACGTAGAAGGCGAAGGTACTTCCTTTCCCCGGCTCGGTGATCACGCCAATCTCGCCGCCCATGTTCTCCGTCAGTTCGCGCGAGATGAAAAGCCCCAACCCCGACCCGCCGTATTTGATATGCGTCTTCTTCGTCCCTTGCTGAAACCTGTGAAAGAGCCGGGCCATCTCCTCTTGCTCCAGTCCCTTTCCCGTATCTGAGACGGAGAAAAGCAGATTTATTGCTTCGCCGTCACCTCGTCTGGGGCTCTGTAGAGGGAGTCGCCTTTGCTTCTTGGTGGGAAACCAAACGATATTGTCTATGCTCGGGACTTGGCCCAGAAATGCTGATCTTCGAATGGTAATTTTGCGGACGGCCTCGAGTTTAGTAAACTTGATCGCGTTGGTCAAGAGGTTGATGAATATCTGCGTCAACCGGACAGGATCAACGGACACCCAATCCACGTTGCTTCGTTCGAACGTGTCGTCGGCGACGCTTTCGACGGTGATCGAATGAGTGTCAAATTCTGCTCGAAACATCGTCAACACAGATTCGACGACGACATGTGGTTGAATCGCAACCGGGGTTATCGACAGCAGTTGAGAGTCCAGTTTCGATAGCGTCAGGACATCGTCGACAATCCTCTTCTGGTGCGACGCGCAGAGCAATATCGTCTTGGCATACTCGACATTTTCCTTGAGCAATTGTTGCGTCGCCTCTGGTGACCGATCTGAAGAGACCCAGTCGTTGAGAGACATCGTGATCCCATCTGCGAGTTGGGTGATGGCGGAGAGAGGATTCCTCATCTCGTGAGACACAAAATCAATGAAGGCTTCTTGCAATTTCCGCGCCTCGGTCGCTTCGAGCGCGAGGCGACTCTGAACTTCTTCGGTCCACTTGGTTTTGCTGATGTCGGTGACACAGCAGACGATGCTTTTGACTTTGCCGTCTTCGAGGACGGGGAACGCGTGTATCATTACCCAACAAGATTCTTCGTCTGGATGGGGGTTTCCAGCAGTGGCGGGGGGCCGCCATGTCCTCTGCAAGCGAAATTCCTGGCTGACAGGCCTCAGATCGTCCACGAGTTCGCGCCACATTCTCAAGATGCGCTCCTTCTCGTCGGCGTGGAGAGGCTCGACAAAGGAAAACTCATATTTGTCCTCGAGGGAGTGGCCGGTCATCTCGTAGTACTCTATTACTCATGTGTTAGCTCGGCGAGCGAGGAATAAAATGGCCTCCCCCGATCCAACGTGAAAAGCGTAATGATCTCGTCGAGACGACGACAAAACTTACGTCGGTTTGCCCACATGATATTCCCAGCAGGAGTAAGACGGACCATCCCCACGGGGCCGTGTTCAGCTATTTCTCTGATCTGCCGCTCACGTTCTTGCAGCTGGAGAGTCAGTCTTTCGGCGCGTTCGTGCGCCTCTTCGCGGTCGACCGCAAATGCAATGCAGGCCGATGCTTGTCGGCACAGGGATTGGATGAAGGCCTCGTCTTCCGTCTGAAAATGCCTCCGGGGGTTGAGGCCAAAGACGACCACCCCCAACAACCTGCTGCTGACGGAGACGGGCATGAGAGCCATGGAGATGGGAGTATCGCCGTAGCCACGCCAATCGAATCCCTCCAGAAATGTCGCCGGAAGGGTGTTGTCCGTATGATGGAGCACGATCGGCTTATTTGTGGCTTTCAGGCGGCGGTAGTAGAACAGAAACCCAGACGATCCTTCATAGATATCCACGTGTTTGGGGACCAGAGGATGTCCGCCCAACGGTAAGCCCAACGATTGTTGCAGCGTCAGCTTGCAGGAGGCGGCATCGTCTTCGGCAGAGTACGCAAAAGCCATGGGAAAGTCCTGTGGGTTCTCCCGTAGGGCTTGGAAAAGATGCTCCCACACCGAGCCATTCGGATCCGTGGGCGGCGCGCTGATGGAATAGAGCATTTTCGATCTCCTTTCTCTTACCTTTTCATTGGTAATCTCGGTAGTACGGTTGTAAAAGCCGTTCACTTTGCCATGCTCGTCGAGGATGGGCAGCAGGGTCCCGCTCCAGAAAGTCTCTTCAAGGCGGCCGTCAGGCTGCTGAGGGAACAATGTGACCTCCATGCTCCTCATGGTGCGACTGGAATCTTGCATCGCGCGAAAAAAGCTTTCCAAGGTCGACCAGGACTGTTCCCATATGTCCTTGAAGCGCTTTCCTTGTATGCCAGAACGGTTGTTGAGCCGCTGACACACATCGTTGTACGCCGTCAAATTGAAGCAGGCAGAGAACGAGGGCCCCCAGTAGATCACGGCAGGAGAGTTGTCAGCCAGCACCAGGCTGACGACGGTCCTCAGAGAAACAGGCCAGTCTTCGAGGGGACCGAAATCGGTCGCGGTCCAGTCAACCGCGGTCAAGAACCAACGAACATTCTCATTTTGGGGGAGATGGCTAGTCCAGCATTCAGTTTCTGGCTCTGTCTTCAGTGACTGGGGCGATGGGCGCAGCGGAAGCTTGGTCTTCTTCTGGTGTGCAGGTTGAGATGTGCGTGGTATCCAGTGGCCGGTTGCTTTGTCCAACACCGCCTCGCAGAACTGGTGATTGTTTGATGGGTATGAGTCAAGTCGAATCGACAGCTGTTCTTGGCCGTCTTTATCAACAAAGGACGATATACCCAGCTGTTCTAGGGTCCATTGACGACTAGACGGTAGTTTCGATTGCGGCAACGATTCTCCCGAGTCCATTCTCGTGAGGCACTTTCAGCAAAGCTCGACATCTTAAATAGTCATGTTCCGGGCTGGAAGCAGAAAGGGGGGCGCAACGGCTATTCCTCCGTTGTCCTGCAGTTATCTCGATAGCGTAAGAGCGGTGCCGCCGCCTGGAGTATACAAACCCCCGTACCAAATTGAACGTGTCCGAATGAAGGCAAAAGCGATCCCTCCCGCAGAAGCTGGAAAACGAGAGTGCCACATCAATAATGATTGGCAAAAGCAGCAAAGAGACGACAATGAAAAGATCCAAGTCTTCAGCCGCGCCGCCATCTTGCCAAGTGTTCCAACTTTCAAGAGAAAAGTAAGAAGTTGGCGGATGATCACCAACCTGTGTGAGTTTTTCTTTCCTTTCGGGAAGTCTCGTTTCCTCCAACGGCAGCGTGAAAGAGATTGAGATGGTTCACCATCTGTGACGATGATGTGGGCACAAGTCCCCTAAGCCAATTAGTTTTGGTGCACAGGGCGGCCGTCCCGCTTCGTTATGGGGTACGCCCATTGTCGATAAGATAGATGGAGACCGCCTTGATGACGGACTGGAGGAAAGCACGGGAAGGGGCAGACCCAAGCCCGTGATCGTCGCTTATAATACGGAGTCGGGAGAAGTTTCGCGTTGCCCTAGCTGCCAGGATGGACTGTGTAGGGCTTGAAATAACTAGCCCAACGCCACACTCTGGTCAAATGTCCAACCTTTCCGCCCACAACGAGCGGCTCGCGAATTTTACAGTTCAACGCCGCCCAGGTTCGTACGGTACGGATATGAAGGAAGTCCGTGGCACCACGCCTTGGTTAATAACAATAGATCGATCGCGAGATCTATTATCTCCTTTGCACATCAGCCTGCCCTGCAAACTCTCGGACGCCGGAAACTATTTGCTCATGCCCAGAGACCTCCGTCCAGGTCTTCGGTCCGTCATTGTCAATAGTCCGGTAGCAATCGTGATAACGATCCGACAGCGACTTAGAAGATAGCCGATCCTTTTGCTGGTGAAAGTCAGGACAACTCCATGTAGGCATGGGTGATAAAACCAAGTCTGGTAGCCCTCGTATGAACCCAGATCGGCGAAGCTGGGTTGGTGCACTCCGAATGAGGGGCTAGAGGCCTGTTGAATCTCGAAGCTGCCAGTAAGACTTCCAACATAAATGTGGGAAAACCCCGGCTAGGTTGGCGTAAGGCTGGAGAAGTATTTGTTTGAGATGTATAGGAGAATTGAGCGAATCGTTTGGACAGGAACCCAGGAATCCATTGTAGGATGTATCCTCCCCTTGCCAGCTTAGAAGTGGGAACGACTGCTCGTGTGGGAGGCATATGCGACGTATGCCGCATCGTGGCCCCCGGTGTTAAAGCAGCATATATAAGACCGCAGCGATGGCTGCATACAGCACTACGACGGGCCCCCGAAGTGGCAGGCGGTAGCCACCGGTCAGCTCTTCATAGGTAAGCGACAGATGCATTCATACAGAGTATGTTCGTCGAGCATTACTACAACACCACAGTGCTGTATTGTCAGTCGGCATCTGTCGAGGCCGACGATATTCGCTGACACCATGAGGGGCCATTCCTTTGAGAAGCCGCCGCAGATGTCTTGGTAGTGCTGACATCTCCCAGAATCCCAAAGGAGTATGTACCTCGCATGAGCCACATAAGAGCATCCCCACGGCTCTTAAATCCTCGAGCCTCGAATAGATTCACGTTTGTTCCCTGCGACTACACAGACAGCCTGTCCAACTCCAAGTCAACTTCATCTCCGTAGTCGAAACCAGGCCACGAGTTTGTAAAACTGCTCGTTGCAACTGCATCGCTCCAGTCCTTGATTCTGGCAGTAGCCAAGGCCACGTTGGATCCAGGACAATGACAATAGGAAATCGGGGACCTATTGCATACCATTCGGGCAATATATTCACGGCCAGCGATCATGGAGGCCGCGTCGAGGCATTCATCGTCTCAGCAAGTGGTGAATTCACGGCAGTGGGGACCAACGAGGAGATTCTAGACAAGGCACGTCGCGAGAACCTTACCATGGTTGATCTGCAGTCGCGATTTGTGATGCCCGGTATTCATGATGCACACGTCCATATTTTGGTCGCTGGTCTCTCGCGTCTCTCCAATGTGAAGCCGGGGATGGACGCAACCATGTCCAATATCGCTGAAAGACTCAAGTCGCCGTCCTGCGCCTGTGAACACGCCCACGCATATGGCGACTGGATAGTTGGAAGCCTCTATCGCATTGAGGATTTCGATCGCGAAGCACTGGATCATGACTTCCCCAAGACGCCAGTGATGTTGAGAGGAGGGGGAGGCCACGCCATGTTCCTTAACACCGCCGCTTTGGAGAGGTCGGGTTATAGTCTTTCAGAACCCGATGCACCTCACAGTCAATATTTCCGTCGGCCGGATGGAACGTTGACTGGTGAAGTCGCTGAGCTGGCCATGACAAAGGCGGTGCTGGCATTGCCAAAACCAGAAATGGCACATATCAAACGCAGTATTCTGCACGCAGTGAAGCTGCTTCACTCGGTCGGGGTGACCAGCTTTCAGGAAGCAGCGTCGAATACACTCATCCTCAAGGCACTGGGTGAGCTCGATGCCGCGGGAAGTCTGAAGATGGATGTGCAAACTCACATCGTGTACAAGCCAGAGCAGCTTGCGGAAGAACGTCTCGAAACACTGCACAAGACGCTTGATCAAGCAGAAAGTTTCCGGTCACAACATGTAGAGACTAATTTTGTCAAATTCATGCTGGATGGAGTCCCCCTTCATCCGTACTACACGCATGCGGGTCTCACAGAGGCTGGAGAGATTGACGAGAGCAAGATTCAGATCGACGACCTGGCGGAAGCTGTTTCGAAATTGGACGCCCGAGGAATGACATGTAAAATTCACTGCACCGGATTTGGCAGTACGCGGCGAGCTCTGGACGTGTACGAAGCTGTGAGGAAGACCAACAGTCGTGGACCCAAGCATGAGATTGCACATTGCAGCGGAGTGCACGACGGTATGATTCCACTTCCATCTGGAGTTGGGCAGACAACCGCTAATGCAGACAGATGACTATCCGCGCTTCCAGCAGCTGAATGTCACCGCCGAGATGTCTCCGTCGATGTTCTTCGTCCACCCGCTCACAGCCATGTCCGGTGGCCTGATGGACTGGAACTGGGGCAAGATGATCAGAAGCGGAGCTCATTTGACGGTGGGAAGCGATTGGGCGTTCCAGGATCCGTCAGTTCTGCCTGCCTGTGCCCTGATTCTGGACAGTGTCGCTGCTGCACTTCCTGCACGGGAAACTGGCACGAGTCCAGCAGCCGAGGCGATTTGCAAGATGCTGACTGTGGCGGGTGCTTTGGCGACTGGGCGGGAGAGCACGGCTGGAACCATTGAGGCTGGAAAGAAAGCTAACTTCATTATGGTTGACCGAGATTTGAGCAAAGGTGAATTTGAGGGGGCTCAGGTCCTGGGCACTTGGTTTGAGGGCGAGAGGGTCTATGAGAGCCCCTGACGAGCGTTGCAGTGTATATGAGCAGGCTGCTGCGTGAGCCAGGCATGGTGTTGTGGTGGCGTATCAGAACTGACTGGACTCATACACCTGCCTTGTTCTTGCTAGCAACAGAAGAAGACTCTGAGAAGTTACCTGAGCGAATGGTTATCAGGATCGGAACCCAGTCGGTCTTATATATAAAGCTGCGTCATATCATTAACGCATTTAGGCTGATTTGGTTCCACTGAGATTCGGAATGAACTTCAGCTCGCAATGTCCGCAGGAGGCTGGCCGTGCCTTCAGGACCGACATCATGAATTACATCGTGACACTGGCTGTCGTTGTCTTCTCTGCCGCTGCATGGGTTCTTCTCCACAGGCCAGATGCAGGCTTCGATCCACAAATGGTGCTTGCGAAGGGTTGCGCAATTACCTCCCGGTCCTGGGAGTTTGGCACTTTGACTGAAGCTCTCCTCGAGTTCTACAATCCCGAGCTGACCGTCTTTGGGTTGGATCCTTTTCCATACGGACATATTCCGAAAGTCACTGATGCCACAAAAGTCCAAGGTCTTGCGTATGCAAGTGCTGTGATATGGACCAACGGCTCGGATCTCTTGATCGACGGTGAAGGTGAGTCACCACTAGTTGTGTGATAAGATAGAGAGCATACACCCCTAGTGCGGTATGAGCCCCAGTCTCACAACAGGAAAGGTTCACCAGCGGATCCGGCGTCTCTGGGCACAGCCGCCGTGCTCCTATCCCAATACGACGAGGCGTACCTCGAGGCCGCGAAACGGCAGGCCGAATACCTCTTGACAAAAGCCAGGAGGTTCCACGTTCATGACACACCCGCGCCCATCTCGCACCGCGATGAGCCTCCCGAACTCTGGGGCGATTTCGTCTACATGGTGCCTCCTTTCTTTGCATACCACGGAGTGGCAGTGCAGGACATGCAGTTCTTGGAAACGGCCGTGCAGCAATGTCAGCTCTACGACGTCGTCCTCAGGACAAATATCTCACTGGAGGACGGGCGAACTTGTCATGGCCTGTGGAGGCACATCGTCTCAGAGCCAACGCAATTGGAGCCGGGAATATGCTGCTCAGATCCAGATGTATGGCTCACCAGCAATGCATGGGCTGTAGCCGGAATGACTCGAGTCTTGGCCACGATTCTGAAGTGGCAGCCTCCTCCAGGCAGTCCGATCCAGTACGACGAATTCAGGGCACGGAGCACAACGGCGTTGACAGATATCATCGATGGTATGTTGAAATGCACCATGAACCAGAGTCGAGATGAGAAGTCAGGTCTTCTGAAGAACTACCTGGACGGGCCATCACATCCAACTTCTGCCTGGGCTTATGGAGATGCTGCTGGCACCGCCCTGATGGCTTCCGCAGTCTATAGACTGGCAGTGCTCCTCCCAGAGGTCTATGGGACCCCGAGCTTTCTCGACTGGGCCGAGCAGAACCGTCACGCAGTCGCCAGGCATATTAGCCAGGATGGGAGGGTTGGCCCTGTAGCAGATGTCGGCCATGTTCCAAGTCAAAGTCCCGTCAACCAGACCAGTGAAGGGCAGAGTATGGCGATCCTGATGTACAGTGCCTGGCGCGACTGTCTGACTGCTGGAGTCTGCGGCCATCATGGGGCCCTCTGGGATACGATATTGAGGAGATTGACTGGGTGGACATACAGTACATAGATAAGACGAGGCTGTTACCTTGCAAAGGATTGGGATCTGGGGCAGCACGCAGCTATGGATCGTAACAACAAGGTGGGGTGATCAGACTACTGTGGAAAAGCAAATTGCCAAGGCCCCTCGGAGGGGTAAGTCCCCAGCTAAGCCTAGGCGCTTAGCTGCCTCGTTAGTTAATCCAGGTGGCTTCCCATGGCGACATCTGGGTCTCCAAAGCCCCAGGCTAGCCCGGCACAGACGGAGTTGGTGAGTTCTCGGGGCCCCTTTGCTGGGATCGCTGGGCTTCTCTGATTAGTTAGCGTCCCCTGCTTCCAGCGCCGGCCGCGCGGGGCAAGTAGTTTTCTAAGCACTCACTGTATGACCGCATGCCCACCATTTCCATTATCATACTGAGCCCGTGCCTGTGCATCCCACCACATCCACAGTGCATGCATGCGCAGCCAAAACGCTGTTAATCACCGTCCGCCTTCAAACCGAGCATCCGTCGAACTGCGACCTTGTGCACGCCGACTGACCATCACAAAGACTCTGCCCGCAGTTTATCTCTCTGCGTTCCCGCGGCACCGTTTGTTCGTGCTGCCCCTCCCCATATTGTCAATTTTTTCTGCCTCTGATGACAACCACCGGCCATGTCTGATTCACCCATTACAACTGCGCCCGTAGGGCCTCAAGAGAAGCCGATCCTGGACAAACTGCTCCTCATCAGAGACAAGTTGCTGCTCCTCAAGCAAGACAAAAGCACCTATGTCAAATCCTCCGACGTCCTTCCCTTGTACGAACAGGTCATCGAGCAAGTCTCGATACTCAACTCAGTCCGCGAACCTGCGAATTTACTCCAGAACCGGGTCGACACAGTCCTCGATGACTGTCTCCAACTTGTTTCGCTCTTCTTCATGGCTGTGGGACGGAACAACGAAGCGCCTGCGCTGTACGCCATGACCGGGAACATCACGCGCCTGTGCCAGCACCTCAAAGAAGCTGCATTCTATAGCAAGAGAGACTTGACCAGTTTGGAACACACTCTGGAAAAGATGCAGACCACTCTTGATCACGGCAAAGACAAGTACTCCCATCACCTGTTGACCCGCATCCAGTATCGCCTGGAAGTCTGCCGGGAAATGCTACAAGAGTTGCGCAACTTCCTCTCGACACTCTCTCCAGAGATGACCCCGATATGGGAGAAGCTGGTCTCCATTCTCCGGGCTATCGCGGCGTTGAATACAAGGAGCAAGGTACATACCCAGGTCACATATTGTCGCAGGCGATACTAAATCATTCCCAGTTCAGTCAGAAAGATTTAAACGAACTGCGGGAGCAGCTTCTGCAGATCCAGGCAACAATGAAAGACGGCAAACTCCCAAGTGAGCAAGGGGAAGTCAAAGGTGGGCAAGACTTGGTGGTGCCGCTTCTCGAAAGATGCCTCAAATTCACCGATATAGTCGAACAAAAGTACGTTGCCCATGCTTCCTTCCTTTTGTACCTTTTTCCGTTGACTCGTTTGGACCAGGCAAGGAAAAATAGACGAGCGATTCCAGGATACCTACGATAAACTCATTGAAATCCGCAACCAGCTCGATCGACTCACCATGACCCAAGCGTGGTCCCTCCGCGAAACCGACTTGTTTATGTGGCAGAGGAAATTGGATCGTATTGACGACTCGAGACGAGACGGCAATTTCTTTGACGCCGAGGGTCATCCTGCAGATCTACACGCGCAAAGAGTGAGTTGACACAATGAGCTGTTTGCACCCACAATTACTGACGCGCTGCGACAGACACTATTGTATCTGATCCGGCGAGGATATGCTTATATTTATCAGTTACTGATTGCATCCGAGCCCGTGTCGGAGGCTCTCCTGCCCATATACAATCAGCTCCTCACCCTGCGGAAATGCCTGGTCGAGGTCAAGAAGGCCGGAGGGGTGTCCAACCCTCGAGAATTGTATCCCTACAGTATGAAGCTCAACTCCATTGACAACATGCGAGTCGACGGCAAGTTCCAAATCGGAAATGATATCCCGGAAGGGCAAGGCAGTGTCAACGATCTTCTGGCGGAGTGCTACGATCTCGCTTATGAATTGAGGACGGCGGCCGAAGAAGGAACAGAGGACGAGTAAGAGAAGTGTGTGATGGTGCTCATATCCAGTCGAGGCATGAATCACGGCGAGCCGCTCAGGTTCGCACACTGTTCTTTTAAAGGCCGGTGATCTTTCTGCCTCAACGACCAAGGCTTCGCCTTTCTAAAGGCCAGTTCCTAGTACAGATACGCTTCTGCTTGCAACTAGGGAGTTTGTTGTATGGAGTAAGAGCGCCATTTTGCTGCGTTCCTGGCTCTCGAGGGGCTTTCTCTATTATACGGTAGCTTCTTCGTATCGATCGATCAAAGTTGAATTAGACCTTCTCCGTACATATCTAGGTGCAAAGGACCTGCGAACCACTGATGAGCTCTCGCCCTCGCTCTTCCCTGGTTAGCTCCCTTTCTTGTTGCTGTACGTATGACGTCGACCTGCCCAGGAAGTAGCCAACGCCCATTAGCATTTAATGGTATACGTATGTCAGGATGGCCCGAGGAATGGGGTTTGAGCAAGTCAGACAAAATCGCACTTTTGTCATTCTGGTCAGCTCTACTGTAGATCTGGGTAATCTGGGGGTCTGTCACATTAGTCAAATGACCGGCCTGACACATCGACTGATCTCCCGCTTGACGCCAGATTGGCAGCATTACAATCTTCGCTGCCATCGGGGCCGAGAGTTCCATCCAATCAATCAATACCATTTAGGACTTATTTCGACGCCGGCGTCAAACTACTAACCATACCAGGCTAAAATGCTGCCCATCACTAATGGTCATTGTATCCACAGTTTCTGCGCCAGAGGCACAAACCGCCAAACGTTTCCCCCTGCCGCTTGAGAGTTCGTGGGAACTCGCTGGTACAGCAGGACACATCCACCCTCTTCTGCCCAACGAGCAGCTCCCTTCTCGCCCCTCTCGAGCCCAGCCCAATGTTGGCCAGATCCAGCACCGCGTGACCGGCGTGCAGGCGATTGCGCTTATCGGAGGGCCAGCCCGCTTTCGACCCTAGCGAGCAACAGGACTTGCTGATACAAGTCTCCTGGAAGCAACTTCCGTAAGGCCTCTTGCTGGGACACAACCAATGCCCAGCCCACCCCGCAACCACAGGCCTGGAAATTTGATCCGGGAATACCAAAGCGATGTCTCAGCGTCTGAGGCCCATCACACCAGCTGGTCCCCCGCCCGAAGAGCCCGGCGGGCCGGCCAATCCAGCACGTGTGCGGAGCATCACCCGCAATGCCAGGAGCAACGCCACAGCCGCGTGCCTGGCGTGCAAGACCAGAAGAAGAAAGGTACGGGATTCAAGCCCGGCTTCACTGTTAAATCAGATTCCATGGCTGACATTCCAGTAGTGCACGGGTCCGCCGGGACCCTGCAATGCGTGTATCGCCTCGAAGTCCGAGTGTGTTTTCCAAGAACATCTCGATGGCAGACGCAAGGAGGCCATCAAGCGGAAAATGGTGGAGGGTTCAGAGCATCACCGCGATCTGCTGATTGGACTACTCCGGTCCATTCGGTCGAGTGACGAACATGAGGCTCAGCACCTCGTCCGGCTGATTCGAGATGAAGCACCACTATCAACAGTGAGTGACCCGTGGGCTTTTGTGCGTCGGATGGCAGATTCTCGAAACCAACCAGGGCATCCCTTCTGAGGCCCATGGCCTTGTAACTCCCACTTCCGGGTGGTCGACGCTGACCTTCCTCGGACTTCAGATCAATGCTTTTCTCGACGAGAGTGTCAGGAAGCTTCGTGAGAACAGTCCCAGGACTGAGGCCACCATCGATGGCCTTATCAAGCTCAGAGCCGAAACTTCCAGTCTGGCCGAGCAGATTCCGCCCAGTAGAGCGCGGAAGACGCCCATGAGCGTCGAGGAGATGACGGACGAGCCGCTGTTCCAACTCACAGCAAGACCCTGGACGACAGTCACAGACGATGACTATCTCGTCTCCCACCTGGTCTCCCTCTATTTCACTTGGTGGAACACCTTCATGCATCCACTTCACCAGCCTTCTCTGATAGAAGCCATGGCCGCTCGGGACACCATGAGCCCACTTTGCTCTTCCTTCCTGGTAAACGCCCTGCTAGCCCTTTCTTGCAGCTACTGTGACTTACCTGGAGCCTTCGCTGACCCTGACGATCCGGATACTTGGGGAGAGCACTTCTATGACGAAGCCAGGCGCCTGTGGGACCGCGAGGAAGGGCGCGCTTCCATGACCAACCTGCAAGGGCTGTATCTCTTGATGCTGTACCAGAATATGCACGGAAAAGATCAACTCGGTTGGTTGACCATGTCGCAAGTGGTCCATATGTATCAAGACATGGGCCTCTGTGACCGGATCAAGATACCACGTGATTGCCCGGCTGAGTCGGTGGACAAGATGAAAACAGCCATGTCGAATGTTTCCTGGTCGATATTTGTCTGCAACACGTAAGTCCGTTGATGGATCCATTGATTGGCCTGCTCTGCTCACTGAATAGGATTTTTGCTATTTTCCTTCTCAAACCCCCTACACTCCGGCCACCGAGAGTGGCGCGCCCTTTCAGCGGGGAAGACCTCCACAGGTCGGTAGAATGGAAGCCGTATCCTCGCGCAGAGAGAACAGATCCGCTCTATGGAGAGGCCCTCGTGAATGCTTATTGTGACTTGGCTGAAATAGCATATGAGGTAGCATTCAGGGTGCCCTTTGTTGAATCGAAAGACGGGAATGCACCTCTGCAACTGATGGTGAGGTTAGGTGCCTGGCATGATAACCTCCCTGCGACGTTGCAAGCCAGCTCCGTCACCCCGGGGCCATTGTTTGAGCTACAGTGAGCACGTTCTTACCCCCAGCGACTGTGTGCGTGAGCTGCTGTGGATGGTTCAGCTAACCAGATCAGCGCCATTTACTATTCGTGTTCTCTGGCCTTGAGTGAGGTTTCTGACCGCGATACCTCACCGGGCCCAACGCGCGGTCTGGCTCCTTCCTTCGTCGATTCGACCGCGGGCATTACTGCTCGCAGCACCTCCCTTCTCTTGATTCACCGCATGTTACCATTGTATCGACAATTTCGCCAAACATATGGCCTCGTCCGTGTGATGGCGGGCAGTTGCCATACGGCGGCCGTGGCATATTTTATCCTGCTGAAAGCGATGCGGGACCCGTCACTACGGTCGGAGGAGAATCAAGGCGCGCTCATCGACCTGACGATGTATTTGATGGTAGGTGCACGACGCTGGTTGGTGTATGCCGGTATGCTGCGGATGTTGCGCCCGACGGCGCAGTCGATGGGCGTCCAGCTCCCTCGGCAACTGATGGACATCTTGGACGAGTTCGACAAGAGCGTGTGGACGGTGGGGGCACATCGACGGATCCGCAGCGTCTATCCAAATCTCGCTCTAGTCAAGAAAGACTTGCGAGAGGATGAGGACGTGACAATGGGCGAATTGCTGGCGAGATGGGAAGCCGTGTTGGCGGACGGCGAGCCGGAAAATCGTGAAGATAACTGAAGGGGCGGCTCGGAGCCTACGCTTGGAGGGTCTCCGGCATTAAGTATACCAGTAAGAACGAGGGAGAGATTCGAGCCCGCTGTGCTCTGCAGCAAATGGTGGCCGGAAAAGGCTTCCAGGAGTGGCTCCCTTCGAAACGCTAGAGGGCCATTTGCCAGATTTGAGGCTTCGCCCTCGGTGAGACCACCGTTTGACTCTATCCTTTGTCGGTAATGGTATGCTCCAACTGCTCAAGATTCGGCGCAGATATAACAAAGATAGTCTCTGGAAGGAGAAGACATCTTCTGACCGACGTCGAACAGCGAGCAACAGGTGGATAGTAGAACGGAAAAGGAATCCGGTCGGCGTGGCCAATGCGCGGACAAAGTTCACAATTCCCTGGGCGTGCACGTGACTGATAGCGAGTGGCATTATCGGCAGGAGACAAAGGGGAGATCATCACCGTCAACGTTCACTACTACTGTCGCTCACTGACTGTCTTACGAAAGTCATTCCACCTTCCTGGCAGGTGCGAAGGCTGAGAATCGCTACTGGTACCTTGTTCTTCCAACACATTCGTAAAGGTCATTCGTTCACTGCCAACACGGCACCTGGCAGGATCCAAACCCACAATTGCCAATCAAACCTCATCCAAGCTATCAGAGACAGATACTGTATGTATAGACACAAGATGTCCAGCAAACCGTGCCATCAGGGTGAAATAGATGTATATCAAGGAAGGTAGCACCGTCATAAGTGAGGGATCAGCCACGGTGACCCACATCGAACCCGGTATCCATCTTGTCATCCCTGGGCAACAATTGGTACATGATTTCCCCTTCATGGTTCAGCACACCAAGATTTTTGTAACTCGGTGCTTGCAGACCCCCGTTCGCCACTTAGACGCCCCAAAACTTGCTCAGTCGTCAGTAGTGGTTAGGGAAAGGGAGACCATTAGTCGGTTATGAACCATGGAATGGTCTGGACCGACTCGACTAATCCCTACAGTGTTTAGACTCTGTGGCTGGGGAGCGCGCACTCAAAGCCCACATCTACGAGATATTGCGATATTTTATGGCTTTAGTGGATATGACCACCTCTCACTTCTGTAAGGTAATGAGTACAATATGTGTACGTGTGGTGTAGGGGAAAGGCATGATGGAGATTCGCCGTCAGCATAGTGCCTCGACCCCCCTTCCTCTACTTTCCAGTATAGGAATAAAATATCGTGCCAGCTAATTGGGCAGAGAGCTCGGCGCAATCTCTGTCGGATGGAACGATGGTGGCCAAGAAAAAGCCCCAATACGAGCCACAGCATACAATGCCGCAGCCTTCATCTATTCTGCGTCAGGCGCGCTTTGCACTAGTTAAATCAGCCCAATTCTTCTCCTATCTGACTCGTGAATACAAAAGAAACTGTGTGGTCCCTGCGATGCGGTTCTCACGACGCTATCCTGCTCCGTTCACCCCATTAGTTGGTCACGAGGCGGGCATGGCCCTGTCGAACAACCCGTACCTTGACCTGGTCATGCACGGCAGCGGCATCAATGTGGAATATCCGCCATCCACTTATTCTCCATCCACTTGACCTTGTCCCAGTCAAGCGTGTACCACTTCTCCGTGCTCCCGTCGTCGCCACGTGGCAAACACTTGAACAGGTATGCGGGGCCCGTCTCCGGGGCCTGGAGGACCATCTGACGGCGTTCCTTCGACTTGCCGTCAGGCATCTCCAGATTCGGCGCGCCCATGATGGTCACGTCGGGTGTTCCTCCCGTGCTTGTGTCGTCCCAGATCCAGACCTTGACGGGGAATTTGGGTACCTCTTTCAGGCAGCTGACGTGGAAGCAGGCGACGTTCTCCAAGGACGTGCGGTTGATGCCCAGGGGATCGGTCGCAGGCTCGAAGATGTCGCCCAGGGCCAGATACTGATCGCTCAGGGACACCTGAGGCGAGGTCTTGAGGGCGGGATACTTCTTGAGCAAGTCGTCCTGGTACGGGCTGTCGAAAACTGGGGTAAACATGCCGTACTGGTGGTCGCCGCGGCTGGCGTACCAGCGTCGTTTCGCAGCCGTCGCCCCGAACAGAGCCGGGCACGCATGTTCGGGGTCGAGGTCGAAATTAGGATTGCCTCGTACTGCAATGCACGAGCTATTGCCGTGGAAGGCATCCTCAAGCGCCGCCCCCTGCGCAAATTGGCCCACTGCATACCAACCCTTCGGGACGTCCGGATAGGCGACGCTCATGTCGTGCTTGCCGCGAGAATCTCGGTCGGAGAAATATGGCTTGAGAGGAACCCGGATCGCCAGCACATTGCATCCATCGACAGGTTGCGTCAGTGCCAGACGGGCCTTGATGGCTTTCTGCAACTCAGACTTTTTGGTCGCGTCGTCCACCAGCGTGTCGAGTGACTTGAGCTTGTACTTCACGACTGAAGGATTGGACGCCAGGCTCTGTCTCCAGCCGTAAAGAGCAGCTCCGTCAGGCGCAGTGCCGCCTATGGTCTTAGTTTTGACGACATCCATAGTCTTCAGGATGGTGTTGACGACATGGTCTTCGCTCTTGGGCTTGCTACTGACGTCGCCCACCTTGGTTCCGGTATCAGGGTCGTTTATTGGTGCCTAAATCAAGGATTCTTGTCAGTCACTGAAGAATGCATCTGCGATGCCATACTCGAATGTGTGAGTGGCTTTCGAGTGAGACATTGTTGGCCTTACCTTCAGCTCGATCGCATCAACTAGATCGGACTTACTGACAGTGTTCAACTCGTCAAGTGTGGTTGAGCTGATTCGAAGGCCTCCAAAACAGGCTTCCGTCATCTATATAGAACATTTAGTTGGACGTGTTCCGACATCAACGAAGTTGACGCAAGCAACTAATACGACAAGGTGGTGAGTTATTGACACGGAAAAGACTCACATAGTGTGTACCGAATTGATCCACGATGTTTTCCGCAGACCAAGTGGCCAAGGCTTTCTTGAAGTCAGGAGAGAGGTGGTCCCTGACCTCGTCCTTGTTCTTCAGACCGACCTTGTACACCACTTCCTGGTCGTACAGAGCCATGTATTTTTGGAAGGTCTCCTCTTTGGTATGTTGATCAAAAGTTCGTTTGAACTCAGCGCCGAAGCCGAAGAAGTTGAAGCCGAGGTCGATCGTGTCTGAGAGATCGTGCATGAAATCGACCTTGGAGGTTCCAGTCGCCGAGAAGGATTCAGACACGGTGCCCCAGGTCAAGTTGAGGTAGCTGGGAATTGTGTACTGGGTGGTTCTGGTGTCCGTGCCAGTGACAGTAAATGTCGATATCTTGCTCGGGTTGGAGATGCTTAGGTCGAATACATTCGCTTTGAAACTCTCCAGAGAGCCGAAAGCGCACGATGCGTCCAGTCCGCCGAAGCCGCTGAACAGGTTTGGTGGAAGGACTCCCAGCGGCGCGGCAGGCTGAGATGGATCCGTGTTGTCATTGCCAGTGACTCCGTCGAGAATTACGGCGGCTTCTTCCAGAATCTCAGCATCGGCGTCGGACAGAGGATGTGGAGGAGAGTCATCGAAGATTCGGGGATCCACATTGTCGTCAGCCACGGCTGTATTGCTGGTATTGACGATACTGAGGGGAGCTGTCTCCGCTGCGACCATGCTAGCCATGACAACGGGAGTGACAGGAGTAACTCCAGAAGTGACTGTAGGAGGGTTTCTCGGTGTGGTGTGAGGCGGGCCAGGCGGGACTGTAGGCTTGTCTGGTGAAGTCCATGGTGGCACGAATGTCCACTTCTGAGTACTATTCACTTTGGTGACATACACTGCAATTGTTTCGAGGGCATGTCAGTATACTTGATAGGAATGGTATGCTCCAGGGGGAATATCATTCCCGTCCGGCATCACACGCAGGAGTCGATATATTCAGCCAACGCTGGCGAGAGACACTCATCAGATTTGTTGACTTGGAGAACTTACTCAAGGGTTGGACAAAATCAAGGGTGATGTCTTGGTGGCCCAAGTAGATTCTGACATCCGTACCCCTCTCCCCAACCCAGATGTAGCCATGTAACCAAGGCCTCACGGCATCAAGCCAAGCTTGGCTGACTTGGCCGTTGGCGGCTACCTTGGGGATAGTTGTAACCGAGCTAAGGTAATCGTTGACCCTTGCTTCAATGATACTGTAGTTGTAAATCCATTGAACGAAAATCTGGTTGGCTTCGATGTCTGGAAGTTGACGACCAAATTGGAGGAAGTAATTTTGCATCACAAGGGGTCGAGGGCTGGCCATTCCCGCTCGCACAGGAATTCTGTGTTCGAATTCTCTCATCTCGAGTACGACCATTTTGGTTGTGTAGGTCCTGAAAATTGATCTGGTGCAATTGAAGTCAACGCAAACTGTTGATCGACCCGAAGAGGTGGACATGGCTGTAAATTTATATACATTGTTTCTCGGGTATCCTCCTTGTCAACGACGTTCTCCTATTCAGTTGCAGGGAATCCTTGTAGAGTGTCGTGTTCACATCACACCTGGTACAGCAGCCACACTCGCGCAAACCACAGCTGAAGAGTATGAAAAGGTGGCCGGACATGCTCGTTCCGAGCAAACGACTTGAGGGTCGAACTCTGACCGTGGTGCAGACCTCCAATGAGACTTGCATACGAGGTTCTGCCCCATGCCAAAGATAATGCCAATGTGTGATTCAGGTCAACTGAGAGGCCCTCAGGGTTTCAAGAAAGCCGTTTTCAGGGGAGCCCAACTTGCTCCTTGCCAGCCATTCAGTCGCTTTCAGTGTCAAATCTCGTATCGCTGAGTCTGAAGGCTCTATCTACTTGCTTGGCATGGTAGATAGACACCTCTCATCTGCGGGAATACTCCAATGGGTGCTCCGGGCTGCGCAAGCCACTGTTTTTCTGTAACCGAAGCATCAGTTTCATTCAGAGTTTGTTAATTTTCTGCAGTATTGTGTGGCTCGGGAAGCCGCCGCGGGTACGCCATGGTAACCAACGGAGAATTGCCCATACCTCCCAAGCAATAGGAGCGAAAGGTCGGGTCACCTGGACCTATATTCGAGCTCGAGACATCCACACGCCATTAAACATGTGGTACACGGGTCTCACTTGGAAGTCTGGGCCCTGCCATCGCATTTGGGCTGGCTGAAATGCACAAGATATCACTTGAGTCTCCACAGAAGGCAGGAGTCGAGATCGTTTTGTCGAAGTGAATGTTCTCATGGTAGGTTCTCGCGGCTGTAACGGGCAGGCCTCGATTAGAGCGTCCCGACGAATCAGTATCCCAATAAGGCACCTGTCTTGGTTCTCCGACTATTTCGACGAGGAATTTTGATGCACAGTCTTCGTATATGCTGAGCGTGAATGCTGATGGCGTGCTGAATCTCCCAAGTGTGTACGTCAAACCTTCGCTTCCAAGGGCCCCTATCCACGACAGATATGCTGCGAAACCATAACATGCAGCGACCTTCCTTGAAGCGAGCTGCTGCGTCGGTTGATTCTGTGTGGGCGCAATGAAAGCTAACAAATGATGATCAGGAGAGCCAGTGCCAGCGTCAAGGAGAGCTGATGGACAGACACGAGGCGGTGAAAGAGTTGGCCGCGGCGGTACGCCACATAGAGTACCATTGCACTGACAATGTGCCAGTAGGAACGCTGCTCCTCGTATTCTGCACGAGCCTGGAGGATTCTAAAGGTTTGTTTGGTATCAGCTGAGAAACAACGGAGTCCTTATCCCTCGGGGACTACACGACGCTGTTTCAGTCTCTTCCGCAGCAGGACAGCGTACAATACATGCAGAGGTTTCTGACAAGACCAGATGAGGATATGGGCGGCAAGGGAGTATAACATGGAGAGCGAACTGGAGCAATCAGGCGAGAGTAGACTCGGCGATCAACCAAGCCGCTAGACAAACCCAAAAGGCTCCTAGGCCCGAACGGTCATGGGTTGCTTAGGCACGGGGTTTGGAGGCTGGCGGTGGCTTACCCAGCGTGGCTGAGATGACGTTCTTGGCTCGCTTGAGCGTCCCCGGGGTTCAAACAGAAGAGTTAAACCTCTCATAGTTGAAGCGCAAGTCCAAATCCCGTCGGGAACGTATACCAAAGTGAGGTGGTGATCTGTCGTCTATCTGAAATCAGAGAAAGCTAGGCCCTTTTGGCTGTTCGAGAAAGTGTATCTGAATGCATCACAACACCAAAACCAAGGCCCGAGTTGTCAGTCAACTCTGAATTTTGAGCAATGGCACAATTTCTGGGCCTCTTTATTTGATGTCTTCTGCTCCAAATACTCATCATTGTAAAAATGAGACAGCTTTGTCAACTCCCTTGTCGGCCTCACCAAAGAGCAGTTAGATTGACCGCGAAACTGAATGCCTCATTTCATTGATCGATCTTTTGTATCATCAATAATGTGGCAAATTATTGCTGTGATGGTGAAGGTTGGATGTGCTGAGGTCGAGAGCCTGGACAGAGGGATCGGAGATCCGGAAGTGCAATTGCCTCTCAAAGGTCTTTGACAAACAAGCAGGAAGTGCAAATGTATTTGCATCGCTATACATTGGGAACCCCAGTGATAGCCAACCTGTATACTTGCGTTGTCCGTCAGTATCACCCAGATGAGTCGTATACCTAGTCTCGACTGTCGTCGACGACCACAGATCCAGGACGCTGGGTGGTGGGATTGCATTCAATAAACACCCCCCTTACACGCGCAATGCCGACATAGGTTAATAACGCTCGTGCCTCAGTCAACCACGATAAAGCAGCACAGCGGGTGCCTTGCGTGAGATATGTTCCAGTACTTGGCTCTGGGGATGGTGTGTTGGTTCTTCGGTGCCCACATATAGTGTCTATTGGTTTACGTGCAGCAAATTCACAAGAACCGCAGCGATGATGCCGTTCGCCTGCCACCCTTCAAGGCGGAATGGAATAGCGGGCTGAATGATCCGTGCTGTAGAATGGGAAAGGAGGAGTGCAAAGGCAACCAATAGGACCATAGCCGTTTATGTTGACAGGATGCCAAGACTCGGTACATCTTCGGGCCGGCCATTGAGATTATTATTTCCTTTGCTTCTCCATTTTCCCCTCCGAAGCTCGGAGACACGCATTTGCTGGCTGCTTCTTCTCAGACAGCACTCTTTCAAGATGCCGGCCCTACTGCAACGTGTACCAGCGCGAGCGAGATGTCCGCTGGACTTGGGCTCTTGCTTCAGAACACGGATATCATATCTTCGTGGCTATGCCACTCTGCAGTCTTCACAACCGCCTTTGCGGCGACGAGCTGCTGTTCCCCCTTACCAGAAAATTCTGAAGACCTTCGAAGATGTCAGAGAGATCCTAGGCCCCCAGAAGCTGACTCTGGCCGAGAAAATCCTGTATTCTCATCTCGACAACCCCTCCGAATCTCTATTGACTGGGACCGACAATGGCAAAAGCATTCGGGGCAAAGCCAACCTCAAGCTCAAGCCCGACCGTGTCGCGATGCAGGATGCGTCTGCACAGATGGCCATCCTTCAATTCATGACATGCAACCTTCCCAGCACCGCCGTACCCGCAAGCATCCATTGCGATCATATGATTGTGGGAGAAAAGGGTGCAGACGTAGATCTTCCTAATTCCATCGAGGGCAACAAGGAGGTGTTTGACTTTTTGGAATCAGCTGCAAAGAGATACGGGATTGAATTCTGGCCTCCTGGGGCAGGCATCATACATCAGTCAGTGTTGGAAAATTATGCTGCTCCTGGCTTGATGATGCTGGGGACGGACAGTCACACACCTAACGCAGGAGGCTTGGGTGCTATTGCAATTGGTGTGGGTGGGGCTGACGCAGTTGACGCTCTTGTTGATGCCCCATGGGAGCTCAAAGCTCCGAAAGTTCTAGGAGTTCGTCTAGAAGGCAAGCTCAGCGGCTGGACTTCGCCAAAGGATGTAATCCTCCATTTAGCCGGCAAGCTAACTGTGCGTGGCGGGACCGGGTCGATCATCGAATACTACGGACCTGGAGTCGACACGCTGAGTTGCACAGGCATGGCCACGATCTGCAACATGGGTGCAGAGGTAGGGGCTACGACGTCGATTTTCCCTTTCTCAGAGAATCATATCCCTTATTTGCAAGCTACGGGACGAGATGCCATTGTCGATGCGGTCAAGGGCATCGCATATGGCTCGGAAAAACACAACTTCCTGCGGGCCGACCAAGGCGCGGAATATGACCAAAGCATCACAATCAATCTAGCTACACTCGAGCCGCATATCAATGGTCCTTTCACGCCGGATCTGTCCACACCTCTCTCAAAGTTCAAAGATGCTGTGAAGACCAACAAGTGGCCTGAAAACTTTTCCGCTGGGTTGATTGGCAGTTGCACGAACAGCTCGTACGAAGACATGACCCGTGCCCAGGACTTAGTCAAACAGGCCCAGGCTGCCGGATTGAAGCCCAAGTCTGATTTCTTCATCACTCCAGGAAGCGAACAGGTACGCGCTACCTTGGAGGAGAGTAAGACGCTCGAAACCTTCACGCAGGCTGGTGGCACCGTCTTGGCGAACGCCTGCGGGCCGTGTATCGGACAATGGAAGAGAACAGACGGTGTCAAGAAAGGCGAAGACAATGCCATCATCTGCTCCTACAACCGCAATTTTCCGGGTAGGAATGATGGCAATCCTCGTACGATGAGTTTCCTTGCTTCGCCAGAAATTGTCACCGCTATTTCATATTCTGGATCGACTTCTTTTAACCCAATCGTCGATGAAATCTCCCTACCCTCTGGTGAGAAGTTCAAGTTCGAGCCTCCGAAGGGCGCACAGCTCCCAGGCTCTGGCTTTGCTATCGGCAATCCTGCATTCTACCCTTCCCCTGCTGAACCAGATCAAAGCGTGGAAGTCGTCGTCGACCCCGAGTCTGATCGACTGGCTATCTTGGAGCCGTTCGAACCATTTCCAGAAGGCGAACTGAAGGGCTTAAAGGTCCTGTACAAGGTCAAGGGTCAGTGCACGACAGATACCATTTCAGCCGCTGGACCATGGCTCAAGTACAAGGGACATCTTCCAAACATTGCTGAAAACACTCTCATTGGTGCAGTGAACGCTGCGACCGGCGAGACCAACGTTGCATATGACAGCGACGGGTCCACCTCGTCTATCCCTGAACTTGCAAAGAAATGGAAGGCCAGGGGACAAAATTGGCTGGTTGTAGCTGAGGACAATTACGGCGAGGGGTCCGCTCGGGAACATGCAGCACTTCAGCCACGGTATCTCGGAGGTCAAATCATTCTGGCAAAGAGCTTCGCACGCATCCACGAAACGAATCTCAAGAAACAGGGAGTAGTGCCGTTGACCTTTGTCAACAAGGAGGACTATGACCGCATCGATGCCTGCGACCACGTCGACACAGAGGGGTTATGGGATGTTCTGAAGAACGATGGCCAAGGCGAAATCAACTTGAGGGTCACGAAGAAGAACGGTGAGACGTTCACAATCCCCGTCAACCATACGCTGAGCAAGGATCAATGTGGCTTCATCCTGGCCGGATCTGCCCTGAACCTGCTTGCGAAACGGCAAAAGCTTGATTGAATGCAACGGCAGCGTTTGTTCTGCGGGCAAAAGAACAATTCTCTTTAGCTGTGTGGAGCCTCGTCGCCGACAAAGAGATGGTCTTGGCGCCATAGACCTCTGTGATTGGCCACATCAGCACCACATAACGAAATTCAGGTTCTTCGCGTTTATCCAATGTGATGTTCAGCGAAATGCCCGTGCCTCTGATCCGCCAAAGATGAGATTGTTGATCCCGTTATGGCGATGCTGAATCCATGTGTTTTGAAACAGCTGGACCGTTTGTTTTGGTCCTGGAACCACGGCAGCAAGTGTTGGCTATCGACGCGTCTATTGCGGCGACGAAGAATCATGTTCTTATATAAGAACAACTCATCTTGGCCGCGATATGGCAGCGATATCTGCCAGACGACAATCTGAAAACCATGCTATCACCTCTTGTCATTGCAGCAATATTCGTCTGGGCGCGGTTGGCGAATGCCTGGGGCACTCTTGGGCACGAGACGATCGCATGGATTGCCCAATCATATGTCTCAGACACCACAAAGGCAGCAGTCCAATCGATCCTAAGCTCAACGCAGTCCGACTATATGGCCAATGTGTCTACATGGGCTGATTCATACCGGTACACCAGCGAGGGTGAATGGTCCGCGCCACTCCATTACATCGATGCGAACGACAACCCTCCAGAGTCATGCTCGGTGGTCTTCAGTCGTGATTGTGGCGACGCTGGATGCTCGGTCTCGGCCATTGTAAATTATACGTCCATCTTGTTGAACGACGAGTCCAAATCTTCGACCCAATTCGACGCCATGCGATTTATCATTCATTTCGTTGGAGATCTGCATCAACCTCTTCACGACGAGGCCATCGATGTCGGAGGGAACACCATCAACGTCACCTACGACAGTGAAAAGACCAATCTGCACCATATTTGGGACACGGAGATTGTGGAGCAGTTGGCAGATGGCCAGGACGCCGAGACGTTCGGGAAGAATCTCTCCGCTGCGATCAAGGCGGGCGACTACGGTTGGGATGCCAGCAGTTGGCTGGATAGTATGAGCTTGAATGATACGCAAACCACGGCCATGAGCTGGGCGAGTGAGGCGAATGGCTATGTGTGCACCGATGTCCTCGCTCCAGGTATTGATGGAGTTGAGCAAGGGGATTTAAGCGGCACCTATTACAAGGCCCACTATGATGTGGCGAGGATTCAGATTGCACGGGCTGGCTATAGGTTGGGCGCCTGGTTGAACTTGATTTACACAGGCCAGGCAAGTGATTGATGTGACTGGCAAGTCTTGGAATAGAACCTGGGAATCTACCACGTCAGCGCCCGGAAAACCGGATTTGATAGAAGTCGCTGGGCCAAAGATAGCGGCCGACCTTCGCAATTCTTACCCAAATACTCAGCCTCGATGCACTTGACGACAAGGCGCTGGTCGCTCTGTCACCTTGCGACCAAGAGGGCACAATGACCGTTCTTTCAAGATCATATGCTCCACTACATACACAAGTTCAAGACAGTCAGCTCTCTTATATCCTGGCGCTATGGCGGTCAAGTACGAGACGCAGATACTCAGTACCACGACCACCAGGAGCCGGTGCACGCCTTAAGACTTGCAATCTTGTCAGTCAGCAGGAGGATCATTACTTCGTTTGACGGTAAGTAGGGCGGCAAGCTTCACACCCGAACGACACCACCTCTGCCACCTCTCGTTTGCATGACCAGGGACTCAAGGGTGATCTTCGGAGGTCGTCGGTTATGGTCTACTGTCAGTCAAAGAGACATTTTTAATCGTCGTGGAGTTTGGTTTGCTGTTTCCCCCTGACGCCGCGCTCAACCTGATCCGTCCAGCATATGCAATATTCGACTGGGCATCCGTGACCGTGGAGTGATGAGAAAAACGACATCACAGGGTACTAGGACCGTTGCGCGAGTGGAGGTGCCCGTGGGCCTCTGCAACACAGCTGGGCGTTGCGGTCATATATCAACATGCAGGGATAGGCCTGGTCGATGGTGAGGCAAACTCCCACCTCATGTCAACCTGCATGGGCTAGTAGTCACAACTCAGCATGAGCCTCCTTGCATTTCTTCTCCTTCAAGATCATCATCAGCAGGGAGCATGACTGCATGGCTCCCGATCCTCCTTCCTCCAACTTTCATCAAGTCGCTTCTCTTCAGTCCGCTGCCTTGGCCCCCCTGGGCAGGTAAAGCAGGTATTGCGATTCTCTCGGGATCGCCGATACCCTCAGAGGATTGTGGTGGATACATGGAAGAAATGAGGAGCCAGGACGCGTCAACATCTGTGCTGTGCTGTGCTAAGTGCGGGCTGGGGGCTGAGATCGGATTGGCCTAGGACACACTTGAGCTGAAAAGCTCGTCAGGCTGAATGCGGGGAGGCCTTTACTCATGGTGGATTCCAATCCGGCAACCCGGCTTGAGGCAGAAGGTGGCTTCGGGTAAAGCGAGGGGGCCATGTTCGCGGGGCTGAGATGCATTGATATAGAAAGAGATGGAGGATTCCATCAGGCGCGACACTTTATTTTTGACGCAGCTCGACCCATTACCGGCGGGGTTGATGCAGATATCTGGTACCTAGCCGAAAAGAGAGTGGACGCGGCCAGAAGGAGCAAGAGGAACAGGTATGGCGATTGGCAGGGTCAGAGCCCAATGCCCTTTGCTCTTCGGGTTAAATTTGCGAGCCCATCTGACGCGTGGAGGTCGATCTTCTGCAGAGTGAGTAAGTGCTCGTAATATCAATACCCGAGAGTGTCTGTAGATCTATATAGATTGGACCGAGTTTTGGCTGCACCCCAGCAACCAGACCAGCAGACGACAACACCATCGACACCATGCTAGAACAGACTCCTTTATACTCTATACCCTGAAACCGCCTTAATTGTCCTCATCCCTCATCCTCGACAGACAGACAGACAGACGACCCGACAAGGCTCTTGAACCTGCCCTGCAGGCCCCTTTTCTCCGCCCCCCCTTTGTGCTTTTGGCTTCCCCTTTCAGTCCCATCCACGGTTTCCCTGCTTCCCGTTTGGGGGCCTTTGGCGGAGAGAGGCAAGAGGCGAGGGCTAAATTTGGGAGGAAGTTGCTGTTCCCATTGCCTATCGCTACGACTCGGCCGCATTGCCTCGTGGCGTCATTGATCTATAGCCGGCCATATTGTAGGCAAGCCCAACACGAGTACGAGGCCCAAATTCGGAAGCCGCTCGTCTTCTCATCAGTCAACTCACTCAACTCACCATCACAGGTCAAACTTCCACCCCCACATCAAAAGCTTTGTACCGAGTACACGCATCCACACACACCTATATACTGTTACCCTTTGCTCCGTACTTGTCGGACACCCTCGTCGCCAACCTCACCATCACCACCACCTCTCCCACTCCCACACCCTCTGTGTGCCGTTGATGTGTCTTTTACTCCGTCGTCGCAGACCACCCGCCGTCCACGATCCACCGTCAGCACTTTACTCGGCCTGACCCTCCGATTCGCATCCAATCCTCTACCTCTCGCCTGCAACACGCACGGGAAGTCCTACAAACGAACTGCGGCGCAGAACCAGCCATCAGAGGACTAGGCACACCCCGTCCGAGTTAGCAACGAACCGAATCCTCGGTTACCACACCCCCCAAACAAACGCCACAATCCTAATCCTGATCCTTCCGGCGTTTGTTTTTTCTCCCTCTCCAACGGCCATGCCGGCCTACACTTCGCAGCCCAGCCGCAATATCCTCATCATCGGCTCGACGGGCGTCATCGGCACATACATCACACGGGCGATTGTCGACGCCCGGGAAAATTTCGACCGGATATGTGTCTTGACCAGTGAGAAGACCCTGGTGGAAAAAGTGCAGGATATCGCTGCGTTGGAGGCATGGGGTGTAGAAATTTTCACCGGGAGGTTGGAGAATGAGTCTGCAGTCAAGAGGGCGTATGAAGGTATGTTACACACGTCTTCCCCCGCCGAAACCGGCAGGCCTGCAGCAGCAGCATGCAGGGCACAGATCCCACCGCGAGCCTCAACTGACGTGCGACGACTCGCTCAACAGGCATTGACACCATTGTCTCCTGCGTCGGCCGTGGGGGCATCGAGAAGCAGATCAACCTGATTACCTGGGCCGACCAGGTGGGCGTGCGTCGCTTCTTCACCTCCGAATATGGCACCGACATCGAATACTGGCCCGAGTCCGTCCACGAGCCGCCTCACCAGCTCAAGCTGAAAGTGCGGGCGCATATGCAGACCATGAAGAGGCTGGAACACACATACCTGGTCACGGGCCCTTACAGCGATCTGTACTTTGGGACCATGAAGGCTCGACCTGAGCTGGGGCAATTTGATGTCAAGGAGAAGAAGGCCATTTTGCTAGGAGATGGCGACGGACCCGTCAGTTTTACGGCCATGGCTGAGTACGTTTCTGCCTCTGTCCACCCTCCCCCTGATTTTGATGTGCTAAATTGTGTCGTGTTGCAGTGTCGGCAAATTCGTCGTCGCAGCACTCATGAATCCCAATGCCTCTCGAAACACAACCCTTATAGTGCACTCGTTTACCGCCACACCGCACGAGATTCTTGCCGAATACGAACGGCAGACAGACAGCAAGTGGGAGAAGTCATACACCTCGCTCGACCGGTTAAAACAAATCGAGAAAGAGGAATACCAGATCTACTCGGCCCTGGCGACGGTGGTCACATTGCGGCGCATATGGACCGAAGGCGGCACCTTATACAAATATTACGACGAAACGATCCTGGGCCAGATTGAAACGGAGACGCTGGAGAGCCAAGTGGCTGCGAACATCCGGAAGCAAGAAGAGGGCGAGGGACATTTCCCGAGTCTAATGCGGAAGCTGAGTCTGTACTAATACGACGGTCAAAGTCGAGATGACGGGGCGGGGACGAGCGAGTTTGCTGGCTGTGCATGCGTCCTTGAGCATTTTGTTGCTATTCATGGCATGTGTATGTGGTTAATGGTGCCCAGGCCACGGCGCCGCGCATTCCTCATGAGGTGCCACTCGTGCTGAGGCAAAGGAGTCAGTCGTTTACAGAGGTTGCCACCAAGGTTTTCAACCCAGGGGGTTCATGCTCTTTTCAGTCCAGTGTTGAGCGGCGATACAAAGTGTGTATACATATACCCAATTCGATGTGCAAATTACAGCTACAGAACAGGGCCTTTGTAATGGTATCTTGTACTTGAAGCCGATAAACGGCCCGTGCCTTTCATATAGCCGAGGCATGAGCAGAGCCTCGAACTCGGAGGCAGCTGATTCGTAGAGAGGGTGTTGAAGGATCGCTTGCAGACCGGCTTATATATATGGGGGGAACAGAGGCGACCATGTCGACCTGCCATTTGTCCATCAATACCTTCCCGATAGGATATGGGATATAAGCCCAGGCTCTACCGGGCCGTGTTTGTCAACGTCGTAGCTGGAGTAGTGGCTGTGGATCAACATGTCGTTGTTAGGGCGCAACCAATGACATTCCCCGAGTTCTTTCAACGTAGATATGAACCTCGCCTATACCCATCCATCCATTCCTTTAACCGTCCCTCTCTTTTTTCCCCTTTGGCTCTCTCTCCTCTTTTAGAACATATTCTTTGTTTGCAGACATAGACGTACAGGACATACATACACAGATTCGATTGGTCTGGCTAGCTCATTACTCGCTAGCATTTTCTTTTGTACGACCTAGACTCGACGGGAAGAACTTGCCGCACGATAAGCGTGGACGATACAGAGAGACAGACAGAAAGAAAGAAAGAGAAAAAGAGAAAAAGTGCGTGGTGTTTGGGAAGACCTGTCCTGATTGAGATATTCTGTCTGGTTTAAAAAGTCTTTCTTATCTTTTCGCCAGGATCAAGAGCCGAGGAAAATAGAACTGAGGGAAGGGATCAACTCAAGGTCTGCAGCCGTGGTGGTCGTTCCAGTTGCTGCTGAAATCTCTACGTCTCTGACCATCATCTACTCTACTCCGTGTGTGTCGGTAATGGTCCGTTGATGCTCGGGGTATCACGACTCTACGGGACAACACAGGCAACCACAGTGCACAACTTATCTTTCTCTTTCTCGAAGAAGCCCTGTCAAGCATCAAGCGCAGTTGCCTCGGGGATTCGATCTGTGTGCAAGACCAGGTCGTCTTACAGTACTTGCTCACTAACGACTCGGAAGACCAGAGTCTCTGCGGTACATACATCCCCCAGTCGGTCGAGTATTTTTACTTGGACCAAGGCAGAAGACAACTCCTCCTTCTCACTCTTCAGTCACCATCCTTCTATCAAACCCCACCAAAGGAAACTTTCCTCACCCCGATCATCAATCTTTAGAACTTTCACCATGGCCACGAACGGGGCGACCACGGCCCTCTTCACACCTGGCCGTCTCCCGCCCGGCAAAGACAAGCACCACATCGTGGTCCTCGAAGGCATCCACGCCACCATGCCCAGCTTCGACTTCCCACACACGATCGACGTGTACCCACGCACGTCGCCGTCAGACGTGGCCGAGCGAATCAAGGACGCCACCATCGTGATCGCGTGCGTGGTGCCAGTGACGCCGAGTGACATGGACCACGCACCACACCTGGGCGTGCTGGCCGTCATGGCCGTGGGCATCCAGTGGGTGGACAAGGCGGACTGTGCGCGCCGCGGCGTCACCGTGACCAAGTGCCCTGGCGGCAACGTCGACGCCGTCACCGAGCACTTTTTGGGCCTGTATTTCGCCGTGCGCCGACGCGTCGTGCAGGTGCACAACGCCACCACCACCACCACCGAGTGGCTCGACAAGGGTACGCTCACGAAGTTCTGGCCCACCGGCCCGCCCCGGGGCTGTGGCCAAGAGACCCTGGGCATCATGGGCTACGGCACGCTGGGCACGCGGATCGAGAAGCTCGCACAGGCTGTGGGGTTTGGCGAGGTGCTGGTGAGTGAGAGGAAGAACGCCCCGACCGTGCGTCCGGGCAGGGTGAGCTTTGACGAGGTCCTCAAGCGTGCCACCGTGGTCTGCGTGTGTCTGCCCAAGGACCACGACACGATTGACCTTATCGGCGAGAAGGAGCTGCGTACGATGCGCAACGACGCCCTGATCATCAACGTCGCGCGCGGCGGCATCGTCAACGAACAAGCTCTCGCCCGCGCGCTGAGGGAAGGCTGTAGCGCTGGTGCCGCGACAGATGCTCTGGAGACGGAGCCTGGGGGCCCTGGCACGAGTCCACTGATCCCGGACATGGCCAAAGGCGAGGGGCCAGTGCCGAACTTGACCATTTGTGAGTAGTTAAGCTCGTCTTACTTGCAAGACCTTCCCTTTCCCTCCTCCTATTTCATCTATGATGGTGACGTTATACTAACTGTCTCCTCTTCATCAGCATCCCACATCGCATGGTTCACCCAGTCCACGATCCAGAACTACCAGCGCCTGCTCAAGGAAGGCATCGAGGGCTGGGTCAACGGTACCTTGCAGGAGTCGGCCGACAAAGTGCACAAGGTCGTCGTGGTGCACAACGGGCGTATATGGAATTGAGTAATTCATTCCACTGCATGTGGGCCCGATTTCGAGTAGTCTCCTCGCGTACCCACGAGGCGAGATCTGACAACGGCGGGAGGGGCTCTCCAGGAGCTACTGTCCTCCTATTCAGAGATCAATATGCTCTACCTCAAGAAACTTGACTGGGCTAGGTGGTGCGGTGCTGTGCTGTATTGACACTTTTCGGGATCCCGCGCTGGAAGAGCACATGCAGTACGTGGAGAGAGCGATGATGATGATGACGACGGCGGCGGCCGTGCATGATCCACATGCTAGATGTTTTTGACCATACGGCTGTGTCGTGCAAGCGCAGAAAAGGGGCATGGACGGGGTGGTGTGCCTTTGGTAGCTAGTATCGTGCTCAGCTCAAAGAGGAGAAGGTATTATCACTACCTATTGCATAGCTTGCGCACAGATTGTGCTTCTCTAGAGTGCATTGAGCCAGAAAGGAAGGACTTCTCGGAGGGGCATGGATCAACAGTAGTTAGTAGTGGCAGTGGCAGCAGCAGCAGCAGCATCAAAGATCCAATGAATCAATCAATCAATCAATCACTACAAGAGAAACACACACCGACCGATCTCATCAAATGGGATTTGTTTGTATCGGAATGAGAAAAGAAACCAGGGAACCGGGAGAAATCAATCAATCAATCAGTCTCCTTATTGGATTCAAGCTAAGCTAAGCTAAGCTACAGCACTGTGCAGAGAGGCACAGCACAGCACAGCACAGCACAGCACAGCAGGCGTGTCTTCTTCGTCGGTCTTCCTTTCGTCCAAGCGTACAATGGCCACGTGGGCTTCGTCCTGAGAGCAGCCCCTTCCAACCAGTCAACTAACTGACTAACCAACTAACCAAGCTAAACATAAAGCCGCCTTCTGGCGAGGCGAAGCGAGGCAGGCACATGACTTGTCCAAACAAAGTTGCTTGTTGTCGGTGGGTTTTCATAGCTGAAACACACAAAACCAAGACCACCAACTGTTTCAATGGTGTTTGTGCGCATACACATGCACAGCCGTAGCCACAGCCAAAAAACAACACCGACGACGACGACAACCAATCCAAGTGCCGTTCACTTCACATCCTGCATCTCGACGTTTCTCGTGACTGCAGGAGCGTTGTCTATCCGCTGCTCTTGCGTGGGTAAAGAATTGGGATTGGGATTGGGATTGGGATCCATATGTCCGTTCACGTTCCTGATCGAGCCTGGAGGGCCAGCAACTCCGCTGCTCTCGAGGTCTTGAAGCCCATTTTGAGGCGGGCCTGGTAGCTGGCCGGGGCCGCGGTACTGTGCTTGCGCGTGGCTCTGAGGCTGGGCCTGCTTACTCGGTGTCGGCACCGGTTCTGTAAAACTCATATTCCTCAACTGCTCTGGGCTGGGGCGAAGATTCTCAACAGGCGGAAGAATGGGCGTCCCGCTCACCATCCGCTTTTCTCCAGTTGGCGGAGCAGGAGAGAGAAGCTGAGTCCCGCTATGACCGGCCGGAGACAATGTTGGGTGGAACGACGCGGATGTGGACGGAGAAGAGGCGGGATTTGAGTTCTGAGGACTGCGGGCTGTGAGCGGTGGCACTGGACCAGGGGTTTGTTGCTTTTTGGGCGAAAGGCCTGAGAGTGGGTAAGTTGGAGCTCGGGAAACGGGTGTCTGGGCAGGCTGGGAATGACGGGAAGCCGGACGAGGAGTATCCTGTAAATGTGCGGGCCCACCATTAGCAGGGCTATAGACGCCATTCGTGAGTTGTTGATGGAATTGGGATGACTTCTGAGGAATGCCCGCCACAGGGCCAACGTCCATGTTTCCCTGAGTGGGCGAGATCGTGGGGCGATTGACCACGGGAGAAGGGAGGCGACCGGTATTCGACATGGTTTGTGTGTTGGAGTTCTGCAGCGGGTGTTTGGGAATGGGCGAAGGCGCTAATGGTCTTTGTCCTGGCGAGTTCTGGTATGGATGTTGAATGTTGTTGTAAATGAATGGATAGTCCCCTTGATCCTGCGGTGGTGATCCTCTAGCCGGACCATGGCTCATTCCCGGGGGATAAGGCTGTATGGGACGATTGGTGTAGTTCTGTTGTTGCCGAGGGCTCGTTGACGAGGGCCCGGGTTGGGCAGGACCAGACACTGGCTGCATTGGGCCAAGACGCTGCTGAGGATGTACGCCATTCATCTGCACAACTTTAAGAGGCCGGGAGGGACTGGCGGAGTGGTTGGATGGTGCATATTGAAGACCACTTGGGATTGCACCTTGACCAGGCGACCGAGCAGCAGACTGCGGAGAGGTCTCAACCGCGACGGGCTTGGACGCAGGACGAACAGGGCTTGGTGGGATTGGCGACGATGATGTGCCCACGCGAAACTTGAGGGAAATCTTGGGTTTCTTCGCATCTTCTTCTTTCCGTCTGCAATCTTTACAGACGAAGTGGAAGTCCTTCTTTTCCGCGGCGGATTTGGAGATGCCCAGGCATTTGCTATGTTGCCAGACGTTACATCTCTCGCACGAAATACTGTGAGATCCGTCGTCCTGGATAGGAATTAGTTTTCACCAGGAACAACTGGGTGGTAAGTGACTTACGAAATTCTTGCCGTATTTTCCGCAGCCAGAGCAGTCAAAGGTCCAGTCCTCGTCAGCATCGAGTTCCTCTAGCTCCTTCTTATTGCGCTCCATTCGTTGCTTGAGGGCTCGGTCGGACCCTCTCGCTTCGCCTTCCTCGATACGCTTCTGTTCGAGCTCATCCCGGGCGAGTTCCTCTTCTTTGAGCAGTCGCTTGAGCTCGCGATCCTTGATTCGTTGCTCTCGGGTCATCATGCGGTATTGTCTTTCGTGCTCCATCTTCTCTTGTCTTTCCTGCTCACGACGGGCGGCGGCCAGGTCAGCTTGTCTCTTCTTTTCGGCCTCAGCTTGTTCGGCCTCCTTCTTTTCCCGTTCATGCTTGTCCGCTAACCGACTCGACCGCTTAGCGCCAACCATCCTCTCCATCAACATCAGTTCCCTCTCACGACGCTCTATTTTACGACGTTGTCTCTCTTCGGCGGCTTCAATGACAGGGATGACTTCCTCCATCAAGCGTTCCCGCAGAGCTTTTTCGTTAGGATCTTTCGATTTCTTTAACGATTCGCAAAGTTCCTGGTAATCGGCGAGGGTGATGCAGAGGCACTCCCACTTGAAACCACCGAAGGTGTCGATCTCCCAAGAGTCCAGCTTGTTCTCCTCTTCGGCAATTTCTGTTCCCTCGTTCTCCTCAGAATCACTTGCGGCGGCGGCGGCGGATTCGGCCTCTAGCTTTCTCCGCTTGCTCTCGCGTCTTCTGGCAGCGATGGCTTTCTTGGAGTTTGACTTGGGTTTGGCCTTTGGGGCTTGTGGCAATGGAGGTTCAGTTCTTCGATAGAAGCGGTTGTCGTCAAGGAGGTAGTATTGGCGGTCATGGCGGTCATAGCCAAACTCTTCAATGCGCTGTTGGGCAAGATGTGAGAATTGCTGTGGTGCACGTGCCTTGCCAGGGAAACGGAAACTCACCCATTCAATCTGATCAATCTCGCGCGGATGTTCCGTCATCTTTTCTCGTAACCGGTCAGGATTCCAGAACGTCCATATTGTGAGCTGGTGCAGAACTCTAATCTTTGTGCAGATATCAAAGTCTCGAAAGCGCTTGGGCTCTTCCGCATCACCATAGGGATTCAGTTGAGGAGCTTTGGCCAGGTACTGTCGGCGAGTGTATTCATCCCAGATGTCGTAACTGTGTCCGAGTTAGTGATATGTAGAGTGCAACAGGACTTGCAGCGACAAACTTTAAACCCCTATGAGATGAGATCCATTTGAGCAGGCTGAGGCCGATTTCCTCCAACTTTTCCGAGTAACCGGGTTTTAGACACTCGCTCTCAAAATCCTGCATAGTGATAATCAGCCATCCCGTGCATCACAAACACTCCGCCGCGACCATGTATCAATCGGTCCATACGGGCAAGTAGGAAGTAGGGCATACCTCGATGTCAAAGTCTTCGTCGATTTTGAGGGCCTTGCCAAAGAAGAAGATGAACTGCATGACGGAGGCAAACTCCCACATATTCCGTATCCTCTGGAGAAGAGACGGTTCGTGTTTCTTCTCTTCAAGTTCTGAGACCTCCATCTCGTCCCTGGTGCGTTTTCGCGGCATTGTGGAAGGGGCTGCGCGCCAGACGGAACGGAGAGGTGTAGGGAGACCAGGAGGAAGTTTTCAGGCGGGTGTACAGCTTTCTGCTCCCATCTAGGAGAGCGCTGGAGTTTATCGACGCGCCGGACGGGGTGGTGGTTGAGTGTTGTTGGCCAGAGGCGATGCGACTGATCAGGTTTCTTTTTTGGACTGGGGGAACGCGGGAATGCCAGTGAAGGCGAGGCGCGCGACTTTCATGAGGCGCCGCATGAGGCACTGCGGCGAAAGGCCAAGAGCGGCCGGAAGATCTATTATTCCGTTGCCGAAGTAAAATATGACGACCCTTGTTTTCCGGCGGGGCGAGCAGGGACAAACACCAATCTGGGGGTTGAAGAAGCCCGATGTTATTGTCGCTGACCTTGATACCGAAACGCTCATTACATTTTGCTTTGGCAGGTCCACCGATAACCCATTGGCATTCTTTACGTGCGGTCGAAAATGCGATGCGTATTGCCGGGCTAAAAGATATGTGGTAACCTCCATCGGATATCAGAATCATCACCACGAAAACAATGGCGTCTGCTATAGCTGGCCAGCAACAGCCGTCACATGAGGACCTTCCAGAGTCAGTCTTCAAGAAGAGTTACAACTTTCCGCCCTTCTTCAGTCCTCAGCCCAGCTCTCTGACCCGACAAGCCCAACTGAAAAAATGGTCTGAGTTCGTCCAGCGCTATTGTCGACATTACCGTCTCTTCCAACTCTCGGTCATTGACACCCTCCAGAGCCCGCTGTTCTACAACTCAAGGCTCAAAAAGGGCCTCAGTCTGAAAGATGCCAAGGCCGTGATAGACCACATGGCTAGCAAGGACGGTGACGAGAGAGCCGAATGGCGCGGCCCGGAAAAGTCTGTGGCCTGGATTTGGTGGCGGACACCCGAAGAGTGGGCGGCCTTGATCGTGAACTGGGTGGAAGAAACCGGTCAGAAGGGAACGGTGCTGACGCTCTATGAACTGGTCCAGGGTGAAACCACGGAGAAGCAGGAGTTCTACGGACTGGATATGGAAGTGCTGCAAAAGAGTCTCAACACGCTGGTCAAGAAAGGAAAGGCGCAGGTATTTGGAACAGAGGATCAACAAGGTGTCAAATTCTTCTGAATGGTGTTCGACCAGCAACGGCAATCCCTGCCGGCTATGCCTTCCAAGCGACAGCCAGCGACGCGGTTCATCAGCCTACATTATCATATCTCAGCATCCTACAACTCGTATGGCTTCGTGGGCCGTATCTCCTGGCACATTGCAACTTCCAACAGCCAGTCTGACGCCACGATTTTCGGTACTTTCCGACTCTCCTCCGCCATCTTTCTAAAGCGGGACCACAGACCCTGATTTTCCCTGCTGATGTCACTAATCAGATATACATTGTGGTTGGCGTCGGCATCTGTGGGCCCCTCGCTGTCTGCCCGCCCGGATGGAACTATCGTTCCCTTGCGGTTCTTCCACAACATACATCGCCCACCGTTGGCCACGACAATGGCTTTGAATGTATCAAAGCCCCCACGGATATTTTCCATGCAGTAGATACATCGGCCTCGAAGAAGTTGGTTCGCGTTCTGTTTCGCCCGCTGTCGAGTCTTGGCGAGAGATAGATGGAATCTCTTCTCATTTTCTTTGTCGCACAGCTTGTACTTCTCCGGATCGAGCATCTTGTCCTCCACAAGACAAGCATCAATAAAGTTCGTCGAGATAACCAAGGGCGCGTAGGCAAGAGCAGTCACGAATTTCTGTGTCCGGACAATGTTGGGAGCTGCAACGTGTGTCGCTTTGCTGGCGTCGGTAGTAACAAGAATTCCGAGATTGCGAAGTTGTTTCTAAAACGAAGTCAATTGGACGTACATGGACGTAGATACAGAATACACTGACCTTGTCACGGTCTTCCCCTTTGGCGTTATTCACCCACTTTTGGTACCCCGAAACCACAAGACGAATCGTTGGTGCATGTTCATATTTGACCTTTTTCGCATCGCCATCATTTGACGTGCCGACATCGTCCATTTCATCCTTCGATCTTTTCTGGCCTAGTTGAACACGATCGGGATCTGATTTGCGTCGCCCACCGTAGATCACGCCGCCTCTTCGTTTGCTCTCTTTGTTGAAGAGGAGCATATCCTCGGCCTGTACTTGCAATCGAGACACTGCAACTTCCTTGGACTTGCGACTATGGGGTGTTGATGGGGTTGTGTTCTCCTTTCCTGGTGAAGTGAACCTGGGAGTCACCGGGGTCTGCAATTTCTTCATTGGGCTACTCGGGCCAGCTTTGGCGGTCTGCTCGCTCTTGGCCCTTCCCACGGACGATGGTTGTTTGGCACCAACTGTCCTTTTATCTGCTTGAGGCGTTGTCCTATGATCGGTGTCAACATCAGGGAAGAAATTTTGTTCAAGGACATTGCGGTCCAACTGAGTACAGCCGACAACGTCACTCAGGTTTGTGCGCGGGGGAAAGTGGGTGTATCTCCTGTCAGTTATGCTTTGCATCTTCCACCGCGCATAGCTTTCTTCCAACCAAAGGTGGTTGACAATATGGACTCCCCATTCTTTTGCAGCCGCGCACTTCTCGCTCTGGTCGTGGGCGGTGATGAGATGCGTGTTGTCCTGCTTGAGGGTCTTGGTGCATCTGGCACCAGTCGCAATGATCAGGTTCTCGAGATAGTTTCTCGCTTCACCACTATAGTTGGAGAGACTGATGATGAGGCCGGGAAACCCTGGAAGCCCATCCTTTGCCACTGGATAGTGTAACATGCGTCGCGTTGGCGATGTCCACTCGTCGGTTTGTATTAAGAAATAGAGCCAAGACAAATTTCCGACATCCTTCCCTGCTCTCGAAGCTGTTTTGTAATCCGCCCCATCCCGATACTTGCAGATGTACATATCGGCTTTGGTCAACGACTTTGTGACTGTCCCCCCACCAGCAGTTATGAGACCCTCCAGCGTCTCACGCAGATATTTTCCGATGCCCAAGTCATCTGCCAGCATGACGGCCTTCTTTCGGAAAACGTTCTGCAGCTTCCGGGGTGGATTGGGATCCTGTTTTAATTGTACCGGGTCGGGATGTGCCGCGCCGCCCAGTTGCTGCTTCCGCTTTGCGGTAGGAATCCTGCCAGCGTCAGGTTCCAGGAGCTCGGGATGCGGAAACTGATATGGATGTTCATCAATTTTTCTCCCCAGTTTCAGACAATCGTCCACCCAATGGGGCAGGACCACTTTGACCACAAGCTTCCTCTTTGCGGCAATGGCGACCGATTCCGAGTCCATAGACAGCGCGATGATATGGGTTATTTGGTTTGTGAGCTTCGTCGAGAACAAGCCTCCCATGGCCAATATTCCTCCTGCGATCGCCTCGGCATCACCCTGCGGTAAATCGCCTACACATGCGACCACATCGGACATGAAGTAGCGAGGATCTGGGCTATATTGGCGGGGATTGAGAAGTCGATCCTTTGCGAGTGAATGCTCAACCCACGTGGGCTTGACGACGGGGATCAGAGCATTGAAGCAGGCGTTGTAGTCGGGGAAGTCGGAGATGGCCGAGATAACATGGGTGATGCCTCGAAGGTCCAGCCGATCTTCTGGATATCTGTCTATCACAACCTTGCCACCGTGCAGTCGCAGCTCGGCCGCTTTCTGCCTTGGTTAGCGGGCGTTGCCAGCCTGTGCTCGCTGGATCGCGGTGGGGTACATACAGTCTCAGCTTCTTCCTCTGTCAAGCCGGCAGAGCGAACAATCGCAAAGCTGCACTGCAGGAACAGTTCCCGCCTGTTGTCGCCCTCCGCAGCCTGATTGTCGTCCATGCCTGTGTTCGTGATAGAAGTGGTGGTTGCACCAAGTACTTTGCAAAAGATGACAGCACAGGAGTGAAGGAAATGTTCATGTGATAGGGATTCTTCACATCATTGCTGAGGGAGAGTGGGAGGACGTGCGCCCAATTGTGGCCTGTGTCACTGTTCGACGGCGCGGCGCACTTTTGATGTGGTTCCTGAGACGCGTTTCGTTTTTGTCAGACGAAAATAAATCATTCCCCATCACGTGCACGTCAGAACTGTCCCGCAGGTTCGCCGCTTTTGTTCTTGGTCCCACGTAGAAGTCGACAATGCTGTACATACAACGCCACATCTTGAACTCCTAAGCAGATAACTTCCTTACGGACGAGAGCCTAGAGCCTAGAGCCTGCCAAACAGATCTGGCATCAGTCATCTATGCATATATTATGCGAAGCCGTACCGAGTAGATTTTGTGGGTGCCGATTCCGACACGCACGCGGCAGGAACCTCGGCAATTCCCCAAGGTGCGTTTTTGAGCCCCAGTGTCGCGGCACAAGGAAGCTGTTTTCTTCACAAGTTTAACGGCACGGCATACCACTGTAACCGTGTCCGAAAGAACTTCCATGCCAATGGCTAGGTGTCTCTTTTTCTTCTTGTTGTTGTCATAGTATCACCGTTGAGATTCTGAAAGAACAACCCCATCTCCACCCTCAAAATGTCATCCTTCCATATCGTCGAGCACAAGATTCCCTGTCAACATATCCGAGAGTATCCCCGTGCTACAGCTGGCGCACAGGAGGATGTGCTACACCTGGCGGTGAAACAGTATATACCGAAAGACAATCCCAATCCACAGCCCGGAGATGTCACGATCATAGGAGCACATGCCAATGGTTTCCCGAAAGAGCTTTACGAGCCTTTGTGGGATGATATACACGCTCGGTCAAAAAAACATGGCTTTCGCATAAGGAGTATATGGATTGCCGATGTTGCCCAGCAGGGACACAGCAGCGTACTGAATGAACAACTGCTTGGGAATGATCCGGGCTGGAACGACCACCCCAGAGATCTGCTACACCTGATCAACCTCAAACGAGACGAGATGCCGCGACCTATCATAGGCATTGGCCATTCGATGGGGGGGAACCACTTGTGAGTCTCCTTTTCCGGTTTCTCAGGTGCAACGTGGGCTGACATTTTTCCCGCAGAGTCAATGTCGCATACATTCATCCCCGTCTTCTCACCACTTTAGTCCTTATCGACCCTGTCATACAGATCTACTCCTCGGTCGCACCACACGTAGGGCCCAGCCCCGCCCGTCTATCTACGTTCCGCCGCGACGTGTGGCCGTCGCGTCAAGAGGCAGCCAAGTCATTTAAGAAGAGCAAATTCTATCAAGCATGGGATCCGCGTGTGCTCGATCGGTGGGTGCAATACGGCCTGCGGGACATGCCCACGCTCCTACATCCGGACGACTCGAAGAACAAGGACGGGTCGCCCAAGGTGACGTTGACAACTCCAGTCCCACAGGAAGTATTCACCTTCCTCCGCCCGAACTATGAGGGATACGGATACAACGGCCGCCCGGTGAATCGCAAAACGCACCCGGACGTGACCCCGGGATTGCCCTCGATTTACCCCTTCTATCGCTCCGAAGGACCCAAGACCTTCTTCCGCCTCGAAGAACTCCGGCCGTCGGTGCTCTACATCTTCGGTGGACAGTCCGAGGTCGGCACGCCGGACGCCTGCAAGGCGAAAATGGACATTACGGGTGTCGGCCCTGGTGGTAGCGGCGGAGCACCGGAGGGGAGGGTGCGGAGTGTGCTCTTCGAGGACCTTGGCCATCTCATCGCCATGGAGGCGGTGGACCGGACGGCGGACTCGTCCTGCGAGTGGATCGGGAGTGAGATGAAGATCTGGCGTGAGGACGAGGAGGAGCACAACCGCACCTGGGGTCAGAAGAGCCTTGTCGAGAAACAGAGCCTCGACGAGCAGTGGAAGACGATGATCGGTGGGCCCCTCGAGAGGAAACCGAAGGGTCCAAAGCTATGAGCACGTTACAACGCATCATGCCTCGAGCACACGGGTGAAATGTCGCTGCACGTCGTACCGGGGACGGCGAGCTACACAGCGTTATACTGTCTGGAAGACAGTCCGGGCTGTTTCTTTCATGGACCTCACGCGAGAGAAGCCATGTGGTTACCGTGGGAGATCTATGTCTATGCATGACATTTGAGTTGACGGAAGGATAAACTCGGGCTACGACACATCATCCGCCTCGTCGAACCACCAAAGGGTTGGGATATTAAATACTTACACACCAGGTCTAGAATCCATATGTGGTATACTATATACTACCTTGGAATATAGAGAGAAGGAACGTCACGACTTATGCAACTACGCTGGCTGACATGGCCTCCGTTCTCAATACTCAGCAGCGGGAATAGTAGATCTCTCTATTGTGCGTATATAAATACGTGCAGAGAACAGGATCACATGCCGAGACAGTTCAGAGTAGTCAATCATCGTACGGGCATCGCAGCTCCGTCCACGAAGGCCTTGCTTAGATGCTCATCCTGCGCCTGGCCCACGGTCTTCTCGATCCAGAGGCACTGTCTTCACCGCATCTGCCTGTCGCCCCCATGGCTCCCCATGGAGAAGACACCGCCTCGTCATCCATGCTGCTCGACAGCAATGGCTCCATCTCTTCTTGCACCAGGGGATGCACGCCGTCATATCGGCCCTCGGGCATACGGCCTCTTCGATAGCCCAGGCCCTCGGTCTCTTCGATGATGTCGAGGTGCCTGATCCTGTCGTCGTCGTTGGCGCCGCCGGTCGCTCCACCAAATCCGTTGATCCGGTCGTTCGGGTCCCGGACGCCGTAGATGACTCTCATATTGCCCAGACGCTCGGCGATCTCGTCCCCGGTCAACAGGCAGCCCGTGTCGCCCAGCTTGTCCACGATGGGCCGCAGCAGGCGCGCCATGCCCAGGTGGCTCGTGTCCTTGATGATGGCCTTGTGGGCTAGCAGGATCACCGCCAGCAGGATCAGGCCCTGACCCACGGGAATCGCGCCCAGGATGGCGCCGGCGTACCGCCACTGCACGTCGAGGACCTGGGCTGGGCCCGGGCTGTAGCCCGTGACGTTCAAGCGCGGGCCGTCGGTGTCGAGGGCCGAGATGGCCCCTGCGGTGAACTTCATGACCAGCGTCGCCATGTCGTCCTCGGTGACGTTTCCCGGCGCACTCCACTGGCTGGAGGCTGGGTACTGCACCATCTGCAGGTCAGCCTGCGAGAGGGCCGACGAGCTGTTGTCACGGGCCGCCAACAACGTGCCGGACCAGCCGATGGCCCCGGCCAGGATCTGGGCCTGCAAGTCGGGGATTTGATACTGGCTGGGATTGATGTACAGGTCGACGTTGTCCACGTGGGAGACGTGGGAGAGGCACCTCCAGAAGCGCGGTTCCGGGACGCTGTCGGTCAGATTGTCCGCGGTCTGCAGGGCGTAGATCTCGATGCACCGTGGGCCGCAGTCGCTTGTCGCGTTCGACATCCAGGTCGTCGCGCCGGTGGCCACGTCGGGGATCCACCAGGTGTTCTCCTGCCCGTCGGCGTCGACCCACGTCACGTCGAATGCGATGGAGGCGTTGTCCGTCTGGAAGCCGGCGTAGCCTCCGTACGTGACCGGGAACGACTGGCACGTCGCAGTGGTGTTGACCGTGCGTTCAGTGACCACCGAGAGTGACACGGTCAGCGGAGAGCGGTCGACGAAGCGATACCACCACAGGCTTCCGTCGGTGTAGATTGCCTGCAGGTGGCCGATTGGTTGGCCAAACGAAATCTCAAAGACCTCAAAGTCCTGGCCGGTGACACCCCATTCATTTGCGGCAGCTGTCTCTGCGAGGATGGACTCCCCATTTGTCTGATTCTTGTCGAATACAAACGTACTTTGAGCATTCCCGATGTACGAGACATCCGCTATACTGACCTCTCCAACGGCCAGGTGAACCGTGTCCGAACTTACGTCGACGGAATAGGTCAACCCGAGCAAGGCGGTGAAAATCTGCACGGCGATATTGATCGCCAACCACACCACGGCGAGAACCTGGGTCTTATTCGGCAGTCGCGTCCCGCGCGTCCGTCCGGCCCAGATCAGACGGAATACGGTGGACTGGCTATCACAGTTCATGACCAGCTCAAAATCCTGGAGGGTGCGGTACCCTGAGGCCAAGAAGCGCCAGCGCATCATCAGTGCGTAGCCACTCAGTGACGACGCAAGGTTGAGGCCCAGGCACAAAGACAGGCCGGTCATCAAGGCGTTGAAGACTTGTTTCCGTGTGCTGCTCAGGCCGTCGGCGACGGTGGAAAAGCCGTACAGGCAGCCGCCCATTGCGGCGCAGAGAATGGCAGTGATGAGCCATTGGAAACTGCTGTTCAGAAACAGTCTCCGCCGCTGCCGTCGATAGTCGAAATAGCGAACCGTGCTCGAAGGGGGCTCGTTTGCGCCATATTTCTCGGGCAGTGTATGCTCCCACGGCGCTGCGACCGCCGGGATGCTGAAATGAGAAACAGCAAAGTCACGGACGGACGAGGCAACCTTGTATAGTGAACTACCCGTTCTCTGACGTCCTATAACCGCCTCAGCCTCGTTGATTCATATCTAGCCCCGGTCCGTCGTACTTACTGCGAGGTCGACTTCCGTCAAGAACGCCGTATTGAATATCACCAGTCGATTTGCTTGAAAGTTGCCTCCCGTTGACTCTGCCCCGCTGCTTGTTCGAATCTCTATCCACCCCGTCGTCGCTGGGCGAGCTTCCTGCCAGACGACTGAATGCGGAATCTGGGATGATGTTGGAAAATTGCAGGGGCTCTTCGGAGATCGGACTGGCGGTCAACTGAGAGCCCCCAAAGGGGTTGAACTTGGAGTATCGAGAACCAGGCATGCTGGTATTTTTTTCAGCAATTCAAGGGACGATCAATCCTACATCCCGCTTGGCAATGAGTTACTTGTGGGCGGAAGGAGTTTGTCGGTGGTGCAAATCCTCAATGAGTAAGTGTAAATATCCGAAGATCGGTAGAGGCTCATGAAGAGGAAGAGGGTGGGAATTACTTGGACCCAAAGGAAGGGAAAACAACGGGGCAAAGCGTTATTAGAAGGAAATAAGCCGCAAGACGACCCCACTGGCGATTCTCTTGCTCTTGATGTGACGAGCCAAAGATCTGGCGCGTGTATCCATGACTTGGGGGCTGAATCCAGAACCTGGGGAGTCAGGGAGCGTTGCACAGGTTATCCATATGCCTGGGTCAAAGAAGGATCGCACCATGTTTAAGATGGAACTTCGTGTGAGCGTAAGCGTCAATGTTGTAATGCACCAACCGACCCACAAGGCTTAAGCTTCCATGCAACAGAGGCCTCATATGATACTCCATGGGAGTTGTGTTCCAGAGGGAGAGAAGATATTGGCTGGTCATTGGACATCAGACATCAAACCTCTACCTAGGAGACAACAGAGGACGCACTCTTTCGAAAGAGCCTCATGCCCCCCTGAAGTTCCTCGTAAGAACACACGCCGGCCACGTGGAGTCGGATGTTCCCTGATCATCTCGCATAGATTTATGGTTGATGTCTCGAATAGGTCAATGAGGTGGATCACCCGCTGAGATCTGCTCGTATTTTGATTCGTCATGAAATTTTGATTTCCAGGCGAAGGATCCGTGGTGGCGTCGAGGATGGAACGAACAGCGCATATCGGCAAGTTTCGATTTCCACACCAGGAGGCGAAAGTCCAATCCTTCAAGCCAAGAAGCTTGACCTCTTCAAAGTCCATTTCCGTTTCCAGACCTGAAGGACTAAGCTATTCTGAGCTGTGGCTGTGCAGTCCTGAGGCGCGCGCTGCGTACTCGGTAGCGTAAGCAGAGCCCTAAGTCTGTCGGTTCCCGTTTCATATATATATACAGTAGGTCCGCAAAAGTCACCGGACAAACGCTGTTTCCCACCAAAATAGGTAGTTTTTAACAGTCGGTATCTCGATAACTTCGTCAGGAATAGTGCCTCAGTTCCCTACCATAGGCAAAAAGACAGAGAATCCTATCAATTATTTAAAGATTCTAGGCACTATAGTAGATAAGGATAACACTCTGGCATTCATGACAGATGGGATTTAAACTGCTATATAGCTGATATATAGAACGACACACTCCTATCATCCTAATGTATTTATTTTTGGCCGGTATTTGACACAATCGACCTATCCCTCCTTCAATTGAACACTACCGATACCTAAAATGATCCTGAACCTAAGGAGCCCTTGACTTTGTCTGACCAAGTCTCCAAAACCTTTTCCATCACAGAGGAGATGGATTCGCATTATTACATTCAAAGCCGCGAGCTCTCCTGTATTAGATATCAGAGCCAACCTATGACGAAATCAGCTTCTTTCTTCCCCGGAACAATAAGATTCCTGAGTCATCACTATCGGTAGAGTGCTCATATTGCACCTCAGGAAGCCTGTTTTTGTCCTGTTTGTTGCTTGGCTCGGGCTCATTTATTGCTGCGATTTCCTGGGACATGCAATTCCCTGCATTCTGTCTCTCAGAATCGCTCGACACTGTCACTGATACCCCATGATCTTCTGGATTCTTGTAATCGTGGTCGCCATGTGACTGACTGGTATTTCGAGCGGAGTCTAGAAGTGCGTCTACATCAAGTATGACGCTGGACATTCCTGTGGTTGAATCTGGTAGCCTTGCTCTCTTGGGTCGTCTAGACAATATTTGTTCCTGTAAGTCTCGACGGATGCAGATAAGCATGTCCTGTAGCATCTTGAAGGTATGGTGCTCCTGTGGTCGGGCTATTTTCCTAGTAGCACGAGGGTCAGGAAGGGCAAGAGGATATGGAGGGGCCCAGTTGATCCACAGATTACCATGACAGGGCCGAGGAGCGAATCGCCCTGGGTGGCATTGCATATAGATATGACAGCAGTAGCATGAAGGCTTGCTGCAGCCGATATATCTATCATCCGTGAGGAAGTCGAGTCCATTGCGATAGAAGTGCTCGAGAATAAGTAACTCTGCGTGCGGACGAGGTTTGATTTGCGCATATTCTTCCCGAAATCTGTCCTCGACTTGGGCGACCGCATTTGCTTCTGAAAGCGCTTGACTCAGCTGTTCAACCACTATAATTTGATCTTTGGGAACCATACGTCTCACGACGCCACCGAGATCAGCTAAGTGAAGCTTGTCCGGCAAGTCAGCTGGCCCATTGGTTCCAATGATTTCGACTTGGGCATTTTCGATCCGCTGGGGAAATGTCACTGCACCGTGAATCAAAATTTGCACAGCCTTTGACCAGGACCCCAGCCGTCCGAGATAATGACGAAGGTCAGACCAGACCCCACGATGTGAGTGTGCAACATGCCGTATGCTCAGAATTTCCATCAATCTGTCTCTCCGAAGAGTGTGAGCATGTGAACACAGTTGGTGAGGAGTAGATATGAGTGTCTCCAATTGCTGGAACTCCTTTAAAATAAATGCATCTACCGATCGTGTTAAAAGGGAGTCTGCTTCAATCTGGATGTTTCTCGCAAGGAGATTTACCTTCAGCGTTCGAGACTCCATCTATCATCTGGGTTGCAGTTCGGATCGCTCGAATCAGCCATGTAGAATATGCCTTGATCCTTCGATGGCTGAAATCGATGCATCGAGTTATTATCTCATCTTCCACTTGCAAAGGGGGCTTTTCGTTCGTAATTATTTGGCCTAGAGAAGCGAAAACCCAACAGAGGTGATGGCCTGCTTTAGATCTCGATTTTGAGTTGGATGCAAGGCAAAAGATTGGATGTTCAATACTCCATTGTGGAGCAATTGCAGTCACGGTATCTCCACCCTTTTCGAAATCGCATATAAATGCAAGTTGATCGAGAAAGTTGCGCCAGAGTTTTGACTGTTCGTCCAGGCCACGGTCCGATGTTAAATCAGGACGCTGCGCTCCGCGAGTTGGATCCATCACCCTAAGTAGAGTCAATGGTTCGTAGAAGCGACGGAGGAGTTTGCCATTCACGTCGAGCGGGTGTTGCTGAAACATAGTTAGGTTTGAGTGTGGCTGTGCCTTCAGCAGAGGAATACAGTGCTTTACGAAGCGCAAAACACCGTTATATAATGCTGGAGACGCGCCAATCTTCGAGAGCGTGGCAGAGGTCGATAGTTGTCTTCTTATCTGTCGATTCCATCATTGGCAAGATCCTTGTCATCTCAAGTTTGGGGACGCTATTGGTAACAGTCGTGTCAATCCAGTCTCTGCCGACGCATGAAAGGTAATTTGATAGGATCGAAGTCTTATCCAGGGTGCATGACGACTAACACCCTTATCCTCGCGATTGAATCAGAAATCTACACGTACTCAACCCACTTGCAGGCAAGTGGGTCGTTTCGTGTTCACAGACACGGGCTTACGCAGAAATTCTGCCAGCTGCGTCCAGTGGGCCAAAGTTCTCGTACTTATAAGTTCCCCAATTAAACTCCCATATGCTCTCTGTGAGACTGAATATCGCTCTCAAGCTCAAGTCACCCAGATCAATTCCGCGGCTCTTGTCATAAGCATTCCCCTAATGGAGCAACACTCAGAGATGCCCTTCGAAATCCGCGCTTTCCTATAGCATGATCTAGACCAGGTGCATGCACATGCTTCTGATGAGGCTTGAGGTGACAGATCCAGGACGCTGAGTTGCTGACGGCGATATTGATTGAAATCCGGAGGATCATGCAAGAGCGTGAAGGTCTTGCTACCAGAATTCCCCTTTGCATCAAAGAAAAAGGGGAGAAAGACAAGAGTCAGCTCAATCAGCTGTTCTCTTATAAAGGACCCGACCAAGAAACTTTGAGAATCCTGAACCACTACGAAGGCGCCTGGGAGCAAGACCCGAAACAATTTTGGAACACACCCCTGCTGTCCAACTCGGACAGACTTTCCAGCGCACAAGCTCAGATTGCCAGGTACTACCTCCATGGTCAAGACGTCAACGCTTAGTCACGTATGGTGAGGAGATGTGCCTGCATCCTGGTTGTGGAATTTCAGCAACGGTTTGGATGTTTGTGGAACCGTGATTGTACCGACGTTATTCGCGTTGTGCACAATTTGGACAAGGACCCTGAGGAAATCGAGCGCGATGTTAAGTACATGGTTAGTTGCGGCGGCCGCTATCTCAATCTGGAGAAGAGACTAGGACCTGGATCCTCTTTGCTCTTGGGTCTTGATATTGCCGAGTCAATGTAAGCACGTTCCGCGTTTCGGGGGAACACTGACGTGAGCAGATGGACCAAAACCTTACCAAAGTCTGGCAAAGTGCACGATGCGATGATGAACCACATAAGAGGGACCAAATTGACAACCTTGGTCGATAGGTTTGGGCCATTAAGAGAATTGGTCGTCGAGTGTGAGCTCTGGGACTTGTCAGCATTTTATTCGTCAGCGTTGGGTGGCAACTCAATGCTTCTCCAGGAGCCGAATACAGCACATCCAGACGCGACCCTGCCACGCAATCACTATCCTCTCTTTGATCACCTGTACGGCCTGGCCACATATGATGTCGACTGGCAGTATTTCGCAAAATGGCAGCATTCCGCAGAAGAGCAGCATTTCGCAAAAGAGCAGCATTTCGCAGAAGAGCTGGGAATGGAGCTTGGCACATCGTGATGCTATCCAGATACATATTGATCGATGGCAAAGAAATTCCCGCCTGGCCTTGTCCCTTGTTGATGCGTTCCCTCAGTGGGGATCAGATCGAGGATCTGTGCTTCCCAATCCCGTTGTAGAGTCTGGTGGTCGCCTCGTCAGTGTCGGCCCAGACATGATCTGATAGCGCAGATCGAACTTGACAGTGGTCACAACGTCTTGCAAAACCTTTTCTTCGCCGGGTATCAACTCCGCGCAAAGTTGTGGCGTTGCCCATCTAATCCATACATTACCGTGACTTGGGCGTGGCTGGACTCCAGCAGGATGCTTTCGAAGATATAGATCGCAGCAGTAGCAAGATGGCTTACTGCAACCGATGTAGCGGTCACCCGCGATGAAGTCGAGCCGTCGCACGTGGAAGTGGAGTAGCAGAATAACCTCTGCGTGGAGATCTGCATCAAATTTGTCCGCTGTCCATTTCGAAAGACACCCAAGAATTCGATCGACCACCTTATCGTTCTGACGCGCATTTAATGCATCCTGAAGTCGGGAACCATGAAATTCCGGCATCAACGCGCGCAAAATATCGACAGGCTCGCGCCAAGGTAGCTGAAAATTAGCCGGACTGATGGAAGACATGTCGACTTGTCTCACTCGAGCATTCTTGATGCGGTCGCGGAAGCGCTCGCACATGAGGACGAGACGACGTGCTGCGCGAACCCAGGAACATAATCTACCCAACAGGTGCCGCACTTCTATCCACGAGATTTTTTCTCCAGAAGCCTGGATCAGTTGGCAGAGCCGCTTGAGAAGTTCAGATCGTTTGAATTCCATTGATAAATCGATCAACCGATCTGGATCTTTCGAAAGATCCAGAAACGATTCCAAATGCCGTCGTTCACTCACATCTGTGCAATTTAGTATGATTAGCAAAAGACCACAAAACAGTCGAAAGATTCCGATGCCATTACCAAGTGTCACAAGGGGCTTCTTTGCATCAATGGCAGCTATAGTGCCCTTTAATCTTTGACCGTAGTCTCGAACACGGAGACCAGAAAATTCGATAGAATCGCGTGCAATCTTTCGGATCAGCTCCATCTGCGATGACGTATCCAACGAACTTTCGTGGTGCAGAGCAGATAACAGTTTATTCACATGTCGGAGCACCTCTGGCTTGATGGGCGAGTTACTGGCAACCCAGTATGTTGGTCCAGTCGGGGAGGGTTCCACAGCGATGGATGTGACAGTTTTCCCACCGCATTTGTGATCGGCCAACCAAGCCAGGCTGTCCAGGAAGACGTGCCATCCGTTCCGCCTTAGGACTGCTAAGCCGACAGACTTGTCCGAGCTGACTCTCGGTCGGTTCGGAGTCAATAGCCTTAGCAAGATGAGACATCCGTAAAATTCTTGAATCAGTGACGTTCTTGCATCCATTTCTTGTTACTTCATCAGGGGAGAAATATGCTAGGAACTAAATGATGCAAAGCACGAGCCTTAAAGACTACCATCATCTTTTCTGCACCCATCAGGATGCTGGAACAATCCAACGACAGCTGATTCTCAATCGCTCGCTAGTCACACGCTCGATCTAGTCTTGGGCCAAGTCTGTTCGAGACATGCTCACTTTTTTTGTTGATCGTGAACATGTTGTCAGGAGTGTTTTCCTGGTCTGCTCACACTTGCAGCTTGAAAACTCTGCACGCTTGTCTCGCAGCTTCGTGCTGCGCCAGTTTCGAACTTGCAGCCGTACCTTCAAACGTACGGCCCTTGAAAGACAAGATCGTCTTCCAGAGACTAGGATCCGATGATAGCTGTTCCATACTGTACAACGGTTTGACCCCAATCTTCATGCCGTGATTATTCACAGCGGCGCTGTAAAGACCAGGGTTTACCGGAGCGCTAGGTGTGGCACGAAATTCTGCTTCACGGCTGTTGCTTGCCGATCTCGACCTCTTTCTATACCTGCGTTTCTGGTCCGGATAAAAGGATCTCACGGTTTGCAACATCTGATGCTTCGCGCGCTCTGACCCTTCGTGGATGATCCAACCTACCAGGACCAGTAGCCTTGTGCGGGGATCCCTTGCTGACAGCTCGAAACGATTCAACCGCTCCATTGGATGACTCTCAGCGAGTGACGAGAGACACGTGTCATACGGGAAATCTCGCATGTGATGGAAAAGTCGAGACTGGGCAAATGATTAGGCACCGAGCAGCGAATATCATTGGAAGGGAACCTACATCCACTTCAGAGGGCTTGTCGGAGGGACCGCAATCTTCAAGGACTTGCTGCGAGATGACACACTCGAAGTATTTCTGACCAAACCAATAGCTGACTTCGTCACGCATATTCGTTGTTTCCGATGTGAAGGACAAATTCTCGACATCTGAACCGTCGAAGATGGAAGTTCCAGCAGCATTGGAGGGTTGGGCTTCCATACTGCCGGTTGAGTTCTAATACAAAAATGCCTGTTAAATGCTGAATGTACATGGACAACTAAATCAGTGTGTCAGCGATAACCACTTTGAAGGACATTTTCCTTATATATTTTGTTGTTACAGGTCATGAAAGTATGTTGACATAAACCAGCCAATGAGCCGTTGGGGAATGGCACTAAAATGCCGAACGGCATTTTAGCGTAGTCTCCGGAAAAGGAGAGTCTCAGCAATGCACACAAGTAGCCTTCGCTGTGTTTCTGCTTGGATTCCTTCCTCTCCCAAGCGAGTAGCGTCGCGATGCGCTTTTGGAGGGGGAAAGCTGTAGCTGAAGGCCGATTTGTTTCGGTTCAGTCAGATCGATGACGTGGACAAATCCATGAAAGTCCCAGCGGGCGTGAGCTACCATCGCCAACCACAGCTTGCGACGTGGACAGACCTCTCTGCACGTCCTTATCGACAGGGTTCAAGGGTCGATGGTCACATCGCTGCACGAGGTGTCAAGATTTGTCACATTATTGATTGAATGCATCTCCGACGAACTTCTGCTGCTCGAGTCGATGAACTCGACCGCAACCCTTCACTGGTTGCTCACAGCGAGGCGACAGCATTCCTCGACGAAGGCAATGCGGGATTGTGGTCGAAGGGTGACAAGGTCGCACAGCAGTCGTCCACCATCGTCCTCGGATGCTTGCGTGGTCTTGTCGATCGCCCGAATAACAGTTCGAAGATGGAGCTGGCCTTTGCGCATCGTTCACCTACCACTTTAAATTGGCTTCGTGGCAGAACTTGACAGGATTTCGGTCGCTAGCATTCGTCGAGAGACCTGGATGCCTGATGCTGTGGACTACATTGAGATTTCCTCGCGATGTTAGGCTGTGGCAGTTGAGTGGGTGGTGGACGGGATAGGCCGTATTGCAACCTCGCAGCTTCTGCAAACCTAGCCATAATAGCTCCGCATCTATGCTCCATAGACTATGTGCTACACAAGAATAGCCTTGGAGAGAAATTTTGCGAAATCGCCCGCCCAACGACAGGCCCGACGACATGCTCCAACATGTCTGCGGATCCACAACATGTGCAGTGAAGGTATTTTACTTGTGCAGGTGTGGGACTGATTTGAAGCCATCGACACTGAGCTCAACACTGGAAGGCGAATCTCCCACAAGGCTTCCCAACCGTCTTCGTAAAGGAAGCTCTGTCGCAGACAGTGCCTCGACAACCCCCACAATTGCTGCTTTCGCTGAGAGTTGTCAAAGAGCGTTCTGTTCCATTTCAATACCGCCTAGTCTCCCATCGCACATTGCACGCATTAGCATAATGTCCAGCTCTGCCGCATCTGAAGCATTCCCCTCGTTTCTTCTGACTCGTACAATTTCGAGAGTAATGGCCGTGTTGGCCACAGTTGTAACACGTGACTTCTGGAGAAGATTTTGATGGAGTCATGCTTCCTTTCTTGGGCCTCGTACAGCTAGCGGCATAGTGACCAGGTTGATTGCAATTGTAGCAAGTCGCACTTGAAGGAGTTGTGTTTCCTGCCAATCTTCCCGAACCCGCATCTCGGGAGCTAGAAAGCGATAGGGCGTAAAGAGATGCACTCAGAGTATCAACACAGCTTGAAACACTTCCTACCCCGGTTTGTTGACGATTGGTGTACTCTTTTCCTAAAGACTCCTCAAAGCTGATTGCAATTTCCTTGAAAGCGTCGTGAAGAAGGTCCGGAGTATATGTCCATAATCTCGATGATTCTGAGAATGAATTGGTAAGGTTCTCGATAAATGTTATTGTAGTCATTTCCACGCTCCACTTCAACCCTTGAGATGTACTTGTCGCAAACTGGGAACTCCAGAGATTTTTGTGTAAGCCCCTGGGAAACTGCAAAAGATCGGGGATATCATCCTTAAGAAACTTGAGAGTTTGCTGACCAATATGATTGCTTAGCTCTACGAGGGAAGCGTCTGGCATGGAAGAACCAGGCTTGAACCGTTTCATAGCCTCGGAGACAGCCAGTAGAGCGTCACAGATCCCTTCTGATGTATGCTCGTGGGAGACGAAAAAGATGTAAAGATCCCACGAGCTCTGAGATTTATAGGTTGGGGAAATCATATGGTCAAAGGTCTGTTTGAGACGCCGCAGGCCATTGTCAAATGATTTAGCGTATGCAATGTGTGTTCTAGCAGCATCGCCTTTCCGTGATCTTCGAAGGACGCGGCCACATTCTCTATTAAGCTGTTCGCTAGCACTGGCCCTCTCTGTGAAGAAGTTAGTGTACTATAAATCCATGGAAAAACAAAACTAACCTTCCATTAATTGGCGGGTTCGTTCTCGGCATCTCCATCGAAGGACATCCATCCATTCATCTTCTTGCCAAGTTGCGTTAAGCTCACAAAAAGCCTTGCACAACTCCATAGAAAATAGCCTCCGGAAGCAGCTTTCATTTGGATAGAAGTTGGCCATATAGCTGGGATGGAATCCGTTCACGACGTGGACGACATGCCCATTGGAGAGTGTCAACCTCTCTACTTGATTGACCCGACCAAGCCCTTTGCCGGAGAAGGAGAGGTTCTGGTCTTTAACTCGCCAACAGGCAAAAACGACCTCTGGCTTTTTGGCCACCAGCATGGTAACGAATGTGTTATAGGCATCCGTCGCTTCTTTCGACAATGCTTCCGAAGATATTGTCTCGGTGATGAACGGGAAAGCATCGAAGACGCTTGTGGACGCGAGACTTCCCGGGCCGTTTACAAATGCCAGCGACTCCTGAAGATAAGCTAGCGTAGGACTTTCGTCCTTAACCCACTGAAAGTCTTCAGTGTAGATCTGTGTCTTAGCTGGTTGCAACAGTGCAATTACCAGACCACCTTGCGTCTCTGGTTGAGCGAGCCATGCAGCGAAACCCACTTCGTTTTTAGAAGGATAGGTCTTGTCGTCGCGGACCATGGTGTTACCAAAGCTCTGGATGATGTCTGCATGATTTCCGACTTCCTGAGAATGCTTCTGTTTGGCGCTTTGAAGGAGTGGCTTTAGACGGTGGTCAACCGGAACCCCGTTGCACAAATATTTTTCATTTGATGATGACATACCTCGATCAGAAGTAAATTCCAACACGCTGTACTTGCGCGAAAATGTCGAGAGTGCAACGTGAAGAGGTTCCTGTCGCTGGGTGCATGGTCAGGCTGTGCAGCCGCCGCGTGCTCTCTTGCCCCGGCTTTGCCATGACTCATTTTGATAGGATACTTGCTGCGGATGAAGTCGTGCTGGATTGTATCGTGTTGGTGGATCATTGGCCCAAACCACAAACCGGTGTGATAAGTGGTGTGATGAAAGGTCGTTGGATTTCCTCAAACCCTGCAACTCTATTCCGAAGCCAGCATGCGCCAACAAACTGACACCTGCCCCGCTGTACACCAAACTAGGAGTACAAAGCCAGCCCAATTCCCGTTATGTCAAGCAAACTGTGCAGGATGCTGCCAATGTTAGGGGCGATTCTGGGTTGACCTAATGTAGGTAGTCGAGCTTCCACGGTAGAGTTGCGGTCATTAGCTTCGGCGGTTCGATTGTGACACATACGCCGGCCTATAAGCAGAACCGACTAGGCTTCCACACGCATTGTCAGAACGCCGCAATCCATTGACAGACTTTGCTAGAAGTTGGTCGTATTGGGCTTCCCAGGTTGGACAATTCTTGGAAAATTCAAAGCAGCGAAAGCAGTAGATGCCGTCGCCGCTAGCCGCCCAGTTTATGGTGCGACAACAGTGTCTCGTACACCAGCCTGCTGACCATGTCTGTTACCACTTCCGACGCATCTGTTGGACCTCCCGGCACATGTCCTTGCACTTCTGTTCGAATCCTGACACCGAGCGCGGGCACCGGTTGGACCATGATGTTGAGGGGCCGATACCCGCCGGTCCCCTAGAGATGACCCCTGGCAATCGCAGGGAGATAAACTGGAGTAAGAATCATTGAGGGATTTCCCAGTAATCAAAACTCAAAGGGTTCTAGCAGCTCAATTCTGAGCGTTGCTTCGATCATTGGTGACTCCATCGAGCCGGATGAAGTATGGCCAGTGGCTATCTCATGCTGAATCGCTAGGCACCAGCTTCGAGGATATGTAGTATCAAATTCTCTTTTGCTTTGGTGCCAGACTTTCAAGGGTGGTCGCGTTACGGTCGCCGGATTAGATCGAATGTCAGCCTACCCTGATGGAGGTCGCCGCGCAGGTCGCCGCACAGGTTGCCGCACAAGCAACAATGACCAGCCACTCAACCAGCGATATTTCCAACACTCTCTCTAGTCCTTCTGAGAATGACTGGAGAAGGAAAACGTGAATACCTGGTGATGGAATTGATTCAGGGAACAAAACTGTCCGAAGTCACGCCCGACGAATCACCTCAACACTGTGACAAGGTTGCCCGAGCTATTACTCAATGTCCCTCGTTAAACGCGACAGACCTAGCCCTGCAGATGGTGGTGAACCGAACGGCAGTATCTGGGCCCCTGACTCTTCGAGCTTGCTAAAGCTTCAAGATCACCGTTGACTTAGAGGCTCATCCGTGCGTTGGTTAAGGAGGGTACTAAGATTCGCTTTCCAACAGACTCGTTGGCCCTCTGTCATCTTGATTTGTTTCGACGCAACATCCTCCTTATCAAAGACGGATCGTTGGCAGTTCTGGATTGGGCAAGTGCAGGATTATATCCAAAGAGGTTTCAGATCTGGAGGTTGAAAGCAGAGGTTGAGGATCGTCTCTTTGCAGATGATCTGCTGGAAAAAATGCCAGAGCTTGCTGCCCAGGAAAACTCAAATGTCTAATTATTGGAGAGGCATACTTCTGGAATTCCATTAATGGCCTGTAAGTGTCATCTCAGCACTCACCTATATCAAACAAGACAACTGACGCTCTCCTAGCTCAACGCAAGCTCACAAAATCGAGGGGACCTACATGCCTTCGCCGCCGGGTTTTCCACCTGACGATGCTTTTGGGATCAATTCATAATGTATCGGGCACTATGAATGCAACCTTCGCTGAGGCCTCTCATACGCGGAGCTCAAGAACCGAGAAGCTTGGAGCTCGCTTCAGTCTGGTTCAGAAGGAAGATGAGAATAGGACCTTGTCAACAGCCTTTACGTGGGGTGTGTTGAGGCAAGCAGTGGGGGTCACCAAATCTGACCTGGTCGCCAAAGAATTTCAGAAGACTCCATCAAGGCAGCGTAACAGGCATGTATCATACAACGCAATCCCATGAGCAGGGGTTCTTCACACGGAGTCGAGCCTCCTCGTGCTCTACTTGTTGTATTGCTTCCTTGCAAGAGACAAAGCCACAATGATAACTGGCAAGACGCTCACGATTTCACCCAGTCCGGCATACGCAGGCGGAATGCGCGTTTTAACGAATGCTCCACCTGCCAGCAAAATAGCGAAAAGATTGTATATCGCTGACCAGACAAAATTGAACATGATGCGACGGAATGACCGTTTGGACAGCTTGAGAAGCATGAGCACACCTTCCAACCCGCCTAGCAAGACCACATCAGCAGTTGCTCTCGTGACATCTGACGTAGTCCCGAACTGCACGCCAACGTTTGCTTGTGCCACGGCGGCAGCGTCGTTGGTGCCATCGCCGCAGAAGAGGACGACACGATCCTTGGACATCAGTGCTTTGACGTATTCTTGCTTGTCCTTGGGATTGTGACGGGATACCAAATTGGAGACAGGTATACCGATAGCCTGTGCAACGTCCTCGACCACTCGAGGTCCATCACCACTCACTATATGGCACTTGATGTTGTAACGGTGCAGAGTATCAATGACCGATCCTGCCTCTTCACGAATCGTGCTTTTGAGGCCAAAAGCAGCGACAGGGACAGAATCAAGTGTCACACATAAAAGTGTCATCCCTTGCTCAATGAGTTTGGCGACTTGCGGTCGATTATCAATCTCGAGCCAATATGGATTTCCAGCTTTGACGACAGAGCCCCTCCAGGTGCATTGAACGCCGGCTCCCGGATTTGAAACGACATTATCGACGTCAATGGCACCGGCCAACCTCACATCGTTATGGGCCGCGACTGCCGATGAAACTGGGTGCTGATTGTCCTTCATAAGTGCCTTAACGAGAGACAAGACTTCACCGGGAGAAACTGGACACGGAAACACCTCCGAGTGGACGACCGTAAGGTCTCCCTTGGTCAACGTGCCGGTCTTGTCGAAAACCACATCAGTGACTTTGTAGCCTCGCTCAAGTGCATCGGCTTGCCTGATGATAACACCAGCTTTAGCCGCAACACCACCTGCGATGACCAGAACCATAGGTACGGCGAGACCGAGCGCACAAGGGCATGACACAGCCAGAACGGCAATACCATAAGTAATCGCCACGCCGATAGCCCCGCCTCCATTTTTGCCACGTAGCTTGATAGCAACGCCCAACCAAATGCCAAAAGCTACCAACGCGAGAGTGATGACAAAAGGGATGAAGTAACTGGCCACTTTGTCGGCAAGGTCTTGAATATGAGGTTTCGATGCCAGAGCATTTTCAACCAAATTGGCAATATCGGTGATGCTGTTCTTACCCGGAAGACGAGTAATGCGAACACTGAGTGCGGTTGAACCGTTCAGAGTGCCAGCAATTACTCCATCCCCGGGGCTTTTCGATACCGGCACGCTTTCACCAGTGAGCATGGATTCGTCAACAGCGCTCTGACCATAAACGACTTCTCCATCGGTCACTATGCGGGCGTGGGGCCGGACGAGGAAAGTGTCGCCGAACTGCAATAATCGAGCATCGATCTCAGTTGTGTCCCCAGAGGAGGTGACGAGGAGCGCCTTTTCAGCTTGAAGCGAGCGGAGAGAAACCGCAGACACCGCTCTGACTTTTGCAGTGGCTGCAACAAATCTTCCGAGAAGGACCAAAGTGATCAAAAGAGAGCTCGTCTCGAAGAATTCTCCAGTCTCCAGAGCGTAACCAGCGTGTGTCAGCGCGAACGCTATCACGGAGTAGCCATATGCCGCCGTGACGCTGATAACAACCAGCATATCCATTTCCAGCACTCGACTGTAGACCAGCGACTTGATTGCGCCTACATAGAATTCCGGCACTGCGATGGCTTGGACAAGTGTCGCAAGTACGAGGGAGACTACGGACTTGGTTGAGTGGGCAGTGGGAGTGTTGGACCACGCGAGCACCACGATCGGAATTGTGAGTAGCGCGGCCAGTATGGTGCTCCAGCCCATGATGACGAGTCTCCTCTTGCCGTCGGCCAAGGTGACATCAATCCCCGGCGGAGCTAGACTAATTCCCGCAACAGACTCGAAAATTGTTCGTGCTCCGATGCTGGCTGGATTATAACTGACACGATAGGTCGTTTTGTCAATCTTTTCCACACTCTCGACAAGTTTTCCCAGCTCGGCGCAAGCGTCTTTCGCTTTGGCTGGATCGATGCGCACGTCCAGGACCTGGTAAGTGCTGACGATCCTAGAGTACTTGAAACCCGTCTCCTTCTCAATGCGTGGAATGATTTGTTCAGCGCTCGCAAGACTGGAGTCCAAGTCGAACTCAGCAATTCCAGTCACAAAAGTAACTTTCACCGAGGAGACACCTTCAACGTTTTGCAGTACATTGGTGACCTTTCTGCTGCAACCGGTGCAAGTCATCCCGGAAACTCCGAGGACCACGTGCTCGCGGGCGGCTTCGATCTCAATGTCATGGTTCTTAGCTCGAGCTACCGGCTCTTTCTGTTGCGGCATGGTCTTGACGGCAAGATGGCTCACTGAACAGTCGGATGAATTTCGTCTCTGGGTGGATTTGATAGTTTGTGTCTTCTGGTCGTAATATACGTCTCTGCACGCTCCTTTAGCAGAGCGTCGATGGATGCCTTGCCTGGCCGTTGGAACCGCGCTAGACTTTGCGTAAGACGTGGGCTCGTCTTTAGTTGCAGGAGAGATGGGTTTTCCACAGCACTGGTCGAGGCGATTGAGGACGCTGCGGCAGATGCAGAGTCCCTGCTCCAGGTATCTGGTGTATTTGTCCAATGCGTCCTGCAGATGACTATTACAGGCTTCAGTGCCAGTTTGCAGGCGCTTGGTGCCTCGAAAAGACGATGTACAACTTTCTGACCTGGCAGGTAGATTTTCCGGCCTAGTTTTATCGGCCTTGGCTGAGCAACATGCTGACTTGTTGTTAATGTGGGAATTGGTGTCTGCATTTGAGGAGCTGCCATTTTCATCTTCATTGACATCAACGCAGCTTGTGTCTGTGTCAGTGCAGCAGTTGTCTTCCTCTTCCATGGCATCATTGCAAGCAGTTGTCGAGGAGCAGCATACTTTCTTCTCCAGGTTCAGGGTTGTCCCTTTGTTCAATGAGCAGCAGGTGGCCTCTTCCTTAGTCTCCGCCACGCTTGTGTCTTTGCTGGTGCAGCAAGTGTCTTTCTTGCATAAATTTAGTTGTACCTCCTTCTTCTTTGCGCAGCATCCCTCCTTCTTTCCGGCGCTTATAGATTTGCCGTCCTTCCCGGCACAACAGTTGTCTTTCCCGGTAGCAGCGCTCTTACGGATTGGGTCCAGTTCGCCTTCAGAAGGTTCAGGTCTGTCGCCAGCGCAGGCGCTCACTTGTGACGGTACACAGCAGTCGTCGAAACGGTCACCGAGACCCACAGGAGGCTGCTGAAGTTCCTGGTTTCCACACGCGGATTGGCATTCTATGGCGGCAAGCTTGCGAATGCAGACATCTAGTGCAGTGTCAACGGAGTATATTTCGCCTGGACACAATAACACGCACAATCACAATGTGTTCGGCCACTGCCACAGTCAACACAGCATCCAGCCTTGGGAGAAATGGCTTCTGCGTCGACATAATCGGAGCCACTGTCAGTGGTTGCCCTTGGACTCAAATGAGATGATTCTGGCGGTGCATGATTTAGGTTCGCCATCGCTAGAGTATGCGGGGGGTGCCCAGCTTGTAATTAATCGACGGACCAGGAGATAGGGAGGTAAATAGGTCCAGACGTGCTGTGAGGTGGGTGGCCGACTCAGGGATGCGGTTTGGTGAAGGTTGGACAAGCCAACTACATAGCACGTGTGGGGGGTACAGTATAACCGACACCGGCCTCACTAGCCCCAACGTGTGGATTCAACACCTGGATGGGCCAGGAGTCTCACAATCAATTGGCCAAATTCAGGTTGGCCTAAAACGGGTTTTGATCCAGGAATGCTTCGCTGGCGCATCTGCAACCGCCCTTCTGGAGCAGGTCCGACTTCGTCTTATGAGTGGTTCAGCTATAAGCCGTCGACGCCCCGAGCCACTGTGCAATATATGAAATTATGACTGGCAATCCCCCATATTACGAATTCAAGGGGATGAGCAACGCACGAGAGCATGTCGAGCATTCATACGATACCAATCAATTTCCTGACGTCGTATATCTGCCGATGGGACACTTGATGCTCGATTGCTGGCATGGTAAATTAATTCCATGTGTGAGGTTATAGAGACCATTGAATGATTCAGACCGTCTACAGCCAGGCCATGGCATATCACTACTTGGTGGAGAATGCTCACCGCACAATGCCCGCAAGATCGGCGGTTTCCGAGGGTGTTACATAGGGACAAAATCTAGACTTCGTTTGCTGGAGTATATAACTTACCGAGCTGGTACGATTGGCTCTTCTGTTGGGAAGAAATTCTGGGTGCCTGCTTTCGACGGATGTTATTCTGGGACTGGGCCATCTTTCTATCACGCGAACGAGAACACGTGGTGACTCTCGAATTTGAAATCCTGTCAGAACGAGCCGAACAGGGCAAGGACGTTAGCCAGACCCGCAAAGGGTGATAATTGAACTTGATAACAAACGGGTGTCACTTCAGGACGATATCGACAATAACGGGACGACCATCGACGCTGCTAGGGCAGGCGGGGCCGGACAGTCGAAACAACGATGAGAAAGATCTTCATCAAAGAAGACGATTAGGAGTAGGGTAGTATTAAGGGAACTCTGGTCTTATACTGTAAGGAACACGTGCCGTACACTGATCTGTAGTGCAAGATGACGAAAGGTCTACCGAGTACCTTATGATGAACCCGCTTTTCTTCTTCGCAATTCTGGCGAATGTAGCAGGTGAGAATTTTGACTGTTGATTGTTTTTGCTGGTTGAAACTCTTTTTTTGATATATTCTTTGGCGTTCTTCTAGGAATGAATGGTGAGCAGAATATCGATTCTGGTTGCGAGTTTGAGAGGAGGTTACTGGATGATGGAGTGACTTAGAATGCTCAGCCTTGTTGTATTTGGTGTGCGCAACAGCTGTGGAGTAAGAGTAATCAGGGGACTGGTCTCGTATAAATTTCTGTAGATGGGCAACGAAGGCGCGGGATTCCAATCACCATTGCGCCTATCAGGCGTGGGAAACGTCAGATGGCACTTAGTCTGAATTGCTTCCGGTGTCTAGACGGTTCTTCCCGGTTTCCTACCGGAGCTGGCTGGATCATAAGCCGGTATGAGCCGCGACGAGTCAAAACGCACCTCGAGCAATGTGAAACCTTTTCTCAGGGCAGTGTCTTAGAAACCACACGTGTGCGTCCGAGTGTGCCTCAGACATTTCCCCCGTGGCCACTGACCGGATTGTCTATCAGAATAGGCGATCCCATGTTCCATATGTTCTTCAGCGACCTCGGGCTCATTGTGTAATTGGACGGTCTGAGAGACAGTGTTCTGGGTACTGTACCGCACAATGCTGTCCTTGTTGAAGCTGGTCCTGGGATGGTGCCCTGGAGTTGAATTCCCCATATGATCGCCAACTATGCTGCGAACGCGTAGCTCCCGAGAATCGCATAGACGGACCAGGGGTCTGGATCTTGTCTCTTCTCCAGTATTTCGGCCACCACGCTCGCATTTCTCGTCGCAGAATTTCTCGAAATGCTTTTCAACTGCTGGACCACCCAGTCCCGCACCTTCGTCTCGGGACTGGCGAACACGGCGGCCACGTAGAAGGGAAAGAGAAGTGTGTAGCGGTGACATTTTCGAAATGGCGAAGAGTAGGTGGGCTTCTGCGTGAATTGGGGCCCGGTGGCGCAGATCTCTTTGGCCATGGTGTCGATTATATGGGTCGCGAAGGCCACGTTCAACTCGTTGGGGTGAAAGCCAGTGTTTTCTGGGATCATGCTAAGATATGTTGTCCGAATGAGGTTGTTCAGCATGATTCGCATGATGCGGATAACATTGTAGGTCTGCGCGGTGAAATAGTCTGGGTAGACGTCGTAGTACTGTTCCAAGACGTCAGGCGAGCCCGGCAGGACCGTAATTCTGTGGGAGACCCAAGTCGGTGGCATGTCCGTTGCAAGTGAGCGAAACTCGCCGTCCAACCTCTTTGCCTGCGTTATGATATCAGAGGGTGCAATCAGGCCTTCCTTTACTGCTCCGCGAAAGTTGGCATACTTCATCACCAGGCCAGAAACCTGCCATTTAGGATCTTTCGCGTTGAGATGTGGTTGAATATCAGAGCGCAGTTTGACCAAGGCAGGCGGAATTGGGAAGTTGCCGGCGACGCAGCTGATGAGCATATTGGTGAACAGCCTCACTGATAGCCGTAGACCAGTGTAAGTTTCTAGCTGCTGCAGGTGGCGCAGCTTCACAAGTGCTAAAGCGCCCTTGACGTGGCTCATCCATGATTCCGATGAGATGGGACTGCGATTGGTGATCTTTTCAAAGAGGTCGAGCAGAAGGACTGCCAGTAAAGTTGAGTCGGATGCCAGAACCTCTGTAGTAGCCACGGCGCTTTTGACTAGCGGAAGAGCAGACAAATACATTTCCCGCGCGGGCTTAAACGCCGCGCCTTCAGCATCGTATTGAAAAGAAAAGAATGCCAAGCTCACCGCGTCGACACTGGCCGCCAGGTGCTGGTCTAACGGGGCTTGTCGACCTATCCGTTCCAGGACATCATAGGTTTTGGAAAACCCCAGGACGTAGTGAGAGAAGAAAGCCGCCCGCGCTCTGTCGACGAGCGGGGTGTCAATACTCGTTGTCATTGGTGTTGATGGCAGACCTCGAGCCTTGCGCATGATGGACTGGCTCTCATCTCGGATTCTCAATTGGTCGGGGTCGCGGTAGCCCGAGCACGATAGCCCGGCTCTCACACATTGACCACAGGCATTCTTGCGAAGATCACACTGTCAATTCAGTTAGCTAGACCATCTCTGCTCATCCACACACACGGGATGCTCACGCGGAGTTTCCTCCGTCTGCAATGCACGCAGGCTCGAGATGGCTTCCCGGTGAATACCATGATCTACGGGGGCATGGAAGATGAAAGTGGAAAGAGATTCGGTGTCGACCGTGACCTGCTCCTTTTCTCCATCGTCAGAGCGAGGTGAATAGCGGAGTCAAGTAGGTTGGAACGGAGGCTAGAGATGCATGAACAAAGTGCCGCTCGTTGGTTGATGCTCTGTCGTCTTCATCGCAATGGCCAGTCGGAATTGATCGGGGCCTCGCTAAAACTGTATCTACCGACAGGAGGCTATTCCCAACATGGCAGGTCTTCCGTCGACGTCATTTCATGGGCTAAAGTTGTAATTACTGGGTGTTATTTTTGGTTGTCCTCTTGGTGGCTGCTCCATGAGCATTCAAACGGATCGAAAGTAACACGACGTGAATTTGTGGACAGAAAGGCGAGCTGGGGATGCCCTGACCGTCAGCCTCGACTCCATTCTACTCGGTAACATCAGACTCTCAAGCGGATTTGACAGCCCTACAGAAGGACAACCCCCTTTCTTGGAGAAATGAACTTCCTTGAAAACTTGATAGGTCTTGTTAAAGGTACGACACCTCGCCGATGACCTTGCACAGAACCTTTGGGCCGAGATGACTGCTTGATCTACACATTTACTTGACGACCCCGTCTTGAATCGCCAGGGCCTCAAAGTTTCCAACTCCGCACAGACATCCCGACAACAGAATTCACTTCCTCTTTTCTCGTCAAAAGCAAAATCACAAAACTCGGATTGAGACTGTCATGGCCTTTGTATATAAGTGAGTATTGCTTGTCTGGGCGACGGAGGGGATTGGCGCTGCAATGGCAAAAATTTGTTTTATTCAGCGGTACACCAAGGTCATCGCAGCCGGATGTTGACAGATGCTGCTGGATGTGTTCGTCGAAGAGCACAGCAATGCCGACGTTATGAGACTCGACGTCTGAGACCGGGTAGAGGTGGACAGATTTGTGCGAGACGTCACAGAGACCGAACCAGACCCGGATTGCGTTTTCCTAGACGCGGGGACTCAGAGCACAGTCGATTTGGCCATCCGAAAAAGGTCGAAACTGCAGCCTTCCACTTGGATGTGGCAACTAAATTCTCACCTCTATTTGGCTCATTTTGCTTCGGGCACCTGTATCAACTTGAGAATGACTGTGTGAAGCCGACAATGCTGAGGAGAGCGCTGCCCAGGATCAAAATAAAACGGACATTTTCAGATGAGTGGGCCATTTCAAGTTAACCATCCTTTAGATAGCTCGATGTGCAGCTAAACAACGGCTCCTAACCAGATTGCAGGCGTGTACTGGATTATTCAGGAAACAGGCAGTAGAGATTGAGGTTGGAAGCGGTCTTTCGCTCGGCCGTTGATCGTTTTCTCTGACGATGGAGTATTATCCATCATTTCGAACCCTTGAGCATCTACCTACTTCCCCGTTGGGTAATTCACTAACAATCCAGGACCCTTTTCTCCTCGTGACCAATGCTGTCTCTGATTATGATTGTTGAACGTTGCTTCGGGACAAGGCTTATTACACGCACCCATCTAAAGAACTGGTCACGTTGATCGTCGTTGCGTCCGCAAGTCTTTGAAAGCTGAGGATTTGTAAGGAAGTCTACGTCCGAAAGAGGAGATTTCCAACTCGGCGTCACGTGTAAGGCCCAGGAACATGACGTCGATCTCTCTTCACTTTATCTAAGCAACACAAGCGATAGCCAATGAGTAATGTCTATTGGGTGACCAAGAAAGGTACACCAAGCACTGCATGGGGTAGCTTTGGGGTTGCCACAACCCCAGGGGTCGCAGTGCTTGGTGTACCTTTCTTGGTCACCCATAGGGTCTGCGATCCATGATCCATGGCATTGAAGCCAGAGTACAAGAAGCGTGTATGCTGAGACGTCAAAGATATATAGACCACGTACTGGTTCCTCGAACATTGCATCTCTGGCTCTTGACAATATCAAGATTCCACCTTCTGAACCAATAGTTCTACCACTCGCAATTGCATCAACTTCGGCTTTCTTAGACCAAAGAACCACGCGGAAAAAAGGCACCATTATGACGTCTTCCGGCAACTCCAAGGTCTCCAGGCCAGGCCACTGGATTGTTTCCGAGTTCGGCGGGCCCTCAGTCCTCAAATGGGAACAATTCTCTTCTCTCCCCGTACCTACTCCATCGACAGCATTAGTCCGCATATTGATCTGTGGCATTTCCGGGGCCGATAACAACATGCGCGCAGGCGGTTATACTCGGAATCCTCTGGCGGCGCGACCAGGGTTTACCCCGGGTTACGAAATCGTGGGCGTGATCGAGGAATTTGGTGAAGGCACGGAGGACCGCCGCGGCTTCGAGGTTGGCGATGTTATTGCTTCGCTCTGCATCGTTGGAGGGTATGGTACTCACACAGTCGTGTCGTTGGATGACATGCTCAAGCTGAGGAAAGATGACGATCTGGTTGCTGCTGCAGCTCTGCCGTTGAATTATATGACGGCGTATGGGATGTTGAAGAAGAGTGCATTTCCTATCAACGAAAAGAGCCAGTCTGTCCTGATTGGCTCAGTGGCAGGTGGCGTTGGAACAGCTGTCGTCCAACTTATCCAGCTTCTTTATCCCGGTGTGACGATCATCGGAACGGCCTCGCCGGAGAAATTCGCCTACCTGGAGTCGCTGGGCGTGAAACCCCTTGATAGAAACACGCCACCCGAACAACTTCCCGAGGCAGTCAAGGCGGTCAACGGAGGCCAGGGAGTTGACATCGCATATGAAATGGCCGGTTCGTTAGCCAGTATGGATGCATTTCTCTCTGCCACGAAAGAAAAGGATGGAAAGATGATCGCCATTGGGTTTCTGGCCAACGTCAAGGCAGATGGAAGTGGCTTGGCAGCCACGATATTCGATCCTCTCGCTTACTGTGCTGACCGACCCGACAGGACAAGCTTCTTCAGCGTCACAAACCATTACTGGAAAGGGCAACGAGCAATCTTCAAGAACGATTTTGAACACGAGCTTCTGCGTCTGGTTCGGTCAAAGAGTCTGGTTCCTGTCGTCAGCAAGCTATGGAGGCTGGAGGATGCCGTGGAGATCAACGAGTTGCTGGCCACTGGCCGAGGGATCATGGGGAAGCATGAGATGGTGGTGGACGAGGACCTTTGGAACAAGTACACTGCCAGCAGGTCGGAGTGAGATATGGAGGGTTAGAAAGTTGACCAGTAATCTCTCATGTGTCACCCTTGAAATTCGCGCTCAGCTGGAATAACAAGAGCACCTTTTCCCTGGACATAGATGTGAAAAGAATTCTTTAAGCCGTTCTCCAAGAGCATATTTGTTAAAGTCCCAGCAGCAGATTCACAGACTCGGGGGTGCGAGTTAGGAGAGGTCTTTTGGAAATCCATGACGGCAGAAGGCATAGCTGTGTTCATCAATAGCTTCATGCCATGTTTGAGCTATGTAATATAGTTGAATAGAGTTAGATCAAGCCTGCTGGCCTCTTGGCATATTTGTCTTCTTTGGGCATGACTGCATTGACCGCATCTACGAACGCAGCCTTGTCCCGCAATGCACACATCCTCCAACTCTACATGCGAGCCTACTCGTTGCCTCTACAAAGGCTCGTTCGTAGAATCTCGCAGCTTACGTCGCAAATATACAGTCTCTCCTCCTCCGGCACGAAGATGGATCCATCTCTCCGTTCCCACTACCTCGCAGACAATCCTCCCACCGTCGTCCGATTGGAGATCGCCCCTCACTTCGCCGCTCTTCCGCCTAAACACAAGCGATATGCTCACCATCTGAGTCGTGCTTCTTTCCACGGCACTCGTGTAACGCTAGCACAAGTGTCGCCGGAGTCTCCTGTCATCTACGATCTCATACTTGCTCTCCATCGTGCCTGCAATGGCGATTACAAGAAACTCTCTGCCGATACCTCTGTGTCATCCTCCGACATCACGCTATGGCTCGAGTACGCCGCCCAATTTCTGGGTAATACAGGCAATTACAAGGGATTCGGGGACTCTAAGTTCATACCGAGAATTTCACCTGAGGACTTGAAGAAGCTCTGTGATGTCAACCAGGAATGCAAAAGCATCCATGAGCAGGCTACGAAGACAGGAGGAGGTATATATGAGACCAAGGATGTGGCTCTCATGCACCTTGGGTACCCGGAAGCTGGCCATATGTCAGCTTACTACCCGGATTCACCGACAATCACGAAAGAGGAGATTTCTATCGTTGGGGACGTGCTCGAGGAGAAGAAGTTGCTGATAGAAAACACCAGACTGCGGAAACTGGACTCAGGAGATTTTGAGTTGCTCATTGCGTCCGGGGTGTCGAACCCGCCTGCGTCGGAGCGAGATCTCGGTGATGTTTCAACAATCGACTTGACAGGGAAGCTTGCTGGAAAGAAGCTGCACCTTCGTTTCGGGGACTACCAAGAAGAGATGGCCAAAATCGCCCTTGAGATCAAGAAAGCGAGAAAGTATGCTGCCAACGAGATTGAAGAAAAGATGCTTGACGAGTACGCGAGGTCTTTTGGAACTGGCAGCATCCAAGGATTTGTGGAATCGCAGCGTTACTGGATCAAAGACAAAAAGCCAATGGTCGAGACGGATATAGGGTTTGTCGAGACTTATCGAGACCCCCAAGGTGTCCGAGGTGAGTGGGAAGGCTTTGTTGCCATGGTGAACCAAGAGCGGACCCGCGCATTCGGCAAACTTGTCGACGCAGCACCAAGCATGATTCCGAAGCTTCCGTGGAGCAAGGAGTTCGAGAAAGACAAGTTTCTGAGTCCCGACTTTACTTCATTGGAGGTCCTGAGCTTCGCCGGTAGTGGTATACCGGCAGGTATCAACATTCCGAACTACGATTTCATCAGACAGAACGAAGGCTTCAAAAATGTGAGTCTCGGGAACGTCTTGAGCGCGAAAGCCCCCAATGAGCCAATCCCATTTATTCGCAAGGAAGACGACGAGCTCTTCCGTAAATATCGTGACCCTGCTTTTGAGGTGCAAGTCGGCATCCACGAACTTCTGGGTCACGGTTGTGGAAAGTTACTCCAGGAAACGGCCCCTGGTTCATACAACTTCGATATCAAGAACCCCCCAATCAGCCCGGTTACCAAGAAACCAATCACCTCATACTACAAACCCGGTCAGACCTGGTCCAGCGTCTTTGGATCGATTGCTTCATCGTACGAAGAGTGCCGCGCCGAATGCGTTGCGATGGCTCTGTCCTGCGACTTTGAGATTTTGCAGATCTTTGGATTCGGCGATGGCAAGGAAGATATCAGCAACGAGGCTGGCGATGTTCTTTACGCGGCGTATCTCCAAATGGCCCGTGCGGGAGTGGCGGCATTGGAATACTGGGACCCGAAGTCCCGGAAATGGGGCCAAGCGCACATGCAAGCTCGCTTCTCAATCCTGCGCACATTCATGGACGCCGGTGGAAATTTCTGTGAACTCAAGTCTCCAGGCGGCGATATCAAGAACCCGGACGACCTTGAAATCCACCTTGATCGGAAGAAGATCCTGTCCCACGGACGGCCGGCGGTCGAGGCTTACTTGCAGAAGCTCCACATCTACAAGGCGACTGCTGACTTTGAAGCTGGCAAGCAGTTGTACGACGACATCACCAATGTAGATGAGTGGTGGGCGGAGAAGGCGAGACCGATTGTGCTGAAGAAAAAGACTCCCCGCAAGGTGTTTGTGCAGGCCAACACGGTGCTGGACGAGGAGAGCGGAGACGTGAAGCTGGTGGAGTACGAACCGACGATAGAGGGCATGGTTCATAGCTACGTTGAACGTAACGTCTAGATCTTTGGGGAAAGTCAGCATATGACGGCGCTATGCATGGATATGACGAGTACGTGTGATGTGGAGAAAGATATGCATGGCACTGGCGATCAGTCTCCCAAGAAGAGCCCAAGCCTTGTTCGGAGTGATTGATTCCACTAGATCAGTCCCAAAAGAAAGCATCAATATCACACAATGTTATTCCCAGAATGCGACCGTCGTGCCGGAACATCTTTTATGAACCCTGATTTCCTCCAGTCTGGCTGGTAGACATCACACATCCTCACGGTGAATATCTTGACAGCATACCTCCTAGCATACTGGACGCCTGACACGGCCATGCCCTTGGACAGCGCCCTTGATTGTAAACTAAAAGGCTACCTGGTCGAACTTGCTGGCTCAGGAAAAGGGAAAGGGAACAGCGGACTCTGTGTGATATTCCCCATCGTTAATTCATTGATTCATTTATTCCCGCATTGATCGAGTCCAAGACTAAGACAAGACAAAGACAGTATTTTCCACTGGTTTGTCTGCACTCAGCTACAACTGAAACTAGAGCATATTGATACGAGGTAATACTGGGAAGTACGTGGTTCGTTCATTCGTTTCCCATAGGGGGAGAGAGAGAGAGCCCACCGCCTCAAGAGACCGTGATGCTCGACGACCCGCTGCTCTGGTACCCCCTCGGTGGCGAAGATCTGGTAATTGCAGGTGCCCAGGGCCATGCTCAGCTTCGCCCAGGCGTTAAAGTGGTTCGCGGTGGTGACGGTGCCGCCAACGCGTTTGGACGTGCGGATCGACCAGTACTGCGTGGAGGTGGCGGTGCCGTTGATGGATGGTCACCACCGCTGGCGTGAGCGCGAGTAGGACCGAAGAGAAAGACACCATTTTTGTGACGCTGGAGGAGCAAGCAAGCAAGCTAGCAAATGTCGACCTTGGTGAAGAATTCTCGACGCACCACTGGACTTCTTGCTTGCTTTTTAAGTCTTTCTTTCGTGAGCACAACATCCCGCCGGCGAAATAGGGCAATCTACACCCCCATCTCCCCTCACTTGACCCTCGGTCGGTCGCTTGGTAAATAGAATGCATGTGACTAGGATAATGAGGTGCGCATCTCGCATGTGACTGTGGAAATTCTCATCGATCGAGCTGGCTGGCTGGATGGCTGGCTGGATGGCTGGCTGGCTTACCTCATTCTCTGCATGGATGTAACAACATGGCATTGACAAACGATCCGTTCCTGAGGAAATTAAGATCGCCGCAGGACTGATGGAATGGTTGTCCTTGGGACGCGCCCAATTTACCCGAGCCCCTTACAAAGTACTTTGTAAAGAAAGCACTTTGTAAGGAGTACTCGGTACTGTCAGTACATATCATCCTACCGTCCGGATTCCCGGTTACGACTCGGACGATATCAGGGAAGCCCATCTTCGTCTCTTCAGCAGGCGAGGTGTTATTTTTCTTAGCTTCTCGAAAATGCTGGCCGCAGGGAACGGGGAGGGGGTGTTTGTGTGCTACGGTTTCAGACCCCGGTCATCCCTGCTGGTCATGCGTTGTGCCGTGAAGACTGACTGTACCTCGTCCTTGACCATCACCAGGTGAAAGGCAGGGTTGGATCGGGGGCCCGCGATTTGTATTTGATACTTACTTGTGCTCAATGTTGTGAAGGACTGGGCTGTCGAGTCGAACGTGGAGCTGGCTCCTTAGGATGGAAGACGGCTAAAATGTGCTGAAGTGGTTGCCAGGCAATGTGTAATTGGGGTGCCCAACTTAGACTTGTGTGACCTCGAGAAGAAATCAACAGCACATCACATCATCCGAGATGCCTTGAACGAGTACATTCAGTAGAAGAGAGAAGTTGTTTCAAACAAGGAAGTGTCGGGAGAAGCCCTAGCAGTAGGTATGGCGCCAATTAATCCGCCTTGTGTATCTGAGTGATGTATTCTTTTTTGGCCTCCCCTCGGGTCAGAATACCTCTCCGTCAGGGAATGAGGCTGTTAAATACGAGTACGAGGTAGATTGTGGGGATGGCCGCTTGGGGACGTGAGTCAGAATTGTGTATGTATGATAATCCAGTTTTTTGACTCGTGCGTTACGCACGTATTTGCTCGAGCCAAGCAGAAGATCTTCTCACCGCAATGGCAGAGCAAAGCAATAGATAGAGCTTGCACGGGAACAACAGGTTTTGTGCTCTCCCAAAGTATAAAGAACACACTCGGGCCTCGCAACCCGCGGACATAGCATCGGGGGCGAGCTTCGGCCCCGAGGACGGAAAGTACAACTATGAAAAGGGAAGATCAAGATGCAGGCAGAAACACTTGAATACCATTGTCTCTCTGATTGAGGGAGGAGATCCTGTGAAGCAGAGAAACAAACACCCTGACGACCACCTTTCTTTCCACATTCATTTGTAGAACCCGGGCGAAGCATCAACGGCAATATATGAAGACACAAAGACTGTGGAAACTCACCATGGCACCCTTGAAAGTCCTCATCATCGGCGGCGGCGTCGCTGGCCCAGCCCTGGCCTTCTGGCTCTCCCGGATCGGGGCACACATCACGCTCATCGAGAGGGCTCCCCACATGCGCGCATCGGGCCAGCAAGTCGACATCCGCAACCAGGGCAAAGCCATGTTGAAGAAGATGGGCATCGAGGCCGCGGTGCGGGCAGCGTGCGTTCACGAACCGGGCGCCCAGATCATCGACGTCCGGGGTCGCACGCACGCCTACTTCCCCGCGACCCGCGACGGCGCCGGGCGGCAGAGCTTCACGTCCGAGTACGAGATCATGCGCGGCGACCTGGTGCGCATCCTGTACGGACTCACCGAGGGACAGGCAAACGTCCGCCACCTGTTCGGCACCACCATCGACAGCTTCACGCAGGACGACGAGGCCGACCCCCACGGCAAGGTGCACGTGAGGTTCCACGACGGCCACACCGAGGACTTTGATATGGTCGTCGGCGCCGACGGGTCGGGCTCCAAGACGCGCAAGATCATGTTGGGCCCCGACGCTCCCGATCCGCGGCACCCCCTCGGCGGCTACATTGGGTATTTCAGCATCCGGTCCACCCCGGCCGATTCGGACAGGGCGACGTTCTGCCCCCTGCCAGGGCCCCGAGTGGCCCGTATGATCGGGACGAGGAAGGACTGCGCCGAGCTGACCCGCGTGTACATGTTCCTGCTGGGCAAGGACGCGGCCGTCGACGCGGCGTACAAGTCGGGGGACCTGGCCGAGCTGAAGAAAGCGTGGGCGGACGTGTTCCAAGGCGGGGGGTGGGAGTGTGACCGGTTCATGGACGCCCTCCGCCACGCCCCCGAGGCCGACGACCTGTACTGCTCCCCGTTCGAGGAGGTGCGACTGCCCGAGGAAGGGTCGTGGTCGAAGGGCCGGGTGGTGCTGATCGGCGACGCGGCGCACTGCCAGACGGCGGGCGGTCTGGGTTCCACGCACGGCCTCCTCGGCGCCTACGTCCTGGCGGGCGAGCTCGCGACGCAGTACGCGCACGACAAGTCGCTCCCCACCGCGGCGGTGGTGCAGGCCGCGAAACAGTACGAGAAGAAGTTCCGACCAGCCGCCACGGCGACGCACGGCAGCAGCGAGGGATTCGGATGGCTCTCCTTTCCCCGGTCGCGCGTCGGCATCTGGGTCGTGCTCCTGCTCGCCAGGTTTGCCGCGTACTTTCGTCTCGATCAGAAGTTTGGCTTGTTCGGCGATACCTGGGAGTGGCAGCTGCCGGAGTATCCTGCCCTGGAAGAGGGCGTTGATTGTGTTGATGGATGCTCTGGGGGGAGGAATCCATGAGGTGAGGTGGTGCTGGGTGAGCAACTGGCCAAGCAAACCCTGTGCATGTATATATATTATCGAATCTTTCTTCTGTGTGTTAGATGATACCCACTCATCTCCAATGTAGACGTCTCATTTCGGTATAGAAGATTCATTCCACTTTCGAGAAGGCTGGTTACCATCCCCTGCTGGATTGGTGGATGATGCCAATGGCTCGTGTTCAAGCTGTCAGCGGTCTCGCTCTCAGCATGGACTGTACTGTACCTCGTACATCCTGTAGCTGGGATGCTGCCATTGAGTAGTGGCCTGACACACAATAGGGCATTGACTCAAACGTCAGATAGACAGACAGACACCCACCTCTTCCCCCCCCCCCGGTCTGGCATTAGTAACTCTGCGCCTCTTCTTTCTATTCCGTGCACGACGGTATAATTACTTCCCAAAGAAAGCCAGGATGGGTGCAACCCTCTCCAACGACCCTCAATCTTTTGTTGGACTTTGGATCTGGTCTAGCATGGAGTAACAACGTGCTTGAAACGTGGTGGCGAAACACTGTGGCACCGCGTGGCTCCTGACCGGGGCCCGTAGAGCGGCAATGGCCCCCCATCGACGCTGAAACGCCTAACCGCGACGACGTCTCGTCAAACGCCAGATCGTTACACGATGGAGCTATCTCGCTTTCTTTGCACCCTTCCCTTCTTACTCCCCCTCCGATCCCATCAAGGATGCATACAGATGGGATCTGGGCTGCTGAGGAGGGCGTGGTGGTATTCTGCCAGATTGCAGGGTTGGAAGTCATGCCATGATATAATATGATATATATGATGGCGGGAGGAGCTCTCGACGTTGATTTCTCTTCGAGCTGGGTTTCTTTCTCTCGACGCCGTTCTTTTTTTCTCGCTGCCGCCGTTGCACGCCTGCTGAGCAGGTCTTCCATTCGTTCTTTCCCTTTGCCTGGTGCAGACACATTTTCGTCGAGACTTCAGTTCAGTTTGTATATATACTACCATCCCTTTGTGTAGCACCATGGTGGCCCTTCTTTACGCGTTGTTCTTGGGCAGCAGCGCGTGGCTATGTGCTGCCCATCCCGTCGCTGAGAAGCGTACGGTGACGGCGCTCGATCAGGCTTCCTTCGAGGAAGCTCAACAGCGCGACAACACGGCCACGAGAGCCTTTTCGTCGATTCCTATCAAGGTTTGTCGCACTCCATGGTTGGAAACTGTGAACGCCAGAGCCTACTGACCTGACCAACCGACCAGACATCGGATGGACAATGCCTCTTCGTCGACGAGCTGTCTGGAGATTTCCGCGCCAACTTGACGCCGATTCAAGTCGGGGCGTGCAACGGCAGCATTGCACAGCAGTGGGACATCATCACCGCCGGGAAGCATGACAATCAACCGGGGAGTATGCTGATCGTCAGCGCATTTGTACGTTCTCCATGACCGTTTAGCAGCAGCTCGTCTGACATCCGAATTCCCTAGACGCAAGCGTGCTTCAATTTCGACCCCCGTCGTGCTGCCGGGAACCAGGTGCTTCTCTTTTCGTGCGGTGGACGTGCCGACGGCAGTAAGTCTTGCACCTCTATGCCATCAATCACCCTGTACCTTGCTGATCATCTGCGTGCGTGTGTGTTAGCTGGAGCTGTGACAAACTCCCAACTGTTTCCCTTCAATGGAAGTGCCGGCCCTCTCGCCTTGACCCCTGAGAATGCCCCTGGAGACTGTTTGACCGTTAGTGGAGGACTCATCGACATCGCGGCCTGCAACCCTGCTGATCCCAAGCAATCTTTCACTTTCGATGATGCTGGTGCTGGTGCTGTTAGCACTTCTGTTAGCACTACTGTCAGTGCTACTGTTACCACCGCTGTGGCAGTCGAATCGCCAACCGTTGCGACTGACTGTGCACCCGTTTCGACCATCATTTCGACGCTACCTGCATCAACCATTACGCTGCCTGCGTCAACCGTCACCGTGACGGTCGTCTCAACCCCGGCGACGACAATTTCAACAACATCACCGCCACCACCTACCGTTGCAGCCAGTACAGCATCATCAGGCCCAACACCACCGACCTCGGCCTCAGCCTCAGCCTCAGCCTCCGTCATCTCCGTCTCTCGCGCCGGCAACGTCCTCCAACCCTCCGCAGCGGCCGAAGCCAACCCGCGCGACGACACGGCCACGCGAGCCTTTTCCTCCGTCCCGATCAAATCATCGTCGGGCCAGTGTCTCTTCATCGACCCCACGGCGGGCGACTTCCGCGAGAACCTGATCCCGATCGTGCTGCAGCCGTGCGACGACGGCAGCCCCAACCAGAGCTTTGACGTCATCACCGCGGGCGTGCACAACAACCAGCCCAATTCGGCGTTGATCGTGAGTACCCTGACGCAAGGGTGTTTGAACTTCGACCCCCGGAGGGACGCGGGAGATACGGTGATCATGTTCAGTTGTGGGGGCAGGGCGGATGGGAGTGGACAAGTCACCAACAGTCAGCTCTTCACCTTCACCGCCGGCGAGACCAGTTTGCGGCTTCAGCCCGAGAATGGCGACGGGACCGTGTGTCTGGTAGAAAATGCAGCGGGCAGGCTGGACCAGACGACGTGTAGTGACGACCCGAGCCAGGTGTTCACCATCGGCTAGATGGGGAGGGGGGATCATATGCATTATACGAGTATAGTATGTATGTCCCCTGTATATTCCGGTGGGAGAAGGATTGTTGTACTCTGTAGACCGTATACCAAGTGATATGGCCCCAAAGACACAAGACATTGATGCTGCGTGCCAAGCGCCAATCAAAAAGACATCAGCGAGAATGCTGTAATAAAATAAAATGAGTCAGTAGTTGTGTTTACACAGTCATTACTATGACTCTGAGATGGAAACTAACCAGTAACCTAGAACCCCTCCTCCTCTTCCATATGGCCAACGCGGTGCATCCCGTTTTCGGCATAGCGAAGTGGACAGACGGAGAGACGTGCGAGGCTGAGCATCGGGCTGGGGGCGGTGCATGGCGGACACTCACATTCGAACTGCTTTTGAAAGGCACCTTTTCCTCCTGTCAAATTGCTGTTGATACAGTTCACTGCATGAGATTCAACGACGAGGAGATCTCCTTCTGAGCACTCGCCTGCCGACTAATTGCCACCGGCCCTCAATCACCGCCCACAAACAAGCAGTAAGCCTAAAGTCGACACCACTTCTCTTTTTTTCTTGGAAATCAACAAGATGCTCACCCTCGACGGCTCGACCCTTGAAGGGGGCGGCCAGCTCGTCCGCGTGGCCCTCTCGCTCTCCGCCATCTGCAAGGTCCCCGTGTCCATCTACAACATCCGCGCCGGCAGGGGAGCACATTCATTCCAGAAGCGGGCTCGCGACGGTCGAAGAAACCACCAGGGTGGCCGTGCGAGCCAGGGGCCTTGTCCACATCCCAGGGGAGGAATGGACGCGAATAACAATGCTGCACCGGCAAAGAAGCAGAAGCCCGATGGCGGGCTGAAGGAAAGCCACCTGGCCGCCCTGACGTGGTTGGCGCGCGAGTGCCGTGCGCACGCCGAGGGCGCCGAGATGGGCAGCCAGGAACTCACGTTCAAGCCTGCCCGTGTGCCCAAAGACGGCCACGGGCCTGTGCCACGGAGCAAGGCGGAAGAGAACGCCAGTGACGATATAGAAGTCATCGAGCTGAAGAACCCCGGCAGCGTGTGGCTGATCTGGCAGGCGATTTTCCCGTACATCGTCTTCTCGCTGCTCCACCGCCACCGTCAGCGTGGCAAAGAAGGGTCAGAAACGTCGGCCTTCCGCATCCGTCTCAGGGGCGGGACGAACGTCCCCAAGTCCCCCTCCAGCGAATATGTGCAGCAGGTGCTTCTTCCGTTGTTTGAGCGCATCGGCCTGCCCAGAGTCGACGTCCAGGTCTTGAGGCGTGGATGGACGACCGGTGTAGCGGAGATTGGAGAGGTCGAGATAGCTGTGTTCCATCCGGAACAATGTTTGGGAGATGAGGTGGACGGGATGGTCAGAAACCAGAAAGAAAAAGCCAGAGAAGATGAGGTCGACAGAGGGGACGGGTTTGTCCTCGCCCCTTTCCAGCTCAGATCGCCCGAAACGACGACCACCGTCACCTCCATCTCCATGACCATCCTCGCCGGGTCTCCCCAGACGCACTCGCTCGTCCAGTCACAGCTTCTCGAATCCCTCCGGGCCATACCGGCATTCGCATCCCCCGCCATGCCGCCCATCCAGCTACATCCTTCCTCCTCGGCAGACTCCAGCGACGAGCGACGCCTCTACATCCTCTTGGTCGCCCACACCTCGGCGGGCTACCCGCTGGGGAGCGACTACCTCAGCCCGGGCCGGAAGATGGCGAACGACACGGACCGACAGCGCACGGTGGACGAGGCGGTGGGCAGCGTCGTACGAGCATTCGCCAGAGAGTGTGCGCGGGGAGGAGGCTGTGTAGATGAATTCGCGGAGGACCAGTTGGTCATTTTCCAGGCTCTGGCGGACGGTGCGTCGAGTGTTGACGTGGGGAAGTCAGGGAAAAGGGGGGGTATAAAGGGAAGGGAGGAGACGGGGAGTCTACATACGAGGACCGTACGGTGGGTGTGTCGTGAGATGTTGGGAACCGTCTTTGATGGGTACGGTGGATGTGAAGGAGGGGGAATGAAGAGGGACAAAGGGCGTTTGGACGACGTGGGGGACGAGTTGGAAGCATTGAGTATCACCGACAACGAGGATGAGAAAGAGTAAGTCGTCGGTATTCCACGTGTGTATGCCTCTAAGTCGCCTTCAATCTGTACCACAGATGATGCACTGAGTCTTGTTCATGCGTCTCGCCTCCTGGTTCTATTTGCAAGGGCCACAGTACACAGCATTGGTGAAGCCTCAAGGCCAGATATGCATTCCACTCCCTTCATATACACACAGCTACCCTCAAACTCCATGCATCATCTGAATGTCGAGTTCTTCGTCAACTGAGCAGCCCCATCAATATGTGCCCCGGAAAGGAGAAGGATCAGTCATCAAAGACAAGCTTGACACCGACAGGATATTGAGAAAGGGGCGCTGGTTGTCTTCTGCCGGACTTGAAAGCGTGTTGCGCTTTCGCAGGAGGCTGTCGATGTGCCCTTTCAATCTGTGGCTTTTCGTCGCGCTCTGTCACCAGAGGCCGTCCATCTTGGTGTTTGATGGAGCGACCATTCTGTCCGACCTCCTGATCATCATGCCTGGCTTGATGACTGTATGGTTTGTTTTGTTGCTCTTGATTGCTCCGTCCTGATAATGACACCGGTTCGAGAGGCTCCTAACCCTGAGCACTGGCGCCGCCAGGGCCTCTTCCGCTTCTGGCCGCGCGCTCCGCTAACAGCTGCTTCTTCAGCTCCTTATGCGCTTGACGCGTGGCCTGTCGTACTTGCCCTTGCCGAGAAGCGGAAGGCCCATTTTGCCCGTGGCATTGGGGTCTGGTTTCGGCTTGGTCGAGACCAGGTTCGATTTCGGGCCTCGTGCCTTGACAAGATTCTTGCGTTCCTTCTTGGGCTTCTTGACCTTCCAGGGTTTCGATTTATTCCCGCCCGCTGGGCTTGAACTTGCCTCCGGTTTACCCGCACCGTCGTCAAATCTGCCAAAGGAGATGAAGTCGGCCGAGAGCTCTTCTTTCGCGGTTGCCTCCTCGTCTGGGGCAGGAATATCAGCAGATTCTTCAGCCATTTCTGGGGCCTTACTGGACTCGGCGGCACCAGTGCTCTCTTTGGCTGCTTTCTTAGCCTTTTTTAATGCCTTCCTCTCTGCTTTGGACATCTCCTTTGTGGTTGTCTCAGCACTCTGCGGCTGTGCCTCGTCTTCGACGCCGGTGCTTTGGGGCTCCTTTTCGTCCCCGGGATCCAACGTTGCCTCGGAATTCAAGGCAATATCAACTTCATCCTGCTTACCTTTTTGGTTTTTCTTCTCCTTCTTCTCCTTCTTGTCCCTTTTAGACTTCTTGCCTCCCTCTACGGCAACTTCACCTTTAGCCAGATCACCTGAGGTTTCAACAGCGGCGGAAGCGGCACTGGGCCCATTCTCAATTTGCTTTGGCTCTTCACGATCAGCTAGCCTCTGGCTCAAGACAGTGGAAGGGGCGGTCAAGGTTGACGGGGGCATGTCCAGTCCGATGGCCTTCAACTTCTCGGCCTTCTTGTCCCGTTTGCGCCGCTCCTTGTCAATCTTTTTCTGCCACTGCTTCTCAGTCTTGGGCGCCGCGAGACGCTCCCGTTCGAGTTTCTCATGAGGAATCTTGCGAAACTTTTTATTTGCACCTTTCCAAACATCCGGGTGCAAGGAGCCCGGCTCGGCGTATTTGCACTTGAGGATGTGGCCAAACATCAGATAGTTGTCCATAGTCTCCGCCACGATCTTTGCAACTTCGTCGGACGCAAATTCGATGAAGGCGAAGTGTTTCGACGCACCCGTGCGTTTGTTTCGAGACAAGCGTAGACGGGTGATGTCTCCGAATTGAGAAAAGTAGGCTCTCATCTCTTTCTCGTAAAAGCCATGAGGGATACGTCCAACATAGACAGTCCCAGGACCATCGTCTTTGCCTTTCGCTCTGGCCTTCTCCAACTTCTTCTGCGTCTTTTTATATTTGGGAAGAGGAGGAATCGTTCCGAGATCGACCCGTTCGTCATCTTGCTTGTCCTCGGTGTCACTGTCAAACCCGGCCAGCAGAGCAGCAGCATTGTCGTCCGCCTCGACTTCGGAGGCAGCATCCTCCGGGTCATCCTCGCTTGCAAAGCCACCAAACCCATCTTCAAGCTCATGTTCGACAGTGCGCTCTGCTTCTGCCTGCATCGAGGTGGAGACTGGCTTATGCGGCGTGGCGGTTTCTAGATCCTCCGCCCCGGTATGCTCAATCACACCATTGACACCATCCGCAGTGAGTGTCTCTCCGTTGCTACTGGCTTTGCTTTTCTTGCTTTTCTTCGATTTTTTCTTGACAGGCTCAGCGAGCTCTTCAGCAGGTTCGTCACCTCCGGCTTTGGTTACCGTATCTGCTGTCACCGGTGGCTCATCCTCGATCATGAAGTCGGAAGCTCGTTTGCGTGACTTCTTCGATTTGGTTACGGCAACGTTGTCTGATGGTAGGATCTCTTGTTTGTCGTTTGGCAGACCCTTCGGTGCCTTGCTCGCCTCAGCAGGCATGGTATTGTCCTTGAGCTTGGGTTCGGAGGCATCTTTTTTGTCGGTGGTCTTGGATTTCTTGCTCTTCTTCAGAGGTTGGTCAGTCGCACCTGACGACTCTACTCGTGGTCAGTCAACAATACTATTGCCGATAGCCCTAACCAGCCTTACCTTTGCGTTTCTTGTCCCCCATGACTGCAGCGAAGTCAAAGACAATGAACCAGCGGTGTAGCTGTCGACCTCACAAGTTTCTCGAACCAACCCTCGAGGATTCAATCGCAGCGTCCAAAATTTTACTCCAAATTTTGCTTGGCATGGAGAGAGACCGTTCGTGGAAGAGGAAACTTTTCCGAGGCCAATACATATTGACGGAACGATTTGGGGGGCGAGAAATATTCTGTCCATCCATCGTGCAAGGCAACACGAGACTACAACAAGGCAGGACTCGCAACCAACTATTATGAGCAGATACCAGAGCTAAGGGACAATCGTCGCTCCCCAGCAGCCTCCTCTGGGCGTCACTGGCAAGGTCGAGGTGACTTTTTCATGCGAGGTGGATATGATTGATACCTTTTCAGCTCATTACTCTTTCAACAAAATCTCCAATGAATCCACCTTACCCGATCTTGAGTTGTGGAAATGCACTCAATTCAAGGTATCTCGTTTTCCTTTCGCAGCATTTCTCCAGTGGAAGAGTCGATCCCATGGCAAATTGTGATATTTGCATGTTTGAAAGCCCCGAAGGTATCAAGATAAATGGGAATGGACGGGCTTCGAAGCTAGTATTTGATGGAGATAAGATGAATGTGACAGACCGAACCGTCACCTTTGGCGAAGATGCACCGAGAGCCAGTCAAGCCCCATCTGCAACGAGCCCGAGGTCCTACCCACTCTATGCGGAAATACTGAATTGGCAGCGTTGAGACCGTCGCCCCTGCACGTACGCCACTCCATCATATGCCCGAAAAGAAGGTCCGCTTTGCGTACGGCCAAGGGTGGCATACGCGTCCAGAGTCATCTACTTGGGTGGGTATCCAGTGAGCAAGGTCGACAGAATGGCAAGACAATCGACAGAACAGGGTAATGGCATGAGCATTGTGTCCCAATAATAGAGTACAAGTATGCCCGTTACAAGAGCCTTTGCTGAGGACATATACATAGGCAATTGTGCCCCTTTTGAGACGCCCCAGAATCGAGTGATCGACACATTTGTTCGTGAACAAGGATTCTTTGGTGGCAGCAGGCATAGAACTCCACAGTCCAAGTGCCCTCGGAGAATACGGATCTTGAGCTGGAGCTGACAACTATTGTCAGACGGGCTCTCTGGGTGCCTCGTGAATCTTGATCAAGCATCAGCTTGCCCAATCCACCCTCCTCTACTGTAACGAAAATATCTCCTCCACACGTCAGTTGCTCGTTGCACTACGTGGACAATGCCGGTGTGAAACCTCCGAAGTTTGGAGCCGCAATGATCGCGGATAAGGGACATGGGGACATCAGGATTGGTTTTGCATTAGAGTTGATCACGCAACAAATTGTGCAGTTGGCAAGAGGCGGAGAAATTCGGAGGGCTATGAAGTACCTACATATTTGTACATACTGTAGGCACGAAGGTATGTGCTACGCATGGGTTGCAAGTCAAGAAGCCGGCAACGCGAGCGGTCAACCTATCAGAGTAAAATCAGACGGTCATCATGAGAACTTTGGCTCTGGACATGGCGGGAAGGAAAGACCACCGTACACTCGGATGTGGGTGGCTGGGCGTTTTAGGGAACTGCCCGAGCCATCCTTATTGCAGGGAGCACCAGGAGTGTCTCGAGTCTTTGGTAAGCACGCAAGGCGATCTGAAACGCAATCGTCATAACAGGTCATCCGCTCACTCTAGACCTCTGAGGGCGATGTTGCTGGTTGGTCTGGGGAGTTCTAGCAGCCTGTGTGGAATGCTGGGACGGCCGTCTGTATGGGCTTACAAGCACCTCGCCACCTATTCCGCGACAAAGTCCCTCACGATGCACCAACATGACCACTAACAGATTCGCATTTCCACTACCTCAAGAGCGAAAGCAAGCCTTTAACGAGTAGCAGAAGGGCATTGAAACATAATTGGGTTCAAGCATCCTTGGGGTAGCTGGTCGGCAGCCCGTAGCGGGGAACCATCACGAGCTGTCCAAACACTAGAAGCCAAGACGAATGTTGATGGGTCGGTGACCGACGAGGGTTGGGTGAGGGTCATCTGAGAGAGGGTGAAAAAGCGCATCCTCAAGGAAAGGGCAGGTATCATATTCCACAAATGTGGCCCGACGTGCCCGAGCAGCAAGCAGCTCACTACCTTTTCGTCAGTTCCACGGTGAATACTTCCATAACTTGTCAGTGGTCGAAGATGTTTGACTTTCAAGTGCATGGATTACGAAGCTGCAGAACGTCAAATCTCTGGTGCATACAAGTACCAGGTACAGCTAGGTGATATCCCCGGAGAAGGTGCTGTACGGGGTTCTTCCTAGGCTCTCTAACAGGGAGAAGGTGGTAGGGTTCTTGCTGCATGAACCCCTCGAAGGAAGCTACTTATCGCCGTAGTTATGTACAGTACAAGCTATTCCGTCCTTACATAGAGAGGACCATGTCGCCAGCACAAACGGAGATGGAAATGGAAAAGCACTTGATCAACACCCAGATGAGGCCATTTGACGCCTAGTGCCTAGTTCCGCCCCACGACCGAAGCCGAACAATCCGCACCCCTTATGCCTCGTGCGTCATTCGACCAGGGTTCGGTGTTGGATGAAGCCAGTGCCAAAACACCTCAGCTCTCGTAAGTGTGGACCAGCCGTCACCACCGCCCTCCCGCGCCAGCCCATTACGGGCCTCAGTGGCTGCTGGACCCTTTGCCTGAAGAAAAGTCCTCGGGCGATTGGAAATACACGTCGTCTAACGCAACCCACGGACCAACCTCGACCATCTGACAGGCAAGCATCAGGCTGACCTAAACCAAATGCTTCATTCCTGTTCGCGAGCGAGTTTAGAGGGACGCCTCCTCCCCTCCCCACCATTCCCCCTGCTGGTCGTCCTAGCTAGACGGATCAGCCGGACCCTTCTCTAGCACTCTTCTCGGCGTTGAGGACTGTTCCGAACGCACGAGAGCTGCTTTACCTCAGCGAGTAATAAAACAATATGGCGCGTTTGCCGTCATTTTCGTACGATTCGACGGAGCAAGGACGGGGAGGGGTTGGCTTCCTTCCTATGACTGTTGCTTATGTGGATTGGTAACCGGCCGTGAGGCGCTTTTTAACCACCCGCCCGATCCACCCCTCCTATGCTTCTTATTATCAGATTCCCAACTCTTCGAAGTCTTGTACTCTTTTATTTCTACACTAGAGTATAGGCTCTTTATCTACCTTGGCACACTTTCGAGACCGAGAAGCAACATCAAAGTATAACACGAAGCGAATAATCGATAACAACTCCAGGTACACCCATATCTTAAGCACTTTGTCCAGCACGTCGTCGCCGGAGCAGCAATGGCGCCAGTAATATGGGGACTCGACCTGAAAGACATCCATTGGAAGAAGTTTGGGAGCGACTATATGTGGAAGAATAAAGACTACCACATGCGACGGACCAAGTTTGTGATCTATCAACTTGCCATGATCTGCATGGTAGTATCCGAATCAATAGGCACCGCTGCCTTGACAGGTAAACATGTCGACTTTTCCCACTGCGATTGAAGACGTTTCTGACTCTTGGGGGAACAGACTATGTAAAGCAACAGTCGAGGATTGAGAGTCTACACTCCTCAGCAGCTGTACACAACGACGACTTCGTCGGCATTGCTTCGTACAATATCTTTTGTGGTGTGGCGGTTGCCACCGTCTTTGGGGCTGCGTTCTTCTTCGATCTTTTCTTCCCAGAGCGCTTTGAACCCAAGAACATTCGATGGTCGTGGAGACTCAGTGCCGTTTTCGTGACGTTGTGCTCGATCGGTGATGCATTGGCATTCACCATTATCGTGGCAACCGGGAAGTCCTGGATCTCGGCCGACAGCCAGGATGCGGAACAGATTGCTCAGGAGAGGATCAATCCGCCATTAATCTACCGGCACAACGGGAGAGCAATTGCCGCGACTGTGTTCTTGTGGTTGGGCTTGTGTGCAACCGTGGCTAGGTGAGCTGATCAGAGACCCGACTGTATGCAAGCGAAAACCCCTAACAGATGGTAGCTGTATCCTCTTGTGGCTCTACTACCAGCATCTCGACACCTACGGACCCAAATCCCACTCTGCTCGCATGCGGGACGAGGTCGACAAGACGATCTTGATCAATGAGCGAGCCCGAACCGGCATGAGCTCTCGAGAGCAAATGGCCTTCCGCTCACTGTAAGTACTTGCAAATCCGTCTCAAGGGGAAGGTAATGACGACGCTAATCCCTCTTGAAGCCCGTATAAGCCTTGAAAGCATCACCCTGTACCGTCAAGGAATGAAAGAAAAATTACCTTAAAGCCCCAGACATGACCATGAGTCGGAGATGTGCCTCGCATTCCTTCTCACAACTGAAGTAGGAACAACATTTAACAAGTCTTCGTTGGCGGAACTTCCACCGCCGCCGACTGAGGCAGTTGTCGACGCTTACTGTGGCCATATCCTACGACACTTGAAAAAATGACGTACCACTTTCTTATCTCTATGTGGCGTCCACATCATCATACGTCAAGCATTTAGCAGCATCTGAGTGGCGTTTATGTGGAGGCGAAACACTGGCCGGCGAACGCGTCTTCGTACGCGATCACAGTGGGATTCCTCATCCAGCAGGGAGGACGTCCTCTTGGACATACATACAGGAAAATTTCGGGCGGGGATAAAGGACGGGAGGGGATCGTCTGGGAAGAGGACCACGGGCGGAGTTTGGTGATCATGACCCCAGCTGATGATATCGCGAGAGAGTGAGCGTTTTCTCCCACTCGGAGAGTGCACGTGTCCATGATGTATGTCTGAATGTAGTTTTTACAACGTATAACCATGAAAGGAAAAAGATGTGCTGTCATCATCAGCAGATCTTCCGGCCGTTTCCGCTGATCAGCCTTGCACCCACCGGACGTCCCAAGGCTGAACTGTTCGTCGTATTCAGTCTAGTGCAGCCTGATATCGTATAATCTTGGCAGGCCTTTGCCACATACTTCGCTATGTAGCTTATCACTGACTACGTACAACCATCTCTCATCTTTATCAAATCCCGTCTCATCAGTGCGACCTACTACTCTCCTTCGCCCTGATGGAAAAGATGGAACTTCATCCCAGCAACACCAACTGCATTCTCTTTGAGTTCTCTCACAGTGCCGGGCGGACAATTTTCCACGACAGGTCAAGGGTACAAGCGACAGGGATTGCCCCATATGGAACGACCCTTTTCAACCTGCCAAACCACAACCAACCCCATCGATGCCCAACATGATTCTTGATCTTCTTCTTTTCAGAGACTTATGTACCTCTGATTTTCCCTGTCAAGCTGAGGCCATCTAGGCGCTCGCGAAGACGAATCGAAGCAGCGGAACAGCTCTGGGACGTCAGAGGTCTGCCTTCTCACTTACGGAATGCGTCGTTCCAATCACACCTTCTCTAACTCATATTACGCTCCTTGCCGTGGCAGACTCGGCTAGGCAGTGTCTCCCTGCGTTGATACTGGTTGCCATATCCAGGCTAAGACTGCACAGACACGGTTTGAAATTGACTCAATCCCGAGGTCAAAAGAAGTGGCAGATACGCAACTTCATAGAGAAACCCCCTTGCCCTATTCAACCTGTTCTTGATGTGAGTTGCACACTCTAACGTCGATCTGGTCCGATGTTCCCTTCGATCTCCCATGGCTCGATTATCCCCATCCACAATAGCGTCGCGTCGCCTGCCTTTTGATCCAGTCCTCTCAGTTTCAAGCACACTTTGCTTCCGAGATATTTACATCTCTGTTTCATTGACGTCGCCTCGTGGATCCTGTGCATTCACACATAGTCGGGAATCGGCTTCCAGATACGCCCGCGTGCTCTGGAGGACCTTTTGTCGGACTTGTTCGAGGCGCTGCATTCCCGGTGGCAGTCTTTCTGGAAGAGGTTGATCACCTGAAAGACCCGGTGTCAATATCACATTTGCGACGGGTTGTTGCTCATCTGCCCCCAATGTTTGGTTAAATCTTCCTTCAATCTGTCGAATATCAATCACCGTTTGAGCTTCGACCATACCGGTTCCTGACGGCTCGTCTTCGGACGTACTAGACAAGTTCTGTGGCAGATTCTCTTCGCTTCTCTCGGACCTCCAGAGGTCGAGCAACCCGTTTCTTGAGAGATTATCATCACGCCATATGCACTGTTGGGGGCGTTTCAGACACCGCCCACATATTGGTTTCACGCCGTCACACCCCTTGCGGGATGCAATACACTGTGTGCACCGCGATCTGTCCAGGGTACTTTTGCCCCCTCGCCGGGCATGACCAGGACGGATGGGTCCAGAGCTCTGGTCAGGTGCTAGAGCCAGGTGAGCTTGGTTCCGATGGCTGTCTTGCCTTCCAGCGCCGCCACCTCCACTGGCATGCTTACCTTGGTCACCACGGCGTCCTCCCTCTTGGCTGTATTCCAAATTCCGCTGGCGCCGGGGGGTTGACGTAGAAGACGTGGCAGCATTTGCAGTGTTCAGGGTGGAGACTGTTTGCGACGGCTCTGTCATTCCGCTTGTCGTGGTCGGGTTTCAATAACAGTGGTTGTTCCATCGGATGTAGAGGGCGTCATGTCCAGGTAACAGCAGCAGTGTTTATTCCGTCGGTTATTAAATGGAATACCCAAGATCATGAAGATGAGAGAACAAATAGGCTGGACCATAGCAATCCGCAAATGCGGACAAAATACTTATAGACCCAGCCATCATCTCCTTGCACTCGCCAACTCACAGGCTTTGGGCGCGTCGCAGCTTCAAGAGATATTTTTTGAGATGCCTGATTTCTCTGTTCTCCATGGCGGGAGGGGTGCTATTCTTTCCCGAAGCAATCAATCTACACGTACACGTACAATACAACCCACAGAAGGAGGCCAAAACCGTACTAGGGCACCGAAGAAACCTAAGCACCGCCCAATCGCTGAGGGAGACCAAGGTTCCTGTATCGTCATACCCCGAACATCCATAAGCCTGCCCAACAGTGGTGGGCGACAAGCTACCGCGTAGAGCGTAGAGCGTAGAGCGTAAAGCTGCATCCAGACCCTTCTCGCCCAGAAGAAACCAAAATTCCCGCCGCCGACTGTGATCACATTCCTCAAATGGACCGAGGGCAACGAAGCTGAAACGAACTAACGCAAAGTCGGGAAGTCCGTGCGGTTGGAAGCGTGGTCAATGAGGCTCTGACGACAGATCCAGTTTGCACAGCCACTGCATGCAAGAGTTGCGAAGGGAAAAGGTCAATTCGACGACGGGTGATGCAGATATGTCAGGGTACATATGCGGGCCTGGTGTTTCAGAGTGATGCCGTCGGGGGACTGGCGGGGGAAGACTGTCCACCAGCCTGAACCTGCGACGGTTGCACCACCAGGTGATTCGCTATGAGATAGGACACACACGGCCGCAAGGCTAACGGGGCGCAGTTTCTTTTCCTTTTCAGGTATCACCCATCAGTGAATTGCTCGCTTCCTCCCCTAACTTGCGTAAGTTAGCGAAGCCCGCCGGATCGTAGCCACACACGTCAAGCAGGTCATTATTGCATTTGACGAGGCAACAGGTGGACACACACACACATGGGACACCCCCGGGCACATACACACACACCTTTGCTGTCAATTTGCAGGAACCTCCTCGATCTCAGCAGCGACAGAGAATCAAAACCCCCATTGTGCGGCGGTCTACGCAACCTACCGAACACCCTCCCCCCCCATTGCGCAGGGGACTGGCCCGCAGCCAAAACAGTCAACTCGGTCTCCCCAGCCAGGCCATCTAGCGGATCCTATCATACCCACCCAACAGGAAAAATGGCAGCCACTAGCCCCAAGCGGGGAGAGGGAAACAGGAGCATTTAATCGAATTGCTCCTTTCGCACCCCCTTCTATATAGTCTCATATCGACAGGAACGCTTATTGGCACAAGATGCACCCTCTCAGCCGGGGGGAGTGGCAGTGATACAGAAGCTGGAAAAAACTGCACATGCAATCCACATCTGTCATCGAACAGTCGAAATCCAACGACGAGCCCTCGCTCTACCCTTGCCATGCTGGCCATTCAGCGGAGAGCCCAGTGCTCCGTCGGGTAAGTATCAGGCTGGGAAAGTATGGTTAGACAGCGGCATTCACGGCTCAGCAGTCCGTGCCGCCAGCCACTCAAGACTGGTAGCTCCTGGTGGCTCAAATGAGACTGTCGCTGGGGCGCACCTGTTGGAGGGCGTGAGTAGTTCATCCGCTGTACATCCTACGACTACAATGGGCTTGCACTCAAGAAATTTCATTTGGCCATCTGTAGGACGTCTTCCACGGCGTATTGGCCCTTGAAACATCTACCAGCAGTGGATTCCTTTGATCCCTGCGACAAATTCCACCTTGGTCTCAGCAATGCTACTGTGCAGTCACATGACAAAAGATCCTGCTCCTATCGCGATACCTGGATGAATGCAGACTCTGTTGGGTCAATAAGGGAGCTACCCGTCATCAGCCTCTGCAGCACGGTTCGTTATCTTTGCGCGGACGTGACCGCTGGCCTCAAGTTGCCAATCAAGTGTATCCCGGACGGTGAAGGTGCTATTGGACATGTCTGGTTTCTGGGTCGATGAGATGAAGGATTTCTGGTCATTTTGTTCAAGTCGAGCATGCATCTCGTGCTCAGAGCACCCTTGACGCCCTTTACCAGGTGGGTCGCTTTCTATTAACCATTTTGGTCTTGAGACCGCCATGTCTCCAACGCCGCGAAAGTCCGTCCTCACGTTCTTGAAGATCGGATATATCCTCTATCATGGTTTCTTATATTGAAAACTGTCTATAATCCAGACGTGGTAGGCACCTCGCATTGCAGAGAATTTTCAGCAACGAGAAGGCATTCGTTACTCATCCGGGCAACAGAAGCATAATGTCTACCACCGTGACGACAAGCGCTGAAGTGGGGACGGAGTATGAATACTTCTTCCGCGATGGGACGATGAACAACCGGCGAAAGGTCCTCCGCGGCGAAGAAGCCGTCGAGACATTTGACGAGATCCCACTCGTCGATGTCGGCGGCATCTTCAGCGACAAGTACGAAGAACGACTGCTCGCTGCCAAGGAGATTGCCGATGTGTGCAAGACCGTGGGCTTCATGTACATCAAGAATCATGGAATATCGCAAGAACTGATCGACAAGATGTTTGAGCTTTCTCGCAAATACCATGCCCAGCCTCTCGCCGTGAAGAAAGAGCAGGACGTGTACAAGTCCCCGACGTTGCGGGGGTATGAGATTCATTACACCAAAACGCCGAACGGCGATGCAGGTGAGACCAGGCTCACTCGAAATCTACTGGGACCAAGTGAATTGATGATATCTCAACAGTCAAGAAGGGGTCATTTCTCTACAGTTACGAGCCTGAAAACGACCCGCAACCACCAACCCTGACCCCGGAACAACGCGAACAGTGCATTGGAATTCACAATCAGTGGCCGGCACACTTCCCAGAATTCAAGACCACGCTGCTCCAATACCAGGCTGCACTCCTGACACTCGCCCGTGCGTTACTGAGAACCTTTGCCCTGGGTCTGGGGGCCGAAGAAGACTATTTCGACTCTCTTGTGACGGCGCCTTTTGTCTCGATTATTCTCCAGTACTACCCGCCCCGAGCGCCCGGCTCGGCAGACCTAGACGGGCTAGGTGCGCACAGCGATTTCGAAAGTATGACAGCCTCTCCGGTGCATCTACTGTGGCAACTAACAATCGACAGCGTTCACCATCTTGAACCAGGACATGGTCGGAGGTCTCGAGATCCTCAACAAGAACGGGATCTACGTTCCCGCCAAACCCATCCGGGGGACCTTTGTCGTGAACGTGGGAGACTTCCTGCAAAGAATCTCAAACGACACCTTTGTCTCGACGGTCCACCGTGTTCGCAACGCTTCGGGGGTAGAACGCTACTCCATTCCATTCTTCTTCAGCTTCAACATGGACGCTGCAGTGCCGGTAGGGAGCGGACGTGGCTTCTCCACAGGAGTGAGACTGACATGATGTCCAAGGTCATGCCAGCTTGTACGTCAGAAGCCAACCCAGCCAAATACGAGCCGCGAAATCTGCACGAGGTACGTGACCCCCGATGGCATGATGAAGCCACGTCGTTGACTCTTCCGACCACAGTACACGGCCCTGAGACGGAAGCGACAGAGAGAACAGCACGAGAAGGGCATTCATGACACTCTTGGTGAGCCATTGCTGGTTCGATACAGCTGAGCGGGGAGGCTGACTTGTCTAGTTGTCGAGATGTAGTCACCACCAGCGGACGCGAATGAGATAGAGCGCTTCGACAAGCCCCAGAGCATGCTGCATGACGCGAGAGGAACCATGCTGTCAGACAGACCTGGCATGTATAGATGCTAGGAGGAGAATGCATAGGATACATCCACTGAAAACGTAACATAAATTCAACAGACACGTCCCGCTTCAAAATTTCGTCCGCTCGTGACTCAGCGGGAAGCGGAAGTCCCAGTAACCTAGGTAAAGACGGTAAGTCCACAGGTCAAGGATACCCACCCGGCGTTGATATCAATCGACGTGTTGTCAAGCACCGATTGGCTATCTTGTGTCTAACGAGCAACGGCCTACTCCGCGATCGGCCGCAGATCACCACTCAACGAGCGACATTTCAGACAGGAAAGGAAGCCGTCGAGTGAAAGCGACGGATATGTGACCGATATATCTGTTATATGGCCAGCCGGAAAAGGGGCTATTATACATTGCAGCCGAAGCAGCCGTTGTTGATAGAGGACCTCTTCGTATTATCTTGGGATCTTGACGTCTAGATCTGTGGCCATCCCATCCCATCCCATCCCATCCCGTTCCTTTCCCCTTCTCTCACTTGGTTATATATACATATATAGCCCGCTCAAGATGCACCTCGCGGCTCTGTTCGCCATTCCGCTCTTGAGCTCCCTCGTGCAGGGCAGCGCGGGCAGCTTCCTGGACCAGGCTATCCAGTTGATGGAAGAGACTCCGCTGCTGGACACACACATTGATCTGCCGCAGATCATCCGAAGCCTGAGTGAGTACAAACCTTTCTATTGATATCTGTTTGCGGACACTGCTGCTCACTGCCCCCATACGTAGACCGACGACCCCTCGACGCCATCCCGCAGCTGAACGGCTCGTTCCCGGGCCACGTCGACATCCCGCGGATGCGACAGGGCCGGCTGGGCGGCGCGTTCTGGACGGTCTGGGCGCCCTGCTACGACGTGACGGGCGAGGATCCGGGCTCGGACTTCAACACGCCCACCAACCACCTGCGCGACGCGCTGGAGATGCTCGACATCATCCAGAACATGATCGCCCGCCACCCGGACCACCTGCAGTACGCGCGGTCGTCGGCCGACGTGTGGCGCGCGTTCCACGCCGGCAAGATCGCCTCGCTCATCGGCATGGAGGGCACCCACGTGCTGGGCAATTCGCTTGGCGCCCTGCGCGTCTTCGCCCAGCTAGGAGTTCGCTACGTGACCCTGACGCACACATGCCACAGCGCGTTCGCGTCGTCGGCCGGGCCGGGGACGCCCATCGACCCTGTGCACGCGGGCAACGCCCTGACGCCACTGGGGCAGGAGCTCGTACGGGAACTCAACCGCGTCGGCATCCTGGTCGACCTGTCGCACACGTCGGACGCGACCATGCGGCAGGCGATCGCGCTGTCCGAGGCCCCCGTGGTGTGGACGCACGCGGGGGCCCGCGCGCTGTGGGACCACCCGCGCAACGTGCCCGACGACATCCTGCGCCTGATCGGCGACGGCCCCGGGCAGAAGGACGGCGTGATCCAGTCCATCTTCTTCCCGCCCTTCATCGGGCCCAACCCGGGCGCCAACGTCTCCCGCGTCGCCGACCACATTGAGCACATCGCCGGCATTGTGGGGCGAAACCGCGTGGGCATCGCCTCCGACTTTGACGGCATGTACATCTCAGTCGACGGCCTGGAGGATGCGAGCAAGTACCCCAACATCGTAAGTTTTGTTCTCTCATCTCATCGCGTCTCAAATGCAGTGCTGTGCTGTGCTGTGCTGCTGCTCAATTCTATTTCTCTGCTGACACGGACGGGACGGGGGAAAAAATAGGTCGCAGAACTCCTCTCGCGCGGCTGGACGGCCGAGGAGATGAAAGGCGTGCTGGGCGGCAACCTGATGCGGATCATGGACAAAGTGGACGAAGTCGCCGAGACGCTCAAAGACCGGCTGCCGTCCTCGGCCATCTGGGAGAAGCGCCAGGACCTGCCGGCGACGAAATGGGGCGGCGGCGGGGTGCAGACGTACTGGCCCCGAGACGTCAAGGAGGCGGTGGAGAAGATGACGGTGCGGCATGACGAGTTGTGAGGGCCCTTGTCGTCGACGACACAGGAGGTATGTTCCTGGTTGTGAAGACAAGGCTGAATGAAGTGAGAAAACAGGGGCGAGGGAGCTTGACACACGGGGAGAAAAAAGGGGGCGTCCTTAGGAGAAATATACTACCGCTGCAAAAATGAGAACGAGAGATGGAGAGATGAGATACCATTTTCCAGGGCCTTGAGAAACCTGTGCTAGTGTCTTTCTGAATCGAATATCAAGTCACTCACTGTGTTTGATATATTGTCGATATCCTGTCGCGCCAGGGGAGAATGACTGTTTTTGAGGCCCGAATGCTGCCTTGTCGACGAGACTCAGACTCCAGCTATGACTCTGTTCTCCTCTATAGATAGATAGATAGATAGATAGATGGATAGATAGATGGATAGATGGATAGATGGATAGATGGATAGATGGATGGATGGATAGATAGATAGATAGATGGATAGATAGATAGATAGATACCCCGACAGCTATGGAGTCGAGATTTCCCAGGCTAGCGCGGCTGGCCACCTGCTTGTTCTTCTTCGTCGTCTTCTTCTTCTTCAGCTTCAGCTTCAGCTTCAGCCGTGTCTCGTCAACTGCATGGCGCTTAAATTACTACACTACGGTGGTATGCCTCTCGGTACACCCCCGGGGTTAGACTGCCTCGACCTTGGTTAATACCTGGCTTTTTTCCAGCAGGATCCAATAGGTCTTTCTTTTGAATGATAGCGGGGGACTCAGGCTACGGCGGAGACAGTATATGACAGAATGACTAGGTGCGGCGGAGGAGATCGAGCAGTGTCATTCATGCATTGGACTATGACATGGACATGGGACATGGGGTGTCGAAACCCAAGAAGATGAGCCCCTTGCGCAGAAGCGAATCGAATAACCAGCAACAGAGGCGTGCTAGCTATTATCTATCTCCTTCCGATCCCGATTCCCTCCTATCCTCCTCCATCTGTCTCACTCACGGTCAACCTTCCTTCGTTCATTGGATGGCCGAGAACTTGGTCGGCACGAGGAAGCTGCTCGCGACCTTCGCGTTGATGGGCCCGTCGCGCTCGCTGGCGGCGCGCGCCTCGATCCACTCCGGGTCGGCGAAGAAGGCGTTCCACTTCTGCTCGCGCTCGGCCAGCGACTCCCACGCCAGCATGTACGTCAGGTCGTTGGCGTCAGGGCCGACGAGCGTCGTCCTGCATCGTCATCAGAACGAGCACATATATGTGATCGAATGCTTGTTCTGGGGGTAGTGAAACAAAAACAACAACACCAGTAGCTCAATCAGTATAGTGACACCCGTCCTCCTGGGGTTGGGACCACCAGAGAGACTCTGACTCTCTCTCTCTCTCTCCTGATGGGATGTGATGGGCTCTGATGTGCAATGCAGACGTAAACGTACCAGAAACCCAATTGCTTGATGCCGTGCTTCTGCCAGATTCGGAGCGTGTGGTTCTCAAAACGAGCCAGCAGATTGGGCATCCGGCCCGGGATGGTGGTGTAGATACGGAGTTCGTAGATCATCTTTCCTCGCTGTACGGGAGACGATTCTCTAGGCTTGAGTGATGACGACGGGGGCAGGCTCAGAATGGATCGAGAGTTCTCTTTTCTTCCCACTGAGACGGATAGCTCTTTCGATAGCTGTTTGATCTCTTCAATCGCAGACCCGGGCTCGCTGATAATATTATATTAATAAACCCGGCGCGTTTATGCGGGGTAAAACATCAGACAGAGCACGAAACGAGACATCGCACTGCCGGCCGTCGCCCAGCGATGCGGGGAGAACGAAGGAACCCGTATCGACTACCTAGGTAGAAAATGAGAACAAGGCCCAGTTACTCCAAGAAGTGAGATGCAAAAACGGAATATCCCATAGCTCCGTCGGCCGCGGACCCCGCTCGCTGGGGGTATTTGGGTAGTGCATGATGAGGAAGGGATGGAGGGATATCCGAGGACACGGCGTGCGTGCGTAGCGGTACAGAGCAGTCGTTCGAGACAGGGCGTCTGGGGTACAATGAGCACGCACGAGGACGAAAGCGGGAGATCAAGCGAGGAACGGGTGGGGAGATAGGGACGTGCCTCTTTCCCTAGCCCTAGATATAATAAGAGGCAGCTCAGCACCACAAAGGAAATTCCGTTGTCAGAGCACGATTCCGGTAGATACTGGTCACAGACACCAAAAAAAAGAGTCTGGAATCAAGTGCATTCGACTTCCTGGCAGGTCTTATTGACAACAGACAGAGACCCGAGCATCTGCAGGCGCTGAAAGGACTGCTGTCTCGACACATACCAACGACCCAACGAGCAACTCCAGCAGCGAACGAGCATCTTGACCTGCTGATGCTCTCAATATGAGGCTTTCCCAATTGCAATCATTGGGCTCAAGGCATTCAATCCGAGCTTAGGAGAAAGCCATCTGCAAGATGCTCCATACCAGGAAGATATTTCCGCAGACCATGACGACGGACAACCAGACCGTGACAACACATACTGGCCAGAAGAATCCCTTGCAGGCTTGCACCCTTCTTCGAGCTCCATGCAAAGAGACTTACCTGAACCTTTCTGGGGCCTAGGCCCTATGTCCGTGCACAGAAGTCCTCGTGTCGAATGGGCTGAAAGTCTTGTTCCAAGTGACAAGGTTTAGCAAACGCTTGACACTGCGTCCACCACCAACAACAACACGCTGGGGCCAGTCCATACCACACATGGAGAAACGCATACCATTGGGAAGGCGGTGGCCTCGTAATCGAGACTCTCGATCCCTGTGTGTGACGTGACACACGATGTGAGAAAGGTTGATGCTGGCGTCGACACGAACGCTGATGCAGGAGTGATAAGGACAGACGGTGTCACCCTCAGGGTCTCCCTCGTTTTCTCCGTCTTCAGCTTTGCCTCTCGAAGTTGTTCTCGAGCGACAATCAAAACGATATCAGCAAAACCCGGTATGGAGAAGATGGATACCTCTAATCCCATCCAACGCTGGGTATCGTACGCCCTGCCCGGCGCATTCATTCTTACCAGCGTCATTTGTATGTCTTCTCGAGCCCAGAAAGCCTTTCATGGTGAGCAAATCGTGCGTGATACACCAGCTGAAACTTGACAAGGCCATATCCAGACCGCTGTCTTCCACCCCGGCCTGCTCGTCAGCCACTTCGCGCGCTACAAGGAAAAGGCCTTTGCCAGCCTCTGGGCCATCGGCGGGCTGATCTGCGCCCGAGACACCCCCGAATCTCTGGGTCCCATCTTGGCCCAGAGCAGCGGCGTCATTCTCGATGTCGGCCCCGGCGCTGGCCACCAGCTGTTCCGCTTTTCGAACCCCCAGGGCATCACCGCGATCTACGGAGCAGAGCCGGGCGTGAGCATGCACGCCGCTTTGCGGAAGCGCGCCAAGGACGCCGGCCTGGGTGACAAGTACCACGTCCTCAGCTGCGAGGCGAAGCTCGAGTCGCTAGTCCCAGCACTCGCGAAAGCGGGACTTCTCAAAACGGGCGATGCCCACGGCGCCGGAGAGGCCAACACGCCCTTCGACGAGATCGTCTGCATCCGCGTGCTCTGCGGTATCCCCAACCTGGACAGGGTGACGGAAGGCCTGTACAGCGTCCTCAAGCCTGGCGGCCGGATGGTCGTGTGCGAACACGTGGTCAATTCGGGGGACAGCACGAAAGGCGGCACCGCGGCGGGCCGTGCATTGCAGAAGTTCTACATGTGGATCGGCTGGAGCTCGCTCATGGGTGGCTGCGAGTTGACCAGGGACACGCTGGCGAGTCTGCACAGAGCCGCACAGAGGGATGGCGGCTGGGCTAAGGTCGACGTCAAGCTGTGCGATCCATACAGCACCATTCCGCATATCGTGGGGACATTGGTGAAACGGAGGTAACAAACAAGCAAGCTGAGTGTTGCGTCTGCTATTTTATTGGCTGTGACCGAATGAAGTTGTCTGTGCTTGGAGCGGACATGGACGAGTTGGTTCGATTCGCCAAATGGAGATTGCAAGTCTGGCCTGCCTTGGGAGAGAATGTCCACGCAGGGTTCTTGCCCGTCAACCAGGAGCTAGGAGTGGGTGAAGAACACAGGGTTGCGATGGTAGACTTGAAAGCTCTGCTCTAGTTCCCATCGCCGCCATCCAAAGTGACGAGGCCCTCCTCAGTACTCTACTCAACGTCTGCGATTTTCACCCAGTCTCAATTGCTATCAAGCATAGTTGAACCATGGCCATTTAACTGGCCAACTTTTTGAGCTTCCCTTCGTTCATTCATTCATTCCGCTGAGCAGAGTCAGTCGGTGAGCGTCTCGCCGCTCGCTCAGGCAAAAGAAATTGAGATCTCCTCCGCCTCGTTTCCCTCCTCAGCAGTCCTATCTGTAGGGACAAAAGTAACAAAAATACGGTGCGCGAGCTGTGAAACAAACACCCTAGCCAGACCCCGGAAATGAGGTGTCTGGCTGAAGAAAGGAAACCAACCGCCACAGAAGCCAGGGTAAAACCAAGACTCAAGGAGTCAGACTTTGTACTCGTCGCGCCTTATATAGCACTCACAGGGATCACCGGACCGGACCCTGTTCAAACGTATCATCGGCCTCACTGTCTGTTGAATCAGTCCTTTCCCATGTTGCCACGAGGCCATGCCAATGCAGGCGTGGAGGAGCAGTGATGTGCGCATTTCTCTCTCTCTCTCTCTCTTTCTCTCTCTCTTTAGCAGGGTACACGTTGTCGTTATATACGTCGAAACAGACTATTATTATTGCATTCAAACTTGGCCCGCAAGTCATGGTTGAATTGATTGTCTATCTGCTATTTTCATTCCCCTTGGACTGTCCAGAGAAGAGTGGAAGTGTGGAACCATCTTGAGTATTTATTGCTCGACCAGGGGACTGCAGTTTTGCGAGAGAGAAAAAAGCAGCCGGCCCTGCCTTGGGTCAGTGTTGCCGTGAGGGGGCGTTTCGCCGTTGAAAGCGCGGCAGCCTTACGTGGCTCCTTGCTGTGCGCTTGGGGGACTTGTAGATCGTGGCATAGTACTCGTCGGTGCGTGTCAGTCCCATCGCCCTCTGATAAAGTTTGAAATTGCCTTCTGGGAACGCGGCGACCAGGGCCGAGCCGACCTTGGTCACCGGGGCGAGAGACACTCGTTTGACTTTTGAATACTGTGTGCAACGGGGACGTGTATTTGAGAGCGCGCACATCCACCCGCGACCGAGACAGGCATGTGTTGGCATGAGTTTCTCGCCCGTTTTAACGTTGCAGTCCCCACGACCCCTGTTCATGTCGTATGACCTGGCTCCTTTGGCTCTCAGTCACCGCGCATCCTCCGCGTAGCACTTGCACGCCGCGCCTCGAAGAGGATTCCTCGATCCTGCCTGCTCCTCCTCTTCCAGTGTCTCTGCGAGCTAAAGCCTCCAGCTCCCGCCAGGATGGGCCCGGGGCTGCTCTGCGACCATATTCCAGGCATGCCAGTTGGGTGCTTGCGTTGGAAGTGTTCACCAGTTCTCTTTCAGCCCCGTAAACTCTCAGAACGACTCCAGGTGGCTCAGAGAGTGGTTGGATGGGCGGACGAACATACTCCATACACACAAATTTTCCCTGGCGCTGTACGCCTCTGCAGACTCTCCTTGAGTCGGCACATTCCGGCTGCGCAAGTGTAGCTTGAGCATCAGAAGGGGTGGTTTGTTGTCATTTCCAACCCAGTGTCGGTCGCATATGCGTGTCGGATCTGTCTGCCGCTCCGCAAGTGCCTCGACTCTAAGCCCGCTCGGGAAAACATTGAAGGCCCCGGCAAGCAAGGAGCTCGGCGCAGAGGCGGTATTTCATATATATAATAAACGGTGTGGCAAGTTGTAGTCTGAGTCGATTGAGTGTCGTCCCACTTCGACGTGGGTGGTATCAACAAGCTTTAAGACCTTGTCGTGGCTTGCGGGGTACTTTGACCGATTCGATGAAGTAATCGACAGACTTGAAAAGTCGACAGGCGCCCCTTAATTCGACAGGGGAAGCAACCCGAATTCACACTATTACTGCTGGTGCATCATCGATGGCAGTGTCATGCCGATGGAGCACTGGCGAATTCGGCAGGACTCATGGCCCAGCATGAGACGAAAAATCGGAGTCGAGCTGTCCTAGGGAGGAACCGCGGCAGTAGAGTCGTAGTGGGATTGACTCCATAAGTGAATATTGCTCTTCTTTGGATGCCAAAAGCCTCTAAGTCGAGAGCTGTGGCAAAGGTTGACCAATGGAGAGGAGCCTTCTGACAGCATTTCTGGTGACGATCGGTAGTTGGTCATCTGTCGAGGCTGTCCTGCAATAGACGAGATGATGATGCTGACAGCTGAGCGACCAGCAGGTGAAGGAGCCATTCTCCCAGTCCGGTTTTCGCAGTCGACATGGATAAAATCAATCTGCAGCCATCCCTCGCCACTTGGCAGGTTTAGTGGACAGTCCGCGACTTGCTAAGGGATAGAAGATCTTCATTGCAAGGGTGGGGACAGGAAAAGCACTTGTTCGCCCAAAGGCGATAGCAGTCCAGACGAAACCTTCGCCGCATCTCTTTCCGCGAACGTTGAGGTCGCAACTGAGTATGCGGTGAAGAAACAAGTCAGGATACCCGGTGCATCTACCCCACAAAACAGGATGCTGATTGGACTAACTGTTTCTGGAAACCGGCTCCTCCCCCCAACCACGAGGCTGAGACCCCTGGTAGACCCCGTGGACATGTTGAAAAGACATCGCCTGGTGGTGGAGTTCTCCTGATGCACGTATACCCATCGGCTCTACGGAGGGGTAGGCACAGCAGCCGCCTGCGTGCCACTCATGTTCCAAATGACTTCCGCCGCATTCCCACCACGCGGCACTTTCCTTCTAACGAGGAGGAAAAGCGTTCACGTGCATTCCCATACGGACATAGTCGGATTATTGCGCCTCCTGGTCCGCTGCGGTATTGTGCAGCTATCCCTGCATACCCGTTATAGGCCAAGGGCGTGAGAAGTTCGATGCCATTTCTCCATGATGTTGATCTATTGCGTCACCCCGGGCTTATGCATCAAACTTTCCCACAATGGACGATTGGTGTAACGGCCACAACCTGTAACATTCACCCTTCCACGGCCGCAAGAGTCCACATCGTGGTCACTAACTTAGGTCCATCGCTTCACCGTCGGCAGTGCCGCCGGCTTCTGTCTTGACCGTTTCCACAAAGTCCTTGCGCCGGCTTCCAATCCGTTCCTCCTTGAATTTCTGGATCTGCTCCTTGACATCGGTTGCTGCAGGCAATCGTCAGCATGATCAAATTCCGGAAAATGAAATGAGAATGATCTTCGTAGTCCGCATTACCCAAAAAGAAAAAGGGGGGTGGGCGCTTACCAGGTATGACGTCCTCGATTTTCAGTGGCACTCGGTTGAATGGGTCGTGAGGATCACTCAACAAGTGGCTCCGTATCGTGCTCCTGTCAATGACAATCTTCGATACAGGCAGCCTCACAGGATCTTCCATGAGGGTGAACATCAGCGGATCCAAGTACTCGTCGGGGATCTCTCCCAAGTCCGCGTCCGCAGCTTCATCCTCTTCCTTAGCCTTGGCAAATTTCTCTATAAGACGCTGCCACCTATTAAGTTCTTCGGGCGCCTTGAGGACAAATTTGCGCATGATATTGCCTGCGTTGATGAAGTTCTCGGGCTTGTAGGATCGACCATCGCGCGCGACGGCGAGGATGAAATTTTCCCGTTCGCTCAAATTGAGGTAGACATCGATAATCTCGCTCAGAAGAGCCTTCGGGTTGAAATTGTATTCCTGCAAGTTTTCCACTTTGAGGGTCGTGGATTTCGGCCCGACCATCGCATCGAGGTTGTAGTCCAACATATCCGCCAACCGCTGGACGATTTCGGGCATGGTGAATGCGTCGGCGAGAGCTTCCGTGAAAAGCTTCAGCATCGCTACCGTCTCGTTCGTTAGTTGCATGTATGACTTGGCCTTGCTCTTTGCCGCTTCCAGTGCTTCCTCCTTTTCTTGTCGTTGCTGCTGATCCAGCGACGTGCCAGCCAGCGAGAGTTCTTTTGAGATGTCGTAAATCGTATGAAACGCCGTAAAAGATTCATCTAGCACGAATGTCACATCATTCAAGAGAAGGTTCACAAATCTCACGAAGAACTCCATGTTGACTTTTGCCTCCCTCAACAGATTGTCGCGGTACACAGTGTTCGGCCAAATACACTTGATGATCTGGAAAATCTCGAAGCGTACATTGAACTTGTCGAAGAATTGGCCGTGTCCGCCCATGAACTCCGCCTCTATGAAGAATTTCATCAAAGAATGCAATAGGTGCTCTGTCGCGAACGGCATGCTGTTGTATTGATCAGCGAGGATTCCCCGTCCGCCTTGGCGCCAGGACCAAGTTCCCCGAAACAGGATCGTGACCAAGGACGCTTTCAAATATGGATTTTTGATGTATTCCGAGTTACGCAAAAAGGTGATGCAGAGCATTATCAGCTCGTCTGATTGTGTTGCGGAGATGACCTGGGGCATGTTGTACATGATGAATCCAAAATTACCACTGATAACATCCAGGAAATACTCAGGGAGGTTCTTGAACGTCTCTGGCTGGTCGGGTGGGAGAGGAAGAGTCAATTTCTGCTTAGGAAATTGGCCATGTGGAGAGACTTGGCGAAGGATCCAGACCGTCACAAAGCGCATGAACTGCATGGAGCGAGTCTGTGCGATTTCGTCCAGGAGAACGCCCTGCACAGCATACTTGTAGGACAAGCCCTTGTCATGCTGATCCTTGTACCTCTTGAGTGCATTCTCGAACAGGGCCAGCTGGGCAGGGTTGTTGACGTATTTGTGTCGTTCTGTCTCGAAAACTTCGATTTGCTTGGCCATGTGCTTCAGATCTCGGTCCATGTCCTTGAGCATATTTCGTGCGGCTTCGCTCCCATAATAATGGGAGGCCACGGCGAGGAAAAAGCATTCTGAGATGAAGTTGTTGGTGCCTTCGAGCTGGTCCTTGTAAAACTCATCCGAGTGCTCTTGATCCGCGTTAATCTTCGTTTCCTCCTTGATATCAACGCGGGGATGTCTTCGGAGATAGCCAATATCGACTCGGTCAATCTTCGAGAATTGTGCATCCATAAAAGGTTCACACAGCTGGTCTAAGATCGCCGTGACATTGATCATGAAGCCATCGCTCGACACCGTCGCTTTGTCCACACGCAGGGCACGGCGTTTGTGATTCGAGTTGACCACTAGAGCAAACCAGTCCAGCACGCGTTCTCGAGCTTCCGGGGAGGCGCGCACCAGGGTATTGACAATATCAAATAGTTCTGTCTGATGGGACCTTAACGACATTTGCAGTGATTGCTGAGAGTTCCGGATCCTTCCTGGATCCATCGTCTTTGGCGCAGAGAAGTATTGCTTCGTCACTTCCGCTTGCAGCGGCGATAACTGGAAAAAGGGGCCAAGCAGTGTGCCAACCTCTAATTGCGCAGCGGGAACTGATTTGTCCACAAAAATGTTTGACTGTGTGATAGCAATGGCCACGGGCTTGTATCTAATGAGGTGTCGCAGCATAGCAGTATACCGCCGGTAGTCGGAATCCATGGTCAACTTGGCAAGACGCTCACTCAGATTCTCAACGGCGCCGACGAATGCATCCTTGATGGTTTCATCCTCGTCGAATCTGGTGATGACTTCCGTGAGGAAATCATGACAAACACCCCCATCCTCGTCTGGATCGGCGAGAAGGTGGTCCGCGAGTGCGGCGACTCCGTTGTAGTTGGCGCCGAACACGTCAGGCGTCGTGATGGACAATATGCACCAGCTCATGCAGAGTCTCCTAGCCTCTGAGATGATGGCCCACTTCTTGTTCTCGGGCGACCGATCTTTGACAGCCTTGCTCATTCTCGTGATTCTCTTCCAGCAGCCGAATAGCCAATCATGCGGAGTCGATTTCCCCAGATCTGCACCTGCTTCCATTATGGCCTGCTCAAGCAAATCGGTATTCAACAGCACCGGTTTGCCTTCACTCTCCAACTCCTCTCTCAGTTGTGCAAGGACGTAGAGCTGCTGACCGTGGATATCCTTGGTCTGTTCAGGGTCTAGACTGAGACGAAAGATACTCTTCAAGGTCCGGTCTTCCCACTGTTCGATGCTCTCGTTCGGCCGTGAACTTTGTCTTGAATTAGGTCGTTCCAAGCCGTCCATCTCCCGCTTCTGGGGAGTGACATTTGCCGGAGAGATTCGTATTCGGGTCGTTGGGGGGGGAGATGGTTCCTTTGTGACAGTGCCAGATGGGGTTGCTGAATCGGTCGGTGTTGGAAGGGCAGAAGGGTCTCCTTGGGGCGTCTCTGGTCGCGACGACGGCGTCGAGTCAGAGCCATCTTGGGCAGGAGTTGAGGCTGCGGCAACAGTATCCTGCGACTGCGGCTGCGGCTGCGGCTGTGATTGTTGCAATTTCGCGAGTCTCTTATTGCGGATCTATTTCATGTTAGAAGAACTTGATGCTTGAGCATCTCACGCACCTTGTCCGAGTCCATAGAAGGATCCGCCATGATTGTGGAGGCTGTAGATACAAAAGTGTCGCAGACGAGATTCCGGTGAGGTTTCGCCAAAGCCGACAATTTGGGGTTCAAGTTGACGTCGGTGTTGGTTCGAAGAGACTAGAATCAGTGGCACTGCGCCGGAGATAATAACTACTGGGCCCGCGGCGTGGCCGCCCCGCGCGCAACTCTCCAAGCAGTCATCAGCACGTTGCTGCCTGGGGACTGTGCCTACAGGTTGAAGGTGGTCTGCGGCGCAGGGGCAATCAATGATGGGGTAATGAAGCACCACTCTCCATTCCCTATACTAACTAACCTTTGAAATAATATAGGCGGTTCACTTGCAGCCTTGCCTCTGGCTGGCCAACAAAGGCGCCACCAACGCCAAACAAAACGATGGGATTCCCCTAAGCAACACCGAACGGACAAAGTCATACACATTTCCGCTCCATAACTAATATTGCCGGGTGACTTTCAACTCGTCCAGCCGGCGGCAGCCAGGCATTGCCATCTCCCTGGCCCTCTTCAGTCTGTTCTCGTCTGTGAAAAATAGGCCTGTAGCTTCATTGATCTCGTGCCGCTGTCGTTGTACTTCATTCTCGCATTGATATTTCAACGTCGAGACATAATCCACTTCCGCCCTTTGGTCCAGTGAGCTGAACTGTCTTGACGTGTATCCCTCCACCTCCGCTGGATTCAAGAAATAATCGATGTTGTACCTGGGTGTTACCCGATGCATCGTATGTGGTGGGACTGGGGAATCGTATCGAACATGCGGACCTGAATTGGAGGATCCAGTGAAAAATGATGACAACAGTGGAAGAACAAACAGCAGTAGCAGTGGTAACAGCTGTGTCAATGCCGATAAGCCTGTCGGTGCAGGTCCCGACTGCGCTTCTCTTGGCCTCCCTCGTGGTCTGGTGCCGCCCATGCGATGTACTGTGAAGCCAGGGCCGCCGCCCATGTTAAAGACGAACTGGGGCCCCCCAAAGCCGCCCCCTGCTAGCCAGGTCAGTACAGGTTTCATGGCAGAATCGCACGCCGGAGGACGTCTCACCAAATTGGAACCCGGGTCCCATGCCACCGCCGAAGAACCTGTTGAACAACTCCTCGGGCGAGATTTCATCTTCGTACATGGGTCCTCTCCCAGGCGACCTCGCGAAGCCACTGAATGGACTGGCTCCTGCGCTTGCAGCACCACTACTGGAGAAGCGGTTATCGGGATCACCGCCGAATTGATCGTATCTCGACTTCTTCTCGGCGTCTGAGAGTATTTGGAATGCGCGCGATACCACTAGGAATCATCAGCATTACCGTCTTCAACAATATACATGTATTCTCACTCTTGAAAGCCTCGTCGGCACCTTCATATCCATTCTTGTCGGGATGTGTCAACAGACTGATTTTGCGGTACGCCTTCTTAATCTCTCCATCACTTGCTGTTTTCTCGACCGCGAGGATCTCGTAGAAAGCCGTGGGACTACATTTTCGTATCCTTATCACTTCGGCCTTTTGTTGCGGCGTCCACTTGCGTTCCTGGTTTCCCTGATTATGTTCTCGTGAGTGGGCAGAGCCGTTGGCCCTTGCGTTGGAGCCGGAAGCTGTTGCGGACATGCCGCAGGATGGAGAGAGTAGGGGGTTCGTGTGCAGCCTTCACGAGGCCAGGAAGTATATAGAGAATTAGAGGAGGTAGCCCAACCAGGCTTTGGCACGATTACTCGAGTTTTGGAGGGGCGTAACTTTTTGCAGTAAAGGTGTTCAAAAGCGAAATCGCAAATCCGCGCCGAAGAATGGTGGGCTGCACTTACGAGAGGCGCCGTTGCCGAACCGCAGCCAGGAATGACGTTTACTCTGCCTCGTGCAACTCCCAAGCTCTCCCCAGACCCGACGACTCAAAACAAACCTTTACAGTTTGAAATACAATGTGCTGAAAATCAACTCTGTACTGCCAACATTGAACATGGCTGACCCTCAAAAACAAGAGAAAGCGAAAGAGTCTCTTGTAGTCACGGCCAAAAAATGGGGAGGTCTGTAACCACACTGTCCTCCAATGTTCGCATAGCGATTGACTACTTTCCCAGCCTACCTGCTTACGCTCCTGACAGAAAATCCCGTGCCTCCAGCTCTTCTTGCTACGCTCGTCTTTGCACAACATGCTCGCCCTTTCCAGCCCCTTCCCATGTTGTTCCCTCCTTTGTTACTCTTCTCGACGTATCTCAACCTCCAAGGGTTCAAGATCGACAGCGCTGGAACGACAGCTGCGCTGAGTGGTACCTACCTAGTGCTGGCTGGCAGGAGGAGGATGGGCTTCATGAATAAGTTCGGCGCGAGGGGCATCATTCGAGGCGCCACTATGGGATTATGTCTGGTGAATTTGGTGGGCGGAGGTCTTGCGTATGGGTTTGGAAAGAGAAGAGAGGAGGACGACAAGAGAAAACAGCTATGATCAACCCGATGAAATACATCCCTGAAATGGCCATTTATTATGGGATTCCTGAGAACAAATACCGAACACAATTAAGTCGGGCGGCAGCAGTGAGCAAATAAATCTGGCCTGGGCAATTGAATATATCATGATGCACGGAGCCGAGATCCTGAGTTGAGGACGATTATGGCACTGCGAGACGAGTCGCTTTTCAGAAAGATGGGTTAACGAAGGGCAGGCAAGGAGATTGTCAAGCTTCTGTGGCACCTTTAAATTTTATTCCTGTGTTTGCGGATCGATACTGGGAGGCTCTGCGAGACACGATCTTTGCCGGAATGGTCACAGCATTGAGTATTCTTGGTTGGAGCCAATATGGCTGAATGTATCATACGGCATGGGAAAAAAACCGGAAAAGCACATGAATTGGCGTTGATTTGTACACAGATATAGCACGTTGCACAAGTCTCCCACAGCATGTCCGTTGAATCAAAACAGTCATGTTTGTCGACTGCTTATCTCTGTCGAATAAACTTCAAACTGCAAAGCAGGCAACTTTTGTGTGTATGTGCATGTATCTCCTCTTTTGACGCACTGAGATCCATCTTGCCTGGCCAGAAAGGTCTGTTATCCCAACCAGGCACGGATTAAAGTGTAACACGATACCGGAGAACTCTCATTTGAGAAGTGGTTATCGATCTCGGCATGATTTTGACAACATCCGCTATGGAGAACCAGAAGAGGTGGAGCAGGATGAAGCTTCGAAAGTGCCGGGTCGTACTCACCAACTCACCTTGCCTCAGTTCACTGATGACGCGCAGTTTGAGGTGGGTCGGGATTTCGAATTGACCAGATTTTGAATGAACTCCCTACCAAACCATGTGCATGGGCAGGGGGCAGGGACATGAATTATATATATATCTCTTACCAGCTCAGGTTAGTGTGCCCCAAGGAAGAGACCAAAGTGGCGCGATGGGGGAGGTCCTTGGGAAAGAGAAAGAAGGAGGAGAGGGAAAAGACAGAGAAGACAGGAAAGGATTTTATAGACTGTATATCTGAACCCTGCTTGGCGAGAGGTGAGGCAGAAAGCTCTTTAGAGCGTATGGTTGTTATATTGTCAGCCAGAAGCGAACCATTCACCACTACGATTCTGCCAGGCCTGCTGGCAAGAATTAAGTGGAGCTGGATTAGAAAGGCATTCTCGTATGATCTGGGCAGCTCGAAAATATGTGGAAGCAACGGGGGCGAATATGCATTCAACAAAGGTATATTGAGTGCCCTGGACTAATATGTGAAGAAAAGAAAATTGAAGGAGCTAAAACGCCGGGTTGAAATATTTGATGCGGGTGGGGTCGCCTGCAACTACGGTACTTGGCAAGGCTGTAGGTTGCAGCCTCGCCAGGCCATTGTGAAAAGACGAGGCGTAGCATGTACTCCACAAAGAATGGCAGATGAAGAGCACTTGCCTAGCTGTTCCACTCCTGTATTCATCTAATTCACATTCCGGATTTATCTACCTCCCGATCACCAGAAGCAACGATGCCCATGAAATTTGCAGACATCGGACAATGAAGTTCCATAAAGGCCTGAATCCTAATGCTAGACTGCCATTCCACTCTTATCTTGACCGGCCCCCTTTTGAGTGCATCGCTCTCGACAGTCAAGTTCGTCCTCATAGCCGATAGGACAGCATGCCACGCCTTCTGACTTGTTTCGGCAAAACCACGAGCGCCTGCACCGGCCCAGAGCAGCTCGTCGACTTGCGTCGAGTATGGCTGTAATCACCAACTTGGTCGACAGATGATTTCCTCAGTGACCCATCGGCTGGGTTTTTTCATCCCCCTGTAGCTTCCCGGTAGATGGCGATGGCCTTGTTGCTGCCCACGGTGATAAATCTCTCCGCCTTTTGTCTCTCGACGCTGGTCTCGCCCTTAGGTTGCCACTTGACACACCATAGACCCTGTTCACTCTCGCCGTGCGTCGCAACACAAACTCGTCGCTCGATATCCCACACTTTCACCTTGCCGTCCAAACTTCCACTCAAGACATACTGACCATTGTGATTCCAATCAAGGTCTGTGATCCAAGCAGCATGCCCGCTGAGATTGACGATTTGTTCGCCTGATGCGGGATCGTAGAGTGAGATGATCCGTGCGTCGCCAGCTGCTGCTAGGAGAGTGGAGCCGGGAGAAAACTTGACGGTGCGGACGGGCTTGATGAGACCGGGAAGCGAGTGCAGCAAACGAGACGTGGCTGTCGAGAACAGGTAGATGGCTCCGGACTCGTGGCCGCTGGCTATGAATCGACCATCTGGTGACTTTTGTTTGGGAAGGACGACGCGTCAGTGTCCTTGTCCTCTTGCCAGTCGAAGCGATTTCTGCCAGGTAGTGGGATGCTTACCATGTCTACAGACATCCCGAAACTCCCTTTCGTCTCGAATTCCCTGATCTTCTCGCGGCTAGTGCTGTTTGCCAGATCCCATACGTTCACTCGTCCATCATGAGTTGTGCCAGCAACGAAATTTCCGTCAGAAGATAAGCACACGGCCCAAATCTCTCCTGTTTTTTTTCTTGGGCCGACATCAACATCCCCGTCGTCCTTCCACTTGCCCTCCTCGTATCTCCATATTTTGACCTCGCCGCCAAAACCGACACTCACGGCTCTTGTTCCAGTGTCGCGGTCTGTGCTAATGTGGTGGCAACCGAGTTTATGGGCATCTTTCAGGATCTGAGCGATTGGGAAACCTTCCTCAGTTGTAGAGTAGATTTTGATTGAGGACTCGCCCGAGCCTGTAAGGATTTGGGTTTGAGTCACCGCAAGGGCAAAAATGTCCGTCGTATGGGCTGTAAAATGTCATGTTAGCCGCAGAATAAGAGTGCGCTGCAAAGATTGAAGTTACCTTCATCGATTGAGTGGAGTGCGAGATATTGTTTCGACTGGGCCCCATTTCAGTTGACACGACTCCTAGCATGAATAAAGTTGGGTTACTGACCATTTCGACTGCATCGATGCATCATATACGAAGTTCAATGAGAGAAGTCGATCAGGCTGCCATCAAGAAGAGTGTCAACACTATCAAACCTAGACCGAGTGCAGCAGAAGAAATTGGGCTGCGCTTTGAACAATGTACAATTATCTTTGAAATGACGTAGTTTTACAATGAGCCCGCATGTTGTTGTCAATTCAACCGCAGCAGAGCCTCACACAGCACAAGCCGCCTCTTCCTTTGCCCAGGCCTCCAATGTCACGTACTTCGCTCAAGATGCACAACCTGTAGAATGCGATCATCCTACACCGCCTCTCCTCCCTCCAGACTCCGTTCAGAACAAGCACAGCTTCCTCTGCCACCGGCTGCGAGTAAGGCGTGGTCCACGTTCAATATTCGATCAAGTTTCATCCGGGGCCCGACCGATGCCTCCGCCTGGGATTCCACGTCTTCGTGACTATTCAACGTTCTGATGCTATATTCATCGAGTGTTCTTGATAGCATCGGTCCTGGAGGGGGAGGGATGAAATGAGCAATGCATCTCGGAGCCTGGTGTAGCGCTGCTGTTTACCCTAAAGAGTGAGGAATATATGGCCGCATTGATTCCCTTCTTGCATATACTTTGTTCCCTTCTTTTTTCTCCGCCCGGACGGCGCATCACAATCCATCAGCGTTTGGTCTCTGACGCCTTGGCTGCTTCGCTCGATTCCGCTTCTCTGTGTTTCCAGCTTTCGTAGATTTCTGAGGTGTCAATCAGTATACGTGATCGATATTAAGCATATCGTACTGACCTGCAACACAATATGGACATAACGTGTGGGCCTTTTTGGGTCTACCGCAGCCAGGGCATTGATTGACTGCTTTTACATCCTTCAGAGCTTTTCCAGCTAGTTGTCGGTGTCTCTTTTTCATGTGCGACGTCTTCTTTTTGGGAACTGCCCTCAGGATACTTTCCCAAATGTCTGAAATGAGGCTTGGGATACTTGTCGCGATCGAGGGTATTGCGATCGATGCGGAGATGAGGTTGTGGAAGGGCCACGCTTGTATTGATTTGGAGAGTATGCCCGTGCTCCTCCGAAGGAGCATCTGTGACAACTGATAGCTGCTGGATGCAGCGGTCAGTGCCATAGTTGCGGCAAGCTGCTTTTCTCTAACGAGCTCTGTGGAGGGAATGCTTCCCAAGAATCTTTCTGCACGGCCTTTTGACATTCAATGCGCTAGCTTCTCATGGTTAGGTCAAGCTAGTCAGGGACAATCAATAAAGCAGCGGCAGCACCAGCAGGAACTGTACACCACCATTTTAGCGTCTTCCAAAGTAACGCCCCTTGTCCCTTGGCACGAGACAAAAAAGGGGTCCCTTCCTTTCAATGCTGGCAAGATCGTCTGGGGAAATTGTTTCGTGGCAGGCCGTCGCAACTCCCTCTTTTCTCGTCCACAACTCATTGCCTCCATCCGTCTTGCCTCCGCTTGTTTGTTGACACGAATTTGTCTTGTTCCTCGCATTGATATCCTCGCTTCTCGCATCGTCGAACAGACACGATGACCATGGCAATGAACCAACCGAACGCGGTGTTTCCACGTTCACATGTCGGCTTCGATTCCATCACCCAACAAATTGAGAAGAAGTTGTTGAAAAGAGGTTTCCAATTCAATGTCATCTGTGTCGGTAAGGCGATCAGGAGCTTCTCATATTGACTCAAACCACTCACTATCCGCAGGCCAGACCGGACTCGGGAAATCGACCCTCATCAACACAATTTTCGCGAGCCACCTCATTGACTCGAAAGGCCGGCTTCGACCTGATGAGCCAACACGATCCACTACTGAAATCCAGACCGTGTCTCACAGTCAGTCAGCCTACCACATGCGATGGAAACAGGTCACTGACAAATTCGCAGTCATCGAAGAAAATGGTGTGAGACTACGGTTGAACATTGTCGATACCCCTGGCTATGGTGATTTGGTCAACAACGATCGTTGGTGGGTGTCCTGCGAATCTGTCGCATTTGGCAGCGACTTTGACATGTATGACTGACTGTCCTTCAGCTGGGATCCCATTGTGAAATACATCAAAGACCAACACTCTGCGTACCTTCGAAAAGAGCTCACCGCCCAGCGAGAACGCTACATCCAAGACACCCGCATCCATTGCTGCCTCTTCTTCATCCAACCTTCCGGCCATGCTCTGAAACCGATCGACATTGTGGTTCTGAAGAAGCTCTCTGACGTCGTCAACGTCGTCCCGGTCATCGCAAAGGCTGATTCCCTCACACTCGAAGAGCGCAGGGCGTTCAAGGAGCGGATCAAGGAGGAGTTTGCTTTCCACAACCTGAAGATGTACCCATATGACAACGAAGAGCTGGACGATGAGGAAAGAGCAACCAATGCCACCATCAAGGACATTATCCCCTTTGCGGTTGTCGGCAGTGAGAAGTCAATCATTGTTAACGGCAAGCAAGTTCGCGGCCGACAGAACAAATGGGGAATCATCAATGTCGAGGATGAGAACCATTGCGAATTCGTGTACCTTCGAAACTTCCTCACTCGCACTCACCTCCAAGACCTCATTGAGACTACCAGCCAGATCCACTACGAAACCTTCAGAGCCAAGCAGTTGTTGGCGTTGAAGGAGAGCAGTGCTGCCAGCGGCATGGCTGGTAGCAGACCAATCAGTCCTGCCGCTGACCGAGAATTGAGCAGAGGCTCGCAGCGCATGACCATGAACGGATATTAGGAGATTTGCACATTTGAAGGATCCAAGCAAGGGGATGGGGATGAGGACGGATTTGACAAAAGCAATGGTTGAGCTTGAGCGATTGCCATATCCATTTCTTGTCGCCTGAAACGTTATTCTAATGTAGCGTCTATGCAGAGAGCGGGCCTTTCGTCTTTGAGCTGGGGGTATAAAGTAATTCTCATGACTGTTCATCATCGCTGGGGGCGCCTGAAATCAAAACTCCGTCCACCTATTTTTGCTGCGTTGCAGTCTGGGCGAATCAAGTTGAGGATTCTGTACCCAGTTCCTTCATCACCCAGTCGTCAAGTTCCTTGAACGTGGCATCGAGATCATCGTTGATGATGACCTTGTCGTTCTTGCCCTCGGTCTTACAATACTCCATTTCATTTTTGGCTTGAGCCAGACGCTTCTGAATCGCTTCTTCGCTTGTGTCGCCACGACCACGTAGTCTCTGTTCCAGAACCTCAATACTAGGCGGCTGAATGAAGCATATCCTTGGGTTCAACTGGCTCTTCTTCAGCTGCTTGACGCCCTCCATTTCAATGTCAAATATGCATATCCTCTTGCCAGAGGCTGTGCTCCCATCAATGCTCTTGCCTTTTCCCTCGGTCACGTCTTGGACGGCCTTCTTCGAGGAGCCATAGTAGTTCCCGCCAAATTTGGCATGTTCTTCGAAAGCGTTGTCTGCGATCATCGACTCGAACTTTTCGGGGGTTGTGAAGTGGTAGTGGACGCCATCTTCCTCGCCAGGTCGGGGCTTTCGAGTGGTGTGGGAGACGCTGAATCCGAACAGATCGGGATGTGTCGCAAAGAGTCGCTTTATAAGGGTACTTTTGCCAGCGCCCGAGGGCCCGGAGAATACAATGGGTCTTGGCTCGCTTGTTGGTGCGGAGGCAGACATGGCCGCACCACGACTTATGGACTTGACGAAAGATGTCGACGTGTGCTCTGGGCGGGCTTGGAGTCTCCAGAACAGCGAGGTTACCCTGCTGGACATAGAGAGGTGCTTGTATCGAGCGTGTGGAAGCTCAATGCGGTGAAAAAAAAGAACCAATCGAGGTTATGCATCTGCGGTCTTGGCAAGGGCTTAAACGAATTCGGCTCGTCGGGAAGTCCCTCCGACGTCTCTCTAATATTGCAACTTGCCAAAGACACCTAATGTCAATCATCGTACCTTGTACCCGATCCCCCGAATGGAATCGCCAGAAACGCATGTTCCACCAGACGAGGTTCCTACTCAATCACCTCAGTCGCAGGATGTCCGTGAAGATGTTGTCCACGGTGTTGTGGGAAAGGTGCCCGGCAGTGACGGCAAGACGCGTCCACGTCGCCCACCCGTAAGTACCGACACCTTGTCTGAAATGCTTGTTACCATAGACGTGGCTCGGGTCTGTGGACTTGGCCCTACCAGTCTAGTCTAATGGGGATTTCAGGGTCGTCAAGTGAAAGATCCGTTGGCAAAGTCCATATCTATCCAATGTCAAAGATTGGAAGATCTTGAGGCCCAGCTCAAGGAGCATTTGGCCGATTCGGCAATTGACCGCGAGCACACTACACTGGAGTTCAGCTTCCCTGTCACGACTGCCTTCATGGTGGCTGCAAGGGAGCCTCTCGGAAAAAGAGATCTTAGTGACCCCAAGACGCCATATACGTACAGCCCCTTTAACAAGACCGCTGTCACTGTCGTTGATGTTTTGCACTCGATTCAAGACCCCCAGGAACGGGCGACGATGCAGAAAGGGATCAGCAAGACCCTCATCGAAGCATGTCAAAACGTAGATGGGTATCGTTACAGCTTCCACAATTCTTGGGTTAGTCGAGAAGATCAAGCAAGCAGGTTTTCCTACTGTGAGTTTCCTCACCAAGAAGCTCGTTTCCCGGAATCTGCCCTTCGCGGCATATCCTGTCCCTTGCTAATTAGACCCCAGACTGCAATGATTCGGTGCTCAATAAGGGCCGCGCTGCTAACGAGGCTACTTCCAAGATGAAGACTGGCGTCAAAGTTCGCAAACCAGTCTATGACTGCCGCGGCGTGATCTCTATCAAGTTCTCTATGACGAAAAATAGTTTGGAGCTCTACTACAAGCACATTCCTCTACACAAGACCTTTGAAGAACGGGCTCCGCGTCCGCGCAACGGCTCAAAGCGCAAGCGCCTCCTGGAAATTTTCCATCCTGAAAAGCTTGTGACAGAAAAAAAGAGAAAGTCAAGTGAACCTCGACCACCGAAACCCAAGAAACCTGCTACACGCCCGCATTCGCCTGCAGACACGCCACAGAGAGAAGACAGCCTGGCACCATTATTCAACTTCCTCGGCAGGATCGAGACTGCACCATTACCCTCAGTAACCCAAACAGTCGACGTCGACAACGCCATTATTCCTACTCCGGGCGACCGAAGTAAGCGCAAGAAGAAAATGTACCCCGGCACATTCATTTTAGATATTCCGAACCCACAGAGACCAAAGCCACGCTCGAAGAAGACTCGAACTTCTGCCGCGAATCCTGCCGCTGCGCCAGTTCCTGCAACTGTGATGTCAGTAGTGCCAGTATCGTCAACCGAACTGGAGCTTCGAGCTAAGCTGGAGCAGGCCGAGCAAAAGATTCGCGATCTCGAAGCTGAAAAACAGCGACAGGCAAGAGAACACGCAGAGCCGAGTCGACCGACTGCCCTACAACAACACCAGGCACCGAACAGGCCTTCGCCTTCCACCCCGGTCACGCCTTATGCTCCTCCCCCACCCCATACATATTTCCCTCCACCGCAGTTCCATTATCCTCCCCACTCTCTACAGTGGAACTATGGTCCTCCATACCTCTACCCATATCCACCACCAGGACCACCTAGTCTGCCATATCCTAACCCTGCCCCAGGGGGTGCCCCAGCTGCAACACACCCTCATGCATACCACTATCCCTCACAACATCTGCCTCCGCTTTCGCAGCGGCGGCCTGGGCCGAACCCGCCTCCGGCGTATGGCTTCGTTCCCAATCCTTTAGACGCAACAACGGACCCTCTTCCCATGAGGATCAGGTCCTATCTTGGTCCTCCTCAGCCCCCTGCAACGCCTGATTCAAGGCCTGTCCCTCGCACTGAACCACGCACCGAGATGCAGCCTGCTACTCCAACTCCTCTCTCTTTCACAGAACCCGGATCTGGGTCCCCTTCTCGTCCACCCTCCACAACAGTGCCCGAGCCGCCTGACGAAACCGCATCCGCAACTGCTACCGCAGAATCGGCCCAACCAGCGTCCAAGGGAGAAAAGCCGCAGGCCGAGGCCTCAACTTCAACGACCACGGCAGAGCCGCCAGCGACAGACTTAGATGCGAAAAGCGCAGACGGCCCAGGTGAGAAATGAGAAACACTCGACCACGACGCTTACTCAACCCAACCCACCTTGGACATCATCAGAAGCCCAAAATTACGCCCTCCGCACTTTTAGGGGACGAGAGGCAGGGACCTGGCAGATGCTCAGTGACTTTCCTCACTCTAATAATAGACGATCAAGTTCTGATCCCAAGGATGATGCTAGGTCTACAGAGTTACCTTCATGCTTGCCTTTACTCTTTCCCCCCTCCCCCCCATTCCTATGAGTCAGGAAACAAGGGCACAGGACGATAAGTTTTCTTTTATCATTCCAACAGCAAGGCGCTAGGTTCAGGGGGTCGCTTGCCGGCTTGTTCGGCAGGACAAGCAGTTATTTTTCTTTCCTCCCCCGCCGCTCTAGAGCTTTGTATGTATGTGATCAATCACACTATCAATTAATATGTACACTTTAGCTACTTTTATTAAAGTAGTAATGGTCCTACTAATTTTAATTCTCGGTCTTTCTTTCCACTGGCCCATGCGGCACCGCTATCTTTGTGTGTGTGTAGAACTATCCGCGGCCAACGGCTAAAACAGCAACGACCCGCTCGAGGACGCAGATCCATGGCACCGACCTATTCGTTGGTGGTGTCTGTAGCTTGAACTTGTGTTCCCTGAGTTTCAAAAAGTCCAGACTTCCCGGCGGAGAGGGAACAAGGGTATCTCGAGGGACTCGATGAGAGTGATTGATTGATTGATCGATCGATCGATTGATTAAACGAACGAATGACTGGATGGATTGATGTATCAGATCAAGAAAGAGAAGGGAGACGTTGAACCCGGTCAGAGATCAGCCAGCCAGTCTTTGGACATCGGGCCGTCGAACGGCTAGCTAGAGAGCCGCCCGAGTCGACCCCAGCGGTGCTTGATTTCGAGACAAATAGACTCAGCTACCTAGCTCGCTAACTGACTACATACACGCGTACATAGTGCCGCCCAATAAAAACATGAATGCGCGCATACATAGTCAAAGTTCTCATGAGAAAACGTTGTCTTTCTTCCAAACATGACGACCCGGGGAGAAGAGGGGGTCGGTTCCAAATATTGGAAACCTCCTCTGCGGGTAAGGCATTGATGGGCATAAAGTGTGACTGGATACAGGTGTTAGGGTAAGTATACAAGGATAGCGAAACGGACAGATGGCTTGATACGTGAATCATAGGTAGCATCTCGGTCGTGGATAGCTTGACGATGGGTGGCTATTGGAACACATGGGGTAGTGATACAAAACATAGGACATACAGCAAGTTTCTTCACACGAAATCAGAAGGCAATGGATGACAGAAAGGCCATCAAGGCCGAGAAGGAGACAAGACCAAGCCCCGGGTCATGTTGGTGGAGAGGTTGGGCGTTGATGAGGATAGGCTCCGGCGCGAGCGGACGAGCCAGGTTGGACGAAAGCGGATGGCGGGACTTGCGATAGTGTCCGAATCGGTGAATTCGCACAGGGAGTCGATGCATCAGCGCTGCTGTTTGAATTAGAGAACCACCAAGAGAGTCGATGCGATGTCGCTACCATGACATCAACATCGCACTCTCAAGGATGGTGACGTTTCTGGACGCCTCGTCCTCGGGCCCTTCACAGATCTCTGTCACATCTTTTCCGTCCCAAGAGGTGACCGTCCGAAAAGCTCAAACCAACGTTGAGCCCCTTCCCTCTGGCTCTGGTAGCATCTTGTATCAGCAAGCTGCGAATGATATTGGAGGCGTAGATGTCGCTGTTCCGGACTTCGGTGTGTCCAAGATGGCGCTTGTAGTCGTCGGCGAACTTCTGCACGTCAGCGGCCAGGTTGAGGCATAGACCACAACCCCAGTGTTTCTTGACTCTCGGGCAGTCATGTGGATGCGCTTCTCGTTCACCTGACATACGCCGTGGGCATTGCTGTGGTGTCTCTTGCAGGTTGCGAGACGGTATGTTTGAAAGAGACAGTGGCGGTGCAGGCAGGCGAAAGTGGAATCCTTGTCGCGATCTGCGATAAGGTGTTGGGCAAATTCCTTTAAAGCTCAAGAATTCTTTCGGACAAAATTCAACTGAGCATGGAAATTTCGGCCACTGCATCCGGTTGCGGTCTTGTGGTGGTTCTCGCTCAGCTATGAGGGGAAAAGGATCCAAAGGTATCCTGAGGTAATAGCTCTCGTTCTGCTCCACTCAGCTGGGTAGATCCATCTACAGCGCTGTCCAGGTCAGGTACCTCGATGACGGCCGGGATAGCAGGAGAGACGCCATATATGGCCCAACGAGGCTGCGAACATGCGCTCACATCTCAGAGGTATAGCGGATCTGGTGCGTAGACTTTCGGGTGCTCGAGGCCGCTAGCCAAGTAGTCCATGGCCCGGTATACGTCATCTGGTAAGGGCGATTGTGAGGACATTGGTGATGTATCACAAGCAAATCCAAATCCAGCTGTGATCTCCTCCTGGACTGCCAGAATGAGAGATAATTTGAAGCTGGATCGATCAGAGATAAGTCTGGGCACGCGAGATTGAGGATCCATGAACGATTGCCGTGACAGACTTGTTCTTGTATGCTGCGGTAGTAGTCGAGGTTGTATGGAACTGAGGCTTTCCCAAATACGATAGAGTTCGTCGTCTTCTGCGTCGGCAGGCATATGCAAGGCATCTCGATATTCGGTTTACCGGAACTTGAGGATTTTGACCACGTCAAGGCCAGCGTCCAACATTTGAGCATTTTCGACTATATCTGGCCTTTGTTTGGGCTCTTCATTGACATAAGATACGTACTGGCTGAGTGCCGTGGGCTAGGACGGAGAGAAGGGAAATGAGTTGTGGCCCGAAGCACCAGACGGAGATAGTCGAATTGGTTTGTGAGAAGGAGTGTTCGAAACGTGACCCATTGCAGACCTTGAGCGTCACCACGGCGAAAGTGTTTGGCCTCTAGTCTTTCTATTGATGGCTGAGGACGAACGACTGAACAGGCTTACGCTGGTCCAAGCCTGGTGAATATGAGAGAGACGGACCGACGATCAAATGACATACACCGCGCTGAAAAGAGCCGGAGCAACGCCTAAAGCACCAGTTGGTTAATCAGGCACTGAGAGGGGGTCTCTGAGCCTGTTGAAAAGAGGAAACGAGGAGAGAAATTGAGAATCGCAGGGAAAGGGAGTAAAATTGTCTCAAGAACTTCCTGGGTTGGTTGATGGGCTGAGATTGTGCCTTGAGCCACGATTCCCGCCTCTACCCAGCTCCGCCGATCCAATATGCATGCCATGGAGAGACATAACAAGGACATAATATAGGGTGGAGTTCGCAAAGGGAATCCCCGAATGGGACGGCTGGAAGGCGTGGGAGTAGGCCATCTTAGGCATCGTCTTGATGCACCAGGACTCCTGATTACTTTGGAAGCTCGTATTGAGGGGTTGCTTCTGGGTCTCTCTCCCGCAGGAGCCACGTAAGGGCTATCGATTGGGATCCCAGGGCACCGCTCGAATTCGCGTTGGCCTCGAGTCGTGACGAGAGTGGAGTGGACGCCAGAAGGCGGCACGTCTGGCCATGGCATGGATGAGAAGTCGAGAGAAAGCCAGGACCAAGCCTTCGGACAGCTGACAATTGGAGGATGGCGCTGGTTTCTGCCCCCTTGCCCGATATCTTGGACACAATGTTCTGGATATCCACATGACCAAGAAGAGCAGGCAGGAGTGATGCTCTGGATTGAGATGTCGCCAACACAATCGTCCTTCGACTGACCGCCTCGGATCCTAGCAGGCGCACACGACGCTTACAAAAAAGCTGCAGACCCTGGTAGCCCGGTACCTGGCGCCGCCAGCAGCCCGTGCTCTGAGACAGGCATTAGCTCCTGGAGAGGACGCAGCTCAGGGCCCCTGCGTTATAAGCGCCGTCGAGTCAAGACCAGCATTCTCACCTCGCCCAATCGAACCTGTCCCCTCATGCCGAAAATTGTGTGCCTCGTACCGAGAACAAAAACACTCCGGATGAGGAGTGAGGCTGAAACAGTGGCGATGAGAGAGAGCGGATCCGGAGGATCCACAGATTCAAAGCTGTGGTTGGTAACTGCACGACATATTATTGACTCCATCTCATCCGTCCGCAACGGAAACAAAAGTGCTGAAGGAAGGGTTCTTGAAGCAGGTTTAATTCCCGGTGCTCCCAAACAAGGCGCTCGGAGGAGCCAGTCTTTCCACATGCCCGCCATTGACAACCGGACTGTGACTGTGACGACCACCGGTGCCGAAGAGATTCTCGTTGTACGGACTGTCAAGACCCCCACAGCGGAGAGTCTGCGAGGGCATCGATGCCACCACACTTGGTCGGTGGTGTTGGTAGCCCTCTCGTTACGCTGTGGGACCTGAGGAACTCATTAACATGTGATAGAGAAGAGTAATGCAGTCTCGGTAATAACAAAACTCGAAACAGCAGAATGGAAGGCGCACTGCTCAGAAAGTACTCCGTCCATCCTCGAACTTGCTAAGTGATCGGCAAATTGTGGGTGCATTGGGGCGCTGGCCCACCTTTAACGTAAAGGTTAGTAAGGCGTTTCTAGGCCCTAGAAGCCTAAATACGCGAAGAATTATAGCCTGCACTAGGGCTGCGATTCAGAGCTAACGGACTCGATGGGCGACGGGAATTCAGGTATTACAACGCGACCCACCAAGCCAACAGTGCATTGACACTTGACAAGACGCGGCCCATCGGCGCCCGTTCAACCTTGATAGACAGCTGCCCGGACCGCCGCGCCTGATGAAAACCTAACGATACTTTGGCCTATCGTAGTACAAGAATGCTTCCCTGCGTGCGTGCGGTGGAAGAGATAGATTGCTAGCACACTAAGAATTGTAATCAGAACAAAATGCCAAATGCTGTTGAAAACATAGTAATGATACAGGCGAGGCCAGGAGGGCCGTTCCTCCATTCCTCAAGAACATTCAACAAAATATGAGTACATGACTGGGGCTGGGGAATCGGCGCTGGGATCGTAAAGCATCGAGGTCGTATCAGGTCGTTAGTTGAGAAAGTGTTACACAATGAAAAAGCTCAAAACACCCGACAAAAAATCGGCCACTTGGCAAAAAATCCCAACAAATTGTAACTTAAAGCATTGGGGGCTGGTGGTAGATACAGAGAAGGCTTCGGAGGCATGGATGTGGGTGGTAATGATCGGAAGCTGTTCGAGTCGTGAAGCGGTCGTAGGTCAATGGTTACCGTTGAACTCAACACTGGTTGTATCCGGGAAAGAAGTGCAATTGTTACGAGAATCGACGTTGAGCCAGATGTTGTCGAGACCGTCCAGATCAGCCTCGTCCCATTTGCGTTTGAAGGACATTGAGGCAAACAGTGCCGTGATGAGCCGCTCTGCCACAGCAGGATCGGAAATATCAGAGCCTTGATATGTACCGTACTCGAGAGCCGTCCGAATTTCCTTGACAGGCGGCTGCCAGGCCAAGTCCCAATTTCCAGCTTGGATGCCCATCGCCAGGCTGTATGCTTCCCACTTGCTCTTGGTCGCTTCTTGCAAAAGCAAGCTCAGGATCATGGTGGAATATTTGATGTCACAAGCCTGCGCCGCACCGTCCTTGAAATGGTTGATATGGTGTTCGGCATGGGAGGACACATCCTCCGACAAATGCACGCAGATGGAACATCCCCAGTATCTTTTCTCCCTGACACGGATGATTTTGACACACATATCACCTTGCTTGCATGAATCGTGGTCCCTGCTGTGATGGCGCCCCCACGACGCGTGCCGGTATGTTTGCATTGCACAGTCGTCATCATGTTGGCAGATGTGGATGGTATCCTGTTCGTGGTCCCCTTGCAGGTGTTTCCCTAGCTCGGTTGAGCGCAGAAACCTCTTTTTCTTCTCGCAGTCTGGTTCAGAACAGGGATGCCCAGTCTGTTCTTTTTTGACAGTCCTTTGGTGAATCGGTCGATCAGTCGAATCGGTACTGGCAGCTGAGGGCCTGTTGTCGTGTGTCGCTTTTCCACCGGCGCTGTAGTAAGTGGCAGGGGTTGAAGCGACGTAAGAAACGCTAGCATTGCCAGCACCAGAAAAACTAGAGACATCCACAAGAGCATGATACGGATACACAGAGGTGACCCCTGTGGTATTTGCATTTGCCGGTTGATGCAAGTCCGCCCGCTGTGGCTGCTCGAAATTGGGCGCGGTGAAGGACATAGTAGGGGCTATTGTGGTACCGTCCCCATGAACGGCCGGATCTCTGGAGATCATGGCGTCCATTTCTCCGGAGACATTGTGCCACATCGACGGTTGAGGTTGTCCTTGAATCAAGTTTGTGAATCCTGCAGCATACGTTTCAATTGTAGAAGTGCTCGGGTCTGTTGGAGCGGACCATTGGGGCTTGTTGGGCCCGAGGCTTGCATTCCCAGGCGCATAACGCATCGCCGCACCACTGGATAGTTTTCGTGTCTTCGCACCCTCTCGCCTTTGATACACAATTTTCCACGCAGCTTGGACGACATTCTCGTCTGCATTGGCTATTGTGACGAGCTGGTTGAAGTTTTTTGGTTTGCAAAGACACGAGATTTGTTTATGGCTCAACCCAGCCGAAAGAAGGTTCTCCAGTAGCTTCGCCATCTCATAAGGGGTGGGAAGCTGGTCCTGGTATGGGCTGTCCTGTCCCATATAAGAAAGGCCAATCTGACTTGGCGAGTTTGTGGCAGGTGAAGACATATACGCCTGAGCTGGCGATTGCATGGTTGGCCATCCTGGAGGAGAAAAATTGTGCATGCCGGGACGCATCTCGCAGTTCGTGATCAAGATCTAGCGAAGTCTCCCTAGCAGTAAACACGAGTGAAAGAGCGACAGACAACTAGGTTGTAAAATGTTGGTAGTAATAAATCAATGTGCCAACAAGAAGCTGATAGATGAGCCACACAAGGAGCGAACGTGCTCGCGGCACAAGAGAGACAACCGGAACAAAGGAAGGAAAGGTTGGAGGGGGAAGGAGCTTCAACATTTGAGCTGGATATTAACTTGTCTTGTATAGTCCTTTCAAGCCTGTACGGCGCACCAAGGCAATTCATCTCTCGGCACAATTCATCTTGCCTTGTTCCAAGCACTTACGATCAGGAGACCCACCCTACCATATCGCTCTCATGGACGTTTGAGCCATGTGAGCAACAGATCAAAGACTGGTGAAGCTGAGGCGGATGTTCACGCAAGTCAAAGAACGGCTAGAGGACTGAGTTGTTGGCTTACTTGCATAAAATGAGAGCGCGATGGACTGGAAAAGATGAAACCCCTAATGCCTGCATGGCCCCTGAGTGAAGATGCCACCATCGGCGAGCCGTTCGCCACCGCGGATCTTCTGAATGGACAGGCCTTGCTTCGCCTCTTCAGGTACCAGATTTCCAGGCGAATGGCAAGTTATGAGCCAAGGATAAAGGCCTAGTGAGCCCCATAGTCGGTAGTCGATTGGGTGCCCGCCCGGAGCGTCGCGGTACAACGCCATGCTTCCATCGACTGCATCTGATGAATATTGGAACAGAATACGAGAGCGCGGGTGTTTCAAGTCTTACCGACAATCTTCGATAATAGCTTCCCACGAGAAGGTGTGCCAGAGCCTCCGCCAGACCATTTTCGGTCATGCGATCAAGAGACTATATTGTCCGATTGACGTGTGGTGTGAACAAAACGCACAATGGAGATGAAGGACGTCGAAAAAGGGAGGCCCATCAAGGAAACAAATTGGCCAGTGGCCTCATAGCTAAAAGCATTCGTAGTGCACACGTCTGGTTGGGAGTGCGCCGCTGCAGTGCGGGTGAATCTCCAGCAGGTACCTGATTTATACGCATAATTAGGCTGCACCAACCGTCAGGTCTCACGAGCTGGACGCCTACTCGTCCCCATCGCTACCGTTTCTGCTTAGGCCAGTGCTTCTCTGCCGGCGTCGTGCAGGTGCAGCAACGAGCACAGCTGTCGGAATACGAACGCCACGGAGACAGTTTGTATGACATACAACCTGGGGTTGGTTTAAGCCTGTTGTCGATGCAACCATGGTCCACTGCAGTTCACCCACCTACTTCTTGCATGCTGAATTACCGCTTTTGTTGCGGTGATCAACCGAAAGTCTGGAACAGGTCGCGCTATGAGCAATATTCCAGGATCATGCACGCCTTTCAAAACAGTCGGATCCCGCAGCCACACCGATATTTCTTTGCAGGCTCTGAACGCTCGCAAATCACACGGCTCGCTTGAATCATGGGTTAGAACCTCTAAGTGCGTTTGTTGAAAGGCGATTGAAGTGACAGACGGCTGGCTGGCTTCGGGCAGGAGGAGGTACTGTGCATCTGGGCTCCATTCGACACGGGTATTGGAGCCATTATCGGCTCATTCACAGGGTCCACTCCTCCAGCAAAGGAACAAGCGACCCGAGCCTAGTGATCACTGCGACCTGGTGGTCTGGTTAGCACTGGCTCTTACCAACACATCTTAGCAGCCTCAATGCCAACTTCGTAGAGATGGGTCACCTATGTGTACCACATTCATTCCAGGGAGGATTTGCTGCTGGTGGAGCCGGTTGTCCTACAGGTGGTCACTAGCCATGACGAGCAGTGCCCACTGGAATATGGGGAATTGGCGACAAGCGTGGGATCATAAGTGATAAACTTGCCAAGCACTGTATGCTCGTCTCCGCAATGTTTGTCTTGTTTGCCAGAAATTTGGACCTGAAAAAAAACTGTCGAGAATATTTACGCCGCCAGTCGAGGAGCCGCACAGACTTGTGAGCGGTTGGACCCAGATCCAATATGGCAACGAGCAAGCGCCAAAGCGAGAGTGCAGACTATAAAGCGTCTAAAAGGATCAAAGTCGACAAAACCCGGTCAAAAGTCAAGGATGTGCCTAGGGAGGAGTTTGGAGGCCTCGACCATGCAAAGAACAGCTCCGCGCCTGATTCAGCAGAGAAAACGCACAAGAGGTTGATAGGAAAGTCTGGGCCTACGATACATGGCTCAGTCAACAAGTCAGAAACATATCTAAATGGTATGTGTCCGGGCACACCCCCTCTGTCAAACCCAAAACGCAGCTTGGCCTTTACTAACACCAAGTCAACAAATAGGCCAAACCTCACGCGAAGCCCATGCGAAGCAAAAGGCCCTCGCACACGATCGCAAGGCCGCCAAGCCTAACGCCGACTCCATCGCCCGGTCGAAGAAGATCTGGGAGCGCCTGCGCCGCAAATCCCATGTTCCCAAGCAAGAACGAGATGAACTGGTCAATGAACTGTTCCAGATCATATCAGGGCGAGTCAAGGATTTCGTATTCAAACATGACTCTGTGCGGGTTATCCAATGTGCTTTGAAATATGCAACCCCGGAACAGAGGAGGCGGATCACAACGGAGCTGAAGGGTAGTTACCGAGAACTGGCGGAGTCGAAGTATGCGAAATTCCTGATAGCAAAGATGGTTGTCGGCGATGACTCAAGTCGGGATGCCGTGGTTGAGGAGTTCTACGGCCATGTGAAGAGGTTGATTCGCCATCCTGAAGCAAGCTGGATCGTCGACGATATTTACAGGACCATTGCGACGAAGCAGCAGAAGGCCATCATGCTCCGAGAATGGTACGGGCCCGAGTTCGTCATATTCGGCAAGTCAAAGACACAACACACCTCAAAAGATGAGCAAGCGACTGCTGAACTTTCCGAAATTCTCGCCGAACACCCTGAAAAGAGAGGTCCCATCATGTCCCACCTTCACGAAATGACGAATCAGCTTGTTCAAAAGAAGACCACGGGTTTTACCATTCTTCACGACGCCCTGTTACAGTATTTCTTGAACTGCAAACCTGGAAGCCCGGAAATCGCCGAATTCTTCTCCATGCTCCGCGATGACGAGGAAGGAGACATCTACAAGAACCTCGCCTTTACAAAGTCGGGCTCTCGACTGCTGTGTCTTTGCCTGGCACACGGCAACTCCAAGGATCGAAGAGGGATACTGAAGTTTTTCAAGACGCATATCAAACTTCTCGCGAACGACCAATACGGGCATAATGTGCTGTTGACGGCGTATGAGGTTGTGGATGATACGGTGATGACTTCGAAGACAATCTTCCCGGAGCTTCTGAGCAAGGACCTTGAGTCTGATGCAAGGGAGCAGGAGTTGCTCGCGCAGGTCGAGCATCTAACCGCGCGTACTCCACTGCTCTATCTCATGTCCCCTGATGCACCGAAGTGGCTCATCACGAACGAAACGGCGGCACTGATTTCGGAGGTTCGTGACATCCGGAAAGAGACATCCAAGAAGGATCCGGAGACACGCCGCATCGAACTGGTGAAGAATATTGCACAGCCTCTTCTCGATCTTATTGCAAATCAGGCGCGATATCTGGCACAGTCTACCTTTGGGTGTCAGTTCATCACGGAGACCGTGTTTGGTTGTGCTGGGGTTAGTGACGTGCAGGCTGCGTTGAGTGCGATCGCGGATGTGGCAGCCGAGGCGGTCAAAGAGAAAGAGCAAGAAGAAGAGAAGGGTAAGATCCTTGAAACGCCTGCGGTAGGTCGCATGCTCAAGGCTCTCGTGCAAGGTGGCCGGTTCAACAAAGCGACAAATTCAATCCAACTGGTTGATCCGCCTTTGAAATTCGGCGAACTGTTGTTCCAGAAGATCCAATCGGAGGGTGGGCAGGAGGAAATCGTGGCCTGGGCAAATGGACCGAACAGTTTTGTTGTTGTTGCCATGTTGGAGGCTGAGAATTTTGACATGAAAGACGAATTAATGGAGGTGTTGAGAAAGCAGAAGCAAAATTTGGACAAGGAGAACAGAGGCGCCGCTCTCATTTTGGAGAAGATTGGCAGTGGTGGTGGGGAAGGGAAAGGCAAGCAAGACAATTGAAGTGGTTACTGAAGAAGCCGGCCAGGGGAGCTGAGCGTGTGGGTGTCGAGAAGAGCAAAGCCAAGAATCAAAAGCTTGGGGGAACGACATGTCTTTCAAACAGAGTGGATGATATAGGCACGGTCTGGTTATAGAAGGCGAGGCTGGCAACCCCTCTCAGGGGGGAGGCATTCGGCACGAATATTCACCTGCTCCATCTCGGACTTTGACACTGTCAGATCCGTGCCATGTGAACCTTTGTCCGAGGCAGGCCCAGAGAACTTTGTCGTTCTCCCGTGTCTCTCATGCCCATTCCACCCAAGCGAGGCTAGCATAGCACAATCGCGAATCATTGACGTCGAGATTGATGAGACACCACGTCCGCTCATCAACGGCTGCGAAAGCGAGGGAGCACATCTTGAAAGAGCCAGCAGACCCAATGAATGGCCTGGATGGCCGACAGCCGTGTGACGCCAGCAGGCACATGGGAGGGCATTTGGATGAACCGTGGAGGCAGCAAAGTGGCGAAGGCGGTTTGTATGTTTTCCCGTGTTGTATCCGGCAAGGAGGGGCAGGTGGCAGGCCCATGGGTTAGTCTTTGGTGGCAACGGACGGACGAGGGGGAGGGATGGAGGCCCCTGGTTCCTTGTTCCTGGCTCGGGCCCGTAGCGGTCACTAGGCTGTTCTCCAAAAACGAAAGGAAACCGACTGCCGCACCTGCAACTGCGTCACTAGTGCGCACCCACCCACAACGCACACCAAGAAACAGCCACCTCCAACTTTGCCCGTGGCTCACAATTGTCCTTCTAATAAGTCTCCTGCTTCTTGTCTACTGTTCATCACGGCATTATACGCATCTCTAACGCCATATCCTCACCCGCCATCCGCTCGTCGCCTCGATCGCCGTCCTCCCTCTCAACGGGCCATGTGCGGCCATGGCTTCTCCCATTGAGTTCTCCAACGGCCACCATCCGCAGCTACAGTACATTGACCTGGCGTTTGATAACGAGTCCCTGGACGACTCGGCGCGCGAACTTGTCTACAGAATCCAGCCAAAATGGCGGGACAGCCCAGGCCAGATTGAAATTGTCAAATTCACCGACGGCATCACAAACACTGTGGGTTCTTTTGCTTCACTTATCTGGCACGTGCCCCGGGCTCATGGCAGGTATTCTAGCTGCTCAAGATTGCAAAACACACTCCAGGCCTCTCTGAAGCTGAGATTGACCGCGAATCGATCCTCCTCCGAGCCTATGGCAATCACACCGAGATCATCATCGACCGTGATCGAGAGGCCCGATCACATGCTTTGTGCGCAGAACGGGGATTGGCCCCTCCCCTGTTGGCAAGATTCAAGAACGGGCTCTTATACAGATTCATCATTGGCCAAGTCTGTACTCCCCGGGATCTGATCAGTGAGCCGATATGGCGTGCGGTCGCCCGGCGCTTAGGTGAGTGGCATGCGCGCCTGCCCATTGCCGCCGTGGTGGGAGAGGACAAGAAGGAGGTCTCCAATGGCGTCAATGGCCATGATGCGAGTGGTAGTCTTGCTTCGCGGCGGCCCGTACCAAATATCTGGTCAGTAATGCAGAAATGGGTCCATGCTCTTCCCTGCGACACTCCGAAACAAGAGGCACGCAAGGAACTGCTCCAGAGAGAACTAGATCGGTCGTTCCACGACCTGGACAACGAGCGAGGGCCCGGCTCGTCAGGCTTCGTCTTTGGACATTGCGACCTGTTGAGTGCAAACGTTATCATGCTGCCAAGGGACTGTACCAGTAGTAAGACGGGTGGCTCGACGCAGGTCGCCTTTATTGACTACGAATATGCCACGCCTTGTCCTGCCGCTTTCGATATTGCCAACCATTTTGCCGAATGGGGTGGCTATGACTGTGATTACAACATGCTGCCCACCCGATCCATGCGCCGTCAGTTCCTCCAAGACTACCTCAGCTCGTACAAAGCCCACAGCGACACCCCGGTCCCCAACAACATGCTGGATGTTCTGTGCGATGAAGTTGACCGATACCGTGGCATGCCTGGCTTCTACTGGGGAGTCTGGGCTCTGATCCAGGCGACCATTTCCGAGATCGACTTTGACTATGCTTCGTACGCTGAGGTCCGGCTGGGCGAGTATTATGCCTGGAGGGCGGAAGAGAATGGGAGCCGAGTCCGACAGGGAAATGAAATGCCTCTCCGAGAAAGACGGTGGATAGAGGAATGAGTGAGATAGAACAGTTCAAGAGGGGCTGCTTGTCACACTAGGGTTTCCTGGAGTGGACAAGAGTGATTGATATACGAGGGTGTGATTATTGTCATCACCATCACCAGGCCTTCCAACCACTACAACTACCACAACCATCGTTCTCAGCGCCATCGTCGTCGTCGTTCGTCAATCATCCTCAAAAGTGAGCTTTGTGACACACGGGTTTTCTGTCTGCACGTAATGTACATACCTACTTAGACTGTCTCTATTCCCCCTCCTCCTTCCTTGGCCTTTCCCGGGACCCTGGCACTTGCTATTAAGTAATAAGCAAAAGGACCGGATGGTGCAGAGTAAGCACAGCCTAATCGATTCTTTGGTGGTCCCCATTTCATAATGCAGGCTGCTTACGTTATTTTATGGCCCCCCCTTGCAGCGACGTCGCACGCAAACCTCCACTCCCCTTCAGACTTGGGCCACCCACCGCCCCTGCTTCAATCTCTCAGCAATAGCTCGCCCTTGTCGTGGACCGTGAGTGAGTGAGTCAGGCAAAGCAGCAAGTCCATGCGGCCTCGTCTGCTTTTAAAGATCTGACACGAACGACCAATCTCCTGCCTGTTTTATCCCCCATTTCCGGTAGGGCTCAACCAGATAGTGGGGAACAGACCTGGGGGCGGCTGCACATATAATCGACCTCCAGGCTTTGAGGGCTGAAGCCAGAAAGCTGTTCGGATTGTCGGGCCTCTTCACCACCATCCTTGTGCCCGAGAGACGAGCACACTGCCTTCCCTCAAGCCCTGTGACATGGGGGCATATATACTTCAAGGCCCAAGCTGGTCAACTGTTGTATTGAATATACTACTCTCTATCTGGACAACTGGCTACTCCCCTACCCCAGGCCTAATTTTTTCCCCTTCTTCGAGGACGGAATTCGTCCCAGGCGACTGCCAACCAAATGCCTCTCGCGTCACAGAACACTGTGTTCATCACATACAACAACCCCACCGAATTGAAGAGTAGACAGAATCGCCGGGCTGTTTCGTCGTTTGCCTCCAAGAGCTATAGGCCAACGTCGAAACGCATCGTGCTGGACAGGACGCACTACCGTCCGTTTGTGCGACGCTCCGAGGGAGATACGCCGCCAGCGACAGGCTCTAAGACGAAAAGGAAGATCCCTCCGAGCGGGAAGCAAGACTCGGAAGAATCCTCAACCCCTCTCCCTCAAGAAGTGCAGCCTCGAAATGACTGCATACTGGGGAGTCCTATGGCGGACCCCTTCACCACCTACCCCATCAGCTATGCACCCTACGTACCCTTTTTGGTGGATTATTGTAAGTCTTCTCAATCGCCTCGATCTTGGGCCATGTTTGGGGTGCCACCATGTTGGATCTTTTGCATATTAGCTATGCAGCGCATCAGAAAGTGGAAGCTGGCTTGATCTACTGAGGATAAAAAGCATAGCTGACAGAATTTCTCTCACTTCAGTCGTCCGATTCCTTACTCCACGGTTCAGTCCAGCGCTTGCGGTCGAGACCAGCCGTTACCTCATTTGGTTCAACGTGGCGATGCAGAATGCCGAGCTATTTCACGCTCTGATCGCCCTGAGTCAAGTATACTACAACATCGACGTCAAGGGGTTCGGCAACACCCACTGGACAGCGCTGTACCACCGTGGCGAAGCACTGAAGCAGCTCAGGTACAAAGTGGAACGGGGCAAGAACGCCGACGACGATGCTGCCATCTTGACCGCCCTGTGGCTGATGGATGTCGATGTAAGTCGCGGCTCGTCCGTGTGGAGGTGGGAATCAAAATGCTGATGACAGTTCAGGTGGCGCACGGCGATCTGCACGCCTATGCAATGCACAAGCGGGCGAAAGAGAGGATGGTCTTGACCAGAGGTGGAATACGGAAACTGAACGCCGAGCTCCAGGACGAGCTATTGAAGTTTGTGGTTCTGGTGTTTCCCTGCGTATAAGGTCCCGTTGGCTAACAGATTGGCCGCTAGGAGCGAATTCTTCTTACCGCTTCTCCTGCACGGCAGGTTCATTTGCGAATTCACCGACGACGACAATGTTCTGGTGCGTTTCAAAGAAGACCATCCCGTCAAGCCGGCACAGATGGGAAGATTACAGGGACTCTTCGCCGTGATCGCCAGTAAAGGCCTCATCACATCCCAAGCGGTCGAGATCCTCCATCGGATCTTCAGGCAACTTTCGAGAGAGCCGCAGGCTTTGCACAGCGGCAATCAACATGAAGGAGGCGAGGAGAGTGAGGGCCTGAGAGGCTCACAACAGCCCCAACCGGTTGACCAAGCCTTCAACGAAATGAGCCGTGTCCTCCAGATGACTGACGAAGTTGTTCCACAATCACTCCACCACAGACTCTTCCTCGCCCTGCTGATCTATATCTTCAACTTCCACAATCAACCACAGCTCCTGCCTGTAGCGAAGACGCCATCTTCTGCACCGTCTTCGTCTTCGTCTCCCGCTTCCATTGGCACAACGACCAAGGCGCGCCATCCGTATCTAAGGATCCTATCCGACGTGGCTCTGGAGCTCTCACAACCCAGCAACCCAGGCGATCCGAAGGCAGTCACGGAGCGCGAAGTCACGCTGTGGACCATGGTTGCGATCGGCTCCGCGTCGAGCTTCAGCCCATGGCGGCTCGAGATCCCGTTCATGGGGCATTTGATCGAGTTGATGGAGCAGGACACGGCTGAGGAAGAAGACGAGGGGGATATGCTGCTGACCAGCAATCACGGTCCCGTAGGGGTGTTCTCTGCACAAGGACCCCCAGCAGAGGCCGAGGCCGAGACAGCCTCCATGCCGCCGCCGTCGTCCAGGAGAAACGATAGAAGAAGAAGCGGCAGCAGCATCAGGAGCAAGAACCTGGACAAACTCACGGCGTGTCTGAGAGGCTATTACCTGTACGGCGCGGACAATAGAACCCTGCGGAGTTTACAGAAATTGCGGGCTAGAGAGCTGGCTGGCACGGCCCCGGCCACAGGATCCTCCATCATGAGCAGGGCATGAAGAAGTATGTATGACTAGGTATGAACATTGCCGTGAGGGAACGCGGAAGCCATGAAGGGGAAGCCGACTCGTGCGCACCTCCCCGGTCGCTAGTCTTCGCGAGGTGACGGTCTGTCATTCTGAAATCCTGTGCATTCATTACTCCACTTTGACGGCACATTGTCTAGCTTTGGCTGCTTTGGGGTCTAAATTCTAGGCACTTGGTTTCAACGTACATGCGCAAAACACTCCCTCACCTCCCTCACAAACAACTGAGGCACTGTCCACGACGAAAAATGCCCTCCCTTATCTAGCTCCCTCCAATGTATAATATTGCTATAATACCGCTCAGCCCAATGGCGCGGCACATATCCATTCTCGCCCCGAAACTGACTCACTCCCACCGGAAGATCGATCGGCAGAGCAGTGTTGTCCCCATTTTCCCAATACAGCCTCATCGATGAAGTGATGCTATTCGTGACCCAGAACACCATAATATTATCAATCACCTCCTTCTTGGGGATCATAGTCAGAACATCCTTCTGCCGACCAGGCTCGTCCTGCGACCACGCCGATAGCTTCTCGAATATCCACGCCAAGAGGCCCGAAGGTGAGTCTGCAAGCGAATAGCCTACAGTCTGGGGCCGAGTTGCATGTTCTAGGAGGTATGCAGATTCCGCTCTCTCCCACTTCTCGAGCAAGGCAAGAGCTCGTTGCTCACCTTCTGTCAAACCCATCTTTGAGCCTTGCGTTTCCTTTTTGGCGTCGAAGAATGCGGTGTTCATGTGTATACCGATAAGTGACGATGGCGGAGAGTTACTAGCGAGTTCTGCTACAATATCCGCACCCCAGTCGCCTCCTTGCGCGACCCAGCGGTCGTGGTAGCCAAGGCGATCCATCAATTCGCGCCACGCGGCCCTGCCGTTCCCGGAAAGTTAGCATCGTGGCTGTCTCAGGTACAAATTCTGAGGATTGGGAGGTGGTTGCAGGTGTCAATGGAACAAAGCACATTTATTGCAACTCGCCATGAGCATGACGGGAGCGGGACACTTACGCGATCTTTGCACTGCCCCACCCTGTCTTCGTAGGCTTGCCAGAAAACCCGAAGCCAGGAAGCGTTGGTAGAATCAGATGAAACGCATCTTTCGCCTTACCGCCATGACGCGTTGGGTCAATTAAAGGCTCAATGGTCGGCAGCAATGCGATGATGGTATCGGGCCAGCCACCCGTCATGATCATCGGCAGGGCATCTTCGTGCTTTGAGCGGATGTGGTAAAAATGAATATCGAGACCATCGATCTCGGTGAGGAATTGGGGGTAGCTGTTGAGTCTCTTCTCGCATTGTCGCCAGTCGTAGTCGTGCTGCCAGTATGAGCATAGATCCTTGATTGTCGATAGTGGCAGGCCCTGAGACCAGTCCGAGACAGTGGCTTCCTCAGGCCATCTGGTGTGCTTGAGGCGCCATTTGAGATCCTCTAGCTTAGAGTCGGGCACTGCGATTTTGAAGGGACGAATCTGGCTGTCCGTGACTGGACATTCGATTTCCTCCCATGATTCTGTGATTTCTGTGGTTGGTGTGCGATCTGATCGCCACCGCAAGATGTTGAGCATCTCAGGCACGTTAACTGCTCCTACTGCCACAATGCAAGGGGAGAGCAGGTGAGAGGAAGGTGAGAAGTGAGTCGCGTGCGAGTGGTTCGTGAAAACGGCACGGCCGGGGTGAGCCCGGAGACCCGGTGAAGACACATCGGCATCATTCTGTGGGTCACCACGTGACTGATCCTGCCGCCACAATGAATCCCAGAACGCTTCATAGACGTCTTCTTCCTCAGGACAACGGTTAACTTGAGCGATGTTTCATGCTGGGCACGGTATCGTTCTCCTTCTACCATCTTCGAGTAAAAAGTTGATTTGAGGACGCTCTCCTTTCAACTGTTTGGAAGCCTACTCGAGAGATAGGCGGAGTTCAACGATAGGTGGTATTCCGATAAGAGTAGCATCCTTTCCGGTCGTGTAGTAACAGAAATTCAAAGTATGGGGAGGAGACTCCCATCCTGCGAGCCGCCTGCTCCCTACTTAGGGGTAGTGAAGGCACCTATTCTTTTAATAAATGACCGGCTCCGTTATTTCTAAAGGGAAATGTTTCTAGTCCCACTGAAGCCGGTACGAGTGGCCAAGGTCGGCGTTCTTGGCACCGAGGGAAACCCACCTCTAAAAGCGGCGGCGACAACCGCTGAATTTGGAGGAAATTTCCCTGCAACTTGCGCTGAGCTGTAATTATGGCGGATTGGCAAGCTAGTTACGATTCAGACGCAAGCTTTGGGAAGCCTCACCCGCCGCTTTGCTCTCCTGCTAACGACATTTTAGTCGACGCTGAGTAATATAGGATAGGCTTATAGTCGAGGCCCAAACCGGGCCCCTAAGCCCGAACTAGCTCCTGAGAAACGGCACCAGATAAGCTCCCTACGGCTCGTCTAGTACTTGGGCGCGCTCTCGCGTACTCGGCTAGACATCCGTCACGTGTCCGAGTAAAGCGGCCTCGCTCCCTTTCCTAAACGAAAAAGGGAAGGGATAAAGTATAGTTTGGGGATAATATAATAGATATATATCAAAATCCAACCTCCCCCACTCCCCACCAATCAGAAAAACCACCACCATGCCTCTACACGTGCACCAGCTTTCGCGCGCCAATCCCGCCGACGAGCTGTACTTCCCAGCCATTGCGCGGATCCATCTCGCGGCGTGGCTGACGGTGCCGCTCATGCGGGCCATCTATTACGGGGGCCCCGAGGCGCACCCGGCGTACCTCAGCTCGATGGCGGAGCGGCACCTGCGCGCGTTCCGCGAGGAGGACAACTGTCGCTTCGCCGTCGTTGTGGACGACACATTGCCCGCCGACGAGGAGGTAGCATCAAAGCAGGACGCCGGAACGGGAGCCGTTCAAGGGACGACGACGGTGGCCGCGGCGGCGCCAAAGGGCAAAGTCATCGCTGCGATCAAGTACTACTTTATCGAGCCCAATCCGCCGGCTCCCTCATCGGCCGCATCGCCATCTCCCACTACAACCACAGCGGACTCAAACCAGTCTTCCGGTGGCCCCTCCTCTGCGACAGCGATCCGGACGTGGCCGGCGTACTCGCACGTCACCCTCGCCTCTGCCTTCTGGGAGCAGCTGGTCCAGGCGCGGACGCGACTCACGGCGCTGCTCGGCCGGCACGTCCTCGTGGACAACCTGTACACGGACCCGGGGCACCATCGGCGCGGAGCCGGGGGAATGCTGATGCGACACGCGTGCCGGGAGGCGGACCGCTGCGGGTGGCCCAGCATGCTGGAGGCGTCGCCCAAGGGCATCGGGGTGTACGAGTCTGTGGGATTTCGACGATTCAATCCAGGTGGAGGAAACGAAGAGCAAGACGGCTCGGAGATCTGGGTGGATCTCCAGCGGTGGGAGAATGGAGGAGACAAAGGAGTCGAGTTCTCCAAGCAAAGGCTCAAGCAAGAGCTTCAGAGTGGTGGAGGGAGAGGAGAAGGGTGGTATTGTCAGGTTCTCATGGTCAGGCCGGCTGGGTCGGGTGGAAGCAGTGTCGGCGACCAGAAGGAAGTGGTCGACATAGGAAAGGGAGAGGCCGCTGTCGTGGAGCCATAGAACACTCTCTCGAACAGACAGCACCGTCGCTGAGCTTCGAGACTACACCTAGAACACGGATTCCCGTTTACATACACTAAGTGATCGATTTTGCGTCGTCACCTATCTCTTGCATATGACTTGTAGACCGCATGACGGGCTCTTTCAAGAGCTGGAGAGGACCTGCCATCAGTAAATTTGCCCACCTGCATTCCGGACGCACCTCAAAACGTCTCCCACCAAGTACAACGACCCCGTGATACAGAGCTTCAGCTCCAAAGAGCTGTCTTTCGAGTCTCTCGAGGCGATGCTGACCGCTTGTCGGATGATGACTCTCATCTTCTTGTCAGGCGTCGTTTCAACATGCTGGCCAACAATGTCTCCGATACGCTCGTCAAAAAGGGCTTCAACAGCTCCACTCGTGTATTTCCTGGCGATCTTCGCCAACTCCACGGCTGACATGCTCTTCACCCATGGCATTCCCTCAACAGCGCCAAAGGAACACGTCACAACATTATCGGTGGGTCCGAGCAGCAGTCGGAGGATCTCATCGGCTTCCTTGTCGTTCTTGACGGACAAGAGCCATGTCACGGGGAGAGAGGACTTGGGATCAGGACGCCGCCATTGTACATCCACGTAGGCAGCCAGAGCTGCAGCGGATTGTTGATTGTGAGCCCCATCGAGGAGGACCTCGGCCTTGAGGGTGTGTCCAGGTCGGCTAAATGCGGTCATGTGCTGTAGATTCTCCGGCCACAAGTGCGGAGGAAGAGCCAGCCATTGTAGACGTCCAGGGAGAGACGACTGAGCCTGTGGGATGAGTATTTCCAGAGACTGCTTCACGGCTTCAAAGCGCTTTCGATCTGTGGAAACAAGGTAATCCCGCGGGAAAATCAACGGTGTTGGTGACCTCTCCGTGGTACCAGGGGGTCTGGGTGCGTACACCTCGCTGAGACGTTCCTCCGCTAATCGAAAGCAGGAGAAAGCGAGATAAAGGTTCTGACCCTGATGTTTCGCCAGGCCCAGACGTCGAATGACCTCGTCTAATTCGCGTCTTTTTTCTTCGACAGAGATATAGACACCTGCTGCTCCATTTCCTCCCCACCCCAACTCTTTCAACCGGTTCTCAGCCACGTCGATGACGTTTCTCTGATTGCTCTGGTCGAGCACCACAGGCACTTCCGGCTTGAAGATTCCAACCTTTTCTCTAGTAATAGCCTCGAGCGAATTGCCCAAGAAGTCAACATGATCGAGGCCAACCTTGGTCAAGACGCTGACCACCACATCCTCAGGTCTCAGCACGTTGGTGGCATCAAGCCGGCCGCCGAGTCCACATTCGATGACGGCAACATCGACCTTGGCATCCGTGAAGAGCTGAAAGGCCGCAGCTGTGAGTATCTCAAACTCTGACGCATTAATGTTTTCCTTCGCGCAACGGTCGCGGAAGTGTTGCTCGACCCGGAGGAATCTGTCTCGCTCGACGACCTGTTTATTGAGGGTGATGCAGTCCCAGCGGTCGATGATATGAGGAGAGGTAAACCGCCCGACTTTGTAGCCCAGGTGGTCCAGAAACGTAGAGACCAGGGCGGCGACGCTGCCTTTGCCATTCGTCCCAGCGATGTGGACTGCCCTCCAAGGTAGGGTTGGATTAGCACTGAAAAGTGGATTGAGCAATTGAGTGATCCGCTGGAGTCCGAGATTGATCATGCTGCTGAAGGACGAGGGGCCACTAAATGAACGACACACGACAGACCCAAGAGACCAAGGCTGATGGCAAGCTTCCCAACAGATTAAGAAATGCAAATTATAACAACTGACTCGTCGTTTCCGTTACCGTGTGGCTAAGATAAGATTGTCGGAGACTGTCATAATGTGTAACTGTGGCTGAAAGAAAAGAAGCGAGAAGGAGGAAAAATAAGGACAGTATTGTTTGGTAGAGCAACACAGTGCGAGACGGAAGTTGCGATGGCACGAAGATTGAATCTGGAGATGAAGTTGCGACTGGGAGCCTTGTGGTAAGACCGATTGGGCCAATGGGGTTCCTGCTGGCCCGTGACGAGGCTGGGCACCTGTATTCGGATTATACGTAGCGAGGTAGGTACCATATTATTAGAGGATGGAGAGCAGCTGGAATTAGGAACCGCCTTCATGGTTTGTTTATATGGAATACCGAGGGTGCACTTCACTTCTTTTCTCTATTCATTCCTTCTAACGGTATCCAGCGCCTCGCTAACATCAATCAGCCGACAGCCTGTCCGAGTCCTTCAATCCCCCGAGGCCTGGTTGCCCAAGTGCGCTCGCTCACTCGTCGAGACCCAAGTGTCGTCGTATAGATAAATACCGCTCATACCCAAACAGCTTCAACTCCACCCTCATGAAGCTCACCCACGCCCGTAACAGCCTCCAAAAGTTCTGCGGACGGAGAAAACTCCCCCTCCGTCGGATCATGTCCTTTTCGTTCTGCCAGACCGTCCAACTCGCGTACTTGGCCAAGATGAGCATTGGCCTCATTGGCTGAGTCGAGCCCAATGCCTCGTCGAGACTTCTCGTGAGATCGTTCGTCTTCAGGATGAGAAGAATGATGCGAGGCACATGACCCAACAGCTGGACAAGTTGCGCGAGAAGGTCTTGTCCAAAAACCTCGCCAATGTTTTCCTTTTCCACGTCGTCCCGTACTGAAGTGGTGATCTCTTTGCGAGTCAACACTCGATAGTCACGGCCCGTGATGGCGGAGGCGAATAAGGGAAATTCTTTGTCACCAATACCCGCCACTTCGTAGGCGTATTTCCGCATTTTCGCCTCGTCTGCATCGATAACCGCAAGCCACAGTTTCGCATAGTCTCTCCTCAACTTGTCGTCTGGCATTCGGTAGAGACCATGATCGTAGAGAATGACGTCAAAGTTGTACGGATACCTCCTCTTCGGATTGTGGCGAATGGCGATGTTTCCGGCGTGAGGGTCACAATGCAATGGGGCACCTTTCGAAAAGATCATGACGTTGAAGATCCGCGCCAGCGTCGCCGACACTTCGGCCCGCGAGATGTTGTGTTCTTTGAAGTAGGGCAGATTATCTACCCTCGCTCCCATAACATAGTCCATAACGAGAATTCTTTTGTTGGCTGATATCACCTGAGGTATAACGAGTGGGAACCGAGTATGTCGTTCGAAGTACTGTTTCGCATACATGGCGTTCTGCCCCTCCAGCCGGAAATCCAGCTCTTGCGGCAGAGAAAAGTCCATCTCATTGCTCAGCCATTCTAGGTCGTAGTCAGGGAAGGCTCTTTTCAATGTGCGAAAGGTGAACCTTGTCAGAGCTAGATCCAGCGGCACCCACTCTTCGAGACTGGGATGTTGCACCTTGACCGCCACTCTCTGACCTGTGTCCTTCATCACGGCCAAGTGCACCTGCGCCAGCGACGCTGCCCCAATTGGATCCTTCGTGAAGTCGTCAAAGTGGTCCTCTATCCGATGGCCCGTATCTTTCAGGTACATCTCTTCAATGGACTCGTAGGATGAGACGGGACATTTGTCCTGCAAGGGAACAAAGGTCTCGGTATACTCGGTGGGGAGCAGATACCCCATCGACGAGATGTGTTGGCCCAGCTTTATGAATATTGACCCGTTTGCCTCCATGGCCTTCAGCGTCCGATCGGCACATCGTTTGTGGCAAGCCTTGAGGCTTCTGTTGTGCTCTTCCGGGTCGTCGTGCTGTTCGTTGAGCGTCACACGGTAGCTTGTACCCGTCAGCCTTTCTTCTCCGAGGTATCTAGAGAGATCAGGTCGCCCTTACTCATTTATACACACCGCCAACGTCGTAACCACCCTTCCGGTCCTCTCTGCGGCGAGCCAGCCATGCTTGATGTCGTCTCCGAACAGTAACAGACTTGCACCTGCAGATCCACCTGCTGCCGCCCAGTACACGGCCTGGCGCGGTCTCACTACCCTGACCGGTCTTCGGCTAGAGGTGAACCCTCTCCGGGGCTTGTCGAAGGGATTCTGGAGGTTCTTGCAGCGAGGACACGTCCAGGTGGCGCGGCCTCTGAGGAAGGCGAACGGGGTGCTGTTGGTTCGCATGAGCGAGATGTGTGAGAAGACTACCGACTCGACATAGATGGCAGGCCTTTCGAGCAATAATCGGGGCAACGCAGGTGTCTGGGAGCAGAGAACGATGATGGACCGTCAAGCTCAAGACCAAGAATGATTGATTGCTCGAGGCATCTGATGACCAGATTTCGGGAGATCGAATCACCGATCACACGACGGCAAAGAGGAACGAGAAATTTGCGGAGTTTTGGTTGCAGGCCAATGACGTACGTACGCAGCACATGTTTCTCCTCCCAACGAAAATCGCCAACGGGCTTCACGGTCACGAACTCTCTCGATAAACCGAGAGCTGGAGGGTGACAAGATCTGCTGATTTCTTTTTGGGATAGATCCAGATATATACAGTTCATGCTCTTTTCCGCCGGCTCTCTAACCAACGTCTTTCCTTCGAGTCTGACCCTTCCTACCGTAGCTGGGCGTCGCATGTGTAGATATTCGCTCAAAAAGTGCTTCGTCTGAATCTTCACCCTCTCCCTCCCTTCGTAGCCCATCTGCTTGTAGAGCAGCTCGCCTTCCGGAGAAGCTTCAATCCAACAGGGCAGCATCAGTGCGTCGGCCACATCATTTCCCCACTGCATCATCATGCGTCCACACCCTTTGCCCTGATAGTCGGGGTCTGTGAAGAGCAAGAAACAGAGGACGTGACCTTCTGTGCATTCGCGCCGGCGGCGGGTAAGAAAGTCCTCCATCAAGAAAGCGGCATCAGCTCGTTCCTGCTCGGTTTCGAGATAGGAAAATGCGGCTTCTTTTTGTGATTCCTCTTTCGTGGTTGTGCCGGCCTCGCCACTGGTTTGCCTCTCGTTGTTCTTCGCCCTGTCTTGCTGCTCCTTGGGGGTCACGTAGGTAGGGAAGATCTTCCAGTTGCTTGCACAGACGATTCTTCTCCTCCGCTCCGTGGCAACCGCATGACCCTGCTCATCAAGCACATCCACGTTGACCTCCGCATCCAGATCCTCGATCTTGAGAAACACGTCTGCGGGGTCATTCTGCAAGCCGTCCAGGAGCGTCCTTTTCGAGTATGCGTAGCTTGCCGGAGATTTTCGCCCAAAGAACACATTGGCCAGGTCGATCTTGCGGAACGACTCAAACATCATGGGGACGATTGCGTCGAGGTCCTGCGGCTCGAGACGGGAGAGGACAAGATGCATTGCTGATGAGTTTGTTGTCTTATGAGTACTTGCAAAAGTTATCGCCAGTAGGTGTCACTGTGGAAATTGTGATGATATTGTTATGTTCTTGATCAAAGCGATCATCCACAGAGTCGAATTAGCTTGGGAGAGTCGACGCCTTCACCGCTAAGAGGTCATGAGTCTGTACAGCCACGCCGTGTACCTCACCACCTCCCGTTGATATGAGCAGGAAGTACCTCCAAATGGTAGTGTGATACCATAAAATCTTCCCTTAAAAGATATCTTGCGTAATAGGCAACACCAAGGAGCTTACTTTTCAACCGTAACTTACCTGGAACGCTGGTCTACAGCTCAGAAAGTGTACACCGCCAAATTTGGGAACGTCTGACATGTAAGCACAGGGATTGGTAAAGAGGACGGTAATGCATATTATGTGTTGACAGGGAGCACAGCTGCAGTAGCTCGATGTGACAATGCACAGAGAGAGGTGAATACACCTTAAAAGGGGTTGGTGAATGTTTTGCTCCACCTCTCGTTTCTTTCCCTGAAGGCAATAAGGGTTTAATAGATTGTAGCGAGCTTCAGAGATGGAAATGCTCAGCTGTCGGTGCTTTGGTCTCGGCCTCGGCCGGCCCTTGTCAGCACCTTGGGAGTTGAGTTCGTCCCGAGCATCGTGCGGCGATATGCGTTGCAGATCCGGAAAAGCTTGGGTTGAACCTCTTTCATCTTCGCTTCTCTCCTAAACCAACAGTTCAGCTCTGTTGTTTCTGCACTCTTTCCTTCACAGCTTCTCAAACACACCTCTGAGCAAACTATCCGTCACCATTCAATCAAATGAGACGGCTGGGGCACGGAAATGAATGATATTGCAAAATTCTTTGCATTGATTCAGCTCTCCGATGGAGGCTTTGCTGCCTTTGCTGAGGCTCATAATGGTATGTACCGTTTTCTCTAGTGTTTGTCTGTATCCAATCCAGAGCGCTCTCGAACCACTCAAAAGCTCCCCTAAAAGTTGGCCAACCACGTCGGCAAGAAACCGACATGGTGGCGATCAAGAAGAATAAAACCAGGTTTCCAATTCTCGCCTTATTGCACCGTGGCTAACTACCATGGGGTTGAGCCATATGCTTTTTGATTCTTTTCCTTTCATAAATGTTCGTTACAATCTCGTCATATTTGAAAAATTGAAGCAGTGTGGCCACAGCAACGGCTCGCGTGGCGTTTCCTGTGACTGCACTGACGATGATCTTCTGACAAAGAGGCTTCCCGGAAGCACTCTGGTTGTGAATTTCGGTTATCGACACATGAGGGTTTCTGTGTGCATGTTTGCTCGGCAAACAGGTTCAAGAGCTCGGTGTGTCGATTCCGATAAAGGAGTGGGATGATGGGAAGAACTTAGTTCAACCACCATTGGATACCGCTCACACGGCCATCACCAGTGCCGTCGGTAATGGCATTGAACAGTGCATCGGTGCAGTCGATGGCTCGGTCGACGCAGCCCATGCACTTGTCACCCACGGTGGCCTGGACCGTGGTGCCCGAGGTGGGGTTGTACAGGGTGACCGAGCGACCGCAGTATGGGTTGCCGTTGGACTGAGTTCCCATGAAGGCGTAGGGAAGAGCGATTTCCATATCGCTGTTGGTATCGACGTTCCAGCCGCATGCGCCAAGACCTGAAGAGTCAAGTTAGCCAATGTTTCAGTTCAGAGGAAAAAGGGAGAACCACTTACCACCATCCCAGTGAGTCACATCGCCCTGGCACGCGTCTCCCGAACCCTCGCAGGTGCCATCAGTCCCGACCGTGTCCTTGGGTTGGACATTAACCATGGATGGGGCAGCTGAAGAGGAAGGAGCCGCGGCAGGAGACGAAGATGGTGGAGCGGGCGCTGGTGCCGGAGCTACAATAGGAGAAACAGCCGGCGAAGCAGCAGGAGCGGCAGCAGAGGACCACGATGAGGAGGAGGAGGAGGACGACGACGGAGCTTCCACGGGAACAACAGCAGCAGTCGAGAGGGTGGATGGAGAATAAGTAGCCGCCGCGAAAACTGCTGCCGGGACGGTGGTGGTAGTGCTGGCAACAGGAGCAGGAGCCGGAGTGGGATTGGATGGATCAACCCAGACAGTGGTGGTTTCTTCAACCGTGATCCACACGATGTCGGTCACAGTGTTGGTGTAGATGGCGCGTTTGTCGACCAGGGGAACAGCGGCGACCAACGAGGCCAGCAGCGAAGCCGCGAGGGCGATTTGCTTGAGTCCGGCCATTGCAATAGAAGGATGATGTTTCGAAGACGATGAGTATGACTGGAGATCTGGCTCGACAGTGAAGAAAAGGAATGCCTTTGGGAGGAGGGTTGGTGTGTTGAGAAGACGACTCTTGCGAAAAGGCCTTGATATCTTGGATCTCTGAAGAGAGTGTCGAACGCAAGGGCAATACTGTCACCGGTGACAAGCCTGTGTCTGGGAAGAAAAGGACTGGCACTGGAACAGGGACTAGCCTGTGGGTGAATGGTTCAAAGGAGAGGCGGTACACTGGACTGGAAGAAAGGAAAGATATTTCCAGGTCCGGGTGACGGAACAAAGAGGGACTGGGTAGATAAAGGGAAAAAACAAATGAGTGACTGGGGACCAGTGAAGAGATTTTTTGTTGGAGAGAGCGAATCCTCTTCTGGAGCAAGAAAGAAAAAGCGAACGATGAACGAGAGAGAGGCAAGAGAGAGTGGTAGTTGAAGAGAGTCGAGAAGGTAAGTCCGTCACCATGCATCCGGACCCAGACCTTTACAAGAATCCCTATCAGGGAGTGAGCAAGGGGGGAGGAGGAATGGGCCGTGTGTGGTGATTGGCCCGTCCATTGATCTGGCATCTGGCATCTGGCCACCTGCAAGCCCTTTGTTGATGTTGTCCTTCCCCGTCTCCTTGCATTTCCCTTGTTTGTTCACCAGTCGCCGAGGGCGAGGATTGGGGACCGTGGGTTACGGATGGCGGACTGCGGGCTGCGGGTCGTGGGTCGTGATGAGGACTGCGGTGCTGTAAAGTGCCACTCTGATACAGGGGAGCAGTGGGTGGCATTGCCAGAGCAAGCCCGAGCAAGCCTGAGCACACCTGTCTGGGTACTGCGGACCTGCTCGTTGTAGGGCCGTGGGAAATTCGGGAGAAACGCCAGGACCGCACGACCCACTGGAGCCACTGATTTCCCACTCCGAGCAACAAAGAAGCTTTCGATTATTGTCTTTCGCTCTCGTAGGTGGCGCCCGTTCGAAACGATAGGCCCCTCCCCACCTTCGGTTGAAGCCCCAGCAGGCCCAGGGGAAGCCCAGGGGAGCTCAGGGACACCCCCTGCTCGCTTTAGGCTTTGCGCCCATCGCCCGTCCCCAACTCAACGCTGTTGCATCCCCGATTCGCTGCCTGGAAAACGTGTCTTCAGGTACAGCCGAAGCTAGTCCCCAAGCAGCCAAGCCGTGATCACATCTTCTCCTGGCCCCAGCGTGTGCCTGGCCTTTTGCCTTTTGCCGCTTGCGATCGTCTCTCGCCTGTCCCCCCCCTGGGCCCATGGGCAGTACTCAAATTCCATTCTGCAGCCAGCAAACGTGTTTCAAACCGGCACCCTCTTTGGGCCATCAAGACCTGCATATGTCCTCCTTAAATAACATGTCCTGCTCCTGCATCTCGAAAGGAGAGGCGTCCACGTCGCCAGCCAGCCAGCAAACTTGCTGCCACGCGGCCACCTCCAGTTCCCAGGCTGTTTGCGCCGGGACGAGACTCCATCGATGCCTGTCCTTTTTAGCCGATGAACGATTCGCTTACGCAGTTCTGCATGCTACGCAGGCAGCGTTGTCCGCATCGAAAAGAGAAAAAAAAATTATTCCATTGCGACTTCAAGACGGCGAAAGAGTGGGAACCTCTGGCGGTACGGCAAATGGCCAGTCAGTGCCGGTATGCAGGAACCGCAGCCACTTGCGCAGAGAAAATCCTTTTTGCCTAGCCAGGAACTACTGCAGAAGGGTATACGCTTCCGCCCTTGGGACCATCCTCTCTTCCTACTTCCTCCGTCCCCACCAGCATCCGGACTCCATTCAGCGCCCGGCTGCACTTTGTCAACTGCATTTCTGATCATTGCTGCTTGCCCCTGCAGTTGTCCCATGGCGCCGAGTTAAAAAGCATGTTGAATTGCCGCTTTGACGGGCTGAATCCGGGTCTCCTGGGCAGCCCACCATCCAATCCGATGCTGACTGACTCGAAACCGAGCCGGGTTTGAGAAAATGCGAAAATGCAAAACTCTCCCGGATAGCTGCATTTTTCCACGTGCTGACTATCGACACTAACTTCTGGCGGGACGTTCGCCCTTCTCCTGCTAATCACTGTGCGCAGTGCCCAGAACGATAACACAATTTTTCAGCACGCCAATTGTTCCATGATACTCTTCGTACAGCTTACTCGGTTCGGGCTCCGGTTTGTTCAACCGTCGCTAAACCGTTCGCTCGGTCGACTCCGTGATGGACTCGCTAGAATACGCACCTCGATGGAGTCGATATCCACGCCCATGTCAGTTCGATATGTTGACTCTGGTGGGATTGTGGCTGCTGTTCTGTATCCTACGCAGTCTCAACAGTATGCGCTCGCTCACCAGCCCTCCAGCCTCTCACGCCACGACGCATCTCTCTTTTCTTTGTCAACACCACGAATTAGGGTGGATGAATCTGCCGAATCAGATAGGATGCCACTTCAGCGTGAGTTGACACCTGCTCTTGGAGCAGGTGAGGCATTTTCCCCTTCATTGTACTGCAGATCCCTTCAGTACGTAGGGTCTTACCTTATTTCGATAAGACTCCTTCCTTGGTGGTAGATGCCACACTCCAGCCCTCGGAATTCGAGCTGCATGGCGTTTTGCAACTCCGTCGCGGCAGAAGAATCACTTCTCCAAGGCATCCGACTTTTCATGCAGACCCCTGCGCGGTACGGAGCTTCGATTGTTTGTCGTTGGTCGGAGCACCTCTTGTCCATCACACACCTATTCTTGAGATCTTCCTGATTACCATGGCGCGTCAGCCCATAGATTTTGGACCGCAGCTCATGTCATGCACGGCGAGACTCCGTGGGCCAATGTTTATGGACGGTAAGGAGAGCCTTTGTTGCAAGGCAACAGCAGGCATTGAAGGGCCAGCGGAGACCAACCCATGCCCGGCGGCACCGCAGAAAAATTGGCTCTACAAGCTGATTGCTTCTGGACGGAGTTGTCATGAATCAGGCTGGTAGATGTGGGAGAACAAGAATGAGCAATGCGTGGAGGACGACTGCCTTTCTCTTTTGATATCTGATTGTGAGGAGTTCCATCTTCCTTGTCGATCGCGCCTTTTCCAGAGCGGAGTGGTAAGAGTTTTCGTCAACCTCGGTCTGACCCAATTCGACACTACGCTTCCACGTGCAAAGGCACTTTGTCGACTGGATCATCTGTTGCATCTTTGTCGCCCAGGGCGTCCGCAATGTCTCAACACGTTGCAGATGCTGCTCGAAGCTGCGAACTGCAGTAGCTTCCCCTGCCTCCGACGACGTCACAAACGGCCGGTAATAATGCACATACGCCGCCGTTAGAGGAGGATTCGCTCCTTGAGGAGGCGGCAGCGCCAGCCCTTCCACCTGCAGACCATGGCAGTGTAGCCTGGCGACTTCTTCTATCGTCATTTGTCTTTGAAGCTTTGCTCTGGGGATTTCTGCTCTCGCTTGGTGCAACCTCGCCATGGGGTTGGGCTACTTCTTCGCATCGCTGTATCTGCCCTCGTATGCGACCGCCGACCGCATGCGATCGACTCAGGGTGCGCTCCTGCTGACGCTGATGAGCATCTTCCAGGACCTGGGCCAGATCGCGTTCGGCTACCTGTGCGACCGCAGACTGCCCCTCGACGTCCTGACCATCAACTCGCCCTTGGTCGCCGGGGTTGCGGTGTGCACGTGCTGGGGTCTCGCACACAACGCCACGCCTCTTGTTCTCGCCGTGTTCGCCGTCCTCTACGGCTCCTTTGGCGCCGGCTACACGGCCCTCTGAGGCCATATCGGCATGAAACTCAGCAACAGCGAGCCGACCGCCGCGTTTGCCGCGTTCGCCACGTTCGCCTTGCTGAACTGTGGGAAGGGCGTCGGGGACGTGCTCGCGGGGCCCATCGGGGGTGCTCTGTTGTGTGTCGAAGCACAACCGTAATAATGGGCCGCCGACATTCCGAGGTTATGGCGCCGGCAAGGACGAGGCCGTGGTGCTGTCCGTGGGATCGACCATGATTCTCAGCGTAGGGATTGTCGCCGTGTAAGACATCCACCTGAGTGCAAAGCTAATGAGCCTGTTGCGACGACGGTGGAGTTCGGGGCGAGCGCTAGAGAGAGAGACCCAGGTAGGTATGGGCGTATGCACAACCTGTTCTCAATATGGTGCCTGCTCGAAATAGAAAATGTACACATTGCTGCTATCAACAGGTTTCCGTACCCTGTACTGGGTTCTCCATGCAGAATAGCCAGACCAGCCCATAACGCTCCGTCGACCATACAAGTCCGCTTGAACGCAGTAATGTAGTAAGATAATAAACAATGCCCACTCCCGGCTCTCGTGAAATAACCTTTTCATATCTTTCTCATGATTGCGTGATAGTCATCGATATCATCATCACGGTCCTCGCCTTGCTCCCCCCAGACCGGCCGGTGTCGGCGGCTGATCACATCTATTTCTTCATTGTTCGCCTGATCCGCCACAGCAGGGCCGGTGTGTCTGGGTTCTCTGGAATCCAGCTGGCCACTGGCACCACTACTACTGGCACTGGCCTCAGACACGTCTTCACCCACAGGCCACAGAGCTAGTTCTGCAACATGACCTTTGGATTGCTTCTGTTGGACAACAGGCATGGGTTTGGGGAAGCAATTCTTTTCATCTGCAAAATCCATCATAAGCACTGGAGAGTTGGGGACATCTTCAAGGTTCGTGCTCTGTCGTTCAATGTGTTCCACAGATGGCGACTCTGGCCGATGTTTCCGTTTTCGTCGCGCAATGATACCAGGCAGACCAAATTGTTGTAGTGTTTCATCCTCTTGGATGCTAGGACTTTGGCGACCCGTGGCCTGCTCCGAGCCTCGTTTGGCCCGAGTCCCGTGCACTGGATCGACTTGTGTTCGAGCCTGCGGCATCAAATTCAGGTAGATCGCAAACAACATCCCAAAAGCAGCAACAGCCAACGGGACACAGTACGAGTATCTGAGGTCGGACCCTTTGGCAACCGCCCATTGAACAGGTGGGAAGACAGCTCCACCGGATATGGCAGCCGTCATGAGTGCAGAACCAGCCTTTGTATGCCTGCCAAGTCCACGCATTGCGACGGCGAAGATGATGGAGAAAATGCCAGCCTCGAAGAAAAAGGTGAGCATCCCAATGGCAGCGGCAGCATCCCCATCCAGATGCATATTGAGAGCCACACAGACGACGAGGCCCACATACAGGCCCATTAGAATCCATCTGGGCTTCAGTACGTAGTTGAGAAAGGCGGCTACAAATCGTCCGACTGCAAAGACTGTGTGACCCACGGTCGAGAAGTCGAATGGATGGAGACTTGAAGCCGGCGTCACAGCCACAATCAGCCCTTGTATATTGTTCCCGACGCATTCCTGCGCACCGACATAGCACCATTGGCTGAAGACGGCGAGCCCCAGTGTCACATATTTGACTTTCCACGGACCGATTTTGGCAGCATAAGCCCGTTGGCGCTGATCAGCAAGCTCTTCCAGTTGTTCGTTGGATGCTTCGGGAAGCGGAACATAGTAGAAGACAACAGCCAAGGCAAAAACAAACAAAGCGATGCCCAGATATGCCCATTGCACGTCCACCAGCGACGGTGCATTGTGCACACTCTTGAACAAAACTTTGGTTGCCAGAAGCGGCGAACAGACTGTGCCGATGGCCTGAAAGGCTTGTGAGAGGTTTAGTCTGGCCTCCGCATACTCCAGCGGCCCGCAAAGAGCGATATATGGGTTGGCCGCAATTTCCAAACACGAAAGGCCGAACCCGACAATGCAGTTGGATACCACGAATGCTGGATAGGAAAGCAAAACTCCCGACGGCCAGAAGACCAAGGTCCCACAACCATAGACAGCTAGGCCTACAATCATAACTGCTTTGAAGCCATATCGTTGGAAGATGAAGTGACCCAGCGTCAACGGCCCTGCGAAATAGCCACCGTAGTATGCTGCATGGAGACCCAACGCCTTGCCTGGCGACACTTTCGCCGCAGCCTGGAACTGCGAATTGAGCGTGTCCAGGAGTCCATAGGCAAACCCCCATAGGAAAAAGATGATTGTGACCACTGCAATTGGCCAAGCACTTTGCCGATTGGAAAGTTTCAACATATTACGTTTTCCTGACATCTTTACAAATCCGAAATCTGAGACGGCACTTTTGTTCGTTGTTCTTCGCGAGAGGTCTGCGGTGTTTGGTAGCGAAGGTCCGGCATGTCCTTCATCGGTCGGTTCTGCCAAAAAGTTCAAGAATCCCATCTGGCCACCATCCTCGTCTCCGGAGTATTCCTTGACAATAGATCTCCTGAAAGCAGCCGGATTGTTGAGTATTGATACATTGCCTCTGGGAAGATCAGTCCGTTGTCCCTTTTCATCCGCTTTACCCAGATCAATGCTATTGCTGGACGCCAGCTCGTCCCCAGCATCTCTAATAAAGCTCGGTAGAAAGCGAGCAAATAGAGGCTTCAAACTGGGCACGCACGCACAGATGATGCCGATGCAGACTTCGACCGCCGACCACATGAAGCTCAGACTTGCATACCAGGAAAAGTCGTTATCTTCAACGATGTGACTTGGGCTCCCGCCTGCACCATCGACGACCTTCAGGCGATTGAGCGAAGCCTGCTGTAGATATGCAATGCGGATGACGTCGACGACAGCGACAAAGGCACCGAAGGAAAAGGTTGCAACCAGGATGATCTTTTGTTTCCGAGGCAATCGCATCCCGGTCAGGATTGGCATTGGAAGGAACAAAATGGCAATGTCGGTGATGATGTTGAGAGGAGCCGAAGAGAGATACAACGTGACGATGTCGGTGCATCTGGCATGTGCGGGTTGAGGGTATAGGTAGCCCGCTGAGACTGGCGAGCACTGGAAGATGTTGAACAGGGTGAGAGCAATCCCGGCGATGTTGACTACGGCAAGGGTCAACCAGTTGCACCACTTGAAGACAGGATCGACATCCTTGCTCATAACAGACAGGAAGAAGACGATGATGGAGGTTTTGGTCAGCATGAGCGCCGGGTTGTAGAGGATGTCAAAGGCATATTCAGCCTTCCGCAGCGCACTGAATGCGTCGTCGGGGATATTTTGCTTGTGTTTCCCGAGGCCATATTTCACGGCTACACATATCGACGTCGAAAATCCCACGGCGAAGACCCATGCTGCCAGAATCCACCAGTCGTCCTGCTTGATAGATCTAACCAGCCAGGCCCGGGTGTAAAAGCGAGCCGCGACAAAAACTGTGGCCAGAACGGTTATGACAATGGTGACGGCCGAAGTGGCCGGGCCTCTGTCTGGGACCATGGCCCAAGGCACCACGCAATCAACGACTGTCGTTCACTCTGTGACCCGTGCGAACGCGCGTGGTTTCGGCACGTCATATTCGCAGAAAAGCAAAGCTCTTCGAATGACCACCACACCCCGCAATATAGTCCATCTGCGTTTGTCGAGAACGGAAACCAAACCAAGTGGGCAATGTCGAGATGGTAGAGAAGGAGGTTGAAGAAGCGCAGGAAGCTAGGGAGGTTGTTTGGCTCCTGCACTCGCAGATCACCGGCTCATGACTGCAGCTCCATCGCGCCCTATGAAGCGGGCAAGCCGTTCTTTGCGGAGGGAAGGAGGGTGGGAAGCCACCAAAGACATTTCGCCGCTGGGCTGGCCATGGTGGGAAGTTAAGAGGTGGAAGAATGTCCGACGAGGGATGGGGCTTCGCCCAAACACCGACAGGGCAACGACAAGCGGTAGGCCAGAGAGAGGACGCCTGGAGATCTTGTTCGATTGGCGTTCTCGCACCTTTATCCGTTTGGTGGATGGACGTTTGAATACGAGAAAGATGGTGTCGACGAGACTTTGAAATGCGGGGTGTTCAGCGGTGGTAGAAATCTGATTAGTTGCAGCAGGAAGCTAGCTAGGCAGTCAGGTGCCCTCTCTGGGCGTCATTCCAGGGCGACCCCCAGTGCCTAACCAGCCTTGCGAGCGCTAAAAGCCCCTATTTCTCCGGTCGCCGAGAAACTCTGCCCAACAACCTTCAAAACGAGCGAGCAGGCAATAGTTGACATATCGGAGGAATTGGACATCAGACTCATATACTTTTTGTTATCCTTGAGACAACGCCGTCACATGCGAGTTGGTGAGCTTGGTGCCAGATTCTCCCAACAGGACATACCTCCACGGCAGGTTACCTTTGTCCTATGTACGAATCTCCTCGCACACCAGAGCCCAGCTGGTGCTCGGGGCCGGACACAACGGGTACGTACGGCAGATCATCGCTGCCGGTATGTGTCAAGTCCTCCTTCTGTTCAGCCTCGCCCGTCCCAGCCTCTCCCTTCTTGGTGATATGTTTCCCACCACTCTTCAGGCGCAACTTATCGGCGGTGATGAGTTCCTCGCCCTTTGGAGGAGTCCATTTGCTGCTCTTCCAGGGCTTGACCTCGAGGAGGAACATGGTATCGATCTCTTCCAAAGAGCGGCCTGACGTCTCAGGCAGGAAGAAATAGACGAAGAAGACGGCAAACAGATTGCAGCCAGCAAAGACATATCCATATGCGTATTCGATATCCCCCGTGATGAAGGGCGTGAAGAAGGCAATGAGGCTGCAATGTTATCAGCATAAATACCATAGGCCAGTCGCGGCGTAGTACGTACAAGTTGAAGAGCCAGTTGCTGGCGGCGCAAAGAGCAATACACTGCGAGCGATATCGAGACGGGTAGATTTCAGCAGTCACGGCCCATGCCATCTACCAACGTCCATTAGCCATATTCCACAGCCAGATCACCTCCCAAGACGAATACTTACCGGACCCCACGTGGAAGCAAATGCCGCAATAAAGAGGCAAGAGAAGATGATCATCACGTATCCGATCGTCTGGTTATTTGTACCGTCGTCGTTCTGAAGCGCAAATTGGCCCAGTGAGGCAAAGATCATGAAACACATAAACATCCATCCTGCTCCAATCATGAGACATTTCCGACGTCCGAATTTCTCCACGAAGTAGAGACCGGGAAAAGTCGTGCCAACATTTACAGCGCCTGTGATTTGGTCAGTACAATGGAACCTGCCAAGGACGGGATCCGCGCTTACCAAGGATGATCTGAGTAACATAAGAGTTCGAAAGACCGACGGACGCGAATACCGTCGTCCCATAATAGAAGAAGTAGTTGGCACCGGTAAGTTGCTGCAGAGCCTGGATGATACATCCTAAGAAGACCCGGTAGAGCATTCGTGGACCTGTGAAAATCTCCCAGATCGGATGCTCTCCGCCCTCAATTTCCATCTGCAGCTTTTCTTGCATTTCCACCAATTGTTCTTTGACGACCCGGTGCCTTTCGGACACTCCATGGAACTTGGCAATGCTGGTCGTGGCAGGGTCAATCCTACCATTGCGATAGTCGTGACGAGGAGTTTCTGGGAAGAACAAAATGCCGATCCCCAAGACAATTGCGAACAAGAAGCCGATACCCATAGGGATTCGCCATGACGCTGTGTTGTTGATGCTTTCGGTCCCAAAGTTGATCAAATTTGCAATGAGGATTCCGATGGTGATGAAAAGCTTGACGACAACTTTTAGCACGTGCTGATAAAACGTTACAAGTTTTTAAGACAGTACCTGATAACAGCACACAATAGCTCCACGAACATGGCGAGGACTACTCTCTCCTTGGTATGCTGGTACCATCACTGATAGACCGCCAATTGCCAGTCCAGCGATGATGCGGCCAATCATGACTTCATACCAATGACCTGAACTGGAGCCAATCTGGACAGCAACGCCAATGCAGAAGATTATTGTCCAGAAGACAATCGAATATTTGCGACCAATGGCCGGAATGTTGGCAATGGGGCCGGACACCAACGCTCCCACCAGAGTGCCGATCGACAACTATATTCTTGTCAACATTGGTAGAGTAGGAAGTTGACAATCGCCATACTCACCATGCCAACGATTAAGCCAGAGCGGACATTGCTGAATCCTAGAGGATTTCTCTGGTCGGCAAAGTTACGAAGGAAGTCGTTCATCTCGAGGAAACCGGAGATTTGACCGGTGTCATAACCAAAGCAAAGGCCTCCAAACGAGACCAGGACAGCCATGAAAAACGTCCTCAAAGTAAGAAAGGGCACCTTGGATTCATCGTCGAAGGGGCCTTTTTCTGCTTCGACATCGGCGGTATCTCCATTCTGAGTGAAGGATGACCGTACAGAGTCTCCACGTCGTGCAATAGGAGAGCTTTTCTGAAAGTGCTGTTTTATCGTCATGATGGTAGGGATATTCTGGTTTGAAGGACTCTGGAGTTGTTCTGGACTAGGTCATACAGGAGTCTTATCTGATAGAAATGAAGCCTGCTAGCCTTATGTACGAAGACAGAGGCAACATTCTCGGTCTTCGGCAGCAGAAACCAACGTCATTGTAGCATGGTTTATTCGCGGCAAAGCTTGGGGGCTCAGGTGCTGCCAGGAGCAGTGGTACCAGACTGTGCAGGACCTTGTGTTTGAGAAGCCCACTGCGGATCTCATAGCCCAACCATGGTCCGGGTTCTGTAACCTCGACGTCATGCGAGCGAAAGCCTTGCCAGACACGTGCGCCACAAGGCTTCGGAATTTGCCTCCACCAAAGCCTCAAAGAGGCAAACTGTCACCCTTCGAGGGAGGGCCATCGATGCGGTTGCTCTCGCAAAAATGCTGCCAATTACTCCTTTGTCTTTGTCTGGTCTTCACATTATCTGTTGGCCGTAACAATACCTTCGTTGATCTGGAAAAGGATTCCTTCGTGGGATTTACCGAGTATGTACATACACAGTCTTGGTGGATGGGGTGATGACGTCGACAACATACAGGATCTGGCAGGCCAACGCGATAGAGGTCCACTTTCCTGGGCGCCATGATCGCAGTTTGCCGTCAAGACTTCCAGCAGCTCGGATTGATGCTCGCCTGATGATCTACAGTCCAAGCCCTGCAGCCTCATCGTGATTTGCAACCGGATGAAGCCGAAGCTTATCTTTCCCACCACGGCACAAGACAAAAGGATCTGTGGTCGATTGCACGAGGTGCATACCATGGCCCATCCAGCAGCATGTGATGTTGGGTATTGGTGCCTGTGGGTAGCAGGGTTCCATTCTCCCCTATCGTCGAAAAGGCAATCGTGTCTTGCCTGCAATACCATTCCAAGCTCCCGCAAGACACCAAGGGTGATAGTTTTCCTGTCAATATTGCGTCCATCTCGCTCTCATCCTCCAGTTCCAGAGACCATCTTTACATTGTCATTTATACAATATTGTGTTCTCTTTCTTCCGGATAACATTAGCGCCTCCCACAGCTCTTAAAGGGTGTCAAGGAGCGCTCGAATGGAAGCGGATCCTCATTTCTGTACTTCGGGCTTTATGGGTTATTCTGCCGCTGAAACAGAGTTGGTCGACTGAACGAGAGATCAGTCCGACTGCTCATTCTCGTGGTTGAGCCTCCTTCAATTTTTGGAGGGCTCCTGAGCCTCGATAGCCTTCGAGCACACTTTCGTTCTCGGTCCGCGGAGTGCCAGTCTCTTCCTTTTGGTCTGCGCCCAATGGCTTCGCTTTTTTCTCTGTGAGATATTTCGACTCTTGTTTAGCATCGGCTCTGGCATCTCTGAAGAGCTCATAGCCTGAGGTCCCTTGCACGGGATCCATTAAACCGTGTCTGCGCAAGCTTTCACGTCTCATGTCAAGTTGCCCGCCGTCGGCTTCTCGGTGGAGTTTCGCGTTCCGCTTTGCGGCTCGTATAGAGGTAACTGCGTAGGTGTAGAGGAGACCGGCCATAACTACTGCTGCGATAGGCGCGGTTACAGTCTGCAGGGCAGAATCAGCTTCGCAGGAAACGGGGGTCAATCACAGCCTGCTGCGGTCCAACGTACTCGGGGGTTCCAAACGGAGCCCTTCGGCTTCACGATACGAGCCATGATAGTCAAGTTGACAGTTGTGATATCAATGACAAGAGTTCTGAGATTAACAGGTCGAATTCAATATGAAGCAGCAAAGAGCATGGCAAGCAAGCAAAACCTCGGGCGTAGAACACGTGCGTGATTGGGCGAGGACTCCGCATTTCAGAGAAGCTCACACCACCGGGTCTGAGTGCCTAAGGATCGCCTGAAGCCCCCGTTTGCCACAAGTTTACATCAGCATCTGGGGGAGTTGAGTGTCTGAGTACTTCCCAGATTGTGTATTTGTTATGATCTGAAGGGGGGAGGGTGACCAGGGCACGTGGCTACAGTGCCTGTAACTCGGTACAGTTGTTTAGTAACTGGTAATTGGTAGGTACCAGCTCCCTAAGTGGCAGGCACCCAACTTGTTGCCTACAGAATTTAGCCAAGCAGCGCTGTTCACTTTGTCACGCTGCGATAGCATTCATTCCCTTCTCACCCTCCCCAAGTGCTTCTCGTACGATCAATATCGCGCATGATGATGCTTTCTTCGGCTGTCGAGGCAGAAATGCAATCCCGAAAGCTGATTTCGCCATGGCGGTCGGCCTCACGGCGCCCCCAACTTTGCCTTCTCACCATCCTCTTCCATGTCAACCGCGCGATCCTCCTCGAACAGAAGTATTAGTACACTGATTGCGGAATGTACACTGGGAACGATAAGGGCACCCTCCTCCCCCGCGGAAGACAACCGGGTCGGTGCCGTTTACCTGCGAAGCGGAAAGAGGCAGGAGAAACAAAGCTCTGGAACACAGGAACAAAGTGCAAGGATCTGACGTGGGCGGCTTTGCTGACCTCATCGATGCGCATCGTCTCCCTCGACCAACGCCCATCGATCGAATCACCATCTCAGCAGCGGATCAGCTAGGAAAGTTGTCCTCGGTAGCCCAGCACCTATGCACTCTATCGACAGATCAAGGCAAATCGATGCTGGCCAGGCACCACAGTTCTGCAGTCTTTGGTCATTGATTGCTTGAAGCTGCCACCCCAAACGGATGCGGCCACTCCTTCCGTCGCGTGATCTCCTCCCTCTAGAAGAGTCGAAGTCGATTGCTGCTACTCTACTAGGCACTTAAAGGGACAACCTCCGTATGCACGAATAGGTATCTTGCAGCGAGCCGAGCGTGGAAAAACAGGCACCGTTGGCGAGCGGTTATCGTGGCTGTGCACCATCTTTTTGTCACATATTATCGCTCAAGACTGGTCGCCTCCCATAATAAGTTTCACGAACATCCCTCCAAACTCCGATTTCGTCACCTCGCTCTTCAAAACGAAACAACCCTCGAACGTTCCGCGCACCTAATTTACACCCTCATCATCAAAATCAGGTCTATATCTCACCTAGTTGTCCTCGATCGCAATTAGACGCTGATTCTGTCCTCCACCCCTCTCCCCCATCAATACCTGACCACCAACCTTGACTGTGCTACGACACCAGCGCACGAGGGCTTATTCTTAAGGCGACCGCCTCTGCGACAACAAATACAAACCAACGTCTTCTCTCCCTCCTTTGCCCGGCAGTCTGTTCTGTGTACGCTTGATCGAATCCTATCAACTCTTTATCTATCGGAACTGCCGAACCCCCCACCCTTCTCCAAATTCCGGCGAGCTCTCCGCCACCATGACTTCCCTCATCTTTGGCTCAATTTGGCTCGGCCACAAGGGCCTCGTGCAGCATAAGCGCGAAAAGCAGCGGCAGAAAAACTATGAACGATGGGAAGGCCTTCGTGATGAGTATGATGAACAGCGAAAAATAACACGGGCGTCAAGATCTCTCGACATCCAACGCACGGGGTCAGATGTGGACTATGACAAACCGATCTTGACTCTCCGCGACCAACAAGAAGCTAACGATGCCCGGACGAGCTGGCGGCCTCAGGAAGCATGGGATGATGTGCCTGGGAGGAGAGCCAGTGTCGAAGTTACGTCTGGCACGGACTTGAGACCGCTGCCGAACCACAAAACTGGATCTACTTGGGATGAGGGCCTGCCGCAGCCCTTGAGAGTGAGCCGGCGCAATTGGGACGACTATGTACCGCCGGTGAGTAGGAGCAGCAGTCTCAGAAACGCCAGCGGGCCAAACACGCCCCGGGAGGGCAATACCAGCAACGTCTCGCCGATCAACAGATCGTCTCCTCAGCTGGATGTACCTACCCCTGCAAGCACCACTACTGCACACCCTCATGCTGCCAGGACCACCAGCCTGCCTGTGGAGATGCTGCAACATCAGAGAATTGAACGCATTGAGAATTCAACCCCTGGTGGACGCATGGCAGAGTTGATTGAAATGAGCAATCCTCACCAGCCTGCACCTGCACCGGTACCAGCGCCTGTATTGGCACCGGCACCGTACATTAGCCAGGCACCACAATCGTATGCCGGCTATCAAACCCAGCCTTACTTGCCAGCGGCACCTGTTGCTCGACCCATCGATGGAAGTATGCCCGAATGGTGGAACAAGTCCTGAGCGACGGTTTATGGGGCCCTTGGAGCTGAGCTTGATATAAGGTATGACAGGGAGTGGAAGAGGGTATGCACTCGCGCTTGTCATACTGGATTTGCATCCGCACTCACCCGACTACGCTCCAGTATATAGCCATCTACAATTCGCGATCAATGTCTAATCTCGGTTTGCAGCGACGGCGTTTCTATCCTAGGTGTCTAGAATTTTGATAAAAGCATCAAGTGGTTCGCTTGATGGCAAACCTCACGGGAAGGCAGGCAAAAATTCAGGTTCCTCCAGCAACTCTCCAACACTAGATTTTCCCCTTCGTCATGGACACAATTACTTGGGGGAGAATTGAGAGCGCTCGGTCGCGGAGGCCAGTTTAGGGAGAAGGCGACGAGGAGTGCAAGATGGATCTTTTCCGACTGGTAGTGGTATGAATCTGGGGGCTGACATGCATGTGGTTGTGACCTATGGAAATGGAGACAGGTATTGCACTACCGGCAGAATACACATTCAGGCAGAACGTTTTTTTTTCCATCACAGCATCTTCGTTCGTCTTGTATCATGAAAACTTTCAGAGAGACGACCAACGGCGTGGGCCGCGATAGGGGAAGTTCCACCAAGGAGTAACTCTAGCGTCACAAACCGATCTGTGGTGGCTTTTTGTAACTACATCAGATACAGATAGATCGATCTACTTGCTACAATCGAATGCTTCTTGCTGGCTCTCTCACGGCGCTGGACCGAACCCCTTGGTTGGCATTCCCCCCGGCATGTAGAAAGTAACAACAACTGTACATACCGCTCTACCTCTATTAGGTACTGTAGATAAGGACGGTATCTCGCCATGTACTTCCTGTATACTATACTACACTTGCTTGGGGTGGGTGAGGTGACTTCTCCCCTCTCCCTGGTGGCAGATATTCGATCGTTTTTGTATTCATCCGTATCTAGGCCGCCGTCCCACGTCCATGTCCATGTCTATGTCCATTTCCATGGGACACAGGACAATATATATGTACTTGGCTACCTACTTACCTACCTATACCCCGCACATATATACACCCCATACTCCCAGAGGTACGAGGAAATAATACCCTTTCCATTTATTACCCAGAGCATAGCTGTCCTATCCCACCTCGGGAAATATAGCGAGTGCTGCCGTAGAGGGCCACCAGGACGTGTCGGCAACCGGGTGCCAAAGCAGGGGAGAAGAGAGGAGAGAAAAACATGGCCGGCCAGTGTTGACGAAAGAGAGTTCTTTTGGACTTTGGGTGGGCTTGGTGGGCTTGCCTGTCTTCACACACATGTTATGTTGACTTTGACTTGACTTGGTGGCTTTTGACTTGGGCGTTGGTTGGTTCTACACAAAAAAAGGGCCTCCCGCCTGCCCTTGTACGCACGCACGCTCACTCTGCTCGCTCACTCCTCTCCTTGCGATCTACGATAGTTTTCGAATGTTCTTGTATGCGATGGGCATACAATACACGGCTTCGCTCATCCATCACTCTTCGCGGCTTTTTTCGTAAAAGGTGTCTGCCTGCGTTCCCGCCCTCCTGGATGATATATGTACGTCACATGCCCGCCCAAGGGAAGCAAGATAGGATAGTTCTATTGGAGGATCCCTGTCCCTCCCGGGAATATCAATTCGTTGTTTTGCTTTTTGGTTCTGTGCATCTCGAAAAATGGGACCCGAATTATGTCTCGTAAGAAGAAAGGTGGGAGTTTGTTCTATGCGGCATTTCCGGGCTTCTCTTCGGTGTCAATGTGCTGTAGAGAAGATGTTCGGTCAGCAGATGAAATCTCGCATTTTCATGAATGGACAAATGAATCGAGCATAAAACCCGCTCGGGTTGGCTCAGAAGGGATTGACGGTGACAAGATGGTACAGGCTGAACGGACACAGGAAGTGCAAGCTGGAAAGGCTGAAAAACTTACCCAGACGACATAGTTCGGTAATCCTACAACTTGGTATCCTGCCCGCTTGGCCATCTTCGCGAAACCCTCGGTCTCGGCTTGGTTTTCAAAAGCATAGCAGGGGAAGTTGATCCCTAGGTCCGAATATTAGCACAGACATGTCAGACCGTATAGCTGTCGTCATGGGTTCAAGCTCGGATGGATTAAAGACTCACCAGATCGATGGACATCCGCCTTGACCAAAATATTAACTCCACCAATACCATCCAACTCAATTTCTTCGTCCTTGTTGTTTCTCCAATCGCCCATTCTCGCCATGTATGTTCTTCCGGTATCGTATTCCTTGTACCCTTCTGCAAGCACAACATCTTTATCGAGAGAATTTGCGAGTCGACGGCCCTTGTCGGATTCGATCCAACTGTTGTAGTCGAAGCGCCCTTCGATATCGCGTCCGTTTTCATATCGGTGAAACCAGATATCTGTTCAACAAGCCGTTAGACGAGTCCTGTCACTGTGGATAAGGGCAAAAATAGTCATACTCGGGACCAAAATATCCCGGTCATGGGCAACAAAGTCCTCGATGATCTTCTTGGGTGAATCCACTATATCAACATCTCGCCAGTACACCCAACTATGCTCGGGCTTCAACGCCGTGGAGAGCAAATAATTTCTGGCTCTTCCCATTGCCTTTCTTCTCGGGCCTTGGGCGGCGAACCCGTGTCTCGATTCCACGCTCATGTCGAGTTTGGAGCCAAAGTCCTTTTCGACGATGAGGACGCTGTGGAAGGGGATTTTGTCGGTCCTTTGTTGGATGCGGTTCAGCTCGGAGGACAGTACTGCCAGGGTGTCATCGACCGAGTCGCCCACGAGGAAAGCCAGATCGATGAGGTCGTGCGGGTAGGTGAGTTCGGAGAGCAAGTCAAAGTACTTGATGAGGTAGGGGGCGGCATCGCGGAGGGGTGTGAGGATGAGGATGCGTTCGCGGTTGCTGAGTGCTCGCGGCGTGGAGACGATGGGATTGAGATCGATCCGATTGATGGTGCTGGCATTGACTTCGTAAGGTTCGTGGTGGTTAAAGAGGACAGGCGTCTGAAGGTGTTGGTTCCAGGCGACCAATTCATTATTCGACATTTGGGTGGGAGGTTTTGAGGGGCCGAAGCAATAGAAACTAGCAAAGTCACAGTCATGTCAGCCACCTGGTCTTTTTTTCATATCTCAGTTGGAACCGGTATCCCGTACTTTGACATCTGTTGTGTAGACACGCTTATCCCCCTCCATAATAAGACAATCAAGCCCGTGAGGGCAACTGCGACCAGAAATCGGGTCCGGGTCAAGAACATTATTATGGCTTTCCAAGGGGGCAGCCTGGATTTGGCGGACTTCCAGGTCACGCCGCCTTTGGGGAGAAGCATTTTGTGTGCGGGTTGGGGTTTATTGTACAAGAAGGGAGGAATCGAACGTGGTGTGAGAATCGAAGGCCAAGGAAAAAAGGGAGAGGTGATGGCGTGGCAGTAGGAGAGGTGACAGGCTCCTCGCTAGGAGGAGGACGTCGTTGTTGTCGCGGCCAGGTTGACTTCGGTACTGCGGATTGTGATGGACGTAACGAGCGGAATGGCCTTGCGCATCAAGGCCCGATGGAGACGGGGCGAGGTGTAGGAGAAGAGATTAGCAGGCTGAGGATACGGTTGGGGACGGGAGGGCTGATGCAGCGCGACTCGATCCGGAATCAAGGGTTTGCAAGGGCGTCCTGAGCTGCTGGAAATTCAAAAGTGGAAGAGGGTGCAGGAGACCTGGAACTGGACAGATTCGACGCAAGGGTCTGTGGTTGCGGGAGTGGAGTGGTGGTTGAGGGATGCGGACATCAATCTGGATCTCTATCTGATCCTTTTTTCCCCAGCACCCTACGACTCGGGCTCAGTAATTAGCCTCAGAGTTGCTCTCTACCCTAGGGCCTGATTGGGTTTAGCCCCCTTCTTAGCCGTTTCCGACACTCCGATATCAAATTGGTCGCACGTGCGCGCACGTGCTTGTCACCATCGCTCTCTTGATCCAGGGCTTCATGAGGTACAGTATATCGAGACATGAGTCTGGCAGTGGTCATATACATAGAATGTTCTCACATATCTGCATCAAAACCGACAATCTCATTCCCAGCACCGTTCACCCTCAAGGGTGTGACAAACAAACAGCCATCAACAACCCCAGCGACCATCCACCTATCGAATTACTAGCATCCAGGATGTCGCATAATAGCTACATTCGATATGGAATACTTTTGCTATGCTCACCACTTTTGATGCTGTTGTACAAGTGTTCCTCCGGCAAACGCCACACATATGAATAGATCCCAAGCCCCTTTCCAGCTCTTTGCCAGGCTATCTTTTGACCAGAGCCTCAACTTACCCACAGGATATGACCCAGCATTTGGCACGGCCGTCGTGCTCATCATCACCTCCGTCGTCACCACGAGACCTTCAGAAAGCTCTGTACCCATCAAAACCAAAACTATGTCCTATCACCAGCGACTGGGCAATATGCGCCTGGACTCTCACTCCATGTCATCCCGCTTCCTTTTCCACCCAGCATAATCCGGGTGGGTAGGGAATGACTCCCTGGCAGACTTATAATGGCTCAGCTCTCGTTGAGCATTATTTAGTAACTCCTGCTGTTGGATCACGAGCTTCAGCAGCAACTGCGCCACCATTACCGACTGTATGCGCTGGTCATTCACCGACTGCACCACCCTCCCTGCCATTTCATGGGCGTATATGGCTGCCCAAAGCTGATCATCCTTGCCGGGCCCCTTGCCTGACTGGAATCTGGTTTTCTTCTCAGCCTTGGCATGCTCTGAGCCACATTCTGCCGCCAGGTCGGGGCATCGACGATGACTTTCCATTTGAGAGTTTCGATGGCGGTCTCGCCTGTCGTTCTCAGCAATTCGATGTGCTTCGTCTGCCTCTTGCCTTTTCTTTCGTCTGGCCAACGACTCCGAGTCGAGTACTTTCGTCTCTTGCGGCTCCTCAAGGGAGGCTTTCTTCACGAGCTTGCGAGGTTTTGACACGCGCTCGCCGTACAGTTCCCGACTTTCGTCCCGGCGGAAGAAGCAATCGACCAAATCATCCAGGGATTTGCCGGCGATGTGGCCTTCAATGCGTTTGCTGAACACGTTCATTGGAGAGGTAGGCTTGAACCAGCCTTGGTCATACGCTGGCTTAATTGAAGAGTCGTGTAGCAGCTCGCGAGCCACATCAATAGCAGCGGCGACTGGCAGTTCTGGCAGGCTGAGCAATACCTGGAGATGGTTGAGGCTACCGTCGACGTCGGCAGTGGTGGAGACATCTATTTCTATTGAGCGTGGGGATGAGGAGCTCCTCTCGGTGAGAGGAGGGGTTGCGAGCTGTTGCTGTTCGTGGGCAGGATCGGAATTTCGACTAGGGGCAATTGGAGGTAGAGTCAAGTCTGATGCTGGCGGTTCCTTCGCCAGTAGGAAGGCGATACTGGGCAACGCGACCATGTTTTCAGATGCACGGTTGTCTCGTTTTGTCATTTTGATGCTGTTTCCGGCCTGTATAAGATGGTTAGGTAGACGGAAACCGTGGAGGACCGGTGGAACTAACGGTGGTCTTGGGGAACGCAGAGACGACAGAAGTATATCCAATAGGGAGAAAGCCAGCCGAGTATCAAACAGGCTGCGTACCCAGCAACGTCCACAGAAGCACTGCCAAAGTGCAACAAGCCTGAAACAGAAAAAGAAGGCGCAGCAGCAAAGAAAGGCGAGTTTGAATGAGCTGGGTCTGCCAGATGCTGCCAGGTGCCTGAATATGTACCCGAGCAACTTCACACCCTTGCCTGTTGAGTTTTCCACGGGACGCGAGATACAGTGCAGGAAGCATCTCCACTTGCCTACGCCTTGTCTGCCCATCTATCCGCCTCCCAGATCGCCGAAGCGCACCAAAAAGTCCAACACTAGGGCATGAATATCCCGTTTGAGCTAGAAGAACCACTAGATACGAGTACCGGGAGGGAGGACAGCAGGTTGCGATTGGGGAGCGTCGACCTTGTCAAGGCCATCCCCGGGTTGGCCTTTTCCATATACGTCTCCCTCTGTATCATTCTGGTGGTGTGGAGCGCCGCAAGCCCTGATTCCGGCCAGGAAGGGTTTGAGAGTGCCGTAGCAGTCACTAGACTAGCCAAAACCGCCCGCCAGAAAGACATGTGCAATCTTGGTGACTGGGATTTCTTCTGATTCGCTTATCGGCCAGAATGTCAGTGGCAGTCGCCTGCGATCGTGCATTAGAGAGAGGGGATCGGTTGTGGGTGTTCGCGCCTCTGAAGCCCAGTTCCCCAGCCTCGCCTCCCACGCGGGCTCGTTAGGGAGCGAGGATCAACGGTAGAGCGACCATGATACTGTATGACTGTAACTAGTTTCGTGGTATCATACTGTATAGGGCCCTATGTGGTAGGTAAAGGTTATGTGGCAGTGGTAGATATTTAGGGCGTTCATAGACTTTAACGCTTCTAGCGTATATGACTGTAACTAGTATCGTGGTATCATACTGTATAGGGCGCTGTGTGGTGGGTGAAGGTAATGGTTCTGACAGTGGTAGACATGATGGCGTAGTGGGTGGGTCGTGGCTGGCATTGCCTAACTAACAATGGACGTGATCTCTCGATATCCGAGCCCGCGTACGCGCTGGAACCCCCTGGGATTGCCTTCCTCTGGGGTTCCGACAATCAGTGTGGATGGGATTTCCGTGCCAAGAATCTGAGCTCATATTCTAGGTGCTAGATGTGCTAGTTCGATCCGTGGAACGGTACGAGGTTGGCTGAAAGGTCTCAAACGCGCTCCACACCCTCGCTTTCACCTAGAGCTGTTGACAGCTGCCCTAAACCGTCCTCGGCCAGCTCGATCACTCGTCCGCATCAAGGGGTTTGTCACGGGATGCCCCTCGTCCGAGATTTGTCGTTCCTTTTCGAAGAATGCAGCAGTCGAGTCTGGTTATGTGTGTATTACATTGATACCATGTGTGATGCAAGTCCAGTATAAAATGTTGGAGTATATAATACCGATGTCTTTCCAGCGTCAACCCATGTCTTCATGATCTGGAATTAGTACATGTTCCGAGTCAATTATTGTTGTATTTTGACACGCCCCTCCCTCCATTAGAGCATCCAGGATCGAAGAGCTGCCCGTCCGCGAATGATCAGAGGAAATGCCACCCTCAGCGGCCCACAGCCCCCGACTACTCGTCCGTGTTCCCCTCGAGGAGTTTCCTTGATTCGTCCAATCGTCTCCTGAGTACCTTTGCGGCACGTAATTCCTGTTTTCTTTCGGCCCGCAGGATCTCATTGCAGACGCCCCCCACAGCCCGTAAGAGATCCAAGACGAGATCCTTGTCGATGGCGGAAAACGTAACCGACCCAGGGCCTTCGCCAACTCTGAACTCGGGGTCTGCCAGTTTGATTAGGCTCTCCATTAAGATCTCTGTATTTGCGGGATGATCAACGGGCACCTCATTGGGCACACTAGTTCGACCACTGAACGCCTTTGGAGTGGGAAAGGAGGCATTGGGAGACTGGACAGGAGGGGTCGGTATGCCGTTAGAAACGATGCTCCCTTGCGTCTGAATTTGCCGTGGGGATCTCATTTGACCTTGTCGAGCCCGTCCACTCATGGGCGGTGTCGGCCACACAGTACCGGTATCTCCCTGGTTCGGACTCACTGGTGTTTGAGCAAACCCCGTCCCATTGCCCCAAGAGAGAATCTCGGTCGGCATCCCATCCTCGACCTCGTCTTCGTCACCGCCTGCTCCCTCTGTCGCCGTGGCGAAAGTGGCAACAGTTGAAACCGAGTCCAAACTATTGCTTCGTGCCGCCTTCATCCACGGTTTCGAGGGGTCCGCAAGTGGAGTGCGATTGGGCGGAGTGCCAGGTTTGAGGAAGTTCTCTTGGATCGGGGTATTGGCAGCTTCTTCTGAGGCTATTTCCTCGTCGAGCTGCGTCTCCGCGTCATCTTCGTCTATTGTCGGGGTATCTTGGTTCATGCGTGTCGTTGTTACACTGCTGCAGTCACTCTCACTAGGAGTTTCACTTCTAATGCCCGTCCCAGTGTAATTTCCCAACGCACTATGGAGGAACATGTTCTCATAGTCAAAAGCATCTAGCCGGTCTTCATGACGTTCCGCGGCGCCCTCAGTGGGGAGTAGGTGATCGGGGATTTCGGGGACATCGGGTTCGAGGTCCTGCAAACTCTCTTCCAGAACCTCGTTAAGGTAAATTTGCTCTTCTTCCGAAGCTGCAATTGGCTCGTCATCGTCAAATTCTTGTGCTGCGTCTTCATAGAGCGATTCTTGGAGCAGAGAGTTCGACTTTTCGAGAGGCACCGGCTGTAGGTGGGCCGACTTGTGGAGACTTGGAGTGTTTCTATCTGTCCTGGCATCGCTCAAAAAGCTGGAATCCTTGGTTGCTGGGACTTCGACATTCAATAAGGTTTGTGCCTGCGGCGTGACTGGTGCGACATGCAAGTCCAGTGGCTTCCTCTGTCGGGTTGGACTCCAACCCATACCGGCATTCGTGTTGATCGGGCTGCCTGCCTCTTTGTATTCCGGGGCACTCGTGTACCAGTGCTCCGGAGTCTGCGCACTCGCGAAGGGGCTGGGCGTTCTGACACTCTGCATACTTTTTCTTCTCAGGCTGTCAGCCTGTGCCTTGTCCTTCAGGTCGGAGATTTTTGCCTGTAGATTCGACATCTGTTCTCGAATTTCCTTGGTAGACCGGTTTGACATCGCCGACGAAGAGCGGGCAATGGCTGTGGGGGGACTGCTTGTAACGACTGAGATATCTTCCTTAGACACCGCTGCCAAGGTGTTGATGCCCAGGCCTCGCGGGATAGGAGTTTCTGGGGTCGTCTCGTTTGTGCTTGGAGTGCTTTCTTCCTCCTTCAACACCCGCAACGGCGAATTGAAGCTGCGGTTACTTGCTGGTGAATACGGACCACCTCTGGCTGAAGGCGAATGAAGCAGTTGTTGGGGAGACTCTTGCCGGCGTCCATACTCCAAGGCGCTTGCAGATCTGATTTCGGGGATCATGGACAGGCGCTTCAACCCAGATGTACCTGTCGTCGTATCACTACCGCCTCTAGCGTGTGCCACCGTGTTGTTTCTGTTCACAAGGTGAATCGGTCTGGGCTTTCGTTGACTTGCACCGGCCAAAGAGATTGACCGATACAACCCACCCGCCGGTTGGTGAAGTTCGTTCATGTTTGGCGAGGATCTTGACGACAGAAGAATGCTGTGGCGTGCCTTGCTTAAATTATCCTCCATATGTGTCAGTCGCTTCCTGGCATGCTCAAGAATCCTCTCCGCTCGTTCGTTGAGCAAAGCCATCTCATCTTCCGCATTTGTCGCAATTGTGCTATTTCTCTTGCTGTCAGCTTCCTCAATCTCTTCATCTGGAACCTTGGCCACATCTGCAGCCAGTCTCCCGTTCATGATCTTGGAGGTATCGAAGTCCTCCCAATTGCCCAGATCGGAGCCATTACTCGAGCAGGATTGATTGCTTAACCTCCGGGCCGCAAGCGCTATAGGGCCCGCGGGAGATGGAGAAGGAGGATCTGATCTTAGCGGGCTCTCGGTTCTCCGACTTTTCCTCGATTTCGGCGTTTCCTCCTCTCCAATATCGCTCAGAGGCGCTCCGTGTTCGTAGCCATAGTAATTGGTGTTGATGGGAGGGACCGCCCTCGAGGGCATGCGAATGGTTGTTGCGATCCCCAGCTCAACTCCGGGCTCGATCTCTGCTGGAGAGGAGCCCAGTGACACCGCGGAGTCGGGACGGACAGGAATCGGCGACGGGTGTAGAATGGGCGAAGATGCGCGAGGACTGGGGCTGGAGTCCAGATGAGGTTGATACGGCAATATCATGTCGGGGTTTGTCAGAGTCGGCGACGGAGGAACTTCCTGTGTGAACAGGTCGTGTGGGATGGCGGGAGGGATAGGGTGGGCGTGCGCACTCGCCATGGTGACGAAGATCGAGTCGACGAGCGGGACAATCGAGTCTGACAGAATGCGACAGCACGGAGACGAGGAGCTGCTGAACGAAGAAGACAGCACCAGGTCGCAGTGTGAGATTGTCAATTCATCCCTGCGGTCACGGATGTTTAGAGGCAGGTCGTCGGGGATTGCTGCCGAGGGTGCAGATTCTCAATGCGATTTCGTAACCGGATGGAAATGCAGCGATGGAAGAGATGTGCAGATGCAGAAAGGAAGGGACCTGGGAAACAGGATCTGCGCTCCAAAGCCCTAACCCCCCGGCTTCGTCAGATTGTTGAACAAGGGGGTCTGAGAGCACAGTAGTTCACCAGGCTGTCGCCGAACCAGAGATGAACCAAGAGTGCGGGCTCCGGGATGAGGAGTTTTGATGGCGCACAACCCTTACAAGGAAAAAGGAGTGGAAACAAGCCCAGCTGCAATCATGACTGGCTGGCTCCCCTGCAGCAGCACCAACGACGCCAACAACGCCCAATCTTCGGCAACCCACCCAACGGGAACTGCCCATGTTGGGGGCCACTGGGCCTAGTAAGTAGCCTATTGCGGCTGTCAGCTGCGCCCAAGAGCCTAGATACGAAAATCTCCAAGGCAGACAAGACTTTGACCGCTTGAACCTTCACTCACCTGACCATTCATCCCATCCACATTTTCTCATCCCACATGCTGCACGTAAAGTAAGCGAAGCAATTTCGGCCCCGCGTCCCCCCATGGTCCATCATCGAATTCGTCATTCTCAAAGCAGCAGTAGGTAAGGCAACAAGCTTCTCTGTGGTTGTCGACGGTGGTAACTCAGACGCTGACGAGGGCGATGCAGCAAAAGTACGAGTAGTTGCAAGTGAGACGAATTCCCAGATTCTAGGAGGCCCGGCAGTCCCTTAGCCAGTCAGACTCCTGCATGCAAGGAGAATCCTCAGGAATGCCAGCCTTCGTCCTTGTCCCTGCGTCACCGTCCGACCTCGAAGCAATCGCTCAGGTCCAGTTCGCAGCCTGCGCCTCCGACCATGGATTTCCTGTCGTCTTCCCAAAGGGAGCCACGTTGACTTCCATCACCCATGTTGTGCATTCATACGAGCATGACTTGGAGAATGACCCTAGCTGCCACATCATGGTGGTCAAGGAAGCAATGTCCGGCGAGATCGCGAGCTTTGCCGTCTGGCATTTTTTCCCTCCCAGAAGCCAAGAGGAGGTCGAGCAGGAAATGCTAATTCTGGACTTCCCACTCCCTGACGACGCCAATAAGGAAGTGGGAAATCGCTTGATGCACAATAGCATCAGGAAACGCCATGAAGTCGTCGCATCAGCTATCGGGACGGAAAAGCCCTACGTGTGTAAGTAGTTTCTCCTCCGTCTCCCTGCCTCTTTACCAGCCAGCTCTTTCTCAAGCTGACCATGTGGCAAGACCTCGCCGTGTTAGGCACAAGTCCAAAATACCAGAAGCAAGGCGCTGCTTCCCTCTTGCTCCAGTGGGGCCTGGAGCGTGCCGATGACCGAGGGCTGGCAGCCTATGTCGAGAGTGCTCCACCGGCACTGCGGCTCTATGAAAAATATGGCTTCAAGGAAGTTTCCAAATTACCCCTAGAAATGTCACCGTGGAAGGAAGGAGAGTATCTAAATGTATGCATGGTTCGGCAGCCTTCAAGCTGAATTATGGGTTAACCCCTAGCGCCACTTCTATACAATGGCTCTCACTCTGCCCGTAATTTAGCCCTAACCATCAAGGGTCCCTGCTTCTCTCCTATGCCCACGCTCTCCACGATCAGTTCTTCCGCGGGATCGATGACTTCAAGGTCGTATCGGCGCCACACAGCCGTCAACACTTTGACGATGCTCATCATCGCCACGTTCCTGCCTATGCATGCTCGATGACCAGCGCCAAAGGGGGCGAGATCATTGGGAGACAGTGGCTTTGCCGGATCAAGCCACCGCTCGGGCCGAAAGACGTTGTGATCAGTGCCCCAAACGGAGGCGTTGTGATGAAGCACTTGGTTGACCATCGAGACGTTGGTCTGTGATGAGGATACGTCAGCTTGAAGTCACGGCTTTACAGATCCTCAAAACCTACCCCGGGAGGAACATAGGTCCCCTCAATCACCGCGCCTTCGGGATCACACACAGTGCGCGGTAGCGGCATGGTGAAAACCGGGGAAATCCTGAAATTCTCCCGGATACAAGCCGTCGCGTACGGTAGCTGCGATTCCAATCCTGAATAAGCCGGTAACGAGTCCCCAGCTGTATCCTTGAAGGGGATGCATGCTGTGATTTCTTTGGTGAGATTGTCTGCCACGCTCTTATTGTGCAACAGATGATAGAATAATAGAGTCAAGGTACCCGATGTGGTGTGTGACCCGGCGACCAGAAACGCAAAGGCTTCCGAACTGACTGCCACCTCCGACAACCGCTCACCGGTTTCGGGGTCCTTCGCACGGATGAGCCTGGTCAGAATGCTGTGCTTGTCGCTGATCTTTTCTCTGGCCATTTCGTGGGCAACGCACGCTGATGTCCTGTCCCGCAGCGCCTTCCTGCTCTCCAGGAGATTCTGCAGCCACGGGAGCGGGATGTGGTTTGCCAGTCTCATGCTATACGGCAGCAGGGACGGGAGCATGCCAAAGAGGCAGCCCAGGAAAATGTGCTCGTTGATCGGTGGCAGCTTGGCAGGATCTTGGGCTTCTTGAGATCCGAACTCGGTGTGGAAGACCAACTCGCCCATGACGTCGTACGCATAATACCCGATGAGATTCTTCAGGTCAAACGGTTTGGAGCCCTGTGCGGCAATAGCACTGATGAGGTTGTTGAGATGGCGATTGAAGATGGACTCCATCTGCGCCAGAGAAGCGACGGAGAAGCTGTGCGCCATCTGGCGACGCCGCTTCGCGTGAAGCTTTTTCGTATCGTCAGCCTTGTGGGACGGGGAAAACATCATAATTACCCTCAGGGCACCACTACTCACGTCTTCGTCACGAGTCCCAAACGAGTTCGGGTGGAAGGTCGTGAACCCGTCGTAGAGATTGCTCTTGATGAAGCGCCGCCCGCCCTTGTAGACTTGGTCGAGGATCTCGACGCCCTGGAAGCTCAGCTCGTTCGGGGCCACGCGCACCACCCGCCCGTATTTCTCGTGCACCTGCACCATGGTGTCCGGCATGCGCCTGGTCCACAGGTGGTAGACCCTCCATAGATCCGTGTGCGCTGCCCAGAAAGGGCCCGGGAACTTACTCAGTGGGTGGAAGAACTGATTGCGCAGGAATGAGGCAAGGAGCAGAGCGCCAGGTACCAGCACCAGGAACAGGAGGTAGACGGGGAGCATCTTGTTCCGCTGGTCTTTTCCCCCTTGAAAAATGATGAACAAGGTAAAAATAAGGACAGTTTGACCAAACGCTGAATTCACTTGGCAGCTTCTTGATGGATGAGCTTGATATAGGTTCTGAGTTCCAAGAAGTATTTCTCATCGGCTTCTCCACGCTGGATTTGCACGCTGACATGGTGGGCTCGGTACGCCATTCTGGCTCCGTCTTCCTCTCCTCCTCCTTCTTTCCCCCTCCTCGTATACAGAGTTGACGACATGGAGGGAGGGGCAAGGGGCCTTACTTGGGTCGCCCGTGTTACCCGATGCGGAAGAAAACATGTACGTTCCGCACGGGTACGGAGGAGACAAGAAAGGAGGAGCTGAGTCCGAAGGGGTCCACGTTATGTCTCAGAGAGCAATGAAGGGCCAGGAACTCTAGCAGCAGCTGAGGTCTGTCGATCCCCCCCCCCATCCTGCTGTGGGTATGGCCGCGAGTGTGTGGGGAAGCGCCGGGAAAATATGCTTTGTGAGATCTGATGCTCGGAACGGCCTTGCACCTTCAACGTTGGCATTCCGAGCTGCGGTCTTGCCAGTTGCCTCCAGCGGCTTTGACCCTATGGGGCTAGTAAACACCCCGACCGGCGATGATCATTGCCGTGAAACTATAACTCGACTCCAAGTTCCAGGGGGGTCAGAATGAGCTTTTTGGAGTCAAGAACGTATGTTTTTGGTTTCAAACAGACCCATTTCTGAAGTGTACAAGCATCAGGGTACTCCCTCCAGATTGGAAAATATGTGTCGCCAACTAGAACACGGGAGAAAACCGAGGAAGATGGATAGGATCGTGCGCCAGCACAATGGTGTTGACGACTGAGAGGCGAGTCCGGGAGTCTTTGTCAGGGTTCGAATGCCGTGGGATCGCCAGCCAACGGTCGCTTATGCAGTTCCAGACTCACGTCAGATTGTTTGCTATTTTGCGTTTGCTTATCATCCGTGTTAGTAGAAGCCGTGTGTTGTTTCGTTTGTTGACGTCTGTCCAGAGGAATTCTCTGAAGATGTTATCATTCTTCCAGTCGCCTCTGTGACCATTCCAAATTTGTATCACCTTTACAGGAATTTTGTGCGGCATGATCTCTTTCGTCAGTTCTTCTTTCGCGGCTGACAGGGCAGGGCGTCTTGGAGCCGAAATACGACGTCCTATATTACAATTTGCGTCTCCCGCCATGTCGGAGGTCTTATATTTTCCGGGACAATAGCCGGGACAATAGGAGAAGGTGCATTGGGCAAGACAATGCCTGGCATCCTCACGGCTGCGGTCCTGACCTTGTCACCAATAGTGCTCTGGGCCATCTTTTCTTGCTCACATCGGCGTCTGAGGCCTTCGAAGGGGCTGAGAAAATCGGAAACAGCTTGGGTCGTTGTGGCTCAGCCTTTTCGCATTCCCCATCAAAGACGAGGCTGGGTACTCGCTCATCATGATCGGCTCTGAAGGTCTTCGAAAAGCGGTATTAGTAGTGTCCTATTGAATCTAATGCATGGAAGGGGCACCAGAAGACGCCCAACGCAGAGCCACCTCCATGTCGGCGGATATGCAGTCGCTGAGACATTCGAGACAAATGGCAGTTCGTGATGAGTGTGGCCCAATGCAATAGGCTCTGGTAGGGAGCGGTGTGAATCACAGGCTGGCACAAATGCAGCAGCTGATGCTGCTACTGCCCAACTTGTTCCAGGGTGAGGCCCAATTAGTGTGGTTGCGGTCGACGACGAGTTTGTTCAGAGGCTCTGAAGCCTTGTAGGGGACGGTCGACGCCCGCGTCAGTTCATGGCAGCTTCCTGGGAAATCTTGTCGGATTGGAAATTAAATTCCTACGCCAGCCCACAGCAGTTGACAAGGTGGCACTGTCCAACCGCTTTCGACCGGGCCACCACCGCCTTGCTCTGGCTCTTTGCGAGAAATTAGCATCAGGTGTCGTGGTGTTCAAAACAGCCGAGACTAGATCATGCAGCGATGGGGGATGCCCTACAGATCGTCGCAAGAAATACTTAATAATTGATGAGGTGTCTGTTCTCCTCTGCACCTTTCCATGTCCCTCAGCCTTATTCCCGCATCTCTGAGACCGCTATGTCAAAGAAGAAGAGTCGAGGTGGTACCTCGAGTCAACTTATTAAACGGGGATATGGGCTGTCCATGTGAGTTAAGACTCTTGTTTTTCCATCCCGTCCCAGCCGCTTGAGATAAGAAGAATACCTATCAGAGAATAAGGTGCTTCTAAGTTTCAGACAACAATCAGACAACAGCCTGGAGCAGAGGGCAGGTCGAGAGGTACGGATGCGTGGACCAATTGCTGGCAGTGTAAGCGTTGTTTGGGATGGTGCAAGAGCATCCAGGCAGGGTACAGCCAAAGATCGGTTAAAGGCTCGTAGGCAGATGTGGCTCGGATCCAAGCAGCCTTGGCTTAACTTCCAGGCATAGTGTGCCCGGGTCAAAGGCTAGTAGGCACTTAGATCGTTTTGTTCTAGGGAGTCGTGGAGTTCAGAGACGTGTCTGGAGGCGCCAAACTTCCGCACTCCATACCCCACAGATCGCCACGCCCGCATACTACTACATAAAGTATTCTTCAACTACGGCTCGCACTTTAACCAGCTCAATATTATTTCAATGGAACCACCCAAGAAGAAGGCAAGGCAAAGCCTGGCCAGACGGGCCCCTTACGCTGCAGCAGCCTGTGATTACTGCCATGGCCGCAAACTGAAATGCTCGGGCGATCGCCCCTGTTTACGTTGCAAGAAACATGCCATCTCGTGCAGTTATCCCACGGCAAGGCCGGACTCAAGTTCAGAAGCTCAGCACCGTGACGGTCAGATGTAAGTCTCATCAAACAACGAGCACAAGAATTCACTTGCATCATGGCGGGATCCTGAAACCAATAGAATTCCAGAAACACTGTATGCCAGCATAGATGACTTGCAGCGCAACCTGGACGATTTTAAAACACAGCTTCGCGAAATTACAGCTCCCAGACATCCAGGAGTTACCGATCCAAGCCAGCCAGAGATCTTTCATCAACCTCATAGCCCTGACAGAGATGAGAGAGATGGACTCATGCCTGTGAAACCGCAGTCGGATCCAGACATTCCGGATGTATATGCTGGCCCTACCAGTTACGCCTTTGGAATGGTTACGGCTGATGCAAGACTTTCCAACCTCACCCCGTCCAGTAGGGAGTTTACTGCCATTGATAGCCCGTCCCCTCCGCTGATCCCCGGCTGTGCGCTTGCGGAATCAGTTGCTCAGCCGGCTGAAGCTTGGGAAGCGCATAGCGAAACCTCGCTCGATAATTTCACGCTCGAAGAGGCCATGCAGTGCTTGGACACATTTCAAGCTGTGTTCGGGGTCCTCCACTCTCTGCCGCAGCTGGAGAAGATCAGGTCAAGTTTGCCTAGCCTCTTGCGGTCTACGAAAAGATCACTCTGGAGCCAGCCCACCACTCCAGGGCACTGTGGCCTTTTGGAGATGTTGAAGATCATTTTGGGAATCGCCCTGGTTGCACAGAATGGTGGGAGAACAAAGCTGTCAGACACCCTTTACCAGAGCGTTGAACCTACCATTGTGGCCGCTGTCTTTCAGCGCACCATCAGTCACGACTTCCGAGCCTTGTTGTTGCTCGTGGTATGTGAAAAACGGGCCCACCAAAAAGCTCATGACTAAACAAGCACCAGGCCATATATCACTTCGGTAATGAGGATCTAGTCCTCGGATCTAGAGCCATCATGTATGCGGCACGTACAGCTATCGAGGAAGGTCTCTATCGGATTGAAAAACTCTCGGTCATCATCCCCAATGAGAGGGAACGCCAGGCGGTAATCCGGCAACTATGGAGCTTGTTCGTACTGGACCGTCAATTCAATTTCGCCGCTGGGTTACCACATCATCTCAATGACAACGACGTCGACCTGCCCACTCCTGTAAGTCTTGTTCAAGGCTCTGCCCAACAAGCCTGCTAATGACTTGACCCCCAGGTCGGCGACGGCTACCTCGCTGCAATGGTCAGTTATGTTATATTTGGAGCGCAAGCATGGAATTCGCTGGTGAACCGCAACCTGCTGGCAAGTGGGCAAGCTCCATCAAAAGATGCGATGAACTTTTTCCGCTATCAAGTCCATAAATGGCAGCAGGATTTGGACCCTTCGGTGTGCTTCGACGCCGCAACGATAGAATCCGATGATCATGGGTTCTTCACCTCCACATCGGATGAAGTGGAGGTGTATCGCAGGACACTCCTGTATCTCCGCGCAAACCAGATCCAGATCCTCGTCCTCCGTCCCATGCTCATATATCCCCAGACTGCTCGCAACAATACTGCCTTGGTCATGGAAGCCATCAACTTGGCCAAAAGGTCCATCCGGACGTTGAGGATCTTGGCCACAGATGTCTATTTCTATAGAACAAGGCAAGCACTCTTTAATCATTTCCTCTCATCTGCGTTGTCGGTTCTCTTTCTGGTCGCAGCATATGATGCAGAAACCCGGGCAAGTAAAGCCGCACCACGGGACAATGCAGCCACACTACTGGGAGACTCGACGATTGAGCTGCAGCAAGGTCTCGATCTGATCGACTACCATCGGCCTCATTCGCAGTCTGCAGCGAGACTGTGGGCGCGCTTCTACCGGCCGAGGCAACAGCTCATTCGGCTAGGCATCTTACCAAGCACTTCTGCAGCAAGATATCAACAAGATCAGCATCTCCGCCAAACACCAACAAGAGCAGGTCTAAACGAAACGCCGGAGCAGGAAGAGCAGTACGCAGAGGGCATAGTCGCCGACGGAAACACTGAACTAGGCGGAGCAGGAAATCTTACTCCCCAATTGGACGCTTCTGTTCCCATTGGTTTTGATCCAGCAAACTTTGATCACGAAAATGGTCTCTTATGGTTGGATTGGTTTGATGGGGCGTTCATGGATTCCTCTGTGCCGTTTGGCATGCCAGGATGGATGTGATGGACTGGGGACAGAATCCGGCCACCTAGTGTATCATGCGGTCTAGTAGGGTGTACATCGCCCGCACGTCTGACTCGATCACCCACTCGCAGCCTTACTCGGCTTCGCATCGTTCCATACGGCGTAAGCACCGAGACAATTCCCGCGCAGCAAGCCTAGACCTGGTGGCCACCTCAACAACCAGCTTATCCTGGTAAAACAATTGGCTCAAGTTGCATGTTCGGGACCGGCTATCTCAGAGGCATTGTGTCCACCGGTCACCTGCTCTATTATCCACCGGGTCCGGGATCATCCTGTTCCAACCAACTTCTTGCTTGGCTTTTTCAGATGCACAAGTCTTCCCCCATCTCGAAGAATGATCCTTATTCATATGGCTCCCGCCCAGCAGGCTGACGAACGAGGTAGGGGGCCCACACTAGCAATGAAGATGTCTGCTCAATATCCAAGATCCAACAAGGAACTCGACTTGCTTCCCAAGAGCACACGGCCGTTGGACCTGCACCGCAGACTTGAGGCAGCCATGGTGTGGACCTAGAAAAAGATAGGCTCGACGCTAACTCCTCGTGCTAAAGCAGCGTGGGGCCCCTCATTATCAGGCTTTCTCCTCCTCGCTTCCCAACCCATCTGGCAGCAGTCCATCTCGCAGCCCACACGTGGCGGTGGACAGTATTTCCTTCACGTACTGATGACATTGGCTAGATAGCACTGCCAGCAGTTCGTCTACATGTCGCTTCTCAGCGGGAATGCCGTGGACTGCGACCAACCTTACTCCTTGGTTCAGCTCGAGGTCGCAGGGCCTGGATCCGGGGCGGTGGTGCTATGCTCGCAGTTGGGCCGAAGCGTTCCAGGCTCCAGACCAATCTCACCGCCAATGATCGGCCGTCCCTGCTTCCTTCCGACGGAGTTAGGAACAAAAGAACCACCTTTCCCCAGTGCTGATAACAACTAGCCCATTAGAAATACATGGGGAAAGCATGGCATTTTCCTCCCACCGTCAGCTGTTGGAGCGAACGGAGCCGTAGCCTGCCGTCACCGACGCCTCACGGGCTTACAGGATACGTCGACAAGGTCATCGCTGGCCGCTGTCCCCGCCATCAACCCGCATTTCCCCAACTTCTTTCCCCTGACTGACCCACCCGCGCAAAACATTCCACCGGGACCCGCGCGGCATCCACAAATCATGGTCCATCTCGCGGTATACTTCGGTGTTGATATCAGCGAACAGCCTGATGACCGCGCATAGGCGATGGTCCGGCAGTTGGAGAACAGATGGCGACAGGAGCATTCCCTGCGACCTTGCCAGGTCCTTGACTGACCATTTAAGAGATGTGACCCTCCTTTCCACAGCTGTCCCGGTCTCTCTGAGCTCTTGCGAGGTGTTTCACTGCAGTCATACCGCTGTCCTTGCAAACAGACCCCAGTCGAGCTTCGAAGCACTCCACGTTACCGTACCACAGCTTTCTCACCGATAGCTAAGCTGCTTTCCCTCGAAATGGACGAAAAAGTGGCGAGAACGGACCAAAGGGATATAGCCTATGACAGCGACCCTAAGAGACACGCTGTCGAAGAAATCGAGGGTGTCAACGGTCTGAAGACGGTCGAGGCGGGCTTCTCACCTGATCAAGTGCTTGTTGAGGTTGACCACAAAGAACGGACGCGGATTCTCAGAAAGGTCGACTACCGGTTGATCCCCATCCTTGCCATCCTCTACCTGTGAGTGCATAGTGGGAAGAACTTGGCATTTGTTCGTCCGCTGACCGCCCTATCAGATTGGCATTCATCGATCGTGGGAATATCGGAAATGCTAAAATTGCCGGTCTCTACGACGACCTCCATCTCCATGGGATGCAATACAACACCGCCTTGACTTTGTTCTTCGTGCCTTATGGCTTCTTTGAGGTGCCCTCCAACATTGTGCTTAAGATACTACGGCCGTCGATATGGATTTCCGTCTTGATGTTCTGTTGGGGTAAGATGTTCTGCCATGACATGTGATCCCTCCAGCGACTAACTTGCCCAGGCACCGTCATGACTCTTATGGGCGTGGTTTCTTCCTACGAGGGGCTTTTAGTGACACGATTCTTCCTCGGCGTGGCCGAGTCGGGCTTTTTCCCAGCAGCGACATACCTGCTCACGATCTGGTAAGCGGTCTCATCTCCACACCAAGAGAACTTTCGGAAAGAACAGATTCTGACCTTTCCAGGTACCTGCGATATGAGGTACAACGCCGGATGGCTCTCTTCTACGCTGCTGCCTCGCTGTCCGGGGCGTTCTCTGGGTTGTTGGCCTACGGAATCCAGCACATGGACGGCGTCGCAGGGCTTGCGGGCTGGAAATGGATCTTCATTCTGGAAGGTTTGATTCCTGTGGCCGGGTCCTTGTTCGTCTGGTTCGTGCTTCCAGACAACCCGGAGACCGCCAAATTCCTCACCAAGGACGAGAAAGAGTTCATCATCAACCGACTGGCTCTCGAGACGGGCTCTGGCCATGGTCGGGTGACGAATGCCGACCGCATTCGAATGCACCACATCATTGCAGCTTTCAAAGAATGGAAGATCTGGGCTGGTGTCGTCATATTCTGGGCCAACACGGTAGGTTACTGCTTGTCGGAAGCCGAGTCTCACGAGTCTTATTCCTGCACGATGTATACTAATCCCGAATTCTGCAGATCGGTGTCTATGGCTTCACCGCCACAGTCCCATCCGTGATTGAACAGCTCGGATACACCTCAGCCAACGCACAATTGATGACGATCCCGGTAGGTTTTTCTCGATCAAGACTTCTGGCGTCATATTTTTCTCTCGATGTTGTTGAGATCTGACTGGAGATTCACAGATCTACGTTTTCGCCATGATCATGACGCTTATATTCGCTTTCTGGTCGGACAAAGTCCAGCAACGAACACCGTTCATCATGGCCGGATTCAGCATTGCGGCAATTGGCTTCATCGGCGAGCTTGCAATCCCTCACCCCCGACTCCCGGGTGTGACGTATTTCTTCCTCTTCCCGCTGGCGGCTGGCCTGTATTGCCCGTTCATTTGTCTGGTGTGCTTGATCGGGAACAACCTTGCGCCCAGCTCTAAACGCGCAGTCGGCATGGCCCTGCTTATCTCTATGGTGAGTGGTCTCGGGCCTCTTGCTCTTCCTTCGATGGCGCTAACCAAGATCGTAGGGTAACTTTGGAGGCATTGCCGGAAGTAACATCTATATCGCATCCCAGGCCCCGAAATATCCGACTGGGTTCGGGACTGGGTTGGGAATCTGCGTAGCCGCGGTCATCATGGCGTACGTGCTGCGTGTTGCGTATAGACGTGAAAACGCAAGGCGGGATGCCTTTATGGCGGGCAAGACCGACGAGGAGATCAAGGCGCAGTACACGGAGCAGGAACTGCTGGATCTGGGAGACCGCAGCCCGTTCTACCGCTACACAGTGTGAACAGATTGGTCACGGGTGAGACGACGTAAGCGCAGCGGTTGTTGTGGCCGGCTTGGGGAAGGAGTTGGCACCAGCAAGAGAGTTGTGAGCTGAGACCATCTCCAGAGACAGTACAGTTACATATTCAATTAGTATGTTTACTTTTGAGCCCTGTGGTTCTTGTGACCTGGTGTTATAGACCTTTTCCTTTTCTTTCCTTTCCTCCTCTCCTCTCCGATGTAGAAGAGCAATTATGCTCGAGGAATCGAATCTTGGGCTAGCGGGCTAGGCTACCGCCGGCTTCTTTATACGGAGTACAGGCATCTATGTAGTACTCGGTACCACTAGCAGCTATTTGCAGTACATCGGGTGCCAGACACAAGTAAGTACCGGAGTAAGTACAGAGCAACCAGGTCGGTAAGTGCCCAGCCAATCACACGCCCGAATTCCACCACGTGTGCGCAGCGAGACACTTCATTGGCCAGCAATCCGCCACTATGATTGGCTCTTGGTCTTGCTCAAAATGCATACCAAGGCAAAGGGGACAGGGGGGGAGACAGGATAACAGCGAGCGATATCCCAGAAACGGCAATGCTGTCGCGTGAGCCTCAGAGCTCGAGACACATCGCGGTGCGCCACGAGGGAAAGGGGGAGGACGTGTATGTTGTATGTGAAATGCTTACTCTAGGCAGCACAGACGAAGGACGTCGAGACAGAGTTTCATTTAGCTGCACCCGGAAACGGATGGGATCGGCGAGGGGTTAAAGCAGCAATGGAATCATCGATTTTATGGAGTTGGCTTTCCCCCCTTTTGAGAAATTCGAGTTGGCCTCAGCTATTAGTTATTGAGGTAACATATTTCCTAACTGGCCTGAGTTGAGTTGAACGAAGAAGCACAGCACAGCACAGCAAAGCGACATACTTCCCGCCAAGATCTCAAAACACCCACAGAGCTCCAACCAGAAGAAGGAGACGGAGCAAGAGAAGGAGAAAAGGGGGACTGGGTAAAAAGAGGAAGAGATGCGTCCGTCACGCGCGCTGCTGCTACCGCTGCGGCGCCAGTCCGGCATCCAGCTCACGCTCTTCACGCGCGCCAACTGCGGACTGTGCGACGTGGCCAAGGCGCGCATCGGCGAGTTCATGGCCAATTCCAAATCCAACTCCACCAAGGACATCAGCAACAACACCACCACCGCCACCGACAAACAGCAGCAGCAGCAGCTCGACACGCGGCGGATCATCCACTACGCCGAAATCGACATCATGGACCCGGCCCAGGCTAAGTGGCGGGACGTCTACGAGTTTGATGTGCCCGTGCTGCACGTCGACAGGAGGGTGTCGAGAGTCAAGGGTCAGCACGACGGGGTCGATGGTGACAATCACGACCACGACCACGCTCCAACCCCGACCACGCTCGATGCCGCGAAGAAGCTCATGCACAGATTTACGGCGCAGGAAGTGGAGAATGCGGTTGAGGAGGTTGAGCGGCGAGACTCGCCTCGTGAATTGTTCATCCGCTGCGGCCTATTCTTTTGGATTGGGACTGGTCCTATCGCTGGCTTTTTTCCCTTCCTTTTCACTTCTTGTCTTGCGTCACCAGGTTCACCGCCCCGTACGCGGCGCCTTTCACTGCCTGGGCGGCGGCATGGCCGTAGGACCCCTTGGCCTTGGATAAGGACTCTGCCATGAAGACCGGGACCGCCGTCATATCGTTGACGACAGAGATCTGCAACACAGCAATGAGTCAGCATTTCATGGGGAGAAAGAGGAGTCTGGTGGCGGACCATCTGGAATCCCATGTCGGCATATTGTCGTGCCACCTCACCCGACGGGCAGTATATGCCTGACTTCTTCCCGGCGTCTTGTGCGGCCTTCAATATCCTCGCAATGGCCTCCTTCAGCTCGGGGCTAAAGTCACCTTTGACGGGGTAGCCGATGTTGTTGCCTAAATCCCAGGGTCCGATGAACAGCACATCGATGCCATCCACCTTGGCGATTTCCTCGACCTAGTCAGCCCCACCGAATGTCAGCCCTCTTCCTCGCATTCTCGACGTGGTCCAGCAACGACAGCAGCAACTGTATCGGAAAAAGATCACGGGGTACGCACACAGTCCAAGGCCTCCTTGGTCTCGATCTGCACAATGGTCAAGAGATTCTCATTGGCGTTGTTCATGTAGTCGAAGCCCGACAGCTCGCCTTTGCCGTCAAAGGCGCCCATGGAAAAGGGGCTGCCGAAGCCACGCTTGCCGTAGGGGGGAAATTTGGCCGTTTGCACCAGTCGCCTGGCATCGTCGGCACTGTACAGGAGCGGCACGATGATGCCGTGAGCACCAGCGTCCAGCGCCCGCTTGACCATCCATCCTTCGTTGGCGGGGATGCGCACGATGGGGCTCACGTTGCACGAGGCGACCGCGTGTACGGACTCGTGCATCTCGTTGTCTGACCGTGCCGTTGTGGTTGTTTGTTAGCCTCCTGTCTTCATCCTCAAGCAAGAATTTGTTCCCCAACCAGCCAACCAGGCCGCCCAGAGTTGTTTCCACGTCATGTAGCCGTGGTAGCAGCAGCCGTGATAGTAGTGGCCCACCATTTTCTCTCTCTCTCACTCACCTGCAATGTTGCCATGCTCGCAGTCAATGCAGATCCAATCAAAGCCCGCGCGGGCGATGGTCCGCGACAGGTGCGTGCCGGGGAGCATCTGCCACGCGCCGAACGAGAGGCCGGAGCCGGTGTGGAGGGCCGTGCGCAGTGTGTTTGCATTCTTCATGATGGTCGCCATGTTGGGGGGATTCGGGGGTCAGGGGAGAGATGGCCGGTCGGTAGGGAGGAGCACGGGTTGAGGCGAGACGAGACGAGGGAGATGGGGGGGTGGAAGTTTGAGGAGGAGTTTTGAGGACAAGGAGGAGGAAATGATGGAAGAGCACACCAAGCTTCCTTCCTGTCAAGGGGATATATGTATGTACGCAAATGAACAGGGATATGTATGACAAGACGAGCAAAAAAAAAAAGGATTTCAATCTCGCATCTCTCTTGCGGACTTCATCTCCAACGTCTTCTTGTTCTTACTGCAGCCTCAATGCCCGCCAGCCAGCGTGTGTCGCCGTTGTCGGCGCTCCCCACTTCCCTCATCAATTGCCTACACAGTAATAATATGAAGGGCCGAGGTGGGGGGAGACCGCGCGGGGGTTGTTGTCCTTCGGCGGGAGTTGCACCGAGGAGGCCAGAGCTCTAGCTTTACTTATAAGCATACTCGGTACATAGGCCTAATGGGCTCATGCCAAGCAACCCTCGACGCCCAGCTTGCAGGCGCCTTAGCTACCTACAGTAGATAGGCCGCCTGGCACCTAGGCTGCCTAGGCTAGGTGAGGTCCTTGGGGAATAAAATAAAATATAATACTAGTTACTCGGTACTGCCGTAATTGACCATACGCATCACCCGACGGGACAGGCATCGGAACTTCCGCCACTCTGTGGCCAGTACATACATACATACCGAGTACATACACCTCTCACCCATCTTCTTCTTGTAGTGCTTACTCCATCCTCATACTCATACTCATACTCTGGTACTGTGCTCATGTCTTCACAGAACGGGAACTATTCCAATTTTTTTGCCATAATATTTGTCCTTCCTTTATCTACAAGTATCAGTAGGTAGCGTAAGCCTAACTTCCCCCCAAAACACACACACACATGGCTACAGCTACAGCTACAGCTTACTGCTGCCGCTCGGCCGCTCCAAGGCCTGCGTCGCGTTCCGGTAGTTCTTGACCAGCTGGCGGATGGCCAGGTCCAGCATGACATCCTCGCTGCCGCCCGGGATCCGGGCACCGGGCACCTCGCGGTAGATGCGCTCGGCGATCTCGCCCTGGCCCGTGCGCGTGTAGCCGTTGCCGCCGAACAGCAGCACCGCCGTCTGCGCGCACTCGTTGAAGACCATGCCGGCCTTGGCCTTGGCCAGCGCCGTCAGCCCGCCGAGCTTCGCGTCGGCCTCGGCCTTGCTGAGCTTCGTCATCTGGTACAGGAACTGCTCGACCCACGCCTGCATCGTCTCCAGCTCGGCGCCCGCCTTGGCTAGCCGGTGCCGCACGACCGGCTGTTCGATCAGTGCCTTGCCAAAGGCCTCGCGCTTCATGACGTACTCAAACGCCGCCGCCAGCGCCACGCGCGATTGTCTCGTCACGCCCACCGCGATGGTCAGCCGCTCGTGGTTGAAGTTGGTCATGACGTAGCGCATGCCCAGGCCCTCCTCGCCGATGAGGTTTTCCACGGGAACCTTGACGTCGTCCAGCTCGATGAAAGTGGTGCCGGCACTGATCTGGCCGGCCACCTTGAGTCGGCGCATCGTCACACCCGGGTAGCCTTTCAGCGGGCACACGATCATGCTCAGGCCCGAGGCGCCGGGACCACCGGTGCGGACGGCCATGGCGGCGTAGTCGGACCAGAAGGCGTTCGTGATCCATTTCTATATTCTTCCATTAGCTGCCACCCACGCACTTCCCTTCTCCAACCACGGAACGTTGGGGACACACTCACCTTCTGTCCGTTGATAATGTAATGCTTTCCGTCCGCGCTCTTCTTGGCCGTGGTCGCGATGTTGGCCACGTCACTTCCGGCGCCAGGCTCGGTGATGGCTATACAGGCTCGTTTCTTGCCCGGGAGCAGATCGAGGAGGAACTTCTCGTGCAGGGCCCTGCTGCCGAACTTGATGATGGCCGGGATCCAAAAGGCATCCCCCGCCGTCATCGAGGCGCCGGGACCGCCGACACCAGCGCGGCCCATCTCGTCCAGGTAGATGCCCGTGTGCAGGTAGTCCCACTCTTCAATCGGGGTGCCCAGGATGTCGTAGATGCCGACGCGGTGCAGCCACTCGACGGGCAGGGGCGCAGGCAGGTTGGGGATCAGCATGTTGTGCTTGCGGAACGTCTCAAACAGGTGGTCGGGCACTGTCTCCTCGCGCTCCCACTCCATGGCGAAGGGCAGCAGGTGCTCCTCCAGGAACGCCCGACACGCCTTCTGGAACTTCTTGTGCGTCTCCTGGTAGTAGGGCGAGGGCAGGCCCGCGAGCCAGGGCGGCTCGGAGAAAGGGATGATGTTCTTCGAGGTCGACATTGTTTCTGTTTTGTTTTTGTTTTTGTTTTTTTCTCTTGATGTCAGGAAGCAAAGTAGGGAGGACGGATGTAAGTAAGCCTGTAATGGTGTGGAGGGGGTTTCGATAATAACAATAAATGGAGCAATCAGCAAAGAACCTCGAGACTCAAAGGGGACATTGTGTGGTCAGAAAGCAATTTCCTCCCTGGACTTTTATTGCATTTGTCCATCTGGCGCCGCGTCGGCATCGAGGTACATGACACTGGTGAAGCTGACCGACTCCAGCCGACAGATGCCTCGGAAGTTTTGAAAGAGGTTTAATGGGGAAGGCGGGCGACGAGAGCTAAGAATAATAGGCGTGGTGACCGTGGTCCGCTCCCCGCAATTGTCTTATCAGTATGCATTATATTGACGGCCACGTGATGAAGCTGCGAGTCATCGCCCTATTCTCCTACCATGCAGGACCGGGAGAGAAGGGTGCCGATTGATTGAGATGGTTGGGGATGTTGGAAATGTCTTGCAATACTCTAACGCCTGTCTGACTGACCGGCCCACCAATGACCACACACATCCAAACGCCTTTACTAGTACACACCTCTGTTCTCACTCCAAGAACGTTCAATGTCCTCCCCATCCAGCTAATACCGGGGATAAGGAGGAGCATCGACACCCACAACCTCCCTGTTCATTCTCCTCGCCGTCGTCTTCATGGTAAAGGCAAAGTAGATGGCCTTCACAATCTCCCGAAGATCCGGGACCGTGGCCCATGCCTTGACACCCAGGGCACCACCGTAGTATTGGCCGCCCGTCTCGTGTGCCATGTGTCGGTGCTGGTTGAACGAGTCCGGACTGCTGTTTCTCCCGGTCAAGCCCTCCTGTGAGGACCGGGACTCGTCGACATACTGTGGCGGGATCTCCGACAGCGGCAGCATTCGGGGTTTCGTGATGTCGTACGGGGACACGTTGTAGGAGTAGTGGAAGAAAATGGCAAACGGCACCATCAGGACGCACGTGGTCATGGTGTCGAGGCCAAAGTTGACGTCGGCGTAGGTCATGGTGGAGCTCTCTTTCAGGGCGCCGGTGGAGCGCAGAATGGTGAAAATTATCTAGTGGGTGTGAGAAAAAGGATTGGCCACCGGGACATGGTACGTACGTCTTGAATGAATGACAAGCCGATGATGAGCTTGAAGGACAGAAACTTGGCCAGCGGCTTGTGGTGCTTCATGTCCTTTTTCAGCGCGTTGTAGAACCGGATGCACGCTGCCACGGCAAAAAAGATGGAGATGTTGTGGACCACCGTAAGCTGCCCACACAGCAGAGTTAGACCTGACGGGCATTTCAATGCGAGGGGCTAGGTGGAGAGGTGCTTACCCAGATGTGGGAGAAGTGGAGGTTGCTGCTCTCCAGGCAATACTTGTTGAAAGCTTGAGTGATATCGGTCACGATCGCAATCAACAGGGACACAACAACGTATTGAAACACAGAGGCCCAGTTTTTCTGCACACAGATGTCGGTCAGCGTCTGGGATGCGGCTGGGGATCTCAGCATGGCCTTCTTACCCTGTACCATTCCAGTCCATTGCGTTGGGACTTGCCCCCCTTCTCCTTCGCTCTGCGCGACTGTGGAACTTCAAACGCGGCAAAAAAGACATCACGAAAGTCCGGACTTGGCGAGACGAACTCGCAGAGCAAGAGGAAGAAACTGCCCAGAGCAATGGCTTCCCATAGATCCCGCCAAGGGTCGAGGTACGGGTATGCATTCGGAAAGGCGATCCCCAGGAGCGACAGGAGGCTGTAGAATGGAAGGAGGAAGCAGATCTTCAGGATCCTGTGAGGGAAAGCATGCATCAGTCTCTGTCTTCCTGTCCGCTAGAAAAGCGAGCGGAATTCCACTCACTTGCTCTGTTCATTGGGCTTGCTGAAATGCGTTGCGTGCCTCGCCATGAGGATGAAGGTGGACAAGCACACGAACGCTGTGCAACCGCCGGAGAGACACAGATTGAATTCTCGAAACGAGAGGTTCCCGATGAAAGGCTCTGGAGCATCTAGATGGCATTGTTAGTGGAGGGCGGCTCCCTGGTTCTCCTCGCCTTCAACGTACCGGCTTGTAGAGGGTTGGGCATGCTACACACGTGGGAATCTCCATCGTCGTTGCTGACTAACCCCATGTTTGCGGATGTTTCGTAGAGATTGATGCTTTGTTACCGTCCTTGCTGACAGTTTAAAGGAATAGATGCTGGAATAGATGTTGGTGAGAGGAAACAAAGGCAACAGGAAGGCCATGTCGGCTTTATATCGTCCATTGAAGTTGATCATCCTGCCAAAGTCCACCAAAAGGCTTCAGGCCCATGTCTTGAGAATTTGAGGCCCTCCATCACACCTCTTTCAGGCAAGTGTACGAAGTTGCCATGATCGCAGTCGTGAGCCCTTTTCCCCTTGACAGGGGGCTTGTCTATCTTGGCGATCTCATATGCGAAGGCCGAATCACATCGCTTTGAAGACTGCACTATGACATAGTCGAGGCAATGCGCGTCGCGAGCCCTCAGTAGGGACAGGCAGCCATGATCGCAGCGATCGTCGCCCTATCAAAAAGCCACTAGGCATTTGGGCCCGCGGACTTCAGCCTTGTGGCGCAGCTCGAAAAGATTACCGTAAAAGGCGAAGCGCGGATAGAGACGTTCCACCGCATCGTCTCGCGCTTCTCACTCAATCGGTGTCTCCGGAAAAGTACGACCCACGGGCCCTTGATAATAAGTGGAAAATGATCAACTGGCTGAGGACATCACACCGTTTACCCCGTACCCAGCCTTCTTTCCCCCTTGGGCGAGGTCATGGCCAGCGAAATGTTTCGACCTCTACCATTTTCCGGCGTGCATTGGGGATAAAATCCAAGTCGGGTTAAGAGCGCGACCCTAACTACCTTCTTGGCTGCTAACCTCAGAATACGAGCTTCGTCATGGCACTTCCAAGTCAAGGCTGACTCGGCCGTGTCTGCGCCCCTGAAGCGTACACTTCGAGTGCATTTCGCGAAGAGGAAATGAATAAATGGCGTCCCGGGCCAGCTCAAATTGAGCAGACTGTAGTCAGAAATCTTTTCGAAGTATAAAGACCAAGTACACCTTTGGTCTTGGACCCAGTCTCAGCATGCCCAACGTAGGGAGACCAAGTCGTGATTGCCATCTGTGCAGACAGCGGCGGGTGAAAGTGAGTATTGCTTCGAAGGATACATGGCTGTACCTGCAGTAACAAGTCAACCCCAGTGCGATTTGGCCCAACCGGAATGCAATAGATGCATGCGCTTGGGGAGGACCTGCCCAGGATATCGGGACGAGCTTGACCTTATGTTCCGCGTCGAGAGCCCTACTTCGTTCGCCCAGGGTGTGAACCGAGACCACCGACGCAAACGGACTAGTCCACCATGCCAGGCTCGTTCCCGACGACCATCCTCGCAGCGTGCAGCATGTGAGGAGTCCGGCAACTGGCCCGGAAAGGACGGTCAGCTCGATCCAGGTGATCCCAGCAACCCGTGCGATCGCACCTGGAAGCTAACTCGGGCAGATGTTGTGGTTTTCTCCGGCTGGTACCTATCTCCCTCGCGGCAGTTGGCAGAATGCTGGGACAACCATGCTTTTACCTTGGCATTCAGCAATATCATTTGTCCTCAGAAACACAAAGGCACGCTGGGATTGCTCGACACCAGTTTCCTGGCTATCATGATATCAGAAGCAGGCCGGGACGCGCCCGTTGTGCTAGCCTGCCGAGCCATTGGGCATGCATTTCTCACGAGCAACGTGGACACGCCCGAAACGCGATCCAAGCGAGCGACAACATACGGGCAAGCCCTTGAAGCGACCAATCTGGCTCTAGAGGATCCCATCGCGCAGACCCAAGACGAAACTCTCGCGTCCGTGTGGCTGTTGAGTCTCTATGAGGTAAGACCAAGATTAGGTGCTGAAAGACTATCGCTGACCACACCACGCCAGCTCGTTGTATCACCGGGCAAAGAGCACCAGCCTCTCGACTTCTCACCGAATACTTTTGGGATCGGTTCTTGGATTGTGCATACTCAAGGACTGGTCAGCTTGCTGCGGCTGCGCGGCACTTCACATTTCAAGACGCCTATTGCGCGGGATCTGTTCTGGCTGATCTATAATTCAGTGGTGGGTGACTGTTCCTGACAGCTTTCCTGCGAATGCACGACGCTCATCGGAATTTTAGATAGTTAGATGCTTCATCACGAACATGGCCAGCCCTTCCGAATCTCCGAGCTGGTTTCGGGAATTGGAAAAGAATCTGACTGAAGACGAGCTGCTCACTTATCAGCTCTGCGTATATGGCCATCATGCGTCCACTCTCTGTGCGACGATTCGACAAATCATGAATCAATGGACAAGCAGTGAACCCGGTGCCGCAACAGAAACAGTCGCCCGGGCGGAGGTCTTCCAGAAGAGAATGCAGCACTTGTGGCATGTCAACCCCGACAGCCCCGGCATTGAGACTGTTCCTATCTCTGACTTGAGCATTCGGCAACTATGCTGCCGTACATATCTTCATGCCTTTCGACTGAAGCTCGAATTGACTCTGTTGCAGCTTTTGAGCAAAATGCAAACAGAGAGATGTGATGCAAATACAGGTACATTGCAGGATGAATGTCAGGTTCGAGTTGAGACCATCCAGAGCGTGGCCGATGAAATTCTGGCGTGTGTTCCTCTGATCCTGTCAACGAAGGCTGCCTTGGGGGGGCCCCAGAGACTGACACCAAGGCTGTGGAGGGATGGAGTCCGCTTGCTCTGGCCATTGAGGCTTGTGGCACTTTGGGATGCGACCAGGGACGATCAGAAAAGGGCTGCAAAGATCACACTTCAACAAATCAGGGACGAGGTGGGAATCAACCCAGCAGGAGCATTTCCCCAGTCTTTCTTCCTGGATTTTGCAGCATAACCAGACTCAAGCCTGGTGGTTTAGCGAACATATTCAGAGCGGGTTGCATGATTGCCCACCATTTCGACACTGCTGCAGGGATCTTCAAGCACGTAAAGGTCCAAGTGACGCAGGTTCTCTGAGTGCCATGCCGCGGTGTGGATACCCGTTCAGGCGTGACAAGCATCAGCCACAGCGGCTGTTGGACTAGCGGACCTCGAGAATAGACCCTAAAAAGGGAATGGACACGAACCAATCATTGCGCAAGGAGAATAGAGCATAGCCATCACGACATACACACCGATTCTCGACCTTGGGGCCGAGTCCATGCATCAACGCTAGATCATCGGTTGCCAGAGGCCTCCTCGTCGTGCAGCAAGGCCACATTCTTTCACGATGCTCGCCTCCGGATTTGGTCAGGAGCTAGTGGCATACCCTCCAATGTCGAGGCTTTTGGCTCCGACCCTTGGACCAGGTATTGCTCTTCAACGTCGTTGTCCATTATCAGTATATTGCACATATCAAGCAGCACGCATCTTCATATATTCATCACTGCAACTGGCGCAGTATTCGTCATACCAGCCTTTGAGGTCCCCGCTCACGTCCGTGTTGTTTTGCTCCAGGTCATTCAATACCAGCCCCTCCACGACCTGACATCGTCGATGCTCATCCAGCACCCACTGTTCCCAAGCGGCTTGCATAATTTGTCTCTCGACGCTGTTGACGACGCGCACCGCGACAAGGAGATCATGCCGCTGAGTTCCCAGCCGTTGACGCGTCTGCTGGACTTTCGCGGCTGGAGTCTGCCTCAGCCCGGATTGAAAGTACTCCGGGTCATTTTCATCATAAAAGACGCTATAGCAGGCGCTGGAATCACGCGCCGGCAAATTCGCTTCCCGACTCAGAATGTCGTCCAAGTCACTGATATACACTGCCCGGCTCATGACAGGATTGGGCGAGATGCCTAGTCGTGCCATGAAGTTCGCAGCTCTGCGTTCATGCCACCAGTCAAGCGAGTCTCGATATGTATGCCAACTATTGTACAGAGCCGAGAAAACAAGGGCCACCAATATGAGCTTATTAGCAGACAACGTTTTAGCAAACCACCTCAGGATGCTTAAGAGCGACTGAAGGAGAGTACCCAAGGCACTCTCCGCCGTGGAGGCAGCGCTCTGTGCCAGTAGTCCGGTTATTGTTCTGGAAACTGGCTGTCTCCTCAACTCGATGTTGAGTGCCGATGCGTCCAACAAAAGTTCTGTAGTTTCTGTCACATGGCCAACTTGACCAAAGATCTGAATCGCCTTCTTGGTGCGGCTGTGGAGGCCAAGCTTGCGGACTTGATCCGCCACCAGATCCGCAAGGTCTTGAGAGTCGAGTTCGAGGTCATATAATGCCTGTCGCTCAACTACTCCTCCCAAGAACCAAGCAGCGCGCAGCCACTCTACCTTGATGAAAATTGCGAGCTTGCATTTGGCCTTTGCAACGTGAGTGATGACGATCTTGCTGACGAGACGATAGTTATTTTGGTAGGGGAGATGCCACGGGGTCCGCTTGTCGGTAACAACGTAGCATAAGTGATCACTATTAACATCAATTGTTTGATAGTCATGAACTTGGGCATAGGATTCTTGTCCAAAAAGCGTTTGGACAGGAGTGTCGAAAGTGAATTCTCTTCGAAGCCGGCCTTCGCCGACGCTCAACCACGGCCCTTTGGACACATTCTTTGCGCGTCTTTCATGTTGAAGCAGTTGCCACAAAGCGCTTTTATCCCCGAACATAACATGAAATAACGCCTTGGCGCTGATGTCGAATTCTTTCTCCGCCGCGAGACGGAGATTCCCCGGGGGCGTATAATTGACGGGTTGAGCAGGTAGTTTGAATTTCGACTCTCGCCGTCCCAGCTGCGTCTGATGAAGGGTACGATCAACCCGCAGCGGGCCCCGTAGTTCAGTCCCGATAGTTGATGCTCTGCCTCGATATCGAGGGCCACCAGTGTCGACGGGCGTATTTGGCGACACATCCTCCCAGCTTTCCAGGCTGGGGCTCCTGTCAGGAGCCTCGGTCTCCATCTTGAGCAGAGCCTTCATCACTCCCTCCAATTCGAGGGGTTCGCTGGAAGCATTGTTTCTTATCAAAAAATTCAGGCGCCTTTGCAGTAGTCTCAAAGGTTCCAAAAAGGTTTTGATCGTAATTCGTCGGTTAGTGGTGTCGCTTGCAGTGTCCTTGAGGTGCAAGAAGATAAAGTCACAGTCTCTTCCGGGAGCGGCAGTGGCCTCATCAATTGATCCAAGCGGCACACTCGATGTAAGGACCAAGCCCAGATGGTTGCTGTAAAAGTAGATGTCCCTGGGAGTTACGTACACTCTGCCAGGAAATTCTTGTTGCTCGCTTAGGTTCCAGGTTGCTCTGAAAACCATGACCAGTTTGTCATCGCGTCGAATATTTGGAAACAGAAGTCGGAATTGTGCGTCCTGAGACTTGAGCTGAAGAGGATAATAGTTAGGAAAGTCAGGCACAACAAGCTCATTATTTATTTGCCTGAAGGTGTCACGATCGACGCTTATGGTGCTCCTGTGCTGTTTCTTACTTGGAGACGGCGTCCGGCTTCGAGTACCTGTTTGAGGCACACTCAAATCAAGCTGCGGAATGTTATTTGGCAAGGTAGCAGCTGACCGGGTTGGAGTAGATGACATTTTTGGAGGTGAAAGAGATGGCTGGAGCGTGGGGCTTCGCTGCGCCAGAAGTTTGACTTCTGTCTTCTCATTCGGGTCGGTCCGTTCAAGGCGATTCAAGACAGCCGTGCAGGAAGTCCCCCAGGTGTTGGCCAAAAGACCAGTGGGTAGCCCAGTCCTATCTGGGGCAGGGCTCAAACCACGCTCCCCTGTAATGATGACTGCCGACTTGCTCAGATTGGTTGGGGACGGTACAGAGGCCAAGGTCGAAGGTGCAAGACTGCTGGCAGGCATATCTCGAAGAGCCAAAGTGAATGCACTCCGTGGTTTGGAGAACTCGCCATCGGCGTTTTGGAGCATCGGGATACTGGGAGCAACAGGCATGGAACCATGCGTGGCGGCAATCAAGCTTGCAATGCCACCAGCGAGATTTGGCGTCGATGGGCTGGCAGACACCTGGGTTGGGGCTGGACTCTTCCTATGCAAATCGAGTTTTGAAATGATGCGAGAAGCAGTGTCACGATGCCCGCCATCGTCCAAAGCTGTCGACCGTCTAGGCAAGTCCACACTACTGTCGCGCCCGTGTTCGGTCCCTGGAATTGGCAGGGTATTGGTCTTTTCCAGGGCCGTGATATCCTCTCCAATAGTACCCGGTTCTGTCGACCCAAGGATGAAAGTCCCAAACTCGGGAATTGGTGGCGCACTTATTGCAAAGGCGGCACCGGCTTGAATGTTCCCACTACCGGAAGTGAAACTGCGGAGCCCATCTCCATCATTGACAGCTCTGGACTTAGCAATGTGAAAAGCATCGATCCATTCCACAAGCTCTGACTGCGTTTCTGCCTGGAGGAGGATCGTATTTTTGTTCGTCTTGAGTTCAAAACAAAAGCGACGTTCTTCTGCTGGCGCGGGGCGGACATTGCAGAGTAAAACACCAATTCTCTCACTTTCTTCCACGCCTCCTGCTCTCGTGCCTTGCAGCAGCCAGCCGAAGACTCCGTTGCGAACGAATGCCCATCTCTTCACCCAGACAGTCCGGGTTGGTTTCCCACTGTAGGTCCGAAGGAACAGCCAGCCTTGCTTCTCGCCGGTTTTGGAAGCGGCCTTTTTCGGTGAGCGTTGTAAGGTCGAGGTGCTGGCGCTATGGCCGTGACCAGAGAATTGAGGGACGGTCGACAAGGTATAGTCCTCCAATTCTCGTGAGGGCCGGGTTTCGAGTTCGGCGGCCTCCTCCAGCTGTTTCTTCGCGGCCATGAGCTCCTTGCGAAAGGCCTTTTCGTTAGCCTCCAACTCCGACAGCCAACTCTTGATTCTCTGCATCTCATCGGCGCTCCGTTGGAAGGTCGCGGCCGTGTTGTCGCGCGAGACTCGCATCTCACGCCATTGGTCAAAGAAGATCTTAACCAGGAGCTTATCCAATGCAAAGCGAAACTGCGGAGCCGTGCTGGAGAAGTCCATAATGGCTTTGATGTAGAGTTTGCGGGCCTCATGCAGCTGAAAAGCCTCCTCTCTCAGCGAAGAGGGTTCTTTTGATTTGCCCAGCCCAGCATATTTGCCCTGGAGATGTTCAAAAGTTTTCTGTGTAGCCTCAACCGCTCGACGAGCATCTTTGAAAGGTCGCAGATCGTTCTGGAGGAATTGTCTTATGGGATCAATGACCATAGTAGATAATCTCTTGACCACTGCTATCATGCTCATCCAATAGTCTTTGGCGCCATCAGCAAACTTCTTCATTGCCAGAACACTGTAGTCATGATCCAGCATGGACTCGGAGACGTTGGTGGGGAGGACGGCGTGGGCAATAAAGTTGTTGAGGACATTCTCGAGAGTCAAGGATTCTGAAACGAGTCTGTTGGCAGCTTTGGCATAGTCGTCGAGCCATTTCTCCAGCAGGTCGACTTGCTCTCCGTAGTGGATAACGGAGGCGCGGGCGGTCGGCGAGTCGATCGCGGCTTCTTTTAGGGCGACAGGAATCAGATTGATAAGTCTCCCGACGTTGTCAACAGGTTGCGAGGCTTGCGCCATTGTGAAAGTGCGAACAGAGCTCGACAGAATTTATTACGGTCGAATCAGGCGTTGAGCTGCATCTCTACAGCAGTGCTCCTAAACGAGAGCATCCAACGAGCAGATTCCAAGGTAAAAGCAATGAGATAGAGCAGGTTGGTTGGGAGGATAGAGCGATGAGCAATGGATAGAGAAATATGGAGGAGTACGCGGTAAGTCATCGATACAATCCGCGTCTCCAACCGATGCGACAAAGTCGCGAGGTAATACGTAGTAACTACGCATGACTCGGAGTCGGAAATTCCCAGGTTTGGGGTTAGCCTCCGACCGACACCAACGGCTGCGGAGAGTGAGCATCATCCAACACATCCTGGGCATTCAGCACATCCTGTGGCCTACTGTGATGCTCGCTTTCTCTGCAGGTGCCATTGCGGCAATGTACCCTAGGCTGGTGAGCTGGAATACCCTGCATGTCGAGGTGTTCGCAACCCCGCCAGCATTGCCCGCCATCCTTCCCCTAATCCTCCGCCTGGGTGCCGCCTGTCTTCCTGACAGCGGCGGATACCATGGGCAGCATCTTATTTCCCAGCCCGTGGTCAGTGGTGGGCTTTGAAAGGAAAGGAAATGTACTCGGGTTGTTGATATGATATCTCTATCCTCTCGGGCGGGTAGCGATATTATCTTGCTAAATCGGAGCTGGAAGCGGATGATAGTTTGCGAGACAACGATGTTACTTTTCCTAATAGAGCACAACGGCCTCATGAATGGATCGAGGACAGGCTAAGGGACTCTTGGACACAGTCATCCCCATTCCCACAACAGGCACCAGACAGGCAGACAGCTCGAAGCATGACCTAATGCTCAAATACATCTCACGAAGCAGGCTGCAGACAGAGAGCATGGCTTCAGTCAACACGACATTTCATTCCCCCATGCAATAGATTAACGATGCAAGTAGAAACTGGCAGTGCGGCTTTCAGTCTCTGCATGATCCAGTGTAATTGTGGATCAAGTGACAAGATTCGTCGATGAAGAAGACTTTGGGAGCGCGAGCTCAAGAGTCACTTGCTTGGGCGCACAGAATAGCCAAGGTTGATGCGGAGATTCACGCCAAGCCTTCGTTGCGGCTCTGGTGGGCATGCGGAGAAATTTTCGAGATTCTCAAGGTGAACCCGCCAGAATCAACCACTACATCAAAACAATTCCCACTCTTTCGAACCATATTTTCCTTCCCGGACCATGGCTCGCGAACTACTCAGTAGCGACTCGTCTGACAGCGAAGATGGAGGCACCAATGTCCCACCCGGCGGCGAGCTCAAGGTCAATGAGGCCTATGCACGCCGCTTCGAACATAACAAGAAGCGAGAGGAACTGCAGAGATGTACAGAGACCTTGTCCGCCTTACTGATGGGAACGTGTTTGAACTGATTGTTCTCAACAGTAGAGGAAAAACTCGGCAAATCTTCCACTTCCCGAAAACGTAAACGCGGCGACAACGAATCTCTCAATGGTGACGACGACAGTTCTGCGTCCGATGATGACTCGACCAGCGAATCCGAAGATGAGGGGGAGTTGGTGACCGAAGCCCTTGACTCAGAGATCATGGCCACCCTCAACGCAATCCGATCGAAAGACCCTCGCGTTTACGACAAGTCTGCCACGTTCTATACCAACGAAGAAAACGAGGGAGAGGCAACCACGAAGTCAAAGAAGGAGAAACCAATGCACCTGCAAGACTACCATAGGCAAAATCTTCTGAAGGGTGATGCGGGCTCGGAAGAGGAAGATGTCGTGCCTTTGACGTACAATCAGGAGCAAGAGAAGCTGAAGAAATCCATCGTTGGCGAGATCAACGCAGCCGCGGAGGACGAGGACGATGATAAATTCCTCATCGCGAAGAAAAAGGAGAAGTCGGTCAAGCCCGACGTGGTTCTGGACGTTGAGACCGCAGACAAAGACCCCGAAACTTTCTTGTCAAACTTCATGGCATCCCGGTCTTGGGCGGCTCCAGATCCTGCTACTCTGCACCCTTTTGAGTCGGACGACGACGACGAGGACAGAAGAGCTGATGAGTTTGAAGAAGCATACAACCTGCGATTTGAGGACCCTGAAAAGTCAAACGAGACACTACGCTCACATGCGAGAGACTTGGCTGCCAAATATTCTGTCCGGAGACAGGAGGCAAATCCCCGACAAAAGAAGAGAGAAGCCGAGAAGGCGAAGAAAGAAGCTGAAAAGCAGCAGCGAAGAGAAGAGAAAGCCCGTCTCCGCAAGTTAAAGATCGAGGAGCTCGAGGAGAAGGTGCGCAGAATCAAACGGGCCGCCGGTATCAAAACCCAGGACATGCGGCCCGAGGATTGGTCACATCTGGTTGACGACGATTGGGACGACGCCAAATGGGAGGAGGAAATGCGCAAGCGTTTCGGCGACGATTACTACGCTGAGGAAGACCTTTCAAGCGAGCACGAGACGGAGGGGAAAAGACGGAAACCTCGCAAGCCCAAATTTGACGATGATATTGATATCAAGGACATAGTGCCTGATTTCGAGGAAGATGAGAAGGCTGACTTCAGTCTGACTGACGAAGAAGCTCCTCCGAAGAAAACGAAGAAAGCCAAGAAGTCTGCTGAGGAGGACAAGCGGAACACAAAGAAAGAACGACGGATCATTGAACAACTGGTGGCCGACCAACTACAACTGGAGCTGGAGGCATCTCTGCCCAACAAGAAAACTGGTGGCTTCACATACCGTGAGACATCGCCCAAGAGCTTTGGCCTGACTGCAAGAGACATCCTCCTGGCCGACGACAAGCAACTGAATGAATATGTGGGATTGAAGAAACTTGCATCATTCCGCGACCCAGAGAAGAAGCGCAAGGACATGAAGAACCTGGGGAAGAAAGCGCGACTGAGGAAGTGGCGGTTGGAGACCTTTGGCGATGAGGAAGGACTGCAAGCCAGCAATCTGATTCCTGCTCAGACTGAGGTCGGGGACGACAGGGCTGAAGGAGATGAAGTTGATGTAGATATCAGAACAGAGGGAACGAAGAAAAAGAAGAGGAGGAGAAACAAGAAGTCGAAGACAGAGGTCGATGCTGGTCTCTGAAGAAATATTGTGGAGATGTTATGGAGACTTGAGTGCCCCTGGACCTCGGGAAGAAAAAGGGGAACAAACTTAGGCCAGGGCGAGAGGGATCCTACGTGCCTACTCAGCCTTGCCACCATTTCTTGCAATGGATGTCGATCAGCTTCACATGTTCGTGGTTGTATCCCTCATCTTTCGGCCAACGAATTCCGGTATGCCGTTACCCGCGAGGCTCCGTCTTCAAAATCAATCTCTCCAAGGTAGAGAACTTCGTCTTCAGACAGAGAGGTATTATAAAACGGAAGCTCTTATTCGTGACCAGGAGCCTCATGTGGCCAAGTTAAGGTTCCCCGAAGATCTCTGGAGAAGCTGTGGATCGTTGAAGGAACGAGACTGCTCACCGGCAAAATGGGCGGAAGAATGGGCATATGTGAGAAAATTGTTTAGGCGGCCGAAGAAGCCCGTCCAGTGGCTGGCCAGGGCCTGACACTTTTGCCCCGGGCAAGCGCGATAGGGGTCACGGGCGAGCCGGTTGCTGTGCAGTGAGCGGCCTTTTTTTTCGCTCAGCGGAGACAAAATTTTGATTGCGGACGATAATTGCCCGGGGCGGAAGGCGCTGAGATTTCGCTGGTGGCTCGGGAAAAGTGCACATACGCAGCTCGCATTGACGGTTGTGCTGAGGGAGATCCGGGCCTTACCCCATCAGGTTTAGCACCAATCGAGCTCCCAATCCCTTTGAAAAATACCTGTCCGCTTCTAAACTTCCTCCATCTCTCTTTTTCGCATCTTCGCATCTTTTTCTTGCGTCCACCCATCACTTTCCTCCCTTCTCTCCTCTCAATCATAGTCCTCAGTTCTTCATAACCGCCGTCAAGATGGCCAAAGGGTTAGTCTACGCTCCATCCACCGTCAATTCCTGCTCTTCTGCAGCTGGGCCTGCTACCCGGCCGTCTCCCTAAGCTGCACGGGCAGCATCCGAGCAACCCTCAGCCAAATTTGGACAAACAGAAGCTGACTTGTTGTTATCTAGAGAGGTGGACCAAGGGTCCAAGACGATATTCGGCATGCCCGGTAAGGCTTCACCGTCGCTGATGTCGACATCTCGGACTCGGAAGCTCCTTGGCTTCCAGCTCGACGACTCGACGATCTGAAGCTGTGGCCAACAACAACTAACTTTCGACCCTAGGATTCGTGGTCGACTTTTTGATGGGTGGTGTTTCCGCCGCTGTTTCGGTGGGTAGCGCTCCTGTGCTTAGTAGTTCGTGAAAAAGAACTGAAACTGACAAAATTCGCTAGAAAACCGCCGCTGCCCCCATTGAGCGTGTCAAGCTCTTGATTCAAAATCAGGTATGTCTACCTGCCCCATGCCGTCCGAGACATCCACACGATACAAGCAACCCTCTACCCGCGTTCGAAGGGTTTCTGTTTCCCACAGCTTGCAAAAACATCTTATCAATAATGATCAATGCGATGATATCATACAACACAACGAGCCACGGATTGAGAATACAAACTTACAATGACGTATAGGATGAAATGATCAAAGCCGGTCGTCTTGACCGCAAGTACAGCGGTATCATCGACTGCTTCAGCCGAACCATGAAGAGCGAAGGTGTCATGGCTCTGTGGAGAGGTAACACTGCCAACGTTATCCGATACTTCCCCACCCAGGCGCTCAACTTCGCTTTCCGCGACACCTACAAGTCGATGTTCGCCTTCAAGAAGGAACGTGATGGATACTGGAAGTGGATGGCCGGTAACTTGGCCTCTGGTGGTGCCGCCGGTGCCACTTCCCTCCTCTTCGTCTACTCCCTGGATTATGCTCGGTACGTCTGCTACCCCGGTTACCACCCTCGGTCTTTTTACTGACACGATCGCACACAGTACCCGTCTTGCCAACGATGCCAAATCTGCTTCCAAGGGTGGCGGTGAGCGTCAGTTCAACGGTCTCGTCGATGTCTACCGCAAGACCCTGGCCTCCGATGGTATTGCCGGTCTCTACCGTGGTTTTGGTCCCTCCGTCCTCGGTATCATCGTCTACCGTGGTCTGTACTTCGGCATGTACGACTCCATCAAGCCCGTTCTCTTGGTCGGTCCTCTTGAGGGTAACTTCTTGGCCTCTTTCATGCTCGGCTGGGGTGTCACCACTGGTGCCGGTATCGCTTCCTACCCTCTTGACACCATCCGTCGTCGCATGATGATGACTTCCGGTGAGGTAAGTATTATCAATACTTGCGCTTTCTGTGATTCACAAGTGTATCTAACCGGACTGCGCAGGCCGTCAAATACAAGAGCTCCTTCGATGCTGCCCAGAAGATCATGGCTGCTGAGGGTGTCCGATCCTTCTTCAAGGGCGCTGGTGCCAACATCCTCCGTGGTGTTGCCGGTGCCGGTGTGCTCTCCATCTATGACCGTAAGTCCCAACCACACTCTCCATTACGTATCTTGTACTAACAAACCTGGCAGAGGTCCAACTTCTCATGTTCGGCAAGAAGTTCAAGGGCGGTTCTGGCTAAGCGCCTCGTCACTTCACTGCGACGATCCCGACAAGCGACTGTTCCAATCGCGCCAAATGGTGTAACCGGGGATGCATGGGGTAATAGCGCGCCTTCAGTTGGGAGGCTCAAAAGGTGGTGCGAGACTGTACGATGACACGGTGAGGTGTTCGCAGGGGCAGCAGCGCGGGCGGACCGAGTCGAGGGGACGAAACACATTTTGCAAATAGAGATGACACAAACGGGGGGATTGACGAGGGAAAATGGCCACGTTGAACCTCGTGGGGGTTTTGTTCACAACATGCAATGGGGTTTCCTGCTTTACAACATCCTTTCGTTTCCTCTTTCCCTCCGGTCTGCAATTGTATTTTACTGCCTGGGCCTTGTTTTTGCAAAACATCTCACTTCGCTCTCTTCTGCGGTTTTTCTGTTCCGACTCTAATCCATCTGTTTCACTGCCTACTCATACGCGGCAATTGCTTTGGGATTCCCCCGGGCGTCGCACCAGCGTTCGTTGGTTCCGCCCGCTTGCGCACAACACCGTTTACTTGAAGGTCCACTCAAGGAACTGATCAAGCTATCTACTGTATCTACCCAACCAGCACCACCACCACCAACCAGTCAACTAGTTATTCTAAGGTAAAGCCTGCTACGAAGCGAAGTAGTCTTAACTTTCTTGGTTCTCCCTAGTTTACCAAAACGCAGTCAGCACGTGTTCACGCAAGGAATCGCTGTCCAAGTGATGCGTTACCTAATTGGTATCTGGGTATATTACATTGTGCAGATAAGTCCTAATCCCTCCCTTCCAGAGCCTGAACCTGAGCCTAGCATGCAGTACTAACGAAAGCCACCCTTCGAGAACTTCTGCATTAGCTGAATGATGCAATTCGGCGTGGATGTCCCCCGCGCCTTGGTTCTATTGTAATCGACATTGATTTCCATGCTTGTCCCCATCCGATCGCGCCATACAACTACCATTCTTGCTCCTACAGAAAGAAGGGTTTCCTTCATCTACACTCAGGGGTGTGTTTTTGGCTGGGCTTTGGCCTTCTTTCTAAGTATCATCCTCCCCGTTGATGTGCTTCCAGATCTGCTTTTCCGTCTCGCTGAGTCTCTTGCCCGCGGCTTTCGCCCACGTCATGGCCGTCTTGACCATCGTGCCATTCGGGTCCCCGTTGGTCGCGCCCAAGTTCCATTCTCCGTCCAATATGCCGCCTCTTCTCGAGTACGAAAGCGGGGAAAGTGTGGTGCGGGAATCGTTCTCTTGGCACGATTCGACGGGTTTGTCGTCGAAGGAGCTGTGGTGGTCTTGTTGATAGCCTGGTGGGTGGGAGAGATCCTGGGGTTGTGCGTAGCTGTAGCTGTAGCTGGGGCTTGTGGTGGTTGAGGTCACGCCTGCGGGTGGAATGGAACGGGTAGGTGTATATGGCGCGTGGACCGCCGACGAGGGGGATTGCATCGGCAGGAGACGGGGGGGTGTGGGTGTTTGTGCTTGGACAGGGACAATCGTCTGGCGTTGTGGTGATGCATGCGGTGGCATCCATTGTTGATACTGTGGGATCTCAAGAGGCCGTGGTGGAAGGGGCACGCTTGGAGGTGACGAAGGACTGGCGACTGGCGAAAGGGGAGGGTACTGCGCCTGGTTGCGGCGGCGGAGGGTTGTATTCGGACGTCGTTGTGGTGTTGGTTGAAGTGGGCGTCGGTTCGAATCTATTGTTGTAACTACTCGCTCTTGTGTTGGTCGGTTGCGGGACTGCTGGGGCGCCAGGTCGCGCAGGCTGCTGCAAGAACAAGGGATCGGATGGTTCTGCGGAAGTCGGCCGACTCTGATCGGGTGAAGGCGTATAGCGCCTCGCCGCTGCACTGGGTGAGGATACGCCGAAAGGATGGGAGGGCAGGTTGGTGTTGATAGGCGAGGCCGTATGGACTGGTATTGGAGCCATCGTGGCAGGCGGTGCACGCGACCGGGTGGTTTGTATTCTTCTGTTCCTAGAGTTGTGGGATCAAGCGTTTGATGTCTTTCGAGGACGAGAAAGCGAGGGAGACGTGGCAAAAATGAAATAGGAAAGAAGTGACAAAGTAAAACTAGTATACTCTCTTGCGTCTTTTGTAGGTGAGACGGTTGATTGTCTGTGCGTTTGCGCTCGACTGTTCAAGGGATACCTCAGCGCAGGGCTGGCGTCATCGAAGGACGAACGACGGGTTGGAGCGTTTAGCGACGAACCCCTTGGATGTCGAATACCAACATCACCACCGCGAAACAGGGAACGCGACGTAGAGATGCAGATTGCCTTAACGAGAGGGCGTCGGACAAAGGGTCTTTGTCTAGGGCATGCGCATGATATTAGATTCGGTGCGTTCTCTGCACACTATGCAGAAAGCCCTTGACGGCCCTTTCTGCTTCCGGTAGTATTGTACACAGGGGATTGAACCTCAGCAAAATCCAAGGGCAAGAGTATGTGGTGTCACAAAGAATGCGGAGGCCATTTACGTGCAGCGAGCGAACTCTGTATACTGCCAAGCCCTTGGCGGGTATGACGGCTGTGATTCGCTGCGTCCACACCGCATGTAATGCGCCCGGAAAACTCCTATACTAGTGCAATCAACTTGATCCATCGACAGGTCGAGCACATGCAACGAGGACATCGCAATTACTTGAGAACAGACCAAATGCTATGCGAGCATCTCTGCGACTCATCTCTTATTGTCACTGCAACTCGGGACCGTGATCTGCCCGGAGATCACTCGCAGCTGGGTTACAAGCGTCTGCTCCAACCATCTGACAGCGTCACAACTGCTCTCCGAGGCACCGCGTGCTTGATTCGTGTGTCTTGATTCGCTCACTCGGCCAGGCGCATCTCAACTCGGTTGTTGCACTCTCTGCCCCAACTGGTCCCTCTGCCATTGCACACAAAAACCACACGGTCTTGTGAGCCCTAAACGGCGTGCTGGTCCCGAAGCCTGACGTCTCGGCTGCTTTGGGACTGAAAATTTCGACATTGGAGAGCGAGCAGCTCGCATCAAAACGCATCCAATTCACAGAAAGAACCTTCCACCATTCTAGCCTCGCCCCGAACGGCCTTCTCCCACCGCTTCTTGCTCGCCCAATGTCACATATACCGCATCCTCGACCATCACAGAGTGGTCCTTCGATTCGCTAACACACCTGGAAAAGTGTCGCCAGCCCGCGGGCGCCACCCCCAAGAGCCTTGCCCAGGGTCGACTCTATTCGTAATAGTGGCATTTAAGTCGTCTTTTTTATGCCCTCTCACCTCCAAATATGTAACGTTCTCTTTGTGTCCTTTCATACCTGGCACTAATCCGATCAGGAAATTCGGCAAGCAGATCCAACGCCAGCAGTTGGATCTCCCTGAATATGCGGCCAGTTTCCTCAACTACAAGGCCCTCAAAAGGGTCTGCCAAAACTTATGTATTCGTTGAGAGAAGGCTTTGCTCACCATGTCCTCCAGCTCATCAAGCAACTCAGTGCCACTCCTACCATTAGTGCCCAAGGAGGTCCTGCCACCCTCGACGCACAGGCGGCTCTCAGGGCAAATAAGGAGGTTTTCTTTTTTCGGCTGGTGGGCGCTTCACCATCTCCCGTACTTTCACGCCATCTCTGATGCAGGTTGTAGGAACGTGAGATAGAAAAGGTCAACGTCTTCTATCTCCAGAAAGAGGCAGAGGTATAGAAAAACCGTCTCCTCCTTGCAAGCCGGCCTCTGACCTGGGCCAGTTTTCGCTTCGTCTCAAAACATTGCTCGACAAGAAAAGAGTTATTCAAGCAAGAATAGCCGCCAGTTCCAGACTCTCTGCGAGCTTCGCGACGCTAGTCGAGGGTTTCCAACAATTCGACAATGATCTCAACAAGCTTCAAGTGTGAAAGAGTGTGTCCTCGAGAGGGTGTTTGGTGGCTGACACGCTGCAGCAATTTGTGGAAGTCAATGAAACTGCAATTTCGAAAATCCTGAAGAAGGTTTGTGTGACCTAACACTTATCTTGTATCAGGGACTGATTTGTTGTAGTGGGACAAAACATCCAAGGTGGACCACCATCTACAACCACGCGCGCCGAGGTGAGCTGACACCAGTGACAGTCAAGAACGAAAGAGATCTACCTCCAACGAGCCGTCGAAATCCAACCGTGCTTCAATCGCGATGTACTCCGGGACCTCGCCGACCGAGCGACCACAGCGAGACTCGACTTGGAAGCATGGGCTGAGGGTGAAAACATTCAGTACGAGGTATCTAGGCAACAAGACCGAACGATTGGACAACGTGTGGGCACGGAAGAGAGCGATATCGACATTCAGATCCTTCAGGCCTCGGCCGCGGGTAACACTGGCGCTCTACGGGAATGGTTTGCGAGACTGGGCAGTTCTCCAGATGCACGCGACCGTTTCACCAGAATATTCCTTGCCACAATCTCTGAAGCACCTGACGATTCTTTGAGCCTATTCCTAAACTCAGGTCTGGTCGATATTCATGCTGAGGATGACATCAACGAGCGAAACTGTTTGCACGAAGCTGCAATTTATGGCAAAGAGATTGTACTGGACTTTGCCCTCAGCCATGGAGTTGACCTTGCCCGTTTGGACGTGTATGGCAGGGTACCATTGCACTATGCATGCTTGAGAGGACGCCTGGCAATGGTCGAAAAATTGTTGGCCGCAGGGCCGAACACCATCGACATGAAAGATCATGACAACTTTACGCCGCTGATCCACAGCATTGTGCGGCACCGAGTCGACTGTGTTCGCCTTCTCCTTGCCAGCAATGCAAGGATCGACCCACAATCTGACGCAGACCACATTCCCTTGAACTTGGCCTGTCAGCATGGATCTATCGAAGTGGCTGCTTTGCTGTTGGAAAGAAACGCAAAACTTCTTCCTGACGCAGAGGGTCTATTCCCCCAACATCTCGTCGCCCGTTCGAGCGAAAAGGCCGATCTGCTTCTCCTTCTACGGCAGCACGGAGCGGATTTGAACCAGCGCGACAAGTTGTACCAATGGACGCCACTATTCCATGCAGCAAGCGAGGGTCGAGTCGAGTGCTTGCGGGCACTGCTTGAAAACAGTGCTGACCCCGAGGCACTAGACGAAAAGGGCCTCACAGCCATGTATTATGCAACATGGGAAGGCCACTTGGAATGTATGGAACTTCTCTGGGAGCAAAGTAGCCACCATCGCGCCGAACGCAGATCTTCCACCATGTTGGGAGCCGTGGTCCCTCCCCATAACCAGATGTTGGCAATGGAGATTACGCCCGAGGAGCCTACCGGTGCCGACGGCGACGGGATCCCTGATCTCTCCCTGCCGCCCCCGATCATACCACTGCGCCGCTACGGACACAACTTCCTCGATACGAAGACCTTTATTGCCCTCAACTTTGACCGGACATCGAAAGCCATCAAATTCTTCAACGAGGCGAGGTATCCTGCCGCTCGCTTAACCATTTCCTCGAAAACATCCGACCTCATTCCCCGTAATTTAATGCTGCCGATACAGGAGGATGCTAGATCGGTCTACTTTCAGGTCGACAATCTCAGCACCTTCTCTGTGGATTTCGAGATCTACCCGACCTTCGGATCCAAAGTGATAGCCAAGTCGGTCGCCCTGCCGGATGTCTTTCGGGCTATTCAGAGCAGCGCTGGCAACTGCTGCCTTCCACTGTTTGACCCAAGGCTCCGGTCGGTGGGCCAGATCCAGTTCGATTTCCAAGTCATTAAGCCGTACAACGGTACGCCGCTTGAGATCACACAATTCGCGCCGTACTGGAAAGCTACGAGCGCTCTCGACGATCACAGTGGATTGGTCACAGGCTCGAGCCTCTCCGGAGACTACCTCAGGTTGACGATACACCTTACCCGGGACGGTGTCCCTGTGAGCTACCCATCTTATTTCGTGACGTACAACAACCTCGACGTCTCCCTATGTCAGCTCAAATACGAGGTACTCGTGAAACTGGGCATGACCAGCGGTCTTCTCAACCGCGACGGTACACCGATACTGGAAAGTACGGATATCCTCGAGTGGCGCAATCGACTTTCCGGCTCGATCTTTTCTCTGCGCGAGATTCTAGCCGCGGTACCACCACATATTAACCTCAACCTGCACGTCTTGTATCCAACAAGCCACGAGGATCTCAATCTGGGTGTCTATTCCAATATTGACATTAACACTTTCGCTGATGCGATTCTGACCGAAGTCTTTGATCACGCGAGAGCCCTGCGCGCACAAAATCCAGATTTGACTCGTTCTATAGTGTTCTCTTCATTCAACAGCAACATCTGCACGGCCCTGAACTGGAAGCAGCCAAATTTCCCTGTCTTACTTTGCAACGACTTGGGTGGCGTGCAAAGCGCTTACCACTCCTCCGCAAATCTCCTTGAACCTGCTACCCGACGGGGGACGTCGATCAAGGAGTCTGCACGCTTGGCACAGCTGAACAACTTCATGGGCTTGACTTGCTCGTCCCGGATTTTACAGATGGTGCCTGCTTTAACAGAGACCATTAAGCAAGCAGGGCTGGTGCTTGTGTCTGATGCATCGGCGGACGACGATCGTGGACGCCAACAGCAATCTCACTCGCACGGGCAAGCGCAGAGCTCGGGATTCGCGATGATGCCGGACGGTGTCAACGGGGTTATGAAGGCGAATGGCATTCTACGATTCAACGAGACAGTCGACATGTGAGAAAGCTCTGGGTGGAAGCAGACCCGAAGAGGGTCTCTGGCTACTTACAGCGATTGATGATTTTAACGAAAACCCATAGGGGACACGGACCCCAATGCTGGTGGTTGCTTCGAGCAGAAAAAACGAAATTCCAGGCGATGGCGGGTTTCTGAAGCGGTTTGCATATCGGCCGGGACTTGCCGTGGTGTAGTGGCTATTGGTCATTATGTAGGCGAGAGACGGAGCATCGAATAGACAGTCGCAGAATGCCGACGATCTCAAGTCATGCGCAGGTTTATGTTCCATGGGCACGGCACTGGCAAATTCATGGCAGCCCTCGGGCTCACTCGGCCTTGGGCAGCATGGGAAACTCGTCTATCTCTCATCCAATCCGATACTCGTTTCGGGCAATAAGCAAGTCCAGATTACCGACTCGAGCTCGGCCTGCAAGGCTGGCCACCAGGTGTAACCCGAAGTATCCAAATATATAAAAATTATGCTGGGCATCCCCCGCCTCGATGATTTATTTCTTCCAGGACCGTCTCGTGTTTCAACATTCCTTTTTTTTTCTCCGTCTTTTCTCGGTGGCAGTGTGCATCTGCAAGCACCAAGCTATGCCAAAGTCTGAGAGTGTTGTTGTTATTCGGGCGGAAGATATCGAATATGAAGACCGCCTCGCCCGCATTGCCAACCAGGAAGACCGTTCGCAGAGTCGCCTCCAAGCGATCCGCAAGAACCCGTGGGCATTTGCCTGGTGCCTCTACGCCGTGTGGACGATTCTGCTCGTCAGCGTCGAAGATCAGGCCTCGTACAATGTGCTGAGCATCCCACAGTTCCGGAAAGACTTCGGCTCGTCGTTTGAGGGCAACTATGTCCTGGCCGCCTCATGGCAGTCGGCCTTCAGTGGCGCCCCAATTGCAACGTACGTCTTCGGACCAGACTCTACTCCCCAGCCTGCTCCTTTTTTCCGTCTGTATGGCAGATCAACCGCCTTATATGTAACGTGGCACATAGTCGAATCATCGGGGCACTGGCTGCGGGTCAAGTGGCCGACTGCATCGGCCGACGCAACACCCTTGTCGTTGCCATCGGTCTGTCGCTCGCTGCCGTGACCATGGAGTTTGTGGCCACAAGCAAAGAACTTTTCTTCGGTGGGAAGATGTTGAGTGGGCTGGCCGTCGCCGCGATTGAGTCAGTCAGCGGCACCTACATTGGCGAGGCATGATTACCCTGTCCCATCTCCTCTTATGAGTGGTATCCTCTAACATGAGAAATAGGTTGCTCCCCTGGCCCTAAGAGGTCTCACGACCGCCTTGATAGCCTTTTCGGCCGGAGCTGGCGCCCTGACTGTGGCCCTCATCATCAACAGTACCGGGGCATATACGACCAGATGGGCGTACAGGGCCGTCTTCTGCAGCCAGTTCGGGTTCGCTGCCATCGCCGCGTCTTTCGTCTGGTTCATGCCTGAGTAAGCTACTGCAAACAGCCATTCCTTAACTTGTCGTCCACTACTGATGACGGTGGCTGCCCCCCAGATCGCCGTGGTGGCTCTTGAGCAAGGGCCAAGAAGAGGTGGCCTTGAAATCTCTACGCCGTCTCGGATATACGAGTTCCAGTGGCGAAGATGCGAAACGTCTCGCGACCATCAGAGTCACCTTGGAAGAGATCCGCTGCGAGACTGAGGGTGTCACGTACTTCGAGTGCTTTCGCAAGTCGAATCTCCGCCGGACAATCGTGGCCATAGCACCGCTCTCGTAGGTTTGTGTCTTTGATCACGCGCCCTCCTTGATGCCTTTGGGACGGAGTATCTATGCTGAGTCGATGGTGACAGAGTCGAGATCTTCGTCGGGGCCATCTTCACGGGCCTGTATTCGACCTACTACGCTCAACTGGCGGGCTACAGCACCACCATGTCCTTCAGACTGCTCATCACCCAGCAGGTTCTGTCCATGGTCGGGAATGTCTTGTCGTGGTACCTGATTGAGCGGGTCGGCCGCCGTAACCTGACCGTCTACGGCACGCTGGCTCTGACATTCATGCTCTGGATCATGGGCGGGCTGGCTGTGGGCGGGAGCCGGGGCGAGCTGCGCGGCGCCATCGCCATGGTGCAGATCTACTCGTGGGTGTACAGCCTGACCATCGGCGCGACGGCGTACACGTATTTGACCGAGGTGGCCACGGCGCGGCTGCGCGTCAAGACCATGGCCGTCGGGCTCGCGACGCAGAGCTGCTTCGGCCTGCTGTGGAGCTTCGTGCTGCCGTACCTGTTCAACCCGGACAAGGCGAACTTGGGTGGAAAAGTGGGCTTTATATTCGGCGGCCTTGCCATACCTTGCTTCGTGTTCCTCTGGTGGCTCCAGCCCGAAACGGCGGGTCGGTCGTACGAGGAGCTCGACGAACTGTTTGTCAAGAAGGTCCCTGCGCGCCAGTTCAAGACGTACACGACCGAGGTGGAGATGAAGGTGGTGGTTTTGGCAAGGAGAGGAGGGGAGCAGGAGAGCACGGCGAGGAGGAGTGGTAGTAGTGAATCTGATAGCCCCAAATGAAACTGAGGCTGTTAGCGAGGAGTATATATCTTGGGTTATACAGCACAGGGCGCGACGACTTTGGCAATGAGATCAAAGACAAGGGAGGAAGTGTTCGAGTCCTCAGGCTCGCGGGAAAGGGTGAGGAGAGATATTGCATTTTACCCTCTGGCAGGATAGATAGACATGAGAGGGTGAGTTACAGCAGATACCATGTTCTCGATGAGCCTGTACTGCCACGCCGACTTTCCTCTGTCCCGTCTGTCTTCATGTGATGAGATAGTATTTACACATCCCTCATCCCTCATCATGCGTCGACAGACTCACCAGCCAGCCAGCCGTCTTTTCCTATGAAGCCAACAGACAGTCTTGAACACCCTTTCCCACCCTCTCCATCGCCGACTCTTCGAGTTCAAGGAATCCAGTACAACTACACGACACGACACTACACCTGGACCAACCCAGCCCCAATACCGACCCATATTCCCGCACCGGCCGCAAAGGCCGCCCCCCATCCGGGGCCCCGCAGCCGCCAGATCTGGTAGACGTCGACGACGCACAGCACCATGCCGGCGAGGATCACGGTGCCCATCTCGCGCAGCTGGCCGTCGGCGCCGAACTTGGCCAGCGCCAGCCCGATGCTCAGGTCGCGCGCGCCCAGCAGCGCCATCGACGTGGTCACGGCCGCGGCGTGGTCGGCCACGTCGGCGTTGGCGTGGGCCGGCGGCGTCGTGCTGCTCTTCGTCGGGTTGGCGTTGGTGCCGGGCGCCGGCGCCCGCGGGTACAGCCCGAATCCCTGCCCCGCCAGCACCGGGCAGGTTATGGCGAACGTCCCGAGGCCGATGTACGTCGCCGCCACGGAGAGGCCGAGCACGCGCCACGTCGAGGGGGAGAGGTCCATTATTGCTTGTTCGGTTCCTGGTTGGATTGTTGAAGAAGGGGGCTTGTGAGTTGGTCGCTGGGTTTCTGGCGACTCTGGGAGTTTGGCTGCAGGTATGTATAAATAACAGCTTGGTGTGGGATGACGAAGAGGTAGTGATTTGGGCAGGGTCGAGATATGCCACAGCACGTGAAAGTGAAGCCGGCGTCGATGGTCCTGGATAGATGCCACACAATCTCGGGACGATGTAGTTGGATGTTAGAGGGGGGAGCTGGGATTTGACTTTGGGGATGTCATGTAGTTATTGCATCATAGCAATAATCAAATACGACGAGGATACTTTGGCACTTGGCCAAATACGAATACGGAGACGGGGGTTATGGATTATTATTACATATGTATGTACCAAGCATGACAGTAGAGAGTCATTCTGTAGCGACCCGGAACCTCGGTGCCGGAACTATCTCCCCCCGCTGGAATGATGGTGTATGTTCCCTTCCCTTCTCTCCCCAGGCTCGAGACATCTGTGTGACACGACACCAGCCGGATTTCTTTCCTACCTCCATCAAAGCCAGAATCCGCAAATCCGTCGATTCTGTCCTCGAACATCTGGCGTCTCCCATGCAGTACACAGCACACCACGCCAGGCACCCTGGGTCTCTCCATACCCGGGTATCATCCTCGTAGTCCGGAGCTATCCAATCGTCCATAGATCACTGTGAGTGATGCACTGGAGGGGACGAGGATACGGTGACAGGGAGACAGCGCTCGACGTTTCCTCCCTTCCTCTGGTGTGTGTATATATATATATACCACTCTCTCTGAACATGTCCGCCACACAGTTCTTCCCGTCCACTTGGCATTATCCTAGTTGTCGTTTCAGACTCGATTTCTAGCGTATTCATCGGCGCCCCTCTCTTGCCGTCAAAAGACTTCCTTCATAGGGTCCGAACACACCAAGAGTGATTGTCATACCTTGGTACGAAAAAATTTGATACCAGTCTCTTGTGTTGACTCTGCAGTTTGTTGGAGATCGAAATCGAAGCGGAGTCTTTTGCGCCGGCACGAAGTATGCTTTTGAAAAGGCGCAACAGTGTCGAAAGGCCATCATGGTTGTTCGGAATTGCCCTCGCTGAGATCTTTCCAGCCAAGCCATGCCATCTGTACGTCGATCAATCGATGCTGGAAAATGGTGCTGCTATGTCCCTATGCCATGGTATCTGGCTAACTAGTTTGGAGGAAACTTGGTCGATGTCAGGTGGAAGAATAGTTTCTCAAGTGCCACTGCGATCGTCGTTGGGGGTTCAATAATGATGTTGTGAATGAGAACCCAGTGCCTGTATGACCTCTTCTCCATTATTGATTGCAGAATGGGGAGGGAAATGCATGCCGTTCAGTGTATATTGCTGCCTGTGCCTGCCAGTAGTGGTGGCAGGCGAAGGAATTCGCCAGAGACAGAAAGAAAATCGTTCAAAGAAGACGCCCTCCACGAAGCAACATGATAGAAAACCCAAGCACAGCTCATCTCAATCCATGGCTGAACCGGAAGCTAGCAGCGAAACTTAAAGGCCGTGGACGTGGAGAGGAAGGCAGGGGTCTTTATAATCTGTGGAAAAAAGCCCTTGCGAGACATCGAATATGTGATTCCTAGTGGATGAGTCCGCGGTGCATCCATCGCGAGTCATTTTTTTATCACATGGACGGGACATTCGGTGGGAGGGTCGCGGAAGTGACAGTCATTAATAGCACGTAAGTGAATGGGTTGAAAACATATTCGACACTTGAAGCAATACATTACCTCCTCATAAAGCATACCGGCCCCCCATCAAATACGGAAGGAGACATCCAATCTTCTCGTTGAAGCATTGAAGTCACAAAATGTCCACCTCGCGCGAAGGTGATTTGTAAATCCTGTGTTTCAGCTCTCATGAATCACACTGACAACATACTTCTCGCCATCCGCCCCAGTCGCAGTCACAATGAGCTGGTGCCCTTCGAAGTCTTCCTCCCTGTGACCCACTCCGACTTCCTCTTTGTAGTCTTTGTACCAGTCTTGTTTGCGTTCGCCACTCACCAATTCATGTCGGGCAGCAGCCACAGCCGCCTGTCGAGACAAATGAATCCCTCTGATTTCAGTATGCGTTGCACCATCAGCTGCTTGGACTGTGCAGAGAACATAGAAGAGGTTGTCTTCTACTCTCCCATCACCTGGCTTGGAGCGGACACCCAGAGAATTTGGCGTGCTTTCGATTTCAACATCGTGAACCTCGTCCCCCTTTCGGGCATGGACGACGACATTCTCCCCATGCTTCCATGCCGATGAAGGTTGGGTAACGTCATTTGTCGCATAATCGCTCAGAGAGTCGCGAGACAACCCCTCGTCCTCAAGGCGGCGAAGTGCAACCTTCTGGGCTGAATCGAGGTCTGTGTATGTTCCGCAGATTTCAGTACGGATGGTTGGAGGAGATCCAGGTTCCACGGTTGTCCGCTTGATGTGGAACAGGTCAGGAACAAGAGAAGGGCGTCGCTGCATGTTGGATCTGATAGCTTTCAAATATAGCTTTCTGGGACAATTGCGATGAGAAGTCACGATCGTAAGGAAAACGACGAGAAACGAGAAACCAAAGCAAATGCCCCTCTCTCAGCACCTTCGCCTTACCTGTTGACCCTTGTGAGCAGGGAGGGGTAATAAGCTCTGCACATGTGCGTATGCCCGGACATCAATGGCACTGAGCACACACTGACTGGATCTTGTGACAATGGAAGACCCCGAGCCGTTTAAACGAGGAGTTGCAAGCTCTGACCCCGCAAATAACAAATGGAAACTGGTGGATGATGCAAGGCCATGAATACGAGGTTGGCCGTGGCCAGTCGGATGTGACAAGGGTTCCGGAATGCAGAACATGCTCAGAGATGGATAAATACTTTGAGGTGATTGACGCTGTTGATATGCTTGAGGTTGTCAAAGCGGTTGAAGAGGAAGGAAAAGGAGAGCAGGTAGTGTGGGCCCACAAGCCCATTTCCCATTGGTCAGTATTTCAACCACTGACATTGGACATTTCAATCCGCAGTTGAAATCAAAGCTTCAAAGTTGCAATATACAACTTGACCTGTTAGACTCATTCGAGTTGGGCCCAACACAGCACCATCTCCCATCTGTCCTGACGTTGTGCGCGTCTTCCAACATGCCGCCGACAGTCCCTCGATTCGTGGCCGTGCAACTCCCACCTCCTTTCCTCCTTCCTCGAACGCTTCTCGGAAAATCCTTCAACGGCGCTCAGAGAAGATGTATGGGCATTCGCTCAATAGACCGACAGCCAAAACACAATCCCTACAATGTCGTGCCTGGCATTCAACCACTTCTTTCCACACCTGCCGCGGCCTTTGAACGAAAGCTGCGATCAGACACGCTTCCTCTCCGGTCTGGAGCTCTAGCAATCAAAAAGGGCATGACCGCGGTATATGATGTCGAATCTGGGAAGAGAATACCCTGTACAGTGCTGCAATTAGATCGAAATCAGGTTGTGAGCCACAAGACGCGGAGGAGACATGGATACTATGCCGTCTGTGTTGGCAGCGGCACGATCAACCCCAAGAACGTGGCAAAGCCCATGCTCGGCCACTACTCTGTCCAGGGCGTGAGCCCGAAAAGATTTCAACGCGAATTTCGAGTCCGAGGGCCAGAAGGACTGCTGCCCGTAGGAGAAGTGATCCGGGCTGACTGGTTCATGGCCGGGCAGTTTGTGGACACTCGGTCAAATTGCAAAGGCAAGGGTTTCGCAGGCCCCATGAAGAGATGGGGCTTCAAGGGCCAGCCGCGAAGTCATGGTCACTCTCTCAGCCACAGGTCGCATGGTTCAGTGGGTCCGAGTCAAGGGGGTGGTAGTCGTGTCTATCCCGGCAAGAAGATGGCCGGAAATATGGGTGGTCAGAGGAATACGGTGCAGAATTTGAAGGTCTTGCAGGCGGATGCAGAGAATGGGATTGTCGTCGTGCATGGTGAGTACCTGTTCCGCCGCTACTCTGAGGCGACTCGTTGCGCTAACAAACTGTCGGCAGGTGCTGTGAGTGGTCCCAACGGATGTCTAGTCATGATCCAGGATGCGTTAAAGAAACCTTGGCCAGAAGTTCCCCGGCTGCCGACACCGTCCAAGGTTGATACACCGGTGGTAGAGGCAGAGCCTGCGAAGATCCCTGCATAATAGAGCTAGCTATACATGGCTTCGAGCCCCATTGTACCATTACGCCGAGGCGGCCTTGCCTGTCCATGTTCCAAACTTTGGTTAGAAAAATTCAAGCCTGTTTCATTAAACGCTCAATCCCGTGTGATCGAGAAAAAAGCAACACATCCCGTCTTTGCGATTCCAAGGCATCCTTTTTAGTGGAGCCGCCTCAGGGCACTTGTTGGCGAATGCAATTAAGCTCCCCTATAGTCATACCTCATGCCCTCCAATTCGGCCAGTCCGGCGTGAACTTCGAACATGCTCCTTCTCGTGATGAAGACCATGGCAAAAATAAGGCCGGGGAGCAGCAGAAACAGCCATAAACCCTCCGGCACGTCGTTTCGTGAGCGATAACCCAGTGAGGCAACCAATAGTAGCGCATCGATGAACGCGTTGAGGTAAGGAAGGTATTGGTTGATCGGACTGTCGCTGGACGTTGGGAGGAAGCCGGTCCGAGAAACTCCCGTACCGTGCGCCTGTCGCTGTCGGGTGACCGTTGAGGTGCGCGTCAGGGCGGAGAGAGATCCCAGCGGCGTCGATGTCGGGATCATGTACATGATGTAGGCACTGGAGGCGAGCGAGGTGATGCTCAGCAGGCACAGAAACGCCATGGCTCTCGAAGTCGACATCGAGAGGTACCACATGAACGGGAGGGTGACGAGGAGCGGCAGGCCCGTGAACAGGATGGTGTAGATGGCATTAGTGGACGTCTCCGAGGCCTGCAGATTCTGGAGGAGGTGTTCTTGTTCTATCTCGATGGTGTGAGAAACAGCACGTCAGGAGATATTATTGAGGGGCCTCGCAGGAAACCACCGCTCTCTGCCGGGAATGACACGGAATGAGAGCCTTGGATGGTTTCCTGGTCGCTCTCTCGTCACACACACACACACACACACACACACACACACACACACACACACACAGGGGGGCAACTTATGCACAACTCTCTGTGGGAAATATACGCACCTTCTTCGTCCATTTCTTCGTGCGACATGTCCTCATCATCTTCGGAAGGATACTTGAATGTTTTCCGAAGCCGGGCACTGCTCATCGTGCTGATGTATCTAAGACGCCGTCGAGGAGAGAGAGAGGCTGGAGAGACAGACAGACCTGAGACGATGACTTGGGTCTGCGTCCAGCTACCTCAAAAAGCAAAGTCTCCGAAACGCGTGCGATGAAGGAAAGGCAGAGGGGATTGTGTCATATGATCTCATTGAAACACCAGCTTGTCCACATGGAAGCCCTTGAAGTCGCTGGATGAAGCATCGCGCGGAGAAACGTGGCTCCGATGAGCTGCCGAGGCGCTAACCCCTTGCAGTTTCACAGGCACCAATTTTGGGGCGGTCATCTTTTCTGCAGGTTGCAAACGCTATACAGATACAGTTCCGCAGAAGCTAACCCAGAGGCAGAAAGGTCCGTGATTACTTGGTTGGCGGTGTTGTCCTGCATCCCACAGTCAAATAAGGTGTTCTCAGTCGGGAGGAATCAGCTGTGGCTTGAATCCTAATCTTCTACTGGAGGGTTCTGCCTGCGGTCGACGCCGGGCCACATTTTTCGAACGCCCCGCGCAGGACCCCAACCAAATTTGGTTTTTTCTGTGATTTTCTGCTTTTTTGCATTTTTATTCTCGAGGTAGCCAACCCCGTTCTAGCACAACACTTACCCCTTGCTACTATCAGCAGTTAATACACTGACTAGCCAGTAGGAGAGCAGTGATGATGGCTCGCATTAACCGCACTCTCCTTCACTGCGCCCTAGTTTGCAGGTAACACATCTGATCAACCAACACTACCCTAATCGGGATCCAAAAAGCCCAAACATCACCATGCTGCGGCACGGCATAAATATGGAGACAACCCACCTAGAAAGACCAGAGCCCTGAACACCTGGAACACAAATATCTTGTCAAATGGATAGGTATATAATAGGAACGCCAAACCACTTTCTTTCCCCCTTCACAATAATACTAAGGCCTGCTCGTGCTTTTTCAAAATCCACAGCGTTTTCGACATCCAGATTTGCTGGTCAGTGCCACCAAAGGAAGAACTGACGGGACTAACGGCCTCATCATATATCATGGCCATTTCTTCCGATACCATTGTCGGCATCGTGACTTTGTTGGTCATGTGTGCTCCCGCCATACTTCACCTGTGCCGTTGTCTGCGCAACGGACGACGGAGGACAGCCAGTGGACGAACCATACGCCTTCGCACCGCCACACCTCCGCGTGCCCTTATTCCATATCTACCCTTCCACCACTGGATTAATATGAACAGCAGCCAAGCCCATACATCGTCAATGAGACTCGAATATGCCAGCTCATCATGGGCAAGCCACCAAGCCAGGCTCTCGTTGCTGGAGAATGGAATGCTCTATACTACCGTGAGAACAAAGCCGTTGTCCTACCTGGAGTGCCTGATTGGGACTAACCGAGACGCATTGAGCAGAGAAGCATGCACATAGAAGAGAATTTCGTCCTTCGCTCAGGCTTTTGACCTTCACCACAATGCAACACACGGAGTAGGGAACGCATGCATGAAAGAGAGGACACACCATGGCTCGGACTCCTCCAGGAGGGTGCAGATTGGGGTGAACATTTATTGAAGCAGGAGTACTGTGCCGCCTTCTCCTGCTTTGTAAATTGTGGGATCAAGTCAATGCCGACAGTGACCATGGCAAGGCACATCAAAGTGCCAACCACAATGGAGGAGAAACATCCCTCCATGGCACCATCAGCCGTAGCTTTCTCGTCGAAAGCCACCATACGAACCCTGTCTCCTAGGGTAGTCCATGAAAGGGCCCAATCGGGACCCGCACCCCAGATCCATCAGCCTTGTGCGCGGTCCACCTTCGCCACCAGACCAGCACATGGCCTTATGTCACCCATCGGTCGAAATATGGAGATCGATGAGATGTTTATTTGAGGGGAGGCAGCGTATATCAGCGTCTCCTTAACCATATTTCAATGACGTACTGGTGACACAAAAGTGACTCCGATTGTCCTCCGGCCCATAACTCCGTGGTGGCTTTTAAGTAGAGCATTTGCTGTTCTATGCTGGTTCCTTTTCGCCGGGACTGCGTGAGACCTGTTATCTAGGTTTCTTTGAGTATTCCGCTTGATCATAGACATCCAATTTTCCCCTCTATCGTCCACCGTCATTTCAGACCAGAACTCCGTCCAACTCCTGCGAGAACCACTTGAAGTTGCTGTCGGACGAGCCTTGGCGGAGCACAGCAAAGACGACATCCTCCCACCAACCACTCGAGAACTCTATTTCGCGAAACACCTCGGACCAGAGGCGAGCCACTTCCTTCGGTGGGTTCTGGAACGCTCCGCAGCCGAAGGCACCGAGCACGATCTTGCGATGTCTGTTCCTGATGGCGGTCCGCAGGATAACACGCATTTTGTCTCTCATCATCTCGCGATCTTCTCGCCTGGCGTAGAACTTGCTTGCGTCCTGGTTAGGCTGCGCTGGGTTGGACCCCAGACTGGGTTGGAAGACGGCCGCTGCGCTGACGACACTGATGACCGGTAACTTACGGGGGTCTTGGCAGTCGAGAAGTTGATGACCGTTTGTCAGACTGTCTCTGATCACGAGGACAGCAGGGGAGTAGATGGCGGCTTTGTCTGGTATCGGATAGAAGCGCAATTTGAGAGTGAAGGACAGAGATGTGCGGTAGCAGAGGGCTTCTTCTTGGGCGAGGGCACCCTTTCTGAATCCTCCACCGGCGCGAATCGCATTGGCCATGTTTAAGATACAGACCGGTTTCTGGTGTGGAGTGTGGCCGAGTTGAAGGGCGGCGTCGATGGTGTCGCTGCTGATGACGCGGATCTTGGTCTTGGGCAGGTTTGGACAGAAGGTCTGATCGAGGGGCAGTGCCGCCTCTTTTTCATAGAGGTAGCCGTCTGGTTTTGCGTCCGGCCGCGTGAGGAGGAGACCGGGGAGGACTGAGACTGTTTCTTTGGCAACTTTCACCAGTTGGTCTCTGTCATGGGCCTTTGGGGTTACCGGTGGACGTGTCTGCAGCTGTCCGGCTGAAGAAAAGCCCAGCACACCCTGCCTGAAGCGCACAGAAGGGCCCTTGCCGCTAGACATACTGTGAGGGTCACTCATTGTGGTGCCTAGGGAAGCTGAGCTGCTGATGTTATGAGAATGACAACCGCGTGGGGGAAGTGAAGCATAAAATATGATTGGCGGTAAGTACAGATGGTGGAGCCTGCCACGAGGAGGAACGAGCCAACTTGGCGCTGCTTTAACCCTGTGAGGTCCCGTCGTGATAGTATGAAAGGTAGCGTCCTGTCGACGCCTGTAAGTGAAGTAATGTGCTATTGGGATATGAGTTGAATGTAGAATGGATGACGCACTGTGACTTTTATACGAAATGTGTGGATCTGGCTGCGAAAACTCACCCTGTAAAGAAGCAACAATAAGGATCACGAAGGCAACGAGAACCTAGGTAGTGTCCAGGGTTATACATGGTGTCTTTAATCACTGTAAAGGATTCCCATACGACACTAGGTCGTCAGCCACAAGGGCAATCAACCCGTCTTTTGCTGGTGTTATCAATGCTGCTTTCGTCTACTTTGGTGGGCCCTGGCTATGATGATCTCCACATTGGAATTCGAGTTCCGGTTCAGCCCATCTGGAACGGCTTCAGGGGCCGAACTACCTTATAGGGAGCATTCTAACGCTTGGTCCCAGCGCAGGTCAACCACTGTCTCGCCATTCATTGAGCCTCCGTCATAGGATACAAAAAGAAGTTTCATTCAAAGTTCGTGCAATTGCAAGCTACGGCGAAAGTCAAGCCCCAATATGACAACCCCCTCTCATCTCGGTTTCTGGACTTTGCAGCACTGGTAGGTAGTCTCGATAGCAGTTCCTGGAGTAAACAGGGTTCCACTTCATAACCCAAGGAATATACCTATGTTAAACTGGAGATGGTGCACAAGACGAGAACCCGAAAAGAAGTCAGGTTCCCACTTCCCAAATTAGCAGGATTTCCGAGCGGCACACCCCATCTCCAGGCACTAACTAACAGATCTACTCCGCATAAGCATAAACGTAGAGCTCATTTCAGTGACCACGAGGAAACGAGCGCCACTTTCAAATCACAATCCCAAAGCAAAAGTTGAAGACGCAGGAGTGAGTTCCAGTGAAAGACCTTGATCATCATCTCACGTCCCTAGCGAATCTGTGGACTGAATTTGTGGACTGTGCTTAGTGATGATGGACGTGGACGAAACAATGACCACATCCACCTCCTCTTCACCGTCCGCGCACCAAGACCCCGACGAAGGGTTCGAAGAGGACAACCTCTCCCCAGCAGACTTGAACAACGACAACTACGGAGGCCTCTCTCAGAGCAACCGCCCTCACACTCCGGCGAACGACCACCTCAACGCAGCCGCACCCGGCGAACTCTCCCCACCGCGATCGCAGAGGCAAAGCCAAAGCGAAGACCTCCAGCAACCCACGTCACAAGCAATGGCCAACGGCACGGCGACGCGCACCTCAGCCAGGGTCGCTGCCATGGCCGGAAAATCTGAAGCGGAAGCACAAGGCCAGGCGACAGCGACACCCGACGATCGAGACGGCCGGGGCAAGCCTGAGAGGGCGTGGCGCAGCAAGAAGGCCCAGGAAGAGAGGCAGCGCGCGTGGGAAAACATTGTAGATCGGGACTTCAGTCTCAAGGAGTTTGGAGATGTCATGTTGCAGGGCAAGGCGCAGGGATCTCGATGACGGTCATGAGGTACGAAGCTGATAACGAAGCGACGTGCGGGAATGCCTCATGAACATGGAGATATGGACCTTACTCTACTTTTACTTGCATGGCGAAGGCGCACAAGGCGGGAGAGATAGCATTCACATGGAGGGTGCTAGAATACTGTGCTTCTGGAACAGACAAGCATTTATTCGCAACACCTCGATTCTAAAACAAGGTCACTGGGCATCTTTCGTTGCAACTGCGCTATATGCATGGTTGGACCAGAATACACTCACCTATTCTGTTCCATGCCATTGACTTGATATCTTACCGTCTCACCATATCTTGAGGGCATTGCAGTAGGACAAAGACACGACATACGCTGTATTTGGCACTCCTCTGACGTCACACAAGCCCCAGTTTCTGGGCATTCCTCGATATACATAACTGTTATCAACTCTCCTAAGCCTGAACTCGTGCAAAGAACTCGTCTCCATTCCAGTCTTTAGGATGACCCCGGCTACCGGAGGAGTCTCTCCCCCTGCACCATCAGAGAGTCACAGGTCGATCCCGTACGACATCAAGGACGACACTATACGGCCACCGCGGCGACACGCCCTGCTTCACGTCCCGGACTCATACAAGTCTGGCGTGCCGAGTCCGCTGATAGTCGCGCTGCACGGGAAAGGCCAACCAGCCAAGGAGTTCGAGTATCACACTCAACTCTCCAACGCGGTGTTCAATTTGCATTATATCGTCGTATACCCGGAAGGGGTGGATTTGCAATGGACGGGCGACCCCGAGGCGCCGCCTCGAGACGAAGTGGATGATATTGGGTTCATCGACGTCCTGATCGACCACGTCATGCGTGACTACACTGTCGACGCCACGCGGGTCTACGTCGCGGGATTCAGCAACGGCGGAGGGCTCGCTGCACTACTGGCCGGCGACTGGAGAGCGTCCGGGCGCATCGCCGCATTCGCCATGGCTTCCGCCGCCATTTACCAGGACGAGGCGCTCAAGGAACCGCTATTCAGCACGCCCCACCCCTCACGGCTACCTGTGCCCATGTTGGAGTTCCACGGCGACGCAGACCCGGTCGTCCACTACGAGGGCAGAACCACGCCGGACGGGCCGACGTACGACGTCTACGAGTGGCTGCAGGGTTGGGCGAAGAGGAACGGGTGCGTTGACCTCGAGGGCCAGCGTGTCTCCTTGTACGATGGCAGGGTCGAGAAGATCGTTTGGAGTATGCAAGGTAGCGGCCCGTACGGGGATCAGTATGCGCACAGTGTGATTGAGCATTACAAAATTGCAGGCTTCGGTCACGGGTGGCCGTCAAGGTATCCCCTGAACAATGACAGCCAGGAGCGACACGGTCCAACGTACTTTGACGCGACGCCGCTGGTGATGGAGTTCTTTGGGAGGTTCAAGCGTTTTGAAGCGTAGAGCATTGCATTTGGAAAAACAATACTATAGTAGACCGTTGGTAATCAAGACACGCAATGATCATCTTTCGCATGGTAGAGAGTGGATGTCTACGCCCTTCATCGGAGTCCAAGAAGTTGTTCCCATCCTAAGGTCCCTAAGGCCTCCAGACTGAGACACAGCACGAGTGAATTACGGCAATAATAAAGAACTCGTTCGTAGATCTGGGACTCCGTTACGCCAATAACTTTTAAGCTATGGCTCACCAATCATATCGTGCCGGCACTCAAGTGTCGGCGAGTTTGGATTGGGTATTAGGATCACGTAATAAAGCTTCTAGCGCGGCTCAGTCCACCAATTGTGTCGTGCCGACACCCAAATGTCGGGGAGCTTGGATTGGGTAAGTTAAGAACGCGGTAGACCTCCTGTTGTCTCAGATAAATCAGCCTGCGGTTGGTCGGCGCTAACGCACTGATTGGCTCGCTGACGCGCATTGACCAATCAAAAAGTTTTACAAACTTTTCTCCCAAACGAAGTTAGCGTGTAACGCTAAGCGCGACGCGCCAAAGCTGAAAGGGCTGATTTATCTGAGACAAGACCTCCTGGGCACTAGGTATCTGGGCGGTGCACGTTGTTGATCCAACTATATTATCCTTTGTCCGATTTCACTAGCCTTCTCTTCCTAACCCTTCTTTAGGTCTCTATCATCATGTCTTATATATCGGATACCACACAAATTACCCAGACTCGGAAAATCGAACCTAGAAATCCGCTACCCTACTGTCATGAATGACAAGCATATAAGCTAAGAGGTCCAAGATCTGTCATGAAATGACAGGATTCTTAGTCTTTTTGGGCGATCCCCAAGGGGCTGTGGACCTCTTCCTGACACCTACTATACACCACTAGACCACCCGTGCTCAGAGGGGAGACTTTACCTCATATATGACCCTATGCCGTGGCTATGGTGTCGATAGCACACTCCCTGGTATCATTAGGTGCAACAAGGTCGGAGAGCCAAAGCTAACGGCGGCTGTCTGGGAGTAACATTACTGGCGATGCCATAAGATCAAGTTAAAACAATTCAAAGATTTGAAATCTCTACGAAGCAACCCTGGTAGACTCCCGATTTGCCATCCACATCACCAACATATCCTAGCCAACCTGTTCCAAAGGTCCTGTTACTGTACTTCACTCAGTCTTAATTGGGCATTCGGCGAGATAGGCGGCACCGGCGAAGGAAGGCGACCATACTCTTCACCATCTCTTTCGGCAACGGCGCAGGAAGTCTGGCAGGTTTGACGTGGAGATTGTGGTCCGGATATTCAGGGGCGTCAGTCCATTCATCTTCGGGAATGGTGGCGGCGACATCATCAAAAGCTTGACCGCGCGACTCACCAAACGCCCAAGCCAACTCCTGAGGCGAGCATCTCTTGCCTTGAATGCTCTCCGGCATGTTTCTGTCGTTGACCGGATTCGTTCGAGTCTTTCGGTCGGCACCCAGATCCAACAGGATCCGAACAAGCTCGACATGGCCATTCGAAGACGCCAGATGCAATGGAGTCCAGCCCCGGGAATCTGGGAGCTCAAGTGCTGCAGAGCCGAATCTTTTTTCGTACGCTCGGAACAGGATGGAAAAATTTTCGTGATTGCCATACTTGGCCACAATATGCAGTGGCTTCCAGGCAATTTCAAGAAGGGACTCAAAGGCGTCGACGCCATAGTCCATCAGCAGTTGCAGGTCCGCTGGGTCGGCGAAGATCGCCGCGCGGTGCATAAGGCCCCAGCCACGATTGTCTAGACGACCTTCGTGCAGCACGTGAAATTCTTCGCCTCTAGCGCGTAACATGATGATGAACTCAGCTGCTGGCGGGTGTCGGAAGCCTTCTGCCATGGTCCCCGGCCACAGATAATAGAGGGGGGACCAGTCGTGGGTGGTGGAATGATCAAAAGAAGCCCCATAGGACAGTAATGTCCTGCATATCTCCAGCTGTCGGTGCTTGAGAGCCCAACACAGGGGAGACGTCTGCTTGACGCCGAAGGCTCGGTCCACGAAAGCACCTAGAGTAAGTAGTAGCTTGACAGCGTCATGTCGACCATACTGGATTGCGAGACACAACGGTGTGATCCCTTTTGCGGTGGTGTCATACGGAGACCCCTTTCGCAGAACTAGAAGTTGCTGCATTCTCACAACGTCCCCCTCCTGTGAAGCCCTCAAAAATTCGTGTTCGAGAGACACTTCGTGCGAACTGGAGAGGCGGCCTTGGCCAGGTAAAGCTCCTAGCCAGCGTTGCCAGACGAGACGATGCACAGCACGCGCCAAACAAAGAAGGAGTCGGGGCAAAATCTGCATCGTACGATTCGTATCATGGCGCGAGGGTACGACCGTGAGGTTCGTAATTGAGCCGAAAGCCCGCGACAAGATACCATGCAGATCGAAAATACGATTTATCTCCCGATAGATCCAGATCCCAGCATACTGGCAGTAGTGGAGAGAAAGTGGAAGACTGGCAACGTCCTCTTCTATGACAACCCATTCCTCCGTCTCAGTGATTGTTGTTCCCGTTCTTTGTGATTCTGGTACTGTTTCTAAAGACTGTAACCGATCGTGGTATGAATCATTCGCCATCGCTGAGCCAAGCCTGCATGAAAGTATAAGCTCTTCGTCTCTTGAATCATGAAGTTTCCTACCGTTGTAGCAGCAAAAGAGATTCAGCCATTGAGATATCCTTTTCCACTTCTGACACTAGTCTTTCGAATGCTTCTCTATCACCTGTCACCCAACGCAAGCGACTTGTCTTGGAGCGCTTGGCGACTGCTTTGGGCAGCGACTCAAACAATAAGACGATTCTTCGAGCCGGGTCCGAAACAAACTGTTTGTGCTCTTCTGGAAGGTCGCAGTAGAGGACTGACAGGGCTTTATGGATATTGTGTAACATTTCCACCCGGGCTGCCGCTCGATCGAGGTCATCAGGACCACGCTTCCATCCGCGGTAGAGGCGGACTGCTTGCACCCCCCCTCCTACCAAGGGGGCAATTGAGAAGGCGAGCCCCAAAGCCTCCATACTAGTAGATAGGAAGCTGGCAAGACTGGTGAACGCTCAAAAGACTCGAGGCACTCTAATGCCAGAACAAAGTCAGGCTGCGTCACTTGCGCAGGAGGTCTTCTCTCCTTTAAGCACATTGTAGGTTGGGCTGCAGTCTTCTTTGTCAACGCCCGTGCCTCTCACTGTGCCCCAGAAGAGGGATAGCCGGACTGTTGATAATGAGGCTGTAATATTGATTCGTCGTCTCCCCGGCCGCTCTCAACCAATCCAAGATCGTTCAGCCGATGCAGGTCGACCGCCTCAGAGAGACAACACCAATGCAGACAGCGCCCACACACATCGGGCAAAATGTCGAGCTGGCGAGTGCATAATATGCGAATGAGTCTCGATTGCAGCTCGTGGGCGTGCCACTCAGCATATTTTGGCGAGGCGCCCGGTTCGACGATGGTTCAGGCAATACGACATGGCCACGTCGAGGTGCTGGCGATACTCATGGGATTGGACTTGCCAAGATGGTTCAATGGTTTTCGAACTGCACAGAATACCTATCCCCCAAAGAGGGTGTCTGCAACTAAGAGCAAATTAATGAAGGGAGGATAGGGAGGGTCGCTGGAAACGGACGAATTCCTCACGCAGGCTGATTGACGAATTCGTGCCGTGAAGCCTTTCGGTGTATTTTGGGTGACCCTGAGAATTTAATTCCATAGCTGATCTTGTGAATCAACAAAGGAGCGGCTGGGTGAATCGTCCTAGCAAGGCAGAGATTGTAGTGAGCAAGGGAGAATCACGAATTATGTTGGTCATGTACTTCTCCGTATGCTGGTGCGACTACGGCGGATCATGAGGGCTCAAGCGTGGCCACACGGGTTTGGTGACAACTCTTCGTACAGTCCCTATATTTATCGGAATACTCTGCTAGTTCTCAGTGCAATAACGTAACCATGTTGGGAATGTGCCCTCTCTATGTATCTGGATTCTACCGAGTCCTCGCTATATTGCGTACTTTGACCATCTTGTCCTGTTGAGGCTCAGCAACGTCTCAGGCACATTATCTTCCAAACAAAACTTCACGTTGGCTCCAGGTCAAAATATCAGATACCCACTGAGACCCGAGTAGCTGATAGCAGGTGAGTCGAGGCAGTTGACTCTCCAGAACAACAGTGAAGCACAGCAAGTCAGAGCAATTTCCCACCACAGTCATATCCCCAGTCGCAAAATGGTTCCCGCTCCCTCCTGACAAAGACTAAACCGAGTCGATTCCTGGCCGAAGATCCGTTTCCGCGGTCTAGAAGAGGTTCATCGGGCTAGTGAGGCGTCGACTCTTGAATTAGAGTTAGCGCTTTCCTACACTAAGCGCCACCCACCTCCATAAAACGGATATCCTCGTTTCCCACCGTGCTGCAAGTATGTCATATGTCGTTAGCCGGCGGACACCGCTAATTTCGCACTATTTAAACGCATGAACTTTCTCCAATCAGCCTTCTTGTCTCGGGGAAGTAGGGCGATCATGCGAATCTCCATTCAGGGTGGGCATAGAATGCCTCTCGACGAAAAGGACGATGGTGCTTCTGTCTCATGCCAATCCCACCATGCATGCCGAAACAGAAGGTCTCTACCAGAGACCGGACCGACGGAAAATCCTGCAGCTTGCCAACTCCGTGTCAACGTCGGCTCCACTTGTTTGGTGGATAGACGCTAACGGCTATGGGGACTCTCAACTAGTGGATGACTACACAGTATAATACCCCAAGGGACTGTACCAAGCAGCTCATCACTATCACACAAATAGAAATCGACAGAGACCCTGGCATCGGAAGCATGGAAAGTCAACCGGTAAAAAACCTTAACTCCTGGACTGTCGCTCGGGGCTTCTCTGCAATGGCTCTTCCATCTGGGAGTCCAGCTGGACCTTTCGATGGCCCACAGATTTGAGGCATGTTCTGCTCTGTTCGACTTCCTCCACTATTCTTCCCTTTCTTTCAGGGGGTTGTCTGAACTGGTGGATAGTGCAACCGCCGCCACGAGTGCACTCGTCTTATGGGCTTCTCAAAGGCCTTGATTCAAATCCAGCGAAATCGCCATGTGGCTGCTGGAGGCTTCGACCTCTTGTCGTACATTCTTCAGCAGAGCTGTACGTACACACGCTTCCTGCTCTTCAGCTGCGAACTTACACCTCTGGCAGTCAAATCCCCGAAACAAAAGTTCAACCTATTCACAACATGGATGCCTGCTTCGAACCTCTCTTAAGCATTGGCCGCCCTACACACAGACTTCTACCGGCAAAATTGACTGCACAGACGCTCATAATGACGACCAACGCCCATGAAAACAACCCGGGCCCACAAGGTGAGGAGACACATATCAGGGGTTTGTATCTACATTCTGACTGCCCTCAGACACCAAAGAGCACCTTAGCCAATTCACTCACCCATGGATCCTCACCCCCAGACGAAGAATGTAAGAGCCTCAGCTATTGTCCCAGCGGTTCCTCTTCGATTCTTGTGGGCCTTTGACTCTTACTGTCACGAGCTCCAGCCAAGCAAAGACGACTAAGTTTGGCATGATCTTTGCTAACGGACTCGGACCCAGAGTCAAAACGACATCGATCAACTTAAACCTCACTCTTGGAAAAAGAAACGGCTACGGCACTGGCACTGGCAACGCGTCGTTAGTTGGCCATGCCGACAGACGAGCACCACCAGAGCTCGTCAAAGGAACAAAATCCCCATCGGACATATCAATAGCGGAGGTGGTTGACGTTGCACAGGGCGTGCGTTGGGCGTTCCGAGACGCAGCCGAGATCACCGAGCCGTCCCCAATCATTGATGGAAACGACCCGAAGCAGTGACAACGCCCACAGAACATCCCAAGTGCAGCAAAACCCTTTGACATCATCAGAGAGACCAAATAGAGATAATGAGAGTGTCACCCTGCGGGGTGTGTCACTTGAGAAGCATAGCTTGATTGTTTGTAGGATTCATCCACCGAAAGGCTTTCGAGCCTATATGGGTCAAGGTCTGGTTTAGGGAGCGTTTGCGTAGTCCCAGTCTCTGCATTTACTCTCTATAGACAAAGATATCCTCGTTACTCATTGGTCTCTGGGCTTACCACGTTCCTCGAACTTGAAAGGCCGACATAAGGCGTCCCATTGATATTCCTAGACTCTTTAACCACAATGTGCATGTCATTTCCTCCCTCCTCTCTCGGTAGCCAAGTTGTATACGCTAGGTTAAGTGTAGTCCTTCTCTTTGATGAATATCGAGTATTTGAAGTTATTGACTCCCCAGGATACTAGACTGAACGAATTGTGTAGGGCTGCGTAGAGGCCACCGGTAGATATAACGACACAGACTGCAATCTAATAGCTAGATGGCAGCCACAAGAGGATTGTCTCGCACAGAAGATTATCCATAGCGCTGGAGGAAGCGTAATAGCGGTTCCAGGGAAAGGTTGGCCGGGCGTGACACATGTGCTGAGGGCGTTTGTACCTCGTTGATGCGACAGAAGGATATTAGGTTCGTTCGTGAATCGCTTTCGGAGGGTGGAATCGCAACAGTCAAACGTTCGAGGATGTATCCTAGTGGACTTAGTGGTAGGAAGGAGTTCAATGTCGAGTCGGTGACATAGTGGTCCATATAGTGCAGTCAAAAATGCATTTCTGTCGCGGTCTCTCAGGACTCGCTGGGGCAGCTTACCGTACCCCAGAGCGAGCTTGAAGCAATATAGCTGTGGGGATGTATCTCGACTTGCTGGTCTAAGATCATCGCGTGATCACCTTCACAGAAACAAACATAGTCTCAACAGCTGTCGGCCGCGCATGTCATTGGAAGGAAGGCATAAGGATACTGGCAGCCTGGTAGCTTGGCTGACGGCTTCTGACGGCGCCACTGAACAGGAACCAGATCCACAGCCTGAGGCAAGAAAGAGGTACTAGAAAGGTAGAAATGGAAGATATACTTGAGAGTGCTATCTGTCGACAAAGAGGAAATGAAACCGCAGCCCTAGCAGTGCACTCGGCCTCGTGCAGGCAAGTCCTGACCAATCAAAGTCTCGAATAGAGCGCCGTCCTCTCAGTACAACACTACTCGGCTGCCAGAACTCGAGACGGCGGGTTTTTCAGTCGCACTGCCACGCTAGTCCTAATATAGTAATTCTCAGCGCGAGTGGATATCAGCCTCTCAACCAATCACAGCCGCGTATCAGCTGCCTGTGGACCCATACCTTCCAAGTGAGCCCATACTTCCTCGAGGATGAGAACTTCACCAGTAGTGGGCCAATGCTGCGGGGTTAGTGTCAGGGAATAACTTGGTGATCAAGCAGTTCAATGTATAGCGACGAAGCGGCAAACAAGGGCCTCGTTATTTCCCGAGGATCAAGCCAACGACTGGCTCAACCGGACACGTACGTATGAAAGAGAGGGTGTGCGATCCATAGCGGGACGCAACAAGAGGATTGATTGATGTATTGTACACTGTGCACGGGCCAGCCGCATCAGTCTAGCGAGACGTCCCAGTGGTCGAATGTGATAGAGGGACGAATTATCCAGGACCAGTAGAACAATACAGTTCAGACAATGAGAGGCACTGTACGGAGTAGTCATCATTACAGATCCGTGTGGCAGGAGGGCATCCGGATCGCGAGTTAAGGAAGCTGGTGTCTTCGATGAGGATATTAGAAAGGACGCTCTGAAGACAGTCGAGAACGAAACACGAACCTAGTGCTTGGCATTGGAAGTTGGAATCTGGGACAAACATACCCACGGCCAAGAGATTACAGGACGGAGAAGAGGTTCGCACATAGCCTGCAAGGCAATGTAAGGAAGGGGGCCTTGGGAGGAACGGATGGAGAAGAACAAGTCGAATATTTATTCGATTGTGATAGCTTCTATCCCTTTGAACTCCGTTGGGTATCATAGCGACAGGGTGCCACGAGAGGAATCCCCTGTTCCGCGTCTCTCTCGTAGATTAGAGCAAAGCAACGGACAAAACCAGTCCCAAAATCCATGAGATTTTCCCAAGGTGCCTTCGCTCATTTCTTTCCTGCTGCCGGCGCCAGCCCCGGCACGTTCGAGTACCTCTCGTCGCGCTCCGTCTTGAAGAGGACCTGGCACCAAAACTCCTTCGCGTCCGCATCCCACCACGTCCAATACCGCCCTTCCCTCCGGTCCACCTCGCGACTCTGCAACTTGAACCCGCACGTCTCGTACGGCTCGGCCGCCACCAGCAGGTACTGGTAGTCCCGGTCTGGATCCTCGACCTTCTGCTCGAAGGCGCTCATGAACCGGACGCGCGGCTGCACGTTGGGCGTGATCTCCGGGTACAGGAGTTGGAAGAGCAGGCCGACCTGCCGCGTGAGGGGATCGCGGATCTTGGTGATCTTGTACCCCGGGCGCCCGATCTTGACCATGTTCTTGCGCACCTGCACGCCCATCATGCCCGCACCCGTGAGGTTGCCGTCCTTCTGCATCTCCTTCTGTTCCCGTGCCGCACGTCGCGCCAGATTCGTCTGGTGTTTCCGACCCTGCGTGTGGGCGAGGTACGAGCCATCGTTCTGGTGCACCGTCAGACAGAGTCTGCACTCGAAGGAACCGACGTGGTTTTTGAAGAAGTAGGGGTCTTTGTCTAGGTCGATGGTTTCGAGCGCAAGCTTGCGCAGCCGTTCACGGCGGTCGGCGTTCGTCGCGGAGTGGGAGGCGACACCGCCGCCCCCGAATTTGGAGCCGGCGCGATTCTGATAGTCCATATTTGGAATGTAGTGGTGGATATTTGAGGCGATCGAGCAGCAAGCGGCGGTTGCACGCTCAAGAGAGTGGCGCAAGAGGCGAGCGCTGAGCTTCGGAAATTGAGGGCGAACTCGACGACAGAAAGGTGGCGGAGATGGAATTCAAGGTAATGGCTGCGTACAGATGGGAATATTTCCTGGATATTTCAGGTAATATGCGCTTGAGAGGAATCTGATAGAATTGGGACCAAAAGATGATCAAGAGAAGTTGGAAGGTTGAGCTAAGAATTTCATTTGCTCAGCCTTGCGCTTCTCCGCAATTCTCTCACAAGGCTGAATAATTCACTCTACGCATTTGATTCCCCTTAGAGGCGTTCGTTCAGAAGCTCTCACGTCGTCTAAGGGAATCAATCTTCTGTCTCAGCTATGTCGGAGTCATTCTATACCTCGTCGCCAACTGGGACTGGGCTGCCCATGGTGCCAATCTCGCCACCGCCTCCGACATCACCGACCAGCGTCGTTGGTGCACCGCCTCCCCCGCCTCCGCCAAAGCCCATATCTCATCTCTCCCAGACTGCCGACCCCAGCCGCTCTGCAACTCCGATTCTTTCGTCGGCACCTGTTACCGCTGGGCCTGCTCCGGCTGTGCCCAACAAAGTCGACTCTCCTCGCCCGCAGCCACCACTGCCGATCGAACAGCATGCAAGAAGCTCCCCTGTTCCGGGCCTGCAGGCGCACTCATCAATACCACCCCAGGAGCCCTACCAACCTATTCCTCCACCGTCCATCTCCGAACGCTGGCTTCCACCAAATGTCGCTAATAAACCTCTCAATGAGCTCCAATCCTTGCTCAATAATCCCTCCCTGGTCGCCAGCCTAGCCTCCCAGCACCCCTCTTATGCCTCTTCACTCGTCCCTTTGGAGAGGGCCATCCAGCAGAACGTTCAGCTCGCCCAGCAAGTTGCCCACATTGAGAGCCAACTGCGCGCCCTGCGTGATGACACTGCTCAGTTGCTCCTAAACCACACAAGTCTGCAGACGCAGTGGCGGAGAAAACAGACCGAGATGGACGATGCTTTGGCACCTTGGGGCCCGAGACAGATGTATCAGCGGTTGGCCTCGAGCATAAACGAGCAGGAAGCGATCTTAAAGGCTATGCAAGAGAGTTTCCTTGAGGGTGGGACTGCTGACAATGCGCATTATGGAGGCACCAACGACGGCAAGGCAAGCGAAAAGGAGGTCACCGAGTGGGTGAGGAGGATAAGAGAAGGTGCAACGACGTTGGAAAAGAGAAGAGAAATGCGAGCACGGTGGGATGAGGGAAGAGTGGGCGGTTGGAGGTGATGATGACTTCTCTTGCCTAAGAATAATGCCTAAGGACTATTTTAATACGCAATACCTCCTGCCTGGACGTCCATCTAACACCCCACGAAGCGACGACACCCTGATATCGAGTCGTTCACAGACCAAAGGCCAACCCAAGACACACCACAGCCCCAAAAATGCTTGAACCTAGTGCCAACCTCACGTCGGTGGTGAATGCACCACTCCCTTGTCCTGTCTGTGCCTTTTTCCCATATGCTGATCGAGACGCTGAGGCAGCATAGCTTGATTCAGCGGCAGCATGGCGAGACATAGATCCAGCCAGTCTTGATTGCTCCCACGCGCTGGTTTGTAATTGTCCATCCCTCTCTTCGCTGGCCCACTTGGACTTTTCCGACGCTGCCCTGGACAACCTTCTGGCCGTATCTGACTCCGCAGCGGCATCCCGAGAGACGGAAGCAATGAGATCCTTGTAACCCTGAATGGAGGCCACCCAGTTGTCAAGACTTTGCTTCTCTGGGTCATTTGTTGTTGCCTCTTTGATGGCGTAGCCGGTCATGGTGGGCGGGGGTGTGATGGTGGCATAGTAATTGGTGACGCTCGCAGGCAGTCGGGCATACCACCGCGGCTTCGAACCGCCAGAGAATTCCTTCGCCAGAGACTCTGCAGCATCGGGATCGTTGAGCATGGCGTCCCTGACTTCAGCCGGCATGGCAGCCTGGATCTCCTCACTGATCTTGGGATCCTGTCGAGCCTCGAGACGATATTCATCAATTGCATTTGAGCCGGCGACGGCGGGCTGCATCAGCTCAATGCTAAGGGCAGTGTCCGCATCGTCTGGGGATCGGAGATAGAGTTCAGGATCGAAAGGCGAACCGCCACCATCCTGGCGAGCCTGCAATTTGACCTCAGGAGAACAATCTTCAAAGGTGACGACACACCGTGCACCAAGGACACACTCTCCAGAATCTGTATCCGCAGTGCAGGAAAGGAAGCTGATTGCATCTTCACAAGCATCGCCAGTGATGGCGAAGCATGCCTGGTCTGTGTTTGCTGCCCTCTTTCGAAGCTCCTCCGGGAGATTGGGATAGGCCAGGATGTCCTGGACCGGAACAGGACTGCGGATTTGGTTGTTGAGCTTTGGGACCCGGGGAATCAGCTCCAAGCCGTCCTCAAGATGTTTGCCCTCCTGCTCTGAGAGAAAGGAGGCGGAGCCAAAAGCCAGCATGGCAGAGAGGAAGACAAGTTTGCTCTGCATCTTGAATGCCGGGTTGATGAGCAGATGTGTGGTTGACTGAGAGACCTAGGGTCTGAAGAGGGTGGAATGGAGAGATAGCGACAGAATGAGCGGATACAGCTGCTAAGAGTTGACGGCACGAGCCCAACAAGCGTGGATACCTGGAAAATGAATGAAAGTTGGGACGGAAACGATGTGAAGAAGAGAAGGATTGCAGAGACAGAACATGAGCTTAAGAGATAGTCAAACAAATGGGAGGCGCCTGCCTCTTGATTGCGCTCTTACCCAGACCTCAGACTTTGGGACGCCATTGAGGGCAGCCACTGTAAACAAGCAACAACGAAGTGTCGAGCCAAGTGTGAAGCATGAAGGGGAGACAAGAATTCGAGCATGTTGAGATTTGTTGACGCAACTGAAAAGACGTGAGACGTGATGCACAACTCTCCGTGGTGTAGAATCCCCGTATATTAGATACACATTGGCTGATGCTGAATGAAGGTCCCCTTTCTCGGACTTTCGGTCAGCTCGGTCAATCGCTCTTCAAGGCTGTCAAGCCGCGCCTGCCTCAGCCGAGTTGGACGTTCGCCCTCAAAGACCGACGACCGAACAGCGAAGGAGCATGTATTTTAACAACCATACAATAAGCATCAGAGTCGAGAAATAGGCATAAAGCAATTATATTTCCACCGTCTATGAGTTGCGGACTCTTTAGCTCGCCCCTGGCCACCAAGGGTCAGACTCTGTAGCTGACATTTACGCGCGTTCTGATTGGCTGCATGGAGGTGCTTCGCCAGTACCTTCAACCTGGAAAGTACCACACAACGACACTTCAAATCCCATAAGCACAGAAGAAAAGGAGAACACTCACAGTCACTTCTTCCAGACCTTTTCGGGGACTCTGTTCAAATACCCATTTCTGAACACGAGTCGACATCTTCGTCCCGCCCTTCCAAACAGCAAAAAGTCAGGGTTGACGGGACTTAACAACAACATGGCACCTGAGAAGTGGTGCTCCGAGATGACTCTCAACTCAAAACCCGCGAGCCAGCAAAGAGAAACACTCCCTACAGCAGCAGACCTCGAAGCCAACCGGCCGCTGTTGTCCAGGACGTCCACCCTCCGAGAGAATTCTTGCGATCATACACCATCCATCTTCCCTTCAGATAAAAGCTCCCAACGACGCCGAAGATGGTTTTGGCCAGACGGGGATTTTCGCATCAACGCGCGAGTCGTATCTGATGCGATACTGGGGCTTTCAGATGGACTCACCGTCCCATTCGCTCTCACCGCCGGTCTGACAGCTCTGGGGGACACAAGGGTGGTCATCCTCGGAGGACTCGCAGAGCTGATCGCGGGAGCAATATCAATGGGGCTCGGAGGATATGTTGGTGCCAAAAGCGAAATGTATGTCCAAACACATGAATCCGCAGCACGACATCGCACGTACTGACCTCAGATAGTGAATCTTTCAACGCCACAGACCGCAACTGTGATCAGCTTCTGCTGCAGGAACCGCAAGCCGCCAGGGACTTTGTCCAGGAGTATTTTCAACATTTTGGACTGTCGGCAGAAGAGACAACACGAGTGGCCGATCACATGGAAGCGTCCGCGCCGGTGCTCAAGGACTTTCTCATGCGAAACCATTTTCAAGCGTCCAAGCCAGACACGGGTCGGCCGTATCTCTCAGCACTTACGCTGGGCATCAGCTATTTCACCGGCGGATTCATCCCATTGATCCCATATTTCATCGTTGCCCGGGACAATGTTCTGGCCGGATTGTGGTGGAGCATTGGCCTCATGGCGGTCGTACTGCTGGTTTTTGGATATGTCAAGACGGGAGTGGTTCGGGGCTGGGCTGGCAAGGAGAATTACCAGGCTTGCACGGGAGGAGCGTTACAAATGCTGGTTGTGGGTGTTATTGCCGCTGGAGCAGCCGTGTGCCTGGTTCGATTTATCAGTGGCGAATGAGCAGTACCCTAGAAGTGCTTTTTCCCGTTCTAGAGGGTTTCCATGCTGCGTAGACATGGTCCCGTCTTGCTATTTGGCGAGATGAAAAAGTCAGATTCACCCTATGAACCTGTGGCCCGTGCATAGAAGTCTGCCGGTCGAATGATAAGAGTGCTGCTGGGGACCGGTGGGTAGCCGGCGACTGACTCGATAGACCCGGTATAACGGCGTGGTGGGTGGGCCTTTGATAGAGTTTTTCAGCAACGGTCGAGTTGGGTTATTCGTGTATACCGAGTGATAGACCTCGGCAAAATAGGACTACTTTGGTATGAAAGGCGTTGAAGGGCAATGATACCCTGGGATGATGGACGAGAATGCGGTGGGTGATGTAGGTGGCGGAAGCGTCGCAGTCGCAGGCGCAGTCGCAGTCAGTGTGGGAAAAGGCGAGAGAAGAGTAAGAAGAGTGAGAATTCGGATCCCGCCCACTTCGTTCCCTTTCCTCCCTCCCGCCGCCCACTCGCCGCTCACCTTTCCTCGGCTGCCTGCACCTTTTCCTTTTCTCGCAACGCTCACACTTCTCGCTATTCTCTTCTCTGTCCACAGTCTCTATCGCCCAACTAAGTTTTTCACTATCCTCGAAGCGAGCTATCATGGCTATATCCCCATTCGCTGGACCAAATATTCAAAGTCTGGGTATGCAAGAGCTCGGGCCTCGCAGGTGGCAGCAACACATGGCAAAGATACCCCGGCTCACGCAACTCATGGTTCAGGAACCCAATTCTGACCAGAGTTACATGCCCTCCAAGTTCATACGAGTCAAACCCCCGGCCCTTACACTTTCACTCGATCCTTCGAGGTTCCCGATGCATCGAACTGCCGTTCTCACATCCCAAGCCCTTGTTCGGTCGGAGAACGCTTCCCACTGCCCGTGACAAGAGGTACGCAGCCAGATTAGTCGATATTGCACATGGTTGAGAATGTTGGGAATACGAAGTATCATCCTGTCTATCCGTTCGACCCATTCCTTCGGCAAGGGCGCGACTATTGATTTTCGGTATGCAAGACTACGGTACTCCGTTAGTTGTCGCCCATCTATACTCCCAACCTCCTCCTTTCATATGGCCCTAGTCAGGTGTGGCTTGCGCGTTGCCTCCATCTCCTTGCTTTGTTTGCTCAATGAGAATAGTGTCAGTCAGTGGCTTTCTTGCTCGGACCCCTCGACCAAAGATGTTTGTCCTCTCGTCTATTGATGCCTCATCCTGTTGACCACCGCTGTCAGTCGGTCGGAGTCATGAATCCCTGCATCTAGCTAGACCTTGTGGCTCTCACCACCCTTGCATGAGAATATGCTTTTTGCCATTCCCGGTTCGCTTTTCCAGCGACCACCTTTGCTTGCTCTACACCGCACCAACTGTGGCGTTCAGAGTTGCTCGACGTTGAGCAGTCAGCAGTGCGACTCATCCTATCGGTGGTCATCCTGCTACAGTTTCTGCACGTTCTGGCGCATCGTGTCGCATTATGACTTTTTCTGGTACAGGGAGAAGACTGATTTTTTCGGCGTTGAGCACCTTTTGGTCAACATGACCCTTGTGACAACTGCCGCTGAGGTTTGAACAAAAATTAAGGTCTGCAGCAACCATCCGACTATGACAGTCTATCGACATGTCGCGTAACACAAACTCCACGCCGCTGGCCGATAGCCCAACAACCACGGGATGGGGTACAATCGACCGGGGCGAGAGCACTCAATTCCCATTTTCCAACACCTAGCAGTCTATCTTGATTTTTTTTTCCTTGCTGCCCTTGGTTGTCTGTCTTCGTTATGCCCCACTCAAAAGATGGTGGGCGGTCGACCGGGAACATCGCTCATCCCTAGTGTAGTCCGGATGTCTGGCCAAAGTAGGCTATTGCCCATCGCACGGACCATGATATATCCTACGCAGCCTTGGTGCCAGAAATTCTAGGATGGAATATACTTTAGCGTCTGCAATCAACCCTCGCATTCGACAGACTGGGCGACCGACAGACGGGACAACGGACAAGATGCAGGTTGCAGAATCCATTCAACACATGGTACCCTTGGGCGAGCATCTTTGCCTAATCGAGAACGTTTAACTACTGGGTAGGGCGATATTGTACCTTGCACCATTCAGTGCCACCTGTATGCACGGCTGACGTCTTGGGATAGAGTCTGCAGTGATATGCGCGAACCTGTCATACTGGGAACCGCTGGCAGCTTGCAGATTTTTTTTGTGGACACCCAGCGGTCTCGTCTCCCTTGCAGGAAACGAATTCACGCCCAGCGCCCTGCCCTGCAAGGAGCTCTAAGCCGCTGGCAAAAAGAAAAAGCTGACACGTTTGCTCTGAGGTCTTCTGGTCGCACCAGATACCACCAGCACATCAGTCCTCAGTGTTCAGACGCAATGGTGGCCGGGATACCAACTTTGTTTTCCTGAGTCGCTAGCCCACTCATTATCCGCTTCCGCTTACACGTGGGCAATTGCAAGCGAGCGAGGAACAACACACCGGGACGGTGGGAAGAGGGTGTGTTGGGATTTCTCCCCGTGCCTGGAGCCTACCTCCCTTCTGCTTAGCTTTACCGGTTCCTCCTGCGGGATTTTTCGGCGACCTGTCTGACAACCCCCAATCGGCGGTCTTTGGTACCTGACCAGGTGGATTGGGCCTGGAATGGGTGTCCTGGCTCCATACCGGAGCGGGTCCTCCAACCAGGATATGCCAAGTTGGGCCCCTTCGTGGCTTGCATTAGACCAGGTACCACCCAAACTCCGGGTTTGCGCTCGGCCTCCTATTTGATGGTCATATTCAGGAACCAGCGAAAACCCAACGATATCATCCACTTGACCGCCAGGGGACTTGTCCACGGCACTGTTTCAAAACGTTTTCGGTCTAGGCTGGTTATGCTTTTGCACTCCCCTGCTCAGTTCTGAAAAATACCAGGATCTGTGACTGACTCCGTAGGGCTCCATTTTGGTCTTGTCCGTGGCGGACAGCGCCAACGCACCTGCGAAAATCTCTGAACGATGGAGGAAGGGAGAAAGGGTCCCATGTCCTGTGGGACTGGGGGCGCTGAGCTTGAACTCCTTCCATGCTCCTGGAGGTTTGTTGATGTGAACGTGGAGTTGTATGTGAAAGTGAACTCTACTTAAGGCGCGTCCTCCCCTCTGTTGTGTGATTTCCTGTTTCCGCAACATCTTGTCAATCCTTCCAACTTCTCCTTATCTGACAGCCTCGAGCAGGTCTCCAATCAGCATCATTCCTTAGCTGAAAAGACCCTTTGTCGAAAGAGAACACCTTTTAGGACACCACTCCTTTTCCATCTATACACAAACAGTCTCAGTGACTCGACTATATCAAAATCAAAATGCAGTTCAAGAACGTTGTCGCTGGCGCAGCCGTGCTGCTTGCCTCTGCCCCTGCTGTCCTGGCGGTGGGATCTGCTACTGTGGTCAACAACTGCGGATACCCCGTCTACTACGCATCTGTCGGCGGCAGCTCCAACCCTAGCATGCAGCCGCTCGAGGGAAGCTACAGCGAATCCTACTCCGAGCAGGGCGTCGGCATCTCGATCAAGCTCGCCCCCAATGCCACCACCTCCGGCCCAATCTCCCAATTCGAGTTCACCTGGGCCAACGGCAAGATCTCGTACGACCTCTCTAACATCAATGGCTACCCATTCTCTACTGGTGGCATGGAGATCGTCCCGTCCATGCAGAACGACCCTAACAACCCAACCTGCGTCGTCGTCGACTGCCCTGCGGGTCAGTCTGTCTGCTCCGCCGCCTACAATGCCCCTGATGATACTCGCACCATGGTCTGCGACCAAGACTCCAACCTGGTCTTGACCATCTGCCCCGGCGGTTCGAGCAAGCGAAGCGTCGCCGTCAGCGAAGGACACATGCACTACCGTGTCCATGCTCGTCATCTGCCCAAGAAGGCATAGACGAATCAACGTCGAACAACCAACCAAGCCACCAGCATATTGCCACTTGCCATGTTTTCCCAGACTCTGTGTGCGCAGCTAGCTCTGCCGCCCTCTACCGACTTTTACACTGCCTGCAAATACGCTCTTTTACGGTATCATCCATGAGTCGACACATGGACATATCAACGCCCCTGCAGGTTTCGTACCCGATCTCGACGATCACCAATCCTTCTTCATCAACTATTTTGTCCCGGCGACAGGTCTCCCGTGGAACACCGGAAAACAACAAATGGCAATATGCGTGGCTACGAAAGCAACAAGTAAACAACAAACTCACGAACTTGCGAATCACGTCATGAAATGACTGATGATCAGCAGCGGCGGCGATGGTGGGCAATGGTGGCTGGCGTTGCAAACTTTCTTTCCTCGATCTTTTTTTGGATTATCGACATGGCTTGAGGATCCTTGATCGGGCAGTTACCAGACGGTGATGTCATGGTCGGACTCATCGCATGTGCAGATGGTGGGAGGAAAAACACTACTGTTATAGAGCATGGATACATCCCGGAGATTATCGAAGTAGCCCAGCAACGGTCCTCAGGACGCTTGCTCTGCACGAGAAAAATCTACAAGGGTATTATTGCATGAATGTTAATAGACTTCGCTTCTTGGGATACCAAATACATAGGGACATATATACAATGGAAACAATGAGCAATCTACACATGACCTGGATACCATTCTTTTCCTACCGTTGAATTGATTCAGCGGTTGTTGACGTTGGAACTCTATGGCACGGGACGACGGCGGTGGTGGTGGTTGTTGAAGATGACGACAATGCACCCAGTGGCGTTGGGTGGCGTTGGGTGGCGCTGACTTAGGCGCTTTGACCCCCTTTTAGCGGCCAGCCACAAACCCAATGGACTCCCCTTTCCCCTGCGTTACTGGATCACCTCCTTTCTCGCTTCTTTTTGCCCGCTGTCAAGCTTTTCGGCTGCCCGAGCTCTTGACTATCATAGCTCCCTTGTCAGGGGGCAGGTGCTTGGCGCTTGTTCCTTGTTCCTTGTTTCCCACGAGCCCCCCTCAACAGGCTTGCATGCTTGTTTGCTCGCTGATCAATGATCGTCAGGAACTGGACCTTCATGCCAGCAGTTTGAAACCGGGTGGCTTGCGTCTCCCCCACCCTATGCGAGGAGGAAGCTAAGGTGAGCTTCCCGGTAGATGGGAAACGGCTATGGCTGTATTGTTCATGAGGAGGCCACATCACACCCCCGTACTCGAAGTGTATATCTTACCGGCAGGTGCATGCATGGACGCATGCTAAACCCGCAGCGACCTTTCTCCCCGGCCTCGGGGATGATGACTACTACTGCGTACTACTGGGTCAGAAGGGGCGGCGGCGGTTCTCCCACGACCTGAAACATGAAACGAGGATAGCTCTAATTTTACACTCGTCGTCAGCGGACTCAACAAAAACCCGAAGCAGACGGGACTCGATCACACTCATCACATCACTGGCCAGCCAGCCAGCCGGGCCTGGAAGGAAGGAAAATTGGACTTATCGTGATCACGTTGGACGGACGCTCTCCTGCGTACTACGAGTTATGCACTCGTCCTCCGGACTCCATACGAGGTACTGTACACTGCCCCCCTAACGAATGCTGTTGTTTCCGGAGATACTGATGGGTGGAAAAAGATGCCGTGTGGAGCGACTCACACATGGGCAAGGGAAATAACCAATTACGAGCAGCAAGAAAACAAAGAAGCAAACAAATCATCAACGGTACGGAGGCACTGTATACTTCGTACCGGGTTTAGCCCTTCTCTTTTTTGGATCCCGGAAAAATTAATTATTAACCACATATTCCAAGACTGAGATGTTGTGTTGTGTGTTTCTGAAACGCGGCTCGGAGAGGGCTAAGATCTCAGGAGAAAGGCAAGGCCAACAGCCCCACCCTTTCGTTACAGATCACACGCACACACAGCTCGCCAACGACGTGGGAATAATAGGAGTACGCAGAACAAGTATGTAGGAGACTGACTTAGATCTAAGCATCGGATTTGTCGATTGCAGAAAGGTCCCGACGGGGTTTTGGTCCGTCCGTCTGATCCTGCTACCGACCGGGTCTTGTTTTGTTTCCATTACCGCAATGCTGGACAGCTGGATTGTGGAGTTTTGGGGGGGGGACTTCTGCAAAGTGAGTGCAAATAATAAACAAACAACCAAATACGAATAGATAATAATAATGGATGGATGAGAATTATGATTTGCATGGACATCCATACCCCTGAGGCTGAGACATTCATGTCCACCCGGTAGGCATACCCCTGTTTTGTGCGCGGGGGCGAGGCTGACTGACAGGCAGGCTCATCGAGCGAGCTCAGCTTCACAGGCATGCGAGGCACCCCACAAGCTAGGTACCTGCCTCGCTGGTACCCATACGCAGGTCCCGGGGCACCGGGTCCCTCATCACTAGCCTAGCCCACTTGGCCCCCAACTCGAATGTGGAAGTTGGACTCTAGAGCCCTAGTAATAGACCAAAACCAAACCAGAATCCTTCAGCCTCATCCTACACGCAGTGAATATTGACCTCCGTCTATTATTATCGTTATTATCTGGAAAACATGAGTCTGATGCACTCGTAGTCCTCGTCCTCATCTTGTTGAGCCACGGTCTCGCTCCATTCATTTGAATGCTCGAAGCAGACTTCGACAGGTTCTCTTCTTTCTCCACGTCGTGCCGGAGCCGTTGGGAACCAAACAAAGTAAATCACAAGCAAGTGATGCCAGACTCGACTCGACGTCGGACGGCTAAGGTCGATTGTCAGTACGGAGTAGTAGTAATCGGCCACGAAGGAACCTTTCTACTGCGTACTCAAGCCTTGTAAGCCTCGACGTCAGAAAAGGAATTTGGTGATCCACCAATTTCGGGGTACGAGCCAGGTAAGGGCAGGTATTCCCGAGGCGCTGAAGATTAAATTCGGAAAAGGGCCGTGATTAGAGTGAAAACATACCTCGAGCTCGTGAGCTGGTGATACTATGGGCAATGGTTTCTCAGATGGACGTTCCAAGGTGGTATCTGGAAGACCTGACTCTTGCGAATGGAATATCCGGATAATTTATCAATATAGCCAGGCTGAGCCGCATTCCAGGTCTCAAGTTGTCAGCCTTGTTGGCATGCTCCTACCACACTGCCTGCACCTCAGAATCTGGTTATACAAGCGGAAAACCTCTCTCGTAGGAGGAACGAACAACGGAACGTCCTGATCAGCAGCCTCAATGTTTCATGATATTTGTAAGTCCGAAGTTCATATTTCTGCGTGGCGATATTATCGTCCACCCCATCAAAGGTCTGTAAATCATGAATTCTGGCTGTTCATAGCTGTCTCCTACACAGAAAAACTACCCAGCCAACAGGAGTCAAATTTCCAGTGCGATCTCGAGCATAGCTACGTACACGTTCCCATTCATGTCCCAATGTCACTTACCAGCAGTGAAGAAGCCACCACCATCGTCAGCCTGGGAACAAACTCCTGCACAGTAGCTGGCTAGCTATGGATCTGAAGGCAAAGGATCTTGGTGCCCGGTCGAGTCCAACCACGATCGGCGAGACATGTACAAGTAGGCACAGCATTCGCGAAACCATCATTGTATGACTGCCTGATCCACCAAAGTCATAGTCACATAAGTAAAGCCGCGATGGCCAAGGGCCTGTCCATTCATCAAGCCGTGGATGTAACACTCCCCGACAAGGACGTAGCCGCTGCCTGCCCTCCGAACAATATGAGGTGTCGATGCGCCGGCGAAGATGCAGACTTCATCCGTCGGCTTGCTCCAGGCCGGTACCAGTCCCACGTATCCATCGCGTGTGACGGCAAACCGCCTGCCGCCGAGCTGCGCCGTTTGCGCGGTCGCGAACGCGTCGGATTCGACGTCCAGCCGTGCAAACTGGTGCATGTCGATATATCGACCGGCCCGACGGTCCAGGGCCAAGCGGAGGTAGTCACACCACGCTCGATAACTCTGACCGTACGACGCGTCGGCCGTCTTCCCCAAATGCGACATGTTCCCGATTCGCGTCCTCCACTGTGCCTCTTCCACCGTTTCTCCCGTCGGGTAGTAGTGGAGGTTGCCAGCGAGATCTCTGCACTCCTTGTCCCAACGAGGGTAGGTGTTGAGCGCTTCCTCTTCAGAATTCGTGGGATTCAGGACACTGCTCAGCCTGGAGACATAGCTCACGATACAACCCGACAGCACCAGCTCTCCACCGGAGCACTGTGGGGTGAATGTTTCGCCTATGCCGGAAGCAGCATGGGTAGGATGAACGTAGAACGGAATTCCCGCCATGACAGCACCGGCATCAAAACTCCAGTCGGGGACCCAGCTCGGTAGTCCCAGGATGCGTTTCGGGTGGCGCACTTGACTCAACATCTCGAAAACCTGGTGGTTGCTCACCATCGTTTCGGCGACGCCTCGGAACACGTCGGCGACAGGACGATATTGCTGTCGATATTCCACATGTCGGTGGAATTTCCACCCGTCCCGCGCCAGACCGAGCAAGGCAAAGACCTTGTCTCGTGGCAGCGTGGCGCCAAAGTTCTTGGTGGCCCGCAGAAGGCTGACCATCGCCAGCTTGGAACCCTTCTGAACACTTTGTCTCAAGTTGAACATGACTGCAAAATTGGTCACGGTGTCAACGCCGCTGAGTTCGGGGACTTCTCGATGCAGGGGCAATCCGAATTCTTGGCACATGTGGTACAGTGACTCGAAGACTTTCCACTCGACCCCGTAGGCACCGCAGGATACCATCACTCGGGGCGCAAGGGCAAGTTCTTGAGCAATCCACGCGCGCGAAAACCATGGGCGTCTGAGTAATCGGCTGAGAGCATACCACTTGGCGTCATGCTTGGATGGAAGTCCCAGTCTTGAAGGATCGTCGAAATTGAGACGACTCACGTTGGCCGGGTACATTGATTGCAACTTGTTGGCCAGGTCGACGACAAATTGCATGGCTAGGTCGCTGTCGCTCGACCTCTCACCCAACCAAGCGTGAACCAGTTGTGCCTTCTGGTAGATCTGGTCCATCATCTTCACCTGCTCGGTTTTTTCTTCTTCATCTCCTTGGTTGATGCAGAGCGCGTCAGCCCAAATGACCAGGTTCGAGGGCTTGCCCTGGCGGCGCAGTTCTCTGAACGCCACATAAAGACTGTCAGGGACTTCGATATCGACTCCGTTGCACCTGATTTGCCGTGTCCGCTGGTCGTCGCCCCAGCAATATGAAAGTGCATCATATATGGGATTGGCGTCGAGCGAGACGTGCTTCAGATGGCCACGAATGGGGGCGTCGAAGGGTTCATCCAACAAAGTAAACACCCGGATCTCACGGGCAGAGGCGAGCGGTCTGTAAGAGTATGGCGGCATGTCGTCCAGTACATTCACGGGCCTTTCGAAGAATGGGGCTGAGGGTCACAGACGAAGAAGAATGCAGGAGGGGTGACGGGCTTGTCAAATATATACTCTAGCTCGTCCGACTCCAGGCGGATTGGACGCATCGCCGATCGCTTGTCTGATACGAGTCTCTGGGTTTAGATTTTCCGCCACGAAAGGACCAAGGGATAGTCGCTTAGTCGTTGTTCGAAGCCGTAGCCACTCCGACACAAGCACCAGGATGGCTGTGGTTGGTGCCGTCAGGCTGATTTACATCCTGGACTTTCCAGATAGGAACTAGGTGTCCACAGCGCTCTGCCTGGCATATAAATCCGCCTCGACTGGACTAGCACAGGGCTTCGAAATCAGACAATCGGTCCCTTTTTTTTTGGCGAGAATTCAGACATTGCACCAGAGATATCGTACATACCAGTGTTGTTCGGAGGCCAATTCCTGAACGCACGGGCTAGCTCCAGCCTAGGAGGAAGCTAGAGTGGATATCTAAGTTCAGTCTCTGGTTAGCGACAAAAGTTGATTTGGCTGTCGACATTTCGTGTATAGATACTTGTCCTTGAATGGCAGAGTCATCTTTCAGCTGAACGACTAGTCTCACCGGTTAGAAAGTACCCCCTTCACGGGTATCTACCAGGTACTATCGCAGGCTGTTTCGAGCTTGTTGGCGGAGAATCATACTCAGACAGCAACGGACTCACCGTTAGGATCCTGAAATTTCAGGAAAACTAGACTATCCGGGCCAGGCTGCGAAAGACCGATCAGTGGACGCAGGAGGGAACCTTGGTCGTGGTTGAAATATCTCCTCGAGTAGGTAGAGTTGTTCGCGTAAGCAGGGAACCGTTCTCGCAAGTCTGACACTCACAGGCTTGCAATCAGACCTGCATGGAGGCTTTCCCGAATAGTCATGGTGCATGATCAAGTCTGCCAAGATGGATGTGAAGGGCGCCAGTTGAGGAATGCACGATCAGGCTGATGGGTGCTTTCGGACACGAGTCAGAGGGCACAGAGAGGCTGAGCTAACTCCCAAAGCCCCTTGAGCGGCTAAGAAAGGAAACAACCCCATGCCCCTATCACCGAATTCCGTCCGTCTCTTTTCGACCACTAGGAACACCACTCTGGATTAGTCGATAAAGAGACACTTGAAGATACGGCTGGACAACGAAGCATCGCAGTTGATTTTGAAGTGAAGTTATGGAACCTCATCACGTAAGCAAGAACGGGTCCCCACGTGACACATCTCCCGCGCGCAACTCTTTTCAACTCTAAAAGTTGCTTCCGCCTTCCTTCATTTTACATTTTGTCATGCACACGCCTCTTGCAAAACATCTACCCTCCTCAGGACTCACTCGATATCTTGGCCGTCCCAGATCCATCTTCTAATTTCGTGTCTCGATATCGAACAACAAACATGTCTTCCGGACAAGCCTACCAACCCCCCACCCAATCCAGCGGCTTCGCGACCGGGTACGCCGCAGGCGACGCCTCCGCCGGTCCGCTGGTCCAGTACGTGTGCGGCGAGTGCAACACCAAAGTGAGTCTGGGAAGAGGCGACGTCATACGGTGCAGCATGTGTGGGCACCGAGTGCTGTACAAGGAGAGAACGAAGCGGTAAGTCATTGTGGCCAGTGGCCCTGGTCTGGGCGGGTGGCTGATAACGATGACATCCAGGATGGTGCAGTTTGAGGCGCGATGAACGACGATTATCCAGCCTTCGATCCCATGCCCTGCCGATAGATACGAAACATACCCCGTGCGCGACGTCGGCGACGACTGCAGACGGTAATACAAAATGGCTTTTCTTGATTATGGTTTCTTGCATAGCCCAGGCGTTCTTAGGTTGGCTTCGCAAACGGGTGGCACTGCCTAACGAGCGGATAGATACGTGCATGGAGATACAGAATATTATGACTTCAGAACGAGTCCAATCCAGACAAGATGACATACAAGTTAACATTTGCTCTTTTGGAGGCCCCTCCGTTCCGTTCTATGCGCAATTGGTGAACTCTATGAACTTTTCAAACTCCTGCAGCGCTCTTCCGCTCTCTATGCACCATCGGGCCTTCTTGACGCCTTCTTTCCATCTTCCGCCCGCGGGCCCTCGCTCCGTGATGACTTCGCCGCTTTCACAGGTATCAGCGTCACAGACACCGCTCACGACCAACAACGCCGCGATATTCATCAGCACAAAGTGCAGGATTGGGTCGTCGGGAGGTCTTTCATTGCGCAGGATGCTCATCAACACGGCAGCATTCTGCTTCGGCAGACCGCCACCCCCGACCTGCGACAGTGGGTGTGCAGGCAGCCCAAAGTCGGCAGGCTCGAGCTCGAATCTCTCCACCCTTGAAATGTATCTGGGCGGCGCCTCGTCGTCGCTGGTATCATCATCCTCCTCATTCCGATCGCCCCGGTACTCTGGATTCTCGGCTTCTCTCAGCAGCCAACAATTCGTCTTGCCCGCACAACTGATCTCGTCGAGATCTTCCTGCCCGCACACCACGAGGGCCTTGGTCGCCCCGGACAGTTGCAGCGCCTGCGCGAAGACGGGGCCCAGCTCTTGATATGCGACGCCTACTACTCGAGCTTCGATATGTGCCTCCACCGGGTTGGCAAGTGGGCCCATTAAGTTGAAGATGGTCCTCAGCCCAAGTTCTCTCCGTACGGTCGCGGCGTATTTCATGCCGGGGTGGAAATTCGGCGCGTAAAGGAATGTGTAGTTTGTATGCTCGTACGCCTCTGGCAACTGCTCCGCACTCAGCGCCTCTATCTTAGGCGCCTGGGGCACGATCGCATTCAGCACATCTGCTGACCCAGACATGGAGGTCTGCGCTCTGTTGCCATGCTTGGCCATCATGAGGAGCGGCGACGCAATGATCGAGGCCGTCGTCGAGATGTTGAACGTCGAGTGCGAATCTCCACCAGTGCCCACGATATCGCACAGTCCACCCCTGTAACCGCCCACAGCTATCCCCCCGCGCCTCCTCTTCTTCCGCACGACCTCTCTCAATTTTTGCTTATCCACCTGCACCGCGGCGTCGCGCATGCTTGCGGCGCATTTTGCAATCACATCCGGGTGTCGATCTTTGCCCGTCGAGTGCAGGAGCGTGAGCAGGGCTGCGAGCTGCGTGGGGTTGAGTTGGTTATCGAAGGTGCGGGAGAAGGCCAGCGCAATGTCGTCGGCATTGACGCTGTTGTCGTGAGGTGGAGGGGCCGACAGCTTTTTCAGCAGCGGGGCGATCGAGACGTACTTTGGGAGAGCAGACGTCATTGTGTAGTCTGAACACAGGGCAGACACAAACACAGAGGAAAGAAGAAGGAGAATCAGCAGAAGACAATGCTGAAACCGTATTGCGTTGTTCTGGGAGATTCTCAGCTTGTAGGCATTGGTACAGGGTACCTTACGCCGCAGGGTGGTGAGTCAAAAGCGTATGCATGCATGTGGCTGCGGGGCACACAAATTGCTTTGCTGCTGTGGAGAAACAGCGACATCACTGAGTGGGAGAGAGAGAGAATCCCCTGTCGGCTTGGCAGGGCAGCTGGTAAGGGACTTAGTCTGTGGCCCGACCTTGTCCTTCTGGCTATGCAGGGTTGCAGGTATGTGATAATGAATACTTGGTCAGGCCTCGGAGCGGCACAGGAGTGTATAGAGCCCTGCAGAGGAATAATATCTGATGTACCCATTCAGCCCACCAGCTTCTACAGTTTGTGAACCTGCAGGTGCATAGCATATGATATGTGCCGCGGAGGCCTCGGGATAGAGAACCACGAGATTTATTGTTTATCAGCCTACAAAGCCAGTCAGGACAGCTTCTTTCATGCCATTCCCTGCACTGCTGTGTTTGAAGCAGGATTTGACCGTCAAGTCTCGTTTATGACACATTAATCAACCTACAGAATCCAATATCATCCTCAATGAAGACAATGGCGACGGTCGGTCCAGACCCAGAGCAGGTCGTCACCCTTCGCACCAGCGGTAGAGTCGCTATCATAACACTCAATAACCCCCAGAAGCTCAATGCGATGAGGCAACAGGATACATTCCGCCTATCTTGTCTTCTACGTCAGGTAGCAGCCATGGACGAAATCACAGTGACCGTCGTCACGGGGAAAGGTCGGTTCTTCTGCGCTGGGGGCGATGTGACGTCCCGACGGCCGGGAATGGACAACGACCACAGAAAGGAGACACATGAGCTCCGCGACCAGGTTCTCCGCAGCTTCGTGGCCAACACATTCGATGCCACTTATTCGTTCAGCATGCATCCGAAGATCCTGATAGTCGCACTCAATGGGCCAGTCGTCGGACTCCATGCGGGTCTTGTAGGCTACGCCGACTTTGTGTATGCGGCGCCGCATGCCTACCTCCTCGCTCCGTTTGCGAGTCTGGGCCTGGTCGCCGAGGGTGGTGCGAGTGTCGGGCTCGTCCAACGGCTTGGACTGCCCCTTGCCATCGAGGCACTCCTCACATCGCGCAAGATACCCTGCAAAACGCTCCTTCAATGTGGATTCATCAACAAGATCTTCTGCGGAAGAGACGACTCTGACTCGGATGGCTTTCTGGAGCAAGTTCTCGCAGAGGTGAATGAAAGGTTTGCGGAGCACGTGAACCATGAAAGCGTCTTGAAGATCAAGGCCTTGATCCGCCGGCCGGTCTTGGACATAATAGATGCCCAAACTTTGCGAGAGGTCGCTGATGGCATGCAGAGGTTTGTCGATGGTGCGCCCCAGATGGAATTCAAAAGCGTTGCTGAGGGCCGCAAGAGGCATAAACTTTGAGGCCCCAGAATCGGTATCAGAACTCGTCCGGAGTGAGGATGCATTAGAACCGAAAACTCAAGTTTTGCTCCTTTCGCCCTAGCTGGGCCTCAGAGCCTTTATCGATCACACTCTCCTAGGACCGGATATTTCATCTCCAGGAAAGTGTTGCTGAGACAGAAACATCTCAAGCTCCCTGCGGAAGTTGCGGGCTAGACCGTCTGGGATGCCTTGCTGTGTCGCTAGGATGTAAAGGTCAGACCTGATGTTCTCCATGGCCCTCAAATCCTCGAGAGTCCACATCTGAGCCAAAACGGTTTCGTACGCTCTTTCAACGAGCTGTCTCTGCATGGGAATCTTTGTCCTCCCAATCTTCCATTCGAAGAAGTGCTCCATGATAGTGTCTTCCTCTCCCGGCTCACCAAGCAAGCCAGGTGGTCTGACCGGGTGCGATGATGTGTGATGGACTGCTGGAGTTGAGGTCGGATAGACTTGTCTAGGATCCACCGTTTCCTGCAAAGCTAGGCCTTTCACTGGCCTTCTGCAAGGTGCGACTGGCTGCAAGTGAAGCTCATTTTGCAGTTGGCCAATGGTCACCTGGCTGGGCGGTGAACTATAGCTAGTAGGGTCCTCATGGTGGAAGTCATCAGGTTGTGTTGCGCCTGCCATGCGCATATGAGCAAGGCTCATATCAGACAGTAGCTCGATCTCAGCTGGAGTCACTGCACCGAGTTGTGATAGGCATGGAAAGAGCCGCGTTTGTGAAAACATCAAATTGTCAAAGCTCGGTCTGATACTGATAGAAGGGGGAATTGAGTTCTCGGTCGAGGGCAGAATGTTGAGTTTCAGAAATGCAGCCTCGAGTTTCGAAGGCAGGAAAGCCTCAGACGCTCCGTCAGCTCCAATTGAGTCCAAAATGTGCATACAGTCGTAATATTTTTCCAGTCTGCTTCTCTGTGATATCTGCATCTGCGGCATGACGTCTTGAAGATGCACCAGCATAATTGGGAGCAATAGAGTGACTCCCCTAGGTGCCATATGTGTGCCCATTTCGAGGTTCTTGATGGATATAGCGACATGCGCAACTTCATCTGCAGCGTCACGTAGCTTAGTCTGCGATAGCTGATGGTATGATGCTGGTAGCGTTCCAGCCGTTTCAGAGACCTGGGGCCTGTGGAGCGCGATCATTGCCGACAGGAAGAGAAGTTTCAGATGTGCTCGGTGCATGGCAATGATATTGGACGTCTTCATGAATGCACAATCCGTAGGGTCGCGGAGGTCGAATTTGCCGGCGTTAGAGAGACCACGATACCATTGTTGTAGTTGACGGTCGAGCTCCAGGATCTCAAAAGCGTTGGCGGTCGAATGCCTTGGGACAAGTATCGTCATCATTCGGCGGTCTGATTCGTAGCGAAGACTCGAATATCGCGCTTGCAGGATCTCGTTTATGCAGACACAAAGTTTTGCTTTTTCGATGCAGAGAGTTGCTAGACGAATCTTACTCCTCTGACCATCAACGAAATTCCACTCTTTGAGCAAATGGGACACCCCAGGAGAGAAGTCCTGTGTCTCGAAATCATCCAATTCAAGCATAGGTAGATGTCGATGCCGCGCCCCAAGTTGTGGTGGAGTCCATGTCATGAGCGCAACAAACTGGTCGCGCATGAAACAACACCACCATAGTCTCTTGAGCATTCGATGTTGCTTGGTGCCACAAGTTTCGAGATGGAGATCCAAACCTAGATCCTGGGCAAGGGTAACAGCGGCTCGAATCCAAAACTTTCGCTCTTTGTGTGTTTCGCGGGCATCGTACCAGTATGTCAACAATAGGAAGGCTTGTACAAGCGAAACTCGATCCATTTCACAGTCCAAGTCATAGAGCAACTTTGATGCTTAGCGGTGGCACATGGATGGGGATAGTGTACTTACCCGTGTTCTTTCGAAGAATGCGCGTCTAGCGAGCTTTCTTGTCTTAAACCCCAGATCTCTCAAGACCCGCATGTCAACATGTGCAGCCCCAGAGCACATGACAGCATAGAAGAGTAATAAACTGATCTTGGCCTCCGAGTCACCTTCGAGCATTGGAGCCAAGAAGGTTTCCACATCAAGTAGAGGTAACAGGGGGTAGCTGAACAGAAAATAACTGCGCAACAGTTCATTCCTACAGTTGACATTTGGTACGTCGAAGACTCCTTTATGGTGCAAATAAGCCGTATCTTCAAAGCTGAGGTCGGCGGCCAGAGGGCTGATGAAGTTCGGTAGACTTATTTTTGGAGACGCTGTCGATGCAGGCACAGGGTTATCACAGATCATCGGATCTGGACCACTCTCTTGATGGACGGACAGGCGACTGGGAGAGCTGGATTTCGTCCGGCGTCGCTTTTCTGACCGCTCAGGCTTACTCTTGCCGGGGACGCATTCAATCGCATCAAGACGACAATTGGTGCAGGTGGAACCACGTATCCTCCTATCACATCGGATTTTCCTACTCTGGCAATGTCTGCATGCTTGAGTTGTCCGCTTGAATGCCGGTGCCGGTGGCTGGAATCGGGATTGACAGGGGAGCATTTGGGCGACTGCTTAGCTCGTCGGAGGAGAGAGGTAGAAAGACGGTATACCCAACCTCGGAATCAAGTCATGCTCGGTAGAAATAGCAGGTGCACCTATTGGGATAATGCAGGCGCGTCAGGAATTGATGCTGATGTGATGGCCATTAAACATCCACAGTATGAAACGAGGTTCAGAGCTGCATTGATAGTAAAAAAAAGGCTCCACAATATTTGCCCCGCAATTGTCACGACATCGACTTCCAATAATTAGGATGCTACAAGTAGGTCGGTCGACTGGTAATAGCAGCGACGTCGGCGTAAGGTCTCTTGGAGGACTCCGCACGAGACTGAACTAGGCCCGATTCGGAAGGATATCTTCGCTACTCACCGCGGAGGCCTCGGCGTAGTTGCTTCAGCCTTGTATGGAGTAATCTGGATCCCCACACTTTCCTCGGTGAAGCATTCAATGGGCTCTGTGAGGGCAAAATGCTCTCCGCATTAGCACTAGTTCTCTCTTTGTTATTCGGGCAATCTTTGCCGCACAGCCGAAATACTTGCTGCACTTGCTGCCGCGGCTCTGGGAAGGCCGTAGGTTCCTTTTCGAGCAGAAATGTTCCATGAGCAGACTTTTTACCAGTGCATCAGCTTATGTTGATTTGAGAATCATCTCCGACTTACGTCTGGATACTTAGACTGGCTGATGACTCGTCCTTCCGTGTTTGATCCTCACAAACACCTTTCCCAGAGACATACACGATGCCGTATCTGGCGCAGGAACATGTTCCAATTCCGGGAACAGATTTGCTGACATGGATGTTTGACCACCATCTTCCATACGATGAAGACAAGCCGGTATGATTGAATGCTGCTAGCTCTGTTGTTGAAAGTGGGATATCAGTCAATGTACTCACAGTTTATCACAGATATACATTGATGCATCGAACCCTTCGCGGTCAATATCCCGCCGACAGGCTCGCAAGATGGTCCGCGAGCTTGCAGCCGGACTTCGTGGTGCCGGCTTGAAGAAAGGGGATTGTGTGTGTGTCATGGCTTTCAGTGATGTACGTTTTTTATCTTTGGCCCGTCCTTTGGTCGTCAAACTCTTTTGCAACACTGAAGCTTTCCGGCATCTCCTGAGCTGTCGTTGGTAACAACTACTAAAAAAGATTGCAGATCTATTATTCCATGGTTTTCCTTGGGATAATCGCCGCGGGTGGCATCTTCTCTGGAGTCAACCCTTCGTATACCGTCTTCGAACTGTCCCACGCCATCCGTACAGCAGACGTCACGCATCTGATCGTCGAACCCGAGTTTCTTCCCAAAGCATTGCGTGCGGCGAGAGAATGCTCACTTCCTGAATCAAATGTTTTCGCTTTCGATGTTTTGAATCAGGCCATTCCACAACATCTAGGAGTTCAAAGTTGGACCGTGCTGCTGCAGAGCGGGGAGGAAGACTGGGATCGGTTTGACGATGAAAGGCGAAGCAAGGAGACTATAGTTGCTCGGCTGTTCAGCAGCGGGACGACGGGTATGCCAAAGGCATTGGGTATTTCAGTCTGGAATCTGGTGAGCTGTCGATTTACTCCTGCGAGAAAAGCCGTTCATGCTAATTAGGACTCAGGTTGCCCAACACGTCGTGGTAATGGAAGTTCGACCTCGGCCTTACGAGGTTGGTACGTGCCTTCGTCTCAAATTGGCGACGCTGACCATGCTCAGGTCCGCCGCCTTATCTCTAATCCGCTTTTCCATGTGTCACAAGTGCCGCGGGTCCACACGAGCGCGATCAAAGCCGGAATACCAACACACATTATGCGCCGCTTCGAGCTCGAGAACTGGCTTTCTAACCTGTCCAGGTACAACATCACCGAAGTGAACATCGTCCCTATGATGGTTATAAGCCTTCTGGCATCCGGCCATCTCGACTCTGGAAAATACTCGTTGAAGTCACTCCGAAATGCTTGGTCGGGTTCCGCACCTTTGGACTACAGCCTTCAGGTTCGCTTCAAGAAGTACTTGCGGCCCGATACCCCCTTCAATCAAGGGTGGGGTATGAGCGAGACCACCTGCCTGGCGACGTGGTTCTACTATCCCGAGCAGGATTATACGGGAAGCGTTGGGAGACTGTTACCCAATTGCGACGCGAAGGTTGTCGACGAAGACGGAAATGATGTGACTGAAGTCAAGGGACCGGATGGATCGAATGCCAGAGGTGAACTGTGCATCCGAGGTCCTATCATTGTACAGGGATATTACAAGAACGAAGAAGCAAACAAACGAGACTGGGATAAAGAGGGCTACTTCCACACAGGAGACATTGCCTACTGTGACTGGGAGACAAAGAAGTGGTACATTGTTGATCGCAAGAAGGTGTGTGTCCCTATCCGTGATTGCATCCTCTTAGGCCTTGACGACACGATTTAGTCAAAGAAGTGGCTAATCTCTCTCGGTGGCAGGAACTTATCAAAGTCCGTGGGTTTCAGGTTGCCCCCGCCGAACTCGAGGCTGTACTCCTCCTGCACCCTAACATTGTGGATTGTGCCGTCATTGGGGTACAAGCGGCGATCGACGAGTCCGAGCTCCCGCGAGCATACGTCGTGGTACGACCGGGCACGACCGTCACTGAGGCCGAAATTCGAGAGTTCACCAAGGACAAGTTAGCACGGTACAAGCAGTTCGACGGCGGCATCAGATTTATAGACCAGGTCCCCAGGAATGCGAACGGCAAGATCCAGAAATTCGAGTTGAGGGAGTTGGTCAAGAGGGAGATGGGTGCCAGACTATGATAAAGGTGGATGGCTGTTTATCACTCTGTCTCGTCGAGTCTAGACTACAATAGAAAGATTAGAAGAATACGAAGAACACCTTTCTGACTGATACCTTATTTTCTGATATGTATGAACTAACGGATTTCGTGAAGCTCATAGACGCTCCTGCAGAAAGTACCAACCAGCGTCCGGGCGTCCACTTGGCAATATCCTCAACCTAATACACGTATCTGAACTGCTTGTTCTTCCTATCAGTCAAATCGTCGTTATAGGCATGTTCATAAGCTTCTGTCATTCCACTCTCGTCGCGCTTTGAGTTTTCAAATTTGCAGACAAATCGGTAGATGATGGCTAAAACCACAGCTGCGGCCAGACCAGCGACGGTGACCGCAAACGCCGGAGCGTAGACAGGGGCATCTTTCGTCTTGAAGAGCAGTGGCCCGGTAAAGTTGCCGAGACACCAGGCAATGAACAATCCAGAAGCTGTAACACTGCGCTTTGTGTAGCCGGCCGTGTTGGCGATCTGCAAGCCCATGAGGATAGCGTAACCGCCACCGAATGCAGGGAGTATTTCGATGGCGAACAGGAGACCCCCTTTAGCGGAGCGGGGTAACTGCCACAGAAGCAAGCAGCTCAACATGGTTGTGCAAACACAGATGACGAACAGGTAGATCCGAATTCCTTTGAAGCGGTAGGCCAGATAACAGACAAGCAGTTCGATTGTCCCGGATACGAATCCAGCAGGAACAACCAGCAGGAGGGAATTGAGTGTGGAGTAGCCAAAGCTATGGACGATAATGGGTGCCATCGTCGAATTCGCTCCATTTGCAAAGAACATCAGGAAGGTGGTGAAGAAGAGCAAGAGAAATCTGACATCTGTCAAAGCGTCGAAGACCTGAGACGGCTTGAAGTGTATGTTTCGAACACCGGCATTGTTGACTCTCAGTCGCGCAACAGCAATGTACCGCTCGCGATCTGTAAAATGTTTGGCGCGAATGGGATCCGGTGGCAGAAAGTATTCCACAAAGATCGAGAGGAGTGTCGTGACTCCACCGGCGAATAGATACATATACTGCCAGGAGTGCAAAGAGCCTCCAGTAATATGTCCGAGGCCGTAGTTGATAAGTGGCGAAACGATGGAAATATAACCTGGGCGGATTTGAAAATCAGCTGGGACTGCCTTTGATGCCCCTTCGGTGGATAAAACGAACCAGTACAACTGTACCATGCTCCCATTCTCAAAGCTTGTTCGTCCTTCTTGTACCAGCCTCCAACGACGAGCATGAAAATTGGCGAGATGCCGGCCTCGATCACTCCCAGGAAAAATCTCTGTGTATAGAAGCTACCATATGTTTTGCAAGCTGCACTGCACATGACGGTGACCCCCCAGATAAATGTGATGCCTGCAGCGACTCGCTCAATGGGCCAGCGTTGGGCCATCATAATGGCAGGATATGCGCCCACGATGAAGCCGAGATAGAAGATGGAAGAGGAGAAAACAAAGCGGTTGCCCACGTTAAGGTCGAGGTCCTTTTCGAGTCCGAACAAGGCCTAGTATGATAGCATTCAGTAAGTGACAGAATTTTGAAGTTGTAAATAGCTCACTGCTTGTGCCTATGGTGAATATCAGCTTAGTGTCATTGCAGCTAGGGCACTGAGTTCTGTGTCTCACCAGCATTGCTTTGTCATAGAATTGAATTCCGTATACTAGGCAAAGGACTGGTAACAACCGCCGATCGATCTTCCGGACGAGCTTTTTCTCTTCTTGGGCAGTCCAATAGTCATCTCCGCCGACAGCAGCGATGACTTTCAATGCTTCATCTCCATGAACGGTGTCAATAACTGAGGGTTTTTGGTACTGGCCGGTGGCTGCTTCCATTGAAATGGGGGCTGCATTCGACTCATCCACATGCAGGACGTTCGTTTTATCGGCCATGATTCAATATTGTGGAACGTAAGTCCGTTCGAACACAGATATGCTCAAGTGAAGACGTGCATATATGGGGAACAAGAGAGAGTCGACCGAGATGAACTATATATTTCCTGCCCCGGACGCTCGTTGAATGCCTTGTGCCATGAGGAGCCGAGGACTTGAAGTCTCCAGCCCACCGGAAGTGGATTCCCACTTGATGTCTTTCCCCGATGAGGAATTCTCAGCGGTCAATTGTGTTATTTTATGGAGAGAGGCTATGGGAAGGGCATGGCTCATCTTGTGAGGGTTGTACTGATTGGGCGGGCAAAAGGTATGGCGCGATCGCAGGAGACCGAGGGCTCCTCGGACATCTAATGACCGCTTTCCGGTGGTCAGACACAGGTATTTGTAAAGAACTAGCGACCGTCATTGGGCGGAAGTCAGCCGCTTTCTGATCCCCACTTTATGACGGCTTGCTAACTGAATAGGGAAAAGCGTGATATAAAGACAATGAGGTCATGAAAGTTTCACGACGAGCTGCCTGAGCAATCTTGACCGCCTGGGGGCTTGGAACTTCGACAGGATGAAATCCACGGCATTGACCATGGTACATATCCAACTGAGCATGCCAGGGGACACAATCTCCAGGGCGGCGTCTGGCTGTCCCTGACCCTTTCTCGCAACATCAAGAAAGATGTCCGTCTAGCCGCCCTTCTGTCCAGACGGCTCAATCCTGGTACCCCTCTTTCTCACCCGGGAACAAAGCCAAAGCATACAAACAATTTGATTCCATATTAATAGCAACAGACGACCCGAGCCGCAGAACCTTGATCTTTATCTTAAGCTAAATGAGCTACAGAGGAACAATGGAGAACACTGAACAGGCCACCAGCCCCGAGGGCGCGTCGAGGGTCCCAACACGGGACACATCTCGGGTCCTCTCCAGAGACTATGCTGAGCAGAACCTGTCGAGATCGCCATCCCAGAATCAATCTCGTGCCAGATACACCGAATTCAATTTTGGCCCAGCAAGTCTCCGTCATCGAATCAGCAGCTTAGGAACGAGTCCGAATCCAAGTCCAGGCCCAGCACGAACTTGGGGAAGAGATTATGCCGAGTCTAGCAGAAGATCGGTTGCCATTGCTGCGCCTTCGGCACGAGGCGATGCCACTGATACTGCCTCCCGCAAATTCTCTTTGGCAGGTCCAGCACCCTTGGATACTTTGGCCGCCAATCAGCCATACGTTGATCCGGGATACACACAACTGAACCCCGCTTATGATCAGCCAGTGAACGTGAGACCCGTATGGGGCCTGGCCAAGCCCTTGCCTCGTGTGCTGAGACCTGGCATGGTTCCAGCGAAGGACGAGCTTGAGAAGGAAGTCCAAGAAGAAGAAAGAGAGGACCAGCAGCCAGTGACGGCAGATATCGAAGCTGGCAGAATTGAACCCTCTCTCAGGCTGGACAAGGTATCGTCCCAATTAGACACTATCAGACGCGAGCGAGAAATATCTCTATACCGATCCTATCAGAACCAGTACCAAGAATCGCCAGCGTTTTCGCCCTTTGCGGCAGGTCGAAGAGCTTCAGAGGTGCCAACCGAAACACCATACACTCGGATTCGACCAGAAGATACGATTGAGGAAGAAGCCGGCTCCGAGCCCCATCAGGCGGAGGAACTCGAGCCGCCAGAACTGTCACTACCCGAAGCAGTTGCAAGCGTGAAGCAGGCAAGGGAGGAAGAGGAATTGAAAGAAGTGCCCTATCAAGATGCGGTTCCTTTGACAGCTTACCAGGCCGAGGATGAGGAGATCCACAACCTGCATACATATTGGTCGATTATCCGGCTACGCTTTCGAGAGCCATTGGCCGAGCTCCTAGCGGTATGTCACCCTCCCGTTCCGTTGCGCTGCGCTCCTGTCCTTGTTGAAGGCTCCTTCCTTGGGACTGCTGAGATAAGAAAGTCAATGCCTCATGCTGATGATGGATTTCACCTCATAGATCATGGTTCAGTACACGCTCGGATTCAGCGCTAACCTGTCAATGACTGTCTCGCGTGGCGCAGCTGGTGCCAACGATACAGGAGCCTGGGCATGGGGCCTTGCGACCATGATCGCCATCTACATTGCCGGCGGGATATCCGGCGCTCACTTGAACCCCGCTATATCACTAATGCTCTACATTTATCGGGGTTTTCCGTTGCAAAAAATGCCCATGTATATCGCGGCACAGATGCTCGGTGCTTTCCTTGCAGCTTTGATTGCTTTCAGCATCTTCCGGCCAGGACTCAACGCTCTAGAACTATATTTGGCGCAAGAACCAGAACGCCTCTTGGTGGAACAGAAATCAATTGGAGGCTTTGCCTCAGCTTCAGCTTTACCGCAGGCTTCTGCGATATCAACCGTGGTCTTGTCCAACTTCCTTACCTTCCCACGCGCACTCTGGGTCGACTACGGTGCAGCATTCCTTGCCGAACTCATGGGTACAGCCATTTTGACTATTTCGGTGCTCGCATTGGGCGATGACACCAATGCTCCTCCTGGGGCTGGAATGAACGCCTTCATAGTCGGCCTGCTGATTACAGTCCTCGGTATGGCGTAAGTACTAAGTCTTTTCTTTTTCTCTTCACACCCTTTTCATTGGCTTTTGGTCCGACGACGTCTTCCCATTTACCAAGAATCCTCCAGCCAAGTGAAAATTAAGATAGAGCAGGTGTTGTTTCAAGGGAGGCACGTGAGAGCTGTGGCTGACTTGCTCACGCACTTCCTTTCACAGATTCGGTTATATCACTGGCCTAGCTATGAACCCGGCTCGCGACTTTGGTCCCCGCCTTGCCATGCTCACCCTCGGCTACGGAACTCCCAAAACCCTGTTCGCAGACGGATACTGGCTCAAGGTGGCTTGGTTAGGACCTATTTCTGGAGCAATTTTAGGGGGGTTTCTTTACGACGCGGCGATCTTTGTGGGCGGTGAGAGCCCTGTGAACTATCCTACAAGACGGATTCGACGGGCTGCCCGCAAGTGGAGGAAGCGATGGAAGGCGAGAATGAATTTCAGACGTGCAAAACGTGAGGCTTATATGCCAAGGGGTTAGAGCTTTGTGAACTGCAAATTGCGATTGGATACGGGCCATTCGTTGGCAGAGATATACGCTCAATCGCCTTGAGGTTACGTGTGAAGTTCTCGGCCGGGATGAAGATGTTTGGAGGCGTCGACGATTGTGGAATTGGGAGGGCTGTAGTGTTCGAAATCTGAACAGGGGGTTATCTGCCCAAATCTGCTTTGGGCATGAAATTTGGTTGAGATACATCTCTTCATTCGCTATTGCCAATTTCGACCTCTCACGATACCTTGAGCTCCCTTCTTAATCGGAGATTTGGACGATAGGCGGGCATCAACAAGCAAGGAAGAACCTGGCGTTTCCATGCTCCTATGATCTGCAGTAACAGGAGCATATCACGTGATGAGACTCGATAGCCGAGTCTTGGCATGTCTCAGCTCCGACCGCCGAATATCAGACGGGGAGTTCCTTCCAGGCCACAGGATAAGACACTCTTCTATGGTTTCCATCAACTTCGGCTTACACTGGGCTTCGCTTGATATTTACTCCGACACATCGTCACTCGAATCATTGCTGCCAGAGCCTGGTTTCTGAAGAGTCAGTTCCATCGACCTCTCATGTTCCGGGTGTGCAGATCCGACTTCAACCGCCAATGTTCTCGTCCGCCTTCAAATCCTTTACCTCTAATATAACGTCCAACTATGAAGTGTCCAAACAGCCATCCGCGACCGTAGGTGTCTGGACCGTTTTTGATGCGAAGAAGAAGAACGGTGGCACCCAGGCCTCGGTATTCATCTTTGACAGGAAATCGCTCGATGTCACCAGCAGTGGGTTTGGAGCACGGGCTACGAGTACCACGTCGATACGTAAAATTCAAGATGAAGTTGTCGAACGTTTAAAAAAGGAGGCTAGCAGTCTGGCTCGCCTCCGCCATCCGTCGATCCTGCAACTGGTCGAGCCCGTCGAAGAAACTCGCAATGGAGGATTGATGTTTGCAACAGAGCCTGTTTTGTGCTCCTTATCCGCTGCTCTGGCAAAGAAGGACCGGAATGGCAATGGAAGTGGCAAGAGTATCTCACGGTCTCCGTCGAATGATCGAGCCACTTCTCGGGCTCAGCAAGACGTCGAAATCGACGAGTTGGAAATTCAGAAGGGGCTGTTGCAGGTCGCGAAAGGGCTGGAGTTCCTACACGATTCTGCTAAGCTCGTCCACGGGAATCTAACCCCGGATGCCATCATTATCAATGCCAAGTCAGACTGGAAGATCTCTGGCCTCGGTTTTGCTGGGCCGCCCGACGGAGCAGAAGGCCATCAGACTGTTCCTCAAATTTCACTCTCTGAAGTACTCCACTACGACTCTCGAATTCCTCGGACGGTTCAATTGGACCTCGACTATACTTCTCCCGATTTTGTGCTCGACTCGAACATCAACTTCTCGGCCGATATCTTCTCCCTAGGCCTGGTTGTCCTTGCATGCTACAGACAGCCTCATAAGTCGCCGGTTGAAACCCATGGCAACCAGTCAACATATAAAAGAATCTTCAGCAGCGCGTCTACTGTCCCAACAGGCGCCAATAACTATCTTTGCGACGACGCCTTGCCACGGGAGTTGAATGTCACGTTGCCAAGAATGTTGACCAGGAGACCTGCACAGCGAATGACCGCCAGTGAGTTTCAGCAATCGCAATATTTTGACAATATTTTGGTGAACACTATGAGGTTTTTGGACGCTTTCCCCGCGAAGACACCTGCTGAGAAATCACAATTCATGAAAGGCCTCGGTCGAGTCCTTCCTCAATTTCCGCCTTCCGTCCTGGGAAAAAAGATCCTCAGTGTTCTTCTAGACGAGATGAAGGATCGGGAACTGTTGCCGCTCATTATGCAAAATATCTTTCTGATTGTCAAAGTCGTCCCGTTCAGCAAAGAGCTCGTCTCGGAGAATGTCCTGCCACGAATGCGAGAGATTTTCTTGTCCAAATCGAAGTCTGAAGAACGGGATAGTGGGAAAGAGGCTGCTTTACTTGCAGTTCTCAACAATATTCAACTCATTGCTGACAATTGCTCTGCGAAGAAATTCAAAGATGATGTCTTGCCCATTGTTCATGTGGCCATGGAGTCCTCTACCCATTCCATTACCGATGCTGCTTTACAGACATTACCGGTCGTGCTCCCTTTGATCGACTTCTCAACGGTCAAACACGACCTCTTCCCTGTTGTGGCTAACGTTTTCAGCAAGACCAACAGCTTGACAATCAAGATTCGCGGTCTTGAAGCACTTGGGGTGCTTTGCGGCGTCTCACCCAACCAGACGGAGAACAATATCGACGATTTTTCCGGGAAGGGTCATCAAGAAAAGCAGGACAAAAATGTTTCCAGCTTGGACAAGTTTACCATGCAGGAGAAGATCGTCCCTCTCTTGAAAGCTATCAAAACAAAAGAGCCAGCAGTCATGATGGCGGCTCTCAGGGTGTTCCGACAAATCGGTGCCGTTGGAGACACTGACTTCTTGGCCATTGAGGTGATGCCAATTCTTTGGAATTTTGCCCTGGGCCCTTTGCTTGACCTTTCCCAGTTCAGAGCGTTTATGGACGTCATCAAGTCTCTCTCGAGTAAAATTGAGCGCGAACAGATTCGCAAATTACAGGAGCTCTCTTCGAGTCGGGCTGCAGAATCGAGGGCCGCATCCTCTTCACACCAACAGATCGGCAACGGCGTCCATCAAGCTAATCAGGTCGCGAGCACAGAAGACGACTTTGAGAAGCTCGTTCTCGGAGACAAGAATGCTGATAAGCCCGATGTCTTCGCGGGTGCCCTTTCCGATGGCCAAAAATTGACCCCAAATCCGCCTTCCTTCTCGTGGGCTCCAATAGCCGCCACGGCGAGCACCAATACACTGACACACCAAATGTCTCCTTCATTGCCCGTTCTTCAACCGCAGCCTTTATCTCGCTCGATCACCCCGGACGTCACGGCCTCGGCGTTCCCAAGTCTTCAACCCACCCAACCATCATCGACGTCCATTTGGGGGACATCTTCACCTCCGCCTGTGCCCTTGCAGAGTCAGCGTCAGGTGCCGCAACCGTCGAGTTATCTCTCTAATCCTACAACCAGCATGTCTCCGCCGACGACATCATCAAATGCGACGTGGCAACTCCCACCGCCTCCGGGAGCACAAGGGCCTTCTAATCCGGGATTTGCGCCCATGATAGCTCCGCCTCCTGCAGGCAACAGTCAGGGGCTTGCTTGGCCACAGCCGAATTACAATAATTTCGGACTGTCCTCACAGCCGGGACCTAGGTTTGGTGCGTCGATGAACGTGTTGCAGCCGCAGAGAGCTCAGCAGCAAACGCCTCAACAGCAGAAAACAGGACTAGACAAGTACGAATCTTTACTCTGAGATCAACCTCGCAAAATAGCCGAGAAGCTGTAGCTCGGTGCCATTGTTGGCTAGATGCAGACGGCCCCTATACGATCGACACGCACGGAGTTGGAAGGAAGATGCCACCATTGGTAAAAACTTTGGGCTTTCATGGGAGGACCTGTTTGATTTCGGAATTGGCCAGATCAACTCGTGCAAATTTGGGGCATAATTAACCAGCATTTCTGGCATTTTGCAACATGCTGACACAGGCCATTTCTAGCAGCCGCGCGAGGAATTGGGATTGTTAAATACTTTTGGTGGACATTGAGGATAGATCGGCGAGTTATTCCTGGCACAAAAGACCGTTGTCACCATGGCCAAACCCCTTTCTGAAACCACTCGGGCCGGAGAGGGGCTGGATCAGGGCTGTCTGCTTCGCAGAATTGATGGTCCGTGCTTGTGCTCGTGTCTAAACTATCTGATGGATCCCCATCTGGTCTCTCGATCTATACACTCCCATGAAGGTCAAGCATTCTCATCAAGAGTGTTTTCTTGTGGTAAGAAAAACCACGATGAAGGCCTCTCCTTGCTGATGCCATTGTTTCCGTAGAGATTGTTAAATTACATTGGCCCCCGTGTCTAGGATAGACATGGAAACTGGGCCGATCTTCGTCACAAAGGTCTTTTGATGCTGGCTTTCGAATGTTTCCTCATGATCATCTGGGAATCGCTGAAAAGTGAGCTATGTACAATGTTAGCATAAGCTGAATGTGTTGATTTGGCACACACCTTTTGAATGAGCGATGTCTTGCCGACTTCGAAGCCACCAAGCACGACCACACTTGGCTGTGGGACGCATGGAATGAGGCGAAATAGCGGTGAAGGAGAAGGATGTAAGTCAGATGCGAGGTGCAAGACAATCCGGCTGCACATTCCGACTTATATGCATAGACATGGCCTAAGGTGTATACGTTCCATAACACACTGGTGGGGTGGAAAGCAATGTTGAACGAACAATTCATTGCTGGCCATTTTGGGCCCGCAGGCTGCGACTTGTGGTGGTGATCCGGTCCTACAATTGATCTCGACACAACAAAGCCGGCTTCAATCCACTCGGTCAAACCCAGACGTCGAGTCGGTATCGTCGTGGGGCTCAATGTCCTGAACCATGTCCAAAATTTCTGACAATTCACGACTGGTGCGGACTGCGTGCTTGATCCAGCACTTTCGATGATTGCACCGAGCCAGACACCCTCCGTGGGAGGTAGGCTGTCTCTCTTGGGCAAGGCAGTGGTGGCTGGCCCCAGTGGTTGATTTTCAAAGAGATCGAAGGTACATCTCACGCCGGTGCTAACTTCATACATGAGAGCACCAAATTGGCCGATATCAGTTTGCATCGAGTACCCGTTGTCATCAACCGTCTCCATGTCGCAATCGAGGGGCAGAAGAGAGGACTCCGTGAAATCAGAGAATTTTACCGACATGTCCTTCGCCACAAGAATGTTCCGGGGGCTGAGGTCTGCCTCTATGACCCGACGATCATGTATGGCAGCGAGTGTGTGAGCTAGGTGACGAAGCCAGGAAAGTCGCATAGGGAGGGGAACATTGTGCTCGGCAAGGTAGTCGCGAAGATTTCCATTTTCCATCCAGGCCATCTTGATGCCATCGCCGGAAAGATCGATACAGGAAATGACGCCCTCGCAATTGTCCAAGCGGCGGTAGACCTCCTTTTCCCACTCGATAACCTTTCTGTCATCGTCGTCGTCGTCGTTCGCACCACCGAAAACTGATTTTGGGAGCTTGATGGCGGTGTCGTTGTACAAGATGACGACTCCCGTGCTCCCGTCTCCAAGAACACGACAGATAGTTCCTCGGAATTCTAGAGTCATCAGAATGCATTTCGAAAGCCACGTACAAAGTCCCGTGTTGCACCTTATGCGTAAGGAGAATGGACAAACCCAGAACAGGTGTTCAAAATAAGGGAGGATATCCTAAGTGCCTGGGTGGTCATAACTCGCCAAGCCTTCTCCTATTATGGTCCGACGTGAATTCGAGTTGCAGCGGTCTGAATATTAATAGCGTTATTCCTCGCCCTCCTGAGAACCTCCTTTGGGGCCTGCTTCTTCTAGTCTCTATGCTTCGGACCATTCCTTTTGCGCCTAGTCGAGCTTGCTTCAGAAGTCTCCACGGGATTGTCACGGGGTGAGCCTCGACTCTGGGCGGTCGAGCACAAGTCGATTCGATCTGCTTCAGGGTCATGTGTGCTGCACGCCCCAACTCCGCCGGTGCAGTCTGGGAATCGAGCAGGAATTTTGCGCCCTTGGAAGCACATTACGCGTCTGGCGCTCCGCTGAGCTCTCTTGTTATTATTGTCAACATAAACTTACTAAATGCAATTTTTTGATCAAGTTTTGTTGTGCCTTGCCGGCTTTCAAGAGGCAAACTGTCGAGCAGTCTCTCTGTCAAGTTTGTGGTGTCTGGTTTGAGTGTTGTTCGTTCTTTGTATCTCAGGCTGGATACAGGGCATGCCAGGAGTGCACATCTCTCACAAGGGATGCGTCACCGCGTCCTGTAGAAATTCGTGGCCCGAGATCATTGGTCAGGTCCACTGTAGTAAGTCCGACCTTGCTTGGTTTGCGAACTTTCGTCTAGTGCCCATTGTACATCCCATAGTCAGTGTGATCAGTGAGACTGAATGAGGCGCAAGGACAAAGTAATAAGCAATTTAACCTCTTGTCAGCGACAAGGTAGATAAAGAGACAGACAACACGGGTAAAGCCACATACTCTATCACCTTCAACCGCTCTTGGCACCACAGCATGATCTACCGCTCGGCCTGCATATGAGATGTTCATGCTACAATGGGTATGATCATGTCTCCCAAGTGGCAGTACACATGAGGTCAAAATATATCAGCAGCTGTCACTAAGGATGGTATCGAGGGTTGATTGCGTCCAAAATGTTGGTCCAGGGCTCGCTGGAGACAAATCTCAAGCATTTATGAGCAGTGTGCAGTCCTTCTGGACTTGATGTTGCACACCAACCAATCGAACGCACTTCCGATGAGGTGTAGGTGCAATGCTTTCATCTTTTTCCGAAAAGTGCCATGCGGTCAAAATGCTCTCAGTATCGGCGAACCGACTTGGGGAGGCGGAACTAGAGATACTCCCACCGTCGTCAGGAAGGAGGAATTCGATTTCTGGCGCCGCCGGTCTGGAGTAGGATAGTGCGAGACACTCTTGCAAGTTGTGTCGTAAGAAGAACGATCCGCATCCTCCAAAAACATGTTCGGGGCATCCCTTGTGGGAGGGATGTTGAACTCACATACCAGGTTCGATCGTTTCACGCTGGAAAAGGAGGAGTCTTTCTGTGGACACGGCATCCTGGTGGCGGCGATCCTGCTATCTCTGCCTCCCTGTTCAGGGCGAGGAGCCAGATCATCGCGAGCAAGGGAGATGAATGGAGAATTGACTCCTCAAAGCGCGTATACGCAGATGGGCGCGAAGGTAAGCAGAGTTGCGAAGCGAAGCGATTCGGCAGGGCGCTCACTAGCAGCTTCTAATTCGAGCGGCCGTATCAACCCATTGCCTTTTGGCACCGTATTGGGCTTTCTCGATTGGACAATGACAGTTATGCAGTCGTGTGGCTGTTCCCTGTGAGGAGGGGTGCATATAACGTTGTTTGGAACGGGCATAAAGACGGTGGACCGCAGGATAGTCGTTACTCCTCACCACACCGTGTCTTGAAGGAGGGGTGCTGGAGTGGATTTGGGGCCAGCTATCACAGACACATCATTGACCTTACCACGTTGTCCCCGGTAGGTATAGAGAAAGAGAAGCCCGGGGGAAATTGAAGGACTCCGGGCGCAACGTGAGGCCGACGCCGGTTATTGGCGGAAAGTCGCTGCCAAGCCCCGAGCTCCGATGTCGCGGCCAGAATTTCGAGATTGGCCCTAAAACGATACAGAAAGACATCCTACTAATAACTTACTGTTCTCAATCCAGCTGACTATCAACGCCCTTCGACGACATCTCCTGACTCAATCTCGGCCTTCGCAGCTGGCAACGTCCTTCCCCCAAGGCCAGCTTCACCGCTATATCTGGCCACCCTCCTCGTCCCCCCGCCCTTCTTTGGTGCTGTCGATGACCCCCGAGCAATAACAGAGACACCATGTCACTCCCTCGGCTACTCCGCACCCCCTGCGCACGCGCTCTCACCTCGTCCACATTCAAGTCGGATTCAATACGGCTACTGCCCTCGTATAGACTGTTTTCCACATCCTCGACGCGCCACAAGTCGCTGGTCACCGATGATGATATCTACTCCAAGCTGCCGGGAATCGACCCGTCAAAGTTAGAGGTCACTAAGACCATCACCCCCAAAGAGCTGGTACCGAATAAAGACCTTGTGTTTGGGAGGACTTTTACCGGTATGTCTCTGGTCTCGAGCATTATTACGGGGTTCTTATTGATCGTGTTCAGATCATATGCTCTCTATCGAATGGACTGCCTCGCAGGGCTGGCTGCCCCCTCGGATAACCCCCTACCAAAACCTCTCACTAGACCCCGCGACCTGCGTGTTCCATTACGCCTTTGAATGCTTCGAGGGCATGAAAGCATACAAGTGCCTCAAGGATAACTCGCTGCGGCTGTTTAGGCCGGAAAAGAACATGCAGCGTATGAATAAGTCGGCCGCCCGCATCGCGCTCCCCACCTTTGAGGGCGACAAGCTTGTAGACCTGATCGGGAAGCTATGCAAGCTGGACGAACGCTTCATCCCCGGCGAGAAGGGATACTCACTGTACATCCGACCGACACTGATTGGGACACAAAGGACGCTGGGCGTAGGACCACCGGGATCGGCGCTGCTCTACGTTATTGCCTCTCCGGTCGGACCATACTATCCCACTGGTTTCAAGGCTATTTCGCTCGAGGCCACCGACTATGCGGTGCGCTCGTGGCCCGGCGGCGTGGGCGACAAGAAACTGGGCGCCAACTATGCGCCCTGCATCGTCCCGCAACTGAAGGCGGCGAAGAAGGGCCTGCACCAGAACCTCTGGCTGTTCGGACCTGAGGAATACATCACCGAGGTCGGCACGATGAACCTCTTCGTGTGCATCAAGAACAAGGAGACGGGACAGAAGGAACTGCTGACGGCGCCGCTCGACGGGACCATCTTGGAAGGCGTGACGCGCGACTCGGTGCTGGCCCTGGCCCGCGAGCGGCTGGAGCCCGAGGGGTGGAACGTCGCCGAGCGGTACGTCAAGATGCAGGACCTGGCCGACGCCGACAGCGAGGGCCGGTTGATTGAGGTGTTTGGCGCGGGCACCGCCGCCATCGTGGCTCCCGTGCGCAACATCGTATGGAAGGACCGCGTGCTGCACTGCGGCCTGAAGCCGAACGAGGAGGCGGGCGAGGTGGCCAGCAGAATGAAGGGCTGGATCGAGGGCATCCAGTACGGCGACGAGGAGCATCCGTGGAGCTATAAGATTCCTGCCTAGGTGGGGAGAGAGAGAGAGAGAGCGAGCCAACCGCTGAGCTGCTCCTGTATATAACAGAGAGAGAACGGGAGAGAGGAATAGCGACCAGAGAAGAAAAAAGAGATCGATTTTACCACCCTCCATCTTTGTTTTAATATCTTTCTATTCTTTCCGGTTCTCTACTGGTTCCCCTCCCCGCCAAATCATTCCCATTCTTTCTTCCTCCCACAGCCTCCAAGGTTCTATAGAAAAAGAGCACGAGCGGACGAGCGAACGAACGTTGACGTCTATTTCTATTTCCCTGCGGCGTGAGGCGTCGGTGTACAGTAAGTATCTACATCCCACATCCCACACCCTACATCATCACTATATACTACATACTACATACTACAATTTCTTCATGTAACCCACCCACCCCTGCACTCTGGTGTTCTCGTCCCAGCACCTCCTCCTGGATAGGGAGGGAGGGTCCCTTCCCAGAAAGCCCTGGAAGAGGAAGAGGAAGAAGAAAGACCTTGCATAAACTCCCCACCGGCAGTGTATATGTAGAGACCAGACCTACGTACAAGTTGGGGATGTGATTTATGGATCTCTAGTTTCACTCGCTGTGACCTCGGCTTGGATCGATATTGCAATCCATATGATATATGTATGCTCTGTAGAGGAGGATGCTGGATTGAATGATGGTTTCTCGTGCATTTCGTAGGCTGGTAGGCAGGTAGGTAGGCACCTAAAGTGGTTGATGCTGCCGTGGTACTTCCGGGGAGAACAGAACGCTGGGCACCGTTCCTTGTATCCATCTCCCTTCTACCCTATCCTCTCCTGTCTTCTCCTGTCCTGTCGACCTTTTGATGCAGGGATTGTGTGTTGTATGCTCTTCTCACATACATGCAATCCTTTCGGGATGACACTGGGAAAGACTGCAAATTTGTGGAGGTGGGTGGACACTTGAGTTTGAATAGAAACATGGAACATGGATGGATGTAGTACATAGGCATATATACAGCGACGAGAGGTATAGAGAGATAGACCAGGTCCATCCAACTCAACTCTTTGATGCCCCATATATATATTGCATAAGATCCTTGGAGCTTTTCTGTATCTCTCAAAAGATGGTGGAAACGCACTAAACCCGCCAATATCGTCAGGTACAGACAACCTTATCTGAGATATTAGATCGGTTGGTCAGCTATACATAGGAGAAGGAAGGGCAGACAAAACATATCGCCTAGCATTCAATTGTCGTCTCATGAACTCAGCAGATCTCGTACGCTCATACCCTTGCCTCGATCTTTACTGTCGTCTCTCACTCCGGCCACCGCCGGAGCAGGCACGCTGCCTGGGGCGTCCGCCGCTCGACCGCCGCCGCCTCTCCACTCGTTGGTCAACATCATCAAAGCGGCACTGGCCGTGGCCTCGGCGGTTCCCGAAGCATCACTCATGCCGCCCGGTGACTTGCTCCCGCCCTCGCGTTCGCGTTGCACTCCAGCACTGTAATGTGGCGGCAGCTGCAAGGACGCTACCGCGGGGTGAGGCAGGGGGAGGTTCATGGCGGCTTTCGGCGAAGGCAGCGGTTGCATGTTCGGGCTCGGGTTGGACACCGACCCGGAAGAGCTGCCTGAGGGATTGACAGATGTCCATGATGACGCGGGCGTGTTCAACACCCCACTCCCAGACTTCCCGACGCTGCTGGTGGTTTGCGTGCGTGCGAGATCGGGTGAGAAATGGATCGAGTTGAATGCTGGTGAGAGCAGTGTGGGGGTCGGGGTCGCGGAGGAGACCACACCTCCCGAGTGCGCTGGGATCGAAGGGGAGGCCGTGAAGGACTGGACGCCGGCAGGCAAGAAAGGCTTCTTCCTCAAGCCGCCAGTTTCGTCTACTGCTCCTTGCGATTGGCTGTGAATGTGAGGAGACGGATACGCTGAAGAACCGCTCAACGATGCGACCGAGGATTTGCGCGAATCTCGCAATGCCCATTCGCTTCCGGCCACAGCGCTGGGTTGATGGCTCCGTACCCTTGTCGGAGGAGCCGCGGGAGCAGGCACGTCGTCGACAGCCTCATCCTGTTCCTCATCCTCGTCTTCGTCGTCTTCGTCGTCGTCCATATCCTCATCTTCCTCTCGCGGATTGTCCGTCTGCATCCTCGAACTGATGAAAGTCCTCATTTTGCCTCCCAGCTTTGCATTTTCCTCCTTAAGCTGCGCCACGCATCCTTCCAGATACCGCACGTATTCAATCCCCGCTTGCAGGATGGCGAGTTTGTGCATCTCCACCCCTTCACATGCGGGTATCATGTCCTTCAAGACCCCAAACTCTTCATTCATTTTACTCCGCCGGCGACGCTCGATGATGCTATGAGCGGTTTTACGGGCGATCTTCCTGCCCGCAGCGCTGGTGGCGGAGGGTTGCTTTCGCTTCGAACCCGTGGCGGTGGCATTGGACGATCCACCTCCGGACAAGGGTGCGGATGCTTTATTGGAGGGAGCGGACGCCGTCGAGGTTGTGGTCGAGGCGGGAGGTACGTAGCTGGCGTCGCTGGCCGGGGAAGAGTTGTTTGTGGCCTGAGATTTGGGTTTCATCTGGATGATCTTACGGGCTCGACTAGGTGGAGGAGGAAGAGCGTAGGAATTGCCCACGCCGCCGCCGGTAGTCGCAGATTGGACGGCCGATTTGACCACTCCGGAAGAAGTTCGTTTGTGTCGCGGGCTCGTAGTAAGCGGTTTGTCCTGGGGAGAGATGGGAGGGGTGCTTTGTGAGAGCGCCGTAGTGTTTGCGGTGTCTCGTGCGTGCGACGACTTCCCACTTTGGTGGTTTTGGGATTGTACATCGGCTGACCTCATTGCTGGCGGCGGTAGGGTAAAAATCGATTCCATATCTGAGGCCTGAAACGCCTTCGAGTGTTCCAGCGCTCTCAGGTCAGATGAGCCGGTTGGAGTGGGCGGCGGCTTCGGCCGTGGCATAGTTGAGAAATGAAGCCAGAGTCGAATCTGAGGCGTCAGTCAGAAACGAACGGAAAAGAGTCCGACAGATCAGGGTTAAGGCAAGGCCAGTATTCAGGTCGTATAGGATGTGAACGAAGTGATCCAGGGCTTCTCAGACTGAGGCACGCGAGGTATCTGGGTTCGGGGGAGAAGGTCGAAACGTTTCACCGCAGAACTGAGATGGCTATCATTCTGCCAGGAGAGAAGTACCACGACAGAACACAACGCATGATGAAGGAAGCGAGGGAGAAATGGGGAAGGTAAAAGGCAACGACGAGGGCACTGGTGAGAACGCGGCGTAAGGGGGGAGGGAGATGGGCGGATAAGGAATACCACAAGCTTCTGAGAAAAATGAGGACGAGTGTTTTGCAATATGCATTTCGGAAACGTCGAGATGGACGGATGTGAGCACGTGTATCAACTACAGTGAGCACACGACACCCATGGACGACCCTCGTGTGGTGGCCGTGATAGGTGATAGGAGCAGAACAAACCAGCCTAGTGGTGCTCTCGATGCCCTCGTGCGCGATGGGCGGAAAGGTCAGTGGCTGCTCAGGGATCTCACTCTCAGTGAGGGAGGGGAGAGCAAGGAATGGGACCCCAGTCTGGTGGGAGGGGATCATTATGAGATTTCGCCATGGAGGACAATCTGAGGGAAGCGTGAGGAAAAGACAATGTTGGTGAGAGCAACTTGCGACCGGAAAAACCAACACTGCACGTTCTAGGAGAAACCAATGTGATTGGATCGTGGCCACAGATTTACACCATTGAAAACTTCGTCCCCGCTTTATTAATTGGGAGCAAATGCATGTGATTGTGTGGTTTATGCAGTACAAGCAGAATGCAAATATGAGCATGAATCAAGTAGTTTTTGGGGTATCATGTTTTGACACTTTTGGAATACAAGTAGTATGCACCGACTGTATCAATATACACACGGTCATTGCTATAGCCACCGCCCTCGTCGTCAATGGTCGTCCAACACTCTTCATGCCATGGACTTTTTGGCCCCGTTGCTACCGCCATGCGACGATTCCGGTCGCTTAAAATGCACCTTCAATGGTTCCCAGGAATGGGCATTATATGTCTAATGTCAATGTCAGCAATGGCTCTGATGGTGGATGCTGTGGCATCATGCCCCAAGAAACTCACCTCTTGCACTTTCTGGCATGTCTTCAACCCCCACTCGGTGACGCCAACCATCAAACAACTCTCAAACATGAACGCCATGCTACCCTCGCCCACTTTCTGCGGCGGCAAATCCATCGTCGACGCCTTCTCAAATGTCTGCATGTCTGGTCCATGCCCGCTCATGGTGTTGTGTAAGCTCGCTCCCGCGGGCTGGAATCCGCCCTTGCCAGCCCCCTTGGCATCATAGTTACCCATAATCAACCCCATGAACTCGGACATGGTGTTGCGATGGTACCAGGGAGGCCGGAAGGTGTTTTCGGCCACCAGCCATCGAGGGGGAAAGATGACAAAGTCCACCACGGCCGTTCCAGCTCCATGAGGGTGTGACGGGGCAGACAGGACGGTGAAAATCGAAGGGTCAGGATGATCGTACGAGATGCTGCCCACGGGGTTGAACCGGCCCAAGTCATACTTGTAGGGATAGTAGGTACCATGCCAACCCACAATGTCAAATGGGGTGTGAGATTGTTTGGCCGAGAAGAGGTTGCCCCCGAATTTGCCGTACAGTGTCCACTCGGTGTTCTCGTAGTCCTCGATGAAATCAGCCACCGGTGTCTGGAAGTCGCGCGCATTGGCCAGGCCATTGGAACCAATGGGGCCCAACTCGGGCAATTTGAAGTGGCCTTGGTACAGTTCACAGATGTACCCCCGCGCGGGCTCGTTGTTATGCAATGTAACGTGGTATCGAATTCCCCGCGGAATGACGCAGATTTCATTCGGCCGCACCAGCATCTTGCCAAATTCGGTTCGGATGTCGAGCGTCCCATGTTGTGGAACAATCAAGAAATCTCCGTCGGCGCTGTAGAAGGCCGTCTTCTCTGGCATGCTGCTGCCGCAGGCATAGATGTAGATCCCCAAGCCTTGTTTCATAGTGGGATCGCCTGCACCAGCCACCAGGTGCAGTGAATGGATCCACGACACTTCGTTGTCGAAATCGAAGGGGTCCCACCGCAGTTGATTGGGAATCGCGTTGAAATGAGTGCCGAAACTGGGAGTGGGGGAGATCAGAGACTGCGACGAGGAAGCCGGTACCGGCTGGAAGTTCTGATGGCTCGCAGATGGAAGTATTCTATACAGCCATGTCTGCTGGTTTTCGTCTCGAGGTGCAGTGAACGCCGTGCCCGACAACTTCTCATTGTACAGGCCGTACGGGCATTTTTGAGGAGAGTTCGCCGCCAGAGGCAGCGTACCTGGAATGGCTTCACTCCTGCAGAGAACAGTGTCAGTCAGCGGTAGACAAAAGAAGTCACCAGTGCTGGGGTCCGTACTCTTTGTACCCCCCGAACCCATTCAGATATTCGTACGTGTCGGTCACAGCGAATTGGGTTACAGGCATCGTCGATGGCTTGTTCGTCGGTGAAAGTGTTCACGTTGCGGACTAGAAAGAAGAACAGACCAAGGTCAGTGGCAACTCCAACTCGTGCGTCAAGGTGGAAGAAAGGTGGAGGGAATTATAAGAGCGAGGCTGACAGGGAGAGGGGAGGCGAGCACGGAATGGACTTACTGGTGAGGGGCGTCTTGTACTTGATGTTGATGTCCTTGTTTTCTCGGTGCCGCTCAATGGCTTCTTGCAAACGTTTGAGGCCCTGCATGAAGGGCAAGATTGTTGTATGATGACCTGTGACAAGAGATGGGTAGGCTGGTCAGAGGGAGGAGAGTGCGGAATGGTCTGGTGAAGAAGTGAGGGACTGATTCCGTGGGGAGGAATATGAATGAAATGCAAACGGCGCAAGAGTCAACTTGCAGCCTGAGAGGATGGGGATGCGAAGCGCAGAAGTGGATACAACCCCAAAACAATAGTGCAGGTGCGCTAAGGACCAGTGGGGCCCGGCTTCGCGAACATGCGAGGGATGGGAATGGGGGGTGGTGAGAAAACAGGGCCATTATTATGAACAGGGGAGAGACACCGCGACCTCGGGCTTGAGCTCAGATGCGAGGTTGTGCTTGTTGTGCGAGCCTGGTTGGACGGGCGTCCCCGCAGGGCAGCACACCAGCTCCTCTCAGCTCTCCAAGTCATCCATTTCCATGATGCGCACAACCCGTCAAACACGAGCACGAGAGAGAATTTGCACTGCAAGAGTCCAAGATTAGGTTAGAGGGCACCCGAGGGCGAAGGGGCACGGACAACAAGTGGGATGGCAGCCCGAGATAGGAATGGGAGCTGGCACGGCGGCTGTGAATGGATGAGATCAAGCCACTGGGCCCCTCCGACTGGACATGGATGGCGGAATGAGGCGTAGGTTTTTCTTTTGGGCTTGGGGCTCGGGCTGGAGAGGGGTGCCCTGGACAGTGCGGGATGCCTGCGTCGCAGCAAGTTTAGCAGCCAGTTTTAGGCGCAACTGGGCGGGCCCTAGTGGCTGTTGTGGACGGTGGGGCGATCGGCAGGGCGAATTGAGACGCCCAGACAACATTCCGATTCCAGGTCAATGTCCCAATCTCCTGCCTCCTGTGCCGACTTTCCCGCTAAACAGCCCACCCACTGGTTGGGTTTTTGTGCTCAGTTGACGCTTTGGTCAACTGCATGCGCATGCACCCCTCACCACCCAGCGATGCAGCCCCTAAGCGAGGGAAGTGAGAGTTGAGTGAGAAGAGGGAGATAAGTTTGGGGGTCGTCTTGTGTGAGCTGATGTCTTCTGATCGATGCAGAAGGAGGAGGTGGATGAATGGAACACATGGCCTGGAAGGTTGTTGCTGTTTCTGTGCTGGCTGCGCAGCATGCGCCCTCGTTTTCAGGGTGAGAATGACACCGGTTGTAAGATGCTGCTGATGCTCCTGCCGCGTGGCTGGCGGCCGGTGGCCCTCGGTGGTTATTCTGAGCGCCCCGGGACAAACATAGGAGCGGTCGGGCTCATCGGTCAATGGGGCGACAATCTGCCTGAAGATCTGCGCTGGGTGTGCCTGTGAGGGGGAGAGAGCGCAAAGCTGCCCGTGCTGCCCGTGCTGCCCCATTGCTGTAACCTGTAAGCTTCGAGAAGGGGCGAGGGGTGCCCCTGTCAGAAACCCATGACGGTTTAACCACCACACAATTCCGAGCAGCTTGCTTCTCCAACTCGTCCCAAGACCGCCGGCCTGCCACCCATCCTGCCACCACCCTGCCCGTGATGACGCCAATTGATCGTCGCTCTCTGGATCGTCGTCGTCATTGTCCTTTGTTGGTGTTCTCGAGTGTTCACGCCCGATCCAGAGCACGTTGTCGGCAAGGACGGGCCACCGACGATCTCAAGCATGGGAAAATAGCCTGAAGTCACTACCTCTCTGCTCTGAGTTCTCGGTTCCTCAACAGAACTGCCCGAGGGCTAGTATTCTGCGGAAAAAGTCGAATTCTCTAGAAGACTCGGCAACGAATTGTTTCCGAGGTGGCGAACTCCAATCACACAAGGCATCGAGCTGCCTCTCTTGGAGGAGAGCTAGAGGCAAGCTGGCCGGCTCGGGCGGCTGCTCGTGCAACCTTCGAAGTTCGTCCGCAGCGATTTCTCCATTTCCATGTCCGTGTCGCAAATATTCAGGCTCTGCGGAATGACGCCGACCACATCCAAGGTCTCCAGGGAAGAACAGAGTTACAGCCAATCATCAAGTTTGCCAGGAGGGCCCCTTGATTTTAGCGGTATCGGAGATGCAACCGCACAGTGGCACAAATCGACTCTACCCAAGCATTTTGCCCTTATCAAATCTGCATAGCGGGCAGGAAATATTCACGCAACAGTTGCACAAGTCACAAATATGCTGGAAACTCTTGGCTGGAGGAAAAACCTGATTGGCGTGTCGCTGAACAAGAACGATCGAGCTAACTTACCCTGGGCGCTTTCTATCCTGTTTCTCCTTCGCTGCTCCAGGTAGTCCAGCGCCACCTGAATCCTTTCGTTGCGTTGCCACCAGGGGACATATTGCGTGGCAGACAGACGTGGTCTCGCCATCATGGACGTCTTATTGGAGGGATTTGAAGTATTGAGAGCCTTGCTATGTTTCCCTGGACGACTGTGTCCGTCCGCGCCGGAAGGGTGGATGAGACGGGATACTCGGTCTGAATGTGGTCGCTATTCCGGGCTGGCTCGGATTAGAATGCTATGGTTGCCGAGAAGACGATGAGAGCTTTCGTCCCAGTCTACCTGTGCACACGTTGAACGGCCTGAGGGAACGCGGAGTCTCGGCCGAATGCGTCGAGGTGATAGCTCTGATGATGGAATATCGAGTTTTCCCAGAACGAGAAAGATTGTACACAATTGAAGCAACCCTTTTCATCCGAGGATTCGGTGTGCACGTCTGTGAAGACATGCAGAAGAGCTATTTGTATGGTAGTTGCTCAGAGCTATCGACAGATCCCTTGCCACCCCAAAAAGTCCTCAGGAGAATCAAGCTTCCTTGTAAGTTTGGTTCCACGAGCAAGAGGACCTACTGTAGTAGAAAGCAAATATTGTTGGGGGTACCTATGGACCTCCCACTTGACAACTCAAAAAAATTGAAGCAACCTTCGAATGCTGAACTTTCAGAACCTTACCCGGCGAACAAACTCCCTTGGGGTGAAATGCACAATCCTGCAGCACCGGAAGAAGACGAGAACATGATAGCTTTTCCCCCCAGGGAGAGGAGACGAGGCTCTAACTGGACGAACCATCCGTCCCTTGCCCCTTTCGATGACACCCAGACATAGCTCGTGCCATATCTTCGCTGGGAGAAAGTCCAAATATCAAATGCTGAAAAGTTCGGGCCTGGTCCTCGAATCACCTGGGCCTCCCAAGCCGTGAAGGGAAGGGGATAAATAAGCCTGACAAATCCCCAGCCGGCAATGCACATCCGCTTCTTCCAAATCTCATTCAATTTTTTCCCCTCAATTGTGGTTGGTTTCATGACTTTTTTCTTTTGTCCTCTTGTCTCCCCGTTCACAGATCCTTGGTCCGCTCGTCGCTCGCCCGGATCCATCGCTCCAGGGCCTCCTTGTTCCGGACCCGGAAGCCCACCTTGAACGGCTTGGGCTCGGTGGTGAGGGCGGTCGGGATGCTGTTGCACTCGATGGCGTCGAGGATGGGCCAGTCCTTGGGGTCCTTGGCCTGCACGAACTCAAAGGCCACGATCATGCGCAGGAAGGCCGTGTAGATCTCGCGGTTCGCCAGGTGCGAGCCCACGCACATGCGGCTGCCCGCGCCGTAGGCGTAATGCGGGGTCCCGCTGCCCTCCTGGTCGTTGAGGTAGCGCTCCGGGATGAACTTGGCCGGGTCCTTGAAGTGCGTGTCGTCGTAGTCGGCCGCCCACGCGTTCATGTAGAAGACGCTGCCCGCGGGGATGGTCACGTCGTTGTACTTGATGTCCTTGATGCTGGTGCGCGGCAGGCAGATGGGGATCACGGTGAAGTATCGAAGGATTTCCTTGGTCAGGGCTGTGATGTAGGGCACCTTTTCCTCCACCAGGCATTTCTCCCACGCCTCGCCGTCTTCGGGATACACTTTCATGATCTCTTCGTAGGCCCGTTTCTGGATATGTTGGCCCTCGGGGGACGCGAGGTATCCCAGCCCCATGATCATGTTGCCGGGCACAGTGTCGATGCCGGCGGAGACCATGGTCAAGCAGATGGACTTGAGTTCGGCTTCGTTTAGCGTTTCCTCGGGGTCCTTGATAATGTTGCCGGTGATGCAAGGTCGGTCGGTCCCATTCGCAATGCGCTCCTTGAGCATGTTCAAGAAGGTGGTGAGATACTTGTCTCGACGCTCTCGGTATTCTGCGGCCGATTTGTTCTGGCGAGAGATGAACGGCAGTCGCAGCAGCGGAATGTAGTCTTGCCAGTTGTTGGACGTGCTGCGGAAGTTTGACACCACCCGTTCGACGTGGACAACTGCGGAGATATGGTCAGCTTTCGGTTCAGGCCTCGAATTCGGTTCAGACACACTCACCTTCCCTAAGCAGTTCTTGGTCAATTCCTCCGTCGATTCGGATACCATAGTTCAGCGTCAAGCTGGTGTTGAGGGCGAACCGATGGAAGTATTTCCTCGGATCCAAGTCCAGCGTGCCATTCATCGAATCCTTGTACATGTCCTTGATAGCGACACAGCTCTCCAAATCGATGAAAGGCATGTAGCTCTGGACCGCCGGCTTATTCAACGCCGTGGCGGCCACCTTGCGACGCTTCTTGCAGGATTCATCCCAGGGCGAAGTTCCGATCGTGAAGCCCTGGCTGCTCGAAACAACGCTGTGGAAGGTGTATAGCATCGGTCTGGAGATTAGAGCCGATTGGTTGGTGATCCAAAAGTGCTTGACGGAATCGAATGTGTTGGCGAAGATGATGCGGCGATTGCCCAAGCGTGTCTGGAAGACAGGCCAGCCATATTCCTTTGCCCACCGAGCCGTGACACGCGCGTGGTCCTGGCCGAGTTGGAGTAGATTTCCAAACAGTGGTACACCTGGAATTTCAGGGAGCCCTTTGATCTTCGGCTGGTCGGTGGAGTTCAAGTAGCGGACCAGGAAGTAGCCCAGGGTGAGGAAGACGAAGGAGAAAGTGGCGGGTGATAGTGTCAAAAACATCTTGGCCGGCACTCTGGAGAGTTTGTTCTCAAGGCAAGGAAAATGGTCTGGACTTTTCGACGTGGAAGTGTCTCTGGAGGCCGTTTGTGTTATGATATAGTCCGGACGTGTGTTGTCGCCCTTTCGCCGTCGAAGAGAAGGATATCGAATCCGGCGCTAGTGCTGACACCCCTAGAAGAAGAGTACCAAGAGATGAGAGGATGGAGATAGATTTCTCGAGATCCAGAGGATGGTGCTGCTGGGTTATATCCTCCTGGCACACTGCTAACCGTGGTTGTTCTTTGGGATAAAACCAGCAGGACGAATCTCGGACTGAAATCCCCTCTTGTTGAGCGCTTAGCTGCGGTTGAGGCCATCGATGCAGCGGTCTCACGAAGGAGAGGGGGTCATCCGCGCTGAGCAGCAAAGGTGGAGACGACGACGGCCTCACAAAGGCATCCAAGAGCGGAATGAAGCCGCAGCATCGTCATTGTTATATTGACCGACCATGTGCGAGTGGCCAATAGTGCGGGAGGAAATGGGGAAGGAAGAATAGTGGAGGAGATGTGGAATACGGGAAGAATCCGGGGAACGGGCTTGGAGAACCATGGCAACTAATATGTATTAGCTGCTTACTAGTAATAGTAGCGACTTTTCCTCTCAATAGGAACGTACCTAATACAATGTAGCCTTATCCTTAATCAGTGTGTATTGATTGGATATCCACACGGAGTAAGTACTCTACGAGCAGGAGCGGAATTGCGTGGCTGCGAGAATACTTTTGATGCCCTCTTCCTTCCTCCTATTCATCGCCTAGCTGGAGTATCACTATCGGGTCTCACGAACTGATCATGCCCCGGCTATGCGGCTCAGACCTTAGGAGCTGGCAGGATCTTGCCCGAACACTCTCCGAAGCCCACGAGTCCCGAATCTTCCGTGCCGCAGACACCGTACATGGTGATTGTATCTCCGTCCAACAAGAACTTCCGCTCCACTCCGCCAGCCAACTTGATACTTTCTTTCCCGCCCTTGGAGATTTCGAGCATACTTCCTTCCGTGCCTGGCTCGGTACCACTGATAGTGCCCGACCCGAGAAGGTCACCCACCGCCATGGGGCACCCGCCGATGGAGTGATGGGCCAGCATCTGCGGAAATGAGAAGAGCAGGTTGCGGCCGTTGGAATTCAAGATTGTCGTCGTCGATCCGCTCTCGGCTAATGCATGTCGTGGAGTCAGTTTCGAGCCCTACTTCTGAGGGTCGCAATTTCGGGTCAGACTTACGTGTGATATCAACCTGCAACCGAATGTCGTATACGTTCTTCTCCTCCTTCTCTTGTAGATAGGGCAGCAGCTCCGTATCATTCGGGATGCCTTTGCATCGAAAAGGCTCCAATGCATCGGTCAGCACCACCCACGGGCTGATGGTGGAGCCAAAGTTCTTAGCTAAGAACGGTCCCAGCGGGACGTACTCCCATGCTTGGATATCTCGAGCAGACCAGTCATTGAGCAGCACGAATCCAAAGATATGATCTGCAGCCTCCGAGATAGGGATGTTGGTGCCCATTTTGTTACCCTTACACAGGAAGGCGCCGAGCTCCAATTCGATATCCAGTCTCCTGCAAGGGCTGAAGATGGGTTTCTTGGTGGCTGCGGCGGGGTTCTCCAGGATCTGGCCATTGGGCCGTGTGATTGGGGTGCCTGAAATGACCACAGACGAGGCTCGGCCATGGTATCCCACAGGTAAATGCGTATAGTTTGGTTGCAGGGCGTTATCAGGTCCTCGGAAAAGGCAACCAACGTTGAAGGCATGGTTCTTGCCGGCGTAAAAGTCCGTATAATCACCAATGTGCATGGGCATGTGCATCTCGACTTGGCCTGTGGGGACTAAGCACTTTTCTTGCAGTGATTTGTTGTTTTGCAAGACATCCGCAAGAGATGTGTTCTCAACAAAGACGTCCTGGAGGTATTTCCTCACGGAGCGATGGACTGGTCTGCCCAGCGCTGCGAAGTCATTGAGGGTAGACTTGGAGAAACACGAGACGTCAAATCCGAGTGACGAGAATGCCCCTGAGGCTGCAAATTCCTGCAAGTCCAAGCAGTGTTCGCCAATGGCCACAGCCGGGCGCGGAGTGGGCTTGGATGCCGTCGAGATGATGCCAAAGGGTAGATTGGCCAAAGAGAAGTGGCTCGACTTGGGAATTGGAAACCATGATCTGAGAGATGCCATCTTGGGCGTATGTGTTTCTGTCGACACAAAGGTATTCGATCGCACACTGCTTGTCAGAACAGTGGATGATTCCCTATTAAGGCCCGTGTACAAAGAAGGAGCCGTAGATGTCAGAGGCGGGCAGTTCGGACGCAATTCCGTCCTTGTTTCCGGGGTCGAGGCGCCGCAGACTTTGTGCTTCCCGGAGCCGATTCGCTATTTAACTGCCAGACCCAGGCACCACGGGGGCACTGAGGCCTGAGGAGATCCATAGGGGCCTTGGGTGTCAAGGAACTCGTCTGCCCGAGTGGGTGGTCCGGCCTGGAGCGGTCCATCTCGACGCCATCCGCCCTCGAATGATTGGAGGTGCAGCAGCAAACAACCAAACAACTTTCGAGAATAGCTTCAACTTACTGTACACAGAGAATTCAAGCCAGAGTCACAGAGCACACATCAGCGACAGATATGCTGGATATGCTGTATAGCGAGTGAACATGTCCCCGTCAGACGCACAGACTTCCAGGCTCCGTTCAAACTGACATGTTCCGAATCTGATCAACGGCTCGACTTCCAGATCAGAGACCATGACGACATTGGCCGGAGATTCTCTCGCTGGAAATCAGTGGGAGAATTGAAAGATCTCAAAACTGGTTCAATGGTTTGTGTGCGGTCTTAATCAGATCGCGTGTCAGAGGTAGGAGGTTCGAGTGATAGACAGTACCTACCTAGACTACATTCCATTCTTTCTTTGCTGCTGGACGATCTCTCGACCCAGCATGTCCAAGACGCCGTCGACTTATGCCACGCCAAAATGGTGGAAAGAAGCCGTTATCTACCAAATCTATCCGTCGTCCTTCCAAGACACCAACGGCGACGGCTGGGGCGACGTCAAGGGCATCACATCCCGCCTGGACTACCTGAAGGCATTGGGCATTGACATCGTGTGGACGTCTCCGATCTACAAATCCCCCCAGGCCGACATGGGCTACGACATCGCCGACTACAAGGCCATCGACCCCATCTACGGCTCCCTCGACGACGTGGATACGCTGATCGCCGAGCTGAAGAAAAGAGATATGAAGCTCATGATGGACCTGGTGGTCAACCACACGTCCAACATGCATCCCTGGTTCCTGGAATCTCGCTCGTCCAAGACCAACCCCAAACGAGACTGGTACATCTGGAAACCGCCCAAGTCGGTCAGCGACGCCGGTGTGCCGGAACCGCCCAACAACTGGGCCCAGATCCTGGGGGAAGCCAACTCGGCGTGGACCTACGACACCCGGACGGGAGAATACTACCTGTCCATCTTCACTCCCGAGCAACCCGACCTCAACTGGGAAAACCCCGACGTGCGTGAGGCCGTGTGGGACGTGATGCGATTCTGGCTCGACCGTGGCGTCGCCGGCTTCCGAATGGACGTCATCAACATGATCAGTAAGGTCCCCACGTACCCGGACGCGCCCGTCGTGCTCGATCCCCTCACGCACCGGTACCAGCCGGGGACGCAGTTCTTCGTCAATGGGCCCAAGCTGCACCGCTATCTCGGCGAGATGCACCGCGAGGTGCTCTCCAAGTACGACACCATCACCGTGGGCGAAATGCCCGGCGTCTCGGACGAGGACGAGATCCTGCGCACCGTGGGCGCCGAGGCCGGCGAGCTGAACATGATCTTCATCTTCGACGTGGTAGACATCGACAAGCCCAACGTGCGCATGGCCCTGAAGCCGTGGGACGTGCCGGAGCTCCGGTCGATCATCACGCGGTGGCAGCGGTGCATGATCGAGCGCGACGGGTGGAACTCGGTCTTCATCGAGAACCACGACAACCCGCGCAGCGTGACGCGGTACACGGACGACAGCGACGCGCTGCGCGACAAGGGCGCCAAGCTGCTGGCCCTGATGCAGACGACCCTCGGCGGCACCCTGTTCGTGTACCAGGGCGAGGAGCTCGGGATGCGCAACGCCCCGCGCGACTGGGACATCGACGCCGAGTACAAGGACATCGAGACGGTCAACTACTGGAAGAAGTGCCGGCAGATCTACCAGGACGACCCGGCCCAGCTCGAGCAGGCCCGCCGCATCATCCACCTCAAGGCCCGCGATCACGCCCGCACGCCCTTCCCGTGGGACCGGTCGGAGAATGCGGGCTTCTGCCGTGCCGGGGTGAAGCCCTGGATGCGCGTCATGGACGACTTTCAGGACGGCATCAACGCGGAAGACCAGATGAAGCATGCCTCCGAGAACGAGAACGATGGTGATGACGACGGCGACAGCGACGACAACAACGAGGCCGAACAGCTGACGACCTGGCAATTCTGGCAGCGCGGCATCCGCGAGCGCAAGAAGCACGCCGCCGCCTTCGTCTACGGCGACTACCAGGAGCTCGCGTCGCCCGAGCACCGGGACGTGCTGGCCTACGTCCGCACCAGCGCCGATGGAGAGGAGCGGTGGCTGGTAGTGCTGAACTTCTCGGGCAAGGACGTCGAGTGGACGTTGCCAGAGTCGGTGTCGCCCGTCGACGTCTGGGCCGGCGGCACGTACTCCAAAGGCCGGCCACGGAAGCCGCGCGAGGGCACGGTCCCGCTCAGGCCCTGGGAGGGGTTGTTGGCGAGATGTCAGGGAGCATGATGAACTTGGCTCAGGATGGAAGGTATGAGACATAGATATGGCAGATGTGGGAGATACGACACCTAGATGGACAGATCGACATTGAGATAGACGCGATCCATATCACGCGGGTGGTTTCTTGAGGTGATTCCTCCATGAGATCTGGCACCGTCGACGCTGAACAAACAGTCGAACAACGCTACCTACGAACTCCTTTCTATTCTCCTAGGAAACGCCCCCCACCCCGTGTCTCTCTCTCCCTCCTCTCTCTCTCTTCCCCCCTCCCTCTCGGTGATCCCACGCCCATAATACAGCGAACAGGAATCACGGGCGGACAGATAGTTCTGTTACCGTTGTCCCAAGATCACATCACACACCCTCCATTCGTCGCCATCACGAGGAATCTCATGCTCAACCTACCCTACACGTGAACAAGCTGGTGGATACGTAGCGAACAACGCCACGCCGTCGAATGTCCCGTATTCGGTACGAGGTACAGTGTGCAGGGGAACGATTCCGCCCCGCCCTTCGGCGACCAGGCGACAGCACGTCTGCAGTACATGACTGGGCGAGAAAGCCTTCTCTCTTCATGGATTGGATTGGAGGAGCCGGCCATGACCTTGCTTGGTGCTTGCATAAGGTAAGGTATGTAAAGCGTGAGCGAGTGAACGAGAGGTTGATTGATTGATTGAACCCCTAATCCAGTAAGGAGGGGGAGAAGTTCTAGCTATGCATGCCCGTACTTTGCTCGTTCCTCTTCCTTGGGCTTTTTCGTCCCCGTTTGATCATGGAAGAAACAAAGGAAAGAAAGAACCTGGAAAACCCAAAGCGGCGGTGGCGGCGGCGTAAGGTGCGCCTGACATTGAGAATTGGGGTGTATATTGCATATATTGCATACCTTGTAGAGTCGATGTGCTCCTTCTGTTCTGTAGTAGAAGGGCTGCAATCCCGGCAGGAAGGGATGTTCAGGTCTGAGGAGGGTCGGGCTCGTTCTGGATCGGGCTGCAGAGAATTGGAAACATGTAACACAAAGTTTTGTTTGTTTCTCGCAGTCGCCAGTCCAAATCCACGGGTCCTCCGCAGGCGAGGGCGTGACGGACGAAGTGGTGGAAAAGGATAGGTCCCTTTGCCACATCTCGCCCGTGTAATTTCTCGTCCTGGTCGACTCCTTCGGAACGACCCTCAGGTCCCGACAGCAGAGTTCCAGAGAAGCCTTTTTTAGTTCTCGCGGAGCGGTTTCCTGCATTTTCTCGCTTGACGGTCGGGAACAGGGAGAGAAAGTGTCGGATCCGTGCATCTTCAGCAGGATCCGGTTCGATTGATCCTCTCTGCAAGGCCCCGAGAGAACTGGGTTTGCATCTCATGTCAAGCTTCCCTGCTCGTAGCCTTTTTGAGTCGCTCGTAAACGAGGGTGTATACGAGTAGTACCACGAAGTATAAGCATGATTGGCTGAACGAGCATCCATATCAAATCGCGGCTTTCGTCCGTCGCATCTCGTGGGCAATTCCGCACTGGCTCTTGTCCCCCACAGTTTCCAGCAAAACCATTTTGCCCACTTGGATCTGCATGACCCCGGTCTCTCACCAGACCATGGCGGAGGAGCATGCCAAGCAGAGCGCTTGTATGCTGTTGGTAAAGTATACATTGGCCCCGGGCCGATAACCTGGGCCCTTCATCTTGGAGTAGACCCAGGGGGCGACTACTACCCCAGTCTTTGCCAAACCTGGGACGGGTGCTTTTCCCGTTCAGTCCCTTCTTCTGTATGACGGATGATCGACAAGTAGGGTGTGGCAGAGATGGTGGGAGACAAGCACGGCAGCTCGCCCTGGAGACCGTGTCTAGTCCCTGTTCGATTGTCTGCGAGGGGGCACTCGTCCTCCGAACCAACCAGATGCTGCTCATTTGTCGCGGTGGAAAAGGCCAAGTCCATGTGCATGCCGGAGAGGTGCCATCGAAAGAAGGCCAGAAGAATCCCCAGCATAGCTTCATGCAACCCCAGGTCCGGGGAACATTGACTGGACGCCACAGAGCGGAATCAAATGGTGACAAGTTGATCGGTCGTCCTCCGTGAATCCTCGGCATGCTAGCGTATGGATTCAACGTCCACCAGCATCAACAGGTGGATAGTGAAGTGTGATAAAGGTGCGACAGGCGCCCGTTGAAATCTGGACCGGCTCCAGCTTCGAGACTCGGCGTTTGTCACTTAGTGTCTTACCATCTTCACCTCAAATTGTTCGCTCCTCTCTTCTCTCTCCCTTCGTCCCTCTTCCCACTTCACCGTCCATCAGTCACCATGGCGGAAAAGATCGCCAACAAGTCCGAGATCGAGGATGTTCCCGTCGACGTCGCGCCAGACACGCACGAGGTCGCCAGCCTGAGTATCAAAGGCGAGGCCCAGGAGATCGATCGGGCTCTCGAAAAGAAAGTGCTGCTGAAGACCGATCTCAATCTTGTTCCCATCCTCTTCCTCCTCTTTCTCTGCGCTTTTATCGACCGGTATGTGGTTGCCAGACCCTCGCCATGATCCCTCAGTTGACACCTCTCGTTGCTTAGAATCAATATCGGCAATGCTCGCATCCAGGGCTTGGAGAAAGACCTCAACATGGCCGGTCAGGACTACAACATCGCGCTGTTCATGTTCTTCATCTTGTACATCCTCCTGGAAGTGCCCTGCAACCTCATCCTGAAAAGAGTGCGCCCGTCCATCTTCATCTCGTCCATCATGCTGGGCTGGGGAATTGTCACCGTCTGCCAGGGGGTCACGCAATCATTTGCCGGCCTGGTTGTTTGTCGCGTCATCATCGGCGCATTGGAGGCTGGATTCTTCCCTGGGTGCCTCTATTTGATCTCAATGTCAGTCTGGTCGTGTCAAGAGGTGGTACATTCGAGCTGCGCTGACGGTCAACAGGTTCTATAAGCGCCACGAACTGCAATGGAGATTCAATCTCTTCTTCTCAGCCTCGATCGTGGCGGGCGCTTTCAGTGGCCTTCTCGCGTACGCTATTGCTCACATGGATGGGATCGCGGGATACAGTGGTTGGAGATGGATTTTCATTCTCGAAGGACTCTTTACCGCTGTGGTTGCTTTCGCTTCATTCTGGATCGTCCCAGACTGGCCCGAGACTGCAAAGTTCCTCAAGCCTGCCGAGCGAGAACTCCTCATCCGTCGACTGGCGATGGATGTTGAAGGCGCCAATATGAGCCACTGGAACAAGAAGGCCGCCAAACGCGTCTTCAGCGACGTCAAGATCTATCTAGGGTCAGTCATGTTTTGAAACGCATTCCTTGAGCTGGGAAAAAGGGAAACTGACTCGAGCCAGCATTGCAATGTATCTCGGCATTGTCACCACCAGCTACAGTGGCGCGTTCTTTACTCCGACCATCCTCAAGCAGCTCGGCTGGACCTCAATCCGCGCCCAGGTCATGTCTATCCCTATCTTCGTCGTGGCCACCGTGTGTGCTTTGACGTGTGCCGTTGCAAGCGACAAGCTTCGCCATCGCTTTGGATTCATCCTGGCTGGCTGTCTTGTGGCAACCATTGGCTATGCAATCTTATTGAACATGCACCAGTAAGTATTCTCTTGACTGTCACATTATCCGTCCTGCCATGCTCTCTCGGCCCCTGAGAAACGATCGAATGCTAACGACAAACTAGTGTCAGTGTGGGAGTCAGATATTTCGCCTTGTTCGCCATCGTCAGTGGTGGATATATTGCTCAGCCAATTACTCTGGTGTGGCTGAACAACAACGTCTCCGGCCACTACAAGCGTAGTGTCAGTGCCGCAATGATGGTCGGGTTTGGCAACTGTGGCGGCATCATTGCATCGTAAGTGAGCAGAGGGATTCATGGAAATCGTCACTGACATGCAGCTAGAAATATGTTCGTCACCAGTCAGGCACCCGATTACCCGCTCGGATACGGTTTGGGGCTGGGACTGGTCTGGCTATGTGTTCTGAGTGCGGTGATTTTTCTCTTCTATATCAGGAAGGAGAACAGATTGAGAGACCAAGGCCGACGCGACGACAGGTATAACCTGCCAGACGACGAAAAGAACAACCTCGGGGACGACCATCCAGGATTCCGCTTCACTTATTGATCTCTGGATCGGAAAAGGGAACGGGATGACAACGGTTCTGTTCCATTGGACCAAACGCAGAATCCAGCTGGATTTTTGATAGACCGGAGGCGACAGCCCCAAGCAATTCGATTAGAGATTTTAAGAATGACATTCGCACGTCCACAGACTGAACAGGCCAGCCGTCTGAAAACTGTAGGCGGATCGCTAGAGACTTTGAGAGTTGAGTTGCCGAGGGGAGACCTCTCGATTTATCCAGATAGCCCATCGAGCAGCTTCCAGGATCCACGGTCAAGAAACAGGCCGATATATGACGAGAACTGGCCGTTCTTCTGAATTGAGGTGTAGGAAGCGAGAACTTCTTCATGGAAATGTTGGCCATGGCCCAACGTTGCAAGGAGAAAAAAAAGCTTGGACCTGGTCCAAGTTGAGCTCTCCGCAACATGCATGTTGCATCGTGGGCAGCGGATCAACCGCACATCGGTGAACGCAGCCCTCGGGGGACAGCAGACTCTGAGATGTCTTCTGCGCTGTGATCCGTCCCGGTTGTGGATGGTGGTATTTCTGAGGTCAATTGGAGCTGTGTAGCTTTTCCAAGCAACGACCGAGTTTCAAAATCACACATGTTTCGTCGACCCAATAACGTCGCCTCTGACCTTGTCCCAGTCGATGCTTCTGTCCAACTCTTCGTCCACCAGTCCCACGATGGTGATGTTGTCGCCTCTCACCAGGTACAAGCCATGGCTGACCTGGGAGCTCGGTTCGGGGTCATCTGCGGGCCGGATGATACGTTCGACCGTCTCGTTGAGAACAATGTTGGTGACTTGATCGCAGGAGAGTAGGGTTCCAACTAGGGTTCTTCCGTCGACTGTAATGACCAACACCTTTTCTGCAGTACGGTGGAGGTGTCAGTGTGCACGGACGTGAAAATTGTGGTGCAGTGTGGTGGGTTTATAGACTTACTGTCAATGTATGGTTGGAGGGACATGACGAGAATCAGGACAAGTCGCGGGATACGAGAGAATGTCGGCGGTAGAGGGAGGGGACGAGTGAAAGAATTGGGGGGCCGGACAGTGACTGGCTGACTGCGTTGGTGGTTGGTATATGGATGGTAATAGCGTCAGTTCAAAGGTCACCAAGGCATTCTTGACCATAAATAAAATAAATAAATTACGGACCTTGAGTGCTGGCGCAGCCTCGTCGCTGGTTAGCCAATCCACATCCAAGGCACTTTTCCGCCACCACTTTGTCATATTGTAATAAATAATGAGCATCACGGAGTCAAAGCACAGTTTCCACTTCTTCCATGGCTTTCTGCAGGACATCATAACAAAGCGAGCCCTGTACTACGCGAATGTATAGCCAACAAACCTCCATCTCTATACGTGAGCGCGCATAAGGCATCCAACCATTCCCCCATCCCCCCTCCTCCATCATCCTTCACCCGTGTACACACCATGGTTGCTACCGGAGGGCCTTCTCCCCCCAGTCTAGAATCACTGCTTTCGATCTGGCCTATTGCCAACACCTTCAGCCAATATTTGCCCGTGGGCGATCTCATTACTCTGGCTCGGCTGAATGTTACCCTGCGGTCTGTGCTTCACGGCTTCGAAATACCTGAGGACCCCTCGGTACCGGAGGACTCTCGTATTGTCCGGACGGAACTGAACATTGGCCATCACGCAACACCCTACTGGCAGCGTCTCAAAGATCAGTCCCCTTTCGAATGCTCTTCCGACATCCACACGAAAGGTCCCCGACCGAGGCCTTGTCGGTACTGCTCGAGACCTATTTGCGATGCTTGCATTGTCCGCTCCTCCTTCGCCCGAGGCCATGAGCATACGTTCCAGAACAGGGTCCGGCATCTATGCAAGAAATGCTGGAGCTCGGGCAACTCAAGCAGAACGCAACGCTTCCCACTCGCTGCCCCTTCAGAGACGACGACGACGTCGTCATCGTCGTCGTCGAAGAGGAAATGGTATGATCCTGAAGACAGCACGAGAGATTACTGCGTCTGTACTCTCAAAGAGCACGGGCTGCTCTGTATTGAGTGCAAAGACGCCCAGAACTGGGAGGCCATATCCTCTGCCGACACCCAGTGTCACGGCCAAGACTGCACAGAAACCCTGGACGAGGACGACAAAGACCGAAGAAGGATCTGCCTCTGGTGCGACAAAGCCCTACCCCGGCAAATCGGCGGTACAACTCGATACTACTGGAACCAGAAGTTGATCGAAGCGAGGGCTCGAAACGCTGCGTCACGTCAGGCAGACATCGAGGAATACAACCGGAAACGATTGAAGCTGATGAGGATGTCACGCAGAGAGATGCGGGGCGACGACGCTGTCGAGGGCGACCCAGACGCAGACCTCCCGCAGTTCGTCAGGCATCTTGACACCATCAACTATCGAAGCTACATGTCTCAGTCTGCGGCACCGAGCGGTGACGCCGTTTACGGCTCCAAGAGAGGCTACTGGAGGTACAGCAGGGAGTTCCTTCTAGAGATGAGGCGACGGTGTCGAAGGGTCCCTGTACCCAAGCAATTGGACACTTCTGACAATATCGAAGGCGGATGCCTGAAGTTCGCACGGACCAATTCAGAGAAGAGAGAGGACTTAAAGACCCTGATAGAGGCGATTCCTCGCTGGTCACACAGGCGCTTGAGACTGTGGTGCACGCTCAAAGCCATCATCCTTGAGCACCTCCTTGTGGAGAGACTTAGCTATGGAGCCACCCAGCGCATCATGCATGTTGAGTACGGGCTTGACGCCAGTGTGGAACAATTCCACAAAGTGATGTGTGTCTGGAATGCCCAGGATGCAGTCCGGGAGCACCGACGAAAGTCGCTGGATCGAGAAGCTGAAGAAGCGGGGAGCGGCAGAGCACCCACCCTCCCTCGGTGGGTGCGCCACGCCAGATCCAGAGGCACAGTCCTCCACGCCGAAAACAGCGGGGGCTCGAGGCCAGGGAGTCCGCCAGAGGTTCCAGAGAACGGGGAACCGGCGGGCGACTATGGGCTGGAGAGTTTGTCGGGAGGGAGCGCCACGAACTCGAGGCAGGCACAACCCTCTAACTCAGACGACAAAACCACCGTCGCTATAGAAGGAGGAGACGGCGGTGAGTCGGACTTGACTGATCAGCTTCCGTCAGGCCTGGGAACGCCTGAACAGGATGAGGCCAAGTCGGCCTGCCAGAAGAGCCCCGACAGGCAAGACAGCGGAGAGTCGTCGCTAGCTCAGGCAAACGCCCACAAGGCATACTCCTCTCACTCAGGCGACGAAATCACCTTTGCAGCAGCAGCAGGAGGATCAGGAGGCGATGGCGGCGGGGTGGAGTTCACTGACCATCAGCTCCGGCCCCAGCCGTCTATCCTTAAACAAGAAGTGGCCGAGGGAAGTTTGCGCAAGGAGAGGAGGAGGCGGGACCGAGAAGGAGAATCGTCACCAGATCAGGCGGACGCCCACGCATCATCATCATCATCATCATCATCGCCGCCGCTGTCGTCGTCGTCATCGTCACAAGGAGCGCAGGCACGTACCGTGTCCGTCCCTGAGCCATCACCTGATGACAACGATCAACAACAACAACAACAACACAATGATGATGGCCGCATGCCATCCGGCGGTGCAGCCCGTGCGGCGCCTGTGCAAGTACAAGAAGAAGAAGGAGGAGAAGGAACGTTTCCGGACACGTCAGTCGAAGTTGCAGGTGCAGGTGAGGTTGGCTCCCTGCCACACCGCGCGGAAGACGATGGTGTCGAGGAGGACGAGCAGCCGCCGCCATACACTCCCAACGGGTGGGTGTGGTCTTAAGTGAGGAAAGGAGCCAGGAACCGAGATATCGGGGAAGTGCGTGTCGTGTCGGCAGTACAGGCACCAACAGCAAACCAAAACATCTCTCTTAACGTATGTGTTACACTTGCACCTCGTAGAGATGTGGTAGATGATAGTTGAGCTCAACTTACATCGCGACTTCATAAGCGACTTCATACCACCACCTGCAACAACAGATTACACTGTATGGATGTCAATGGGAGAAATTTATATAAAGAGCTCGAGCAATTTTATACCCTCTCATCCACGGTCCTGCTAGTTATTCACGATCTCCGTACGCCAGCGAACCACCTCCTGCGTTGCATTTCTCATTCAGCAGACCCAACTCGCTGTTCCCGAGCCCCAATCGACAGATGACAGTGGACAAGGATACCTCTTCGCACTTCGCGACTCATCGCCCGCGATCCGGAAACCTCATGGATCTGTACAAGCGCACTTTGCACTGAGGAAACGGTCCAAAACCAAAGCTTCTACCCTCTTCCGCCAGTTCTGGTTGAGCTCGGACAGACAAGCGCAGTACTCGACCAAGAAATCACACATGCCTTCCTTCTAATTCGATTCACAGCTCATTGGGATGCAAACAAGAACCTTTGCATCCCATAGCCAGCACTGATGTTCCAGCCGCGACGCGATCCCGTCATAACCCTGAACTGCAAGCGAAATCTTGTGCCCCGTCAGTACAGGCTCAACTCGTTTGATCTTTCGTTTCTCGTGGACAGCAGAGACAGAGGAAACGTCTATTCTTGACCGAAGCCCAGTGTTTCCTCCACCGCAGTGGACAGCTTGCTTTGAAGGGCATCGTAGGTCTTGTACGGTGGCAGATCGAGACGATTGAAGCTAGTTCTGGGTTAGCAGGTTTCCTCAAAGCCTCAGGAATGACTGTAAACGGCGAAACATACCAAGTGTGACTCTTCGGCAAGGCATTGACCTCTCCAGCCTTCTCGATGGTAAATCTTCTGGGGCCATCGCTACCCTGCAAATCCTTGAATCCATTGACAGGAATGCGACTAGTGCCTGTGGCAAATTGCAGCAGTCGAGATTTCTGCTCGGCATCCCATGATCGGATTACCTTCCAGAAGTTCTGGATCACTTCGTCTTGCTCTTGGTATCCGCGGTAGTCGGTGTGTTTCTTCCAGTCGTCCACATCAATGTCGGCAATACCACCAATCAAAAGCTCAAGTTCGCGCTCGTCGAAGACGTTGACAAGATCAGCGGGGATCAGTTCATTGAAGCCGGTAATGAAGGCATTGAATTGTTCCTCGACTCGCTTCTGGATCTTCCACTCTGTAAGGAGTCTAGATAAAGTTTAGCATTTTGGCCCTGAGTCTGGGAAATTGATACTCACTCGACATATTCTCTCTTATTCTCGTTCGTAACTGGGATGTCTCGGCCACCAGGTTTCAGGTCAATCGTTTTGGTCTCGCCAAACTGTTCGTCTTCGATGGAAAAGGTTTGATCGAGAACGTCGGTAATATCGTTTTCAAGCATCCATGTCAAGTTCTTGTGGTATTCTTCATCCACACCCTCCATGTCGTTGATGGTGACTTTCTTCCTCAACATCATCTTGTAAAATGCTCCAATGAAGAAGGAATCTAGGAATCGACGGTGGAAGATGGCAAGGCCAACCACTCGCCCAATGAATTTGAAGTAGTTGAGATGCTCTGGATTGATACCAGAATGAGGGTTGATTTGCAGGGTATAGTTGTCGTGCGCCGAGTATTCGAACAGACAGTAGAACGGGTTGAACATTTCATGTGAAAGGAGGAAGAAGAATTCGCTGGTACAAGATTAGCAATTCGCAGGACAAAACTCTCTATGGGGCCTGGATCCTTACCGAGAAAGGCCACCGTAATCCAAACCGTCTTCTCCGTCGAATTTGATCATCAGTCGTTTTTTGAGATCTGTTGCGCTCTGGCGCATGATTTCAGCAAACGAGTCCTCGAAAATGGCGCCACGGCGGACTTTGATGTGGCACTGTCCAGAGAGGATCCTCAGGGCTGGTTGCGAGCGGAAATAGATCAGCTTCCGCCTGAAGTCACGCTTGTATTGCGGCACACCCTGATCCAAAGAAGAGGGCAGTCTGGGATCGTCCCAAGTCGTGGTTTTGGTATTATGATCCACGAAATATACACGGGCGGTATTAGTCAGTCGCATTTCCCACCCGCTAGGCAATGGCCCCAATTGCGAAACCGGTTGTTGTTGGATCGTGGTGTTATTCCCAGACGGGTTGTTGCCGTACATTCTTATGTACTGTTGCCTTCGGGGATCCACCCAAGTTGTGGTTCGAGTATTGTGGTCAACGAAATAGGCACGTCCTTCGGGAGTGTGCCTCTGTTCCCAGCCGGCAGGCAGTTCGCCAGTCCCTGCGGTTGTTGCCCCGGTGGCCATCATCGACACCGCATTCGGTTGCGGAGGCGAACCTCGGGACTCCTGCAAGTTGGGGGAGTTTGCACCTGTACGATCCTCAGGCAGCATACGGTTTTGGTGTCGGGCACGTTCTATCTGCATATTGGCTTCGACGCGATTGCGTGCCTCAGTCTCACTCATATGGTTGGAAGGCCTGGTCCAGGTCGTGGTTCTGGTGTTATGATCAACATAGTACGTTCGGCCCAGATTGTCTTCTCTGCGCTCCCATCCGGCGGGCAAACGACCTTGGCTATCCTCGAAGGAGCTGAAGCCTCCAGATCTCCCGGCACCGGTACCGGCACCGTTGGGCTGGGGTTGCGTACCAGTTCCATTGACTGCAGTGTTAGATGCTCTCGCTTCCCCGGAGCCAGAAGTAGCAGTTCGCGACGCGGGACTTCTAGACCGAATGGGCAACGGCTGATTGACATTGGTGCTGCTTCCGGCATATGGATTTGAACCGTTCACACTAGAAGCGGTGCTGGGGGGAGGCCGGTTTTGTTGAGGTGGAGGGGTGGAGAGATTGGTCGAAAGATTCACAATCAATTTCCCATGAACCACGAGGTTGTCAGTGGACTTCTTAAGATCCCTCGTAAGCATCTCTGGGTGAAGGTTTAGTATATGTTCCCAAATTGGGGAAACCATCGGACTTACCGTCCCCTCCCGATTCAAGGTCGATGACATCGCCGATACGGATATTGATGACACCAAGGAAGCCCTGGTCCTTCTTCTTGAACTTCTTTTGGTCGAAGATTTGAATCGCCAGTATGCTATCCTCGGTGACTCTCCTGTCTAATAGTCACTATACCAGTTCCAGCAGTCAATAGCCACGCTTAACTCACATGTCAAAGACTTCGTTCCAGTAGGGATTCAGTGTTTTTCTGATGACTGAAGTGGTCTTTGTTTGTTCCCCCGAAATGGTTGCGACCGCAAAAGGGTCGGGGAATCCTAGATCGCGTCAATAACCATATTCTTGCTTGCTTCTCGATATAATCATTACTCACTGAAGACATCTCTTTTGTACAGGCCATCAGCCGCGATGACTACACAATGTTAGTTTCACGGGCCGACTGGGCGAACGGAAGGGACAGAGGTCATACTTGTGACTCGCAGATTAGGTTCTCTGTGCCACGGCAGTTAGCATCTCCTGGTGATAACAAGTATAGAGGGACGCGTACGCTGGCAGATTTGCTTCAGGCATCTTGGTTATTCAACCACTAGTAGGCGCCCCAGGATTGCAGCCTGCGGACAGCTCTCGTGCGGCGGGCGGCGGGGTAACTTGGAGGAAGGATCTGCTATGAAAAGGACAACCCGGCCAAAATGGCGTCGACAGTGACAACGGCAGTATATGTGTGAGATCGAAAGAGGCTGATGGACTCGATGTCCCCGGCGGTCGCAGAACGTCGCCCTGATCGTATTCGCACTGAGCGGCGTTTGGAGTTCAACGAGGCGCAGCTCGACAGAATGTGAGGCGCTAAGTGGTTTGCGGAAGAGGACGGGCAATGACACTCTCCACCTGGCTCAAGTCATGATTGCATAATAGCTGAACGGGCGTAATTACCAATAATACCAATGTCGCAATAGCAGCAGCCACCGCAGTTGCGATGGGGTGTCAAAGGGGTGCTGGCAATCTGCGGCAGAGCGAAAGGTCGATAATGGTTCAAGTCTCGCAGGTCTAAGTCTTGGTGGGTGGATTTTGACCGGCACCAAGAAGCAAGAAGGGGAGCCAGGCTTACATCATACCGGCCACCGTCAAAAACTCGAGGACCGCCATCTTTACACATCAAACAACATACGCGCTGGATCTTCCAGCGAGGAATGATCCCGCTCATCAGAACCAAAATCCTCATGTCATTATTAATCTCCATCTGGTCTCGATTGTAGAGAGATTTGGTCTCAGTTGCATTGCCGTCCCCGAGAGTCTCTGCTCATATGGATTGCATAAATCTTACAAAGGCTTCAGGCCTGGTTTCCCTGCTCCCAATATCGACTCGAGAAGCCCAAGTATTGATCAGCCGATTGATTCCCGCTTGGAATTTGAGATTGATGGCGGGCACGTCGCAGTCGGCCAATACTCGGTCCCAATACGCAGGAAAAGCTCAGCGCCAATGTTGCTTGCATTCCTTGTTGTTGTTGTGGTCGTCTGTGCCCGTGAACTCTTTGGTTCGGATCAGTGTCGCGTGCCTCGTCGTGGAGAACTTGGGCGAAGCTGAAACAAGAGTTTTTTACAGTCTTCTCTCAGTACGGTGCATAACCACGGCCACGTCCTCTGAAGCCGCCTCGAGGGGCGCCTCGTGGAGCACCATAGCCACCACCAGCGAAACCCCCGTAGCCTCCGCCGAAGCCTCCTCGTCCGCCAAAACCTCCTCGAGCACCACGTGGAGGCCCTCCTCTTCCTCTGCCTCGAGTCATGCCTGGAAGGTTTGTACGCTTTGGCACAACCTGAATCGCCTTGTCAGTGCCATTTTCAGAGACCAGACCAGGACCCATTACTGACCTTGAGGTTACGGCCACGGAAGACGCTTTCATTCAACACCAATGCTTGAGCCACCAGTCCTGGATCCGAGAATTCCACATATGCATACCTGCGCGATAGCTCCATTAGCAATCCATCTCTTGCCAGGCAGCATGAAATGATTTTCTTGGAAGTCTTGAAAGAGTAGCATCCAGCTCTTGAACAAGCCTTATGCATGATAGTGCTTGGAGTTTATTTTTAGACCCACCCCTTTGGATGCCCAGTAAACTTGTCCAGGAGGATGGTGACTCGATTTATCGTCCCCGGGCCACTGGCGAAGTGTGCTTGGATCTCTTCAGGAGTTGCGCCGTAGTCCACGTTGCCGACAAAGATGCTGCGTGCGTCCACATCCTCCCGGTCTTCTCTGGGCATGTTCTCTGAAGATTGTTCAAGGTGGCTTTGCATCTCGCGCAGTTTAGCAGCTTCCGACTCCATCTCGGCGACGCGCCTCTTCATGGCTGCAATCTCCTCCTGTCGACATGTGAGCACGAGATCAGGTGAATGCGGGATGGCGTGGTAGCCAGTGGGTAGCTTTTACTTCTTCTTCCTCACCACCATCTTCATGGCTTTCTTTGTGTTCATCTTTGACATCATGTTCGTCAGGCATTTTGATCGAGGGGGTGAATGCGAACGTGATGGTTCCGAGGTAATTCGAAGGGATTCAAGGTACGGCGTGGTCAACACTTCGAAAGGTTTCTCTTATGTCGAAGAAGGTGAAGAAAGGGTCATGTGAAAACACGCATACGGTGGTGACTGCAGACGGAGGTTGATTGTCCTGTTACACAACAAAGAGACCCGCGTCGCGAATGAGGTGAGACTAGTCCCGACGTTGAAAAGGCAGTAATGGGTTGGTGACAGTTCGCAGCAAGCAATCAACGCGAACAGGCCGGGAAAAGTTCCTTTGAGAGCCGCAATTCGGTCCCTGCCAAGCCAGCAGAATGCCTTGCCGCGGTGCTGCCGCTTTAAGGTCTTTCCCCAGAGATATGATGCCAAGGCGCTCGTCTCCGGCTTGGCATCTGATACCGTTGACAAGTGCCGATCCAGATATAAAATGCATATCTCGTCAGCCAATCTTTCTCTTTCCTCTCCGTCCTACAGAAGGTCTATTTGAGGCCGTCAAAGAGTTAGTCGACGGGGACATGACAAGCGAGAAAGATGGGGAGATCTCAGCCCTGAGCGTCTCTCTTGGCCAGCAGCCTGCCACAGCAACTGGCCATGCATCTATTCGCGATGCACAGGGGCCGACGCGGGATTTCACCTCGACTTGCAGGATTCTAGGGTGCTTTTTCGTGTTCTTCATCACTTGGGGCGTCGCCTCCTCAATCGGTGCCTATCAAGCCTTTTATCAGAAGGACTTGTTAGCCTCCCACCCACCATCCGTCATATCATGGATTGGCACGGTGCAGGTTGCCCTGATGGGACTTACGGGGATCGTCTCCGGGGCTCTCTATGACCGAGGCTTTATTCGAACGCTGTTGGTCGTCGGTGGTTCGCTCGTCATCTTTGGCTTTATGATGCTAAGCTTGGCCAAGGAATACTATCATGTCATTCTGGCCCAAGGCGTCTGCGTTGGACTCGGTAAGTACTCGTTCACTGACACTTCGGCTTTGGGGTCGCTCTGACCGGTCTCTTAGGCAACGGAATGCTGTACATACCCTCGATAGCCGTCATCAGTCAGACCTTCACGGCCAAGCAACGACCGCTTGCTATCGGAGGATCATCGTCTGGAGCAGCCATTGGAGGCATCGTCCTGCCCATCATGTTCCGCCACTTACAACCGCAGATCGGCTTTGGGTGGACCAATCGCATCTTTGGCTTCATACTGCTCAGCATGGTTATAGCCACCTTCTTCCTGCTCCGGCCCGACCCAACGCATAATCGCCGAAACGGGCAGCTTTTCGACCCTTCTGCCCTGAAAGAGCCCCCCTTCGTCGTTCTCTTGGTTGGCTTATTTTTTGTCTTCTTGGGATATTGGGTCCCGTTGATATACATCACACCATTCGCCCAGTTCTCCGTCAAAACGAACGTCTCGTACGCGTTTTATCTCCTGGCCATTCTCAATGCGGGAAGCTGCGCCGGCCGAATCCTTCCTGCCTTCGTTGCACACAAACTCGGTCCAGCCGTTGTCCTCTCAGCCGGCAGTATCAGCCTCGGGATCTTGATCTTAGCCTGGGTCGGGATCCATGACGTGCCCGGCCTCACCATCTGGGCTATCTTGGTGGGTTTCATGGCAGGCATTACGGTGGCAATCCCTGCCGCAGTGGTGCCTCTGCTCTCACCAACACCAAGTGTCGTGGGTGCAAGGACCGGAATGGCGTGGTCAGGCGCTGCCTGCGCAGGGTTGATTGGTGGGCCCATTGCTGGTGCTCTTGTCAACACGACGACCAATGATTACGCACACGGTCAAGCCTTTGGCGGCGCTGCCAGCTTATTTGGTGGTTTACTGCTAATATACCCTGCAGTTACCATTGCTAGGGGGAATAAGCGCTATCCAAATCCCCAACAACCGGTGCATGATATCGATATCACCCCCTCGCCTTCGAAAAGCGACGACATGGTATCGGCATGAAATGGTTGACCGCTCACCATGCCTTTCCGGATATCCGTTGGCGAATCACACTCAGAAGAAATGCGTGGAGTTATGCCATACTTTATTCCGGCATTGCCCTTGAAATGCAGACCAAGCAGCGAACGAATTGCCAAGTCAAAACTCTAGCACAGACGAAGGGCGCTCAAACGATATCTTGTCACTGATTTGCAACTTTAAGATCGACGGAAATTTGCCAGGATTTAGCCAATTGATATATAAGTACTTCACTCTGTATAGTACGCGGATAGCTGTTTTATACGAAACCGGGCTGAGAACATAGAGAATGAGATAGAGAGAAATATAGACGTAGACGTAGACATAGACATAGACATAGATTTGTACATGATCTCGATGACCGTACAGTCATACACGCCTCACTCTCAACCCGTCGCCCCTCCACACCCCCATTTCCTCAAACCTTAGCCATCCAGCGCCACTGCCAACCCAGACAAGCCCAGCGACTCAATATGAACGTGCCCATTGACACGCCCGCGACAACACACATAAACCCGACCATGACCTCTGGACCCGCCGCCTCTACCAGCTCCCCACTGATGGGAATACAGACGAGAGCCGCAAGGCTGCCGATGAAATAGCTCGTCCCGTAAAACCGTCCAAACTGATCGGCTTCGCAGAGTTGGCCTATGCAGGCAGGGGTAAGCGCCATCCACGAGCCGGTCCCGAAGCCGAAGAGCGCCACGAAGATGTATAGGGCGACCAGGGAGGTGTGGCCCAGAGGGAGCCAGACAGCAAGCATGAGGATCAAGGTGAAAAGGATCATGAAGAGGAGGGTGTTAAAACGGCCCACAAAGTCCGATATATAGCCTGGGATGATTCGTCCAAAACAAGACGAGGCATTGAGAACTGATATGATGTAGAATCCTGTATCGGGCGGGAATTTGTCGCCGTAGTTCGCGTAGGTTGGGAGAATGCCCAGAGCACCAAACAAAACGATTTCGAACCCAAAGACGCTGATCGTCAAAAAAGTGAATTTTAGATCCCCGAACAATCCCAGCGATATGATTGCCTGTTTCCGTGCTTCAGGGGATGGCGGCAAGCGCGGCTTCATCAGCACATTCGCAAGAACCAAGCATCCGAGGAACAGAAACCCCAGGATACGCATGGACCATGCATACCCGTACTTGGGAAGCGTGGACCTCAAGATCAGGGGAATCGTGACGCCACCAAAGCTCGATCCCACCATTGCAATGCCGTGTGCAAGCCCTCTCTTCCGTTTAAACCAGTGGCTCACCACGGCCAAACTCGTTGTGGTCAAGGTTGCCCCAGCAATCCCACCCAGGAAACCAAGGCAGAGAAGAAATTGCCAATACTTTCCACACTCTGCTAAGAGAAAGACCATAACCACGTAGCTCGTACTTCCCAACAATGCAATCCACCGTGGTCCGTAGCGGTCAAAGAGAGGTCCGACCCAGATGCCCAGCCCGAGAGCCAGGTAGACAAAGACTGAAGGGATCCAGCCGATATCGCGGGACGTATAGGTCGATAATTGGTGCATCTGAAGGTATTCTTGGATTGTGCCGATGGACACCATGAAGCCGAACGAGGCAAAGAGAGCAAGGAAAGCACCAGTTAAGACAAGCCAGGCCTCGAGGCCACCTTCTGGGAAAGTGTCGTTTGGTCCATTGCCTGGTCCTCGCTCGTCAATATCCAATGCTATGATTTGTTGCTCAGCATCGGTGTAGGCATAAGCTGCTTTCTGGACGCTGAGGGTAGTTGGTGTTTTGGCCTCGGGACTTATATGCTGCGGTATGGGGTCGCCCTCGGCAGGACATACCACGTCTTGCCGATCTTGGTTGTTAGATTCTACCTGCTGAATGACAGGGAGTGAGGCTGTGTCCATCGAGGTTGGGAGCGGCGTTAACTCCTCGATACCAGCTCAAAGCGAAGCAGGAAGCAGGCACCCTCTGCAGACTCTTCGAATTTAGCAAGCCCACGATCGTCATCACGCCCTTCGAGAGCTCGACTCGTCAACTGAAATTTTGTCGCAACCAAAAGGATGTGGGGGATGAAAGTGGAGAGAAGAGTATTAGCAAGCCGCTCTTCTCCGTCGGACCGTCGCCAAAGGATCGCTCCCACTTCCATACCGATCTTACCCTTGGCGGTGTCTATTACCGCAATTAGAAGGCTGCTTTTCACCAGCACGTATGTAATGGGCATGGTGTTGTGGACCACTGCAATCCGGATCCCACCTAATCGACTGTCCATCCAGTGTCGAAGACCACAGCGACAGTATTACACTCATTTTTCGCAGCTCAGACTTGCCTTTTATCAGCCTTCATGGGTTTGCTCGGCGGTTACAGTCGCATCCTGGGGGACTGCTGCATCCTGCTCAAGTCTTTTAGACCTCAGAAGTATCTGTGATTGTCATCATGGCCGCTCCATCAATACCCACCGTAGTCTTTGGGGCGGAACTGGTCGAATCGGTGGTGGCGCTTCCCGCATCGCATTGCTGCTGTGAAAATCAGCTTTCGTTGGCTAATATGTCTGTTCCCTTTGTCTTTCCACTGCCAACATCCATCTTTGCAGTCCTGGCACCGAATTGGATGGCCCTCTTCCTTTCTGAGGCAGCTCTACGCATGCCTAGCTTCCACATGGCTAATCTCAACAACATCTTTGACGGTTCAAGATCTTCAGGTTTGCCCGCGCGATGGGCTCCCTCATAGTGCTTGGGAATTCTTTTGGATGATCTGAATCCGCATTTTTCCCACACTGGGAGATCTAGAGAGAACCTCACGAAATCTTCATCTAGATACGGGTAACGCACCTCTTTACCCCAATGACTCAGGACACGGTCGTCTCGACCTAAGTTGCGAGACCCGATGCGATTGAAGTCTAGCTCGAGTTCGTCCGTTAAGTCGACAAGTCCGCCTCGAGCAAAGGCTGCAGCATGGCGCGAATACCCTGCGTACAGCTCATCTGCTCCCAAGCCGGAAAGAAGGACTCGAGCATGGGAGGTGTAAAGTTCTTTGGTTGTCTGCTGTATTTCTGCATTTTGGGATAGACTCCCCGTCCCCTTGGCGGCAAAGAAGAGTGCCATGGTGATAGACAAATCCATCTCCGTCTTGTGAGGCTGCATCAATTGTTGAATGCTGGCTTTACAAGCTTGTGACTGCTCGTAAGGCACATCAACTGCCACAAATTTCCAGTTTCGGTCCGGGCATACTTCGCAAAGTTCTGAGAAACTAGAGCGGCCGGTGATCCTGTCAGGGCAGAGCTCATAAGGTGAGTCTGCGATATTGTGTTTCGCAACAATGGACCGCGGGTTTTCAAACGCCACATTTAGCAGATCTATAGCTTCTGATTTGGGTAGAAGATCATGCGCCAGTCGGGCGAGCAGTGTACAGTCCAATCCTCCGGAGAAAAGTATGGCGACTTTCGTGGACTGTGGGATACCCTGGCAATGGTGATAGTTTGGAATATCCAAGAGTCTTAGTTCGAGGGCAGCAGTCAACCGCTCTAGGAAGCAGTCGACACTTTTCGAGGTTGGCATCAGTTCAAGCACCTCCGGCTGACGAGTCTTGTTGATCACGGGAGGTATGGTTTGCCATGGAAGTTCGCCATGGGTGATTTGACCGTGCTCCAAAGAGATAAAATGGATGGTGTTGGTGGACACCTCTTCGTTCAGCACCACATCACCAAGTGCAATGCCGATACTACACAGCGTCAGTGAATTCTCATCGCCACGACTAGTGAGCAGAGAGCGGCGCCCTAGCCGGTCCCTGCCGTAGAAGATGGTTGAATGAATAGCATCATAAAAGACAAATGCAAAGGGTCCGGCTACGTTTGTCAGCACTTGAGCAGTTCGCTGACGGTATTCATCGTTTTGAGTCGACTGCGAAGCATGCAAGAGAAGACGAAAGATCTGGACAGAGTCGTTTCCTTGGACTCTGACTCCGTCTACTTTCCATGCCTCGCCATTCCAGCAGAGGATGGAACCCGAATTGCGATCCTCTAATGGTTGGGCCTGAACTGAATCTCCACGTAGTGCTAGGACGGATGAGACGAATGTCAGGTGTAGATCGTCTGATTGCGGGAAGGCGAGTTTGACGTTCAATTCTTTGTAGCTGTCGGGGCCACGTGCGTTGAGCTCCTTTGCGGTAGCAGAATCGGGCAGGGTTGCATGGTGTTTTGCAACCGAGAAGAAAATGCCGCACATAGGGCGGTGGCGGCAGATTTGGCCCGTTCGGGATAGATATGTAGGAAGGTAGCTGTGCACTGGACTTGAGGTGAGATATGAGAGAGCGAGACGAGCATAGACGAGAAAAAGAGTGCCAAGATATACCGGACGCTGGCCAATCAGAGGCGAGTGTCCACATCCAACGTTCGGCTGGCCACCAGCTGCATGAATCCGCTTGGGGAACTCAAACTGCGCTGGCGGCCTTGCAGTATCTCCGACCCATCATCATGCAGGGCCGCTGTTGTCATCCCAATTCGTAGGGAAGGGGGATCAGAGGAGTTGCACCTTTGTCTAAAAAGGAGCACCCTTGATCTTCTGCTTCAAATTACTTGCTTCCCTTCCTCTGACGACGCCTTGCTCTCTTGCTTCAGCGGCTGGCCTTCTCTTCCCCGTCGCGTGACGCCTCGTCAGCCTCTCCATCCTTCATCATGAACCAACGCTAGATCGCCGATCCTACGAACCTTGAAATTGACAACTTGAAAACATGCCACAGACCCTTTCGACTGGTCAACGTCAGAGCTAAATAGTTGTCAATGCCACCCAACAGCAATCATGCAGCCATGGACGCCAGCAAGAAAGCCGTTTCGTCGGAAACTGCCTCGTCCGACCTGATCGACCTGGAGCCAGAAGGTAGTGAGGTTGCTAGTGAAAACAAGGCCTTCCAGGATGCATTGTCAGGAAAAGGAAAAGGTCCAGAATCAGATGTGACAGACAGACTCCCAGATCTCCGGATTGGTGAAGTCGAACCTGAGACCAACCACGTCTCTCCGCCGAAAGTCCTTCCCGCGACGCCGCCTCCACCCGAACCGCCTGCTGCCAGTGAAAAGCCGTACCTCGATCCTACGCCCAAAACCCCAGCGATCTCAAGGCACCCGTCGATGAGGACATCAGGCGAGGAATATGACGAGAAAGACCCGGCTTATAACCAGGAATCTCAGGACAATACTGTGGAAACGCCTTTCCAGAAGCCCAACAATAATGACCCTGATGTGGAATCCGCGTCAGAAATCCAAAGTATCATAGATCAATTCGATGATGCCGCGGCGGCTCCCTCAAAGGAGTCAATCATGTCTCCTCGGCACGAAATGGCCGGGCCAATTCTGGGATCGGGTGGCAGTTTTCCACCTAGAAGATCCAGCCTCGAACATCTACGATCGAGAGATATGGACGCGCTAGCATCACCGGTTATACCCCATCATGCGGACAAGCCTTTGCCTTCGCCGCCTTCAGGTGTTCTCAATCATGATTCAAGTCCTCTGAGAAGCCCTCCGATAAGAAGCCCAGCTCAAGTCTCGTCGCCCTCGCTTCCGATGCAGCCACCACCTCCCGAACCCGAGCCCGAACTGCCATTTGATTTTCATCGATTCCTGGAGCAGCTCCGGCATAAATCCGCCGACCCAGTTGCTAAATTTCTACGCTCCTTCTTGACCGAGTTTGGGAAGAAGCAATGGATGGTCCATGAACAGGTCAAAATCATAGGTGACTTTTTGGCCTTCATCACCAACAAAATGGCTCTTTGTGAGGTATGGCGAGAAGTGTCGGATAACGAGTTCGATAATGCCAAAGAGGGCATGGAAAAGCTTGTGATGAACAGACTATACTCGCAAACGTTTTCTCCGGCAATCCCGCCGTCTCCTCCGGTCGCGCGATCACGGTCCAGGGGAAGAAGAAAAGAGCTGGAAAAATCCCAGGTACCGGGGAGACGTGGTCAACACCAAGAAGATGTCGAACGCGACGAGATTCTCGCCCAGAAAATTCGGATATACAGCTGGGTGCGAGAGGAGCATCTCGATATAGCGCCCGTCGGACCGAACGGAGAGAGGTTCCTTCGATTGGCCCAACAGGAACTCCTCAAGATCAAGGGGTATCGAGCGCCTAGAGACAAAGTCATCTGCGTCTTGAATTGCTGCAAAGTTATTTTCGGCCTGCTGAAGAATGCAAAGAGCTCCGACACTTCGGCGGATTCCTTCGTGCCCCTCCTAATTTACGTTGTCCTTCAAGCGAATCCAGAGAACCTCGTGTCGAATGTCCAATACATTCTCCGATTCAGGAATCAGGACAAGCTTGGGGGAGAGGCGGGTTACTACCTGTCCTCCCTGTCGGGGGCAATTCAATTTATCGAAAGCCTAGATCGGACGACCTTGACCGTTAGTGACGAGGAGTTTGAGCGCAACGTGGAGAATGCTGTAGCAGCGATCGCAGAGCAGAATCGTCAGGCAGAACAATTCAGCCCACTGGCCTCGAGCATTGCCGAGAAATCGTCACTCGCTGAGCCAGAGCTGACGCCACGGAATTCGATGGACGTGACGTCCACCAGCCCTATACGACGAGATCCCAATCGGCAGTACAGCACCTCAGGAGACGGATCCGAAGACAGTGTAGCAGGCCTTTTGCGGACGATCCAAAAACCCCTCTCCACGATTGGCCGGATATTCTCCGATCAAGACTCATCATCTCAAGAACGCAGGCCGAGCCCAGCGCCTGGAGCGGCTCCGAGACTGAACCCGAACATGTTCCAGCCGCCACCAGCTCATGGCGGCGCAGCCCCAACATATGACGCCCAGGAAGCTGCAGCGAGACAGGCGAGCGCGGAAGCCGCGGAAGCTCGACGGATCTCCCGAGCCGAACACAGGACTGTGGTCGAAACACTGTGCGGCATGTTCCCTAACTTGGACAAGGAGGTGATCGATGACGTGGTGCGGCAGAAGGAGGGAAGAGTCGGACTCGCGGTTGATGCATGTTTGGCCCTGACAGCTGGGAGTTGAGCCTGAAGGGCTGCTACGAAGGTCATTGAAAGCGTCCAACCAAAAGAGATCACAAGCACACTACCCACCGAGGCCTCGAAAGACCGAGGGGGTATAAATCTACCTCCTTGTTGCCAGTAAGTGGTCCGCTTTAGGCGTGGCGTCCTGCTCCAGGATCAACGATATACCCTAGATGGGGGGCCACCAATTTTCGCCACGCTTATAAAGCGTTGTCCATGGCAAAGGATCAGATCTTCATTGCATCCGCGACATTGGCGGGAAAGGAAACAGCAGCGTCACCTACAGTACGCAGATTGGTCATATCACGCGATACTTACTTAGATTGTTCGTTATTGTTCGAGCGGGTGTGGCACTATTCTTTGCGCCGGACGAGGCGACCTCTGGTCAGGGTTGCAATGGACTAAACTACCCAACACGTAAACAAACCTAATACATTGGCTATAGATGCGCAAAGGGGGGAAGAGGGGGGAGATATCCCGCAGATGGGGACCTAATGGCTGAGGATGCTTGACAGGATGCATTCGTGAGCACTAACACCTCCTTTCCAGGTGTCTGTCCTGTGTTTTTTTAGCGTCTCGTTTTCCTTATTATGCCTCGTCGCCTCTTCCTCCATGACATGTGTCTTCGTCAGATGGTGACATAATGCGGCATGCCCTGTGCATGATCCTGTATGCCCGGACCAATATGATCGACCTCTCCGCCGACGCATGAATCCAATGCTCCCGAGAATAGATGGCTGTTTCCCGCCTCTTGACATCGGAAGTTCGTCGTCGTCGTGGTCACGGCCTCCTCCTCGCCCTAGTCATTTCCGTGTGCACACACCTGTCCACGGAGGGATGCATTCGTGAGGCTTCTCGTAAGAATAGGGATTGGCTGGGGCAGGAGTGCCCTGAGAGACCCTGCGTGGCGCCGTCGAGAAGAGAAATCGACGGAAGGCAGGTGGATTTCTGAGATTTGTATTCGTGACCTCGGTTGTCACATTAGCGGAGAAGTCTCTGACAAGTGGTTCGGTTCCATTTCCTCTCTAAGTCGGGATGGGCGAGGAGAGCGATTTGTTGTTTGTTCGACGACGTGGCTTCGAGTTCCATACGTCCTTCCCCCAAACAGCATTATCGAACAGGGTTTCTGAATCCCTTGCTGAGACTTCGCGGCCCACGCCATCGAAGAAAGCGCAAGGTTGACTTTGCTAAGCTTGCCGTGAGAGACCCCGTGAACGAGGTGGAAACCGACTTGAAGGATCCAACAGACGATCTTTAGTAGAACAGATAGCCCCATTTCGCCGAGAATTCTTTCCCAATCTTCCATGCCCGGGGGTCCCAGGACGGCGCACCTGATTCGAGAGTAAAGCTCGTCAAGGTGAACAAATCGGCGACAAACTCCTCTTCATCAATGATACTCATCAGCGTGATCATGTTGTCCCTCATCTTCGGAAAAGGAAACCGATCGATCCAGGATGGGTGGTTAACGGTGAGTTGTAGAGCAGTAGGACGCAAAGACACGGGGATATTGGGTCCAGCAGGGTTTGATTTCTTGCGGAGAGAGACGCTGCAAGGTATTCCCATCTTTTCAAATATGCGGTGGTCCCGTCAGCCCTCATTTGGCACGCAAAGAAACCGTTGGGAGATATGAAGAAGGTGGGTTCCCGTGCAGCCAAAGTATTTTGATAAACAACAACACATACCATTGCACCGTTTTGATACAGAGCACCATAGATAGACCCGCTGATGGAAGAGCTGACGAATGACTGCGGCTTGCTCGTGGCCAAGGTAACCGGATACACTTGAGGAGACCGTGGCACGCTGGGTACAAGGGGGAGCGCGTCCGCAGAGCCGTTGCTGCTTGGTGGAGAGGCTGAGTTGCTGTTGCCGCGTCGGCTATCTGGGCAAAGAGCCTCAACAGGCCTTTTGGCCTCTGCCAGGCGTTTCCCTGTGCCCGGCGATTCATCAGTCAAGATGTCGAGCCTTCAAAGGCATGAATGAATGGTTAGCTGTCACTGACTCCTTGCTCGCTGAGCTAGTCTGTCCTGGATTTGCTTCCTCTTTCGGGGATCTTGGACGCCAAACCAATTGTCGTCTCCTGCCCGTGCTCTTCCCATACTGGACCCAGACAGCAGTGCTGGTACTAGAACTCGTGAAAACGAGATGATCGGAAAATAGGACGAACAGCGAGGATCTGGCTTCTCTGTACTGTGCTTGGTCGTTGGGTGCTATGTTTGATTAGAATACTAACACTAAGGCGTCTAGGGGAGAGAGTCATGGCATTGACATGGAAATTGTGGATGGCTGTCTGTTGTGAAGCTGTTGGGAAGTTTGTGCACCATTTGGTAGAGGCCATTATTACTAAGTCAGTGGGTGACTTGCGCCTAAATTCTGACTTTGGTCGTAGTCCGTACGAGCAGCATTCTGACATCGGCAATTCTGATGAACATCACAGTCGGGAATAGGGAATAGGGAATAGGGCCTACCACGCGCTGTGAAGTCGATATTGCGATCAACCTCACCCCTGAAAAGACCTATAACTGACTCCCTCAACAGGACCCGTCAGTAGGTGCTCTGGCTGTCTACAGAGCAATCGCCTCTCGCCCTCTTTGTTCCCGATCATGTGCCCTGTGGAATCCCCGGAGGAAAAGATGATCATCACGCCAGGCTCTACGCTTTCTTGGGAGTCCGGAGAACAGTGCGTTTATAACAAGGCTGCAGGGGAGGGGGCAGTGAAAGGTCTGGGGCTTTGAGGGCTCCTCTTGCTATTCTCTCCGATGCACCTGCGACACGTGCGGTGTGGTTCGGATCCGATGTTTGAACAAACAGGCAGGGTAGGCTATGGAGATAACCCAGGCTCAACTGGACCCATGGGTGGACCACCGCTATGTTTGGCAAGGGCTTGCAGCTTGCCGCCGCCGCCGCCTAAACGACTGCAGGGACGGGCGGGCGCCAAAACATTGCACTGAGCACTCAAAAGAGAAAGTCAATCTAGATCGACATTGAGGACGTCAGGTGCGGTGTGGCTTCAGCACAGGGCGTCCGGTGCGTAGGACAAGCCAAGGGATCACGATGGCCACTGCCAATCCTCTCGATACGAGCCTTGAACGAAAACTGATCGAACTCCTTCAACCGGAAATCCCTTTAGACCGTGTGCCTTGCCCTGGACTCTGACGTGGTCTTCATCTTGTTTCTTGGAATGGCTGGGCTCTCCTGACGCGATGCAGATGCTCTTGCCACCCCCGGATACAGACTCCTCAAATGCCCTCCCCAGATGGGTTCACGAAGAATCTGGTGTTTTTCTGGGTCTACTGTTCAAGGTTTGGACGGGGATTTTACGGAGACTCCATGTCTTGGGGCAGGACAGAGACGGGGCACCCGAAGCAACGCCGCCATGTTGCTTTTGCAAAAGCCTTTTCCCTGTTCGTCCACTGTGCCGGGTTCCCTGAATTTATTGCCTTGCCTCATTCGTCAGCTTACCCTCACTAATTCGAGTCTGTGCCCATCTGACGTGGAGCTGGACAGGACGAGCCTGCCCCGGAATAATTGGCCCAAGCAGCATTCCCCCCTCTTCCGATGCTTATGATCCTCAGGCCAACGCCTGGCAATGCACCACTTCAAGCCCTATTTCCGACTCGGGCCGAATGGGTAATGCATACGGACTGAACTAAGCACCCCTTGTTTACGGCCGGTGGGAATGAGTAGACTTAGGTGATTGTTGAAACCCTAGCCACGGCAACCGGGAAGAGGACTGCAAGGACTGCAATCTAGTTCGCTAGTATGGGCTTCTTGCTATAAACCCGTTTCCGTCCCTTCTCTTCTATTCCTCCCCTTAGAGCACTGGAATACTTGCCGTCTCCCATATCCGAGATATACTGCTCCTGCCTAGCATTGGGTCCTTTCCAACGCAAGCAAATCCACTCATTTAGAATATTATATCTCGAGAAACCGTCATGTCCTTTGTTGACCTTCTCTTTCCCCAGAAAGAGCTGGAGGCTCTGGGGAACAAATGGCATGAACCTGCTCCTAAGCGGAGGAGGCTGGATTCGGGGAGTGTTGGGAGTGCCCAGGTCGTACAGGGGTCTTGGGCAGGTCAGCGTAGGCCAAGCAGTGAACAGAGTCTGGATCAACGCCGTCATCGGTTGTCGACACCGGCACCAATCCAATATGGAAGGCCGTCAGTGTCGTTAGAGCATATGAACGTCCGCGGCACGAAGAGGTCCAACTCGGACTCTCAACCAGTCAGCTGCACCTCGAATCCGAACAAACAGACAACAATACCCAAGTCTTGTCTCCCGAGTTTTATCGAGCCGTCTCTGATGAGGAACTACCTTCAGCATCTCCATCCCAAAGATCGCCATCGCTATACTACTGTCAACGAACCAAAGCCAGAATCGAGACCGAGAGACAGAAACATGCGGATGTCTCCGCCCAGTTTCCTCGAGGAGGCACTGTCTTCTCCAGGATCCCTCACTGCGGATACATCGTCGTCTCCTGCTTCTACCGACAGTTGCCCTACTCCTGCCGCTGTTTGCGAGCAGTTCCGTTCAGGGCCGTTTGGGCATATCTTTAGCGGAATGCGCCTTACAGACAATGAGCGAAATTTGATGGAAGATCTCCTGAATCCGTCTACAACGCTTCCCGAGGACGCGACACAGGCCCAGACGCTCCAGGAGACGGCCCCGAAAGTCGAGCTTGCACCCGAAGACTACCTGGAAATCGATGAAACGTTGCTACAAAACATGTTCTACCCGTTCGTGAAGCAAGAGATTCAACCCTTTGACATTGCACCGAACGTCGAGAAGGAGTATGAAGTGCACTCGTCGGGTCTGAGTCCTGCAGCTGAGGAGGCGGAGGATGTGGAGGAAGCAGCGGGGGCAGAGGAAGACAAGCCGACGGGCCACCGGGGGATCGTGGTGTACGACTACAATGCTCTCAGCGTGGACGATTTCTTTGATTTGGACGAGGCTTCCTCCAGCTAGAGCTTTGGTGGCCGGAAGATTGGCTTGCCGGGATTTGGATATATGGGGAGGGTTTTCCCGTGGGGTTTCAGTTTTCAATTTCCACAGGGCTGGTCTATAATTTCTACGGAGCAACAGGCCTCAAAAAGTCGCCGAATATTGGTGGTTCGGTCCCAATGATACCACGGATGATGACGCTGTTCACAGAATGGACGGATTCCCGTCTCTTTCACATGCCTTTGGTGCCTTTTTTTCTCTTCCGGTGGATTTGATCCTGCCGAGATACCGCTGATCGAGAATCCTTCCCAGCACTTTCTTCAATACCCGGGATCAAATATACTCTGTCCCCTGCAGTCACAAGGCTTCTGATACAGACGAGATAGCAGGCTGACCTCGTGTCTCGGCGAACAGATGAGGTGGTGCTTCTTCCGGCTTCCCCTGTAGGCCCCCTCTCCCACTGATATGGTCGGAAGATGGACTTGGTGGCTGACATCACCTCACCTTGATTTGATACCTGACGTGTACCAACTCGCCACAACATGTCTTCGAGCCATGGTCAAGGGGACGTAACGCCCGCAGGGGGAGCTTTCTACAAGAGAGAAAAACATTCCATGAGCCTGGGCGGAACGAATACTTGTGAAAATGCCCACACCTGAAAATCTCGGTGTACTCTGGGGAGTCGACCAGTGGCCCCTCCACAGATTGGCGGAGCTACAGGCTCGTTAGGCTAGTAGTAGGCCCTAGTCACCGCCCGGATATGATACCCATGAGTTATGTATGCACTTCCTCCGGAGAAGGGCTACATACAGTTCCATGACTGTGGACACAAGCATCTACCGTACGCCTGGAAATCGAGTCTTACTTTACGGTGACCAACGACTTGCAATCTGATGACCGAGTTGCCGCGTACAGCAATACGCCATCGCACTCCAGATCCTGAGGCCCTAGGGCGTGGAGACGTGGCGGCGCGTCGTACCTCGTATGCTCTGCTGAGCGAGAAGTGCTACTACGCCCGGAAAGGTTCGAGGACAGCGGACGACTACTAGCTCCCAATTACTACACAAATTGCACCCCCCAGATTCATAATCCAAGTTATGACGAGGGTGATGAAATCTCACAAAAAAAAAAATCCCCCAATGGTCGTCGGAAAGTCAAGCCATGTATGAACCGTTGAAAAATGAACATCCCGCCCCCTCCTTCGTCTTCCGGAAGAGAGGCTAGAGAACGGGAATACCTCGTATGCATCGAAGCCATCGGCCACAATCAATTGTCGTTGTCCTTGTCGATCGGTGTCATCGAACTCAAACGAGTTATATTCCCACCGGAAAAGCAGCCAGCCAACAAAACACCATGTCACACTAATAGCATAATCAAGCGACGAGTTGCTGATTTGGTTCGATCTGTTCCTGTTCAAGGCACGCAGAACCACCAGGCCGCTCCGTGCATATAGCCGCGGCTACTATGCCTGAGGAGCTAACACACTGTGGCGCCACTCAGAGTCCAGGGGAAACAATGTCTAGTCATCGTGATGATGGCCATCGGATCCGACCTTTCAGGGTCGTGCAGACAAATCGCCGAGGCTCGCGCCGAAAAGGGACATGTTAGACTCCCCCAAGGCCGGCCGCCGGGCAGGACGGCTACACACGCATCGCCGTGGTTGGGTGCAACACACGGACCCATGACACAATAATAATAGCGTCTGCTCGTCGTTGAGCTGTGGCTAATGCTGGACGAATCGTGCTGCTGCGCTTCCCATTGCGCCCGGCGGCTGTATTGAACTAACCCTCCCATGCCTGGTCAGTTAGGGTTCTGAGAATAGGTTTTTTTTTCACATCACCACTGACCACCACCACCACCACCACCACCATCCATCCAACAATTTCAAGCGAGAAGCGAAGCCCAAGAAGGGACAACCAGGGATCGAGATAATTTTTTTATGCAACAATCTCCCCACCATCTTCCGAGCCTCGCGTGGCTTGAGTGAATGAGCGAGCTAGCTCCCGTGGTGCCGTGATTGTTCGTTCGTATTCAATAAACACCCCTGCCTGAAACTTAGAGCTCCCCCTCCCGGCGCCGAAGTGAACGCTTGTACATATGTGCATTGTTATTCGTTTGTTTAATGCGGGGTGATGCAACACACGCAGAAAGGGAGGGAACAAGACATTGAAAGACACTACCCGTTCCGGTTTGGTGCAATTTCCCTGGATCTTCCAGAAAGGTCATGCAACCGATCATCACACACAAACAAACGTCGTCGTCGTGGTTGGTGTTGTTGTTGTTGGTGGGGGAATAGGGATACGAAAGGGAGCTAGCTAGTTGAACAGAGAAAGAGCGGAGTCCCCAAAGTCCACTCCTGTCTCTCTGTCTTGTCTAGTCTTGAGAGTTCTGGGCCTTGCTTTTGAGGTGAGTTTTCTAACCCGAGCCAAGAAGCAGGAGGGAAGAAAAGGGAGAAAGGGCCACGACGAGTACGAAGGTAGGTAGATGCCAGATGCAAGCAAGCTCAACTCACAGTAATCATCAATGTCCTCGGAATTTTGCTCGGTACAATCAATAAATACCACTGAATAGTAATAGTTTAGTGTTTCTTTGTTCCTGTCCCCCCTGCTCTACCCTATGTACACAGTCCACAGCCCACACTTCTCTTTCAGCAAGGACATGGGGGATGACCGGAGAATCCATTCGTAAAGGGGCCATCGAGAAATGTACCTCGTACTGGCTGGTGGTTCTGCGACGAGCTGATCTGATTCTGTAGGAGTCTACGAGTATGGTTGGTCGTAGAGGGAGCGTGAGAACAATTGGACATATGTGGTGGACCACGAGGAGAAGGGCACGACAACGTGCTGCGGGAACTACAACGACACCGTGCAGCAGCGCGGCTGGCTCTACTCGGAATAGTTGGTTGATACAGAATGTACATAGGTGAGTAGGTAGTACCACTGTACCTCGTGGAACTCGGCCCTATCTACTACGCGGGTATCGTACATCCAACCCAAAAAGAGTTATATAGCCACCCAACCACCCAATACCTCGTACCGTAGATCTGGCTGCACGTCCGGCGTCAAGTTGGCCCATGCGTCTGTCAGGGGCTCCACAGCCTCGCTCTCCCGGGGATGGAATGGAATGGGATGGATTGGGCATGGCATGGCACTTGGATGCCGGTCCGGTCACAACGAGGCTACGGGCTCCCCTTCTCCTCCTCCCTTCCATGCCGGCGAGATGTCCGAGCACATGGGGCCCCAATGTAGAACCCAAACTCTAAGACGGGGCGAGCTGGGGAAAAAGAGTACTAGGATTGCTCTTATGCTTGCTGTCCTAACCAGCCCATCTCTCCTCCACCATCTCATACGCCTGGTCTGTACGGAGTACCGAAGTAGCCATCAGGAGCTCGGCTTCGTCGGCTTCGCGTTTTCCCCATTATTGGTTCTGTATGTACGAAGTACAACCCTGATCATTGACCCACACTCCATGTGTGTATCTTCTATTGTCCTCGTTCTTCGTGGCTCGTCAAAACAGACCGCCGCCCAACTGCACAGGCCCAAGATTCGCATGCCATCCTCAGCGAGGCTTCTAACCCCACCGATCGTCCAACGTCCCGTGTCTTCTAGCGGTCGTCCTCCTCGCCACCGTCACCTCAACCTGACCTTGCCCAGGTCCCTGACCCTGGCTTTGGCCAGAACCAGGTCGTGAGCTTGCCACGCTGGCATTGCCGTTTGGGTTTCGACTGTGGCTTATGCTGCTAGAATGTGCATGCCTGGCCTCTCTTCTTGCCCTTTGCTCTGACACGGGTGTCGATGTGACGGGTGTGCTTCCACCACTACTTTGCCCTTGATATGTTCTCGTCGTGGTCGTGGTCGAACTCGAGTCTTTCTCCGCTGACGCCCTAGCTGATCCAACAATGCTCTCTCGGGTGCTTTGTCGCGACAGACGATGAGGTCCTACCATCCCTGTCGATGCCGTCGACTGCCGAGGAAGCCTGCTCTTATTCACCGTCATCTCCGTCACAACACTGGCAGTGTTTGCCCGCGTGAGGCCAGGCATGACGAAGGCTGGGGAATTCTCGCGCACGTACGTCGATCCATCGCGACTCGCAGGCCGCATCACGCTCGTACCATTGACATATACACCATTACGCTGCCGGCGCGGCGTTTGTGCGACTGGAGGATCATACATGTTCATGTTCGCCCGCTCAGAACGGCCTAACTGAGGGGACGTGGGCATGCTCATCTGGCGGTCGAGGAGATGAGGTGGAGTCGTGGAGCTAGTGCGGCGTTGGAAGCCTGGATGCTTTCGTCGAGCACCGTTTGTTGCAGAACCGCCGCCCTGCCCACTTTTGATGCTCACATTGTCAGTCTCCTCGCATGATCGGATGAGCTCGCTCGCCATGCTGCGGACAAGCACCGCAGAGTCCGAATACGAAAGTTCTCGGATCACGTCGTAAAGACCGTACTGGTCGAGGAGGAAAAAGCCTTCTTCTGTTGAGTCGCAGATGCTGCCGATGATACGAAGTAGGTTGAGACGGATCGCGGGTTTGTTGTGACCCAACTTTTGGCCCAAGGTATCGAAAACCTGCGAGCTTCTCGCCATGGACGCGGCGAGAGGGGGTGATAGCCGAAGCAACTTTTGAAGAGGCTCGAGAAGGTTTTCGAATGAGGTTGATTTGCTGCTCGTCAGCGCAGCCACGATCGCAGAGATGAAATTCTGATTCTCCAACAAATGATCTTCGACTCGGGCGGTTTCTTCTTGCAGCCACGTGAAGATTGCATCCAAAGCTGTCACTTGCCAATAGGGATCCGACAGCAACGAGACATAGAAAGCCAGACCTTTGTTTTGCCAAAGCTCCCGGCGAGCAGCCCTGGTAGAGTGGGCCATGTCACAGAGAATGGGTAGCGCAAACTCTTTAACCGGCGTCTTCTCCTGCTTGACGATTTTGATGAGAATCGGAATGATCCCGACGAGTGCCGCATCTTCTTGACGTCTCTTCGATAGACGGCACAGGTTGTATATGGTGTTCAGTATCTGATTTGACATCTCCCTAAAATGCGGCTTGCTCATGCTATTGCTGAGGAGTTCAGATAAAACGTCAATGGCATTCGAATTGTGGAGCGCATCCAACGTGGTCGACAACATGGATAAGTTCTTGATGAATTTCAACATTGTGACCTGGTGTGCTGGCGCCATCCGCTTGAGATTCTTCAGGACTCGGTGTAGAACTGTTCGTTCGGCGACCAGCTCCTTGACATAATTCTCCGCTTGCGAGAAGACAAAGAAGATGCTGGCGATCCGTCCTTCACACAAGTCTGCAAGTTCCTTCTGGTCGCCAGAATCCGAAGGCTCCATCAGGACCCGGTTCAGGACAAGGGACAGCGGCTCTAAAACCGAATTCCGAGATAAGATTCTGCAGAAATCGTTCTTTGGAGTCGAGCCCTGCAGTTCAAAGACACTCCAGATACCATTGACTCCAATCAGCACCAATTCCCGGTCGTCGTCATAGTCGTCCTCAAGAAAGTCAACCAGAACTGTCAAACCCCCAGCACTAACAAACATCTGGAGGATGAGGGTGGACGTTTGATACATTTGCCGGACGAAAGCCGCAGCTTCAAGGCGTATCTCCCGAGGAAATTTCTTTGAGGCGAATTTGTTGATCTTTGGGATTCCTCCGACGAAACATAGGTTCTCCTGGACCTCTTCATCGTTGAAAATGATGGCATTGACAATCTTGAGCAGATTGAGCACAATATCTAGTCGCATACAGTCTTCCAGAATCTCCAGGATCGGTAAAAGGCCATGCGCGCTGATAATGACGCTTTTTGTGTCCGAGAAGAGGTCGAAGAAATTCATCAAGTCCTCGGAGATCTGTAACAGTGCATCGTCGTCCTGCATAACTTTCAACTGTCCCACGAGAACCTCTACGTCTGTCCGTAATCGTGCGTGCTTGTCTCGGGCGATGTTTGACTCCAGGTCAACTTCTGGGAGCCCTTCTTCCAGTTGTGCAAAGGGGTCGTCTTCATCGTCAGCATCTGGAAGCCATGATAGGTTTGAGATTTTCGAGTGTAGCATGAGCTCAGAGCCATCTTCGCTCTCAGCTCTCTCGAAGACTGCTGGTGTCTGTGCGAAGACGTCGGAAAAGTCCTCGTCTTGCTCGCTTTCGGCAAAACGTTGGATCTCGATAGAAGATCGTGTCCTTCGCATGGAGAGTTTGTTTCTGGGGGCTGCATGCCTCTTGAGACTGCCCCCTGACTTGGGCGGTCTCATACTCTGCATCAGATCGGTAACGCTGGGCGAATCTAGAATCTTGGAAGGTGCCTCACTCTGCAACCGCATCAATCCAAGTTTGGTATCCAAGGCAAGTTCGTTCCCTTGGACAATGTCGGAAAAATCCTCGACGGAACTCTCTCGGTAGCGTCGTGTTGGGGGTTCGTCTTGTTGTATTTTTGGCTGCGGTGGTTTGCTTTTGGAAAGATTTGTTGTCTGTCGAGCGGAAGGCAATGAAGCTTTGCGAGGCATCGGCGCCGGCTTTGCCTTTGGTTTGAGAGGCACTTCAGATTTGTGCCTCGCGTGACGCATCTCTGGCCTCTTTGCTGGCGCAGTGGATGCCAGTCGAACAGTTTTATTCGCGTCTGCTTCGGCCAGCGAAGGAGCTTTTAAGGTCGAATCTTTATCGTCCATTGTCTCATTTTCCTTTCCCAGTGCACTCTCCATTGAGGCGAACGCTTTCAACCTTTCAGAAGACAACATGCCTCCAAAGTTATCGTGAGGTCTCAGATGTGGTAATTGGAAAGTGCTTGGTGAAATAGCCGTTGCGAAGTCATCGTCCCAGTTGTCCTCGTCTTCAAGTGAGCGGAACCTGGTTGTGTTGACATCCTTATTGAGGGGAATTGGGGATCTCACATGAGATTTGGTGGGACGAAGCATGTCCCTTGCCACAGGTATTGGACTGGCAGTCGAAGCATTCGAGTTCTTTCTGATCGAGCTGCCATTTGGAGAATCTTTAAGAGCTTCGTTCCATTCCTGGACACTCTTTATCGCCTCATCATATTCCGTGGAATTCTTCGGTCGGTCTGAGTTGGTCCTTCTTGCATTCACGATCCACGGATGTTTCAGTAGCTTCTTCGCCGATACTCTCAGATTCGGGTCTTTTTGAAAACATTGCATCAAGAAGTCCAGAACAGCAGGTGATGCACCTTGTGGTAAGGGCGGATGGTCATCATTGACAATGCGGAACAAAGCAGGCATCGGCTGGAGGTTGTGATAGGGCGGTTTTCCGTCGAGCAATTCGATCACTGTGCAGCCCAGACTCCAAATATCCGAAGCGGTTGTTGCGCCTGTCAACTCGATCACTTCAGGAGCCATCCAGTAGGGAGTTCCTACCACGCTGGATTCGTGCAGTCCCGTGGTACGGCTTGCCACCCCAAAATCTGCAAGCTTGACCAGACCTTGCTTTGTGGTAAGAATGTTGGCACCCTTGATATCGCGGTGTATGACGCCCTGATCGTGCAGATAGACCAAACCCTGTAGCACCTGGGACATATAGAGCGCCACCAGATTCTCGGGAAATCGACCAAAATTCTTGGAGATCGAGTGTAGGGATCCGTTCTCACAGTATTCCAGGATGATGTTGAGAGTTTCGGGGGTCTTGACGAATCCATTGTATTTGACAATATTGGGGTGATCAAGATTCTTCAACAGGTCAATCTCCAACATGATGACCCTCAATTCACTTTTGGGTAAATCCGCGAGCTTTATCTGCTTCACAGCAACTGTCTCCCCCGTGCCCCAATTCAACGCTCGGTAAACAGAGCCAAAAGCACCTTTACCCAAGCAATCACCCAGTTGATAGTCTTTTAGCTCGGCCACATCCTGCGCCTTGGTCTTCTCTCTCTCCTCTCTCTTGGTCGGGCTGGAAGGAGGCTTGGGCGTTTTGCTGACCCTGAGGCCCAAGCCTTCGACTGCTCTAGTCGTCGAGACATCATCTGGAAGTTCGGCGGTACGAGCAGGCATCTTGATTTCGAGGGCAATAAGAAAAGCAGGGAGAAGCTAAAAGGGCAAGGCCGCCTTGCCCTCTTGCATTGTCTGTCGGTCCAACTGCAGTCTGGTTGGCGAGAATAAGTGATTGGTAGCTGGTAGAACAGCCAACGCAGGATGCCGGGCAATGGTTTTGGACTGCAACTTGTGGCTGCGGCATCAAGGGTGGTAGGAGAATGACCGCTGGCTCGTTCGGCAGAGTAATGCTCTGGCAGTGACTCTGTGGCGGACAAGTTGATCGTAGGCAGTCACCAAAGAGCCTTGAAATGAAGACATTGAACATCAAACAAACAGGTCCATCAATGCGGAAGGCACGAGATTGGATCGGGCTGCCAGATGAGGTCGGCCTTAGCCCTCGCTTGCAAGTGTGTGTTGCAGGTTGCAGGGCGATCCGCGGCCGCTAACTACCCTATCGTACCGAGAACCTCCACTTTACGTTCAGGGACGCGTCAATTGTAATCGCAGCACGCGACTTTCTTCCCACAAGTACCCGCCTCGTCTATCTAGGTACAGAAACTGAACATCCCCCCGAGTGGCGGTCACCGTTGTGTTATGCAAGTCTTCTCTGCAGTCATCTCTGACCGCTGATCTGATTACCGTTTCTAGAGTGGATTGTTTACTGCAACATGGTCAATTGAGGAGAGAAGATCCCCTGGTGCCCCTTCACCAACAAGTTACAGATCGCCATGTGGCGCAAACTGCCAGCACACCTTGTCACCCACCACTGTCACCTCGATCGAGACATGACTCCCTATCCCAACAAACGGTCCGCGATGCTAAATTTATCCACAACAGGATGTTTGACACCGCCCAGCCCAGCAGCCAGAATGCCTTTGGCTGCATATCGCAGGGAATAACTCAAGAAACAGACGACCCAAATGTACCCGAGGGTTCTCGTTTTCCCTGCACAACGTCAAATTTGTGTTCTGCAATTGACACGAAGTGGACACAAACACCTACATGTGTCCTTCACGGCCGCCTTTTTCCCCAGATATACGACAATGTCTTCAGCTGTGATTGCAACCGGCTGGATCACGAAGAAGTAGAATTGGCACCAACCAAGGGAAGAGTAGGGACAATTGAGGGCACCAGCATGATGAATAAGAGCTGACAGAAAGAATGCATTATATAACTGCAAATACCGTGAGGCCAGGGTACCGGTTTTGACGCTCAACAGCTGCAGAAGACGGCGGTTTACATTCTCAAATATCCGACGGAGAAATTGATGCCTTTGAGAAGTGATAAGAGGATATTGGTCATTCAACATGGGAATCCCACTCACCAACAATAACCCCATATGTTCCTCAAGGTGTAGCCTTTTTTGATGAACGAGCCGAAGATCGGAGGCCACGATTGAGGCGTAGAAAGCCCAGAACCGACAGCGATCGCCGCTCCCAGGTAGTAGCTGAAGGCCAGTGAAAATCCACTGTGGAAGGCACAAGACCATCCCAGAAGAACCTGTTGCCAGAGTGGGATCATGAAGAGATCCGGACCAGGTGTGGCTCCATCTCCCCAGCGAGTCCGGTGCATACACCACTGGTTAATATCGATGTAGAGGAGGGAGTATGAGGCTCCGACAGCCTGCTCTAGAATGAATCGACTGCTTCAATTAGATGAGTCGAGCTACTAAGATGTGACTCTGCACCTGCGTGAGATGTCTCTGGGGACTTCGTCAACATTCTTGACGCGCCAATTCCAACCAATTCCACGCATTGTCGTAAAAAGGTGTAAACTCCAGCAGAACTTTTGCCAGATAGTCATCTTTTCGATGTGCTCCGCGTTCTCTATTGTCCCATCTGATTTCACTCGGTGGAATGTCTGCTCGGCGTCATGCAACACTGCAAAATCGATGCATCGAAACAAGATCAGGCAGACATTGACGGCATTGAGATAGTCCTCTTCGGGTCTTCTGGCGGTGTGCCGTCGCAGGTTCGAAATAATACAGAAAATCAGGGAGATGGGGATTATCTTGCGAAGCTGTGCTCGTGGCAACAACAAGGTAGTGATGCCAATGATTCCTGCTCCGATCACGCTGAGATCCCCAGGCTGGAACGGACGATCTGGGGGAGGAAACCATTTTGGATCCATTGGTGGGACAGAAATGCAGGAAAGACACAGAGAAGCAAGAAGATGGAAACGATATGGGTGCGAGGACCAAGAGACACAATAGCTTGTTTGAGGAAAACGTTGTGCCTCGTACACTACAAAGCCCACCGCAATTGACCTTGAAGCGAGTTCAATGCGAATACGAGGGAACCTCTGCGACGACCCGGCTTGCCTGAGGTTGGCGTAAGCGCAGGCATCAGTTTGTCTTTCTTTGTCATGGAGAGAACCGGTGACAGTATTGTCAACAGGAATCAAACAAGTAAGACAAATGGCCCTCGCTCGAGAATAACAGAAGCAAGAGACACCAAAGATGAAGGTTCAGGAGACGTGCACCTCAAACATACCCGTGTGCCAAGTCCTGCATAATGCGCTGTTGACGCACAGCCGCCTCCGGTGCCTGGTGAGCCTAAGTACTCTGGCGACTCTGGGCCTTATCCGCCTGAAGGGACAACACTAGGCTCGCCCAGCCACTCGCTTAGGGATTGCGTTGCCTCGTTCAGTCTGTCTCACTAATGAATTATTCACTGGCAGCTACGCTACTCCGCGCATCCCTTGGCCCCCGGATGCGCTCGCTCACTTCTATTCTCCTCCTCATCACCCACCACGAATACTCGCAAAACAATCCATCTCAAATCCACTCTACGACTTGTCCATCTCATCCACTTCTCCACTCCTTTCTATTGTTTGTTGCACCTCATTTCTTTGTTGTTGCTTGTTTCGACTCTCCTCTCTCATCGTTGACCTTACTCTACCTCTACAACTGGTACACGGCTGATTGCGACAATCATGGGTTTGCCGTGAGTTTGCCCTCAGTTTTCCTTCCTTTTTCTCCCGCACCCCACCCCTTTGCCATCTGGCCGCGCCTGCGCGTGCGCCGTGTCAGCATTATCGTTTCTCCAGATCCATCGCCGGCAAGCCCATTTCGCTAACCAATATGCTCTCTGTAGTATGTTCCAAGAACCTGACGAGGTTGCCGCCGAGCAATCCGCGGCAAAACTCGATCTGATCGCGGCCGCACGACGATCGAGTATTCGGCGCGAGTCCACTGTCCGACCAGGCCGATCTAACGCTAGTCGTCGCGCTGCCATCGAACGAATACGAGAAGAGGTAGAGGAACGACGTCGCCGTCGTCGTGAGGCTGCCGAGGAAGCAAACAACTTCACTTCTCCATCACAGTCCCAACTCGAGATGTTGCGTCAGGCTCCTAATCCACAACCGGAGCCGGAGCGCATGAACTCGATCAGACTGAGGCAGCGCGTCCATCTGATGGAGCTACACCGGATGGCGATGGGCTTAGCCAATACCGAAACACAACGCCGGGGCGATATGGACGTGCCATCCTTGAGACGACCAGATGTCGAGCCAGATGGAGAATTACGAATCGACCCAGTTACGTTTGATGTCGTCGAGATACTCAACGCCGAAGATGAGGAAGCCGCCCGTCAACTCCTTCCGCGCCCGTTACGAGAGTCGGGCTTGAGATTTGAAATGGGTGCAACATCCCAATCTGAGTCGGAACCCTCCCGGCCCCCTCGATTTTCTCATGCTCGCCTGGCAAGAGTCCCCAGCCCGTCCGGGAGCAGAAGACCGCCCTGGTCTTTCTCAGTTCACCGCCCCAGCATTGATCTGGAGGACGAGGAAACCGAAAACGAATACCGCGCTACTCCACAACCTCTGGGATTGGACCGAAGCCCTGGAGGCCCTGCAACGAGCACCCCTCCCCCAGAAAGTCTGTATCCAGCCTTGCGACGTGTCAATCATATTTCGCCCCGCCCACTGGGGGAGTCGAGACCCAGGGTCGACGGACTTGGGGACCGCTTGCGTAGTCCCAGCCCGATGTCTGATGGGCCTGTGGAGGAAAATTGGGGAACTCTCTTGGACACACTGACAACAGGCCCTTCAAGCACGGCGACTTCCTTCTTATCGTCGCGGTCAAACTCAAGGAGCGGCTCGAACCAATCGTCCCAGGCAACGACTACGACGACTAGCTTTGGTGAGATAGGTGGGGACGACTCGTGCGATTTGGATCTCCCCACTGGCATCACTGAGGAGGATGCCCGGATGATACGTGCCAGACACGGAAGGCTGCGAAGAGATGCTTCTGCTCGTCCTAGAAGGTCCGATATGTGGAACACTCTGACGTCTGAGTTGTCGAATCAGAGCGACCCTCCAAGGATAAACGAGAGGGTCGTCGAATTGGAAATGCTCGGAACTATTCTCGATCGAATGCAGAGCAGGCAAGAGATTCCCGAGGAGTTGTGGGCCGCCGTTGGATTGTCGCCAGATATTGTGAGAGGGACTCCCTTCGATTTGGTCAGGTGATATGCTTGAGGAATGGCTCAATCCAGAGAGCGCGCCCCTGGGAACACAAATGACCAGGAATTCAACGACGGTCGTGGGAAGCGGCTTTTACCAGGGAAAGCAGGATGTCCTTCGTTGTGGACAGATACTGCAGACATTTTTCTAATTGAAGCTGTCGCACTGTCAGGAGCGAGCGGAAATGTTGTCGTTTTCGACTGCTGGAAGAACTTGTTGGATGTATGTTACGGTACGGAAAAGAGACGGCTGAAGATCAGGGACACGAACCAATGGCAGCCATCGGATTTGACTCGCCGAGGAGGCTGACGATTGGATTGACTCACTGGGACCGAAATGAATTTGCAGGATTATGCCATGGCTGGACCGGCGCATGCTGCTTAATAAATCATGTATTTCTGGACAAAAGTTGTGGTGCTCTGCGCATGCGAAAGCAGAACAAAATGCAATGGGGCAACCTCTTTCTGATTTCAGACTGTCCGATTTCTTGTATGTGCTGTAGCCCGATCGCTCGGTCGTCCCAGAAGGCATGGGGGAATCTCGCGTGCCAACATACACACCATACAGAGATGAGCCAGGCTGCGCAACAGTCTACAGTGAAGAGATCCTCCTCAACGACCTTCCCCCCTTTGTGCCCCTGTGCCAAACTCGACGAATTGATCTCCGCCCTTCGTGTACATCGCGCAAGATTTGACCACCACCACCCTCCAGGAACTGCTTGCTTTGCGAGTGTGGATGCTTCCTTCACATGCCAACCCCATCCGCCGCCAGCATTGCAATGCTGTCCATCCTGGTCATCCGCTCTCTCCTTATCTCCTCCTCGTCCTTTTCGCGATCCTCCTCCTCCCCCTGTAACTGGCCGTCCACGTTCCGGACCTCCTCACTCCGCCAGCTCTCGTCCTCGACGCTGGGTACGATCTCCTGCACGGGTAACCTCTTCTCCAGGACCTCCTGGGCGTTCCTCATGTCGCTTTTCTCCGTGCGATCGAGGCTCTCTTCGAAGGAGCTCGAGATACCGGCGGCGAAGTTCCGTTTCGCGACCCGCTGCGTTGCCGTGGGAATGTCCACGTCCACGAACCACGTCTCGTCCATCAACTCGTGGGCATCTCGCCACCCGGGCTCGTCCAGGGCCGTGTACAGACCCTCAAAGAGGATGATGCGCGCCGTGGGTGATATGGCGATGTCGTTCGCCACAGGGTCCTTGACGGCGTGGTCGAAGCTGGGTGCGTAGATGGTGGACGTCTCCGGGCTGATCGGTTTGCGCACCTGCTCGACCAGCTTAAGGTAGCTGTGGGAGTCGAAGGTGAAGGCGGCGCCGCGGCGGAAGATGGCTTCCTCGGCGTTGGGCATCTCGCTGAGCTGCTTGCGGGTCAAGTGGTAGCCGTCGAGCGGCACGACAAAGGCGATATCCGGGCTCGAGCGGCTGGGGCTATTGGGGAAGCGCCTGTTCAGGTCGTTGTGGTGGGTTTTGTTCAGGCCCGCACAGACGGACGCCGCGAGGGTGGTTTTCCCGCTGCCTGGGATGCCGGAGATGGCGATCAGGAGGCGTTGCGAGCCGTCGCATTTCTGGAACTTTTCTGGGAATTCCGCGGTGTCAATGTCTGGGGAAAGGAAAGAGCAAGAACAAGAAGACAACGCGAGATCGCTTGTGTGTAGTGTTCTTACCCCAGGTCTGATCAACAAGGCGTTGAACATGGGACTCCATGGCCGCTACAGGAAGCAAGATACCTCGCTCACGTTGTGCTCCGGGGTGATATTGAGGAATAGGTAATATCGCGGGCGAAGCTCATATGCTCGCTCAGTCTTGTTTTCCTACCTGTCGATAGATCTGCGTGAAAGCCCGACCTTGATGTGAATCTATATCATTGCAATAGTACAATGTGAAACGAGGCTTCTTATCAACAATAGTCCGTCAGCTGGGCAAGTGGATAACATCCGTCATATCTCGCTGGCGAAACAAGGCCCGACCCCAGGTTTCCAACTATCGCAGATGGGTCCAGATCTCGAGGATGACGGTGGATTCTTCGCCGAAGGGCAGTAAATCGGCGAGCTTTCGAGAGAAGCCAGAATTCTCGACCTGTGATGGATTAATATTGCAAACAGCTCTTTTGAACGTGTCTCGGCGTCGGCGTTCGTTGGTTTGATAACCGGAGAAGGGGACTGTGAGATCCGCGGAACTGGAGATACATTACTCCGTCCTCCGAGCGCTCACGTGCAGGCCACATGCCCTAAGCCGTTTGGGGCCCCCTTGTCCCAATGCGCGTCCGGACGCTATCCCCGGACTTGGATCTGCAAAGGGGGCCCGTTCGTTTCTTTTATCCATTTCTTTCTCGCAGCCAAACACCCAACGTCTTCCATTATTCACTCACTCACTTCTTTCCACTCCCTTCCGACTTGTTATGTACTAACCTCCCAGCAGCGGTGCCAATATTCCCCTTCTTTCTCAGTCGCTCTTTTCATGATACCCCTTGTTTAACTATTCTGCCACTCGTTCAGCGACTTTTGAACGTTCGAACCTCTCTGCGAAACCACCACCCGGCAGCTCGTACCACCACGCGTCAAAACCAATCCACACCCACCCCGACGAACGAAGCCGATCCAAGTCCTTTGATCAGAGACCAGAGCCGCAATTCACCATGAAGTCCTCACTGTTGCTTGCGTTTGTTACTCTCGCCGTCCGCGTCCTCGCAGATATCCCTCCAGCATGTCTTCTCAGCGCAGTCAACACAAAAGACCAACCGGGCGACCTGTCGTCGATTTGTGGTGACGAGGCAACCGACGTGCAAAAGGCAATCGCGAGCATGTGCAGTGGCAGTGCCGTGTCGGTCGCACAATCCGCCTTCATCTCGACTTGCTCGGCGGCGGGTTCATCAGTCGGTACGTAGAAGCCCCCACACAGAAGGGATCAAACTTGGGAAAGACAGACAGACCATTCTTGATGGGTTAGTTGGTTAGGTTACTGACATGGTGCCTTTCTGCACAGCTCCATACACGGCATCGTCCTCTTCAAAGTCAGGAAGTCACACCACGTCCAACTCCGGCACGTTCGTCTACACCACCGCCGTCTACAACACCGACTGCAGCTGTACCACCACCATCGTCACCACCGCTACCACCGGCGCCCCTGTCTCGACCGGTCTTGCCAGCGCCACGGCGACAGGGACCAATTCGGCAGGGGGCGCATCAGCGACCGGCAATGCCGCCGCGGACGCCAAGCAAGTGGGAAGTTTTGCCGCCGCCGTCATCGCCATTGCTGGTGTCGTTGCGGTTCTGTAAACAGAGCCTTGGGGTTTGGGCAGCGACTCCCCTTCCCACGGGTAGAAAGAAGAACAGAGAAATGGCCAGGGGTTATTTTGTGTCCATTGATGTCACATCCTCGTCAACACTACTTTGGGAGACATAACGAGGAATTCTTGTCCGTCATGTTGCAGAAACTACCACGAGCTGCGTGGCACAATGCTGTGGCGTGGGTCAAGACGGGAACACTCTTCTTTGGTCGACTCTCGAACTTGAGCTTTGTGTGTTTTTCCGTCAGCATCTGGGCTCCATATTTCCCCTGAAATCTCCACGGGCGGGAGGAGGGTGAGAATCGAAAGGACCCGGTTTTTTGAAAATGAGCATCATACAATAGATGCATTGCCTAGATAATGGGATGGAATGGACAGAACATCACATGACAGTAGTATGGCATGCTGGCCAGAGCCTCCTTTTGTTGATAACAAAAAGCCACTTTTTTTCTGACTCTTCTTCTGTTCTCTCTCACTCTCTCGCGCGCTTCTATCAAGGAGATCCAGGTAGCCCACTTCAGAAGGCAAATGTACAGGTCTATAATTTCTTTTTTTTCTCAACTCTTTTCGTCGTTTTCGATCGTCCCTCTTGCTTCTTGAGGGGTCAGTGCTGCGCTGGAAGCCATTTATTTCCTCCATAATATATTGGAAGACAATAAGCCTCCCACCTTTTCTTTGGTTTCTGGGATCATCACATCCGAAAGCCAAAGGCGCATTTTCCCAGGTATTTACAGTTGCGTCGTCCCTGTCCCAGTCCTATCCTGAAATCCTTCCTGCCACCGGGGCATGCCTTTAGCGGAAACACATGTCCTCCCTCTTCGGACCAGTGCCGATCCATTTAATCGGTACGCCGACCGCGCGCTCGATGAATTCGACATACTCCCGGGCCGGTGCCGGCAGGTCTTCGAATTTCTTGCAGCCCGTCGTCTGCGTCATCCACCCCTTGAAGGTCTTGTATTCGATCTCCATCTCTTCCAGGACATCTAGATCCGCGGGGAAGCTAGGCAGGGTCTGGCCATTCACCTTGTACGCGGTCGCCACGCGAATTTCCTCAAAGCCGTCGAGGACGTCGAGCTTCGTCAGGTTAAGTTGTGTGTAGCAGTTCACGGCCGCCGAGTACTTGACCAGGACGAGGTCGAACCAGCCACAGCGCCGTTTACGGCCCGTCGTGACACCCCATTCACGGCCGACCTGTTGTAGACGCTCGCCGTACTCAGCGTCCTTGGGGGAGATTTCGGCGTTGAGCTCCGTAGGGAAGGGGCCAGCGCCGACGCGGCTAGTATATGCTTTCACAACTCCGACTATGTTGCTCCCGGGCGCTGAGAGGGATTGGGGAGAGAGACCTGCAAGACCAGTGAAGACACCGCCGAGGCCGGTGTTGCTCGACGTGACGTAAGGATATGTGCCGTGATCGACGTCGAGGAGGAGTGCATTGGCACCCTCAATCAAGATGTTAGGCTGACGAGCCCCAGCGCCGTTCAAGCTCGCCGTGGCAATCCCCTTGGTTCCGACCGCCTGCGCCAGTAAGGGTGTCTGATCGACGACGTACTGCTGAAGCTCTTCCCGATATCCGCGCAGCTTTTGGATCTCCTCTTCCAGGCTGTACCCATCCAGTGCTGCGTCGCCGTACAATTTGCGGTAGCTGGCTTCCAGGTCCCGTAGGCGCCTCTCCCAGCGCTGTTGTTCGTTCACGAGCATCCAAAAAGTCACTCCACGGCGGGCAACTTTGTCGCTGTAGCATGGTCCAATACCCTTGCGAGTAGTGCCGATCATGCCCTTTCCGCCATCAACATTCTTGAATTTGTCTTCAGAGATGCCGTCTACGACACCGTGTAGGTCAAAGCACACATGAGCACGGTCTGAGATCAGAATGCGCTCCCGCACGCCCACGAGTCCCTTCTCTTCTAGCGCTTTGAGTTCTTTGAAGAAGCTGGGGATGTGCACGACACAGCCAGTGCCGATGAGATTGACTCTGCAGGAAGGGTTGATGAGTCCAGAGGGGAGGATGTGGAAGTCATACGTCACATCGTTGACCACAATGGTATGGCCCGCATTGTTGCCCCCAGCCGCACGGCAGACGAGATCAGCAGAGGTAGCGAGGATGTCGACAAGCTTGCCTTTGCCCTCGTCGCCCCATTGGGAGCCCAGCACGAGAGTGACTGGCATGACTGACAAAGGTATGGAATGGATGGACAATTGAGGGAGGAGTAGTGAAGGGACTGCAGACCGAAATCGGAGTAAGAGGGCGCGAGACAAGTGAGGGGAGAATGAGTTGAGATTTGCTTTTGGCCTTGGGATTATGGACGAGAAGGCGGCTGCATTGACTTTCAGGTCGATATCTCTGTCATTGCAAAATCTTTCTGACCTCGAAATACAAAGACATGTTGCGATGCCGCAGCAAACAAGAGGTTGCCGATTGACTCACAGATTTTCGCGCATGGTGGGGTTCGGGGTTTGAGCAAAAAGATTCTTCGGAACAGGCATTGACTGCAAAGGCCGTTTGGTGGTGGTAGTAGTGGTGGGGGTGTTTGCCCAGCTGCGGCTCACTAGGCCTACAGTACCTCGTACAGTACTCGCCAGCCGCCGCATGAAAGAAAAAAGCAAAAAGCAAATCTGCTGCATCTCACCGTCATGTCTGCTTCCAATTTGTTCGCTTCTTGTTTATTACCTCGTGCTCCATCCAAAGAGAATCTATCGCTTCACTCCCAACCGGTCACGTCCTCAGATCCGGGTCCTTATAGTGGATGCCCTTCCGAAATGTTCCGCTTGTTGAAAGAGGTCCTAGTTTGAGTGTTCAGAACTGTCCAAACACAATCTCACTTCAGAGCCTGGTACCTGCATTACATACCCGCGATCTGTTTCAGTTCAAGATAAGGCCAGGTTTTCTGCAATCACTGCACGAAGAGGATGAGTATGATGTCGTGTCTCAGTCCCACCCCCGACCCCGAGACACGCCCTGCAGTGCTGCTTACTCTGACGATTGACAATTGATGTTCCAGGATGAGATCTAAATGTCTTCTCCCGTTCACCTTTGTTGCTTTTCCCTATCCTTGATGTACATATTCCAGCTCCCGTCAGCCAGCTTTGTCTTGAGGAAGAGTGTCTCGCAGCACAATGGATGGAACAGCTTCTTCCCTGCTGTCAGCTGGAAATGGAAGCAATCACAGAACATCGTGGGTTGGGCTACCAAAGCAGTGTCGCTGATGGACAGGACATACATATAACCAGCACACTCGTACCGAGAGTTCACATCTTTCTTCATCCACAAACAGCCACCTCAGCTAAACAGCAGCTCTACCATCCAAAACCCTGCCACAACCTCTTGATCAAAAGCACCTTGCGGCTGTGCTGAAGGCATTTCAAACTCCTCGCAACTACTCAGTCCTCCAAACTCCATTCCACAACCATGGACGTCTTCACCAGACTTGCTTCCGGAATCTACCTGTGCCGACCCAGTCGAGGAGACCACCACCACCATCACCACAGACAAGCTCCGCGCGGCCGATTCCATATCCACGGCATCATCCTCCAGGACGTCCGCGACGAAGACCTCTATCGCAAAATCGCCCACGCCAGCGACCGCGTGGCGGAAGCGAAGGCAACGTACGAATCCCTACGCAAGCGACGCCAGGCGCTGCGCGAGCAGGTGCTGCAGCTGGATGCGCAGATGGAGGCCGAACAGAGAGAGATAGCGCGTCTGCGGGAGTTTCGTGGCAAGTGTGTGGACGAACAGAAGGCGAGGGAGAGGGACCAGGAGGAGAGAAGGAGGGGAAGGGCGCCGTGGGAGCACGTCAGAAATGTGAGGCGGAGTCCCCGACACAGCTGGTGAGCAGGCAGGGCAGATCAAGCAACTCAAAATATGGAGAGTTGATACTTGGATGGAGCGATGAGCTTGAGGGCCAGCTTGCAAAGAACGATGGGAAGCCAGGCAGGGGACGGGAAAAAGAGGGTTTGACGTTCTGATAGATGGTGACAGATCTCACATTATACATCATGTTTTCCAAGCAAGAAAGAAAAAGTTCAAGGAATGGGACACGACGAATTCCTCGTTGAATTATTATCATTGCCAGTGATAGAAAAATAGTTGGAGGGTAGTATCATCCATTCATACCCGCGTTTGGGGCTGCTTCCATATAGTTAGTCCATGTCAATGCATCATGTTGCAAAATCCTCCCTAGGTTGGACGAGGTGGAGTGCCTCTCAGAAGAAGAAACAATAAAACATCCACGTCTATCCCAACTCCCGGAGATCCCGTGCGTCGTTCTCATGTTCTGGTCCCCCTTTTTCTAATTCCTGTACACCCACCCCCTTCTTCCGTTTTGAAGGGCAGTTTTTCAGACCCGTCAACGCCGGTGATATTATCCGTAACGCCCGTCTGGTCGACAAATACCACATAGAAAAAAAATCCCATCCGAAATCGTAGCTTCAGCTAAAGAGGGTCGTGAAAGAAAGAACAAAAGAGACGTGAAGTTGTCGACAGCCTTAGAATCTCTCGCCCACCATTCCCTTGGGCATCACAGGTCTGGCGTCGTACTCGAACCCATCGGGATCTCGCAGGCCGAGCCCAGTGGTGGAGGTATAGGGAAATCCGTGTTCCGATGGCTGACTCGGCCTTCTGGCACTGCCATCTTGGCGGCCAGAGGGCTCCCAGCGCTGTGCTCGCGGCTCACCACTGGACTCACTTTCGAAGCTGCCGCGAACGCGATAAACCGGATCTAGTTCCGCCGGCATCGGGAATGCAGATATAGGAGATTGCGCGGTGCTCGCGGCAAGGAGGGTTTGCGAGTTCGTACGTGAATGCAAATTCGCAGCATTGTCCTTGCCGGAATGTTTCAACTTGCTGGCGTCCCTTGATATCCGGCGGAGCATGTTGACCTTAGGCTTGGGTGATGCAGGAAGCGGAAAGCTGGAGATGAGGTTGGGCGATGTGCTGAACGATGGGGACTGCGGGGAGGTAAGCGCGGACGTGGATGTCGACCCTGGCATGTTCTCGAAGTTGAACGGCTCGATCTCGTTCAGTTTGAGGCTCAGATGTGTGGCGCTGTCAGGAACCATTGTGGTCGCTAGACTTGAGATGGTGGCAGCTTGCGACGCCTTCCGCTCATTGTCAGGTCTCGGAGCGGTCAATTGCAGGGCCGCATCCGAGGTAGACGGCGCTGGTGGTCCCATTGGTCCCTGTGGAGGCGGATGAAGAACAGATCTGACGACGAAGACGACCGAGATGATGATGCCCAAGCCACCGAGACCAACGCCCATGAGCCAACCTCCACGAATCCCGGCAAGCGGATCAAGTCCATTATTATTCACGTGAACTTCGACGGTAGAGGCAAGACCAAGACCGAGAGAAATGGAGTAGTTGACCACCGTACTGATGAGGCTGGCCGCGACACCTTGTTGTTGAGGAGGGAAGAAATTGGACATGATCAATGTTGCAGCGGGGAAGGACATGTCCATGCCAAAAGGCATGACCACGAGGCTGGCAAATGTCCAGCTCCAGTATATCGTCTTGTCGATGTCGGAGTCGACGGCCAGAAGGAGTGGTCCGAAGGTGAAAGCCACCAAAGCCCAGAATAGAGTCCAGGAAGGGCGACATTTCCGCATCATCCATGCGGTCAACACTGAAGCGATCAGAGCGACAGGTACGATGGGCAGAACTTGCAGTGCTGCCTCAAGAGGTTGAACATGCTTGATCCCAAGGAGATATCTCCATAGAAACCACGTCCAGATTCCGAACGTGGCCCATCCACAAGCCACAGCGCCCAGGACAAACCCGACATCCGCCTTGAGCACTTTGAAAGGTACCAGTGGTTGTTCGGCGATCTTGAGTTCCGTGATGACAAAAAAGGCAATGAGCATGATGCCGATGATCAACAACATGAAGATGTACTGAGTACTCCACCCTGAGGCAGGGGCAGAGACGAGAGAGACTTGGACGCAGACCAGGCCACCCACACCCGTGACAGCCCCAAGCCAGTCCATATCCCGCAATTTCTCCTTGACTGGGAGCATCTGCTTTGGCGTCGGTGGCGGAGCGACCAGGATGACGGATGCGGCCACGGCGAGAAAAGACGATACGATGGCGAGGGTGTAGAAGCTCCACCACCAGGTTGCGAACCTGGTGAACAGAGCTCCAAAGATCATCCCCAGGTAGGCCCCGACCGGTGCACATAGTCCGAAGAGAGTGAAGGAGATGATCTTCTTTTTGGACCCAGGAGGATAGGTCCGGCCCAGGAGTGCGAGGCCATTTGGCACCATCAGGCTGGCACCGAGACCCTGGAAACCGCGCGCCACGAAGAACAATTCATAACCAACATAGTGACTTAACCCGGCGACGACACTCCAGAGACTGAGGAAGCAATAGCCAATCACTACCATGGTCTTATGGCCAAATATGTCACCAAGTCGCCCTCCTATCAGAATGAAAGTTCCGAAGGACAGTGCGTACGCAGCGACAAGCCATGGCAGTACCGAAGGGTTCGTTATGGTAAATGACTGAGCGAGGTCTCGGCTGACTGGGAAAACTGTCGTCAAGGTGGATTGAGGAATCAGTTGAAGGAATGCCACCATTAAGTTGAAGAGGATCTCTTGTTGTCTCGACATGCGCGTACACAGCCAACCACCTGGTGGTCCAGGAGGCCCGGGAAGTCCGGGGGGAGGTCCATTTGAAGGGGGAACTTTCTCCATGTCGACAGGATTTTTGACCGTGTCGTCGCTGCGAGTTGTTGTTGTCGTCGTCGTAGTGGAGGGAATGCTTAACCTCAAGCTATTGATAATGTTTCTGGGACTCATGATGGGCAATATAGCGAACGGTGCATGTCATGGAAAAAGGAAAACGAGTGCACGGGCAGTGAGAAAGTCAGGCCCAGTCGTGACACAATCCAAGCAAATAGCTGAGGAAGAAGCTGAAGGAAGGGATACAAGACTATAAAGTGGTGTCCATGATCCAAATGGGGGCTGCCGTGCCAGGGGAAAGCATCGCGATATGCTTCTGGCCTCGCGCATCGGCGCCGACTTACCGTTGGTATAACTTAGTCATGTCTCTCTTGCCTAGGAGATACATCCGTAGCATCGTACCTTAATATCATCATAAACCTTGCAGGGTGTTTAGGTGTTGTGGTTGTGCAGTGGCGAGAGGAGTGGAGACTGGCTCACAGTTCCTCGCAAAACCATATTCGTATAACATGGGCCGACCAAGGCCGCCAGAAAAAGCCACTTGGGAAGCTTCAGATCAAGATGCAGGGCTTGGATTGGGCATCTCCAAGGGCGCCGGGCGCCTGTCGAAGTCACGGTCGATCCGGAAAGAAGCCAAGAATGTTTGTTTCTCAACGCCCCTTGCAGAAGATCTTCTTTGCAATGACGATCTCCCGTCCTATTCAAAGTCAACAAGGAGTCGGTCGACTTGGTACCCGATGCAGGTACCTCCCTAAGGAGGTAAACAAGAACAAATGATGACAATGAAGATCACTGACTGCCCGATCCGGACATGTGCTGACTCTGACGCCGAGCAAAGGAGAAGAAGTGCTCGTCGAACGTCCACGGATGGAAGAGACCAGGGTATCTGGTATAAACCCCGGCTGTGCAAGAGGGGTGCTGTGCCACACAGCAAGCGGCATCGGCCACAGAGCGAACGCGGCTGAAATGACGCGATAGCAGGCTGAAACGACGTACCACTACGTATCACTCCGACGACAAGGCGTCATTGGGCACAAGGACGAACGTGCATCCTGGAACTGGCGACGAAAGCCCGGCAGCTTTTGTGGGCGAGGAAATTTGATCCAAGGTTCGGAAATTGCAACCGACTGTTGCTCCTTTATCAAGTGCCAAGCCAAGCTTGATATCAGTGTCAATCTCCGCCCACGGTCAATCTCACTCCCACTCCCAACCTGACGCGCTGAGATGCCTATTGAACGCGTCTCTTGACGGCTATCAGCACCCTCGCGGCATGACCACGAACCACATGTCCCCTCCGCACGGAGGTTGTAGAGGCCGATCTCTCGCTGATGGACGTGCCTGTGGCCGCCCTTGTGCAACAATCTGCCTTCTGGACGGAATTGGGGGCCAGTCTGAGACATAGGGACAGGGACCCGACTTTCGACTTCGAACCTGGAAATAGGGCCCCAAGTACGAGGTACACCTCCCAGTATCAATCAGTATCGCCCTGCCTCAATGGGAAGACCCGGGTCGAGGACTTGAGCGTGTGTCCTACCCAAGGATGGCCTAACATGTGGGAAGGGAGACATCTCACTTGCAACCCATCACAAACGCAGATTGCCGAATCCACATCGCCTTCACGAGTGCGCAGCACATCATCCACCAGTCCCTGCCCTTTGATGCGTCCCAGCACTTCTTACAGTTCCTTTTTGCAATACGGCGGGTCTGGTGTCAGCTGAGGACAGCTATTTGATTCCTCCCGCGTGCGCCGTGTTGGGGACCCATTGAAGCCAAAAATACGTTCACGTTGAGGTTGTACAGCTTAGAATATTGCATGCCAGTGACCCTTTCGGCGGCTTTGCAACTTCTGTGTTTGCCTCTCACATGGGCAGCATGCAGCCAAAAGCCAAGGCCGAAGAGCACGGAAGGTGTTACAAGGCTGCTTTTCGACTGGTCTGAGTCATTTCACTACCAGCTACGTACTTTTTGTCCAGGTACCTGCTACCCTCGCCTGGTCTACTGTACAATGTCTGGCAACCTGTTACCGATACAGCCGGGCTCGACCCAACCGATCAACAGAAGCATGGCTGGCTCGTGTTGCGACGGATACTTCCGTTTGAAGCAGTACCCCGATTCTGGGCCCAGACACCCTGTGCTGGATTGAAACCGGTCTAGTTGTTGCGATGATCATGGCCCTCCCTGGTACGAGGTAAACAATTGACAATCGATCAATCCACATCTTCGACCTGCTTCAACAAGGTGTGCACCGATTCAAAAGCCTTCTTCGCAAAAGGTCCCATGTCGTCCCCATACTTCTGTGGTCCCTTACCATCGAATATTTCCACTGACACCCAACTTCTAAACCCGGTCTTGAACACAGCCCTGGTGAAATCTTCCACGGGCAAGTACCCACCGTCGTATGGCAGCGGTCGATAATCGTGGCTCCACTGACCCCTCGGTCTCAACCCGCTGTCATCTGCTCTGTCATCCAACGGCGGCTCCATCTTGTATGCGTCTGAGATCTGCAGCAAGAATATCTTCTCGGAAGGGACTGTCTTCGAGAGCTCTTCACAGCTGCTCTTCCATCTCTTGTCCAACTCTTCTGTGCTGACGTCTTCGATGCGTCCAGATTTCGTCGTTGGGCTGCCCCATTCTCCCCCTGCGCTTTGGAACGTGTCGAGGCACAGGCCCAGATTGGGTCGATTGGCCTTTTTCACGATTTCCCAGACGTCCTTCCACGCCGGCGCGTGAGTGGCCCAGCACCAGTTTTCGTATGCAATCCGAAACCCGTTCCCGGCAAAAATATCTGCAAGCTCAGCCAGGTCGGAAGCCAGGTCCTCAAAACGAGAGGAGATGCCCTCGGCGTCGGATGAGCCAATCTGTTTGCGTGGTTAAGACTGCCATATGTTCCCCTGCACGTCAAGATCATTGCAAGGCTTACGCACCTGAAGCATATCTGTCCCAGCTGCCTCCATTATGCTCATCCACCCTCGGGCTCTGTTGAAGGCATCTTTTCTTTCCTCGCTGCCTTTGGGCCAGCCCTCGAAGTTCGCAAAGGGCTGCAACATCAAGACCTTCAGGCCTTGCTTTTCGCACAGTTTTCTAATCTCTGCGGCGACTGATCGGAGTGTTTCGTAATCCTTTGGATCAATCTCTGCCTTGCTCTCCGAGATCTCTTGACCATACGCGAGGATGTCGGGCATTGAGAGCTCAATGGCGTCGAATCCAGCCGTGGCAAGAGTCTTCAGCTTGGCCGGGAGAGTGTGCTTAGAACCGTCGTGGCCTATGGAGCACGAGGCATAACATATTGGAATCGTCCTCCCCTTGAAATCCGCCATGCTGCATTAAATGAAGGTTACCGAGTTTCCCTTTAGCTTCGAACTTCCTGGCCCTTGCGTACAGATGATCTGTGCCTCTGACTATATAAATCAAGGTGCCACGCAGATTTCGTCACTTTTTCCAATCGGGCGGTTGTCGAAATGGATTCCGGAAATACAACATCCACCAACACATTGTGTCAAGATGACGTCAATATACATGAGGGAAGAAATACTTCACTTCCATCTCGAACACATGCATCTCCCCGGCTTGCCATTCCTTGCGTAACTTATTGCTCGTGGGCTAATGCTAGACTGCTTCATCGTCACGCCTCATACCTAGGTAACCAACAGTGTCGTCCTGACCGTGCACGGGTACCGATTCTAGTGAGCCCAGGGGGACGAGCAAACAGCCACCATGGGCCAAGAGGACGCCCCAGAGTTCAAGAAGGTACGTGATGAGCCAAGGCAGGCTGTTAATAACTCATTCCCCACGAATTCGATACGAATTCTACACGAACCAAGGCCTCGAGAAGCCACGCAAGCTGACCGACGGATACAGCTTGGCATGATCGGCGTGGGGAGCATGGGCGGCATGATGTCGTTGTTGTATGCCGAGCATGGAGTCGAAGTGCACTACTACGATCCAAGTATGAGCTTCCGCACTGACCCCATGGGCCTTCCTGCCTGGGCTACGGCCATTTGGGCTGACTCCATTTGAACAGGTGAAGAGAACGTTAAACAACTACAAGAGCACGCAGAGCACATCCATGCTAGCGACCGAATTGTGCACCAGAAAGACTATAAAGAGCTATGCGAAAGCATATCTTCCCCGGACTCACCCAAGCTCTTCGTCTTCAGCATCCCTCACGGCTCTGTGGGGGACAAAACCGTTGAGAGTCTCCGTCCATACCTGAAGTCTGGCGACATCATCCTCGACTGCTCCAATGAAGACTGGCGAAACACAGAGCGACGACAGAAGACCCTCGAGCCGGATGGTATCCACTACATCGGCTGCGGCGTCAGCGGCGGGTACCAAAGCGCCAGACACGGTCCCTCGATGTCTCCCGGCGGCGATGCCGAGACCTTGAAGAAGATCATTCCGTTCCTCAAGCGAGTGGCTGCCAAGGACAAGCAAGGCCGCCCTTGTACAACATGCATCGGCCCAGCGGGCAGTGGGCATTACGTCAAGATGGTCCACAACGGCATCGAGCAAGGCATGATGTCGGCCATCGCCGAAGTGTGGTTCATCATGAACAAATGCTTGAACATGCCCTATGAAAAGATTGCCGACACGTTCGAGTCGTGGAATGCCAGCGGTCCGCTCCGCGACAACTTCCTGGTGAACATCGGCGCGGACATCAACCGGACCAAAGACGGGGAGGGGAAGTTCGTGCTCGCCAGCGTCTTGGACAAGGTCGTCCAGGACGTCGACAACTCCGAGGGCACGGGCGTGTGGACCTGCGAGGAGACGATCCGTCTGCACGTCCCCTCGCCCACCATCGTCAGCGCACACCTGTTCCGGCTCGCCTCGGCGGACGCGGCCAAGCGGGAGCGCGTCAACAAGGCGTTCAAGGGCGGCGTCGCACAGCCAGCGACCATCAAGCTGGAGGTCCCGCACGAGAAGGCTCTCCCGTCCTTCCTCGAGGACCTCAAGTTCTCGCTGTACGCGGCGTTCCTGTGTGCCTTCGTCCAGGGCCTGAGCATCATCCGCGCCCAGGACCGCGAGCAGGGCTGGGACCTGGACTACCGGGCGATCCTGCAGATCTGGCGTGGCGGGTGCATCATCCAGAGCGACGCGATCGCGGACCTGCTGGACGGGGCGTTGGCCGGCGCCGCGCCATCCGACACGCCCGCGGAATCCGTCATCGACGAGCTCCTCGCGCAGGACGCCGTCGCGACCGAGCTGACGACGTGCCTCGCTTCGCTCAAGAACGTGATCCTCAAGGCCGTCGCCGCCGACGCCCCCGTCCCCGCCCTGTCCGCCACGCTCGAGTACGTCAAGTACGCGGGCGCGACCGAGCTGCCCACGCAGTTCATGGAGGCCGAGCTGGACTACTTCGGCGCGCACAGCTTCGACCTGAAGTCCGAGGCGCCCGGGAAACCGCTCAAGGGATCCCACCACTACGAGTGGAAGCCGCCCCGGGGCATCTTTGGCGACAAGTTGGACGGGACGAAGTAAACAAAAGCTTTGCAGGGTTCTTTCGTTCTTCCGAGACGAGACGAGAAGGAATAGAGGTTCTGGGTGTCCCAAGTTTGTCTTGTTATACACACCGGGTTTTAAGTTAATGCCGTGAGATTTCTCTCCAGGACAAAAGATGATCGCCTAGGCATTAAAATTCTATAGAAGACTTTTCTATGGGAAATATGTTCTCCTGTGCCGTATGTATATGACCACAAAAGCCTCCGCTCCTCTAATAGCTGGTCAATCTAGAACCAAGAAAGCTTTCCAACCCTTTCAACCTACTGTACATTGTAACTCACCCGACTATTCCCTTTGTTCCTGCTGATCTTTCGCACGCCGACCTTGCCACAGAGATCCGTCGTGTCGACATGGGTGCCGCCGCAGGGGTAGACCTCGGCGCCGACGATGCGGACGACGCGGTACTTCTCGCCGGGGGCCAGCTTCTTGACGCCGCCCTCGTCCTCGCGGGGGATCAGGCGCTCGAGGCCCTCGCGCGCAAAGTCGTCGCGGTCCCAGAACTCGATCTCCACGGGCATGGCGCGGGCGACGTACTCGTCGACACGGCGCTGGATGGGGTCCTTCCACTTGCCCTCGATCAGGCCCTGGAACTCGCACGCCGCCGAGTCCGGGAAATGCGACGCCTTGAGCTCGTCGAAGTTGGCCACCTCGTGCTCCAGCAGGTGTCGCACCGCTGCGCCAAGAACGTGGCCCGCCGTGTGCAGCCGCGAGTAGAGGAGTCGTTTCTCCACGTCGATAGCCTGCGCGACGAGACTGCCAGCTGTGAAGGTTTGAGCCGGGTCGGCGAAACGCCCTAGGTGCAGGACCACGCCGTCATTGACGACGTCCATGCGCACGGTGGACACGTCGAATCTTGCGCCGTTGGTGGACGATGTGATGGAGCCCGTGTCGGATGGCTGACCGCCGCCTTGGGGGTGGAAGATGGTTTCGGCCGTGGTCACCACGAGGGAGTCCTCATCTGGTGCAGTCTTGAACAGCTGCCGGCTGGCTTCGGCGAGTTGTTGGAACGGTGTGATGGATGTGACAAGCGTGGAGAGCGTGTAGAGTTTCGCATTGCGCTGATAGGCAAGGACCGTCCGGGGTAGAGATGTCGACATCTTCGATATACTGGGGGAAATCTCGGCCTGTATTTGATAACGGATGTCTGTATTCAGTATCAATTATATTGAGATGTTTGCCCTTTCTCGAGTATGTATGCGCCTTTGCTGGCTTTTATAGGCGTGGGCTGTTGATGAACTTTCCCTTTCTATGACTCTGACTCCTTGTCCGTAACGCAAAAGCCGACGTCTATTGTGTGTTTTGGAATGCTGTACAGGGCGTAGGGTGAAGAAGGACTGGGAAAGTAGTAGAAGAGAAGTTATCAAAGGGCGCTGGTAAAAACCGTGGCACCTGCCTGAATAGGCAGTTCAGCGGAGACAACGCCGGTGTCTATAAAATATGTATATTGGTCAGGCCGCGCCAGCACACCTGGATGTCCATTACTCTCGACTCGCAAGGTGTCTCTCTGCTTCGCCAATGATATCATGTCCAACAAGCCACTGGATCAGAGCCGGATGTGGAAATGGTTGAGTCATGTCCTCGGCCGGGATGACCAGAGGACTGTCTTCCTGCAACTGTTTCTCCAGCATCGCTTTCTGGGCCCTCCATATCCGGTCTCTTGCTTGTTGCATCGGCCCATCTGGCAGTGCAAAGGTGGTCGCGTTATCACGCGAGATCTCCTGTATTCGCTCGCACCGGGCTTTGCGGAGGTGCTCGTAGTCTTTTGCCGCTCTTGGAAGATCAGCTATCCCTGTGCAAGCAGCCACGCAAAGGCCGAGAACTTCGGCGTCCTCGAGCGATGTAGCGGCACCCGAGGCAGCGTGTGGCGCCATAGCGTGACAAGCATCTCCCACAAGAATAACACGTCCATTTGGACTCGACCACGCAGATAACGGGGGAAGTTCAGCAAGTACCCACTTGGCGCAGCTTTCCACGGCATCCAGCACGGCCTGAACAGTGTCATGGAAGTCTTTGAACAGCTGACGCATCTCTGAGACATCGCCTGGTTCATTGTACTTGCCCAGCGGAGCGTCACCAAGGTCGGGAATCGTCATCACCAAGTTGTAAAACTTGCCCTTGGCGATCGGGTAAGAGATAATGTGCTTGAACTGACCTGGCCAGGCTTGTTGACTTTGATTGTCTACTAGGGCAGCAGTCACTGGGGTTTTGAGCATCTCCTCGCGGGGCACCAAGGCTCGATAGCAGTAATTCTCCGTTCTTCGAGGGAGAACGTCCTCCAAGCCAGGAATTGAACGCCGAGTTCGTGAGTGAATACCATCGGCCCCGATAATCAAATCTGCGCGCAACGACCTCCCAGCCTCCAAGGTCACCTGAACCTCTTCGACATCGACCGAAACGACTTTTTGCCCAAACTCGATCTTGACGCCGCTGGCTGTAGCGGCTTCCGCAAGTATCTTCTGGTAGTCGACTCGATGGACCAGCCAGTGAGGAGATCCCCTCAACCGCGCAGAATAGTTCTTGACATTGGTTGGGATGATACCGATAAGCTCGTTGTTGTCATATCGTCTGATCTCTGTGAAGTCCGGACATGTTGCCACGGCCTCAAATTGCTCTCCCAGTCCCCAGCTGCTGAGGATACGAGATGCAGCGGCAGAGCACTGAATACCAGCACCGGCTTCGGTTAGGATTGGACTGCTTTCGAGAATGAGGATCTGGTGCTTTGTCTTCTGAGAAAGACTGATAGCGGTTGCCAGACCAGCAATTCCGGTTCCGATGATGATGATCTGAAATGAAGCCATTTTCCTCCCGTGTAACAAGCAATTGATAGGATGTCGCTCGGGAACGAATGATGATACTGGACACGTCCAGTTTCTGTTATATGAGTAAGTTAGGGGCAGGATACAACATGGTTGCCGTGATCTGGAGATAAAGCACTCCTTCTCTCGTTATGGGCAGATCTTAGGCTCCGTGAAACTAATGCATATGTCAAGTCTCCGACGACCCGTTCGCTTAGAGCAAGATGGAGCCCTACAGCTGCTTCAGCAATTTTGGGATCATTACGTGTGCATTTTTTGTCGGATGTGCCATGAAACTCACTCAGATGTCGAGGGTCAAGAGGAGTCTCGCTGGATGCCATGGCAGCAGTCAGGAAAGCTGAGAATAGCTGGTGGACAGAAAAAGGAGGCACATATGGAGGATACAGTATCTTGATCGCGTTGGTCGCGTTGATGTCAAGCTGCCCGGAAAAGAAAGTCTGCCGAGTTTGGCGCTGTCGCGCAATTCCAACTCCCCGGCTTCGTTCTGGGCCAGTTTGGACACGGTTTGGTTTTGCAGTAGAGTAGTGATATGTGCTCAATCATTGTCTGACTTCTACTTCACTTTGTTCGAGTCTGCTGGTTAGAGTCAGTCACCTCACTTCACCCTCGTTTATAGTCATGGAGCAGGAGCCAGAAACCCCGGCCTCTGGGTCGCCCTTGTCAGATATCGACTCAGATGAATTTCCCGAAGACGTCAAATTCCACCGCAGATCGCGTTCTCATTCACGGGACTCTACTATCTCTGCCTCAGACGACGAGACCGCATCCGCTATGAGTGCTACGGCGACAGCCCTGGACATGCCTCCCGCCAAACGTCGAAAGACGGGGGCTTCAAGCTACGATCATGCCACCCCTCAGTCAGCTTCGACCATCATCCCTCCGCGCTCGCCAACGGGGTCAATATCAAGCGATTCTTCAGGCTCGGTGCCTACGTCGCCTTCATTTGCCCACCTGGGTCCTACCCATCCCTTGTCGACGGCGTATGCAGCAGCGCAAGCCAACCCTGAAAATCCCGAAATGGCAGACTACGTCCAAGTCACGAGGTGTCTCTGGGATGGTTGTACCGATCAAGAGCAAGGCAACATGGACAACCTGGTTGCTCACATCAGCGACGTCCACATCGTGCCACGGCAGAAGAAGTACTACTGCGAATGGGAAGGTTGCGCTCGCAAGGGCCAGCCGCACACGAGTGCCTACGCATTGAAAGCTCACATGAGAAGCCACACGAAGGAAAAGCCTTTCATGTGTGCTCTGCCTGAGTGTGACCGTAGCTTCACCCGGTCTGATGCCCTTGCAAAGCATATGCGTACGGTCCACGAGACCGAGGCTTTACGCCCGAGTGATCCGGTGCCTAGGGGACACACTGGCGGCATTTCGAACGGGGGATCTTCTGGGATTCCGATCAAAAGGCTGAAGCTGACGATGGGGGGTAAGACGAATGGCGACAAAAAGGCTACTCTGGTCGGAGAATTGCCCTCTCTCCCAACGAGGCACACAGTCTCTTTGATGGGAATCAATCCCGATGATGTTGCAATGGCGGACGATGATGGATCAGAAGAGCTTGTGGACGCAGTCGACGTGGATAGTGTTCCGTTGTCTCTGCCCCTTGCTCCAGACTACTACCCGACCGATATTTGGGATGACATGGACGAATACGAACGCGGTCTTCCTCCCTCACAATGGTTCCGGCTCTTGCGTCGACAAATACACTGGGCTGAACAAGAAGGTCGCGACCTACAGCAGGAATTGGAAGATCTACGGGCGACAACGGAAGACGCCAAGGGAAACCCGGTCCGACGGGGCATGGGAGACGAAAAGGGGGCCGATGAGAACAGGAGGCTGGAGTGGCTGCGGTCGGAGGAGCTATTGGACGCCGTGTTACGAGCTGAAGTTGGCCAAGTTTTGGCCATGTTCACTGATGAGAAGGTCAACGATGATCAAAACCCGTGGGAATTGCTCAAAGGCCTGGAGGCGCTTACAACCACCGCGGTCTCGGCAGCTTCAGTATCATGAAGTGATTGATTTTCCAGGCGGCTCCTGGATGCCCAAGTACATACATACATAGGACTAGCGATCCCTTCCCCCCAAATTGAATGAGATCGTGTGATCACGAATTGATATCGGACCGTGCGTGCTTGGACGGGGTCTGACAATCCTTTCCGCTGCGAGGTTCTTTCCACTACTACAGTAGACCCTACATACTATTTTCCGACAAACCCGAATACGAGAACTGCCATTTAAGGGGAAGCACTGGGGGGCACTTGACGTGAAGGGTTAGAAGTGAGATATTTTTCCACGCCGGCTCTGACGTGCTCTGATCTGGGGCACAAACGGAACTCCAAACGAAGTTCGGCGATCTGATACGTACATGGATATCACTGATTACTGATTATCAACTAGTAGAGGACCTAGGTATTCACGCAGAAATGCATGTTCATGTTGCAGATGCTGCGTACCTACGGTGAACGGGGACCGTATTGTCCGGATTGTCAGCACTTAAAAAACCAAAAAAAAAAAAACAAGAATCATCTTCGGTTCGGAACTTGGAAAATAATAATGGGGTATCATATTAGTACAACTACTCTCGGTAAGGTAGGTGTGTCTGTGTGATAGGAGGAATTAAATCTCGCGTGGGGATGCCAGGGCAGCATGAGGATGAGGATGAGCAACCTAGGATGCTTTTTGTCCACAGGTTTGTCATTGGGGGTTGCGCCGGCTGGAGAAGGTTTCGAGCGGAAAAGTTTGGATGGGATGCGGGATGAGCGATGACGATGATTATGGGCACGGCACAGATAAGGGAAGGGGAAATGGATGATGGGGAGGGAACTTTTGGCAGGGAATGAATGCAATTTTTTGCTGCGGCAAAGAGAAGAAGTGCCCAACTGGTTGGTTATTCGTGGGAAGATTTCCTGGTTTGTATACTCGAGATGTCAGACTGAAAGATCTATTACGACCCCGACAGCCAACGAGGGCCGTCTTTACAAAATAGCCCCGGATTGAGCCACGGCAAGCCACGGCAAGTACCAGCCTCACTGCAGAATCAGCCTCGTCTGGAAACACCCCCCTCTTTGCCATGGGTCTCCGGGCGCACAAAGGAAATTATGGCATTTCGGTGTTCAGGAAAAATAGTGGAAGGATTGGGCACTTTCAACCTTCTCCCGAGTTGAGAGCAAACGATGGCCACGTCTCCACCGTATGCATGATGGCGCAGAGCCTCAGTTCGTGTGAGTCACACATGCAGATTCACTGCAACCCAAGAAGCCGGCGGTTTCATAAGCGGTGCGGTGGAGAGGGAGTTCAGTCCGCGCGCTCAATGGAGATATTGGGGTTTGTGCTTGGAGATTGTTTCAATGCGCCAGCTTGTTCAGATGACCAGCCCTCAATGGTAAATAGGCATAGACCGGCCCATGGCACGCTCCGGAGAGAGAGCTCAGGCGCCTACACAGTAGAGTACAATGCCAAAGGGCGCGTTACTCCATGCAGGGGATAGCCTAACGCGGAGCACTTTGGTCGTCCGTCCCAAAGGTCTCAGTCGGCAGCATGAACCACAAGTGGAAATCGCTGTGGGATCGTCTCTGCCGCGAACCGGCTTGGGTAGGAGCCAGTCCAATCATGGGCCAAAGGTGGCCTTAATGTCCATGGCAATGCAATGCACTTTTGTGTTCGTCTGGTTGACCCGTGAGAGCACTGGCATTGGCTCCCGTTTGGGGCTTCATTGCATCCCATTTATGCCCCAAGGATCGTTGTTTCACCTTGGAAATACTGTAGGTAGTTTGACAGAGCCATTTGTGTGATTTCATGTGCCCGGTATGCCGGTCCAAGCGTGGTTCGAGGGGGACAAATTGAGTTGCAGCTAAAAGCACGATAATTAATCCTGGTTTGTCTGCCTTGTGGCTAGCCAAAGCGAGCACTTCCAAAATGGGTCCTGGGTCAGCAGCGGACCAGTTCCACAGGGCACTTTGTGTGGGAGAATATGCTCGTGCTCTGGGTCGCACAGTATCCCAGTGCCGAGATCCTCGTCCCTGGAAACTCAAGATGTGTCAAGATACCCGTAGATAGTGCTTCCGTGAGATGGTCAAACCACCCCGGTATAAGGGAGGAAATGTGGCCTTCTTCATCGTCAATTTCGCAATTACAAGCAACGTCCACATGGAAGTCTCTTTCGAAGAATTATGAGTCATTTCGTGGTGGGCCACAGAGAGGGCTCACTAGGCTGGCACGGCGGCACCTGCGGGGGGCCCACTAGAGGGGATGTAGGCGCTTTCTGTTGGCTACGTCTCCCTCTAGCGTGACCGATGAGGCCCGGGTTCGCATTTAGTGGCGTCAAGGCTGACCAAAGCCTCCACGGATTGGGCACCTCCCCAGGCGTGCCCAGGCACCTACAGGGACGCCCACGGCTCAACCACTCGTTCGCCCACAGAAATCTGAATTATTATAATCTTCGCCTTGCCCCCCTTGTGGATGCCTAGACCTTCTTTCTTTTTTTCTTCCTCCATCCATCCACCATACATCCTTACAACAGCATCAACGGTATCACTGCGACTCACAGGCAATGGAGTCCTTCTGATCGTCTTCGGCTTCACCTTCTATCTCGCTCAGGCAAGATAGGACCAGTCACCATCCCCGTCACTGCTCCTCTTCACTCTCAACTCACCCCTCGTCCACAGTCTCCTTTTGGAGTACCTGTGAACATCCGGCAGGACTTCGTCTTCGCTCCCAGCGTAACGACTTCTCTTCCTCCAACCGCCACCATTCCCGCGTTGGACTTCACATCCTTCACCACGGATCATCCGCAACCATGGCGTTCCTCAACCCCAAGTTCATCCACTGCATCGTCGCAGAACCAACAGCAGCACAACTTCAATCAGGACTTTCAGCTCTTCGCCGCTCCGGAGACCCCTCTCAGGATCTCTCCTCAAGCCTCGCGTGCGCAGGCGATATCGAGTACAGCCCCTAATAACCCACGACTAGCCCAGGCTCGGCATCTCTCCATCAATAACAGAGTGTCTCCAGTTCAGTCTATCTCGTCTCCGTCTCACGGGCATCTCTACTCGTCACCCAATCACCGGTCTTATCCCAGTCTAGCATTGCAAAACCAATCCACTCAAGAGAAATACCTGCGCCAGCTTGTTCATTTGCAACGTCTGCCGCCCGTTCCTCCTTTTGATTCAACAACTGTTCCTCGTAGAAACTACTCGGCTCCCAACATTCCGCAAGGTACTTACGATCAGAGCCCGAGAAATCGGGCGAAATCGCTAACTGTGTCCTCAGGCGATATGGCTACCGCCTTCGACTCGATGTATCTCCCGGGAGGCGATTTCAGCGCCTCCCATGACGACTTCTTGGACTTCGAGCCCAACTTCCAGACCAACCACTTCACCACTGTTAACTCCGGGGTCAACGATGGCACAATTTCGCCTACCGATCTGTTCAAGGACGACGCTATGATCATGTCGGCCCCGCCATCGGCTGCTTTCCCTAACCTGAGCACTCCGGACTCGAGCTTCTTGGAGTCTCCCGCCATGGCCAGCAGTGGTCTCAACACATCCCCGCTGGAAGATGGGGAACTCGATGCCACCTTGAACTTCGCCGAACTTGACAGCATGATGCCACTTTTTCCTCAGAATAGCATGGATCAGTTCGCCTGTCAGCCTTCGGCTGTCGAGCCTTTCCTGAAGTCCACCAGCGCTGTCAACTCTCGAACGGCCTCTGCCGCCCAAGAGACTGGTATGGTCCGCCAAAAGTCCTCGCCGGGACGACCGCCCTCGCAACCATATCATACTCGCAAGCGTTCCGAGACTCACGGTGTCTCCAAGGCTTCCAAGGCTCGCAAGAACTTGCCAGAAATCACCATCGAAAGTGATGATGACAAGGAGACTGCCAAGAGGAAGAAAAACACTGCCGCCGCTCGAAAGTCTCGTCAGCGAAAGCAGGAACACGCAGAGGCGGCCGAAGCGGAGATTCAACGTCTCCGGGCCATCATCTACCGCCTTGGGGCTGATCCTGATGAGGAGAAACAATGAGCAAGTTTCTAAGAGTCTTACGACGATCGTTGATGAATCATGGAATCCAGGTGTGGACCTGAGTGGCCTTCTCTTTGAAAGGCCTTGGTTATCTTTTTGCAAGTGCAATCGGACGACAATTGAAGCTGTGACTACCACGTTGGTAGTTGCCGACACAGCAGCATGACGCTTGGGGTTGGGGTTTTATCAGGCTGAAGCCAGGAGGGCTGCCTCCCCTTAACCGCCACGTCTACTTTTTCTCCTTTCGATGTTTATGATCTATTGGGACCGCACAGCGATCATTGGGGTTGGTGAGCTTCTGCCCGACAAGGCGGCTCAGGCTTCCCCTTACCTTTACCGATATCGCTACGATTTCTTGTTACTGATGATGGTCTGGTGGCCTTCGAAGAGGGCGTAACAGCAATCAATCTTTGAATGGTCCTGACGGGCTTGTCATGCAGTCTTTCTGATTTGTGCTTAGTTTTTATTTGGCGACAGCGACCGAAACGGCTTTCTGACCGTCTCCCCTTTTGTTTTCTCGATACTGCAAAAAAAAGGAACTCTCCTTAGTGCTGCGGCGTCCTGCGAAGGGGATTGACTCGAGGCTTGTTTCATGGTTGTGTCTTTTCGTGTTTGTTCGTCCATACATGAACCATCACGGATGGAACTCATGCTTAGCAGCGTGGGTTGAACGGGGATGTGTTTGTCCACTCTTTTGCATAGTCTGATCAGATCTACTACTGCAGGCAGGGCTTTCTACTCAAGGAGCCTTGTACAGCAACCTCCATTCTCCTATTCAGGGGAGCACTTGGGGTGTGAAATGCAACTCAGTCACTTTACTACTAGCATATTGTAGTTCTTACTGTGCATTCTTCTTCTCTTCGATACACCCTCATCACTGCTGCAACTAACTAACTACATCACCGTCCAGACGGGGGGTTATCTTCGGTCGAATTCTTTGTGACGACCCGGGCGTGTTACACAAGAAGCGTAATAACGTAGCACAGCACAGCACTCTCCCCCGGTGACCCGGTGAGGTGGTGACCCATTCGTTCTAATGAATGACCTTGTGTCCAAGTCCCGTCACCACCTGTAGTTACGAAGCCGCAGTGGTGCTGTGGTGACAAACAGTACATGGCTTGCTTGCATGCTTGTTTGTTTGTTAGATGGTTCACATTGGTTCACCCGAGTCCTTCTTCCTCCCTTTTAACCGCGCTTTCTTGTCGAGGGTTTTCCTCATAGGCTGGCCATCGATCACTCGATCCATCCATCCATACGTTCTGGGGCACCGATGCGCAAGATGGAGGAGGGCACACGAGGAGGCTCGCAGGTGAACCGAGGCCGGCCACCTCATCTCATCCTCGTATGGGACATGTGTACGAAGAACAAGGTAGGTGCGAGGAGGAGAGGTATGCTATCCTGTTGACACCAAGTCCTCCTCCTCCTCCTCGTCATCGTCGTCGTCTTCGTCTTCGTCATCGCACCCTCGAGAATCAGCGTATGGAGGGGGTTTTGTTTGGATAGGCATGATTCGGGGGGCGTGTGGAAGATAAGGAGCTGTAAAGGTGTGTGGATGTATGTGTGAGCATATGCGAGCATGAGCAGATACAGATCTGATACAGGGAAACACAGATATAGCCAGAGCCAGACAGGATTCAACCTGCTACTCCCATGAGCCAACCCCATTGACACATCGTTCAAATGGTGCTCACTGTACACAGAATCAGCCACTTTCTTGCAATTTCATGTATTAGTTATTACTATCCTAACGCTTGGTTCTGCTTTGCATGGTTCACTGGCTAGGTGTTCTGTTGTCTGTCTTGTTCCTGCTTTGCAATCATGATTCCTGTTCAATTGTCCACCAGTCTTGATCCAACCTGTCGATTTTACTCAAAACTCGTGAACATGGGACATTGTCACAAGATGTGCGCCACAAGATTTCCCGCAGTGTCCCGTATCGCCGAGGATCAGGTCGAACTGATAAGCCTCCCTTTTCCCTCGCGACGGTAAGCCTGTTTTTCCTTGCCTTTTCCACCAACAACTTTGCGCTTTCGGGGGTATCTCTTCTCGTAAGGACAAGACTTTGCCTAAGTGGGGTATCTGTACTCAAAGCACAAAACCAAGAAAAACAAAATCCACGATAACTCAAAAAAAAAAACAAAGCAATTTCGATCTAGTAGTGCGTGGGGTATCCTGAAAGAGAGCAAATGCATAACAAAAGGAGTGATGTCCGAGTTTGTCGTCAGTGGGCCTAAACAGGCCGGGGGTATCTCAAAAGATCGATACGGGAAACAGAACGGACTGATGGAGATCCAACCGTGTCACGCTACCTCGAAACCGCGAGGCCAGAGAGACGAGAAGGGCTTCGAGGAGGTACCGCCGGAGGAGTGCTGTAAGTCTTCTCGTCCCACCACTTCTCGAATTCAACTGGACTAGACGCTCGAGACAGTCGAGATGGATGTGATAGAGATGTGCGTGGAGTCTTGTCTCTGACCTCGTTGGACCTTCAAGCGGTTGCCTTGACCTCTGGGGCTGTCGTAACCACAGCTTCGGGCATGGTCTGAACGGGCTCCGGGACAGGTTCAACGGGCTTGGTCTCGGCAGGTTCTGCAGCAACAGCCGGGGTTTCGGGGACCGGAGCTTCAGTCGCGCTGGCAGGGGCTGCGGCAGGCTCAGCAGGAGTCTTCTCCTTTGGTCCCTCAGACTTGATCGCTTTGCTAGCGCGACGGACAAGCTGGCCAATGAATTTGCCACCTGGGAGAGGCGACTTTTCCCGCTTGGGCTCAGCAACAGTGTCTTCGCCTTCTGCGGTCTCAGGTTGCTTCTTGTTGAAGAAGAGAGAAGTGCGGCGCTTGTTGTCACGGGCAGGGCGCTCTTCGGTGGCAGCAGGCGTGGTCTCCGCGGCGGTCTCGGTGGGAGCAGCGGTTTCGGTTGGCTCGGCGCTGGCGGCAGCGACAGGGTCTTTAGCGATGGCCTCAGCAGCCTTTTCCTCTTTGGTCTCTTCTTTGATCTCCTTCTTGCCTTCAAGCTTAGCTTCAGTCTTCTTGATGAAGCTGATCAAACCGCCCTTCTTCTCCGTCTTGGGCGCAGCGGAGCTTTCTGCGGACTCTTCAACTGGAGGAGTGGTGACGGTGTCGACCGGGGCAGTCACAGCCGCAGCGTCGATGGGCTTGTTCTCAATCGGCTCCTCAATCTTGGGAGCGGTCTCCGAGACTGGAGGAACGTCACTGCTTGCCATGGCATCCTTTTCATTCTTCTCGGTGGTAGGGCTTGCTACGCGATTTCTGAAGAGGCTGCCGAAGACGGAGCCACGCTTGCGGTTCTTCTCGGTCGGACTCGCATCTTCCTTCTCCTCTTTCTTGTCAGTGGCGACAACGGCGGCAGGCACTGAGTTCTGTCAGAATATCACGAAATAAATTTCATTGGGGAATATCTTACCAGCACTGGCTGTGGCGGCCTCAGTTGCCTCTGTGGTTTCCTTAGGTTCCTCCTTCGCAGGAACTTCTGGCTTCTCCTCTTTCTTCTCAGCATGTTCTTCCTTCTTGCTAAGGAGCGTACCGAAGATGCTGCCACGTTTCCGCGACTGAGAACGCTCAGCAGCAGGTTTTGTAGCCTCATCCGCGTCACTAGAAGTGGCAGCAGCATCAGCAGCGGCAGCGGCAGCGGCAGTAGAGGCGTCAACCGACTTCTTGGGTTCTTTGGACTTTGAGCGGGAAGCTTTGACAGCCGCTGCAGCAGGAACAATTGTGGGTTTGGCTAGAGGTGCATTAGCTTGCCATCCTTCACGGAGAGTGACGTATATCAATCAACCTACCATATTCCTCGACGTTCTTCTTATAGCTCTCACTTCCAGTAATCTCTTCTTTCAAGCTCTTTGCCTCTTCAATAGCCTTGTCAACGGCAGCAATCCAGCTGTCCCGTTCTTTGGTCGAGGATGCCTCAAACCGGTGGACATGAGCACCGGCCTTGAAGGAGAATTGGAGGCCTTCCTTGGTAACAGTCGAGGCATCAGACTAGTATGTGGTGTCAGCAAACGCAACGCAAGCTTTACTACTGGTTTAAACCTACCAAATTGATGATACCAGTTGGCGTCGCCTTGTCCTCCGCACGCTTGGAGTAGAAGAGCAATCCCTTCCCGGTCTCTCGTGCCCATGCAGCATCGGAGTGTTTTGTGTCGGCCTTCTCGGACCGCATGAAATTGGTCAATGACTCGGCAGTGGACGGCTCTTCTTGAAACCAGAAGTAGTGCTTGCTGAAGATGAATTTCCTGTAATCCGCAAAGTCAGTCTTGTTTGTCCCCCAAGTTGATCCACTGGCAGGCAAGCATACTTGAAGAAAGTTGGCTCCTTGTATCCCAATACACCCTCCGTTGCAGGGACAATCTCGGCAGCCTCATCCTTCTTGACCTCCTCGGTTGTAGCAGCGGCTTCTTCAGGGACAGCAGGTGCAGTCTCAGTCGCCTCGGTGGGAGCCGTCACAGTTTCCGTGGGCTCGGTCGTGGTCTCTGGTTGTTCGGCGGCAACCTTTGTAGGCTCGACGACTGGTGTCTCTTCGACGGGCTTGGGAGCTTCGACAGACATGGTGCTGAATGAAAGGGAAGTATGTTACGGGTGGAGATGCTCAGATGTTCGTTCAAGATAACAACAACTTGAAGAAGGAAGAGAATGTCGAGAAAGAATACTTCAGAGCGAGAATAAGTGCTCTGAAAAATAAAGTGGATATCGAGGGTCTGGTCAAAGGGTGAAATTGACAATGGCAATCAAGGACCACAAGGCTTTGAACTGGCAGTCACGTTTCCAGGGATTGAGGATGAAGAAGTAGTAGCAGGAGATTTGAAGAGGACCAATTTTGTATGAGAAGCAGGAAGGGATTGGTTTCCAGGCAAGATGAAGGGAGCGAGATTGACAGCGGGCAGGCAAGAGGAGTGGTGTGAGATGGGATGCCTCTAGTTTTTGTCCTGTCTTTATCGTTCCAGTTCGATTTGTTTGGGGCTGGTAACGGGCTCCCTTCGGCGGCTCCAGTCACGTAGGCTACACAGGGCGTTTAGCGGGCAAGGAGATTTGAAGGCGCCCCTAGGCAACGCGCTACGAGGGCGGACTCCACCCCTGCTTGCCTTGAACCAAAACTAGCTCGCCCACGCCCAGGGTTGCTCTGAATAATTTAGTGGAGAAAAGCTGTAGCCCTCCAAGCCCCTCCCACGCTAGCCTGCGAAATAGCCTTAGCACTACTGGCCTGCGGGTTGCCCTCGCCACTTCTGCTGCCGCCCACATGTCTCCCAGGAAACAAAATCACATCAACGTTGTCCGATGAATCGACACGACGGTTTTTCATTAGTTATTGCGCCCTCGATAGAACGTACATATGCGAAGATGCACGGGGAACCCCTCCAGAGCACCGCAGTCTATCCGCCAATCGAGGAAAGTTTCACCACTGCAGTCAGCAGTCAGGAGGACCATTGACAAACACGGCTATCGCCATGCTTTCCACGCCTTTTTTCGACGCCAAGGGAGGCCTCCTGCAGCATCCTAAGGCTCACTCACCAAGTCACGCAGAGTCTCGCGGACCTGGACTGTGCAAGGCGTTGCGACGCCCATGCAGGTGACAAGGCACGCATTGACAGATGCCATAATACGACTCGCCACGAGGTGCACCCACCCTTCCACAAGATTCCTCATTCTTACGAGAAAAGACCCGTTGCCATCATGGAACGACAAAGAAAAGACTCGAAATACTCTCGGTATATCATATTTCCCCCCTGGGTTTACCTCCTCTCAGGTTCGGTCAATAGCATGAACAAAGAGAAGCAAGGGAATGGGCACTGCGCGTGTGACTCAAAATAGGATCTCCGATGGCAGTGGACTCTCGTGAAAACAAGATATCACCATATCACTGGTAACAGAAAAAGGTCGTTGGTCATGCGACCATCAACTGGCCACCTGCAGGAATGACGTGCCCTAGTGCAGTTGTCACATGCTCTATTGACGAATCCTGGAATAGTTCTCGCATCGGTGGCCGATCCGATGTCCTTGTGAAAATATAATCGCAACACGCAGGTCCATGACTGTAAGAACTATTCTATATTCTTCCATCAGCAGGAACCTGACGACTGGGATTGGTGGCGGACGCCTGTCCTCACTCTCTACCTCGTATACGAGGTAAACCTCCGTATAGCTTCAGGCTCCCAAGGAATCAATCTAGGAGTAGCGCAAAGGCTCGCCCTGCGCCAGACGGAGTATCACAAAGCGCCAGGCGAGACATCAACTTCCACGATCAATCATTACTGCTCGAGCCGAGTGGCCTCTCATGTTGTCTTGCCACATTTTCTATCACCGCCTGCATGATTCACCATAGTATCTCTCTTCTTGAGGATGGTTGTGGTTAACTTCTTCGCGGAGGATTATTGCGACAAGTCGTCGTTGCTCATTGATGGAGCCTGTGGTGTCGATCTCGACATCTTGGGACCTCGAGAGAAAAAAGTTCCCGGCCAGATCACCAATCAGTTGATCTGGCGGGGCTGTGGGCAGAAGTCGTGCAGGTCTTGCAATTTCGAAACCAGCTCCACTACTGAGAAGGAACGGCGCGAATTTGTCTCCATCCAGTAGCTCGCACCACCACTCAAGGTTGACCCAGGTCCAATGCTGAAACAGACTGGAAAGACGGAGCACCCTACGAGTTACCCGTGCCTTGACTGCAGCACATGCACAGCTTCTCTGCCTACCTATCACGAATACGATATTCCCTCATATGTAAGAGGTAGATAGTAGCCTGGTATTTCCTTGACGGAATGCGCTCAAGGTCCTCAGAACTTCTCCGCGAACCCGTGATGAATGATACCAGAGTTATGTATGTCTGCCCATGGAGACAAAGGTCTCGGACATACAGTCGAGCTTAACCGAACCGCAATCCCTTTCATCTCAGTATTCCGTCGTCTCTCCCGATCGAGATTCGAGACAGACCCGGTTCATCAAGAGATCCCCCCACTACGCCTAAAAAGGCTGTAGAACATGTCCTCCCCAAAAAGCCAGCAGAGTCTACTCGGCACTCCTAGTCCATTGGTCCAAGCTGAGACTTGTGTGGCTCGCTCCATCATTCTGCCCCGACGCCACGCCACAACTTGTGCGGTTGTCTCGAATATATCTACGGGTAGGTAAGTACGGCAGGGTTGATCCTTCAGAACACCCGTGGCTCAAGTCTTCGGACCAAGCAACTCACTACGGGGTGGCACTTATAGGTAAGTACTCATTCACACCAGCATATAGGCTACATAGGTGCTGCGTATTGGGTTATCCTCTCCACCCGCCCTCGATTCATGAACGCCCAAATGAAAACCACCCCAAAAAAATTTGGGTGAGAAGCCTAGGCCAAGGGCCCGACCCACGTCCCCGTCAGAGGACCGTGGAACCGTGGACCGTGGACCCATAAGCCTTGGCCCGCTAGGCCCGTCGCGCGCATCTAACCGACGAGGATCAATCAGGGTCTCACTACATATTATTTGCATGAGCAGATATGGTAAAGTCGGGTGCCCCATAAAATGTTCAGAGACGGGGTGCAGGGAAAGAGGGGGATGCTTTCGCTAGCAGCAGTAGTCCTAAGGAGTACGGAGTAGTGGTAACTGAGTCCTCGGTGCAAAGACCGCGTTCACAGCCATGAAGTGGCCAACGAGGCTTTTGTTGGTGGCTCACACGTACCCGCGCGGCTCAAGCGGAAGACGGACCAGACGAGACGAGATGAAATCGAGGAAGCAAATCACCGAGGCAAAGTGGTTAGAGACTCTACATAGATAACTCGAAAGTGAGGATAAGAAGCATCAATCTTTCTACTCGGTACTCGGAACAGCTCGGTCAAAAGATCGATCGAAGGAGAAAAGTGATAATGGGAACTTATACTCCGAACAGCAAGAGAGCCAGAGATCCAAATACCATGAAACATTTCTGATGGACTGTGTCCTTTCTGTAGCTCCCTCTATCAACAATGAGCTGCCCATACCGAGCCTTGCCATCTCAGACAAGACCACATCGAGTAGTGTCTCGACCAACGCCAAAATGACCATATTTGTACTGGGTACTTGGTACAGATTTTCTGATCTCTGCCAATGCCAACTTTTGAACAATGTACTGTCGACCTGTAATGATTCCCAATTGGAGAGTCATACGCAGGGGCAGTGCATACCACCGGCGTCATTCGCTTCAAAACAAACCAAAGAGCGAGGCTGCTCACTCGACGCTTGCTGACTTTTGTCTTCCTTGCTGGACAAACTGCCACTCCAAAGATGTACCACGGAAAAAGCAAAGCACAAATCCGCCTTCTTCAGCCCGCTGTGGTCAGGACGTACGAAGTCACAGTGTCCATCCTTTCCTTGGTCAATTTCAGACTAATCACGAGCAGCTCTTGGGCCACATCTGGGTCCCGTGTCTGCATCTCATGCCATCGCTTGGCATCTAGTTTCCAAGTAACACAGTCCTTTTCTGCCACCATCGTGGCAGTACGTGGTGTTTGGGAGAAAAACGGCAACTCTCCGCATGGGCGTCCAGACACGATCAGCTCCGAGTACCTGCCCTGTGGCCAGTCGTAATCACAGCGCAGAATGCCCTCTTCGAGCAGGTAGAAGCCATCGGGAGGATCTCCAATCTTGAACAACACTGAACCTTTCGGGTATACTACCCTTTCAAAGTATTTCATAGCACGGAACCAAAAATCCTCGGTCTTGTCGGAGAGATCCGCAAAGATTTGTAGCATCAACGGTAGAGGTTGCTTGAAAGATTGCCACTTCGCCAAGCTAGACGTGTCCTCGTCCAGAGTAGTCTGAGCAACTTGATGGAGATGATTTCGTCTCGGGGAGCTGCCCATGAACTCGGCCTTGTACGAGGACGAAAGCTCTTGCGGCCGAGTCCGAGGCATGTCAAGGTGCCCTCCTATCCGCCTTGGGCGCCGCTGCTCCTGCTGACGATACAAGGCTGTCAACAGTTTGTTCTCACAGTGCTCCAGTGCCACGTTTAGATCCGGGAAGATCTGGACCTTGGACTCTGCCGCAAACAGACCCACGTTGCGAAGCGCTTGTCCAATCTCGCCATCGACGTCCAAGCTGCTCACGATAAGCTCGACTCCGCGCTTCTGCAGAAGTCGGTTGATTCTGGTGAACGCCTCTGCCGCCGAGAAATCGATACCATTGATCTGAGCCATGTCCAAGATGAGGAACCTCAGAGGACGGTCCCTAAATGCATCTTCCTCCAGTAGTGCTCGAATCCGGTTCTCGACCCCGACAATCGTCCCAAAGAACAAATACCCAGCCAGTCTAAGTAAGAAAATCTGTTTGCCTGTCTCACGCAAGAACTTGAGCTGCACCGGCGGTCGTCGGACGAGCGATTTGGCAACTTCCCCAGAGTATGTGGCTCTTATGGCAGTTCTGCGGGATGTTTGCACAACAAAACTCAAAGCAGCAAGCAAAATGCCAACCAGGATTCCAACCACGAAATCCCACACTCCCATCGTGACGACAATGATCAGGATGGTAGCATATTCAAGCTTGTGGACTTTGCCCCATGTTCCGACCAGGGCTTCTTCCAGCAGCTCTATGCCCAGTAAAAATATCAGAGCACCAACAACCATAATGGGAATGTAACCAATAATAGCCGGGCCAGCCAAGAGGATACCGACTGTGCAGGCAGCCAGCAGGAGTCCTGCAAGGCGGTCATTGCCACCACTGTCCATAAACAGAAGACTGTTGGTATATACAAGATAGTTCTGCACACTTCCGAAGAGGCCACTGAGGCAGTTCGAGACACCGTGCGCGACCAGCTCACGGTCGACGCTCAGGTTATCCTCGCCGGTAGAGATACCCAAAGCGGGCACGTTGATCGGAACATGCAAGACGCCGAAAAAGGTCAGAGCAAACATGGCCGGGATGGTATCCGCAAGAGCTCCCCAATGGACCGCGTTGAAGTCGTACAGAGTGTAAAAATGATACCAGGGGTTCCCGGCCGGAGGTGGATCGAAAACCCAGCCTCCGGTATGCAGGGTTTCCATTGAAATACCCAAAGCGGACTTGAAGAAGTAGAAAATTGCTGCAACCGAGATAAAGTAGCCGCCAACCAGCAGATTTGATTTCACAAAGCGTTGTACAATGAGTAAAGTGACGGCAAGTAATAACGGGATGGTCCACAGGGCGATCGTGTCACCCCGGAATAGCTGCTTAAGGGTGTGAAGGTTGTACTCCAGATTGCCCGGTAACCGAGCAGAGACCTCGATGCCGGTAGCAACAAGAAACCAGCCAACGCCTCCAATGCAGCCAATGAGAATATGGCGCGGGAAGAAGCCAATCAACGATCCTAGCTTGCAAGCTCCCATGAGGAAGAACACCACTCCAGTCAAGACGGAACTGATGGCAAAGGAGAGTATCGTGGTGGCAAGGACGGCCTTGGGGTTTTGATCCCCCACCTTCTGGAGTATCGTAAATGCCATCTTATGGAAGAAGGGGACAACCTCAATCATTTCGGACCCAATGCCCCCTCTGAAGATTGAGCCACCAGAAGAATAGACGACCTGGGCGACAATAGTGCTGACGTAGAACATGGCAATCCCGTCCGAGCCAAGGCCTTCGAAGATTTCATTTCCCAAAGGGAACAAAATCATGCCATAGGAGAGAGCATCGAGGATGTTGAGGAGCAAGCCCAGAAACACAGCTGGGAGGAGGCTCACTGGGTGGACGACGGCTTCCCTGTATATGGCACGGACACTCCACGTCTTTGGGTGTGACAGCGTATAGTAGCATGACCGCACTCTACTCGCCGAGGCTCTGCATGTTTGGATGATACCGTTCTTGTTCGAGCCCGACTGCCGCTCAACATCCGTATAATGGCCATGCTTTATAGATTCTGTGCTCCGGCCACCAATGAGAGCCGTATACTCATCTGGCTGACTAGCCTCCGGCCTGCTCGACGACGCTGGGCGGTGCAGTATTGTCTTGTCGATACCATTCGAGTGTTGTTGTTGATGCTCCTCCTCTTGGCCCATGGAATTTTGTATCATGGCAGTCAATTCAGAGATGGCCGGGTCACCAGGATGGTCATGGTCCGAACCTTCTGGAGTTACTGGTTCGGAAACTTCTTCGATCACCTCAGGGTAACCATCGTCGGATGCAGCTGAGGAAGTCGACGGAGAGGTTCCAAGGTGGGACGCAGTCTCGGAAAGAGCAAACGCAGCAAGCTCGGCGGTCTCGTCTCTGAGGCCGGCAGAAGAAGAATACTGAGCGGGATCTAGCTGGCCATGGAAAGAGCGGACGTAAAAGGACCTCGCGGGAGTTTTCTCTGCGGGCTGACTGGAGGAGGAGCTGGCTCGGGGGCGCTCAACCCAAGGACGGTCGGAAACGGCCAGGGGACTGCTCTCGTCGATGCCCTGATCACTCTGAGATCTCTTCAGGGGAGAGCTGGGCATCGGAGCTGGTCGGCTCTTGGAGAAGTTGGAACTATGGCGGGCATGTTGTTTGCTCGCAGAGGACGTCGACATTTTAGCTGCTCATGAGGATATCATGGTCGTCCCGCACTTCACATGCAAACTCCACTACTAGTGCCCGGCTCTTTTCCAACGGGTCAACATGGACAAGAGGGGCCGGGGCCTGAGGACAAGGGGACAGCCTATACTAACTGGCGAGTGCTAGTCCGTAACCTGTCGTCCTCCCTCGTGTGACACGAGACGGTCAGGGAATGAGGAATATAGAGCGGGACAATAATAAGGGCGACCCGAGGGTAAGAGGTGGACAGAGTGAGCAAGATGCAGTCCTTGTCGACGCAAGCTCGCTCCTCGTGCTGCAGGCGGACGTCGCCGTGTGGATTCCTGGTGGACTTGACTCGGGAACGGCCTTGCAGGGCTTGTCCTAGTACGCGAGCTGGCTCTGGGAACTTAATCCATCAATAGACCATGTCAGCTGCTGAAAGTAAAATTTTTTTTATCTCTCTTGCTCTCCAAAAATTTTCCTTCTTACAGGGTAGTAGTGGAGACGAGAGGCAACTGTCCATGGCGGGGCTGAGGACGAAAATCAGGGCTCGGTTCAGGGAGGGTTTGGAAGCTAGTGGCGGAGGATGTTGACATCGCGAAGAATTTGATGCCACCGATGCCGTTTGGCAGAATCCAATCTCGAAGGAGCCAGCAACTGCAGCTAGGTCTGGACTGGCCCACAGAGAGAATTCTGAAAGTGCGTTAACGGAAAAAGCCTTGCTGCTGTAAACCCAACGAATAATAGTAGAAAGGACCACCTCGGGCATGGTGGAAGTGGTGGGCAGATGGCTGAGGTGGTCTCTTCCCCGCCATCACCGACACAGGCTATTGGATGCTTAATCATGCCTGTCAACAGCCTCACTAGCCCCTCTTCCGTGCCTGGGCGGCTACTCTTCTTTAACTGGCTAGGTTCAATAGGTGATGCTGCAGGGAGTCGCACAGGTCTGCATAATCATTCGTCTGTCTGTCGTGGTCCTCACCTGACGTCCACGGCCAACATCTTCCACCCTCGCCTAGAAGAAAGGACTGGACCAGCCCCAACGTGTCTATACTCTTCTCGTCGTACCCTGATGTATGTTGTGACGTCCTGCAAACACGTCCACCACCTCCAAGCAGGACGTCCTCCGCCTTGGAGTGGCCAAAAGTCATATCGAGTTAGACTTCCCTCCTCTAAACCTCCGCGCGTTCCGTCAATGCTTCAAATCTTCCAGCCAAACCACCAGCCTCTTCTTGATGATAACTCCCACAAGCCACCCGCTCCCCTCTTCCGTGACGCACAAATACCTGAGGCCTAGCTTGCTGAACATCTCCACCACAAACTCCATTGGCGCTTTGGCACAGATCGTCAATGGTGTCCTGTCTATGAATTGCGACAGGTCGAGCTCCCCCCCGTTCCCCATTTGTCCTTGTGCACTAGCAACGGCAGGCAGAAGACGAACAACGCAGCCTGCGGGGAACGTCAGACCAAGAGTCTCTAACCCGAACTCGAGTTCTCCTTGCGCTAGATAGCCCCGTAGAATGGCTTTTTGGACCAAGACAAGACCAGCGTCCATGATACCCCGGCGGCGGAGGAGCTGTAGCTTCTCGGTCAGTAAAACTCGGGGGACAATGCCGCTTTCCGGAACGTCCACCGTGATCTCGTGCATAGTTTGAGGGGGAGGTATCAGCTCCTCAGCAAGATGGGCATCCTGCTGAACTAGCTTCATGCCACTGTCCAAATCAAGAAAGGGATGCCCGAGGACTGTTTGTGCAAGATCGTATACGCCCTCTTGCTCAAGAGCATCTGCCACCCATTTGGCAACCATGATGCCGATCATATTTGGCACGATGAACTCGAGTTCACCCGTCAACTCAAACATGATAACCACCAGCGAAATAGTCATTCGGCTGACTCCGGCCAGAAAAGACCCGGCACCAACCATGGCGAAGATGCCGGGAGAGATAGACTTCGCTAAGAAAGGCACTTGACCGACGAGCCTGCCGAAGAAGGCACCGCCATCGAGAGCGGGAATAATGATTCCTGACGGCACCTTGATACCAAATGTTATGATGGTCAGGACCAGCTTGACGAGTGTTCCGTAGGCGAGCCAGCCCAAGTACTTTGGCGACGGTGAATCGTACCCTTCCTGTACACAGACGTAAGCTGTTCGTGAGCTTTCGTTGCAATCGACCAGAAGATTCTTGATGACAACATCGCCAGGGTCTCGGGCCAGCGGGTTGGGATATTGTAAAAGGGCTGTGACGAGAACAACCAAGACGACCTCGAGGACCGGATAGTTCTTGATGACGGTGTATTTCCGAAAACTGCGAGACCACAAGAAATTGGCCTTACAAAAGACGCCTCCAAAGACGCCTCCTGCAGCACCCAAGACCACGAATATAATGTAATGATAGGGTCGATACGTAGTGCCATAGTTGGTCTCAAAGAGTACAAGCTTGCCGGTGCCCGTTGGATTGAGGGCTTTGAGTGTCATTGCCGCGAAGAGAGAACAGATAAATGCGCGCCAAAGCACTTTCCGCGGGAAGTATGTCGAGATTTCTTCGTACGCGAACAGCACACCGCCAATGGGGGCGCCGAATGCGACCGAGAGGCCACTCGAGCAACCAGCAGCCAAAAGCTCTCGGAGCTTACGGCCATTCTCTTTGTACTTGTAGAACCGGACTCCCACCAAGTACGCCACACAGGTTGAAATGTGGACGAAAGGCCCCTCCTTGCCCAAACACATGCCTGTCGACACAGCGAAGACTGACCCAACCGCCTTCACGACGAGAACGTTGAGGTCCAGGAAATGAGGAATGACAAAGCCGGATAGAATGGTCTTGATCTCGGGTATACCGCTCCCGGCGGCCATGAAGATTGACTTGCCAGCGAACGTTGGCTTCAGGATCTCGCTGTTCGCTTGATCAGCGTTTTTTTGCATTGGTCCACTGTCTCCGGCGCCTGGAGCGGTTGCCGGAAGTGCTCTTCTCGTGGTCAATGTGACTGTCCCACTGATGATTCCGAAAAGCAGTGCGAAACCCACGTAGATTCCAAATCCATACCAGTAATCGCCCGTCCAGTCCCTCCAATAAGAGCAGGTTTCCCCCGTATCGGCGAGAGGAGTTAATGGCGATTTCGACGTACAGCAGAGCTCTTTACTCGCGAACGGGTTGCTTTGGCAATATCCTATCTTCCAGTCGCTAATGGTGGCAACAGCGATATCCACCAAGAAAGCCACACATGCCGTCAGAGTGCCAATGACTGCCGCTGCAATCCAGCCTTCGCACGAGTCGAACAGCGCCCAGAGTCTATTGCGTACGCCTTTCTCGCCGTGCACGGAGCGGTATCTGTACGAGTCTTTGACCTAGGAAAGGTCACTTTGAGTCGGTCAATTGCCGTTGAAATTCTCTTACCAAGTCATGAAGCCAGTCAATCGTGGTGTAGTCATTGTAGGGAAGCCGTTCACCGACAGCGGTATCGCCCAACGCCTGCTCTTCTTTGCTGATATGAGAGGAGACAACTGAAGCAGCGTCTGCTTCTGCGGCCAGGGAGCTGAGCCTTCTGTCACGAACGAGGAGATGGGTTCTCTCGTCCGCCTGCTCCTCATCCGTAGCCATGTTTGCCGACAGAGCAGCATCGAAGCTGCAGAGAGCCCCGACACACCAGAGCGGACATGTCGACCAATGTCACAGATTTCACAGGCTCTATCGAGAGCTATGACGCCGCGGCTTGTAGATATCCCGCTGAGATCTGCATCTCCGGGGGCCCGTTAGATTTCCAGGGCGACCACTTGGAAGTTTAGATTCTGGAAGTAACTGATAAGGTCAGTGCTGGCAGTGAGCCCCCAGAAAAAGGGTTTCTGTGCCGAGTAGATAAGGCTACGTTGAGATAAGGGATGTCGAGACGCCACCCTGGGCCCAGACCGCCCACGACACGTGAATCTGTCCGGCATTACCTGAGAGTTGGAGAGGTTAATGACGCAACAAGGCTCAACCCAAGTTGGCATGGGAGGTTCGAGTGCTCTGCCTACGGTATATACCTTTGCTGGCATTGCATGGGGACAATCCCGTCCAAAAGTGACACTACCGAGACTCGAATTGCCATGACAAACTGCAGTAGTAAGTAGTTCTCGGGGTAATTTTCTCGCTTACCCTCTGGCGGAATCGATCATCAGAGAGAGAGAGAGGGAGAGAATATAGAGACCAGAGTAACCTGTCATCAACCCGCGCAGACCTCCCCAATGCATGCAGATGCACAGTTGAAGCAGGGCTAAGCTGCATTTCAAAGGAACTAAGCAGAAGCATTGAACCTGGCTCCGCTCGTGAGGGGTTTCTGATAAAACAAAAACATCTTCCCGAGGATAATGACCTACTACTACTGTGAGAACACTCCTTAGGGAATGACTCGTTACTCGACTGTCCGGTTTTAGCTTACGGCAAATTCCATGATTAGGCTAGAGGTGGTGGAGGACGGAGGAATTCCTAGTGTTCTGCTCTCTTGTCTGTGATGGTCCAGAACCTCGCACCGACAAGCGGTGCGGGCGTTACGGGTACCATTCTCGTACAGCCTCAACGGGCCGCAGCTGGCAATTTTTTCCGTCCATGTAGTTGAAAGTAGGTGCTTGGTAGCGCGGCATTAAGGCACTCTAGCTCTCCAGCTTAGGGGCCTAATGCTGCAAAGAGCAGTGGAAGGCTTCTACAAGGAAGTGTTGCTCGCATGCGCATAGTTGCCATGTTCCGTTTAGCCGAAACTCAATTCTATCCATCGGCGATGACCACCTGGCTGCACTCTTACTCATGATACAGCTGCGTAGTGAATAGAGTGTGTTTCATTTCGAAAACAGATGTACGGCCGTGACAGAAATGCTGGGGGCTGGCTGAAAAGCCTCCCTAGGCCCATGGCACATCCAACGCCCCCGCTCAAGCCGGATAGAAATACGAACAGAATGGCCTGTCCCATCTTGACCCTTGACGCTCTTCACGCTTGTAAACATATAAACAGCACAAGTGCAAAACCAATAACAAATGCAGCACTCAAGCCGCCGATCAGACCCCAAACAAAACTACGGCGCAGTTGCCCCTCGTGCACAATCAACAGCGAGTCCGAGTCGGATGACTCGACGGATGCCGTTTCTTCATCATACAATAACGGCGTTCTCTCGCTCGCAGACTTGCTCCCTCCACTCAGGGACTTCAGTGGCAACCAGGACTTCACGCTACCCCACGCTTTGGACAGCGCTGGGAAAACGGGCTCGTTCGGATCCACGTAGATCGCATACGACTCTTGAGGATTGACATCAGAGTCGCCATCGTCAAACTCGTTCCAGTATCTCATTTGGGAAGGAACTGGCTCAGGGACCACGATACGTGCTCGCTTCGGTGCTTTTTTGGCCGACGACGGTTTAAATTCGGCAGGAGAAGTGAGGGCTTCGGGTGGTCGAGCTTCGTTGGACGTGATGGAGGATTGTCCATGGGTAGTTGTAGAGAAGAGACTGTCTGCACGGCCTTCACTCGAGGATGGGCCCGAGGACGTACCACTCATATCGGTTGCATTAACCCGGAGTCGATTGGTGGTTCTGAGCCGGAAGAAGTGGCTGGTCTCACCCACGGTGGGAAGAGGCAACTTCGTGATGTCCTTTTCCAGTAGTGATTGCCAAGGTGAGGGGGGGAGGTCCTTCTGAACTGTGCGAATGGCCATGTCCTCTAGAGTAAAATCATGAACTCGGTACGCCAAATGCGAGTCATCCAGTGCGCGTACGACGGCTGGCGTCCGTGCGAATTCCCAACGGATGTGCAATGTGGCATGCGGGAAAGTGTTACTGGTTGGGAGCAATGGTTGTAATTCCCCGAGTTGTTGCATGTCCACGGCACCAAAAGTGATCGAAGTGTCGAGAGTCGCCCAATTCGCAACTTCGGAGGTGTTGGTCATACCAGAGTAACGCGTACGGTGTGTTTGTACTTCAGCCAAGGGTTTGACATCCCGGTGCTCGAGGAGATACCGCTGAATTGTGGTGGCTTCTCTCGAACCACTTGTGAGGTGCGAATCCCTCTCTAAAGCCGTGCCGAGGTCTTCGCGGTCGAGGAGCACAGTCCTCTCACCAGACGAAGTCGGCGAGAGCCCAGCGAGAGTGACCGCAGCGTCTTTATCATGGGTCCAGTACGCGCTCAGGGCAATTTTCGAGGGTCTAACAGAGCTTTGGTCTTGCACAAACCTCTGCGCGTTGTCAAAGAACACCATGTACGTGAGATTGCTATTGGAGGTACTGAAAGATGTGTTTCTCCGTGATACTAGTGATGCATCTGAGCTCGTCCGTGAGGGGGTAGGAGCGAGGGAGTCACCCTTCTTCATGTGTCTCTGGACCAGGGCACGGGCCTCATCGAGGTTGTCTGGGTGAATCCAATAGAAGGCACTGCCGGCGGCCTCGCCATACGGAACCGTCATGACGGCGGCATCAAAGGCTGAGGGGGCCTGGTTCAGAGCACTGTTGATTTTAGCTATGGGGGAGCGTAGGCTCGACGCAGAAGTTCTATTCTGCGGTTGGACGGCTGATTGTTCTTGGTGATGCTTTGAAAATATTGGACTGGCCATTTTCTCGGTCAGTATGGCGGTCTGTTCAGCCAACTCTTGAAGATAGTCCGAGTAATCCGTTTGCAGCTGGTTCGAAGAGAAGACCTCGACGTCCATGCGAGTCTGCAAGGTGGTCGAGCCCGTCCACTTCGTATATTTCTTCAGGATTTTCCGGAAAGCAATCTTCTGGGCAGATGCGAAGCGGGCAACTTTTTGAATCAGGTCCCCGAGCTCTTCGCATTCCTGGGTGAGTCGTCGATACTTACGACCCCGGATCCCGGTGGCAGCATTGCCCTCCAAAGCCCTCTCGTCGGCAAATGTCCGGAGGATTGCGATCTGCTTTTTGAGAGAGCTCAGTCGTCGTTCGATTTCTCCCCGCTTCATCCGCAGGAACAGAGTAACATTGTCATACTGGTCTCGCAAATGGTTCAGCAAGACCTTGTCTGTTTCCTCCCATCGACTCCGGCCCTGCACAGGTATTTCCACGGGGCCGGTCAGATTGGCGGATGTCCGTTGTTTGATGAGCTGCTTCATCCCATTGTAGTTGAAGTTGTACGGAGCCCATTCGGGGACCGACCTCTGATAGAAGTTCTCCCCGAACTTCATGGCGGCGGCTGGTGCTCAAGCTGGGGAAAGATCTGTCCTGCGACGATCCTTGACGATGTGGTGCGTGTGGCTCTGCTGAGCAACCCCGAGGTGGCAGTTGGAGAACATATATTCGTTGCCTTCCAGATGACCAGGGCTATGGATTCATGACAGGATGGAGGTGAGATGGAGATGGATTGGGGCGGGGTTACCAATGGGAATTAAATTGGAAAGGAAAATTGATTAGCACGAGCAGAAACGAGAAAGGCAAATTATTATTTACTGTATTACTGGAGCACCTAGTCATCGTATTACGGCTTAGTCGCCAATACTGATAACCTGGCTAGCTGGGCGACGCTGGCTGACTTGGGGACCTGGCCTCCCGCCAACTCCACCCGCATAACTGTGCAGGCACCCGTGGATCTCTGGGCTCCGCCCTTGTGCATGCCCTTCACAAAAGAAAACAACCAGCCCAGATTCTGGAGACATTGCAAAACCAGGACTGAGATAGAGTTTCGTCCAATGCTAGAAATGCCGTGGGTAGACTTTTGTCCTGGCCAAGTTTGCCGCGACAGAAAAAACCATAACAGCACCTATTCCAGTACATTGGAATGTTTCAACTACTGGCACGTCCCGGCGTCATCAATGTCCTCCATTTGTATCTGCACGGCAAGGCACCGTATCAGTCCAACGTTCGGCGATCGATTTTACATGAACATCGAGAAATAATCCATGCCGTCCGGCACCATACGAAGAGCTACCTATACCAGGTAAAGAAACCTTCCGTGACCAGTCATGACACCCAGCAGCAACTGCAGCCGGGGTTCCATTCGGACTCTGATGCTTGCATCTGTGCCCTGCCTTCGATTGGCTTTGTCATGGGGGTTTTCTCTTTCTCTCTTTCCTTCTTGAACTGCAGCAACTGCACTAAGCAAGTATCTCCCTGGTAAGCGGGCAAATTGGTATTGGAGAAAAAAAAAATCTTGAGGCGACATCGATGGGACCCAGCGGCGCTATGATGCAGCACCATGTGAAAGTATCGAGATCCCCTCTCCTCTTCTCCCCTCTCCGCACAGACTTCCCTTACCATCATGCTGCTCAATATCTCTCCTGGAGAGAGTGTCAGGATGGTTCCCTATCAATGGCCGAGTGCCGAGAGCGACTAAAGAGTTCCTGCGCATGTCCCAAGGACCAAGTGGCTGGGATGATGATAACTGAAACTTAATCCACTGTCTTTCATTTCTTCAGCAGCTCTGACGGAGTAGTCCGTACTAAAGCCCCAACAGGTAAAACTCCTGTTGCGAAGCCGCTAAAAATGAGTTGCAGAAGACAGCCCATGGGGGGCGTTGCCCCCAAAGTATGATAGGTCCCGCCGGATGCCCGGGGTGGAGGCATACAACAAATCAATAGTTAAAACTTTTGCCCTGTAAGGATTGTTCGGCGCCTCCCCCTCGCACCCTGCTGCACAGAATTTTCCCAGGCTGTCGACCAGACTCTCCACCCGTTGCACACTTCCCATACCAAGAGGTTTCTGTATCACCACCATCTGCACCTAAACCTTAAAAACGGATCGGGTCCTTTGCCTTTGGCGGCAAGAGCCGCCAACAACGGGAAAAAAAAAATTCTTTGGTTCATGACTTGATGGCAAACCACAGTATCCAGAAACGGTATCCCAAAGAGAGCGGAGTGCCATCGACCATTCTTGCAGCCTTACGCACACGTAGTGGCTAACAGTGCTGCATGCCACGTTTGTTTTCGCTGCGATAGACAGACGCAATGGCCGACCCTGGGGCGCTTGTCACCACGCTTTCGACGTCGACCCATGCCTTCCTACAGCCTTCGTCCTCTCTCCACTCTGAGGTCTTGGCCTATGTGAAATCGATTCTCGACCCTTTGGCTGCCAATGTGGCTACTGCGCAAAAGTTGCAGCGAGAGAGGAACAGGAAGAAGAGAAAGCGGAGTGATGTAGACCGGGAAGAGGAGGTCTTGCAACTCCGTCAAGTTTACACAGATGGCCTCGCGGTGAAGCAGGTGTGGGAGCAGACGAAAAGGATCTTGGATGCTTCCTGTAAAGAGACAGAGAGAGATATTGCTGTTCACAAAACTAGAGTGCAGGCAGAGTCGCAGGAGCAGATTGCCAGCAAAGGCCTTGGGACGGATGGATTCGAGGCAGAAGATGGGTCAGAAGATGAAGACGAAGATGAATTGTCTGACTACGAGGACATGCAGGGGGACGTGCTAGAGGACGAGTATAGTGATGAAGAGGACGGTGCAGAAGAGTTTGATGATCTCGAAGACATCGAGGATATCGAGACAGAAGATTCTACGTCGGAAGCCGGTCAGCAGGACCCTGGAACATATGTGCAAGATCCAAATGGCCTCAACGATGGCTTTTTTTCCATCGACGACTTCAACAAGCAGACCCAGTTTCTCGAACAGCAGGATGTACGCGGTGAAGACGACAATCCGAGCGACGAGGATGAGATCGATTGGGATGCAGATCCTCTAACCATGCCTTTCCATAAACCGAAAGCGACTTCTGCCAGCCAGGCTGAGCAAAGGAAAGAACTCTCGGACGTCGAAGAATCAGACGAAGAAGACGGCCCAACATTTGGGAACGCCGACCTCAATGCCGAAGATAGCGATGACGATATGATGAGCCAGGACGAGGAGGCTCTCAACGATGGGATCGACGGCCTGCAAAATACCAATGAGATTCGCTACGCCGACTTTTTCGCGCCGCCGCCCAAGAAACTATCAAAGACAACCCGGATGCGAGCACTACCGAAGACTCAACCGATCAAACAACCCCGAGCACCGGATGAAGACTTTGAGAGCGACATGCAACGAGCAATTTCAGATGTTCGACGTGATTTACTTGGGTCGGATGAAGAAGGCTCTGATTTGGAATCTGGAAGTGATATGGAGGGCACACGCAGGTCAAGCCAGAACATGTCCACCCATGAAAAGCAGCGAGCCGTCATCGCAGCTGAAATCCGCCGCCTTGAGGCAGCCAACGTGGCCAAACGAGACTGGACTCTCTCGGGGGAGGCCCGCGCTGCAGACCGCCCTCTCAACTCTTTGATCGAAGAAGACTTGGAGTTCGAGCGAGTTGGTAAGCCTGTGCCTGTGGTGACCGCCGAGGTCTCGGAAGACATCGAACAGCTGATCAAACGACGCATCTTGGCCCGAGAATTTGATGAAGTTATTCGCCGTCACCCCGACAGTTTAGGCGCTGCGAATGAAACGCGCAGAGGACGGGTCGAAGTCGATGACACGAAGCCTCAGTCTGGCCTCGCCGAAATTTATGAGCAAGACCATCTTCGTGCTACAGATCCAGGCTATGTCGATAAAAGATCCGCGGCGACCAAGAAACAGCACGAAGAGATCTCAAGGCTGTGGAAAGAGGTGTCAAGTCAACTGGATCTACTGAGCAATCTACATTTCAAGCCCAAACGCGTGGAAGTAGAGATCAAAATAGTTGAAGACAAACCCACTATCAGCATGGAGGATGCCAGGCCCGTCGGAATGGGGGTCAATGCGGAGGAGAGCATGCTTGCACCTCAAGAGGTGTATCGACCGGGTGAAGAGACGGACAAGAAGGGCAACCTGGTCGTTCGAAAAAGCGGTGCAAGCGTCAGCAAAGAGGAAATGACACGAGAAGAGAAATTGCGCCGGAGAAGAAGGGAGAAGGAGCGGATGAAGAAAGCACACGGAAATGCATCGACTTCAGGGGTCGGTACGAGTGCTAAAGGTAGAGACGGCGATGCCAGGAAGCCCAAAGCTAAATCCAGAGAGCAAGAGAAGGCAGACATCTTGTCTGAGCTGCGTAAAGGCAACGTCAAGGTTGTGGGAAAGAAGGGAGAATTGCAGGACCTGGGCGGGAAGAAAGGGAACAAGGGAGGTGTCCCTGCCGGGGCGTTGGCAGGAGGGGCACTGAAGTTGTAGTATCTTCTTCTGCTATGAATGAAAGAGTCGATGCTCGTAATGCTCGTTGTCAAGCATTGATATACCAAGTAGTCTATCACTCTATCCCAATCCAACACTTACCACCAGTTGATCCCCACGGCAAAAATGGAGTCCGGCTCATGTTCGGCAAACCAATGCCACTTCACACATCACAGGCTATATCAGTCATATTTGCTTTGCATTTTTCGACTTGATTCGCCTTCGGCCAGTCCTTGTAAAACTTTCTTCAAAGATGGGTGTAGAAGAGCAGAAAGAAGAGCGAGAAGTGCTCGAGTCGATTTTCCCGGACGAGATCACAGGTTCGCACTCTCAATTGACAAAGACATATGGGCAGAGAAGTATCTAACACCCACCTTTCACGATAGACCTCTCAGATTCGTCATACCGAATATCCATAACACTAGACCTTCCCAGCGATGGACATGACGAAGCGTCCGACCCGCCTGTCCTCCTACTCAACGTCACCTATCCCGAAGCCTATCCAGATGTCGGCCCTCATTTAGACATTACAGTACCTCCCAATGCGCCCAAACATCCCCAACTCGACATCGCCGAGGACAAGGCGCGGCTCCTTGACGCTCTACAGCCCACGATAGAGGACTCGCTCGGCATGGCCATGGTGTTTACGCTGGTCACCACTCTCAAAGAAGCCGCCGAAGTACTGATTTCTGACCGGATACGGCAAGCCGAAGAAGTCAAGGAGATCGCAGCCCGGCAGAAGGAAGAGGCGGAGAACCGCAAGTTCCACGGCACCTTGGTCAACAGGGAGCGGTTCCTGGAATGGCGGGAGAAGTTTCGCAAGGAGATGGAGGAGAAGGAGCGCAGGGCGCGGGAGGAAGAGGAGGCCGAGGACCGGAAGAAGAGGGGCGGCAAGGTCGAAGAGAAGAGATTGACAGGGAGGCAGTTATGGGAGAGGGGTCTGGCTGGTAAGGGTGACGAGGAGGATATTGACGGGGAGGATGCTGTCGCCGCCGTGGAGAAGCTCAAGGTGGACGGCTAAGCGATCCCTTGAATCGGATGCGGAAGGGGATCGGTGGTTTGTGACCTTGCGACAGTGAACGACTCTATGACGATTCCAAGGACACAAAAGCTGGGGAATGCTAGCTTCCATTTCTGCCTGCACCAAAAGACTGGAAATATCTTCTACGAAACGGGTTCAGCTCATCGGCCGTGTGACCAGCGCTGGCTGCCAAAGTTCCTTCTCGACTACCCGACCCGTCAATGTGCACCGCTGAGTCGAGAGTCCCTGGCATTCTCTCATACACCAGCAATCTTCGACTCCACTTGTTGAACTTCTGGATACATTCGTGTTTGAGCTCGAGGTGCCGATGTGTCGGTATGGCGGTGGCTTCTTCCTCGCCATATTCGTTCTCGTTCGCGCTCGGCATCCAGAACGCAACCCGGCCGCCGTCGACAAGTGTTCTGGCGGCGAAGTCAAGGATATCGTCAAGCATGCGCGCGAAGGAATATGGCTTCTTTGGTGGGATGTATCCAGGCAGCGTATGCGCCGGGACGCCGTTGACCAAAATTTCCGTCAGCCTGTTGGAAGTCTCAGAGTGACCAGATACGTCGCCGTTGATAGCCGCTGCCTCGATCCGACTTTGCCTCAACTTCGTTCCAAGCACTTTTAACCCTTCACGCACGCCATAGGGAGGATCGCAAACAATTCCGTCCAGCCACCGACCACCGCTAGACTTGAGCGTGGTCGCAGCACAGCGAAACGGTGTATTCGTCAAGTCAGAAGTCAAACAGTCTCCGAACAAGTGCGTCAACCCATACTTTTGAAAATTCGCTCCAACCCCTTGGCCCAGACCGACACCTTTCCCGCGAAAACTGCGACCATCGATATCTGATCCCAGGACGATAGCTCCTAGCTCCGCAGCAGCAACCATGAAGCCTCCCGTACCCACAAAGGGGTCCAGAAAAAGCTTGCCGGGGCTTGCCAGGGCCATATTCGCGGTCAGCAGTGCCAACTCGGCGTCCATCGAGGTTGTTGATATGTATGGCCTCTTTTTGAGATCGTGCTTCTCCCTTAGCCAGCGACACGAATCGCCAACCTTGCGGGCGAGGAACACTCTTCTCAGACCCGTACCTGCTATGTTGTCGACTGCTGCGTCAGGCTGTGTTGCGTTTTCGGGGGCTTCGCTCGGCGACCGCAAAGGAAGCCACTCTTCCAGGACGGCGAACTCCACATCCGGGCGCTTCATCTTGATCTTGCCCTTGAGGTCAAGGTATCGAAATGAGTTGATGATTTGTCTCTGTTGGTCAATGTCCCTCGTGCTGCAGTAGGAATCCACCGAGAACTTGAACGATACATGGCGGTAACGGTCCCATAGGTGGTGACTCTTTCGTTTCACATCCGCGTGAAGTTCATCATAATCCCGCCCCTGTCCCCATATCTCGTAGATGCACTTTGAGAGGATGGAGCGGCTTTCAAAGTTCTTAATCCTCGCCTCGAGACTCTCGAAGGCGCCGTCATCTACCGCTGATGCATTTTGTTCTTCCCCATGTTGTGTGTCGGGGGTGGGAAACTTCACCACACAAAACGGTGAACTCTCGGCGTACGAGACGATCTCACAAGGCAGTCCAGCAAGCGTCGAAAGGGCCTCGATCTCCGGCCGCCGGAACGTCTCGTGCACCTGGGCAAAGCGAATGAGATAATCCATGATGAGATCCAGTCATGGGAGACTGTCGCGGTGAACAGACAGGCGGCCGGACGGATAAATTCTGCCTTGGCCCCGCTCCTGGCAGAACAGACGCTGTGGCTGACCTGTGAAGGAGCCTTAGTCGGCAAGGCAGTGTAGGCAGAGAGCGATTTCCATTTGTTTCTTGGAGTTGAAAACCCAACGAGGCGGATTTTGGCCAGAAACTCCATCAAACTGTGGATTTCGAGTCACCTCCTGTGGTTGGTGGTCTGGCTGGAAAAGACCTTTTGTCATTCTCAAGTCATTTGAAAGTAGAGCGTGGTGGAGCTGCCTTGGGCTATTCATTTCATCACCAAGTATTCTGTCAGACAAACACCCGACTCAACCTCGGGCGACAAATCTCCAGATATCCCTTCTTAGCATATATATATATCAGCCTTGAGCATTCCCTACAGAGTTGGATGTTCCCTGCCTTTTTCCACACTGACAATCTCTCATCAGATCCTCTTATCATTGCATTCTGTTGGCGCGTGTGTGCATGTATAGACTATACTCCGCTGTTTTAGATTCTCTTGTCTCCTTCCCGCGTCGGTATATATCTCATCTATCCCTCTCCGGTATCCTATCCACAATGTCCGACCTCCCCCGCCTCATCCACGAGTCGAGATCCCACTCTTCGTCTTCGGAGCGAGACTTCTCATCGTCCTGTCCGTTCTGCGCCATCGGGAGCACCTACGCCACGACATCCCCCTTGTCCTCGTCGGAAACCATGGCCAAGGCCCTCGACCCGGAACAGCTCGACCCGCCGTCCTTCGTGCTCTACTCGAGCGAGCACGTCATTGCCTTTTTGGACATCATGCCCTTGACGAAGGGACATGTGTTGGTAGCCCCGCGGAAACACCGTGTCAAAGTCGGTGATTTGAGTCCCAGCGAGGGCGCCGAGGTATGTTTTTGTATCACCGTCGAGTCGTCCCCTGATAAATAAATCATGTGTACCATCTGGGACTATGGGGCATCTAATGTCGCTGCTCGGGATCTATCCCCCATCAATGGGACAGTCCTGTGGTTCAAACCTCTTTACGGGGTTTCCAGAAAAGGGCTAAGGTCACATTTATATATACAGATTGGGAGAGTCCTGCCTTTACTCGCGCGATCTGTCATCAAGGCTGTTCTCCCAGACATCCCGCACGAGCAGGCCGACTATAACGTCGTGCAGAACAACGGTGAGTCATTGCCGAAATGCCCTATTTAAATGCCCGCGATCCCCTTCACCCCCAATTCCCAAACTGAGCAATTTCATCTGCCTCATCTAGGCCCCGGCGCCGCTCAAGTGGTGCCCCACGTGCATTTCCACATTGTCCCCCGGCCCCCTTTGAACTACACCTACCCCCAAGCTCGCACCCCAACATCGTCATCCTCAAACAAATATCCGCCCAACCGTCAGCCTTCAGGCCGTCAAGCTTCGGCCATCTTGTTTGGGCGGGGGATGCGTGAGGACCTCGACTACGACGACGCCGCGGTGTTGGTGGAGGACATGAGGGCGGCGATTAAGGAGGAGTGGACGAAGACCTTTGGGAGGGAAGAAGGACGGGCGAATGCAGAGACAGTGAACGGGACGCGGAGTGCGGGCGGCGTCCCGGGCGGTGCTGGAGCAATGGAGAACGCAGGCGGAAACGGCAGACGTCTGCCTTGGAAGGTCTAAGAGGATCTTCTCTCGCCATCTTTCTGTGTCATTTTCCAAAGTGGCCTCTGCTCCTCCCCTTGATCTCCAGCCTTGGATACCATTTGAGGAGCGAGACACGCAACTAACTCAACTGGACCACTCCCAGCGGATTGATATCCTCGCTCAGCAACCGCACCGTATATATTGAGCCGAGATGACTGCTTCGGATACGGCGAAGGTCGGGACATGCTAGTGGAGGGAGCCCCTGTCTCTGGATGGGATCTATAGCGAGGCCATGAAATACAACTAACAGACAGCCCCCAGCATCCCGAACAGACGGACGGACTCTGGTGAACCTCAAGTCTCCAGCCGTCGGCAATTTTGACCGCAGCTAGCTGTCTGCCTGCCTGTTCCATTCATGTTTGCGATCCATATACATCATTTCATAAACTAACCGACCAATGTCCTCAATATCCCATTCCTCGGATCTCTCTCGGCACATTTCTCTCAGCAGGGTAGACTTGTCCTCGGCCACTCCTACTCCCACGGCGTCGAGTCGTGGTACACAATAAAGACCATACCATACCATATATCAGCCAGCTTATTCCTTGCCTCCGCCAGCGAGTCCAGATCATGGCGCGACACAGAATTCTCTAAAGTAACGTAATCTCAAACCTCTTCTCCCACTGTTGCTTCCCGCGAGGCTCAGAGAGAGAGAGAGAGAGAGAGAGAGAGAGAGAGAGAGAGAGAGAGAGAGAGAGAGAGAGAGTTTTGCAAACGGAGTCTGGTCCAAGACTCGCATCGCCTGCCGTCCACCGGCCTCGTCTGGCGATCGGGATGTCGTTCGGCTTTGCAAACAAACACCCTGCCATGACGCACGATCAGCGGTACCAACGGGTCCTTATTGTCATATCAGTACCACGGCGCTCTACGTGCTAACAATGTCCACCTCCTCGTCTCGACATCACAAGCTCGCGACTCAGACATACAGAGCGCCCCTTGAGACTCCAAGCTGCACAGCATACCCTTCTCGAATCTTTGGCCGGGTCTGGGTGTTGTCGTAGGTAGATAGACAGAAGTGGCAACGACACCGTAAATCTATATCACCAAACACGCAATCAATACCATCATCATACATCTATCTTGTATTAGAACCGTTCTTTGAACCGGCTTCGACAGACCTCCGGCAACGAATACCGGGGTCCAAGTATTCAACCATTATGAAAGGAAAAGCAAGCAACAAAGGAGAAAAATCTCTAGTACAGCAACATCTGCCAGGGACTCGACGATCGACGGGGAAAGGTTTGTCAATGCAAATACGGTTGCAATTGCGATAGCCATGTCGGTCCGACCCATCTAGGACCGCGAACCATAGACCATGAGATACAGGCATGGGCAAAGAACACGCCGCACGCAGCCGCTCGATAAATCCAAAGAGCACAACCCATTTTCACCTCGTTTCGTATCCAGCCTGCCCCTTCTCAGTCTCGACTTCCCCAATCTTGGCTGATGCACGGGGGAATTCAAGTCAAACAACTCAACGCACGCAAGAGACAAATTTCAACTTTGTAGAGGTCCGTTTTCAGTAAGCAATAAACGCCATGTTCGCCTGTCTCGCCAGTCAATCAAGCCCCCGTCCGTAATGTGTTGAGCCTATCCACATGTCGAACGCCCTTGCAGTGTGTCACAACAAAAGTTGGAAAGATGCACCAACGGAGATTACTTCCCCAAGTCCTTGGTCGAGAAAATAGATCTCAGTGCCCAAAGCCAGGTAACGCCGGTGAGTGTTCGCTGTGATTGTTTCGAGGTTGCTGTGTGCTCAGAGGTGTATGGGCTGTATCGATAGAATGGTAATGATGCTGAATGCTAATCTATGTGCCGATATCGTTTTCAATCGTCGTGGTGATGGGAGACATGAAAGCATGACCCTTTCAAAGAGGGCTGCCGAAGATTCGTCGTGTACGATTGCCCAAGCCTGAAGACGACGCAGGCGTCTTCAGGCAAGCAGGTCCGTTGATGGCAAGTTGACAAGCTATTGTGCAACCTTGGCATCGTGGTGTGACAAGCCACCAGTTCGGCGGCTGGCACCGTAGTCCTTAGCCCATTTCCTGGCCAAAATTGATGCTTGTGTCATGTTAACCCTGAGTCGACGGCAACTCGCACTGGGAACGTGGACTTACCCTTGAGGAACTTCTTGGACGCGTATTTCTTGAACAACGCTTCATGTGCGACAGGAGCTTCCAGGTAGCTGATCATGAGGTCGAAGACCGGCAGAATCTCCTCCTCGTTGTAGCCAGCGAATTTGGTCAATGTTGCGTCCTGTCAATAGTCAGAAAGAAGTTCAGAGTCAGTGGCGTTGGATCACGTACCCATCCACCACGCTCAAGTATCATGCGAGCAAGGTACATGGCGGCGGCGGCAATATGGCTCTGCTTGTACTCCAAGAACCGGTGGTCGACCAGACTGATTTCCATCAGATACTTTCCCAGTGTGCGGGTCTGAATGTCATAGTTGTCGGCCTTGGAGATTCTTCTCAGGAAGTTCATGGGGTTGGGATAGCTAAGATCGTATTTGAGTGTTGACAAGGTGTATCTCTCAGCACTCAGGACCTCTTCGATTGTGAAGCCGTCGTCGGCGACGTGGACAAAGTTGCCAACGTGAGGTGAGAGGACTTCTTCATATTTGGAGGCAATGAACATAGCAGTGATGCCCACGAGCTGGAGCTTGTCGAGAGGGACGACCTTCTGTGAGAGAAAGCGGTCGACGATGTTGACGGCCAGGAACAAGGTTTCAGGCAGGAGCCTAAAGCGAGTGTGCACCTCGATCAACCAGTCGACGAGGATCCCTCTCATCTTCCACTCGAGATCGTCTTGGTGATCCATGTAGTTCGGGTTAGGCTGCGTGGTGTTTTCGAGGGCGAAGTAATACTCGAAGATCTCGCGGACGTATTCGGCGCACATGGACGGGTCGTCTAGGTCTTCGGCATCAAGGTCGGCAACAATGTCAGAGATATCCTCGGTCTGAGCTTGGGCTTCTTCGACGGCTTCCTCCGTGCAGGACTTCTTGCGAGGGGGTTCTTCAACGTCAGGAGTGACATCTTTCGACGAATGTGCGGTCGAAATGGAAGCTTGTGTCCGTCTCTTGCCAGTGTTCCCGAGGACACCAGAGCCGCTTCCCGGTTTCTTGATGTCCGTCGAAGAGGTCTTGGATTTGACATTATTGTCTTTGACACCGAGGGCAGCCCTGCTGGAGTTGGTTCGGGAGAGCTTCTGGACACCACCAGCGGCCGGCTGAGCGACCTTTGACTGCAATCCAACTTTGCCTGCCGTTGCCTTCTTCCCGTCCAAAACAGTTTCGACACCTTTTGCGGCATTGGTCACGTCTCCTAGCGCACGACGTCTCGTAGCCCCGTTCAGTGTTCCCCCTGCGGACTTCTTGGTTTGCAGAGGCTTCTTCGCGGCCAGGGTAGTGTCTTCGGTGTTGGCCAGACCGGCGGCCTTTGCGCGAGTCAGACGGGTAGTCTGTGCCACTGAGTTCTCATCGTTTTCGTTATTGGCTAGTCGTTGCCGAGTACGAGCCTGCAGGATGGTTAGCGGAGAGTGAACGAGACGCGTGAAGGACAATATATCGTGGAGCAGGTAGACTCACGACAGGCATCTTGTTTGTTTGAAGCCGTGATGGCGAGGACACAGACAACAATCGAGGTCACGAGTGAGGTAGAGGGACCTGAAGTAATCGAGGCACCACTCAGAGAGGTGAGTTCTAGGCTGGGATTAGCAACGATGCATGCGAAAGAATCCAATGTGATTGGGGAATGACGCACGAGCTTTTCCCGACGTGTCTGGACAAGTTGCAATCTCGACGAACGAAGGCTGTGCAGTCTGATCGAAGACGTCCTTGAGAACTCGCTGAGATACCGCGTTCTCGATTGTGGTTTTGATCTCAGTATGGTCTGCTGGTGTTTATGAGGCGGTTGGAGCGCGTTGTTGTCTGAGCAGGCCAATCCAAAGCGGCACGCGCACGATGTGAGGATCGGGAGAAGCTGAAGGAAGATGAATGTCAGAGACAGTTGAGTGACAAACAAGATACAGCTCGGAAGACAAAAGACGATTTCTCGAAGGACAACATGAGAGGTAGAAGAGGTGGAGGCGTGTCGAGGTGGTGGTAGTGGTACAGGCACAAGTACAAGTACAAGCAGTGTGTAGTAACAAGCTGATGGTTGGAGGTTCAGAGGTCACAGAGGGTGCTCGGAGTAGCGCCGGTGGAGCTCCTGTTGTTTTTGCTTGGCACCAGATGGACGGGCCCGAATGTTGCAGGTAATAATGGTGCTACGGCGCGTGTGCTGTGGGCGTCGCGGTGGCTCGGGTTGGGTGCGGGGTGGAGTGTAGGATGGGCGTTATGTGATCACGGATACGCACCTCTTTTGACCTTGTAGCCCTGGGGCAAAATGTAAAAGAACTGTGATGCAGACGTGAGAATGTCGCGATCTACCGGGTGCAAAAGGAAAAAGTCAACAAATGAAAGCTCAATGGGACGGTGGGAAGACAAAGTATGGCGGAGTGGAAGAGGAGCGAAAAGTCATTTGTTGATGGGGGAACTGACAGCTGTGGCTGGGGCCGTTGCTGCACGTACAGTAAGTAAGTCGCGCCTGGCGTTGTTTTGTCCCGAAGCTCCAAAGGTGCTTTGAACTCGCTGCTTCTGCTGCCCCGGCAACCAGCTGCAGCCGACTAATTAGGCTATCTCCGTACTCGGTAGATAAATAGTAATACAGTCAACAGTCACTAGTCGCTAACATTGTTGCGAAAAAGCCTCGAGGTAGGTATGCTGTTACTCGTCGTATTCGCAGTATGGGTACTTCAATACTCCCTACTTCCCCAGAAGCTTTCATTTGCCGAAGCGACTCGTCTTGAACAGTTGCCGCCGCCGACATCGCCGTGATTCGGACAAGTCCTCGCTCATCCTCTCCAGACTCTGATCCTACTTTCCATGCGGAAAGTTGCGTTGGAACACAGCCTTGACATCCCCATCCAAGATGACTCCTCCTGGCACTTCCTTATCGTGGATCAATCTCCCTTTGGTCTCGCCCGACTCCCACTGTGCCAGCAGATCGTTGCTCTCCTTTGGCTTGATATCTGGCCCAGCTGTTCCCACTGTGATATGGGTGATCGCGTTGGCACTCCGCCACGAAGGTCCCTCGGCACCAGGATAAATACGGACAACAAACGCCATGATCCGGTCATCCCAGACAACTCTCTCCAGCTTGACTCGTGCTTGCCCAAGAGTGGGCGCCAACTCATTCTTATTCGTGAGGTTCTTTCCAGCCATGGCTTTGCGGTATTCCTCCCTATACATCTCCCACAATTTGGGATCTTGGGTGGCCGATGCCCGATGTATCAGCGTCACATGGAATTCGTTCTGAAGGCGCCGCGACTGCTTCAACATGCGGTACATCCGGGCCTCTTCGGCCGGAGCATGTTCGAACATGGAGGCCAGAATGGATTCAATGTTCCTTGTCGGCATTGAGATGCTGAAATATTCGAGCTTGCTTGTCACTTGGTCTAACGTCAGCGCCTTTTCCTCGAGCTGACTTGGTACGGTGGTTTTCTGCTTGTGAGGCTTCTCCCCATTCGTGGGTTTGCCGAATGAGAGGTCATGCTTGGTCGTAACTTCTTCGCCCAATGCATACTCAATCGCGGATTGCATGTCCTCGTCACTCGGCATTTCTTCCGGGAGGAGTCCGGGATAGGCATTGTAAAGATGGGTGATGACGGTCTCCAGATTTTCGAGAGAGGACGCGCAGACATCCAGGTCAATTACTTCGTCAAAGTCCGCATCCGGCGGTGCGCTCCTGTCGCAGCCCTGGAAGCGTTCCAGGAACCCTTCCATGATCCCAATGATCTCCTGCGAACTTTTGCTTCCCGCTCGAATAGTTTGATGGTTATCGCCACGGTCAAGCACACGTTGGCGGGTGACTCTGCGAATATCCTCGAGCATCCGCTCCTTTGGCTCATGGACGTAGTGCAATGCTACAAATCTTGCATTCGGGACCACTTTGCTGACGTCGTCCATAATCTGCTGTCGCTCCCGGCGTTGATGGTTGTTTCGGTCAGCAATCACCACTTTATGGCTCACCATGGCATTGACTACACCGGCGGCGAACCGGGCTGGTCGACCTCTTTGTCCCTGGATATTGTCGTTCTGGATATGACCAAAGTCAAAAAGTTTGACGAGTGCAGTTGCAACAGTAGTCTTGCCACATCCGATCGAGGCGATGGGAACAAGGACAATGTCACTGACAGAAGATGGATGCTCGGCGCCATCTCCGTCAGCGCGTTCTCTGGCAATGATGTCGGACCCCTTCTGGCCGATCTCCGCAAGAAACCCGTCACGCATCTTGATGATTCCGTGGTTTTTGTTGTACTCTTTGGCCAACGACGGGTCCCTGGCTAGTTGCCGCCGTGCGTATTTCAAGTACTCTTCGGTAATCTTCTGGTGCTTCTTGTACTTGGGCGGTTTTCCGGAGATGATGGCTTTCGTACACTCACGCCATTGCCGGTACATCAGGTAAGGCTCTTCAAATTTGTACTTGAAGAACCAGTCAGGCGCCAGTGACAAGTCCCTGCTTCTCCTCTTGCACCTGATCACGAACCCTTCCGTGTCCCGCCCTTCCCAGGAGCCGGTCTCGGCGCATTTCTGGAGAAATTCTTTGACCTCATCAAGAGATTGAATCATCACATACTGTGCCTTTCTGAAGCCCCATGTGTCGGCAAATTCATGAACCTCTGAACCGGACAAAGTGACAAATTCGGGCACGTTGATGTTGATGCCGTGGAGATACAGCCCAGCGGCCTCCGGCGGGTACTCCAGGACGTGTTCTTCGAAGGAATCGTCGCACAGTTCGCCGACCGCGGTGGCATTCATTTCTCTCAGCGCATGTGCTAACTGCCGTGTGGTCTTGCCCACACTTTCGACGTGCCTCTTGATCCATTTCTCCCCAACAGAGGCATGACTCTGGGCGACATCGTCGCGTGTACCTGTAGAGTGCTTACTGCAGACAAGCAATGTGCCGTCTTCGAGCCCGGACATGAAAATGATGCAACCGTTCTCTTTGACACTCAGCTCGTAGGGCCCAGTGGTATCGTTCTCGATGTTGACCCACTTTGTTTCGGGGACTTCATCGACATTGAAGAACTTGTCATATCCACGAATCGCAATTTCTGGCGTCCCGTCTGATCTCCTGGTGGTAAAGAGCCCGCGAGCATAGGTAGGGAGGTCATCTCGTTTGTAGTCCCAGTCGTTGAAACGCCACGAGTCAACGGTGATGCCGTGGGTGCCTTCAACTTGGAACGTTGCTTTTTTGCAGGAAAAGCCCTTTTTACCTTTCGCACGTCCTCTCGATTTTGCAGCTTCGAGGGTTTGGACTAATTGAACAATCCGATGAGAATCCTGCGCCATCTTGGCAGCTGGTTGACCGATCGATCACGAGGTGAGCGTATGGACCGGTTTGGATGACCACAGAACAGAACAAAACTCCAAACGGGCCGACAAACACACGCTGGCTGCAGGAAATAAGGCTGCACAATTGATGGGGCGTACCAAAGATGGACAAGTCGAGGTCGGAGGCAGTTGCCGCAAAAGTTAAGTCATGAGGATGGATCACTTTTATCCCACACCGAGAAGGCACAATCCTCGATGCCTCGATTTGTGACTCCAGATGTGTTCACCTTGGCCCCTGCAGAAATTGAGTCATACAATGGCAGTGAAATCCAGCAGGATGTACCGAGTAGATTTCAGCCGCTGAATGGAAGTGAAATCTTAGTGGGCCGACAGAAGTGCGCAGCTCGATCAGCCTTGCAGCCACAGGCGTTTCCCGCTAGCATCATTCCGCCACTCAGAATCCTGCGGATCCAGTTCCATGACTCAATGGCTACCACTTCACTTGTGTGATTTTGCTCTGCATCGCACTGTGCCCCCAAACAGCCCCTCGAACCACCATCTGGCCTCCCATCAAGGAGCATTGAGTCAACTACCCATGCTCCAAGACCAGGCTTGAATTGTCGACGGCACTTCGTCTCTCTCCCACGTTGACCATGGCGGCCGAGTCCACTCTAAATCCGTTTCTGCTAGCAGCAAGCACGCCAGACCCAGACCACCGACTTCTGCCCCTCCTTCGCTCCAGACCAGAGTTGGCATCTGCACAAGACGCACATGGTTATTCGCTTCTACATGCCGCAGCCTCCTACAATCACGTGGATCTTTTAAGAGCACTGGTCAACGAGTTCAAAGTGGACGTGAACTTGAAAGATGAGGATGGTGAAACATGCTTGTTTGTAGCCGAAACAGTGGAAGTCGCGAAGTGTCTCGTGGAAGAGCTACACGTTGACCTACGAGTCCAAAATGACGAAGGTATGGATGCGCTCGAGAAGTTCGAGTCAGAACAGGAGTTTCCAGAAGTCGCAGAATACCTCCGCACCCTGCCTTCACTGCTAGATCCTACAGCGGGAACCGCTTCTATCCGCCCTGGCCCGGTTTCAAATGGAACCCAACGCCTTCCATCTCTTCCACCCAATGTCTCCATCAACATCGGTATGGAGACCGAGCCGACCTCCGGGACGCCTGAACAAGAGCCTGACCCCGAATTCAGGAGAAGAATAGAAGAGCTGGCAGCCAAAGAGAATTTTCACACGGCAGACGGTCAGAGAGAACTGCGCGAGCTGATTACGGATGCGGTAAGAGACGTGGGCAATGAAGGCCGGGATGTTAGAAGACGCGTCCAGTAGTTGCAGGCGCATTGGACTTTGCGAGGGCAGTTCCTGCAGGCGACCGTTCACCCACGTCCTAGGCTGCGGATGACACAGACGGGAAGAGGCATAGCCGGGTCTAGCCGAAGACATGGGTCGTGTATTGCTACCCAGGAGTTCTCGCAAGACGAAGATCTCTCCCCCGCGCAGGATTCAGTCGTTCATCCACGCGGTGACTCGACTGGAGCCAATTCTAGCCGCGAACCGCAACCCGCTGCTTCCCATGGGAAAGTAGCTGACTAAGTACCACACCAAAGCGACGAGTTGCACAATCGATGAAAATAGAGTGAGAATGGTGGAGTGGAGCTGACGCGGTCATGTCAGCAATGTCTTGCAGCATCGCGACGGAGCCTGGGATTATACTTACACCGACAGCAAAATAGATGGTCATGATGATGGAACCAAAGTAAGCGGCCGTAAATGGTAGACGAGGGCCTGAGAGCAAATGTGTTGCGTATTGTATCGGTCCCATCAAGACAGCCCAGGAGGCGAGGAACATCAGGGAGCCGACGGACCACCTATCACGACGCGTCAGCCACACGCACGACTTCATTTAGACACATGTGCAAAATCAGGTTCTGATTGCTAAATAGACACCTCACAGGGGTCTTCCCGCATATAGGCATCATCCTCAATATAGCAAAGAGCTGACATCATCATGGGGTGGACGCGCTGTCACATGGCCCATGGACCAGCGCGTGGTGGTGTGAAGCCCTTGCGGTGTGGCTTGGAACGACTTTGAGGGGTCAGGGAGACTTACAGGATCGCGAATTTTCGTGGCTTCAGGGACAGAACCGGGAGCAGCACGAAGCAGATAACAAAACATGCCAGCGCTGCCAGATTGCAGCCCCCGAAGATCAACAAACGATCCCATCGGCTTACTGTGCAATCATAAATGTCAGTAATTCCTTTGCCCGCGGATTTGGGCTGTTCTGTATTCTTGGACGGGAGTCATGCGCGAAGGCAACGTACATGCGAACCACCCCTCTTCTTCTTCTCTCCTCGTGGGCGCCGGTAGTGGTGCTCCAGGGGACTCGTGTGTGGGTAACTGGACGTAGCCTTTGCTTCCAAATGGATTGAGCGACGAGATCCTGGACAACAACGGGTTGGATGACGAGGTATTGGCCGGGACGTCGGCGTCTCTTCTGGACCACCCCAAGGAATTCATGGATTCTCGAAACGTTGAGGACGCCATCCTGACCGGTTAATCGTCCTCAGACTGGTTCGCCCTGACCGGACAAAGACTCCGTTCGCAACGGACGTGACACCTCTCAGAAACGTCGATCTGCCCACTTTCAGGTCTTTTGGTCCTTCAGGAGGAGAGGTCCCGGCTCGTTTGGAAACGTCGAGATCCTGCCCGGCCAGGCTGAGCAAGACCGACACCAATTGGAGGCGGCACGAAGGTTGGAATGTCTTTTGACCTTAGCGCAGCGCGGGTGCTCGCTTGTGACCAGACCCAACTCAAGGCGACCTCGCGGGATGACAGGACCGCGACAGATGTAAGAGTAATGCCGTGCAAGGACCATCCACCCTAGGGGTGCATCGACTGAACTCTTGTGTGTAGGGATAGGCACGATAGGCACGGCCGGAGAGCAGGATTTTGCCGGCTGCCTGCAGAATGTCTTGCTTGCAAGGTGACAGCCTCCGGAGTTCACCGAAGTGGGAGAAGGCGGAGGAAGGATTCGAGGTGGTCGTGGGAGAGGATGGATGGCAGGTGGGAACTGCAATAGCAGTGCACAGTGCAGGCAGTCAAGGGTCAATCAAGGCTGAAAGAGGCCAGAGCGTGAAGCCAAATACAGAGAGTCCCGGCTGTATCGAGCGGAAAGTTGGAGTGGGTGAGCGACCAAGACAAAGTCCGAGCGCAGATCCAGCGCTTGGAAGGTGCCACCGTTGCGCTAAAAATGCACCAAGACTCCAACAGGCGATTTGGGCCAGGCATCCAATCACCGCTCCACCCCATCCCTCCCCTGCCACCCCTCTATTACCATTAACCCCCCTCCCTTTCGAGGTATTGCTCGCATATAGCTTAGAGCATGCTATGCCTGAACAGGATCGCGAGGTTGCTCGTGTTTCGGACGGTGGTCATCAGCACACGGGCAGAATGTCCGCCACTAAATCGATGCAAGCAGCTTCTCATCGCCCTGGCAATCCTGGTAAAGCGTAACTTTTAGTAAGAACTACGGGTGCTGAACGAGGCCGGACAAGCCAGAAGCCACAAGGCAAAGCCCAGAGCGCGAGCAGCCAGCGGTTCGTCCCATCCGCAGGTTTCTGTGCAGCATGGGGCGCCATCTCCGTCCGATCTTAACCATGCCGAACCCTGTCCACACTCACTAATCCACAAGAAATCTTTTACTCCGAGGTGCAACGGGCGCATCCGTGGTACTGCGACAACGACTGGAGAGAAGGCACGCTGCATGAGCCATGCCCGATCTGCCCTGCATGGTGAATGCAAAGCATGACAAGGTTGTGATATTGGCCAACGGCCAGCAAAAGGACGAACCTTAAGCAGTTCTCGGGGGATCTGATCGATGGGGGTCGTGTCGCACAGCATTCCAGGCCGGGTGTACAGACTCGACTCCAACCCGGGCAATGTTGCAATAGAACGTGCTACTTCCTGTCTGGCCGGGGATGGATGGAGCCGTGGGTGAGCATGGATGCGAATTTGGGAAAGCAGTCATCTGCAAGCATCATGACTTTTCTGGAAATCCCACGGTACGCACCTCGCAGCCTTGATGGCCCGGCTAGTGAGCAGGACATTGTGGCTTGGCTGCTCGGGGTGCTGCTAAGGGGGGGCACTTGACCCTCGGTGACCCTGCTCACCATGATCGACTGATGTAATGCACGCCTCGATATACAAGTCATGCCGTCTGGGCGGGCGACGAAAGGGTGTATGTACATAGCCATGCGGGCAGAGCAGCGAACTTTGTCCCAGTCTCATGAGCCCGTCCACCACGGACACCCGAGACACGACCAAGTTGGCAAACATAACAGATATAGTCCAAGAAGAGGGTCCCATGCCGTCCTGGTCGCCTTGGAGGTTGTATGCGCAGCCAGTAGACCTGAGGGGTTCACACCCATTCGGGGTCCACCCGTGTTGCTCATCCCGCTCATATCAGACCAGGGTCAAAACCCTGAAGGAGAGGTATTTCGATTGGTGTTCCGGTCGTATCCGGTTCCCTGCACGCCGCCTCATGTGGCTGCGCATGGGTGCAAATGAGGAAGAAGTGGTGGAGTGCATACGCAACGGGAGTGGCAGCTGGAGGATGCGAAGGGCAGCCAGCCTTGCATGCACATATAAAGAGATCGACTGATCCGAGTCGGACGTAGCGAGCAACTTATCATCCGTCTTAGATTTTCCCCCAGCTCCTAGTGCAAATCGGCACGAATTCGTTGGAGCGCATAGCGTTTGCTGCAGCTCGTTATTATTCCTCATTCCATCTCTAGCTACCCGCCTCCCCCCTGCAAGGGATCGTCCATGCCCAGCTACCTGTTAGATACATCAACTACTCGCCTCCAGACTGCACAAAGGTCGTACCGAAGTGCCCATCAACCACTCGACCTATCAAGTGTCAACCTTAAGAAGCCACACAGTCCAATTGAATCGTGCTCGTGGCATGTGTGGTGGCATCTTGAGTCAAAGACTTGACCTGTACCGCCGCCCAAACCAGCCCCGCCCTGTGCCAAGCTTGAGCTTCGAGTCCAGATCGACTCGGGATTCCATTATTGGCAGAGTCGAATCGCGGTGACTGAACCTGGGAGCGGTGGACCATTCACCAGCCGTCCGACCACTTACCTTCCCCCCCGAAGGCGCCCGCCACTGTTGCCCTTCGACTCCCTCCCTGTGTCGCCCATTGCCCATCACCCATCGCCCGGCTCCCTGGCCTCCCGCTCAACTCGGTCACGGCATCTCGGCCGCACTCAAAATTCACTTCCCCAAGGTGCCTCCCTCTCACTGCCACTGCCACAAACCCTTACCTGACTGTACCCTCCCTCCCTTCCTCCACACTGCGCTTCCAACAACCACCACACCGCATCCCACCTTCGACCACCACCACCACAACCACAGCATCCCCGGAGCCTCGCTCAACCCAGACACTCTGTCCTGTTCTCTTTGGCCTCCACCGACCACAATCGATTACGACGACTTCTGACGTTGATGACATTTTGCGTCTGTGCTGCTGCTACTTAGTACCTGCGGCCTACGATCCGTTGATTGAGTGCAGCTCCGACCGTCAGTCATCTGTCCCACGCCATCCCTCTGGTAGCCCTCTCATTTCGCAACCCACGACCGCCATCTGTTTCAAGTCTTCCGCGCACTTCGCCCATTTGCGCTCTCTAGTCGCATTGCGCTCCTCCAATCGTCCTTCCTACCGCCCAACGTCGCTGGATCCCGTATCATCAAGGCCACCCAGAAAGAGGCGGTATCGGCGATTTGGGTCAGATATCACACACCCAAAAAGACTTACGCCGACGGAGAACACCCCTTGACCTCTCTGCTTGTGTTCGAATTGGGGCGGTTCTTCTCGCTTCGGACTCAACACTACGACGAGAAGTGAATATCACTTACGACTACAAGGCGGAATAAGGCCGGACGACGGTGAATCATCGCTGACAGCGCATACTGCCGTCAGCCTCGTCCGTATCTCGACTGAAGAATTCCTCGGCACGCATGGTCACTGCTTGAGCGTGAGAACCTAAGGCCCTTCACAACTAGGGTCACTACCAGGATCACTGCAACGGGATTACCCTCGATACCCGTGCCTTACCTTTCCCCAACGATTGCTTAACCGAGTCAGCGATCCCGATGGCGACAGCCGCCTGACAGCCACTTGGTCTCTTTTGTTTGCTGCTGAGTGACATCTGGGTCAAGCACGCGAGCTAAGCGCTTTTATCTTTACCTGCCACCCCAACCCGACCGCAATTCTTCTCAACTTTTCCTTTGTTTTGGATCATGACACATTCTTCAGCCGGCATGCCCTATATCAAGAGCGAGCCCGATGACTTCGGCAACAATCCGAGCCGGTTCATGTCATCGGGCAACTATGGCAACTCTCAGGGCTACAGCAACCAGTTCAACAACCAACACGATAACGGAAGCATCGACCCCTCGGAGCTCTCCATGCCCAACACCAACTACGGCAGCATGCCATACAATTATGGTGGGAACACCATGGGGTCCAGTTACGGGGTCGGCCCGGCAGGATCGCTCTTCACCAATGATGAGTTAATAGAGTCTCTCGACTATGGAAACACTAACGGCCAAGGCATGTTTGATGATTTCACCATGGGAAATCCACCCAACAGCAATAACAGAACTTCAGGTGCGGTCCCAATGGAACAGCCGAACCAGATTCCCAATGTCTATTCAAGTACTCCGGACGGCCCACCCATCCAGAGCCCATTCCTGGGGACCTTTGACTACAATCAATTTAGGCCCATGGGCTCCCTTCCGACTCACATGTCGCCTCACCAGGGCTCTCAATTCGGAAAGCGTCCTAGCATGCAGGCGGCAAACCGGAAATCGTCCGATCAGCGAACCCCTTTGACGCCACGCACAGCGGCAATGGCGGGACTTCAGATCGGTACCCCAGACTCGGGAAATCTTGCTAATGGTCGCCCTATCCGCGCTCCAAATGTCCAGAACCGACATGCTAAGACCTTGTCGGGACAATACGACAGCACTCCCGGCAGCTTCCATTCATATCTAGATTCGCCACTGTCGTCTCCCGGCAATGGGATCCATCATGCTGGCATTTCCGAGACTCTTGGACCCGGTCATCATGCCTCTCTGCCGACCAAGGTTGATACCGGGCTTAGTACCAGCAATGCAGAGACGGCCGAGGCCAAAAAGCGAAGGAGGCGCGCGTCACACAATGCCGTTGAACGGAGACGGCGGGACAATATCAACGAACGCATCCATGACTTGTCCCACTTAGTGCCCCAACATCGCTTGGAGGATGACAAGATCAAGAAACAGCTACAGAGTACCGGACCTCTATCGCCCACCACTGGCGCTGCGAGCATGAGCCCGCCAAATGCCAACAACGCAGCCACGTCGTTACTTGCAGGCGCCGCCGGTCGTCGCGCTGCCAGCACCGCGGGGAATATCACGATTGGATTACCGATCGAGGAGAAGGAGAAAGGTCCTAACAAGGGCGATATCCTTAACGGAGCCGTGGCGTGGACTCGAGATCTCATGTGGGCACTACATCAAAAGTACCAACAGGAAGACGAATTGGTCCAGTATATCCAGTCGATAGGTGGTCAATGGCCTTTCCAAGTGACAGACGACGACAAGCGCATGCGCTCTGAGGTCATGGACGCCATGGAGAAAAATGATTCCAGCACATTCTCCTACTCGAGGACAGATGGTACAGGATTACGGGTTCCTCGGCATACAAACGTCGCCGGCGACCGGATCCAGGGCAACCCCAGCCTCAGTCCCCAAAGCAATTTCGAACTCAGCCCTGGCTTCCACAGTGGCGGCAGTGGCACCAACAGTGGCAGTAACGGGGCGGGCCAAACACAATACTGGCACAGCGCCGGTCACACTGGCATCAGCTTCAAGGAAGAAGATGAGTTCATGGACATGAATTGATGAAAGTGTCACGATGATGTTTCGAGTCGAATGCCATCTCCCCTCGAGGGGTGCGCAAACAGGCATGGCGTCGACAGGGTTCAGTCTCAGCGCACGCCCACAGAGGTTGAATATACCACCCGACATTGGCGACGGAGAAGTATATGAGGGTGGAGAAATTCTGCAAGCTGATGGGGTTTTTTTCAATATCCCCTCTTTCCCGTCAAGTACTTCCACGCACGTTGGGGTCGCGACCTTCGATGTACTTGACGGATGGGATTTGTGGTTGGTGTTCATAACGTTGATTTTGTGTCTTTTTTCTTTCTTTGCCTGGATACCCCCTCGTTCTGACATTTCTTCTTTTGTCTTTTTTTTTCCTTTGTAAGCTGGCGCAACACTTGGGGGCATTGGTTTTTCAGTCACAGGCAGAGAGCAGAGCCAGGCCTGGAACAGGACATGTATTGTAGGTAGACACAGAACATGCACGGCATGATCTGATAGCATGGATCATGATTTGATCGGTAGGGAATGAATGATACTAGTAATACTTTGAAAGCCTTGACTTTTGAGTGCATGAACTGTGCCCTTGGTACTACTGCATGGTCGCAGCTTGGCCGATCGCTTATCCGAGACCCCGGATATGTGCTACCGACACGTCCGTTGTCGGGGGCCCATTCACAAAACGTTCCCCTGATTCTCCCGCCTCTCCAACCAGAGGTACGCAGACGACCAACCACCTTTTCCCTCGTCAAAAACCCCAAAAGTCGGAGTCGACCGTCGTCTGCGCCGAAAGATTTCGCTAGCCAGTCCAACTACCTACAAAAAGTATTATTTACTTCTTCTGTTGGCACCCTCGTCTGCAGCAGACGTCGATTCTTCACGGTGGTCCTGGAGCTGCATTTTCTCTCTCTCTCTCTTCTGCCCTTTGAATCGTTCCGTCTCTCTACTCCGCTCGCTCCTTTTGCGCTTACCCAGATATCTCTGCCCGCCGCCCTCCTCCTGAAGACCGGATACCGCACATACACTCCGCCAGAAGCAAGATGACGGAAAAACCTCTAGGCTTTGGCTACCAGATTGGGGCCGGAGCTATTGCTGGTGTCTCTGAGGTAGGTTCAGGACCTAGAAGACTCGAAGAAACCAAGGCGTCTCTCTTTCAGAGCTCTCGCTGATCAATGTGTTTAGATTCTCATAATGTGAGTTCCTGCCGCGCATGGTGTGCACGGAAGACCGGACTACAGCGACACAAAAGGCGATCCCAATCTTCTTTTATCTGACTTCACCCCTCCAGGTACCCGTTGGACGTGGTCAAGACAAGAGTGTAAGTCCCAATCACCAGAACGTCAAGATGGCGCAACGCAACAGTCAGCTAACCACCTCCTGCACCGCCGACAGGCAACTCCAAGGCAGAGCGCCCGTCCCCGGTCAAGACTACTACACTGGCATGTTCGACTGCCTGCGCAAGATTGTCAAAAATGAAGGACCCTCTCGGCTATACCGTGGTATCGGCGCTCCCATCATGATGGAAGCACCCAAGCGAGCCACCAAATTCGCGGCGAACGACTCCTGGGGCATATTTTACCGGAACCTCTTCGGCGTGGAGAAGCCGACTCAACCACTCGCCATTTTGACCGGCGCGACGGCCGGTGCAACTGAGGCGTTCGTCGTCGTCCCGTTCGAACTGGTAAAGATCAGATTACAAGACCGTGCGTCGGCGGGCAAGTATAATGGGATCATGGACTGCGTGGTCAAGACAGTAAAAGCTGAAGGACCCCTGGCCCTTTACAACGGCCTGGAATCTACGCTGTGGCGACACATCCTCTGGAACGCAGGATACTTCGGCTGTATCTTCCAGGTCAAGTCGCTCATGCCCAAGGTCGACAAGTCCGAGCGCGGCAAAGCCATGCTGAACGACTTCATCTCAGGCACGATAGGTGGCACGGTCGGCACAATCCTGAACACCCCCATGGACGTGGTCAAGTCGCGGATCCAGAACTCGCCCAAGATCAGCGGCCAGGTGCCCAAATACAACTGGGCCTGGCCGGGTCTGGGCACGATCATGAAGGAGGAGGGCGCCGCGGCGCTATACAAGGGATTCTTGCCGAAGGTGCTGAGACTGGGGCCCGGAGGTGGCGTCTTGCTCGTCGTGTACACCGGCGTGATGGATTGGTTCCGCAAGATGGGCGCCCAGCCCATCGGCTGAGTGGAGAGAGCGTGTGTGTGCAGCAGAAAGAGAGGGGGAAGGTGCCCGTCTGCTTTTTTCCGTTTCTCGTTCGTCCCGGATCCTTGGACAAAATTTGAGCCTACATACAGCCTATGAAACACTTTTCTGGATACTACGCGGGCCGAGACAGCGACAACAGCAACAACAACAACAACAAGAAGGAGCAGAATCTCATCGAATAGAAGCAGATACAGAGAGAGAAGAGGCTTTTGCAACTTGTTTTGTATGTATGTGTGTTTCCTGGGGGGTTTTTTTTCCAGCGCAAAATATTACGCGACCCTCGGCGCGCACCGCACATCAAGTTTGTTCAGTTCAGTGGCTTTCTACACGATTTCTCTTGTTTCGTTTCAACCCTTGACTCTCCTTCTTTTTCTTACTTTTCTTCCCGAACTTGGGAAAGGGAATTGCTTGCTTGCTCGCTTGCGTGTAGTGAAGATATGTAGATAGAGCGGGGGCAGAGGGGAAAAAAGGGGGACGGATCAAGAGCAACAATTATATACTCACCACCACCACCATTATCCTCTCCCTGACTTTCTTTGGTCTTGCATTCCCCGCTCTGTTACTCTAGATATGTATTCTGTAACTACTAACTGTTACATATTGTTGTTGTCGCTTCGTTGGGCTGGTCGTACTAGCTAGGTATTAGCCCATTTGTCCACCACCAAAGGGGAAAGGAGGGAAGGAAGGGCTATATGCGTGCATGCATGCGCCCATGGGAAGTGAGAAAGAGAGAGAGACACACACACACATACGGAGAAGCAATCATGTCGCCAGCAGGACAGCTGTAGCATGTTGCCAAACAAGCGTGTACACATATGTATGGATCCAATCACCAAGTGCTGGTCTCCTCCTGGAGTTCAAGCAGATTCCCTATGGAAGATACACGGCGTCCAAATTCATATGCGGACGTGCACAACTCTGACGCTTCGCACATACGCGCGCGTGCCGATGTCAACGCCGATGCATGCCCCGTGTTCATTCATATCCAACCCAAGCCAATGCTCATTCCAATAACGAAAATTCCCACGGGATATCCAAGACATGCGTGGCGTTACAATTGTCCGAGGGGAGAAGGGTGGATCCCTGGGCCAGCCAGAAACCCCAAGACTTCGACTTCACTTTGCGCGTCTGATGTACCATCTCGACCTTGTTCCTTCTTCAAGCTCCACAATGACGTTTGATAGTGATGGAGACCGTGTTTTGGATTTCGCCCCTACAATGCCACGTTCGTGCGTGGTACCGTTGCTGCATTTCGACGTGCTTTTGTTCTGATCGACGACGTCGGCGTGGCCGTTGGCGTGGCTGTCACCGTTTTCGTTCAATTTTGGATTCTGCTGTTCGACATCTGTCTCGGCGGACGTACTGATCTCTTCGTCATTTACTTTGATGACAATGTCCCCGGGGGGTGGTGCCTTGGGGCTAGCCGTTTCATTCGCTTTCGGGCGCATCTGGAGAGATCCATCGGTTTTCACTGGTGACCGACTGGCATTGTCCTGTTCATGTCTGCGTCGCTCTGTACTGATATTCGGCTTTTTGGTGGGTAGATCCTTTGTATTCAAGGGCTTTTCAATGGACCACAGCCTCTCTTTCAGCGCTTCTTCCCAGCCTGCTCGACGGGCGATTTCTTCCAAGATCAAGTCACACTCGCCCAATAGTTCAATGTCAACCTTGACCCCTTCACGCTGGCAACGGTCCTTACTTATCCATATCTGTGGCACCGTTGCCGGGATGTTGAGGAGCATTTCGTTCACCGGCTCGACTTTCAGAGACGTGCCAACGATGACGAGCAGGTCTACCTTGGTTTTGTCGATCCTCAGTCGAGGAGCGTAAGAATCCGCGATATCCTCGCCGAAGAAAGTCATGTCTGGTTTGAGCAGGCCCTTGGGAAAATCATTTTTCGCCGCCGAGTCTTCCGAGTCCGTATCTTCGAATTCGTCCCTCTTCCGTTTCTTTTTGCCGCTGCGCCCGCGGTGCTTGCTGCTCGTTCTGGGTTTCGGACCCCCGTCAGCCAAGGTGCATTTACAATAGGGTACCCCTCCCGCCCGCACAACAGGCATGTACTTCCTGGCTGTCGTCCGTTTCCCACAGCTCATGCAGGTGGCAGTTGCCAATGTGCCATGGCATTGAATCAATTTCGAGGGAGAGACGCCCGCAGCAATCTCGAGTCCGTCGATGTTTTGTGTGTAATTGGTCAACAGCTTCCCTTTCGATTGCAACATAGAGATGAAGGCGTGCGTTAGACTGTATTTCGGAACTAGGGGAGCATAAATGTCGCTGGCTGACCGACTTGAATCCCCAGGCCTGTCAGCGGGCACGAGGCCCTGCATCTTGGGAAACACTTTTGCGGCCTGTTTGAAAAACTCTTCGGGGTCGGCTTTGAAATTGTCAATGTGAAAAAGTTCCTGTGGATCGTCATATACCGAATCGACGAGCAGGTTGTAGACGCCATTAGCAGAGCGAAAGTCGGGTACCCCTAGTGAAGTGGAAATACCAGCGCCCGTCAAGACGATGATGTTCTTCGAGGATTTGAAGAGTGAGACGGCATGATCCAGCGTGTAATACTGATTCAAGCGGGGCCGGATGTGTGGAACCCTCTTCGCGGGAGAAGAAAGTCGTCGGGGAGGGAGGGATGACGCTCTGTCCATGTTCAGTTGATGAATTCGGAGCAGCTTAGAAGGCGATGGTCGATCGCTGGGAGTGTCGAAATAAGAGTTGCCATCTCGATGAGCAGGCGAGTGAGGTGCTGAGGTGGCCATCGTTGCACAATCTCAACCGGGCCCAGCAAGCCAAGTGCTCGAGAGGTGTTCTGTGTTGAGTCTAGAGGTCGTCCGGTTCAGGTTTTTGGATCGCAATTCCGACGCACAACATCCAGGCTTTACATAGCGTTTGGTCATCTAGGCAAGGCTGAAAAGTCTGTGCACCCGGGATAGTCGTGAAAGACGCAGATCTCGAAGATTCGAAACGAATATAATCGGGTCATGACTGTCAACCCAGTCCACAAGCGTTCGGGGTCGGAAGGGGCCCAGAGTCTGGTTTTCCTGGCACCTACCTGGGGGGAAGATCTTTGGGAGAAGCCGAGTTTGCCTGAGCTGACCAGAAATACGGAAGTAGGGGGCGACGTGGTGACGGATTGGGTTCCAGTGTCTCCTGAGCCTTGAGGCTGTGCTGTGCCGCTTTGAAAGGAGTAAGTATATGACATCATGGCGCAGCTGTGCACGTGCACACGTCTCTCGACGCGCTTCCCGCCTGAACGCGACTTTGTCGACCTTCCCTCCACCATAACTCCACCACAACATTGAGAAATCTCCCTAAGTTTCCTATCGCACTCCATGACTGGCACGAGGACTCCAGACCATCTACTATTACCACTATGCCCTCCGCCACACTGGGCGTCTCTTCGCAATCGAGAAGAAAGCTCAAAACTTTCGCTTTTGATGAAAGACTGCTAACCGGAGACGAAGACAAGGAGAATCAACAGGACCCAAACTCTGCCTCGAAACCCGACTCGGTCGACTGTGGCCTTACTGGCCAGGACGAGTTGCCTGAGCCGAGAGTCCCCCGTACGCCGGCAGTGCGCATTCCCATCGAAGACCTCATTGCAAATACCGAAGACGCATACAATTGCCTTCCACCAGTAGGCACACCGAAAGACCATGTCCTCTGGCAGACAGGTCCGGACAGCTCGGACGCCTCAGCAGGAGCTTGCGCGACACAAAGGAGCAGAAAACGCGCTCACAGCTCCTCTCCTTCGTCTTCACAACAACTCTCTGCCCACACGGATGCCTTGAACCTCGATACCCTGAACAAGTCCCTGCGCACTCCCAACAATGACCCCACACAAGATCTATGGAACAGGTACACAACCGTCAATGGTGTGAAGAAAGATGCAAGAGAACCCACATTGCCCCAATATGTTCATTTGCTTCCTTCATCCCCTCAGACACCCAGTACCACGAGTAAGGATAGCGGCTTGAGACGGACACACAGCTGCGGGATCGAATGGCCCACGTCAAAAGCAAAGCGCCGGAGGTTAGAGACGACCCAGCACCACAGCCGCACCAAAGAGCTATTTGCCGCTTCTCGCAAGGAGATTCTGCGCCGTGACCTTTCTAATAATACTCGCGTTGGCCTTCTGCTCGACAGAATCCAAGAAAGTCTGACCAGGAAAGCCGACCCTACTGAAAGTCCCTCGAGCTCCTTCCCACTTCCAGATAGGCGCTCGCAGGCTTTTGCATCGCCAACGAAGCCGCCGAACAGAACCAGAGGAGAGTCCAGCGGTCCAGCAGATGTACTTCATCCCCCCCAAATAGTTCAACCACAGAAGATTGCGGCCCGGTCTGAAACATCGTCGTCGTTCGAATTCAGCGATGATGGTCTCGATGTTGAAGCTTTTGAAAGTGTCGAACGGGCCTTGGAACAAGCCGAGACGAAGACTCAAATAAGTCCTATCGAGCCAGATCGCAATCGGGACGAGTTAACCACGCCGTCTATTGCCCAATGTCACAATCAAGTCAGACTCGTCCAGTTTGATGGGTCCGGAGATCAAAGCGAGAGGCGGTCTGACGAGGATCAAGAATCTCTGCAGCCAAAGGCTCTTGCTGCAGAATTCGATGAATTTAATGACGACGACGATGATGACGAAGAGTTGATGAATGAGATGCTTGATCTTGCTGCGAAGTACGACTCGCAGCCGCCGGTAGCAACAGCAGCCAATCCGCAAGCCAACCCGAAGCCGACCTCGGAGACAAATCCACAATCCAAGCACCTCGAAACACTGGATGAGTTTGAAGATGCTTTTGACGATGATGATGATGAGCTCTGGGAGGACATTGCAAATGCGACTTACGGAAAAAGCAGAACAACAATCGCTTCCAAGGACCATGTACGTCCTTCATAGACTTCAGGCTGATGACGCGCATGCTGATAGAGTAAATAGACATCAATTGACAACCGAGCTATCAAACGTTATCTCGTGATGGAGGTCCTTGAGAGTGAATACGAGTACAAGCCTGGCCGTAAAAGACCTGAAAAGGTATGGCCCGTCTTGTTTCGTGGATCCCGCAGCACTGACGAGAGGTAGATGCTTTCAGTCAAAGACGAGAGATCCAGCATGTGCTATATTATCCTGTTGCGAGAATCATGGTACGATACCAGATACACCAAAGGATCCTATGTTCATGTCATTGGTAAATTTGATCGCACGGGCCAGTGCATTGTCGATGATGCTGATAATATGGTCATTATCCATCCGGACCATCTCATTTCCTCAACGGTTGTGGGGGATTCCTTCACCTGTATGCGGCGAGCTGTGCTCCAAGACAGGGTAAAAGCTACCAGCGCAGCGACTCAACCTCAGGTTTACGGCCACATCTTGCATGAAGTGTTCGGACGTGCGTTACGGATCAATAGGTGGGACAGAGAGTCTTTTAGGGAGATCATTGACAAGATCCTTCCGTCTTACATCGAATCGCTATACGAAATCGGCGTTCGACCACAGGAAGCCACAGAATATCTTCTAGGAAAGACGCCGGAACTGATGGCATGGGCTACCGTCTTTGTCGGCGACACTCTGTCTGCAGATGCTCTCATCCGGGACCGAAATGGCCTCCTAGTTCCCGCCACCGTCAATAAGTTGCTCGAACTCGAAGAACATATCTGGTCTCCCATGTACGGTCTCAAAGGCAATATCGACGCCACAGTTCAAGCACAGATGAAGTTGCCGAATGAACAATCAGTGAGGACTCTGCTAGTGCCCTTCGAGCTCAAGACCGGTAAGAAGGACAATGTGGAGCAGCACCGCGTCCAAACAGCGCTCTATACCCTGCTCTTATCGGACAGATACGATATCAATGTGACGTGCGGCGTGCTCTACTACATGGAAACTGCCAAGACGTACAGGGTTGAAGGCATTAGAAACGAGGTACGCCACATGATCATCCAGAGAAACGAATTGGCATGCTACGTTCACGACAAGTTAGCTCTGCCACCCATGATCAAGAAACAACACCTATGCAAGAGCTGCTATTCAAAGGCGGCCTGTTTTACGTACCATAAATTGTCCGAAAATGGCACCGCAGAAACCAGCGGTCTGGGGGAGAAGTTTAACGAAGTTGTCGGCCACCTGTCACCGGCGCATCAGTCTTTCTTCAAGAAATGGGATGAGTTGCTCACAAAAGAAGAGCGCGATACTATGAAGTTCCGCCGCGAGCTTTGGACAATGTTAGGTTCAGAGCGCGAGGCACTTGGGCGTTGCTTCTCAGAAGTCGTCATCCAGCCTGGATCAGCCCTTGAAAACCTAGAGGGTTCTAAGATCAACCGATTCGAGTACACCTTTACCAAGCATCTGCACCGTCCCGGCTTTTCGTTCAGGGATTCACAGATCACCACCGGGGAACCCATCGTAATATCGGATGAGAAAGGACATTTCAACTTTGCAGCCGGCTTTGTCACCAATGTACAGCCTACCAGGATCGTCGTGGTGGTCGACCGGAGACTCGGACGCGTACAAAAGAAATTGGAAGGCTTTGACCCTGAGACCAACCAAGTTTTCTCTGGCAATATCGATGTGGCTCACGACGGCAGCCAGTCTTCACAACATAACGAGCCCATCCTCTACCGGATCGACAAGGATGAGTTTGCCAATGGCATGGCTACAGCGAGGAACAACATCCTTCGAATGATGGAAAAAGATCTCTGGCGAGCTCGGGAGCTTCGCCAGTTGATCATAGAGAACAAGTATCCAGAATTCAAGGTCACTTCAACGGCCTACACACTATCGGGACCAGCTTCACAACAGAATCTCAATGTTGATCAGCAACGAGCCATTGAGAAGGTGATGAGTGCCAAAGATTATGCCCTTGTCCTCGGTATGCCAGGCACGGGGAAAACCACAACGATCGCTCACATCATCCGCGCCCTCGTATCTCAAGGCAAATCGGTCCTGCTTGCATCGTATACACATACTGCCGTGGATAATATCTTGTTAAAGATCAAGGACGATAACATCCCCATCATGAGGATTGGAGCAGTCAACAAAGTGCATCCCGAGGTGCAGTCGTTCGCAGACATTTCTGGGATTCCCAAACGCACAATCGAAGAGCTCCACGCCTCCTGGCACGAAAGCAAGGTCGTGGCGACTACTTGCCTCGGCGTCAACCATGGCATTTTCAATGCCCGGACGTTTGACTATTGCATCGTGGACGAAGCTTCTCAGATCACGTTACCGGTGTGCTTGGGACCAATTCGCATGGCCAGAACTTTTATCCTCGTGGGAGACCACTACCAGCTACCGCCTCTGGTCCAGAACAAACAGGCTCTGGAAGGCGGTCTTGACGTAAGTCTCTTTAAACTCTTGTCCGATGCACAGCCAGACTCCGTAGTCAATCTGGAACACCAATATCGAATGGCAGAGGACATTATGCTTCTGTCCAAGGAACTCGTCTACTCAGGCCGGATCAAATGCGGCAACGAAGCTGTTGCGAGACGAGTGCTTAAAATCCCAGATCTTGACGGTGGGATGGCTAAGCATCATTTCACCGCGTCTTCTCTACCAAAGGCCAGCAATCACAGTACACAGACAGTCTGCCTCGCCGGCTCTAACTGCTGGCTCCGACGCGCACTCTCGCCATCCTCCCGCTGCCTCTTCCTCAACACTGATAGCATCATACCTAGAGGTTCGGCACGAGAAACGGTGGCAGGTGCCCGAATCACCAACACAATCGAATCAATCCTTACAGCACAGCTGGTGACCGCCTTGATTCACTCCGGCGTGGCACCCCACTCCATCGGCGTAATCACGTTCTACCGTTCTCAACTTGCACTCCTAAGAACGGAGGTGAAGGCCCTCGCCGGCTCTGTCGCATCCAGCGAGGTGGAAATGCACACCGCAGATAAATACCAAGGACGAGACAAAGAAATCATTATATTAAGCTGCGTGCGGAGCAACGAGAATAGCCATGTCGGAGACCTTCTCAAAGATTGGCGACGAGTGAATGTTGCAGTCACGAGAGCAAGGAGTAAGCTGTTGCTTGTGGGAAGCAGGGGCACTTTGGAAGGGAGTGGTGTGCCTATCTTACAAGGTTTGACAAGGATCATGGAGGAGAAAGGGTGGACACTGGAGTTGCCGGGTGAAGCTTGTGAGATGCATTGCTTCGAGAGCCCTGTCACTCAGGCAAACAACGGTGCTACGCAAAAGTGTCGTAGTGCTGCTGGATTTCCTAGTCTTGCTGGTACAGAGGAAGCGAGGAGTTCACCTTTAACGCCCTCGACAAAGAAGCAAAAAAGATCCCTCGAGCAGATGAGCGAGGACAGTCACAACTATAGAGGTCTCGGGAAGAAGCAGAAGCGAAGTCCCTTCAGAAAGCCGGACAAGGTTGTGAGAGGAACGACACTGGTTGGTGGCTTTGATGGTGGCCTGCGGAAGGTATTGGATAAACGACCTGTCCTGCGGAATGTTTTGGATGAAATCGTGAGCAATGCTTACGAGAATGACTTGAACAAAGAGAACACCCCTCTGATTGCGGATATGGATATGGACACGGACATGGATGCAGATTTCGACCCAGCGGATTTTGGAGTATACTAAAGGCACAGCAATGCAGATGATAAAGGAGTCGGGTTCTGAGGATTGGAAAGCTGAGGAACAGCAATTGAATGACAGTTTGATGTTGGATACATGCTGTACCAGACGTGGAGAGAGTGTCAGAGATTCTGATATGCAGCTCCTCAAGCCTCCTACGACTGCACTAAGCCCAGTTTGGATATCGCGCTTCTTTCGTGACCTCGACGTCGTCGAACCCAAGGCTCCCACCTCCCTTGCAATTTCAGTTACAACAATTGATGCGAATGGCATCTCTGCCGCTTCTAGGAAGAATAATTGAATTCGAGCTCATTACTCTGGCTAGAGTCCAAGGAACTTTTTTCTGGACAAGGCTGTTGCATTGGTTGGTTTCCCCGAGAGTCTCGTTAGCATGATGCTGTCAAAGCGATACCTCTCTGGGTAACTTGAGGATCAACGTTGTCAAAGAATATGGCCGGTAACGCAGTCTACATTGGGCAACGCCGCAGCTACGGAGGCGCTCTGTGTACTGTGCGGTATTATGGTACCCTCTCCAATACCAAAGGCGAATGGCTGGGGATCGAATGGGATGATCCCAACCGTGGGAAACACAACGGCCAACACGAGGGTCAACAAGTTTTCCGCTGTCTGTCATCGTCCCCAACTGCTGCCTCTTTCTTGAGACCTTCACGCCATCCAGACCCGGAGCGGACGCTTCTTGAGGCAATCAAGTTCAAATATGCACCTGCCAACGATCCAGGGGTTAATGCCTCCACCGCTCGCGCAGCGGACGACGTGATCGAGATCTCAGGAAAGGTGGTGGAAGAAGTCGGCTTTGAACGGATCCAGAAACAACTATCAACCCTCACTGATCTCAAGATTGTCCTCGTCGACGAGTTAGTGGTTGCGGGCGTTGCGGGACGCGGCGCTTCCTCTCAGCACATCCGCGATGCACAGCTCGAACTCGAATGCACGTGTCCCAACATTGTTGAACTGGACCTGGGTTGGAATGTCATCGAAACCTGGCAAGACGTTGTCGACATGTGCGTGCCCTTTCGGAAATTGAAGATCCTGAAATCGGGTGGGCTGCGCTTGAGGGACTTTGAAGCCGACTATTCTAACGAACCCCATCCCTTTCAGAAACTCGAGGAGTTGCATCTCAACGAGTGCCTTCTCACCCCAAGACAGGTCCTCAACATTCTCTTTCCTAAAGGACAGAGTGGCTTTCCTTCCCTGAAGACGCTGTCACTATCCCTGAACGAGCTGGACTCTTTTGCAATCAACGGTGGAAGCGAAGCGGCACAATGTCCAGCTTTGACGACGTTGATTCTGGACAACAACCGATTTCCGGATCTATCTTCTTTAACCGCACTCTTGACTCTATTTCCCAACCTCAGAACATTGTCATTCCAGGGAAATATTATCTCTCACCTCGGCCTAGACGCTTCTGGCCCCACTACTCCTTCCAGCTTCTCGACCCTCGAAACTCTGAATCTGTCCAACAACAAGATCCGAGACTATGCATTCGTCAACAGTCTTCCAACCCTGTTCCCCAACCTCACGTCACTACGTATCTCACGAAATCCGCTATACGAACCGTCCACCTCTTCAGACGAGTCACCGATGCCATCATCGTCGGGGCCTCGGCAGCAGGCATTGCTTCAAAGCACAGTGTCGGACTCTACAACATATTACCTGACCCTGGCGCGGATCCCCAATCTAAAATCCCTGAACTATACGACCATTACGCCGCGAGATCGCGAAGAGGGCGAGATTTATTACCTTTCGATCGCAGAAAAGGAACTGCGACCCCTCTTGCAGGGAAATACAGCCACGCAGCCGCCAGACCACGCGTCTTCCGAAACGCCATCCAGACTTTCACCTCAAGAGACGGTCGAGCTAGCCCGCAAAGCCCACCCGCTCTACTCCAGCCTCTGCGAAAAGTACGACCGCGAGGACATTCTCATCCGCTACCTCCAACTGCAACAACAACAACAGACGTCGAAGGAACTCTCGACAGCCTCGTCCCAATTTGACGCCTACGGTCCTGGCACGCTCGGCTCCCGCCTCGTGGATGCCTACTTCTACATTCCGCGCACTCCTCAGGTCTCTGCCACGCCGCCGAAGGAGCCATTCCACCGCCTTCTCCCGACCACCATATCAGTGTACCGTCTGAAATCTCTCCTGTCCCGACACTTCAGCCTCCAACCGCTCCGGTTCAGGCTGGTCTACGAGTCGCCCGAATACGACCCCGTCGAGCCGATCACCAGCACGAGAAACCCCGCTGCCGGCACCGGTGACGGGCAGAGTGCGTGGGACGCGTGGGGCGATTGGGACGTCGACGAAGACAAGAAGGACGATGACGGGCATGATGATGATGGTGGTGGTGGTGGCGGGGAAAGGCTCAGCCTCGCAGACCTGCGCGATGGAGACGCCCAACCCGCCAACACGATGATGCCGATGTACATCACGCGCCAGGGCAACCGGTTCAAGAAGCGTGAGACCGAGATCCTGGACGGGATGCGCCCCTGGGGAGACTTTCTGGACCTGGATGATACGTTGGGTCGCGGTCACGTTCCAAGTCTGGGAGCCGCTGCGCACAGTAGCAGCAGGAGGAGGGAGGTCAAGGTTCGTGTTGAGCCTCACGATACCCTAGAAGCCAAGTGATCCAAGATACACAGTGTATGTCTGGGACAGACAAGCTCCCGACGCCATTTTCACTCTTTACAAATTGTTTGTTCCATATTGTACAGTCAGTAGTAGAGTAGATGAGACGGTGCTTGCTCAGCGACCAACAAAGCCAATCAATATTCGCACGATCAGTCTTCTTCTTCTTCAAATCAAGACCTCCCAAGTGCGTGCGTAGGTGTGTGTGTGTGTGTGTGTGCGCGCGTCTCAATCATCGTCCAAGTTACCGACAATGACTTTCTCGTTCCTCAAATCCATGATCTCCATCACCCTCGCCTTCTCCTGGCCCCGACCAATCCTGTCCGCTCGCGCCTCCTCTTCTGGATCCAATTGGAACTTTCTCATCCGCGAACCGATCCGCTCGTCGATGACCATGTCTCTAACCCAGATAGGCTCGTAGGAGTCGTCGTCATCTGTGCGGGGTTTGCGTACGGATTTGTGCCATCTAGGTTCCTCTTGGAGGAGGAGAGATTGCTGTTCCCACACGGTCTGGTCCTGCGGAGACAGTGACATCGCGGAGGAAGAAGAATCGGATTCAGGTGCTTTCGTCGCCACAGGATCCGCGTCAAGGTCTGACTGATTCGTGAAGAGTGTCGCTGATGACGAACCCCGCTCGTACGGTCTGCTTGCGGCCAGGACAATGGCTGCTGTCTCGCGACCAATCTGGTCCGCCAAATATCGGCGTGTGAGAAAGTGGTATATCCGTTGAGGAGTCTTGAGAAATCCTAAGAGATGCTGTTGGTGGATTGGTTGAGACGGTTCGAATGTGTTTGGAGTATGGGGCGATAAACTGGCGGATGGGTATTTATCAATGGAGAGATACGCCGGTGGCGGGTATGGTTTCTTCTTCTTCTTTTCCTCCTCTTTCTTCTCTTCCTCAGCTGCTTTCTTTTCCGAATCGGGCCCGGAAGCTTCTGGGCTTTCCGTAGCTGTTGGGAGGTTCTCTGTTCGGACATCGACGGGAGGATGGGGAGACAAGGGTTCGGCTTCAAGCATGGACACAGGCTCAGGCGGTGCTGGGGGCTCGTCGACTGGTCCTAACCAGCCCTCATGCAATCCTCTTATGTATTCCTTCCAAGTATGCCTTCCAAGGACTAGATCCCCTCGGACTCCAGGCTCTGGCACAATCTGCAGTCTATCCCGAATCATGTCTATCGCTGCTTCGGTATCCATCTCTGGCTCTGCTGCATCGGATCCCTTTTCACCCTTTTTCCGCCGGAGCCTTCGTATTTGTTCAGCTGTCCCATATCGGACGTCGCCTTCTTTCCGACCTTCGATCACGTCGTAATCGATCGCGGCGGCGACTAGTACGGGTTTCACGTAGTCTTTGAAGTATTGTCGTGAAGGTCTGATACCATCACCTGGAGGAGCAGACAAAAAGACAGTCAATTTGCGGGGCATCTGGTTCGGCGGAAGAGGCTCCTGGGCGATGTGAGCGACCACGTCGCACCATTTCTTCTGCGCCTTCTTTTTCTCCCTCCTGTCGTAAACCACAGCTGCAGTCCAGGAGCCGACAATGGTTAGGAATATCATCCAGTTCCGCGAAGGTAATCTCAGTCGGAGGTTGGGCATCCCTGTTGCACGTCAGGCACGGTTGTTAGATAGCGACAAGTGAGCGGACTGACCCATCATCCGAAGAGCGGGATTTTGTTTTGGAGGCTTCGGAGCCTCATATTTGGCACCCTGAGGCAAGCCATCTGGCTTGGGAGCGTTTGAGCTGTCGGCCATGGTGTTGATAGCACTCGGGCCTCAAGCTCATGAAAACCAAGGTAGTGTGATTGCGCAGCAGAAAGACTATGCGCGTGCATGATTTGCCCAAGGAAAAAAAGTGACCGTCGGATATGATGCTCCGACAATGAACTCTGAGTGGACTCGGCCTACCTTCCTCTGGGACTTGGTCCCGGTATATTTCTCTACCCCATTAGAGAGCTTACATAAGTTGTAGTAACACGTGAGTGGTGAACGTCACACAGGGTACGGCCAGACTGGAACCCTTTAATACCGCTCACCCCAAACCCCGGGAGTGACAGCAGTCACACTTCTGAGCCGATTGTGAAAGAGACGCATTTCTTGCTCCTTGGCTTCATATAGGCCCATAAATGGATCCACTGTGTGACAAAGGAGCTGGACACAGGATGCTATTGGGAGATTCCCACCCGAGACACTGGTTACCCTAGACGCCTTCACTCTGTCCGTCTGCGCCGAATTATTTGAATTTGAGCCAGTGTTCTGTGATGTCAAGTTCACCATCTCACCTGGGACGCCTCACGAGATAGAAAACCGAAGGACAAGCGAGATGTGTGACCACACGAGCTGCCGTTTGGCATCCTCGCAATGGTCTCTTGCCCTACCTCTGGGTGGAATGTCAGCCCCAGGGTAGCAGGCTGAGAACCAATCGCGTGAATGTGCCTGGCGATGTAGACAGTTCTGCTGTGCAATTGGGACGCAGGCGTGACGCATAACCCCAGTCCATTCCAGGAGTCTCTTTAAGCTTGACTCTAGTGCAGCGGCAGCCTCCAGTGGGCACTTGCCCCTAATTCTTTGCCCACTAGCTGTAGATTGTTTCCCACTCTTGCAGTAACCGAACTCCATACCTCCTGCGCACCCTATTTTTCCACACCCATTTCACATACACCTCTTCCCGTTCCACATCCTCTTCACCTCACTCTTGTCCTTTCCTTCGGATGGTGAAGGTAGTCTACTTGCCGTCCTGTCGTCACTTACACTTTCACTTGAGCAGGGATTCGGACTGTCTAAGCCGCGAACCGAGTTCAAGACCGACAGAACCACACCGACTGCTGTCGATCTAGGGGGTTTGTCAACACCTGCGGTGTACGGAGACTTCAGCCCACCTACTTGCGGCCTTCCCAAACAGCCGCGACCGAAGAGATACCTGTAACGAGATTATCCTTGAGTCCCCTACCCTCGTCTCTTCATCTGTCGCAACCATGGACCACGACAACAACCACATCAACCACAACAACCCCAATAACCTCAACAACCACAACAACCCTAACAATCGTCTCCGACTGAACTTTCAGTTCGACAACCAGCATAACTATGACGCGGCCAACGCTCGAATGTATCCCACCACTCCATCCACCTTCCCTCAGCCGATCTATGGCACTCAACAGCAGGACTATGCGGGTGGTCTCGTGTCGCCAAACCCCAACGCGAACGCGAGCTATTTCTTGAACCAACAATACCAACCTCAGTCGCAGCAGGCTCAATATCAGCAACAATATCAGTACCAGCCACAGGGTGGCCTCCAGTCTCCCCAACCTGCCTACCAGGCGAACTCGCGTCCTTACATGGTGACCAACAATGATGCCACGAGCGGTCTCATCCAACAGTTTTCCAATCAAGATCTAGGAGCTACACCGCGTGTCAACACCAACCGAACGCCATCACCTGCCATGTCGCGTCCTCGCACAGCGGGCGACACCAGACAAGTCCAGAATCCCTATCAAAGTCACCTGGCGCCGCCCATGCCAAGGCCTTCACCAAAGCCCGAAGAGGAGGAACAACCGAACCCACGCAAATACTCGGATAATGTTCTGAAGCGAGGCACAGCTGCTAAGCAGTTGGTCAACAGCTTTTTTCAAGAGAACATTGAACGAGCCAGGGATAGAAATAGTCGTGCGAAGGAGCTGGAAGCGCTGCTCAAGAACCCGACCGTGAGCGATTTGGAGAAACAAAAGGAAATGAACACACTCGCACAGAAGGAGGCTCGGTTCCTGCGTTTCATCCGAACACGGGAAGTGCCTTCCAACTTTACTACCATCAAGGTCATCGGCAAAGGGGCATTTGGAGAGGTCAAATTGGTGCAACGCAAGACCGATGGGAAGATCTATGCTTTGAAATCTCTGATAAAGTCGGAAATGTTCAAGAAGGATCAGTTGGCCCACGTCCGCGCCGAGCGGGATATCCTGGCAGACTCCAAGGATAACCCGTGGCTGGTCAAGCTGCATGCTTCATTCCAAGACAACACGTACCTCTACATGTTGATGGAATTTTTGCCTGGTGGTGATCTGATGACTATGCTGATCAAATATGAAATCTTCTCGGAAGATATCACGCGATTCTACATGGCTGAGATTGTCATGGCTATCGAAGCCGTGCATAAGCTTGGTTTCCTCCATCGGTAAGAGCACTCAAATCGAAACTCTAGAGTATTCAAGCTAATCTCATTCCAGTGACATCAAGCCAGACAACATTTTGCTGGATAGAGGCGGTCATATCAAGTTGACCGACTTTGGTCTCTCGACCGGTGGTCGTAAACAGCACGAGAACTCGTACTACCAAGCACTTCTCAAGGCTGGAGCCAACGACAAGTCGGGAAACCGAAATTCCATGGCCTTGAACGAACAGATCAATCTCACAGTCAGCAACCGGGGGCTGGTGAATACTTGGAGGAAATCACGTCGTCACATGGCCTACTCAACTGTGGGGACTCCGGATTACATTGCCCCTGAAATTTTCCTCGGTCAAGGTTACACGTATCTGTGTGATTGGTGGTCTGTGGGAGCCATCATGTTCGAGTGCTTGGTCGGCTGGCCACCCTTCTGCGCCGAAGATACGCATGACACCTATCGCAAGATTGTCAACTGGCGGGAAACCTTATATTTCCCAGATGAACTGGTCTTGGGTCGAGATGCCGAAGACATGATCAGAAGGTATGTTGGAAAGACTCGCGTCGGGCTTCTGTTACTGACACGGATAGCTTCCTCTGTGACGCCAATGACCGATTGGGCAAAGAAGGCGGAGCACATGACGGGGCGTCGTCTATCAAGAAACATCCCTTCTTCCGAGGAGTGGTGTGGGATCAATTGCGGAAGATCCGAGCACCGTTCGAACCGAAGCTGTCATCGAACATCGACGTCAGCTACTTCCCCATCGACGAAATTCCTCAGGAGGACAACAGCGCAATGCACCGGGCACATGCCAAGCAGATCTCACCGGAACAAGACGCCGAAATGAGCTTGCCGTTTATTGGATACACCTACAAGGCGTTTACTGCGTTCCAAAACTCATAGAGGAAACGCCACGGCTTGCAAAATGAGAAAGAGACGAAAGAGGACCAGAAGAGTGTGAGAACATCCCATCTCTGGCATGAATGTCGACGATAGAATGCATGTGGCGCCAGCAGCGTGTCAGGGGCTCAAAATCATTCAAGATATACGTATCAAGGCGAAGTTGCTGTTCACTCATGCGGGGCGTATCCTGGTTGGGAGATGGGAGAAAGACGAGCATTTCCATGGCTATGAACCACATTTACCCAGCCCAGACAGGGTTGCATTGGTCTACAGAGATGGTGCTATCCAGGCACTCTCCTTCCTTTTCGTTACAGCTGTTTGCATGTCATAGCCACAATCTAATTGATTGAAGGAATCTTGATGCACTTGTGTTTCCTCTCTTGCACTGCCATAGCTATCCACGCTGGCTACGAATTGACAACATGGGTACCCAACTGCAGCAGGCTTTGCTACGAGCGACATTTCAGGTCGACATCTGTCGCTGACGAATGACGTCATACCTCCTTGTTACCCAGCTAGCTCGTCGGGTGTTCTGATGGCTGGAGCCCTTCCTGCTTGTCGCTAACGAGCCAAAAACGAAAAGAATCAATATTACCCGGCCTGTTTCTTGACCTCAACAGCACCTCTCTCGAGAATGGACGTAAGTCGTAGCCGTGCGTCACCCACCATGATATTGCCTACTGACCTAGGCACATTTTACCAGGTGTTTTATGCCTACACGTATGGCACGGCAGCATGGCTTGGGTTGCAAGCTGTACCGCTGGTTGTCATGCCCAAGTTGATAATCATGATGCTGGCTCAAGACGGACATCAGACCTCAGGTAAGATGGTGCCGTCCAAGCCGTGATTGTGCACGGCCTGCATCTGAGATCCTTCCTGGTCACGAGCCACTCTGACGACCCTGCTACTCCTACAAAACAGACATCGAAATCTATCTGAGTCGGTCGCTAGGCTTTGCCCTGGTACTGATTGCACTGATCGCCATGTTCTTTACGGGGACAATCCCACTGTCATCGAGCATCAGTGAGCCGGTCAGCTTGGAGGACAACGATCCCAAGGCTCCCTACGCCAGGCCGATAATACAAATTACCACCATCTTTCACAGTCTGAGCACGGTGTATTGCTACATGCGATATGTCAACTACGAACAAACGGCATACATGCTGGGAGCTGTGGGGTACGGAATATTGGCAAGTGTGGGAATATGGAGTGTGATATTTGGGAGCACAGCGGCCAGACGATCGAAAAGGACAGGGGCAGATAAGCGAACGTCGGGATTTCCCTTCAAGAACTCACAAGCTTATGACAAGAGAAAGGACAGGAAGATGGGCTGAAAATTAGAGTACGAATGCATGCAGAGAAGGAGGGAGCCCCTATTCCTTCGATACACTGAGTGTCAGCAAGACCCGGTGAATATCGAAGCAAGGATCGGCCTTGTTGGAAAGAATGCTACTCTGACGGAGTGATATATTGCCCAGTCAAGTAGTGGGGGGTGATGTGGTGATATATGTAGATTGCACTGGTGCTGACTAAATCGCCCTTTAAAATGACACGGGGTAACTTGAAATGACCAGATTCGGCCGCCGCTGCCAACTCCGTCAAACCCATAACCGAAGCCAGCTCCAAATTTCTTTTTGCCCTCCAGCCCTCCCTCCTTCTGACACGCCGCTTTATCATCCCATCTGCGCACCCTCACTCCGTCCATCAATTCCCCCTTCAGCAATGGAAGCCGACACCCTCCAAACCTTCGCTGCGGCGGTTCAACAACAATTCCCTGCATTCGGCGACGATCACGACAGCGACTCGCAAGATGCCGCCGCCGCAGCTGGTTATGCCCCTGCGAATTCCCTCGACGCGGACCCGAACCACCAATCCTATCCCATACCCCTGCCATCAGCGCCGAACGGCTCTCCGAGTGTCCAGACTCGACAACAAAGCAACAGTTTGAGGGATACCGCCAGTCCTAGTGCGAATGCCGCTATGCGAAGTCCCCAGCAGACGCGCTCCGGCATGTCGGCCCAGACTCGAGCTGCCCAGAACGCCGCTTCCACCACCCCTTCTCACAACGGTAGCAGTGCTGCGAATCCGACTTCCCAGATGCAAGCCTCACAGATGAGCCAACAGTCGGAGGACCTGCAAGGGCAGTCGGATCCCGCGCAGGACTCGAAGCCGAATGGCTTCGTCTTCAGAAATTCTACGTCTGCATATCCAAACGGCACTCCCACGCCTGCTCGATCCTCGTCGAGACAGTCACAAGTCTACACTACACCACATGGCGTAGTCCAGACTGATCCATGGGTGTCCCATCACCAAACTACGCCGTCCACCAGTGAAGTCAATGGTGCCTCCAAAGTTAACGGAAACAACGACAAGGAAGAAGCAGATCCCTCTGCTGCGGCGAACCCGTTCAGCGACACCTTTCCCTTGGTGCTCCACCCGCCAAACCTGGAAGAGTGGCGTAACAAACTTTTCAACATCACGGACACGCTGGTGTTGTCCGAGGAGGAGTTCCTCACCTACTTTCCCCATGTTGACAACGTCTACTCCCATCGCTCCACGCAGAAATACAAACGCAAGGCCTTCGTTAGCCACTACTGGGACTGTCGACTGAAGGGTCGCCCCAGTGGTACCCCGAAGAGCGATGATCCCAACAAGAAAAAGCGCAAGCGTCAGGCCCGAGAGCGAGATCTTTGCGATGTCAAGATCAAGATCACAGAGTACTTCAGTGCTGAAGAGGCAAAGAAGTTGGGGTTGGTAGGTGGGAACGACATGAACGGCGCCGACGCCGGTGCTAACGGCACGGTGGGAAGTGACATGGGCACTCTTGGAGGCATGGACAACTCCGAACTGACTATCGTCCTCGAAGACGGTACTAACGGTGTCGGTGGTGCTGGTCAACTTGGTACCGGCACCAGCGTTTCTCAAAATAATACCAACCATACTGATCCAAATTTTGGACTGCTTGAACTTCCGCGTCCTCTGCCCCAAGGACATCCGGGCGCTGATGGTAAACGATGGTACACGATTCAGCGTGTCCGAGGTAATCCGGGCGGCGGAGCAGTCAAAGACTCTAGCAAGCGAGACGGCAATGTGAACGGCGACGTCGAAGATGAGATCGAGTCATCATTGTTGGATCCCAATCTGAATGCCGACCTGGACCACAAGCATACACTTGACGAAAGCGATCGGATCAAGAAGAACAGCGTGCAAAGATGGTTGTTGAAGGAGGAAAAGGAGAAGAAACGATTGAGTGTAAGTTGTTTTTTTGCAAGCTCGTCAACCCTCGCGCATCTCTACTAGCTCTGTCCCTGGCTAGTCCCCATCGTCTAGATGATAGCACAAGGAGATCCGATATTATATCCCTCGGCCCGACTAATCACGCCTTGCTAGAAACTCCCCTCTTCAGGTATATCCAATCAATCCACAGCCAACGAGTCAGTGTCTCCTTCCTTCCGAGCCTCAGGAATGGCCTTCTTCACGGCCCGCTCCCATGCCGCGCCTGCCCCAACAAAGATGACTTTCTTCGCCAATTCGTTCTGTCCCTTTGCCCAACGCATCTGGATCGCCCTGGAGATCAAGGGTGTTCCATACCAGATGGTGGAAATTATGCCCACAGCTGTCGACACTTACAGGCCACCGGAGATGTTGGAGGTAAACCCTGAAGGGAACATTCCGTGTATCAGGCACGGAAATTGGGGCGTTTGGGAAAGTGGTGTTGTTCTGGAATACCTGGAGGACCTGGCTATGGGACATTCCCTCCTGCCGCTAGGCAACCCACAACTGCGAGCACACTGTCGCCTGTGGACCGATCATATTAACCGCAAGATCCTTCCGAGCTTTTACAGCCTGCTCCTTACTCCGCCCCCTTCGCCCAGTGTCGGAGAATTGATGGGTTTAGATGGAATGGAGGTCGACGGAGTTGCACACGCACACGTCACTAATGCCGCGTCAGCGGCACAACATAGCATGCTCATCGCCACTTTACAGAAGAACATCACGGCGTTGGTCAACGCCAGCCATGCCACGGGGCCATTCTTTCTGGGCAATGAAATTGGATTTGTTGACGTGGTTTTTGCGCCCTGGATCATCCGGCTTTCCCGCGTCTTGAGCTATTACCGCAACTTCCCCAGACCAGAAGTGGGCACGCGCTGGAGACAATGGGTCGACGCTATCGAAGCGGACGACCGGGTAAGGCGGACCGTGAGTGATGAAAATTCATACCATGGAGTGTACCGGGGCGTGGGCGAGGACGGATGGTGCGCGAAGGATGTGCATAAGCCCATTGTGGAGATTCAGTATGCGAGGAAAGTCGTTGCACAAGAAGGGTTTGGGCTCGGCGGAGATGTCTGGGGGCGTCTGCCGGAAGAGGAGGTCGCCCACAATGCCAATAGTGTTGGGCAACCCCTGTCATGAGTGTGCATGCAGTAAAGTGAGACCTGGGACGAGGGATTCATGGCAACAAGCATTGAATGGCTACCGAGCTGAATATTTCTGACACGATGATATGGTACATTGAGATCTCTTTGCAGCAAAATGTGGGAAGCCCTGCGGTCATGGATCACGCTGGATCACGCCGTAAGCTTTGGCTTCGTGGCCACTGCGTGCTCCTGGGACTGATAACGCGGTTATGATATAGAGAGCCGGACGGAAAATTGACTGCTGTACTTCTTCTCGCTTCTCTCTCGGATCCCGAAATGGCCATCTGATCTCCATCAAGCAGTCATGGGATCTAGCCCACCCGGATTTGACAAGCACCAAAGACGCTCTACAAGTTTCTCCCTGTACTTGCCGGATGAGCTCTGCTCTGCCATCTGGCGGATGTCGGTATAGAATACATTCATACATATGTACATATATGTATTTCACGCGGTTACACCCCGGTGTTGAAAATCGCTCTCCTTATACCATGTACCGCCGTCTTATTGTGACCCTCTCCCGTCCGTGCGCCACCATAATGGACCCCGGCACTGTTATCTCTGCTGCTCGAGCTCCCACGTGGATGGTGTTGTGAGACGCCTCATCGAAGCTGGCCGGACGCTCCAGCGGGGTCTGACGCAAGTTATGAATGAATGCCCTTTGGTGTTTCACAGGTTCGGCAAGGCCCATCTTTCGGGACATGTTGCCGATCGACACACATCGCCGTCGAACAAGTTCAGTTCCTCTACAACTCTTGTAAAATGGCATGGATAAACGCCGTGCCATGCCAGAACACTCGAGGGGCGTCAGTCCCGTTACTGGATACCAGCCTCACTAGCCTCTTCTGGAAGCCGGTGGCCCCACTCCAGCCACCTTTGGCGTAGAATTAGGCTCAGTGCATCACCTATCATTGGTCGAGTGGTCTACCCGCCACTTGCCTGTTCCAACGCATTTTGTACCCCAAGAAAAGGATGGCGGGAAGACTGATCTGAATCTCTCAGTATAATACTTGTGGGTGCTTGCAAGTGCAAAATGGAGCAACTCACCACACACCTTGACTCTCATTTAGTACACAATATCTGCCGTTCGGTGCGCTCTCGGGCGCTAGCGAGCTCTGCATAAACCGCACATTTCGTGTCCAGACAATCCGTACATACCAGTTATTACCAGAAAATGTCTCGCTCAAGATGTCTCAGAACACTTCTCGTCCTCGGCCTCGCTACTCTGGTCGCCTCAGTTCCTCAGCCGCAAAGCGTGACAGCAACCACAGCGACCGACCGGCCCTTTTTCCAAACGCCCACGCTCCCAACTTCGACCTCTGTTGTCAGCGGGGACAACAACACCCTCGGCAATCAACCACATGGCACACCGGTCACGCCGAAACCGTTACCCTCGTCACCTAGCATAGACCCGAATCTTGTCACGTACACAGATCTAGCGCGCAGCACCGTCGTCACAGCCACAGTTGTCACAACGGCACCTATACCAACCTACTCCGTCGGGGTGCCTCCTCCCATGAGCGCTGTCTCTGCTGCCACGAAGGGTGCTCCGGCAGCGACGATGTCTTCGGATGGGTTTGTGCAAGTGATTGCGTATGAGGGAGCAGCAACGTCCCTGTTTCTCGATTGGAGAGGGATGGGGTGCTTCATTGGGAGTGTTGTTTGGCTGTTTGGGAGGGCTTGACGTGCCGCAAATTCTGGTTGGAAATTGTTGGGCCAGCTTCGAAGAATGCGCATAAGCCTGAAGGAAGTCCAAGAGTCAAATGCAACAAAGTACTCTTGGTCTTCCTCGTCAGTGTGATGATGCCTGAAATGGGGAGGCTTGGGTTTTCTCCCGAGCTCCAAACACAGTACGGAAACCGGACATCGACCTCGGGAACCCTCATCCATCGCCATTCGGCTGAAGCAGAAGCCGCACCTGGTCGAAGGCTGAACAGGGATCTGGAGGGCGGGTAGCGTCTCGACTCGAGTGGCTACGCTTTTCAACTCACCGTGGGTGCCGCCCCGTTTCGCGGTAGGGATCACGAACGGGATTGTTGAACGGCCCTGGATACTCGCGGGGTAACATGCTGTGGCAAAAGTCGATAATATCTGCTGCGTGCCAAAGAGTACGGAAGACAGACATTCAACAGTATAGATTTATACAATATACTGATGGGAGTACTTACCATTGAGCGACGCGCCTGTCCTTGTGTTCTATCACAACTCTAATCAAACGCCATACCAGCTAGCGAAGCAGCTACAGTCGCGAATCGATTTTGTTTCCGTCCTCGTCAAGACGATTGCCCATCATATCACATCTCGGTCTGAGACAAATGCGTCTGTAACCGCACATACCACTGACATACCCAAACTCATGGTCATTCCTACACTCGGGTAGGTTCGCAATTTCCTCGCTGATTAGCCCCTTTTCTCCCCCATCTCCCGCCCACTCGTCCTGCTGGATGGCCTCTCTACATATCGCCAGAAACACTGATTCCACGGTACCTCCTCTTTGAAGAAAATTTCTAGTTGCAGGTGGCCACTCGCGAGCGGATCTGACAACGTCCAACACATTGGATGTGTTAGGCACGGCCCCTCTCTCTAGACAGGTCCCAACGTGCAGCCAGAGATTCACAAAGCCCTGACGCATGGACTTGTTTGTGGTGAGGTTTTCCAGCACCCGCAAAGGCAAGTAACCGAGATGAGTCTTCCAATATTCAACCCAGTCTGGCCCGGGCAAGTGATCGATGTCATCATCCATCATATCGTGTCCGAGGTGAGCCTGAGATAGGAGAGCGCGCGACATCCTAGGACTCAAAAAACCCCTCAGACATTGTCCGCACGTGCATCCGCCAGTTATTCGCAGCAAGGCACCCAGACCCTGGGCTTCTACGAGAGACTCCACGGACCCTAGTCCTTTAAGCAAGACCAAACAACGGACAGCATCATCATTATGTCCTTCGAATCGGTCGGAGACATGTACAGTCAATTGGTGGACAACCCTCTGCGTGCGGAGTCTTTCGAGTTTGAATTGCACTAATTCCAGAGGGGTTTCGCCCCGGTTGTTGCGCATTTCAAGAAGCCGAGCTCCGAAACTTTGCTTCAAAATCCATCCCACGCATGCGACGTTGAATATTGACGCAGTCAGATGAAGGACTGTATTGCCATCCTTATCCTTACTCGTCCAGCAGGCATCGGCTGAGCCCGTTTCTTGCATACAGTTCGAGAGCACGTCAAGAAAGTCTGGGGATTCGCGAGGCTGCGGGTTCAATATTCGGTTGAGAGGGGACGGCGGAGGGTCGGAAATCTGCTGTAATGGGGTCAAGAGGGAATGGAGAGTGGTTGAAGGCGGCTTTGGAGGGTTGAAATCCTCCATTGAGGTAAGCTGGTGAGAGGGATGGTCGTTGTCGGGAGCCAGGGCAAACCAGATCGTGGATCCCACCCTTCGAAATCCCAAAGACCGGTAAAACATGGTAGCCCGGTCATGTTCGCGTTCTTCCAATTTCTGTCTTTCTACACCGTCTGGTAAGCTGTCCCACTCCTCTCTGAGGTCGTGCGATCTTAAAAAGGTTGGCCAAACGAAAGCAAAGAAAGACCAAGTCTTCTCTCGGGCCCGTGTCAACAGTGCCTCAATCATTCTTCGACCAAGTCCTTGTCTGCGGTAGTCTTTGTTGACAAAAACCTCTTCAATGAGGAGGATATCCCCATGATCCAGTTCCTGGCCCCAGACACCAGTGCCCTTGATGACGGGGTGGGTTTTGAACTCAGATCTCAGTCGACCGTACCGGTCGAACAGGTCAAACGCGAGCATTGATGTCTCTTCTGAAGGTCGCTCCATCTGTTCATAGAAATCGTCCCGCATTTGTCCTCTTCTAATCAACTTCGCGTCGCAGTATGCAACCCTCATCGGCTCGTCGTGTTCGTCTGGGTTTGCAGTAGGAATTACTTCGACAACGATTGGTTCTAGCCACTCGAACTCATAATCCGGATCATTCTCGGAGCGGTCTTCGTCCTCGCTAGTGTCTTCATTACTCTTATCTTCGACGTCTAGGTCGCTTTCATCGCCGTCGTCGTCAATTTCGTCGTCGCCCTCATTTTCATGTTCCGCATCACCTTCGGTCTGCTCGCCAGGCTGGCAAGTCACGACATCGTCTCCTCGACCCTCTTCTGCATCGATACCTTTCCCGGTCTTTCCTATGCTCATGGGCATCCTTTCGAGGGAGTCATTTAGGTGAATATTGCCAGCATCGCCATTCTCAGAGGGAATTTTTGCCTGCTTGTCAGATTCGTCTTCGTCCTGAGATGGTTTAAGACCACGATGGACCGCAAAGTAAGCTGATGCGTGATGTAGTGTAGAAGCTGGTCCTCCATTGGACTGCTCCGAGAGGATCTTTCGGTATAGCTCTCGTTGAGGCAGTGCAAACTCTGGGTCATTGCGGGCAGCCTTAGACTGAGATCTGAGCTGAACCACTATTTTAAAGTCCCCACAGATCTCTGGAAGGTCGGGAGTACCAGACAGGTCCTAACATTGAAATTAGAACGACGAATATATATTAGGCGAAATCCTTTCACCTGATCAAGTGGAGAGTCTGTCGTTTCGGTACGAGCATATTTGGCTGTAGGGTGACCACCGTCGCTAGCCCGACGCTTGCGAAGGCTCATTGTGGAGGATTGTCAATGACTTGAGTCGCTTACTATCGAGAATGGAAACAAGACTGATGATCTGAAGACGGAGAAAAGACAATAATGAGACCTCGAGCAGGAAATGACTCGTAATCACACCAGGTACGGTGATCCATGTAGGGAGCCCTGCTTTATAAGTAGGGGGAGATGGAGAACTAGAAACGACGAGGCATGTTCAAGGGGCGAGATGGTTGCCTGAAGAGGGGTGCAATGATAGCAGTTTGCTGCACAGCACGGCAACTGCGAGGAAGAGGGCGTTTAGTGGGATTAGCCTTACAATGGACTCCAGGTGACAAGGGTGACCTTGGTTCCACTAGGTAGGCGCTGCGCCTTGCTTCCTGGGCAGGGACAGGCCTAGGGAGCCACTGGGCTTGGCAACCATATAGGTCAAGGTGCTCCTTAGCAGGAGATAAGGCACATAGAAGGCGCGACATCAAGATATCAAGGTCGTGAGAATAATGAGCACAACAGGAAGGAAAGGGCGCGATGCCGGCTGTCAGAATATTGTACGAGGTACAGGCGGGGAGACACGGATGGTGGAGAAGCCGGTGGAGAACTGGGGGGCTGAAGCGAATATGAAACGACGACACACGACGAACAGTTGTCGAGGCCAGGACGACCAAGGGAAGAAAGTATAAGGAGAAGGCCGAAAGGCAGGAGGATTATCATTACGAGCACGTAGCGCTGTCAGAAGGGGAGGCTCATAAGCGTCCACGTATTGTTATGATTACCCAACCGAGACCGGCAGGGACATGTAGAGCGTCACGGGCCCGATCAAAGCGTCCTCTGAACGGAAATGGTAAGCGATAAAGCAACAGTTCGGGATATATCGATATATCTCGATAGTTATATATATAGTCACACCTGGAGCTCATCCTTATATGCACATTGTATCAATTATGTACCTCGGTGCATGGACAGAGTCAATGTCAATCGAATGATTGATGGCATAGCGATCTACACCTTCTAAACTGAGGAGAAAAGGAGTAATTGAGGTATGGGCGGCGGCGGCGTCGTAGTAGTAATAACAATGCATTCATTTATTCGTTGTCTTGTCTACCAAACCGGATTTCCATGCCATGCCATGCCCGCTCTATATGCCCCGCCGGCCCCCAGGTGCCCCCTTTGCCCCTCAAAATGCCCTGGTACATACAATGAAAGGTCACATCATGAGCCAGCCCCCCACCCACGGGGAAAGGGCGTGAGGGGCGCAGTGATGGCTCCGTTTTACAAGAAACCTCTTCCGGTGGGGACTCCTCCTCTCGTAAGAGACACACAGACAGACAATGAAGAAACTCGGTCCCGCCTGGCTGGACGCAGGGCTCCCAGTAGGTTGCCCAGCAGTACAAGGCCCGTTCTCGACCCGTTTCGACTTGACTCGTCAACTCAGAGAGCGAGGAGGAGGAGGAGATGGAGGAGTCGTTTGATCATGAGGTCGGTCGGTCGGTCGGTCGGTCGGTCGGTCGTTCGTCCGGACTTGCATCAACAGTCAGAGGAAGGAGGAGGAGGAGCAGCAGCAGCAGCAGCAGCAGCAGCAGAACTAGCGGTATCACCCGTGCCGATTGGACGGGGACTTATTGCTGCTGTCGGGGCCGTTTCGAGCTGTGCCGTTGTGCTGGGCGAGGGCCTAGGTGCAAACCCAAAGCCACCGCGGCCGTTGCCATCTGGCCCTCGCGGTGCGCGGATGGGTTCCTGGACGAGCTGCTGAGGCGGCGGCGGCGCAGCTCCCACCCCGTTCTCCCGCTCTCGTCGCTGGATGTATGCCGAGTCGGGCCTCGCGGCGTACGAGGGCTCATACAGTTCCCGGTGTTGCGATCCGCCTCTTGACTGGTTTCGAGAGTTGAGGTTGTGGTTCCCTGCCAAAGCTGCTCCTGTTGCTGCTGATCCTCCCCCTCCGCCGCGACGCCCTCCTCGACCACCTCGACTTCGATTCGGCGTCGCAGACCGCGATCCGGGCGGAGTCAGGCTCCCCGGACTGGAGGTGCCCGACCTGTTCTGGGCGCCGGACTGGTGGTGGTGGTGATGGTGGTAGTGGTGAGCGGACGGTGTTGTACTAGGGGCACCACTGGCGGTCCCGAACAGCTCTTGTCTGCGCTCCTCGTATTTGCGCTGTTTCTCCTCGCGGTGTCGGGCCGCTAGGGCTTGTCGTTCGGCGGCGGAGAGTTCGCGGGCCTTGGCTTCCTCGTCTTCGTCGTCGGACGACTCGCGACCCGCCGAAGAGGCATTTTTGTCCCCGTTCAGGCTCAGGTCCTGGAGACCGGCCGTCGGCGGTCGAGGAGATTGTGACTGGGCGACTATGGGGCCCTTTCGCGACAGGAGGATCGGAGGGGGTTTGAACTCAGACCGTAGCGGGACGACGTTGCGCGACTCCAAGAAGTAGTTGGTCTCTCGGGGTCCTTCACTGTCGTGTCGGTCACACGTAAGAAAGAAATTAGCATGGAGACAAGGCGCGGAAGAAGTTTCCCTTGGAAGAATGGCGCATACGCTTCGGCCCATAGCTGGCGGTTGAATTCGGCCTGCTGAGCCCTCCGCTGGGCCTTGGTCACTTTGGACGAGACTCTCTTGGGATCCGTGGGAGGAGTTGTCGATTTCTGAGAAACAACCGGTGCTTAGCAATCAATTGGAAGACCGGGGGCTCTCGACGACGGACGGCCTCACATACATCGGCGGTGCTGGACCACTCGTCCTCCCAGGCATCGGGAACCTTGCTCATCGCCGGGCGCTAGAAGGGTTCGGCGGTGGGAGGTAGGGTGAAAAGAGAAGGAAAGTGGACAGAACGGAGGGTGGACATGTGCTGGAATGTCTGATGACTTCTCGTTCCAATTAAAATAGTTGTGGACAACAGCACGACTTCTACTCGAAATCTATCTTCGAGCAGGTGGGGTGCGATCAAGAAAGAGAGAGAGGGAGAGAGATTTAGTGAATTACTTGTCGTCGGAGGAAGGGTGGGACACGGCGAGACGGATCCGCGAATCTGAGTAGTGCCGGGAACAAGCGCACATGGTGTGGAGAGAGAGTAAGGTCTAATATGCTTGTAATATGCTTGCATACATAATGTTTGCTCTTCTTCAACTCCTGATTAGATTAATCTCAAGGTAAGGTAGTGTAGCTACTCTGCTACCCACATGCGTATATCCACGGTCGATCAATATCGTTGCCCCTTCTCCCATTCCATTTCCATCAGGTAAACCCCTAGCTGGGGCCATGTATGTAGGTCCTATTGCGTCGAGTGGTCTCACACGCGGACTGGGGACCATCTCAGAAGTCCCTCGAACTCCAGTCCCAGCCTGAAGTTTTGTCAGGAGTCACGCGACGCAGCTTCCCGGTATGAGGCATCCACAAATCGACTGTGAAAAGACCGTCCCCTGGAGAAGGTCGACGCTGCGTCGCTTCGTTTCCTCTTCTCCTTGCCCTGCGCAATCTTTTCCCACTCTTCCCACTCCCTGGCGATCTCACCGAGGACCGTCGCCATGGCTGATGCACTCGCCATGAGACCGTGGCCCTCACCGTCCAGGATTCGTAGTTCACATCGCTTCATCACGCCGTGCAGCCACCGGACGTTGTCCAACGGAACCCGGGTGTCCTTGGCTCCATGGTGAATCACAACTGACCGGGTCACTTCGGGATACCGAAACCCAATAGGTTTCCGCCGCTCAAGACAGACCAGGAGATCAATAGCAGGGTTTGCGTTTTGAGTGGAGAGCGTCCAGATGCGATGTGTCAGTGTCTGATTATAGAGTGCCTGACGAGCCTCGGGACTCAAGCGTGGGGACATGGGTCGAGCAGTCGCAGCAGGAGCCTTGGTTGATGAAAACGTCTGCCTTCCAGTATCGGACTTTGGACTGGACAGAGGCGGTGGTCCGGGTATGCCCAGTGTTTCATTATTGGCTTGGTAGCACGATACGGCCCGTGCTCGGTTCGGTGTGCCTGTTCGCGGTCGCTCGGGCTCAAAGTCAGGAAGGGCGGCTCTGAATGAACTGTCGTCGTTGATATCTTGGAAAGGGTAACCAAACGAAGCGTCTAGACTCTCTAGTTGTTGCTTCGCCTTTTTGGACTTCAGCGGCTTCGTGTCCACGGAAGCACTGGTCGCAGTCAAAAACCTCGAGTTGGCGACCTTTAGGATTTGTGCTGGCAGAACACTCAGGATTTTGTGAGTAAAAGGTAGATTGGCAATTGGTTGCGAGTCGGGCCCAATGACCGCTCCTTTGGGCATCTGTGAAGGCGGTATCCATGGTGCCAGGAGATGAATGCGGCCTCGGACGTATTGTGGCATCTTCAAGGCAGTTGCCAGAGCGTAGATTGCGCCAGCAGAATGTGCCAGGAGAGAGAATCTCGTGATTTCCAGCGAGCTGCAAATGACGGCCACATCATCGACCCAGTTCAATGGTGTACACTGAGATTCGGGTAAGGCCGAGCTTGCACCCACTCCCGGTCGATCGGGGGTGATTAACCTCAAGCGTAAAGTCCTCGCCAGCTCGTCGTAAAAGGCTGTGAGGTATCGGGTCAAGCCCATGCCAACACAACACAAAACCACGAAGCCATTCGGATCTCCCACTTCTGAAAAGGCGATGGTCCGGCCAGTCCGAGGATGCCGAATCTTTTGCGTGAAACGGGGCGCGCTGAGAAACGCATCAACTTCTTCCGTTATAGACTTCATCTCTGCGACGGCAGGCTCTTGCTTGGTCGTTTGGGTCATGGAACTCCGTTTTCCCTGGGCTATGGAGTTCCGGTAGGTACTGTTGCGTCGGGAGGGTGTTGCACCCGACGGGTTCGACATGACGCTGCCCATGAGAGGCGGTGGAGGTGGTGGTTCTTCTTTAGGGGCTTCTGGAACGAAGGCAGGCATGTCCGCCAGATCAGATGCGGTGACCGTGGCGGACAGATCAAGCGGACTTTCCACTTCGGGCGACTCTACTACCACCTCGGTAACAGAGAGTCTGGAAGTTTGGTACGGGCTTGACCGCTGCGACGACATTTTGGGGGTGGCGATGGTGTGTCGCTTCGCTGCTCTCTCGGACTTGCGAGCCTCGTTTCTCCACTCCTTCTGGCGCTTCTCCCGGGCTTCTTGCAGTTCCCGGATCCGTCTGACAGTCGAGTTATCGCCTTCGATGAGTTCAGAATCGATGTTGAGCTCTTTCAGGTCACGACCAGAGAAAGAGTGTCTCGTCTGCTGCTCCTGAGAGACATCTGGAAGACCTGTGACGCTGCGTCTGAGCGATGATCGGCGAGAGGGTATCATATGGCTTCCCAAGTCACCCCTGCTTAGTCTCAGAGCAGTGATGGTAGGACTCTCAGCAGGCGCTGGGTCAGTGTGTGCTCCCAGACTCGATCGGCCGTCAATGGACGATGCGCGAGTCGGCCACCTGTTGTCTTTCTCGTGATCGATGCTATAAAGAGATTCGGTCTTCCGTCGTCTATCTGACGAAACCCGCCTGGGTGGATTAGGCCTCGTTGCAGCCATCTCGCGCATTGACTCGGTGGTTGGTTTCCGATGAGGAGCGCTTAGACCACTGACGAACGAGAATGTCGAACTGGCGCTAGATCGATCTCGTCTCTCAATGCTAGGCACCCCGACGCTGTCAGACTCGGCGCGCGACTTAAGGCTCTGTATAGACTCTCTTGTGGCCAGACCACTCTGAGATGTCATATTCAGGGAGTGAACGAAAGATCTGCTCGACCGTTTGGACAACAGCGGGGGCCTTCTGGCGTACTTGATCACCGGCGGAGCGGCAGACTCTCCCTCGCTGCTATCATCGGCGGTAGGAGGATCGTGCTGTTCCCTGTCCAAGTCATCTGCATTGGGTGGCTCTGTCGAGGTCGAACGTCTGTACAGATCCCCAGAGATATGTATGCCGGCGTTCGCGCCAGGATCTTGTCTCGCATGTGACGAGGCGGATATTTTGCTCAGGGAGTCGATGAGCGAGGAAATGACTTGGACTGATTCTGGAGGAGTTTCCGGGCGGTCGGAGAAAGGTGGTATTTGCGCGGCATTAAAGGGGGGAGAATCGACGTTGGTCCGAGGGGCCAAGGTATGATCGTATTGATGCTCAAAAGATGCAATATGGTTGCGATGGTCCATGCCTTACATTCCAGGTGGGAAGAGGCAGAAGAGCCGGCTGTAGAGACTGTCTCGAGGCAGATGCGCATGCACGGTCGAGGAACGGCCCAGGAGGCGGACAGGGGAGAGGCGCCTTTTGCTACAGCCAATCGGGGTCAATTCGTGGGACTGGCGAAATTTGGGGTGGGATTTGGCAGAGAAGCCGCGCCTGTGGGCTCGAGGTCATATCTTAAGACGTGTCAAAAGGAGACATCTGGTGCTGCATTGCAGGCTCAGCGACTGTAGAATAATGAATGCGCAACGAAGGTATGGGAGAGGGTTGGGGTGAGGGAGGCTGCTGGAGGTGCATACCGCAGTGCAAGTGTTGAGCCCTGCGCCGGGGATGTTTGCAAGGACTGGATAGTGGATTCTCAGTATGTAAAGCAACCACACAGCGACCCATCTCGGAAAATTAACCTGCAGTCTGACCATAGAAAAACGTGCCGTTTCACCCAACACAGCAAGGTGCCCGTCAACGGCCAAATCGCGAGATTCGTACCCAGATCTGTCCTCTGTGTCGAACAAGGAGTACCGAGTAACACTTGGAGGGATCGAGGATCACCCAGCTCCAAAGATAAGCCAGCAGTTCTACCTCAAGCCAAGCAAAGCTGACCTTTATGTTCCCGTAGAGAATGTCCCACGGTCTCAAAGAGAAAAGGCGCCCTGTCAGACCTTCACACTTTCCCTTTTGCCTTCAAGGCTAGCTCGAGAACTCCGAGGCGAACCAGAGCGCTTGGAGATCATCCGTTCATCAGCCGGTCGGCATGGTCGATGCACGAAACACGAGCAAGGTTCAACTATGATTGATCAGCAGCGGAAGAGCTTATTGCCCTAGCTGCACTCTGCGGAGACACCCCTGGCCGTCGGTAGAGAGAGGGAGTTGCACTGGTCAAGCTAGGGTGCCTTTTCCGCAGATTCTCCATTGGATTGGTGGCTTCCTGTGCCCTGACGGAACAAGTCTGTTGACCACGCACATAGCGGTACCACCATGATTTCACGATGCATGTGGAGTGCGGACATACTGTATTACACGTTCCTACCGAGAACAGATACTCACTGCACATCGCACCCAAGTACAAGAATAATGCACACAAATCGGATTAGTCTCGCCAGGAGGTCCAATTCTCCTCAGCTGTGGCGGCAGTGCGAGTCGTCTAGGTATGTAATGGAGTCTAATTGTGCGGTATTTGACCTCTATATCTAGGATATGGACAAAAGCCGACCCGTACCGAGTATATAAGACACAGTGCTCTAATATGGCGCAAAGTGATGTCGAGCCATCCCCCAGCCACGTCCAATCGCTCGTAGGAAAACAGAGCAGCGTGTGCCGACTTGTCCGCCATCTCTGTGCTCGACGGACCCTCTAGCGACGATGTATCGTGGTATCTTCCAAAAATCAAGATGCTCCTTCAAACACCAACAGCGGACCTCCGCTGCTGATGCATCCGGAATGCAATATTCTTTTCCTGAACTCCAACGCTCAAGGACAACATGTATTCTTTCACTTTTCCGTAGACGCCAGTGTATCCCGTTTGAAAACCCAAAGCAGTTTGAGACGCTCAACACCAATCGGTGCCGCTTAGCAAGTCGTGAGTCGTGGTGGCGTGCAGGAACCTGCCACCGTGGATGATCCCAGCAGAGAGGAGTCATGGAGGAGACGTTGGGCGCATGACGTATCATACGGTGACCGGCAAACCCGCTCGTAATCTTTCTCGTTCCTCACCAAAGACCCTGCGCGACATTTCCAGGACCATTTCGAAGCCTTCCCGGCCTCGGGCGGCATTTTCTCGAAACCGCTCAATACTGGCTTCTTCGATCTTGGTGCGGATCTTTTGCCACCCACCGCATAATGCCACAATCTTGGCTTGCTGGTGGAATTCCGTCTTGTGTGTCGCGTCGCTGGAGGAGGCCTGATAAACCACGGTCTCCCGGCATTCCAAAAGATTTGACCAGGTCATGTTTGTGCTACACATTGTGACTTTCTTCGAAGCCGGATCCACGTACGAGACTTCGTAGACATAGCTCGTAGTTTCACCTCCGATAATGCTCAGAATCCATTTCGGCGCGTTCTGTTGGCATGTGATGAGGCGTTCGGTGCGCAGGATGCCCGTCTGAGGGTCGATGTGGCGCGAGATCGTGTCAACCGCCAAAACATGGGAAGCTTTATCGTTCCAAGGGCAGTATTTCCGCCAGTTGTTGGTACTCACTTCCTCCCAGGAATAGTCGAAGGTGTAGGACGACGAAAAAATCTTCATGGTGCCAGGCTCCAACGGGAGAAACTCGGGGGGTGATTTGAGAGCGGTCGGCGGTTGATAGGTTCGAAGAGTTCTGTTCAAGGGAATGAATTATTGTTCTATTGATCACAGACTTTGTTCTAGTTGAGGTCGACTGATTTTCGAGGTCTACTCTGAGCTTCAGCTGAGCTAGAGGTTTAAAAAGAGTGTGGGAGGGATTGATATCAACGTGAATATCGCTCGTCGTACCTTCGCATGCGGAGGAAGAAAAAGGAAAAAAGTGAAAAATAGCGAACCCGATTACCGGAGTTCCTCCCTCGGGTTTTGTTTCTGAGCGCACGGGGAGGATCGGATGAGTCAGGTCACGTGGGATTCCTCGCCTCAACAATTATGCTGAGAAAGCATTACGTCTGACAGGCAAGCTTGGAGCTGATCACGCTGATCCCTGGTTGGATGTTGGACGTCAGGCAGAAGCCATTTTGCAACATCGATCTCTTGCCTTCCCCATCCGGAGTCTCGTCCATTCCTATCATTATTTCTCGAGCCATTTTCGGGACAGCATCGCCGAGGTGTGCCTCTCAAGATCTGTTGCCATTCGCCCGCAGTTCCCGCAAATCTATTTCCTATGACATAGTCCGCACCTCACTCAGCTCTCATTCATCATGTCGGAATACTGGAAATCAACGGTACGTCAGCGCCTCTTCGTACTATAAGGTCTCTATGGCCCGTCACTAACTGATCAACAGCCGAAATATTGGTGCAAGCATTGCAGCACCTTTGTCAAAGATACTCCCCTTGAACGCAAACAACATGAGGGAACCACCAAGCATCAAAATAACCTGAAACGGTTTCTTCGCGACATCCAGAACAGTCATGAGCGAAGCGAACGGGAAAAAGAGCAGGCGAAGTCAGAAGTCGACAGGCTGAAGGGAGTCGCTGGTGGTGACACAAACCGACCCTCGAGCTCTTCACAGCAGGCCGCTCAGTCTGCATCGAAAACTCCCTCCGGCCCTCAATCCACTGCAGATCGGAAGAGACAATGGGCACAGCTGGCCGAGATGGGAATCAAGGTCCCTGAAGGGTTCCGCTCTGAAATGGCAATGGCGGGTGACTGGCAGGTGGTGTCACAACAAACAACTGATGAGACACCATCAGAAGCGCCTCTAAGTAAAGGTGTCAAGAAACGCAAATACGAAGGCCAGGATGAAGAAGAGGAGGAGAAGAAAGAAGCTGGAGAGGCTGTCGTGCGACGCGGTTGGGGTGCTGCCACCAAAAGATATCCTGGCCATGACAAAGCCGACCTTGACGACCTCTTGTCAGGTTCGATCTCAGTGAAGAAAGAAAAGTCCACATCCTCGGTCGCGCAATTTAAAAAGGAAGAGAAGGACTCTTTGCAACAGGGAAACAACCCTGTGCTCAATCAAGATGGGCGCGAAGGTGGAGATTGTACCTCTCTCAAGGTAGAATCTCCTCTCCGCAGCCGCGCAAACGACGATGACCCTGTTCTGAAAGAGGAGCCAGGCTCATCACGACCGTCTAAGTCTATGGACCAGATCCCTGAGGAGATTCCAATTCCTGTATTCAAGAAACGTAAGGCTAAAGTATCCTGAAACACCAGAACTGATGGCATCTCGCTGGTATGGTGGAATCTAGGCCGGCAAGAAGCGAACCGGAGGCAAGATAAGCGAGATCATGGGCAAGCCAACCTTTGATTGTCGACTGATTACGTTCAGTTTTGGCCCAAACTCTGTTGCCAATTTTGCAGAATCATTGGCCCTGGGCCTTGATTGACCAAGTTGTGGCACGAACTTCTCAAGTGGCGTAACCACGTGGGAACAGCGTGATACAGATACTACAATACTGACGATATGACAGCAGTGACAGGATCATCCTCGTCTCAAACGTGTTGCGCCCCCAAGTTCCGTCAAGCGAAGACACAGTACAGTAGGTTGGTTGCCTGCGCAGTTGCACGGTGCAAGGCACCCGAACCCAAATTGGAGCCGGGGCTACCCTCAGTCGGCCTTTTCTCGTCTGAAGGGAGGGGCCGGCAAGAGAACCACGGCACAACTCATGTAAGGACTAGTACAACATCAGCCAAACGTCAAACATAGACGTCTGCACCCAAAGTCAATGTATCGGCCAGGCTGAATGCCATACATACGTGTGACTTGTTTCGGCCACTCGACGTTCTTGATGGCGCTGCTCTTTAGGCGAGGGTTTACGTAGACTGATAAATCAACGTCGTCATCACTGACCGCCTCCGGTTCTTTAGAAAGGTGTCATGCATGACCTACCTGTCACCATCAACCAATTGCACGCCGGGGACAGGTCGAATCATTCCAGTTGTCATCCTCGTTTATTCCTGATTATGCCGAGGAGCGCTCGATGCGCCCTGCCGTCAAGGAGGGCACAAGCGGTGCGTTACTTGCGGGAGTCGTCTCCAGGAGCCTAAGGCAAGGGCCTCTCGATCGCCTCTGCACAACCTGCATGCTGCTTGTGCTGCTCGCTTTTTAGTCCCGCAAGGGATCTGGCTCGGTCGGAGAATATTGTGCTGCACGGTTGCATGATTTCCGACCCGAGCACGCTTCTGTCAGTCATCCTCATGATCTCGACGGGAGACCACTTTCGGTGAAAGCCCTTCCACTAACAGCTTCGGCCACAATTTGGCAGTTTTGGTCGCCGTGCAGGACTAGATAGGCTACTATCAGGAGGGGCCACCGCCTATGATGGGCGAGTCGAGGCTGGCAGGGGTCGAGGCCTCTGGTCAAGTACCGTCTCAGGGTATGATTTCATGCACCTTCTCGAGTTGAGCAGGCGGGCTCATGTGACACCAAAGCCACCCTCGAGACGACGGTTGACAAATGGTACCTGGGTGGTACCGGATCCAGTGCGGGCCACCATGCATTGTGGCTGGGCGATCATGACGGCTGGAGGAGCGTTCCTGGGATGATCAACGAGGACAAGTCCAGAGCTCGAGAGGGGGCAGGCCTGCCAAAGCAGAGGCAAGGCACATCTCGGAGCGAGGTCAAACTTGTCTCGCTACGAAGCACATACAAACTTTAAAAAGGCTAAAAAGTGCCCTGTGCGTCGGAGACGTGTGGATGAGGGACGCTCGTGGTGGAGTATCGCGAGTCTTTGGGCCGACGTGGACTTGTTCGAGGACGAGTTTTCCCTGTGCTATTTTTCCAACTAGTTTGTCTGGAGATTTTCGAACACTTGTTTCAGTCGATAGCGTGACGGGGGTCATGGTGATCAAACAGCAAGGTCGCAGGGATATCACACGCCAATCCGTGGGTTGGGCTCCGAGAGTTTTGCTATCTCTTGCAGGCCCCCCTCATCCCCAACCTCTCCAATAGTCCACCGGGGGTGCAAAGCTGAATGGGTAACCGGTGGCGCACCACCTCGAGCGAACCCAGACAGGCACAGAGGGGAGAATCAGGAAGCGGAGCGCGAAGGGTCGACGAGGTAAGGCAAAGCACCAGTGGTGTTATTTTTTCCCTGGAGCCCGCAAGTCCCAGACATGGATTGATCTGGTGGGTTTGGATGCTGACATGGTCACATTGAGCGACAGCCTCAAAGGAAGGATACGGAGTACCCTGTCGGGGTGCTATGCTCGAGTAGGCAGAGTCAGGGAGGAAGTTGCATGCAAGCGCAAGTGCAGCGAGTCGACTACTGGGCTCGGTTACAGAAGTGGGCGCTGGCGGGCTTCAACTTTGCCAAAATTGTTGGTGGCTCGACTGATACGACTCCATTTCTCGAAATCCCGCTAGCAGGGTTCTAGAGTGCCTTGGCAACGGTCAAGCAGCAGCAGCGTCGTGAGGTCGTTCTCTTTCGGGACATTGCATTTAGAACGGAAGAGGGAGAGAGTCCGGGAGTGTGTCAACAAAGAACATTGGTCCTGACGGTCCGGGTCCAGGGACTGGAAGCTGAACGGTGGGACGAGGGAGAGAAGTCTGCTCTCCACGGTACGTTATCTCCCCGTCCTCTTTGTCTGGCTCAGCTCCTTCTGCCCGATTCCTGATTTGTTGAGGATGTGATTTCTTGGTTTTCCCGCCTCCATCTGGACCACATCCCCTGCCCATGATTTGAGCAATCTTCATCCTTCACCGTATCCACCGCGACCAACATACGGTGTGCGGTTGGGTACGGAGCATTTCTCCAGCCTCGACAGCTCGAGACGCTATTCCACGCAAAGGGGGAAGGGGCGGGACTATGCCCGGTTGGACATTTGTCTTTTGTCTTGCTCAGCTTGATCAATAATTGTTACCGTGTATAGCTGGCAGCCCCGATGCACATTAATGCAACCGACCTGGAGCGGGAAGCGCTAGGAGTGGAAGGGCGCCCCCCAGATGGTCCCCCCCAGTCCAGGATGAAGCACGGTCTAAAGCTGCTTAGACTCAGGCCTAACGTCGTCTGGCGTCGGGAGATGCCCTAAGCGAGAAGCCTCTTGACTGGGTACCAGGGAGGGCTGCAAACTCTTTCTTCAGCCAGCAGGGAGGGCTCAGTCGTTTGGATCACCACTCCTGGGTGACCGTTGATTGACACCGACCTGGTTCCGGGCCGTTCGGGGCAGCTTGATGGAGTCGTGCTTTGTCCGTTGTTTCCATCCCATTGTCCACCTCCTCTGGGTGCCTCCTACCTAGGCCTCGAGACCCTCCTCGCCCACTAGTGGCTCGCGGGCCTAGTATGGGCATGGGCATGGGCATTTGGAGCACGGTCGCCTTTCGAGTTATTGCAGCACCCCCCCAGAGAATGCTTGTCGTCTAAGGCGGCTGATCGAGTCGAAGCGATCCCAAGCGAGGTTCGTGCCAATTTCGCCATCGAAATCTGATTCATGCTCACCTGCGCTTCGGCACTTAGGACGTCCGCGACGCCTGGAGCAGAGAGCGACGTACTCTTATGGTCAAGGCGTTGAGCCACTGGCGACTGGTGGGCGTTTCACGGGGCCTGAATGGGGTGACCAAGCACTCCAGCAGCTCCCCCCTGCCCCGTCAAGCCCTGTCAGTGGACTCGCATGCCTGTCAACCGCCGTTCCTCCTTCCGTCCAGTGCCATGCCACTTCGCTCCTCCATCCCGGGTCATATGTTATTATGTTACTATGGTGCAGGCACACCATACCACAAACTCCATACGTTTCCTTGGGATCTTTACTTTCTTCATACCTCTGCTTTGCGCTTGGATTCCCCTCCCCTGATTTCTTTTTCGTTGTCGGTCTGCCGGATTGTGTTCGTGTTTGTCGTTGTACGTCGCTTGCTGACTTGCGTTGCCTTGCTTGTCCGGTGCAGAGACGCTCTTCAGAGACCCTCGGCGGCAAGAAAGACGAGCAAAAGCCAGTTGGGCAAAACGAGGCAGAAAAAGACCCCAAGCATTCGGCCTGGATACCGATCAGCTGGAAAAATTCACTGATGATCGTGGAACTGGTCGTTTGAGACGCACTTCCAAGGCTCCCGCTTTGGAAAGAAACCGACGACGACAAGACGACGACGAGAAATCTGCACTTTTGCCACCGTTTTTCTATCGACGTCGCTGTGCGTCGCGACTTTTTGCTGCCTTTGACCGCCTCTGCTTCGTGGGAAGGAGCGCGAGGGCGAAAAGCCACGGACCTGATGAACTATTCAAATATGACCACGGCGGCTCTTCAAGCGTCGACGGCACCGATCAGCCTGCCTCCGATCAGCAGCATCGACTTCCACTCTCAAGTCGCACACAGGCCGGAACCAGAAGTTGTGCAACCTCTCCCGCCCCCACCGCCTGCACCGCAACGTGTTCTGCCACCGCTGCCGTATCCTTACGCTGTTCGACCAGCCCCAGCACCGGTGCCGCCACCGCCTGTGCCTTCCGAGTATGTACATTCACGACCAATCTACCCGGGAATCCCGTCGCCATACCAGCAAATACCAGGGCGGATGCCTCTGCCTTCGACGTCGGACCCGAATCTGATCGTTGCACCTCCCCGACACAAAGCCAAAGAGGTGAAGAGACGGACCAAGACAGGATGTCTAACATGCCGCAAGAGGCGCATCAAGGTGAGTTTGCTCCATCTATTTTCGCACCCTCAGCCCTGTCCGTGTTCTCCATTGTGTTCCTGTCACCATCACATCACATCGTTTTGCCCACGTTACCGACACGCATGGGTTGGGCGGGTGGTGGCAGCGAGCGCATGGCAAGGCCAGAGACAAGGGACCCTTTGGGGGGGTGCTGGCTGGGCGAGGGCAAGTTTACACGGGGTGCTCCACCCGGGCTAGCGAAGTGATAGCCGTGGGTGGCGCCTAAGTCCAAATCCAGGGAGCTCCTGCCCCCCCCCCAAAGGATGCCCGGCCCTTTTTAGGCCTTGGGGCCTGGTGATCGACCATGCCATCTCCGCCCGTGTCACAAACCTTCCCTTCTCCATCCCTAACCTCAACGGCGCTACACACAATTTTTTGTTGTTATTGTCTAAGCGACTCCATCGCTCAACGCCTCTCTTCGTCTCGAGATTGCTCTCCCGTTCCTCAATCCCCTTTGGGTCCCTTTGGACCACGGCAGCACTTTCCCTCGCGTCCACCTGCGCTATTGCTAGTCTTTCCTGCAGCCGCGACCGTTTGATTTCCCTTGTCTCTCCTCAACACCGGGCGCTAACGACTCAATGTTATCGACAACAGTGCGATGAAGGCCGACCAGAGTGCAGAAATTGCATGAAGAGCAAGCGTGCCTGTCAAGGCTACGACCCGGTCTTTCAGACCCAAGGACCACACTCGCTGCACCCTGCGCCCTCGGGCTCAGCCAACAACATCAACAACAACCCACCCCCGACCTCGTCCGTCAGTAACCAGCCCCGGAGGTTTGTCACAACCCCCATCAGTCCTCCGGTGGTCAACCACCATTCCTCCATCATCGCCAGCTCCCCTCGAGATCACTCAGAATATCCTTTCCCACGGCCACCGGAACAGATCTTGCCTCACATTAATCAGCCGTATCATATGGACGCCGGGCATCAACCTGGTTTAGCCCCGTATCCACCGCCTGGACGAAGTGAGTGGAGATGAGCCGGGCGATGCCTCTTCTCTCTCGCTCTCTTGGGACTGACCTGGGGACAGTGCAATAATGACCAACGTCGGTTCTCGTCCGACTCTGAGGACCATTGAGTCCATTTGTACAATTGCTGGCACGACGATTCCTAGTGTACCACCTATTCCCCCCGATTCCGTCCCCAATCTCGAATCTATCCGGAAAGTGTACGACATTGCCTTTGCGCCTGGTCTCGACAAGCTATTGGAGGCCGGCCCGTCGAGATGGTTTGCAAGGGAAGGATTCCCTCTCCTCTGCGCCGATCGGATTCAATTGGGCAATATGTTGGCGTATTTGACTCTGGTTAGCAACCACGCCGATACGCCGACTGAGAATGCGACCCTGGCCAGTCAGGAGGCCCGAGTGACCTGGGCGCTGCTTGAGCTATGCATCCGCCCGGCGCACGACAGTGGCGAGGACGCGGATAGACTGGCCCGGCGATGTCGAGCACTGGAGGCGATCTTGACGGGCGAACCATTCAGCATTCCCACGGCAACCATGGCCGATTTTGTCCATCAAGAGGAGCCCGAACCAGAACCCAAAACAAGTGCGCTTGACAAGCAACTGGCTGGGAGATCCGAAGAATTTTGGACGTTGGTCGAAAAGGCGGCGGCGAGTCAGCGGGACGATGGATCCGGTTTGTCAGCCGCCGCTGTGAGACAATGTCGACCCTATCTTGACGGAATGGAGAATAGAGATATCATCTACAGCATGATGTTGCTGGCATCTGGTGGCAATGGCGACCTTACTTCAGAACGAGAACTTGCAAAGAGATACCTGGAAACTCAGGCGAATGGACGAGCCACGAATCAAGTGTTTGCGACTCTTTCTGGCATGGCGTTGAGGGCGTTTGAGGGATAATTCTCTAAAGCTTGGGGTCTGGTCATCAGACTTATGTCTTTCTCTACGAACATTTCATTTGTGCCGGTCTTTGCTATGGTGGTGGGCAGGATACTGAGAATGGCACACAACATACCCTTTTTGTTCTTGAGTTGGAAAATGGGAGCAACTTGCGTACTCGATCACTGCGACATTCAATAGCCGCATGCGGTTTTTTATTATTGTAACTACTATTCCTTGTGTCACATCGGGGGTGCGCTACCTATGGCCGGGAACAGGGACTCTGAACGAGGGAGGCATGCCTGGCGAGTGGATGGAAAGTACTGGAAAGGGGGCATTTCCCATACAGAAGCCGAGCGCTTGTTGAAATATTGGAGATTGTGCAACACAGAATTGAACAGAGCCGAGCTCTGGCGAAAGTATTGTTCGCCGCCTTTCGCACGCCCTTGATTGCGTGGTTTACGTATGTATTTCTCACAAGATGTCTCCGGGTCTCTGCGTGGTCCACTGGGGGGAGACGTGCCGACGGTGACGATGTCAGCCGCTATCACATGCAGATTGGGATGACAACTAGATAGACGAGGCTAACCCGACCCAATACTTACGTATCATTTTTGGAGCTCAACGAGCTGGGCGCCAGTATAAGCGAGATGCAGGGATCACCGTCGCGGGCCGGTAGCGAGTTCTAGGCTCGGTAAACTTCGCAGCCCTGCCAGAGTTTGCTCAGACAGTAAGTAGGCAAGGATGACTCTCCCTTTGCTTGATCCATATTATTCTTATCCACGAATTAAGGACCGTGTGTGGGGGGGAGGGGAGAGAGAGAGCCAGAGAGAGAGAGAAGATGGGGGGGCAAGAGGAGAAGACCGACGCCGGCGCCGACAACGACGACGAACTAACAACAGTACCCAGCGTCCAAGAAGAAAAAAAGATGGAATTGGATTGCGGTCTAGATTTGTGCCTGAGGCAGCACATCCGCACCAGCCGCAGGGAGATAGGAAGGGAGGAAAGTATCGAGGGATGCGGTACGCCGTGGCCACACCCTAAGTCAATAGCCTATAACTACCATTTCGTATATTCCTTAGCTGCATGCTCGTATGTAGAGTTTCGCACGAGCACGAGCGAGTTTCGTCAGCGAGTTGCTCGATCAGTCGATCAATTAATCAAAGGAGGGCCAAACAGGAAAAAGGACAGGACAAGACAGGACAAGACAAGAGAAGACAAGAGAAGAGAAGACAAAGAATCCCCCAAGACCACGGCACAAACAAAAAGATCCTTCCCGTCCAGGTCATACATGCATGCAGACTCTCTCTGTACATACACTATGTAGTAGTTACTCAGTAGTACTGTAGGTCCCCCATCGCACTTAGGTAGGGTAGGTTAGGTGCCGATGTATATTCGTACACCCACCCATACAGTTGCATGCTGCAGGCAGCCAGATTGCATGAACTACTCCGTACATACCTACCTACCGCCTTGGTCTCCGCTCTCGCCTCTTCTCGTCTGTTTGCGACAGCTCGCGTCGGATCGCTACACTGGCACGGAGACGGGAGCCAGGGGGAGGCTGGAGTTCGAGCTGAGGGGTAGGTCGAGGAGCTGGATCGCAGCTGGAACCGTAGCTGGATGGACGGATGGATGAGTTGGACCAGCCAACCTCCAGCCCCAGCATCGTTTCGGGGCGTTCTCAATCATTTTATTAATCCCTCGTAAGATACCGAGTCACCCAGCGAGTCCTTCGTTGTACCTCCCCTGTGTGCCTGCCTGTCTGTCTGTCTGTCTGTCTGCACGGATCGAACATCCGTGATACGAAGAGTACATACTATTGTACATACATAGCTTTGGGGAACAAGCTTTTTTTTTTTCAAGCCTCAAGGCCGCCAGGTGAAGAATAGCAACAGACGACGACAACAATAACCTTTTTCATCAAACGATGGAGACAGACAGACAGATCTTGGCTGTCCCGAGACAAGACAATGACCCATCCATCCGCCCTGCATCTGCGTACATATGTACATACATACATACATACATACTATACCCGCCTGCCTATTATGTATATTAGTGCCACAGTGCTCCCTTCGTTGTTAGCGATGTACATACTTCATTCTTCATACCGAGCAGACTATTATGTACTGTACGGACCCAAATCCACACACACCCCCGCGGGAACCAACCCCTGCATCAAAGCGAAGGACTGGGGCTGGGCCGGGGCCGGGGCGAGGCAGGGGCGAGAGGCGAGAAAGCAAGACGAAGTGGGAAACGAGAAGGTGTTTCTGTGGACGGAACCATTCTCCTTCCCCTCTCCCTCCGTATATACGAGTAATAGCATACATACACAGTTTGCCTCGATATTCCCTATTATTCTTTCATTCCGTCATATCCGCATTGGCGTTTCGGTTAACTTGGCACCTTGGTTACCCGGACCGACCCTGGCATATCCATCTCGCCATCCCCATATTATGTATGTACTACGGAGGAGGGAACCACTTTACATACATACGCACACACATACATGCATACACACATACATAGTCCCTGCTTACTTACTTGCTTAATGGGTAAGCGAGGCTCTTTTGGGCCCCCCTTTCTTCTTCGAGTCATGGAGCGACTGACTGGGAGGAGGCGAGACTCTGTGTGAATCCATCGTCATCCTAGTAGGCTCGGAGACCCCTTGCAGACCCAGACCCTTGTCTTGTACGTGGCGAGGGAGGGAGGGAGAATGAAGGGGGAGAACTGGTGGGACTAGATGGAAAAGGGAAGGTCCATAGAGAAGAAATAGAGAGAAAGAAAAAGAGAGAGAGAGAGAGAGGTACAGTAGTAATGCAGGAATCCGGTTTAGAGGAACAAACAGACTTCTCAGGGGCACCCAAAGGGAGCTGAAGGATGTACTTACTTACTGTATGTACTCCGTACGAGAGTCCAGAATCCCCATTGACCATCTCTGGCATCCTCGTGTAGGAACACAGGACTCATCATCAGTCACCGGCCCCATGACACGTTCGATCGCCCAGTAAGTAGCAGTAGGGCATGACAAGGGCACAGACATCCTCATACTCTGCCCGATCACTCAGAAAACAACCAGACGAAGCGAACGGAATCCATTGATTGCTTGGTATAGGTTTGTGTAATTCGTGGGATATCCTCGTAACTCAATCATGGTCGTGCAACAAGGATATCATTCCCCTTCGCCCCCCAAAAGCTCATGTATGTCATTGGCACTCTTTCTTTCCAGCTGCCCGATGTTCCTTGTTTGCCCTCTGATCGACCAGTCTCCAAGCCGAGTAGCAGGTGCAGTTCGACCTGGCATAGAGCCCGAATCCTTCGCTGAGATAGCCGGGTGGGCCAGGTTGAGAGGAGACAGCGACACTGTAGCTCGGCTGAAGATGGTCGGCGTCTTCTGGTTGGGCCAGCTGAACTGTTGACGAGAAGGGGCTGCTCCCAAAGCCCATAGACTCTCGCTGCGCACTCGCTGAAGCCTTTCTGTATGTTTGCCGGCAGGTTTGCTGCCCACATTGGACTTGTAGAACGTCTTGTCATCACAAAGCTCCCCCAGCCTCGCAGGTTGCTGATTTCGGACTTGGATGACCATAGTCTACCATCGCCTCCTTTCCCGCTGTGACTTGAGACATGGAGTAAACTTGCCATCTTGTCTGCATTGCGTCGTAGCGTCTTGCGGCAGCTCGGGTATGTTGGGGAGCTCCTCCCTCGTATCCTGGAGCCATTGGGAATGATATAAATGTGGCTCAATTGCCGTGCGGCCATTTCTGGAGTCGCAGCTTGCTGGTGATGTGTCGAATGTCATCCAAGACAATGAGTTGATCAACCGTCACAACTCGTTGACAGATGTAACGCGACATGAAGACAGCGCCCGGAGATGACACCGAGAGCTTTCCACGCCTCTTGTTGCGCAAAATCATTGCCGGACTTTCGTCAAAAACGTCACACAGCTCCTTCATTTCAATCATGCTTCTTTTCGACACTGACGATCCTCTTTCCGCCCATCTTTCTGATCTCGTCCTCCAGAGTGCCCTCCATATGCATTTTAGCAATATCGTCGCTCCCGCCGAGACTCTGCGCATTGATCATGATATTTGGCACGGTCCGTCGACCAGTCAATGTGGCCAAGAGGTCCTGCAACTTGCGACCCAGTGTGGGAACTGGCGCATCGTCGTCTTCATCAGCATCGTGGGGTTTGGGAACGGGGGTGGTCATCAGATCGAGTTCCACCACGTAAGGGGCGGGCGTGATGCTGTATGTTTCTAAAAGGAGGGTTTTGGCTCGTTTTGAGTAAGGGCAATAGGACTTGGAGAATATGATAACTGAAGGGACGATTTCGTTAGTACTGTACCATGATACACCGGCCAGATAGACAATGGTTTCGACTTACTCGGGCTCTTCTTTAGAATACTTTGCAACTCTTCCCGTGCCATATCCTCTCCGTCGTCCTTTGCTTTTTCGACTTTGTTCCCGTTGTATGCGGTCTCCTCACCCCTCCCATCCGCTGCGACAGCCGTGGCACCGGCGGCTTTGGCCGTGTCGACAGGGTACTTGGGCTTCTCTTTCGGCATGGTCTTCCTCCCACCGATGCTGACCTCATCATCGTCGAAATTGATGGTCGAAGTATACGGGTGATTGCCTTGAACTGGCGACGCATCGAAAATCCTCTGGTCGTCTTCACGTTGTCGCTGTTCCCTCTGCCTGTCCAGAATCATCTGCAACTCGCGGTTTGTCTGCGCCGTCAACTCTTTGTCGGACAGGGCGCCCCTCAAGATACCGCGACGGCGCGATAACGAGGCTTCGGTGGTTTTGCGGAAGTCTGTGCTCGAACCAGAGCCTGAGAAGAAGAGGAAGTAGATCAACAGAAGGCCAACGGTGAGGGCCGCCGCCTGGCTGCGTCGCATTCCCGACATTTTGGATATTGTCTTCAGATATTTGGTTTAAGCGCTGGTATTATCCGGGCGCAAAGGTCGTGCAGCGACAAGCGCTGTATAAGTGAGCAGCAGAGTCTTGATATCCCAGTCAGCCACCACTTAGTAATGTGAGAAATTCGCTGTCATGAACGGCTGCTGCTGCTGTGGCAAGCGTCACTTCGACCGGTCTTATTCTTTCAGGAAGACACACAAATCACGGGGCAAGAAGTAACAGGCAAGCAGCAAAGAGGAAGAAGATATGGCGCGATCACTAGAGTTCGTCTTATTGTTGCACCGCGTCGAAGGAAATAATAATCGATGAGCCGTTCGGAGAATTGATAGGGAAATGAGGTCAATCCAAGGGCCACTCGGGACTCGGGAGGGGGATCAGCTAAGGACCAAAGGGATTAGCCAGGCACAGGCACAGCCGTTCCAGCGCAGCCACCGATCAGACTGGTCAGGGCTTTTTCTGCAACGCACCCTAGAACCACCACCCGGTGAACACCACAGGAGACGGGACTGTGACAATCTTCAGCAGAACGAATCACATGGAGAGAAAAAATGGTCACTTGGGCCGCTCTCCAGGAGAGACTCCTCGGGAAGTGAAGACAGCGACCATACTGGGAATTAGGCGACATGGGCACCTCTCCAGGGTCACCAGCCCTAGTGGGTGACAGGTGATGGGGGGCAGCTCGGCGGGCAATTTCAAGGATCTTACCCCACACAATCAGCAATCAGGGGGCGGGCGCCGGGCGCCGGGCGCACTTGGCCCAGGCCTGCAAAACTGCTCCGATATCACCAACAAAACTGAATTGCCAATGCAAAAAAAGCAATCTGCCATTAGCGGAAAACCAGTCAAGACTCATTTCCCAAGACCGTCATGTGCCCGCGCTGTCGAAGTTTCTCTGAGACATCCTTTCCGATGATAACGGCTAACCATATACATTCTGGGACACGAGAAGGAAAAAAAGGGAGTGGGAGGGGGCTCGAGTGGACAAAGATGGCAATTGGTAGTCGAGACATCGTCGTGGTGGTCGCGTGGCAGGTTTGGAACATCACAGCCTGGTCACATCCTCTTTTGGCAACGCGTAACGGTTGTACATATTAACATACATGGGTCCCGAGGGGTCTACTGAAGATCCATTGTGCAGCCAGTTGGTACATATTCGTGCATCGTGCCCATCTTGTAAGGATCTTTCCAAACGCCGCGCTTTGATGTGGTATCCAAGAATATCATCGTACAGGTCAGGTAACATAAGGAAAAGGGAGACCGCTTCTCCTATCCATTTCGTCTCATTTCGTCTTGTTTCGTTCTTCATGCCATCAGCCCTCCCAACACCACTTTCTGAACCCCGATCATCTCTCTCTTGGCCGCTTCTCGGGAGGCTTGTTCAAACTCGCGGACGATGGCTGAAACAATCACTTTTCGGATTCGTCCGTCGACCTTGGTGAACAGATCACTGATCACAGTCGTGCATGCCGAAGGACCGGTCAGGATCTGCAGCAACCGCTGATAGGTGTCGATCAGAGCGTCGCACAGGGTCGCGAACACGGTGAAGAAGTCTGGCGTGAACGGGAGAGGCGGGGTTTGAAGATGGGTGTATGGTCCCTCGTTAGGTAACAGCGTGGAATTCGGTGCATCAAAGGGTGCCGGAGGGGGAAATGCCGACGCACTGGGGAAGTTGACTGCTGGCATAGGAGCCAACGGCGAAGCATTCACCAGCGTAGTTGCCGTCGAGGCAAACGTAGTACCGCTGGCCGTAGTGTCTATTGAGGGTTGTGAACCATGATGCCCGCCTTCCGGCACTGTCGAAGGCGGCGAGGTAGCGGGAAGCATGGGAAGGCCAATGTCAGTGACCGGACCACTTGACTTCCGAGGCCTGGACGTCGTGGTGGCTCTCTTGAACATTTGAGGAATTCGGGCCCGACTCAGGGAACTTGCTGAACTGCCATCAGGCGGATGTAGTTGTTGAAAGGATTCAAATTCGGTGAAAAGTGTATTCAAATTCTTCAAATAGTCGTATGCGACCGCAGTGCTATTGGCAGCGTTTGCCGCCGTTTGTGGCTGCGGAGGGTGAAAGTCCAGAATCGTCGGCAGTGACATTCCTAAGAGCATGAAATTGACTGCGCGCCGCGACAGTCGGTTGGGTGTATACGACGGCAGTTTTAAAATATCGGTTTCGTGGAACAGGACGGTATTGAACCAGAATGACCGGCCCTCGTGCGCCCTTCGCAGGTATTCCAGCGTTGCTATCCTCTTGTGTGTCATCTCTTGTATCTGGGAATAGGACGCCAGATTGTTGGGCTGGCTCGCGACAGCGCCGGCCGAGTTGTTGAGGAGCAGGCCATTGAGTGCCAACGCGGAGGGGACATCCACCTCTCGCGGCGGGTTTTCTTTGCCCTTCGTGCTGTGTGTACTTGTAGTGTCTTCACCCACGCTGACATTGCTGGAGACCTTGTGTAACGGGGCGCGGCTCACGCCCGAGGCATTGTAGACGGGAGCAATGCTCCCAGTGGGAAGAGGAAGCATGTTGTTCTCAGAGGTAGCGTGGCCAGTCACATCACTGTTGGTGCGGGAGAGGAGATCGGGTCTGATGGGATTCAGGGTGACGGGCGCAGGAGGGGCCGTGGCCGTTCGAGTGTAGGCTGGTCGGGGACGAGGGCGAGGCGGTGTCGAGCCTGCGGCGTAGAGAGTAGCGTCGAGGGAAGTGTTAGATCCCAGAGGTTTGTGTCTCCGCGAAGGAGATCTGGTGATCTTGGATAGGAAGCCTGCCGCTCCTCCGGCTGACGGTGCTGCTGCTCCTCCTCCTGCTCCTGCAGAATTGGTTGAACTGATGGAGCCATCGCGCGAGGATTGAGACCGAGGCTGACTCTGGCTTTGGGTACCACTAGGCTCAGTCATGCCTATACTATTCCTAGTTGATTCTTCCTCGTACCACCTGATCCAGGCGATCGCGATTGCCGAATCAGAAGCGGTGGCCCAGGTCAATAGTGTGCGCCGGCGATTTCTGGCTACCACGCAGAAAAGGGAGCGGAGTTTTTTCTCTCACAAAGGGTACCTGCAGATAGTAGTGTGTAAGGGGGGATGTAAGGAACAGACAGGGGGGGCAGAAGGGGCTAGTGAGGCCAAAGCTGATGAGTTGTGGGGAGAGGCGTTGAAGTTTGTTCCACTCACGTTGCGCCATCTGTTCAGGGGGCGCTATCTCCGTCACATGTGTGCCTTTGACGATCAAGGGTCTAACAACCTCGCAGTCGGCACGATTCTGACAACTGCATGCCACAATCCTCAAAGGTCGACTCCTCTCTGGCAAGAAGCCCGACCAGCAATATGGATGTTGAGGTGCCCAAGCCTGGTCAATGGCCCGTTGATCCCCAGGAAGACGAAGAGATCCGAAAAGATCGCATCTGGGTTGATGGCTGCTTCGACTTCACTCATCACGGTAGGTCTCCACCATGAACCAAAGGTAAGCCCAGTCTAATCCATCCAGGTCATGCTGGCGCACTGAGACAGGCCCGTCAACTAGGGACAGAGCTCTACATTGGACTACACTCCGATGAGGAAATCTTGGAGAACAAAGGCCCGACGGTGATGACCTTGGATGAGCGGTGTGTAACTTCTTCATGGTCACTTTTTTTGGGCAGCATAGAAACTAAACCTTCAGCAAGAATCGCTGCCTGCGAGGCGTGTCGATGGACGACCAAAGTCATTCCCCACGCTCCTTATGTGACAGCCTTGCCTTGGATTTCTCACTATGGGTGTTGGTATGTTGCTCACGGCGATGACATCACCTCTGATGCCGGCGGCGAGGACTGTTATCGTTTTGTCAAGGCGGCTGGCCGCTTTCTCGTCTTCAAAAGAACACCGGGCATATCTACCACCGACTTAGTCGGAAGGATGCTCCTGTGTACCAAGACGCATTTCATCCGATCCTTGACAGACGAACTCCAAGGCAAGGCTGATGGTGTGCTTGACCCAGCAAAGGCTGTCGTTGGGGTCGAAATGCTTGAGAGAATCAAAGACTATGCCATGGACGAGACAGCCTCGAAGCCGGGTGCCGAAGTATGGACTTGGGCCAGCGCCCGATTTCACAAGCCCGGAGAGCAAGAAGCGGCCGACGCTGGGGTATTCGAGAAGATCGTGCCTGGTAAGGGTCCAAAACCCGGTCAACGTGTGGTATATGTGGATGGCGGCTTTGATCTCTTCTCCTCTGGTCAAATCGAATTCCTGAAGCGAGTCAACGAAGCAGAGAACTACGAAGCGTATGTGGTCGCCGGTGTTCACAACGATGATGTGATAAATCACTGGAAAGGCCTCAACTATCCCATCATGAACATTTTCGAGCGAGGCCTCTGTGTCTTACAATGCCGCTACATCCACGCTGTGGTGTTCGGAGCTCCGTTCTCCCCTTCGAGGGCGTACTTGGAAGCGATACCTGTGGGAAAGGTTGCTGCGGTATATCATGGTCCGACCACGTTCATGCCTTCGACGTTTGATCCATACGTTGATGCAAAAGACATGGGACTTTTCCGCCAAATCGAAAATCACCCCTACTCTCACGTCAATGCCGCCGAGATCGTCGGGCGCATCATGAAAGGCAGGCAGGCCTTTGAGGATCGCCAGAGAAGAAAAGGCGAAAAAGCTGTTGGAGAAGAAGCTGTTCGACAGCGCGAGATCCTCGAGCGGAAGCAGGCTGCTTTGGAGGCAGAAAGGCGAGCTGCGATGGAGTGATCCAATGACTGGTTCTGGAGTTCTTCATCATGCGCACCCGAGGGCTGAGAAGACTATGTACATTTGCCCCTTTGAACAGCAATAGAACCTAGACAAAGCTTCGGCACGGATAACTGCAAGCAGTGTTAGCAAAGATATCATGTCTTCAGAAAGGGAGAACATACCCATCTCCATAACTCGTTGGTCCGATCGCGTACTTGACGTCCTTTTTATGTCCGTGTGCCACCGGCCGAGGCGGGAGACCATTCTCTCCCAACACTGCCGCGGCTTTTTCATGTTCAAAGTACGTCGCCAATCCTTTCTCTCCTTCCTGCTTCACGGCCACCAGTTGCTTGCTGCCCTCCTCACCAGCCAACAACTTCGGGCTCGGGTTCGCGGCACTTCCCACTGTCAGGAGCCCCACCACATCGCCTTGTGTGACCGTGCTCAGGGTCGGATACGCCCTTCGTACATCTCTCTTCCAATACGGGTTGTCTGCAATATCGGCTGCGGGCGTGGTGACAGCGTCGTCGTAGGATTTAGGATCGAGACCGCCGGGGGTCGGGTTGCGGAAATGTTTTACGGGAACACCATTGCTACGGTTGGGATCGACAGAAAGCAGTTTGCGGAGTGTCTCCCAGATACCGACGCTTTGCTGGGTATATTTCTAGAGAAGCGTGAGTGCTGAGGTAGAGCAATTTGGGGGGCTTGTGCCAGTACATACCTTGCCGACGGCAACAACATCTTTAATGGGTTTCGCGGCCATCTTGGCCGTGGTCAAGGAAGACGACCTATCACCTCTTGGAAAACCTGGAGATCCGCACGGCGGCCTCGGAAAACACGTAATGAGGAAGACAAGAAGCTTGAAGTCAGTCTGCCCTGTTGCGGATGGTGGGTTGCTAGAATGACTTCCTGCGACATCGAGCTCTCGGCTGAAGTGCAAATATCAGGGTCTGCCGTAGTGCTTGGCACGGGCGGATCACAGAACCGTGAAATGCACTAGTTCACCTCAACGACTGAACGGAGCAATTTGATCTGTTGACAAACTGATAACTCGATACCGCTATTCCCCCGATTGCCAGTGCTCTCCAATAACAACCCGCTGAGAAGTGCGCCAGGGACTTCTTCGAGCTCTCCAGGTAGGGAAAATCAGCATAGCCTGATGGAGAAGCATCGCTGCTGGATGATTCGATGACACATTCATGACATGACCAGGCAGGCTACTTCTTGACTTCGAGATGCCTCGTTCAAGGTAGGAGGCTACTTTCTCCTTTTAGTCGGCACCACTCCTTCAGAGAGAAAAAGATTGGGCTATATATTCCTTTGCACCCCTTCCTCTGCTTTTGGGTTGCCCTTGATTTCTTCAACGTTCGTCAGGCTTCAACAGGTAGTGAAGGAAGCATTACTTGAAAGATATACGGTTCAAGTTGGAGGCACCTATCTGTCTAAGAGACCCCACGAGCTTTCTCAGTCAAGATCTGAGGGTACTCGGGTTGTGTTGCAGCATACCAGTGACTTGTCACCATGTCCTCCAGACCAAAAATCCTCCTTCTCGGCGAAATTGAATAGTAAGCAAATTCCCCCCTTTCCTATTCGTCCTTTCTCCTATCCTAACGAGACTCACGAACAGCGCGTCAGAAGCATGGCAATCTCTCAGCTCTCTCGGCGACCTGATAGTCCCAGCCGCCACCAACCGTGACGACTTCATCAGGGAGTGCCGAGATGGAAAACTCGACGGCGTGGTTGCCGCCTACCGCACGTTCCAGTCCACGAGCATCACTGGTCTTTTCGACGCCGAACTGTGCAACGCTCTGCCCAAATCGTGGAGATATCTCGCCCATTGTGGCGCCGGGTACGACCAGATCGACCCCGAAGCCTGCTCTGCTCGGGATCCGCCACTTCTGGTGTCCAACGTGCCGACTGCGGTTGACGACTCGACGGCGGATACGGCCATCTTCCTCATGCTGGGGGCGTTGCGGAACTTCAATACCAGCATGGTGGCGTTACGCAAAGGTCAGTGGCGCGGCTCCCCAGCTCCGTCTCTCGGGCATGATCCCCAGGGCAAAGTCCTGGGCATCCTGGGCATGGGCGGCATCGGGCGAAACATGAAGAAAAAGGCACAGGCGTTTGGGATGACGGTCATCTACCACAATCGAAGAGAGCTGGACGCCTCCCTCGCCGATGGTGCCGAGTACGTTTCCTTCGAGGAACTGCTGAAGCGCAGTGACGTGCTGAGTCTGAACCTCCCGCTGAACCCGAAGACGCGCCACACCCTCTCCACCGAGCAATTCCAGCTGATGAAACCGAGCGCGATCATTGTGAACACCGCACGCGGCGCGGTGGTCGACGAAGTTGCCCTCGTGCACGCCCTGGACAGGGGCCTCATCGCCGGCGCCGGCCTGGACGTGTACGAAGACGAACCCCGCGTGCACCCGGGCCTGCTGGACAACGACAAGGTCGTGCTCTTGCCGCACATGGGCACGTGGACCAGCGAGACCATGAAGAAGATGGAGGAATGGGCGATTGAGAACGTGAGACTGGCCCTCGAAACGGGCGAGTTGAAGAGTCCCATCTTCGAGCAGAGGGGGCTTGTATAGCTAGACCGGACGCGAATGTCGTTCCATGTGATATTGCGGTTTTTCTCCTCGAATTAAGGGATGCGCAAATAGAGATAGAGTTCCCAATGAAGCTTTGGCTATTGAATAAGCGGGATAATGTAGAACGTTATTACTTTCCCAAGTCCGCAGTTCGTTTCTTTTGCTCAGAAAATTGCCCGACCTTGTATGCCTAATCGCCCTGACCCGTGCCGCAGTCGCATATTACCCGTCCCGGGGTATCTTCTCGTAGATGGTCCAGTACCCTCTCCCAAGACGCCGTCGCCATGCAGTCAATTCCAATGATCCGAAACAGAAGCTCCTAACCGTCGACGCCGACGTCCTCAAAGACGTCGTCGTCGTCATCGTCCACGCCGGACTTGGTATCCATGTCTGAATCCTCCACTTTGGGCGCCACCTCCACACCGGTCGGGTTCAGCAGCGTGGTGTCCTGCTGCTTGAATTCTTGCTTCAACTCCCACTTGCCGTTGAAGTCGCCGGATTTCCACATGAAGGCGATCTCCGACAGCGTTTCGCGGAGGTACGCCTCCGGCTGGTTGACCTTGGCCTTGAGGTCGCGCAGACCCCAGATGCGGTGTTGACGGAAGAGATCCAGGAGTTTGTCGATGAGGACGTGCTTGTCCACGCGCGCCGCGCGGGTTTCCTTCTGGGCATGTTTCCTAGCCTGGGCGTTCTGTGGTGTCCAAGAGTTAGCCGTGTACACGCGCAGCACGTCAGAAGGCGGCGTTGTGATGATCTCCTTACCTTCAACACAGCTTGTCTTTCACTCGTCGACATGAACGACCTGCTGTTCTTCTCTGGGTCGTAGTCACCCGTGGCAAAGATGGCTTGTTCTCGCTCGGGCACCTTGAGGAGCTCGGCCGCCTGCTTGTTCTCGAGCACAAAGTATTCTTCGTTTTTGACCGGCACTGCTTCGAACTCCTTCGCAATCGTGCCCGCGATGGCCGTTTGTTTCGGTATGGGTCGTCGAATGTAGGGCACGAAGCGGCCTTTGTTTTCTTTCTTCTTTATCTCGCGCTTGTGTCGTTCGTAGAGGAAAGAGCGGCCCTGTCCGGGGTTGCCTTCTTCATCGACGTCGTCCCATGCAAATGTGCGAGGCTTGTATCCTGGCAGGTCCTTCTCCGAGAAGACTAATGCCTGCCCGGGTCTTCGCGACCGTAGCTTTTCAGGCGGCGCAGCGAAGAGGTTGTACTCTTTGGGCTCGTTCTCGAAAGCGGGCAGCGGGTATAACATCAGGCTGACCTGTTTCGGCATATCATTAGTCATTTCCTGCGGAGAGAGCACACGCTGGAAAGGATATAAAAGGAGCGAGCATACTCTTGAAGGATTAGACTCTGCGCCTTCTACCCTGATTCTGCCAATTTCGATCTCGTCGTCATCTTGCAGCTTCGACAGTGTCTCCCATAACGTCCGCGGAATGTGACTGAGCCATAGTTGTTGCTGTGCCTGTGAAAAATCAAGATCCCCCGCATCCTCATACATGTCATCATCTTCGTCGGCGTAAGGTGAGGGCGTGTCGTCCGCGGGCTCTTGCTTAATATGCTGGTCGGGGGCGGGTTCTAGCTTGACCCTCGGAATTCCTGTTCCCTGAAGAGTTGCCATCTTGTGAATAATGGTTGGTGAAGAGACGAAGAAATGGCCGGGCTGAGATGGGGGTACATATATAAACCGTCTGGTACCTCGAGGTCCTCTGGGTGCGGAGGGATGTTTGGTTCAAGCATTCCCGTTGGGTGCCTGTCGTATGCGAACAAATGACATGGGGGTTTTACGGTGCAGCCAATCAGAGCTTGGCAATACAATCCCGCTCTTTGTGATATTAAAGCATAAAAGACTCGACACATTTTTGGTTGTGCCTGACTATTTCTACCCATATATATAGTACATTTCTTCAGTCCTCCGACTGTCCAACAGGCATACGGCGTCCCACTTGCTTCATGCCCATAAAATACAAGGGTGCTGCAAGTGCCGTGACCCTGCCTTAATCCATTAACCGCTTTCATTTCTTCCCTAGTATGCTCTTCACATCTTCCATGCCAGGCCACTCCCTTTCAGTGGGAGGTTCCAGGCGTGATACTGTGCGAAGTAGTCGTTTCAGTTGACTCCTGAAGCAAGGTCCAGATATTGACTGGTGGTCTTTTGCTGAGCGCTCATGAAGATCGGAACGGATTGACATCAACTCTCCAGGGGTCAATTAGCATTTGAGAGACGGCCACAAAGCGGGATTGGTATGGGCGGTGAGGTTGGGTCTTGGAGGCTGGCGATGGTGTCAGCCGTGAGCGGTGTGGTATTGAAGGGTACCCCATCCCACCCGCGACGTTCCTGTCTCCCGTCTGTAGCTGTTGAAGCTATGCTTAAGCAGACTTTCAACCTTGATGTTATCCAAGACAGCAGGATGCGATAATCGGTGTCTCGGCTGGTCCATTGAACAATGCCAATCTTGAAGGCAAGAAAAACAGCTTACTATCCGATTGCGTAGCAGGTAGAGAACGAAATAGTAAGGGTGTTGGAGGTAGGCCAGACTTGTGATCATCCAGTTATTGAGGCTGTCTGAGATCAATACAACATCAAGGGCTGCCGCCGGAACCCATCGCCGATGTGGGAAATAGCAAGGTCAACCGCTCCTTTTTGGGTGGCAGTGAGATGTTCTGATCGCTGCAACATCTTGAGGGGAAGCACCAGTTGCATGGCCGCAACAACGTTGATTTCCTGGAAGCCCATTCTCGGATGATGACCGGACACCGATGAATGGAAGTCTCCAGTAGGAGTCACATCACCCAAGGCATATGCTGTCAGACCAATGAGCTCCGTGGCAGTCGTTCGAATTATCGCTTGATATTTAGAAATCTGTTGATTGGTGGGCGCAGAGGGAGTGTGTTTGTTGCGAAGCTTCAGGAGTTCGATCAGAGCCTCGTACAGCTTATACCGGGCCGCCAGGAATCTCAGCCAATATAAGAAAACCCAGAAGCTGTAGAAGTAGTAGAGAGCGTGAGATGGGTAGAGTGCCCACATAGTGCCGGCTGTCGTGGCACGTACACCCATCATATCCCATCCTGGTTCGTCTTTGCTCCAGTCAGCCATGCTTTCATCCAGGGTTTCGCCATATTTCAAGAACACATCGGCCGAGGCGTTACCCATGGCTCTCTGAGCAGGACTTCGACCCAGATATTGCTTGATTTTTTCCAGCAGTCGAGCAACGCGATGGAAGTACGCAGTGGCCTTGTTCGCGGTCTGGGAGGGCACAAACTCATGCTCATCCTGGTAGACGTCGATTTCGAGATTGTCAAAGTCTTTGGAGACGACAGAGTTCAATATAAAAAGCCTCATTTGCTGGCACATGTCAGTGGAAAGCAAGGGGTTGAGGCGAAGATAACCTACAATGGCGGCTTTGAAAAGACGGAAGATTTTCTCTCCCCGGGCCGTTGTGAATTGCGACAGTCCTCGAAGACGCAACAAGTTCATGGCACCCCTGACGTGCAATAGATGAGACTGCCACTCTTCCTCCAGCGACCGAGATTCCGGGGTTGTTCGCCCGTGCATCAGCACAACACTGACCATCTAGGTAGATTTTAGCATGGTGATCAGCACAGCGCCCGCAAGAATTACCTCGTAGAGTCCGAGCAGCCAGACTGCCAGCACCGTCTCATCTTGGATGCTCGCAGCTGTGTCACGGATGGTCACCTTGGTCAAACTCAGCGCGTGGCCATACTCCCGGCCAGTCTGTAGTCTCACGTCCTTTCCACTGTATCTGTCGGCCAGGGTCATTCGGGATACTGCCATTGCCGCCTTGTGTATGCACGAGCGGGGATCAGCATTCTGAAGCATTCCCGGGAGAAAGTCGAGCACTGGAAATGAATAAAGCCGCCCTGCCTGGAAGCAGAATAGGTTGAGGAAAAAGCACAACGACTGATGTTGAATGTCGTAGCGCAGAGGCGGAGAGATGGAGCGTTGAGTTGGTGGTAATTTCTCCAAGGCTGATTTGCTTGATTCATCCTCGATCTTGACCTTGTTGGCCGCCAATTTGTGCGTGGCAGGAGTTACTGTAGGAGATGGATATCCTCCAGCGACAGCAGGGCGAATTGGGACGAAGGAAGGGCCGTGTATCTGATCTCCTGGGCTTGGATCTGGAGGTTCAACCTTTGGCGGTGATCGAATCTGCAGGTGAACTTGGTATGGGTATCCGGGGCATGGCTTGCGCAACAGAGCGCATTTTCTGCACCCCGGCCTTGCTTCATCACACTGATACGTAATCAGTCTAGTTCACAAATTGGAGGCAGAAATGCTTGCCTTGACCTTTCGCTTCTTGCAGCGAGCACAGCCTGTACTTGATCTACCAGTATTGCCCATAGCATCGAACTGGCATAAGCAGTAGGAAGGTTGAGGGAAACCTGTGGAGCAAATGTGAGACGAAAAAAAAGAGTGGTAGCCACCGGTTGGTAGCAAGTGAAACGTTTGAATTCGTCTCGCGGCCGAGCGAATTGCTTATGGAGGAGCATCGACGGACGGCCGTTCTCCTTCAAGGGTCATAATTCTACTCCTTGGAAGGTCTCCTGGGTATTGCGAGCGGCCCCAAAACCTTGTGCCTGGCCGACAATGCAACCGAGCGCTCAACGCTCTGCGGACCAGGGTTTGCTCAGCTGTTCTGTCGCGTCGGCGGTCGGCGGAATAAAAAACAAGGCCACATAAGAGTTAGATGCAGAGCCTCCATGAAGAACGCAGGGGTCATGCACACAGAGCTTGTTCAAAGAATCCCGGCTAGAGAAAAAAGGCATCAGTCCTAACCAGCTGAGGTCAGGAAATCGGGCAACCAGCAGTCAGAGAAGGAGGGGGATTCTCCTGGCCAACTTGGGTGATTAAACCTGTTCTGGCCAAACGCGCTGACCATGGCGGAGGGTTTGTCCCGAAGCTTGGCAATCATTAGAGCCTCTCTGACTCTGATGTCCCAGGACCTTCAACAGAGGAGCCTAGGCAGCTAGCTGGGAGAAGAAAAGACTGCATGGACAGGGGTGGAAGTGCGATAACAGCCGGGGATTTCACAGGAGTGAGTCCGCCTCGCGTAGGAACTATGAAACGATCTGTAGGCGTGAAGCCACGACGAAGGCCGATATAGTAGTATGCCCTGGAAATTGGTTGCTCTGATTGAGGTTGGGAAAGCATTTGGTAGAGGAAAAGAACCCGAAGTCTGCCTCTGGTTCCAAGAATAGCTGGAGGCGTCAGTCCATGCCATAGACATGGTGTGCGAACAGACGACCGTCGTCTCTTAGAGTTGCCCGTTTTTCCCATCGTGATGTGCCTCAGCCTCAACCGCCAACGATGGACCATGCCCTTATGGGCACGCTGATTGGTGCTCGCCTCACATTCCTTATTCAGTCCCCGGGGGATCTCGCCTACACCTTCTGTCATGCCCATTAACGACTGCCTGCGCCTCACGGATATTCAGCTTTGTTTCATTCTTGAGCGATGTGTGGTCTGAAACTAGGCTGATTCTGTTGGGAATGCGCTGTTTCTGCTAGGAGGCCACAAGTCCGCGGAGAGAGGCATGGCCTCCAGGTTGGTGTTGGTCATTGGCGACCTCTTCATCCCCGATCGAGCGCCGGTAAGCATTGGTTCTTGGATGGTCTTTTCACCATGCAGGAAGCTAACGTTGAGTCATAGGAGATTCCGCAAAAGGTTGGCCCTCTTCTTCGCTAGATTTCAGGCTACAGCACTCCTGCTAACGCTCTGGGTCGCAGTTCCGCAAACTCCTTGCGCCGGGAAAGATTGGACAGGTTGTGTGTCTAGGCAACATCACAGATAAAGAGACGTACGATTTCCTGCGGCAGACGGCCCCGGATTTGCACATTGTGAAAGGCGACTTCGATACCGAAGCATCCAGCTTGGCGTTATCGAAAGTGGTCCAACATGGAGGACTTCGAATTGGGTTCACGCACGGGCACACCGTGATTCCCCAGGGAGATGCGGATGCTTTACTGATAGCCGCCCGCCAAATGGATGTTGACATCTTGCTGTGGGGTGGGACACACAAGTTCGAGGCCTACGAGCTGGAGGGTAAATTCTTTGTCAATCCCGGGAGTGCCACAGGTGCATTCAGTACAAGTTGGTTGGCCATCGACGAGGATCCGATTCCCAGTTTCTGCTTGATGGACGTACGTGCTGGAAAGACAGCCTTCGCCATGGACCCTTGCTGACCGTCGCTAGATCCAAGGAGACGTCCTCGTACTGTATGTCTATCAGCTACGAAAGGACGAGAATGGGAATGAAAATGTGGCTGTGGAGAAGGTTTCCTTCAGAAAGCCAACCCCGGTCGAGGCATGACCACCATCACACACTCTAATGAGCGCAGAATCCCCGTCGGTCGATGACTGACGGATCGATTGCGACAAAGCCGAGTACAGCAATGGCACGGACTGCACCTCAGGCCATCGGCGTCCAATCCACTTACAAGCTACAAGACCGACGACGTCTAGGGACAATCTCCCCGGGCGTCACTACCAGACGACAGAAAACGCTGGCGAAGCTGAATAGAAGGCAGAAGAGGCTTCCAAGGTTTACGGTGACAGACAGAACCGTCAATTTAGTGGCCATCATTCTTGGCTGTCATGATGTTCGATTCTGTGTTATGTTCAATGTATGGCCTCAACCATGAACAACATCGATCCATGTCTTCAAGTCTGTAGAGATATCGCAACCTCGACAGTCTTGATCCACCTGATCCGTGCTTCGGGAAGATCATCTGCGTCGTACATTGGTCTTTTACGCTTTCTTCTCTTCCGTCGACTGTGCTTGGGCAGGGAGTTGTCCACTTCGATATCAGCCGTGCTCTGTGCCGCCAACGTCCCCTGTGGTGCTTCATCCGCCGATTCCTGGCTCTTTTTCTCACCCGAGCTCATTGTAGACACGTCCGCGCCTCCCAACAAGTCCAGCGTCGTATGGCCGCATTGCAGGTTTGAAGACTCTGCGTCGTCGTGCGGTGCTTCGTCGACATTCTCACTTCCCTCACCGTGTCCCTTCTCCCCCTTGTCCTCGTCCTCGTCCTCGTCCTCGTCCTCGTCCTCATCAGGATGATGTCCCTCCAAATCGACCTCGACAATGTCGTCCACGGTGCTGACGTTCCCGGCCCGAACCTCGACGTGGCAGAGCATGTCCTTCTCCTTGTTCCGAAACCACTCGCCGACCCGCAACGCCTGCGCCATGGCCCGCCCACTCGCCTTGACCAGCACTTCCTCTTTGTCGACCGCCAACGCCTCGTTCGCCCGCTCGACGGCTTTGGCCGGTCCACGCCCATGCTTGTTCGTCACCACTCTTCCTCCCGCGGCCGCGTCGTGAAGGGCGCGCCGCTCGATGTGCACCAGGTACTTCTTGACCCGCTTGACCGCCGCAACCACGGGCGTGCGCGACGACACGTACACGACTTTCGGCGCCTTAGAAGCCCCGACCCCAGGCCCCGAAGAGGTGCGGAGGTCGGCGATGGGCGCGTGGTTCAGCGGCCGACGCTGGATGGTGGCGTTCGGGGGCAGACGCGCCAGGTGTTGGTTGCGCTTCTCGTGCTTGAGCGCCTTGAGTTCCGACGCCATCGAGAATGGCAGCGAGGCCGCGGTCGAGGACATGGCGATGTGCGGCGCACAGATTTGGCATCGGCGGCCAGGTTGTTCGGGGAGGATAACGGTGCCGTGGTGCAGAGCCCCGAGGGAGTGGGTTGAGAAAGGGGAGGCTCGATAAGGAATCAAAATTGAGTCATGGCGGCGTGGTCACCATCGTGGCGTGGGCATAGTCATGTACGAGGTACTCTGTCCGTCGAAGAAGAAGCAGGTGAACAAGAAACATTTGCTTGTATTTGACGAATTGGGTCTAGTGTTAACTGCGGGCGGGATCTGCGTGGGTGGGAGTTGTCCTCAACATCAACTCAGTAGCCGCATTTTGAGATACAGGGATAGCTACCATTGTGTACGTGGCAGGAGACAGAGTATCACTGCTCTCAAAGACGTCGTGGTCTTATCACAACGGAGGTCATCTCTACAGTAAACTACATATATTACTCTGCGACCACCACTGCTGCTCAGTATTGCGGTGTCCCATGCATTGTATACAAAAGAACCACTGCTCCGGTCATGAACCGCCGAATCCTCCTAACCCGCTCTCCCAGTGACTCCGTATTTGCAGACATGAAGTGTGTATAACACAAGCGTGGAGGGAAGAAATTCCAACTACATCGCTGGGTCAGTAACTCCTCTCCCCAGCAAATGGAATTGGGAACTCGACGCTTTTTGGTTTGGCGCATTGCAACTTCGCCAGAGAAACAAAGAGTTTCCGTCCTCCGCTGAGTGAGCGGTCTTGTCATTAGCCGACAACACTACGTTTCAGCAGATTTCAGCACCGCTAACATAGTCAGCCATTCGATTCATTCGTGCTGCGGACCGCCACCTCGATCCATCCAGGTGCTCTTTGCCATAGCTGCCAGAGTGCTCGATTGTTGAAACGTGTCGACTGTCGATGCTCACCCATCTGTTGAAGCTTCGCGGTCCTGACTTTCTCCCGCTTGCTCATCTTTCACAGTATCTGCCCCAGGATGAAGTGACTTTGGACTCTTCAGGAACAAGGGCGGATATGGTTAGGTTCGAGAGTACGACTGGTGAGCATCCCTACACCCTGGTTGACTGTTATCATTGCACAATGTTGACAGATTGAAATGTCCGTTCAACCATTATTGGAGATCATATATGTGGCGACGGAGATTTCTGGAATGAGGCATATTCCAGAATCGTTTCAGTTCGCCGGCGGGGTAAACGGCTCACATCGATTCCAAGACAAGAGGCTGTGACATGTTTCCAAGGCCACCATACATCTTCCTGGGTTTGAGTTTGTGATTGCCGTACCTTGGTTGTTCAGTCGATGTCGTATTTGGTTCAGCAGTTTCTCCATCAATGTTGGATTTCTCTGCTGCGCCCGGTGCAGCCTGTTTTTCTCAGCACACTAAGGCGAAGGTATTCGACTTATCTCGGCAGGATCCATCATACTCCGACTGAGCTTTTGACCCCGTCAAGGCGCGAATCTGTGAAAGGCAGTAACCAGCTATCAGCACTGCCGTCAAATACCAGCCAATCCTCAGCTCCTGTTGATGGCAAGAACGTCGTATCCTGTGTGCATGTCGCCTCCGCCGATGTGTCTGAAAGAGTCTGGGGCATGCCTGCCTGAAATTCGGTGTGAGGTGGTGAGTCGAAGTAAGATTGAGGTGTTCCACGGTTACGAGACACCAGCGTGGATAAAGGGTTGTGCGTTTCTATCCCGGCGTTTTCCGAGGTCCAATCATCCAGAAGCGCCTGTATCTCGGCCGCATTTTGAAATATGTCGACATCGTCCGGATTCGTCATAGGCTCATCCACATCATTTTCCTGCGGCGCTCTCTTGAGATCTTGAACCCGGATGCCCAACTCCTGCAGCATGTTCGCCAGGGCCGCAGGATCATTTGACAATCCTCCTTCGACTATCTTGTTGATCGCCCGCAGAAGACAGTCCCTCTGGGACTCGACCAGCTGAACGTATGCCGCATTCGGCGGTTTGGGTTCTCTTTTCGATTCTCGGTTTGTCGTGCAAATGACACCGTCTCGCTTGCATTTGTCGCATATCTTTCCAGCATTCCATTTGCAACGGGCTTTCTTCAAACGACACCGATCGCAGGCCTTCGGCGTACGCTTGGGATAGTAGCCTGCTGTCTCTTCAGGTTCGGGAGACTGGCGCTGGCGCTTTCTCTGTGGCGGAGAGACCGACGGTTCATCGGAAGTCGGGCTCGGAGGTGGGTTTGAACCCTTTCGTTCAGGGACGATGAAGAACATGGCAGGGTTGGTTTTCTCGATGGCCTCTGGCGTCGGGACTGGGCAGGAAAACTCAGGACTTCGACAGTATCTGGCTCGATGAGATATATTTTCATTCTCGCACAGCAGCACGCACCGAGACATACCACAATCAAGTTTCTCTCCCGACCATGTTGGCTGACCTCCGGAAGTCGGTGGAATGCCGATTAGCGTAGCGTGACCTCCAATGGGGGATCTAAAGAAAATGACGTCGCTCAGGCCAATCAGCAGCGCTCCGGAAGAATGAAACCCCGTCCCCCATCCATTTCGGGCATCTCGACAAACGTCCAGAACATTAGGGAAGATTGGAAGTATTTTGGGCCCATCACAAGCCTCGGTTTCTATTTTCGAAGGGTTCGTTTCCCCATCGAGGAGGACTAGCAGCTACTACCTACAGTACAATCTTTTTTGCGATTGATCTTGAACGGCGCTTTCCTGTATGACATCAATCCCGGACCTGAAACCCCAAGTCCCGCGACGTACTCAGCAATTCCCCTCCCATGCGGTTCCCAGCTTGACTGTCTCCCCCACTGCTAAGCATCAGACCCCTGCATTCGGTATCTCTTATCCGACCGAGCAGAGATAGCATGACGGCTCATATAGAGAGGCCTTGTATGCGATATCGGCACCAATTGAACCTCAGTGGCGGGCACCATTGCCGGTGATTGGCATCTCCAGTTCCAAATATTCGATCACAGGTGCTGGGATATGCTCACGATGCCATTTGTCGCGTGGGAGAATCGAGCAGCTGCCAAAAGGGCGGCGGTGCTGAAAGCGATTCCCTCGGCATGGCACGTACCTCCTGATCAAATACCCCTGGAACATGACAATTCAGCGGTCATTGACCTGCCCGCGCAATTTCTATCCGAGGATGAAATTACCATGACCGAAACTCCCCCCATGGATACTTTGGCCCACATCCACGCAGGCATCTGGAGTTGCGAGGATGTTATCCGTGCCTACTGTCACCGGGCAGCTCTTTGTCATCAATTTGTGAACTGCCTGACGGAAGTGCTATTCGAGGAGGCTCTCAATAGTGCACGCGAGCTGGACCAGTATCGTCGCGACACAGGCGGTCTCAAGGGCCCGCTGCACGGCTTGCCAGTCAGCTTCATGGACCGTTTCCGCGTCGCCGGCGCAGAGACAGCCGCCGGCTTTATTTCATGGCTCGGGCCTAAGGAGACGGACACCACCGAATCACTCATCGTCCGGAATATGCGGGCTCTGGGTGTGGTACCCTTCTGTAAGACGAATATGCCCCAGAGCATGATGATAGCAGAAACAGCAAACAACATACACGGCCGGACCAGTAACCCCTATTCGGGACTTTTATCCAGTGGTGGCGCTGCAGGAGGTACGCTTGATACATGTGAACATGAACGGAGACTTTGACTCTGACTACTATCAGGCGAGGGAGCGTTGCTGGCGTTGAAAGGCTCCCCCTTTGGCTGGGCCACTGAATTTGCAGGCTCGGCACGTATTCCCGCTGCCTTTAACAATCTGTTTAGCCTCAAGGTTTCTTCTGGTCGCCTTCCCATCCTGGGGGTCGCCTCCAGCGAGACGAGCCTCCCTACCAGGAATTCAACCATCGCCATGATGTCCTGGGATTTCAGCTTGTTGCAATACGTCGCCAAGCTGTCACTCGGATCCACTGCGTTCGATGAGGACCCTACCTGGATGGATATGCCATGGAGAGAAGCAAAGGTCAGAGAGTTGACGCAGAGGCGTCCAACTTTTGCGGTGCTCGAGTGCGACGGCCACATCCAGCCTCAGCCGCCCATTCGGCGAGCTCTTCGGACCATTGTTCAGTGCTTGAGGCGGGCCAACTATCAGGTCATCGAATGGAACCCCCCATCTCACGCAGCACCTGTAGAGACATACTTCAAGATCATCGGCGCTGATGGTGCACAGGCGACCAGAGAACACATCAAAGCAAGCGGGGAGCCCCCGGTTCCTCTCTTGAGAGATTGGTATTACCACCAGCCAATTGACCCACTGACCCTTTCAGAGTATCTACGCCTTATGAAATCGCTAGAAACGTATCAAACAGAGTATCAGAGGTACTGGAAATCCACCGGCCAAAGTACGACGAGCAGATTCCCCGTGGACGGGGTGATCATGCCCGTCTGCGCAGATGCTGCTTGCTATAAGAACAAATTGACATATTACGGTAAGCCAGGAAAGGAGCACAAGATCAAAAAGCGCTAATTACAGATGCAGGATACAGTGCCATAGTAAACGTACTCGACTTCGCCGCCGTCTCTTTTCCGGCTGGATTCATCGACCGATATCTGGACCCAAAGCCCAGTGTCTTCGTCCCGCTCGGCAAGGAGGATGAATCCCTGAATGATTCATGCATGTGTTCTTCCATTGCTGGCCCATTTTCGCGACGCGCTAACATCTGTGTCAGATGATAATTTCGCATTCCATGGAGCTCCGATTGGTCTTCAATTGATGACTCGCAGGACTGAGGAAGAGAAAGCGCTGAAGCTTGTGGAAATCATTCTGCAAGCACAAGCACAGTTGCCGATGTCTGTCTGAATAGGATGAGACACGGCCAAAATCCCGTTCAAATGCTTGAGCGGTTGGTTGCTGGACGCCGAGATTCGGGTGGTTTCGCAGGGGAGGGATGAATCCAGCTTTTATCTTGAGGGCTCGCCGCTCGTACGAGGATAGTCAACCTTGTGCCAAGCGGTGGTGAGATTCCCTCGAAAGTTGAACTGCGCCTCGTATGATTCTGGTTGAGAATTATAGGCCTCGTCGACGGCCTTGACGGCAAATTGCTTCCCAGCGAGGCGCTTGGGTACCACCAACTCCCACTGTTTCCATGACCATGCTTTGTGGCCTTTCGACACATCCGGGAGGAGAAGCGCTGGTTGCCAGGACTTGCCGCCATCAGGGCTGACATCGACCCGAACAATGTCTCGGCCACCTCCACTGAATGCATATCCTTTGACATGAACGGCATCTTCATTCAAGCCGTACCTCTGCAACGACTTCCGACCATGGCGAGAACTTCCGGATATCTCTGTTATCGATGTGATGGCGCTTTGCACGGGTGTTTCCTGGATAGCGGGCGCCGACGACCAGTCGACGTCCTTGGCAGTCTGACTGGGACAGAAACATTTATAGTCCCGCCTTTGCCACTGCGAGTGACTCTCCTCTTCGGCAAGGACGATCTTCTCAATCCATTTGACACTTCTCGCCGCCGTGTTACCGGGCACCAGTGCTCGCAGAGGGTAGCCATGATCAGGAGGCAGGGGTTTGCCGTTCATTCCATATGCGAGCATGACATCGCCTCTGGGATCGAGAGCCTTTTCAATGGGGATCGAAGCGCCGTATGCTTCGGCGGCGACAAAGTGGACGTGCTTGGCTTCCTCGGACTCGCCGTCATCGACAGGGTATCCGGCGTCCCGGAGAATGTCCCTCAGACGGACACCCGTCCACTGGGCGTTTGAGATGGCGCCTACATCCCACTGGAGGCCAATGGCAGGTCTTGCCGCCGCAGTCATGTGCTTCCGGCGGTTTCCCGCACATTGCAAGGTCGCGGTGATGGTGAAGGGTTCAAATTTGCTTTTAAGGTCGCGAAGGGTGTATTCCTTTTCGGTCCCATCGGGGAGCTCGACAGTTAAGGTGTGGGTCTTTTCGTCCAGCTCAGGAACCCACAAATGATTGCGCACGTAGAAGGTGTCGTTCGCGGTGATGTAAGACTCGAGAGATCCCGCGGGTGCCTCCGCGTTACAAGGCTTCTGGGTGTGCTGCAGCAACCGGGGATGTCGGACGGGATCATTCACAAAGGGATCTTCGACGTCGCTTTCGGCGACCTTGCCATCGATCAGGTCTCGTGGGTCGATGTCACCAATGAAGTATTCTTCAAGCACATCATACACGTCTTGCTTCTGATGGATGGTGAATATGTTCCAGTACGGATCGATTGAACCGCCGATGGCATGCAGAATGACGGGACCACCAGGGTGTGCTGCTATCCAATCCGTGATGTCAAACACACGAGTGCCCTTGATGACCCATTTCCGCTCGGCGTTTCTGCCATGCTGTTTCACCTCGTCCAGGCGAATCCACCGCTTGGGCGGTGCAGCAGGCACTTCAGCATATGCTACTGGCGACCAGGTCACGATGGACACTGCGAAGACGGTACAACCCACCACGGTCGAAGCAGTTAAAAGCGCAGGAGATAATAGTGGCTTGGTCCCACGCCGGACCCGATTGGTCCAGTTGATTGACCCATTCCGGCCGCCAGAGGAGAACAATAGTCTCGCGCCGTCTGTTGGCGTGGGGCGGGAGCCCGAATCATGAGGACGCGTCACTAAGGCGGATATTCTTTGGGCGAAGTCGCGAAACCGAGTCAACTTGGGCATTTTCGGGCACACGTACGGAGTAATACCATCGACGATGGCCTGCAGGCTTTGGACGAGTGAGTGCTGCGGGATGGTGTTCGTCTACTTCCGGTTCTGCTGCATTTCTCAATTCTTCAACTTCGGGACGTGGGCAAAGAAAAGACGAGAGCCAAAAGGAAAGAGTGAGTACTGGGGTATTTTGGGTCTTTGTTGAGGCGACCAAAGAGATGAAGGACAATTGAATTGTCTGTCGGGACCTCCTTTTTTTCTCCCTTTGGTTTCCTTTGGTGACGACGCGGAAGTTCGGACTGCGGGGCAGTAATACGGAGTACCTCGTAATACACATTGCACCGTGGCGTCCAGCCACAGCCTGATGCTGTGCTGCCCTGGCGATCTCTGGCAGATCAACCGGAGTCACGGTTCGGCTTTCCTCTGGTCGTCGGCCGCAAACACCGATCCCACTCGACGGCGAGAGTCAGAATGAGGGAAAAGGAACAACCAGGGTCAGCCAGATTGGCCCATCCCATCCATCCCTCCCTGAAGCCGGCAGGTGGCAGCACAGACCGTCCCGGCAGTCGGTCACGTGCAGAGTGGTAAAGAGCCCCGGAAGAGCGGCAGAACTTTACCAGATACAAGCCAACCCAACGCCACCGTCGCCCTTTATTTGTTCGCAGACCCCCCAGCAACGTCTGGGGGGTTCACTGAGATCTCCAATCATCGGTCCCCTCGCGGCCTTACTCATCGTCGTTGAAGTAGCGACGTCACCCAAAGCATTTACTCGAACTATTTGCCGGACTGGGCCCCCAGGGCTGTCCCGACCTCATATACCTCTCAAGAGCGCCTCTCAAGAGCACTTCTCAAGAGCAGCCTGTCCCGTCACGCTTCACACCCTCGCAAGCCATCCAGCATCTCTGTGAACAGCTCCCCAAAAATGGATCCCGCCGGTACATACGCCAACTGCCAGGTCGCCCGGGATGCCTCTCAAGAGTTCCTGCACGAATGCCAGACGGGCGAACACCAGACCGCCAAGGACCAGCTGAAGGAGCAGTTCGAGGCCAAAAACCAGCGGGGATGGAGGAAAGTGGTGCTCAACTTCACCCCGTCGTGGTTTGCAGCCACCATGGGCACGGGCATTGCCTCGATCCTCCTGCACAACCTCCCCTACAACGGTGACTGGCTGTACTGGTTGTCGGTCATCATCTTCTGCCTCAACATCGCCCTCTTCTGCATCTTCCTGTTCATCTCCATCCTCCGATACACCATGTTCCCGGGCCTGTTCATGGCCATGATCCAACACCCGGTCCAGTCCCTCTTCGTCGGGACGTTCCCCATGGGCCTCGCCACGATTGTCAATATGGTGGTGTTTGTGTGTGTCGAACACTGGGGCCCGTGGGCGACCACTCTGGCCTGGACACTGTGGTGGATCGATGTGGTCATTGCTGTCAGCACCTGCATGTACCTGCCCTTTGTCATCATGCACTACCATCAGAATGAGCTCTCCAAGATGACGGCGGTGTGGCTCCTGCCCATCGTGGCCACCATTGTCGCAGCGGCGTCGGGGGGGATCGTGGCAGAGTACCTGCCCAATCCTCAGCACGCTGTGTGGACGGTGGTGGTGTCGTACGTGCTCTGGGGCACGGGCTTCCCGCTCGCCATGGTCGTCCTCGTCATGTACTTCCACCGCCTCACGATCCACCGACTGCCGCCGCGGGAGGTCATCGTCTCGGTGTTTCTGCCACTTGGTCCGCTGGGCCAGGGGAGCTTCGGGCTCATGCAGCTGGGCAAGGTGTGCGCCAAGGTGTTTCCCCAGACGGAGAATTTTGGCCCGGACGCCGGCCGCATCATCTACAGCTTCTCCATCGTCATCGCCCTCGCCATCTGGGGCTACGGGCTCGTGTGGCTGTTCTTCGCCATCGCCAGCATCACGCGCAGCCGGTTTCCCTTCAACATGGGCTGGTGGGGGTTCACTTTCCCGCTGGGCGTGTTTGCCGTGTCCACCACGACCCTGGCCAAGGAAATCCCCAGCAAGTTCTTCAAGGTGCTCGGGACCATCTTCTCCGTCGCGGTGGTGTTGCTGTGGTTGGTTGTCGCCCTGGGCACTTTGAAGGGCGCCATCAGCGGCACTTTATTCTATGCTCCTTGCGTCGAACAGTACGAGAAGAAGTTGACCAGCGAGCAGCAGAGGAAGAAGAAGGAGAAGAAACTCAACAACCGGTTGCCATTGAAGCACTGGAGGAAGACCGATGACGACGACACGGAGAAGCAGGAGGTGTAATCAATACACAAGGGCTCGCACCTATCGGGGACGCTTGAGCCGGGGGTTGGGGGGAGGAAGAATGTTGGCGTTGATGTTGGGCTACTGTCGTATTAATTCAGCCGGATGGGGATCTGGAAAAAATTATGTTATAGGGGTGCACTTGGTTACATGGCGATTCAGATGTGACCTGATGTGATGTGATAGATACCCAGTATATTCGAAGCCATGGATTGGTAGAACGAAAGGAATCGATCCATGTGATGATAATAGAAAGACATTCATCATCTATTCATCTGTTCACTCGTTCCTTCTGTGTGGAGTTCTATTCGATGGCGCCGCTGAGTTGAGTCGAGTCGTGGATATATATGTCCTGTGTCCCGTATGTAGAGTATGTACATAACATCACAACAACAACCCAACCAGAAATACTATTATTGTATCACTGCATGCCCTCGAAAAAAAGCTGGTGCCTACTCGGACGTACATTATCTCACCCACCGAGTAATCACAAAGTATCATTCAGCCCCATGCTAGGCAGCACTTCAATCCATAACATCTAAGTACATACTGTACGACTATGTATCTAGGGGCGGGGAGGGCGCGCCAATGCTTCTTCCTCTTCCTCTTCCTCTCGTTCTTCTCCTCTCTCCGCGTTCGGTACATAAACCCGAGCCGAAACTGGGCTTTCCCGTCCGCGGCGCGCAAAGTCAATTGAGCATGTTTTTTTTCCCCCAAGGCCCATGGGCAGCTCGGCGGGTGCGGGCATAAATAGTGAAAGGGGGGACCAAGTTTTGGGTTATCCTCGTCTCCTCCACCGCCACTCAATCTTTCCACCCCATCCCCCATCTATTTATTAGTCGACACATTCTCGACGAGGTGGGTGTGAGAGTGTGGAACTTTCCTAAGGGACCGCTCTCAATACGACATCGCTTGTTCGCCCACCACCAGGAATCTGGTCTGTAACTAGATCACATACATACATACAAACAGACATACATCACGCCAACAGAGCAGTGAGAGATCAAGATAGCCGAGGACCAAGGAATTCCACACACACACACACACACACAACCATCAACCATCCCCACGAGCAAAACATGGCGCCTGGAATACTTGGGTATATTCAGAGCATGCTCTTCCCGCCGGTCTTCATGGGCGTGAGCCTTTCCTGTGAGTCCCAACTCCCTCTCCCTACATGTCCCTGGGGGAAGAAATGGATCCTGGCGAGTGGGAAGATAGGGTCAGGTCAAGTCAGGTTCAGGCTTGATACGGGCTGGAGACGGCCAGTCGGCCCATGAGATGTTTTATGGATTGATTGGGAGAAGAAGAAGAAGAAGGAGGAGGAGGAGGAGGAACTTTGTATCAGCCACCCCCCCGGTTTACATTCCTTACAAACAATATGCCCACCTCCATTCTCCCGCGTGGCTCACCTTCCTCCAGACTTCGCCCTCACGCTCCTGAGCAACCCCCTGCTGCCGCTCACCGACTTCGCCTCGTTCAAGGAGAAGACGTTTGCGCGCATGTGGCTCAAATACGGACCGATGTTCGCCGAGGACGTGCCGCGGGACATCGGGCCCCTGCTGGCGCAGTGTCGCGGACGCATCCTCGACGTGGGCCCCGGGTCCGGCGAACAGGTCAAGCGCTTCACGCACCCGGAGAACATCACGGCCATCTACGGCGTCGAGCCCGGGGTCAGCCTGCACGCGCAGCTGCGCGCGAAGGCCGCCCAGGCCGGCCTGGGCGCCAAGTACCACGTCCTCGCCGCCACCGCGGACCTGGACGCCCTGCTCCCGCAGCTCATCCGCGCCGGCCTGGTGGCCCCCGGCAAAACCGCCCCCGCCGACCTGCAGCTGTTCGACGAGATCGTGTGCCTGCGCGTGCTGTGCGGCGTGCCCGACCAAGCCGCCACCGTCGCCGACCTGTACGGCCTGCTCAAGCCCGGCGGCCGCTTCGTCGTGTGCGAACACGTCCTCAACACCCACCACTGGCCCGCCCGCCTGGCCCAGCGCCTGTACATGCTCCTAGGCTGGAAACAGCTCATGGGTGGCTGCTGTCTGACCCGCTCCACCATCGACACGCTCCTCCAGGTCGCCCGCGCTCGCGACGGCGGCTGGGCCGAGGTCACTCTCACCCCGGACGACGAGTATTCGCCCTCCATGCACGTCACTGGCGTGTTGATCAAGAAGAAGTAGGAGGAGGAGGTGGTGGAGGCGGGTGGGAGGTTATATATATGTACTGAGTAGTGAGTGTTTGACCACTGGGCCCGCGCAACGGGCGAGAGGGCGTCTCAACACGCCTAGAGGGCAGAGAACGGGGCCAATCATACGCGCTCTGTGTATGGGATGTGGATATGGTGTATATATATGTACATATCGAAGTTACGATTACAAGGGAGCAATGCTTCAACCAATTGCATGAATATATATATGAGCAAGCAAGCTTATTTCCGACATCGAGTATTGTTGCCTGGCTCTGTCTCTCCATGAGCGTCTTTCTCCGGAGCGATCCTGCCTCGTTCCCTGACCTCATGTCCCCATAGATATATGTAAAGGGTCAGTGTCACTATGGGCACTGCACATGTGGAAGTTGATAACGGGTTCTCCCACTCCTTAGGGTGTGTACAAGTACACGGCCCTTGTATCCCCTGTGTCCTCATCGACGCTAGAATGAACGCCTGTAAACAAACCCTCCGCTCCAGCTTTTCCTGAGTTGACCGGCCCACCAGATCCCACAGATTATACTCACTCATCAAAGCACGGGTCCTCGATAGTCCACAAACGCGCCATAGTTTCCTCTTCCCAGTCAATCTCGTGATAAAAACAAAAGGCAAATCCCAAGTAGGGAAGAAGGAGAAAGGAAAAAAAAAACCCATGCAGAGGTGAATCAGGCTCCTTGTCTGTCATGTGCCAAGTTCAAACTCTGAAGGGGTCCCGAGACCTCCGTCCCCAAACGCGGCGGGCGAAATACTCGTCCGTAAGCTGTCAACTTCCGCTTGAAGGGACGCCAGCCTTCCTCGCAGGTGAGTATTTTCCTGCTTGACGACTTGTTGCTGTTCAAGGGCCGTGGCGAGGGCAGCCTGCAGCTCGCGGACCTTGCCCTGTGTGAGGCAGAAATTCAAATTTCGTCGTTCGCGATGGCGCCGTTGTCTGTTTGTGCCCGGTCAGTATCTCATAATCTAGTGGGCCTGGTCAAACTTACGCTTGTCGGTTCTGTTCTCTTCTGCGTTCTTTCTTGCGGTCGAGCCTCGCGTCGACCTGTCCCGTGCAAGGACTGCTCCCATCCAGCGGAGATGCCAGTTGCGACGACTCTCCAGGCACAGTAGTGGACAGGTCTGCGTCGGGGGGAAGGTCATGGACGTCATCTCCAAACGGTTCTAACCACCAGGCCACGTCCTGCAGGGAGGGTATGTGTATACTGCCTGGCGGTTGCCAGTTGATGTCGGGGACGAACTGGGAATCCAATGAAGCCACACTCGGGTTCGACGATTGAGACGCATGGCGGTCGAGCAGCGTGGGGTGCGGATTCACATCTCCAACCGAGAGGTGGGAGAATCCTTCCATCAATATTTGGCGCGGTGAAAGCATATAGTGTTGAGGAGGACCGTGGTTATCAGAGCGACGGGACAGATTCACTGCAGCAGCTGCGAACCGGCTGGGTCGTTGGTCTTGCTGCATCTTCGAGAAGGAGACGGTGGCTTCCGCCAAAGTCTATATCAGATCTCTCGAAGCGGAAAATGAGACCCCCGGAGCTGCTTCTGTTGAAGTGGCCCAGGAGACGTGTCGAGCAACGTCAAGCGAGATCCTGATCCCCCGAGTGGGGATGGCGCGGTATAACGTTCCAGTAGCGGATCGGCTGACCCTGCGGGTGTATCTGGCTCCCAGGTTTGCGATTCCTCTTGGGAGGGTGATCGTAACTCCCTGGCTAGACGGGACAGTCTTTGGTCCTGCAGCAATCGGCAGGACTATATACCATTTCATCAAGGTGTTCCTGGCCGGCGCCAAATAGTAGGGTCAGAGCTGATTGTGCCTGCCTGCATAGAAGCATACTCGCATTCGAGACTCCGGCTGCTTTCCATAGAAATTAGTCATTTTGCTCAATCTTCTACCTCTTATTTGAATAAAGCAAGCTCTCGGGGGTATGTCTGGCTTGGCATCCAAGTATTTTGTGCTGTGACCCAACTCAAATTATCTCCATGTCATGCAATATAGACACCTCTGATTCTGGCCATGGCTTCGCAGTGACGAGTACTACCCTCGAAGAGCTGGTATTCGCCGTAGCTTGACCCATTGTGGCAACGAACGCGGTCAGAGAGTGAGAGTAGCTGCTACCTTTTGGAAAATCCTCCATTTCATGATCGACCAGGCCACGCAATCACCTGGAAAGACAAGTTGGCGGGCGTCTCCAGGCTCAGGCAGGAAGGCAGCTGAAAATCGGCAGCATGGCTTGGGAACAGACTAACATTGAGCCCGACATTCGAAGAATGTTGGTACCGTGGTTGTGATATTGTGCGTGAGACAACCAGAGCTGCGGTCGAGGTACAACGTTCTACCTTAATCATCAGCCATGCGTGAGCAGGCGTCCTTTTTTATGGATTCCCAATGAGGCAGGATTGCTTCCTTTGGCTTAGCACAGAAGATGTCAGGTTATCGACCAGCTAACTCCTCGGGGGGGCCTTTTCCGCCGTACTGCCGAGTTTCGTTAATTGAGTACCGAGTATATGGGAGAGTTGTGGTCGTCAGGGGATGTAACGAGTTCCTCAAACTCCGTATCTTACGGAAATCCGCACAATTACGTCGAAGGCTAAATCCTTGGTCTAGTGGTCTCTCGTACCACTACAATCGATTTAGCGACGGCGGCTTCCGGTGTGGCGGAGTTACTAAGCTGGTGATATGGCTGTGCTGTGATCGTACGTAATAAGTTCGACCCTCTCGTCAAGACGAAAGGCTGACCATCCCGTACAAAGATACCATCGGACCCAGCTTTTATGTCCGCGTCCGTGGGTGTTTACCGGGGAACCGGCAGCCTGGACAGCTCGTTATGCAATTCAATGAGGGTGCGAACCTTGAGCGACCACGGCAATGAACACATCAGGCTCCAAAGGTCGTGATCAGACGAGGTACACCACCGACGGCGATATTCGCTCGTGTAGATATCAAGTCAGATGGCCAGACTCTCGTATTTTGCAGCCACAATGTCGCACGTTCGTTGAAGAGGCGATTATTTGGTGGACGCTAAAGGTAGAGGAGGAACAGCACCACCTAGTCCGCTCAGATTGCTCCATTTTGGCCGCTCGAGTGAGTATGGCTGGATTCGGTACCCCAGAGCGGTAGAACAGTAAGCTTCGCGGGCTAGGAACTGTGCATTCCTACCGAGTAGCGGCGATTTGTGTGGAGGAAACGGGCTGCCAAGGGCTTGGACAGAAAGAGACTGGGAAACAGTTCTCACAACATGCTCTCTTAGATATAGCGACTCTTAGATATAGCGACGTATGCACTGAGTGCTTCCACTTCTCTCTCGTACACCATCTCAACCAATAGCTTCACTACTGGATTACTGGTCCTGACCGTCTTATGGATGCCCGGACTCACGGTGCTAATGTCTTTTGATTGTACCAAGTCGTCCATCAGGATGTGGACCTTGAGGATCAAGTTGAACTGTCAGACGAGGATGTTGTGGTAAGGAAGGCTCGTCACAATGACTGAAGAACCCCCTCGCTCGGGAGTCGGAAACGGCAGATACAGATGATCTATCCGATGTCGGGGGCATCTACATCCTCGTGTCTCCAAGTGTAGGAACCTCACAGAGGACCATACCAAGGGCGCATCTTCGTCACCGCAGACAAGGCATACAGCAAGACCTTCTCAGGTGCATGTTTGAATTGGGCGTTTTCTCGTTCACCCCTTGGCACTTGCCATGCTTCTCACCACTACTTAAGGCCGTTCTAGATGCAGCCGATAAAAGGAGTCTCAGCCTCGATCCCATCCCCAGTAGAGGACACATGAGTTGTCAGCTTATACCCCTCGCTCTGAGCAGCCCCGGTTGGAGATACAACACACGCACGATTGGCCATGGAGTTTGCCCGCGGCTATGTCATCCCCCGGTAAAGGACTTGGACCGTTCTCCTGCGCGGTAAGATAAACAAACCATCAGCCAGCGTCACCTAGCCTTTCTCAAATACCTTGATCCTGGAAGCATAGAGAGGAATTTGTCACCAGTCGAGGCCGTTGACACCATCGATATTTGAGAGCAATCTCGACACAAGCTTCCTCATCGTGTCTTCGTGGGACAAACCAGGCATCGTGAACTATGAAAGACCTACGCGTCATTGTCGTTGGAGCCGGCATAGGCGGCCTTTCTTCGGCGTTGGCTCTGGCTAAGGACGGCCACGAAGTCACTGTGCTAGAGGGAGTCAAGGAATTTCTCGAGGTAGGGGTTGAGACGCTCCAACTTTGCCCTTTGACAAGCTCATGCATTGACTAGGTTGGTGCCGGGATCCGCGTGCCTCCAAATTCATCACGCTTGAGTCGGAGCTGGGGCGTCGATTTCGACAAGATCAAGAAGGAGAAGGCCGGTGGCATTCGCTTCTTGGACTGGACCGGCAAGGTGATCAAGGATGTTCCATACGACGACGTCGAGGCCAGGTATGGCGCGCCATACTACTTCATCCATCGGGCAGACCTGATCAACCTGCTCGTCGACACGGCGTCCCGCCACAAAAACATCACGTTGAGGATGAACAGTCGAGTCAAAGATTACGACTTCGAAGCTCCCGCAGTGACATTGGCCTCGGGTGAAAGGCTCACAGCGGACCTGATCATCTGTGCCGACGGCATCAAGTCCGCCGTCAGGAACACCATCAATGGATCGCCCATTGAGCCTCAAGACACTGGCGATGTCGCATACCGAGTGTTGGTTCCAGCCGAACCTCTGAAAAACGACCCGGAAACGCGCCATTTGTTCGATAACGCATGGGCGATGCACTGGCTTGGGCCTGAAGCTCATGCCGTCGGCTACCCCTTACGGGGCGGAGAGCTGTACAACATCATCATCGACATCACCCACGCGACGGACGTGGGCAAACCCATCGGCGACGAAGAATGGCGTTCCCAGGCCGACAATTCCGAGTTGGTAAAACGTTTCGCGAACTGGTGTGCCCCCGTCCGCAAGCTCTGCGGACTCACGGGGTCGTATCTGAAATGGAAACTGGCCGACTTCGACCACTTGCAAAGGTGGGTGCATCCGAGCGGGAAAGTCGCCATCCTCGGCGATGCCTGCCACCCAATGATGCCCTATATGGCACAGGGAGCTGCGCAGGCCACGGAAGACGCGGCAACTTTGTCGGCTGCTCTTCGCGAGTACGACGACCTCCACGAAGCGCTGAAGGCGTACGAACGCCAAAGACTGCCGCGGGCGACACACGTTGCGAAGAACACAAGGGTACTCCAGTCCTGGTGGCACCTCTACGACGGTCCCGACAAGGACAGGCGCGACGAGCTGATGCAGCACGACAACTTCGACAACCCCATGTTCTGGGCCAACACCGCGAGGAAGGACTGGCTGTTTGGACACGACGCACTCAAGCTCCAGACGGAAGATGAACTGAAGCCGCCGCCCTTGGCCCCGGCGCCTCCCAAGGGGGCCAGCGTGTACGATGGCGAGATCAAAGACACGGAGCTTCGACGAAAGTTTAGAGCCATGCGCGAGCGCAGTTACCCAGGCCTCATTGAAGCATAGCCTGAAACAATAAAAGAAATTCTCCAGAAGGCAGCATTGTGCACAGCGTCGGCCCACCAAAGTTCATCATGAAGCTCACAAAGTCAATGACGCTGTCTCTTGTTGCGGGAAAAAGGAACGGCGGCACTGGCCTCCATTCTCACTAGCCTCGCCAGAGGCTCTGGACTTTGCTATCCTATTCCATATTCTCTCTTTGCCTCTGATACTGTCTTGTCGTGATTTGTAGGTGCCGCCGGTGGAGGCGTCCGATACGCATGTCAAAGGCCTCCACCAAGGTGGTGCGGTGTTTTCTCGATTCTTGCTTGTTTGACGGAGACACAGAAGAATATGGATTAGTTTCACATTCGTCTGGCCGGCTCGGTCAGGGAACAGGAGAGAAATGGTAACGGTCGCTGATGTGCCAACCCGTTGAGCTGGTTTGTCACTGACCTTTCTGCCGTTTGTATACGGCGTTCGTGTCGTCCTGTCTTCCGTTACAGAGAAGTCGGGCTGCGGTCCACGAACTGTTTAGCAACATGAAGCGGCCGGCGAAGGATGCTGACGGAAGAGTGTTACCGGCAGACCTCAGAGCAAACAAAGCATGTTTCGAACCGGTTCAATCAATCACTGCCCGCTGTGTCACTGCACAGGTAACACCGGCTCCTCCTCGACGACGCAATGCTGTCTCCCAGTGCCACAAGAGCAAGCTCACGGCGCAGGCAGCAAGCATCTTCAAAACAACTCTCATCACAAACAGGGCGCACGTTTCCAAAGAGAGGAGACGGCATAAGAACATGGGTAACGCTCCGTCCAAGGCGAAATCCTCCGAAAGGCGGCAGCGAGGGCGTCGATGCTCGCGAGGAAACTCTCGTTGCTGGAGCGATCATCCTCCTCCTCCAGCAAGGGGCTTTCAGCGCTCGACGACCTCCTCGTCCTCACGGCCGAAGACGTCAGAGGGAATGCCCATGCCTCCACCGGTTTATGGACATGGTCTGCCGAGGACCGCTTCACACTCACCGTCTTCTCAGCGACTCTGCCGTCAACCGCAACGTCCTCTCTGCAGACAACGCTGGGACACCCCGCCACGCCCCCATAAGGCGGAGCCAGAAGACGACGATTCAAATGCAGAGACCTGGCCGGGACTGGCGGCGCCTCACGCTCCTCTCCCTCCCAACTGGGACCCTCGTTTCTACGCGGGCGTGCCCGTCAAGCACAGTGTGGATCCGCAGCATATACCACGCCGTAGACAATTCGAACGCCGGTACAGATATGAGGAGCAGCACCATCGATCTCCCGTGAGAGACAGGCCCGGGAGAGAGAAGATATATGTCGACCCGCGCGATCCGTACTGGCTCGGCGTGCGAGTGACGCGGGTTGATGATCCGTATCTTCACAGTCAACTGCAAGGGGAGCCTGTCTTCCGCGCGCCAGGAGGGGTCCACGCAGCAAGCGCTCGGCCGCGTGTTCATGTCCGCCATTAGCCGGCAGCATCTTTGTTGAGGAGCGGCGTCCCCGGCGTGCAGTGTTGTGGAAGCCGTCGTGGTTATTCGCTGTCACTCAAGTCCCACAACAGACACCCCCGCCGGTGGCCTCTGTTGTCGTGAACGCGGAGTCAATGACAATCGATTTCACTCGGTGATGGTTTTCGCTTCACTGCTGTGGCTCAATCCTCGTTCAGAATCACTCCTCTTGACGCTGGCTGGGACACTCGATCACGTCGTGACTCCAGTTCTGACCACAGAGGCAGTAAAGCAGGAGTGATACCTCGCTTTCCTTCACCCAACCAACAGTGCCTTCGGTGACGGCGCACTTCTGGTACGGTATAAATATCTCCATTTTTCTCTTTTCCTTGATCATCCCGCGAGGCATGATCCATCGAGTCACAGTATTTTGTTCTGGCTCAGATCCCTTCACTGTTCTTTTCAACAATCCCTCCGGCAGGATCCTTAACAACTCTCAATCATTCGAAAAGCCTTTTCGCAAGTAACAACAAGACAACATTCATCATGGGCGGCAATAGCCATTCTGTCTCATCCATCACGTCCCGAGATCTCGAACGTTGGTACCACGACGGTCGACCCGTCATGATCGACCAGCAACGCCGCCAACGGAGCCCAGGCGGACGGTACCACAACGATCGTCAGATTCGAATCGTCCGTGAAGGTCATCGCGGCGAGAGATTCGAGCGGGAGTTCCGCCCCTCCTCGCGACGTCCAGAGTGGTGGGGTTATAGCACTGGTAGCAGCAGCAGAGGAGATCGGTTGTTTGTCTCCAGGTCTCGAGCACGACCCGATCCATGCTTCGGTGAGAGGGAGACCGGATTTCGCGGCTGGCATGATAGTTCCCGGGTCTTCGAACCGAGTCCGCAGTTTGGAAGAGACCCCGTGGTCGTGGAAGACTGGTTCTCCTCGATCCCTCTGCACCGCTTCGCGCCGCCGTCGGGCCACCATGAGGCTCACCGTCGCTGGGGAGACCCACATCGCCATTTCCCCCACGGCGGCCATCGAACGTCTTCTTCTTCTTCTTCATCATCACCTTTCGACCGTCGCTACCAACACCGAGGAGAAGGAGGAGGACCTTACATGTCCGGTGGCCTGGGGAGAGGAGACGCGGTGCGAGATCCCGAGAGACGGCGCATTGGGTTCAGGGACCAGTTGCTATTGGGGTATGAGAGATCTGATACATAGCGAGGAGAACATTGAGGGAACCAGCAAATGGATTATTGAAGGCCATGTGCGAAAGGGGGACAAGACTTTCTCGTCTCATCTCCCCTGCTCTCTCCGTTTGGTATTGTGCGTGTTGTGAGGATCAAGAGCTGCATTATTTTCTCTCCTCGGTCCCTCGAGGAGACATGGGACGTCGCTGGAAAATACATTACATTGCCGACGTGCTAGGTAGGTACCTATGTAGGCACGTCCTCCTTTGGGGCCGGCCACTCACCCACTTACATACTTGAATACACACATGCATATCGATTATTGAACAGCAGATCCTACCTATGACATGTTACTCCAGGAAGTCAGTGAGTGGAAGAAACGGGCCATTGGCCTAGCCCGGGGCTGATTTCGACGTTACGATGTAAAATAGGAGTGAGTGAGCGTGTGGAGCGGACGGAGACTTTGCTATGCTTTGCTTTTGGGAGTTTCCCACGTGTAGACTCCTTTACTCATATATCGCATGACTGCTCGTCCCTCATGGAAATATGCAATAAGATGTTGTCTGAACTACATCAAAATACGGATATAAGGACTCGGACTCTCACTTGAGACCAAACAGACCAGGACGCTGAGTGTATCATTTTTATTCTCTGTCTCATCAAGTAGTGGTAGTTATGGTAATCATTGTCATGTCGAATCGTGTAATCGTAGCCAAACCGGCTGGTTTGGTTTGGGCATATGCAATCATCATCTCAGCAAAACGCGTGCCAAATGATCGAAATTCAAGAATGCCAGTGGAATATGCCTTTCTCCGTATCCACAGCCCTGAGATCCAGTTTATCACCTGTCATGACCAATCTCGTCGCGTTCGTAGGAAGCAACAGTGTGGGGGGTGCAGGCCGTGTCTCGTCGTTGTGCGCACCACAATTTTGAGAGTTTCACCATCCCCTCACCTGGTCTCTGCTTGAAGGACCACCCATATGAGAAGCTGGGGGGGTAGGGACGTAGACCGGTGGGTTCGTGACCGCTCCGTAAGGATTGTCGTCTGCATAGTGGACGGCTGTTCCGTTGCCAAAGGATGCCCCGGGTGGAGGAGGGAACGCCGGATAGTGCTGTTGAGGGTATGTCGCCAGATTCGGCATGCTCCCTGTGAAACCGCTGTCGGCATAGTTGTGCGCCGCAAGCATGCTCATCTTTCTTCTCCTGGCTTCTCGCTTCATCTTGTGTCGCTCACGTTTCTCCTTCTCCTCCTTGGCTTCCTTCTGTGCCTCATGCATCTCCTGCCATTCGCTGTATGCTCCCTTGAGACCAAGAGCAGCGATGCCAATACTAGCAGCATCCTGCAGCCTGTTCTTGTTCTTTGCTCTCCTGGCTTGCTCTTCGGTGATGTCGCCCTCCTTCAATGCCCTCCTCCTCGCTTCTCGTTTCTCCATGCTTTGGTAAACACTGTGCGCTGCATGGATAGTCGCCACCGTCGCAAGACCTCCGCTGATCAACATCTTCTTGCGACCTTTCTTTATTTCTTTCTCATCTTCGGAACTGGAGCCGAGGTCAGAATCGGAGTCTGTTTCTGGGTCACCAGTATGACGTGGGCCGTAGTCGAGCTCATAGCCAGGCGGCGGCGCCCTGGGTACGCTCATGGAACGGGCACCGCCATTAGGATAACCAAATTGGGGTTGAAAGGTACCTACATCTCGGGAATCACTGTACCCATATCCTCCTCCATTTCGACTTGATCGACCATCATCATAGTAGTCGTCATAGTTTCGGCGGCGGTCCCGCTCGCGGTCGGGGTCGACTTTGTCCGCCGCATCTTTCAGCCCCAAAGCTGCAAGACCTTTGGCCGCAAAGGCGGACACGCTGCGGCTCCGCTTGCGCTTAGGGCTTCGACTGCCGCGGCTGTCGTATGACGACGCGCTTCGAGAACGAGCACGACCTCGAGATCGAGAGCGGACCGAATCAAAGACTTTCTTAGCGGTGGCGGCAACCACGCCTCCGGCGGCGAGATCTCCCAACCCGCCGCGAGACTGACTCCGGCCTCGACGACTGTCCGGGCTGCCATTTCTGCCACGGGATTTCGACCGAGGTCCGTTGATGATGCGGTTGGTGGCCATGCCGGCCAAAGCAGAGCCCAGAATGTCACGCTTCGAATGGTGATGCGGATCGTTCTTGTCCGAGATCAAGCCATCGACACCTCCCGCTGCCAGGGCCGCGGTGATGATTCGTTTGCCTTTCTCGCCGCCCCAGCCGCCTTCAACTTTCCGAGCGCGGAAAGCCTCACCGGCTCCAGCCAAAACGGCCGCCTTGATGGCTTGGGAGATTTGCTCGCTTCGAACTTTGCCACGGCTCTTGCTTCGGTGACGGGAGCGGTCGGATGAAGAACGGCGACCGGCACGGCTCCGGCTTCGATGACGGCCATCGCGTGAACTGGATCTCGACCTGTCACGACTCTTAGCCTTCCCGAGCAGGGCACCGGCAACACCTCCTAGACCAATGGATCCCAATAGCTCTTCAGTGGTAGACTTTCTGCGTTCTTTCTTTGGAGGTGTGCGGCTGCGGCTGCGGCTGCGGGATTCATAGTCTGACGAGTAGCGTCGGGAGCGGCCTGCAATGGATCAGTCATTGAGGCGACAAATGTAGCAGGAAGGGGGCAATGCTCACGTCTGTCGTCATAGTCACGGCTTCTGCGTTTGGGATTGTCGACGACCACATAGTCATCCTCGTACTTTTTTCGCGACACGTATGAGCGGTCATCGTAACGATCATCATAATAGCGATCGTCAGTGGATCTTGCACGAATAGGCCGATGGCCACTCTTCCGCACGGTGGTTTCGCGATAGATGGCACCGCGGTCGCCAGGGGCAAAGTCACGGGACACCTCCTCGATAGAATCCACGCTGTCGTCGCGTCGCTTGACTATACGAGTGTCTCTTGTGTTTGTGTCATAGACGGTATCCTCATAGTCATCTCTTCGAGATCGCTCTCGCGTGCTCTTCGGTCGGCGAGGCCGGTCGTCGTCGTAATAGGACATTGTCGCGGCGGGTGGGGTCAGGGGAATGGAATTGACAAAGTGATATGTAGCCCAGAAGAAAGGCTGGAACTACGGAAGGGGTCGGGTCGTGGCGAACTTGGTCGCGGGAGGTCCCAACTGGACTGTATTGGTGGCGGTCAGGGAGGGAGGGATGTGGAAAAAGTGAGATGGTGAAAAGTTGGGCACAGAGAGTGCTTTTTGAAACTGAGCAGCTTGGCGGTTTGCAAGGCTCCCTGATGATCGTTGGGAATTGCAAGAATGATTGTTGGTGTATAAGTGGTGGCTGGTATAACTGGAGCAGAACCAAAGGGCCCGCAGTGGGCGAGGTTCCAAGTGCCAAAAGCCCGCGACCCGCGAACCGCGAACAGAGAGGGCAGGTGATCTTTTGGAGAGGCAGCGTCGGGGCTACGTAATGGGTTGGGCGCGTGGAACAGGAATCCCGGGCGTGGAATTCGTGAGGCTTTAGGCAGCAAACAACGCCCAATAGAGCGGTAAAGTCGGGCAACTGGGCGTGGAAATGTGCATCAAAACTTGGCAGCGAAGTTTTGTAAAGGACAGACAGAGCGTTGGTGAGAGGATGAACTGGAGTCTGGGGAGAAGTCAGAAGTGCCCCTCTTGATGCGGCGGTGGCTGAATTGTCACTAACGACGAATTAGTTCAACGGGCACCTCTGAGAATTGAAGGATTGTGTGGCTAATGAGGCTATGCTCAGAGACCCTAGGGTGAGGCCAATGGACCGGCATCGTGTCTATTCCTTCTGTCTGGTGTTGTTTGTTGATCGACTGCCACGTCACCAACCATGAGCACTAGGGTTCAAGGGTATTATGGGATTTGGAGTCTTTTCCCTCTTCACTCCTCCCTCTGTCCTCTGTCCTCGATCACCTGGGCTCACCGCCATTTCCCATAGGTTACAAAGAACGAGAGGGGTGATACGAGTTCGCCTTGGGGGGTTTTTTATAGGGGAAAGCGAGCTTCGTGTGCGCCTTGGTTGAGATGCACAAAGTACCTCGTACCAAGAGTCCCAAATGATGATAAGGCGGACAGATACGCATGCTTCGATCCAGCTTCGAGAAAAGGCCTTGGAGCTTGGCAAGGTCGCCTTGAGCCCCGTCTTCCGCGTACCGGATGTTTGGTTGCAGCAGAACATGGTCCCTGCGCCAGACTACAGCCTCATATCTCGAAAAAGCAATTACCCCTGCAGCAGATAGAGCCCTGAGAGATTGACAAATATAAGCCCGAACTTGATAGCACCCAGAGACCCTTGAAATCTATGGTGATATCTCTAGGACTCCTAGGTATAGAAAGGGCTGCTGCTGCCACGTGCGTGACTATTAGATTGAACTTTAATCACCAATATTCTTTGTCACTCCTGGGGACTTCCCAAAACAGACTCTTGAACCCAGCAATCATCCCTCACCCTTTTGCAGTATTTAACAATAGATGAGACTCCACATGTCAAGGACCCTGATTAGAAGGGGGCAGTTGTCAAAGGTTCCGGGTATGCCACAGGGTGTGTGCCCTGACAGGACAATGCATGAATGCCGAAGCAGACTCCAGGCAGCTTGTCTCCCTTTGTACCCCCCGGAGGTTTGCGGATGCAGACACGGGACGTAGAGAGCATAAGCTGTCCCGTCGTTGTCTGGCTGAGTTGAGTTGAGACTTGCTGCTTGCAGTAGTATTCGTCGGAGGAAATCAACCGAAATAGAGTTGGTGGAGCTGGCCGTTGAATTGCTCGCCCCGAAGCTGCAGGACAAGACCCTGACTTTCAATCGAGATTTTGGCCTGGATCGAACTTGTCAGGATCGCCGATGATGTCACGGGCTGGTTTTTGGGGGGGTTTCGGCTGTCAGCTGAGGTGGAAGGGGAGGAAAACTCTGGAAAAAGCTTGCACTTGCTGGAGTGTTTTCCATGCGGTATTGACAGGCTACAGTACTTGACTGGGTAGTATGCCAAGTCGTCGGCGTTCCTCACCATGGTGCCTTTTCTGCAGTACCTACCGATTTTCTAGCGCTCTCTTTCATCTCGTGGCCGTAGTTTTCCCTTCCACTCCATCAGCAGTGCTACACTGAAAAGAGCACTATGCCATGCAAACTCGACCCTCCCTTCGAGCTATCCTATCAGTCCACCGCCTCTTTCTCCCTTTCCCTCCTTCCCTATCCAATTCCCTGACGCCGCGGTATTACCCACTTCGGCATTCCTGGATAAAACCTTAAAATCCACGAGCCTGCCGCCTCCTCCAACGCTCTGACTGGCCCAAATTGGGCCTGTTCGCCCGTCTGACCTTGTGTCCCCTTGGCTGGGGATGGGACGGCGGTTGGCCCCTCTGACGCACTTGGCGGAACAGGTCTCCAGATGGGGGGATTTTCTAACTTAGAGACTCCGTGACCCACCCGCAACTTTTTGGGGATCGTGATCTGTTCGTGTATCGGTCGATCGAGACATGGAAGCCTCAACAGAACTAGTGAAATCCCCCGTCGCATCATTCACCGTCGCCAGGTCACCACTCCTGACTGATACAGAGTGCGCCGATCACCCCATCTCCCAGGGAAAGCTTCATCCTCACCTTGTGGCTAATGGTCGCGACTGCGTGGTGATATGACGGCATTGCCCATTTCAACGAGCCAGGGGGAAAAGCACCCACTGCGGCTGGAGGCGTGTGCCTTCAATTCCCCTTCTCTCTCCAGAGGTGTGGAAAACGAGGTAGAAGGGGTTGATATAATCAAGTTTTCGTCTCCTCTGCTGCAGGGTCTGTTACGAATGAAGCCGAGATGGAAAATGATCCCGTCAAGGAGGTCGACGAATACCAATGTTTCCGGAACATCTCGCATTCCAAGGTCCCTGTGGCTTTTTTAACCCATCGACCGATGGAGGCTGCATGAGGGCTGCTATTCCCATGCAGCTCTGCGGGCTAAGTCGTTCCCAATCTACCACGACGGGGCCTAAGCTCTAAGCTTTGGGGCCTATCGGCCACTCATTCCTCGTCAACCTTACAGGGTAGTGTCGCCTTCCCGCCGCCGCTGACATTGTTCCCACGAGAACATCCAAGCCAGCTCGTGGAGAAGATCCAATGATTGCCAGACTTCACTAGCCTCAACCCTGGTCCCGTCTCCCGCTCATATGCCATTCTGAACATTTCCCATCTGCTCGATCCTCGATCGCGTCCCCCACCGAACGCCAGCAATCGCAAAAACCTGCAAACCCACTGAGACGACCGTCGCGCAACCTCCGGCTCAAGGATCCCCATCTCATCTTTGTCCTCATAGACCCTTTCTCCTGCCCGTGCTCCTACATTATCCATTTCTCTCTTCCCGTTCTACAGAAAATACATACCCTTGGTTGTCCCTGTCCATCAAGGGTCCCTTCTCTTGCTCCAACATCTATCTCTATACCATCAGCCGCAGATCTTCTCTAGTCGAGTCCTCCAATACCTGGTTGTGGTATAGGTCGAACCACTCCGTCTATACGCCGTGCTGCCCTTTCGCTGCCGAGGAATCAATCCCATCCAGACGCCTTCTCGACCAAAGCGCGTCCAGCTGTCTCTGTGCAACGAGGTGTAACTGGTATCGTTCCTCTGTGGCGAGTGCGACGTCCCAACAGCCTCCCCGTCTTCAGCCCACCCCCATATTCCCTCTCTGAACCTGGCGTCATCTCCAGCTATTCGATATTTCCACTGGCCTTTCTCAGGCGTATGTACCTACCTGTCTATCATCCTCCAGTGGCCTTCTCATGTCCTGACTTTACCTGGCAGTTGTTTTCTCTAGCCCATTTTGGACCAGCGGCCTGTCCGCTGGACGCGTGGTGAGTGCGTCCAACAATGGATGTACAGACGCAATCTCGAGGAGCACGTATCTTCTCGATCTTGAACGACAACGATTGTCCCTCGTTCGTTATTCGCCCCAGACAATCTACCCGGTCTTCTCCAGAGTCTGAGTCTGAGTCTGAGACCCGCCGGTCATCAGCCTCCCCATCGTACTCTCCGTCGCAGAGGGAAGAGCGGCCGGTTCTTCTGCGTCAACCAAAGTACGCAAGAGCATCGTCCGTCTCCTCGGTCGGCTCGCCCCCTCTTTTGCGACTCTCATCTTCGTCGTCCAAGGGTTCCAGTTGCAGCATGGACTCCTCCCCGTCCCCTGCGACGCCGTACAACTATGTGGACAACAGCCTCTTGCACTATGACCCGCTCGTGCGCCAAGACCTCGTGGGCTACTTGCCATCTCCCACCACCGTCACCCCATTCCTAGAACAACAATTGATGATCACCCCCAACATGCCGGACCAATTCTCTAGCAAGCTGATGCATCCCCTCACCCCTGCTCAGTATCCCCTTGTGCCCGCACCGCTTCATCCGGGTCTCCAACACCTCCCTCACCCCTCAACGGCCAACGTTGCGACTGCGCCTGTCCTACCTCCCGTCACCTCGGCTCCTGGGAGTGACCAAGCAAGAACCTCGCCTTCGGGGAGCTCAGGTGCTGCTCCTGCAAAGAAGAACAAATACCCCTGCCCCTTTGCGCAGTCACATAATTGCCAGGCAACCTTCACCACATCGGGCCATGCGGCGCGCCACGGGAAGAAACACACGGGAGAGAAGGGGGTGCACTGCCCTGTCTGCAATAAAGCCTTTACACGAAAGGACAACATGAAGCAACATGAGCGCACCCACAAAGGCATGTCGGCGTCCGGGAGCACGAGCGATGAGTCGACGCGTAAAAGCAAGGCTGCCATCACCAAAGACGCGCAGAAGGCCAAACAACAGAAAAAGTTGGACAAGATCAATACACAAGCCAGTCGTCGGTCCAGTTTGATCCATTCGCCTCTGTCCGAGGTGACGTCCATTGCTCCGACAGCCATCGACACCCCCCTCAATGTCGATGAGTCTGCTTTCTACCACGACCCGCCTCAAGTGCTTATGCCCATCCAAACCATCCCAGAGAGCGTCTCTCCCAGCTCTCTCTACCCCCCTCTCAGCGACGATTCTCTGTTGAACAGCACTCACATCGGGCAACTGGGCAAATCCACCCACCACACCTTGGCCGGAGGTGGCCTGTTGCCACCCATGCCCCACGCTCTGACCCGTGGGTTTTCTGACCTGGATACTCTTGCACAGGCGGCCGAAAGTTTCGATACATCTTTCTACCACCAAAACTTGTAATTCTAAGACGCACCAGTCTCTTTTAATCGCATTTTTCAGCAATACTGACGATGATTCCGCCTCAGACACGAGGATGTGCGTCGCTTGTCTTATCGATACCTTTGCACAGCGCAGGCGTTTGGGATATACATGACTACGGGCTAATGACGGATTCTGCCGGTATGAGCGATTCTTCTGTTTGCGCTGGGCACGGGCAAGGCGCTCTACGAAGAATGGATCTGGGTTGAACAGGACATGAGTCCACCGACTCGGCAGGACAAAACACGGCCGTTTTGCTTTATTGTGGAATTTGGGACCAAGGAAGCACACGGATATGGGCTACTGGGCAACAAAAAGCACCCGGCACACGAAAGGGTGGGCAGGTATTTTGTTATGAGAGCTTCACTGTTCAGAATTGGCAGTCATCCTACCACAGTTTCGCAATCGAACAACGCATTATGATACCCGCGACAAATTATCTTATGGGGATTTCTCTCTGGCGTGTATCTGACTACCAGGCAAAAGGGAGGTAGTCTGGGAAGAGCGTACCGGTAATCGCGATGGATGTTAATGTCAGGGGGCGTCAGGCTCGTTGCCAACTGCCGTGCATATCTCCACGAGAGTGAACCAATGAGCCACATGTATGAATACTACTTATTGCACACGAAGATATGCTTGATTTTTTGGTGTCTATGAGTCACTAGGTATTATCAGAATGTGACCTTAGCCCCTGAAAACGCTCTCTCTCTCTCTCTGGACAGATGGTTGCCTGCTTTCCTTCGTCGTGGGACATTGCGAAAGATGATCCGATCGGCCGATGTCCTCTGATGATCTTCGACGATCCGATTCAACTTCGTGCAGAACCGCCCATCTCCCGAAAGGCTATTGTTGATACTGCATGTCTTGTCTGGTCTTGTCTTGATGTCGACGGTAGTACGCGTAATTCTCTCTCTCTCTCTCTCTCTCTATATACCGACCGAACCCCACACACACAAGGGAAGAGACAGAGACAGAGAGAGATTCCCGACCTTCCCCATTCTCCTTTCCGACGTCCATGCCGAGACAAAGTAAGTACTATTCACTTACTCCTCCTCCCTTACTAATGCAATGCATACCATGGAGGGATCCACCCTTGTCTTCTTGATATCGGACATGTTCGGAAGTATGTGCGCCTTGTTATGGTATGGTATCCTGAGAGAGAGACAACGTACAATCTTCGATTCCATTCCATTTCATAAGGTGGGTGGTCGTATTGAATGAATGAGTACTGTCAGGGGACAGACATGTCCTCTCTACTAGGATGAAGTACAATTACATGGGAACATGCAATGCAAGGGAAAACGAGAACTCGAGAGCGCACAGGGTACATACATACACAACTCGTTTCCATTTCACACTCCTTGGATCTCTCAATGCGGTCTAAATACATGCATGCATGCATGCGTAACGGAACACCCTCTTCTCCCCCAAGCAGCAGCAGCAGCAGCAAACAAAAGCGGGTGGGTGGGCGGTTGTAGCAGGCTGGTTAGCTCGTCCATGAAACGGCGATATATATGGGGCCTGGATAATATCGGTATCTCGCTTTGTTTCTCTCCCCAAGCCCCTTCCCCCCCTTCCTCCTCCTCCTCCTCGTGATCGGTACCGGGATGATGAAAAGGGTCCACTCTGTACGTTGTTACACCTTCTCCTGGTCGACGGTCACGACGGTGTTGTCCTCCGTGATGGCCAGAGTGTGGGACTGGGTGGAATACTTGACAGGGTTCTTGGCTTCGAAGATCTTGTCCAGTTCCTCGAGCTACAATCACAAGCAGCAATTAGCAATTCATTCTCTTCATGACGTGACAATCAAGAAAAGAACCAAGGTGCCTCGAGCGTCTCTCTCTCTCTCCGAAAAAGAGGGTTTTGCTGTAAGTGGAGAAGAAAAGGGAGACGAATGAGGAAGAAAGGGGGCGGGGGTAAAGAAGAGAATGAGAATGTCTTGGGATCCAAACTCACAGTCCGCTTCCTCGTTTCCGGGAAGAAGAAGTACGCCAGCACGCCTTGGACGAAGGTCCAGACCACGAAGATGATGTACGTCTTCCACTGGATCTCCTTGATGGCCACGGGCCAGGCGAACTGATTGATCAGGCCGGCGGCGTTGACGAAGAAAGACTGGAAGGCCATGCCCTTGGCGCGGATCTCGTAGCTGTATACCTCGACCGGGTACAGGGCCTGCAAGGGGGTGATGTTGAACGAGTACCACGCGCCGAAGATGAAGATGAACGCCAGCACGGCGTTGCCGGCCGTGTGGTTGCTGAACTTGGCGTCGCCGTCGTCCACGGACCCGGACACCAGCGAGTTCGCCAGCGTCCCCGCCGACGCCGTCATGCACACCCAGATAACTGACACGCCGAAGAACCCGGCCAACATCATCTTGCGCCGTCCGATGCTCGACAAAGTGTGCGCCCAGCACCGCGAAGCAGAATTGTTCCACGCTGTAGCCCAGCTGCACGTTGGCCTTGCCGATCGAGGTGTTGACGCCCGCGGTGTCGAGGACCGCAGACATGAAGTAGGAAAGCGGCCCGTTACCGCACCCTGTGTTGGAGAGGATGAGTTAGTGGCCAAGAAGACAAAGGTGGAGGTGGCGATCTGAGAGCTATAGAAAACTTACATTGCGTGAATGCAGAGAACCAACAAGCGACGGCGGTCCGGTAGACGCTCGACTTCTTGTTGAACAGAGCACGGTAATCCCACCAGCGTTTGTCCTTGAAAAAGGGTCAATCAGTATAGTATTCCGTCAGTAAGTCTGCTAAGAAGTAAAGACTTACAGAGCCGTCCATCTCAAGATACTCCTCATATTCATGGAGCTGGAGTTTGACCCAGGCCGAGTCGGGGTTGCCATATCCGTGCCACTTGGTGAGGATGTCGTGCGCCTTCTGGCGCTTACCACTGGCATACACCCACCGGGGCGACTCTGGCAAGGTGAAGGCGAAAAGGGCGATGAAGCCTGGGAAGACCATCTGCAGCCAAATGGGGATGAGCCAGGAATTGTTGCCCTGGATGTCGAGCCCGCCGCGGGTCGCGCCAGAGGACAAGATCGAGCCGGCCAACCAGGTGGTGTTGCAGAGACCGGTGATGATACCCCGATACTTGGGATGGGCCGTTTCCACGATCCAGATGGGGCCGGCTGCAGCGGCAATGGTGACACCAAAACCCAGGACGAATCGACCGCCCATCATCTGGCCCTCGGAGGCATTGGCGGACGTCAAACCCTGTATGACCGTGCCGACGATGATGAGCACGCTGCCGATGAACATGCCCACCCGGCGTCCCCACTGGTCAATGGCGGGTCCGACAAATGGCAGGGCAGAGACACCACCGATCTGGTACATAGAGGTGATCAGGCCGGCCCAGATGCCCTTGTTCTGCCCGTTGAAGTGCTTGAGGAAGTATTCCTTGTTGTTGAGCAGACCACCGAACAACATGGTGTCGTATCCGTTCATGGTCTGGCAGAAGAAGCCGATGAGCAGGCACGCGAACAGCCGCAGTGTGCGTGGGTCCAGTAGTGGCACATCTTCCTGGATTAAAGCCTCGTTGAAGGCTTCGCTACCTCTGACTTCCTTGACCTCGATGACCTGCAGCAGGTGGAGGTTTTGTTAGCTTTTCAATTGAGGATCGCAATGGAGAAACTGGTGGTCAGGGACTTGGGAGACTCACGTCTTTGCTCTTGTCGATCGAGCCAAGGCGCTCAACGGTCTGCGCCGTTGGGTCATTGATCTTCTCTGAAGCAGCCATCCGGGGCTCGAGGTTTTGCTGGATGGGAAAAGGTAGAAGGAAGGAACTGTCTGTCCTGGGAATGGAAGTGCGAGTAGGAGACGACCTGGAAGGGGAGATGAAGGGGCTATATAATCTCTATATCCAAGACATCTTGCCATATGGCAGCGGAGCTTCATAGAGCACCGTTCCTAGCCTGGCGTGGGCCATGGGGGACGAATATGCGGGATGGTCAGACCATCAGACCGTATCTGGTCTTGGGTAGGAAGAAAAGCCTCCCGACGTGAAGCCGATGGAGGAGGGGGGTTCTGAGAGGCCCGATTGATCGCCACAAACATGGGCTAGCATGCAACACTCGTGAGCCCAAGACTGCTAGCCACCTTGAATCCGGGGGCGTAAGGTTTCCTCAAACTGCTTGCGGAGTATCCGTACGGGGGTCCCAGGATATGGTGGATGACTGGAGCTGGGATGCAGGTCACTGGGTCAACAAGTGGTGGGCAGCTCTTCGGTTGGAGCCTCCAATCCCATGCTCTGCACGCCGATAGCCTGACAGCAAGAGGGGGGCTTCTGTGCATGTTGGAAATCGGTCCCCGGGTAGAGAAGAGACATGGGCTCAGCCAGCCGAAGACGAACCTTCAGAGCCTCGCATTCGCCAGAGTGTATTTCCTCCTCGAGCAAGTGGCCTGGTGTCCGAGGTTCAAGCGGGCACTTAGTTCCTGGGACTGCCTTACTTTACTGGGCGTGAAGCCAAGGTCGAGCTGGGAAGGGGGCGCCGTTTGAGCTCTCCTGACCTGGTTGGCGGCCTTGGCTGTCCATGGTCATTCGCCAGGTCGGAATCGAACGTGAGATTGAATACCAGTCTAGAAGCCACAACCCTTTGTTCTTTCAGGCTCTAGCGGCGCCATGGTCAAAAGGAATCTCGCCCTCAAACCTTCGTCGCCCTCGGCCCAAACCCTGTCGTACTGTCATTGGCGGGAAATTGAGAGGACGGACAAGCAGAAGCGAACGAATGTCTTCTCACTGTCCGACCGAATATTAAGCGGTAGAGCAACGCCATGTTCAGCACTGACCTCTTAGTTTCCTGGAAATCATCGAGCTAACATGAACGGTACCAGTCCTCAAGTTCTTGTCCGTGGCGTCTAGTGTGTGTCTATCGTTGTCGTTGATTACAGCATGGGAGACTCCTGTGGCTTTTCGTCTTTTCCGCATTCGTCCATGTCATGTCAACACCACAGCTCCGGCAAGCTCTTGCTCTCCTTTCTGCATCGCAAGGTTGAACTTCGGGAGCTTCTTGGTGGTCTCGTTACACAGACGAAGGACGGAACATTTCATCGCCTAGCTGCCTCCCTATAGACTTCTTCCTTGGTATGATGACTACTACACCCCGGCTCTAATTTGACTGAGCACTGTCAATTGCAAAGTCCTTCCAACCACAACGTGGCACTGGCTGATCCTCGGACGCAGACTTGGTATCGTCCATCTCAGCCTTGCGTGACAATGGTGGTATGTGACCCCTCTTCTGTTGGCTTTTCTATCATCTGTCTCAAGAGGTTGATTCTGACCCTGAACAGTGACGTGGAAAGGTCCACCACACAGATTCCTTTGCAAGCGCTCGGCGATCATCGCCCTTCGATGTGCTTCTTAGACACACTACCGGAGGAGGAAAAGTGAGACCTACAGCTGCCACATTGACCCGGCCACTGCGACTCCAGGTTTGAACGTTTGTTGGAAATGTTTTGGGCCGCTGTTTGTGGAATCTCGGGTCAAAGCTGCTATTCCCTGACTTATGCCATCTCCGAAATCACGCCAATTACCTCCTCATCTCCGTGTGACGATGGAGAAAACCCCTCAAGCCAAAGTTGAATCCGCCTCCAGTTGTGTAAGTGGTCGACTGACAACCTCAGCCAGGTCATCGCAATGGCGGCTCCACAGAAGCTGTGGTTCCTTGGGTGATTTGGATTGATGGTTCGCCACCCGGCCTGACCGTCGATAACAGCTTCAACACCATCATCCTAACGCTGGTCTTCACATATTGGGAATTGCTTCGGTGTGTTGTATATTACCGCTGATCCATTTTTCAAAGCGGCGTTCGCCTCTGTACCCCTGTCTTGCCAACCAGGAAGAGTAGCTGTGCGGGTGACAGACGTACTGCTAGTTGGCTTCAGCCGCCTAGATCTTCTGGCCATTAAGGCGGCTCTCCTGATCTGCATGTCCTGCTTCTAATTTCTTGGGAGAGGGAGATCGAGCATCGCATCGGGTGGCAATCTTGTCCCAAGTGGTGCTTGGACTCTGGTCGATTGAAAGCGGCCGCCGCCCGAACGCCCTCGACGAAGCGAGGAGCTCGAATTGTCTCGGCTTCATTTCTCGGTAGCTTGGCCTAAATCCCGCACCAACTCTGCCTCCTTGCCCACCAAAAGGATCTGGACTGGATTTGAGAGCACGTGGAAATCTGTACAAAATCAGGAGATCGAGTCCAGACTCTCAGGCTGGTTGTTCGTCTAGGCCTGGACCCAGCGAGTCTCGACTCTTGACCAGATACCGTGTGTATATTGCCACTTCTTCGTCAGGATAGCTGCGGCCGTGTCTCAGGTCGTTGATTGATTTTCACTGGTCCAGAATACTGTAGATATCGACGCGGCGGAAGTGGTGAAGGGTGCAGCTGCCATCTCAGGAATGCTTTTGTCGATCGGGCCCTTCTGCACCCTTTGGCCCAGAATCTCCAAGTCCATCTGAGTCTGTGTTCTCCGCCACCCTTCGTTTTCACCGCTGCTTTTCTTCGCCACTTCGTGATGCAAGGAGGTCTTCTGTCCAGTTGGCTAGACTCGCAGACAACTCCAGGAGTGTTCCCAACGCGTTGTGAGAGCGTGATTCCAGGTGGTGAAGCACCTCCACCTTCGCTTCGACCAGAGTTCTCGATGCCGTCGTCATCCGTAGTCCAGAGAGTACCTCGCCCGAGACAAGTGTCGGCCAAGAGAGGTGCTTCCGCAGGTGAGTGGGCGTGGTAATTTCAATAGCGAGAAGCCATTCTGCCATTCCGATCATCTTTGCAGCACCATTTGATTGCTCGAGTCTTGCTCTCCAGTCTCTTTTCATTTCAGACCTGGTGATTTCGACCACAAACATTGTGATCAAGAGCTGCAGACCGATGAAGAACGCCCAAAGCAAGAACGCCGCCTCGTTGACTGCATCCGGAGAGAAGACGTCTTTAGGTTCTGCAAGCTTGAACCAAAAACCGTAATAGCTGCGGAATCGGTCATATCCCAGACTGGGAGATTCTTGGAATCCAGAAAATGTCGACTCGAGGGCTCTAAAAAGATTATACCCCGTTCCTGTGTGTGCAATACACTCGTGTGCTGTAACAAGTGACGCCATACCCTTTGTTAGCAACACCTGACAACGGGATCCGGCAATCAGACTGTGGACATTGAGTTTGCACGACGATGCCCCTTGATTTGGAGAGAAATCCGCGTAGGACGGGCAGTTGAAGATCGATTGCTTCCCCTCATCTTGGATGCGTCCTGTAACGAGAGCACAACCTCGGACAAAGGTTGCAAAATCGACAGCTGAGCCAGGAAGAAGGGCGGACTGAAAGGCCAGGGCATAACAAGTTGCCAGCATCACATCATACTCGATCGATGAGTGGTGGGATTTGTTGAGTGCATTCTTGAGACCCGATATTGCACGGCCCTTGTGCCATAATGCAGTGGACTGGTCATTGTCTACCCCGGTCAATGCGCTCATGTGCGAAGCTGCCAGAGCCAGTAGAGCACTCATCAGATGCTCTGAATGATAACTGAGTTGAGGTACGTCTTGCGTCCAAGCTGACTTATTTGCCAGAGGCAATGGCGGGTACGCGAAGCAGAGGAAGTGGTGGAACAGCCGAAGATCGTGCAAAGTGAATGTCGCTGAGGTCATTGACAACTGCTCTGTTGGCTCTAGTGATGAATGCCTGACACCGGCGACCTTCCCTTGCTTTTGGCTCCATCGTCTGACCCATGCTGAATATTGGCAGTCCCTTCCTTTCGACACGCAATTCTTACACCGAGGCTTCTCCTCTCCACATTTCACATGACGGATTTTGCACGTATAGCAGCCTGTACGGGATTTCTTGTGAGCTCGACGAATAGTGGCCCCGTAAGGGACTATTGTCATGTAGAGGGCACCAGGGTAGCTCGCCATCCTAGTCTCCATGCATCATTCTTGCCGTCAGAGGATGTGATCATATATAGACTATGGCGAGGCTGTCGAGAGTATATAGGGGATTGCGAATCCTTGAAAAGGCGATGTTTTCAAGAGCACATCTGAAGCAGAAATCAAACAAACAGCATGGGAAATCCATGTCTACCATGTCAGCCTGGCGAAGTTCGCGCTATCACAGATCAGGCATAGTTTGCGATGCAGATACGGTGCCCTTTTTAGGTTTAGCTTATCTGGCCGCTGCCCCACTGCCTTTCGTCATTGGACAGTGACGTCGTTCTATCAGCTTCAGTGCCTTTTCCTTTGTCTCTGGCCATGGCGAATTTGTCTTTCAATTTCCTCACTGTTCTGTTGAACGGTCATATGCTTTGCTACAGTGTCTCTCAATAACAACAGACCCCTGTTGCTAAAATGAGTTGGATGGACTCCTGGTCGCGACCAGGCAAACATGCTGCAGTACCACCTCCATTCTATCTCACCCAGGGAGAAGATGTCCCCTACTGCCGAACTTGTGGTAGAGTGATAAGTCAGAAGCCCATCCCAACAATTACAGGGCGTGAAATCGCTGATTATGCTAAGGTATTCGCAAGCAGCAACAAAAGGGGCCAGGTACCATCAAATATTGCTCCGATCGGTGTCGAAATCGGAAGCCAGGCCCGGCGGACAAGAAGGTGGAGAGAGTGATAGTGGCTCTCTTGAATGCAGAGCCGGGATCCGGGATCGAGAGGACTGCCGCTTCTTCCAAGTTGACCAAGGGCGACCGACGAATCATCGTGACATGCGAAGAAATCGAAGATGTCGTCTTCGGCAGGAGACACGATCCTACGAAAACATTCGGGCGCAAAAAAAATCGCGCGAGCCGGGCACTGCAAGAAGAGGGTGAGTGGAAAAGTGTTGACATGGACGAAAACCACGAGTTCTCCTCCGATCAGGATGTCTCGCTGGAAGAGGCTGGTCATCAACGAATCCGTCCAAAGGTTCGGCCATCTCAGCTGGAATCTGACGTCAATGGAAGCATTGGTGGAGAGAAAGGCTGGGCCGAGCGTCACTCTGAAACTCCCGAGGAGTACGAGAAGAGACTGGAGGGACAGCAGCGCGCCGAAGAGCGCGAGATGGTCCGTCGAGCCGCGAGGCGAGGTGTTGTGTTCGGGTTTGATGTGGATCACTCAAAATCGGATACTCAAACACAGCAGGTCAACGGGAACTCGGAGTTGCGTCAGAATGGAATCAAAACGGGACATCAACCTTCTCCACCATTGCGACGAAAGTGTGAAGCCCTAATGAACGGTTCTGTGGTGGAGCCCAGCTTTGCCAAGGGTAATTGGGCTATTCGATGGAGAGAGTAGGGTTTTCGCGGCTCTGAAAATCATTGACCCATTTCGTCCTTGTATTATTCGAAGATATCGATTGCCACGCAGGATATATTCAGGCCGACTCTGTTCATGTAAAGGCCAAACCGCGAATACGGAATTCAGCTCGGTGAAGAGACCGTCAATGTCAACAGGAGATGTCAGAAATGGCTAAACTGTGAAACCCAAGGTCTGGGAATCGACAAACGAGCATGACAAGTGAGTCTCATAGTAGTCTTCATGACAAAGATATTGGAAGCTCTGGAAAGTAAGGAGCCATTAGCCCCCGGTTAGAGGGAGCCAGGAGCGATGTTCCCCCATGGTGGAAATCGGGTTGGTTTTCAATATTTCGGATTGGGATGTGCTTAGTTTGGCCGGATTGAGCTGAGTTGATATTCAAGGCCACTCCTTTCGCCACAAAGAGCCTGCTACATGGACCTGGCTGCCCATCCTTACATGGCACGACCACGTCAGGTGGTTAGAGAGGAGAGGTTCCATTCACGCACGTACACTTTCACCAGATCAAAGTCCCCGTACCTGGCCCTGACATCGTGCTCTGACAATGATAACATTCTCGTCAACTTCCCGATTTTACATGTCGAGATGAGCCCTGCCCTGCTCCGGGTAACGGTGTCCCTTGACGGGATTGCGCTTCAAGATTTCCGCAATCTCCTTCATCTCGTCGTCAGACAGGTCCACAATCGTGGTGTTCTCGACGATCCTCTCCGGCTTGGTGGCGCCGGGGATGGGGATGATGGTGCCCAGCGTGATCTGCTCGCCGTTTTCCGTGGTGATGGTGCGGCCGCTCAGGCTACGCACCCAGGCGATGGCGACCTGGGCCTTAGTCACGCCCTTCTTCTCCGCGAGCCGCTGCACCTCGTCCACGATCTGGTTGTTGTACTCCAGCACGTCGTCCTGGAACCGCGGCATGTGCTTGCGGATGTCGCCCTCGGGGATGTCGGCGTGCCGGCGGATTGTGTCACCAGCCAGCGCGCCACGGCTGAGCGGGCTGTAGGCCACGATGGGGATGTCAAGTTTGGCGCACGTCGCAGCGACGCCGTTGCGGAGGATGTCCGTCGTCCACAGCGACACTTCCACCTCCACCGCGGCGATCGGGTGGATGGCGTGTGCCTTCTCGATGGTGCTCGCCTTGACCTCCGATAGGCCGATGCCGCCGATTTTGCCCTCCTTGACGAGCTGCGCGAGGGCGCCGATAGTCTCTTCAAGCGGGACGTTATGGTCGAGCCGGGCACATTCAAAAATGTCGATGCTTTTGGTGCCATCAAGAACCTTCAGGCAGTCTTCCACGCTGCGGCGTATGTTTGCGGCAGATCCATCGGGCTTCAGCTGGCCGGGGACAAGTCCACCTTTGATGCTGAGCACGACCTTATCTGCATCTTCCGGATGGAGTTTGAAGTACTCGTTCAGCAAGTGGCAAGAGTGTCGCTCGGGTTTTCCGTAGAGTTCGCCGCCGTTCCAGAAGTTGGCTCCTTGCGACAGTGCCGTCTCCATGGCCTTGAAGCTTTCGCTGGCTGGTTGTGGAGAGGGTCGCCAGGTTAAGCCCATCAAACCGTAGCCTATTGGGCCAATGGGCTTCCCAAGGATCTTGACGGTGGTAGGCATCGTCGAGCCTACGAAGTTTCCCGCGTCTGAGGTTTCGGGCTATGTCTGACACAAGTGGTCGCACTCTTTCTCCCCTGGTGGGCTAGGCGTGTGCTATGGATCTGGTATAGAGAGAAGCTGTACAGGAATCAAGGGCATGAATATCAACGATACATAGAAGTTGAGTCTTTAAAAAAGGGTATTCGGAGTTTAGGAGAGGGACGGCGTTATAGATCGTTGCCTGAAGGAGCCGGCCATGATGAGGAGTGAGTGACGCGAATACGTCACGACAAGCAAGTACCGAGTAGATATTGCAACGCTTCGAGGGGATGGGGTGGAGAAGACCAGCTGCTTGATTAGAGTTCCGTCGGTTCATCTTTACAGTGTATATATACCCAGGTCAGATAAAAGATCAATGTCATTGTACTATGCTATCGAATACATCTGGGTTCTCTGTAATGTAACTATTTGCAGGAACAGAAGCGTGTCGCCGACTTGTTGCTGGGCAGAAGAAAGAAGTAATTCATGCGTTTCATCCCGCTGTCAAGACCTGGCTGAGAGATAGAAAGCCAAGGGTTGTGTGTATTCCAAAGAAACCCCCTTTCCCTCGACAGCCACGTCCTGGTCCATGCCACTCCAATTCATGTACAGGTCACGATGTTTTGTAGAGCTTGGTTATATTCCCGGTGCCAAAGAAAAAGTCAAGAGATGGTGACCTCCCCCCGTTCCACCCAAAAAACATGTAGAAAAACGCTGGCACAAACCACTTTTTCCCTCGTCGCATTTCCATCCATCGCTGCCATCAGGCCCACTGACCTCAACCAAGGAGTTCCTGGCTCTTGTTACAGTCTTCGGGCATCAAGCCACGCTCTTTGTGCATTGATCATGTCTTCGTTCAATTAATGGAAAACAGTGCGCCTGTCATGTCTTCCTCGCCGAGGCCATTGGGTATAAGTTCTATGCTTGGTGATTTTGATGCTTCCGTGGCCAACAACAAAAAGGAAAGACTCCAAAACCTTCCTTTTTCATGCTTGTCCCAGTCTGTCGCCGGCGCAGCGGTCGCAGTGCTGGGGAAATTTTTTGAAACTCGTCACTCTGATGAGGGGGTATCGTTGACCACCGGTTATCTTCGCACAGCAAATCCGATGTAGAGCCCGCGGTTACGCCAAAGTCCTAAAATTATTCAAATTGCTCATTTTGCGTATCGGTAACAGTGTCGCTCAGGTTGATAAGGAGTTGGGCCAGACATCGCTTGGTAGCGGCATCATCCCGGAGGACATTGGAAAACGTGGCATCTCGAAGTGGTTCGGGGAGGCACTGTCGCAGCGCTTGACGGGCTCGGTTGTTGTCACTAAGCCTTGGATCGGGGTCAGTCGAAAGGGCTGGATTTGTAAAGAAGCACTGTGAAAACTCACCTCAAGAAGCATCTAACTACGTGTTTCAAGAGTCGGACAGTCTGCGTCTCGACCAAGCCAATCACCATGTTGCTCAGGACGGTGCCCACCGCGTAGAATCTCTCATAGGTGGCACAGATATATCCCAGCCCCGTGTCATCAAGCAAAATCTTCTGAACAATGAAGATGGCCACAGTTTTGGATAATTCGCTGCCCGTCTCCATGATACGCAGGCAGAGTGGAATGATCTCTGTAGTCAATAGAAATGTGATTGTTGGCGAGGAGTTATTGGTATTTCCGTGTGCGCCGGGAGTGCCTGCTGGGTTCATTGAGACACCGGAGGAGGGCTCGTTCTTGACGAGAGCACCGATAACACCGAGTGACGTGAGGCGCAGGTATTCGAAAGGTCTCGACTTGGAGGTGGTGTTTAAGAACGGATAGAGAAAGAGTGGAATATGCGCTGGTAGCGATAGTCAGCTTCGCATCCGCTTTCCGATCCCAATCCCCCGAGAATGCTTACCACTAAGAAATAGGCCCCTGGTTTCATTGTGGCTTGCTACACACTGAAGCAAGGCCAAGGCGTTGCACACGCGGTTGCTGGCTGCTGCGGTAAGCTGGCTTGGGTTCAGCAGCGGATAGACTGAGATGATCTCCTGGAGCAGACTGGTCATGACGCCGAAACTGTGCCAGAGAACCAGCGCGAGCTCTGGTACTTGTTCCCTCTTCTTACTGAGTTCCATCAAAGCTCCCTCTCTTCTGTTCGGATCCATCAATTCCGCCACCCACTGTAAGACCTTGCGGTTCTCTTCCGACAATTGCTGATCCATGCCCGGTGACGCCTGGTCGTTCATCGAGGTCAGAGACGGGCCCATAGCATTCTGCGCGTTGTCGGCCGTGGCCTGCCGATTGGTATTCTGGGCATGGGAAGAGTTATGATTTGGGTTGATCGCGAGTCGGGAGTAGTGTTGCTGCTGAGCGGCCGCGGCGGCAGCAGCAGCAGCCGCAGCCTGGGCTTGCGCCTGTTGCTGTCCGTGGCTCAGGGTCTGGTGACTCTGCTGCGGACCGTTGTGTTGCCAGGAGGATTGGTCATGCTGGTTGTATTGTTGCTGATGCGAATAAAGATGCTGTGTCTGAAGCATGGTGGTTGGAGGGTCGTGTTCAGGTCAGGCCAAAGTCATTCTCAGATCGAAAGGGTGAGGCAGTAAAAACGTCAGACACTCGAGTGCTAGTGACGGAGACCGCAGTCCAAGTCACCAAGCAGACCGAGGACAATGTGAGTGACTAAGATCCGAAGTATAGAAGCTGAGACTCGACAATGAAAGGTAACAAAAGGGATTCGATGCAGGAAGTGCAGAGCGGGGAGCGGGAACGAAATGAAATCGGCCCCCTACTTGTGGTCTGCAGAAAACTCGAAGAGGATCACGAGCTTAACTGTGGGCTTAGCATCCTGTGGCTCACCGTACTTGGGGACGCGCCTAGGTACCATAGGTACCAGTAGGGAGGCCCGGTCGGCTTACCAGGCATGAAGGCTTGGCAGCTTAGTTAAGAAAGATGCCCGGCTGGTGCGCCCTGAGCGAAGCGGCGAGGTGTCCGAAAGCCCTTTTGTCACCCATTTGTCCCCTAATTGGTGCTGCCTTGTAGCCTTGTTTCAGTTCTGCGATGATCACGGCAAGTGGCTGCATGCCGAGGCTGTCCACGATCTTGCTTGTCCGTCTGTATTCATATTTCTTTAGATCGACAACCTTTCGTCTCCTCGGTTTCCTCAAGATGATATCATTTGTGCATTCTGTCCATCATTATACTCCGCATTCATTTCCATATACAAGTGTCATCTATCCACTGTAACACGGCATCCATTCGATGATACCCCAAAGTCCAACCTTCAGATCAAGGCGTCCGGAATTTCTCATGCCCAATGCAGTGTGCTCCGCTAGAAAACAATAAACTCGGAATCATCATCTACGTTTCATCGTCTCGACCTTGATCTGCTGCTTCGCCTCGTTCTTCGGTCCGAAGAACTTTCACTACCTGTTGGCAGAGTTAGCAAAATGTGAGGGGAAGACACCCGCGCCTTGGTTGTACTTACTTGATACCGTGTATTCGGAAAAGTAGGAGCTGTCATAGTCCGAGTTGCTCTTATCGTCACGTCGATTTCTCCTCTTCAGCCCCAGCCAGAGGGCCAGAGCCCCTAGTGCTGCAGCCATCCAGCCTGCTGTTCCCCATCCACTTCTCCTCTTCTCCTCCACAACCTCAGATCTCCCTGGTCTGGTACCGAACCACGTCCTTCGTCCTCTCCCATCCCTGTGCGAGTGTCTTTCCACATACACTTCTTCTTCGGTGCGTCTTCGTCGCGGACCAAGGCCGAAAATGGCCAAAAGTCCGTCAATCAGTCCCTTGAAGATGCAACAGGCGCAGAACAAGATGAGGAGAAAGATGCCAGCAATGACACCAATCACAATGCCGGCAATTGCACCACCACTCAGCCCACCACCAGATTTGGACGATGACGGCCCAACAATGATACTGCCATCCGTGCCTACCGGTGTCTGAAAAGGTGCTGTGGTAGTGGCGCCTCCAATGCTCGTTACGGTGACGAGGGTGTTGCTGGTAGGCCGGAGTGGGGCGCTCGCGGTGTTGGTAATGACCGTGGTGACTGTATACAGGCTGCTGTAGTATCCAGAACTCCCCCCGCCCACGGCTGCGCAGCTTCCAGGAGACTGGCAGAACTGTCCTGACAAACAGCAAACATTGCCGCAGGGAGTTTCGCCAAGAGAGTATGAGCAGCTGATTGTGCTCGCCGGCACATACGAGCTGTAGGTGGAGGTGACAGTCTTCAAATCTGTCTGTACAAACGTCACAGTGGTATATTCCCATTGTCCCGCGGCGGTTGTCGTAGCTCCAGCTCCGCACTGGGCCTCGTTGTTGGAATCAGTGTAGCAGACCTGGCCGGTCTCGCAACATAATTGCCCATAGTATCCGCATGGATTTTCACATCTCTTCTCAATATCTTGGAGATCTTCAAAGCTCTGCAGGAAATCGGGCAAGAATCCTGCAATGACGAATCGCGAGAATTTGGCGGTGAGGAGGAGCGAGGTCAGCGACAAAGGGACCTGGAAGAGTCGCATGGCTGCAACACAGTCCGGCGGTCGTTCGCGATAGGCAGTCAGTGCAGATGGATGTTAGGTGGGTGTCGGAGTGTTATGTTCGCATTGGGTGTTTGTTGCTTTCAATGGTGAAGGAGTCGAGGTTGGGTTGTGAAGCAATACTTCCGCTGTCCAGCCGCACAACGATCCTGTGAAACTTTTGACTTTCCAAAGAACATCAATAGACAAGAATTAGAGTATGAGAGAGTAGAAAACAATTGAAGATGAGATTTAGCGTTGGGCAGAATCGTGAGGGTTTTTTGGGCGCTGGAAGGTGGTGAGGTACCAGCCTCCCACTGCCCTGCCACCTGGATATTTGACACACCAACAAGTTGAGACCGACAGTGAAATTAGATCACTTCCCAGGTGGCTGGGAAACAACGACTTGACTGATTAGGAAGAGATGGCTCAAGCCCTGCCGTTGACAAAAGGCATTCTCGAGATTGATGTGCTGTATGCAAGGTGCCGGACTGGCAGCTGGACTCTGGGAGCTGTCGGCACCCATTAGCACCCAAGTGGCAGCGGGCAATCCGATTCCCTCGGCTACATGTGCTGTCCAGTTAGGAGTCATCCTGCTTTCAAGTAATGATGCCATGAAACCAAAGACCTACTTATGCCAACTCTTTGTTCTGGTTAAGGCTCATTTGTGATAATTTTTCGTTCCCCAAGAGCTTATCGCACCTACCTTGCTGTGTTGCCCGGTGGCCCTGTAGCGCTGGCAGTACTGAACGCCCCGTGGATCATGATCAGCGCGCGCCACAATAAGCTCATTAGCCACCTCTTGGCACACCGCCACATGAGGATCTGGCTCTCGGCAGACTTGCCTGATCTACTGACACCGTCGCGCTTTCACCTTGCGAGCTGGAAAAGTCGGTATCGGTACCGTGTCGCTGTCACCTTCCCCATCTTTGTATGGCAGGATTCCGAATCTCATCCTTCCAAAGTATCGGCAGTTGTGTTCTCTTACCCCACCAATGGTCATCCAGCATGTCTTGGGATACGGCAGTCCACACCGACCAAGCTCGATGACGTCAATAAGTCGACACTCGTTCCGAGCATTTCCGGCGAGGCTGGACAAGGTGGGAAGGCGTAACTTGAACGGCCAAGGTGACTGGCAGTCAAAATGGTTTGTAGATATGTCCCCCCAATCATCAATCAACCTGGGACTCTTCTGGAATCAAAGAACAACACGTAAACACGTGGGGCGGCCCACTATCACGACCGGCGCATGACCCTCTTTGTCCTTGCAACCAAGGCCTTGCTCCTTTAGAGCCTCAGACAGCCCTTACCGAAAACTGCCTGTCTCCGTTCAAGCTTTCTTGACCCAGTTCTGTGTGGTATCTTCCCCCTGCCTTGTACACCGAGCTAATCCATAGCCATTGGGGAGCGAGATATCAGGATCTAATGACGTTCATCCTTTGAGTGGTGTGACCGATCCACTGAGCGAGCCGGCGGAGCGAGACTTGACGACATTGAAGCTGTTTTTTGGCCAGCGTTTCAGTCCACTGCGAAGGCACTCGGTACCGAAATTGTCCCTCCATTGTACTGAGTCCATACAGCTGTACGCAGTTGCAATACCTACTGCCTCATACACCACAGGTCGGAAAAGCTGCTTACAATTGCGTGGACATTGATAACGTCAGCTACCTGGCCGACCTCAATCACCTGTGCCAGCCCGGCTGTGTGTCTAGCAACCAATCACTGAGTGTGTCTCTGAATCTGTGCCCCCGACACTGTCCCCAGCATTAATACACAGACTCTTGCTAGATGGTTTGGCCTGCCATGACGTCGAGCTTCACGGTTTCAACCATACAGCACCGTCTACACTTTGGTCAGAAGTGTGGATGTGGAAAGCCTGGAAGACGTGTGTGTGTTTTCTTGCCACAATGTGTGCCCCTTTGAGAGGTATCCGTGTCAAGCTACGGGTAGGCTCCGAATAGGCACATATTGGGCCCCGGTCGGTAGCAGAGACCGTCTGCTATGATGCCTTCTATCTTGGCTCCTGGATCCAGACCCGTGGCTTTCTGCCGGTATCCGGACTTTGTGGGCGCCAACCTGCTGAACGGACAAACCCTTGTCGAAAAGAGGCTTAATGGGCGCGACGTTGAACCAACCTCAGATTAGTCACTCCGTCGGATGATCTGCTGCAAGCAGTACTGCCTAATGTTCCAGGTGCACGTCTAGGTGCATGTTGCAGGTTCTCGGGCCCAATAAGCCACGCTTCTCGAAAGCCCACTATTGTCTCTGTTCAATAACTGAGAATCCACATGCCAGAAGGTCCAGTGTTTGCCTCAGTGCGGTGCACCTGTGGCTGTCAGATCTTGAAAGTAAGTTCAGATCTTGCCTGTTGTGCCTGATAGCCTCAGTGGTCCACATCTAGGCAACAAACTCATTCATAGCGTTGCCAGGTCTGTGAATGCTATTGCGCCTCAAATAAAATTCAATGGACAGCTTAAGTCTATGGAACGCGATGGGCTGGTCAGTGTCTCGTTGTCTATAAGCGCTTCCTTTGCGCCAGACTAGCTAGGCGGCAATCGGCAAGGCTGCATGAGATCACCTTCCTTCCAGAAGGCAGATCACATTCTGCACAATTTCCTGACTCAGGTTCGCGCCGGTACCAGGGGTCCATCATGATGAAGCGGTGCGACCCGACAAGATACGGGAGGGTATATCGGTGCGTAAGTAGCTGGACAAGACCCTGCTTTGCCTCCATTTCCCCCTTCAGTAATGATCACTATCTGTGTGCAGGGACGTAGTATGGCCAGCCATACTACTTCACGATGATGCTGAAGAGACACACCTGCCCTGCTTCATGACAGACTCTCTTTCAACTCAAGCACTCGGAGCCTGGGGAAGGAGGAGGCTCTCTGACCGGATTGGCGTTATTCAGTACTGGTCGTACTAGCCCTGCTACTCCTGCGCAGAGGTCATGCAAGCAGCCGTTGGTCCACTTAACGCCATCATGCCGACGAACAAGATCGTGGACAAGCATCGAAGTTAAGCTTATCTTCCCTGGTCGGTCTTTACGTACTTTACGAAGTGCCATTCTCTCTGGAGAGTACTCGCCTTTCGAGGTTGTGCATCAGGGGCGTTGGCAGCAGTTGTCATTATTGGGATCATATGCATGAGAATGATTTTCCAATACTTGTGGAAGAGTGCCGAGTGGTTAGAGCTGGTGAGCTGGTGAGCTGGGACCAGATCAGATTACAGCCTTTCGAACTCCTGGCAACGGTATGCAAGAAATAGCTGCAGCCTCTCCATATTTTTTATCCAACGACCACTTCAAGGTACAGACCACGTTGTGATGCTCTCTCGACAAAGGTGGATGGCAGTGACGCTGTACACTTTCAAACAACTGCTGAGTGCTCTTTATTAGTACTAGCAACCTGTTATGGTAGACCCTGGAGAACGGGCACCCTGTGCATCGGCATGCTGTTGTTGCCAGTCAACCCTTTTAGAAGCCAGACGAAGCTTGTCAGAGACACCGACAACATGCTATCCCTCTCCAGGAGCGTTTCAGCCTCGCTTCGCTTTGTCGACGAGACCCATCTATGAATTGAGAGCGGCATATGGTTCCTGAAGGTTAGCAGGTAACCGACCTGCGCTGGCTTTGGTGGATCGGTAGCTGTGGGAAAGTCCGGCGCCACGATGTCATCGAGCAGGGCCGCCAGGGCCGCCTAAAGTCGGATACCCCGCGGGTATTCGCTGCCTGTGATTGTGCTCTGGGTAGTGGTGGTGCTGCTGTTGTCTCCCTAGCTACGGCTCCGCCCTGCTGCCATCAATCCTGTCACCCGGGTGTCGACCATTGCCCACTGTGCACACCAAGTCCGCCTACGCGCTCGATACCCACGTATTGGAGCTTCGCGGTACCTAAGGGGGCCTCTTCTCCGTCAGGCTGCCTGGACTTGAGGGCATCCTGGGCGCCATGACCCTACGACCATGCCTGGGGATTACAGCATCTCCCCAGCCTACCAACCCCTCCTAAGACGCCAACCCTTGCGTAGAGCGGAGCTATTTCTTTGATGTGTAGCGTGGACTTAGCGCAAGCCACTTTCTGCCTCTTTGGGCAAGGTGGAAAGTAAGGTTGCATAAAGGTTCTGGCTGACTGATGAAGGCACAACTGGGTCTTGCTGCACAGTGAGATAGCGAGCTAGCAGGGGTGTGCATGATTAATGCGCCTTCTGAGAAAGGTATAGCCCAGGCTTCTCCATCTCGCGCCCAGGACCAGGGTTATTGCTGGGTCTTCCAAGGTGACCGAGACGCCAGGACCAAATCGAATGGTCTGCTCCGAGTGGACGAGGGGACGGTGGAGGGCGTGTTGAAACCACACAAGCATTCGTGCCCTTTGAAGGGCCAAGAATACAGCAGACCACCCTTTGCTACCTACGCCAGCCTTGTGCTCGGACAGGCCTTGTATAAGAAATGGACTTGCCCCCCACCATTTGCCTCTGCAGCCCCTCCTCTCTCCAACCCACTCTGAGAACCTTCAAGTCCAAAGCGAATACTTCAAGTGTACATCTATTCAATCTTCCTTACAACCACTCAATACCTCAGCATCACCATGACCGACTATCGCTCTGCCAACGGCTGGGGCCAGCAATCCGCCAACTACTCCCCCATTGATTCCTCCTTCCAATGGGACTACAACAACGTCCAGTCGCCCAAGAACATGGTCAGCCACTACAATGATCTGTTGCAGAGAGCTGCCGACTTCTACGCCACTCTCGATAACTCGTTCGACAGCATGTCGTCGTCCGGGTCAGACAGCTCGTACAGATCAACGCCGGAGCGCCGAGTGTCCCCGACGAGCAACAGCAGTGTCGTTGCTCAAGTCAAGAGCTCCATTCCCGACAAGATCGAGGTAAGCTTGGAATATCCCTATATGCCGCGGCATGGTGGCGGCTGACCAGTTCACAGAGGAGACGAGAGCAAAACCGCTCCTCGCAGCGAGCATACAGAGAGCGTAAAGAGCGCCATCAGAAGGAGCTCGAAGAGCAGATTACCCAGTGGCAGCAGAAGCACCAGCTGCTCTCCCGATCCTACTCGCAGCAAACCGAGGAAGTTGCCCGTCTCAAGGCACAGATCGAGCAACTCAACGGTGAAATCACCCAGCTCCAGTCCGGCCTGCCCAGCCTCTGTGGCTCATTATGCCAGTCACCCCAAGAATTCGACTTGGTGCCGTTCTTCAACGCGGACGCACTCAGCCCGCAGAGCACTCCTCGGCTATCACATTCGTTTCCCAGCCGGCGCAACTCGTAGAGAGTTGAACCGCCGGTGCTGGCTGATGACGTATGAGTGATTTTATTGGGCAGCATAGCGCAAGGCTGGGACGACCTGGGGCGTTGGGACGCATGGCGACCGCGGGGTTCGGGGGGCGTTTGATGCTGATGTTCAATGGACGGTCAGATGTGCATTTGAGCGAGAGGCAAATTGTGCATACATTCCATGTTGTTTGATTTTGATGCCTACGCGCTGTGTGTGGGAGTGTGGGTGTGGATGTTTGCATCTATTGAAGAGGAGACTATTTTTTTCGGAAAATTGTCCTGAAAGGGGCTACCTGAGATGTGTTCCTCAGTCAGAAAGGCACTATAATGCTGAGCTACGATGACAGGCGCTAATGGCATGAGCAGCCTTCCCATCGAACGAGTTTTTTGATAGAGAAATGATTTCCACCTCGACTTGGCTCGCGCCAAATTGGAATACCAATACTGAACGGGCAGAGATCTCTCGCGCGGACAATGCCCATTCCTTTTCTCAAGCCATCCCTCCTACGATGCGGCTCGCTATCAATTCTAAAATTGATATGATCCTCCATCAAACACGGGGGCAATGACCGTCTTTGGGCATGTCGCTTCTCTCTCTTTCTAACGGTGTGTGTTTCTCCCATGGAATTTCGGCACAGGTCCGGGCACGAAATGTCAGGCCAAACCATTCCAGGAAGTGGGTCATCAGCAAATCGTCTGGGAAAATGGGATCGACCCCCTTGGGTGTACAATATGAAGTAATGAGCTCAGCAGGATCCTCTGAGTAAGAAGCTCCGGCACTTACATAAGTTACATAACCACTGCCAGCCACCCAGGTGCCAGCCAGGGCCCTTGCTGCGACTTCGCCCTGTCCTGGGAGCTTCTTGGCAACTTCCGTTCTAGTCGAGATCCACGTGGGAGGGGTGGATGGAAGGATGACAAGGAGTGGTTGTCGGTTGCAGGTCGCCGTCCACGATCCTGTTGGAAGCCCGACGTGGGCTGCAAGCCATGGGCTCCCCGACTAACACAGACAAATCACGACCTGTCCTGGGCGCCGTTGCCACTTCGAGAGCCACAGCGTTGTATCATCTCGAAATACCTGGTGATTCGCGATCGCTTCGTCTGCTCATGCAATGGAAACGATTCTCAGGGTTCATTACTATTGACATCTGATAGGCCAGTGCCGGACACCTTTTCCCTTGCTCTTGGCATATCCAAGAGCCCAGTAGGACCGCAACAACAAATCAAGGGGTCTACCACGAATTACCCGGAAAGGGTAAGAGTCAACCGATGACGGGAAGCCCCAAAGACGGGAATACTCGCAGAGAGAAAATCAGTCCAAGCATCTTCGGGTGTCCGGCTTGGCTTCGTCAAACCTATTCCCAAAAAGTTTGGGGAAAACAAAAGTCTGGGAAAATAGGCAGTCAGGACAAGATGCTGAAACCAAAAAATTGGCTGAATCATCGGCTGTTGCCAGTGTAGTGAGTGACGTGGGCTGAGCCCTCAAGCGAGGAAGAGACCACCTGCCCTGCTGCTGCACGACCAAGAAAAAAAAGAGACCAACGGTGTAGCCAGTAGTACCGACATGCATGGGAGAGAGACTGGGGGAGTTCATTATCAAAGCACCCCATGTCCTTGGCTTTTTACTCGATAGGGAGTCCGTATTTCTACCGGCAGCCAGCCTGTCCGAGACTCCAGGGCGCTACGAGGAAACCACCCCCGAAACGTTACCTAAGCTTTCGCTTGCTCGACAACCTTTACGCAAATAGATGCACCAGGAAGCGCCTATCGCCCTCTACCGACCCTGGTGGCATATCGTTACCGCGTGCAGGGATGTCGCTTCTTCATTGACTATACCGAGTAGGGGAGCCATGAACGACGTATTATGCCATCCTTGGGGTCTGTTGAGCGAGGAGGTAAACGTTCAAACGCGCAATGGGCTGAGGCGCTGCGAGTTCCACTTCCTCCCAGTTTCAAGCCGTCTCTTGTAACAGTCACCATCCTCCCACTTGTGCCCGAGGGAAAATTGCGAGGGGCCACAAAGCCCAAACGTGGTATAGCAACCGAGCATCCATCTGGCAGGACTTGACTATGGTCCTGTTAGGAAGTCGTACTCCACATCAATCCAAGCTCCTCTCCCGCCCCTGGTCGACAGAGGGTCTTCCTAGTCTTGGACCGTTCGAGACTCCTGTCCCCCTGGGTCTACCGGGCTGGGCCATACCAATCGTGGGCAAGATGCCGGGCATCTAAACCTCTTTTGACAGGTGCACTAAATTACGACCCGGGGTCATGGGCCAAGGCATGAAGGCCCACTAGTCCATCCTTGCAGCCCTCACTAGCCCTAGCCCGCCTACCTACCTACTGTATGTATGTACAGTTCCCCTCCACGCACTCTCCTTCCAAGACCGGTGGAAAAGGATCCAAAGTACCAGGGATGATGTGTGTGTGTCGGTGTGTTTGTGGACTTAGGATCACTCGAGATTCATGCAGGGCAGATAGCCAATAGCCGTGTGTCGTCTGACAGATCTCTATCTATTTCTCGCTTTTGTCCATCTCCCTGTTTTCTTTGTGATGTTCATTGATGAGTGGTACTTCCGGTCACGGCGCACAAGAAGGAGAAGGTGGCCTGACCAAGAGAAGCTTCCACACCCAATCATCCCTCCAGCTGTCAAAGAGCCTTGCTATGCGGGTAGTGCGTATCGATATCCCCTTTTTTCTCTACGATGCCAGAATTACCGCTCTGCGTATGGTGGATACGCGGACCCGCCACATCACAAGCAGTGCGGATCGGTATTCCCCTTCTCTTGCGGTGCCAGAATGACTGTACTGCGAATCGTGGATTTGCGGGTCCGCCATATCCACAGCTTCCGAGTCCCGCGAGTTTGGCCTCGTCAGAGATGCTGCGACGAGACCCGTCCGGTGGAGGGAGAAGCGACGATGAGGTACGCTGCACTCCGTACTCCGGACAGGAAATCCCCTCCACGGAAGACAGATCGTCGATCTATTCTCGAATCGCTTACTCCATATTGATCCCAGTATGCAGCATGATGTCTGTGTCCCCAGCGGCCACATCAAACACCGTGAGACGATCGGATTCCTTCCGACTTCGCCGGCACTACTGAGTTTCCAGAATACTTCTGAATATGATCGCGATCGCCGTTCTACTGCGACCTGTAGACCCGGCATCCCACACTGCAGCAGGGAGCATACCGTAGCAACCCACAAGTTTCCGGTGTTGCGTTTTCCCTAAGAAGACCCGTAACTACCTGGCTGCCACCATTGTAACCTCTTCTCACACACACCTCAACAGGCGGTGTCGTCCACCCATAGCCCATAGTTACATTTCCCCCGGGCTGAGCCAGTAATGCACAGCCCTATTCCAGTTAGTCGCGTTGTGGTTTGGTTTTTATTTTATTTTATTTTTTCAAGCGGAGATGTTCTCACTTCCGTCCCCCATGAGCAAATCTTCGTATCGGTTCCCCGTACTGGACACGAAATGGTCGCGTATTGGATCCAGGAACAGAACTATTGACCGACCACTCAGCCGGATCCTCTGTCCTCGCTTCCGCCGTCGCTTCCCGGTAAGTTATCGGGAGCCTCGAGAGATTGCTTGAGATTTCTTTCATTGTAGAAGGCTTGCGGCATTCGTTGAAAGTAACATGATACCGCAACGCGTGTCGACGGGGGAGAGCTGAATGCTCGTAGTTGCCGCCGCTGTCACCGCCAAATTTTTCGTGGTTAGGTGTGTCGGAAGACCCAGATGGTGTTCAAGCTCACACGCGTCTCACGTTGTCATCCTTGGGGACCATATGTGAGTACCGGACGACGCCGACAAGGACAGATCGAAGAGCTGCTCTCTCCTGCGACCTACCAAGTTGGGAACTGTGCTGGGAATTGCGAATCTACGGGGCAGTGTCTGAAACAATATTCTGGTCTCCATCATAACCATAGCATCACGAACATGCCAGCAAGCTGTAGGATTTTCCCTTGCAAATGCCTCCTCCTATTCCTGACCCGCCCTACTCGACCCACGGTCAAACTTCCACGAGAAATCCAAATCCGTGTCGACAAAATAGGGCACTCTCGTCGAACACAGCCGGCGTCCAGAGGCTGACTGCGTTCAAGCCAGGACCAGGATCCTGATTGAAATTCCACCCTGAGTGAATGCGCGAAAACATAAGAGTCAAACACAGGCGTTATCACAAAAGCATACCCTGGAAACATCGATCTTGTTCGCGAACAGAACCTCCCTGCCCGGTGGCTGTGCTGCGAGAACTTGACACCATGCGGATATTGGACGAAGCGAAACGCCCGCCATTGGCGACGAATGTCCCCCGTACAGCCAATACTTACATACCCAGTTACTCGTGGGATCATATCCGCAGGAAAAACTCATACGACGCAAGCGGTGACGAAAATACTCATGCTCGTCGCAGTTGAGACCGACACCATGCCGAGATCGGTGCAGCTGTGCGAGCACGTACACATGAACGTGCCTGGTGCCCGAGTCGTTCATTCGCTTTCAAAACATGGGCGGTACCTTTGAAGTCCCAACAAGGAAGCCGTACCGTGCCAAACGGCGATCCTCAATCCGAGTTGCACTTCACTTCCTCTTTTCCTTTTTGTGGTGGCCGTTGAGTACAGGCAACAAGTGCGGGAGATGTATGTTCGGCACAGCAGCGATCATGCAGAGGCAACCCTATAACTTGACACGGAAATGGGTAGATCAGCAAGAACCATATGCGATGGTGAAGTGACAAACCCTGATGCCTATACGCCATCTCCGGCCGTGACACCCTTGGCCGCACCCAATCGCAGGGATGATTTCCTCCCGCTTCGAGAGCCCGAAATGCTCTCGGGGCCAGTCATAGTGCTGCATGCGTCCTTTTTCGAACTAGGTAAACATAAAACAGGGCGATCCAGGTCAGGAAGCTCCCGTGCCTCTTAGTCATGAATTATGCTTTCCCGTCTGTGGCCCCCCTGTCCTCAAGGGTGCCCCGGTCACGGATTCGTCAATATCCTAAGAGGGTAAGAGTGCCATGGGGTCCCGAGGTGGGTTTTGGCAGGATGGGAGAGTAATTGGTTGAACGAGGTTTGTTTTCTGCTCGAATGGCAATCTATGCCATTGGTTCTCCTTCCGTGTCTTCCCCCAATTATTCACTGTTAGTCACCTCCTCGCCACAATGCACCAAGTGAGCAAAGGGTGTTCGTTGGTTGTGGATTCCTCAAATACCCCTCCGACGGGCACCGGGGTCAGCCGACTACTTGGTTTCCGGGGTGTGATTTGTCCCCATTGGTGTCGTTTGAAACGCAAGCAACAGCTGCACCTTCGCGCTGTCAAATATTTTTCCAGATTGCACATCCTCGTCGGCCTCAGCTGAGGAGGTGGTGTGAGTACTCACCCACCCGTGCCAGGTTTCAGCTCTTGACGATGAAGGGAAGAGGACGGGCTCGGTTCTTTGACGCCGAACCCTAATAGTGGGGCACCGTCTCGACTTTCAGGGCCTTGTGGGCGAGCCTCAACTTACCTGAATATCTCGTAACGGGCCCCTCTTGTTTCAACCAGACAACGAGCACCTATTTCCACTTCCTGCGAACTCCTTCAAGGAGGCATCACGAGATGGTCCATCGTTTGCCTGAGAACCAGACGCTATCAAGTGCACACTGAGCAGGAAAAACGCCGAGGGTGCACTCCGATGGTCTCCGACCTTGGTGAAAGGTCCCGATCGCCCTCGAATACCACTTATGGGAATCCGGAAAGACAAGTTGGTCGCGCCATCCGCCCAGATACCTTCCGTGTTCGACCCCAGGGGCCGTTAATAGGGGCCGTTGATGGGGGCCGTTGATAGGGGCTGGGACGGATGGATGTGGTGAGTGTATTGACATCATCACACAAGGTGAACGGGTCCTGCAAGCAAAGGCAGAGTCTCGAGGGATTTCTGATATCACCCAGATAATATTAAGCAAGACATATCTCGAATCTCACGGACCTCGATTAAAGGTCAGCTTTCTGAGCCCATCGCCAGTAGTTGAGCAAGGTACCAACTGCTGCAGACTTACTTGCAGGTGGGACCACCTTCCCGAAGGAGACACCTCCCTTGCTCTTCTTTACTCCCGCAGGGCTTCTAGACGTCCTCTCGGATCTACGTCGCCGTTGTCTTTGCATGAAGTATAGTTCCCTCTACGTCTTACCTCAAATCTTGGACCCTGCCGTCCTGAAGCCATCGTACAGCAGTCTCCTAGAACGGAATGTGCTCCCCGCGGGGGAAACTCTACAGATCCACTTGTTCTGTCGAAGCGGTGGTCCGGGAAAAATAATGGGCTCTTGTGCCATATGGCTGATCCCGTCGGCGTTAATATTACGTCCCCCTTTCCCTGCATAACCGTCCCAAGATCTTGCTGCCGCTTTTGGAGTCGCGGATCCTCCATATTTATGACAACACAGGGTTTCCGGCCCGAGAAATGTCCTGGGGAGACGTATGTACGAGGGGTCTATTTTCAATGGGTCGGTAATGAGTGGGCAGAGTGTGCCGACTGACACTGCAACTCTGCTTGCTTGAGCGGTTGAAGTCGAGTGAGAATGGCGACATTATTGACGCAGGCTGAGCTGCGGTGCTGGCAGGCGTCTAATAACCCTTGCAAATAGCACCTTACACGTACCTGAGCCCTCATATCACATATACGTCTTCGGCTGGACACTCGACATGATAGTGGGTCTCGTCCGTGGCGGGCAACAAAGCGCATCTGGACCAACAGATGAGATCCACAGCTCTTCAGATCTTCAGCGAAGAAGCTCAGGCGAATCCTTGCTATCCTCACCCCCCTCGTCAGCTGTTGCTGTTGTCTATTCGCGGGTAAGCTTTGTCTTGGATAATCGCTCTCAGTAAGAACCTGGAATACACTCATGTCTTAAAATGCCCAGTTTCTCTCTTCTCATCGGGCATGCAGTCTGGCCAAATGACGAGTGCTGCGAGGTATAGGTCGCCGCTGCAATCGGGGCGTGCGCGTGCGAGATTCCAGCCTTGTCCAGTGCCGTTGTACTTGATATGTAGGACCCCCCTGCGCATGCTCAGCCTTGTAATGCTTTCTATAAGTCCTGCATCTGCTTCGCACCCATGCTTTCAAGGTGGTTTGCTGGTAATGAAGCGAGAGTTGGGTGTTATTCGTAGTAGATCTCTGCAAGCATTCAGCCCGTTTCTCCCGAATTCCTTGTAACCCCTTGTAGCCCCCCAAATGCCCAGCCTTGTATCATGAAAAGCTTAGGCACGTGACTGCTCGTTTCGGGAAACTGCGGAGCCGAGCTTTGTGGGGAGCTTAGTCATCCACCAGCCTCAACGTCTTCACTCCAACCGCACCAACAAGAACCCAGTCATTTTTTTCATCGCAAACAAATTCAATCGCATCACTTCTGGTCTAGTTTTCTTCTTGAACTTAGGCGGAGCTTCTCGCGTCGACGCTGTCATACCTTTTGCCACTGTGGAGGACGCGTCGGCTGGTTGAAGAGCTCGATTACGCGTGTTCCCCCGCAGCTGCACGATCGGAACTCGAGCTCGAATTCCCCTTCGCAAATCGCGAATAATGTCCCACGTCAAGGCATGAGTTCTAGTTCGTCGGCAAACCACGATGTCACGTCTGGTTCGGCCCAGGCAAAGCAGGCCGCGTGTCTCGAATGTCGCCGGAGCAAGGTAAAATGCACACGCGACCTTAACGCCCCGGTGTGTCGGAAGTGCCAACAGGCCGGCTTGCAATGCATTACGCCGGAGTACCATGTGGGAAGGTATAAGGGCGTCAAAAAGTGAGGTTATCGAGCTCTCCCGCATTGTGACAGAAGGCTGATACTGAATCCATCAGCAAGAGGACCGGGCTAGAAAAGGCAATCTATCAGGTCGAGCAGGCGCTGAAGAGGAACCGGGATGGCTCTGTTGGGCTTCCTTCTGAGGTTGAAGCCGACCTGCGACAGTTGATTGGGGCTCCTCAGACAAGCACTGTTCTTGAGCGGAAAACCAGCTTAACCACTCCAGCGACAAACCATCCACAGCTGTTTCTTCAGCCACGCCCAAGTCTAGTTCCCAGCGAGGATAATGGCGTAGCGGAGGATATTCAGGAAGAGCCTGCTACAGAGCATGGCGAAAAGCCCGACGAACTCGCACTCAACAATGCCGACAATCCCTTGCAACTGCTTGCCATGGCTTCGGTGCTTCCCGGTCAGTCGCCCTCAACCGTAATGTCGACATCGCCGGCCGGCGTCGCATCGCATCCAGGAACCAATGACGCAAACCCCGGCGACGCCGAACTACAGCAGTTTTTCGGGTCGCTGATGCCCAGGCTGGACAATTCTCCGGATCTCGACCCAATTGATTTAGGACTCGTGACACAGGACGAAGCCGATTCACTGTTTGCGTATTTCTATGAACGACTATCCCACACGAGATGGGGTCTTGATCCCACCCTCCATACAGCTTCGTTTGTGAGGTCGAGGTCCGCCTTTCTGTTCACCTCCATTCTCGCCGCCTCTGCCTTATTCCTCCCCAAAGCGGAGGCATTGTTGAAGCGACTCTCCAACCACCGAAACTATCTCGCACAAACCGTGATCTTCAAAAGAAATAGATCAGTGGAGATCGTATTAGCTTTCATGGTCAATATTCCTTGGATGACGCCTGCGAAACACTGGGCAGACGATGAGACGTGCGCTCATCTCTCGATGGCGCTGAGCTTGGCATTGGACCTCTCATTGAACAAAATTGTGGTTCCTTCTCCTACGATTCGTCCCGCAGGCTTCCTTGATCGGGTCTCCAAAGCCGATTGTATTGACTCCACAAAGGCTCTACAGCTAGATGGATTTCCGCAGGTTGATCCATCTTCGATCCTAGGTCGACGTTTACTGAGAACACGTGAGCGCGTCTGGCTGGCCTTGTTCGTCCTTGATCGAGGGTAGGCGTATCACGTGTACCACACTGCGCTCGTGACTGATGGATGTCTGCAGTATCTGCCTCGCAAGGGGAAGGCCGTATGCGGTTCCGACCGGGCCCTTGGTAGACAGCTGTGATACGTGGCACATCTCTGACATTGCCGATCGATGGGATGGTAGTGTCGTCTCTGCTGCCGTGCTAAGGCGAGACTTGGTATGCTCTTCTCCGAACTCTGTTCTGACTCCCGCTGACTGCAGCAAGGTCGGGCTCCTTGCAAGCGTTCGCGAAGCTTGCGACGGAAATCAAGGTATCAATGGTGGCCCGGCAGCCGTGAGATTGTAAGTTCATCCTGTCAGATGAAGGTGTTGGAGGTGGCGAACCCACTATAAGCATACTGTTTGACTGACAGCCGAGTAGCTTGAAAGACAAGATCGACCGCTTCTTCGAGCAGTGGTATGCCGTATGGTCACGTCAAATCACACAAGACGATGGTAAGCAACAGAGGAGATCCCCAGTTTCCGTTGTCTTAACAACGTCTCTCAGGTCAACTACCTCCCTACGTCGAGATCCTGGTCTCTCACACCAAGCTTTCCACATACTGTAACGTCGTCAACCACCCAACTGCGTCGAATGACGTGAAACAATTCTTTCGTGCCGCAGGGCTGGCATCAGCCATGAATGTCATGCGTGCAGCAGTCCAGGGCGAGAACCGACTCAAATCGATGCCCAACAATACAGTCATCATGGTCTCTTTCGCGGCGACTTTTGCTCTGGCCCTTGGTACCACAAGTCTAGGAAACCGAGTCATGCTGGCTCCGAATGCGAGAGCACTTATTGAAGAGACAAGCCAGGTGTTGGAAAGGATCGGCAGCTCCCCAAGACACCGCAGGGGCTTATCCGTCCTTTTCGCAAGGCATATCCGGCGGATCATGCAGAGCTCCGTTCTCAGCCCTCCCGAAGATAACCAGAGCTTCGTCGCGGGACCTTCAGAGCAAGCTCATCAGCAAAATCACAACGCTGACCACGACTCCATACGAACAGCTTCGATACCCGCTCCCAATGTCCCCTTGGACCCGTATGTCTTCAACATGACCGACGACCAGATCCTCGAAGCCATCAACAACGCTAGTACTTCACAGGACTTGTTCCAACTCGACGAGACCATGTTTTTCGACTGGCTGGACTGGCCCAATCTCACTTGAGCGGTCGCTGTTGTAAGGCTTTGCTGGAACCTGGAACGTGTTCTTAGTACCAACACAATATCATATCTTCTGAGGCACCGCAGGTGTCGCCACTACATCGGAAACTGGTTCAATCGACTTCATATTCCTCGACAAATCCACCAATTTCTGGAGCTGCTCGATGAAAACGAAAGTGAGAACCGTGTTTGGCCTATCGATTGTTAGAAATGGGTCCGTACAGAGGGGATTGTCAATGGCTTACGCCAGCCTGAGCCAAGCAGGAGTCCAGCCTCTCATCACAAAGCCAGGTCCCTCATTGCGTAAAGATTCCACGATGATCTTGCTTACACTCTATTCGCAGTTCATTAGCTCCGTCAAGCCTTCGAGAGTATACCTTACTGGTCTGACCCCGTTAACGGCCACTGCATTTTGCACCCGGCTCTTCAAAACATCGGCAGGTGCGCAAGCAGTTGTTGCAACTGTACCAGCGAGCAAGGAGGCCATGAAATGTGTGAAGATTCCGTCACTGAGGCCTAATGTAGGGTTCGAAAGAAGTTGCCGCTTGGCTGCAGAATACCTGCACGGGTCAGGTCCTGGGAAATATTAGGGAAGCGGGTGGCATACGTCGCTATCTGGGAAACATCTGCGACTCGTTTAGCGACACCGTCAGAACATGGAGATCCGAGACTTACTCATTATCACACTGCGGACGACATTGGGACCTAGGCCTCTGCTGAAGGTCCGCACGCCTTCTTCACGGCCGATCCTGATGATGGCATCGACGGCGTGATTATATCCGAATCGCTGACTGGGCGACCTTGCTCCGTCCGCACACATCCGCACTAAGGCAACCTAAACCACACATCAGCGACCCCTTGAACCGCATAGCATGATCCCCTGACCTCTGTAGGATTTCCGACGAGTCCGGCCAGACCTCCCGCGGTACCTGCGCAGACGATCTCCCACGAGCTGGGTAAGCGTCTTTGCCCCGTTCGTTCTCTGGCAATGTCGGCAAAATAATTATAAAGGCCAAATCTTGCGGTCGAATATGTGGATTGGCGAAGCATCGAGGCAGATATTCCCCACCACAACGACGGAATGCCTGCCACCTGAATGAGTTGCTTGTCACGGAAGTGTGCGTCCACTTAACTACGCACCATCTCTGCTTGCGAATTGGATCATCGTCCGCAGCATGTTTTGCCTTGTGGACATAACTTGCATCCTACTATGGTTTTCTGTCAGAAACCCCTAATTCTTGCAAAATTACCCACTGGGCCTACTATTTTGTCTGATCCAGCGGATGAGCTGAAAAGAGCCACGTCAGTTTGTGCTGTGGTATTCCTTAGGTGGACCGAAACTCGATTTGCATACTGAAACATGCAGCCATCGATGCCGCAGCACCTCTATGTCAAGTGTGTCAGCAGCCGGCTGTGACCGAAAAGGACTTCGACACCTACCCAAGCCAGAACGGCTGCCCTTGTTTCTTCGACTTGGCCATAGTCTGTTGCTTTACTTGACAATACTGGTTCGCTGGCCACACTCTGAGAAGATGACTGGCTTGAAAGTCGCTTGAGGGCGGCTGCCTCCGGCTCTGTGGCTCTCATCAAAGAGTCTGGCCTTTCTCCCAGAGGCAGCTTAAAAGCGTGAGTTCTGCACCGCAATATACACACGGCACCTCGAAGCCCCAGCCTCACAGCGCTGGTTTGTATATGACCGCATCCCTGTCTCTGGGGAAATCCACCTGTGCGTACTATTCATCATTTGAACCCGCAACCATTGACATCGGCCATTTTCTCAATCCGGTCCCTTCTACCACGCGAACTTTACGTCCGTCTGACATGTGCTCGTGACGGTCGGCATAAAAAATACCACCGAGACCGCAACCCGGTCACGTGAATTCGCAAGACTCCGTTGAGCGATTCGCCGCCGACTACTCCCGATTAACGGCCGATGTCGCTGGTTTGCTGAGGGCGTTCCCGATAATCTCGAATAATTGTTTTTCCGTTCCTTGCAGTCCATGGTTGATGACGGACATATATTGTCATTGAAGTTTCATCTATATCGACCACAAAACGTGAGCAACGTAAGGACAACAAGCCAAGATGGCAGCAACAGCAAGGCGTACACTGCTCCTCTGCGTCAAGGACATCAGAGCCGCTGGTCCCTCGAATGCAGCAACTAATGCCAGTAAAACCAAATACCTGACCTTGCGCCAATCACGGTTCAGACCATGGATAGTTTCAAGCCAGCAAGATATTCGACACTTCACATCTTCTCGGACACGATGGCGTGAAGCAACGTCATCGCTATCTTCTGACAAGCATGCACCGCCTGTTATTGATCGGACGAGGTCGAAGCTCTTCAAGGATGCCGACGAGGCTGTGGCGGACATCCAATCCGGCTCGACCATCCTCAGTGCTGGATTTGGTCTGTGTGGGACAGCCGAGACCATCATCACAGCAATGCACAAGCGCGGAATCGAGTCACTCAACAATCTCACTGCGGTTTCGAACAACGCTGGTGCGGCAGGCGCCGGCGGACTCTCGCCTCTGACACAGTCGGGCCAATTGACGCGATGTATCCTCTCTTATTTGGGGAACAACAAAAAGCTCGAACAGAAGTACCTGAACGGCGATATCGCCATCGAACTGTGTCCACAGGGCACGCTGGCGGAGCGGATCCGTGCCGGCGGAAGTGGGATTCCCGCCTTTTACACGCCAACCGGTGTCCGTGAGTAGTACCTGGTTACAAACCTTGTTGTCTGACAAAGGTGTATTGACACCTTTTCTAGACACGTGCATCCAGACTGGAGAGATCCCCACGAGATTAGGACCTGCTGATCCGGAGACGCAAAAATCGAGCGTGCTGGAAGCGGGAAAGCCAAGAGAGACGAGGATCTTCAATGGCAGAACGTATGTCATGGAAACCGCGCTGACCGGCGACGTTGCCATCATCCGCGCCTGGAAGGTCGACGAGGCTGGCAATTGTCAATTCAGGTATGTTCCTGCTGTACACACACTGCCGTCAACGGGAACAACTCCGTGCTAACATGAATGTCGGTAGATACACGACCAAAGGTTTCGGCACCATTATGGCCAAGGCTGCCCGACTGACCATTGTCGAGGCTGAGAATATCGTGCCCACGGGTTCCATAGACCCGAACGACGTCCACCTCCCTGGCATCTACGTGGACCGCATCGTGCCTGCCACCGTGGAAAAGAAATTCGAAATCAAAAAGACTCGTTCTGCCAGCGACGAGGCAGGTTATTCCTCCGACTCGTCCACGACCAGTAACAAATCAGCAGCCCTGATCCGGCGAGACCGCATCGCCCGCCGCGCCGCGAAGGAACTCAAGCACGGTATGTACGTCAACCTCGGTGTGGGAATGCCCACGTTAGCACCCTCATTCCTCCCGAGCGATGTCAAGGTATGGATCCAGTCCGAGAACGGCATTCTGGGCATGGGCCCGTACCCGACCGAGGACGAAGTCGACCCGGACATCATCAACGCGGGCAAGGAGACCGTCACGCTGGTCCCTGGCGCCTCGACGTTCGACAGCGCCGAGAGCTTCGGCATGATCCGCGGCGGCCACGTCGATGTCTCCATCCTAGGCGCCCTGCAGGTGTCGGCGGCCGGCGATCTGGCCAACTACATGATCCCGGGTAAAGTGTTCAAGGGCATGGGCGGTGCCATGGACCTCGTCTCCAACCCCAACCAGACCAAGATCGTCGTCGCCACCGACCACGTCGACAAGTACGGCAAGTCCAAGATCGTCGAGCAGTGCTCCCTGCCCCTCACCGGCGCCCGCGTTGTCAGCACCATCATCACCGACCTCTGCGTCTTCCAGGTCGACCGCGTCAAGGGGACGCTGACCCTGACGGAGCTCGCGCCCGGCGTGTCGGTCGAAGACATCCGGGCCAAGACGGACGCGAGGTTCGCCGTTGCCGAGGAGATCAAGACGATTGAATGATTTACGAGTGTATGCGTATGTGTGTGTGCGTATCTGTGTCGGTGTCGGTGTGTGTAACACTTTGTCCATCGCCATATGATGAAGGGAAGCATTATATAAAATAGCTCGTCTGTCAGTATGCATTGCTGGGTATTTGGTGATTAGAAAAGAAGAGAATGAATGAAACCGGGTCTATAAAATGAAATGACATCCCAAACTTCAATATATTTTATCTTCTCGCCAGGGATCATGCCACGTCGGTATGAATAAAGTAAGAATGTTGGATTCGTGCATCATCTTCTGGACCCTCCGCCTCCGGCTTTTCAGCAGGAGCTGCCACGTGCGGATATATCTACAGATGCCTGAGAGCCTTTTTTCTCTTTTACTCACAGGCCTTCACGCCTCGACTTTTGGACATTTCTTTGACAGACAAGGATCATCACAAAATATACTATTTCTTGCTGCGGAGGAGACTTTTAATTCCTTTTTTTTTTTTTAAAAAAAACGCCTCTAATCCCATATGATTGAAGGATGGGCCTGCGCATCTCTATGTATTCGACAACAACAGCATGACCAGGACGGAGAAAGTAAAAATCTACAACTTCGCCTTGAGGGTCTCCCCATCACCGCCGCTCATGCCGGGTGCAAACGTCGTGCCTCTCCCCTGGCTCAGCGCGCGGACGATCTCGTCGATGCAGTTCAGGATCCACTGGTTCCCCTCGTCGGTGGCCAGCCACTCGCCGCCCTCGACGTCCTTCTCGGCGCTGCCGTCCTGGTACGCCTTGCGCAGGCCGAATACGTGGCTGACCACCTGTGGGCCCACGCCGGTCTGGGCGCGCAAGCACGCGATGGCCGCCAGCGATGTCAATACCCGCCCCACCTGAAGCGGTGCGTCGGACGGCGGGTCTGCCAGCAGGTTCGAGTAGTGGCCCGACAGGATGTGCACGGGCAGGTTGGGGTGCGACTGGGCAAGCTTGTCGAGCAGCTTCTCCTCAAAGGGGCGGTACACCGAGTCCCAGAGCCGGCGGCCACGGGCGAGTGACTCGTCGATGTTTTCCGCGGTCAGTTGCCGCGACACCGGGCGCGGGATCTTGTCGAACACCTCCTTCGGCATGCCTTCGCGGAAGGCCCCCAGACAGTTGATCGAGCGCGGGATGCCGTTGAAAGAGATGCACTTGAGCCCGACTTCACGCATGAGTCCGGCGGTGTCGGGGGCTGAGGGCGCTGACGGCAGCGTCTGTGTCAGGTGGAACAGTTCCACCATGGACGACGGCGAGTTCATCGTCATGGTCGCCGCGGTGGAGAACGTGACCCAGGCAGGGATGCCGACGCCCTTGTCTCTGGCGCTGGCTGCTATCCGCGAATAAGTCGAGCGGATCGACGGCGGAGCCTTGAGCGTGCCGGGCAGGGCATGGGCGGCGTTGATCAGCTGCTTGAGTGGCTCGGAGAGCTTCGACATGTTGTCTGATGGAGACTGGCCTTTGGTTGTTCTTGTCTGGACACGCAGGGCTAAAGGGGGGAAATTGTCAATGTCAACAGGCACACAAAGGAGAAAGATGCATTACGGACACCGGTACATAAGGGGGAGACAAAAGATGGTCCCGTACAGTTTTGATGCCGTCGTCCCTTTTGCCACCGAGCTCCCTCTGGCTTCCCCGCGTTGTTATCACTCATGTAACTCACTGACCCGGCGAGTTCTGATTGGTAGGGGTTCGCATGCAAGGCTAGGTCCTTTTCTCTCGGCGGTGATGTCGAGGCCAGACACGGGTCGGCGATAAACTGATGGCACACACCAAGAGCCCCTTGAGGAAATAACAATCTTGTGTTGAGTGAGCTGATGGGGGGATGAAGGATGTTGACGTCGAGAGAGAATGGAGATTATCGGCAAAAAGAAGCACCGAGCCGAGTTCCCGGCACCGAGAGAATTGACCCGAAGCCCGAAGAGGAAGGAGTGGGCTTGGCTTTCCCCCTCGGCCACACACTCCGGGACTCCGGCCCATCGCCGCCTGCGCATCGGCCATTCTTCTACCTCCTCCCCTATCACCTATCATACTCGACTCGCCTCCCCCCATGACAGATCCTGGGTGATCAATGTCCGTCACTAGGCCATTGGCCGGCCTCCATACGCCTCCTCTCGCGCAACAACCCTCCAAACGTTCATTGGCCCTCAACAACAGAGTGTAACGTTCTCGAATGCTTGTCCCTCGCTTGGTGTCGCGCGACCGCCCGCCAGAGCGCCCAACATAATTGTTGCAGTGATGCTGATCACTAATTTTGGGTGAAGGAAGGGAACATCAATCAATCATGGGTGCGGGATAGCGTCCCTCAACGGGACTCTAGCCCATGGGGTACGAATGAACGGCCAGGGACCCCAGCATTTGGCTTTCTGATATAAAAATGACAGTCGACCTTGGATTGAAATTTGGTCGTCGCCATCTTCCCTCTCAGCTCCCTCCCGGCGAGACAATATTCCCCAAGATTGGAATATAAATTCGGTTGTTCAGTGATAACGACTCCACGCCTCCGGACGTGCCCTCCCTTCGCCCAACGGGATACAATCTCTATCAAGGCTCTTATCAGAGCCCAAGAGGACTCCGCTGAGATGGTCGACGAGAAGGTCACAGGAGATCCAATGGTCGAGAAGCCGCAAGATACCCAGAATGAGTTCGAGACATCGAGCCAGGTGCTTCCAGGCGACAAGACGGGCTCATTGTCGGCACTGAGCGATGACGCACATACCAAGGCTTTGACCCGCAAGCTTCTCTTCAAGCTTGATACGAGGTATGGGTTGTTTCGAAAAATCTTGCCAGTTTGATGCGCGACATGAGTGTGCCCTAATACATCGCTCCATGCAGAATCCTTCCTGTTCTCGCCTTGCTTTTCCTCTGCTCCTTCCTCGACCGGACCAACGTCGGTAATGCAAAGATTCTGGGCCTCGAAAAGGATGCAGGCCTGAACAACAGTCAATACGCAAATGGCCTGGCCATTTTCTTTGCCTTTTACATTGCCGCTGAATTGCCCAGTAATCTGGTACTCAAGAAGTTCAGCCCGCGACTGTGGCTAGCTTTTCTCACTGCCGCGTGGGGTATCATCGGCATGTGCCTGGGATTCATTCGAAACTATGGTGGATTTCTGGCTGTCCGGGCATTTCTAGGCCTTGCAGAGGGAGGATTGCTGCCAGGTATGAGCTCAGCCTTTGATATTCTCACAGAACGCAGCAGTAATTCTCATCTCGTTTGCAGGCATGGTACTCTACCTATCAGGGATGTACACCAGAGGTGAACTGGCCCTTCGCATAGGACTGTTCTACACCAGCGCATCTCTTGCGGGAGCCTTTGGAGGTCTTCTGGCACGCGGTCTTTCCGCCATTGGTCCTACTGGTAGCGTTGTAGATGCTGGGTAAGCAGCCCTCTCTTCAGCCTCTCTGGAAGGCATGTTATGCTGACATGGAATTTTTGGGGATAGGTGGCGATGGATCATGATCATTGAAGGTCTTTTGACCTTTGCGGCTGGAGTGGCGTCATATTTCCTGCTTCCAAACAGCGTATCAACAGCCTGGTTCCTGTCGCCTGAGGAGCGAGAACTCGGAAAGCGGAGGCTCCGGAACGATACCTCCGCACACTTGCCCGACGGCCAGGCCTCTGAAGGAGTTGAGAAGTTCCGATGGTCAGAGGTCAGACGGGGAGTATTCAATCTTCAACTGTGGCTCACCGCCACGGCGTACTTCTCCATTCTCTCTGGGTTGTATTCCTTTGGATTGTTCCTGCCAACCATCATTAAGGGCCTGGGTTACACGGCGAACGAAGCTCAGCTTTGGTCGGTTATCCCTTATGCCGTTGCGGCTGTCGTTACGGTGATCGTGGCCATCGCTTCTGATCGATTGAAACTCCGAGGTGTTGCGATGCTCTTCAGCTTGCCATTGGCCATTATCGGATACGCGGTGATTGCCAATGTTAGCGAGCATGACAATCACACGAAGTACGGCATGACATTTTTGATGGCCACAGGGCTATATGCCAGCGTTCCACCCGTTCTGGTGTGGAATTCTAACAATTCTGCTGGTCACTACAAGCGTGCCACGACAAGCGGTCTTCAGCTGGCTATCGCCAACGCAGGTGGATTCGTCAGTGGTGAGTCCTGGTCCATTGCCTATCGTCCAACAGGATTTGTGTCGCTAATGTGTGACCATAGCTTTCATTTATCCATCGGCGGAGGCACCTCAATACCACAAATCGCATACCATCATTTTGGGATTGCTGGTCTATGCGTGGTTTGCGTAAGTCTTCCAAGAAGCTCTCCTCCTTCCCTTTCTGACAACTGCATCCAGAATTTTATGCAATGTTCTCTACTGCGCGAAGATCAACCGTGACAAGGCGAACGGCAAATACGACAAATACATCGGGTACGGCGACGACCGAGATCCGGAATTCAAGATGGTATTGTAATGCTCTGGACCATAAATGGGATCTGTCGACAAGCCAAGGGGGGCGATGTCGAGTTATATGGCCGAGGCTGGTCACAGTATTTTCTCGTTAGCGGGGTGCGAATTCGATAGAACGTCGTCTAGCCTCCCGACGCGGGGTATGATGATTGATGAAACGGTATACATATTAGACCACATCTGTTTCAGGTCCCAATTGTAGAGATAAGAAAGTCGTCAGTGAGCAAGTTGGGTTTCCAGTCTTTGCCGCCATTGTCACCTAGTCACGACATTCACCGGCAGCTCTTCATAACTTCACTTTCCGTCATTCCATCGTTTCTTTTCAATCCAACCTCAACTCATTGGATACCACAACCACCTACAGACCTCTTCTACCCTCTGTCTCCGTAAAGATGTCGTCCTCTCGTCCTCCCAACCCTACTCAAATCCCCAACAATCTACCCGGCCTCACCACTCACATCACCGGCCACGATAGCAATACCGGCAAAGCCATCGTCAGGGACAGCAGACCCGGCAATTGGACCGTCTTCGACGACAAACTCATGGCGTTCAATGTGATCTACACGACCTCGGAATTCCCACCAGACCTCAACGACGACCGCGACGTCAAGACCCACGACGATGTCGTCGCCAATGGGAAACTCGGCCTGGTCAGTCCCAACGGCACCGTCTGCCGGGTGGTCGACTTTGCTCCCGGGTACGAGTGCATCATGCACCGCACGCAGAGTCTGGACTACGGCATCGTGCTCGAAGGCACGATCGAGATGATCCTCGACAGCGGCGAGCGGAAGACCATTCAGCGAGGCGACGTGGCGGTGCAACGGGCCACCATGCACGCGTGGAAGAACATCAGCGAGACGGACTGGGCCCGAATGATCTTTGTGCTGCAGGACTGCAAACCCCTGGAGATTGGAGGCAAGGTCATGAAGGAAGACTTGGGCGATGGAGTCGAAGGCTTGCCGCCCAGTGGGAACGACGCCTAGAGAGAGACAGCTAGCTAGCTATCCGACTCTCTGACGATCTGACGATCTGACCGATGGGCTGCTATCACGATGAGGGAAAGAAAGAGGTGACAACAGTCTGGAAGGAGACAGTCAGGCACAAGACATGACAACAGTCAGTCGACAATACAATGAGCTCAGGTATTATCATGCAGAAAATCGACTCAGTGAACGAGACTTCTCCTTGCCCTTTTTTTTTTTCAATATGTCATTAAACGCTATGAACTTTTATCGCGTAACATTACCGTGACCCACGTCCCATGCCGGCAGCGAGGCAGGTCTTGATGGCTGGCCCCCTTTTTTTTTACTTCCCTTGTCCCTCTGCTCCGCACTCACTCACAACATATGTAATACCGATAATTCCAACTGTCCTCCCACTCCAGGTTCGCTGGTGCCGCTTTCCCGGATTGGGGGGCTTGGGGGGGGGGGGAGAGGGGGGCGCGACGTTGTGGGCTAGTGAGGCCTAGCGAGCCTGAGACTTGTTGATGCGGCGATTAAAACCGGGACAACGATAAGGGCCTCTCTCTCTTTTTTTGGCCCCAACCAACCAACCAGCATCGACGACTCACTGTTATTAACTGGCAGCTGCGCAGGTCCAAGTTTTGGCCGCCGCTCTCCATCACACCAAACCCAAGCCAGACTCTTCTCGTTCCCGTCGCTTTGTTGTATATATCTAGAAATCTTTGTTTATCTATGTCCTCCCCTTACATGTGTGTGTGTATGTTTGTGTTTGTACTTTATTGACGAGCTCAGACAATAAATCTGGGCACTGCGTCTGGAAACCCTGAAGACGCGCCGCCGACGCTTGTACGATTAGATCTCCACGCCCAGACTCAATTTGCATCCTGCGATACCCACCTAGCATCTTTCTGCCGCGCCGCCACCTGGCTGGGGTTTCGCAACCGTACGCTCCTCCTCCTTCGTTCAGAGCTTTCTTGCCCGGTCCTTGGTCTTGCAAACGGAGCCTGTCAAGGACGACGATGCGCCGAGGCTGCGGCCCTCAGCAACGAGTTCGCGACAACCATGGGATGGCCACGGAGTTCGTCACTGGGCATAGACAACGCAACCTCCATGGCACGGATACGGAGTCGGGGAGAATCAGATCTCGAGAAGGAAGGGTTCCTCAACCGACATCCCCACAGCAGCGAGGACGATAGCAACGACGCCTTCGAGGACGACGAAGGGAACCCCTCGCTCGCGTCCTCCCGGGCCACCTCCGCCTCCTACAAGCACATGCTCGTCAATAGAGCCTACAGTTCCAATCGATCCTCTTCTCCGTCCTACCTCGGCAGAATGCCTCGATCCATCATGCGATATCTGTGCCTGGGGGTCGCCCTCACCCTCGTTATCTTCATCTTTTCGCTGGTGCGCATGAGTTACGTCGCGGAACAGGAGGTGCAGGAAGCCATTGAACAAGAAAAGATGAAGCCGAGACCTCCCCCGTGGGAAGAATTTCCATTCCTGCAAAGATATTATGGCGGAATACGGTCGTTGGTTCCGGCCCGAAGTAATGTGCCTGAATACCCGAGGAAGGAGGACGAGGTGGAATGGGAGAAATTGAACATCACGGAAGAGGTGGTCGAGAACCTGACGCCTGAGGACGGATCTCCTGCAAAGGAGAGGAGAAAGAGAGCGATCCAGTCCAGCAAGAGGTTCGACCCATATCCCAGCTACACTTCGCCCGAGTACATTGCCAAGTATGGCGAAAAGGTGGACTGTTATCTGGATACCGAGAACACCGTCGAGATCCCGCGGGTCCGGATGTACGAGGGCATTCCACGAGGGTTTCCAGACATGGTCATGGGTTCTGCTAAACTCCTGGGGCTCAGGGACGACATCTGCTATGATCGTTTCGGTCGGTTGGGCCCGTATGGACTTGGATACAGCATCAACCGAGGCGGAAGCGGTGCACAACAGGAAGGCGAAAGAGAAGGAGCTGATTTGGTGTGGCAGGAAGCGCCCGAGGTGGACTGGAGGAATGTTCATTGGGCCGATGCCCAGCAGCGTTGTGTGCTGGCAAACAACCACCGCTTCAAGGAACTGCCTGAGAAGCCGCGAATCGACATGTTTCGAGCAATGCCGATTGGTACCGTCTACAACAAGAGAGATGAGATCGCTGAAATTGAGGCCATGCCATCCAAGACACCTGAGGCGCCAAAGAGGCCCAAGTCCGGGTCAGAAAAGCTTCCGCGCACAGCAGTCGTGATTCGCACGTGGTGGGATTACCCGTACACGCCTGAAGACAAGATCTACCTTCGTTCCCTAATTTCGGAACTGACCATGTTGAGCGGCGGGGAGTATGTGGTGCATTTCCTGGTCCAGGTCAAATCCAACGACGTGCCCATATTTTCCGACGACGAAACCTACGAGCGTGTTCTCCGAGACTCGTTGCCAGAAGAATTCCGAGGCATGGGCACTCTCTGGACCGAGAAGCAAATGGAGCTCATGTACGGTGGTCTGGAGGAGACCAACATGCGCGGACTGCCCGTCCACGGAGTCTATCGCAGCACCTTCATGCCCATGCAATACTTCGCCTATCAACATCCCGAGTACGATTTCTTCTGGAATTGGGAAATGGATATTCGAACCACACATCACTGGTATCATTTCTTCGACAGTATCACCAAATGGGCCAAGCAGCAACCTCGCAAACTCCTGTGGGAGAGAAATAGCCGGTTCTTCGTCCCGTCTGAACATGGTGAATGGGAAGACTTTAGCCAGATGGTTCGCATCCAGACGGAACATGGCACGAATAGCATCGCCAATCTGTGGAGCAGCCTGAATCGCGCAAACAAGAATCCCAACGACCCGAGCTCCAAGATCACCCCGGTTGGAGCGATGAAGCAACAAGGCGACAAGCCGATCTGGGGTCCAGAACGACCACTCGACGACGATGTGACCATGGACACCGACCCAACTCCACCCACCTCTTTTGACAAGGATAAATACACGTGGGGTGTCGGCGAGGACGCAGACCTGATCGTGTTCAACCCGTTGTTCGACCCCGATGGCACAACATGGCTACTTACGGACGATACTACAGGTTACAACATCACGCGCGGCCGCCCTCCACGCCGGACCGCTATCATCACAGCCTCCCGTCTCTCCCGCAAACTATTGGTGACCATGCACAAGGAAACCGCCCTGAAGAAACACAGCATGTTCTCCGAAATGTGGCCGGCCTCCTGCGCGCTGCACCACGGTCTCAAAGCCGTCTACGTGCCTCACCCGGAATACATCGATCGCAAATGGCCCACCAACTATCTGGCCTCGGTCTTTAATGGCGGCCGCAACGGCGCCACCGGTGGCGCCCGCACGTCGGTCTTTGGCGAGCGCGAACACAATTTCCGGGGGACGACGTGGTATTACAACGCGGGGTTTCCCGAGGTGCTCTGGCACCGATGGCTGGGGATGCGGTTCAACAACGACGGCGGCGAACAGTTCGAGCTGGCCGGCGAGGGCCGCATGTGTCTGCCCGGCATGCTGCTGCACCCGATTAAGCGGGTCGAGCTGGTCCAGGAAGGGAGGAGGGCCGATCAAGTTGGATGATAGGGGGGGGGAGCACGCGGCATTTTGCAATGAAGTTGACGATGAATCTTTCTTGGGGGTAAAAAAATATCCCAAAGCTCGGGGCAAAGGGACTCTTGGACATTCGCGAGTCGAGTCGATGCAAATGATCAATCGATCAATCGATCAATCAATCAATCAGTGTTACATATACTTTCCGTACATGCACCGTTTCCTGCGCCGGTTTTTGGGGGGAGGAGGGCGTCTTGGATAGAGCCACCACCATCGAACTACAAGGTACGTCCGTACCTACAGTGAATATTTATGAATGTACCAAGGCCAAGGCAAGGTTCTGTCTGTAATGCCGACGTCGATGTTGATGATGTTGTTACTTACAGTACTATCTACCTACCTGCCCGCACACAATCCACTAAGAAAGAACGCTTTCAAACCGCAAGGGTAGCGAGTGAGTGGCATGATAGTTGGTGCACCATGCATAGTACATACACTCCTGACAGTGAAGAAAGGGGGCCGTCGAGTCGAGTCTACGTACGCACAGTAGAGTGAGCGAGTGAGTGTCATGGGATATGGGATATTATGAGAACTGGAATCGGTACAGAATCCAGTCTTCGACTCTCCCAACGCAGTGGTGAATGAGATGTTGGAGAGTAAGGAGGAATTGTCGACGCTATCAAGGTCTGCCATTCTTATTTTATTTTCCGTCACTCTGTTTCTACAATAGAGTGGAACCGGGTAAGTCACGCAAATGTGCAGCACATACACCGACACCGTAGATTTCACCCTCATCAAAAGAAGGTGGCACTTTTGATTCTGCTGGCTCATTCAGATTACCCAAATCAAGGGATGTAACTAACCCCTTTCCTAAACGCCACACGAGTCAAAATTTTCCCGTTCTGAGAACGGCAGCTGTAAGAAAGCTGGGTGCCAAAGGGGTGTTGGTCAGTCGCGGGATGCATGCTCCTCTAGCAGTGCATGTCGAACTTGGGCTGCCGGTCAGAGGTGAAAGAACCCCAATGCTGCTCGCTCGCTTTTTGCCCGTTGTCGCCAATCGCATCAGGCTTGTCAGGCTCGTCAAAGGCCTCGAACCAGAACAAGTCAATGCCCCAGTCCAGGATACCGCAGACGGCGGATTGCCAATACGTCTTCATGTTGTCGTCGCCTGCTTTTGCGGCGCCGGCGTCCGTGCCTCCGGTGCCAGGCCAGCCAGTTTCTGGCACAGCAGTCAGCCACGGTCGACTTTGAAATGGTGTCAGAGGCTGTTCTTACCGCCGTTCATGAAATGGATCTTGTCCAGGCTGCCGCTGACTTCTTGAACGTGGCCCAGGGCTTGGGCCATGTCGTCAAAGTAAGTCTTTGTTGCATTGGAGATATCTTGGTATTGCCAGTAGGCAAAGCCATTGGCGAGTCTGCACATGGTGAGCACCGATGCAACGACTGGTAACACGGGGGCCACCTCTCACACTAGCTGAATACCGCTCTTGATTATAGAGTCCATGGTACCGTTGTTCCAACAGTTCCAGCTGTCTGCAGTTCCAAGTTGGGTGTTGGGGTAGGACTGTTGCATGTCTGAAATCCAGCCCAGAAGATCATCGGCGTTATAGGTACCCCGGTACATACCCTCCGAGCCGATGGTGATGCCGTACAGTGTATCACCATAAGACGTGGGGTCTGCCTCATCAATCGCTGCCTTCTCCTTATCATAGGCACCACCATCAGGCCTGACGTAGAATATATCTGTTAGTCCGAGCCGATGTCAGACTGCGCCCAGTGACCGGCACTCACCACATTCCCAACAGCACCTTAATACCTGCAGATTTGGCAGCCGGGAGGACTTGTGAGGGTGTATGGCATGGGTTGCCATACTGGTCGGAGGATGAGTAGGTTCGGACTAGCTGAGCATCGGTGTTGGTCAAGATCGCTTGGAAGTCGGCTTCGAAGTCGGACTGGGCTTTGCAGGTGCCATCTGGGTTGGTGTTTCCCACGGCGAAGCCAAGTGTTCCAGCTGCGGACACTGCCAGCGGTGCCGCAGCCAAAGTCGCGGAAAGGACGTCACGGAGGTGCATCTCGTTACTTGTCGCTCAAAGCAGACCACTAGAGGGAACGCGAGACGGCAAAGGACCAGGGCTGGGAAACAGGAGAAAAGAAGGACTTCGAAAAGACTAGACTGGGGAGAAAGAGTGACTGAGAAAGGCAATGTTGCTAGACAAAGACTGCGGATGGTTTAATAACGACTGCAGGGCAAACACGGTCTTTCCCCAGAAGTCTGGAGGCCCGTCCCTGGAACTGGACGCGCCCAAACGGCCGGCCCTAACTATTCCGTTACAGGGATAGTCGCAACGCCACATTGCGCTCTAACTGCGCCTCAATATCGCTTGGCATCAAGCCTCATCAGAACCAAGATGGCAGGTTTGGCGGATAAGTACCTCGTGTTATGGAGTGCGAAAGAACAGTCAGTCATCAGTAAGGCAAGTCTAGAGACGAAACAGACGTCAATACATCATGCCGAGCAAAGGCCCAGCACATCTGAAGGTATCGTCCACGTCCTCATAATATCGTTCCGGGCTTGAAACTGCATGAGGAGTCCCGACTCCATATGCCAGCTAATATGGCAGTGAAGGGCCCACAGTCCCGGATTGTCTGCAACAAAACGGATGAGTGCCCAGCCATATGCATCGATCATAAGGGTGTCCCGTCGCATGACATTTGAGAGTGTCCTGTTCAAGCCGTTGTAGGTCGACCAATCAAAGTATTGATCTGGAGAGGAAGCAAGAACCCAGAAGGTATGGCCGTGGAAATGGAACGGGTGAGCTCCTTCATCATAGTTGGTAATCAAAAGGTCTACCACGGCCCAATTGGGGATGTCAATGACATATTGGCTGGCACTGAACGCCGAGCTGACTCCAGAAGTTGTGAACGAGGAGTTGGCTGCCTGGAGGCCCGCAACAGCTTGGTTCAGTGTAGGCACATCGGCCATGACCCAGGAGGTGCCGTTGATATAGGCGCGATCCAGAGCATAGTCTCCGATCTGGAAGTTTGCGGCGATAGCATACATTATCGTGGCGGGTGGTGCTTCTGATTCGAAGAATGGTGTCAACAATGACGAGTTCAGGCCAACACACTGCACATCCACTGCCTCCTTCCAATCCGTCGAGTTCGTCGGCTCATCTGTGCTGTTGGCATACGTTATCAAAGCCATCACGTCAGGGTCGAGGATCGGATTGGGCCCTCCGAAGCAGAACGTGTTCATCTGCGCTCGCATCCAGTAATTCGATCCTGCCGACTGGTTGGCGTTGATGACAATTGAGTATCTCTGCGCCACGGCAATGTCAAGGCGATGCACCGAAAGAGGTTCCGTCGCGGTCCCATCGGCTTCGATGACGGAGAGGGGATGGTTGTCGATGGAGAATTCAAATGTCGCGAAAGCCCCCGTGTTGATCAATCGATACCGATAACGTTTGCCGTGCTCGACCGTAAACACTGCACGTGTCGAGTTCTGCTCGCAAACATAGCCACTATCGGAGTCAAGCGTCGAACAATTGAAATAATTGGTTCCCTGAATCAAGCCATTGTCAGGGACGGGTTCGCTATTCTCGTCGCCGCTGGCAAGGTAGTCAGGCAGAAGTGCCTGACTATAGTCGTGGTACCAGTCTTGTATAAGCACAACCTGGTCCACATCGTAATACTTCTGCATCTTGACCTCATCCGGCGAATGGATAATTAGGGGCCCTACGGGACCATCACCATTCGTGGTCGAATAATGGGTATGATACCAATAGGTCCCAAACTGGTTTTCCACGGTGAAGTTGTAGGTGAAGCTTGCACCCGGAGGAATTGGGCATTGAGTTATTCCAGCAGTTCCGTCCATCCAATTTGTACCGTTCTGATAAAGCCCGTGCCAGTGGAAGGCAGTCCCGTTGGGGAGGTTGTTCTGAACATGAATGAGGATCCGATCGCCCATATTGGCACGGATCAGGGGCCCTGGGAAACGACCATTGATAGCAATGACCTGGCGAAAGACACCATCCGGCGACAGCTCGATTTCGCTGATGGTGAAATTGTATTCGCGTGTCGTCGGCGGTGCATTGAAGTCCCATCCCTCTATGTCGAGGGTGTAATCTTCCACATTTGATCTCCACGGAGGGACCAGCAGCGATGCTTGTGAGTCCTCGGCAGGTGACGAACTGTTCGAGGGCGAGGGAGACCCGGCCGTGCTGCTCGAATGATTCTTGCTGGAGTGTTTTAGTCCCAGCCCAAGGCCCAGGCCTAGCGCCAGTCCCAGGACAACCACTACAACAATCGCAGAGAGGGCGAGGTACGTTTTGCTGCGCGAGCCTTTTGCATGCACACCAGCATCTTTGGTACCTGGAGCCCCTCCGCCACCCAGAGAAGGGGCGATATTCTGCTCTTGAGCAACCTTTTGCTCTATCGACATATCTGGGCTATGTTTTCTTGATAATGCAATCGATCTCGAACACACTGTCGACGACGGGATAACGTCGAGTGACTTGTAAAAGTATACACGAAGGAGATCTCATCTTACCAACGGGGCACTTGGTGAAAATTGCAACCCTCTGTCCTTCGCTGAATCCCGCCAGGGCGCGACACCCTGAGTCCACGAATGAAAACACTGGTCGCCACGGGCAGCGTACCGGTCTAGCCGTCGGAGCCGTCGAAAAAACATTCTTTGCTGTGCCTCGTATAGCTGCCCAGATCGGCGTAGACTCGGATGGCCACCAACACAAAAGGCAAGGCTGCTGTTGGGTCACGCTCGGGTAAAATGAGATACCATCTCAATGGCGCTGCTCAACGTTGCCCTGGGTCGCAAGAACCGAGAGGCGGCCACACTCCGACCAGACCCTCCGTTGCCTCCATCCTACCAGAGAGAACACGTTTCTAAGCAACCTGTCCCTGCCTGAAGCTTGCTAGAGGTGCACGAGGTTGGAATCAACGAGCGTAGTTGGAAGAAAGAAGTAGAGCCAAGCCGCACGTGCGGGAAGCTCACAACTGGTTGGCCTGTTGCCTTGGCGCTCGCTGCTTAGCATCACTAGCGCCGGTTGAGAGATCCACTCACATCTGCTCAGTCTCTACCAAGGCTCCATCGACTTGTTCCCACTACGTGCTCAAGCTTCGACAAGGTATTCAGAGATCGTGCCACTAGAAGCTTCGTCTGCAGCTTTATTCAGTGGGGTACCTGTATGCAGCTAACCTCATTACCAAGAAAGGCAACGTCGAGCATGCGATGGCCCAAGAGCCTGCTCCAAAGATTCGCTGGAGAGAGCGCATGCTCACAGCTGTGGACCAGCCGCGGCGAGAGCTCTTAGGGTCCTGGGAACGTGGCATGAGAATGACATGGGAGCTCTGCTTTCTTCTACCTGCCAGCCACGAGTAAACCATAAAAGAGCTCGCTGTCCGTGATGTTGTCCAGTGGTCTCCGTCAGATCCTGCATCCTTCCGAGCTGCATTGAAAACGCTCTCAAGAAGCTCTTCCATCATGATGAAGTCTATCGCTTTGCTCGTTGCTGCGGGCTCTCTAGCAGCTGCCATTCCCTACCAATCCCCACCTCCCGTCTCGACCGTCGAGCCATCGCTCACCCAGATCGAGCAGTCTGCCGCCACTGCAACGAGCCTGTCACCGGTGAGCAATGTCAAGGGTGTCGCTTTCAACCGCTTCTACCAGATCTGGCTGGAGAACATCGACTACTCTGCCGCTGCTGGCGACCCAAACCAAAAATTCCTGGCTTCGCAAGGCATCACGTTGACCAACTACTTTGCCACCACTCACCCCTCGGAGCCCAACTACTGTGCTGCAGCTGGCGGTGACAACTTTGGCATGGACAACGATGACTTCCATCAGATCCCGGCCGACATTGCTACCGTTGTTGACTTGCTTGACACCAAGGGTATCAGCTGGGCTGAGTACCAGGAAGACATCCCCTTCCCGGGCTTCCAGGGCTTCAACTACTCCAACCAGGTCACCTTTGCCAACGACTACGTCCGCAAGCATGACCCTCTGATCTTGTACAATTCGGTCACGAACAATGCCACTCGACGTGCGCTGATCAAGGGTTTCGACGCCTTCCAGAGTGACGTCGCCAACAAGACCCTCCCTCAGTGGGCGTTCATCACTCCCAACATGACCAACGATGCTCACGACACCAACATCACCTTTGGGTCACAGTGGCTGCGGAACTTCATGACGCCGCTCCTGGCCAACGACTACTTCATGAACGACACACTGGTTCTCCTGACTTTCGACGAGAACGAGTCCTACGGCATCCAGAACAAAATCTTCTCCATCCTCCTGGGTGGCGCCGTCCCCGCGCACCTCAAGGGCACCCAGGACAACACCTTCTACAACCACTACTCGACCATCGCCTCGGTGTCCCAGAACTGGGGCCTGCCGTCCCTCGGCCGTTGGGACTGCCATGCTAACGTCTTCGAGCTTGTGGCGAACAAGACGGGCTACAAGAACGCCAACGTCAACACCAAGGGCCTCTTCTTCAACTCGTCCTACCCGGGTCCGCTTTCGGACGATGAGTACGTGTCCGCCTGGCCGATCCCGACCAACGCCTCAACCTGCGCCAACGGCAAGGGCGTCCTGAAATCTGTGGTGAACACCTTCAAGGGCAAGGCCGCGACCATGAACTACACCAACCCGTACCCTTACGACGCCCTGACCGGCAACAACGTGCCGTGAGGAGCTGTTAGCGCGGCGTCGAGACGGGTAGAGGTAGAGTCTGATCGTGCTATATCAGTGGGCCTGTAACGACGAGCGAATCCGAGATAGGCAGTTAATAAGCAAAATAGCTCCGAATCAGACAAACTTGTTTTTCCACTGCGTGATTAGTCCCCGATCATCCGCCTTTTGACTGATTGCCCTTGTAGACGACGCGACAGATAACTGACTCGTCCTCGGGATATGGCCACTCGGGGTATCCCGATGCCAGGAAGCTTTTGTCCTTCGTAATTTAGGGCCGCGCTGATCCCAGACACCGTAGGATGGAGGACTCTGACCCTGCAAGCCGGGCGTTGTAACGTACCTACTTCCATATCGGTTCGGTATCTCGGAGCTATTTCCAACGAGAGTGGATAAGGCCGAAACGGCACCAGGCAGCGATTGACAAGCGGGACGTTTGTAAAGAAATGATAATCATTTGTCCGGTTCGACATGGAAACAGGCGCCATTGCTACCTACCCCTCCTGATCGCCTAGCTGTTAACCACCTCCCCTGGTTGGGTGAGTGCGGAACTCTGACTATGTGATTGGCTACATACCCGAAACGGTAATTCCCTGCACCGACCAATGAGAGTCCTTCCAATGTGCACCGGCAAAGATAAGAAGCAACCGCTTTTCTGGAATCCTCCCACCACAATTAGCCCGGCTCGCCCTACTGCAGCGAGTTAAACAGCCTAACAACACCCATGGCACAACCTGCAGCTGCACCTCCAATGATGACCATCTGCCCCGCACCGCCGAGATTGCTTTTCACGCGTCTCCAACCTCGCCAACCCTCGACGAAGCCTGTCTTGACGTAACCAAAAACAAACAATGCAACCACCATGACACTGATGCTCCAGATCAGCCCGTCCGTAACATGGCTGGTGAAGAAGTATGGGAGTAGCGGCACGAAACCACCAACAAAGTATCCCAGGGCGATGGTAATGGCACACACCACCGCGCGACTGGCTGCAGGCTCGGGCGTGTTGTGTTCGAAGTGCATGAGGAAGTCCACCACGGTGTCCGGACTGTTGCACGTAATGAGTTGATGGGTGAAGTCCTTGAGGAGGGAGGGTGAGAGGTGGTAGGGCGCGAATATGGACGAGATCTCTGAGGACAGATTGCCGCTCGATTCGAGCACTTTTGAGCGTGTCGAGCGGTATGTGGCGTTGTATGCTGCCTCTTCACTTTTCGCACCCAGGTAGCCGCCCAGGCCCATTGAGATCGCACCTGCAATGAGCTCAGCGAGGCCGCCAAAGACGACAACCTTTGTGTCGCCGAGAGCAGAGAGGCCGGCGGTGAGGGCGAAGGGCACCGTCAAGCCATCTGAGAGGCCGATGATAGCATCAGATACGATTCTTGCGTTGATGGGGCTGCCGCCTCTCTCTGATGGAGATTGAGACCTCTCATACACAGTCTCTGCCGAGGACTGACTGCTTGTTTCGATCGCATCCTCTCTGGCGAGGGAGGAGCCCCGTCCCAGCATAGAGTCTTTCTCCATGTCGGTGGGCACGGAGGTGTAGGATCGCTTCATCATGGCTTTGAGCATGGCAGCCATGGCGTTGGTATCTTCGAAGCTGTCCATCGACATCTTGAAAGAGAATCTCTATGAGTGTCAACCTTTGAGTGGGCAAGAAAATGAGATGTCCACAGTAGCTGCGGAGACCAAGACGAAGAGCAAGACGAAGAGCAAGACAAAGAGAAGAGGAAAGACCAGAGCTTGAGAAGGAAGCATGCCTCGAGGGAGGCTGGGTGCATTCGAGCTATAGGGATTCCTCAACACCCGGGTAACTCATCAACTATACCTCGCAGGGCAATGGGTTGGGACGTGGTACGAATGTAACACAATCACAGGCCGAAGCTGCGAAGCAATGGGTTGGCCATTCGCCGGTCACCTTCCTGATGGAGAATCATGTCAGATCCTCGACATGGGGACGATGCTAAAAGTTCGCCTAGGGAGAGGACAACGGAATCATTGTCACCTGGACACATGTCGACGGGCAACGTTCACGGCTGCGAGAGAACAAAATTTTGCGACCCATAGCTGTTAGCGCAGTAGAAGGATGGACATACAAGCAGCTCAGGAACACAGCTCCCATGCAGTATGACGATCGCATTGCCCTGTCCACTTGCGCTTGAGGACAACGTGCCTTATCAGCAAGAAAGAAACGAACCTGATTGGCGCTTTCTACCCAGACACGGCACTTGCAAAGGAATTTGGGGCAAGCTCGGCCAAGCTTCGAGCTTCCCAAGCTTCGCTAGTTGCATTCCCAGCAGTTCGAAGCTTGATGGTGCATAAGTGGGTATACATCAGGCTAATGCACGTTCCGCCCCGCTGAGCTCCAAGCCCCCACATGCCTCCGCCTGACGAGGCTACCAGGCCTGTTTCCTTGTCTTCAATGGCAGCGTTTCTTTGTATTCCAACTTCCGAGCTTTCAACACAACGCTGCGAGCTGCCGAAGCGCATTATCCACCTGTGGCCATTGCCCGTGTCCAAACTTTGATAGGGTTCTATTTCCCTTCTCAGAAGGTGACATGCCGATCGTTGAGCATTGTCCAAATGCCAGCGGGACGTGTGGATGAGCCGACTACCCAACATTGGCTATCCTCCTGTTTACGGCAGTTGCAATGAGAAACCGTAGCATCATGTGCGACTATCAGTTGAAGATACTATCCGGAGAGATGCCGCCGAGGAAAAGCTCGCATGTTCAAAGGAAAGAGGTACGTGGAAGGCATAAATGCGAGCACCCGACCTCCTCGTCTGAAAGCCGGGGGACGCGAAAACAACACAAGGTAATCAATCCATCTTCCGGAAAATGGCAGCCCTCCTTTCTTTGCTAGGTGCTTCTGCCCTCATCACCTCCACTGCTGCTCACCCAGTCAACCGACAAGCATCAATATGGCAAGGGCTGAGCTCGAAAATCACCCATGTGGTATACCTGATGATGGAGAACCACTCCTTCGACAACATCGCCGGGTACTGGGACTTCAACGACATTGACAACTTGCGCAATATCACCTTCTGCAACGAGTTTACCAACCCAAACTGGACAGTCTGGGACGAGCCGTTGATGATCTGCGCCAGTAAGTACGAGGCTGAAGTTCCTCTCAAAGACCCCGACCACAATTTTGCGGGCGTCAGTTACGAGATCTACCGCAAATGGCAGCCCACAGCAGACGACGTCCCTACGATGTCGGGATTCATTGAGAGACAGTCCGAAAAGTACAACGCAACGCCAGGAGATTCCTCCTTTGTGATCAAGGCTTACGACCCAACTATGGCTACGACTCTTTCTACATTGGCCCAAAACTATGCGTTCTGGGACACCTATTTCGCAGAGCACCCTGGGCCCACCAACCCCAATAGACAATTCGCGACCTCTGGATCGACTTGCGGCTATGTGGATAACACTGACCAGTCCGCGGGCTTTTTCAGCAACACCACGGGCACGGACTGTGTAGTCTCCATCTTTGAATCCCTATCCAACAAGAACATTTCCTGGAAGAACTACTACGAAACCGACATTATCGACGCATATATGTACAAGTGGGTCCAAGACAATGCTATGGATCGACTCGTGCATGCAGATCAATTTTACAAAGATCTCGCCAACAACGAGCTGCCCCAGTTCTCCTACATCAACCCGGAATGCTGCACGATCGACTCTATGCACCCCACCAGCAACATGGCGGCCGGAGAATTGATGATCAAGCACCTGTATGACGCTCTTCGCAATTCCTCGTACTGGGACAATCTGTAAGCCTACTCCCCCTTGTTTCCCCATCTTTTGCTCCACGTGGCTAACGGATCCGCAATGAAACAGGCTGCTCATTGTGTAAGTGTTATCATTACACAAGCACCGAACCAATAATTAGCTCGGGTCCTCCTTTTGGAGGGGCCCATGCTTTCGTCTGTACACCGGATCGCTAACTTCAGGGGCATAGTAACTTCGACGAACACGGGGGCTTCGCCGACCACGTCCCTCCTCCCGCAGGGGTGCCCGCGCCGGAGGATGGCATCACCTTCTCAGGCCTGTCGGATGGACACAACGTCACGTACGACTTCACGCGCCTGGGCGTGCGCGTGCCGGCGATCGCCATCTCGCCGTGGATCCCGCCCAACACGCTCGTCCACGACCAGGGCACCATGTACGCCGAGAACTCGGCCTACACGCACTCGTCGATCTTGCATTTCCTGCAGGAACTGTGGGGGCTAGAGGGCATGAACAATCGCGTCCAGTGGGCCAAGACGTTCGAGCACATCTTTGCCGACACCCCGCAGGAGGGCGGCGGCTTGGAGAGCCTGCCCAGTCCTGTGTGGCATGGTGGCTTCGGCAAGCCCGAGCCCGAGGCCTTCTATTTGCTGAACCAGGATGAGAGCTACTACGCGAGTTTGAACGATTAATGATGCAGGTTATTATAGTCCACCATTAATGAGGGTGTGTAGATAGATACCTCGAGCTGGGCCTAGCTCAGAAAATAGATTCCACCAGATGAATCTGCCTTTACAACGTCCTGCTGGGTCTGATACTCCTATGGACGTCCATTGGTACCTAAGAGTACACGAGCCCTTATGGAGAGCCTGCTGTAATCGTGATGGTCAACAAAGTTCCCCTGGTCGGCACAAGGGCAGCACAGGATATCAGAGAGGTGAGTAATGCCCGCTGGACCGTACCGCCAGTTTTCCAATAGGCTGTCACCGTAGCCGCTGTCAGACAAGGGGTTCCCGCTCTCAAAATTGGGTGATAGAAGCAGGGGTGTGGTAGGCCGGCCTTGCCCACCCTTCTCGTCTGCAGGGTCTCGTCTTGGAGCAGTCTAAATCCCAAGATCTTCGACCCCCCCACAAGGGCGAAAGGAGAGACCAGAGAGCAGCCCCTCGTCCCTTGCAGACACTCTTCCAATCAAGCATTGACCCGATACCAGACGTCCGAGCCGCCAAGCAGAGCACTAACCGAGCCTGCAACGCCAACCGTGACAGGATCGATGCGGAACCAGCCTACCGCTGTACCTGGGATCAGCAAATCACAGCTGTCAATAACCAGTTGCCGAAAAACAGCGCGGCGTTTCGCGGATTGAGCATGCCGGGCTTTTGACTGTTCCCGTTCGTTGGGTTGGGCCACGCTCTTCTCATTGGTCTTTTCGACAGTGGTTGAAGTTGTCTGCTTCTGGTCGGCTGATTGGTTGTTCTTCGACAATGCAGAGTCAGAGTAGACAAACAAGAGTTCATAAAGATCCAACGCGGCAGAGACCGACAATGCGTAGAACCAGAATTTCAATGCTTCAGTTTGGGTGGTTACAGCCCAAGGCCTCCAAGTTCCAAGAACTGCGTCAACCTACATGATCGGATAGAAGACCCCTATGTCAGCTCAATAGCCGAGGAAACTTGTAATGGTTTAGTCGGGGTACGCACAATTGTAAACATCTCCATGAACAGGTACATGCCAAGCAAGGACCATTTCGAGACAATGAGGAGAAAATGAATACTGGATTGAGCTGCTGGCGGTTGAGATTGTTCCGCTGATTTATTCTGCGACGTCCCGCTTGCAGCGAAGGACTGGTACTGGCCAAAAGCCATATTCCAGCAGTCGATCCATTTGAAGAGGCGGAGATATCGACGTGCTGATATGCTAATTTGTCAGTTATATATCCAGAGAGAACCACGTCAGGTTGACATTGGTCGGACAAAGTATGTATAGTGTCGCCGACTGTAGTAGAAGCTGCTTACCGAGCGCAAAGTGATTCTTGGCTGTGAGGCAGTGGGCAGCCTCGTCTGGCGACAGGTAACCGATCGTTGCGGCGATTTGCGTAGTTGACTGTAAAAACTTCAGGCTCTTCTCGACGCCAACTTTTGTGTCCCGGGTTATTGCATGTCAGCACCGATTTCTTGTTGCACTGCTATCACCATCGAAACCAAGCGACCTCGGCTTTGGACGTTCGTGCGAGATAAGAGTTCTGGGGATATTGGTTGCTTACGAGCGTCATTCGAGAATCTTGTTACGGATTGCAGCATCTTGGATAGGGTGTAGAGCAAGGAGATAATGACAAACTCTAGAAGGGATCAAAAAGGAGCATAATACTTCAACTTCACCTTGGACTCGAAGAAGTGTTTGCACTCCATTAAAGGGGAGAGATGGCGCTGATTCGGCGAAGTCCGGGACCGGAGTAGCTTCCCAAGCCTGGAGCACGCCATCAACCAATACCTTGCCAGGTTGATACTTGGAATACACCTAGGAGCTGTCAATAATCTTGAATGAAATGGCCATGTATTGGCAAGGAGTGCCAGAGTATCCTCAAACAGAAGGGATGAATGCGGTGACGTTGAAGGGACAATGGTGTAAGGCTGTGAGGGTAAAAGTGGCAAGGAAAAATACCTTTATCGACACTAGTGGATTTATGCTTCCGCAGTTTCTCCGGAGATTCTAACAACACTTCCTTTCATCTTGGATAACGTCAATGCACCCTTGGGAACCCTGCAACGACCAGGCCGACCCAGTATGGCGATGATCTCGCGCCTTCTAGTCCTTGTCGGGCTTCTATCTCTGTTCCATGCGTATGTATACGGCGAACCCCACTGGCCAAGGTCCCGAATCCTAACGGGTATGATGCAGGGCCTACTCTGCGCACGAATTCTCGACCCTCTCTACAAAACTCCATAAGAACGCCGCTCTCCCTCTGGACATCAAGCTTGAGACCCTCATTTCAGTCTTTCTTGCGTGCTTTGGTCTTGTCCTGGGCTCCGACCCCTTAAAACCCGTCAGCTGGAGTGCGTGGGCAGGGCAGATTGAGCGAGAAGGCGGAGGAGCGAATCCTTTTCGGGGGTTGGAGGAGAGGGTTGGCTTCATGGATATCAGGGCTCAGAGGAGAGCATTTACCGAATGGGCGAAACAACAGGGTACTGGGACCAAAAGTTGAGATGACCGTGACTACATTTCATTGTCGACGGCAGCATTCTGTTTTGTTAAGAGCAACCCCGGACGTACCGCTGATAAGCTGCTCGAAGGAATGGGGCTTGGAACATGCCGGGTGACGGTCTATACCTTCCAGCCGTTGAGGACATTACTTTACCCAAGGCCAACGACTGCGACAGGACCAGTCATGTACTAATCCAACCTTCGACAACCTTGATGCAGTCCTGACCGGTTGCGGGATGCTGTACATGTGCTGCATCCTAGTTGGACAAGCTTCAAAAGAACACCCACCACTGGCCGTGGAATTTCTGTTTCACGAAATAGACTAGACGAAGCGTCAACCAAGGGCCCCCTTCCGTTCGAGCTGCGGGTGGTGGATATAGCACTCTGGGTCAGAAGTCGTGAACCATGTTGGTGATCTACTTTTAAAGACAAGCCGGATCGACGATTTACTTGTCAAGTATCGGACATGTGTACAGATGGAGTTGAGGAAGCGATATGAGACCTCGGTCCGAGAGACAGCACAATCACCAACCATTTCGGGGAGAGGAAAATGCAAATTTGAAGTCTCGATTTGTTTTAAAATCTGTTCATTTTGAGAAGCCTTTTATTGGGCAATAATTTGCTCTATCTAGTGGTTCGCCAGAAACACTGTTTCATACGGCCACGGCCTATTGCGTGTGCCGGAGCATTTCTCCTGTCATAATACATTGATACAATCCGTTTCAAAAGTCGCTGGAAGTGCTGTTTCCCTCAATATCCTCCATATAAACCACATAACCCGCTCAAGCGGCAAAAGGTCGACGCCAAATTACAAAGGTTTCAATCTTCACCATTTTGCACTCATTATGCATAAAAAACCCCATCCATCGTGGTATTGCCTTGTCGTAAATATAGGGGAGTAGTTCCTCGTCAAAGAAATCATAGCCTCCAGGCTGAATGCCGAGGGGTTCACAGCAGGGAGAAGCCTAAAGCAGCCACAAGTAAGCCGACACCAGCGCCCGCGACTCTGTTGGTGACTGCAGCGCCTGTGACAGCGGCGAATGACGCCACGGGAGTGCTCGACGAGGTGGTGAAAATGCCGTTGTCTGAGGAGGAGTCGACAACTGTGCTGGTCGCAAGAGTCGTGGGGGCTTCGGTCGAGGCGGTGGTGCTGGAACTGTTGCCGTACCAGTATCCTGAGTAGCTGGGCAGGGTCGGCGAGATCGGCTGGCTGGTGACGACGGCAGGTTGCGTGGGCTGAGAAGTCACAACGGCCGGCATGCCCGTGATGACGCCCAAGGAATTAGTCATAGTCGTGTAGATCGTGAAGGGGTTCTCGTAGGATGATGTGGACCACGATGAAACCTCCGCCGTTGTGCTCGGGGCCCAATTTGTCGATGCCACGGGACCTTGAGGCTGACCGTCTGATATTTCGGATACGGCTGCCATGGAGATGTCTGCGCGTGCTACCTGGAGGAGGATAGCGACGGCGAGGGAGAGCGAGGAAAGGCTGGTCTGAGTAGCATACATTCTGGCTGGTGTTGTGAATGCAGATCGGGACGCTGTTTTGTTGATTATTTTGAGCTGAGAGGCAAATGCGCTTCTGATATTCTCCAATGATTTTCCCGGAGGACCGTGTGGAGGTGATTTTGATCAGTGTGACAGAGTCTTTTCGCGATTGAGTGGACGATGGAAATGTTGCTCCTGTGGGGTGAGATGCAGATGGGTTCACCGTTGGTTGATTGTGTTGTAGTGAAGAAGATCAAGACAAACGTTTGCAGCAGCATGTCCACCAGGAGTCTATATACGTTCCCCCCCTCGCCGCAACCGCCGTATACACCAGCCAACCCCCCTTATAGCCTCCGGTTTGTTCTGTAGCCCGGAGGCTAGAATTGGGAAAAAAATGTTGGCGGGGCATCGGACTATTCTTTGTTTGCAGAAAGAAAGGCGCCAATGACGTGCAGCAAATCGCGAGTTGAGTGGATACCGGCTAGCCGAGAATAGTATGATGTGTGGCGGGTTACATTTTAATTGGAGGTTGGAGGCGTTAGTGCCGTTAGTGCCGTTGGGAGGGAGACGGCTGGGGTTCGTGTGCCGAGTTTCAGATGTCCGTCCCTGGCCACGCTACCCCTTGCATCGCATGGAGGAGGCACCACAAGACTTTTCAGGGGGTTGAAGAAGGGGGTGAGTACGCAATACCGAGTATGGACTAGAACACTTCTTATAGGGATGCGGCACAATAATGGAAGGCATCACAACTCGATGGCTTTCGCCTCTCAGGGTTTCTCTGTTATTCACAATGTCGATACTCTCAGCGCATTCTGTAGACTGTACGAGGTATGATGTACTCAGTGCGAACTATGGATACATTCTGTCCTCTTGACAGTAAATTCCCGGGCCACGCCAGGCGGTGGCAACGTGGCGTCCCAGCCTCCCAAGCGACATACCAACACCCATGACACGCGCTTCCCTTTTCCCAGTATTCATCTATTTCGCTCGAACGCTCGGACCAACACGAGGAACATCTAGAACAATCCGGAGATGTTGTCCGGCTCCGCCTCAAAGTCTGCGAAGGCCTATTCGCGGCAGCTTCTTCTTTGCTGCGCTCGTGTTGGAAACTTTTCGTGTTGCGGTCGACTTCGACGCCAGCAAGTCCCAGTGAAGATTTAGCTTGTTATGTGTCATGTCACCTTGCTCTTCACCTTTGATTTTTTGTGCGGTTAGGCCATCAGCCACATTTGAAGGAATGGCCTCTGTCTGGTCAGGCGCAGACGTCCGCGTTGTTCGGGGCGACTTTCGTTTCGGTTCTTCAACTCCATCAGACCGTTCCTGCGTATCATTTGCGTCGAACAACGCTGTTTCCGAGAGGGGCCGTTTCTCTTTGTTCCCTGTCGTTGGACCTTTGGCTGCTGCGTTCGACTGGCCAGGTTCATTCTCCTTCGTGTCGTCCTCTGCAGGTTTTCCTCGAGAAGGCGACTGTTTCTCTGTTGGTCTATGCGCAGGCTCCTCCCCTCGGCGCTTCGCTTCCTGAACAGCATCTTCCAAATGTTTCGGAATGGGTGCATGGATTCTTGTCATCATCTGCGCCTTGGTGACAAAAGAGTCGTAGTCATCTTGGATGTCAGTGCCTGCAGATGCATTTAATGCAGAGTCAGGATTGGGTTGAATCAACAAGCATGATATGGTGATGAGGATGTCCTTCAGCGTCAACTTTGGATCCCAGTCTCTTTTTAACGTCTCTAGGCACACCGCTCCTGTGGTGGGATCAACATTGGGGTGGTATATTCGGGTCTGAAAGGTCGCTCTTGGAGCGCTTTTGGGGTAGTCATAGGGTATTTTCAGATGTAGACGCCACAATCCTTCGGCGTAGGGTGTGCCCTCGGCGCCGGTGATATAGACGAAAAGTTGCGTGAGATCGTCCTGATGCGATGAACCATTGTCGTCGGCGTATGGGAACAGGTAATTTGGAGGTAGCGCAGCCCTTAGCGCCGCATGATCCTTTGCAAGGCGGCGGAGAGAAGCCTTCCATCTTATTAGCCCTCCGACACAAAACCTGACGAAGGGAAGCGGTGGTAGGATTGCGCTTGAGTCTGTGGTGCGACGAGTGTGGCTGGACTTACCATGATGTATGTACTTAGGCACCGTGTATCAATATGTCGATGTCGCTCTTTTTCTTTTAGCAATAATGCTATGTTTACATCCTTCGAGTATTTGTTCGCAGTCACCGACTCGTGAAACGCGATCACGCGTTTCATTCTCCTCGACCGGAACAACGTTTATCCCGTATTTACCAACGTCATCACCCATACAGCCGATGAACCCAATACGGTTCATTGATTAATGGATTTAAGGGCTTGCTCCCCTGGGCAAAACTACAGCTCCTGGTATTTACGTTGATAAAAAGCTATGGCTCTCCTTTTTAGAACTTTGACAAATTTGTTTCTGCAGATGTAGACACCGAACTACCACCTCTATGTGAAGTCCGCCGGCTAAGTAACAAAGGCAGCTACTACCTAACACTGTTATATAGTTTTCCACTATAACTCCTCTTCATCTTCATCAATATCTTCGTCACTGATGTCTCCTCGAAATCTGGAACTCAATGGTCCCTCTCTTGTCCAAATATTCAAGCCAACCTTCTCCCCAGAGGTCACAACACTCCCCGAGTGGATGACTCTCTGGTCCCCTCTTCCAGCAACTAGATTCACCCAAAAGACCGCATTTCCCGGTATGGGAAGGAATGTCACACCTTCATCAAACGGTGTGTCACAATCGATATATTCACACCAGCGTTCGTCCTTTGGAGCGTCTAGGAGGGGGAACGTCGTGCCGCCGCCAGAGATGTCTGCACTTGCTTTCACATATGCGAAGAACGAAGTCAGGCGATTCCCACCGTGCGAGCGGGTCGTCTGGGCTGGCGCCGTGAACCAGTCCGTATGAAGATCATAAGTTTCGTTGGCATGGTATCGCACCAATTGCAACGGCTCGAGGTGGGAGTGAGGTATGTCATACCCCTGGAAGAGCAGAGCGCGTTCTTCAATACATCGTGTTACTGCGTCGCGATAAGCAGTAGCAGATTTAGAGCGTCGGGTGTTACGCAGGGATTGGGTACCGTCCTGGTCAGCGGTCTGGGAGTCGGTGAAGGCTGAGGCGCTGCGAATGAAGGGTAAGCCTGGGCATAGGACGCCCGAAAAGTAGTGGCGTGCAGGACTTACCTTGTTTGAAGGAGGTGCTCGCGCTCGGGAGGGGTGAGGAAATTGTCGATGTAAATCACAAGTGGTTCGAGAGAAAGGAGGTGCACCGTATAGGGCGGGTGTGCGCAGTCTGGAGTGAGGCTTGCCTGGCTGTCCAATGCGGCAACATGGGCGGCGGTTGATATGAGGCTGGCGATAAGATAACAGCCTTCAAATAGCTTCATCTCGAAAGCCAACATCAGCACAAATCAAAATCCACCTCTCACTAACGGACAACGAATTCTCGAGTTTGCACTTTGTACTTCGTATTGGATTGCGAACGGCGTGCACACAAACAGCTCTCCTGAAGATGGCACACCTGCGCTATCTTCCTTTACTACTGTTGCCCCTTGAAGCGTCGGCTTCCCCTCAACTGTTTCACCATTGCAGCTCGACATGACTGTCCTAGCGGTCATCATGGAGGGTAGCATAATGACAGCTTATGCCTCTCCAATGTCTTCAACTCCTTGCTTCTGTGAAAATGTACTTCTCTGCTCATATCCGCCTTGTTGGCCTGGCGGCTGTTGTGTACGCACAATGGCAGCATGTGTCTGACGTCGAGTTCCATTCTCTTCTCGACTCGAACGATCTTACATTGGCAGCATTTGTCGCGGTATCTATGTTCCCTGCTTCAAGCTTTCCCCTGCTTTCTCTAATGTCGACCGCAGCCATGGACAGCTCCCTGCAAATCCCTTTCTTCAGAATGGACGGCTGCAAAGTCTCAACTCACTCACCCAGTCACGAGCATAGACTGTACCGCGAATCAAACCCTTTGCGCTGCGTACAATGTGCATTCTTATCCTGCTATACGCCTCTTCCATGGCCCTCATGAATCGGTGCGGTATAGGGGCCCGCGCAAAGCATCTGCGATCGTTCCCTTTGTTCGACGGGCCTCACTCCCAGCGGTTTCGAATGTGAATATCAAAAACATTACGGAGTTGACTGCGATAGATCGTGTGACGTTCGTGGCGTATGTGAGGGAGGATGACCATTCCATGAGGTCAAAAGTCACAAAGATTGCGGAGACATTCCGGGACCAGTTCGTCTTTGGGATCTCGAACGACAAGAGACTGGCAGAGCAGGAGAACGTTGCGTTCCCCTCTATCATTGCTTACAGGACGGATGTTGGTGATCGAGAGGTGCTGCAGGGCCCTGTGACCCGATCTGTCATTGAGAAGTTCATCCTTGAGGCAGGGAAGCCGCTCATAGATGAGCTGACTCGACGAAATGAAGTCAATTATATGAGTGTAATTTCGACCAGTCAACTTCTGATGCCAGATGAATGCTGACACTTCTCGACCACAGTCCCATAAACTTCTCGCCTATATCTTCGTCACCGATGAGGCCGATCGCGCCCTTTTCCGCCGAAAACTGCATCCCGTTGCAAAGCAATACAAGGACTATGTCAACTTCGTCACCATCGACGGTGATGAATACGGCCACATGGCCACAAGCCTTGGATTGCACAGGGGCCACTACCCAAGTTTCACCGTGTATAGTGCCTGGAAGGATCAAGTGTTTCCGTATTCACCGGTGAAACGAATTGATGCGGACAACATAGAAGCATTCCTCTTGGAAATTCTGCACGGGAAAAGAGCGCCATGGAATCCCGCTGGGTCGGAACATGGACGGCATGATGAACTGTGAGCCTTGCTGTGATCAAAATTGCCCACTACCTCGAGGCATCGGAAGGCCTCGACTCTGACAGGAGTAATGGGGCACGTGCCTGACACTTCACCAAGGCATGCATATACTACTAGGACTCCGTTCAGTAGGTTTGACAAGCGGGATATGTGCCTCGGCAGCAGCATCTCCTGTCTATTGTATGCGTATACCATGTTAAGCTCCGTTGGATGATCTAGAGCATCTCTCTACCGAGCCTCACGTATGCTATCACATGTTCTCGTACCTACTGTGGATCTCGTATGTTGGAAAGCTTCGGTGGTGGGCTGAGTCGGTGCAAGCTGCCACTATTCATCTCCTGGAAGCCCCTGCTCGATCTCATACCCGTAGCTAAGGTCCAGAGATGAGCGGGAACACATTGCCGTGTCCACACCATGGGAGATCTCGGCAAAGTGGTCTTTTACGCGATATGTGCCTTACAGCCTCTTCTTTGACCAATCGCAACGGCCGGGTTCCTGGAGCCTCACGACCAGAGTCGACTGCTGGCTGCGTTCTTTTGCTCGGAATCATCCGGTCGAGACTGACACCGTGGACGACTTGTGGTGGTGAGATTGTGAGGGATTGGGTTGAGCTGCGGTTGCACAGCCGCTCCGCATGGCCGAGGTACTGTTACGAGCCAACCAATCATCATGGCTGTGTAATATGCAGGCTGGCCCATGTCGGGCTCTCCGCCGCTTAGACCGTGGCACAGTGGCCAGTTTCTTGACTACTGCTTGCACACAATTCTGTGTGTGTCTGTGTCTGTCAGTCTGTCTCGCTTCTCTCCCCCTCCTTCCCCCCCGCCAGGAAAAAAAAGGTCCTTTTGTCTTTTCTCTTCCCAACCTCAACCGCACACGCACCGTACAGCACACCAGTTCCTGCGAGACGCCCGCCAATTTCGATCATTTTGGCATGGGCCCATTATTCTTATTTTAATTTTATTCTCCGTGGCCTTCGGGCCCATCTCCGGGCTCCCCATCAGTGCCTCCTCCCTACCTGGGACCTAGTGATCACCCACAGTTCACTGACAGGTGTCGGCGACACCGCCTAAACCATTGCCATTCCAGGCTATCGGGGTCGCCCTCATTCCCTGTGCTACTGCCTATCACGCATCTGCAGCCTCTTATTGCCTGGTTGACTTCCGGCCCCCGAGGCTCTTTGCTACGGCTGAGGCTTCAAGTGCACTGGAGCAGTCTGGCACGGCTATCTCGTCGACAAAGGACCTTCAAAAGTTCGGCATTGACGTTGACGGCATTTCCAGGATCCCCATCATTGGTATATACGTACAATAATTTCCGCAAGCTTGCTCCGTCGTAACAGTTCCTGCTTCATCATCCTTCAACCCTCCAGTACCTGCATATCGCGCTCACTCAGGACCCCTCCCCGAACCCGACACCACTGCAGAGCCGACCGCTACTGTACCAATCTCGGCCGCCGCAGATCTCTGTTGCGAGCTTGGACTTCTCCGCCGCCCGCCGTTGGCCACCTGACTGCAAAGTCCGCGGCTGGTACCCCTCGTACTTTTGACGCAACCTACCTTGCTTGCCACAAGTTGTTCCAACTTCCGCAGCCCGCCATGTGGCCAGAACCTCAAGCTCGCCCCTTTGCGATCCATCTCCCCTCCCACTCACTTGTCCCACAGTATGTATCTGTGCCTGAACCAGAGCCTGACACCACCGACCTAGTGCTCGCCCTCACTGGCCCCATGCCTGGCAGAGGGGGTGGACGGCAGGGCTCATCCAATAGCAACTCCTATGTCTTGGCGTCGCGAAGGAAAAGGGCTAGCAAACCAAAAGTACGAACGGGATGCAAAACATGCAAGGTCAGTCTTCCCCACCCCAACTCGCGCTCTCTTTACATTCCCCCAAAAATGCACGGTTCAATGCTCGTTTGGCTCCCAGCCACATTGGTGGGTAGCTGAACGATCAAACAAGTCCCCGTTGTCGACCCGTGTCTGACTAAATTCGCCTCCCGTCACGCTCTCCTACTGGTCTCATCGCATGCAATTGACGTTAAGGACAGATCCGCCGCATTAAATGCGATGAGACAAAGCCCAGCTGTGAGTTTTTCTGCCTCCTCCTCGCCTGGCCCGTGCCATATCCTCCCACTATTGTCCGGATTAGTGCTCACTTGATGTTCCAGGTAAGCGATGCACCTCCACTGGACGTAAATGCGATGGGTACGAGTTCCCCAAGGAGAGTTCCAGCAGCTCAGAATCAACCGCATTGTCGCCACCGCAACAGAGCCCGAGACCTTTCCAACACCTATTTCAACCCAACTCAATCTCCAAACCCTTTCAAGGTAACACTCAAGAACGCCGTATCTTCCACCGATTTCAGTATTGCACGGTGCCCGCATTTACTGGTGGCTCGGAATCCGGCTTTTGGACAAAACTCGTACTCAAAGTGGGTCACGAGGAACCGGTGGTCCGCAACGCCATCATTGCCTTGGGGACGTTGCATGAGGATTACCAGGACCGCTGTGGCAAATACAGCCCCAAGTTGATTGACGACCAGAGCTTCCGATACGCCCTGAGGCTATACGGGGTTGCGTTGCGTGACCTGAACAAGAGACTCAACACCCCTTCGAGCACCAACGCCAAGCTTGCCATCATTTCAAGTATATTATTTGCCTGCTTCGAAGTTCTTCGACGCAATAACATGGCCGCTGTCATCCACTACCAGCTGGGAATGAGAGAACTGATCAGACAAATGAATCTTCCTCAAAGTGATGACATCTCCCTTGCACCCAGTTCACCAGAACAAGCCTCTGGCTCACGAGCAACCTTCCGCGAGATTCCTCAAGACGAGTTAGACGAACTACTCCGGGTCTTTGCCCGCTACGACATCCAAGCCTGCACATTCTCCAAAGAGCGAGCGGAACCCTTATTAACCCATGTTAGCCAAGTGCCTCGGATACTGCCGACCAACCTCACTTTGAGTCAAGTTCGCAACCATCTCGACAACCTCCTTGTTTCGGTATACCAACTGGTCAAGTCCGATGCTCGTATGTACCGATATTGGAAGAGAGATGTCGTGCCTCTGGAATGGCAGGCTCGACGGCAAGAGGCTATCGATGTCTTCGATGCCTGGATGGAAGCTCTGGAGAACTTTTTCTCAACCCAGAGTCCGAGGCTGAGTCGTACCGACATCAAAAGCCTGCTGGGACTCCGTTTGCAGATCAAAACCGCGGTCATGATGCTCAAACTGTGCATAGACTGTGGGCCCGAAACCACCTACGACGCTTTCCAGGACGACTTTGAGGACATGGTGACCAAAGTTGAGCAGGTCACCACAGCACTTAGCTTGGCTGAAACCATGCCCTTGGCAGATGAGCTCACACCTTTCACTATGGAGCTGGGTATAATACACCCTCTATTCTTCACAGCTTGCAAGTGTCGAGACTGGGGTATACGACGCCGGGCAGTGGCCCAACTCAAGCGTGCCGGCAAAGAGGGTGTCTGGGAGGGTCCCATCATGGCCGTTCTGGCCCGGAGAATCATATCCTTGGAGGAAGAAGGTCTGTCTGAAGGAGAACTGGTGCCCGAGGCAAATCGATTCCACGACATCAAGAAGAACGTTGATTATGACAGCCGCCAAATCCTTTTCGAAGGAACCAGAGCTTCGGACACGACCTGGGAGAATTTTTCGATTCATAGAGAAGTGGTTTCATTCTGAAGCGTTCCATTTTTACGGTCAGCAAGGCGTTTCGGGAGAGATCGTCCAGTCAATCTGGAGGTTCGAGAGCGAATATCGAGACGGGTACAAATCTACTATCGATCACGACGTAATGACCAATGACGACGACCGGCATGCGGCGCCATTGTCTCGTGGCGGGACAAGGAAAATCATTGCAATTGGTGTCTGGAATCTTCGCATTATGCCTGGGCAGTGGAATATATCCAAGGAATTGTTACTTTGATGAGAATAATGCCGTGGTGGACATGAGTGGGGAGTGACTCTGCAACGGGTCAGGGTCTTCTTGGTACCTAATAGTGCGTGAGGGAGATACCTATGCAATATTACCCCTAGAGGAAACACATGTTGGTTGATTTTCTCCCTAATGGAGGTGTATCGGAGAATTAACTCGTAGGGGCTGCATCCCCCCCCCGGAGGCTTGCATCCAGCCTGCGACCTTGATCCCTGACACTTGGAGCGATTCCAGTTTTGACAGCGGACAGCGCCGCTGCTTAGTGGGGACCAGGCCAATTAGCAGCTGCCAACGATTTATTAGAGGCACTTGGAAGGTGTTAAGCGGCAGATCAAGGGCATTTAGGCACTCAGAGCATGCCCACTATACCCACTATAGCGTGTCGCGTCACCGTCACTAATGAGCACCGTTTCTCGATTCCCCGGCTGATTTCCCAATCTCGATCGCTCACCATGCTCTCTAATTTTGACAACTTCAACGCCCAACCGAACTTGTTCATTTTCCCCGTCTATCGTGTTTTCCATGGCGTTGTGCGTGTCTTCCAGTCCCAGTTCCCCTGATATTTGCCTTTTGAAAATCCTGGGACTTGATTCCTCGTCCTCTGCCTTACGACCACAAGCCTCGAACGACCACGACCTCCGTTCATGAACCTCGACGAGCTCAATCACTTCGAGAGTACCCCTTCTGGCAGTCACCGCATCGGCGTCTTCCCTTACAGTGACTCTCGAGTCTCGTTACATCCACTGAAAGCACGCAGTCTTTCGTCCACTCCTTCAGAAAACGATTGGATCTCTCCTTTTACCCTCCCCCCGTTACCGACTTTGCGTCGCGACCGCGATCCGCTAGACTACCGCGAATCACCAGACTACCTCCGACAGCGAGACGGAAGCGGTGCCTATTACGCCGCTGCCTGGGGTTCACCGTATGCCACTCCCAGCCCTCGCAGAACCCCTCAGCCTTTCGATTCCGTCGGCCAGCGCCTGAATATTGAGGCAGTGCCCTCCTTCGGAAGCTCAATCGGTCGATCAGCCATCACCTCTACCCCAGGTGACGACGCTGAGAGCGTCGAATCGCGGGCTCGACGCCGTCTCTACAGAAAATCTCGTCCGGGTTCAAGAAAAGAGTTACGAAATCCACGTTCCGAAAGACCCAATTGGCTGAGTGACTCTGAAGAGAGCGGATCCGAAACAGGTGTGGAAGAGGAGGAGAACACGCCAACCCGTGTTGCGTATCTCGACAGCTGGGGAACATCACCCGTAGGTACAGTGAACCGTTTGGCTGTACGACACAGAAGCACTGAAAGCCTTGCTACCATCACACCGTATACCTTCCATGATTCCGGACGGTTGTCAATAGCGCCAGAACGCCACCGCATGCGGCTTTCACCGTCTGCACAATACAACATGGCTGAGCATGATTCGGAGAATGCCCCAGCAGTCGAGAAAGCACTCCCACTTTTACCTCGCCAAACATCTCAAGTCGAGAATGACGGGAAGGCTCCGGAAAGCCCAACTTCAGCAGTCCGACCGCGGCCCACTTCAATGCAATCATACCAACGTCCCAAGAAAAAGGTCATCTGGAAAGGCAAAGCATGCATTATAGCTCTGCCACTTACAGATCGAGAGGCCGCCGGGCTACCTCCTCTGCTTACGCCACAACAGGTCAAGGAACGGATAAATGGTTGGATTGCGGCCGGGTACTCAGTGGATGGCTTCGGGCTGACCGATATGAGTGCTGGAGCTTCGGGAGAAAGCAGTGGCCAGAGCCGTCCCGTGTACCCTGACGCGACAGAAATTCAAGCAGAGCGAAAGTTACGTGAGTATCATGTCCACATACCTAACCAGGCTGAATGGGAATCGTGGGTCAACTATCTCAAGGAGGAGAAACTTCGTGCATTGGGAGTCAGCCCGAGTAACTCTGAAGCCGCGCCATCGACTCGCTCGCCCTTCTCTCCTGCAATGAGCCGCATCTCATCGGGCCATCCGGCGCTTGCGACGTCCCCTCCAGTTGCGCCCTCTTCATCGGCAAGCAACCCGTTAAGGGCTGCAAGCAATCCCTTTTCCCCCTCTACAATGTCGTCTGCGGGAATCAGTCCTCAACCTGGATCCCTCGGGGCACCACAATTCAATGGACCGCCGAAGAACATGCACGGATACAAGCACTCAATTGCCCCGTCGAATATCTACGGACGGATCCCCTCTCCATTGGAAGCCACTCTGGCGCATGGAAATTCTTTCAGCAACGGCGTACGACCGCACATTCAGCCACTCTCCTCCCGGCAAAACAGTTTCTCCCCAAATCACCCATTGCTTCTTCCCAACATGGGAGAAGTCTTGTCACAACCTCAAGCTATGCATATGCGCAGGGCAACTGCCAACTTTGCTGGTGATCAAATACGGCAGAATCCAATGCAGCCAAGAGGATATTTTCCCGTTCCGCAAAATGCCAATCAACATACACCAAGCCCCACTCTACCACAGCGGATTGAGAGTCTGGTACATACGCCCCAACACGGCGAATCTTCTCGAACTCCCATTGAAATCGCACACCCGACTCCGAAGAGCCACCGTCACAACCTCAGCATCGCACTGCAAAGGGAGATTGACGAAGCTGAAGCGGCCCTGCATGAGAGGGGGGATGGCACGCATGATGACCCAGACCATGTCGACTTATCCTCTAGGAAGGACTCGGCGCTGGACGAGTCTTTGAACGAAGAGCCCCCGATACTGAGACGGCCTGAGACGATAACGACAGCAGATGAAAAATCAGAAATTGAGACAAATCCCAGCATAGCTGCTACGCCCATGCTGATGGATGACAAGAATCCGTTCGTGAATTGGCAAGCACTGAGTGATGCGGCCAAAGCTGAGCCCAAGGCTGCTCCTGAGACCGTTCCGACAACTTCTAAACTGAACGTGGCAGCCAAAGAATTCGATCCACAAGCAGGCTTCTCGAGCTCGAACTTCTCGTTTGCTGGACCGGGTTTCATACCATTCGGCCTACCTCCATCAAAGCCGGCACAGCCTGTTGAAAGATCCGCGGTCAAGGGCAGTTTTTCCTTGTCGCATCTTAATGCTGATGCTCCTGCTTTCACCCCACGCACGGCGAAACCGGCAGCCGAAGGCACTCCATTTACATTCAGCTCCGCCACATTTAATGTCGAGGCTCCAGTGTTCAATCCTTCTCAGTCTCCTAGTACCAACTTCAAAGACAGTGTGGCGTCCACCGGTGAAGGACCACCTGACAATGCGAACAGCATATTCGGCAACGTGGTCATAGACCCAGGCTCGAAAGCCATCAGAAGAGCAAGCAAGGGCATACCGACGGCTGGTCTGAAATCGAGGGACGTTCAAGAGGAGGGTGTAAACAACTTATTAGACGAAGAAGGCCGTCCGATGGCTCCTGTAGAGCGACAGAAGAGAGCACGAAGGAATGACAGTGACGGAGACCGGAGCCCCGTGTTTGCAGACTCGGCACCATTCCATCACAGGAGGATTCTTTCGGAGATCGTGGATGATGTCGATGTGAATGGACCTCTCTCGGAAAACCCGAAGGAAAATTTTGACGGTTGGGCCTACATATCTCCAGATGAGAACCAGCTGACTGGCGCTGCGGACATGATGAATGCACAAGAAAGGACAGATGACGCGGATGAAGCAGACTCGGCGTTTACTTTCAAGAATCAGAGTGATGCTGCTTTGTTCAGCGAAGCTCGGCCGCCTCTGGGAGCCGATCAGGCATTGAACTCTGAGCAAACTGCCGGAGCAGAATCTTCAGACAGCCTCAAGGGGGAGGAAGCAACCTCAGTGAAACCAACAGCTCTCCCAGGTGCGCCCACTCGAAAGCCCAAGTCCTCTCTTTCAGCACTAGCGAAGCCTTTCGAGTTCAATCCAAAGGTCACGAAGTCATTAGCATCCTCCTCATTTGCCATGCCACAGAAAACGCCAGGGCTGGAAGACTCCAAATATGCAGACACCTCAAGTCCGCCCTCTGAGCTTAAGGCTAGTCTTTCCTCACCCGTCACAGATATACCACACTACGTGGAGAAGGATCATGAATCAGTCGACGAACAGGAAGACACGGTCGAGGTCTTTGAAGAGAAGAGCTCTGAAGACGAGGTTGTCGAGGTCATTGAAGAGAAATCCGCTGACGACGAATCTGAGCGACCTCATCGGCGAAAGTACATCTTGGAGCGAGCCAAAGACTTTGACACAGAGCCTGACGCGGACGCCGATCAGTTTGGCAAGACAGCATCCTCATTCCGGCATCAAGACCAACCAGTTCCATCTTTCGAAGAAATCGATGCTGTCATGAAACACCTCGAAGTTCATCCAGAACTCGGAGTAGAACGCAATGATACGCCCGTCCAGTCTACGCCGCTCGTTGATATGCGCCTGGGTGGCCACTTCCGCAGCGACGCTCCGAGTCCGAGCCCAGCTAGACATCAGGACACCAAGACTGCTCAGAGCGACACCTCATACCCACCGTCATATGGACTGGGCATTGGGGTGCACAACCTGAATTCCGGCAGAGACGATGTCAGCGATTGGGGTGACACGTTACCTGCGGCAGAAGCGGCCAAACTCCAGCTTCGTTCCCAATTCTTTGACGGGCATGTCAACGACTTGGTGGATGGTTTACTTGAATCCCGCCTCGGACCCCTTGAACGCACTCTAAGGACCATACAACAGTCGCTGGCATTGATGGCCACGCAGCAAAGTTCGAAGACTGGCAACAGGAGTGTTTCAGGCCACCATAAGGACTCAGACGCTGACGATGAGGACGAGTACGACGCTTTTGAAGGGTTTTCATCTTACAGAACCCGATCGCCGACTGCCAGAAGGGGCGAGCGGAAACAAGACCTGATCCGCGCAGCTGTCGCGGAAGCGTTGGCTGCACATCAACCACCTCCTCCGCCACAGCCCTTGATCGACTTGACAGAGTTCAGTGCCGTCCTGCAGGAGATGCGGGAACTCGCTCAGAAAAACAGCTCTCAGGACACACAGAACGAGTTGAAGACAATCATGGAAGATGTGATCTCCCATCATCCGAGACTACGAGGCTCGAGAGTTCAGCAGGAACACGAAGCCGCCGACATCAAATACAAACCCCAAATTGACGGCCTCGAGACAATGCTGAAGATCTCTCAGGAGCACGCTGCCGAGGAAGCCCGTCTCCGACGGACGGCAGAAGGGGAAATAAATGAGCTGAAACTACGACTACGCATTGCCGAAGAGGAAGCCGCACAATATCGAGAATCTTCTGAAGAGGCTCAGCATACTTTGGAGGCTTTCGTCGAGGAAAAGGACTCGTATAGAAATCTTGAGCGTGAGGTGGAAGGCTTAACCCTGAAGAATGCAGCCCTCCAACATACGCTAGACGAATACCGTGTCTCGAGTGATCAATGGCGAGAAGACATCCGCACGGAACGTGCCTCTAATAGGGAGCTCAAGCGCACCTTGCAGGAACTCAATCAACAATTGGTGGATCAGACACAGTCTCGACAAAATCTTCGAACCAAAGTTGAGCGGCTGCAGTCCCATATTGCACAGGTTATGCAAGACCTGCATGCCGAACAGGAAGATTGGCGGAATAAGGAACACGGCCTACAGAGCGAATTGGCCCTCCTCCAAGATGCCCTTGACCAAGAGCGACGGCACCGGGAGAAGGCAGAGCTGGAGCTGGATACCCTGGATAAAGAACACAAGGCTAATCTTCACTTGAAGGCGGTTCTGGACCAGACTCAGTTGGACGTCTCGCGACTTAACGAGTTGGTTGCCTCGCTCCGGGAGGAGAACAGGGTCTTGGATACCAAAGCATTCAACCTGAACCGAGAACTGGAGCATGTCAAGAACAGCAAGGATGCCGAGCTTGCCACTTCCACCGCCAAATTACAGGCAGAGCTCGAAAGTGCCCTGACCAAACTTCAGAGCATCCAGGCGGATTCGAACGCACAGATTTCCCGGTTACAAGGACGTCTGGACCACGCCGAGTTGGATCTCGAAGAACAAAAGGCAAAACATGACGCACTCCTTGCCGAAGCCAACGAAGCGCATAAAGATGCTATTCGGGAAGCCAATGAAAAGAAAGAAAATGCTCTGGAGGACCAACACCAAGTTCACGAGAAGAAGCTCAACGAACTGCGCGACCGTCATACTAGGGAGCTGCATAATTCGTTCGATACCCGGACGAGGCTGGAGCACCAATTCAAGGAGCGCCTCGTATTAAGCGAGGACAAGGTGAAGCACCTTGAAAGTAAAGTCACCGATCTCGAGGAGAGACTGGAGATCACGAAATCCGCCGCCAGGGCTGCTGTGGAAGCTGCGACCGCCAAGGGGGCCAACCTTCCCACTCCAGCTCCGTCCGTCGTGGCATCGCCACCCCAACGCGCGGCAACGGCCTCCATGTCGTATAGTAAAGGGTCGGATGTACCAGAAAGGATTTCTCCGCAAGCGCTTCGAGAGTCCATCATGGTGTTACAAGATCAACTGCAGAATCGCGAGCAGAAGATAGAACAGCTGGAGATGGAGCTTGCCCTTGTGGACAAAGATGCTCCTGGCAAGCTCAAGGAGCGCGACACCGAAATCAGCTGGCTTCGTGAACTGTTGAGTGTCAGGGTCGATGACCTTGAGGACATCATCAACGCTGTTTCCAAGGCCGATTTCGACCGAGACACGGTCAAAGACGCTGCAATCAGGCTCAGGGCAAACCTGCAGATGGAACAGCAACTGAAAGAGCGGGGTGCATTAGGCGGGTTGACCAGCTCCTTTCCCTCCATTTCGAGCCTGTCAAGCTATGCTCAGTCTCCCCGCGCTCTCCCATTGGCGGCAGCGGCAGCTTGGGGGAACTGGCGACGAGCTCGTGAGACCTCGATTGGCGCCATCTCCGATCTGGCCACCAACCTCGGAAACCAGACACCCTCCAAATCTGCCATCGGTAGTCCCGCAAGCTTCTTGTCCGGGATCATCACACCGCCTGGGACATCCCAGAAGACACCAAGCTCAAGCGAAGCACCAATTCCGCCGCCGCCGAGCATGAGAAACCTCACTGCGGGCCCAGCGCAAGCTCGTAAGGCTGGCGGTCCCGAAGCCCGGCCTTTGAGAGCCTACAGTTCGCAACCTCGCGCACTATCGAGCAAGCAGGCAGACAAGCATCCTGAGGGTCTGCAGTTACAGCCCGGCTCTTCGCCGACCTCGCAGCTGAAGATTGACCTCCCGCAAACTCCAGTTCAAGCCAAGAATGAGGCCAATCTGGATCTCACCGAGGACGTGGATGATGATGCCTCGCCGCTGGAAGGGAAAAATACCCAGCTACTTGACGAGGCAGATGCGCTCGCCGAATGAATGTTATCGTTCAGAGGCCCATACGGGGGGACTCCAGTCCCCCTTGTCGATCATTTGCTTTCTTTGTCATCTATTGATGCTATGCATCTGGCATAGACATATGTGTGCGGATAGCCTTCACGCATGGTGCCAATATGTGGGAGGAAGTACAGATTGGAGAAGACAGATTGTTTGAAACGAGAACGACATGCGGAGCGTTGGTACGAGACCATGGCAATTCTCTCCTACATATTCATCCTGCTCACACATTTTCTCCCCTCTCGCCATGGTGACTGGATTTTGTACAAGAGGAAGAACGATATACCCCCTGCTCTGTTTTAGCGTCATTTTGCTACGATACTTTTTCTTTTGTTTATTCCCCCCGGGACGGTCGTTTGTGGATATAGAATGTGGTCCGTTTAGTATATATACATGGCATAGCGCTGAGGTCATTTCCGTACATAATTAGGTCAATATTGAGATATGGCCGACAGTCGCCAGTTTGACACACACCAAGAGAAGAGTCTTTTCCTCTCGTTATTGTTGATCATATGGACAGAATGACGAGTATGTATCTATCTCATGGTGGACGAGGCCCGTTCTTGATTCCATGTGGACAGAAGCTTCGTAGCGCGGTGGAGAAGCGTTTCCAACATCCGAGCATCGCTACCTGGAGGAGCTAACCGAACAAGTTGCTTTCTTTCTCACCATGGTTGAGACCTGAAGTCTGTCTGTCCGTCTGTACGGAGTAGATAGACTAGCTATCTACCTGGGAGCACGATCTTCCTCCTTAGACTGGGTTTACCGTCCAGGACTACCTGGTGCATATATATATATCTGTGTGTGTGTGTGTACATACCAGGAAGCATTTCCCCATCTTTTTCCCCGCCACTCGGCACACTCACTACCAACGTCATTGGAGGGTTCATTCCCATGGAACGAATGTTGTTGCCTGATCTCGATCTCCAAGTACACATGATATCCCTTGCATCAGTCCAAGAGACTCGCGAACTTCTGTTTCTGGCATATACACCGTCCGGACCAACGCTAGACGGGTCCAACGGTATATACAGCTAGCTGGCAGTAGTATCGACGGCACATGGGGAATTCTCTTCCAGGCCAAATAGTCGCATCTCGCCATCATGGGTGCCAGACGCACGACAGCCATTCTGTTGATGGCTTTCAACTTCTTCATCTCCCTCACAAGCGCCTCCTGCTACTCACAATCTCCCGTCTTCCCGCCGCCGACGTATTCCAGATCTGATCCCGAGCTTGTCGAAGCATTTCGGCACATCGAAGCGTCTCTATCATCGCTTTTTGCCACACATCCGGACCTCAACACGTCGTCCTACTCGATCGAAGTCACATCCCCGTACTCGACCCTCTGGTCCGCGTTCCACACGGCCATCGACAAGAACCCGGAGAGACCCGGAGCCGAGCACGTCAACGGGAGCAGTGTCTACCGCGTGGCCAGTATCACCAAGGTCTTCACGGTCCTGGGGATCTTGCAGCAGCATGCGGCGGGAAACCTCAGTCTGGATGATCCCGTGGACGTGTACATCCCGGCTCTGTCCACTTCTCGCTCCCACCATGGTGAGACCATCCCGTGGCGAGCGATCACCCTGAGGTCACTGGCGAGCCAGCTATCGGGGATCCCGCGCGACTGGGCGCAGAGCGATCTGATCACGTCGCTCCCGGACCCCAGTGTCGTTGGACTCCCTCCACTCCCCCGGTCCGCACCAGACCGGTCGGATCTCCCCAGGTGCGACGAGTACGGCGAGTACAAGCCGTGCACGGCGACGGACCTCCTGGACTATCTCGTGGACAAACCGCCCGTGTTCCTGCCGAACGAGAAATCCACTTACTCCAACATCGCCTTCGAGTTATTGGGTCTCGTCCTGGCCAACGTCACGGGGAGGAGCTATGAGGACTACATCGAGGCCTCCATCCTCATGCCCCTGAACATGACATCGAGCTCGTTCCGCAAGCCCTGCGACGCCGTCGCCATCCTCCCCAAGGGCAACGCGTGGTACTGGGACGTCGACGAGGGGGTCCAGAACCCCACGGGCGGGCTGTACTCGTCCTCGAGCGACATGTCGGTGTTCCTGCGCCACGTCTTGAAGACGTACCGCAACGTGGCCGATTCTCGGGTCAACTGGCTCCTGCCCGTCTCGTTCACGGCTGGGTGGAAGTCGTTCTACGGGATGCCGTGGGAGATCCTGCGCGTGGACCGCATTGTGCCGCACAGCCCGGCGCGGACCGTCAGCTTCTTCACGAAAGGCGGCTCGTTACCGGGCTACCGCACGTTGATCCTGCTCGTGCCCGAGTACGGGCTGGGCATCACCATCTTCACCGGCGGCGACGACGGGTTCATCGACCAGCTCGTCGAGATGGTTACGGTGCCCCTGATCCGTGCCGCGGATCGAGTTGCGGGGCGCCAGGCCGCGCACAGGTATGCAGGAACGTTTCTCGCGGACCCCAGCAGCGGCATCAACTCCTCGCTCCAGATCGCCTATTCAGACGCCCACGGACTGAAAATCACGAAATGGGTCTCCAACGGCACGGAGATGCTCTCGGCTATCCCGTTGCAATTCCACGTCCCCGAGGACCGCGGTTTCCATCTCCAACTCATCCCCACGTCGCTGTACCGGCGGCAGGAAGAGAAGCAGGGCGAACTGTGGAGGATTGCGGTGACTTTAGATCGTTGGGGCTCCCGGACATCATCACCACTACTGCACCAGCAACCAGGGGATGTGCCACTATCGTCATCGGCCGGAGTCTCAGAAGAGGGTGATGGTGACAATAATGGCCACGAATTACCCGCTCCTGGCCCATCGTCCAGCCACCCTTACAGCGGCAGTGTATGGGAAGATTTCTGCGTCAGCGACGTGGACACGATGATGTACGCGGGCAAGCCGCTGAACGAGATCGTGTTCTGGGACGACGAGGACCACCGTGATACGCCAGCAGGGTGGGAGGGGGAAGGGGGAGAAAAGGAAGAGGCGAGGTATGGCATGGTGGAATTGACGGCTTTTCGGATCAACATGACTCGCTGTCCCTGAGGGAGACGGGAGAACTCCTTCTCCCTGTGGATGGGATACGGATGGAAGGAGGAGAATGAGAAGGAGAAGGAGAACGTGGCACTATCCTCTTCATCATGATGTTTGCTTATCATCAATCACCTGGGACAAGATACGCTTTGTCTTCTTCCATGGCATGGCACGCATTGAGAGAGGGAGGCAGATCCCATTCAAATAGAGCAGAAGACCTGAGCTGACCTGAGCTGACCTGAGTTGAGTTGGGTTGAGAGTTGAGTTGGACGAGAGCAACATCACGACAGAAAGAATGGGGATATACTGTATGATACATAACGACAAGGACATCCACTGACTGAACCGGAGATTCTCAGACAGAAGATATCAGACAAAATGGGAGGAAAAGGGAGAAAGAAGTCTCTCCTAAAATGGCCAAAAATCGACCGACAGCTCTCGCGTAACGCACGACCAGTTTCGCCCTTGTTCTTGTCGTCCTTTTGCTTCGACCTTCATCTCCATCTATGATCTTGCAGGACTCACAGGACGTGCACAGTATGGTGCGGTATGGTGCGGTATGGTATGGTATGGTACAGTGCATACGTGCTCTGCACTGTGCCCCCGTCTGTCTGTGCTACCGTGCTGTTCTGCTGTTCTGCTGTCCAGCTGATGGACTGATGGACTGTCTGGGGCGCGCCCGCGCTCTTTCTTTCTTTCTTTGTTCTTTGCATGAACACTTGACGTCGAACAGCAAGAGCTACCACTGTTAACCACACCACCTCCAAAGCTCCCACACTGGCACAATGCAAGGAAATCGATCGAACCTCGATCTCAATCTTGATCCTTGATCCATCACCTCTTCGTTTGCAGGTCAACTCTCTGCCCCGTCTCGGCCCCGGTGCCTTTCTGCATCGCCTCCATCACCGAAGTGTACAGCCTCCCGTCCCTCACCGCCTCATAGATGACCGAGATCCAAGAACCGATCGTCTTGACCGGGCGATCTGCCATGCTATCCCGCACGACGGCGTCCTCGACGTGGCCGCGATGGAAGGGCACGCCCAGGTCCTCCCGCACGAAGCGGTACAGCGCCTTGGTGCCTTGACCCAGATACTCGGCCGTGCTGGGGCGGTCGAAGAAGCTGGCGCGGTGGAGCAGGAACGCGTCGTACATGACCTTCTGCAGCTTGTCTACCCAGGCCTTGTGCTCGCGCGCAAACCGCTCCTGATGAGATCCTTGGTGGCCAAATCGGTCTAGGCAGCTCAAGATTGGTTCCACAGTGGCCTTTGCCACACTCTCGCATCGATCCCCGGCGTCGCTGCTCGCGGTGGCGTACCACGTCTTACGGATCGAACCCCAGATCACGTCTGTCAGGAGCTTCTTCCCGTTATCCTCAACCCAACCAAAGACCCGGCGGATGGTGGCATCGGCAACACCCTTAAACTGCGACAGGAACGTTACATGCATGCTGCGAAGGTCCACCCCATGGAGCCCGACATAGATGGCCGACGCCGACATCAGCTGGACGATCTCCACGCTCTGCATGGCGTAACGGGCGGAGATCAAGGCGAGCGAGTTGATCCCCTGATTGTGCATCTCGGCCGACTGTACGTGAGAACTGACTGGATTGGCCAGGAAGGCCAGTTCCGACTGATAGGCCGCCATGTTGATGTCGACGCCTTTGGCGAAGAACGAGAGACTGGGATCATCCGCGGCCAGGTTTGGGGGAAGCCCATTGTTGTAGGCCGGATTGATCAGCTCGCTCGTCTGGGCGAACAGCATCTTGCCGACCATCTGCAGGCAAAGTCTGATCCTCTCCGCGACCATGGTCACCGACGTGGCCTGGAAGTTGCCCCCACAGTGGACCTCACGGGTCTTGAGATTGACAATCGGGTTGTCAGTGGTCGAGTTCAGTTCGATCTTCAGTTGTTCCGAGGCATGAAGGAGGTCTTCTAGCAGCGGACCAACCCACTGGGAGGACGTCCTCGTGGAATACCGGTCCTGAACAATGCCCTCTTTGTACCGGTTGACCTGGTTGAGGCCTTCGACGAGCTTGGAGCCGTGGAAGAAAGAGCGCTGGTTCTGCGAGACTTCAATCTGGCCGGGATGGGGGCGGATTTCTGCAATGTATGGGTGAGTCCACTCGACGTTTCCTGCCAGAGCCTCCGATGAGAGGCAGGTGATGAGCTGTGACAGAACGGCCAGTTGATTCGTCTCATACAACGCGAGGCACGCGACAGCAGCGGAAGGCGCAGTGCCATTGACCAGCGCAAGCCCTTCTTTTGGGCCAAGGACGATGGGCTCGTATTCGATGCGTCTGCCGTTGACCAGCTGCTTCCCATGCTTTGCTTCATCTTCCAAGTTCAGGCGCTGGATTTCTGCGAACGCATTTCGAGCATTCATCACCTTGAAGTCCCTTCCTTTCCCGGTCCGCACGAACGTGTCGGGGTTTCCCTGCAGCACACCGGCAATGTATGACAGTGGCATGAGGTCCCCAGACGCGGAGATGGAGCCTCGCAGGGGGACAATGGGCGTCATGTCTCTCCGGACGAACTCCACGAGCGTGTCGGCGATCTGCAGGGCGATGGCCGAGTGGCCGCGAATGTTGGTGTTGCACCTTACCAGCATGGCGCCCTTGACCCAGGACGAGGGGAGAGAATGCGAACCGGTCTCTTCGTGGCCGTCGCTCTCTGCTGCCAGGTCTCTTGGAGTGAGCACGCCGGACTGTTGGTGTTGGATCAGCGCCCGCTGGAGCGCCGGTGGGTCGTTGGTGCGAAGGTCGGCGCTGCCTCCAAAGCCGGTGTTGATGCCTGCGCTCCGTGCCCTGTCAGCCTGAGGCAATGCCTGAAGCAAGATCACCCACCATAAAGCTTGCTTCCGCCGTCCAGATGAAGGTCCAGGATGTCCTGCCCCGCTTCCATGTTGTCCAGGAGCTGGGAAGATCGCTCAATGAACGGCTTGCAACGAAACCTGCAGCGTTTCAGTGTTAGAAGAAACTGCGTGCATATGTTTAGGAGTGGATATGCCACTAGTCTCTGGATATGGGCAGCAATGAACGCACCTTGCAACAGCCACAACAGCTGCAATGTCAAGCTCATGTCCATTGATCTCCACATCTCCTTCCTTGATCAGCGTCTGGACGCGGTCCACGAGCTCGCTTGTCGCGTTCAGATGTGGCGTCGTTGGACGCTTCTTGCTTGCACGAACCCGGCCGGGCGACGGTGGGTTGATGGTCATTGTCTGTTATCTTGTTTCTCTTCTTCCTCCTCCTTGAAAGGTGTGTAGAGGTCCGGTAAGGGAGGGCAGCAAGAGCAGAAGCAGAGTTTTTTTGAGTTGAATGAGGCGTTTTTCGCTTGGCGTTCAGGGGGTAGGGGAAATGTATGCATCCGATGGCAGGGATGGCAGGGATGGTGGTGATGGTGACAAGGTGGTTGTTGGTCGGTGGCTGGTGGTTCTCCTTTTTGTCACAAGAGGCAGCCTTGCCGACCACCATGTCTACTGCGAAGACAAACGCATGGTCAATCTGGTCAAGCCATCACGCAAACACACACATTGTGGGTACATAATATGCATGTATGTTTGTACCTAGGTGCGCACTTCTCGTGCCATTCCCGTTCCCGTTCCCCGTGACAGTCGCAATCAATCGGACAGGTCGACAATCTCCAAGAGCTTTTGCTACGGATCAACGAGTGTGGACACTCACGACAAGGTCACCCACCAAACAGACGGACATACGATCCGATCCGATCCAAACACACGCAGCAGGGCTTGCTTGGAAGACGTCCATGTTCAACAAGTCATAGCCTCATAGCATCATAGCACAGTTGTTCCTGTATCGTGCACACGTGAATTAAAGTATTATCACCAATCACCAATCACCAAGCAATAATCAATCCTGGGCCAATCTCCGCCTGCTGGACGACACGACGAGCCTTCAGCCGGACTCGCAGCTCTCCAAAACTCTCTCGCTCTCCTCTCGGCTCCCACGGGTGTTCAATACATACACCAACAGCTTCTGCAAGCAGAGCACGGACTGTTGTTTCCACTTCTGACTTCACCACCCACCGGATTATCCATGCCTGGGTCAGCTGGTGTGGTAGGCAACATCTTGATCCCCGTCAAACACAGCCCTCTCACCGTGACTGTTCCAACAACAAGCACTGAACATCCATTCCTCCAGTCTCGTCTCTGATCCGATCGCCAAGTGCTCACTCGTCGGCGAACAACAAGTCCGCACGACCCTCCTCAGCCTCCTCCCGACTGTCGCCTTCGTGATCCCCGACAGTAATCTCTTCTGGCGCCAAGTCCATCTCCTCCGATTGTCTCAGCTCTTCCTCCGTCAGTTTCTGGCGCTCGTCCAACTCCTCGTCCTCCAAATCGGATGCATTGTCCTGTTCGTCATCAACCCCGCCCACCGGGAATGCGGCTGAGGTGTCGTCCGCCATGGTATGGGTGATCTTGGCCCTCGCCACGTCGTCCGCGACGTCGCGGAAGAATGAATGATCCTGGGTCAACAGTTTCCGGGCACAAATGTATCCCATCGGGGTGTGAGTGAAGTCTTGACCTCGGCTTCTGGTACCAAGCCACGCGTGCAGGAAAATCAGCATTTTGGTGGCCCCTATTTTAGCGGCCTGCGCCTGCTGGGTCACTGCCGTCTCATTTGCAGTCGGTTGTTCCTCGCCCGCCGGCTGCTGGTTCTCATCGGAGCTCCCTGTGTCATCAATGCGCAGTTCTTCGATTTCCGAGATCAATCCATGGTGGGATCGTGTGAAACGGCTATCTTGCAGCCCCAAGAACGCCTGTATTGGCTCAAGCTCCTCGAAGGGGAAGTATAGGCGTCCGGCGAATATGCCGATTTGAATCTTCAGCCACGACGGTGCACGCCAGCCCTCTGGGAGCGGTGGCACGGCATAATAATTCAAGTCATTGAATTGGAGCATCTTTTGCGTGACAGGCGCCGCATAATTCAGTAGATAGACCACCTTCTTCGGGGCATTTTGGCATATGTCTATTAGAAGTTCCGCCTCCTCGGGGCTGACTAGAATTGCAGTTTCTATATTCATGCTCCAGAGGACATATTGGACTGGCCGCTACGTCGGAAAGTCAGTAAATACTCGCAAGATATAGAGTGTACTTACCAGGAAGCCATCGTTGGGTTTGCCAGAAGGCACGATGACTGCACGTCGGAATTCCGCAGAGACAAGCAGTTGTGGGGTTGCCGGGAGGCTTGCAGGATACTTCAGACTTGTCTCAGTCCGAGCCATGTACGAGAATGCTCTTTCGCAGATCTTGTCATCAGGCCTCAGCCTACCGGTCAGCACAAAGTCTCGGATCTCTGCCGCGAGCCCAGAAAAGGTCACCGGGTGGAAGTATAGAGGGTTTTGTCTTTCGCGAATCGTCTCGACTTCAACGGCTACCTCGCGCTCCTGCTCCACCTCCTGCAACACCGAGGCGTGAACCGCATTGGCGGTATCCTGAAAAGCCTTCCGCCGCCGTTCAAGCTGCTTGATGTGCTTGGCGAGACTGTCGTCGAACTTTTCATCTCGAAGACGTTTTCTTGACTTCTTCGAACGTGGCTCGTAAAGCGCTTGTAGAGAATGTTGTTCATACCTTCGAAGAGCGTTTAAATATGCATGACGCTCAGTGGAATTGGTTAAAAATAGAGGGTGGTCACGCTCCGCCTGTGCTCGCCGGCAGTAGTCGACGCCTTGAGCGTGATAAAGTGGTTGGAGGTTTTCAAGACCCTGACAAGTTTGTTCCAGAAGCCAGCACACCACGTCCCGAGAGGTGAGATGCTGGTGTTCTCCTTTACTGCGAAAGTCAAGAATCGATTGATGGACTTCGGGCGGTGCGAAAAAAGTGACAGATTGAGTAGTCGCCAATTGCCGGAGACGCATGACGGCTTGAACGGTGTGGTCCTTGGTTTGACCGAGACTGAGTGTCACTGCACCACGAGCATCGGGCGGGAACTTCATGTCTGTGCCTCGAGTGTGTGATTCGTCCAGGTACACCAGACAGTTGCTCAAATCATCAGCGAAAGGGGATGCCAGCAAGGGAACTTTCCGTCCACTTCGATACAAGACCGTGGCTTTGTTACTGTCGTCAAAGAATACGGATGCTGGTGCCTCCGTATCAATATCAAGCCACATTTTAGCGAGGGTCGCATTGGTCATCTCCAATATTATCGCGCCAGAATCGATCAAAATGCGGATTTTCTTATGACACAATTTGCGCAGGAGATCGGGCTCGGTTAGTCGTCGATAGACTGCTCGTCCCTGGGAGACATCTCTCCGACCGGCGAGGCTGTATGCCTGATTCCGGTCTTGCAACAGATAGGTCAGGACCTCGGCATTAGTGTGCGCCAGTCCCTTGAGATCATCCTGCTGGATAGTCAGCGGCAAACACAACCGGTTGTCGTTGGTGCCACTGAAACCCGTGGTTAGGTTGCTCCCGTTGCCAGCTAAAGGAAGATCCCAGCCACTTGCTTGTAACTTGACCTTGAACTGCTTTGCGTGCTTGGGAAACACGAAGTTGTTGAGAAAATGGTCGATTGCCGTGACATTATGACGAACACCACACCATATCTCGTTCAGCTGAAGGCTATCTTCCAGGTTTATGGAAGTCCAATCCCGAAGTCGATCGGAGAGTCCGTTCGAGTTTTGGGTCCATTGCTCGTATTCCCGCGCTGGATCGTCCGATTTGAGGATCTCCTCGAGGCTCTGTTTCAGTTGCTGCGGAGATAGGCCTTGATAGTAGAATGAGAGACAAGTAAACAGTAACGACACATCAACATGGCCCCATTCCGCAAGATGTGATGGGACGCCCTTCGCCAGGTATGGCACCGCCACTGGGTCTCGGAGGGGATGGAGGCCGTACTGGACGTTCCATCGTCTACTCAGCGTGAGAATCAGTATGCGATGAACAAGCAGCCCTCGCAAAAGGTAGATGACATATCCGTCTGCCTGACTGCTTCTGTGAATGTCTGAGATGCAGCCTATCACATTCTTATGCGGTTTTGCCTCAGTGATGAACTCCCTGATGGCTTTCATGTCGGACGCAGAGAAATTCTCCGCGCTCAGCAGTGACGTCTGCCCACTGCAGATGTCTGTCGCTATTCGCTCTATAAGTGCATTTTGAACGTCGGTTCGGAGAAAGTAGACGAATGGAAATCCCCCAGTCTCGCGACGGACGACTTGAATACTGGATGCATAAGACCGCTCCAGAACATACAGGTGGGATTCTGCAAGCTTGAGGATAGCTTCTACACCCTCCCACCGATAGTTACCACCGTCAACGGTAATTTGCGGGCCTGACGGATAGATAAGTTGCGTCTTGACTGCCATTGTAAAGTCACTTTCGTCGAATACATCTCTGCTTTTCGTGGTCAGCCACTTCTGCACATTGATCATTTGTGTGGCTTCCTGGGTCTTCTCATCCAATAGGCGCTGTCGACCGGAGAGCATAAAGGACATGATGTGCTCCGGAAGTGCTATGATGACTCCGGATTTATTTAGCATAGCTTCGTGGATCTCCCAATATGCCTGAATATTTTCTGGATTCGAAGGAGTGCGACGCGAGAACGGAACATGGCGTAGTTCTCTTCCCAAGAGCCCGCCCAGTCGTAGCTGTAGTAATTGAGCAGTCTGCAACAGCAAGGCTTTCGGCACAACAACTCTACACAGCGACTGGCCGTTTGCTAGGATGGACGCCACAAGAGGAATGATTGTTGACGTCTTACCTTGGCCCATGTTGAGCTGCAGTACGGAATTTGCACCAGATGCTGGCGATATGGTTGCCAATGCGACCTCTACTTGAATGGGTCGGATGAGAATGTTTGTATCGATCTCCAGGAGCACCCAGTCAGGATAATCATTTGGATCCCAATTTGAATGACCTGAGTTTTTCAATTCGTCGTCCAGATGTTGGATCTTTTTGCGCAAAGACGCGTCTTGCATACGAAGAAATCGCTGCAAGCGAGTGACAGCAACACCGAAATCAACGACTGCAGCCCGCATTGATGATGTTAGCGGAACGGAGCTGGTGCTGCGTAGAGTCTCCAAGACGGAGACGTAGGTCGTCAATGGCCAAAGTCCAACTGCATGCAGCCATGGCGCACCAGGCTCGTCTTTCTGGAAAGCCCGGATCAACAGGGCGAACCTTGAATTCACACCGTTTTCTGCATCAGCGATGAGTCGTTCCAGCTGATTCATGTCAAAGGTTGAGATTTCTTCGACAGGTTGTGCTCGAAAGTTTTCAAGTGCCGATATCGAATGGACAAGGCCGCAAAGGTATTCCTGCCTGACAAAGGATCCCGATGTGGGCATTTGCTGAACGATCTTTTTCAACTCACGGATGTCCTGACTGGATTGACTAGCATCTGTTCTCGCTCTATGAGCAGTTTGTTTCTGAACCAGTGATCGTTGAGAAGGCATCTGAGGCCCATCCTTTCGGAGCAAATCAGAGCATATCAAGGGAAATCCCCGCGGTGCAGATGGTGAGAGACTCTGTTTGAAGCGTCTCTCTCCTCTTAGGGGCAGGGGCGAGCGATATCTATCCAAGAGACCCTGAACCTGTCGTATATGCTCTTCAAATTCATGATTCCGGAACATGGCATTCCACTCCACCGCGATCAACGCCGAAGCCGCATCCATGTCCAGTACATCGGTTACAAATCCCTCAAAGTTTGGCTGAGGGCATGGCCATTGATTGCACACGAACTCTGCGAGAGCATCCAGCTGCTTTGCCACTCTACCGTCGTGCTGTTTCCTTGCAATGTCGACAGTCTTCCTCTCCTTCTGAGTGTGTGCCTGTCCCTCTGATTGTGAGAACGGTCGGGAGCAGGGGATCAGCAACTGTCTAACGTAGTCAATCTTTGGACGAAATCCTGGACGGAATTGCGTGTACCAAGGCCATGACGGCAAATCAACACTTTTTAGATCATCAAGGACTGCGAAGGCGATGAGAGTCTGAATAGCCCTCATGTTGATTTCTTCTCTGAAACACAGCAAAGCCGTCATGAACATGAGTTTGTACCTTGCTTCAGGGCGGCCGTCCACGCGGTAAAGGTTGACAAGCTGGCCCCATGAGGAGGCTAGATCGACATCGAGGCAATCCGTCAGTCGCACCGGTTCATGTTTGATAGAATCATCGCCATAACCACCGATAGAGGGCCAGTCCTGAAACATCAGAGATAAAAGGGTTGGAGATGGTACCTTCGCCGGCCATGTGTAGATCAAACGAGCAGCTTGGAAAACATGCTCTTGGCTTTGTCTGTAATCGCGATATCCACGAGGATCGTAGCTCAGATCTGGTGCATGTCCGGGACTGGCCACCGCCGCTATAGGGAATCGCTGGTAAAGACCTTGACGCGTCTGACTTCTTTGAGAAAGATGAGAATTGGATTCTGTCGTGTTCATACCAGTATCTATTATTCCTGACAAGCCCTGGGTCTCAGGGGTAAGGTCGTTGTCCAGGTCAAATCGAGAAAGTAGTGCGGATTTCCGGTTGATCTCAGCAACAAGTGGGAGGTATTGATCATGCTGTATGCAATATGTGAGACCTTCGTTCCACAACACCTCTTCCATAACTCGCAGGTCTGGCGGGTAGAATCGCCGCACCGGGGCCAATTTCGCAATGGCGCCGAGTATCATTCTATTGGCGTCGCTGAGTGGTCCATACGGTTGAGAACTCCCAGATTGCAGAACATGGCACGCCTCTTCAGTTCCCGTCTTTCCTGTCAAGGGATCTGGAAGGCAGAAGGAGGTATATGCGTGCAATAGTGCCTTTGTGTAAAAGAGACGAGGCTCTGATGCACAAGTTACTCTTCCCAGTACGTCATCCAAGAAGTAACGCGCATAGACACGATCGGCACTTTGTATCTCAATGTTGACATGAATTCCCCTCCGCTGCGCTGTCAGAGATCCTAGAGGCACGATGACACTTCTGCGCTTTGGATTTTCCACGTCACGGAGGACGATCTTCGATGAAAGTCCATACCAGGTTCCTGCGTCCTGATTCGGATCGATCTCTGCTCGAAATTGCTGACATTCTAGGAGGCCATTGAGATTCACAAAGAAACTGAGCTCAAAGCGACGAAGATCGACCGTAATGGCACCTTTCGACGGCTGAAATACTGTGATATGTCGTGGATCCTCGAATCCCTTGAACATGTTCGCAAAGTGATTAACAAGATTGCTGCGAGGGTCAAGCAACATAGAGCCTCTGCGATTGGCTATCAAGGTCCGGAGATCGATAGTCCAGTTTGAAGGTATATGTCTCCATATCCGTGGCTCCTTTCTGACCTCAATCACATTCTTTTCCAAGTTGAGCCAGTGCACACAATTTTCTATCAATGAGGCCGGGATGTCAGAGGTCGTACCCTGCGAAAAAATGGAGTCGGGTAGGTATTCTAAGAGTGTGCCTTTCGCCCATGCACGGACAACTGGGACGCCTTGCCGGAACCCAAGGTAAACCTCGTGACCTTCAATATTGAAAGCAACTTTGTAAGTCATCCCAGAGAAAGCACAAGGCCAGACAACGAGTCTCTGGTGTTGGAACAGCCGGGTGATGCCTGCTGAATGGCGAAGCTCGTGCGGAAGCTCTTTCTCGACGGCCTTGTCGTTCAGCAGTATCGTTCCTGCTGCAAGGTGAAAGCGAATTACTTGGAGTTCCACGTGCCGATTGCCTGAGAGAAGTAGACTTGCCCACTTCCCGGCAGAATCCTCGACAAAACAAAGTGATGCAGATCGACTGGGGGCAGCTTCACCACTTATCGCGCCTGCTTGCACTGCAGCGATGATCAAGGAGCGGGGGTGCTTTTCGAGCGACTGTTCCAGACTCTCCTGAAGCCGAGAAACCATTTTGACGTCCCGAATCAATATGCTGCGAAGTAGCGGTCGAAGCTTCTCTGGTTCCACCGGCTGATTTTCATGTAATGCAACGGAAGCTTCCAGGAAGGTGGTCAGTGCTGATGAAGAAATGGGCACCGCGTTAGCGTTATCCATACATTCCATGGTCGATGTTAGACAGCCTGGCTGGTAACCCCGCTGTCCTCGAGCGAACATGGTGAACGTCCTTCTGCATAACAAAGCAGCCCAAAAGATAAAGAGAGCGATTTGATCGGAAGCAACGTCGTTGGTAGTGTTGTAGAACTCCTCCCGGAGCATCCTAATCCACTGGATAGTGATCTCCCTGGCCGTTTCAAGCAATTCGAGAGCTCTTTTGCAGGCAAGTCTGTCTCCGAGAGCAAGAAGTTTTAGGATCAAGCTGATCAAGATTTCCATGCAGTAATTCTCTCTTGGATTTGAGTTTATGCTTAGCAGGCGCCGTTCGATTTGGACCAAGAGCGCTCTGCAAAAGCTGGCATCGCGGAAGACAACGTTTGCAATATGCATTGTGTCTCCTTGTGGAGAACCGGTTCGGCGTATCAGTGCCTCAATCAACATCATAACTGGCTCAGAGCTGAAGTTGAGATTCGAAGAGCCTAGCTCGACAAGGATTGCCAGCCATAAACGGCGGCTACCACATATCAGTCCTTGGAAAGCCAGAAACTCTGGCACCCCAAGAGTTTGCGGACATCGAGGTAGCCCAGCGAGAATTTCGTTAGACGTGATATCGGCATCAGCACTCAAGTATTCCACAACAGCTCTTGACTGTGACACGTTTAAATTTTCGACACTCCCGCTGTCCCCAAAGCCTGGTGAGATCCTGGAAGGAAACGCAATTTTGGCAAATGGGCTTTGTCGAGGGAGAGCAATCATACAGTGATGATCGAACGTCACTCGCTGTAAGTGTTCCGCGAGCCAGACTTTACGTGTGCGATCGTAATATTCAAATCTCAACCCATTGTTGACGGCAATTCTTTCTTTGGGAACCGGGAAGTGAGCGTATCGATAGTGGGTTTGCAAGAACGATTTGGTTCGGGAGGCCAGAGTTAGTCCTTGCCTACCAATGTACGACCGCCGCACATTGCAAAACTTCGAGTAATAACCTTCGACCAGCGTGTGCGGTTCGTCCCTTGTTTGCCCAACATTTGGCAGAGCGAGTCTGGCAACAATAGACCATGTAGCCTCGCGATAGGCAGTGAAGGCAGCGGGACACAACAGTTCGAAAAGTACAGCTCTTCCCTCGGCGCGATTCGGAGGCATTGCTTTTTCGATTTTCTCGATACGAATTCTGTCAGCGGCCTTCTTCAAAATGCATCTATTACACTTGTGCTCGTCATGCTCCGGAACCAGGCGGTCGCCAACAGTTGTTATCGTCAGATGGCAATTGGCGGCGGAGAAATCTCTCATCAGTTGCTGATGTCTTGCATCTTTTTCGGCCCATTCTGTTTCTTTGTCTTGCTTTCGCTCTTCCTCTGTCCGCTCTATACTTTGATTCAGTCGGTGGAATTCAGAATGTGGTGGCAGACTTTCATAGAAGCGATCAGCAAAGCAGCCCGAGACAGGACGATCTAGGATGGTTCGTGAATAAGTGATATCGGAATCTCTCGAGTGACGCTGAGCAAGATAAGTCTGAATTTGCTGGAGCCGACACAGATCAGAGAACGAGGAGAGCCGTAAACAATCAAGGATTTGTGGAGTGAAGACTGGCTGGAACCTTGAGAACTCGGGTACAAAGCGACATAACAAGTTGTCCATCAGAACCCATAGCCAGATTGTCGTCAGAATCATACAACTTTGATTCTCGGAGCCGACCTCAAATGAGCCCATTGATTTGTCGAGATAAATCTCAATCTGCTTTGCAAGCCTTGCGGTGGAATCTGCCCACGTCTCACGGCTGGCGGGGGTGACTGGTCCGTGTCGGGCCAAGATTTCTGCTTCCATCTCTGCGAGCTCCGAATACTTTGTAAGGAAACGCAGCAAGGTGGGCGGCATAACGTATACACCTCCAGGTGCGGCGGTGAGGGGTGGGTGCTGACGCAACTGGGAAAGATAAGGAGCGCTGTTTGTCAACTTGAGCTTCATGTGCTCTGGTCTAGCCCGCCGCATTTTAAGTTGGGTAATCCGACGCTGAATTTTCGACTTGTGGCTGTCCCAGACCATCTGGAGTTGTTGCTTTGCATGGCTCGTCGCCGCAATGAAGGATGGACGAAGATTGTCCAGAAGAGTGTTGTATGTGTCCGAGGTTCTGGTATCTGAAGCCGGCGCAAGATTTCTGTCCTTTTCCAATTTCGCGATTCGCCGACCAAGCTTTCTGAGCAAGAGATTGGTAGCTTCCGGAGTCTGAGATCCAACCGCTTGGTTCAGCAGCATGGCATGGAGTATACACATCAGAGCTTTGTACAGGGCATTCGAGACAGGCCGGCATGTCGCTTGCTCCAGAAGGCGTAAGATGCCAACCCGCAGGAGTAGCCAGAACGGTGATCTTCTCCATGGGATGCCCGACGTTTTTCGGCGAACTTCGTCTCGGACACGTTTACGAATGGGAGAGACATCGACCAGCTGCTCGATTCCTTCTAGCAAGGTGATCAGCAATCCCGTCACCAAAGCCGGATCATTGGTATCCCGCGTCTCGAGGGTTGGAGAGTTGGCTTTGTAGATGAGTGCTCCAAACTTATGAACTCTTTCGATGCTCGCTTTCTGTAGAAAATCGGCGAGGGTTTGCTGGAAGCTTTCATCGTTAAAGACGTCGTTTGGAATTGCCGAGGCGGAGGTTGGAAAGTCCCATTGTAATGCGCGTAAGGATTCGAGCACCTTTTCCGACTTTGCGGAGACTTCAAATGCTTCAAAGATGACCTGCTTCTCCATGTCCCTGGAGACCTTCTTAGTATTGTAACTCAAGCTGTTTTGTTGAGGTTGGGCTTACCCGGTACCACGTCTTATCAAGAGTCCGGCGTTCTGCTCACTAACATGGATGATTAGGATTTCTCCGACCTGTAGTCTGCGAAAGGCACATTGGAGTTGCGTCGCGTCAAGGTGTGCAGAGGTGTGTATGAGGAAACAATGTTCCAGGGAACTTCGGAGGAAGCCCAGCTCTTCTCGGTATTCGCCTTTTGTGGCTGTTTCCAGCTCTGTGCACGCATCCTGGACGCGCAGCACAAGTTCCTGGTTAATCTCAGCAAGGTTATTTTCGATTTTGTCGGGTATATCCGGCGGAAGAACTATGTGGTTGACGACGGCGCGGAGCAGTTTGGGATCGAGTGTCATCATGGTCGAGGAGCTCAGGTAGATAGGTGTGGAATGACTTGGAGGGGGAGAGTTGGAGGTGATATCGAGGAGATGGGCCGCATGGAATTGACCGATATTGGGTAATTCAAACGAGCCTCAAGAGACTGGAGAGGCTGGTTCTTGATGTTGTCGTCGGCCCGTCTGCTGTTTTCGATGGTGGAACATGGGTGATCAGTATAGAAAGGTATTCTGTCAGTTCTTAAAACCAGATGGGGGGTGTAAAGGAGGGTGAGGCAGAAACAACGCGCGATCGAGAGGCTTCCTCTCGAACTTCACACCCAAACATTGCTTCCCAAACTGCGTCAGTCTCTAGGAAGCCAAGTATCGGATAACTTCCATTCCATGACAAAGGATCATTCTTACCCTGATTGTGGAATTCATGTTGCTGGTTGATAGAATCTGCTGCGGCATTCGAGATGAGGCGTGTCATCTTCAAGCTAAATGTAAGCAGCCGAAAAGGCAGCGGTGACGACGGCTTCTCGATGACTTTCAAATCAAACAATCTGCATCATGACGGTGTCGGAAAGCTGCAGGTTCGCAGCCTGGCCTCCTTTATCCTTTCTCTTCCTTGTTTGGTGACTATTTCCTCGCATGCTCTTACGAAAGTCGAGATATGGCGGCTTGATGGAGAGGGAGTTTACGGCTTGCAGCCTTCCAGCATTTTCAAAATTCGCCCAGTGGCTCTTCTTCGGATACAACAAAGAAGGCCCCCTCACAGACCCAAGTGGCTTCGTCCAACAACAACATCCAATGGCAGACGTCTGCCGAGCTTCGACACCTTGTACTCCGAAGCAAGGCAATCTCGCCATGACATCGTCGTTCTAAGGATGACTGCCCCTCTTCGGGGGGTTGTCTAGAGCCTTGCAGGGCGACGATGTTACATCTCAGTGGCTTTGAAGTTGGAGGGTTGAAGCGGGACTCGTGGTCGATTCAGACCCATGTCGGGCTATCGATAGCAGGCTTCTTACGTTGGTCACGCAACGGCCACAACCGGTGGCCGATCAAGGCCGCGTCATATTGGTTCCGGGCCCATTACGGAAGGCAATCGTCGGCCGTGGTGGTCAATAACCAGCAGCACGGTCAGTTGAAGTCCTGGCAAGCCAGGAGAAGGATGGTGGGTGTAAAAACATTTATCCCTTCCGGACAGTCTTCGGGGGTGAGCTTGACGAAGCTGTACAAAACCGGTTAGTCAGTTCTGGGCGCGATGGGGTGAGGGGAAGGAAGGAAGGTGGAAGGAGGAAGGTGCGGGGGGGTATGAACAGACGGGATATACGAGGTACAGGCTCCGGCTTCGGAGAAACCGGCCGCTCAATGGCTCGGATATGCCACCGATGACTTGCGAATTCCACGACATCTACGAGGAATAATTATACAGTACATATTATTATATACGAGTCCTCAACCGAAGAGCCCCAGCGGAGCACCAGACTACGCACCACGACCAAGACTCCTTGACACCATGCCTATCTACCACATCGGTTAGCCACCACCACCCACGGCCGAGACAGATGTCACGCTGACCGAGCGATTGCAGTTTTGTTCAAGCTCAAGCCCGGGGTCACGGGCGCTCAAGTTGCAGCCTGGGGAGCGCAGGCTAAGGCGATGGTGGGCCAAATCCCCGGCCTGCGAAAGCTCGAGATCAATACGCCGTTGCCCAGCACCGCCCACCGCGGCCAAGGGTTCAACTGTGGTCTGGTCGCGATCCTGGACAAGGCCGAAGATGTGAAGGTCTACGCCGAGCACCCTGCGCACCTGGAGTATGTTTCCCATCATCATCAAGCCCCTCCTGAAAACCTTTTGGGTATCCCCTTCAATTTGACCTACAGCACTCCTGCCGTTGCGCCCACGCTGACTGGCAATCTATAGGGTGCACAAGTTCAGAGAGGAGCTATGTGACGATACCTTGGCGTATGATCTCGAATACGCAGAATGAGTTCTGGAGACGAGCACATGAGGGGTGGCAGTAGTCTTTTCACAGAGCCCCTCGACGAGAGGGTTAGATTTACCAGGTGACGAGACTAGGCTACAAGTAGTTCCCGTCTCCTCTAGTGACGCGGTTTTCCTGCAATCACAATGAAATTTGTCAAATGTTTTGTTGGGCCATAGGAACATAGGCCCCTGCCTTGTGAGTGTCATGTCATTGGAAGTAGTCGTTAATTTCCCGCGGTCAGAGTTCTCGTGTTACAATGGTGGCCAGATATCTCTAGACCGAACCCTTAAAAGACATAAAAAGCCCATTCATGCAGGTAGATATACCTCTCAGTCATTCAATGTGGTTATAATCGAACCACGCCTGTCGTCCTTCTGTGCTCGCTTGAGCCCAACCAACTGCATCATCTCCGTCCAGAATCCAACGGGAGGCGAGATGAAAGTCGCCTCATAGGCGTCGACAACTGGCCGCTCCCAAACGAGGTCGGCTTCCAGTGGGGAAACGGTCTTGGTGCGCTTGATGAGTTTCCATCCCAGGTAAAGGACGGGCGCCACAATGACCATGGTGTAGTAGGAGAAGAATGTGCCAACATCCCAGGGGGTGAATGCTGAGTATCCGTAAAAGATAACAATCACAGTCATCCAGACCAGACCAATCCATCCGCAGTACGGCTGGAACCATCCGGTATAAGGGAACGAGTTGCGGTCGACTCCTTGAGCCTTGCATGCACGGTAGAAGAACAGATATGTCACACACATGACAATGTAGTCGATAATGCCGCCAGCCGTGATCAAGTTGATTAGCCATGTCAAGACTTGTGACGAGCCACTGGACACCGACAAAAACGACAGGAGTGGGAAGAGCATGACAACGCAGAATGACCAGATAGGCACGCCGTGTTTGGTGCACGTGGTGAGGAACTTTGGAGCTCGATGCTCAAGAGCAAGGCCGTAGAGACTGCGAGTTGCACAGTAGGTGTAGGTGTTTCCGGCGGAGAAAATGCTGGTGACGAGTAGTGCGTTGGTGATGTGAGGCAAAACTTCGACCTTCAGATTCTTCATCGCAATCACATATGGTGAGGCAGCAGCAGTACCACCGCCAGATTGAGTTCCATTGACGATAGCGACAAGAGTTGGGTCATTGTAAGGGATCACCACCCCTACACAAAGCGACCCAAGGATGAAGAAAAGGCCGAACCGCCAGTAGATGGTCTTGAAGGCCTTCTTGATATAAATCCGAGGTCGCTTGGCTTCAGCAGCAACCATAGCCAAGTATTCCGGTCCCTACAGTGCAAGATACCATGTCAGCGGCGTTGTTACACAGCAAGTTCTGCCATGGCGAATGTTGTTGAACACGATAACAAAGAAATATAGTATCGAAGAACTTACCACAACGCAGAAAGAAGCGCTCCAAAGGCATGCCAAGAAGCCCTCAAACCTTCCCAAGGAGCCCTTGGTGTGGTATTCTGCCATTGGCCCAGGATTATTCCAGTAGCGAAAGCCGTAGGCATCGTGTTGAGGATTCCCTCCAACCATGGTGATAAAGGTGAACATGAACAGCATAAAGATCAGGATGACTTTGCCACCCGAGAGCCAGAATTCCGCCTCTCCGTAGGCCCTGACAGCGAGGATGTTGATGAGACTATATTGGCAGATTAGTACGGGACTGCATAGCACAGTGCTACAAAAGAACGGGCAATCCCTACGCATAGAGCACAATGCAGGCCGCGCAGACGGCCGCGGTGGGGATATCGTCTCTCCAGAAGGACAAGACGAGATTGAGAGCGGTGATTTCGAAAGGAATCAAGAGAGCCTCGTAAAGGAAGAAGTTCCAACCGGCCATGAATCCGAAAGCGTCGTCAACCCACTTTCCAGCCATACGAATAAAGCCTCCGGAGACTGGTTGCAAGACAGTCATCTCGGCCATGCAGTTGTTGACCAGGCCGAGCATAGCAGAATAGATCGTGTACGCAAGGAACAAGCTGAGAGGTCCACCCTTTTCGAGACCGCTCCCGATACTGACGAAGAGTGCTGTTCCGATCGACCCTCCGATAGCAATCAACTGGACTTGCCGGTTATTGAGGCGGCGTTGTAGCTTGTCTGCATTGTCTGAAACTTCACCAGGGCGAACGTCGACATACGCTTGATTCTCCCCGGGAGCAGCGTCGGAAGTAACATACTTGATCTCCTTGCCTTCCATGTTTGTGGAAATGTTCCCAGTAGACTGTGGGGGGCGGACAAGATGAAAGAGCTGGACCAGCAGTTACTAGAGGTAAGTGGTAAGTAACCCACAAGCAGGCGCAACTGCTCCTATATATGAAGACAAAATGTCCGAGCCCAGCCTCTAAACCCTCGAAAGGATTTTGTCACAGAAGGAAGCGAGCCCCGTACCTCACTTGGCCATTCCACAACATTTTTGCCGATCCATGGGTCAGCGTGAACGAAGGATAAATGACTGGGGTTAAGTCGCAAAATTCTACCATCTCTGGTGGAGCTTTCCGGGTACAACGGCGAACCTCACAGATGTGACGAAGCTGGGGTGGCGAGCTCCAGAATGCGCCTAGAAACCGGGCAACGAGGACGAGCAGGAAGGCTGGGCTAGCATCATCCTTGCAGGAACAGAGGGGTGGAAGAGCACTAGGAACAAGCCTAGCTTCGACTGAGCCTCGTGGAGATCTCATCCTGGGCTGAACGGGAGTCGGGGCCGGCCTCCATCACCGCAGCACATAGGTGGTCCTGAAAGTTTTCCATGTAAAAGGAGGGGCCGCTTGCCGTGGGCTAGAGAATGCCAGTGGTAGGTGATTCGGCGTCAACACGTTCTTCGGGGTCCAGGACGCCTGCCCACCAGTGGTCTGTGGCGGGACCCTCAGAGTCTGAAGACTGGCGTGATATTGACGTTGGGGGAAGGTCTATTATTCCACAGAGATGCGTGGCGAGCGGAGGGAGAAGGTCAGCTTTTTTCGAGGGGTCTTGGCAATGTTGTCGCGGACCCAGATGGGGCAGAGATTTACGTAACCGCCAATCAGAGCGAGTTGCGACGTAGGATCTGCCAAGATCAGGCATTTTGCCGGTAAGTCAATGTCAACGGCGAGCGCCAAGTAGGGTGGAAGAAAGAACCCCAGCCCTGCGGCGAAAACTGAGGATTGGATGATAACAACATAAATTGGCTGTTGGATTCCTTGATTAAGCAAGCTTGAAACTATGTGCCATTCTCTCAGGAAATAATCCTTGATCAGGTTGGGTAAGGATATCGTCACGCGAGGCATCATTTTCGGCTTAAGTCGACTAGTTGGGGATGGTTATTCGTACATCTTCGCCTGATTGAGTTCAACCAGAGGGTTTGAGCTCGATAGCTACCGTCTCAAAGAACAGGAATAGTCTTCCATAATGGGAAGATCTTGTCGAGAGGAGATTATTTCTTACATGACTAATATAGTATCTCTTCCTGCCCTGTAACGATCGACGGGAATATTTGAACGAGTGCACACTCACTACATATGATTTATATGGGAAAGATATCTGGCATATGTGGGCACAAGAACTCGAAACACAATAGGATTCCCAAGTACGGCGGTTGCCCCAGAACCTATGAAGACCGATAGGCATAAGTGAGTTGTGTGAAGCATGCGATATTAGGGCTAAACAGGCAGTGGCTATAGGGGCTTATAAGAGCGACATATCGTCCCGTGGTGGCCCAGGGGGCTCATGAGTTGGACACTATGCAGGTTGACCGTGGGAGCCCACAGCCGCCCTGGGCTTACTGGGCCAAGCGGGGCTTTTTGCCGATGCATGCACTTCCGTTGATCAAGGGCTGCCCATAAAACTCACTGCTGTAGTGTTCCTTCCTCTACTAGTAGCAAATTCAAGGACTTGGAATTAGTACCAATCTAATGCTCTACGATCTCTGATCCATGACACTCAACCTGCCATCTTGAGACTGGATCGAGGCGTAACCTCATTCTCCGTGGATCAGTCCCGTCGGAAGCTACCCTGACAACAGAGAGGGTGGTAGTTTGAAGGATGAATTCAAGCAACTCTGCATGCAAGTAGTGGCGAAGGGCTGTTCATTGCCGCTTCTGCCTTGTGTACATCCAGGAGGCAGTCCCACAAAGATTCAGCTACACTTACATGGGAAGGAGTTTGCATTGTCATAAACGCTCTGTATGAAGCAGGTGAGAGAATGAGACTGGAAGAGCGTCACTAAAATCGCTCAAAATGGTCTAGCTAACAGGGTCACATGTGTGCGTGCGGTTTGGTCTTTGTGCGCGAAAGAACAGTTATGGTATACCACCATCACTCACCGTCAACAATATAAAAGATTCTGAACTGTTGGCTAAGAGCAAGCAAGAGAGACAGACGGTGCCGCTGAGATCCATACAGGGGGTGTAATTAGTTGTAGCGTGAATGTGTAACACATTTGGGATGCAGTTGCGACCCAGGCTGAATCCCCCCTGTCTACTTCGAGCTGGGCTAGAATCGAGCTGAGATCGAGATTGCAATCGTAAGCTGTGTGCCAACGAGGAGGACTGAGCAGAACGCACTAATACCAATCACTCGCAGAAAAATCATATCAGAAATTGTATCCCTCTCATCTAGAAAATCCATTTCGTAGCGGAAGGAGGATTCGTGTCACGCGGTAACGGAGATTGCAGCTGTCATTTGAAAATGCCATTGGTATGGTGCTTTGGCGCGGCACATTTGGCGTAGGATGGCAGTCATTTGAGTTGTCAGACGTGCAATCTTTTTTCTCTTATTCTCCCCTGCGGCAAAAATGGCTGTTCTAGCAGTCATGAATCCTTCACGGGGAATAGAAAGGCTCTGCCGCTGGGCCCCTCTTCGCGTCTTGTTTTGCGAAAGGAAGAACTCCTATTTTAGGTGCCGCAGTAATGGTAGTGCTTCTACCAGGTCTTGGTATGTGCTCGGATATGGCATCCCTTAAGACCCAGATCCATTCTGACCCCATTGCTGCGAGGTCCAAATGGCCTTTCCGCACAGAGCATTTTATTTTCGCTTGCCCCAGAAGGAGGTGGGTACTTTGTACAGAGTACTCGTATACCCCCTTCCAGATGTTTTCGCGAAGGGGGCCATCGTCCTCGGTAGTGTTATCACAGTTATCGGCGTGCATCTGCCAAGACCGAGCTCTATCTAAGCGCCCTCGAAAAAACACGGGGTAAGCCCCGAGTCTCTGGATGCGCCACAGTCAAGTTTTTTCACCCGTCCTGAGACCCAATGCCACCGGGCAGACCAACAAAACAGACAGCGACCGACTTGTTCATCCCAAGTCCCTTTCTGCCAGCAACGTGAAGGTCGGAATGCCAGGGTAAAGCGCAGATCAATCGTTGGCCAATCATGGCGGTCAGACCAGCATCTTCGAAACGTGAAACGCGAAAGGGAAACCCTCTCCCCCAGTTCCCCCCTATTGCGCCGTGTCAAACGCAGGGGGTTATCCGTCAACTCCAATAATGCGAATTGGAAAGAAAGGCATCACGACAACTGTGAGACTGCAGTGCAAGAATAGCCATGCCTGCCAACCTGTCTATCACTTCTCCTGGGAGCGGTAGTGCTGTCGGCCTGCCTCCATGTCTGGCCCGCCTCCATGTCTGGCCCAGGTTCACCACCATGTATATGTATATATATCCCGTCCCGTCCTCGTCTCGTATCGTCCCCATTTCAACTCTGGGCAGATTCGTTCGTTGAGCTTCACAGTCCTTCCTTACTCTCTGTACGCAGGCCGTGCCTCTTTCCATTCTGCGGTTACTACTGGTAGTATACACCGTCCCTCGCTTCACACATACGCTCCTTTAGCACCAAAAAAGCCCGGCTAGTCCGAAGTGCATCTTCTTGAACCTCCACTTTCAACAACACAACACCAAAAATCTCAGTTACCCAAAATGCGCTTCGCTCTTGTATACCTCCTCGCCGTCGCCTTCCCGGCTCTGCCTGTTCTCGCGCAGAGAGAGCAGCGTGGTGGCGGTGGCGGTAGCGGTGGTTTCTTCAACCATGGCGGTGGCAATGCACCCAGTACCTTCGTCACCAAAACCTCTGCGGCCCCTCCTCCTCCGGCTGCTGCCACCACCGCGGCCACCACTGGGGCTGCCTCTACTGGAGGTAACTCTGGAGGCAACTCTGGCTCGGTCGACACTTCGCTCATCCCTCCCTTCGGCATTACCCCAGGGGTCAAGGCGACCGACGGGACTGCCAACTGCGTCGGCGACAATAAAGTCGACATCCCGTAAGTTGATATCGATCTGCTTCTATTATGGTGCGACGACAAGTCACTGACACCAAGCAGCTGCAACTGTCCACCAGACTTGGGCACGTTCACTAGCGCCCTCGAAACCTCGGTGGCAGCTGGAATGGCATTCCCCTCTGGTAAGCCTTGCATTCATTCTCTTACTACTTTGATGCTAAACTTACTGCACAGGCAATTCTGCGCAAGACCAGCTCACCCGCCTTCAGACGTGCATCGTCACCCTCCAGAACTTCAGGGGAGGCGCCGGGAGCGGCGTTGGATGTCCTATCGTGGCCACGACCTGGAAGGAGCTGCAAGCTCAGTTGCAGTCCGAGGTCTAGAGAAGGCAGAAAAGGGGGGGAAGGAGGCTGGGGATGAAAAACCAGAGAGAGCCGGTAGAGCCAAGAGGAACGAGCTAGCTACTAGGCAACAAAGGGCACTTTGCCACGTTCTGATGAATTATGGGAATATATGGATTTATGAAACGTCTTCCGGTGTGCCGATCTGCGTAGGTGCCGCCGGAGTTGACCTATCACTTATCATAGGCCGGCCCTGACCAGGTCGACGACCAGGTTAGCGACTAAGCGAGTGATAGGGGCGCACCGTATGCAAAAGTCCGTGCGGTGCTGACAGCCGAAGACATGGGGGATGTGGTGTAAAAGCGCATGTTTTGAAACAGTCGTGTTTCAAGAAGTCCAGAGGAGTTGTCGGTCGCGTGGTCCGTGCGCGCCATCCATATGTATGACATAATATAGTAGCAATACACTTGACCCGTTTGGGAATCCTCCATGTTTCCATCCCTGTGGTCAGCATTCAAGGAGCGTCAATTTGGAAATTCACGAAAAGGGGGACGGGCAAGGGTGCGGTTACGTACAATGGAGATCCAGACTCCGAATGATGCAGCAGCGTGATGGCGCTGGATGTTCACAGTCCTGAATTAGTAGGTACAGGAACACGACAAGTACCGAGTGGTCGTGCAAATAGTCCTCTGTAGTTGACTAGCTACACGTTAGTGGCTAGGCTAGCACTAGGTACATAATATCGTACGACAGCAGGTATAGCCACCTAAGATAATTCCCCCAAGAGATCTCATTCAGTGACTACCTGAACAGAGACTATGCCGTCGACTCAATCTCCCTCTCTCACACCACAGCCTCCAGAATCTCCTGCACCTGCTCGGCCTTGAGCAGCGGGACTGGGTTCGTTGGCGACCAGAAGTCGGCCAACGCTGACTCCGCGAGACTGGGAAACACCTCCCTCCCGATCCCCAGCTCCGACAACGTTCGTGGGAGATCCAAGGCGCGGATGACGACGTCCAACATGTCGCCGAGATCTGCTGTGTCCTGGCCAAGGCCCTGACTTACCAACTGTTCCGCCACCGCTGGCTCGGACCAGAGAATATTCCTGACCTTGCCCTGCCGGCTGATGATCTCCGGGTTCCCATCTGCGTGCTTGATGTTGTACTTCATGACGGCTGGACACAAGATACAGCTGGTGACACCGTGTGCCACGCCAAGAGGGCCCAGTTGGTGCCCGATTGCGTGGCTTCCGCCCATGGGTATCCCGGCACGGATGTTGTCCATGGCAAGAATAACTGCCATCTGGCAATTGTGCCGCGCCTCGAGGTCCTGTGGGTCTTGTTTGCATTTGAGCAGACTCGGAACCAGTAACCTTAGACCCTCCTCCGCTTTTCGATCGGAGGTCTCGGTGCTCTCGAGAGAGCAAATCGCCTCAACGCAGTGATCAAGACTCCTGACGCCAGTGCTGAGCCAGTGGTACGGTGGAGTAGTTATGCACAGTTCCGCGTCGAGAATGACCAAGTTCACGCCCATCCCAGAATGCAGAAATGCTACTTTGTGCTTCGTAGCGTCGTCCGTGCCTCCACCTAGGCTAAAATACTTTTGGTTTCATCAGTGCCTGGTCCAATAGACGTGATCTAAGGGAGAAAGGGGCAGGGGATACCTCGCCGCCCGACAAACTTGTCGGAATTGTGATCAGTGGCACTTTGGGCTCATGTATCGTGGAGGGTATATCGGTGCTCTCGGAAGAATATCTGGCGAGTTCATTTGCTGTCTTGATATTGTTTGCCAATGCCTGATATCGATATCAGTATGCTTGGACCAAGTACTCGCCTGGATCTGTGAGAACAGACAAAAGTCACCACTTTGGCTCCATCGGTGATGCTTCCAGCGCCCAAGGTCACAAGGCAGTCAGCGTTGGCGTCTCTTGCTTCGGCCGTGATTTGTAAAACCTGCGAGAACGGTGTATGAGGTGTTATCCCCTTCCTGACGCCAACGACCTTATCCTTGCCAATTGCTTCAATCAGCCTGTCCAACCTATCGGTCTCACGCGAAAGTGTCCCAGAAGCTATGATGTACACTCTCGACGCTTTGAAAGTCTCCCGGACGTGTTTCGCACATGCCACCTGATATGGAAGGCCATAACTGACACAAGGCGACGACAGCCTGAGGTTGGAGACGGGAATGCCCGCGAGGTTTGTCCCAGGAGGATCTGTAAATGCAGGTCTGTAGACCTCGGTTGACGACATTGCTGGATCTTTGTCCCAAAGGAGAGGTCGAAGCAGGCCTGAGATCACGCAAAAGTGCTGCGTAAAGGAAATGATCTTCTCCCCTGAGTTATATTCGATGTGGTAAGGGCCTAGAGGCTGCAATCACTCCAGGAGGGTTCTGGAAATCGGATTGCTTACCGTGCTTGGTGCGATGAAGATCTATATGGAGAGCCGAGTGAGGGGATCTGCCATTCGTCCGATCTGCGGATTGTCTAGGTAGACGCACCCCGCATTGCCGAGAAGATTGTCTCGATACATCTCCAGTGCAGTCTGTGTATGTGGCAGGGATAGCAAAGTACCACTGCAAGGGTCTTTCACGCGTGGTGTCGATGGTCGATGCCGTTCGGTCGGCGAATATTGTTGCTGGTCGAGAGTTTTATGGACAGAACGGTGGCTCTGGGCCTTCCTTACCATCTTCATTACTGCCCTGATTATTGTGAAGCTGGTCCTATGTACTCCACGCCTCTAGCAACATGTCGAGGACGACGAGGCTGTCAAGAAAAGGGTTGGTGGTGGGACCGGGGAGTCAAAGGGGCTTAGTAAGCACCTAATCCGCCTGCGCGTTTACTTCGACGCGTCGCGTGTCAATTTACATCCAAACTCCACACGGAGCAACTTCATTCTGCCGTTACAGCAATCACGAAATACAACGGCCACCAACAATGCCGGACCCGTCTCGAGCATGCTTGCTCCTCCCGGCACCGCCCTGCCCAAGTTGAAGAGATGTCTCGGCGAACTCCTTCGCACCTGCGTGCACCCACCCGCACTGCTCCTCCGGGTCGAACACGTATTGGGGAAAGCGCCTGCGGGTAGCCATAGAAACGAAGTCGATCGTGACGACGGCGACGAAGAACGAGAACGAGAACACGACCAAGACCAAATTCCTATCGCCTCTGGCGATGACCACGGCAACGAACCTACCCAACAAAGGTCCGATACGTGGTACTCTCGCTTCGTGGTCTCGGATGGCCACCTCCAAGTCCAAGCCGTCCTAGCCCCCGTCCTCCTCTTTGGGAGGAAGCAACTCTGGGAACTACAACGAGGAGACCTTGTCGAAGTGCACAAGTTCCAGCTGAGGAGTGCGCCTCGACTGAACGGAAACGGTCGAGTGGTATACTTGGGGATACAAGACTGCGAATGGGTTGGCCGGGACAGGGACATCGCAGAAGAATCCAAGGACGGACTGGAACTCGAAGGTGGTTTTCTCCGCGAGGAGCAGGACGAGATGTCTCACAGACAACCGAATGGCCCCAGGGCAGGCTTAACCTCTGCTTCAGACAGAGGCGCGTCCAAGAGGAGAGGCGGTAGTGGTCGCGACAACAGAACACATACGTCCAAGAACACACAGAGCAGCAAACCATCGTCGTCTAGACTCGCCCAGAAGGTATCTCGCGACGCAGCAGAGGATGATTCAGATGACGGCCAGGGGTTCGACACGATCTTCGTACCCCAGTCCCGGCTTGAGCAGCGCAGGGAAGCTCTACGCCAGCTCCAGCAACAGCCATCCATGGCGGAGACTACTGTGAGCCGAATGCAGCCACAAGGAGAATACAACCAAGAAATGACACACGCTGGTTTTCACGGAACATCACTTCAGTCCACGACAAATCACTCGCTTCGAGATACCACAGATGATGTTGGGAAAGAAGCTATCGACGAAGCTACCGCAGCCCATGGTCACAGCTCCGTCGCCTTTCCCCTTCCCCATCCAACCGACCTTTTGGGCTCAACTACTGACCCCGCTCCGTCGCCTCCTCGAGAGGACTCTAGTATCCGCGCAACCAATACGACGTCGATGCCTTTGACCGAGAGCCTCGCTTCACTCCTCGCCCTGCCTATCCAGAAAAGTTACTCCTGCAGCGTTCTCGCCCTGATATCCTGGGTATCTCCCTCCTTGATCCACCGTCCGAACACGCCCTTCCCTCCGAAGCGGCACATCAAGATCCACGACCCGTCCATATCGCACCGCACGTCTGGTGTCACGGTGTCCGTGTTCATTGACGCTCAGAAGTTCCTCCCAGCTGTTGGCACCGTGGCGCTATTTCGGGGGTTAGTCATGAACAGAGTTCGACGGGGCGCTGGAGTGGGAGAAGGCGACGTCATTTTGAACAAATACCCTCCTAAGATGGGGAGCCAGAAAATAGAGAACGAGGGTGCAGACCCTGTTGGTGACAGGGAAGAAGGCGAAGGTCAAGGAGAGTGGTTCATTGCTGACGAGGCCAGACTGGTTGGCATGGGCTTCGACGTCCCGCGAATCAAAATATGGTGGGAGCAGAGACTTGCCGCAAGGAAGGGTAAATGAAAAGTCTTTGTAGGAGGGAAAGGCATGCGAGACGAGACTGACAGCGGCAGGAGAGGATGTCCAAGTCAAACTCTGCAAGTCTTACAGTGTTAACTCTATTCGAGAACACCCTAAGTGGCCGAAGGGCCCAACTCCTCTATCACGGATTGCTTGATAGGGACATCTAAAAGACCACGAATCAACATCGAAAAAGCGTATCTTCATCACTCGTCGCGACTTCATGTCACGGACGCAGACCCATACAATCCCCCCTGCTAGACTCTTGTGTCTGATGTCCGAACCCTCACAGCTCATCATTTCTTGTTCCCGATGAGGGAGAGGAGATACGTGGCCATCACTCGCATCTCAAGTCTTCCTTGCGCATCAACAAGGTGGTGGATTGGCCGTGACAGTTCCATCCAGCTTTGATTCTTTCTGCTGAATCAAAATGGGCTGCTCAGCTTGCTGTCTGGTATCCAGATCGCCTGCTGCCCTGTTATTGTGATTTGACGCGCCGCAAATGTATTTGTTTCGTTCTGCCCAGGAACATCATCCGTCTCCCGGCATTGAGTTTCGTGGTCACGGCCCGAATTTCTCTCCAGGCTTCAGCTTTAACCACGGACACGCCTGCCAGTCGCATCCCATCTTGTAGACCTCTGTGCCCCACCACTTAAACCCTTCCATCCAACCCGGATACACGAAGCCAAAAAAGACAATAAGCAATGAGAAGGCCAGCCCGGAATCGAGTGCAGCGGACATGGTCATGGTGTATTTACCCCACCAGTTCGGTGCCCTCCTTCTCACAAGTCCGTTGAACATGAAACATACCACGGCCCACACCGAAAAGTTCAAGCCGGTTGCAGGCGGAATCCAGGAAAGAGAGCCAAACAGGACGGGGGGGTTGATCCTGCGCCAGACAGATTTCTTCCCGCTCTTCCTTCCCACTAACCAAACAAGTATCGGCGCGATGAAGCCGATGAGGAAAGCCCAGACAAGGTGCCGGTAGAGCGCACCAGGACCGAAGAAGCGCTGTGGTCCGACGACGCCCCAAAGAATGCTCCCGTTGAAGTGAACACGGGCAATGGGACAGTTGAATCCATTGATTGCTTGCGGGGTACAAATACCAGGGATATTGATAAACATCCAGTTGAGCACCGTGATTTGTACCAAGCTGGAAACCAAGGTAGCCACCATCTGGACTTTGAAGAGCAGTCTTGGTGGAATCTTCATATAGTGACCCAGTTTCAGGTCGGAGGAGAACTTGATCCCTTGTGCGGAAGAAATGTAGCAATAGGTAACGAACACCATGTTGGCGACCGGTCGGCCTGGAAAGACCACACCACAGATCAACTGGCAAATTAAATAGAGGCTACTGTGTTGGTTGGTGATGGCCATGACAATACCGACGGGGATAAAGAGAACGGTGGTGATGCCGAGGGCCATCAGAAGGCCGTACCAGGGGAGATGCACCGGATAGTATTCGACAACGAAGATCCCGACGCCCAACATGGTGACGAACGTCAGAGCATACCATGTCATAGGTACATCTTGATAACGTTTCATGAGACGGTTGTGGACGTCTTCCCCTCCGGCCTTGATAGATTGACTGTCGACCCTGTGCAGAGGGGCGTCGTAGCCGCCGTTATCGGCAGTGTCCGGAATAGGGTGGTACTCGGCACTGCTCTTTTCCTGTCTCTCACGGAACGCTTGTTGGGACTGCCGCCATATATCTCGGCCGTGCCAGCAGGTTGTATGGGTAAGTAAAGCAGATAGAGCAGCGAATTGAACTCCATAGGAGAGTACATAGGTGATTGGAAGGTATACTTTGGAGTAGCTGTTGTAGGCTTCTTTGTCGAAGAGGAAGTTGGGAGTGAGGATTTTGCTCACATCGTAGGGCTTGCCCGTGTTGTCGAATACGGCCGATGAGAGTATTGGTAAATATGCCGAGAACAGGACATTGCGGTAGTAAAGTATAGGGGCGATAATCCACATGACGAGGATAAGTCCACCAACAACATTCGCTGCAGCCCACCAGGGAGTCAGCAAAGGCGATCCAATGTAGGCAATTTGAGCCCAATCGAAGGTCATAGGGAAGAGCCCCAGTCCTGAAGCCACTCCAAAAAGGTTTGAGACGACCACATTCTTGGGTGCGAACCAGGTGATGACATTGAAGTAACTCAATGCTGGCATTAGCAGTCCTGGAAAGAAATACCACACAAACGCTGCACCCCAGACGTAAATGAAGAATCTGTATCGTGAGATCGTCCATCCGTTGGCTGGCTTGTTTTCGTCCTTATGCATTGTCGTGAACATGGCCGTCGACATAAGAGTGCCGGGCCATATCATCGCAGCTGGCCGGACGAGGTACCTTCTGGTCAATCCAGCGAACGCATACCCAAGAATTTGGGTTGAGATGGTTAATAGGAGTTGATACAGAATGGGAACATCCTGCTTGTAGAATTTGTGCTGCTCAACGATGACATCGGTAGCAAAGGCAAAACCGAACGAGACGTTGCTGCTAATGTACACGCAAGCGTGTTCCTTTTCATTCCAGCGGCCCTGCGCCAACCATAATCGCAGGCGTCGAAGTCGGTTCTGGGATGTTGGAATATCATCGTTCTGGAGCGTGCCATTTACAAAGAACTGTTGCTGGTCCTTTGTGCGCTTGAGAAGATAATCCCATAGTTTTCCCATGGGATGAACTAACACCAGAGCAATAACCGGAGTGATGGCGACACTCGGGTACCTCAATGAGAAAAACAGGTTGGTGGCGGAGCCGCCTATTGCAAATAGCAACGACAGCGTCCACATTCGAGGGGTGTTGATAGACAAAGCAGTATTGTCGGTGGCCGGCACCGAAGCTCGCACCTCTGGGTATGGAGAGTTGTCAGGTGGATCTTCTGTAGATGGGATGTATTCTTGATCCATGTCTGACGAACTCGCAGTACGGCCACTCGAATTGGAAGACTCTGCCTTACCCTCGCCAATCGCAGAGTTGCAGGCGAAAGATGCTTTGGCATCCAGGCCCATTCCGACTTCACTGCCGACAGAGGAAGATCTCCGATGCGTCCATTCTGAGCTGCGACGCTGTTGGTAAAGGAGTCGCGCATCTGAGAAGCTTCCATGATCATCCCTCAGGTCATGAGCCGACTGAACTCTTTTGCCACGGCGCTTTCTCGAGACGCTTTGGTAGTGAGAATCCTCCTCGTCTTCGGATTCCGAGTCTGAGTCCACCCTGTCATTCACCAACGGCACCGTGCCATATGAACCGGTGCCCAGGGCCGGGGAAGAGCGTATAAGAAGCAAACCTCGAGACATGATGGCATCCCAGACACGGGAGACCAGTCCACGGTGCTTCTGGATCGAGCGGGAGCTGGGGGGTGTCACCGTCGAGGCGGCAGCGGTCTCGAGGGTTCGGTGAGGTTGGTGAGGAGTGCCCGGATCAGTCTGGGGCTCCAATTCATCTGACGCAGCAGCATCTTGCTGTGCACGGGTTGGGGAGGAGGAGGACGGAAATGTGTCGAGCTCGAGCTCAGAGATGTTGGTGGTGGACGAGAGGTGGGGAGGAGGAGTATTTGAAGCCTGACCCGACCCAGGGAGCATAGCATTGTTAGGTCCAAGTCATGGCTAGGCCGGTAGTAGCGAGAGCAATAGCAGAGACAAACAAGATGTGGCCACGACAGGACGACACAAGACACGAACGTGGGACGACCTCAGCGCAGTTGGATCGTCCGCGGGTGGTGACACAAGGTTGGAAGCGGGCTACAGTGGTGCTTTTGGGAACGGCCACAACGTCTAAGTGGCTCGTTGGGTAGCGAGGGCGAGCGCCGGAGGGTGATTTGACCATCAAATCAGATAAGATTACGTACCTAGCAGACCCTTGCTACCCGTAGAGGTAGGGGCGGGTAGAGCCCGACCCCCGAACGACCGCGCCCCTGGGATCGCCTGATGCACCTGACCTCCAGGCTGCTGCCGATTCTTGCCGTGGCTAGTGGGGGCTGTTGGTGATGAGCCCACTATTAGTGTAACTAGCCTCACTCCTCATTCATACAAACTGCAACCATGAAGGTACGTATCTTCAGACGGCCATCATATGTGACAGACGGCCCAGTATAGCGGCATGAATGGATTCCGGTTGTTCCTGGGTATGCTCTGTAACAATGTATCCGCCGATATTGCACCCAAGGCTCAAGTAAGCACCTGGCAGTGAGAAGCAACCCAGTTTCCTCTGTAAATATGGCCAGTTTCTGCTTTACAATGAGACCGAATTGCTTCATTGACAACATAGCCAATGGTTAATATTTGAGCACAGCTGGTATTGATCATCCACCACGATATTTCAAAGCTGTCATGCCCACTGACAGTGCCAATAGTCGAGTGTCTGGCTAATGCCCCCCTACAGTCTGCCGATGCCCTGTCAGGCATAATGCGATGTTATCGTCGACGCTGCAGAACAAACGGTTCTTCCACCACTGCCAAATGTGGGATCGGAGGTGTCTCGGGACACATATGTCTCGACATAACCTCTGGGTCGTCGATTTGCACGCGCCAACTGCTCACCGAAATCGCTCAAGAGGAGACCAGGCTCGAGGTACAAGGTCCATTTGCAGCCGCCTAGGAGGTATCGCCCATGAGGATTCCCTGAGCTGGCTTCCTTTTTCTGGAACAGAGCCTTGAGGGAGATGGACCCTGATATCGTCTCGCTTCGCGAATCGGCTCTCGGACCTCACATTCCCTTGTCAGGCTCTAAGTCGAGTATGTCTGCTTACGACCGTAGTCTCAAGATAGAAAAAGAGGAGCCATGTAACTCGCGTTCACGGGCTTCGATATACGAGACAGAGTGCTGGACCGCTTTTTCTCCTTTGGTGATACTTCCTTGTGAAGATGGGACATAAGGGTGTGGGACTTAGAGATCAAGGGGATACCTATTACTGGAATACAAGTATCTCCATATAGTGATCGACCCCAGCACAAGGTTTTCTCGTCAAAGCATAAAGCACATAAGGTACAGCAGTGAATCACAAGCCCATGCTTGTCACCAATTACCGGCCCCTTTCCATCGTCATACAAGTACACCGCTCAGGGAAATTCTACAACAAACCCGATCAAGAATCCGTAGAGCACATAAAAGTCGGGTGATATCCAATGAGGCAAGCCAACCCACGCACCTGACCTTGCCAAAACCTTTCATCGGGCTAATTATCGTTATCAGATCATGCGGGCTGCATGCCACTAACATTGTCACTTGTTCGAAGCGGTGGAGCCGGTCTCAGACACCGACATCGGCCTCACCAGCATGAATCCGTAGGGTCTCCCGTTTGCTTTTCCTCTCCTACACAGGTATATGATCATGTCTACTGTCATTTGGTCTCCAATCATCCTTTTGATCCTTAGGTGAAAACCGTCACCGCATTTGACGCCATCAGGGCGACATTCACTGTGAAGATATTCCTTTCAAAACCCTCCAACCTCAGCTCCTGCTCGAGTCAGCATGTCATAGACCCGACCGGGCAACTTGTATTTCACGAGCCCAGCAAAGACCATTAGGTCCTTGGCCATATTGCTGAGTTGGTCTTTCATCTCATCCGCGTCTCCACCATATCCGGCTTCCCACCTGCCATTGCGTACGATATTGTCTCGTTCTCCCCCAATTGCCCGCACCGCCCAGACCACACTGACTCCAGCACAACGAGCGAGGATTTGTGGAAGAGCACTAAAGGCTGTTGCAGCCGCACGGATTGTCGGAATGGATCCATTCGCCCGCAATGGCAACAAGCCCAGCTCGTTGAGCTCCTCCAACGCTGTCATATAACGAGGTGGTTTGGCTTCAAGATGCTCTCGCACCGAAAGCAATCGAATGAGAGCCCCACAAACTTCCCGGTTCGAGCTCGAAATGCGGTTGAAGTAGGCGGCATTCTCATTGTACAACGATATCATGTTCTTCCCCAACTCGAACGGAGATGACGTGGATTGTGTAAGCGACAATGATGACTGAGGTCCTCCCTGGGTGCTACTTGACGAGTCGCTCTGATTATTGGACTTCCGCGGTTTCAAAGGTTGCAGCTGCATCGGAGCTTCGCCCAGATCCAGCGTCACAGCGTCGGCCAGTGCTCGGTTCAAGACGCTAATGACATTGTCGTAATCTTCGCACAGATGATAGAGCAACACTGCATCAGGTATTTGCCCGCGCTGATCCGCAATCGCCGCCGATTGGCTGGTAATAGATCTCAAAAATTCTTCTCGTGTGTCGAGGTGGATTAACCTGGCCCGTAACTCGATCGCGCCTGGGATCCGGGTGCCATCACTGCGAATATCGCCCAGCAACTTTGCAAACTCACGGGTTTCAAGGCAGAGTTCTCGTAAGCACTCGTGACAGGCATTGATGTGAACCAGACCCAGACTTGCAGGCTGCAGATCAGAGTTGAGACAGAGCATGGAAAGGTAATCCACGGCGGCGATAGGAAGGGCCGTTCGAAAGGTTCCTGTGTGATATGCCACGAGCGGCACAAAGTTGATCATCGGCTGCTGCGTCGTCGAATATGTCACTGCATCGTGGGTCAGCACCGACAACTGAAATGAACCAGCCCAATATACTTACAGAGCTCGTTGCCCGCCACTGAGAAATCCGACACCCTCAACAACCCGTAATATGACAGGGCGATGGCAAAATGCACTGCGCTCAGAGGATTGAAATTGTGCAGGTAGTCCACGGCGTGCTCAAACATTCCTGCCAGAACCTGCATCAAGAAAAAGGTGCCATAGCCACTCGAACCCTCGACCTGACTCTTCTGAAAATGTTTCTGCCCAATTTCGTTGATTGTCTCACAAATCTGTTCGAGGCCGAAGATTTCACCAGATATCTCCTCGTACATCTCGGTTTCCCGCGCAAGGCTGAACTGCAGCCACAGCCAGTCCTCAACCCCTTGCCCCACGGCATCCAGATGTCGTGAACTCAAGTCACACCTTCCGATCACCTTGTAGCACGCGATTCTGTAAGGATCAACCGTATTCTTCGGGCCGACCTTGGTCCGGTTTTGATACTCGTTGTCGATCATGTCTTGCAGTTTGCGACCCAGTCGACGATCTGGGCTGTTCGAATATGCCGTCAAGTACGAGACAAAGCGGCGTTCGACAGATTGGAAGGCAGGGTCGTTGTTTACATACTCGGCCGCTTCTTTGACAAAACCGCATCTCAGCAAGTAGAAAATGAGGACCCAGCAGTAATCCCCGGTCTCGCCGCCTAGTTGTTGAAGTTCTGATCCATCCGGTGCGAGATCTCGTCGGGCAGCCCGCAGTCGGATGTAAGCCCGCACGATATTGATCACACTCGGCTGTCCTCCCAATGCTGCTTCTCTCGCGTTCTTTTCGATTAAAGATCGGAGCTCTCGCCAGAACGCCTTTTCCAGGTAGATCCGAGAACCCTCGACGATCCGCTTCTTCAGTTTGAGAGTGGCCGGAGCATTGACTGTCTCGTCCAAGTACGCGTGGGCATACTGTCGTTCCCGGACTGTTGGCTGGCCCTCCTTGGTGATTTCTCGCAAGGCTTGGTAGGCGTCCACTATTTGTCGGGGACTGTCTGCTTTGTTTTGCTCTTCTGTCTCGGCAAAGTTTTGTAGAAGCGAGTACGAGTCTTCTCGCAACCTAGCTTGATTGAGGTCTTCCACTTTGGTGATGAATGACTTCTCCTTCGCTCTGAGCTCACGCTGCACCTGTGAGCTCGAACGGGGTATCCCTGACGGCACGGGAGCAGCATTTTCACTCTTAAAGAAGGTTGTCGTCCCGGCACCAGAACCGGGAGTGCCAATGATGGATTTTTCCAGGGCTGAGCGACCGAACACGCTTCGCGCACTCCGAGATGTCTCAGAAGCCCCTTCCTTACCTCGTCTCGTGGTTTGCCCGAAGCCTGACCTCCCAGCATAAGGGCCTGCACCGTCTTCTGGAGGTGCCAATCCGAGGTGTTCCATGATCCTTAGCTTCTGGTCCTCAAAATCAATACCCAAGCTCTCTTCGATAAAGCTGTCAACCTCACGATAGACACGTTCCATGCTCTCCTTCAGCATTGCCTCCCGCCCCTTGACTCTCAAGTCTCTGAGGTACGCACTGGACTCATCGGCGAAATTCTGTGTCGCAAGGCGTGACACCGGAGCAGATTCATCAGGGCCCAATGATTGAAAGTCCTTATAAGCCTGCCCGGGAGCAACCCCGGAGCCAGCCAACAGATAATGTGCTCTGCTGTCAGGCAGAGGCTCCGTCTGTTTCACCCCTCGTTGTCTGATCTCTTGTGCACGTCTGGCCAAATCTCCCAGGTCCATGCTAAGGTTGGGTAATTGACTCTGACGGCCAGTGCCATCGGCCCACAGTCTTGGCTTCTTCTTTTGGCGTTCAAGCAGGCTGCTGAAATATGCGGCATCCCGAGTGTTTTGGGGAGGAGCGGCTGATGGTTGGGTAGCCTGCGATGTAGTTGAGTTTATTGCAGTGGTACCACTGAGGAAAGTACTGCTCGCAGGTTGTTGCGTGGTTGGGGCACCGAAGAAGGTAGTCGTTGCTGCGGGTTGTTGGGCAGTAGTTGTTGTCGTTCCGAAAATACCTGTAGACGGAGCGGAGGTCGTTGTCGTCAGCGAGAACGCGAAAGGTGCAGAAGTGTTTGTAGGGCCCCCAAGACTGGAGATCCCGCCAGATGGAGCAGCGCTTGAGGTCGAGGCTGTGGTGTTGATGGTCGGAAAAGGCTGCGGCTGGGACGATTGTGAGGTAGAACCGTCAAAGATAGACTTTCGTTTGCCCTGTGCATCAGTGGTAGGAATCAAGTTGAGACCACTAAATGGGTTACCAGCACCTGAGGTCGCTGGTGCGGAGGAGGATTGACCAAAACTCGCCATGTTGGCTGTTGGTCGGGAGAACCAAAGTGGGAACACTTGACTGACCAAGAAATGCTGAAATGCTGAAATGCTGAAAGTCGCGTCTACAAATTATTTAGACCGCGTTCAATGAGGCAGCAGGTCGCTGGTTACAGTCCGGAGCCTTGGCAAAGTCTTGCCGCTTTAATACTACCAAAGAAAATGTCACGGCATCAATCAAATTTGAGCAATTCAAACACTCTCAACATCCCCCAAACCCAGCCAAACATCAAATTCATATCATTTACATATCTTGTCTAGATCGGGAACACAGGTGCAACCCGCACCATCCACCGTCGTAGCTAAGGACGACTAAAATACAAGTCTAAAGCTCTGATGACGACCCGACTTCCCAGCAGGCGCGAGGTAAGAGAGAGGGCATGTTTCCGCAAAATCCCAGCCTAACTGTGCATCTGAAAATGTATCGCCAGGCGAGGGCGAAGGCGGGGGCCTGAGTAAGTCCTGGGCCTCTAAGCCATCATCATTCCCCCAGAAGCTATACTCGAATTGTTGATCCGTGATTGGGGGCTCGACACCCTCAAAAGACTGATCTCGCGAGTGCTTAGCAGGAGTCTCCACCTCAGTCATCTTGTCAGGACTCGTCAATGGGTCCTGGTAATCACCCCATTCCACCTGAGGCTGTGCGTGACAGTCGTTGCCACTGGCAGGTGTAGTCGTGGAGGAGCTGGCTGGTGAGACGATTGATTGCGAGTATCTTCCGCTGTGCTCGCTGTCAACCTCGGATAGCTCGAGCGGTGTCAGTCCGAGATGTTGCAGGATCTCGTTTACACTCGGAGCTTCTTTAATGGACTGAGAGACAAAGTCGTCCAGCGCCTCACCCGTTCTCAGGCGCTGATGAAGTATCTGAATGGCCTCGATAAGAGTCGCTTGCTGTCGCCCTAACATTTCGGCATAGCTTCACACTCATCAGCTACGGGATCGACCAAGCGCAATTGCGTCCACTTACGCTAATACTGTGTATGGCCTGGAATTTCTCCGCACATGGGTGTACGTACACGAGGTTGCCCGTCGGAGGCAACTTTTGCATGGCGTGTCTCCGTCGCACTGTCGTCGCAATTGCCCATCAGAACTTGTTCCGCAGGTAAAGAAGGATGAGGCACATACCTTGGCCTTCTTAAGTCTACAAAGATCGCAAGCGCGCATGGTGCGCGAGATCTTCTTCTTTCGTCTGGCATGGGGAAGATCACTGACGGTATCGAAGTCACCATTATACCGCTCAGCAAGAGGAAGAGGCGTAAGTGAGAGGGAGTTCTGGCTTCCTGGCCGCATGGTAGACGGGGCAATGATTGTCTTACTCATGGTTCCCGCTGATGGCTGCACTGGATTGAACGATATTCTCACGGGGGACGCTGAGGACGACTATCTTATTCCCAAAGGGTGATCAATGATTCACTCAGGGCCCGTGTTACGGCTATTTAAAGATGCAATTCGATGCGGATGCCGGATTTTCAGCATGCTGATAAAGTCATCCTCTGCACCGTCTGGAAGCAGCCTGTGTGTTCGAGCCAATACGCCATGGTCTATTCCCCGAGGCGGTCCCGCATCGACAGGCTTTTGGCAATCATGAGATGATTGAGGCTGCTCACGACGCAAATGCCGGAAAAAGTCCGCGACCGGCAAGTGCTCCATGCCACTCGCCAAGCTCCCTCACCTGATGGAAATGCTATTTCGCACCATCTACGTCTTCGAGTCGAGGCACGAAGCGCATTTCGCTCGACAAGCAATCTGTGTGAGTGATCCTCACGTTCTGAGTCAAGCGGTGCCAATATATCGACTGTGTAGTCGTCTGGCTATTAGACCTTCAGGAAATTTCCATAACAGTGCTATTCGTCGAGAAGCTGGGGTTGCGCCATTATCATCTTCCTTAAATGGTGTGATTGATCTGCTATCGTCCAGGTGGCTTCTTCCAATCTTTTGCTTTGGCAGGCCGTCGTCGACATGGTGCGACGACATTTATATAAACGATGCGAAATGCCCGACTCCCCGTTATTGACTCGATACACAACAGCTCCACTAGACAGCAGAATTTCCTGTTTCGTCAACCAAGCCATATCCCACGCTGCTAACAACACCGCTCCAGTGTTAACTAGCCATCAAGATGAAGTTTGAGAAGATGTCAAAGCCCAGCGAGGGCGTCATCCGCAACGTTTCCAGGTTTCTTTACCAGGCTGAGGCCTTGTTTGGCGGGGTAGGTCACCTCCCAAGTTTTGGACATCGCCTTGACCGTGGCTCTTCTCGGGTGGTTCGAGGCGGTGACTGAAGCAGACAAGAACATGCAACTCTGCTAACGCAGTTGACTTTGTTCAGATCATCCTCGGTATCGTCAGCTGGTACCTTGCCCACTGGAAAGACACCGAAAAGTACCCCGGCGCACGTCTCTGTTTTACGGAAATCTTCGCTGGCTTTGCCATCATCTACGGAAGCATTGCGATTTGGACCTACAATTGGTTCCCCGTCTGCTTTGCAGTAATCGACTCCGTCCTCAGCCTGGCTTTCTTCTCCGCGTTCGGCGCCCTGATTGAGTGGGACTGCAACAAGAACTGGGTCGGCTGGGAAGAGCATGTCGGCAAGGGCTATAAGGCCTGCTGGAAGACCACCGAGGCCTTTGCCTTCATTGTCGCCTTCTTCTTCCTGGTCAGCACCGTCTTCGCCATCATGACAACGTCCGCTACCACTGAGCACCACCTCCACATGACGATGCACAGAAAAGCCAGCGGGACCAGCAGCACTGCCGAAACCCAAGTCTAGCCCCCGTCTCAAGATCATCCAGCATGATCGAAGGCAAGAGCACAGTCTCTTTTCACCGTACATGTGCCTTGTCGCCAGTTACGGAAACCACTCACTGTAATAAAACCGTTTTCTTGCAACACTTAATGAGGAGTCCTTGATGGCCTGTTATCGCTCGCCAGCACGCTCTCCGAGAAGAGGGGCCAGCCTGGGGTAGGGAGGGAATGGGGACTAGCCGAGGAAGCTGGTGTGAAGAGGCGGAGGGTTCTTGTGTAAATGTTATAAAGCGGAATATTGTTTGTACGCACGTCAATGCTGATGAAAAGATGATACCCCACAGAGCAGTTCTCACGTCAGTATGTTTTACTTCCATAGCTTCTGGACGATATGGTTGTCGCTCCAACATCAATAAAAATAATCATAATATCTGTGCTCTGGAAAGGCTTATTCCCCTTCAAATGAGCCAACCGGTAGAAAAGGACACAGTCAACTTCAGGCCTGAACTCGAAGGCCCGCGTCAAGACTTCAAATGGGGGCTAGATCTCAAGCCACGATGGGAATACTTTTCCACTCGTTTCTTCTTTTTTTCCCTGGAGGCATTGGCAAGAGACAGTCATTTGACGTCACTCATCTCTACATCGTCCCACCTTGTCACGGCTACTAGTCAGTAGCGATCTCACGAGGAAGTCACCCCAGGTATCGTATCGAGAAAGTGCCACAGGGCATGACTAGGACATCTTCCTTGTACACGTAATGTGGTTTAACGTGATATCTTTTTCCGACTGGTCCACTTCAAGAATCTCGGTCGTCGTAAGGTTCCCGGATCACGGCAGGGAAACTGTGAGGAAGTTGACTTCCTTGCAGTAGTAGCACATACCCAGTGGGTGGGAACGAACTCGGGTAGGGTTGGACTTTGAAGGTTTAGCTGTTGAGATTTCGTGACACGCACGGCATGAAAGAAGTCCCACTCGGATCTCGAGATCGCGAGTACTTTATGCTCAGGGTATCGAATATGACTCAAAACTTCCTGACGGGCTAGCGGGCCACGAGTAATTCATCCTCCGTGGGTACCGAGTACCCAGACCGGCGATATACTTGCATATGTACAGAAACTCTCAGCTTCAGATCAGCTCGAGAAGATGTCGTGGTCCCGGACCCGAGGCTTTCTTTCGGTATGGATACGGAGGCGGAGCACTCTAGACGAGGAGAATCAAGTTCAAATGCGCCCATTATGCGCCCTTACTCGGTGTTAGAACAAGGTCAGCTGACCACTACGAGTACACCCCCTACGTCAATGGCTCCAGAAATCTAGATAGAGTGATGTTTGGACGGCACCGAGTCATTGGACCTTAAAAGCCCGAGCACTTTGAATACGGATGGCAAGGTGAACGTGGGCTGAGGCCGCGTCTACCATGCTTACATACGTACATATGTATGCATGTGCATGAGAGCTAGCGACCGGTCAGAAGGGATGTGGGAGATGTCCGTCCATCACGGGTCGCGTGGCTGACCGAGTCTCGTATTACTTCGGAGTAATACTCTGCAAGGACACCAGTCCCGTCTGGGTCAGGCCAGCGATCAAGTGCGACTACGACGACCACGAGGAGGTGTTGCGCTGTTTCATGTGCCTCGGAAATGCCTAGAAGCTCATTCGAAGCACCGCTTCGCTGGGGTCTGTACGTACAGTATGCTTGCTTGGTGCCTCATGAGTTTGTCATACGATAGACTTCCACCACTCACATGGCAGCATTTTGCGAGCACACGAAATACTTCAATGCCAGCCCGGACTCTCTTCGGAGAGCTGATGCTGCTGCTGTGTATTTTGGACCATGGAGTCAAGAAACATCCCATTCAATCAAGAACAAAGAATCAACCTCAGACTATTATTTAGCTGTGGAAGAGTAGACTTGCCTCTTCCACTACCACCACCACCCCATCAGATCAGATACAAGAGCAATCATTGACATCAACAACCACAACAACAACATCTACACAATCTTGGTATAATGGCCCTAGTCATGGACGAGACAGCCTACAGGCTCCTCTGGCTGGCCCAGTGGAAGCTGCAACAGGAGTCGGAGCACATGGAGCCCATGCTGACCAAGATGATTGGTCACCTCTCCGTCTATCAAAAAGCCGCCGAGTACATGGAGGAACATGACGTGAGCAGCACCACAGGGGCTTTGATGCCCACGCCAGACGTTGACATTGACTAGGTGGCCGAGGCGATATTTGGCACAGAACCTCAATCCGAAGCGGTGGACGAATTCTCCGAGTTGTTGGCGCACGAATCAAGTAAATCGCCATATCAGACAGAACAAACGGCATCAACATCGTCATCAACACCACCACCCAACTCATCAGTGGTCGTCAGCGCGGTGGAAGTCGACGCCGACGCTGCCGAGGGTGACCGAAACCCCTTCTCTGACGACGAAGAGGTCTCCAGTGTCGGCGATGACGACATCAACTGGAGCAGCGACGACGAGACCGAATTTGGCAGCGTGTCGAGCTTCGAGGAGGAAGGCGATGCCGCCGGTGACCATGGCCAGGCCCTTTTGAAGGAGGGTGGCAAAATGGGCGATATCGACATGGACCCCATCTGGCGGCGGCCCAAGACAATGCGCGATGCAGATCTGCTGCCTCCTGACGTCGACGGGTGGGCGCGATCTTTCCCTCCCCTGGTGCGGCCAGCAACTCCTTTGCGCGCAAGCATGGATCGTGTGGCATTCGTCGCCGGTGCTGTATGAACGTCTTGCCTATCCCGCCGAGTCGTCGGGGTGGGTCACGATTCTTCTTCAGAAGTTCAAAATATTGGTTTGTCATTGAGACAATCCCTGTCTGGAATTTCCAAGCCACACACCAACCCTATCCCAGAAATGAACTGGCTGGTCGTGGTAGACACCTGTGTCTCAAAAGACTCCTCAACCGCCACCTGCGGCTCCTCAACATGCCTTCTTCTTGCAGCGCATGTGCTACCGTGGTCTCTCCCACACCCGCTTCTCCAGGTGCGGAAGTAGACGTACTATACCCAGACGTGGGAGACAAGTGTATGATTCCCACCAACGGACTTCACGGAGAAAGGGGTGAGGGAGAGCCCAGCCGGGAATGGGCAAGGAGGAGAGAGAGAGAGAGAGGAGTGGAAAGAAGAAAGGGGTAGGGAGGGGGCCTCTGAGGCATGGCTAAAGGCTGTATACTTACTTGCTTATACGTTACTGGTCACAACAGATATCATTTGTTGTGCCAGGGCGGCAGCGCTTATGGAGTTATGACCTCTAGTGTTTGGGGTTGTCCTAGAGTTTGGAAAGAAAAGGAAGAAATAAAGGGGGACTGCTGACCCCTGGCTGACGATAGTACTGGGGAAACATCAGATCACGTAAAATGTATAAAACATACTCGTGAGTGTTGCTGTACATGTGAGCGACATACAAGCAGAGCGGTGTCTGACGAGATAATGTACACACTCTCAGCTTCTTCATCACGTGTAGGAACTCACGTGTAGGAACAGACAGACACCTTACGGAACACGACACAATACTGTAGCGTAACTCGACTCAGAAAATCATTTGAAAAATGGTACTCTCATCATTGGATGATCGATCTTTCTTCGAACCCAAGAGGGCTTTTTGCCTGATTCCCTTCGAAACTCCTGCCTGGCCTATATTCCCATCCTTCCCTTTTGTTTTACCCAACCAATCCTGCTGCGACTGGATGTCCGTGCATCATCGCCATCACCATAGTCATTGTCGTCGTCATTATGATTACCGTGATGTCTCTCTGTGTGTGTGTGTGTGTGCATCATGAACATCCCTTGTCCGGCTCCCTGCCCGCCTGGGGAAACTTCTTCCAGACTCTGCCTTTCCCTATGCCCGAAAAAAAGAACAAGAACTTGTCCTCCCTGAAAAAGCCTCAGCAGAGGCACGCCGCCACATGGCAAAAGACCCAAACCAAACCTGGACAAATAACAGATCAATGGATCTGGCAAAAGCAAAACATAGATCGACTGATATCGACAGCGCCCCAATCCGGTACATTTTGAGAATAGATACAATTTTGGCCACCCATGCTTCAACGTCATCACGTATAGGATACGGAACAGATTCAACCTCCCAACACGAGTCGTACAGAGAAGGGAACAAGGTTGATGAGAAAGCCAAGGAACCACGAAGGATAAGTTGGCCCAGGCGGACGAAAAACACACGACAGGCAACTTTTTCGAGAACACATGTCATGGCTTCTGGACGCCGAGCCCTACCATATCCTTGAGTAAGGAGATATCATCGCAGTTGACGAGCTTCTGGAACAGACCGACTTGGTCCTGCAGGCGCTTGATCTCGTCGTCCAGGTGCCGCATCTCAACCTCGGACTGGTGGATATAGTTGATCGCCCGGGCCATGATGTCGGACTTGCGGACTCTGCCCGACAGCGCGGGACCTGTGGGTGAGGTATTGAAGAGAGAGGCGGACGAGGTCTGATTGGTCTCGGCGGCCAGGAGCACACGGTGGAGCTGCATCATCTTGCCGTTGAGATTGTCGCGGTACCGTCTCTCGATCACGGAATGGGCGAACTTGGCCTTGAGAATGGCCGATTCATCCTCGCTGGATGAGTTGGACTGGTTGCGCTTCTTCCGTGGTCGTCCTTTCTTCGGCTGCGAAGACACTGAAGAGCGGGCAGCGGCACGGCTGCGGGGAGGGGATTTCTTCGAGATATATGTCTCCGTGTCGGCCAGGCTGGGCGACGACAAGGGCGAGATGTCGCTGCAGTCATCCTTGACGCTTGGGGGTCCAAGCTCTGTATCGGGCGACTGGCAAGGCTGGTAATCCATGGGCAATTCGGAGCCGCTGTTGAGCTGCAATTGAGCTGGTCCAACTGTCTGCAGGGCCGCCGGGTCGAATGGATCCAGGCTGGGACTGAGGTAAGGAGCATTGAGATAGGACTGCATGGCGTAGCTTTTCGATTGCATGGGTTGAGTCTCGGTGGGTATCGACCACCCGTCGAGGTCCTTTGCGATCAGGTCGTGTTCCTCATTGTCGGACTGAAAGTTGGTGAAATATGTCTCATCCTGGAATTGCTGTGACCCCGCGTCCAGGAAAAAGGGCTCTGGGTAGAATGCCATTGCTGGTTGGATGTTGCTGTTGCTGTATTGGGATTTTTTGGGTCAAACAAGAGAACTAGCTGACAGCCAGTTGATTTGCGCTGAAAGAGCAGTGGATGGACCGGCTTTTCGTTCCAGAGCGCGAGCCTGGCTGTCTTCATAAAGGGTTTTTCGGCCATGGTCAGTGTGCATGGTCATGATCTCAGATCGATGAAGCTTCGGACCCGTACACCCTCGGGGAGCCCTGGTCGGGGACCCATCGCATCACGATTACTGTAGGTGGGCACGGTGGGCAGCAGCACCAGCAACTGTTTAGGGCAACATGGGGTCAGGAAGTTTGTCGCCAGCAGACCACAGATCAGTCCACCAGCCATACATACCTACAGTAGTGCAAACGGCCGAGCACTCATCCTGACCATAGCTTTCTGGGCGTCGGCTGGACTTCTCCGTTAGCTGCTGCGCCAACAGCTCTCCGAAGGTCCCCAAGGTGCCTTGGGGAGCAGCGATTTGCTGGAGCCAACTCTCTTCGCCTACGGGCAAAGGGCAGAGGGGCCTGCAAAGGGGATCAGGGTCCTGGGGACGAACGTCGGTATTGGTGACGAAGCTGACTTGACCATGCCCGAGTCATCGTATCTCCCACATGCTCCTTGCTGGGAGCTCGCCGACCCCGCTTCGCACATACTTCGCGGTAGCTCGGAGGTGTCTCGCTGACGGTCGGATCGACTCGTGGACCATGCTGGTGGGTTCGGGAAGGAGAGACGTCACTGTCAATTGTGCAGCCTTCTTGTCGCGGCGAGTCCGAGGAAATGCTGTCACCGTCGTGAAGAGTATCTCACCATTCCTCACGCGAGAGCCTGGTGCTCTACTTCCTAACGACGGATATCTTCGGCTTTTGTTTGCCAAGTCTTGTATCCCAATTCTTTCTGTCTCTGGGACTTTCCATCAAGGTATTTTGACGCTTGTTTTTCGCAAAAGGGGTGTGATCTTCGAGTGACGCGACTGAGAGTGCGCACTGCCTGAACAGGAAACTTCCACTTGGCTCAGCATGATGGATCTCGAACCTCCAAGGATTCAACATTGGCTTCCGGGGAAAGATCCTGGGCCTCGTCGCCAAGAGCGAATCGGCTGGCCCTGTGTAGGTCGAGGTGGGTGTTGTGGTGGTCTGATCTTGAGTGATCGGGGTTCCCTACAGTAATAAAGAAACTTGTCCAACTGCGGTGCAAATGCGCTGGTGAACCATCGTCACTGCAATCATGTTGACTCGAACGAATGGATCACATACCCACGCCAGAATATCCCTTCCGACCCATCCACGTGCCTTGGCTGGGTGGAAGTCTGGCTCTCACCTCTGAGTACGATAGCAAGGGATTTCTCGATTTCCCCTCGCGGCATGGCTGGAGCACACAGAGTCTACACGATGTCGATTTCGAGGGCAGGGACGCTGCTCAGACGGCGGCCTTCCTTCAAGAGTGGCTCTACTTTGGACTGCTTGGTTCCGTGTTCCAGATATGCGGCGTCACTTTCAGCAGGCACCATCTCCTACGACACACGTCGGGGTTCGTAAGTCCAATGCGCAAAGTCTGTCACATCGCAATGACACATACTCGGTCCCTAACATCCACAGCAGAGGAACAAGAAGAGATACAGGTCCTTCATCACGACGAGAACACTGAGCAAGCAGTTACAGCAATGGTACGACAAGGAAAAGTATGCCTCCCCCTCTGTGAAGACGGAGCACGAGGGAGACATCAGGTTCAATTTCACCTTTGCATCGCGAGTACTCGAGGCTTTCAATCGGAAGTTAAGCACCGCTGGCAACGATGCCGAAGCCGAGTATCTGCGCAACTGCCTGCCTGGAGATGTCGAACTGTCAATCGTCGTTCTGCTGGCTACGATTCAGTACTTCCACATGGTCATCTATGACCCTCCAAGTAGACTGGTAGCCCCTACCTGCCCTTGGCTCTCGTTGGTGATGGTGAGCGAAGGCTGGTGCGTAGGGCAAGTTGCCAGACTATGGAGGCGGCATCGGAATGTCTTGACCATGTACTACTTCAAGATGCTGGGTCCGCCAACAGTCACCAAGGACCACTGGCGTTGTTCGACAAGCCGGTGCGCGGCCCATGATGTAGTGGAAGACATATATGTCACGGCGCATTGTCCCGTAGAGCCGTCCTTTATGCATTTCCCAGTCCCGAAAATGATCACGAAACGTATGAGTTGCAGATGCGGCGGCCAGACGGGGCCATTGATCGATAAACTTGTTGCCATCATAGGGGATGGGAGCATCCCCATCATATCGGTCCGGTGTCCAACCAGCACCCAGAACGGGAAATGGAATGATTCTTTGGACCTGGAGGTCGTCGCATATACTGGAGATACCCCATATATTGCAATATCCCACGTGTAAGTCCTTCATTCTTGTAGACCTGGATCGTGTAAGAACAAAGATTGACGATTTCAAAGTTGGTCCGACGGCCTTGGGAATCTCACAGCGAACACCCTGCCCATCTGTCAGTTGAAAGCTCTCAGAACGCAGCTACAATACATGATCCTCACAAACCCCGAGTACTTTGGCGACATCTTTCCCGAAGGCTTACGCGTCCACAAGACAGCACGCCTGGAGCGACTTTACTTTTGGATCGACACTCTTTGCGTACCCGCCAACAATCTCGAAATGAGAAAGAAAGCCGTCCTGGACATGCGCAACGTCTTTGAGGCAGCATCGGCCGTCCTGGTGAAAGACGCCGAGTTGAACGCACAGAGCCGGTATTGTCCTCTTGAAGAGCTCACGGCCCGTGTGTGCGTGTCCCCCTGGTGTTCACGGTTGTGGACACTGCAGGAAGGTGCCTTGAACGACCGGGTCTTTGTTCAGATGTCCCACGACGAGGTCGTTCTGCTTGATAGCTTGAACGAGCCGGTGCGGTCGCTCGTTTTGCTGTCGGATGAACTGCTCGATGCCGATTCGATTGACTTGGCCGACCGTCTGTCCACATCAGCAGACTGTGACGACAATAGTGCATCCGAACAATTGGGCTTTGCGGCAAAGTTTGCGGCGTGTCCTTCGGCCATTCTATCGATGAATGCCCTTCCCTCCAGCATTGGATCCATATCCACTTTACATCGGGCAAAAGCAGAATGGTTCTTGCACGTATTGACCCAATTACAGTGCAGGGAAACCAGCAAAGCCTCTGACGAAGCCATCTGCATCGCCACGTTGCTGAATGCAGGAGTGAAAGACGTACTCAGGGAGGATGACGGGAAAAAGAGGTGGATTGCCCTCCTGTCAGTTGTGGAGGATGTTATCTCAGCGCACATTGTGTTCACGAGCTTGCCTAGGATGAGCGTCAAGGGGTATCACTGGGCGCCACGGTCATTTCTGAACTACCTTGAGGGATCGGAGCTCGCAAGAGTAGTCAACCTCCATGACTCTGATGCAGAAACTCTCGAGCTCCAACACGATTCAGACTCCAACGAGCCATACCATGCACGACAGGGTGCCAGGCCTGTTCGTATCATAGAACGCGGGCTGCTAGTCTCGTTCCCAGGATTTATATTTCAGCCGCTCACAAATCCTTTGTCGTCCGAGTTTTGTTTCACCCAGGAAGACGACGTTACTTATTGGTGCATTACCGAGTACTCCCGGGTCCATTTCGAAGCATATTTTGAGGGCACTCCGTTTTTGCCGGAGCAATCATGGGATGCTGTGGAGGTAGGGGCGTCCTCCCGGCTGTCGCTTGTCCTGGAGAGTCATTTTTCAGAGTCCACGGCGCCCGTCCGGGGTGCGCTGTTGATGAATTGCTCGGAGGAGGCCAATGTGGTTTATGGGATGCATTTTTGTCTTACTCTTGTCACTCGGACCACGAAAAGCTATCAGCCGCCAGAATTTGAGCTGGCGAAAGAGAAAATGGTCCAAAATACGGGGCATGCTCAGTGGGAACTGACTGTGGGTGCCAAGTTGGGAGAGCAACAGGAGTGGTGCATCGCATGACACGCTCATAAACAAGAATATAACTATAAGTAACAGGTAGTCCTGTCTCTATTGTCCTTGAGCAGATGCCAATACTGCGGGTCCGTGTAATGGGAGGCACTGAACAGAAGTCCGAGCAAGCAAGGGCGATAATAATACATATCGGGTTTCACAAGGGTTGTGAGTCCTTGGCGTGGGTGTCATCATGGCGCGGGTCTCCTGAGCGAAGCTTGCAGCCCTGTAACTCCAATTTTCATCTTCCATCCACGTTGTTCAGACCATGGGCATGTTGCCGCTATCACCACCATAATAGCAGCCTCCCCCTTGCCTTTTGTTTGGCACTCTTACGACTGACCGGTTGTTAATGCTTAAGAACGGGGACAGAGCAAACACAGAGGCACGAAAATACACCTTGTGTCGGGCACAACATCTTTTCTTCACCGGTGCCCTGTGCCCCCTACCAGCATGCCTGTTTTCCAATCGAAGCCCTTCCGTGGCAGCGGCAGCACGGCAGCAAGAGACCTCCCCTCACGGATCGCGGCATGGTACAATCGCAAGCAGGAACGCAATCCCTTCCTGTACTTCGGCCTGCCGTTCATCTCGCTCGTCGTCGCAGCCTCGTTCCTCCTCACGCCGGCCACGGCCCTGCGTTATGAGAAGCACGACCGTAAGAACAGACGGGTCTCGGACAACGAGAGGATGGAGCTGGGCTTAAAGGGCGGACCGGCAGGTGAGGGCGGACTTACATACAATCCGCGGCGACGGAAGATTCTCAAGGGAGAACTCAATGAGCGCGACGAATACTACAGGCTCATGGCCAAAGATCTGGACAACTGGGAGCAGAAACGCGTGGAACGCTGGAAGGATGAACCGGACGGGAGACTGCGATAGGGTGTAGTTTGAGAGACAGGCAGCCATGGGTTGCGCCCAGTCTGTCGCCTCATTCTTCTTTGGGTGTTTTTCGCGCAAAATTCTTTATCCGTCCATTGCGAACTTGCACGATACAGAAGTCCCAACGCTCCAGGCAAAGACCAACGGCGCAGCATTCCATGCTCGGAGCAACAGCTAGTACACACATATCCCCCGGGTGACACCGTGAATGACACTACACGTGACGAATACTTGGACGGGGCGAGGCCAAAATGGCGGTGGACATACATACCTACTTTCAAGCAAAGCATGGTCACAACGTAAAACAGTGGTGGGCGGTGCGTTGACGGAAGAGCCTCCCCGGAGCCTAGGCTGCAGAGTACGAACTTACCCACAGAGCTCTGGTGACACGAAACGCGTTCTAGAATGGGACGTGTTGGTACGTGTATGTACAATCAAGAGGCGGCAGAAGAGCTTGCTTTCTTGTGAAGTCCCAAAAGAGAAACTGGTGGTGGGCGGTCAGAACCAATACCATAGCGGCACCGGTCACCTGAAGGAGGGCTCGCTTAGATGCAGGCCGAGATGGGCGAGAAGATTCTGGCCACCTCAGGAGCACAGATGACGGCATTTGATTGCTCTGGCCGCAAACGGCGTCATCTTCGGTAGCAGCCGACATGCATGGCAGCTCCGGATGACGACCGAAAACGTGTCATGCTGGTCGGGTGCTCGTCTGTTGTTCGGGGTAGCTCGGGCTCGATACGGAAGGGGAGAAAGGGAAGGTTGGAAGGGGTCTGGACCCTGCACCGAGAATACACTGTCTATCCCGCACCCTGTTTTAGGAGGCGATTTCGTGTAAAGGCTACTAGGGGAAGAATATGTGAACTTTTTGGTCGTAAGGACCCTTGGTTCTCCCAACCGGGCATCCACCGACCCGCCGACCACATCTGAAGCACGCCAGATACAGGCTGCATTTCGTTATCGTTTACGTTTTCGATATGCCGGCTCGTGGCTAGGGCACTTTTTGGGTGCATGCGGTACCTGGATAGTGCCCCCGGCCGCATTTCTAGTGTCGTCCAAAGAGCATGATTGAGAATGGGGGAGGCTTTCTCGTGTGGATCATGCCACTCACGCTCTTTGCCGGTGAGATGCTGAATCCCAACTGTACAAGTATGTATGTACTTTGTACGTACTGGTAAGAGGAGTTTCATCGAGAGATAAGCGAATAGAAGAAGATGGCGGTCGGGGACTATCCAGGCTCGCCAGGGTGGCTTGGGTCAGTATGACGTTAGGGGAACTGCTGACTGGCTGGCTGGCTGGAGTCAGCCCTGTGAAAGAGTCAGTTTCTCATCCGTCCCTACGCAGTTTATGTACGTTCATATTGTCTGTCTGCTGTTCTCTTTACGATATGTCTTATCTTGCTCTGCCGAGGTGCGAGTGTGAGAGCCATTCGCTGCATGGGCAGGAGCACAGGCCCGGCAGTCATCCATCTGAACTGATTTCCAATCAACCCTGTGGTGGTCATGCACCCCAACAAGGGTCCGATCCCCTCCATCGCCTCTTACATATCCACCCATACTCCATCTTCGGAGGTTGATCCAAATCTCTGGGCCAATAACGCCCGTGGACTACTGTGCAACCCATTCCCTCTTGGGTACTATGTACCAGTAACACCCTCGTTGAAGCAGGTGTCGATTCTAACATCAAATGTTCCTTGGGGTTCCAGACCGTTATTCTTATCCTCGATCCCACCAGGTGTGTCACAGTATGTTGCGAGTCAGCATGGGTTCATCTTGCGTCAGTCCTCTTCTTGCAAACCCTGTTTTCTCTTTCCCCAGAAGACCCTTGTTTCTCGTTTCGGTCGGAAACGCCCTGTCACGCCTGTCTCGATAGCTGTAGTTGTGACTGCCAGGTGGTCCAGTATTGTTTTCGCACGAAGTCTCGGAATTAAGAGAATGCGAGGTCTGGGCTGGGCGAAAAGCTGCAGGGGCTCTTGCTTGTACCACTAATTATTTGTCTGCACCCAGTCAGGGTCACTGTGGACGGGAACGATGCAGGGCTTCAGCCCACCATCACTCACCCGTTGGCGTTGCTGCTCCCACCGACGTCATTGTTCCCTGCGCCAATTTCCATCCGAAAGTTGCCTTTTGGGGCACCCTTTATGCCTGGGACTCAGTGCCCGTGTTCCCCCTACATCTACCCAACTACGAGCATTGCGCCCGCTGCTAGGTACTATTACTCTTGTTAAACTTCTACCTGCTGGCCCCCCCTGACGAGATCTCCCTCCGTACCGGGCGGTACGTTACTCACCACTTCCCCCCCTTAACCGGCCAATTCTCTCACCTCGCATCTCTCATCTTCGCCTCTTACCTCGCACCAACCTTAAAAAAAAGTTGCCATTGAATTAGTGATTCACTGCCTCAGCTGAGAAGAAAACAATATATCCCTTTGTTTGCCTGCCCGACACAATGTTTCCACAGTCCACCTCGCTGCTGTCCGCCTTGTCGCGTGCACAGTCCAGACCACAATGACGTAGATCGTTGGGGGCAGATCTGCTTTTTCACCTGGTACTTTCTGTACACACACATTCTCAGCTCCGACACCCGTGCACATCCTGCCTGCGCCTGAACATCCTCACCCGCTATATCCACACCTTCAGAACGCAGCGCCTCGGGACCCCTCTCTCTTGTTCCTTCGACGTCTTTCCTGCTGCTCGGGGGTCTTTTCAACCTTGCCTTGTTACCTTCCTGTGGAGGGCATTAATTTGTGTCGCCGTCGACTCATTCGCACGACCCTTCTCGGCCACGAAACCTTGATGACCATCCACCACATCGCTTCGACCTCACCCGTTGCTTCTGGCCAATTGGCCAATATCACCACCATGTCCGCCGCTGCGACGGCCGCCCTCAAATCTTCCTCACATTCTCACTCCCACTCACAGTCGCATCCGCATTCCAAATCTCACTCACACTCCCACTCGCGTTCCTCCCGGCCCTCAACCACCCCACGCACTCAGCCTGCGGTCGCCTCGGTCGGTCAATCCATGCCACCTCACCTATCTCCAAACACTACGCGATCCGCCCAACCGCCCAAAGATGTCAAGAGCCCGAGTCCCAGTTACTTTGGTTTTGTCGTGGGCAGCGACGATACCATACCGCCAGACTCCAATCCGGGCGCACATGCCCGCCAAAATTGGACGTACCCCAATTCGGCTGCTCCGAACAACGCCCCGACTCCCCGTCATATCCCGCTCGAGGCAAACCCAGAGTTCGAAGCGTTTAGAAGACAGTCGGAACATAACCACAGGTTTGCGTTGAACACGGCTTTCAGACCTTCCCAGTCTCGGAACAACTCCACGAGTACTGCCTCCCGCGTCGAGACTCCCGCCTCTCCGCATACAAAGAAGCCTTCGTTAGACAGAAGCTCCAAGTCGTCCAATGGAGGGGCAGGTGTGCAGCAGCAGGGCAGTCAGATGGAAGATGTATCCTTCTTCGACATTCCAAGGCGACAATCTCCGGGACCTATCAATTCTCAGCATACTGTTGCCGACCACCAACACGCCCGACTCTCCTTACCTGACAACAGTATCCGAACACCTCCTCTGAAGGCTGCCACAAATTCGCATCGCTCAGACACCCTACCCCCGTCGGGGGACAAGGACGCTCCCCCCATTGTTTCCCCGACCCAAATAGCCGAGCTCGTCAAAAACCGACCAGGAGATGTTTTGATCCTGGATCTAAGAGTATATCAGCAGTATTCCACGGCGCGGATAAGAGGAGCTCTAAATCTATGTATCCCCACGACACTCTTGAAGCGGCCTGCATATAATGTTCAGAGGCTCGCGGAGACATTTGCATCGGCGCGAGACCAAGAAACGTTCGCACGCTGGCCGAAATGTGCTTATATCATAGTGTATGATGCTAACTCTTCTTTGCCGAAGGAGGCCGTCACGCCATTAAATGTGCTCAAGAAGTTTACCTCGGAAGGTTGGGCCGGTACTGGGTTGGTGGTCAAAGGTGGGTTTTTGAAGTTTCAGAAATTGGTTCCGGAGCTGGTAGACAGCGGCCCTGTTCAGTCTGGAAATGGGGCTTCTACACAACCGCTATCAATCTCAGCTCCTGGAAAGGACGCCCTCCCCGTGGCTGGAGGTTGCGCAATGCCCTCAGAGAAGTCGGCCGCCAATCCGTTCTTCGGAAACATCCGTCAGAACATGGACTTGCTGGATGGCGTAGGCCAGATGCCCATCAAACAGCCTACCAACATGACATCAGAGACGGAACGGCACATGCCCGCGTGGTTGAAAAGAGCTGCTTCAAAGTCGGACGAAGGGAAACTGGTCTCTGACCGATTCCTCAACATTGAGAAGTCGGAGCAGAAACGGATGCAGGAAGCCCTCACGGCCAAAGTGTCGTATGGGACTCCACGGACCGAACAGCCCCAGAAGATCCAAGTGGCGGGTATCGAGAAAGGCTCCAAGAACCGATACAACAATATCTTTCCCTTTGACCATACTCGGGTTCGGCTGCAAAACGTTCCGAGTGGGAGCTGCGACTATATCAACGCCAGCCACGTCAAGGCAGAGTTTTCCAACCGGCGGTACATTGCGACCCAAGCGCCGATTCCTGCCACGTTCAATGATTTTTGGCGCGTTGTCTGGGAACAGGATGTCCGTGTGATTGTCATGCTGACGGCCGAAGCAGAAGGTGGGCAGGTCAAGAGTCATGTCTACTGGAAGCCTGGCGAGTACGGTCCTCTAAAGCTTAAGCAGCTCTCCGAGCGCCAAGTGAGCTTGGAGACCAAGAAGTTTGCCAACAAACTTGCACCGACAGCCAGACCGTCCATGGCGCCCAGAAGATCAACAACGGCCAACATTCCGGGGGAAAGAGGTCGAGACGATGTGAAATCACCAACTGCCAAGACTCCTACAGCGGTGGTTCGCCATTTCTCTTTGAGCCATTCGGCATTTCCCTTCCAGCCAATGCGTGAGATCACTCAGATTCATTATGCGGACTGGCCCGACTTTGGGGCCCCGGCGAGCCCTTTGGAACTGCTTGGACTTGTAGAACAGGTCAACAAGTATGTCCGAGGAGCTGGAACTCCGTCTAATGTCATGGGACCAGACGACGCAGCTCCCGAAGGGCAACGGCCGGTTTTGGTCCATTGCAGCGCCGGCTGTGGGCGAACCGGCACCTTCTGTACGATTGATTCTGTCATCGACATGTTGAAAAGGCAGCGGCTTTCTCACGAAGTTGGGGGGGATAAAATGGACGTTGACACGGGCGATTGGGTGAATCGGGATGATGTTGACCTGGTGGCCAAGACCGTGGATGACTTCCGACATCAGCGACTGAGCATGGTCCAGAATTTACGACAATTTGTGTTGTGTTACGAAAGCATATTACAGTGGCTGGTGATGCAGGAGTCAGAGCATCAGAAACGACCGGGACTACCAGACCCACGACGGAGTTATCACGGTTGAGATTTTTCGATAAAAATAAACAAAAAGCCATGATGGGGACATGACGATTGTACGCCGAGCATGGAATGAGACGCATATCTGCCATTGTTGGCAGCCGGTTGGGGTTTTTTTTTACCCACAGATCTCCAAGCCAGCAGTGCATGGCTCTGGAGTGCATAGCAGGCATTTGATATATGATTTTTTCAGTCCAGTACAGAGCAGGGCATAGCGAAGCAGGTGGAGGAAGACTATATACTGCATATCTGGTTCTGGATATTTCGATTCTGCCAAGGGTCGACTTCAACCATGACACTTATAACGACCAACGAGAGTCTCATCTTGATCTGCCGGGTCTTGTTCTTGGCTCACCCCTCGCTTCGCGAGAAATCCTAGACTTTTCCTTTGCTGAGCTGAGCATACAAGGTCGCAGAAACGAGGATTTGGTCTAAAAGGCGGCTGTGATCGGATGCAACCTCTCTTCCATCTCATGGCCACTGCCGAAGTCACCGATATTCGCATAGAGCAAACGGTTGGAAGGATTCCCAAGAAGAAAGCACCGTGTCCGTTATCCGATTACCTTGCGTCTTGTCCTGGTCCTGGTCCTCGGTGCCAGCCTCTTCCTGGTCGGTCTACTGGATTTCCTCGCAAGCCCTGCGGCGAAGAACATCAATATAAATATTATGATTCCGCTGCAGAGTATTCGGGAAGCTCGGCGAGGTCGTCTGACTGGGAATCGTCCGTCCAAGGAATACCAAGAAATCCTTCCAAATCTCATCCAAAATTGGCAGCCCTGCGTTGCAAAGATGGGTGAAAAAGGACGGGAGGATCTGAGCAAAGCCTGGGCCTGGTGGGTTCCTGCTTCGCCATTCGCCCCTTTAGAGGTTGTGATCGTTTTGTGGCTTGCTGAATCCACAGTCGCCCTGATCAGCCAGCAGAATTCCTCTTATTGGATACGGTACGCCACGCTCGTCGGACTTTGCTTTCAATTCAGCTCCTCGCCCTTGCTCGTTCGGGGCTAGCCAGCCTGTCAGCACTACTATCGAGCCACTTTCCCGCTGGCTTCTGTGCTGACTCGCCCAAATCTCCGCCAGAAGTAGCAGCAGGCAACTTCCATCCTCGCCATACGACATGTCATGGTAGTCAGCCAGCGCCTCCCTCGCACCGTAGCTGGGGTGCACAAGAGGCCGCTCTACGATATAACTCGACAGTCTTTCTTCCGGGCGACAGACACCAAGACATCTCCCCTCGGTGGCTGGCTCGTGTTGTTCCACGAGCAGCCAGAATGAGACGGACACGTCGGCGCCGTTGCCCGTTTGATAAGCAGCCAAGACTCCTAAAAGCCTCGAGATTCGCTGGCTCCGAACGGCTGGCCTGAAAATGTGCTTGTGCCTGCTCCCCGAGACAGGCTTGAGAGGCTTGATCGTCCGCCTAGTGACATGTCTTTTCTGCGAAAATAACAACACTCGTGCAGGGAGCTGAGGCAATCACCTTCCCTTTGCAGGTTCTGTACCGAGTACACGGAGTGCCCAGCAACCCAGGCAAGCCAGCGGTGGTCCCACGCGTTGGGCCTCCCTCGTAGAACACGGTAACAACGACTCCCCGGCTTTACAGAACACGAGGGAGACCCCAAGACCAGGGGACACCACCTTCAGCCACTACGCCATTCTCGGGCAAGTCCTGGAGGGTGCGAAGCAAATTGCTGGGTGATGGCAAGGCGCCATGCCAGTTCAGCCCTAAAACCCAAATAAACACCTTGTGCTGCGGAAAGAGCGTCCTCGTTATAAAGCATCCAATTCTTCCCGCCTCCGTTTCATCGTGGGATTTTGCCACACACACACACACTGCCTTCTTGTTGGCTGTCGTTAGTCATACAGCAAATCCGCTGCGCTGAGGTCACGGGCTAATATACTATAATCTCATCCCTCCCACCAGACAAACCACCAAACCTCGCTTCTTCCTACTACTAGTTCCTTCGTCGAAGTCAATCAAGGCTGTCCCATCTGGAAACTCATAGTTTGATACCTCGCTACCAGAGCCCTGATCCGATATTCTCAAACACGTCGCGTTTTCACCATGTCGAACTATTTGCCGCTGCTCGTGACGATGGGCTTCTTGATGGCTGACGGGCTCATCGAGGTCGGGCTTGTTGGGTCCATGGTCGGGTTCTTGCACGACCGGGCGGGGAGGTTCTTCACCATCGACGCGCCCAACGGCACTTTCAACCTGCACGGCAAGCCCAAGGGCCTTCTCGTCAATCAAGGACACACCAGCAACGGCGCTGGAGGGACCGCGGTGGTGCTGGTCGGCTTTTTGGGGTTGCTCACCATTTGGTATGAGAAACGACGAGTCAGAAGGGTACGCTTTGCATAAACATCTATGGGGAGGTGCGATACTAACAGGTTTGCTCCAGACTCAAGCCACGAACCACTCGGGCATCTTCGTCTTCTGGGTCGTGATGACGGTGCTGTCGGCGCTGCTCACGCTGTCAGCCCTGATCTACACGTTTGTGGTGACGGCACAGACGGACAACCAGTCCATCAATCTCGCGGTTGCGGCGGCGAACCCGGAGCCCAAGATGTACCCGCTCGACAACTGGACGCCGGAGAACTGGTTCGTCGCGGTCCTGGCGCTGCCGCTCGCACACGCCAGCGACCGGCACGACATCCGCAATAACCTCCGCCTGATGCGCGGCTGGCGCTGGAACCTCATCCCACTGTTCATCCTGGGCGTTGCCGTGGCCTCGCTGGCGGTGTGGGAGCTAGTCAGCGGCCGGCGGTGGCGCCACGGCGATTCCAAGGAGAAGCTCCGAAACTCGACGCAGAGCTAGACCTACTGAGGTTGCCGACCGTCGTCTGTTCTATCTATCGATCTATCTGCTCGGGAAATGAGATGGAATTAAGGGACAGCAAGCAGGTGGAAAGGCTGAATCTTCTTTTGTTACTGGACAGGCACACCGCCTCGGGCTATTGTGTATTTCCCTTCTTTTTTTGGGCTTTTGATCTTTGTTTCTGGGGTCTTTTGGATATATTTACTTTTTTTATTACTCTTCCATCATCGAGCAAGCGAGCGGCGTTTGGGGGCAAAGAAAAAAAGAACATCCCTCTGAGAAATATTATTACTCGGTATGTTCTGAAAGGGGAAGTGAGAACTGGGACATACACATACATATACATAATGTCCCTGATGAACTGTGACGACACGACCATTTATTCGTCTTTGGGGACACTAGGGCACTCGAGCACGAGACATATACTACTATTATTCCAACAATGGTAGAGTAAATTTCCATGCCTGGTTTAAGGAGTGTCTACGATGAATCTGGGTCAACATAACTCCGAAAGAATCTAAGTCCCCCCAAGCTAGAGTGATACACCATCTTAGAAGGACAACGCTGTAATGCCATCTCATATGGGCCAGGCCATACATGGCAAAGAAGAGAGAGAAAGAGAGTATATGAATGTGTGTGTGTGTGTGTGTGTGCGTATCACTCGTATTTTTTTCCAACCAGGCAAAGGGCTTTTCGCATCACGGCGTCTTCGATATTATGCCATGATGTGATCGATGATGACGAACGGGGGTGGCGAACTCCGACCGACGGCAACGACGCCGCAATTTTTAAAAATAATCACCACTTTTAGGCATGCTTCGACTACCTAATACAGTACATAATCCGCTAATCTAGGCGCACTTTTGCCCCTGGGCCCCGCCCCCAAGGCCCGCCGATCTTGACTGGGGAAGGTCGATGATCCGGCCATGTTGAGGCCCCCGTGGCTGGCAGGCTGTACCTGCAGAGCTTCGTATTCATTAGTGAGCCTTGCTCTATGTATGCGTACATATGTAATACTACGTACTGACCTCAGTGACGTTCGCACGAGAACGAGATGAGGAGGTGAGACACAGTATGTAGCATGCCTCCTTTTCTCCCTGGTGGTGATTCTCCAAATGCGAGAGGAGATTACGGCGACACCTTTGGAAGTCGTGGGAGCCTACGAGTACGAAGTATGGGTACCAGGTTCTCAAGCAGCAGGGATACCCCCAGGAGGCACCAGAGAGGCAGGAGCTCGACAGAAATAATCCCTTCGAGGCGGAGCAAATAATATTAGTATTGATGGTGAGTGAGCAGTTCGGGAACTCGTCTCGGTTTCAGCCTTGCCACCAGATTGCTCCCTGTACGGAGTACGAGGTGGACCAAAGGGAGCAATGATATCCACGGCTAAATTCCTCTCTGCCTCTTTCTGTCGTGTCGATGACTGTTTGCACAGATGTGCTCCGAGCCGACTAAACCTATACTATTGGATATTTCGACACAACGGACGGCATCGAACGGAACTTCGCACTAACCACCGGACGCTCACACACGTCCCTCTGTACTTGGCTGAGCCACCACCCGTTACCGAAAACAAAAAGAAAAGAACAAGAAAAAGAAGGTGAACATGATAATATTCGGGTAGCCCTAGTAGCTCTCCGACGGAAAACCTATCGCCCGTCCTCCCGTTCTGATTAGCCCCTCGCCGCTTTGCTCACCTTCGGCCCACCTGCCGCTCACTGAAAGTATATCACGTGATTAGTACTAGCTAGACGTGGTAAGTTTAGCGAGCGCAACTTATCAACACTTCGATCAACTCAAAGTCTGCCTTACTCTACTCTGCACAATGAAGGATCTGCCCTTCGATCCCTCCACTCTCACAAGGGAAAAATTACGAGGCGTCGGCGTTGGACTCTCTTCCGAGGTCGTGCATATCGCGGGGACGAATATTGTTGCCAAAATTCCCGCCCCACAGGATCTCGAGGATCAAAAGATCGAGAAAAGGATATATGAGCGTCTTCAGGGGCATCCGAATATTCTCCGCTATCTGGGTCAAAGCCCTCCAGCATGCACGCTATTACGCAATGCCCTGTTATTTGAATACCATCGTCATGGCAGTCTGATAGATTGCTTGGACAAGATTGTTCCTGGACGAAGTCGGTTCGTCAACGTCACTCCCTCTCATGCTTGAAACACTGACAGATCTTAGTTGGCCCTCTCAAGCCGTATCAGCTGTGGCATATATTCATTCTAAAGGCGTTGTGCATGGGGATATTGGTCTTCATAACTTCCTCCTTCATGACGACGGTAGACTCATTTTGTGCGACTTCGCAGGCTCCGGTCTAGATGAGTTACCTCCTAACGTGAGCGCCGGCGTACGGTATCTCAACCCATTATTTGACTCGGACTATCCCTCAGAAAGAGATGACGTTTTTGCACTAGGCACCGTGCTTTACGAACTTGACCGTGGAGAACGGCTCTTTGAGGGGAAAAGCGATCGGGAGATCAGACAATGTCTACGGAACAAGCATTTTCCTGACCTTTCTCTGGTGTCCTCACCATTGAGGCAAGTGATTGAGAAATGTTGGACAGTCCCCGATTACAAAGCTGGCAACGCCTGGATTGAGCTAGGTAGGTACACCACTCTGTCTTTGGGCCGACCTAATTTATCTACAGAGACTCAACCCACATTTATTATCAATTCATGGTTTTCTGGGCTTCTTGGACTTGCTGTTGGTGCTGTTGGTGCTGTTGGTGCAGTTCTCGTTTTCACATTGGCATAATAACGTTGAGGGGTGATGTTGCAGAAAATAGTAGGGGTGGTTACAAATGGTCCTGTTAATTGTCTCATTATGCCCCCTTCCCATATAGCTGTTGCGTCAGATTGAATGGATGAGAAATCTGGTATGGGGTAAAGGAATGATGGAATTGGCTCTGGACGACTATGCAGAGTCCTGACCTCCTGTTCACCATGTAATTTGGCAGTGGAATAGACTCAGGACGTCCAGGACACCAATCCTACTGAAGGACTTACTCCGTAGTCTAATTTACGGTGTCTCGACGTGGTTGCAACTCGCCATGAGCCCGTTCGGCGCCGACAAGACTGAGAAAGTCTGTGGCTACTAATACGGTTGGCCCTATGGGAGATTGAATAGATAAGTTCGAGTCATAAATCTAGGCACAGGAATAGTTGTGGGGGCAGGAAACTCCATTGTACAAATGACATCCTTTTGATAGTCGAGGATCACAGAATAGGTGAAGCCAGGCACTGGAGAAGACATGCACAAGCGATGACCAGCATTATTCCAACTCAACACCAAATTATCGCCAAAATCTCTTGAGCCAATGCTGAAGAAGAGGTAGCTGTCTTCTATCCGCAGGGGCCCCCTCAAGCTAATCATTTGTTCACACCCTTACCTTTTCCAGAATATGCTGATGTCCCAGATGTGGACGCTCCTTTGGAGGATGTATCATAGGATAAAAATAGTGCATCCTGGTGTGTTGCCGAATCTATAGTAATTTTAGCATTGGATTTCTGAAATAAATCGAGGAGAATGCATATTCCTCACCGGGGTAGAGGCGTAAGGATTCACAGGCGGGACAACGACCTGGTCTTGACGTTGATCCTATTGAGGCTTCCCATTTGGTAACTTTGCTGCAGATCAAATCTCCATACGGCTGTGATGCAGTTTTCTCATTCTTGCAATCTAGTTTTTGGATGATACTCTCGCTCATCGATGGTTGTGGTGTAGTAACAACCCGTGTATTATAGTAGATATGTGGAGTCGTATCTTTGAGAGTGCACCTTCTATAGACGAAGGGCGACGAGAGAGTAACACACATTCTGAGGAATTTCGCCTGGCGGCGTTCAGACGATGCAGGTGCCAGACATGGAATTCGACATGTAAGTTGAATAACTCAATTGAATTGATTGATTGATTGATTCGGCAAGGAAATCTATCTAGTGCGCCTACGACTTTGTTATGTATCGCGGAGGAAATTATTCGGCTAATCTACCCGATAGGGTTAGGGTAGCACCCCCCTACACTAGGCACTTAGAGAAGCCTAATTAGTCCTATTATCGCCTATATCCCTCGATATCGTTTATAGCTATGCGCTAGTACCGGCTACCCGCAGTGTGATCTATCTGAGACAAGAAATAAACGGACATCACACCATAGTAAAGACCAGTGGTGGAAAAGAGTATCACTAATGAAGTATCCGCTCGGGTTGTAGAGGCGTGTTTATCAAAATGGCCATAGTGTAGCAGGGTCAACTCCTCACATGGCCACCGCCTTCCGGAGGAGTATCACACTTTCTTGTTGAGCGGATGGTTAGGGGCCGGGTCAGGCCTCCAATTTATTTACTCAGGGAGCGCCCCGTGAGCGCTCAGTGATGCTCAGCATACGCTCAGTTAAAGCTCGGATCAAAGCAGCCTTCGCTCACCCTCTAGGATCAAACCGTGAATGGCAATTAGGTTCTTCGATCTCGATTAATAGAGGTAGGTATGTACGAGTCCGTCCTGCAGATTTTGGCCTTGTCTCTCCTTGTTAGTCCCGAGGCGTGTGCGTGGCGCAGTTCGAACTCCCGAGCGAGGGCGTTGGTGTTGATTGACTTACTCACTCGATCCTTCAAACAAACCAAGGCTCCAACGTTCAGCATCTCACCTCAAGGTTCTTTGAGGGAAGGGATGTCTGGCACTGAGCATGCATGCCTTCCCGTTCGTGTGAATGTATTCATGTACAGCACGACCTTCCGGGGACGAGTACATGGATACTTCCGTGCAAGGTGTCGGTACGAGCAACACGATAATCTTCGTCCCCAAGCGTCTACAAGCGACGTAGCCGGTCTACGCTTGAACGCTGCAGACGAATGGACTGTTGTGCCTGCATCATCTCGTGTTCCTTCGTCAACTGCCGTGGTGTTTGGTCATTTGAGGTACTATACCTCGTATTTGGGCGGTCAGCGACGGTAGGGACGTTAGGAGTGAGTCAGTCCGCGTGCATGGCTATCTATCCCGTTGCTTTTCCTGGCAGCACGCTGCAATGACGATGACATACGAGGCGCAGAGAGCCCATTTATCCCGGCCCAAAACACAGTCTATGTACTCTGTACGAGGTACATGTGTTCCCAATCTCATTCATCGCCCTCATCCCTTTTTCTCCCCATATGATATGTGGGGCCTCACCCTCTGCGACCCGGGGGTTCCTCGGGATGTCATCCCCGGACCACATAGATACTCGGTACACAAACACCTCGAGCCAGCCAGTCAGCCATGCTGAACGGCATCCCGGTCCATCGGTCCACCAATTGATTATTGGCGACTGGGGGTTCGATTTCCTCATCTTGAAGGCCCCTGTCGCGTCGAGGATTAGCTTGTGTGTGTTATGTATTCTGACCTGGCCACGCAGCAAAAAGACACTTGCCTTGTGAATGATTACTAGGTGTACGAGTTACTGACTCAATACCATTCATTCACCACGAAGGATCTCCGAGATGAAGCCAGACGCCATAGAAACGAGACTCTTCATCAACAACGAAGTATGTGTTGATGTTTTTTCCCCAGGAGAAACCTGATGTGGCAGGAGTCGTTGCCTGACATGCATGATACATCCTTTTAGTTCGTTCCAGGCAAGCAGGGGAAGACGTTCAAAATCTACAATCCCTACAACGACCAGGAGATATGCAACGTCCACGAGGCTACCAAGGAGGACGTCGACCTCGCCGTCGACGCCGCCGAGGCTGCCTTCCCCCACTGGAGTAACATCGCCGCCCATGAGCGCGCGGCGTACATGTTCAAGTTTGCCCAGCTCGTGCTGAGAGACGCCCAGCAGCTGGCCGAGCTGGATTCCATGTGCATGGGGAAGTAAGCAGCTACGCCTTCTCACCCTGTGAAAGGGTCCCATCGTGCGTCGCATCACCATGGCTAATCTACGTTCTTCTCACAAAGACCCGTCGAGCTCCTCAAGAAAATGGACATCCCGGCCATTGTTGGCGTCTTCAATTACTTTGCCGGCAGCGGATACCACGTTCTGGGTGAATCAAGTCTCAGCTCCCCCAACTTCCTCAACGTCAGTGTACGGCAGCCTTATGGTGTGGTCGGTCTGATTATCCCGTGGAATGTGAGTTTCCCCCGTCCTCCATGATGGCAATACCTGCCTCTCTTCATCATCCCGAGCTACAATCCCAAGTGGCTGAAAAAATGGGGGCAGGTCCCGATGATCATGTTCGCGTTCAAAGTGGCCCCGGCCCTGATCTGCGGCAACACGGTGGTGCTCAAGTCGTCGGAAAAGGCGCCCCTCAGTGCGCTGAAGCTGGCCTCGCTCATCCAGGAAGCCGGGTTCCCGCCCGGGGTGGTTAACGTAGTGAGCGGGTTTGGCGACCCGACGGGGTCCGCCATTGGGCTGCACATGAAGATCCGAAAGATTTCGTTCACGGGGTCGGTGGCCACGGGGCGCAAGATCCTCAAGATGGCGGCCGACTCGACCCTGAAGACCGTGTCGCTCGAGTTGGGGGGCAAGTCCCCCGCCATCATCTTCGAGGATGCCGACCTCGAGGCCGCCGCCCGCTACACCCACTACAGCATCAACCACAACTCCGGCCAGCACTGCCAGGCCAACAGCCGCGTGCTGGTGCAGGAGTCCGTCGCCGACGCCTACATCGACATGGTCAAGAAGCTGATGAGCCACGTCACCCTGGGCGACCCGGCCGACCCGTCCACCTTCCAGGGCCCGCAGGTCGACCAGAAGCAGCTGGCCCACATCCAGCGCCTGGTCGAGCAGGGGAGCAAAGACGGCACCCTGGTGTGCGGGGGCAAACGACACGGCACCACGGGCGCCTTCATCGAGCCGACCATCCTGAAAAACGTCCCCCTCGCTTCGCCCGCCTACACCGAGGAGATTTTTGGTCCGGTGGTGATCGTGAACACGTTCAAGGACGAGAAGGAGGTGCTCGCCGAGGCCAACTGCACCGACTTTGGGCTGTTCTGTAAGTTATCATACATATGATATATAGACGCCCCGCCCCCAATTTTCTGGGTTATTCATCCCCCTTCCCCTCCCCCGCTGACGACCTACTTCCTCTCCAGCATCCGTCTACACGCAGAACTTCGACCGGGCCGTGCGCGTGGCCAAGGCCCTCGAGGCCGGCGCCGTGGGCATCAACTGCTCGGTGCCCGTGCGCGCGGTCGACATGCCCATCGGCGGCTGGAAGCAGTCCGGCATGGGCAAGGAGCTGTCCCTGCACGGCCTCAACACCTACACCGAGCTCAAGACCATCTTCATGAAGTACAACGCCGACCCGTCCTCGATGGCCGTGGGGACGTGGCATTCGGGTCAGCGCGTGGAAGAGGGGATGTTGTAGTTTGGTAGTTCGTCCGTCCCTCGAGGTTGAGAGGTGGGAGGAGACCTTGGATTGGATTGGATCTGGTGGGAGAAGAAAGGGATGAACGAATGGATGGGTGGTTGATGATGATGATGATGATGTCCTATTCCTGCCTCTATTGAGTACAGACTGTTTGATAGAGACGGATAGATAGATAAGGGGGGGGGGCGAAGGTAGGGAGACCTGCACTCCTGCTCCCAGCCAGATCTTGGATGGGAAATACTAAATGATATTACCATTCCATATGTCTTTTTATCTCTCTTCCTCACTACCGTCTATTGTCTCCAGCCTGGCTGGGCCTTAACAGAGAGGCCCCCTTCAAAGGTTTCCCACGCGATCACTCCTCGTTCTTCAATGCGCTCCTCATCTGCCAAAGACAAGCCTGGTCTTGGCTCGCAACGCACGCGAAGCCAGCATGACCCAAAAACATTCAAAAGCCCGACTATATACTCCTCTTCCCTGTACTTTTCCATCTTTCAACTTCCATCTCTGCCTCTACCTCTACCTCTCCTTCCCACCGCCAGAAACAACACCCCTCAAATCCGCCACCAACTTACCCATGACTTTACCCTGCTTGATGCGGTCCAACGCCTCGTTGATGTCATGCAAGTCCACAACCTCCAGCTCCGGCACGACCTTTCCGGCCGCGAAGATCTGCAGGGCCTCGCGCATGTCGGTTTTTGTGCCGGTCTGGTTCGAGCGCACGAGTAGGTCTTTTCGCAGCAGGGGCCGGAGAGACATGCTGGTGATGATGATCAAGTCAGCAACAAAAAAAAGGATCGAGGGAGATGAGAGAATGGATTTGTGGATGGGAAATCTTAAGGGTGAAGGAAGATGAACAGGAGGAGTCTCTCTTACTGTAAGTTCCCGATCCCAATCGCCATTATCTGCGCGCCGAAGCTCGCGTACTCTCCCGCGGCACTGGCAACAGGTTCGAAATTAGTCAGAAATTCACACATTCACGCACTCGCTCATTGTATATGAATTGGACGGGGAGAGAAAACGCACTCGTACGACGACTGATGCGGACTCAGGACGAGCACGTAATCCGCGCCGCCGCCGGTCTTGTCGACGATGGTCTCGACCAAGCCCGGACGCGTGAAGTCGACAAAGACATCGGCACCCATCTTGGTGCAGAACTGTTCCTTCTCCGCCGACCCGCCGTCGATGGCCAGCACCTTCAGCCCGAGGGCCTTGGCGTACTGGATGGCCAGATGCCCCAGGCCGCCGGCGCCGCCGACCACCACGCACCATTTCCCGGCTTGCGGGTTCATTCGCTGCAGCGCTGCGTAAGCCGTCACGCCGGCGCAGAGGATGGGGCACACGCTCGGGAGCGACGAGACGCCCGAAGGGATGGGCACTAGCTGGGAGGTCGGGAAGGCGATGTATCCTATAGTAGCAGTAGTAGCAGAGGTCAATAAGTGCTCAGCTTACACGGGTAAGATTTCCGAGTTTTCAGGGGTCTTCGCGTTGAGATTAATCAGACGTACGTTGGAAAGTCCCGTCCCGATGTGCGCCAGTAATCTTTTGGTTGAAGCAATGGTTCTCCGAGCCGGCCTGGCAAGCCTGACACGTTCCGCAAACATAGCTCCTCCACGCGATACCCACGGTATCGCCGACCTTGAACCCGTCCAGCCCGTCCGTGCCCATGGCAACGATCCTCCCGACCCCTTCGTGGCCTCCCGTCAGGGGCCGTACAGGATCTTTGGGCGCCGGACCACCTCCGTCCCGGGCGTAGACATCGCCATGGCACACGCCACTGTACTCCAATTCCACGAGGGCGTCCTGGGCAGCCGGCACGGGGATGGGGACGTCTTTGATCGTGTACGGCTCGCCGTATGCGCCGGTCAGAACGGCGGCTGTGGCAGTTTTGGGAAGGTCCTCGCCGCCCATCGAGCCCATCGTGACGTTGGAGAGCTGTCCCAAGGGAAGAGGATCTCCTTCTTTCACAGTCCTGGTGTCCTCGTTAATCTTGCAGAAGGACCAGAAGCAGCAACTATGGTTGTTAAAAGGGGGCCGTCCACACGTGATGCGGATGTTGGCAGAAACGTGTCTAGTCGACCTTTCGAATTGATGTTTTTGGCCAGAAACAGCAATGCTTCCTGAATATACAAGTACAACGGCTGATCACGTCTTTCTCCAACTACTTACATCCTGTCTCTTCCCGTTGGAATCGATGCCCTCGCCGGGCTCGTGAGCCATCAATGTCGTGCCTGAAGTCGAGTTGCCGAAGTACCCGGTGATTCCCCGGTCGGGGGGACAGACCCACCTCCGGGGCCATATCGCCTTCGACTTCAACATTGCAAGCCGAAAAAGATGTATATCTTGGGAGGAAAAGTTGAGTAAGCTTATTTGATAGAATCACTCACCCATTAGTCGTGGGCTTTGACCAGGCTCCAACTCCGCCCAGATCGCAGGACCGGCAGCCTGGCTCTCCTGACGAAATAGGCTCGATGTGTTTATTTTTGCTGTAAATGGGGTGTCAACCAACAACAGACGCTGAGCTGTCCTTGTGACGCCTTATCGACGATGTCGCTGTATTTGTGATTCTCACGAGAGAACTTGGGCTCTTGTAGGGAACGATGGCAACAACAGGTTTGGACACAACCACGCCCCTTCCGAGTGTTAACTAGCAAACAAACATGCTGAGGAAATGCCACATGGCCACCTCATATGTAGAACATAACAAGCATTGTTACTATGCAACAGATGGCAAGCTGTCCATGATCAATTAGATTCATCATAGTAACAAATAATGTGGACAATTGAAGAGGCTGTCATGTTGATCTCCCCCCTTTAAATTGCTTGTCTTGGCGAGGCTAGACAGAAATAGGGGCTGGCACCTCTGTGTGACGATTATTGCCATCATTGGGCATTTCCTCTATTCTGTGGACTTGCTGTTCAGAAGCGATGGATCCACGAGAAACATCAACCTGAACCAGATATCAAAGATGAATGGGATACATTGCAGTCTGTGGAGATGTAAGGCAGGCGATTGAGTTGTTGGGATATGTTCAGCAGCGGGAGAGTCGGATGGACAGTCATGGCGTGACCTTGGGAGCCTCTCCCGGAACACCTATGTGTGCTCATTAAGAGCTGTGCACTATTGAAAATGCAAGTACAGCTTCTCGGTCCGGAAGAGAGAGTCCCTTTTGGGGGTCACACTCGTGGTGTTCATATATGCACTGCGGTCATATCCATATACTATATATAACCAGCCATCAGTGATGACCCTTGATCGTATCTGCCGGGCGACCAAACTCATAATAGCGATAACTACTGTCGTTCCGGGAATAAATAGTCGCCTCGAACTCCTCCTGCTCGTCGATGGCGTGAAGGTAGCGAGGCTTACATAATTGGCTCAACGCCCTCGCAGCCAATCAGACGACGCCATACGACTTTAGGCATCAACTCCATCTCTACCTCGTCGTGTCCTCCGCCCTCTTCCTCCCTCTTCACTCTTTCTTCATCATATTCACTCCTTCTTTGTTAGCATTGACCCTCCACTCTACAAGGCAATGAGAGGTCTCTGTGTCTGTTTCTGCTTCCACTCTGCCGTCGTGTAGCGCCCAGACAGACAGATAGACACACGGACAGACAGTCTCTGTTTCAGCTTCAGAAGATTCCTAACTGACAACCACCCTCCCGACCTCTACCATTCCAAGAGAAAAAAGAAAGTCACTCTGTCCACATACCTACCTCTCTTCCCAATCTCAAATACGATGTGAGGCCATAAGTGTGCTAGCCCAGCCAGGATGTCCGACCAACCACCACCACCAGCCTCGCGGCGCCCTCATGATAATGTCACATCAGCAGCAGCAGCAGCGACGCTGGGTTCCATGCCGTCCGAGATCCTACAGCAGATCTTCAACCTCAGCACCACGCCGTCCTTCTTCCAGCTCCTGCAGGTCAACCGCCGCTTCTTCTCTCTGGCGTCGCAGAGTCGCGAAATCATCCTGCACCACCTCCGCCACATGCCCGGGATCAAGCTGGGCTTGGAGCACCACTCGAATACCACCGACTACCTGTTCCTCATATTCCGGCAGCGCGCGGCGTCGCACCTCTACGGCGTCAATTTCACCGCCGACTGTCGCAGCTGGGCACTCTCCGCTCGCAGCGGCGGCACCCTCGACCCGGGGGCGTCGTGCCTCGGCGTCGAGAGCGAGTGGGGAAACAACGTGTGTCTCGTCCGGAAGAACAGCCTCCGCATCCGCATGAACTGCCACAACGACTTGCCCGGCGACATCATCGAGTCCCCCTACGGGGATGGCCAGGCGAAAATCATCCAGGTCGTGCAGAAGAGCCATTACATCACCGTACTCTATGCGTGGACGCCACCTAAAGATGATCCCGCCCACGACACGTCCCATCCCGAGCCGACGACGGTCAAGCTGTCGGTGAGAGAGGTTCTCGAAGAGCACGCGGCCAGGCAGCATCGGTCTAGCAGGTATCGTCGGCCTCCGTCGTCCACCAAGCAGCAGAATAACCAGTCCAAAACGTCCCCCTCGCTTGCTCGGGTGCGCTACCACCTCCTCCATTACGACATGTTCCGGAGCGAGAAGCCCGTCTTCTTCCCCATACCGACACACAAGTCCATCAACGACAACATCCTGGTTCCCGTCCACCTGGCCGTCCACAACCGTCTCGAGTGCGCCATTCTGTGGGATGTCCCAGACACAATGACTCCGTCGCTCGATGCGACAGTCTGTCTCTACACCACCGACCACCTCCCGCGGGACGAGCAGGGCGCATACGACGTCTGGGTTCTCTATCCGTTTGACCGTCCCAGTGCCAACTACCGGTCGCGGTCAGGTGATCGACTTGACTCTGCGAGGGAGAATTCAGACGACGACATTGACGGGAGCGGAATCACCTACACCGTCACCGCCGTCCGCGAAAAGTTCCACCGCAGCGGCTACGACGTCGGCCAGGACTTGCGGCTGTTGTACTTTCCACTGCGACCACGGGCCATTGCATTCTTCAAAGAGGGCCGACGCCTGTCCCTCTACGCCCCCGGGTCGAGCGTGCCGTTCACCACGCTGTTGGCCAACGAAGCCCTCCGCAGCCGCGTTCTTAGCCGATTGGCGTCTCCCGTCGCGAACTATCGAGCGCACAGCGACTCGTTGAGCTTGCTGCGTCGACGCGTCCGACGGACAAACAACACGTCCATCGTGGGCGCCCACTTCACGCTCGGCCTGCCGTTCTTCACTACCCACCAGCCGGGTTTCTCATCCGGCGGCGCGGATCCAGACCCCATGATGCCCGAGGTGGCATGCGTGAGCCACATGCTGTGCCTGGGCGCGGCGAAGCTCCCGTCATTTCGCCGTTTTACCGAGCAGGGTGTCTTTGTCGAGACCGGCCCGCAGGTCCTCACGATCGTGCAGATCCGCAAGCACGTCCTCTACGACGATTGTCCGCACACGAAATCCAAGGATGATCTGCCCCCTCTGCCCCGCCCGCCACAGGACTACCGGACGAGACGAGATTCGACGGTACTTCTGTATCCCACGGCCGGGCCCCTTTCCGACGTCGTCATCGCCCCCGAAGTCGGGAACGATGACGACGATGCTGTTGGCAACAACAATTTTACCGACAATGACACTGAACCGGACGTTGACGCCGTTTCCGACACAGATGTCGACGACGCCGACGCTGACAGCCTGCGGGGAACAGACATGCGTGTCGCGGCGAGATTGTGGGGGTGGACTCCCCAACGCACCACGCTGACAGGGTTGGATACCGTATGCATCTCCCCCCGCGGGGAGCGGATCGCCGTCGCACAGTGGGACCGAGTGCTCGTCTATGCTCTGGATCCCCGGGAGCTGTGTGACGAAATATGGGACCAGGACAGTGACTTTGAGGATTTCATGAGCGAAGGGGAAAGCAGCTCAGAGAGCGGTAGCGAGAGCGAGCACGACGATGCCGACGATGCCGACGACAACGACGCAAGCGTGGTGAGTGTAGCACCAGACGGCGTCCCCGAGGACGATCACACAACCCAAGATCCAGCCGCAGCTTCGGCTGCAGCACCACCGCCGAAAGTAGCCGCACCTGTCGCCTCAAGCACATCCTCTTTGGATTCGTTGGCAAACTTGTTGCACTTTTATCCGCACACGAATGACGGCTGGCCTCTCGAACGGATCGTCGAGCTCCGTCCGCTCGTGCTGAAGATGGATGGTGGAGCGGTGGTTCGGAAGATGAGCTGGGCATTGGGAAAGTTGGTGCGAGATGACGAGGAGTGTAGTATCGATGCAGCAGAAATCCGCGGAAAGGCAGAGGACGCGGAAGGGCCAGCGGACGAGACTGCAGGGGGGTCGAAGGAAAAGGAAAAGGAAGACGTGGAGAGCAACAAGAGCAACAACACGGCACGGCTGACTCCGCGACGGCTCGATGCTAGAACATCAGCAGATGCTGGAAGTTTCGACCCCCAGGACCGGCAGCAGCTGCAAAACCAACCGTCACCAATATCAGATGTACAGACTGCCACTTTCTCGCGGGATATATACAACAAAGAGCTAGGAGATGATTTGAATACTGTCTTCCATGACATACCTCCAGCGCCCTTTTCGGACACCAAATTGATCGGCCAGATCAAACACATTGCGCGTCCTCCCGAGTATCACAACTCCTCCAACAAAGTGGTCCTCGACTCTCCTGAGCTGAGACCCCACAATCCAGCAGTGCTAGACTCCGGCAAGGGTAAAGAAACCGAGCTAGTAGAGAATTCACCAGGAGGAAGAAGGGACGAGTTCCGTGATATGACAACAGATCATGAACGTGGAATGTCTCCGGTTCCAGAGCGGTGTGAATCGGGAGAATCGGAACCAGTGCACAAGCGCAAAAGAAATCCACGGAGGAGGGTTGCCGAGAATGAATTAGTCGTCCTGACTGACAGAGGGTTACAAGTCTGGGATCTCAGCGTCTGGGGACGAGGCAGGCGAATCCGTCGTGAGCTTCCGAGTGATGATATTCTGCATTAGCTGTGACAGCAAACTCGGGAGTCCATCGACCGTATATGTTTTCTTTTATGCCCAAAAATTGAGGGGTCGAAACAGCTTTGCCTGGTGAGTTGCAGAACAATGGAACAGACACATATTTCTCGCATTCGGCGTCAGCGGAGAACGGTAGCCTGACCTGGTTACTTTCACCCCTTGTCCATCGTTACGAGGCCAATTCGAGGCCGGGGGGGATTGTTCTAGTAATATCCCTGGGTAGTGAACAACGAGACCTTGCTGTATAGTCATCGGAACACCCCATGGCCAAATGTTTCCTTCGCCAGTCGGGAACCACATATCCGGCGTTGCAGAGCGAAGGGGACGCTGGCCGCAGGAGTTCATTTCTCTGCTCCACCACCGCCACTCATCATGAGCACGGTACCAATCAAAAACACCCACCAATACTTCTGGAAGAAGCTCTTCTCTTGTTGTTCCTCCTGCACAATCTCTCTGCCGTCGCCATCGACCTGGGGAGGTTTCCTCGTTGCTAGATCAGGGGACGGGCCGGGGCTGGGGGTGATAAGGTTGACTTTGATGGGCTCGTGGAGAGCTGCTGCTTTGGCTGCTTCTTCTCTCGCTTTTTTGGTATTTGGCACTGGAGGCGGGGGTGGTATCGGCCTGCCCTTTGCCTTGGCTCTCTCGACTTTCTTCTTGTAACGTTCTTCCTCCGCGGTCAAGGGGGGTGGTGAAAGGCCCGAGACCGAAGCAGAAAAGACCGATCCATCCTCTGGGGATATCCAGAGGTCGATTTTCTGGTGGACATTGTCGCTGAAAGTGTCGATGGTGGTTACGGTCGAACTGCCATTAGGTAGAAGGATCCGAAGCAGCTTCGACGAGGTAGGTTCGGGCGTGGTAGATTTGAGCGAGTCGAGAGGGGGAGGAGTCCACGAGGACAAAGCGTGCTTCGAGGTCTTTGGATCGTAGAAGATAGTGACAAGCGGTTTGACTGAAGGAGATCCGATCACTTCGTAGGACAGAGTGACCGACTTGGGCAGTTTAGAGCCCGCCGCATCGCTCGCAGCCAGGACAGGCACGACAGGGCAGGCACAAACGGCAAGCAACGCCAGCAGGAGGCTGCGAAAGACCATCTTGGGCAGTTGCGACACACAACAAACACGTCGGGCGTCAGGGGGACCGTGACAGCAATTTATCTTCAGTCGTCTTTGATTTCATTCCTCGCTCGGTCCTGGCCATCACCAACCCAACCCGCACCCCGTCGCCGCCATTTGTTGTAACGGGCAACTCAAGCGAATACGACGCCACACGAGGCTGTTGAATCCACCCCAGAAATCCACGATTTCTTTTCCTGTGTGCTCTCCAGTGAGTCAAGATGTAGTCACCATGGACTTCCTCCAGGGCCTTCCCGGGCCTGGGGGCTCTGAGTTTTATTCCTTTACTGACGCCGATCTCATGGATCTCTCAGATTCTGACGAGATGGCGACCAGCACCGGCAAGCCAGAGACCCCCAACGACAAAGACAAGCTCCATCCTGAAGTTCTCAAAGATCTCGAACTCCATCAGGGCTTCATGCGTCAAGCCATCGATGTCGCCGAAGACGCTCTCCGTGGAGGCGAGACGCCAGTCGCTTGTGTTCTGGTCTACGAGGGCAAAGTGGTTGCGCGCGGCATGAATGACACGAACCGATCTCTGAACGGCACGCGGCACGCCGAATTCCTCGCCATTGCGCAGTTTCTCAGCCAGATGCCCGCGAGCAAACTCAAGGAGACGGATCTCTACGTCACGGTTGAACCATGCATTATGTGTGCTTCTGCCTTGAGGCAATATGGCATTCGCCGTGTCTTCTTTGGCTGTGGCAATGATCGATTTGGTGGAAATGGAAGCGTGCTTCCGGTTCATTCTGACAAGGGTTTGGAGGAGGGCTATCCAAGCTATGGAGGGATTTTCAGAAAAGAAGCCATCATGTTGCTGCGTCGGTTCTACATCCAGGAGAACGAGAATGCGCCAAACCCACGCGCCAAGGGCAACCGAGAACTGAAGCAAGTCGTGTGAAGGATGGAGAAGGCTTGGTTCTCAACATACTTGTCTTCCAGCACAGGCCACATTGGAGGGGGGTTTTCCACCAGCGAGAACAGCTGAACCTGTGTCTGATTTGTATCATATTATCTGTTTAGAGGAGCTGCAAACGAGGCTTCCGACCATGAGAAGAGTCATCGCTATCAAGAGCCTGTTGTATCAATCAATAAGAGAAAGCTACTGGCACGTCCTCTTCACATAGCTATCATCGGCCGTTCATCACCATATGTACAGTGAATATCTTGCACGTCTCCTGACTCGAGCGCCGGGTTGCTTTTGCTTAGTCAGGCGGAATTTCGGGCTGTGCGGCTTGCGTTCGTGTCACGTCCAATGACCACAACAATCATGCACACTACTGACTTTTTTTGGGACCAGCCGTGACTTGCTCGCCTCAACAACTTTACACTCAACTGCCTTGACCTTGATCCACGCTCTTCCACAAACGCCTCTCTTCTCTTGGCTTGGAATTCATCTTACTTTACGAACAGACCTCGACCTCCAACCCATCTGGCTCGAGTAAATCCTTGTCTCCCGTTCCAATCTGTCTGACAACCCGAGTCTCCTCGTCGCGTCGCCGACCGAATCAACCATGTCCCGCCCTCGTGACAAGAAGCCTGCCGCTGCAAAGGCAACCAAAAAATCAGCAGCGAAGGCGAAACCTGTCAAGAAGGTGTCATCGCAGACGTCGACGGAGGCCGATCCCCCAACCTTCCCGGTGAAGGCTCCGCCCAAACCTGCCCATAAAGTCCCAGAAGCGACGGTGAAGAAGACAAGCAAGCGGAAGGCCGAAACAGAGGTTAAACATGACGCTCAAACCAACGTGAAAAGACCACGAGTAGCTCCCACACCCGGTTCCGACGGTGACGAGCATGCTTCCCTCAAACGAGAATCAGCCCACCCTCGAGAAAAGCCCACGGCAGCCAAAAAGGCCAAGGCAACAAAGGCAGAGATCAATCGGCCTCCAACCGAGAAGCTCAATGTCTACGTGTTTGGAGAAGGCTCTTCGGGGGAACTCGGTCTCGGGAGCGCCAAGGGCCAGACCGAAGTCAAGAGACCGCGATACAATCCCAATCTCAGCCCGGACAGCGTCGGCGTGGTCGCTTTGTCAGTCGGTGGGATGCACACTGCGGCTCTGACCCACGACAACAAGATTCTGACCTGGGGCGTCAACGATCAGGGCGCGTTGGGTCGCGACACTGCCTGGGAAGGTGGTCTCCGTGACATCGACGAAGATGCCAGTGACTCGGACTCGGACAGCGGTTCGGAGACAGCCGTCAACCCAAGAGAATCCACCCCAGGTGAAGTGGACCTGTCGGGTGTGCCTGAAGATGTCAAATTCAGCCAGGTTGCCTGCACCGACAGTGCCACTTTTGTTCTCACGACCCAGGGCGATGTGTACGGATGGGGCACATTTCGTTCGAACGAGGGCATATTTGGCTTTGACCCGACCACGCTCATCCAGCTCCGACCAAAGCTGATCAAGGGCATCGGCAAAGTCATTCAGCTTGCCACGGGTGCCAATCATGTTCTTGCGTTGCAGGAGAGTGGTGCCGTCTACTGCTGGGGTTCCGGGCAACAGAACCAATTGGGTCGACGGATCCTGGAGCGACGAGCGACAAACAGTCTGATACCCACTGCCATTGGCACGCTCAAGAAGATCGAATACGTCGGAGCAGGGGCCTACAATTCGTTCGCGGTGAAGTCGAATGGTGACGTCTACTCCTGGGGCTTGAACAACTTCGGCCAAACCGGCGTTCCCAAAGAATTCGACGAGAGTGGCAACACCAAAGGCAACGACGTCCACATGCCCATTATTGTTGACACGCTAGGCAAGTTTGGCAAAGTCACATGTATCCAGGGAGGGTCTCATCACACCGTCGCCGTCACCGACAAACACGAATTGCTGGTCTGGGGGCGAATTGACGGAAACCAGTCGGGTCTGAAGGTCCAGGAACTTCCAGAAGACGACGTCGTCCGCGATTCAGCTGGCCACCCACGGATTCTCGTGGTTCCGACCCAAATCCCCAACATTGAGGCTCTCATGGCTGCCGCAGGGTCTGACCACTGTATTGCCATTGACAAGAAGGGCAAAGCGTACTCATGGGGGTTCAGCACGACCTACCAGACCGGACAGGGCACTTCGGACGATGTGGAACTGGCCACACTCATCGACAACACGGCTGTCAGAGACAAGAAACTGGTTTGGGCCGGTGCGGGCGGCCAATTCAGCGTGATTGCCGGTCTTCCGGCACCGTTGGTGAATGGGGTCAATGGTGTCAATGGACATGCGTGATGAGGGAGGCGACATGAGCTCGAGAGATCCCGGGGCGAGAATGGACATTTCCTCAACATCAGTCTCCTGCGGCGTCTTGGGCAAAAAGTTCTTGCGATATACAATTTCTTCGACAGGCAAAACACACAAATTTTCTCAGACACAGCTTTCTTGGGAATTTTGCGTACTCCAGCATCAGCATTATATCCTCTGTATGAATAATATTTCAGGCCCGTTGGTGATTTGGGTGGGGCAGGCTGGGAGGAAGGGAGGCCGAAGAGCGGTCTTGTCATATGATGAAGACGTCTTCCTTGGGCCACAGAAGACTGAATGAGTTGGCATGGTACGGTTGGAGGGGCACTGTATTTCAGTCTGGTCTTGCTGGCACGTGGATGAAGCGAAGGGGACGGTTTTTTCTTTTTGATGGACTATGTATTTTATTTGGACACGCACAAATGGGCTGGATGGGTGAAGATAGAGAGAGAGAGATGGAGTTCAAGGATTGCGTTCAATCCAGATGCCATTCTTCTGCTCGTCATTCATTCATTCTTCTCTTCATCTCCTTCTTGCCTCGTCCATCTCATCTCATCTCCTCTCCTCCCCTGATCAGCGTCTAGGTCTCGTTGCCGCCCCATGGCGCCTCTGTTGACCGACTCTTCCAGGTTATCCCTCGGCAATCTCGTCCGATCAGAGCCCGATGCACACCGGACTCTCAGCTCATAGCCGACGAACCCAGCAATGCTCTCCTCTCCGTCTGTCGTACTTGTAGCATGCATGCATGCATACAAGGAGCAGCAGTCAGTCAGTCGGTGAGTGAGTGCACTATTGATCTGTCTGCCCCTCGCGTTCGTCTGTGGACTTATGTATGTACCCACCTAACGAGCGCCCCTCATCATGACAATATATGTTACATACTGTACCTCGTAACACGGACCCAGACTCGTGGAAAGGTACATAAACAAAGGGGATAGAGAGATCACCGGTGCTGCCCCTCACTTTCTACGTCCCCCTCCCCGCGCTCCTCCTTCTTCTGCCCTGGATGTGCCGAGCTTCACAGATCACGACGGACGTGAGCGAGTGGGTTGTTTCGGGCAGTAGCCGTTGTTGCCCGTTCGTTCCTTCTCCAAATCGACCTTTTCCCGTGGCTGTATTCGGTCCAGGTTACTGAGACGACATCCATGGAGGGGAGAGGAGGGGAGGGGGTCCCTTTCGGAGGAGAGACCGAAAGGTGAGATGTCATTGTTTTGACTTCTATTTCACTAATCCTCCAAGTCGAAGGGATCCTTCACAGTTGTGTAAGTTCGTGTTTTTTGTGTGTGTGTGTTTCAACCCGGCTTCTTCTTTGCCCATCATCACCACCACCACCATCACCACTACTGATACCATCATCTCCAGCACAAATCCTCGAGACACCTTTGCTATACATACATACACTTCGTAGATACCCAAGGTAGAAAGAAGGACAGGAACCAACGACTTTCAACACCATGGCCGGCCCCCCCGTCCCCTTCTCCGCTCTTCCACTCAACAAGTCCAACGCGGCGACGCGGCTCAACGCGTGGGGCGCGCACGGCGCAACGGACGAGCTGGGATTCCTGAACCGACAGACGCCGGAGACGGTGGCGGCGGCGGCGGCGTCGGAGATCAAGACGGGCGTGCGGGTCCCGCTGGACGCGCCGCTAGACTTCCAGGGCCAGAAGCCGCTGTTCGGGCGCCAGGTGTTCGTCAAGGACGTGTACCAGAAGAAGCCGCGCATCGTGCATGACGACACCTGGTCGTTCAACACCCAGAGCTCGACCCAGTGGGATGGCCTGCGCCACTTCGGGTACCAGAAGGCCGGGTTGTTCTACAACGACACCACGGTCGAGGACATCGCGGGCGTGTCCCCGAAGGGAGCCCAAAATCCCAACATCCTCGGCATCCACAAGGCGGTGGAGCGCGGCGGCGTCATGGGCCGCGGCATCCTGGTGGATTTCCGGCGGTGGATGGACGAAGGGCCCGGGAAGGACGTGGTGGGCGGCGCCTTCAAGCAGTTCGAGACGTCGGCCATCAAGTTCGAGTGGATCCTCGAGGTGCTCAAGTGGCAGAACAACACGACCCCGCGCTTCGGTGACATCCTGATCGTGCGCTCGGGCTTCTTCCAGTCGTACTACTCGATGGTGTCGACGCCCGCGGGCGAGGCCGAGATCCAGCGGCTGACGTCCATGAGCCCGCCCGGGCTGGGGGGCGTCGAGCAGTCGGATGAGGTGCTGCGCTGGATCTGGGAGCACTTCTCGGCCGTGGCCAGCGACCACCCCAGCTTCGAGCGCTGGCCCACGCCCTTCGACTGGAGCATGCACGAGGTCCTCCTGGCCGGCTGGGGCTGCAACATCGGCGAGCTGCTCGACCTCGAAGCCCTCAGCAAGGAGTGCGCGCGCCAGGGCCGCTGGAGCTTCTTCGTCGCGTCCGTGCCGTGCTACGTCCCCGGCGGCGTGGCCAGTCCGGTCAACGGCGTGGCTATTTTTTGAACGTGGACGGAATAGAACAGGGATGGGGCGGGACGAGGGGGGGAGGGGAAGGAAGAGGGGATGGGGGTTTTGTGACGGTGATGTTCAAGGAAGGAGTTGCATGATGGGAGGAGGGGAGTGTAAAGGATGTCCGTTTAGGGGTTATCGGAGACTAGAAATGTGCATGGTGTCCCGCGGCAGAGCGAGGCGAGCAAAAGTTAGGGGGCAGGACAGGGAGGGAGGGAGAGGGATCAGAGAGGACATATGTTTGAGCAAAGCGGCCAAACAAGAGAAGGGTTGGGACTGCAAGGACATTTGCAGAACTCAGACAGCCTGGACAATTACAGAGGTATGCGTATTGTTGAGGACGCCGGCGTCTAGGCTAGCTCTCCGAGAACCTATATCGACAAGAACACAACCTGTGAATGCTGTGAACCAACCAACGTGATACAGTTATGAGTACAAGTTCATATGTAGGTAGTTACACAGTAGAGATGATAACTCCTGCCGACTGACTAACCCAAGGAATCACTCCAGGGCTGTGCGTGAGCCGACCAAAAAAGAAAAGGAAAGATCGTGACCATCCAGGCATAGAAGTCCATCCACAACCGGCCGTCATATTATTCATTATTGACCTGGAAACGCTTTGCCCATCCTTTTGCCCATGCTGCTGATGCTGCTGCTGCTGCTGTTGCTGTTGTTGTTGTTGTTTTCAATCTCGATATCATGACATGAGCTGAGCTGAACTCGACACACGCAAGTTCCGCCATGCAATTTTGTAACCACAAGAATTCCTCCACAAGTTGTTTTTGAATAACACAAAAGAAAAAGAAATTGAGGACAGACGGTAACGGGTCGCTGGTCGGGGCTTCATACCGTTGATGGACATGCGGTGTGACAACCGACAGCTCGGTATGCTGCTGTCGAACGCCGCACGGCAGGTTGCCTGCCAACGTATTACTTCCAACATGCACTGTTGAAATGCAGGAGTAGTAGCGTGGACGTCCCGACCTACCGGGTCAAGGGGATGGGTGGCCACGGGTCCGGAGGCTCTCACACGGAGTTCCTCCTTTCGAGCCACTCCATGAGCATGCGGTGCTTGTGGTCCTCGTAGTTCTGGGCACACGTGGCCGGCTTGGAGTTGCGGCGCCAATATGTTTTGGACGGCCGGTCAAACTGCATGCCAAACGTGGACGGTGACTGGCCGTCGTAGAGGTCGGCCTGTGGCGTCATGGGGCATTTGGGCGGCTCTTCGGGAGGCGAGAGGTAGCCCTCGACTTTTCCCTCGTTGACGACGGCCGATCCAGGGTGAACCGGATGGGGGCCGTATATGCGGTGACGGAGCTCCCTCCACGGTGGGAAGGGAGGAAAGTGAGGTTTGGAGTCGGAGTGGGAGCGAGTTGGGCTCAGGGGATTGCATGGGCTAAACGTCCTGACAGGCGAAGCCTCTGGTCCCGGTGTGTGATTTGGTGATTCGGTTTGGGTGCCTTCTGACACCATGGCGACGACAGGGACTGGTGCCGCTGTCATCGGGGGGCTGGTGAATTTCACCTCGTGGGCGACGGGAGAAAAATCAGGATCTCCCGGTAGAATGCCAGGCTGGTCTCCGTTATCTGGTATGTTTGTGAACGGATGGCAGTCTGGAGGTGTGACTATGACGGGTATCTCAACCATTTTTGGTTATATCTGGGGTTGTTGCATTGTCCTCTGATCGTCGACGCCTGCGGCTGGGTCAATAGTTTTATACGTCTGGGGATGAGCAGAAATGATTGGAGAGAGACATTTTTGCCCGGCAGCCTTTGCCGCTAGAGAAGTAGCTGGACGGCGGCGGATGGCAGAGGAAACGGATACACGTCCCCTTCACGAGACGAAGGGTGCCGAACAAGACTGGATGCGTATGGCCATTGGACGGGGGACCAGACACAGCCACTGTCAGTACTGAATCACTTGATTGCCGAATATCGTCCTCGGGGGATCCAGGCCTCCGAAGAGGTTTCCATGAATAATGTTTGCAGCAGTGGTCGAGTAGGACAGAGGTTGGCCAGTGGACGGCGGGGAGGAAAGTACCACTCACACCATCAGCAGGGTTTTCCGATAGGCGACCAGGAGTCTCAAACATCAGATGATTGCGACAAAGCGGGGAGACGATGCCAACCGCTCGGGTTCAGCATGCCGGAGGAGTTTGAAACGGTGAGGGACGGACAACGGTTTTGCAAATCCGGGGTATTGGGGGACACTATGGCGCCATTGATCGAGAAAGCAGACATGGACATGGGATAGTCATGACGAGACGAGTCAAGGACGGGAAAGTCAGTGTCTGAGATGAGGCCATTTCATCATGGCAGACAGACAATACAGAGAGAGAAGTAAGTACAGTACCGTATGCAGGTGTTGGGATGGATGAGACAACCAAGTCGGGTGACTGGTGGCGATACCATGCACGAAAGACACACCCAAGGGATGATGACACAGACAGACAAGATGCAAATATGCGCGTATTATTTCAAGGGGAAAAAGTCAAAAGAGCCTTCATGAAGGTGAAGTGAGTCAGTCCCATCACATATCAGACATCACACCACTCCGCCATCCACCACCAATACGGCGGGTTCCGGTCGTCTGAGCACCACCCGTCCCGAACAGGTCGGTATTGCGGATTACAGTACGTACACACGCACCCCTTGGGATGCGACAGAGACATATTCTTGTGTGTGAGCTGTCGAGGGAGATTTCCAACATAAAAATGGACACAGGAACGCGTCTCATCTCGTCGAGACCACCAGATCACCATCAATCAACTCAGTTGTCTATTACATACTACTGCATCCCGCCAGAGAATACCCAACAACACCATTACCACCACCACCACCACTAAATCTCACTCAAGATGATGTCCCACACAGCAACAGTAAGTCAGAATTCCAGCCCCCCCGAGGAAACTCCTTTCCCCTGGGTGAGATCCAATGCACGTGTTTCGTGGCTGACCCTTCCCGCCCCCCAGAGTACCACCACCGAGCACTCAGACAAAGCCCCGACGTCAATCGAGGTCAACAACGCCGGCTATGTGCCCATCTACAACGACACCGACTACAGCGACTTCCTGTACCTAGCCCCGCCGCTATCGACCGAGTTCCTGCCCCTGGAGCCGCCCGTCACCGACAAGGCCGCACGGCCCATGCCCATGGTGAAGAAGGCCCACGTGCGGCCGTCCGAGACGTTCAACACGGGCACCACGCCGCCCCCGGAGAAGGTCTACGCCGAAGCGACCTTCCCGCCGGTCATGGCCCGGTCGTCCACGACGTCTGCGATGGCAGACGACAAGACCGCCGCCGTCGCCGCCGAACGACGCGAGCGCAGACCCAGCTTCGTCGAGGTCACGCCCGTCAAAGTCCAGCACGACCATGACAAGCACAAGGACGCCCACCACCACCATCATCACGAACGAAGGCGGTCCTCGCACGAGTCCGAGCCCATGGGCTGGTGGCCCGAGGACGACACCAAGGCGCAGCACGAGTGGGTCGAGCAGAACGAGGAGGAGGATGTCATCGAGGAGGACGTCTGGAGCGATGAATTCTACGAGTAATGAGTGCATGGATGACGATGCCTTTCACGTTCCCCCCCCCCATCGCCGCCACTACCACCACCACCACCAACCTTTCTGCCAGCTTCGGAGTATACAGAGGGCGACTCGATGATGTTTGTTTATTATATTTTTTTCCCTTCTCCCCCTTCGGTTCAAAGGGCATTGGGCGAATCAGAGCAGGCAGGATTTCTGTGAAGCGAATCTCGAAAGGAAAGGAAGACAAGGGGGAACTTTTCACGTCACATGTAACAACCCACCCGCCCACCAGACCTGTACATACATCACACACAGAGCAAGCATCAGAGGCTTTAACGCCTACTCACGTCTTGATGAAACATAAAATACAACGAAGTATTCACGACTCTCAGATCCCACGATTCTGCTTCTCCACGGTGCATAAATGAGTGTGTATATAAAAAAGTATTGGAAGGAGGAAGACGACGACACTGATCGCCGCATAGAAACAAGAGAGGAGGACTCTTTTCGTTCCCATTCTTGTCTCATCGGGTGCATGGTATTATTATCTCGTCGGAGCTTTTATAGTACTGTGTACTTATTTAATCGACAAGAGCTCAATTAGGGTGGTACTGGAGGTAGGATGAGGGAAGGAAGTCTCAATAAAGCGGCGGAATTATCATTACACATTATCTTCCCTTCTCTGATCGAGTGTTCCAGTAGTAACCACAGTAATAATACACAGATTGTTCCTTGCTTCGCCGCATTTCCTTTCTTCACACACACAATCAGCTATCCAAATCGAGCCCACGAGCCTTCCGATGCCCCTTCAATCAGTTGCCTAGCCGTCGTCGTCTGCCTCATCGTACTCTCCAAATTCGCCGCACAATATCGATGCAATCCTCCAATCCACATCCGGAATGGCCTCGACAAAGTCGCTTGGGTGATGATGGCGCCGCTGCTCACGACTCTGGCCAGTGCTGCGACTCCGGCCTTTGATTCAGGTGCTGACGCTGGGGAGCGAGGTGAAGTGGATGGGCACATGGATGTGCTGGGCCTCGCCGTGCTCCATGATCTTGGGCACCACGATCCTCAGCAGCCCAGCGTCGAGCTTGGCGTGCGTGCGGTCGCGGTCGACGTCGACGGGGAAGTTGAAGGCCCTGATCATCTCGCCGACCTGCCGCTCGTGCACGGTCAAGTGAGGCTCGTGCTTCTTGGGGGCCTGTTCTGCGGCCGCTTTGGTCTCGGGCGCTTCCCCTGCCTCTGTTGTAGGAGCAGGGGCAGCAGCAGGAGTCTCGCCTGTCGTCGGCGGAGCGGGTGTCGGCGTGGGAGCTGTGACTGCTGGTGGTGGGCCAGGCTCCTCGACCAACTCCCCTTCCGGAATGTCGGGCCGGTGAGTCCTGCTCGTCAGCAGCAGCGTGCGGTTCGATGTCCAGCGCAGACGAAGTTCCGTGTGCTCCTTGACGCCGGGCAACTCGACTTCCAAGTAGAAGTTGCTCAGCGTCTCGCGCACATCGGTCTTGGGTTGATGGACGTCTTCGTCTCGGTCATGGAACTTGGTGTACACCTTGTGTGCCATGTATGGAACCGGGATGTGGTGCAGGTGATGCCCAGGTTCTGGATAGGTGTGGGAGATGTGTGTCGTTGGGTATGGGTCGATGTCGGATGTGATGTAGAACCAGCCCGCCATGTTGGTTGATTTCGACTTCGAGTTGATGTCTCTTGCAAGGACAAGTTTTCAGATTGTGTTTTGGCTTGGATGTTAGTCTCTGACCCCATCATCGAGAGGCAGCCTCGTGTATATGTCTTCCCAAGTAGCATGCCTCCCTCTCCCAGGACCTCGGCCAAAGTCATGTGCCCATCACTGGACAATGCCATGTTACGTGCCAATTTTTTCTGGGTGTTGCCTGAAGCGTCGAGAAGCTCACCTCATGATCATGGCAGCTTTGCAGAGCAGATGTACAGTCATGCGATCTGGAGATTCAGGGTGGAAGCTGCAACCCATTGGCAGGAGGCCGAGACACGTCGCGTGAGAGAGTCTCGAGCAACCATGGTGTGATGTTGCATTCACCACCGAATGGAGTGGATGTCCAGCGGCTTGTTCCAGCCGCATAGGCGAGCGACGCGCAGGAAGGCTCCGCCCCTGAATCCTCGCGCAAGATCTCGGCCGCTGGAAGCGTCCCACTTGGGGCCCCTGGGCCTAGTGAGCCTGAACCACGGGTGCTGCCATGCCCGGAAGGGCCACATGCAGGTGCCTAACCGCGCATTGACCCCCCCCAGCTGGGCCTACTCTAGCTAGGTCTCCATTGAGATCTGCGCCGTCATACCACTTCTTTTATGCCTCAAACTCGATACAAGCCACGCACAGTCCAGCACAGCAATCAACAATGTAACTCCCAATCCATATATATATAACGGCAGCCAGCCTGCGCTTGCCCATGCCTGCCTTGTTCACCCATCAGACCGCAAAAGACATTTACACCACCAAAGAAACCCAATCACAAATCTAGAGATTGGAATTTTCCTTCCTCCACATCGAGCAAAATGCTTCGAACATCAATTCCCAGAAGCTGTATGACCAGGATCCGAACACCCCAGTTTTGCCAGTCGTTTGTCACCACACGGCCAAGCTGGAGTGAAGGCGACACTGGCGCAATACGGGCAGGCGGGGTTGCTGCGAGGTAGGCCTCTGATCACCACCACCACCGATTCAAGCCGAAAGGGCCCTTTTACTGACCTGGAAATTTGGCTAGTGACCCATTCAATCGCCGGGAACAGGTTTTGGAGAACATGTACTTCAAGCAACACGAAATAGAAAAGTGAGTGGCCGCCCTCGTCTCTGTCCTCTTGTTTATGGATCAATATAACTCACACATCCGTCGTGGACAGTATTCGGAAGATGAGAGAAAAGCTCGTGGCTCAACGAAAACATCTAGACGAGGTCGAGAGCCATCTGAACGAAATGGAGGCTGCCGCACTCAAAGACGCACAAGCGAAAGTGGCAGCAGCGGCAGAGCAAAAGTTGTGATGGACTAGCGAATTCGGCGTTGAGGGGGCTTTGTTTTTGACGACCTAAAAGGTCGTGACACACTGGAAGTCCGGTCGTATTATCAGACCCGGGAGTTCTCGACGCTACGAGATTTGGTATAGCGTCTGTAGTCGTACATGTTTGACCAATGAATACGATACATATTTGCACCCCAGATCGTTCTCTTCTATTCGTGTGAGGTTTTTGAAGAATACCACTGCTCCTGTGCGTCATGATGGCTGGGAACCGGTGATGGCACGATGTCGACGCATGGTAGGAGGTTGTAATCCTGGCAAAGTGGTTGCATGAGGATGAAAGTGTGGAGAGGACCGGCCTGTGGTCGTTTCTTACAAGTCACACCATGATTGTCAGGGCGTAACTCGGTTCCAAGGAAGCCGCGTCAATTTTCTCAAGGAGTGATTTGTTGTGCGTTCTTTCTTCCTGGTCATTCGACAGAAAATCTAGGCATTTCTCTGCCTCCGAATCCTTTCGTATGGCTGGATCTCGTCGGCGATCCGCTCGTCCTGTCCAGGGCCAGAACCTTGCAGCTGAGGTCTGAGATGAGACTCGTCCGTATTCATGCCCAAAACACCCAAAATCTCTCCCTGATAGGGTTCCATTAGGTAATCTCATGAGCCGAAAGCAACCGTCCTCAAAGACCATCACGCCACGATCTGTTGGGAGGTCGACTCAATGGCGTGCCTGCCTGTCGGTTGAGGAGGCAATGGGTGAATATATCATATTTGACGCGCGACCTCCGTGACCTTCGTGGTCCAGCGACAACCCCCCAGATCATAAGTGAGGTAGCATATCATCCGATTAGACAGATTACGACAGAACTCCCACAACACAAAGTCACCATGGCAAGCAAAGCAGACGGCAACGGCGTCACGGACGAAAATCTCTACCACATCGTCTTCAGCATCTCCAACATCCCAAAAGACCCCAACCTCGCAATCGAGAAACTGCGCATCTGCGGCACCTTTACAGACCTGCAGGCAGCCAAAGCGGAGGCACACAAGACACTCTTCGAGGCCGGCTACGAACGAGAATGGTTCACCGAGTACGACACCAACGAGACAGACTTTGAAGTCCACCACATCAAGAGAAAATCGGGGCTCTGTGTCTTTGCGAAAGCAAGCGACGGCACGACCTTCCGTGTGGCTGTCGCAACCACGCCGAATACCCAAGGCTTCGAGAGCAACCCAGAAGACCACAAAGTGCACGGCGACGTGTACCATGTGGTGCAAACCACAGTCCTGTACGACGAAGACGACACTGGCGAGGCCCGGGAGACGATTGTCGAGGGCTCGTTCAAAAAGTACGAAGACGCCAGGAAATTCGCCAGTACAGTTCTCCTGGCACCCGAGGACGGTGTGACGAAGGAGTCATTTGCAGAGTACGACGAGGCAGGTCCAACAGAGAAAGACTGCGGATACGGCGAGAATGTAGTGGTACATGCAGTTGGCAGCAATGGTGAGAATCTGCTCATCAGCGTCTTAAAGGGGCAGGAGATGGAATCGGTCAGGTTGGCAGAGGCAGCGATGAGGATTCGCTCGTTCAACTAAACGGTGCATTTTGGAATTCCCAAGTCGACGTCGACAGGGCAAGAAACATGACGGGAAGGGACGGAACAACGCTGTACAAAAATCAGAATCCAAATAATTTCAAGAGCTGCAAACATCAAGAGCTGCAAACATCAAGAGCCGCACTTCGAGTGGTCATGTGTTGTGTGTTTTGTGGTAATAGAGAAAAGTGGTCGAGGCAGATGACAGATGACGAGATGATAGATGCCCGGCGCGGATCATCAATCTTCCCTGCATTTCGGGCTCGTTCGGATACCCCGGAGAGGGGTGGGCACCCTGGAAGATCTCGCTAAGGGCGTACGAAGGCTGCTGGGGGCAGTTTTAGGCCACTAGGCTCTCTGGGCGGTCTTTGGCGCTGCCGGTGTGACCCTAAGCCTGCCGAGAATCTGGGTGCAAGGACGAGAGGAAATTACTTGGCACACTGCCTGGTATGGTCGTCAGGATCACACCACCATCATCACCAGCACCCAAACAAGCCGAACGCCTGCCTATAGTCCCTCGTTGTATGCCTGTTGTCGTCATCGATCTGTAGGGAAGACGCCTAGAATCACAGAGACGCCACAGGCGAGTCAGTAACGTGCATCACATGGCGACTCCCCTCTATGGTAAGACCGTTGTGTGACTTTGAGGCTTCAGACTGCCAACCCTCATTCTCGGATTCTCACGTATTCTTTCTTTCGGCGACCATGCTTCCTCGGACGACTGTCTCATTCTATCTCGTTGGTGTACTTGTACAACGCCATCGCGTTTCGTTCTCCTCGTTTGAGCCATAGAGATTTGACCGGCTAGCTAATTAATAATATTTTGTCCTTGACATTTTCGTTGGGTCTATACCCTGACATCGAGTCTCACACACACAAACACACATGTACATCCCCAGACAGCAATTCCTCACCGAGGCCGACATTGGGCCTCAGAGGGCTGAGAACGTCCTCCAATCCAATGGCTCGGTCGCTGCATACCCAGGAATGCCTAGCGACCTCCAACCACCGTACAGAAACAACCCGGATGTCCAGGGTATCGCCGTGTTCATACAGATAACCTGGATGCTATGGTTCGTGTTGATACTGCTGATGATGTGGTGAGCAGCGTCAAAATCCAATGTTGTCAGGGCCTGAGTTGACACAGAAACAAGTCGCGCTCTCTACGACAAGTTCGGTGGTGCCGGAGACGAACTCTCCGATACCGACTCAGATATCACAGAGGCGGGCTGGCGGATCGAAGATTCAAGCCTCCCCCCTACTTCAATAGCCTCGCAGCACCGGAAGAGGTTGAAGAAGCTCGAACAAGTCGCTCCGGCTCAATCGCTGCTACACTGGAGAGCCGAGAAATCAGTGGAACACGTCCAGACGTTTGCGACACTCTCCACGACCCTCAGTTGATACGTGACTCGGGCCCCCCCTTCCTGACCAGTTCAATACTGACATCCACAGCACTGCCATTTGCTTGGAGTCTCTCGAAGAGACCGACATGATTCGCGAACTCCGATGTGGCCACGTCTACCATGCCAATTGCCTCAACCTCTGGGTTGAACGGGGCCATCACGACTGCCCCCTGTGCAAGTACGATATGCTGGGTTTGATGAAAAGCTTTCTGAAACCCCACCCCGATGACGAAGAAGCTGCAGTCACTGCCCTCATTCAAGAAACTGGTCAACCCTCCGAGGAAGTGCGTTTCCTCTTCCCTGAACCCGTGCGGATGTGGTGGTTACTGACGAGCCTAGTAGGTCCATAGCGACTATGTCACTGTCTACGGAGGCACTGCGAATGATTGAGACGGTTGAGGTTTCAGGTCGTGGCACACACAACTCAGCCTCTACGTTTGTCCACGAATTATAGTGACATGTCCCCAATAATTTCGGTGGCAGCTGCCACACAAGCTGGATACCCCAGTCAGCGTGCGAAAAACTACCTCCGCTCAGCTACCGAGATCGACGATAATACCGAATCAAGTGATAAGCGGACCAGCCGCGGTGCCGGCAAAGGCCTGCTTCGGATGACCTTTCACCGCAGAGAGAAAGGCCAAGTAGGACTGGGCCCAACCGTGCATCGACCGTCGCTGGGCGGTCAGGGTCCCTAGACCAGCGCTGATGGAATGAGATGGATTCGACCCAACCGTATCTCATAGAACCGGGCGACCCGGTCAACGGGACAGAAGCGTCCCGTGCCCCTGTCGTCCAAATGGCACGCTGTCCGCTCTAGGGAGAGAAACTCCTGAAGAAGCTTTGACGAGACAGGTGCACTTCCACAGCCACAGCCACAGCGGTGTGAGTGAACAACGACCTGGAAGTGAGCATCAATCTACAAAGCGCGAGAGTGCAACTATCAAGACAAACAAACCGTATCAGCTGGGATCGATGATATCTGCAGCAGATCCAGAGCTTATATTTGTGGGGTTTATATTTACAATGTGCGGCTGGAAGCGGCCTATACCTGATATCGGAGCTCTCTCACATCCAAAGGAGGGCGAGGATGGAAGGGTCGGTCACTCGTTTGGCACGGCCAACCTCCTGCAAGAAAAACTTTTCAAGAAGCGTTCGTAACTTCGTCCACCATCCTTCTAAATTCCCGCTGTCTCTCGCACTGCTCCAAGAAGACCTTGTACTTGACGTCCAGCAGCCGTTTGACGCTCTTGTCCTCGTTGGGCCGCACCACCTTGCCGGGCTTGCTCATTCGGTCCATGATACTCCACAGATCCTCGGTTTTGCCGTTGGCGTCGGCACTCGCGGCTTTAGCGCCTAACATGGCCGCGCCGTGGCACACGGCGGCGTGGACATAACGGGGAATCAAGACGGGCATGTCGCAGGCTGTGGCGACCAGTGACATCAAGATGTCGTTCTGGCACTGGCTTCCGGACATGAAGATGGAGCTGATCTTGTGTCCGGCCTTGTTCATGGTCGAGATGATCTGCCATGTCTGCAGGGCGATGAACTCCATGGTGCCGTAATAGTACAACGCCAGGCCGTCGAGGGACTTGTCGCTGGACAAGCCAACGACGGAGCCGGACATGGTGGGGTCGGCGATGGGCGAGCGGTTGCCGAACAGGTCGCCGTAGAAGAAGAAATGGCGGCCCAGGTAGCTCACGCTCGGGGCGTCCACCTTCTCCTTCATGTCCAGCAGGTGCTGGTTCAGGAAGTCGTAGACGTTGCTGCTGGTCGACTCGGCCCGCGATAGCGCCTGGTTGTACGCCGGGTGTGTCTCCAGCACGTGCTTGAGCAGCTCACCCGTCGCGGACTGCCCGCCCTCGGCCATCCAATAGTTCGGGATCACCGCGTCTCTGTACGGCCCCCACACGCCCGGCACGAACACGGGGTCTTTGCTCATGACGAGGTGGCAGGTCGACGTCCCTGCGACGGCCGCCAGACGGGTAAATGCCTGGGACTGGTCGTTCGCCGGGGCTTCTTGGGAAAGCTGGTCGGCTGAGAGTTGGACTTTGGCTCCCACGGTGCCGATCCAACCTGCGTAGGCATCGATGACGCCACTGCCGACCGCGATGCCAGCGGGCAGGCCCAGGTCTGCAGCGGCGCGTGGACATAGATAGCCGGCGAGTTCTCCTGCAGAGAGGTACTCGCCGTTCTGTTACAGAGAAGTAAAAGAGGTTAGCCTGCTGTGATAGCCGATGACAATTAGACGAAAAAGGGTGGTGTGTATGAAGCGAAACCGCCTCCTGTTCCCCCTATCTTGCTGCGCAAAATGCTAGCGGAAGAAATATTGGATCACGAGGAGAAAAAGGGCTGGATTGTCAAGGAAACAGGCTCACCACCCCGTTGACGCCGCCCATCCTCTTGAAGTTGTCCTCGGCCAGGTCCTCCAGGCCGATCTCCTTCAAAAAGTCCTCCTGCCAGCCCTTGACGCTGCCGTCGACGCCGACGGGCACGTAGCCCTGCTTGCAGACGACAGAGCAGAAGCTGCGCTTCTCGTTCCCCGTGGCGATGTGCTCGAGCGCGTCGGTCAGGTCGTAGAACTTGCAGCGGTCGAACAGCTCCTTGGGCATGTTGTTCTTGAGCCACAGCACCTTAGGGATCTCCATCTCGATGGACATGGTGCCGCCGACGTAGCGGAGCAGGTTGTGCTTGGTGGCGTTGATCTTCTTGGTCTCGTCCACGGGCCGGTGGTCCAGCCACAGCACGACATTGTGGTCGTTTTGCGTCGAGTCGAAGTTAGGCCCCGTCACCGACACGGGCTCGTCCGTGTCGTGCGTGAACACCGCCAGCGAGCACGTCGCGTCGAACCCGATGCCCCGGATCGAGTGCGGGTCGATGTTGTTCTGCGTCAAGGCCCGGTGCACCGACAGGCAGATGCACCGCCAGATGTCGGTGGTGGATTGTTCCTATGGCTCAAGAGGACACTTGTCAGAGAGAGAGAGAGAAAGAAAAGAACCAGTTGGGAGGGCGGTAGACGAGTGGTTTTGTCCGGTCCGGTTGTGCTCCTTACATAGTATCCGGTCTGGGGTTGCCAGAGGCCAATGTTCTCCGACGACAGGCCGACAATGTCACCGGCCTCGTTGATGATGCAGGCCCTGGCACTGCCCGTGCCGACGTCGATGCCGATGTAGTGGTTCATCTGGACATGGACCTCGTTCCGCGCGTCGACCGAGTTTTGTCGCGTAGGCGTGCGGACCCCGGTGTTGGGGCCTGGACGGAAAGGGATCTGGGATGAAGAAGAAGCCATGGTGGAGCGGGAAAGAGGAATTGGGGGGAGTTGAAACGCGGGAGAAAAGGGAATGGGCAAAAAAAGTAGTAAGGGGGAACTTGGAAAGAGAGAGAAATTGTCCCTACAGCTTCAATGGAGACCTAAAGAGAAAAGGGCACGTCTGTAGTTCAATGAATTTCAACAACAACAAAAAATCTCAATCCAAGACAGACGACGTCGTGGTTGCAGCAGCAGCAGTAGTAGTGAGGGGTGGATGTTATGCAATACCCTATTCAGCAAAGCCGATCGATCCATTGTGATAGTAGCAAAACTACCCCTCGTACGTGAATGATGGGGCATTATGTCATTTGCGTCGATCTGGATTTCTCGAACCGTTTTTTTTTTGTTGAGAGGCACAAAGCTGCATGCAGGCTTAAGTGGGGGAAAAGACCGTTCGGGACCCTTCCTTGCCTGGGAAAGGGAACCCGGTAAACCGGGACATACTGGGGAGGAAGAGGGCCGACTCGAGGCCTAGAGAGGCCCCTGGATGGCCCCCCTGTATAATAATGGGAACGAAGAGGGGCGACAACGTAGCCCTGGCGGCTCCTGACATGTCAAGCCCTCGTCTAGAATTGCCCACAGTGTGGCATTGTTCCTACGCACACTCGGTAATCTCTCAGCTCTGGGACAAATACGCGATCAATATCAGGTCTTCTGTACTTGCATTCAGCACTCAATGCGCACTATTGGTATCAGCTATTCCTTCCAACACAGCGACAGCACAAAGTGCCGCTCAACTTTATGACCACAGTGACACATACGGTGAGGCCATCATGGGCTCAGCCAGCTCACATATATATACAGGATAAAAATAAAACGAGAAAAAAAAAACCCACATGAGGTTGTCAGGACTGCCTGGACCTCGTTCGACCGTCGCTTATCCCCCCACTGTCGCGATTCTCCATCCATGAAGAAAGAGACATGACCGGCCCACATTGTGTTGATAAACGCCCACACATATTTCCGCCGTCTGATTTCCCGAATTTTGCTGACCCTGTTGCTCCGTGCCCATCGATCCCGTTCGCCCCGTCTTTTCTGGTATAAGCTGTGTCGTCATCACTGCATGTCCAAGCCTCGCGGAAGGTCCAAAAGTTCTTCTATTCGTGTCGTGAAAAACAAGAGGCTGCTCAATCAACGCCGATTTCGATCCGTGATCATACACGTTTAACGCACACCCCTCGATGGCGCCACCTGGGCCAGGACCGTCGACATCTCTTTCGGTATGCCAATCGTTCCATCCGATGGTGGTAAAGCACTCGTGATCTTGGTCGGAGATGAAGCAGCCATTGAACCCTGCGCCAACCTGTCAGGAGGGCTGTTTGCCGGTCCTTCGGCATCCTTCATCGGAGTGTCCTTGACTATACCACTCGAAAGCCCCGCCTCGGGAGTACTCTGGTGAGCAGCCGGCTCGGCGGTTTGCGCATTCCCGAACCCCGGGTCGATGGTCCCAGGCGAGTGTTGTCCCGCTTCTGCCAGCGTTTTGGAAAGTTCAGTCTCGCCTGGGCCCAGAATCGCCTGAGCCTGGGACTTCTCAGCGGAAGGCGTGGACGCCAGACGACGACTCATGTAGTCTCCTAAACTGAGTTTCTTCCGCGCAGGGCTAGGGGTGACAACAGGATTGATCGGTACGGAGTATGAGTTGGAGGACGCCGAGTTGAATGGGATGGGCGACTGTGCTGTCGCTGTCGTCGTCAGGCCAGGAGTCGTCACCGTAGTAGAGGACGATGAAGCAGAATTTGCCGACGTCGGAAAGACCGGGACTGGTGGCAGAGTTGCCAGGTGCAGCTTCGGAGCAGGGGAAGTTCGGAAGGCTTTAAACGTGTGTGCCGCCTGTGAAGGGAGAGGATACGTCGTGGCGCCCACGGTGACAGGGCTGCTGCTTCCTGAAGGAGACTGCGCGTCCGGCTCGGCCTCCATGACACTTCGGTTATCCACGTTTTCAGTGGCGTCTACCATTTCCACATCATCCGTCTTTGCATTATGCTCAGGCGGATGGTGGTTCGGGCCTGAGGCGGGAAAGCCTGGTGCAGGACATTGCTGCTCATGTTTGACCCGGTCGTCCAGAAGTCTTCTGAGCAACCGCTGTGTGGGCGTGCAGAATTTCCTCCTCTTCGCAGGGGGAAGCATGGGCACTTCGGATTCTTCTGCGTCTGTCTGAACTGCAACACTGACATATACAGGTCGCGGTATTCTCGTCTCTACCCTGGCGGTGGCATCCGTGGATTTACCTCGACCCGCAGAACCTCTGGGTGGCGGTGGCGAGCCTAGCGAGGCGTCACTGAACTTGAGAGGGTGGTTGTTGGGCGTATTGGGGTGCGACGTGATTTGATGTCCTGGTGGCTTCGAGGCACTCACATTCGGGGTGTTCAAGGTTGAACCGCCGCTTGTGCGTTTCTTTTTCCGCTGCTGGCCTTGTCCATTTTGATCCTTCTTTTCTTGTTCCCGCTGTGCAAACGCTTTCTCCGCCATTTGTATTTTGCGTAATTCCCGAGCAGTCAGGCCGTTTCCAAGGACCGGGTCGGCGTCAAGAGATGCAACGTTGACTGGAGTAATATCTCTGCTCAGCATGCCGCTCCGAGAAGATTCCGAGGTTGACCGATGATCGAATTGGTCTTCGTCTTCGAGCACCTTGGGTTCGCTTCCTGCGCGACTGTTGGTGGCATGTCCAGTACTGAAGGGCGAGATGGTATGGTTCATCTTACTTTTCTTTTTCCTGCCTCCCTTTTCCTTCGGAGCACTTTCCACCGGTTTGGCCGGATACCTTCGATCGAACGGCGCAAGTAAACAGGCTTGACCAGCGTCACAGGCACAGTCTCCAAAATTCGCCAGGACACGGCTGACCCAGTCGAGGCGTCGAATTTGGGCTTGTTCAGAATCATCAGCAGCGAAATTTGCCGAGTCGAGAAACCACATGGTGGTGAGTTCGGCACCGGCCGGAATATCCTTGCTAGCGACAAAGCAATGATGAGTCTCGTTGTCGGAAACAAAGGTTTTCAGGGTGACATTGGGTCGACAAGACCGTCGCAGATACCGGAAGCGAGTCCCAGATTTGCGGCTATCAATGTAGATGTCCATGTGCGGGTGAAAGAAGACAAACGGGTCCGGGTGCCTCAACTCTTGCCATCTGTTCGACGAAGACTTCTGCTGACAGTACTCTTCCAGCATGCCGACCTGACCACGAACTTCGCCAACAATTTCGTCCTTCTTCACGGGGGATTGCACGCGCAAAAAGCGCCATGTGGGACACCTGCCTTCGTATTCTACCTCTTTCTTCTGGATGGTTTCTACCGAGACTTCTGGCCAAGTGCTTTGATCCAGGCTGTGATTGGCACGTACAAAGGGAGATTTCGCTGTTGGCTGTTGCCCGGGACTGCTGACCACCAAAGACGGGTCATTCCGCCATGCAAAGAGTGTATTGGTAGCCTGGATTGTCTGCTCGTTATCCCGAGCATTCGTGTTTCCCTCGTCGCGGTCATAAAGTTCAAGGAAATCAGTGGTATACGTGGGAATGGCAGGAAAACGGAAGAGATCCTGGGGCGATTTCGAAGGACTGGGGTATGACTGAACTGTGGAAGTGGCGCGTTTTCGAGTTTCGCCGTTTGTTGAGACGACAGAACCCGAGGTGCGGTGGCTGGTCTTTGGTTTCTTCGCAGGAGGCCCATCTCTTGCACTGACAACAGATTCATGGCGATCATGATGCCAGCCATTTACCTGTTCGGCCGTCGCACTCGCCTCCTTGTGTTTCTTTTTCTGTGTTTTCGAGGTTGGTCGCTTGACCTTCCGGTCACCGCCGTCGAGGGCCTCTCGATGTCTGCGCTGTCGCTCAGTGGCCTTCTTTGCGTCAAGATCTCGAGGGGAACAGTCTGCGCAAAAATGCTCTTCAGGCACCTTTTTGCCATGATAGTAGCACTCGATGTGCTGCCAGGTGTCGCATTTAGGGCAGTATACGGTGTTACCATCATCATCTGCGTAGATACAGATGCACTTGATGGTGTATTCCTCCTCGTCTTGTAGATTGGTGTCTGAGGGAGAGCCATTGGCTAAGGGAGAGGCCAGAGAGGGAACGGCGGTGACCGGGTAGTGGGTAGGCGTGGGATGCGTGGTGAGAAGGGAGGACTCTGTCATAATCCGACAGAGTACCTCCTCATCGGTGGGGTTTGATTCTTGTTATTTTCTTGTTTCAGTTATAAAAAGGGCTGTCGCAAGTTGCGCATCGCTAGAACGGGGTGATTCCCACGCAAGGACTGGGAGCCCAAAGTTGACCTGTGGGTATCGCGCAACCGATAGGATGACGAATCTGGCGCCTATTGCGATTCTGAAGCGTTTTGAGGTCTTTTTCCCTCTAGGGAGAGCCGCTAGACGAGCTGGACCACCGGGTCGCCGAAGAGGCCACACGAGCGCAGGAAAGAAAGGGGTTTCGCAAACAGTCGGAATTGATCAGAACTGAGTGTCGATGATGGCTGACGAGTTCTGAAGAGCAATTCGAGTCTGTCGAGGGCCGCCGACTGCAGAAATAGGTCGGAGTGGAAGAGGTGGTTATGACAAGATCGAGAGGGATGGCTGGGATCAGTCGACCGAGTTATCGATGGTGGCACAAGGCAAAGGGTAAAGAAAGGAAAAAGGCCCCGGGAGATAAGAACTGTGAGTCGAGAGAACGGGAATTTCGAAGATGCGTTCGAGGAGGAAGAAAGTGCTGAATGACAAAAGAGGGAGACAAGAGATGGTGAGAGAAAGATGGATGGACGGGTACATCGAGGGACTGCGAGACGCAAATGCGCAGCCAGCAGCAGCGTGAATTAGACACCGACCACGCAAAAAATGGCACCCACCTAACCCTGGACCCCCAAAGCCAAACCTCCCAGCGAGCCAGTCCCGGGCTCAAGGCGACAACCAGCGCGACCACCCCCCTTCGCTGCTTGGAACTCAGACCACTGGGAGGGCGAATAATAATGGGCTCGGGCTAGGCTGGGAATAGCATGGGTGCAAAACGCTGAGGTCCACTAGGGACATGAACCACTCCCGTTGCGAGCGGCCAACTGGGACTGTGGGCGCAGTGGCACTAAGGAGCAGGCCCTTTGGAACATTTGACTGGACGGTCTGTTCTTTCATCCTGGTGAGCCTCCCCATGGTAAAGTGTCTTGACTGCCCCGAGGCCCTTGTAGGAATGACGCCTACTAGCCCGCGGATCAGCCAGCCCAGCGCTTGACTTACTCTGTAGGCCTGCTAGGCCTAGCACGCTGGCCGCACAGTTAAACCAAGTTTGTGGCCTTGCCTGCCTATCTCTGTGCATGCAGCTCTCTTTCATTTCTCATCCCCTCGTAACGGAGAACGCGTCACGAGGATGGCGAGCCACGAATCAATGGCTGCCATGATTTTGTTAGTGTTTATGCCTGCGACACAAGCCACCTTGGGAGCGGGACCCGTTTCCTCTGAGCTGCTCCATTTTCTCACTCTTTTTCTCCTCTTTCCCTCTCTGCCCAGCTCTCTTTTCCTCCATCCTCCAACTTGTCTGTCATTGTGCTGTCTTCTTACTTTTGCCCGTCCTGATACCCGTCTCTTCTCTGCGCAGTGGCAGCCTGTTTGAGAACTCTATATTTACAACCACGGCGATTTCCAGGTCAGCCAGAACCACCGTCCCTCTCGGGACCCGATGCACACAACCGTACGAAATTAAGGTGAAGGGCGCTGCAGTCGTCGGGCGGGGTTCGGGTTCAAGTCGAAGCTGCGCAGTGGAAAGTAAAGCAACAATTCGCTGGTCAGCCCAATCTTCAGTCCACTCGCCCATCCTCCTTTTGTCGCCTGCATTTCGGATTGCTCATGTTGCATTCGCCCCATGATGACATGTTCTGCAAGGATATCATTGCCGGCACTCATTCTCGACCTTTTTCAACCTCGTTCTGTTCCTTCATGCTTGCTTCCTGCATCCTGCTGGTTCCGCCATGCAACCGGACCATGCCTCTCACTGTCTCAACACATCCACCATGCCCTCGGTTTCTCCCTCCGCTTGTCTCTTCGCTGACCTTTTCCAGTCTGATTCCATTTTCCTCGGTCGTACGAACTGGTCCTCCTCCCCTCCCTCTACCGCATAACCACATCGAACCTCGTATTACCTCCTTCGGTAACCACACTTATCTGCTCCACTCTAGCTACAATGCCCCGCTATTCTTGCCTTGTGTCCCTTGGTCCTGTTTAGAGAAGACAACAAACCTGTCATGTTTCATATCATGCGACATCGGCGCACAGTTTCCAGAGGTCTCTGTGCTGAAAAGTGCTGGACAGTTGAAACTTTTCCAGACTCCTCGTCCATGCCAGTGATTTGCCTCGCTCTTTTCTTCCGCTCCGTCTGCCGACCTCTTATTCCACGGGCTTTTTCTGGTCAAATGAACTCGTTGTCGAGCCTGGCGTGCAAGAAGCTGTGTGGCGCTATGACAAAGAGCGACACAGATACATCGTTTGATCTATTCGATTTATAAAGAGCAGGTTCGAGCCATGTCTGCGTTACAGTATTTTCGCTTGAACATTCCATGTCAAGACTGTTGACCGGTGATTGTTTCGATAGCTTCGAGAGCTTGGAAGGCGTCGATGGGAAGGAATCCCGTAATCGCGACTTTGCGACACAATCCAACAAGAGTGGGCGAATACGTGCGACTATGGTTTCGTCGAAAGCCCATTTGGCAATCCTTTCGGTGTGTCTCTGTTCGCCGCAACTGGAAAATTCGTGCAGTCTTGAGCAGCCACCAACTGATTTACTCGATGATCGCAAGACGTCGGAGACGAAACACAGAAGCAGTCCGCACCATAGATTTTGGGAAGAAATGAGAAAGGCGCGCTCCCTACAAAAAAGGTAATCAGACGTCTTGGATACTTTGTGCTTTCCTCTCGTTCATCCATCACTATCTATCCTCCTGGAGCCGATTAATCGACAACCCTTAAAAGCGCGCTGCGGATGACCACTGCCTCTACCCGAACATCACGGAGCTTGCCCTACCAATCTCATAGTGCGGAAAACGCCGGTAGAAAACTGCGCCCTAGTACGAGGTAGCAGGGAAATACATTCCGACCCCTAAGATCACGTGACTCGAGGGGTCTTCAGACAATTTGTTCAGTAGTTTCAGGATGGAGGAACACCCTGGAAAAGAGCCCCCACGGAGAACGCCATATCTATTGCCATCGATGACTTTACTCGGACCTCCAAATGCACGTTATCATAATAGACATACGGAGGCAGTCGCTCGCGTTGTTGCACAAATGCATATGCATGTCACATACCCCCGTAAGGTACATAGGTGCCAATTCAGTAACCAATATCTGATAAGGCTGCGGGCGACTCCGTGTCCTTCCATGACACGACAAGTTTGCAAATCAGGGTGTCCCCAAAACATATATATAGTCTTGATAAAGACTTCCCCCAAGGATGTCCTGAAAGGGTCCGTCGGGGTCAATATTTGTTTTGGATCTGAAGGATACTCGGTCGCGATAGTCCTTGCCATTATGTGTTACGAGGGGTGCCCGCTATCCACATGTGGTATATCACCATGTCGGCCCCTTGTTCTCAGACGCTTTGCTCAGCCTTATCCCATCTACGAGGTATATTGTCTGTTTACTCCACCCACCTCTCTTTTATTCCACACATCTCTCTTTTAGTCCACCCACCTCTCTTTTCCTGTAGGCAACCTGCTGCTCATTTCTCAATGTACACCACCTCCTCCTCACCCTTCTCTCCCTTCTCGCCTTCGTCCTCCATCTGCTCGCCGTTCCTGATCTTCTCCTCTTGTGCCCTCCGTCCGACTTCCTCATCCATCTTTTCCCACATCTCTGGCCTCTTCAACTGTGTGGCGACCTTGTCCTGGAAAACAAAGATGTTGCGATGTTCCGCAAAGTATCGGTCAATGTCCTCCAGTGTACGGTTGGCCGTCTCGGGATAGAACAAATAGGTGATGGGAATGAATGAAAAGCAGATCACGGCCCAGATAATCCAGAACTGGTAACCTAGATTGGCAATGCCCGGCGGCGTTACTTGAGCGACCATCTGTAAAGATGTTAGAACGATCTCCTGGGCGGAAGCGCGACTTGGAAAGGTAGGGTAGGCCGATTCAGTGCTGGTTTTTTTTCTCGGGAGGCATTTGTGCCTTGCCTTGCCTGTACCAGTCATGAAGATGAGGGAACTTACGTAGTTCATAATCCAGTTCGTTGCCATTGCCAGAGAAGCACCCTTGGCACGGAAAGAAATATGGTTGATTTCCGTGGGGTAGAGCCACTATGATCGACAAAGTTAGTCCTCTCACGACTGAATATTCATGTACACAACGATGATGGTAAGCAGGAATAGGGTAGAAGAGAATAAGGTAGTCGGCAAAGCATCATTTTGAGAAGCCAAACCCTCATGGAGAACTAAATACTCACCGGGACACCGAGCACACCCATTCCAAACGAGGCGAAGAACACGAAGAAGAAGGTCGTCGCAAGGGCACCTAGCTTGTACGTATCTCCTTTCCCGTTCTGAGACAGGCCCAGGGCAATGCTGATAATAGTCCAGCACATGGAACAGGCAAATGCTGAACACATCATGACCCGACGACGTCCGTAACGCTCAATGACGAACCACGCCAAAAAGCTGAAAATGAGGTAATCGACCGATCCAGCAGCCGCAAGGATTCGAGCTCTAATCCCATCATTAGTCTCATGGTCTTCTTCACAGAATCTATGCGTTATTTCGACTTACAAAAGTTCGTTGAGGTTGATGGCATGGATGAAGATATACCTGTCGATGTTTAGTATCAAACCTCATCTTCCGAAACTCACGAAGACGCACGTTTGGAAATAACTAGTGACATTTATGCCGCTGATCTGGTTGCTGGCTTGCATCCAGGCACCAAGAATCATTCGGCGGACGACTCCTGAAGGTCCTCGACCGGTAAGGAGCTGCCACCAAGTATAGGACTGCGCGTGCTCTTTATCGAGGACATCTTTGATGATATCGTATTGTGCGCGAACCGAAGGCGAATCAGCAGTCGCGCCATGTCCTTCGAGAGCAGCGAGCACTTCTAATGCCTCTTGGTGCTTGCCTTTGCGGATCAGAAGGCGAGGGGAGTCGGGGAGGAAAGGGCACATCAACCATATCAATAGCGTGAAAACTAGCTCGAAAAGTCAATTCGGGGAGGTAATCCGATCAGGTGACTGGGGTTGTCACTTACAGCATTGAAAAGCGAGTGGGAATCGCCAGGCAACTGAACTCTTAACGAAGGAGAATCCCAGAGTGAGCCAATTCGACAGGCAGAATCCAGTTATACAGTTGGCCATCTGAATGATGACGAGCTTGCCACGGCTTCGCATCTTGCTGGTCTCCGACTGCCAAACTCCAGCGGTGGCGGTGTTCATGCCTGTCCCAAGGCCTGCGATAACCCGGCCTGCAAACATTTGACCCCTGGAATAGCAGGCTGACTGAATGATTGCGCCAACGGCGATGACGGAGCTTCCAAGCATAATGGTGCGTGGACGGCCGAGTCTGTCTCCGGTATACAGTGTCGACAATGCCCCTCCGAAACAGCCCAAATTATAAACGCTGGTCAAAGTGCCTTGAACAGTTGGATTTGGATTACCCATGGTCTGGAGGAAATCCTTCCCAACGAGACTATCGACGGATTAGTTCTGTGATGAGCGCCATTGTCGCAGCGACCTAAACGCTTACACATTGCCGAATACACCCTGTACGACAGAACGATATCATTAGCTGCAGGGACGAGAGAGAATAGTGGAGAGCATGCCTGGTCATATCCATAGAATATGAGAACGGTTGACGCGGCCAGCGAGATCCAAACAGTTAGGGCGCTACCCGAGCCTCCCAGGTACTTGCGACCCATTTTGACCCGATTCTCAATTGCGTTGTCGTCTTTGATGTTGGACGGTCCGAGCAGGCTCCTTAAGAAAGTTGTTGTGCAAGAGAGCAGCCAACGACTGGATTCTCAGGAACCCACCGTTTTATATGGTCCTGTTAAGTTGCTTCCCTGCCGCTGATCGCCCAACCGATCGACCGAGACGTGCATGTGCGCTTCATCCACCGGCAAAGAGAACGGCGAAAAGCGTGCCTGTTGAGGACAAATTCTCCAATAGCCTATGATCCCAATGGATCACGATGCTCAAGAAATCCATCTTCAGCTCCACATCGGGATGCCGTTAACAGTAATATCAAAGACCGAGCCATCATGAGTGGGTCAGCCGAATGATCGACCTCCACACGGAGATGGATTCGTCTCCAATTCAAGGCGTTGGAGTTGGATCGCCTGTACTCCCCGTGCTGCAATGTTGCCCCCGGACACCGTATCGTGCGTGGGACTGGAGAAGGCGGTATTTGCCAAGTCCCACAGCTGCAGCTCACGCACGTCGCCCATGTTTCGACGTGAGAAGGGCTTCAGAAGCATATCCCCCGTGCCTTTGTAAGAACGCAGTGGGCGTGGGTTATTGCCACATTAAGAGAATGCTGATTAGACTTGCTCCAATATCAATATTAGGGAGAGATACAAGAGCAAGAACGGCAGCAGCCATCCATTCTCCTTCTTTCCGACGGCATACCGACGCGAAGGAAACCTAACGTGATCTTTGGCCGAGGGGATTGGTGAGCCGACAACGTTGGTTACATCGGTGGGGATGACACTCGAAGAGATGATCTTCAGACATGCCCCTCGAAAGGAATAGCCTCGTAGGCTACAGACTGGGACGGAAAAGTAAACATAAATGCATGATGTCGGCAATGTTCGGTCAGTGGCGCCGTGGAGGGCGGAAACAAGGCCGTGGAAGACCACATATGGAAAAAAGGAGGGGAGGGGAGAAATAGTACGAGCTAATACCAGCCAAAAAAAAAAAAGAGGTGAGTTGAGGAATAGTACGCTAAACCAGCCAAAAAGGAGGTAAGTCGAGGAACAGTACGCTAATACCAGCCAAAAACGAGGGAAGTTGAGGAATTTAGGCGGAATTCATCTCATCAAACTGTGGCCGTCAAATGGAAAAGAATAAGAATGGAAAATTCGCAGGCGCCACACGGCATTTGCTCGGTGGGTTCTTCTCGACCACAGCCACCATTCTCCAGTCCACACGGCACAGTAACAATTCAGAGCCACAACCTCGTCAGATACCCGCTTCAAGATGTTGCTTGCAATTTCCCACAGCCAAATGCCTTTGTTAGAATCCAACTATCGTCGTTGTCGCCACTGGACTGCTGCTCACAGTCTGCTCGTGGTGTTCGGATAGCAATATGAATCCGCTGCAAATACATGTCAGCAATCAACGCTCACCACGATTCCCTCCAAAAACCACGGAGCTTTTTGAGGACAGCAAATACTCACAAGACGCGTCTCCACCCTGGAGGCGGATCTGGTGCACACGCAAACCCTTAAAGTCGGAACCGTGGGGGAAGAAAGATTCGTCTAGAGCATGCGGTTAGCATCGCATAGAGTTTGAAACCACCACATGGTAGTATCACTCACCTATCTTGAGACCGCCTTCCGGGTTGACATCCACTTTGACCATCCAAGCGCCGACGCCATCAGGGTAGAACTGGTCGTCCCAAGCCCCATAAAGGGAATTGGTGAAGTAAAGGCTTCTTCCAGATCTCGACACCTCGACCATTTGAGGTCCACCGGCTAAGGGCATCTCGGGCTTTGCTGGGTGGGCATCCCTTTTCACGATACCCCCCAACCTTACCGAGCCAACTTGAACGGGATGCGCGGGATCAGAAACGTCGTATTGCTTCATTTCTCCGGTCCCCCAGCAAGCAACATAAAGGAACTTGTCGTCGACCGAAAGGTCGATGTCCGTAATAAGTGGGGGAACAGCCTTGAACGGCTTGAGTATCGGGGGTAGAGAATCTTCGTCGGCAGGTTCTGCCGGAATGGTAATGACTTTTTCTGCCTTCCACTCGCCGCCGTCCTGAAACCATCGAAAGATGGCCCCCGACAAGTCCTTGGTTGAAATAACGACTCCAACGAAACCCCAAGTTGCTTCTGGATCGTGGGACGGGCGAACTTCGAGAGCCATCTGGTGTTCTTCACCGAGGTCAACACGTTTATGGTGTTTTCCCGCAGCAAGGTCCCAGAAATGAATGGCGTGGCCGTACTTGTTCCCCAACAAAAGTTCTGGAACAATCCCGTTCTCGATCATCGACGGGCTCCCCCATTCACTCGAAATAAGGACATTCTTGTTCAAATGCCACCAGGCATCATAGTGGAAGTGTTGCGGGCCGCGATTGGTCTCCCAAGCACGCAAAACGTCGAAGGTCTGGTGATCAAGGAGAGCAATGCCGCCGGGTCCGTCAGGATTACCCTCCGGGCCTCCAAGACACGTCAAGAAGACGCCATCAGGACCGCAATGTAATGTATGCGGACGAGAATACCCAGCTTTATCTGACAATGTCTTCCCATCGATCGTTTTGATAAGAAGTGGCTTGCGAGGGTCTGGCCCGACATCAAAGACGTATATGTTTGAGGAGCGCAAGCCTGGGACAAGCAGGTAGCGTCGCTGCAGGCCGTCCATGTTGTGGCCCTCGTGTTTAAGAGCAGAGGAGCACGCATTCCACCCAAAATGGTGCAATTCGTCCCCAAGCCCGGGAACATCGGTCCAGCCAACGACCTGACCGTACGTCTTTCCGGGTTTCAAGTCAATGACGGTCAACGCGTCGTGTTTCTGGCCTTTTCTGTCAAAGGCCACCACGTACGCCAATTCTTCTGCCGGAGCAGAGATTGCCTCCGCTGCAGTGCGATAGAAGGTAGGATCCATTTTTGCGTCCGGATAAATTTCGTGTTACGTTTCCTGACCTATTTTCTCACAAGTTGGAGCCTGTATCGAAAGAAAGGAGACTCTCAGGCTGCGAGCTCGGGACTTTTATAGCTCTTTGGCGCTCACCGTCAGCTCGCCTCGAGGGCTTCAAACAAGGAATTGGTGCACAATTTCCCAATGCACCGAGCTTACAAGTCTGGCATCTGAATGCCTTGAACGAGACTCGCTTCCTGTCGTTATTATGGCAAACCCTCAGCGCGAGAACGTCCAGTGGGGAATTGGGGCAGGGTGACAGGGCAGGTCAGCATTACACGTCCAGTGAGACGTCGCCACAAAGCCGTGGTGTGACAGCGACTCTCATAGTTTGGCAGAGAAAATCTGTGATTTGCACCACTAGGAGTTATCTGACGGGTGTTGCACGGTCATTCGAGCATGAGTTCATCGCCAGCGGCCATCGCAGGGCTTTTATATGTCGAAACATACGGCAGACTACATCTCCAAGGCCATCATCGACGATGGCGCAAGAGTCGTCAGCAATGGTGCAATGAGCCATCTCAGGGAAAATGCCTCCCAAGGCAACGCTCTTTCCCACCCCGCTCAATACCCCGTGTGAGGAGTTATCCAAACAGTTGGGAGTCGGGACCTCTCATACGCGAAGTAAGCGTCTTGGCCGAATTGGGTCAATATCCAATGCCGTCTTTGGTACGTCAGAGCCAATCAGCATGATCTTAGACCGGTGTCAGTGGAATGGGTTCCTGGAGTCCGGGGTCATCGCAGAGTGGTCCAGACTACCGTGCTGACAGGAGTGCTTGAAGTGTACAAATCCCGATCATTACATTGGAGCTGCAAACCGCAACCGTGCTTATCGGACTGGGTACTCTGGTCTCCGGAAGCTCCTCGACTATGATAACTCCCTCGGATATGAGTCTTGTTACAAGCATCCCTCGATCCTCACGCTTTCTCAATCACTGTCACCGTATAACATTCGCCTCGTTTTGAATCTTACGGGTCCCGCCTTTCGAAAATCGGAACAGTGACGTGTCCTCTCACGCCACGGGCGGTCGACTGCCTCGTTGCAGATATCTATTTCCAGCCACTGATCTTCATGGTTCCGTTCTCGGCCAGATTCTTATGCATATCAAATACGTTGAAGAGCAAGTGCGGCTCGTGACCCATACCCTTCTTCAAGCACTCATACTCCGCTCTGTCGAAGTAATCCTGTAGGATGGGCCGGTATTCGGGATGAGCACACTGCTTGATAATCTCGCGGGCTCGTTCGCGAGGACACATTCCTCGCACGTCTGCAAGACCCTTTTTTGCACGATCCTGTTAGCTTTGCAGGCCCGATCCAACGATAGCCGGCGGGAAAACACTCACAATTTCAGTCACAACAACGTCCAGGTCGTGCTCCGTCTGGTCGATGTGCGTGCACATTGGCACGATGCAGCTCACGCCGGTAGGATCCGTCTTGGTAGGTCGCGTACTGGGTGTATGCATGATGGAGTATTTGGACGAACGGAGGAAGTCAGCGGATCCACCCAGGCCGTTGAGCATGCGCGAGCCCATTACGCATGTGCTATTGGCATGTGCGTAGATGTCGACCTCGACGGGGGTGTTCATGCCGATCACACCAAGTCGACGGATGATTTCAGGTGAGTTCGACACTTGCTGCGACCTGAGGATGAGTTTGGAGTGATAGTTCTCCCACTGTTTGCACGTTCTTAGCCGATGGTGCGCACAAGGTGGATCTCCACATGTGTGACACTTACGCCATCATAGAAACGTTGGAATCCTCCAGGAGAGAAACGAATAGAAGTGGCAGTGGCAAAGTCCAGGTTGCCGCTGTCGAAGAGGTCAAGGAAGGAGTCCTGCAACACTTCTGTCCAAACCTTCAAGTTCTTGAAATTGGCTCCTCCTTTCTGGTAGAGGGGTCAGCAGATTCGATCCCGGAAGCTTCGTATTAATTGGGGCCTACCGCCAGACCGCCGATAACAGCGTTTGCAATGTTACCAATCCCGGATTGAAGAGGTAGCAGGTTCACGGGCAACCGGCCGTGTTTGACCTCGTGTTCCAAGAACTCGATCAGGTTGCGAGCAATAGCCTGGGAAGTCTCATCCTCGGGAGCATTTTCAGTGGTTTGATCGGGATAATCGGATTCGACGACGGCTACCACGCGCTCTGGGTCGACGGGGATATGCGGTGTGCCAATGCGGTCTTCTGGTGCCATAATCAGGTAAGGCTGTGACGAAACTCGTCAGTTATGAAGATCTGAGACGTTAAGGGTTATAACATACCTTTCTCCGTGGTGGGAGGTCAGTCATTGTGATGTCGTGTAGACCTTCGAAGCTGGGGACTGCGGTATTGAGCTCGATGATGATCTGGTGAAAGGGAGGAGGTCAGCCAAATGTCCATTCTGCACTGGAGTCTCCGTGCTGGATCTACCTTGTCGGCCATCTGAATGATCTCTGGAGACGCTCCCACACTGGCGCCAGGAATGATGCCGCCGTCCTCGGTGATGGCAGAAGCTTCGATGATGGCCACGTCCAGGCGGTTGTTGGCCTTGTGCTTGGTGTAGAAACCATACATCAAGTCGACGGGGAACATGCTGAGATGCTTGTCGAAGAACTTGATGTTGCCATTGTTGATGCCTTTGGCGATCTCCTTGCCGACCTGATGCGGAGCCCGGCGTTCGATCATGTTGAGTCGCGCCCATCGGTTCTCGGTCTCTGCTCCGGACGAGGCACCCACGAAGAGGTTGAATTTGAGCTTGCCCTGGAGACCATTTCTCTCGACGTGGTCGGCAAGGGCGGTTGGCACTTTCCTATTTCACCGCCCAAGGAGAGCGATCGTAAGCACCATGTTACCAGGTGGGTGGAAACAAAAACGCCACGGGCGACGTGGCTGGTGTGATGAGAGCAACGTACTTGGGATATCCCACGCCTGTAAAGCCCGACCAGCCGACATATGAGCCGTGAGGGAACAGGTCGATGAGGTCTTCAGCCTTGGCTAATTTCTGCTCTCTTGTTAGTCATCTTGGTTCATATCACCTAATGGGTGCCCACTGGGTCAAGCAGAGATCGAAGCTGCAGCCCATCATGCTAAATGGGCGATGCAGGAGAGCTTCAAGAAGAGCTTCGACGACAAGCCGCCTCCTGAGGCTCCGCTTCAGAGCAGCCGCAGCAGTAGCATTGGTGGAGCACGCACATTTAAGTAGCTCGCCCTCCTGCATCGACTTTTGAGGAGTGCTGAGGCGGCCATTGTGGAATGAACGGAGGACCCAACCGGGTCTTGTAAGGAGATCGAAGAAGGGAAGTAGAGAGGACGAACACCCAAAAGGGAGAAAATAAGGACCACGATGAAACCGGGGATGAGATGAAGGAGCTGGGAGAGGAGATTCTTCAACGGCAATAATAATAAGGAGAACGAGAGGGAGGCGAGCTCTCAAGAATTCCCCTGGTACTAATGGAGGTTGGAGCTGCTGCTCTCATCTATGGCTCGCGGGATTTTTCTCAATGGGCAAGCGACAACGACGAAGACGACGACAGCGACAATCCGCGTCTCGTGAGGTCGAAAAGGCAAGTAACTGGAGCTTGATGCCGCCGCCGGGAGGAAGCCCAGTTGTGTTCTGGTGTTTCGTCATTGGGCCTTTTCGCCTCGATGCTCCCCGCCGTCGGACTCGTCCGGATATGAGGCCACTACGCCTAACTCGCTACTAGGAGGGGCGGGTTGCGTCGCCTGCGCTTGTTTGGTTGGCCTGTTCAGTGACCAGCTCTGGACACAGGGAGCTAAGAGAGAGTGATCGCTCGGCAGCCGAACGACGGGATCGTCATTTGTTCTGTTACATCGTTCTTACGCAAGTCATTGCCGGTATGCCGTGCATAGACGCCATGGATTTTCCTCAATCCGGATTCCAGAGACGGCGCATTACAATCATGAGTACAGCGTAATACGAGTGCAAAAACACCAGATCCATCGATCGTACCACCACATGATCTCAGCCCTCGACCACAACTTCGAAACTCATCCCCCGAACCATCTCCGTGCCTCTCTCGCGCCCAATGTTTCAGTGGCTGCTCAACCATACATCCAACACACCCTCCCCACCGCTTGACCCGAGATTATCCTCCGACCGCTGATGGCGCCGCCCCTTTCGTCCTTTTTCCAACAAACTTGAGACGCAGGCAAAAACAAAAAGAACAACCAGACAATATTCCATTGATCCGCCCGGTGAAGTCGTTGAGCAAGACTCGCCTGCCCAACAACAGCCACATCCGATCCTGTGATGCCCAAGGCTGTGTATGCCTGTTCCAAGTAGCTGAAAACTCTCCCAAGGTGGGCTTTTTCTTGTTCGGCGAAGTCAGGCCTCATTTGAGGAAGAGAGGTTCCGGGAGATGCTCATATGTGATTTCCTCCCATGGATCGTCTTGGTTAGCGTCCTCCACGGGTCCCATGCACGCCCTGTCGAACACCTTCTCGGCCACGTTGATTCCCCCAGGAACCACCCGGATCAGCCTGACCTGGGGGCAATCTGACGAAGACTTCATTCGCCGTTCCAGATCCATGAAATACGCGCAACATCCCTCGTGGGAGAGCGCCACCAGGTTCTCGGGGAGGTTCTTCTGGGGTCGCGAGCCGGCGAATATCTGCACCGAGCTTTGCAGCCGCACGGCATCAGGGGCGTTCCACACGTTGCCATACACGAGTTGGAAATGTATCGTCCAGTGCGAGCCCCGCGCCTCCATTCTCCTGGCCACCTGGCTCTGGTAGAAGCTGTAGATGCCTGATCGGGTGGGATACAAATGGGCCGACACCGCCATCCGGGCAAGAGTCAAACCCAGCGAGATCACCGTCTCAACCAAGACCGCGAGACAGTATCCGTGATCTGGTGGGAGGCCCTCCTTTTCTTGGGTCACCTCGTCCTTGGATGTGCAAATGCCGCAGTGGCAGGCCTTCCTGATTTTGGTGAGGTTCTCCACGTACGAGGCTGAGGCATCCTCGTGAGAGAGCTTCAACGAGCGCTCCATGCGGCCCTGGAATCTGCGCAATTCGGGGAGCCAGTTCGTGATGGTTTCAATGAGACCGGCGCCGTACGACGCGGTATTGCTCTGGTTTTGGACCGACACCAGTTGCCCGTGCTCCTCGTGTCCCTTGCCATGCGCCAGACCCTCGAACATCCGTGCCGCACTGCCGATCATGGTTCCGAAGGCCTTGGACTGGTCGTGGTCCAGGTGGTGAAAACTCTTGCCAAAAACTCGGGGTAGCAGTGACTGCCATGCCACCCGACCGCCAAAGCGTGTCGTATGGAGAGTCGCAGAGTAGGTCCGGTCGATCAGAGACAACTCCTCGACGGCAGGGCCCGCAGGCTTCCATGCTTCGAATGATGCTTTAATGCCCGCCTCTGGGACAAACACCAGCGTCAGCTGTGGCTCTTGATCTGGGTGAGTGACGCGGAGTTCTTTCCCATCCTTCTGATAGACGACGATTCGCAGGTCGCACAGCCACTCGGCGATGGCTGCGAACCACGATATGATGGCGCTGCCGATGAGCGTAACGTGCTTCGCTTCTCCCTTTGTGACGCACATCAACGCCTGCAGTGCTTGGGCAATCATGCTAGGTGGGAAGACGGTGTCGATGCTCTTGACCTGCATCATTGGGTAGACGATGGGATAGGGGTCGATTTGGAGATAGTCCTCGACCAGCAGACCGAAATCCGACGTAGCGAAGATGCCGTTGCAGCCGTGCAGAGCGGCCTGCCACTGATTGAAATGGGGCGTCACATCCTCGGGCCCAGCTGCCGCGTTGGCCATGGCCATGAGCACTCTGGCTCCGTACGGTTCATGGAAGCTTTCTCCCAACGCAATCATCATGGCCAGGTGCTCGTAGGATCCCTCGTGGACGGCCTGGTCACGAATGACGTTTGACAGACCCCAGCCGAAGGACAGCTTCTCACCCGGGGCGACGGAGACGTGGACGGGGAGGTTACTGAGCGCATTGTTGATGTTTCGCTGGCCCTGGACGGATATGTTCAAGTCCCTGAATAGCCGATAGGCTACGTAGCGGGTGTAGGGGTCGACGCGAGATCCCGAGAACTTGCGCAGCGTGGCCGACGGGATCGAGATGACCGGGGGCACGTCTTTGTCGATTATGGGCATCTTGACTTTGGAGATGTGCTGAAGGAGACGGTTTCGATCTCACGAACACACGACCCTCTAAAGACGAAGGAAAAGGGCAGATGGATATTGGTGAACCACGCTTTTGAGGGGCAGGTAGGACGATACGAAGTCTGGCCTCGCTAACTAACCTCCAAAGACCCTGTGATGATAATGGTACGAATAGATCCAGCCCAGATGAGGGATACGGTACCGTGACTCAGCAAAACACACAAAGGTCCGTCTTGGATGCATTCGGTCCTATTATTGGTTGCTCGACACAGATCGGGAAGCCCAAGGTGCGGGGTGTGTCATAATACATGAAGATGTGGGCGTTTGCAGGCGATGTGAGAGAGATGACCGGGCACAACGAGGTATGTACTCTCCGCCATCGCAACGATCCATCCACAGTGTCGTCAAAGGTCAAGATAGGGAGTGCCTTTCATCAAATACAGCCTCTCTCCCCTCTCCCCATTCCCAACTTCCAGGTCTTTACTGGTTAAGGATAGTGGTTTTGTTTTCCTTTTCTCCAGGTGCGTGGGCTTGGAAGCGAAATAGAAAGGAAGGGGGCGGGCCGGCCTATTACGCAGATGTCTGAGACAAACTGATCTCATGATCTTAGCAGCATCGTGGTCTGTTGCGTCCCATGCCTTGTTGCTTGGCATCTTCTCCCCTGCTTGACCAGATAGCTGGATGGAATTCGGGAGCACTAACAAATAGTGTGTGGAATTTCAACGATGGCATCTACGGGGTGAGGTACATATAGATAATATGCCTTAATTCACTGGACAGGTAGGTTCAAGACAAGAAGACGAGAAAACAGCCGTTTCGTTCTGTGGGTGGGTGGTGTATGTAGACAGACACAGCACCGTAGATGAACGATGAGCAGCCACTGACTTTGCACCCCGTATTGGCGGGGGCAGCCATGACGGAAATATCCTTCCTCCTCTGTGGGACACTTCTCACTTGTTATTATAGGACGTTGTTTGAGAACCCATTTTAGCATGGAGAATATGTATTATGTGGAGTTTGAGATACCATACTAGCTAGTAACTATCTACTGTATATACATCACTCTGCGTCAGGATACTGTGTTGCTTGCCCAGTATCTCCAAGCCACTGCACCATCGATAGCGCCCAGGAGGCCACGTTGAAGTCGGTCTCCTGTGGATTTGTAGCCATCGGGAATGGATCTCTCGTGCGATTGAGGTTGACTCGAGACCGAGCACCAACTTCGAACCCAAGAATGGGCCTCGAGGATCCTCCCACTCGACGAGCTTCTCAGGACCATTCGTCTAGACAGCTCCCTCTTGGTCCACCGTGGCGTTTTTCTGCTCCACGATCTCCGCCGTAACGTGGAGGGACTGGCACTGGTAGTGTCTCCATTTCCGCATCGGCAAGTTGAGTGCGTACATCTCGTCGACTTCGACCACTGTGCGCGCCGCGGTCTCCGGGATGTAAAAGTACGCCCAGATGACCGTGATCAAGACGCAGCCGGCGAAGATGTAGGCGGCCTTGGCACCGAGATTGGCCGCGTCGGCCGACGTGAGCTGAGGAACGGCGAAGGTCGTGATCACGGCCGTCACGTACGACCAGAACATGGACCACGCCACCGTAGGCTCTCGGAGGGCTGGCGTGGCGATTTCCGTGGGGAGAACAAAGGCCCTGAACGCGGAGTGTCAGCATAGACTCTGAAAGAGAATGTGGACTTTGAGATAGAATGGCTTGACCTACAGGGACTGGAAAGACACGGCGTTGGCAAAGGCAAAGATGATGAAGACCGACGCGAGACCCAACCTCTCGCTGTTCGTCTTCAGTCCCGCTGCTGCCAGGCTCCCAGCCACCATGTCGAGCGCGAAGAGGACCGAGAAGCCAACGAGCGCGACGGGCCTGCGTCCGGCCTTGTCCACGAGGGTAGGTCCGATGATAGTCCCCAGAAATTGCAGGCAGGTGATGATGATGGTGATCTGGAAAGGGTTTCCGACGCCGCTCTGCACGAGGATGACGGTCGAATAAGTCCCGATCAAGATCTGGCCACCCACTTGGCTTGAGCTGAGCAGAGTTCCCGCGGTGATGGTGCGCTTGAGGTTGGCTCGATTCAAGATGTCCCAGAACCTGGTTTGCTTGCGCATCTCGGTCTCTTCGGCAATGGAGACCCGGTAAATGGATATTTCTGCGTCGACGATTTCTGACTTCTTGTTGCGGATGGCCATAAGCACGCGCCGTGCGTCCTCCATCTTGCCGTGCTGGACATACCAGAGTGGTGACTCGGGGCAGAGCATCGTCAGAAGGCCAAAGGTGACGGGGCAGGCTGCTTGGACGGCCAAGGGAATTTTGTACTGCCGCTCGTCGTTGATCTTCTCACTCGCCCACACGACAGTCGTCGCAATGATCGCTATCGCGCCGACTCCGGCAATGCAAAAGCCAACCGCGCGACCACGCACGTGGGCTGGGACAAGTTCCGCAAGGTACAGCGGCGCCGTAGTTGTCAGAATACTTATTCCAACATCTGAAACATCAGTGAGACCATTTTATGGGTGAGGCAGCAACGTCAGCACTCACAATTCCAGAATCTTCCCACCGTCATGGCACCAATATTGGGGGCAAATAGCTGTAAGAATGAGCCGGGAGTGCAGAGCAGGAAGTAGGCCCCGATAAAGGTCTTCTTCCGCCCGAAGCGCTTCATCGCGGGAGATGCCACAAAGGTTCCCATAGCCGCGCCCACGAGAGGGACGGTGACCAGCACATCAAGGTTCCGGGCCTAGAGTCAACGCATCCTCGTTAGCCCTGTTGTGAAATACTAACAAACCACCACCTACCGTGAAAGCAATCCCTGATCCTTGATACTTCTGAATGAACAAAGGCAAGGACAAGAGAGGGGCCACAAAGTTGTTGTCATAGCCGTAGAGACCCATCGAAAGGCCAACGATTATCACTGGACAAATCCACGTTAGATAGTTTCCTCGGCCAGATGAGCTTGGGCAGCATAAGATAGAACTCACTGTACACGATAACTCTCCAGTTCAACCAGCCCTCAGGATGATGAACATTGCGATCGACGGTGGCAGCATCCTCGTTGACTTCGGAGACATTCTCCTGGTGAGCTGTCACCTCGTGTTTGGCCGTGAACAAACCCATTGCTTCGGGCATAAGATTGATTGGTAGTGGCAGGATGTGGAAGAATTGTTCGACCGCTGTCTGGGACGGAACCCTGTATTTTATATAGCGTGAACCCCACAGGCCCTCAGCCTGGGGTGGCGGAAATCTCGATGTCGGACCACGACTATCCACTCCCTCCCCATGGGGAAATTCATTGCAGCCAGGGCAAGGGCAAAGTCCAAATGGGGCGAAGAAATCTGGACCAATTCCCAATAGATGATGTGCACGAGACGACTCGAAAATGGTGTACAGCCTTGTAAAAAATCCAAGCGCTGACAAAACGTGCAACTCACTAAACCCCTTGGAGAATTTGTCCAGAAACGGAATTCCCCAAACAGATCAAATAGATCCGTCCTGTCCACCTACCGAGGATCAGCACTCTGGACCGCCAGTTATGATGATGGGAATGAAAGAGCTGGCGATTTCCCGCTCGACCGGTTCTTTCACAACAAGAGCCGATCGAAAAAAATGACCGCAGTTTCAGTTACCGGGACAGCTGGTGTCCAGCCACCGTCTGCCGTTCCCGGGGAGGATGTTGTAGTGTCACCAGATCTGGAGCTGCTCTGTCGGATGCAGGGCATGAACCCGAACCCTGTAAACAAACTCCAAGCCCCAGACTTCAATTTCTTACAGGTGGGCGACCCCCCATGGCCAACAGCAAAAGCAACATAGTGACTGGATTTAGGAGTTGGCAAAGCTGCCCGTCGATCCCACCACAATTCCAGGAGGCACCGATGTCCAGGCTATGCGTTACTGGATCGACAATGTCTTCTTGAAAGGACCTCTCGCTGAACACAGAGCCAGATGTGACATTCAACGTCGACAACCTGAAGCCAAGATCGACATCAGCGAGGTGTTCGTGCAGTGCTCAGACGGAGGCCGGGACACGTTTGTCATACGGGTATATCAGCCCGAGAAGTCTTCGAAGCAGCTGAGACCTGCAATACTCATGCTCCATGGCGGCGGCTGGATCCATGGCAAACCTTCTGGCGACGAAGGTCGGTAGCGGCTACATCCGCAACTTACCACTAATTGACGGCTGAAACTGACTGCAACAACAGTCATATCGAAATTGTTCTCGTCTGAGCTGGGTGCTGTCGTTTTGGGCGTCGATTATAGACTTGCTCCCGAGAACCCATTTCCAGCCCCTTTAGACGACTGTAACGAAGCGATTGTATGGGTATGTGCTTCTCTTACCTAGCCAAGGTTCTTTGAACGCTGATGACAATGCATGAAGGCGATCCGGAACGCTGAAAGATACCAAATCGATACCTCGCGCATCGCACTATGGGGTGCTTCAGCAGGCGGAAATCTTGCGGCTGCTGTCAGCATTAGATACACCCAAGAGCGTCCAGTGACGGGATATCCCAGTCTGCGGTTGGTGAGCCTCGTGGTCCCTGTGACTGCACACCCAAAGGCACAAGAAGCATTCAACAAACAACGTCCTTTCGAAAGCAGTAGCATCGAAGAGGAAGTCGCAGACGTGCCACCGGCTCCGGAGCCGGTGGTGAAGGAGTTCGAGAAATTATATGGTATGTTGTACACCTATTGCAGGCTGTGCCAGAGAGATTCGACCATCTGACTGTCCTATCGTAAGACCTCTATGTTGGCGACTCGACCGATATATACGATCCTCTTGTATCTCCTCTGATGGCCAAAGCCATCCCACAACACCCCAAGACCCACGTCACAGTTGCCGCCTGCGATTATTTGATGCCTCAAGGTCTGGCGTACGCCCAGCTTCTTCGCTCATTTGGCACAGAGGTCACCGAAGAAATCTTACCTGGTGTTCCCCATGGCTTCACTTTTCCAATGAACGCCACGGTGACAAAGAAGTGGCTTGAGAACCAAAGAGACATCTTTATGGCAGCGTTCGGCTGTGCGGACGTTGATTCGAAGTAGAATAGATAGAAATCTTCGTGTTAGGTCGGTTCAAGAGAGATCAATGAATCGATCAATGAGGTCTGGTGGATTGCAATCATATGTCTCCTCCACACCATCCTGTGTCGAGGATGTCCAGAGATCGCTGCTAGACTCCAAGATGCCACCGTCCGCAGACCCAATTTGCAACGCCGTCCGTGTCTGAGGCGTCAGGCTCTGATATTCGTAGTGCGGCCGTGCACTGAGTGGTGGAGGTACCGTCGAGATCAAAGGCATGACTACCTCTGCAAGTTGAGGAGCGAAGATTTTCTCGTGATCCTCCTTGATGACAGCGCCCGCGAGACCACCTAGAATGTACTGATACTGGCCTCTTCCTGCTAGCATGTAGATATTCTGTGCAAGGCCGGATAGCTTTCCCAGGCCCACGATTCGTAGTTCGCCCTCTCCCAACAAGCAGATCCAGGACATCGCTGCGAGACCCAGGAGTTCGATTGATTTCTGTAGTCTGGGTGACATTCCGAGGCCTTTTCTGAGATTGGCGACAAGCTTTGTTGAGAGCTGCCATTGTCGGGTAACGACCACATCAGCTGCTTGTATGCGAGAGTACCGATGGCGCTTGAACACCGCGCCAAACAGCGTTGCCATGTCAGTTTCAGACTCGATGTCGATTTCCTCAAATGCTTCTGCATTGTCGGCAAGATGTATCTCAGTGAGGCGCCTCAATAAGTGCATGGCAACTCTACCGGGTTCATCAATGGCACCAAATGCGGACGCCATTGGCGGTATGTCCGCAATTACCCGTGGTCTCCGCGCCCGTCGTCGCCTGCCCTTGTTCGCATAGATTGCCAGAGTTGCTGCCTCTGTGTTAAAGAGAACTTGCTCAATCTGGATCTTTCTCTGCTGCTCTTCTTCGTCGACAGGCTCCACCATCTCCAGGAGAGAGAGAGCTTCATCGAGATACAGAAAGGCACGGTTGTGTTTTTCGAGGACATTATAGGCGGTGAATAGAAATAAAGAGACAATCACGCTGTCGAGCGAGGCTGGGTCCGCAAAGTTGTAATCCAAGCGTGACCTCTCCACCTGGGAGATGAGCTCTGAAAGACGCGCCGTGTTGCCTGGAGCCATGCGGAATTGGCTTGCGGCGTTCACAGTCTGAATTGACAGAAGTAGTGTGCGGAATTCAGGGATATCGCGCCATGCTGGTTCGATGATAAGACGTGAAGCGAGGCTGGCGTATGACAGAATAGGGAACACAACATACATTGTGTCAAAAAACTCGTCCAGCGCATTCCAGATTTCGTCTCCCCTTGAGAGTTCGTCACCTTGGAGCATTTCATCCGCCAATAAGCATTGGCCGCTGTTTGCTAGAACCGTATCAGTGTCAGAAATTTGCAGTCCATACGGAAGGCTCTGGCCATGAACTCCAAATTTTTCGCAATCTGCGTTAGGTAGAATGTCGTGGGTCGAAAGGCTGCCCAACTCCAGCTCCGCAGGATTTCCACTCGTTTCCGCGGGCGACGGTCCTGGCCCTTGAGAGGATGGAGAGTTCAAATCAAGCAGGTTTTCAGAGTATGGGAGAGCGCTCTCAGGAACGTATCTGTACGTGGATGGTCAGATCCAAAAAGTCTGGTGGGTACTCGTTTACCGTTACGCTTACCCCTTCCTACGTCGGCCACGTTTTCCAGGCTTCTCGTCGTAAGTGCATTTTAGGCCCGCCCTGAAACACTGCCCGCAAGAATATGCTCTCTGGGACAATGGACCTGGTCTCCATTTCGCATTTCGACACTAAGTGACGCTATCCTCAGGACTTTTTTTCGACATAGAGATCGACGGGGGATGGAGTACCGAGTACCTACCCTGACTTTCAGCCTACGACATGAGTCGCAAGCTCTCCCCGTGGGCGGCGTAGCAGCACGGCTTTGCGACGCAGGAGATTCGTGGCTGGTGAACGTGGTGAACATCGAGATGCTTGAGCAATCGATAGAGAGATGTCGAGGAGGTTAAGAGCAAATCCAATGCTCAAGCCACCGAGGTTCTCATGGCAGCTATTTAAAGCGGCGGCCGGGCTGTGGCGAGACACGCCAACCTATTATCCCGAAACCGGGGGACGCCTTTTCGGGGCACCACTGCGTAGAAGAGCCGTTGAGCTTTGAGGCTCACTAGACATGTCAGAGTAAGCAGTCCAGAGGCGATCTCAGAAGCTATTCAGAGCTTGAACAACAGTCGAGAAACAGCGATTTCATCTCGGTCTCGTCCTTCTGAGCACAGGGCGGCATCACTGTCCTCCCACTATGGACTAGTACATTTTACTCTCTTGGCATCAGATCGGCCCAATCTAGAGGACACCGAGGACACCGAGGACACCTAGGACACCTTCATTGCTCTGGCAAGGACCGGGCCAGTTGTGGTCGCAGTACGGAGAAAGATGACATTCGACAGATATGTGGGTAGCCATTGATTCGTTAAAGTATGTATTGGCCATGCAGCGTGCCGCAGATCTTCGCATACCATGGACCCGGCGCTGTAACTACCCGCCAACCCGAAGATGCAGAAGAGGCCAGCCACGAAGAGCGCTCAATCGAAGACGAGGTGGAGAAGGACAATCCCACCGACAATGACTCTAATGCTATAGTCGACCTTCAAGCTGCACGGCATGACCATCTCTTTGCGACGATCAGCCCCTTTCAATTGGATCTGTGGTCAACACGACCCTTGGTTGTCCTTGCCTCGCTCTCTCGTTCATCAAAGTCGCTAGAAACTTATGGGAAGAATCTCGGGGTCGCGTTCAAACCCGATGGAAGCACTCTGGTCATTCGCACAGCGGGGGGCTATTTGATGCTATACTCTGTGGAGAGCGACCAGACGGCCCGGGTTCTGCAACAACAGTATGGGTATAGTCAGGCAAAACGACAAAATGTCATGCGAAGTTTTGGGACCGACGAGACCGCTGGAGTCCCAGAGGTTCTACTCCGTTTCCGAAGAGCCATCAAGATCGATGCTGGGATCAATTCAATCAACGCTCTTGACTCGGAAATGATTGTGGCAACCACCAAACCTCCGGCCGTGCAGTGCATCAGGTGGGACCTTCAGAAGGATGGCTCTAATGCGGTGGCCCAACTGCTCAACAGGATGGACTGGGTCACCCAAAAATCAAGCATATCAACCATGATCCACGACAGAGCCATGAACCTTTCAGTCTGGCTGTCACAGGATGGCCATGCGTATGCCGTGCAGCGGATCAAACCCCAACTGACACGAGCGCCATCTTCAGATGACTCTATTCCGTCCTCAAGGGGGTCCACGGCCCAGGTGACCAGATTGTTTGACGGCTACTGCTTTCACAAGCCTGAATCACCAGCCTCCAGCGCAACATTCGCGAGTATCAATGCCCGGTTCTCACTCATCGCTGTTGCTACCTCGGGGGGAGAAATCATCTGCTACTCTGCAAAAGACTACGCTGGGAATATCCCGTTGTCTCACACTTTCAGGGCCTCTACTTCGCCATCATTCAGAGGCGCTATTACATGTCTTATATGGTCTCCTGACGGCTACTGTCTCTTTGTCGGTTACGAACACGGTTGGTGTACCTGGTCGGTGTTTGGAAAGGAGGGCGCTTCAACCTTCCACCAAAACCTGACGCACGCTGAATCCAATGCTGAGAAATGGCTCCTCGCTGTCCAGCGAGCGACTTGGATCGGTGCTGGCGGTGAAATTCTCCTCACCACACCAGCTGAAAACCGGATTTGGAAGTTAGAAATGTCGCGGAGCGCGGCGATGGGCTGTTTCTCCTGCGCAAATCTCGTTCGAGCTCTTCTCCAGACCCCTACCGAGCTATCAGTCTATCGTGGTCATGAGCTGCCCGACTTGACCTCTATATCGAATGAGGCATCCCTTTGGCATCATGCCGAATACCCGCATGTTTATCTTCACAATCAATGGCCTATCAAGTCGTGTGTCGTGTCACAGGATGGGAGATATGTTGCGATTGCCGGTCGCCGCGGCTTGGCCCACTACAGTCTTCAGAGTGGAAGGTGGAAGACCTTCTCCGACTTGTCGGTAGAAAGTTCGTTCGCAGTCCGTGGAGGAATGTGCTGGTTCAACCATGTCCTTGCCGTTGCAACTGAGAATACTAATGGCTACGACTTGCGACTGTACTCGCGGGAGCTCGAGCTGGGTCGTTTCCCATTGCACAACGAAGCATTCTCGATGCCCATCGTGTTTGTGGGCCCCTCAGGAGAAGACTCTCTACTGGTCTATACCTACGAGAATATCCTCTACCACTATATCCTCAACATCACCGACAGAGGTGCACAGCTTGTGCAAGTGGGCCAAATCGCTTTTCATGGCATCGTGCGTGCCCCAAGTCGAGTTCGATCCGTCAGCTGGGTCGTGCCGGATTCGCAGCTTCGAAACGGAGATCCCTCTAGAGATGTGGAATTCGCATCCGTCCTTTTCCTCGTCGACGACAAGTTGGTACTGTTGCAAGCATCTCGGAACGAAAAGGACGAGCTCAAATACGACATGCGCGTCATTGCCCAGCATGTCGAGTACTACATCCTCATGCGTGATCAGATATACTTCAACTTCAGCACTGGCCCGGATGAATCGGCGCCACCCACACCTTCGCCTGGTTCGGCCTTCACCCTGCGAAGCCAGCAAAACTACTCACTACGAGACTCTCTCTGGACATTCAGCGGTGATGAACTTCGTCTCTGGCCTGACGTGCGTGACCTGTTCCACCACGCTGCAGGAGATCTCACCACCTCACCAGTCCTATCTATGTCCATCGATTTCTACCCCTTATCTATCCTCCTCACCAAAGGTGTTGTGTTGGGCATTGAATCCGAGCTTCTGCAACGACGAGACGTCAACTTTGCACAATTCCGATCCAGCATCCGCACACAGCTTTTCCTCCCCTATATCCTTCGCCACCAACTCTGTGAAGCAAACGACACCGCCGCCGCATTCGGTCTGGCGAACCAGTACCAGAACCTCTCATACTTTCCCCATGCGCTGGAAATCCTGCTCCACAACGTCCTCGATGATGAAGTTGATCGGAAACCGAAGGTGAAGGACAAGGAGGAAGATGAGGCACAAGGGCCCCTGCCAGCTGTCCTCTCATTCCTCCAACTCGTCCTCCCACCGACAACGTACCTGTCGACCGTGGTGCAATGCATCCGCAAGACAGAGCTATCGTCCTGGCGCACGCTGTTCGCCCACCTCCCACCCCCTCTCACCTTGTTCGAACAAGCCCTCGAACTCGAGGACCTCAAGACCGCCGGAGGCTACCTCATCGTGCTGCAGGGGCTGGAGGAAGGCAACGACGAGTCCGAGTCGTACGACGCCCGCAAATTCGAAGGCTACGTTATCCGCCTGATGAAACTCGCGCGTCAAAAGGGAGACTTCGAGCTGTGCGCCGAACTCGCCAGGTTCATGATGGGCATCGATCCGAGGGGAGACGCGCTGAGGAGGGTCATCGTCGGCGTCGGGTTCAGGAACAAGCCGACACTTCTGGAGCCACATCGCACAGTATCTGGCGCGGCGACGTTGCAGATCCCCCGGTCCAGGAATAAAGATGTGGAGGCAAGCTCCGAGGGAAGCTCGAGCCCGTCGCCGGTGAGACTGAGCCCGGTTACGGGGGATTATTTCTCGAACTCACCAGGTGGATATTGAGAAAGAATACGGGATCAACAGGTAGATGTATTCACAATGGTCCCTTTTTTCTCTTAAGAGTCTGCTAGATGTTCTGCTTGCCAGTCTGTCGTCGAAGGCAGAAACCATCAATCTTTGTTTCTATCCACCCGCCATAGTCGTACAACATATACATTTTCACAGCCTCAACCCAATCTTCTAACCTGTGGACTCCTGGTTCCGCCGAACTTCAACCTCGTCCCGTCCGTCACCTTCGCAATCAGAGGCTTGATCATCCTCCCTTCCGTCCCTAGCAATGCTTTCTGGAAAGCCTCTCTTCCTGGCCCATATCCTCGAAAAATTACCTCAATTCCCGCACCTGGGGAACCGCTGTACGCGGGCTTTTTGATGCTCGACAACGTACACCATGGGTTGTTGTTGTGTTTGTTGCTTTTGCTGCCTCCGAGTTTCCACTGCTTCTCTGCCATTTTTCGGAAGGTGTATGCCGCCAGCTGGAAACTCGCGTCGTAGGATGCCTTTTGTGCATTGCGCAACCCCAAGTTGCCGCACGAGAGGGACAAGATCGGATTGCGGTTGGGCTCGGTGAACGTGATGTGCGTGTTGTGCCGGTGGGCGTAGACGTTGATGTGGTATGGCTCGTCCGTATACGAGCTCCTGACAGACGGCCGTGTGGCGGCTTCTGCTTGTGCCGATTGTGCGACGTTCCGGAGGTCTCTCTGGAAGATGGAACGCATGGAATTGTTCGTGGTCTGCGACGCGGCGTTGCTGTTTGAACTTCCGCGAAGCAGCTCGTGGAACTGGCTCAGAGAATCAGTCTCCTTTGCGGGGGCTTCTTCATTGACCTTGATGCCTAGACGTTCAGAGAGTCTGCTGGGCTGGCGCTCTGGTTCTCTGGAGGAGCTGGGGCTTGAATCTGAGATGGTGCGTCGTGACTGTGTGAGGTAGGAGTTCCGACACGACCTGCACATGGACGACAGCAAAGGGGCCCTCGGGTGGGCCATGTTGCTTTGTCTATGATGTTGTCGTTGTCGTCGTCAGACTAAAGGAGCAGCAGACTGAACACTGTGCAGTTCGTTGGCTGCGAGAAATATGCATGCAATTGGATCTACAACGGAACAGGAAGCTTAGCCGGAGCCGAAATTCGATTTCCTCCGCCGTCGTGCAGACGCATCAACTGACCATGAACGAGCTTGTTGAAATCTTTTCTTTTCGGTGTTCTGCTCGTTTCTTTCCTCCCGCTTGCAGATAAACGCTCCGTAGCATGACTGTACTGCGTCGCGCACCTATCCATGGTGTCCGTCATTATGTGACAGCCACCACACAACTTGCCACGCTCCGAGCGTCGGCGCAGTATGGAAGGACTGCCGTCTACAGAAGATTACTTTCGTCTCGAGAACAATCCACACCTCTCATTTCCTCATCACACCTGACGCCGTTCTCCCCCAGACTCACCCTTTCCAATCAGACTCTCCTTCGATCTCTCCACACCTCCGGAGCTCGATCCCAACAAACCCAGGCCAAGGAAGACCCCAAACAAGAAGTTCGAGATCCGCCCCGGGACGACAAACCAGAACGGGAAGCAAGCGAGGGAAAAGAGGAAAAGGACCAGAAAGAGGAAAAATCAGACAAGGAAGAGAAGGAGGGCAAAGAGTCCCCTCCACCTCCGCCACCCCATGGCGACAAAACTCCCTGGCAAGTTTTTGTCGACACTCTTCGAACGGAATTCAAGGCGTCCAAAGAGTGGAATGAATCTACAAAGCAGCTCTCAGGCTCCGTCCAGCAGTTTACCGAGTCCGATGCCGTAAGAAGGGCGCGAGAAGCCTCCGAGGCCGCTTCCAAGGGCACTTCACAGGTCTTGAAGAGCACGGCCAGCGCCATCGGCCAAGGCGCGGCGTGGGCTTGGGAGACACCCGTCGTACAGGGTGTGCGAAAGGGAGTCAACGCTACCGGCCGGGGCATCGAAAAAGCCACTCGGCCGATTCGGGAAACGAAGGCGTTCAAGGACGTCTCGGAAGCAGTTGATGATGGCAGCAGCTCCAGATACGGCGGCTGGATAGAGAAAGAAGAGCGAAGGAAACGAGAAGAAGCCCGAAGGTTGAAAGAGGCACAGTCGACTAACAAAAAAGACGAACCCATGGTCGAAGATCCAAAGTAGGTGTTCCAAGCCAAAAAAACTTTTTGGTGATAGGCTCTAACTGTGATTGCAGCGCCGGCACTAACATTACCGTCCACAAAGACGCGGCATGGCGGGAGTCATGGAACAATTTCAAGGACAACTCGAAGTTAATGCAGAGCCTATTTAACATGAAAACTACCTACGAAGAGTCCGAGAACCCCCTGATATCGACCGCGCGCTCTATCTCCGATCGGGTCGCCGGGTTTTTCGCGGAGAATGAGACGGCCATGGTGATCAAGAAATTCCGCGAGATGGATCCGTCTTTCCAGCTGGAGCCTTTCCTGCGCGACATGCGAGAATACATTTTGCCAGAGGTGCTCGACGCATACGTTAAGGGCGACGTCGAAACTTTGAAAATGTGGCTCTCGGCGGCGCAATTTCAGGTGTATTCGGCTCTCATGGAACAATACACCAAGGCTGGCCTCAAATCGGACGGACGAATTCTTGACATCAGACACGTCGACATCCTGAATGCTCGGTTACTGGAACCTGGCGACATCCCCGTCTTCATCATCACGTGTCGGACGCAGGAAGTTCACGTTTACCGCAATGCGAAGACGAACGAATTGGCAGCCGGAATGGAGGACAAGGTCCAGTTGGTCACGTATGCCATTGGCGTGACGAGAATACCAGAGGAGGTCAACAACCCCGACACGAGAGGGTGGAGGATGATTGAATTGCAGAAGGCGGCCAGAGATTACATCTGATCTGCAGCACCAGAGTGTCGATATCTTCGCATTTAGCGATCTTTCTGTGGAAACAAAGGTGGATTCTACGCTCTCATGTTTTGTGTGTTGTGTCAGGATCAAACTCAGCTCGGTCCTGATGTGTGTGCTTTTAGATCAACATTTCTTGCTCCAACAACGGATGGACTGTTGAAGAAGCAATTCCCAAGCAAATGTATGTACTTTTATCCCTGTGACGAGCTTGGGTCCTATCATCAAGGACCTGCACGAAGGAGGGCACGGACAGAGGCAGGGCAAAACTGGATAGCTATGGATGAGGCTGCTAACATGCCCAGCCCGCGTTTTGCTTCTTGGAGCTTTGTGAGAGAGGGAAGGAGGCCTCGAAAAAATACAACATAATTCTTCGCTCGAACAAATGTTTGTGTAGGTACCGAGTGCCTCCTAGAATGCAAATGTACAATCAATGTACTGTCTCTGTACGTACTGTATATACTCGGTACAAGTACGGCAAATAATAATGATTGGGCACCGCACGAATCAATCAATCACCTGTTCATCGTCATGACGCAGGTACTTGCTGTAGGTAGTTAGCGAGCACCTAATAACTCGTACATGCAAGATGCGCACATGGGCGGGCTCCGACCGAGTACACAATAGTAGTAATTAAGTAGGATGCACGGTACCCGCCTACGCAACTACGTAACACAAAGGGTGCTTAGTCTCGGTTGAACGACGTCATGGCTGTGTCGCCCGCTCCCTCCTGTACGCAGTAGTATATCATCAGGCATGTGAGGATGTGCAGCACCAGGCATCAATCATTCAAACAGAAACAAGATCTCTCTCCTACAAAAGACCCAACCTTTTTCCTCGTCTGATCGTTTCTTTTTTTTTTCCTATTCTTCTATTTCTTCCTTCCTGAACCACTTCCTGTCCCACCTAGACCGACCCTGATTGATACCATCCCCCTCCCCTATCCAGAGCAAGCACTCTATCCATTCCCCACAACCCATTTTCCCAGACCTCCCCCTTCCAAGACAAGTCAAGACAAGAGCAAAAGACCAAAAAAAGGAACCAAAAATGCCCCTCGTCATCCCCGGAATCAACAACACCGGCAGCAGCGGCTCGGGCAACACTGAGGAGTGGATGACCAAGCTGATGGGCAAGCGGCTGGGCGACACGAGCAACGAGACGCAGTTCGCCAAGAAGGACCTGCCGCAGAACCACCGCGTCGTCGAGGACGGGGGCATGATGACCATGGATCATAATCCGGACCGGTACGTTGAAAAACACTCTGTTTAAATATGATTTGTCTCGCGAGTTCTTTGCAAGGAAGTTGGGAGAGGGAGCGAGAGAGGGAGAGGAAGATGAAGACGAAAAGTAGGGTGGGTGGGACGGAGACAGAGTAGGGACAGAGACAGAGACAGAGAACTTCCGTGTTATACTCTGACTGCTGTGGTCCAAGAAGGCAGCCGGGCTAACTTTCGCACGTTCACAGACTCAATATCCACGTCGACAAAGACGGGACCGTCAAGAAAGTGACGCACGGATGATTGATAGATAGATCCGAAACCAAGGCAGGGGAAATGCTACATACACACACGCACATGGCGGCATGAACGTGGTGATGAAGATAAGAAGATGGTGTGTGTGTGATATGCACTTCACGAATCCACCAAGAATAAGACATGAGACATAAAAAAACGAGACATGGATTTCTTTGAACGACGAAATAGATATTGTCCTGGCTGGTCTATAATAGCATCAATCCCATTCCGGCCGGCCGGGTATCACACTAATGAGTCGACACTCTCATCCGCTGGTTTGCAGTTTTTTATACATGCCATTCAATTCAATTCATCCATCCCTCGAGGTCCTTCCTCTGCCACTCACAATAAACATTAGGTCCAAAGAGATCAGGAGAGACTCGACTTCCCTTTCCTCGCTATCGGGTGCATCTGTGACCTGCAGCCTCTGGGGATGCGTGTCAGTTCCCCTTCAATGCCCTGAGGACTCTCTGCATGCCTTTCAGCCGTTCCTGCTCGCGGACGACAATCCCTCGGGCAAGCCTCTTCATCTCTGCCCGGCCCCATTCTTGCCTCCATGTCGTCCAACCCGCCAGCTCCCCGACGACGACCTCTTGCGAATACCGCAATTCTCTGCCGACTCTCTCAATGTCCAGTCCTCTTTCCAAGATCTTCTTCTCGGTATCTTTGACCACCTTTAAACGCGACTCCTCTGTGCCCGGAAAAGGCAGATTGAGATTCTTCAGGACGCCTTTTCTGGGGATTGAGTTGTTCACCAAGTTCGACTTGTCCTTCTCCATCGCCCTTTGAGCTGCCGTGATTCGGTCGATCAACGCACTCGGCTTCAGCAGCGCCGACTGAACAGCCGCGACCGTCGAGTGAAACGAGCTCAAACTGCAAATGTAGTTCTGCAGGGGAGAACTCGCCGGTTCGGAATGCATCAAAGCCGCAAATTTTAACAAGGCGTCGACATGCATCTTGGAAAGAGTCGTTGCAGGGGTTCCCATTGTCGCAAATGCCACCGAACACAGGCTTAACGCCTCGGCGAAGTCCGCATGTGCTTGGACATAAGCGTGGCCCTTGCGGATGGACGATCTGGTGCAGATGTTGATTTTCCGCACCATGTCTCGCGAATGAGAGACCAGACCGTCCACGGCAATCATGTCTGCTCTGGATATGAGGGGTTCGTATTCATCGTTGATCTTTTCCTGTATCAGTTCCGCTTTGAGGCGTGCTCGATCGGCCATCTGTTCTTGTAGCATGTCTGGGACGAGGAAGAATTCCCACAACATCTCGTGCGTGGAGAAAGTCGGATGCTTCAGTAGGATCTTCAGAAACCGGTCGAGACTGGTTTGTATATCATGCAACGCCGCGCGCGACGGCCGTGAGTGTAGCTGAAAAGGATTCCGGAAGTTCGAAGCTAGAAGGGTCGGCATATATGACGCCGGCGAATCCATCAAAAGCCATTTCGCCAGGTTCTCAAAGTCTTGCAATGAGCGTCGACTGGTGGTGATGGTATAGGTCGTGCTTGAGACTGCAGGGTTCGGAGCGCCCGACTTGAGGATAAACCTTGTTGATCCATCCTCGACGAAGAATGACCGGACAATGGCTGTGATTCTCCCCGTGGGATCGGCTGTATTTGTGGGCGAGAATAATGTCAAGTCGTCAATCCGATTCCGCACCTCGTCGTCTTTTGCCAGTTCTACAGCAGTCAACCCACGGGACTCCCGCAGGTTCAAATCTATTCTTGGGTCGCTCAGGAAAATCCGAACCATGTCCACTCGCCCGTACTTGCTGGCCAGCATCAACGGAGTGAATTTCTTGTCGTTCATGGCATTCAGATCGACTTCGCAAGTTTGCAGGATTCGTTGCATGATGGTGGCGTCGTTGACAATATGAAGCAAGGAGTTGCCCTTGTTGTCCATGTGGTCTTCCATTCGCAGGGGGCCGCCGTCATGTTGCGCCTCCTTTGCAGCAGTCAAGGCTTCCGAGACCATGCTGCTATAGTCAGGGTGGTCGTAGGTCCGGCAAATGGCAAACAAAGGCGTATGGCCGATGTTATCCCTTTGTCGCCAGGGAAGAACATTGGCCAGTCTTTTGATCAGCTGAGGAGTATTGAACAGGTAATGTGCCACACTTCGTCCCCGAGAGTCTTTGACAGACAGATACTCACGGAATACCTGCTCGTCGGCGTGTTGCTCAGCGTAGCTCAGGATGACATTAACCAGTTCCATATTGGCCAACTGGACTGCGGCGCTCAACAACGTTGCCCCTTCTTGGGTTACATCTGACAGCACTCCTTCGGGACTGTAGAGTTCCGTCAGACTCAACAAGTATCGTAGGCATTCCGGGCGCTGGTTTTCGACGGCCATCATCAGCACCGAATTGCCGACAGCATCTTGTGTTTGAGCCAGGCTCTGCACAGACGTGTCGCCCTCGATCCCGCTTAGAGACGTTTCGATGGTGGCGGCTCTGGACGAAAGTGAAAACGCCGATGAGACCGACATGCTCCTAGCTGCCATCTGCACCTTCTTTTTCTGTTTGGGGAGCAGGCTTTTTCTCTCGGCCGCCTGAAAAGGAAATACATGCGACAGACCACCCTCGCTTGACGAGGTTCGCGAGAGTGCCGCCCGTGGACATGATTCGGAGGATTTGGCAGAAGCGGTTGTCACTCTCGACAATGGAATCTCGGCAGGTTCTTCGACGAGGCCGTCTGACATGACAGCCGACTCCTCGAATATCGACCTGACTTCGTCGATTTTTCCACCTTTGACAGCTTTCCAAAGCATCTGGTTTTGTCTTGATGCCTTGCGCAGACCACCGGCATCCCTTACCAGATATGTCAAGACGGCCTCGAGTGTACTCAGCGAATACCCGATTTCGCCACTTTCGACATCGTCAATATAAATGAAGCGCTGCATGTAGGACAATCTTGCCTGAAGATGCCTGACTGAGGCGCGGATAACCACGAGGAGGAGCATGGACACCAGAATATCTGCGTTGATCGTCATTGCAGCCACTGCCCTTTTTTCTTCGTCGGAGATCCCTTGCGGCTCCGACACGACTTTTTGGGTTTCGAGGAGGATTTCGAGCATCTCCTGAGGACTCCCGGCAACGCCCATTCTCCGAAATACCGCGACACCACGGTTGACCCGATTGATGAGGTCTCTTTTGCCCTTTCTGCCATCTTCAAGGACGATGCCCACCTGAGACACGTCTAAACAATCCATCTGTCGTATCCGCCGATCCAATTCTTGATCTTGCGCCTTGTGAAACGCACATAACCGAGGAAACAGTAGAGTAGGGTGAACATACTCTGCCACGTATCGCTCTATCAATCTCTCGACGTCGGGGCCAGTCAAATCGGTGGTCGCACCCAAGTAGGAAAGCTGCTGCTTGTCGACGCCTTGGAACAGATCGATTGCAGCTGTGACCGCAGTCTCCAGAGCTGTCCGCATGAGATCCTCCTCATCTTCGAAATACGCAGGAGAGTTGAAGGGCAGCTTGACGGAGCCATTAGACCTGACGGATGCCGTCTCCGATGCTTGAGTCGTCCCGTCCAACGTGCTGGGCGTTGGACTGCGTGAAGGGGGCGGGGGGAGCGGCTTTCCCAATTCTTTGCTAAATTCATTGAACAATCTTTCTAGACCGGGTTGCATCTGTCGCTGTATCATAGGAAAATTCTCCAACAACTGACCAAAGGTCTTTATGTCTTTCTTTTTCGGGGTGGGAGGTTCGGAAGATGAGGACGAGGTGCCAGGTGCGACGTGGTTGAATCTGGTCTCTCCGATGAGTGCCGGTTTGATGGGCAATGCCTCGAACAGACCAGTCAGTGGTTTGGAAATGTAGTAGACGAGCCATTGTTGCATATCATTTCCCGTCGAGTAGTACAGCAAGTCGCTCAACAGACTGGCCTGATTCAAGTGTTTAAACCCTTTGTTGCTATACACGGTGTTCTCCTTCAGAATCACCGTGCGCCCATTGACCGTGGAGTAGTTTTTCGCCTTGCCACGACCATCGCGGACGTTTCCATCCTTCTCCGCCGTCGCAGGGATGATTCGGAGGATGTGGCTGCCGAGGAAATCCTCGTCTTCGACATGGTCGGCATATCTCTTGCTGCTCTCGCGGTCTTGGCCGTAAAGGAGGGATTCGGTCGTAGGGACGAGAAGAACGTAGTTCTGGGCCGGGAGCGCATGGCCTAGCACACTACTCTGAAAGAGCGCGCGCAGGAAAGGGTTCAGGACGGGCATCCAGGCACGATGGGCCTAGCGACAGCACTGCGAATCATCGAGCCGTGGTGCGCATCGAGGCAGAAGACGGTCTTGTCAGCTGAAGCCGACAGAGATTGACATGTGGGGGAGTGGGCTTTGTCAAATGGTGTCAGCAACAATGTCTGATGATTGCCTGGGGAACATCTGTGAAAAGACGATTGAAATGCCACATGCGTCGTTTGTCTGGCCGATGTACGAGGTATTGCTAGCCCCTTCTTGCTTCCCCAGAATCCGGAATGCTCAGCCCAACTCCGGTCGGAGCCTTGGCGGGAAAGCCGATGCTGCTGCATTAACAATATGGAACCTCGTTGCTTCCTATTTACTCTCGACTCGTAGTTCCATCTGAATAAATGCCAACATTGCCTGATCGTACTCTTTCGTGTGTTTTTTTTTTTCCTTTTTGTGTTTCATATGTTGGTCGTAGAGATTCGAGAATGTCCTCAGAAGCCCGATTCCAGCTTGTCTGCCTGCCGGTTGGTCCAATGTTGACCACAGCATTCGTCTTTGTCCGGCGTTGGTATCTCCGCCGTCAGTTCATGCTCCGTCATAGCTGTGAACCGCTGGGGATATCACTTACAAGAAATCTTTTCTTGGGCCTCGACCTCATCCCTGCCTTCATCCGCGGTCTCCGGGGGCATGATATGCTTGATCTCAACAACGGAGCCGCAAAATGTCACGATCGTGCTATCCACCAGGTTCAAGGACCATCGCGTCGGCCACCCCCTGCAAGCATTCAAGCCTCTGTTGGAGGTTGGGATCTTCGATACCGATAGCGACCACCAGGTTTCCCCCCGTGCCTTCTTGAGGCCCAACTTTATCCGTGGCCAGGTGGCAGACTTGACGTCGTTTGAGAATCTGGTCCAGGACCTCTTCTCACTACTTCCACGTGATAGACAGACAGTAGTGGTCTTGCAAGAGCTTTTTCCGCTACACTATTGATTCCGAGTCCCTACTCGACAGTCTGTCGGCAGTCTGAAGAAGAAGAGCCAATCAGAGCTAAGTTTTGCTGAGGCATTCAATCACGCACAGCATGCAATCGTAGTGAGAGCGACTCTAGGTCCACTGAGGGGTTTTTTTTACCGCGACCGGAGAGCCAACAAGTGCGGACGTATCGGCCGAGACTTGCCCAACAGTTCGTCGACCAGGCACTCTACGCTGTCGAGCCCGGGAAGGATGGCATTGGGACAAAGTGCCCAGAGAGATTGCTGGACTACAAGGGCGGGCCTCCAACTTACGGGGAGCTGCGCAGTCTCAAACATGTCCAGTGCTACATCAACGAATGTGAGAATGGTCCTACTTGGACTGTCGACATCTACTGACTTCAAGAGTGCTACGTCTACACCCCGTGGTCCCGCGAAACCAACGTGAGGCTGTCCGAGATACCGTGCTTCCAATTGGAGGAGGCACGGATGGTCTGTCGTCCGTGTTTATGCCAAAGGGCACTCGAGTGCGCTACGATATATATGTAATGCATTAGCGTCGCGACTTCTACGGACCGGACGCAGACACCTTCCGTCCCGAGCGATGGGAGACTGGACGATGGCAGCCACGCTGGGAATATTTGCCGTTCAATGGCGGATCACGGGTCTGTCTCGGCCAGCAATATGCACTGACTGAAGTTGCCTATGTTGTCGTCCGCATGGCGCAGGAATTGAGAGTGTTGAAGAGTCGAGAGTCCGGTCCGTGGGAGGAGTCGCTATCACTGACTCTATGCTCCCGCAACGGCACCACGGTGTAATTACTCCGGCCTGGATAGCAGACCGATAAGACCCTCTCCCGGACTGAATTTCACTTGTAGTCTAGTTTCAGGTCTCAGGCCTCACTAGGCCCCCATTGAGAGAGCCGCCGAGCCGCGTTACCGAGTACGAGTACGAGGTACCTCGTATTATTATGCCGTGTGTATTCCCCATATAAATTGTAATAGTCCCTGCTTCAATACTACCAAAGACCTCCATCTAGCTCCAACCCTCTTCTTCCTCAGTTTTTTCCTTTGGCAGAAATAGGGAGAATACCTACCACCTCTCCAGCTCATCCTCGTCCTTCGGCCCACAACCCCAGCAAGATCGGCATCCCATTCCCATAACGACCTCGACATGAAGGACGGCTTTGCAAAGTCTTGGCCGCGACGGCTGTTGCAGCTGGAGGGCGCCTGCGTCTTCGGCACCGCCATCTGGGCGTATTCCCGTTCCCGCCAGTCGTGGTGGACTTTTGCCGCCCTCCTTCTGACCCCGGATCTAGGGATGGCTGGATATCTCGCCAATACATCGGCCGGCGCTGTGTTATACAACAGCTTTCACACGGAAACGCCTCCCATACTCCTGCTGTGCGTTGCATTGGCTCGCGACAACAAGACTCTCGCGGGGGTGGCTTTGAGTTGGCTCGCTCACATCGGCATGGACCGCATGCTGGGCTATGGCCTGAAGTACGGAACCAGTTTCAGCCACACACACTTGGGCGACCTGGGTTTCTCTGGCAAGGGGGACGACAAGGCAAGTGCATCACAGTAGAGTGTCTCACTGTCAAGGGCACCAGGCGTCTTGCAACCAATCGAGGCCCACAAACAGCAGCATATTTGATGGGATGGCCAACATTGTATACCTTACTAGCTGGAAAAGGACTACTTTCTCGTGATGGCAAGACAGTTAGCAGACAAGGGCATCTGGAATACGAGCAGGCATACCAAGGATTGCCTATCCACGACACAAGTCTCTTGATGGCTCTGCTCCATTTCTCAGATCGTCGCGCTCGCTCGGTCGCTCGGTCGCTCGGCGGGCACTTACCGAGCCGCGCACTAAAAGAATAGAATGACAGCCAAATCAAAAGACAACCGGACTAGTTGAATTTTTCGTACCTCGTCACGTGCTCATACACTAATACACCTCCGACCTAAATGATCCGCCGGAAATTTTCCGAGGCTCGCCGCTCAGAATTGGAGACGAAAACTTGACAAAATGCGCCCTGCGAAACCTCTTGAATCTCCTACAACACCTCGACAATCGCCGCCTGATTGCGTGGCATGGCTCGAGGAGGTCGACGTCGTCAAACTCTAGGTCAGGGTTTGGACAGAGAGGTATGCTGGCTTGTCTCTCCCCGCCACCCTCCCACCTGAATGGTGTGCTCACCACAATGTCTGCAGGTATATCAAGTGGTGCGCAAAATCCTCGACGAGCGTGCACAGTACGGAGACGTCCCAAGTACGCCGCTGTCTTTTGCCGCCGTATACGATGAGATCCGGGCGTCCAATTCCAGTCTAAACCGGAGACCTAAAAAATTACTGGAGGACAGCATTCAACGGGTGCTCGAAACCATCCAGCAGGATCAAGAATCCGAGTTCGACGATATTGTGGCTGGGGAAGAGGAAGAGCAGCAGCAGCAGCAAGTACACAAACCTCTGTCGAATAAATTGAACAAGAGCATTGTCAGTGCCTGGTCTACGTCAACTGTGTCACCTGCACCAACACCGAAACCCGCATCGACACCCAACATGGACTCCCCTCAAATCGCAACTACACAACGGCTTGCGAATGGCGAACCCCGTCCCAAGAAGCGCAGAGCCGTCAATGCCCCGGTCGACAGATCTCCACCGACACACGTCTCGTTGGAGTCTCTGGGCGGTGTCACGCCGGTGATCCAGGAGTTGAGACGCCTACTCGTCATCCCGATGAGCAAGCCCGAGATTTACGCTTCCAACAAGGTCCAACCACCGCGCGGTATCCTCTTACATGGCCCTCCCGGCTGTGGCAAGACGATGATCGCGAACGCATTGGCCGCAGAGCTGGGCGTCAACTTCATTTCCGTGTCCGCCACCAGCATCGTCTCTGGCATGTCGGGTGAGAGCGAAAAGGCGCTGAGGGACCTCTTCGAGGAAGCCAAGAGCTGTGCCCCGACCTTGCTGTTCATTGATGAAATCGACGCCATCGCTCAGAAGAGAGAAACCGCACAGCGCGAAATGGAGAAACGGATTGTCGCGCAGCTGTCCGTGTGCATGGACGATCTCACGCTGGAGAAGACGGACGGCAAGCCGGTGATCGTCCTCGCCGCGACGAATCGACTGGATACGCTCGACGCGGCTCTGCGACGAGGCGGCCGCTTCGACAAAGAAATCAACATGCGAGTGCCCACTGAGCCGGACCGTGCCAGGATCCTGGAGGCCCTGACCAAGGGGATGAAGATGGCCGACAATGTGGACCTCGATCTCCTGGCCAAACGTACCCCGGGATTCGTCGGCGCCGACTTGAACGACCTCGTCCTGACCGCCTCGGCGACGGCCATGGAGCGCTACCTGGACGTCCTGCAAGCGAACTCGGACAAGTACATCATGGACGTGGACGGGGACGACCACCTCGACAAGCACCCGGACGCCGAAAGCATCAAGTCCCTGCGCCGGCTCGTCAAATACATCAAAGGCCAGTCCTCCTCCCCCGAGGCCGCGGCCGAGGCCGATGAAACCCTGCTTGTTACGTTCGAGGACTTCCTCGCCGCTCTACCCAAGATCCAACCTTCCGCTCTGAGAGAAGGCTTCGCCACGATCCCGTCGACGACCTTCGCGTCCATCGGCGCGCTGGACGACCACATCCGTGAGCTGACCGACACGGTGATCTCGCCCATCCGCGACCCGGCCGTGTACACCAACCTGGGCCTGCCGGCCTGGTCGGGCACGCTGCTCTGGGGCCCGCCCGGCTGCGGCAAGACGCTGCTGGCCAAGGCGTGCGCCAACGCCAGCCACGCCAACTTCATCAGTGTCAAGGGCCCCGAGCTGCTGAACAAGTACCTGGGCGAGTCGGAGCGGGCCGTGCGCCAGGTCTTCACGCGCGCGCGCTCCAGTGTTCCCGTCATCGTCTTCTTCGACGAGCTGGACGCCCTGGTGCCCACGCGGGACGGCGGCGTCGGCGGCGGCTCCGAGGCCTCGGCCCGCGTGGTCAACACCCTGCTCGCCGAACTCGACGGCGTCGGCCACTCGCGCGACGGCATCTACTTCATCGCCGCCACCAACCGGCCCGACATCATCGACCCGGCCATGCTGCGCCCGGGCCGACTGGACATGTTCCTGTACGTGGGGCTCCCGGACGCCGAGGGCCGGGTGGAGATCCTGAGGACGCTCTGCAAGAAGGTCAACGGCCTGGTCTTTGACGAGTCCCTGGCCACGGTTGCCCGGGAATGCGACGGGTTCAGCGGTGCGGATCTGGAGTCGCTGGTGAGGAGGGCTGGGCTGGCCGCCGTTCGCCGGATCAAGTCGTCGGGGGGGCCCGACACGATAACCACACAAGACTTCATGCATGCCAAAACCGAAGTGAGGCGGAGCGTGGGCGTCGAGGACATCAGGAGATTTGAGGCCTTGAGGAAAAACTGGCGCAAATAGATCCTTGGGCCCCAAAAGATAGAATAACCGAAAATTCTTGAAGCAGAACAGGTTTCTCTAAAGTCATTATCATCGTCATCATTACAGTGACCAGACAGTGTGAGAGAGGTCAGTGCCAGCGTCGCGGGACCCTCGTACGTTGAGTTAAGCAAAGCCGGACAACTACTTCCCAAGACAATCGAGGTATGCCAACGAACGTCGTCCCCTGCGGACGGGATTGCCTCTGCAAAACGAATGGACAGCCTGGTCGAACAATGCAAATCCAAAGCTACAAGAACCCTTATTCCAACACGGATTGAAAGCCTCCACAAACTCAGAAAACCGGCAAACGAAAGATGTCGCTGCTGAGCCTCCGACTCTCTGTTGAACTTCGACGGCTTTCAGAACTTGAGCGCGACCGTTTCTGTAGCTTCTTAGGCTTCTTCTTCATCTCCACGTCCTCGTGCCGGGTCCCAAAGTCCTTGACCCTGGGTCCCTTTTCCAGTGTGCCGGCAGGTAGAACTTCGAACCCATCGTTGACTTTCCGTGATCGAGTATTTGCAATAGAGAGCGAACCGGAAGGCGACGTTGTGGTTGTCACGGATATTGAACTTGTAGAAGAGCTTGGAGTGTGCAGAGAAGTGTTGGATGCGGTCTCGCTCGTTTTGGGAGAAGGGAGAATTTTCGCGTCAACCCTGGCCTGGGTCTTCTCCGTCCATGCCGAAGGGGGTGGTTTGGTGGTGGGTAAGGACTCGACGAACGCGCGGAAAGGCACGGGTCTTGGTCCTTCCATCCTTTCCGCCCTGCGAGAAAACTGTTTGCCGAGATTGATATTGCCATTTCGAGCAGGCCATGATAGAGCACGGGATGCCGAGTCGTCGCTGTCATCGCTGTCCGAAAGAGAGGGTGTAAACGGTGGCGTCAGGATCATGTCAGTGTGCCGCCGATTCCTTGGAAGTAGTTGGCCGCTTTCTGCGGCATGGAAGCGCCTATGGGCCTCCATGCCCTCAAGAGGATTGGGATCAGAACGCCTTTCTGGCCTCTGGTGGCCCTCCTGAGTGTTTCTCCCCTTGTTACCAATGACAAATTTCCGTGCTCCCGAAGATCGAAGGTTGGTTATGTGACGAAGCTGCAATTTTGAGGGCGACGGGCTCAGTGTGTCCGTTGACATTGAAGAAACACCATCTGTGTAACCATTGTCAGTGATAAGGTCCGCATTGAGCACAACACCGGAAATTGCCAGACCTGGCGCGGTCTCGGCGGCGTCCGCGCGAATATATGGATCGTTGTAGCTTATGACAATCGTCTTCCCTTTCTTCGAGGAGGAAGATTCAGCTGGTGGATCAACATCCGCTGTGCATAGTCAGCCAAAAGCCAGTGGTCCAGTGCTGATGTCTCTCACCTTCCGGTGACGCTAGTCCTATGTCTGAGGAATCGCATATTGAGCTAGAAGCAATCGACGAGTATTTAATGGGCCTGATTGCCAACTGCGAAGGGGCGGGACATCGGGCTCTGTCGAATTGTAATGCAGTTGCCGTCCGAGCGTTCCACACCCCTTCAACTTCGGGATCTTCAATCAAAGCGCGGATGCCGAAAGGTATATCTTCGTCCAAGCAGTTGACCAATGTCATCTCCCCTCGTTCGGCCTGCTCTTCCACTGCTCTTCTTTCCAGCCTCCTGTCCTGCGCCCAATTCCTCAGCTTGACCACGAAGGCGGTGGTAAGGATAACCGTCTAAGAGAAATGTCAGAGGGAGAACAAGGCGAGGGCCGAGACACGAACAAGCAAACCACCTAAGATCTGTTACAGGCGATCAGTGGGGACTTTCTCGATAGATGGCATGGCCTCTACTCACAAGAGCTAAGCGCGCCCACATTGGCCATTCCAAGAAGAAGACAGCGCCCTCCGGGACGGGGGCGAGCATCTTGCCAGAGAACAGTATGGTAGGAATGCTAGACGCGAGGAAGGATGAAAAGGAAGAACCCCATTTCCGAAGAGCAATGGAGGCCAGCACCCAAGAAATGATAGAGCAGTCTGCAATGTGGTCGGCTGAACTGCTAACGATGGACTGAAGGAAAACTCGAGGGAGAGGGAATGCAACTGATAACGCGCCAGGCGCCGTGGACTTTGTCGTCGCGATGGTAGTGGTGACGCAGGGAGACAGCAGCACCTGCTCTAGCCGTGCACGAAATCGTGCAGTTGCCATCTGCGACATGCAGCTTCCAGTTGGTATGATAGTGATGGTGAAGGGAATGGGGCCAGAGTGATATCAGTCACAAACAGAAAAACGTTGACTAACTCTCACCGTGTGAAGACCTGAAGACCTGGATTGTGTTGGCGACACGGATTGAATTGATCAAACTCACTTGGTAGCTCTCTCTCTCTGCCTATCCAGTATTATCCTGCATTCGCCCGACTTGGTCGTGCAGCAATTGATTGTTTTGACAGGGCTCATTTACGCAGTCCATGCTGTGAAGTTACCACATCCACCGCATTACGTGGTCGTGGTCGGATCGATTGTCCTGCAGAACAGCCACAACCCCCTGGCTCTCCATCGTCACCAGGAAATAATTCATCAGAAGGAAACACTGGCAGCACGGTAATGTGAGGTATAGAGGAGTACAGGAGACGGCAATCTGCACAATGGCGCACGTATCGAGATGCAGGTACCCTCGCTGTGATACACTATCGACCAGGAGACGGACAAAGGGCGATGGATGTATCGATAGATTTGGACAAGTCAAAGAGGCTGAGGCTGAGGCTGAGACGGCTCGCATGTGGGGAGGATCCGATATCGTATGCCGTCTTCTGCTTGAAAAAAAAAAAAAATTTGCTTGTCGACGTCATATAGTTTACTGGAGGATGGGCAAAGTGTGGAGGAAACTCTCGTCGATCAAGATGCCGGTACTGTAATACATCTATCTACATTAGGGGGCAGTGTCAGTCTTCGAATGGCAAACAGTGGTTGAGATGAATCATCAATTTTGGCGCTTGCCTTGACCCAAAACCCATGGCATGGATGAGAAAATTTTCCCTCTCGTATCCTGTACCTGCATGCACAGTGTGAGACCCAATACTCCTTCAAGGGCGTGGTTGACGAAACAAAGAAAGAGATGCTATCTATGGGGTCCGATGCGACCAGCCCATGCAGGGTGGATGACTGGAGTTGACAAAGCCACCAGGAGTATTGGCCCAGTGGGTGCGCGGGGTGCCCATTGGATTGCGCCCATGCGCAGGGAGGGGCCCCTCGTGAGGCCGTTCTCCGGTTAATGATCGGCGCCAGAAGACGCCCAATGACCCCCGTAGCAGGTGGTGTAACTTTGCCCGCTGAACCCTACTAGGTGCCCATGAGTACCCGGTCTCCCGGCACGTTTCCGTGCTGTCCAGGTGGCCGTGGCGTTACCCTTACTGTTTTGTTGCCCGCCTTCGGACCCGGGTGCTGGCTGCTGGCCTCTGGTACTGGGCAGCTCGTGACAAAGACTTCTTTTGTGCGCACCTCTTCCTCCGAAACATCCTGTCTTCTCATATTTTCTCTGTGAGAGACGAAACATAACAGCATTCCTTCCATTCCCCTCATATACAGATTTTTCTTATTGCAGTAACCGTTTCACGGTATACGACCAGGTCCCCTCCCGTCCTTCAATATGCCTCCCTTCCGCATGCCATTTACCTCGAAGCGCCCGACTGCCCCCATTGAGACCAACGACGAGAACACTCGCCCCAACTCTGTCGACGGCAATGTCAAGAGTCCGTATAGCAGGGATAAGCCGTCGTTAGCATTAGGAATCAAGGAAAAGACGGTCGAGCCCAACGAGTTCAAACTGAGTTGTACGCGACACATCCATCCCCCACCAGAATAAACGTTGACCCGAGGCTAACATTGACCAGCCGTCAACGACAGTGGTGAATATCTCCCTGTATGTGGTGCCAACGAATTCTCCCAGACTCAGCTGCTGATTGTGTAACAGCCATCACCTACGGAAAAGCAGTCCTTCTGGGCAAAGTCGCCGTCCTCTACCACCACCAACCATCGCCAATGTTTCAATGACAACGAGGCGTTCACCATCTCTCGCGAATCTTTCGAGTCATACAGAAGATCTTTTGTAGGTTATCATTCTCCTAACACAGTGCTTCAACAACAGCCTGACCATGGCTGCAGGACATTTCCGGCCGCTCTCCCATTATCCAAAGCGACAGCTTCACCTCGCGCACATCTCTCGATTCGCGACCAGCGACCCGCTTCCCCACGCGCTCAACACTAAGCAGCACGACATTTGAGAGACCCACCGCCGCAGAGGATCCGATCTTTGAGGATGTGAAACTGAATGAAGAAGCGAGCAAGCCTCAAGAGCCCAAGAAGAAGAGTTTCCTGTCCCGATTTGGCGATTCCAACGGCGAGACCGTCACCACGAATGCCGCCACCAAGGAAGAGGGCAAGCACCACTTCCATTTCCTCCCAGGACGGAAACGGGGCCAAAGTGGGACTGGTAATGAACTAGGAGACATTCCACGGCCACAGAGCCGGGGCAATGCGGAAGTAACGGTACGATAGAGGACGCAGAATCCTTGGGTTCTTGAGACGCTCGGAAGGGGGGTTATCATTCTATGGCATGCATTATGAAGAATTGGATTCGAGGGACTCATCGGCCCACGGTTTTGGAGTTTTGTCCGGCGGCAGCATCCTAAGAGGGTTGGTTCTATGAGTTTTACGATGCTTGCATTTTCAGGAGAAGGATGCAATAAAGAAAGAAATGGATCCCTGGAATGTGGGAAACCCAGTCAGGTCAACCACACGACCTGGCATTATCAAAGGAGTTCTGAGAGCTCAGAAGAAAGGGCGGATTTTGTGTGATGAATGAAAGGAAGCAAGCAAGCAGTGCAGGGTTAATAGTAATAGTACTCAGACCACTTCTGATCCTTTCACCCGCTTTGATCTGTCTATTATTCCAGTTCAATATGGCTTCGCATGTCCATGGCCGGCGGCAGCAGCGGCAGCAGCATCATTGTCACCCCACGACTCACCGTCCACTTCCTTCTCCAGCCGATCGTACGCAGCCTTCATCACGTCGACGATCTTCCTCAGCTCGTCCTCCGTCACATTGTACGGCGGGCTGAGGATGGCATGGTCGCCTCGGGTGCCGTCCACGGTGCTCGAGCCCGGATAGACGGCGACGCCCAGGTCAAAGGCGAGGGCCTGGAAGCGAGCGCCGAAGCCGACGTGCGGCGCGAACGACTCGCGCGAGCTCTTGTCCCGCACGAACTCGATGCCCCAGAACAGGCCGCGGCCCCGGATGTCGCCCACGTACTTGGCCGGCCCCAGCGCGTCGACGAGCAACCCATACACCACCCGGTGCAGCCGCGCGACGTTCTCGACCAGCCCGTCGCGCCGCAGGATCTGCTGCACCGCCAGCGCGGCCGCGCAGCCCACCGGGTGCGCCTGGTAGGTGTGGCCGTGGTTGAAGCTGCTGGAGCCGGCGCGCAGCACGTCGACGATCTTCTTGTGGATCAGCACGCCCGCCACCGGCGCGTACCCGCCCCCCAGGCCCTTGCCGACGGTGACCAGGTCCGGCACCACGTCCTCCTGCTCGAAGGCGAACAGCGTCCCCGTCCGGCCCATACCGCTCATAACCTCGTCCAGGATTAGCAGCACGCCGTACTTATCGCAGACCCGCCGCACGCCCCGGAAGTAACCCCGGGGCGCGGGCGTGCATCCGCTGGTGGCGCCGACGAGGGGCTCGGCGATGAACGCGACGACCTTCTCGGGCCCGATCGCTTGGAAATGCGCATCCAGCTCGTCCACCAGCGCCTGCGCGAACTCCTCCTCGCTCTGGCCCCTCCGCCAGTCCGAGTACTGGTACGCGTACGCCGGGGTGACCCAGCTGACGTTGTCCAACTGGAAACACGCGTAAGGGACTTTGCGGGGGAGGTTGCTGCTCACGTTCATGGCGCCGACCGTGGTGCCGTGGTAGCTCTGCTTCCGGCTCACAAAGTGCGAGCGGGAGCCCCTGGGCGTCGTCTGGCCCAGCTCGAAAAAGTACTGCCGCGCCAGCTTCAGGGCCGCGTCCATGGCCTCGCTGCCGGAGTTGACAAAGTACGCGCGCTCGAGCCCGAAGCGGCCGGCGCCCTGGGGACCGTCGATGAGGTGGTGCGCCAGCTGCTCGGCCGAGTCGGTCGTGTAGGTCAGCGAGTGGATGTAGCTGACGCCGGTGCTCATCTGGCGCGCGACCGCCTGCAGCACCTCCTCGTTGCCGTGGCCCAGGCACGCGACCGCCGCACCGCCACAGGCGTCCATGATGGTGCGCCCGTCCGAGAGAGTCAAGTACAGACCCTTCGCCGCCGTGACCTGGTAGGGGCGTGCGTGCAGCGAGCGATGGAGCAAGGCTGGGCCCGCCGCTGCTGGTGTCGGGCCTGGCCCTGATGCTGAGGCTGAGGCTGATGACGATGCGCCATTGGCGGCGAACTCGTCGACCTGTATCCCATTCATCCTTGCCGGAGCTTGCCACGGGAATACTGAACGAGCAGTTACCAGTGCCGATGCCCCGTGGAGGGCGGCTAATCGAGTCTGAGACTCTGCTTTTTACTTCTTTCTCTCTGTCTCTCGTATGTCGTATATGGTCACCAGCGAGCGCAATGAAATGCAATGCTGTAGGGACCGAACTGTTGTTCCACACACCACACACCGGCCAAGAGCCTGCCTGACGGGGCCCTTACACGCACATAAGATCGCCTCCTCGTTTATTTATGTAGTGGGGATAATAATAATTTACTGTGCAGTACATATAGATCTCATCTGCGCCAGTTGGATATGTAAGGGGGAATGGATGCCTAATGATAACAATAAATCTTATCGTATCAACCTGGCCAGGCAGGCAGGTCACAGGGCGCAATCGTGATAATATGGTGCATAAGTGAAACACAAAAGCCCAGAACGCCATTGTAATAATGCTCGACCACCGGACGAATCGCTCAACTCCGCGTCGACAGCGGAATCTCGAATAGGAAAAGGAGGGTAATTTTTTGTTTAAAAAAAACCCAGAGGAATAAAGAAAAGGGAACCAACCTGTGTACATATTGGGTACGTATGTGACGATTTTATGTGCTGAGATCGTCTCCTCCTCCGCGTCTTGATGTCCATGGGATTTATGAGATTTATGAGATTGAATGGGGTGATCGTAATCCATGGCATTGCTCTCGGTTACTTATGTACGCAGCACAGTAGATGCAGGGGTGCGGATAGACACGGTATGTACTACAGTATGTACCGAGTACATGGTAATTACGTCGTATTCGAAGTCATTAGTTAGAAGTCCGTAAGAGTCAGAGTTTGGTTGGTTGCGGCACCAGAACACACCCGCCCCCCTCCCTCGAGGTGAGAGAGTGTATGAGAAGGTATAACGAGGCGACGTCTCGTGGTCTTTCACACATGTATCGGTTCTGCTGTAGTATAGAGACAGCCACGGCTAGAGAAGTGGAAGGCGATCTCGTTGGTATTGGTTTGAGGGTGGATCGACAACACGCCCGGAGGGAGAGATATATATATCCACGGCTCCTGGGCTCTTGCCTATTCGAAGTTGCATTCGAGTCATTAGGCGGCTAGCTGTTGGTCGTCGGATTGATTGCTCACCAACAAGGGTGCCTTGGAAAGGCGTGTGCTGCCAATGCAAAGTCTAGAAACTTGGAGCAGAAGGGGCAGAAGAGTAGAAGGCGAACCCTTGGCTAAGACGAGAGACTCGAGGAAATGGGAACATGGCCACGACGACACTCGCTTGTATTTGTCCTGTGATCGGTTCAGAACCGGTGACGCCTCGAAGAAGGTCCATACAAAACACACCCCCAACTCCCTCGCTAACAAACGCAGCGTCAAAGTTCTCGTCGGCCCTTGCCCGGTCGCATCACTGAGAAGTCATGTAGCAGCTCGTCCCATTTCAATGTGCCTTCATTTCCAATGACGAGTGTCCTGCCCGCCCACCGGCTGGTTTCGACGATTCTCGGCGCGGACCCCTTTCATTGACAAATCATGTCGTCGTCATTCCTCCCCCCCCCGTAACTCTCGAGTGGTTTGATGCTGGCAATTAGACGAAACACTCCTCGTATTTCTTGCTGTGTTTGTTGGCAGCGTGGTCCTCCAGGCCTTTGCGAGCCGAGGTGCTCTGGAATGTGGCAAAGCAGATTTTGCACTTGATGGACTGGGCTGCTGCGTTCTGTATTGTTGTCAGTATCATTAGCCATCTAATCGTAGTTGAAGACAGAAATACAAGAAAACAGGTTAGCAGAAGGCGGGTAGAAGGCAAAACGGTATATGGCGTGAAAATCAGGAAGGCTTCGTGGACGTAGATTGCAATGTGCCGGAGCTGCGTTCAAGAAGAACAGACAAGCCTTCTATAACCATAGAGGGATGGGATATGCCTAACTGTCAGGGAAGACATTTTTCTCTCAGGCCGATGTTCTTACCGAACACGCGAGACAGGAAAGGCTGAGATTTAGCCGGGCATCTAGAATCAGAGTCCCCCAGGATCAAAACCCACGTCCTCTTCCACTCCGGCTCTACCGACATACGCCATGTCATCGCAAGGTCACGACCGGGAAACCCAAAACGATCCCACATCTCCAGGGTTTGGCACGGGTACACTCAGGGCGGGATGCCGTGGACACAAAAAAAAAGAAGACACGAACACTAATCGAAATGCGGAAATCGACACATACCTTCTTCAGCTGACTGCTTGGTTCCTTCTTGGAATCCTTCGTGTTACGCTCCCGTTTCTGAGCGGCCTTGGCTCCGTTGCCCATTTTGCCGGAGTTGAATCACAGGGGACGTGCGAGGTTGGCGGTAGTGGTGATAGCAAGAGCCAGCAGTCAAAGAGTGTCTTTGTCTTGAGTTTTATAAGGTCGGAGGGGGAAGTGGTAGACTGGAGGAGGACAAGGGAGAAAAGGACTCTTCGAAAACTGATTTAAAACAGAGAGAGTGGAAAGAAGAGCCAGGCTGAGAACGTGGCAAAAAGAAATGGGCGGTCAGAAATAAATTTGTGACGGGAAAAAGCAGCGGCAGCGGCAGCGGCAGCGGCGGACACCGGCTTCGGAAAATCATGCAACCGATAACAATTCTATTTTCAGTCCAAACCTTCGGAAAGGGGTATTTCAGCAATTCACTAGTAATAGAAGGCAAACGCGCCCGTCAACGCCCTCAGCAACCCATTGCCACCACCAGAAGAGACCTGACTACCACCTGCAGGTGTCTAGGTCGAGATCCTATTGAATTGCAGCCCGGTGCGAATATCGCCAAACTTCGCATGCCAGATATCTCGAAGATAGGAGCTCCTCGGCAACCACGGCCCTCGATCCCCACCCTTGGGAAGCGTGTCTGCCTCTTGAGCCGCCTTGATGTAGCTACTGTTCAAGTTCAGAAGGGGCACTTCCGTCACTTGCTCGTTTTCGTTGATTCGCGGAACCATACTCGTCATGTTCTTGGCCTTCATTTCCTTGAGGAGACGAACCCACAGTTGGGCCGTGGCATCGGCACCAAGGGTCCAGCTGGCATTCGTATATCCAAAGATGAACGTGAAGTTTGGCAAGTCCTGTAGCAGAGCGCCACGCCAAATGAACTTCTTGTTCATTTGGTAAGGCTCGCCGTCGACACTAACACTGGCACCGCCACCGAACTGAATCTTGAGACCGGTGGCGGTGATGATTATGTCTGCAGGGAGAGTTGCCCCTGATTGGAGTCTGATCTCGTTGGCGCTCATATCTTGGATCGTGTCGGTCACAACGTCGCCTTTGCCTGTGCGCAGTGCCGCAAAGAAATCACCACCTGGAGAGAAGTCAGCACGTTGTCCAATATCCGGTTCAAGGGGTTACGGCAAACTCACCCGGCGTGATGCACATTCTTTGTTCCCAGGGATTATACCGAGGAACGAAATGAGGCTCGAAAGGAATGTTGGCCGGCAACTCCTTCTCGGTGGCTTTGCGCAGGGTAGATCGGCCCTGTTTGGGAAAGAGTCGACAAAATTGAAAGAACAAGTACCCGACGAGGAGGAATCTGATCCGGATGAGTTGATAGGCGAACTTTTCCGGGAAGATCCATTTGATGAGACCGTCAATAGGCTCGGTCAAGGGGATGGGTAGGAAATAACTTGGTGAACGTTGGAGCATGGTAACCGATTTGGCCTTGTCGACCATGGCCGGCAGGAGGGTCACGGCGGTGGCGCCACTGCCGATGATGACGACTTTCTTGTCGGTGTAATCAAGGTCCTCGGGCCAGAATTGAGGGTGGACGACGGTGCCCTTGAATTTCTCAATGCCGGGAATCTTGGAATTGAGGCCTTGAGTATAGTCATAGTATCCGGTGCCGAGAAGGATGAATCGAGAGTAGTACTTCCGCTTCTCGTTCCCATCGACCGTGACATCAAGTTCCCAATGCTGATTCTCGGTCGACCAATTCATCGACTCGACCTTGTGGTGGTACTTGATGTGTTTGTCGATGCCGTGTTTAGCTGCGGTGGTTTTGACATAACGCAGAATGGATCCCGCGTCGGCGATGGAGCGATCTTCCTTCCATGGGTCCCAGGGGAAGCCAAAGGTGTGAAGATCAGAATCGGACCTGATGCCAGGATACTTGAACAAGCTCCAGGTGCCGCCGATCTCTGCTCGCCCTTCGAGAATGGCGTATGAGTAGTCGGGGAGACCTTCTTGAAGACGGTAGGCAGAGTTGATGCCGCTAATGCCGGCGCCAATGATAATGACGTCGAAATTGTTGTTGGCCGCAATCATGATGAAACGGAGGGTATGGGTATGGGCCTGGTGTTTGTGGAATGAAGAAAAAAAGGAGGCGTCGGCGAGATATGTGGGAAAATATTAATAGAGGGCGTACGTGGCGGTGGGTGCACCACCGGCACGAGGTAGAAATGGACCAGGGTCTGGATAGGCCCCTAGAAGGGAGTGGGGGGGCCCCCCGGGTTGGTTAGAAAAGGATGAGGAGAGTCTCGCCTGAGAGACTGGAATAAGGAGAGCAAACCTCGGTACCGAGTACTCAACCAAGACAAAAATCTGGTCGACAAGCCTGCATCGATCGTTGGGAGCCATAAAGTACGAGCTCCCAGCAGCCTTCAGACACCGCGGCTAAACCGCCCCCCCCTCGTTACCCCGTACGATACCTACCAAGCGCGGTAAGGGATGCCCCGTATCCTTGTACCGGTACCCACCAACAACTCGGGCGGCGTGCTTTCTACTGGCACGGCGGATCAGCCCCCGTCACCGAAGTAGGAAGTGGGTGGGAGGGGCAGAAGGGCTAGTGGGCCTTGCTTCCCTATCTGACAACTACTGCGTACCTCTCACTTGTAGGTAAAGCATCCTCTTTAATTAACGACATGACCACTAAATCCTTTGCGATCCATTGCCGACGTCTAGCCTAGCGAGCCCGTCCCGCACTCACCAGATTCTTGCTGAGATACGTGATGGGAATGTTGCACCGAGGTCTCCTCGTCCAGTCAATATGCCAAATGCCCCGGCGTATGCAGGCTGTAGTGTCACATGCCACTCGCAATAAGAGTATGAGCCGGTCGAAAATTCGTCCTTGGATGCGGACAGTTTCTTCATCTCGGGACGTGGAATCATTCCACCACCGCATTCCCGCTTTCGTCTACCAGATGTCTCTCCACCTTCTCTGGCCCTCCTCCCACAGCTGTGCAGATGACGCGACTCACACCCGCCTTCAGTGTCATCAGCGTCTTCTGTTCCAATCCTCCAAACTCGTTCGGACGAATGGACTCTCCGAACTCGCCTTCCCAGCCTGGTACTCGGGGTAAGATGTTTCGGAACACTCCTGCCACTTGGTGGGCGTGTTCTTGCAGGTAGTAGATGACTGCGTTCGGCCCTGCGTCGAAGGTATATGCGCAGATCAACTTTCCTGCTTTTCGATTGGCCGTCTCTACCGCGTTCATGGCCGCGCGGGATACGTCGTTCAAATAGTGAATCGGCGGCCACGAATCCAGACAGATGGCGTGGAACGAATTGGAATCCTGCATCGTGATCCGCGCAAAGGTCTCAAAGTCCCTCTCCTCGATAGCTTTCTCAATCTCCTGCATCCTCTTCGGAACAATTTCCTTGAACCTTGCAGGTGCCAGAGTGGATGTCTCGACCGTGGTCTGCATACCCGCAGTGGACGGGACGCCTTTCTTCTCAGCACTGACCACCAATATCAAGGCCCTCATATCCGGCCAATGTGAGACTGAGGCCACCTCTTCAGCCAAGCTGTCACTTCCATCCTCCTTCGTACCCGCTCGCCAGGCCACGTAGCCACCCATCAGACTCCTACAGGCCGATCCAGACCCTTGCCGCGCAATCAATGAGAGCTCTTTTGGTGATTGTGGCAACTCGTAGAGATCAGCAATTGCTCGGACGAGAGCTGCAAACCCGGCGGCCGAAGAAGCAAGCCCAGCGGCCGTAGGGAAGTTGTTGGTAGACACCAGCCGCAGAGTCCATTTCGAGAGTTTCGGCAGCGACGTGTCCTTGGCCTCCAGGGCTTCACGCAGCGAGCGAAGGACTTTGAGGCACGCTTGCGTTCTCTTTGAAGACTGGATATCCTCCTTTTCTCCGTTCAGCACCAGAGTGTCCGGGCCCGTAAAGGATTCGGAGCATGATGCAGTGGTATGGGTTCGTAGCGATTTCTGAGATAATGTCACAGACAGAGAGGAGTTCGTCGGAAGATTCAAGACCGTGTCACGCTTTCCCCAGTATCTGTTTGCGCTGGTTAGCTCTGTCTTTGACATTCATGTCATGTGCGATGTGCGGCGTCAGGGGCGGCTAGAGGGGCATATTGGCGTACCTACTTAATCACAGCGATGTTAACAGGGGCAGTGGTACTGGACCGGAACACGGTATTTGAGCTGGACATAATTGTGTCTGGCAACGCTTCGAACCAGGGAGAATTAACGGTGTGTGCATCCAAGTATTACGAGGTAGGGATGTCCACTCGAAAATTATGTGGCCCACAATCTTGGTTCCGCCCGTCGGCTTCAGGCCCAGGCTGGATACAGTTAAGCGCACAACATCGTACCTTTCTTAGCCTCTCCTGGAACGGGAGATGTTTTGGGGAGGCCATCAGGTTCAAATCTTGGTAATAAATTGTCGAGATCGATCAATGCCCGCCGTACGATTTGTCTGTATCAATACATCGCCCGCAATCCCGTCAACTTCATCTCCAGTGTGCATGATACAACAATCCATCTCTTTTTCTTTCACCGAGGTCTGCGACTACGCCGACAGTCACAAAGAACAAGAGATGGCAGTATCATGCTGTATGAAGACGCTCCTGGACAATTGGGTCACCAGTCGCCCTGGCTTCCTGGTTCTTTTCAGGATGCACAGTTTATCCGTAGTATTACTCGTTGGTGACCACGCGAGATAGTCTCTCCAGCTTCATGAACATGCCCGATGCCTCTCCCAGAGTAGAGCGTCTTGTCACTGTGGATGAGTGGCTGATACACACGCCCACGCGCCCTGTTGGGTGGCTTCTCCTCAAACCACCCCTGGCTGAAGGTCGTGGAACGAAATGCCCAACAGCAGGAAACACGGTGTAGAGTATACAACGCCGGCCTATCCAAACATTCACCATAGTGAGCTGTGAGACAGGGAACAGGGCTAACTGATCAGAGTGCAGGTCGCCCGATTTCCAAAAGAACAGAGAGAGGACCGTTTCCTTTCACTTGCTTCCCAGTGGAATGATATGCACTGCGACAAATAATCATCCCTTTGAGAAGTAGACCTACGGTAGATTTCCGCTCGATGCATATGCTTCGTATGCAGTCAATATATCTGTCAACCGAGCACCCATGTGACTAGCGATCAAAGTCAAACTTTGGTCAGCGGGAGTGTTTCAGAAAGACGAGAAACGGCTGATTAAGTAGCTCAAGGGCAGGCTTGCATGCAATCAATAGACCGGTTTAGGCACAAGTAAAGGTGTCGGGAGGATGTGAGGTCGACGAGGATCTCTGGCTGACCATGGGACATTTGCAATCAATAATAATGAATCAGGCTGCGCTCCCCGCATCATCAACTCTTTCCGAAAATCAACGAGCTCTCCTCGCATCCGCAACTTTTTCCCTCTTTGCCACGAAATAGATTCTCTGCGCTCCCACGGACGGTCACATATACATCAATCTACCAGTAAAGAAACAAAGGAACACGGACTTCCGAATGGGCTGGTGGAAAGCAGATCCCGGCCCAGAGCCTCAAGCGACGACACCCGCGGCGTCTTCAATTCCTCCTCATGATCATCAATTCAACCACCACCACCCACAGAGTCCCTCGACAGACTCCTCTCCAGCCTGTCCCGTCGACCACAAGACTCGAGAACTATGGCTTCAGCAGGCCCAGCAGATGAAAAATCCACAATCACAACAAGGAGAAGCACACTCGCGCGCACACTCGCGCGCACACCCGACACAGCCTGGCCTGCCGGCCTCGCATCCTCCGCTCCCCAGGCCGGCAACGATATCCTCTCAAGAATGCTCCTCAGACCGTATATCTCAAGATTCTAGCCCGGAGGAGACCGTCTCGGGCTACCAACCCGCACGACCCCTCTCACACGGGCGTGTGATCTCTTCCATCCCGCGAGCCTTTCCCCAATCCACCCAAGAACCCTCCCCGACACCGACGACGACAACAACAAACACACCAGCAAACGCCGAGTCCGAGACGGGCGCCTCCGCGAGCGGCAACTGGATCTACCCGTCGGAGCACCAGTTCTTCCAGGCGGTGATGCGCAAACAGACGCTGTCGTCGTCGAACCCGACCGACCTGGCCACGTCCATCTCCGCCATCATCCCGATCCACAACGCCGTCAACGAGCAGGCCTGGGTGCTGATCAAGCGGTGGGAAAGGGGCACCTCGGACGCGTGCGGCGGGCCCAAACTGCTCTCCTTTCAGGGCCTAGGCGCCGGAGCCAAGTCCCCCAAGGCGAGATGGAACTCGCTCTGGGGCTACACCGAGCCCTTTGACCGGCACGACTGGGTCGTTCAGCGGTGCGACGGGAGCAAGGTCGAGTACGTCATTGATTTCTACCAGGGCAAGGCCCTCGAAGGCAAGACTGGAAAGCAAGGCAATAACGCCTTGAATTTCTACCTCGACGTACGGCCAAAGCTAAATACCGTCGAGGGATGGAGGATGAGAGCGGAACAGCTGCTCGGTATGAGATGACCTGGGGCGGATGGGCGTAGACGTGAAACAGTCTTCGAAGAAGAGTTGGGGAATAGCTGTGGCCAACCTGCACACCATCAAAAAGCGTAGCATGTGTCATTGTATAGTAATAGAGCATGGTGAGCCTGTCATTCGATCAAGACAGGGCCGCCCATGCTTGTGTACAAATCTCAAGTCAATTCAAGTCTATCTCCCGGATAAGGTACAAACTCCGATTCTCAACCCTTTCACAACCCAATGTAATTGGCAGATGGTGACGCCTCCCGGACCCTCTGCCTGACCTTACCCCGTGCCTGTGAAGTGGTATCGTGTGAAGAAAGAGGCTGTCAAGGGACATCGCACTGAAACTCGAGACTGGAGCCGAACTCAACTGAATCCCTCCATGCCGCAGCTTCTGGTGCTATGTCCGTGCCAGCCCTGTACATTATATATTCCTCTTATTGCCTTCTGAAAGGCCCTTCAACCTGTGATCGAATGCCGATGTTAATGCAAAAGACTGTCTTCGACTGACATGTTTGTTTTCGCACGACGCATCGGATTCCCATGAAGACAAATGAAAAAAGCGGCAACGCGAGAGTGGGTGTGAAAGTCGAATATTGGTCGTTTCAAGTCGTTAGCCCCGAGGTGTATACCCATACCGCCCGCCGCCCAAAATAAAGGAAATTCGTGATGGTGTAACGTGTATCCGTGACCTTGATGCAATTGTGTGCTGGTGATGGTTCTTTGGTATGGCCTACTGGGCTGTGTCCAGTTCTTCCTTTTACCAATTGCCCGTTCGAATCATTGGCTGTTCCATGCCATAAGTATTGGAAAACAGTTGCTGCCGGATGCTTTGTTGCTGTGACGTTTGAGAACTTTGTCTGAGCCAGCCGAGGGCTTGCATCAACTCATCATAGGCTTCCCTGAGCCGACCACCACTCTTCTCATTATGTGCTCGTATTTTCTCTTCCCATCCGTTGAACTGCAATTGAAACCCTCCGCCTCTCTTGCTGGCTTCTTTGATGACACTGGCCCATGCTCTTGAGATCTCCTCGTAGGCATTTTGTTTGGCGAGATTGTGCTGGGGGTTGTCCCACTCTGGGAGGTCATGGATGATTTGCGTGACATCGTTCAGATACTCGAGCGATGTCGACGACTGATGTTCGTTTGGCGGTAGGAAGTGGGGGGTGAAGTCGGTGAGGGCATCAAGCAGTTCGTGCCACTGAGGCCGGACACGATCGTAGGAATAATCGGAACGGGGATTCGGACCCAGAGGGAAAGAGTCCATCAGTCGTGTATAATATTGACGCAAGACTTGCAGAGTACTCTGAATGCTGGGTCGAGGGCTGACTTGGACTACCTCATCTCGAAGGCTGGGGTGTCTCTCACAGAGAGTCTTCAGCACAGATGTCAGTGATTCCTTGTCTAGTGTTTCAAGGAGTCTTTCCACGGATAACGGCCTTCCAACAACAAGATTTGGCCGAGCTCGTTTTCGTGAACTGGGTGTCGAGGGAGGAGGGAGTCGGGCGTTTGATAGAAAAGGTGATGTTGACATTTCATCGTCTCGATCCGGGGAGGGGGACGCTTTTCGTTTCCGAGAGGGACCAGATGCAGACACTGAAGTGGCGGTTAGCTGGCTGTTCCAGATTGATGCTGACGGCGGCTGCTGCTCACTTGATCTATTAGGGGAGAGACGAGAATGCTCATGGAAGTGAGGAGGGACGGGGGGCGTGGCCAGGCTATTCATTTTGGCTCTGGCCTCTGGACGCCCGACGATGTGCAGGTGCGGTGTTTATTGCAATTTGCAGGGCAGGCAAAGTCGAGGAGTGTCGGCTGCTGAAGACGTGGAGATGAAGATGACAGAGATGATATTTAGGGAGAGACGGCGTTGCCCTGATAGTTTCACAGGAGGCAGAGCAGCGGTGAAGAGTGGGAAAACGGGAAGAGATGTAGTGATGTGGATGTGATGTGATGGGAGGGAAGTCCAAGTTTGAAGTCTGAGTGGAGGGTCGGTTTGTCAGTTGGCGTTGTGGCAGCTGCGGGTCGCGGTGCCAATGACCCAAGGGCTTTCAGGGCTCTTAGGCGTATCCCAGACGCAGGCCGGGGCAGCCTCGGGCCCGTTGATTTGCTGCTGGTCACTGGACCAGACCCTTCGCAAACCCTTTAGGCATCCACTTCACTTACAAGGTGCTGGTCGCTGCCCAATCCATACCCACACCTTTGATCAGCCGAGGGACTGGATTCCTGCAATGCGGGTGGCTAAGTTTTCTTCAATCGACCTGCAGAACAAGTACGGGACAAAGAAAATACGAGGTCGTCGAGCGAATGGCACAAAGGGATGGCAATTCGGACGATTGCAGACCATTTACAATCACGAGCGGCACACGCCAGGTCACAGTTCGTAGGTGGCAGTTGACAATTCGAATGGAAATCAATTGCCCCAAGCAGAGGGAAAGAGAACGTAAAAAAGCGACGTGGAGCTTTTCTCGCCGTGATTCGTGTCGTAAGCAAGGAATCTGCACTAGCGCAGCCGTCGTCTAGCATCGACATGGTCTCAGGCAACACATCATACCTGGTTCCCCATGTCAAGCGCCACGAACCTGTGCATGTCTACTATCAAAAAAGGCCGTGTGGGTATCATGCAATCACAAAAACGTTGTCTCCCACAGGTACTCGCTGGGTCGGAGGAAATGGCGTCGTCCGCGGTCTCTCTGGTATGGTCAAGTCTAGAGATAAAGTGACTGAGCTGCCACGATATCTCGCCTTACCTTGTTCAACGCCTCCTCGAACTTCTTTTCCAATTCTTCGCTCCCCATGACCTTCGAGGCCTCTGCCATCTGACGCAATGCTTCTTCAAGTCGGCGAAAAGTACGAATCAAGCTGCCTTCGTACACGTCGGTCATTTTGCTATGTCGCAGTCAGCATTTGCCACCCTCAGCGGCTTTCCGTAACCTACCAAATCTCGCCGAATGACTTCCCAGTCGCCCACGCATAGATTACCGGCATAAGCTGCCATTTAAACCCCTGGACGTACTCTTCCTCGTTCATAGCCAACTTCGACTCCACTGACACCTTGGCAATGTGTCTGGCTTGTTTCTGGATTTCTCGCAAAGGCCTCGCAAGGTCCTCGGTTAAAGTAGGGCTCTCGTTGACCTTTTCCTCAAAGACGAAGCAACTCATGACTGCGGCACATTGTTCTGGGTTCAAGTCGTTGAAGAAGCGATTGAAGAGGAGCTCACTAAGCATCAATTCATCGCCAGTGCTGATCTCACACGCGACACGGGCCTTGAGCTGGACCACTTCATCCTCGTTGATAAATTGCAGTCGGCGGAGAACTCGCTTCCGACATTTCAACTCATCCAGTTGCATGATTGCATGTGCATCTTGGATTTGCTTCTTCAAGCTTCGGATCTGGTTGGTAAGCTTCACCTTCGCCGCGTACTGGTTGTAGAGGCCTTCTAGGCGAGGTGAATGGTGCAGTGGATTGGCCACCAGTCTGGACTCCATAATCTCAATTTTGCGAAGTAGGTCCTTGAACGAATTGTCTGTTATCTTCATGTTCTCAATCGGATCCAGCACAGCCAGACCGTCCGGGAACCGTCTCTTCACTTCTGCTAATGCCTGCTGCACTTTCTTTTTCTCCTCGGAGATGGTCATGTCGGCAGGGGGGAATATGCGAATATGAGAGATCTTTTGGACGCATTTGAGTGAGACTGGGACAACTTCGACTTTGGACTTCTCACCATGTTGAGGAGGACGAATCCCTTGAGGAAGAGATTGGAAAGTCTTGGTCGCTGGGGCAGGTCCGTCAGCAACCTCTAACGCAATGTCGAGAATCCACTCCTCCTGAGGTATCAGCTTTTCCGCTGATTTGCCTTGGCTTCTCTTCGTAAAGTTCAAGACGGCTCCCCAGCCAAAATCATGCTCTCCATCCTTGATCTCCACTAGACGACCCGGCTGCATGAAAGGCAGACAATAGTTGGGGTGGATGATAACCATGCGCATGTCTTCGGCATAGATATCAAGCTGGTTTCTAAGCTCGTAGTAGGATCGGATTGAGCTTTCGTCTTCAATGACCATTGCCGACTTCTCTGCTTCCAGCTGCTGCAGTTCTTTTTCAAGGCCAGACACGCTGGCAGTGTTTTGGAACTGGTGAAAGCATCTCTCAAGCATAAACTCGGGAGAGATACCTTCGACCCGGAGCAGATTCAGAATCATATTGTAACCCAGGTAAAAAGCAGAGTTCAGTTTATCCTGCTCGCCACGGACGATGTCCTTGGCAACACCAGGTTCCATCTGTTCGTTGATCATCATAATAACAATCCCTCGTTCGTCAAGTCCACGACGTCCAGCACGGCCAGACATCTGGATGAACTCGGATGGTGTAATCCATCGTTGTGAGATACCGTCAAATTTGCGAACACTGGTAAAGACAACCGTTTTGGCTGGCATGTTGAGTCCGATGGAGAACGTCTCGGTCGCGAACAGAACTTTGATCAGTCCTTCTTGGAAGAGAATCTCGATGGTCTCTTTGAGAATGGGCAACAAGCCCGAGTGATGGATGCCGATTCCTCGCCGCAGCAGTGGCAATAAGTGTTGGATTTGTGGCAGGTTTTTGTCCTCGGGTGAGAGCATTTCCAAAGCGCTGTCAAACACTTTCGAGACCATGGCCTTCTCCGACTCTTCATTGAAGGACATGCTGCTCATTTGAATGGCATAGGCCTCGCAATCTCGCTTGCTGAAACTGAAAACAATGACGGGATTGTAGTTTTTGGTCATGATCATGCGGACAATCTTGTAAATATCAGAGGGACCCTTAGTGCCTCCTTTATTGAACTTCTTGTCCCTTCCTTTGCCCTTCCTACGGGCTAAGGCATTTGCAGGATCGTCACCTTGTTTGTCGGCAATGGAACTCATGGCTTTTTGAAAGTTTTCTTCTCTGAACACACCCTTTTCGTCCACAATCAAGTGAATCCCGTCGGCCCCAGCAGGGAAGAAGTAGTGTTGCAGAGGCGTTGGTCTGAAATCTGTGTAGACAACGTGGCATGGTTGATTATGGGTTTTTGTGATCCATTCGGCAAACTGCATTGCGTTGGGAATGGTGGCTGACAAGAACACATAGCGAACTTTGTCTGGCAGTAGAATGATTGTCTCCTCCCACACAACACCTCGGACCTTGTCTCGCAGGTAGTGAATCTCGTCAAAAATCACCCAGCCCACTTCTCGCATGATCTCGGATCCACGATAGAGCATTGAGCGCAAAATCTCGGTGGTCATGACTAGACAGGTAGCCGTAGGGTTGATGGTGACATCGCCAGTCATGAGACCGACGTCGCCAAAGTCGGCTTGAAACTCTCGATATTTCTGGTTGCTGAGTGCCTTGATGGGACTAGTATAGATCACCCGCTGGTTGTTCTTGAGACACTGGGCGATAGCATATTCAGCCACGACAGTTTTGCCTGCGCTGGTATGGGCGGAGACGAGGACGCTCTCATTCCGTTCAATTGAGGCAATGGATACTTGTTGAAAAGGATCGAGCTGGAATTTCCACGTCCGAGCAGGTTCTGCTGGCGGCTTGTGCTCTGAGATGGGTACGTAGTCGTAGTCTGGTGGCAAAGCAACCTGATGACGAACCTGGTGCGACAATATAACCTTCTCTTCTTCTTTGCCTGGGAGCAGGCCAGCAGATGCAGCAACTTCTCTGGATTGTTCGGTCTCGAACGTATCGGTGACGACAGGCTCTGGTTCTTCTTCCATGCGCATTCGTTTGACACCCGGAGCATCTCCATCTGTCATCTCCTTGTCAGCATCTTCCGAAACCGAGGCACTCCCGTCACTAGAGGGAGCAGTTGCTTCTTCGGCATTGAAGTTATCTTTAACTTCGCCGTTGGCCTGTCTCTTCAATCGCTTTTTCTGTGATTTAGAGATTGTTTTGGCAGGTGGCACCTGGCCATTTTCTTCAAAAACGTCGAATAGCTCATCCATTTCCGCGGAGGACTTAGAAGGTTATGCTCTTGATGCAGAGAGAGTGTCGCAACCGTCGACAGTGAAAAACATTGCGGCGGAAGGGCGACGAAAGAAATAATGCGACAGTCTGCAAATGGAAGGTGCGCCGAGACGCTTGCCAAGCCCGTTGGATAGCTCCTAACGAGCTTCAATCAGTTGATGGCCGACATCACCTTACTTTGTTCACCTCTTTCAAGACCACCATTCCTGGAGTGAGAGAGACACAAAGGTATGTTGAAGATACCGTGCTATTTGCGGTGTACTGATGTAGCCTCCAGATGAACGCCCAAGCTATCCTCCGCGCCAGAATGGCAACCCAACTCCTCGCCCGCCGCGGCTTCTCCTCCACTGTCCGTCGAGCAGACAATTTCAGCCCTTATCACTACCCTGAAGGTCCTTACACCAACTTGCCTTTCAACACAAAGACGAGATTCTTTTGGCTACGATACTGGGGTTTCATGTGTAAGGACATTCCTCTCGACTTGATGGTGGACGAGACTAAATGGAGAGTACAGTCACTGGATTCGCTATCCCGTTCGGCATGGCCGGTAAGCGACAGGCAGAGGATCTTTTCCAAGAGATATACTGACACATAAACAGTCTGGCACACATACAAGGCTTGAGAGATCCGGAGAGTGTGGAATTTGCCATGGCACGTCAAATCGCGTGAGGAACTGGTGCGGGAATGGCGCCCTCGCAACTGGAATTTGTACAGAGCCAGAAATAAAATCATATCGGTCATCATGGATGTCTATGCGTCTTCGTCCTCTCTCATTCCTCATTCCGAACATGTCTTTTGTGTCATATGCTGTCTGTTTGCCTTTGTCCATCACGCCCATGGAGCACCGGAAGGCTGTCCAATCAGAAAGCGCGTAAGGTTCTAGTAAATTTTATTTCTCCAAACATCTGTTTTCATACGGACCTTCAACTTTTGTGTCCACGATTAGGCAGTGCGATGTAGTGCTGACTCCCTGAATGTCACCATGCGAAATCTGAAGACAGTCGCATATCGTGAGACCCGCCTACCGGACGGTTTGCCTCTAACAGCCACAGCATGGGACACTTCGACAAATGCTATAATTTGTGCATTCGGCCCAACTCCCACACAGCCTGTTATCGAACTCAGAAGAAAGATCGGAACCACGTCTCGTCATGGCGAGTTCGTGACCATCACTTCATGGGATTCACCATGTCCACTTCCACATCTCGAATGTGACGAGATCCTGTTACTCCAATATTTCCCAGACATCGCAACATCTTGTCTTGTCCTGGCTGGCGGAGATGTTGTGGTTGTGCGGGAGGATCCAAGCCCAGAACAAGAAAAGATTGAAATTGTCGGCACCGTCGACGTCGGAATCTGTGCTGCTGCTTGGGCTCCAGATGAAGAATTACTGGCCATTGTCACCCGTGCGGACACACTCGTCCTGATGAGCAGGACTTTCGAACCGCTCAATGAAGGTACTCTATCTCCAGAAGACCTCAAGGCTTCCAAACATGTGTCGGTTGGCTGGGGTCACAAGGAAACTCAATTCCAAGGCCGACGCGCAAAAGCTATGCGAGATCCTACAGTACCGGACAACGTCGATGAGGGCAAGCTGAGCCCGTTTGAGGACCACAAAGTGATGGTCAGTTGGCGAGGCGACGGGCAATACCTTGCCGTCAGCAGCGTGGTGCGTGGTCAACGCCGAGTAATCCGAGTCTTCACGCGTGAGGCTGTCCTCGACAGCGCTAGTGAGCCGGTCGACGGTATGGAGTCCGCATTAAGCTGGAAGCCCTCGGGCAATCTCATTGCCAGTGTCAAGCGGTCTGAGAATAAGCTGGAGGTCGTGTTCTTTGAGCGAAACGGTCTCCGTCATGGTCAATTCGATCTTAGAACGACCAAAGAAGAAATGGATGAGTGGGCGTCTAGCATTTCCCTTTCATGGAACACAGACTCGACCGTTCTGGCTGTCGCTTTTAAGGACAGGGTTCAGTTTTGGACGATGGGCAATTATCACTACTATCTGAAACAAGAGGTTCTTCTCCATTCATCTGGCTCCAGATGGCCACTGAGGTGGCATCCCGAAACACCGCTGAGGCTGTCCCTTGGTGATACCGAAAAGCTCTTGGACCTCACGTTCCTTTCCGCAGTATCAGCGGGTAGCATAGTCCCCCCGCAAGACTATGGCATTGTCGGAGTCATCGATGGCAGGACACTGAAACTCACTCCTTTCAAACAGGCCGGTGTGCCACCACCAATGGCCTTCTGTGAGGCTGTTTTCGACTACAATATCATTGACTGCGCCGTCGGTCAGGATGGCCAAAGGATTGCAGTCCTTACGACAGAAACGTTGGAGTTATGTGAATGGAAAACTCGCAATAACGGTAAAGGCGACTTGGTATTTACAACAATACTAGAGCGGCGTTCCCACAGACATCCGACTCTCCAGACAGCACCAGAGCCTCTCCACTATACTCAGGTGTCCTTATGTAACGACGAGGTATTTCTCATTGCACCAATGCAGTCAAGGAGAGCAGCGTCTTGCTGGAAGTTGATTTGGAACCAGAGTCCGAGCATGTCTTGGGAACAGGTCCCTGCGCCTGAACATTCTGAAAGCCTGATAACAGACGTGTTTTTCGATTCTATATTTGCCACCGATCCGACTGAGAATGCCACAGTTCAGCTCTCAGACTGCCCTCGGTCGACGGGCCTCGAGCCCGTCAAATTAAACGGTAGTCAGCCCAACAGCTCCGTCTTTACGCTTCGCCCTACCGGGTCTCTTCAGGAGAATGGTGAGACCAACGGCCACGTCCCGGAATACCATAAAGTCTCTCTATCGCTCAAGGGAAACCTGTACGTCGACTACATGCTTCTCGCTCGCGAAGTAACCTCCTACATGTTGACCTCGACACACCTAATCTTCACCACATCCTCACATCTCCTCAAATTCGTCCATCTCACCCATCCTTCGGCAATGCAAGTCCCCAACGACACGCCCGAGATCGACGAACGATGCAGAAACGTTGAAAGAGGCGCCCGTATCGTGACGGTTATCCCCTCCATATACGCTGTGGTTCTCCAAATGCCCCGGGGAAACCTTGAGACGATCTACCCGCGTCTCCTGGTTCTCTCTGGAATACGCAAGCATCTGAAGCAGCAGGACTACCTCACTGCTTTTCTGGCTTGTCAGACCCACCAGGTCGATATGAACATCTTACATGATTATGATCCGGCGACCTTTCTGTCCAATGTGCCCAAATTCATCGATCAACTTAGAAGACCCAGCCGCGTGGACGGATTTCTCTCGAAGCTAAGGGACGAGGACGTCACGCAGACGCTCTATCGCGACACGACATTGCAGTCCCAATCTGAGCCAGAAGTACCCTCCGCCTCCAATATAAAACCGGCCAACGTTGCTCCAGGCAGCAAAATCAATAAGATTGCGGACTCTTTCCTCTCCAACCTGACTTCAAGGCCTTCGTCCTACTTGCAAACTATTATAACGGCCCACGTTTGCAAGCGGCCTCCGGACTTGTTCTCTGCCTTGACGCTGGTGTCCACGCTCCTCCAGACGTCCAAAGAAGATGCCGACGTTGCAATCTCCCATCTGTTCTTTCTCACGCCCAATCCGTCCCTTCTGTTCGACGCCGCCCTGTCCCTCTACGATCTTGAGTTGACACTCCTCGTGGCGCAGAATGATATCTCGAGAGACCCAAGAGAATACATGCCATATCTGCAATCTCTGCAGGAAATGCCCGAGCTGAGGCGGAAGTATGCGATTGACGACCACCTCAAGAAATACAGCAAAGCATTGGTCTCGCTCCATGCGATGGGAGAGCACGAGCAAGTCGCGTCCTACACTGTCAGACATTCCTTGTACACCACGGCGATGGAGCTGTACAAGTACGATCAAGTGCATCTGACCGAAATCACCCGCACGTACGCCGAATATCTTACTACCCAAAAATCTCACCACGCGCAAGCTGCGACGCTGTACGAATCACTGGGCGATTACGACACCGCATACAAGCTGTACGCACTGGCACACAAGTGGCGAGAAGCACTGACCTGCGCAACACTCGTTCCTTTGGCCGCGACGCAACTCACGTCGCTCGCTCAGAGTCTGGCGCAGACGTTGACGGATGAAAACCGCGACTATCGGGCAGCCGCGACGATTCACATTGACTACCTCTCCAATATTCCAGAGGCCGCAAGACTTCTGTGCCGGAGTTCTTATTTCGCCGAAGCCATGCGCGTCCTCGCCCACGGCAACCACCCCGTTTCAGAGATCCACCAGATCATAGACGCAGGGCTAGGTGAGAAAGTCGGCGAGATCCTCGAGCTCCTCGCAGACTGTCGCGCACAGTTGAACGCACAAGTCCCCCGTATCGTCGAGCTCCGCAAGAAAAAGGAGGAAGATCCACTGGCTTTCTTCGGGGGTGATCCCACCACAGCCGCGGACGGTGTCGCAGGAGATATCCCGGACAACATCTCCCTCGCGCCCACAGACGCCAGCACGCTGGGCGGCCAGAGCCTGTTCACCCGCTACGGCAGCAACGCAAGCAAGTTCGGCGGCACGGTGGCCTCCAACGTGTCCAGGAAGACGTCCAAAACGAAACGCCGCGAAGAACGCAAGCGCGCCCGCGGCAAAAAGGGCTCGGTGTACGAGGAGGAATACCTCGTCGCCAGTGTGGGGCGACTGATCGACCGCGTCAACGGCCTGCATGAAGAAGTCGGTCGTCTCCTCGCAGGGCTCCTGAGACGGGGGATGCGGGAGCAAGCCAGACAGGTTGACGAAAACATGACGGAGATCAGCCAGGCCTGCGGAAGAGCCAGAGAGGACGTCTGGGAGGTGGCAAAGCAGGATGAGAAAGTTGAGCAGGCTGGAGAGAATACATATGATAAAGATGGCCAAGGAAGACCTCCTGGAGCAGAGGGCGTGTTCTGGGATAGCCTGCAGGAAAGCCAGAGGAAAAGAGAGGCGCCCGAGGTGAAGGGTTGGATCTCCAGCGAAACTATGGCTTCATGAATTAGGGCACTCGTGGATGAAAGAAAGTCCTTATCTAAACAACTGAATTGTCTGATGCTATCTGACCTGTTCCATTTCTCTTCTCTGAAACAAACGGGCCCCCTGAGGATTGGATCCTGACCATCCCGAAGGCTCTAGTCTGTGAATCTTATCCTCTGATATCCGCTGCCTGTCTTTTGCGCCACCCTTTTGCGTGTCTTTCTGGAATAGCCGCCTCTGCGTTTGGTGTTCAAGGCCACCGGGCTTAGGCTTTTCTTGCACTTCCTCGGGATCTGGTGCTTGCACTGCCTTTTTGGCCTGGTTGAGGTCGGCAATACCCAAACCTTGATCGATTAAATATACCTGAAAGGCTGACAGCAGCTCCTTCAGCCCGGCCCTTAATCTGGTGATGATGATTTCAACTTCTTCAATTTCACCTGTGACGTCTGGCTTGTGTTCTGATACATAGTCTTCGATTATGTTTAGGGTTTTGGTAAATGTTCTCACAGTGTCGGGCACTGTTGGAGTGGCTTTGCCGTAGGTATCTTCGGTGAGACTGGCAACCTGCATTTTGGATATCGACTCAATTACATCAACGATCAATGCTGCGTTCCCATAGGGAGCTCCTAGTACCATGGCGTTGATTTTCGCGGCGTTGGTGGGGGTGAAGAACCAGCCGATACGACTCTGCTTTAAAGCAGTCATCCATTGATCTGCAAGGCTCTTGGCCGGGGTTTGATTTGTACCTGGCGGTTTTGCGTATTCGAGCAATTTTGTCTCGACTGATTTTGCCGTCTGCTCGATGGGTGGGCGCCAGGGCTGTTTACTACTGCCAATTTGTCGAAAGGAATTTGCCAGCAATCTTTCTCCCACGCCTGGTTGCGGGCTTGCTTGAAAGATGGATTGGGTCGGTACTTCGGGAACGATGCGTGGCAGAGATTTGACTTGGTCGGCAGCGCTGGGCTGTGGTGCTACCGCTGGAGGTCCAACAATGCGAGTCTGCACGTCTTGCAAGATTTTCAACCCAGCCTGTACCATTTGGCTCCACATCGGCCCAGTGGGTCGTTCGATATCTTCAAAAATGGCCTTTCTTCGTTCCTTGTGTTTGTGGGCAATGATAGCAAGCTCCCAAAAGGCAAAGGTTCTCACGACATCTCGTTTGGCTTTTAACCCGTTAAGAAGTGTTCCGTTTGGATCTTTGCTAGAAGCGGATAGCGGCAATCCCGACTTTGTGGGTTGTTGGTTGAGGTAAATCACGAAGAGAAGAGAAGTCAACTCCCATGTCAGAATGAGAAGAAACCCGGCACCGAAGGATAGGAAAAGATAGTCGGGCCTTAGAGGAGGATACCCTACCGGTCGGGCGTTTGCTCTCGACAAGTTGAAGAACGGTTTTGCCATCGCAAGATGTAGTCGCCAGAAGATGTTTCGTAGGAAGATGCCGTAAATAAATGGGGCCACAACAATCATGACTCCTGGTATGACAATAGTCTCCGTGAGCACAGGAAGCATCTTACGTTGCAGTTGCGTGTGAATCGGCTTGATTGGGTGGGTGTCTTGCGCTTGGGTGTCAGGGTGCGTCTTGCTGGGGAGTTTTGAGACGGGGATGAGGAGTGTTGAATTTCCGCGATAGAGATGAACTCCTGCATATGTGATCGCAAGAAGTAAGGCGTAAAATCGGAAGAAAATGGGTTTCTCGTTCAGAACGTCGGGGGTGTTGTAGTTCCCCCTTGTGATCCAGCCAAGGTGTGGAGAGGACCAAATATAGGCTTCAGTGAACCACCATCCCGAGACCAAGTACCAGAACAATGTCTGCACTGCTGATGCGCTGAAAAAGTTGGTTCTCAATGTCGCAAAAGGAGAAGTTGTCGTCTGTCTGCCGATATTGAGGGTGGCTATCTGCAGGATGAAGATGAACAGGCTGGACATGAAAAAAAGCAACGCCTTGATTCCCGCAGGTCCGAAAGGAAACCATGACCAGAATATGTCTTTCTTCTTTGAACCGAGCCAAAAAGCATTGTCAAGGGCGATGAGGAGAGTGATCAATGCAGCGTGCACAAATCGTTTATGGAGAGCAGAGGTCAGAAATCGTCGGTAGGGTCGAGGGGGAGGGTATAAGGAGGCTGCAGCGGGACTCGCCATGGTTGTTGGCAAGACACTAGGAGAATGGTATCATGATATGGCAAAGCAGTCTTCGACCAGCGAGCGCTGCCCAGGACGAGATCGCAGGTTTTGAACTAAGGTCGATGAAGAAGATGGAGCGACAGCGCAGATGGAACTTTTGAACATGTAAACAAAATTGTGCAGTGGGCAACGTGTTGGTCGGGGAATGACGCCAGTCCACGTGATGCGGAGGAGGCTGGTGTCGCAAGTGCCGCATTTCCAGTGCTACTTGCTACTACTGCGTCTTCCTTCCCGCACTGCAGGCTTCCACCATTCTTTCACACTGATCAGTCCATTCAGCCTTAGTTGTAATCGACATATCTTTGACTGAGCCCCGCACATAGTGCGACTACACCCAGGGACATATCGCCCGCCAGGAACGCCATGTCGTTCGATAGACTGTCGTCACTTGAGTCGCAACCGACCACCACCCGAAGACAGGATGATCCGCAATACAGGGATGATCCAGAGTTTCAAAGGTTCACCGAGTCGCTCTCGACCCGACTCTTCGAATTGACCTCGAACATTTCGCGGCTTTCCAATCAACTCTCCAAAAAGGACACCGAGAGAGGCCGAGAGAGGATACATGATCTGCTGGAGGAGACCAGAGAGGGATTCAAAGAGGTGGGAGATGGCGTCAAGAGGGCGCAAACATGGACAGATCTAAATGTGAGTGAACCTCCTTCACACAAATACCAGAAAGACCCCTAATTCCATGATTAGCCTGCCCAACGGTACACGAATCAGAAACTCTCACGAGAGTTTGCGTCCGCCCTTTCCGAATTCCAGGTGGTCCAAAGAAGAGCAATAGAGAGAGAACGGGCATCGAAAGCTGCGCTTGAAGAAGCCCATTCAGGCCAGTCGCCGTCGGGAGAGGGTGGTCAACAACACCAGCTGCTCGAGGAACCTCGGCTTGCAGAACAAAGCGAGGTCGACTTTCAGGAGAATTTGATCATTGAACGAGAAGGAGAGATCCGACAGATCGAACAATCAGTAGGCGAATTAAACGAACTGTTCCGGGATGTCGCCCATCTTGTTCGAGACCAAGGCGACATGATCGATGCCATTGATATCAACGTCGAGAATACGCTGACCGACACTCGGGGAGCCGACACGGAACTCCGAAGCGCAAGCCGGTACCAGAAATCGGCCAGAAACAAGGCGTGCTGCCTGTTAGTCATTTTGGCAGTGGTTTTGTTGATTGTGGTTCTAGCGGTTGTTCTCGGATGAAGAATGCTTTTGCAGCATTATGGCGTTATTGCGGGTTATGAATTCCATGGCCCTATGACAATGGAATGTACAGACGTCATATGGAGTATTGTGCTTCTCAGTTTGAGAAGCATCAACCAAGCGATCAAGCTGAGGCGGATTCCGTTCGGTCGTGGGTAGCGATAGAATTACTGTATGGTTTCCACCCTCTTGACAACTGAATATCAACCGTAGAGAGGAAACGAACACACAGCTTAGGCTACGTGCAATTGCTGAACCACTTTCGCTGTTATCCATGCTCATAGGAGGCATGCACAGTAACTCGGTAGATAGAAGGCCACGAGGCTGCATGGACGAGGCTGCACTGACAAGGCTGCGTTCCAGCCTCATCTTCGACGCGTGACGTCAGCGTCTCCATTTCTCGCCGCGTTCCCGTTCCAACCCTGAGGCGACTTTTCTTCACGACCAGTTAGTTGGACGTTGACAATTATCCTTACATTCGTAATGGCACGATATGCAATCACCATCCCTTCCGGATCTTCAGCGACCAATACCCGTTCCCGCCGGCGGTAGCAGTCTGAACGTCGCGTCCGAATCCTCCCACCTCATTCACAACAGGAAGAGGAAAAGCAGTGATATTGAGCCTGGCAACAATGGCTCCGAATCAGATATCTTTGCGGCGAAGTTACTCTTCCCGAGGCATGCGCCGCTCAATTTTGCGCCGGTAACGCTTGTGGCTCGAGCATGCCTACCACTGGCATGGCTCGACACCTCCTCGGGTACTTGCCGTACGATCTTTGAAGCAACCATTCTTTCTGTCGAAGAATGGGAACAGCGTATTCTGCTCGTTCGTCAAATCCCCGACGGCCGCCTTCATGCTGTTGAGCGGATCGGCCAGGATATTTATGTTGCATGTACCTTGCACAGTTGGGTTCTGGAATCATGGTGCCATGATGCTGCAATTGGAAAAATAGCTGAGGTCAAAGTTGAGGATTTATTACGGGGAGAGGGAGAAGGCGGTCCCCGCACTGGCCATACACGTTCAGGATCCCTCTCGAGTCTGACAGCATTGCCCACCCCGAAGAGTCCCAAGAAACCAACAAACCGACGCGGTGCGTTGGCCAGGATGTCAATCCTGAAAGCGAAGGATCATGCCTCCATCAACGGGTCTATCACTCCATCAGGGTCTCCTAATCTCCTTCAGCAGTCGACTACTACTGCTCTGGGTGATCTCGCTGGTCAGGACATGACTCAGATCTCCATTCCGGATGCCGTTATGCAACCACCAGCTCTTTCACCCTCAACTATATTGGAAGTACCCATACCCGCCACCACCTACTCAGGAACCGGCTTGGGAATCCCATTCAGCGACACTATTCCGCTGCATGAGGCTCTCGTCCCGGCACCCGCACCTCCTCCTATATTGGAAAACCCCATAGGACCCGAGCGCCTCCGCACACAATACTTTGAGCATCTCTATACTTCCAAAACGTCGCTAGCATTCTACGTCAAAGGACCACTGAGTCGAGCGCGAGCACACGTGCGGACCGGTGAAGATCCTGCAAGGGCAATATCCGACCTGTCTGAGTTTTATGAGCAAGGTATACTGCCTACAAAGAAAATTGATCTTAAATACAAGGAGAGTCTGGCAAAGATCATCAAAGAATTGCCATCAATGGTAGTCGAGCAGGGAGGAGAAGGTGCCGTCGGACAGGATGTTTTCGAGAAGAAGAAAAGGTCTCGGAAGAAGAAAGCGAAGCTGGGCAAGGATTGTCTGTGGCCCAATGAAGAGGAGTTTATTGTGAAGTGGTGGCGTGGTAGGGATTTGAAGACGACGACCAGCCTTACAGCGACCAGCCAGGCCGAGGAGATGCGGAAAGAATTCGCAGACTTGCGTATGCGGGAAAGTGAAATGCAAATGCTTCTCATTCTCGAGGTCATGTTGCTGAAGATTGCAGGGTCACGGCTCTCTGAGACTGCGAAGCCGGCGTCAGTAACAGATCCAGACGTCAAAGTCGAATCGGTCGAGGACGACGTCCATGAGATTTTGGCCACGACTCCGCAAGAGCCACCAAAGGAGAAGAAGAGGCGCAACTGGTCGAGTGAGATAGATACCATCGTCGATCGTCTGTGCATCTGGCACACTGTCAGCCTGGACGACCTCAATGCCACAGCCGACAGAAGCCAGAACAATGGCAGCGGCAGTACCTCTTCGAAGCCTAATGACGCCCTCAAAGATTTCTGCAAAGACGTCCTCCTCCCGTTCTACTCTGCCAAACTTCCTGAGCAGATCAAATCAATATGCCGTAAGCTCGGCGGACCCGAAGTGTCGCCCAAACGCTCCAAACAACCTCCTCCAGCACCTGCAGTGACCCTGCATAGATCGTCCTCAATATCATCCCTCACGAAATCCAAATCGGCCCGGCCGCTTGCCAAACGTACTCTCGAAAGAGTTCTCAGTGAAGACCATCAACTCCATCGCCACACTTCTCCACCAACTACCTTCTCCCGTGGCTCCTCCGTGACAGCCTCTGTGACGCACAACCATATAATCCCAACTCTGAAGCGCGAGCCTTCGGAAAGGCCCGTTTCTCGTGGGGGTAACTTGTCAAAATCGGTATCTTTCAGCAATCGCGAAATCGATCTTGCTGCGGATCAGAAAACGCATGAGCAGAAACGGCGTAAACTCGATAGGCTCGCGCAGCAGAAGAGGGAATTGGAGGCCGCGATTGATGCGCTTAAGAAGCCTGACCGCAGGACCGTGGCGGGCCTCTTCATGGACGAAGTTGAAGACAGGAAGAGTAAGGAGAAGGAGAGAAAACCGGCAGTCCAGATATCTGCCACGCCACGGGCACGGAGGATCAGGGAGGCCTTGCAGGAGCCAGATTTGCCGCAACCGCCCAAACTGAAGATTCAGGACCAAGATGTTGGGGCGGTAATTCCTTCGTCGACGATCAAATCTCGGCCTTTGCATCCTCTCATACCGAGTTCGAACAGCACGACTCGATCGTCAGCCACCAAGCGAGCAGTCCTCGCAGCTATCCATGAGACGCCATCACGCGGGGCTGAGAAGAGAACCTCAAATCCCTTGAACTTGCCTGTAGTTTGGCCCCCTCCGGCTCAGGCGGTCGACCAATTCACAATCGCAGCGACCCCAGCATCTAAACGAACAACCCTAGGTGGAGGAGGCGTGCCTTTGTCTGACCCTGATCTGCCCTCCGATTCTCCGGGACAGGCTGCTCGTTATGAGGAGACCGACGGGGCGCAAAACTTACACATGACTCGATCCCGGCGGCCAGTTCTGTTTACGCCGGTGAAAAGGTCTGATGTGCCACTGGACCACGTCTTCCGCGACGCACCCGAAATTCCTGAGCAGGCCGGACGCATGATGGATCGAGTGATGGGCGGAAAGGGACGCGGGATGATGGACGACAGCTTCCCATGGTCGCAGGGTGCTGATGGGTCGGCGAAGACGCCTGGACGAGGGACCGTGGAGCAAAAGGATGTTCGCGTGGAGGATGTCGAAGAAGGTGATATTTACGATAAGCTGGGTTGGAATGATGACTTTGACCTATGACGATGACCCGACGGCCGGTACCGAGTACATATCCATAGACTGCCAGAGCGAGTCCCTGTAGCCGCGACGGGGTTGACGAATGCCACGAGCCACAATGACAGTATTCACGACAGTAATCTTCGTCTTGAATTCCCCGTCCATCCCCAATGTATTCACTGGTCCCCAATCCGAAAAGGGTCTGTTAAAGGCCACACCGCATTCATGACACTTTCACGAGAGCACACACATGTCCTTTTGACGAAGACGCCTCGGAGGTTCCGCGAGGCTGAGACGCCAGTGGAGAGAATATGGAGCCCGTTCGTCTGCCGTAATTCGCGCTTGGGATTATTACCATGTGAAATCTCCCGCCCGTTCTCCGTGGGAAGGAAGGATTGAAACGACACTCGGTACACTCGGTACTTGGTCTTCAGCCGAAACAGCATGTGAGAGGGGGGGCCAGACAGATAGTCAGTGCCCCGCTCACCATTCGCTCCCTCGGTGTGTTCGCCTCAGCCACCGGAATGGTGCCCTCATTACCTCGTATATTGTATGTATAACATTGTGTAATTTGGGGGGGCGGATGTCGCCATATTGAGTGCCTCTTACGATGTGCCTCTCGCGAGGCGCAGCGATGAACTGCCCCTTTCGCCACTCGGATATCCTATTATGGGTAGGTAGCAAGGAATAGTACTTGCGAGATCGTTGACGCCCAAGGCTTAGTCATTGAATAGGCCAGGGCTAGAAGCCTGCAGAAGTATTCCAGACAGTTGGTATCATGTTATGTTGGATCATCTGTTCGTAGTGCACCACGCTTCAAGGTGTCACGTTCAACAAATATCTATGTATGTATGTATTCCGTACGAGGTACTGTGTCCTTAGTACTGCGTAAGTAATATCCCGATCTCCCTCGTTGACGTGGTCCTCACTCGGCGGACCTCATTTCCCGCAAGATTGTTCGACACAGGGCGCGAACCTTCTTCTTGGGTGGCAGCGGTGGTGGTGGGTATCTCCATTGTTCCGCGGAGCGCTGTCTGATAGTGTCGAGGTACATGTTGGGTACCGACCTACACATCGCCGACGGGCTGTGTCGTCGTTTGGTTCAGCAGGCTCCGTGTTGACTCCGAACCACGGCCGAAGATCGGAGCAAGGCTGCAGAATTCGCTCGGCCGGACATCCACATGGCGCGGCGGCGCTAAACCGCATGCGGAAAGAGCCGCATCTCACTTCTGACCTTCATCAATCCGATAACGCTGGCCACCGGCAACGAATCAAGGGCAGAACGAGGTAGGAAAAGAAAGGAAAGATCTGACTCGTAGGTTTCGATCGTAAGGATGGGTTTTGACTCTTTTTTTTTCTCTCCCCTGCTCTTCTTGCCGCCGCCGCCCCCTCTTCCGATCGATATCTAGCGTCAGGCTGGGCAGGCATCTCGTCTCGTGACTACCCGAAGCAGAAACCGAGAACGAGACCTTCTTCTTCTTCTTCTACTCTTCTCGCCCAATTTCGTTTTCCTTTCTTTTCTTTTCTTTCCTCACCTTTGTTTCAACTTGCGTTACTGTCCTTAACCTCAGCACCTGAGAGATCCAGCAGACCTCGAGGGGGAAAAGAGAGAACATCGTCAATCATTCAAAGCAGAGTTCTCTAGTATTTCAGTCGCTTTTCTGTCTGCCCGTCTGTCTGTCCGTCTGAGTGTATGTCACCTGTGTCTCGCTCGCAAGACTTTTGACGCTTGATTTACCATTTTACCAAATAAAATCTCCTGAAGCATCGTGGGATCCGAGTAAGTAGTTACAGCCACCAGCTCACTCACCCACCTTCAAAAGATGTGTCCACCAGCATTTCTAACCAAAACCGCTACGAACAGTATACATAGCAAAACACTCCCCCTCCTCCTCTACTACTTCTCCTCCTCCTACTTGCCCCGTTACTCCTTCTCCCCCAGAAAACGAGATTGAAGGTCCTGCCTGTGGTCGCAACTCCCCGCATCCACGTCCAACCATGATATTCACACGCGGCGTTTCCCTGACGAATTTCGTCATCGCCACGTCGGCGTTGGGCTTCCAGGTCTTCGTCCTGTACCCGTGGCACGAGCGGCTAGACGAGGAATTCCGCCGCCTGAAGCAGGAGCACCTGCACATTTTGCACCAGGGCGAGGAGGGCCGACTCGGCGAATTGAAGGGGATCAATGAACAGCTCAAGAAACTCGGCGGGAAGTGAAGACGACGACGACGATGACGATGATGATCACCACCGACTAACCGATTGACCTACATCTCAACCAAACAAAAAAAAAAAGAGGGACAAACGAGATTCGCATAACACGGAGTTTTTTGTTTTCCGGGTTTGCCTGTCTTGCCTGCTTCTCTGCTAGCCAGCCTGCCTGCCTGCTTGAGGGGAATGTGCATCAACATCAACATTAGAACGGAGTTTATTGACGACCATGCATACATACATACGAGTTACATGTCGTCCGGGAAGGATTTCGACCATATGAGTGTTTGTGTTTTTTGTTTCCTTCCCTTTCGGCAACAAACACAACCACTTAGAGAGAGAGAGAGAGACAGAGAGACAGAGAGAGAGGATCTACACACCATAGAACCTTAGACTGTTAGACGGCAACAGAAGGGTCTAGATTCGATAGAATAGAACAATACACCGGGGAGGTATTTTTCTTGGTCTGTCCTACTTGCTTGTTCTCGGAAGAACGAGCTCCTGAATTCGGACCCGGCGTGCATAATACAAACCACCCTTCCCTTTCTTTCTTTTTTATATAGGTGCCAGACGTCGATGACTCCCATTCTCCGACATTCACTCCGTGCCCTCAACTACAACACCTACAACTACAACTACAACAAACAGCAGCCAAGACGCAAACATATGACGCACACGTGCTTGCCTCGGCACCTCGGTAGACGTGATAAGAGATTGATTGTCCACTTGTAAAGCAAGAACTCGTGGAGTAATATGCGAGATACGTACGGAGTACTGTGTAGCGCATGTACTAGCTAGTACGTACTCACTTTTATCTTTTTATACTGTGGCAATTGTACATATACTTGTATGTTTTTATGTTTGTACGTCCCGGACGCATACCTGTAGGTTGGCCTGCAAACGTCCTCATGGATCTCTTGCAGCGGACATATGTCGACAGCTGCTGTGCGAGTACCCCGTAGTCGTATTGAATGAAGTACATGTCTTGTCGATCAGGCGAAGCAGAAGAGCACAAGTATATAACGGCGGTAGGGTGGATCGTCTGACAGGACTTGATCGGGACGAGGAGCGGATAAGGGGGATAAAGGGGGTGTATGGTGGTTGTAAGCGAGGTGGAGAAAGAGGCATAAAGAAGAATATACATGCACATTTTTCTCTTGAGGGTATCATCCAAGAGTTTTCCAATCTCAACACGCGCTGAGAGGTCCCATCACTTCGCGTAGAGGTCGGGCCTTGTCCACATTCGGACGTCCTATCATTCGGTAGAGAAGATGCCCGGTACATACCGCGTCTGTTTCCCCTATTTGCATATCTCAGCCTTGTCAAATGGTTACAATGCTGGATCCACGTTCATCAAATCATCACTCATGATATGCAGCACCTGTGTAAATGTCCTCAGCCTCCTCCCACTGATCCCGTCCATCAGGTTTGCAAAGTCTAACAACACTCGCCTGGCGCCCTCGTATCCACCACTGTGTGCCACCCCGCCCAAAGACAAGGCGCCACCATATTTGACGAATTGATACACTAAACTGAAGTGCTCGTCCTCGCGGTTCGTGGTGAGATTTCGTTCGGCCGCTGTCGGGTCCAGGCTTTCGTCTTTGAAACCTATGTCACCCAACTCGGCCCAGTCGGGATCTGCGTCCATAAGCTCGACGGGCGCCGTGCCCTGCCGACCCGAGCTCGGGTTGACCATGAAGAGGTACAAACCCAGTACGAGTGCAGAGGCGAAGAGTGCTGTCACGCTGTGGATTGTCACATTGTCGCTGACTCGGCGCTCCGACATGAGTTTGAAGTTCTGCGCCGCGTGTACGCATGCCCTGCGCGCCGCTTGCGTTTGGCTCCATTGAGAAATGTTCTCCAATGCACCAGTTGCAGGGGCAGCTCCATGCCGACCGGCTGCCAACTCAAACATGCGGAAATCTGACAAGAGCATGACGCACAGACTGTGCCAGAGGACAATGCAATTCGTATCGTCGACTTTCGAAAGCGGGCCTGCGGTGTGAGTAGCGGCGAGCAGCGCTGGTACAAGTGTACTAGCACGCGCATCGCCGGCATAGACGTGCCATGGTATGTATGACCCAATGGTTAATTGATCCGGAGGCATGAGCCGTTGATAGGCTTCCAAAACTTGAATTTGAAGTAATGCGAGCAGTGATGACCGGCCTAGGTACCCTAACTTCCCAATTGGCGCCATATCGTGCTTGTGCAGGTCCTCAATCCTGAATGTCGGAGCGCTCTGGCTCTTGCCGCTGCGGAGCAGCGATTGCCATTGGGTCGCGGATTTCGCTTGGAAGAGGGCTTCATCGCAAGGGGCCACGACGCATACGGACTCCGACCTCACGATCGGTGCCTTTGACAACAAGTTTGAGAACCACGAATCGCAAAGGAGCAGTCCGAGGATCAGACGCTTCGCCGACTCTATCCGGCTCCACGCTTTCCAACGATCGTCAGACTCGGACATTTCGGACAGGAGCGCATCGAGAGACTGCCCATCGCCGGCCGCAAACAGCCCATTCTGCTGGACCATAGCCAACAGACTGACATAAAGCATCTGACTCTGATTAAAACAATCTTTATCACCGGTGATAACAGATAAGTTCAGCGTCAGCAGACCTGTTGCAAATAGAACCATTTGTTGCGTCGGAGTTGCGGAACAGCCTGCACAGGCCGATAAATCGTTACAAACGCGCTGTAAAAAGCTGGGAAACATTTTCGACACAAACCTGGTGGCGCCGGTGGTGCCCAGAATGCTCAAACCAATAAGACATATGGCGAATAGCATAGGTGCAGGAGTATTTCGAACGGAAAACGTCGCAACATGGATAAATGGGACAGTGGGGTGAAATCGGCGGAAGAAAAGGCCTAACGCGATGTCGAGGATCTCAGCGGGTGGAAATTCTTCGTTCGCTGGCTGTTGTGCTGAGAGAGCTGGATCGACGACTGCTTGTAATTTAGGCGAGTGGTATGTTGACGGAGCGGGAGTGCGGAATGTGTCCCTCAAACGAACTCTGCAATCAGTATCGAGACCCCAGTTCGACGCAGTCCGGAAATCATCTGCCACAGGCGACTCCGAGAACAGATTGTCCATTGGCGATATAGCCACTTCTCTCCAGAGAACTGGCATAATCCTGTAGACGCGGCCTGGACGTGGATTCCAACATCGCTGCACTCTGGAGAAGCGTTCTCGAGGGACCTTGGCGATATTCTTGGTCCTGTCCGCAGGGTCGTAGGCCCTGCCATTCACCAGGTCTTTAGAGTCTTGGTATGGCTGCTGCGGGTCCGGGATGCCGTAGGTTTGCAAGAAGTCCGGAGATTGATCCAAATCACCTAGGGAAGGAAACAACCACATCTGAAAAGGATCGTGAAAATTGCTGGTGCTGGCATTGTCCGTCTGAGGCAGCCACTCGATATGGCTGTCCGAAAATTGGTTGGGCGCAATCTCGGATCTGGGAGTCTGTCCATGGTTATGAGGGCTAGTGGCCGAAGTTTCGAAGGTCGATACTTCGCCACTGTTCTGCGATGGAGACTGTTTCACACCATGTGAGACGCTGGAGGTCTTGTTGTTCAGGGTGGTGATGGGGGACGGCATCGTCCATGCCGACCCCGGGAGCTGCATGGAAAGAGCATTGCTGGGATTCGACGAGACATCGAGAAAAGGATTAGACACATCTATCGAAGACTGTCTGGCAGGTTGAGATTGATCATTCCCGGTCTGAGATAGATAGTTAGTGGGAGAGAGAATCTGCATCAAAGGGATGCCTGTATGGGGTCCGTTGGCAAGAGCGCCAGGAGAGTTGATGTTGAAATCATCCTGGGAAGGCTGAGGTGGGACTCCCTCTGAGATGGTGTTCCGTCGCGAGGAGGCATTGGCAGGAGTCGATTTGTCGTTCTTTTGGGCATGGCATTTCATGTGCCGGAACAAGACATCGCTGGATTACGCTTAACACCAGCTCCAACCACGAATAGAAGCCCGACGGAAGCACGAACCTGCGAGAGAAGGCCTTGTCACAGATAGTACATGGATAGGGACGTTCCCGCGTGTCTGCCAATGCATGAGTGATAGGCTAGCGCGGGGTAGGCCGAATTTGACGTACGAGAGCGCTCATGGCGCTTGAAGTGTTCAGTCTTTGTGAAACGGCGGCCACATACGGTGCACTGTCGCAAGACCATGACTTGAGCATATGTGGAGGGACCTGTGCGACGATGTGGGAGATGTGTTGAATTGGGAAAAGGATGTGGGAGCGGTGGAGGGAAGGTAATGAGGTTGAGACTGTGTAATGGGCGAGCAGAAGACTAGTCAAAGTAGGCAGGCCCTGGAGATCTGGATGTTTCGCCCGTCGAGCTCGGGGGGGTCCTCGTTTTGGCCACCGTCAGAGGGAGAACCGGGGGAGGGAGGGGGAAAACGAGATGGACGAGATAGACTCGTGTGGCTCCGACAGAGGGAAAAGTGGAGGAGAGGCTCCAGTGAATGAAGATGATGCCAGCGAATTGGGAATAAAGAAAAGGAAGAAGAAGATGGTGAGTGGGTGGATGGTGGTTCAAGGGCCCGTGGATCCTAGGATTGAAGGATTCAGGGATTTTTCTGGGGTTCCCAAGCGCAGTTGTCCGGACCCGGAGAATCTATGGACCGAGGGCAGCAGTGCAGTTCTTCCGTGCTCATTCCCTCTCGGTGCCTCGCTCCATCATTTAATCACTCATTCATCCCAGACCACAGTGCTCAGTATGTCCATATTGCGCCCATCGACAAGAACTCGGGACATGAGAGAGAGAAGGGAGGGCACGAGGTCAGCTGCCCCAACCTCCCCCAGCCCCAAACAACCAAGTTTCTACCGTCCACATGGTTAGTCCGGGCGCCCCCTCCACTCTCTCCCTCCACAACCCCAGTGAGTCGGTGGATCTGTCGGCCTCAGAAGAATCTCCGTCGCCCGGACCAGAAGGAGACGAAAGCTTGCTCCCCTTTGGGACTCGCCAAGTTAATATTAAAGGACGGGGATCTGAGTTACTAACGAGGCCAACGATGGGTTATTTCCGGGCCTCAGACCTTAGGCACTGCGATTCCGTTCTGGATAATTGAAAGCACCGCATCCATTCATGAATGTCATGATGATGGCGGCAGCATTCTTTTGCCTGAGGCGACTGCACCCGAGATCGACGGCCCTTTCCCCTGTTTGTTCAGCCATTACTCGTGTACCGTGGTAGGCGCAAGATCTCTCTGTCTCTGCCTCACCATGCTCGCACTCCTCGTTCAAGACAACGGCGGATCTCTCGAGTGGCCCAGTAGTCATGGTTTCCCATGCGTTTCGATGACAGTCTGAATCTTCTCACTTGACAGGATTTGGCACAAAACGCGACTGTGGCTCCACAATTGCCAAGGCGTCTCACAACACCACTCCCTCCAACCATGCCGTCGGTGGTGTTGGTACAGGTGTCGTAGATGTTCTGCTCTGCGCCGCAGCCGAGACTTCCAGTAAGGAGACAAGACAGGAAAACAAGTTTGTGAACAGTGGCAGAGGGTCAAAGGTGGAAAGAGACATGTCCCATTGTCACTATCTTCGCTGCCAGAGCCTCACATGAAAGTGGAAGAAACAGACCAAACACGCTCACTGGGATCGTCTTGGGGGTTTCCGTCGCTATACCCGGCAGAAGAGGAAGCATTGCCCGGCAAGGTTCGACAAAGATGCCTTGTATGGAAGACATGTGAATATATATATCAAGACGGTGGAGGGCAGGGAAACTTGGCTGGTTGGCTGAAGAATGTGAACACAGAGAGCCTTGCGCCGCATAGCTTCACGGTGGCAATAGCTTTTATGATGACGGAGGATGGATGGAACAGTCTCCTTCCCATACTGCCCCCGTTCAATACATACAAACATACATAAGCTTCGTTGCTGTTGGTTGTTTTATGACTTTAATGAGATTCCCCCACGACATGGGTCTTGCGGTGCATGCGGGCCAGCCAGGTCTTGCTGGTGGCGATGCGGATGCGCTTGCCGAAGAACATGAAGACGAGCAGCATGAGGTCGTTGGCCATGAGGACGCCGCAGAAGACGCCCGCGATGATGGTGACGTAGCCGCTGTCCAGGATCCAGTCGAGGATCTTGAAGCCGAAGCCGAACGAGATGGCCTGCTTGCCCAGGTTCATGGCGATCAGCATCTCCGACAGATTCACCGTGTAGCTGTCGACCGCGTACGCCAGCGAGAACGTGAAGTAGAAGTAAGCCGACCAGTTGCACATGGCCACGCCCGCGAAGTACCCGATCCAGTGCAGGTTCTCCTGCGCCGTGTACCCGTACACAATCAGCCCCGCAGGGCCGACCAACATCGCCGGCAGCAGCACGCCCAAACGCATCTCGGCCTCGCGGATCCCGTTGTTCTTCTTGGTCAGGTACGCCGCCAGCCGGTCCGACGACGTCGTGAATGGGATGGCTAGGATGTATCCGATGGCATTGCCCACGGCGATCAAGCCTGAATTGGTCTGTTGTTCACCCAGATCATCAGTCAGTTCTGTTTTCTTCTCTGCAACATCGTACAAGAGGAGGGGGGTGGGTTTGGCATTAGCTTACCTGACTCCAGTTGTAAGGAGGAGCAACAATCTTGGCAGGGAAGGTGTAGTTGAATGCCAGAGCTCCCAGACCGATGTAGATACCATAAGTCGAGACCACCCAGAACACAGACGGCACGGCGTAGTAGGTGAAAGAGCGGGCGGCGGTCATGAAAAACGAGACATCGCGATCGTACACGCCCCACGGCTTGAGGGTGGACACGAACGACTTCCGGACCGGCACAGGGCTTGCGACCTCGTGCAGGTCGGCCTCGACGCCTTTCTCGGTGGGGGATGATTCCACGGCGGCCCCGAGAATCCGCTTCATCTCCTCGCGCTTGTACCAGGTCTCCTCGACGAAGAAGAAGGCCAGGATGAACAGGGCGCACGCAAAGGCGAACTCGACGTAGAAGAACAGCCGCCACGAGTAGCCGCCTGCAAGCATGTAGCCGGCATACAGAGGTCCGGTGGCGCCCAAACAGAGGCAGACGGTGTAGTAGCCCAGCCGTTGACCACGCTCGTGCAAGAAGAAGATGTCATTGACTAGTTGCACGGGCAGAGCTTCGCATACTCCAGAGCCAAAGGCGTGGATGATGCGGCACGCCATCAAAGTGCCGTACGAGTTGCATTGGGAGCAGCCGATCAGGCCCACAGCAAACTGTTCAGTCCGAGTTAGCTAAGGATATTCGGTCACGAAGATGAGCGGACTTACAAAGATGATGGAAACCAGCATCACAGGTCGTCGGCCGAATTTGAGATAGGCGGGAACCAGAAGTAAGGAGCCAAAGCCATAGGCCAGGTTGGGATATGAAATCAGGTTTGAAGCCGTGCCGGGGTCAATCCCGAAGGATTCCGCATAGATGCCAATGTACACCGAAGGACCGAGCAATGACGAGTTTCCCAGAAAAGAGTACGCCGCACAGATGCACAAAATCATGGTCTTCTTGAAGTTGCCCCATTGTAGCGGGTCGTTAGGGTCGTCTGCTGGCACAGGGAACAGAGCTTGTCCGTAGCCGGTATCGTCGCCCTCTGAATACGAAGTGTCAGTGTATCGTGGATATTAACTTTTTCGTAAAGCTTTCAAGCCACTTTGGCTAGGGCGGCGTACCTTGGGCTTGCAGATTGACGGTTCCAGGAATCGCCTCTTCGTGGGCGTGGCTATACAAGACACAGTCATGTCAGTATGCGTGCCAATTAACCACGAGACCACAACCGGGACGGTTTGTGACTCACCTGTGCTTTAAATGGGCGGGATGGTGGCCGTGTTCGTGATCCCCCGTCATGATGGGCAGTACCTGTGGACGCTGTGACGTTTGGGGAGAGTATGGGAGAAATTGAGATGATCTGGGGCCTTGACCACGGGAACTTCAAGGATGAACTTGGGAGAGGAACGTGGTTGAACAAGAGGAAGCGAAGGCCATGTGGCAGGGGGGACAGGAATCAATCGACTTCATAAATGAAGCACAGATCTTCCCACACGGCCATATTTTTTTTAATTCTGGGGCCAGCCACCGTTGCCTCCCACCCTCCGTCGAACAGGTCCCAGTTTCCACTCGCCGGGGTCCTCCTCCGCCTCTTTGTGTACCTGTTAAGCTTGTTCAGGGAAGCATCGGTGGGGCGACGAGGGCGGGGTCTCCACTGCCCGAAGCAAAGGCAGAGAGGGAAATGTCATGGGGCTCTCTCGCCCCGGAAATACGCCAGTCTTGGGATGGGCATGGCGATAGCTGACTCGTAGCCTGGGCTGGGCATCTTGACCTATCCCAGCTGGTTTGGCCGTCGAGGAGCGGGCTCCCGGCATCTCCAGCCTAAGGGACGCGCTAGGTGACGGCACCATGATAACTCGAGCCCAGGATCTGGACGTAACGAGAACAAGCGTGAAGGATTCTGGATCGACCAGCAACGTGGATGTGCTGGATCGTCGGTGCAGGACTGCCCGTTGTCGGTCTGTTCCTTGTGCCCATCTTTGCCCGTTGCCACCTGGTCGAACGGGTCATTGACATAGCCCCCCGTCTTGTGTCCAGACCGCATTGTTTGAGTTTCGTGGACAATCCGGCAAGCCCATGTGTGCAATCAAGGTAGCGTCGATGTGATGGGTGAGGAGATCGGATGGGGACTTATCCCATCATTCAGATGCCGAGCAACACAGAACATATTGTGGAAGTGAGTCCTCGTACCGAGTAGAGGTGTCCTAACTCGTACAGCGAGGTACACACCAGCTGGGGCGTTTTTTTTTCGAGTCTTTGTGTGTTCCGATCGTCCGATTGCCACATGTCTGTCTCCCACGTTCGGGTGCCCGAAAAATGTCCCTTCCCAGGCTAATGCTGCATGAACATGCACCGCATCATATTCGTATAGGCGCGTGGGAAGCTGCCACCAAGTTAGGCGATGCCACCGGATCCTTGTCCTTTCTCCCAGCAGGCCAAACTTGAAAAATAAATGGTGCCGTCTGACGAGACAGTGGCACAGTTGGCTGCGCAGGAGCTGCACCAGTCACATTGGAATCCCGCGTCTGACTGTGTCATTTCTTGCTGGTGGTGAATAAGTTGCAAGCAATTTTAAGAAGGTAACGTGGTCCTAAAATCGGGCAGACTCAATACTATATGTATAGGCGAGGAATGTATATATATCTCTATCCACAAAACCGTCGGTTATCTATGCATCCCATCGCTTGGATTGGTCAGTAGAACGAACTCTGCGATGTCCCAGACAACCATGCAGTGCAACAAAGAATGCATCGCTAGCTGTTCAGAATTTGATTCGACCCTTGGGATCATAGCCGGCTCTGTGTGCTCGACTCACGCTTCATATCTGGTGACCAGTTAGCGTTTGGACTCGGGATCACTTTGGTGGAATAGGACACCTACCTCTCCAAGCCTCTTCTGCCTTCGCTTCGGCATCCCAGCTCCAGAGGAATTTCTGCATCTCCGGATCACCCCATTTATCGTCGTTAGAGCCCCCTGAGGACAGAACCTTGAATTTCTGATCCCGGGCTTCCTGCTCGGGACCGTCCGGCAGATGAAGAGCAGCCCTTGTCGTCAGACAGGATTGTTGGATGTGCTCCGCTCGCGCCTTTTGCGCCTTCTCGTATGCTTGAAGCGCCGCGGGGACTTCATCCTTGGATGATATTGAGGATAGGACCACTCCCAGTGAGGCCGCGTCTTCCACGGCCTGGGCAGCTCCTTGAGCAACGTATGGTCTGTACAAACATAAGGATTACATTCCCTAGAACAAACAAGAGGGACGAAGACTTACAACATAGGATGGCATGCATCTCCCAGCAACGCACACGACCCTCTGACCCATCGGAGAAGAGGCATGTGCATGCATAGTTTCCACTCCAAAACGTCCCCTTCTGGGACGAGGTTCAACATCTTGATCAGGTTTGGGTCCCAGCCTTCGTATTCTGACAGCAGATTCTTCTTTGATGTGACGGTCGTCCAGCTCTCATCGACTCGACCACGATCAGGGTGAGCAAGTGCCATATTGCTGGGTGGTGGTCAGCCTGTTTCCAATCATCTTCAAGAATGATCCTTCGATATACCCGCCGGGCTTCGCAAGATAGACTTACTATATTTCATGGTTCCGCACAGGATAGGCAATGATGTGTCTCCCGGGTCCAACCCATCGGATTGCCTTCTTCTCTTCGATATAAGGCATCAAATCCGGGTGCTTGCTCAAGGTGTCTCTCGTGAGGACGACCCTGAAGACCGCGTCCCCAGTCGGTATGGCGACGTCTTTGTCGTCTCCCAGGATCTTCGCACGGACCATTGATTTGATTCCGTCGGCCGCGAGCACCACATCTCCATAGATCGTGGATCCGTCCTGGAGTTCCACCGCCGCCGGGCTGAACTGCACGTTTTCGACCTTTGTGTTGGTCTGTAGTCTCACATTGGGGAGAGCCAAAGCCTTCTCCAGCAAAGCCATCTGCAGATCCGCACGATGCACGACAAACTGCTCGCCGTGGGACTGGTTAATTGGAACGCTGCCTAGTAGAGATCCCCCCTGCCAACGCAGGATATGGATAGCACCAAGGGCAACACCGGTTTGTCGAACTTTGGCACCTGCTCCCAACCGATCCAGGATCCGAAGCATATTCGGTGCACACTGGATCCCGGCTCCAACCTCCTGGATCTCGGGAGCAAACTCGATAATGTGGACATCGTGGCCTCGTTTCCCCAGGGCCAATGCTGCAGCCAGACCTCCAATGCCCGCTCTGGAGAGTCGACCCGTCAGCTTTTTGTCTCCCGTAGATTTACACCGTAGAACCCACCCTATTATAATCACCTTCAAGGGAATCTTCGCCCGAGCATAGTGTTTCTCCCTCGAAGCCACCCCCATGGGTGCTATAGTCAACTTTCGAGCAACGCTTTGTCGATCAAGAGCTTATTAGAGATGAGATATTCGCGACGTACAACCCTCCAACACTGCTCCAATCTGAATGGCCAGGGTCCTTGAGATCTGGTTGGGTGATAGGGGGGCAAAAGCGAGAAACCGTCTCTCTGTCGTGCACCTTCGGATCGGGAACGGTGGGAAACGCTGGGAGGCTGACCGAGAGAAAACAATTTGGAATAAATTGAAATCACAAGCGACCATGCAGGCCCCGTCAATTAATGAAGGCGGCATGTGTGGCTCGATGTCGAGAGACAAGGCTTCACACGATCAGGAGTGAGTGTGCCACGGCGCGCCCGCTCGTGGGGCCATTTGGCTCGGCAGATAAAGCTGGTGAGCTTGACCCCACGGCCATGTACACTGTAGTATGTATGCCCTCTAGACAGCCTTGGGAGATGCATCGTGAGTGTAGTGGAAGGACGCCTAGCAACAAATCGCTACACATGGCCGCCAGTACAGATTTGTTCCAGCCGGCCCGAACAACTGGAAAGATTTTGTCTTGCCTCGAAAGTCATGGATCCGGTGTCCAACTGCTGGCACCACTGGGGCCGAAGTTTATTGCCGTCCTTGCTCTTTTCGGCAGGTAGAGTTGATCTCTGAGAGGTTGCTTCTGTTTGGATGTGAATGAGTCTGAAGAGAGAGTGGATAGAAAAGGGCGTCACCAGTATTCTCTGCTGCTCGTAGAGCCAGAATGGGAAATGGTCTACACCAACCTCACCTTGACAGCTCGATCATGCCCATGGATCGTGGGAATTTGTATGTTTCCACCATTAAGCTGGGATGTTCAATTCACAAATTAAAACTGTTATGTAGATAGAGGTCGAACCAAACACGGAACTCGCAACATTGTTTCCCATCCGTTCACACCCCTTGTACCCAATGCCATGAGAATCCCTCACATGCAACAAACCAAGAAATCAGACAATGGCAAAGGGGGAGTCAAGTGCCGAATGATAATACAGGAGGAAACAAAGACCACAGAACCAAGACCCCCGGATACCTGGTGTGGAGCAAGAAACGAAGCCATGAACCCCGATTCAACACCCAACGTGTCCCGGTCCTTGTGCCTGTCCTCCAACAAAAGAGCTGGTACCAAAGGGATGATCAGTAAAAAGCATAGGGAAAACAAGATGAAACCCCCGAAGAAAAGAGTCCACTGGTGTTCGCTGGCCACCTTTTCATATGCATCCCGCTCCTATCCATGCGCTTCACTATGCACCCTCCCAACATGAATTGCTCAGCAGTCCGGACCCCCGAAGATTTCTCGTATGCCCGCCTCGCTATGCAACACCCCCCTCCGATGCATTTCATGACTCGAACCCCCAAGAACAAGATATCCGACTGTGCTGCCACTGTCCTGTGCTGTCCTGTGATCCAGGTGGCGACCAAAGAACTGAGTGTACAAATCTCAGGAGTAGAGTCGGAACCCGTCCAACTGATGCGTGTTAGAAGAGAGGAGATCGCCTCTTCGATGATCAACCTCAAACCTTTTTTGGTCTGCTGTCTGCTTTCTCTCCCCTTCAAAGCGTTTGACTCTGTCAAAGCCCTACTGAAACCCTTGGGTCCATTGTCCACCTCCCTGCCCCTGGTTCTGTGGAGCAGGCCATCCTTGCCCATGTTGGGGATTAGGCTGCATAAACTGGTTTTGCCCGCCCATGGGGTAAATGCCTCTCTGGCCAATGCCGAGAGCGCCATATCCGGCAGAATTGTTGATCGCCTGCAGTCCTGCTCCAGGCCCATACAGCTGCTGGCCGCCGATCCCACCAGAACTCCCTTGATGGTGGAGCAATGGCATCTGGGGTGGCTGCATTTGTTGCGGATGAGGGGACGGACTGGCATGTGTGCCGCCCGGTAAAGGCGAAGGAATTTGTCCTTGTGCTAAGCTGGGCGAGAATTGAGGTGTCGTCATGCGATGAACAGCCGGTGACTGGTGAGGCTGCGGTGGAGGGGCTCCCCAGCTCTGCTGTTGCTGTTGCTGCTGCGACTGCGATTGCGGCGGTGGCGGCTGTTGTTGTGGGTTGATAGTGTGAGGGAAGCCTCCACCTCCAAAAGGCAATGGCTGTTGTTGAGAGCCAGGTTGCGAGATGGAGTGACTGGACGACGATCTTTGATAACCTGGGTGTTGAGGGGTGTACTGGGATGATTCCCGCGAGAAGGGTTGCTGCAGATTGGGTTGGCGGACGGGTGACTGGATGGGAGGCTGTTGATGGGGGAAGGAAGGAGGATTCATCGATGACGGCAGAGGCTGGGAAGGATGCGACATGGAATTGGGCTGAGTCGACGGGACGTCGCTCGTATTGAACCTCGGGGACGTAAACGGATGGGCCGTCGTCGCGACCTCAGCTTCCGCTGGTGGAGGTGTTGAAATAGGCGGCTCATGTGGTCGGCGCCAGTAGTCTTCGACAAGCCCTCGCCGGTATCGGTTTTGTTGGTTGATAGTTTTGCTGTATTCGGCTGCGTGACTGGCTTGGCTGGCTAATTCCACGTCGGAACTCGCTCGAGTGAGATCCTGATATGGCGGGCCGGTTATGTCGTGTCTCGGTCGCACAATGTCCTTGTACCTCGACTCATAGGCCGGGTCGAAGGAGGCCATTTGGCCCATGGTGGATGCAATCCCCGCATGAAGGGCTGGCGGCTGCACAGCGCCGTAGCCCGGGCCATTGCTATAGACAATGTCACCGTAGGCCGCGGCGACGTTGGCGCGGGCATTCAACTGGTCTTGAGCCGCCGCTTCTCGGGCTCTTTGGGCCCCGGGTCGCTTTTCGCCAGCAGGATCTTGTTCGGTGAATCCTTGCTTGATCGCTTTGGCTTCCCAGTAATCGTCTCGCACTCTTCGGCCGTCTTTGATGACGCGACTGCCAAACTGACGAAACATCGAGCGCGCCGTCACTACAGCGATCTGACGCGACCGGTACGAATAAGGGAGGATCTCGCGGTTGACCAGCTCTTCCTTCTCCTTGACGCTGGCAATGATCTTAAACAAAGACCGGTTCTTGTTGAAGAGAAGATACGAGTCTCGATACTGCAGTTGACGCGCGCATTCCGTTGCCAACATGAACAACTTCTCGCCCCTTCCCGGGAGGGTAAATGTCCTGATCTTGTACTCCCGTCCACCTCGAAGGTAGCCCAGTTGGTCGATCTTTTTCTCGCCTGCCTCGTCGTACTCGCGTGGTATATACTCGTCGCCTTCGGGCTGCAGCACATCGCTGGTGTGGTCCCTCACCGTCGGTAGTGCTTTGAGGGTCGTTTTGGCGAGGGCACGCGGCGGTGATGCTTGCACCTGCCTGGAGGCTGCTGCTTGGGGCCCTCCTTGATGTCTGGGCGTCTGGTTCAGCTCTGGTGACGTTTGGCTGGAGGGTGTTGGGAGAGCATCGGCGCTGGCACTAAAGTCGCCAGACGTTCGGGGTGTTTTCGACGGCCGACCGCGTTTGCGCGGGCCTGGTAGTGGGGTTGTTAGCACATTCCGACGCGTTCCCAAAGCTGCATCGCGACTCACCATCATCATCGCCAGGATGATACTCGCCATAGTGTTCGGGAGATCTGCTTCGTTTGATGCCGCGCGGGCCTGATTCGGCCGATGACTGTGTCAATCCACCTGTTGCGCAGCAGCAGTCAGTGAAGGCACGCGACAGAGAATTTCGACACAGGAAGACTCAAGTCAGGTCGGCGATGCGCCCCATTCATCCATGGGTGACGCCGTTGCTCTACGCATGTCGAGAGATGTTCCCAGTGGTCGGGCTGGGGAAGCCAATAGAAAAAGGCATACCACTAGCGTTCAAAGCTGCAGGATCGATGGTTCCTGCACCATCGCTCATGTCGCCGATACCATTCAGAGCATTTGTAGGCTGACGAGTAGGTGGATAAATGGACATTTCAGCACCGCGGCGATGAAATGGTGGTGGTGGTTGTGGTGGTGGGAGAGAAGATGGTGGTGATGATGATGCGCAGGCTCTGCACCCGCATCAGCACGCCAGGAGCTGCCAGGCAGCACAGAGCCGGGTGACCCAGACTTCAAGGGTGAGGGAGGGTGCCTGCGTCTGATCAGTGCCTCCGCTGCTCGCCTCTTGAGCAATGTGCGACAACAGGAATATTGAAGTGCAACGAGGATGGCGACGGCGACGGGCAGAAAGACAGGCGCGGGAAGCAAGGCGTGCACAGGTGCAGAGCACGGTTGCAGGCGTGCAGCAAAAGTAAAGTTAGCGAGGATGACGAGGGTTATGCTGGAATGAGAGGCCGCGGCGGGAGGTAGATTGGTGGAGGTGGACGGCAAAGGATGCAGCTCGAGCTGGGGGGAGTGTTTAGTGTGGCAGTAGTGGCTCTTGTGCCAAAAAAGAGGCGCTGTTGGTCGGCCGGTTTACGGGTTACGCCAGTCGGTCGGCCAGTGGGTGGGTTGAGGGTTTTTGATCTGTGCAGCTGCGTGTCGCAAGGTGCGGAAGTACAAGAGAAGAACGGGAGATGGCGCTCGGGGCCTGCAAATGCAAGTCAAGAAATGGTTTGTTCCCTCTTTTTTTTTCTTCTCTGTCGCCTCCTCGCACCGACCTCTCGCTGACTGGTTCCTCGGTTCCCTCCCTGTGTCTAGGCAAGGCCGGTCTGTCAAAATTGGTGGTCCCCCCGCCCAAAATGGACAGTGTGTTCGTAAAATGACGACTTTTTGCCGAGGAGACTCGAGGTTTGGGCGGCTTAGGGACGCGCAGTTTAGTGGTGGCGATAAACCAGTTGATGACACGTTGGACTCGATTTGTGAACCGAACCCGGGCGGTTGATGACGGTTGGATGGAGATGAAATCTGGGGAATGTGCGATCAGACTGAGGAATGATGATGCTGGAGGATAAAAATGGAACTGGATGAGATGACGGCTTGATTTGATGGCTGATGGTAAGTTAGTGGTTCTGGGACAAGGGAAGTCGGATCAATGGTTGATGTGTACCCTTGACTGTATGTAGGAACGGGCACTTTGGGGGATGACCGATTAGAACATTTACTTGCGGCAAGCCAGGCAGGAATTGGTGCGAGAGTGTCTAAGCTTAAGGCGGGCGTCCCAGGTGGGTGCCCGGCAAAGAGGTTTAGGGTATCTCGGTATCCTTGCACTCATTGGAAGGCCAGGTGGATCTCTCGACTGGACCAACTCGATACACTTTTGGGGGGGTTGATGTTTTGAGGTATTTCCGCAGTACTGCCGGGGCAGCTAGGCGATTAGGCTGGGAGCCGAAGAGCTGAAGTGAGCAGTGGTCAAATCGGCGAGGACGAGGCCAACGGTTTCTTGATGATTTGAGTATTGATTCGATGGTAGAGGGCTGAAATGCTTTGCATCACATTGGATAGGCAAGAGTAGAGCCTCGCAGCAAAGATGTGCGGGAGATGTGCAGCCAGACAAGGCGCCAGAGGGCGAAAGAGGTGGGAAGGACGGAGGAAATGTCGAGAGGGAGGGTGGCGGGGAGAGCGAGAGGGTGTGTGAGTGAGAAGCAGTCAGCCAATACTACTCGGTGCAGGACCGCCAGTGAGGGACAAGAGCGACACGAGGTTTGGATCGATGGTCGAGTCGGGGAACTGGTGGGGATTAGAGTCTGTCAGGCAGGAGTCAGAGGATAGGATGATGGTATCAATCAAATTGTCATACACAGAGCAACTATATTACCTATTACCTCGTACCTCTGGGTTCTTCTGGCTGGTTGTCGTAAGGGCTACCCAAAGTGCGGGCGTGCATGGATGCTCGTGCGCGCGGGTGGCATATGCAGATGCTTTCCTGCAGCAGCGGGCACGGCAGCGTGCGATTGAATGCAGCAAGGAGCGAGATACGGTTTAGGCGGCACATGCGACCAGGGTGGGTTTAACTAAACTAGAACTTTGGGGGGTAGGAGTGGAACAAGAGGAGTTTAGAATAGCAGTCGAAGGGAGAAAAGGCCGGGCACTGGACAGCAATGCAGGGAACAGGGGTGATTGCCTCTCGTTGATATACGACGTACGTCAACTTCTGCAGACTTGGTAGTCGCTCTCCTCTTGCTGGGCAGCGTAGATAAACCTTTCCATGCACACGACACTCGGGCATTGCCTTGGCTACCAGGTACCTCATCGATCCAGGCTCAGGCGGTAGCTACAGTACCTACCTAGATACCTAGATACCCAGGGACTCCGAGCATCCCCAAGGGCCGCGTACTCGCTACCTACTGTAGGTATACATACTTCTGGGTGAGAAGAGGGGCGAGCCTGGTGCTCGTGGGCAGTGGGCACTGAACTGACTCGGGTGCTGCAGCCAACAGCCACAGCGACAGTATGAGAGCTTCCGGCGAGGACCCGGGGTCCACCCAGTCAGGCAGTCAGGTGGGCGCGGCGGGCGCTGTGGGCTCCCATGGGCGCTATGGCCTCGGGTGGACTGGACAAGGTCTTGGGCTAGAAGAGGTGATGACTCTAATGACTCCAATTGACTCTGACTAGGCTCCCATTATTGGGTGTCTTTCATCATCCACCGATGCTTTCCCAAAACTCAATCGCCGTTCAAGAATGCTTCCAACACGACTGCTATCCTTTCGGATCCTCAATTCAGGCTTGTGCCGGCGAACGAGCCACCTGAGAGAGCATAACGCGAGCTAGATCCATTCCTCTCTCTTTTTTTTTGGCGCTCATGCCCTCATCGCATTGTAGCCTGCCGTGGCATCCCACCATTCAGCTTGCGACGCCCCGTCCTCGTTCCGGCATCTCAGGTCATCTGCCCCTCCATGAAGCAACCTTCAGACCCCTGTCTCGTGGCGGAAATGTCTATCCATGGCTCCCTTCTCCTTCGGTCACAGCGACCAGCTAGCAGCACCATCCACTCATCATAATATGGCCCTAGCAAATCCCAGCGAAGCTCTGAGCCATCGCTAGGCTATCCCTTCCCTCCGGGTATCGTCGATTCCCAAAGAGCGCAAAGGTCCGGCGCTCTGACTCGAGCCTTTCCAGGTTTCTGGCCGCCATCGTGTCGGCGAGTGACCTTCAAAACATCTGTCAGCTGATACCATTGGCCAATCGCTCCAAGATTCCCATGACCATCCTCGAACCATTCAGCTCTCGACCTTGCACCCACTACCCTGTCGGCACCTCCACACGCTCCTCGTCGTGCAACGCCTCCACACGAACTTCCCTGGCTAGAGCGGCTTCTGACCCAAGCCACCGAACGTCCTCTGAGTGACCCTTTCCGTACCAAGTACTGTGTAAGCCCATGAGCGGATGCTCCACGGAAGCAGTGCTCATTCAGGAATCTGTCCTGCTGCCATTCTGACTGGCCCATGCCCGTCGGCTCAGGCTGCTTTGCCCCAGGTCTGATACTTTACCTCATCCTGTTTGACACTGAAGAAGTATGTAGGTATGCTCATATTACTGTCGACCCGAAGAAGACCGGCGTCCCAGACGGCTGTCTTCTCCGCCGTATTTGTGCTTACTGTTATCTTTATCCCTACTGGCGTTTCTTCGAAGATCCAGCCGTGGAGTCTCGCCGTTGGGAAACATGTTTGTTTCCTCGTCGTGTCGGTGGCGTTGCTTTTACAGGCATGAATCTGTCTGCTCATAGACTAGACTAGGGATTTCTGGCTCTCCTCCTTGCGATGTTACTTCTCCCTGACGAATCATACTCTCTGAGGCCGCCTTCACCCAGACAAGCGCGAAATTTGTCATGTCTGAGGCGACTGCCATGGTGCCTCGAAACTCAGCTGAACTCTGACAGAATCATCAAAGCGCCTGGTGGCCCGAGCGTCGTGACGTTCAGCTCCAGCGCTGCCTAGCCATTGGGTCCTTCGCACTTGGCCTTACATCTGACAAGGGCACATCTGGGCGTCAGTAGACGCGACATGATTGCAGAAGTATCCCCTTCCTAATGAGGCTAACTGGGCACTCATCAAAGCAAAAATGCCTACCTCATTCTGCAAAATTTCGACATCAGTCTCGATCACGCAAGCTTGGCGAATCAACCATTGTTGGTGGCAGAGTGAACCGATACCAGGCATATACCTGGCAGAGACGGCCCAGATCTTCGACAGGATAGGATCAGTGATTCCCCCTCGTGACAGTAGTGGTCGTTTGGGCCGAAACTTTCTGACAGGCGGTGTGAGCATCGGGATGAGATGGAAGCTCACGGCTCGCTCACCCCGAAGTGCTTCAGACGATTTGTTTCTGGAAATATCAACATTCAGAATTGCTCCCTTGCGCGTGCAGCCTCGAAAACATGGGGTCCGCGACTAGACTGAATGAGCATAGTCCCCGAAGCTCCCTCGAGTGACTGAGAATTATCGGGAGTAACATGATATCAGGAGGAATTCTTGCGATTATGACTGGAGAGACTGTGAATGGCCAAGGGCATTGAAACCCAGCACTGGCGGAAGGTCTGCAGATTGTGGTTGATTGAAGTTGGATACTCTGGTTCAAGCTCAGAAACACCAGATTCGAGCATGAGAAGGTCTAACGCACCCTTTAGCGATTGGTTTTAAGGAACTGTCACTGGGTCCAGGCGAGCCACCTGCAACTCGCTGATCGGGCGAGCCTTAGCGGCCTGGGAATCACCCAAGATCAACGCTGTCTGGGGGACCCTCTTCGGCCCGCCCCAGGCTTGCTTGCCCATGTGTGCTGGTTCTTAATCCTGGTGGTGTGGCCTTCAGCAGCTAGGTACTCGTACAGCAAGCGAGTCCGATCGGCGTTGTGCGTGAGTTTTTCAACAACCATAATGCCTGACCCTGGTTTACCTAGCACCAGGCCTAGAGAAGAGCAATAGGCACAAACACCATCCCACCACCATGTGGTGGATGATGGCTTAGCCCGGTTTGACTTCTTGCTTTTAGCTGCATCCCAATTTCGAGGCACCCGTCCTGTCACGTTCTGCGCTCTCTTACACACAGTCGGAGCTTGGGGCGTCCTCTCCTCGTAGTGTGGGTGAGAGAGGAGAGACCATGCTCATCACAACCATGACACCTTGGCTTGATATTGGAGGCTGTACGTCGAGACGAGGGTGGCGGAACGACCCAGTGAGCTAGGCTGCTCCATGCTGGATCTCTGGTGTGACCCTCTTCGACACCCTCCCGGAACAGGGCAGGAGGAGCTGGGCCTCATCGGCGTGGTGACGCCGCGGAAGAGACGATGCGAGCCGCACTTGCAGCGGCCACCACCTTGCTCCTAGTCCTTGTGATTGACGTGCATTTGGCCATGCAAGATCGGTGCCCCCTCCCCCCCAAAAGGTTGTGTAGCCTGGTGTGCTGTCCAACGATGTTTTGTGTCGTCGTCGGCGTGTAGATTCCTCCGTTTAATCTCCTCCATCCCGTTGCCACGCCGCCCTGAAATATCAGACTCTGTATCACTTTCCAACCTCGCCTCTTGTCTTTGTGCTTCACATCGTGGGTTTGATCTCCTGTGGTTCAATCTTTCTGTCTCGGCGCGCCGATTGGCTCTCGGGGGGTTGGGCGTTCCCAGCTTTGAGGTTCGTGACACCAACGACAGTCAACCGGGATTTACTAGGAGCGTCGCAGGTCAAGGAGGACAAAGATGCAGAAGAACAAAGGGGCAGGAGTCTTCCACAATCCCTGAGTCCCGGACCGACCGTGGCCCCTTGCGGTCTGTTTCATGTGTACAATCAGACTCATCATTATTATTGAAAGAGTGTTTCAGTGACAGGGCACTTCCCAGAAATTGGTGGGCCAAGTGATGGATGAAGCCAACGCGACAAGGAGAATCTAAGCTACGAGCACAGCACACGGTGCGACAAGTCATGCCAGGCAGAACGCAGCCTGCCTCCTTGAGTCCTGCCCTGATTCGTAATCCTGATTCAATCTCCGAATGCTCGATTCCACTTCGAATTGGTCCTGTCAACCTGTACAGCCATTCATTCTTGATCAGTTACTCGCTGCTGGACTTCAGCCATGCGAATAGGGTGCCTCTGCATCTGATTTTGTGCTCTTTTTTTTGTTCTTCCAAGGGGTTTTCGGGTTTAAATGTGCACACCTGGGGTATCTCAGCTCTTTCTCGCATCGTAATGACAAATTTCCACCTGTGGCTGGGTTCACGTTCACCAACGCGTTCGTAGAATCTTGCACTCATATGTGCGACAAGGCCACAATGTCCCATGTTTCATCAATGCCAATACATAGCAGCAATCGCTCTGTTGTTGATACAATTCCGTCCATTCACACTTCCAACGCCGTTCATGAAACTTGGTACGTCGATGGGTACAAGGAGCCTTTGACATCTGTCAACCTGCAAGACCTTGGGGCTGCAGCAATCGCGCGGACAGAGTTCCATCTAGGGATCGACAATCTTCCGGGTCGAACTCGGCTCGTCCAAATTGCGCCACGAGCTCTTTATTGAATCCTGCGACTGAAAGCCATTCAGCAAGAGCAGTGTCATCGCTGTTGCAAGCAACAATCGCGTCAGAATGGAGGTCGACTGTGATTTTGGGCTCCAATTGTCGCAAGTTGATTAGCATTTGGATCGTCTGCGCAAGAGCCTCACCCCTATCTGCATAAAATCCTGGTTGTTGGTCCAGGGGCCAATGAATCACCTCACGATTCCCATCCCAGCGTCGGAACAGCCAGCACATGCGCTCTACACAATTGAGCAGGATGAATGCCACCAAAAATGTTTCGAAATTGTCGCTCTTGCGGCGAGATAAGACTCGCTGTTCGAAGTGATTCATGGCACTTTTGCAGACGGCGTTGGCGCGCTTCTCAATCGCCGCTCGAAATTGTAGAGTCAACACGCGATAAGAAGCCGCCATTGTTGTCTCACTGACTGGAACCCGCTCATTGTCAAGACCGCTGTTTATCGCGAATTGAGCTTTTAACTTGTCGTCAATGAGCATTGACGTAGCGGCCCATAGTTCGATGACATCTGAGACAAGATTATCCTGCTTGTCAACAGGGACGCTGCTTTGTTGTAGTTGTTGGATAATCTGAGCAATCTGGAGACTGGCCTGCATCACAGGAGACTGTTCTTGATCCACAAGTTTTGGAGCAGTTGCGTGAAGATATCGTTCGACCTTCGGCAGTAGACCGTCTGTGTCAAGCTCCGCAACGATCACAACTTCAGTGTCAGAAGGCTGTTGGGTGCCATCACCGACGGGAGCCGGCCCAGTGTACTCGCCTTGGAGGCCCTTCAGTACGAGCTTCTTGTCCGCGAAGTGGAAACAGTCGATCTTTCCTGCAAGTGGCGTCAAAGCGACTCGAGTCTTCAAGGTGTTCATTTCTCGATAGGCCAGAACTCCATGAAGCTGAACAAAATAGAGTGGAAAGGCATCGTTAAGTCTCGTTCGCATACACGTATTCTTCCACAAACGAGGGCTTTCAATCGCGGCACAGGTTTGACACGGTGTCTCCTGAGAGCACGTCTTCTTAAGCATGCGGCATCGCAAACATGCGCCCACTTTTCGAAGCAAGCGCACTTCCTTACGGCGGTCAGGTGCAAATCTGCCACGGACCTTGGGCTTCGGCGCTTCCGCATTGTCAGAGAGTTGAGAGGGTCGTCCATTCGGATTCATCGCAAGTGGTCTGAGATGTTGGCTTGTAGACACCACATTTTGGGACGGTAGACCATCAGTTGTCCTTGAAGAAATCGGCACGAGATCTGTTGCATGGATAGGCTGCGTCGGAGTAGGAATGCTCAGTGGCTCCATTGGCTGTGTCCCAAGCATTGCTGGCCAGGGAAATCGCTGTCGACCCTGAGAGGGGAAGCCATTTTCATTAAGGCCTCCAAGAAGTGCGGAGGGGACATCATCCGACATGTCCAGGTCAGTAGGCATGATAGAGCCGTTATCAATTGTCGCATTTGCTGTAGCCGCAATCGTTGAGAGATCCTGCGGATGGGTGCTGACAAGTGGAAGACCAGCCAAACCACCTTGGGGAGCTGGAGGTAGATTGCCAATGTAATGGTAGAGTGACGGCAAGCTTTCGGGCGTACTAGTAGGGAAGGCTAAGCAGTCTAGATCAGTGTCCGCCTGGTAAACGACAAATCCAAGGGAGACGAACCATTATCTTGAACATCTGTACCATCACCATGCAGGAGAGGGTGAGCATAGGCGCCTGCCTGAAGCTGAGGATCAAGTGCGGCGTCCTCTTGTGGCCGTAGAATTTGGTCGTGTTGTCCATTTGGGTCTTCAGGGATGGAAACGGCGTTACCTCGTGCATTAATATCGACGCGACGAGAAGCTTCAGCTAGAACATTCAAGCCGTCGAAGTTTTGTCTACTCCGACTCAGGGGCAGCCCGACAGTGTTACCGCTCTTTTCTTGACCTGTCGCTCTTTCATCGTTCTCAGATGTCTCAGGGTTGAAGGTCGGGTCAATGTACGGGTGGACATCGGGGAGGACGAGATCGTGAAGCCGCAAGATGATTTTGGCGCGCTCAGAGTTAGAGATAGCTGGACACTTTTTGGTCAAATGGCTGACCATGGCTTCACTGCGCCCTCGTGAAAAGAGCTCCCCACATCGTCTACAGGTCTGTTGATAGCGGTTCGAGGCATCACCAATTTTGGATCCGCGTTCGAAGAACTCCGCCATCAGCGGGTTAGGACGTCGTCCCATGATTAGGGATTCTGCCGATCCTTGCCTGAGGATAGTCAGTACGGCCTGGCTGCATGATGTCGCGTGGATCAAGATCGACTCACGAGATTGGCTGATGACTGAGTGTCTCCGCTGGTGGGCAGAAAGCGGACGACGGGGTTGGACAGGCAGTGGACAATGATGCGACAAGGAGACAAGGTGGTATTGAATGGTGCCAGACCCAGCTCACAGCCTCGTTTAAGACGTGAGCTAGGACCAGTATAGAACATTCGAACACGACAACGGTGAGGAAGCGATGAAATTGTTTCGAATTGTTTACGAGGCTGTAGAGAACAGGAAATGTTGGCAGAATTTTTGCGGCTGTTTAGGCGGTGTTGGAAAAGCAGGGCGGTGAAGAATTTAGTCGCGGTGTCTATTGGCTGTCGGCTACTCCCGCGCCAAGCTCACGCCAAGGTCACGCTTGTGTGCATGTTCCGAAATCCTGGATTGTGGGAGGCACGTCATTTCTCTCCACTCCTGATCATGCGAAGAGGCATCAATGATGGGGACAAGACTGCCATGACTACCTGCCATCAAGTCTTGTTAGTTTTCACGCGTTCCTTTCCTCGGGTCGTCGGTATGGGACCCCTAAAATCTCAAAAATCCGCCTTTCATCATGCCCTTCGAGCAATGTCCCATCATTGATTCGTTGTCGCCCACGTCCCCTCATAACATCTCTGAATAGCCCATGCTGATTCAATCTCATCTGGTTTCGACTTGCCAGGAGTCTGATGCTCCGATTAAATAGGTCGTTCCCCGTGAAATAGATCAACGCTGCTCCAAGCTCAGTCCAAGGCACAAAGAGGAAGTCGATCCTCCGCCAAATATCGCAGCCCGGCAAGGCGGAAGCGCCATGCCACTTCGACGAATCGTCATTCGGATGATGGCCCCCAGCAAGTGCCACTTTCAAGAATCCTTGAGCCATCAAACCAGGAATAACATTATGCAGCATCAAGGTGCGGATATGGCTAATACCAGCCTCGGGCATCTGCTATCTCTGTTAGCCTTACCCGCGTGCCCGAAGTGCTCTTCTGAACAACAAGATGATTTGGAAAAAGGGGAACTTACAAAAATGATGCAGTCAATGTCCCCTGAATCTTTGCTGCCTCGTCTGTAAGAGCCTCCGATGATCAACTGAAAATTGGGATCTGCAGCCTTGAGTGCTTTCTCTACAATGGCGGCGTGCTGCTCGACCTCACCGCGAGGGATTCTCTGCTGGAAGTCTTCATAGTGCTCGATACCCACTCGCTGATTTGCAGTCAATTCGCCTTTCTGATAGACATCATCCAGGGATCGATAGCCTTGCGCGATCCACTTCTTTGCGGTCGTCTCGCCAGCGCCATATACACCCATGAAGAGTTTGATAATCTGGTTTCTTGGGTCATTCTGAGCATACTGAAGGCGTTTATACTTTCCGGTAGAGACAATCTCTTCGATCTGTACTGCAATGCTCTCGCCGATCCCTATAGCTCGAGCTTGATGACTGGTCCGAATCATCTGACCCTGCCTTCGAAGCTTTCCTATGGCTTGCCGGAAAGCCCTGGTCCGCCATTGATCTCCAGTCTGGTCATAAGAGGTTGCCATTTTTTGTAGCTTCTCCATGGTCTCAGCATTCGCGTTCTCGCTACGGCTTCCCCCATCATGGCGTTCCATACACAGAAACCCCGCGTTCTTCTTTGGAGCCTTTTCGTTGCTGCGCTTTTGCTCCAGCCTGGACCGGGATACGAGTCCATCACCATTCCCAGAGTCTTCGTCAGAGTCAAAGTCTGGTGGCGGATCGACGCCTTTTTGGACATCACGTATGGCAATCTCAAGGGCATCATGATCCACTTTGCCTCTGGGTTCGGGCTTCAGATCCTTGGTCTCACGTCCAGATACCCGCTGAAGCTTAATGCCGCTGCTTGTTTCACTGGCATTCGCGAGCGGTCTATCTACCTTTGAGCCGTGCGTGATTCTTCCATTGTTGATGATAGGTGGAACATGACCGCAGCCGGTCTCTGGCACGATATCTGAGCCTGCTACCTGGAAGCGGGCCCAGTGCGTTTCGACGAGAAACCCAGACCTCCAACACTCAAGAAGCCATCTCTGTCGCAGAAGAGTCGGACCCTTCTAAGTATATTGTCAGTACAGCAATTATGATACAAAGGTGTCACGAACTGGTATCTGCTTGGACGGGAAGCATTTGGCAACACCTGTCTTATCGAGATCGTCCTGAGTAACGATGATATGTGTGACCTCTTCCCAGAATTCATGTGCCCACTGAGCGCCAAATTGGATTGCTTGGTGGATGCGAATGCGCGTCCCCGAGTCATCATCATTATTGGGGACGAAAACTGTGCTATGTATCAGCCAATTGAAGGGCGCCCATCGGACATTTGAACACACAGAAAACAAGTCCTTTGAAGATCTGTTGATCAGGAGGGATGCTTCGCATCTTGACCCGTTTTGGTAGGGGTTTTAATCTGGGGAAGCCTGATCCTTTCATTCGTGCCTCTAAATTTGAAAGGTCTGTCACGTTTCCTTTCACCCGAGGGGCTTTCTTCGTCTTGGATGGGATTGGTGTCTGGGAGAATGACCCAGGGCGAAAAGGTTGCACTTCTGAGTCTTTCTCGTGCGGCAGAATTGTTTGTGACAACTTCCTCTTCTGTCCATGTCTGCCGTAGTCAATTGTTTTCCGGGTAGGATCAGTGCTAAGTGCTCCGGTATTGCACATGAGGGAAGTTCGTCTGGGGGGCTGCCATGGCAAATTCAGCTCCGTTTCGCTTTCTCCATCGTCAAGGCTGTCCAGGCGGTACAAGTCTTTGAAAAACTGATCTTTTTCTTTCTTCTCCTCGGAGGACAGCATCTTTGGAATATGTCGCTGGCGACATGGATTTGTCCTTCGTGGACGCAGGCGCTATATATATTATGGCCAGATGCGGCGCAGGAAGTGACAAGAACATGACTTCACAGTTGACTGCGTGACAGTGACAGCGGACACAATGGCGAATCAAGGCGGGGTGAGGTGGGACGAGCCGTTGTTCCTTTGTTCCTGTGCCCATTCACGGCGGGACACGATATCGACGCGCTGTCACATGATGCCAAGCCATGATTTTGTAGAGAGCTTGCAATTGCGCTGGAGCTCAATGCTGATCTACAAGTACACATCCATACTCAAGTCCACGAATTGCAGTGTGGGAGTGGTCAGCGGGGAGGTAAATTCGACCACAAGCAATTCGCAGAATGAGTCGCAAAGACGTCCTCAGTCTTTTCATCTCTCTCACATTGCGCCCCCATAGCCGTTGCGCTTTCCGACTTAAAAATGTGTCTCGCAGAGCCTCAACCTCGAATTCACCTACGACGGAGAAAGCCCGAATCGAAATCAAGAAACCCACCATTCCCCTCCACGTCGGCCTGGACCGAAACCCCGAAAATCTGTCTGCTATCTCGAGGATTCCAATTCCACGAGGAGTGACCGGCGAGAAATTCACCCCCTCGGCCCTAGCCCGCCCACTCGGTCTCGAACACCCCCCACGACCAGGCCAAAACAGTCCCATTGACAATCGCACTCTCCGCGAAAGACACGAAGACTTCACAAGCTACGAGAAGGCTCTCGAGCGGCGGCGGGTATACTTGCGGACATTCTTCCGACCTTATTTTCAAGAATGGCGACGAGTTGATCATTTCAAGGGAAAGAGTTTTGTCTCAAATCCTCGTTTATTCAAGCGCGAAAAGGCTCTTTATTTCCCCAATATTTGGGGCCGAACACTGGCCGCCGAAGGTGACGGACCTCAAGGAGGACGAGACACTACTCCGATCCTTATGGGCAAGGTCTCCGTTATAGCTATGCAGTCGGGCCACTGGGCAGAAGAACAAGTTGACACCTTCATCAGTCTCAAAAGTAATCCGGAACTGAACAAAATGATGGAAGAAAGCAACGGCCGACTGCAGCGGGTGGATATCAACCTCCAGGGCGACTGGGTTCGTGCTCTGCTCGTAAAGATGTTTAGCAAACGTTTGAGGCAGACCATCCCAGAAGAACGTTGGAACAAGTATTTCATGATCAAATTGCCTCGCGATATTCGACGCGGACTCAATGATGAGGTGCGCGACGCGATCGGTCTACTCAACTCTCAAGTTGGATATGTATATCTGGTGGACTCGAGCTGCAAAATCCGATGGGCAGGGAGTGGTCATGCCTGGGAGGGTGAAGTGGAAGGTCTGAATGCTGCAGTTCGGAGACTGCTTCAAGAAGAACAAAATTTGGGACAGACAGCCTCCCAAACAACATCAAATCGCCCCAAGTCGGTTATCCCAAAACCAAGAGTCCCAACGCCCGAGATCGATAGGTCGACAGCTACTATGAACAAGGGTAATGCGAAACCTTCAGCCATCACAACCTGATTCTAACACCAAAGGCGATCGCCACCGAAAACCTCCTTGATTCGTCATAACATTCATACATTGCTTGCGTTACTGCTCGCAATTTTCCGGTCTCATCCTAAATTGTTTGCAAGAACATCAGCACTTTCGTCGCTCCATGGGACGCGCAGGTGATGCGACACTACCCTACGAAGACTCGTAAGGTTGATACTTACCCACACTTCGGACACGGCTGATCTGCCTCAGCCCCATCAAGGATCTCATGCTGAACCTTGCATTTCTTCAGATCCATCCCTTTGACTCCGCCGGTTCTTGGAGGGAATTTGTTACGATTTGAGGCTTTGTCGCACATGGAGTGGACGTAGTAGGGTGCTGGCCTGGCTGTGCCGGGACAGCAGCTGAAGTGGTAGGTGTAGTATATGCACATGTCGTTCGAGAAATCTGTCCGGGAATGGAAATTTGGAAGGAAGCGATTGGGAGACGGCCAGAGATATTTTCGGTGCTTTTTGTGGGGGGCAAGAGGTTGAAAAGATTGGGGAGAATCGCGACAGGTTGATTCGCTAGGTGATCCGGTGAGCGTTGACAACGATTGCAACACCTATCGCCCTGTGCCTTCAAAATATGTTTGGAAAAGATGAATCGGCTTCTTGTTGTCGTTGGGGGTCTGAACAGGTGGTTTCCCGTCTGAGGTTGATTCTGAGGTTGACTCTTCGGCTGAGAAGGACTGAAGAGATTGATCTTCCATATCCTTTAAGGCGATGGTTTGCTCTCGCCGTGCGGATTGCCCTTCCGCGTCGACTTTGTCTCACAGATTTCGGCGCACGCCTTTGCCCATTGTTCTCTTGTGACAGCCCGCAGATTCAAATGCAGAAATTCCGTGGTGGCTTCTGGCAAGGACGGCTGCAGCCACAAAGACAGTCGAGCGTTTTGTTGCTTTTTTTTCTGTTCCCTTTGTTATGACGTTGACGGTGGACCAAGTCCAGACCACACAATGGAGAACGGGTCTGCACTTCCGCACCGAAGTATTCTCACAAATGGGCGGACAGAAAGAGCAAGCAATATGTCGTGATGTCAACAGTGTCGCCCCAAGACGAGCAAAGGCAAATATGTGGCGGCAAATGGATTGATTTTCGGCGAGGCGAATCAAGAAGTTCTAATAACTGCAGAATTGAGCAGGATGCTCGGCTTGTTTCCAGGGCCAAGATGGAAGGGGGAAACCACCCGAATAAAGGGTGTATTGAATAGATTGGTTAAGGTGGACAGGATCTTCGTCCAAAAAAGATGGTAGAACGTCCCGGTCCACTCGGAAAAAGGTGAATTGGATTATTCTTGTTTTATTTTTTCAAGCCAATCGCCAGATATAAGAGTAATTACTCCACTGCTACAAGGGCCATTGACGAGAATAGAGGGAGGGGGGCAAAAAAGCACAGATGCAAGGGCATAAGAAGAGGGACACACACATGGAGAGAGAGAGAGAACGAGAGAGAAAAAACTCTTACATGAAGAGAAGTGTAGCTTGATCAGATCCCAACCGTCTGCGGATTCGCCTCCTCGCCTTGTTTTGTTCTCCTTGTCCCAGTCGTAGTAGTAGTTATCACATATCTACTCCGTGCCTATGTATGTACTGTAGACCCAGCAGAGATTGATCGAACACCATACATAATATGTATTTGATCTCCGCGTCTTCTTTCGGCCCTTCTCCCCCTTCCCGGCGCAGGGAGTATTGTTCGACCATGAGTCCCATCTGCGCCCAGCATACAATAACGCATACATACAGGACATCCACTCACCCATAGGTGCCTAGGTAGGTAAGCAGGGCCTCAACAAGCGGCCATTCGTACCTAAAGTACATACATACCTCCATACTTCCAGGGAACCTTAGCTTCTTTTCCCCCCTCCCCACCGCATCGCTCGCCGGCTGCAGGGACGTCAAGGTTTGTGCAACTGGGCACCTACTTGTAGCTAGTCTGTCTTTCAGTCAGGACGCAGTAGGAGGCGATCCGGGAGAGCGGGATTTATTGCCTCACCCCCTTCTGGCCCTCGAGTCAACTGCCACTCACTGCCAATAAGTTTACATTGATGTGGGAAAAGGGCTCTTCCCTACCCATTCTAGGTCCGTCTCCCCGGGGGATCAAGCAGGTTGTCATAATACATACTGTAGGTCATTCTTTCTTTCCGACGGCACGAGGCACTAACGTTCATGATCCAAAGGAGGGAAAAAGCTGGACGGGAAATATTCTTTGATCGTTCGTTCTTGCAACTCTCATGCTACTCTCCCTACGTATCTCTCCCCCCAAAGGTCCTCAGTTCAGCCGGAATGTTTAACCCCCCTTCCGTGTTCGCTCTCGCTCGCATCTATTATCCCCAGGGCCTAGCGTCTGCCAATAGAATATTCCGGAGTGCGACTCACAGCATAACCATATGATCTCCTCTCCACGAGAGAGAAGCCGTACCTGTGTTCCTGTTCTTTTTTTCCCGACGGGTTCTCCTACAGGGTACCCTAACCTGATTCTTCCAAACGGGATGCGTGCGGGAAGCTCGTTCCCATGCATGTAAAGTATGTATGTGGTGGCACGGAGTCAGTCTAGTCAATCCCCCCACAGCAAGTCCCAAAGTATGCATGTAGTACGCCGGCGGGAAGTATGTACATACACAGGCTGCTGTGAATCCGCACGTGTGCTCGTTAAATCATCATGGGACGATTGACCGAGCCCATGGGAAACCGCCGCCTCCGTTCGCCATTGTGAAACCCTACCTAGACCTGTGCTTACGAGTACAAGTGCGGGAAGGGAAGGCAAGGCAAGGGAGGGAGGGGAGGGGGGAGCTTCGTATCTAGCATCCCCATGCGCGCCCTTCGTATAGGGATGTCCAGCGGTCTTCTCATTCGTGCGGGAAGTCGCCGGGACAAAGCGAACAGAGGAGCAAAAGGCCTTGCGAGTCGACAAGCAAGCCGTCGAAATCAAACACAATGTCTCCCTCAGAGGTGGGAAACGTCATCGGATAGTATCTGGTTAGGTGTGCCTAGGTGGGAAGAATTTGTGTCTATTCCGGGAACCGCCAAATGGGCGAGCGTGCGGCGGGCGACGCAAGTAGTAGTCGTATCACCCAACGCCCTTCCCTCTCTGATAGCCCAACATGGATAGTTAACAAAGAACCTGGTGGTGGTGATGGTGCACGAACGCGCGTCGTCGATTCCTCATCCAACGTTCCATGATACCCATGCCGTGAATTGCATCTTTCTTGTCGATTGGGGGACTCCTCATGGAACAGGCGTGGGTTCACGAGTGAAACCTATCCTGATACCACCGAGATCGAGAGGGGGAGAGAAACCTTCGTCATTATTTTTTGGGGGAAACACACACCCTTGGGAAAGGACAGAACGGGCAAGTCAAGAAAATCCCAAGCCTTGAGCAGAAAATTTTCGCGGAGGAGCAAGGAAAACAAGATAAGACGAGACAAGACCAGCCCAGCTCCAAGCAAGGGAACTTCCAAGGTCGCATCGGGGACGATTAAGTTGGGAAAGGAAAAGCTCGAGATTGGATGGGAAAAAAAGGTAAGACCCAAAACCAGACTCGATGTGAGTGGTGATGCGGGTGCTCCCAGAGAGAATACGACTGCTGGGCGACGGGGCGCCGTGTTATCCGGCCAGGACAAAGTCTGCCTGCACATTCTCTCTGTTCGTGTTGCAAGGCTCCATATTTAATGAACGGCCAAGGCTGAGAATGTCAGGGTGAGAAGAGAAATCTCCCGCGATTCGGGGCCTGTCGTTCCAGTATTATTAGCGATTGGTCGACTCTCACCTTACAGTACATCCGTTCTTGGACCAGCCCACCTGTAAGGGAACATCTCGTGAGAATTCTGACGTTTGGCCTCTCTCTTTGTGCCTGTCTAGGAAAGAGGTCTTGGTGGAATGCTTTAATATGTGCATGTAGTATGTATGGTACAAGGCAATGAGATTTCGATTCAAGAGCCCTAGGCAGGAGACACACAATTTGTGTGTTGCGTTGAATAACCCTATACGCCGTATGTCGAAACCAGCATTTCCCAATCCATCTCCACAGCGCCGATAGACCTGACAGACCTTCGAAAATTGTGTTGCTAGCTTTGCTCGCCGATCAGGCCCATGACCAGTACTGTTACAAGAACATGATGAAACTCCCCCCTGCCGATATTCTCTCAGTCAGGATAAAATGATCAAGACACATGCAGCTTTCTGATGTCAGCTCATATGTCACAGTCTGATGAAATCCTGGCTCTGCTGCGGGCTCGAGCCGTTTTGGGAAGTGCAAAACCATTTCGATGTATTCTCATCTCTGGATTCTTGTATGCAGTTTACACTGCGCCGGAAGATGGTGTCACTTGGGTTTCGTATGTGCATGGGGACACAGGTCTTTCAGCTGTTGCCCACATTCGATGCACGACCTACTGCCTCTTCCGTTCATTACATCATGAGTGCTAGCCACCGCTCGACGGATCTTCTCCAGCAATGCTCTTGAGAATTGAGCTATACTGGAAAAGTAGGCTCTCACGGCCCATCAGCGTCAACGGCGGCGGTAAGGGAAATGGGTGAGCTGGATGCCTGGAGGAAACCCTGAATCGTGGGCATTGGTGATGGAATCCCGGAACTCGAATGAGTTTGCAGCCACTGGATCTTTTTCCTCCCATATCTGACCGGTAGTGGTGCTCTCTCTGTTTTGTGCTCCTAGCTGAAATACAGCAGCATCAGGACACAGAATGCGATGAAACTCCCCAGAATGATTCCGTCTCTCCGCCGTTTCGACCCAATCCGCTGAATCAGTCCGTTCACGCCAGGAATTTGGGCCGCGGCGCCGGTAATGCGTCGATTGATGCTTGCCAGAGTCTCTCTCTGAATGCCAAAATTCTCGTTGATGGCGTATGCCTGGGACAACACGCCGTCAATGACATTGTGGCTTTGGTCTAGTCGAGTCCGCTCCTGGAGCATGTACTCGGCCTCGGCCTCGGCCGGGTTAGACGATCGGAATGCGTCAATGTCGGAGCGCACGTTCGCGAGGAGGTGTTGCCGGTCACGGGCTTCCGAAATGGAGCTTTTGAGGCGACGAAGTTCCTGGCGGTGTTCACCCAGGACTTCGCGGTGGCGCGAGAGATTGTTCTGTTTCAAGCTGGATGTGCTCAGGACACTCTCGGAGTCGAGGAGGCGTGCGAGTTGCGAGACCAATCCTTCACGCTATACGTGACAGACTGTTAGAATGAATATTTTGCACACGCAAAGGACGGTGACCAGCTCCCACCTTTTCCAACAGCTCCTGTATTTCGGCTTCGTTCCTTTGTTCATCCTCGGACGGTTTGGGGGGGAGATTGGGGGTCGAGGCATATTGTGAATAGGTGTGAAATAGAGCTTCGGTCTACCAAGTTTAGTCGGCCACAGGGTATATCTCTTGAGGTAATAGAGCCTACGCACCTGGCTTTCCAGCGTCCTGATCTGTTGACGAAGTTGAGCCCATCCCGTCGTTGTCGCCATTGCAGTATCGTCGGCTACGGAGGGGACAGGGAACAACGTTTGGTCTGCTGTCAACTATAGCCGTGGATACATCACTAGACTTATCGTTCCCACGTTGCTCATGAAGGGCCAAAATTTCAACGTGAATTATGGGTTGATCTCGTCGTTGCAGGAAAGTCATCGGCGCTCGAAGTTTCCCACCTTGTCCTGACCACGCCAGCGCATGCGGAACTGCAAGGCGCGAGTGGATCCCGCCAGGAGTCCAGTCACGTGATCATCAAATCTTGGCAGAAATCGGGGTTTGCACACAACAATTTTCCCAGCCTGCGACCCGACAACGACATCGAAATCTACACAGACGCTCCTCAACCAAACCTCGACATCGACAATTCCACTTACCAGCCAAGATGGTGCGCATTCCTCCATTCTTCCGTTTATCCTCGCCCACGTTATATATGCTGACAAGATCTGACCCAGTCGACCAACGCCAAAGTCAAACCCGGCCAGCTCTGGGGCAAGTCCAAGGACGACCTGAAGAAACAACTCGACGAGCTCAAGACCGAGCTAGGTCAATTGCGCGTGCAGAAGATCGCCGGCGGCGCCTCGTCGAAATTGACAAGAATGTATGCCTCCCCCGAACACCGTTGGAAAAATAACCATGGCCCCCCTTCGATCTCGAAAAAGTAACAAATTGGCATTGGGGAAGTTGTGAGAACGAGAATACTGATGACATGGACTTTACAATAGACATGACCTCCGCAAATCTATCGCCCGCGTCCTGACCGTCATCAACGCCAACCAGCGCCACCAACTCCGTCTGTTCTACGCCAAGAAGAAGTACCTGCCCCTCGATCTACGACCCAAGTTGACCCGCGCCATTCGCCGTCGGCTGTCGAAGAAGGATGCCAGCAGGGTCACAGAGAAGCAGAAGAAGAGACAGACGCACTTCCCCGCCCGGAAGTATGCTGTCAAGGCGGAGTAAGGGCAAAGGTTCCGCAACAGGAGAGGAGAAGTGAGTGTGTGTGTGTGTCCAACGGCCAGGGTTGAAAATGTGACCACCGGAGGGAGTGAGTCGCGTAGGAAATAAAAAAGTGATGGTGGTCTGTGATTCGAAGATTTGGCGAGGCGGGAGGAAAGTCTCCCAGCTCCGGGTTATGAGCTTCATCTTCAGCAGTCCCATGGGATGTAAGACATCACAACGAAATGGCAGACATAGCCTGTTTCATGCGGCGCCGCGAGGACAATGACAAGACACGAGCCCAATATTCATTGAAGAACGGTTTACACAAACTCATCCATTCGGTGTTTTTGGTATCCAACTGGGCACGTTAGACTGTGCGCCTCCCCTCAAAGTTGCCCTGCAAAACTTCTGCCGCTCATTTGTGGACCTCATCCCAAGGCTTAAGCACCCAGCCTCCATCGCAAACACATCTCATGAGTAGCATAGCAACCTGCCGAGGCCACTCCCTAGGTGGTACGTTGACATCCTCACTATAACTCCCACATCTCAAGCACTTCCTGATCATCAGTTGCCCTGACCCGTTGGGCTCTGCGACGCCCTTCAGAATTGGCCTCTTTCGATGTACATCGTAGATGACCTCTTTCTCATCGGGCTCTCCATCACTGTTCCGTCGGCCCAGGATGTCGTGATTTAAGAAGATGTGTTCCAGATCGACGTGGTCAATGAATAGCTTGGCTCGATCGATTAACATCTTGGCTCGAAGTCCCTGGGGGCTATTGAATAGCGTGTTGAGCAGCACCTTGATCGTTCCTTGGTACGACTCATGCACAATCCCCGTAGCCATCATCTCGAGCTGGCGTACAGCTGTGGCAGCCATGTCCCTGTCCACGTCACCGACGGCGGACCATCTGTATTCAAGAAGTGCCTCCATGGCTTGGAACGACAGACCTTTCCCCGATGTTTGCTGCTGAATACATTGTAGCACTTGCAAATGGTGATTGGATTTCGGTTCTGTGTTCTTCGCGTACGCTCTGACGGCTCTGACGAACGCGATGAGAAAGATGCGCGAAGGGTGACAATTCAACAGCAACGCGACCAGGCCCTGTCTGCCGTCGCCGTGAGAATCGCCCGCTCTGCCGGGATCTTTCTCATCGAACATCTCAGGGTTCGTCTCTCGATCGCCCACCTCTAAAATAGTGCTAATGATAAATCTCATCAGTGACAAGCCCCATCGAAGATTCGAGCAGAGCAGATCGGTCAAGTCTTGGCTCATGACGAGTTGAATATTCTGCACGTCCCTCATAGTAACGAAAAGTAGGGTTGCAGTCTGTCGAATATTGTTCACCAACCAAGCCCATTGTGCACTGAGTGACCAGCAGCCATGTCTCCGATCGGTGGAGGCGATGGAGGGGAGATGGGGGCAGTTCGCTGCGAGACTTGCATGGTAAGACAGGACTCTTCCAATCACCGTTTTGTGAATAAATTTTTCGAGTTCCGAGCCATCGGTCCTTTCGTTTACAAAGTCATTGTCGCGAAAGAGCGTGCGATAGACGGTCGAAATCACGGTGGGGATGAGTTCGGTCGGAACAGACTGTGAGACACACATCAGGATGTCGTCAATGGTGGCATTGGACCAGCACGCTCGTGCAAAGGTGAGATTCAGGGCTGCAAGAGCCACGTCAACATTTGGATCTAGCGGCTGCAGTGATTGAGGCTGTCCCAGTTGGTATTCCATGGCAACAAGTTGCGTCTTCCCGTCCAGCGTCAGATCTGCTCTCACACAGGCATTGGGAGAGAAAACCGGTGTCAGAATGACTTGAGCATAAGGAAATGCAAATCCAGATTGAGACATGGATGCGGTCTCCTGTACCAATGCGGTGTATGACATAGGTGACAAGTCTTCAGAGCTTAAGAAATCCGTGCGATTTTCCAGTGTCGTGATCGCAAACGCTTGAACACCGTCCACATGGTGGATTGTCGTGATGACCTGTTCTTCTTTATCTGGTTGTTTCTGAAGGGTGTAGCCAGGTTTGGGTACCGTCGCTCCAACACCAGTGGACGGCAGGGCATCAAACAGTGGGTGCAATCTCTGCTCAACAGGGGTAACCGACCATCTTTTGACCACGCTCGATACCAAGAAGCCCGAGTCTGTTATATTGACAGTTCTATTGACGCCAGACGATATCGCGAGAATCGTGGGGGGTATCTGGACCGCTTTCTCGACATCCGAAGTGCGCACCACTTCTAGATGGCTAAGTAGCCACGAATCCGGGTCGTAGGTATCAGCAAGGGTCGGAGACCCAGAGGGTTGCGAGGAGACTTTGCTTGAAATTGATTCGAGAGTCAAGACCGGCAAGCCTTCGATAGCCTGCTTGACCTCACTCCAGTCTATCGAGAGGAAGTAAACCGAGATGACTTTTTGGAAAGAGTGCAGAGTGATCAACATCTTTCCTTCCACCGTGGGGGCAAAGCTGGCATGGCTGTAAAGGATGTCGTCTGGTGGAGACAACTGCTTAGTTACCTTGGAATACTGCCCGTCACCTCTTTGGAAGCAAAGTGTGAACAGGCCATTGCGGTGAACGATCGCAACGGCACGATGCCAATAGGGACCAAGCGGTTTCGCTCTTGCATTGGCATGCTGCCACCGCGTGTCACCCTTAAGTGCATGGGTAACCACATTTCTGGGTCTTTCTTGTCGATCCTGATTCAGCCATGTCATCCCAACCGGTTGGGAATACTCGTCCCCCTCGTCCAGCGCCCCTTGACGAGCAAGACTCAAACGATTGATGGCGAGGACAGAGTTGTGGTAAATCCATATCCGTCCCTTGACATCCACCACTGCAAGTTCACCTCCATTCGGGCTCCAGGCTAGACTGGTGGCGTCTTCGAAGAGGGTCGTTAAGGGGTGTCTTTCGTGCAGACCCCAGGATTTTGATTCGTAGTTGTAGCGAATGCATTCCAGATACACCGTGGATCCATCATCGGATATGCTGGCAAGGTGGCCATGTCTCGACCATGCAATGCGTTCTAGACAGCCACAATACCATCGACGCGAGAGCTTGTCGACGACAGCCTGGTTTTGAGGGAGAGTGACACTAGAGACAGCGTTGAGATCGGCGGTCGCATCGATCTGTTGAATTTGTTGCTGGAGCGAATTTTGATCGAAGAAAGATTCAGAAGCAAAATCGTCTGGCTGATCTTGATCCATCTGGTCCATAAGTCTGTGATACTGCTGGATCCTTGCGTATAATCAGTCCATCAGATGCCCCATCGACGGAGAATAGTTTTCTATAAGAAATCACTGCTTCTTCAGCGAGCTGTAAATAGGAGGAATAAGTGAAGCACACCCAGCTCAGAGTGTCAGGCCATGGTACCCTCACTGAACACGACTCAGCCAAGTATAAAGCTAGACACGAAAGAGCTGATTTGCAAAAGGAAGGTATCTTCACACGGGACTTGATAAAAAACGGGGCGAGCAAATCGTATGCCGCGAGGGTCTTTTTCACGCGAAAGGCTGAAACGGTGATGCCAGTTATCTTGGTGGCTGCAAAAGCAGCAATGGAGAAGTTTGGGACACTTGGGCGCCTACTTGCACACCAGCCACAAGCCACAGGGGCATTCTGGGGGCGTCTCTCTAGGCTAGTGACTCGTGAGGCCTAGTGACCGTAGCCGCGGCAACAGGGACCGTTGGATCTTACGGTGGCAGTGTCGCCGATGGGCTCTTTTCAGTCTGATACGACAGCATGCCAAAAACGAAGATTGAAAACAGACAGACACCCGTCAGAAAGTGCAACGTTTCCTGGTCATTGTGCTATAGGCTGCATCACTCTCAGATCTGAGACTCTGGGGAGCTGTACAATGAGGTAGTGAAAATGCGGTGTTCGGGCAATCGAGGAAACAAGCGCCCTCGCACCCCTCGCACCCTAGCACCCACCGTAAATCTGTCAGGCACTGATCGGCCCCCCCAAGACACCGCTCCCAGCCAATCGCTGACGGGCGGTGCAGCCCCCGTGCCCCCCCAGGCCCTTCATTCCCCTTAGCTGTCCCGTTTGTTGTTGTGCAGCTGCAAGTAAGTCAGTCAAACTGAGTTTGGGCCACATCCTGGGCGTCGGGCATCTGTCAGGTTCCTGCTGCAAACAGCCACGAGCCGCTGACGCTTGCTCTCTCGTCTCTCCGCCCGTCTCTCCCGCTTGTTCGCTGTCCATGCCCCGGTTCAGTTTCGTCTCAACTACTACGCCCCCCCCGGCCAGCCTCACTATCCAACTCCCAGACCGCACCCTTCCCCTCGACCTCTCAGCTCACCCTCGTGCCTCTACCGTCTATGACACACTCCTTTGTGTATTCGCTCTTTCCAGAGTCCAGGACTCCGGTTGGTTTTGTCTTACAAAGGAAAGAAAGAAGCCCTCATATTGTGAAAGAGTCGCTCCTTGCAGAAGTCATGCGATAAAATTGCTCGTTAACCCGTGCGACCAACACACCTTCGAACCGCCATGGACGCTGGGGATATTTCAGATCTGTCGTCCCCCTTAAGTTCCCCTCCCAGTTCGCCTCTCAGTTCCCCTCCGGAATCGCCAAAACTCCCTGAGGGCTTTCAGGTTCTCACCCCTCCTCCCTCACAGCATGCGGGCGAAGAAATGCCTCGTTCACGAAAGCGCCGGAAGATCGAGCCAAAGATCCGCACCACCCAATACCTGGATCTCACCTCAGACACTGCGCAATCCGAGTACGATCGCTCGGAAGCCTTAGACACTCTTCTCAAGGCCTTGCGAAACAGGAGAAAGATTGTTGTTATTGCAGGGGCTGGTATATCTGTCTCGGCCGGCATACCGGATTTCAGATCTTCCCATGGACTTTTCAAGAGCTTGAGAGGGGAACACAAGTTGAAAAGCTCGGGCAAGATGCTCTTTGATGCTTCTGTCTACAAAGATGACCATTCGACCTCGAGTTTCCATGACATGGTGCGCAAGCTCTCCAGGATGTCTGCCAATGCCAAGCCTACACTCTTTCACCGTTTCCTCGCTAGACTCGCCGTCGAGGGTCGATTGTTGCGACTATATACACAGAATGTCGACTGTCTAGAGACGTCACTGCCACCGCTGGCCACTCAAGTACCTCTCAACCACAAAGCGCCCTGGCCAAAGACGGTCCAGCTACACGGAGGCCTCGAGAAAATGATGTGCCAGAAATGCAGACATATCTCCGATTTTCAACCGAATCTGTTTGATGGCGCCGCTCCTCCTCTTTGCCCCCAATGTGTCGCGGCAGATGCGTTGAGGACGGCTCATGCGGGGAAGCGAAGTCACGGCGTGGGCAGATTGCGTCCTAGAATTGTGCTCTATAATGAGCATAACCCTGACGATGAGGCGATTGGCGCGGTTACCACAGCAGATTTTCGAACGAGACCAGATGCGGTCATTGTCGTTGGCACGAGCATGAAGATTCCCGCTGTGCGACGCATCGTCCATGAGATGTGCCAAATTGTCAGAGACCGGCGGGAAGGGACTACAGTGTGGATTAATCGAGATCCCGTACCCCCCGGAAAGGATCTTGAAAACTGTTGGGATCTCGTTGTCAGAGGCGACAGTGACGAAGTGGCGCGATTGGCATGCTTAAAAGAATGGGATGATCCCAGCCAGGACGTGGCCGAGAGTTATACAGAGGCTGAGCTTGAAAGAGTCACGTCTAGTCAGGGCGAGATTCAAGTGGTAATACCATCGAGTCACCAGAAAAATAAGTGCGCAGCCCCGGGTCATCCGCCGTCAGCGGATCTCCATACGATGACTCCTCCACGAAGTCAGAACGGAGATGCGTTATCACGAACAAAAACAGAAAACGGGGTCAAATCTTCAGCGTCTTCGCCGATCCGAATCAAACTCCACGTTACCGAGCGAAGCAGACAGGCCGCGGTCAAAAATGCAGCCAGTTCTGGCAAGTCCATTGCTGAACTTCTTCGCGGGAAAGAGAACAAAGACAAAGCGGTAAAATCCAAGACTTCTCTGAACAAGAAACCCAGGGTTACCAAGATCAGGGCTTCTACGAATCCTCGACAGCAAGGAATCCTCTCTGGAAAGATCACCAAACCCGTTGTTGTGATCAATAACACGGCATATAAAAAGCCTTTACCGGAACCATTGTCGCCGCGTCGCGACGCCAACCGCACATTTTTTGCGCCGCACAAATCGGAATACTCAAGCGTGGAGGTGAGCCCGGCGCCAGAAACGCCTCCTTCGACTTCGTCGCGCGAAGAGTGGCGAAATGTCGAGACGGTGTCCCCTTCGGGGCGGATACCGTCGGATATGATTAAGTTATTGAATTAGATTATGTGCAGTATTTGGTACATAAAAATTCTCACCTGCACACGTGCATTTTAGTGATTTCAGGACTCACTTGTGGCGTTTGGGTTTGCATAATGCTTTTAAAAGGTCATGGGCAGCATGAGGCATGGGTGAGAAGGCCTGCGGGTGTCGCCTATTAACGAGTTCATCAACGGAAAACGGAACCGAAATACAATCTCTTTCTGCCGTGGACGATACCATGGCGCCATGTTGCAGCAAAAGGCTCGACAAGCTGGCTTTCTGTTGGAGACAGAGACAACTGGGAGCGAAGGGCAAAACGCCCTCGGCTTTGGGATACAGGGTACATATACGATTCAATCGCATTTACATCGGCACATCACTTCAGCAGACCAAATGCTAGAAGCAGGGTGACTGCTTGGTCCGGCCTTGCCCTAATGACACCAGATTATCTGAGGGAACACATGGCATCAGGATGAGGGGCACAGAGAGCAAGCATAATGTATAGAGCAGTACTGTCGGTCCGGGCTCGCAAAGCACCATCTTCGAGGTGCTCACTATGCTGCATTTCGAAATATCAAGTATTCGAGAAATGTTCACATATGTCTTGTTTTCTGTCTCTACAGCAATTTCTATGGTTACTCTCCAGGAGGTATGCAAAAAATGAGGACAAGCCCTCGTCTTTTACATACCTACCTACATGAATCTCAGGTAGGTACCTGGGTCTCGAGTCCATCTACGCCACCATCATTGCCCCATGTCTCCCATAATGTGCCCAAGGGAGACGAGATTACGAACTGTTTGTTGGTCATGATCACCAAAAGTTTCATATTGTTGTTGTAACGTAGCGAGAACTAACTAGCTTATCAGTGCCTCTGAGGGATGATTAGCATATCAAACAAACCCTTGGGACTTAATTAGAGATCAACAAGGACGGATGGATGGATCGATGATACATACGTAACAATGACTTTTGTGCAATGCGTAGTTCCTGCTATGTACAGTATGTATTGCGGTATGTGAAAGCCGACAGGTGCACAATAGACACATAAATACAGAAGAAAATAAAGGCAGGTAGGTACATGGCATCTACAGAACGCCACGCCACGCCATCCATCCATCCATCCATCCAACCTGCACCGGCAGAATCGTCAACGCCAACAATTGCTCCGATCAAAACAATGACAAGGTGAGCATTATCAACGTGGTCATTCATCCATCACTTTTCTTCGCACTTGCGGGATCAAACCCCAAAGAACCACCCTTTTCAAAGCGCCTGTCCATACCCGTATCCATACGCATCGTAATCCATCCCCGGCCTTGCGGTCGAAGAGCCCACAATGTCACTCGCCCGCAGTCTGCGGCCCCTCCCGACTCCCATGCCCACGCCTGAATCGCGATTGCTCATGTACTCCCTGCTGTTGCGGGGGCTGCCGGTGCTGGCACGCTGCCACCCTGCCGGCATGCCGTCGCTCATCCGCCACGGTGAGTCGTCGCTTTCCATCGTGGCATCGGCGTCTTCGGAAACGGGGAGCAGCGATGCGGTCTGCGGCTGGTGCCCCAACGGTCCGGATGTGGCTGCCAGGTCATACTCGTTGGTGCTTTTACCGCCTGGAATGTCGAGCGGAGGATAGCTCTTGTCGTTGATGTACACTCTGTCGGGATGAGTGAGGTTGCCGGCATTCTGGCCGGGGAAGGCTTCGTCTCGTCCTGCCTTGGAGGTGCTGGATGAGATCGGGAATGGGGGGTACGCCCCGTAGTCATCGGCGACCGGATCGTAGGAGAATGAGAATCGTGCCGCATCTCTGCTGAGACTTCGAGACCGGCTTCGTGGAGGCGAGTGGCTCGGGTCGCGACGGACTTCGCTGGACAGCGGGGACGGAACGGCAGGGCGGTTGGCGTAGTTGAAGGCGGCAGCACCAGGGAGACCAGACCCAACCGCACTGTTGCGTCGAGAGCGAGGAGGCGGCGTTGCAGAAACCCCATACAAGTCTTGTTCCCCTGCAACGCCGGCGTCATATGAGTCCTGGTGGTCAACATCCCTATAGGCGTGACCGTTTCTATACTCCCTGGATGTCCTCCTGCCGGTGTCAAACCCTTCGCTAGGTATGGCTATCGGCTGTCGACTGCGTTGCTTGCTACTGCTGCTCCGACTTCGGGAACGATGGTGGTCGTGATTATCACGATGGCCCAGAGCTGCGCTGGCAACAAGTCCTGCTGTGGCAGCTCCGATCCCATGGTGATCATGCCCAGGGACTTCGCCGTGAGGAGCATACTCTTGATCGAACACCGCGTTTGCTCTCGCTGGATCAACGCTAAAGCTTCGAGCGCTCTCGCCGCTGCTTCTCGTCGGGAATGCTGTAAGACCGGCGGCTTCGGCGGCAGGATCAATGGGAGAGACGGGAGAGTAAGGCCATGGTTCGCTGTTGTTGGCATAGTCTACGGGGACGGGCTTTCGGTTGATTCGTGCCGGGACAGGTTGGTCGTGCGCCGGAAGCGTGTTCACTGCCGGCGCCTTCTCATCTCGGTGTTCGTTATGATGATGCATGAGACCAGCTCCAGCTGCTGCCGCGGCGATCCCAGCAGCAATTCCGCCCACATGATGCGTGCTATAGCTAGAAGAAACGCGGTCAGGACAGGATGGTCAGCCGGCCTCTTTCACAGAGGGGTCATCCCCTGGAACCATGCCGTCAGTCAGACCAGGTCGAGAATTGGGAGCTGTGCGTCTGGGTGGTGGAGGGACGGGAACAAAAGGATTTTCGTATCCTTGAAAATTGCGAAAGGCCGGGTGTTCGGACATGAGAGGTGCAGCTCCGGCAATGCCTGGGTCACGATGTAGCGACCCTTGACTCGCAGATATGTCCGATGGTCGGTTCACCCTCCAGCTATCAACTTCGTCGTCGCCTGGGGAGAGGGCGGAATGGCGAGGTGAAGAACTAAGCCGTCGGCGTTTGAAGCAGAGGACCAAGGCTAGGATGAAGAGGCCAAGTGCAAGAGCGCCGAGGACACAGCCAAGGATGATAGCCAGATCGGAATTGTGTCTGGATTTTGTCAAGAATGGCGTGCTTGTTCCACTGCCGGTAGCTGCCCCTAGTACTGACGACGTCCCTATTATCGGAGCTGACGGCGTTAGAGCAGATGTGGCGGAAGATGAGCCGCGCGAAGAAGCCAAGGGCCCGGTATTTGACGTGCTTGAAGACGTGATCGCAAAGGCAGCAGACGATGAGGTTGTTAAGGTCACGGAGGAAGATGAGGGTGAAGAAGTCGGTGTGAAAATGAACGATGCAGATGAGGTCAACGGGGTATCCGAAAAACTTGAATCATCGCTCGACGTCGAGTCATATGGTGTTGCGGTATCTTGTACATTGGTGGTCGGTGAGGCCCCGGCTGGGGAGGAGTTTGTCGTTGCTGAAATTGCGGACCCGGCTGCCACTGAAACCGCCGAAGCAGCGGAGGACAGAAGCGAATTGACTTCCGTATAGACTGAAAACGCCTCGGAAACAATCACGCTGAAAGGATCGATCGTTTGTTGGGTTGAAATGAGAGTGAAGGAAGCTGCAGCGAGCAGCAGCGAAACCGAAAATGCCTTCATATTGCCAACAGCAATCGCCGGGCGTTTTGTGCAGATATCACTGAGACATGAGTGTACTCATTGCAGGCTGATGATTTCGTCCTTCAAACCTGGAAAGTGATTTTCGATCAATTCCTCGGTTGCAATGTAAAGAGCATCGAAGCGGGCTTTGGCAAAGGAAAGAGAACAGACACAGAAGAGCGCAAGAAAATCGGCTCCAACCTCCACCAGAAGAAAAGAAAAGGATCATCCCAGGGCGCACTCGGACACGATACATATCCAGCAATTCGCTGCAGCTCGTTCCCCTCGGATCTTCATCGCTGGAAGCTCGCCCTCGTTAGGGTCCGCGTGGCCTGGACGGCTGGTGAGGACGCTGTGCTCGTCTAAGGGCATATCAACAGGGAATAAAACAGGGAAAGCCACTCAAGTGCAGTCGTTTATGTTCTGGATCCAGATCCTCGGATATGGCTGGCTGGCGACTGCAGATACGCCCGAGAGACTCTTGAATAGAACTTGGGCTAGTTCGAGCCATAGAAGATTCTCTGGGTGGTGAGTGGTGGCCTGCTGGAGGTCTAGATGGGGGTAGGCAGGAAGATCCGATGCAGGGACGTTCGTGGTGTGGGAGTGCTCGTGTATGACTGGTTACAGTATGTGGCTGCGTGGCTGTGCTATACTAACCGAAGAGCCGCTAGTGGCAAATCAAGACAACCCTCCAGTGGCTGGCTCTTGGAATCTCTGACCGGAGAATTGACGGTGGGGAGAATAACGCTTTTCGTGCTGAAACATAACGTCCCGAGGGTGTTTCTTCCCACTCTGACTTCAGAGGACCAATCACCCAGCCAGTGGAAATCGAGCAATGGCAACAAGCGACTTCCTGAGGCAAGAGGCACCAGTGGCAAAGAACGTCGACAACTCAGGACGATCACTCACCTGGGAACATCATGAAGATATTTTTAGAGACACTTGCATGCACCAATTATGTGGGCCAAACAGGCAGCCCATGTTATAATATATCACTGCGCGAGACCAGTTGAGTCCCGGGGTGACCAGGATATGAGATCAGATGCTTGGTGGAAGAATTCATGCCAGTGCTAGCCTCTTGGTTTGTGTACCAAATCGCCTCCATTTCTTCCACAAAACCAGTATTGAGCCAGTGACGGGATGTTCGCATGTTTTTGGGCTTTAGATGTTGATTGAGGGAATGTGCATGGCGATATGATGTGGCAGGTGTTCATACATTCGATCCTCAAGATTGTGACAGCACCGTCACGGCTGAAGTTGACCTGATTTGACCATATTAGGATCCCATAAAGGACAATTGTCCTGTGCACTTCTCATCATATAGACGGGCACATGATGCGGCAGTGGCATGTAGACTTCCATCTCGCACAACGCGATAGTCCAGTTGAGAGAGAGGTGCAGTGGACTGCCGATGTCCATTTGCACACAGTGACGCTCTGGAGACTGAAGGGGTGATCGCGGGGTCAATCAAAACGGTAAAGTCTATATTGCCGGACGGTGCCGCACTGAGGGTGACGGACTGCGAGAGATATCGGGACGAGGCAACTATAAACAGAGATTATAGCACCAAACAGAGGCATGCGTCGCTATGCAGCACAAGGAGATCTCGTGTCGAGATGTGCGGAGGTAAAATATGTGGCACATATGTAAAACGAAGAACTTCAATGTCGATAGAAAAGGAAGTCAAGTGAACAATGTGAGGAGAAATGTTATATACTAGCACGTGACTGCTTCCCTCGATGATGACTTATCACGAACACTGTCAGGTGACCGGTGAGCCACTAGTGGCTTTAGGGACATCCGGCAGGGCGTTCCGTTGGAAGCCTGCGATGGCTCCATTACATGCTCTATTGCACAAGAATCGACTAGCGTCAGTGCTAGCTCAGTCTTGGGTGGGACAATAGACAGCATCATTGGCGGAATTAAGAAGGTGATGAATTAGAGTGCGAGGTGGGTGGGTCGCTGTCAACTCAACTCGTACCACTTCCGTTGAGCACATCAGCTTTCCCCCCTCCGCTGGTGCCTCTCATGCCTCTGGTGCCTCCACAGTGTGTCCACCGTGGATGCCGTTGCCTTGCCTGAGAGACCCGAGCCCGGGCCCGCGATCTCCCTCCTTCCCTTCTCCTCTCACTCCCTCGCCCTTCGCTCTCTCCCTCCCCCCTTCCCTTCCCTTGTTTGCTCCTACCTTCCACCTTATCGCCTCATTCCCCTTCGCGAAGCTGCGATCCTGCGCTTGCCTGCGTCTTTTCAACTCTTACACCTTTGGACTCGTCCCATTTCTCACTGCCTCCCTTTTTGAATCACTCTTCTCTAGCTGTGTCTTCCTGCCTTTTCCTCTTAATAACTTCTCTCTTCGAACCCTGTATTTCTGCTCGACTTCAAAACACCCGTTCCTCCGATCTTCGGCCGCCTTGGGACTCGCTGGGGATCCCGTCTTCTGCGTCATTCATTCCACGGCTATACTCGAACCAGCCGCCAGTCTGTCCTCTGCACCATCCGGTCCATATACTACTCACCACCAACCTGACACACTGACTCCCTCTTGGTGTCATCGTCGCCCTAATTTTCGCTCCTTCTGATCAACCCGCGCTGTGCGCACGCTTTGTACCACTTATTAGGCCTTGTAATTCACGACAAACTTTCCCTACCCGAGCGACTGACAAACAACGCTGGTTTGGACTCATCTCCTACGTATACACCCGTCAGAATCAAGGCAAGGGATATATTCTTCAGACACTTGGGATTATTTTGCGCAAAGGGAAGGTACTCTTGTGTTCCTTTTTCGTGGTGGAAAGACTGTCGCATTCTCTGGGCTCTGCACGGCTGGGTTATAGAAACTGATGGCTGGTGGCGGACTTTCTAATATTCGGTGACTAAATGGTCCAGATGAGCACTGGAGTGACGCCAAGGTCGCATCGCATCGCTCTGCAGAGCGACCCAATATGTTGCGCCTGCTGTCCTGGACAGGCTGTGATAAGGTCCATTCTCCAGAGATGAGATCCTTTGTCTCAAAGCAAGACGCCCCTGGATCTGGCCCACTTGCCATGGCGGCGACACACAAACGAAAACAATCAACAGACACACAAACCCAGCCAGAGAGGAAACGGGCCAAGATTGTGGATAAGCAACTCTGTGCCAATGTGCTTCCCAATTCTACCCACACTCTGCCTCCTGAACCGCCAAAGACGGAAGCCTCAACCGCAAATGAACCCCCATCTTTCCTGCCAACGCCACCCGACCTGAAAATGGAAGACTCAGACATGAGACAGGTGGAATCTCCCGTGACAGACTCGGACGCAGCGCGGTTGCAGTCGATCCGCAACGTCATTCAGACACAAATAAGTCTTGAAATTCTGCTGAAGCACAAGGAACTCCGACTTATTGACCAAGAAATAGCGAAATCCCAAGCTTCGTTGGAGCAGCTCCGTCGATGCAAGGAGATTCCCTTTCCTGGAACACACCAGCTCTCCCTTGGTGTCAGCAATGGCACAGGTCCAGCTCTACGTCGCTCATTCCCCTCTCCATTGCCTCAATCGCCCGCGCCTTGGGGTGTCCAAGAAGGCCCTTATGCGCGGCATTACGCGAAATGGTTACTGCCTGACCCGCACTTTGACGGTGGTGAGCCCGAGCCTGTGGCTATCACCCCTGTTGGCAAATCTCCCATGAAGTTCAGATCTCAAACGAGAGGACAGTTCGCAGAAGGGCCTCAAACATCAAGCCAAGCTCGTGCCCAACGGAGTGGCAAACTGAAATCATTGCCTGCTGGATACGGTCAGCCGAAGGAGAAAGCAACAGGCCCCATGATCATCAAGAGGAAGTCCGACGGGGCGACGGTGAAACTGGTTTGTCCAGACTGTGGCCGGTTCGATTTTGGGAGTGCCCAAGGCTTCATCAACCACTGCCGGATCGGCCACGGCCGGAGCTTCGCCAGCCATGATGCTGCGGCTGACGCCTGCGGAGAGCCGGTTGAGGTCGATGAGACCGGAGCCATGATTGGAATTGAGCCTGCTGCAACACCCGCCGCTGGCAATGTCCATCCTCTAATCCGGTCAGCCAAACTTCTGCAACCCACACCACCACGAACTACATCTTCATCAGCGTCTGGCAATACGCATGCCACGGGAAGTGCCAAGCTAACACAGATTTCCCCCGGTTTCAGGGAATCCGTATTGACACCGAACCTTTCCGAGCTTGTCAAAGCTCGAGGGCTTGGACTTGATCTTCAAGAAATGGTTTCAAATGCGAAAGCGAAAGTTGAATTCCCAGAATCTGACTCAGAGGACGACGAAATGGATGTCGATATCCCCATGCAGCATACTGCTCAGGGCCGACACCCGCAAGTTGCAGCCACGAAACAACCACCAAAACCCACCAAGTCTCCAATGTCGTCTCCATTGCTAAACTCCAGTATGCTGCGGTCCACGACTAACCTGCGAGGAGGCGGGTTGCCACAGTATGACGGTGCCAACGACAAATCAACCCAGCACCGGCCGCGTGGAATGACCCTACCCGTGAACGGCGCCACTCCGACCGATCTTCACCCTTCGGATCCATCTCCAACCAGTGAGTCGAATCAGGCTCCGAGTCTCGTCGATGATGACGAATTCGAGCCACATTCTCCAAGCAGCAGCTCTGTATCCGATGAGCACGATGATGGTGAAATCGAGTTTGAAGTCCAAGGTGACGACGATGACGCCCGCAGCGTCCTGCGTGGGCCAGACTTTCAGCCAAGCTGCGCTCAAGCAGTGAGGCCTCCGACACATGCTCGACGAGCTTCAGCCATTCGTCGACATGGCGAAGAGAGAGAAGAGAAACATGTCACTTTCGTGAGCCCGAGCCCAGCACGCGAAATGCCGAGTACCCGTGTAGGTGGAGATCGAAAGAGGAGGAAGGCTTAGGTATCGGCAACGAGGGTCTGGAGCGTTAGACATTTACTTTTCGCAAGATCATGTTTGAACAGCATATGTGGAGTTTAACGGCGACTGGAAGCTGTTTCTCATGGGTGGACAAATGTAGTGTTGGCATCAGTGGTGAGGGGCTTGGATAGACGGAATGCGTGAGGGCACAGGGAAGCACGCGTTTACGGATCCTATCGATGTACATAGTTTCGAGGTGTCTGAACGGTGTCAGCCACTCGGCGGGCAAACTCCCAACTTTGCGATTCAATGCTAAAGACTCAGCTCTGATCTGTGGTTGACAAGGCTGAGTTTTCAGGCTCACCAGGCTCTATCATAATCCACCAGTTGCGTCAGATGCTTCTGGAAAGTGCCAAGCCCAGGTCCGACTGACTTTCCTCAGCAGTCAAGACCGATCCTCACTGGATTGCAATGGTGATCGCAGTCACCAAGACTTTACCTTCCTTTTGCCAACGTGATATTTCTTTGAGGAGTGCTCTCTTCCTGCTGCAACTGTTAACACCACCGACCCGTCAACGGCGAACCCCTTCGTGAGGATGACAGAGGCACAGAAGTGCGTCCACAAAGGATGTGGGAAGGTGTTCACGGATCCCGACGAGGAATGTATATATCATCCGGGCCCTCCAGAATTCCATGAAGGACAGAAAGGTTTGTGTTTGCCTCTGGCCATTGTTGACCCCTCTTTTCTTCACATGCTAGTGTGTAACACAACTTTTCTGCTGATCTAGTATACTGACAACAAGTCTGGGAGAACAGGCTGGATGTGCTGCAAACCCCGCGTTCTCACCTTCGACGAATTTCTCTCCATTCCACCCTGCACAAAGGGCAAGCACTCAGCCGTGGACGACACCCCCGCGCCCGCCCCGAAGCCCGAAGCGTTGAAGGCGTCCGCCGCCGCCTCCTTGCCTGCTCCCGTGCCCATTACTCGGCCCCTCGCATCGAGTCTTGCAGTTCCGCAACAGCCCACACCCTCAGCGACACCGAAGCCGGAACCGCCTGAAGACGAATCTGATGATCCAGATGCTGAGATCCCCACCAACGCGACATGTAAGAGGCGAGGTTGTGGCAAGTCAAGGGACGAGAATGTCCCGCGAGACAAGGAGGAATGTGTATACCACCCAGGTGTGCCTCTCTTCCACGAAGGAAGCAAGGGTTGGACATGTTGCAAGAGACGGGTTTTGGAATTCGACGAGTTCATGAAGATCGAGGGCTGCAAGACCAAAAGGCGGCACTGCTACGTAGGGAAGCCAAAGAAGAAAGAAGGCGCCGCAGTTGACGGAGAGACGTCGGCCAACACCGAAGAGGAACTCCTGGATAATGTCCGTAATGACTTCTATCAGACACCCAACAGCGTCATTGTCAGTTTCTACCTCAAGAAGATCGACAAGGACAAGGCCAAAGTCGAGTTCAAGGACGATGGCCTGTCGGTAGACTTGGATCTACCTACGCAGGACGGGAAGAGATTCGCGAGGAATATACCACTTTTCGCTGCGATTGACCCGGACAAGAGCCGGTCCAAGATCATGGGCACCAAGCTGGAACTGGATTTGGTGAAGAAGGACGGGTCCATTAGTTGGGCGACACTGCGGAGTGATGAGAAAGGGACCGGGGAGAGGATTCAGCTTGGTAGGGCCGGTAGATTGGAGCGCGGTTGAGCAACGACGGAAACCCGGATGACACGATACTTTCAACAGGCATAATGCAAAAAACGATTACGATTCACAATGTCAACTGTGACAAGTTATATAAAACGGCCGAACATAGGCGGAACGAGAAGGACAACTGGAGGAGCATAGCGAGGCGCCATGTCAGATTTGTACATGTATCAATCTTCGAAAACAAAACCTTTTTTTATAGCTATGATATAAGCAGGGACACCGACTCCGGTGCAAGCAAGAGTCATCGTCCAGCCATGTTGCAAAATTCTCCACGCTAGAGCACGCATATCCCCAGTGAATGTGTGCGACACCCCCTCCTTGTCGATAGTGTCCTGAGGGACCTGGTTCGACATGGGACTAACATGCGCCTCCAATCTCTCCGGAACGAAAGAACCAAAATCACAAAGACATCATGTGGTCCATCTCTTTATAGGTTTTAGGATACGATTTGTAGCATCTCCTCCACAGCTCCGCGCCATCGAAATAAGAAAAATTCTTGGGCAGCGCAACCATAGTGTGGAAGGGAAAAAGGACGGTGCAAAATTCCTCTGCGAAGCCGGGAACGGAAGGAGATCCATTGTCGAAAGAACGAGAATAACCCTCAGCAAGCCACACAATGGTGGAGCTCCGGTGGTGTTAAGGTAATGTTAACACCTCTACTGATGATGAGGAAAAGAAAAGAGAAAGAAGGAGAAGTTGGAGTCTGCAGGCGAGGAATATTTGTAGAGGAAAAAAGTTAGTGGGGACCCCAATCGGCTTGGCACGCTCTGGCTGCTTTAAGCGGCGTGCAGCCTCGTCTTGTCGATCGTATCTTGTTCTCACTACTTGCTCCGACTCCCTTCCACGAGGCGAGGCGTCCGGCGGCAGGCTCTGTCATCGGAGCGTCCAGGTTGACGCATGTTCCCTCATCAGCTGCCGAGGGCCAGAAGTCCTGGATTTCACCCGCAGGAGCTTATGGTGTTCATCGCCAAAGGCAGTACTCGGGATATATATCTCAGATGCATACAAGACGGGTTACACCGGATCGCAGTTAGCGCACAAATCGACATTTGAAACGGTCCAGACCATCATTATCGGCTCAACTTTGCCCACCCCGGATCACCTCAGAATGAAAAAAAGAAGTCGGCTGAAGATCGTCATAGTCATCCTTAGGCGCCCGAGGTCCTAATTATCCCGATCCAGACCACATCTCCAACACCACATGCCAAACCTTGAGCACCACCTTCCTCTCCTCCTGCTGCTGTCTGACTTACAGGGTCTGTCCTTGTTGCGCCTTCACCATCCTCCTCCTGCCTGCCCAAGATGCTGTCTGCTCTTATGTTGCTATTGTCTCGCCGAGAACAGACTTCAGCTTTGGAATCATCATGTTCGTGGATGGCGAACGGGGGCCAAAGGTTAATCCTACGCTTCCATTGTGGCCCTGTGATATTACACTCTAATCACGGTGAGCGTCTTGATGCTCAGATAACACGGTGGGTACCTCGAGGCCTGAGGATTTCAATGTCCGTGAATGATGGCGTGCCCCAGTGGCCGTCCGCATGGTAGGCGCCACGCCAGAAATTCGAGGCATAAGCAACAGGTCTTGCGAAAAAAGATCAGCCTATCTCATCTCCCTAGCTAGGTGATCGTGGGGGATTGCTAACTTCATAGTCTCGTCAAACCCCAGGATATCCCCTTGGGTGCTGCGTTGACATGGAGCATTCATCATCCTGTGGTCCTGAGAACGGTTGATATTGTTGTGGTACTGGAATTCATCTCCCTCGCCTCGTGAGACTTTTGCCGCGACGTCATCTTATATGTCTCCCGCATGCTCACTCGAGGTATGGGGTACATCGTGAGTATTCTTTGTATATGTATAGTGGTCAGCATCTCCACCAGGTCCTTACTTGACTTGAATCATTACTGTTGAAGGAAGTCGGGCATTGCCTTGCGCCACACACTTCATCCCAATCCGTCACTCTGTATTGGGAAAATGTTCATTGCTACTCTCAGTCGAAGTCCACTCTGCAGACGACCTTACATGGCTTATATATCCTCCTCCAGGAGCACGGTATGAGCGAAGTATCTCTACTTCGCTCCTGGCAACTTCTTCGAGCTCCTGATGGCCTCATCTTCGTCTTCACCGACAATGCTCACGCCAGAGCTTACACCCTCCCCATCCGTTGCCTCGTCTCCGTCTTTCCCGTCAACACCAGACCCTCGTCCGCTGGATCTTGTCATAGCCAGCTACAATGAGTGCTTGACATGGCTATCGACCTACTCGAGCCTCGCAACTGTTTACAGCAAGGGCGAACTTCCTCCAGATCCGTCAATCTTCCGAGAAGTTAAGGCGCTGCCCAACTGGGGTCGAGAGTCCCATACCTATCTCCACCACATCGTACACAACTACGACAACCTTGCGGAGGTGACGCTGTTTCTGCAGGGCAACATCCATGACACGAATGATGGCACGCCGGCGCACACAGACCTCACGTTGGACGAGATCGTGGGAATGGCCAAACGACTGACCGATTTGCCTGACGTTCTCGGCCAAACTCCTCAGGGCGTTTTACCGCTGGGCAAGGTAAACTCCTTCGCGGACTGGGACGGTGTCAAATACCTACCAGGCTGGATCGAGAGACGCGGCAAGGGACTTCGCCGGAGCCAATATTCGCCAGCGCAATTTTGGAACCACATCGTCAACGGTACCGCGGACGAGATGGATCCCCACTGGACTCCTCCGCCGGCCGAGATCAAATGGACGCAGGGAGCCTTATTCGCGGTAACCAGACAGACGATTCAACGGCATCCCATCACGGTCTATGAACGAGCATACAACTACTTTCACTCGCTGGCAGACGTTAATCCGGAAGAAGGCCACTATATGGAACGTTTCTGGTTGGGCCTCTTCAGCTATCCAGGAAGAGATGGACCACGGAATGGATGGGGCTTACGTTCCCTCTTTCTGTGAAGGTGTCACTGAGGAGGCCGAGAATGCGGCTGAAAAACACAGCACTGGCACTGGCACTGACGCTGACGCTGAAGGCAACTTCATGTTGTGACCCAGTGAAAGCGTTCTGGCTTCGCAGAGCCAGGAGAGTCTGCTGCTTCTCGTTGACATTATACTTTGTTAAAAAGAGCTGTGGGTAGGTAGGTGTCTTCCGTTCTCCTCTGTTTCTGTTGGGGCGGGTATGTTATATAATAGATCAAGTGATGACTTCCGCATGTTGTGAGGCCTATTATCCTCTGGCAAGCTCTGCTACAATCAGTGGCTGGCTTGAGCAAAAGAAAGACTGGATGGAAATCTGGATTCCCTCGTTGGCTGGCGAGCACGGCACGGTTCTTTCCTCACTGGAGGCCAATTGCCATCATTATTATTCTTATTATTCTTCCGGCATGCTACGCATTCATGAACAAGGCAAAAAAAAGGGGGGTCTGTGGGTGGGAAAGTAGCTACTTGAATGAATCGATATCTTCATTTCTTTCTGTGTGCTTGCTTGCTTGGGGGTTCTGGTTCTGATCTATTGCTTGCCGAGCTGCTGGTTCATTCTCCCTACTTTGCTCCATGCAGGCAGGCTTTGATATCCCAAGAGTGCCGGCTGCATTGCAGGCTGCAATCCTCCCCTGTTGAAGTGCTCAGTCCTGAAATGCGAGCGAGGGCGTGAGTAGGTGAGTAATCCAACTACTCTGTGATCCATGAGCTCTATCCCTCCAGCATCGGTGGTATGTGTTTCTCTCTCTCTCTTGCCTTGCTCATTGTTACCATGGTAGTATTTTTTTCTGGCTTTTCTGGTTTTTTTCCCTTTTAGCAACGCAGCCGACCCCAGCACAACACAGCACAGCACAATGTAAATCATGCCCTGCCCACAAACCCAGCGAGCCAGCGCGAGTCCCGACCCCCGAAGGTACTTCCCAATTTCCTCGGTAGTCCGGGATTGTCAAGCTCGTTCTTCTCTGCTGCCCGGGTTTGCCGGCCCAGATTTGTCGATTCCGGCCCGTGGTCTCGTCGGACCGTTGTGTTGGCTGGATGATTTTTGTTCGATGTAAACCCCCGGAGCTCGATTTTGGTGTGTGATAGAGTCTTATTTTTCCCCTTGGAAACGGTGGACGACGGATGGGTTGCCTTTCTCTTGCTTACGTCGCCATAATGTTGAGCAAGAGTCAAGAGGAGTCGGCTCAAGCCGAGTCTTCTCCATTGACGTCTTCACCGCTGTCGTCAACGTCAGCACCGTCGTCGTCATCCTCCTCCTCTTTCTTAACAGGAAAAGCCGGAGCCGGGACACCTTTCTTCTTGCTGTGCGTGGCACTGGCACTGGCACTCTTTCCACCGTTGGCCGTCTTTTGTTTTTTGGCTGCTGGTTTGTCCCCGTCTGCCGCCTTGTCTTCAGACTTCTTTGCCTTTGGCCCACGTTTGCGACCGCTGGCAGCTGCAGCCGCTGGGGTTGGAGATGCCCCGTCTCCGCCGGTCTCCAGCGACCTGGCCTTCATTTTTATGTTTGTGATTCTATGTGTGACTGCCTTGGCAGTACATCCTGTGTCGAGGATTTGGTTAGCAATATGGTTTCAATCACGAGCCAAATTGTCAGGAAGGCTAGGGAAGGAGAGAGCATAGGGTAGTTATCGGATCCATTGTGGTGACGGTGAAAAGGAACATCCAGCATGAAGACTTACCATTTCCCATCCGAGCCGCAACTGCAGGGTAGTCGATTTTGATTTCTGAGGTGGCCAACACCGCTGCAAAGAGCTGTGAGAGACATCAGCGTTAGCCGTGAAGAACAGTGAGCTGATACGTGTATCTAGCGTGGATATTGCTAGGTGTCAAATATTCCGCGTGAGGATAACGTGGGAATACATACCCGGGCATCGGCATCGGCATCCCAAGTCATTGGCATCTTTGCTGGTAGTGGAAATGTCGCTTGTTTTGGATTTGAGTGTGTGGACTCTTTGTGAACGGACTGTAGCCGAAGTCAAGGCGTCTGTTTCTGAAGGTTAGCTGATGTTGCCCCCTCTCGAGTTGAGCAAAAGAGAGCAAGAGTTAGTGGACGTACAAGGTAGTCTGATGAGGATGACAGGGATAATCAAAGGGACGAGAGAAGAAGAGACGTTTGAGACAGGCCGTCGAGACGATATTGTGGAAAGGTGAAAAGAAATTGGGAAGAAGAGGGAAGTGAGGCAGATATTTATAGCCGGGCTCGGATCGAGAACGAGAAGACAAATCTGAATTGGAAAGTGAATTTCAGTCAGAGAGAGTGGAAAGTGAAGAAACCCTGAATCACTGGATGTACCATTGAGGGTCCGGTCGAAGGGGGAAGTGAAGTGAATCGGCATCAACGCATAAGATGAAGCTGTACGCTGATATAGAGCAACCCAGGCAGTAGATTGTCGACCATTAACTTCAAACACACTTTTTACCATTCTCAATGAAGGATTTCGATCTTTTCAATCTTCATTTTGAAGCTGAGGACGACGCCTTGACACGCTTTGCCTAGACATCTCTCTGTCAATTGACGCTTGCTGACCCTCACCCATGTTATCCAGTTCGCCAATCCTTGCACACCTTTCATCTCTCAGCCCCTATACTCACCAGTCCCATCCTTTCGTACCCAAGAGACCTTTGTAAACCTACTGTTTCCACTAGACTTCTATGCCATGACGTTCGGATCCCATTTCCACCGGCCCACTTGTACTCCACCATATTGGAGCGGGCTTTGTAGCAGCAGGTTGTGCTCGAGGCGCAAAATGCGACCGGAGATGATTCAGCCGTGTCTTCGCGAGGTCTCTAGTAAGGCTGGTTGTTGCGTGGGTAAGATGTCGAAATACTAGACCCTTTGCGAAGCAATGACGCTTCCACTATCTTGTTGTAAAGCAGTCTGGAGTCCCCTGAACCACCGACAATATCATTCTAGACTCGCAAGATCGAGTGGAACACTACTCCCCCTCCCTGCACGATATCTTTTCGGCACGCCCGTAAATGGGCGTGGGCGGGGTAACTGGCTCTCGTCCTGGAATTTCCATCGATTATCATCCACTCTAAATGAACCCGATCCGCTCGAAGTTCCAAACAGGCTCCCGTTCGTCAGCGTGTATGAACTTGCATCTAGTGCGGGTCGAGACGGCATTTGTGATACTCGACGCGAAGCAGGTGGAGAAACGGGAGACGATGGTGAGGGTGGAGCCTCGGGAATCGAGTAAGATGATTGTCTACCAAATGCTGCCGCTGCTGCCCTCTGTGCCAGAGACGAACCTGCACCATTTGTTGCTGGTGGTTGAGCAGGTGGTGGAGGCGGACCTGGTGGTGGAGGGGGCGTTAACCTCGACGGCGGTCCTGGAGAAGTAGAAGGCGGTAAGGGCGGAGGTGGTGGTGCTAATGAAGGTGCAGAGCTTGGAGGCGGCGGAGGCGGCGGAGGGGGAGCGGGAGGAGCTGGACTTGCTGCCGGTGGTGGTGGCGGTGCAGGGCTTGCTGTCGGGGGTGGTGGCGGCGGTGGCGGAGGCGCTGGAGGAGCTGGACTTATTGAGGGCGGCGGAGGAGGTGGTGGTGCGAGAGGGACGGAACCCAAGGACGATGGCGGAGGCGGTGGCGGAGCCGGAGGAGGAGGAGCAGCAGCACTGACTTTTCGTGCAGCAGGGGGAGGTGGTGGTGGCTTTCCTGCGACTAGATTGGCTACAGACGAAGGCTTCGACAATGGTTTAGGAGGAGGCTTTTTGAGATGGGCCAATGGACTTGGAATTGCCGGCGCAGAGTCCGTTGACTGCGGTAGAGGAGGTCTGAAACCTGGCACAGGAGGAGCAGGCATTGACGGCGGACGGGGCGCCGTTGACAAGGAAGGTCGAGGGGCGACTGGTGCAGATGTTTCCGAGTCTGAATGAGCGCCGTCTAACCCGGCTCCGGTGTCGATTCCTCCTCGCGTCTTCCTCAACTTCGGCATTCCTCCAGCGAACAATCCTGCCAACTGCGGTGGTCCATCGAGGCTGGCATCGCCGCCGGCATCGCTGTGACTCCGGGCTCGGTTCCCACCACTCGGGACTGGAGGGGCGAGACCACTGGGTGCCTTTATTCCTCCAGGGACCGGCGGTGCTCCTGCTATTGGCCCTCCTCCACCCCCAGAGGCCTTGCCGACCAGAGGCGCCGAGCGATCATTGGTGACAGCCTTCTTCAACCGAGCGCCTTTTGTGATGTCTGATAACAAAGCGTCCTGCACCACGAGTCAGAAACCGTATAGTATATTACTTGCAACTCTCTAGTCTCCGCCATCGTCTCCTCCAGTAGCACCAAAGACACAAGAGATCGTGTAACATACCCGTCCTTTCGCAACTGACTTGGGCGGTGCAGAAGGCAGTGAACCTCCAGGGAGAGGCGGCGGAGGTGGAGGTCCTCCCATGCTCGGGGGGGGAGGAGGAGGTGGAGGCGGCGGAGGTGGTGGAGGAGCAGGCATCTTGCTACCAGGCTCTTGAAGGTTGGTAAGAGGGTCTTCTCGTCACTCCTTTCTCAAGGCACTGCCCTTGTCCGTTGAAGAAAGGAGGTTGGGCAGTGACAGGATGAGGAAAGTCAGGCTCGTGTGCCTCTGAAGGTGCTTGAGTTGTGCGTTCGGTGACGAGGGGAAACTCCTAGACTAGAATCAAGTCATGCCTCTGTGGATGCACATATATCAATAAAGGCCGTCTGCCTGTTGGCGTTATGATGTTCCTTTCGCAGGCGTGGTTGGTGCTTGGTAGTTGGCAATTGGCGAACTCGTCATACGAGCGCGGCGGAGTCGATTTAACACTGACGAGCAATAGGCAACTTTCGGCGTCCCCATGGCGGCTCAAGGCGAGGTACCGAGTAGTTACATAATAAATGGTCGCCCGCCGCTTTTAAACTCTACCCACATGGCAGGGTCTGACTGCACCACTAGCAAAGTAGGCTTTGGTTATTACTGTACTGACTGCATTTGAATTCTCTTTAATCCGTTTTCAGAGGGCTGCGCTCTCCGCTTGGCGCAAAATGTCTTGTAGACCGGTAGGTGATATCCTCCCCTTTATTTGGCAGATACTGAACTCCCTCATACAGGTCGCTGCGGCCACCCCTTTGGCCCGATTGCTTATTCGTGCGAGCCGTCGTCGAAGCCCGAAGCGTTCCCAATACAACCAGCCCGCGCTTCGCTATGCCTCAACAACAGCTTCCGCCTTTCCTGCGAACCTCCAAGGGCTAGAACTGCCTAATATCGCGCCAGCGACGAAGGTGACGACGCCCCAAACGCTGACGGAGAAGATTCTTCAACGCTATTCGGTCGATCTTCCGAAGGGCAAGGTTGTCCGAAGTGGTGACTACGTCCAGATTCGACCTCACAGATGCCTCACACACGATAATACCTGGCCTGTGGCCATGCGATTCATGTCCACAGGTGCTACCAAAATCAAGGATCCTTCTCAGCTGGTCTTTGCACTGGATCACGATGTACAGAACACGAGCCCCAGTAATTTGAAGAAGTATCATCAGATAGAGGAGTTTGCGAAGAAGCATGGGGTCAACTTCTTTGGCGCAGGTCATGGGATTGGCCACCAGATTATGGCACGCTTCTCTGCGTCGAATTCATACCAGGGACCTTTGGTTTGCTAACGGATGCGTAGGTCGAAGAGCTTTTCGTTTGGCCTGGAACCTTATGCGTTGGATCTGACAGCCACAGCAACATGTACGGAGCCCTGGGCAGCTTGGGAGTGGCCTTGGTCAGGACCGACGCGGCTGGAATATTTGCTACTGGGAAGAGTTGGTTCCAGTGTCCCCCGGTCGTGCAGGTGAATCTTCTAGGCACACTACCCCCCGGCGTTCGGGGAAAGGATGTTATTATTGCGCTTTGTGGGCTCTTCCCACTGGATGTGCTGAACCACAGCGTTGAATTTTCGGGATCGGAGGAAACTATGGCTAGTATCCCCATGGACGACAGACTGACAATCAGTAATATGTCGACTGAGTGGTCTGCAACATCCGCAATGGTATGGCACCTCCTTGAGCTACAGCCTGCATTTCCATGAGCCCGTCTAATTGGTCTCCCTATAGTTTCCGTTGGACGCGACACTAGAACGTTGGCTCCGGTACAAGGCTACAGAGGCAGCAATGTTCCCGGATCGAACGACTCGTCAACGAATTACGCACGAAATGGTTGATGAACTCTTTTCCGATCCTCTCCGGCCTGACCCTGGAGCGCACTATGCAAAGAAACTCTACCTTGACCTCTCTACTCTGTCGCCTTATATCTCTGGACCTAACTCCGTCAAAATTTCGACACCCCTGCATGACCTCGCCCCCAAAAACATCAAGATAGACAAAGGATATATTGTAAGCTGCACTAACTCGCGAAGCTCAGATCTGAAGGCTGCAGCCAAGGTATTTCAAGATGCCGCCAAGTCAAATGGTGGTCGCATTCCCAAGATTGCAGATGGCGTTAAGCTATACATTGCAGCAGCTTCAGCCAGAGAGCAGGCTTATGCCGAGGAGGCAGGTGACTGGCAGACTTTGGTCGAGGCTGGAGCTACCGTGCTCCCAGCTTCATGTGGCCCATGTATTGGACTGGTAAGTAGCCGCTGCTCCTCGGTTGGAATTTATGCTAAGTATCAATAATACGTAGGGCACAGGTCTACTAGAGGATGGCGAAACGGGAGTTTCTGCATCAAACCGCAATTTCAAGGGCCGTCTGGGATCAAGACGTGGGTTCGCCCCTTACCATTTCAATTATGTTTATAGCATTTCAGGAGACTGACAGCGAGTAGTTGCTCACGCGTACCTGAGTAGCCCCGAAGTTGTGGCTGCGAGCGCCCTGAACGGCGTTCTTTCAGGTCCCGGCGTGTACGAGGTGCCGGAAAACTACACTGGCGTAAAGTACGGTTACGGCACCGGAAAACCTGCATCTATCGAAAACCAGCTCGGCAATGCCCTTGAACAGCTCGAGTCTCTTATCGACAGGGTTGAGACGACTGCTGGTATCGACGATGCTACTGCCCAAGCGGTCACGAAGATCCTCCCAGGCTTCCCAGCCAAGATAAGCGGTGAAATTATTTTCGCTGACGCTGACAATCTGGACACCGACAACATCTATGCTGGCAAATATACCTACCAAGACTATATGACGGTGGCAGATATGGCAAAAGTCTGCATGGAGAATTATGACCCGGAGTTCAGGTCAATCGCAAAGCCCAACGATATCCTCGTCTCAGGGTTTAATTTTGGGTGTGGCTCATCAAGAGAGCAAGCCGCAACAGCTCTTCTGGCTAGGGAAATCCCTCTTGTTGTGGCGGGCAGCTTCTCGAACATATTTGTCCGGAACGGCGTGAACAATGCACTGCCTTGTCTGGAATTGCCACGTTTAGTGGAGCGTCTTCGCACCGTCTTCTCAGAAAAGAATGTCCCTACCCGGCGGACAGGCTGGACCCTGACATGGGATATTGCCCGGAGCATTATTGAGGTACAGGAGGGGGAGAATGGGGAACGCTGGCAGCAGAAAGTTGGGGAGTTTCCTGAGAATCTGCAGGAGATCATAGCCAAGGGGGGTTTGGTAGGATGGGTCAAGTCTGAGCTTGCGAAGGCTGCTTAATAAATACATAGACTACAGTGAGTGTGGGAGAGACAAAAGCATCGGTTCATCGATCTCAACGACATGCGGCATGTGCACGTGACCTTCCCGCCCCTTTCTGTATATACATGGACACGGAATCGTGGTAATGGCATTTGTTGACGAAGAGACTACTTGTTATAGTTTCAGGCAACAACAACACGATTATTGCACCCGTCAAAGGTCTTTTTTTCTCAGAACCAAATCTATTCACTGCTTACAACCTTGCCTTCGTTTTTCTGCAGAGTTCAAGTTACAGGTACCGGATCCTGCCGCCCGAAGCCAAGGTATGCCAGCAATACGCACAAAAAAAAACTCGGAACTACCTATCAGACTCAACTCCCCGGGGGAAACCATATGAAGATCGTGACAGGCCAGAAACAAGCAGATCATGAATATGCGGGGTCGACGAGAAGCCTTTCACTTTCACCTTGTTCGTCCTATCACCATGACAAGCTGGCTGCAGTCACCGGAATTTTGAATTGGGAGGGCACTATGAATGACTGCAGGTCTTGCAAAGACCATCTTGAGAGTAACTTGTTCGGGAGCAAACTCGCGTTCGAGACGACTGGTCCGCTGTTGAGACCAGTAAACGCACTTATCCGGGGTGAAGTTGTTTAGGAGTGACCAGCTTTGCGCAGAGAGTTGCTCAACCATTCCAGACCTTCGTAGAGACCATCACCGGAGGTAGCGCAGGTGGATTGGATGTACTGTATCACACAATTAGCGGCTTGCCCACTGCAATCACAACTTCGGTTCTTCTTACCCAGGCGCGTTGTCGGAGACTGTGCAGACCAAGCTTATCGGTGATTTCGGCTGCGTTCATGGCGTTCTGGAGGAGAGTCAGGGCCAGCAATTAGAACATGAATGTGCTCGGGCACTCACGGGAAGATCCTGTTTGTTGGCGAAGACCAAGAGCAAGGCATCACGCAGCTCATCCTCGTTGAGCATGCGTTGAAGCTCCTCACGTGCCTCGACGATACGATCCCGATCGTTGGAGTCGACGACGAAGATGATGCCCTGGGTGTTTTGGAAGTAATGCCTCCACAAAGGCCGAATCTTATCTTGTCCACCAACATCCCAAACTGTGAATTGGATGTTCTTGTATTCGACGGTTTCGACGTTGAATCCTGGGCAGCGCAGGTTAATTTAAAGCCAATCTAGGGGGAGAACTTGGTTTCTCGTCGTACCGATAGTGGGAATCGTGGTGCTGTCCGATGTCAGTGCGGGTTTCTTGAGATTTCAACGGGTTCTGCAGGCAGCAGCTGATATCACATACACAATTTCACCAAGCTTGAGCTTGTACAGAATAGTTGTCTTTCCAGCGGCGTCAAGACCAACCATCAAAATTCTCATCTCTTTCTTTCCCCATAGTCGGTCAAACAGTTTTGAGAATGTGAGACCCATGTTTGCGATTCAGCTGAGGGAGGTCGGGACAAGGAGGGTTGTGGGTGAGGCGGTCTGGTAAAAAAGGGTCAGCTAGGGACAATCCGGAGATGCGCAGCCGTATACGAGATAATGTGATATGGTGAAGAAGAGAACGGCGTCAGAGGGCCATGGACTTCCTGGGATATAAAGGAAGTCGCATGGCCGCCCTGTCATCGTCGCGCGACCCAAGGACACATGTGTGGCCACTTTGTCCTTGAGGACCTGGGGTCCAGATGGATTTGCGGATCAGGCAGCTGGAATTCTCTGGCTTACCAAAAAGGCCGAGTAACTCTATTCCTGGCGTAGAAGCAGGCAAAAGAGTGTGCAAGATGCTAGGTGGACGTGGTTGTCAGGATTAAAGATGGACAATGGGCAAAGTAAGTCTGAAAGTGGACAAGTTCTCAGGACCGCCGGTGGATAGTTGGCCTGTCGAAGTTGGACTCGTAGCCGATGGGCGCCAAGCCCTCCTGCAGACAAAAAATGTTGGTGCTAGCCGCAGCAGCGCAGGCTGTATCAGTTTCTTTATTAGGATCAATATTGAGACTATTGTGCACTTCATAAGCTGGAACCCAGCCTGGCTTTCGTGAGGCAAGAAGACAACTAGACATATGTGTCTCTTGTACTGCGACCGTTGACAGACGTCGCTGGCCTGCCCGTTGCAAAAGGAAACGGGCTCGGTTTTGGCCATCACACCATAATGCACACCATAATGCACCACAGCACGTGAGGGACAAACTGACCGACTTCACTGTTCGAGTCCTTTTCTTTCTTTTATGAACACCTCCATTCTCAGCGTCGTCGAAAGATACTTCCTTCCTTCCTTTTCCACTTCCTCGTTCGGATTGATGATACGAAATCCAAGTTTTTGATATAGGTCCAGGGCATTCTCATTGCCATGTACGACGCTTGTGAGGCAGCATGAGGACCTGCCATGTTCTGTTGAAGAATTATCCCTGACGTGGTCGATGGTCGCCTGAACAAGGCGCTTTCCCAACCCTTGCCCACGCACCTCGGGTTCGACATAGAGTGCTGCCATATACCACTCGGCGGGTGATGATTGACCTGCATCATTGACTTCCTTGCGGTCTGGTGCGACGATGACCACAAATCCAACCCACTGATGCTCCAACAGGGTCGATTTCTGAGTCAGTGTGTCGTGGCGAAGCAGTACAAGGTGGGTGGCCCGATCGTCTTTGAGTCTTTTCAGCCAGAAGCATTCCGGCTGGCTGACTTCGCTTTCATATTTGGATATGAAGCTCTTCGCATCCTCTTTCAGACTTCTCAGCCTGAGAGTCTTGAGTCGCGATGAATACTCAAGAAGCGTGTCATGGTCCGGAGCAGTATTGGGTAGAGTGTGGACAGAAAAGGAAGCCATGCAGACAGGTGGAGAGCTACTGTTGAAGCTTTGTAGACTGTGCGATAAGATACCATAGCCTGGGTCTGAAGGCAAAATGGAGTCGTCTTGTGATAAAGGTCTGTAGAGGCCCTGGGGGTTTTGCAGCTGAGTGGATGACTCACTGGTACGCAGTCATTTGCGCTTTGGCGAAAGTACCCAAGGTACTATTATAGCAGTGTGATCTTGGTGCATCGGCAAACAGCAAGTTGGCCATTCCAGATCCGTAGCACCATAGTCATAAATACTGTTGGTCTTGTGGAGCATTGCAGCAACGAGAACAGATGGAAGCAAGACTCTCAAGAGGCTCATTCAGACAAGAGCCAATCAGCTGATGGTCGACTATACCTAACACGGGATAGGCCAAATAAGTCTTGGCATCGCTCACAATCGATTTTCTGCCCTTGAAATCGCAATTCTCCAACGACTTGGTTTTTGATTCCTTCAACCCGTTTCTTGCGCAGTGCCTCACCATAAGAATTTGACCAATTCTTCTGGAAGACTGTCTTCATCATGTCGAAAATTACAGTCGGTAAGTCAACCAACCCCGATCTCAATCGATATTCAGGTGTGCTTGAATTGGAACCTGTTTCCGCTGACGGGAATTTTGCCCCTCTGCAGCCGGAGTGCGCGTGAACGTCCAACAACTTCTCGACTACTCTCTCAACGAGAAGAAGCGAAACTTCCTCGAGACCGTCGAGCTCCAGATCGGCCTCAAGAACTATGATCCCCAGCGTGACAAGCGTTTCTCCGGGACCATCAAGTTGCCCACGGTCCCCCGACCGAACATGTCCATTTGGTATGTCTGAGACTCTCTCTGCGTGGGGGAAAGGGGCAAAAACAGAAGATAGAACAGACTGGGAGAAGGAAAATATCGGGGGAAAAAGAATGTGTCAGGACATGATACTGACGAAAGTGCCACCGTACAGCGTCCTAGGTGACCAACACGACATCGACCGCGCAAAACACTTGGGCGTCGACGCCATGTCCTCGGACGACCTGAAGAAGCTGAACAAGAACAAGAAGCTGATCAAGAAGCTGGCGCGCAAATACGACGCCTTCCTGGCCTCGGACTCGCTGATCAAGCAGATCCCCCGTCTCCTGGGCCCCGGTCTGTCCAAGGCCGGCAAGTTCCCCACGCCCATCTCGCACGCCGAAGACCTCTCGGCCAAGATCGTCGAGGTCAAGTCGACCATCAAGTTCCAGCTCAAGAAGGTGCTGTGCATGGGCGTCGCCGTCGGCAACGTCGGCATGACCGAGGACGAACTCATCAGCAACATCATGTTGGCCATCAACTACCTGGTCAGCTTGTTGAAGAAGGGCTGGCAGAACGTGGGCAGCTTGACCATCAAGGCCAGCATGAGCCCGCCCAAGAGATTGTACTAGACAGCTCGTCTCCTGCGGTCGGCTCGATGGGTTCTTGCGTTGGGAGTCTCGTCTGCCTTTGACGGATTTGCCCCCATGGGGTGTAGCGGCGGTCGTCAAGTCAAGATATTGCTGCACCTTCGTTAATACATGATGGAGAAAGGGGAAAAGAAACCCTTTGCTTGAAGCTTGCGGTCATATCGTACGACTTCACGTCGATACTAACGAAAAAAAAAGATAGTCAACGGGAAGATCAATCCACAGGGTAGAAAGAATCCAAACAGGAAATGTTGCTGAATCCAGAGAACACGCCATGCGTCAGAGATGGCGGAGAAATCAATCATGATTCACGAGGAAAAACTTGAACAGTGAAATGTAGCTAGCATTCATTGTAACTTGATTGTTCTTTCGCCATAAACGTAGTCGTCCTGTCTAGCTGGACACGCCGGCTCCGCTCGCTCACTTCATGCCCTCCATCAGATCCGTCTTGTCCAGAATCATGTCCCGCAGGCCACACTCGTCCCGCAACCGCTGCCACTCGGCGCCGTGCTCCTCGCCCCAGCGGCTCTTCTCCTGGAAGCCCCAGGCCAGGGCCAGCCGGTCGAAAAACCGTCGCTCGTCCTCCCGCAGCCAGCGGCTGCTCAGGTGGGTGCCGGGCCGCCACACAACCCGCTGCATCTGGTCGTTGTAGGTCGTGACGGCGACGAAGCCGATGGTCGAGAGCGTGCCGATGTACGCCACGGCGCCGGCGATGGCCGTGTACTTGGCCATTTCGACGTCCATCGTGTTCTGCCAGTGCGAGACCCAGTCGGCGCCGGCGTATGCGATGAGAGGTGTTGCGCCCACAATGAGCCCAGGCACGCTGCCGCGACGGAGCGCCTTGTTCACGCGGAAGGCCGGCGCGCCCACCGTGGTGTCGATGATCGCCAGGGCCAGCGGCAGGTTCTTCTTGAGGATGGCGGATTCGAGGGCGGCCTCGGCGAGGTCGACGGGCACGGCGTACTTGGGCAGCCTCGGCCATGGCTTCGAGTACGTGACCGGCTTGCTGTCGGCGGCGGGGATTTTCTTCGTGGCGTAGAGGTGGAAGATCTCCGGGAGGTACTCGGGGCGCCCCAGGAGGCACAGGATGCGCACGTACATCTGCAGCATGTCTTCGGTGATGTAGACCTTGGGGTCGCGCAGGAGGTCGTAGGCGAGCTGCGAGACACGCTTGGCCGCGTCTTCGCGGAACGAGAGGGACATTGATGTGCTGCCAGAGGCGGCAGATATGGAGTCGACGGCCGCACCGACACTTTGCAGTCTGGACGACTTGTCCTCGGCCAGGTCTTGAAGTAATGCGTCCCCGATTTCCTTGTCTTGTGCCGTTGTCCGTCCAGTCTCTTCCGACGGCATCTTGCCCGTCGCCCCGTGCACCAGCAGGCCTGCGTATTCGTACATATCCATCAGTGCCTCGAGCACGTCGTCCTTGTCGGCGGCGGCATTGCTCGACTGTATCTGGGCGACGAATTTGCGAAACTCATTCAGTCGGCTGGCAGGGTCGAGGCTCGTGGAAGTAACTGCCGCTGAAGTCCCGTTGATCTCTGCAGACGAGTTTTGTCTTGACGCAGAGATGTTGCTATCTGTGGGGGACACTGCTGCCGCAGGAGCAGCTCTTCTTGCCAACGGCACTGATATGCGTCGGCGAGGTTTGGGAGGAAGGACGACGGGGTCTTGCTTCGAGGGGCTGGCGACGTGCGAGATGAATTGTCGTCGGTTGGTTTTCACGGCAGACAACTTTTGGCATGAGCGACAGACGAAGCTGGCTCGACACGGAAATATTGTTGCCATAATCTCGATCAGTTCGACGAGACCTGGTGAGTGGCAGAGTTGTGTGTATGTGTCTGTGTGTGTGTCCTGCATTGAAATTCGTGGGCGCGGGAAGCTCTCGGTTAAAGTTGAAATTCCGTCTCCGCGCAGCATCGTCATGGGTTAAGAGTTCCATTGAACGATGATTGGACGTTTCGAACGACTAACAAGGCGACTGTATCGCGTTCCTCAGTATTAAAATATAAATTACGACTTCTAGAGTAGAGGAATACGACTGATTAGGGGCTGCCAGCAAACATGTGAACCAATCTATCGTCTGTCACCCACTTCGTAGACGAGAGTTTGTGGAAGAACCCTGGAACCCTGGAACCCTGCTGTTCCCTCGCCGACCTTGTTGTAGTCTGGAAAGGTTCAAATACTTGCCCGTCTGGTGGACATCGAATCATTTGGTTGCTGGTTAGTTGACTTGACATTTTGCGCACCGGAAATACCGCCGGCGACCCTAGAAGCTTAGTACCACTGACACGGGTCGGGGACCTGGGTCCGATTGATTCGATCTAGGACAGAGCAGAGATCTTCTCCATCTTTCAGGCTCTTCAGAAGTCAGGCCCAAGATGTTCTTACCTAGAGGATGTCTCTGATAGTTCCTGAATTCCATGACAGCGAAGCCCCCCAGAGTTGTTCTCTGGAAAGCGAGCAAGTTCGGCGTTGCAGATTGTAGCTGCTTGGACCTGCGTCCTAAGTAAGAACCGCCTGCTGTTCAGTTCACGTTAATACCTCCTCCCACAGGAGGCAAAATGTGGGATCTGTTTGACGTGTTTTGCAGGTTTGGCAGATAATCACGCCAAGGTGACCGTTGGGAGTGCGAAGGGAGAACCGGCCCTTCCACCCACACACACACACAACCAAAGGGAAAAACCGCAAAAAAGTGGTTGAACCTTTTGAGGGGTTCAACCTCTTCTTTTTTTTCTTTTTTTTTGTTTTGTTGGCGATTCGAATCCCGAGCTTTGCAGCCCAATCTCCCCTCTCGACGCGGACCCCTCCTGCTCAAACCCCCTCCTCTTTCTTCCTCCTTGAGCGATCAACCCCATTTTACCCTCCCCCGTCTCTCTCATCTGAGGCCTTTTTTTGGTTGTTGTAGTTGTAGTTGTAGTAGTTGTAGGTTGGTGAGCAACAACGCAGATTGCAGTCATCTTCCTGGTGGCAGGCCGCCAGAACCGCCATCACCACCTTTTCTGGAATTCTGTAAAGCCATGTTTAGCAGTACAGGTTGATGCAGGCCTGATCCGACGATTGTTGAAGAGAATTCCGGGATGACGATTAATATAATTATAACAAACGGACCCACCATGTGATCAGAAGCAGAATAGGGAAGGTTTGGCGCAACGAGAGAGAAAAACTTGGAACAGAGAGTGAAGTCTGTGGTTCCGGAAGTTCCAACGCTGCATATTATATACTTCTGGCGAGTGCCAAGACTTCCTCTCGCCGTCAACAAACGCATTTAATTACAGGATGCACCCGGCGCTATTAGCATTCTCCACCAAAACGCATTGCTTCGTCCCTGTACAATGTTATTAATTTTGCCATTTCTCCTCTCCTCGAAGCCACGGCGGCAATGTCCTAGCAACCCACACAATAACAAAAATCATATTATGGAAAGGGCTGAGGATGACAGTCAGGAGGAGACAATTTCATGTACAGCTTCTATCTCCATGTACCTCTTGTCTGCGGTACTGCATCACCGATATGTGGTGATCAAGGTAATCAATGTCACGGTATATCCCATCCTTCCCTACCCAAAGGGCCGTCCCGGCAGCCCTTTATATTGTACATCACGCCATGGGAATCAGGTTTCATAACATCATGTTCCATGACTTGGAAGGTTATACCACGTTGGTCTCCTTCGTTGACTCTCCATCATTTCCTTTCACATCTTCGCCGAATTTGACCACAACAACCCTTGCCTCGCCATGGTTCATTTCCATGTCTTTGTCGTCGCATTTTTGAGGACCAATGATTCTCCAAATCCTCCTCTGCGCTCGCCAGCCCCTCGCCACCACTACCAGGTGGCCCAAGTACATCATCACGGCAACCCAGCCCACGACAATCCTTGCAATGCTCACTTCGTGAATGCCATACATAAAGTGACCCCTGACTTGCACGGGACACACGGCCTGGCCGGCAATATTTTGGTTGAAGATGGGTAGTTCGCAGTGCATCCAGAAGGACAGTGAGACGATCCAGCCGCAGATGAGGAGGGAGGACGTGGCAAGCAAGGCGATGTAGGCCTTGCGAAGGGAGAGGAGCCGAGGGGTATTGTGATGCATGGTGAGCTCCAGGATGAGATGGAACAGAGAAACACCGGGGATGGTAAGAGCATAGAACAGCAGGGCGGTTTCGGGCTGTGTTTCAGCTGCATAGATTGAAGTAGCGTCCGTCAAGGCAGAGGGTGCTGTTTCCCGTTTGCGAAAGATGGAAGAATTGGCTTCGGCGAGGACGTCCGCAGCCAGACGGCCTGGGATATCCGTAAAGGGCTTGGCCACACAATAGGCATAGAGGGCGGCCAAGATCAAGGTGCTGAAATCCATGACAAGAAGGATTGGTAGCAGGACGGTCCGAAATTTGTGCAGTCGGTACAGGACAGGGTTGCGAGGTCGTGGAGGAAGCGCTTGGTCCATCTGGGCTGTCGTTGATTGAGACCGACGACTAGAGATCAGGAAGGCACCATTGCCTGAGCTCGTCCGGCGAGGATCTAGTCTCATACTGGAGGGTGTTTGTGTTGGTGATTAGGGATTATGGTTGTCTTTCGTTGGGAGAGTTCGTCCAGCGTCCAGTGCAATAAGGAAAACGATGTATACAGCAAGACAGACCTGCCACTATCATACACCGACGGGAAGGGCAGTATTCAGGGAGGAGAGGAACCAAAGAGATGCAGTGTCAAAACAGCAACGCAGAGGAACACGAGGCAAAGGCCATGTCTATTATCCTTCGGGCTCGCCTACCTGGGTCGCTTGTTGTTCTGTTGCCCATGTCCTCGAGTTAGGTCAGCGGTAGATGCCACAGACATCATGGGCTGGGCCAAGAAGTATGGCGTCGCTGATTGCACAGAACACAGGTGGCCTGGAGAGGCGCAGGGCACATCCTCGACCAGTGCATGGACATGGCAATACACAAGTTGAGGATCGAGGACGCAAGATCGGTTAGAGGTTCGTGGGCCGAACTATTCTTATCCCACGCGGGTAACAGAGCCTCAGAGCCTCAGATGGCAAGAAGCGACGACATCCAATGGATCTAGCGGCAGTCGTGGAAGACTCGACGTGGATGGCGTCATTGACCTCTGGAAGGGCATTTGGCGTCTAATTGTGGCAGAGATGAAGGGGGCTTGAAGGGCTGTTTCATGGTGGACGTTTCAGCAATTATTGCCGCCCATTTTCTTCCGCGGCCCCATCTACGGCGTCTCAGATACTTGCTTCTACCGAGTGTCAGAGGCATGTGGAAGGGCGAACTCGTGTGAAAGCAATTCTATTCCATCAGGTACGTCCCTGTGAGAGATGTTCTTAAACACCAATCCAGTCAACAAGGATGCCAGAAGGATATGGATACGAAATATATATCGTCGACATACCTCGTACAGTATGTGCTGGGATGTCATCGTCAGGCCCACTCATTCCTTTCATCTTGCCTGCTACGACGAATCATCATCTTCCTATCCACCACATCTCACCCGTCTGATATATATACACACAGGGAATATGTGTCTGATGAGCAACAAACTCTTCCATTTCCTTCAAACCAGCTCACCGACACACAGAAGCATCCTTTTCCGGTGGAGGCTGTCGGTACGGACCCCGGCAAACCCTCTATGGAGATGCCCACTGCTTGTACGAGTCTGCAAGGGTCTTTAGCGGTCCTCGGGTCCCATTTCTGTTCGGTACGAGGCCATGGGCAAAATTGCCGGTGTATACGCAGACAGCAGCGGACCGCACACTCTCTCATGACGACGAGGCAAACAATCTCGCGGCTGGGACACGGATATTCGGCACTCTTTGTGCCTTTTTTCCCCATCGTCGTGGACCAAACGTGCCCCATCTCCAGGTACGCCTCAAGGCATCTCCCGGTGAGTGCCTACCTATTGACTCCCTATCCGTCACCGTCCTTTTGGCTCTGGAAGCCCATACTCGGGCCCTTTTGGAAACAACAGATCTTCTCCATTTACAGGTGGGCCTCGGTGCTTTTCTGCAGGGTGCTCTTGCATACTTGTATACTCATCCATTCCCCCGCTCCCTTGCCACATGTCGGTTTTGCCTTGATCCATGGAAAAAAAAAACCCAGCAGGTGGGAGAAAAAAGGCCCTTGCTCTGGTTTTTCCACTTTTTCCTGTTCCAGGCATTGCAGAAACGCATTAACCGTCTGCTTTGAAATCCGTTTACGGTCCTGCATTTTTCCTGTATTGGGAAGCTCTGCCATGCGTTGCAAGTCCCGTCAAGAACCCGTTGTGCGGCTCGATCCGTGAAGAGAGATCTCAGAAGACACTCCTCTCTGAACTGCTTGTTCTGTTCGTTGGTCCATTTTCTGAACCCCCTTTACAAGCTAAAGGCTTTCTCTCTCCGCGGCTACCACTACCTCCTTCTCCTCCAATCATGAGCTCTTCCACCATCCTCGAAGATGATCTCGACGAGAAACGCCAGACGGCGTCAAAGCCAGAGATGATCCGGGTCGAGTCGAACGTGGACAAGGCTATTGACGCAGAGGCCAATATCAACATCACGCCCGCCTCAGAGAATGGAGGCCTGGGAGAGGCAAACCGTGACGATCCAGGCCCTCCTCCAAATGGCGGACTGCGTGCATGGATGCAAGTCGTCGGTTCTTTCTTCTTGTTCTTCAATTCCTGGTAGGCCGTTGTTGACTCCCTGTCCCAACCAAATTCATGTGTTGTTGTTCCTCGACTGACCAACGTCCCAGGGGCACCGTCAACGCCTTTGGCGTCTTCCAAACGTACTACGAATCCAACCCGCTCTGGCACGCGTCACCCAGCGACATTTCGTGGATCGGGTCCATCCAGGCCTTCCTGCTGCTGCTCGTCGGGTTGGTGTCGGGCCCCCTGTACGATGCCGGCTACTTTCGCGAGCTGATCACCATCGGCGCGGTGCTTGTGCCGCTAGGATTCATGATGACCTCGCTGGCCAAGGAATACTGGCAGACGATGCTGGCGCAGGCGTTCTGCGTCGGGGTCGGCAACGGGTGCGTCTTCGTGCCCTCGGTCGCCATCCTCCCCCAATACTTCTCGTCGCGCAAGGCGCTGGCCAACGGCCTGGCGGCCTCCGGCTCCAGCCTGGGCGGGCTGATCTACCCGATCGTGTTCCGGCGCATGCAGCAGGAAGTGGGCTTCGCCTGGGCCACGCGCACCATCGGCTTCATCTCGTTCGTGACCGTGTGGTTCTCGGTGCTGGTCATGAAGCCGCGCCTCCTGCCCAAGCAGCGGCGGCCGCTGACCGACCTCGCCGCCTTCCGCGAGCTGCCCTACACGCTCTTCTGCGTCAGCATGTTCTTCGGCTTCGTCGGCCTGTACGGGCCCCTGTACTACATCGGGCCCTACGCGATCCAGAACGGCATCACCGGGGAGAACCTGGGCTTCTACCTGCTGCCCATCATCAACGCCGCCAGCATCCCAGGCCGCATCATCCCCAATACCATCGCCGACCGGGTCGGGCCCTTGAACGTGCTGTTCCCCTGTGCCACCATCGCCGCCGTGCTGGCCCTGGTGTGGATCGCCATCAAGTCCCTCGGAGGGCTGCTGGCCTTTGCCCTGGTCTACGGTTTCTTCAGCGGGGGATTCGTCTCGCTGCCCCCGGTCGCCGTCGTCACCTTGACCCGCGACATGAGCAAGATCGGCACCCGCATGGGCCAGTGCTTCTTCATCAGCGCTTTTGGTCTCCTGGTCGGCACCCCCGTCTCCGGCGCCATCCTCAAGAGCACGGGCAAGTGGTGGGGCGTGCAGCTCTGGAGCGGCGCCGCCATCCTCGTCACCGGGTCTCTGCTGCTCTGGGCTCGCGTGGTCGTCGCCGGCTGGCAGCCGATGAGACGGGCGTGAACATGGCTGCCTCTACTCTTCGTCTCGCTCGGCTAGAGTCAATATTCGAAGAGCCATAGCCTCCTTTCCGTACTTTGCGGTGCGGTGCGGTGCGGTGGATGGATCTCACTACAACCCAGCGACCTACCTAACGAGGTATGGGGACAGACACTAATTAAACCCGGCACAGTCCCCAGATCGGTGCTACTCGTGCTGTGAGAGGGGACTTATAAGTATGTCTTGTCTAACACACCACAGGCCGTGTGTCACACACGCCGCTCCTCTGCATTAATACGTTCCACGCCGCCTCGGAAACGCATCCGCGTCTAGCCACCAAAGTAACCTCCCAGTTTTCAGGAGGCCTCGTCGGGTCTAATTGCTAGCAAACGAGACACCTGACATTATCGATTGCATCTTGTTCACCCTCGAGCCGATGCACATGCGATATGAGACTGGTGCTGGGCTCTGGATATTTTGTACCCTGGAGTGGATGCAGTGGAAGCAGTGGATGGATGGATGGGGATGGATGCTCTGGTGGACGGCCCATCCGTGCACACACACACACACACACACACACACACACACACACACACACACCATGGCTCGACGATGGAGTGAAAGTATCAGGGGGCAACGTGGGTGGCTTGGGTGTGAATATGAGGATGGCGAACGCGCATAGTAAATAAATCTCTGCAGTTCGTGCCGGTCCGTAGACGCATGATCGGAGAAGGCAGTTTGGCAATGAGACGACTCGTGTATTTGAAAATATAAAGAAAGAGAATATGGGCGTTGAAAGTATATAGCACACGCACGCACACAGAGTTCGTCTGTCGGTCGATCTATGGCTTGCCTGCCTCTGTTGTGGATTTTTCTGTTGCGACATTCATGGCTGATCGTGATTCCCCCATGTCCTTTTGCTTCTTTCTATCTACCAGGCCAGGCCAGGCCTCGTGCACCTCTCTCTCATCATTACTATCATTCTCTATTGTATTATTACACACAATTCACCACGCCGCCACGTCCACCAGATTCAACCAGTTGACTACCCCCATGGCCTTGACCAAGTTGCCCTTTAAGTCTAGGTGGACGCCGTCGTACTTCTCGGCCTGCACGCTCATGTTCCAGGTGCCCATGGCCTCGACGCCCCGGCGGGCGACCTCGACGCGCACGCCCTCCTCGAAGATCATCAGCGCCTTGTCGCCCTGGCTGACGAGCCACTGGTCGGGTTTCCGGATGCCCGCGGCGTTGGGCGTGATGAACAGGCGCGGCCAGATGGAGTGCGCGTGGCGCTGGGTCGGCGTGGCCGCCGCCGACGACGAAAGGTAGGGGGCCTGGAGGAGCGTGTGCTCCAGGATGCCGTCCAGCCAGTTCAACGTCGCCCCGAGGTCGAGGTCGTTCCACAAGCCGTGCCCGAAGATGAAGGCGTACGGTTTGGCCGGTTTGGTGGGCGACAGCAGGTCCCGGTAGCGCTGGACTTCGCCGCTGTCGAGTGGGAAGCGCAGCATCATCTCGATCACAAGGTCGATAGGGGTATCAGGCGGACAGGCCAGGCTCGACGGATCGTGTTCCTGGACGGAGGAGGTGGAGAAGATGCCTTGGACGGAGCAGGATTTGACGTCCATCTGGTGGTTGCAGAAGCAGTCCTGTCTATTTTATGGGCATTTAGTCACCAAGACTTGGCTAGCCTCCGGATGGAACGCGAGCTTGGACATACAGTTCTTGTTCATTGAAATTCCAGTTCGTTACGGCGCCATATCCAAGATCTTTGCGTAGGAGCACGTTCAACGCTCCCACCACATGTCTCATCATGCTATCTCCCACGACAATGACCCTTTCGAATCGCGAGAAAATCTCGCAGACTTCTTCTGTAGTGAACCAGCGCATGTCGCATGCAAGTGGGATGAAAGGGCGATCAAATCCAATCCGCCCTCCTCCAGAGAAGGCCTGCAGGAAGTCCTCTCGTGTGGCACACAAGGGGGAAAAGGCTGCATGTAGGTCAAGAGAGGAGATTTGGCATTTGCTGTGATTTCGCCAGGCGTAGTTTTGGAAGGTATCGATTGTGTCTGGTGCTCGATAGGTGGAGTTTTCGGGCGGCTCGAAGGCTGGGATAGAGGCGGTGGATGGATTGTAGCCAAATTCGACGTTGATACAGCCCGAGAGACCAAGGTAGCGGCCAGGCTGAAGGTCTAGTGTCAGTGTATGACGACAATGCAGCCTCTGGAGCCTGCAATTGAAGGGAGGGGGACGTACCAATAGGCCATAGTGAGTCAATGTACACATGACAAACCATACGGCGACAAGAATTAGGAGAGCCTGGATAACGCGCCGTTTCAGCATCATGCGTAGCGAAACACCTTCCTGACCGCGCCGGCTTCGAGGTCTTCAACGTTGGGAGAAGGCGGACGAGGAGGAGAGACGAGAGAGATGCGGGCGATGGTGATGGTGACAGTGAAAGATTGCTGGGCCGGAAGAACTATTCACCGATCAGTATCAGGTTGTCCCAAGCGGTCGACAAGGATACTCACCTCGTCAGGTTGTTGACTATACAGCTGTTTTGAGAAAGTCGTCTATGAGGGTGAGGCAGACGCCGTATCCTGCCACGGTCTTCACTGTTGCTGCCATAGCCTAGCCTTGACCATCTTCCCATATTAACCCTGGGACACACTGTTCAACAACTGCTGGTCGTACCTTTGCACTCGGAAGGTCCCCTGCCATCAAAAGACAGGATGAGATCTGTATTGTGCACAAAACACTTGATTCATTCGTTCACTGTCACCACTCAACGAGCTCCGTCACACACGGGTCGACAGCCAGCCTCCAGAAGTGGGCTGCAGTGGCTCTTGCAGGAGTGGTAGAGTCTTCTGCCTCCGCAGTTCAACTTGTAGATTTTCTTCATCCCATCTCCTTCTCTCCGTTCGAGCCTTTTCTAGCTGTTGTGTTCTGCCCAGACCGAGTCCGAACAGCCCCTTGCTGCTCTCGACTTCTTGTTCCTTTTTCGCCGCAAGTCGCGCCATCTGTTGGGACATGGCTTTCCAGTTTTGGAGGCCGGTTTCCAAACATTCGCGGCATCGATCCCTTCCATCTTGCTCCTTCTGTTCGTCCATGACCCACATGATGGCTTCGGCGGCTTCAACACTGTCTCTGGTCCAGCTGAGGCCTTTTGCTCGTTCGCTATCACTTGTGGCGAACAGGATTTCGCCAATGTATGTCATGAGTCCGACCTCCTCACAAGCTTCCTTCAAGGTGTGATATGGCCTTTCGTTACCGGTAGGTGGAGGTGGAGGATACGGCCTCTCGACCAATAGGTCTTTCAAAGCATATACGTAGGACAACCAACTGTCATCCTTCTTCTCCGGTTTGACTCTTGACGGTCCAATGGCTGGGCCAAGGGGAGACGCAGGCAGAGTCTTCCTGGCTCGCAGAACGCTTAGGAACACCGGAAGAGCTTTCTTGACGTTCCCTTCTCTGACGTGGTGCACTCCGAATGCAGTGCAGACTCGCAGGATGTTGTCGCTCACGGCATCTTCTCGCCCTTTGAGAATCAACCCCGACTGCACGTCTATCACATCCGCAGTCCCCGTCGGCAGACCGGATTGAGCAATCTCGGCGGCTTTGACGTACATTGCCTCAGCTGCGTTACTGTTTCCCTTGAAATCACACCAATCGGCATAGGCCAGAGCTGCGTCGAGTCGTTGCCGCGTATCAAAACCAATCGTGTTCAGTATCTTTTCGTAAAAAACAGCCGGAGGGGGAAATGCGTCTTCCACTTCCTCAAAAGTGGGTGGGCTGATATGACCGTATTTCCTGTCGTACGGGAGTGGTTTCGGTCGTGGATTGTTGGGTGAAGGGATACTCTCCCAGGGATACACGCGGCCTCCTCCGGTGTCTCCTTTTAGCTTGCACATCCCCTCCAGATGTTCGGCCACCCGTGCAGCCCCCATGAGGGCTTCATGATACCCTCGGCGCCATTGCTCACTCTTCGCATTCACGTCGAACCCTTCGGTCGTGTCCGAGGCCTTCTCCGCGTGCTTGATGAGAAACTGGCCATCCACCTTTTCATTCTCCAGCCTTTCGAGGACGCTCAGATATAGCCGGCCAGCTTTTGCCCAATCCGTCAGAATCTGGTTCACCTTGGCGCCGTCTGCAAGCTCCGTAAATTTTGCTTCCCGCATCCACCACCGACTCCAGAACGACCAGTCCCCGGGTGTGGGATAGTCTCTTTCAAGCTTGGTGTGCACCATGCCCATGGACAGGATGGTAAGCAGGAGAGCCGCTGGCCACAGGTAGGCATTGATCCGGACATATCGCCAGAATTGTTCTTTCCAGCGCTGTTTGCGTTCGGTCGAGATGAATCGTCCGACATGTGTTTGGAGCGTGTTGCCACGGGGGAAGGGATACAAGAAGGGCAGCTGCGGGCGGAGGATCGGTCGAGCCACCACGAGCAACGAAGCCTTGTGCGTAAAATACCTGGACCGCGGAGGTCTGGAGGAGAAGAAATCGTAGGTTCGGATGCTTGGGCGACAGGTTCTCGAGCTCCGGCCGTAAGACGCCGCAAGCTTTGACAAGGACATGGTAAGTCAGTGGCGCTCAATCGGCACCACGGCCGTCGAGGTCTAGATGGAATGCCTCTACGCGTATGAGATTGTATTGTCGCAAGAGCTATTACCTATTGACCCATCTCCATGGACTGATGAGGAGTTGTCGATCTCGGTCGAGCATTAATACTCAAGCGCAGATTGTACGGTGGTTCACAGTCTCCATGATGTATAAGGCTGTCCATTTCCAACTCGGCATCATTGAAGCACTTTTATTTGAAGCTGTTTGCAAGAAAGACCCTGGTACAATCTCAATGTTGCTTGGTATGGGCACGGACATCGAACTACTTCCTGCTACCAAGGGCTTGCGGGCTTTGGCACTCGATGCTGGCTGCCCCGATGGACCACGTTTGTACGGCCTCGACTCGGGTTTGTCATGCCCAATATGCCATTGGTGCCATATGATGTTTGGGAGATAGTCTTCTGTCATGAATCGGATTCGGTCCGTCTTCACCGCTCAACGCATCCAGAGCTGGTGCCCCGTGCACCGCATGCTTGGTGCCTGAGAAAAAGCCCTCGAGTGTCGCACCGGGGGATCTCTCCGCCGGCATCCCCAGCCAGCTTCAAGCCACCACTGCATGCTTTGGGCGCCCAGCAGTTCAGGGGGGGCCCGGCGAGACACGATCTTGGTCTTCGACTTGCTATGCCGGAGCAGCTCAATTGTCAGCACTAGCGATGCGTGCTTGAACTGTTGAACATTTCTTACCAATCTTCGTATTCGATCCTCACCCAGAACATGATTCGAAGGCAGGAAAGGTCTCTTCTGGTTGACGTTTCTGCAGAGCCTAAGCGAATGATAGGTCTTGCATGGTTTGGGGCAGAAACCCGGTTCAAGTTCTGAATTTGTATTCCTGCTCGAGGGAGCAGTTGAGGTCTGTAGACACTATGATTTATCGTGTATGTCACGGTGGAATATTTTGTCGCATGAAGCGTCAGAAAAGTCAAAAGTCAGGCCCGCCTCCTGAGCCCATGCCGATTATCCAAGAAATTCCTTCTCGTCAAATGCACGACAAGCCTCCTCTTTCGGTAGAATCTCGTCACGTCCGAGGGATCTGATCGTCCTGAGTGTGTCCAGTTTCCTCAATCATCCAAAGCAGAGATTTTTAGCGAGTGACCTCCATCCCGTTGGCACCTGTGAGTCGCGCTCTGAAATCTACGCCTTTGGCGGCGGCGGAGAACAGATTGTCGCCTGGCTGCGTGCGTGGCTAGTGCGCGGTGGAGGCGCCGCCTGTGTTTTTGTGCCCGTTCATCAAGACCGAGATGATTGATGGACAATGTAATCGACGTTACCGAAAGGGCGTCCGAAACTTTTCAAACCCTGGTTTCTCCCGTCGTTGGACCCTGAAGCAAGGAGGAGACCAAGCCACGTGTGGTAGTCTCGTCCCCTTACTCGAAGACGAGGCAGCCTTAAACCACGGCGAGGATACTCAAGCCCAAGGCCAAGGCGATCATCATGGACCTTGGTAGACCCATCATGCCTGCGCCGTTGCTCTGCTGCACCAAAGTCGAGTCCTCGACCACCTTGACACATGTCAGATGGGCTTCCGGCAAGACCTTGCCCTGAGCGTTCGAAGGAGCAGACGGGTTGTAGAAAACGGTCAGCACGGGCGTGATGCTGTAGAAGAATGGCGCAATGTCACTTGACACATCTTCCGAGGTGACTGTTTGAGTTTCGATCAGGGCGATATTGTATTTTGTGCCGCTCGACACGCTGGAAGACGGGTGGCAGGTCGTTTGGGCGATTGGGGCGTCAACCGGGGATTGAGGACCGGTGATCTCTGGAGACTCGAGTCAGCAGGCACGTCTCTTAGTTGGAGACTTGAGTGTCCAATCCCACCTTTGGGCACGATAGTTCCCCATGTGACCGTTGCTATCGTTTGACACGACTGCGGAGGGTTTGCCTCCATGGTGGTCTGTAAAGCAGTGCACACCGAGTGATTATCGAGATTGGTTGTGGAACCAAGCGTCTGCACCTGCATCTTGGCTTGAGACAGGAGATCATTCACGCAAGCATCCTGCAGCGTCTGGCCGCATGTGACCGGTCCATATTCCGTGACGCTATTGAGCGGTAGACTCCTTGCAATCCCTTCGAAGAACAATGCACAGCCTGCAAATCCACTGGGGTTCGCCAGGTTCATCGACGGAGGGTAGCCGAGGTAGAAGTTCTTCGTGAACGTGATGTCGTTCGAGTTGGACGACGAGGCCCCGACGGTCCAGGTGAGCGGCGCATTGCTTGGTGACAGACTGGTGTTGAATGAGGCTGTGCCGATGAACGAACTTGTGGTGTTGCCAAGCGTACATTCGTTGTTGGCCCCGCCATTGCAGTCAAGGACGTCGCAGCCAACCAGCTGGGACGAGGTTTGCTGGATGAGGAGCAATAAGCATATCGCCAGGACCCATGTGTGGCAGAGGACCACATGTCCTCTTCGGTCGTGGGCAAGAGACATCTTTCACGAGCAACGACAGCGAACCAAGGGCAGAGATGAGGTCGAACAGAAGGCCATAACCTCTTACCAAACCGCGCGGACAAACAAGAGGTCAAGGCAAAAGAGCGGTTCGACCGCATATTATGAACCTCGTTCTTTGGACCCTGCGCAAACTCACCTGTACATTGAGTTTCCACTTGGATGCATGTCATATGCATGCCGCCAACATGAAACACCTCCTCATGCGAGCGGTTCGGCGAGAATTCAGAATCCAAACGCAAGCACTCCCGAGAAAATCCATAATTAGCAATGCAGATTGTTCTGTGGGTCCGGTCAGCGCTTACCTTGAGTTAAGTTATTTTATGCCACTTGAAGATGGCGGTGTGCCATTGGCTGACAATATTATCTGATGGGTCAATTGCCGCTGGCCTTGATTGGCCCACCAGCCCATTCTGAGCGCTTAACGTTGCTAAACTCGTCGAGCTCGGTCAAGATTGGACAGTGGAGTATCTGCCCCATAGAGCTTATCCATTTTCAGCCCTTTCGCTCGGCCTGGCCTCGAGGACTAGAACCTGGGCGACAGGTCTGAAGTGCTGAGGGTGGTACGCGGGCAGCCAATGGTAGATACTGTAGCTCTTCCTGCAAAATTGCCCCCTTCGACTGAGTTCGCCCTTCCAAAAGTACAGTTTCATTTACAAAAAGCGCCGAGCCAGAGGTGGCAGACCGCAAAGTCGATTGCTCAGTATTGTTTGCCGCCTTTCCCATATTTCAGTCCATACTATATTAAGGGAAAGAGAGGCCGTCCTTTTCACCCAAGGGAGCATAGTTGAGAGAACCAGAGCGTACACGAGACGTACCAGCACCACAGAGGGGCTGTGCTGACATAATGCTGTGCGTCGAGCTGGAGCAAGGCTGAATATCCCTGAAGGTGAACTCGAGCACATATACTTACACTAATTACAATTATCTTCACATGGAATCATGCATCGAGAATACTGTGGCAGGACGCCCAGACGGCCGAGCCCGCAACGACACGAATAGTGAAATACAACATCTGTTGTCTCTTGTGAAAGGATCAATTTGACTCTGTAGTGCGCTGCATGCATGAAATGAACAGACGAACAATGCTATGCTAAAAGTAATCAGATAATATGCTCGCACAGCTTCCCGCTCGAACAACTCCATGCAGCCACTCCGCGCTCACACTTGATGTAATCATGCAAAGCCTTTTGTTTGTCTGAAAACCGGCTCAGGTCAAAAAGAACCTGGGATGCCTCGACTGTGCTGACATGCTGAGAAAAGACATGCGTTTCTGAAGCCGGAACACCCTGCTTGCTCGCTCGAAACAGATTTTCTCCGTCGCCAGATCACATCGCGATCTTTTATCGTAAAAGTCTAGAACGGGGCGTCGCTGGGATTAAGGCATGCTGGTCGACCAGTCGTCCTCGGTTTAGAAAGTCATCTTCATTGAGACGTCATTTCGATGCGTTCCGCGTGTACTCAATAAACATATGCTTCACAAATTCCCGAAAATGTATTCTGTCCCTACTGTGTCATTGTAACATCCTGGTCAGGATCAACGGTAGGCCCGGTGTCCTCCACTTCAAAACGAATGTCTGGTGTTGGTTCTGTGTGCGTGAGAGACGTCCTCCTGACACGTTCTATCAGATTCGGAGGTAAGAATGGTAGTTCGATCTGCCGATCGGATTCAATTCGACGCAGGTCTGGTCTCAGTTGATCGGCAGCGTCAGCTTCTGCGAGTGCCCGTAGCATTGCTTCCCGGTGTGCTTCTTCCTCCATGCGGGATCTTTCTCGGCTTCGCCGCTCCCGACTACTGCGCCTTGGGCCTTCTCCTTGACTCGGCGGAGTTGACGAGTAGCTTCGTGGAGGCGCCAGAAGACTACTCAATCGCGACCGACTGTTCACCCTGGATAGGCGAGGACTATTAGATCGTGATGGGTGTCGACTACCAGGTCGACTACCTGGAATGGTAGACATGATCGCTTCGTGGTTAGCGTCAAAGGCGCTGAATCCTGGCTCAGGTCGCAAAAAAGACTGCCGCACATCGGCTGGGTTCCTGAATGATGCTCCTGGAACGTGCCTTCGAAGCGGTTCTGATGCGAACAAATGCGAACCTGTCCAGCCGGGAAATCTCCTGGGATCGTCCAGCCCGAAATACCCAGCTCTAGGATCCTGTGAATAGTGACCTAGTTCGGGAGGCCGAGAACTGCTTTCTCCAGCCCCATGGGCTGGAGTGGGAGCGGTGTAGAGACTTGAAGTGGACTCTAAGGTATGCCTCCGTGACGGGGTACGAGATGTGCTCCTTGCACGCTCGCCGTATCCCGCGGCTACATCAAATGCGTTGGAATAGCCAGGGCTTCGTGACCGGCGCTCGTATGGCTCCGGCTGGTAAGCGTTGTTGGCGGTCACGATATTGACGTGCGGCGAAGCTTGAGAGGTGCGAGATTCAGGCGGCAGACGTGAACCAGGGGTCCATGGGCCCATATGTTGCACCTGATCGAACGGCAGTAGTGGCATCTCAACATGAAAGCTGGAATAGTCGTGTAAACTTCGTGTCCGGGGTCGTGATTGATGTGTGTTGACCAAGGGCAAGCCGCGATGCGAGTTCATCAGGGCATGATCCAGGTATTGCTCATTCCCGTCAATTGTACCATCATCCGACATGGTGTCGGCACCTGGGCTGTCCGCTTCGTCGACCAGACTCTCATCAAGCGCATCACGACTTTCTCGCTGTGCCTCATCCATGGCAAGACGCAGGAGGTAGTCACGAAGTCGCTGGACTCCGTCCCCTGAAAAGACGCAGAATACATCTCTTTGGGGGTGCGTGAACTCGGCCGGAGCATCGCGGCAGAAGCAGGTCAAATCATCGCGGAGAAATGCTTGCACACCGGTCAATGACAAATGGGTCAGCCGAGGGCAATGGTGAAGAAGTGCCGTGATTCCCTATTCATTGATTAGACAGAGTGATAATCTGACTGGGTTGCTCGTACCTTGAGCGTCAAATTCACGCAGTAGCTAAGATGTACTCGCTCGAGCGATACGAGCTGGGAGGGCACCCCTATCTTCCCCCCGGAACTGAACATGAGCGGGCCTCGAGCCAGGGCTATAATGCTTTGATCCGTTAAGTTCTGACATTTGACCAGGCCAATTCTGCGAAGCTTCGGAAGTTGTGCCAAATGGCGGACGCTGGCGTCCGTCAGCCGGGAGCAACATGCGAGATCGATATACCGAATCCGGTTGCAAGCTTTCACAAGCTGGATGACCGCATTGTCCGTTAGGTTGATACAATGCCCTAGATGAATGTAATGTAGGTTTTTAGTCAATTTGCAGATGGAGGCAACTGCGCGATCTGTAATGTGCCTGCACTTTGCCAGCACCAAATTCCTTAGACGAGGTGCAGCCGGAATAATTCTTGCAATGGCATCGTCTCTGACCTGCTCGCAAGCTGTGAGATCCAAAATCCGTAGCGCGTCGAAGGAGAGCCTGGGCGGGAGATTCGTAAAGGCTGAATCATTGATGTCGATGCAGTGAGCTAGACGCAGCTCTCTCATATTCGACAGATTGGAGAGTAGTGCAGTGACGGATTCTGAGGTGATGGCATGGCAACCAGCGAGGTCAATTTCTAGGATTGAGCGGCAATTTCTCGCAACTGCCGTAATGGATAGATCTGTGGCTCGCGACACGCCATTGAGTTTCAGTCTTTTGAGTTGTCTGCAATTCTCGGCGATCTCCACCAAAGACTCGTCGGTGATGTTGGTGCAATTGGTGATGTTGAGGCCCTGCAACTTGGCGCAATTCTGGGCTACTACATGTAGAGTGCGGTCTGTCAAGGACTCAAGGTCGGTAACATCAAGTGCTTGAAGCTTCCTGCAGCCATCCACCAGGCCCACAACACCAAAATCGGTCAGCATGGAGCAATTGGTCAGGGTCAGGCGCTCGATACTCTTGCATTTCATAAATGGCTGGACCGTGCCATCGTTGACCTTGTCTGCAATTGCGGTTAAATTCAATCTCTTGACCATCTCCTGGTATGGAAAAAAGGACTGGTCGCCCTTCTCCAAAGTTGTGACAACGTTCAGAAGGTTTGCCCACTTGTTGCACAAGGGGCGATGCCACAGAATGCCCACCGCGTACAATGCCCAGTGATAAGACACTAGCATACAGTTTCGCAGGTCAGATGTCGTGGTCAATTTCGCCAAGATCGCAATGAGGATTTCGGGAGGTAGCTTGGATATGGGGGAGAGACGATGGACTTGATCAAGATCGACGTCGTCGTCGCAGTCACGAATGGCCGTGAGGGCCCCCAGAGAGGACTGCGAATCGTTGGCATGGGCCATAAAGTAATCGGTATCTTCATCATCGCCTGGACATGGAGAACTGTCTGAGCTGTCGGATTCGACGGTGACAGTACTGAGGTTTCGTGTGTGGATGGGGGCAAGGCGAGACCGCGGTTCGTCTGCCATGCCTGCGGGATCAGGCTGCGTGAGAGGATAAGATGAGGGAGGCCGTGTTTATAGCAGAAGCGTCACGAGTATATTAGCGTTCCACGGATCTTTGCGTCTCTAAGAGCAGAAACCAGCTCCTCGAAAACTCCTTCAGAGATGACCTGATAGGTAAAGAGTCATTGCTTGGTGGTGACGCCGTCGGTTTGCTTGTTTTCGAGGGGAAGGGAGGTTCGGCGCATCCGGTTGCGGCGGTGAGAGGTCACGACGTAAACGGAGTATGCATATGCATTACACCCTGAACAGAACGTGATAATATGATATGCAGCGTTCGCCTAGGGCTGTAATGGGATGAAGAGGCAGGGAAAGGGTAAAAAAGAGGTGGTGCGGGAATGGGCGTGTGTCGGGCGCAGAGAGTTGTTTGAAGAACGGTGGTCGAAAGATGCAGCCGAATGAAGGATGGAGGAGTCAGGGAGTGAGAGAAAGGAGGCGTTCGGGGGTCACAAGTGGCAGAGTGGCTAGTGGCGCTGGGTCGAGGAAGCGACAACCTCCTACGAGTTCACGCGCCCAGGCCCTGGGACACCCTCGCCCCCCTCGCCCGGGCTACACTAGGTAGGTGCTAGGCTGCAGACTGCCACTTGACAAATCAACTTTATTCCCCAGGCACCTAGGTGCCCCTGGCACCCAGAGAGACACCTAATATTTCTTTGCTAATACGGGATATGTGTATGCAATACTCCGACCTCCCTACCAGATTTGATCTACGAAGACGCTCGACATTCCCAAGAGCCCTTGCTTTTGGCTCACGGGAGATCAACAGTGGGCAACAACGACTTCTCCATTATTTGGTACCCGGTTCCTACCCGCAGGATGTTGAGCTGTGTATCCTCTTGTGATCTCAGCTGCCAAGTTTGGCTGGTGATACCGGGTCCTTCTGCCAGGGTCGGGTCCTTCCAAGTACCAGTAGTTGATGTTTACTTGGGAAAGCCTGTGACCTTTTCTCCCAAAGACCTCTCCAGGGGAGGCTCAAAACAGTCAATCAGCATAAGGGAAGCCTAGTTAGGCACTGTTATTTGATCAACACCAGGTCCAAACCCCAGCTGCTGGGGCCCTAAGCTTGGAGCATCGCATTGCTACTGGCAGACTGCTTAGCCACTTGCCATCAAATATCTTGCCGGAGATTCCACATGGTTTGTTTCCCCTGCTGCACCTCACAACGCTCTTTACATCATACCCTTACCGGATACTCTGTCAACCTACTGCCGACTATTGTTGCAGTGACCCAGAGTGGGCGCAGCAGATCTTGATTCTCGAACCAACAACACCCGAAAGAGACCCCTCGATGGATCCTCACTCTCGGAAACAGCATGCGAGTCCTGTATGCCATATTCGAAGCCTGGCCAGTTTGCGCACCCTGATCATCTTACCACCCAGGCCTGTCCACTTCTCTCCAGACTCGTGGTCGACCCTCAACTGTTGAGATTTCCTCTTCGTACAGACTGATTTTGTGCAAACCCATCATTCTGTCCACCCTCTCTTCATCAGACTACGAATCCACCCTGCTCTCCCACATGACGTGCTCTGCATACCACGGGAAGGCTATGGGGGCGGCGACTCGAAGCTCCGTGACGCCGATAAAGATGCATGCCTAGGGTTGTCGGCTGCAGCTATTGTCTTCCAACCGGCCAACATCCCCCGATCCTTCACGCCAAAGGCTTGATCCCGTCTTCCGAAAAAGCTACATGTTATAAAGAAGGTCCAGACATTTAATAAAGAAGGATCTAGAAGGATCAAGCCGACAGCGTCAACTCCATGTTGGATGGGCAGTTCGATCAGAGGAAGCATGGGTTCTACGAGTGCATCGGTGCGTTGGCTGTTTCTGCAAGCAAAGATCGGCTGTGCTTTACCCAAGTGCGAAGGGTAAAAGGCTCGACACTGCGACTACTGCTCCCGGCAGGCTCCACACTTTCTACGGCTGTCCCTATTTCCAAGTTCGTATGCTATGAATCTTGCCGATCCTGGTGGTCCGGCTTGAGCCGAACCTGTCCCGCAAAAAGTCAAAAGGCGAGCTCCCATGTCGATCGACAACGCGGTCACTTTTGGGCAGTTACAAAAGATTGAGGAGAGCCGTGGCTGCTGTGCAGACTAAGATAACAAGCCAACAGATCTTCCGGCTACGAAGACCGCTACGCATACCCGAAAGAGACAAGCCTCGAACACAAGACGACTTGAATTACATCAGGACCATATCAATGCTCAGAAGGTATGTACATCGTCGATAAGATTGTATGGACCCCATGCCCCTCAATCCAACTGTTAGGCATCAGCCTCGCGGACCACAGTGAGTTACGCCCTTAGTCCTTTTCTCTCTTTGCGCCTTTGGCCCATTCTCGGAGTACATTTTTCCTGATCTTGCCCGTGCTGGTTTTGGGCAATTCGGGGACAATTTCGACCTCTCGTGGCACCATGAAACGGCTGATTCCTGGGTGGTCGCGCGCCCATTTGATCACGTCTTCCCCCGTCACCTTGACGTTCGGTTTGACGGTTATAAAGGCTTTGGGCCGTTCGCCCCAGTGACTGTCGCTGACGGCAGCCACGCCGCACTCGAGGATATCCGGATGCGTGACAAGCATCGATTCCAACGCGACGGAAGATATGTTCTCGCCACCTGGTCAACATGTTCAGCAATTTGCCCCTCACAGCATTTCTGCAGGCAAAGACTTACCGGAAATGATGATGTCCTTTGCCCGGTCTAAAATCTGGACGGCTCCATCTTCATGCCATACCGCCAAATCTCCGGAGTGCAGCACACCTCCAAGGAAGAGCTTTCTGGTTGCGGCTTCGTCCTTGTAGTACCCTCTAGCGCAAATGTTGCCATTGAACACGATCTCTCCTATCTCTTTACCATTTTTCTCAACATCAACAATGGTGCCCTCAGGTACATCGGTCTTGATCACTCTGACAGGCAGTGATGTGATGAAGCCGTGACCTTGACGAGCCATCTTGGCATATTTATCCTTGACATTTGAGAACTCGTGCCATTCCGGCAGGATATATCCTTTTGTGATTGGACCATATGTCTCAGTGAGTCCATAAACGTGTACTGGGTGCAAATTCAGATTTGTCATTTGCTCAAATAGATGTGCTGTCGGAGGACTGGCCGCCACCGTGACTCGCACGGGCTTGGACAGCCTCTGGGCGTTGGAATCCGCGCATAGAAGCGTGTTGACGGTCGGGGCTGCACAGTAATGGGTGATGCCTTCGTCCTTCAGCAGCCGCCAGATCTCCGGGTAGTCGATTTTGCGAAGACAGTAATGTGTTCCTCGCGCAGCAGTCACGGCCCAGGGGAAAGTCCAACCCATGGCATGAAACATGGGCAGGGTCCAGAGATACTTGCACCGCTCACCATCATGATACGCAAGACCGGATTCAATGATGTTGCCCAGAGCTCCCAAATAGCAACCTCGATGGGTGTACTCGACGCCTTTGGGTCGAGCGGTTGTCCCACTTGTGTATGCTAAGGCATTGACGGCAAGTTCGTCGGGCGCCTGGGCCTCGAGGCCATCCCAGCCACGAGATCCGAGTGAGGTATCGTATCGGAGGCCCTCGAGCACGGCCTGATCGAAAGGTCCACATAGCTCGCCCTCGACAGCATCCGTGTCTGTGTCGATGATGATGGGTACGTCAGGATGGTTTTGCCTATAGTCGTCGAGCAAGTTCAGGAACTCGGCGTCGACTACTATGGCATCCGCATCTGCATGGTCGAAGATATAGGCGATGTCGTCCTTTTTCAACCGATAATTGATGGCGATATTGATCGCACCTGCGGCCCCAATGCCGAAGACGGCCTCGAGGAAAGCCGGGGTATTCGTGGACAATATCCCGATTCTCTTGTATTCCTTCTTCTTGATATAATACGCGAATCCTCGAGCTCTGTCGGCGAACTCGATGTACGACCTTCTCAGGATTTTGTTGTTGGCCGTGCGATGATAGATGGCTGGGGCGTTAGGCTCGATGGATGCTGCGCGGGGAAGAAAGAACGCCGGGGAAAGAGTATGGACGTTGTACCATGACAGAGTACCCACGGTGTGGTTGTCGATGCTGAGATTGTCGATTGACTTGGTGGATGGAAGCTGAGCGCTGGCAGGGAATATCTGCGCTGCCAAACTGGACAGGCGCGATTTGGCGGAGGACATGGTTGGCACTCTGGGGGAGGTTGGCTGGGTCCTTCGGTGTACACAACAATCAGTTACGACATGGTGATGATGAGCAGCGGCACCAGGTGTGTGCTGCCGAGTTGTAGGATCCAATCCAGGGAGGGGGGTGGCCTATAAGTTCTCCAGATCTGGAGCTCATACCACCCACCTGAGGCGTCGTGCCACAAATGTCCGAGGCACTCAAGGTGCTGGGTCTGCTAAGTCTGGGGTAGTGGATGGCATCATGGGTGGGAGTTGAAACCCCGACTGCGCGGGCTTTGGGGGACTAGTGAGGCTTCGAAGCGGGCGACAGGCGCCCCTGATACGTCGGTCGGGCGGAACCACGGGGTTGCATAGTGGCTGTTGACAATGGAATGATTTCCGAACCCGGCCTTGAGTCTCCCGGTCGACTCTCGGAGAAAGCCGGGCATCACAGTCCTTTTGCGCCCGAGTAAAGCCCGCGACTTGCCAGCCTCGAGACACCATAGCCACTCTATCAGCCAGGTAGGCCAGTCACGATTGGGACCAGTTTGATTTGAAGAGATGGAAACTATTCGTCTCAGCCGCTGTCTCCTATCAGGGGATGGATCGCAGTGTCTTTTATGCTTGAAGGCGTTCGGCAAAGTGGATGCCGTAGTCCACCTTCAAGGTCGCCTGTGCTTTCAAGAGGCTTTGGTCTGCATCGATGTTTCTTCCGGACGAGAAGAAGCTTCCTCTCCCCCTCGCAGGGTCATCAAGCATATCCCAAGGACCAGAACGTCTCTATGTTCGTGCCGGTATCCTCATCAATATATGGGGTCGGCTCTCTCAGTGAGACATTTTCCCCGTGGATCTCAGCAATCTGTCCTGTCAAGGATGGATCTGATACAAGCTGTTGAACTCCTCGCGTCAGGGTGGACATGGGTGTGAGGATCATGGTCTTGAACAAGGCTTTGTCGGGAGCGATGTTTGTTTCTGGATACACCGGTCAGTGTCGACGTCACAGTGTCCCAGCAAGGAACCTACCGAGGACAGCGGGTGCCAAAGCATTGATCTGAATCGCCTCCCTCTCGAGCTGACGTGCCAGTGACCTCACCAAGCCGACGACCCCAAACTTGGACGCGGCATAAATTGGTGCGACTGCAAACGGATATAACCCGGCATTCGACGCTGTGCAAATGATGGAGCCTTTGGAAGGCATCGTGGCTCCGTTCACGACAGCATTCTTCTTGATATAGTGGATGGCCAACTTTACGGCTGTGCGAGAGCCATTAGACACATCTTCGCCTGCGCGACCGTTCCGAACTCACTGTATACTGTCCCAATCAAATTGACGTCCAAGGTATGCAGAGGTGGCTTTGAAGGCGTGTCCTCGTCCACGATCAAACTCGGTTCTTTCGATATCCCAGCATTGGCCATGACAACGTCGATCCGGCCTTGCTCCCGATAGATCTGCTCGAACACTGCAGCCAGCTCATCCCATTTGGAGATATCGGCTTTCATGAACGAGAAACTGGCGTTGGGATACTCTGACGACAGCCCTTTGACGATCTGCGCGCCGTCTGAGTTCACATCCAGGACCGAAACATGGGCACCATGTTCTGCAAATGAACGGGTGATTCCCAACCCTATCCCTGACGCACCTCCTGCATGGAATTGATCGATATCAGAAATCTGTTAGGTGAGACCGGGATGTTATTGCAGATACACTGACCTGTTACCACGACACTCTTCTTTACGGCCATTGTATCTGTATTGGAACCCCGGTGAGCAATTCTTGCAGAGGGAGTGCAATCTCAGGTTGTTCCACCTACAAACTAACAAACACTACAGGACCATCATCTCTCAAATATCCGGTCAATCCACCCTCCCGGTGACAGGCAGATGCTCGTCCTTCGACACGGAATTGCCCCACGAAATGCCCGTGATTTTTCCATGTGGGGCAGCACAGCCTTGAAGCCCCTTAGACCCCGATTCTCGCTGAAGGCCAGTCGAGCAATTGCCGAGAGCTAGGCAGGAATAGATGAGGCCAACTGGGAAATCCCCTCATCGGATATGGACCCATCTGCCTCTGGGAGTGTGATATGTGAGCATGGGTAAGCTTCAAACCTATGTGTTGTCCCATCCGTGCCAGGCAATAGCCTCCTTTCACGTGGAAATAGTTTGTCTTTCGCTCTCGACCCCCGGGACGTGTCGTTGATTCGAACCAAGCAACCTGATCGACTTCTCTGCTGGGCACAAGAAAAGTACTGAAAGTCTCCGTTACCAAACCACAATGGCAGAGGTAAATATCGAGCAATCAACTTTGGACTCGGTGAAGGGGAAAGTGGCGGTCCTTGCAGGTTGGTGAACATGACCCGTCTCGTTGATGGTCCTGGCAACTCACTCTCACACCCTTCATTTTCCCAGGTGGCGCTCAAGGGATCGGTGCAGCAACTGTGACACAACTATATCAATCGGGGGCTCATGTCTTCTTTGGCGACTGGGACGACACCAAGGGTTCGAGATTGGCAGACGAACTTCGAGCTTCGCCGTCAGAAGGGAGTGTGACATATCTCAAGGTCAATGTGCGGGATTACCAGTCGATCCTCTCTTTGTTCGACACCGCCTACAACCAGCACGGGCAGATTGACATTGCGATCTGTTGCGCTGCAGTGACAGAACGGCCGGGGTATTGGGAGCCGGAAAATCTGAACCTCCAGAGCGTGAGAGAGGTACGTGAGGTCGTTCGTTAGACGGGAGCCAGCCCCGTGGTGTATGGCTTGTCATGTTATGCATACCATGCCATCCCTCCTGCTCACAGTCGTCGCTCACCATGACAAATGCAGACGCCCACAGGCATCTCCGAGGTCATCGACATCAACCTGAACGGCACGTTATACTTTGCCCGGCTCGCCGTGGCCTATCTCAAGGAGAAGCACACCTTCGACCAAGCCTCGACGACGGCCAAATCCATCACCTCGTCAAAGTGCATCACGCTTGTCTCCTCGGTCGCCGGCTTCAAAGAGTCGCCGGGTCTGTTCGCTTATTCTGCGGCTAAGCATGGCGTGTTGGGCCTGATGAGAGCGCTCCGTCCGTTCACGGCGCCGTTGTACGGTCTGAGAATCAACGCCATTTGTACGTTCCACCATGCAGATGGCCCGAAAAAAGGGCCATGCATGTGCCTCTCTTCCCTCCCTTCGTCTCTCCCTTAAGTTGCTACTTACTTTCTGTAACCCCGCTTATTCACCTATCCCCCTCCGGGTCATTTATTCAATCAATGTAATTACTCACTCTCCGTGTCTCTCAACCACTCCAGGTCCGTGGGCCACCGACACGCAACTCCTGGCCGGCGTGCGCGCCGAGTGGGTCAAGCACGCGATGCCCATGAACCAGCCCCTCGACGTGGCCAAGTACATCATCCAGGTCAGCGCTGAGCCACGGACGCACGGCAAGGCCCTCTTCGTGGCCGGCGGCAAGGCCGTCGATATCGAGGAGGGCATCAAGAAGACCGAGCCCGTCTGGCTGGGCGAGAAGAACGCGCGCGACTTAGCCCAGGGGCAGGTCATTCTGGGACTGGTACGTGTTCTTATTGTTGTTCTTGATAGGTCTTTCCCTTGGATTTCGCTCTCTTTTTTCTCTTTGTCGTTTCCGCCCACCCATCCTTCCCTCATCCCTCTTTGAAAGTGGTGTTTGAGGAGCCGAACACCGCGCTTCTTGCAGCCAGAGAGGGAGGGGGGAGGGAACCCGGGGTTGCGAGCAACCATATCTATCAGGAACAACAAACAAGGGGGCTGACAACGACTATCTCGTTTGTAGGGTATGGACTGGGGGCACAACAATCCGAAGACACACGAGAAGACGAACGGCACTTCGACTTGAGACTTTGTTTTGAGGTGGGAGCTGGGCACATTAGAACGACGTAGAGGGACACAGTTGAGTAGGTCAAGCCAGCTGAATCTGGGGCTACAGAGGGATATGCCACACACGGTAGATGCTCTTGACCGTCTCATTCTGCTCCACGTCTTAGCAGACTGTGTATATGGCTTAGACCCTGAATGAGCGATCTAGACGCGTCAAGGCGAGAGAGGAGAAGTAGAGGAAAGAAAGAAAGAAAGTCACATTTGAGCGAGAAAAGTCTCCCGTCGAAAGAGAATCCCCTAGTGTTCCTTGCCCGCCTTGCTTGCCTCCGCCTTGGCTGCCTGCAGCCTCGATATTGGCCGGGTGTTTGAATGTAGCCCCCATCTCTTTGCCCACCTCAAGCTTCACCGATCTTGAAATGGGGGAATATCCAGGGTGATGACCAACCTGGAGTACAAAGTTCCGAGACTGGCCTCGTTGCCGTACTGGATGGAAAAGGATCAGAATAACCAGCCCAAAATCAAGGGAGTGGGATGGAGACAAATATCGGAGGGGGCAAGAACAACTGGCAAACAGACTTACTGCACCATGTACCAACGCCAACTCCTTATGACTCGCCGTGTTCAGCCACCTGACCTGTTTGACACTGATGTCGCGGGTCCAACCGTCCAGGATATCTATCCACTGGTGGTCCTCAAACAGGCCTGCGCGTGTGTAAGTCGATAGAACAAGGCCATCCGCCAGCAATTCGAAGTCGGGCTTTGCGTGCTTGTCCTGCAACTTCCAGATGCCCCACCCGTTCTGCTCCTTGCGCTGGTACAGCGGCTTCAAGTCCTCGACTCTGGCCGGGTCCTCGGTCCAGTATCTTTCCAAGAGATCTTCATAGCACTGGTTACGGCTTGACTTGCGCATCGCAATTACGTGACGGAGACGGACGGGGAGTTTGGTTGCGCGGAAGCATGCGTAGATCACCTTGTCAACTCCCTTCAGAGTGGCAGGAAGGGCGGCGGTCGTATCTCTAGACGTATGTGCGTAGGCGTGCACACAGTGGTAACCGAGTGTGACACCTAGATTGGAAGCAAAGAAACCGCGATTCAGCCATATTCATCTCAACCCCGCAATTCGCAACGTCTTACCGTTCTTGCAGAAGCCCGGGTTCTCAAGCAGCCTCTTCAACGTGTGGTACAGGTCTACCCGTTCCGGATCTATCAATGCCGTGTTTGCCGAACAAGTGGCGTACAGATTGTACGTCAGCGTCACGCGTTCGCCGGAAGTGACTTCAAGCACCTCATGTTCACAATCGCTGTAGAAGGCTGCCCATTGAATAGCAGTGCTGCTCTTTTCGCCAGACCAGTCGAAGACTTTCTCCTGGCCTTGGTGGCGGAGCACCAGCTGGCCGCCTTCGTGGACGCACGGGAGACAGACGACCAGAGATCCGATCTGGTGTTTCGAGCGCGGAGTGTCGACGTGCGCTTTGAACTTGCCCGAGGGCGCTGCATACACCTAAAACCCCCAGAGTCAGCCAATGAGAGTGTACCAGGCAAGAGGCATGTTTTTACATTCAGCTTGTACAACTCTGCCCGAACACCGTGGGTCTCGTTTGTCTGTGTGCAGTTGTTTGGAGCAAGAGCTTGTGCGGCCGTGTCGATGATCCCCAAGGCATAGGGACTGAAGTTTGTGCAAAAGTCTGTCTCGTCCAACTTCCCAGCCTTGCGATATGTCTCGTCCAAGACGTCCTTGCCGCCGAGTCCGAAGGTCGCTGGCTGGCAGTCCTTGAGTAGTTGCTCGAAGGAGGGTCTCTGGCTGGCCGGACATGGTAAGGTGACTTTATAAGAGGATCCGATGGCCGAAGTTGAGTCCCATCTGATCGTAACCGGGTCGCAACGCATCTTGTGGGCTGCGGCACCAGACTCACTTGCTCGCAATGGTGCTTCTGCTTGATCCGCCTCATCCACATCGGAGCCGACCACAATGCTGTCTTTGTCGACGTCGGATTCCTTTGGGCCGCTCTTTGTGTTATTGCTGCCACTCTCCGAGTCGGCATCGTCAGATTCGCAGATTAAGTGATCAGAGAGGGAGGTAATTGGGATCGAACCGCCAACCGCGAAGACGGATTGCTTGCATTCCTTCTCGAGGTACTCGGCCAGCTCTTTGAAGATTTTTTGTTCAGCCTGCTCAGCCAGAGACGGCACGTTCGACTTCACTGCCGCTGCCTCTGCGGAAGTTGCCATGGTGAGGAAGGAAAAGTGCGGTGGTTGTTTCGCAGAGAGAGTTCATCGATGACCTTCGCCGGCCCTATTTATGCTCAAGAGAGGTCCTCGGGTGAGAAGTCATCGCAAACAACGTGATATTTGAGGCGCACTTACCTCGTAGGCACCTCTAGGCAATCGTGTGGACTGCATTAACAGTGAGAGACGTGGGTGACCACAAGTGAAGGCAGCGCCAGGCAGCGTCAGGCAGCGTCAGGCAGAACCTGCACGCAACCAGCAGATGCAGTTCTCATTGGTCCAAAAGCGGCGAGACTCATCAGACACCTCCGACATGTTGTGAATATTGTTTCGATTGAAACATTAGAATTGAAAGAGACTGGAAGTGGTTGCAAGAATCAGGGGCCGCAACCCCGTTGTTTTGTTGGTCCTCAGACGTCGGGGACGTGGCACATTCAATTCATGACCGTTGTGCTTTCTCTTCATCAGTCGTACTCGACTCTTCCAACGCGATTGGCACCGGCCCGCTCGTCGCTTCGGCCAGGTTCTTCTTTCTTACATCCCACCCTCCGTGCCAACCTATCCAGCCCTCCTCGTACGGTCCTCTCAAGGCACAGATCACAAATGTCAATCCCACCAAAGCCACACTGAGACTTCCACTCACAAACCATCCACCACGCTCGTACAGTTTTGCGCCTGCCGATGTGCCTGTCAATTGACCCGTGAACGTGCACAACATGAAAGCCGTGTTTACTCGATTCCGCCCGTTTGGCTCAATCGCGTGGATGGCGGCGCGATTCGCCACCTGAGTGATTTGGAGGCCCATGTCCAGCGTAAAAGCCTGGATTATTGGTCCTGCCACGGTAGTCTTCCCCGAGTAAGTCCCAATGGTGATCCCAATCAGGTTGGCGGCACAGCCCATCAAGCAAGAAAAGAGAGGCGCGAAGGGCTGAATGAGCCACTTCGCGTAGAGCGGGCCCATTAGGATCCCAGCCACGCCAATCAGTGCAAACAATCCAATGACAAGTGGTGAGTAGTAATACGGTGGACCAGCCAGAAGGAAGGTGAGTGTGGTCCAGTAATTGGTGAATGCGGCCGAGATACAGAAGCTGATCAATCCGGCTTGAACAAGGACAGCGTGCTTCTTGTATAAGAAGATAATCCCGCCGATCATTTTGAAATAGTTCAGTCCCTGGGGGTTCGAGGAGGGGTAGTCGGGCATGAAAAGCCAGAGTGTAACAAGGATGAGGTATTGCAATGCAAGAGCGGTCCAGTAGACGTTTCGCCACGACGTAAACTGTGTGACCACGCCGGAGAGAATACGAGCAATCACGATACCAAGGAGGTTACCAGAAGTGGTGATGCTCAGGGCCAAAGCGCGTCGATTAGGAGGAGCCAATTCTGACACCAACGGCAGCATCACTTGAGGGATGACCGTCGTAACCGCACATATGTACGAGACTGCACAGAAGACTGTGAACGAACGGGTCACGCACAACCCAATCCTAGTAATCAGATGATGGTTAGCATTGTAGAGCTCCGGTTTCCATGTGGTTGCACAAGCCGCGGCGCCTGGGATATGCGTGACTTACCACATGGTCGCTGTGAATGCAATGAGCACCAGTGTCAACGGTCTCCTCTTCAGCAAATCACCCAACGGACATACGAACAGCAAACCAGTAGCATAGCCAGCCTGCATCAGCGTTGGGATTCGTGACACCGTCACATAATGCACGTTGAAGTCTCGAGCCAGAATATTCAGAATTGGGTGGTTGTAGTACAGGTTGCCCACAGTAAAGGCACCCGCAAACGCGAACAGAACGTTGTGCCAGACCGAGAACGTGGGCGGCTTTTCTGGATCCCATCGACACCACGGCGGCGTCCATGCCAGGACGTCGATGAATTTCTGCCATTTTGATTGTGCTTCCGCAACCTCGGGTTTGTGGTCGTCATAGGTAGCCTCGACGGTCTCGACGCCCTTCTCGTCAGAGGCATTTGGCCGTGCCTGTGGTTCGTTGGGTGTGTTTCCTTCCACCATGCCCGGATAACAATCGATTTCTCAGTAGACTTGGAGAGAGTACAGGGGAGAATCCAAACCCGGGGCTCGGTAAAGATATACCAGAGAGTGGACGGTGAGGACCTCTTCCCGGAGTCTAGCCTAAAACACGGAAAACGAAGTGCGTTCGCTCGCTAAATGTTATTAATGTTCGGGGATCATCGGTTCAGCGCGATAAACTCCAGACAAGAGATCACCAAGCTCCGGAAGAGATTTTGATAGATATGGGACAGTTTAGGACCGAGTGCGAGGACAACGTCGATCCTTGGCTATCCACCTACTGCCGTACATTGTGCGGATTGTTTGTTGGGCGCACCAGGACACATTGTTCTTATTGTTGTAGCTTCCGACGGTTTGGAGGGGACGGTCCCACTGCGTGAGAGAGTTGGATTGCGGGCGGCATGCCGTGTTTGCCGATAACGGACTGGAGATATGGGAGGTCCACTACCCGCGGATGGTGAATTCGCCAGAGCAGGATTTGCTGACCGCATTATCTTTTAGAAGGGGGTTTCGAGGGCTGTCCAGCGAATGCTGAACATTGCAGAGCGTTTTGATGGAAAGAGAGCGCAATAGGTGGTGGCATGGAAAAAAGGGGAGGATGGAACAAAGTGCGAGACGACGTTGAACCTTGGGGGTGACCACGTGACGCGTCTCGTCTTTACACAATCATGACTCAGTCCAAGGATCTCAGGCATGGACCAGGCATGGGTCAGGCATGGATCAGGCAACCCACGAGCATCGTCTCGCAGCATGAGAACTGAACTGTGACTCATCCCAAGGTTTGGAAGATCAACAAACCCCCTTCTGAGTGAATTCGACCCGGGAATGGCTGACTGCACCTTGACAGAACTCATCAACCATGGAAAATAACAAGCTTCTGGTTCAGGACGGTTATAACAAGATTGCAAAAACCTACCTCGACTGGATCCATGGAAGATCAACAGTCCGTCTCGACTACGCAGAGAGGCTGCTTTCTGAACTGCCACACCCTTCCGAAGCGAATGTCCTTGAGCTCGGCTGCGGTGCAGGAGTGCCCTGTACCCGCTTACTGGCCCAACGATGCGGTCGAGTCTTTGCCAATGACATCTCTCAGTCGCAAATTGACCTGGCCAAGACGAATGTGCGAGAAGAGAATGTGGATTTCATCCTGGGAGACATGACAAGCCTCAAGTTCGATCGTTCAGCGATACAGGCTGTTGTGGCCTTCTATTCCATCATCCACCTCCCGCGAGACGAGCAGCGCACCCTTCTCCGACAGATTTGGGAGTGGACTTCCCCTGCGGGCTACCTGCTATGCAACTTGGGAGTTTCAGATAACCCTGGGTCGACAGCGGATTGGTTGGGATCGCGGATGTACTGGAGCAGCTTCGATGTCGAGACCAACCTTGAGATGATCAAGGACGCCGGCTTCACCGTCATCCAAAGTGAAGTGCTACACGATGACGAGGATGGCAGGCTGGTTCCTTTTCTGTGGGTTCTGGCAGAAAAGAGATGACTCTGCTGCTCCGGTGTTGCTAGGACTGTAGCCGCGGGTTGGTGTTCCAGCCTCGAGATCATAATCCCGTGTCTACTCTTGGTGTCGATGCGAACTGCCACCGATACTCCATAAATTGCCTCTGGCTGTTGTGAGGACGCCCACCGCCTTTCGTGTTGGGTGCCGTTGTCGTCCTATCGTCTCCAAATTACCGCTTGTGTGCAATGGTAGTATATCCGTTTGATTTCGGATTATCGGAGGTATTTGCACGTTACCTACTAGTGGTTATGTGTATATTAGGAGAAGATTCTTAAATCAGCCACAGCCTTGGAGGCGACGACTCGGAAAGCGGCAAATGCAAGGCTTTTGGCCCCTAGTGGCAATTCTCCCTTTATCCCTTTACGGGTATTTTTTTCACGCTGCGGCTGCTGTGCCCCTTTCTCATGTTTGATTGCCTTCCACTTTCCAACCCTCGACGCGGCCGCTCTCGACTTCTTCCAGGCCTTCGACCTTGCGTATCGAGTAGATCGCCTTGGGATCCACAGATTTCCGTGTCAGTCATCCAGAATCATGCTGTGATGGTGCCGACCATGGCAGCACAGCACCGAGTCTGTCTCTCTTTTCTGATTATGTCGTGGCTTCCTAAGTAATTTCTCTCAAGCCTGCTGACTCCTATTGTTGATGGCCTTTCTCGATTCTCTCGCGAGCTCGATCTTACGATCTCAGTTACCCCTTGAGTCTTCACCGTCTGTTTGCCTCTATAGGGCATTATGAAATGGGTTGTATTCGAGCCTCCGCCACGAGTAGGGGAAGAGACGTAAAGCTCTCTGCTGACTTACAATATGTATGTGACAAGTACATGCTGTCTCAGTCCCCTTACGAGGATTCCTTCGCCGCCATTCCCCTTGTCAGCTGACTCAGACCGTCGATATATCTCGCATCTGCAAACCGAAATGTAACATAACACGCAACTGTATGTACCAATGCGGTAACCTTTTCGGCACGCCCCGTGGATCGCACGGATATGTTTATATTACATTCCGAATCGCTATATATGCTGTGGCTCAGAATCAGTATCAGACTCCCTCGTCTCAGCCCCTCTGTTGTTGTGAGAACTCGGCCTCTAGCCTCTAAAGTGTCGATATGGTGTCTCCTCTACTACCCACGCTCTTAGGGGCAGCGTCCGTTGTGAGATTCGGCTTTGGCATCTCCTTTGGACGGAACCCTTTTGCTTTTTTGTGGATCACAGTCCTGCTACAGCTCGTTTTCCTGTTATTTTGGGTGGTGTATGCGGCGCCTCGACTCAGTCCTCTCCGGAAATTGCCACTCGCATCTCAAGGACCGTGGTGGAAAACGTTCCTTGTCGAGCCGAGTCCTGAAGATCTCGAGCGCTTTATGGACGAGACGCCCAATGATGGCCTCATCCGATATTTCGGCGTATTCCACGGCGAAAGGCTCATAATCACCAAATCTCACGGCACCAAAGAGATGATGCTTCTTCAATCCTACAACTACGACAAGATCCCCATTGCGACAAAGCTCATCGGCCAGCTTACGGGTTTAGGATTGGTGGTTGCCGGTCAGGATGAACACAAGGTATGTCAAGACCTTCCGACTGTTCTCGTTCTTGTCTTACTCACGAACACTCCACAGCGCCAACGGAAATCGCTCCAACCTGCATTCAAGTACAAATACATCAAAAACTTATTCCCTCGATTCTGGACGCACACGAAGCAGTTGGTCGCCACGCTTGGGAAGGAGATAGATCAGGCCGGCCCGGATTCAGCTGCGATTGTGAACGTCGAAAGCTGGATGATGCGTGCCACCCTCGATATTGTGGCGGCGACAGGCTTCGGAGTTGAGATCAATGCAATCAAGAATCCAGAAAGTGACCTTGCCAGACTTTTGCCTCTGTCCAACTCCACAAGCCCGGAAGCGACGTTTTATAGACTGCTCGCATTCCTCGTACCCTATTGGCTTTATGTCCGACTCCCAATGGCGAGACGTTACGAAATTGACCAGATTGTCAAAGCATTGCATGAAGCCACCCTACCAATAATCAAATCAAGGAGGAAAGCTCTTGCTGGCCAGGAGAGTGTGGTTCCTGACGCACAGGAAGAGGAGTCTGGCTCTGATCCACAAAAGATTCCTGACACGGATATTATTTCGACCCTGTTGCATTTCAAGGAGCCTTTCACCGACAAGGAATTGGTGGATCAGTCAGCAACGATACTGGCGGCAGGACAAGATACGACGTCTGTGGCTACTACCTGGGCACTTTATCTCCTTGCGCACAATCCGCAAGTTCAATCTGCTTTGCGGGTCGAAGTCCAGGCTCATCTACCTTCACCGAGCTCGAGCGATGAGCCTGTTGATGCACCACTTATTGAGTCTCTGCCATACTTGGCTGCCGTATGTAATGAGACCCTACGACTGTTCCCACCGGCACCCATTCTGCGCAGACAGGTCGTTAAACCGGGAACAGTCCTCCTTGGCCAACAGCTGCCCATAGGGACGGTGGTCATGACTTCGATCTGGGGCACACACCGTACAAAAAGCATCTGGGGCCCTGACGCGAAAGAGTTCAAGCCTGAGCGCTTTCTGCAATATGCCGAAGACGGGAAAATGCATTTTGATCCTCATGCCGGCTTCCAAGGCGAAGATGCAACCTACCGTTACTTACCTTTTGGTGCCGGGCCTCGAAGTTGCATTGGCGAAAGATACGCACGAGGAGAATTTGCGACATTGCTGGCTGGCTTAGTCGGCCGATTCGAATGGTCCCTCGTCGATCCAGACAAGAAGATGGGTGAAGACATTAAGATGAATTTTGGTATTGTCAGCAAGCCAGAGGGTGGGTTATTGCTCCGAGCACGAAAGGTTGACGGCTGGTAAACAGCCTAGGGCCAAGCAGCCTGCGACAAATCCTGTTGTCACCTAATACTTCTGTCACCAACACTTTTGTCACCTATGGGTGGCTATCTATATTTTGTGCTACCAGAGTCTTGGCAGTGCTAGTGATGTGTCTCTACCACTTACACAACCTCCCGCTAGTTTTGCAACCAAGCTGTTTGTTCTCTCTTCAATCAACCAAATTGAGGCGAACATTAGGCACAGTTTATCGTGATTGTCTAGATGCATCCAATGCTATTTTGGTTCCAGCTTCGACCGTTTCAGCAGGAATCGCCTCATACATGAAGCCCCTGCACGAGGGATGCCTGAGGACAGGCTAGTGAGGCTTGACATCGGCTTTGTTTACGGCCATGCTTCGGGCCTCGAGAGCTGACCATGTTTACATCCTATTTGTGTCCAGTATCAGTCACTGGAAGATCCTTCGCAGATACAGGTCCATGTCCATGCCCCATGGCACGTGAAAAATCCCTGGCAGCTTCCTCATTCGACATAGCTTTATGCATTGTCTATCAATGTTTGATAACTGATGACAGCCTCGCAGATCACCGCGGACACGTTTCGTCGACTCCTTCTCCACCTCAGCCAACAATGTCTGGCTCCTCGAGGATCTTCACTTCATGATGCACGTCGCCATCGGATTTCCACGTCTCGGTGGGTGTGCAGTTTATCTTACAGCGTCAATCAAATGGTGTCATCGACCTACAAAGCGGCTGATCAGCGCCGGATGGACAACGTTCCTCAATGAGGTAGGTACATGATGTATCGCATCCTAGACAAGGGTTCTGAAGTATCCGACATCGTGAAACGCTATCAGGATCGGTACTTGCTTCAGAATGATTTCTCCTCGCAGGAAAATGACCGGCATTGCGATTGGCATGTCGAACATAACTCCTGGCTTCGATATCTGCAATACGTTGCGAACCGGGCTTATGACCGAAGATACGTATAACAAGGAAAGTATATGAATGATCTCCCTGCGTGCATCCGATATTCCTTTGTCTCTTTCTTCGCCCGTTGACCTTTCCTGAATCTTGGGATCGTCGTTACACCATGTCGGAGTCTCAATCAGCAGTGCTGTCCCAGGGTGTGGGATATGGAGTTGTCGTGGGCATCGGATTCTTCTTTACGGTGGTCATGGCCGGCATCTCCATGCTCCAGGTACCTGTTACCTATATCCAGACGACTTCCCCCGTGCTAATGCTCCGTACAGAACCGATACACAAACTTCTCTACAAGAACGAGTGAAGAGTTCAACACTGCGAGCAGAAATGTGAAACCTGGGCTCATTGCTGCTGGTATCGTCTCTGCATGGACATGGGCTGCGACTCTGCTTCAGAGCAGCACGGTCGCTTATACTTATGGTGTAGCTGGACCATTCTGGGTAATGCACACCTTCCCCTTTCTATCACGACGATGTAAACGCTAACAATCACAAAGTATGCCGCAGGAGCCACCGTCCAAATCCTGATGTTCTCCATCCTCGCCTGCAAGACCAAGATGAACGCTCCTCGATGCCACACATACCTGGAAATCATCAAAGTCCGCTATGGCACCGTGGCCCACCTTGTGTTTATCTTCTTCGCCCTGGTCACAAACATCCTGGTCGGGTCTCAGCTCCTTTTGGGCGGCTCAGCCGTTGTGAGCAGCCTCACCGGCATGAACGTCTACGCCGCCATCTTCTTGATCCCTCTCGGCGTGGTTGCGTACGTTCTACGCGGCGGGCTTCGCGCGACATTTCTCTGCGACTATTCGCATACGCTGATCCTGATGGTGATTATCCTATATTTCATGTTCCAGGTCTACTGCACCGACGACCTCATCGGCTCTCCATCTCGCATGTTTGAGCTGCTGAAGAAGGCGGCGACTCTTCGACCAGTGGTCGGCAACCAGGACGGCAGCTATATGACTTTGAAATCCAACAACGCCTTGATCTTTGGCGTCATTCAGCTCTGTTCTGGCAGTGGTACGGTCTTCTTGGACCAGGCATACTGGCAGAGAGCCATCGCATCCCGTCCGACCACCGCCGTCCGTGCATACATCCTGGGCGGACTGGCATGGTTCGCTATCCCCTTTGGCTTCGCCACGACATTGGGATTGGCCTCGGTCGCACTGACCGACAACCCTGCCTACCCGACATATCCAAACGCGCCCTCGTCAAGTCAGATCTCGGCTGGCCTCGCCTCTGCATTTGCCGCGAGCACCCTGCTCGGCAAAGGCGGCGCCGTGGCCTTGCTGATCACGCTGTTTATGGCCGTAACATCCTGCGCATCTGCGGAATTGATCGCCGTCTCCTCGATCCTCACCTTCGACATCTACAAGACGTATATCAAGCCCAATGCCTCGCCCAGCAATTTGATCTTCATGGCCCACGTCAACGTTGCCGTCTTTGGCTTGATCATGGCCATCTTCGCCATTATCTGGAACGTCATCGGCATTGATCTGGGCTGGTTGTTTCTGGTCATGGGCCTGCTGATCGGTGGTGCCGTGTTCCCCGTCGCATTTGCCATCACGTGGAAGGGGCAGAGTCGGGCCGGTGCCATCGCCGGGGCTGTGAGTGGTCTTGCCGCCGGCCTAACCGCCTGGCTCGTTGAGGCAAAAGTCTACTACGGCGAGCTCACCCTGACAACAACGGGTTCAAACTACGCCACATTGGCCGGTAATCTCGCCGCCATCATGACCGGTCTGATTGTCTCGGTTGTGGTCTCTTTGCTCAAGCCTGACGACTATGACTGGAGTACGACGCGAGCCATCAACGCAGCGGGCTCCCACGGTGCTCTAGAACGAACCACCCCCCCATCGGCGGATTCTTCCCGGTCAAGCACCTCGCAGAACTCCGGCGGTGCAGTAACCAAGGACATCAAATCTGCCAGTGACTCACCGTCCCCGGCACAGATCTCGTCCGCGCTCGCCCCCTCAGCGGCAGCCGACGAAAAGCACCTTGCGACAACCATGAACCGCGACGCCGACCCCATCCGTGCCGACGAGGAACGTCAGATGTCCCTGGACGCGGCCATCGAAGAGCACCCATCGCGGCTGCGCTCGGCGTTCAAACTCGCCTGCATCGCCTCGTTTGTCTTGCCCTTCATCATGGACTTCTTGATCCCCATCCCGATGTTCCTGAGCCACTACGTGTTCTCGGTCGGGTTTTTCACCGCCTGGGTCGTCATCAGCTTCATTTGGGTCTTCAGCTCTGCCTTGATTAGTGTCGCCTTGCCCATTTGGGAGACGAGAGGGTTCTTCGCCATGTTGTTCACAGAGGTCACCGGAGACATGAGGCGAGGAAAGAAGTCTGCATGAGGAGACACGGTTGTGTGAACGTATGCCCAACGACACACCAGCCAGAGGATGATGTTGGGTACAATACCATTCCCAATTATTTGGCCCATTAGATCATAGATATAGAGACGACTTATTAGAGAAGACATCGAGCTATCGTTTAGCTTACACCCCATCACGGGAAATGCGAGATCGCTACAAATCTATCGAGGACTTCATTTCGAAACAGCATTTCAGAGCTCAAGACACAGGCCGTCGAGGATCCGCTCCGAGTAGCTTTCTCAAGATAGACCGGACAGTGAGTTGTCTTCACGACTTATTCCCGAGGCAGGAGAATGTGCAGCAGACCAGCATCGTTTCTATTGTATTTGTATTAACTCGAGGCAGAAGAAATACCTCGATACATAGCAAAGCTGTGGGGGAGTTCTGGTCTAACCGTATCGGGAATCGTGCATTTCAAAGGCATTGAATTGTTTTAAAACCGAGAGGCAGATGGATCGATTTGCTTCAGGCACTCACTCCATCACCAACAACTACACAATTCTCAATCCAACTCTGCAGAACGAACTCCTCACCTCAAGGGGACTGACTCGATTTCCTTTCTACCTTGTGTGGGGTGCACCCTGTCGTTGTCTCCTCGACAAACCATGCCTCCTCGAATCCGCCTGCGCACCCTTGCGCAACTCGCGGAGCTCTCAATCGAATCTGCTCCCACATACACCTGCGGCCGGTGCTCGCGACTGTACGCGACTGCAGCAGCAGCGACGACGCCGGCCCCGTCAGATGCGCAGATGCGGGCCTCGATACCCACGCTCGCCCGTTACCCGCCCGTGCAGCCGCCCTCGCACCGCAACCCGGCCTACCGCAAATCCCAACTGCTGCGGTCCTACGTCTCGCTCCTCCAGACGACGCCCCTGATCATCTTCTTCCAGCACAACAACCTCAAGGCCACCGAGTGGGTGAGCATCCGGCGCGAGCTGGCCGTGGCCCTTCGCAAGCTCGACGCCCAGCTGGCTGCGCAGGGCAAGCCGCCGCACGAGCGCATCGGCGAGTACATCAAGCTGCAGGTCATCAAGACCAACATGTTCGAGCCCGCCCTCCGCATCGCCGAGTTCTTCAAGCCTCTCCCCCCCCAGAATCTGTTGGCGGCCTGGCCGGGATCCCCTCCGAGAAAGACGATCCCTCCCTCACACACGTGCTGTCGGAGGCAGCGTACGAGGCCGCACAGCAGCACAAGAACGAACATCCCCTGACGCCGGGGCTGGCGGGCTCCGTGGCTATCCTGACCTTCCCCGCCGTGTCGCCGACGTACCTGAAGACGGCGTTCTCGATCCTGTCGCCACAACCGCCCCTCTTCCCGGCCCCGACGCGGAGAGCCGTGCCCCAATACTACGAGCCGGCGGTGCAGGACGGGCTGAAGAAGCTCCTGCTGCTCGGCGCCCGGGTGGACGGCCAGCTCTTCGACATGGAGGGCACGAGATGGGTCGGCAGCATCGACGGCGGCATCGACGGGCTGCGCGCCCAGCTGGTGGCCATGCTGCAGGGCTTTGGGGCCGCCATGGTGCACACGCTGGAGAGTGGCTCCCGGAGTCTCTGGTTCACCATGGAGGGTCGGAGGCGGATGTTGGAGGAGGAGGAAGAGAAGCCACAGGGGAACGGGGAGGAGGAGGAGAAGAAGGGTTGAGTTGTCGCGGATTTCGTGGTGTGTTATGTTTGTCAGTCACAGTGGGCCTGGGCACGAAAGGACAAACATGCATGCATGATAATATAGCGACGGTGAAAAAACGTTTCATCCATCGTATATGTAACAACAGCAGATCTCGACCGGGCAGGCAGTCAGTCATGTTGTTGTATGTATTGTACAGGCTGAGAGATCAAGCCAACATAGAAAAGCCATTCGAGCCTTGATTTGATTTGCCTTACGCATGGGAAAAATCCATTGATGATTCAGACTGCTCCTCTTTTCCTGCCGTGCAAGTATTCGGGGGTATCTTGTGTGCGTACGCCCATATCATGTTTTGACGATCTGTTCCCAGGTTCCAAGCCCGCCGCCCCCCAGACATCCACGAACCCAACCACAATGATGAAGAACATCCACATGAGCCGACCTTGCCAGATCTTCGAATTGTCCCAGACAACCAGCCTCCCTTGCCCTATTCACAAAGCGTAGAAAACGACAGGTGCCCCAAAATAGGTGGGAAGTGGAGATTCATGTGCGCGCCCGGAGAGATGACCGAGACCAAACTCCCCTTCCTTCCTTCCTTGATCACATAAAGCGGCAGAGAAGTGTGCAAGATCAAACCAGGTTTCTGGAGGTCCGTACTGTACAATGTAATTGTGAATCCGCTCGCACCGATGTGAGGCAGGATAAGCATTGTGGGGTGTGTGCGCCGGTGATTCGTCTTTCGAGAGATGATATCGCAAGACTGGGTCCCCATGACCGATGAAAGCCAAAGCCTAACCAGTCTTCTTGGTAAAAGGAGGATCCTCCCCGTATACAGTCTTGTATTCCTCCAAATATCGAACCTTGTCGGCTTGAGCTTGATCTTCGTAAGTCTATTTCGAACAAAGTCGGTCAGTCTTTCTGTGTCTTCGGTGCATTCACAGGGCTTGGCCATACCTTCTTGTCCGCGGCAGATAGTTTCTTCCACTCTTGTCCTATCAACTTGCCGCGTTCGCCCACAGTCATACCCCGGAGGTCGCCTGAGTCATTCCTCTCTTTAAAGAAGAATGCGTAGGCATTCCTAGGACGATGGACACTGCGGTCGTCTTGAATAGCCTTGTACTGTTTTTTCCTTCCCGCTGCCTTTGACTTTTTGGTCAATTGGCGTCGAGCATTGTTTGCCAATCTGATTTCTAGTGGTGAATGCGTCTGGACCCATTGTTTATAAGCCCGGTCGTTTTTGGCTTTGTTCTCGGTGGCTTCGTGGTTGTATCGCTACAGGAGAAGTGTTAGACACCACCAGAGTATGAGAAATGGACGGAAGAGTCCCTACCTCACGCTCTTCCAATGTAAGATTCCTGAACTTCTCAGCCGCCGCCATAGCCGCAGCTTTTACCTGGCCTCCACCTTTTTTGGTCTCTTCGGCGAACACGAGGCGCCATGGCGTCGAGGGAAGTTTTTTAGGCTCTTCCAACAGAGCTGCAGCCTTGAGATCCGCTTGATCTTTACGCGCTTTCTTCAGGAGAGCGCTTTTGCTCGGAGGCTTTTTGACTTTTGGTTTGGCCTTGGTGGCTGTGGTCTTTTTGGCTTTTCTGGCAGGTCGCTTTTTTGCCGGAGCGGCCTTTTTGGTGGTTGATGTGGTGCGTTTCGCAGGAGTGCGACCTGTATGTTGTTTTGGGCGGCTTGCAGGCTTTTCAGCCGCTGTCGCGTATGTTCTAGCTCGCTGAAAGTGTGATGCAAGCTTTCCCAACTTAGGCTGAGGGCTCGAGAAGTCGTGGTTTGAACTGCAGTTGCAGGTTACGCGTAGAAGGGAGGTGGTCGATACAGGTCGCGTGAGGGATCGAGCGGACTGGGCCAGCAGCTGCTTGGCCAGTGGCCGGGAGAATGGGAGTGCGACCATCGTGGCCGCCCTTGAGAGAATGACAAAATATACAAGGCAAGGGGGCAGCTTTCCAAAGAATGCACGGGGTATGATATCTGGATTGGACTTCTTGTATCCGGTGGCTGGGGAGGACATGCATCGACTGATCCACGCGTGCCTGGGCCCAATGCGAGCCGAGCTTGTGGCTAGGGAGAGCATCTGATCACGTGTGCAAGGAAGTGCTTATGTAAGAGTGGTACCAAGGAAAATGCGGGACATGTTTGCCTGCGGGAGGTTCGAGTTTTCGGATATCGCAGCCTTACAACCACGAAGCACGAAGTTCTCATCAGGATATTACAATGACGAACGACGCGATATAGAACACCGGTGTCATCCAGCCCCATACTCTCCCGAGCCTAGGGTTCACTCTTTCGCCCATTCTCCGAACGTCCATCTCGAGCCTGGTTCCTGATTTGCAGTTCAAGCAGTAAAGCTCACTTATCTGCAGCCACAGGATGGCTAGGCACGGGGACAATCGCTCACCATCACCTGCAGGCAGTTCCTATTCCTCGTCAAAACGCAGCCGAAGAGATGAGGATCGCTACGAGAGAAGTCGAAGAGACGATGATCGTGACCGCGATCGCGGTCATCGGAGGAGACACTCCAGATCTCGGAGTCCTGATGTATGTTACCCTGTCCCGTGCTATTTTTTAAACAATTCAATCTAACCATCTCCTGAAACAGCGACGCCACCGTGATCGTGACAGAGATAGAGACAGAGACAGAGATCGCGATGCATACCGTCGCCGAGACCGTTCCTTAGACCGACGCTATGATGGCCGAAAAGACGACGACCACTCCTATTCCAGGAGGGACAGAGACCGAGATCGACGACGCTCACGAGATCGAGACGACCGTCGTCGGAGCCGAGATCGAGATGGTCGCTCGAAGCGCGACGATTCCCGTGACAAGGACCGCCGCTTGAGAGAGGAGTCTACTGAATCTAGAAAGAGGAAGCGTGACGAAAGCTGGGATCGCGATCCGAAGAGAGAGTCAGGTAATGTCTCAAAAGAGGTACGTACTACGCCGAGGCTTGCAGATCTTGTCGAACTTATCAATATTCAACAGACATCGAAACCATCCACTCCCACTCCACAAACGGCTGAAGAGCAGAAAGCGGCACGTCTCGCGAAACTAGAACAATGGAAGAAGAAACAAGCTGAAGAACAGGCTAGGAAGCAAAGGGAACTCGAGGCTGCCGGTGGGGCGAGAAGTATACTGCAGGAGATTGACCGGAAAGCAGGCATCTTGCCCGCAGTCAGTTCTCCGCAGTCCCCTGCAGCCCCCAGTTCACCATCGCCAGTTTCAACGCCGTACGCTGGCAAATTCGACCCAAAGGCCATCGTGAAGAAAGCCCAGCATGCCTCAGCCGCCACCAAGGTCCTGGGGGGTGACATCGCTCCGCCAGCCTTGACCAATGGCCATGCCAAAGCCTCGCAGCCTTCTCCAAAGCCTGCCGCAAATGGTTTCCCTCCCAAATCACTAAAAGCCACAGGCACAGTGGGCAAATTTGGACTGGGGAGCAAAACGACCGCGGACAGCGAAGTAGCCAAGAAAGGTCTGGATTTTACAGACGATGAGGGCACTAAGAAGAAACTTGAGAAGCTGCCCATAAACATGGCCCTAGAACAAGATACAAGTGTTGACGACGCTCAGCCAGATGGTGCCGATGATGGTGACAACGATGTCGATATGCAGGAAGAAGACGGAGAGGAAGAGGCCATGGCCGCCGCTCGTGCAGCAGCGGAGCAGCGGAGTCAAGCAGAGCGGGGCGAAGACACAACCATGGCCGACGTCTCTGCTCTCCTACCCACCACTGCCACAAACGAGGAAGAGGAAGAAGTGGACCCATTGGATGCGTTCATGCAGGATTTGCAGCCTGTTCCAACTGCCAACAAAGTCCTCACCCAGAAGACAAATTCCAAGTCACGCCAACTGGAACCTGAGGCTCTTTTCGGCGATGATGAGGTTGACATGACGGCAGTCGACAATGAACATCCCGAAAATATCCTCTCACTGGCCAGTGCCACGGCAAAGAAGAAGAAAAAGGACATCCCGACCGTCAACCACGCCAAAATGCAGTATCGACCATTTCGGCGCAACTTCTACTCAGAGCCCGTGGAAATGGCTGATTGGACAGAAGAAGATGTGGCCAGCTTACGAATGGAATTGGACAACATCAAAGTCCGAGGGATTGATGTTCCGAAGCCGGTCCAGAAATGGGCGCAGTGTGGGCTGGGAGTTCAAGTTCTGGAGGTCATTCAAAAACTGGGCTACGAAGCACCGACCAGCATCCAGGCTCAAGCCATTCCAGCGATAATGTCCGGTCGCGATGTTATCGGGGTGGCGAAAACAGGGTCAGGAAAGACCATTGCTTTTCTTCTCCCCATGTTCCGACATATCAAGGATCAACCTCCCTTAGAGCCTCTGGACGGCCCCATCGGCCTCATCCTCAGCCCTACCAGAGAGCTTGCCACGCAGATCCACAAAGAATGCAAGCCTTTCCTCAAGGCTTTGGGTTTGAGAGCAGTATGCGCCTACGGGGGTGCACCCATCAAGGACCAAATAGCCGACCTGAAGCGTGGGGCTGAAATTGTGGTCTGTACTCCTGGGCGGATGATTGACCTTCTTGCAGCCAACAGTGGGCGGGTGACGAACCTCAAACGAGTCACGTACGTGGTGCTCGATGAAGCCGACCGGATGTTTGACATGGGATTCGAGCCTCAGGTCATGAAGATTCTCTCCAACATCCGACCGGACCGCCAAACCGTCCTCTTCTCCGCAACTTTCCCCCGCCAGATGGAAGCGCTGGCCAGGAAAACCCTGACTAAGCCTGTCGAGATTGTGGTCGGTGGCCGCAGTGTCGTTGCACCAGAGATCACTCAGATTGTCGAAGTCCGCGAAGACAGCACCAAATTTATTCGGCTGCTGGAACTTCTAGGCAAGCTATACGAAGACGAGAAGAATGAGGACGATCGGGTTCTCATATTTGTGGATCGACAAGAGGCAGCTGATGGCCTCCTCCGCGATTTGATGAAGAAAGGCTACCCTTGCATGTCGATACATGGCGGAAAGGATCAAATTGACCGGGATTCGACCATCGACGACTTCAAGGCGGGAGTGGTGCCCATCCTCATTGCGACTTCGGTTGCTGCCCGTGGTCTAGACGTGAAACAGCTGAAGCTGGTGGTCAACTACGACGCCCCCAATCACCTGGAAGACTACGTCCATCGTGCTGGACGCACGGGCAGAGCCGGCAACACAGGGACTGCTGTGACCTTCCTTACCGAAGAACAAGACAGATACGCTGTTGACATTGCCAAAGCTCTGCGGCAGAGTGGGCAACCGGTCCCTGAAGCCGTGCAAAAGCTTGTCGACGCCTTTATGGAGAAGGTCAAGGCCGGCAAAGAGAAGGCTGGTGCTTCTGGATTTGGTGGCAAAGGTCTCGAACGGCTCGATCAGGAGCGTGATGCCGCCAAGGCTCGAGAACGCAAAACGTTCAAGACGGGTGAAGAAGGCGAGGAGCAAGAGGAGAAAGAAGATGGCAAAGACGTCAAAGTGGGTGATGATCTGTTTGCCAAAGCCGCCTCGAGCGTCAAGGCGTTCGAAGGCGGAGCCAGTCTTGCCGGTGTGCCCAAGGGTATCGACCTGGACGGCAAAATCACCGTCCACAGGACCGAGCGGGAACCTGCCGGAGGATCCAAACCGGGAGCTGGGGCGCAGAACCAAATGGACAAGGTTGCGGCGGCAGTTGGCGCGATCAACCAGAAACTCTCCAAAGCAGGCGTTATGCGGTCCGGTGTGCCTATCGACAATAAGGGCCCTGATGCTGGTGCATTCCACGCAACGCTGGAGATCAATGACTTTCCTCGTAAGTGTTTTCATCACCTCCTGTCACCAGAGCAGATTGCACTAACCATCATCCTACAGAAAAAGCACGCTGGGCTGTCACGAACCGGACGAACGTGGCCAAGATCCTCGAAGCGACGGGCACCTCTATTACCACCAAGGGATCTTTCTACCCTGCCGGCAAGGAGCCTGGGCCGGGCGAGAATCCCAAGTTGTACATTCTCGTGGAGGGAGACACCGAGGTTGTGGTGCACGACGCCATGAGAGAGCTGATGCGGTTGTTGAAGGAGGGCACCATGAGTGCCGCTGACGCCGCGGAGAGGACTGGAGGAAGGTATTCGGTGTTGTAGATAACGGGCAAGCAATGGATCGTGGACACCTGGGGATGTTGCTGCCCGTGGAGATAGAGGGGGGACGTTGAGCAATAGAGCAGCGACTGCAGTCCAGATACCGCCACGCCAGTCTTCTCGACGGTGTCGGTTCGTTGTTGAATGCTTGGGCAGGCTATCTATCTATATACGTCGTATACTGTACTTACTTTATGTGACGGGAATCGAGAGGACAAACAATTATTGACTTGATTTGTGACGCAGAGAACCATGATGGCGGGTGGTCAAAACTCAATCCCAGTTTCCAGTGTGTGTGTGTGTGTGTATGTGTGTGTGTGTGTGCCTCTCGCTGCTCTTATCTCATATAAACTATATTATACCAGATCTATTGTATCCTTCTCAAGAACCCCCCTCTTAGTCATTTCCCCCCTAGACATCTCAGCCTCGTTGTATGCCGCCCTCGTTCTCCTTCATTGCCTTGCCTTGCCTTGCCTTGCCTTCTTGATTGATTCTTCGAGCCAATCCTATTGATCGATCGATCCATTCATCCATCAAGCTCCCCGTGCCACACCAAAAAAGAGGAAAAAGGCACGGCGGCACACATGAGGCCCCTCTCTTCTTCCGCTGCTCTCGTCGTCTCCTTCCTTTCGACCCTTTCCGTCGTCGTCTGCCTCCTCTACGCCGCCTCCGTGTCTTCTTCTATCTCCACATCTCCCTCGACCTCGACCTCAGCGAACAAGACCACCCTCCATGTCACCGCTCTCACCAACCACGCGGCCCCCCCGTACCTGGCCCGCGTGCAGTGCTGGGCCCTCGCCGCCCCCTTCGCCGTCTACCCGACGGTCGGACGCGCGGTGGACCTCGGCGACGTCGACAACGTCACGTACGTGGTGCTCCCGCCGCGCAGCGGGGAGGGATGGCATCGTCCGCCCCACGCCATGTTTTTCGTCCTGTTGAGTGGGTTGGCGCAGGTTTATGTTCCGCGTCGTCGTCATCTTCTTGCCGGTGACGGCCTTGGAAATGGCGAGGCCGTTGGAGGGCGAGGAGATCACGTCCATGTCCACGTCCATGGCAATGACTATGACTACGACGACGACGACGAGTCAGGGTATGAGCGGCGGTTCGAGAGTTCGGGGTCGAGGCTGGACCTGGGTTTGGATTTTGAATTGGACCACGACAAGGACGGTGGTGGCGGCGACCACCACCAAAACCAACAGCAGCAGCCCCTCCTCCCTGGTCAGCAGCGGCACCCGCACCCGGACGACCCAGCCTGGGAGACCATCACCATCACGCCGGGCTCGCCGCAGCAGATCCTCGTCGCCGCGGACACGGACCCGCGCGCCCGGGGCCACCTGACCTTTTACCCGGGCGACGGCGAGACCGTGGCGCTGCAGATTCCGTTCAGCAGGGACGCGGCTGAGGGGCCCGCGCACGCCGTCGTGCACGAGGGGGCGTGTCGGGGTGATGAATGAATGGGCGTGTCGAGAAGGATGAGAGGAAGGGGGTGAAGGGTATGAAGATGGGCACGGGCATGGAGAAGGAAGCGAACTCATGGGAGGGAGGGAGGGATTGAACGAAGTGAATGAAAGTGCAAGAGAGCCTGCCAGTAACTAAAGCCAGTAGGGATTACTGTACTTCTAGGAGACCCCGGTCGCTCAGTCCCCAGTGACTTGCAGCTTTAACATTGCCTGCCATAGAGCAGGAGACAGACCTTCGTCCGTCTGGTGATCTCTATTGGGGGGTGTATCCTGCATGCACTGGATGTGAAACAGGCAGAGAGGGCAGGGCGGATGAATGCCATAGAGAAGGAGAGAGGCAGGTTGAGGAGGTACGTACATAAGGACATACTCTAGCAAAGTAGGTCCGAGCACGACAAGAACACACCACACAGTGGCTCGCTATTGTGTGTGTGTATATTCTAAAGATGGACAGAGGACCGACCGACTTGTATGGGAGACAGACGAACGATGGGACTCCGTGGGTTGAGAAGTGTGTACCTGCATACACATATGTATATACACATGTCCTTAGTCCCAGGAACCTAGAAAGCCAATATTGAAGGAGATGTCAGACATTTGAGGGTAAAAGGCGCCGATGGCTGGCTCCAGGACAGCGCCAACACGTATCGCATCGTACCGTTGCACAGATTTGCTTGTCCTTATATATAAATATATGGGCGTACATACACACCATCACCAACCTGTAGACGGATATCCGGCGTCCTTGCACAGCAAAGTAAGTGGCTCATGGCCATGCGGTGCGTGCGCGAGAAATCAACCAAGTCTCTCTCCCTGTTCACAGACCGGGTCCCCCCTTGATTGCCCACGGGGTGATGATAACAAGAATAAAAGCAGACTCCGGACAACTGGTTTAAGGCTCGGGAAAGCCAAGGAACAAGCAGACAAGCGAGTCAGATTCGGCAATGCAAATCTCAGGCTGTTGCGGAGTCACGCTCGACCACAAGCTGTCAGGTATTGTAGAAAAAGTGAGCGACAGCAGCAAAGGGACAGGACAGGACGATAGTGGAGGAAATAGGCAGGGATCGAAAGTGAGCCAACACGGACAGGCTCTCGTGCCTAACCCGCGACTTACTCCATGACCAAAACTCCCAATACAATCAACGGGACATCTTCAGGAGGGGACTCACCTGCTCAATCAACTTACTTTGTCACCTTCTCCTTGGTCTTCGAATGACATTGCCTCTTCACTAAGAACGTAGTGCTGTTTGTGATAGACGAAGGACTGCATTTCTGTCGCTCGAAACGGACACTCTGGCTCTATTCCTTCTATCTCGCGATCAGCCTTCGGACTGGGGTCTGTCGCCCTGGCCTCGCTTCTCTCCCCGGGCAGGACTAAGAAATCCATTATCATAGCAGAAGCCCAAGGGATTGCTCGAGACTGGGGGTCCCGAGGCGGTATGCAGTTCCTCACCTCTCTGTCATCAACGCTGAACCACCCCAGTGAGTTGCTCTCGCTCATGCCCGTCAGCGTCGCTTGGAGACTCTGCAGAGGCTGAACCCATCCAGCTTCGAAAAACGACTCTTCTCTAACTCGAGAATAACGACTCCAGTGACTGCACAGATGACATGTGATCGCGTACCGAACGTAGTCTTCCCTGGGGAGTAAGCACCGAGCCCATGGCCCTTGGACTCGATGAGATCATCAGCAAGCAACAAGAATACTGCTCAGCTTCTGCAGGGCTCGGAATGCAACATTAGCCCGCGGCATGCGCCGAACAGACTGCCTGCCTGCCTGCCTGCCTCAGTGAAGACGCCAGTCGTTGGGGGGAGGAGACGCAGTAATCGACTTTCAAGCCCGCAAGGCCAGATACTTCCCTATTTCGGGAGTCACGATTTTCTCTTCCCGGAGACGCCGCCAATTTCCATCGATGAAATCATGACCGATGTACTGTGACAACACTAGAACAAGACGTTTGGTATCGGCCACGCGAAGCAGACCACTCGCCGATGTCATGATGTAACGCTAGCCGGCGCCCTTGCGGGAAGCCCAGCAGATAGATTTCGGACTAGGGGTCGAAATGCTGCTTTGGGATTCGATCTCGGCACCGCTGGAAGAATTGGGCAAGTGTTGGTTGCATGCCAATACGATGAAAACCGACTCTCGTCCTACGAGTACGGCAGGCAGCCTCAAAAAGTCGGGGGGATTATAGAAGCAAAGATCGCGTAACTCAGCAAGCGGAAGGATCAGTAAACGTCGGAAATGCCTTAGTAGATCATCCGGACTGTTGTTGGTCTGTAATCGCAGCTGTGCTTGCCCTAGATTTTTAGAAGACGATTCGATCCAGGTGCATATGCCTGCCACCCACATGCCCCTTTGGGTTCTTGGTGCATGCCAGCTCGCATGCCCTCTGGCATCTTCCGTCGAGCCTGTATTTGAGATATTTGAAATCCACAGAACCTCTAAAACTTGTTAGCGGCACAAGTCGATCGCTCAGTCGCCGGCCTGCCCATTAGCGTGGTGTTAAGCCAGCTACACAGGTCTTGCCATGTAATTCAAACCGTAATTCCAGGTTGAAGCTAGAGTTCCCACCGTGTTGGCCAACGTCACCGCAGAACTGGGGAGCTGAAGAGGCCTTGGGCGGGGGGAATCCATGTCGGATCAGGCGGTGCCGTGGCACTTTCCAAGGCTTGAACTTGCTGGTTTAGGCATAGACTTCGGACTATGGCCAGAGCTTGTGCATAAACGATGTTGGCGTTTTTCAGCTATGACAGACAATGCACAGGACGAAAAGCACCGAGGGGATCTGCACGACGACAACGCAGCCATCTGGTTCGCCAACCAGTGGGGGAGCTGTTACGGCCAAGGGCAGTTGGGCGCCGGAAGAAGAAGAAAAAAGGTTGAACAGGTTGGCCCTTGGCTGGCCATGATTGAGAGTCCGCAACTGGCAGAGGCTAAGGGACACACCAAGGCTTCGGTACGAGTGGAAGCCAAGGCGTCGAAGGCAGGGAGAGCCAATGACTCCGGGTTCTGCTGTGCGAGTGGCTCTTCATATTTCCGGCCAGCCATTTCCAAGCAATTTGTTCTGTGCGCGATGTGCGATCCGGGACTGAGAGACAGTCTTCGAGCCGAAGGCACCAGACCACGTATCGACGAGTCATTTATGCAGGACGAGTCGTCCTGGTCGTTGCAACGCATCGGGAAGCCGGGAAAAAGCCAGTCGAATACGCACAATGTAAATCGATCCATGATGGTTTTATCCAAGAAATCCCACGGAACAGAGTTGCGAAGGGGGCCGACGCTCTAGGCCCTGGGTTCCCCTAACCTTGAAGAGCCGGGGCATCCCGGGGAATGGATATCAACTTGACCTCTTTTTATCATGGTCCATTGCTGCTTTATGCCGGAAAAGCTAGTCCAATGGCGACCCCAATGGATCTCCCCGTCGGTCTCTTCGGTCTCGGATTTCGGAGTCGCTTTCTTGGACATTTCGTGCCGGTAAAGGCGCGAGTTGCGAAGCTCTGTCACGTATGTTTTTTCACAATCCAATCGACTTACGAAGAGCGAACGATCTCCCAGGCTTCCTTTTTCCCCCCCCCGTGACGTGGTCTCGCCAGACGGGCGTTCCAACAACTGGGTCAAGGTCTTGGTCCTCGGCCATTAATTGGAGGGCTCAGGGATCAGGCGGCACACCTCCAGCCATTTATTCTCCTCTCGGGGAATCCCTGGAGGTTTTATTTGCTCTGCGTGCCCAGCACCGCGAAAAGCCGTGGATTCCGGAAGGTAGCGGCGTCCGTGCACAAGGGAGGGGTGGGTTCCCGTGTTTCAAGCTTCGGCACTTGCAAAAAAAGACTGAGCAGATTCCCTTTGAGGCAGTTGTGGTGCATGGCATTCTTTGTAGAGAAAAAGACATTGTAAAATTTTTGCCAAACGCTCAAGATAAAGGAGCGAGGTAACCTGAGAGTTTCTGCTGAGTCAAACGAATCTGGTGCCTGTTAGGGCGACTTTGCCTATATGTTTGGCCGGTCTTTGTGTGAGGACGTCCATTCATAGTGCACACGTCAGATGCTTGAGCAACCCGCCAAGCTGGTTGGGACAACGAGCAGCACCTCCGGTCAAGTCTGCCACTCATTGGCGGTTGCTGTGGAAGAAGGATGGAGCCCTGTTTTGGGGAATAGGCTGGGCTCCCCCTGGAGAGTTTCGCCTGGGGAGGGTGATTGCGACACAAGTGCATACGCCATTAAACGCCCGTGGTCACTCTCTCTTTGTGCGGTGGGCTTCGTCCTCGTATGGGTCCCACATCCTTAGTACGGCAGTACGTGTATTCGGTTTCGGCATGCTTTTGGTTGGTCTGTTACGAGCACTTCTCTCTTCTCCTCTCGTGCTTGCTTCTTGAGCACATATCCGCTCTAGCTCCAAAACGGAGAAGAGGGGAATTTGATGTCGAGATGCGCCTGAACCGTCGCCTCTAAAGGGGCGGGGGCTCCCGCCAGGCTTCCTTACAGTGATGATACCTGCCCAAAAGGGAGATTCACGGTGGGTGAAGCGAATCCCAAAGGACCACTGATCATGCGTGGGGCTCTCCGAGAAGCCGCAAGCCCTTCGTTCAGAAAAGGAAGTGGGCTGAGGGGGCGTCAGTGGTTAGGACAGTCCTCAGGCGCCTCTCCGAGATTCACCTTTGAGCTGCCCTTGAACCTTTGATTACTGCTCCACCGCCCCTCTCGCTGCCTCTGAGGACCCTTTGCTTCACACGTGATTTTCCCGATGCTGCTCGAAAAGGGAAGATGCATGGCGGGTCCCTGGGGGCTTCTCTCTAGCCCACGGTGGCTCATTGTTCGCGCCGCAGCCGCCGTTTCGCCTGGGCGTGATGAAATAGAATACTCCGTAGAAACAGGTTAAAGTAGTCTCGGCGCTAGGTGACAAATGCTGCTTGAGCGAGAATGCAACCTAGGTCACTTTGCCCAGAACACTTGTTCTTCTGTCTCTGCGGCTCCGTGAGCGAATGGACATTCTAGGCTCCCGTATTGATTCATTCTTCCAATCAACCCAAGGGTAGCAATAATTGCCATGGAGAGTCTAGCGACCTTATTGCGTGGCGTCGTCGTCGAGTCAGTTCGCGGTGTGGTACGAATGGTATGCGGCCTCCCGTGTCCATGACGTTGTCCCCTCTCCACAAACAGGGACGAATGTTTCCAAATTCCCACACGAGAAGTGCGTAAAGGGCGCGTTGCGTGTTCTGGGTCTTGGATCCTGAAGAATGATGAACAATCAGGCCTGCATACGGTTGACTTTGGCGTCGTGCACAATGTGCGCAACGCACCATCAGGGCTCGGCGCAGCGCAATTAGCAAGCCGATTATGCAACCCCGGTTATGTTGTCTCGCAACGATACCTCAACCAGGTGAAGAACGCTCGTCGGCCTCTTCGGCTTCGCAATATTCAACCCTGCGAAGCTCGTGATCGATCCGCGTCCACAGAGATCTGTCGGCCGAAGTACCCTTGGGGCTGGGTTCGGCAGCATCAAATGCACCGTGTCCGTCCCGTGGACTTAGTGAACACCCCGAACGTATGGCAACCTGGCCCAGGTGTAGCAGCATGGAGCTGCCGAGGTTCTCGTGCTGCTCGCTCATGCAGAATCGGCCCCCAAAGATCGTAGAACACAAGCGTGACCGTTCAAGCCGGCCAGACGCGTGACCGGGACCCCTGCTAGATTGGTATTGTATCGTCTGGTAATTATACAGGCCTATGTCGCGGTGCGGTGCTTGCTCGTCGCCTAAGCATAGACGCTGCCCGGAATGTAGCCTAGCCTTGCTCACTCTGCAAGTTATGCCCGTCGTCTAGAGGTCTATCCAACGAACTTCGTCTGTCTCATACCCAAAAGCCTCGTGGTGATATGCTTGCTGCACAGGTTTAGTCAGGGCGGGTTTTGGATGTGTGGTCAGTTGGCTTCACCGGCTTCCTCGAGTGGATTCCTGGTTGAGGATGAAGCATCGTGCATGCCATGGCTAGTTGAACACACCGTATCGATCCTTCTTCTCCGGCCCCTGGGACGCAAACGCCGAGAGCCTTATGAGGCATTTACATGCGTATTCTCACTTGCTGCCTCCGGACCAGGTAATTCCCCTCTCCACGGCCACTTGGCGGAGATAAGTAAACGTACCATGGCTACGGACTCGAGCCCACATCGCTGCAAGATTTCCTCTTGTGGATGTTGCGACGAGGCATGTTTGTGGCCGCCTAGTGCGTCATATTGAGCAGAACCAAACGTTACGCCAACACTCTGCGCAGCACGCTGTTCGTAAAGTCCACTGAATATCAGGCGTGCGCCTATACCGCGTTTACGGTAGGGCTGCGCCAAGCGGGCTATGTCAGCCTATTGGCGTCCTGTGAGAATTACCATTCTCGGCAACGAAGAGCGAGCCGTCCATAGCTCTGGGACAAAGGCTGAAGTGCGCATGTAACGTCAAGCCGGATGGTGCCCTCTATTCTTGCCCACTTGGGCTGAGTTGGTAAAGGGGATATACACCAGGCTCATACCCATAGTCCTAATAATCTGAATGCGGATATGTCCTTTTGTTCGGACAGACGGTGGAGATGATGACCTTACTCAGCCAAGGAACCGGGTCTTCGCAACGACGAGGAGAACGAGCTTCAGCACTCCCCCATTGGCAGGCGGACGAATGACAACGCTGCTTTGGCCATGACAATAGCGCCGTTGCTGGCAGGGCCTCAGGAGTTGGTTGATGGTGGTCACCAGGTGGGGGGCGATCATGGACGGTTCTGTTGAGACCGCCGCTGACCGAGCGTGAGCGTGTGCTGGCTCTGGGGGAAATCGACCGATGGCCAACAGTGATTCTCCTGGGTCAACGTTCCCACGAACTCTGGGGCGACACGAGCACAAGTTGCTCGTTTTTGAGCCCCAATGTCGCCTGCCCAGGGATACTAACATCCCTCTCTTCTCTCATTTCCAGATACAGGAACACTGGTGGCGATGGGGGGTTCTTGGTGGCCGCCGCCCGCCACAGCTGTCGGCGTCTCTGCGGTCTTTGCGGTCGAGGCCGCAATGATGGACAGGACGTGCAAGTGGAAATCCCCGTGCTGTGATCCAAAGAAGCTTGCCAATCTGTCAGCTCTTACGAATAATTCAAGCGGACCAACCATCAAACCTCCTGATCATGATGCTGACCCTCCTGATGTCGCCCAAGTCCAGGCCGTTGGGTGCGCTGGTTCGTTTGCCACGGTATGTGGGTTTCAAGTGGCCCCATGGGATGAAGACAGACTGGCAAGACGAGGCAGTAGGGCTGTCGATCTTGGGGCGGCACTGGGATGTTGAGAAGTCATACTCCCACGAGATCGTGGCCTGCTCACGGCCGTTGCTGGCATTGGGAGGAAGAATGTGGTCCTTGAGGATCAGCGTGTAGAGCTTGTCGTCAGACTGCAATGGATCGATCGAGACCTCGAGGCCTGCAAAGGCACTCAAGTCCCAGTGTTGGTCCTCGCCCACAGTCCGCTGGGAGGCAAAGCCTGCCCCGCCCAGAGCAGTGAAGTCGAGCGTGCCATGGAAACAGGCGGCCGTGCCACGACTTTCCAGATAGGACTGTCAAAAGAATTACCCATGTGAGCTTGCAAACCTTTTTCTCGCCGCCGCTCCAGAGCCACTTCGTCCTGCCGTGTCCTCGTACGAGCAAACCTGGACAATGGGACAGTGGCCGTGGCGATCTTTCAACGGCCGTGGCCGTCGGAGGCGTACTCGGTACATACCTGTGATTTACCGCCTCGCACCCTGTCGTCGCTGGAGGTCCATTGATTGAGATGCCAACCCCTAGGTTTCCTCCAAACGGCCCAACGGCCATAGAATTATTAGCACGTCTCCCTTTCCTAATTGGTGCAAGCGATGGCGCAACGCCACAGGGCAAAATGATATTACAAAGGGGGAAAAGTGGCACTGCTCGCCCACGAGTCGAAAATAACAACTGCTTACATATTCATTCCAAAAAGCACTCGACGCGGGCTTAGCGGTTCCATGAGGGCGATTTGCTCCCAAGAGTCAAGGCCCAAGACGCAATCCGGCAACACGGGCAGCGAAGGATTCGAGGGGTCCTTGGTCCCCTGGATCCCCTGTTCCCTGGCCACAACAATCTCAATTCTAGACCTCCTCAACGGCGCGCGGCTTGCCACGAGGGGGTCGGGATTCGACAGTGGGTGGAATGGCAATCAAAGTCTCTTGTTTGAAGATACCCAGAAAGATACCCCGTACACCGACTTCTGCGATGGTCGCCGAGCCAGCTCAGGAAGGCCGTGGTGCTGCCATGATTTCGATTAATTATTCGGCGAACTCGAGGTGTTGCTCGGACGTGGCTAAACCACATGCAGAAATGGCGCACAGGAGTTGCGGCTGGTAGTTTCGTAGTTCAACTGCTGGTCGCCGTTCTCTGCTGCTTCCTACCGCCTTCCTCCTCGCCTACGCTTCTCCCTCCTGGAATCTAACAGGCCGCCCTGTTCACTTGCCATGTTCAGCTGGCAGGGCTGAAATGCAAGGCCCCGTTGCACCCACTGGGCCACCGCAACTGTATCCCCCCGCCTGGCCTCTCAGCGCCTCTCGGCGTCAATCTACACGGCACAGAGTCACATTTCACCTCAATCACCGAAAGGCCGAAAACACATGTGCTTGGTGGTCACCAATATATTCCTCAAACTAAAACTGTTTGAATTCCCGAATCGGGCTGCTGAGCCCCTGTCGGTATCGGCGACTGATAACTCTTCCACGCAGCAAGTCCACCGCTGGTTGCCCCCTGTACCTTTTGCTGGTATGGCTACACGTGGTATCCAGAACACCTCTTCCTTCCCAAGAGCTGGCTTTTGGCAGCTTGCATGGTCACAACCCTCCGTTCCCTCCCCACCTTCCCCCCTTTCCTGCCCATTGAAGGACTTCCCGTACGAGTCTAAAAAACAAACCTTTTTCGGTAAATCGGGCGTTGAGCCAGGTGAATCATAACACACAATCCGTAGTCCAAAATGCAATGGTCGCTCTCCACCCATGACCCGGACGCCGTTCAAAAAACAAACAAAGAGCCACTGGTCGTAGAAGCCGTCGTGTCAATTATGTGGCGCCTGCCATGGCGCCCGCAAGGACGGCAATGAGCGGTAGTTGCTGGTCGTCAAAATAAGAAGGACATGGCCTTCAATTGCAGCTGATGTCGAACAAGTGAATGTTTGGGCTCGCTGTCCTTGACACGGGCGTGAGCGGGACGTCAAAGTAGTTGGGCGAGTTGTGGGCCGAATCCATCGAGTATGGATCAGTCAACGGTGGTGTCTAGCCAGAGGAAGTCAGCATTTGAGCTGGGCAATTGGTAACGTGGCAGCCGGTGGGTTTTTTTTATTTTGGATCTGAGCCGCCCGAGAGGTTTCTTTTGGCGCTGCTCAGATGTGTGGGCTGGAATATGAACGGGAGAAGAAAGTGGTGGGATTTACATGTGAATTGGCGCCTGAGTAGGCATGGTTTGATGGCATTTCCAGACCGGCCAGTGAGGCATAGTTCATGCTGAAGGGACTTAACAGGTCGTCGTCGCCAAACAGCTGGTCCTGCTTCCCGTACGCCGAGGGTAGCATGGTGGGCAACGTCGGCGGCAGACTCGACGATGTCACCTCGACGGGATATTGGTAACTCGAGTAGTAGTTGGCGTGGTTGTCAAAGGCGGGGTGTTGTTGGTGCTCATAGTGGAGATATGCTGTGGTCGGTGGGTACGACGAAAAGGTGAACGCCGGTTGTGAGTGAATCGAAAGATGACGTCCAGCCGGAGTGTCAAAGAGTGATGAATGGTCATCCAGAGGTAAAAGCTCTGGCGATGCTCTCGGGATCTCGTGGGACACACTTGATCTCGATGGCTGGCGGGCCATGGACTGAGTTTGCTTCTGGGAAGTCTCTTTGACCGGAGGGGTAGCCAGTTCCGAATGCTGTTGTTCCGGCGAGGCAGAAGACGATCCAGCCCGGCGCTCCAAGTCTTCGAGTCTTCTCTTGAGCTTCTTACGGTAGTTTCGCTATGGCCGTGTGTCAGGGATATGGATGGTCAAGACCGCCAATAAAAAAAGAATGGTATTTACCTGAGCAATCCGGTTCTGGATGCGTCGTCTCTCCGCAAGGTCGGAGATCTTGGTCCAGTCCTCATTGGGATTTGCAGATGCGCTGAAGGCAGAGCTGCTGGCGTGGGTGGACGCATATCTGGAATGGCCGGCCATGGTGGCTTGAGGGTAGGAGTAGCTTTGACTCCGATGCATTATGGGTGAGGGGAGTATGTACGTATGGACGAGCAAGGACAATGATGGAGGCTGGTGTGAGGCAGAGTGATGGATCGAGTCTCTCGAGGTTTGATATTGGGCAAGAAGGAAGAAGATCCAGCTGCAAGGTGAGGGTGTGTTCGTGGTCTTAATAGTTTCGTTGTGATCAGGGAAACTAGTCAGTCATATGTATGGCCAGCAGGCACGACGGGTGCATGGGACGCCCCAAAACCAGGTCCCCTGCGATATAACATAAATTACCGCTATGCCTGAATGGAGGATAGTGGGTGGCAGCAGGGGATCGGAGGCACAAGGACTGCTCAAGGACGCAAAAGTTCAACCGGGGGTGCGTGCGTCTCGCTCCACTCTCGAAGGCGTTGGAGCCACATGTTGCTGTGCTGCTTGTCCAAGTTAGAGTGCGATCAAATGCCCTGGTTCCCTTTCGTGCCTGCTTGATGGTGTCCAACCCATGACAATTCCAGGCCCGCCCACCAAGCCCTGGCCCTGCGAGGCGGCGACGCGGGACGACAGGGGTGAGGGAGGAGATGGAGGTGCGAGCAGAATGCCAGGATGTTTGACCGCCCCGGGAGGTGGCAGGGATACTGCGGCGGTCCTGACCAGGGTGTGGATAGCGCGGCCCACGCTGGTGGAAGAGGAGAGGAAGAGCGAGAAGTGGACGCGGTGGACAGGGCTGCGGACGAACGAGGAGGCGGGAGGAGACGGAAATAGTGATGGAAGGATGAATTTTGGGAAGAAACAGCAGAAGTGCAACGTCGGAGCTGCTGCGCCCCTGCAACCCACCTAGCCGCTTGTGGGTTAGGGCCTTGCTGCTCTGAATAGCGAAAGTCGGTCTGCGCTCAGGCAGCGAGCGGCCACTTCGTCGCTCCCGACACTGTCCGTCCGCTCTTTGTTTGGGTGATCAGTGGCTAGTGGGCGGTCCCTGGTGGACACTGGGCACTGAGCATTGAGTTTACTGGGCACTTTAGCTGGGCCCCCTCTTGCCCTTCCCACCCCCCCCAGTGCCCAAGGGCCCCCCGAGGATACGACAACTCACGCAGAGAATAATAGGTAATCACCAAAAGGGCCCTGCGGAAACGCGGAGCCCTAGGGAAGCCCCAAGCAAAAACCTGCACCCAGCAACCAGCACTACCGCCGCCTGGCTAACGGGGTACGACAGCCTGCCCACGAGAGCTCTTTAGCCCACCACTTTACGAGCACAGCTCACTGATGACCCGGCCTCCCGTACCTGCCCACTGCCCACCGCCCGTACCGATTTCGTGACCTGCCATTCATGGTCATTCCCGCAACTTGCTCGTCCTCCACCCGTGACCAACTGCGCTCTCTCTTTCATAGCTCCTGTGTCCTCAAATCTCCCACCCCCTCTCACCACCCCCTCCACCACACCAACACGAACTGATACTCTCGAACATACCTCCCCTAATCCTCCCGCTCATACTCCGCCCTGTGATTTCGGTCGCCTCTCGTTTCCTCTTCTCGTTTCATCCTGCCTTGCCTGGGCCCTACCATCTGGTTGTGCCGCGGTCGGCTACCAAAACAACCTGCCCCCCCCGCGGCCAGCCTACCGTACGTACCCTACGAAAGCGAATCCAAGCCCTTGCAGCCCTTACCTGTTTGGTCTCTCCCCCATTCGCCTACGCCCACGAGGGCCCCGCTACACATACTAAAGAACGAGCTTGGCGGCCGCATTTTGGACGAATTGGGCAATATCCCTCTTGATACGTACTGGGATGGTAACCGCCCTGCCAATCTGGCAGGCCATTTCGACTTGAGCACTACAACCACCAGAGAGAAAGGGCCCCCCGGCCCTTGGTTCATACCCATGTCTATTCCAGAAATCACCTACTACCGTGATGCCTCCTACCTGTTTCTGTGCTGTACGTGTGCCTTGGCCCTATGGCCCCCACGACGTGTTGTCCCCCCCCTCCCATGAACGAGATACGAGACCAGACACGGAGGGAGCGCGAAGCATACCCAAAACCTATCCTGCTGGGCTGACTAAATTATTGTTAGCATTAGCCGCAAATACCCATTCCTATCAGGCATAGACTCTACCACGGTAATAGCCAGTACTCCGAACACCATCTGCTTGCCCTGCGGCTATACAGCACTTCAGCAGTTCTTTCGAGCGGGTCTGCTGTTTCTGGCAGTCGCCTCGAAACCCGCAGCGCAGATGTGCGCGGTGGCCATTAATTGCCGGCAAAAGCCGCAGTGCCGGGCACACCCTTGGATGACGGGGTGACGATTACTATCTGGGTATTGAATTCGATGCTCCAAATGAAATTGATGCTCCAAACCACCGAGGGCGATCCCGGATCTCCAATGCACAATTCTCGAACTGCAACAACGGGCGTCCGGAAACCCTGTCTTTGTGCACGCAGTTTACGGAAAATGCAGTCGACTCGCACAATAGCACCAGCTACAAGCGTTGGCAATGACATAATTGCCTCAGTCGACGAGACGAATTGTCAAATAGGCTTTCCCCAGGGTTGCCTGGCCTGATGATTAATGGCGTAGTTCCAAGGGTCGTCGTGTCACTGTCTGGTGCTTGTTTCCGTCCCTTATTTTTTGATCATTCAGCAGAGATTGCCACCAGAACTGTCCACCAACTGTATGGCCGCCCGCCGCTCAAACAGGACGAGTATCTTAGTTGAAGGCTCAGGCGTCGTATTCCCCTCATGTCGAGAGGTATCGACTGGGCCTGCTCCATTCAGGGCTGGTGGGCCTTGGTCGCCACTACCTCTTTCTCTACAAACTTCCCCTTTCATTCGAAAGCTCCATTTTCAGGCTACCCGACAGTCACCATGTTCGTCTGTGGCATGCACCCAACATGACCTCACAGCATGTATTTGATATCTGAGAAACGAAGATCCACGCATCATTAGGTAAGTTGGCCTCCTAATTTCCCGCCGGTCCCAGCCATGAGGAGATGTGCCGACTAGCTCTGGACGCCATCCCCAGCCACCACAGTTTCATCCTTTCTTTGGATTTACGACGTACGAGCTATATTCCCCGGCATTTAACCTGTGGCAGTGGTTGCCATTTACAGCGTGGCTGCGCCCCATCTGCTAGAGGAGGTTATTTGAAATATTCCAGAGAGAGTTTCCCGCCGGGCTACTCAACTTTAGCATGCTGGATCATGTTCCCCCGGGCACGAAATACGGCCGCTATGAACTGGATCGCCGGCGGCGTTCTGGGGGTCACCGTCCTGGCATGGGACAAACATGAACCAACACACGAAGTATTCTCAATAAGCCACAGAGAGCCAACCCAATACCGAGCTTCTCAGCCGGAACCGCAGCTCATGACCAGGCGTTCCTGCTCGTTTGGGCCATGCCGACGTTCGGATGACCGTGATGGGTACCAATAAGATAGGCCGACGAATCCATCTCAGCCCTAAAATACCGACCTGCCTGAATCAGAAAACACTCTCTGCGAGAGCTCCACTGTCATTGGTTTCCAGGGAGGTGGTACCGGGACCGTTCTGTAGCTGCTCAGCTGTGGGGTCAAGGTTGTATGGCCTCATCAAAAGGACATTCTCCAGATTCTACAACGTTACATGGCAGTGCGGCTGGAATAAGGTAAACAATGGAGCCCTCAACCTTCAGAATGAGGTGGTCAGAGATGTGGAGTCTCGAAAAGGTGCTGTGTCATCCTCTGGAGCTATGGGCAGGTGGCCAGGCGTTCGGTTCAAAGCAGCAATGTACCAACAAGAGCGGCGCGCACCTGAACGAGATGTTGGTCATACAACTTGAAACGAAGCTGCGAAACTACAAACGGTACACGGCGCGCTTAATCTGTCGGCCGTTCATGCACGGTATTAATAAGGGTGCTTGAACTGGTGCAGGACGCTGTTTCCATCGAACTGCCAGTGCAGTCGACCAAGCTAAAGGTCTCAGGAGGTATGAGCATGAGAAACGGCGTCAGACCAACGTTCCAGAGACAAACGGCCATTGGCCCTGGCAGACGCATAATTAATTAAGCAGCAACATGGTCCTGAGCCCACCGCCCCCCATCCCGACTTCCACATTGAGCAACGAGACTCCGTCGCTGATATCTCGTTGTCCGCCAATCAGAGCATGAATATCCCGTCAGCCTTAAGGGGTGACCCAGTACCGAAAACAGTTCGAAGGATCATTACTGTTTGAACCAGGTTCTATCGTGACGCCAAGCTATTTACGGTATTCGGGGGCGAGTCTAACTACGCCTCAAGCGTCTGTAGCGTGACTGTAGCCAGCGGTCAACCAGCGGTGCAGCGCCACGGGGCTCCCGCAGCGATTAGCACTTGACCTAGTGCGAGCGCCAACGCAACGATCGCCCACCCTGCATCGCCTTCGTGAATGGCTGACAAAGGAAACCAAAAATAAAGGACGTCCCAGGTAGGTGTCGTGTCGATCCTTCTGTGGCATCCCTGGCACCGCTGCAGCGATCAGGTTACCAGCCGTTAAGCTCAACCACCAATCATTGAGCAAAGCAGTCGCCCAGCTTTCTGCACCATACCCTGAAGGTATCCTTCAGCGCGAGGGATTTTGCACGGCCACAACCTCTCGTATATCCCCGAAACTTGTTGTTGTGAGGGCGAAATTACTCCTCAAATCTGTCCGAGACGCTTCAGTAGAGACGTAAAGTTTGAGGTAGACCCTTTGTCGTGCGACTGGGTGCTTTGGAGACTTTCCAGAAGCAGAACGAAGAAGCTTGTTACGGTACCAATACGCACAAAACGTTCCACTGGCTAGTACCTCGACTGGTCGAGGGGATCACCCTAGCGTGAGACACCCTTGACAGCCAGCGCCAAACCTCTTTTGGTAGCAGGCATGGATATTGCCATTGGCTCGTTCATAAGCGTGCCCCGCCTGTCCCACATCTATTGCTGTCCCCTACCAATCTATACCGGCCCCCAAGTTAGTTCAGGTGCAGGACACGAGCTAGAGGATACACGATTTCCCGGCAGAAGTGCCGAAGTTATTGGAGGCTTTCGATCCCCCCTTGTCCAACGCCCTACACCTCCAGATCCACACCCAGGACATGACTTGCTTCGCTTACCACGGAGGCCCCTGTCTGATTCGTTCCACGGGGTCCGCCCATGCTCTTTCTCCCCTCATCCGTCTTGCGCGTTCGTTACGGCCTTTAGGGCCCCCTCCCTTGTTACTCTCTCGCTCACGCCTCAAATACCCTTCCTGGACGGTTCCTCCACCATCCGTGTGGCTTGTGTGGGAGGGCAAGGCATCCGCCAATCCCAGCTCGAATTTTCCGCTGCGGCACTAAAGTACGCACCCTGCTCGTACCTACCTAGTTTTGGTTAGTTGGGTTGAGTGGGAGGGCGTGTGAGTGGCTTTCGCGGCTCCGTCTCGTCCTGTCGGTAGGGAGGGATGTGGTATGAATTGGGCTGGACTGGGCTGGGATGAGATGAGTGTTTCCATATCACTGGAACCAAAAGCTCGCTTCGCCAGGGCTCTTCCGCCCCAAGAAGAGTAGTCACGTCTCGTTTGGGGCCCTAACGACGGTAAACAAACTTCGTTCGTAGGGCCGTGGTAGACAGGTATGTAGATACCTAGTAGATAGTGGGTGGGTAGGTAGTACTCGTTAATATCGCTGCACGCACTCAGGGAACTCGTTTACGACAGTACGAGGTAGGTTGGTTGGTTTTACTCGTTGTCGTAGTGAGTAGTCGGCAAGTGGTGTTAAGATGGAATACTCCAAGGTTTACCCTTCTTTTCTTTTGGTGCCGGCCCCTCTTCCCATGGTGTCCGTGCTACCTGGCACCACTCCCTGTATTGCTACCAGGCTGGAGGAATTCAGGGGGCGTTTCAACTTCGCCGTAGGGCCGTGGATTTTAGCTACATACCGTACACATGAGTAGCTACTGCTGCAGCTCGAGAGTTTGCACAGGGAGAGCGCGGTGGCCGTGGTCGCGGTCGTGAGTGTGTAGGTCCAGTGGGTGCAGTTGTACCTCGTAGTCGTCGCCGCCCGTCTAGCCCTTGTTTGCCGTCGGGGATCTTGGGTGCACATTTGGTTTGGCGTAGCTTCCAGAAGCTCGATAATTAATCCCCGGCCCCGATTCGAAACTTGTCTGGGATGTGCGTCTGCCCCGTACTTGCTTGGGCTGATCTGTGGCTTCCCCCGGCATGCGGGCGACGAAACATGGTCCAGATAAACGGCCCTGGTGCGCCGGCTGCTCTAAGTATTTGATATTTGAATATAATTAAGGGGCGGCGGGTTTTTCGTGATGATCGCCGAAATTTGATCTCGTTGCGAGAATTAAACGGCAGGCGGCAGTTGTTGCTCAACATCTGGCCCCTTGCCTTTCGATCTTGTTCTTCTCCGTGCCTTGCTCTGCACCTGACTGAACCAGTCTCTTCTTTGCCCCCATTTCTTGGTTTCCTGCTCTTCGTCCCCGAAGCTTCGAGGTCGGCGTTATCGGGAGGGCGGGAGAGGCGACACTCACCGGCATTTGGAATACGGACAGTAAATTTGTCCATCGACCACTTACCGAGTCCGAGTCCCCTATGATGATCGCCATTTGACTTTCGTGGTTTCTGTCAACTCATCATAACTGTGGGCAGGCCAAAAAGCCTCAGACAAGCCCCCCTTCAGAGGCTGAAAACTTACGGGTCCTCCATTTCCCTCCAACATCGCCCGATCATTCATTCCTGACCCTGTACGAGGTACACGGTGGATGTTGCTTTCGAAGGAATATCCCGGCCCTCGTTCGATCATTTGTCTAGTTCCGAGAGGTGTGTGTAAAGTCTCACTTTCCCCCGTTCACTTGCGCCTTCAACGTCTCGTGTCGGCACTGTAGATCTGCCACGAAAGCATCTGCTACACCCTCTTTGCTCCTTCTGGTCCAAAGGTGATTGCCACTTAGCACAGGATTACCTATCCCCATCTGTCAATCTTTATGAGTGATCAATTGCCGTGACGACACGCCAATCATCGCATTTTGGCCCCCTTGAAAGTTCGCCCTACGGGCGTAATTGAAACCTACCTCTGATTGGGAGAGACTCTGACATAATCGTCGAAGGTGGAAGGGTTGCCAGTGAGAGCAGCGGCCCCTCTCTGTTAAAGAGGCAATAACCCCCCCAGACCTAGGCGCTCGAAAAGGTACCGTTGTCATCCTGCGTAAATGGGACCGTGCCAGTCGAGAAAAGGGCAAGGGGGGAGCTGGCCGTAGGGCTAGAACGGGGTCTGGGGCGCACGCTCTGGTTGACTCGGGGCCCAAACTCCCGTGTCATATCTGAAATGATCCTTCGAAACGCAATGCGCGGTTGATCACTCTCCAAGGAAAACCCCAACCCTTAAGCCCTGCGGAAGGGCGAGCAATTTAGTGATCAGCAAAAGTCCTACCATCCTCGTTCCCGGCCTTATGTCAGCCCGTCGGAATGTATTGGCGGTGCTGTCTCCAATGACTCCAACTGTTTGGGTGCGGCCGTTGCAGGCATCCTGCTTGTTCGTCCTGTCAAGGATCCCCCCTCCATTGCACATGTCCGTCTGTATGCAGAGCGGGTGGGTGCCAACGCTGGGCGTTTTGGTTGGCTCCCGAACCCCTTAGACGGAGAAACGCATTCGCTTCCCTTGATGCATGGACGGGGAACAACGAAATGGTGCGTTCGAATGTTCTCGACGATCCTCCCTAGACGCAGAGGCCTCCCTGTTTTCTGGACGCCATGGATGGGCTGGTTCACAACCGATACAGGACCTGCAGGACTCCAAACACGCCATGCGATGGGGATCAATGTCCCGGGTTCCGACGATCGAGAGATTTCAACAACGGTATGTGCCGGTTGTCGCGAACTGGAGGGCAAAGAAAGCTGTGAATTGCAGCAGGTCTGCCTGGCACATGTATGCCAGGCGCTCAAGCCATTGCTGCAATGGGTCAATTACTTTGATGAAGTGGCCAATTTTGCCACCGGCCAGACACATTCTTGTCGCGCCTGAGGTCCAGGCGTGTCGAGCAGCCCCTTGTAGGCCAAATTGTCTTTGGGTTACTGGTAGGTCCAGAACGCGGTCTCGTGTGCAAAGGAACTCCTTCCAGGCAGGTGTGGCAACGTCGAATGTGTGAACCCTTCCTTCTGAGCGATACGCTGTGCCATATGTCTTCCACGTTCCTGTGCGGATGCAGTGAAAAGGGGGTGGAAAGAAGTATTGAGCTTCCCCCGAAGGACACAGGATCCGGGCTTTCCACTTGGCAATAGTTCTTCACCCGTTCTTGCGACGCACTTGGCCCGATCTACAGCCTGGCCATCTTCATTGGCTGTCTCTTGCATGCACTTCCTTCCACCTTCAACGCTCTGCAGCTCCGAAACAATTTCGGTAAAGGGGTTTTGGAACCAACTCAAGAATGATTTCCCTGGGGAGGTAACCGCCCTGTTTGAAACGCAACGACTGATAAGGAGTGCCAATATTCCTTACCTAACTCGAGCATGGTATAGGTTGCAAGGAAGGTGTGAGTGCTGGCTGCATGCGTGCCTGAGGCTGTTTTCTCAAAAGAGGAAAGTCGGCATTGCTCTCGGCAAATATCACAGGCACCAACGTTCACATGGGCTAGCGACAGGCCCCTTGTCGTTCCTGTGGATTGCGAAAGGCTCCTTGGTAGAAATCCAGCGCAACCGGCCTCATTGTTCGACAAGTATGGGAAAGGGGCTACCAGGCGGTTGCCCTGAGCTCTGTTCGCTTCGGTGTATTGGCAGAACGAAGCTATGCACCCAAGACCGTATCCCAGCAAACTATGTTCCTCAACACTTCCACCAACGGACAATGTATTGAGAGTGTGGGTGGATAGGGGTAGGGTGTTGTGACAGTGTCACCCTGAAGGCAGAGCCTGAAGGCAGAGCCTGAAGGCAGTCAGTCCAAACTTCTGTCTCCCTTCACACCCTCAAACGTTCCTCTCATTGCCTCGCCGTTCACACGCTTGACTTGAGAGGCCACTAATAACTGTTCTTTGCTTTCAGGCCCTCTTTGGCCGGCAACTTAAAATGCAGTCGTCGCAATATTCTAAGGAAAATGGATACTGTAGATATGCTCGGAGCATCGTACTCCCCGGTACGTCACCACCGGGGACATAAATGTCTCCGTGGAACGCCTGAAGAGTGCGGCCTGTCGTCATTGGTTTTGCAAAGAGTTTGCAATTAAACGAAGGCCAGATCGCCAAAATCTTCCAGGAGCAGTCACGAAAGTAAGGCCGCAACATAACAATACCGAGTGTCGCAAGAGGATGGCCGTGGCCAGGTTGCCTTGACACAGTCTTCAGTGCGAAACACAACAGAGCAAGGATTGGTGTATCAGGAGAGCAAGAGTTGTCGGGATAAATAGGTCCAATGCATTGCTGCCTTGGCTTAATGCTCCGAGACCAGAACTAGGAAGGATACAGTATCTGTTGAGAGCGTCTTGGAGAAAGAAACAACGAGTGGGTGTCCCTTGATCTGAGGCATAACAAGCTGTGGATGGACATATTGACTCCTGCCGGCCCGTTGAGGATTAGACTGTGGTAGACTGAGGATCGGGGAGATGGTAGACGGTGAGTATGTAGTCAGAGTCGGTCGTGACATTGTTTGAGGGATGAATTGTGTCCTCAAGGTGATAGAAATGGTGGTACATATGTGATGGCAGAGCTCGACAGGTTTCCTCCCCGCCTTCTCCCCGCAGAAACTAGTGAGTTTTTCCGGCGGGGTTAATCCGTTCCGGCTGCCTGCCTCCAGTTTCTCCATCCTCCCGCCTGCGCTGCGACCTTTTCCCCCCTCTCTTTTCTCTCTTATTTCCGCTTCTCTTACCATTGCATCCGCCTCGCCTCACCGTCAATCGCGGAAATATCTCCACGCCTATCCACTGCCCTGTCTACCCTTTTGAGAGGCTCTGTTGTATACAGGACGAGAACCCGAAAATATCATGGTGTCATCCAGCATTGCTACTGGCACTGGCACTGGTTCCGATGCCTCCCCTCCCCAATCCAATGGACACGGCGAGAAGCGCAAGGCCGAAGCTGACCCAACACCGGAGAAACAATCACATACGAGGTCAAAAAGGAACAGATATATTTCAATTGCGTGGTAGGACCCCGGCGGAAATAATAGTAAAGACATATGCGATGATTGAGTATACTGACTCGAGCTCTGTTGATATAACAGCAATGAGTGTAAGCGGTGAGTTCCCCCCTTGGTCGTCCAATCCCACTCCGTCGAAACAGAGGCTGACACTGTTGGACAATTGCAGGCGTAAAATAAAATGCAATGGGAACACTCCGTGTCAAAGATGTGGCAACCTGAATCTCGAGTGCATCTATGCACCGAACTGTTGCACGAACTCGCTCAAAGATTCTGCGTAAGTATTCCCTCGAACCAGCTGAAAGACGCAGTTGACCTTGCTTCCCTTACTGACCTTGGCGCAGGGAGTTTAACCAGATGCGGGAGCACATCGCTGCCCTCCAAGAGCAGGTCAATGACCTCTACGCCAGCCTGAACGAGCTACGAAGCAGGTCTGACATTGCTTTTTCGGCTCCCATCGATCCGCAATTCTCCCACGATGGCTCGCACCGTTCAATGTCCGTGTCGGCATCGCGAACGCTCCCCCCCCTCATCTCGCCGAAAAGAGCCCAGCCCAGGGCCTTGCCTCAATTCCATGGCCCGACAAGCACAGTGTATGGATTGGATGTGGCCAAGTCTTCCCTGCAAACCATGGGAATAACACATAATGCGCTGGATGATGGAATGATGTCCCGCGATCGAAGCCGGGCAGCTTCACCTATTATGATGCTCCCGCCTCATCCCAGCAAGGACCCACTGTGGCTCGTTGACCACTCTGAAGTGGTCCGTTTGTGTCGAGTTTATGAGGAGGAGATTGGCATCATGTACCCCGTGGTGGACATCGACAAGGTACTAAAGCAAGCAAACTCGCTGTACAAGTTCATTGCAGCCTCCCTCAGGACTGGGCTGGGCCAACCCAGCCTCCCAGGCGCAGACACATTCGATGACGAGGAAACCACTGTTTTAAAGATGGTTCTTGCGATTACGTTGACGGTCGAAGGACACGGTCGTAGCGAACTAGGCCAGCGATTCTTTGAGGCGGCAAAACCGGCGACAGATCTGAAGCTGGTTACCGCCCTTGATATCAAGTCCGTTGTTTTGACGGTACTGACGGTAAGAGAAAACCATATATTCCTCAGTCGACACGTTCTGATCTCAATCGACAGGCAACGTTCTACTTCCAAAAGGACGAAGAGGCACAGGCCTGGCGGTTCATTGGCATCGCAGCACGCATGTGTATAGAGATGGGCCTCCACAGAAAGGATTCATTGCTCAAATCGTTTACGAACGAAGCTGAATACCAGCAAGCCATCCGTATCTTCTGGACGGTCTATGCGCTCGATCGGCGTTGGAGCTTTGGCACCGGTATGCCATTTGCATTGCAAGATGCTGACATTGATCCCGCACTGCCCGAACCAGTAAGTCACCTCGATCCAATCTCAAGTCCCTTATTGATCCGCGGCAGGACGAGAGTCATCCATATCTGAAACACATTACCAAGTACAACCAAATTGCCACAAAGGTCTGGTACCACAACCTGGCGTACGAGGCGGGACAGAACACGAAGAAAGACGAGATCGGATTTTTGGATTACCAGATCCTGCAGTGGTATGCGCAGCTCCCCGACTCACTGCAGTTCAACAATCGAGATCTCGCCAGAGAGAATGAGATACCCGGCCGTGGAGTGCGCCGGCTCCGACTCCTGATGTATCTGCGCAAGAATCAGGCACGCATTTCCATCTACCGTCCCATCCTTCATTCCGCCACCAGCATTATGGAGAACCGGCATTACGCTCAGAATGTGATTGATGTGGCCAAGGACACTATCAACACCTTGACAGCAGTCAACCAGATGTCTGATATCTACAAGACCCAGCAAGTGCTGTACAACTACTTCCTGGTCCAGGCGCTTGCTGTACTCTTCCTCTCGGTGGCTCATGCTCCGGCTGTCTTTTGCACCCAGACCAGGCAAGAGTTCTACGCTGCGATTGAGATTGTCAAGGGTTTCAGCACCAAGTCACATGTGTCTAAGCGATTATGGCGGACCGTTCGGGGGCTGAAGGATATGGGTGACAAGATCGGTCTTCTGGGTCGCGGAGGTAACGGCATGAGTGACGCAGAGCAAGATGCCCACTCAGATGCTGCAATGGCAATGGCTGGGCTTGCCGGACACAAAGTCGACTACCAGCCGTATATCAACTCACATTCGAACCAGACGAACGAAGGCCAAAATCAGCAAGAGCTAGGAGTTAGCCCGGATGATGCCCTGCAGATCACGAATGAATTGTCCAGTCTATTCGAACTGGCCGGTGGCTATGGAGCTACGACCCCAGGACCGGACACGTTCAACTTTGTGGGCGCCAACGGCGAGATCAGCATGGCAGAGGGATTCAATGCGTTTGGAAACGAGCCGGAATTTGCCAGGATTATGAACGAGCTGTTCTGAGGGTTAGCAGTCTGATCATGACACCCACAGATGAGGTTTATACTTAAGCAAACGATCTTATGTTATCATGATGGATGCACAGATCAATCTACTGTATCAAGTCCTGTCAAGTCGTCGTTTGGTAAAGAAGGGGCTTGCTGGCGAGTCACATGACCTGGCGCCAAGCCCGCTGCGTCGCGGCTGATTGGGCATGATTGGACTTCACAGCGACTGTCCACTTCGCTTTCCGGCGCATGTCAAAAGTGCGGCCGTGGAATTCATATCCAGCTATCGTCTACCTATCATTCCTTTATGATCCCACAGACAAGAAATTGTGATCGACTTTCCCCTTGAGCACGCGGGCTTGTGCACGCCGTCACATGCAAGGCAGCGACCACTGCTCTCTGTATAATCTCACCGTAGGCCTATCCCTGCTCCTGAGTCAACACAGCCTGCCGAGTCACCGTCCCAGGTCGACCTGAACCTCTTCTTGTCTGAATCATCCCTGAAACTCCTAGCAAGCAGGCAGCGAAAACCACCGCGAGACGTCCCGTGCCGATAAACAGAGACAATAGCGCGATCCCCTCTCCATGCCGTCCGCGATTCCTGCCCTTCGCCTCTCCTGACCCCTCCCACCCCGCGCCTCACCACTTCCCTACACTCTCCTCGCCCTACCTTCCATCAGGAAGCCCAGACCTCACAGACTGAAAGATTCTCTATTGAACGCGACTTGTATCCCAATCTGTCTGCCGAACAAGCCTCCGCCCTGGCCGCTGGCCTGGACAGGCTCGAAATTGCCTCCGAATACTCTGAATCCCTTTACTATCAACAATTTACCAGCTCCTCCGCCACTTTCTCGGACGGAATGTCTCAATCTTCTTCTCAGAGTCCAGCTAGCTGGATTGGCACCTTCTGCAACCTGCACGGCCATGAATATTTTGCTGAAGTCAGCGAAGACTTCATCGAAGACGATTTCAACCTGACAGGGTTGCAAGCTCAGGTGCCCATGTACAAAGATGCCCTGGAGATGATCCTTGATGTGGAGCCTTCAGAGACCAACTCGTCGGCATTGTCGGAAGAGGAGGAGGAAGAAGAGGAAGAAGAAGACGATGGCATTCTGGGAGACGAATTGGACGAGCCACCTGTGAACCAGAACGGGGCTTCGAGGCGACAATCCGGCGGTGCGGCAGGCGGCAGGAGATATGGTCGGACCTCATCTGATACATCTGTCATCGAGTCATCGGCGGAACTTCTGTATGGTCTCATACACGCTCGATACATTACTTCCAGGCCTGGGATTCAGCAAATGATGGAGAAGTACGAACTGTCGCATTTCGGCTTCTGCCCCCGGATGTACTGTGCGGGAGCAAAAGTGTTGCCGGTCGGGCTGACGGACACTCCTGGGCAACAGACTGTCAAATTGTTTTGTCCAAGCTGTCTGGATGTCTACACCCCTCCGAACTCTCGATTTCAGGCGGTCGACGGTGCCTTTTTTGGGACGACATTTCCATGTCTGTTCTTCATGTCCTACCCAGATCTCGACGTTGCCCCGATCAAGAAACGGAATCCTCGAGACTCCAGCGGTCAAGCAAATGACGACCCTGAAGGCACATTGAGTCCGAACGAAGGCAATCCCACGCGTGGAGGTATAACGGCCAGCCGAAGCTCGAGCCTGACCTTGCCACAGGCCCCACCGATTCCTGGTGTCACATCGGCTAAGGACGAGAAGACGTCTGCGTCGGCCATTGCTCAAACCACATTACCGCCGCAACCAGCAACGATCAACGGCGTCGCCACACACAACCTTGCGCCAGGCTTAGGAAAGGGCAAAATTTACGAGCCTCGAATTTACGGCTTCAAAGTATCAGAACGAGCGAAGAGCGGGCCCCGGATGCGCTGGCTCCGATCTAAGCCTCTAGACATCAATGAGCTGGATGAAGCACGAATATGGCACGAACGATATGGCGGCACTGTGGATGGTGATCCTGATGAAGAAATGCGGCGCCTGCCAGGAGGAGCACATGACAACGAAGACGTTGATGATGATGATGACGAGGAAGGGGAGGAAGAGGAAGGCGAGGACGTCGGCGGAGAAGCTGCCGACCAGGACGGAGATGCCATCATGGCCACCCAGGGTCAGAATCAAGTACCCATCACTCAAAGCAGCCAACGGGGCAAGTCGAAACGAGAGCCTGACGCCGATGGGGATGCACTGATGGCAAGTCAAAGTCAAGGAGGTGGGCGGGGCAAGTCTCGGCGCAAGCCAGTGACAAGAAGCCAGGGCGTCGACGTCTCCGCACAACCAAAGAGCGAGGGAAATTGGATATGAGCATGGCAGCCAACGAAGGTGACGGTCGATGATGCAGATGACGAAACAAGATTGAATGAAAAGGGGTGCCCACCCCCACAAGTCGGACAGCGCAAAGTGTGAGCATACCAACTGACTTTGTCGACGAAATGAGCATGGAAGAAAAAAGTTGTTCTGACTAGCGGTACAGCAAAGCATCTACTCTGACAAGTGCGGTGATCATTCTCGCCGACGCTGTCATCCAGCAACGCAGAACACGCGGAGCTCGCAGACTACTCCTGGGGATTTTGGCGAGTATGCATGAGAAGGGAAAGAGAAGAGTGCAGGTTCAGGGTTTCAGGTTCTTTGCTCGAGTTCAGCACCTGTTCACCACATGGACGCTCAAAGCGCGCTCGAGCTCAGTGTAACAGGAGGAAAGAATCGGTGGCTAGCAACAGCAGCGGATGACGACAGGACCGGCACGGAGAGACCAGTGTATGGAAAAATAAAAACATATTATGGCCCAAGACAGACAGACAGCCAGCCAGCAAGAAAGCAACAGGGGAGGAGTAATGGAAAATCAATTGACATGTGGGTTCATTGCCGAGAGCAAGCAAGCGGGTGAGAGAGGGCTGGTTGAGTTGGGATATTGACTTCGTGCAGGAGGCAGACTTTATTTGTTATTATACATAGTGGACACGGGCAGTATCTGGTATCTCCCCTGCTACACACCTTCCCCTATGCTCTGCTTCTTCACTTCTTGCACTTCTTGTTCTTCTTGTTCGTCTCCATGGTGGTGGCCTCACCGAGTGATGTCTTCCCGCATTCCTCTTTTTGATCACACACATACACAGAGGGACACCCGAGAAGAAAAGGTCAAAAACAAACCCTCCGGGAGCAAAAACTCAACAACGAAGCAGCTCAACTCTGGTTCGTGCTAAGCGAAACTCGCCCTTATGGGTTAGTTTTTTTCGGGTTACACTACGGAATTTATACGTTGAGTTCCTGGGATCCCAAGGCGGAGAGGGAAGAGACGGAGTGGTTGGGAATCGAGGGCCTGCTGCCCCCAGCTCGGTGTTGGTTCGACCTGGCAGACCCTAAGATTATTTATTTGCTGCATGTGTGCTCGCAGGCGGGATCCGAATCGAAATTCTGCTGCCTGCTAGCCCGGTGCTAGTTTGACCTGTACAGGACCTGGATTTATTCAAGTTGTCGGTTCGGTTCGAATCGGAGCGCGGCTTCGCCCTAGGTTGATGGTAGGGGGACTTTGTGCGAGAGGATTTGGGGAGAGAAACATGATGAGCAGCTTTTTTTCTTCTTCCCGAACGCATCCTGGGGGGCCGATGGGGTGGATGGGTGCGAGGCTGTCTGTGCGTCGGCGTGCGATAAGGCTGAGTGAATATATAGGGAGCACGGACGACTTCACCCAATTATGGTTGGGCTCCGGTTGAAATTACTCCCCGTGCTGGACTACTCCCATTCTTATCATACATCTTGATCATTATAAGGCTGCGGATCTGCGACATCCATCCCCTTCGTCCAAGTTGGGCTTATATATCAAGCTTGACCGAGGATGGGGAACTATTACAATACTTGCTGGTGGGATCGGACGGACGGCTTCGGTTGCTTCTTCATGCGTGCCGTAAATCACCGTTGGGCGCAAGTCACCTTCTCCTGGAGTCAGCAATACCAGTACAAACAAATGTATGAGAATATTACCGAAGAAAGCAAGACGGATTCGTGTAGCAAGCACGTATGTTTTTGTGACATGCCGCCCCCCTGGCCTTGGTGGCAGTATAACAATATATAATATGCGAGAAGAATATCTCCTTGCCGAGACGAGGATATTGGGCCACCATCCTTTTCAGCCCTATAACCCAGCAGATCGCATGGTTCGACATGGCACTCTGTATCTCTATGTTCTGGGACCCCCATCCCCGTGTCACCGAAACCACCAATTGATGCTCGCGGTGACGCCTTCGCCAACTCCCTTGACACTGTGCCACCACCCTCTGGGCGTGAACAGCGCATCGCCGAGGGCAAGCGTCGTCTCCAGGCCATGGGACCGGACAAGTTCGCCATAGATGCTCGACTGGTTCCAGATGGCATCGTGGAGCGCCACTTTCTGTGGTCCAACCATCATCTCTTCGCCTCTGATGGTGGTGGAGAACGAGTTCGGGGTGGTCGGAAATAGCCTCGTGGTGACCTCGTGATATAATGCGTCGCCGATGTGGGGCGGCAGGAGACGAATGGTCTTGTGGCCAGCCAGCTGGATGAACAGGTTCGGGTTCGGGTCGCGGTGTAACGGCGTGTAGGTTGGCGGGCGACCGAGCCAGAGGGACGAAGCGTAGATGTCGCCTTTGATTATTGTGCCGGAGGAGGAGGAAGAGGCGTGCAGCAGCCTGGGGATGGGGACATCGGATTGCATTGATTCCGGAAGGGAGGACAGATCACACTGTGCGAGGTAGATTGACATATCTTGTGGCTGCTTGGAGAGATACGCGATCAGGATCTCCAAGGGCGCCTCGACGCGTTCGAATCCTTCGCTCTCCTCCCCCGGAATGCTGCTCTGACGAAGAGCAGCGGAAGAAGCATTCTTGGTGGTTATCTCCAAGGGCACAAAGGTGGATGCATGCTCCGACCAGAATGAAGTCCGCAGTTCAGACGAGTGAGGGACGTTGATCTCATCGCTGCCGGGACGAGCTTTCTCAGCACCTCCGTCGACGACGGTGGTGGAAGAAGAGCCGAAAAGATTAAAGTCCACATTGTCGTCGTGGATGAACCATTTCCTGCAGGCCGGAGGGAGGTGCTCTCTGGAGCGAGGGAGACGTGCTGGCAGGTTCTGCGTGTAGGCCTGTTCAAACACGGTCGTATCCCATGATGGGAGGATGGGGACCTCTCGAATGCCCCTGGAGTGGCTGCATCGACGACGAGGCACTGGCAGGAAAGAAGACGATACAGCAGTAGTACATCGTCTTCTAAGAGCTGAACAGGCCGGTGTCCAGACGGTGAGACATGGCATCTGTTGATGTCTGGATGATTTCTTTCGCTCTTCGTATCACCCGTCGTATTGTGTTCGTATAGTATTGGTTATTGTGTATGTAATTACGGGGGAAAAGGTCAAAATGGGGAAGAAGCTGATCTCATTCGGCGGGAGATGGCGCGTCTTGGTAGTATCTGCGGGTTGCCTGACACGTCCATTCCGAGAAACGATGCCCCTCAAAAAGAGTGATTGATATAGTGGTGATTTCTCACCCTCTTGCTGAGCAGTGAGTGGATAGGTGAAAAGAGAGAGATACTCACTCGGTTACATCTGCTGCGTTTCTCCCACATCTTCTTCTGCCTTTCCTTCTCTCCTCCTCTTCTCTTCCTTTCCCCAACCTGCTGGGTTCTGCTCGGAATTGCAGCAGCAACAGCAGCATGACAGCTCGAGTCAACCGCATCCGCCATGGCGGCCCCGCCAACAAGCCTGGCTACACATTCTACCCGGTGTTGATCATCGGCGCCGGTGAGTCTGGCATCGCCATGGGCTGCCGACTGCGACAAGTCCTGGGCTTCGACCAGTTCCGCATCTTTGAACGGAGGTCTGCCCTGGGAGGCACATGGCACACCAACCAGTACCCTGGCATCGCATGCGACGTGTAAGTGGTTGTGCTCTGTATCCCTTTTCTGCTCTACACATCCTTTCGAACTGACTGCCTCGACAGCCCCGCCATCATGTACTCGTACTCCTTCGCCCAGAACCCGCACTGGACGTCCCTGTTCCCCTCCGGGCCCGAGATCATTCAGTACCTCTACGACGTGTGCGAGAAGTTCGAGATCCTCGACAAGATCCAGTTTGACACTTCGGTCAAGGGCATGCGCTGGCTCGATGACGTGGAAGAGTGGGAGGTCGAGCTGGACCACCTCGCCCCCGGCATCGGTGACCTGTCCACCCGGGAGAGGCAGGCGTTGGAAAAAGAGAACGGGCCCAACTCCAGGACAGTCCTGCGCACCGAGATCGTGCGAGCCAAGGTCGTCTGCAGCGCGGTCGGCGGGCTGGTCGAACCGAAACCACCGCTCGACGTCCCCGGGATCGACACCTTCGAGGGCGACATCGTCCATACGGCACGCTGGAACCCCGACCTCAGTGTCCGGGGCAAGGATGTCATCGTCATCGGCACGGGCTGCTCCGCTGGACAAGTCGTGCCCCAGCTCGTCAAGCCGGAACTCGGCGCCAAACATGTCACGCAGCTGATGCGTTCGCCGCCGTGGGCCGTCGAGTTCCTGCCCCCGGCCGCCCGGGAGTTCTGGAAGAAATGGATCCCCATGCTGTCCACGTACGTGCCGGGCTTCCAGAACGGGCTGCGCAAGTTGATGTTCGCGCTGAGCGAGCTCGAGTTCGTCGAGCTGTTCACCCCCAGCGAGGCCGCGCGACAGCGACGCAAGAAGAAGGCCGAGGAGCTGCTGGCCTACCTCCGCAAAACCGTGCCCGAGGAGTACCACGAGATCATGACGCCCGACTACGAGGTCTTCTGCAAGCGACGCGTGGTGGACGAGGGCTGGTACAAGTCCCTGGCCCTGCCCAACGTCGAGATCACCACGCTGCCCATCACCTCCATCCAGCCGCGGTCGGTGACCCTGGGCCCGGGCCGCCTGTACCCGCCCATGTCCAAGACGGACTCGAAGGCGCCCACCGAGCAGCGCACCGTGCCCGCCGACGTCATCATCATGGCCAACGGCTACGAGACCAACCAGTGGCTGCACCCGCTGGACGTGACGGGCCGGCACGGCCGGTCGCTGTACAAGACGTGGGACGAGCGCGGCGGCGCGCAGGCGTACCTGGGCACGGCCATGGACGGGTTCCCGAACTTCTTCATGATCTTCGGCCCCAACACGGCGACGGGCCACAGCTCGGTGATCCTGGCCACCGAGAACGCCGTCAACTACGCGCTCAAGTTCATCGGCCCGATCCTGCGCGCCGACGTTGCCACCGTCGAGGTCACGGAGCGCGCCGAACGGAAATGGACCGCCGACCTACAACGCGAGCTGCGCCAGAGCGTCTTCATGTCCGGCGGCTGCGTCAACTGGTACACCGACGCTGCACGCGGGTGGAACTCCACCGTCTACCCGCGCACCCAGGTCGACTTCACCCTGCGCTGCATGTTCCCCGTCTGGAGCCACTGGGACCTCAAGTACACGACTAAGGGCCGCGTCAAGCTGGCCGCCGCCCGCGCCGGCCGTCTCGTCGGCCTCGTCGGCCTGCTCTGGGGCATCATCTTCACCCGGAGACACGGCCTGCAGCACACCAAGGCCGTCCTCCGCGAGCTGCTCCGGACCGGGCTGGAGGGTGTCCGTGGCGTGTTACTCAAGGGGAGGTGACGGTAGACGGGGGTCTAACGTGGGAAGAGACAAAGAGACAGAGAGACAGGATATATATACAGGCTAGATTTGACAGACATCTATAGGTGGTATTTCACTAATCATCAAGACTTTCTGGCTCTTCCCTCGAATCTCCACGAAGGCAGGGCGAGCCGGCCGTGTGTAGAGCCCAGAGAGAAGAACGTCGTCCGGCCGAAGGAAAACAGAACACGCAGCAAAGTTCCAGGGGTTCATGTATTAGTTCTATCCTACTGAGCGGTCTTCCCACACATATCATGACTTCATGGTGCAGGCGTTGCCGTGACATGGGATTCGTGCCATGCGCCTTTTTATCTATCTCTATGTACAACCTCCACAAGACCTCGCTGGGCGAGAAAGATATACACAGTCGGAGTTTATGGAGATCCAACGAGTTGTCCGTGTCTGTACCTCTCCGCCAACACTCTGACCAGATCGTCCAAGTATTACGGAATCCCGCCTTTCTTGGCAGGGTCAAACAGCACTCCGATAATCTCGTCGAGGATCGTAAAGACAAGGTGCTGGTTGAGACGTGCGTTGTTCATGGTGGCGGTGATCCTTCTGGCCGCAGCTTGCGCATTGGCTCTGCCCACCACATTGCCAGCCAGGTCAGGGATCAGCGTGGCCAACATCAGTGCCGCCTCCGACTTAGACTTCTTCTTCTCCAAGGCTGTTCGTGGTTTGGCTTCTCTCAGCGTGCCACCACCGGGCCACATGGTCTCCTTGATCATGTCAGTGTACCGGAGGAGTGATTCCTCTTGCACCAAACTCGTGAAGATTTCGCGGATCTTGCGTTCGATGGTCCCTCCGAGCAGCTGATGGAGGACCACGATCACGGCCCGACCACGAAGCCAGTTGTTCCCTCGATTCAGCTCAAACGTCTCGAGAAAGACGTCACAGATTGGCTTCACAAAAGGTTCCAGTTCTTTGTCCTCAAACGCTGCCAACTCAGCCTCGGCCTCGGCGACCGGGCCCGGTTCAAGAGGGACGATGTCAGCCTGGTTGATCCCCAATTGATTGGTGGCAGCCGAAATCAGATTCTGTCCGGCCACGGATAGTTGATCCAGGACCGACACATTGCCCAGGAACTCGTCCATGCCCTCGGTAACGGAATTGTAAATCCGAGTTACAATGTCTTGTGCGTTGGACTCTTTGCTCGTGTCTTGCTGGGACTTGATACTGGACTGGGAGAGGAACGACCGTAATTCTCGGCTTCGGCATACATCGGGCATTTGGAGTAACTGCTGCAAGTAGTGTTCCAGTGCGAGCCGCCGATTTTGTAGAAATTGCTTCTGAAGCTTCATCACAACCCTTCTTCGAGGAAACTCGAGATTCCTGGTTGAGGGGTATCTGCGCCGTAGCCGTTGATGTAACTCATGGAACTCGGAATACCGTCGGGGAATGGCCCACACGGCTGCCGGCATTTGGTCACCGGCCTGCCTCTGTACCTCAATGACATACAGCGCAAATTCCCGCCCGTCGTCCTCTTTTCCCACCACGACAGATTTGATAGAGATGCTTGACCGGCCATACAAACTGTTGTCGCTTTCCTGGACGATGTATTGCTGACGCTGAAGCTCCTTCCGGCGAATTTCCCTCTGGAGACTCGATTTGGATTTGTTCAGAATTCGCAGCTCAGCGACATTGTTTGTCAGTTCAGCCTTACGAGTCAACGTGTCCACCACCGATTCTTGGGCTACCAGGCGCTCGATATCGTTATTAAGAGCGCTGATAGCTTCGGCAAGGCCGAGATCCCCTGGTGCAGCCTCGTGGATCTCATCCTCGTCTATATTGTCCCCTCTGCTGTCGTCATTGTCGACATATTCGTCCTCGATGAACTTTTCCTCGTCAGGAAAGAGATCATTGTCGGTGAACACGCCTATGCGAGAGGAGGTGTTGACAAGTCCGAGAGTGGCCAGGCTGGGTTTGGGCCTGTTGGCCTGTTCGGTGCCGGCGATGTCGAAGGAGCTGCGGGGTGAGTCGATATTCTTCGAAGATCTGGTCGCCGACACTGGGGACCCAAACAGTGTGTCATCATCGAAGCCCATGGTCTCGTCCATGGGACTATCCGTCATGATATTATTCATCGCTGCTTCCATGTTCTCGATGACCTGACGCTGGTCCAGCGAGTCACCATTCAGGGATTCGTGCCCGAGGCTGTGGGTAGAATGTGCCAATGGATCAGTGTCGTAGCCATCGTCGAAGAGGGGCGTGGCCCCGCTAGACCTTTTCGCAAAATCTCCATCGTCAAACAACTTGGACGAAGCCAAGCTTCGAACATCCGATGACGACACCGCAGCTCGCCTCAGATCTTTGTTTCGTGTAGCAAGTTGTGAACTGGTTCTCGTGATTGAAGGAGCTTGGGTGAGGGCTTTAGAAGTATCAGCAGCAACAGCCACCTGCCCGTTCACCTCGGCAAGGTTACCTGTACTTTGCTGGCGAGGGCGCGCTGCGGCTGCTTCGGCCGAAGCCAGAAATTTGTAGTAGAGATCGGATTTCCGAAAGTTTGGCAGATGTCGCGTTTCCAACTCTTCCAAGACGGCAGACTGAGCGGCCAAAATGGCAGTTCTCGCAGCGCGATATTGTTGAGGAGTCGCTTTTCGGCCAGCGGCCAAGAACGCTTTGATGGCGTCCTTGGACTCTTGAGGGATGTTCAATTCTTCCTTCAACATGTATTTCTCACTGATTTGAGCAATGTCCATACGGTCTGCGTCGGTCCAATTCTGTTGAATACCTGGATTCAACTCATCCCCAAAATCGTCCTCGAGGGGGTTGCGGAAGCCGTCGACTACCACCCAAAACTGGACCAAAGACATACGATTTTGACGATCCATAAACTCCATAAAGTACGACAGCCCTGAGGCAGTGTGCATGATCTCCACCAGAGTCCATTCGCGGGGTTTCGCGGCTGGAACTGGGCGCGAGTCGAGTTGTGGCATCGCCGTCTGCGGGACGGGTCCAGTTTGAGTGAGTTTCGCAATCTTCTGGTCCAGGACGCGTTTGGCCATTTCCAACCTCCGCAGGTAGACGGGATCCTGACCCTCGACCAGGCTCTCGCGCTGGATCTGGCTGGCGACGGAGCTTCGGAATCGTCGAGCATCCGACAGGTTCTTGGTTTTGCGAATGGCTCTAACAAATCGCTCAAAAGCACGTTCGCTGTCATTGGGTGCTAAACGGGGTAACTCTTGGCCGGATTTGCTTCTGGGGACGGGAGATGCGTGCTGATCCAACGCCGCTCTCATTCGGCGCACTGTCTTTCGGTCTTGTAACGCGGTTCGTCCATAGGCTTCGATGATTTGATTCCATGTATCCGGATCAGAAAGCAACTGCATGATTGGAAACAGGACTGCGCAGGCGACAATTTCCTTGACGAGCACCAGGGTGGCGCGACTCCCCATCATGCTCGGAGATAAAAGGTCGGGCAGAATGCGGACCACGGTCTTTCGGAGGTGGTCTTGCTGGACTGTCTTCGTATCCGAATACGCCAGGGCGGCAGCAGGGTGCAGCTTTCCATCCTTGTACTTGGCTGCAATGGCCAATTCCAGCTCTTCCGATTCAGTGACATTGCGATTCAAGCTGCGACCTCGCACAGCACGCTCGGCCTGATCAAAGTCACGCAGGTGTGCGGTGATCAGGGGCACAATCCTGGACACGACGACATTGACCATGTCCTCGGCGAGAATCCGGTCCCTGATCTCCACCAACGCAGCGCGAATGTTCCTGTCCACTTCATTGACAAAAACCGGGCTCTTGGAAATGTTCTGGTACCAGGAGGAAACAAAGTCGCGGAGGGCAAGACCAATGAGAGCCTCGAGGGCTTGGGAGACCACAAAGGATTGGTCATAGAGCTGGACGGGTTGGTACTGTTGGGAAGCTCGGAGGGCTGACAGTTCGGAGTCCCACTTCTGAGGGAGAAGGAGTGCAGGAGATGCAGTGGGAGGCGAAGAGAGCGCCTGGTGGGCTGCGCGCGACCTAGAGACACTCAAGGTTGCTGCGAGCAGAGTCACGAGGGTGACCAGAGACCCCAGGGTGAAGGCGTATCCCAAGAAGCGCAAGACGGGAAGGGCGCGGACTGCAAGACCCCAGGCGATGAACGCTGCAATGGAGGCAGACAAGACATGTCTTTGGGTGAGGTTCATTCTTGATCTTGCGGCCGACTCATGTTTGAGGGATCGGTATGGCTGCGCAGCCAGCCCGGTGGGGAGGGAAGACGGCAACCTGACATCTACACCATCGCACGGGTCAACCGGGAGGTGGGGAACGGAGGGGACATGACGGAGGATACCTAGTCTGCTGGCACAGAGATCAACCCGAGCTGAGCGTTCAAACTTGAGGAGGGAGGCCAGAGCATTCGGTTCAAGAGATACAATCAGAAAAATACGAGGTGCGACATGGATGGTGGTGGGAGCAAGTGGTAGCCAGTGCCCAACTGGCGCCTCACTAGGCACGTGCTAGGAAGGTGGAAATCGTGATCGTCACACCTTCCCCAATCACCCAGCTCGCCGGTCACCTGAGGTCACCTGAGCACTCTGAGGTCACCTGCGGTCCCGAGAGTGCAACCACCTGCAGCAATCAACCCGCCTAATGCATGGCCTGAACCTCCCGTGTGTCTTCTAGTGGTTGCCCTCCCACGCCCGTCGGCTTCTGTGAACTAATCTTCGTCTCTCAGAGTTTGCTGGTTGATTGCTTCTGCGGCTTGCAAAGGTGATGAGCAGACGCACCAGCCAAAATCTGCACGGAGCCATGCGTTTCCCCCTTCCGCGACAAATCGGATTCCGAGATCCAGGAAATCTGTTCTCGAGCAGTGCCAGCTTCCCCCGGGCTCGCTCCCGAACCACATGTTGAGCTTGCTGATCCCCTTTCAGGTCCCGGGACGGAGTTCTGAATAATCTACAAGTGTCCCCGCCCCGGCCGGCGGCTGGCTGCTGTATGCAAAACGTCCCCGGACGGGCTTTGGGCAGAACTACCAATCCACTGATGCTGGCAAGGGTTGTCAATCGGCGCGGGTTGAATCCAATGTCCTCCATACCGCTGTCAAATGTTCTAACCTGCAGCTGCGGGGCCTAAGGGGTTGCATAAGACAGGTAGGATCTCGAGGAGCTGCAGGCGTGATTGAGCCAGAGCACCAAGTACGCGGCGACTTGATGCTGGTGGTGGTGGTGGTGGTGGTGATGATGATGATGATGATGATGATGATGGATGGACGCTCTTCTCGTCTGATTCGTCATCCTCGAATCTTGGACAGCCGGCTGCAGAAAGAAGACCTGGGGTGGTCACCGCTAATTGTATGCGAAGAGCCTTCCTCGTATCGCCCACACTCCTTCCAGTTCTCGTCTTCAGCCTCCAACATCCGGCTCCTCCAGGTAGAGCTGCGAAGATGTTCAGCCGAGCAAGGGGTATGATACGGTAGCACGAGACAGCTGCATAGTTTTTACTCCACCATGGTCTGGTTGCCTTGCAGTCATCAGACAACAAAGGACGCAATGAGGACCAAGTCGAATCACCGCCAATCAAGTCCGCGCGGCCAACAGCTCGACGTCTCCAGACGGCAAATTCCTCGAGTAAGATGCTACTGAGGGCTCTCGTATCTCGTGTTGGAACCGAATAGCTTGCAAAAACAAATTTCATTCTTGCACCAGGGCGCTGTTCACACAGTCAGTGACACGGGGGCAACAGGGCAGATCGGGCGCATCAAGTGGTGGGCACAGCGCCTAAATCTTCCAGATCGATAGTATCCACACCACGCTAGGCACCGCCACACGGTCCAGAAGCGACCATTTTAGGTACGGGGGGAGGACGCCACAGTGTCCCCTCCATCCGCCTCCCACCCGTGGCATCGCTGCTGGTTCCTGCGATTTGAGGGGACTCACAAGGCGGCAGACTGCGGATAAGACGTCCTTACAAAGTAGGTCTCGCTCCGCGTGGGTTGACGGAACGCTGGTCGACCCTTGAAGCTTAATGGCTGTTCAGACTTCATCACAACTTCGGATTCAGTCTCCGTACCGCAAGCATCATCTGGTGGCACGGACTCGGCCTTCTCCCTAGCGATGTGCTCGTCTTTGACACTTGACCCGACTACTCCCCCAGACCTAGGGAGTGCGGGCGTCGCAATGCCTTCTCCAGATGCACAGGTTACCATTGGGGCAATTCAAGGCGGCCATCCCAACGCGTCGAGGCCCTTGAACCAAAATCTCTCCTGCTGCAAGCCACCGCTTACCCATGACCGCCTGTCTGAGGCTTCCCATTGATTGCCTTCCGGGCGCTTCCCCACGAACAAGATCATGAAGTGCCATAATCAGAGCGGTGAACGTCCACCGATGATTTATCGGCGAGCATGGGGCCTTACATCCCAGTCATCCAAGCTACACGGGTTGAAGTGTCATGCCAGCCAAACTCACTTTACCCACCTCATGGGACTTTTTCTTACATGTACGCTGTATGTAGTGGGATTTACATGACCACTGGGCAAAACAGGTGGGTCGACAAAGAGTCGACACGCGAGCCAGAAGAAAGTATGACACACTGGTGTTGCCAACCACAGCACCCAACTTACTCATGCTAGGATACCTATCCAGCAGGAAGAGAACACTTGACGAGAACTGGGCGGATCCCTCAATAGCTCTATTCGCTTCTGCGTGCGAAGCCGACGCACCATGGCTCAATGCCGAAAAGTTCTCGCCACTAAAGCCACCCATCGAATGCAGGAAATGTTTCCAAACAGGCTGTGGTTTTATAAGAACCTGCGTCGGCTTACTCCGTACCGCCGCATCTGGTCCACCGAGGAGGACAGCAAAGCACCTACTCCCAGGATTTGCAGCATGTGTTACTTGTGGAGATGCCCCAGAACCTCTTCGACCCTCCGGCAGCCGTAATTACGTCCCGCTTGTGGCCTTGACTCGCAAGGGGACGGTTGATCAGAGGCTGCAACCCTCCAAAAATAGGCGATGCTTGGAGAAATCAACGAGCCTCTCGATTTCTATATGATGAAAGTGCCAAAAACGATCGATTGAGCAAGTAGGGGACAGGCCCACGCCCACACACCAACAGTCGGAATCCTGCCTTATGGGTGCTCTGCGGGACAGGTTTGGGCTGACCATCTTTTTAGCCTCCGACCTAAGCAACCCTACTCGTCCCTAGGATGCCAGCAGGCCCCCGGTCAGAACAAACACCCTGGAAACGCGGAACTGCAGGCTTCCTCTTCCGGGGAAGCCAACTTCCCCGTCGAACGGTGCAAATAGCCCCCCCGGCTTTGGGTGCCCACCAAAGCAAAGCTCCAACCCTGGACGATTGGCAGTTGTAGGCTCAATGGGCCGTGGACAATCAATACTACAGTTTGCCGTTCGTTTCCCTACCGAGAGCTTTCAGGGTCGGGAAGCGGGTTTGGGTAGGTGGTCGTTGCTCTTCTGACCCTGACCTCTGGGGGATTCTCCGTCAACGAAGCCAGAGCAACTGGTTTTTGATGTGCCCCTTGTCAAGAGGTTCGTATCCCGCACTCTCTCCTCTCCATGTGCTCTTCCTCGGGCATGAAGTCTCTGGATGGGGCTAGTCTTGCCTGAGTTAGGCGGTACAACCGAAGTTGAACCACCCTCGATGCCCTGAAGGTCGTGGACGAAAGAACCTTTCGGGACCTGTCTCACCTGGGGCCGTCGACTCAGAACCGTTCCTTCCAAATCTCAAAGTCCACCTCCCCTTGCGTGTCTTTGGCCCCCTCCCGGCCACATTGTACGCAAGAAAAAGACAGAATTCGATAAGATTTACGGCATCCTCGTCCCAGGGCTTGCGGAGTAATACTCCCGCGCTGATGTTCTCGGCTAATCGATCATTCTCTCATACCGACCATCACGGAATCACTCGTCTGGGAAAATGTGACCAAACGGTCAACGATGAGCCATTCCGTGCAGAGCTAGGGCGGATAATCCTGGGCCATCTGCCCCCATGGCATGGCCCATGCCTTGTCGAGACCCCGGTCGCGACTATCCCACTCTCTGACCACTACTGCTCCTATCTTGTTCTTATCCAGGACGAGTCGTCCCTTCTCCTCCCACAAAATCCACACACCCTTTTCATCATGCATGTCGCAGTAGTGCTCGATGTCAAGCAGACGGCTCGCTTGCGGCCTGCAGCCCTCGACCATTGGCCGCTTCGCGTGTTCGTCCTGTCCTTCGAGTGAGTGCTCACACACGCACCTCCCTTCTCCGTGCCTGCACCAGCACCACGCCGCCGATCTGCAAGCCGGACCTCCACCGCCTGTGTCGCTCAGCTGACCCAAGATCGTGCTGCACCTGTCGAGCCGTCCTTCTCCTGTGCCCCTGCTTCCTTACTGCTCCTGGATGAGTTGGGACCGCCGGCGCAAGCCCACTGTACGAGCCCACTCGCTGTCTTCGATGCGTCAATAATGCGTTCCAAACTGTATCGACTGCATGCATGATGCAGTGGTGGAGCCTGAGATGACTCTCCAAAAGCCAACGGGACATTGACGAGCGAGGCTGACTGCCTTCGCGTCGGCAGAGTGGCGAGGTGACACAGCGCCAGGGGACCGACGCCCTGGCCCTTGGCTTGGCCGTCGCTCATCTCTGTCCATCGCCTCCGCCTTGCAGACTGGCCAACTAGTCCACCACACCTTGAGATATCCAACTTGCCAGACTTCACGCCCCGGGCCTGGCTGTCGCTTCTGTGCTCGCCTTCTCGTGAGTGTGGTCTGGTCAAGGTCCACCGGCCCAGGAAGTTTGGGCAGTTCCGCACTCTGGCGAGCCCAGACACCACGCACCTCTCTCAAACGGGCAGCGCTGGTGGCGCTAGTCTGTAATTAGGGGAAAGAAATACACAAGGCCACATGGGTCGAGCTGCAGAGTCGCAAAGCGGGCACGTAAGTTTTAACCATCCCATTCCCCACCGCGATCACAGAGCATCCGGGCCTTTGCGCTGAGAGGCAACCAATTCCTCATCCTTCATCTACACCGGGCTATCCTCCTACCTCTGCTCTTGGTTTCCTAGGTTATCTTCGTCTATTTAGTTCCCTTCGTCTCTGTCTCTGTCCGGCTGGGCTAGTCGATTGCAGTATGGCATAATGAATGAGTCCCTTCTCTCACTCTGGGGTTGAATTCTTCTTTTTGCGCATCCATCAGCCTGCCGGCATGTGATTGGCCTGCCCGTCACTCTGACCGACTGAACAGGGTTGCGACCTGTTTATATTAACAGGGCGGCCTCCAGAGCAGAGTACTGTCTTTCCGACTTCACTTGAACGTCACCTGGACCTGACCTGTCGGAGAGCTGGTGGTGACTGGGGCTTGCTTTCTCTTCCTGTTTGTTAGTACGGAGACGTCTCCATTCACCCTCACTCACGTCCAGGTGTATATATTGAAATCACTGTCGGATGGTGACTGCCCCTGCCTCGAACGTGTACCCTAGGACTTGCCTCTCATCACGCTGTTCACCTTCAGGCAGTGACGCCTCGAGGGATCCATATAAAGATCCGCCAGCCATGCTCGTTCTCCAGCACAATGCCATCAAACCAGCCTGGCCAAACCCAATAAGCAACAAGAATTCCCTGTCGAACAACCTCAGTCCTATCTTTTCACCTCGCGCTTGCCCTGGTAAACATCATTCTCAAGAAATAGCTCCATCATGACTGATTCCAATCAAGAACCCGATCCTCTCAACAACGGCACCATGTCAGACTTCGCGAACGGCTCTAGCCCGGACAGTGCGTTGCTTTCGTCAGCCGCCACTTCCAACCCGTCCGAAAACAATACAGATCTTGACCTGCTTGACGATATGCATCCCAATGGATCTGTCATCGACCCAAACGGCATTGCCGAGTCCCTGTATCCAGAAGTCGATGCCACTCTCGAGCCCTATGATCACCCAGGCTCAGATCACGTTATTCAGTTGTCTAGTCTCGAGCACTGCATGCCTCGGTCGTACATTCGCATCTGTTTTGCGTATCGCCTACCGAGCCCAGACGCGCTTCCAGGGGCGTTGGCGAAGTTGAATCACTTCATCCGAAAGACTGTGGACGCGAAGCCATATCTGAGTGGCTATGTTGTAGCAGTGGACAATCCAGGCAATCGTGTGGGTGCAGTTGAGATTCGATTTTCCGACACCGACTTCCTTGAATATCCCAACGTCGGTGTTCGTGAATTCACCCGCGAAGAGTTCCCGTACACCTATGACGAGATCTGCGAACGGGGTCTGCCCCCTAGCGTCATCAAGCCTGAGTTGGTCTCTGCGTTGGGGGAGTCTGCTGATGAGCACCGCGCCCCGGTTTTCAGAGTCCAAGCAAATGTGGTGGAAGGAGGCATCATCGTGTCCGTCTACCTCCACCATTGCATCTCGGATGGCTCGGGCTTTGGCTGGCTCGCTTCAGGCAACGTGCTAGACGATGACTTCACCTTTGACCGCCACTTGGATACTCGCGGTCTCGACATCCCAAGTCTTTCGATGAGACTGGACGCGTTTGCTACTCGCAAGAGCATCGTCCGCAGAGAACTCTCCTACCCTTTCGCCAACCAGATCACCAATCGGGAGCTCAGATGGAAGACGGCCCAGCCGACACCTGTAGAGGAGGAAGTCATCAAACCTCGTGGTCGAGGCTGCGTGTTTGCCTTTCCCTCGAGTAAGCTGGAACATCTGAAGCAAGGCCTCCAGGCCCACGCCGAGGGCGCCTTCATGACAACACATGACGCTTTGCTGACCTTGATATGGCATGGAATGACGAAGGCTAGAATGCCTTCGGTGCCAGAAGTGACCACCTCGAAGCTTCTCATTCCCGTCGACATCCGCAACAGGCTGATGAAGCCACTTTCAGAGTCCTACTTTGGAGCCGCGGTCGATTTCGCCTCGGTGCAAATGCCTCTTTCCCACTTGGCGGACAGCAGTGTAGCTTCCATGAGTGAGACGGCATTGGCGGTCCGTAAGGCTATCAACTGTGTCGACGAGCCTTATATTCGACAGGCAATTGCCTTGGCAACATATCCCAATCCGAAGATCGACGTCCGAGATTTGCAAGCGAGCAACATGGACCGAACCGGTGGCGCAGATATGTACATCACGAGCTGGATGAAGCTGAACATCTACAAGTCGACCTTCGAAATGGGCCTCGGTCGGCCAGATTGGGTGCGGAAGCCTTGGAGTAAGGATCCTGGCTCCTGCATCATCTTGCCGTACGATGACCGAAAGGACTACCTTGAGGCCGTCATACAGATGGCAGAAGCAGACATGGCCCGGTTGCTGGAAGACCCAGAGTTCATGGGATATGTGATCAGATGGATAGAATGACCAGGCTCATTGAACTTTTTGTTTATGGCGCAAGGGACAAAAGCGGATTGTGAAGCGGGATGTAGGTCTGCGACCTGGGACGTGGGGGACTCGAAAAGCATTGTGAGTGACGACAGTATCTGTGGCAGGGGGGTTCTGGAACGACACCACCACTTACCTGACGGGGTTGGAAGGGTTGGAAAGGCTGGAAAATCACATAATGGAAGGCAAAGAACGGAAGGCGAGAAATGTACAACTACTCTCAAGCGTGGGACAAATCAAACATCGATCGGCAGGTGAGGGAATTAGCCGATGCGACAAAGGGCTGTTATCGATCTTGGATGACTGAGTTTGTTTCTGGCTGGAGGATTGACGTATTTCCTTGTTGATATGAATCACACACGTTTCCAATGATTCAAAGATTCATCGTGTGTGAAAATGAAAGGGGATGAACGAGACAAATCTGAAGTCCTTGGGGTGGAATATATCACGTGGTTTCGCGTGTCGGTAGAATGTTGATCCGGTGTCCTCGCCCAGCACTTGTGGCACGTCAACCACGTCAACCCGTCGGACGCGTCGAGGCGACTTTTCCGCATGACAACACGCGGTTTCTTATCTGATCACCTTCGCACTCCTTGCCGTGGCATATTTTCTACTCAACCACTACTTCTCCGAGTAGCCTTAGCTTCTCCATCTTCTTCGCACCGCGCTCGTTGACCTCGTCTTCGTACCGCAGGCCAAACGACCACCATGACGCAGATTGAGAGCAATGACACCCCTCAAGATGACTACGGAGATATGCCTGGGGGCCCGGGAGCACCCATCCCAATTTCTCAGTTGGTGGTGAGCTTCCGCACTGGATTTTTCGTCCGCATCTCAGAGAACTGAGTTGTTTCTAGGGCGTTGCAGGCTTGACCGAAAGAGACATCAAGTTGGTCACCGAGGGCGGCTACCATACCGTCGAGTCTATCGCATATACGTAGGCACCACCACTCATACCCACCGTGGCCAAGCTCACCGTTCCACACAGGCCACGCAGACAATTGGAACAGATTAAAGGCATATCGGAAGCAAAGGCCTCCAAACTCCTGAATGAAGGTTTGGAAACAAGCATTGCATTTGCGACTTCAGCTGATCGGTGGCAGCGATGAAACTGGTGCCCATGGGCTTCACGACCGCCACCGAGATGCATGCCCGAAGAAGTGATCTGATCTCCATCACAACTGGCTCGAAGAATCTTGACCGACTACTGGGTGGCGGCGTTGAGACAGGCTCAATCACGGAGATCTTCGGCGAGTTCCGCACCGGGAAGAGTCAGATTTGTCACACAATGGCGGTTACATGCCAGTTGCCCTTTGATATGGGAGGTGGAGAAGGAAAATGTCTGTACATCGACACCGAAGGCACCTTTCGCCCTGTTCGTCTGCTGTCAGTAGCACAGCGATACGGTCTCGAAGGCGAAGAAGTCCTTGACAATGTTGCCTACGCACGGGCATACAATTCTGAGCACCAACTGCAACTGCTTCAACAAGCGTCGCAGATGATGTGTGAAACCCGATTTTCCTTGCTGATCGTTGATTCAGCGACGTCGTTGTACCGAACCGATTACAACGGTAGAGGGGAGCTCTCATCACGACAGTCACACATGGCCAAGTTCCTGCGCACGCTACAACGACTCGCGGATGAATTCGGCATCGCAGTGGTCATCACCAACCAAGTAGTTGCACAAGTGGACGGCGGACCCAGTGCCATGTTCAACCCTGACCCTAAGAAACCTATCGGCGGCAACATCATAGCACATGCAAGTACTACCAGACTGAGCTTAAAAAAGGGTCGAGGCGAGACTCGTATCTGCAAGATCTACGACAGTCCATGTTTACCCGAGAGCGACACACTGTTTGCCATATATGACACTGGGATTGGCGATCCTCAACCCAAGGATGACAAGGAATAAGGGCAGCGGGCAAGGTCTAAATCCACGATTGAAGATTCACGCATAGGAGCAGGTGGGATGCACAGATATCTGCGGCAGCAGCGCAATCAGGAGCATTAGCATTAGATCGAGCATCGAAAATGGTTCAGGAGTGCTGGTTGTTGGCAAACTGGGCACCAATGCCCCCAGAATGCAACAATCAGCTGGAAGGCCAAGTTAAGGGATTGTTAATAATGAGGCATCCGGCACACACGAGGACACGAAGGATGAAGGTTAAGCATTGTGGCTGATGCCTATCAAGGTGCCTAGAGCAGCGCGATGGATGCCAGCTAATGAGCGGTGAAATTTCAAGTTTTGAGAGGGAATGTTACGTGTCGGAGCCCATCTACACATTGGCTGCCCAAAGCGGTAGAGATCGACGAGGGAGAATCGAACTGGTAGCGCTGTACACGAAGTATTTCAGTCCTAGGGGATGTATAGATGAGATACATCCGAAGCCTAGTCTATGGTCAGGGCAAACAATAAATAATGTACGAGTACGAGTCAGTCAAGGGAGGAGCCGGGAGCCAGCTGGAGCGGCTCCCAATCTAGACCCGCCAGTGGCACTGCTGGAGGTGATTGCCCAATGCCCACGGATGGTTAGTGAGGCCTAGCCAAGGCTGAGCGATCCCATTCTCCAATCCGCTGGGGGCTGTGGCCCACGCCTAGTAGCAAAGGGGGGACCCCCATCCCGCTCTGCTTAGGCGTCGCCTTTGGCGTCATCATACATGGGCAGCCGAAAGCAATACCGAGTACTGTACAGTACAACAATATTGCGTCTCACCAGCCTCTCACAACCTCGAACCGATCGACTGCACTGCGAAAACCACGAGGGGCGGACACGCATTGCTAGCACATCTTGGCCCGTTTACTGCTATCAGCTGGCCGTGTCCATTGCGAATCTGCCGTCTCGATCCGTGTGTTCCTTGAGCCGTCGTGGCTGTCAACAAGTCTTCCATTGCTTCTCTTTTCTCCTTTTGAATCGTATTCTTCTTCTCTGCATTACCAGTACGCCTTACAACCTTGGGATTTCTTCTTCGCGTTGACCATTTCTGCTCGGGTTGAAGGAGCACGACCTGCCTGTTGAAAAACGCGCTGTGAGCTGCCCGCCGCGACAAGTTGTTGTAGTTGGATCGCGCTCCATAGATTTGATGGAAGGTGAGTTTCTTCTAACCTCTCAAACTCTGACTGCCCCGTGTAGCTGACTGACAGTGACGGCCAGGCCAGGCAGACGGAAACATGGACGAGGGCCAGCCCCTGTGTGTCGCAGAGTCGCAGGAAGGCTATGGGACTGGCCCAGAGATCGCAAACTCCAGCTCCGACTTCGAAGTCCTGTGCGGTCCTCTCCTGAACTACCAACGTATGAGTGATGAAGGCTCCTCGAATATCTTCTGGCACGGCTCCGTCCTCCTCGTCACAAAGCCCAATATCAATACTCCCAACTTAGAACTCAAGACCCTTGGGGCATTGGAATCCGGCGCAAAGTTCAAGTCTTCGCCGTCGCAGTTGGTGCAAGGATTGAAGCTCTACTCAGACCCAGACAAGACATTTTGGCGGTTCACACTCCGAGTACCTCTGGTGGAGGCAGAAGCAAAATGGCAGTACTCGATTCCGAACATGCATTTCCTCACCGATGTCAAGAAGGAGCCGATGCGGCAATTTGTAGTGCCCTCTACCACACAATCAATGCGCATCATGTTCCACTCCTGCAATGGGTTTTCGGTCGGAACGGACGAAGATTTCTGGTCAGGTGGGTGTTTTTCGGTCAGAGTCTAAAGAGCATAGATGAGGACGCTGACTTGTAATCTTCAAGGACCTGCACTGTGGAATGACGTCCTGCGCACTCACGAACAACGCCCATTTCATGTCATGATCGGTGGGGGCGATCAGATTTATAACGATTCGGTTCGTGTCAAGGGACCACTGAAGGAGTGGACGTCCATTGCCAATCCCAAAAAGAGACGAGAATATCCGTTCGACGAGGATCTGCGAGATCGATGCGACAAGTATTACTTTGAGAACTATATACGATGGTACTCTACGGAGCCTTTCGCCTCGGCCAATTCTCAGATTCCCCAGATCAATATCTGGGACGACCACGACATCATTGACGGGTTTGGTTCCTATACCGACCATTTCATGAGATGTGCAGTGTTCCGTGGCCTTGGAGGTGTCAGCTTCAAGTACTATTGCTTGTTTCAGCATCACACTGCACCACCAGTTTCGACATTCACCACGGATGCGCCAAAGACCATGGGTGCTGATGCCAATGGCACGGCAGGGGCTGATCCGCGTCAACTGAAAAACACGTACGTGTATAAGAGGACGGCAGACGACCCCAGCTGGATTGTTGGCAAACGCCCCGGCCCGTACGTTGAGGAACGGTCGAGAAACCTCTACATGCGCCTGGGTCGCCATATCGCATTCTGCGGGATTGACGCGAGAACGGAACGAACGAGAAAACAAGTCAATTACCCAGACACGTACGACCTGATCTTTGAAAGACTGGAGAAGGAGTTCACGGCGGCACGAGGAGAAATCAAGCACTTGATTCTCCTCCTTGGCGTGCCCATCGCATATCCCCGACTGGCATGGCTGGAAAACATCCTGACGTCGCCCTTGATAGCCCCCATTCGCTTGCTGAACAAGAGATTCGGCTTCGCTGGCGGGTTTTTCAACTCATTCGACGGGGCTGTTGATCTCCTGGACGACCTGGACGACCACTATACAGCACGCCACCACAAGACCGAACGGCGTGAGCTGGTCCTTCGACTACAGAAACTCTCCACCGATTTCTCCGTTCGCGTCACCATCCTGGGGGGAGACGTGCACCTTGCGGCATTGGGTCGCTTCTACTCAAGTCCTGCAGATAACATGGATCCACTGAACGATCCACGATACATGGCGAACATCATCTCCAGCGCCATTACCAATAAACCTCCTCCCAAGGCCGTGGCAAACCTGCTAGCGCGGAGAAATAGAATCCACCATCTGCGTGATGGGAATACCGACGAGACGCTCCTCAAGATGTTCAACAAACAACCAGGGGGTGTGATGAAAGGCGCGGACTGGAATCAGTGTACGATGCCAAGCAGAAATTATGCGTGTATCACGGAGGTGGTCGACGATGAGGACTCCCCGCCAGCAAATGGCGTCGTCAACGGCTCTGTCAATTCGCAATCGTCATCAACTGCAGTGAATTCGACCGGCAAGACGGGCAAGTCTCGCCCTCACACAGGCAAGGGGGCGCGTGACGGACGCGGATATCTACACCCCGGTGAGGAGGGAGCGGGAACAACACATATAGCCGCAGACGGGATTAGTTCAGAGGCTGTAGGCCCGTCGCTGAGGGGAGGTCTGAATGTCGCCATCAAGGTCGAGATCAACAATCGAGACCGGGAAGGGAAGACTGAGGGATATGGGATGAGCAGTAAGCGCTTAGCCTCGTTTTTATTGTTGTCGAAGAGCCTGCTAATGTTTTGGTCAACAGTTCCTAAGCTCACGATGAGGACCACCCCTCAAACACCACAGACGCCACCGTGAGCGTTTATATCACCAAGACACATTGCGACTACTTGTCTCTCCGTCGTCAGATGGGCTGTGAGGCATGTGACACCATCTCTGGAAAATCCTTTAAACATTAATCATCTTGTCATTATTAAGTACTAGTTTATTCACGCCCTCGAAAGGGGAAGAAGAAGAGCCGCCGCGCAGGCCAGTCGCAGTGGAGGCGCAGTGGGAGAAGGATCTTACCCAGCGGATTCGGCAGCAAATCGCCAAATCAACAGTTCCCACAGCTTGTGCACATTTCCGATTGGCTCAGTCTCTACAGATCGCCAGAGACACTGCTGACTGAACACCTCTGGTGTCATGTAATGGGCTAAAGAGGCACCGCAGCACGCGAGGTTGATAATCGGTCGGACTGTCTTTCGGGTCCTCACCGGTCTCTGCCATTGTCTTGTTATCATCAGGAGACGGACGATAAAAGAGGCGAGGGAAAGGGGACAAGTTGAGGGGAGGAAAAGAAGACAGGAGAAGGTAATGTAATGTACCAGTACAGACAGACAATGCAGGTGCTCCGTAGATGGGTGTGTACTATACAATGTCTAGTACTATCGCCGCCACGGGACGAGGATACCCTCCCATCAATTGAGGACTTACGTGTCTCTGGACAGGATCCATCTATACTACTCGCATTGCCCTTGCTTGCTGCTGGATTGCCTTCTCTGAGATCTCCTTCGTACATCACACCACCCCTTTTCTTCCCTGGGTATACAGGCTGTAGACTATATACTCACTCAGTAACTCCGCAGTTATCGACGAGGTGGACCTGGGTAATGTGCCAGAACATGGTTTCTACGGAATGACCGCCACACACAAACAAACAAACATATACCCTCTCTCTCTCTGTATTGTACATGGTCCAAGGCTCTCTCTCTCTCTCTGCCTACCTATGCTACCTATGTAGGTACTCACTCAGGTGGAGGAAAGAGTCAACCATCCAGTCCAGTCCAGTCCGTCCAGAGCCTTTCCCAGACCCGGAGTTTGTTGATGAATGACTGAATGAATGAAACACACACACACACACACACACACACACACACACGAGTTTCTTTCCGGGTTTGCTTTGCACCTTACACACCAGGCCGGTCGGCCGATCCCCGCTCCATCCTCAAAATTCCTCAAACCCGCGACTCGTACATGTGATTGAGCGTCACCGTCCCGCTCCTCTGCAGCGCCATGCCGTTGCCGTAGTAATTGTCCTTTTTCTTGCTTGAAGGCAGGACAGTCGGCTGGGGCCGCTGTGGTGGCGGGAGCGGTTTGTCGTGCCGACGCGACTCTCCCTGTCCCCGTTCCTGTTCTCGGGCTCGTTGTTGTTGCTTCGCCGCGGCTTCCGCCGCCGCCGCTGCCGCCGCCGCCTCCTCTTCAGCTCGAAAGACGAGCCGTGGGCCGGAGATGTTGGTGAGTTCGACGCCGCGTCCTCCTCCTCCGATAGGCTTTTTGGAGAAGTCGCTGTCGAAGCCATCTGCTGCTCGGGCACCGCCGCCAAAGTCCACCCCGGCGCCCATCAGCCGCACCTGCTGGCTGCGCACGTGCTCGGCACGCATCCACTCGCGTCGCGCGCACTCGACCAGCACCGCCGCGAGCACGAACATGACCCACTGCAGAAGATCCTTGACCGTCGCCAGGGTGCCCAGCATGCCCGCCAGGCCCGTCTTACCCGTGTCGTGGAACCGGGACTGCGGACACCACGCCGGCACCTGGCCCTGGTGGCCCGCCAGGATGGGCGCCAGCTCGCAGGACGTGCACAAGACGGATTGGGCGAACCACATCAGCGTGTGCAGGATAGACACGCACAGGATGAAGAACGTCGTCGTCACCGTGTAGTGCGCGTCGTATGGCGCAGAACTGGTCGATTGTCTTGCGGACCATAGCTTGCTGCTACGGCCGTTGGGATATGGCGGGGAAGGGAGCCCGTTGAATTGCAAGGCTGCCAGATGAGAGACCGTATACAGGAGGGAGAAGAAAGGGATGGTTCCGACGTAGAACACTAGGGGTCTGGGTCGGATACTTGGTCAGCCATCACAAGGGTCCAGGATTTTCCCAGCGACAAGGCGAGAAAGTTTTGGGAAGGCGTCCACAGGGAGATATCACCACCGGAGAAAAAAACTTACAGCCATTTGCTTGGCCCCGGAACCATTTCGTGTGACCATGCCCCATATTTCGATGAGGCAATGAGAATGATGATGGCCAAGATCAACGAACATATGAGCAAGATGACCTGAACTGCCCGAGTCTGCATCTTTGTACCGGTGCTGTCCTTTCCGACGCCGGTTCAGGACTGGTCGACTGGGAGAATTTTTGTTGGAAGAAGTGAAGATGTCCCACTGGTGAAAGGAGAAGGAGCAGCGTCCTGCACCACAAAACGGAGATATCGAAGTCGCTCAGGGAATGACTGGAAAGAGCGGGTTCACGCAGAACGCGAAAGAATGGAAGAAAAAGGTATATGGTAGCGTCCAGCGCTCAGCGGCCAGCGCCTTTCAAAAGAGAGAGTCGTAACCCACAGAAAAGAAGAAAAATGAACGGATCTAGGGTCAGTCCACCTTTGTATATATCAACGAGAGTATAAAAGCAAAGAACAAGCCTACCCGCCTGGCGGGGAGCTGGAGACAAAAAGAACAAACGAGAGATTGGCGAGGAAGGCAACCGAAAACAGCAACGTAAAAGGATTGAGACGAAATCAGATACGAATTGCCCGGACGACAGGGCATCCGTTGAGTGCTCCTGGTCGAACGGGCCGCACGACCCCATGCTCGGCGGGTAGATCTCATCAGGATCGTGTCGGAGGGGTGCTGGATCAGGCATGTCCAAACCTTCATGACGTGACAAGGTGGCATATTGCTGGCCTTTTTGACCAGAGAATAGCATGATATCCGCCTCTCAGGAGATCCCGATCACCACTCTCTGGGCCGTGCACAACTCCTGTAGCACATGGCGGCAGATGGCGGGCATGAATTGGGTTAAGGGAGAGATTTGGCGTCGATCGGGCGCGGGGACCCAGACAACTGGTGCCGCAGATAAACCTCCGAAGGATCGACGGTGTGTCGGGGAAATAGCCAAAGGTGAGGCGCCGGCCTGGCAACATCAAGATGCGGAGGCTATTTTGAGACTGTAGTTGCGGCAGAAGTTGGTCTGAGACTGGAGGAGGTTGAGTTTCGCGTCTCAGGTTGTGTCTATCTGATGCAGCGCTAGACCGGATCCGGCATTCAAGGGGGTGGGTATGTCAGTCCACGTGATCAGTGTAGGATACAGAGTATTGACGAGGCTGAGGACCGAAAAGGGATCCTGGAGGTGAAACTTGAGACAGCTCAACTAGTTCAGTATGACCCTCGTCCAGTTGGGGTCATTTTGGGGATCCTTGCAATCTTGGAATATCTCTCCTTCGGAGAGTCCGTGCACGTACGCCTCCCCAAGCAGGGTGAAGATAGGCTTTCCATCAACTTCGCCAGCATTCGCTTTCCTCAGCACAAAGGGCAACGAACCTCCTTTTAAGATGACGATATGGTCACCTCGAGTGAGGTTCTTTGGTCCTATCCCCATGTAGCCCTTCCTCGTCCTGAAAAATTTGCGACCAATTGTTGATAGTCGAAGAGCTTCGTTGAAATGCTCTCCATACGCTGGTTGCTCGTTCCCAAAGAATTCACCTGGGCGGGGATATCTATCTCGAATGGGAGTAATCTTCTCCTCTCTGCAGCCATCATTCTTGCAATCTTCTGATCTGCCCGAGGTGACTTGATTTTGATGATCCGTGATGGCCCACTCAGGACAGATGCACGCGGGCTTTTCGTCCTTGATCTCAACCTCGAGAATCTCAGGATAAGCCAGGAGGAAGCTTTCCGCAAATGCCGCCGATGGTACAACCAGCTGCTTGCCCGATATGACTCTGTTTGCAATCAGCGTACGCCAGAAGACATCAAACGGACGTTGTCCTGTTGGGTAGGTGTTGAACTTGACTCCAAAACACCACCACAGACTCAAGATGTAATGCTTTACGCCGATGATGCGATGCTCTGGCAATGCGATCGCCCCAGACACTTCAATAACGTCGGTCTCCCCAGCAGATCGGGCAGCTTCTATGAGCACCCTGTCTGCAAAATATGCATCAACCTCAAGCAGTCCAGAAGCAAATTCCGTGGGCAGTACAGGTTTCGTTTCCAGAGAAGCACGATAGTTCGCGGTGGATGCTAATCCAAATGATATTATCAATGCTGGCTCTTTGGGGTAGCTGCTCCAGTCGGGTATCCACGAAGGTAAATGAGGTTGTTTCCTTGACTTGCCCGAACCTGCGTCGGCGAGCATGTTAAGAGAGTTTTCCTCCGCTAATGTAAGTCGTGCTATCGCTTCGTAGATCTCCGGTAACGGCAGGTCGTAATCAACCCGAATCTCTCTTTTACCATCAAGCTTCCGTACATTCTGCTGCATCTTTGCGGTAGGTATCCTTGAGTGAATAACGGCGTACTGTCCTTTGACGAGGCCGAGCAATCCATAGACTTTGTCAGCAGGATTTGTCGATTCCTGCTTCCACGATCTTTGAAGGAACCAATGTAAGTTCTGAGCAGGGCCTTGTTTTGATTGGATCTTATAATACTCCAGGAAGATCGCAACGGCAACCGGGTTCCAGCCTGTGCCCTCGATATAGGCGCCTCTGAGCTCAGGAATCACAACGGCAGGGTCATCAATGATTTGTAGTGGAGCCACACCGAATCGCGTTGATGCATTGATAAGGTCAATCCATTCTATTCTGTGGTCACCGCAGAGAAACACCGGCGGGAAAGCTTTGTGTACATCCCACAGGCAGACTTCTTGAACCACCCATAAGCGCCTAAACCAAGCCAGCTCAGAGAACCGAGTTAGTGCAAGAGCCTGGTCCACAGTGACCTCAGTCTTCGGGAGCCGCTGTGAATGGATTGGACCTGGCTCAAGCTTGTCCGGCTGCATTTGAGTCTTGTTTGCGTCTCGAAAGCTCTTGGATGCACCTCGGATCAGCTCCACGGCGACATCAAGTCCCTCTGGTGGATCACCCAAATCAACGAAAACCTGATTCGCATGGCGGTATATTTCGTGCATATTAGCCACCTGTGTTCAGAGTCAGATAGAAGAAACGCTGACGACCGCCAATCACTAGACCAGCTCGTGACCACGCACATGCCGGGCAAAGTAACACGCAGTCTGTCACGACTCGTGGCCGCTCATTGTACCTACCTGGGCAGATTTCTCTTGATTATCGTCCTGTCGAATGGAAATAGCATCCGCCCAGATTCGAAGCCAGTTCTGTTTCTCAATGCGCCTCCATTTGCGCAGAGCCTTGTCAAGCGTTGCGTAGATGTCGAGTCTCTTGCCATTGCAGTAGGAAGGTACCTTGACGCTCACATCACCACATACGTAGCTGACTTTGATTAGGAGCCTCATGTCAGCTTAGAGAAGCTTGCACCACGGGCTGGAATGGACGGAAAGATAGGTCGGCAGGAGGGTACCCACCGGCAATGTACTGAGCCCCCGAGAGCGAATCTAGCCGAGTGTAGTGCAGCGAGTACCGCAGGGGCTCGTCATCCGGACCGGGAAAGAGATCAATGACTCTGATATACGACTCATTTGGGAATGGCTCGTAGTGGAAAGGAGTGTCGTCGTCGCGGAGCTTTCCATTCTTCTCCCAAATGCATCCGGGGCAGTTACCCAAGGTAAAGTAATGGATCAAATTGCCGGTATTGGCATCAACAACAGTATCTCCCCGTATTCTGTGGTGGAGAAGGAAGTGATGCTCATCACCGCATCGCTTGTCCTCCGAGTAGCATCTCTCACATATGTCGAAGTCACCGAGGCGGCAGACAGTGCAGTGGTAGAACGTCTGCTCTTCAAGAATGGAATCACCACAGGTGTCACAGACTTTAGACATTGCGGGGACAGGGTGGTATTCCAACAACAAATAAGTGCTTTTGGAAAACAACAGCCATCAGAGGACAATGTCCAGGATGTGAAAGGCCAATGGGCTTAAGAGTCAGCTTGACCGAGAATGTCCGGCGAAGCATTAATCTTATGTTGCGCAGCCTTCATCTTCTTGGGCAGCAGCAAGGCATGAAAGGGCAATGCTGTCGTCACAAGACTTTGAGCAATTTATATTTCGTAGATAGCTTTTGTAATGCATGCTGGCTGTACCCCGCCTACTGCTCGGTATCTGAACATCTTTTCTTACTCACCAGTTCACGGGAGACCGCTGGCTCTCATCAGAGGCTGCTTCTTACCACGCTATCTTCGCTACGATGCCGTTGGGATATTTCCTCACAACCATCTTTCTCAACTCGTCCAGACTCAAGAGCCCGATGCCGAATGTCATGGGAATGAACCAGTGTTCGACCGGGACTTTCTCGCATCCAAGGTAGTCTATGCCCGGCACAAGGGTGAATATCAGTGCGACGACAAGAGCAAAGAGAATGGCTGGGAAAAGTAGCAGGTTCCGTGTCTTGGAGTTGAATATGGGTGGATGCGAGAAGATGGAAAGGTGGCGGGTTCGCAGGGCCATGACATTGAACCACTGCATCACCACGAGCGTGACGAAGTAGATCGAGCTTGCCACAGTCAGGTGGTACGACACATCGGCCTCGGTCTGACCCGCTGGAATGGGAATGTTGCCGAAGGAGAACCACAGCGTGCCGAACGGAAGGCCATGGCGTTGTAGGTACCAAAAGCTCATGGCGAACGAGCAGATCGATTCCAGCATGCCGACCAAGCCGTACGCCTGCAGCAACAGCCGCCAATCCACGAGACGATCTTTGTGGATATCCCGTGGCGGGCGCAGCATGACATTGGCCTCGGGCTTCTCGTACGCGAGCATCGTGGCAGCGACGCAGTCGGTGAAACAGCAGATGATGATCATGAGAAAGCTGGAGAGGACCTGAGGGAGACCGAAGACGACGCTCGTCATCACCGGCCAGAACTCCGAGAATGAACCTGCGGGCAGAAGATACGCGATGGTCTTTTTGAGGTTGTCGAAGACCACGCGGCCGTACAAGACGGCCTCCGGAATGGCGGAGAACGAGCCCAAGAGAACCATGTCGGACGCTTCGATCGCAATATCAGATCCGGAAGCGGGGGAAATACCGATATCTGCTTGTTTGAGACTGGGGGCGTCGTTGACACCATCGCCGGTCATTGCCACGACGAAAGCTTGGGACTGGAATTCCCGGACGATGCGCAACTTCTGGTCCGGCGTCGTGCGTGAAAAGACAATCTCGCTGTATTGGGTCGTAAGGGTGGACCATTGGTGTGGGAGGAGCGTCAACAGGTCAGAGCCCGTCAATACGATAGCCTTGTTCTCCGAGGGCAGCCGGTTCGACTTTTTCTGGCGCGTCTTCTCGACTACGTCTTGAAGGGGGAATCGAGGGAGGTTGTCAACCGAATGAATCTCACTGTCGGTGACGGTGATGATACCGCACGACCGAGCGATGGCTTGGGCCGTCAACTTGAAGTCGCCAGTGACCATCATTGTGCGAATGCCTGCACGGCGAAGAGTCTGGATAACACTCGGCACCTCATCTCTAGGCGGATCAACAATCCCCACCATGGATATCAGAGTGAGTCCAGCTCCGGCGTGCCGTAGAGCTTCTGCCTCGAATGTGTTGTCATTAGGCGCCGATTGCACCGTGCTCGCCGGAAGAATCTTGCGGGCTAGCAGAAGGACTCGTTTGCCCTGGCTAGACCATGCATCTTTGGTGGCTTCCATGGATGATCGAACGCCGTCATCGAGACCGTGGACCCGGCCATCTTCTCCGACGTACCTCGAGCATCTGGGAAGAAGAATGTCCGGGGCACCCTTGATCATCAACAACAAGTCGCTCTCAACGTCAAAGGAGTCTGTTTCAGAGGTACTCATGGTTGCTGAAACCGCCGCCGCATTCTCGGGAGAAACGACCCGCAATGCAAATTTATTCTTCGAGTTGAAGGCCAGGTCGAATCTCTTGCGCCACATGTCGCGGGACTGCGTGACAGGACCAAGACTCTCAGAGAGCCGCAAGATGGCTTGGTCGGTTGCATCTGCGATGATTTTTCTCTGTGGCAGGGGGAGATGAATCGTGGTCGGATCAAACTCTCCAGCATTGCATACCGCTGACAACACCCGCAATTGTTGAAGTGCGACTTTCTTCGACTTGGCGTTAGTATCTTCCATTGCCATGTCTTGAGATGCTTCTTCCGCGGTCATGGTGCTGAACCCGATCAGACAATCGGTCACAACCATTTGATTTTTCGTCAACGTCCCGGTCTTGTCGGACAAGAGGACGGAAACGGAACCGAGAGTCTCGACTGTCTTCAGCGACTTGCAGAGAATGTTGTTCTTCTTCATGATGTTGGCCGTGATTGTGAGCGACGCCGTGAGGGCAATGGGCAAGCCCTCAGGGACAAATGCAATGGCCACACTGACGATGTCGACAATGAGGGTGGGTACGTTGATATAGCTGTGGTGTTCTTGTCGTATGTACCCGGCCCAGACTGCTATGACAATGATGTTCATGAAGACCATCAGGCCGACAATGATGAAGACGAAGCGCAGCACCTCTTTCTGTAGATTCGTCCTGCCGGTTGAGGGCTGGCTGGTCAATCTGGCAATGTGGCCAAAGACAGTCTCGTCGCCAGTAGACACAACGATGCCGACGCCGCTACCGGAGGTACAGTGAGTGCCTTGCATGCCGATACACCTTGTCTCGAGGTAGTTGGGCTCGTGAGACTCGGTGACAGCAGCCAATGGAAGCGATTCTCCAGTCAAGATGCTCCTGTCAAACTTGGCATCCGTCGAGACATCAATGAATCGGATGTCGGCGGGCAGTTTATCGCCAGCTTTGAAGTAGAGGACGTCACCGGGAACAACGTCAGGGCCTTGGATGGTTTGCTTGATTCCATCGCGGAGAACGCGGCAGGCTTCAGGCAGCATTCCAGTGATGCTTTTCATGACCCTGGACGACGAAAAGTCCTGCCAGGCGTTGAATGCAGCCTGGATGAAGAAGACGGCCGCAAGGACGATGCCCAGTGCAAGATTGGCCACCGCAGGCGGTTGGCCCAAAGGCTTCCACGAGACGAAGACGAGGACGCTGCCGCCCAGCAAAATAGAGCCAAACCCTCCAAAGAAATAGCCGAACAGCTTCTCGCCCAACTTCGACGGCGGAGGGGAGGGCACGTTGCGACCATATTCAGCAATCTTTTCTTTCACAGCGGAAGGCGAGAGACCGGTGTCTGTAGAAGTCTTCAACCGAATGCAAATCTCTCGAGGGGTGAGTAAATGCCACTCAAGGCCTCCCACGTCTGCAAAGAAGCAGTTAGCAAAATTTCATATCGTCAGGGTATACCAGGTATAACTCACCAACTGCGGCCTTTTCACGAGCGTTCGTTGCACTCTCGATTGCCTTGACATTGGTGATATCATAGCTAAGAGTGCGGTATTGAACTGGCAGGATGACGGAGGGGTCGACGACGCGCTGTCCGCTGCGGACGCTGGAGAGTGAATGTACAGAGTAGGTTGAGCCTCGCCTCTTCAGCGGATGGCCAACGTCGATGACGGCAGATGGACCACCATTCTCCTCGTCATCGTCGATGTATCGGATGCGGCGTCTTGCGGCGAGAATAGGGTTGAGCTCTTCGTCGTTGTGGTTGGACAGATCCCCAACCACGGTGACTTTTTCAGTGCTGCCACAAATAGCGTCTGTGGCCACCATATTGACGAGATACAAAGGCAAGCCTCTGCTGCAGGAGATGAACGCCAGAAGCAAGAGGAAGATGAGGGTAGGAAGGGAGGAGGGACGAGATTGAGACGAACGAGAGAGAGAGACCTGCTCTGGCCTACCTTGATATATGAGCTGGCACCATAGCTGGGGAGCACATGTATCACTCCTACCGCTCCTCTAGTTGAGCTACCTGTGCCGACGAGCAAGGTAGCTGCAAGACTTGGGCGAGGTCAACAAAGCCCGTGGAATGGTCAACGCACCCAGGATTGATAGAGCTAGTAGAGGCGCACGGGCCCACCCAGCCCAAACTGACGCTCAGGGGAAATATGGAGAACAACAAACAGGATCCGGGTATTTGTAGGCAAAATGCCTCAAATTTAACGAGAAATGGTAAGTCAGAGGCTGTAATGATGTGGTGGGAGGGTGGTGCAATAGAGGGATTCAGCCGCAAGAAGAGCATTCCTGAGGAACATTGCCCAAAGTTGCCTAGATGCCACAGACTGCTTCTGTTCCGTCTTGCCGGTGGACTCCCGCACATGCTCGTATCCAGGGCAAATCTGGCTGTCAGAGCCACCCAAACTCAGTCTGCGAAAGACCAATATTCGGCAATGTCAAGCTATCCACAAGTCCTAGCGTGTATGGCGTGGCTATGCTTGATGCGACCCAAACCATTGGCTCAGGCAAGTCAGCTTGCTCGCTCATCTCCATGCACAATGAGAGGATTCTGGGATACACCTTTGAGCAAAACCATGATCCCAGACAAGACTCGAGCTTTTGTGGAGAATAGAAAAGCTGGGGATTGGGCGACGGAGACGTTGTCGAGCAAGCAAAGCCCACAGGCCGACCCTGCAAGGCGGGATTTTTTTTTGCTCCTTCCAGCACCTCGTTAATCTTCTCGCTCTGACCTCTTGTCGCTTGCAATACCCCCTTTCTACCCTTGCACCAGACGTGCCCTCAAGATCCGCACGATGATGAGCTTCAGAAATCCAGAAAGAGACAGGTTTGTGGGTTTGCCGAAGACTACCATGCCCACAAAAACTGCAATTGTAAGACGGCATCGCCCAAAGGAGAAACAAGAGGCAGACTGCAGTATGAGGCATTTTCTGCACCGCCATTATAAGTCAATCCGCACATGGGCAAGGAGCAGGTTGAATCCAATGCCAGGTTGTCACTGCTCACCTATGTATAACCATAAAGTTGGCATCGGCTGTGTCATGTCACCCAAATCCTTGGGCTTTTGAGTTTCCATTACTCTTTCGAAATTTCCTCGCATACGGTGATATTGCTCGATAGGGCCCCTCTACCTAGGAAGGAATGCTGCTTCCCACCTTGAATTCGCGCATAGTCACCGTGTTGTAACGCGTCTTTCGGCATGAATTGTATTCAGTTATTCGCTGATCGGCTTCGGCGTGGACAGTAGGCGTCCACGACCACTCTGACGCGACAGTGCTGGCTTCCATGCTCGCCGACTTGATCCAGTGGCAAATATTTGGAACAAATTTGGGCCACGTAAGTGTATGGTGTTCTCCAAAATCCTCCAGTACTTTTCATCGCGGCTTTCAAGGTGATTCCCATACGATTGACATTCTCTGACCATGCGACGAAAAGTCGGTAGTAAATAACAGAACGAGCCAAAAAGATATGTTCAACATCTGTGGATTCACCCCATTATACTTGCCATGTTTGAAAGGACCAAATCTCTTTGGTGTTGAACTCCATACTTCATCTTCATTCTTGGCATTTGAACTCGTTGCAGCAATGAGCATTACTGAGTGCCCGGTCTTTATCAGTCACCGGTGCTCCAGTTGATGTCATCGTTGGGTTGCTGGAAAGAGAGGCTTCCGGTACCTCCCAAGCAGGGCTTGAGACAACATGCTAACTCCTGAGATACATACCATTGCGAAGGGAAGAGGCTTTTGGCACATTTGTCTGAGGTTCTGGTGCGGTGCCGTGTGTCACCAGTTGGCGCATACCCTAGCCCAACGCATGACCTTAGACCGAGAGTCTTAACATGGTGCAACTTGGGCTGGTACACTCCAGTCCAACAAGGACGAGGCACCGATCAGAGCTGCCAAGAGTGGTGCAGGTGCCACAGTGTGGCTGAATTAAACTCGTTCCCTGTGTCGGGGCCGCATCGGATCGTCGTTGTTGCGCAAAGGATCTGCGATTGTAAGCTCCCTCGCGCCTTTCTGGTCAAGTGTGAATGCCTCAGCTCCGTAATAGAGAGCTAACGTAGAAGAGCAAGCACCTTTCTGGGCAATGCGTCGTGGTTTACATGTGTGAAGGTTGGATGGGTCAGCAATACCGGGGGGGGCCTCGCGATGTATCTGCCGTCAGATCCCAACTTCAGGCCAATGCCCGGGAGGCTGTCGTCCCCAGACACGGCGAAGATCCGATGCTCAATGCTGCCTCGTTCTCTCCGGGATGTGCCTATCAGGAAAACCCCACGAGTGTAAGACAGAGGTTTGTGGAGGTGGGGAACGAAAAAGTTCATATAAAATCCTATTCCGCTCCTCGTTTTGTTGCGCTGGCATGATCAGTCTGTCAGCAGGCCATGATGTCTTCCCTCCCTACCTTGATCCTTTGCCACGGCGCCTGGCACACTGCAGAATATTGGGACACGGTCATGAACGAACTACAAAACAAAGGCTATAAATGCATAGCTCCGACAATCATCTACAATGGTGGAGAGAAGCCCGTCCAATCAATGACATCTGTTGTGGCAGCTCTGCAAGAGGTCATTGCCGACGAGATCGAGCAGGGCAACGATGTCGTCTTGGTCAACCACTCCATGGCCGGCATCTCAGGTTGCAGTGCTGTCAAGGGCTTCACGAGAAAAGACTCCTCAAAACGCAAGGGTGAGAAGTCGGGATACGTGTCGGGACTGATCCAGATCACTGCGTGGACACCAAGCGGAAATGAAACTTCTCTGGCTGATCTGGGCGAGGACTTTGCGCGTAGTCATCCGGAGATAAAGATTTCTCGAATGAAAACCAAGACCGATGACGAGGGCTGGTCCGAGGTCGATGGCGAGCCTGCAAAGTATTTCTACAACGACCTGCCCCGCGAAGTCGCCGAAAAATGGACTTCCAAGCTCATCAAGTTCTCTGCAGCAATACGAGGTGCGCGTGACTCTGTCTATGCCGGTTGGCGAGACGTGCCCGTTTGGTATCTGATATGCACCGAGGATAATGCCATCAAGAAGGAGCTGCAAGAGCACATGGTGGAGAAATGCCGAGCACTCGGTGCAGACATCTCGACAAGGGAATGCGAGGCCGGCCATTCACCCATGCTGAGTAGGCCCGGGGAGACGGTGGCATTCATCGAGGATGCTGTGAGAGCGTTTTATGCATGAAGGCTGTCGAGAGTGCGCCTGCTTAAGAGATCGAGTCGAGTCGAGTCGAACCAGTATATTCACTCGTGACAACGAGCGTTCTCAGGCGGTAACGAAGAAGGTTCCCAGGAGAAACAAATGCGTTCCCTACTATATCGACACGCAGCCGTCGCAGAGGGATCAGGATTTTTAGGATAGATGTAGAGTCCGCCCAAAGAAACAAGTTGTGGATGAGACCCCGGAAGGAATGGCCGAGATTCTAGCCTTGCACGTGCATAGAAAAAGGAACGTTTCAGCCTTGAGGGACTTGTGGACTTCAAGTGGTAGTAGCAAGGCAAACGTGCTCATAATTTCATCCACTGAAACATAAGAGAAAGCCTCGCGAACTCGGGTTCGGGGGTCAAGGCGCAACACGAGTATGAGCGAGGTTGTCGCAGCCCGACCGGATTCCGGGGCCTTGGCCAGTATCACCATTCCTACAGGTCAGCTGTACCCCTGCTCAGCTGAAGCCCAGAGCCACTGGGACTTGAGGAGCTTCACGGATACGGTCTGGATTGAACGAAAGTTCAACCCGTGCAGACACATGTGGAAAATGTCTGATGGATATTTCAGCCACACAAGCATTTGTGGAATTTCTAACACGTGGCAGGCGTGCTGTATCTCTCTTGCAGCTCGTCAAGATCTGTCTCCAACGGTCTCTTAGATGTTGCCCATGCAGATGAGAAACAGTCGTCAGGAAGCAATGGTCAACAAGAAGGTCCAGGCTAGGCACGACGATGCGGGAGAATGCTGGGATCTGCATTTCGATGAAGCGTCCAACAAGACGGCTTGGTTGCATTTTGGACCAACATGTAGGCAGCACTCTTGATCTTCCCGGCCGTCTCTTGGAATATCAGCTGGCCAAGTCCCTGCAAGTCGATGCATGGGCGTGGGGATGGCCCGCACTCATCAGCGGGCTCTTTCGGGCGATCGAAACTTGGCACAGGCATACGCTGGTGCAAGTCTGCTTAAGCGACGGGCGAGGGAGGAAGAGGATTCGGGGGGAAGGTGCAGTGACGGTGAGGCATTGTTATCGTCTTGTTTCCCGTCTGACCGCCTGATTGTGCATGGAGGTTGGGCTTCGGATACGTGATCCATGCACTCGAGGGTAATCATTGCATTGAGCAGATTCGTACCAGGATGTGCGGTGTACGGGCCAGAAGATCATCAAACGGTGTCATGATGGGATTGGAAAAGCGGTAGGTAGATGACCCCCCAGCCTCAAGGCAAGATGTTTGAATATGATCAATGACTCCATACTGTCATAGAGAAAAGGTAGGCACCCACAGGAAGTGATTCGAGTGAGTGACTCTTCCCCTTCCAGCGGGACAGATAAGAACCAACCCCAACAATTTAAGGGGCGGCTGGGGGTGCATGGGCCACGTTCGCGGGCGCGCTTCAGGCTGATCAGGCTGCTAGGCTGCCGGTTGCTAAGCAGCACTTATAGCAGTGATGCTTGGGTGCGCTTGTTTATGCGACTCACAATAGGCCCCCAATCCTCAGACTCCCCCCCCTTGGGTGGGTGCCAGGAGTGCGTAACTCTGTAACAACAAGTTGTGCATTCGTCCGTCTTTCTTTTAACGCGACCTGCTCCCCTGAGACAAAGCCCATTCCTCTCCCGTCTCTGTCGATATCCTTCTTGTCCTACAATCTCTCATCGACAAACTATCATCACCAATCATCTCTCACAGAGTCTGTTAGCCAGGAGTCACGGTCAAAGCCCACCCACGCAACCACCTATCCAATCCGCTCGTGCCAGTCCCGTGCAGTGCAGCGCAGCTCAGTGCAGTGCAGTGCCTGGAGGCCCGCGCCAGTGTCTTAGCCACATCCACTAAACTCACCCCGAAAAGGTGCTTCCCTGACAATCATCTCTCAACCTCTTTCTTTAACACTCATCTCCGTCCTACACTTCCCTCTTTCCCTCATCCTTGCGCCAGCAAACTTATCCATCTTCTCTGTCAACGACTGCTGAACCGCCGGCCTTTCCTTGATACCCTCATTTCGGCTATCCTTTAGTCGTCTTATCTGACACTGTCCGCAGCAGCCGTCATGGCTGAAATCCGTCGCAAGCTCGTCATCGTTGGTGATGGTGCCTGTGGGAAAACTTGTTTGTTGATGTATGTCCACCACCCACCAATCTACTCATGTCAATTGGATCGCTGACTGCTTCTTCTTCTCCAGTGTCTTTTCCAAGGGCACATTCCCTGAGGTGCGCATGCCTACATGACACAATCCGATCCCTTTACTTCCATTCAATGTGATACCTGTCGACACCACCCCATCGAGACAAGGGTGAGGAGCTGGACTTATACAGACACAACTGACACATAAACCAACAGGTCTACGTCCCCACTGTCTTTGAAAACTATGTTGCCGATGTCGAGGTCGATGGAAAACACGTCGAACTAGCCCTGTGGGATACAGCTGGCCAAGAAGATTACGACCGCCTTCGACCTCTATCGTACCCAGACTCTCATGTCATCCTCATCTGTTTTGCCATCGACTCCCCCGACTCACTTGACAACGTTCAGGAAAAGGTATGATCTCATGGCCGGAACATTCCCCTGCAATCGAGCTGACAAGATGACCAATTAGTGGATTTCCGAGGTTCTTCACTTCTGCCAAGGCCTTCCTATCATCCTCGTTGGGTGCAAATGCGATCTACGACACGATCCCAAGACCATTGAAGAGCTGGCAAAGACATCGCAGAAGCCTGTCACTCCAGAACAGGTACGTTTCTCACCGTCCGAGCTCAATCCATCGCCGATGACCGTGAGGGCTAACTTGGATTAATCCTAGGGTGAGGAGGTGCGCAAGAAGATCGGTGCCTACAAATACCTCGAATGCTCGGCCAAAACCAACCAGGGTGTCCGTGAGGTGTTTGAGTCCGCCACCCGTGCCGCCTTGTTGACTCGCAAGAGCGGAAAGAGCAAGAAATGCTTGATCTTGTAGATCGAACATACCACCTTTCTTGTTGCAAATCATATCGCCTGCAAAATCCCGACACTATACCAGGATATCGCCAGAGGGATCCTCAGATATCAAATCAAGGACTGCAATTTTCTTGCTCCGGCTTCACCAAGGATCTAGGTTGGCGGCTTGAGTGTGCTGCTCTTCGGGCGCTGATACATTAGTTTTGTTTCCTTACCGAGCGAAGGATGGATGGGTTGATGATTGAGGCAATACAAAGAATTGCACAGAGGCCAGGGATGGATCAAGTTCGGATGGTACTGGCAGCATCACGGCGTTTCCACAGTCGAGACATGTCGAGTTATCATCGAGATAGGCAATCCATTCACGGCGTTTCGTCCTCAGGCTTCGGGCTTTCCACAGTCTAATCTAGCACTTCTATTGCCTATTCAAGTTGTACTAGAGAGTTCTCGAGCAATACAATCAAATCGTGTCCAGTCATATCTTTGTGATCTCTGTCGTGTACCGGAAAGAGGCCGTCAAACAGATTTGGAGGTCTGCGCTCGTGACTCTAGCCGGCTTCAGATGTTCTCTTTCTTTCGTGAAACCCTCGGTTGCCTCTTGAAGCATCCTCAGCTGGTGAGGTTGGGCCTGGGAATCGGCGACAGCATGTCTGTGATACCTTCTAACTGAACGTGACAAGTATCTGTCGGGCCTGTACTCGATAGACGATCTCTCTAGGAGCTTCGTCCTCAGGCCAATGCAAGATCCAACTATAAATCATCTCGTGGATGGAGCACGTGCTCCTCGAAATCAAAAACAAGATTAATATCACGTGCAATATGCAGTCTCGCTAATGACGTAAAGACGCTGCCGATAGGCTAGACCTGAATCCCCGAACTACGGCGCAGGTGCGTCAATGGTTGCAAGGCTTCAAAATAATGGTGATATTCAACATGGCTGGCTGACATTCGCCCTTTGTACTGAGTGATAATTGGACATGGTGCACATTGCGATGCGCCATAGCAGACGCAGCTCCTGCTCGTGATGTCCACTCGTACCGTCATCCCCGCTCACTTGTCGTACTTCGCAATATACAATCCGTCTCTTGGTCCGACCGATGAGACCTTACGCGACCAGATCGTGTTTTACTACTCTCACGATGTCGAAGTGGAGCGAGAGCAACAGACGGAAATAAAATCTGCAGCAGATGGAAATCGCCATGCAACCTCGGAGCAGGACAACCAGCCAAATGGGAACCAGAAGGAAGAAGGGCAAGAAGAGAATACCAGATTGCGGCAGGTTGGGTTAGCACAAGGTATGGTGAACTTTGTAAAGTACGTGGGCAATTGTGACTGCCTCACAGCCTTCCATACTTGTTTCTTTCTTCCACCCTCAGTTCCACTTGCTGCTCGATTACCAACATGACCTGACCTCTTTTCGGTACAGGAACTTCTCGAACGGCATTCCTCTCGAGTCTATGGAAACGGAGAAATCTCGAATTGTCCTAAAAGAAGTCGAGCCTCAATGGTGGATCGTCGCCTCCATTCACCTAACACAATTGCGTGCTGTATCAGGAGCACCCTCGGGAAACAAACAGGCTTCAAAATCAGGGACCAATACTGGCTTGGGTGGCATCGCGTCCAAGGGAGATGTCGAATACTCATCGCGAGAAGTTGCTCCGGGACCTCTGCTCCTCGCACAGCTCATACAAGGATACCGCGGATTCTTGCTCCACCACGCGCCTTCGTTGTCTGAGCTGTGGAAAAAGCATGAGAACAACCGAGACCTGTTTTGTAGTCTTTTACATAAGTACTGGACGCGGTTCATCTGGCATTGGGATGTCCTCTTGCACGGTCATCCTGCGACAGACATATATGACGCTGTCAAACTCGCTGCTGGCGGAGAGCTCGGTGTTGGTGTTGGCGAAGAAGAATGGGGAAGTGGTGAGAGAGAAGTGCTGGAGGGATTCGCCGGCAGGACTGAGGGACTCGTCGACCTTATTGTCGGGAGATATGGCGATGCACCTCCGAACCGCATAGACGGGGAGAAACCCAAGGACATGACCTCCCAAGATGTGCCGCCTTGGTTGGGTAATGGCGAGGATGCGAGAGCCGATGATGGCGTCATATTTTCTGGCATCGGTGGCATCTCAAGGCCCTCCCTGGTCACAGTATCCCAGTGGATGGAGTCCATATACATGCACGGCGATGCAGCTTACGGGGTGGGTGAGAACCCGACATCTCGACTAAAACATCGGAGCAAAAGACGAAAGTTGGACAAAGGCAGACTTCATGCGCCAGGTCAGGACCAGACGAAGCGGCAAGCGCAGGCGGTACATCCTAGAGTGAGGTCCGCGGGAGGCAGATCACAGGATCTACGTCGTAGGGCGATGGAGAACAATACAACACCACCAGGCATCCCGCCGCCTCTCGTCAGCGCCGTAGAGCGATCTTTGGACAATGCACTGGCCAACCTAGACGCGAAGTCCCTCAACGCAAACGACGACCGCAGGAGTGAAGGAGATGCGGAGCCGGGCCTTACCGCCACCGAAGAGGCCTCCATATTCAATACGGAGAAGATGATGAAGTATCTCAGCCTTGGCTATGGCACCAGTTGGACGCTGAGTCCCAAGGGTTTCGGCCAAGTCGCGGACGACAAAGCTGCTGGTCAAGCAGACACATGTCAGAATACAGAACCTGCGGTTGAACAATTGCAGGAACTTGATCCGACTCCAGACGTCAGCGACGAGGAGGAAACACCATTCGTTCAACGGCTCGAGGAGTCCATTGGTAAATTCCTGATCGGTCTCTCTGGTGACCTGGAAAATACAGAATTTGAGGATGGATCCAACGACGAGAGAAGTGATGATAAACCCACCAAGGCAAAGCCACCACCGCACTCTTCGTCGAGCCGGATTTTCCTTCGTACCTTGGTTGTTGGAATGTCGACAGCCAGGTTCTCCCGTCTGGATGCAGAAGAACGCCCTTCCTTCCTGTCGCAGGCGACCTCCAACGATCACGATACAGAGTCAAGAAATGACAAGACGAGTGCGGCGGCCTCTGTCGACGGCATTCGTCCGATTGTCACCCATGAAAAGGTTCAAGTCGCGGTCTATGTTCACCAGCCATTCATCTTCGTCTTCTTGTTCCGGTTACATACGCCCAATCTGACAATGCCTGGCTTTTACCGTGCCATACATCACACCCTAGGCCCATTGCAAAAGAGTCTCTTGAGAAGCACGGACCCGGAACGCTGGAGGGAACGAATGAAAGCGTCATTGGGCCTAGACTCAAGTGGCGTTCTCGAGGATGGGGATAATTCGCGACCCTCACCTGACACAAACGATGTCGGTGAAATATATGATCTTCTCTACGATCCCCTGAAATCGACGCTCCGAACCTCAATTCCAAACATACCACTCCCAGGGAGTCTCGCCGCCGAAGGCCTACACCGAACCCACCAGAAGCCCCGGCCGATCACAGTTTCCGGCTCGTGGTACACGCTTGGGATCCCCATAGGATCTGCGTCATCAGAAACCAGCACAGGCGATGCAGGTTCGACAAGGATCATCAAGAGTGACTGGACCCGTATTGAGGCTTTGAATGTTCACACTCATATGCTCAACATCTGGGCTTCAACTCGCGACAAAAACGCGGGTATCACCAATGCACAGCCAAATGGTGAAGAGTTAGAAAGAACAATCAAAACAGCAAGAGGCTGGTGGGTGGTGTGGATGAAGGTCTTGGCTTCAAAGCAACAGAAAGATGGCAGCGAGGGCGCTGCAACACCTTCGGCAAATCAAGACAAAAGTGCAGTCCGTCCCTGGCGGGGTGGATTGAGAAGAACCGGGGACTTTACCCATGAGGCTATTCTTGTGAGAAGGTCTTCTCATGAACGCAATTCGACAAGCAGAGACACGTCCCGCTCCAGATCCGAGGGTGTAAGTTCTCACCTTTCTGGGAAATGGCTCCTTCGTGATCAACCTCGCAGTCGAGAAGTCAGCGGGGGTGGACGTGCAATGTCTGGCATTATTGGGGCGCCTGGAAGCACAACTGCCAAGGGCGTGACGGAGGGCCTGGGAGTAGACACTAGAAGGTGGGTTGAGGCGTTGATTCGATTGAGTGTTTGAGGCTTTATCCATGGTGCAGGGATATATATACATATATGTGTCTGGCGTGCATGAGCGGTCAACCTGGTCGAGGTAAGAATAGTCCAGTACTTCATCCTACCGAGCAAGGTGATTTGATTTTACAAGCAGTCTTTACTCCACAAAGTGGGCTGCATAGTCTCTGGTCAGAGAAATCCTGAGGAAACCCCTCCGTGATAGAGACCAAATGCCACGATGACCACGTTCTGATTGATCCCCCTGTACGCGAGAGCTCATTGGAAGTCCCCAAGGCCCTACCTGCACAGAGAACGACGGTCGTTCGTTCAGAGGCGAACTTGTCACATCGTCTCAAGGGTCAGACATGGGGTGGTATGGTTTTCCCTCCTGCAGCTCTCCAGAAATGGTTGGTTAGTGCAGACGAACATCCTACAATTACTGGGAACAGCCTAGACGCCATTGGCAACCGGGGTAGATACCGGACGCCACGCCAGTCATCCAGGACCCTTTTTCCATCTGGTGGAGTTATGTTTCCGCTTTGCCAGGCCTACGGCGTGAGGAATTGCTCTTCTCTGCATGACCCGGTTACGCTGAGGGTGTGCCCGAGCGCTTAGTTTCTAACTCGAGCTGATTGTCCAGGACCAGGACAACTCTGTACAACTGGCCAGTGGGATCGACTGTGTTGCTCTTCTGGTGCTGGTGGGCAATTGCCGGGATGGCCCTCTAATTGTTGATAATCCAACATCCAGCTTCGTCCTTCTCCTTCCTCCATCACTAGCTACGGCTCTGCTGTAACTTCCATGCCTCGCTGCCGAAATCAGCACGAGGCCCAACCGTTGCCACAGGCTCCCGAGGGGCCAGGCGTGATGCCATCCTCCGCTCCGTCGCGGTCTTCAGCTGTGGTGGGCAAGGACCCAAGCTCTGCGGGTCTTCCTACCGCAAGCGCACAGCGCACAGTCAAGAAGAATGCTTCTGTTGCATGCCAGGCCTGCAAAGCCTCGAAACGGAAGGTAAGCTAGCCATACCGTAACCCCATCCAACAAACCCACCAGCCTCGAGATACTCCGATCGACAGTCGACCTGATCGTGGTATTAGTGTGATCAACGCCAACCCTGTTCAAATTGCCTCACGAACAACAGAGTGTGCGTCTTCGACCCATCACAAGATGGGAGAAGGAAGCAGGCCCGCAAAAGGAGGCTTGAGGAACTCGAACTTCGCAGCAACGCTCTGGACAGGATCCTGATCAGTCTCCGGAACTCGTCAAGCCCAGAGGCACGACAGTTGCTTGACTTGATCAAGCGAGATGGGCCCCTCGAGGAGATCCTCGAGTTTCTCGACGCACATCCAGGGCCCGTAGCAAACGAGACACGGGCAGCTCTGTCTGCCACTCCTCCTCCTGAAGGTGGTGGCGGAATACGTCGCATGCTCGCAATTAGTGAGCTGACTGACGAGCCTACGTTCCGGGTCCCTGCCGTTCCATGGACTACCGTCACGAAAGATGACCTGTTCGTCTCCCATCTAGTCTCGGCCTACCTTAATTGGTATCATTTCTACTACCACAACTTCGACGAGAAGTTGTTTCTTGAAGCCATGGTTGCGGGGGATCTGCAGTCCCCGTACTGCTCACCTTTCTTGGCCAATGCGGTCCTGGGGATGGCTTGCGTGGGTGGCTTGTCGACACGATGCGTGCGAGAGTAGGTTTGCTGACCGTGGTGAGCAGTTTTTCTCGGACCACCCTTTGGCCTTTGCGACGCAGGGGGATGCGGGCTCGCGAGGACTCCATTTTTACAACGAGGCTCATCGGCTTTGGACGTTCGAAGCCGCTAAGCCAACACTAACCAATATCCAAGGGTTTACTATTATGATCATGATGTGAGTCTACCGCGAGTCAGTTCCAGCGAGACCAGTGTTGAAGCCATGGAATAGGCAAGCTTTTATTGGCAAGGACAGAGTCAGCCTTACCTCCTTGAAACAGCTTGAGGTCATGATGCCCGAGCTTCTTCGTCAATATCAGAAACCCAGCAAAAACGCGACATCGTCTGATGATTTCCGGCGGTCCCTCCAGATTGTGCAGTGGGCGGCGCACATTTATGCAACGTCAGCATCCACCCCCCGTCGATTGAGTCCTGGCTTTTTGATTGACTTGACCATCAGGGGATTTGGTACGGGATTCCTGGTTGCCCCGATGATGCCAAAGCCATCTCTTGAGGCGCCATACGCTTCCGAAGTTTGGCGCAACCATCTCACATCCTGGTCACCTTATCCGAAGGCTGGAGATCCCATTGAGCTGCCGCTTCACGCCCTCTACCACTACATGTGTGAGCTGTACATTTATGCGAGTGATATGCAGTCTCTTGCCTTTGCCGAATTTGCTAAAATGAACGCCCTAGAAAAGCTTCATGCGGCTCGAGATCTGGACAGGAAAATGTTGGAATGGTATCAGTCTATACCTCAGCGGTTCCAGGTGGACGACCCAACATTTGTGCTGGCTCCGACCACCATCGATTTGGCGTATTGACCCTGTCCCTCTGCTCCTCGGTTCACGTTAGCAAGCTGACCCCTGCCATAGATTGAGTTTTCATCATTTCCGGCTGCATCTGTGGAATTGGACGATCCCACCACCCCCGAGTGCGTCGAAGCCCAATAACGTGCCCGAAAATGACTCGGCGACAGGGAAAAGTCCAGGCCGGGACGAACTGGACCAGATCACCCGTGAGGCCAAGGAGAAGTGTATGCAGATCGTCACGGTCACGATACGGATCATCCAAAAATCAGACGCTGTCTATGGACCTCGCTTCTTCACCGTTCTGACGCCACAATCTGGCATCCTCGCAGCTAGTTTCCTGCTATCTGGAAACCTCAACTCTGAGGTCGAGGAGGAACTGCTGCTGGAGGTCATGCGGGTCCTGGTGGGATGTTCGAGGCAGCGGCAACTAGTCAAGGGTGTCACGCACATGTTACTGAAGACGGCGGAAGACAAGCTGGCTGCCGCTGGGGATGGACCTACGCCGCCCGGCGGAGTCAGCAAACCTCTCCTGGAGAAGCTGACAGTCATCGTGAAGGACATTGCCTGGGCCGGCCAAGAACACCTCACCTTCAGCTCCAAATATCCCAACCACGTGCTCATCAAGGAAGATCCCGACACCGAGTTGAGCTCGTTACTCGAGAAATGGGCGGACATGGGCTTGCACGAGGAAGAGCACGCCGAGGGCGCTGAAGCCTCTGGCGACGGCCAAATAACGGACAAGGGACGACGGAAGGATGGTTGAAGGGGTTTACTGTCGATACGGATTATGCTGGACAAGTGGTCCCAGGGCCCTCTGATGGCTATTCTCTTTCCATGCTGGGACAAAAGGCCTCATGACTGGCCAGAAAAAACTCAAGGAACAGAGTGAGATCGATGCCTTTCAGAGATCCGCGACAAGTTTGTCGACACTCTTTACTTTCTCACGCAGTCGATGTTAGAAATCGTGGCTATGGCTGTGGCTTTGTCCTGTCCATTTCCCTTTCCTCGTCCGACAACAATTTGGGCGACAACGCGTATACATATGCATGGGCCTGTCCGTGATTGTCGATCGTCGATCAACGATCAACGGGGATCTTGCTTGCCGTGGTGCCTGGTGCTACGCCATAACGACATCATGATATCATGGTTTTCCAGTGCCGAGTCTCTAGTCTCTCCATGTGCCGCTCTCTATATCCGAATACTTCTGTGCCGCCAACGACAATCATGGGGATCCCAATGCGCCAGCTATTGTTGTTTTACAGTTTGTCCTTTCCCTGACTCTCAGAGTATACCGTCGAGGGGTCCCAGCCGGACCCTCCGTGACACACAATTACCCTGCGCGTTCGACGCGTCACAGACTAAATCCTGCAGCAAGCAATTGACATCTGGTGAACATGGCAGGGCCAACACTATCGGAGAATAGGTCCAAGTTGAAGGATCTCGTTGCTGTATGTGTAAATGACTGTGCTCCCTGATATCCTTCCTTCCTTGCTTTGGTTCTATGGACGTGGCACCCTCTTCCGCTTCCTCTACCCACTCTTCCTGAGACCATCAGTCAAGAAGGGCGAGGGAAAGCGACGATGGAGCCCTCCGAGCTCGAATTCTACTTAGCTGGCTACACAAGTCATGCCCTCAGACGCCTTCTGTCTTAGAGACATTTCCCCAGTGGCATCAAAAAAGGCTGGCCCACAACTGCCATTGGTAACCGCCACTCACTGACCATGCTCTCACTCAAAAAGTCCATCGCCACCATCCGCGGCGACCTCTCCAACATCACCGCGCCACCCTTCGTCCTCGACTCCAAATCGGCCGTCGAACTGCCAGCCTTCTGGGCCGAACGACCCGCCATCTTCGTGGCCTCGGCCGCCGCCCAGGAGCCCGCCGAGCGCGCCTTGCTGGTGCTGAAGTGGTTCCTCGCGTCTTTGCGCAATCAGCAATACGCCGGTCGGTCCCCCGCCGAGGGCGTGAAGAAGCCCATCAACGCCTTTCTCGGCGAGGTGTTTCTCGCTAGATGGGAGGGCGACCAGGGCCAGGAAGGGGCGGGAGATGGAGTTGGAGTGACGAGGCTCGTTAGTGAGCAAGTGAGGTATGTCCAGGGGATTGCTTTTCCGTCTGTATCTTTCTTGCCTGCCATCGTCCTCCTTTACTGGCTGGTTGTTGCGTCGACATATCTCTGATTCCGTCCTTGCCCGTAAAGTCATCACCCGCCCGTCACTGCGTGTCGAGTGTGGAACGAGAAACACGGCGTCACGGTAAGTCATGTCTTTCTCTTCCAGAGTTTGCTCTCGTCGCCCTCCAACAATTCTCAAGCCGGCCCAAATGACCATCAAGGAAACTCACACATTCTTTCACCCTCTTCTCTGGAGCAGGCAGAGGGCTACACGCGCCAGGAGATCACGTTCAGCGGCAGCGTCAACATCCAACAAATCGGGCACGCGACGCTGCACCTCGCCCGCCACGACGAGACATACCTGATCCCCCTGCCGGACATCAAGATCAAGGGCCTCCTGGCCGGCTCGCCCTACCCGGAGCTGCAGGGCACGCACCACATCCCCAGCACGAGCGGCTACACGTCCACCATCGACTTCATTGGTAAAGGTGGCCTCTTCTCGGGCGCGGACCGCAAGCACGCCTTCGAAGCCCGGGTCTACCGTGACTTCAACGACGACAACAACGGAAGGGAGGCCGATCCTGATACTGCGCGCACCGTGTACACCGTCTCCGGCCACTGGGATAGCCAGTTCGTCATCCGCGACGCCCGGCGGGATGTCGAGATCGAGACCTTCGACGTCGCAACCGCGCCTACTGCGCCGCTGCTCACCGACCCCCTCGCGGAGCAGGACCCGTGGGAGTCCCGTCGCGCGTGGCGCCGTGTGCGCGAGGCCCTGCAGCGGGGCGACATGCAAGCCGCCGCCGACGCTAAAGCGAGAGTCGAGAACGGGCAGCGCGAGATGCGCATAGCCGAGAACAACAAGAACGACGACGGCGCGCACTGGCAGCGCCTGTTCTTCGAGCCCGTAGCCCAATCGGACGAGACCGCCGCGTCGTTGGCGCGCAAGGTCGGATTGGCGCTCAAGCCTGACGACACGGTCGCGGCGTGGAGGTTCCGGCGCAAAGAGTGGGACGAAGGAGTGTTCCGCAAGCCATATCGTGGGGATTTGATGCCGGACAATACGAGGGCGAGCGACGGCGGGAGGAAAGGAGATGGTGTCGTCGACGACCATGTCAACGACGTTTCTGTTTTTCCTCCTCCACCTCCTCCCTCTGTAGCTGTGTCGCACATGGCGCCGTCCGTCCACACTAGGGGGGAAGAGGAGAGGAGACATGTTCTGCCCACGGACTCGGTGGCCCAGCTTGACACGGCGAATAATACTACCACGACACGAAAACACCAGTCCACAACCGCCACCACCGAGTCCCTGGGAGCTGAAACAGCCTCCGAATCCACCACACCAAATCAGAAAACTCCAGTTCTTCCCCCAGTTGGGCCAGAGGGGAAGACGAATAACTACGACGACGACGTTGAACAAGACATGATGATGACGGCGCAGGAAGAGGTTCATCAAGTCGAAGAGTTTCTCCGGGATAAGTACTCGAGTCGGAGGAGGTAGGTGAGTGAGTGAGTTTCAGCGAGCGCGGAGAGGAGAGGGATAATATAATAAGACGGGAACGCGGTGGGAGAAGGAAAAATACCATGCATGCTCATGATGAGGCCGTGCACGCACGTACAGGAGACATTCAATGGCATTGCGCAAGGAAGCAAGAGCACACTGTGAGTCTTCAAGAACCTAGACACCACCACCACGCCACGCTGGCCAACACAGCAACATTGTTATACGAATCAGGATCCCGGCAGCTCGCTTGCTAAGTAAGCCAGGAAGGACGACAATGAAACAACAAGAAAAAAGCCTCCGCTACTCCTGTTCCTGCACCTTGACGATCTCCCTACACATCTTCAAGAACCTCTCCCGGTACTCGGGCGCCGTGGTGGTGATGCTCATGGGGCCTTTGTCGTCAATCATCCGCCACGCGTTGATGAGCATGGTCATGGTCTTCGCGCGCACCTTGTGCTTGGCCCAGAAGAAGTCCAGAATCACGGCCCGGAACAGCCATTTGTCGTCCTGGCTGGGCACGCCAGTGCGCCAGTCCGGTGGGTCGTTGAAGGGGTTTTGGCTGTCGTCCGCGGGAGCTGAGGAGGTGGATTTGGGGATCCGCACCAGCATCAGGCTGTAGTCGACGGCGTTGTGCTGCGCCAGGAGCTCGGTGTCGGCTTCGAGGAGGTGGAAAAACTCGTCGGCCTGTTCGCGGCTGAGCAGCATCCTGTCGTCGAAGTTGTCGGCGAGTTTGGACTTGGTGGCCTCGGACGCGAGCTTGCCGCCGGCGATGTCGCGCTCCGGGAAGAAATACGACATCGGCTTCAGGTCGAAGGTCTGCCAGTCGGACTCTTCCTCCTGCCCGTGCAGCAGGTTCTCCATCACGAGGTGGTAGGTGGGGACGATGCCAAAGAGGCCACCGATGCTCGGATAGCGCCACCCCAGAAAGTCAGTGATGCGCACGAGCAGCGACTTGGGGTGCGATTCCATGTGTGCCACATAAGGCTCCATCAGGTCGTCTCGAAAGTAGCTGTGCTCAAACCGACGAGGGACGGACTTTATGAGGAATCTATTGTCTCTCGTGTTGAAGAAGGTCTAGATTTACGTCCTTGTCAGTGCTGCAGCACATCTGCCCCGATATCTCCCACATACCGAGCCCGAATAGCCCATGTCCCCCTTGGGCACGAGCGAGTCCTTGTCCGTGAAGCTGCTTTTGTAGTCATCATCCGACAGATTCCACGTCTTGTTCCGTAGTTTCTTGAACAATTCGGGACGTAGTCTGATCAAGAGCAGGCCGTAGAGGGCGAAGAAGGTCTTGAGGGGGCGCCATAGTCGGAGTCGCCTTTCCGAGTGGTCGTCTTGTTGGATGGCGCGGACGATGGAGCGTGTAATCTTCTTGTCCCGACGGCTGGCCATGGCGTGGCTTGGGGTCCACGATTGATCAACTGAAGATCAACTTAACTTAAGGTTTCCGTCCGCGTCGGAAGAACTGGTCCATGTAAAGGGCGTGAGGGGACATTGTTATTGTTGCAAAGACTTTCAGGGAATGGAAGATGGACGTCAAAACAACGGTGACGTCAGTGACAGCTATACCGAGCAACTTATATAAGCCAGACGAACAGGTATCGACTGTGATTGGCTCAAGATGCAGGCTCTCCCTGATTGGACGGAACCACCGACCTGCGACCAGAATGGCTAAAGGCAGCGATATATCGACCTACACATACATGCTAGTGTATATTTATGTAAGTGAGATGGCGCGAGATGATGGCACGAGATGGCACGGCCAGACCTCGTGTCTCCTTCCTGCTGGGTCCCCTGCAAGCCCTACATCTGGATAGCCGGGGTACCTGGAGCCGAATCTCAGCTTCTCTTAGACCTCGGTCCAACCCCACACCACCGGGGCGCGGCAAGGCTCCCACACATCAAATAGTTGGGAGCTGCTGTACCGAGACCAAGGAAGAAAATGGAGGAAGAGGGTAATGCTCTACCAAAAAGTTCTATCATATTGTGACGGAGTTGGAGGGATTACCGATCTCTGGCTTTCTATTCGTTGGCATTTGTGTGGCTGCTGAAGGAAAGAAACTCACCCTCCCTGGCATCAACATCATGGCTCGAATATATCGCAATCCTCAGACACCGGTCCTTGACGTCCCCAAGGTGGACCTCTTGACGTTGATGTTTGGTATCGTCCCCTACTATTAAATCCATTGATGGAGGACGTCGCTGACCCGAAGTCGATTCAGAGACCGAACACTGCGTGGCCCAGGACGACACCGTCTTGCACCAGGAAGCGGCGAACCCGTCCAACAAGATCACTAAGAAGGACCTCCTGAACCTCACCCAGCGGATCGCTCACGGTCTACGGCATCACTATGGTGTCGGTGCCAATGGTCCGAACAAGGATGTCATCACCGTCATCAGCTACGGTCAGATCCTGGTGCCAGCAGCTTTCTACGGCACCATCGCTGCCGGAGGAGTGTATTCTGCCGCCAGTCCTTCGTCCACGGTCGCAGATCTAGCGCGACAGGTCACTGTCGGCACCAGTCGGCTCATTATTTGCGGCTCGGAGCACAAAGACGTGGCGACCCAGGTGGCCAAACAGTGCAACCTTCCCTTGGAGAATGTCCTGGTCCTAGAATCCAGTCCTTCATGGAGCCTGGCCAGCATCAATGGCCGGATCAATGTCTTGTCCGACCAAACCCTGAAGTGGGAGCGCATCACGGACCCGACGGCGTTGAAGAAGAGTCTCATTGTGATTCTGTGGTCCTCGGGCACCACCGGTCTTCCCAAGGGTGTCATGATCTCCCACGAAAACCTCGTGCAAGAGGTCGTTGTGACGTCGATGGCCGGGCGAGAGTGGGCTGCGAAGCAGATTGAAGCCGGGAAGGAGCTCAAGCCATACCGGACTCTGGCTCACCTCCCCATCAGCCACATCGCCGGCCTGTTTGGATACCTCGTGGCCCCGTTCTATTCTGGCGGGCTCGTGGTGTGGATGCGCAAGTACGAGTGGAGCCAGCTGTTGAAGTATGTCAAAGAATACGAAATCACCGCCCTCTACACGGTCCCCTCCATCTACCTCCGGATATCCAAGTCGCCCGACGTGAAGGACCATTTCAAATCCCTCGACGCCGCCACGACTGGCGCGGCACCCATGGACGGGGATCTGCAGGCGGCTGCCAATTCTAAACTTGGCCAAGGGGAGACCTATATCGGCCAGACATGGGGATTGAGTGAAACCACAGGTGCCGTAACCATGATGCCTCGGGGCCAGAGTGATGTGACCGGGAGCATTTCTCCGATCCTTCCCAATGTCGAAATAAGGTGAGAGCGGGTTTGCAGCCTTCGCCATCGATCGAGTTGCTCACTGCTGGTACAGGATGGTCGATGAGAACTACAACGACGTCGAGCCCGGGCAGGAAGGTGAAATGCTCGTCCGAAGTCCGCTCGTCACCCAGGGTTATTTCAACAACCCGGAGGCCACGAAAGAGGCATTCCACGACGGCTGGTTTTGCACTGGGGACATTGGCATTATGCGCAACGGCAAATTCTACATCGTCGACCGGAAGAAGGTTCGTCAATTTCCCCTCCTCACGTTGAAATGTTTTAACTCACAGGTTTTTTTTAAATCTCGGTAGGAATTGCTCAAATACAAAGGTCTCCAAGTCGCGCCGGCCGAGATCGAGAATCTGCTCTTCACACACCCCAAGATCCAAGAAGCCGCCGTCGTCGGCGTCAACATGCCCGACGACCCGGGCACCGACCTGCCGCGGGCCTACGTGGTCGCCGACCCGACCCAGATCAGCGAGGAGGAAATCAAGGACTTTGTCAAGCAGCGCCTGGCGCCGTACAAGCAGCTGCGCGGCGGCGTCGTCTTTGTCAAGGAACTGCCCAAGAACGCCATCGGGAAGTATCTGCGACGGGAGCTGCGGGACCGCGCGAAGAGGGAGTTGGGCTTGGTCAAGCCGTCGAAACTATGAAGGCAATTGAAAGTTCGTGACGCCGTCGAGGAAGGAGGAAGGAGGAAGGAGAGACGGATGTACGTGGCGTGTGCGTCAAGGAGGGCCCTATCTTCAAGGATCTACAATAGCATACTATATAGAACGTAGCCAAGAAGTAAAATAAGAGCCGATCGTACTATGGTGTCACCGCGTATACATCCTAGTGTTACCTACACCGATGCGGTTTTGATATTGCGTTAATATAGTGGGTTAACTACATGTAGTATTGATACTATGTCTAGAATGCATCGGACGCACTGATGCAAACATTAATGCATGTTATTTATTGCGTCCGATGCTGGGAAACGATGGTACTTCTGAAGAGGACTCTAGCAGTAATGGTGTATATGTGATTCTCGTCCGGGGGAATCAATCGCTTGATTAGGCGTGGACTGGAGCTGGGGACTCACAGTCCTAGCTCACCCTGGATGCTTCGGTTTCGTTCGAATCAGTTAGAATCGAGCTCTAGTGAATATAAAACCCCTAAGGATTGAGTCACCTCAGGTTGTTTTTTTGCTATATACAAACAGATAACACGAGCCACCCCCGTAACGCACCACTCTTTCTCATTCTCTTTCGTACGCAGTCAAGCTGTATCCGTTTAATCTGAAACTTAGCCAATATGTCCTCTGAGACCTAGTAAGCCGCGATTTTACGCGTACGAAAGCGGCTAATACCGCGCCGCCGCCTACCAGGTCGATCGAGTCACATTAGGTCGACGACTAAAAGGAGGACGTATACCATAATAAGCAAGAGAGACATAACAAAATCTCTCTCCCGTGCAAGAATAGCTCCTTGTACGATAGATAATCGGACCTCGATATTACTAGAGCTCCTCCTACCTTCGCCTAAGTACGCGACTTTACTAGGCTTATCTCGAATGCCTCTAGCGGTTCGCCTTCAGTCGGTAATAACTAGATACATCGCTTTCTAAAACGTCACTTAGACGCACGCTTAAAGGTAGGAAGAAAGATCGAATACCTTCGGGCCGAATTATATCAACATAAGCTCTTCAGACCTTCTTTGATCACTTTCTCTCGGTCGTTACGCGTTTTGAAATCTGAACATGAACTTGGAATGGGTATCTATACAAATTGACAAGTTATTATTAATACAAAGCGCTCGTATAAAGAAAACCCCTGAAACTCGTAAGGACTGTTTGGCTGGTGGCCGTACGATTGATCTATTGGTCATCTGTAGGAGTAAAGATTTATAATCGACTTAGTTTCTAGAGAATACTCCGTCGAACTGGCACTTTCGTACGACTAAGAACGCTTTTGCAACAAATAAGGCTCAACTATAGGCGGAGTAACGTCAGAAGCACTGGGATCGAATAGATAAGGCTAGGTAGGCAGGACTCTCGTCCGAGGCATTACAGAAGACTCAATTTGCGAATCTATGTATATAATGGCACGTCAACGACGTTAGTGACGCCGTACGAGACGCTTTGAACGGATACCATGGTGGTTGAGGAGAGTGGTTCGTTACGTGGGTGGCCGACTTATATAAATGTATATTGCGATAAGGAAATATGGATGGCGGAGGGAGAATAGTACTCCCACCGCTCTCCCGGCGTACGGCCTACCATCGACCCAATCACTTAAAATGATTTACTGTAGGTTGCAAAGATACGACAAAACCGACGTCGCCAAACACGACACGAAAAGTGTCGAATGCGGTCTAGCTGCGTTCTAGCCTAGGAGCAGCCACGTGAGTACTTGCACGTACCTCTTTCCCCGAAACGGTGCGCCGCATACATCCCTCCCCTCTGTGCTCGAAGCGTGCCGCTACGACTACCTCGGCGAGCTGAGACGGACCTGTCGCTGGCCCGCCTTCTCTCCACCTAGTAGGTCAGTCCGTAGTAGTCTACTAGCGCCGCGTATGATGGGTATTCATTCCAGCACAGACTTCCTTCCTTGCCCAACTAAGACTTCACCGAATAATCTGGGTATATCTTCGAAGCAGCCCGCGCGCTCTCCTTGTAATACTATTGTGTATACATAACCAATCTGATTGGATTCAGAGGCGCTTTGGACTTGACAACCGTGTTGTGTGCGTGCGGCGCTCATGGACACCCCGGTTCGGCCTCTGCGATCGGAGGTCCCCACGTGACGCGAGCCTCCGATGCGGAGGTCGAATGCCTCGTACCGGAGCGGGAAAATGCACTAAGGAGGGCAAAAGCGCATGGGAACTCAAAGTTCAAATAAAAAGCCGAGTCCAACTTGGGTTGATCAAGGAGAGGAAAAAACCACTACGGTAGTAGGTATCATAAGTAACTTTCAGACTCATCACGTACTATTCCCTCAACTTAAGAACTTCGTCCAAAGTTGGCATTCATTGTACGAGACGTCTCGCCCCGATCAACCCATCCATCATGAACGGAAATGTTAACAACACGCACTCACAAGGCAACGCCGCGGCGTTGCCTCTGACACCTGGCAAACGCCTTCGACAACTGCTGGAGAAAAGTGAGGATAGTATTATTGTGGTTCCCGGAGTATATGATGGCTTCAGCGCCAGGATCGCCCTGGAAGTGGGATTTGACTGCCTGTACATGGTATGTATACTATCTGTATCCCGGAGGACCTTGGGTTCTTCGCTAACTGCCGGCTCTCAGACAGGGGCAGGAACCTGTGCTTCAAAGTTAGGGCAACCTGATCTGGGTCTTGCGACCCTCAATGACATGAGAGAGCACGCTGAGATGATTGCCAATCTCAATCCGACCGTACCTCTCATCGCCGATGCCGACACCGGGTATGGCGGCCCGAACAACGTAGCGAGAACCGTCGAACAGTATCATCGATCTGGCGTCGCGGCGTTACACATCGAGGACCAGATTCAGCCAAAACGCTGTGGTCATTTGGCAGGAAAGGAGGTCGTCAGCATCGATACCTTTGCGCAACGTATTGCCGCCGCCACACAGGCACGAGATAGAATCGGCTCCGATATGGTCATCATTGCTCGGACCGATGCTCTGCAGACACATGGTTTCGAGGAGGCTACCCGGCGGCTCAAGGCTGCGATCAATGCCGGAGCGGAAGTCGCATTCCTCGAGGGTGTAACCTCGAAGGAGGAGGCGAGGACAATATGCCAGGTTCTGTCTCCTACACCCGTCCTTCTGAACATGGTAGATCATGGAGCCACGCCGTCATGGACGACAGAAGAGGCGCAGGAGCTTGGATTCCGGATCATGATCTTCCCATTCCTCGCGATTGCACCTGCGTATTATGCGATCCGTGGCGCGATGGAAAATATCAAAAAGACGGGAAGATCCGGAGTGCCGGCTGATTTCACCCCCAAAAAGCTGTTTTCTGTCGTGGGCCTGGATCGAGCCACCGCAATTGATGCCGCAGCAGGCGGTAAGCTGTACAGCAGGGTCTAGAGGGGGTGGTGTCACCAATCATCGCCGTAAGAGAAGACTTTTCATGATCCATCTCTGAATCACGAAACCAGGGCGCCGCTGGACTGGCATGAACCGAAAAGATGGGAATAAATTATTAGTGTTGAAGGTGGCTGAATAAACCACAATTGAAGGAAGACCATTCTAGCCCATGTAAAGACAACCATCATGCGAGCCAGTCCAGCTGAAGATCATCCAAATATATGCCATTCAAGTCCGCCAGGTCAAAGGCGTTATCAAAGTCTTCGCTGGCACGGGCGGTTCCAGGCCCATCTATACGAAATGAATTAGCCCTTCACTTCATTCCCGAGGGGAGGCATTAATATTACCATTGCTGAGGTCTTGCGCCTCGACGTTTTCGGCTTCAGCACGAAACTGCTCCCGCCATCTCCTCAGGAGATCATAGACGACACTCATACTCATTCGACTCGTGACCTTCAGCTGAAGTCCGTCCATTCCACTGCCGCCAAGAATTGACGGATTTGGATGCGTCCAGAGGTAGGCGAGCACGTCACTGAGTCTTCCTGGGAGGTCATTGTTGGCCACCGACATTCTCCTCAACGCTGTGACTGAAAAGGTGATGAGCATTTTCCCCAAACCTGCGTCAATCATTGCAGCAAAATAATCGTTCTTCACAACCTTGAGCAAAACAAAAGCTGCGCAGAGGAAGGCTTCGTAGCAGAAGAGTGGACAAAATTGTAAGAAATCTCGAGACTGGTGGTCCAGTTCGCGGACATGTTCGATCACGGCCGTTGCGGTCGCATAGAGGGTTACAATACGTTCCAGATAGCCCAAAGCTGACGGGTCATCGAAAAGGTAGAACGCATGGAGGTGAAGTTTGACAACGAGGAAATAAAATGCGGTGGTGGCTACGTCACCAGTCAGAGGATCTGTTGCTTGAGCCATAGTCAACAGCCACTGGGCCGCTCACCTTTATTCCAGACCCTGCTGTTTTCCAGGTCGACGATCTCCTGCTTGAGAATCGTATAGAGAGGGAGCCTCTCCCGAGTTGGTAAAAGCCCAGTAGGGTCCGAGGCATTCGAAGTGAGAGCTTGGGATATCCTGTTACATGTCAAAGCACATCTCAATTGAGCGTGCAAATCATCATCTACCCGAGAGTCCTCGAGCGACGATGCGACGATTGACCAGTCACACAGTTGCGCCGGAGTTGGGAGTCCGACACCAAAGCTTATGCTACAGTGCGTTAGCCGGTCCTCGTCGGGATACCTCAGTGCGAAGAATATACCTTTGCGTGACGACATTGCCAGCAATCCACGTCCTTCGCCGGTCCTCGACATCGCGGGTGCTGAGCTTGACGCGGAACTTGGTGAAATCCAGCGGGCTCCTGGGGCGGTGCAGGCCCATCTGAATGCTCAGCTGTATTATCATCCCGGAGAGCATGTAAGTCGGGTCGGTTGTACTGCTGCTAGTCGGGAAGGGCCAGGTGCATAAAAGAACCAAGCTTTGAATTACGCCCAAGGAATGCGGAATAGATTGCAGAGACTTCCACAAGAGATCTGTCACTGCTCGAGCGAGCCTCGTCAAGAGAGTGGGATCTGACTGGTATCGACGAGATGCAACCGAAATTATGGACCAGAATAGCAGGATCGAACTATCGTAGTACTGGGCGGGACAAACCCCCGGGTCAAGAAACGGTAGATATGCATGGTAATTTGAGAAATAACTTGGAAGGCTATTAGTCCACAGTCCTGAAAAGCAGGAGAGACATACATGCAAAACAGATCGTTTATCACATCTGCTGAGAGCTCAATGTCGCGTAATTGCCGCAAAGCAATCACCTTTCTCCTGTTGTTGGAACCACTGTCAAGTAGACCGCTATGGGGGATTGTCGTTGTTCCTGGCAAGCACGATCCATCAGGAGAGTCTGGGGACATTCCACCAGGGACAGTGGTCGAGAAAATCCGGTTCGTCAAAGGGTCCGAGGTGTCTCCGGGGTCTTCGTTTGTGGGTCTGTCATGGTCCCCACGAAGAACATCTCCTTCAGCAAGGGATGGCACCACAGCATCTGATAGAGCAGGAGCAGCGGAGTCCGCGAGAGCACTATTGCCTTCATAGACAGACAACCGGCGCTTGAGCTTGTTTATCTCTTCTTCCAACTCTGTCGATATCCTGGCGGGTGGATGGCGGTCAGCCACTCGTCTGTCTGAAGCCCAACTCTTGCCCGTGCTTACTTCCGCTTCCGCGTCCTCTTGAACGTATCATCTACCCTGCAGTCCAGCTCCAGCCTTCGACACCGCGAACAGGCATTTGACGAGGGTGTGTCCAGTTTCGTCAACTCACACCTCAACTGAATGCCTGGCATTAGTTGTCATCCTGGACAGACCGGGTCACAAAAATACTCTGGCCCACCTTTTGCTGTCTGCAGTTGTTGCACGCTTTCGGCTTCAGGCCATTCGTCCGACTTTGGGTGCCGACATTGTCATGCCGTTCGTGAAGGCTGCCTTCGTCTGAAACGGGAACTTCTGGGCCCTGCTGATGGGTTGGCATCATCAGAGAGGCTTCACGTAGCTGCGGTGGCGCATCTTGACTCGCTCGATCGCCGCAGGTTGTTGAAGATGCTGCGACGAATTAAAGGTGAAATGCGGGGAGGAAGCGAGTTGATTGAAGTAGCTGGTTGGAGGCAATATATTAGGGGAAGGTTAGCCGAGTCCATATCTAGTCACGTGCGCATCACGTGCTAGTGATACCGGAAGACACAAGACTGACCTCCTCCCCCCTTTTCCCACCTGCTGCTTGCGGATGTTTGAGCTCATTTGATTCAAAGATATCCCAGATTATTCCCGAGCCAATTCCAGCCATGATACACGACTACGATTTTCAAACAACTTCAATCTCTACGGTATGCACATGATTCCTTCTTCCCGTCATCGGCTGAGAGATGCCAGCCTCGTCTGTGGCCTTTGCAGTCAATTTGTATTTCCCCGGCTTGGGAATTGATACCTTTGCTTGGAATGACTGCCATTCGAATTCCCTCCGTGGTGTCAATGCAACAGCTGATTGGGGCAGCCAGTGCTCGCCTCCATCAGTGCTGACGTCGACCTGGCTGATCTCCTCACAGCCCCAAGCGCGTCCTCGAATGTCCACGTCTGGTCCTTGCAACACAGCCCCCGGCTCCGGCTTGACAATCATGGAATTGGGCTCAACCAGCCATACAGGCCGCTTTCTTTGTCCTTCCGGATCAGTCGGGTCGATCTCGTTGTAGAATGTAGTGGTGAACGGCCCGACAGCGCGGTGATCCTGTAGTGAGAGCCGGCAGAGCCACTTTGTGCTATTCGTGCCAAAGTATCCTGGCACCACCATTCTTACCGGTCCGCCTCGGTTTTTCTCCAATGGCTCGTTGTTCATTTCGTAGGCGATCAAGACCTCAGAGCCTAGCGCTTTCTCCAGAGGAAGGTCCTTTTCGTATCGGTCAGCAGAAACCCCGGCAAAGGAACCAGACTCCAGTCCTTGCGACCACACGTATCTTGCTTCGGGCCTTGGTCTAGCTAGTGTGAGTATGTCTGCAAGCTTGACCCCAGTCCATTTGATGTTCCCAATTCTCCACAACGCGTGGATCGGGGGTGCAATGGGGCTGCCATAGCATTCATGAAAAGCGGTGATGGTGGCAGAAGGCATGCTTTTCAGCTGCGCAAGAGATACGCAAAACGGTCGCTCGACGATTCCGTCTACCACCAGCTTCCACTTGCCCTCGTCCACAACCGCTGCGCCCATGTGGATGGTCTGGAAAAGCTGAGATTCGTCCGTGAGCTCAACGTCGAGCTCATGTGGCTTTGGAGGGTGTCGTATGAGGAACCCGGCCGGGTCGATGGCTGTAAGGGCCTCGCGCTCCGACCCATCGCTCTCACGCTGGGCTTCTGGAAGGAAGCTGACATGCTTTGAGTACGTAGTCTCGAGGTCGGGGTCCATCGAGCGCCGGAGAATGCAGGGCATGCGTCCCTCTTCGTCGGTGGAGAATTGTTCGAGCTTACTGCAGGCGCACAAGAAGAGCGAGGCTGCAACCTTGCCAGACACTAGTCTCACATTCGCTTTGGATAGGTTGTGGGTTGACTCCAGCGGCGCCTAAGAAGTAACATCTATAAAGCCTCGACAAACGCGGAGGCGACGCGGAGCCGTTCGATCGGGGCCCACTCGACCTCGGTTTCGGCCACACGGAAATCTCATCGCCGACTCCGCGAGCGCAGGATGCCTGGGTTAGCCAGGCCTTGGGTTGTATACCATATGTAAATGCGAAGGGGGTATAAGATGTGCCTTTCGCATTCGCTGCTCGATCTAACGCGAAATCGTTGTTCTAGGCGATAATGGCAAGGCGGAAACTGACCTTGTATTTCGACCTGCACAGTCCATACGCATACTTGGCATTCTATGTTATCAAGGTTAGTACTAAGTCGACTGAAGTGCCTGGTCCGAGAGGTATGGACGGCCTGGCTGCAACTAACGTGACTTGATAGAATTCCTCTGTCTTCAAAACTTGCGACATAACATATGTCCCCGTTCTCATCGTGGCATATGTAAATGCGATCGGGTTGAAACCGCCTTGGAGCAGTCCCAGTATGTGGCCGACAGATCCCCGTCGTTACTCGAGCTCTGGCACCCGAGCTGATTCTGACTCGGTGCTAGACAAAGCAAAATGGTTTCAGACGGATATCGCCAGATGGTGTCGAGAATACAATATCCCCTGGAACCAAGGCTTGCCAGCAAACTATCCCTTCAAGGTCACCACGCTGAAGGTGATTACCGTAAACCGCCGTCTATCAGTCTCATATACTGAGTCTCCAATCACAGGTCCAGAGGGTCTTGGTGGCTTGTTCACTTGAATGCCCCAGTCGATATCCGGATGTTTTGAACGCCCTGTATCATGCGTTTTGGGTTGAGAAAAAGGGTGTCCAATTGCCTCAGGTGCACGAACCGATTGTGGCCCGTGTAGTCGGTGACAAGCTCGCCGCAAAGATCATAGTCAAGGTACGTAAAATTCACTTCCGTGATCTGACGAAGCAAACTGATCGACTATCCGTCAGAGCACAACCGAGGAGGTCAAGTCCCTCTTGAAACAGAATACCGAAGCTGCGATTGCCAGTGGGTCTCCCGGTCTTCCCTGGATCAAGGCTGTGAATGGAGAAGGACAAGAGGAGTTCTTCTGGGGGTTTGATCATCTCGGACAGGTGGTGAAATTTCTCGGCCTTCGGAGGCTGAACGAGTCGCATTTGTGATGAGGAGGTGCCTTCTCTGTAGGATTGTGTATCCTTTTTTTCTTATACGGAGGTGTGCCGTCTACTGTCCACGCCTTCCAGCCTTATTTCCTCCAAAGAAGATGGTTATAACTTCGACCCCGTCTCTTTTGCAGCAATCTCCCGCAGCTGCCGCCTCAATATCTTTCCTGACTAGAAGGGAAGTCAATTAGCACCATACCGGCGTGGGGAATAGAGGTGTATTTGACATACCGGGTTTTTGGGAATAGCATCAATAAAAGCCACGCCTCCTGTGAGGTGCTTGATGGTCGAAACTCGAGCTTTGACGAAGTCCACGACATCATTCTCAGTAAGGCGTGATCCTGGTGCCCGCACGACATACGCGCGTGGTCGTTCGTCATCCGTCGTCCTAAAGAGACCGCTGTCAGCACAATTATTCGACATGTTTGCAGCCATCAACATACGTCTTGACGCCAATCACGGCAACATCCACAATCTCGTTATGCTCTAGGAGAAGAGCTTCGAGCTCTGCCGGAGCTACTGCGACACCCTTGACTTTGATCAGTTCCTGGCCCCCGCGTCAGTAACTGGTCAAAACCAGAACATTTCGAGCGTTGGCGCCCTAGCAACTCACCTTCTTCCGATCCACCATGTACCACTTTCCAGCCTCGTCTCGGTATGCTATGTCGCCTGTCTTTAGCCAGCCATTGCTGATAGTTTCTGCAGTGGCTTTGGGATTGCGCCAATATCCCTTCATTGCGTTCGGGGAGCGGATCCAAAATTCTCCCGTCTCCCCCGGCAGCGTCACTTCCTCGCCGGTATCATTGACCAGCATGCCTTCTGCCCCAGGGACCAACTCGCCGATCGATGTCGAAGTTGGGCCCGAGTTCTCGCGTTCGTCCCAGCATAGCGTGATTGCTGGTGCCCTGAAAATGAGTCCGTCAGTAACACTTCGTAGGACAGATAGACTCCCCCAACTCACTCTGACATTCCCCAAGCCTGACGCACTTTGAGTCTACCGTCCCAAAGCTCTTCAAACTGTTGCGTTACTTCCATACCGATTGGCGCCGCACCTGCTGCCACCTTCCTGACGCTGCTAAGGTCGCATGTCCCATCGCGAACCGCTGGGTGTTTGGCCAAGGCAACTAACATCGGCGGAACGAGCACCAGTTCCGTAATTCTGAACCTTTGGACGTGACTCAGAAAATCTGCCAAATTCCATCGCTCCATCACGTATGTCTCGATACCCCATTTTGGCGTTGTGAAGCTGTAGTATAACAACCCAAGTGCATGGTACATTGGAACTGCACAGAGAGTCCGCCGAGCCACAACAGTGGGATCTGACATGTGGATTGTTTTGAGTTGGAGTATATTCGCAATGAGGCTTCGATGAGATAACTCAACGCCCTTCGGAAGACCGGTCGTGCCTGATGAATAAATCAGAATAGCAGTGCGCTCCGAGAACGCCTCGGTCCGACGCTCTTCCCAGACAAAGTTTCGACCGATCTCAGGTCTTGCAAGCAATTTGCTCCAATTTTGGACTTTGGCATGGGGCACTGGCGGCACTTCTTTCGTGTGGTCCATGGATACCTCGGAGAAGAGAAAAATGCGTCCTCTGTCAAAACCGACGAGGTCAGCGGCTTCCAGAGCTCGGTCTATGCAGCTCTCCGCTGCGAGGACGATTCGAGGACTGGAATCTTTGAGCTGATGCGCAAGTTCGCGTGCAGTATATGCCGGATTCGCACTGTTGTAGATGGCACCAGCCATCAAAGCACCCATGACAACAACCGGATAGAAGATGCTGTTCGGGGAAAACAGGAGCACGCGATCCCCATCTTCAAGTCCTGCGGACTGGACGCCTGCAGCAAACCGCTTCGACCATTCGCGATAGGTATGAAGGGTGAGGAAGTGGGTATCGGGGCGTTTTGCGTCAGCAAAGATTTTATCAGTCGAGTTGACGTTCGAGGACGAGGAATTAAACATAAACGTCGGGACTGACAACGTCGGCGGTGTCAATGGCCATCGTGATCTGTAGGGCATGTTGAAGTTCTTAGCTCGAGTTGCGCTGGGAGAGTGTCTTCCGTAGTTCAAGAGGATTGACTTGTTCCAGTAGCAGAGTGTTGATACGAAGAAGGACAGCAACAATTCAAGATACCGGCTTGATATATGACCAGCCGTATGACCTTTGAGTCGCTGAAGTCGATGACATTGAAACCGTGTACCTTTTGAAGTGGTGACTGACCTTCATGGGGTGGCGACCGTCCGCGGCCACCCAAGTGTTTGGGATCCACCAGCTCGGCGCGGCTGCTGACATCGGAGCCGCAGTCGTGTAGCCAGACGATCGACGAGTCCTCGACACTGCCAGGTGCGCAGTGTACATTCAGGCGTACTGTTCCTCGTTCGCTGGATTTGCCGTGAGATTAATGGCCTTGTTTCGAGCAGTCTTGGACCAACTAATCATTAGAAAATCTGATGTTCACCCAAAAAGGTCATCATGATAGACTGTTCACGTCTTCGTGTGACCAGCAATCCATTAGGATATCACCATATTGCTGCATCAGTTTCTGCAGCGCTGGTCTCGCAGTGATCGCTCCAGACACGGTAGAATCGAGCGTCAATAAACACGTAAGCAACGGCTTCATACTGGCGACCCACTCCGAATCAGGTTCCATGTCGGAGAACGTCGTCGAGGCCAAGTCGCCTTGCTGACCGGTTGATACATATAGGTCGATGGTATGTTCGATTGCTTTAGACAAAGCCAGGACCACCAGGACCGTATTTGCATGATGTGAGATGAAGTGCATCTTTGCTTGAACACTGTTGATGAGTCTAAATTCGCCCATCGCCGATACGTCCACAATACGTTGTGCTATCGTAAGAAGAGACGTGACGGCCTCTCGCTGATAAGACAGTGCCCTGTCCAGAAGGGGCTGTCTCTCCGCAAGAGGTAGCATGATGGATGAGCGATGCAGCTGCTCTACGAGTAATAGACTGGCTAAGCCCGAAAACAACAGCATGAACGCTGAATTGCCGGACAGTCAGCCTCAAGTCTGGTCAGGGGGGGATAAGATTGTTCACCTGAAGCGAGTTTTGATTTCTCAGAGAGGAGAAAAAAAGAGATGTTGCATTGCTGCAGCCACGAGCCATAGGTCAATGCAAACTCGTCGTTGATGGCCATGGCCAATGTGATCGCACTCCTCAAAGTAGGTATATCGTATGTTGTGTCACCAGTCAAGAGGATCTGCCGCAGGTTAATGGTTCCCCTATAGGCACGGAAAAGGTCTCCTGCCGCATTCTGACAATGCTTAGGGACTTCTTGGTCGAATAGGTCTGGTTGCTGCCAATCTGGAGTCAAATGACCACTCAGGAGGGTTCCTGAAGGATCGTTAATTGTTATAACACTGCAAACCTCTACCGTGATACCTTACCTTTCGACCTCGGAGGCGCGTCCTCTAGCATACAGGGCCGCTCATGAAGCACAGAATCAATGGTGTCGCGTAGGTACCCGTACCAGCGGATAATACCCACGGAGGATAGAAGGAGGAATCGATAAATTGACTGGCGGCCCAGATGCCCGCAATAGCTTTGCACCAACCCTTGCAGTTCTTCCATTTGGCGCAAAGCATTATCCAAGAGCCCGAGAGGAGTGTCCTCGTAACAGGGAATGGACGCTGCTTCTGGTGGTACGCTGGTCATCAGAAAGAGGAAGACCGAATAAAGCTTGACGAAGGATCGGATTCTCCTCGATGAAACCATATGAGAATGCGCATTGAACCAAGCGGCAGTGAAGACGTGTTGACTATTGGTACTCCGGTCTCCCGGCATGGCGTCTGATGTCGAGCACTGACTTCCGCCTTGGGGGTTGTCGAAGAACCGTGCCAAGGGACCTTCCGCCTGTCGCGACGGCGCAAACTGGAGGGCGAATGCCTGCAGGACAGCGATCAAGGTGCGCTCGTTCTGGCTGCGTGTTTTCTGATCAATGACATTGCTGTAAAGCGCGCCAAAGTTATCCAAAAACCGAGCCACTCCGATCATGGTAACCTTATTGATCTGCCTCGCCAGTTTCTCCGGTGCCATATTAGCGTCCACCTGGGGGCCATTGGTGTCTACTATTGCTTTCTTCCACGGTGGTGTCAATGCGTTGTTCACGGATTGGCCACCGTTGATGTCCAAGGTTGATGGGTTTGACTGATCCGGGTCAAACGAATATTTGTATGACCCAGCGAATAGATTACAGTTGTAATCCAGATACCTTATGGCAATCCCAGACATCATGGAATTGTAGACCTCGCCGAGACTTTGGTTTATTCGCTGTATCTCAACACTGGAGTTGAGCAAGTGGATTGGACTGCCCCGCCAAAGGCCAAGCGTCGAGTTTCTTCGGGCAAATAAGTCATTGGGTGATCTAGGTGGTGTCTGGTAATGGCTAGTCGAGCTGTGCACGGTTGAGGCTGATGTGTTGCTGGTTTGATATTGCTCTGCGGCTTGGGCTTCCGAGGTCAACACCTGGCTCTCCAAGTTGGTCCATTCCGACACCAGATTCCCCATAAACATATCGACATCAAGAAACCCGGTATGCGGGATTCCGTTCCAGAGTGCATTTTGCGCGGTCACTTGAGTGGAGTCCAGGGACTCCGGATCCGCGGGCAGAGGAACAATGAACTGCTTCTCGGGTCTCGAGGTGGCTGGGGCGATGGCTTGTTCTTGCGCATGCGAGACTGGTTGCTTGGCCTTCTTCTTCTGATTAAGACGGGAATTGACAAAATCAAAGGTGCAATTATGTCCGAGGTGAATGCAGTTCATGCAGCTGTTTGGGGAGCCGGGGTTGACCCCGTCCGGGAAAGCACATCGTCTTTTCGAACGCCGACACGGATCACACGACGAGTTCTGCTTGCGTACTGTTGGGGCAGGTGCCATGAGGATATGTGGAACTTGAGACGCTGTGCCGTCAGCCATGGAGGGCGAGAGAAGCAGCAATGTTCAAGCAATCAACCTGCGTGCCACGACGCATCAGGGGAACTGTTCAGGACGTAACGGTCCTGGCGACAGCGGGCACAGGATGCGCATCTGAATGGGCTGGTCGGATCAGGTTGATTTCCAACTCTTTCGACAATACTCTGGGTTCCTCCATCCCACAAGGCGAGAACACACTGGGTTGTGATTTCAACCTCAGATCCTCCGCTTCCTAGCACCCACCCGGACAGCCCCAAGTTTCATTACCTCAGCCGCGGTTGCAGGGATCGGCTCCGACGGACCAGTAACCTCATCAGCTAGGAATCGACCCTGGACAATAAGATTGGTGCGTTTTCTCCGCGATCATGACAGGGTTCGATGAGCTCCTAGACGATCCCTGTCGATTGGAGATGAAAGCGACGTTCAGACAGGGTTTGGGTGCCAGACGCATCATATTTAGTAGAGATGGCAAAGCAATGGGGACTGGAAGCCTCATTTGACAGAAGGAAGTTGTGCTGCGTGAGAGTGTTGACTCTCTTGGCAGGCCGGCCGCATCGGAACAATAAATTTCCCCGCCACAAGGATTCAACGTCGCAGATCGGGTAGAAATCGAGTCTTCAAGTGGTCAGCTTGAGCTGATGACGGCAGACAGTGTTGGTCAGTTTACTCAGTGTGACAACAGCGGCGATAAAGCCGTCTCCCATTGCTCCAGCCAGACTCCCACCCACAAGCAATCCAAGGAGGGAGGGAGGGGACAAAAGAGAGTCATGTCGTTGCCAACAATGTTTCTCGTCCAACTCAAAAAGCATCTCACGGCGGTTTATTAGATTTACTACTATTTGTCACGAGAGTCTAGAGGTCAGACCTGCAGAGGCATGCGCAGTGAGGAGTATTCGATTAAGAGATGTCTCGTTAGGAAGCAATTAGGTGCAACGGTTAGGTGCAAGGGTTATTTTGATTCTCTACGCAAGGTGTATGTACTTATGCTGCGCTTGCTCATTCACCAAGCCCTCTCGCGGTCTTGCCGATACTGTGTCTCTGTGACAGGTGAAGATATTTGGAGGAACCGCGACACAATGGAGCCTTTCTGGAAGAGGCCTCTGACAAACCATGCATTGGTTGCATCTATGCGTGTGCAACGCCAACCAGACTTCCGTATTTCAAAGAATTCAGTGTCGCAGAATACTGTTCCATCGCAGGCGAGACGGTGACGATCATGGCGGAATTCCCTTTTTCCGAACTCGAGAAATGCTCGCGAAGCACCGTGGTCAGTGCCGACGACCGGAATGGTATTCTCGGTTGATTTTTAGACCAGGCCCTCATCACCTCCTTCAGCGCTAGGAGGTCGGTATTAATCTGACGACCTTCCTGGCGCTCTTGAGGGGTCTGCTTGGTCAGTTGAGGTTGAGCGCTCCCCTTCTCTTGTTGATACTCAGCACTGGCAAGGTCGACAAATACCATCTTGGCACCCAGGCAGGGAGATGCACTCAACTCCAGAATCTCATCTACGAGCGCTTCTGCAGCAGCAACCTTTGCCTCGCAGGCAGCCTTCTCGGCTTCGGCTGCATCAATACGCTCTTGATTGATCTTGTAATCTGGGTTGTATGCCCATCCGCCGTCCGGAAGGGCGATGAGGCCCTTGTACTGCTCTTCCAGGTTGACGTCGGTCGCACGCTTGCCCACAGGGACCAACTCTGATTGTCGCTCTATGACAGCCTGACGTGCGTCTACTAGTGATTGGCAGATAACTTCTAACTCCAAAATCGCGTGAGTCCTGGAGCTCTGGTCGTGAAGAGTCGATGAGCCTACGGTTCGGCGGCCAAAGGCCCGAGTCAGCTCCTGGCGGAAAGAATCATAGGTCCAGCAGGGTTGCTTAACGATTGGGCAGACCCTGACTTTGCCGTCCTGGAGCTTCTCAGTTTCCCCACGGATGTAAACCTTGCCATCGGCGCCTTCTCTGATGTGGCACTCTGCACGCCAATTGAGAAGATCAAAGGCCGACTTCTTGCGCATTTCGAACAAGCTGAAGCCAATTCCCAGTTTCTCTCCGGCTGGATTCTCCTTATTTAAGACGTCGATCACCTCAAAAAGTTGGCGAGCAGCCGCGAGAGTCAATCCGAGCTCCTTCTATCGTCATAGTTATAACCTAGGATGGTATGTGTCTTACCGCTGCCGGTGTGTCCGTATGCGAAGAAGCTGTAGCTCCCACCCTGTAGAACTCGCGGGGTAGCAGGCGCAACAATGGAGTCAAATATTGCGCCGTTGTCGTGTTCTGGATTGAATATGGCCTTGAAAGCCGCAGGGCTCGTCCACGACTGGTTTCCTCTCTGACCCTGCCGACTTACGGAGACTGACAACAGAAAATGGGCATTTCCAGAACTTGTTTTCCGAGTGGCCTCGCCCTGTGCAGATTCCGATTGAGTCAGCCGTCGCCATCGAGCAAAGACCTCGATGGACTTCGTATTCGGAGCCCTGGAGGTCATGCCGAATGGCAAGAATAGTCAGAATACAAGATAGAGAATGTCCAAAGGGTAACCGTTGTGTGACGAAGAATTTGATCGAGACGCAGACTATTTTATCCCACCTGGTATGTGAAGCGGCTAGGCAACCACAGTAACTAGAGGTATGTATAGCCACTACAGCCACGTGACCTCACGTGGTCCTTGGCACTGGCCACATTCTTAGATAGCACTCGCCTACCGCGCCTGTAGCAACTAACAGGTTACCCCTGGTTCAAGTCCTGGCACCTACAGACCTCTCCTGCAGACAATCGATCGACCTTCCATAGAAATGTAAGCCTCATTAGACCTTCTTCAGCAATGCACTATGGAAATGCGCGTAATAGATGAAAATGTCCCTCGCATGAATGTTCTGTCAGGAATCATTTCGAATGTTCGTTCGGTGACAATGATCCCAGTCTTCAGTCGGCACAAATCCAAGGCGTGAACGAACGCTCAGGCTAAAAAACGTTCAATGAAAGTGAGCGAGTCCCTCTGGATCGTCCTTTGCTTTCCGCATTCGAAGGCAAGGGCTGGGGCGTTTTAGATTTAGACTTGTGTCCTACAAAATACGGTGCCTTCAGATGCTGCTCGACTACCTTAAGTTGTGGCAGCTATTCATTTCCAAGAGATGGCATCTCACCCATCAGGTCTCCCAATGGGATCAAGGCCAATTGCAGCCGTGGGTGGTCCCCTAGCGACTACCGTGGACAAGGGCGGCAGAGAGAAGATCGGGCAATCTGAACAGGCATGGTATATATTTGCTGCTTAAGCGTGGGCTCTTCTCCCCTGGCAGGAGAACAAGAACATATATCGTAGATTGTGCGACAATGTTGGAGACCACCGCCGCAGCAGAAGGCCCGCCAGACTAGGGCCACTTTCACACCAGGCCCGTAGGTACACGGTCTTGTCTAGGTAAGGATTATATACCCAGCTGCATTGATCCATGCGACGCATTTCTCAGCAGGACAACTCCCTTGATCCACTTCCATACCAGATACACAATATCTGAATGATTCACCACTGGACATTCAAGATCGCTGCGCTAGACCATGGCACTGTAACAGTAAGCACGCCGCCCTGGGCGATCTGCAACACCTCTTCTGAAGTGATATTATTCAACTTCACTGGCATCCCCTCGTGGAGTTCATAATTATATGACCACCCATCGAAAGTGATCCCCGTGATGGCATCACTACCGTTTGCCATCAGTCGCTGCACACTGACTCCCTTCGCTGCGGATCCAGTGCTAGTGGTTGGCAGTTGGAAGCTGAACGTCTCGCTTGGGCGCGGACCCTTGGCTGTGGCCGTGCCGGTGGAGGTGTAATTGTACGCATTCATCTGGACGATAGCTATTCTCTCCAACCGGCCATCGACGTACGCTGCATAGGCATTTTCATATGTGCTCCCGAGTTCGATGTCACTGATACTGACGTTGTTTTTTGTCAGGTCCCCTAGAAACGAGGCTACCATAATATTCCCATAGTATGGTGCTTTTGTGCCTTGGGTCTCGTTGACGGTCGGGACCGGTTGCCACGAAGCGTACCTATAATTGGTGCCTTGGTGCATGTGAACTCGAGCAATGCCCGTGGCAGCACAGTAGAGGTTGAAATCCACACCCCACAAGGCAGCACCGAAGGAGTTCGACAAGCCAGGTGCACCTTCGTTGTATAAGCTGTTTGTTTCGCCTAGAATGTATGGAAGTCCTGTGTGGGCAAGAAGGCTTGATTCATTGAGGTGTTTGCTGACTGATAAAACGGTCGACGTGTGGTTCATTAGGGTGCCCTGGAGAGTCACACCCGGCTGAGTCGCGCCTCCAATGTAACTGGCCGCCGTCAGCAATCATGTCGCCGTCTTCTCAACTGACTCACTTGTGGCTGTCAATGAAAGCGATATCGTTATCGGCGTCCAACCCAGCTTGCCATGTGGTGATCAAGTTCAGACTGTTAGAAGTTCCCGCGAAATTGGGGGCGTAGAACTTGAATTTCCCCTGACTAATAATATCCGGACAGTGCTGCTGGACCAGTTGTCGGATCGTGCGGGTTTTGTTGACCCATTCTTGGACGTAATCGGTCTCATTCCACCAACTCGGTCTCACTGGCCCCTGGGCACTCGTCTTGTAGAGATCGGGCTCGTTGCCTAGTTCCCAATAGGCGACTTTGGTGGTACCAAGAGCCTTGCAGACTAGTGGAACAGTTCCCACCAAGGTCTCGTGGCCGATGGAGCCATTCTTTCCCAAGTTAAAGCCGTGGATATATGTAATACCTGGCCAGGTAGAGTAAGAGTCAAAGTACCCAGGGCCAATGGATATCGTTGTTGGGTAGTCTCTCGACCTTGTGAAGTTAAAAGTCCCAATCAGGGCAGCCGTTTGGGAAGCATTGAAAGTGGCGTAGTCTCTGGGCGTGTCTTTGGTATTAGTCAATCAATACGGCCTAGGATGGGACGTACTCCGTATTCCCGCCGACTCTGATGATTGGATAAGACCCTTGGAGGTCACGCAAGTTGTTTAACAGGTTGTATGAGAAGTTATTCGGTTGACTCGAGTTGCCTGGAGAGAGTTGGTGATGAGGTCCTACCGCTTCTCCAGAACCTTACCTGCGAAATCCGGAAAGGATGAAAACTCAATCGAGTACGAGACAAAGGACTCAAGAAGGGGCTTGCTGGCATTTTGTGGAGGAGCAAGTGACAAGGAAATAACACATGTAGCAATCTCAGCAAGGAGCAAACCAGCAAGGACACAGGACACAATCATTTTGGATGGCACAGTGGTTGAAGAACGAAGAATTGACAGCTCCTTCCTACCCTTTGGCTTTTATTGCGGCGGCCATCCTAATAAGGATGCTCTCGAACAAAGACCTGTTTATTTCCAGCATTCCGCGGGGGGCTGGTTCGACACATTCGAAGCCAGCGAATTCCCCAGGTTTGTAAACCTCGCGATTGGTGGAAGACTTCGCCTTTCAGGAAGGTGACAGAGCATTTGTGGGGAGAAGATCACGGATCGGCAGGCGTGCCACGAATCTTTCGGGCGCGGAGAGCTGACAGGATACCTTCATTTGCCCGGAACAGAAGTGGATGGATCGGCGTTCCACAGGGAAGAGCATCATCTGCAGGACTGGGTCGGTCTCAAGATGGCAGATGGAAGCTGATCCGACGGTGACGACGGGGAAGATGAAGGATGGTGAAGACTCTCCAGCTCAATTGAATTGATGAAAGTGAAGGTCTGCCAAGCCGATTTTCGTACGGCGAAGCATTGTGACGTCTCCTGTAAAACCAAGGATAGGAAGCCAAACCAAATTCAACACCAAAATAATTACCTACCAGTGTTCAAACTACGCAGACATCAGATACCCTACCTTCCCTCTTGTTTCACGAAATCTATCTCCGAGTATGTTCTGAAACTCTCACTCTTCACAAATTCGTCAACGAAACCGCCCGAATTTCTCTCCAAGATGCCCTCGCGATCGCCGTCACGAGGGCGTTCCCCTACCAGATCGCATACACCAACTTCGATACAACGCGCACCCTCCCCACCCTTCAACCGTTCACATTCGCCGCGTCGATCACCGTCGCCAAGGTCAGGCTCTCGTTCCCCTTCTCGCTCCAGGTCCAGATCGTACACTCGGTCGCCTCCACCTCGCGACGGGCGCAATGGGCATGGCCCGGGGAGAAGCCACAGCCGAAGCACCTCGCGCAGCAGGAGTCGGAGTCCAAGTCGCGGTGACAGAAGGTCCTATCGAGAAAGAAGCTACACGCGCAGTCCCAGTAGAGATAATCGACGGATGCAGAGCTCCAAGATTGTGGTGGAAAAACTCACCAGAAACGTGACCGAGGCCCATCTGCGCGAGATCTTTGGCTCATATGGTCGTATCGAGTCGATTGACCTTCCACTGAACAAACAATGTATGTCTAATCTCAACCCGACCCAGAAGGTGTCTAACGTGGAACAGTCATGACAAATCGCGGCACCGCCTACATCCTGTATGATCACCCTTCCGGTTCAGAATCTGCCATTGCCCACATGCATGAAGCCCAATTGGACGGTGTCGTCATATCCGTGAGCATTGTACTTCCTCGCCGGGCCTTTTCAAGATCACCGCCTCCAGCCAGATCTTCCCGGTTCGGTCCATTGCCCTCCCGCTACGGACCACCACCAAGAGGACCCCTACCACCGAGATATCGAAGCCCACCCCCAAGAAGAGGTGGGTATGGTGGAGGAAGGCGAGCAGCAGAGGACGACACGTACATCCCCCGTGATACTTACTCAAGATCTCCTTCACCGCCCAGGCGGCGTCGGCGGTCCCCTTCATATTCCAGATCGCCATCTAGAACACCACCCCGAAGACGTGGCCAACCGGCTCGAAGTCCACCCCGGCGGAGAAGACGCAGTCCAAGTTACAGTTCCCGGAGCAGTTACAGTCACAGCAGAAGCAGAAGCAGAAGCAGAAGCAGGACTCGGTCCAGGAGCCGACCCAGGTACGGTGCAAGAAGATGAGCTGGATGAATGTCGATGGTGAATCACTTTACCCTCACAAAAGAGGAAGAAGAATATGAATGATACCCGAAATGTAGTGTTTGGCAACCTGGTGCAAAAGACCAAGGACAGTCTTGTGTCGGTGCTTGGGACAAGGAACACACGGCAAGTGCTGCAAAGATGAACGAATTGGAGGAGTCAAATCAAATCTTAACAGTTGCCAATGTCTTTGCTGTCTGTCATCCTTCAAACTTCAAACTTGTGTATACGACAGTTTTCAAATGTGACAAATGCTCTGACAAGGTTCTTAGCCTGAGACATGGTCAGAGCGGCCCAGAGCTTAGGTGCTCGCAGCTTAGTAGGGACCCTGACCCAGGCACCCAAGCAGCTCTACTTAGCGCTCTGGTTGAAGCTCCGGCGGTGCTGAGAGCCTATTCGATTTATCTTAGCGGGCGATTCTAGTTGAGCTGGGTGGCTGGTTCCTTGCATGAGAGGCTCTTGGCGGGGCGGGTGGACCCCGCTCCCTGATGGGCATCTCTTTTGGCGAATCCTCAAACCCCGGCCGCCGCGCCAATTTTCAGAGTCCGCTCACGTTCACTAATTATCTGGTGGCATTCAATGCGAAAAGTGAGCCAGGCGTGAAAACTATCAATCCAGGTCGGTCAACGATCCGTCCGTGGTCTCGGCTTCCCCGATCAGTGCCTAATCTCTACCAGACCTCAAACTGTCGGCAGTCCGAATGAGAACGCGCCTCTTTCCTGCCTGCGCCCGTCGTCGTACGGAGCATCCACCGTCTTCCCGTTAGTCGGTCGTCAGCCCACCGTACGCTACCCGCGCGTCGATCACCATGAGCACCGAATCTGAGACGCCTGATGCGCCTGGTGAATTTGACCAACATGACGAAGAAAGCGAGGCTGACGATGAAGCCGCCAACGACGCCAACATGCACGATGCGGATGTGGAAGAAGATGAAGGTGCCGCTGACGCGGAGTCTGGACGAACATCGTCGAATCGCAAATCCCCTCGCGTCTGGACTGATGAACCTGAGGACTACAGTGTCTTCAACAACCCACCCAATCTCGCCGAGATGAGAGACAGACTTTTCTCCCTCGAAGACCCTATTGTCATGCCTGTCGCGGACTGGCAAACATACTTCCCGTTTGTCGACAATATCTGGCGTAAGATGAGAACTGAACACCCACCGGAGGACGGTTCTGCCAAGGTGGACCACTATCACTGCAGATTCCGCCGCGCCCATTACATGAAGCCTCACACGCCGCGTCCAACTCCAGAGGGCAAACAGCAGAGAAGGAAACGAGCGAGGGAGGAAAAGACATGTACGATGAAGATGAAAGTGGTCTACAACCGCGGTCCAATAGAGACATGCACCATTTTGAAGGATACGGATGGTGGAATGACACATTCACATGATCTGGATTACAATGATTCTTCAAAACGCAATACTGGAATCATGCAAACCGCTCGCTGTGAGGTTACAAAAGGTTATGTGCCCTCTTCGATCTTCTGGAAGATGTGGGAGGAGCCAGAGAAGATGCTGGCTGCAGGTGGGAAGTTTCTGAAAGTATCAGACGTGCGAAATCTCCAGTATGCCTGGCGCCAGGGAAATCAACTCGTCACTCTCAAAGCACACAAGGGCTGGAAACAAGGGCGCCCAACACGACAGCCGCCAGCACCACCGGCTCCGCCAAAGCCTCAATTCCAACCTTCCAATCAGCCTGGCGTCTTTGGCCGACTGGAACCCGTAAAAGCAGATGCACGAAATGAGCCCCAAACAGTAATGCATTGGGACACATTACAATACCCTCATCATGCCAGAGGATTTCTGGAACCATACATGCCCGATCCCAGACTCACGCCGGTCCGAACCCGTCCCCACGTCACCCTCACCTGGGCAGGCAGCCTCGACGGCCGGATCAGCCAATTGCAGGGAATCCCCACGGCGGTATCCGGTCCAGAGACCAAGGCAATGACACACTATTTGCGAAGTCGACACGATGCCATCCTGGTTGGGATTTCAACTGCCATAGCAGACGATCCTGCGCTGAACTGTCGACTCGCTGACCCGGGCGGGTATGGTGGGCTAGCCTGGGAGTTCCAACCACGACCGATTATCATTGATCCTCATGCACGCCTGCGCATCCATCCGGGCTTGAAGGTGCTCAAAATGGCTTCCGAAGGTCGGGGCAAGGCGCCTTGGATAGTGGTTGCTCCGGGTGCCTTGCTGCATCCTTTTGCTGTGAGCACGCTGAAAGCCCATGGCGGAGAATATCTGATGATTAATGACTACCATCCAGCACAAGGAGGGCTGAAGTGGGAAGGTATTTTCAATGTGCTCTTTCGAGAAGGTATAAAGAGCGTCATGGTGGAAGGCGGTGGGATGGTGCTTTCAGACCTATTAAAAGCGCATCACTCTCATCTGATCGATTCTATCGTTCTCACGATTGCTCCGACATTTTTTGGAAAAGCAGGGGTGATGGTCTCCCCGGATCCCTCATTCGACCCTACCGGACGACCCATCGCTCAGAGGCTGAGAAATGTGAGATGGCAACCAATGGGAGACGCCGATGTGGTTATGTGCGGCCAGATGGTCGCTGACCAGGTTCCGCTTACAAACGGCATACTATCTGGTATTGAGGAGTACTCGCGAACAGCGCCAGGCTTTCCAAACCCGCAACCTGGAACCCAACCAGCAGGACAACCACCACCAGCTGGCCCCCCACCATCGCAGTCGCAACCACAACCCACCCCTCAAACCTCCGTTACGCAGAGTGAGGCTCGTGCATCGTCAAACACTCCAGCTACCACTTCCCAGCCAGCGGGAGCGACGCCCTCACCTGCCCCTGTGCCTCCTCAGGCATCTGCCCCTGCACAACCCTAGCTTGACTAACCCAGCTTGTGGAGATACTCCGATTGCGAGAAGTGATTAGTCCCTGTTTGAGGAGAGATGAAACATCGCAACGAGGAAAAGAAGGTGAACGAGACATCAATTGACTCCAGAGCTTAATGGGTCACTTGACAGTGACCGAGGCGAACGCAAGATGATACCAGACGTGGAAGCCAGCAGAAAGGATCTTCCCAATCCGGTATCTCTCCGACAGAAGGAAGCTGCGCCCGACACTTCATAACGCGACGAGCTTAACGACTTTCACGACGCTGGAATATGGGAATATGAAAATTTGGGACGTGGAGGAGGGTCAGATGGGAATGATCCAGGTAACCAGACCAATTTCGACAATTTTCCGAGTTTTAAGGAACGCGAGCTGGAAAAGCAAGGGAGGAGGGATTTCTTAATGCTTTTTTTAGTCACTACCGCCAGAGGCAAAGCTGGAACGGGATTACCGACAGTGATAATTGGAGTGAAATAGGTTCAACCGCACCCTAACATGTATGCAAGCGCTTTGATGATACGTAGTACTTTGTACCAGGGTTGGTGGACAGCGGTGCCGGTATTCCATGTGTGTTCAAATCAAGTACATAGTAGATGCTCGCTCTCCAATGCAATGGCAATACTGTAACCATGAGGACTACATAGTACATATGCAGCTATCAACTAAGATTCAAGACTCCAAGCTTTTGAACATCAAGAAAGAGGCCTTGAGAGCTGAGCGACACTGTGTACTAGGGAGGGCTGGATCAACAGTAATCTAGCAAGTAATGCCTGGAAATGGAAAGCGTGGCTAAACTATTTTCAGCTCAATTTCCCACTTGGGAAAATTAGGTGACCTGTTTAATTCTTCGCATTGGGTACGCATTAACTCGTGGTCGTCCTTCCGACAGGACATCCTCCTATTATTTCAGGTATATATCACTTTCGTATTCATCCATTCTTTGAATCTCTATATATTATTCGTAGTGTGATATAAGGCATTAATCATAAAAGCGCTGTATTTTACTAGGGTCACTCGAAGACGCTCCCGGCCTTTGCTGCATTACGCGTCATGGTTACAGCAGCTGGACTGATAAACAAAACTCTCTTCAGTTTAAAGTCCGACATCAAACTGGTGTGGAATAGCAGTGGCTTGGAGGAAAATATAGTAGGAAGTGTAACAGAGTACAGCTTGTCGGAAGTAAAGCTCCCTCAAAGAGGAGTAAGAAGAGTACGAAGGAAGACAACAGTAGAGGAGGTCCTGAGAGAAGTATCTGGCTCTCACAACCAGATCTTAATGATCCTAATCCTTCGGCGGGCGACAAAAGTCTTATATCAAAAATCTAGGAGTCCGGTCGGCTCTATCGGTCGAATAGTATTAAGTACCTTTTCTTCGCCTTGAATGTTCGTTTCATCAACCACATGTCTACGAAAGGTCCAAATTAAGGTTCACATTCAATACCACATATTATCAGTACTAAGTTAAGTGTGTTTATACAGTGTCAAGCAGCACTCAGCAGAGCCACGGGTCGTAGGGGATCATACCAATGGGACAGTGTTTTATCTCGAGATAGACCTACGGCCAGGAGCAGGCTCGTGACAGACTCTTTGATCGAAGGTGGCCTTTCCTGAGCTCGACACTCTTGGTTTTGGACGTGAGTTCGGCAGACTACTAGCAGTTATTTTCTCGATTGAAGGGTGGTGCTCGATGGGAGGATTTTACACATCGGTCCAGGGGGGAAGGGAAACCGGGCGACAGGCGGCTCCGCGTTTTGAAACTGCTTGCTCGGTCGAGATGTGAGATGCTGCTACACATTGTGTTGGGCACCCTACCCCGTGTCGGCGGGTGTGGTGCATAGGGACCGAATTGCTGCCGCTATGGCAACCAACAGTCAGGGGCTTGGGCAGTTTTTGTTATGCGTTCCAGCGTTTCTACTTCACGTTGAAGACAGGAAGATGCCACCCAATATAGACGCGGCGTGCAAAGCTACCGGTATCAGGGCGAAAACAAGCAGTCACGTGGCGCGCGCGACTTCTTTTGGAAGAGATCCGACGTCCGTTTGAACCACCCAGCCACGCTTTCTGCAGGCTCAGGCTCTGCTGTTGGGAATGATTCTACTTGGCCTTGTAATAATTGCCTTAGAATCAAAAGGTCCATACTGTGAACAGTCGGAAAACAAGTCCTACCGAAGTACTCGACCGGTCTCTTCCCTGCAAGAGCGTCGGCGCCAGCGTCAGCGTCTACATCTGAGGCACAATGGCCGTCATTGCATCTCTTCCCCTTCTCCTTCTACTCTTCCCTATTTTGGCCGTCAAATGCAAGCACCTGCTGCCGCTGTGGAAACACGACCGCCAGATCAAGCTCGATTTCTTACCCAACGCACTTTCTGGTATTGACATCACTGTTGTCTTGATGATATTCCTCTTGAGATCTGTCAGGCACTCGATTTCCTCTGCATGCATGCGCATTTTCAACCTCGGGAATAGGGTGTCTGAAGTTCCAAAGTCGTCAGGCGCAGACGAACTTTCGTTGGTGATGCCATTTCAAGTAACGCAAGCAGACCTCACCGCATATTGCGCGGCTATCAAAAGCCCACCAGCCAGTGAGGGTGTTCAGCTAGTGGGCTCACAGTTGCTTCTGTTTCTGTCTGCTCTGACTGAGCCAGCCATGCTGCTCTTGCTTGCCCACCCGTCATGTCAAGTGCGACCGTTGGGTTCTGTCAATGTAAGAAATCGATTCGAGCTGCTAAGGCCGGATCTGTGCACAAAGCAGAGTTTGACATCTCTCAACAAAGCCTTCTTGACTGCGACGCTCTCAAAAGATGTTCGCACCGTCAAACGAGGGTTCGAGGTCGACCTTGTGGTTAGCTTGAACGTCCCAAGCAAGGATTCGAACGACATAATCACGGTCTTTCGGCAATATTTTACGATTCTGCAGTTCGCGAAAGTTCGACCAGACATCGCTCAACACTCGGACAGTGCTCGCACCGCAGAAGCTATCCCGGCCTGGTCGGATTCGACAACATTTGCCGTCGAACACAACGATCCAGCACACTGGGCAAGGCTCTGCAAGGATTACAACCCGATACATACCTCGAGGGTCGCTGCAAAGCTCTTTGGTTTCCCTGGAAAACTAGCTCATGGCAATCATGTCGGTGCCTTAGCAGCCACATACATTACTTTTGGGGATGGCCATGCACCGCTATTCATGGAAATCACCTTCAGGCGGCCGGTGGTTGTCCCTGCGCGATTGGATTTGAAGGTTTCCTCAGAAGCGGCGGAAACCTCTCGCCCACAACTTATACGGTTCCAAATTAGGAGCAAGAACAAAGTCAGCATCGAAGGGAGTGTTGGCCATTTCGAATAGACGGCGTGCAGACTGCCAGTGCTCGTCTCCACCACATTGAGGTCTCAAAATCACTCTTTATTGCCGACGACGAAGAGAAGTGGCAAGCGACCAATGACGAAGTTTGAACCAGTTGGATCCCGGTCAAGCCGCGGAATCAATCGGGTGCCCGGAGGCCCTGGAGAAAGAGCTGGAGCCGTTGACTGGCGCCTCGCTTCGCGCCCAATTTCGGAAATGACGGCGAATCGACGAGCCCGGAATCTGCAGATCAACGTGTCGGCGGCTTGGGTCAAATTTTAAGCATTTTCGCGCATGTGAAGACGAAATCCGAGACCTCCTTCTTTTTCAGTTCTGCCATGTTTATATGTTAAAGGCGCAATTACGGCGTCTTGGGGATACTAGGATATATAATATCAATACTGGCCCGGTCAACCTCCTCCCTCTGCCCATACCCACCACACTTAGTCGCTTAGATCTGTTCTTGGACCCCTGCCCATCAGCCTTAACCCGTTTTTAAAATTGGAGCGAAATGTCGTTCATTCTTGCCTACCGAAAACCGAAAGAGAAGCTGGCCAGGGCTCGGGCGCGTGCACCCAGTTTCTCCGGGCTCCATGAAAATATCTCGAAGCTCAAATCGAAGCCCTACAGGCTGTTGAAGTTCGAAGAATTACCTGAATGGTATCAAGATAATCACTTCACACGGTCGGGCTATCGACCGCCTGCCAACTCATGGCTCATTTGCGTCCTGTCCCTGGGACACCTCCACAACGAGTCGGTCAATATCTACAGCCATCTTATTCCGGCCTTTTGTCTGGCCGCGGGCCAAGTTCTCGTCTACCGCGGCCTCGGGTACTTTTACCCTGAGGCGTCGGTGGCCGACTACGCCGTCTTCAGTATCCAGGGCGGCGCTTCCATCGTCACCATGCTCTTTTCCTCCACCTACCACACATTGATCTGCCACTCCAAAGATGTTGAGAACCTGATGCTGCGGCTCGACTACGTGGGGATCCTTACGCTGATCCTGGGTAGCTTCTTCTCCGGGATCTACGTGGGGTTTTATTGCGAGCCGCTGCTTCGTTGGATCTATTGGAGCATGATTATCTCCCTCAGCCTGATCACGGCCACACTGGTCCTGCACCCACGGCTGCAAGGCTTGAAATACCGAGGCCATCGAACCTGGGCGTTCATACTCACCGCGCTGTCGGGCTTCGCACCTATTATTCACGGCCTCTACCTCTACGGCTGGAACGAGATGTGGGTGCGCTCGGGGATGCCCTACTGGCTTCTGGAAGGCCTCGTCTATGGGACCGGCGCCTTCTTCTTCGTGACTCGGATACCCGAATCAATATGGCCGGGCGACTTTGACATCTGGTTTTCATCGCACCAACTCTTCCATGTCTTCGTGGTCATCGCAAGTCAGGTACATCTGTATGGGGTGTGGGCGGCTTTTGATTGGAACTACCAGAACCAAAGAGTCTGCCCTGCGATCGGGCTGTAGTCGGCAGCAACGAAACTGTTATCGACATACATCTGTGCATTTACACGACCCAGAGACAACTCCGGTCGGTCCGACAGGTGGTCTATGCGGTCTATTGCAGTCTATATTCTATGCTCTATGCTCAAACGGTGAACTTTTGCAAATTCTCCGGCCCCGATTCCTTCGCGATCTTGGCCACCTGCTCGTCGCCAAGCTCGTCGAAGATATCGTACCCCCATCGGGCGGGGAAATTGAACCTCTTGTGTCGCTCGAGTGCGTTCAGCCGCTTCATCGCCTCGTCGGGGAGGATGGCATCTTGGAAATTGTCGCGGATGCGTTTCTCGGTCACACTCTTTGGCAGCACGACCGTGCCGCGTTGAACCCCCCAGCTCACGAGGACTTGGCCGGGGTCCATCCCCAAGGATTTGGCGACAGCATGGACTTCTGGGTCATCGAGCGTCTTTGGCTCGCCGGTCGTGTTGTTCCCCAGGGGACTGTATGCCTGGATCAAGATCCCCTTCTCATTGCAGAAGTCGAGCAGCTCGGGCTGTTGGAGATATGGGTGTGCCTCCACCTGGTTGACCGCGGGCACCACCTCGCAGCTGGCGAGGAGCTCCTTCAAGCGCCGGATGTTGAAGTTGGAAACGCCAATCGCGCGCGTCTTGCCGGTCTTCAACAGTGCCTCCATGGCCTTCCACGTCTCAGTGAACGGCACGTCTGACAGCCGAAACACGCCCTGCTCGTCGAGTGGGAACCATCGGTCTCCCGACGCAAAGGCCACGGGCCAGTGCATCAGGTACAAGTCGACGTAGTCGACTCCGAGATCCTTCAACGACTTGTCGAGTGCTGGTTCGACATCCTTGGGGTCGTGTTTGCTGTTCCACAGCTTCGTCGTGATGAAGATGTCTTTCCGGTCGACGCCACTCTTCCGAATGCCCAGGCCGACCTCGGTCTCGTTTCTGTAGATCGCCGCACAATCCAGGTGCCTGTAGCCGGCCTTGAGAGCTATCTCGACCGCTTTCTCGACCTCGTGCGGTGCAGCTTGCCACGTGCCGAAGCCGACCGCGGGGATTTTGGCGCCGGTGTTGAGGGTGAAAGTTCGATTGAGCGCCATAGCTCGCGGCCCTGGTTTTCCTATATACGGTCGAGGTGATATAGACTAATCGTTGTTTGTATATTGGGAGAGAAGTCGAGGTCTTTCTTTACCTCTGCAGAAGAAGCTGTGCTTGTTTTTTTTTCTTCCTGCCCCAAGGAGCATTCCTGTTGCTTTTCCTTTTTGTTTTCCGCTTCTTGCCCGGGAAACTTTTCCACCGGCCATTCGGCGTGGTCGGCTATTGAACCGATGCCCCCTCTAGGCAATGGCGTTTTGCCAAATCGGATCTCAGGATCAGAGAGGTGGAGGAGGATCGCTTTTCCCTACTACTACCACTGCCGACGGGACGACATGTCCTGTTTGCCGACTCTGTCCCAACCCTGAGAACCGAGGAGATTCCGGCCGTGCCACTCCTGGATTTCCCCGCCACCCACTTTTCCATCAGACACCCCAAGGCATGGCTCCTTCGTTCGTCAGCCCGTTCCTACGGAATCCAGCTGAGCCAGATTTTGTATGTATCAGCCAGCGAAGGAAAGGGACATGGAGCAGCCCAAGGCGTCGCCTCCGACGGAGAACGATGCTCTCCCATCCAGCCCGCCCCAGAAACGCAAGCTCAAGCGTCCGCGTACGGCAAGGGCGTGTATGTTCTGCAGGAGGTATGCGACCGTGGCCAGATAGGCGCGCCAGACCAATAGGGCCCATTGGGATCTTTGCTTCGTTGTTTATGCTCCGATGCTGATGGCGTATGGAACATTCCAGGCGCAAAGTGCGATGTACAGGCACCCAGCCCTGCGATTACTGCTTTGGCGAGGAGGTTCGTTGCGAGTACGACGATGGGATGACGAGGCCACCTCCTGGGCCGTTCGGTCGTCCCCCGAGCTCTGCTCCAGTCTATCACAAGGCCCCAATAACTTGGACCTCGCCCGGCGGCCTGACAGGCGAACGTGCTACTGCCACGACTCCAACTGAGCAGCCGTCGAAGCGACGAGCTGTCACCTCCCGCGAGCACACGCCGCATAACTCTCGAGGGCCGTCCCTCGAACCAACCTTTGCGGAAGGCCACCACATTAGCGCAACGGCGGGCGTGTCCTTCCTCTACCATTCATGGAATCGAGGCGATGCCGTCGAGGGAGAGGCGGCGTTGCCCCCGGCCCCGTTGACCTGCCACGGCGACATCCCCCCGGTCCAGATTCGACAGGACCAGCCACTACCCAAGCGCGAAGAGGCCGATGTGCTTCTGGAACGCTATTTCCGGTTCGCGACGCCGACGTATCGCTTCCTCCACCGGCCAACGCTCGAGAAGTGGACGTCTCAGCTGTTGACGGGGGCCCGTATGTTGACGGCCGAAGCCGCGTGTACTCTTTTGGTGTTCTCTCAATCACTGCTGTACACGGGGGACGGCGGTAAATATATCGACGGTGGCGATCAGGACCTCAACCGGAGCCAGTTTTGTAAGTTGTATTCATATACACATGGCTCCTACCACATCTCTCCTGGAGCAGCGTGCTGACTCGTCCCTTTTTTCTCAGACTTCGAAAAGGCCAAGTCTCTTCTCAACCAAGAGCCTGGACCAGCGTCCGTGGCCAGTGTCCAGGCCCGGCTCGCCATGTGTCTGTACCTCCTCAGCACGTTCCGGATCAACGAGTGCCGGTTCTGCTTCAGTATGGCCTGCACGCTGTTGACGTCCATCGGCTTGCACCGGAAACTGTCGTCCGCGCACAAGCTCGACCTGGTGACGCTGGAGTCGCGCAAACGCACGTTCTGGGGCGCGTATGTCCTGGATGATTATCTGAGTGTTATGCTGGGGCGGCCACGCATGCTCCGTGACGAAGACATCGACCAGCCCTATCCTCGCAACATTGACGATCAAGACTTGCTCTCGTCCGAATCGCCCGAGGACCTGCCCTTGCACGGCAACCTGGAGGCGTTCATTGCCCACGCGGACCTCGCCAAGTTGATGGGACGTAATAGCGACCTCCTCTATCCGATCCACCCGCTGTCGGAAGATCAACTCTTCGACCGCACCAACTGGATGCTCGCGGCCACGCTGGAGTGGAAGGAGAGTCTTCCTGATTTCCTGAAGCCCCGCGACAAGACGCTGGCGGGACAACGAACGTTCGAGCGCCAAAACACCGTCCTGAAGCTCGCGTATGCCCATCTCCGGATCCTGGCCACCCGGCGATGCCTGCTCGCGGACTTTAGCCGCCTCGGTCGGCGGGCGTCCTCGGTCTTGGACGAGAGGGCCCTGAACCCGATCCGGGAATGCGCCAGTGCCATCAGCGCCATCCTCAACACCATCTGCGACTTGATCCAGCGCGCGGCACTGTACCAGTCCTTCTGGTTCACGCAGTACATCGCCCTCGTCGCCGTCTCCACGCTCTACGTCTTTGTCATCCAGAGCAACCGCGCCAACATCCCGCCGGGCGTGTTCCCCGACATGAACGCCTTCTTCGACAAGGCCAAGCTGTGCCAGGATCGGCTGGCCGCGATGGCGCCCGAGGGCAGCCAGGCACGGCGGCACTGTCAGCTGCTGAGCCGGCTTCGACACCGCGCGGAAACCGACGCTGTACGCGCGAAGAGGAACAATGAATTCAGGATGTCCGCCTTGGAGCGCGGGACGCCCGTGTCGACAGTCGCGCCTCACGAGGTGGCATCGACGGCCCACCAGGCTGCAGAGCACGCAGATTCGAAGAGCACGAGTCCCCGCCCAGCTCAGTCTCACCCCACGGCGGCGGTGTCCTCAGACCAGCATGAATATTCCACCAATGCCCGACCTGCCGGCGATGTGGCTCTCGGTGCGGATGCCGCGCTCGCGGGCCAGTTCACACCGTCCGAGGACGACTACATGTTCCAGAACCTGCTGGGCTGGGGGTGGGAGAGCCTGGACACGGTTGGGTTTCCGGGCGAGGGGGATCTGTTCACATCCACATCTTGAAATGGGTTCCAATGAGTCGAGTCCACCGCCGCCGGTATTGGATATATTGGATATCGAACAGGCCATACTACGGTCCCAAGCTCAAAATCTGCTGCAAGATGCCGATGATGTGGTCTGATGTCCATATATAGATGTTCAGAAAGTATGCCCCATCGCTCGAGAGGCACCCATTAGACGCTATACGGAGTATAGGTGTGGATCTACCCTGTTCCCAATCGACCCACTGGGAATGCTGCATCTCTCCCCCTCTCGCCTGCAATTCATAATCGCAAGACTTTCTTGACGTCCCCCAGCCCAGCCAGCCAGCTGAACATGCCCATTCGGGATTGGATCTTGGGCCCAAATAGCCTTGAGCAAGCAAGCCACTTATATATGCTTCTACTTTTCCTTTGAATTCCAGGAGGAGATCCGACGTGTCGGTGAAGCAGGCCTCATCTACGAATGCGGGAAGCCTGAAAGATGTCGCTGCCACTAACGTGCCCAGCATGTCCTCGTCTTTCCTGGGAGTTAAATGTTTGACACGGTCTTGACGTGTCGTCTCGCTGGTCGCGGGATTATGACTTCTATTATTATACGCTGCTGTTGCTGTCCCCAGCCTGGGGCCACAAGGCCTTCGTGGAGCGGATCATGCGGCTGCTTTTGGTGAATATGTCGGTGTCGCCAACGTCCCCATCCATCAGTCCGTCTCTAGTGCCACGGTTCATGCTTATAAATTTTCCTTGCGAGGCGGCCTCGTCGAGCCCGTCGATGCCCGGCCGCAGATGCCGAGCAAATCGAGGCCGCTTTCCTGGGTGAAATGGTTATCCCGGGCTAGATCGACCTTTATCGCGTTGAGTTGGTGGAGTGCCAGCAAGCAGTGGCTCAGCTGGGACTAGAATGGAAAGGACATGCGGATGGAGCATGTCGAAGGAATGGGCAACATAACGCCGAAGAAGCCCCGGATGCAGGCGAGCCTGTCCGCAAAAGCTTGATGGCGGTGGTAGTCGAGTTTACTGTTGGTAGAGAGGTTGTTCGTCAGCTGGCGCATCGTCTCGTGGGTGATAAGGTCAGTGTAGTAGTGCTGCGCGAGGATGACACCTGTGGTAGACTCGTGCCCTTTATTGGTATAACCAGTATTCTTCCCAAAAGAAAGTCGGAAAGCGGCAAGGACACCCTATAACTGACCTCAAGCCCAGGATCCAACTGCTCCTTGATTGACCGAAATTGTGCGAGGAGAGCCAACAAGTAGAACGTCGGAGGCCTCGTCGCACGAGCTGAGCCTGCAGTCCACGGCGCGTGACTGGTGTCGTCCAGAAGCAGCTGCAGCTGAATCTGGGCCATGAGGATGTCGAGCAGATAGAACGAGTAGGAGGATGTTCGTGAGGTAAGTCGTGTAGCTCCGGTGCCAGCGGGGTCGTCGGGGAAGCCTTGGACAATCTGACATGGTGGTGTCCCGCCAGGATCGAAAGGGCAGGCATGTTATAAAACTGTCCGCTGGACGGCCGGATTGGTATTGAAACCAGAGTCTTCGCATCAAGGGAAGGTAACAGATGGGCTTATATATGTCCGTATCAGAGTAGGCTCCCCGGAGGCTCGATGATCACATTTAGGTGCTGGTCAGTCGTAATATTGACAACGAGTTTTCTGGAATAAGTGATCGCTATTGTCGACCAATAGACTTCTTGCATCGAAGCTATGCTGCCTGTACTATAGAGGCGTTTGAGTGATAGATTCCAGGGAAACAGGTCGTATGGAGGACGGGTGAAAGGACTCTTGGATTCCAAGGCACAGCAATGACTTTGGCGTGAGGCCATCGTAGAGGATGGCGAGAGTGGACGACGAAACATCCTTTTTCATAGTGCCTTTTCCGAAGAACAATCAATGATGAGGTTGTCTTGGTCGCCTGTGTACGTCTAGGACCGAGGGGTGGCTGTTCGTCTGGCGTTGCCCCGGGGAGGACTTGTCTTCCCAACGGTTTCATGAACCAATCCGATAGGATTGGCCAGATATCGGCCACTTACTTCTCTAATTGCTGAGGACACTTGGGCCAAATACCATGAGGCTGAACCCCCCTGAGGAAGGCGAGCATTCGGCGTCTGCCAAGCCTGGTGAGCCTCCAGCTTCTTCCGTCGGATGCCACGACGGCATCTCCGCCGCCTTCCAGGTCCACCTCACCGTGCAGGGGATCTGCTTTGCCTATACCTTGCATTCGACGAACCGGCATGGGTCGCCACAGCTTGCGGAGTGTCGGGGCGGAGTTTGGGCGTGTTCTGGGCTCCCCCTGCCCCCCAGACTAGCCCCAGGCTGCGCCCGGATACCATCTTTGAGCCGACAGGATATTTGACACCCGAAGTGGTTATGGGTTGTATGGTTGTGTCACATATTTTGTGAGAGATATTTTCGGACAACGTGTCCCGGTCACCGGTAAGGCACGCAGAAGGAGTACTGGAGGGGACTCTTATATATCTATCCTCGCCAGAGGTCTTGGTTTCTGGGGACATACCGAAACAAAGATTCAGAATGGCGTCCGTGGATATGGTTTCGCCCGTGGCTGTCTCGAAAGTCAATTCAGTTGCATCTCCGTCGCTGCAGCTACCAACGCCACCGCTGTCACCACCACCCGAATCCCCGCGAACAGTTACAGAGCTCTTGTCGTTGAGGGCACGAGAGTTCCCCAACGAGCCTATTTTTGGCTATCCATCCGATGACCTCGAATATCTCGAGTACACATTTGCGGACCTTGTGAGGATCTCTTCCCAAGCAGCACGGCGATACTCGAAATTCTTGCCATGCCGAACCGACTCAACCCAAGAGGCGCGAGTCATCGCCCTGCTGGGACCATCCAATCTGGAGTACTTTTTCACCCTGTTGGCTCTATCGAAACTGGGATTTACGGTGCTCTTTCTGTCAACAAGACTATCCCAGGCAGCGTATTTGTCGTTGCTGGACACCACGAAATGTCGCCACATCGTGATCGATTCGTCCTTCCGGAAGGCTGCAAATGCTCTGGCAGCTTCTCGGAATGGACTGGAGGTCATCGATATTCTGTCCCAGGCGCAGTACATGACCGGCGACAACCCAGAAGATGTTGGAGTAGAGCAGTACTTTGACCTGGGCCAGGAATCCTCCAAGGTTGCTTGGATCATTCACTCCTCTGGCTCGACCGGCCTGCCGAAACCCATTTATCAAACTCACAAGGCGGCACTGAAGAATTACGAAAACAGCTCGAGAATGCGTGGCTTCGTCACCCTGCCACTCTTCCACGCCTTTGGTCTCAGCAACGTCTTCCGGGGGATCACTGCCTCGAAGAAGATATACATCTACAACGCCAAGCTCCCGTTAACCAGCCGGCATCTGCTGAAGATTCTGACAGACCACCAGTTCGAGATCTTTCTTGCCGTTCCCTACGCCCTCAAACTCCTCAGCGAGACGCAGGAGGGCATCAATGCTCTGGCAGCCTTGAAGGTGGTCATGTTCGGGGGCTCGCCGTGTCCGGATGCCTTGGGTGACTTGTTGACTGAAAATGGAGTCAACTTGATCAGCCATTATGGGACTACTGAGACAGGTCAGCTGATGATGTCCTACAGACCTGCTGGCGACAAGGCCTGGAATTATGTTCGAGAGCATGAAGGGCTGAAACCATATCTCAGAATGGAGCCGAGAGGCGGAAATCTTCATGAGCTTTGTGTTTTAGACGGATGGCCCTCGAAGGTCGCGACGAATCGAGACGATGGATCGTACGCCACAAAAGATCTCTTCGAGGCCCACCCGTCGATACCAGGAGCGTGGAAATATTGCGGGCGACTGGATGATACCATTGTCTTAGTCAATGGCGAGAAAGCCATTCCCATTGCCATGGAGCTGGCGCTGCGGCAGGAAAAACTGGTTCGAGAGGCTGTCATGTTTGGGACCGGCAAGAGCCAGTTGGGTATGATGATAATTGCCTCCGAGCAGGGAGCTTGTATGGAAGGTCGGGATCTGATCGAGACACTTTGGCCAACGATAGTGGCTGAGAACAAGTCGCTTCCTGCATATGCGCAACTGGCTAAAGACATGGTCAAAGTCCTGCCCGCCGGGACTCCATATCCTGTCACCGACAAAGGTTCACTGGTGCGTCAGGCATTCTACCGAAGCTTCCACGACGAGATTGAGGAGGTGTATCGACAGGCAGAGTCGAGGATGGATGGCGCCCTTGTCCTCTCGGAACCAGAGCTGCGAGAATTCCTCCGCGCCCATCTGCTGGAGCTCTGTCCCCAAGATGAACCCTCAAGCCTGACGGATGAGACGGACTTGTTCTCACTGGGTGTTGACTCTCTGCAGTCAACGAGACTTCGGGCCAAGATATTAAAGGAGATTCAACTCAATGGCAACCCGTTGCCACAGAATATTGTTTTTGAATATCCCACCATCTCCAAGCTGGCCGCTGCAATCCTCAACATCCGTGATCGCAAGTCTGGGGAGATCCGGGATGTGGTCAAGGAGATGGAACAGCTCGTCGAAAAGTATAGTGTCTTCCCCAAACATGTTCCTATACCGTCGCAGACTGCAGATCGTTGCATCGTTGTCACAGGCGCGACAGGGTCACTAGGGGCTCATCTTGTTGCACAACTTGTCCGCCGGGAGGACGTTTCTGAGGTATGCTGTTTGGTAAGAGCCAGTTCCGAGACGTCTGCTCGTCAACGGGTTATCAAGTCGTTGCAGGAACGAGCCGTGTATCATACACTCCCACTGGAACAGCGTCGCAAGATCTCTTGCTATCCGTCCGACTTTTCAAAACCAAATCTAGGTCTCGATGATAGGCTCTATGCCACCATTTCAGCAAAGATCACAAGCCTGATACATTGTGCTTGGTCAGTCAATTTCAACAAAAACCTGAGCAGCTTCGAGGCAGACTGCATTGCAGGCGCCCAGCATTTGATGCTCCTTTGCCTTTCAGCCAAACAACCCACCCCAGCGTCTTTTAATTTCTGCTCGTCGGTCTCCACGGTGGCGAATATTCCCGGCGATGTCGTCGCAGAGGCGCTTCCCCAAAGCTTCAAATGTGCTCAGGGCATGGGATACGCGCAATCAAAGCTTGTGACCGAGCACCTCGTGACGCGAGCCGCCTCTCAGACCGGAATGGATGCCCGTGTTCTGCGCGTGGGACAGATTATTGCGGACAACGCACACGGGATATGGAATGACACCGAGGCTATTCCCCTAATGCTCCAAGCGGCGACCACAATCGGAGCACTCCCTGCCCTTGACGAATGTCCTCGTTGGCTGCCAGTGGACAGTGTTGCGACGACCGTCATGGATATCTCTCTTTCAAACACTGCACAATCAGTCTTCAATATAGTCAATCCCCGCACATTCCACTGGACGAAAGAACTCCTGCCCGCACTGCACAGCGCAGGTCTATCATTCACCGAGGTGGGTCAACGCGAATGGATCCGCCGCCTGCGCGCATCAAATCCAGACCCCCAACAGAATCCCACAATCAAGCTTGTGGAGTTCTTCGCAAGCAAATATGACAATGACGTGACGAAGAGGAAGAACCTCAACTATGTCACAGCCGCGGCAGAACAGCTCTCGCCTGAGCTCAGCGTTGTTCCTGCTTTGTCCGTGCACCTAGTGAAGAGGTTTGTTGGGCATTTTCTCAAGAACAGTTGGTCGTCTAAACTGCCAACGGCCGACACCAAGTCGCAGCATCAGACCCGACTCATAGTCGTGTCAGGTCCATGTGGCGTTGGCAAGAGCAACCTTGCCGCTGAGCTTGCCCAGTCGCTATCCTGCCCGGTGATTGAAGGGCATTCAGCTCATGACGCCATTGCAATGGCAAAGATGAGCCAGAGAATCCCTCTTACCTCTCTCGACAGGGAGATCTGGCTCGGTCGAATCAAAGTTGAGGTGCTGGAACGTGTCCGAGCGAATCATTTGGTCCGCAGTGATCGGCTGCGATCTAACGAGCGACATAGGAAGGATGTTGTGCTAACGTGCTCTGCACTTGCCCGCCGCGATCGCGCTGCATTGAGGAACATCTTATCTGCGCCGAACGGCGACACAGAGGAGGAGTGTGTCAACACTGTATTTGTGGTGTTGCAGGCCACCGAGGACGAAATACTCCAAAGATTGGGCAACAGAAGAGGACATTTCGTGGAAGCCGACATGATAGCATCGCAGTTGAATGCGATCGAAAAGCCTGGCGTTGATGAGACGGATGTCTTGCTTGTAGATGCAGAGCAGCAGATGGAAGAGATCGTCCAGGAGGTTTTGACTGGATTAGATATCCTGTCGTAGACAATAGCACTTTGATATAATCGGTGTTGGGCGTTGGTCGAAAAGGATATTGGTAGAGCGATGGTTTATGAGTTGGGCATGATGGTTCACCCTGGTTCTTCTGATAGCAGACCGAAACCATTTGTGTCCCGTGCTGTACCTGCGTTGCCTTGCCGTTTCCTTTTCCTTTGCCCTTTGTTCTTGGATGTTGTGACAATCCACTCCCCATCCGTGGTGCCACGCCCTTGTGTTGTTGCCGCATCACCTCTGTCATGCTCTCCCGGTTGATCCCTGCCAAAATTGGGGTCCAGCAGGCGATTGAGCCGCATGATTGCGGAGCTCTGTTCTTCGAAGCCTAGTTTCCCCAATTGGGCGCGAACATGTGGGATGTCCACAAACAATGCCTCGATGGGAGGCGACGTTGATAATCTGGTGTAGATATTTCTTGTAAGTCTTGAAAAATCGTCTTGCTGGTCAAGTTCGTGGGTGGTCGCACTATCTGCAAGGTCGCTGGGGTGACTGACAATGTACTCGATCAGCTGCGCAAGTATCCGAAGAGAATACAACACTGCTTGGATATTTGCGAAGATGTGGATGTCGTCCCAGGTGACTCTCATCGGTGTATATAGGGTAAACTCCGACGTCGGAGCCAAGCCCAGGAGTCTTGAAATCTGCTGAGAAGTTGGAGGGATTTTGTCAAGTCTGGATTTCTCCTGATGAAGAAGGTGGACGGCAAGCGAGTACCATCCTAAAAGCACGCTCCCATCGGTCGGCGGTGACTGCTTAGATGGCGTGATATAGGCATCCAGCAGCTGGAGGAGGTCTGCTGCTTGCTCAATGATTTCCGGTAGCTGTAGACATATAACCGTGACGGACGTGATTCTCTGTCCCTTTCTGGCACATTCAACTACATGTGGCGGCCTAATCTGGCCCTTGGCTGGAGCGGTCTTCAAGAGCAAAGAATATGCAAATCGTCGAATTTTAGCCCCATATGACCACGAAGAATCACGCTGAGGATCTTCCAACAGTGGAGCTAGGTAGATATGTGGTGGACCTTCGAGGTTGCTAACAATTTCTGCTGTTCGCGGATCGATATTTCCGAGATTGGAAAAGGAGTGTGCTTTTAGTGGCAGGGTTGGGATGAATGGTTCCGCAAACGCCATATATTCGGCCTGCAATGTCTCCAACCTTGAGGAGTCTTTCGCGCGCTGTTTGATGATCGTGAATGATGCCCCAGGATCAAGGAAGCGCTCGAAACCAAAGCCGAGCAAAGACGGGATCTGGAGTCTAGCTGCAATCAGCTTCGGGTCGAGAGACAGCGCGGAGATATAAGACTCCTGATGTGGACGCTTTTGCTTATATTCGATGCTGTGCAGTAAGACGGTCCGACCATTTGACCCGAGGTCGTGAACTGCTAGGTCAGAGTCGTTTGTAAGGATAGCTACAACAGGTACAGACTGTTGAGCAGCAAGAGCACAGAACGTGTCAGCCTCACCCGGGACCACATGAACACAACCCTTCCATTCAGTAGTGCCTAAAGACTCAATCGCACTGGCAACCATGAACGGTGGAGCTGGAAGAGTAGACATCCTCGTCGACAACACAGGAGTATCCCATAGTATCTTTTCCAAGTCTTGGAGATCAGGTAAAGCAGCAATTGGTGGCAATTCCGGGTAGAGCTTGCGGTAGGTTTCCAGCTGTTGACGGAGCTTCTCCATCCGCTCAAGTCGAATATCACGTTTGGACGCGGGAAGACCACCATCAAAGAAAATGTGCTGGATATCAACGCCATTGGATTGGAAATCATCCAGTACGTGGTGTAGCGTACGGTTAATTTCGAGGTATGTAGGCGGCAAGGTTGCACCCTTCGGGCTGCTCAGCCGCTGATATGCCACGAGCTTATTATACACCCAATATACAAGTGATGGCCCGTCAATGATCAAATGTTTAATACCGATTGCTTCAGGCGGAAGGGAGGCTTGGGGTGACGTGCCTAGGACAACGTGATCCGCGTAAGGGGAGAGATCTTGAGACAGTCGTGGGATTCCCATCGTATTAAGCTTCGTGATGCCATCCTATAGATGCATTCAATCAATAAGAGACCACCGCCCTGGCAATGCAGTCGTGGACGTGGAAAGAAGGAACGATGTTGATGTGGGCGGATTTTTACTTGCACTTGATAGTCTCTGTGATTCACCGGATAAAATGCAGATAAAAGATCCATGATCTGCCGTGTTCCACTCGTTCATTTCTCAACCTCTCTCACACATCTCACATTGATCGAGCATACAGACTCGAAACACGACGATGGATTGAAAAGTCGCTAAATCAATCCGACTGATTTTTTCCGCAGAATCACAAGGATTCGGTCATAATCAGCACGCATTCCCTTTCTCTATCCTCCATACAACACCGGCTCAACACCTTGGACTAGATAATCACAGCTTTGCCCGTAAGTGCATCGATTCTGCCATGATCTCAGCCACCGTACAGAACAAACGAGCATCCTCAGTGAGTACCATTCATTTCATTGACGGCAGTCACCTCATGCACGCCATTGACGCCATTAATCGTGTCCACTCCGCTCACCAGCTTGTCAGGAACACCCTTTTCCGCAGCCTGAACTGCAGCAAAGTTCTCGTCAAAGACTTCCTCGGCGTGTTTTTCGGCGTCGTGCATGTGGATCCAGTCCTCGCGCGGGAATTGCACCGAACTAGGGTCCTCCTTGACCTTGTCCCAATCCGCCTTGTGCCACATGTCTCGTGTCGTTTCTCCAGTCTTCTGTACTGCTTTCACACGGTCGTACCTGGAGACAATATCAGTATAAGGCTGGAACAAAACTAGAGATCACCGACCTAATCCTCTGATATGTCCGGACGGCATCTGGAATCTGACCTTTCCCCGCGCGCCTAAGGCAAATGGCGAGAGTGACGCCGTCTTCCATCGATTGTGTGGCTCCCTGAGCTGAGGTTGGGAGGAAAGGATGTGCTGAATCACCTAGCAAGGCGATACGGCCACCTTTGCTGACCCATGTCGGGAGCGGGTCTCGGTACACCAACTTCCAGTCGACAAGGTGGCTTTCCGGCGTTTTCGAGACGATGATTTTGCAGAGAGGATCCCACCCCTCGAAGACCTTGTAGACATCCTCTAACTTTCCAGGGAATGACCAGGATTCATCAATATCCGCCTCGTCCTACGCGAGAGTTAGACGAGCCATAGACACCGGTTGTCCTCCACTCACTCTGTGTGTTAGCACCCAACAGCAGTCACTTCCATTCTTGATGGTTGAGAAAAGGAAGTGCACGTCCTGCCCGATCCAGCCTTGAAATGTATCGCCGTTGTCGCAGAAATGCTTCGTCCTAGGGTCGGCAATCATATCGGTGTTGGGGAACCTGAAAAACTTCAGTACCTGCTTGCAACATCCTTCACTCTCTCCAGAACTCACCAAGCGCGGAAGACCGCATAGCCACTGCTCTTAGGCTTGTCGACGTAACCCAGGACAAGCTCCCGTGCTTTTGACCTTACGCCATCCGATCCGACTACCATATCGCCATATACCTGGCACCCCGTTAGCAACACTGTGCGGTCGTCAAAAGGACAGATTGGCAGTACTCTTTCACCGCTCGCTAGTTCGATCCCAGCTTTGTCGTCCTCTTCAAAGTACTTCTCGACTCTCTGGCCCAAGTGGATAGGGATTTTGAGGTCGTCTCTGGCGTAGTTGAAGATAACCTCATGCAGCTCTCCACGGTGGCCATTGAAAACTGGCGCATCGGGGTCCATTGGCGGTGTATGTTGGGTGATGATATGCTCTCCGGTGTACTTGTGGATTTTGAATCCATGCTTGACGAGGTCGATACTCAGGGCTCTCATGGTCTTGGCTATTGAGCCATCGACGCCCCATCGACGAAAGATTCGACCAGCATTTGAGCCAAAGGATATGATGTCTCCCAAAGACTTAAGCACCGGGAACGACTCATATATTTCCACCTGATGACCCTGACGATGGCATTCTATCGCCGCCGTGAGCCCGCCGAAACCTTGGTGTTTGTCAGTCCTGCAGTGCTGCTGCGAGTACTACTGTATTTGCATACCTGCTCCAACAATGATCACCTTGATGCCAGTCTTGGACTTTGCGAAGGGTTCCTCCGCTACCATAATCATCTTGGCAGACCTTGCCCAAGTCCTTCTATTTCGCTCTTTGCTGCAATACGAGAGCCTAGTCTGGAACACACCACACCAATGCTGGATTTCCGAGAGGGTAAAGGATTTATGGCAGAGACTCGAGGACCAGGGACACCCATTCCCCTTTTGTGATCAGCATATCAGGCCAATATAGCCCCACGACAACCTCATGGTCCCTCCTCACGTGCAATGTAAAGCGGATGGCGAGAGTAGCTGAATGACTTTGGGGTTGGTGCATCCTTTCTCCAAATGAACTGCCGACCCCATGCATTGTACTAAAACAGACAATGGAACGGGCGAGATCTCGGTAGATGATTGGGCCAGTTTTGCGGTGGATATTCTTCTCCACACTGAGGATGCTCACCCCATCTTCTGCCTCCCTTGCAGAGGCTCCGGTCCTTCTGGAGCCTCTGCCATCAACGTATGCAAGGCCTTGAAGGTGGTGAAAGATAAAGAATGCTTTTGGGAGTGGATTGTCGCCGCAGAAGGAAAGTGCAGTGCCGTCTGCTTCCCACCCCGGCACGGATGCAAGCACACTCGCCTTGCATTCCGTATATGGAATTCGCGGCCGACGACTTCTGTTCTGGTACCAACCTCCCGCATCGATCCAAATAGGTAAGTCCATCGTTATCAAGGTCGAATATTTATCTCCGAGTGGGTGGATCGGTTCACTCTTGAACCGAGTACTTCGGGCTCCCGCCCACAGCCACACAATCCGATCTACTCTGGCATCGTATGATCAAGAGACGTTTATCTTCTCGTCCCGGACTCGCCTTGATCAAATTTGTCGGATCTCTGCAAAAGATAGCCGCAACTTCACGTGACTACCGATTCTCCCTGAACCCACACAACCTCTGCCGTCCTATGACCTTCTTACACCAAAGTCTTTCCTCCACATTCTTGATTGGCTTGTCAGGACTTGTAGACTCAACAGCTAGTCGCAGCATTGCTCCAAATGGCCTCGCGTCCGGATTACAATCAGTACACGACGGCGACAGAGGTGGCAAAGGCATTCAGTGATGGAGTTCGGGGTAAGACAGGTAGGGTTGTCTGCATTCTTCTTTGTCTCTGTATTTTCAATTGATAATCTGGACGCAGTGGTTATCGTCGGGGTATCACCTCAAAGTCTAGGCGAATCAATGACTACTGCCTTGGCGGCTCATTCGCCTTCGCTCCTGGTATTAGCTTCTCGAACCAAGGCGAAGATAGAGAAGGTAGCTGCCAAAGTCAGGGCTGATCACCCGACGGTGCGCCTCGAAATCGTTGAGGTCGACTTGTCATCCCTCGAGTGCATTCGCAAAGCCTCCAAGGTCATCAGTGACATTGTGGATCGGATCGACATCCTCATCAACAATGCGGCTGTTGTAATGACAACGCATGCGTTCACCAGGGACGGTCTCGAGCTTCAGTTCGGAACGAACCACGTTGGTCCCTTCCTCCTTACAAATCTTCTCATGCCCAAACTTCTCAAGGCAGCACAAATTTCGGCCATGGGGTCGACCAGGATTATCAATGTCACTAGCCAGGGTCATATGATATCCCCAATACGATTCAGCGATCACAGCTTCCATAAACGACCTGAACAGATCCCCGCCGAGGAACGGCCAATCTCAAGACCGGGCATGTCGTTTGATCCGCCGTCCGGAGAGACTTATGTCCCTTTCGTGGCGTACGGGCAGTCAAAGACTGCAAATATCCTCATGTCACTCTATCTCAACCAGCACCTGTCGAGTGCAGGCATACAGTCAATTTCAACGCATCCAGGGTCGATCTGGACGGATCTTTCCCGTAATCTGGACGATAAGCATTTGTCATTGATCGAGAAGACAGGTGGATTCTGGAAGGACCTTGATCAGGGTAGTGCAACGACCCTGGTCGCCGCGCTTGACCCTAAGCTTGTGGATCCAGAGGTCATCTACCTGAGTGATTGCCAGGTTGCAGAGCCTGCAGGGTGGGCAAGCGATGGAAGAGCGGCTGCGCGACTTTGGAAACTCAGTGAAGACCTTGTCGGGCAGAAGTTTGATCTGGCTGCAGGAAGCAGGCTGTGAGGCGGATCTCCACTTCAGTCCTCTGGTCACACTCATGCGCCATTATAGTGACCGTAAATGGCAACCATGGACGTTGACAGTGTCTCGACAAGCCCGCAATGCGAACCTGAGGACTTCAGTCTCTCTTTTTGCCTTACCAGCCTCCTACTCTTTGCTAATGAAGCTTTACGCCGGCAAGCATCAAGCACCAAAAACATAATACCACGACCCAACCAGCCCGTGCTTCGGGATTACTATGTCCCTTGCGAGCGCGCAAGCCGTGTATAATCGAAAATGAAATGCTGACACACAGACAATGCACAAGAGATCGGACAATCCGCCGTTCGGCTCTATTATTGATCTTGCCATCTCGCTCTTTCCCAATTGGCTGTTTCCCTGATCAGGTAACTTGTCGTTCCTACCTTTCTTTCCTTTGTTTGTATAACTCGAGACGTTGATGAATAGCTGCGACTATCAACAGACTCAAAGCAGGTGTTATGCAAGAGACATATCTTGCGTAAGGTAGTTTTTCTTATTCATTGACTCAAATCCATTGTGATGACTACATTATCGAAGTAGCCCACGAGGCTCGCAGGCAGAGAGCGTACCATTGATCGTCAGGTTTTATCAGGCACTATATCGCATCCGTGGGTCAATTCGGGAGACACTAGGCACTGGTGGTGGTATGCCATCCTGTCTGCAAATGAAGCGTTTCCAGCGCAATTCCCAGTCTCATGCAGCAGGAGATGATGCTGAAAAAGACCAAGAAGAGGTATGTCAACAACTCTTGTTTGCGTCTCAATCCGGTAACCAATTGCCTTCCCAGGCTGGCGTCGGCGTGATAGGTGCACCGCAGAAGCGTACAGTGATGACATTTGACGGCGAGGACGACCTGGCGAATCCGCAGAATTGGCCTACCCAGAAGAAGGCTGGCGTTACGATGATCATATCGCTCATCGCATTTATCGTGGGCTTCGGATCGTCCATCGACTCGGCGGTCCTTCCACAAGCTTCGAGGCACTTTGGCGTCAGCGAAGTGACCGAGTCCTTGGCCACGACGCTCTACCTGGTCGGCTTCGGATTTGGTGCCACTTTTTCTGGACCCCTGTCCGAGGAACGAGGGCGCAATCCGGTCTATCTGATAACCTTTACGTTGTACTGCTGCTGGATCCTGGGTGCTGCACTTGCCCCGAACATTGGAGCAAAGCTAGTCTTTCGTTTCCTTGCGGGCACCTGTGGCTCGACTCCGTTCACAGCCGCAGGTGGTACTCTGGGTGACATCTTTGATCATGTTGTTCGGGGCCAGATATTCCCATTCTTTGCATGCATCGCGTTCCTGGGTCCGATGTTGGCACCTGTTGTCGGCGGGTACGTTGGACAAGCCGGGATGGATTGGAGATGGGTTGAATGGATAACATTCCTCATCTCGTGCGGAGTTCTGGCTCTCATGGTCTTTTTTTTGCCCGAGACTGACGCAAAGGAGATTCTTCGTGGGAAGGCACAAGCACTTCAAGCACGCAACGGCGCCAGCGACGTTCAAGCACCAGCAAATCTCCCCCGGCGGCCTAGGCTAACCTCTGCCTTACTACGCCCCTGCATCATACTCTTCACAGAACCCGTCATCGCCATATTCACGGCCTACCTGACACTGGTCTACAGCGTGGCGTTCTGCTTCTTCTCCAGCGCCCAGTACATCTTCGGACAGACATACGGGTTCCACCAGGGCAGCACGCACCTCATGTTCCTGAGCATCTCCACCGGGCTCATCGTCTGCGCGCTGGCCACCCCTCTCTTTGGCACACTGGTCGCTCGAGAGCACAGGCATGCTGCCGTGTCACGAGGAAAAGACCACGCCGGACCGGAAGCGATGCTGTGGTGGGCCATGATCGGAGGACCGCTCTTGCCGATATCAGTCTTTTGGATGGCCTGGTCATCCCGTCGCTCCGTATCATACTGGTCACCCATGATCAGGTTCGATTGCATTCCCTTGTCTTATTTGAGAATTATCATGCTGACCTTCTCCCTTTTCTTCCAGTGCTGCCTTCTTTGGCTTTAGCATGCTGTGCCTGTTCGTCTCGACCTACGCGTACATCATGCAACGGTTCACCAGCGTCGCAGCATCAGCCCTCGTCTCGAACACGTTCGTCCGCTATGTGGTCGCCGGGACCGTGGTCGTCCTGTCGATCCCCATGTTTGAAAACCTCGGCGTGCATCACGCCCTGACCGTCTTCGCGGCACTCTCTTGCCTGTTCACGCCCGTGCCGTTCTTGCTGTACGTCCACGCGCGTCAGGTAGAGGGGACGATGTCAGTCGGTGTCGTTGGTCAGTGAACCGCGACCAATGTCTATCATGCATACTGGTCACCGGTCAACGTGTCCTGTGATCGAGGCGTGCTATAGGATGTGGGATCCTTTGCCTCTTGAGGGTGTTGTTTTCCTGGCTTATGGAACCTTTACAGGGCGTAGGAGAGTGACGGGCGGAATTGGATATTTTGCCGGTCCTTCCTAGTCATGGCGATGATTGTATTTTCTAAAACTGGACTTTTGAGTCGCATTCGGTAGACTAGTTTGTGGTCAACGAACCGACTTCCTCCTCCTCTATGAAGAAATAAGAACCCCTCCTGGCTCTCGTGCAAGAATGCCTCGAACGGCGCTTTCCTAACCTGTCGAAACAAAAAGAGGCCCCCTTTATCGGGTCGAGTCGAGTCGAGTCTAATTCGGAATCTCGTGCTCTTCCGCCGCCACCCCTTCCCTCCACCGATACCGACTCGCGACATGCTCGTCCCGCGGCCCCTTCTGGCCCGGCGTCGCGTAGAAATTCTCCCGGTACGTGCCGGTCGGCACGGCGTAGTCGTCCCAGAACAGGCCGCGGGCGCGCAGCTCGGGCACCAGCAGCTCGACCACGTCCTCGAAGCTGGCCGGGAAGACGGCGTAGGCGATGTTGAAACCGTCGACGTCGGCCACGTCGACCCAAGTCTGCAGCCCGTCGGCCACCTGCGCGGGCGTGCCCACCAGCACGGGCCCGTTGCCGCCGATGCTGACGTGCTCGGCGATTGTCTGTCGCGTCCACTTGCCTCCTGCCGCCGCCGCCGCCACGCCGGGGCTGAAGCGCGCGTAGCTCTCGACCGTCGCCCGCACCGCGTTGCTCTCCACGTACCGCAGCTCCTCGTCCTCGCCGTACCGCGCCAGGTCGATGCCCGTCCACCCGCCGAACAGCGCCAGCGCGCCCTCCAGGTCCGCGTACTGCGCGTAGTCGGCGTACTTGGCCCGCGCCTCCTCCTCGGTCCGGCCCAGGATCGGCGTCACCAGCGCGAGCACCTTGATGCTGCCCGGGTCCCGTCCGAACTTGTCTCGCGCCAGTCGTCGGACGTCCGCGATGCTCGCCTTACACGCCTCCGGTGCGTGCGCTGACACGAAGATGGCCTCGGCGTGCTGCGCCGCGAACTCCTTGCCCTTGGAGCTCGTGCCGGCCTGCAGGAGCAGCGGCGTGCGCTGTGGCGACGGCGAGCAGATGTGTGGCCCGGGTACGGTGTAGAACTTGCCCTGATGGTTGATCTGGCGAACCAGCGCTGGGTCTGTGTACACGCCGGTCTTGCGGTCGAGTTTAACGGCGTCGTCGCGCCACGACGACTCAAACAGCTTGTACATGACCTGGATGTACTCCTCGGCCATGGCGTAGCGGTCGTCGTGCTGCGGCTGGGCGGTCATTCCCATGCTCCGCGCCGCCGAGTCCAGGTACGATGTCACGATGTTCCAGCCCAGCCGCCCGTCGGTCAGGTGGTCCAGCGTCGACAGCCGCCGGGCGAGGTGGTACGGCTGCTCGTAGGTCGTCGACACTGTCACTCCGAAGCCGATCGACTTGGTCACGGCTGCCATGGCCGGGATCGACGCCAGAGGCTCGTGCACTGGCCACTGCGCGCCCGAGCGGATGGCCGGATCGAGCGACTGACGGTACACATCGTAGCCGCCTAGCACATCAGCGATGAAGATGCCGTGGATCTTGCCGCGCTCGAGGAGCTGAGCGAGGTCGGTCCAGTGCGACAGCTTGTTGAATTCGTGCGACTTGTCCGCGGGGTGCTTCCACAGCCCCGGTGACTGGTGACCTGAGCACGTCTCGACAAAGGCGTTCAGGATGAATTGCTTCTTGACGGGCTGAGACACCCCCAAGTTCACTTCCGGCGTGCCGTTGGTTGACGACATGGTGTTGACGTCGTACACTAGATATCAGGTGCTTGATCTCGCAGATGTCAAAGTATTCACGTGTTGCCCTAGGACTCGCAGCCCCTGCACACCGATGTACAGAGCAACGCTAGTTTTGAACAGTGACAACCAGTTTTTTTCCTCCCTCAACTCTTGTTGATGTCCGTGCATTCGCCCATCAGGTTCTGTCTGACTTTTTCCCAGGGCCAAGGGCCGAAGGAAGATTGTGACTAGAAGTGGTTAGTGAATGGTGCAATCCGCTCCATATATCACGAAGTTGCGTGCTCGCCATGGCTGCGGCTCCACTTTCTGCTAGGAGAGCGCAAAATCTCCTTGTCTGACGACCTCGATGGAATGTTCTCCCAACGGCAAGAGAAAATGCTACCCTTCGGATGCTTATCGACCATTCGCGGACCATACACTTCCACCGGGGTGGGGGGCTGCTAGCACTCCTGGTACGGTAACCTGGATCGTCTGTCCTATGCCCTTGGGATGGATCTGCACACCAGATCCTCGTTATAGCTGTGGGAAACATGTGCCTCTTTCGTTTGCCCCTGGTTCCATGGCGTGCTCTTCGCGTGTCTGACGTCTTTGAGGAACTCCGTCACGTCCATAGAACCTTGGTGGTTCAGTCCAAGATGATATCCGTCGGAGAGAGGGGGGATGAAAAAAAATGAAATAAAAAAGGTCACCGTACGGTCGGGACCATGGGAGAAAGGGGCCGGAGCCTCAGGCTTGTCCATTGAATCCGTTGCAACACATTTGCTGCCGGCGTATCTTAAGTGATCTGCTTTCTTCCCGCCAAATTGAGCTGTCGCAATTCTTCTCCAGCCAGCAATACGGAGCCTGGCCTTAGCCGACTCGTTTTCACTTTTCGTTGATACGATTGATGAACCATGTCTCGCTCAGCATCAGTCACGACAAAACATCCCGAGCTCCAAGATGTCAGGGAATCTTCTGTTCAGAAGCATCCAGGTCAGTCCTTTCATCTAGCACAAGAGCGATAATGCCTGACAACTCACAGTTCGCTGGTACCGCTCAACCTTTTACAACGCCACGATACTTGGTCTCTGCAATTTCGCGGCACCGGGTATATGGGGAGCGATGAACTCCCTCGGAGCTGGTGGGGAGGAGAAACCGTACCTCGTCAACGCGGCAAATGCTCTGACTTTTTGCCTCATGGTGGTGTCGTGTCTCTGCTCTCCAGTCCTCACAAAGTACATTGGCATCAGAGGCGCTCTCATGTTCGGCACTCTGGGCTACGCCCCTTATGCCGCCGGGCTCTATACCAACAACCGCTTCGGCACAGAGTGGTTGGTGCTGTTCGGAGCTGCACTCTGCGGTATTTCGGCTGGCGTATTCTGGGCTGCCGAGGCCGCTATTGCGATGGCGTACCCTGAGCCATACAACCGCGGAAAGGTCCTGGGGTACTGGCTCACTTACCGCCTTGGTGGACAGATCCTGGGAGGCGCAATCAACCTTGGCATTAATGTGGACCGAAACGAGGCGGGCAAGGTCAGCTATACGGTGTACTTGGTCTTCATCGCGCTGCAGGCGACGGGCCCCTTCGTGGCGGCGCTGCTGAACCGGCCTCGCAAAGTCGAGCGCACCGACGGCCTCAAGGTCGAGTTGGAAATCCTCGAGCATCCCTGGCGCGAGCTCAAGGCCACGACACGGACGTTCTTCACCAAGAGATACCTGCTGCTGGTTCCTTTTATTGGTCAGGCTGTGTACGCGGAGGCTGTTTTCTTCACATATCTCTCACTGTGGTTCAGCGTCCGGGCCCGCGCACTGGGCTCGTTCTTGTCGGGTATTATTGCTGTGACATGTGGCAATGTTCTTGGTCATTACCTCGATCGGACTAAGCTGTCGCTGAAGCTTCGGTCTCGAACTGCTTTCTTCGTCATTGTTGTGCTGCAAGGCGGATGGTGGATTTGGGCCACAGTCCTCGTGACCAAATTCCGACACACGAGGCCCTCGTACGACTGGACTAGCAGTGGCTTTGGCCACGCATTTGTTCCTTTCTTGTTCTTGACCACAGGCTTCCAGATTAACTACTTGTTCTGCTATTTCATGATGGCACAGTTGGCCACAACGCCTGTCGAGATCATTCGGTATGCGGCGTTGCTTCGTGGGTAAGAGATATTCACCGCCTCCGGCACTCCCTTCGCTTGTCCCGACAACAAAACTGACGAACGTAGGACGGAATCCGCCTGGCAAGCTGTCAGTTACGGGTTGAATTCAGTCAAGATCTTTGCCGAAGTAGGCGGAGTGTATTTCAACTTCGGGCTATGGGCAGCAGCGTTGCTTCCGGCGTGGTTGGTGGTGAGACACTTTGGCAACGATGCCATTGCATCCACAGCCGAAGGAGATCAGGGATTCTCGCGTTCCGAAAGCGCGTCTGCCAACGAGCCTATCGAGACACGTGTTGAGAAGGAGGTATGAAAGGCACGCAACGGGATGGCAATAGTCTGGCAGGTGGGCTGCGATGCTTGTCGATTTCAAGGACTGCCATTGTCCTCCGGCTCTCAATCGGTCCAAGACTTCGGAGCTGAGGCTGAACCTTACCAGCCTGTGTCTCTGCCATGGTCTCTACCACCAACTCCAATAAGTGGCATGGTCGTCTCCCATCTGCACTGTGCTTGACGCGGGATCTTGAGACTTTACCAGGTATCCGAACCAGTTCGACTCTCCCTCCCAGGTCCTGGTTTGGACGGCGAATGGTTTCGTATCAGCGAAGAACTTTCAGTGATCGACGGTATCCCAGGCGTGACCTGGGAGATTGGGGTGAGAAGTCGATTGGTTACAAGGACCTCGTTACCTTTAGGATAGGTACATTCAGACAACGACGGAAATCCAACCGCATCGTTTCCATTCCAAGCATGGCAATCTTTTCGGCTGTCGGTGTAAAATAGCATACCCATACGAATACCGAGATCCTCATGTCTGCTCCTACGGGCTGTCGCAGGAGCAGAGCATGCTAGGGACTTCTAAGAGGTTCCCCGCTTCATGTCGTGACTTCGATTACCCTTCCACGGAGAGGACACACCTCGTGATCGAATCTGTGACTCGTGCCGGAACTCACAGATCGTCGTGCCATCTTCTCAATCCGACTCTTGCTTGGCCCCGACCGCCGCGGTTGGCTTTGAAGAAATACGGCACAAAATTCAACTCGCGAATGTTACTTGAGTCGAGTTTCGCCGCCTCGTCAAAGGGAACGGAGGGGTAGGCACGTATGCCCTCTGTCTTGAGCATGCGAGCCCCCTTGGTGCTGAGTGCAACGTAGTATTCTCCTGTGGTCTCATCATCCACGAGCTTCTCGGCGAAATAACTCTCCTTGTCGAGCAACGTGGTCTTAAAGTGGTCTTCAACCCAAGGGTTATCGACATCCTCCACGCAATAGACCACTGGACCACGGACCACGGCTATAGTATCTTGGTTGGTAAGCGGGTGTGGAGTGACAAGGCGAGGCGAGATATCAATACTGAGAGAAAAGGACCGGTTGTCAGATAGCCACTCAGCCGACAGAATGAGGTAGCCGTTCTGTAGGTCGTTGGATGGCGGGCTTGGGTCCAACTAACAGGGCTCTTTAGACACTGGGCTCCACGGTTGTTGTTTTCAGGGAGAATATCATAGTGGTTACATACCTGCCAATTCGTTGCCCAACCCGGGATCCTCAGTGCCAGACTCACGGTGACAAGTGGCGATATCGTTGAAAGCCCGAAGACCACCTTCCCTTCCCACGGCCAAGTGGTCGTTTGATAGAGAGTTGCAGGCTTATTACCAGATGTGAACTCGTATGCGCTTGGGACGTACAGGTGGACATTGACCTGATGTGGGTACTCTTCTGTTTGCGTGTACACGTAGCCACCGATTTGGCCGAGAAGCCGCAGAAGGTTGGCAGGGCAGCAGGCGCTCGCAGTCCATGCATCACGTTTTGAAGGATCTTGGTCGCTGGACGCCAGCTGGTTAACGTCCGTGAACTTGGTGCCGTCGTGCGACATGGACGTCAATACGGCGTTGTAGAGCGACAATTCCATAATATCGCTGAATCGCCGGTCGAGATCATATTGTAAGATTCGTTCAGCGAGCATCATGACGCCAATGGCGGCGCACGTCTCAGCGTGGCAGCCACCTTCGTCAGTGCCTTGTGGGAGGAAGTAGTTCGGACCAAAGCCCTTCCATTGCTTTACGGCCCCAATTCCTCCGGTTACATACATCTTGCATTCGACCATGTTGTCCCACAGTCGGTATACGGCATCTTTTAAGCCAGCGTTCGAGGTCGGGTCTAGGCGGACCAAGTCGGCCGCTGCGGCGAGGAGGTATATGGCGCGCACAGCATGGCCTTCGATCGTCTGCTGCTCCACAAGCGGCTTATGGGCTTGATAGTACCAGAGAGCGTCCGGCTCGCCAGAGGATGGCAGGATTGCGTGTGGGTTTTCTCCTCTTTGGTGAGCTTCGAAACGGAAGTAGTGGCGGCCATAGATGCCGACTGGGTTTCCCCTCTCAGTGATAAAGAACTTTGCCAACTTGAGGTGCTTAGGATCTCGGGTTCGATGGTACAGCCGAAGAAGAGCGAGCTCGATCTCAGGATGGCCTGGGTAGCCGGGGATTTGACCCCTTTCAGTATCTCGCCCAAACGTGCGACACAAAAGTTCGACGTACTTAAGGATTGGGTCGAGAAGGTCATTGTGTTGATAGAAGTCATTGTGAGCCAGGGCCGCCTCGATGAGATGACCTGCGTTGTAGAGTTCGTGAAGATCACGTAGATTGGTGAAACGCTGTCCAAGCGCGACCATCGTATTATGTACGTTGAGGCCCCCATCCTCAAGTATAGAACCCCTAATCATGTCCACTAGCTCCTGCACGGCCGAGTCAACCGCGGGATCCTTCCAATCACGGAGAAGATAGCATGCTCCTTCGATCCATTTGGCAACATCAGACTCCCTGCATACATTCTCAAGGTCAGTTTCCTGGCTCATCGGAGTTGGACGAGACGAAATTACCAAAGGATATGATTTGGTATCGGCCATACCACAGGAGGATCGTCGTATGAGGGATGCGGACGCAGTCGGAATGCATCGTATCTGCCCGTCTCTTTCAATATTTTAAGTTGGTAAAAGAGAGTCTTGGAAGCCACAGCGTTACGGCGTCGAGCTATGAGAGACCCTTCAGAGAGAATTGTCCGCGTGAACGTCTCTTGGGGGTAGGCCATGATTGCAGAGCGATATTGCACTAGGGCCGATGGTCGTCTGAAAGGTGTGAGGTACTGGCGCAGGCACTCAAAGAACGAAGATGCTGTGAGCCTAGATCCTTCTTTGCAAACTGCGGAAAGTTTTGACCATGACACTCCATCCTCGTAAGGTGTTCATTGTTTCGTGGATCTGGAGAGTTTTCCGCACGTAGAGAGGTCCCGGCGGGATGGATCCCGGTGTTGTGCCAGATGGATGGGTAGCCACAGAGCACACACTCTCTCTCCAGCTCTTGTGGAACAATTAGGGGCTTGTTAGAAAGTCACGGGCCTTGGTGTAACCATGGATGAGGGAGAGTGCCTGGTGACAGTCGACGTTGAGTAGCCTGTCGCCAAGAGGAGCACCCCCCTTGGGACGATGGTGACGCCGCCCTGTGCTCCTTAGTGGAGAAGTCTGTGGCCTCTATCATTGGCCATTCGGATGCACCCTCGCGAAGTGTTTAAAAGCGGCGCTGACTCTAGTCTTCCATTCTCTCCTTAATCATAATCTACTCCTAAAAGTCTCTTCCTAGAACCGTCAAAAAGGTGGAATCACGTTGCAGCAACAAACATTGTGATCGCACATGTTGTCAGGCGTACCACGTCTCTCAAAACTTCAGCATAGACTCTCGTGTCTCGGTCAGGTTGTGGTTCGGTCTAAAGGATCCTGTGAGCGGCCTCAACGAGCTTCGACGCGCGCAAATCAAACCTACCCAGTATCTGAACAATTTTTTACGTGTTTGTCAAGCTTGGTCTGGCAAAGAGTTAAATGTCTCTTGCGGTCAGCAGTCAGCCTTCGAGCTTTGCTTCTCGTGCGTTTGCTCCCCCCAATGGCCATCTTGAGGACCGTTCTTTCTCTATATCTTTCAGAAACGACGAGAGTCCGAAGCGGAACACAGGTCGTAGGAAGGATACTTGGGGAATGTTGGGGGCATTTGAGGCTCAATTAGCAGAGTGTATTAGGCAAGACCCTCCTGCGATTGGGTCGTAAGGTACTGTAGAACCCCACTCGAAAGGCTGCATGGTACACAGCTGGTGAACGTGCGGAACACAACGTTCAACTGGCGGGCAACGGCTGAAAGAGGGACCGAGTTGCAGGAGAATGCGCCGCCGACAACCTCTGCGGCGCCAGCACGGGCCCATGAGCGACTGTCCAATCCGAAGACCAGCTGAACTTTTTGTTGTCGCTGCTTTTTACAGAGTTCCGCCCTCGATGATTCAGATTCCTGGCCTTTTCTCGACCTCCGCAACCAGACATTGGGATTTCCACGTTCGAGGAACGGTTCGAGTGTGCGACATTGCCAATCTTCTCTGCCGCAAACATTGTCATTTGTATGACATGTCAGGAGGAGGTTCTGGGTGTCGGTGGTGGGTGTACGTAATATCAACTGGTCTTGAGGTTTCCTGCCTAGGTACACTGTTTGGAGCGACTGGTGCACGGAAGGCTAGCTTGCGAACACTGCACAAACCTTATGGCCTGATCTTCTCGATCAATATCATACCACCAATTCTCGTACCCCGTGCCCGTGGTCCCGGGCACTTTCCAAAACTCCGGAAGTCGCAGCGAGTAGTCCTTACCCACTTAGGTGGGCGGAAGTAGAGAAGAAGGATTGTACACACACGGAGAACGAGGAGTGCCTGGACGGGTTCCAGGATATTCAGCCAGCAATCTAGATACATCCACCTCGACCTTTCGTCCTTCAGCTCTTGTACTGAAGAAGAGTGAGCGAGTTCCCGATGAAAGCAAAGGACACTTACAAATGGAAACGTTGAGCATTTTGCCAAGCCCTCAAAATCAATGATACTCGTTCCGTCTCGTCTTCGGGTATGGGAATGTCGACAACCAGACCGCCTTTCTCCAGACTTTTTCGGATAAGTTGCGAGCAGGCTTCGAATATTCTCGGGTAGAAGCCCGCCGCCGCCCAGTCCAGTACACAAGGTGGCTGATCCGGGAGCCATAATATATTTCACGGAAACAAGTCGAGGTGACACAGCACCAGTTCCGAATCTTGAAACGAGACGGTTGCTCCGGGACGAGGTGTCGAATACTGAACCATCGCTCGATCTGTTCGATAGTCTCAAATGTAGGAGGGTCTGATTCACCAAAGAGGAGGGGACGGGATGGTCCACCACCTAATAACCCGGGAGACTGAGCGCGCTTTGCGTAGCTAAATGATCGAGGACCCGGGACAAGGTATCCAGCTGCGAGGCGTCGGTGATGGGTTCTTGCACTTGGCCCGCCATAAATTCCATGAGGAGGTAACCACGACCGTGCCCATCTTCGAAGAAATCGTAAACCTCTGGCACTCGAACAATGTTGTGATCTAGGATTTGGTAGGCCTTCTCCTGACTGTGTGCCTCATGCTCGGTTACCCCGTATCCAAATTTCACGGCCACACTTTGGGAGAGTTGAGGACGTTGTTTCCATATGGCATGTGAAATATAAGGGTTTGAGGTTCGGCCTCGTCGCACCTCACGATGATTTCAGCTCTTGGCAAAGTTATTGCGACCATCCTTAACTCGATTGCCGCTAGGCTCGAGTCTTCAGAAAGTCGGGTTTCAACGCTATAATCTGCGTTGCCAAGCTGTTGGACAACGTGAACGTAGACTCTCGGGTCTCAAGAACAAAAGGGAGAAAAAGAGGGCGAGGAAGAGGTCAGTGGTATTTAACCCTTCTTTGGGACGAGGATGATGCCGCCCTAAGCTAACCCTTAGCTCGCCAGAGTCTATCTCAACCGCTCGTGAGGGCTAGTGCCTTCTCTCCTGGTGGTGTGAGATGCCGGCTTTATACTATATTATGCACTCGCTTTCCCCCTGTCGCGGAATTCTTTTGGCCATCGCTAGGGGCGAGAGTGGACCGGGCGGGGATGCGTAGGGGGTGGATGGGGGGCCAACAAGATGTGCAAGACATGCTGATCTGATGAAGTGAGTGCGTTTGCAGTTTTCCTCCCGAGGCCACGACTATGCGAGTCGGATCGGGGAGTATCCAGCAACATTATTCCCGTCCATCGAGTCAACCGTGGTCAATCCATCTCAACTTCCACCAATCTTGGAGGCCGGAGACTCCTTTCATCGTCAGGTACAAAAAGTCCCTATTCAGTCTCTTCTCATTGATATCGACAGTGACTTCTGCTCCAATCATGATATTGTCGATGTTAATTACCGGCACCGTAACCGGTGGATTCGGCGTTCTACATCTTTTGATCATATGGACAGGCGCTGGCGAGCAGTTGACTTCCTTGAACAGCCCTCCATGAGACTCAATCTCTTGTTCCTCTCGGCTCTGGGCTTGCGTGCCGACGAGGCGGCTGTCACTCCTTGATTCGGGGAGTCGACCTTGACTTTCATGACCTCGACTGTCAAGCCCCTCATAAGGACGGTCCTCCTCGATGAGGTCAATGTCTTGTTGAAGTGGCGTTATATCCTCATCTTCAGCTCCGGTATGCTTTTGGGAGTTAGAGAAATGGTTTACAGTCTCCTGGTCTTGCCGATCGGAGGGTTGTGCTGGCTGGACGTGCGAGGCCGAAACAATGGGCAGTACCTGCGTCCGTAGAGGCTTCAAGTCGAGCTCAGATGTAGTTACGAGACTCTTGTAGCTCCAGTTGAGCTTTTTCCAACTCTTGACCAACCTTTTCCCGAATTTTGCAGCCCAGTCTTGGGTTTTGTTCTCTGGCCAAGTTTGATAAGTGATATGCGCTGCACCATCGACCGTTGGATGGAGATAATCTATTCTACGAACGGGACAACCACCGCGAAGGCCTTTGAGAATCGGCTCTTCAAGATGCTGGTACGTGTTGTTCTCTCTTCTACTGTAAATGTCGGGCGGAGGGTTGGTCAGGACAACGACTCGGCAATGCTGGCACGCGTACTGTGCAAGTCGACCGGATGCACCCTTCACATACTTGGAATATGCCTTTTTCTTCATTAGTGCCTTGGGGCTATTGGGATTTGCTGCATCCATAAGCGGCCCCATGGCATCTGTTAAAGTCTTCAGTTTCAATATCCTGGCCCATTTCTGCACATACGCCCAGCGTACACCAGTCCAGAACAGCACGACGTCCACTCCCTGCAGCGCCAGAGCAAGTTGCGTGTCGATGGCGAGCAACTCTTCTGCAGTCATGTAGTCCAGCGGATCGAAAGTCTGGACCCTGCTGGTATCGGGTTTCGTTTGAGGCAGGGTTTTAGACGTTAGTCCTGGAGCCTGTCGTTTAGAAGCCGGCTGGTTGGGAGCAGGTTGTTTGGGGGCAGGTTGTTTGGGGGCAGGTTGTTTGGGATCACTGAGAGCAGGTTGCTTGGGGACAGGTTGCTTGGGGACAGGTTGCTTGGGGACAGGTTTCTTGGGGACAGGTTGCTTAGAAGCAGGTTGCTTAGAAGCAGGTTGCTTAGAAGCAGGTAGCTTGGGAGGAGGTAGCTTGGGAGTAGGTAACTTGGGAGGAGGTAGCTTGGGAGTAGGTAACTTGGGAGTAGGTAGCTTGGGAACAGCTTGCTTGGGAGTAGGTTGTTTGGGAACAGCTTGCTTGGGAGTAGTTTGTTTGGGATCAGCTTGCTTGGGAGTAGATTGTTTGGGAACAGGTTGGATAGGAACAGGTTGCTTGGAGGCAGGTTGCTTGGGATTCGGCTGCTTCGGGCCGGCTTTCTTTCGTCGCGTCATCTGAGGGCTCGACTACAACCGTTCTGCTGTGAGGGTGACAGCAAGAAACGTCGGTTCAAAGAATACGGAGGTACAAGGATGGATATGTTCAGCGTGCCCGAGACGCTGAAATTGTACAACCGCCCAGAATGGTCCTACTACGTGGTTGTGATGCTATTGTTGCTGAGTTTTCTGATAGAGATGTCGAGCTCGGCATTGATTATGACAAGCCAAATCAGTGTCTTGAGGCTTGTGCAGTCCGCTAGAGTGACTTAAGATGACATTGGAAGGAAGAGTCGCGGACACCATTCATAATGATGGGAGTAGTTTATTTCAACGTCCCATTTTGTGATGAGGGGGTGGCTGCACTCACCTTGCACTCTCTTTCCTCTCTGGTTCTTCACGCGGGGTTGCCAGTAGATGACGATAGCTAGAACCCCGCGTGCATCTCCATCACCTTCCACGGCTCAATTTATGTCCTATATATATATTGTACAGATCAAAATTTCTGACCAATCAGAGTTGATTCTGAACCATTTGGTCCCTTAGATCAGCTGGTTAGATCGTGGTGCTAATAACGCCAAGGTGAGCATTTCTTCATTTACCACTTACTCCCTGAAGTTCATATAATGGCTAACTGTGGGTAATTAAGGTCGCGAGTTCGAACCTCGTAGGGACCAGTCACATTTCTGCAACCTTTGTTTTTCTCTCTTTTTTTGTGTCTGGGTCCTGGTGTGCCCATCTGGCCGTCCTTTTTGGTTATCGTTGTGTCCGAGGGAGGGAGTCCTTGCTTCATTGTGCATGTACATGTGTTGTTGCCGCTCAAAAGAGCCACCCTATATGAAAAGCTATACTAATCATAATGAGCCTGAATCGACGTTCCCCGGGAGGGAGTGGGGGGGGCCCCGTATCGAATTCGTTCAAGGAGATAGATCCGGAGTTTGATTACAAGTCCCTGCTTTTGAGGTTAACTTTAATGACCAGTGAATAGTGATCAAACAACCCTTTTTTTATACCTACCGTCTTGATTCCCTTGGGGTTGTGTGCTTTGTCATGACGCATATGACGATACGCGTCGGCTTACACAAATGATATGGCCGGTTCGTGGAGAGAGTGTAAGACTTTCGATGGATGGATGGATGACAAAAGGCTGTCGTGCAATCGGCCTATGTTCGCTGCTTTAATCCCCTGCACGCTCTTTTGGGCATATCACCATTCATCCCCAGACATTCCACAGTGTAGGACTCGCTATCGAAGGAGGGTGAGTGTGATGATTATGCACATATGTATATACGCGCTGTTGTGCTGAAAGTCTACCGGACTGTTCTGTCGGCTACCCTCCCCTGGGGCAGGAGTTGTTGTGTCGAAAGGACTCCATGTGTGCGCGATCTAGAGCCCCCTAGGAGCGAACAAAGCCACCAATGTCATCCCTTCCACGACGAAAGCACGACATTTGCTTCCAAATCTGCCTCGATGTGCATGGCATGCAGGCGTGTGTATGCAGCGTGAGTAAGCCACTGCGTGCAACGAACGGCGCGGGTTGCAGCATTGAGGTCGATATACATAAACGCTCCTCCTCTGTGACCTGCTCGATGTGTAAGTCTCAGCATTATTTTTTTATAGCTTTACTTAGTCAGAAGGGAAGAAAACCAGAAATAACGTCGACACTTATAAAGAATGTCTGTCCAAAAAGCAATTGCCGTGGTCGAGCTGGCACAGCCCATCAGGCTGATTGAACGGCCCGTCCCAAAGCCAGGCCCGGGCGAAGTTCTGGTCAAAGTCTCCATCGCTGGACGTGAGTACTTGTATTGCTATGTGAACCCCAATCTGAGAAGTCGTCTTATTGGTGTTGTTGAACAGAAGAACGTAACGGATCCTCTGGCTAACTCGTTTGTTCCTCCCCACGCAGTAAATCCGCACGACGTGCTCGTGCGTGAGATCGGGTACTTTGTGGGCAAGGACAATCTGCCGGGGGTGCTCGCCATCGACATCGTCGGGGAAATCATCCAACTCGGCCAAAACGTCGACAACGACAACTTCAAGATCGGGGACCGGGTCATGGGCCAGGGAGACCCGTCGGTGTCTGACACGAAGGGGTCGCAGGAATATGCCGTCCTCGACGCCGACTTTATCGCCCATCTGCCCAGCGCGGTCAGCCCGGACCAGGCTGACACGATCATCCTGAACCCGTTGACGTCGTACGTGGCCCTGTTTTCGCCCCTCGGTCTGGACATCCCGTCGCCACTCGATGGAGCGAAGACGGACTTCGACTACCACCGCACCAGCATAGTCATTATCGGCGGGAGTTCTGCGTGCGGGCGGTTCGCGATCCAGCTGTCCAAATGGGTTGGGATGGGCACCGTCGTCACCGTCGCGGGTAAACACGGCGAATCGGTTCTCAAATCTCTGGGCGCCACGCATGTCATCGACCGTAGTATCCCGGACGAAGACATCCAGCGTCAAGTTCGCAACATCGTCGGTGACGACCTGCTCTACGTGATTGACTGCAACAACCGCGCCGACCACACACCAGGCATCCGCATGCTGTCCAACGCGAAGAAGGGCACCATCGTGCCGCTGGCCGCCGCACGCCCAAACACAGTCGACGAGGCCAAGATCGGGCCCAAGCAGCAGGGCTACAACTTCAAGAAGTTCGTGTGTCGGCCGGTCCTGTTCCGCGAGACCGCGGCCCAGTTCTACAAGGCGTTGACGCAGCTGATTGACCACGGCGTGCTGAAGCCCACGCCCTTCCAGGTCATCGAGGGCTTGGACGCGGACAAGATCAATGCGCAGCTCGACCGGTGGAGAGACGGGCAGTGGCCGCCCAGGGTCAACATCCACGTTTCATAGATGGGAGGGTGGCGAAGCAGGGAACCACAGATAGGGAAAGCAACGAAATGCCCTTTGACTATCGAAATGCTGCTTCTTACCTCTCTCAGAGACGTGTAGCACGTCTCCAAGATATCATTTTGACAGCATCGTTGTGTGATCTATTGTCCACAGAAACTGTGGACATGAGGAGAGATAAATAACTGTAGTATATTTTCGATCCAAGCAGGAAATTGAAATTTGTCTTTTTTGTGCCGTTTACTCGTAAAGTCGAGATTTCCCTGGTAGTCGTGCCCTCCGCCCTGGAAAGTCTCATCCATTTTTTAATCTTCGTCCAGCTCGGGATAATGCCTGTAAATTCCCATGCCGTACTTCTGTCTTCTGTCACTCTCCAGGTAGCTCTTGATCTTGTCCAACGCCTTGACCCTCTCGTAGAGAGCGAAGACCTTGTCATACTTCCCGCTGCTCTTCAACTTACCCATACACTTGGGGAAGGCATGCGTCACTCCGTCCATCGTCTGAAAGAGGACCAAGTCGGCATAGGTCAATTTTCCACCGTACAACCATTCACCGCCGCCCGAGGCCGGCCCCGAGAGGACTCGCTCAAAGTATCCCAAGAACTTGGGCAGACGGACAGATCGGTAGTCGGCGGCCTTCTTGAGCGCCTCCTCCTTCTGTTCTTCATAGTAGGCTCCACTGGCGATGGGGTGGTGGACATCATGTGGTTCATTGGAGAGGCCGTCTAGTGCCGTCAATGCGAGCGCATTGACGTGGTACACTCCCACGCTATCCTCGGCGACATTGGGCACCAACCCGAGCTTGGGACCCAAATAGGCGAGGATATTGGGTGTCTGGGAGAGAAGAATATTGTCACCGTGCTGCAGAATCGGCGGAGCCAAGGGCGGTGGATTATGGTCATCGCCGACATTCTTCTCGCTGATCTGGCTCATGACTGCACCGACCCCGGCATCGGTTTTGTTGGTCACGTCGACGTAGGGAGTGCCCGTGGCTTCAAAGGCGAGGCGGATGTGCTCACCTCGGCCTGGAATGCCGGGCCAGTAAATCAATTTGTAGGGCATCGAGTCGCCCGTCTCAGCTGTGGCATCGGCGCCGGTCTTCTGGCGTTTGGAAGAGCGTGTCGAGCTGGCCATGTTGAGGCAATGCTTGTAGACGAGGGGCCGCAGAAGGATTGAACCGGGACTGAGCTTTCTACAACGGCTGAAGTTGGCCGTCGATGAGAGAGAGTGCTTGAGTAGCCGTGGCTGGGTGAGCAGGAGTCGTGAGCCTGGTATAATTTTGGGAACAATGAGGGCAAGTTGTCTCATCGAAGGCTTTTGACAACCGGGCAAGAATGGATGGAACCTTCCACGTCATACGATGGGGACTGTGATGGAGTCTTGAGCTGGGAAGATGGAGCTCGATGTTTTTAGAGGAGAGCGGTATGCCGAAGTTGCTCGGTAATAGGAACATCGTTTCTCCGATTCCGAAGTCTTACCCCAACTTTCCAGTCTTGGCGTCACTAGCCTCTTCGCCTCCAACTTCCACTTCCCCACGCACCGCTTAGGCTTGCCCTCTTTCCGAACAGCCATCATTGGCCGTGTCGCTGCTCAAACGACATCATTATGCAAGGACCTCAGCAGTCCAAGGTAAAGTAATCTCACATTGACAGAAATTTATCACCTAAGGCCACCCTTCAGTGGAAATCAACCTCGAGAGTGGTGACCATAGCATTCATTGGCTTCGACAGGGCAGTAAGTACCCTCGTACAACACTTCATTTCACAATGACCTCCGTCCAAGACTCCCTCATCTTCGGCAACATCTTCTCCACCCGGGAGTCTGCCGCGATCTGGTCCGACAAGACGCGTACCCAGTGCTATCTCGCCTTCGAGGGCGCTCTGGCCAAGGCACAGGCGCGACTGGGTATCATCCCGCAAAGGGCCGCCGACGAGATCATCAAGTTCTGCCTGGATATACGGAATGTGGATTTTGACCATCTCCGCCAGCAGACCGAGCTGATCGGGTACCCGGTGCTGGGCCTGGTCAAGCAATTGGTCAAGCATGTCAACGAGGTCGAGCCGGGCCTCGGGGAGTGGGCCCACTGGGGAGCGACCACGCAGGACGTTACGGACACGGCGACCGTGATCCAGCTGTGGGACACGCTGAGCCTCTTCGAGAAGTCGCTCGGTGAGATCATTTCGTCGCTTCGCCACCTGGCCGACGAGCATAAATCGACTCCGATGGCCGCACGGTCGAACTTGCAGCAGGCCGTCCCCGTGTCCTTTGGGTTCAAGTTGGCCAGGCTGCTCGCGACCTTCCTTCGACACCGCGACCGGCTCAAGGATGTCGAGGGGCAGGTGACGGTGCTGGAGTTTTCGGGGGCCGCAGGGACGTTGGCGACACTGCCTCCGACGCCGGATCTGCCCTTGCTTGGCCTCGAATGCCAACGCGAACTGGCGAAGGACCTGAACCTCCAGGTCCCCGACATCGCGTGGCACACGGAACGCGACCGCATCGCCGACTTCGGCTCGCTGTGCGCCATGCTCACCAGCACGTGCGCCAAATTCGCCCTGGACGTCAAACTCATGATGCAGACGGAGGTGGGCGAGGCGTCGGAACCGTACGTCCCGCACCGGGGCTCGAGCAGCACGATGCCGCAGAAGCGGAACCCCATCTCCTGCGCGTACATCACCGCCATGTCGGCGACGGTGCGGCAGCTGAGCGCGAGCCTCTTCGAAGCCATGGTAGAGGACCACGAGCGTAGCACGGGACCCTGGGAGATCGAGTGGATCGTACTGCCGCAGCTCTCGACCTTGACGCACGCCACACTCAAGCATACGGCGGAGCTGATCGCGGGGCTCGAGGTGCACGAGGACGCGATGAAGAAGAACCTCGCCCTTTCCAAGGGCGCCATCGTCAGCGAGGCTGTCATGATGGGCCTGGGCAGGACGCTGGGCCGCCAGTACGCCCACGACGTCGTCTACGACCTGTGCCGCAAGGCGCAGCTCGAGGATCGCGAGTTGCTCGACCTGCTGTGCGAACATGACGAGATCAGCAAGAAGATGACCCGGCAGGAGTTGGGCCAGTTGTGCGATCCGGCCAACTATCTCGGATACAGCGAGGCCATGGTCGAGAGGGTCCTCAAATTGGCTGACGAGCCCCTTCAGCAGAGAAAGCGCAGTCTGGTTTGATCCTCTAGCGGTCAGCTGGCGGGCACAGCTGGCACAGCAAAATGGTGTAATGTCTCAACTGAGGTGATCCTGTTCACGGCGTTTGTTTGGATGGGCGGGAGGAACCACGAACTGGAAAGTTCACGATTAGTCGGCGGGACAGTGTCAAAGACAAGCGTAAAATACCGCTCTTTAAGTGATGCAGATGTATATATTGTATACCTGGCAATGCACAACAGAAAAACCCTGTCGATTCTGTCATCGTTACCACGCTTCACTCCTCCCCTGGCCACACCGGGATTTTGAAGATGAGATCCTTTATCCAGAAAGACATTTCTTGTTCCGCAGTCACACCTGTACATGCTCTGCTGGTGTATTAGCCACGCATGGGGAGCAGCAAAACTAGAAACCAATCGCGTTATTGAAGGCATCAGCCGCCGCCTGGCCCGTTTGTCCCTGAGCGGCGGCGGCAGCCTGGTTGCACACGTCTTGGGCTTGTTGTGATCCCTTGCACCTGGGACCGAGTTGCTGGCCTGCACGAGCTTCTGTGTTAGCAATGGGAGCTCGACTCATCGAGGCGCCTTGCACGAACACCAACGCCTCCAGAAGGAAGAACTGGGTAAGTAAGTGCGAAGACGAGAGAAAATGACGTACAGATGAAGTCCGTAATGACCTTGATGTTCAGCGCGGAGCCATGAGGGAAGGCCGTCAGGTCGTGAGGTTCAAAGGCTGGCTCGTTGCGCCCGTCCAAACCGTTTGCGAACTGCGAATTTCCTGTTAGCATGTGCTGCTAGTCTACTGGGGGGTTGTGTTGACGGAAATTGACTTACGATGATGGTGGGGTCGGGGCAGGATCCCAAATCTAGGTTGAACGCGTTCGTTGTCGTCCCGCTACTACTGGCAGTGGCCATCGTCGAAGTCGCGGCCGCCGCAGAGGACGTCGTCGTGGCAGCGACAGAAGCCACTGTCGAGGAGGCCGATGTGGTATTGTCTGCTGCAGTAGGGGGTGCGGTGCATTCTGTTGCAGCAGCCGTAGCAGAGGCAGTGGCCGAGGCAGCGACAGCAGCATTGACCTCATCTTCCGTGGCGTCCTCAACCAGCAGATTCTGGGTGAAGATACAGCCGACAGGGTCGTTTTGATCGTCACAACTGTTCCCCTTCGCAGTCGGGTCACCGATCTGACCAGGGGCAAAAGTGCCGGACTGCAGGGCGTCGAGGGGATTGCCCCCGATGTTGGCAATCTGAACAGCAAGTGCCAAAACGATGTCTTTGTTGACGGCACCGGCGTTGTTAGAGGCTGGGTCTTGGTGCTGGGAAATGGCCGCGATTTCCGGATTCACAGCTTGAATCGCAGTGCAAGGCACCGATGCCTGTCCAACGGCTTGGGTATTACGTTCAAGACCTCGGTAGATCAAAGCAGCGGTCATACCCTCAACATCGCCGGCAGCTTTGGCATTGGTGAAGGCTCGGTCGGCGGTAGCTTGCTGAAGACAATCCGTGTTGGAGATAGAACCCTGTCCCGCGGCGGCGGCAGCGTTGCCAAGGAGCCCAAACACCGCGTCCACAATGTTGTCCGGATTGTCCATCTTCAGGAATTGGTTGACGGTCGTGAGGAATTTCTCGTGCGAGTGTTCTTGCGGGACCTCCCGTCGGCCAAGCTTCGTGTTCCAGACCGCAGACCGCTTCTCCACGCCAAAGTCATGAGTTCGCTTCATATGCAGGTTTGCTGGGCGGGCAATCGCGACATCAAGCCCGGCAGCGAGGAAAATGGAAAGACAAATGACTGGTTTCATTTTTGGTGACTGTCGGTTTGCGTTTATGCTGTCGTAAGTCTCGTAAAGAGCGTGAGGGGGTCGTTGAACAAGTTGGTTGAATCTGGTGTAGCAATACAAGGTAGGCCTCAGACCTGATCAGTTCTCCAGGAACGATTTCGAATTGAATTTGAAGGAAGTAGAGAAAAAGAGTGTGTGATGTCGAGAACGAATGGTCACGATCGAGCTGGATCAACAGACTGGAGAGACGTAACACTGAGAAAGAAAGGAAGCTGCCGCATATATACCCCAAGGCTTCGGGTTGGCCTGCCCAGATGTTTCTCGCATAGACTCCCTCAGCTCAGCACCGGCGTGCCTCAGACGTCTGGAACCTTTCACCATCGGTTCTAGCAAAAAATCTGTTTCTGCCGAAACGAAATCTAAGCGAGGAGTGAGAACAAGGTCTGACCATGATTGCTCCATCCTTCATGCGTCAATTGATGCCATACGCCCCCTCCACGGTAGGTGGGCACATCAAGATTCGGATGAGAGGGTACCGAGCGCTGGCTATGTCACGAAACAGTTTAGCCAAGCTGGCACGTGGCACCGCATCGAGCATTGAGCCATTTGTCCAAGCCTCAAGCCTCAGTCCTTGGGGAGGACGGTGCTCGGATGAGATTGCTTCAGTGTGTGAAGGAGTCACAGACGGCTAAAGGGTGTATCAGGTTAGCACTCGGCCAGATCGTGGAGCGTCTCGGGTCTGGGAACGATGACGGCTGAAACGCCGGACAGGCGAGGGAGCGGCCGGCTAAACTCTGAATGCGGGGACTGAATATTGAGTATCTGCTTTGGTTAAGTTGGTAGATGTCCGCGGCTTGGGGTAGAAGGAAGGCTTATCAAGAAGCTGTTCTCCTTGAGTTATTGCATTGCCTGAGTGCGAGTATCGGCAGAGGGAGGAGGTGGGAGAACAAAGATGTAATAGATATTGAGCTTTTCCATTTCTGGTATAGAAGGACTGGATGGGGCTTGGCAGCGGGTCTGTCGCTTAGGGCGGCCTCGCTTTTCGCCTTGATTCGGAATGCCTTCAGACGCACTGATCCAACAACAATAACAACTCCTATTCGCACCTACAGAATCGCTCAGACACTTGACATCCTTTGCAATGGAAAACGCCGTGGCCGCTCCGCCCCCGTTGTCATCAAAGTCGTCCAGGAGTCAATCATGCGAGTCGTATCCAAAATTACCAGGCTGGGCCAGTCTCGTAGTCACCACCCCGTAAGAGCCAAGATCAGCCAGGACAACTATCTCCCACCTGCTCCCATGCGGGCAATACCCTCCAGGATGCGGCCTCCATATCCACTCGCTTTGCTGTTGCTTGACGGTGCCTTGAGGCCCGACCCAGGGGCTGGAATGCCCGAGTATTTCCCAGCCGTGGGCTTTTGCAGCATGCTTACTGGTCGTGGTCGTCCTGGCAAAGCTGTCCTGGCCTCTCCACCGTTTGTGCTGCTCTTGAATCTGTTCGGGCTGGCTAATGCGGATGCTGAATTCGGTCGCCCATTTCCATCCTCACTCCGAGGTGGACTCACGGGCTGTTGTGGTTGTTGTATGGCACGCTGCTCCTCTTGCTGAGCACTGATCGTCAGAAATAGATCTACCTGGGCAACCAATTCACCCTTCTCAACCCTTTCTTGCTCAATCTCCTTCCGTAGTGAGTCGGTTTCAGCAGCAAGTGAATCGACCTGACCACGAAGCCCTGCTGCCTCGGCCTCGAGCATTTTCTTCTCAGCGTTGGTCTCCTCGTTCCACCGCCGAAGCTCTTCAATCTGGCCCTCCATCTTGGAAATAGCTTCACTTTGACCCGGGATAATGCCGCTCATGGTTGCCTCTTTCTCCGTTTGCAGCTTGAGCACTTCCTCCTGAGACGCCTTGAGCTCCATTCGAAGTTGCTCGACTTGCTTGATCCATCTTTTCTCGTAGCTGACCTTGAGGTCTGCCACTTTACGCTCGTGCTTGCTCTTGTACAGCGCATGCAACTCGCGAGCCACCTTCTCTGTTGCATCCTTGACAGCAAAATCGATGTCGGTGCTCAACCCGGGGGTTGCGGGGGCGCTCGTCTTCTCGGGGCTAGGCGTGCACTTGACACGGTCAGAGCGCAAGGTGTCAAGAGAGGCTTGAAGCTCCAGGATCCGCACTTCATGCTCTTCTGCCTTTCGCTCGGCTTCCTCGGCCTGCTTCGCAGCTTTTCTTTTTCCCGCTCCTCGAGAAAGATGTTCTGTTTGACCTCCCTAAGGACCCCCTCCATCTCTCGACTGCGGCGCTCCAGCTCTTCCTTTGCATGTTCCAGCTCTTCCCGAGAGGCACGCTCGTTTCGGAGCTCCTCACTGGTCTTTCCCACTCGCACTTCCGCATCAGTGACGGCCCTTTTCAAAGCCATCACCTCCGCCTCCTTTCCTGAGAGAGTCGCTTCGAGGCCTGAGATTCGAGACTGGAGTTCGGATCGAAGGGTTTCGAGCTCTCGAGGCGTGATGGTGGGAATGGAACGTGGTGTAGCCATCGGTTCAAGGTCGATATCCAAGAGATCCATTCCTAGCCCGGTAGTTGCACCATACATGCTGTGCCTCTGGCTCGCTGGTGTTGATGGGATGGGTTTGTCCCCGAACAGAGCTTGATCTTGCTTTTGTGGAGAACGGCCTGAGGCTCGCTCGCGATCCACGGAAGCCTGCGATCGATGTACCGGGCTGGGGTTGACTTTGATCGGGAATCCTTTCCTCCCGGAGGGACTCCTTCTGGGACGCTGCACGGAGCCAGGAGGTGGCATTAAAATGTTCGTTTGGCCCGTGAAATTCATGAGGTCTGTTGGGGAGTCGTTGAAATAAGTGTTTCTTCGGGGCGTCGCCTCATCCTCCTCGTTTGATGAAATGCTCCGCCGGGATGCAGACAGCAGACGTAAGGGACGTTGAGCAGTACCAGGAGTGCTGGTGATGACGGAGGGTCTGAGTTGTTTTGACGGCGACCAAGGCTCTGGCCGGGATTGGGACGGTGTATCTCTCAGGTTGGCGAATCTGGTCAGGTCTGTGGGGATGGCAGAGATAGTGCTCAGATCTCCAATTGTGTCATCGTGCATAGTCTTGTCACCCAGACTCAGAGTCAAGGTCATAGTATCGGATGCATCCTTGGCAGTGGTTTCGCATTCCGTGGATACGTCGACCGTGTCGTCGACAGTGTGGTGTATTATTGACTCGTCTAAACAACCATCTTGCGCATCCACGTCCTTCTGCATCGCGTGGATTGCTCGCGTGAGGCCTTCATTGAAACGAACTGTGGGTTCAGCAGGAGAGCCGGGGGGAGAGCTATCGACTTTTGATTCGTCTTGTAGGCGGTATTTGATGGGCGACAGTGGCTTCCTGGGACTGGAAGGTTGACTAGAAAGCGTAGGGGACGAGATAGGAACGTCCATGGCAGGAAGAGAAATAGTGGTAGGATCAATCGAGGTGGACTGCGCAAGGGTAGTGGTGGTCATAATGCTAGGAGATTTAAGAGCTTCTGGAAGAGGCTTCTGGGGAGAATCGAGCTTGACAGGGGAGGACCTGGAGTTCTGCTTGGCGGGCGACAGGGAAGATAACGGCTCAGGCATCGTGTCGGTGAGGGATGTCGAGAGAGGTTCGGACGCGAGGTTGGGATACAAGGACAGCCATGAGAGAGTAAGTGAGAGAAGTGCAGTATGATGGTGAGGGTAATTACTGTGGGGAGTGATGTTATCCCAAGATGGACCTGTTGGTAGCGCAGGAGAACGTGTGTTCAAGGCACGCCTCGCTGTCGTTGCGCTGGGTGACAGAGGCCACGCAGACCAAGTTGCGGTGATAGAAACTCGCTTCGCTTCCCCTTCGCTCTGCCCCTGGTCAATGTTATTGGGATTGCAGCTGGATAAACAATGCCAAGACGCTAGAGCCTAGCTAGTCCCATAACGGCTCTGTACCTGAATCTCTCTCAGCCTGCGCCCTGCATGGTGCGTCTTGCCCTTCAGCCCTCCACTGAACAAATGCCAACTCATCATTAAATTGTCCCTCTCCTGCATATGACCTGCATTGATGCGCCCCCTCCACATCTCAGTTGCTGAGAGGTTAAACGCCGCCACAATCTAAACGCCTATGCATCTCTCCCCTCCAACCTGTCACCCTCTTTACATATCTCCTGAGGATCCCCGCCAGACTGACGGATCTAATCTCATATCCGCAATGCCTATCCTTTCTGCAGAGGCGCTGACCTGTGCCTCAATCTTCTGCTGTCTCTCTTTCCACAGGAGTCGGGCTACTCCATTCGCTGCTAGCCGAGCCCCTTCACTGCGCAATCCGCTCCAAATGCCCTCCTTGACAAGACTGTCGTCTACTTCCGCTCCCCCTGCAGTCTGATGTTCGAAACGCGCATCTGCAGGACCATACTTCTTCAAAATCTGCGATGCCCACAGTGGGCCTTTCCAGATAATATGCTCCGTCAAAATTGCATGATCCATGTTGAACGAAGCTCCGCTGACGCTACCAAAGCTGGTGACGGTGGAATCCTTAGGCCTGAACAAGAAGACAGTGCCCCAAAGCCGCGTTGAACAAACATTGATAGCGCGTATGATACCCTCTAACTCCTCCAGCATGAGCTCCTGTCTCAGGAAATGCACGAATCTTTCTGACAACTGCTTTGAGAATAACTGCCCAGAATCAGGGGAAGGGGCCAGCAAATCTGCCATTGTTGAATGTGAAGCCACCAAAGATGAGTTCAGCATCTGGCTGAAAATTGCAAATAGCACGAAAGGCTCTCGATTGCAGAGCCGCCAGGCAGGCACAGTGGTATCGGTGTAGTGCCCCATTGCACTATCCAAGTCTGCAGCAAGGAGTCCTGTCATGCGCAAAAAATTGCCGAAGGCCATGACATCGATAATGTCCGGTTGCGGAATACCAGATGTGAACTTATTGCCTGCCCTGTGGGAGAAGTACAGATTCCGGACTTGCGGACTGATTCCATACTTCAAGCACAGGTCGTCGAGCAATATATGAGTTTGACGGGTTGCTAACGCCAAAATACGTGAATTGCTCAACCTGAGGTTTGGAAGGTCTCCATTGAGGTTTGCATCCCGCAAGATCTGCGCCAGGATCTCCGTTGGAAGCTGGGGCATGAATACCATCTTTGCATGGAAACAAGACGAGGCCTGTGAGAATGATGGTCTGTGTCTAGGGCTGGAACTTCGGGGTTCAATGATATGTATTGCAGCCGGAAGTCTGCCCAGGTCGCAAACTTGATGTGAAGTGCGCTGATTAGTAGCGGCATATGATTACTACTCTGCCATGGGATGGCGATATCGCCATATGCAGTAGGAGTTGTTCTTCTATTCTGGCAGCCGATTACTATCGTCTCGAAGTCCCATCCGGTGGCGGTCTCCTGGAATCTCATAACTACAATAGAGAGCCAACCACTGGTCCTCGTCTTAAGGTCCTCGCTGCACGCTGCAGGAAGTTCTAAATGCGAGTTGCGGACCAACGATTTTCCGAGCGACGAATCCCCGAGCGAGCTTGCGGACATGCAGTATTTCCAGCATCTTGTATAATATCAGAACAATTTAAAAAAAGATAACTGACTGCCTCGGAGACATCGCTGATACTGGACCGGATACACCTTTTATGATATTCTGCCCAACCAATGCTCTTGCAAATTTCTGGTTGCTCGACTTCAACTCAACTTGGTGAACTGGCCGCGAAGGGGCATCCGTCAGGGGGCCAAGCTCTCAGCTTCTTTCTGGCTGTCTCTTGACATCTATGTACCATGTCTGTCTATGATACCTAAGGTACGGGCAAACTGAAACTGCTTTAGGGCTACAGGGCTACAAGATCCTGCCCTTCAAAAAGTGGAGGGAAAAGGTTGGAAACGGTGTCCTAGGAAGGGAAAAAGGGCCATGATGAGCTCGTAACCCTGGATCGTCTAAAGAGCAAGTCGGAGCATCGAGAATGTTGAACATTGTCATGAGAAGATATACCAACTGGGTCGACTCCGGGCCCCCTTGCCGTTCTTCCCAGAAAACCCATCAAAACTCTAGCTTTTACAACTCATCTTTCCTGGTCTCGTCGACGCCCGCGTTTTTCTTCAAAGGCGACTCGCACACCGCCGCCGTGCCAACCTCCATCCGGTAGACGCACTTTTCACTCTCGCTGACCTTCCAGATCTCCTCCTTTTCAGCACAGGCAAGAATGACCCGAGTACTCCGATGCGGTCCGTTCCAGCAATGCTGCCCGTTCTCGTACTTCATGACGACCCTGTCGCCTGTACCGAGTCCCCGGCCGTCAGTGGTTGGGGGCTCATCGACATGTTCCACGTCAAAGCCGACGAAATTGCCCATCCCCGTGTGCGCCCCTCCTTTCTTGGGCTTTTGCTTCGTCGAGCCCATGAAGCACAGTTCGTATTCATACTCGCCGCTGTCCTTGGAAATGCACGTATCCTTCAACGCACGGAAAATGCCCCCTTCAGGACCATAGTCTCTCTCGAGATCCTCTTGGAACCGGCTAATGTCGTTCTCTGCATTGCGCACGTCCCGCTCTGCGTCGGACAGAGTCCTTTTCGCGTCCTGCACGGCTTTGGACTCTTGGGCAGTGGCAGAGGCATCGGCAGACGTATCAGCCAATATTCCGTTCTCGACCAATATCTTGCGGAACGAAGACAGGGTCTCATCGAGCCACAGGCGGAGCGATGGCGGCAAGTAGGCGCTGAATTTATAGAGTGCCGCCACGTCCGATTCGGCCTCAGACTCTGCGGAGGGGTCATGCTCAAATTCGGCCCAGTTGATCCCGCTCGTCTCACTGTCTTCCGCGAGAACGGCAGCCAGGTCACGGTCTTCGGCTTCGGTCCAGGTGTCGTCCGTGTCCCTCGCGGCGTAGTCTTCCCACCCGCGAACGGCGCGTTTCACACCGTCGTCGTTGAAGTTCGGGTTATGTTCATCCTTGAGCGAGGCCAGAATGCCCTCCAACTCCGTGATCCGGGCGACCATGCTGTCTCTTTGGGCTCTGGTCTTTTCCAAGTGGGCCCTCAATTCATCGACTCGAGATTTGGCCAGTCCGACAAGGACACCAAGTTTGCCGGCGCCTTTCCCGCCAGCCGCTCCCCTTATGACTTTTAATTTCTCCTTTCTCTCCACATCTTTTAGACTGTCCTCCGCCTCCTTGACGTTGATCTGAAACCCCTTGAGTTTAATTTCTGCATCCCGAATCTTTATCTCGACTTCCTTCCGTAGCTGGTCTGCTTCTGCTGCAAGCTGGGATTTCCTCTTCAACGCCGCCCGGAGACTCTTTTGGCGCGTCTCTTCCGTTTTCCTGTACTCTTTACCGATCTGTTGGCATCGATCTTCGCACTTGATACCCCCGACATGTGCCCACTCATCTGACCCGTCACAACACACGTCATAGTCGCACTTGCCATCGTTGACACTCTCAAACCTCAGATATGCGGGGAGATGGCCTTTGTTTTTGCAGTAGAACCCCGGCAGGGCAAGCGTACTGTTTATCGATACGCTAGCAGGTGTGTCTGGCCCGGGGTGGTATTGTGGGGGTGATAAAGGTGAGAGATAGGAGCAGGCAGAGGTGCCTGGTTCATCTGAGCCGTCGGGGCAGTCGCAGAAGTCGTCGTTGACGCGGGAGAAGGGGATGGATATCGAGGGGTTGGATATACATGTGAACGTATTTGACGGCGAACTCTTGTAGAATTTCGCAACTGTGGAAAGACAACAACCCGATACTTAGCTCCCTGATACACTCTGAGGGCATGGAACACCACAAGGAGGCTTTTGAAGCCAGGATGTGGAGTGTGTAGAGATCGAGGGCCATTTCTTACATTCAGGACCGACGCCTCTGGGTCGCGAAGACTCAGAGGCTCTTGTTTGTGCTGCCCATGCCTGGGAGGCGAGAAAATGAGAAAATATGAGCAATTCTGTCCTCAGTATCATCTTGAGACTATGGAGGAACACTCATTCCACGGGGCTGAGTCTGTACCGTATTGTGTCTGTCTCGGAGCGTCTGGTGTTCAACATGAAAGTTGTCCGCAATTGAGATCGGGCCACCTTCCTCTCCAACGGGGGCTTTTCAGGGGTTCGCGGCCTTGTGACGTCGACGCCTCCTTTTTCTCTTGCGTCTTCACATGATATGCAATATTAATTCAAGCCGACAACATCTCTTGGAAGAAACATGTTCCTGTTCACTACTCACTGGAACGTGAGGCTTGACCAAGCGATGACTAAGGGAAAGTGCTGGAACAGAATCCACACGGTCGATCTGATCCAAGTCCTCGAAAACTCAAGCAACCTCCTCTCACGGAGCTCTGCACCGCTTCGTATCGTCACATACAAGGTCAAGTATCTATTCCGGCGGTGTGATCGGTGCACAAAATATAGGTGGAGCCTACCATCTCCTGCTCTGTATTCGTCTCTTGGTGTAACTTGACGAAACTGACTTCGAGGTCCTCCACGCCGACCCAGGACCATGGTTCCAGGAACGCACAATCCAGAGGTCCTCACAAATTCCCTTATAAGGATGCACTTTCTGCTGAATGCTTCGAACTCAGATTCAGCTCATTCCCATCTTTCCCCGTTGAACACATCTACTAGCACATATATTCCTTCCCACTACCACAGCTCGCTGTCAACCAGAAAGGCGTCGTCACGACTTTCTCTTCCCTTCTTTATCCGCAAACATTTCCTTCAAAGACATGTCCAGCACCAACGATACCCCTCAAAAGCTTGTAGAGGCGACCGCCCTTGCCAAATCACAAATGCAAATCCCGGGCTTACGCACAGGCTCGACATCAAACCAAGTCCTTTACAAGAATTCGACCCAGAAGGCCGTCAGTTTCAACGACCAAGTCCAAGAGGTCTTGTTCTCACGAGACGACGTCATCGGGCACGAGACAGGATCGATGACCACTAAGCTCTCGGGGGTCCCCAGCGCTGCCTGGCAGAAAATGTGGCTCGAAAAGTCAATCTCGCTGCGCGAAATGTGCTTAAAGAAGACACGAGATGGGTGTATGCCCGCTTGCGTGATGTCCTTACAACAAAATGCCAACTCGAAGAGTATTCCTGATACCCGCCAGGGGGACGCCACTGAGAATGACGATGAGATGAACTCGACCATAGCTGCCTTCGCAAAGATGACCTTGTCGACGAGTATAACACCCTCAAGTGAGGTTAGGGTCCGTCACCTTCTCGTCGGCGACCTCTATTTCCAAACGATCGAAGAGATCGAAGATCATGTGCAACACCGTCTGTCAAACTTAACGTTCAGCACCGACGATGCGCTCCGTGGTGCCATCGAAGGCCTCCAGAGACGCACCAAGGACAAACTCACCGGGCTTCTGAAGTGCATGGGCATCCTTTATCCTTATCATGGCCAAGGAGGACCCTGTGAAGCTGTTGCTGATGCTCTTCAGGACAAAGATTGGACAGAGGTGGACGCCAAAGCCGACGCACTGTTCATCTCATGTGCAACGCCGTGGGTGGTGGAGGCGATGAAGGATATCACAGAGAAGTTCAAGAAGAAGCTCGACAGGAAGACAAGGTCAAGGATTTGTTGAGCTAGAATCAGTTGTGAGGTAGATGTGGTATACATCCGTCGTGGCGGAGTCGAGGGGGCTACCCACTGATTGACGTTGGCGACCATCTATCTGTCTGTAAATTTCGCACATACCAAATGCCAATCCTCTTCTCTCCCTCACTCTCCTTATCTCGGGTGATCTAATAGTTCATAAAAGCCAGGCTGAGTCTTTTCTCGGTTTACCTACCAACGTGAATTGAGAGCTCGGGTAACCTGCCCAACTCGTTCACGGTCTGTCTGCCTGTACAAGTTAACTTGGCTGGTGGCAACTCGACGAGGCTGACGATACTCTCATCTGTCGTCTATCGTCGTCTATCAATGTACATGAAATCATGCTCTCCTGGCAGCAGATGCCGTAATACGCAGCAGCAGCCCCTAGTCGCACAATGGATCACCAGCCCTTGACAGCCTCGTCCACAACAAACTCTGCCATGTCTGTCTCCGCCACCGAACCACCACCACCAGGGACAGACCAACCGACCACCTCTCACCCCAAATTCGCATTTCTCGAGGAGCTCACAGGCACCCAAAGGCACGGGAACAAGACGTTCTACCGGCATCTATTCAACGTCTACACCTATCTCAAAAAGCACGGGGCGCCCGACGAGGTGTGCGACGCGGGGCTCTTCCACTCCATCTACGGCACCGAGTCGTATACATTCCAGAGCGAGCGCGTCACCAGGGACGTGGTGCGTGGCTTCATTGGCGACTACGCCGAGGAGCTCGTCTATCTCTTTTGCGCAACCAAGGATCGGTTCACGGTGATCGTCAACAACACCATGGGCTTGAGCGCCCGGCAGGCTCGGGATCTGTGCTGTATCGAGTTCGCGAACAAGTGGGATCAGAATAAAGACCGGCGATATCAAAGGCAGTTGATCATGCTCGCCGAGGCGGTTGTGCGCCTGGAGAGGGAGAGCCAAGGAGACTGATTCACTCGCTGACTGCCTGGTATCTATCTATCTATCTTCAGCAGGGTTGGCGGCTTGACAGCTGGCGCCGAACGGAACCTACTCAAGCCTACTGGGGCCCATCTCTTTGCCGATCCTCGCCCGCCTCCTGCCTGGAATCTCCGACCGTGCATTTCTCAACAAACTCCTCGACCAGCGCCTTCTCGGCCTCTGCATCGACGAGACGGGTTGCTATGAGATGATGACGGCTCGCCGCCGTCCCCCCACCCTTCCTCCCGTCCATGCCCAAGAGGAGGTTTTCGCGAAACTGCTGCTGTGCCAAGGGAGGTTGAGCCGCCTGGCCCTTCTCAATCTCATCTCTCAACTTCTTGAACTCTGCCCATATTGAGATGATGCCGGCCCAGACGGTACTCACGCATTTGAGGCTGATGGTGAGCTTTTTGACCCCCTCCGGCGTCTGGGTGAGCTCGTCGCCTTTCTCCTCCTGCTCCTCCAGCACGCCCTGTGCCACTTTTTGCAGCTGCCCGAACTTGCCCGCCAAATGCTCCGCGAGGTCATGGACCTGCTGAATCAAAGCCGCATACGACTCGAAAATTTTGAGGATGCCCAAGGCGCGGAACTGTGCCGAGAGCTCTTTCGCGGCGATCTTGATGGCGATTTGTTCATGGTCAACAGTTTTTGCCTCCTGTGCGAATGCACGCGTTTGGGCACCGAGGTCGCTCATGCCTTGGTCTGCGATGGACAGAAGTTGACGCGTGCCCTGGCCTGACACAACGGTGGGCACAATGAACACTTCGCTGGCAGCGACAGCTGAAGTCAGGTCAATAAACGAGGGTGACAGTGTAGAGGCCGATGCCACTTACGCTCCTCCCAAACGGCCGAAGTGTAGCTTACATCAACCTTCGCCCATTTGTTCTCCCCTGGTTGCGCCCGCAATTTGGATAGTCGGTGAATCGATGAGATTTGTCTGGGATGAGATATTCAGATTCCGTCTTTGATCGACTTGACGACATCCATAAAGATCGATATTCACCGGAAGACAAAGTTAGAGCGGCGAGATTTGGCATGGTGTGAATGCTGGTACGGGAAGCAAACCCCTTGGCGTGTTCAGCCTCTCCATTCACAAGTCGCCGAACCTGGGAAGCTATCCGGGAAAGAAGGTGGCAGAGCCGGGCCCAGAAGAGTCTGTCTCAAGAGATCCAAAGCAGGACGGCTCGGATTAACCCACCGTTCGTGTCCCGGGACTCCGATCAGGCAATATATGTATATATACTCGACCTCACGGAGGAGAAGATGAGCACAATGAAGGAAGGAAAAAGTCAGAATTTGAAAGGTGTTGTCCAGAGGTGCGCGATTCAGTCTGAGAGCCTTCCGGCATTCTTTCTGATCACCTGGTGTGCCTTATGTACAATCGCAGAAGTGGGAGCAAGTCGGTGCTTGCTGCAGAGTTTGAAACTTTCGTCTCTATTTTCATGTCTTCCAAAGTTCCATCACTCACTTGCCGGCTTTTGATAACCTCTCAGCTTCCAACTCTCGCTCTGCTTGCTGGTAATATTTGGCCGTGTCCACACCGTGCTAAAACAGGTCAGCCCGTCACATCTTCGACCGTTCAGGGACTATACTCACCTGGTTGTGGTTGACAAAATTGGCCCACGGTACCACGTTCGCCATCAGCGCCGAGTATCTGCTGTTCCGCGCCGCGACACCTTGCATGTAAGGGGTGAGATCTGACTTGCCATACAGCGGCTCCCCTCTCTTGACTTTGTCGACCATCTCTCTCATGTCCATCTTGACTTCCCGTTCGTTTTCCGTCCAGCCGTAGAATCTCACTGTCGTCGCCACCTTCGTCAGTCCCAAGCTCAACTAAGACCAATCCGCGCACTCGTTCTCGCGGCGGGAGACACCTACAGCAACTCCTCTGGTATACCAGCCCTGCGCCTGCGAGTAGGCCGACGGCACAGCCCAGTCGGAAGGCCATGGGAAAAGCGCCTTTGCCGGCGAACGAAGGAGCGTATCGTTCGGTGACAAGCATGAAAGCCGGCCCCACGGCGGCCATTCCGGCTCCATATAACCAGTCTTCTCCTCTTGCATAGCCAAACGCCCTTCTCCAGTGACTGAAGATATCAACGTGTCAATGACAGATCGCGGGAAGCTTCGAAACAGGGTGATGAAGGGGGAGGGACGTACGGATCTGTATCGATAATCTGTTGTCGGGGGGATGTCAGCTTTGTTCTGTGCTTTAGTTGTCGTTCGACCTTACCGGATAGTCAGTGTTCACCCGCTTGGGGGGAATAAACACCTTCTGCTCGTCGGCCATGGCTGCAGCGACAGTCCTCACTTGTAGACGCTCCTCAGCATTGGATCTTGAGGTTCAACGAGCATGCGGAGCTTGGAGTGAATGCCAAGGCGCTAGAGGTATTTGGGACTAGATTGATAGTTTCAAATGACGTACTTTGTATGGCGAGTCACGACGCGTCTTAAACTCATTGAAACGCGTTTCCCAAGTCGTCAATACAATCAACTACGACTCAACTCAACCTCTTCACTACGAGTTCTGCTCACGCACAATCTACTACAATATGGCAGCAGATCCGCTGACTGCGTCAACCGTCGATGGTCTCTTGAACCTCGACAACTTTGACTATGACGATCCCTTCAATGACCGGCCAACGCAGCAAGATGGTGTGGAAGGCCTGTCATCGAGTCCCGGGTTCAAACGAAAGGCAGATGACCTGCTGGATGCCAGCCTGGGATTAGATGAAGAGGTCAAAGTCACCAAGAAGAGAAAACCGATCTCAAAACTCGACGAAGCGAGACTCCTGTCGGCGCCAGGAATCCCCAAGCTCCGCGCCGACGCACGCTCCGGGAAATTCTCCAAGAAGCTGCGTCTCAAGGGAAAGGGCCACGAATTTTCCGACGTCGCACGACTCTTGAATTACTACCAGCTATGGCTGGACAATCTCTACCCGCGGGCCAAGTTCGCCGACGGACTACAATTGATCGAGAAAGTCGGGCACAGCCGACGCATGCAGATCATGAGGAAAGAGTGGATCGATGAAGGGAAGCCGGGATATATTAGAGACAGAGAGGCAAACAAGATAGCAGACCGAGAGAAAGAAGCGGACAAGGAAGCAGATGATTTGTTTGTCGGGGTTCAGCCTGCGGCAGATAACGTGGGCCCAGAGGCTGCGAATGCCGACGTTGGCCCAGAGGATGACTCTTTGTTCGTGCCGGACCTACACAACAACGCGGATAATGGGGAGGATGATGGTATCCTCCCGGACGACGACGAGCTCGATGCTCTCCTGGCCGAGCAAGAGACCCGTATTACCACGCGTCCCGTGGCTGTTTCGAAACCAACAGAGGACGACGATTCCGAGGGCGATGATGATCTTGACGCTTTGCTGGCCGAGCAGGAAATGAGGCGTGCGCCTCCGCCCCCTCCTACATCTCAGCACACGTCGACATTTGCGCCGAAACTCAAACCTTCGCCCTTTGGCGGAGATGACAGCGACGAGGATGAAGAAATGGACGATCTGGATGCTTTGCTTGCAGAGCAAGAAGCGCGCATGCAACCCAGCACTGCTCAATCGAAGCTCAGCAGCATACAGGCATCGAGTACGCAGAACAAAGATCGCCCAAGCTCAGCAGCAGATCAGGAGTTGACCCAGGATGACGAACTAGATGTGTTGATCGCCGAGCAGGAAGCACGGGGACATGTCGCCCGCGAAGCTCCGACATCTTCAGCACCTGCGGTCAGACCAGCGACGCCTCCTGCCGCAGCTGTCGCCGATGGAGCTGACGGAGCCGATGGCGCAGACATGTTCTCCTCATCTCCTGTGCGAGGTACAGCACCAATCGGGCTGGGGCTTTCTGGGCAGCTTGAGCTTGAACGGGACCCTGCTAGCCCGAGATCAACCGTCACCACCACCACTGGTCGAACGTATGAGGCTGGAGCATCCGAGAGCGAAGACGCACAAAGATCCAGGCCTGGTGATGACAGCATTGAAGAAACAGCGGAGGAAAAGCAAGAGTCCCAGGGTCTGGATGCCGGTGACATGTTTTCATCTTCGCCTGTGCAGAATGAATGAATGAGTTGGCGACAGGGGTTAGCTACCCTATCTCGTATTGACGTGGCTCATGATGGATGGGCATTGGATTATGATTGAGCTGTAAATGGGACCTTCCCAGTTGCCCCGTAGAGCAAAAAGGTATCATATAGCAACGAGAGACAGACAAGCCAGGAGACCAAATGGAGAAGAAATGTTTGCTCGCTACGGAAGCGGATCAAGACTTGGTCTGTCTGCATATATACTCAGTGACAAGGCTGCTGCATGCTCATTAACAAGCGTAAATCGTGATGCTGCCCAACCGACAGTACAGCCCCGTCCTCCCCGATAACCGACTGTTCCATACACATGGTAGAATCACTGGACTAACTCGTCGATCGAACATTTGTTTGTTCTATGTTGACTAGTCTCTTCCATCCTCGCCATCATTATCATCATCATCGTCGTCGTCGTCGTCGTCGTCGTCGTCATCCATAATCCAATCACGCATAAGCCAGAGGAACCTCATCTTCAGCACGCAGACCTCGATGGAACGAACAGGTATTAATTGATCACGGATCGGATCTTGAATTGTCACAACCATACCACGACAGGTGGCTGCATCAGAAGAAAGCACACCATCCGATGTACATGCGGCACAGGTTGCGGTGGTCGGTAGCGCGGCTGATCATCTCGTCGACGTAGCCGCCGACGCTCAGGGGCACGGACTCGCCGGGCAGCATGCCGCGGACCTTGGCGCTGACGCCCTCGAGCACCTCGACGGGGGTGCTGGGCACGCCGGCGACCACCTTCTTCCGGCTGCTGCGGCCGCCGGCGGCGGCTGAGTTGATGAAGTCCGTCGTGGGGTCGTGCAGGAAGGTCTCGAGAATGGTCATCAGCGCGTCCTCGTTCGACCGCAGCAGCGTCAGCGTGATCTCGCCGCACTTCCGGAAGGGACCCTCGTAGCCGTAAGCGCCCATGGCGTCGACCATGTTGTGCGTCAGCCGGAAGGGCACCATCTCGGGTTTCTCGAACGTGAGCCCCTTGTCGAATAGGCAGTTGAAGTCCACGTGCAGCGTCCCGCCGTTGTCTTCTTCGAACAGAATATTCTCACCGTGCCGGTCGCCCAGGCCTAACACGTGGCCCACGATCGACATGACCGCCGCGGACCGGGTGTATCGCAATCGCGCATTGAACCACGCGCTCGGGTCGGGGAAACTCTCGACGAACCACTCGTGGAATACGGGTGGGAATTTCTCGAGGATTGTCGTCGTGAAGATCTTCGCCTTTTCGGGATCGCCTGAGCAGGATTCGTCCAGCAGGTTCCGAATCTCGATGTAGTTCGGGTGGATGGACTTGTCCTTGTACAGCTTGAGAATGATATCTCGGAAAGTTTTGAGATTGTCCACCCATTCAATCAAGCCGCATTCTTCATTCATCGGGATAACGGCGTAGGTGCGAATATAGAGCCTCCGCTTGGCGGCGTCGACGTCACGTTTGAGGAAGCGGTTGATCATGTTGTTGAATTCCATGAGGCGTTGGTCTTTGCGGAGATCGTCTTTCGGTTTGGCAAGAACGGAGTACATGTTGCCGTCCGATCCACGAATCGTAAGTTTTCTGGGCTTCTGAAGAGAGGCTAAAACAAGAGCCTCATCGACAAAGGCGCTGATGGTGATGGGTTCTTTAGCGAATGGGCGGAATGCCTTCAGCTGCGCCGGTTCGAAGCTTGTGGGCATGCTGGGGATCAGACAAGCTTGATTAGGCACCACCAGTTTCGAAGGCGCGATTTTGTGATTGAAACCCAGTTCCCGAGCGAGACTGATTTTCGTGACTTTGTTTCTGATTTCGAATTCAGAGACGCGAAGGAGTTCCTTGACGAACTTTTGACCACTGGTGAACATGCTCTTGAGCTCGGCGGCGGATGAGTCCTTGCTGGATTTCTTCGTGACCTCGACGATTTTGTTGACGATGCTCAACCCTTTGATTGCCCGTTCCTTCTGTTGTGACTCAACCACCGCCAATAACGTCCAGAATGCTTGTTGTGGGAACGCTCTCACCACTTTGACCACGATACTGCTAAGAATCTCGCAGACGACTTTGCTGGGATGACATATCCGAGCAACAATCTGCGGCAGAATGGTGTACAGTAAGACTGGCTGCAGACGGTCGGTATACTTCTTGATCTGGTTATTCGTCTCTTCAATAATGCGCTTTCGCTGTGCCGCAACTTTGGAATGAAACTCAGCGCTACCTCGTCGGTCATCCCTTGGAAGGTCCATCCCATCTACAAGCTCGAACCAGAGCGTCAACACTTTCGGCAGAGTTTGGAAAACATATTTACTACCCGTGAGAAGCGATCTCAGATAGTTTTCGATAACATGTTTGGCCGTTTCTCCTGTAAGATATGTTTGACTCTCTTTGCCGGGAGGCATTGCTCTTTCCGAGTCGAGGACCTTGTTGTAATAGCGGCCAAGGTGGTACCAGCCTTGTTCCCCTTTGCTGAAGGTTTCTGTGGCTTTCCTAAATGTTTTCCTGATGACTTCGGATTGGGTTTGTCCAGCTTGTGCCAACCATTTCCCGAGGAGAACGTGCGCTTTGGCGGTAACTTCGTTTTGAGAGTGGCGCTGTTCCACCGTCATTGTCGTCGGTCCACTGTCAGTCATATAGTCATGGGCTACGAATGCACCTGACTCGATGGCTCCCTCAAGGGTTTGGATGGCCTTTCGGTGGTGTCCTTCTAACCACATCAGTTTCGCTTGTTCGATTGCTGCAGACTTATCGCCAAGCACAGAAGCTTTGAGAACGGAATTGAAGGCTTGAGTGGTTGAACGTGCCTTGCGGGCGAGTCGGGCGCTCGACAGCCATGCAGCTGCAACATCGTTCAAGGCGAACATGTCTGGTCTGAGTGACATTACAGCGCGGCGAATCCCCAGGAGATACTGTTTGTCGGCAACGTTAGATCCCAGCACATCGAGACGACCGCGTAAGGTGTCTAGAACCACGGCGCGATTCTCTTTGGGGCTTTCAGCGATTAGTCGCATATCATTAAGTACATGCAAGCGTAGAAGCGTGTCGTGGCTAGCTTGGAATGAAGAAATGCTGTTGGGGTTGAGTTCGGAGGCGGTGCTGCGATATACTTCTGAGAGAAGCTGAGTTACCCTTGCGCCGTCGTTGTTATTGACAGCCAGCATGATTTCTGCAACGTGAGACGCAAAATCATGTCCAACCTCCTGAGGAATGTAACTGGATAGGAGATCCCAGCGGCTTGTTGCCCACGAGGCCTCAAGAGCATAAGGAGCGAGTAAAGTTGCGGAACTGCTGCTGCGGCTCTTGATGCCGTCGAAATGATGGAGGAGGGCGTCATATTGCCCGGATTCCTTGAGGCAGGCCATCAAGTTCTTCTGCGCATCACCATCGTCTGGAGAAGCGACAAGCTGCATTTCATACCAGCTTTGAGCAGCGGTCCACCGACCTGCCTTTTTGTGCTCCAAGACCTGCTGTTCGATATCGAGCACGTGCATCCGAGAAGAAATGCCCTCGATACCGTCGGGTTCGTCAATCTGGGCATATATGTCTTGCAGCCTCTGGAGCTCAGCTTCAACGTCGTCCTTTTTACATTTGCGGATATGCTGCTCCCAGTGAAACAGGGCCCTAGAGTACGATCGGCATTCCAAGGCTCGTCGAGCTAGCACGTCGGGCGGAATCTGTTCTAGCACCCGCTCGATACTGCGTATCTGGTCGGCTGCTTTGCCCAAAAGCAGATCATGGAGCCCACGATCTGCCTTTGAGACAGCCATGGCATACTGTTTGCGCTTCTGTTGTTGCCATGTGGACATGTAGTCAAGGACTTCAAACACTGTCTGACTGCATAACTTGATGTCGTCCTGCACTCTCCGATCATGACCGTCCAGCGGCTGGCTGAGAATTGAGCTGACCTCGGCAACAATATCTTGACTGTCCTGCTCTATGCCACTGACAATGAGATTGACGACGGCATACGGCAAAAGGAAAGCCGGGATGGAAGTATCTTGACCATGGATTATGCGACAACATATGGAGAAGATGATCTCGACGTTGTCTCCGGTGCTTCTGTGAAGGAAGTCCAATGTAATGGTTCGCAGCCAATCGCGGTGCTTCATGCCAGGCGTGAAAAGAGGATAATGGCTCTGTTCGGGAGCCCGAACCTCCTGCACCGTGTACTTGGAGCTGATGAAGGGTGTCAATACATTTTGAGTCGATTCAGGCAGCTGATTCCACAGGCTTGAGGCCAGATTGCCGGAGTCGTCCGACGACGTATCCTGCCGGCAAGAGTTCAAGAACTGCTGCATCGCCCAGCCCAGGAAGCCTTGAGCTCGCGTGGTATTCGCAGACAGAAAGGCTTTAACCAGGACATGCTGCAAGAAGAAGAAAATCCACTCAATCACCTCGTCAGCACTTACAAAATTCGCCAGTACGACCATCGTCTTGCGATCTCTCACGCTCTCGATCTTGCTGGCATCCATGCATCCTATGCTGCCCAGGCACTGTCCACACAGCCTTGAGACCTCATTGCTTGTGTTGTACTTCACGCAGCAATCCAGTAATGCACGAGTCAAGTCGGCGACGAACTCATCGGGTTGTTCTCTGAGGATAGATCTCTGGAGAAGATCCTGTTTCTGATATAGAAGCGGCGCTAACTCAACCAAAGCCTGTTCAACCACTGCAATGTTCTCGTCCTGTAGTCTTTGGACATAAGCAATGAGTTGGTGACGCTCGTCCATTTGACCCTTGAGAGCCATTATCTCGGATTCAAACTTGGCCATGACCGGGATCGAGGCTAATGACGGCATTGTGGCGAAGTGATCACGCACGATGTCGGTGTGATTTTTGAGCAGATCGCCGACAAGGTCATATGCCAGACTGTGGGATTGATTGTCGAGTGTATCCCACGTCCGGACAATGATTGCCAGGGTCTGGTCCACCAGGGGCTTCAAATCGTTTCTCTTGAGTGACTTGACCATGGCAGCCCAAGAGGAAAAAGCAGCATCACAGAGTTCGGGGTCATCTAATCCAGATCTGAGACAAGCACAAATCTGAGGAAGAGCTCGCACAATCCGCCCTTTGCCTAGCTTGACTACCTCACCGAGGGCGGCGAGGCATCGCCTCTTGTCGACCTTTGACTCCTTTGCCTCCAGATCGTTCAGGAGAACAGTGAAATAGGTGACGATCGCGAGAACATTATTCTCGAGAAAGGTTCCCATGCTATCGCTGCGTCTCGTGCCAGATGATTGTCCACGTTGGCGAGCTACTAGTTGTGCCAGCAGCTGCAAAGCCTGATAAATCCGGGAAGATTTGCCTTGACCACTATCCCCGATGGCCTTTAAGAGTTCGCAGGTAATGTGGATGGGGTCCAGGGCGACCCATTCCGCCAGATCAGTCTTGCCAAAGTCTTCAGATACCTCTGATAAGATTGAAATGATGGATTGTTCCGCCTCAGGGAATGGCTGTACGAGCAGAAAGGACAGGATAGCGATAAGATTCTGTCGCTGTGTACAGAGCTCGAAGAGAGTCGTTGACTGCCCATTCGCCTCGGCGAATTTCCTTATCACTTCACGGGCTTTGTGCAGGACCAGATATGGTAGAGCGAATTCGGCAGCGTGCCCCATCAAACCTGTAATGTCCATACCCAACAGATCGGATAATTGATGTGCAATATTGGGGCGAGTCATCAAAGACTTCGCGAATACCACACCGAGAGTCCGCCAGAATGGCCAAAAGAGGAGCCACACTGAAGTTTGCAGGGATTGAGCAAGATGCTGGATCTCAGCATATACCAAACCACCGAGGTACGGGTTGGTGTGGCCAAGGTACTCCACGAGTCGGACCAGGATGATATTTAATTCTTCGTCTCCGACAACCTTGGCGACCTGTGTCAGAGCCATGACTGTAGTCTCTTGTAGGGAAGCATCTCCCTTCTGCCATAAACTGTCGAGAAAGTCTAATGCTGTGATTCTGTTTTCCCGCGCCAGAGACAAGTCATGATGTTTTCTTCTCATCACGTAGGCCTGCAAAGTCCTGCCCGCTACTATTCTCAGGTCTCTGGAGGAGCTCTTGAGGGACTGGAGGCACCAGTCACCAGCAGGCGTTTGGCTGAGCTTCAAGTCTTCAGTTGAGTTTGTGTGCATGATAATTCGACGGAGAGAAGACATGGCAATTATTCTGGTTCGGGAACGGCGCGAGATTGTCTGGATGAGGACAACCAAGGTTTTGAGTAACTCTTGGCCTGCAGGTAAGGCTGGATTTGGCATAGGACTCGTTATTTCACAATCCTCATCGCACGTCGGACAATAACTATCCAAAGAGGGCGAAGCAAGATGGCACGCGGTTAGGCCAAGCAAGCCGAGTGCGTTGCACTGTTTCTCCTCTGACAGGCGCCTGAAATTCTCAGACGATGTTTGACTCAAACCGTCAAGATCAGGAGCAGCACTCCCGGTCAACTCCGACGTCAGTCTGCGGCATATCTTCTGTTGTAAGGTTCCATTTAACGGTCCATTCTCATCATCCGTTGACAAACGTAATCTCTTCCGCGCTCGATCAGTATCAGGCCAGGACTCGTAAGTATCTTTGAACAACTTCTTTGGTGGAGCTGGAGGCGTGATACTCAAAATGCGAATGTCATGGGTGAGGGTCTGGCGAAGGGTAAGCAGCAATAGACGGATGTGAGCCACAGAACGTTACCTCAGCATGGTCGTTGCCCGTTAGTAGGTTCTCATTTTCTTCAGCGAACTGTCGAAATCGCAAGAAGACCTTCCGGAATTGAACTTTGGCCTGCGCCGATTGAGAGTGTTTTGACACTATCTTCAAAACCTGGGCTAATCCGAGCAGCAGCTGTCGCAAGGAGGGAAATTTGAGGCTGGGGACGTTGATTTCGAGGCCATTCGTGATTCTGGACATTGCAGAGGCAAAGTCTTCCCCATCGATGACAATGGCCTTGTTCGGCTGGGCAGTTGGTAGCGACTCGACAACTCTGAGAATGCCTAGTCGAAGTCAGGATCTGACGGACTTGAAATCAACAACGTCGCGTGACTGACCTGACACGCAGTTCCTGAGAAATTCAAGAACAATATCGCAAAAGTAAGTGGTTGTACATTTTCTGTCAGCTTCCACTATCGACTCGAATAGTTCAAGAACAACATCCCTTGCCACATTTGCCTGATCTGAGGCGACCAACGGAAGCAGTGTCGGGATCAGCCAAGAGTAAAGAGGGCGTCCATTCCCGGAGGAGGCGGGCGTGCCCAGAGCATCTGACTTCACGTAGACCACTTGGGGTGATCTTTCGATTGCGACTTGAAGAACTTCAAGACACGTCCTGAACTGAGAGTCGCCCCTACCTGCGGCGGTTGTGGAGCGGAAAGGATCTTCTTCGAGGACTCGCTCGATGCCGATTTGAAAGACGATGCAGATCAACTTGTGGTTGACGGCAACGTCGGCACCCAGGTTGGGTTGGCCTTGATCATCGACTCCCTGTGCCTCAGCCAACAGCTGATTGAAATTATCTTGGTCAAAATCAGTGACTCCGTTTCCATGGACGACGTGCGTGGCCAGAATGGAGGACGGCGGAGGCTCGAAGCCATTGGTCGGTCGTGCAGCAGGCACTGGCGCCATCAGCTCTCATACCAAACATGTCGAGTTGACTGAAAATGAATTACGGACGCGTCGATGAAGAGGAAAAAAGGTGGGAGCGGCATGTTACGCGCCGGAGTCTATGCCTCACCGTGGCAGTTGCTACCAACATCCCCACAGACCACCGTAGTGCTTGGCACGGAAATTCAGTAAATCCGGGGCCGCTGTACTCGACTCGTCGACTTCAAAATATCTCTTCTATCTTCTCGTCTTCATCCACCTCTTCGACCCTCGGCCTTTCCTCCTCATCTCGCATGAGAACTTGCACTAGCCGGTCACATGCCTCCCTCACACCCTCGTCCTGGACGTGCATGTGCGTCTCTCTAATCAACGGATAAACCTGCACCCTCCTCAATTTGTCTCGTCCTTCCTTCGTCGTGGTCAGCAGCAACAATGTCTCGAGATGAGTCACAAGAATGCCATTGTCGCTGTCTCTAGCCTTATCAGGCGGCAAGAGTTGTAAATCTGGGAGCATATCGGCTGACTCCTCTTCTGGAAACTCTTCTGACCCAGCAAGTGGGAGGAGGATGTATGGCAATATGTTGACGCCAGGAACTCCGTCAACGGTTTCGGTGTCGTCGGCTAGAAGTAAAGGGTGCTTATCAACTTCAAAGGCCACATTCTTGATCGTGCTGGCGACTCCTCTCCGTCGAATGTGACTTTTGTGCTCCGTGAAGACTGTTAGCTTGCTTATGGGCACCACGCCATCATAGTCTCTTTTGCTCAGAAAATAATCCCGGCCAACTTTGTGTTTGGACAGGTCAGCCAGGAGATATGCCAGATAGTCGAAGTTTGCGTGTTTGTTGAGAGACCCGTCAGCCCCTTTCACAAAACAGTCGAGCAGCTGATCAAGGGCATATGAAGATGTAGAGACTGTTTTGGCGGGTAATGCTCGCTTCAGACTAATTAACTTTTCCATGTCGTCTGTTTTGGCGAGATTTGCGAGGAGCATGGCGATTTCATCGGCCGTTTGCTCTTTCGGATCCTTCCATTCTCAGTCAGCTTTCCTCTCCACATCGTAGGCACGAATCCAAGGGCCTGGAGGCAGATTCCAACCTACATACTGTTACCTTCCTAAGCAAAGTCTCAATGAATGCATCATCCGCTGCTAGGTTCTCGAGGATTTCAGTGTCGTGACTGATATTGATCAAGATTGTAAGAGCATTCTTGGCTATAGGCTGGAGCCGGAAGCATGGACCTGGGTCAGCACAAAGGACTGGACCACACCCCCAGAATCACACTCACGGGGTAGTCCTTGACGAGAAGTTTCAAGTCTTTGACAGGGACGAGCTGAGGTTTCTTGAACACTGCCGGGTCTGAGGAGTGGCCGACGAGGTGGTCGCAAGCTGATCGAGGAATGTGTCAACCGTCTTGTCTATACATCATAGGAGATGACGACGCGGATAAAGGCCTGGGACGAAGAGGATATGCTTACCAAGTTGTCGGATTTGAGTATTTCCATGATGCAAAAACTCAACTAACTGGGAAAATTCAGCCACAGTGGCAGAGGCTTTCACTCAAACCTACTCACCTCTTCCAGCTCGGTCGGCATGATATGTGTGGTCCCTTAGTACAGGCTTAGACGACCCGAAATACAGAGATGCGACACTTGGTTGCCGGGAATGTTTGGAAATGGACTTTGATAAAGGACCGGAAATGGCATAGTTTTCAAATGACGACCGTGACACAAATGACGCTGGATGTTCCTTGCCTGCGCCCACACTCACCACCAAACACCAATTCCATCCGCCATTATTTGCTTCTCTCGTCTCTCGTCTCTCCCACATTCTCCCACTGGCTCCCACTCTCAAGTCCAATCCACCCTCACCCCTCCCTAGGGTGCCCCTCATGCTCCTCTGCCGGCAGGGCTGCCATCGACATCGCTACACATCGCGCCCCAGAGCCCAACTCCAGGCTAAACCATGCCAACGTCGCCTCATTGACCACTTAGCAACAAAGGGCTTTTATGCATGATGCATGATGCAAGCGCCCGGTTTTCTTGGGCACTTCCGCAGCCCTTCGTCACCCTCTTCCCTTTGGCCTCGTCGCAAAGCCCATCCCCATCGAGATTTTGTTCGATTGTGTTTGGGGCGGGATACGCAAGCTTAACTCACAAACAAGGCGACCACAACATTGACGCCGCGTGACCCGCCATGAAGGTAACGTTCTTCCCGCGACGAGGTTCAAAAAGGTAGCTTATTTCTTTCTTCCTGAGGCTGACACCCCTCTCCCTTGTGTTCTCTTTTGCGTCACAATAACTCTCTGCGCGAGCCTCGCTGCCCAAGAGGCAAGGCATTCAGCCCGAGGCGCTTCTGGCTTCCAAAGAAGGACGTCGATCTCACGCTTACGCTTGTCACCAACGGCCTTTCGGTTGCGATCCCCACCTCCTTGGTACGACCTGCATCGCACTATCATATACCAAGGACTCGAAGTCCAAGGCTGCGAACGTCAATTCGCAGATGCAGAGCAGAAACCATGGCCGCCGACATTCTCGATCCGGGCCTCATGCCACCCCCTCCCCCCGGGCCCATCACCATTCGACAAGCCCTCGACGACCTCCAAGTGACGCTCAACCAGATCCGCCGTAAACTTCGCACCCTGATCGACTGGTATATATTTCCGGACGTGGTGCCGAACTCGATCCAAGCCTACGACCCTCGCCTCCAGATCCTCCAGACGCGCCTAAAATCCCTCGCGACCATCGACTTCCAGCGCCTGCCGTACCTGATTGACGGCGCCGACGACCTCGCCTCGCAGTACCTCAACCAGATCGTGGACCAGCTCCTCTCGTCTGTGCGCGGCATCCAGACCATCTTCGTCGAGCACTACGACCGTGACCTGCAGGAGCGCCGCCCGTTCGGGACTATCTGGGAGACCCTGCTGTACCGCCAGGACCAGATCAAGCAGTTGCCCATCTTGTGCCCGAGTATCCCCCGGCGCGCCGCCCCCGAGGACCTCCGGCCTGCGGAGCTGGGCAACTTCTGCCCGGGCGCGCTGGGGATCAGCAACCATCGCGACCGGGGCCGCATCGCGTTCGTGGAGAAGAAGGAGCTCAACGACGAGAACCGGCGCAAGCTCAAGGCCTTTGGCGGCGCGTTTTTGAATTGGCAGTGCGCCGAATGCGCGTGCAAGGTGCGCTACCACGTTGCCAGCAGCACGAACTCCAACATCCACAACACCGACGAGATCCGCGACCACCCGGGCCTGGACGTCCAGTACCGCAGCTCCTTCTTGGCGAAGTGCCACCTGTACCTGCCGCCGTCGGAGAAAACGACCTCCAACTCGTTGTCCATCATCCCCACTTCGTCGTCGAACAACAGCCGTCGCGACAGCTACTCCAGCATGGCCAAGTACGGCTGCGTCTTCTGCTTCGCGATGGGGCTCGAGCTCGAGCGCAGCTTCACCGCCTTCGTCACCGTGCGCGAGTTCGCCGAGCACCTAGCCCACGAGCACAGGAGGCCGCTGCCGCCGAGCCTGCTGATTCATCGCTATGCCGTGGCCGTGGACGGCAAGACGGTTGTTGGCGGTCGTTGGGACTTGAATTTCTTGTGAATGGCCTACCTGCCAAACAAATATGGTTCGTTGTGTGTTTTTTTTTCCTGGCGCTTCCGGAAGGGGGAAAGGGGGAGGGGGAGTTACGAGATTGCATGCCAGTGCTATCATAACGAGGAAATGATATTATGATTAACGAACGGTACTTCGTACAGGAATCACATTGGATGTTAACGATGCTGCATGTGGCGCATCAATCAGTGCTTGGGAGAATGGTGCTAGTTCCGGATGATGATGATGTGCGAGGAGACCATGTAATTCTATGTCTAGTTGAAATGTCTTTCCATGGTGCTCGATCTCTGCTCTCTCTCTCTCCCTCCCTCCTCCTCCTCCTATATACACCATCGCGTAGGAGGAGGAGGCGGCGAGCAAGACACCTTCGTGCCTGACCCATACCACATCCTCGCGTACATATATATGTACAGAAAATAGCAGACATAGCGGGTTGTCTGTCTCTGTCTCAATCCCAGGCTCAATCGCCCATTCCCGCCTCGAGCCCAACTGACCAAGTCTCGGTGCCACGACCCGACAACCCTCCAGGAAAGAAGGAAGAGCAAATAAATGCTCCTCTAGTGTGAAAGTTCATAAACCCCAAACCCCTCTCCCAGCCCCTTCCTCCCAAACACTGGGGCTGGGACATCCCTTTCGGCATTCCACCTCCCTAATGCGGCCCCCCAACCCTCTTCCTGTCGTCGTGTTCGGCGCCTAATGTCATCTCTGTGGCCGTGACAGGTGTATATATATCGCTGCGCCCTTTTGGGGGTGTATGTAGTATATACAAACACGCAATCCCCTCTTCCCCAATCCCACCCACATGTCCATGTGGGTGGTGTGCATAAAGGATTCTATATATATGCGCAATCCGTCATGGTGGTATGTAGACCATTGAGACACCGCCTTTTCGGCGATAGTCATGCACGAGAACTCCCCCACCCCCAAGCAGACAAAGGAGAAGGAAAAGAAAAGATATAAAGACAAGAATCAGAAATGAAGAGAAAGGAAAGATATCAAACGCTCTCCACCACCAACCCGAGACTGACACCAGGCCGATGTCCTCTCTCCGCCTGCACCACCACGGGACTGTAGCTCTTCTTCTCGAGGATCTCCCACTTACGCGCCTCCTTGATGAGCTGCTTCTCGGACTCCTTACTCCACAGGAACTTGCCGAAAGTCGACCCGGTTTTACCGTCCGCCTGCGGCTTGGTGACTTTCAGAGCATTCTTGTTGGAAGACAAGTCTTTGGAGGCGCGAGAGGCTGATTTAGCAGAAGACGCCGTGCGTTTGTGCCGGTGGCCGCCGCCCAGGAAGGAGCGCTGTGATCTGTTCGATCTCTGGGACGTGCTCGATGGGTTGCGTCCATGCTTTTGCGGCGCAGAACCGGGTTTGAGATGAGATTGCGACGAAGGTTGAGCTTGGGATTGAGCCTGGGCTTGGGCTTCGGCACGCCGTGCTGCAAGTCGGGGGCCGGGGACGTGAATGCGGGCAGATTGCTTGCGGGACAGCGAAACAGTTCGCGCAACAGCGACCTCTGCAGCCACCGGATGCGAAGCCACGGGGTTGGATCGAGGTGGAATGGCTTTTTCTAAGCCGCGCAGTGAGGAATTCTGCACCAAGTCGTGAGAATGAGGCTTTAACGACGACGGCAACGTCGCAGATCGATCTTTCGAGACCCGAGGCGCCGCCGAGCGCACAGTCAGATCTTCCGTGTTGGCACGCACAGGCCTCGTGGGTGTCACACCCGACCGTTGCTCGATGGCCGTCACAGTGCTCTTTGCGGCGTACTTCGAGAGAGGAATAAACTTGGCGTCCTTTTTCGGGACCGGAGGCGGCTTGTCGTTCGATGGCGCCGTTGGTGTCGCTTTTGCTGGTCTCCGCGGGCTGGGAGGACCCTGAGGGATTGTGGGCGAGTCATCGATGGGACGGTCCACGCGCTTGACTGCGGCCACACGAGGAGATACACCCTTGGTCACTTGTGGTGGCAGAACCGATGGCGTGTTCACAACCTTCACAGGCGACGTATTGGGTCTGGGAGAGTCATCTTCCTTCACTTCAGCCACTGGTGAAGGGATCAGGTGGCTGACTTCTTCGTGAGTCATGCCGGCTAGCCGTGACTGATGCTCAGACGGATGAGGATGCTGCACAGTAACGATTGGAGTCGATTGATGCAATTTTTCGTCGTGGTTCGCAATCGTAACGGCGGGGATGCTAGGAACCTTTTCAACGGGCGAAGCAGCATTGCCCGTGGGTGCGGTGAGTCTCTCCACGGCAGCAATCGCCTCATCGAAGTAGGCAGTGTTGACTGAGGTGTGCTTCGTCGTCCATGCAGAACGAGCACCAGTAGACGCTGCCGGCGGCTCTGGTGGGACTGGAGTGGTTCGCTCCGAGACATCAGCTGCGCCCCCTGATGAAGCTTCCACATGCCGCAAATGGCTGGGGGCCGGTACTCGTTTCGACCGCGTTCGAGCCAGCTCTACCTGAACCGAATCAGGCCTGGTCATGACGAATTGGCCGTCTTCAATGCCCTTGGAATCTCGGAATGACTTGATATCAAAAAAGATTTCGTCCACTGTGGTGGCGGAGGACACCGAAGATTGGAAAGAGTGAGCAGAGCTCCAAGGCGCCTCACGATCTGTCGACGCCGTGTTGTCCTCTGGGCTGTGGACCGTTTGATCGTTCAAAGACACGATCTTGTTCGGATTGAGTGGTTCTGGCTTTGGGACGGAGGAGAAATTGTCTTGCATAGGAGACAAACGGGCGGGGGACGTAGCTGATCGTCTTAATTGGATCGGCGGTGGCAGGTTGTCCCGATCTGAGCTGGGCCCTCGGCCGTGGATTTTGACCGGCGCAGGAGAGGTGGTTGGAAACAGCGAGTATTTGCTTGTTGCCGGCGACCTGGTCATGGTTGGTGTCGTGAGTCGTCTCGGTGGGATCAGCGGTGTGGAAGGCTCCGATTCAGGATTTCGGTGGTGGCTGTTTTCGTGGTTGTTGTTGCCTTCAGTTGTAGGCCGACTGTCGTCAAAGGATTTAAGACTATCCAGCGCCTTACTTCGTCTCGCGAGCAGTGAGGAAGAGCGTTTAGCTGCGGGGAGATTGAATGGTATATCCAACTCAAGCTTCGGTAAAGGCGGACGTATATACGGCTCCCCCGTGGACCCAGCATCGGTCGCGGTCGCAGTCGACGGTCTCGATATTGAGTCATCTTCGTGCTTCTGGATGACCAATTCCGTCGTTCGGAAAGTCGAAGACTCTTGATCTTTTTTGATGGGTGGTGGCGGTGCTTCACGCCTCGGATGCTCCAGTTGTGTCGTCCGCAGTTGATCTCCTTCAAATCTGGGTGTCTCGGCCAGTGTGTCCCTATCCAGGACCACGAAGCCGGTCGGAAGGCCTATCGTCGGGCCAGACGGGACGTCGTCTCGTCTGGCAGCGGCCTGTCGGGATTTGAACAACGTCCCTAGCTTCCTCCATCTCTTCGAGGACATCTGGACGATGTTGCCTGGAGTTTCTGGGTGCTGGCGGAGAAAAGGGTTCTGGCCGGTCACACCACCCTCGGCAGGGATGCAGAAAGACGCTGGAGGATGGCTCGGGCTGCCGAAAGCCAGGCCTATCAAGCTGTCTTCTGATTTCGATACACCATTCACGTTCTGTAGAGGCGAGGGCTTGTGATTCTCCGATGTCCGCGGTCGGATCGAGGGGACCTCGACACGCAGTTTCCGCTTTCCTGTCGGGCCACTGGATGTCGTTGGACGAAGCTGGACCAGCCTGGGCCCGATCCTGCCTGAAGCACTCTGGCCAGCTGAAGGTGACTCCCCAAAGGCAAAATCAAATTCCTGTTGCTTTGCAGTCGGTTCGGCAGTCGACTCGTGGTAAAGAAGGGGATTCCGTTTGCGAATGGACAACCACCTCGTCGGCATATTCAAAGTTCCGGACCAGCCAGTGGGGGAAAAGAAATGGATTAAACAGGGACAGAGGAGCACCAGAAAAGAGAATGCTGATAAGCATGCAACCTGGCTCGGCAAAGTTTAGGACCAAAGGCACCATGAAACAGTTACAAGGTGAGCATTGTGACACGGCCGGGTGTCTTCTTGCCCGCCACTCTGGCTCGGAACGAGGATGTGGAATGTATGTCGAGGTTGGGGTTTGTGGGAAGGTGGAAGAGCAGAAACAAAATCCGACGCACAAACTGCAACAAAAAAATTCAACGACCAACCGTCGTGCCACTGTTTACCCAGCAAGGGCAGGGACTAGAGAGTTTGGCAAAGAAGCTCTCCCCCGACACGAGGGTGCAGGGAGGGACACATACCGGACTAGGATGCAGCATGACTTGCATGGATGAGCTGGTACTGTACAGTATGCAGGTGCCGCGATCTCTACTGACCGTCAATGCGGCCCTTTTTCGATAGCCGAATCAGGATTGCTTCCTTCAGCCATACCGGCGGTGGCGCAGTGACATTGTTGAACATGGGCGTTCTCGAGAGGGCGGCACCAGCAGGGGAGAGTCCCCAGGCGTGAGACCAATCTTCGAACAACCTCTGTTGCAGACGTGAGAAGGATGGAAACGCAGCGGAGAGGGTCGAGAGGCAGATGGAGAGTGGAGGTTCGAGGGAGCCACTCACAGATGCAGCCGCCTAACGGGGTGTTTGAGGTCCATCAGCCTGGCGTGCTTCAGATTGTCCCTAGTCTCTCGCGTGGCGTCCTGTCGCATGTCAGGGCAGGGTCCAGAAATCTTCCGAGAGGCGGGATGCCTGCGAGGGAGAAAGCAAGAAGCTGTCTTTTTGTCCGCACGGGATGGAAACATCCTCTCAAGATACTGCGTAGATTCCAGAGTTCCCACGAATGGAGAAATATGTCTCTGCTTCAGTCGCAAGAACTGAGCAGCATAGTATTGCACAGCCAAGGTCAACCGCGTCCTTGTCCTTTGTCTCACGAGTCCGCAGTGGCTCGAAGCCGGTCTGTTTGGCTTGATTGCTCGCGCAAGCTCGTGTTCGCTCCTGTAATCTCATCACCTGTGGGCTTTTTGCGCTCGGATTTCTCGGTTGCCCCTGAAACACATGGGCCTCAAACGTGTGTGCTCCAGGCTGCATAGAGATTGACTCCGACGCCGCAACCCACCTTCTCGGTCTTGACTGGCTTCGTACTTTGGGATTATTGGGGATGAAGGATGCCACACGATCCCCACCCCGCAAGGGAAAAGACGTCAACTAGAGCCGCTGTTCGCCAGATGGTTGCTGACGGCCGCCGTTCGGGGGCTGTTCAGGCCATGGCGCTGCTGCAGCCCTTTATTGGCGCGCTTCGGAAAATTCGATGACAGGATGGTCATGTGGTGTTCATTGAAGTCACTCAAAAAGAATCGAAACAATCTTGAATTTGTCCTCTTTCGTCGGCCGGCTGGCCATTTTCCTCCTCCTCTTGGGCCGACTCCTGCATTGTGTGGTGTTCAGGTGGTTGTGACGGGACCACTGAGCTGTGCGACTTGAAGCCATGATCTCGCTTGTAGACACGTTTTCGACGTCAGGATTTAGGGCAGCCATTCTGATAAGGAGGAGGTCTTGATCGGGGCGAAGAATCGGGTGTCACACTTTGAGGGACAGGCTTGATGGCTCTGCCTTGCGTGGCGGTAAGTCGGTGGCCTTGCATGCGCCGGAGTGGAATGTGCCATCTCCCAGATACTGACCTCGATGTCGTTATCTTGAATCGACCAAATGCCTCGTGTTATGTCACAGATCAAAGTGCTAAAGAAGGCGTGGTGTTCGCAGCGCAGTGCAGCTGGTTGGTGGGTCACAGATCATGCACCCATTCGATCATGTTTTCACAAGCCGGAGGTCTGTGAAGAGGCTGGCATATTGTTGAACAAGATATTCCAAGGCAGATTGTTGGGCACGAAGGTGAGGAAGGTGAGGAAGGTGAGGACAAGTGTTATGAATAAAACTGACAACTCTAACCCTGCAAACCAGAACAAAGACACATTCAAGCCAAGGTACATGGGTATAACTGTCAAGGCCTTGACCCCCTTGAACTGCCCTGTACTCCAGCCTCTTCAGTAGATGGTGGTCTTCTGCGCCGTCCCTTTAGCTACCGACAGCGCAGTACTTTCAGCCGCCGAGTATCTGGACTCATTAACATCCACAATGTTACTACTGTCATCGCCATCTACACCTCTCCGCATGGACCAGAACCGGACGGTTCCAATCCTGACAAACTCCCAAGGCTGCTTGGCCCTGAGGACTAGGCCATTCTCATTATCGAGCATAAGGGCAAAGCTGGGGAAATACGGCTGGTCGTCGAAGGTCACGGAGCCCCGGCCATACAGTGCTGCTTTGCCCATGTCGCCAGCGACGAAGAAACCCACCTCGGTCGAGAACGGGTGGAGTTTGTGGTATTTTGCATCCGGTACGAGGGCTTGGAGGAGGTACAGCGGCGCCTATATGGATCTCTGTCAGGGCTTGTCGTGGACGTGCCAAAGGTGAAACAAGAGGGTCGAGAAACAAACAAGTTGGCAGAGAGACTTTACCTCGAGCGTGATCCATCCCTGCTTGACTCTGCCATACTGATCTCTGCCCGCGATATCGACATGCGCACAGATACACCGAGCCTTCAAATTCTTATGGTCCAGTGGCTGGAAGGTTACCTTTCCGTCTAAACTCGCCCATGACCAGGACGGTGCACGGTATTTCGACGGATACTTCACCTCTGACTTGGTGGCGGGAGGCATTGCCGCGTCGTGCTCCGGGTCATCGCACTGGTGAGTCGGCTCAAATGTTTCTACGGACCAGGAGAGGTTTTGAAGGAGGTCGTTGCGCCAGAGACCGGCGAGGTAATCGTCTTTCGTCAGGCCCCCTACGGTGCTGGCAATACCTGACAGGGCAGGCAGCTTGTCTTGATCTCGGGTCAAGTCCCGAGAAGTGTATTCCTCGATGAGACTTAACCATATGTTGGGCCACGAGTTCTGATGCTTGTGCTCCTCGTCGTGGGTTTTGGAGTCGGAGCCCTTTGCGGGAAAATTCGAGCCTGGTCTTGACTTGACGACCTTCGACAACGTCGGAAACTCTCTTTGCAAGAGTGCTCCGTCTTCGGCCAGCACATACTGCTCACATTCCCAGTACAGCTCCTCGGTTCCAAAGTGCAATGTCCGGGGGGAAAGCAGTCGCTCTTGAAGTGTCCAGCCACGCTTGTTCAGTGGTTCGTGCTTCAATGGCTGCACTGATGCCCCAAAGCTTCCGACAACGTATATCCTTGGACTCTGTTTCAAAGATGATGGCATCCACTCCCCCGTGAGGTACACTCGAGACTTCCGATTACCACGCATGCCGAACAGGCTCGTAAATGTCCTGCAGGTAACACCTTCGCCTGCGTAGTCTACTAGCAGAGGTGCGACAAGAGGTATACATCGTCGTCCGGTGGATAGGGTGTCAGTTGAGATCCACGGCCTCGAGGAGCTTACTTCGATTGGTTTCGACGCATCACGGTAGCAGCCCGAGGAATCATCTGCGGAGCCCATGGCGGACAGTGTCAGGTACGAAGCAAAGTAGACAATGCCCATTCTGGACGCCTCCATTTCCCAGTCACTCTGGCACGTCGTTAGCGATGAACATATATGTCAAGTGAATACGGGACAGCAAAGATCTGAAAGCATCGTGACCGACACGAACAAAGACTTACATCGTCGTCCTGAATGATGCACAGAGAATCAATCCACAAATAGGGAATCCCGAGCTCGCGAGTAATGGTTACAGCCTGTTGAAAAGTTGCCGGCAGTTCCTCGAGCGGGATACCTTTGCAATGGTCTGCATATGTCTTCTTTGTCGTGGTGATCCGGTGCGAGACGCCCCAGCAATGGCTCAGGGCCACGTAGCGTCCGCGCCGGCCATCAGTCTCGACGAGGCGAATGGTATTCCCTTGGCCGTTGACGTCGAGAATTCGAGTCGGCAGTGGTGGAGACGCTGGAGTGTCGGCACATGAATGGCTTCGATTGCATATGTGGCCCTCGTTGCAGTCCTTCAACCAATTCTTGATCCGCTGGATTGCTATCGCAGACCCTTGATCGTTTGTACGAAGCCGTCCGGGGACCGTTCTGGCCAGGTCGGAATCTTGTGAGGGAATGGTTAGCATGGAGCTGGTCTCGTTGAAGGAAAGGGTAAAGATACCATCGTCTGTGCGTATCCTTATAAACGTCCCTCTTATGCGGACATCCTTGTCGTTATTCCCTACGGCCTCCTCGATACTGGGTCCGGTCCCCAACCTCACGCCCAACCCGATCAATTGGAGCGGTTTGTTCGTGAAGGGTGACTTGTACCAGCTGCCAAACAGCCAGGGTCGGATCTTGCGACTGCTCTCGTCGTCTTTCGGAAAGCGCTCGCGGGGATTCACGAACACCGGTTCACGGAAGTCGGGTTCTGGACCGGAGGTGTCAAACATGGACGCGCCGTTCTCCAATGCTCGCAGCCCTGCCAGAGGGCTGTAGTTTCCCTCCGTCTCTCGCGTCATGATCTTGCGGCCGGACGGGTACTTCACGCCAGGTCTGAAGGCCACCATCCCGCCGACATCGACCAGGGAGCAGCCGGCCGCCCACCAGATGAGAGTGCATATATCACATGACTGGTAAGATGCCTGTAACGCGTCGAGACTAGGGTGATGCGGTATCGCGTCTTGTTCTTCTGAAGGCAGGTCTGCGAAGGGGATCTTGTCGCAGACGTCACAGAGCATCGTGGGCAGAACCTCAGTGCGATGGATTGTGCGAGATGGGATTTCGTCGCCGGCGTGCCTACCTTGAAGTCATAGGAGACATTCTGTTTCGATAGAAACTGTGCAAAAAGCGACATATCGGCGCCATTCCCAAGGCTGCGACCATTCAGTAACTGTTCCCATGACTTGCTGTTCAGCTCCTCGGGCTTGTGGGTTCTAGACCAACAGATACGAGGCTGCATGGACAAATCGGCTTCTAGGCTTGGTGAAGAGAGTTTCGTGGACAAAGCCATTTTAAGCGAACACAGGCGGATTGTTGCATGCGAACTTGAAAGGCTACCTATCTTTCGAAAGTGGTGGAAGGCATCCCTTAGGCACAGGAGAACCGCAAGGCAGATTCGGGGCTGGAATATTGAGACATGTTGCCTATATCGACAACCAGCACTGCTTCAGCGATGCTTGACTTGACTTGGCTTGGCTTTTGAAAGTTCCTAGTCACATACAGGGCCTCCAGGCTTGCCCCCAAAAGTTTCTTCTCTGTTGATAACTTTCTAGCTCCCGTTAGGCAGATTTTCCTGCGGCTGAGGTTGGGGCTCTACGAATTGCGACACATTCGTGGCCATGTCCGCCAGCGACGACATCACATACTGCAGCTCCTGCTGATTATCCTTTTTTCTGAGCATCTGGAAGAAAGGATCCGAGTCCGGGTCGTCCGGATCTGTGTCGTGACAGCGAAGCTTGTTCGCCGACGAGATGGGGTTGACCAGCTTCAAGAAAACATCCCTCCGCGCATCGGCCCAGCGTCGAAGGATCGAGTCTGATATACCTTGTCCGAGGACGTACGTCAAAGCGTCGGCCAGCGAGTCTGCGTCAAGCAGACCCGTGCTGAGACCCAGTCCTCCCCAAGGCTGTATGTGAATTGTCAGCAAGTGTCTTGCTATACTCATTCACGGGGAGGGGGCAGACGCTTCCTTGGAAGTGGAAGTGGAACATGGAGGCCAACGTACATTATTCAGATGCGCCGCGTCGCCGATTAACATGCATCTCCCGGAGATCATGGAGGGCACAATTCGCTGATGGGTCTCGTACCTCTGCGACCGGACGATCTCGTACTTGGCCGGTCGCAGGCCCGGAAGCAGCCTCTCGAATTTCTGTTTGAGATTCGCCTCGAGAACGCCCGATTCACACTGCTCACGAGCCATGGGCACGGTGATGCGGTAGAAGCTGGGTCCATTCTCACACGGTCTTTGGATGGGGCTAAATAGGGCCCAGTCGACCGGATCAACGATGTACACGAACGGAGGACCGTCACTGGGGAAGGGGATGTCGATCCATGTGTCCGTCGCCACCAGGACCTGAGGCCAAGTGATGCCTTCGAGGGGTAATGCGAGCAGTTTACGTACTGTGGACTTTCCCCCATCAGCAGCCACCAGATACGATCCCCGGAACGTGTGCTGGAGTCCTTGCTGGTCGAGGACCGTCACATCCATACAACCCGCCGACTGGTCCTCCTCTTGACTCACGGCAATGACTTTGTGTCCGAAATGTATCTGGGTAAGCCCCGTGGCAGTTAGGTTGGACAAGATGATCTCCCTCAACCGATGCTGTCCGAGGATGGTCATGCCGTAGCCACATTCGCCCTCCTTCGCGGCCACTCCTTCGGTCAGGTCCCACGACGCGATCAGTTGACCCCAGTCTCGGTGTCCTGGAGATGTCTCCTGCGTGATCTTCCTCCATGACAGGCCCCAGAGCAGATACCCTTGGTCTCGAACTTCCTCCCAGATTCCCGCATGCTGGAGCGCGAACTGTGTCGGCCCAAAGTATCCCAATGCACGGGGTACTGGAACAAGTTCGGCCTCTTGTTCGAAGACGACCGTCCGAATGCCTGCCCGTGCAAGGCGCAACGCCAGAAATAGACCCGTGGGCCCTGCCCCTGCGATCAGAACCGGTGCTGATGAGCCCATGCCGCTTGTATAGTTCTGTGATTCTCTGTTTTCAAGCACTGAATGAGCATTGCAGAAGCCGGGACGTGCATTTATGAGGGACATCTACAAGTCCTTCTCCCACTCCTTCGCCAAGGAACGGACCACAAACATGTAGCTTTGAGTGGAGGGATTGTCAAAGTCATATGGAAATGACCGATACGGGCCGTTCCCCTACTTCCAGTTCGCTACCGCCCACTACCGATGGCGCTGAAAAGCAGCGACTTCTCTGCCTTGCCCGCAATCCCACCACTTCCGTCCCGACCGCTACTCGAGAGTCTGTGAATAGCATTCATGGTACAGGCCCAAAACAGCGGTCTCTCAGCTACGGCGGATTGATCCATATCGAGTTTCTGGTCTTGATTCTTTCTCTGCAGGGAGGCCTCGCGATGGTTGTTCCCTCCGCTAGCAAACTCTACTTGTGTGAATGATGCTCCCATATTCAGTTACAGCAAGAACGTGAGTGGACGACGGCCCTGTCCACGACATTCAACCTGAAGAACGTTTCACAATAATGCCGGAACTATGATGTGGCCCATTGAAATCAACGAAAGCCCGCTTGACACGCTCTTATTACCATACCTTTATTCGACTCGTCTCAAAAGGGTCAAAAACGATATGGTCGACGGCTCTTGAAATAAGACAGAGTACTGGCCTCATGTTCTTTTCCGCCCTCGTAAGGCCTCATTTCAACTTGTCTTAGCCGGCATGCCATAGACAGAGGCATACCACCCCCCGGGCGCGGCGCCATCGACACAAATCGTACGGTCCTGGATAAGCCAGGCCTCTTGCTGCGGGTGCCAGCGAAACACATCCTTCCACCCGCCCCAGTGGTCGGGGCTCGCGCGGTCCGTGACGGCGAGATAGAAGGCCTCGGTGTGCGCCTCGGTGTCGCCCACGAACGTGATGTCGATCGTCGTGACGTGGTGGCGGATGTACTGGGCCTCGTTGCCCTGCACCACCTCGACCATGCGCTTGGGGTCCACGGCCACCCCGTTGGGCAGCCGGTACAGCCCGTCGGGCGCGAACAGCGCCGCCATCGCGTCCCAGTCGGCGCCTTCGCGCGCGAGCGACGCGTACCTGTGCATCGCCGCCGTGATCTCGGCGCGCGCCGTGCTTTGTTGCTCTCGTGTCCAGGGCATTCTTCTTGCTGTGTCGCTTTTCAGTCGCTGACACTAGCGGGATCTCCGGGCCCCGAGGGAGAGGTGGACCTGATGATGGTGCGTGTTTGTGTGTTTGTTTGTGTAATGTTTTGCTCCCAGCAGTCGATCACGGGCAATATCTCATATCATGAGCTCATTCATCTCCGCTATTGCTGAGTGTCGGAGCTCTTCCCATCCAAAATACATAAATAACTAAACACAAGTTAATAAAGAAAGACTCTCCAAATCCACAGACGAACAGGCCAGGCTAAAACCTGTCAGAAGGCGTAAGGAGAGAGAGGAAGAGATGCGAGGCATGTAGATTACCCCGTATCGGTTCGGATGTGGTGGGATAGGTCCACGGCGGGCCTAATGCAAGCATACCAGACAAGGAACTTACCCTAATAGTGGTGGAATTTCTTGCATTTACACCTGAGCATCCAGACTCTTTACTTTCAGCAAGATCATGTTTAGTTGCATAGGGCAGTTAGTTGTAAGGACTTGCTAATGAACGAACGAGGGGATCCTCGGTAACGAGGACGTGAATGAACCATGAATCGAGGTCCCATCGCCTATGTATGTATGTAGGTAGGTAGGTTACAGCCTCGAAGACTAGCATCTGGCGGATCGAGGAATGAGTAGCTTCACCATTATGTGTTCGTAATATGCCTTCGTAATATGCCCACCCATGCTGCAGAATGTTCTGCTTTGGCGGTCGAGAAGGACAAGAAAGATCAAAGGGGATACATAGCTTAGTGCTCTCATATACTTCTCACAACAACGGTAATGCTTCTTCTTGTTTCGTATCTCGTACTGTGGATCCCTGGCTGTGAATGAGCGAGCTCACATACAGTACATACTGTAAATAAATCATTATCATCACAACAGTGTCGCCCCACGGACGGAGCATCGTTTTTAAGATGGTGGGCAACTGTCCATTCCCACTCTCACACTCTCTTTCTTTGATGACGGGTGCTATGTTATATACTAACGTTCCGCCGCTGTAGCCGAACCAGCAAGCCCTTTTGCGTGTTGAAGAAGAAATTGTACGTCTTCCACGGTTCCTTGGTGGCTAGTTTGAGCTGGAAGTCCCGAAGCAGCGCGGGGATCAGCTTGTGCAGCTCGCTCAGGGAGATCTTATCAGTTGGTCAGCCTAGCCCTGTGCGTTTGTTTTTATGGAAATATAGCCTCTGGGAAAATGGAGTTGACTCACGTTCTTCCCCAGACAAGTCCTGGTCCCAGCCCCGAAATGGAGCATGCAGCGATCCATGTTGGCCGTGTTGTCTGATAGCCAGCGGGCCGGCCGAAACGCTTCGGCGTCTGCGCCGAAGATGGATCGATCATACTGCACAACGGCTGCGTTCATGCCGATACGCGTCCCGCCGCCGGGGATGGGCGTGTCGCCGATCACGAGGCCTTGAGACGGCACGTCGCGGGGCAGCGTCAAGCCCACGCTCGGGTGGAGGCGCAGGGCTTCCTTGATGCTCGCGCAGAGCAGCGGCAGTTTGATCGCCTGCGAGTACGCTACTGGGCCGGTGACTGGGATCGTGCCGTCGGCTGTGGCCTGGTCGATTTCAGACATGACTTGGGCGTAGATGGGCGGGTTGGTCATGAGGAAGTACAAAGTCGCTCGCATAGCGATGGCCGTTGTGTCGGATCCGGCGAATCTTTTTTGTCACACGACAGATAAGGTCAGTGATACATTCTGTGGCTGTGTGCTGGCTCTCGAATTTGAAGAGCCCCGTGAGGATTAATTGGGCTGTCTGTGTCTACTTACAATGCGGAATAGGATTCCTTGGCCATGTCCTTCTCAGAAAAGTTGACGTCCGGCCCCTTACTGTTTTTGATGCTGAACAGCTGCTGCAGTATGTCTCGCCGTGGCGGGCCTTGGTCGGGATTCTGCAACAGCTCGGCCCTTTCGGTCACACAGTTCTTCGCCGCGGACTCGATGGTGCCGATCGCTTCAAAAGCTTTTCGCACACTGGGAAACATGAAGGCGGAGATCGCGAGCAGCGTTCGCAGGTAGCTCGGAATGACGCTGGTGACGGTGAGGAACGGCAGCAGCAGGTCGAGAGAGGCGATGAAGTTCTGGTGGTCGTGCCTCTCTTGCATGAAGCCAAACATTCTGCCGAAGAAGAGCTCGCCCACGACGTCGAAGGCGTACCTAGAACACCCCGGGAATCGATCAGTCAGAGTCTCCGAGAGGGACCGCTCCAAGATTCTTGCGTATTAGCGGAACGACGTACCATTGCAGCCATTCTCCAAGATTTACGATCTCCCCAGCATCTGCATATTCCCCCATCCGCCGCATGAACAAATCGGAACAATTGTCGATATACGGTTCAGATCGAAGGATATTGGTCAGAGAATAGATATGACTGACGATTCGTCTCCGCTCGGCATGTGTCTTTTCGTCACGCTGGCTGAAGTGGTCTGGGAAGTTTCCAATGTTCGGATTCTGCCACATACTGTAGAAGTCGCTCTTGGGAGGTGCAGATTTCATGGGATAGATGATTGGAATTGCCTTTGGATCCGCACAGGCTACCTCGTCGGGTGCTATCCTGACCAGGGGGCCGTAGGTATGGTGCAGCCGCCGTTGCTCGTATTCCATGTCACCACGGAGTATGTGCCATGTGATCCAAGCACGACTGATTCGTGCGAGGACTGGTCCGGGTATGTGTCGCAGGGGATGGAAACATAACGCATAGATGACCCAGCCAACATAGTACACAGCAAGTGCAATCCCTAGCAGATACAGATAGCTGTATAGTACCTGAAACATTCCTACGACCGAGGACCACATGGTTGGCATAGCAAGAGGAAGAACCTCAGAACGAAAGGAACAAGTGAGGATATTGACTCTTTCATGTTATGCGGTGAAGTGTTGGGGCAACGCTTGTTGAATCAAGCGGCAGAAGACGTGGTCGACGCACAGCTGTTCGCGAAGCCATGTGGCTGACAGCCTTGTCTTTCCTTGCCAACCCCTGATTCGGTTCGGCTGTGGAGGGGGTGGAGTGCTCTTCCCCGGTCTGGAGCTCTCTTCGTAAATGCGGGGGGCAAGAAGTATTCTGGAGCAAATGAAAAAGCTGGCAAAAGTGTGATAAGGGCATAGTGGGTGACGTGGTACTGTTGATCTGTATTCAGTGCTGGGGAGCCTGGATACGCCTGGGCAAGGGAGAATTAGTCATACTTGGTCCTGTGTTGGAAGGCTGTAAGGCAAGACCTGCATTGAGCCAGCCTATGGCATTCTCGAGCATGAATATCTTAATATAGAGACAGGTGAGAGTTTTCTCACGCGGCGTGCTAGCCAAGGAGGTGAGAGCGTGGTCTCACCCTTCAGTCAAAGACGGCGACAGAAATCTCGTTCTTTATTTCTGGATGAGGAACGACCTCTATGCAGGACAAACCACCCAGATCACGATTTGGTGCTCGAAAAGTCGTACTGTCTGATAGCCTGCAAGAATCTGTATACATCCTCGCATATAGGCGTACTCTGGAGTCTCCCTTCCTCGAGCAGATCCAGGCACAGTTTGAGGGCGTCATACGATTCGGCAATGGGGATCAACAATCCCGTGGTGTCAAGCACACAAGGAACGCCTTCTCCTTGCCGTAACACTTTTCCATGTGGCCCCAAGTCTTGCTCGGCATCGTTCAGTGGTATGCGAGGAGCAGCACCAAAGTCGAGGTCGTAGGCTTGTTGCGTGCGCCCTGGCTGGAGCTTACATCCAAAGCTGTAAGCCCACATGATCAAAGAGACACGAAACAAAGCAATCGGCCACCACAGAGGTCGCAGAATAACGTAATCGGAACACTGCAAGACTTTCAGGACCTGCCCTACGTGCGCCAACGCCTTGAGAGCGGAGGAGGACCGGACCCATCGTTGGAATTGTGGTACGAGTGGCCTGGCTCCCGGTGGGCCTTCTCGGCCAGCGAGAAGCTGGATGTCACTGAAACATATGAGCAGCTCGAGCCATACCAAATGGTAAATCAGTTTGCACGCAAGGGTCATTTCAGTCTCGCCGCCACCACCGAGAACTCTTTGTCGTAGAATGTACCACTTGATCAGCATGGTTTGCAGTTCTTCCTGCCGGAGAGAGGCAAAGCTGCTGGATTCGAAATGTGGTTCGTCGGTATAGGGTTGTTCTGTGACGACAAAGCGATTACTCTGGACGAATTGAGTGACTTGAGTCTGGATAGCACAGAGCAAGAGCCTCAGCTGCAAGGCGGTGATGTGGCAATGCCGCTCGAGAAAGTCGTGTCGAAGGAACATGCAGTAGAATGCCGCCAGGGACGGTGGGTGCAGTCGCGACTGGTCGCCTGGACCTTCTAGCTGACGGTAGCTCTGTACCAACGCCCTCCATTCATCTTCAGTCTCTGCAAAGAAGAGCTCATCTGCAGAAGGAATGGGGCTGCGCATGTCCGAGAAGTGGATGGTGGGAGATAAACAGTGGAAGAGGCCAATTTCTTGTTCTACAATATACCACACATAACCCATTCTAGTTACTGTATGTCAGCGACTTCTCAGCGTATAAGATTTTTTGGGCGAAATGTACCGAGTTTTCCGCTCTCTGTTGATCCAGGCTCCCCAATTGGCGAAGTTGGATTCAGCATTTTGCGGATCGACGGGCGCAACCGACTTAAAATAGCCTCGGCGAAGGAATGCCTGTGTTTGCATCAGATCAATATTCTGTGTGGGTGGGAAAGCAGTGCTCAAGGGCTCACTCACTGTTGAAAAGGTACCCCGGAATGCCTCTGCGAGCTCCGCATGTCGTTTGTTGCCACACCAGGCGCTGAACACGGTGACCAATAGCGCGGTACTCATGGTCCAAATATCGTTGATCTGATTCTCATCCCTGGTCATTGTCTCGTTGATCATGTTGCGTATTAGGAAGGCCAACTGGATCGCGAATGATCGAGCTTCCTGCACAGGGATAGTGAGGCACCCAAGGGACATTAGTGTCGAGAAGAACAGGCCGATATCAGAATATGCTTCATCTTCGCCCCAGGTGGATTCAAAGAATGTGCTTGGATGCACCATCGGATAGAGTGAGGCGAGATTCCGATGATATTCTGAAAATATTGCCTGGACTGTCCGGAGCGGCGGAAACAGATGTGGAATCTTTCTTACAAGGTCTTGGTCGAGTGCCTTGGACACCATGACATGTATCCGAGAAGAAACCGTGTCGCGGAGTCCGTCAGCGACCACTGGGCCCATAGTCTGTTTCAAGCCTGGTCTGCCCTCGAGGGTGTTGATTTTTGCCCAACTCTGGGAATCGTGCAGGAAGTCGCAGATCCGTATCACTTCCACCGTAGGTCCCTTTTTCAAAGGATGAGAATGAACCCAGTCTGCATAGGGATCCACTGTGCTGTCTGCGCCGTGCGGCCCGTGTGCGCCATTCACAGAACTCTGGATCGTACCTTGTCCGAAAATTGCGTCGTCGGGAACGAATACCTCGGGAAACCAGAAGAGTTGCGTCAAGTTCTCATACTCGAATGGATTGTGGCACTCGAGGGAAGCGAAGTCGTTCCAAAGAGGTGCACTAGGCAGACCAAACGTGTTCAAGTGTTGCGTATTTGCCGTATTGATCATCGGCTCTGTCGGCTGCTGCTGAGCTGCGGGCACTGAGTCCTGGTCCAGTGGCACTCGATCGCAAGTACTGCCGTCAGATAACCTACCCGTTTCAACATTCTCTGTACGGCCGTTAGACGCGATTAGCTTCAACGTTGATCACATTCCAGATTACCTGATCCGTCCGTCCACGCCAAACCTTTGTGAGAAGACTTATGAAACGAAGGAGTTAGCGACATCACTTTACTCCCGTGGTAGGGGTATTCTACCTCCAAAGCCGGCCATGGTAAATCTTCTGGTCGTGTGTTGACGGCTTCTATCTCCTCATGAATCTCACTCGTGGTGCTCCGATGCTGCTGGGTAAGCTCATGATTTGGGAGGGCACATCGTCTTTTGAGGGGATGTGGTCTATCCAGTGTACAGAGCCTTCCCCTAGCAAGGCACTGACCACAAGGGATCCGCCCGTCACATCTGGTCTTCGATCGGGAGCAAGCATCGCAGGCCGCAGAAGCTCGCTTCGACCGACTTGAAAGATCTTGGCCTGGAGTTGTCGAGGAGGGCTCCTCTTCAGAAAACCGGTGTATAGAGATGTGCCTCTTCAGAGCATCACTAGAGCAACCCGCATCAATTTTGGATGCTACGAGACCATGAGTTGGTGAGGTATTGCATCGCTGACCTTCTGGTGAATGTTTGCGAGCATATCTCACAACGGAACGCCCGCGATTCCGTATCTGGCCCAGTGATCAGCTGGTTTGCCATAGCAGCTTGGAGCGAAGTCATACGTTTGACGGTGTGTCGCTGCAGGTGCTCTCTTCTCGAGAAGTTTTGCTGACACAGGGTGCAACGATATGGTGGTGCCAAAGGTGACATGATATGTCAACCCGCTGACTCTGGTACATACGTTCTGTGCTTGATTACAATTGTCATTGAATGATAGGCTCCTGGCTCAGTCGCTCTCTTTTCCGCGCGTGTCGGCGAGCAACGACCATCTGCTCCAAGGGACCCGAGTAAATTGACGAAGTGAGGAAAGAAGAACTCGAAAAGATCCATCGGTCCCAGTTAGCCAGTGCCTGGCTGGTTGATAGTTGGTGGGCGATACAAATGCTCCACTCACTCTCACGCTTTGAGGCTACTGGTTTGAACGGGTCTGGACTCGTCAGCCGGACCTGGAAAGGCATGGAGCTCTAGCTTTGTCTCTCCGCAATCCCGACAGTACGGCATCCAATCCTTAAGAGAGAGTTTCAGCCTCGGCCGCTCGGTTAGACTGAAAAGGTGGGCAATGCTGAAGTTCGGCTCGGTTGTGGTGGGGGTGACGCTGGTGCAGACGAAGACACTTTGATGCGGTCAATTTTGGTTTATGTAGAAGTCTTATTTTGGCTGGGACAGTGCCTTGTGATAGAATGTCGACCAGTTTCTGTATTGCGCTCTCTCGCTCCCACGAGTCAGGCACAGCTATAACTCGCGGTGAATGTGTCTCCTGGGATTGATGCAGAGCATCTCTACTGTGGACTTCTTTCAGAGTGCACGAGTCCCAGCCGCAGCGGACACGACATTCTTGGGAGTTCGGTTGCTCATGATTCGACACCTCTGCATCTGGATAGAGTTGTTCGAAGTAATACTGCATCATACAAAGTCCTCGATGCTGGTAGACACTGTAGATTTGAAGAGGATGAAATCGGAAATGAAACGGAGGTTCCTCGGTATCGACGTGACACGTGACAACGTTTCTCCGCACCGGAGAAACACGGCCTGTTTCACCGATACGGCAGCCTTGTGCGGGGAAAGGCTGTGCCTGTCTATCACAACCGAGTCCAGAGACAGATTTATTTGGATCAAACCCAGTGTATGACTGCAGTCCCGTTGCTATTCGGGATAATCGGCTTCAGGCACCTGAACGCCGAGCTTCAGAGAAGACTGAGAGAGCATTGAAACTGAGACGAAATCAGACAGACGCCCGTACAGCACAGCAGCATTCAGTCAAGATGGGGGCTCTTCAGCATGACCTTTTGAGGCTGTTCTGCCGGCACAGCACCCTGAGGAAGGTCCGAGGGGGGATGAACAGATGCAGTACCAGACAGTATTCGGTCAAGACGATCCCGCGAAGAAACAATCGGATACTGCTGTCCGGCTGGAGTGTCCAACCAAGTTCGATGCCGCACAGAGGCGTGACATCTCACCGCTCTCGGAGCACGCTCAATGTCCCGGATGCAGAGGCATTCCAATTCAATGCACCATCCAGCCGACCCCTCTCGGACATCACGATCGTCGCCCTCGAGCAGGTCATCTCCATGCCTCTGGCAACCCGCCATCTCGCCGACCTCGGCGCTAGGGTCATAAAGATCGAGCGGCCCGGGACCGGGGACTTTGTGCGGCACCACGACAAACGCGTTCGGGGGAAACTGTGCAGCCATTTTGTGTGGACAAACCGCAACAAGGAGTCACTCGCGCTAGACATCAAGCAGTCGCAGGATATGGATGTGCTCCGAACGTTAGTATGTGAGAAGGCCGACGTGTTTGTCCAAAACTTGAGGCCGGGAGACGCCGAAAAGATGGGCCTGGGCTACGAGGATATGAAAGCTATGATGAATACCGCGTATCCTGGCGAAGGCAGGGGTGACAAGTTGATTTACGCATCGATTAGTGGCTACGGAAGCAACGGACCGTACGCACACAAGAAGGCGTACGATCTACTCGTACAGGCGGAGGCAGGGTTGTTGAGCATTACGGGCACCAAGGACGAGATGGCCAAGGTGGGATGCTCGATAGCGGACATAGCGGCAGGCATATATGCATACAGCAGCATCTTGGGGGCGATCATTCAAAGACAGAAGACTGGGAAGGGATGTGTGATCGACGTCTCCATGCTGGAATCGCTGGTCGAGTGGATGGGTTTCCCGCTGTACTATGCATTCGAGGGCCAAACCGCGCCCAAACGGGCCGGGGCGTCTCACGCGAGCATCTATCCCTATGGCCCCTTTTCGACGGGCATTGCACCGGACGGCAGCCTCGGTGCACAGGTTATGCTGGGCGTCCAGAACGAGCGGGAGTGGAAGATCCTGGCCACCGACGTCCTGGAGCGCGAGGATCTGACCACCAATCCCAAGTTCAAGGACACGGCGTCGCGCAGTGACAACCGGGCCGAACTCGAGGCCATCATCAGCGGTATCTTCGCTTCTTGGGGCGGTGGCGCCGACGAAGTCGTCCGGCGGCTTGAGAAGGCCGGCATCGCGAACGCAAAAGTCAACGACATGCAAGGTGTGTGGGAGCACGAGCAGCTCGCGGCGCGGAAACGGTTCAGGGAGGTCGACACGGAAGTTGGCCCCATCCAGGCCTTCCTCCCGCCTGGGATGAGCTCCGACCTGGACGCGAGGATGGAGAGGATTCCTGCGGTGGGAGAACACAATGACAAGATATTACGCGAGCTGAGCTCTTCAAAGGCAAAGATATAGAGGAATCTCAACGCTTCTGGCCCAAGGGTTTTGCATTCTCTCGAACTGGACACATTCGAAATTCGTCTAGACGTAGATTGCACCAGAGGGGGGAGGGGAAGAACAGTCTGGCACGCATCTGAACTTGCTATACCGTACCTCACCGAAAGAATTCTCGACAACAGTGTATGATTTCTTGTGCCTGAGGTGACTTTATGCCCGGATACCTCAGGGAGCACCAATGAGCATAGAGCATCACTATTAAGCGAGACAAATACCATATTCGTTATAAACAAAAGGCCTGACTATAGTCAACTACTTATTCAGCTAGTCACCCAGCATAAAGCCCCTTCCGTCATGTGTCGTCCCACACCCAGGTCTTCCCCAACTGATATACCGTCTCAACCAAGTGGCTATTTGGGCACATGGGCGGTACCAGGGATCTCTGGCGCATCGTCGGCGTACTCTGCCTCACGTCTCTTCACGCGGATCCTGTAGATGATGAACCCAATGATGCCAGCGATGATCAGCACACCTGCCACCCCGCCCACCGCGCCGCCCACGATCGCACCAGTATGGCTATGTCCAGAAGAGGACGTAATGGTAGGTGAGGTAGTCGTTGACGGGGGAGAGGACGATGTCCTCGAGGGGGAAGGTGTGTTAGTCGTAGGAGGAGGAGTGGTCGTCGTTGCCGGTGTGCTAGTAGGCGTCGTCGCTATTGTCGTTGAAGACGATGGGGGTGGTACGCTTGCACTCACAAATGCTGCTGACGGACCACACCGATAGGTCGTGTAGGAGTCAATGGCTCCATAGTAGAGCACGATGGTCAAGCATTCTGGATAATCCGTGTTTCCCCCACTATATCTTGGGTATCAGTATCATGGTTGCTTTTCTCTCTCCTTGTGGAGAGCTTGGTGGGTACATACCAGACGCCCACTTGCACTCCAAGGCACCCAGTGGACGTTCCGCAGATAGAGGAACTTGCGGCCAGATCGACACAGCTGGTCGTGTAGAAGCAATCGCTGACGAAGTTGCCAGCCGCGTCGACCGAGCAACATCCCATGAAGTGGATGCCGGAATTGTAGGCGCAGTACTGGCCCAAGGGACAGGTCAGCGGCGCGTCATTGACCAAGGCACATGTGTCTGTCAGGTCCTTCTTCTGCAGCCGGCGGCGATAGAGGTGATAGTATGGGGCCGGCGTCGGCACGGGCGACCAGCCACGAGGGTCGAGGCCGACGACGCCGGTCTGGATGGCACCAGCATAGTTGAGAGCATATGCCACGCTGAGGGCGTGGACAAGAACCACAGTCGCAGCAAAGAGCATGCTTGCACTTTTTTCCTCGAAAGCTTGTCTGCTTGGGAAGAAGGGGTTTCTTTCCTCTCTTTCTCTCTTCTTCTGGTTTCGACAGGGAAAGGGGATTCGTCCCTCGAACCCTCTCTCTTACCTGTCCTGCCCCTCTCTTAAGCACTGGGGCATTTTCCCATCCTCAGCCTGATCGCGGCGGTCTCGCAACATCTCCCACCCCACCCACCCAGCATTTCCGTTCAGCCCCTCAAGCTAGTACTTGCAATGAGTATACGAGATATAGCCTTCAGTGGTCTCCTGCATGAGCCTGTTCGAGGGCTTGAGAACTCCCAGCTGACACCTCTGATGCGCTGCTTTAACGACTCTCCATCAGGCTGAGGCTCTGCATGATTGGTTGCATTGCGACGACGAGGAAGGCCCAGACCGTCCTAAACAGCTCCCAAGCTTGCGCGGCCTCTTCGAGTCGTCCTCCTCCTCGTATCTGCATGCCGAGTTGAGGTCTTCAACTTAGTGTGTTCTTTGTCGAACCCCGCTCGAGGTCTCTGCGCCCGGTTTTCCCTGGTCGTCTGACTCTGTCGCTCCTAAGTCCCGTCCCTCCATCTGCCGAGAACATTGACACGCCCTCCTAACGTGTGCACAAATGTGTTTTGAGCCTCACCGGTCGCTTTCGAAGCGAAGATGGCGGAAGGATGGTAACTTGCGAGAATCCAGCCTAAGGACGACAGTTCGACGGTTATGAAACTTCCTCAAAGTCTGCATTTCGCTATCCATCAATCATAACCATGAACGGAAATCCGTGGTCGGCTGTCACGGCCGGGGTCAGTTCGGGACTGACTTTCGTCTTCAAAATCTGCGAGGTCACCTACGCGCTGAGGGCTGTCGACCAACAGACCCGAGAATACCTCATTACAGCACAGCACGCCTGGACCAACATCAAAACCTGCCGTGAACTGCTGAGCCACCAGCAAGATCTGCTGCCGTTGTCGGAGCGCAAGGACTATGAACGAGTGATGGAGGAAACGAAGAGGGCGGCGGAGGAGGTCGCTCTGCTCCTCGAGCCCGCGCGGGTCGACCTGGACGCGGATTGTAGAATCCACTTCTCGACCCGGGTCATGTGGGTGCTGAGTGACAATTCAAACGTCTCAGCGGCGCTCAAACGGTTGGACATCGTCCACACCACACTGACACAAAATATCTCTACGCTCAGGCTTCTGAGATCCTGTGGCACCACCGTGCTCGAGCCCGTGCGCACCAGAGAACGGCCTCCGAGCTACAACACCAGCCAGCTGCTTCAATGGAAGTACATGAGCAGGCTGTCTCCCAAGCACAGCACGGAAAACTTATGTACGCGAAGGTCTGATCTGAGAGATTCAAGGCCGCCCGAGACAGCACCAGCCATCAAAGAGCTTCCTCCAGAGATGCCCGCTGACGTTCCAGCGCAGTTCATCCGCAATGTCTCGGGCCAGTGGAGTCCATCAAGTGAGCTGTCTCCGAACCCTGTTCGCAGCGAAACGTCTACACTAGTAGAAGTCCCGTGCGGCGATGGACCAGCCGCAGTCATAAGACCAACAGCGGCAGCGACGGGGTCGACGCACGGGTCAACCAATGCCACTGTCGAGGACGTGCCCCGGACATGGTTAGAGCACCAGGCAATGAAGTCAAGTAAGCTGAGAGAGAGAAGAGCAAGAGCTAATCGGGTCTGACAAGGAGAAGGAGATTAATTTGACAAGATTTTTTGGGTACACAGAAACAAATAGGGACACTCTTATTGCCGCATTAAATAGGTCTTCTCCAAGCACATCTCGACAAAAGCAGATAATACTTCACACGCGTCTCTTGACAAGTGGCTGAATGACTTGTGGTGGTTGAATTTCGGCGCCCATACTATCATGCGTCTTTAAGAGCGACGGCACAGTCACGACGGCGGGCATCGATCGCCGCGAGGCATCCGACGCCGGGCCCCAGTCGAACTTGAACGTGGAGGGCTGTGAATACAGCCACAAGGCCACCCTGACCGCAGTCCGCAGCACCTCGACCAGATGCTTGACCTTTTGCTCCGCATTCTGCGGTTGACTAAAGACGGCGAAGCGCTCCGAAAAGGTCTTGGCCAAGTTATATAGACGGGCGTCTTGTTCAGCGGAGGCAGGCTCCTTCCCGTCGAACAGGTCTGGGCGGAGGTATGCTGTGAGCATACGCCAGCGAGAAAACGCCAGATAGAAATCTGTAGAGATCAGTCAGTCTGACTTTGTGCGGGCGACGGGGGGGTTGACCCACTGCGATCACCGGGTCTTGGGGTGAAGAGGACGAGCATGTCGGAGAGCTCGGAGGGCAACAGGCAGTCCGAGGCACTCGAGGGAGAGACAAGCTGGACGGCGTGGAATGCGAGGCAGTGCTTGATGACAGCCACCTTACGATTGGATGTGTCTAGGAGAGCACCTAAGGGCATAGGTAACTCTGGAGTTCCAAATCTGGAGAGTTCGCCTTGCTGCTCGACCGTCAGTTGGAAAGGCTGGTCACTGTAATAATTGTCGACGTGCAGTTCGATCTGGTCGAACAAAAGCAAAACCTTTTGCTTGACCATGGCATCATCTGCCTGTTGAGGGAGGAAGGCATCGAGGTTGACGTTGGTCTGTGCGCCAACGGCAGTAACGCTTGGGCGAACAAGAGATTTGTCTGGGTCCTTGTCACTTCGGAGTGATTGGTGGGTGAGACGAGAATGTCCTTTACGATGCCTGGACGACGATTTTGTCTGGCTTCGACGTAGGAACACCATAAACAAAAAGGCGAGAATAGCACCGAGCGCGGCACAACCGATGGCGACTCCAGCTACTGCCCCGGCAGAGAGGTGCTTTGAAGCCGTCGGATGTATTGTTTGCGAAGTGCCAGTCGCGGCGGGCGAAGTTGATGAAGCATCTGCGGTTGGGTTTACGAAGATAATGCTCGAGTTGCTCGGTGGGCTGGTCGATGGGATGGGCGGGGACGTGGTCGGTGAGCTATCTGTTGTGGGAGTGGGAGTGGTGTTTGGTGAGGCTAGATTGCTGTTGGCGGTCGAAGGGGAAGAAGCGGGAGCCGCTGTTCCACCCAGTTGCGACATTTCTGTGTCTTCAAATGTGTCTGCTCCCTTGAATGCTGTAAGAAGAGAGTGATCGATCGTTTATTTCATTTGAAGAATGCCACCTCGTGAAGGGTCCTTCCTTTCCCCCGAGCATGGTGAGGCTGGAATTCATGAATACGAGGTGGGCGGATTCACTGCCACCCTGCCCAGCAACAATTCGCGCAAGCCTTAGCCAAAACGAGACCATCACGAACTTGTCTCACAAGCGTGCATATTGGACCCCTTAGCTTGCAGGAAAGGGTGGTACCATTGACTTGCTGCTTTAAAGTATGAATGTGGAGGCACACTGCCTCAGCTATGGGGTGGTGACGTCTCCTCAGCCTGAGAGGCAGTGAGAAAGAGAGAGTAGTTGGAGAATCGTAAATCCCTGGAGAGGTCAGCCTATGCCGCTCGAGAGCTCTCCTGGCTTGCAAAGAAATTCAGGAATCGAAGATGGCCGGTACTCATCAGCCCGAGCTTGTGATCGGTGTTGACTTTGGCATGTCCCAGACAGGTATGTTGAGCGCGACCACCATGAGCGTTGTTGACTGGATGTAGGCGTGGCATACTGCACTACACCATGGACAAATCCTGTAACCTTTCAAAGTTGGACCACCATTGCAGCTGAACTGTTCAATAAGGCGCCATCGCGGCTGGCATATAACCATGGCACAGCGAACATCAAGTCCTGGGGTTTTTTCGTGGATGTCGCGGATAGGGCGACCGACATCAAAGAGTATTTCAAGCTCCATCTCGATCCCGAATATAGAGAATGGGAGCATCTCTCTCACCAAGACGCAAGACGTTTTTATCTGGATTACATGAGATGTGTGCATGATCATATCGCCCGATTTTTCCAGAGTCGATATCCTCAATGGGCAACCATGCGAGTCGAGTGGAACTTCAGCGTTCCCACGACTTGGAAGCATGCTGGAATGGTCCGTGATCTCCTAGCGATCCTTAAGCTCGCTGGATTTGGAAGAGACGGCCAGTACCACTCGTCGGTGGTGACCTTGACTGAGGCTGAGGCAGCCGCGGTCTGTGTCGCGAAGCAAATGTTGAAGGTCGGTATCCTTCCGGGCTTGTCCTTATTTTGATGCTGATCGCCACTAAGCGTGACGACGTGATCTTAGTGTGCGATGCAGGCGGAGGTACAACGGTATGGAGGCCACTCTCACATCCTCAGGGTCGCTTGGCTCATGTTTATACAAGGACGTCAACATCATGAAAGTAAAGTCAGAGATAGGAGAAGCGCTCAGGTTGGAACAATTGCTTCAGGTCGAAGGTCGGTCCGGAAGGTTGTGCCCTGTGATTTTACTAACGCGACTCCAAAGGGCGAGAGGTCGGCTCTGCTCTGATCGACATAAAAGTACAGCAGCATCTTGCCAAACGATTGGCCTTGGTCCAGGATATTTTGCAACCAGCAGAGACGGCCGAAAAAATGATGCTGGGTAGATTCGAGAGATTCAAGTGCAGTTTCGGGAGCCCAGGTATGACTGTTCCAAAGTTGTATCTGCCAGTGACTGGTCTGCCCACGGGCTTGGATTACCCGCAGGCCGGGATCAGAGACTCCCATATGGAAATCGATCAAGACACCATTCAGCATTTTTTCGACGAACAGGTTGATGGCTTGATTGAATTGATTGAAGAACAGTTGCAAGGACTGAAAAGGACACGCCCTGGGGAACAGGTCTCATATTTGATCATGTCTGGAGGCCTTTCAGCTTCTGAATACATTCAGAGCCGAATCAAAACGCATTTCGAGTCTGGATCAGGAGCAGAAATATCGAATGTGCGCGGCCTGCGAATGCTGCTCGCCGAAAACTTGTGAGTGGATTGTTGTGCTGTCTTCAATGTAAGACTAACCGTTCCCCACAGACAGCTCGCCGTGGTCCAGGGACTCGTCAGTTATCGAGCTCAAGAGATAGGACAAGATTGCGCACCGATCGTGCAACGCTGCGCACCTGTTAGCTATGGTGTCGTTGTCAATCAAAAGTACAGCCAACAAAGACATTATGGTCAAAGGGTGGTTCGAGATAGAAGAGACGGTCAGAGATGGGCTGTGGACCAGATTGAGTGGCTGATCCGAAAAGTGAGCGGCTCATAGTGTGAATCCATGGGAAAGTATCAGCAAATGACTGACGCGAGCCAAGGGCGATAAAATCACCGACAACGGCATCGAGAAGATGTTCAAAGCAAAGTTGAGTCCTGCGCAGTACCGAAAGCCATGGAAGGCTCAGTTCGTGGTGTCTACACGATCCGCCGACGCCCTCCCAAAGAGTATGGCTGAACGAGACCATGTGAGGACGCTGTGCACCGTGTCCGTCAACCTCCATCTGGTCGAGCGGCACGTGCGAAACAAGCACTGGTGGAATTTTGGGGAGCGTTACGAGCTTGCCCATTTCCGTGTGAAGCTCATCCCTGGTCGTGCCGACTTGAAATTCCGCCTGATCAGCGGCGGTCGGCTAGTGAACAGTGAAGATGATCAAATAAAAGTCGACTGGAGCAATGGATCCCACCGTCAATCAACAACAAGCAACGATGATCTGGATCAATGGCACACAATGTGATGAGTGTATGTCGATGCCGAGGAGGCTTGCAAAGTATTTGCCATCATATCGTCGCTGGATTTGTCGTTCCCAATAGATACGCGTTTCACCTGAACCATCTTCTGTTGCCCTACTCATCAGACATGATCTCTGTGAGGGAAGTTTCGCTTTCGATTCTGCATTTACGCCAAGCTTCCAGAAAGGTTAGCGGCGTCACATCCGCCCAGCTAACTCACGGCGCTGTTGATTGGTCAGAAGCTTTGAGTATAGTATACCACCTGGTATGGCGTAGGGATATATCCACTGAATCCGTCGTCGTTGTATTAGAAAGATCCTGGTTCAAATGGCCCGCGGAAGGGCAGGCAATAGGTACGGATCTGTAGAAAAGCATCCACAGCCCTCTCTCGTTTGTCAAGGCCCGTCCTTTGGTAGGGCATTCAGGACATCATTCATCCATCTGCCACTGATATCTCAGTTCCTCCTCTCTCCCCCTCTTCGAACGTGCTTGGAACCATTCTTTCTCAAAGCCGTTACTGCGATCGACCCCGTCCCACCGCCAGCCAGGGAGGATTCCGTAGCGATTCGGAGCGGCTGGGGGGCCGGTATAAACCTTTCTTTTCGCCGCCACTCTTCCACCTGAACTTCCCTTGGACTTTCCTGCAGACTTTGCGCTGTCTGCTGCTCCCTCCTCTGCCTTCTGTTGTGCTATGTACCCCGCCATTGGGTCGTCCCACCTGACTTTCGCACGTAGCTCGTCATTCATCTCTTCATCATCCACGCCTCTGGCCAGAGTCAAGAACTTTGCGTCCTCCAATTCTTTCCTGCGTTGCTCCCGCTCACGTCGCTGCACGTCACCCATTGCGTCCTCTTTTGCCTTCCTTTCAGCTCGCACCTTTTCTTCTGCAGCGGCTCGGGCTTCTGCTCGCTTTAGGCTGATGTCAATGCGCCGGCCGGTAGCATCACGGTAGATGGTCTCCTCCACCTCCACTGGCCCATCCTTGTGCTTTTTTGCCTTAGTCGATCTTTGCGATTCAAATTCTCTTTGCTTCTCACGCTCTTCCTGCGCGACGAGGGCGGCGGTGTCTGCAGCAGTCTGAAGGCCCGCACGGGCGCCAGACTGCATGCGCGGTCCACTATCTTTTTCTTCAACGATCGCGGGAGCATCTTCGTCTTCGATTTCCTGACGGCGCCGTCGCGATTCTTCCGCCGCCTCAGCCAGAATGCGGTCCGCTTCTTTTTCCTCCTCTCTATTATTTGATGTCTGGGTAACTGTTGAGGTTGCAGTTGCGACAACTTTCCAAGTGCCCCCGCCTTTCTTTTTTCTGAACTCTGCGGATTTTAAGCCTGCCTCGAATATGGGTGTCTCTCCATCCTCATCCTCTTCCTCGCGCCTTCCCCGTGAAGCGTTGCTCCGAAGCGACAGGTCTTCATCATCGTCGGCGATCACCAATCCACTCCCAGCAAAGTCATCCTTGTTCTTCCGCCGCTTCTTCTTTGGCCGAGTCGAATCTTGGAAGTCAGATGAGACGGTGTCCGACTTGGGCGCAGATGGTGATTTGGCGGCTGTGAGGTAGTTCTTCGCCAAGTAATCTGCAAGGTTTCCGCCCGGCATTATCGTGAGGGTTTCGCGACACCGTAATCCTCTTGTTTATGGATTCAAGAAGGTCCGATTGTAAGGTAAACCATATTGCTGTAAGTAAAGGGAGAAGCTTTCGAGAAGGTTGGAGATTGTTTTCTGCCCCATGTTTGCGATGTTTGTCGAGTTTGCACGGTTTGTCAGATTGATAAGACGTCATTGTTGTCGAGGCTGAACGCGTCACATGCTACGAATCCCTGTATCTAGAGGGAAGTGGTCGTGTAATGATACAGCAGCGTGCGGGATTCCTGATGCTATGTATTGCTTGATTCCTCCTTGCCACCCTGCTCCTAACGATACTCCCATGATCAAACGCCGATAATAATATAGGCACACCCACTGAAAGCTCAGAAGTGTTCCTCCTTTCCAAGGTCATTCACATCCTCAAGAAGCGCCGTGTAGTACCCGTGATGATTGCTCTATTGTTACAGCCTCGCTTCCCTAATGAATCCTTGGGGTATCTTTGATGAAAATGAAGACATACGGACATCAGCAACTTGGTTGCTCTGTTAGAGAATCATTATAATCGCGTAAAAGGCAGTCGACAACGCCGGTCCCAGGTCTGCTACACCCTCACGGGGAGTTGTCGTCCTCGTCGGGGGGTTTTACTTCAAATGAGAGTAGTCGACAAGCTCAAAATCGTCGTCCTCGTCGGTAGAAATCTCGGCCATTTCCTTATCGTCAATGACGTTGTATTCTGTGTTGACGAGTTTCTCGGTCTCGTTGCTTTCGAATCGTCGGACAGCTTGGATGATGGCCTGGCTGAGGATGTCACCACCAGCCCGCGGTCCTGTCGCGTGATCATAGCTATACATGAAGTCTCCTTCAGCGGGGATGGGCGCTTCAGACGCGTCCGGGACTTCCTCTTCCTCAGAAGCATCGGAGACGTTTGCCAGCGGACCGTCCATGGCATCAACCACCTCATTGCGGAAAGCCTTGCGAGCCAGGGTCGCAGCGTGGCCGCTCAGCTTGTTCTGAAGATCATGCTTTTGTTTGGCCTCTGATCGGCCGACTCTCCGATCCTGATCTCGACGATTCGGTCTGCCCATGCATTTGCGGCAGTTGTCTTCAGGGTACGTGTGCTTGTGGCAGTGATGTTCTGGAGGCTCTTGAGCTCCTCTCGCCCACTTCTTGTTGTGATTCTTCTCCCGAAGGAATGGTTTGGCTGCACTGCGGAGGTCGTTACTGGGCAGGGCGGACATGATATAGGCTTCTGTGGATTGGGTAGGTGATGTCGTGTAGAGTGAGGTAGGTGAGGTGTCGATACGTCTTGTACCGAAGGAGAACTATAGGTTTCGTGGAGTTGGGAGATTGCAAAGATGGACGGTACCTGGTCAGGTCCCAGCTGAGTCAAAGAATGACGCGTGCAGAGATGACTGTAGGGGGAAGGGACAAAGGAGAGCGGCTGCAGGGTACAAGGACTATGTACCCGGTACGTATGGCTGATGACGAGATACTGGAACAAAGAAGTAAGCAACAACAAAGGAGGTGTTACAGATGAAAGAAGAGAGAAAGAGGCTGGCTTGGGAGATAAGAACAGTGCTTGTTATTTGGATCAGACCCGTGATTCGGAGGTGAGGATGATGAGGGATGTTTTGTCACACGCCATCACTACTGGCTGAGAAGCTGGCACGCGGGGGCGGTTAGGAACCAAGAGGATAGGTTTCTGACTCCCACCGAAGCTTGATAGATACGGAACAGGACGTGTACTATCTACGCCTGCTGTATTGATCTGAGGTGTGGAGGCGATGAACAGACGATAGTTGTGATGTGAGGAGGGGCTGATGCATGAGCATGCCCTGGACGCGGGATGCTGGGACTAGCAGTTGAACGGGGATCATGCACGAGGCCAAGGCACAAGCGCGGGATTGGTGCAGCTGCTGCGAAATGGAGTCATCCGGCGTCACCACCGGCCGCCACCAGCTGCTAAAAACAATCTCAGGCAGTGATTTGACGAACCAAGGAGCATGTCATTATTGGGTGGCTTGGGCGCCCGGGAGCTTGAGGCAGAACGGAGATCAAGGTGCCGAGGGACGGGAGGGGGACCAAACAAGGACAAAACATCACCGCCACGAAGCGAGGGGGTGAGCAAAGCAGGGAAACTGACGCTTATTCCAGGGAGTCGGACAGCCCAGTAACCAGGTTCCTAGGTGCTTCCAGGTGTGTCATTAGTGATGACCCTCAGCCTCGGTGCTCTCCGGGGGGCTGAACGGCGACCCTCCAGGGCGCTGCCTGGGGTGCCCGGACAATAACATTCCATGACCTCACTCGCTCTCGTTTCCGTCTTCAAGAGTTGCTCGTCTCGTGTCCATGTGACGATCGTCAAAGCAACCGTCCTGTTAATACTCGTCCTCTGCTCGTATGAGACAAACTTTTGCATACACACCATGACCATCATAACCATCGTGATCATCACCCTTTGCCTGTCCAAACTCTGGTCCCGGACACCGACCAAAGCTGCGGTGACGACGGCCCTGGCAATGACTCCCAGCAATGACTCAAGTTGCTTTGAACGATGTTCGTCCGTTGCTCCCGCCAACCGGAACTTCCCAGTCACAGCCACCTCGTGTCATTACTGTTCTGACATCCCCGGTTAACTCCTAACAGGCTGCAGTGCTGCGCTGGTTGCACATTCCATGGCGAACCCAAAACACCTTAACAGCCAAGCAGGTCCCCAATAACTCAATTCCAAACAGTGGGGAGCATTGGCAATCATCACAGCTTCGACTTTTGGGGAGCTGCTGAATGCTCGGGCAAACTCCTCAATGTCTTGCTGCGACGCCTGGTATAGCGAGTCTCGCTCTCCGATTGCTGTTACCAGGGGGATTCTCACCTGCTTTGCGTATCCTTTCCAGTAATGGTCCCAATGAAGTCTCCTGTCTTCGAACTCCCCGAAGGGTGCTCGATGCGTTATCTCCTCCGAAATCCGCCGTATCTCTGCGCTCGCCAGTCCCAGCTTAGGGTCTCCAAACATGATAATGTCCTTCCGCCCTGGCGGGAATTCCACATATCCAAGCTGTTTCCCTCGGGCAAATCGATCCTCGCCCTGTGACTGGTGGTACGCTGACAACATACCACGGCCGGAAAGGATAAGCCCTACCCATGGATATTGCGGTTCCGTCTCCTGGGAATGCATGGCTGCAGCAACGATGCAGGGAGAACAGCCAAGTGAATGACCCATCACGACTATTGAGGTTGCCCCGGATGGCACGCCGTATTCCTCCCAAATCTTAGGTAGAATATATTGATGCAAGTACTTCCCTTCTTCTTGTGCATATGTAGACCCGTTGGGTACAGCTTGCAGATGAGAAGTCTCCCTGTATCCTGGACGATCGATGGCCACGAAAGGCACACCAATTATTCCGGATATCGTCCCAGCAGAATGTTCTGGGAGGGTGTCGAAGTATTGTGAGCTGTAGGTGCTTCCATGTAGCGCGAGTATCAAAGGTCGATACCGTGGGGAGCTATTCGTCCTGTCAGGAACAGAGTAAATGCCAGAAAGATGTGCATCGTTCGACAAGGTGAGCAGGAACGACTTCATGACGCTGTTAATCTGTTCCGAGACCAGTCGACCTTTGGGGTTTAGTGACAGGTCTCGAGCTGTGGAAAGACAAGCCGCTCGCTGCGCGTCGTAAGCGTGTTGTGGGGATGATATTCCTGGTGTTTGAGGGACAGCGATGGATGTAGTCTTCTGCGATCGAACCCTGTTTGCTTCTCATTTATTTTACTGGCTCTGCAAGTCATCCTCGCTTTCCTCATCTGGCAGTCTTGACGGAAACCAACCATACGTCCCGAAGTCAACTGTCATCTCCTCAATGCCCCTGGCGGGGTTGACCTCAACCCCCTCGGCACGCAGTCTCTCCGCTTGTCTGTTTGCTGCTGCTCCGTCATCGCCGCGCGGGCTGATACCGCCCTTGGAGTTGACCACTCTCTGCCAAGGGACATTCTGATCATGATAGAAGTATTGGTCCGGATTGGCAGGATCGAAGGTGGGCAGGTGTTTGAGACATACACCGACCTGTCTTGCACGTTTGGGAAAGTCGAGGAGGAAGGCAATGTGGCCGTAGCTGGTGACTTTGCCATGAGGGATCTGCTGGATGGCTGAATACACAGCTTCATACCACCATTGCGCTTCTTCTGATTTTTCTCGAGGCATGATTGCAGATGGAAAGCTCAGTCTCAAGGCATGAAGTACAAGGAAACAAATATTCGATGGACGGGCAATTAAAGCTGCCTTGGGGTCGAATGGGACTTACAAATCCGAGATGGAGATGGTGGTGACGGGATATGGGGATGCAGGGCGCATAGTCCAGAACCCTTGCCAACCGTGCTAGTAGATAGATCCCGCTGCGCTGCGTGCTTTGTTTATTTTCCCCCTTCGGCAGGCCCTGTTTTTGGCCTAATACCGAATATATCCCATCCACAGTCTGCACCAAACGTCGCCTTTCACTTCCCAGTGGTACTGGCAGAATTTCAGATTGTGTATGTTTTGATCTTCCACCTCAGCCCATTCCCCGCAACATGGCATTTCGCGGAACAGAAAGTTTTATGGACTTTGAATGGCAGGGCCACGGTCCCCTTGATCCCACCTCGCCCTACCATAAACGTGTCGTCGAGATGCAAGCCAAAAAGCGTAGGTCTTGCTGCCCTTCTGCGTTGTTGCCATGCTGATTGTGGCAGGAACCCATAGCGAGTTTGAATCTCCTGAGAAACCGACCATGCCAGCCCTTCGCGAACCGAACAATCAACCGTTCTTCTTCTCAGGAACCCCAGTGCCGCCGCCTGATGCCTCTTCTTTTCGAACACCCTCATTCACAACCCCTCGGAAACCATTCGATATTGACTTCTCATCCCCTCCCGAGAATTCCTCCCCGCTGGCACCAACCGACAACGAGGACACACCAGACGCTACTCCGGTGCCCATTGAGTTCAAGAGTAGCCCCTCAAAAACAGAGAACAAGAGAAACTCATTGTTTGGTCTCTACGGCAGATTCGCACAAAGCCCGGGGAGAGGAGAGATCAGAAAACCCACCAGCGATGCCGTTGCACGAAGGATCCACAAGAAGCGACGGCGCGCTCAGCAATTCGACAGACAATTGGTTGTAGGGAGAAAGGGCTCCTTGGACGATAGTGATGACGAGAGTGCCCCAAGTCCGATTGAACCAGAGCTAAAGAAACCGCTGGCGACAGAAGCAGGATGGATCACCGGCCTGTTCACATTCATCCACACGTACCCCGATGCACCTTCCATCATTGCCAAATACCTTCAAGTTTTCTTCAATGCTGCAATCCTCGGAGGCTGTCTCTATATGTTTTGGTCATTCTACGCCACCATTCAGGCAGACGTGGACCGAGCGAGCGAGGATGCAATGGCTGAAGTTTTGGCAGAAATGGCGGCGTGCTCCAAGAACTTCATCGAAAATCGATGTGCCGCCGACACCAGACTGCCAGCTCTGGAGGCTGTCTGCAGTAATTGGGAGTTGTGCATGAAGCGGGATCCTAGCGCCGTGAAGCGGGCAAGGTTGAGTGCACACACATTCGCCGAAATTTTCAACAGCTTCGTCGAGCCCATCAGCTTGAAAACCATGATCTTCACCATTACACTGGTTGTGCTGGGTTTGGTGGTCAACAACGCGACATTTACCCTATACCGGCGACAACAAGAGAGCCAGCATGTCTATCGGGCACCGTCTGGATCATATATGCATCCTCAGCAACATCCTGTACCGATGGGTCAATTTGCGCTCCCTTCAGGTGCAGCTTATGCACAACATCCTTATGTGGGTTGGCACGGAGATCCCGGCTATGCCGGCCAACAGCAGCTAGAATATCCTCGAAGTCCCAGCAAAGAGCATCGATCACGAAGCAGAAGTCCGGAGAAGAAAAGGATCCAACTCTGAAGGAGAACGATTGTTATGACAAGGTCGGCGGTTGGCATTGGAGTGTGGGATGTTTTGCTAGCGATGGAGATTTTGGATGGCATTTTGGTTTACGTGGACGAAAAGCCTCGAGGGAATAAACTCGCTGCAGCAAAGATACTCGTTACACTACCGGGAGAGGTCCCCATATTTGGGCATTGAGATGAGGAGTGAATTCCATCCACTTTTCCCAAAGGTCCATTGCGAACACTATCAATTGACATTGAGCTTCATGTCGTGTCAGAGAGTAGGTCTCTCCGGCCAGGGAAGAATCTTAAAGACCCCCGCTTTGTCGATTGCAGCCACCGTCGACATTGTCCTCGTCGACTAAATCACTCTTTTGTTCTGGATTGGGCCTTTAGCAGCTTAGCAAAGGGGAACAGGGAGGCTAAGAGCGCGTCCTATCCAATCTCGGTCAGCTCATCGTCCAGTAACCAAACATCTCACTCACCATTATGAAATCCGGTAGCAGCCACGAAGCAAATCGAGCAGAAAATGCACCTCCACCAACCCAGTACTTTCCCGTATTGCCCTTTTCGACCTGTCGGACCACCTTGAGACCGAACTGCCTCGCCGTGATGCCGTCTTCTTGCATCCTGCCGTCGCACAATCCTGCGATATAGTCCCGAATCCCATAGTAGTATGAGTTCTCGGGTATAGTCACTGGTGTCATGTTGGCGAAGACTCTGGATTTGACGGCGGCTGTCACGAGGGTCAGGGTGCGGACTCCCAGCGGCGCGAGCTCGAGACGCCAAGTTTCACTCCCAAGAATGGCAGCAGCCTTGGAGCTGTTGTAGATACTCCCGAAGGCTCCGAAAGGAACCACCCCACTCACAGAGGTATTGTTCACGACATATCCTTTTGCCTTGATGAGCAGCGGGGCGAAAGCCTGGATCATGGCCAGGACCGCCCAATAGTTGGTGTCGAACAGTCTCTTGCCCTCTTCAATCGACGTGTCCAAAGCAGGCATCACCATCAGCCTGCCACTGTTGTTGACCAGAACATCGAGCTTGCCGCCAGTCACCCCCGTGACACTCTCAACAGCCGCGGCGATCGATTCGGAGGACAATACGTCAAGAGTCAGGACGGTGACGTTTGGTGCTTCGGCAAGAGGCTGTGAGATCTTGGATGGTGTCCGGGCAGTGGCGAAGATATGATATCCCTTCTCAAGGAAGGCTTCGGCCAGCCCTTCGCCAATCCCACCGGAAGAGCAGCCAGTGATGAGGACTGACTTGGGTCTTGAAGCCATGGGTGTGTCTGGGCAAGGAATTATCGTCGTCGTTTGTCGGGGTTGAGGCCGAAAATTACTGTTCTTGTGCCGGAGCAGGAGAGCGAAGACGCCATGGTAACAGAAGATGCGTACCTACCTTTATACCCCAAGGACCGCCTCGTAGCTAGCAGGGTCTGCCTGTCGGTCGGACTTGTAACGGGTTGGATAAATGACGGACACAGACATTCACGAACTCTAGTGGTTGGTACATAGGGTCGGAGGTTTTGGATGCTTCAGCTATTAGTGGAGCCGCTTTGGCCTGAAATGGAAAACAATCTAGAGCTTGGCATGTTTAGCAATGGTCGTGAATGGTTTAACTGGTCGGCGCTCGTGGGGCAGCTCAGCGCGCCCGCGCCGCTTTTACATCTTCCTCACCTCACCGTCGCCCTCTTCTCACCTTCCACTCACTCTCACCCAGTTCGTCCCCTGTGGTCATGTCGGCGTGTCGGGCAGTGGACGTGGCCGGTTTCTGGGCTCCGTGGGTCCAGGTCCTGTCCTTCGTTCCCTGCCCGCTGAACAGCCCTTTTCTTCCTCTCATCTCCCTCTCAGGTTCATTCTCTTGGAGCATATAATGGTGCCCAAATCCGAGCCTGCCGGGCCTTCCGACTTCCTTCTCGAATCGTCCTCTGAGAACTCCCTCTTTGCCCTTTCTAGCTATTCATGTCCTGCAATACGTCGCCGATTTCCTCTCTCCCTGCTCCTCGTCTCCTCCTGATATCGTCCTGACATGGACGGACAGGATACTGCCGCAGAGAAATTATGAGCTCAAGCAGAGGCAAATGGATACACAGGAGGAGCGCAGGCAGAAGTTGATCAAGTCTGGAGTGGGAGCAAATATGTCTCCAAGACGAAGAAAGATCACGACCCAACTCTGCAACGCTATATTGCTCTAGGAACCCTGCCCGACTCCTGGCCTGGCCCTCCAAAAAAAAAAAGATCGATCCTGACATTGTGGTGTAGCTGGCACCTGAAATTGAGGAGAGACGATCAGGAGCGAAAAGGACTCCCTTTTCCAAATGAAGAGCAGCCCGCAGCCAGTGCTTAGGCACAGGTGTCCCTACTCCCGACCTGATCACGGTGAAACAGTTTCTCCCATTTCACATCGCCACCACCCACTCGCAGCTCGAGAAAGGTGAGCCAAAGCCGAGGCTTGGTCATACGCCTGTGTTGGCGGTCTCATCCACGTTGTCGACGATTGCTCCCAGGTTTCGCGAACCGGGTGCAATCTTTACTCGATGTCTGCTATAACAGAGCTGCACCACAAGGTGTTGGATTACGCTGTGTGTTCGACCGCTTTTCGATCTCCTGGCATCTATCTAAGTCAACTTCACTTTTCCTTTCGCATTGGCATTGCACCAGTGGCGCCGTGTTGTCTCTGTTGAGCAGTCCAATTCTGAACAGCATCTGTTAAAATCCCATCGATCTCATCATTGCTCCAGGACATTGAACCAGCGCTTTGGCCGGAGAACGAAGCATGCAGCCTGCCCAAAGTCAGGATCTGACTACCCGGACTCATGTACGGAAACACCTTTGCTATATCGAGCAACGTTTGCGCATATCGTAGTTCGCATGCAAAGCGCTGCTCAGGGATATATTTCGTCAACAGTTGTCTTCGCACATAGCATGCCAGCCCGGACATTGACTGGACAGAATGACTCTGTTCCAACGCCGACTGGGCCTTGAAGCTGCTGAAAAAGTGGTATCGAATTGCCTGAAATGCTTCCAATTGGGCTTGATAGTTGTCTTGGAAGTCTTCATGTATACCGCACAGGTGTGTCAGAAGCACGACCTGCAAGATACGCGAGGCTGTCGTGGAGTTGGCTGTGGGAGCTGTGATTTGTGCAAAGAGACCTATAGTCTCGATGTGTAAGGTGTGATCATGGTGGATGTTTGAGCTGGTGCTTTCTCCGTCATCGCCCAGCATATACAGATGCTCGGGCTGAGGCAGCTGGAGGAAGTTTTGTATTGAAGCTAGAAGGCGCCGTGCGGTATGCTCGAGTATGCTGGCACTGGCAATTCTGGGTGCTGTCCAGTGGAACAGTGCAACTAGATAATGCGGTTCGATCTCGGGTGCCAGTGCACAAGCATGAGAAAGCCCTCCAACACTGCTGAAGAGTAGATCCGCAGCGGCACTGTACACAGCATGCGCTTGCTGATCGCCATACCATAGCGCCACTTGCGCTGCTTTCGTAAGCGCGAGCACGGCACCCCCGAAATTGGAACGTGCTTCTTGGAGCGTGGACATGAGGGCACGACGACCTGCCGCCTTCTGAAGCATCATTTCCTTCGTCCTCGGCTGGCCACTTAACCTGAAAATTGACTCTTCGCTCATGATCGCCAGCCATAACGCAGCGACATCACTGTGCTGCAGGCACTGCCGTAGTATGAAAGTGGCTCCGAACTGAGTGCTTTTCTTCAGCCTTCATCGGAGTCAAAGCTCTGCGAAGGTCGTGTCGCAGGAGATGATTGATTTATGGAGAAGATACTTACGAACTTAGTACCGCTCGAGCCCCAAGTCAGAGGCACGACGCTTGTGAGCCCTTCATACCATCAGCGATGCAATGACAAAGTCTTTGCAGAGGTCAGTCTCACAATTCTGTATCAAGGAGAGGTGTCGCGGCGTCAAGATGGGACTGCCTGTGAGGAGACGTAATTCAGGATGGGAGGGGCGCTCTATCTGGCGCCCATCATGCCTTGCTACTGAAGTTCTGCGCGCTTCGGTGGACAGATCATTGGCGTGCTCTTCGAGCTTCTCCACGTACGCGGACGAAATACCCTTGTGTTTGGCATCATTCTCCGGAACGGCAGTTGAAGGCAGGATTCGTTTCTGGGACCTCGGAGAAGGTCTCTTTTTGCGAATTTGAAGCACGCGCCGCTCTTGCCTCGCGGCCGACGCAGTCTGTGGCATTATGTGGACCAGGCAACACAAAGGAGAGCGCAAGCTTCGAGGCAAATGAAGAAAAGAAGTAAAGGGAACTTGCAGGGTGCGAGGGGCTCACTCATCGTCCAGACTACTCAACAATCTAATGGTCCGGTCCGAGACCCGAGCATATTCCCTCCGATCATACAATACGAAGGAAGCAAGGCCAGGTTCGTTGCGGGATTCCAACACCTATAATTAATATAATAGAGCAAGCAATATTGTATTCGGCGGCAGGAGCTACTAACTAGCCAGCCAGTGCCAGCCAATAGCCGAGAAGCCAAGCCTTAGCTAAATCATAGTGCTGTTCCCCTATTCGGCTTAGCCTCCCTACCTCACTTACCCGTAGGATACGTAGCCACCCACGGCCTAGATTTCCTAACTGTGCCCCGACAGTTGGAGCACACAATCTGACAGCGAAAACAAACCGCTGCCATACCTTTACGAGCAAGCCCGAAACCTGCGGGACATTGCTTTGCAGAAGCTCATCGTTCCTGGCGTATCCTCTGCTGCGCTGTCCAGGCTTCCAGAACCTCGGCCCTCAACGTCTGTTGGCTTGCCGCAGTGGCAGCTACGTCGTTGGGTTCTATTGCCCGGGCAGTTCTGGCCAATGCGAGCACGCTGCCCACAAAGTATGAAACGAGCTCGTCCCTACGGCTCTGGCTCAAAAGAGCGAACACCTTCTGTGCATCTGCCTGTGCCTGACAAATACGAATCTCTTTCACATTGCCGACATCGCGGAACATTAGTGTACGAACGTAACCTATCATTTGACCTGTGGCGAAAGGATGGAGACCGTCGAGGTCGCTTTCGTTTTGCAGGCTTTTGTCAATGCTTGCCATCATACAGTCTTGGACTTGTTCCAGGAACTCGAACACTGTGCCAGGTGAATGAGTGAATTCGACCAGAGTCATCACAAGAGAGTAGACGCAGAAATGCGCTCCTGATGCTGCGTCCCAAACTCTCGTGCGTTCGACTGAAGTTCGGATCTGACCCAGGTGCTCGAGATAGTCAATCAGCGGCCGAAGCCTGAGGCGGTAGTGGAGAAGCGGCACAGCCTCTGAAGATAGCCGCGCCTTGAAGTTCGATGCCCAGCGGTGGACTTGACTCAAGCTGTAAAGATAGCGGCTGACTGTTGACTGAAGCCGCGATCTAGTCGGAAGGAACACTTCGGCCCGAACGAATTGAGTCACATACGATCTTGCACTGCAGAGGAAGAGCTCGGGACTCTCACTTCCGGTTCGGAAAATCGCCACACCGCCATTGGACTCGACGAAATCATCCAATGCCTGGATATGCATCTCCTGCAGATCGTGACGTCCACTGACATACTCTAGTATCGCTAGATACATGATGGTAAGTGCTTTGCGCGGGAAGGAAGCTGTCTCGTCAGAGATCAGTATGTTTGCCTGCTTGTATATTTGGGCGCGCCGATGATAATACCGAGGGCCTGGATTTCGTAGAGTGGACCGATTGAGTATGTCTTCACCAAGTACAGTGGAGACCAAAACATAAATCGGATCTTCATTGAGCGTTTGGAGGGTATACAAAGCTGCGCAGTATCTCGGCCTCTGAGAGGTGCCCCACAGCCAACATCGACCATAATTGAAATCTGTACCTCGTCAGGCGAGTGCGGACAGCTTATACCAGCTGTCGACTTACAAAAATGAAGAAGACTTTTGTCCGACTCGGATATTTCTACGGGGAGTCGGAGAAAGGGATCCAAGGACGATGTGATCTCTGAAATTGCTGGGAAAATATCATGTGCGCCGCGCGCCTGCCCATATGTAGGTCGAGCGCCTTGCGGGATCGTCGCCTGGGACACCCGAATTTGCCGGCCACTTGTTCTTGTGGCACGTATTGTCACCATTGACGTCCTGTGGGGCACATTTCGCGGCGATGGACGGGTTGGCAAACGCTGGTCAATATCACCTGGTCGTTCCGTCCACATTGGTGACCTCTCATTCGGTGCTGCGTTGCAGATAGTGCTTGCACATCCGCGCTCACTGACGGTTTCGTCCAGGTGGAAGATTTTATTCAAGTCCTCGAACGACAAATCCTCCTGTTCCGTGTTTTCAAGTACAGAGTCATCTTGCGTCCAGCTACCATGCATCGCCGTGTCTTGAGGCTGTCGCCGGGTATGGGGCACCTCTAATCCATCTGCTGAAGGGCCTCGCGGGCGTCGCACAATTTTGCCATGCGGTCGAGGCGTTGGTGGTATTTCAGGACGGGCAGCTGTAGGATCGATCAAAGTTTGTTGGCGTCGGCGTACGTGTCGCAATGAGGCAGTGTGCGACTGAACCACCGATAATTGTCGCCCGCGCCAGTTTTGCTCACTGTACTCTTTTTGGGACAGATTGACGAACGCTGAGTTACCGCCAGCCATACTGCCAACACGAGACGTGCGATGCCACGATGGAGAGCATCGTCAGCGAAGCATCGAACTTCTGGAACCAGAACCGCATTATCTTGACTGATGAATCCGTAAAACGAGGGCTCCCATGGCCACAGTGAACAATGTATACTGGTTGGCACCGCTTCTTTTGACGCTGTGCGGGAGCCGCTCGCAAAGACCGACACGTATCGACAGGGGAAGACTGATGTGAATGCCACTTTCAGAGAGGCAGGCCATGAATACGGAGTAGCAGCCCAAGCTTTTCCAGCAACACTTTGGACCCTGGTCTACGAAGCAGGATCTGTCCACCCGGTGTGCTGTGTGATTTGGCGAGTCGCGGCATTCGCGGCTTCCACAACGTGCTCGTGGCGGACCTACGGCTGATTGGAGTGGTGCATAAACTCGTTTTGCTCTAGCACCAAGCACACTGTAGTCCAGTTGGTGGGTTGAACATGACAAGCTGCAGCGCTCCTCGTATGGGTTAGCAAGCCGCCCAAACGGAGCAAGACCTGAAGTGCCTAGGTGATAACGAATTCCCCTCTGTCGGACAGGTAGGCATTGGCCTATGCCAATTCCAATTCCAAGTTAAACTCGACCCCGAGGTTGCACGACTTTTTGTGCTGAGGTGAGATGCATCTTGTGGCGTCCATATCTGGCTGAGGTAGCCACTAGCTATGACAAGATTCTCGATCTTGAGGCAAGGAGAAGCTTGAATGTACCAAGCTTTATCCAAGGCTACTAGTAGGGTCCCTGTCAAACGAGGGGTCATTCTTAAAAGATGTTATGAAAACAATGACGGGTGACGGTCAACGGGTGGTCACCCCCAGTTCACCCTGACTCGCGCGCGTCGAGGTGTGAGCACAGGGCGGCGTCGCCCGAGGCCGGGAGTAGGGTGAGGCCACTAGGCGCGAGCAGTCTTTACTTACCTTGGCAGGTTTCATTATCCCTTTGTGTCATCTCGCTACACCCCACGCACACCACGAGGTTCTATTGACGAGGTAGAAGGCGTTGCCATCGTCTGCTATGAGAAGACTCTCGCCAGGCTTAACTCCGAACTCCATCTAGTCCCCTTCGCATGGGACGACTCCCCATCTACCAGCAGCGGCAATGCATTTCATTGTAACAACAGGTGTCGAGAAGGCAGACGCACAGACGCAGAAGCTCATCAGAAGCCAGGTGATGCTGGGGAGAAACCGGGGCAAGTCTAACCGTGCCAAACAAGGACATTCGACCAGCTGGGCCGTTGTGGCTGATTTCAAACGAGGCCCTCCGGTGCCATTGAAGACATTTATCGAAGCATACTACTCCGCTATTCCTGGGAAAGTTGGCTCTGATCTATCCTCTATCGAGCTTGCTGCTGAGATGGACGCGGCTGCGTTTGGTGATGTGGTGAGATGTGGGTCACCCATACTCTCTACGCGTGCCAGCCGCTGACGGGACGGAAAACCAGTCTTTGACATGGCAGCAAGGGCATTGTTCCCCCTGGTGATGGTGACCGGATTCACCCACAAGGACATGGCGTGGTTTGATCCTCTGAAGTTCGACGCCGCCTATCTCCACGTCACCGTGTTCGCCGCCGAGGTCTTCATGGACAGGATATTAGGTCGACAATATTCCACCACCAACCAAGATGCCGCCGTGCATTTTTTGAAAGGGGTCCAAATCTTACGCAAAAGGCTTCTACTGGGAGGCGAAAGCACTGAACCTTCAAATTCGACCATCGCTGTGGTTTTGACCCTGGCCATCAGTGCATTTTTCATGGGCGAGGATGAGACCTTCAGGCATCACATGGTGGGCCTCCGCAAGATGGTCGACCTTAGAGGAGGAATAGCTGCCTTTACGGGCAATAAGCTTCTTACGGAAATGTTCAGGTAAGTGGTGGCCATCGCCCCAGTCGAATGTCGCCGGTCCAGAAGCGTCTGATGTGGCACAGATGCGATATAGGCATGGCAATGCAAACTGGGTCCCAGCCTCTCTTCTTTAACAACCCTCTTTCAGAGCCCGTTGTGCCTTATCCGGACCGGGAGCTGTTGTCAATTCGAAACAGCATCTCGACCACTGGCTCTCAGCGCGACTCGGAAAACTTGCTCGACAAGATGGATGCGAGTCTGGTCGAAGCCTGGAGAGTCATGGAGAGATTCTGTTCCATTGTCAACTTGGCGGTCGAAACCCAACGAATGCTTTCTCCGCCACTCCTTTACGATACCATGGCTTCGGTCATGTATCGTCTTCTCCATATGAAGTTTGAGAGCGGCTCCGTTGATGAGGCAGTACGGCTCAGCCTACTCGGGTTGACATACCATATTTTCCTCCAGTGGCAGTACCTCAAGTTGCCCTACGTTTACTTTCCGACCATCTACAAAAGCTGCCTTCTAGACCCCAAACTTATGGGCGTGGCCTCCGCCCAGTTCATGCTTTGGTTTCTTATGGTCGGAGCCGTATCGACATTTACCACATCCGACCACCCGTGGCTTAAGGATTGTGTGCGAGAACACGCCGACAAATGTCAGGTGAAGTCGTGGAACGAGATGCGGACGGTCTTGAAATCCTTCATGTGGATCGGGCTGCTACATGATAAGCCCGGCAAGGATGTCTTTGATTCCGTCTTAGCAGGATAGTCTCATCGGACGACCCCCTGGCAATCGACATGATTGCTGAACCATCTCGACAATTCCGGACCTGCGTTGGTTTATTTGACATTGAAGGCTGGGATCACCCCAATCGAACTCCAGCCTCCATAATCTCCAGCATCCCGCTCCTCCTTGATTTCAATCTCCTTCCGGTCCTCGAGGCACCCATGATCAGAGTAGTGCAGACAAAGGCTCCTTCATTTTTGAAGAATTTGGACGCAGCCCCTACGGTTCCGACATCTCCGTTACTAACCAGGCGTTGTTAGATTACAACCGAGAACGGTAGTCTACCTGTCTGATATCAGCGTTTAGACCTATGGTGAGTGTTATGCGAGAGTTACTGACCGAGAGCACTCCATCAGCAACTTCCCGCGAGATGTGCACCCAAAAATTTTTGTTCGCACAAAGCGGGGTTGACAACAGGGCGCACACATAACATACGCCCTTCGTATGAAGTGAGACGCAATTTTCTTTTTCTTAATAACCTCATCAATATTCAACACTCACCTTGACGCACTCTTCCAAGCCAACTCCGAGCCAGGACCAAAGATGGCAGAGCAACAAACGTCAACATACAAGATCCGCTACGCCACGGAGCGCGACGTGCCCGTGATTTTACACTTGATCCGCGAGCTCGCTATCTACGAGAAAGCGCTCGACGAAGTCTTCGCCACGGAGCAGAAGCTCCGGGAGTCGCTCTCGTTCCCAGTTGACCCCAAGGACCTGGACAAGGGCTTCACAGACGGCTATGCGAAGACGCTGTTGATCTGTCCTGTTTCTAACAAAGAAGATCAGAAGGAGGACGAGGAGGAGGTCGCCGGCATGGCCCTGTACTTCCACAACTACTCGACCTGGCACGCCCGGCCGGGCATCTACCTGGAGGACCTGTTCGTGCACCCGACGTACCGGGGCCGGGGGTACGGCACGGCGCTAATCCGCGCCCTCGCCCGCGAATGCCAAAGGCTCAACTGCCGCCGCCTGGAGTGGTCCGTCTTGAAGTGGAATACCCCGAGTATCGACTTTTACCAGGGCAGCAGCGTCGGCGCCACGAGGATGGAGGAGTGGGTGGGCATGAGGGTCGAGGGGGAGCGGTTGGAGCGGTTGAGCAAGATGGTGGAGGGGAATTAAAAAAGAACTCGAAGCACGACGAGGGAAAAGATGTTTCTTGGGCCGGAATGCATTGTTTCCTCTAGAAGCCAGGAACTCCATCGAGACGGCATTTGCGGAATAGAACGGCGCAGTGAACGAAAACGGTGTCGCCATGGGTGGTCAAGCAGCATGTGTGGTTGGGCGGTTGCGGTCAACATTAAGTCTCTTCCATCTCATCTTGTCTCGTCATGTCTCGTCTCGCCTCGTCTCGTCCGATGTGAACACCTGAACGCCTACGGCCTTGCCTGATTCCCACACGGTATGATCTAACTCCAAGTTCCAACACGGCAGTCCGGGCCAACAGGTTATTTCCCACGGCTGCATTCTGTCCCCAATCATTCGGACCACCGTCGATCGAATGTACAAACGTTCTGGGTGTTCCGGGCAAACTCCCTTCTGTTCCCTTGCGGCTCTGGAGCCCGACACTCACATAACCACACAACAACTGTTCTGCTTCTTGGCCTGTTGGTAGAATATCCTACTCTGCGCACTCAGGCCGTCACTCTTCGCCACGAGGGAGTCAATCTTCTCCCCTCGCTCCAGAACACTTTGGATTGTCTTGTGCAGCACAATCTTGGTCTCGTCCAACTCCCTCTGCACCTTCATGATGCTATCCGCCTGGCCCGGATCCTGGTATTTGACGATGTACTCTTTCAGTTGCGGGAACGGTCTCGTGTTCGGTGGGTTGGTCGAGTACGAGGATCGCGGGTTCTGCGCGGAATATTCGTCGATGATCTTGGAGAGGAGTTGATGCGCGACCAACGCCGGGTATTCGCCATCGGATATGATGATGCCACAGAGCCCCAGGCTGGTGCTGTAGGCGTGGAATGTGTAGGACTTCTCCTCAATGTCTGTCCTCACGCCCGGCTTAGTGCGTTCCGCCACGGTTTTGGCGAACACGGTCATGAATTCGCCATAGCTGGTTGGAAGTAGCATGTCAGTACTCGTAGGGACAAGGAGTTGAGGAATGTGCCACGCTTACCTGTCTCGGGTGAAGCGGGAGAACGAGGACAGGTCTCGCTCAACGGCGAGTTCAATGGCAGGGGCTGATTCGTTTCGAAGGACCTAGAGAGAGAGATGAGTATCTCTTTGCTGTGGCCTAATCTATGATCAAAGGGTATGCTCACTCCAATGTAGAAGATCTTCATTCTGGCGGTGTGTGTTCTTTGTTTACCAGGTGGAAGTGTCGGGAGAGTAGAAGTTTGTCGAGGTCAAGCAGTTGCTTGAGAAATCTGCACAGCAGCAAAGAACCTAGGGATACAATTCTGCAGTGAAAGGGGGAATTACAAGGAAGGAGGAGGGAGGTGTTGTAAAGGAAGGATAGAATGGATGAATCGACAATGCCTGCGAATCTCGACTTCCAAGGGGAACGTCACAAGCGTAGCGCCGGCACCAGACGAAAGGTCCCCGTGTTCTGTCTGCCTTTGTGGGCGGTGCCCGCAGCTGCCATCCCGCCAAAAGCCCCTCCAGCCTTAAGTTTCAGCCCCCATTATCTCCCCTAGACCAATCAGTCTTGTGCCTCCCTCGTCCCAGGCCCCCGCGATGCTTGTGAGCCTATCAAAGCCAAGTCCTGCTTAGGGCGAGGCTGCAACCGTGTGCGAGTCATCAACCAGCAAAATGAGACTTTTTCACTTTCTCATATCGCTTTTCCCATAACAACACAGGCTTTTCCGGCACAGGCTCCAGAATTGATTCTGATCGTACTGCATGTTTCAGACGCCTTTTCTGCATCGTCCATTCAGCTGATCGCAAAAATGGTCGACCAAACTTTCCGGTCTGAAGAACAATGGCTGGCTCAGGTGGCAGCGATGCGGCAGGCCATCGCCGACTTGAAGTTGCCGTCCCTCAACGATGCGTCGCAAATGTATGGGGCAGATCTTGACTTGGACGAAGACTTGAGCGAAGACGTTGATGACGACATCTGGGATACTGAAAGTGTGGCCGATGAGAGCCCTTTTACCGACGACGTCGACGACACGGTAAATGGATTCAAAACTCCCGACGTGGGAACCAACGGTGTTTTTGACCGGACGTGGCTTCGTTCAAAATGTGCTGCCTGGGCTCGCTCGAAGTCTGGCATCGATCCCACCGAGATCGAACACCAAATCACTGCTCTGTTAGCGTCAGACAGTTCGGACGAGGAATTGCAGATGTCGCTTGCCGATATCGTTGGATTTGATGATCTTGACTTTGTCATTGAACTCATCTCCCACCGCAAAGAAGTTGTGTCTTCTCAAACTGCAACCACTCGTCAGACTGATGGACTCTTTGGTACGCTGGAGACTCGTGAGGAACGAGCAGCGACTCTCAGACGACAGGACTACGAGCACAAACATGCTGCCCTGGCTCCAGCCTTTGATCGATCTGGGCCGAAATATCCGCATGTCTATAAGTCAGATATTGCCGCTACGGGCAATATGTTGGATGTGGCAGGCAGAAAGTACGCTCTCCCTGTCGGCAGTACCCGACACGACTACCCGAAATATGAAGAGTATTCAATCCCGGCCTCCAAGGTAGGCTCTCTTGCTGCAGGCCAGAAACTGGTCAATATCTCCGACATGGACGGTCTGTGCCAGCGCACTTTCAAGGGCTACAAGAGCCTGAATCGAATGCAGAGCCTACTTTATCCAGTGGCGTACACTACCGCGGAGAACATGTTAATTTGTGCTCCCACCGGTGCTGGTAAGACTGATGCTGCTATGCTCACAATCCTGCATGCGATTTCGAAAAATGTCCTACCAAATCCAATCGAAGAGCCAGCCGCCACGGAATTTATCGTGATGGCAGACGATTTCAAAATCGTCTACGTTGCACCCATGAAAGCTCTAGCTGCCGAGGTCACAGAAAAGCTGGGCAAGCGATTGGCATGGCTGGGCATCCAAGTGAGAGAATTGACCGGTGATATGCAGTTGACCAAGAAGGAAATCGCAGCGACCCAAATCATCGTGACTACACCGGAGAAGTGGGATGTTGTCACTCGCAAGAGCACTGGAGACACCGAGCTAGTCCAGAAAGTCCGGCTTCTCATCATCGACGAAGTCCACATGCTCCACGACGAGCGGGGTGCTGTTATCGAGTCCTTGGTCGCCAGGACAGAACGGCAGGTGGAAAGCACCCAGTCACTAATTCGTATTGTCGGACTGTCTGCGACTCTACCAAATTACATCGATGTTGCGGACTTTCTAAAAGTGAATCGCATGACTGGTCTGTTTTACTTTGACGCTTCTTTTCGTCCCGTCCCACTCGAACAACACTTCATTGGTGTTAAAGGAAAGGGAAACAAGGTTCAGCGCGAGAATCTTGATGAAGTCACCTTCCAGAAGGTCAAAGAGCTTTTAAAGCAGGACAAGCAAGTCATGGTCTTTGTTCACTCCAGGAAAGACACAGTCTTGGCTGCCCGCACTCTCTACCAAATGGCTGTTGAGGATGGGTGCGCCGAGCTGTTTGTCCCAGACCTCGACAATCCTGCCTTTGTAAGAGCAATGGCAGATTTGAAAACCACTCGAGGCCGTGAACTGCGAGAAATTGTTCCCAAGGGATTCGGGTGCCATAACGCTGGCATGGCGCGATCAGACAGAAACTTCGTTGAACGAATTTTCTCCGATGGTGCTGTCAAAGTCCTTTGCTGTACGGCAACCCTTGCATGGGGTGTCAACTTGCCCGCCGCCGCCGTTGTGATAAAGGGGACGCAGCTTTACAGTTCTGAAGCCGGTAAATTTGTCGATCTTGGAATACTTGACGTCCTTCAAATTTTTGGACGTGCTGGTCGTCCTCAGTTTCAAGACAGCGGTATTGGATACATTTGTACCACTTACGACAAATTGCAACATTATCTATCCGCCGTCACCCAGCAACAACCGATTGAATCCAAGTTCTCGCAAAAGCTGGTCGACAACCTCAACGCCGAGATCAGTTTGGGTACAGTAACTACAGTACAAGAGGCGGTGACCTGGCTAGGCTACACCTATTTGTTCATTCGCATGCGGCGGAACCCGCAGGCATACGGCATAGATTGGGACGAGTATCAAGACGACCCTCAACTGGGCCAAAGACGGCGTAAACTAATTATCGACGCTGCTAGAACGCTGCACCGCAGCCAAATGATCATCTTCAGTGAGCGGACGGACGAGCTTCGCGCAAAAGATGTTGGTCGCATTGCCAGCCAATACTACGTCCTTCAGAGCAGTATCGAAATATTCAATACCATGATGCGGCCACATGCAAGCGAGGCAGATGTTCTGAAGATGATCAGCATGAGCGGCGAATTCGACAACATCCAGTCCCGAGACAATGAAGCGCTGGAACTGCAGCGACTACGCCAGGAAGCTGTCGTATGTGAGATCGAGGATCGCAAGAATGGTCCGAAGAGCTCTGCAGAAGAGAAAGAGCAGAAGGTCATTGAGAACCATGCAAAGACCAATATCCTACTCCAGTCATACATATCCAGAGCCAAACTGGAAGATTTTGCCTTGGTCTCAGACCTGGCATACGTCGCACAGAACTCGGCTCGGATCTGTCGGGCTTTGTTCATGATCGCCCTGAATCGTGGCTGGGGTTATCAGTGTCAGGTACTACTATCCATGTGTAAGGCCATTGAGAAGCAAATATGGCCTTTTCAGCATCCATTTCACCAATTTGATCTTCCTATGCCAGTTTTGAAGAACCTGGATGACAAGGCACCTTCATCGAACATTGAAAGCCTGCGAGAAATGGAGCCAGCTGAAATTGGAAGTCTTGTGCACAACCACAAAATGGGGACGACTTTGACGAAGTTGCTCGACAACTTCCCAACGATGTCTGTCGAGGCGGAGACTGCACCTCTTAACAGAGATGTTCTCCGTATGAGGTTGTATCTCTACCCGGAGTTTGTCTGGAACGATCGCCACCACGGCACTTCTGAAGCATACTGGGTTTGGGTTGAAAATTCGGAGACCTCAGAAATCTACCATCACGAGTACTTTATCCTGAGCCGGAAGAAAATGCACGACAGCCATGAACTCAATTTCACAATCCCCCTGGCTGACCCTTTGCCTTCTCAGATATACGTTCGAGTCATATCGGATCGTTGGCTGGGAGCAGAGACCGTCCACCCCGTCTCATTTCAGCATCTCATCCGACCAGACACTGAGAGTGTGTATACTGATCTTCTCGACCTAGAACCCCTTCCGATCACGGCTTTGAAGAACCCGGCGCTAGAAGAGCTCTATGGCCAACGCTTCCGATTTTTCAACCCAATGCAGACTCAGATTTTCCATACTTTGTATCATACTTCGAACAACGTCCTCTTGGGTTCGCCTACCGGTTCTGGGAAGACTGTTGCCGCAGAGCTAGCTATGTGGTGGGCATTCCGTGAGAGGCCAGGAAGTAAAGTCGTATACATCGCCCCCATGAAGGCGCTTGTTCGCGAGAGAGTGCAGGACTGGCGCAGGCGGCTCACCATACCAATGGGTTTGAAGTTGGTTGAGTTGACTGGCGACAATACCCCAGATACACGGACTATCCGCGATGCGGATATCATAATCACCACGCCCGAGAAGTGGGACGGTATATCCCGATCGTGGCAGACCAGATCTTATGTTCGACAAGTGTCTCTCGTGATTATCGACGAAATACACCTGTTGGGCGGTGACCGCGGCCCTATCCTCGAGATCATCGTATCAAGAATGAACTACATCGCGTCTCAAGCGGAAAGCGGATCCATTCGTCTGGTGGGCATGTCGACTGCCTGTGCCAACGCCACCGACCTGGCAAACTGGCTCGGAGTCAAACCTGGAAACAATCAGGGGCTGTTCAATTTCCGTCACAGTGTTCGTCCCGTCCCGCTGGAGATATTCATCGACGGCTTTCCCGAGCAGAGGGGATTCTGCCCCCTGATGCAAAGCATGAACCGCCCGACCTACCTGGCCATCAAAAACCACAGTCCGGACAAGCCTGTCATTGTCTTCGTGGCATCGAGAAGACAAACCCGTCTCACGGCAAAAGACCTCATCAATTTCTGTGGCATGGAAGAGAATCCTCGGAGATTTCTCCATTTTGACAATGAAGATGATCTTCAGCATACACTATCGGCTGTCAAAGATGCCGCGCTGAAAGAAGCGTTGAGTTTCGGCATCGGACTTCATCACGCCGGGCTGGTCGAGTCTGATCGAACACTCTCCGAGCAACTTTTCGCCGCGAACAAGATCCAGATCCTCGTGGCCACGTCGACGCTTGCTTGGGGTGTCAATCTGCCTGCTCATCTGGTTGTCGTCAAGGGTACACAGTTCTTCGATGCTAAGATTGAAGGATACAGAGACATGGACCTAACCGATGTTCTCCAGATGCTAGGCCGAGCAGGACGACCACAATTCGATACGTCCGGAATCGCCCGCATTTTTACGCAGGCCTCGAAGAAGGCATTTTACAAGCACTTCCTACACACAGGTTTCCCCGTGGAGAGTTCTCTGCACAAAGTCCTCGATAACCATTTGGGCGCCGAGGTCTCTGCTGGTGTCATTACCACCAAGCAAGACGCGCTCGACTACCTGACCTGGACATTTTTCTTCCGTCGTCTCCATAAGAATCCAACGTATTATGGTCTCGAGATCTCGGCCGAGGAGCACAAGGAAAACCAGCTCACTGCAAGACAAGCTGCTGCCGATTATATGATCACGTTGGTGGACAAATCGCTTGACGATCTCGCGGAAAGTGACTGTGTCTTGGTGCATAGTAATGGCGACGTGGATAGCACTCCATTCGGCAAAATCATGTCGTATTACTATCTTAGCCACCTGACGATTCGCAAGTTTCTGTTGAAGGCGCGCAAAACCACCTCTGCAACTTTCGCGGATGTTTTGTCGTGGATAAGCCTGGCTACCGAATTTGACGATCTCCCCGTGCGGCATAATGAAGACCTTATCAACGCCGAATTGGCGAAAAACCTGCCCCTGGACACCGAAGGCCTCATGGAGAACTTACCAATGTGGGATCCTCACGTCAAGGCATTCCTCCTTATTCAGGCATTCATGGGCCGCATCGACCTCCCCATCTCCGATTACGTCGGTGACCAAACATCGGTTCTCGATCAGGGCATTCGTATCATCCAAGCTGGAGTGGACGTCATGACGGAACTCAACAGGTTTGATGCTGTCGTGCAAATGGTCAAACTGCTACAGTGCATCAAGTCTGCGCGCTGGCCGGAGGATTATCCACTCAGCATTCTTCCCGGTGTAGATGAAGTGTTTGACGAAAAGCTGGAAGGAAAAGTGCCCAAGGACTTGGTCACAACAGCGGTGCTGTCTTCGCGACATGGAGTTAAGACTATTGACGGGTTGATGAACGTGCTGGGGATAAAAGCCCAGAATAGTCGTGGAGCGTTCATCAAAGCCGTGAATGCACTTCCAGACCTTGCTTTATCAGCGACGGGCGAGACGAACAGTTTCCAACTCACTTTAAAACGCAGCAATCGATTGCTCGACCACGAAGCCAGAATCTACGCCCCGAAGTTTCCAAAGCCACAGACCGAGGGGTATTTTGTACTTGTTTTCCCTCCTGGATCCGCTTCAAATGACAAAGGTGTTGATATCTTGGCTCTCAAGAGGGCAAATTGGTCCACTACCAAGCAGGGAACTCAGAGCAGAGCGGTAGGGACTGCAACTGTCAAGCTTAAGATCCCGACCCCGGCATTGGATTTGGGAAGAGGACAAAAGGAGATCAAAGTCGATGTTCTCGTCATGAGCGATGCATACCCGGGGATGGAGTGGCGGCTGGAGAATGTTGTTGTGCCGATTTCGCAGGAGGAAAAGAACACAGTAGAGGTGAACGTTGACGAGGGCTTGCTGAAGAAGAAATAGACAAACAGAGACGGAATTAAAAGCATCCCTCGCTGCATCAATGGGTAGAAATGAAAGATTTGGATGCCATTTGAGAGCTACGAGCATTAACAACCCCTTCTGGCCAGTCATTGCTACCCTCCCAATCAATCACTCCTCGAACCAGGCCATCCCCGTCAATGCTCACGATAGCAACCGAGTTCGATTTGTTTTCTCAGCCTTGCGCCACGACCCGTTGCGCCATATGTTTGTTCCCTGTCTCTCTTGACCAGCAATCAGTTTCCTTCTTTCTCAGGACCTTCTTTTGGGCGTGGCTGGAGCTGGCCTGGGCTGATGTGGGTTCGGTTGATTTATCTCTGCGTTGTTGTCTTTCTCTTCGTCGTCTTGGTTCTGGTTGACATCCGCTCCTCCAAGCTGGGTGTTGTCCTCTGTACCTCCTTCGTCTTTCTCAACCGGATATACGGCGCAAGGGTGCTCTTCGCTGGCTCCCCTCCCTTCCCCGCGTCCGTCAACTCACGCTCGAACATCACGTTGTCCTCGTCGCCCGCCTTGCCCTTCGCCAGCAGGATTACCTCGACTTTAACCTCGTCGGCTCTACCGTTCACCACACTGCGCTGGTACCACGCTGCATATCCCGTTGGGTCCTTGGCCGGATTGAATGTGGTGTACAGGTGATTGCAGTATGGCTGGTCGATGCAGGACTCGCCGAGGTTGAAGAGGGTGGTCGTGACGGGGTTGCGGCGCAGCACGGTGTTGATCACCTCGGCGGTGACTTCCGACAATACGGCGTCGAGCAAAGCGATGTCCGTCATGGCTTCGGCTGCGGGGAGGATGAATGGGTCGACGGCATACTTTCTGTTCAGGAGGACCCGGCAGTGGAGGTTCTTGTCGTTGGTCTTGCCGAAGGGTGCGTGAGCGGGGGTTAAGGCTACTGCCTTGGGAGTCGCTGTTGGCTATGGTGATGTGGGCTGCTGTTGCTTCTGTTCAGCCATTGTGCCGATCCGGATGGTGTTCAGAGTGAGTTGATTTCCAAGAGAAGTGATTCACGAGATTTGACGGTAATGGAAGAATCGAAGAAACAGATTTGTGGCTGACACGTGGACGATGTGAATCTTGCTGCCTCATTCTAGGCTTAGTAGAGATCTTTATAAAGTGTCACTTACCCATCATTCACTAGATCACATGTCGTGACAGCAGGTGTCTGATTCACGATCTTTTGTTACTGGGTGTTCTTTCACAGCCGACCGACCCCCTTTTCCCCCACAGCCTTGTGCAGCCTTGCGACATGGGTGTTCCCTACCGCAGAAAAAGGTCTGTGCGCCTGTACATTGGACTTCTTCCCTGTTGACTTAACCTGTTGAACTCCACACCTCTCCACTGCGGACGTGAGCCAGGCCATGTACTAGGAGGAATAAGATAGAAAGTACTGGCCAGGTACGCCCAGCTCTCATACACCAAGACAAGTCCGTCTTGAGGGAGGATGCGGCAGAGTACCGCCCCGAGCGCTGGCTCCGCACGAAGGAGAAGAAGGCGCATGGATCAAAGAATCAGATAAGCCCATGGAGCATCTCTCTCACCAGCCCAAGGATCCACTACGAAAACGAGAATTGAGAAACCACAACAACGTCCCATCGAGATGCGGAATTGCCCTGTCGAATTCAACAGACCAGAGGCTGGCTGGCTAGTCATGTCATATAGCTCATTTTATCGTACTACTTGAGAGACAAGTCAGGGGTGAAACCAAATACCTCACTAGGGCTTAGAGGGGCGTCGACCTCAATGCCGAGTCTGACTTGCATACTCTGACCAGAACCGCAACGAAGCCCACCACGTTATGCAGGTAGTTACGTTCTGGGCGCGTCATCGAGAAATCGAAACGTTGAGGAACACAAGAGGAGAAATGGTCCCCAGAACTCAAAGATGGCAGCGACCACACTCATTGCTTGCAAGACGGGCGGTGGTCTCCGGGTCGCACATGGTCTAGTAACATTCTTTGAAGACGATAGGTCTTACTTTGCAGCAGCCAGGTTCAATTATCGGGTCGTGGTCACCGAGACTACTTCGGCAATCGAACGCCGCGTCATGGATGCACACGCCTCCGCAATATGACCGGAGGTGCAATTCTCCGCGCGACCGGGGTATATGCGTCGAATTGAGGAGCTGATCAGCTCAGGTGTACAAGAAGAGGGCAAGTTTCGGACCAAGATCAGTGGGTCTGAGCTGCTCTCGAATGACCTGTCAAGAGGAAAGATAGACAAGAGAGGGGTGAGGAAAGAATGGCAAGTCGATGGCTACCAACTGGTAGTCCAAATCTTGGGCCAAGATCAAGTATCTGTGTTTGATTGAGCGGGAGGTCATCTTACAAAGAAAGCCCTCATAGCTAACCAGATTCCCCCTTTCTGTTATAGCTCCAAGACCTCGACGGGGATCTCGATCGTCTTTGCCCTAATATAGTCTGCAAACCCTTTACCCAGGGAGTCGAGCAAGGTACTGGCCAACACGCCGCGACCGAGAATGCCGTACACGACAAAGTGCACAGCCTTGATCTCGGGGAACTCCATGCGCTCGATGAAGTATGTGTCGCGCCAGTCGTCGCCGATCAGCTCCTGCAGCTTCTGCCGCGACATGTATCCGCGGAACCAGTCCCAGTGTGCGGGATTCCTGGGGTAGATGCCGAAGTTGCAGTTGGCGCCCTTGTCACCAGATCGGCCGTAGGCGATGTCACCCAGCGTGACGGTTTTCGTGGGCCCCTGTGGGTTGCGCAATGCGTATGGTTGAGCGTCGAAGTTGATCCTTCGCTCCAGATGGTAGAACTCGGTCGGCAGTTTCGCGTCGATGGTTTTGGCGACCTTCCCATCTTTGCCCAAGATATGCGCTGCTTCCTTAAGTGCGGTTTGGTCGTATAGCCCAGGATAGAAGGATATGTATGGCTTGGGGTGAGCGGTGCGGTAGTCAAGCGACCAGTGTAGCCCTGAATCTCTGCATCAGAATGGAAAATAAGAGCAATAACGATTGAAAGAGGCCTGTCTCGAGGCCGGGTGGTACTTACCGTGAAAATGCTGCATGATATGATCTGCCCAGGCGGGAAATATCTGCGATATGGGCTCTTCTGTCGGGGCCTGTGCAAAGATACGGCAATAGGTCGTACTGCGGAGTTGGCTTCGAGGATTGGGCTCTGGCACGCCCACACTGTGTAGGGTTAATGTATAGACACAGAAGCAGTTTCAGGATCTGCTCACATCTGGAATTCGAGATTGTCAAACTTGTCCAGAACACCTCTCTCATTGAGGAAAAAGCGCATCTGCCTCTCGAAAAGCTCCCATTTCTTGTCCGTGGCGTACCCTACGGCGTTGGCTAGAAGCTGGCACTGATAACCGGCGTCATAGAAGACAGCTAGCTTGGTCGTTGGGGGCGGTGGGTAGCCCTTGATGCCGGACATTTCGACGCGGTTCTTGCCCACGTCCCGGATGGCGATGTTCGTTGTGTCGGCCGACACGTCGCTGTTCAGGTAGATGGCGCCCTGGATCTCGTAGAGAAACTGGCACGTGATGGTGTCGGTGTTCACGATACCCTTCTTGGTGTTTTCGTGCTTGGTGATCACCGCCGTCCCGTCGCTGGCCACCTCGGCGATTCCGAAGGGGAGATCCACCAACAGGTCCAAGTCGAACTGGTCGAACCCGGCGAAATTGGCGCCCGTCGTGTAGGCCGAGCATTCGATCAAGTGGCCGGCGATCAGGGCGCTCGCGAGTTGGTCGTAGTCGGTGGGTTTCCATTGATGCCAGTACCACGCCGCAGCAATTACAGGAGAAGCGTCGGCGACCCGGCCGGCGATGACGATGTCGGCGCCGCCTTCTAAAGCACCGACGAGACCTCTTGCCCCCAGGTATGCATGCGATGTGATGACTGGTCTGGATTGGTAGTCCTGCAGGGCCACGGCGAGCTTTTCGACTTTGACATCGGGGTTGTTAGAATCCAGATGATCTGGGATCTTGCCGGTTCGAGCGATTTGGTCTTTTGTTTCGTCGGTCAGATCATCGCCGGAGAGATAGGCGACCTTGAGTGAGTAGCCTTTCTCGTTCACCTGAGACTCGAATTAGATAACTCCCAGTGATTTCTAACCAGTCCCTATTGTCCTGGGAGGGCTCGTACAAGTTGTTGGACTTTGGCTGCCAGTCCGGCAGGGTTCAGGGCACCTCCGTTGACGATGACCTTCAGCTCTTTCTCGGCAATCAGGTCAATCGTTTGCACGAAACCGTCCCAGCAGGTCTGTTCCCAGCCCTCGTGCACACCTGCGTCCATTCCCTTCTTGTTTTCTGGGAGGTTGATCTCTATTCCGCAACGTGGTCGTTTTCATCAGTCCCATGTCTCTGGATAAGACGAATCCATGACCTGTCTCAGCACTTACCAGCGAGGTAGTCGCCCGTCAAGAAATCAACGTCGCCCCATTCCGCCTGTCGACGCATGTGATAGCCGGGGTCGGCTGAAAGAACGTTAGCCTCGCTACCAGCCTCGACGTCAACACAACCAAAGAAGAACACGAACTTCTTGCGCCCGAGACATTGGCAATCCTGGCGGGCCGCTTGCCTCGCTGATCCCATCTCGATTCTTTGACAATCATGGCCTAACTAAGTGGTGGGAAGGCGTGGTAGATGAGTTGATATGATTTCGCGGGGAAATAGGACGCTGGTGATCAATATATCTGATAGAGATCAGCTTATTAATGAGAAGAGAAGAGTGTATACCGGGCAGCAGGATGTGGCCACGTAGGTAAGTATTCTGAAGCGGAGAGAAATCTCCTGGCGGGCGTCTCCAAGTCGTTCAACGCGTGTTGCATGCAGCTGCTCCACAATTCCATGTCCCAGGATCGCTATTCATTCTCCATCCGACGGACGGTATCCGCAAAACCTGGAGAGCTGATTATGGGAAATCCCGAGGCTTCGGGGGCATGGACCACCGGAACTCAGACGAACCAACCAGGGGATCATCAGGCTGAATGTAGAATCTCCTCGGCAGCTGTCCGGATCTGGGAGAGGAATTGGATATTTTAACAGTACGAGGCGCAGACAAGGACTGAGAACGCTGTCTATTCTACATTACACGTCTTTATCTTGCATTCCTGCTTAACTACCATATCTGGGTGTTCACGAGGCGAAAATACAGCTGTCGTATGCTTCAGGGGCTAAGCTGGAGCGACTACATTGGGGGCCATTGCGTTATTCACCTTCTACGCCGCCAAAGGGGCACAATGGGCTGCCAGAAAGGCTCCTGGTCGTCTGACAGAGCAGACATGAAGTTAGGAGATAACATCGTTAGCGACTTGCGTAGCCTGGACGGTGAAACCTCATCTCCCTAGCTTCATTCCTTCTGTTGGCACGCTGGGGGGAGGATGACGGCGGATAGCGTGCGGATGCGAATGATGTTTCAATGTCTTCCGTACCGCGCATACGACAGAGTCTCAACATTGTATGTACTGACTCCAATTTATCATTCCACTCATTGCCAAATTTGAAATCAGGACAATGACCGTGGTTGCGGCACTAGAGATGGAGTCCCATACAATGATTCGGCCTGTAACCTTGAGCAGATCACCTCGTGCGCAAGTAAGTGCTTGCCATCTCAGGAGCACCGAGGAGGGCACAAAAAGACAAAGGCGAGAAGTGAGAAGGCCAACACACCCGAATCCATCTTGTCTTTGCCATCAGAGCCTTCGTAGGGGCAACATAGGACTCTTAATAGTGCCAGGGCCTCACCGTGGCGCAGCTCTTCCTCGAACGCTATAGACGGTTCCTTGAGAGGATAGGGCTCTTTGAAGCAGAAGCTGCTAATTGTGGTAGTCCAACCAGCGCGCGAATCTCTGGATCTGCTAATGTCCTTCCCGCTGAAGCGAAGGTGGCATACAACAATGCTTTACTGTAGTCCTGGTAGCGAACCTCCCTTCATGTCGCTGGGAAAGGCCTCGCGGCTGATTTAGGATGCCTTGCTGGGATTTCTGGTACTGACGTGGAAGGAGTACCCTGAACTGGAGGGGCGATTCAGGAGCCTCTAGTTGTATAGCCTCTCCATAGATGGCGTCTGTCAAGGTGAACCATAACGAAATGCCTTTGACAGTGTGTAGGCTCGAAGAAGGCCCGTAGAAGTGCGGACGTCCTCACATAATCTGCCAATGAGTCTGAGTGTGACTGTATCAAACCTTGACCTTCTGCGTATGCATTACGAGTCAAAATAGATACCCTAGTCAGCAGCCTGGCGCCAAATCCTGCCTTGCCCAGTGTCTAAAGGCTCATTTCGGCTGGTCTTCAAGAGCACTCGAGAGCGAAGTCGAGGTTGACACACGTTCTTTCCATGGATATGACGGCCCCCAATGATGTATTTTACGATTCTGACAACGCCTGTCCCAGTCAGGGCAGCGGGAAAGGAGGAAGCCAGGTTGTCTAGAGCCTCGGCTGCCTGAGCGGGGACTGATTGTTCAAAGAATCGAATCCCCACTCGTATAGTCCACGTTCTACCCCTTTCCGCTATCCATTCTCCATTCCTCACAAGGTTCTTGGAGTTGAGAACCGTTATCCGATGAAACCGATTGGCAGACTCTGAATCTCGAGAGGGGCGACACAAAGCTCGGACATCGATCTCCGAGCTTTCACTCCTGAGTACACCATAGACTGTCGACGGCAGGACCATGGAGTATTAAATGCACTGCGGGAAAACAGTTGAGCTTTATAATGGACTCACCTACACCGTGCTCACACGATTCGTGCTCCGGTTTCGGTCCGCGGTCCTGCAATTGTTGAAGCTTTAGGCATTCTTTACCCTTGGGGTCCTCCGTGTCGCGAAGGGGCATTATAAACCCAAACTTCTGACACGACAAAGGTCTTTCCTTTATCCATTTTCTTCTTTTTGGTAGACCAAAACAAACCATCTCAACCCAGATCTCGTGATACTACTACCCCCAAAACAACCATGCCATCCATCCAAAGTCGCGCTGTGCGCATCGGAGGGTGCGAAGGAGGAATCACTGACCAACATGGCGTTCTAGCACGCATGGCCCAAAACGAGGAGGTGGACGTCATCTTCGGTGACTGGATGAGCGAGTATAACATGACCACTCGGGGCGTGGAGAAGGTCCAAGACCCGTCAGCGCCCGGCTATGAAACCATCTTTCTTCAGTCTCTGGAACCCGCCTTGGAACATCTGGCGGCTAAAAAGATCAAGCTCGCCGCCAATGCCGGCGCCTCCGGTACGGAGCTCCTGGCTAAGCATGTCAGGGAAATCATTGCGCGGAAGGGCCTTGATTTGAAGGTGGCCTGGGTGTCTGGGGACGAAATCTCCATCGATGACCTCAAAAAGCTCCACACAAAGGGAGACAAGCTGCAGAGACTTACGACAGACAAGGATTTTTCGACCTGGGAGTTTGATCCCATCTATGCCCAGTGCTATCTCGGAGGTCGAGGTATTGCAAAAGCTTGGGCGGAGGGCGCGGATATCGTCCTCACCGGCCGCGTCTCTGACCCGGCTCCTGTCATCGCGGCGGGCATCTGGTGGCATGGCTGGAATGAGGACCAATTGGACGAACTCGCTGGGGCTTTGGTTTGTGGCCATCTGATCGAATGCGGCGCGTACGTGTGCGGCGCCAACTGGACAGGCTTCAAGTCCCTCGGAACTGGCAAGAGTATCATTAACCTAGGCTACCCAATTGCCGAACTTGCAAAGGATGGCACATGCATCATCACCAAGGAGCAAGGGTCAAATGGCATCGTGTCGACCGAAACCTGCAGAAGCCAGCTTTTGTATGAGATCCAGGGTCCTTGGTATTTCAACTCGGTAGGCTACATCTGAGTTCCTGCATGCACCTCTCCCCACACGGTAGGACTGATGGCTCTCTTTAGGATGTTGTCGCCGAACTCTCCAACATCAATATGGAACAGCTCGGCCCAAACCGGGTCAAGGTCTCGGGCGCCAAAGGCCTCCCGCCTCCACCGACGACCAAGGTCGGCATCACTGCCATCGGCGGCTACCAGGCCGAGACGCACTTCTACGTGGTCGGTCTCGATGTCGAGGAGAAGGCGGCGATGTTTGAGACTCAGGTTCGAGATGTGCTCCCACTCGACAAATACCACTGTTTCAGAATATCTCTGAACGGCAGACCACCGGCCAATCCGCGCAGTCAGGAGTCGGCCACGTGCGACCTACGCGTCTTTGCGCAGGGTCGCAATGCCGATGACTTGCAAACCTCTGTCTTCCTCCAGCCCGTCGTGGACACAGTCATGCAGACGTATCCTGGCGCGCAGTTCTCCTTGGATATGCGCCAAGGTACCCCGAAGGTGTATTATGTGAGGATTCCAAATCCCCGGTGAAATCTGCGTGTGATGAAATATGTGCTGACTAGACCTGTTGTCCTCCTCTAGGAATTCTGGGTGGCCTTGATTCCTCAGGGAATCGTCTCACACCGCGTCCATTTCATCGACAAGACATTCGACATTCCCGTGCCGACCAAAACTCAGACCTACCCACGGCACCAGCCGTCGTATGATCCTGAGAGCCCACTGCCCTTGACATCTTGGGGCCCCACGACCGTGGCTCCTCTGGGATACATCGTGCATGCACGCTCCGGAGACAAATCGTCCAACTGTAACGTGGGCTTTTATGTCCGCCACGCAGACGAGTTCGATTGGCTCCGGTCGACCTTGACAATTGCCAAAGTAAAGGAGCTTCTCGGTGATGATTACAAGGGTGGGCTGGTCGAAAGATTCGAGCTCCCCAATCTCTGGGCTGTCCATTTCCTTTTGCTTGATCATCTGGACCGTGGTGTTGCCAGCAGCAGCACTTATGATATTCTCGGGAAGAATGTCGCCGAGTATCTGCGAGCCAAGTATGTGGAAATACCAACGAAGTTCCTAGAAAGAGGGAGGATCTGAAAGATATTGTTTTCTGTGTATCAGTTTCAGTTTCGGTAGCCCAACATCGCGACGTAGCCTCGTGGGGTATATCCTAGAATTCAAAATTGATCTTGGACAAGATCGTAATGCACCCGATGTATTCCCTATGTCGTGCGAAAGCTCGCCCTCCGATAGTTCAGTGGCTGGAAGACCAGTGAACTCGTAAACAGCGGAGTGACGAGAAACTCTGCTGTGACAAGTAATGAAGCTCGCTTCAAAGCAGCGCAGGGCCAGCCGGTCAAATAACAGAGTAAGAGGACATGGCACAATCGCTGAACCACCCGAAATCATGAACCCATACAAAGCCAACACGCATATACTCACACCGTGCCAGATCAAGAGAGTACAGCGCTAGACACTGCGCTCCAATTTTATTTTCTTCCCTGCGAGACGCTGGATGGACTTCCGTCATGACTGGCGCGCACCAGATCTGCGCAATGTGCTTGCGGTCAATGTTATCGGGCGTGTACCTACCAACTGGCGTTCGTGTGTTCAGATCAAAGAGATTGTCTCCGGATCTCCAGTGCGCCGGCGCCTTGATCTCTTCCAGTAATGGATCGAGCCCACCGTCCCGAAAATACGGGCACGCCGGCTTCAAAAACCCCCTGACCCGCAACCTCCCAGAAGATGTCTCACCGAAGGGGTTGGCTCCTTGGATCTGAACGGCAGCCTCCTCAATGTCCATGCAGCTAGCGTCTGGCTTCTCTTGGATCAACTCTCGAACGAAGAAGGTGCACGTGGCCGGCAACGAGGCCCAGGACCATGATGGAGCCCGGTACTCCCGCAGGTCTGTCCTCGACGAGGTGGAATCGGGAGCCGTCCACATGAGGCCACGGTGCAGATCCGGCTTCCACAGCCCGGCAACGTACTGAGCACCAGAGGCGCGGTGGATGGAGCTTGCAATGCCGGAAATGGCGGGAAAAACGTCGGAAGGATAGGTAAGACTGCATTTGCCGTAGAGCATAACAAGATCGTACCACGCATCGTAAATGGCTTTCGTGTCGCGAGTCGCTTCATCGGGTATTCTGGTCGAAGGTATCTCATCTGGACCGATAAAAGTGTCGCCACCTAGTTTCTGGAGTCTGTCGAGAATGGGTTTTACGACTCGATCCTCGTTACTGCGCCCGATCCACATCGACGACCCTTCAGGTATCTGCTCGGACGCCTCTTCGGTCCTGCATCTCCAGCTCATTTGAGTCGTCGAAAACATCAACAAGCGGGGAGAGAGGAGGCGCTCTTGTAAAACCCAAGCGCGCTGCCACAGCGGTGGGCGTTGAAACCCGTCGGTCTTCCTGCTAGGGTCTTCGACGTGCGACGGTCTGAAAAAGCCGGGGGTTAATAGTGTCGGGGGAGGCAGAGTAACAGCCATGGGATAGGGAGCGAGCTCCAAAGGGCTCGTTTGGCTGAAAAGGCCTCCCGAGCTGCCTGAGGCGTTGATGGCGGCTATGGTTAAAAGGGAATTTGCATAGTATTCCCCCATCTTTCTCGACTCAATCTCCCAGTCGAGAGCGGAGTCTTGAACAATGCACAGGCTGTCAATCCACACAAACCGGACAGCCAACGCACGCGCCACCGTCACAGTGTCATTGAAAGTCTGGGGCAAGCTGCCCAACGGAATTCCGTCCATTCTGTCGGACATTGTTGCAGTCGTAGTGGTCAGTATTCTCTCATGCCCCCAGACGTGACTGAGGGTGATGTATCTGCCCTTCTGACCCTGACTCGCAGTCAGTTTGACGACAGCTCCGCGGCCGGCAAGGTCCACTTCCAGTACTCTAGTTGGAAGTTGGGGATCGTCTGAGCGTGCATCGCCGCAATTCGGATGCCAACTCGAGCAACGCCGAAGCCATTCCCGCATGAGCTGGAAGTCTTCTGGACTACCCATGCGCCGATTCGGCTTCGTTGATTTGTCAAGCAGGATACTTTTGAGGGGTTCTACTCGGATGGGATGGGATTGTAGTTAGACGACTTGAATCCAGCCTTAGTATGCTTCTCGGGAAGAGAAAGCACCAGGGAAGAGAAGAGCCGTGACCGACCTGAATACTGTACGAAGTCGAAAGGGACTTTAACTTCGGCATGGGGGGTCTTTGCCACCAAATAGAACTCTCGCTCCTCGAAATCCTTTCGCTTTTTGGTCTCTTGCTCGTAATAGCGTACCTCCAACAGCCCGTCGTGTCGAGGTTCTGGAGACTCGTGTCCCCTGTGAAGACGGAGCGCATATCGGAGCTGGATGCATGAAGGGCAACCTCGCTCGGCAGCGGAAATAAGATGGCGGATGGTCGGTTGGTGTGCATGCACGTAGTACGTCCCGCTCAGTTCCGAAGGTTGGTAGGGCAAGCCCTCCCAGCGATGAGGCGCGTCGACGTGGTGGTAATTGACCAGAGATTTGCTGAAATCGATCGAGCGGCAACAGTCACATAGTGTTGTTTCGCCATGCATGTCCTGAGGGTCCATTCTTGAAGGGCAGAGGCCTTGGTTGTGACAATTGCATCAGCCTTGTCCCTAGTTCTTGTGGACACGATGAGAGCAGTCGTTGGCCTTCGATTAAGAGCGCGCATTCATATAGCTTCTGCGGCCTATCACGACATATCTGGAGCGTGTTATTCCATAACGAAGGAGTCCACCTTCAAGTTTCAAGATGATTTTGAAGAAGGCTGAACTTGGAAGATCTAGATTATCCTAGCTTGGCAGATGGGCACAGCGCCGTCCAATAAACGACAGGCTAGCGGCACGCCTTGAAGGGGCGTAAAACCGCGCCCAGGAACAGATCCTCGCGCCCATTTCGAGCCAAGACATCCTGTCTCCTAAGTGTTAGCCATCCCAGAGAATTTTAGAAGGGCGTAGGGAAATGATGGGCAACGGTTGAGTCGCTCACAAGGGGGCTCGTTGTAGCGTGAGCAGAGTTAAATCGCCATATGTGGGTGATATGGAGGCGTCAGTCAACTTATTATTTTGGGCGACGGCGCGAGTTAACCAGAAAGGGCGATATAAAGGAGAACTAATCCCAATCGAGGTTGAAAGTGGAGATGTTCAAATGACCATGAATGACCATTCATTCTCCCCACAAGCCCTCCACAACAAACCACCATGTCAACGGTTCCGTAGCCAAATCCTTCTCGATGTCGTAACTCATACATTGTCAAGTTGGACTTATGGATTCGCCGAGAACGGTGTGCGATTCTCCATCTCTAGTCTGAATTGAGCAAGTTTTCGCGAAGCAATTAAACCCGGCCTAGAAGATGCCCACTCACCCCCATGCGCAGAGAAGGTCAAGAGACGGGGTACACCTGTCTCTCAACCACCATAGTAGCTCCGATGCTTCTTGGCCTTTTCATAAATATCTGATTTCAAGAGTTGAGGCTTTCACAAGAGCCTGCTACCCGATCAGAAGCCATGGGTTTGCGCGAAAACAAACGCGAAATGCCGTCCACAGTCACACTTGCGGAATACCTGTTTACACGCCTTCATCAACTTGGGGTTCGTTCCATCCACGGTGTACCGGGCGACTACAACTTGAACCTGCTGGATCATATCGAACCGTCGGGTCTTCATTGGGTCGGGAACTGCAACGAGCTAGATGCGGGATATGCTGCGGATGGCTACGCACGGATCAATGGGATGGGAGCACTCATCACTACGTTCGGAGTGGGAGAGCTGTCAGCGGTCAATGCCATCGCCGGCGCGTACTGTGAGCGGGCAGCAGTGGTCCATATAGTCGGCACCCCGGAGAGAGCTATTCAGGACGCTCGCCTAAGGGTTCACCACACCTTTGCCGACGGCAATTTTGAACGTTTTGCGCAGATGCATGCCCAGATCACGGTAGCCCAGGCGAGTCTGAAGGACTCTCAATCGGCGCCAGAGCAGATTGACGTCGTTTTAAAACAGTGTCTTCTGCACAGCAGGCCCGTCTACCTCCAGGTGCCGGTTGATCTGGTGGATGCTTCCGTTGATGCGGGCAGATTATGGTCGGAGTGTCTCTCAGCAGAAATCACTTCAACGGACAAGACTACTCCAGCCCACGACCTGGCGCTATCGATAGTGCTGGAGAAGATCAAAGCCGCTAATAATCCGACCATCTTGGTAGACGGTGAGAGCAGAGCACTCCGGATCACCGAGGACGTCCAGCGCATCATCGACATCACGAAATGGCCCACCTGGGTGACGGTGTTCGGGAAGGGGCTTGTGGACGAGACGGCTTCCAACGTCCACGGAGTCTACCGAGGCAGCTATGACCCGAAGGCGAAGGCTTTCGTGGACAATTCAGACCTCGTTCTCTGTTTCGGTCCGCACTTTAGCACGACCAACACCTTCGACTCTACCAGCATTCCTCCGCAGGCAGTCACCATTACCTACAAAGATAATGAGATCCGGATTGGCGACCAAATCTTTCGCGACATCCCCACCAGGTCTGCTGTGTCCCATCTACGGCGAGAGCTGAATGCCTTGGACTTACAGTTCTCGGGAACCAAGGCGGCCTCGCTAGGTTGTAAAGCCCACAAGGTGTGTATTTCATCGCTTCCGAGCGAGCAACGCATCACGCAAGACAGTCTGTGGTATCTTCTGGGCAACTTCATCCGTTCGGGAGATATCATCCTAGGAGAGACCGGGACTGCAGGCTATGGCGTCCAAGAGATGACACTCCCGCGCCACACGCGTGTCTTCGCACCGGTAACATGGCTCTCGATCGGGTACATGCTTCCCGCGGCTCAAGGGGCAGCCCTAGCACAAAGGGAGCTTATAGCAGCGTCGTCCTACCACGGCATCGGTCAGGCGCGGACGGTGCTCTGCATCGGCGATGGAAGCTTCCAGATGACCGTACAGGAGTTGAGCACTATCGTGCGGGAGAAGCTGGATGTCATCATCTTTCTCCTCAACAACGATGGCTACACGATCGAACGATGCATCCACGGCCTAGAGAAGCAGTACAACGATATTGCCAGTTGGCGCTATCTGCAAGCGCCGTATTTTCTGGGCGCCGACGACAACGTCTTTACGGCCACTGTTCGCACTTCGGGGGAATTGCAACAGGTGCTGGCGTCGAAAGAAATGTCCAGCGGTAGAGGGTTGCGAATGGTGGAAATAGTGCTCGACCGGGAGGACGTTCTGGAGGGCCCTCTGCTTGATCTGCTCAGAGAGGAGAAGAAGGCTGTATCGGGCGAGTCATAGTGTATCTCTCCGAGAACAATCAGAACCAGTTTTTTTCCTTCGTTCAATCGCCCAAAGCGCTCTTCTTGAATCGACCCAGTGTAAAGAGACAGCCACTCATTGCATGTTGCCACCCTTGAACTATGGGAGTTATACAAGTTGTACACCGTATCTCGTCTATGCCTCTTTCTTGCCCAACTTCGGCAGATGCTGCCTCAGCTCCTGCCAGAACCCAAGCGGGACATCCACAAAGGTGGCCTCGTACGCGTCGATCACGGGACGCTCCCAGACCAGGTCCGCTTCCTCGGGCCTGACGATCTTCGTCCTCTTCACAATCTTGAAACCCACGTACAGCAGCGGGCAGACGAAGCACATGGTGTAGTAGGAGAAGAAGGTCCCGACGTCCCACCACCCGGGCAGGAATGTGGTGTAGCCGTACGTACCGACGATGCAGATCATGAAGATCATCGCCACCCATGCCACGTACGGTTGGCCCCAGCCCCTGTAGGGCAGGTTTTTGCGGTCGTAGCCCTGGGCCTTCAGAGCGCGGTAGAAGAAGAGGTAGATGATGCACTGTGGAGCGCAGCTGATGTGTTAGCAAAGTGGAACACGCACGCGGGACATGAAGGAGCTTCTTCTCACCATTACAATAAAGTCGATGATTTGGGACGCTTCCGTGAGGTTTGTCAACCTGGTTGTGACGTTAGCGCCTGTCTGGGTCTCGTATGGGACGGACAGGGAAGTTCATACCAAGTGATGACTTGCGTGCTGCTCGTCCCCAGTGTGAGCAAAGACAGGAGCGGGAATATCATGGTAATGCAGAAGCAGTACACGGGCACTCCAGCCTTGGTGCATCTCTGTAGGAATCTTGGAGCATGGCCGTCCAGAGACAGACCGTAGAGCGTCCTGGAAGCACAGTACCTGTGAAGTCGTCGTTAGACTATGATCCACCAACTTTGGGATGTTCATCAACTTACACGTAGGTGTTTCCAGCCGAGAAGATACTCGTCACGAGAAGCGCGTTGGTCAGGTCCGGGAGTACTGTGATGCCCATATTCTGCATGGCAATCACGTAGGCGGACGCGCCCGCCGTTCCCGCAGAGCCTCCGTTGAGAACGGCGTTCAGCGTCGGGTCGTTGTAGGGCACCACGATGCCGACGCACAGGGCGCCAAGGATGAAAAAGATGCCGAAGCGCCAGTAGACGGTCTTAAAGGCCTGTTTCAGGTGTTTTCTCGGGTACATGGCCTCGCCGCTGACCATGGCCACGTACTCGGGTCCCACGACAGTGAAAGCGGCCATGAACAGAGCGCCCAGGAAGCCCTCGAAGCGGCCGAGAGCGCCGGTGGTGACATATTCTGCAAAAGCCTATGGAGATTTAGCAACAGTTGAGACGGTTGTGAATATCGAGTATGTCTCACCCCGGGATTGTTCCAGTATCTAAATCCGTATGCGTCGTGCTGTGGGTTGCCTCCCACCTATATCTTGTTATTCAATGATGGCAGTAAATGTAGCCATAGAACCACACGTACCATGGTCACAAAGGTAAAGGCAAAGACGATTCCCACCAAAACGACTTTACCGCCCGACAGCCAGAACTCGGACTCGCCGTACCACTTGACAGCAAAGAGGTTGATCAATCTAAGACATTAGTACCCATCAAGGTATCAACCCTGCAGGATATGAGCGTACCCGTAGAGAACAACGCAAGCAAGGCAAATGGCGACCTTGGGGATATTGTCGGACCAAAAGGTCAGCACGAGGTTGAGGGCTTCGATCTCCCAGGGGATCAAGACGGCCTCGTAGAGGAAGAAGTTCCAGCCCACCATGAACCCGAACGCCTCGTCCACCCACTTGGACCCCATGCGAATGAAGGACCCGCTGACAGGCATGAAGACCGCCATCTCAGCCATGCAGCTGTTGACGAGTCCGAGCATGCACGAATACAGAGTGAATGTGATGAACAGGTTGCCGGGGCCGCCTTCAATGAGACCATAGCCGATGCTGACGAAGAGGGCCGTCCCGATCGAGCCTCCGATCGCGATGAGCTGCATTTGTCGGTTTGTCAATCGGCGCTTGAGAGAGTCGACGTTCTCAATCACCGCAGAGGCCTCGCCCTCTTGCACCTCGTACACGCGCTTCTCGCCCATCTTCTCCACTGAATGCGTGGGCACAGGTTTGATGAACTCCATGGGTGAATCTCGCTGTTGTGGCAGACACAAAGTTGTCGCTGCGTCCCGCTTGGGGTATCACATTATTTAAGAGATCGCCACCGTTAGCATACTCCGACCCTGCGACCGTGAGGTATCAGACGGGAGAACTGCGACATTGATTAGACCCGTGGCTAACATGATCCAGCTTCCTGACAAGGTAAACCAATACGATAGGTGGGAGCGATAGATCCTTTGGGAAGAGGAACATACTTCTCCCGAAAAAGGGTGGTAAATGGAGACTTCTTATCTGTCCATGGAGCCTAGATCAGCGGTCGTCCCCTGGTCCGAAGATAAAGCCCTGCAGCCAGCATATCTTGCCCCTAAGGCCGCTACTTATTCTCCCGTAGTTACAGTAGACGCCCTGCCCTTCCTGATCCATCCCGCGCGTGTTTACCACGTGGTACATCCAGGGTTGTGCGAATTCGTATCTCAGTGGTGAACTCCGCAGCACTGAGATGTACAATGATCGCCACAATCTCACCAACAGTGAAATTCCATACTGGGCACTAGCTCAGTGAGACGGTGTTTCTGGTGCAGCTTCCCCAGATACCGGGGTGAATATCTTGCGGAGCGCTAACCCAAGACGTCCAACTGCTGTGACGAGACTTGCCTCTCCTGCAGATGCAAAGGTCAAACGGAAGAAAACAGCATTCTCATCCTCAGCCAGAGATCTTCCAGGCCCATCCACCAATTGCCCATTACTCCTAGAAACACCATTGCAGGTCAATGCGGGCGCTCGAAAGTGGCTTCCTTTGCAGGCTAGCACCCCTTCTTTCAGCCCCTCCATGTAGATCCTGTCCTCGATGCTCAACAGTGCTTTGTGCCTTGCTTCTGCATCCATTGGTGTCCGGGACATATCTACCAGCCTGCGACAGTCAACCTTGAGCCAGATGAACATGCCTGCACGGATGTCACTCCAAGAGCATACATCCGCCAGCACACCTCTTCCAAGCTCTATTTTCATGGAATTGAGGATTACCGCGGCTTTTTCCTGGTAATTGCCTGCCAAAGCCTTCAGCCAGTGGAGGAATCCAGCGTGTCCCCAGGTCTCCGATACTAGCTTATACACAGCCAGCTGGCTGAGACCGCTTGGATGGATGAACCCTAAGTCATGCGCGGCTTGAAAGGTCTCGACAATCGCCTTTGGCGCTGTGAGCCAGCCCAACCTCAGCCCCGGCGCGAGGATTTTGGACGTACTGTCGAGTCTCATCACGCGTCCGGTTTGAGAGAGCGAAAGGTAAGACGGGAGGGCTGGTGTCTCTGAGTCACTCCAGCTGTGTGGGAAAAGTAGGTAATAGTAAGGGTCATCTTCAAGGATCATGATATCGTGTTTCTCAGCAACATCCAATATCTCTTGCCGTCGATGACGAGGCTGAGTTATGCCGGTGGGATTGTGTCCAGTCGGTATCGTGTATAGCAGCCTTGGTGTCGGCTTTCCGGGCTGCAATTCATTCCACGTTGACAGTATGTTGTCCAGGGATCGAGGAGTTAATCCGTCTTCGTCCATTTCCACAGGGACCATATTGAGACCTAGAGCTGTCGCCGCCTCTATCATTCCAGAATATGTGTATTCTTCCACCAGGATGAAATCACCGGGGTCTGCGAAGTTCCGAAAGGCAGTCTCCATGGCAGGCGTGTTGCCTCCAGTGAGACAGATCTCCCAATCCGAATATGGTGGACCATGAACGTGAGAAACGTGGGTGGTCAGATATTGAATGAGTTGCTCGGACCCAAGAGAATAGCCGTAGGACAATGCGATCGACAAATCCATCGAAGCCGACGGATCTTGCTTGCGTACCACGGCTGACCCTTGCTGCCCCTCGGAGCTATTGCTCTTGACGGACGGAGGAGCAGCCCAGGCACTGGCGTTGGGCAAAGAATATGCAAACTCCATTCGCTCAAATGGATACGTGTCTGGCGATGGGCGTCCCGTGCCAAGACTGATCATATCTTCACCCAACTCTCCCACACTGGCCTTTAAAGACGATGGTTGTCTGATACGTCCTTCGCGACTGAGGAACTTGCGGACATCGATCCCTGATTTTGACTTTTGACCATAGCAATCTGCTTTAAACAGGTCTGCGGTTGTTATTGGACCTAGAGTTCTTTGCAGTGTACCGAGATCTTTGAGATGTGGAGGACTCTTTTGCCATGTAACCCTGCTTTGTCCAAGTCCATTTTTCTCCGAGCCTGTGTAGCCGCAGCTTGCACTGAGTGTATCGGCGATAGAACCCATGCCGCGTGCTCCAAATGTCTAAGAAGCAGCGCCCACAAAGTGTCTAGAAGCGGCTCCCACAAACTTATACGACCACGGCGTTAGGTTCGACATTGTCAAAGGGCGAAGCTTGGCGTAGAAGACTGAGATCTTTGGGTCAGACATAAATGCTTCATTCGGCAAAGCGAGGTCCACGGCCCGCTCCTGTGAAACCAATCCCGATTAGGGCAAGAAAGGGAGACCAGCAATCCCACAAAGGCTGAGGATCTGTGCTCTTGTCGTCGAGGGGGAGGTGGCGGGGAGCCTTCTTCCCGGCGAATTAATTCTCATCACTGGTTATCGCCACGCCCTTCCCAGGCCCTGATAAGGTTGTAATGTTGGCTCACCTTTTGCATTATGAGGGACCATGCAAAGGCAACTCTCTCGCACATCTGTACACTTATCGGTTCAGACATGTCGGATAAATTATCTTTACTGGGATACGAGCTTTCGATGTAGCGTGTACCGCGTTTGGCGATCTGAAAAAGGGTGGAATGATTCGTCGTATCACACATTCAACAGCGAAGTGGCGTCTGTGCTTGTGATAGTCCACTGCTACCGTATTTATGGCTGTCATCACCAGAAATGTCGTTTCGCTGGCAAAAATTGATAGTCATAGTGAAGGCATTCCCACAGGAATTGTAGATCTGAGTTTCGTCATGGAAGGGATATCTTCCAACCGGTGTGTTCATATTGAAACAGAGAAAATGTGACACTCCGACCATCGGTGTGAGGAACCCAGGTATCGGCAACCGGGCATGATTGCCTCAGTATAGCACTCCATTCGCTGCAACGTTTTGCATTTGCAGACTTCTCCTATATTGTAATGGTTGAGGAGATAGGAATCCGAAAGATTGGACGTAACGAATTGATCTTGGGGTGCAGCATTCTCGCCTCCCGCCTCCCTTCGCGTGTTGAGGGTAGAGACTGTATATGTAGTTCCTTCCGAGAATAATGCATTGTGTTCTATCGCGATCTTTGGACCGAGAATGAGAATCTGTACAGAGAATTCGAGAATTCCGTCTCCTGGTAGCCAGCCCTATTACCGTTATAGGCTTAGCCTCGAAACGCTCTTGGCTCGGCGCTTGGCATGTTTGCAGCAGGCTTGACCTTATCAGACCGAAGCTTGTCACAACGACGACACCTTCTCCTGCTTTTATCCAAAAGGACTCTTCATATTGGCTATCGATACCGCATCAATTAGCCCCTAGGCCTTCAGAAGCCGTCCCATGCGAATCAAAGGGTGGCTATGTGACCAAGTGCAATATGGATCTGTGATCACCACAATGGTGGCCGGAGAGTCAGGCCAACAACCATCGAGCCCACTGGCAAACAAAGGTGCGCATAAACCTGAATACATTAGTGCTTCATGCTTAGTGTGGCCGTTTCAGATTGTCGTGTTTGTAACAGAAGACGAATCCATTGCGACCGTGCTCTACCATTCTGCGTGAAATGCGCACGAAAAGGCGTTCAGTGTCCTGGTTACGGACCAAGATTTCGTTGGACGAATGCCATTGCCATCCGCGGTCGTTACAAAGGACGAGGTGCGCCTGACTTATCTCGCCATGCTCGATCCCTCACCTTCGAGCCTCAATCATCGCAGACGATTGATGAGGAAAGCATTCCAGCCCCAGCTTATCAGCCTGGTCTTGCTTTGGCTCAACGGCTGCCTCCGTCTGCAGCAAAACGTCTACTGCAATACTATGCCAACGAAATTGCACCACTGATGGTCTGGCTAGACTCAGATAAAAATGAATATAAGCGTTTAGTTATTCCTCTAGCAGAGACGGATACGATCTTACGTTTGGCGGTTCTTACCATTTCCGCAGAACACATGCCGGAGGAAGATTGCATTCCACCCGGCTTTTCACAGTCGACAGGCGAAGCCACCATTATGATGATCACCGAACGTGTGCGCCAGATGACAGTATGCAATATGCTCGATACACCGATTGACGTCAATGGTGGTGTCACCGCGGGAGTTCTAGCTGCCATGCTAATTCTTTCCAATCATTCACTACTACGGTCAGAATTATCGCATGCTCAATCACACAGACAAGCAGCTCGGATTTTGATGAACTCACTGGCGTTGAAACGGCCTCCTAATGACGACCTCACCATTTTTCTGAAGAACCAATTGGCCATCTACGACGTCCTTGCATGCACGACACTGTTCAACTACGAGCATATCCAGGGTGCCATTTTGCCACATCTTTCACAACAAGACGTCCCATTTGGTGACTTCCTGAAGATTCTGCACAGCGTCACCGTCATGTCGCTTCACGAAAAACATGCGAAGCCGGCTGAAAATCTTGAAGACGAATTCAAACTTGCAAATGGTTCAACATTACTGGCTGCAGGAACGCTCACTCAGACACTGACAATGCCGTCCAAACGGGACTTCATACGACTTGTTCAAGCATATCATCATGCTGGGATTCTTTACGCATATACTCGACTGAGCACGCCTGATGATTATGCGCGAGCGATGTTAGTCCATACGGATGAGCTTTTCTCAGTCCTGGACCAATTCGAGGACATTAACGCATCTTTACACAACCTGGCCTGGCCTCTGTTCATTGCCGGAGCCTCTTGCTGGGGAGACGAAAAGCGCATGGGGATTATTAGCGGGCTGTGTCAGACTTTATCGACGAATACGCGGTTTGAGCACTACACAAACATTTCGATCTTTCTCCAAGAGCTCTGGCAAGGCTCGAACTCTGATTGGACCCTTCTTGCTCGTCAATGGGAAGAGAAAGGCACTCCAATCATAGCCGTCTGAGTCGGTAGGCAGGTGGTGTCTTTGATTTGTGTGTCCGGAGAGAAACAATCTGCGTAAGCGCTCTTTGAAGTTGTTGTGTCTCGCTCAACGCAAAGCCAGTTTGAAGGCTTCAGTCGTGGACACAGTCCTCAATGCTGCCTTTGTATAAGGTGGAGTTGGAGGATATGGTTGATAACGCCAAACTCCCTAAGACTTTCCACCTACGATCTAAATCTCCTGCCATTCAGCTCTATGCTCTACTTGAGGTATTCCTGGATAACCTCTTCCGGCGCATCCTTGTGCAAGAAGTTTGGAATCCTCTCAAACATTTCCCATGCACTGCGCCGCAGAAAGTCTGTCTGCTCTTTTACCCATCGCTCAACCTCTTCCCGCGGGACCATTTCCCCAGAGTTCTCCTTCTGGGCCAAATCTGCCAGAACCAAATCTATACGACCTCGAAGACGCGTAAGCTTTTCCTTTAGAAACTCATTGCACATCAGGGGGATGTCATCGTTTGCGGGATCGACACTCCGAAGCGAAGAGTACCGGTCATCGAGATTGGGATCCGCGTAGGTATAGCTGGTTACCATGCTTATTCGCTCCGGCACGTTGGTCGCCCGCAGGGCGGCATGTTCGGTGCATCCGCCTTGCATGATGACAGCTCCTCCTATGGTTGGACTTTTGACCTTGATGATGGAGCCATCTCCCGTTTTGATAGCCGTCTCACCGCCTTGCATGGCACTTGTATCACTGAGCATGACCACACAGACAACGGGGACTTGGTCTTTGTGCCAAGAGTCAATTGGGACGTTGTCGTATGCTGACTTCTCCAGCTCAAGCGGCGACTGCGGTGGCAGAGGCGTTTCTGTGAGCTTATAGACCCCAGCCAACCCGTCTGGACCAAGTTGGATGTTGACCATACCGATGTCACCCGTCTTATAGAGTCGGCGCAGTGGAAACCCTGCAGCTCTGTCGATTGCAGCCTGTGTGGCGGGATGTTGCCACGCCTGCAGCATGAATTTCGCCGTCTTTTGCTCACAAAGTTAGATCAAACCATCTCTAATTCAGCATTCTTGCATCTCGAGACAAGCAGAGAAGGAAAACCCACCTTCTCATGACCAGCAATATACGCCGGAGCACGATCCCATGACCTCAGATATTTGTCCAGCATTTGCTTGCTGAGCATCTCTCGTCGCAGTATACGCACTCCTTCTTCGGAAAACAGAGGAAAGGGATCCGTGTAGCACAGATCTGGGGCATTATGCGGTTTCGGCAGTCCTACTTCTCCGAAAGTATGGCGTTGAGCCGGTGGTTGGAATGCGAGGTGAATTGCAGGATCGAAATCGGGCAGCTCAACCTCATCGACAAATGTGGCTGGATCCGTTATTGGAATAGCAGTCAATGGTGTCGCAACATCGGCTGCCATGTTGGATAGTCACTGAGGCGGGAAACGTGATGGCGTCTCTCACTTGCTGTGTAGGCGGACAATTGGTGTTGATAGACGGGAGTTGCACTCTTTATCTCGCACAGTTTGCCCAGAAACCTATTCCTACACTTCTCTTTCTCCAGGATTATGTAAAGACTGTCGAAAATACTCGACCTTTGAGGTCCTACGCAGATAACGGCATGTTATCTGCTTAAGGTATATTTGAGGAGAAACCATTATCGTCGAGACGCCACTACTATGAACTGCGTGAAGGATATTGGCCGAAGTGATATACACCTAGAGAAATCGTGTAAACTCCATATTCGCTGCTGCTTCATGCTTGCAGCGTCTTGAGTTTAGACTCTTCCAATTCAGGAAAATATATGCACACTTGGGCTCTTGGGCGGGCAAACTCGTCCCTAGCAGCCTCGCCCACTGATAAGAAACGAGCCGGCTCTGTTATCTGCCTTCTAATTTAGACAGCAGGTCAGAAATTTTATCCTATTATGGTTAGCAATGCGAGCAGGGTTTCAACCCTCGGCTAATGCGAGGAAACATGAGTCTCTTTGCTATGCACATGCCAGCCCGCATGACGCGCGGGGAGAGTAGCGGAGTTTACGACTTCCCCCACTGGTCCCAAGATCTCCCTCTTGATGCTCAAGAGAGCGTGGAGGATATTATCTACAGCCGAAAAGATCGAAACGGGAAATATTTGGGAGGTGTGGCGAAGCTATATGGACAAGACCACCACATTGCTTGGTCAGACAGACAGTTTGATCTTCTATTGGAACTCAAGCTTCTGCTAATCCATGCGAGAGAACATTGTTAGACAACATGCCATGACAGATATTACTCACCAGCTAAGCATCCGCGATCTGACAATTTAACACGGCAAATGGTGAGTGATTGAAAGAAGAATGACGCTGTGTCTATTCTTGCAGTAGTGGCAAGGTGCTGGTACTGCCATGGCTTCGTGTACTTGGGAAAGGAGAATCTGATATTATTGTCTCAACCTCAGTCAAAGCTCTCTTTGCCAGAGACTTTCTCTCCACAGTCATTAAGAGGGTGCACAATCTATCTGACAGCTCACTGACCATCTGTGGTGTGCCACAATCTCAGACCGCACCATGGCAAGCATATCCTCTTTTCCAGTACCAATTCAGATCCGCGAGCACGATGAAATCAGACTTTCCGACGACATTATCCTGTCCGCCATGATCTGGCTACCAGAAGATGCGACAGTGAAACCAGTACCCGCAATTCTTGAGTATTTACCCTACAGAAAACGCGATGGCACTGCAGAGCGAGATGCTCTCAATCACTCTTACATCGCCTCCTATGGATATGCATGTGTCCGTGTCGATATGCGAGGCAGCGGGGATTCTGACGGCACTCTACTCGGCGAATACCTTGAACAGGAACAGGACGATGCCCTGGAGATCTTGCAGTGGATAGCTGCGCAGGACTGGTGCTCTGGGCCGATTGGCATGATCGGAATCTCATGGGGCGGGTTCAACGGGTTGCAAGTGGCGGCTCGACGGCCGCCCGAATTGAAAGCCGTCATCTCAATCTGCTCGACCGACGACCGGTATGCAGACGACGTTCATTACATGGGTGGCTGTCTACTCGTCGACAACTTCACATGGGGCGCGACCATGTTCAGCATCACGCCGACCCCTCCCGATCCGGCTCTGGTCGGTGACAAGTGGCGGGACCTGTGGATGAGTCGCCTGGAAGCAGGAGGAAACTGGATGGTCGAGTGGCATGAGCACCAACGGCGTGACGAGTTCTGGAAACACGCCTCGATCTGCGAGGACTACAGCGCCATTCAGTGCCCCGTCTACCTCGTCGGCGCCTGGTCGGATGGATACTCGAACACGATCTTCCGCATGCTGGAACACCTCGAATGTCCTCGAAAGGGCTTGATAGGGCCCTGGGCTCATGCGTATCCCAATTTCGCCACTCCCGGTCCGCAGATTGGCTTCTTGCAGGAGTCCCTCCGCTGGTGGGATAAGTGGTTGAAAGGCAAAGAAACGAGGATCATGGACGAGCCGATACTCCGCTGCTATTTGCAGGATACTGTGCCTCCTCGCACGCAGTATGATTTCCGTCCCGGCCACTGGGTGGCTGAGAAAAGTTGGCCCTCTCCACATATCACCACCCGCACTATGCGACTCTCAGCCGGGCGTCTGAGTGATAAGCTCTCAGAATCATCAGATAACCTACTTTCAATCTGCTCTCCCATGACGATTGGTCTTGCCGGCGGTCTGTGGTGCCCAGGCCTTGATCTCGATCTTCCCGGGGACCAGCGTGCCGAAGCGGGCGGCTCCCTCCTGTTTGACAGTACGCCGCTGAGCCAACACCTCGATATCCTTGGTGCTCCAATTGTTCATCTCCGCGTCGCAAGCGACAAATCAAACGCTCTCGTCGCAGCTGTCCTCTCCGAGATCCTCCCAGACGGCTCGGCCACCAGGATATCTTTTGGACTGCTCAACCTGACACATCGTGAGAGCCACACACATCCGATCCCGCTAGAGCCGGGGTGTTTCTACGACGTCACTATCAAGCTTAACGAGTGTGGTCAACGCATCGGCATTGGAAGTCGCCTTCGTCTCGCGCTGTCGACGTCATACTTCCCGATCTGCTGGCCCTCTCCTGAGGCTGCGACTCTGACGATTGACTGCGGCCAGAGTAATTTCGAGCTTCCCACCCGACCACAAAGCGACCAGGATTCCCAGCTGAGACCATTCGAGCCTGCAGTAACCGGAAACCCCGTGAAGACGAGGGTGCTGAGACCCGGGAAGAAAATGAGTGGCACCATCACCGAGGACACCGAAACAGGCCGCAAAACGCTCTGTCGGATTCTGGATACGGGCCTGGTTGAGTTCGTGGCCATCGGCTGGCACTACGGAGATACCAGCACGAGCATCTACTCAATTTCGCCGGAGGATCCGCTGTCGGCCTACGCGGAGATGCAGTTCAAGCAGGAATACGGCCGGGAGGGTCTCGACTTGGTTATTGAGGGATGGTGCAAAATGACGGCGACTCGGACCGAGTTTCATTTTACTGCTCGGTTTGATGCGTTTGAAAATGGAAAGAGAGTATTTGGGCGAGACTATTCCTCCACTGTTTCACGCGACCTTGTTTGAGAAGGTTGTTGTCCATAAGGAAAAAGCACGCTGCTGAGCTCCTCTCCGCGTCTTGAACGCACATGTTTGCGATTTAGATCAAGCACTGGACAAAGAACGAAATATTTTGAACCTACAGATATTCAATTTGAGCTGGAAAAAAAGGGGTGCTTCCGTTTTCAAGTATCAGACCATTACTATCCAACGATTTCAAGGTATCATGGAGAATGTTTCCTTCGCCATTACCGTCCTTTCAAGCCTTTCTCTGCGAATGAATGCAATAGTCATATAATCCATTCCAACAAAGTAGCTTGAGCCGCTGATCTACCTCAAAATAGACAACATTTACTCTGCATGAATATCACGCCTCTGTACATTCGGGTCATTGCGGACGTATTCCTCACACTGCTCCTGGGCCTTCTTCACATTGACGCAGCAGATCAGGACGAACCCCACGAAGCTGAGCGAGAGCGAAAAGGGAAATCCAGTCCAGGTGTTCCCTGTGCGGTCAATGATGACGCCGCAGATGATCGGTCCAATCCACGCCGTCGAGTTGCTGACCAGCGAGTAGATGGCGAAGAAGCTGACTTCACGGCCCTTGGGGCAGATGTCGCTCAACATGGTGGCGGAAAAGGCGTAGAATGGCGACACGAGCAGGCAGTCGAACACCGAGTAGCCCCACACTTCCCAGGTCTTGTGGAACCCGAAGTTGGTGGTTCCGATGCCAATGCAACCTGATTTCGATGTTAGTGATTTGTTAATTTTGAAATCCGTCTTGCTCGGAAGGAAAGGAACCTACCCCAGATCGGCACGACAAGCAGAAAGCAGGAGATGGTCATGAGCATGGGTTTCGTGCGGATCTTGAACCGCTTCTGGATGAACCAGAAGCTGTAAATACCGACGGTGCTTGCGACGCCCTGGACAATGGACAGCTCGGTGGAGACGGTGGTGCTATAGTCAACAATCAGGTTCTGGCAGATGCCGTAGATCTGGTTCGTCGTCGCGTAGCCGTCCGAGATGAGAAAGTAGCCAATGAGGTACAGCCAGGTCTGGCTAAGCTGCCTGATATTCTTGAACGCGAACCAGTAGTTCTTAGCGCCGATAGAGAAGTAGCTCTCACCCTCGGGAAGTGGCGTGGAGCGGGATTTTTCCAAGAAGAACCACGGAGTGCCGGCGAGGATCCACACTCCCGTGGACAGACCGACGATAATCACTGCCGCATTTAGGTTTCCAGAGTCAGACTCGTTCGCGTGCAACCCGTATGCAGCTCCGAGAGCAATTAGAAGAGTGATGGTATAGCCAGCGCTGGTGCAGCAGAATGCAATATTGCTGAGTCTGTTGCGTTGTAGCGACTTCTTCTTGGTGTATTCCTCCTCGGTGAGCTCTCCAGCCTCATAAGCTCTCTTAGCTTCAAGTGCCTGAGGAGTGTTGCGAGCGAGCTGGGGGAATGACGGGGTCCAAAAAGCATAACAGAGATTGTATGATATACCTGTAGATATCAGCCAAACAAACCCACGACCAAAAAGGTTTGATGATCTGCTTACTGGTCAAGATATAGAGCGCAATCGCAATGTTGTATTGTGAAGGGTGCTTCAGGCCGAGAAACCCGAACTGTGTCCCCCAGCAGACAATCGAAGCCCCGATCAAGACCGATCTCTTCCATGGGCCGTAGTCGCCCATCGACCCGAGGACAAGTAGAAGGACACTCTGGAACGCAAAAACGAGGCCATTGCAGATCAAGACCACCGTGCTCGCGTTGATGTTCTTGGTGCCGAACTTGACGAGACATGGCGCATTGGGATCGCTGCAATCCTGACTTGGGTCGTTCCCATTGAAGCCGGCATCGTAAAGCAGGTACTGGAAGACTGCCAGGTGTTTGTCAGTTCACGGGTCAATAAATATTGTATTCGAGAGGTTCACCCACTCAAGGGAGCGTATGCGAGAGGTCCCGCTGAGTTGTTTCCGAAGTAATACGCGTACCACGACCACAACTCAAGTCGAGTTGTCACCGGCTCTTCTGAGGTGACAATCTCACCCAAACCAATAGGGACGGCTTCTTCTAATACTTCGGTAGGTTCCTTTTCCTTGATATCGGCGGCCTGTGAGATAAGCTCGACTGCGTGACCGCCATCACTGGATAATGCTGCAGCCATGGTGATGACAAGAAGTACATTCACTTCTCGGAATGACAGAGACCCCAGCCGTTGCAGGTCTATATAGTTTAAAAAGATGTCCTACGCGCGTTGATAAAGCAATAGTAAGGGATGCTGGATTGGCGCGAGCATGACGACCTTGCGAGCGCCGAGCTATCCTATCGAGCGAGCTGTGAAGGGAGAGAATCTTATTGGTATGAATGAATGTGCTTATCGGCAAGCTTCCCGTTATATCCAGTGGCAAAGGACTCGAGACTCGTTGGATTCACATCGTGGCGGGCATGCGAGACGAAAATCGTTGGTACAGACTTGAAGCAGCTATTTAGCGGGCGCGGTGCATTTGCCGGCTCCAGAATAGGACTAGCGGGGTAGAATCTGTGGGGATAGGGTTAGCGCCTCCATTATGAGCCCTGATTAGGATTAGCGCCTCGCATCGGCTACTTCACCTATTCGCAGGTGTCGAGATGCGGGATGCATACAGGACTCATCGAAGCTAAGAGAAATCGGGAGGCGAGCCCTGGCCGGCTTGCTTTATATGGTTCACATATAATCTCTATCTCGTTGTCCTTTTGGGACGGTGCTTCGAAGGTTGTCGCATGGGTATTTTTACCAAAAGAGGTACCAGATCAGCTCAGAACAACCCCTTGTGTGTTCAAATGTCTGGCATCACTATGCGTGCTCCCGTCTTGTACTGTTCCTCCAGGAGCTAATGGTTTGCGCTAGATCTACAACTCTATCGCAAACCGCATTGTTGGCCTACCATTCGACATGGGTCGGATCGTCAGCCGACGAACTACTAGGAGGAGGCAAACCCCTTGCTGCAAGAATGATAGCCCATATATTCCCGCGGCGCTAAGCCGAGATCAAAGGAGTGTTCTGACCGTAGAGCTCTGCTTACCTGTAATTAATAGTGTCTTTTCCAACAGGAAATTGAACTCCCACCAGCGTCTAAACACTACCTGCTAGTCTACGATGTCAGGTTCTCCTCCATCATTCTTTCAGATCACCCAATTCACTGGTCTGATGGCTTCTTCATCACGGATAGCAAGAGCCAGCTCTCTTCCCATCACTACGAGCGCAGATCAAGGAGCCAAACATTCATCAGAACATTGTCCTTGTCTCCTCTAGTGGCCAATGATATGCCAACGATTGGCGCGATATTCCACCTTTTGCCCCGAAAAGGCCTAGTGGCTAACGGAATGCACCTATTCTGTCGCCAGGTGGACTATGGAGGTACATTGGCCACTTATAATGGAGTGGAGTCCAATTCAGAGTCGCGTCTCCAGATAGTTCTGATGGATAATGTGTCTCGAATGTCACTCATGGGATCTCCTTGTACAAGCAGCAAGCCTCCTCGGAGTCCCTCGACGATCCGTCCTCGGTCCGTCAGCCAGAAGCAACGAGCTGGCACACTCATTGCAGCACGCAAAGCTTCGATGGGTTTGAAACCTCCCTGTACCAAAGCTGCAATTCGTGATGTACGTTAGCCCCATGGGGCCATACCGGCAAGATTAGGCACAGGAAAAGAGCTGTCGTGCCAACCGGATTATCGATGCCAGCCGGACGCAGGTCCGCCTCAGTCTTCAACACGGTGTCGAAATCACTCTCTGCAAAGGTGTCCGTGCCGCCTTCGAGGGGAGCAAGCCAGGCTGGAGGAAGCTTCTCACGCACTCGGGGGTCTAAAGCGGATGCAGTAGGTTTGTTTCCGAAGATGGTGGCTTTGAGGTACAACCGGGGTATGATGAATACACCTCTCAATGTATCCAGGATGCTGGAGTCGGCACCACGGTCGATAAATAAGTGAGTCAATCCATCAACGCCAATCTCAGGGGCAATTTCTGCAGCTTCATATGTCATGGTATGCGCAATCACAAGCCTGTTGTGATGATGCACTTCGTTCACCGCCGCCGATATTGTCTCCCGGGCCAGTACTGGGAGGCCTGGAGATGGAAGACCGAGCCTTCTCCAACCATGATTTTGATATGTTCCATTCCTTCCCTGACACGTTGCCTCCACAAAAGTAATCGCCCCACCCGCTTAGTAGCACTCACAAGCAACGTTTCGCTCCCGGAGGTCTTCGAATGATCTGATTAAGGCAACAATAGGTCGAGGGTTTTGGTTAAATGGTTGAGAGGCTCATCTGGTGGGTGGTGGTCAAACCGTGGTTGGCGGCCCGCAGATCAGCAAGGTCGTCCCGTTCCGAGACCACACTCCGCTGCTCGGTTGTCCAAAACCCCATCATCTCTAACTCTGTCATCACGCCAAAACCAAGAGCGAGCCCTAGTTGCGGAATTCCAGCGCGGATATGGGAGTCAATGAATCCAGGCAACAGCGTACATCCTGCCTCATCGACCACGGTGGCTCCATCAGGAGTGCGTCCTCCCACCCTCGATATCATCGCGCTGGATACGACCACCGTCGTCGCCGAGAGGATATCTCGGCCGTTAAAAACGCTGTTGATCATTGCTGTCAAGGACATAATTACTTACCGTTACGTACGGGAGGAACCTCACTCCCGGGTACGGACTTGAAAGGATACTATTTGAAAGGACTCCTGAGTCTCGACTTACATTATCCTCTCAATCAAATGTCTCTCACTCAATTATAGGAGGGCGCAAGTTTGGCTGCTGCCTGGACGGAGCATGTTATGTCCTGAGCCTCCACGAGATCAACCACACGGACGAATTGCTCTCTGTATGCTTGCTAATGTCTTACTTGGCCGAAATGTAGGAGAACTGAAATGGGCCAATTGATTTCGGGCTTCGGAAGATTACGCTACCGTTTGTCTAGAAATATTCGCTGTCCTTGGCTACGACAAACGCCTATTCGGGCTCCGCCCAAACACCCGTGTAGGATCCCTTTTCCAGAACAATGACAGGTGCGATGCGTCTGGGTTCCGGGTCCCTACAATCCGACAACCGACATCTCTGATGATTGTCGTCCGGTATGAAATTTCGGCAGCCTGTGGATGAATTTTCCCCTGTTAAGTGCATTGGCTCAAGGGGAAGTTCGTTGCGCAAGAGAGCTTGAAGCGGACCGTTAGCATTCTCATGCAACTCGGTTGAGTTGGCATGTAACTCAAAGATCACTTGTCCATATCAGCCGGGGAAAGCTCACAGTTCCTTCCACCTGGCATAGCAGTTGGCCATACCGTGCCACACGTCCCTTTCTTAAGTGGGCTCTTTGCGATGCGCCGGAAAGTTATATTATAGAACTTTGCAAAAGCTTCGGTCGTAGAACCCAGAAATTTGACGGTTTATAGGAATACAAGCTCAATAAGGTCTATCTAGAGTTCTCCAAGAGTTTGTCTGCACCACCTGTGGGTATATAAAAGTGTGCTTTCTCTGGACGCAGTCCATTTCATCTAGAAAGTTCTCTCAAAAAGTAGCAGTCATTGGTCACCTACACATTTCCATGCTCGAGCAACCTTGCCAGGTCACTGTCGAATGGCGCTCTTACTCGGTGCTGTTGGTCGACGATTAACGCTTACTAGTAGCCTTTATGTTTTATCACGCGGGCCGAAACTCCTTGGTCACCCGCTTGGGCTCGTAGTATGGTGTACCGAGTGGTTTGAAGTCCATGTCGAAGCCAAATGCCCTAGGACCGCCGACCTCGATCCCCTTTGGCGTATACCTGAGACGGTGTTAGCGTTCACAGTTTCAGGTCAAGATCCATGCATGTAACTTACCAATGCGGGTGAGCAACGAATGCTACCACACTAACCCTAACACCATATCTCAGATCCTGCGTTCCCAGTGCATATCCGTCTGATCCGATGAGGGATATCAAGTCCGGAACTGTGCACAGAATTTCCCCCTTGGTACCCTTTGGCGCATCTGGCTCGACGAGTTCTGCGTACAGATACTCATTTTGGAAAGGGAGCACCATGTCGCGTGTCTCTGTTGAGGCCGTGTCTCCGTACTCCATTTCATCTGTGCTAATGGGCTTCAGACGGACTGTGCCTTCCGTGTAGCCGCCGGCGGAAATGTATCGATTAACCGACACGATCTTGCCGGTGTATAAGACACGCCCCGAGGGATTTGCTTCCACCTGGTAAATTGTTAGCTTTGTGGATTGCAGATGCAAGGAGAAGTATGTCCTACAATGGCTTTCATAATATCGGTCTTCTCCTGCTTAGCGAGATAGACAGCTCGGCCAATGTACCATGCCAGCGAAGTGGTGCCCAGTGTGGCCATGATCTTCGTGTCTTTGATCGACATCGGAGGGTTGACCAACTGCGAGAACAGACCAAGTTCTTGGCCAGCCTTGCGATGAATCTTCTCGAGCTTCTCTGTTGACGCTGCCTTGTGGACGGTCACGACATTCCCCATGCCGTCACTCTGTGTGCAAGGCGCAAGCGGAAAGCCAAATACTATCTTTGATCAGCAATTGCCCGAACATCGCCGCTGAGTACTAACGGGCAGGAGTATCCATTCCGATTCTCGGGTAGGCTCTTCCCATATGATCACCGTCTATGGTGGGGATGCCGCCATAACTGTTCGCGACAAGAAGTGGACGAATACCATTCATCCCTCCGATCTCGAGCTGCAAATGCGGTCAGTCAGGGTATTCGTCATCGCAAGCTATTTCATCATACCGCGATTTGAGCACTCATCTTGATCCCTGGGAAACAACTCAGCAGGGCATCGGTGGCGTCGACGGATTCCGTGCCGCTGGGGATACGCTCAAGTGTAACTGTTGGGGCACTATAGCGGGTGTTAGATCGTGCGAGCGTTTGAGATTTTGAGGAAAGGTGACGAAACATACCCATATGATATGCTACCGAGAACATATCCGTCGTCCGGCAGGGTCTCGATATCAACTACGGGCAAGCGTTCGCCAGCTTTGATGGCTGCCCTTGCGGCCATATAGCACATATAACCAGGGCCTCCGCCGCCGCACGCCACGGTGCTGCAGCCGGTGGCCAAGAATTCGCAGTCTATCTCAGACACCCACCATGTGCCATTCTTGTCGACCTCGGGTCTGTATTGGCGAATGTCGACCTGTGCTGAAGGACTTACTAGGAAGTCCTTCGGATCTTTTTCGGCGTTCGTCTTGCTGGAGACCCTCTCCTCGAGAACTTCTTCGAGGGCCACCAGGTCTTCAGAGTTGTCAGTAGGAATATAGTGTAAGAGTGCTTTTTGGTTCAATGTCCCGGCCTAGTCACCAGGTTGTCAGTCTCATGGATGCAAATGTAAGAGCTGTTAACTTACGGCTCTGACGACGATCCGAGAAGCACGCATTTGTACGTATTGTAGTGGCATATTCTCAATTGCAACAATCGTGACAGATTCTGGGTCCGCACCCGAGACGATGGCAATATTCTTCGCTTGTGTGCAAACTTCTTCGACCACTTTATCCTCATCGACACCTTCCAGAACTTTGACAACGTCGACCTGGCCGGAGATCTTTGCGATCGCTGCTCCAACTGCATTCGCGCAGTCATGAAACCTAACAACGTCAGTGAAGTGTAATTGGGTCCTTTTCCCAGAGTTCATACGGAGGACGAATGATCTGTCCAACTCCTGCTAAATCGTCCATATGCACAATGCTGCCGCCGCCGACAAGGATCACAACAGCATCGTCCGCACTCAACTTCATAGCATCTACTGCGTTCTCAAGTATCCTTTTCACGCGGTGGCGAGCTTTTGTGACGATATCCTTGGGCACGTCCTTGACCTTAGTAGAGTCCCCAACGTCTGCATGGCCACTCGCAACAACAATATCTGAGAGCTCCAGTTAGCATATCGATCCTTCCGAACGGTCAAGAGCATACCTGTTGTAGTCAAAGTGTTGCCACCAAAGACAAGGCCTTCGGTGATGAGTTTATGGCCAACAGACTCCGGTCCAACATGGACTTTCCCATCACGCTCTTCAACTTTGGTGCCTCCTCCAAGAGCCACGGACAGTACTTCAGGCATCGAGAAGGCGCTTCGAACACCGCCAATCTCTACCCATGTGCCGGCTTGCCGGGGAAAGCCCGATGGTAGCCTGTTGTCGAAGCATTAAGACGCGGCCTAGGAATGAAAGATAGATTGAGACTCACAATGCGCAAACGTCGGTTGTGGTGCCTCCGATATCCGCCACGATAACTTGAGCATTCCGGATTTTCTTTTCCTCGGTGTCAAGGCCAGCCAGATAAGCGGCACCAGACATGGAATTCGTCGGACCACTAGAGAATGTTTTGATAGGGCATTTCTCAGCGGCGTCAGCATCGATGATGGTGCCATCGTTCTGCGTCAGGAAGAGCGGACATGAAAGGCCCAATGTCCGGATGGCCAATTTAAACCCGCGGATTGTCTTCCGGGCAAACTTCAAAATTGACGTGTTGAGAATCGTAGCGTTCTCTCTTTCGAGGTAGCCCAGCTGACCGACTACTCGAGATGTCAGTAGAGTCACGACGGAGAAACCGAAATATGAAGACTCACTGTCTCTAGACAAGACAACGTCTGCTTCCGGCATCTCCTCGTGGATGATTTGCTTGACTCTAGCTTCCTGTTTACCAGAAATGTCCAGAGGTGAGAAGACGCCAATCACAGCAATGTCAGTAAGACCTTTTTCTTTCACTGCCTGACACTCGTTCCGCACTTGGGCCTCGTCGAGAGGCATAATTTCTCGCGTATCAACTGGCTGTAATGAGCAATTTTCCCTTCCTCTATTCCATCGCCGCAAGACTCACATTCGAGGCCGCCGTCTAAATAACCGACATGTCCGTTCATAATGCGGCTTAAAATTGGTGGAAAGTCCATAAAAGGAGGATTCTCCTTCGTGTAGGGTCCACAGACTCTGAGGACGGCAACCTTTCTGAGATTCCGGTCGTCCGCTTGTACAACAGCGTTAATGAAGTGCTGGCTATGTTAGCCTTTCCGGGATGTCTGATCTGCCTCTCCGTCTCACCGTTGTCCCGATCATGACTGCTGCCACAGCCTCCAAGGGGATGCCGCATTTTGATATGGCGCCCTCAATAGCCTTTGTTATACCGATGGTTACATTTGCTGTGGTCGGAGTCTTGAATGCGCTGCGGATGCCACGATCCGGTAAATGCGCCTCGCCGGGGTCTGGAAGCCCTTTTGTCAGGGCATTTCATCTTAATGGTGAACTAGCAGCTATTGACTCACGGATAATGACACAGTCTGTATTTGTCCCGCCTATTCATAGTCAACACTCGTCCTGGAGGCGATCTGATTGGTCGAGAATGAGCCTTACCAACATCGACACCGATCCTGTACACTTTTTGGATTGTCATTGTTGCGTTGGTTGGATACTCGTCACACAGGCTGCTGTCTTTAAAATGCACTCAACAAGACCTTTGGTAAGTTGGTCAATGCTTCAACATACTATTCGTGAAGATATGTTATGGCAGTTTTTTGGAGATCGACAACGACTCCAATCAACCACTTGGCCGGCTCTGACAATGTCACCCCGTACTGTGGAGCAGATAACAGACAGTTTCCACAATGTGCAGGGCAAGGGTTCCATGGTCTACCGTGCGTCGAGCCTCACAGAAGCCGTTGCTGGAATTCTGGACCAGAGAATTGTGGATCTTCGTCGGCGAGGGCTTCCTACTCCGGCGACTTATCGCAATTGGAGTTTCGGTCTTCCTCCGTGCCCCAACGGACACCACAGGAATCCACAAGGCGATGACGGGGATATCCATCCCGCGATCGGCCAGGCCTTCCCAAGCCCATGAACCTCGACAAGAGCGAGTCTCGACTTCTCTGATAACCCGTGAAGTGTTGGAGACTGGGGAGCTCCTGGACCCTTGCTGCCGTTATCAGCCATTCCCGGGACAAAGGAAGAGGTATATAGGGAAACCACACGGTCTGGTGGGCTCTCATCAAGAAGTACCAGCACTTGACCCATCACACGTTCCAAGTTCTGGACCCCCAATATGTCCGCCGTTAAACGAGCATTGCGCCTAATTGAGCTCCCCGAGAGAGAGCAGGGCAATCGTTGGAGCAATGAAGACATCCGCCCAGTTCCTCCCGAGCGACAGACCTGGGGTATGGAAACCCGTATACTGCAGTTGCATACAATTCGCCTGCTGACTTCTCATGCACAGGTCCCCTCCAGTTCGTGGAACTGTGGTTCCTTGTCAACCTGAACATAAGCACCTATCAAACTGGCTCTTCTTTGATCGCGACAGGCTTGACTTATTGGCAAGCCATCATTGTCATCTTGGTTGGAAACGGCCTTGCAAGCTTTTTTGCTGTTGTCAACTCGGTCTCGGGTGCTGCAAGCCACCTGGGGTTTCCCATCGTTTCGAGAAGCGTCTGGGGTAAGTGTTTGTCCTCTCTCATGAACGACTTGAATTTAACCCGTGCCGCGCAGGTATGTGGGGAGCATACTTCCCTATCCTCAACCGCATCCTGACATCAATCACCTGGTATGGCGTCCAAGCGGTGATTGGGGGCAAGATGATCTATGTCTGCCTGCGCTCGATCTGGATGGACCTCGATGAGCGCATCCCTAACAAGATCCCGGCGTCCGAGGGAATTACCTCCGCGCAGTTCCTGGGATACTTCCTGTTCAACGTTCTGTGCTGCTTCTTCATTTGGTTCCGACCGGGACAGCTGCGTCCCTACTTCCACGTTGGGTCTCTGGTGGTTGCGGTCACACTGTTCATCCTACTTGGATGGGCTGTGGGAACTAGCCATGGTTACGGAAGTGTCTTCAATTCGAAGACCACGATCTCCTCGACCGAGCTGGGTTGGCAGATGAGCGGAGGTGTCATGTCGGTCATCGGAAGCATTGCGTCAGGCATCTTGAACCAGAACGACTTCACCCGGTTTGCGAAGCGACCTAGTCATGTCACCTACACGCAAGCGTTTTCATTCATGTTCACGAGCTCTATCATGGCCATCGTGGGTGTTGTGGTCACTGCGGCCACACAAAACCGTGAGTGCATATAAAGTCGCCTTTCCACGCAGGGGGAGTCTAATGAGTCTTACAGAATACGGCGGCGGGCAGCCTCTCTGGGATCCATCTGCGTTGTTTGTGGCAATCCAAGATCAACACGGTTCTCGAGGTCGCGCTGCGGCGTTTTTCCTCGGCGTCGTTTTCATCATTTCGCAGCTGTCGATTAATGTCGTCGGAAACGTTCTCGCTGGTGGCCTCGACGTTGCCAGCGTTTTCCCCAAATACATCAACCTCCGTCGCGGAGCTTACATCCTTGCAGTCCTCAGCGTTGCCCCGGTTCCATGGAAGCAACTGGCCTCAGGCTCGACGTGAGTGACTCATTCGTGATCTGCTGTGCTGGATTGACTAACGATGGGCGCTCTAGCTTTTTATCCGTCCTTTCAGCCTACGCGGTTTTCCTGGGGCCCATGATCGGCTTGCTCTGCGTGCACTATTGGATCATCCAAAGGCGTCTCTTCCACATCCCCGACTTGTACGAGGGGTCGAAGAAGTCCCTTTACTGGTACAAGTACGGCATCAACTGGCGCACTTGTGTGGCCTGGACGTGCGCTGTCGTGCCTAGCATGCCGGGATTCGTACACGCTGTCAATCCGAAGCTCACTGTTGGCACTGGTGCCACTCGAATCTTCTCCCTCTCATTCGTCCTGGGATTCGTCATTGGTAAGTTCAGCCAGATTTGCAACACCAGACCTCTCACTGATTGGTAATTGCACAGCTTCTGTCCTCTCTTATGTACTACATTGGATTTTCCCGTACCAGTATCCTACCACTACCCTCCTCGAGTCGTTGATTGATGGCGAAGAGGAGGAGAACCCCGGCTCTGACTCCAGCGCAAAGAATGTTGAGACTGTGCTTGTTTCAGAGACTAAGGGTGCACCTGAGAAATCAGCATTTGATGCCTGAGGATGTTAGAACCGCGGGAGAGGAGCTGGTATGTGGATATTATAATACAGATATATCAAAGAAGCCAACCGCTACATGCATTTTTCATCACTTCGGACTCTATAAATCCTAGTATTTAATTTCGTTCTGGCCCAATACTTGCAATTGTGGTAAGCTATCGACCCGGTCTTGGGGCCACCCTGCACAGTCTTCCATTATTCAACAGCGAAGCCACCTGACACAGCTAAGAACCCTGAATCTCTACACCGAGTAACCTGACATGTTATTGAGCATTTATGCAGAGCATTACCCTGGCAGATGCAGCATCGTTTCTAGTGCATGAGGAGAGATTAAGCTCATAATCAGGAGACCATTGCGACATGGACTATAGTTAAATCAAGACTCTTTCCACGCTTGCTGAACTCAGGTAAGGATGATAAGTATATCAGGGGATCCGCAGATAAGCGTTAATATCTATCAAGAAGTATGAGCCCGTACAGGGGTCTTTATCTGATCCAATTGGAATTCATTAGTGCGATGTGTAGAGCGAGCAGTATGTGTGGGCCTAGAATGGCGAGACCATATCCCTCACAGCTCCGCAGTCACGACGGCTCGATTCTGGAATGCGTCGGCGAGGGACAGCATGTCACTTTACAATCCACGTACTTATCTTGCTGTTTTGTTTCGGATTGCCACCCAAAATACGCCCATATCCGACATTCTTCTGATCATGTCATTAATTCACGATAACAATCGTCCAGCTCTTCGTTCTTGAGCACCTATGAAACGTATGATATAGGTTTGTCAGCCTGGAGCCGCGAGGCCTCTGACCCGTTGCACATAGGCGGTACTACTCTGGTAATGGAAAAGGCCAAGATAAGAGCTTCTGACATTGTTGTCCAACGGGTGGCTGTTGGTAGACGATAAGACCCTGGTTCGAAAACCACATCTATAACTTGAAGGTCTCTGGTCTCAGGAACCCATTCTCCTTCAGCCATTGCGACACTTCTGCCCCTGCCCGAGCCTTGTATGCTGCATTCCTCCTTATGCTGTCCCTCACGATATCAATGGGATGCTTCATCTCTAGAAGGCCTTTCGCTGCAAAGAACTGAGAAATCTCGCTTTCCACCTCCAGGCTATCGAGGCTGCTGAGGGCATTGTCGACAAACCATTCAAAAACCACGCTGTTGATTCGGAGCCTTTCGTAAACCGCATTCCAGTTTTCTTTTACGTATTCCCACAGCACTTCGGCACAGGGACCATTTCCCAAGGCCATCCCCACGAAGTGGACGTTTTGTAGTGTGATATGGTCTTCGGTCAAGAATGTGAAGTCCAGGAAATCTCGTGCCATGGCTGGAATCTTCGTTCTTCCCATAGCAGCGATGCAGATCTCGCGTCCATCAATGGTTTGGTTTCTGAGATATTCGGCTTTGATAGCATGGTATTCCTCTTCCTCGCCTCTAGAAACCGAGACACCGAAGATAGGAGCCTGAAGGTTGCGGTTGATCAAGTCCTTCTCTCCATTACTCCATCGAGAGAATCGTTGCTGGATTTCGCCAAGGACCTCTTCATCGTCAGCCAGTGCGGCTAGCTGTATCAAATTTCTCTCCAGCTCGCCTTTGACGTAGCTGTCAGCAGAGCCGGTCCAGCTGATCTGAGACTTAATTGATCTCATAAGTTGCCGGATGTAAGCCTTGAGGCCTGTGACAACTTCCGGCTGGCTGGAAACGGATGAAATAACTGCTGCGGCAGTCTTCCTAATCTGTGACCAGACGAAGCAGTCTTTCTCTTGTCGGAACTCCCCCATCAAAGACAACAGTTCTCCTGTTGTTCTCAACCCAGCAACAACCAACGATGCCATATCCGTAATGATGCCAACTTTGTCAGCTGAGGACATCCCTGAGGATGAACGAGTAAGCGTCGTAAGGTAGCCATGAGGGTATTCAGTCCGATAAAAGCCAGCGTGATCTTTGTTCAGCTTCGGAAGGCAAGGGAGCAGCTTGACACTGCCTGCATCCGCAGCAAGGATATCATCCGCGGCTGCCAAAGAATCCTTGCCCAGTCCCAGAGGGATTTGCCAACAAATATCTTTTCGCTGAGCGTCCTGCCCGAGAAATGGTTTTTGACTCAAGCAAAGTCCATCGGAAGTTGGCGCAGCAGTGACAATGGGGAACCCGGCTTCATGGATCCACGAATCCATAACTGATGCCACGTCCACACCAGATGCTGCAGACAGGGCTTGCCAGAGGTCATTCGAGGTAGCGTTCTGGTATGAGCGGCTTTTCAAGTAAGCGGCAATGCCTTTCAAGAAGTTGTCCTGACCAATATGGCCGGCCAACATACGGATGACGGCGCTGCCCTTGCAGTAGGTGATGCTGTCGAACATTTGATGAACGTGGGAGTCGCTTTCAATTTGTGACTCTATGGGATGGGTGGATCTCAGGGAATCCAGCGCAAATGCTTCTTCTAAAGCTTCGCCCTGTGACATTGTCAGAAACAGATGGGTGAATTATCCGTGTGGCCCTCAAACTTACCACAAATTGACCCCAGATATTCCAATCTATAGACCATTGATTAGCTCAGAATCAAAACCTGAGCCCTTGTCTTACCAGGATGGAGATGGTCTACCGCAAGGTACCCTGCCCACGTTGCGAAGCCTTCATTCAACCAGAGTTCATTCCAGCCGCTCATGGTGACCAGATTGCCGAACCATTGATGAGCCAACTCGTGTGCAATGACATAGGAAGCTTTGGACATGAGCCGATTGTCTGAAGTAGACGGATCAAACAGAATCTTGGTTGGCTTGTAAGTGATCAAGCCCCAATTCTCCATGGCCCCCGAAATAAACTCGTGGACCACGAGATGATCGCATTTGGGCAGGGGGTAGTCGACTCCAAAACTCTGACTGAAGAAATCGAGCGTGTCGCAAGCGTCTTGTAATGCAAAGTCGGCATATCGTGTGAGACCTTTAGTAGTGTAGATTCTAACGGGTATTCTCCTGCCCGCATGCTCTTTTTTGGTGAATGCTTCTATGTACTCGAAGTCACCTATAGCCCAGCATAGCAGCTGATAAGATTTCAGTTTGCGGTATTAATGACGATATGCCAATTTCACTTACGTATGTGCTCATGATGGGGGTCTTCTCAAAGCGCACAGCCTTCAAACCATTCGGAGATCCATCAAGTAGATGCACTGCCTTCTCTGGCATGTTGCTTAGTGCCGTCAACGATGATGGGATCTCCAATTCAAGCTCAAAGGTTGCTTTCATATGAGGCTCATCAAAGCAAGGAAAGGCCTTTCTTGCATCGCAAGGCTCAAAGTCGGTCGTTAACTGCCAGTGATACTTTCCGACCTGGACTGCCGTGCTGGAGTCGGATTGTAGCTCATATCTAGCACGGCAAAAGCCGGTCATTGAATGGGATACTCTCCCCTTGAATGGTATACTCAATTGAAAGAATCCTTTTGGGATAGCGTCACGAAATGATATGTACGCTTGCTGATCATCGTCATTGAAGACTATCGACGTAGCCGAGTATGTCACTAAACAGTTTCAGTAATTGTGCGGTGACAAAACCTGGGGTATGATGCTGCAGCGTACAAGCGGATCCATTGAGGTCAAATGACACTTCAGAGCGAGGTATCTCGATCTGGTAGGCGTTGATAACAAGTCGATCTGCAGGAGTAATGGCTTCTGCATCGATTATAACCCGACCTTCATAAGTCCATTCTCCCCCAAATTCTATATTGAAGATTTTGAGGTTATAGTTGAGAGGCTTTACACTGCAGATTTGTATCAGAATGGGCCGGTAGGTCCAGGTGATCGAGTACAATAGTGGTAGCATTCACATACCCTGTCGATAGGAGGTTGAGCGGCTTGCTTGCGTCCTGATCGTACAACATCGTGCCTTGTGCCTGGAGCGAGGAGAGCTATCACAAAGCACGGCGAGGTAGAGCAGCGGAACGACTTGTGTCCGTTATGAAACCTTCTTTCATCACCGAGTCTAGAATAGGTCCCCATCAGCCAAGGATGCCCCATTAAAGCCATCTTAGACTCCAGCACTGTGGAGTCGCGATGTGATCTGGACAGTATGTAATAACAAGGAGTCAGATCAACTAAGGTGGCGAGTCCTTTCGACATCCCAAAAAGTATAATACGGAAGGCGCTATCCAAGGATCGAGAGAGCGAAGCTTTACCGAACTTTAGTGGCGAACCCACCTGGAGACTCGACGATAAGCAGCCACCAATTAGACGTAGATGAAGGACCTCCCGTCGCCGATGCCTTCCATTTTGTTATTTCTCGAACGTCTGCACTCTTCCTTTCTCGTAAATTCCCCAGGAAATGCCCCAAGCCTCATGGCCCAAGTGTGCCGTCCAGCGCCGAAGGCGAGGACCCGTACCTTCACAGGATGTTTGACATGTCGCTCTCGCAAGGTGAAATGTGATTTGAATCGTCCAAGCTGTAACAGCTGCACGAGATTGAATCTACAATGTCGGGGTTATCAAGTCCAGCTGCAATGGTTGCCCGCCTGGGATCCAGAACAGCCTGACGCGACTTCACCAGGAAACCCTGCGGTAGAGAGAACAGAGAGTCGTCGTACTCGGACAGAATTATTTAATGGTATGTACAATCAAGAACGCCTTTCGTCGAGCTGGACACTTAGGATTGCTTCAGCTCAATCAAGGTCTCAGTTCTCCGACGACCTGGTCCGGCATCTCTCTTCCACACGAAAGCCACAACACCTCGAACAGGTTCTTGAGCAGCTCGATGAACAAGTCAAAGAGTCTAAGAACTTACCGCTTGGGAAAGGGTGGCAAATATCGCAAGGACCCTTTTCCGTCTTACAGCTCGTGCACAACACTGAGAATGTCAACCCTCTAGATCAAAGGCAAATGACCATGCAGTATCCTGGGCCTACAGCGTCACTAGACGGCGATCGCGACTCGGCAGCGTGTCTGGATGGCCTCGACTGGTCGTTGTCGATACCAGACAGCAGCATCGGATCTCATACACTGTTCGCCGAAGCCCCTGCTGGAGAAACTTATAATTATTCTTTTACAAATCCCGCCTATGCTCCATTGTTCGAAAGTAAGGATCACATCGAATTGCTGAAAGCACCTTTCTAAACGCCTTTTAGGTGCAAATCTACCGAGCACCAGCGCTTCCTTCGCAGATGATATTCAGCTCACTCAACCCAGATTCACGAGGATTGCTTCATTCGGACATCCTTCCGCATCGTCACTGTCCAGTGGATCGCCATATGTGCCTTCAAACGTCCGGTTTCTGTTATCTCACTATATGAATCATGTTATTGCCTCTCTTTCCGGGTTACCGCACACTGAAGCTCCCTGGAAAAAGATTCATGTTCCCTATGCCATGACCGCGTACGGAGAATTGGATGTCCTGGGACAATCCAGCTTCGCTAGAGTCTCGCTCCTGTACAGTCTTCTTTCCTTGACCTGCTACCACCTTGCGACTCTCTATAAGCCTATCTCGGCTGGTAGTGGAACCGACATCCAGGTCCTGCCGACTGACGACCAGGCCTCTAACTTACAATACTGGAATTCCCAGGGCCTCAAATTCAGAGAAATAGCCCGAACAGCTTTTCGAAAATGTCTGCAAGCAATGTCAACCGAGAAACCAGAACACATCAAATACAAGGAGGTCTTCGTGAGTGCCATGAACCTGATTTGTACCGGAGTATGTCTGCCATCCATCAACCTCTTTTAAGCAAAAAGCACATCTGAGGCTAACAGGTTTGAAGATAGTGAGTGGGGATCCTTGGGACTCACGCCTTTTCATTCTGCAATGCGAAGAGATTGTCAACAAGATTGGCCGAAAGAAGGCGGCGTTTTCACAGAAAGCTCTGCAACTGCACCGAATATTCGCTTACATCAGGGTCATTGAGAAGACCACTTTTGTCCAGACGAGGGACCAGTATCTCGTAACTCTTGGCAAAAAGCCCATGCTTGCCAACGAAGTCGAGCTGGTGAAGAAGATCCCCGAGGACAGTTTTCCCTATTCGTCAAGTCTGGCGTCAAACTACGAGACCTGGTCAGATCTGGGGCTGAGTGGACCGGAGGAAGATTCATTCAATGATTTCTATGGCATGCCTGCATCCATATTGAGGCTGATCGCAAGAACCAACAATCTGGTCGCCCAGATCGACCCGCCACAGCATCATGGCACCGCTCAGCCTCACATGCCTGCGAACTTGGTCGATGCTGCCGCAGGCTTGGAAAGAGATATTTGCCGTTGGGAGACGCCGCGAAAGCCCGCCGAGAATAGCGACAATCCTTTTGACTTATTGAACTGCAGCAGCTCTACCAACGACATCCCGGATCTTGCACAGACCATGAAGTCCAATATTGCGACCGCGATGCACCATGCGTTGATGGTCTATTTCTTCAGGTTCGTGCGCGGGACCAATCCCATAATACTGCAGCACTATGTCGAGAGTATTCTCAGTAACCTGGAAATGCACCACGAAAGCAAGCAGTGCTTCTTTCCAGGTGTGCGGTTGGGGGTCACCGTGTGGCCTAGTTTCATCGCTGCTTGCGAAGCACTTGGAGACAGCCTGCGCCGCCGTGCCATACTTTGTATGAGGCACGCTGCTTGGGCGGGTTTCCAGAACGCAGAGGCGGCGGAGATGGTTGCGAAAGAAGTGTGGCGGCGACGTGATGCGGGAGAGTTACACGTCTCTTGGAGCACGGTCCTGCGGGAGTCTCAGACCATCCTGCTATTGACCTGAAGCATCGACGAGCCTCGCGCTTTCGCGCGTTTGGAAGCGATGAGCACAGTGTTGCAAATTTGTGCCGATGAGACGCCTCTCCCATCTCATTACGCACGACGCCGAGATTGTCAATGAGAAAATTCTGTATCTGGTCGGCTTCTCGGTCGAGCTGCAGAAACTCTTCCTCCTCTGCTTGAGTCCGCATCGTACCACAGCTCTGAAGCTCAGTCCAAAGAGTCATTTTCCGGCTGAGCTCGAGCCACTGGCTGAGATCGGAGTCTGGCTGGTCGCTCTTCCACAAATTCAGTAACGTCATCGTGTTTCTGGCTCTACCTAGCTCGAGCCACTCTATGGCTGTTTCATCTGCCCTCTCTGGCGGAATATGCTTCTTCGATGTCGCACTCAGAAGAAGGTAACTGTCGTTTGGATCCCTGTCGAGCGCGCTTTCGAGCGCGGGTAGACTGAATCGCTGCGTTCGAATGTAGATGCAAAGGCGAGCGATACAAGTATATATCCTTGCAAAGTCCGAAAAGCTCATCTGGAACCGTTTCTGCTCAATATCCATGTCCTGAGTGCTCCCGATGGTAGCGAAATACCAGCTCTGGAAGAATAGTCTGAGGGCATCATGGTATCGGCCTTCGTGCTCTGCAATCAGGCCGGCCCACAAGCGCCGCTGCCACGGCATTGAGCTCGTTGGACAGTACACCGATGTAGCATATTCAGGAAGCTTTTTCAAAAGGCCGGCCATAATCTGACTTGCATTCTTCCATCGTTTCATGGAGACACAGATCCCCATGGCGCGTTCCAGCAGAAAGATCTCCATCACATAATTCCCAGCCTCCATTTGCTCGTCAGACGCTCCGTTCAGCTTGCAGAATGTTTGCTTGTCGTGGAAGTAAGAGAGCTGCTGCAGATCCAATTGGACAAACCTCTCAGTAAACTGCCGCATTGGTATTGAATTGTCCGATATCTCAATCATGAACGAGCAGCATTGCTCAAGAACGTCGAACGACGGCCGCTGGGTGTAAATATTGACCATTTGCTGTGCGACTTCATTGAAAGACGATTGATGACCGTCTTCCAGCAGGCGTGAACATCTTCGTCTTTCCCGGTAGATGCTTATCAAGTCTTTAGTGTCTAAGTCGACTGTCTCAAAGTCCTGTTCTGGCGAATCATTCAGTTGGCCAGACAGTCTGTTGAGGACATTTTCGCCTTCTTCCGTAAAGTCACCGACAAGTGTGTAGGCTGAAAGAACTCTGCGCATCAGTCTTTGAACAATATACCAACGGAGGTTCTTGCAGCAGAGGGCGACTTCAACATCATCGGCATTGATCCGCTCAGCGGCTTCCAGCCTTTCTAACAAAGGCGGCAGACCGTCTAGCATCGAAGCAATCGATGCCTTTGCCACCTGACTGAAGCCGAATGCCATTGAAAATTCCGTGATGGCGTCGACGCTCTGGAACCAGACAAATCTCAATGTAGGAGATCGGAGGCAGAGAAGCCGGGCGATCTCATGACAATGGATCCCATATTGGGAGCTGCAAAAGTAGCGATAGTAATCCCCCAACCTCTGGGTAAAGCAGACGAAATACCACTGCAGCATTGTCGCGCGGTCACCCTCAGCCGTGGCTCCCGTTTCACGAGCCTTCTCGGCAGATCCTGTCGATAACTGTTCGGTGATGAAGAGGTGGACTTTGGCCAGCTTTTCGTGAATTGTGTCGCCACACGCCGAGAAAACCTCTCCTGCGTCGATGAGGAGCTTTTCGATGCGGCTTTTGAGCTGCGAGAAATGTCTATGATCCGCCCACATAACTCCAGCGCTAGAGAGCATCATCGATAAGAGGCAGGCTCGACGGAGCTTCACGGCACCTAGGCCTCGCAAATTAGCTTTTTGTTGATATATATAGTCCGCTTTGTCGTATATCTTCCAGGCAGCTTGGATACGCTCGATTTCCGCAATCTTTGCAGGATCAGTTCCAGTGAGCGAAGAGTGTTGCGGTACATTCTCAGCCATCATTTCCTCAAATGTCCCCTGAGGGGCACAGCCGTGATCATTCACAGGGGCAGAGTGGATATCGAGCAAGGGTGTAAGGTACCCTGCTTCGGCGGTGCGCAAATGGATCTCGTCCAGCCTGTCTCCAACCTGCATATTCAAGAACACAGGCGAAGTGTGTTGCCCAGATACCAAGTTATCGCCTGTCATGATAGCACACCCTGCGACACCTAGATCATCGCCCCTTTCTTCGCATAATTTCCACACGTCATTAAGCCTGTGGGCAAACACATCCTTGTTCAACGACGGCAAGGCTCTATTCGCTTCCACTAAAAGCCTCTGGAGGGACGATTCCGTCATATAGAGTTGAAGTTCCAAGGCTCTCTTTCGCAAGACTGCATAGCTGAATTGCTCACCCTCCAACATGAGTATAAAATCTTCCATTTCCTCCAAGCCGTCGCATGCTTCTCTCCCACCTGCCTTCCAATACTGGCACTCTTGAGCCCGGAACCCGAGATGTGAAATTCCGAACACGAAGCAAAACAAGTCTTGTTCGAACAAGTCTATGGGAAGTGCGTGTTGACGAAGCTTCTTAGAAGCAGCCATAAAGGGCTTCACCGCGCTGGCCGGATAGGATGCAGAGTCCCATACTTCGAAGACAGGTGAGCTCAGGCGATGCAATGGCCAAGTGACTACTGGGGAGCGTGACATCGCCACGTTCAGTATTTGGTAGCTCGACTTTCTGAAGAACCATCGTGGTGATATGCCAGGGATCTCGCCGATCTTGTCAAGCCACGCCTGCGAGTCAGCGTGCTTCCCTTGTAATAGGAATGTAATAGCTTGTAGCAGGAAGGCTTCAGCCTTTGCATGATCTTGCTGATCCCCAATGCTAAGGAGCAGCAAGTCAAGTTGTAGTTGTGCGTCGCGGAAATTTCCCCAGAGTTCACCATGGAAGATGGAGCTTCCAAAGAAAGAACACACCGCTGTATAATCCATGAGAAGCGAAAATAATCCGCTGGAATCTGATGATGGCACACTGCTAGGAGTTTGATCATCTCTTCTGCGGGCACCAACATTTCATTCTTTTCGCGTTGGGTACGAATCGACGGCGAGAGCTGAAATGCAAGCTGTAGCGTAGCTGAGCTCGCAAGCCCTTGGCATTCCAGTCTTGTGTTGCTGCCTGGCAAGATAAGAAGATTCAGACTCTTGTCCTGCCCCAAAGCCGGATATCAATACGAGCTCAGAATGGGGGGTTAGGGCGGGTCTAAATGACTTTGTAGTGACATGGCAGAGAGCGATTCACCCAACTCTGCTGTTGAATCTCCCTCGATACACACTCAATGGAAGAGACCACCTACTTCTGCTACACCGAAGGTGTTGACGCGCAGTGGTTGCAGCTGGGAAGTCTAGCGTTCGACTATGCGAATCCGCGCACGCGAGAACCATACGTCCACAGTTCCGAAAAGATTTTGCAAGAAACCCCTCTCAGGGCAAGTGCAGACCAGAGGCCAACATGTTACCTGGCATACGAACGCGGGAAAAGCAGCAATCTTGGCGGGGGACTGAAGAGCCTGCTGGAGTTTGACCACTCTCGGGCGGGAAGGAGTTATTCTTTGGTTGTTGGGAAGGACGGCAGCAAGGTCGAGTTGAACAGGTGGGTAATATATCAGATCTTGTGGGCACCGGTAATAGCACTAACGGGCGTCCCAAAGTCCTGAAAACTACTTTATGGAGGTCATCTTGCCAGATGCCAAAGCGAATCGATGGCTCCGTTCACATCTGTCGGTGTTCAGCAGGTGGGACGCGTTGAAGAGAAGAATGGATTTCCGACCTAAGATCTGGATGCTTACCGGGATCTATCTCATCACCGACGCATTCTACTACACGGTCCGCTCCAGAGAAAGCTCCAACGCGACCAAGGTGGACATTCAGATCCCGGAACCCACGGGCCTGGCAGAGCTCCTGGATCTCAAGGTCAATGTGCACGCCCAGCTGAGTAGCAACAGCGTGGTGACTGCCAGCGGTCAAATTCTCGGGAAGAGAGTCTGGGCGGCACAGTGGCAGCAGGTCGACGCCAGGATCATCAAGGATGAAGACTGGAAGACGGCGGCGCCGAACAGGCTGCGGTTGCTACCTCTTCGGACCCAGGCCGTCAAAAGTGGTCCTGAGGAGGCAGAGTTGAATATCAGAAAGAAGCAGAATTTGATGGACAATCATGAAAGTGAGTCTTTGGGGGAAGATGCTGACGCCTGGCAGGAGTTCGAGCAGGCTACACGTCAGATCGAGAAACAACTCGATGGATTGGCTAGCTCCTAGATAGTGTGTAGCTTTTTTAACAAATGGAAACGTCTGGGTCTGACTGAAACCAGCGAGCAATGGTGTAAAAAGGGACAGATCTTGTCAACACTCGTGTAGAAGAAAGTTCTGTTTGGACGCAGCTGTAGTATTAGTTTGTTGCTTGTTTCAGCCCATGAGCGTCAGGCCGCCTCGAGGGTCCTTTGGAGGCATTGATCAATCTTCTATTTGACTGGAAAGGGCAGGCATCAATCTCAGGCTTTGATTTATCTATAGTATTTCCGCCCATAAGCCAAAGGCTTAACAGGAACTACTTCGACCTTTCAAAAATCAAGTCTCATCTGGCCGAGAAAGTCCTGCCGAGACGCCTGAGATGTCGGAGCCAGCAACAGTTTCCCGTAAAGCGAGCGAGTCGATCGGTAAGTAATCATCCCACCTTGTACTCGAAAGCAGAAGCTTTTGGTACATATCTCACAGTCAACACCCGCAGTTATCGATGCCTTGGCTCTCCAGAGTTTCGACAACGGAGACTTCGAACAGGCGGAGATACTGCAACGAGGAGCACTCGAAGAGACCAGCCAGGCTTTTGGTGCGGACCACCCACTTGCCACCAACATCATGCACAACTTGGCCGCAACGCTGCTGGTGCTGGAGCAGCACGACGAAGCTTTAGAGCTGGAGCACGAAGTCGTCCGACGACACGAGATGATTCTGGGGCCCTATCATCCAGCCACGCTGGCCGCCAGAAGCGCACTTTCCAGGATCATGACCATGGCGGATCAAATGGATGAAAGCATAGAAGTCGACGACGACGTGCTGAAGAAAAGGCGAGACACTGGGGCGTTTCGCAAGGTTCTGGAGCACCTCGCTTCATCAGCGTGGTATCAGCCGCACAACGTGCACAAGACTTTGGCCGTACAGGAAGTGGTCGCCTCGGCTCGCCAGAGAGTGCTGGGCAAGGAACACCCGCAGACCCTACTGGCAGTGGCGACATTGGTCGCAACATTGACGCACTGTGGAGATTTAGAAGCGGCGATCAAACATCAGAGAGAAATCAGGGACCTGCAGCAGGAATCCTTCCACTTGGATGAACTCGATGAACTATCACCGAGCGAGATCCTGGCATTCCTCCTCCGCGAAGACGGTAGACTCGTGGATGTTCTCTCCCTACGCCGTGAGATGTTTGAGCAGTGCAAGGCAGAGAATGGCGAGGACCATCACACGACGCTTGTGACAATGAGCAAGCTGGGCGCAGCACTATGGGAGAATGGTGTCTCGGATGAAGCCGTTGCAACTCAGAGCGCAGTCTGGGAGATGGGACGAGAACAGAATGGCGATGAGCATGAGGAGAGCATTGACGCACTCGAGGACCTGGCCTTCATGCTCTACTGCCAGCAACAGACTGACGCCGCCATCTCTCACCAGCAGAAAGTAGTTGCCTGGAGACGCGAGCACATGCAATTGCTTGACTACAAAGCTGTCAGGTCGGGCGAAACACTTGCCTTCCGGCTCTTTGAACAGGGCCAGTTTGACGCCGCAGTTTCGGAGTTCCAGACTCCGGTAAAGACAATCGGTCATTGAGACGAGGAGATAAGCAAGCTTAATGATCCCATAGGAAGGATGCCCAAGAGCCAGAACACTAGCCATCCTGAGCTTTCTGGTTCGTGGTATTTGAAGGAAGTGGTTAGAAACAGGCTATGCGATGAGATATCGTAGGAAACGTGTTATCTTTAGGTCTACCTATCCTGTCCAGACTCTCTCCACAAACACTTTCGTCTCCCTCCCAATCAGGTGCGGATTGTCTTCTTGGAGATAGTGGTTCCCCGGACCAATTCCCACGCTCACGATGTTCTTCAGCTGACTCTCCAGCACCTTGGCTTTGTCCACGGATACGATCGCTCCGGGGTCGGCCCAAAACATCAGCTTCGGCACTTCGGTGCCTGTCAACCAGGTGAAATACGCCTGGACGAGCTGAGCCACGTCCACCGGGTGCCCGTCGAGGGGCAGCTCGTTTGGGAAGCGATAGATGGATTCGCGCGTGGCCGGGTCGAGGAAGGGGGCCCGGTAGTGCGTGAGTTCGGCCTCGCTCAAACCTCTGTGGACGCCGACCTTCGCCAGGACGAGCTCGATGAAAACATTGTCCTCGACGATCAGCCGACGGCCGACCCCCTCGGTGCGGAAGTCCTGGAAGATCTGCCGTGCGCCGCCGAAGTCGTCCAGCGTCATCCCCTCCAGGATGAACTCCATGAATACCAGCCCGGCGACTTGCTCTTCGTGCCGGCTCGCCCAGTGCAGGCCCAGAGCACTGCCCCAGTCGTGCAGTACCAGAAAAACTTTTTCCTTCTTGTCCTTGTTGGCGCCCTCGTGGAACATGTTGTCCATGAACGCGTCAAAGTATCGGACGTGGTCGCGGATATAGTAAGTGTTGGAAGGCATTTTGCCCGAATCCCCAAATCCCACGAGATCAGGAGCAATGCATCTCGAGATCGGCGACAGATGCGGAATGATGTTGCGCCAAATGTAGGACGATGTCGGATTGCCGTGGACCAAGACAATTGTTGGCGCTGCGGGAGTGGGAGCCCCCGTGTCTACATATGCCATTATCGAGTCAAGGACGGAGACCCGTTGTTTGGTGAAAGGAAACTCCGCAGAGATTTCTTGAGAAGCCATATTGAATCTTGGAGAGTTGGACTGCAGGTACTATCGATAATATACCATTGGAAGCTCTGAGAGATGTGGCCGCTTAAAGAGAGCATTTGCGAGCAGCGAGCCACGATTAAAGTAGTTATATATAATGGCCTCAGCAGGCAGACAGCACCTTCTCCGTTCTCCTATGGAGCCGGTGCGGCGCCCTTTTCACATCGTATTCGCATTGTGTCAACAGCAACCTTGTGGTATCTCTATAACTTGGAATATTTTGGTCCGTCGATAATATGGCTTACGACTTCGGCCGAGAGAAGGCTGCAGAGACACCAAACACAGTCATCATACCAGCTATATACTCTCTCGAAAACAGTAAGTACACGCAGAGATACAACTGAGAGAAAGATTGTGGGGATGGACTAATATTCGCCCGACTAGGCAGCAAGGTGCCCAAATTGCAAGCTATGAGAGAAGCGGTACGCGCTGGTGAATGGCGCATGAGTTTGGACTCTGGAATGCATGTACTAGTGAAGACAAAGGAATCATATTATAAATCTGTCCCAAGTGCATGGTATCCTCGTCGCCTCAGATGCGGACTCTATAGTACCGCTTGAAATTCATACCGGGTCAAGGCTGTCCACTCAGATCTCGGCAATCCTGGCACGTACCTCCATCAAGCTGTTCCGAGAATGGCTTGATTGACCTGCTCCCAGCGAACATGGGGTGCACCGGGCGTGACGCTTTTATTGAGTCGAATGGTCCAGAAATCCACGGTGCCGTAGAAATCCGTGACATAGCTGTAGGGCATCCAGAATAAGCCATTCCCCCACCCTCCCGGTTCGGATCCTCCCCAGGAATTCTGCACCAGGACATGGCCCTTGCTGTCGTCGTAGCCCACAGCCACGACGCTGTGCCCGCTCTGGTGAGAAAAGGTGTGACGCTTGACCTTCCCGGCCTTCCACGGGTCGTTCAGCATGTACGGAGTGGACGTTGTGTTCCAGGCCTGGGCATTGCTCATATAGAACCAGAGTGTGAAGCACACGGGGAAGCCTTCCGTTAAGCACAGCTTCAGCTTCTGAAGCAAATCTGCGCCGAGCTTGTCTTTCTCCGTGTCCGAGAGTTGCTCGTCCTTTTCGAGAGGGCGGTCCGCGTCGAGTCGGTAGTATGAATTGATGGTATGCTTCTCGGCTTTGTTGAAGGCCGGGGTTTTAGGTTTGTCATTGATTGCCTTTTTGATAATCTCGCTGCTGGTATTGATGTCGGGAAACCTGCACTCGGTCTCGGGACAGGCGCCACATTTGGCGATGCCGTTCATAGCCATTCGGAGCCAGGAGCCGTCGTCCTCCACGGGCGAGAAGTCGTAGTTCTTGCTCTTGTCCCACCCGCCACGGGCCAGCCAGTAGATGAAGGCGCGCGAGGGCCCGTCGCTGCCCCATGTCGGATCGCCCCTGACCTTCTCCTCGAACCAGAAGGCGGCAGCCGCGGCGTTTGCGGTACAGGAGTTGGTGTCTCCCTGGTTGTAGATTGCCATGCTGGTTTTGTCGCGGAGATTCATGCTCGGTGCCGCCGTCGTGGCCGGGGACGGAACATAGTAACGATCACGACCGTCGAAAGGATCTGGCTTCGCGCCTGCGCCACGACCTGGTGGGAGATCTGATGTCATTGCAGTGATGCTGACTCTTCCTGAATGGATAGCGGTATCTTGTCCTCGTTGAAACGAACAAGTGTGTTGACTTCGTTATGCAACCCGGGAGGACAGTGGCCTATTTGTAGTTTGCCATCAGAAAACCTTGTATGAGGCGAGTTCCATGGCCTCAGAGCACCGCATTGCCACACTTTCATGGAGGGCTGAAACATTATGTCTAGAACGTCCAATGAAGCAGAGTTTATTTTCGTCTTGATGTGACTGGCGTTCCTGCCCTGCCCTGTACTTCATCAGCAGTCCTGTCTACCCACATCAGTTAACCTTGTCTGGAAGAGCGAACCAACCTGTAAAGCATAACCACACGAGTCACAAAGTTCCAGACCGACTTTTCAGCGGCCTTGAGTACAGGAACAGCGGAGCTCAGCTGTCTTGGTTGGACGCCATTGCCAGTGCCGTCACAAAGGCTTTGGTGGCGCACACAGAAGGAAGAGTTGCAGTTCAGCTCGACATCGAGACACTCACTGATACAATCACTCATGCATATATATGCAGGGCTTCGAAGGTTCGGTGGAGCCTCAGACCAGAGTAAGTCGTGTTCATAAGGCAATACCTACCTAGTCGCCCCCCGGAACAATATCACCCGCTCCGTGATTTCAGCTTTTCTCCGCAAACACGAGCGCTTCCCCTCGATTATACCTAGACGGAGCTAAGGTGTGCGAGCTACGAGACTCTCGACCTCTCTTCAGCTACGCCTCTCAGGGAAGCACACATGCCACCAGGGTCTCGACTCCAACATCGCATTTCGAGTCTGTGGTTGAGTTTCGCATCGCTGACATCTTGCGCTTTCCATGTGGTTGCACGGTCGTACGCTGGCGGAGCCGGTGAGAGACGATTGACTCTCTGTTGCAGTGGCACCCGTGCAGTCGTTGTGTAGGAAGGGTTGCTAGGGGGCAAGGAAGAGAAAATTGACAAGGGGTTATCTTCATGTGACTGTCTGATGAACATTGCTGTAGAAAGAGTACGCCCGATTACCTTGCATGCCTGCAATCGGCCTGCCTGGGAAGAGGATCGTTGGATCTCTTTCTGAGAAGCAAAATGGGAGATTGTTGAAAAGTGGAAGCATCGGTGTGTGTCTGAGCCGCGTTGAGGACTTTTGGCCTCGTTGACGCCAGGCTCGTGGATCACAATGCTGGCAAAGACACAGTGTTTGTCCAACTTAACTGTACAAAACAGGCTCATTTCTTTCATGAACTGGTATGAGAAGAGCTTGAGCCACACTTCAGACCGTCAACCAGCTTTATCAGGTTCTAATTTGGTGGTCTCGCATAATCACTTGAAGGCTGTATCCCAAGATGAAAATAGCTTCGCATCGTTGAAATAAGACCTGCAACGAGGATGTTGAAGGTTGCGCTAGTTATTCTCGCCGTGGCCTTGTTGGTCAGGGACCACCTCGTAACGGTCTTGTTCTTCGTCATTGCTGTGTTGAAATGCCTGCCAGAGGTTTTCCAAGTCAGGGTTGTGTGGACCTCCTCGTCTGTTTATCCGGTCGCGTGCATCGCATCGAGGCCGGTGCCAGAGACCCAACGCTCCTCTTTGTATTTTTCTCTGAACTCGCCCGCATTGTCAGCATCTGGGTAAAGAGATACACCGGAACAACTTCCATTCCTACCGCCAATTGTTGCGACAGCACTTGAACAAGAAGTGTGAGATTGAGGTGGACAGATCTTTAACAGTTGTGTTTGATATCAGAGAGGATTGATTAGGTGAAGTCACAATTGCCGTTGATAATTCCCGAACTTTGCAAAAACCATTGCCAAACCACCATGGGTCACCATCGGAATCTCATGCCACCCAAATCACAGCTACATGCCCATGACAGTCAGTAGCCAACACAGTAGCCACATGCTCTTCTGGAACGAAGCCAGCCTGGCCAGACGCAGAATAAATTGCCACCACCGGAAATTCCTAGTCAAAATGGTACAAAATTCACCTCCCATCCAGTCTCTTCGACCGGTGCCGTTCTGCCCACGACCACGCGAAATCGACCGACCATCTCGGCGTTCGGCCATCCATCTTGGTGTCGGTGGACATTTTCAAGGTGTTGCATGAAGCTGCTCACATTGCCGAAGATAGGTGTCGTCACGCCCTCTGTCTTAGCCGCATTGTTGTTCCCACGGCCCGATTTGATGCTCCCAGTCGTCCCCGCCATATTACTTGCGGTCGTTGAGAGATGGACCCACCCCCTATTTTTCCCCTCCGCGCAACAGAAGATACATCCAAAACTTCCGAAGCTCCCATCTCTACCGGACGGTGTATCGATGGGCGCCATTCCTTTCAATGAAACATGACACCTCGCCAGGAAAGCCCAACGATACCTTATGCCGCCACCTTCGGACAGACGGACTCTAGGGTCAAAGACTCTCTCGGGCTTTCCCTTCTTCTTCTTGTCATCGGAAGTGTTTACCGTGTTATGAACAGGTCCTTCGTAATTGCACTTCTCGCACCGCCAGTATGAGGTCATTCCAGACAAGCCATGAGGGCGATTGGCGATGGCGAATGCCTTGCGTTCCATGCCGGCTTGGAGGCGAAATGCTCCTTTGCAGAAACCGAGAAGATTTTTATCAGTGGGAAGAATAATGGGTCCGGTGGTTACTAGGGGAGTGACCGAGGGAGCAGTGGATGAGGCCACGGTATGAACCGAAGGAGGGTGGCCGGACGTGGGCAATGGGTGTTTGGGGGCCACGGATTGAGCCTGGGTTAGAACCGGGGGTGGCGGGAGAGGGCCGGACGGTGGCGGCGTACGAGCTGGCTCAATTAGAATGGGTGCCGACACGGACGGACGAGACAGAAATTCTCGCGGCTGCACTGTGGTATCTGTCTGAGAACGAATTGGTCGTCGAGGAATTTCTCGGTTTACAGTCTTTGCAACGCCAAGCGAATCAGATCTCGGTTCTCGTCTTGGGGGTCTGCTGTTTTCCTGTAGATATCGCACATGCTCAAGGCTGCTGTGGTTGGACACTTGTGCTCTCGAGGCATGAGAGGTAGAAGACTGCCTTTCGGGGGTCGTTGGCTGGTACATGTCGTAAATGGTACCATTGCTAAATTGCCTGCCATCCCCTCTGGTGACATGGTCCCCGTAGTCATCTGGTCCAAACCGATCTCTTGAACCCTGACTGTGATGACCACTAGATGCCCGAGAGAGATCAGGCGACGAAGGGGTATGGCTGTTCTTACCAGGGGAGGCATATGTGTCTCGGTCAGTATCTTGCGTACCTGCCGAAGGGGTCATAACGAGTTGGCCACCGGGTTGAGGAAACATCAGCAGGATGTTGTCATCCGGCGCCAGAGCTTGAGATGACCTTCGTCGTATACTTCGGGCATCAGCTTCATCAACCCTATGCACTCCCACCGAGGGTACGTTCGCATGCAACCCAGGGGCTGGCCGATGGGCCAAGATGTTAGTGGTGGCGGTGGACTGAGGATGTAGATACTGCTCTTGAGAGCCTCCAGAACTGATCGACATTTTCCGTTCCTCAGAAAATGGTTGACGAAATGTTGGCGACATGTAAAGCTGACCAAACTGCTCCGTCACAACGTCAGGAGTGCGAGGAGCAGGAAAGACGGCAGATGAGTGAGTGCTCCGGCTGCTCGAATAGCCCAGGGACGGAGAGAGAGGAGGCAACAAGCCAGGGGATGACGAGTAGGACAATGTTTGGGGGTAGAACGCCTGTGCTTTCATGACGTCCGACAGTCGCTGTGACAGTTGGCCTAGGCAGACGCCAGCATTGACTCGACAATCATCCGACGCTGTTTGGAGCGCAACAAAGTCAAGTTCGATCCCGTCCATATACACCGTCCTCAAAGTGATGATTAAGGACATTTGTAGATTGATCAAGACATCTTTCAGCTGTTCTCGCGCTTGGATATCACCGCAGGCGTAAGGCTCTCCGAATCGTTTGAGGTCGTGCTCATAGTGGCCACGGACAATGATAGGGCCTAGGGAAAGAGATTCCAGTAGGTCTCGAGTCGCTTCTTCGGGCAATTGCAAGGAATCGCTGTTCGTTCTCTGGTCACGAATGCGCTGGACCAGTTTCGTGGCATCGTCGAAAGCAGCGATGACTGACGGGAGAGATTAGAGAGGGCCTCTCTCATGAAGGAAGAACGTACCAGCTCGAACAAGCGAGGAGATGTCCATCTCAGCCTGATCCCGCCCAGGTGAGGAATCTGAGCAAGCCAATGCTGGGGCGTGCTAGGTTGTCAAGTCATGGCGCAGATCCGCGCACGCGTTGACTGCTAGAATGCAATACATTCAAAGGGCAAAGTATCAGGCCATGAGACATGGAGAGAAGAATCGGACGAAAGCAACGAAACGGAAGACGACTCAGGACCAGGGTAAAGTCATATCTCGTTTTGCGGTCGAACAGGCGCAGGTGCGCCCAATTGCCTCCCATGGTAGCCTTGCCTTTTGAAAGTGCGGTGTTGCCTCCAAACACTGGTGAGCAACTGGGCCGTTGATTGCAACGGTTGCACAGAGCCAATTCGAGGCAGGCGAGAGGGATCTGGTTGGGCCATCACAAAGAAGATGCGGGGAGCAAATACCAGGAAAGGAATCGGCGTGCATTAGTGCCCATGGTGAATGAACAGGGAAGAGGAGATTCAGAAGACAATGTGTGGTCGGAACGAAGCTGTGATGAGGTTCGAGGCCCGCGATGGCAAGTTGCGGAGGGGCTCTAGGCACCCACCCACCCTGGGGGGGTGTATTCTTACCGAGAACAGGCGAATAAGGGCAATTGATACGCATGACCCCCATCTTTCGGCCCCTGAAAGGCTCTTTCCTTTGTTCCATGCTTTAGTACCCGCCGACGGCACGGCACCGATGCTTGGATCGCCTCTATTTCTAGTTTCACCTTTTACAAACTTGGTCAACGCTTCGGACTCTGGGGGAAGTGGATGTCACGAGAAGAACTCATTAGCTGAGTGCCCTGCCAGACAGAAGGCGCCTCGGCGCCTTGGATTAATCAAGCTAGTCAGCATCCATATCATCGTCATTGAGCTCACTAGCCCTCCAACCCGGTCTAACCTCACCCAGAGCTAGGATTCAGCTCCTCCCCTAAACTGGTGGAGATGAGACTCATGATCTGAGGTAAAGCAATCTCAACCTCGAATTCGAGAACCATCATCCTGTAACACAAACAAGCAGATCGCCAGTTAAACGAGGTAGCGAAGCGATACAAACTACTCCGTAGGATTCGTAGCCGAGCATTAACTTCCGTCGCCACCCAACTGCGAATGTCTTCTGGCACTACCAGTATATGGAGGTCATCAATCCCGGCTATGGCTTTCCCGATTGTGGGTATACGCAAGTAGTGGAGGGGAAAAAAGATAAGAAGCTTCGATGATACTTGAAGATCGATTTCGAGACATGAATGCCGCTTCATTATCTCTGAAGAGGGGCGCTAGACTTGTTGTCCTTGCCACTCAATATCTGTACACAAAAAGCAAAGAAATCTAATGCTGTTGTAACTCAACATGCTGTCCCATGCTGTCCCATACCAAACCTTATTCAACTCTTCCCAGACGCCCTCTTTTGCTGTCCTCGCTCCGTTTCCGGAAACACCTCCGGAAAAGAAAACAACGCTCCGTCAAGAAGCAAACACACGGTGCTGCTGGATTAAGCCACGGAAGAAAGGCGCCTCACCCCTGAATCTCCCGCATTCTCATATGACTCCCAGTCTTCCAAGATCTTTGCCAACCGAGGTGAGTTGGTCAGTCGGTAGACCTCCTCAAAATATTCCTTAGAAATCTCAAAAGGTCTGGCGGTCACGTTGGGGATGTACTTTCCAACTAATTTCGCCGGATCGATGCTCGTCTTGTTGATCTTCTTTAGCAAGAAAGAACGGAATGGCTTGACACCAGATCGCAAAAAGGTGCTGTGGAAAGGAACATCGATGCCCTTGAGTGGAATGACGGCAAAGCCTCGTTCGAGCTCAATTGGCTGTGGCTTGGCCTCCGTCCTCTTGCGGCACTCGCCGATGATCTCAACCAGGTGGGCCTTCACATCATCCAGAGACATTTGTTGCATCAGGGCCTGTATGTCGATCTTCTGCAGCTTGAGGACGTTAAGCACATTCGTCAAGCAGTCAAGCGCGCGGAGATCACCAGCGCACACATATTGCATGTTGGCAACATTGTAGTTGACAATCTCCACCAGCCACCCGGTGGTCTCGGCAATGTTCTCCACGACATATTGCAAAGCCTGTTCATTGAACGTCTTGGAGATACGGCTCGGATTCACGGCGCACATGGAGTAGTTGCTTCGTCCCTGCTCGTCACGCTCGACTGCAACTTGCATTGTCAGACCACGGTAAAACACGACAGACACCAAGCTCTCAATGGGCATGACCTCTGCGATTGAAGCGAGAGCAGAATATTCTCCCAAAGAGTGACCGGCAAAGCTGCTGTCACGCTGGACGAGACCCTTGGAGCGCATGTCTTCAAAGGCAGCCTTCTCCATCAATGTTAAGGCCGGCTGCGTAAATTGCGTTGCAGACAACAAACCAGTAGGTGAGCGGTATGTGTAAGACGTGGTGTTTTCGTTGATCTCCTTGAATATTTTCTCCGACTTGACAGAGCCGTCAGCATTTATGGACTCGAAAGTCATTGCCATGTAATTTTGACGAATGGCTTTGCCGCGCGGCCCTCCAAAGTGGATGGTCAGTTCTTTGGGATTGTTCTTGACAATGTTGATGATGGAGAGACCATAGTTGTCCATGAAGTGACGATCGGCTCGGTCCCACACTTCCTTGGCCACCGGGCTGCGCGCATATAGGTCCATGCCCATACCTTGCTCTTGCGAACCTTGGCCAGTGAACACATACGACGACACCGGCTGCTCAACTTCAGCTTCAGCGAGGAGAACTTTGTCGCCGGTTTCTTTGTTGGTAGTCTCAATCTTGATGATCTTGCGACCTGCGACCATGCCGACGTGCTCAAGTTTGACTTCCAAGTCATCATTGGGGAGGACCATGCCGACCAAAGAAACATGATAGCTTCGGACACGGCCAATATGGTTCTCCGCAGCCCAAGTCTCAACCAGACTCCGAACAGCAGCGCTGGAATACATACCGTGCGTGATAGTGCCAGGAAGGTTTGCATAGCTGGCAAAGATCCGCGACACATGAATGGGGTTGTAGTCGCCCGATACACGAGCATACGTCTCGTTCGAAGCCGGGGCTCTGAGAGTCAAAGGTGTCTTGCCGCTCAGAGGGATCGCGTTTTCAAAGTTGACAGGTTGGTCGATGGTCTGGCCGTTCCTCTGGAGGTAATCAATCACTGGATTACCGTGCGAGGATCCTGCTTCATACTCAACAGAAGCGACTTGAATGACTTCCTTGGTAGGCAGTTCCAGTTCGACCTGGCCAACAGTCTCGACGCTTGAAAAGACGGTCTTGTTCTTGAAACGGACCAGGCTTGAGAGACGGAACGTCAATGTTTGTCCTAGCAAGTTAATGTCTGGCTCATCGAGGTGGAACCATTCTTTGGATCGCAGTACCGCAATGTCCTTGGATGTAGCGAGAGTCACTTGCATCGGCGTCTCCTGTTTGCGTTGGAAGGTGTTCTCGTAATCTGTGTAGGTACCACGGTAGAGGAACTGGCTGGTCACTTCCATTACCGGCTGACCTCTGCGGGTGATGGTTCCGCAAACTTCGACCATTTTGCCAGACTCTTGGTTGAGCACCGCATTGATCCGGGCAGAGGTGTGAAGCTCGTCGCCGACCTTCAACGGTTCGGCACCAGGGAGCATGCGGAAGCCATTCGACAGATGGACAAGCTTGAGAAGGTCGCCATCAATGGCGCGAGGGAATATCGGTTTGGTGATAGCTTTCCACCCAACCACAATAGCAAAGTCCATGGGTGCAAATACTTCCTTACCCGGGCGGTCGACGAAAGCCTCACCAGTGTTGCCAACCGCATGCACAAAATCGGCAACGGCTTGGGTGACAATGGTTGCGCTGCCACCATCGAAGACGTTCGTAGTGGGTGTATCGAATGGCACATCCTTCTGTCCAAACCAGATCCGGTAGTAGAATTCCTTGATGCGATCATTGCGACCATCCATAACTTCATGAATAGGCGCATATCCAGTTTCTGGATGGTAAATGAATTTGAATGGGAGGGCGACTGCTTCTCCCTCTGCGGTCCTTTCTTCCCACATATTCATCAGGATCTCATTCTTGCCGAGCAGACTAATATCGAGAGTCCTGACCATCTTTCCAGACTGGCTGGGTTCTTTGACAACGATGGTGGTCTTGTAAGGATCCTTTGGATGGGCAATTTCAACAGTCATGCCTCTGGTAGGGGCCAAGATGCGCCTGATGGGGTTGTTCTGATAACGGGCACCTTGTACAAAGACGTCGGCCGTGAAGAAAGCATGTCGCCATGAGTAGCTTTTGCCAGCAAGAAGCTGAATCCAAGCATCAACATCAGGTAGCGTGGCGGATGGCGACGTTGAGAGCCTGTATGTGGTTCGAGAGCCATCGGGGATAACAGTGACACCGTCCAGCTCCACGACGCTCTCCGCGGAGGTGATGATCTTACCGCCAAAATACTCAATGACGGGAACAGCAGACTCACGTCCACCGTAGAAATCTTGAATCAAGCCTTTGATGTGATCCTGGTGAATACCATCCAAAATGTCTTTGATTGGCTCGTCCACCTTGGTCGAGTATTTCGCTGCCATGGGTCCTTGCAAGATGCAGGTTCTGCCGACATCTTGATCGACCACAGCATCCAGATCTTCGGATTGCCAGAGGGAATCTTTCTTGAACCAGAACTCAAAATTGTCGTCGAGAGAGGGAACGAATGGCACAGGCTTCTGACCACGTCGCTGGCAGAGAAGCAAGAAATGTTGGACGTCTTGCGCGTTGATCAATTGGGTTTCAGCCTCGGAGTAGGCTGCCAGAACCTTGTCCACGATAGGGAAGGGGTTTTCAAACTCAGCGTAGCTCTGGATAAGCGATGGTTTTCCCGCGCCAACCGTGAAACGTTCTTCTACTCGGCGAATGAAATCGACTGTGAGATTGCGAAGTGTAACCTCGATCCAGCGAGATTGATGCTTCACGTACATGAGCTCGACCATGCGTCGAATCACTTCAGCATAGGTCATGTCCTCAAGGTCAACCGTTTCACCAGCAGAATTCTTGCCGAACCAAACTTTCTGGAAGTCGTCATTGAGCTTCTTGATGATGTACTCGCGCTGCTTCTTAAGCTCTGCCACTCGCTTCTTCTTGTCCAAGCTGAAGATCTTCTGGTCCATCTCGGCCCAGAATTTGACACCGCGTGTCGCAAGCTTGTGAATCGGCTCGCCCATCTCTGATCGGACAGTGATGACACCACCAGCCGGCCCTTTGTAAGTTTTCTCCCATTCAGTATCATCAACGCCTTCGGCCTCAGCAATAGCTTTCTTTGCGTTGAGAGAAGTATGGGCCTCCTTTGCCGTCATCATGCGGCTACCAAAGAGAATCCCATCAAAAGGCATAGGCGGACAGCCGAATTTGCGCGACCAGGTACCAGTCAGATATGGGTAAGTATCTTCAGACCCGCCGAAGCCACTGCCTGCCACCAAGATGATATTCTGGCATTTCCGGATACGACCGTACATCTGGATAATAGGCTGATGGAAGTCTTCGAAGGAGTGGTGGCCGCCACCCCGACCACCAGTCCATTGCAAGATGACCGGGAATGTAGGGTTGGCTCTGGCAATATTGATGACCTGCTGAATGGCGTCCATAGATCCAGGCTTAAAGGCAATGTGCTTGATCCCAAGGGTGTCAATGTACTCTTGAGCGACTTCAATCGACGGCACGCCTGCACCGATTGTCAGTCCTTCAATGGGGACACCGTCGGCACGGAGCTGGGCGAGAAGTGGAATCTGCCAGCCCATAGCACGGGGGTTGACATAGATCAAGTTGACCGTGATGCCTCGCCCAGGAGGTATAGCCTTTTCGATCTTGTTCAGCGCTTCGGTCATGCTCTTTGCATTGTAGTAGCCACCGCCAGCCAGTTCAACGTGATAGCCAGCATTCATGGTCGCGGCAACAAAGTCCCAAGGCACCGTGCAGGGGGTCATGCCCGCAACCATCAAAGGTGGCACACCGAGCAAGCGCGACATCTTGGTGTCGACGTAAGTCTGACCAACGGAAGTCTTGACGAGCCTGGGTCCATGTTCTTTGACCCAGTTGGTTGCATATTTCACTGCATGCTCTTCGTCGCGATCGAAGAGTTCAGGCTTGTACCCGACCTCAGTGTTGGTCCCGTCCATGGCACCAGCCAAAATCACGCGGACTCCCGTGCCATCTTTGTTACGGTTGGTGAGGACTCCTAGACCCGAAATGCCTCCTGGGCCAAAGTCAATGATGTGAGAGGCGCCTTCAAAGACTGTAGCCTGTTCCCAGTGGACAGGATCCTGGGTAATCATACGCACAAGGTCTGGGACCACATCCTTGTCTTGCTGGGCGCGAAGATCCTCACCAGTGTTTGTGTCATACACTGGAATAGTCAAGCGAGATGCAGGGATCCTGATCTCGGCCAGATCTTCGAGGATTTGCTTGTAGGCCTCGCTCAAGAGAGGGCTGTGGAAGGGAGCAGTGATTGGCAGGAATCGGTTGACGAAGCGCACTTTACGCTCCGTGAAAGGAATACGATTCTGATCCAGACCAGTTGGAGCCTTGACCTTTCGTAGTCGAAGATTAAGACCATGCAGAGAAATTGGAGCGCCGGTCACAACGAAGTTACGGGCACTGTTCACCAAAGAAATGGCAATGTGTCGATCCTTGGGCAAATGCTCGTTGGTGGCGTCAATGTGCTCCTGAAGCTGCTTCTTGGACAGATCTCGCACTGAGAGCATAGGTGTGGGGTTACCCTCCCCAGCTTCGAGAGAGTCTTGCAGGATCGAGGGTGCAATACTTGTACGGGGATAGGCCTGCTGGCTTCGCATGCCAATCCAGAAGAGCATGGTAATGGCCTCTCTGGCGGCCTTTGCAAAGCTCTCCCACGAAGTTGCAGTGGCAATAGCGGCAGCTGTGACTACACCCTGGGAGTGGCCTGTGGTGCCATTGAACCGCTCATTGACCTCGCCGGGTGTCTTGCCGAGGACTTTGCAGGTCACTTGATAATGGGCGAGTTGAACAAGTCCGATCAGCGGCAAGCTGACGGGTGCGGAGACCAAGTAATCCGTATCTGGTTGCGTTTCCTTGTCGGCGAGCCAACTCAGAATGTCCAGACCCTTGGTGTAAAATTTGTCTGCTTTTGGACTTCTGGCCAAGGTCTGCAGCAGTTCGGCCGACGTTTCAATCAGATCTTTGGTGAATGATGGATATGTTGTGTACACCTCCCGCAGCTCCTCGAAATATTCTTCAATGTTGCCCTGACCGCCAAACACGGTGAAAATGCTCGCCTCCTCGTCATCGGCTGCTCGGAGCAGGGCTGAATCGTGGGGTTTAATGGGTCGTGCTACTGCTGCACGTCCGGCATAGTAACACTGAACGAGAAGATTTTTCTTCGCGGTAATCCCAGGTAAGGTTGCAGCCAAAGCATGTACATCGTTCGCATGCATGAAAGCTCGCTCAAACTCATTCAGAGCTACTTTGAGCACCTCAACGAAGCCAGCGGCCTCCTCGTCATCATCGACTTCAGCGGCAATGAAGCCAATGTAACGAGCGACCAGCTCAGCACTCGATGAAGGCTCGTCATCTTGAGCGAGTTCATCTGTAGGTTCTGGAAGTGAGGCATTGAAAGCATCTTTCAGCTGTGATGCCTGGAAATGGAGGCCGGTGGGTATCAGGAATGAATACTCGAGAGAACCATGCGTGAGGATAAGAGGACGGAGATTCTGGGAAGATCGAGGAGTATGAGTACCGGTCGCACCGCCGGAATACATGGTTGCTATCGTGTAAATGGAAGGTCTCTATTCTGTGCGACGATGTGAGGGAGTTTGAGTATGGAAGTGAGCAAGCTAATGCCACTTGAGACTTTGTGTGCGTGTTGCGAAGGGAATGTGTGAAGACTTGAAGGAGTGCTTGTCGGGAGATTATGTTGGAACAGGAAGCGAGTCCAGCTGGTAGGAACGATAGGATTAGTTATTGAGTGACTGGAAAAGGTGGCAACTGGAGCAACGGAAGACACTCAAGAGCAGTATGTATTGGGGGTCCTCAATGTTGGATGGATCTGATGATTTGAGATACGAATATGGCCGAAGCTGGGAGTGTCTGTTGAGTAGAGCACAAAAGTTTTTCCCGCTTCGCCGCTCCCAAACGATCCCGCCGTCAGTTCTCAGCAACCCCAAAACGCAACCAGTCCAGGCCATCCATGCCCATCGAAACCGAGCCAAGCCCAGCCTCACGCCTGCCGGGGCGCTGTGGATCCCTGCTCCCGGCGGTCCCTCACCGATTCTGAGCCAATGGTAATCCCCGGGTTGTGGTCCATCAGGTGTTTAGCCCAAGCTAAATTTTTGGTGGGCAGCGCGCTTCTGCAGGGACAGGCCACAACGGCGTCATCGGTTCCTTCTCAACCCTCCGGACGGAAGAAGGGAAAATACAAACAAACTGCTTCACTAATCATGAAGATTCGGGCTGAGGTGGATAGACAGAGTAGGCAGCAAGATTAAATCAGTCGGTACTCGCCCTAGCCTGTTACTTAGTTGTTTCTTAGAGCAGAAAAGGATACTGTGTTCTTTCAAACAATCCATTACCCAGGGAGTTGTGACTTCAACTTTACGTAGCTGTGCAGGTGCTTCTCCAATTCCCTGCTTTGCTCTAAAGTCCCCGGGAACCTACTGTGGTGCCAGGCTGCGGAAAAACCCTGCCTAGAGATTTTTCGCCGCCCCAAAATTTTTCGTGGGGGAGCCAGACTTGCAGCCGGCCAGCTTCGGCCTATCCACAGTGCCCACTCTTTTCCCACTGCTTTCTCAACCTTCCCATTCTCGCCGTCTCCAACAAACGCTGCAGATGGCAATGGTTCAAGCTTATCAGGCTGATTCGTGCATTGGACCAACCGCCAACAGATCTCCAAGCCTTCTGCCCTGGTGCTGAGCGGCGGTCATTTTTTTCACCATCTCCGCCCGCAGTTGGTTACAGCATCCCATCCGCAGCTTGACAGATTTCATCCCAACCAAAACCAAAGCGAAATCGCCATAACATACCTCCTCGCCGCTTGTCCCCTTCGGTCTCCATATCCTATTCAACCCTCTCGTCCGTGGACTTATCACCGCCTTGTTGCGGATTACTTTTTTCTCCCCGAAGCCACAGGACAACTGAAGATTGAGGTTTCAAATCATTTCATCACTTTCCTTCCTCCGCACCCGGTCCTTCTTCCTCCTCTCCTTCGTCCCCATAATAGCTAGCAATCTGGACTCTCAGATCAAAGCACAGTTCCTTCACTCGAACAACCTGTGCTCGCCATTGCCCTGCTCTGATTAACTTCATCCAGCACCGGGCAAACAGGTCGACGTGTGAATCCGGCCTCCCAGACTTTATACGAGAACTCTCCAGTTATCCTGAATTTACCACAAACTGCCAACATGCGTCCCGAAGTCGAGCAAGAGCTCGCTCACACGCTCCTTGTCGAGCTCCTAGCATATCAATTTGCCTCGCCAGTCAGGTGGATTGAGACCCAAGATGTTATTCTCGAGAAAAACAGAACAGAAAGAATTGTTGAAATCGGTCCCGCAGATACCCTCGGTGGCATGGCCAAGAGAACCCTTGCCTCCAAATACGAGACCTACGATGCTGCCACTTCATTATCGCGACAGGTGTTGGCGTACAACAAGGATCTGAAAGAAATATACTACGATGTAGACCCGGTGGAGGAAGAGGCTGCTCCAGCGGCTGCCCAAGCTTCATCATCCGCCCCGGCATCTTCAGCACCTGCTCCTGCTTCTGCTCCCGCTGCCGCAGCGGCAGCCCCCCCACCAGCAGCCAGCGCTGGACCTGCTGCTGCAGTGCCAGATGCTCCAGTTGGAGCCGTCGACATTCTGCGGGCGTTGGTAGCCCAGAAGCTCAAGAAACCGCTCGCAGATATTCCCCTTAGCAAAGCAATCAAGGATCTCGTTGGTGGAAAATCGACCCTGCAGAACGAAATTTTGGGTGATCTGGGCAAGGAATTTGGTTCAACACCTGAAAAGCCGGAAGACACTCCTCTGGACGAACTTGGAGCCTCCATGCAATCCACGTTCAATGGCCAGCTGGGGAAGCAGTCACAGTCCCTGATCGCTCGCTTGGTTGCCTCCAAAATGCCCGGTGGCTTTAACATCACAGCTGTCAGAAAACACCTTGAAAACAGCTTCGGCCTTGGGCCTGGCAGACAGGATGGTGTTCTTCTGCTCGCTCTCACTATGGAGCCAGCCTCGCGGTTAGGCTCGGAAAATGATGCCAAGACCTATTTCAGTGATGTGGCTCAGAAGTATGCTGCTACAGCTGGAATCAGCCTCTCTTCCGCTTCAGCTGCCCATGCCGCCGCCGGTGGTGCTGGCGCTGGTATGATGATGGATCCGGCTGCTATCGACGCTTTGACCAAGGACCAACGAGCTCTGTTCAAACAGCAACTCGAACTGTTGGCCCGCTACCTCAAGATGGATCTGCGTGCTGGTGACAAGGCTTTCGTCGGCTCTCAAGAGGCCAACAAGGCTCTTCAAGCCCAACTTGATCTGTGGAACACTGAACATGGTGAATTCTATGCTTCGGGAATTGAGCCCTCTTTCAGCCCCTTGAAGGCCCGTGTTTATGACTCCTCATGGAACTGGGCACGACAGGATGCTCTCAGTATGTACTACGACATCATTTTTGGCCGTCTCAAGGCCGTCGACCGAGAAATCGTTAGCCAGTGTATTCGGATCATGAACCGGTCCAACCCGACCCTCATTGCATACATGCAATATCACATCGACAACTGCCCGACCGAGCGTGGTGAGACCTATAAACTGGCCAAGGAACTGGGAGAGCAACTCATTGAAAACTGCAAGGACGTTCTCAATGAGGCACCAGTCTACAAGGACGTCATGGTCCCTACGGGTCCTCAGACCACTATTGACGCTCGAGGCAACCTTGATTACAAAGAGGTCCCTCGCCAAAGTGCCCGCAAGCTCGAGCACTATGTGCGTGAGATGGCCGAGGGTGGCAAGATCTCCGAGTACAGCAATCGGACCAAAGTGCAGAACGACCTTCGCAATGTCTACAAATTGATCCGGAAGCAGCACAAGCTATCCAAAGCGTCGCAATTGCAGTTCAACACCTTATACAAAGACGTCGTTCGTGCTTTGGCGATGAACGAGTCGCAAATCATGCCGCAGGAAAATGGCGACATTAAGAAACCTGGCCGCAACGGATTGCCTCGAGCCACCATGAACGGAAATGTCAAGCAAGGCAAGACCGAGACAATTCCGTTCCTCCATCTCAAGAAGAAAGAGCCACATGGCTGGGGATATAGCAAGAAGCTGACTGGCGTCTATCTTGAAGGATTGGAGAACGCTGCAAAATCAGGCCTGACTTTCCAGGGCAAGATGGCGCTGATGACTGGTGCTGGCGCCGGGTCCATCGGAGCTGAAGTTCTGCAAGGTTTGATCAGTGGTGGCGCCAAAGTCGTCGTTACGACCAGTCGTTACTCGCGTGAAGTTACCGAGTACTACCAGTCAATGTATGCTCGATTCGGTGGCCGTGGCTCTCAGCTTGTCGTGGTGCCATTCAATCAAGGAAGCAAGCAAGACGTGGAAGCCCTCGTTGACTATATCTACGACACCAAGAAGGGTCTTGGCTGGGATCTAGACTACATTGTGCCTTTCGCCGCCATCCCTGAGAATGGTCGCGAGATCGATAGCATCGATTCCAAGTCGGAGCTTGCTCATCGTATCATGTTGACCAACCTAATCCGTCTTCTTGGTTACGTCAAGTCAAAGAAATTCGAGAACGGATTCAACACTCGACCGGCTCAAGTCATGCTTCCTCTCTCACCCAACCACGGTACCTTCGGGAACGACGGTCTTTACTCCGAGTCCAAGCTCGCCTTGGAGACTCTCTTCAACCGCTGGTCTTCTGAGAGTTGGGGTGACTACCTCACAATTTGCGGCGCGGTCATTGGCTGGACTCGCGGCACCGGTTTGATGAGTGGTAACAATATCGTCGCTGACGGGGTCGAGAAATACGGTGTTCGAACCTTCTCCCAACAGGAGATGGCCTTTAATCTTCTTGGCCTGATGTCTCCTGCCATTGTCGACCTGTGCCAACAGGAACCCGTCTTTGCCGATTTGAACGGCGGTCTGCAATTTCTGCCAGATCTCAAGGATTTGATGACGAAGCTTCGCGCCGAGATCATGGAAACTAGCGCCATTCGACAAGCCGTTACCAAGGAGACTGCCTTGGAGAACAAGGTTGTCAACGGTGAGGACAGCGAAGCGCTTTACAAGAAAGTTACCATTGAGCCTAGAGCCAATTTGAAATTCGAATTCCCCGAGCTCCCTGACTGGCAGAAGGAAGTAGAGCCCCTTAACTCCAAGCTCAAAGGTATGGTTGACCTCGACAAGGTGGTTGTGGTCACTGGCTTTTCTGAGGTCGGACCTTGGGGCAACTCTCGTACCCGATGGGAAATGGAAGCCTATGGTGAGTTCTCGTTGGAGGGCTGTCTTGAGATGGCCTGGATGATGGGCTTGATCAAGAACCACAATGGGCCTCTCAAGGGCAAATCGTACTCTGGCTGGGTCGATGCAAAGACCGGCGAACCTGTCGACGACAAAGATGTCAAAGCCAAATATGAAAAGCACATCCTCGACCACTCGGGCATTCGTCTTATTGAGCCTGAGCTGTTCAACGGCTACGATCCAAAGAAGAAGCAGCTACTTCAGGAAATTCAAATTGAAGAAGATCTCGACCAGTTCGAATCGTCCAAGGAGACTGCTGAGGAATTCAAAAGACAGCACGGCGACAAGGTCGAGGTCTTTGAGCTCGAATCTGGCGAGTACAGTGTCCGCTTGAAGAAAGGCGCGACACTTCTGATTCCCAAGGCTCTCAGATTTGACCGCCTTGTCGCTGGTCAAATCCCAACAGGGTGGAATGCGAAGACATACGGTATTCCGGACGACATCATCTCGCAAGTTGACCAAGTCACGTTGTTTGTCCTCGTCTGCACAGCCGAAGCTCTTCTTTCAGCTGGTGTTACCGACCCATACGAGTTCTACAAGTACGTCCATCTGTCTGAAGTTGGCAACTGCATCGGTTCCGGTATCGGTGGTACCACCGCACTTCGTGGCATGTACAAAGATCGCTTCATGGACAAGCCTGTTCAGAAGGATATTCTCCAGGAATCTTTCATCAACACCATGGCTGCCTGGGTCAATATGCTGCTATTGTCGTCAACTGGTCCAATCAAGACCCCCGTGGGTGCCTGTGCGACGGCTGTTGAGTCGATCGATATCGGGTACGAGACCATTGTTGAAGGAAAGGCTCGTGTTTGCCTTGTGGGCGGTTTTGACGATTTCCAAGAAGAGGGCTCTTACGAGTTCGCGAACATGAAGGCCACCAGCAACGCCGAAGATGAATTCGCACATGGCCGAACTCCGAAGGAAATGTCCCGACCCACGACCACTACTCGAAATGGATTCATGGAATCCCAAGGTTGTGGGATGCAAATCATCATGTCAGCTCGCCTTGCTCTAGATATGGGAACACCTATCTACGGCATCCTGGGCCTCGTCTCCACTGCCACCGACAAGATTGGTCGATCTGTACCGGCTCCTGGCCAAGGTGTGTTGACCACCGCACGTGAAAACCCGGGCAAATTCCCGTCGCCTCTGCTTGACATCAACTACCGCAAGAGACAGCTCGACCTCCGCCGACGTGCCATCAAGAACTGGCAAGAATCGGAACTTATGTACCTCCATGAAGAGGTTGCGGCTATGAAGGCTCAAGCCGGCTTTGGTTTCAATGAGGCCGAATATATGCAAGAGCGCGCCGAGCACATCGAACGTGAAGCAATCCGCCAAGAGAAGGAGGCACAGTTCAGCTTGGGGAACAATTTCTGGAAACAAGATCCCGCCATTGCTCCTCTGCGCGGTGCCCTGGCCACCTGGGGCCTCACGATTGATGATCTGGATGTCGCTTCCTTCCACGGTACCTCGACCGTTGCCAACGACAAGAACGAATCTGAGGTTCTTTGCAAACAAATGGCTCATCTTGGTCGCAAGAAGGGCAATGCCATGCTGGGTATCTTCCAGAAGTACCTGACCGGTCATCCCAAGGGTGCCGCTGGTGCCTGGATGTTCAACGGCTGCTTGCAAGTCCTTAACAGCGGTCTGGTTCCTGGAAACAGGAATGCCGACAATGTTGACCAGGTGATGGAGAAATTTGACTACATCGTCTACCCCAGCCGATCACTGCAGACCGATGGCATCAAAGCGTTCTCTGTCACGTCTTTTGGCTTCGGTCAGAAAGGCGCTCAAGCAATCGGCATTCACCCCAAATATCTCTATGCTACGTTGGACGAGGCCGAGTTCCAGCGCTATAAGGTCAAGGTGGAGGCCAGACAGAAGAGAGCCTACAGATACTTCCACAACGGCATGATCAATAACACCGTGTTCGTTGCGAAGACTAAGGCGCCATATCCGGACGAGATCATGCAAAAAGTCTTCCTCAACCCCGAGCAGCGTGTGGTCGCCGATAAGAAGTCCGGCGAGCTGATCTACCAATCGGCGCTCCCGAAGAAGACCCCAAGCCCTCACGCTCTGGAGACTAAGGCCATGCTTGAGTCGCTGACGCAAGCCAATGCCACGGAAGGATCCAAGATTGGTGTTGATGTCGAGGACATCCGAGCCCTCAACATTGAGAACGAGACTTTTGTGAAGAGAAACTTCACCGAGCAGGAACGGGCTTACTGCAACAAAGCTCCATCTCCACAGGCTTCATACGCAGGACGGTGGAGTGCGAAAGAAGCAGTGTTCAAGTCTCTGGGGGTGTGCAGCAAGGGTGCCGGTGCCCCTTTGTCGGACATCGAGATCCTGGCTGACGAGAACGGTGCACCCAGAGTTGCCCTCCATGGTGCGGCGCTGGAGGCTGCGAAGCAAGCTGGTGTCAAGAACGTGAACGTTAGCATCAGTCATAGTGACAGCCAAGCGATTGCCGTCGCTGTCTCCGCGTTCTGAAGGGCTCGAAGAAGCGATGGAGTAGGATTGTACAGTTGGTGGATGATTTAAAATAGCGCGAGTATGGGATTGCTGGGTTGGAGTCTCGTTGGGTTTTGGTTGACTTTGGTGCTCAAACTGGGGTTTGATGGAAACAAACGGGCTTTTGTGTAACCAAGAGCCTCAGGACTGATGCATGGGGCATAATAGATTTCCTGTATCTAAATACAGAATTCACTCTGTGTATTCTTCCCCTCGGTATACTTCGGGAATCCTTCAAAACGAAATGTCTTTTTTCCTTCTTCTGTCGCCATGTTATTGAGCACCCGGGTCTTTTGTCAACTTCCACCTCCTGCACCTCAATACGCTCACGAAAAGGTCGAAAAGGCTCGGGCCTTGGAGTATTTCCTCCGTTGGAAGATCACTCAATCGAAAATAGACTGATCAAGCACATCGCTCGCTCGCTCGGCGTAACTGTCAAAAATACAATTTGGCCGAGAGAAGCGCCGGCGCCTTCCCATGGTTTCAAGCCGTCTGTTGCTATAGGATTCCTGGCCTCGAAAGAGTCAAAATATTCTAGAGGTAACCAGCATGCTGTTTTCCACATTCCTCTGCTTCTTCAGCCCTCACTCAGATAAATTTTGAATCACGCCAGTTGTACTACACCCTGGTCTGTCACTCGAAGCGTTTACAGCACCGTGTCTGATCCATTCTCGATGAACAGTTTATCTATTGAGCAGCAGGCTCGTGCCGCTAAAGCATACATCCTCCAGGAGTTGAGAAAGACCGAGGATGGCACTTCGATTCTCGAGGACAACGATTTCTCCGCCAGGCTCGACACGAACTTCATCACCATTTTTGCCATCTTCGCTGAGCTATACGGTTACAGACATGACTGTCTCGATCAGCTGGTCGATCTGATAACTATCTGTGGAAAGAGTTGGCAAGACCGATCCCCTGATTTACAAAAGATCGATAAGCAGCGAGAACTTGACCTCGACTGGTACCTCTCGAACCAGATGGTAGGAGGAGTCTGCTACGTCGACCGCTACGCCGGCAGCCTGGCTGGTATCAAAAAACGCATTCCCTACTTCAAAGAGTTGGGACTGACCTATCTCCATTTGATGCCCCTGTTCCTGGCTCCTCAGCCTCTCAATGACGGAGGGTATGCGGTGTCGAGCTACCGTGACGTGCAGCCGGATCTGGGGACGATCGATGAGCTCCGAGATTTGGCCACCGAATTGAGAAAGGCCGGCATCAGCCTCGTGCTTGATCTCGTGTTCAACCACACCTCCAGCGAGCACCGGTGGGCAAAGAGGGCGGTCGAGGGCGATCCTGAGCATTCAGCCATGTACTGGATCTTCCCGGATCGCAATGTTCCCTCAGCGTTCGAACGTTCCACACGGGAGATCTTCCCCGACGACCACCCGGGCTCTTTCATCCAACTACCAGACGGCCGATTCGTATGGTCGACATTTTATCACTTTCAATGGGACCTAAATTACTCAAACCCAGCCGTTTTCATGGCCATGGCTGGGGAGATGCTGTATCTGGCCAACGTGGGCGTCGACCTCTTCCGGATGGACGCCGTCGCATTTATGTGGAAACAGATGAACACAGACTGTGAGAATCTCCCAGAGGTCCACAAACTGCTCCGAGCGTTCAACGCCCTGTGTCGGATCGCAGCGCCGTCCGTGCTTTTCAAATCCGAGGCCATTGTCCATCCGGATTGCGTGGTGCAGTACATCGACCGATCCGAGTGCCAACTGTCATATAATCCGCTCCAGATGGCCCTCACATGGGAGGCGCTGGCAACCAGAGATGCGTCAATGCTGTCCCAGGCGATCGAGCGCAGACACAATATCGCTCGGGGCTGTGCATGGGTCAACTACGTCCGATCTCACGACGATATCGGCTGGACGTTCTCTGACGAGGACGCCAGAGAACTCGCCAAGGACGGTCGCAATCACCGGAAATTCCTCAATGCGTTCTTCGTGAATCGTCATCCCGGCAGCTTTGCCCGGGGAGTGCCCTTTCAGGACAATCCAAAGACGGGCGAGTGTAGGATATCCGGCACCACAGCTTCTCTGGCTGGCTTGGAGTCAATGCAAGACCACGCCATTGAGCGGATCCTGCTCGCATACTCCATTGCCATGAGCACGGGTGGGATCCCGCTAATATATCTGGGAGATGAAGTCGGACAGCTCAACGACTACAGCTACCTGAACGACCCAGCGAAAATGGACGACAGCAGATGGGTGAACCGTCCCTGGTATCCCGAGGGGCGCTATGCCGAACGACATGATGTCGACACCATCCCGGGTCAGATATATGCAGGGATGAAGCACCTCATCCACTTGCGCAAAACGACACAGGAACTCGCAGGAGGAAGGGCGATTGGGTTCTACTCCGGCAATCCCGCCATCCTTGGGTATCAACGACCCGGTGCGAATTCGAGCGTATTGTGTCTCTGCAACTTCTCGGATGAAGCCCAATGGATCGGACGTGACCGGTTCATGGCGATGCCTGCTGAGGCGAAAGATCTGGTGAGTGGATATGTAATCAACCTGCGGAACGCGGGCATCCACATGAAACCGCATCAGTTCCTGTGGTTGAGGATTTGAGCATTGGAGACAGTACAAACATTTTCCTAGCCGATACTCTTTACCGGGGTTCCCCGTCACAGGGATTACCACGGGAGAGAGAGGCTTGGACCACTAATTCTCGGTAGCTAATAGGGCGAGCCAAGTACAGTGTATATACATGATAGGCGCGTAATGTGTGGAGCAACGCACATTTCTTTCCAGCTAAACCTCGCAGCAACTCCCCCAACAGTCCTGGTATCGGTCGAATTAAGTGTCATCAAGTGTCATTAAATGCTCCTATCCTGCTGATGCCGCATGTCCCAGTCGCATAACCAGGTCGAATCTCACTGTCACTTTTATCCACGTAGATGCAGACACAGAAAACCAGTCTTGGAAGCAGCCTGAGTAATTTTGGTGCCTCATCCAACTTGAAGCAAAGGTAATCTTTTTTTGTGACTCGGAGGAGCAACTTCGCACCCAAGCTGTGGTCGGAAAACCAGACAATGGATGAGCTGGATGCCCTCCTCGACTCGCTTATCGAACAGCGCAAGGCCCCGGAAGCGTCGTATCTCGACAGCAAACATGAGAAGACCTTGAGAATCGACCCCATATCGGGAAAGGGCCAAGGGGTGTTCGCGAAACAGTTCCTGTCTGTCAAGGAGCCGATATGCACATTACCCTATCCGACCATGATGGCTATCGACTCGGACTTTTTGCCGACGACCTGCTACCACTGCCTCGTCGTCACGGAGAGTCCGCTGCCCATCCCCGGGTACGGCCACGCATCGGTCCAGCTGAAGATTTGCAATGGTTGCCACGCCGCCCGCTTCTGCAGCCGAAACTGCCAGGTCGAGTCGTGGCACGCGTACCACAAATTCGAATGCAAAATCTTTAAACGGGTGCAGAACAACCTGCCCCCAGCCCTCCTGCGGGCAGTGCTACGGGCGGTGCTCCTCAAGGACCGCGACAAGGTGCCGAGTGGCGAATGGCACCGAATCACGCAGCTGATGTCGCACGAACAGATCCTTGCGGCGCGAGGGCGGTCGAACTTGACGGACATGGCCGAAGGGATCAAACACCTGGCGGCGTCGAGCATGGCTATCGAGACGATACAGCGACTGATCTTCATCATGAAGTCCAATGCCACTGAGCTTCCTACGCCCATCCAGGGCGGTATCGGCGTCATGCTGGAGCCTCTCGTGGCCAAGTTTAACCACAGCTGTGAACCCAATCTGGCTGTCCACAGGCCTCAACACACCATGACCAGCGGCTGGATGAGCTCGACGCAGCTCTCGGACGATGAACGGCGGACATTCATCCGCGTCATTCCTTTAAGAGATATTCAGCAGGACGAGGAATTTTTCAATTGTTACATTGTACCCACGGCGTCGGCGAGCGCCAGGAGAACGAAGCTCATGGAGGACTACTTCTTTACGTGCAATTGCCCCAAATGTCTTTCGGATATGAAAGCCGCTATGGACCTCGCTGCTGAGCAACCTAGCCTCCCAGATCAATTTGATAAGTGGGTTGAGTCTGTTGAACGCCATATGTCGCGTGAAAAGCGAAACCCTGATGCCTTCCGGAGGGCTGCAGCGAGCATGGACAAGTCAGACCGGTTTTTCGACTACCCTGCCCTCTATACGACGGGGAAGTTTCCTGAAATGGCGATGCGACTCATTCTCGAGGCCTTGAAATACCAGGCCTTCGACGAAGCTCTGGTGAACGTGCTTCGGATTTACTTCCTCGTAAACCCACAGCGCTTTGTTGGTCGGCACAACCCGACCAACGTCTACACGATCTTCCTCATGCTGGACATATTCGATGTGCTCCTGGGAATCTCGACTTCGTCCGGAAATATTGCCGGTGATAAGGTCGAGAAGGCGCTGCAAAACCTGTCAAATCGAGGACTGGGCAAGGACGGAGTGATGTACTGGCGACAGAGAATATGTGCAGATTTGAGGAAGAGGTTGGAGGCGAGCGCATTGACGGATCTGCTGGCTCTGGTCCAAAAGCGCGAGGAGCGAGCGAAGCAGATCAGTGACCAGGACACTCTTTCCCAGGAAGACGGGTTGATGGAACGGGCCGAGGGCGGGATGAGGGCTGTCCTAAGGCTGGACGAGACAAGGTGGGAAACTGTGCTACAGGAGACGGGGTGTTGAAGCCCGGGGTAATACGTCGATGCCGAAATCTGACTATATGATTCGAGCCTTGCCCTCGCGAACAAGGTCCTACCCCAATTACTCGCTGCTCAAGCCATCAATCTAGGGTAAGAAAAAGTTCCTTGAGCGAAGTTCTACGCCAAACGAGAAGGCCGAAGTCGCAACAACAATATCCCACAAACGACGACTGGAACAGCTCCGCCACATCACCGCCACCACCACCCCCGCTACTGCTCAGCGTCGCTTATCAACTCACAAAAGGAAGCCATAGATTAAGTGAGGCCCACTAGGCTGAATTCAAGGCCCAGACGATTCTTCCCAACCTTTTGTTGTCCATGATCTTTCATAGCCTCGAACACATAGACATGGCTCCCTCTCCACATTCAGCAAGATGAATCGCTGAACCAGGTAACGTTCCCCTAGAATAGAACGCGATCTATTTCTGTTATCCGGACGCTGGTGACGATAAAATGCAGGCTGCACTGGCAGATAGTTGTTTAAATGCACCTGCTACCTCTACTTGTATAGCTGGACGGCTGGTGTCGCCGCCGTCTTTTCGGTTACACTAATTTTTCAGCTTGCTAAAGTTATAGTAGCCGGGCCCGGCACAACACTGCCTCCAATAACCATGAGTATTCCAGCGGTAACCCTAAAAGCACTGTGGCTTAGGAGAAGATCCACTCCAACCCAGGCCCATTCCATTCTCGATGTGACTTCTGCGTGTATTCCTGGGACATTCATCCTAAGAATCGCAGAGACAGCGAGGAGAAGCCACCGATTGACTCTGTAAGGACAGGTGCTGATGTCAGGAGAGCCAATCGGCAGTGACTTTCTATGAACCAGTTGCAGCGATTCCATGACAATAGAAATGACATTTGTCCTTCATTCCGTGGAACAACACCTCATATCCAAATGATCGTCTCTGATCCGGAGCCACCAGTACTCCGCGAACGTGACACCAATGGCCCAGCTCGATCAGATCGGTGCCCAACGCCTTCGAGAGATGATCCTGGCAGACTCCGGTGCAGGGCTGACTCCCCAATTGCTGTGCGCTCGATGTCGAACGTACAACATTGAAGAGTGGCTGTTCCCCTCTGAAACCCCCGATTTCGACTTGATGGACGCGTTTCGGTGGCGGGACCATCAGCTGCCATGGTTACGCTTTTTTCAAAACTTCTCGACGTGTGCCTTCTGCCACCTGGTGCTCTTGGGATTGGCTCACGACCCGAACTTTGCGAGCCTGAAGTTTTCAGCCGACCTGGCCTGGGTCTCTTTCACGCTGATCAGATCAGGCACGGTCATTACGACGGACATGGGACTCGGGCCCGTGCAGAACCACACTCAGGAGGGTTTGAGGCGGATGCGGCATGGAAACAGCTCTCGTCGTATCGTGAGGCATCTCAGCATCCAGGGAGTCTCGAGCGGAATTAGGGCCACTGCCGATTGGTTTCCGCGATCCACAACAGGGATGTCGCAGGACCAGCTGCTAAGCTGGCGCCCTATGGCACTACGAGGACGGGCCATCGACCCTCGTGTTCCGCAGCTGTGGCTTGAGATGTGTAAGAAATTCCATGGTAATAAGACCTGCGGTCCAGCGCCGTGGACCGATATTGCCCAAGCAGGTGTTATGTTCATCGACGTGGAAAGACGCTGTATAGTCGCTGCTGACTCGCCCGTACGCTACTGCGCCCTGAGCTACTGTTGGGGCGATCTTATCAGTCAACGTGATTTCCTCAAATTGACGAAAGATACCAAGGCGGTGCTGACCAAGGAGAATGTGCTTACGGACGAGCATCCTTTGCTCCCCCTCACGATTCGAGATGCGATACTGTTCACAAAGACCATTGGCTGCCGCTATCTGTGGGTGGATGCGTTGTGTATCCTGCAAGACAGTGAGGAAGACATGCAGGCGCAGATCAATCACATGGACGAGATATATGCACACGCCACGCTGACCATCGTCGCTGCCGCCGGCAAAGATGCCTGGGCGGGTCTCCCTGGCGTTCGTCAAGACTCACGTACCGTTCGACAGATAAACAGGCAGATATCTGGCATCACACTATCCTCGCGACTTCCGCACAAGGATCGCATCTGGGCGATATCGGAGAGCGGTTGGTATCAACGAGCTTGGACTCTGCAGGAACACTTTCTGAGCCCGCGACTTCTCTTCTTTACCCAGTATGAGATGTTCTGGGAATGCGGGGACACCGTATGGGAGGAAGGGACCCATTGCGAGAGCTGCCTCTATCCACACACAGACATTGAAGGCCTCAGATTGACCCGACCGGCGCGCGACAACACGCCTTTCCAGAGGTGGGCCGAGCTGATGAACCTCGTGTCCAGGCGGGAACTTGGACACGAGGAAGACAGGCTTCGATGCATGCAAGGACTGCTCAACCGGCTACGGCCTGACTTTCCGGGCCAGTTCTTCTGGGGGATGCCGGTCGCCTGCCTTGCCTCAGCGTTACTATTCCACCATGGTGTGTGGCACCAAGCTCCTTTTGAGCGACGTCAAGGGTTTCCAAGTTGGTGCTGGGCGGGGTGGCTGAAAACTGCCGTCTCATCCGTGGTCGGGGCCTATGACAGCGGCTTTAGTGATGACCGTGGCGATGACGGACGGGGTGTTGACGGACAACCTGAACCATCTTGGGTACGCAAAGAGGTCGCCTACTTCAAAATTGGCGAGGACGGTAGGAGATGGCATGAGCTTCCGGCTGCGTGGTTAAGCGGTGATGGCTCTGCCTTCTATCAACAGTCGAGAGATAAGTGGATGGGAGAAGGCCAGTATCTCGTCCGCGACGAGGTCAGGGAGCAGCTGGCGCAAGCACAGGTGCCGCTGTCGCATGCACTCGGGTTTTGGACCCAGAGTGTCCGCCTCACCGTCGACCGAGACCTCAAGGTGAAGAAGGGTGACAAGAGGGGCTTTGGAGGCTCCGAGGACTCGTATAATGGCTATGTTGTGCGCGATGACATGGGCAAGAGTATCGGCGGAATCAGTCTGACCCCCGAGTATCGCAGTACAATGTCAGAGCGACTTCTATTCATCCTCATCGGACAGAACCGTCGCTGGCACCACAAGCTCGGTCCTCTGCTGGATCTGCTCCATGTGGAAACTAAGGGCGGCATCACCTACCGAGTGCAGACTATTCGCGACGCCGCCGTGCGACTCGAGACATGGCAGCGCCTGAGTCCGAGATGGGAATTCGTTCTCATGGCTTGAACGGGGAGGCTCACTTTGCTCGTGAAATACTCTGTAGTTGCCAGTGCGGAGTTGTTATACCTGTCTGACGTGTATATAAGGCCCGCTCTCGGGTATGCATAGTATGTATGATCGACTTAGCGCCTTACATACCTCGAACATAGCTCAGTTACACACATACGTACACAGCCATACTGTCATTCACACTATAGTCAGGCAGTGGCCATAGCCCGAACAGTCTAGACTCGAACCCCTGAACGCAACATCAGTCGTCAACGAACTCTATATCCTATTTTCCAAAAAGAACGAACGAACAAACGCCCATCCCACCAAATTTCCCATCCTCGATCACATTGCTCACCAGCCTCCACCACCGTGGTGCTGCTCGTGGCTACCGTCGTGGTCCTCTTCGCCGCCGTGTTGATGCCCGCTCTCGTCCCCGTAGTCTCCCTCGTCGCCATACTGTTGTCCGTCATCCTCGCCGTACTGTCCATCTTGACCGTCATGATGGTGTCCGTGTCCCTGTTCATCACCGTACTGGCCATCATCGTCACCGTATCCCTGGCCGTCCTCGCCCTGTTCTTCGCCACCTCCGCATCCATCTTCGTCGTCGTCCGGCTCGTCGTTGTCGCGCGGGTGCCGTATCTTGTGCGCCTCGTGCGGCAGGTCCGGGTGGCCCTTGAACTTGCCCTTGATCGCGGCCGAGAACCATTCGTGCAGCTCGGCCGCGTCTGAGTTGTCCGGCTCCTGCTCGAGGATCTGCTCCGTCACCGTCACGATGACCTCTGCGTGCTCCTGCAGCTTGTCCTGTTGGTCGTTCTCGTCCATGGCTGTACACAGTAACAGAAAGAGACATCAGTTAGCCTCGAGCTACTTACTCATGATGGATACCGTGGGTGGATGAAGGGATGGTGCGTCGAGTGGATGATGTGGATAGGAACTTACTGTCATCATCGTGATCCTGGGCGTACTTGTTCACAACGTCGCTCAGGTGCTGCTTCAGCTTGGGGAGATCTTGAGAGCTCCCATCATCATCATCATCTTCATCACCACCACAGCCATCGCCCTGCTGGTCGTAGTCGCCGTCTTGATGCTGATGTCCGTCGTGCCCGTCTTTGTCTCCAAGGCTTCCGTATTGATCGTGTTGGCCGTTCTGGTCGTCGTGCCATTGACCGTCGTGATGTTGAGATTGGTCATGTTGAGATTCGTCATGTTGAGATTGGTCATGTTGGCCGCTCTGGTCGTCATGCCATTGACTATCCTGTGGTTTGGATTGGTCGTGCTGATCGCCGTGCCATTGGCCGTCATCGAACTTGCCGTTCTGGTCGCCGTGCCACTGGCCATCGTCATATTTGGACTGGTCGTCGTGCCCGCTGTGCTGGCCGGATTGATCATTAGTCTTGCCATGTTGTCCCGATCCATCGGTTCCATGTTCCGATATATCGTGGATGGACAAGGCGATGCTGAGGCTTGCGACATCCGTCATTTTCGACAGTGTTTTTCTCTTTCGGGGGCCAGGAGACTTTTAAGATTGAAAAGGGGAAAAAGCAGATAGAAGTGTTAGATGTTCGTTTTTGTTGCGGTGAAACTTTGTAGTGAGTGAGGTGCACCAGCTATTGATACCTTCTTTCCTGTCTTATATCAACGCTGAAGGTGATTTGGTTCTAGTTATAATGCCCCAACCGGGAATGATAGGATCGACCCACCACCTGCCGCCTCCATCTATAGCCAATATTAGATTTCGCTGACCATAAGCACAGAGTCACACAAAATCCTTCCAGAGAACGTTCAGACATTTCTTGAACCACTTAGCCTCATTATTTATATACACCCCCTCCCGGGGCAGAATACTCCCGGTGGCTATGTCAGAAACTATTCGAAGGAAGCCTCCACCTTACGGGCTGTAAGCTGATAGCGGTCGCACGATACCGTAAACCCATGCCCTTTTTTCCTTTTAGCCTTGTATATGGATCGAAATAGGTTGGCGGCAAGCCCGGGCGAATAGTGAGACAGGTACTGCGCATTTTATGTCTCTATTTCTGGGTCTTGCAGGGGGTACAAGAGACTGCTGGTTTGTTATATATTGTCCTCTGCCGAACCATACGAGAACAAGAAGAACATCACTCGCAACCCAACCACCTCTGTCCCTTCAATCTGAGATCGAGAAGCATTTCTGTTTTCTTTGAGTCTTTTCCAAGCTTGACACTTGAGAATTCACTCTCAACATGTGGCCAAACCCTAACAAGTCGAAAGGCAAGGCTCCCGGGGTAAGTTTGACCGCGCTCGTGGGATGAGCCCATCTCTATCTCCTTCCACAAAGTCTTTCGTCTGCTGAGAAATTGGGCATTGTTTCTTCTAGAGAACCATCCGAGGACCCCAAGCTGCTGCACAATGGGCCACCACACCCCAAACCCCCATTTATAATCAATATGCGCAGCACCAGCCACCTGCGCCGCCGGGGCAGATTCCACCGCCGCACATGCAGCCTCAAGCCACGCCGCTGGGCAACGTCCATAATTACCAGGCACCGGGACAGCCGCAGCCGCCTCCGCCGCAAAATCTGCCAACGCAGCACATTGGCGGCGGGCACACCGTGACGCCCTTGCCGAACCAGATGCAGCAGGGGTACACCCAGCCGCTGCCTCCCAACTCCAACGCCCACGGCTTCCTCAACCCTGGTGTCCAAGGCGCGCCGCTCTGGGACCGTTACCACCAACAGCCGTCCCCAGGAGGTCAGCAATTCGATGGACAAGAATGGCAGATCACGGGTCATCCCCCGCCGCCGCAGCCGCCACAGCAGCCACAGGCCGGACCTAGCTCCGCTCCACCACCTCCTGGTCAGACTCCTATCTACAACCAGTACCACAGTCAGGGCGGTCAACCCGGTCAAGGTGGTCAAGGTGGTCAAGGTGGTCAGGGTGGCCAGGGTGGTCAGGGCGGCGGGTATGGTGGTGGGTATGGCGGCGGGTATGGCGGCGGGTATGGCGGCGGGTATGGCGGCCATTAAATCAGGGCAGTAGATCCAGTGGTGCCAGAGGAAGGATTTCATGCATGGAAAGTGGGTGGGTAGTAGTTTGTTATTACGAAGGACGGAGCAACGGTTGAACACATACATAGATCGCAATTTTCGTGCTACGCGATGTCTTTACCAAGACTCTCTTGTTCCTACGTGGCGTTCAGCTTTGTGGTGATGATGGAACTGATCATACGCCCCACCTTGCTCTCTCGCTGACAAGGGCGGTGGATTGAAACCACGAGGTCGTCAGATCAGAAGTGGGCGAATCTCACACCCTTAGAGTCTGTTGGCAGTGCTGGAATAAGATCCTATACCGACATCAAATCGCAGGTAATCTGGGCCCCACTCTCTCCATTCCTGATCAGGCTAGTGTCTCCTCGTCGGCCACCCCCGGGTATACTATGTACAATGGGTAAGTGGATTGTGTGAGCAGCGAAAATGCACCAGTCTAAACCACTGCCGTCTTCTTACGATGCTGGGATGGGTTCCCCAATCGATGTATCAATAGTCATGGGTTTCTGGAGAATGATTGACACGGCGGATCGCTTAGCCCGCGCAATGGGCCATCTCCATTGTTGCCAAGATCCTGCGTCAAACAAGCGGTCGCAGCAAGAAAACACTAACGCCATGACTAGCCATGCTGCGCCCTAGCCCAGAACGCTCTGTTTTCTGGACGGGACAAATACCAGCGAGCGTATCCGTCTGGTGGGCTCTGACACGGACCCGGGTCGGGTCGGGTCACTGCAAATCGGGTGGTCCGGCCCCATGTCAGAGGCTAGCGAAGCGGCGCGTCAGCCTTTGCCCGTATCATGCATCGACTTATGTATATGCACACGAAAGGGTATCACTTTGTGATTACGTCCACCGCGTCTGACACCTGCCAGTGGGAGAGAGATGTAAACCAGGAAGGTCAGTCGACCTGACTTCTGGTGTATGTCAGCAGTGGAAAGCTGAACAATACTCCAAACAGAAGTCAGGCCGGCGAACGCGGCCATGTCGGAGATTTGGGTGGGTGCCTCTATATTGAAGTCGAGCCTGGGCTGACGTGTGTGAGTGAACTCACCTGCTTCAGAGATTTTGCGTCCAATTCAAAAGTCTTTGCGAGAAGACGCCGCCGAAGAGCAGAGTTGACAGTGGAGCGGGCAGCCACCCCCTCCGCCAGGTGCGCGCCCCCAGACCATAATCCCACTACATGTCACGGGGGGGAAATTAAGTCCTGTGCATCTTCGGTCGACTCGTCGAGCACTCCCACTGGCTCTCTCCCCAGTGTAAATAGATGGCCCACGACCGGGACGGAATCTGAGGCGCGGCGATTCCTGCACCGGCTTGTCGAGATGTCCGTGATGTTTCTCTCTTTGAGACATGGCAAAACGCATTGACCAGCAACGGTAAATGGAGGAGCCCCTCAATGACCAAGACGGAGCATATGTCCCTATGAAGTGAAGGGTCACCAGGGTCGATCAGCCTTGTGGCCGCTCCTCCCACAGACGGGACGAGATCGAGTGGTGTATTCCCACGGATCGGGCCCCTTTTCGGTAGGCTTCCTTCGCAGCCTTGCCAGATTCCGCAAGAGCACAGATAACACCTCTCCTTGACGGGGTCCTAGAAAATTCCGTAATAGCCTGAGGCGTCGGTGGATAGTATACCGGCACTGCCCTCTCGATCATGCTACTTAAGTCAATCCACCATTAGTGCTGATATTCCTAACCGGTTCTTATTGGGCAAGTGGATGCGAGCCAGAACAAGTATAAGCATAATGCTCATTGAAACTATTATAACAAACGGCTAATCCACTAAAAAAAGATATGTTTGTCCCGCCCCCAGGATTCGGCTCTTGATTACTGTGTTGCCCCCACTTCCTCTCCCCCCTCTAGTTATTCCGAGAGCTTAACTGACACGATGTTGTGCTCAACTATACGCTCCTGGGGGCTGACATTCTGATTTTGCGTCTTTCGATTGTAACCAAGAAGAAGAGGCCCAGGGACAACGGAATCTTTCTCCAAGTTTCTGTCATGTCTATCGAAAGCACTCTATTTGGACTCCCCCCAAATCAGTCGTTCCATCCACCGATTTTCTTTCCCTGACTCCTCGATTCAGGTCTGTTATTTTTCGTCACTTGCTAAACACATGGTCTTGGTCTGCATCTGTGTCGCGACATCCCTTGTTTTGTTTGGGCGATGAGCCCTTTGCCTTTTGCTGGGGAGCATTTCCCAGCAAACAGAACGCATCGGGGTGTGTGTGTGTGTGTGTGTGTGTGTGTGAGTGCGCTGAGAAGGAGTTCAGAGGATTGACGTTATAGGTGTCAAATAAAGCATTCCCCCTACTCTGTGCAACTCCCTGTCTGCTTTTGCAAAGCGGCTAACGAGTCCAGATTATCCCTCGCCTTGCCTTTCCACGACTGTCCCACAGACCTGAGGTGGACTGCTGTCGTCAATACTCGCTGGCACTCCCCTGTGTCCGACATCTCTTGCTCTCTACCTGTTCAATATTCTATTAGTGCGCTATCGGGCTGAATTCCCGGCAGGCATTGCTACTCGATGCTGCGCCGTCTATTTATACGGTGGTTCATATTTCTCCAATTGATCATTTCGCCTCTGAAATGCTTCTTTTGTCTTGCTTCAGTCAAAATGGGTATTCCAGGAGAGAGAGTGTGCTTGTCTCGCCCGGACCAAACCTTTGTCCTCGCAGAGACATAACATCTCAAGCTCGGATGCTGGACTCACGAGCCCGTCTGCAGAGCCTGTACCCCCAAGAATTTTGCAGCATTTCGACCAGCAATCCGCCCAAACACCACACACTCGAGCAGGCTGCTTCCACCTAGCCGGTTGTCCCCGTGGATGCCGCCGGTAGCCTCTCCTGCCGCCCACAGTCCTTTGATTGACGTTCCGCTGCTGTCCAGAACTTCGGCCTCGGGCGAGAAGATGGCTCCTCCCATGGTATAGTGAACGACTGGAGTGACGGTGCCGACGTAGACGGTCGAGTCCGGCCTTGGATCTTGCAACCCCCAGTGTCCAAACGAGGACCGACCCAGCGGATCGGTATGTTTGCCTTGTACGGTTGCAGCATACTGCTTTATCGTGTCCAGAACCGAAGCCGAATGCTCCAGCTCTGATATTGTTGTCTTTCGCATCAGGCCTTTCCAGATATAGAAGTCGACATGTGCCTTGGCAACCTCATATGCGGCCTCATCCAGCAAGATCTGGATATCCCACTGCTTAGTCGGTTGTAAGTCTTTGGGAGGCCTGGCCACGATGGCATCTGTGACTTGCTTCCTCAGTTTCAATTCGTTGACAAACCTCTGTCCTTCTCTGAGGAGAATTCCGCCTTCACCCCTCAGGATCTCGGCCGCCAGGAATTTTGTCCGCTTGAATGGTTCCTTGGGATCCACGAATCCCGTCGGGTGGACCTGCACCTGGTCCATGTCGATCAGATGTGCGCCAACCCCCGTCAACAAGCTTTGAGATCCCGGAAGCGCTTCGTTGGTGGATGGGAATCCCTCTAGGTCTGGTCGATACTGAGCGAGCAGCCCTGACGAATCGCCGGCGAACCCACCGGCCGTGAATATCACGGGCCCTTCGATTGTCTCCGGCTTGCCGTCACGCGAGGCCTGCACCCCTCTCACCTCCCCATCCGACTTCAGGATCTTTGTGACCGTTGTGCCTGTCTGGAGCGTCACGAGGGGACTGGCTTGGAGTTGTTTCAGCAGCGTCAACACGATGCTGGCGCCGGGCGGAGTGGGCCCCGATCCACGATGAGTTCGCGCATGGCTGTGGCCACCCAGCTGGGCGACGTGAGACAGGTCGATGCCCTTTTCATCGACGAGCCAGTTGATAGCCGAAGCAGAGGAGTCTGTCAGCTCCGCAATGAGTTTCTGCCTCGCCTCTGTCTTGGAGGCCCTGAAGCTCGCACCCGCAGACCTCAGCGTGTCGTTGTAGAAATCCGCCACGGAGTCCGACCCAGCTACTTGAAACCTGGTCGGGACGCCGTTGATGCCGCTCGACGCCTTGATCGAGTTCCCACCGGGCTTCTGCTGGCGCTCGAGGATATGGACCGGCACGCCCCTGGCGACGAGTTCGGAAGAGGCGCTGAGGCCCGCTAGGCCCGAACCGACAACCACGACCCGGGAGGGCGCGGCGGCGGCGGCGGCTGTGGATGGCGTTAATATAGACGACGGCATGGCGAGACGGCCAACAAGCATGGAGAGGAGAGCGGCAAGAATCGCAAATCCGAGAACTAGACCGAGTCTATTCCAATACCACTGCATAGAAAGGTGGTGGGTGGTGCAAGCCTGCGTGAGTTTGATACGCGGCTGGGCGAGAGGGGTGGCAAGTGACCCTTATATGGCGATTCTGCATGTATAGGCGCAGGTACCGGCATTTACAGTGTTGGTCGTGTGCATTCGTAGAGTATCGATGAGATGGCATCGTGGAAACCAAGTCTTGTCACGCGTCACGCCACCGCTCATGCGCCCCTGACATGTCACTCCACAAATGAGGGTTTAACCCAGAAGCAGCTCTATTCGATGTCAGGACATAATAATATTATCTGAGAAGGAAAGGAGATATTGATACCCAAGTACAGCTGAGGGACAAACGAGCTGACTCGACAATCCGGATGCTTTGTCCACAGTTTTGTGTATACAAGTAGTGCTGTCAATGGGTGACCTTCCCTCCCAGCCTTGACCCACCTCCACCCGTCTCTCGTGCCTAGAACTACCATACAAGATTCTCGCAGTAAGTAATCAATTTGGCTTCGAGGGGCATCGTCCAACAAACGCTTTCATACGGGGCGCTTCTCGGAGATGTGTCGTTATTTAGTCGTACTAGGCCACGCTGTGGCATTGCTGGGAGCTTGCTGGTCTACAGCGGTGATCAAGGAATCCGGGATGTGCAAGGTGTTTCGTGAGCCTGATCCTGACGGAGGAGGCATGGCAAGGCGAGCCTCATGGCTTTAGGAGATCGTCGACGTCTTGATGGCCTCTTCGACTGAGATGGAGATCGACATTGCCAACATCATCCCACTTCAGTCCCCAGAACAAACCGAACTGAACACCGAGACAGAGTTGCCGCAGCCACTGGCCAGGAAAGTTGCAGCCCCTGGAGCTCTGCACGCGGAAGTGATGTGATAATAATTGACCTAGGGAAGGTCGCCATGGTGTTCTGTCACGGAACCAGATAAGCTTAGCATCGCCATCCGTCCCTGGGACATGTTGTGTTAGAGGTTATCGTCATAAACAGGGCTATGTGGATTGATAGCTGCCTCGGCCCCTTCTGTCGATCGTCGAGACGAGACAATTGACCAAGTCGATTGCCTCGCTGGGCATGAGGGAGCGGGAGCGGCGTGCGAAACCCATATTCTCACCATACCGACCGGTTCCCTCGTCGTCGTTACTGGTCTTGACCTCGTCTTGGCTCTGGCCCTCCTAGACATCGCCTTATCATCGCAATTATCCTCGATGTCACTGACCTGTTCCTTGCAGTTCATCAATCCATTGCCTGTTGTAGCTTCATCACGTGCATGAGATCTGTGACTGTGGTAGTTGAGATGTAGATATCTGCAGATCCATGTATTTACTGGAAGCCAAAACCATTCACATCTCGATTTCTGTGATTGAAGTTACCTGCAGTTGTGGTCCGGTATCAATATTACCCTCAGGCAAAAGCTATACTAGATGGGACTAGACAGGCGAGGGATCTGTTTGAGAGCCTGGACAGGCAGAACGTGCCGTCGGAATCAACAGGTTTGGAGAAGTGTGAGGCGCAAGTGAATGATTGCCGCGCCAACCGCCAAGCGTAAACAATGACGCCCGCGTATCTCCACATTTCACCGGCCGCTCACTCGCTGCTCTGCCTTTGCTGCACTTCTCGTATTGTGTATCGTGCCAGCTGGAGCCTGGAGTCTGATTGTACCACGACATCTTCTTGCCAGCTCATCCCACGCAGCCTGAATCTGTCGTCACCTGCCCTCGATTTCTACCTACATCTTGGATCTGAATCATCACTTTCGCTCATCGACAATGTCATCTTCACGTCTCAAGTGATTCTACTCAGTCCGTGCCGACCGACCGACCGACCGACCGACCGATCACATCCGCCTGACCAGCTTGTTTTGCGACGAAAAATGACTACATTCATGGGATCTCCGGGCCTCGCGTCAGGCTCACACCTGCCTGAGAATCACATTTCACTTCACTGCGCACGGTTCAAAGCCTCTCCGTTTCTACCCCCCTCCGACAGCAATCCGACCCCCGACTCATCATCTGCCTGGTTGCAGCCGCGGCCGTTGAGACCCCTCGCGACAGGAAAAGTCCTCCAGGCGTCGGAAGACGATCGTCAGCACAGCCGCAAGCGACCGCGACTGGACACAACGTCGCTTGACGATGACTCTTACAACACCACATCAGACACCGCAATTTGGCGTGAAGCCCTCAGCCCTCCACCGCTCGTCAACACAGACTACCGCATTGCAGGCGGATTGGATACGCTCACCGCACTAAATAGCCAGAAGGAAGAAGACGCCCATGAGTTCGACTATGAAGTTGACTGCAGACCGAACAGGTACAGCAAGCCCTCAGAAAACTTCTTTCCGCAGACACCAGCCCCAGATCGGTCCCGACGGAACAAACGCAGACTGTCACCTCCGGCGCCACCGATGAAGAGCTGGGGAAAGACTGTATGGGCTTTAACTGGTGGTTTGGCCGGCAGAGTTTTCAACTTCTGCTGGAACACTACCTTCAAGGGCTTCTATGCTGGCGGTGGGAGCGGGTACACGTTCGACATCGGACCTGCAGACATGGGTTCTTCTAGTGTTTGGACTGAGGTTGATCCGAAAACTGATGTGTTCCATAACGTCGACCCGGCTGGCGACTTCAAGCGACATGACCGAGACCGGACCCCTGTTCCCGGCGGATTCCCTGGAAACAGTCCTGAATTTATTGAGGACTACATGTCTAGACTGACCGTCCAACCCAGACAGCCGAACAACTCAACCCCGACCGTCATACCAGATCAAGATTCTCCATCGATCTCCCGCTACAATAGTTGGGTAGTGGTTGATGGGGCCGACCAGATGTCACCGTCGACGGAATCTAGTCCTGTACGCAAGAAGTCGAGAGCAAGCACGGCGAGTCTCTACGCATCTCGACCATCATCTGCCCCACGCCACCCAAGCCACCCTACAACTCGTCCTCGCTTGACACCTCGATCATCGACAATCAGGTCGTCAGCTTCATATGCGTCGCCGCGGGTATCAATGTGCGCGAGCACCAGCACCAGCGGTTCCGCACAGTACCAATCTCGGATCCCCATTCCTGCAGCTTCTGCGGTCGACCAGCGCCAGACCTCAGACAAACCATCGAAGCGCCCAAGTGGTATTTCCAGCAGCCACAGGCCCTCGCTCTCCACATCTCGTCGGCAATCTTCCGCTTCTCTCACAACATCGCCAAAGCAGTCCCCTGAAATCCGCAAGTTCGAACAGAAACTTCGTCGGAAGGAAGCCAAGCAAGATGCGACGATGAATCGATTCAACATGCAGTTGCAGGCCATGATCAAAGAAGGGCAAGCAGCCTTGGGCAGCCGGGTTGAGGTTGAAATTGAAGATTACCACAATGGCGGAGACGTGGATGAAGGCTACTTCGACAACGCCCTGCTCGATAGAGGTGCGGTGAAAGGATCAAGAGGCTGGGACAGGTGCGATGGAAGCACAGCCCCTAGTCTCGGAGCTTGGTCCTAGTGCGATCCGCTTCTTGAGACCGAGGGTGGGTGCGAGAGTCCAGATGGCCATGAGACAGAAAGTGAGGAGTGGTGCGTGGTGTCGGCAGCTGAAGTGGTCGAAGTCTGTGGGTGACTTGAAGATTCTGAGGGATTGCAACACAGAGGTCGAGGGATGTTGTGGGTGCGAGTCTCGCCCGCTCGAGAATCTCGAACCCCAGGGAGAGAGGACTGACAAGAGCACGCACGGGCAGCTCACAACATCCGGGAGATTGCGAGGGAGGGAAGGCAGAGAGGTCAGTTCCTGCCCCTTGCGTTTTTCTTGTTCATATGCTTGCCGTCAGTGTCATTTCTTTTCCTTTCTTGACATGTGTCATTCATGATACCCCTAACGGCAACTCTCCCACTGAACGATTTTCATATTTCGTACAATGAGAAACGAACATTGGACCTTTTTCGTGCAAATGGTTTAGATCCCTCGATGGATGCAAGTAGCAATCTGGGTCTGATGGTAGACTGGTCGGACCAGAGTAGAGTTCCGTTATAAGCCTGAGAAGTCCGCGCAGCTGTGTTCATGCCCCAGCGGACAAATCTGAAAGTCAGCATTGAAGACGTGAGCATAAACGGCAGCCAGAGATTGAACGGTGTGGTGAGAGTCTCAGCTGCGTCTCAAGGGACACTGTTCGGTTGGGCATCCGTCCTGAACACATAGCTCGTGTTCGTTGGTTGACAAGCTAAGAGTCCGTTCATGCTGTAGCCGAATCAACGCGTGCTTGAGTATGAGAGCGGTCATCGAGGCAGGAAATCTAAGTCATGGTGAGATCTTGGTGCCGGTTGAACCGTCGCGTTGGGCGGCTAGGCAAGCTGTTAGCGTGAGGTTGAAGCTCTGCTTTCCTCAAAATTGTCTCTGACAGTGTAGGCATATTCGGTGTCTGTCCTGGCTCATTTGTGGATCCAGAAGTAGAGAGCAGGGAGTCACGTATGGCTGTGAGATGCGCAATTCGTTCCTGATGCTGAGATATCAAAGATTGGAGTTGGTGCATAGGTTGATTGGCGTCCTCTTCTGCATCCACCGTCCTCCTACCAGCCAACGGCACAACTCCCTCGCATGAGGGTGTGGAGGGGGCCTGTTCCTCAAAGGGCCAATCTGGTAGGTCTTGGGCAGAAGCTGAATTCGACGAAGAAGGGGTGCCCTCGAAGATATATCTCGCCCAGCGACGATCACCCGCAAATGCAAGATTGATTCGCTCACGGAGCAACATGTATTCAGTTGTAGATAACACGTCCTGGGCGTCATCGGGGCCAGACGAGGGCTGGGAAATGTCTCGCAAGCCACTTGCGACACCCTTTCGTACCTGTGCCAACCTTTGCGCGTAAGCTGTCGCCTTCTCTGTGAGATCCTGGTGTTTGCGGAGCGAGCGCTGCAGAGAGACCCGGTGAGCGAGGATCAAGGGCACCAATGAGTCCGGATCTTGGTGCTTGCCTGCCTCGATGCTCTTCTTCGTGTGCGCAACATCATGTGTCCTCTGCTTTACTAGGCTGCTGCTGCTGCTGCTGCTCGCATCGCTCTGGCCCGGCGCCCGCGTTTTTCTGACCACAAGCATGGCGAACCTTGCGATCAACTCCTCGAACTTGTCGCCTTTGCATTCATCCAGCATTGTCTTCCGCAGCACCGTTTCCCTGGGCAACACGCCGCTCTGTTTCAACTCCGCAAGCCATTTGTACAGCCCGGCCCTCAAATCCCTCGACCGTATCGGCGTGGTGGGGGGAAAATACGGTGAAAGCCTCGAGGCCGTTTCCGAGGGGGAGTAGAGGCGGAAGAGGTGGTAGAGGGCCCATTCTAGGCACTTTGTGCGGTTCTGGGGCTGGGCGGGGTTTGTACTTGTTTTGGCGGAGGCTCTTGTCGGGGGAAGAAATATCGACTCCGAGATGTGAGGCCAGTCAGGGAGGAGATCGAGGTCGAGGAGGTGCAAGGCGTGGACGAAGATTGCAGTGTTGTTTCGAGGATGCCATTGGGCTGGTGAGGACGAGGTATACGAGATATCCATGTCAAGACAGGCCAGTTGCACACGAGGGGCGTTGGCTTTGTTGTAGGTGATTGGCGTGCCTGTAAGAGACTTGGCTGCAAGTGGTGGTGGTCTAGGCGTTAACCCTTGTTCAGGCGAGCCTCGCCCCAAAACCCCCTTTTCCTCCCTGCTACCATCCCCGTGACTTTCTGGGATTGTGAACTTGAGAGACAGATAGACCACTCATTTATATGCTGGGTACTTCGGAGGGCTGGTATCAATACGAGGTTCTCGCTTCAGACTGGAAATGGACACGAGGTTGCCACGATATAGCTTTCCTTGTCCGCTCGACCTTTTCCCCCTTTTTTCATCTCCCAGCTCTCTTTTGCAGATTCAGACATCCGTTGAGAAACTCTGTTCACCTCTGTGCACCACAACTTAACAAGTGACTCGTCGTGCTTCTCTACCCAGTGTCCCCAACCCTGTAGCTATTGTCTTGACCATGGCTCACAAATTCGGGGCTCACTTCGAAAACCACCCCATGGTAGCGCCTATCTGGGATCGTCTTCGGGGCATCGAACAACAGCTCGATCGGCTTGACCTCGCAGTGAACACTATTCTGAAGCATTTGAACATCTCGCTACCCAGTGAGCCTGGGCTGTTGAATGGAGAACGGGGCCCCGTTGCCTCCACGTCCCAGACTGAAGGTGCTCCAGAGTCTGACATCTCTGAAGCGGCGTATAAATACGAACCGCTCAGCTACGATAAATCAGAAATTCGGCTGCTCGCTGTCCACAACGCAGACGACGACTCGGAGGACATCAAGGGCTCTCTGGAGATCGTGGGTCTTGAGGAAGGCCAGGCTGCGTGGCTGAAGCAGTACAACGCGATGTCGTACTGCTGGGGGGAACCCGAGATGGACGGGCGTGTCGTCGTCAACGGGCATGTCTTTCCGGTCACACGGAATCTGGAGAACGCATTGCGCCAGATGAGAATGAGGGCGACCAAGGAAGCGGGGAATACCAGGGTGCCTTCTGCAAAGACATTCTGGTGGATTGACCAGATCTGTAAGCGATGACTGTCTGCTTCGGAATGTGGGTGAAATATGCCAGACTGACTCGTCGGAGGCATCAATCAGCAGGATATTGAAGAACGCGGCAACCAAGTCTCATTGATGCGCCGCATCTACAAGGGTGCCAAGTCCGTCCATGTCTGGCTCGGCGATGCCGTCGAAGGCTCTGCCCTCGCCATCGATGTTGTCGGTAAGATTGGTCGGCCTCCCACCCGGGGCCCGGGTGAGAAAGAGGTCGAATATCCAGCACTCTCAGAGGCGGAAGTGCGCAAGAATTGGCAGGCTTTACGTTTGTTACTGGATCAGCCTTGGTGGCAACGAAGTTGTGAGTCCACTTGTTTCGCTAGACAGTGAGTCAGATAGGGATCTAATACATCTATGCAGGGATCCGTCAAGAAGTATGCTTAGGCTCCCGCACACAGGTCAGTTGGGGTGATCACAGTGTTGCCTTCGACGTGGTATCACAAGCTGTCATGGCCATCGAGTACACAGATAGCCTGGGCCAACAAATCCCTGGACCGTGTTCTGAAGCCGTCGGACTGCAACAACAAACGGGAAACGCCACGCTTGATTTCAGCTTCTACCACCAGGCACGGAGCCTTCGTGCCTTGAAGAAAGCCTCTCACTCGGGCCGCTCGTTTCTGCCGCTCCATGAGCTCCTCCTTCATTCCCGTCACTGCAAAGCCACGGATCTGCGAGACAAGGTCTATTCGATGCTAGGCCTGGCAGACCCGGAGGTATACCTGCTCCGGGCAGATTATCGACTTTCTCTCCCCGAAGTCTTGAAATTGGCAGCCCGCACGATCCTGCCTCAGAAGAAAGGTTTACGGCTCCTGGGTACGTGTCAGAATCACGAACGGCGCCACGACCTGCCTTCCTGGGTGCCAAATCTGATTGACGACTGGAAATATCGGCCCTTCGAAGCCGACGACGCCAGACACTACATCTCAACGGCAGAACCAAGCGTTGAATTCGACCGGGACACCCTGCTCGTGAAAGGATTCATCTTTGACTCTGTAACCACAGTCTGCGATAACGTCGTTCCGCACAGTGCAACGACGGAGCAGATTGACGAAGTATACCGGTCATGGCAACAGTTTGCCGAGCAGGCACACGAATCAGGACACATTGACGTGGGTGGACACCAGTATGGAGCAAAGTACGGACTCCACGAAAAGAAGGATATGTTCTGGGTCAACTTCCTGTCCACGGACCGCATGGCGAGCAGGTATCTTCGCTACTCACAGGACGACAACACCACGCTTCTCGCCGAGCGTGAAGAGGGGTTGAAGATGCAATACATCGGCCTGAACCTGAAACTGGCCCAGAGTTACCTGCTTCCTGCGTCGTCTGAGCCGAGCCTGCATCCACTGCGGCCGATCCGAGCTGCCTTGAAAAAGTTCGGAGTCGGTCGACGCCTAGGGATCTGTGCGGGGCAGAAGACCCCCGCGCTGCTGCCCGGAGACGCCGTGCCAGGTGATGTGGTCGCCGTCTTCAGAGGCGCCACCTTCCCGTATGTCCTGCGCAAGCTCGCCGGGACCGAAGAGTCGTCGGCGGATCAGTATGTGCTGGTTGGCGAGGCGTTTGTGCCCGAGACGGCATCGAACAAGGCCATCGCTTTCGCACCCAAATTGATGGATACCATACGCATTGTCTGAATGCAAGACGGTCATCCATCCTTTGCCAGATCTTATCTGTGGGGCCCTCATCTCGTGCATTTGGGCGATAATGGCACATGGGAAGTTCATTCGGTGACACTTCAACAGAACGGTATGAATGGTTCAGTTAACAGGTCGCTCCAGCTGGGCTGGGGGTCCGATCAAACATGGGAGTAGGGTATAATCAGTCGACCTGCCTTAAAAGCAGGCGCTCTCGTACATTTATCTATCTCGATAACTATGTTTGCATTTTATGCGGACTCGGTCTGAGATATTTCCACACACCGATTCGAGTCGTAAATACCATCCTTTTTTCCATCCTTTTCTATCTAATATTCCTTGAACGTCGTAGGTCCTGTTGTCGCACGACGATCCAGCTTTTCTAGTGTGGGGACCAATGGGCGCTGATCATCGAAGGCCAGGGACGGGACCGCATCCCTTTCAGGGCCAGCGCAGTGGTCAAGTCTTCCCTCCCAGTCTGCAACAGCGAGGGACGTATCGCAGACCAATGTGAGCTGGAGCTTCCTACATCGGGTCAACTCCCACAGCGGGAGTGATTTTCCTTTCCACGTCCGCATGGCGTTCCTCCGATGTGTCATGGCTGTCCTTCTCAATGTCCTGCTTGCTTCTGTTCCAGTACCAAAGCACCAGTATCACGATGTAGGCCACGCCGACAATGCCAGCCGCAGCGCTGTAGCCTTTTTCGCCACCAGGAGTGTTATTGGCCAGCACAATACCCGTGGCTCCGTTCACAATTGCCGCAACCATCAGTAGTCGTCCAAGCCAGACGTGGAGGCTGCGGATCCAAGGTTGGGTTCTCCGACTAGGAGATATGTACAGGTAGTGATGCAATTGCCCTATGACGGGTTGGACGATGAAGAGGGCCATGAGGATGGTGCCGAGAATCACATGTCCCCATTCATCATTGTACACCTATAGCCTTTGTGTTAGGAACCAAGTGTGAAGAGACATGCGAAGGAGGCTGAAAAGATACTGTCCACACCGTGGACATTGATCTGCCGGCAGGACTTCCTGGACGTACCTCTTTGTGAATAATGCAGACCCAAACCCCGATGCCGAATCCGACGATCAACATAGCCAGGCCCAATACCTGGCAGGCGACATGGATTCTGAAGAGCGTTTTTCCGCTAACGAGGCGGTCGAGCAGCCTCCAAGAGATCGAGGCGAAAGGGAAGATGATAATGACCGTGACGCCCATGATAATGCCATGGACCTTGTCAGAGCGGTGTTTTGTTGCCGGTGCTACAGCTCGTGGCAGGAGGGAGCTTTCCTTGGTGGCAGCCACCTCGGAAGCCGACGCCGTTAAGACATGGCAAGCACCGGCGAGGAGAAGGAGAAGTAGAGAGAACGACCTCTGTTGTCTCTGCATATTTTCGACGGGTTTCAAGTGCTGGGATAGCTTCGAAATCCTGACGGGTATGTCGAGGTGAGCGTGTGGGAGAGTGTCCAGAAAGAAAGCTGAATCAGAGGTTCGATGCTTCTCCTTTTGTGCCGGCCAAACCGAGCCAAAACGAAAAGTTGAAAGACTCCATTATGGTGTCAATGGCAGCCCACCCACCGCAGAGGCCGCAGGAGTATACTCTTGCGAGCCATTGGGTCTGGCTGCTCGGGAGGGCACTGGGAATACTTCCCAAGCAAGCATAGGCGATTTTCCTCAGCTAATCCGAGCACACCTTTCAGAGAGAAAAAGTCCTTCCCTCTTTTCATCGCCAAGGTAATTGGCCGCCGGTTCCATGCGGTATCGGACGTGACATACCAGATTTGTATCGAGGCATGCAACTGTTCGACCAGGAACACTTGGTAGCGGAGCTGGATGGAGTTCGTCGAAGCTTATCAGATTAGATGATCAAATAAGATCAGATTAGATTGGATAACTGAGAGTCTAGAAAATAAGATAAGGTCCCCTCAATTGTAGCGCTGACCCAGCTCCGAACATTTTCCTCGGGCATTCTCCGACGTGCTACCTACCAAGAAGGCGCAAAAAATTTCAAGCGCACGAACATTCGCCGGGTCTGGTGCTCCTTCGGACCAGAGAAGACGAAGGAGATATTGAGACATGAGACGATGGATTCTGGAGGACAGGAAACAATAGACATAGACTTCGACACGTGCCTATGCACAAGGACGGGCATCAATACACCATGCTTTGCAGTCTGCATGATAAGGGTATATATAGAACAAGATGCAGACTTTACAGACCCTGAGCATTGTTTCCAAATCTGAGAAAGATCCGGAGAAGTTGCCGACCTCTTTCGAAAGGGCGCAGCGGAACATATTTTGATCGAATAAATTGGTGACCAGGGTGTTATTGCTGGACCCATTCATGGTGTTGAGAACCCCCAAATTAACAGGAAAAAAGAAAGTGGCTTCCATAGACATGCGCTCCGCCAGGAGCGAGGTACCTGCGCTACGGCCTCAGGAATCACCTCATCTTGCTCTTGCTGAGATGACTGACAACGTTGGACTAAGCAATTGCACAAGAAAAGTGGCTTCGGCCTTAGCGATCAACCCCGGCAACGCTGATCGCATCGGTAAACCTTCCGTCTTGGAGAAAAGTGCAGTGCGGCATCGCTTTGCTTGCCGAATAGGGCAAAATAAAGCAAGCTGCTTTTTCATCGGGCTTGGCGACTGGCTGCGGGCGGGACGGGCAGCAACCATCTGTTTGGTGGGGGAACGTCGCCTGGTAAACAACCAAAAGGCCTCATTTGGTGTTTGCTCAACAAACAGTTGGGCACCTTCAAGCACCGTCTTTTTGTCCTGCAAGTTTGATCTGTATATTCAAGCATTAGAGGCACGGCAGATCAACTGGGTGGTGGACCTGCATTTCTGTTCTTGTTGTCTTCATCTCTTCCCTTAGCGGCATCTTCCACTGACCCATCTCTGCGAACAACACCCTATTGTTGATCCTACGCAAAATGTCTTCAGGCCGACCCGAGAGTATGGATTTCTCCGTAGATCCACGATCCAGCACTGACATTCTCTAGTCCCACCCACTCAACCTTCCTTCACCCTCAGGAACTCGCACACATCTCTACTACCTAAGCCGAACCCGTGGTCCGTCCGCGCTGTCCTGAAAGACCTCCCTCATACCCCATTCGAAGACTCCTCCTCTCCCATACCATTCTTCCACTACCTTGAGCGCCTGAAGATCGAGAAACGCGAGGGATGGCGAAGATTTGGTATTTCAACCGGCGAATCTATAGCTGACCACATGTACCGCATGTCCCTGATCACCATGCTTGCGCCGCCTGAACTGAGTTCACGGTTGGATATCCCGCGGTGTACGAAGATGGCCTTGGTCCACGACATGGCCGAAGGGCTTGTTGGGGACTTGACGCCTGTCGATGGTGTACCGAAGGTGGAAAAGAACCGACGTGAGGCTGAGACCATGGATTGGGTCGCTCAGTCATTACTTGGAAAGGTGCATGGTGGCATTCCAGGCAAAGATCTTCGCGCTGTCTGGCAAGAATATGAGGACAGCGAGACTCTGGAGTCGAAATTCGTTCATGACGTTGACAAGTTGGAGCTGATCCTGCAGATGGTGGAGTACGAGCGTGCGAACAATTGTGCCATTGACCTGAGCGAGTTCAGCTGGGTGGCGAGGAGAATCAGTCTGGAAGAGATGAAGGCGTGGGCACAGGAGATCTTGGATGAAAGAGCAGAGCTGTGGAAGAGTAAGGACATGGCTCCCCGAGAACCCACAAAGGCAGCGACAATCAAGGAGCAACAGGACGAATACTACAGCAACGGGGAAGGCAAGACGTTAGGCAACGGAGTGACCGAGATGAATGGACATGCGAACTGACGACGGGAATGAGTGACGCGATGTGTATTGCAACAGAAGAGCAATTTGCTGGAAAGTGCCGTGGAAGCCATGAAGACCAATGATACCCAGAGAACAATAGATGGCGTGTTTGGACCTTTCAGCTTGTCCTGCGATTGAGCAGCCGTTGTATCCTGGTACAAAGTGACCCTATCTCTATGCACAAATCGTTGAGTTATTGATACAAGAATTGGTGGCCTCAAGTAGCCCATCATGCCTCGTCCTGTGCGCGTGCTCGATCCTTCTCCATCTCCTTCCTCAACCATTCCGCTTCCTTTCGCATCTCCTCCTGACTCCTGGGCTCCCTCGTACTATCTGGCCCGCCTAGAGCCTCCCTTCCGGACGTCAACCCCTCGGCCCTGAGTCTCCGCATCTCGAGAAAGGCGGCTCCCAAATCTCCTTCCTCTCCATCCATCGCGTCGTAGATCCTATCACCACCGCCCTTGTGGTCGTAGTCGCCTTTCTGTCGCGGAATCACATGGACATGCACATGCGGCACGGACTGGCCCGCGTCGACTCCATCCTGGACCGCGACGTTGAAAGAACTGGCCCGGAACACCCGTTCCAGGGTCCTCGACACCAGGCGGACTGTGTTGAATAAATCGGCAGTTTCGGCGCTCGTGAGTTGCGCGAGACGGGGAACACTTCGGACCGGGCAGATCAAGATGTGGCCCGGAAGCAGGGGTTTGAGGTTGACCAGGCCGTATGAGAGGCGAGCAGGCGAGATGTGGAAGACCTGTGATGTGACGGAAAAGGGGCCGAACTTCAGATTTGGAGGCAGTTGGAGGGGAGGCATCGCAGACTCTGAGGAGGACGCTGGCGGCTGGTTCCCCGTCATGATACTGCTGGCGTGCAAGTAGCTAGTACATATATCGACAATTGCAGAATTTAGTCCCCGTTATTATCCAGCTGAAGTTGTACAACCGGATCGAAGCCTCGGCAGTCAAACAGCTCTGGCGTCATCTACACCTCGCCATTATTATTATATAGGTCACTGCGTATTGATGCTTCATTTTTGAGGATCTTCATACACGAATTGCATTGTATGAAAACAGTCGAGCTTGTCAGGCAGGAAAATGGAAGTGATAATTATAATATTAGGTCGTGGTTAGCTTTCATTGTCACTGCTCCCACTCCGAGGTACCTATCCCAAGAACGCAGAACTCAATAAATCAGCCTCCAGTGCAACGGTTTAGAGGTGGAACCGCTGAGAGGTCGATGCCAATATCTCCTCGATGTTCGATTGCCATTTTGAGCTTTCACCGTGAGAGAGTCAGAAGTCCGTTGACATGTCTTGAAGAGAATAATCGCATCCTACTCCTTAAACGTGTATGTGCCACATGTTTGCCATGGCTCTCTCGAGCAGAAACCCCATCCTCGGGCTAGCCCACCGACATTGACATGGTTGAAATCAACGGGAATCTTGCTGATATACTACTCCAACGTATAGTAATGTGCGAAACTGGTGTCCTAAAAACACATATCCGCGTTTGTGCCACTATGAAGCGCGCTTACCTCGAAATAACGATCACAAAGTTTCCTTACTCGACCAATAGGCGTAGTGTTGCAGCAAAAGGCAGGAATACCGACTTCCCTTCATCAAAGTCCACGAAGGTCGAGTGAGACGGAAAGAGAAATTGAGTCAAGAGAAACTTGCCGTGAGAATGACCTGAATTGTTGCTTCACTCCTGTAACCTAATGATGGATCTTCGAGTTACATACCATCGAGAGTCTAAGCGATATTCCAACACTGACCAAAGAAGTAGGCAGGAGTCCATCGCGTAGTATTCTGTGCTGTCCCGGGCGGGATCGCGCAACGATGCCGTCATGAGTTAGGGTAAATGCTTGCATTTACAACTCTTGCACCGCATGATCCCACGCTCGTGCTTGTCCACGTATGAGCCAAAGTCCTTTTCGCAATTTCGACATCTGTCATATTTCTTGAGCAACGTGAGCATGCGATCTCTGTCTGTTGTCATTTCTTCAACACTCTGCCTCAGAAGCTGAACAGTGTACTGCGAAGTTTGTAGAGTCTCCTCAAGGCCTAGCTGCGTTCTGGTGAGCTCTTCAACTCGGCATGCGTGTTCGTGAGCCTGCCGTAATAACATCTTCCAGGCAATGGGTTCGTGCTGTAGGAGCAGTATGGTCAACTTCGCGTCTGGCAGGAGATGCTCAGAGTTTTCCAGACAGAGCTCAAGGATTTGGGCTCTTAGTCCACTGCCACCGTCATCACCATGGTTGAAAACTCGAGAAAATGGCCCGACAAAAGCGTCGGCTCTGAAATTTTTCTTGACAACGCCTGTGAACCTGCTTGTCGCATGTCGCATAAGCTCGCTAATGTCTAAGTACTTGGCCAGCAGATAAACCTCAGTATGTTCCATGAGCTGCTTCGACTGCTGGCGGAGGGATGCTTCCTCGTCTTCGACACTCTCTGGCGCAGTTTGATTGCTAACACTATGAGTGTCGTCGCCGGCTGCAATTTCGGCTTCGTTCGTCGAATGGTCATATTCTCCAGTGTAGAGGAATTCTAGGACTTTCTCGAAAATGTCGGCACTTGCTTCCGGGAGCGCCCCGCGACCTTCGAGTGCTTCCTATACCTGTATTAATCATGATGTTCCACGTCACATGATTTGCTTACCTTGAAATTGCCAGCACATAGACGGTGCAACACAGTTGACTGGGGACAGACGATGCTGCGATGAATCTTGAAATCTCTTCCATCGACAGTCAGGATAAAGTCGGAAAATTCGCCTGTCTGTAGAAGATGCTTTTGTCGCTCTGCAAACGACATCCTGACAATCAAGTCAGTGTCAGATCATGAGTGTCATCTAACAGAAGAAGTTCCGAAATGAAATGTCGCACAAGAAGGTCAAAGTGAAGGGGAGTGGCATGTCCTTGGCGAGGCTGGTGTGTGTGCGTTATCTGTTAACCAATGGCACGGTTTCACGTCAAGACTTCAAAAGTTCACTACGAAGTGCCTCTCGCCTCACTCTGAACTATCACTACCCCGCAGGGTGATAGTGCGTGATGCTCAAGACACCAATCTACCGGGAGACTGCCCTATCTGCATTGGCGAGACCCCGGCCAATTCCTCAGATTGACGTCGAGAGCGAGCATATTGGCATGCATCCTTGCTGAGTGCGGCCAAAATGACTAACAACGATTAGAGAGGTGTTCTTGCAGAATGGGCCACCATACAAGTTGTCGTTCCTTTTGACCTTGAAACTTCATAGCTGATCCTACTGAGTTTGATACTCGGGAATACGTTGTAATGCAAATCGAGCATGATGTGCATGTTGGAGGATTCATTTGGAGCCATGGGATAGAAATAAAAAACCCTCAGCAGGTTTCGGGCCGAAATCTGTCAAGGACGTCTTAATGATATTAGCTGTTTCTTCAAGCTCGTAATTCACATTAAAACGAAAAACGATTCGTCTTGGAATTTTGTGCGGCATTGCAATTAGACGAGGGTCTTTATCAGGCCGCTCATCTATTCTTTGATCGTAACACAACATAGGTGACAGAAAGCTCAGAAACTGCTTTTTCACGCGGACGGGGTGCCTTGAGCGGCCGGAGGCTGCAGTTAGGCAGCTCGTCCGCCCCCGACCGGACAGATGATTTGACTGGAAATTCCCACTTTCCCGACCAGGCAAAGCCGTGGGTGTGAAGCTTGCCACATAGACCACGGCTTGTGTCACTGCCCCGTCCAGACCATCTAGCCATCATTTCCAGGCTTCGAACAAAAGTGACTCTCAGGATGAATACAAATACTGTCTCCTTGCCTGCTAGAAATGTAAGTAATAACCCACATAACGCTCTCAATTGTGAAACATGGAGGAGCTTGCATATCACCTGGATATCTTTGGACAACAACAGGGTCTCTACAAGCTGTACACTCAGCTATGTCTCTGCTTCCGCATGAACGATAGCTCGTCACATTCAGATATTGTCGATACTTTGACGAAAGGGCTCGAGAAACTAACCGCCAGCTTTCCGTGGGTCGCGAGCCAGGTCTCGCGCGAGGAAGCAGATGATGGCGCCATGAAGCTTTACCAAATGAAGCCCTTCGAAAAGACACCCCGGCTGGTGATCAAGGATCTCAGAGATGGATCATCGACATTGACCATGGATGCTCTGCGTGAAGTCAATTTCCCTTTCAGCATGCTAGACGAGTCCATTATTGCACCTGTCAACACATTGGCAGCAGGCACAGATGGTCCGGCGCTGGTTTTCCTGGTGCAGGCCAATTTCATCCCTGGCGGTCTACTGCTCACCCTGGTGACACAGCATAATACGATGGACATGACTGGCATGGCTCAAGTCATGCACCTACTCTCCAAAGCCTGTCGCAACGAACCATTCACAGCCGAAGAAATATCCAACGGCAACGTCGATCGACGCAAAATCATCCCACTGCTGGACGAGACATATACACCAGGGCCTGAACTCTCTCATCAGATCGGGAAGCCTCCTGCACACGAAAGTGCATCAATTGCCGCGGATGGTGATGCTCCGCAATCTCAGCCGCAATCTCCAAAGTGCAGCTGGGCATACTTTATATTCTCTGGGACATCCCTCACCATTCTGAAATCGCTGGCAATGCAATCCCTCAACGGTAAAGTGGCCTACGTCTCGACCGACGATGTCCTGAGCGCGTTTATCTGGTCATCGGTAGCCCGGGCCCGTCGTCCTCGCCTGCAACCTATCGGAGAGGTAACCTTTGCACGGGCGATCGATCCACGGCGATACTTGGGTATCCCTGATACATACCCGGGGCTCGTTCAGAACATGACGTACACGGAAGATTCTCTCGAAGGGCTGCTCAATGCACCTCTAGGTAGCATCGCCTCGAAACTCCGAGAAGCCGTCGACCCTTCGACTTCGAACCTGGCGTACGCAACCCGGGCACTTGCGACATGGCTTCACCGCGCACCGGAGAACAACAACGTCAACGTGACAGCAACGCTGGACCTCTCTGCCGACATCATGCTCAGTTCCTGGGCTAAGTATGACTGCTACGACCTCGATTTCAACCTCGGATTGGGAAAGCCAGAGGCCGTTCGTCGACCACAGTTTGTGCCGGTAGAGAGCCTGTTCTACCTGATGCCCAGAAAGCCCAATGGGGAGATTGCAGCGGCGCTGTGTTTGAGGGAGGAGGACCTGGAAAGGCTCCGGAGGGACGAGGAGTTTATTAAGTATGCCGTCTACGTTGGATGAACTGGCTGCCTGGCTGAACATGACCGACGAGACACCCATGTACCCAGCCATATACGTGTCCCACTCATAATATGAAGCTGCCATCCTAGAAAGAAACCTCATGCCTCTCGCCATGTCACTTGTTTACTCTGATGGATGTCCAATCACATCGATCCTTTTGCTGGAAGCCTTGCGTTGTCTTTTATGTCATGGAATCCAAAACGAACTTTCTAGTCCAGATCGAAACCGCACATCTCCATCTCGCCGTTTACACTAGTGGGTTCATCTGCTGCTGCTAGCCACTCAACTCGCCTTCCTCTTTGAAAAAGAAAGAAACAGTCTCCATAATATTCATAGACTCTTGCGGTTATATTGTGATCTCCCTTGCGATAAATCACGGCGATTAGAAAGGTAACTACTTCCATATATTCCTTCGCGTCCGCAATTAGACCAGGGACGTCACCAATACGTGTATTTATTGCGTCTTTCATCTCGAAACTGATATCATCCCGTCTTATCTTGCTTCAATCAATTGGGTCTGCTGGAGACGACTTGCAGATTTGATTCAGTGCGCGTATTAAGAGATCCTTGTCTTGGATATTGTCAATTTGATTTATGTGAGTTGCCGGTCAGACCTCAAGCTGGACGCAGCGCCACGTTGAGTCGGGCGAGGATACGGATCTAGAGGGGCTACAAAAGATCCAGTTGGTTCTCCATCGATCCTCGGAATCACTCTCTACCTGGAAGGCATATCACGTCAAAGACAAGAGCAAAATGTCTCAAGAACAAGCCGTCAACCACCCCAACTCGACCTCCTCCAAGACCGGCACCTTCTACTTCGCCTACGGGTCCAACCTGTCGGCGTACCAGATGTCGCTGCGGCTGCGGCACTCGGCCTCGTCGAGCGAACCTGTGGCGATCGCACGTCTGGACTCGCATGCCTGGATCATCTGCGAACGCGGGTACGCCAACGTGGTCGCCCTGCCCGAATCTAACGCCGCCTCGGACTACAATACCGTTTGGGGCGTGCTGTATAACATGCATCCCGTGGACGAGGCCCGGCTGGATATGTATGAAGGTCACAACCAAGCGAGAAACCCGACCCCAGAAATCAACCCAGACCCGGAGACGCAGGTAGTCAAGCAGTATCTGCAGGGAGGTTGGGATTATAACAAGCATTACCTACCCGTCACGGTAACGAAATGGCTGAAAGATCCAGCGGAATACGGCATCAGCATGTCATCCTCTCACATGGTCAATGGCGCCGCTCATGAGCATACGGCGGGGTCGCATCCACCCACCACGGTCCGAGCGCTCGTGTACGTCGACGAGTTCCGCACTACCCCGGGCAAGATCGTGCCGGAGTACATTGGACGGATGAACAGGGGCATCGAGGAGTCGGTCAAGCTCGGCGTCCCCCTTAGCTGGGTGAACAACATCATGAGGCCGTTCATCCCGGAGGGGATCTATGTCACTGAGAAAGGTTACGTGGGCACGGATGAGGGGTATGTCGAGGCCGAAGCGACAGAAACGGACGACCATTTGAAGGAGAATATGCTCAAGGATGCGAATTGGGACGGAAGGTAGAGAGGGATGCGAGGGAGGACCTTTCTATACAGCTACGGCGGGGAGAAGGACGGCCAGGGCCAGTTCACCAGGTACAGACCAGGGCATGGCTTCCAACATAGACGATAGACCCCATGTGCTCTTTCCCACTTGCTCCAATACCTACAGTATATTGCAGCAGTTCAGCTGGCCAGCGAGCAGGTGTTAAATATTATGAAAGGGAGGCAATTGGTGCCACGTCTATGAATACAGCTACTAATAGTAGTGACATCACACTAGCCACCCACTCGTTATCCGCACTTCTCACTATTATCCACACCACCCCGCGCCTTGAACATAGGTGTACTACATTCAATGGGCACCAACAACTCGACCCCCAGGCAAAATCTGCACGATTTGACAACCTGACCATGGCACAACGAGTGACCCGAATGCGGCGGCTGCGCCTTATCGGGCAGTTCTTCAGGCTCGAGCCTGATGCTCTTTTACTTCCCTCTTGATGCTCGTGCGCACGACGCCAGCTCACACTCTGCAATGTGTGTCCTGCTGACCTCTCACGATCCTGTCCGATCTCCTCGCCGAGTCTCTCAACCATATTTCCCCTCGAAGATGACCTTGTTCGTACAAGGCATTGTTTCGCGAGTGTAACCCGTCGTCATGGCCCGGCCAGCACAAAATGAATACCACGTCGGGTGGATGTGCGCCTTGCTCGTGGAGCTGGAGGCAGCAACAGCAATGCTAGATGAAGACCATGGCACTATCAAAGGAGGAGGTCGAGATCAAAACACTTACCGTGCTGGACGTATACATGACCACAATGTCGTTATCGCCTGTCCCCCTGTGGGTATTGATGGCCCTGTTGTGGCAGCACACGTGGCAACACACATGATCAGGACATTTGAACAATTGAAGTTCATTCTGTTGGTTGGTATCGGTGGCGGATTGCCAGACTCAGAGAAAGATGTCGACATCAGGCTCGGCGACGTTGTCGTGGGTGTACCAAGCGGCACCAGCGGTGGGGTTATACATTACGACAAGGGAAAAGCCAAACATGGAGGTGCTTTTGAGCTCAAGGGCACTCTCAATGCGCCTCCCTATGCGCTTCTGACTGCAATCACCGCACTCCAAGTACAACCTCGATCAGATCGGGGTCGGCCGATGCTAGGTTACCTTTCCGACATGGTTCATGGGTATCCGCGTTATGGCATGCCTAGCCGGCGAAAAGACCGCCTCTTTCATCTCAGATATCCTCACCCCGAAGGTCAAACGAACTGCGATCAATGTTTACCTAGCCACGAAATCACTCGTAACAGTCGAAAAACCACTGAGCCCCAGATCCATTACGGCATTATTGCTTCTGGAAACAAGGTGGTGAAAGACCCCCATTTACGTGACAACCTCCGGGCATCTTATGGTGCGCTGTGTGTGGAGATGGAATCTGCTGGTCTCGCAAATATTTCGCCGTCCCTTACGGTAAGAGGAATATGTAACTACGCAGATTCTCACAAAAATGACGAATGGCACCCGTATGCCGCTGCCACGGCGGCCGCGTGGACAAAAGAACTACTTCTTTTTGTCACAGCATAGCATCTCAACCGCGAACAAAGGAATCAAGCCCTTGCAGGTAGGTTCCGATCCTTATCCCCTATTCACAATGGAGAAAATCCCTTTTGTTTTATACGATTTCTGCATGGGAGAAATGCTTTGCAGGAGAGGATATAAACCTCGTTTATCAACAGGTTCCGTGGAAAGCAACCTTCAGCCGCAATACGAGAAACCACATGGTTATGAGGAGAATTTTCAGAACCCGGATTATCAGTTGTGCCATCGTGCCTCCAAATTGACCTCATATGAAGTGCAATAGAATGTCAACCCAACTCGAGCTCCTGACACGTAGCTCTGGGTTCTAAGCAATCCCAAGTACCGACAGTGGCAAGAGAACATGGCCAACGATCTCTTGTGGATATCTGCCAATCCAGGTTGCGGCAAATCGATCTTGTCAAAGTCTCTCACAGACCGCGAACTGCAGACAACAGCAGAAACAACGTGCTGCTATTTATTTTCCAAAATCAGTCGGTCCAAGACAATCTGACGGCTGTGTTTTATGCTTTTCTACATCAGCTATTCACAAGCCAGCCACAACTTCTTGCGCACGCAATTCCTGTTTGGCGACGAAATGGTGACAAGTTGGCCCAAGAGGTGAATGAGTTGTGTAGGATATTCCTGGCGGCTACTGCGGACCCCAGCTCCCGAGATGTTTTCTGCGTCATAGACGCCCTTGATGAATGTCGAGAAACTGACCAGTGGGGACTGATTGACAACTTGCTGTCGCTTCGCAGATGCACGGGCAGCAAAACCTCGACCGCAATCACTGAAAATCCCGGTTACTAGCCGGCCGTATGATAGCATCGAACTAAACTTCCAGCGTAGCATGAAAGGATGCTCTGTCACACTTCCGAACATTCGTCTTCGGGGGGAAGAAGAAAACGCTGCAATTGGAGCCGAGATCGATTCGGTCATTCGTAGCCGCGTTGCTGAGATGACAATAGCCTTGCCCTTGTCACCGAAAGCCAGTAAGCCACTGCCAGCGAAAGCTATTGAATATGAAAAATCGGACTTAGCTATGGCCCTCCTTTGCCATGGATGGCATTTACGAAAACCTCAGGGACCGTTTACAGCAACACGAGAACTCGATCAATTCCATGATCGCTACGCTTTCCAAGTCGGTGGACGACGCATACGAGAAGATTCTTAAGTAGAGTGCGGCAAAATCAGCACGAGACTGTGCGAACCATCTTCCACATCATAGTCGGTGCTCGACGAGCCCTCAGCGTAGGCGAGATGTATCTGGCTTTCGGGCTAGCAACTTCGAAGGACATTCACTCTTGGGAGTCGGCTGCGGTCGAAAAGCTCCATCTCCAGAAGTACATTCGAGAATGGTGCGGACTTTTTGTTTTCATTGAGCGGTCCAATATCTACCTTGCCCACCAGACTGCGAAGGAGTTCCTAATTCGGGAGTCAGAGATGGTATGCGGCGTCTGGAAACACTCACTGATTCCCGCAGACACTGCAACAGTCATGGTGCAAATGTGTGTCCGTGCCATATGTTGGCCGCTGGGAATATACCATCAGCTTTTCTTCGACAAAAATCCGGGCCACCAGTTCGTGGAAGACACATCGACATTGGTGGCGTATGCTCAAGATTCTTTGCTCTTCCATCTGACAGAGACAAAGATGGATAGACTTGATCTCTTGCACGACGCACTCTGCCTCGTGCGGGATCAACTTCAAGCAGGAGCTCTCCTACCAGAACAATTAAAAACCGGATCGCTGGGCCATCACTTTCTGCTACTGAGGAGGATGACTCTTTTGTTGGCGCAGGTTGCAGACCTCTTCTATTGTAAGAAGCCGTCCAGATGGATCCTTCATTGCGCTGCTGTACTAGTGGACATTATAAGAAAATTAGTCGACCTTGATGTTGAGGGTTCCTACGCAACATATAGCTGGTGTGAGGCGCTAGTGTTTTCGGCGGAACAGGGTTCTGAGCAGATCCTGAGAATTCTTCTCTGTGCTGGTGAGAAATTCAAGTTGAAGGAGAGGGATCTTTACAACGCACTGCTCGCTGCGGTCAAGCGTGGTCATACACATGTCGTTCGAATCCTACTCGATGCCGGTGCCGATGTCAACCGGGGCAATGAAAACGTGCTACGGGCCGCCATTGACCACGGTCATGGGGATGTCGTATTGCTCCTGCTTAGGGCTGACTTAAATAACTGCGGAAAAGGAAATGGATTCGAAGGGGCCCTAGTGGACAACCAATCGCCCGAGGTGGAAAGACTGCTCAAATTGAAGGTGCAAGTTCTGACACACGACCTCCATGATGGCTTCTGGCTGGATCTATCTTCAGACGTGGACGAGGTCAAACGGATTATCAGCATCCTAAATTTGCCGTACCTGACGTGGCATACTGACACGCTCGCTGACTTCCGGTGTCCAAATCGCGAGGTCAAGAAATACAGCCGACTGGGGTTTCTGCGACGGCAGAAGAAAAAGGAAAGACGTGCAAGGATTCAGTCGTTGATACCAAAAACCGTGCACGAGGTCAGGGATGGTTGAATTTTGACTCTTCATCCTGGGATCCTCATCCTTCGATCCTCGTCAAACTCCATACCGAGTCCCGAGTATATATGTGTTTGCACAGAGTCCTAACAATCGGGGAAAGAGGGACGGAGAGCTCGATCCTTACTAGAAAACGGCATTCTCCAGTACCTCCGAATATAAAATGTCTGCTCCAGCGATGCGGTAGAGACACTGTGTCCATGGATAGAAGGAGGCAGGCAGATGTCGGAGAGCTATTGAGGTATGTCTAGATATATGTATAAGTTGGCTTAAGTTACATAATAGGTTGACTTGTCCATCAAAGGGCTCGAAGAATATCACTTGGCCTACAAGTAAGGAAGTGTAAGCACTCACTCCGTCCGAGTCATGCATACATACATACATCCATACATACATGATGACCTTTCAACCGACTGATTGACTGACCGACTGACGGAGCTTGTTCGAACCTCGAAATCCGAAGAAGAATAAGGCAGACACAGAAACAACACGACAGGACAGGAGGGGACATCTATCCATACGGAATATGTAATATGATATGATATGTTATGAATATAATGTAATGTAATGAAGGCTACACACCAAACCACACCAAACCACACCACACAACACCACACGATCGACCGATAGTGATAGGCGGTAATGAGCTGACATGCCCTCGACACGCCCAACGACGGAAGAACAAAAACAAGGGGGAAAAGAGCGTTCATTAATGGTAGAGGTCAAAGTGTGTGTTCTGTCAATCTTGTCCATCTGTACGTGGTTACGCAGGAAGTCGAGACGGCCTAGTTGGCCGGCGACTTGAGCCCAATCCTCCCGCTCTTCTCTACTGTATTCATTCCAAAGCCAGACTCACTCACTCATTCCATCGGCCCGTCAGTGTCGGTCATCAGCTCAAGTCAACTCAACTCGACTCAGAAAGCAAGCCGGCCAGGCGCACTCGCTTGGCTGATCTCTCTCCGCGCATTCTCCTTGCCGACTGCTGGGAACAGCCCGCTGCTTCCATTCAATACCCCCGGCCGTGGCTTCGTCGGACTTCGTGCACCGTTGACCCCCTTGCCATGGCCTTCCAGCGAGCGTTTCAAATTGACGCTCCTGGCTCGATCTCTCCGTGCTCGGATCTGTGCTAGAGCAGCCTCCCGGGAGATCGGAGTTCCAGGGACGTTGGAGAGCATGGCTGAACTCGAGAGGGAAGTCACCCTGGACTGCGTCTGAAAAGTAGGTTCTCTGCTCGTATTGGAGTCCATTCTGATATTTAAGACCTCGGTTTGGGCGTGGTCGTCTCCATTTCGATACTCTCGGTGCTCCTGGCTTGACACTTCATCTGCATCCACGGCTTCTCTAAGTGGTACGCGTGTCGTAGTCGTTGTGGTGGTGGTAGTAGCAATCATCTGCGGACTTCTGGCACGGCTAGGAGCTTGCGCCTGATCTTGACTCTCAACGTGAGCCTGCGTCTCCGCATGCTGAGCTAGATCATGCATTGACCGTGAATGTTTGTGTAAGGGCGTCACCGGGAACACAGTACTCGCGGCGGGTGAAGCCGAAGAGTCTTTCATAAATGTAGATTGCGTGTCAGAATCATCGTATTGAGACATTACCGACGCCGCCAAAGGTGAGTGGCTTCGAAGATTCGGTCTTGACTGTGCTCGCCTGCGCAGACTAGCGCGTGATGGAGAGTCTTTGAGTGCAATCTTCGTGGTGGTTGTCGTAGTTGATGGTGTAATGGCGTGGCTTCGTTCCTTTGGGAGAGACCGCACGTTTTCTCGCTGATAAGACCTGGCCGACCGTGGTGAATCCGGCACCAGCCGGATAGGTGAGTCGACGGTCAAGATACCTAGCGCCGTCGAAGGCCTTCGGGGAGGGGCTTGTTTAGGCGGCGAGAGATCGAAGAGATCTTGATCAAGCACCGCCGACGTACTCTCAGTATGTCGAAGTGTTGGAGCTAGAGCCCCGACGCCCGCATTGCTTGTGATAGATGTTGAAAAGGAGAACGGCTGCGAACCTATTGCAGGCTCCACCAAAACTTGCGTTATTTCCTCCAACTGGGCCGTTGCCTCCAAGTTAGTGCTGCTCGAATCCAATTCCATGGCGTCTGGCTCTGGGAGAGGCACTTCAATAGCTTGCTCAAGGACCATGGGGTCTGTTGCTGCATTGTCCATCAACTCTGGTGTTGGGTCAGGTGGAAGTCTGGCTGGCTCAGTCGCTTCGGTTGATGGAGTGCTGGCTGACGGCGGATACGGGACAGGCTCGTTTTTGCTTGCGAGTGGCTGTTCCACAAGTCCCTTACACGTTTCTTCGAGGTGCGAGCTCGTCTCCTCCGCATCATTCGAGATCTTCCTCTTCTTTGGCGCACGCTGCTGCAGCATCTTCGCATCATAAACTTGATCGTAAACAAAACGATCCCCATTTGATTCAGCCAGTCGGCACGGACAAGCCTTGAACTGGCATTGCATATGCATGAAATGGATCAAATCTGAGTCTTCTTCATGCTTCTTTCGTGCCCAAGCAAGTTCCTGTTTCAGAAACTCAACTTCTTCTTCAGGCGCGATCTTTTCTCCTCCTAGTTGCTTGTCGAAGTAATTTAAGCGAGATATGGCTGTAGCGAAATCTGGCGCTTTTGGAGCGAGGAGTCGTGCAGGCTCCCCATGTTTCACACGACGCGTTGACGCTGGTGCTGGACCCATCTTCGACCTAGAGACAGAATGGATCTCGCTCTCGCCATCCAAAAGCTGCGCGGGTCGCTTCTTGTCTCTTTCTTGGAATGTCTTTCTCTCGCGGGGATGTTGGGGGGTTTCAGTCCCTGTACCTTCATTCAGTGGCTCCGGCGACTCAGTCTGAACACCCTTCTCCAAAGATACACTCTTTTCGGCGGCGTTTGCTTTTGCCTCCAACAAGGCTGCGTCCCTCTCCTTTTCCACTGCCTTTAGCCTATCCTTCAGCTGATCCACCTCACCCACCATTCCGGCCAATGCGTATGCCCTCTCGAAACTCTCTTGCCGACTCTTCTCCTTCTCTGTCCTCTCGTGCTGTATCTCGCTCTGGCATCTCTTCAACTCGGCTCTCACTTCTTGCAGATCCTGCCTTGCCTCCACGACAGACAGTTCAGCACGGTAGGTTTCCTTGCGACATCGCTTGATTTCTTTCGTGTAGGATTCCTGGTCTCGGCTCCTTTTCTCCTTCTCGGCCTGCAATTCTTCCAAGAGATCCTCGACGCGTTGTGAGAGCATTCTCTCCCGCTTCTTCTTCGAGGCCACTTCCTCCTTGGCCCGCTCGAGCTCGGCGTTCAAGCTCGCAAGGCTTGCCTGTGCTTCCTCGTATCCCATGACTGCACGCTGAAGAGCATTGTTGGTATTAAGATTATGATTAGGTGTGGCATTGCAGATGTCTGGCAGTCCAGCCCCGAGCCTTCTGGGCCGAGTGGGCGACGATTGAACGCTGGGATTTGCCGCCAAGCTGTTTAGGAAGGCGACTTTCGACTGGACATCGGAAGTAAAAGAGTCGCGGGTGCGAGGTCGATCATGGTCAACCAAGTAGCTATGTAAAGAGGGCGACTGAGGGATGCGTTGCTGGTTGATGCGCTCCGGCGAGAGCTGATGCAGCGGCGCAGGAGGGCATTTGAGCGGGTTCGGACTGACATGTAGATTCTGGTTCTCCATACTACTATCGTCGTGGAGGATAGCCGCATCCATGAGTGAAGGCATTTGAAGGAGTCACTGTCATAAGACGTTCATGGTTTCAATTGACAAAGTGCTGCAAGAGTAGCGAGTGGTGTGGGAGACGCTACAGGCAGAATGCCCGTCACCTGGGATCCTTTGTTTACACCCTAAAACGGGAAGTCAATCTTGGCTACCGGCACGTGATGTGTTTTGTCATGTATTCTTTGGTGGTCCCTTGGGTGTCCCTAGGTGGTCGGTCCAATTGGGTGGCTATCACCCAGCCTATAGGTGCCTATCCCGAAGGGCTAGTTGGGTTTATTGTCCTCCTCTTCCGATCATAAATCTACCCTACACAAGAATAATCTTCCGTTCAACAAGGCCATCACGATTGCCTGCATCCATTGTCTCGAAGATTTCTCCCCTCATAACACCCTGGATATACGATTCACCCACAAGCAAATATTGAGTGTCAATGGAGTCTTCCTGTCCATTATTGTCGGCTGACACCCTCCGGATTACGAATGGCACGTTTGCACCCCTAAACAAACAGCATTCATCACATGATTTGACCGTCATATGGCCGAGTCCAAAGTAGCCCTTTCTTGTTCGGAAGAACCGTCGGTTGTGAAAGGCTCTGCGCTGATGGCTGCTAATGTAGGTGAGCGCTTCGAGTTTTAGAGATCGTGGAGACACCGTCCCTTCTTGACACTTGGAGTCTGCTTCTGCAGATGACGGCGGCTCAGTTTCATGATCGCTGACTCTCTGACCGCGGAGTATCTCCTTGTATGCACGGTAGATGGCGCTGTGCAGCGTGGGATTGTCTTCAGCAGGTCCTTCATCGGCTGCCCGTCCTGCTGCGATAGTGAGGCTGTAGGCATGTTCCCGCTCGTGCTGGCTGCTGCCGTAAACTGCGTTACCTCTGCGAGATTCCAACTCCTCCCACAACCTTTGCAACGGCGCCTCCTTCTGCTGAGTTTCAAGGAGAAGTTCTTCAGAATCAAATATGCGGGATGTCCACTCGATAGAATCCAAGATCACACCCGTGACGCGTAGAGAGGACTCGGCTCTGGAGACTTCAAATTGAAATGATGTAGGCCTGGTTCCGCCTGCTCGATACCAGTTCTCCGGGTATCCCAGCCAATATACCCGCCACCCTTCGTCCCAACGTGGCACCCACGAGGGCCGCCGGCCCGAAAGCGAGAGAGAGTCTTCAGTATGGTCAATGCAGGTAAGTAAAGTCCAGGGATATGGGTCATTCTCCAAGATGCCTTCGGCAGTCTGAAGATAAACTTCATCGACGGAGAGGTTATAGTTGGCAAGTACCAGTCTTTTCTCCTTTTCAACGCCGTAAGCCGTACTCGGGTGGCTGAGAAAGGCGTAAACACGATCTCTCTGGTCGGTGGCCTTATAGGTTCGCCCATCGTTCAGAATGTTGATGAAGCTCACTTCACCTTCATTGCAACTCAACATCTTACACAATGGCAATTCATTTCTCCAGGATATGGCATTGCCATATGTCCTCCAGAGGTCCTCGAACAAGTCCCAGAACATACCAGATTTGACAGTTCCCATCTGGGAAGCGACATCAACCCGCGAGGCGACAATAAGCATCAGTTCCACGAGATAAGCCCAGTTCATCTTTGCATGGCCGTAGAGCAAGACGGCTGATCGAGCCAAGCCGACTTCTTGGAGCACCCAAACCCGCGAAAACCACTCCGAGTCCATCAGTCGGCGCACCATATCCCACTTGCGGGTATCTGAGCAGAATGTACTGCTCTCTCGGGTAATGGGAGGAAAGAGATTAACATCTCCATAATCAGAGACCATCTTTGCAAGGATAGTGGCAGTGTCCTGTATTAGGGAGAAGCACTCCTTCGCTTCCTGATTGATATCAGGACCTAACCATACGAGCACTCTCGTTGCGCTCGCGTAGATTTGACCCATTTGTTGAACCTACCGCATAGCGTTAGAATGAGAGCTGTCGAGACAGGAAACCCTACTCGGTCCGATAGAAATGCCATACCTGTCGTGCTCTCTCCCCCTGGTCTTCCTGGTTGATACACACGGCATCTACCCAGAGGAACCTTGTGTATCGTTCATGTCGAAGATGATTCAATGCGCAGGCCAAGTTCTCTCGAATATGCAGCATAGCACCCTCACAATCGATGCTGCTCTCTGCTGGGGAACCGTTGTCATCCCCCCAGACATAAGATAAGGCCTCGAACCCCAATCGAGCAACGTCCTCTATATTCCAAACTTGAAGGCTGCACGAAAGACCATCGCCTGTAAATCCAGGGTGAAGCACCAGAACCCTGGTCCAGCCTTCAACAGGCAAAGGTGTGTACCTATAGGCCAGATCGCGAGCGGGCAATCCTCCCGCCCGAAGGATGAGCGATAGATTTGGTATGGTAATTGTACACATCATATGTCAACATCGCCCTGAAAGGGCCGAAGGATATTCCCAGCTTGATGTGGGTGAATTAAGTTGACCTGGATGAAACGCATCACGGTGCACTCCCTCTCCCTTATCAACAATCTTCGATAAGCAGGGCGAGATGACATGAAATTGGCACTATTTTCGTGGCGTCTCGATGCACCTGGGCTCAGGAGTCATGGCGCCTCCCTTGCTTTTGCCTGCGTTTCACGAGAGTCATTGCAGTCTGCAGCCAATAGAAAATGGTCGCTTTCTCAGGCCTCTCGCCAGCCCCGTCTCAAAATGATGATGAACACAGCCAGGGTCACTTTGCTTGTAAGCCCCGAGCACCGCCTGCTCTTATTGCGTGATCACTTACCTTAGGTAGGGAGACGGCCATGCTATCAATGATTACCTTGGTGAGGTTGGGATGATGCTTTGGAAGGGTCATTGACATCTTAGCTCCAAATACCACGAAAGCAAGACATTCTTTAGAAGTCTAGGGCAGCCATTCACATGAAATTATAAACGATTGGGGAAGTGCGTGTACTTGTTAGTATTGTAGATTAGCAAGGGGAGACCGATGTTCCCTCAGTTTCCACGGTCACGTGCGAGTCCCCGCGACTGCTCAGAGGAGCGAAAGTCTTTTCTCAGTTCCAATCAGTTTTTCATTCCTTATTATCTAGCTAATTCGAATTTCATCGTTGGATTATGCATTTTGAGCCATGCAAGTGCCCCGATTGCAGGGCGCGCCGACTCCTGCAAAATCCCAGTTTCTCCCGGTGATGGGGGCGCAGAGCGCTTTCCCTATGCCTTGGGAGAGGCTCGACCATGTCGATAGAGCTTGAAACCGTATTTACAATGTTCCCGTGTCCCATGTCCACCCAAGTAATGATCACAGCTCACAATATGTTACAACATTAGCTAGGATGATTGAGACGTTCATTCGACCGTCACCTAGCGTTGCGTTCTCCATCTCCGTCCTCATGCTCGTCGAATTTAGCATGCCTGAGTCTTTTCAAGTCGTTGAAGTTCCATCCGAAAGCATTCCCCTCGACACATCTCTGCCGGGTTCAAAAATGTGAAAAATTTCATAAAGCAATGCAAAGCATAAGTAACACAATCGTCTAAATCCTGGTTTAATCGATATTTTTGGGTTTCAGGAGCAGTCCATCTCAACATCCTCTCGTCGTTGGAGGAAGGGAGCCTCGCCAAAATCCATGGCAGCTTCCATTCCACAGCTCATCATTCTCTTGTGACCGGAATGGTTGGAGAACTGAGATTCGCGTTGTTGGACCATCATGTCCGCGAACGGGTTAGCGGCCGAGGTAGGCGGCATTTGTGTCTCGGGTTGTTGAAAGAAGCGGCCGCGACTCTTCGGCATAGCCATGCGTCGACCATGGAGGTGTTGACGGGCGCGGTCCCCGATCTGGGTCATCGGGTTACCATCGCTCATGGTTTCCATATCGATGGCGAAATAATCGACGGGCATGTGCATTCCCGCGTCGGCCACCAAGCTTGGAGTCTGAGGTTGCCAGTCCTGGCTCTCATCGCTGTCCGAGTCGACCTCGTATGAACGCTTGTGGCTGGTTGAGTAAGACCAGAGAGACTGCTGGGCAATCGAGGGTGACGACCAGTCCTCGCTGCAGTGGGAGAGGTAAGCCAGACTGATACCGCAGAAGGTGGCAGTGCTGAGGGGTTGGACCTGCGCCGCCGTAAATGGGGAGAGCTCGTTGGTGGTATCAGTGTTGCTAGCAGACAGGGCGGCCTGGGTCTCGGGGGAAAGCCGGTGCATGTTGAAAAAGGGCCGAGGCGTGAATTTCTTTTGGGTCTTGTATCCTTCAGCTACGGCCTTCCTGACGCGCATACCGACCTGGAGAAGACCTGCCTCGATTTCCGCCTGATCTGGGGTTTGTTCGCAGAGCTGCAACAGCAGTGGAGAGTCAAAGGTATGATGTTCAATGTCCGAGTTGTCCGTGATGGGGATGATAGGCGGCAGCGAGTTGGGGGTGAAGCGACGACGCTTGGACAGAGGGGAGTCCAATTCAATGGAGGGCAGCGGAGTGGAAAAGTCTTGTGGCAGACCCATCTTGCAGGTTGGTTATGGTTGTGAAGAGACGATGAGAAACGATGGAGAAGTGAGCTGACAAGGAGCTCAGGACTAATAGGTGCAGGTGTAGGTGTGTGTCGATCTGGATCAACAGCGAGAATGGAAGCCAACGAGTGTGGATGCTCGACGAAAGGGTCCCTCCCTGCTAAGTGAATAGCAAGGCGTCGAAGGGATAAGGGGGGATATTAATGATGTGAAGGAAGGTCGCTGGTGCTGGATGGATGGGAATGGCCGTTAGGATGGAGTGTGAAAAATGAGAAGAGTGAGAGAGTGAGGTGAGAGTGAGAGTCAGAGTGAAAGGGAGCAAGGAGCTGATTCAAGAAGGAGATGAGGGAAATGCAGGTGTCGAAGTTAAAACTAAAGGAGGCCGATTTATTCGCAACTCTGGAGTCCGGCAACGGCGCCATGCAGCACGCAGCAATTGGATCTTGTGCGACTGGCCACCGCCACTGCTGTAACAGGATACTATCAGGTCTTATCGAGTTTCCGGAGCGACTGGATCGTCAATCCCTCAAGCGAGAGAGGAGCGAGGAGGCCGGGAGTAGCGAGAGACCGAAAAACTATCACTAGCCCAGGAACCCTGGTTCGTTTTGGCTGTGAGCGTGGCCTAAACAGTAAGGCCCCTTTGCCCCTCCAGCCATGAGGAGCTCGAGGGCCCTGGCAGCCCCTGGCCACCCACCCAACCAGCGTTCGCCTCCCCAGCCTCCCTAAATTCCCCCCTAAGATTTGTCGTGCATGGCGATATTAATAGTGGCTGCACTCCCGCCGCTAACCACCTTGTTTCAGGCTTAGTGTCCGGACTCGCCAAGGGGGAAAAGTCCGGGGCTGGGCAGGGATAGGCGAGCTGCCATTGGGTGTTGGTGGGATTTGGCCCCTCCACGACCGAACTCGTGTTCCCCTGGACGGTTGTTGGCGGCCGGTGTAATTGGTGTGTTGCTCCTCGAAAAACCTGCGCTGACACGAAACTGACGCGAGGCCTTCCGCTGCCACTTTACGCGACCACGTTTTGATTGGAGAGCAGAGGGGCCATCGTTGTGGCTGGACAGTCCCTGGGACGTTGGAGGCTCGCTGGGAAAAGTGGGCAGAGCCGCTGAGGGAGAAAAGGATTGGGACGAGATTACGGAGTAACTCGTAATTTGGGATTTTAACGTTAATAACTTGCTTATCCGTCTCATCCTTCCTTGTCCGTTGTACCCTACCCTCGGCTGACTTGCTGCTTCCGGGGACGTTCCATGCTGCCTGAGCCTTCTTCCTTCATCCACTTCCTTCACCTGCTCTTCGCAAGATAATAATATCAAAGATTCTTCATACTTTTATGACTTGTCGCACCTATGCCACTATAGTCTTCGCAAAGCAAGGCAATGAGGTGTTTCTCGATGTTGATGAGGATGTCCCTCCCTCCCTAGGGCTGAGTCTTGTGTTGGATTTAGTCCTTCCATGGGATCTGGTCTTCTGGCCTGGACATCAATCCTAGCACTTTCTGTTCAAACTTTGGAGCAACTTCTGTGCCATCTGAGAGTCAGTCATCCTTAGTCACAGTTCCTCGTCGACTAGTATGGCTGTGAAGAACGGTAAGGGCTATCATAGGTGTGGCCAATAACTGGTTACGGTATAGTCAAGACGGTATGTCAGGTACCTCCATTCCCTGAGTTATCTACAGAAGACTTGAGGCGCCACCATTGGAAGGTTTGGTATGCCCTGGAGTCGCCCTGGCTACGATGGCCTCCCCATTTCGAGGCCTTTTCCGCTTAGGCCACAAAGTCAACGACCAAGGTGTGACACATTGACCAATCCATTCCCCGCGGCTCGCCCAATTTCATCGGCACTTGGAACATGCAGTGACAACGCAGAGGGCGGCGTAGCACAGGACCAGGGGCGCTAACACTGGCTCTGCATCGGTTAGACGGATTTCACCTCCAGCCTGATTCTCATACAAACTCTTCTTGAACCACTGACATACGCTGTCCAAGTTGATAAAACGAAACGGCATTGCTACTTGGGCAATCATTGTCAACGAAGAAATCGCTTCCTGGGCAAGGAAGGCTACTGTCCCTTGTTTGCCGACCATCATCATCGAACCACCGACAATCAGAATTCTGGATTTTGTTGCACACTGAGTTAGCCTCAGCGTTGCGGTACTCTAACCGACTATGACGCGCAATGTTAGGTTTGCTGCAGAAGTGGCATCACTTCGAGATCCATATGATTCCGAGTTATACGTTATGGAGCGTTATGCGAGACACGCGCTAAACTGTGTGTTTTGTATAGACCCATATACTACATACAGACGGGAGGGTTCTCTTTGCACCAAAGGAAATGACCTTGCAAAAGACATTGAAGAACACCTATATGTTAAAGGAGGCAAGCCATTTTCCAGACTTGATCGTGAAAATGGAGACGATGTTCAGGTTCGGATTTCCGATGCCTTGGAGCCTGTCACCTCACTCCTCAAGGCCATCGACGAAAGACGGAGGCGCGACTGCACGCGACCTGTGGGATACGATACCTCAGGCAAAGAAAGACCAGAGGGCAAGAAGGCCGGCGAGCCTGGGACGCATGAGAAGCAAACAGAGCAGATGCAATGCGAACGCCTCCGTAAGCATCCATCCGATATTCCGCTGCCTCAGACTGTAGTTGGAAGCGCCCATCTAGATCCGAATAGGCAACGCAACGGAATGAGGGTGCAGCGCCCATCGGCGGCCACTAATGATGATGAGGGTGAAAGGCGTGGCCGAAGACGTTATGAAGAACACCCTGCATCCACCAGAGGCGAACCCGGGCAAGAATACATTAAACGGAGAGATACCAACTCGGTGGAAGGCAAAGGAGAGCCGAGTGCCGGCGGAAGCTCTCAGACACCGCCTCCCACCCCTAGAAGCCACAACTGGAGTGACAATTCTGGCGTTTTAAGGGGGGACGCTCAAAGTGCGAAGCCCGCCCTGGGCAATGCCTCCGTCCGCAGCCAACAAAGCGTGCTGACTGAGGATGACAAATTTACAAGTGGAAGGCATCGGTACACCAAGCGGGAAAGAGACCTATCTTTTGAGAGACCGAGTGAGGATGATGGAAGACTCAAAATCGCCGGGCAGGGCTACAGCCGCTTCCGCCAGATGAATGAGTCCGTTATGTCGTCGTCTCAGCCTGGATACCAAGATCCATACGCCAGCAGGAAGGAGGATACCAAGAGTCTCGTTATGCCTTCAGACTCTGGTTACACGAGTAGGCGCAGTCGAAATGTCGGAGAATCATCGTACTCAGTCCGTAGGTGATCACCCTTCCCCTTGGAGACAGATACACCGGCGCAGGAAAATTGCCTGCATCTCAGCATACTCATGAATCAACCTGGATCATTTCGAGGAAAATAAGTCGGTGGCCTCTGATCAAGACGATATTCGATCTCATGCGGGAATATCACATTTTGGCGCTTGTCGCCCACCACCATGGAATCTATGCATTCATTATATGGACAACTCCCTCCAAGTATACGACGAAGGAGATTCATCATGAACTTTTCACGGCCGTTAAAGCTGTACTGTAAATCCCCGATCACCATGGCATACCTACATATCAGTGGAAAAAGCAACCATTTTCTACTTTGAAGAGATGGCCCGAGAATCACAATCAGCAGTGAGGTATCTGTCTAGCCTCGATTACCTCTCCTCCCTCCCTTCTTACCCCTTTCAGCATGTGCTCTCAAGATTTTACGGTGCTCAACCAAGCTCCTCTTCCCCTTTGACTTGGCCTTGCCCAGCGTCATCAGGAAATTCTTCTTGCGGGCCTTCTCCTTGTTCGTCGTGCTCTTTCCTTCCGACTCCTTGCGCTCCTTCTTCCGGGCGGCCTTGGATTTGTGTTCTTCGCGGTCGTCCTTGTGTTCTTGCAGCAAGGCCAGCTTCTGTGCTCGAGTCGCTTTCCCGCGAGAGAGTGACGCCAGGCCCTCGATTTCCGCCGCGGTCAGAGGGTCGTCCATGTGTCGTTGTGAGTTCGTCTGCTGCAATGTGCTGGATGCGTGGTGCGATTTGTGGTTCTTCATGAGCGACGACACTGAGGCAGTCGTTCGAAGTTCTTGCAACTTGGCCAGATCGGCGGGCGTCAATATCCGAGTCGTGGCGAGCTTCGACTTCGTCGTCGATTCTGCCGCTTGCACAGGCTTCTCTTCGCCTTCGTTTTCTTTGTCGTCGCTCGTGGGGGCTTGTGTATCGAACCGAACTTTCTTTGCCGAGGGTTGCTCGTCTTCGCTGTCGCTAATGTTGATCTCGTCGTCACTCTCGACGTTGATCCACCCTCCCGAATCGTCACTGTCGGCGTCTTCTTCGACGTTCCAAGCGTTCCAGTCTTCCTCGTCACTTTCTTCCTCCTCGTCCTCAGAGCCGGTGGCAGGGAGGCCCTTTTCTAGCCGCTTCCTCTGCCTTTCTTGCTCTTTCCATTGTTCCAGAAGCTCCAACCCTTCAATCTCTCCCACAGCCTCTTCGCCGAACCTCTGCTGCTTCTGTTCGCCCGACCTGAGACCCAGAGTTGCGTCGCGCCCGCGGTCTCTTTTTCGAAGCATTTCCGCACCCACTTGTCTGTACAAGCCCAAGAGGCCTTTCGCGGCCATCATCACGCCTTTGTCCTTGCTTTTCCGATACATGACCAGGTCTTGTAGTAAGGTATCACTCATAGCCAAGGGCTGCCGCACACAAATTTCGCGAATAGCGTTCAACCCCGCCGCGGCCACCTCCCCAGCAGCTGCCTCGGAGACGAATTCGTTGGCAATCTTCTGCACCAGGGGCTCTAGGATGTCCGGCGGCACTAGGTTATGTGTCGACTGCGCCAACGATGCGAGAAATGATGTAACCGAGGGTTGTCGGGGTGTCAAATACTTCAGAAAGTACGAGTAGAAACTGATCACGGTCAACTTGTGCAGCCCGATCAGCCGCGACACCAGCTGCAATGCCAGCAATTTCTGCTCGAGGTTTAACTTGGACCTCGCGCTCTGCAGGTGCTTCGAGAACAACGTCTCCGCAAACCCCTGCGGATCGTGCAGTAGATGCAAGGCCGAGAAATTCAACGGATGAGGCTGTCCCTTTTTCTTCTCTTTCCGACGTACCGTCGCGGCGGCCTTTTCCAGTTTCCTCTCTGCCTTTTTGCTCTTCTTGTTGACCCCGACCTGGTGGCGCAACTTGCTGATGTCGATGGTGGTCTCTTCGTCGGAGCTCTCGTCCTCCAGCTCTTCTCGCTCCTTGTCACCGCCCAAGAAAAAGCGCAAGCCGCCCACGACGCATTTCTCGTTGTCGGCCAGCGCGGCCTCTTTCATGATCTCGACCGCCTTGGCGTCCGTCCAGATCTGCCGCTTCCACATCTCGCGCGTGATCTTAACTGCCCACAGCGCCTTGGGGGACGACCGGTCGTCCGTGACCAGGTTATGCAACGTTGTTTGCACGCTGCGGTTCAGCTTGTGGTTGGTGGTTTTGGAGTTTGCGGAGCGCAGGTCGCTCAGGATCTTCTGAAACAGCAGCGCGCGCAGCGACTTGCTGGGCGTCGTGGTGAGGATGGGGAAGAAGCACTGCAGCAGCGCGTGTGAATCGATGATGTCCTTCTTGCGCACCAGCACCAGGCTGCCCACGATCTTCTCCCGCAGCTCGGGCTCCAGCGTCGCATGATGCGCCGACAGGATCTCAACCAACTGCTTCGGAAAGTCCTGCGTCTCTTCCCGATAGCAGTCGGCCACGTGCGCCACAAACTCGATCAGGTCGCGGAACGAGATGACTCCGCCGGACGACGTGGAAGACGCAGTCGTCGGCGCCTGCATGAAGATCTGCCGCTGGTTCTCATATTGGATGTACTGGTGCAGGAAGTCGGTGTGGTAGGATTTCGGATCTCGTTTGATCTTGTTCTGAAGGTTCGCGAGGTCCGCGTCGACCTTTTCCAGGGCCCCGAGTTTGCGCTTGCCCATGATCTCCTTCTATTGTTCCTGCGATCCCCCTCTTTTCAATTCTCGCAGGTCCAATGTGGCTGGGGATCTTTCACTGAAGAAGTCACCACCGAAAACGTGGGGTTTGGGAAAAGTTGCGGACTTTTTTTTTGGAGCAGATCTAATCTAGATTAGATTGGGTCTGGATTTGGGTACTGTCGTCTGACCGACATATTTTCTTAACTTTTGAGGCACTGAGCATCCCGCGAGCGCAGAATCGAACGTCTTTACAACAATTTGCGGTTCTTGGTTCCTTTCCCCCATCCAGATACCAGGTCTGCTCCATTCTCATCACTAGTTAACTATTCGTCGAGACGACATTTCCCGAATGTTCTTAATGTTCATCATCAGTTTACATCCTGAATCTCCTCCTCGAGGAACCCTGGTCGCTATATTTCCTCAATTGTACCGACATTCTCAGTTTCATGCTGAGCATGGACAACGTTTTTCAAGTCCCATGAGCCCTCAGCATGTACCCACTACTTCCCGCTGCTCATGAAGGAAATTCACGCAGCGGGCACAGAAGTTTCGCATCGTGTGGTGGATCGCTGCCAGCTCTACACGAGGTGGTTTGGTGTGCTGAATTATGCAAGGGCTAACGCCTCGAGATATGGAGCGACGAGTTTGAGGCTGCTCATCCTAGTCGACAGGGTTGAGCCCGATGCGCCCAAATCGATTTCCTCCCGTGTTGAGACTGATGTCCGGCAGTGGACGCACGTCTATTCTTGGAGGCATCCTTGCAATCACATGTGTTAGCGTCTTGAGGAATGGGCCATTGGTGCTCCCAAGAAGCAAGAGATACCGCTGCGCTGCACGGCCTCGTTCATCTGAGGTCTTCAACCAGGAAGTCCCCGTGCGCATGGGCGTCATGACAGCCATGGGTTCATCCCGTGTTCGGTATCGCTGAGTTTCGACCAGGTTCCTCAATGCACTCTTCCAGCCAGACGTTCTCGTGTACCATTCTGAACGATCCGTCTTCATCAAATGCAACCTTAGTCCATTGCAATTTCAGGCGCCGTCGGGCTTTATGCACGTCCCCCTTGACAATGGAAACACGGTGTATTCGTTGGTCTTCTGGTGGAAACGAGAGTAGCCCAGCCGGTAATGGATATTCTAAGAAATGTTCCTGGCCTTCTTCAATGGCGATCATCTTTTCGACGACGCGCGGAGATGCGATAGATGCCCAAAAGCCTTCTCGGCGGCGTGGAATCTTTCGTATAAGACGCAGAGCCCTCCTGCGAACGATCGCGTTGCGGCATTTAGTCGCCGCAAAATACAGCGCCATGATCATTTCGATTTCCTCTGCGAAAATTGGGCTGCTAATTTCGTCTCTAGTGTTGTGGTCAATAATCTCTTCCGCCCTCTCGACGATATTTGCAAATTCATGCATATGCTCGTCGAATGAGACCTCCCACGGGCTCAAGCAGCTGGACAGCCAGATGTGACAGACACCCCAATACATCAGGAGGTAGGAAGATAGCCAGCGAGCCTCACCATCCTGCAAGCCATTCGAAACAGGAATCAAAGTATCCTTCCATCGTTGCAATTTCCCTAGGCATTTCTGCTGTCTTGGTCTCAACTTCCGCATCTCATACTCGTCGTGAGATAGGAGATCGGCCACTCGGACAACTTCGTACGCTTTGTACATGAGCTTGTACAAATGCTGTCGAAATTCGTCGAGTACAGATAAAGTAGCGACGACGAAAGGCCGTGAGATACCTTCTCTTGCACGACATTTCCATTCTGGAGTAGCAAGCGTGGCCATCAATATCGCCTTCCTCGATGAGAAAGCCGTCACCGTCTCGTCGAGGTCTGTATTTGCGGTGCGCGACAGCAGGGCGGAAGAACCCGCGAGATTCTGGCCCAGCATTTTGTAAGCATTATCCATCAGGTGCATTGCGTTGCCAACGTTCCTCTGCTGAAACTCAAAAGCGCTGAACAGGATGCAACTCAAAAGAGCATGTGCATTGTCCGCTTCACCTTGCTCGAGTTGTTGACGAAAACTCACGAGAGCCTTGGAATACCACTTCAATGCACGTCTGTGTTCGGCGTTACTGACGACAGCAATCGGACGGCCTGTGTCGAAAACAGGCTTCAACTCTCCATATTGGACGTGCTCGAAAGCCCAGCTGATTGACATGACCATGTGCCACACAAAGGTATACGAGTGGGCAAGGCGAGGGATCAACTCGAGCCAGAAAGGACCGTCGATGATTCCTGCGAAGACTGGGGCCACTCGATAGATGAAATAATTGAAAGCCCAACGTTCATCGTCGCTGTGTTTCGGTGCGCGGAGGGAGAGCTCGGCCAGGAGAACAAGGGGTTTTGGAGCTGAGGACTCATCCTCAGCAAAACGAATGTGGCGGGCGATGGGCCCTTCGCACTTTCGACCAGTCTCGGTACATCTCCTGCAATATGGCTGTGATTCGTCACACTTTATCCTACCTGGAAAAGCCGTTAGTCTGAGCAGCAGCTGACGGTTCTAGCGACCGTAACTTGGCGAGTTACACCCAGGGAGGACACCTACGGATCCTAGACAATATCAGTACACCGAGCCAGCAAAACCGGAGCGACACACGTACTTGCAGGTCAAGCACCCAGTCCTGGATTTCGATTGACGGCTTCGATGGGAACTCATGGGAAGCTGAATACTCGGCACACTACTGGAAACACTGTTTGGCTGGGTGACATGATATTCGGGTTGAATGGCTGCAAGTGTCGAAGACGAGAAAGACGGCCGAAACATGGAACACCATGCTGTTCAATAATGGGAGGGTCTGACACCCGTATTCGCCTCTGAAATTCCTCGCTACCGGCACTGGTCAGACCGAACGAATCCCACATTCACGCGGTTGTGGGCAGGCAGGGGATCAGACTTTTGTTCCTAAGGGGCCTTGTGGGATATCAGCCACTCCGGTGGAGCTCCAGCACCTTTGCCGATTCGACTCGCTCGGATTCTCGATCAAAACCGGTTAGTCTGCTGGCGGACACTTTTCCATTTCCGTCCTTCGATATCAACAGGCCAGTAATTTAGGGTCTTGGGCAAGCCGGAATGGTGATGGAAGACCAAGGCTACCAACCTTGTTTGCATGCTATCAATCCATGATTCGCAAAGGACGGGTCTTCGAGACCTGAGACATTGCCGCCGATGGCACTGGCTATGTTGCTGCGCATTGGAATTGCGCTTGGGCCGGGGTCGTTGTATATGAAGTGCGGACGTCCGAATCACAACTGGTACCAGAGCAACTACCTCACTCTCTCCATCTCTAGCATCAGCTTCGTCCGCTCGCTCCGATATTCAAGTCGGTCTTCTATCGTTGATCTGTTGATAAATCTACTGTCCTTGCCTGAGTCTACTTAACCCGATCAGTCCAGAGTCTACTTAACCCGATCAGTCCAAAGTCTACGAGCGCAAAAAAAAGAGTTCGACTCTTCACTTCCTTTCACCAGACTCGCGACATATCGAAGTCAATTTCCGAATTCACCATGGGTATCCCCGACCAGGTTGTCGTCCTGTTGTGCATCTTGGGCGCCGGGGCTGCCGTCACCATAGGCTTCGCCTTCCAGAGGCTGTTCGGCCAGCCCGACGATGATGGGAACTTCAACCGCAAGCTGCCAGAGCAAGAAGCGTACATGAGGGACGTGCGCACCAGAAACACAATGGCGGCCTTTGGGGATACCAGACAGCTTCATCACCATCCTAGGGAGCTATGAAAAGAAATTCAGTCGGTACAATCATGAAGGCAGCCTTCCTTTAAATGTGCTCTCTGAGGCTTCGAGCTGAGGTGGGCACTTTCAAAAGGGACAGCAAGTGGTATCCAGGACAATGCTGCATAGATGGGCGACGCCTGACTGGGACAGCTGTATACGCGAAGTCTCGATGATCACTCTATACGAGGGAGAGCAATATGCAGTCACGCTGCCAGCCACACCACCTCATCAACGGCCAAACCTAACGAGAACAAAGCAAGCGACTCGGCCAACACGGAAACCAAATTCAAAAAAAAGGCAATAAACGTCTTGCCTCAAGACCAAGGCGTTCAAGAACATAACCTTGTGGGAGAACGTATGCATGGGATTAGGACTTGGATAGACAGCGAGAACATGTTATAGCGAGGAGTCTCAGAGAATATGAACCCAGTACTTCGTCACATCATTGTCACTCTGTCCCAAAACTCGTTGAAGTTTTGTAGCTGGGGTGTAGCCCAAGAATGTTACATCAGGTTGTCGTAAAAAGGGGACGGTGACAGTGTGACACCGCATATAGAGCTTCGTTCATGTGGCTTGTAAAAAGGCTCAAGGGCCAAAAAAAGGAGCTCTATGACGTGCGATTGTCAAACTTTCATGCCATTTCGAAATTTTTGTGGACATTCACCGTCATCTACAGTAGGCGCTCTGAATCTGCAATTTCTGCTAGACCTCATGGGGTCGGGCCGAGCGTGCATGCTACTTTCGATTAATGCTCCTCATCCTGGCCCCTGGCGAAGCAGACAATGGACCCTGACCCGTTTATCGTCTGCCATGCTTGGAAGTTGGCTGCCATGAAATGCAAGTCCGTACGTAGTACCACCATGTTTGATCCTGCCTTCTCTCCCTCTCCCAGGCAACAAGCAAGAAGCACCCGTATCTCCCCGAATGAGCTGCTTTCTTTTACCGATTGCTCTTCGCCACACGCTCCAACTCGTCCTTCTTCTTGATGGCGTAGGAGTTGCTGCTGCCCTTGGCGGCGTTGATCAGCTCTTCGGCCAGGCACTCGGCGATGCTCTTGACGTTGCGGAACGCGGCCTCGCGGGCGCCGATGGTGAGCAGGGCGATGGCCTGGTTGACGCGGCGGAGCGGGGACACATCGACGGCCTGTCTTCGCACGGTGCCGGCGCTGCCGATTCTGGTGCTGTCTTCACGGGGACCGCAGTTGACGATAGCGTCGACGGCGATTTGGATGGGGTTCTGGTCGGTCATGATGTGGATCTAAATATGGTCAGATTCGTGTGTTTCTCTTGCAACCTCTAGTATTTTTCTTTTTCTCTGGCTGTGAGGAACAGGACGTACGATCTCGAATGAGTGTGCCACGATCCGGATGGCCATCAGCTTCTTGCCGTTGTTGCGACCGTTCATCATCAGCGAGTTGGTCAGTCGTTCGATGATGGGGCATTGGGCCTTGCGAAAACGCTTTGCGGCATATCGACCGGCCGAGTGCGAGATGTAAACAGGGGATCGGATTTGGATGTAGTCGCTGTCAAAAAGAAGGTATTGTCAGTCTTTTCCCTATTTTCTTCCGGCACGGACTTTTCGTACGTCAATGAGATGTCTCTGACTTCGACATCCTCGTAACTCCAGCGCCCGAAGAGCTTCACGCTCCCGATCTCTTGCATGACATCTTTGGGCAGAACGGGCCAACCAGAGGTTGGGTTTTCGACTTCAACCTCGCCGTTGTCGGACATATTGACGAGCTGGTGTTGTGCGGATTGTCGAGTTTGGGACGGGTCGCTCGTTGTGCTGCTGCGATCTTGTGGAGGCTCGATTTTTAGTTGTGGGATAAATTCTTGCCAAGATCTGTCAGTCACGTGCCGACTTGATACCGGAGTTTATCCGATACCCCATCCACCGAGCACGTCTCGAGGCATCGCACGGAAAAAAACTTGATCTCTCTCTAAACTTGATAAACTTGTCAATTTATCATTTATTGCTCTTAAATTTGTAGTACACGAAGATAATGACTGTCTATACCAATATCTAAACTGACACCCGCTTCTCCACGCTAGGTCTTCTCATGTGCTCAACCTCGTGTTCGACTCCACCGGCAGGCTTAGGTCCCTCATAGTGTTTCCTGGCACCAAGGAACCACCAAGCCGTTACAAAGGTGGTCAGACCTCCCCAGATCAAACAGGCATAGTTCATGGTTTCCGCGTCCGTCGGCAGAGCGAAGGGAAAACAATAAATCACGAACCACACAATCATATATCCACACGCGATCGTATTCATCGGGACGCCGAATTTTCCCAGCTGGAACGGGCCAAATTTGACATTTTTACGACCGGTCAGAAGGTGAGGCAGTATTGCTGCGATATAACTGTTTTCATGTTAGTCAGATTCGAGCGGATCTCTCGTTTGGGGGTCTGAATTACCTTCCAGAAGACATCAACACGAAGCTGCCCACGAAAGCGTTGAAGGCCGTGGCGCTTCCAACATAGATGCTGTGGCGTCCATCGTTAGCCAGTTGCCAACGTAAGGTCTAGAACACTCACCAGCCCAGAACAGTCACCAGACAGCCACACAACAATGTCGAATAGAGGGGCATTTCCAATCTCTTAGACACCTTGCCAATGTATTGAGGGAACGGAGTTGCCCTGTCCCGTCCAAGTGTCCACAGTGTCCTGCCAGCTGTGATGTATACTCCTACCAAGCAGGTCGCGATACAGAAGAGGAAGGGGCAGAGCAACCCAATGGCGCCGCCGGACGACCCGGTGGCCTGTCGATAGATCTCGGCAAGTGGGAATGGGGCATTGAACAGAGCATCGTAGTCGCTTATCGCATACATCTGGAAGTGTCTGTCAGCAACTACAAATGGAATGGCCATGACAAGGGCTTCGCCTAAATGCCTGGGAGTTCGGGAACTCACGATCGCAATAATGTAGCAGATTCCAGTGACGAATCCGATGCTCATTTGCAGCCCGATAGCGATCGGGATGTTCTTGCTGGGATACGGGACCTCCTCAGCGATATGACTGTGAAGTTTCAGGTCAGTGTTGGATGTTCGCTGCGGTCGTGGAGTTGCGCATCTCGAACGAACCTCACAGCATCTGGTGTTCCGACAGAGTATGCGCCATTCAGCATTCCGGCAACAAAGACAAACCCGTTAGGATAGCCTATATCTGCCGACCACTCACTCCAAACGAAACTGGACGAGGCGTGTGGTGGGTGGTCGCCAGATCCTGGTATTGCGGTCCTGAAAACGATCAATTTTGGTTCATCTTCCACAGCAGGGAGAAGACTCACACGACAATGATGGTGACTAGGAACCCGCCTAGGAGGAGAACAATGCCTACAGTGTTCAAGTACGGCATTGCCCTGTTGAACAGGCAGACGCACGCACAGGCAATCCAGGTTACGATCTGAGTCGTTATCAGCCAATGCTCACCAAAGAGTTTGGTTCGCACCACTGGCAATTGTTGACTCACAAGATATGTCACAAAAACGTGCCATCGCTTCGCAGTGAAGTCGCTATGTTCCAGAGCATACATCTGCACGAACGTGTTCGCTGCCGAAAATGAGCATGCATGTTGTTCAGCAGAGGGGGCCACAAACCAAGGATGGAACTCATTGATGCTGCACCAAATACCCAGGCCAGCCAATTCCAGTATCCAGCAAAGAATCTGTAATTCCAGGCGATCAGCGAAAATGATCAACCAAGGTCTTCTGAAGACAGAGCATACCCGACCACACGACCCCATTTTTTACCAGGAGTGACTGAAGCCCAATGATAGACACCGGCGCTAGAAGGTATAGCTGAAGCCAACTCTGCCAAAGATGCAGCTACTATCCAGTAGAAGATCGAAACAACAATGAACTCGTAAATGACCCCTGGGGGTCCGCCATTGAAGATGGCGACGAGGATCGATCCTCCGACAGCAGGCCATACGGTTCCCACAACGAGCCCGACTCCAGCAGCGGCGAGAAGGCTGAAGTTTCGCTCCAGTTCCTGTACGTGACCAGAAGCGTTGATGAGCTCAGAAACGCCCGTGTCAGTATTGTCGGCAGTATCGGATGGAGAGTCAGTGGCGACCTCATTTGGAACAGGATCTTTCTTTTCATCCACGGTCGCCATGTTTGCAATTGTCAATAAGAGCTTGCTGACGGCAAAGATAACGAAGGAAGGGAAAGAAAGCAGAACCCAAACGCTGATATATACTCATCTTCTCTATCGGCACTCCTGGGGGGCAGCTAATCAGATTGGCGCGTCTCGCCCAGAACGAGACCACGTTCAACAGCGAGGGAACTCGGATCTGCGCGCGGGACTGATACCGGAAGACACCCAATAATCAGCCCAAGTCCGTCGTGGTCATGGATTGATTCAGTCACGTCGTTGACCGGGTGCTTTGTCCCAATCGCTGCCGAGCCACGAGGACGACGCCTCCTAGTCTTCGATTGGCAAAATTTAGAAACAAAGCGATAAAATCGAACCAAGTTTCAGATAGGGGAGCGAGCGGAGAGAGATAGCTGACACCACTTGTCAAGTAAGAAATCGAGCTTCAGGCACTCCACGACCGGATTCTCAAAGCCTGGTCTGGGCTGGAGGCTAACTTTGATGAGGCAGGAGAATACCACTCCCTCGGCGCCCACAAGGCCAACGCAGTTCTCCACCATTGGCATAACCCTGAGAGAAAACTCTCCCAGAGCTCGGTGGGCAACAAGACAGCCTTGAAGTGAAGCCGTTCGATTTCGGCATTGAGGGTGTCATGAGGGTCGAATCAACGACTCCAGCCGTATCTTAGGTGATTACAAGAAGGCATTTCCACTTAAGAGAGCTTCGTCAACTCCACAGTCTCAGCCTTGGGTATCCAGACGGACATGTCCGTTGAAGAAAAGTTGATGGTGTAGACGTTAATACGTTGTTTTCTGTGCGAGAAAGTGCGAATAGCATCCAGGTCGCGGCGCACCTGCAGGTCCAACATGGCTGGAAGCTCAAGCTCGTTTCTAGGACTTGAGGGTCTTCATGTCTTTGTCACAGGCTCAGCGGGAGGAATTGGAGGAGCTGCAGTAAAAGAATTTCTCAGTATGTTCTCTCCCAAGAGCCATGTGCGTCGACACAGTGCTCACAGTTACCATCAGCTCTTGGGTGCCGGGTCACGGCATTTGATCGAAGATCTATCGATGAATCAAAACTGTGTTCATCACCAGAGCAGTCTTCCAGGCTTTTCACGACTCAGGGCGACCTGACGTCTGAAAATTCTGTCTCTGAAGCATTCCAAGCTGCAACAGACCACTTCGGCCCATTGAACATCCTAATAGCCAATGCAGGCATCACGGATGAAAGCTCTCATCCGCCAATATGGGAGATAGGGGAGGGTCTCTGGGACAAGGTGTGAATTATTCCGCTCAACTGTCGCCAGGGTCTTGCGCTTATATTCAGCAAGGTCAATACCAACAACGTCAAGGGCACATTTTTAACGGTCAAGCATTTCCTGCTCTCGGTGAAGAAGGCACAAGAAGCTAAAGGAAGCGAACTCGACAACGTTTCCATTGTCATCACTGGTTCAGAGACTGGAAAGTTTGGCCAGGAAGGACATGCGGAGTTCGTGGACAGATACTCCAAGGAATGCCTATGGAAGATGCTAACATTTCGGCAGATACGCATCTGGAAAGGCTGGCTTGCAATATGGTCTTGTTCGCACAGTGAAGAACGAAATCGTGCGCCTGAATGCGAAAGCCCGGATTAATGCTGTAGCACCAGGATGGGTAAACACCTCCCTCATTGGTGATCGTTTGGATGATCCCAGGGAAATGTGGGCAGAATGCCAGGCCACTGTTGCGCTGAAGAAGATTGCACAACCCGAAGACGTCGCACGAGCTATGGCGTTCTTGGCTAGCCACCGTGCGGCTGGCCATATCTCTGGAGAATGCATTTCTGTCGACGGCGGGATGGAGGGCCGGATCATCTGGCGCCAGGAGCAGGTCTTGGGAACCAGTGCAAAGGAAACCAAGCTTCAAATGGCAACCATACCGGTCTCTTTGACTCCGGCTACAAGAAAACGACGAATGCGAATTTGTCTCTCCGTTGACTTTGACGCCATTTCCGGCTATCTGGGTACAGGCCACGATCCCCAGAACACGCTTTCGGATTACTCAGCGGGCATTTTCAGCGCCAACGTCGGGGTTGGCAGGCTGCTTCGGTTGTTCAAAAAGCACGGTATTTCTGATAAGCTCACCTGGTTCGTCCCCGGCCACAGTCTAGAAACATTCCCGTCGCAGGCGCGCGAGATCGCCGAGAGTGGAGCAGAAATTGGACTTCATGGATACAGCCATGAGGGTGCATATGCAATGACCGTTCAACAGGAGAGGGATGTTTTGCAGAAATGCATCGGCTTGATAACAACGCTCAGGCAAGGTAAGAAACCGGTTGGATATAGAGCACCTCTATACCAAATTCGCGAGACAACCGTCCGGCTTCTGCAGGAGCACGACTTTCTTTATGACAGCAGCATGAACGCCCACGACTCCTTGCCTTATTTCCTAGTGAATCCCTTTCCACAAGAGCCGCCGCATGTACCGGACTACAAGAAGGATGCCAGCAGTTGGATGGTTCCGACCTCAATACCCGTACAGCCACAGCCAGGTACTGCTGAGGCCAACAAGGCTCTGGTGGAGATTCCCTCGAGCTGGTACACGGAGGACATGACACCAGTAAGTCGCCTGTGGCTCACGAGAATGATCTCACCCTAACAACCTTCCAGCTTGGCTTTTATCCCTACGCAGCCAACACGCAAGGCTACGTTGGAGTCGACCTTGTGGAAAAGATGTGGTGGGATAGGTTTGACTGGCTCTGGGAAAATGAAAGCTGGTTGGACGAAGGGCCTGGGAAAGGTTATGGCTCCGTATATCCGTAAGTCACACTAATGCTGCTCCCATAAGCGATCCAGACCCCCCTGTGGCGATTTGCTAACCAAGAACGACTCTCTGCAGCATGATCTGGCACCCTGAAAGCGCGGGTCGAGCGCATATTGTGGGAATGATTGATCGATTCATCGCGAGGCTAGTGCAACGGCAAAAAGCAGCTGGGGATGGCGAGATTACGTTCGAGACGATGGAAGGGGTTGCACAAAGTTGGAAAAAGCAGCGTTCATAGAGAAATCTAGACGGCATTATTCGACGGCAATGCATTCCGAGTAATAGGTCACGATTACCTAGGATTATCTCAGCTTCGGCCGTGATGAATGGGTTAGATGGTGGCGTCCAGTAGTCCCCTCAGCCTTATGTGAGTTACTTGCGCCGGCTAAGAGACGAGCAATAAAAGAGGAGGGGCAGCTCGGAATAGGTCTGTCGAGACACAGTGGCCAGGAAGGGAATGATATACTAATTGCTGGAAGAGGCATAAAGAACAGGGTGCTGACTTTAGCACTTGCTGAATCAGCGAGGTGAAAGGAGGGCACCTTATTAGAGGGGGATGAGCCTTTCTCCAATCCTGGCACGGTCTCCCTAGGCTTGCCCTCGCCCGCAGGCTCCACGGGTTAAAGAAGCTCAAGGCCTTGACTCCCTAGACGATCCCTCTAGGCCAGCAGCCGGCTATTAGCTGTAGCCTGCAACCACCGGCTCTGGCTAAGCGTCGCGCCCAGCCCAACCACGAACCTGCCACAGCGGCATTAGTTCAACATCCTCCTTCTGTGGTCAATGTTGCAGAACCCTGACCATGATGTCTACTGTCGGCGGGACACAAGCAAAATGATGATATACCCTTTGCCGGCAGCCTTCGACATCTTCCCTTCCCGCTGTATCATCCATAGCAGTGATTCCGTGCTTGTCACCGCTCATGCCCACCTGACTTCAAGTGATCCAAACGTCGACACCCTTTCAGTGTGCCTCCCAGTCCTCTCACTTTCGCCGCCCCCCAGTTCTCGCACCCTCTGGTTGCTGCTTTCCTGCGGTCCCCTCCCTTCCGACGGCGACCTCTCTTACCTTCATATGATCCTAGTCCATCCTTGATGCCTCGTTAGGTGCGATAATGTCTAACTCAGATACCCCCGCTACCCCGCCGAGACAAGGCGAACCTATCCCCCCCATCATCCTGAAAGAGGCGGAAGCCGCAGCTGCAGCTGCCCAAGAGGAGGCGGTTGATAGTCCCAGAGATCCAAATGTGTCAAATTCTTCGCCGGAAGGGCATGTACGGCACCATGGCGGCATTTCTCCTCATCTGGAGGATGTTCCTCCACCAGCCTACAACGGCGCAGAGTATGGACAGCTCGACATAAGTCAGAACGGCCTGAATACAGGCGCACGGCTAGCCAGTGATGGCCGAGTCAATATCAATATCAATCAGCACAAGGGCAAGCTCACCAGCCTGCTTTTGCCTGCCCTGCGCCACCAACTGGAGCTGTCGAGGCAGAAACCCCCATCCGAGCCGCCAATACCGGAGGGATTGGGAGACACGGATGGCCTGCCTCCACCGCCGATGAACATTGTGATTCAGATCGTGGGCAGCAGAGGAGACGTGCAGCCCTTTGTGGCATTGGGCCAGGTGCTAAAGAACAAATACAAGCACCGTGTCAGAATCGCCACCCATCCCACGTTCAAACAGTTCGTCACAGAGAATGGCCTGGAATTCTTCAGCATTGGAGGAGATCCCGCCGAGCTCATGGCGTTCATGGTCAAGAATCCGGGTCTGATGCCTGGAATGGACTCCCTCAAGAATGGAGATGTGGGCAAGCGAAGAAAGGGCATCTACGAAATCATCACAGGTTGTTGGAGATCGTGCATCGAGGCTGGAGACGGCTTGGGCATGCCTGCGAGCGATGACACCATGGATACCCGCAGCTTTGACAGTGCAGTGTCCTTCGGCATGGATCCGACGCTGAAGCCCTTCGTCGCAGACGCGATCATCGCCAACCCCCCCAGTTTCGCTCATGTTCATATCGCGGAGAAGTTGGGCATTCCCCTCCATCTAATGTTCACCATGCCTTGGTCGCCAACCCAGTCTTTCCCCCATCCTCTCGCCAACATCATCTCCTCGAATACAGACGCCAGTATCACAAACTTTGTCACCTATGCCTTGGTCGACATGTTGACCTGGCAGGGGTTGGGAGATGTCATCAACAGGTTTCGGGAGCGGAGTCTAGGCTTGGAACCCGTGAGTATCATGTGGGCGCCGGGCATGGTCAGCCGATTGCGCATCCCGTGGACTTATTGCTGGTCGCCGGCTTTGATTCCGAAACCAGCAGACTGGGGCAGCTATATCGACATATCGGGGTTCTTCTTCCTAAACCTATCCACGAACTATACACCACCGCAAGACTTGGCAGATTTCTTAGCTGCCGGGCCGCCTCCTGTCTACATTGGATTCGGCTCTATCGTGGTCGACGACCCCAATGCCATGACTAGGATGATATTTGATGCAATCAAAAAGACTGGCCAGCGAGCGATAGTGTCCAAGGGCTGGGGTGGGCTTGGTGCCAATGAGTTGGGAATACCAGAAGGAGTCTTCATGATTGGCAACTGCCCTCACGATTGGCTGTTCAACCATGTGTCGTGCGTCGTGCACCACGGTGGTGCAGGCACAACTGCTGCTGGTATATTGGCCGGGCGACCGACGGTGGTGGTCCCATTCTTTGGCGATCAACCATTCTGGGGCTCAATGACTGCCAGGGCTGGGGCAGGGCCTGTGCCCATTGCGTACAAGAACCTGACTGCTGATAAGCTCGCACACTCGATCTTGGAAGCACTGAAGCCGGAGTCACTCGAGCGCGCAAAGGAGTTGAGCCTGAAGATCAAGGCAGAGGATGGTTGTGAAGCTGGTGCACAGTCCTTTCACAAGCAGTTGCACATGGCGAACCTGAGATGCTCTTTGGATCCGTCGCGCATGGCGGTCTGGCGTGTCAAAAGAACGGACATTCGTCTATCGCCGCTTGCAGCCACCGTCCTCGGGACTGAGGGTCTACTAGACTTCTCGGATTTGAAACTTTATCGGCCCAGAGAGTACGAGACAGAAGATGGCCCTTGGGAGCCAATATCCGGCGGTGCTGCCGCCTTGATTGGAACACTGGGGAATCTCTCCATGGGTATCGCCGATTTCCCGGTTGAAATCCTCAAGTCTTTGAAGACAGCCTCGGGAGAACTGAAAGAAATCCACGAAAGACGCTCAACTAGTGGTACTTCTACACCTGTTGCGCCCTCAGATCGACCCTCTTCTGATGTTGCAAGTGCAACAGCGGCAACAATCACGCCTGTCACGTCTGAGCAGTCAATCTCCTCAGGAACAACCGCTGTGCCGACAGCGCCTTCATCCATGTCCACCGTCTTGTCCGCTGATGGAGCATCAAAAGTTTCCCATCATCACCGGCATCATAGTTCGTCTCACCACCGCTCCCGATCCCGCTCTGGTTCGCCGTCACCGAATGGGAATCACGATTCCTGCGTTGGCGAAGAGGTTGGACAAGTCTCGCTGGAAACGGCGATCTCGGGAGCCAAAGCCGCAGGGAAAATAATTTCAGCCGGAGTTAAGTCACCCATGGATTTCACATTGTCTCTCGCAAAAGGATTCCATAACGCACCAAAATTATACGGAGACGAAACCGTACGACAGAATGAAAAGATCGTGGGACTTCATTCTGGCTTGCGGGTGGCTGGCAAAGAGTTCGGATATGGCTTCTATGACGGTATCACAGGCCTAATCACTCAGCCTCTGGCAGGTGCGAAGAAAGAGGGTGCGGCGGGTTTCTTCAAGGGCGCAGCCAAAGGCCTCGGCGGCTTGGTTCTCAAACCAGCGGCTGGCATTTGGGGACTTCCGGGATACACCGCAAAGGGCATCTACAGCGAGATTTCCAAGCACTTTGGGAGCTCGGTGCAGAACTATATCATTGCCGCTCGCACAGCGCAAGGTTTTGAGGATTGGAAGAACAGTTCTCCAGAGGAGAGACAACGCATTGTGACCGCCTGGAAAGACGGCAGGCTAGAGACCCGAAAGCACGGCCAACTCTATGGAAACGATCGCAAGGTGGCAATCGAAAGTCACATCATCACAAGGACCAACACGGATTCGGTGGAGTTGGTTCACGGATTCCGAAACACGAGACACCTTAGCTGGGACGAACGCAAGGCGCTCGCTGAACGACGGGATCAACTGAGGAAGGAGGAAAAGGAAATACAACGACGTGAAAAAGAGATCCAAAAGGAAGAGATGAGAAAAAGCAAGGGCGGTGGCAAGATCAAGAGCCGATGCAAATTTTGTCCATTCGACCACGAAACCAGTCATCATCTCAGGCACACCCATTCTCTCTCAAGTCTGGACTCCTCACTCAGCCGTGACAGCACGCCCTCGCAATCCCAGGACAACATCCTGGCCGGCTATGAGCACGCAATCAAGCATTCCGTGAGTTCGACGAGTACTGGCAACCCCATGGAAGATGCTGTGATTGAACGGGCACTGCGAGCCAGTCTCCGGGAATTGCATAGTTCCGGCCATGATCCGAATAAGTATTCTGACGCGGCATACCAACAAGCCATCCAAGCCAGCATCCGAGAATTCAAGAGAGCTCAAGAAGAACATGCTCGACAGAACGGCGCGTTGTCCACGACCTCAGAGAAGCCCGAGGAGGAGCATGACGCCGAACTCGAAAAGGCTCTGGCGCAGAGCCTGGAAGAGCACAAACAGGCTCAGGTTGCAAGAGAACAAAACCCAGAACCAGGGCATGGCGATCACCATCATTTGGATGACAGTGACTCTGCCATTGACACTGACTACGACGACCATTTTGTGCGCAAGCTTGAGGAGACTAAAAAGCGACATACCGAGAACGAACTCAAGCAGAAAGGGGTTGCAGAACGTGAGGCCAAACCTACGGGCGCGGTTGGACAAACAGAGCCAACTACAGTGGACGATAATGAGCATGATGAGGAGTTGCAGCGGGCGATCACCGCGTCACACGAGGAAGACAAGAGGCGCCAGGAGGAACTTACGCGGGAGAGAACAGAAGAAGAGATTGTCATGGAGTATGTCAAGAAGCAAAGCCTCATCGAGGAGGAACTGAGGAAACAGAAGGCGAGTGGTGCAGCTACGGTGGCGACGGAGTAGGAGGGTTTGAAAGCGGGCTGGGAGGTCATATTGTGATGATAGACCACGATTTTTCTGGTTCATGGCTAGTCATTGGTTGCGACGGATGACTTTATTGTGAGGAATGGAAGCCACGGGCTGGACTATAATGACCTATGCTGTTGAGCGAGCAGATGATTGCAATACTCACGATTGACGGGATTTCGAGATACCACAGATAACCACATGGCAATAACGAGAGTATTAATACATGATGAGCTACTATGAACGAACCGACTGAGGCATTCGTTACACTCGTAGAGATCCTGACTTGGACGGGAAGGTAAAGCACATATTTGTGCCTTTTAGTGGACTGATAGGTAAAGACATGGCCTGCGTTCTTTTTTCTGTCCGAGATCATACTTTTATTGCCGTATTTACTGTAGATATCTATCTACCTTGATACCGAATATCTATCAGTATATGCCGAGAGGATACGCAGTCTTGTCTATATTCTTCGCTCCCAGCGGGACCACCCGCGGGACCTGAGTGTAGGCGGTGGTGACCTCGACGGTCTCGTTCAAGCCCGCCGTCACGGGCATTCTCCTGGCATGCAACACGTCGTCGATGGCCTTGGCCATCTGCAACAACGAGCCTTCGCTCCAGGGCAAGCCCAGGATCTCCATCCCGATGGGGATGCCGATGGGGGCGGTGGGCGACGACGGCGAGAAGCCGATCGGCATGGTGATGACGGGCGAGCCGGTCACGGCGGCCAGGATGCCATTGCGGCCAGACTGGCTGGGCGAGCCGATGGGGACGACCAGGTTCTTCTGCTCCGGGTAGATGAGGCAGGCGAGCTGGTTGGTGAGAATGGTGGCGTGCAGGGCGCGCGTCAGGTTGGCGATGCGGGCCTGCTTCAGGTAGTACGAGGCGTTGGACGTCGACGACACCAGCGCCGCCTCCACGTACGAGTACTGCGACGGAATGACCAGGAACTCGGGCGTGCTCGCGTTGGCCGTGTACAGCTCCGGCATGCTGCGCGGGTGCGGGCCCGTCAGGTTGTCGCTGGCGAGGTAATGGCTGAGCAGTTCGCGGTATTCGCACGTTTGCACGTCCATCTGCGCCGAGATGGCCGTGGCGTTGTACGTCGCCGTGTCGTTGATGAGGACCACGCTGGCGCCCTGAGCTTGGAGAATGGAGATCACATTGTCCATGGCGTCGTTGACCGGCGTGGTCTCGTTGCTCGCGGCGCGGTTGAAGAACCCCTCGAGCACGCCGATACGGACTCCCGTGAGGTTCGTCCGAGTGCCCTGCGAGACGAAGGTCGTGTAGTCGGTGCCCAGCACGGCGGGCGGGATCGCCGACGTCACGTTGTCGGCGGGATCGTAGCCGACCGACGCCATGACCGTCATGGCGGTGGCGATGTCCAGCGGAGACCGGCCAATGGCGCCGATCGTGTCCTGTGTGTAGGAGATGGGGATGACGCCGGCACGCGAAATCAGCCCGCGTGTCGGCCGGAAGCTGAAAAGGCTGTTGGCGCTGGCTGGGCTGCGCAGCGAGTTCACCGTGTCGGTCCCCGTGCCGAACACGGCGAACGAGGCGGCCACTGCTGCGCCGGTGCCGCCGGAGCTGCCCCCAGGGGTGCGCGTGAAGTCGTATGGATTGATCGTTTGGCCGCCCAGGCTGGACACCGAGAGGCCCTCGAGCGCCAACTCGTGCAGATTCGACTTACCCAGGATCACGGCGCCCGCGTTGCGGAAGGCTCGCACGGCGGGGGCGTCCTGTGCTGGCTTCGAGGCATTCAGGGCCAAGCACCCGCCCGTCGAGGGCATGGGCAGGGCATCATAGTTGTCCTTAAGCAGGATGGGGATGCAGAAGAGCGGACCGGTGGCATTGCCCTGGGACAGGGACTGGTCCAGAGAGTCGGCAATGGACAGGGCATCCGGATTCAGGGTGATGATGGCGTTGATGTCCGAGTTGAAGTGCTCTATCCGGGCAATAAAGGCGCTCACGACGCCCCGGCAGGTGGTGAGGCCGGAGAATAGAGAGCTGTGGATGCTGGCGATGGTAGCTTCACGCACGTCGATGGGGGTTGTCTGTGTGAGGGAGGGAGTAGGGAGGAGGAGCGAGAGTGCGAGAAAGTTAAGGAGGTGCACCATCTTTCGTGGTGTATTGCTGCTGGCCCAGCCTTGTTTGTCCTCAGCCTTTTGGACTTCTCGTATCTTTCGTGGTAGTTCATGGCCATTGGTGGCAGTATATATAGGCGGTACCTATATACGGAAGATGATGTCGTGTATAGTACCAGTCAAGCACTGCCGGCCGACTGCCGGTAGCCCCGACATGAAGGAGGAGATGCCCACCTTATCGGCCTGGAGATGATCGCCGGCCTTCCGTATTCAGGACATGAAGATATTGTTCGTGGGAGGAGATCTCCTATGTAAGTAAAGAAGATAGGTAATAGGAAGGTCGATACAGTATATGGATCAGCCTTGTCCATGCCGGATCTGGCTGTATATAATATATAGCTTCGGGAAGAAGGCCAGGACAAGTCATCATCCGGGTTGGTCTTCCGGAGTCCGGACCCTCAATACGAGGGAGGCCTCATCTCTTTCTCTGTGTGTGTGTTGTGCTTATACCATCCACGGCCCATCCCTCCCGCTCTCGCCTGGTTAAAATACTCGGGGGAATTCTGTTCATTGTCACCGCTTGGCAAATGTCACTGTCTCCCTCTTCCTCCGCAGTTTAACCATTTTTGATACTTCGACGACGCCATGGGGAGCTTCTAGTCAGGCACCGCCGCCTTTCCATTGGACTTTTGCATTCTGCTTGCTGCCCCAGAATTACCATCTTCTGCAATACGCCCTTTCCAGCCCGTGACTCCGCGCCCAGCTCGATCACAATGCGACTCTGTGGGGTAAAAGCTGGGGCGTGACTGGATGACGGGAAGAGCTGCTTGCCTGTTGTCCACCACTTTTGACTTGAGCTCTGACGTTGTGGTCGGTAACTGGTCGATGTTACTTCGTGCGTCTCCAGCGAGAAAACATGACGCTGGTCAACGCTGAATCTTGTCTGGGGGAGAGGCACGGGGCCCAGCTGGTCGAGCAGAGATTTTCCCGTCCTTCATAAACAGAGCGGTCCGCCCGACCTCAGCTGTGTGCTGAACTTCATCCATCTACTATTCATCATCATCATCCAGATTCACTTCTTGGCGAAGATGATGTTGACTTCCGTCCTGTTGGGCGTCTTTGCTGCCGGGGTCGCAGTTGCACAGAAGGCCTGCCCTGGCTACCGTGCTACCAACGTTCAGCAGACGGCGAATGGCTTGACAGCTGATCTCAACCTCGCTGGGCCCGCCTGTAATATATATGGCACCGACTTGCACAACCTCACCCTCACCGTGGAGTATCAATCTGGTATGCTTATTGCTGGTGAAGTGTTTGTGTTCTGTTGTTGACTCTCTGGGAAGCTTCGAGGCTCCATGTCCTCATCGAGGACCAGAACAAGACCGTCTATCAAGTTCCGGAGTCGGTTCTTCCCCGTCCCAATACCACAGAAGGCACTACGGCCTCTAATGCCCAGCTTGTGTTTGACTATACAGAGAATCCCTTCAGTTTTTCCGTCTCTCGACCCTCGGGAGAGGTCCTGTTCAACACGTCGGGATCCCCCATCATCTTTCAGTCGCAATATCTTAGACTGCGGACGTCCTTGCCCAGCCATCCAAATCTGTACGGGCTTGGTGAGCACTCGGATCACTTCAGGTTGAACACTTCCAACTATACCCGGACTCTGTGGTCCCGTGACGCCTATGGAATCCCCCAGGGCACCAATCTATACGGGAATCACCCGGTATACATTGACCACCGCGGGTCGAATGGCACGCATGGAGTGCTGTTCTTGAACTCCAACGGTATGGATATCAAGATCAACGACACCGCTGGCCAGTACCTCGAATACAACACACTCGGGGGCGTTCTGGACTTCTACTTCCTGGCAGGACCCTCCCCAACTGAAGTCTCGCAACAAATCTCCGAGGTCGTTGGCAAACCCGCCATGATGGCGTATTGGACCTTCGGATTCCACCAATGCCGGTATGGCTACAAAGATGTTTGGGAGGTGGCTGAAGTTGTGTACAACTATAGCGCAGCCAACATTCCCTTGGAGGTAGGTGCCCACTCCATGGACAAGGAAGGATTGAAGGCTAATAATAGCTGCAGACCATGTGGACGGACATTGACTATATGGTAAGATCACCGATCAGGTACTGGGAAGCCACTGACGTGGGAATAGGACGCCCGAAAAGTCTTCACATTGGATCCACAACGCTTCCCTCTGCACAAGATGCGCGAGTTAGTGGCGTATCTCCACGCCCATCAGCAGCATTATATCATGATGGTGGACCCGGCAGTCGCATATCAGAACTACTCGGCGTTCAACAACGGCAACAATTCAGGAGTCTTTATGAAGAGGGCCGATGGGTCAGTATTCGAGGGCGTCGTCTGGCCCGGCCCAACCGTGTTCCCAGACTGGTTTCATCCAGATACTCAGGACTATTGGAACGGCGAGTTTGCGTCCTTCTTCAGTCCCGAGACCGGGGTCGACATTTCCGGTCTGTGGATTGATATGAACGAAGCCTCAAAGTACGAGCTGCGCCGTCATTTTTACAGCGGCTTGCTGACTGTTCTCCAGCTTTTGCAACTATCCGTGTTCGGACCCCAGCGCCTTTGCTAAAGAGAACGGCTTCCCACCCAAGCCGGCGGCGCTGCGAAGTGGTCCCGCCATCGCCCTCCCCGGCTTCCCGCCAGATTTTCAACCACCATCAAACTCCAAACGACAGACGCCAGCCACGGGCAACATGCTCGGTCTTCCGGGCAGGAAGCTTATCAATCCTCCTTACATGATCCAGAATGCTGCCGGTGGTCTGTCGAATAAGACCCTGAACACCGATCTGGTTCATTACAATGGGCTGGTCGAATACGACACCCACAACATGTACGGGACCATGATGTCGTCTACTTCACGCAATGCACTCCTCAATCGACGCCCAGGAGAGCGGCCACTGGTCATCACTCGCAGCACCTTCCTCGGCGCTGGTGCCCACGTCGGCCATTGGACAGGGGACAACCATGCCGACTGGGGTCAATACGAGCTCAGTATCTCGGCCATGATGAACTTTGCGACCGTCTTCCAGGTTCCAATGGTCGGGTCAGACATAGGCGGCTATAGTGGCAACACTACCGAAACGTTGCTGGCGCGCTGGATGATGTTAGGGGCTTTCCAGCCATTCTCTCGCAACCATAATGAGCTCGGAGATCGGCCTCAAGAGGCATACCGTTGGCCACTGACTGCGCAAGCGTCGAGATACGCCATTGACATTCGCTACCGTGCTCTCGACTATCTCTACACTGCCTTTTGGACACAGACGCAGACAGGAAAGCCCGTGTTGAACCCTCTGTTCTATCTTTACCCCGAGGACTCCAAGACTTTTGGCATCGACGCGCAGTTCTTCTTCGGGGATGCATTGCTCGTTTCCCCCGTCACGGCTGAGAACAAAACGACCGTACGCATCTATCTGCCCGACGACATATTCTACGACTGGAACCGTGGATTCAGCCCGGTGCGAGGCAATGCGTCGATGGTGACCCTGAACAACGTCAACTTCACCACCATCCCGCTCCACGTCCGCGGTGGTGCAATCCTCCCTCTGCGAGTGGAGAGTGCAAACACGACGGCAGCCCTCCGGACGAAAGGGTTCCATCTCCTGATCGCCCCGGGAACAGATGGGTCGGCGAATGGATCGCTCTACATTGATGATGGACTTATGATCGAGCAACCCAGCACCACGTATATCAATTTTACGTACACCAACGGAGCGTTCTCCATGTCCGGCAACTACAGCTATCCAGCCAATGTCAGTATCGAGCGGATCACCGTTTGTAACGTTGGGTCGGCGCCACAGAGCCTCAACATCCCTGGTGCGCAGGACTCGACTTTCTCGTATGACAATGCAACGTTGGCCGTCACGATCAACACCAGCATCCCATTGACCCAGGATGCTAGCTTCCAGCTGCCAGCGTCACGGAATTAGTTCAGATCAGAGGGAGGGTTTGAGGCGTGGACGAGGCTGGCTTCCCCCTTTCAGGAACCACAACCGAGAAGCAGTCGTCGTATGTACGTATCTTGCTGCATTTTGCCCTTCACTCCTTTCCTTTGATATACTCTCGTAACCGGGTTACATAGCAACGTTTTGCCAGTCACACACGCTGGCCCAGCCAGACTAGCTTTTTTGGCACGACCCCTGAGCGGCCGAGAAGAAGCGGTGAGCCCAACGTTGACGTCGGAGGCTTCGTGCTTCTCCTTCAAGCCGGCTGCAGTGTATCTAGGAGAGTCGACCATAGTAGTGCCTGCCGGGCCGTTGACATGGTGACAACCTTGTTTCGACAGCTGCCTCGACATTTACGTGGATGGATATACCACATATACATACATATATGTATACATATACACTGATCTCCTGCTGTTTCCTGGCCGTCTTCGGAGCAACTCGTTAGAGACACCCCTCTTCCTCTCCTCCCTAGCTCCCTCGTGTCCTCCACTCTTGGTCGGTCGTTTACCCGGCCCCACACTCGGCAGCCAGGCGATATTCCCTTCCTCGCAAAGCCGTTGGAAGGGAGAGAGATCGACCCCAATAATCTGAGTTGAGGTGCTCATGTTCGAGGGACGTGTGCGTTTGTCCGATCGCCCGTCGGCCCTCGCCATCTGGCGGACCAGAACCCTGGTTTACAGGCCTCTTTCTGTCCCTCTCAGTCTCTCTCTCTCTCTCTCTCCCGAAAACGGGCTTACTTCAAATAGAGCTGATTGCCAGGGCCCCTTCTCGGGTTAGATATCCTCTAATTGAAGCGGATTATTTCTCCTGCAAGCCCATCGGTCGATTGCTCGTGGTCTGCTGGCAGCTCGGAATCTGGAATGGGGCTTTGCTGCCCCTCACGGTTGGTCTTTGATCTTCCATCATCCAACAGCCAGCCGCCACATTGGATCCTGAGATATCGCTAAAGAATCCACGCGCCAAAGATTTGGGGGGGAGAGAGGGGCGGCGGTTCCCACACCCCTCCTCGTTCTAACTTGCTGTCCACCCACGAGCAACGCTGGGCTGCTGCGGTAGTCCACGGAGGACCTCGCTCCGAGGGGTGACGTTCTTGGAAACAAGTCTGGTGCTGAGAGAACACGAGAGAGAGAGAAGGACTCGAGAAGTGGACACACGCCTTCGGAGCAGACTGCTCAGAGGCCCTCCCCTCCCCAAAACAAGCCCATAGCAAGACGATGATGCACGACGGCGGGGTTCTGTTGCCCACTACCACGGGGGCATCATGTGTTCTCGCGCTCGCAGCCCGTCGGAGTCGCCTTTTCATTTGCTCTACTCTTCTCATGGCCATCGACTCAGAAATCCAGTGGCTCCCTATTTAACCCCTACTTGACAACTCATCCATTCCTGCAGCACATGTCATCCATGCCTGCGGCACCCCGTCCGGCCAACTAACCAAACTGACTGAGCTCCTTGCCAGCACATGTATCGGCTGCGGCTGCACTTTTGAAACTGCCGCAAACCAGAACCAGGCATCATCATCTTGTCACCCTCTGAGAACTCCAGGTTGATCTCTCTCTGGCCCTTCCCATCGAGTCTGGATCCGCCTCACATCTCTTCCAAGCATGCTCATTCGATTTCCCATCGCCCTCTCCCTGAATCCGCTAGCCTGCGTTGCGACCGAGGTTCATCACGACCCGGAGCGCCGCCGCCGCCGCTGCTGCTGCTAGCAGCCTCTCCCGTGATCCGTGTCGTCCTCTAGCCTACGTTCCCGCTGACCTCTCCCTCCCGTCATGCCTCCAAAACAACCCTCGAAGTCGGGCAAGAGGCTGAAACGAGACGACGACAATGATACTGACGACAGTGATGTTGACCTTCAACCCATTCACTTCTTTGTGCCCGGAGAAAACATCAACGCCACGGTTCTGGTCGACTACATTACACGATGGGTCGATCGCACGGCGAAGATAACATCGGCCCAGCATCCCACGGTGGGAAAAAAACCCCGTCCCAGGTCCAGTGTATGTGTGGACGGTCCAGACTGACCTTTTGCCAGGACAAAACACGAACTGGTTTCAGTGTCCTCGCGAAAAGAGCGCTCAATGCCGTAAGAGCCTTGTTCCCCCCCCCCTCCACACCCCGTGCGATGGTCCTCCCCTCATACTGAATGCCCGTCCTGGCGGTTAGGTTAGCATTCGCGATCTCATCAATGACTCTAGAGACTGGTATTTGGAACAACAAGGCAGTACGCTCCTCCTTACCTGGGAAGAAGCATAACAGCAAGGGTTGACACAACGCAGGAGATTATAGAAGAGATCCGTACGACTATAGAGATTCGGACACGGCCAGGCGTCGGGCGAAAAAGGGACCCTCGGAAGGCGGCACAAACAAACCCCAGCAACCGCGGGTCAAGCGAGAAGGCGGAAGTGAGTCGGCCGAACCTGGGCGGCAGGAGAGGGCGACCATGACATCGAACATGCCGGCGAGTCCTCCGCAACCTGCGTATCACCAACCTCAAACTCAGCCTCAGTACAGCCAGTATCCTGCCCACACTCAGCCGCAACATATCCAACCGAATCCGGGTCCGTACTATCAAGGACAGTCGAGGCCCGAGCAACCTTCTCCCAACTTCAACATCACCGTGAACACGGCCACGTTCGCGCCGAGGCCGGGACAGGCTGGCCAGTACGTCCCGAGTGCATATCAGTCGACCGCATATGCACATGTCGCGGGGCACGAATCGGAACCCCCGCCAGCGTACCAACAGTCCATGATCAGTCGTGGCCCAGCTAATCCGCACCCCCCTTCACAACCCGGACCCGATACGTTTGACGCTGAGAAGGCCGCGACGAGTCGACATTTCCCCGCCCAAGTGACGCGACAAGGCTCGACCGACTCCAAGGAGGACTTTCCTCGGTCTCATAGTGCCCAGGACCGTCGGCCGTCCACGGTTGACCAATCCGGGCGAAGAGCTGGCCGTTGAGCTCGGACGAAAGCCGCTGGAGGCGATTTGCTTATCCCATAGACTCGTTCTGTTGTTAGAGACCCAAGGACGTCCTGTCTCGACCGAAGACGGCGGCAGAAAGGCCAATACCCATCAACAGAAATCCCCCAGTGTCTCATTGACCCTTCACCATGCTGGCAGCCTTTCTCCAGGGGAGCCTTACCCCTTGATCACCGTTACCGTTGACCGATCTGGATCGACTGCTGTATCTTTTTGTTTTTCCCTTTAGCCCCCGCCTGTGGTGTCGGGCTCCATTTGATGCCGTGGTCGGATGTCTTATCGGCAGTCATTTTGGGCAGATTATCATTGTTCTGGTCTAGCATCCCCGAGTCTGACAGATTGAGTGAAATATATTGCTGGTGGACAACAAAGGGAGGGATGGTCTCATCAAATGGCGGCTTTAGAAATCGGACCATTAACGCAAACCTTGGGATGTGCAACACTGAGAAATACGGTTGGATGATGACGATCACATGTGTGGACACTCCAAGAGGCTTCGGTCAGCGGATGGGTAACGGGGAAAGGGAAGGGAAGGCGGGCACCAGGGACATCCGCTGCTAAGCTGGAGACTTGCGTTTGGGATCATTGTTTCTTTGTTCGTCTCCTTTGCATATGCATTGTATATACGTTACCTTCCCCCGCTCCATGAAACACTGGCACTGGCACTGGCACTGGGATTAGACTGCATGTGTGGCTGGTGGCTGGTGACATGGTCGAAGGCCCAAAGTTGGAATTCCAAGTCCGGAGTATTAAAGTCAATGGGTTTTTGTAACTTGCAACGGCTTCTCCCAGCCACGCACCCACCCACCCACACACACACACACACATCCACACCCTACTAATATTGGGCACTGCCAAGTGACTTTGAGACTTCAGCAATCCCAGCAGCTCCCTTGGGACGATCAATTGTCTGATTGGCGTGGTGGACCACACAGATTGCCGGCCAACACCAGCCCTGGACTCAAGGATTCGATCCCTTTAGGGAGAGAGAGAGTGCCCGATGACAGTGACGTACGTGAAGTACGGAGTATTTAAAACCCCTTCAGAGGCGCCCCTTTTCCTTACTACTCCCCTCTGTGCTCCCGGGGTGATGATCCTTTCTCCCACCGCCCCGAGGCTGGAGGCAGCTGTCGCCCCGTTCGAGGGGCAGGGTGAGCGTAGTGGGAGGGCGGGCAGCCCACCAGGCTTTTGTTGTGGCCGCAATCTTACTTTGTCGGCTACGTGTCAAGCTAAAAGCACGCCGCTGAAGCCGGCGGGGGCATTGATTGGGCTACACAAGGGACAGAAGGGACAGTGCATATGCAACGGGCCCTTGGAACTGGGGCCTTTTTCCCTCGAGAGATGCATGCCGAATGCACGGGTCTCTTCTCTCTCACCCAAATTACCCCTCCTCGTCGACTACCTACTCACCTCGTCACCTACTTCCTCTGTGACAGGCCGCTTCCTCTCTTTCTCGCAAGGCAAACCACACAACTTTACCCTGTTTTTGGTTTTTTTTTTTGGTTTCCCTTTTTCTACTCTCTCATTTTTGTGGCCCTTGGGAAATAAACCGCGTGACAAGCTCGCCCCCCCAGCGAGCTAGCGAGCCAGGCCAACAGAAAAAAAAAAGAGAAGGGCTTTCCTGATTGTTCGAGCCTCTCTTCTATTTTTTTCCCTCTCCTTGCTTGCTGTGCCCCAAAAGACCAACACAGCTGACTCGCGATTCGGCTGGATTATTTTCGGGTGACATCTCCCCTAACGTCACTTTGGGTAGTGATGAACACTGAGCACGGCTGAACAACATCACTTGAAGTCAATGGCCCTGAGCCTGGGCAATCCTCGTGGATGGACCGTCGACAATCATCATCACCAGCACCAGCACCAGCACCACCAGCACCACCATGTTGCTCAAGCTGCAGCCCCGGCACCAGCAGTATCCGCCTCCTCGTCTCCCACTGCTGCTGCCGCTCAACTCGAGGCGCGAGAGGGTCCTGCTCCGGCCCAGTGGCAAGCGGTGAAAGAGGAGATCCGGATCCTTTATGAGAAGCACCCCTTGCGAGATGTCAGGAGAATACTATTAGACCGGCACAATTTCCGCGCAACGTGAGTCGTCGTGATGATGATCAAGTCCCTTTTTTTTTCCTTATTCTGGAGGAACGAGGCCACCACCAAAGAAAGAACGAAAAAAGAAATAGAGCTACCGGAATCTCTCCCCCCTCCCCCAGCCACTCGATTCTTTGAGGATTTAATTTCTGGCTGGTTTGGCCTGGTCTGACCCGGGGAGGGGAACGGACGGGAGGGGAGAGGGTCCGGGCTTTTTCAAAACGTCCCTTGCATTATGACTACTCGGTACTCGTTGCTGATTTTAATCCTTCTTGAAACCAGGGAGCGGATGTATAAAGCCCGACTGTCGCAGTGGGGAATCAGTAAGAATTACTCCGATAAAGACTATCAGATATGTAAGTCCGCCACCCCCCCTGCCTTTTCTTGAGCAATGCTGCTGCTGCTGCTGCTTTCTTGTTATTGTCTGTCGGCCGCTTGCTGACGACCAGCTCACCCACAGGTGCGGTGCTGCACCACACCCGCCAAAAAAGCGGTAAGCGGTCGACGGCGTTTGTGATCCATGGCCACAAACGCTCTCTCAAAGACCTACACAAGTATATCAAAGGGCGGAAGATGACCGAGGAGGACTTCCTAGCCTCTGCCCTCGCCAACGTCAAATGTAGCACCACCACCACTTCCGCCGATCACCACGAGCACGAGCAGTATGCTCACGTCCGAGCCTATACACCTGAGCCCGAGGCAGAGGCCGAAGAAGGAGGAGCACCGCCACCGCCTCCTCCTCCTCCTCACCCTACCGCCTCCACTCCCACCAGACCACGGCCGGCCGAGATCGCAGCAAAGGACCTAAGGGACTCTCCTAGGGGGGAAATAGCGGCGTCACAGTCCGTCCACTGCGTCCCAGAACCAGCCTCGTGTTCCACCATCCCCACCTCCGCCGTCGCCCACCAACAACACCAACACCAACACCAACATTCCCCTGCTAGTCCGTCACTCCGCTGGTCCCCCCACCATGCAGCCTCGCCATATGTCCCACTCACCGTGTCACCGCCTCAAAGGCACGGTCCTTATTTCACATCCAAAGACAGCACCACCGCCACTACATACTCGTCCGATGCATCACCACCCTCGTCGTCACGCCCCCACGCCGTCTCCTCTCCCCAGGATGCCCCATTGTCGGTGGCCCTGTCATATACTTATCCTGCCGCTCCGAATGAACCACTGGCTGCCGTGGAGGACCAGGTCCGCCATGCTGGCACCGTCTACGACGACACGAGCCCCATGATGACGTCGTGCAGCCAATTAGGCCGAGACGTCGAGTACATGGCACTGCAGCTGGTGGACGCCCCGCCCTTGAAGTCCCTGTGTGGCCACGACGACATCCGGAGCTGGGCCCTCTTGTTCACCGACAGCTCCTCGGAAGATTCGATGGACTACGAGCAGATCTGTCCGACGTGCCACGAGTCCACCCGCGAACACTTTATCAGTCTCCCGAATTTGGAGACGCCTCACGGACCGCGCAGCATCTTGAACGCCACCCAGGACCTGCCGGAAAGCACGGCCATCTCGGTCCCCGCCAGCTCACGCGGCCACGAGCATTCGTGGAAGTGGGTGGCGCGGTGCTTCGCCGCCTGCATCTACCTGCGCCGCGGCAACCATACGTTATCGCAACGCAGTCTCGCCGACGCCGACGCCGAGTTCACGCAGATGCTGGTGCCGCGCCAGGACCCCAAGGTGCTGTTGGCGCTCAACCAGACGCTCCAGATCCTGCAGATGCACGACCAGGGCGACATCACCAAGACCATCATGCAGAGCGCCCACCTGGTCGCCGACCGGCTGCTGGGGCCCAGCCACCCGCTGACGACGATCGTGCGGTGGATGGTCTACGTGGCCAACGGGCAGATGCGCCACCGCGACGTCACCAGCGCCACGCTGCACGACGTGCACCAGCAGTTCGTGTCGCACCACGGCGCCCACGACCCGCGGGCCATCGCGTCCCAGTACTGCTACGGCTTCATGCTGAACGTGGAGGGCCAGCCGGCCGAGGCCGAGCAGGTGCTGCGCGAAGTGTACCAGATCTCCTCGACCGTGCTGGGGCCCCAACACCTGCAGTCGATCTCGGCGCTGACGAACCTGCACCGGGCGCTGGAGCGGCAGAACCGCGTCGACGAGGCCGCGTCGGTGCTGCGCCGCGCCATCCGCGACTCCAAGGACACGCTGGGCGACAACCACCCGCGCCGCCTGGAGAGTCTGCGGTTGCTCGCCCTGCTGTACCGGCGACAGGGCCACCTCGACCTGACCGAGGAGCTGTACTGGCAGGTTCTGGAGGGGCGGGTCAAGATGCTGGGCAAGAACCACACGTTCACGCAGGGCATGAAGCGGGATTTGGAGGAGCTGCTCCAGGAGCGCGGCAAGTGGACGGTGGAAGAGACGAGAACGGTCAAGCGCGGGGACGGACAGGTGGTGCAGGAGGTGGTGGTCACCGAGAGCAACCACCAACTCCGGCTGCAGGACATCTTCGAGTGGGACGTGCACGAGCAGTGGGACGACGACGACGCGAGGAGTGATGGGGGCAGTGAGACGGGGAGTGATCACGCGGCATTCTGAGCGTTCTTGCTGTTTTTTTTCTCTTTGGGTTTTAACCGGATTGGCGGGATTTTATTTGCCCAGGGGGCTTGCTGAGCAGGAAAGGAAAGGATTTCTACACTACATACATGATCATGGGGGCGAGACTGGGTTGGGAGGGGGGAAGAAGGGGGATTTTTCCCCTTCTACTCTACATACCGTAGATGGGCCCTCTCTACAATCCCTCCCTCCCTCCCTCCCTTTCTCCCTACCTATCAACCAATCGACAGACAGAAAGAAAGATACCTTGCGTGGAAATATTTGTTTGTGTGTGGAGAATATGCGAGGGAGGGAGGACACACAGCAGAGGAGTAGAGATCAGCAGAAGAGGAAGAAGAAAGGGGGGGGGGCCAGAACACAAAAAGCACAGGAAAGCCACCGCCGTCGCGAGACAGAGTGGGCGGTGGTTTGTGACATTGTGGTGGTGGCGGTGGTGCCACCCACCATAATGCGAGGGATTTCGTCCATGGGGACGGAACACAGACACACACACACACAAGGGAGTGGGAAAGTGACGGACGGGACGAGACGGGACGAGACGAGACGATCTGCGTGGTATGTTATGTAAGTAGGACGAGCGAGCACAAGAGAGTGGGACGAGGGATGTGCCCAAGAAAGCAGAAGTGGGTATTTCGAGGAGCTACATACAGTAGATATGCAATGGATGTAGGTGGTGGCCTCGATCGATCTATTCATTCTAAATGAGTACATATACAGTATATACCCGAGCATATATATATATAATGGCTACCCACCCAAACACTCACCAAACCCTCGCCCTTCCCTCCCTCCTCACGCCCTCCACCCAACGATATACCTACCTATGTTTCTAAAAGCGCACCGAACGACACAGGTGCAGGAAGTATGTATGTATGAGGTGTACTCGGTCCATGATCCCTGAACCCAACCACCATCCATCCATCCAAGCTCCTCTTTCTGGGTCTTGTGCCACGCAGTCAGTTTGATCGTCTCCCAAGAGAGATGGGATGGGACGGGAAGGATGGGAGAAGGAACATGTGTCGATCAGTCAATCAGTCGCCATGTCCTTTCAACGGGCGACGATCCATCCTGCCTCGTTCATCATGATATGTGGCAGCCCAGATACAGCCAATGCCAATGCCAATGCCAATGCCATGATTATCACTCACGCCCCGTTATTACATATTATATATCATGTATGCATCACGCTGTGTGTTATGTATGCATTGTGTACGTGTATCACCATCACCGTCACCACTGTCACCACACAACACAACACATCATCACACGACACGACATGGACCCCCCACGCCTATCCATTATTGCACAGCATCCGTGCATGTATGCGCGGGACGTTTTCTTTTTTTTCTTCTTTCTTCTTTCTTTCTTCTCCTCCTTCTTCTTCTTCTGCCATATACATGTACTGTCAATATGGTTTGTTAGGTACAGGTACATAGTCTCTTTTTCCGGTGGACGATCTACATAATCCCACCGTACCTACCTACAAGGTAAGCATGACATGTCGTGGAAAGGGTGGAGAGAGAGGGAGCCGGGCCCGGGGGGAGCAGATCGAAGATCGCCCTTGTCGTTGCCGTCCCCTGCCGTCTCGTCTCGCCTTGCCTTCCCTTGCCTTTCCTTACCGTGTGGACTTGCCGCCGACGAGCCGGCTTCCGAAGTAACGGTTCATCGTACGTTAGAGGCATGGGGGCACGGGGGGCACGGGGGGGAAAGGGAGTCGACGGCTAGTTAGTGTGAGGCGAGGCGAGGCGACGAAGTAGGTAAGTAAGTAAAAGTACCGTGCATGCATGCATGGCGGATGCAGGAGGAACGATCCCAAACGAGGCACGAGTAATAGCTAACTAACTACACGATAAGCAAAGTACATAAGCGAGCGAGCAAGCAGCCACTCAAGCGACCAGGCAGGGCAAGGCAAGGCAAGGCAAGGCAAGACAAGGCAAAGCGAGCCAGCCCTGCATACGTTTCCCTGCCCTGCATCTGTTACTGGACCCGGAGCCCTACACGAGGTACCTCGTACATACGGTACATTCCCCCCTGCCCCCCTTTAGATCGGGCTTGCCCTTCCCCTTCCCCGTGCCAGAGGCGCCAGTCCGTGTTGGTCTGTGGTCTGTGGTCTGTGGTGGGTGGTGGGTGGTGGTGGTGGTGGTGGTTGTAGTGGTTATGGCTCGGGTCCTTTTTCCATACTTTTTTAAACACTCGCTCACTCACCCCACTTGGAATGACTCTCTCTGGCTCGGTTTGGCTTGAGCGGACCTGACCTGACGAGGTACGTAGTCGTAACATAGAAATTCGAAGGACAGACAGACAGACAGATAAGTAGCAGTGTTCAAAGGCGGCGGTGATGACTTTCTTCTCTTCTCTTCACTCCTCTTCTCCCTCTTCTAGTAGAGGATCCATCCTTGCCTTCCCCTGTGCTGTGTGCTACGTGCTGTGTTGTAAGTCACCCGTACATAGAGGGCGGACATGGACGATGTATAGTACCTTCGTCTCGGGTGTTCGATTGGGTTAGGACTTTCTGTATGTTTGTATTTTATGTATTTATGCTTGTGCTTCTTGGACTGCTGGGCGAGGATGGGCGAAGACGGGCCCGCCTGTCACTAGGCCCCTACATACGTACATACGTACATACCACTCATTCATCCACTCACTACTCGGCGCACTCTAGAGCCAGCTCCAGCTCCAGCTCCAGTGTTCAATGCCCTCGATGCTCGGGGTGAATATCATTCAAAGTGGGATATTGATGCGCCTCGTCCTTTTGGGGAGTCGACGGGTTATCGCCCTATGCAAGAAACCACACGCAGCGTCTTTGAGGAGTAGGACTGGCCCAGACGGAAATCGGTCGGCTTTCGTGCTCACCTCGAAGAGATATTCCGAACGAACGAAGTATTGACTGACTGACGATGATATGAGATATATACATACATATATACATACATCCTCTGCGAAATCAGACAGGCGCCAGCCAACATCGCATAACCTAACCTAACATAATACACATAGTACAGCGCTAAAACCAGATCTCCCGCCCCCCAAGTGATATGCATCACGGCTGTTGCGTCTTGATGTACTCGGCATATGTGTACCTCCCAAAACGCCCCAGGTCCCAGCAACATAAGAGAAAATAAAGATCGCTCACTGACTAGGCAGCCAACCCTTTCGCCGTGTCATACTCGTAGATCCAGGACAGCCCGCCATCCTCGCCGGTGACCAGAAAGTACGCCCACATGAGCCACTCCTTGATGATCTGGCGGAACGTGCTCGGTGAGGATTTGCGCATGTCGCCGCCCTTGGAGGTGAAGGCGAGGATCTTCTTGACCCGGTCTTTCCGGGATGTCTGCCACTGTTGAACCAGCAGCCGCGGTCCTTCTCGAGGTTGGTCGTTGACGGCGGGTTCTTGCTCTTTCTTGTTGTCGACCAGGGCCAGCGTGTCGGCTAAGGTCAAGGCGTCCTCGAACGCCATCGCCGCCCCCTGCCCGCCGGTCGGGGGCATGGCGTGCGCCGCGTCGCCGATCACGAGAACCCTCCCGGAGCTGCTCGACCAGGAGCTCAGCTCGGGGACTTTGTAGTACCTGTTTTGGTCCCACACGCGACGTTAGTGACGACTCACCACAATCAGGAGATCGAGGGAGAGGAGAGCAGAGTGGAGGGAAAACTTACGGCCACAGGGTCAGCGACGACTTGTCGACGTTCTGCGACGCGACGTGCACAATGTCCGGCCACGTCTCGTTCTCGTGGTGCGACTGCAGCGTCTTGTACAGCGCGGCCTCGTCGCTCTGGAGCTGCGCCCACTCCTCGCGGCTGCGGTCCGCGCCCTCGACGGTCGCAAAGCAGCCCACCCGGTCGCCCGTGTACGTGCAGGGCATGAACATGAACGAGTTCAGCTTCCCCAGGATCAGGCACGGCATGTACATGTCCTCCTGGCCGGGCTTGAACAGCTTCGATCGGGCAAGCGACCCACCAACGCCCAGCTGGCCGCTGAAGGTGGGCACAGCGCTGGGATCAAGGTGACGGCGCACACGCGAGTGGATGCCGTCGGCGCCCACCAGGAAATCGGCCTCTTCGGTGCGGCCGTCGGCGAAGGTGGCGACGACCGTGCCCCTCTCCGTCTCGCGGATCTGCTCGCACTTGGCATTGCAATGCAGCTCAATGTCGCGCTCCCGGAGCACATTGATGAGCGTCTGGCGCACGATGCCCCGCGACACGCGCAACGCCTTGTATCCGTAGCGGGCCTCGCTGCCGTTCAGCACCGTGGCGACGCGGCTCAGGTTGCGCGACGACAGGAACCGGAACTCCTCGTAGTTCCACCCCTGCGTGCGGATGCGCTCATACACGCCGATCCGGTCCAGGGCCCGTAGCGCGTTGGGTGCCAGCGCCACGAAGCCGCCATCGAAGGCCGCTGCGTCGCGCAGGTCGAATACTTTGGACGAGATGCCGTGGCGCTGGAGCGCGAGGGCCAGGGCCGGCCCTCCTAGCCCGCCTCCGATGATGATGACCTTCATGAGTTGTTTGTTGTTGTATGTTTGGGCTTGCGACGATGAGGAGCTTTGGCCAGGATGGATTAAATTGAGCGACGAGTTCTCGAACGAGTTGTAGTATATTGAAGGGGTTGCTTCTCCATATATAGATATATTTGCGACCTACCTTCTTCTATCTATCTCTGTCTCTCTCGCTTGACAAGTTCGGCTCAACAAGGTTCAGGCTGTGAATGTTGGATCCCAAACACGAGAGGGAAAAAAGGGCACTTCATCACTGCCATGTGGTTGGGAGTATGTCCCGAGGAGAAAGAACCTTCATCAGCCCCAAAACCCTTCGTGAACGGAACGGGCATTAGCTCCCTCGCTTCGGATGCAGTATTGAGAAAGAGGGAAGAGATGGGGAGGAATACCACGTTGGGAGTGCCAGACGGGGCGGAAACGGTTTGGTCTCGCTTGCATCTCCCCGTTCAGGTTGAGGTGCCCAGACGCCGAGAGTGCTAACTATGAAGTGTCCAAGCCCAGGAAGCCCAGTAAAGTTGCAACCATGGGCGAGTGCTAGGGACGAAACTGTACTAGAGTAGACGAGGTATGAGGTAACCAGCCCTTGGAGGCTGTACTGTAAGTGAGCCTGTGGACGAATCAGCGGGCACTTGTCACGTAGGCCTATATACGAGGTACAGGAGTTTGTGTTCATTATTCAACAATGGTTACAGGGCATAGAGTCACACCTACAAGATGGATCTATCAGACCACTCAACTAGTGTCCCAGAGCATTCCCTGGAAAAAGAAAGTTGCAAGGACAACAACAGCAACAATGGTCAGGATACCATTCTTTTACAGGTACACTCTTAACCGTCGACGTGGTGGTCAATATGTCCTATGCCAACAGGCTATTGTGTAGCACAATGTAATACGCCAGTCGACATCTGATTGCACTACCTCCCGTACCGTGCAGGAGATTGTACCTCTATCGGTAGGTCTCTTTTCTCAGCCTGGCTCAGTAATCCTACACCTCAATTCCTCTCGGTCGGTCGAATTAGTCTTGGTTTCCAAACTTCAGTCCCCCCTGCAGTCTGACGGCGCCATAAATCCCGGCAATGTCGCCCTTCTCACCCACGGTCTGCTTGACAGTCTTCAGATACTCGTCCCCAACCTCGACTTGCCGCATCCGGCACCCGCTCTTCTTGGCCAAGTCCATGGCGTGCCGGGCGTCTTTGCGTGCCAGGTCCACGGCGAACAGCGGTTCTGCACGCGTGTAGTAGTCGCCCGTCCTCATCCTGTTCGAGTAGGCCGTGTAGGGTCCCGGGAACATGACTTCGATGAATTTGTGGAGCTCGTCGACTCCCAGACCGGAATTTTCGGCCAGGACATGCCCCTCGGACAGGGCGTTGACCATGCCCAAGACAAAGGTGTTACCAATGATCTTGAGAGTGGTCGCCTTGCTCGGCTCTTGACCCGAGAAATCCACGTTGGCCCGGCCCATCACGCCCTTGCAGTATGGGAGCACTTTTTGCGCCGCCTCAGCCTTCCCCGCCACGACGCAGATCAGCTGGCCGGCGTCGGCCATGGCCGGGGCTCCAAAGACGGGACAGGCCACGAAGCTTGCTCCTTTGTCCTCCACCATCTTCTCTTCTTTGGCTGTGGTCTCGGGGTGGACCGTGCTGCAGTCCACGATCAGCTTGCCCGTGACATCGGTTTTGAGGACCTCTTCGAGGGTGGAGAGCACGGCTGGGTCGTCGCCGAGACAGTAGAATATGATGTCTGCTTTCGAGGCGGCCTCTTGCACAGAGGAAGCCACGGTCGCGTGGCCTATGCTTGCTGCGAGGTCATGGGCCCGTTGCGGGGTGCGGTTGAAGATGATCAATGGGTTGGACAGGTTGCCTTTCTCGACCAAATTCTTGCACATGCCCTTGAATCGGGAGTTAGTACTGTACAATGACCAGCCATTCTCGTTATACTTACCCTGCCCATATTCCCCAGACCCAGCCAAGCCAATTGAGGTGCCATCTTGTCAGAAGTATGGACGTGGGGTTGAAGTTCGAGTGTGCGAGGAATGAGAAATTGCGACTAGGCGATGTAGTATGCTCAGATATGTTGATCCACTTACCGGTGCTAGGTGTTCTGGCTGTATTTATGCTTGGGAGATCTCAATCGAGATGAAACGCGCAAGAAGCCAGCCTTGTCCGTTTCTCTCCGTTGTCCCTCATGACGATGATGGTCGTAAGTCGCAGACACGGTACGCGGAGACATTCCGGAGCTGACAAAGTTGGACTACGCAGTACGAGACGACTCTATGTACAACGCGACCGTGAGTGCTGCGTTCCTCCAGAAGTTCGGGAAAACACGGGTCAACGAGGGTTTGCAACTATTTGATCAGCATTGGCAATAATAAATGGCAACACGATCCATCCTTTTCATCCGTCGAAGCACCAGGAAGGGCGTGCCACGGAGCGAGAATGCGTGGAGCGCAGAAAGAAATATTGGAGAAATGAGCAGCACCGAGGGGCAACTAATTCATCCAATCATACTTGCAGCAGGACCGGGCGGTGAAGGCCTCTCGCTTGGGCTAGTCGCGGCAGTATCTTTGCTGCGCTCGAGCCATCCGCGTCACAAAATTTTCCCCTCGATGGATGAGTAGCTGCACAATGAAAATCTGCAAAGGGCTACTCGACATAAGTCCCGTGGCAGGGCTGCTACCCAGGTGACGTTCTCATGCATTTGTTTGGCTTCTGGTGCTCTATTCTTGTTGTTGACTGCCTTGTGGAAACATGAGCCACACCGCCCTGAGTTCCGTTCGGAGTCATTGTACCTCCCAACTTGTATGCAGAAACGTCGCAGCTGAGGCCTTGAAAGCCTACCTCATCTCTCACCCGTGTTCCCCCTCGCTTTTCTCCCGATCCCATTCTCGTTGCTACTCTTCTCAACCTGCCCCACGAACAGATGGCTCAGCCTCACAAAACGCTCCAAGTGTGGTGCAGCAAGACCAGAACTCCTCCTTCACCGAGAGAGCTAAACAGCGCCTCGCAAACAGGGAGTTCTTCACTAGCCTGTTGAGCTCGGCAGCGACAAAAAGAGATGCAAAGGCGTACATTTCTCGACTGAAGAGCCCGACAAAGACCGCCTCGGAGCAGAAGCAGGATTCCCCGAGATCACAACCTCAGGTCAATGCGGGAGGCCTCCTCGGCCGTACCAGAGCCTCGGAGGAGAGCCCGGTCTTTAAGCAGTACGAAAATGGGCAACAGTCAACCCTGGAAGAGCTGGAAACCTTACATGTGGCCCTTGTCAAGGTCAGCAACATTAATGCCATGGCGGACGGGCTCGTGAGAGGCATTGCCCAAACCTTGTCTTCCCTCTCTCGTCTCAGCATGGCACCTTGCGTCGTCTTGGAGGTGCCTCAGGAGGAAACTCCACAAGCAACACGAGCAAGTCTCAGCCAGGCTACAGATAAACTGGTAGCGGCCATTGACGCCATTCACCCCTCGGGGGCGAGAATACTGGACAATCTCTTGAGTTTCGGTGCCGATGGCAGGCCCCAAGTTTTCCTGCGAAAGCTGTTGACTCGCCCTCTGAGACGGGGCCGGATACCAATTGTCCTTCCAGTGGCCTATTCGGCAGAACAGTCACAAGCTGTCTCTATCACGGCTGACGAGGCTCTCCTGGCCTTGACTAGAGAGCTTTCCGGTCATACCTCCAGCCCTCGAGAGGGCCAACAGCTCGAAACAGCGCGTAAGCAGATATCCTTGGACAGGATTATCGTGGTTGACGAGACCGGGTCAATTCCGAGCACCAAGTCCATTGACAAAAGGCATGTTTTCGTCAACTTAGAACAAGAATATTCCGCCTTGCAGGAGGAGCTGAGGAGCTCAACCGAAGGGAGTGTTTCTCAGAAGCATGCCTCAAATCTCAAATTGTTTCGAGACGCTCTGAAAATGCTCCCCCCGACCTCATCCGGGCTGCTGACGACGCCTCTTGAAGCCGCAAACAGTGCCAGGTTGGACGATGACGGAGTGTCGGGTGTCGGGACGAGAAGGCAGAAGAACCCCTTGATCCATAACCTGTTGACTGACAAGCCGGCGTATTCATCATCCTTACCCACTGGCAGACTCACACACGATACATCTTCAGTGCCCGTGACGACTTCCACGTTTGTGAAACGGGGCATGCCGCTGACTATCTTGCCCAATCCAGCGGCACAAACCTGGACTGCCACGTCTCGACCTCGTCTGCAACTGACCGACCCCCGAATCGACCTGGACCGTCTGACATACCTCATCGACGACTCTTTCAATCGAAAGCTCGACGTAGAAGCGTATCTGAGACGCGTCAATGATCGCATCGCCGGCGTGATCATTGCAGGTGAATATGAAGGCGGAGCGATCCTGACGTGGGAAACCCCGCCGGGCTGCTCGGACGACGACACCGACCGTCTGGTCCCGTACCTCGACAAGTTCGCGGTTCTCAAGAAGTCCCAGGGCGCTGGCGGCGTGGCGGACATCGTGTTCAACGCCATGGTGCGCACGTGCTTCCCCAACGGCGTCTGCTGGCGCAGTCGCAAGGACAACCCCGTGAACAAGTGGTACTTTGAACGGTCCCGGGGTACGTGGAAGATCCCCGACACCAACTGGACCATGTTCTGGACCACGCCGGGCATTTTCGACAACGGCCACCACAAGACCAGCGTCTTCCTCGACTACGAAGGTGTCTGCCGCTCGGTGCAGCCCACGTGGGCTGACAGGAAGATGATTGCTGATTAGTTGGCGAAGCTGGGACCAGGACAGGACAGGACAGGACAGGCTAGTCATGCTATATGACTGACTGGACATGTACTCCGGATCTAAATGGATATAGGTTTCGCGACCATCTACAGATACAAAGTTAGTTACAAAGCAACCCGTTTTATGCCAAACACCCACCACTCATGCTATACGCTATGGTATCATGTAAGTCTCAGAATCTTAGGCTCCCTAAAATCATGCACATGCCCGCTATCCAGCGCCAGCCCCGTTTATTTATTCATTCCCGCCAACGGCCCGCGTTCTATGCGCATGCGTCCAGCTTCGTCTGGAAATGCGTCCCTTGTCTGCCTGGCTTACTCCCCGCTTCGCGGAACGGCGTGGAGGAGGTTCTCGCGGTTGACGCCGCTGCGTCTGCTTCCGGGGCACCCTTCCTCTTCAGGCGGCGCACGTCGCCCTTGAGCACTGCGAGCAGGAACACCTCGCTGACGTATTCGACTTCGTTGCGCTGCTCCTCCTTCTCCACTGCCGTAGCAGCGGCAGCCGGTGCCGACCCATCTGCCAAAGCAGCAGCAGCGGCAGCAGCAGCAGCAGCGTGGCGGTGACACAGGCCGTCTTCGTGGACGTCATCGACGGGCCGCTCCCCGGTTCCCTCAGCGGCAGCTTTCTCCGCCTCTGTGGGATCTTGAGCCGCCGCCGCCTTCGGCTTTTTCTTCGAGATCCACACGTTGCCCAAGAACAGGCTGGCCAGCAGACTCAGACCCAGGATCGGCAGGATGGAGATGAACGCCCACATGGTCGCGGTGGCGCCTTGCGAGCGGATGGCTTTCTGTTCGGCGGGAGGCAGGTTCTTGATCAGGTCGAGGGAAGATTGGTTGTGCAGGTTGAATTCTACGGCCGAGGTTCCGTTGCTGTTCGCGTTGGCGTTGTCGCCTGAGTTGACGGCGCTGGAGCCAAAGTACTGGCTCATCTGATTCTGGAACACCGAGCCCATGATCGTGAGCGCGAGCGTCCCGCCGAATGGCAGCGCGAACCGCAGCAGCGAGTACACCGGTGCCAACCGGTCGCGAAACATCCCCGCCAAGTGCAGGTTCGAGGGCATGAAGCGCATGCCTGTGCCGGCGCCGGCGATCGCCATCATGACGTTAACCAGGGTCTCGTTCTTCACCTTGACCGCGTAGGCGAGCACGGCGATCCCGGCGTTTTCGATAATGGTGCCCATGAGGAGAGGCGGGAATGTCTGCCGCGGGTACACGTTGCAGATGAATATTGCGATATACACGCCGGCTCCTATGCCCGGGACGTAGTATAGGAGTTGAGTGCCTGCGTGGGAGGCTGCGAACCCTTCAACCAAGGTGAAATAGATGCCGATGAAGTAGAAGACGCTGTAGAGCGCGGCGCCCGTGCCGGAGGCGATGAAGCAGACGAGCGTGACGTCTTTAGAGGAGAGAATCGACGATGGAATCATGGGCACAGTGCCTCGTGGTAAGTGGCGTGAGAGGAAACTATTTGGAGAAGAAAGGAGCTTCTCATATAGCAAGAAGAGGACAATAAGAATGGCACCGAGAATGATCGGTACGAGAACGGCGGCGGAGGCCCAGGGATATGTTGAACCGCCCCAGGCTGTTCCCAAGATGACGAGACCAACGCCGAAGATGAAGAGGGTGATACCGCCGAAGTCGAGTGTAGAGAGGCCGCCTGTCAGGGCTTGGAGGTGGCTGGTGTTGGGTGGAGGGTGCGAGAGGGAAACCCTGCCCTCCTTGAGGTCGTTCCGGAGGAGAAAGATGGTGAAAATGCTAATCACCGAAATACCAGCACCCAGGACAAAGCAATACCGCCAGTTTGTGTTTGTCAGGTAGCCGCCGATGATGGGTCCGACACCTAAGAGGAGAGACAGGTTACAAACGGTACGCCACATAGGGCTCCAATTGGAGCTGCTCATTCGTGAAGACGGGATTGTACTCACTGTAGCCGACTCCATTTAACAGCTGGAAGATGCTTGTGTTGACAGCCTGATCTCTCAAAGAAACCGAATCCGCCAACACGATCATGCTGACATTACTAATTCCTGCAGTACCTATGCCTTGTAGCGCACGACCGAGGAGCAGGACTCCCCATTCTGGGGCAACAGCACAAAGGACGCTTCCGATAGTCAAGAAGCCCACGGTGCTTTGCAAGGCAGCATGTCGGCCAAATATGTCGGCTAATTGGCCGAAGACAGGAATGAATGCGGTCGACGTCAGAGTGAAGGCGGTAACGATCCAGTTGAGCTGGTTAAACTTGTCTACCGCATTCTCGTCAGTGCCTTGCGTGGAGAAGGGGACAAATAAACCCGAGAGAAACGGAATATACTGACTGAAGTGTGAAGCGATCTGCGGTAATGCTGTCGCAACGATGGTCAAATCCAAGCTGGCGACAAAGAATGCTGGGAGCAGGCAGAAGAGCAGTTTCCACCTGTATTTGCGGGCCTTGCTCCTTTCCTGAGCACATTGCGGGCATTTCTGTGTCTCCTTGGGGGTATTTAATAAAGACTGTGGGTTGGTAGGTACGGTTGATGAGTCCGAGCCCGCTGTTGCTGATATCTGATTTTGAGCTTGAGCCTCAGCGGCCTTGCGGGCGCGGTAGGCTCTGATCTTGCGATATGTGTATATGAAAACCATGGCGGGGATGTAGAAACTAAGACCGAGACGAGATATGGGAGGTGACACTCAAGTCGTTTGAGTAGGGGAAGGGGTGTAGAAAAACACTTATATCCATTTTCCCTCACAAAACCTATTACTTGGTGTACGAAACGCGAATACGATTGCGCCCTTCGCTTCGCGATATCTTCCATTCTGTCTTTCGACAGCGAGGCGTTCTCGCGGAATCTTCCCAAAGCGGAATAGGAGCAGTGTGGCTTGTGAATGTTAATACCACTCGCTTAAATTTTTGGTTTGAGCCAATCATTCAAGCCAATTTCTGGGGCGAGGGAGATCAAACCCGAGTAGATTCGCTTTGTTGTGTGCTTGGCCGAGAGCAATAGACAACATGAGACATCATAGCATAAAGGCAGACAACCCTAACCCGCATTAAGCATATTCTGCGAAAATATACTGAACTCCAGCAGGCAGCAGAATTGATATTTGCTAAAGACAGGGGGAAAAAATGGTGACTGTGTGGTTTTGACTTGCTGCCGGCATAGTTGCCCTCTAGGTTTGCTAGGGTGTCGATGCCTAGCCATTAATCTGTCTCTCTGCAACACGACGTGCAACCACAGTAACTCTCAAGCCGTCCAGGTTCGCAAGCGACGTTCTCCCCCCTGATGCAATACTTCCTGGAATCCCTCAGCTGTACTCAAGGCGGGCATGCCGATATGCATTTCATGCAGTACTCCAGTCAAGGAGCTATACACTGTCTACAGCAAAGCAGATGACCGAACCCTGGGCAAAGGCGTTCGCCTGACCCAATGCCCCAACTGCAAACGGTTCGCCGACAAATATGTCGAACATGACTTTGTTGTCCTGTTTATCGATCTGGTGTTGATAAAACCGCAGGTGAGCGGAATTTCAATGTAACCCTTACCTGGTCTGACGTGTGGGTAGGTCTATCGCCATCTTCTCTTCAACAGGCTGGGACGCTCAGACGACAAGTTCGACCCCAGCATCTTACGCCTGGGTACATTGCTTGTCCTCTTCGATGTCTACATCACTTGGGCCAGGATTGAGAAATTAAACGCAGCAAATGGTGGTCCTGCTGTGGGATCGCGGCTCGGCGAGATGCCCATCCTAGCACAATATCTCTTCTTCTTGACCATGAATGTCTTGGCGACGTTTGCCCAGCATGGCATCATTCGAGCCATGGTTCGGATGCTGGTATCTCATCAAAAACGACGAGAGCAGGCTCTCGCCAATGCGACGCCCACAACGGCTTCCTGGTCGACCACCGAAACCCGCCATACCATTGCCGCGAGCCATGCCGGTTCCAGCGCCATCAGCACTGCCTTGTTAGTCTCTAGCTGCACCAAGTTGTTTCCCATTTTGTTGGTCATCTGGCCGACAGATACAAAGGAGAGCGACTCCTTCGGCTTTGCGTTTCGAGCGACAAACTACGTGGGTTGGGCAGTTCTTCTCAACAATGTCGAAGCGTTGCTGATCTTACTCAACTGTGGATACATTATTGCCACTGCTTTGGCAGTTTCGGGGTTTGTCGCAAGGTGGATCGTGGAAGGCTGGTTCTTGAGCTTCATCGGGCTTGCGCGAGATACTGGTCCGGTGGGGGATATACTGGCTGCCTATCGCCTTGTGGGAGGCTGGCTTAAAGGGAGTTGAGAGAGCAATGAAGATGACGTGTGGAGGAAACTCTATAGGGACTGCCGTGGGACCTGCCTTGGAATTTGTAACATTGTTTTCATTCACTCTTGCGCGTTGTGCAGGAACGAATGCAACAAGTGGAACATCACACTTGGAGACGAATGTGCACCTGTTCATTTCTTGCAAACTCCTGCTCTCTTCCTATCTGACATCGGCCCGAAGTTTAGCCGTTCCGCTAAGTGCACTCCTGGACTGCAGCGAGACAAAATGTCGACACGCGACAAGGCCCTCTTCAAGATTCCTGATTTGCTAAAGAAGAGAACTAAAGCCCAACCTGAGCCCGAGTCCGCCATGGACGAGTCTTCAGGCCGTGGCCATCGGGAGAAAAAACCAAGCGAAAAGCTCAAGGAACAGGTCTCGGCCAAGATTGACCGCATCGAAGACGCGAGACCTGTCGCCCTTCCCACTTACATTGCGCCCAATGACCCCAAATTTCTTCAGGACCAGAAGGAGATCCAAAAGTTCTTTGATCACTCGAAAGTAGCCCCGAACGGCGACAAAACCGACTTCTACACCCTCGGAACACAGTACAGACCCTCCCATCAACCGTAAAGCGGGCGGAATGGCTAACCTTGATGAATAGCGTCGAGAGCAAGGAGAAACGCTACTATATTCGTGCGAAAAGAGATCCTTCCACCTTTTATTTCCACGCCGACGAGCCTCCTCCACGCTACGCTCGCCTCAGCGACGAAAATCATCCCCAATGTGGCGTCGAGAATCTCAAGAATGTCTTTACCAAGGACATGTTGGGCAAAAGTGGGGAGTTTGGTAGCTACACTACAAGGGCCAATGTCTTTGCCCGCGAAGGACAGTTTTTCTTCGAAGCCAAGGTCATCAGCATCGCCCCGCCCGGTCGAGAAGCCCCGGATCGCGCTTTGGCAGAGACTCAGAATGCTGACAGGACGTCAACAAACCGAGGCGGTCTGAGGGTGGGCTTCTGTAGACGTGAACATCATTGGAGCGAGAACCTGGGAGGCAACGCCTACTCATATGCCGTCATCCTGAGGAGCGGGAGGTCAAAAGAGTATGGCAGTGTGCGGTTCAATACCATGATGTACCACATGAAGGGCGAAGGTGCGCAAGATCCCGACGACTTATCCCCTGGGGATGTTGTAGGGCTCATGATCACGCTGCCATCACTGGAGGTACACAAAAAGGTGGTCGAGGGCACTTACATCCCGGCTGAATACCCCGATCTCAAATGTGGTCCAGCTGTTATAAAGAAGAAGGGAGGCGCCGGCAAGAAATCTGTCAAGGGCGGATCGAAGCCCAAGGAGGGCGACGTGGTTAAGAGCAAAGAGGATCCGGTCAAGAAACCACACCATGCTCGAGATGCCATCCGCTCCGCCGTGACTCCCATACTGGGATGCACTGCGCCCTCCGATCACGACATCATCCGCGACCGCAATCCGTTCCTCCACAAAGGCCTGACTTACTTCGAATGTCCAGAGTACACGCCCAACTACGATCTCAGCCGGCCCACGCTGAATACGAAAAACAAGTCCGTCAACCCCGAAACTGGCAAGAAGTACGACCTCCTGACCGAGCCTCATCCTAACCATGACCTCCCGCACCTGCGCACCCTACCTGGCAGCAAGATTGAACTCTGGGTGAATGGTAAATATCGAGGGGTGGTCTGGGAACATCTATTTGCATTCCTGCCGCCTGCTTCTTACATTGAGAAGGGCTCCAGGGCCGTCACCGGAGGGCATGGCGACGTAGACGACGGCTTGCTCGGTTATTACCCCGCGATCAGCCACTACACCGGCGGAGCGATCGAGTGCAAATTTGATGGACCCTGGTGGTATGGGTACGACAAGGACGGCCCTGCACACCCAATGCCCGCCCGATTGGTGAGCGGTATCAAGAACAAATCGTTGAGGACATGGTTAACGACCTCGTGGACGAGATCTACCAGGAGAAGCTCTACGGAGACCGCGATTGGATGAAGAAACGGGTGCTGGATGCGCCAGTCAGCGTTCAGCACAGCTGATGCGGTCTTCGCTTTGATACTGTTGCGGATACTACGTCTGGCGGAGACGATGGGTGACATTGCCATGTCTGGAGAAGTCAACAAACATGGATGTGAGGCGCACATTGTGGTGCACAATGCATATATGGCGACATCTGCCGACCAAATCTGGAAGGAGATGGCACGCTCACGCAAACATCGGGCTGGTGTAACGGAAAGACAAATCATGATTGACAGGGGGTCAGGGAAGGAAAAGTCGATTACAGTGATACCCCATTTCCGCATCTGCCTTCAAGGTTATTAGAAGAGACGAAATAGCAACGGCATGACAAACACATTAACAACAGCCTCTAGGCCACTGTTCGATCTTGTGATTGGTTGCAAACAGTCCCGAGCCCTAAAGGTACGTCTGCAAGGGGTCAGATTATAGAGATTACTGCGTATACGGGCAGCGAAGAGCTGCAGTCAGCACGCTGCTCACTCGTGGCAATGTGCACAGTTCCGGCAGTACGAGACTGCCTTGGTCGGAAGTATGCTGAGGTGCAGACACACGCCGTATAATCCCATGTGGTAATTGTTTCTTTGAGTCTCTGTCCCTTTCCTGCTCTTGTGGAGAACTCCCCCTGCATCCCAGAAACACTGGGCAGCTTCCTCCTGTGTAGCACTGGAATAGGTTGCGCGTCTCCTGAGTCACGGATAGACCAGAACAGCATGATCCGATGTGCATCGGCGCACAAGAGTGGGACGAGGAGTCGCGGCTGACGAGTCTGAGGCTGAGCTGAGGATAGAGGAACTCGCGTAGGGAGGCAACGTTCAAGGTGGACAGAGGCAAGGGGGTGGTGTGTTGGAGGCGGGATGATGGCGACATGAGTGGAGGCCAGAAATAGGATCCTGTGCGAGACGACGTGATACGACTGGCTCGTGCAGAGACTTAGACCCGAAACCCCCTTGCTGAGGCTGCAATGTGGATGCTTGGTCACCGCACCCCCTGCATCCCCCGAATTCGACACTCTGGCCTTATTTAATTCCAGGTGCCTGTTCCATTCTCTTGCCCAACTCGACCTCATCACCAACCTTTTCTCTTCATCTTTCGACTCGACTGAATGAATTTCCTTGGTTAATCTCCCTTTGATGGTTCACTCCACTTTATACTGGCATGGCTCGGCCTGAGCAACCATGAGTCCGCCTTGAGGATACGTGGTCTTTTTGGCCTCACCCGTAATAACAACAACCTAATCCGCCCTCAACCAGCTTGCCATCTACCTTAATCACTCGTCCCCGCCGTTATTCACACTCAAAAGCTCCCCCCATTATACCAGCATGGCAAATCCGACAGATGTTGTCGACCCTGCTTCCCTCACTGTAGCGGGCTACAGTCGCAGCTACCCGACACCACCTCCGTTGTCAGACGACAACAAGGAGGCCAGCCAACCTCCCCAAGACCTCCCCCAAACCCAAAAGAAGAAGAGGAAAGCCTGGGGTCAACCTGTTCCTGAAATCAAACAAATTCTTCCACCACGGAAACGAGCCAAGACAGCGGAGGAAAAGGAACAGCGAAAGAATGAGAGAATCCTCAGGAACCGCAGAGCAGCGGACAAATCTCGACAGCGACAGAAAGCTGCCGTGGCAGAGCTTGAGGCTCGGCAGATCCGTATTGAGAAAGAAAATGCCTCTCTCCGGGAACTCCTCGCTCGCTATCAGTCGAGATTCGGTGTTCAGGCAGACTTCCCTTTGCCAGTCGCCCCCGAACCTGTCAAGATAGAACTTGACGACGACACAGAGGTTGCAACGCCCTCCCAAGACTTCCGTGCATCTTCTATTCAGCCACCCTTTACTCCATCGTCATTCAACGACTGCTCGGATGCCGAGTCCAGTCATCCAACCCTGGTCCACTCGGACGATTCGACCCCTATCAAGCACGAATCGCCGGTCCTCGCTCCTCAGCTCAATCTCATCCACGAACATCCCGAAGGTGAACAGACCACTTCTGACTCGATGGCAGCGCTCACAAGCTTCCCCATCGTCTCCGGTATGACACAATATCCTGCTGTGGTATTGTGTGACCTGCAGTGTCAGCCGGAGACCTGGGCTATCAGCCTGCCAGCCTTCCCATCGAGCCCCAAACACAACCTTGGGATCAGCTACCTCCTTCAGGTCTTCCAGACCTTGACGATATTTCACTCCTTCTCGACGACAACGCTCTTGCCCATGTGCAATCTTTTCCAGATTTTGGCGCAGCGATTGTCAATGACCTCGACGGAACAGGATTTCTCCTCCATCCTGACCAACTTCCCACTAATTCATTCTTTGATTTCGATGCCTTCGACACCGACCAGGCCAGCGGTCTTTCGCATGAAGCTTCTGAGCCGACTACTCGCTTGCAGCCCACACATGGCGCGCCTCTTACTGGCAGCGACAGACCGGGCTTTGCAGCAAGTGGTTAGCGAGGAAGGTTTTGCCGAGGACCCTGACCGTCGGTGGACGTGGTCGAGTCTGATGACGATCAAGTGGGTCATTTTGAGGTTGGAGAGAGAGCATCGGAAAATCCGTCGTCGAGTTTGGATGGATAATAAGGCAGGTGCTGTGGCAGAGAATGGGGGTTTGGAGTTCAAGGTCATGGCCGGCGTCGATTATGGGGCCGTTGCCAGAAACTCACAGCTTTGGCAAGGGGCGAGTTCCAATTGTACGATTACCAGAGAGGATGGCGGGGGCTGGGTGCCAGCACAGGAGGTCCATTGAGATTGATAACGAACTTTCATAGATGAAATCAACCAAAAGCCTTTTACGATGACTCGTACTGAGATCTTGCACATTAAACCTGACGGCAGTAGAGTAGATTTCTTTCCTGAGGGAAGCGTGCATCATCGAAGGGCATGAATCGACGGCTGCGTTTTGACGTCGTCGTTGACAATGTCCTTTGTGGCTGTCTCGTCCTCGGCTGAAAGTAGTCAAGTCTGTCACCGTGCTGACCAATAAGAATCTCCACGCTATATTATCGACTAGTTGAGCACACTTCCAACTCGCGAAGCTTCTTTCGAGTACGAGTTATTAGATAGATGGAGGCTGGAATCGGGTTTTGAGATCTGTCTCCATCCCTTGCGTACAATTACGCTGAATAAGAGTTGCAACTTTTGTTTGTTTGTTTGTTGTTGTTTTGGTTTTGGTTTTTTCTTCTTTCCTGTGCCCTACCGTCAATCCATCATCATCATCATTCTCCTCTTCTTCTTCATTACCTACTGTACCTACTGATCTCAAGTAATGATGAACGATAATAACTGTGACCCAGATTCGTTCCGTCCAGGGGTTCAAGCAGAGGGGGGAGAGAGAGAGACATATCCACAGACCACGAGTCACAAACGAAATAAACGCACAGACCTTGAGAAACCTCGACGTTTATTTATCATTTCGGTTCTGTGGTATCCCTCCATCTAGCCCAACCAACTCAAAGAGGGAACGAACGAACACGCCTACGAACACTCACCCACCCACCCATTTTACCTATTATTACCACCCCTTCTTTCCCGTGAGCAGGGACTATGAGGGGACTATGGCAATGAATCATCAGCGCATCGTCAGGAGGAGACGAGACGAGAGGGAGGTGTGGTTAGGTGGGCACGGTAAGGCTCCTTCTTCTGCGGCTCTGTGGTTGCCTTGGCTGGCTGGCTGGCTGGCTGGCTGGATGGATGGATAGACACACTTCCTCCCCCCACACCGAGCATGTCGACGTTCTTGTGCGACCCTACATGACCAAACCGTTGTCTGTCTATCTGTCTGTCTGTCTGTGTAACCTCTATCCTGGAACAGGACGCTAAGTTAACGTGGCTGGCCTTTAATGGCCATAAATCTCGCAATTCCCAAGGGTAAACATATGGCTTGTCTCGAGGTTGTTGGGTCATCGTAAGAACCGTCATTCTTCCTCCCCCTCCCTCTCCTCCTCCTCCTCCTTCTCTTCCTCGTTTTCCCCCGTTGGTCTGGACTGTCATCCTACGGTTATCATTCTACGGTACACAGTTGGCGGCTGCTATTTGTCCTGGCTAGAAGAGTTTACTTGACTGCAGGTCGACATAAAGCCCCTTCCACACATTACTGCCCAATACGTTGCTCGCTCCAATCTGCAGAGAGAGCAACCGTCGTCGTACCTATCTCAAAATATCACCACCAAATAAAAATGTGCACATACGTCGACTTTCCGATTATTGCTTCGCGATGCACATCACAACCAAAGCACCTGATTTTTCACAGAAAATACTCCCTCTGTGCGCGCCCTCAGAATCGTGGTACGCATCGTCATTGTGATGACGAACCTGCGGAGAAGATGGGGACGGTTTTCGGCTCGTCAAGACAAGACGTCGAGTGTCCTACGTGCAGCAATCCGGAAGAGCGGATTGTCATTGTAAGTTGTCCCCAGGAATTTTCACATCAACGCTGACCACAGTCGATAGGAGTGCCTGAAGTGATGGGATGGGGAGGTTTCCCTTTGGAGGAGATAGGCTTGTCCTCATCATTGGGGCCATTTTTGCGCGCCTTTCTGTCAAGTTCGACAATGTCGAGTTGCAAAAATTTGCCATGCCCATCTTGTGATGAAGGTAGCCGCTGTGGACAAAGTTCTAGCATAGTATGCTACCAGGGCAAAAAATGACCGGAATGTGGTTGGAGCTGAAAGACCTTTAAGTCAACAGAGGACCGACAGCAGAGGATTTGGAGAACAACGATAACTTACCTCCACCAGACTGTTGAGCCTTTTTGTGCTGCATGACCTCAAATAGTGTGAAGTTTGGGTCGCCAAGTAAAGTTCGGCGCTGAATTGCTCTGATTTCCGCGGCAGCCAACCCAACATCCTCATATCCTCCTGTCCAGCACTTGCGCATGACGGGCCCGAGCAACAGATCTTCGGTCTGTGGAAAAACCCCTTTGGCATACAGACTTTGCATCTCCAATTCGTCCTTCCCTTCGTACACTCTTTGAGTTGTAGAAATTTCGTATATCATACAGCCAAGTGAGAAGATCTCGGACTGCACCCAAGGTATACCGGACCACGAAGGGTGTTCGGTACGTTCACTGCCTAGGACAAGGGCTTTCTGGCCATCGAGTGAACTTCCAGCGAAATCACAATATTTGACATTGTCATCCCAGTCGAGGAGGAGGTTGTGCAGGCCAATATCGACTTGGTAGACAGATTTGGAGTGAAAGTACTGCATGCCCTCCGCCGCTTGGGCCGACCACTTCAGAATGTCTTTCACTGCGGGCTTCGCCCCGGAACCTCGCAACTCATGCATTTGGAGGCGGAGTGGGTATTGAAGACGTTCAAGAACGAGCATATCCCTTTCGACTCGGAGCACTTTCACAATGCGAGGATGTTCACCTAGTCGCTCGAAAATCCTGCGTTCGATCTCAAGTTCTCGAGAATTGTTTTCTCCTCCTCCTGGCCACTTGACGACTGAAAATTCATCCACGGCATAGACCATGCCGGAAACTCCGCAATTGATGAAACGGAGACTCCGTCTATCCAGAGGAAGTTGCTTATCATCTCCGGTGGACATTTTCAAGCGGGTTGTCGCTATCAGGAAACAATGGAGAAGAATTGTGAAAAGTGGAAGGGCCGTGTTGTAGTTCAGAGCTTGGTCAGTCGCCCACTGTGAGCAGAGCTAGCGCCTGGGAGCAACGACGCAGAGCTAATACGCAACCTAGTTTCGATTGATATGCACCACAAATAGTACAGACACCGTTTTGCGTCTTGAGCACTTCTCCAGGCCGCAAAATCAGCTGGACCGAAACAGGGGGGCTTCAAATGGGTGAACTGCAACTCAAAGGGGAAGCGAGGCTGCTCTGATCCAGTTCTATCTAACTCAGAAGGACATCTCAGGGCATTGGCGAGAAGTCGAAATCACGCGTAAAGGCTCTGCTTTGTAGATGTGAGAAACTTTACCTTGGGATGCTGGAACTTCTACGCACCCCCTTGCCAAGTTGGCAGCAAGGAGGTGGTACAAGTCAATGTTACACAAGTTTACATACCCTCGATACCCACTTTTTGGGATGTCAAATTATCACAGGGAGAGACGCCGCTGCTTTAGCGCAGGATATTGGTACCCATTAATCGAGACCTATCAGTACAGTTTTGATTCGTAATCTTCATGGCACTTATCTACGACTTTTAATCTCAAGCGTCCTCATCTGGTATTGAGGAGGGAGTTTTGTTTTGTTCACGAAATGGTGGAGGAGGAGTAGAAAGCGCGGAGTATCGAGGCAAGAACACCTCCAAAAGCGGCTACACTGACCGCCAAATTTAGGCGAGAAGTTGGCAGGAACATTTCTGTGTTTCAACCGTAAGACTCGCCGCTTTGTGGGCCGTGTTCTACTAGCTCATGGCTACCGCAGAGCATTTGAACCTCGAGCGCAAATACTTCTCTTGGCAACGCCTCGCGTCGCAGTGCGCAGTTGATTCGGCGGCGCGACGAAAAATGTCCCTCAAGAGTTGCGATCCGTCGCGCCAGTCGCATTGACAAGGAGAGATCAATGTGATCGCGCGACCCCGCGATGCCTCCATTTAGAGATGAGCATGTGCTCGTAAGCTTCCCTGCTGCATCCACAGAGCGGTCTTAGAAAATCATTTTTGCTGACACCCTCGCAGATCATTGCGCCCGGCTCGCAAATCACCGCCGCGCAACTTGGGCTGCCCGAGTCTTTCACGCCCCCGAAATATCGCTTCCCGACGCGCATGTTCCCAGGCGCGAACCCTGGAGAATGGGAACCTGTGAAAATCAGAACGAAGATCACAACGAAGCCAAAAGTCGTCGAGCCCGAGCCCGCGGCCGAGCTCGCTCCTGTGCCTGCGAAGCCGGAACCGATCGACCTCGATGCCCTACCAGAGGTTCCTCTCGCGGATGCTGACGAGCAGAAGACCGAACAAGCAAATGTCGAGCAAATAAATGGCGAACAGGTCAAGTCCGAGGAGAAAACAGATGGCGAAACTCAGAAAACAGAGCAGCCAAATGGAGAAGCACAACCCAAACTGGAAGAATCCGCCGACGAGCAACCCAAAGTCGAAGAGTCGAAAGATGAGCCTGCCCCATCGGCAGATGTTGAGATGAAAGAGGCCCCGCCGGCCGAAGAAACCTCGAAAGAAGAACCATCGAAGCCCGAGACCCAGGATACTGAAATGGTTCCGCCGCCGGAGCAGGAGACCCAACCGTCCCCCCAACCAGAAGGAGAAGCTGCTGCCGACGTCGAAGAGGAAACCATAGAAACCTTTGAGGATGACCACTGGTCCACCGAAGGTGCTGTCTACCCGATCAAAGAAGGGCACATTGAGAATTGGTCTTGTTTTTTCGCCCTCCTTTCGCACATTTACAATATGATCTCACCGCCCTTCCATATGCCGGTGCTCTTCGTCGCACAGCCCTGTTGGAGCGAGAGAGATCACGAAATGATTACCCAATATGTCTTTGAAAATTGGAAGATCCCAGCCTTCTGTCTCATGGATTCGGCGTTAACGGCTTGCTATGCATATGGTGTGCCGACAGCGTTGGTGTTGGATGTCGGGCACGAGAAATGCGATGTTAGTGCGGTCACGGAGTTTCAAGTCAATGAGATCGGAAGGGGCATCGCACTTTCCGGCTGTGGTGGACGCGCGATGACACTGCGGCTGCAGCAGGTGTTAGAGAGTCAGGGGTTCGACGAAGATATGGCTGAGCAACTGAAGAAGAGCCCAATTTGCGAGATTCTGCCCGCTGGCACTCCCTATCCCAAGTCGAACTCCAACAGCACAGCTGTGCCTGCGCCCAATCCAGCAGCCGCAGCATCAACAGGGGCGTTGGACTCTGGGATGAATGCGAAGGATGGTGAGGGACTGAGACCGGGCCAGGCACCTCGAGGCCCAGGGACGGGAACCGTAGTGGGTGAAGAAGGTCCCAATGGTGACGAGGAGGAGAATGAAGGTGTTCTTGACGTCGCGGCCATCGTTGCGCGTGACAATGCCGCCGAGGTGCTCGCGAAGCGTGAACGGGAAAAGGCTGAAAAGGCCGCTGCGAAGAAAGCTGGCGCGGCCGAAGCTGCCAGGCAAGTCCGACTGCGCAATTCGGAACGAGAACGAGCAAGTTTTACGTATGTGGACTTCATCCCCGTCGAGGAGTCTGTGGATGGCGGTCCGCCCTTGAGTCGAAAACGAAAGCGAGAGATTGAAGTTGGCGTGGAACGATTCATGGCGGCGACTCCCCCGCCAGGAGCATGTGAGGGAATCATCGACATCATCGCAGAGGCAATCCATCATACCATTCTGAGCGTTCCCGATGTTCCCCAGCGGGCGACTCTGTGGGACAATATGATTATCCTGGGTAATGGAAGTCGAATCAGAGGTATGTTTGCGTGGAAATTGGGGAGATGCTCTGGTTGTTAACTCTTTTTTGACGACAGGCTTCACGTCGCACCTCTTATCCGTGCTCAATTCACGATATATCTTGTCTCCATCGACCGCCACGATATTCACGTCCGAGCTGCCTTCCAACTTCACGACTCCCGTCGCCACGCCGGGCACCAACACACCGATTCCTGGCCAGGGGAACCACCCCTTCCACCACCCGGGAGGCCACGGCGTCAACCCTTTGCTGGTTGCCGCGACCAAGAACATGATGCAGCCCAACACGCAGTCGCACCACCTTCAAGTTCCCGGCATGAACCCGTCTCTGGGAGGGATGCCGACAGCTCTGGGCGCGTCCGATCCCAACAATCCCATGTCGACGCTGTCCCACCAACACCGAGGGTTCTCGCAATGCCCCATCTCCATCAAACTCGTCAAGCCGCCCGAATATTTCCCCGAGTGGAAGATCCCATCCATGTCGGGCATGGAAGAGGCTGGGTTCCTGGGGGCTCAAGTGGCGGCCAAAGTCATCTTTATTGTGGACCAGGGAAATAGCAAGGGCTTCTTGAGCCGGAGCGAGTACAACGAACTGGGCCCCAGTGGGATCCACGATTGCGCCATGTAGAATTATTCCGCACAAGCCAAAAATAGGGAAGAATATGAGGGGTTTTACATCGGGGGGAAATTGCACGGAGATGGAGCACTTTAGCCAAGGGTAGGGGGTTTCAAAAACGATTCATAGGGGATGGATGGGTTCGTGGCGTTGAGAGTCAGTCGTACATGGTGGACGGACAGACCAGCCATCTTGGTGGCTATTTTGGATTTTGATCGAGAAAGACGGACCCGAATGAGGCTAGACTTGTATGAAGAAGCGGCCCGTCATTGAGATCAAATGTTGACGCTGAACAGGGCGCAGTTTCGCATTATAGATAAGCTGGCAAATGGTCCTCCCGTAACCTACATATTCCATCGACGTGGTGGCTGTCTCCAGCCCAGTGATAATGAGACGCGAGGCTCAAGGAGCCCCCGTTTTCAGAGTCGTTCACTGTGTGGAGGCATTTCCCTATTACTTGCAATATCCCTCATCGACGGGATGGGACGGGACAACACGGTCAGTTTGCGTGGTTTGCTCTTTAACTGGTATACAACCAGAGAGAGCTGACGAAGAACCATCAGCTTGATATGGTTATGCTTTGAGGGGAACACGCACCATGCAGCACGAGACAGAAACATTGCCACGAAAACACGCGGATCCCTCTGATGGGTGTCAGGGACTTGATTCTAGGACGCACGAACAAGCTGATGTGACTACTCCTGGATCTGCCTGCAAACAGGCGCGTCAGGGACGACATGTCCAACGGCAGCTTTCCAGGTTCCACCGACGACCAGGCGTTATGTATTTATGTACGTATGTATTTCTTTCATCAGGGGCCTCATCCCCACGCTCGAGGACCGACCGATCACCACCTCTGCTGGCGCCTGGACGGACTCGCCCGCTCACCGGTAATACCTCCAATGGGGATGCTTCTCCATCAAGCCGTCCTCGTCAAAGTCGATGACGCGATCCGTCGGCGGCGGGCCGGTGAGAGCGTCCCTTCTCCGGTTCTCGCGGACGTTGAGGACCGTCACGACGGCCGAGCCCACGCCCGTGACGCAGGTGCACGCGAACAGGACCCAGAAGCCGGTCTTGTACTCGGGCCCGTCCTTCTGCGGGAACAGGTATCCCGTGGCGACGCCCATGGTCGACCCAAACGCCTGGAACAAGCCCGCGGCGATGGCCTTCTTGATGTCGCCGCAGCAGTTGCCCGTGATGTTGCCGACTGACAGCGTCACGCCGGACAGGATGCCCGTCAGGGTCAGGAAGGTGGCGCCGTAGCGGGCGTGGTTGTACCGGGCCGGCAGCAGCACGAGCATCAGGTCGCCGGCGGCAGCGACGATGGAGTTGACCACCAAAATACCCGAGCACGAGCGGAACCGGTCCGACAGGTAGCCCACGACGAAGACCATGACGAAGGCCACGCAGTACGGCGGCGCCACCATCAGCTGGGCCTTGACCTTGTCGAACCCCATGGTGTTGACGATGATGGGCGTGAACGTCGCGATCGTGTACGTCGAGATCACCTGGCACATGTAGATGGCGATGTTGGCCCACAGACGCCAGTCGCGCAGCTGCCGCCCCACCACGGCCCAGTGCACCGTGCCGTGCGTGCGGTTGCCGTCCTGCATCATGCGCCAGTCCGCCACGTCGCGTTCACGTGGGCTGAGCCAGCGAGTGTTGTGTGGTCGGTCTGGCAGCACCCAGAGGCAGAGGATGCCGAAGGCCACGGTGAGCAGTCCTTCCAGGATGAAGAGGACCTGCCAGTTTTCAATCCGGGAGCTGGTGATGTGCGCCACTCCCCAGGCGATCCAGCCGCCGAAGGCGCCGGCGATGGGGGTGGCGGACAGGTAGATGCAAATGCGCTTGCCCCATTCCTGTATATGTGTTCAGTCTGCATGGTTAAACATCTGTGGTACGAAGAGAGAACTCACTGCTCGAGGATACATCTGCAAGTCGCTGTCAGCATATATACATCTATATGGAAGGTATGATATACGGGGGTTGAAGCGGTAGAGCACTTACTATCGTTGTTAAGTACGGAGCACCCGAAATGAAGGCAGCCTCAAAGATGCCCAGAAAGAATCTGATGGCATACAAACCCGAGGCTCCACCCGCGACTGCCTGGAGTGTAGCCATGATACCCCAGATGATCTATAAGCCAAGTCAGTTCAGACAATCTTCTGCCAGGCCCCCTGGGACATGATCTACCATGGCTCCCGAGAGATAGAGACTTGGCCGGATGTACCGCATTCCGACATTGGTGAACACGTCGGCCACGCAGGTGCCGACGAAGAACATGCTGACGGCGAGGCTGTATTGGGCTCCGGAGAGGTTAAGGTCGGTTTTGATGTTCATCAGAGCCGCGTTGCCTGAGTGCCACCGGTCAGTTTCCGCCAGCACGGACGAAGAGAAGGCGACATTGGAAGCAACGCACCCAAGGCTCCACGGTCAAGCCACGTGAAGATATACAGGATCATGAGGAACGGTGGGAGACGGAGGTCGATCTTCCTCCTGACCCGTTTGACCTCTTCCGGCGTTACGGGAGGGTCGAGGTTGTTCAGTCGTGCGACCAGTTGTTCATGCTCCGAGACCTTCTCGACATGAATGCCCTCCGTGTGGACGGCGATCTCTTTCGACATTGTGATGGGTTCCGGGAGGGTGGTGATGCCTGCCATGATGGGATATGTCCCTGCCCGTCTTTGATGGAGGCGATTTTCTTCTCGAAGACAGAAGTTAGACCCGAGCAACTGGGTCTCTGAATTTCTCACAATCTCGAGGAAAGCAGAATAGAAACCGAGGAGAAGCGTCGGCTCCCATATACTCCATGCACGGATCCCGTCGGTATTTGAAGCATCTCATTCTGGAAATTCCATCTCCCCAACCTCTCTGCCGGATCGGCGTAGATACCGGCGAGCGCATGGGGGTGTTGTCAGGCGTTGGTCTGGAGAGTACAGTCTCGACATTCAGAGGCAGCTTCGCCCATCGCTGTGTGTGAATGGCTGGCGGTACCGTCAACCCGGGTGAAGACCCGCCGGAACAGGAAGAGCGACAAGGACCTTCATGCAGTGCCCTAGGAAATAGCCATCCACAACGATGAAGCAGTTCTCCTCATGCAGGAAATGCATGTTTGATCTCTCCGCACGGTCACAACGAGGGCGGCACTTGGTGGAGCATTGATCTGTGTTTGAGCTGGGGTACGGGGAGGCCAAGGGGGAGGATGCAACTAGCAGGTGCAGGATCCCGGTCGAGTTCTGCTTCGCTTTCCTCTGAAAGCAACTGCTCGAGGGAAACACCTGGCCATGGCATTCACTCTCACACCCGACTTAGCTGATGGCTGGACTTCGATCGGCTCACGTCTCGGAGAGTTCCCTGCAAAGAGGCTTGGTATCCCTCTATCATCATGTCTGCCGAGTTCCCGACGAGACTGTGGTAGGTCATCTGCATCGATCCCCACGCCCAGCAGCAACAATGCGTGAGAATATCGGTGAATGTCCCGGTGCAATGTAAGCCGAATGGTGTGTCTTGGTCTTTGACGACCTGCAGCAGCAAACTCTCTCCTCCCACTCAGCTGGTGAGGGTCACTGACCAATGTCGTGGTGCTTCGTCTCATCACTGCAGGACAAGGGTCGAGATCCAAAAAGCCTCTGACAGGTAAACAAACGGATGCAGCTACTCACTCACCCCCGCAAAATACCAGCCTCTATGGACAAGGTTGCTCTCCACAAACATGGGGGATCAGCCCCTTTTCCCACCCAGCCTCGGTATCTCTCTCACCCCGCGGGGGGAAGAGGGGAGCAACTATATACGAGGTACATTAAATCTCCAAACCGACTCGGCTTCAGGTCGGTGTTTCGTATCGAATGGTTCCGGGTACCCGTGTTGCCGTTCAGCCAAGTTTGTGTGTAATTCTTCGCCTCCTGACGTGGCTGCAATACTGTACCAGTATATATTATCTTATCATAGAGCATCCGCTGACGGGCTTGCTGCCGAACACTGCCTGCGCGTGCGGCAAACTCCGAGATATTTATCTTTCTTGTTCGAGCCTCCCGCTTATCTTCGTTGCGATCCGTCGACGACCACCGGGCCGGAATTAATTTATCGACGGGCCACCTCGTTGACAACCTGGCCAGGACTCTCTTCGCAGTGCAGAGTTTAGTGCTCTTTAGCCCTTGATTCTGCAGTCAACGCCCTTCAAGCGACATCTTATGCTTGAGACTCTTTATATATTCTCCGTACCTTAACACCCGAAACTCCATTTCGAGCTTGTCGGACGGATATACGAGCCTGTTCCTGAGTCCATCAATCCTCTACTCTTTTTTTGACCGTCCACCATGCCTCACGCGACAGATACCGAGTACCACCATATAACGATCAAGCCGCTCGCGCCAACGTTTGCAGCCGAGGTCTCTGGTGTGGATTTCTCGAAGCCAGTCGAAAAAGAGGTATTTGACGAGATCCGTCGAGCCATCGTCGACGTAAGTCCATGACTCTCCCGCGTCATCCGGGTGGCGGCTATTATATCACTGTTGTTGATCGTGGACGACATCTCCCTCTGTAAACTAACACAGCCTTGGCAGTATGGAGTGCTCGTATTCCGCAACGCCGGGCTCGACGATGCACGACACGTCGCCTTCGCTGCCCTCTTCGGCGAACTCGACGACATCAAGCCATATTTGACTCTGGGTCGCAAGAACAGATTTCCCTTCGACGAGCTGTTTGACGTCTCTAATCAGGAGGACGACGGGTCGCTGGTGAAAATAGGAACTCAACGCCATCACATGGGCCTGGTAAGCATTGGAACAGCCTAGGCCTGACCTGGCCCGGCCTTTGTCAATGTCCTATCCAAAAACCATCAGACTTACCTGACTGAACCCTGCAGGGCAATTCGATATTCCACGTGGACTCAAGCTTCAATCCCCGACGTGCCGGCTACAGCCTGCTCCGTGCCCACCAACTGCCACCCCGGGGCCACGGCGGCAACACCGACTTCGCCGACACGCGCACGGCGTATGATGAGCTGCCAGAGGACCTGCGTGCCGACCTGCTTGAGAACGCATACATCGGGGCACACAGCTTGATGCATTCACGCAAGAAGGCGGCGCCCAAGGACAGCCCGTGGCTCAAGGACGTCGACCCGGAGAAATTCCCATTTGGACGGCACGACGTGGTGCAGACGCACCGGCCAAGCGGGCGCCAGAACCTGTACATCGCCAACCACATGCACCACCTGGAGTACAAGACACCCAAGTCGGCTGACTTCGTGGCCACGCCAGCCCAGCCCTTCGAGCGCGTCCCCGAGCCACAGGGCACCGAGCTCATCGAGCGGTTGCTCGCCCACGCCGCGCAGCCCCGGTACGTCGTCAGTGTCGAGTGGGAGAACGAGGGCGACTTGGTCGTGTGGGACAATACCTGCGTCATGCACAAGGCAGGCGAGGGCACCTTCATGGAAAAATACGCCCGCGACATGCGTCGGTGTACCGTGCACGACGGCAGTGTAGACGCATGGGGACACAATGAGAGGACCACCAAGAGGATGGGTCTGCCATGAAGATATATGTCATGCAGAGACTGTCTTGTGTTGTTCGATGTCGAATCTGTGTGTGTATGTATGTATTCCAAACGTGGTTAGCGCCTTCTGTTGAACAGGATCATTGTTCTTCCGTCACACACACTTTTCCGAGTATATAATATATTCACAGGACCGGATTTGATCCTTTATTATATACTCTCGTAGTATTTCCTTCCTGGACACTTACTTGTGGCTTTTCATCAAGGTTGAGTATCCTTGCTCTGGCCTGCCCTGTCCTGGCTTCTCCACTCGGCATCCAGATCAATAGCCGAGCACGAGCGGAAAATACCCGGTTTTGCCAATCCGCTTTCTCACTCAGTGGCACCAGTGGGGCCTCGATTGCAGTACCGAGTAGACCAGCAATGGCGTGTGTCCTCCGCACTCGGCGTGCCAGTCCGTGTGTCCACGAGCACACTGGAATTCGTCCACCAAAGTCTGACGGCGTGAGTGTGAAAGGTCAGAGACAGAGACAGAGAGAGAGAGAGAGAGAGAGAGAGGAAAGGATAGGATAAGAGAGACAAAACGCCGGTCGTCATGTCCCTTCTCGTGGAGACAGTAGGCTCTCGAGGGGCCATTGCGCGGAGCTTCGCATCGGCGTCATCACCGCTGGCCTTGTCAAGGAAGCACGAAACGACCGTGCTGCGAAGGATTGGCGTATCGTCGTCATTGTCGTCCTCAATTTTGTTTCTGGCATCTCCTGCTCCGCGAACACAGCTGAAGAAGCGATATTTCAGCGCCAAGTCAGCTCGGAGAGAACAATTACGTGAAGCCGTCTCCGCGCAGAGGCAGCGGCGAGGCCCTCCAGCCGTCGACAGAAGCGCGTCCAAAGTCTTCAAGAGCGCCGACGATGCCATCGCCGACATCCCCGACGGAACTACCATTCTGAGTGCGGGCTTTGGACTCTGTGGCGTTGCAGGTACGTATTAGTACTACTGTCTGGCTTTGTTTGCTCTTGTCTAGATGTGTCCGATGGAGTAAGCCTTGAGCGGACGCAGAGGCTAATCACCGAGTACCATCTTCTTGCAGAAACCCTGATCGATGCGATCCGGAAAAAAGGAATCCGCGATCTCACCGTCGTCTCCAACAACGCCGGAGCCGGTGAGTACGGACTCGCGAAGCTGACCTCGACGGGCCAGATTTCCCGCATGATCGTGTCGTTCATCGGCAACAACAAATCGCTGGGCAAGCAGTACCACGACGGCCAGGTGGCGATCGAGCTGTGTCCGCAGGGGACGATCGCCGAGCGTCTGCACGCCGGCGGGGCGGGGGTCCCGGCGTTCTTCACGGCGACCGGCGCGCGCACGCTGATCGAGACGGGCGGCATCCCGCACCGCCTGGGCCCCAAGGACCCGCAGACAGGCACGCACGCCGTGGTCGAGCCGGGCCGACCGCGCGAGACGCGCGTCTTCGATGACGGCCGCACGTACCTGCTGGAGACGGCGCTGCGCGGGGACGTGGCCATCGTGCGCGCCTGGAAGGCCGACGAGGCCGGCAACTGCGTCTTCCGCACCACCACCAAGGCCTACGGCGTGCTGATGCCCAAGGCCGCGCGCCTGGCCATCGTCGAGGCCGAGCACATCGTGCCCGTCGGCTCGCTGGACCCGGACCACGTCCACCTCCCGGGCATCTACGTCGACCGCATCTGTCCCGCCACCTCCCCCAAGCACATCGAGAAGCTCGTCCTGGCGAAGACCTCCTCCTCTTCGACTACTAACGAGGAGCAGAGCTCCGAGGACGTCAAGCGTAACCGCATCGCCCGTCGTGCAGCCAAGGAGCTGAAGGACGGGTACTACGTCAACCTGGGCGTCGGGATCCCCACGCTCGCGCCGTCTTTCTTACCCGCCTCGACCAAAGTGTGGCTGCAGTCCGAGAACGGCATCATCGGGATGGGCCCGTACCCTTCGTCGCGCGAGGCCGCGGACCCAGACACGGTCAACGCGGGCAAGGAAGCCGTCACGCTCGTCCCGGGCGCATCCACGTTCGACTCGGCCGAGTCGTTCGGCATGATCCGCGGCGGCCACGTCGACGTGTCGATCCTCGGCGCGCTCCAGGTGTCCGCGCAGGGCGACCTGGCCAACTACATCATCCCGGGCAAGGCGTTCAACGGCATGGGCGGCGCCATGGACCTGGTCAGCAACCCGGACAAGACCAAAATCATCGTCTGCACGTACCACACCGACAAGGACGGCCGGAGCAAGATCCTCGACGAGTGCGAGCTGCCCCTGACGGGCAAGGGCGTCGTGAGCATGATCATCACCGAGTTGGCCGTCTTTGAGGTCGATCGCGTTGGGGGCACGGGTCTGACTCTGACGGAGACCGCTGAGGGCGTCACGGTGGATATGGTCCGAGAGAACACGAGGGCGAAGTTCACGGTGGCGGAGAATTTGGGCACGATGGAATGAGAAATGCGCGGGTGGTGAAAAGTGGCATATATACTGCGGCTAGAACATTGGATAGATTGTCTCAGGAGCATATAGACACACGTGTCCGTCGTCTACTTTGCTTGGATAGTTGCCCTTCGTGTTGGTATAGATAAGTGACCGGGTACGATCGACTACAGTGCAGATTATTTCGTCATCTCCCAATGTCCTTACCATCCGCAGCTTGATTGATCTCTCAGAGCGCGTCGATTCTTCCCAGCAGCCACTGGAGGTGACGATAGGAGCTCCGGGGCTGGAATTGAGGCTGCATGTGCCCACTGAGATACGTCTCGGCCCACATCAACCCGCGCTCGAAGTGCTGCACGCCCATTACTCCCTGATGAAAGTCCAATCCCTCGAAGCCGCTGTCGATGAAAACCTGCTCATATTGAACGTCCGGGATATTGATGACGATGGGCTGGGAAGGCGCCGTCTGAAAGCCCAGCTTGCCGTTCCACGTCATGTTCTGGATCGCCAGCATGGTCCCGTTCAGGAGCAGGTCCATGTCCAGTGCACCATTGGACCTAAATATAAGTTAGCTCATGTATGGCCCACCCGATGGAAGCAATCTAGGAAACGCCAGGAACGTACACCAGGACACGATTTGTTGCCTCGATGACTCTAGGGAGCACAGCCTGAATCGGGTCCAGACTCAGATCTCCCAGGTCTTCTGGTCCGCCCTCACCAACGAAGACTGGTCCGGTGCATAGCGCCCAATCAGTGTCTACAGGCACATGCAAGGCCTTCTTCACGTCGGTGCGGTTGAAATATGGAGGTAGTCCAGGATATGAATAGATCAGGTCGCTGGGGAATCCCAGAGGGTCGGACAGCAAAGGGCACTGCAGGTTCGGCTCGTAGACATTGAAACACGGGTTGACGCTATAGGCGCTGTCATAAACCAGGTCCCAGAGATCGCAGTCAGGGTCCGCTGTCGAATTCAGATGCAGAGGTGGCTGTGTGCCGTTCGGCGGGAATTGTAGAAAGGTCTCGCGATACACCGAGTACCCACAGCTCTGGTCGCGCTGGGCGAGATAATCAACGAATGTGTTGTTGAACCCCAAAATGTTGTTGTTCTGTTGGATATAGGGATATGTCGTGATGGCGTTAAGGTAATCATAGGAACCGATGCACGGGTCGTAAACTAAGGCGCCTAAGGTAAATTGTCAACATTGCGCCAAATCTGACGAGAAGCCACACGACGGCCCGTACCCGAAAGATTAAAATGCGTCGTATCGTTCTGATCAAGCATTGCATTTGCGACATAGGGTACGTATCGTCCTGCGTAGCTTTCGCCCGTGACGTAGATCTTGTAGTCGCTGATGTTGAAGATTGTCTAGGTGTGCTCAGTTTGTATAACCAGTGAAGATTAAGATAGGTTTGAACTTACTTGGAAATTACGGAAAAACTCAATGAACTCAGCAGCAGGCTCTTCCTCGTTCGTGGCCGTTGGCTCGCCTCGTGAGAATCCCACACCGATTGGATATTCGACCCAAAGCATATTTGTCAAGTTCACCCACGAGTAAGGGTTGATTCCTGGCGAGTACCTGCTTTGGTTAGCATCAACGACCAAACCGGCAGAGGACAGTGTTTTGGGAAGCTCAGGAATGTCGCTTAAGCTTTCCCGGGTACGTACTGTCCCCATGACCATTGAATGCGGCCATTCTCTTGAAGAAACCCTTCAAGAGAGCTGCAACCTATAATGCCATTCAGTGAAGCCTCCTTCGAAGCACACCAATAGTCTTACCTGGGCCGCCGTTGAACCAGATAGTGATCTCCTCGACTGGCGGACCGACACGAGGTTGGAACACGAAGAACATGCCACGGCTGTCGTCGGACATGTTCAGCGGTATCACACCCGAGTACATCTCGGTCATGAAGGTACTTGGGATGTCGGGCAGTGACTCGACGTAATATTCTTCGTCGCGCCATCGTCAATCAATCATACTTGTGGAGTGAGATAATAGGTGAGCCAGGAGCTTGAGACTCACTCTCAGTTGCATTCGTGTAGTACAGTCGTTTCGCTGGCGGGGTATCCCTGCCATAGAGGGACCTCGCTTGCATATCCTCCAGCGCCCTGGGATGAAAACCCCGGTTGTGAGAAACATCACGGCGATGGGCAGAAACGGCAGACAGCAGGAAGCTGCCTACCACCAGAAGGATACCACAGCGCTTGAACATCATGTGGTGGAAGTGAGACAAAAGTGAGCTTGAGTGAGAGTTGACGTCGGAGTAAAGGTGCAGCATCGACGCACATATGAACTCCAGCAAACGAGAGATGTCATCATAGTAGAATCCTACCCTGTCAGGAGATGTTGTGTACCACAAACTTGTGAGAGTAGCGGATGCTTAGAGAAACTCTGATGATTAGGATAGGCTCTCACGTCGGTCCATCCAATGACGAGGCACCACTATTCAGATAAAAGGCCCAGACCTTTCGCAAGGCATCGGTAAGTGACGCATTGTATTGGCCGTTAGGTTTCGGCTACGATATTCTTGAGTTCGGCCGTTCGGCGATGCTTGTTGAAGCTTCGAACTACCTTCGCCAGATCTTGGCAGCGGATGAGTGAGCCCTTTATGTGCCGGTCTATTCTTATTGCATCGAGCTGTCGTCTGGAGCTCCGCAGCGGGCTCCCTGAGCTTGACCAGGAGCAGGCGGAGAAGAACAATGCAGAAGGCCTAGCGACAGTCCATTGGCGGGATAACAGGTTCGATAGGCGAAGTGCGGAGCATATCGCATCCTATACGCCAAGATGGACCGGCAACTCATGGATGTTGCTGCATACTAAGAGAATGAAGTAGCATTCAATCTCTAAATATGACAAGGGCCGGAGCAGAGTGTCCTTGGCTACCCACAGGGAGGAAGGAAGTCGCACGAGGACGATAAGGAACGCGCGGGATGAGAACCTGAAATTTGCCACAAGGCAGGTATCTCGATCGTCTCAGCATAATACATCACCCGATTTTCAACAGGCCTCGACACGTCCAAGAGTTTGAAGGTCCAAAAGGACGTCATATTTCGTGGGGAAGGCATTGAGATAACCATGGCAACTCGTTCAAGCGGTACCTGACCCAAGTCGAGATCTGGGTGCTTTATTGAGCTCATCGAAGTACCCCACGGGTCGAGGGGTACACATCCCTGTCTTATCAGCAAGACTTACCTAGTAATAAGCAAGCTAAATGGGCAGAGCAAGTTTAGGTGACATTGAAAACGGTGGGTGGCCGGATGACGGTGGATTTTGTGTTCAGTCATGTGACTGTGCAGATGAATCATGCTGTCTTGGCAAGTTTGGCTCTTTTGAGTCAAGAATGTCTGGACGCTCAGCCTTGCCCGAGCCTTGCCTTGTCTCTCAAGTTTCCGCGCTGCACTTTTCCCTTTCAAGTCTTCATCTAATACCCTCCTGGCGCCGTTACGCCGAGCTGCGAACCGTCCTGACCGCATCGGACCACCGTGGAGGCGTCGTCTGACCCTATCAGTAGAAAGCTGAGGATGCAACAGCGGCATCGTGTCTTCGTCCCAAAACCATCCCAGGTAAGCGGTGCCTCACCCGTCACTTCCCATCCTTTCAATCAGTGTGGTTTGATACCACGTCTCGCTATTTCAGATTGTTTCCTGTTTGTTCAGGTAGACAATCTCGAAAGTGATTTGAAACAGTTGCTGGATTAAATTTATCCAATCCAGCGTTTTCTCCATGCACCGCTGTGGACAAGCCCGACTTAGTCTGGAGGACGGTCATGCGAGGCTCGGTGATCTGGTGTAGGAAAGAGGAACGCTCCAACTGCAATGATGAAATAGCAGGCACAAAGCAAACTTCCTTCCAAAAAGTTTGACTTGCCATAGAGAATGAGCACGTTCACCAAGAACGTTGTCGCGAAAAGGGCCACTGTCTCGTAGATACCAAAATACATAGTCATGTCTCTGTTCAGAGCCCAGCCGGCGATGACGACTAGAGGAGTCACGAACAAAGAGATCTGGACAGATGAACCCACTGAAACGCCGATGGCAAGGTCGAACTTGCCTTTCTGCACATATCAGTTAGCCTCTTTCAACCACATCAGCGTCATCCTCAAGCCTGCTCTTTGGTCGCATCAGACTTTCAAAGGTGGAGAGGGGTCTTACGGTGGCAACCGCGGTCGCGGTGATGAGCTCCGCACAATTGCCGGCAACAGGGAGTATGATGAGCCCGATGAATATTTCCGAGAACGGCCCAGATTCGACGATAACGTCAAGGGTGTCCACAAGGAACTCGGCGCAGACGGCCACCAGCAAGGACGATACCACAAGAAGTAAGCTGGATGCCAGTTTCCCAATAACCAAGGGCGAATCCTCAAGTTGCTCAATATCACTGGGACTGTCGACGTTCGGAACCGAGTTTCCCAACAGAAGCCGTGGCAAACTGGATGTTGAGCCTCCATAGGACGAGCGGTACGACCGTACGGGCTGCGAGCCAGCAGGACTCATATGTCGCTGAGTCGAAGTGCCAGAGTCCGATCTTTGTCTGCCAGAAGGAAGTTGGTAGATAGAGCTTCTTGGTTTCCGTCGCTTATCAGAAGAGGTTTTCCAAACCTGTCCCTGTGTCTGGGTATTCTCATCCTCGTCAAATCCTCCGAAGTTGAGAGGGGCATTGGCGTCGTCCGAGTCCAGCTGAGAATGTCCGGAATCGTCCAATGCCGACATCTCCAGGCTATCTTTCCGGGAGGGGGATTTTGTCGTATGGCCTCGGGCCGCTTCTTCGTCTTGGAACCGAATCGAACGCGGGAATAGCAATGGGCCGGAGCCATAGGCGTCACCACTCGTCCTTACAGAGCCATTCATGCCATCCGAGTCCATAACACGGATAGCTGGTCTATTGACAACAGTCTTCTTGATCTGGAGGAAGATATAGAGCAGGTATATCGGTAACAAGGTCAACGACGACGCTCGACTCAACGTCAGCACGGCTCCTCCTGCAGACTTGAGGTCGTCAAACGAGTGAACAAGGGCGCTCTACAGATACATCAGCAGGTTACAGCACCAAGCACTTCGTGGGTGCTTACAGGTATGAGCAAGCTGAACACCGACACACTGAGGAGACAGGCGAGGGCTTGGGCATCTTCTTTTCTGTGAGACTGCTCTTGATGACAAAAACTCCCAGCCAAAATCGCGATGCCCAAGATGAGCAGCAGGTTCACTAGAATCGAGCCTAAAAGAGAGGCTTGCACCACCTCAAATTGCTTGTGATAAAGAGCGGTGCTTGAGTCATCAGTCAGACATATTGGGAGAGTGGAAGCGGCTCGGGTCATACAGACTGGCAAAATGTTAGTTGTGGAATTTCTCTGATGGTAAAGAGGGGGATGTAACTCACAAGATCACGATCTCGACCAGATTCCCAAACGTCACGTTGAGCAGAGCGCCGACGACGTCGCCGGACTCTCTCGCGATGTTTTCCGTCGCGCAGGTCAGCAAGCTCGAGAGCGGCACCACGGCGATGACATTGGCGGTGAAAACGAGAACGTGGTTGGCTCGAGCCAAGTAGCTGGCGATGGCCAACGGCACGAAAACCAGCAGGCTATTGAGCCACGAGTATCCCAAGATGGCCCGGAACGTACTCAAAAGCTCGGTGAGGGCTTGGGAGAAGCAGTTACGCTTCGCCCCGCGAGGGTCTGAGTATTCCGACGAGTCGCGAAAGCGTCGGCCAATGGTGCCGCCATGGCCAGATGAGCGGTGAAGAAAGCGAGGCAACCTTCCTGGAGGTTTCGTGTCAACAGAAATGTCCCCTGCGATCCCAAAGGTTTAACACTAAAAAGACATACTCAAAACACTCGAAATAGAACTGGAACTAGACACTGGATCAGAACAGATCTATAGGTCTCCAGTTGGATAAGCAGGGTTTACCTCGGAACTAGGCGGGTAGCTTCACAGGCGTCGTCCTCGCCTTCGCCTTCGTCGTGGATTTCTGAATCTTCTTCTTCCGGGATGATGCTGCCATCGAAGGAGCACCGTCCGTCTGCAGTCATTCCCTCGAAAAGGCTGCTGCACACGCGGCCCGCCCCAAAGAAAAGAGAGAGAGGGTTAATAGGGAAAGGATAGGACTAACAAGAGATCAACAAGTTGCGAATTGTCGGGCTGATATCGAGCCAAGAGGTGGAGGGAGTCAGTGCTCTGTTCCGTCTTGCCGGACACTCATCCCACGCCCTATGCAAATGAGCGGAGTTGACTTCGGGGCAGCTCGCAATTGGTGGCTCCGAAGGCTTCTCCCCTCAGCAGCGATGATCGCGCCGACCCTAGTTAAGGGCTGTTTTGTTTTCCCCCTGCGCACAATTGTCGAGCTTCAATATATTGATATACCAGGGGCTTGCCGTGCTTGGTCCTCCTGACATAGCCTACAATGCTCCGGCAATCTCATATGAGGCATTTTTGCGGCTGAGTCTTGGGGAGGAGTCTGACTGTTCGGATCCCTTTGGCTGGTGTTCTCTGTCACCCCGTCTTCCCGGGGGTGTCCCATACCTACCCGTGGAGCCACTTCTACGCTCGCCTGTGAGATGACTTTTAGATGACATACTGACCCCGACGTCAGTATGCCTGGTCTATTATTGCGGTAGATGTTCTCTGGCAATCTTTGAATGCCAACTGCATACAAGCTCTAGGGGCAGAATGATGCCCTGACTCATCTCCCGACCTTTTCGGGGGCTTTCTGGGGTCGATGTAAAATGAACGATCTCTAGAGATTCTTGACAATTCATTCTCCCGAAAAATAAAATGCCGGCTAGTGCCCGGGCCTCGCTTGGTTACGCGAACTTATTAACGGGACCCCCCCTGGGCCAGGGGCTTGATGAACCTTTGAACAACTTCGTCCTAGTGGCCCCGGCTACAAGCTGTGTAACTCCTTCGGGCGGGAAGGTCTGCTAGTTGGTCCGGGTGTGAAGACTCTTATATTTGTCTCGTAAGAATCTTCTGCTGCCCGACTTTCCCTAAAAAAAGGCTGGCTTTGACAAATGTTCAATTGAATCATCCTCTGTACGAAGAGCCTCGAGGGTTGCTGATGTATTTCGTTATCAAAGGCCTTTGGGACCTCCATATCTCAACTCCATCACTATCTACACCCTGTAGACGTCTGATTCAGAAGCCTCGGACCGACGACGAGGCCGGAGCTGGTAATTAGCCTCGAGGTTTGCCGCCTCCACGCTGATGTGAAACGTCGAAGCTAGATAAGATGCGTACCGATGGCGGTACGCGTCAACGATCTGGTCAATAGGTCGAGATGGCGCAGACGGTGCGGACGGTGCAGACGTGACTGATGGAGTGTGTCATATCAGCAGCTGATCAAGCTCCCGCAAGGTAAATACAGCCTTCACTGACCTGTGATCTTCGAGACGGTGGCCATGGGCTTCGTGGTTGATGGTTCCCAGATGGTTCTTGACTGAATTCCCTGGGTAGTATTTGAGGCCATTGAAGTGAATGTTCTGGAGAGGACGGTAGCAAGCCGCCGTTAGCGGTGCTGTTCTCACTTCGAGGGATTTTGCACTTGAGGGCCTGACGCGAGCCTCCGGTGTCGTGGGGTATCTTTGCAAGCAGTAGTCCTCAAACTGAAGTCGTGACTAGCAGAACTCTTCTCGCGTACCGGATCGTTTCTTCAAAACACCAAAAGACAAAGCACAGCGACTGCAGCCAACACAAGAGGACACACAAAGTAGGACAGGGCAATGGTGAGAATCAAGGCCATTTGTATAAGTATTGCACTCGTATCCCCTCCTTCATGAGAATCGGGGCTATGATGACCTATTACACCTGCGAACGCTTTATTTATATGAGTGAATTTTCGACCCAGCAGAGTTCCCGCTTCCCTGATTTCCTGTCCGGCAGGTCGCAGAGCAAATGCACATGCGCAGGTACTTTTGTATGAGCCATTTATTGAAAGTGGATGATCTCAATGGACTTGTCGGTCACGAATCCAATTCACAAGCACATGCATGAAGCGGCTGTCTCGACATGGACAGTGGTGCTTGTCGGGCGGAAGTAGCAGGCCCACATGTAGATATACCTTGCCTGGGGTATGCGCCATGTCCGGCCAATCAAGACACACCCGTAAATGGGATGAGATTAGGAAACTGGAGAAGGTCGAGGCAGGAAGGATTGAGGCGCAGTCAGCCAAAAAGGTAGAGCCAAGGATGATCGAATCAGAAATCGCTCATTCTCATCAGATACTGCCTGGCTGGTTTGGTTAGCGGCCAAGGGCAGGTGTGATAGAGCTATCGGCAAATGCATTGGCCCAGTGACCGAGTAGAGCTTGCACATGATGCCATTTGTCGATGGCATTAACTCTCAGGCGCAGGTGCTGTTGGGAAATCTGAGAGTGTCTGCTAGTATGTTGTAATCTTAGATTTGAGTGAGCAGGGAGTCCTATATGGAAAAGCTCAGTTCTATGTTAGGTGAAACATTTCGGCACCATCGACCTGTCTTGACATAACCGTATGCACTCGGTCCTGCAGAATTCATGTGCAGATGATTTAGGAAGCCAGAGCCACCTTCCATTCCGGTGCTTCGACATCCTCTCTTCCCGTCATGAAACGAAGGCTGTTTAGTAAGATTGTCCGCACAACCTCGACTTCGTCTGTGTCCCGTGGCCCGTATATCAGAATGTACGTGCTGGCGATGTGGGCTTTCTCGAAATTCACCACGGCCGTCCTTGGTTTTGACAATCGATGACGCTCGCCCCAGCCTTTCTCGATCACGTGTCGAGCATCAGCCGGAGAAAGATAGAGATGGATTGAGTACTAAGCAGATCCAAGATTAGTGTCATCAAAGCGAGGGTTCAGGAACTGCGACATCGAGGTCCCCTAACTTCCAGGAGAACTTGGAACTTACATCAGGGTGGACATGTCCACATTCTCCACGGGCAGTGTAAGCCGTTTGGGACGGTTTAGGAGCCGCTGGGTCCTCGTTGGCGAGAACGTCGGGGCGAACGAAAAGCGCCGAGTTGTGCTTCTCGTACAGAGACCGGCGTTCTTCGATCAGACGGCTGTTCTGGATGACGGCATTCCGAAACAAGTTCGTGATGTACTAGAATCCAATCGTGAGTGCCTGACGACGGCGCCATTCCAGTCTAAGGTCGTCTCATACCGGCTTCATTTCGTCAGGTGGATGCTGTGAGAGCTGGCGATGAGGGACGACTCCACCGACGTCTGCGCGCGCACCCTTCCTGTTGGGCAAATTCTTGATGTCTTCGTGTGCACCTTCGGTTGGGTAGTCTGAGACCTGGGTTGCGCCGCGCTTGGAAAGAGCAAAAAGTCGTAGCATGCTCACGACAGCCCAGCCCATGACATTGTATGGAGCTCCGCCAGGACCAAGAGCCAGGAAAGCATGGTAGTCTCGAATGCACCAGACAAGGGCGCCCAATGCTGCGGTCGATGCTCCAGTCACGACCGCGACCTGGACGGCGCGTTCTCGCGGCGGAAGGCGAGGAAGACGCTTGAGGTAATCCATTGGAATTTCAGCAGTCCGTTGATGCTTCTTGGTGATGTAGATGTGTACCAGCGTCTCAAATTCGATGACTGTGAGATCCAAAAGACATAAGCTGTGGTTGCGTCAAAGGACTCGCTTTGAGGTTCCTTGGGCGCCGTGAAGCTCGGTGGTTCGCTACTCGGCTCGGCCTTATGTTACGTGTCCCGGAGATGCGATCCTTGCTGACCATCGCTTCTGTATACGTTGGAGCCCCTCATTGCTCACCGAATAATCGGTATCGAAGCGGAACAACAGACTGTCCGTTTCAAACCCATTGATACATAATGCGGGCCTCGTGGTGTTTGAACAGCTCTTGCTTGCTGCCCCCGGAGGCTCGGTCTTGCGTCGGCCGAGATGGTCCGGCACAGATATTGAACGTTTCTGGGCAGCTTGGGGCCAGAATCTCTCAATCTCTCTTGTTTATAGGCAGCCAATGGAGCCTCTGGGGTATGATCTACAGAGGCTGAACTGATCTCTTTCCTTGCAACCGCAGCTGAACTTAGAGACGCGGCTACTCTGAGGATTTCGCCCTTATGATTGCTCATACACTGAAGCAATAGCGCTTCTTGCTACCCACGCACCCAGCAGATGATCGCCTCGCCTCTGCCCTCCCGATGTGAGAAAAGGCAAACATGGGCTACGAGTTCGTGGCAGACCGTCGTCTCGAGTCGAGAATGGGGGACCAGAAATGGCGGGAACGGGCACCCGAAGAACGCCAATTGGTCTAAGGAGGAGAAGAACCCTACGGTAGCAGGGAGAACAAGCCTCTTTAGGCAGGCGATCTGGACGGCTTCCACAACGGTTTTCCAGCTTAGCCGTGGGCTCCACATCGACCAGCTAAACCGCCCTCTCCAGCTTGTTCATACTTGCTAAATACAGGCTATCGAGCATCCACCTCGACGTTGCCCAGATCTTTGTGGATACTCAGCCGTGAAATGGCTGAGGTCAATGTCGATGCTAACACTTGCTCTTTCAGTCAGCCTTTGGTATCTCAGCCGGCCCATCAAGCCCAGGTGTCTGAAAGAATCGGCAGTCTCGTGCCCATCCGCAAGGATACACACTCCCAGCAGCACGGAAGAGAACCAACGATGAAGCCATGATTCGATCGCGTTCTCCTAGTTCCATGCTCGGCTACAGCACCTGTGCCCCGCCAACTGGTTCAGCCCAAGCAGAGCCGTCGACTTGTCGCTTCGTTGGCAAGGTATGTCTGCGCGGAAATGGCGGCATGCAAAGGAGAAAATGTACACCACGTTGACTTCGGCTGGTCGAGCTGTCGTCCTTATCTGAGGCTGCGGGCTGAGCGAGAGTTCAGGTCGCCCGGTCTGGACACCGGGGCTATGGCATTCTTTTCCTCTACTTATCAGTCCAGCGCTGCCCGCAGAGATATGTCAGTCAATCTCTATTCTCGATCACGTCTGAAGACCTTGCACAGCCGATATGGATTTCACAGAGCAAGCGAGAACGGTGAGCTGCTTTGAAACTCGGAAGGCAGCAGTACAGCCAATCGTCATACGCGTTCATCCGACGGACTCAAGATCGAGTTTGGACACTTCTGAGCCGGATACGAAGGACTTGCACGTAAGCGCAACGCGAACGAGGATAATTGTGATTGGGTGGAGGGAGCTTACAACGCTGTAGTGTGCCCAGCCAGCCTGCTCGTCAACCAGTTTCCAGTCGTCAACAGAGTATCTTCCACGACACCCTCTGCATCACGATGTCTATCAGCCGCCGACGGCGAAAGCCTGGTCGAAGCTCGCCGAGGGTGTGAGACTTGCATACGTACGAAGCCGAGTTACGTTGGAGCTACGGGAACACGAGCAGAAACCGATCTCGATTGCAGGCAAATTCCATCACTGCTATATCTACCCGCTGGACAACCGGAGTGGAAAGAACGAGCGCATATTGCTGGGACGCTGGGCTCCAAAGCTCCAAGTCCGGGACGGCCGTGGGATAAGGCGGTCTGTTATTCAGGCAGCGTCGCACAACTATGCTGGCCTCTACCGTCTCACCGACGACGCGGAAGAATTGCACCGTTTGGCCCTGGACAAGTTGCCCGTCGCCGACGCAAGCGCTCTCCAATATCTCGAACCAGCCATGCACGATGGCTTTGCCAAGTTCTTCTCCACTGACTTTTGCTACACCACCAGCACGGGATACGGTTCCAATGTCCTGGCCTTCTCGGCCATCCTGAATGAGGACTGGCTCGTCCTGTTCGACGACAAGTGCCATAACTCGATGCACGTTGCCGCCTATCTTAGCCACGCGGGGCTCGTCAAGAAATTCCCGCACGGCGATTTTGAGAAAATGGACGCAATCCTTGCGGAATATAAGGACAAATTTGCGAACATCCTGGTTGCGATCGAGGGGCTTTACAGGTCAGTGATCCCTTCAGTTATCGTGTCTCGTTCTTGAATCCGGCCTCTGACCGAAAAGTAAAACAGCATGGACGGCACCGTGCCCGATCTCGACGCGCTTGCACGCCTCAAACAGAAATACCAGTTCACTCTGCTCGCCGACGAAGCTCACTCATTAATGTGTCTGGGACGCACGGGTTGGGGTTGTATCGAGGTCTGGAATGAACAACACCTTGACCAGCCCGTCCCGACCGACCTCTTCGACCTCCGCACTGGGACGTTGTCCAAGTCAGTCGGGGCGATTGGCGGCGTTGTATGTGGCAAGTCTCGGTTTGCTTCTGCGGTTCTGAAGCGCCGTGACGAGATGCTCGCCTCCGGGGCTGATCCTGTGCCGACCTCATCCATGATCCAGACGTTGAATGTCCTAGGCCAGGTGACGCTGTTGCAACGCCATCTTCGGAGACTGGTGGCGATGGCGACCTTCGTGCGCGAAGAACTGCACCGGGCCGGAGTTCATGTCTACGGCAACGCCATCTCGCCCATTTTGCCGGTATACGCAGGCCGGCCCAGCATGGCGGCCAAAATGTCGTATGCCCTGCGCCAGGTCGGACTGCTCGCGACGCCCGTGTCGACGCCGGCGGTGCCGTTCTGGGAGTCTCGCGTGCGGATCTGTCTTTCTGCGGATCACGACAATGCCACGGTAGACGCTCTTATCGTGGCGATCGTGAAGGCTGCGCAAAACATCGGGTTGATTGGCAACGCTACGTTCGCTCCCAAACCCTTCACCTATCTTGACGAGATGCCCACTGCGCAGGAAGAGACCGAGGCGCGGCGCACAGCCGAGTATATTCGACACGTCATCGAGCAAGACATGGCGAAGAGCACCGGGACTCTCTGCGACGGCACCATTCTAGACGCTGGCCACGCAGCACGCAGCCAATACGGGCTTGGGTCTGGCGGTGCGCGCTGGGTCACCGGCACTTCGGAGCTGCACATCGAAGTTGAGAAGCTCGCCTCTAGGCTCACAGGGACCCCAGAGGCCATGACTTACCCGGACTCGTTCATCGGCCTGATGTCGACGGTCGCAGCTCTCAGTCGGCCGGTGCTAGGGTACAAGAAGCACGTTTTCCTCGTGCCGGCATCAGCGCCCCAGGCCGTCTGGGATGGATTCCGCGTCGCGTCCAAGAATGGAGCTCCCAGGGTCCAGCGGTACAGTGACACCGCCGATGCACTCCTCGAGCACGTCCGCTCCTGCGGCCAAGCCACGTATATCACATTGTTCGTCGACTCTGCAAAAATCCAGGGTCGCCACGACGACGGTATGACCAACCTGCGCAGTCTGCTGGAGACGGTTCAACGCGCTCGCGGCCCGTCGGGCATGACGATTCTGGTGCACGACGCCGCCGGGGTTGGAAGCCTATGGAATGACAGAGCCCAAAGCCATGCTCTCTTTGCGAAGACGAGTACGGGTACAACGACACCGAAGCCCGAGTTCCGGGACCACCACCTCCTCGTCTACGGCTCCTTCTACGCCGTCTTTGGCCTCCCCGGTGCATACCTCGCGGGCTCCTCGGTCCTTCTCAAGGAGCTGAGGTACACGAGTCGCGGCTACATGTTCACGACGTCGCAACAGCCGTTCGTCATGGGCATGGTCGGGGCAGAGCTGCGGCGGATGATGAAGATGGACGGTGGTGTTTAGACGGTATAAAAAGAGGAGCGTTTTCTGTTTGAATGAAGTTATGGTGTAATATGGGAGGGAGGCTTGAAAAGAAGGACGAGCGATCATGGGACATGGGGTTGGCATTTTGAGCCCTTTTTTGTTCAATGTCGAACTGTTCTAGTTAGAACGAACGAGGCCGCATACCAAACAGCAGAGGAGGGAGTTGGATATCCCTTGGGGTCAGAAACAAAAAAGGAATTAAGAATGCGCATGACTACGCCGAGTCAATCACTTGTTCCCCCTTCAGGCCGGCGGTATATCGCCCCACGGGTTCGTGGGCGTGAACTGCCCCTCGACCACGCACGTACGCGGCAGATCCGAGGGCAATTTATTCCTCCAGGCCCAACTCTCCGACGGGCCCGCGGTGTGATACTCGGGACCAACGTCGCGCAGGCCCGTCGCGACGTCCTTGCCGAACATGACGCGCTCGAAGACGCGGTACACCGCCTCGGGGGCGTACGCACTCACGGCGTGGCCGGCGTCCAGGATGCGCGAGAACGACAGCGCGCCGAACTGCTTGACTACACCTTGTTTCGCGCCGGGGCTCGAAATGCCCTGGATGGGCTCGTAGCCGGCCGTGGCGGCGAAGGCGGCCTGGTGCGCCCATCGTGCGGCGTGGGCGGTCATTTCGCCCCCGGTCCAGGGGCAGCGGTAGTCGCGGTCGCCGAAGACGAAGGACACCTTGACGCCGTGGGCCAGTGCGTATTCGATGTTACCTAGTCCGGCTTGTCGGAATGAGTCGCCCGTCCCGATGAACTGGTAGGGCGTCGGCAGCCCGTACGCGCCAGTGATCAGTTCCGAGTCGTAGGTGAAGTTCATCCCGACGCCGAGGGATGCCTGGACGGCTGGGAGGTTGAGGTATTTGGTCACGGCGAGGTCGTAGGGGCACGGATCGGGCGCCAGCACGGCGACGTCGAAGTCGCTTCGCTGGAGATATCATCATTATTGTTAGCGAATTTGATCTTGTGTGTTGTTTGAATTGGTGGGGAGTATTTCAGGTATATAGCTCACATTGTTCAACGCGTCAAAGGCGCTCATGATCCCGAAGCAGAGCTCGGTCGCTTGCATGCAGGCTTCGTTGACGGTCTGGTTGTTCCCGTTGAATTGCGGGTCGCCCATTTGGCCCAGGGCGCGACAGGTCTTCATGAGGTCCATGCAGCCCTGGGGCTTTGTGATGTTGTCCATGGCCTCCTTGTAGACGCCTTCGGGGATGAAGTGGACGTCGTAGGTGTTGTTGTACGCGAACTGGGGGTAGCCCTGCATGGAGTATTCAAAGTCGATGCATCCATTCGTGATCCCCAGGGTATCGAGCGTCAAGTTTTTGGCAGTCAGGGGGTGTGTGGTAGGGAGTGTCTTGAGGCTTTTGCTGAAGAGGGTTGCCGTCTCGGGCCCCCAGAATCCACCGTACGAATTGGCCCAGATGCTGAACTTGTTGGAGGACGTCGAGTACTTCGGGAAGGACGAGAACCAGTGCTCGGCGGCGTGCCACAAGGCGCGAGCGCTCGACACGGTGGTATTTGTGAGGTGCAGCGGGTCCTGGCTGGCGAACGTGCCGACTTGAAAGGTTTCATTTGTGGCCGGCAAAGGTGACTTGCTGAAGTCCTCCGGGGTGATGATCTGCGTCTCGATGTTGAACGTCCCGTTGAGCAGCTCATCGTACGAGAAGCCGGCCTGGACGGGCTGGTCGAGGTAGAGCATGTTGACAAAGTTGTTGAACGACCATGGGTTGATCACCGTGTCGTTGCCCGCGACATTGACGTAGCACGGCCCGCTCTCACTTGCGAGCGCAGTGTAGAGTGAGCTCTCACCGGGGCCTCCCGCAAGATAGATGGCAAGTGGAGCGGTGGAGGCGTTGTGTCGCGCCTCGAAGTATATGAAATACGTGTTGATGTCGAAGCCGCCGACATCTGAGAGAAGGGAGCCGGGGAGATGCACATAGCCACTATAAGACTTGACGCCGCCGGTGGTCTCGCAGATGTCGGTCTACCATTCTGTTAGCATACTGACTAGATTGCTCGGCTGATGCTCACTTCTTTGTAAGAGATTTTCACTTGGGAGTTGACCTTGGAGGTAACAACATGAAGACCAGTGGGAGGTGCCGGGAACTGCGCCAGGGAAAAGGGAAGCAATGCAAACAGTGAAAGGGAGGTAGCAAATTGCTTCATCTTGGTCTTCATTAGAGTCGAGATAGTTCGATCGTGGGTTGCTTAATTCCATCCGCTCAACGAGCCCTGGGCGATCCATGATTTATATCTCTTTCCTCCTCAACACTTTATGGGAGCCTGAGGATATTGCCAATACATCAACTCACATCCCACTGCATACATTGCACGTGCAGTCGTAAAGGGAGAGTCAAAAGAGTGGCGGACGCGAAATTCGAGGGGCTGAAGATAGCATTGCCATGATTTACAAGCTGTTGCAAGGCTGCTCTGGCCCCCAAGAAGTGGCAGCGGAGGCGGTTTGAAAAGAGCTTGCCTTACCATTCAGGTTGGCCCATACGAGAGCATGATGAATTGAACTTTATTCAACCTCTGTTAGCCCGGCCCGATCCTATGGATCGACAGGCACCCGAGACAGGCGCCCACTTCAAAGCGGTTAGTGTATACGAGCAGAACTAAGTTGTTTGAGGTAGCATCCACCAGCGCACCTCAAGACGCAACCGAGGAAGAGGAATTTCGCGTCAAATGAGGCCCCCAGCCTTAGAAGGCGACGCGTGGGGTTGGTCACATCCGTTACCACTGCCAACCTGATCGACCACCTTGTGAAGAGGTTCCAAAGAAAGCAGCGTCAACGGAGTTGTCCTCGTCGACGGCAGAAAGGAGGGCCACGATCAGATTTGAGTGGAAACTCTAGCAGTCCTTACCACCAAGCAGATCCAAGCCACTCATGTGCCGTACCCAAACCCTGATGGATCTCAGGGTAAAGGCTCCAGAAAGGCAGGGCTAAATGTAGCTGCATAAACCTTGAATGTTTGATAGATTGGTGCAGACGCACGGCTCTTGCGTAGATTGTGAGTCTTTCAGAGATTTCTTCCGAAGGATTTGACCTATCCGGAGGAATACGTGGCACGGCTCCAATGCTTTGCGAGGTGAAGGCACAGCAGGGTTGTTTTGGAGAAAAAAGGGCCATTTCCGTGTTGAGAGGGAGAAGGATGTATGTACATATTGCGTCTGCTGTAGCGACCCGACGAGCCTCATACAGGAGATCTTGAGCCAACACCAACGCGATATATTGTATGCACAGTTGAACAAACAGCGGCGCCGGCTCAGTTTCATCCCGACGGGAAGAAAGGGTCATCGACGAGTGAATCTCCGGGGTGAGGCAGTTGCTGTCTGCTACCATCGCCAAGCCATACCTACCAACCCTCCGGCCCCGGTTCATATTTTGTAAACATATATTTTATAGATCCAGAAATCTCTCCAACAATCCCCGCCAGAAAGAAGTGCAATAGCGATAATGAGACCTCTTAATACGCAACGCTTCGAGTAGGGGATTTGTTAGGGTTCAGAACGGGCTTGGTGGGTGGGGCCTTTCTCCTGATATGTGCTCGCTGTTGCCAAAGGTAGCAGAAGGTCTCGCCATATCACAAATACAAGCAGATCCGATGGGATCCCATCGGATCCCATCGGATCTGGTTGTAGGGAGAAAGGTAAGATACGAACCGCCCGGTCTGAACTTTTTGCTTTTTTGGATGTCGGTGGTTCGATTCGTGTTGGTGGCGGAAGGCCGACCTTTTTTGCTGCTATAGCGGATGCAAATTGGAACTTAACTGTGTTGTGTGCGGTAGAACCGAGGGTATGGCATGAAATGAAGATAGGGAGGCCGCTCGTTCATAACACCAAGGTGACTCCCCATATCCATTCCCTCGGAAGCCTCCCATATCTTTTCACTTCTCTTGAGGGGCTGAGCCATCACCCTCGGCCAGAAGCACTGAGATAGTCCATGACAACGCATGGTTTGTGGAGTGAGTCGAACCAGGAGGATATTTCCTGAGCATCCCGCTGGCGCCAGATCCGCGACAAAAATGTTTTGGTTACTCCCTGCACGACCGGCATGAATCGATCGACATACTCGTCCACATCCTGGACTACCTTGTTCCGTTCCGTCGGATCTCGAATCTCGATTGCAGCGATGATGAATGGCAGCGTCACAAACCGGATCGATCGTTGTGTGGTCCGTCGAGCCAGCTCGAGTTCCATCAGCACCTCTCGGGACCAGATATCTGCCTGGCCGTCCTCCTGGCCAAAATTGTGCTGCAACCGGTGAGCCATCAACAGCGCCGCCAATCGATATACCCTCGCTTGTGCAAGGAGGTGGACCACCTCAAGCGATGAGAACTCCTTGACGAAATGCTCAGGTGTAGACGGCTGCCATGCGTTCACAGCTGCCTGGATACTCCGAAGATGCTGATTCAGAGTGCGGATGAAACTGGCGCTTCTGGCATCGACCAATGAGTGGCTGATGGCGCAGAGGTCGTAATAGTATGGAAGCAACGGGAGGCAGAGCCCCAAGTGGCGATCGACACCTTCTGCAGGCGGCGACTGGATCCTCAGCGTCGGCTTCCGGCGGTAGACCGCACAGTCCATAATCTCCAGCAGCACAAGAAAGATGAGCTGTGGCTCCGTTTCGGGGATCGAAGCGGTGTGTTGAATATAAGGCTTTGCCGTGCTGAGGCAATAGTGGCAGACCTCAGGTACGCCAACTCCAACTGCCGCGTAGATATACAGTGCCAATGCAGTTCCCAGGTTAAGGCATAGCGCTGCATCGTCCGAGCTGGTCACCGATAGCATGCGCAATGTTCTCATGGCGGAGGATGCCTGGCGAAGATTCGCGTCCACATTCACATCCACCGTTTTGTCAGCGTGAAATGCCTTCAAGCGCCCTGCATATGCGAGATAGGCGTCTTTAAGTATTGGCAACGCGGTCGGCAATGGAGCTTCCAAAGACTTTTGCTCGGCAGCTTCAAAGCTGGGAGTGACCACAATCAGCTGCAGGGTTTGGGGTTTGTATAGAAGAAACATCATCAGTTCCCTCTCCTCCGGGCTGAGGTCAGGAACATCCTCCAGCCAGGCACTGACACCCCGATGAGACTGAGCACAGTTGATTGCCTGGCTTGACGTAGTCTGAGAGGCTGAATGCTCTCGACATTGTGGTCGTCGGCCCGCCAGTCGCAGTGGACGTACAGTCAAACAAGCCTGGTCAAGCCTGGTGCACCTGAGGCAAGTAGAAGTCACGGACGTACGCTCGCACCGTTCTTTGAGCTCATAGCATCTGTCACATGCAGCCCGGACTCCACGACGTTGGGACATCATTGATGCCATTCCACTCTCTCTAAGAACTCCGATTAGGGAACAGGACAGAGTCTAGCAAGGAGATGAGATAAGCCGTGATTCGCGAATGGCTCTGTCACCAGGTGCAGGTCTTCTTAATCCTCCGGTTCCGGTCCACGAGGGCCCCGCTGAGAGCGCTGCCCAGAGGGCGAGGATGCGTTCATCAGAGGCCGGTCAGCACAGCTTAGTGGTCAAGGGGAGATTGGATTTCTGAAGTACGAAGGAGATGGGAGCGTGGATATTGGTAGTGAGGCAGGTCTCGAAGTCCAAGAACCGACATTGCCAAGTTTCTGACTAGCGAATCCACAATCGACCGGAACATTGGCCGGAGGTTTTAGTCTCTGGGGGTAGGGAGACAACGTCGTACACTTCGAGGGCCTTAGCCCGCTCTGTGGAGTCGACAGAGGGCTAGGGATGCCAGATCCAGCCTTTCACAGAGCTAATGGTGTCTTGTGTTGAGGAGGTGACAATGGATGCCGCGAAGGAGACCTCATACCAGGATATTATGATCCATACACCTCGACGACGATGACCAATCGGCATGATGAGGTATCAACTGTAGGTATAGTTGGCGCTTACTTTCAGAATGTCACTGTTGGGCCTAATGCAGCTGCCTTGCCCTGCGGCGCAGGCATCTGAAACCCGGAACCGGCGAATTCTCAATGAATTTGGGTGCTCAGGTACAACTCTACGCATCTCCACTTTAGTTGCCCACGGCCAGATGCTCAGCACGCCTTGGAAAAAGGGTCAAGACCTCGAAGTATAAGAATGGAAGAATGGATAGCTACTTTGGCAGTAGAGACACTCACCTCACCAAACTGCCACTAATTCGCATCGAGGGAAAGGGCAATATGTCGAAGGTTTTCCGTGACTACAAAATCATTGCGGCCGAGAAGCAATTGGAACGTCAGAGCAAGATCCCCAAAGAGTGGCTGCTATCCTCAGATCAATACCATGGCGCCACGAATCTCATGCAAGTGCCGCGGACGTGTGGCATCTTGACCGACACCGAGTGCCAAATCACCTCCGACTTTGATGCCACTGCCCTTCTAGAGAAGCTCAGGGACGGAGTTTGGACAGCGGAACAGGTCACAGTCGCCTTTTGCAAGAGGGCGGCCATTGCTCAGCAGTTGGTTTGTCAATCCCTTCTTTCTCTCCTGACATTCCTCTCTCATGAGCTCATCAGTACGACAGACCAACTGCTTGACGGAGATTTTCTTTGACAGAGGCATAGAGCAAGCGCGTGCTCTGGATCGCGAACGGCAAGAAAACCCCCAAAAGCCGCTTCGCCCGCTTCACGGGCTCCCGATCTCGCTCAAAGATAGCTTTCAAGTTGCGGGTTACGATACGTCGACCGGACTGGCATGTTTTGTCAACGAGCCAGCGGACGAAGACAGTGGCACGGCTGCCATGCTGCTGGACCTGGGTGCAGTTCTTTACTGCAAGACCAATCTTCCCCAAACGATCATGACCGGTGATAGCCACAACAATGTCTTCGGCAGGACCTTGAACCCTCGCAATACGGCATTGACGGCGGGTGGAAGCACCGGTGGCGAGGGCGCCCTTCTTGCCCTTCGAGGAAGCGTGCTCGGTGTCGGGACAGACATTGGCGGCAGCATTCGTGTCCCGGCTCTCTGCAACGGCATCTATGGATTTCGACCCAGTGTCGGGCTGGTACCGCACGGGGGCGTCAGGGACCTCACGACTCCGGGAACAGATGGAGTGCGTTCGTCGGCAGGCCCCATGGCAACGTCGCTTCGCGATGTTGCTCTTTTCCTCAAAACCACCATGCTGGCAGATACTTGGCGGTATGACAGCACCGTGATATCGATCCCGTGGGTAAATCTCGAATCTAAGCAAAAGATTCGGATAGGCCTCGTCCTGGACGACGGGATCCTCACCCCCTCACCGCCGGTCCGACGTGGCCTCAAAAAGGCAGCGGAACTTCTCCAAGCAAGCGGGAAGGTTGAACTCATTCCGATGGTTTTGCCTAACGTCGGCGACCATTATGGCGACTTACTCAAGTACTGGACACTGCTGGGAAGCGAGGTAAGTTGCAATGTGGCCCCCCGGTGCCAAAGTATGATATAAATCTGACGGACAATTCCCTCATCTCAAGAACTACCTGGAGCTCTTCGCTCGGACAGGGGAGCCCGAGGTTCCTTCCGTCAAAGCCATTGGGATCACGTCCTTCCCAGGCACAGACCTACGTGGGTTCTTCGATCTCAACGTGCGCCGTCAAGCAGCAGCACGCAACTATCTCAAGCTCTTCCGTGATAACGCCATCGACGCGATCATGATGCCACCAGCACCACACACCGCCGTACCTTTGGACAATTGGAAGACGGCCTCTTACACGGGCTTGTGGAATTATCTCGACTACCCGGCCGTCGTTATCCCAGTGGATACGGTGTGCGAGTCGGACGTTGTGGATGACCCCAGCAATGCCAAATATGGCGCTGAGGATGCTCGCATGTACAGTCTTTGTACGCAAACCGTCCTTTTAAGTCCCCTACCCCGGTGAAGCATTGACAAACTTCTGACTGTTCTTACCTTGCAGATACGGGACCCGAAGATTATAAAGACGCGCCTATTTGTGTGCAGCTGGTTGGATACCGGTATAGAGATGAAGCATTGGCCAACACAGCTGCTCTGGTGGATTCAATCGTCAACGGCACAGACTGATGGGGTGGGTAGAGAATTGATCCACATACTTGGGATGTACATGGCTATCTAGAGCAGCGTATCAGCCTCACTCCAACAGAGCAGACAATCTAAATGAAAAGTCACGATGTTGAGGATCCAAGATTTACTTGTAACTTGAGGAAATCGGGAGAATAGTTTCTCCGGCTGAACCTCGGAGTAACTGGTGGGGCGAGTGGTCACCAGGCTTGGCAGGTCCCCGCCATCGTCATCCGCTGCATCGCTGCAACTGCGATGTGCAACAGGCTTGACATCTCACACAAGGCATTCGTTTTCAGGCGACTTATATCCCATTCTCCCTGCCGCTACATATCACGCAAAGGGTTGACGCCTCGGAGCGAATCCTAAAGCCACTTCTTCCCTCGCACCATCCCGATCGATATACCCCAGCTGCTCTATCTCTGGGCGATCGCTTGAACTGCTAGCCGCTCTATCCGCGCCAGGGACTGCGGTCGTGTGTTGGTCTCGCAGGACATCCCTACAATCACGATCGCAATGTCTGGCCTTGAGAAGGCTCTCTTCAACCTGAAGGTATGTTCTCGGCCCTTATACGAGCGACCGGGAAAGCCAGCTGCACGGCTGCCCTCTGATCAGCAAAATGGGCGGCGGGTCTGCCTGAACCACCACTGGCCCTCTCCAATATCAATAGACTGACCACGCGACCTTCAGTTCACTTCCAAGCAGCTCAACAGGCAAGCTGCCAAAGCCGACCGAGATTCTCGTGCCGAACAAGCCAAACTCAAGAAAGCCTTGACCCAAACCCCACCTCAACCCCAGATCGCTCGGCTCTATGCCACGAATTCGGTCCGCAACTCCCAGCAAAGAATCCAGCTTCTGACGCTGGCAGCCCGGATCGATGCCGTAGCCGCCCGTGTTCAGACAGCCATCACCATGCGCACCGTGACCGCATCGATGGCGCAGACCGTCAAGGGAATGGATGCCGCGCTAAAGAACATGGATTTGGACAAGATCGGAGCGGTGATGGAGAAGTTTGAGTCACAGTTTGAAGATCTCGACGTCGTGTCGGGCTACTATGAAGGTGTGGCAGGGGGCGTCGAGAGCCAGCAGGTTGGCGTCCAGGGTCAGACCGAGGTCGAGGCCCTGATGAGCAGAGTGGCCGACGAAGCGGGCGTTGAGCTGTCCCAGGAAATGCAGCAGAATGTGCCGGAACATGAGTTGCCGGCCACCGAGACGGCAGAGAGGGCGAAATTGGAGGAAGGCCTGGGAGACCGTCTGAGGGCCTTGAGGAATTGAGAGCACGATAGTCTTGCTGGGGAGAGTCGTTTTCAGAGGGATAGTTATGCTGGCTAGATTCTTACTTGAAGCGAGGAAATCAACCAGGGAGGCAACGCGGCGTTTGAGGTCTCTCTATATAGCCTTTTCAGTCAATATCACGCAGTTCAGCAGCAGAGACAGGTGTAGGTAGGTGGTGTGCTTTGTTTGTTTCTATCCCTAACGGTCTTCATCAACAACATGAGACGCTCTTTGGCCGAGCCACTACAATCAAGGAACATACTGTAGGTCAGATCACAAGTACCACACATGAACAGACAGACACCCCTCACTGCCACACATGCGTGAACAACGACAGGTAGAGTGAGTACACATACACATTCAATCCTCCCAGTCAGTACCTTGAGGGGTTCATGCTTGTTCCCTCGAGCCCTCCTCTTCCCCCAACTACAACAACTTCTCCACCGCCCTCAACCTCTCCTGCCGCCTCGCCTCGGCGATGCGATTGTCCTCGACGATCTGGCTCCGCGCGCCGGCCCAGGGCTTGCGGCGACCCATGTCGAACAGGCGCCAGATGGCCGGGGAGAACACGCCGGAGCGGCACAGGCGGTAGAAGCCCCGGTCGCCACTGGTCCACCAGAAGCGCCAGGCGCGCCAGCTGAAGAGCGAAAAGTGCGCCAGCACGCCCGTGCCGGCCACGCGGTCCAGCCACGGGAGATGGTCCGGCGTGCGCATGAAGACGGTGTGGAAATGCGACGGGGCCCGGGACTGGGTCCGGCGCACCACGTTCTCGCGCCAGGCGATGTGGGCGCGGTGCCACGCCAGCATCTCGTCCAGGGACGGGAGGGGCGTCCGGCCCTGCCAGATCTGCGACACCGCCATGGCCGTCAGCTCGAACAGCACGAAGCCCGGGAACGGGAAGGCGCCCTGGCCCAGGAACGCGAGCGAGTTGCGCACGTCCGCGTCCGGGTGGAGCGGGAAGATGTTGCGGTACAGGTACGGCGCCTCGTCCGCCACCGGGTACGGGTTGTATTCGGCCGGCGCGCAGGGGACGGCGGCTTCGTAGCCCGTGGCGTAGATGATGGCGTCGACTCCCTCGAGCAGGCACCCGTCGGTCAGGCGGACGGCGTGGGGGCCGAGGACCTCCTGCACCGCCGACACGGGCTCTGCGAAGCCGCTCTCCAGGAACGGGTAGATCTCGTCGGCGACCAAGGGCGGGGATGTGGCGATGGACAGGGCTGGGGAGAGATTCCATTCTTTCCGCTGGTTGGGAAATGCTTTTCTCGACATCGCTGCGAACACCGTATCCACGAACCACGTCCACAGCCGGGGGAACCACCGCTCCATGAAAACTTGGACGAACACGAGCGACATGGTTTGCGCTTGGTCGTAGGTCCTGCCGTCTGCTGTGTAGCGAGGAATCTGTGGCGAGAGGTTAATTAGTACGTGATGAACTCGCCGCCCATAAGAAAGGGAGGGTTTTGCATTTACCAGGAGCAAGCCATTCTTGTGCGCAATGTAGACCTTTTTGGCGTGTTCCGACAACTCGACGACCAGGTCCTGCGCGGTGGCATGAAATCCGATCAGGAGGACGTTCTGGCCCCGGAACCGAGACGGATGAGGGAACTCGACGGCGTGAAGGACCTTGCCCTCGAACTTGTGGATGTCCTTCAAAGTGGGCGACCGCGGCACGACGAAGGAGCCGGGGGAGATGAGCAACTTGTCGAAGACGTCGATGCGACTGGTTCCATCCTGGACGTACTCAATGGTCCATTTCCCCTGGGCTCGTGAAAAAGTCTTTACTTCGGCGTTGAGGCGGATATGCGGTCGCAGGCCGAAGTCGTCACAGTAACTCTGCAGGTACGTCCAGATCTGTTTCGCCGTGGGGTAGTCGTCCACATCCTCGGGGAAAGGGTAGTCAGAGATGGCGGCGCGGAAGCGACTGCTGTTGAACACGGTCTTCTCTGTGACCGAGAGCGTCGAGTCGTACGACTGCTTCCATAGTCCACCCACCCAGCTTCGCTTCTCGAACCCGGTCACTGCGAACCCATCTTCTTTGAGGATTTTCAGCGCCATGAGTCCCAAAGGGCCCATCCCGACGATGGCGACGGTGATGGCCATGATGTCCAGCTGAACCACGAAGGTTGTTCGAAGAATGAAGCGGACAAAATGGCTGGTCGGTCTTCTAGTTTCCCCTTCAATCAACCATTAGCAAATGTCTAGGCACCCAGGACTCTCTTATGCCCATGTGTCCTTTAGCATACTCCCTCAGGTAATTCCACGTCATTAGCCTCCGTCAACAGATTTATGTCCCTTGGTTGAGGTGGTATTGGAAAGGAACAGCCAGTGTGCACGGTGGCACATCGACGCAAGCACCTTCGATCACAACGTCAGACATTGAATCGAGAACGGAACCTGATTGGAGCTGTATAGCGCTCGTTTAGGATACAGGTCTTGGGGAAAGCTTCCAGAGCAAACAAAGACCATCAGGCCGTGTTTCCAAGCCTGTTGAGCTGTACGCCTAGACACAGTCAGCGAGTGCCGCCACTGCCTCCTCCGATGATTGACACATCTTATGGCGGGATCGTTTAAGGCAAGCCGTTTTTGATCGTTCAGGCCCTCTGCCTCTGGTTTCAGGAGAACCGTGTCCTCCATACTTCAAGATGTGGTTGTGAAAGTATCTTAAGACTCGTTCAAATCCGAGGGGATCTACCTGCCGTCATTGTTCCTACTGTCTTTCCAGATAAGAGCGAACTAGGCAAGCAGGTCTTCGCCATCAATCTGTTGTCAAGGGGTTCGCTGACTCCCGACTCATGCTGACAGTGCCCACATACCAGTTTTCAAGTATTGACACACGTACATCTTGTAGGATCCACTGAGCTCATGGAGGTGTCTCATAGACACAGAGTACCCCAGCACTGCTTGATCCCCCGCTGACCGGTACAAAAGGGACAGTCATTTGCGGGTGTGATGATGAGCCTGGAGTGACAAGAGAGGAAGTCATGGTACTGTAAGACCTTCTCTTGTCTATTTAGTCAGCTCGAGGTGGCTTTCGGATGCTCCGTGTGGGCTCGAAGTAATGCAAACATGCCCTGACGGCGTATCGATGCGTGGTCCAGATCAACAAAGTGTCAAATTGCAGACACAAACCCGGCCGGCACGTGCACGGACCGTGAAGGCATCCGCGTTTGGACCCATAGAAACATAATCCGTTGAGCCATGTGACACGGACCTCGTGCGCTTATCGGCGGAGAACGTCATAGGGCGGATTTGCTCCGCGATCATTGTTCATGTAGCACGTCTTTGTGCAGGTCGAGGACAGTGGAGCGGAGAGCAGGGACTGTCTAGGATCACGGATGTCCAGCAACGCCTACCGAGCATTAGTTGTGTCGTTCAGACTTGTCACTCTCATGCACTCCTACTACCCTGCAGCACTATCTGCGGTTGGTAAAACTCGGATATTTCCTTCGTCAACGCCTCCCTCACTATCGATCCACACAGCTTTGCGTACGGGTTGGTCTTCACCGCAAGCTGCCGTGCGGTTTCATTTCCATACCGGCCTCCCATCCCCAGCTCCCGGCTTGCCGCCTCCTCGAGCTCCGCGGTTGATAGTGCCTTGAGATGTGGTACCGTCGTTAGCATCTTTCGATTGTCGTCGGACTTGCTGGCCAGAAGCAGGAGATAGCCCCGGTGCGTATGTGCCGACGCAAGCACTTTGGCGTCAAAGCTCGAAAGTGTTGCACTGGGTCCAGCTGGAGTCGCGAGTGAAATGGCTTGTGCAAGGTCTCGGAAGATCTCGGCCACGATGCCTGGGTTCCCAGGAAGGTCTTCGTCTCTGATAAGCATTCGTCGTGCTTGCGCTCTGTTGTTCCATGCTGAGGCATATGAGGGTTCATTCGTGATGATTTCAGTCAGCTGAGCGATTGAGTGCTCGATGTCACTTCGTTGGGGGTGTTCCTGGTTGACTGATTGCAGTGCACGTCGTTCTTGTTCCCAAAGGCTTTTCAGACTGCCGGGTGACTTGTCGCCAAGCCCGCTGTTGTTGATCTGTACAGTATTTGATAGCGAGGATTCAGGATCGAATAGTGCAGACAAGACACTCGAGTCATTGGGGCTCAGTCCAGAGGCTCCCATACTGAGGGTAGCTTTGGAAGGAACAAGACGATTGCTCAAAGGGATGGTCCTCAGTTGACTTATTGGCAGGAGGTTACTCCAGTGCGGTGATGGAAAGATAACCTTGCGTCGTATGATAAGAATCAGGTATAATATCTTCAAGTTGAGATAGATTGTTTCATCACCCAGAACCCTCCCTTTGTTGAGGCAATCTTCGCTTATTGCCGGAAGTCGTGCCCGGAAGTGCCTTGGTGCCTTCCGTCCCCACAACAACTGAGGTATTCCCCTGTTCGCCATATGAGCAATTCCTTATCATATAAACACTCGTCGATATCGAGTCGTGGTTCATGAGTGCAAGTTGCCGGCTCTCATACACCTTCACGATTGTCAAACCTCTCATCAGGCGAAGAAGTTCGAGATGGCGCCCAGTGCTGTGTCCCCATCCCCCGTCCCACCTCATGAGATCAAACAGAAGTCGATTTATGGCGATACGGCACCGGTGCAGTCATTGCCCAACACCCCCAAGAAGATCGCCAGTTACCGAGGGTATGACCATGTTGCATGGTGGGTAGGAAATGCCAAGCAAGCGGCAGCGTTCTATGTCTCTCGGATGGGCTTTGAGCGAATTGCATATCGTGGACTCGAGACTGGTTCGAGAGTGGTCGCTTCTCATGTTGTCCGCAACGGAGAAGTCGTTTTCGTCCTCACCTCGCCACTGCATGGCCCCGATTCGAAGGTGCCCTGGCTTTCGGATGACGATCGAACACTGCTAAAGGAGATGCACGATCACCTGACCACCCATGGGGATGCCGTCCGCGACGTTGCTTTTGAGGTTGACGACGTTGCTGCAGTATATGATGCAGCTGTTGTAAAGGGCGCATATCCTGTTGCAGCACCCAGGACCACGAATGATGACTTTGGGTCAGCAAAAATGGCGTCGATCAAAACGTACGGTGATACCATTCATACTCTGATTGAGCGCCAAAAGTACCACGGAGCCTTTCTGCCGGGTTATCGAGCGGTAAAAGAGGTCGAGAGAACCGCCAAGTATCTTCCCTCAGTCGATTTGGCCGTCATTGACCACTGCGTGGGTAAGTTGGACTTGCTGCTTGCGCTTTGAGCTCTGGTGCTGATTCGTCTAGGGAACCAAGATTGGGACGAAATGGAGGCGGTCTGCGAGTACTATGAAAGAACACTCGGTTTTCATAGATTCTGGTCGGTGGACGACAAGGATATCTGCACCGACTATTCCGCGTTGAAGTCGGTGGTGATGGCTAGTCCTGACGAGAAGATCAAAATGCCAATCAACGAACCAGCAAAGGGCCTCCGCAAATCACAAATAGAAGAGTATGTCGACTTCTATAACGGCGCCGGCGTCCAGCACATTGCGCTGAGGACCGACGACATCATCACCACGGTGACCAACCTTAAAGAGCGAGGGATTGAGTTCATCACCGTTCCGGACACTTACTATGAAACCATGTCGAAGCGGCTGGAAAGCGCCGGCATGAAGCTCAACGAAGACTTTGCTGCCCTACAAAAACTCGGAATCCTAATCGACTTCGACGAGGGCGGGTATCTGCTGCAGCTCTTCACCAAGCACTTGATGGACAGGCCGACCGTGTTCATCGAGATCATCCAGAGGAACAACTTCTCCGGGTTCGGGGCGGGTAACTTCAAGGCCTTGTTCGAGGCCATTGAGAGGGAGCAGATGGCACGTGGTAATCTGTAGTTGTCAACTACGTACAAGCAATGTTTTGCCCACGTTGCTAGCGTAGCAGTTTAATGCAGGTCATATTCGCTTCTTATGGAGGCGTGAATGTTTAGGGAGGGGCGACAGCAGGTATGTATATAGCAGGCAGTTGGAGTCTTTGAAAGCGCGTAGATTACCTGGATACTTCGGTCCTCTGGCTCCATCATTCTGCTGCGGTCGCCAAATCCAATATGTATTTGCTGAAGGAGAAGCGTGAGATAGAGAAAAGAAGGCGACGTTGAGCCGAAGTGGGATCCGAAAGGTTGAACTAAGAACCTCTTAAATACGGAAAGACTCCCGACCTCCTCCCTACCTCCTCCTTGCCCTCGATCATAAACAACTTCACTCTCTTCGCCATGCACCCAATATTAAATTCGGATAGGTAGGTTGATGGTCGGGTCCGGGCATGAATCAGGCCAGTCCTTTGCAGGGTCGTGTTCGACAAGCTTGCGATCCGTGCAGACGCAAGAAAGTGCGATGCCCCGGGGAAAAACCAAACTGCAGTTTCTGCACACGCCTCCACCAGCAATGCAGCTACTCACGCCACAGCGATGTAGGTGGGTATCGTGTCGAGAAAGACAGGGCAAATGGGCGACAGAATGTGCGGGTGCTCTAGAAGGCGCTGAGAATAGCTGGCTCACGAATCAACTAGGAAGACAACCACCTCGACCGACAGCGTGTCCAGAGGCTGGAGGCTAAGATGGAGAAGATCGTGGACGCTGTCAAGTGGGTAAACTCGTTGAAAAGCTTTAAACTGCGACTGACATTCTAGCACACTCGTTGAGCTGCAAGCTGGACAAACATCGACCAGATTGCATGGGCCTTCAACGTCGCTGCTCGGGAGCTCTTCCAATTCGCCCCAAGGAGGAGGTGATCGCGAGAGTACTGTACAGGGTAGCGTCTCGGGGTTTGATCCTTTCCAACGGTTGTGCCCCTCAATTGCTCCTCAACTACAGTGCTGATTAGTGATAGACCAGATCCCCCAGCCGAACTGCTCCAGACGTTAGTCAAGGTGTACATTGGTAGAATCGCAGACCAACCTCTGCCTTTGTTCGACATCAAAAGACTGCCACTTAGCTCTCAAAAATTCTCAAGAGGACTTCTCAGGAGCTTTCTTGCCTTGACAGTTAGGTATTCGGACAGTGATTTTTACGGCGGCGCCCGTTCTCGCGCCGTGGAGTTCTACAAGACCTCTGCGTCCGAGATATTATTTGCCCAGGCTTCAGAGCCAAGTGGCGACCTGGAAACTCTGCAGGCCTTTTGTCTGCTATGTCTCAGCGAGATTGCAGGTACGATTCAGACTATTCAAAGATCGTTGAGAGCTGACAGTAGATTCAACAGACGGGAAAACGACGAGGGCTTGGATGGCGCTGGGCGTGGCTGTGCGGATGGCTGTCTGCTCAAACATAATGTCCAATACAACCAAAAACGTCACCCCAAATACCGACTTATCTAGATGTTGCTGGAGCTTGTTCATTCTTGACAGAATGCACGGGAGTAGCTTCCGGAGTCTACCAGCCATTTCTACCGAAGAGATCATGCCTGAAATGCCCCCGGCCGCCAAGCTGCCTTTGTCAACCTTGGGAAATCGGTCAGCGGAGTTTGAGGTTGTGGAGGAGAAAGATGCCGGAATCAACTCCTACGTTCTACAGCTGTTGTCCATCTGGGGCCGCTTGATGTCTTACTTGAAGACCATCAAACAGGGCAATCTTGAAGAGGCGTGGACTGCCAACTCCGTCTATCAACAGATCAAGTCAGAAATGTCTCGATTTGAGACCGTTCTTCCAGAAGTCCATCGATTCAAGAATACTCGTTTTCACGACAGAACGCTTTCAGAGCTGGAAGAGCAGCGTGGATATTGGGCGCCCTGGATTTTAACACAGTGCATCTATCATACAATACACTGTACGTTGAATCACCCTTTCCTTCACATTGCCAGGATTCCTGGTCGGCCAAGACTCCGCTCTCCGTCATTCCTCCAACATGCAACCGACCAAGCTGTGCTGCACTCGGCTTGGGTCGTCCTTGTCCTCCGATCGTGCGACGAAAAGAACTTCATCATCTTCGATCCATTTGTTGGACACTTGGCTTCGATGATCGCGACTGCGCAGTTCTTCCTGCAATTCTCCAAGGACGAGTCGTTGGCAAGCAAGGCCGCCAGAGACTTCGAAATGCTAAGAAGCTATGTGGAGAAAATGGCGAACACCCACAGTCACCTGCTGCACACTGTAAGTTCGGGCTGCTTTGCCCATCATTGCCATTTAATGCTCATCATTTGCAGGTATCGAAGCTCGCTAGGCTTGCACAGTTCGCTACATCACAGGTTGACGCGGGTTCGAATAGTCCACCAAAGGTCGAGACGGCACTGTTGTGGGATCTCCTCGACTATGCCGTGTCCTCATCGCCTGTAGTTGACGGCGGCGACTCATCTGACAATGTGGAGTTGAATGTGAATACTCAATTTCTATCTCCAATAAACCCAGACGTGCCATTGCCGCGGACAGCCTTACAGAACTCGCAAGAGCTCAGCTTGTCTGGCCCGAATATGTGGAGTGACGCGACTTTCGAGTTTGACATGGCCGATATCGCGAATCTAACTGATATGTCTGCGTTGATGATGCAAAACGACCCTTGGACCGGTGGCCATCTGTGAACGCTGAGTTGAACATGTCATTTCGCCGCTTGGGACCTGGAGAGGCTGAAGATAATGGACCTGGGACAAGGTACCGACAAGTCAATGTCTCACATCCTATCGGAGGCCAGCGAGACAGGGACAGTCTGTCATTGTCGTGCAACCCACCAGGACTCAACCTGGTCTCTAATATCCACCCACGGGACAAGGCTGTCGGAAGTCGGCAAGGCTGCGCTAAGCTTGGACTGGATCCGAAGTTCATCCGTCCCTGCGCATTGCATTCTGTCCACTCACCCCTTGAGGACAGCTCAACAATTCCGATGGACTCCACGCTGGCATTTACAAGACCCTGATCATTTAGACAAGAGAACGCGTGTTTTCCTGCTGCTTACAGTCTCTTTCAATACCCAGTCAGCCCTCATCTTGTGGCTTACAAAAATACGCGTCACGCTTCAATTTACCACTTGCCCTCACCCCAGAAATGCCCAGCATGTGGCTCACGGATATGCAGAGTATGCGCTCCCCGACTTCCTGACATTGGTACAGAGTGAGGCTGACTACTCGCAGAGATTGGTGTCGCGTTCTGCTCAGGAGGTGAATGAAGTCGCTGGATGCTTCAAGAACCGTAAACTAATTGGCAACAAGGTGGACTGTTCTTGTTCGGTGGTGTCCTCATGTTCTTTGATCGCTCGATGTATGTGTCTCCGGCGCCAGGGCTAGTGGACAACGACATACTGACTTTTTCGCAGGCTAGCGATGGGAAACGTTCGTTCTCCACTTGCAGCTTTCGCAGGACGTGCATGCTGATCGATGCCCAGATCCTGTTCCTCATCGGCCTCACCCTAATCATCGGAATCCAAAAGACCTTTGTCTTCTTCGCCCGGCGTCAAAAACTCAAAGGGACCGCTGCATTCATGGCAGGCATACTTCTCATATTGATTCGGTGGCCTCTCACGGGGTTCCTGGTCGAACTGTACGGCATATTCGTCCTCTTTGGCGACTTCTTTGCGACCATTGCGTCGTTTGCAGGCAATATCCCCATCGTGGGCCCGTACATCCAGATGGCTCTCCAGAAGATCTCGAGTGGTCGCCGGAATGCAGAATTGCCGGTATGAAGGTTGAGGACGGGACGCATTTTGAATATGACTGGATATTCAGTTCCAGAGCCTGGATATGGCTATTTCTGGACCTGCGGGCCCGATTGACACAGATCGATCGGACTTACAGACGCCTGCCTGCCTACCTTGATATCGAGTGATGGTCGCGAATCACACAATTGCGGGGGCCTGCCTACGCCAGTGATCCTATGAAAGAAAATCGAAAACGACGGATAACAACACAATTTGCATCAACCCATCCTCCCACGCCATGCTCGATGGCGAGTCGCCTGTTTCTCATACCAGTGTCGTCGCAAGTGTTGCACACAGTCCACGACCTGATCTTGAGATGGACATGGCTCGCCTCGTTAGCGAAGCCCAAGTTTCAACGTGCACATATCCCGATCTCTGGGAAGGTACCATTAGCAGCCTGGCCCAGAGCCCGCGAGGTTCTGGTCACTGCTCGGTTGCCAAAGCAAGCTCTCATGACTACCTGTCACGACGAAGCATCTGCCCCGGAGCCACCGATCATGCCAGTGCTCAAAGCCACCGGCACTCCTCTGGGATTGTGTTTCTGTGAGAGAGAATCTCTCCTCCGCCCTAAAAAGTCCAGCGTGCCTAGGATCCTAGCCTATCGACAAAACAAAGCCGCAAGTATCATACCCGATGCATGCGACGTCGAGACAGAGGGGAGGGACTAAGATGGAAAACCACTCACTTCAGGCTTGATTCGGGAGGAATGTGTCTTTTGGGGGTATTTCAGAGCTAGAAGATGATGATCCAGCTATCTATGTATGGAGATAACCCCCTACATAGCTCATCCCGACGGACGGACGGACTGGATGGATGGATTGTGCTGGGGACATGCGGAAGCGTCAGGGCCGTTACATGAACAAGGACAAGAACGACGACGACGTTGAACAATTCGTATCCACTGTTTTCCCCTCGCTGCTTTTTTTTTTGGCGCTGCCCTTCGCTCACACAAGATAGATATTCTACCGATTTTACGCTCAACTCGCCATGCCATATCCTAAACCACACATCATATCGCATCGTATCATATCATAACCAGAAGGGCGCAGCGCCTGTTCCTTCTAAGCCCCGCCAACCCGGCTCGGATATCACGTACGTACGTCCTCGTAGGTCCACCGTATATATGTATTTTTGAATATGCAGTAGACAGACAGATAGTAATGTCCTCACTCGCTCGCGCGGATGTCACCACTCCACTCCACTCACAAGCCCTGCGTGTATGAATCAATGCTTCCACCACCGCCGCCGCCACCACCGCCAGGCCACCCGACAAACGCCCCCAGGCCATGGGCATTCACGTCCGGGGCGGTCGCGAGCAGGTCGTAGCCCATGCCCATGCTCCACAGCATGTCGTCCTCGGTCTGCCAGCCGCCAAAGGTGCCCGCGGAGGTGGAGGTGGGCTGGGAGTGCGGCGAGAGGGCGTAGGGGTCGAAGTTGGCGCCGGCGCCCGCGCCGTTGGCATGCTGTTGTTGTTGTTGCTGCTGGGTACCGGCGCCGCCGGTGGGCGTGAATGGCGTGGGAGAGGTGGTGGTGTGCTGTGGCGGGAGCAGGGAGGGCGTGTTGCCTTGGGACGACGAGCCGTACAAGTCCGCGTGCGGGGCGCGATAGGGTTGTTGTCCCTGCATGTGCTGCGATGCGTAGGGCGTGTCCCTGCTGGCGCCGTTTTGTCGCGCACCGCCACCACCCATGGCGGCCGCGGCGTCGAGGGACGCATACCCATCCGCAGTGCCGTTTTCCCCGCCGGCGCCGGCGGTCCTTCCGAGCTGATCGGTGCCCACCATGTTCCGTCTAAGCAGCCTCTCGAACCCGTCGGCCATCGCGTACAGGATATGTCCCTTCCCAGCATGACAGCTGCGGAACAAGGCGATGACCTTTTCGATGAGCGGTTTGGTCTTGGCCTCCGGGTCGATGGTCACGCCGATGCCCGTCCACCGGCTCGACATCTTGATCAGGAAGACCACGGCGAAGGCGATCACGGTGTGCAGGTAGAGGGGCACGCCGACCATGGAGTCACGGATGGACGGTTCTTCGAGCACGATGGTCAGGATCTGGTGCGCCGAGGAAATGGCCTGGGACGCCAGGGGCCGCAGTGACGTGGGCAGGGTGGATGTGGAGGAGATGGTGAAGAGGGAGCGACCCCGGAGGGCGAGCGAGTTGAGCATCATCGACGCAAAGTTGTAGTGGAGTTCAACGCCTGGCAAGGTGACGGGTTAAACAATGAACGCATGGCATGCAGATGAATGGCAGGAAGAGACTCACCAACGGCAGGATAATCTCCCACATGCACGTCCCTATTCAACGCATGTCGGAACTGGTATCTCCAACGGTGTAGATCCTCGATGAAGCGCTGGTGGGTAAGAAGAGTGACATCATCTCCATCCATCAATCTCTCGGCTTCCAAGCCAAAGTGGTTGTACGCTTTACTCAGGATGATGAACAGCGTAACCTGCGAGAGAACCCTTCGATCTGAGGGCGTGCATTCGGGGGCATTGAGAAAGACGTCGTACTCTTTGATGGCTTGCAGTTCCGCCGTCACCGGTGGTCGACCGTACGCGATGCTGAAGTGATGATCGAGGACGTAAAGGAGATACCACAATCGGGCCCGCTCGAAGGCATGTTCGCGGTCACTTGCCGACTGCTTTTGCGAGTACAAGGCTTTGAAGAAGGCCTGGTGCAGATTCAGCTCGGTCGCCATGCGCACGCAATGTCCAGAAAGTTTCCAGCTGAGATCGGGAAGCCAGAATGCTGCGATACAGAGGGCGCGGATGTCCTCGAGGGTGTGGAAGCGGTCGAAGAAAGAGGCGGCGATAAGGTCCCTCAGATGCTTGTGGGCCGACGCGTGGATCTTCTCCTTGCCTGGGATATGGAGCGACGTGACGGTGATCATGGCTGTAAAGAACAGGGTCGAGGACTCGCGAACGGAGAGCAAAGAGCGGGATTCGTGAATGGTGGCGTCGAAGAGATAGCGGGAGAGGGTGGTCTTGAACAAGCTGAACATCTCGTCCGCTTCTTCGACACTGATAACGCCCATAGAGATAAGGTCGTTCTCCATGTTCTTCTTGGAGTTACGACGCGCCGGATCGCCATACTTTAGACGGCTTCGCAGGGTGTTCAGTTGAGTGACCTCGTACAAGCTGCCCATTGGCGCGGGGGCGACCTCGTGCGCATCTTCTGCGTTCGGCTCGCGTGAGTTTTCCCGCGTCGTCTGTGCATTGGATTCGGCAGGAATGGGCTGTGGTGGTGGCTGCAGGTGTTGGGATGGATGAGTGCGAGAGTAAGCCTCCAATGGGGGCATCTTCAGCCGGCACAGAATGTCCTCCACGGCTCTGTCCAGTCGAACAATTGACGGGTGAGGGTTCTCGCCATCATCGTCCAGACTTACTCTCATCCGCTTCGAGGTAATACAGTCCAGACCCAGGCGCTGACATCTCGAACAACCGGCGTCACCTCGTTCCAGACTGTCACACTTGACTTTCAGTTTGCGACAGGCCAGACAGGCTCGGCCCTTGCGCGAAACATGGGGTTCTGCCGGCAGATGATCGGCAGACCTCTTGCGTCCGTGCAGAGGCGATGGATCGGTATTATTGTCGTCGACTGATCCGGTCCATGACGGCTGGCGAGGAATATGGCTGAGCGACGGATTTGATTCCGACGGAGCTGGTTGCGCGTGATCTTTGGAGTCGGTCATGTTCGGTCATTGAGGCACAGCTAGACTGCACTCGGGATTCTGAGAAGAAAAGGTGGACAGGGTGCAAGTATTGAAGATGGAATCAGTGTCCAGCAGGTCAATGGCTGATCATCGGATCAGGCCATAGGGTTTTCGGTGGGCAATTTGGAGCATGGGAAGCGAGTAGCTGGAAGTTCGTTTTTCCTCCGACGGAGACAAATGCGCGCATCCCCGCTTCCCGCTTTTCCGCCTTGTGCTTGGCATCTCGGGACCGCCCCGCTCGCTCCTCCTCACCGCCAATGGGAGCGTTTCATTTTCTTCCTTACCCAATCAAGTAGCTGCCTCGTGACCCGCGTTCTGCTATTAGCCGCAATGTAATTCAACCACAGTTTCCCTCTCAACCTTGTTGCTTTGTTCTTTCTTTTTGATGGAAAGAACCCACAGGCTTGGCTATACCGATGATTGATTGCAGATAACAAGGATATCCAACAACTGCTACGGGTGACTCCTGCGTCTTTTCACGGTGAAGAAGTCTGGAATGCTGTCCAGCAGGCCTGTCTAAGAGTATCCGCCGAATCGAAAGGACTCGTGTGGTGTAGCGATGCAGCGAAATACTGACACGAGAAGGGAAAGGCGGACCAAGGAGAAGATGAGGTGGACAATTTGATTGAAATGCGACAGCTCTCCCCTTTGACGAGCACTTCCTTCCCTACCAAACATGAAAATCCTCTCCATGTTGACGTCTAAGCCTGAGCCCCGCCCCGCAGATTTCGCAGTCGGAAAGCTTCAATCACAAGAACGAACCCGCATGCTTGGACTGGCAAGAACCCTTTCTTGCATGGAAAGCCGTTGCCTGGTTGCGTGTCGCCATACGCCATCATTCAGAAATGATTCAACAACACCGACGGGATCTGCGAACCTTCTCTCAGCCTGCCCCTCTTGCTTGATGGCCGATCACTCCACGAAATGCTCATGCACTCGCAGTTCTTTTAGAGCGATCTCGAAGTCTTGGACTTCGATGCCCAATCTTCTGTTGATGCTGGCACATACGTTGCTCATATCAACCGCTTCGAGGAATCGTTCAAGCGTGTCAATGTTCACCGATTTTCGAACCTCAAGGCTAGAGACGCTCCTGTAAATTACGGAACATCTATCGGCAGCTTCTTTGAGATCTCTGGCTTTCTGGCCAAGCAGCCGAATAGCTGCATGGTGGCGCGTCATAGACTGTGCGAGCAAACTACGCCGCGTTTCCTCATTCAGGAATGGGAAAGACCGTAGCGGCAGTGAGAGCTTTGCGGTGTTCTCGAGCGTCCTTCTGAGTCTTCGAAGATCCTTCAGGAACGAAATGGTTTCGTCTGTGAGAGGGCACATGGCTTCAGCAGCTTGAACGAACGTATCCAGTGGAGAGAGTTCTTCAACCTCAGACTCGTCTGACAATGCGTGCTGTGGCTTTCTATATACGCGAGATTGGTCTTCATGATGAGCGTTGTCTGACACAACTGGAGCGGCGGCGTCAGCGTCGAGGAATGGCTGTAGGCCGTACAGTTCCTGGCCTTTTGGTGTTTCAGCTTCTGCCCTGGCTACAAGAGCTAAGTCGTCCTTGTGTTTCTCTCTTTCTGTGTCCTCTGACTCTGTCTCTCCGGGTGTTGGAGCTACACCCCGCTCCATTTCATACTGCGCGGCTGACAGGTTGAGACCGCCATTACTTGAGGAGCTGAGATCCGCCACGTGCATACTGCCGATTGCAGAGATGCTGTTGTCGCCGATTGGTGGTTCCATTCTGTGCAAAAAGGGAAACTCTCTCAAACAGGAGGTAGAGGCCTCGTAAGTAAAGCGAAGATGTGTGAACATTCGCAGGGACAGTTCGGACTTCAGGGACGTTGTGGATTCGAAGACTCGTGGTCTGGGGCAGGACAGGACAGTTGGTTTCGGTCTGAAGGTCTTGCACGACACAATGATATGTGCATACGCAAGCGAGACAGAGAGCTGTGTCGGAAGACTGGGTGGGTACTAGCTCAACGTGAGAAGTCGGGTAGAGAGATTCTCCCAAAGCGGTCGTTGAGGTTGAGATTCGTGGTGAGAGAAGAGAGAAATCACGCCGAGAAGCGCGGTTGGAAAACAGTGAAGGACAACACCAGCCCCAGGAGTGAAGAAAAAGAGAATACGAACTGTGTCATGGAAAGGATGGGACACTCGATGAACCTGTTTCACTGGAATTTCATGCCTGCCGCAAAGCCAAGTCATTCTGCATCTCGCTGCCTTCGATGTCGTACACATCCCCCTCTTTGAGGAATTTTGTCATTCATTTTCTTTCCTTCCTTCTGTGCTTCTATCTAAGCCTGTTCCTCCTTTGTAAGAGGCTAGACAATGTCCTTTCAAACCTGGCCATCCATACCTTGTTGCCAATACAAAGGATGTGCTACCACTCTCCTTGTCTTCCCGATGACACATAATTCACAGGAACAATGAGGCTTTGTGATATGCGTTGTGTCTTCCATTTGAGACTCCAAGCACGTCCGTACATCCACATAGAGCTGGAGCTAAACCATACGATCTGTATGTGCAGCAGATTAAAGGCATAACTATTCTGCTTCGAATTTGTTCAATCAATCCTTCTTTCCCTAGGGCCTGCCACCCGCCTAGTCCTTATTGTCTAATGTACTAAACAGAGACCGACATGATGATGGTCTTGGCTCCATGCAGTTTTCTCTTGGTCTCTCTGTCGTTGATTCAATTCAATCGTTTGCTTTGTTATCCACTGCCGGTATCATGCGTTGTGTGTCGGTCACATTTCTCAAAGACGTTATGGTACATCTTCCAGGTGTGCTTCACGGAATGAAGCTGGTTCATACAATTGTGTAGGACGGTCGCGGCATTAGGAATCTTTGCCTTGAGCCGCTCATCGCTGTCCGGTGCCACTGCTAGCGCCCACTTGTTGTCGCGATTGAAGAAAACCATGCACTCATTGAGCTGGCTCCAGATACCTAAGCTCATCTTGAGCTCTTCGACCATGAGCTTCAAGACTGTATGTTTCTGAGAGACCCATACCACTCGGAGCATGAGCACGGGCATGTCGTCGTCCCCGGCCCAGCGTGCTTCGTCCATGTACGAGTCCAGCTGCTTCAGCCTTCTCAATTCCCGCTTCGTCTGCGCGTCCTTCTCCTTCCAGTCCGACACCTGGGTGACCAGTCGGAGGGTGAGGTCACAGTGGTGGAGGATGTCCGCCAGCAACGAATCTTCTTGTGGAGACGCAGGCTGAGAGGGGCCTCCATTCAGCAGTCCATGCGGAGTCTCAAGGGCCGGTTCAGATAGCTCCGCCGGTGGTTGCTGGCCAGGGACTTCCATGTCGAGTGGGATGCCCGGGGTCTGAGGGCTGCCGGGCTGTCTCGTGAGTAAGCTGGAAAAATCTCGAAAAATGGTCCTTGACTTACGAGGATCAGTGCCAAACCGAAGAATCGAGACTGAAATATTTATGACACAGCGTGAAGAGGGTGGTTTATTTGATGCCCATGTAGGTGAACACTCCTGGGTAGGAAGGTGAAAGAGGGAGGGAGGGATTCAGTGACTTGAAAGTGAATGTGCAGAGAATAAGGTTGCACCTGCGCTGATAGAGTAAGTCATTGTTCAAGCAATATGTTTGCTTCCTTGTTGTGAAGGCAGGTGCTACTATGGCTTAAATGATTCTCGGAAAGTGGGTTGTTTGAGGTATCTTTTTCTTATTAGAACATGGGTTGCCACGACCCGACTACTCCACCATATTTACCACTATCAGACACCATTACCTTTATCCACCATACAGCGCCCTACACAGCATAATACCACGCTACCCGTTTACAGTCACACAGTATTGTTTGCCCTTAATTGGCTCTAATGGGGCGAATGCTAAGGGGTACAGAATAATAGATCGCAGAGGCTAAGTACGTTTAGGGAGAGTGTAGGTGCACCATCCGCCTTATCTCAATCTTACGATCTCAAACCCGATGTCTCTCGGTGGTGTGTTATTGGGGTGAAACAAATATGTGCTATCCTAGTTGGCGGAGAATGGGAAATGGAACTTGCTTGTCTTGACAATTGATCTTGTGCCGCCCTTGACCAAAGCGAGCTATGATCCCATTGCCATGATCTTCCCCTTACTTTCCGTTGTTATGTCATCCTTTCAGCTTTGTCTTGTTTGTATCCCAACTGTGGAGATGCATAAAGAGAGTCCTCGTTTCCTGCTTGGACGCTCCTCAGAGTACGAAATACCCTAAAGTGCGCTCAGGTCTAGGTGTTTGTTAGTATGCAGACGGTCTTTTAGCCCATCCACGAAGGATTCGACAGTGGTGTTTGATGCTGGAGACCAAGAGCAAGACACCCATGTACTTACCTCTATGGACGACGATCTCCTCACGACACTCTGGGTAGACCCGTGCCATGTCGTGCCAGATGCCGTTCGGTTGTCCCCATTTCGTTGCGTAGTCGTGCTCGAATGTCGTGATCAGATCCTGCAAAGGCTGCCTGCCGGTCCAGTCACTCGTGTGGAAGATCTTGTTGATCGCCGCTTCGACTTGTTCCTCGACACTAACCGTCAATTGGCCTTGAATTCTCTTGTCAGATTCCGGAGAGGACACACGGAGACAGCCATGGTGCTCGAGTTGCCAGAGGAGTCCCACAAAGTCAAGTTCTGCCTTTTTGAAAATATCTCTGAAAGCTTCTATGGTGACGGGGATGGTGTTAGTGTCTTCACAATGTGTGTGTGGACAGGCCGGTCGCTTCGGTGGCGTCTCGACTTCATTGTGTGGTTTTTTGTCAGACATCTTGACAAGAGTTATGGTAGGGCGTTGAAGGAGTTGTTATTGATAATGACTTAATATTCACTTAATGTGGTTCTTCGGCGATGGTTGTGGAGATGTGGTGGATTGATGAAGAGTGAAGCAAGAGCATAGGTGTTTACATACATTTAGACGGTCGTTGAAGCCAATATGTGAAAAGATATATAAAGCATGCGGTGCTCAGACGCGCACAAGACTGCCTCCACTTCCCTGCAACCGTGGAGCTGCCTAGACAATTCACACAGAGATATTCACTTTGTGATGTTCCCCTTTGTCGACTTTTGTGATGCAGCTTCCCTACTGCTGGATGGCTGGGATTCTGCTCACCGGCGCCACCTGCTCTGCTTACATGTTGTTGACTCAAAGAATCACTGACATGTTGAGCTCCAGGAGTTTCAGGTGAGGGTGCTCTTATATCGTACATCATATTGTCCAGGGCGTTCTTTGTTGCAAGGAGGACAAGGTAGAGTGTCAAGGGAATACCTACAAAGGGCCCAAAAGGTTGGCAGTAAGCCATAATATTGGTCTTCAAGGAACAACTCAGTATTTGGCTTCGCTTCGTAAACTTCGGACCAGTCCAATATATCGAAGACCACCCAAAGACCGTCGTCCAGGAGTGACTGAAAAGAAAGAGTTCACGTCGGAATAAATTGTACATTTGGGTCCATTAGGATAGTAGGTGCTCAACTAAACTTGGGTGAATAAGAGCCTTCAAAAGGAGGTTCGCCGTGCAGAGTTTGGCAATATCGTTGAGAGAAGAAGCTGGCAGTGATTACAAATGACGAACATTCTGATATTTACTTCCACAGGATTGTTTGCCTCATCTTCCTGTAGTTCGTCGATGTCCGCCCCGCCTCGACACGTCCTTCACTCAGACACATGGAAATGCGTCTTCGTCACCTTCTTCCCGTCCCGATACCGATCCAGGACTTCATTCACCTTGTCTGCATCGAGCCCCTTCACCACCTCGTACTGATTCGGCTTCACCTTGCCCTCCAGCAAGTACTGTGGCAGGAGTTCCCAGAAGGGCTTGCACGTTTCGAGCTTGGCGTGGGTACTGCCAAAGGTGTTGAGTAACTCGTAGCCTGCCTTTTTCGCGTGGACGAGAGACTCGTCGATCGGGCCGGTGGGCAACAAGCGGGCGACTTTGCCCTTTTTGGTTGACGAGAGGGCGTTGATCGCGATGACCTGAGTCTTGGGAGGGTTGACGGCGTCGTAAGCGTACACCAGCTCGTCGCCGACGAGATCTCGGATTCTCTGGGTGAGTTCATCTGGCGAGGCGTGGCGGTCAATGACGTCGGTGGCACCGTAGGATTTCAACTCCGCCTCGTCGCCGCCGACCACGATGATGCGTCCGATCCCGGCCAGAGCGGCTAGCTGGACACCGTACCTGCCGCAGTTGCTGCCTCCACCAACGATCAGCAGCGTGGTGCCCTTGTAGTCGAAGCTCGACGCGGCGTCGGACCACGGAGCAGGGATGGCCAGCGTCGAAGCATCGAACAACGCGACAACGGGGGCAATTATGTTCGTGGGCAGCGTGGCGCCGTCGTCGTCGGTAAAACCCTCGGGGATCTTCGCCGAGGCGAAGACGTCGGCAATCGCATACTCCTGGAAACCGTTCTGGGCATAAGTTCCGGAGAACCCAGCTTGTGATACAATGTGGTCGCCGACGGCGTATTTGGTCACATCCGGGCCGAGGGCGACGACTTCGCCCACCACGTCGTTCGTGAGGATGGCCGGCAGGGACTGAGCGATGAAGAGGCCAAAGTCACGGGCTTTCTGGTCGTGTGGGTTTGGCCCGGCAACGGTGACGCGGATGAGGACCTGGCCTGGGCCCGGTTCGGCGACGGGGCGATCTGTCTGTAGGACAAGAGGCTTGCCGACCTCGGTGACGAGAAGAGCTTTCTGGGTCTTTGGAACCATGGTTTTAGGCAGGAATTCTGTGATGGATGAGGATGGATTACTTGGGGTAGAGCAGGAAATGCAAAGCTTTATAATGTTTTAGTTGCTAGATGGGCTGTTGGGTCTCGCGACACGATGTTTCGAGGTCTCTTGAGGTTTGTCAGCTGGAATCTCGAGATTATCCGCTCTGCTTCTCATCCACACGCATTTGGGCACGACTCGCTGGCTCTTAAATATTCCTTTGGATGTATGGTGCCATTCATTGAATAACGAGGCTCATGATCTGCTCGCTGTCTCGAGTTGCACCGTCGCAATGTCCGTTGTCCCGTCTCCATCAAGCCACAGCCGCAAGGCTGGAGAGCACTAATCACATTTGTCGTCTTTCGACCGGCTTAATAATTGCAAAATCGGCACAGACAAAACCACTCCGCGGTACAGTTTGCTAAGGTTGAGCTAAGCGAGAGTCTCGGGGTACGGGATTGGGCTTTTGCTGGTGACGACAGGCCTTGCGAGGTTGGCGAAGTGCAGTTGGGGTGGATCGGCTTTGGCGAATCCCGAACAGCCCTGGTCTTTCTTTGGCAATTGTACGAGATAGACTGAGCGGAGGAGCCCAGCTAGAAGTGTGCTCGGCAATAGGGAGCCAACTAAGGACGCAGGTTGGTGTGTCATGTTGCATCAACCCCTGAAGGAAGAAGGAAAGAAAAGGACTGCAGAAGGACAGGCTAACAGGATTGGGGCTTCAGGCTAGAGGCGATTGATAATGAGATGCTGGAGGCGACGTTTGAGTCAATCGAGACTCGGCATCAATCCACTTCTTCGACCGAGTAGCCGTCATATGGCCTGGTAGGACATGACAAACTATATTCACACTTTGAGTAGCACCTAGTAGTAATTACTCTGTGGAGTAGTAGTCCCTGGATTCCGCGTTACTTGATGGGAAGATGATGAAACCTGCCCGGACATAAGAGATGTGGAGGGATATCTGCGTGTGCTCTGCCGCTAAACAGATTGGTCCACGGAGCCCAGCTGAAGTCGGCTGGATGTTCGTACGTTCCTAAGCACGATTCAGGTGAACAATGTCGCTACCGTCCAAAACAGGTGCTAGCGGCGTAAGCGGCAGAGACGACGATAGATGACGCCCTACAACTGCAATCACAAGCAAATTCATGTCTTGAAATTTTCTATTGTGCGGTCTCTGTGGTGATGCCTCATTTTATCTTCATTTGCTTCTGCACAACGCCGCCAAGTCGTTACACCATCAGGTTCACGGTCAACGCCAAAACAATACCACTTGCAGAATCGTCCCTTCCTTCCATCATCTGGAGCGCGTCTTGCCCATCTTCCTCTTGCCCTTGATCAGATGAGCGGGCAGTGAAGCCGTCTCGTGGCGATCTGCCTCGCCCTGTCTGGCCATACGGTTCATCTTCCGTTGGCTCAGTTTCGCCATGCGCTGCGCCTTTTCTCGCTTGGCAGGGTCGGTCACTCCTGTCGCACTCATGCCTAGCCCATCCGTGAGCCTGTTTGTCTTCGGTGCTCTGGACAGAGACTTGGCCAGTCTGGCAGAGGCCGTCTCATCAAGCTCCATCTCGTCGGCGGCGACTGAAGCAGGCTTTGCGTTACGGATCTCCGCCCTTGCTCGGTCAGCAGGTGCCGATGCATCCAGCCCGATCGAGGTGAAATGCTTCTCCATCTGACCAACTGTCCTCGCTTTCTTGGCTCGTGGTATTTGAGCTTTGTTCTTCAAGCTTTTCTTCATGCGCGCCTCGTTCATCATCAGCGTCTTCTTGTTGCGGATTAAATCTGCCTTCATGCGGATTTCTGCGTCATCTTCATCTTCCATACTGTCGCTCTCGTTATAGAATCCTTCTGCGGTCAACTTCTCCTCCTCAGCTTCCAGCTCCGCAAGCCTCTGCTCAATATCAGGGTCAACATAGTCGGCAATGTTCTTGCCGTTGAAGAATTCGGGGATCTTGTCATGGTTCCACTCTGGGACAGCGAGATCGTAGAACTTCTTCAGATCGATGTTGTAGACGCCTGCACCTCCATTTTCCTCCTCAATGTCACGCTCGAGTTTCCTCCTCTCGGGATCTGATCTGTCGTACTTTTTGTGGGTGCCATTTCTGACAGCTTCTGGGATATAGGTCTCGCTCACCGACCCTTCCAAGGGTCTGGCTACGTGAATTCGGGCAAGAAGATCGCCCAGACGGCCTGTTGGCGCATCGGCCGTGGCGGACTGGGCAGCTTGTCCGGCCTTTAATTTTGCCGCCACGCGATCTGCAATCAACCGATCACAAACGGTGTTCTTCACCTCCTGAACTCCTTCATTTGTGACGCATGACAGTTGAAGAAGCTCGGTGTTGGAGTTTTGAGTCAGCAGATCTTTCAGCTGTTGCTGGGTTTCGGGATCCAAGTCTTCCGGCTTCGTGACATCCGTCTTGTTCACCACGATGAACACAAGCTTGTTGGCGAAGAGCGGTTTGATTGAGTTGAATAGCGCCATCTGCGCCGAGACTGAGTAGCCACATTGTTCGGATAGATCCATAAAATACAGGATGGCGGATCTTAAGTGTGCAATTGCTGTAATGGATTGCATTTCAATCGTGTTCATCTCCTCCAATGGGTGATCGAGGATACCCGGTGTGTCAATAGCTTGAAATCTGAGATATTTATAGTCGAAGTGACCAACAAAGAGTGATTTGGTGGTGAAAGCGTAGGGCTGGACGTCAACATCCGCTCGAGTGATTGATTTTAAAAAGCTGGACTTCCCCACATTTGGATAACCACAGATGAGAAGCGTCCGAGTATTTGGGTCTATGCTCGGTAGACGCCCAAGATGTTGTCGCACCTGCTCCAGATACACGAGAGGGTCTTTCAATCTTCTGCAGATTGTGGCCATTCGGCCGAGGGCCGCGCGCTTGAGAGATTTGCATTGGAACAACGACTGCGCATACTTGAGGAGCCGGACGTAGTCTCTAGCCACTGTTTCTATCAGCCTCTTGGCAGTTGACAAGGTCCCCAAAGCAATTTTGAAGTGGTCTGCGTCGTAGAGAGTATTGAGGAGGTCTTTGTGGAAGGGATGAATGTCTTGGAGGCGAGGAAATCCTTCGAGTATGGCTTGCAGCTTCTCGCAGAATGTTTCGGAAGTGAATTTGACTTTCCGTGTATAGAATCCTATAGTTTTGTCTCAGTCATACTCTCTTTCTCGACACTGGTAGGGTTCTAACCTCGAATTCTGCTGATTTTGAAGCCTGCACGAATCTGGGTGGGTAGTCGCCGCTGTGTCCGGCTGAGAACAATGTCTATGAATTCTTGGGAGGTAGGGACGGGCGCGATATCCTTCCAAGTGGTCTTCATCTTGCCGGCAGGCGTCCACGCGGGCAATGATTGGGGAAGAAAGACGTCGTGGCAATTGTAGAAGTTCGAATGCGGCGGTACAAAAATTCGCAACTCGAAATTCGCTTATCGCTTATCGGCAAAAAGGCAACTCTGCCGAATGCCAAGCTATTCTTTCATTGGTTTGAACGTCCATGCCTGCCTAGTTGCATTGATTTCAAAATGTTGAGTCACAAAAAGATCCTCGTTCTCCCTTAGGCTTGGTGGACAAATGGATGTTTGATGATGCGATGATACTATACGTTCTGCTTTTTATGACCTGGCCCTTTTGTTACCATTCAACTCCTTCGAGACTGTAGAGAATGAAGAAAACTACGCGTCCCGAATTTCCGGTCCCAGCGTCGCCGATGACCACTGCTCGTCTGCTCCTTCGACCGATCCAACAATCAGATCTGGAAGACTTTTTTGTCCTTCGCACAACAATTGAAGTCATGAAGTGGACTAGTTCTGGGAAAGTCGACGTTGACAAGGAAGCCACACAAGTCTGGATGAACAGATATCTTCCACCAAACGATGCCACCACTTTCAATTTTGCCATTGAAGAGCTCGCGAATCCCGGCAAGGCCATCGGTGTGCTGGGATGTCATATAGCTGAACCACCCGAGTGTGGTTACATGTTGAGCCCCGAGTGTTGGGGTCGTGGGTATGCCACAGAAGCGCTTCAGCGATGGCTGCAAGCTTGGTGGGGGTTGCCTCGGAAAGAAGTGATGATCGAAGAGGCAGAGAAGAGGGATGGGCCCAATGACACCGTTGTAATGGTACCTGAGGTGTTGATGGCAGATCTAGACGGCAAAAACATTGCAAGTGCCAAGATACTGGCCAAGTGTGGTTTTCGCCAGGTCGCTGAGGAGCCGATTCAACATAATGGCACGACCGTTAATCTGATCACCTTCGAGCTCACCCGGCCACGATAGAGCCCAGAATCACGACTCTAATTTTGAGCCTTCGAGCGCTTTTCTTGGTCCTGCCGTTTCATTTCTTCTCGCATCTCGTCCTTAATGCGCGATATCGTGCCAATCCCTCCGTAAACCAAGGCAGTATAAACCATTGCCACATTGGCCCCCGCGTTGAGTACTTCAAGAGCTTGCTTGCCATTGGTGATTCCACCAGTTGCAAATATTACCTTGGGTTGATCGATAGATTCCAGGTGGGCTGGAGCAGACTCAAGGCGGTCGAGGGCGTCGCGTTGTGCCCGAGGAGGAAGTCGCTCGATGGCTTCTTGAATTGACTGGAGATGTTTTTTCTCTTCCGCCAGACGTTCTTCTGGATTAAGCGGGGCTGCCTCCTCGACCTCGGGGGTTTTAGATTCCGACGGCAGCTGGTCGTAGAGGCGATCACCAGAAAGGTTGTTCAGAGGTTGCTTGGCCGCACCACTTTGTTCCAGCATGTCACTGGCTGATATAACGCCGGTGTCAACGGACGAAGTGATTTTGTCCGAGTCTAAGACGGGAGAATCGTCAAGGTTGGATTCTTCAGGGCGTGATTCCAGAGCTGCCTTGATCCGATCCGCCTCTGCTTCCAGCGCCCCTTTTCTCGTGGGCGGATTGCGCGATATATCAACGGATGCAGGCTTCTCAACCAAAAGTTTCCTGTATTTTTTCACCAAATCAACCGTTCTTTCAAAAAGATGGGGTCCAGAAAATCCTCCCTTTTGAAGCATGTTTTGTTCCTCGAGCGGAGACAGATTCTTCAAGTGAGTAAGGGGTTCGGGTCGACGGTTCGTGGTGTTTCCCACGATGACTCCATCTACACCAGCAGCCCAGACCGCATCACAGATTCCTGCGATTTCCGACTCTGAATCCTCGTCTGGGCTCACTTTCACCATCACATAAGGCCGCGTCCGCCTCTCTACAGACCTAGCTGCATTCACCACCCCACTCAAAATCTTTCGCAGCTTGTCAGACTGTTGTAGTGAGCGAAGACCAGGAGTATTAGGACTGGAAACGTTGACGACTAGAATGTCAGCATAAGGTCCAAGCTTGTCAACACAATAAACGTAGTCGTTGGTGACAGCCTCAACATCATCCTCCGGAGTGAATTTATTTTTGGCAATGTTGACAGCAAGCAATTTTCCCGGAATCAAGCTTCCTGGAGGGACGCCTACGATGCCATCAAGAACAGCCTTTTCTGCGATCTCATCGTCACCGAGACCGAGGGAGTGCGCAAACTTTCTCACCCTATTTCGTAGTCTCATGGCCACATGATCAGCGCCTTCCGAATTGAGGCCGTATCTGTTGATCATGGCTTGTTGCGATGTCAACCGGAATACACGAGGCTTTGCATTGCCCTCTTGTGGAAGTGGAGTCGTTCCTCCAATCTCAATAATCGAGGGACCAATGTCAAACAGTACGTCCGGGATGTCTGCATGCTTGTCTATACCCGCAGAGGTGGCAATCGGATTCCGAAGGCGTTGTCCGAAAACCTCGACTTCAAGATCGTGCTCCTGATCGGGATCACCTCGTTCTCGTGGATGGAGACCGAAGTCCCAGAGTGATTTGAGAATTCCGTTGCTAGCGTGGTGTGCCTCTTCAGGGTCTCGATATACCAGTCTCAGAGCTGGGATGACCACATAACGATGAATGCTTGCTCGAGTATCGGTGACATAGATGTAGATGATGCCGAGGCCGAAAACAAGAGTGGCGCCGTAGAGAACATCGACCAGTCGAGACGAAAATGTAGGCCTCCCTTCAGAAGTAGAAACATGTCTGCGGAGTGGGAGATTAGAGATTCGAGGCCGGATCAATGATGGATGAGCCGGTAGACGGGGTCGAGAAGCTCCAAGGAGCAACTTCGTAGTCGAGTGTCTCATTATCAGCCTTAGCGACGATACCCTGGACAACGGAGATCGCGAATCGAGTTCTGATGCTAAGAAAGAGCTCCGTGGTACGGGGCAGGGCAGCTTCCAGGACCTGGTATGTCAGGGCATCCTTGACGAGAGAGATGAAGCCGGCGGCGACGGCAGAGAAACGAGCTCAGAAAATTATGCTGTCAGAAAGCAACCAGCCACAAACGGACAGACGCTGATTGGCTATGTGCTAGAACTCGGCATACCTGCTGTATTTGGACTGAACCACGAACGCCACACTCGGGATGTTCTCATCTGCCGCCTTCGACGCGTCTTTTCTTCTCGATGTGTCACGTCTACCTCGTACAGATCAACGCAAGTTGCAGGGAAGTAGTCGAAATTTTGCCATCGCAATCACTATTTCCTCTAGGTAGAAAATCAAATTCGGTTGGGGCATCGAAAAGACCCTGACGCTGAATGCACGTTAGAAAAGCGTGGTCGAGTCTGGTTGCAGTGGAAACAGCCCCTATCGGAAGGTTCATTCAGGCTCCTCGATGAGCCGTGGCCCTGGCTTCTCCTGAACCAAATTGAGGCGGAAATACACTGTTCGACTCACTGGATACTCTGTCAACTCCTTTCGATGCTGTAGATTATCTATATTCGTCAGTGTTCAGGCTGTATAGTATAAAATTTTCCCAGGTTGACCATGTCGCTGTGTTAAACAACAACTTGGCCTGGAGTTTACAATCATGCTCCACAAGCCACCATGGTAGGACTTCTAACAACGAGCCGATTTTCAAGCGGCTCTGAAGGACATCTGTTTTGGGTATGCCGTGGCGCCAAAGAACCATTGGCCAAGATTGAAGCGGCAGCCGCCAAGCAGTTTCGGGTGGTCGATCTCCGCCGCTGAATAACGCACGGACCTCATAATGCACTACACTGGCCATCATATCAAGGCAAGCGCCCACTTGCCTGCGCAACCACTCGTTTCGCAAGCCCCCGACTTCACTGACACAGATGTCTGCGAAGCAAGGTGACCTGGACATAGGAACACCGACCGACCCATCGAACGACCGACATCGCTCTCAATCTAACTCGTCGATGAACTTGGTCGCAGGCAAACGACGACGCTGCGAGTTTGAAGACTCGGTATCTCGTCCGGAGCCATCAACGAAACGACGACTTCTTGATCGCTCTCCGCCCCTTCTGCCCGTCCACGCAAGTCCAAGCACAAGTCAAATCGCAGTCGCGGAACAGCTTCCCTCACCTAAAGTCACTAATTCATCCAAGGGCGATCAGCAACTTAGTGTATGCTCTCATGGTTTTCTGAATGCATTGACATGTTCTGAAAGACTACAGGAATTTCATTCGAACCCACCGCTGTCCCAGAGTCCTCCGACCGAACTTCGTGGCGTTGCGAATCCAACCTCCGAAGAACCATGTACATTTCTTGAAAGTGAAACTCAAGATTGGCAAATCCGTAGATGGGTTTTAGCAACTGAAGGGTCGGAAGAGAACGACCCGCAGCCTCCGCCGATTGAACCATATCCTGAAGAACTGGGAGGGATGCCGTCGGCGAAACGCAAATCTTCTCAAGAATCATTGGGGCCTACTTCGTCGTACGGCGAGGACCCGGAGAGTATCGCTTCTACCGACGCGAGATCCAATTTCTACAGCAGTCCTGCTTTTCCCACCCTGATAGCGCAACATGGAATTTATATGGACGACTCCCCGAGCGGCCTCGAAAAAGAGGAACTGGAATTTTGTCAGGAGCTACTCTCTACCAGTGCCCCTCACCCGGTGGACACGATGCTAGATGATGCCTTCTTCCTATCATTCTCCAAATTGACTCGTAACAAGTCTGAGCAGTGGCTCGTGAAGCACATGCATTCGCATCTTTTTCCTTCACCAGAACTTTTAGCACTTCGCGGACACGATGAATTTAAAGGTCTTGGTCTCATTGAAGGATGTGGTGATAACTGGTTACGAGCGATTTTCCCGGCTTATGGGAAGTGTCCGCAACCGGATTGCACGATAGCCTTCAAGTGGGAAAATTTTTCGAGGGAAGAACTTCGGAAATTAGGCATCACCATTGGGTTACCTTCCAAGTATTTGGCCCGCGACGATATGTTCTTCCCGTTCATCACATGTGAAGCCAAATGCGACAGCCAAGTCGTCGGACTCGCAGATCGACAGAATGTCTACAGTATGAGCGTTGCTCTCGAGGGCGTCGTCGATCTGTTCCGGAGAACGAACCGATTGCAAGAGCTCAACGGCAAAGCTCTTGGGCTGTCGATATCTTACGACAATGACACAGTGAAGATGTATGCCCACTATGTGGTGACCAATGCTCAGAAGCCGAGTGGCCAACCGTCCCAGCAGCCAGCCAAGATGACCACGATGAAATATTGGACAAGAATTGGGCAAGTGTTCCTGAGTAACGACGGGGGCAAAGATCGGTGGAAGCCATACGATTTCTTTTACAACGCATGTCTCAAATTCTCCCCCCGCCATCTTAAGCGAATCAAGGAAGCAATTGCCCTCCTACGCGACCCGGCCGAAGCGTCATCTCAATCGGTCCCCTCCGTGGACGAAGATGGTCAAGACCTGCAAGTTGGTCAAGACGTGAAAGTTGGAGAGGGCGTTTTCAAGAAACCCCGGAATGATGGTATCAATGGAGAACTTCGCAAACAGATAGCTGGACTTGAGAAGCAATTAGCGGCTAGCGACGCCCATCAAGATGAGGCCAGAAGCCGGGAGTCCGCTCTTCACGATCAACTGGCATACCTACGAGATGAGGCCAGAACCCGCGAGTCCGCCCTTCACGATCAACTGGAAAAACTACGAGATGAGGCCAGAATCCGCGAGTCCGCCCTTCACGATCAACTGGAAAAACTACGAGATGAGGCCAGAATCCGCGAGTCCGCCCTACGAGATGAGGCCAGAAGTCGGGAGTCCGCCCTTCAAGCACAACTGGGACGTGTGTTACAGCTACTGGAAACAAGGAGTAACTAGTGTGATTTTTCCAAGCGATCGACGGATATATGATCACAGCAGCCACTACACCTATGTAGCAGAGTGATCCTTCAGAATGTGCCGATAGGTTGACTTGAATGATTTTGCCTGTAGGTTTGTCGGCGTCGCAGTGTTGACTTTAGGCACTGCCCTTGTAAATTCGGCCCAGAGGAGATTCAGGCGCCTGGATCAAGATACGTTCACGTGCTTCTCACGGATTGTCTCCATAGCTGGAGTTGACAGTAAGTACATGTGTCTCCCACACCCTGCTTCCGGAAAATGAGGCGTCCCTGTCCAGAACCGCTTCCCCCTTGTGCTTCACGTATCCTTGTCGCTATTTACATTCTTGATGGTTATCCTGTGCTTGTCTACCTGCTGGACCTTCCTGGGCTCCTTTACTGTTGTATGACCCCGGCCACCCCTTAGATTTCATATTTTCTAAAATTGGCTAACCACACTCGGACGACAATCGATCAGGACGATCGTTGTCACGTACCCGTTAGCTGATCTCGTGGACGTGTTTCATCATCTCCAAATGCTGATCGATGTGGATACGGAAGAGAAAGCTGACGTCGATACAATTCGCACGGTATAACGAAGCTGCGCAGCACACAAGGCACAGAAGACCGGCGACTGCGGGCTTCCAGGAATTATTCACTCGTAACACGATCAGTTGATCTTGTGGAGGTGGGTTTGCCACCATTTCCAACATCTTTCAACTCCAAGACTTCCGTCCTCCAGAGGCCCGGAAGATCATACCACTACATTATATGTCTTGCTCATTGTGGACGAGGCTCGTTATGCCCAGGAAAAAAAATCCCCTATCATTGGCTGGCAGTCGCCATCGAGTGCCTGTCACATTCTATCATGCCTCGGCAATGTGCTGCCGCAGAAAAAAACATATGAATACGGATACGCGGGATCAGACTGAGCGAAGGCGAATCAGAGCGAGTTTCATCACAGCATCAGAGGGTCGAATGTCTAAATATACCCCAGATTTCAGCGAGCACAATGCATAGTACCTCATTCAGGTCACCCACATGCTCCCACTGATCGGCAACCCGCGCGATTTTTGTCCTAAGAGAGTGCAAGCCCAAGGCGGTTTTCAAGGCATCTTTTCAAGGTAGACTTCAATCTCGTGCTTTCCATGCGGTGCTTTTACACTTATATATAATTAGAGTCTTGTTGACTCCTACTGATTCAGGGCCCAAAGAACTCCGGATTGCTTTGTTATATGCATGTCTCAGCGTCAACAGTCTTACATAACCTCACCGCAATTTGTGCCAATTCACAAATCTCCCCGAACCAAACAAACGTGCAGATTAGTAGTAAGACGATACACGAAACGTTTCCAGGCGGTCTCAGTGGCTGCGAATTTCTGACGCACCACTTCCCAAACGAGTCCAAGGAGCAGCAGACGTCTAACGCTGACGCAGCACTCTACATCAGCAAACATCTCAGCCACCAGCCCGCTGGCTGGGCCGCGTTCGCAAGTCTGAGCATTTCGTGTCCAGACGTGCAGCCTTCCGTCTGCATCCGTGCGGGCGAACCAACCATCAACGTTCCGGCAGCGAAAATACCGGACCCCTTTTTTTTCACATTTATCCACAATTATTACAATACGCGATTGTGGATGTCCCTTGACGCCCTTGATATTGTACAGGTCAGTCCTGGTCACGTTGCCATCATATCTCTCAGCCAGCCCCCAGGTTCTCAGGAACTGACTCCCTTGCTTGAAATTTCCTCTACTTCCCAAGATTACTCCAAGATACTTAAAAGGAATTCCAATTCAGCCTTTCACACACGTTCGCACAATGGCTGACGCCGATATACTCCCCTCCTATAATGCATTGTTCCCGGAAGAAGAGGCTAACACCATCGTCAATGGCCGAAGACGATACACGACCATCACTCTTCGTGAGATCTACTACCCTGGTGGTTGTCCTTGCCATCCCAGGGAGAAAAAGCTGTCGAAGAAGCAAAAGTCAAAACAAGAACCCCCACGGCCACCCAATACGTTTGAGCCAGATCCTCTTCACGACTGCCTATGGCTAGGACACGCGCGACCGACCATCGCCGAGCGCTCAGCGAGTCAGAGCAGCGAAAGTTCGACTCGGTCGACCAACAGCAACGGCAGCAGCAGCGGTTCTTCAGACCCGATGAGAACCAGGAATTCCAGCACGAGTGGCATGGCCCCGTCCGTCGATTCGAAATCCTCAAGAGCGCGACCTTGGGACTGGTTTGCCCGCAGAACCTCTTGCTAACTGTCATCGATGTCGATGCTGGGATAGTCCAAACGGGCCATCTGACCGACCTTTCGACACTACCTAGCTCCGGTAATGACCCGGCCTTCGTGACCAGCAACATGAAATGGTGGAAACAAAAGCTTGTTCTCCCGCCTTCGTTTCAGGTCTTTCCCGGTACTGCACATCACCGACACCCGCACCACAAGTGGCAGCGAGGCGGAGATGTCCCTCGGGAAGGAAGCGAAGTTACTGGACTGCCACCGGCACCGCAGCATGAGACTGCCAGGCAACTTTACGGAAACCCCAGCGCAGACCCCCTCAACGTCCTCGCGAAGTCCAAGTCCAGAAAGCGCTTCGATGATTCCAAACGGGATGATCCATACCCTATGGCAGAGATCAAGTATCAGGGATGGCAGGGGTTTACTCGCATGTCTATCTCACTGACCCTGTACAACATAACCCGGGACATGCACTATGCTCCTTCGACCATGCAGGAGCCTCAGAATACGACCAACGACATCCGTTCCCACTATTCCATTACTCGCAGCGGCTGGAAGCGCGAGTATATCCTGACCAGATCGTCGTCATCGCTGAACTACAAATGGCACTCTCCTGCAAGCCACAACAACCAGATCCTCTCCATACCGGCCGTGGACGACGGCTTTGACCTAGCTAATGGGAATCTTGTGCTTGAGGACCCTCAGGGGACTCTTGTGGCTGTGTATAAACAGAGACGGGACCACGAGGTCTTGGGCACCTTAACGGTCTTCTTGGCATATGTCGCCGGCGGTGCAGGCAACGGGAGCCACGTCGATGAGAACGGCCGTCAGTATGTGCGCAGAAATAGCCGTACAGAAAGCCTTGATGAAAGAATGTCTCTTGAGGCCGTGGTGGCGAGTTGCTTGGCCGTGGTCATGTACGAGCGGGTCGGATGGCAGAACCTCCTGGGAAACTGACTCGACCTGTCGAGTCGAGTTACTGGAGAATTGCTGCCAGCTGCGAACGATTTTATGTTGGTTTATGATAACAGCTTTTACGAGACTGGAAAGGAAAGGCATTTTGATCATTTCTTCTCCCGAGGTGTTATTTCCAGGTTCCATTATTTGTATAACTCATAGACGTCGTGTATGGACTATTGGTTCTATTGTTGACAACATTTTTACCACCCAGCCCATGTACAAGTATACTTCAGGGCTTGCAACGTAGCAGAATACTGTACGGACTTTTGACAAAGCATATCAAACCGCCTACGATCACAGACGCAAAACTGTGCCGACACAGCCCACGCATTTCGGCCGGGGGCCCCAAGGCAATCAGCCTCAACATCAGCCCATCAGACCGGGCATCAGCAATGTGCGCGGATAGGGGGCAATCCACAACATTCCCACTATCCTCACGAGCTTTGCCCATGGCGGCAAAAGGGCATTGTGGGCTCAGATTACGCAACAGACTTCCTGGGGTCCCTTGTTCTCCATTACTGTACCGAGTACACAGTCAGCAGGTCATCGACTGACCAGTGCGTCGCACCATCAGTCAACCAGCAGCAGGGCCTAGATGAGTCTGTCCCGACCACTGTGTGCCCGGAAGCTTAGATGTCCGGATGCCCACTACTCACCTGCCTTTATCCGTACCCAACGAAAGAAGTAGTTGAATACTGTGCATGCCTAACTTGCAGTCTAGGACTAATCCGTCACGTCCTTTCCTGGGAGCTACAAATTCGTATATCGTCATTTATTTTGCACAGTACAGATAGCCTCCTTTCTTAAAGGGCATCATCCATCTGCCGTGCCGCCCGCCACATCCTAGGTAACTGCATGCTTGAATCGACCTAGGTATTTACGAATAGGTAATCAGTGGACCTCGTCCCGCGCTGTCCTGCCTTTCCTGCCCTTCCCGGACCGACTTTCCCGCCCCAAGCCGTTGTATTCCTCATCACACATCCTGTAAGGTCCAGCCTCAATTATCTGGTGGTCAACTGTCGGGCCCGCCAGATTTTTCTTTGGCGGCCAATTCCCCCCTCGCGCACATCCAAGCCAGCCGCTGCAACCAGCCTCAGGCCGGAGAAACCAGGAAAGCATTGCAGCAGTCCGGATGTCCGCCGGCATGGTCGGATACAGAGGCACACCCGCAAACCACGAACCCGCGAATGGGAAAAAATTGCATGAGATCATGATGGCCAATAGATAAATATCTGGCTGAGTATTCCGTAGCTTGGGTTCCCCGACTCCGGCTTGCATGCCAGGGAACGGTTCTCTAGTTGGGCAAAATTCAACAAATGATAGGCAAATAAATTCTTGTGTATCCACGAAATTTCCGTCCGCCACAATAGTTCCATCTGGTCTTCCACTCATTCTCTTCCGCACGGTCGATTGTATCATCTTCATCCGAGCCTTTCCCTGTACATCGCAACAGATGACGGCATCCCATGCATCGCTTTTCTCAACGAGATGAATTTACAATCGTCAAGGGGGCTTGTGCATACGTGCCTATTCGGGTAGTTAGGTAAAAGGAGCCAGATTAGGCTCCCCAGCATTTGGCTCAGGAAGTTGTTCGGCCATACTCACCGTAGGCTTAGGTCGAACACGTGAATTGCGTCAGCCTTGCCAACTGGGCTAATCCCGGTTGACCCGCCGAAACCGCCTTCCGCTTGTTAGATATGGCCTGGCAAGGTCAGGTACGAACATCTAGTTACGGTACGGTAGGGTCTGACGGAAGAGGTTTTCGAGCTTTGGGCTTCCCTCCTCAGATACAACAATAAAATGAATGTGTAGATAGGTTGTCTACATTGCATTGTGGAGACTGGCTCAGCTTGAACAAAGAGAGGACACTATCTGAATATGCAGTCAATCGTAGGCATTGACCATGAATGAATGTATGAGCAATGACATATTCATTCTGTCCCTCTTCACATGGTTTCATCCCATGTAATGTCTTCTGTCATCTACATAGGCAGTCGACAATGTGGTTCAAGGGAATACGACTGGCAAAGAAGTTGGCGACATGGCGGTCCTGGCATGGGCAACGTCGAGATGGCGGGGCCGAGTTGTCACCTGTACTAGACCACCACAACAGGATGCCGACGGCAGCTTAATCGATCTTCAGTCTATCAACATTTACGGATTTCCCTACGGATATATGTCGACAAGAGCAATGACGAGAACAACGATATGAACCAAAGCGAAGGCGATAATACGATCGAAAATAAGGCTGACGACAAGGACAATGATAAAGAAACTCACAAAAGTATTTACCCAGGACATATGGTCCATGGCAAGACTATATCCCCGCTCAGTAGCAGAACTGCTGATAAAATACAGATCCAGCTTGCCCACTTCTCTGTTGAAGAGTTTCTCCTTTCTGGCCGTTGTACCCTCAATCAATACTTCCAACCCCGACGCAGTTACTCTATAATTGCGAGAAGCTGTTTGCAAGATCTGCATCACTTATTTAGGAACGGACCACTCACGGAAGACCTTATCAGGCAGCATCCCTTATCACACTTTGCGGCGGAGTATTGGTGGCAGCACTTGCGAGGTATGCCAAATGTGGTTGAATTTCCTTGCTTTCACCTAACATTAAGGCTTTTAACGGCAGAGGACGACGTTTTGCTGTCATGGCTACGGCTTTACAACACTCACAAACACCCCCGGGAGACCGCACTACATATGGCAGTCTCAAATGGCCATTGGGTCATTGTTAGGATGTTGCTGGAGGCTGGGGCGAAATTGAACATGGAGAACTCATTGCGTGACACTCCGCTCACTTTCGCCATACGCAACAGCCATAAAGCACGATTTCATCACACAGAAATCTCTCTTCCTTTAGAGATTTTTAAGATTCCTTCTCATGACTACGAGTATTCCAGTACATCCTCAAATAAAGCTGTCACACTTCGCGATGATTCTGGTCCTGCATCCCCCAGGCCAGTGGCCCACCCCACACATCGGATAGATCTGCCCTGGAAACACGAACGGGGGTGGCCGCCATCGTACGATAGAGGAGAGATCGGTGCCCTCCGCAGCGTCGCCTCCCTCGGCTTTGTTCTTCCGGGCTCGCTAAGCACTTGCTTTTCGGGAGCACCTCCCCAGGAGTGCTTCAACGCTAGGCCTCACTAGCCCTATTGGCAGGAGCTCCAATGGGCTTGCGCACGCCAAGCTCCAGGCACTTCAGATATCGATTCGCTATTCCTTTCCTGAGAGCTTTCCCACCCGTACTCTACCAGACCGACGAAACCAGTGCCCAATTACCTTTTCAGCCCGTTGGGAGAGCTTCCTTATCGCTTCCAAGGAAAGAGAAATGCCAATAGCCTCTGATTTTGTTGATAACGATTCGCCTAGGTGGTCGCTTATCGCATATCGCACAGGGCAAACATTGGTTCCTTATGGAGTCCCTCGCCTTGAGCTAGCATTTTCGTCAGAGCTCTCGAGTTGAGCCACAGCTATAAAGGGAGAGAAAGAAATGAACAGGCGGGACTTCTTTCGGGTCGAGCATCTTGAATTTTTAACGTGCTACTAGAACTGACCCTGCCTATTGTTCGAGAACCCCACCCCTATTCTCTCTCGCGCTTTCCAAAGTCTTTCACAGCAGCTTTAGAGCTTCGACCTCAACCTCCTCGAGAAAAGATGCAATTCTTCAAGCTGACCGTACCACTTCCACTTGTCCTGGTGTTTTTCACCTCTTCTGCCATAGCCAATCCTTCTCGATTTGGCGAGGCCCTTCAAAAAGCTCTCGACTCGAACCCACTGACCATGGTCGGGCAACCTGTCCCACCAGCAACCCCCATCGCCTCTTCGTCCTCGTCATCGGTGGTGTGCGACTTCCCCCCCCGACCGACCGGCACCTGTGAGCTGGGTGCAATGATGCCCTTCCCCTTCAATTGCACAAAGTTCTACATGTGCACCACCTTCGGCCCTATCATGCAGAGCTGCCCAAACGGTACCGTCTTCGACTTTGAGAAGACCAAATGTATCTTGACGAACGAGACTGTTTGTACCGGCTGTTGCATGAAGACCGACTGCGATGGAGAATGAGCTGTTTCACGGATGGAAGTGACAGTGATGGAGACCTCCCAATGCTCCCAGAAGGATTATAAGGACCTGAATGACTCCTTCTCAAGCCATTGAGGCTGTAAGATTGGGTAGCAGACCAGAGATCTAGGGGATATTAGGCACTCAACGAGCCAAAGAGAGTATTCGCACCGCAACCGAGCCATCTAAGCAGGTCATAACATCAATCAGACATATTTTAGTTAGACCCCGCCGCCTAGACTGGGCAATCGTTGTCATACGCTTCCTTCTCTTCTAAAAAAGTATACAACCGCACTCTACCCTCCTTCAATGCACTGTGAACGGCGCCCTCAAGCTGCACCTGCGACTAGACCGAAAGCCGCATGCTGCGATGGCGATCCGTGTCCCCACTGAGCTTGCGGTGTCATTGATGGGCTTGAAATCTCCTTTGTGGCACTTTGCCGTCCGTGTGGAATGTGCAGGAGTAGGTTGTAGCTTGCTAGTCTCTCATTGAAAAGGACCTTTTGGGAGGGCTCTGGGCCTAGTAGCTCAGACTTGATGAGTAATTTACAATATGGGGAACAAAGATGGAAGAAAGGGGGATTAGAATAGGATCTCCCATTTACCTCTTCTCTACCATGGGAGCCCAAATCGGAGCCCTAGGTTGCGCGATTTGCCAGGTCCCCTGGGCCCCGTCTGAAAAAGATGCACAGTTGAGAGGCAGGTTTAGCCGATTAGGAGGGGCCCGATGAGGCACTCGGTGTGATGCTCGGGAAACGCTCAGTGATGCTCAGCCAAAGGCTCAGGTATAGCTCAGGTTATAGCGGCATTCGCTTACCCACTAAGATCAAACCGAATATGGCAATTAGGCTTTTCGTTCTCGAGTAATGGAGGTAGTCGACAATGGAGAACTTGTCCCCTCTGATTCCGCTTCTGATTCGCCGCTCTCCGCCTTGCTCACCCTACAAGCCATAGGAACGACCCTAGACTCCCCTGGAGGTTTACACTACCTGACTTCAATGTCTGGTGTAGGTGTTAAGAGTTCCACCGTGGGAATTCTGTTTCGAATAAGGAAAGAACTCTCAAAAATACTCGTTTGGTCTCAGAAGATCTCTCTTAACCTCGCAAGCCATGGCCCTGACCCTAGCTCGAGGAGAGCTCTGGAGTAGATGCTCTGCAGCTGCCACTTGGGAAAGACTTAACAGCACGACTGTGGAATCAGCGTGGTTTGTTTTTGAATATGCATTGGTCTATCTATCTATCACACGCACGCTGGGGCTTGCGGCTATTTCCTCTCTCCGGTGGGTGAAAATTTTGAACGCTTCCGGATACGATCGCCATACTTGTAGAACATTACAGGAACGACAGCGAGTAAGATGGCTATGCCGCCAACGAGAGAACCGCCACCGCCAACTCCAAGTCTGTTGTACATGTATTGTGTGAAGAGAGGCGATGCGGCACCACCAGCAGACTGTTGAGATTTTGGTCAGTATTCGGCACGAAAGCCATCGCGGAAGAGGAAGACTCACCCGACAGACCGTGTTGACTGCCATTGCACTAGCTGCATACATGAGGTAGCAGTCAACCAGATAGGAAAGACACGAAACCATTATCATCGTTAACGAAAACACAAGCGACGTGGCCGCAAGAGTGACGACGATCCAAGGTACTCCATTATACTCCCCAGACCAGGCAAACCAGAACATGGAGATGGGGAACAGGAAACCGGCAACGATCATGACTGGCAATCGGTCCTCAGGGACGCGTTTCCAACCGGTGAGCGTTTTTTTCCTTTCCCGGAGTGCTTGAAAGCAGACGACAGTCCCTCCCATGCAGCCGCCAATGATGACGCTGAGTAGAGGGAGCTCGCCCACCCCACTGTTCCAGCCTCGCTTCTGTTGAAAGACCACAGGAAAGATCTCGAATAGCATATACAGCAACGTATAAGCTACAGTCGAGTAGATGGCGAAGAGGAAAGAGATCAGGTCGAAGAAGATCGTCCAAGGTCTTGTGAGGGCGACTCTCAAGATAGACCGGAGCGAACGTCCCCTCGCCTCTGCGGCTGTCATGACGTGCTCATACCTTGGATTCTCCCGCCTTGCACGACGTGCTTTGTGCAGAAGTATGGTTGGCGGATGAGTCTCCGGGAGCGAGAGCAAGAAAGGAAAAGAACCCCCAGCAAGCCAGAGGAGGACGTAGAAGCTCCATCGCCAGTCCAGTTTCAGCTGAAGAAACCCTGAGACGATCGGCCCAAGAGCAGGTCCCGCAAGGGTGATCACGGCAAAAAGAGCCAAGCCGATGCCACGCTCGTCCGCATTCAGAAGATCAGCCATCACCGCAGGTGAATTGGACAATGTACTGCTGACCAGAGACCCGGTCAAGAAGCGACCGACGAGCAAACCTGCAAAATTGGGAGTGAAAGCGCACAAGAAGCCAAATGCCAAATATAGCGTGAAAGTGATCAGGAAGACCACGCGTCGGCCATAGAACTCGCTCAGCGGGCCCCAGAACAGCGGGCCAAAACAGTATCCCAGCAAGAAGAGTGTGATGACCAGTCCAGCCGCCTCCACCGAGACGTGCAGGTCTTCGGCAATACTCTGTGTGACGTGAGCGATTGAAAGGAGAGATTCACAGATCTGGCGAGCATGCTCACCTCAAAACATCCCGTCGGGCTCGACGAAGCATAAGTCGCATTGAGGGCCAGTATCAGAGCAGCGATTACGATGTACCAGCGGCGGGCTGGAGACCAATTTTTGGGGTTGTCGAGATCTTCCGGTGCGAAGTCGACGTGGCCATCCTCGTTGAGGAAAAGAGCATCTGCATCAGAATCGTTTGTCCAAGAGGGCGGTGTGAGGGTACGGACGACGAGGCCAGGTTCTTCATCCTTCATCTCGGCGTTGACTTCGTTGGACATCGGGAGAAACCTCGGCCACACCACAAAGCTCTCGTCTTCGAAGAGGTCAGAATGGAACAGCCCCCTGTGTGGTTGATCCTCAGAAAACTATTTCGCTCATTGAGGCATGAGTTGCCTACGAACGGCTCCCAACTATAACTACGACTGACTTCTGCTCAACTCCGGTTTCGATTACTGATTCCTCCGCTTCTTTCTTCTTTCTCTCCTGAACTGAAATTTATCAAATGCCCCTAAAAGCTGCGCTGGCGCATTTGCTAGCCTGAAACGAGGCAGGTGCAGAGCTTCTCCGTCGAGCGTGTATGTCGGCCATCAACCTATTTTGCCGAAATTCCGTAGAGACAGACAGGGTTCCGATGCTGCTTTAATGATGGAGACCATGTCGCCTAAGTTCATTACTAAGCCCCCTTCTGCATGCCTTTCATTGAGGCGGCCGCTTAGTAGAATCCAGTGACTAACGATTTTAGGCATGCAGTTCAAATTATCCGAGTTTAACCCTTTGGAGACGGCTGCGGGACGCCGAGGCTGTGGTCTTTATGGGGTTAGTGTACTGGTCGAGCAACTCCCTCATTTGAGACTGCTACGATGCAAAAGACTCGAAGAATTATGGAGCAGTCCGGACGAACGGCTTTTGCTGTCCACTGTAGCCGCCCCTTTGTGCAGGGCCCGATTCCCTGTCTTTCCCAAAATCCCGGGATCGAGCATTCCGTGCACAGCAGAGTCTCAGATTGTACCACAAGACGATGGCCTAATCGTGGTTTCGTGTCTCGTTTTAAGCTATACCCGAGCTGGCAGTCTGTGAGTTGGTGTTTGCTCCAATAGCGTACTGTGTTGAGTCGACATATCGAATACGAGTGGGCCAAAAAGCCTGTCGCCCTGCTGTCTCCCCTACAACCGACCAGAGACGACAAGTATTCTCAGCTCCAAGGAAAGGCGGAATTGATGACGCTCCTTGAGCAGAATAGTGAGTACGAATATACCATCTGCCGGTCACCTTCCTCAGTCTCCAATCTCTGTTGACGCTTAAATGGACATTTGGTGATCGGTCTTTGAAATCAACGTCGGGGGCCGACCCTAATCCTACAAAGACATTCATGAGAGCCGCTCCCAAAGGTGGCTGTCCAAGCATGTGAGGTTGTGGTGTCATACTACATATGCAATGTGACGACAGAGCTTTCTAATCAGAATATTCCAAACTGTCACCGCGAAATGTTCAACAAGCGAGGCATTTGATGTCCTCTACTTCGACAGAGCAGGTGTTGCACGACAAATAAGCGAGGGAGCATGGATTATTAAATAAATAGTCATTGAGCGGGGCTCAGCAGCAGAGCGACGGCAATGGAATTCGCCTGAATTGTTATCATGAAAAATCTTTAAAGGGCTGTGCGAAGCCGAAACGAACTCTCGAAGCCTATTCAGTTGAATTGCATCTAGCTGCGGGACTCAACAGCCTTCTCACCATTTATGCACAATGCCTCCTTCAAAGACCATTCTCATCCTCGGCGGTGCCGGAGTCCAAAACTCTGCGGTCACACGAGAGCTTGCCAAGAGTGAAGCCTTCTCCCTCAAGCTCTTGACACGAAACATCAAGTCGGAAGAGTGTCTCTCCCTTTCTGCTCTTTCCCGTGTTACACTGGTGCAGGGAAACTGCTACGACGAGGATGATCTCATTTCGGCCTTCCAAGGCGTCGACGCCTGCTTTGTCAACACCAACGGCTTTGCGGTTGGCGAAAAAGCCGAATTGTACTGGGGAATTCGAATGTACGAGATTGCATACTGGGCCGGGGTGAGCCATTTCATCTACAGCTCGCTACCTTATGTATCGAAGAAATCCGGGTTCAATCCCAAGTACCGCGTTCCCTTTGCAGACGGGAAGGCCAAAGTTGCCGGTAAGTGCATCTTCGTCGAGTTTCCAAGACACTGTCGCTCAACCATATCTTTCTAGAGTATTTGAGATGCCAACCAACCGACAAGATGAACTGGAGCCTCCTTGAAACCGGTCCCTACCCGGAAGCCTTCCTGACCACCTGGGGACCCACGAAAGGAGATGACGGCGTTTATACATTCAACATGCCGATCGGACCCGATGGTGCGCTTCCCTTCGTGCCTCTTGCCGATCTTGCCTGGTATGCTCGTTATATGTTCGAGCATCCATCGGAGTTCAAAGGTGATATGCTCAGTGTTGCCCTGGGGCACGTGGGTGGTGAAGCGATTGCCGCCGCCTTCACCGCGGTGACGGGAGAACCAGCTCGCTTTGAACCGGCGGACCTGTTGGAAGTGGCCAAGACGTGGCCTGACACCAAAATCGGCGTGGCTGGATCCCCCGGGTATGACGACCCCACGCTGAAGACAATGGCAGGCCACCTTGTCCCCTGGTTCACTATTTGGCAGGAAAGCGGTGGCAATAAAGGACTCTGGACAAAGGACTACGGCAGGCTGGATAGGATTCACCCCGAGCGTATCAAGACCATTGAGCAGTGGATGAGATTGGTGGGCTATTCAACTGAGAAGCGACCTCCGTTTCTGAAGACTGGCTTATTTGGTTAAGCTTCCTGAGAATGTGCTCAATTAGCAAAGTCGGAACAACGGTATTGGCACGGTCTGTACCTTGTGGCATTAATACCGCTCAGGTGATCGTTTATACACGAATAGTAAGGACAGCTGTAGGATTTGACATACACAAGGGTGAAACCTATAGAAGTTCATCAGCCATGTCGTCATAAAAAAATGCTGACATGTTGTCCCAATACCAATCACCATATTGGAATCCTCCTAACAGGGAAATATGCTAACTCCATTGGGATTCTGAGCGGGGGCTTATCAGCGTCAGCGGAGTCAGCTTGTCAAGAAAGAGACGATAATTCAGCGTAAATGGGGGCGAGATGCCACGGCGCGAGACGACGTACCTCCGTCATCCGGCGTGGAGCCCTGGAAAGCCTGGACACCACCAAGGAGAGGTCTCGTGTTGGAGGGCAAAGTCAGGGCAAAGGAATGACCACCTCGGAGAGCTCTTGTGACCATTCAACCTGTTTCAATGATGTTGCCAGTACGTTGGCGCCTGAACCCCAGCAATCTATGGCGGGGATGCAGTCATATATCTACTTATGCTGAGTATACGTAGTGAGCAGAATGCTTGCGACCGAGCTGAAGTTGAGCTTGATGTATTGCATTAGAACGTAATAATGTACGTATCTGGTGGAAGGGTGAGACTTTCTGTGACGAGCTCCCCGCCAGAATTCCTTGTAGGCTTTTCAGTCTGTCAACCCCTTCTGCCACCATGCACATCTTGCATTGTCAGTTGTATCCGGAATCGTACTCCACCCCTGAGTGGTCAGCATCTGCGAGCTCCCATTCTTGCCTTCCAGAGGCCATATCGGAAGACCTCGTCCGTTCGGATCACCGCCCGTCATGAAATTGACCTGGTAATCCTGCAGCTGCTGGGCGTAGGGCGCAATGATGCCCGTAGAAGCATTCGTTGGCTGTCCGACATAAAAGTTGTAGGCGGCGTCACAGCCGTGGAACGACGGGCCGATGTCGAATGCATACGTGTAGCTCTGGCTGTATGCCCTGCTGGTGAAGTCGATGTTGCATGTGAAGGCGGATTCACTAATAATGAGATATACGCGCTCCAAGAGGGATGTATATGGCTGTGTGCCATTATATACCGGTGGGTACAGAGTGCTCAGGACATAGTGCTGTACACTTTCGTCGGCTCTTGGGTAGGCAGTCTGAAACCAGTCCACGACGTCTTGCTCGGTCTTGAGGTACGGGGGAGTAAAGAGGGCGCCTTCATTCGCGCAGTGAGAATTGAAAATACTGATGTTCGGCGCGAAAGATCCCTCGTTCAACAGAAGACCCGGTTTGGCAGGTACAAAGCTGCCGTCCACTACGGGCCCGTAGGTGAACGTCCCCCAGTTCGACGCGGCAACCTGCATAGCGTTGGCTTTGATCAGCACATCAGAGGGGACTTTTCGAGCTTCGGCGATGGAGCTGGCGTTGATCAGCTTAAGGAATGTTTGCGTGGTGTTCTCTTGTACAAATGTAGACGCCACTGGATAATAGCCAGGAGACTGCGGCATGGCTCTTTGGAAAGGTGCGGGTTTGAGACCGCCATACGCGGTGAGTTGGAACTCAATCGAGCCGCCTGCATATGGTCAATAACAAAGGAACATACGGGGGGAATGCTCCCACCTCCAGCAGATTCTCCAACAATGGTCACACGGTCCGGGTCGCCTCCAAAGAGATGAACGTACTTCTGGATCCATTCCAGCGCGAGTCGTTGGTCTAGGAGCCCGGCGTTCGACACTCCCCCAGCAGCCTGCAGTGTAGGGCCGGACAGAAATCCAAAGGCCCCCAGCCGATAGTTCATGGCCACAAAGACCAGACCTTCCTGCTGACTCGCTGTTTTCATCAGACCGTGGACGTCATTACCCGAAGCCTTCTCGCCAATGGTATAGCCGCCGCCGTAGATCCTGGTTCGATTTAGAGATTCTTATTGCTGGGACTTGCTAATGGTTATTGGGGCAGCACACATACCACGCCATGACAGGGGCTCCACTCTGTCCCTTCTTTTGCGTGCCGTTGTTGGCCTTGTCAAAAGTGGACTTCGGCACCACGACGTCCAAGAAGAGACAATCTTCAGTAGTCCGTGGATCTTGTGGCGGCAGTTGGCCATTCCGAAAACTGTCAAAAAGAACTGTTCCAGGCGGACTGTCCTGAAGCTCTTGTTCGGCAAGAGAGATGTTGAAGTCTGACGCGTTACCAGCTGCAATGTTGGCCAAGTTGGCGAATCCTATTGTGAGCCAGGTTGGGTTTGCTTGTGGGCAGACACGACCAACACTGCCATTCTGGACGGTCGCATTTCGCGAGGTAGGCGGCTCTGGCGCGGCCCAGCGAAGGTCACCAACAGGGGCTTTGGCGAAGCGGATGTTGCTGAAGTTATAAAATTGTCCCGCCGCCTGCGAATATCAGCACAATACTAGACTGGGCGCAGCTTTGGGTCACGCACATCTAGGCTGATGGCCTGATGCAGCTCGTAGCCCAGGTCTACAATTGGCAAGCTTTGGGAACAACAGAGCTGGGAAAAGGCAGGTAGAAGTGCCGCTATGGCGAATTTGGGATGCATGGCTATCCAAGCTCCGAGTTGGACACAAGATACCAGGAGCGATGATTGAGATCAATTCGCCCGCTGTAGTTGGAGGAGTCGCAGAATATATATTTCGCACCCTGACGGCTTAGAGCCGTCCTTTTCCATCATCGTTGCTGGAGACAGACATACGATGCGTCCATCGCATTGTTAAGGCCGAATCAAAACGCCCACGAGTCAGCGACGAGCTTTAACGCCGGCGATGACATGCAGTTCCGGCAGTATTGAGCATCTCCTTTTCTTCCGCACCTCAGCTCCATTGGTTTATACGGTAGGCCTACCTTTGTTTGGTATGGGGTCGAAGACCGGCCAAAGTAAATATCAATTGGTCATAATTTGAATATTCCTCAGTCTTAAAATTGCACAAATGGTTCCGAGGTAGGTACGCACCAACCGGCTGAAGTTCTTCCGACACCGGCCATAGCTCGGTCGCGTCCACCTCAATTAGACGACAGCAATGCGAAGAATCATTCAATTGGCCTCATTCACCTTTGAAAGAAGGAAGTCCCTTTAGGAACTGACCTACTGTGCGGCGCAGTCCGATATATCAGTGGTCGGAGGGAAGGGATGAGCGGAAACTCGAGGTTTGTCCAGCCCATTCCCAATCCGTCAACGCCACTTTCATGTGGGGGCCCCAGAATCTGTCACCCCAGATTGCTCCAGGAAACAAGCTCCAGCCAGACTCAGGTCGACTGGGCACGGTCATTGATTTAGGTCCGATCATTTCATTGGAGCCTAGAACTATGCTAGATAGTTTTATCGTTTGCCCAGAAGCAGCTGCTCTCGCGGTAAATGGTCAAATGGACCCCTCCTGTTTGGCTGGAATACTCCAAGACTTTTTCTCGGTACATTCGGATCTGGAGCCGAACGATTGGACCAACCTCGAAATACCCACCTGATATCTGGGGGAGTATACCAGTGAGACGACCAAGAACCAGACAACCAATACTTAAACCCTTCCACCCCCCGCCTGCTCGATCGTGGGGGAGCCTCCCAAACCAAAGGAGCATATCGATATGCATTCATCCACAATGGAGACTGAGACAAAGATGAGCCCGAGTGAAATCGAGAAGGTGTCTGCAGCCTCTTCTCACTGGCCGCACGTTGAGGATGTTCCTCTCGACTTCACCGATCCCCACCGTGCCGCTCTCGAGAACAATCCCGAACATGCGGAAAAGCTGTCCTTGTCGACGATACTAGCCGTCGTTGTATGTTTGGCCCTGATACTGCTGCGAATTCTGAGACTTTCGTAAAGTTGACTTGCTGTGGTAGTCTTTGTCCCTCGCGTACATTTGTCCCATCTCATGCGGGTTCTCTCTTGCAACTGGCATCATCATACCGATCGGCACGGACCTTGGAGACACGACGAAGATTACATGGCTGGTTGGTGGCTGGTCCATTGCCTCTTCCGTCTCCTTCTCCATGGCTGGCGGTTTGAGTGATGTGTTTGGAAGAAGATGGACAATCCTCTCGGGTCAGATTTTTTGTGTTGTCGGCTCGGTATGTATAAGAACCCCCTTCCTGCCTTCCTTTTCTTTGTGGTGGGCTCCAGCGTTACTGACCAGAAGCGACAGATCGTAGCTGCAACGGCAAAAGATGTGAGCACCATCATTATTGCCTCGACGTTCCTCGGTTTTGGCTGCGGTATCATCTTCGTGAGCTATGCCGGTATCTCTGAGCTACTTCCCAACAAATGGCGGTACGTTGTTGCTGGTCTCCTTTTTCTTGCATGCGTGATGCTGAGACGTAGAACAAGTGGCACAGGTCTGGCCCTCACCGAATACGCCATCAACGTTCCATGGTGCGCCAACGTCCTGATTGCCACCGAGCTAAACTTACACACATCACTCGGATGGCGATGGTGCTACTATATTGGGTTGATCTTTGCCGTTGTCAGCACACTTGGCACCCTCCTATTCTACTGGCCACCCGAACGACCACAGTTCGACAATGAAAAGACCCGTTGGCAAGAAGTCAAAGAGCTGGACTTCATTGGGCTAAGTCTTTACGCAGCAGGTTTGGTGACCTTCCTCATCGGCTTGACGTGGGCCGGTCAGGCAGATCACCCCTGGCGAAGTGCTTCGGTGATCGTTCCGATCATTGCCGGCTTCTGCTGCTTGGGTCTCTGTTTTGCTTACGACTTTACGTTGGCGAAACGTCCATTATTTCCACTCGTGGTCTTCAGGAAACTGCGCGACTTCACCATGCTGCTCGGCATCGTCTTCGTGGCCGGTAAGCAAGAGTCTTGTCTTTCATCGGCCCCCTTACACTAACAGGTCTCAGGAATGACATTCTATTCCATGATGGCGCTACTCCCCCAGGCTTCGTTGTATATCTTCACAAGCGACCCGATGGAAATTGGATACATTGCTCTTCCGAATGGCATTGTCCAGGTATGTTTCATATTCGATGCCAAAGGAAAACATGGAAAAGCATTAACCCTGGAAATAGCTGCTATTCGGTGCAGTTGCCACGAGCTTCATGGGCAAGATCAAACACTTGAAGGCGCAGATTCTGGTGTCTCTCGTCATCCAGACGGTCTTCATTGCCTGCCTCGCAGCTGTTATCCCGCAGAGCAAGGTCGGCTGGGCCGCACTGCAGGCTTTTGCCGTGGGACCCTTTGCGCTAGTTGTGCTCGCTTGCTATGTCATTGCGGGTCTCAACATTCCATTGAAGTATCTGGGCGTCGCGACTGGTCTGATCGGGACGTTTAGAAGCATGGGAGGCAGCGTGGGAAACGCCATCTTCAATACGATTCTTCAGAGTGTGGTGGGGCAGGATCTCGGGCCATCCATCGCAGCCGCAGCTGTTGCCCAAGGGTTCGGTCCTACAGGTTTGGACGCACTGATACCTGCAACCATGCAGACCGTCGTCGGCGTCCCGGGGGCCTTTGAAGGTATTCCCGGAGCTTCACCGGCCGTGCAGAACGCAGCTATCACCGCAGCACGAGGAGTCTATGCCAAGGCCTTCCGCATGGTCTTCTTCAGCACCATCCCTTTTGGCGTGATTGCCATCATCATTGCATGCTTCATTCGGGATCCTTCCATCTACCTGACGAACCATACTGCCATTCAGATGGAGAGGCAAGGCATTTTTGACAAGAAACCAACCACACATGAACACAAGCACACTGGGGAGGCTCGGGAGCAAACCTTGGAAGAGCGTTAATGTTAGATGCAAAACCACTTCGAGCTCAATATCTGTTAGGGGGCTAAACGCTGGTGCAATGAGTATTCAAAACAAACCACAACTTCCATGAACCTTGAACATCAAAAATGTAACCTATACTTTCATTTGTGGGATACCAACGGGAGAGCAGGCTGTGGAGCCTTTCAGCTGACAAGAGAAATAGGGATTTCTCCATACGCGGTATTCTTGTGCATGTGTTCAGAGCTGTACGTTCAACAGCAGGCGGGCAATGTATGTCCGTGCCTTGAGGCAGAAATAATCAGTTGAATTTTTCATCCTTCGAGTAAATGAGTTTGACATAAAAATGTACAATTGCCAACCGCAATGGCCTCTTGTGCCATCCCGGGTTCTCTCCCAACCATTGAGAGCAAGGGCATCACGACGTTCAGAGACGACAGACTGATCGTCGCGAGATGGAGGTGGCGCACAAAAGACAGCGTGTGGGGCGTTGAAAGGTTGGGAAGACTTTACACCACACCCCACATACCCCCTAGCATTGTCAGCCGACTACGAGGATAAAAGGGGGGCTATTATGTGGGGGTGGGGTTAGGGGGCAGAAACGCTTGAGAGTCCACTGGTAGACATCTCTATCCAAGGGATCAGACGTGGCGTATTTGCGAAACGCCGATAGGCAAATAACCGACGTGCAAAATGTCCCCAGACATATATGCTTGGGTGTCGACGCTGTAAGGACTAAAAGAAGGCTGTATGTAGTCCTGACTTCTTTTTCCACCGACTCGCATAGCATCTTACACTATTAACCCTATCATCATGAAGTTAGAAACCAGCTTTGCAACCACCGGCGTTCTGAACCACTTCACTCAGGTGCCGCCCTGGCAAGTTGCCCTCTCACTGCTGGCCCTCCCTTTCGCCCTGGGACTGGCCTATATTCTGATCGACTACTTCCGAGTCTTGAAGCAAAGACGGAAGCTTCCCCCGGGACCTTTCCCATGGCCCCTAGTTGGCAACCACTACCAGATCAAGCTGCCACGGCCATGGCTCTACATGGCCGATCTGAGTGAGCAGTACAATAGTCCGATGGTGACCATCTGGCACGGCCACAGGCCCAATATCATCTGCAACGATACATGGTCCATCTCCGACTTGCTCGACAAAAGGGCAAATATTTACTCTTCACGACCGCATATGGTCATGCTTGGGGACTCCCGGAACGCCACGGACTACGACCAAGTATGTCTCCCGCATAACGATCGCTGGAGATACCATCGCCGACTGACTCACAACGCCACGGGCTCCCAAGCCGTGCGCAATTACCGGCCATTCCAAGAATCGGAAATCCGGATTTTGCTGCGCGACTTGTTGGTGACGCCAGAGAATTACGTCAAGGCCATTGAGCGATACTCAATCTCGATTGTGTCCTGCATCGGCTTCGGACGTCGGGTGGATAAGATGAATGACGGCGTCGCACAGGTCGCATTGAAATTCATGGAGGGGGTGGACTTGGTCATGCCGGGCATGTTCATCATGGAGACGATCCCGTTCTTGATCAAACTCCCGCGATGGATCTACCCTGCAGCGTCGAAGGTGCTGGAGAATGGCAAGAAGTTCCAACGCTTCTTCACATCCCTGTCCCGAGAAGCTTCCACCGCCAGTTCCGACAACTTCGCTAAGGCCCTCTTCAAGGAGAAGGAAGCGAATGGTCTCCGTGACGAGGAGATTTCATTTTTGACCGGCAACATGATCGGTGGCGGCGTAGACACGACGGCAAGCACCACCGTGACCTTTGTCTTGGCTATGTGTGCTTTTCCCGAAGTCCAGAAGAAAGCGCAAAGGTTCATCGATGACGTAGTCGGGGCTGACCGCATACCGGACTGGACGGACGAGGCGCAACTGCCTTATATCCGCGCATGTGTGGAGGAGGCGCTCCGTTGGCGAACCGTGACAATCTTGGGGGGAATTCCTCATGCGCCCTCGCAGGATGACGTGTATGGCGACTACGTGATACCCAAGGGGACATGGATTACCGGCAACCTCTGGGCCATCCACCGCAACCCCAACGAGTTCCCTGACCCTGATGTCTACCGACCCGAACGGTTCATTGAAAGAGAGCGTCCTTATCCCAACAAGAAAGGCCACAATGCCTTTGGTTGGGGACGACGACAGTGCAGTGGACAGCCACTCGCCGAACAAGGTCTCTTTCTGACGTTCGCACGACTTCTGTGGGCCTTCGATATCCGCCCAGCCCTTGATAGCAAGGTGAGTTTCAAGAATCCCCCGCTGCCAGATCATTCCAGATCATTATGCCCAGTACTGACATCTAACAAGGGAAATGAGGTTCCAGTGGATATATTTGCGTATGGAGAGTCGGAAAACATGCGTCCAGAGCCGTTCCGTGCTCGGTTTATTCCTCGGAGTGAGCGACACCGAGAGATGATTCTCAGCGAAGGCGCTGCGGCGAGGGAATTTCTCAAGCAATTTGACGGCGAGACAAAGGTCCAAATGGAGCCATTAGAGATTTAATGTACACTTACTGGCGTAGACAGTGATTTAGTGGTTGAATGCAAACCTGAGGATGCCATTTTCGGTGGCATCACGGTGATGGATGATGTTATTCTGAGTGCCATAGAACATGTAGTCCAAGGTTCAGCACCACGGCCAAGGCAAGAGAAGCTGGGGCCCCGGCCCCACCAAGTTGGGTTGGTCGCTCCCGGGGTATATACTCGGTAGACTTTTCATCCTCTTTTCCAACTCACATCCCCTTCGATCCAGCATGAGAGTTATCCTCGGCCATTATGGATTGTCGTTCGCCCGCCGGTGTGAAGAAATGTCAATTCTGCGATCGACGGTTCACCAGAAACGAGCACCTTCGCCGACATCAACGGCATCGTACGTTCTGACAAAGGTCAAGCCCAGCTCTACCCCTACTGACAGCTGTACAGACACTGGCGAAAAGCCATTTCAGTGCCATCTCTGTAACAAATCATTTGCAAGAAGGTACGCAGGGTGCAGAACTCAGATGCCCCCGGGTTTGCTCACCTATGTGTCCTTAGTGATGTCCTTGCTCGCCATCTTCGGAATCATGGCCCAGAAAGCCAAGAGGACAAGGCAAATGTGGAGGAGGTCCAAGAAGTTCAAGATTCTTCCATGATGACTACAGAAGAATCTGTGCCAGGGGAATCCTTTGAATTGCAGGAGGCAGACTTTGCGGGCAATCAACGTGCTTCCGAATTTGACCACGCTCGTGGTATTGGTTCGTCTGTGGACGTCCAGGCTGGACCAGGCATAATATCCAACGAGACTATCATTACGCACGCGATGCAACTTCCGGCCTCGGAGCAGATGCCGTCGACAGAGGCATTTGCAGTCGCCTCTACTGGCTTTGATCTCAGCGCATTGTGCGGCTACAACCTTGACTTTCCTGCGGTCTTCGAAGCCCTCGATAGATGGATCACGCCAGCGCCGACAGCAGACCACAGCCTGCTGGCCTTTTTATCTCCGAGTAAGGAAAGCCCAGACGCAATCTCATTCGATGCCACCTCTCGAGAGCTGTCGAAGCGCGTCCAGGAAGCATGGCCAAGGAGACGCGCAAATCCAGTCGTACGAGTGATACGCAATATGTGGCGCTGCGCTGCGGTGCACACCGCCGACAACTTCTTCTCAAGCCCACCAGCCGCGGACCCATCTCAGCCTCGAAGTGCGGGCAGTTCAACCTCAAGGTGGAATATGGACGACGAATGCAGAGCTAGGCTAATGTCAGACTGCGAAACAAACCTCCTCCCAGCCGAGAGCTACACCGGCGGAGTTACCGCTCCGGGCTCACCTCACATCTCCGTCCCTTCAGTTCAAGAAGAAGTGGAAGTGGAAGGTCTCTCACCTCAAGCGCCCCGGCTGCCGTTCCCGTCGACGGAAACGTTGGACATGAGCATCGACTTTTACTTCCGGCGGTTCCATCCGGTCCTGCCCTTCTTGCACAAAGCCACCTTCGACGCAAAGTTGACGCCCAGCTGGCTCTTACTCCCCATATGCCTGATTGGTTTGTCAATCCTCAACCCTGGCGGAGCTGAAAATATCATTCGACTGTATCTCGGCAGGCTCATACGCTTCAGCCGATTGAATCTCACCTATAAAGGCCTCGGGAAGGGTGGAGCTCACCAACTCTTGACGTCCTTAGCGTCTGCACTTCTGGTGCTATACCTGGGCCTGAGCTGCGAGAAATTGGTCGACGAGTATCAGGCCCACATGCTGGCTATACAGACGCTCTTCATCGCTGACCGCCATGGAATGTTTTCGGCCCTCGATGGCGAGACGGTGACATTGGATATGTTTCAGAGTCATTCGGACCCGGAAGAGCAGTGGAAGTCTTGGGCACGGGTTGAATCTTTGAAGAGATTGGTAATATGCTTGATATCTATCGATTCAGCTTACACGAGGATGCTTGATCTGGCCGCCAATATTGGGATCGAAAGAGTGGAGTTGGTGATGCCCTGTGATTCGACATTATTTGACGCACCGTCGGCGACCGTGTTCTTCTGCAGAGTCGAATTCGGGGCCTCGATGATCGCTCCCCAAGCCGATCTAGCGGCAGCACCGGTAGGAGAAGGGCCTTCGATTTCGACTTTCGATGCCCTGGGCCTGAGGACTCTCCTCGATGTCCTCTGCCTGCGCGAGGCGGCATACCGGCATAAGCTTCTCTCAAAGGCGAACTCTCCCTCCAGACCCACATCCTTTGTTCCGTCACTAGTATACGCACGGGACGAGAGTGCATCGAACATTGCTAGGGCTCTGGTATCCATTGCCACGACCAGGACGCCCCTGCTTCAACAAGATGCGCCAGCAGCCTTGACATGGAACCATCTCTGCCTCCTGTTGTGCGCAGATATAGATCGAGTCCAGACTGCGTGTGGCAGGACAGGTTTGGAGGCCGCACACAAGGCTATGAAGGACCTCTTCCTGTGGTCGCAGACGCCTAGCGCACGTCGGGCCGTCCTCCACTCTGCACAGATCTTCAACATTCTATCTCAACAGAGAGTTTCTGACTGCAAGACTCTGTTGCCGGAATTGCTCTTGTCGAATGCAGCCCTAGTTATGGCGATGTACGTCTGTGTCAGTCCTCAGAACAGCCATTCCTATGTCCAACCCACTGAGCTATTGCAAAGACCCGATTGGTGCAGCATCGGCGAGGAAGGTTTCTGCCCGCCGTCTCGAATCGAAGACCGTGATGGCCTAGCGATGTCCATGAACAGCCTGATCTGGAGATTCATTGTAGAGGGAGGAGCACTTACATTCGGCGGCGAGACATACTCTCCTGGCGCTGCATCGGCGCGAAAAGTGGTGCTCGTCTACGCACAACTGGTTGATGAGATCTCTCCGAAGCCTGGGTCGGATCACTCACGACTCCTCCGCACAATTGGTGATTTTCTGGGTGGCGCAGCTGAGCAACTGACAGCAGCGCTGGATGTCGGCTAGGCGAAAGGAATTCCACGAATTACTGCATCTCCCTTACCGCCATACGGGCTCATATACAAACTCGGCCTAAGGGAATGGCTTATGCACATCCTCGGAGCCTCAGTATGAATCTTCCCACCATCGAGAGAAAGGATTTTGCAAAGGTCTGAGACCGTCCAAAGCCTCTGTGCTGCGGCGGGGTTTGGATTTGCGACAGATTTGAGAGTTCTCCTCAATTGCTTGAGCTTGTTAAACTTGGTCGCTGAACAGGACGTCTTTCACATCAGCCGGGCTAGAAAGCGTTGGTAAACAATTTTCTGCTGGAGGCGTGCGCGTGGGAGACACCCTGTGGTTCGGAGGAAGTGTTGATATTGTAGTGAAAGGCGCCGGCAGGATTGGTCGTCCGGAGCTCGAAACCTCCTGCTCGATCTTGATAATCCCGACGGCACGTTTCAACAGCGATGATTGTGATAGGGATTCCTCTAAGATCAAAGTGGCAGCGGACTTTCTTTTCCAATTCCACCGCTGGCGACAAAATGAGGGACGTATCGCGGGGGAGTTTCGTCCAGCAGCGACATGCCGAATTCTCGAGTCTCTGGGAATTATGCACGGCACTCTTTCTTTGGCTAACGAATCGCCAAGAAAGCATGACATCCCCTGTGTCCCACGGGTGACTGAGATAATCGATATATCCAATTGGCTCGCAATCGACGAACATATCATCCTGACTAGGCGGTCCGGGGCATACCGAGATAGTGTTCTGGACGGGCAGCGGATATCTTCGTCCGAAACGTAGGGCTCGGAAACTCTTCGCCAACGTGTTCACCGAGCGTCCGCCTGGAGCATTTGCCGCGATATGGTCAGGAGGCAGCACTTCGCCTGGTCGCAACATAGGTCTGAGGGGGGTGGCTTGAGGAACAATACGAATCGTCATGTTCTTGAATAGCTTCAACTCCAGCTCTAGTATTGCCTCATGCTTTTGTTTCGCCACCGAGCCGGAGCGACTTAGTGGCTCTAGCGTGCTTTGCTCATTGATGGCGTCGCGTCCGTCAGTCGGCCTAGCTGCCGTAGTCTGGTTTTCAACTCCCTGACTTGATGTCGGCATTGGTTTAGCTTGGTATGGCCGGGAAGCGACACCTTCTACTTCATGAGACTCAACAGGATTGGGGGGAGGTAGATCTAGCCGGTCTGATTCAGTGGCCTGGTGATCAAGTGCTCTGGTTGACTGATGGTTTCCGGTGTAGGGCGGTCAGAGTTTCAACACTATACTCTTGATCACAGGCAAAGCTAAACATTATCAGTCCAAAATTATCTCCAGGCCATGTTTCAATACTTACCAGATTTGGATCTTGCCTTCATTTCTACGCTCAAGCTCTCCAAAGCATTTCGCACACTGGCTTTGAGCGGACAAGAGTAGCATCGCCATGGTTAAACGCGTTCTTGGTTTGACCACTTTAGTCCATGCCGACCGTTGAATTGCCTGGCCGTGGGAATGGCCCAAAATTAGCTGATATCGCCTCTGTAAGACTCTCTGAAAACCGGGCCTATGGCGGAAGTAATATTCGAGAAAGCCGTGGAAGAACTCGAATTGTTCGCACTGTTGATATGGTACACGGAGTTCGATGCCGAAGACATCCTCGAATGCAATGCTGCTGTCGGATAATAGCGAGATGGGGAGGGGAACATGAAGCAGACATCGGTGGACCAACGCAATACACATCAGGCAAAGGAAGGTTAGAACAGGGTCGGCTCGCGCACGCGCCCACAACCGGGAAGCTAGCTGTCGTGAATGTGGATTGGCGTAAAGCCCCGTAAGCAGCATAGCCCAGAATGCACGAGAGAAATCCGTTAAGTAGCGACACGAGTCAGTCCTGGGATGAGATAGAGGAGTGTGTGCTGGCGAACTGCAAGAGCCTTCACTCTCCGGCTGATCGGTAGGAAAGGAGCCCGGTAATGGGCACGAAGAAGGGCCAGATCGAACGCGGCAACTTTGGGACTTGTTCCCATAGGCACGCTTTCTGGGTCTGAGGTTGCGGTAGTTCCTTCTCGGCCCTGCTCCAGAGGATGCTGGAAGTTTAAGTGTCTCGTGCAGGACCCTGGCGAGGCTTCGTTCTTGGGCTTGGCTCATTGAGCTTAGAACAGTCATTAGTCCTTGCATATGTTGCTGGTTTTCTGCCAGGATTTCATCTGCAAGGTCGCTCGTATGGTTGGCTAGACTTCCAATATCTTGTTGGATTTTCATAACGACCGCGTCAGTTGTCGTTGACACATGATCCTTGATAGCAACATGACCCCTCTCTTCGATGTCGCTCTGCACTCTACCAGTCGCGTCAGATCCGTTGACAGTATTTCAGTGCAACTCACTGGAGAGTTCTCAAAATCGCGGCATCCACGGCCGGCCTGTTTCTTGCGTCCGATTCACGTAGTTCCTTGTCTCCGTGAAACACCCACCGCAATTTTTGTGGTATTCCGCGTGTCTTTTTGGAAGACGAGCCCTGACCTAGAGCCTCTTCGTACTTCTGCATGTCTTTCTGCCGCAGCTGATGGGTTTTCAGCAATTGATCGAAGGATTGACCCAGAGAAGCCGCGCTTGGGACGTCGAGAGACGAGAAGGTCGCAGAAAGGGCTTGGGCAGCGGTATGGAGTTCATCGTGACTTTGCTTGCTTTCTTGGTATTGTGCCTGTGCTCCTGTGCCTGATTTCAGAGCGCCTATGGCTTTGGTCGCAACTCGCACCCCTCCGACAATATCACTGGGCGAAATGCCGATCACTGACATGGTAGCGATGGTACGTCAGCAGCGGTCATTCCTCTTTGCATGGTTAGTATATTGGACTCCGGATGTTAGAACCTGCGAAAGATAGAAGAGAGTTAAGAACAAGCGAACCGTGAGGCTGTGTGGTCGCTTGCTGCCTGCATGCTTGGGGCTGAGCGCCAGCCTCGGCCGTCCAGCAATGTCACTGCGCCACGGTGAACAGGGATGCAGTTGTAGCGCTAACCAGTTAGTGACAATAATGGGAGTCGTTGAATCTGACTGGATGAAAACACAACAGTCAGGTCAGGTGGAAGAAGACCATCTAGGTGGTTGAAGGTGCGTAGCCCGCGACCTCGTGATGATACGAACAGCCAAGTTTGGTACCAATTAGATGTACAAGTCCGCTTGGTTACACGCATTGTATCTTCGTGGGCTTGTGATACAAGGCATTTTTGTGCGTGAATCAAGGGCGACAATCTTGATCTTCCTCCTTCCTCCTGTGGACTCGATAGTCTAGTCTCTCCATATCGGAGAGTCACTGTCGGACATCCTTTGGACGTCCCCCACTCAGTCTGATGAGACCTTATGAGACCCTTCTGGTGTTCAGATTGTCCCTCGCTAGTAGCTAGCAAAGGAATCAGTGTATCGAGGGTCCATGAAGATGTCCGAGGAGAATTCGTCAGCAAAGACTTGAAGAGTCTGATATTGGAACAGCTCAGGGTTCCCATTCGGAAAGAAATCAAGCTCTAGCTCTGGTTGGTCATACGATGGAATATGCAAGGCTCCTGGCCCGGATAAAGTGGTGTTCCCGACATGGTTTCCCAGTTGCGGAACCGTGAAATCTTGCGAATTGTCGACAGTGGGATCGTAGGAGTTCGGACTGTTGCTGAATCTGGTTCCTGAAGAAGGAATCATCGTCTCGATTACCAGCTGGGGTTGTACATGAGTGGAAGGCGTCTGTATTGGGCTGCCACCGGAAACCAAAATCTTGGGCTCTGCGAAAGTTCCAGCTGAGGACGATTCGGTCCTCACTTTCTCTCGTGCACGAAGAAATAGTTCTCGGATCCAATGGGCAAGCCTATAGGTCTCTTCGAACTCCTTCAGCCCGAGTAGATTGAATCTTAACTGCTGGTCCAGGAGATGCTGCGATTCTCGCAGATTCGATCGTCTTGAATAGATCAATTGGACCGTCATGGCAGCAAAAACGGCCGAGACACTGCTTACAGGGTTAGGAGGAATGGTTACTTGGTCATGACAAGGGTGAAGACAGTACCAAATCATGGGAAAGTGTCGTGCTTTGAAGCTGATGAGCATTTCCTCAAAAAGCGAAGTTATCGTCTCTGCTGCCCGAAGAATATCCTTTGTAAAGTGACTGACATCGATCGGGATTTCATTAGCAAATGCTTGAACGTTTCGCTCAAGGATACGGTAGGCTAAAATCTTGTAGTAACTACCACCTCGGGTCAGCAACCTGTTCATATCGCCCGACCGCTTTGGTTTCACATTACTCACTTGACAGTCATGTGGAGAAGTATACCCAATGATTTCTTTCGTGCTGATTGCTCCGCCATTAAGACGTTTATTTGATCATCGAAATTCCGGAAATTGGCGCAGACTGATCGAGCAATGTCATGAACGCTGTATATATCCCTCGAAACGCGGCACAGCGGGAGGGGAGAAAATAACGTAAAGACACTTGAAGCTTCAATGGGTCAGCACACTCAAGTGCATTGAGATCCTTGAATTCGGTAACGTACCGGCGATAGAGAGTTTCATCTGCTCCTGAATATAAGCCCGACTTTCTGATAACCTGTCCGGTAATTCGTCTCCCTGCAATGGCTCCACATCACAATCATTATCGTTGATGAGAAAGGGTTTTCCTAGCGAAATCGAAATTTGCCGATCACGAATCTGCATTGTCAATACGGAAATCTTGTAGGAGGAGACGCCCAGACATACGTAAAGCAACCACCAAATCTTCCTCCACAGACGCCTCTGGAGGGGCGATACTTTGGCCCTTTCCAAGGTTCGATGCATTCCAAGCGACTGGGCGCATCTGATTGCACCTGCTAACCACCACAGGCTGTCTTTGAAAGTCCGTGGCCTTCCCGACCAGTAATGCAGGAGGTACGAACAGTATAACAGGGTCAAGCTGTCACTCTCGACATCGGAGTCAAAGGCGGCTTTTGCATTCTCAAATAGACTGCCCTCGGCCTCAATACGATCATTGTAGCCCAGATCCCTGAGGAGCGTCATTTCACAGTGGATCGAGGCTACGAAAAGGATACAGCGAAGTAAAGTCGTCGACAAGGAACCCTTGCGAAGATCTGATCTGATCTGCTCTTCTTCCAACAGGGGACAAAAGACCTGAAAGTTTGTGAAAAATTCTTTGATCATGGCGTCGACCAGTTGAGGTGCAGGCAAGGACTGCGTTGAGCCTAGTAGCGTCGCTGCGCGTGCTTTGCTCTGATGGCGATCGAATGAACAAGATTCGGGGCTGTTTGCAGTCAAGGAGCGATGCACGCTGGGATGGTCATTATTCGTGGTATGCAACACATATGATAGATACCAGCTCTCAGCCCAAGGATGATTACACTCTGCTTGTGTGTGGCTGTCCGTGTTGAGACTTGTTTCTCGGCCGCCAGCGGATGCCGCGGACTGGCGAGGAGGTCTGCCGGAATCCAAGTTCGTGTTTTGATTTGTGCCGGTAACGTCCTTGTCTCCATCGCGGCACAGCTGTTCAAGGTCAATGGTATACTCTGGAGTTTTTGCTGTTGTTGTCGACGATGATTTGGGCGAGCTTGGCATTGTGATAGGGCCCTCAGTCGATGATCGGTCGTGGTCATCAACTCGAACGTGCGGAACAAATCGACCTGTGACATCTCTGAATCCAGCAACATCAGCGAGGGATATGTTTTCCCAAGATACTCCCTTGGTTTAGGCTGGCGGCAGGGCGACGAGTTTTACCTGGTACGGCGAGTCTCGATCATCCGGCAGTCATTGTTCCTGGCCCGTTGACAGTTTGTGCAAGGATGTCCTACTGTGGACGCATCACAGCGAATGCGCTGCTGATGGCACCTTCTACAAGCCACCGCCGTTCTTCGCCTCTTGGGCAGAGACGGAGGAGGTAGGGAAGCCATAATGTATTCGATGGTGGTAGAGGGGGGTTGTGGTCATGCAGAGAGTGATTGGAAAAGAAGAAGAAAAGGTGGGGTGTTAGTATTTGCATAGTAATTAGGTCGTACTGACTGGGCCTTCTTGCCGGGGCTTGAGGTTTCCAAGGTATCTCCATCCTCCACTGGGCTGGAATTACCGAGCTTCTCCAGGCGATCTAAAGGTGGGTCATGCAAACATTTGTCGTGGTTCAAGGTGTCTATTCTATAGATGCCCGTGGTGGAGAAGAGCGTTCTCCTCGTTTAAAGGGAGCTTTCATGCCTTCCACCTCTATGCCAGCCCCTTCAGAACAGATCCGTGACAGCCCCTTTGTCTGCAGAACTCACCAATCTCTGGTATTTGGCAAGCACCCCTCGAGTTACTAGACTACGTGGGGGCTTCCATGACTTGAACCTTTCGGCAATCTCGGCGTCCGTTAGGTCTACAGAGATCTCATTGGTGTCCGCAGAGATCGTCACGGTATCCCCGTCCTTGACGATCGCAATAGGACCGCCCTCAATTGCCTCAGGTACGACATGGCCCACGATGAAGCCATGTGAAGCTCCAGAATATCTCCCGTCCGTGACCAGCGCGACGTTCTTCAGTTGTGCTCCAATGAGCGCTGCTGAAGCCTTCAGCTGCTCTGGCATACCTGGTCCGCCTTTCGGGCCTTCGTACCGGACTATGAGCACCAGGTTTTCGTCTCTGGGGATCTGCCCGGCACTCAAAGCAGAGTTCAAGTAATGCTCTTTTTCAAAGACTCTAGCCTTTCCGACAAAGTGAGTGCCCTCCTTTCCACTGATTTTGGCTATGGCGCCTCCAGGCGCGAGATTTCCGCGGAGGACTTGAAGATGTCCGGTGGATTTGACTGGGTTGCTGAGAGGACGAATCACCACTTGATCTTGTTTAAGTGATGGAAATGGCTCGATGTTCTCAGCCAGGCTCTGGCCAGTTACAGTAGGGATTGATCCATCCAGAAGCCCGGCGGCGACCAATAGCTTGCATACTGCGGGAATGCCACCAACCTCGTAGAGGTCGGCCATAAGGTATCTCCCTGAGGGAGCAAGGTCGGCAAGGTAGGGGACTTTGTCGCTGACTCGTTGAATGTCTGCTAATGTCAAAGGCACTTCAGCTGTAGATGCCATTGCTAGTAGATGGAGTGCACCATTAGTAGATCCTCCCAAAACCATCGTCATTGTTAGAGCATTTTCAAAAGCTCGTTTTGTGAGAAGATCTCGGGGCCGGATGTTCTTCTCCATGCAAATCCGGATATACTTGCCGGCTTTGCTACATTCCCTCATCTTGGTGGAAGAGGTCGCAGGACTTGACGATGACCCAGGTAATGTCAAGCCCATGACTTCAATTGCCGTCGCCATGGTATTCGCGGTGTACATGCCACCACAGGCACCCGCGCCAGGGCAGGCACCTTGGATGATATCTTCAAGAACATTGTCGGGAGTTTTGGAAGGGTCGTCGACGGCTTTGGCGAGCGTACCGTACTGGTATGCACCATGAGCCTCCCAGCATTTTGCCACGTTAACTCTCTCCCTCAACAACTTGGAGAACCCAGGCTTGATTGTGCCACCATAGATCATGATTGAAGGTCGATTGTGTCGGGCCATGCCCATCACCACTCCAGGCATATTCTTGTCGCAGCCAGCGACTGCAATGTTGGCGTCGTGATGTTGCGCGCATGTTACAGTCTCCAGACTGTCCGCGATCAGCTCTCTTGTCTGCAGGGAGAACCGCATTCCTTCTGATCCAACTGTGATGGCGTCTGAAACTCCGACTGTATTGTACTGCCAGCCCATAAATCCCTCCTTGGTCACCGAATCTTTTGCAAGCTTGGCCAGGTCCAGAACTGGAGCATTTCCATCAGTAACCCACTTCTTGTTCGATTGAGGTCACTTACGATGCATGCTATATCGGAATTAGCACTGGCTGCAACAGAATATGGGAGCCATACTTGCAAGGGTTCCCTTCCCACCACACAGATGCGATTCCGACATGAGGAGCATTTTGCATGGCGTCTTTATTTGGCACACCAGCCGCGTACAACATAGCCTATGACCATAAGATATCAAAGACAACCCGTCTCCTGGATCGTACTCACCTGGGAGGCGGGATAGTCATGGTCTCTCGTGATGAAGGTGGAATATCTGTTCAGCGCCAGCTCACCACGACTATTGAGCGAGCCGGCTGGGAGCTCTTTGAACACGACATATTGGCCATGGTCATCGACGGTGCTGGATCCTCCATCTCTACCTGTTGCACTCTTGGAATCCTGCAAGTGCGCCATTATGAGATTTGTAGAGCCGGTCGCTTCAATGGAAGTCGACTGGTTCAGGTAGGGAAGATTGAAACCTCCATAAGTGTCGAGTATCTGGAGGATCTACATCTTTGAGCAAAACGCGGGTCAGCCATTTTTGAGACAAGGCGGTTTGTTGTAATGCTGTGGGAAGGGCCATGCTCTCCATTCTTCTAACTCAATTGGGGAGCTGACCCAATCAGCCACAAATTTCCATATCATTGTGGAGACAGTTTAAAGCTTTGCCATTGGGCATCCCATGAATTACGAACGGTACGACCGGCTACGGTTACAATACCACCGCCGGTATGGATTTCGTTTCAATCTCGTATTGTAGTACCTCTGTTGACGCACTTATTCCCAAGACATGCTAACACAGTCGTCGAAATGCACGGGATGATGGCCAGCTCACAATACGGATTTAGCCGTAGCCGGTGGTGTGTCAAAGAACCTACCGTAATCGGGTCTGGTGATGGACATTTGGCGGTTCTCCAGATGGAGCCCCGGATTCTAGTTCCCCATGGAGCGATTAGCGTCCTCAAACGTCCAGCTTATAAGAGTAGAAGTGTAGAGGGATCTGTTAAGACATTTCACGACGTGGTATCAGATATATGCTCAAACCTGGATAGCTACTCTGTGGCAACTCAGCCTCTCGCAGTCCCAGTCGTTCATCTCAATCATGGATTCCAAGTCGTTGCCATCCACTGATCTCTGTGAGCACAAAGAGGAGCTAAGTGATAAATTGCAAAACGCACCAGAAGATATGCTTGAGGACAACGACCTTGGTGACGACAAGCAGTACAGCCAACTTCTTCGGAAGCTTGATCGCCGTATCATCCCAATCTTGGCTGTGCTGTACCTGCTGAGCTTCCTGGATCGAGGTAACGACCTTCCATCCACGACACTCGAGCGTGTTTCATGCTAACCAGTCAAAGGAAGCATTGGAAATGCCAATATACAAGGTCTCTCGAAAGATCTTCATCTGGTGGGGAATCAGTATAACTGGTAATGCTGATGGTCTTCGTTTCTACACGCAAATCAAGGCTAACATGAGGCAGGTGCTTGACCGTGTTCTTCTTCCCATACTGCTTTTTCGAACCCCTGTGCAACGCACTATTAATCAAGCTCCGACCGAGTATCTGGCTTCCTTCGATCATGGTTGCCTGGGGTAAGAAGCCAACATGCATATACCGTCGCATGCTGAACGCAAGTAGGAGTCATTATGACCTTGACTGGAATCGTTCAGGGCTACTCAGGCTTGCTTGCCGCAAGATTCTTCCTTGGTACGTTTAGGAGTGCACGATACTGAAAGAACCGTGGTGTTAATGCTACATACAGGTTTAACAGAAGCTGGACTTTGTACGCTTCGACTCATTCTGGTTGTTCCAGACGGAGTTGGCTGACATTTATCAGTTCCAGGGATCACTTTTTATGTGTCACTGTGGTGAGTGCATGTCGAATTACCTGTTTCTGTCCAGACATCAAGCCAAGTTCACTGGATACTGTAAACACAGCTCATCGGAATTCACTTAGGTACACGCGTGCTGACGCCCAGTTCCGACTCGCCATGGTCTTCGCATCCGCATCTGTCGCTGGGGCATTTTCCGGCCTGCTAGCATATTTGATTGTAAAGATGGACGGTGTCGGCGGCCTTCATGGCTGGAGATGGATGTGTGTCTCTGGTTCTGCTGTCGATACTGTGTCTGAAGCTGATTCGAAGTTTAGATTCCTCTTGGAGGGAATGCTGACAGTTGTCATTGCCATCAGCGCCTACTGGATCATACCGGACGAGCCCGCCACTGCAAGATTTTTGAGGGAAAGTGAAAAGAGATTGGCGATTGCAAGGCTCCTACATGACCGGCCGCAGCACAACTCCGCCGGAGAACAGCATCTGGAGAGCCAGTTCAAGTGGAAATATGTCCGAGCAGCGTTCACAGATTGGCAGGTGAGTTCGCGCGAGATTTTGTCAGTCTACTATATTGATCAGTCTGCAGACAATATTCCACTGCCTGGGCTATTGGGGCAATGTAAGCAACTGTCAACTAATGCATTGGCTTCAGCTAACGAGCTGACAATAGGGTGTAGCTGTCTATGCTATATCGCTCTTCCTTCCCACCATCATCAACGGCTTGGGCTACACTGCCGAACACGCACAGCTCTTGACAGTGCCCATCTACACCGCTGCAGCTATTACCTGCATTATGGTTGGGTATTATTCCGACCACACTCAGCAAAGGTCTCTGTTCATCATGCTGTCGTTCAGTGCCGTGTTCGTCGGATTTTTGATGGCCGTCGCGCCCTCATCCTTCATCCCTGGGCTGACATACGCGGGCTGCTTCATTGCCGCTTGCGGAATCTATCCAGGCAAGTTGATTGCGATATTCCCCTGATTGTATAGTAAATCCTAACTGGTGAGCAGCATTCCCGGGCCTTCTCACCCTTTCCTCGAACAACTATGCTCCCAGCGCCAAGCGTGCCACTGGCATGGCAATACAAATCGGTAAGTGCTATTACCACCAAAATTCGTCCCCATGCTCAAAAAGTTGCTCACCACTTGAACCCAGGCTTTGGCACGATGGGAGGAGCCGCAGCATCGAACTTCTACCACAAACCCGACGCTCCGCGCTATCGACTCGGTCATTCTCTCGTGCTCGGGTTCAATGTGCTGTCGATGCTGTGCATGGGGTCGTACTACCTGATCTGCCGGCACATCAACAAGAAGCGAGCGGTGGAGTACGCGGATACGCATACGCAGTATTCGGACGAGCAATTGCATGATATGGGAGACAAGGCCCCGAACTACAGGTATACACTGTGAATGGGGAAATGCTCTCTCCAGTAGAACGACTGTGAACTTACCATTCCCTGTCGTCGTCCTGAACTACCGCTCACGGTGGTTTTCGGCAGGATACATATGATTGGCCTCCTCTTACAGGTTTCGACATGGATGATTGGCACCCAATCAGAAATAGTTCAGGGTGTTATATACTTCAGCACCTTCCCGCCTTCCACCGCCTGGAAATTGTACGTCGCAATTCCAACATTGTGGAATAGCTTTCTATCCTACCTGGCATGTTTTCTTCGTGCACATGCTGCCCTAAGCATGAGCATGCGTAAGAAAGATAAGCAATATTTGCTGAGGTAGAATTGCACAAGGGCTAGAGACTCGAGTCGCTGATGAATGATGTACTCTTGTAGAGAATTGGAAGACTTGTTCAACACCAAGAGCTGGAAAAAACGTAGTCGTTTCCAATGGTGCCCCCGGGCCTTACAAAGTCTCTTGACTGAGGACACAATATCTCGATTAATAGCTGCAGGGGAAAACCATGCATCGACCAGTACTTTCAACCATTCCCAGTGCTCACTAGTTCATTAGCACATCCGAAGAGTAACAAAAGTCTGACGTTTTGTCCGATCTCGACGATTCTCAAGAAATACACCAATGCCGTGTTGCTGGAATGACCAAAGTTTCAGCTGAATAGGACGCAGGGTCCAACATATCACTCACAGAATTGTCAGTCTCGGAGCCGGCTGCTGGAAAGTTTGCCACCATTTCGCGCCAATTCTCACCCTGAGATAAAATCGTCACTTGAGTCAGCCAGTTCGCATGGATAGGTCGTTCTTCGCGTCCTCCAAAATCAGTATCTGAGATCAAAGAAGCATAATCGCGTTCCTCGGTCACCACCGACACGAGTACGCCAGGGAAGAACTCAATGATCGGTTGTGCCTCTTTGTCCCAGAGCAGAGCGACATTGGACCAGTGGGCCTCAAGCTCGTCCCACTGGGGATTCCCAGGATCTTGGACTATCAAAATGTGGTACGTGCCCATTTCCGGAGGCACTTGAATGGCGACAAATCTGTCGTTTGAGGTCGGGCGCTTCAATCCCGGTAAAGCGAGGGCTTCAACTCCGGAGAAATAGAGGCCACCTTCCTCGGAAACCCTTGCCACAGAAGTGGTGTTCTTCGGAGGTACCGCCCAGGTATGGGGATCCAGCAGCGTGGATGGAGCCCAGCGCATGGAGTCAGTTTGCATACGCGGGCCCGTCAGCCAAAGCATACTCAGCGGAACTTGCTTAAACTCTTGCCACAGAACGGCCATTTTCTGGTCTGAAGGGGCTGCTAGAATCCTGGACAAATCGAGTCCGCAGAGGATCCCTGCGCAAATGGCTTGATCACTCAGGCGGGAGGTGGTTCGGTGACGCATTGACCACCAAAAAGAGCGCAGTCTGTCCGCTGGCGTGTTGTTTGGGTTGCTTTCAAAGGAGAGTCTGGACGAAATAGTATCGTAGCCTTTATGCGCTGGCCTGTGTGACACTTGAGGAATCCGTTTCAGTGATTGATTATGCCATTTCATAAGATAGGAGTAGGGGATGGCTTTGCCGCGGAACTGAAACATCAGATTCCGAGCAAGTATACCCTCCTGCATGGTCCAGAGCCGTGTCATCCATTTACACTGGACAATTCGCATGACAATCTCGTCAATGGACGAGGGAAGTGCGCAGGTCATGAGTTCTTCCGCCAGGACGAGGACGGTTGTTGCGTTGGAGTAAATTCGATGCATCCCTTCGATGGCAGCCCACCTGGCTGAGTCTGGCGTTAGGGGCACGCAGAGAGTGTCCAGCCAGAAGTGTGCTGCCTCGCCCTCTTGCAAGAGCCCTAAAACTTCACATGTACATTGTTGCAGGTATTCAGCTTGACATGATAGAATCATGTTTTGCAACGGATTGCCCATCCCGTCGCTCCAGACATGCGATATCGCCACATAATTGAGCCCGGCCTTGAAAGGTGTAATCTTAAGACTCACCGAGCCGTTTGATCTATCAGTGGAGATGAGTGGAACTCCGCCCTCCAAAACCACATGACGGATTCGCTCTCCTATATTTCCAATATTTTCGATACAGCTCATTCTACATGGGCAGCTTTTGGGGTCATCGTGCAAACATCCCGGCACGTCACATCTGCAGAACGCATTCTGGTGGCACTGCAGGTATGCAGCATTGTCCGACACATTATAAGCGAGACACATTGAACCAGTGCAGGCGGTGTGGTCAGCTTCTCTCCCAGTTTTCGGGATGATGCTCGCATAGTAGAGACCACTGATGCCCACATCGGCGTGGATTCTTGACTTGCGAGCCGGACACCATTCCAAGTCACTTGTAACATGCTGCTCAAGCCAGCGCGCGCGACTCATATGTGCAGTCAAGGGATAATTTTCCACCCCAAACCAAAGCGCGTTGTACTCGTCCATGGTTTGGACGAGCGATGCCAGCGCCAGATACGTCGGTCCTGGGACGAGAATCTCGTCCATGTCATCAATCCACGTATCCAGATCTTCGAGAATCCACGCGCAGCGCTTCAAGCAATCGCTCACGGTCGCCATCCAGTCCTTGTAAGTAGCAGCCAGCTCATGGGCCCTTGACGTGAATTCCTGGAATAAGGCTTTTGTAGTCAAGCATTTGAAATGCACTCCATTCAAGTCGCTTCGTTCGAGGACGGCTTCTTCCCGGTGGATGGGTCTCTTGAGTACTACTTGGAAAATACCGTAAATAAACCAGTTTTGAATAAATGATCCGATCATTGTTTCGAATGGATTTCCATCTGCGAGGTACCTGGCGTCTGCGTGTGAGCCGAGTGCAACTCGATGATAATCATCCCAGTCCTGTCGGGCATCGAGGATCTTGCCCTGCCGTAGTCGCTGCACGTCCCATCCTGCACGGATATCATAACCTAGGAAACCCTGGTTATCATATGGAATACCCTCGAGGTATGGAACGATGAGGTGGTCATCAACGTTGTCTGGGAGGGGTAGATGGTCCATCGTTGAATGAGTTGCTCTGGTGGGGAACCAAGACACAGGGTCAGGCTGACATTGATTTCTCACAAACGGAGCCCGTCAAAGCCACAATGAAAACTAGTAAACTTCCTAAGCCATTCGAAGTCTAGTGCTAGTTTCGACAGAGATTCCAGACCTTCGCTCACCTTCAGCTGTTCCAGCACTGCCTCATCACGATCTCTACTTTCTGAAGTGAGCTTCATCAAGGCAAGTGGAAACGATATCGTGCAAAAGCTGCTGACTCTTTTAGCCCTCACGAGGAGTTGCCTTCTGTTCTACCAGCTCGATTCGGCGCTGTGACGGCTCGAAACTTTACCCAGAGTGCATGTTTCGACATGAAGCAGAATGCCGTCGTAACTCATGGAACAGCGGGAAGCACTCAGATCACTGCGCCGACGAGCTGCGTTCCCGCCTTCATGAGGCTTGACATGCCGAAGGACTGCATTAAGGTGGGCAGCCGCAACACAAAGAATGGGGTTCGCTTTCGTGGACCAGTAATGCGGCTTCGGGCGATGTGAGGCATTGGGCTGCAGTCCTAGAGAAACCGCTAGTCGGATGGGCTTGCAGGTACGATCTTGCGCCACGTTCAGCCTGATGGGCATTTCTGTCTTCTTTTTATCGTTCTCTCTTCGCTGCGCTGCTATCTGCGTTGTCCACACGCTCTTTTCATTGTGTTCAACTCAGTGCGACGCCCAAGATCCTCGGGCAGTCAACTTCAACAACGCGGGCACCCCTCCAGCCTTATCGACCGCTCATTTGGCCTGAGCCAGCCTCGTGTACATATCTTCGGCTGATCGCAGCGTGCAAATTTCAGGCAGCATGGTAGGGTTACAAACACATAACCAGAAAGTGCCTCTGCTAACTACCAAAGGGGAAAGCAGACGCCTCAATGGCGACGGGCACTGGCGTCGTGCCGGTTCACCATGTCCAAAACAACTACATCTACTACCAAGGTCCTCCTCTAGGGACACAGCCGCTCCAGCCATATGGTCACACCTCGCAGCCTCAGCCGGTCAACGTCTACATGCCAGGAAATGGATATGATAGTAACCAAGATGCAAAAAACCAGCTTGGGACGGCGGTCGGGATTGGTATAGGCCTGGGCTGCTGTGCCTTTTGTTGCTCAGTCATGTGAGACGGATTCATTCGAGACATGGACATACAATTTCATTTAAGACAGGTATACCAGGCTGTATAGAAGAATTGACATACTAAAGCATTGAAGTTTTCTGTTGATACGGACGTGTCCGAGTTTGCTGTGTTACGGTTTCGCTCTTATATCTGAGTCAACATTCTATTCTTTAGACATCGCTTTGGTATCTGGCCCGTGGTACTCCAAGGACCCCTCGCTTAGCCCCTGATTGCCCGTAAACTAGACTGTGCCTGTGTTCGAACCAGTGAATCGAAGATTCTGCACGAGAATGGCTCATCCATCCCTTAAGCAAAATGGCCTATATCGACACTAGCATCAAAATGGAGACCCCCGTGACAATAAGAACCAGACTTTCATGACTGACCTAGTGGCCGTACGGTATATATTCTTGTGCTAGAAAGAGGGCGCCGTTATTGCTCATCTTCGTGCTAAGTTCTCGTTCGGACATCATATTGCCGGCGGACTTGAGCGAATCGGTTGATTTTCCAACGAAGCGAAAATCCTGTGAACGGTGTGGTGCCTAGGAGCCGACTCTGCTTTTGCACGCGAACCTATCCACCCGATTTGACTGGCATCTCACAATGGATTTCATTCCCCTCCCCGACAACGCCATTGCTCACCAGGAAATACCTGACCTTGGGGGCCCCGAATTCGACCATCAAGGCTTTCACGGCTATGACCAGCGACAAGGCTGGAACGTGACTGCCCTTCGAAACGGCAACATTCGCGCCGCCTGCACCAACTGGTTGCCGTGGGCCAACTCTGTTTACCGCGCAGCCCGAACACCAGGCCCGCCCGCGTCTATCAACAAGGTCGTGGGCACTGTGGCCGCAGCGTTTGTGCAGACATGGATACTGCTCGGGATATTGCAGGAGGCGCTGAGGCGGCCAGTGTTCCGCCACGAGATCTCGCGAACCGTGACGAGCGTGGATTCTGAGGGCGAGACAGTCTCGACATACCACATCACCGTGCGGCGTGTCTTCGCCGAGTTCTTAAACAAGGGGCACGAACTAGAGGCGGACCCTGCCTGGGCCGATCGACTTTACCACAGTCTACGCGAGGCGGCCGAAATTCTGCGTGACCTTGAATTACTGCATGAACCCTTCGCCAGCACCATCGGCCCCGTCCATGTGCATTTGGCGTTGTCGGCACTTGTCAGAGCCTTGGACCAGCACAGGATGATTTTCTGCCGCAAGCAAATGGACTCTACCGACTTGATGGGCATTTCCCCGACCAATTGCCGACGATTTGAGTCCATTCTACGCAATAGCCAGGGGTGGTGTCCCAGCATGCTGCGTCGCGTGTTCGAGACCTTGGAACTCCAGGGTTTGTACTTTGCTAGTCTTATGCCCGGGTTCGGAGCAGGACAGGTTCATAACAACTGTCGCTTTGACGTCTGCATCGCATCGAATATTGACCATGGAGACTACAAGGTCGAGCATGCTCCTCTACTGTGCCAATGCAAGAGAGAAGGATGTGACCATATGGTATCTACGTGCGCTTGTCCTCACGTTGAAGTGGAAGGGAGTGAGCTGGCCACGGCACTTGCTGGTACTGGATTTCCTCTGGTGAAATTTCAAAAAAATACAATCGAGGTCTCCCGATTTGAGCCTGGGACTCCATATGTCGCTATCAGCCATGTATGGTCTGATGGCAGGGGAAATCCACGAGCTAACGCTCTGCCCCGATGCCAGATGCAAGCAATTCAGAAGTACGTACGGGATTTGACCGGTGCTGAAAACATATTATTTTGGATGGACACCCTCTGCGTTCCGCTCCAGGAACCATTGAGGAATACTGCTATCATACGCATGGCGGAAGTGTATCGTTCAGCGACTCATGTACTGGTGTTGGCAAAAGATATGCTCGGGGTCAACCTCCCATCCACTCCCACAGAGGCCTTGTGCCGCATATTCTGTAGCCAGTGGGCCTCAAGGCTATGGACCATGCAAGAAGCGGCCCTGGCGAAAGAACTGGTGTTTCAGTTTGCAGACAATGTCGTTGCTCATGACACTCTGTCACGGAGCATGACCGATACTTATCTCAGCATGAATGAACAGACTCACTATTTTGGCGTGAAAGCGGACCAATCTCTTCGCCAGTTTCGGAACATCCAACAAGGAACCAGCTCGAAAGAGGGCAACGTTCCAATCGTAAGCCTCTGGCGTAGTCTTCGCTTCCGTTCCACCTCGAGACGATCTGATGTGGCGATTTGTGCTGCGATATTGCTGGGTCACGGTCTAGAGGCCGTTCTCTCAGTGCCTAACAGAGAAAAGATGCAGAAATTCTGGTCATGCCAACAAACAGTCCCGAGCAGTATTATATGGCTGCCGGGCCTCGCTTGAGAATCGATGGACTGCGTTGGGCCCCCAGCAACCTGCTGGATCCGGAAACTGCTGCCCTCCCACCCGACCCTGTTGCAGAAACTGCGACACCAACCGGTGCTGGGCTTCTTACTGCCGGCATTGATGCAGTGATTCTGCAGAATGTCCCACTGCCAGATGACGAAGCTACTGTCCTTCGATTTGAACTTCCCGGGACAGGACAACAATACTTCTGCTTCAAATTCATAAGCGAAAGCCCCGAGAAGTGGCCAGAGATACGGCACCTTTGGAACGGCATATGTGTGTTGCTTCTGGCTCCATTCCACCACAGTCGTTCCCGTACGGTGGGCGCGCTAGTGCTGCCCACAGGCCCCCTGGCCGATTACCCCCCTTGTGGTGAAGGCGAAGTGAAAACAATTCCCGCTCGATACCTTGCGAGGGTCAACATCATTGCAGAGTTGGAACCCTCTGAGGATGGCAGGGTTCGCACGAATGATGGCTGTGATGCCCTGCGGAATGCCATACGGCTCCAAATGGTTGAAGTCCTGGACGTTGCTGACTCAAAGAGCGTTGATGTTAGATGCCAGTGGTGTATAGCTTGAACAGAGAACATCCGTCGTCGCTGCACAAGATCGACTGCTCGCCGTCTTAGAGGCAACAAAGCCAACGGCGCCTACCAAGCAGATGCATGCTCAGGCCGACGGATCACCCTGCGACGCTGCGGTGCTGGACACAGAGAAGAGGTGATGGTAGGAGTTCAAGGTGTATCATACATCACTTCCTTATTCCGTGCCAATACAATATACTCATCCTCAATTGTGAAACGTCCGACGGGTATTGAGAAGTGAATGAGCTTGAAATTCTTCTTCATTTTCTAGGTAGTAGTGGCAACTTATCATAGTCGATAGTAGCTGCCATTGGCATTGGGTCCAGGATTCCTTCAACGAATATACTCCAATTCAGTCAGAGCATCTCGAGAATTTCCTTTGGTGTCGTCGTAACTCAAATACATCGACCTCCATCGACCTCCATAAGTACACCGGTAAGAAACTCGGCATCGTCGCTCGCGAGGAAACTTGCGGCATTGGCCACGTCTTTTGGCTGTGTAAACCTACCCAACGGAATGGATGCCAGAATGGGAGCACGATTCTCTGCCGTATCCGGTTTACCTAAAACCTTGGGGAGCCTTCACAGTCGCGGGTGGGTTAGTTAATAGCTCTCAAGCCTTCCCAGCCTTGTCTTTCCAACGGGACACGTGGGGGAGAAGGTGACGCTTACATTGCAGTTTCTCCCAGGGCAGGGAGGATAGCATTGAACCGGATCTTATTGGGGGCGTATTCCACACCCAGACTCTTCGTCATGATGCTCACCGCGCCTTTGGTAGTCGAGTACCATGTCACGCCGGGCCTCGGTCTCGAGGCACCAGTGCTCGAAAGGTTGACGAAGTTCCCTCCTTCACCGCGTTTCTGGAGGTAGGGCACGATTACCTTGCAGCTCCAGAAGAGGGACTTGACGTTGATCCGCATGAGACGGTCGAATTCCTCTTCCTCAACCTCGTGGCTCGGCGTGTTATCGTAGATGACTCCGGCGTTGTTCACAACGATGTCGAGCTTGCCGAACTTGTTCACCGCCGTCTCCAGGGCCTTATTCCATGTGTCCACCTTGGAGACATCACCTATGACTGCCACGACGCTGCCGTCTGGGTACAACTCGGCCACACTTTCCTGGAGCTTGGGGCTGACGTCCACTGCGACAACCTTGGCACCCTCTTGCTGGAACTTGTTCGTGATGGCTAGGTCCCGGACACAAGTAAGTCTTTTGATCCACGAGACCCTGTCAAGGGGAGGAGGGGCAAAAGGGTATATACCAGATCCAAAGCCCATACCGGCGCCTGTCACCAAGGCAACTTTTCCATTAAGCTGGCCCCTCGAGCTTCCTGCCATAGTTACAATAGGTCTTTCACCCAAGAAATCAGAACGTCCTGGTGGGCATGTCCTTTCTCGAATCGCTCATCTCGAAATACCACGGTATCTCGTATGCAGCTTATATTCAGTATGGCTCATGACGCACGCCTGTTGGAGATGATTCTATTCCCCCAGCCGCCCCGCTATCGTCCCCACCCATAAAAACCCCCTTTTCCCCGGTCTCCCAATCGAAGGCCGAGTTCCGCGGTTGACGATTGCATTCGGCTCATGATTTTCCGGAGCCCCAGAGAGATTTGGGGTCATTGGGAGTGGGGAGAGACGCGATCAAGGGGGACTCAAAAGTCCTTTATCATCCGAAAAATGCCACCGGAATTGCACCGTGGTTTCATTTGAGAAAATGTCATCTTTAAAAGGTAGCAGCAGACTTGTTGAATTTCATCTGCTTCAAACTCTGGCAGTAGTCCGAGCGGCGCTCTGGTATTGGTGTCCTGTACAATAGAAGCTAGTTAAATCTGGCCTCGAAGATGCCTCAAAAATCTCCATTTTCGATCAGCATCCCTCCCACAGATCTTCTCACCTATCTTTTCCCGCCCGATGAGAAGCCTTCAACCCAACCGCTCTATATCTCTGCTGATGACCCTTCTCGCTATTCGCTGTCGCCGGCGGAGACTCTCGTCTGGGTCAAGCAGTTGGCGCTTGGGTTGCAGCGGATCCTTGGGGTGAATGGGAAAAGCGCAGAATCAAGAACGGGCTTCACGATTATGATGTTTACCCCAAATCATGTGCTTGTCCCTGTTGTCTATCTCGCGGCTATCGCGGCAGGCGGGATCTTTAGTGGCTGTAGTATAAGCTTTGGAGTCAACGGTGAGCAATATCCTTCTTCGAGTCCATGTCTCGGCCCTGCTAAAGACGACGTGTGCTCCACAGAAGCGACAACTCAATTGCAAAACACCGGCACGGAGGTATTCTTCGTTCACCCAAAACTGTTGAAAGTGGCTCTCGCAGCTGCCAAAAAGGCTGGACTTCCGAAGAGCCGAATCTTTCTTTTTGACCAAGAGCCTCACCCAGAAACAGAGGGAATCCCCGATTTCCGCTCAATGCTGACCACGGTGGATGAAGCTCAAAGGTGGCAATGGAAAAGGTTGAATGGTGACGAAGCAAGGAACACCACAGCCGTGCTCAATTACTCTTCTGGGTAGGTATCTGTCGCACCAGGTCGAATATTGGGGGGTATTTCTTCGATGCTGACATCAATCACAGAACGACTGGGCTTCCGAAAGGAGTCCGCATTAGTCACACCAATTTGATTGCCAATGTTTCTCAGTCGATTTATATGCGCGACCTAGAACAGCCGTACACACCATCCACTCGACCTCAGGAACGTTGGCTGGGGTTTCTCCCTCTTTCTCATGCCTACGGACAGTTGTGGACGATTCTCGCGGCGCTAAAGACGCAATCACCTGTCTATATCATGGCACAGTTCCACTACGTCGAATTTCTCAAACACATCCAGACCCATAAAATCACTCACCTGCAGACTGCCCCGCCGGTGCTGGTGATGCTCGCCAAGAGACCCGAGACGGAGAGCTACGATATCAGCTCCTTGCGCAACATTCTCAGCGGCGCAGCACCTCTGAGCCAGGAATTGCAGAACGAAGTCACGTCGAAACTCAACGGGGGAAGAGTTGTGCAGACCTGGGGGATGACCGAAGTGACGTGCTCAGCGCTCCACATGCCGGGCGGACGAGACGATCGAAGCGGCAGTGTGGGCTATATCGATCCGAACTGTGAGATGAAACTGCTGGATGATTCCGGGGTGGAGGTCCCGATCGGCGAAAGGGGCGAGATCCACGTGCGTGGACCTAATATATGCCAGGGCTACTGGAGGAATAAACAGGCGACTCGTGACCTCTTTGACCAGGATGGGTTCCTCCGAACGGGGGACATAGCCGTTAGGAATGCAGAAGGCCTTTACTGGATCGTCGACCGGAAGAAGGAGCTGATCAAGGTCAAGGGCTTACAAGTGGCGCCAGCCGAGCTTGAGGCCGCGCTTTTAGAGCACGACGGTGTCGCCGACGCGGCAGTTGTGGGTATCAAGCTCGGACAAGACGGCGACGAAGCGCCCAGGGCATATGTCGTATTGAAAGAAAAGGTCAAGGGCAGCCTAACCGCGGATGCTCTCGCACAATGGCTGCATGGCAGAGTGGCGAAGCACAAGTACCTCACTGGTGGAGTGGTTTTCATTGACGAGGTGCCGAAGAGTCCCAGTGGAAAGATTCAACGGAAGCTCATACGTGAATGGGCAGCAAAGGATTCAGCCACCGTCAAAGCGAAGCTGTGAGCGCTTGGGCACCGATTGCTATTTTCCTACGGCATCTCGGTATCGCGTTTCCATTGAGCATGGTACAGATTTCCTGTCTTTTGCGTCACCATGGTGGAAGGCCTGGGATAAAAGGTATATATGAGGGATAGAGAGCAAAATATAATAGCGTTGATAGACTGGAGAATGAAACTTCAGGGTTTTTGCATGACGACTAAGAGACTGTAGCTAAAAGAACGAGCAGATCTTGACATCTCAGCAGAATAGAGATGCATGGGAATCCCCAACAGATTGAAGCTGTCAACTCTTCAGCAGTTGGATTAGACTCTATATTTTCCCTTCCCTGGTGAAGGAAGTTGGAGAGCCTGTTTCGAGAGACAACCGTGATATAGATATGCCTAAGCTGCAGCATACACTAAGATGTAGCCTATATATTGGGCTATTGAGCTGTACACTCTTATTTGATATGTCTTCAACAGAAGTCTGGTGTGGAGAACCACAAGTTTAGTTGCCTGGTGGAGAGATCTATAGGAGGCCTTAGATCCGCAGAAGAGACCTCTAATGGATCGAAGATGCCTCTCTCTTGCACGCATGGACCTCGTCCACCACTCCGAAGTCCGGGGTCGTATATTCGTACGAGCGCAAGGGAAGTCGACACAGCCGTGTTTTCTTCATCTCATATCAGCACTTAACTTCAACTTAATAACGCTCTGCGAGACTCTCTGTCAGTGGCATATGATGCGTCAGATCGCCATACATGCGTCTACGGGCAGGTATGTCTGTCATTTTCAAAGTAATTGAAGCTGATGCTGTGCCGGAAAGGTATCCAATATCTGGTTCGAACGTACATGTTATATCCGATGGAAAATGTTCTACTACCTTGATGCCACCGGATACAGGCCAGAGAAGATCAAGAATATCATTATCAGGCGTCTCCATCTCACCATGTCGGCAGGCAGGACTAACATCTTGTGTCTCAACAAGAGATCTGGAGATACGGGTGCATGAATGAATGACAAAGAAAGGTATACCAGCGTATCTGTACCCCCTCCGACAACCTTGCATGCCTCGAGCGTCACATGAGGTATGGATGAGGTTTCTCTTTCTTCCCTCTTCGAACATGGTCATTGATAACCTATTCCCGCTTATGAGTGTTATATCAAAATAGGTAGACTTACTGTCCTGTTCAGGGCCAGTAGCCTAGCCTGTTTTGGCTAGTCTATGCCTCAGTTGAGCCTCGGTCCCGGAAAACCAGCTCCGTGTCCCCGAGTCCGCCAATAGTATGCCGTTTTCACTTCCATTCATTTTCAGACGCCCGACGTCTGCGTCTTAAACCCTTAGCTGGCAACATATGCAGAAGCTGACACCGTCCAGAATGTCAGTTGGCTGCGCTCTAAGCTGATGATGCATGCTCAGCGGTTGTGAGTGAGCCAGCTGAGACTGAACGGAGCCTCAAGACTTGTTGTCCTGCACGATGAAGTCAGTCACGTCCACTACGGGCTTCACGGGTTCATTCTAGAGTGTCCTCAGCCTCTTCTCTCCGCTATGTATCCACCGTGTCATTTCTACGACCTGATATGCTTCAAACTTTGGCTCTTGAGGTGATTTGGCTGACATAGCGCAGGTGGCTCGAATGCTGCGTACATGAGAGTTGATCCTCCATTTAGCCAAAGAGTCCGGGTGATGCTGGGGGATGTTTCTCTGTACCAGTATAACGTTCTTCCACAAAGGAAACGTTTTGATTCCCTTGGGATCATAAAGAAGCCCTCCTCGATTGGTACACGCACACTCGCATCGAAGGGTCAGAATTGAGCTCATCGAGCATAGGCTATGTACTCTCGGCTGTCTTCCTCGCGGAGTCGCGGCCCTTGGTTCGTCCGCTTCAATATTTCGCTGTGCTCTCTAAACTTTCTCCCTGCTGATTTCTGGATTCTTTGGAGGCAACAATAGTGACCGCGTCTGGTCCATGACACGAAAAAGATCACCTATTGCTCAGTATTGTCCATAGCTAGGTGACTGTATATCTCGGCTTGTGTCATCATTGTCGAGGTTCGACGGAGGTACGAAGTTAGGGTTCCCAAGCCGTCCCAAAGGGCGTCCCTACCGTGGCCAGGGGACAGAGGTCTGATCCGACTGTGCTTATGCTTCTCGCTATACCTGAAGCGAGTCGTGTCAGGTCTGCAATGTACCTCTTCAAGCATCGAGTCAAGAACTACTCGGTACTATGGGCGGACGCCACTCACCCACCACTAATTTCCGAGTAGGATTAGGGCATGCCTCGCCCCGCGTCATGACAAACCTCAGCACACGTAATTGGATTTCCACCCGCGGGGTTTAGTGGCGCCCGCATATCATCTCTTTATCAACCTTTGGCCGTGTAATATATTACTCTACTGGGATCAGCAGTATTGAACCCTCCCTTTTCCCAACAATATCAACATTCCAACACCCCAACGAGAAAGATGCAGACTCAATCCGCCGAAAGTTCTGAACCACGAAAAATCACTCGTGCGTCGGTGGCATGCGTCCCATGCCGCCAGAAAAAGGTCAAGGTACTGTATATACAGCAGCCCTACCGCACAAAACCCATCCACTCCAGAAGCTGCCATTAACACCTAACTAAAATAAACAGTGTATTATAAGGGACGGTGAAGGAACATGTACCTCCTGTCAAGACCACAACTGGGAATGCATTGTGCTGAGCGATGATCGCCGCAAAACGTAAGATAGACTCCCTGATGCACGCGACATGTTGGCGATTGGTGGCGATTGGGCATTGCTCACAGCATTTCCAGTAGTAGGCTGTCTCGGGTCTATGTCAGCTCTCTGCAAGATCGTATCCGGCTCCTCGAGTCAACTGTTCAACAGCTGGGGCAGCAGGGGCCGGTGGTCACAACAGCCAACAATAGCAATGATTTGGAGCCGCCGCCTCCGCCCGGCGTCGACGAAGAAGTGTCCTATAGTCCACCTTTGGATCTGAATCGTGAGATTTCCTCTGGGTTGTCAACAGGAGGGATGGGATCCCTCGCCCTAGAAGGACCTGGTGCCGGGAGACTAAGCAATGTCGGTCTACAACCCGAAGACGACTCCCTCCCGTTACCTCAGGAAGCAGCCCATGAAGAGGGAGATAACCAACTGGAGGAAGCTTACTGGTCGGGCCAGAATGCTGTATTGCCCTTGGTGGTAAAATCTTTGTTCGTGGCCGACCGAATAGCAAGGAGGTCACAGTATTTCTCACGAGCGCTTCGGGCGTGCATGATTGCAGTAGCCGCCCGCGGTTCCACCATGATTGACTCCTCACGACAGCGTCAGCTACGCTTGACAGCATGTCAGATGGTTCGTGTCGAAGACCATCAGAACACTGGATTGGCAGGTGTGCAAAGTCTTTTGTTGCTCGCAGATTTGGCATGTGCCGTTGGGAATTCAGCGCAGGCTAGGGCACTCCACTGTAAGCACCTAGTTACATTTTCCACTTGTTTCCAGGAACTGACCTCGCCTCGTCCAGTGAAAGCAGGAGAGAAGCTAGATCGGATACTCGGAGCGTCGATGACGCTTTCTGAAATGACATCAACGCTGGCTAGGGAGGCTATTTGGCGGACAGTAATCTTCTATACTGTCACCTCACAGTGTGGACATGTCCCCTACCCGAGAAAACCATCGGGCGTGTTGACTGACCCGACTCTTAGATTTTGGCATGTCTTCGACAGCTCAGGATCCTCAGCACCACCAGGACAACAGAAGTACATCGAGAAGTTCCTGTCCAAGAAATCGCCATCCCAGCAGGGTCCTCATGATCTTGATTCTTCTCCAACACGGTCGATATGCAGTGTTTGGACGGAGTTGATGCGAATGTCCACAGCGGCAATGGCCCTAGAGCAGTCATCCCCATCGAGCACGGACAATACAATCGACCTGGAATCTTTGGCTCGATTAGACGCTGAATGCCATGACTGGTACTGTCGGCTGCCGTGGAGTTTACGATGTCCGCCAAGGAGCCGACCTGCACCTCCAGCAGAATTTCTCGTCCTGCTGTAAGTGTTCATCCACACCTTGTTGGCCTGTGTGGTATGCTATTGTCGTGATCGATCTCCTGGCCATCCCCAACCATGATAGAAGATCTGCCCGACAAGAGACAGGAAATGAACTCATCTTCTTGAAAGAAAATACGCTCACTTGTTCTGCAGGATATGTTACCACTGTACCCTCATCCTCCTGCATCGGAAACAGGTCAACTATCACACAACTGCTGCCAGCGTGGGTGAAGCATCCTTCTCGCCCACAAAGGCCCTCTCATCTATTTCGCGAATGGTGTGCTTAAAGAACGCCATCAGATTATCCGATGTCTTCAGCCAGTACCGACAACACTACCAAGTGTCGCACCTGGGCATCCGGGCCGTCTTACCCCTTACGGTTGCGTCAGCTACGCTCGCCGCGGAAATCGCGGACGGCGAAGACGGGACCGGGTGGCAATCGCAGAAAGAGCATCTTGCTGGCTTGCTAGATGCTTTCAGGGAGCTTTCAGAGACTGTGAAGGTGGCGGAACGGCCGGCGGGGATACTCTCTAGACACGTCAATCCCTCAACAGTGGCGGCTGCAGGCTCAGACTCGGCTCCTCCCACCCGGGACTTGCTAGATGACCTGGTAGCGTCGTTTGCGGGTATGAATGATTTAGAACAAGGAGCACAGGTTCCCTAGCACAGAAGCAAATATATCCCAAGGACAAGTCTTGTTCTCGAACAAGTTTTCTTCCTTCCAAGGGCACGAGGTATGTGCGACGTCACACCAGAGCATTGTGGTCGTTCGTCTCCACATCGAACATTGTCAGTCAACTACATTTTCTCGTCGCTGGAAAGAGACAAATCGATTGCGCCCGCCACAAGATCCAGGATTTCCGGATTTTCGTCTTCGCCATGAGAATCGTGTGGCGTCATATGCGCGGGATGGATATCAGGTGCGCCAGGTCGAGCTCTTTTTGGGCCTCGCGATGGAGAAGGTTGTTGCTGCTGTTGTCCTATGTTTGATGTGAGATTCGACACCCAGCTGAGAAGGCGGTACGTGGGCTGGAGACCGCACAGGCGCTCTGCCAGGGCGTTCAGCGAGACCATCATGTCTAACCGTTGGCTGATGTTCAGAGAAGACGATTTGCCTCCAGAGACATGCCAGCCCAGCTCACAAACAGCTAGAGGCAGGGCGATCCAAGCGGTGCTAAGGTTTTACCACAGACGACTGTTAGCCAAGTTACATTCACGTATGTTATCGCTCATTATGAAGGCAGGCAAGCATCGCCTGTACTATATGCAACTCACACGGTGAGTGGAACGTGCTCAACTCTGCTTTCAGAGAAGATCTTGTACACTGTCTTCACAACCTTGGCTGATGCTTCCTTGACCTTTGCGGCTGCCAGAGTGCGGAATTGCGCTCCAAAGCGGGACTCGGGCTGAATAGGCTTCAGGTACGGTCGATAGAGATCGGCAACGAGCGAACTATACTCCAGCTGTTAACAAAACAGGAAACCCATGAAAAGGGTTGTAGGGCATATAGGAAGCAGTTGATATTAGACGTACAGGTTGACCAGCTGCGGCATGCGCAATGGGACCTTGCTCATGTCCGGAGAATCGCGCGTCATGGCACTTGCCATAGCTTGTTTGAACCTGGCTTTCCACTCCTTGAGTCGAGATTCATAGGCCGAACACAGGATCATCTCATCCAGCAGCAAGTCATGGTCTGACTCTCCGGTCGAGGACACATCGCGCCATTCCCGCTGGAATTTGCGGTCCATGTGGAACGTGCCTATATCACTGATCAACTGAGTCAGATCGCACATCCATATGAACGCCGCCATCATGACACGCTTCGACTCTATCGTCATGAACTGGGGCACAACAGCTTCGGCGCCAAAATCCATGACAGTGACTGGTCCCCAGCGTGATTCGACCTTGTGTAGCCGATGGAAGCGCCGGAGCCCAACGCTGATCAGGCGGTCTCGGAGGACACAGCACCACCAGATGATCTTGCGCCGCGAGAACATTGTGGCGCTATCATAGTCTGGATCTTCCAATCTAGCCTGCCTAGCATGGAAAATAGCCCGGGCCACCCAGCGAGAGTTGACTTGGGTGTCCAGGTTGAAGGGACTCCAGTAGCTCAACAACAGGCAGGCGCATGTCAGAGTCGTAGGGTTCGTCGAGGTGAAATTGTTGTTGTATAATGACTAGATACCACATCGCACGATTTAATGGGCATTCTCTCCGCTGCAATCTGACTTGGAAAAGATTGGTTGCATGCGTACCTTTATGTGCTCCAACAACGCGTTTTGACCTTGAAGAATAGTAGATACAGAGCTTTTGGCCAGCTCTGAATTTTCCACATGCTATGTTGCACTTGTCAGAAACATCATATGAGAGGGGGAGAGGGGAAGCAGTTCTAATCAACGCAAAGGAGCCTCAACTGACCGCAAAAGCCACAAAGATCATTGCCATGAAGAGCAAGACATCAAATTTGAGGAACAACTGTCTTTCATCGTCACACTCTTTGTATATTTTCGAAAACTCGAACTCGTCCACGACTGGACAAAGTGGATGCACGTGACGGAAATACAACACCACAACCTTGTCTCGCAGTTCCTGGGGTAGCAACCTCCGCAAATCGCCGATCAAGGTTTGTGGAACCACTGTCAGAATGCGAGGCTCGGACGGCTCGAGCATTTCCGTACAGGCGGTCGCTGTAGGAAGGCGTTCACCGTAGGCGTGGGGCATTCGGTAGTCCTCCAGACGAACGCTCGATTCACTTGATGGCGAGGATGTGTCTAAGTTGGTCTTGTAGAGCGACAGTGCCGTAGTCATGTCAATTCCTGTCCACTAAACATCAGACTCGGGATCGAAAAGACACAAAGGAGCAACAGGCGCACCGGGATCCGAAAGAAGTGCGCTGTGCGCTCGATCTGCCTCCAAGTAGGGCTCCTGGTTTGGCTCTTTTTCGTCAGGGAATTGAGGCAGCGATTGATCAAGGCTGCTCTCGAGGCTGCCACCGCCCCAGATCCATCCGAGTTCCTCAGCAAACAGTGATTCTTCATGTTGTGCCGGCTGCTTCTGATTGAAAAGGCTCTCCAAAGGTTCTAGGATTTAGTCCTGTCAGTAAACCAGACAAACATACAGAGCTCTCAGCCATAGATTGTGGTGAAATATGAACGGATCGTGGATACTGGATACTTACTATTTCCGTGCAGCTGGGCTTCCATTACCGGGGTCGAGCCGGCTACCACGAAGAGTGCGACTTGGGCTTCGTCCACAAGAACGAACCTGATACCTCTGTAGGTTTTGACATCAGTTATGGTAAAAGACCACTACTAGACATTGATTCAAGAAAGGAGTGACACCTCGGATCAGCAAAACTTGCGCTTGGCACGGAGGAATGGAACATCAAGTTTGTGGCTGCGGCCAAGTCTCCGTTCCGCTGAGGCAAAGGCGAAATGCCCCTGGCAGCCAATGATATCTCCAATTCTAGAACCACAAGGGACATACTCCTTTATACTTCCTACAAGGGCTATGTAAGTCCTTATCTAGAGAGGATAAGATCGAATATCGTAAGGATCCCCTTCAGCGACCAAGAAGATCGATCATTTCCCGGCTTTGACGTCATATCCAGTGTAATTATCATGTTGATAAACCGAAGTCTACCTGCGCATTTCAAAACGACCAGGTGCCAGTAGTTACACAGTCAGCTACTGTCTTGAGGCGTGTCATGGGGTGTCTCCTGGGATGTGTCTTGAGGGGTGACTGGAGGCTTGGCTGTAGCGCTCTTGTCGGGATATTGAGTTATCTTTTGCAAAAAGGGCTGTATACACTCTGCCTGCGGTTCCTCAATAATGATAGAGCCATCCTCGGCCTCCGAAAGAGTAATCTGCTTTCCGCCTTGGGTTTTGAGCCACTGTTTTGTTGACCGGCGGGTCCCTGTATCTTTGCCAGACGGTTTCGTTGCCTGTGACTGAGTGTAGGACTGTGAAGTGACGAGGCGCCCTGGCGACGTCCGGTCAAGGTACCTGCGCATCTTGTTGGTGCTAGCTCGACCCAGACACAAAACACCTAGGACGGTGGTAAGCACGCAGAGTGTACCAAAGGCTGCCATGACCGCTGGTATGCCGTAGACCAAGTGGTACCTGACACGCCGTTCATACACATTCACTGGAATCAGGAGATCGTTATCGCCTTGTGATGAGCTGCCGTCGCGTTTCTGGAGAGTTTGCTGCTGTGGTGGTTGCAGACTTCTTGTCCCAACGACCGAATTGGCCGCCACGTCCGTCCAGACGAGATTTAATATTCTGGCAGCGGTCTCAGGTGTGCGTGAAAGGTCCTGCCAGAGCCTATACATTGCGAGACTTGTTTTGCCGGTATAGTCGGTAAGGGTATTGCCTGTGGAGGGTGCGATGTTATAGAGCACACCAAGAGCGCCAATGTGGAAATCGACGCCGGGCAAGTTCTGGTAGCCAACGGTGAAGGGAGCCCCAGCTCCCCCACTAGCATAACCAGGGAGATACAAGAATTCTTTTCGTAACGTGGTGACGCTGACGTTGCCTTGGTCCGGTCCTGATAAGAGACCCCACAAGATGTTGACATCCGCGAGTACCATATCTGTCTTCTCGACCCCCCACAGGGGCTTGGAAGACTCATTAGGGTATACCTTGTCAGAAATATTAGTGACAGTCAGCCCAGAGAGATCGTCGCTTCCATTGAAACGAAAATAAACAGTCTTGATACGTGCTTTCGAGGTAGAAATGCACGAGTACAACGGCACGGTCCACTTCGAGCCGGGTTCAAAGACAACAGACTCGCGCCCGTCGCTTCGCCGTGGCGCTCCGTAAAGCAGTCCACACGCAGCCGCGAAATTGGTGATATTCGCAATATCTTGGCCACCAGCACCTTGACAAAGAAGCTCTGCGTGTGTTATTCAGCGAACAAGAAAGGATTCAAGAGGGTTGGGCTTACCAGCACTGGAAAAGTTCGTTTGGGTGACTCCAAATGGATTTGGATATAGAGGTGGAACGGATGGGATGTCGGATGGTATGGAAAGGTTGTACTGAACACTGGTGTTGTCGTATATTCCCGTTCCCTGGTCCAACCCATCTAGATAATATCCATAGAGCGAGGACGACGAAAGCACATCAGGGCCCAGCCAAGATGTCACTGACTGAAATCCACTTGAATTAGCTTGCATGAGAGGAAAAGCCTTGCCGACATGAGAGTCGAGATACTCAAAGGCGTGAGATCCCGGATCGCTCTGATTGGCAAAATTTGTCACGTTCATGAATGCCATCGACCACACATTGTTGATCCAAGCTGCCTTGTATGCGCGCAAATAGAGCTCCGGGTTCTTCTGTGTATCACTCCGGTCCCATTCTGGATATTCCCTGATAAGATTGGCAAAACCTCCTCGATCTGTCAGTACCAGATCTGCTATTGCGTTACCGAAAAGAGAGTCGGATACGTATTCGGGAAGAGTAAAATCCAGGGTCAGGTTTGTATCGACACAGAGCGATTCGGGTTCAACAAAGAGAAGATCTTCCGACCAGGTGCTGCCGAACGGGGAAACAGGCGGTGCGCTATGATTTCTGAAGCCGATTCCACCATTCTTCATGTCCACGACCAGGCCCTCAATGACAACGTAGTCATCATCCAATGCCATGGTCGAAATTTGTCGGTAGGCGGCAACAGGATATGAGGATCCATTGTCTGGTGCTAGTGCGCCTGGACTGTTGTTGATCTGAGACCAGGTGTATGATCTGGTCTGAATGTCAAATATGCTTGAGACAGATCTATTCTGCGTCGAGAGCCCACTTTCAAAGGCATCAATGACATATTGGTGCACATGAGAGTCATAGTAATTGGCCGAGAAGTATTCTCCCGTGGCATTACTGAAATAGGTTATGGTTTGAGGTGAGTTCGGGCAATTCGCTGGTTCAAATGCTCCACAGATACGGCTCCAGGGAAGGTAGGTTCTAGGAGGAGTTCCGTAGCCAAATTCAGATGTATCAGCAATGTAATGGAACACGGATGCTGTTTCTTTTTGGCCTGAGAGGACGTCTTGGTATAGACCAAGTGGTGTTACGATGGCAGCAACACCGATCAAGACTGTAAAGAAGGTCTTCAGGCTCGCAATGATCACCACGCGCCCAGGGACTTTGGTGCTCGCCGCAGTGTCTCCGGAGAGGATATTTGGCCAGTAGGAGGAATGCAAGAATCGACCGACGACAGACCTAACACAGCAATCAATCTAGGCCCTTCGTACTTCTGGGTAAGCAGCAGCTCTCACGTACCACCCAGCGGCTGTGGTGGTTGCAGTCGAGTTTCTCTCTTTAAGAAGCCCAAGAAGAATGATTGGCAAGGCCGTGGGAACGAATATTTGGACTGAACAAACAAGTTAATGGCCCGGGGCGCTCGATCGAGGCTGGATAATGGCCTTTACCAACAAAAATACCGGCTGCAATTATGCCAGACACGTAGCCAACAGTTAGATTATTAAGGTCGATCATATTGGCGAAAGGCGAATCGACATTCTCCCACGGTTCTTGCAAGGTAGTCTCCTTTGCAAGAGCCGCCCAAGCATCGAAGACTTTCCGGATGGAGCAGACGTAGAAGAGCCATATTTCGACGATTGATATCGTTCTACTCGGTAGTTATATCGCACCGTCCAAGGTGACCAACTGTTAGCCAATGACAGGTTCAACTCAATGGAAAACCCCGAATACGAGGCATACACAGGTGCCGGTTGAAACCGCTGGCTTAGCAACGCAATTAGACCAGAGGAAGTATTGGGGCCAGAACCTTGTCCCGTGGCATGTCAATAACCAGCTTTTGTGTGCCCTCCACCCCTTCGAGCTGTTGCGCAAATTTTGTTATCGACATTTGATTGCCCCTTCATCATTGCCTCGTCTTCTTTCGGGCGTGTCAATACTACGAGAGGCTTCCGCGGAGAAGTTGAACGTGGAGGTGTCGGCTTGCGCCATTTTCACCTCTGTTGCCCATGACCAGAGATGAGAACAGCCCAAGGACAACAGTGGCGTGCCCAGGCGCTCGATGAAACGTGTCTAGCTGGCTTTTTACCGGGGTGTCCCATGGGGGATTCGACTCCTCCTCCAGTGAGTCATCTGCCTTGCCAGGATGTGCGGGCGAAAACAAGCTGGGTGAGGTACCCTTGGGCGCCTCTAACTCCAGTTGGTAAAGACGTCTCAGCAGCCTACACCAGCCTAGTGAGCCCTACGAAGAGGGTGCCAGGAACACCTCTTGGCCCTCATCTGAATAGTCGGGTGCCTAGAATGAAGTTCAACTCAATTTCATCTCGGAAGATACCTGAAAAGGAATAAGGAAAAGGACACCACCTGGGACTAAGAGCAGGCTCTCCAGGTGTATGACAAAGAGGATGGATGGTCCGTGCAAATGAGAGTGTTTTTTTTGGTGCTCAAGAAGATAGTGGGACAGCATTCATCGTTGATTTGATTCTGCTTGTCACTGATCAGAAAGATGTAGCACATAACATTATCATCTTGGTCTCTGGAAAGGGGGAACTGGGCTGTATATCAAGCTTTTCAAATTGCTTGATCGCGTGAAATACGAGGTCTTGTCCCACGATTCAACCGCCTCCAGCCTCCATCGAGGCTCGGAGAGGACGTGAGGGGTGGTGCCAAAGAGTTGACATGTATCAGGCACGGGTACGCAACCCGGTCACCCTGGAAAGTTCGTGAGGCTAACTCGGGGCTCACTTCGGAGGTTTCAGATCACGAATTCGTTAATAATGATAAACCCGGAAAACACGCTTCGGGGCTGTAGCCGAACCGCGAGGAAACGCACCGGAAGATTGTACGGCCAACAAGGATGGGCAGACATCTCGAAACCAAATTCTATGCCATGTCTCTCCTTCTTGAAGAAACCTGTGATCAGCCTGATATGCACTTCCCATGGCAGCATTCTAAGCTACAAGAAAGCAGAATAACCACGACCAACAACGGCTATTGATATAATATTGCCCAATCGAAACAGCTATCTGCTTTGCATCGTGCTTCCAGGATAATGATATTGCCCCCTGACCGACAGCTTTTCCCAATCACGTTCCTTCAGCCTCTTCCGTTGCCTCCGTGCTCTAATATCATCCTCTACTTCACCCGCCCAGGGCCCATAATACCCTTCAACACCCAAAATACAGTCCTCACGATCCACCCAATGATCCCCAACAATGCCAGTACTAGCCCCATTACCCTGATAACCAACGTGCTCAATGCAGCAAAAACGACAAAATAAAGCAGGCTCCTTCCCAAATCCAACGCAAACCCACTAGCCGTCTCCCCTTTGCTAAGGTGGAACTTGATCTTTCCCGTCTTGGAGTAAACAAATACCATCGCCCACAGACGCCATCCTGTCCTCATCATGAGTTGCGACATGCCCAAGCCCCTTTGAACCATTTCTCTCCCAATGGTGAGGATTTGAGGGTGATTTCGAACCCACATCTTGCCAGCTTCAAGGGGTATGACAAGTACATCTCCAAGAGCAGCATAACTGCCACAGGAGGCCAGGGACACGAGATTCGGGACTTGCAGCTCAATCGTCGTGTTGCTTGCGCCACTGACGTTGCGGGTTTTCGCGGAGCCATTGCTCCTGGAATTCGAGCAAGACATCGAGAAACCAATAGGTGTTTGAACGCGGAGCCACGACCCTCCGCTTGCCGCGCGGTGATATGGAGCGTTTCCATTGCCCGTGCGTGAAGTCATGTCGGTCCCGATAGTAGGCAAGCTTGAACTTCTTTGCCTTCTGTGGATGATAGAGCGCGGCGCAGAAGCTTTCTCATGTGACGGACCGCCGGCATTGAATGCTGCCGCTAATGTCTCCTGGGTTTTATTCTGCGATGGCTGTTCCATCGCTCTCTGTGCGGCGGCAACAGCATCAGGCGGCCGGCCAATTGAGTGGTGATAGAGATCCATTATTGGTGTCGGTGGTTGCATGATCAATTCAACAAGGGCGGTTTTGGACAAAGCCGCCTGAATATGATTGCCAGACTTGGATGCCTCGTCCTTCATGTATGATTTCTGTACAGGCTTAGCGGCGGGCAGCCGAGTAAAGTTGCCTCTGGCCTGGGTCTTCTTGGGCCTGACCTGTTGCACCATTACTGGTTCACTACAACCGGTAGGACTGTGGGCGTCTGACCAGCGGCCGTTGGATGCCCTTGTTGGGCTGGGATGGCCGAGACAGCCCTCATGACAATCAAGTTTGCAGCATTCTGGACAGCAGATGGTGTGATCCCGTTCATCGATGACATCAGCTTTTTCATGGAAGTGATTCGTTATCTCCCGCTGGGTTACGGCATTAAGTTGTGGAGCTGTGGCTTGAGGTGGTTCTGGAAGTGGACTTCCCTTTGGATGCAGAGATTTAGTCTCCACGTTGGGTTTGTCGACGTCCTTCTGGAGGGCGGACATAGGGGTGACACTATCTGTATTGTGAAGCTTGAGGGCCACGAATCCATGATTGCAACGGCTGCATTTCCTCATCAGGCCAGGATCGTTCGAACTCATTTCTGCGCGATCGTGTGGTACGTCGTTTATCGGCCTGGGCCCTTGGAAGGGTTGGAGTCGAGGTCTTATGGGTTCCGGCACAAGATTCATCTCTGGCACGATGTGGTCTGTTCTTGCCACGGTCTCCATGAGCGGTTCCATCCATCGACGTCGAGTTTCTACGTCTGGTGATTCTGTCCGTCCGCCCATTGGTCCAAATGTGGGCATACCGTACATTCTTTCTGCGACTGTGACTTCGGCTTTCGCGAGCATCGGAGGGCGGGTCATTTCCGTGGGAGAACTCCTTGATATTGGAATTGACATCATGGCATCGGTGCTCATATTCATGGTAGTGTTCATGATGATGCCTGTACCGGTTGACGGAGGTGGTCTCAGGCGGAAACCCCGTTGGCCACGATCCATCATCCACTGGTAGGGCGGCTGTTGCCCCGGGCCTACACGAGGCGGCCTTGGTGGAGGACGAGGCCCACCCATAGATATGTTTGTGGGTGTGGTAGTGATATTCGACAACGGGTCGAAGCCCTGTCTCGGTCTGCTCGACACCTCCCGTGGTGGAGGCAAAGCCCTTCGCTCTTCCACTTTGAAGTCCGTCGTCTGCATCGACGGCAATAGGTGCTTCGGAGGGTTGTCGTACTCTGGGATTGGCATCACTCTCTCGCCCATCGGCTTGATGTGTCTCGCCGTTGAGGGGATTGGGTACGTTGGCCTCGGTGCGCGAAAGTAGGGGTACACCAAGTCGCCTCCCCTCGGCCCCTTGGGGTGTGATATGCTCAGGGTTGGAAAACCCATCGTGCTCGCTCCGTTCTCTGTCCTTGGCGTGATTGGGTACGGTGCTTGATCCGATGTCGACTGGAATGGGCCATTGCTCATCGGCAGACATGGTAGTTCTTTTTCGATTGTATGACGGCCAGAGATGTTTGAGGTTTTTGAATTTGGGACGTCTACTTGCTGGTCCGTCGGGGGAACCCCTAAAAAAGAATCGTCTCCATTTTGACTTCCAGAATCTGAGCTAGAGGTGGGAATCCTCGGTAGATTCTTTTCGACAGTTTGGGGTCGGAATAAACCTCCATTCAGATGGTTAGGCGCCGAGGAGGATGGCAACTCGCTGTTGAATTTGGGGTACTTTCGAACGGTGTCTGTACTTCCACTCGCACCTCGGTGGGAATGGGTCACCGTCTCTGCAGTATTCCTTCCCGGAGGACTACCAACAGGCCTCCGCTTAATCGGTCTGTTCAATCTAATATTTTGCTGCAGATTGGCTTGCTCAATGCCGCTGTAGACACCTTCCGCTTTCATGCCAGCTCCCAGCGGATGCTGAGAAAATTCGATGTTAGCTCCAGTTCCCTGGACCGGATTGGTCGTATGGTTCCCGAACACTCCGTCATGGTCAAGCAACGAATCCTCTGCTGCTCGAATCGCAAGCTTTTGTGGAACCCTGAGAGTTTGCTGTTGATGCTCAAGAGGTTCAGCTGCCAGCAACGTCGACAGAGGCGTTGGCTCATCAAGATCCAAGCTAACCCATTGATCACCTCTCTGCCGCCATCGACTCGAGGGAACCTGGCGCCCGACTCTGGATAAGTCGTTTTGGTTCCGATCAATAGAGCTGCTAGCGCTGTGCGATCCCGGGGTAACGACTCCGGTTCGGGGGTTTGCACCTCGAGCGAGAAGGTAATCATCGCTGTTGACAAGATGATGCATCTCCGATAAGGTCGCGGGAGTGTCCTTTCGAGCTTTCTTCGTTGATCCGACGTCCAGTCTAACCTTCCGGACTGCCTCACCTGAGTAGTCACCGGCAAAGCCACGAGCTCGGCGGTTTGAGCGAGCTGCGCTAACGTGGTCAGCGTCGAACTCCGGCACGGTCATCAATGTACGCGACGGAAACCCTCTTTGAGAGCTCTACTCTCCATCGAGGGCAGCTTTGCCTTCGTCACTCCGCTCGGCTGAGCGTCGTGGCTGCCAGTCGTCGACACCGTCAGTGTAGAAAGCGAGGCATTGTTCCACCGGATTGTGGTCAAAGGTATCCCTATTGTAGCAAAACTTCGTGGTGTGTCCTGGTAAACGCTGATGTGTGAAGCGGCCACCTGCTGATTCTGTTTTGGTTTGTTTCCTGTCGTTAAATGAGCCTAATGAGGATGAGAATTTATGGATAATACGAGAGGTCAAGGAAGGTGAGCCATCAGCGGAAGAATGTGGTTGCTTCACAGGCATCGTAGGGAACCTGATGTGGTTGCTATGACATGTGTTGCATATCATGTGGTTGCCTGTGCACCAAGCGTGGTGATAAGCATGCCACACCACAGCGCCGGTGGTATTTTGAGACTCCGTTACCATAGCGGTGAAAGATCCGTGTGAAGAGTCATGTTGCATTTGTGGAAGGCACAACACAAATTGATTCGTTGTGGAGCAGGAACTGGGTGCTCCGTGGGAACCATTTACGAAAGGGTATCTTGCCTGTTCAAATAACCGTACATCTATTAAAAGCGACCGCTCTCTCTTCGGTGATTATCAGGTTGGAATTGAGCCCATCTCTGAGAAGCAGCAGCAGCCGGGACACTCATTCTCTTGTCCGGGCTCGAACCCCGTTTTTCTGGACTCGTCATCCTATTCTCGCGAGAAAAATGTGTCGACGCACTTTTTCGCAGAGGAGAGGCAGCATGGGAGTATATCCCAAGACTCCCACCCTCACCCCCGGTCGTTGTCGGTCGAAAATTGGGTTGTCGCATCCCCGCCAGAGATCTCACGGCAGTGCTAGGGTTGGCATTGAGAGTCGGTGATCGAAGATCCGGTGTGGTCATTCGTTGTCGGATATTGGAGTTCGTCATCGCTGCATCAGGATCTGCATACTGTGCGTAATTGGGGTTTGGATTCGGTCGAAAACCGCGATTGATCACCACCATGGGTGTGTAAACATCGACCGTGTTGTACTTCTCGTCACGGTTCGGGGTGTATGAGGCTTGCTCGCTGAACTGAGTGCCAACATCTCGGTACAGAGGCTGGGTCCTTGGTCTGACGTATTTCGTATCATACTCATGTAATACTTCTTTTGAGATCAAGGCTGAATCTTTAACCTGGGCTGAATAGCTCGACTGAAGGAAAATGAGCTGCGTGGAGAGGAGCAGCGCGACAAATATGGCCGTCGCAATTGTGACGCTAGGTCTTGGGTCTGAGGAGAGGGTCGGCAGGAAAAGCCAGTAAACGAGGATATGGCCAGGACTGAAACAGCAGAACAAGCGTAGGGATATTGGTAACGGGTCCCAGACGGCGACTTCCCACACATCTCTTTTCGGATCAGGATGTGCTCTTGACTGTGCAGTCTCTGTCCCAATAATGCGTGAAAGAAACTGTAGGGGGGAGGAGGAGACTGGGGAAGAATCGACTCTGACCCGTTTGGCAGAAGGGGTGCTCGGCACGTCATCGACGGATGTTTCGAACAGGCGGTAATGTCTTTTTCGCCAGAAGGTATAGGTAGCATTGACGACGCAGAACAATGTCAGAAAATGGACAATGAAGGTTGCCTGTCAAAAGTTTAGATTCCAGTATATCTTTCGAGGTTGCAACCGCTCTTACCAGCCAGGTTGTCCACGCAACTCCTGGAATCTCTCCAAACACATCATCGTAGCTGGTTGTTTTGGGTTTGGAATTGGCTCTCGCGATGACGAAGATGATGTTTAATGCAATACCAATTGGCGCAGCCCATTCTTTCTCCAGTTGATCCCAGCCATTAGACTCAAGCTCTTCTGACAACCACAGGAGGAAATCGTAGGGGTTGAGGTAGCCCTTGATGCGTTCCGCCAGAGGCTGTCGCCTCACAAACTTGGGCATTTTTTCGGTGAATCAGACTGCGAAGGGGGTCCAGAAGACATTCTCCCGCAGTGAATGGCAGTCAGAACGATGCGATCGCAGAGTCTTGGTTGAATGGCAGCGGGCGAAGATGAAATTTGAGTACCGTGGTTCAGGACCCCGTAAACAATGACGAAATGCAGCCAATCGGAGACGTCACTAGCTCGCCGATGCACTGCGGCCGCTCAGGTACCTGACTGACTGCATCTCGTTCACTTTCTTGAGGGAGCTCTTGAACCAGCTTCAATTCTATTTCCAAACTTCAGGCTCCAACCTTCCGCTACAATGGCAGCGCCGGCGTCGGCATACAAGGTATTTATGCTCTTCTCGTCCAAAGCCATTTACTTATAATTGCCTCCTAGGACCGGCAATTCATTGCTGTTATTGGGGATGAAGAGTGAGTCCCCCGCAGTCTGCCCAAATGGCCGATCCTCTCAACTCACCCTCATGTCCCAGCTCAGTCACTGGCCTATTGCTGGCCGGCATAGGACACATCACCGACCCTCCAGACTCACAGAAGAACTTTCTCGTGTGTGACGCAAAGACAGAAAAGCCCCAAATCGAGCAGGCTTTCAACAAATTTACCAAAGAGCGGAAAGATATTGGAATAGTCCTGATAAATCAACATGTGTGACAAGTCCACAGACCCAAGGCAGAAGTGTGATGCTAATGCTGATGCTAATGCTGCTACAGATTGCGGAGCAGATCCGAGACACTGTCGACAGATTCCAAGATCCATTTCCTGCTGTTCTCGAAATCCCCAGCAAGGACCATCCCTACGACCCTGAGAAGGACAGCGTTCTACGGCGCGTTAGGAGACTATTCGGCGAATGAGTTAAGAGCACATACATTCACAGAGTCTTACAGGTCTTATGACCCACTGCCGCGACAATATCTCACAGCTTTTGGAGTCAAACTCTCTGAGAGAGCAAGCCTGGGGATATGTGACCACCCTCCGGGTTTTCTGTTACATGCGGGCACTCCTCATAGTTTTATGGCCACGACTAGTCGATAAGGACTCTGATCACCAGAAACTGAATGGGACCTCGAGAATAGCATTGGTCAAATTGTCGACGGAGTACCATTCAAGGTTGCGGAACCAGGCAATAAAACAGAGATGCCCTACATTACAAGCTGTGGAATCATTCTTTGCTTCACTCACTTGATGATAGATGAGAATTGTCAATGTCTATGTATTGCTCACTCAGTCATAGTATGCGCCCAGCTTTCGCAGAGCAGAGCTGCAATTACCTTTCCCCCAGACCCTTGGTTCCGGGCAAACATTGAGCCGGTGTCTTCGAGCACTCGATGCACACCACCCGTCCATCAGATAGGTTTGTTGTGCCTTTTTTTTCCTTTCCATCTTGGCTAAAAAGAAGGGAACCGGCGCACCATGTCCACAATGACACGCTTTTTCTTTGTTCCTACGAAAGAAACTGCCCACCGAAAATTGCCAAAATCTCAGATTTGAGAAAAACCCGGTCAAGGAGGTTTTTTTTGGTTTCACATTCGGTCGGCTGGGCGATGAGTTACTTCCAGATATAGCTTATCCTGAATCAGAGCTCCTGCGCACTCTAGGGAGCCCACCATGATCATGACCGAAGTCATCATATCAACCGAATTAGGGAGTTACCAGGTAGAGCTCCTACGTTCAATGACCCTTGGCTATCCACTACTGGCTGCGAGTTAGGGAGACGAAGAATGAGACTGTGGACAAGACTTATTTCTACACCATTTTGCATGTCGAATGTTGACAAGAATTCGGTCCAAAAAACATCTATTGTGAGTCTTTGATCGAGTTGGTCCTGCGTCTCGCTTGAGGAGAGGGTCTGGCAGGTATGGAATCCAAAGGGGGAGGGCTGGCTGTGAGAGACAATGAAACAGGCGGCCGCTGGTTGTCACATACTTGCGACGAGCTCCCGTATCTGCGCCCGTCCCTCGTCTACGAAACTTTAGGCGTTTTACGGGATCGCCTCAACTGTCCTCAAATTGCAAATGCCATGGGCAAGTTCGCCCTCACCAAGCCCAACCAATTCCCAGTTGTGGAACATCGTTCTCGTGGAAAGGGGTATTACACGAATGTCTGTACATCTGCCAGGCCGAGCTCACGGGCTCAAGTATTTCGGTCACGCCATAGGTCGTGAGAAAAGATCAGGATATTCTGGTCTCAAGCTCTAACAAACATAGACCAGCTTGGAGCACCATCTTCTTGTTAGCATTGACTTCTCTCGGCCTCTTCTCCTACGTACTTCCGAGCACACCGTCATCGTAAGTCCTTTTGGTCCAAAAGGTTGGGCCAGTAGCGGGTCTCAACGACTAAGTCGATGTGACCTGAGCAGATACGAGATTATTTGCTGCCCACACCAATCCAGAACACACCATTCACCAAGAATTGTGGGATTTCCAAAGCAGAGACAGATGACTGAAACGTCTGCGCGAGAAATCCTCGGGCTGATAGAGATATCAAAGGTACAATTGATAGCAATTCGGACGATGCCAAAGCTGTACCGATTAACCACCACTGATCAATGCTACAAAGTCGTAGGTCGGTTGGCGCTGGGTTTTCTCGAGAAGATTGGCTATTGGAGGACCATCTTCCAAGCCGTGGGCACATGATCAATTGACTCAGTTAAGAGGCGAAGAGGAAAGCTCCCTCGGTGGCAGGCGTCTCGAACCGTGGACCTACTCAAAGCACACAGTATGTCGTGATACACTCTGCGGTTAGGACGGCGAGGGAGGAAGTTCCAAAGTTGGTGGATGTGGCCCGCTGAGTTGACAGAAACAGACGAGGCTGCTCTCCTCTGCCCTTTCGAGGGGCTGTGCCTGCCGAGTCTGGGATAAACCGTAAGGTGGAGCAAGATCGATGTTGCATCGAGTCCGCCACACAAACTGGTATGACTCTTCTCACTTTGGCCAGGTTAGTGTCCTCCAGAACCTGCTGAGATTATCTTCTCTTCTACGATATATAAACAGTATGTGGTGCATATTTGTACTCCTCCCCTGATCTCAACATTTTTTCCTCGGCCGAGCCCCCAAGAGCATGAATTGTGCCGCACGAGCATCGAAGAAATGGGGACAGTCTCACACCTAGAAGGCGGAAAAGTCGAAATCTTGACGGCCAGGCTCGTTCTCCGGGGCGCAAGAGCATCCAATGCCGATGAGGTAGCGTTGTACGAAGTATTCTCCGATCCCATGGCGATGAGGTACATGTAAGTCATGTCCTTGCTGCCCGGCTTGAGCGCCAAAATTTGCTCGACCACCTCGCATAACAATCTTCGTAAAGGGGTTCGGAGCCGCACACCTGCCGTACTCCCACGGCGGAGTGGCTTTCATCCATGGTCGACTCTCCACAGAACGGCACCACAGACTTCATGATCACACTCGCCACTTCGACCCCAGAACCTCCCTTTGCCGTCGGCAAGGTCGGTGTCTGGAAAGAGCAGGAAATCGGGTTCTTCCTAGCTCGAAAATATTGGGGAAAGGGCATTGCGCGAGAAGCGCTTGACGCTTTGATCCCATACCTATTTGGAGAGGCAGGAATGAGCGAGATCACCGCGGACGTAGACCCAGAAAACGAGGCGTGCATTAGGCTATTGAAAAAGGTTGGGTTTGTGGTCAACGGGTCCGAGAAGAGAACATACAAGGTTGCGGAGAAGTGGTGTGACAGTCTGTATATGTTATTGAAGAGAGAAAAATGGCGAGAAAAGGGCCGACCAATGTGATTCTCGTTGATGATGCGGTACCAAATCCAGTGAATCCTAGTTAGCCCTCCTACCATTGCTTCAACTAGGTGCGAAATATTTTTGTGGTTGTATCGTCTCGAGGTCTACAACCGAAGAGCATTTCAGTCGAACCCCAGTATATGGCCCAAAACAGTTGCAGCAAGATCATGGCCTCTTTGAGATACTGAGTATTGCGACAAGGGTGTCGTCAGGTAGCTGCAGCAGTGCGAAGGGTGTCTTTACATGCAATCAGTGCAGAGTCTGGCCGGTGTTGAGCCTGCCACAAAATGGTCTCAAAAATTGGGTGGAATTCCAAAGTGACCAGTTGCAATCGCGGAGGAGCTTGCAGTCACCCCGTCCTGCTCAGTTTGCCCCGATGGTATCCCTGAAAGATGAAGTCGGCGAATCTGCCGGTCTCAGCCACTCCTACCGTCCCATCTTCCACGCTGCTTGTATATTCGCAAATGCAAGAGGGAAATGGCCCGTCGCCTGCTGTGTATGCGACATCACCGTCCCTCTCACCGGTTTCAAGCGCATGCACGCATATTCAAAATCACCCATTGAGAAAGCTCACTTCGAGACTTTGCGGGATCAGGATTGTGTCTGGCGTAGTACAACAGCGGAAGGCTGTGCTGAAAAACATCATGAAGATTGCAGAGAAGGCAAAGTAAGTAGTCCACATATCCACATATCTGAAGAGGTCAAGTTGCTCAATGGTCCGAATGCGCCAAATTTGTCTCGAAATTGCCTGTCCTCTGATTGGCCATTCCCTGAAGCTGCGCTTCAGCGTCATCCGCGCAGCCGTACTGCACCTTCGGAGCTCGAAGCTCATTTTCCAGCACTGCACGACGACATAGAACTTCTTTCCGCAACGTGAAATTACCAGCCTCAATCACCTCGACCCGTTTCGCCCGACTCTCCTCCATAAAAGGCAATATGCCTTCCTACGAACACTTTCAAAGCTCCGGCCGGACGCCGCTGCGTGTCTACAACAAGCAGCCAACATATGAGACCTACGTTTCGCCCTATGGACCAAAGTACGTTCTCGCTCGCCCTCTCATCCACACCCCTTGTAGATGCCTCTCGTCAGTGCAGAGCTAAATTTGATGCGCACAGAATCAAGCACGTCCCCAACCTCATGGGTTTGAGTCTTCCGAAAGCCCTCCGCTACGGCTATATCGCTTCGGGCTTCGGCGTGGCAGCAGGTGTCTTTGCAGTCTTTTTCTTTGGCGAAATTCCCCGCGTGAGGCAGGATATTCTGTCCAAGCTCCCCGTCATCGGCAATTATTGGATCAGAGAGGTGCCGCCGGAGGACAACCCTTTCTAAAGAACTGTGCCGGAAGGACCAGGCGAGCTCGCGGAACAAGGAATTGCAGCAGACAGGGAAGCGGGTCAAAGAGGTGGCGAGGGCAATTGGCAATGATTGTACATATTAGATTGCGGAGAGCTGGGTGCAGCGACTGGATGGAAACGTCTGGGGGTTGAAAAGAACGTCTTTTCTCGAGAGGGAAGCGCACATCAAAGACTATGCGATAAAATCAATGAATGGCTCTATTTTCACGGCTCGCTTAAACTACTTTCAGATGCGGAATGAAGGTCTGTCAATGCTGTAGATTTCATTTTCCGCCTCCGGGATGGTATGTACAATCTTTACGGCCGTTCAGCAATGTTCCATAGTGGCACTAGACTCTGTGGCCACGTTCAAAGTACTCCCACTGGCCGGAGGGAGTCTTTTCTTCCAGATCTTCCCATCTAAACATTGTTAGCAAGTGCAGAAGGGAGAATAAAGGGTACTCGGGAATGTAGCGAAGACGTACACTTGATATCGTAGCATCTCGGCGACAAGTTCTAGCTCTCCCTCGGCAACTTGGATGACTTCTTCGATCAAGCCAGCACCAATCTTTTGCTCGATGCCCTCAATCCTATAATCAATCAGCAATGGCATAGCATCGGGCTGGGGTTCGACAACGTACTGATCCCTCGTCAACGGCGGTTCCACCTCCAGATCCTCGACAGTCGGCGGGATCCCTTCCTTGTCTTCAAGCTCTTTTTCTCGCACCTCGTCGCTTACAGCCCTTGCTTTTGCCTCTGCCTGGGCCATCGTGTTTGGTCCCTCATAATTGGCATCCCCTCTCGTGATCTTGCCGTCCCAATTGTCCACTGCTTCCACATGCAGCTTCTCGCTACTCAACGAGCCGTCTTCATTCAGCAGCTTACTGAAAGCCGTGGGACTGGCTTCGATCTGCTTGCGTACCCGTTCCAGCCATTGCTCATATCCTTCTGGTTTTACCGACTCGATGATCTGCAGGCGCTGTTTTGTGAGAGCCTCGGTTGATTGGCGATAGACGGAGCTTCTAGGCAGTTGGGCGAGTTTATTGAGGGTTTGCCGGTAGGTGTAGATGAGGGCAGGACGAGGGGATGGATGTGTTGTAAGACCTGTAAGGCCTGTGGGCGTATTGGGTTCGAGATATTTCGAGGCTGATTTAACACTCGCGAAAAGCCGCGACGTCGCACGCATTGTGGAAGAAAGGGGAGAGGTATCCAGGCAAGAAATGAGAGTATCACAACGTTGCCCGACGTAGTTGTTCGCACCAAGCGTATTGAGCTTCGAGCTTCAATTATTCATTGACGTCTGGGAGCGTCGCACGTTTAGCTGCTCGTGCATGAATGATTTGCCGTAATTTCTACTGTGGACTATAAGTGAGACCAGCACCGAGCGCCCTCGGATTTTGTTACCGGAAGCTGCGGGCTTGCGGCCCTGTCGCCTCCCATTTTAGCCTAGTGCCTCGATCTGCGGTGCACAAACCTGCCGCCACATTTGATCCACACACATGAGGTATGCCAGCTCGCCAGTCACTTGAGCGGGAACCGAAGCATCTTGGGCGTTCCAGACCCGGAACAGAGTTCTCTCATGGCCCTTGTAATGGGCTCCCTCTGCGCTCTCCTGCGCCTCGTTGATAGCGAAGTACCGAGTACATTGCTCAATGTTTTGTCACAATTCTTTCCTTCCCAGTCACCCACCAGTGGGGCGGTCTACTTGGTTCTCGACCCTGCTTGCAACGTCGCACTTTGAGTCTTGACTGCTCTTATCTCATCTCTAGATTACTCGATCATTGTGACCTGCGCTGTTTGCTCCCTTCCCTGTGCCTTCCGCTATGGTGAGAAGTTGTCCATTGGCTCTCCCCGGGAGAGAACGTTGAATCTGTGAGGAGCGGAAGGAGCGAGAGAACAGGAGGACCTTTCATACACGCGGCGCGCCATGGTGGTCACGACAGATGGGCGTGCGGCTTTCGCACAGCCGACAGACTATCAGATGGACGATGCACGGAGGGCTCGAGAGTTCTACCACTATTTCCAGCCGGACAATCTCCTCCAGCCTCACCTCAACCGTCGCCCCTCGATTCTCAATGTCGCCAGCGAAGAGGTCCCCAGTCTGTGCAAGGCGCTTTCTCCGCTGTGCCAATTGACGGCGTTTCGCTTGCAAGTCCGAAAAGCAATGATCAATGTCATGGATCGCGATGTCATGTATTTCCTGAGTGAAGCCACAAAGATCTTCACGGATGAGGGGGAAGAAACATATGAATTTGTTGAAGATCCCATATTCTTGAACTGCAGCTCAGTGCCGCTCAAGGGTAGAATTTGTGAATTGACCATCCGACTCGACAATAAAGATCATAACGCTGTATCCAAGTTCGTAATCAACGACCTTACCAACTCCCAATTTGCCCACATGGAAATCGTCTCAGGCCCTCCATACTACAGATTCTATGCAGGAGTTCCGATCACAACAAGAGACGGGGTCAATATCGGCAGTCTTGCCGTTGTAAGTGTCTCGTCCCTCCAAGTTTATGTTGTTTCAATCATGGCCAAGGGTGGCATGGCTTGTGACCGCTTCCTTGGATTCATCTGGAGTCACGAAGCTAACACGATGAAACTTAAAGATGGACACCCGAACTCGACCGGGCGGTTTGACCCCTGCTGAAGAGTCGTTCCTTGCGTCAACCGCGCAACAGATAATGGTCTTTCTCGAGACGAACAGACAAGCAATAGAAGGACGCCAATCTCGCCGAATGGCCGAAGGTCTCGAAGCATTCATTGCCGGCCGCAAAAGTATCCACGGCGAGAAAGCAGGATTCCACCACAGTCCCCTCTTCAAGAAGCGGTCGAAATTTGCCTATGGCTTGACGGTGCCTCTGGAAAATGATACTTCTCCAACGCTGGGGTCGTCTGGTCGGGGTGAACCTGGCTTCCGAAATCAGAATGCCATCGCTCTTGAAAGTGTCGAAGATCTCAGCGCCTCGGACCATTCCTCAGATACGGATAGCTTGAATGGCAACTCCGATACTGATGGCGAATCAAGGACACACTCGAAAACCTTCGCAAGAGCTGCCAATCTGCTACGAGAATGTCTAGGAGACCTCGGCGAGGAGGGTGCTGTCGCATTCGTCACCGTGGATGCTCGCCTGCGTAACCTGAGTAAAAAGGATGGAAAAACTCGCGCCCAAGCTATGGGGACCATGAACGGGGAGCCTCAATCCCTGACCAAATCCTCAATAATCGCGTACTCGACGAAGTCCAACCCGGTTATCCCCGAAAAGGGGTTGGATGAGAGAGTACATGGCTTAGACGGGGAATTACTCCAGGAACTTGTCAAACGATATCCTGGCGGTCGCCTGTTCACCCTAGAATGGAACGCATCCTCCTCGTCCGAAGATGATAAAGAGTCGTCAAGGAGACATAGGAGCTCCCCTGATCAGTCGCGCATGCATAGCCATCGGAAACGGCTGGAAGTCAAAGCCATACGCACTGCTTTTCCCTGTGCGGGACAGGTTCTCTTCACGCCGCTATGGGATGCAACGACTGGGTCATTTGCATATGGCTGCTTTGTCGCAACAGCATTGGAGACGCGATCCTTCAACTCTTCAATTGAGTTACCATTCCTCAACTCTTTTTGCAGTACACTTATGGCCGAGTGCTCGCGGTTGGACACAATGATTGCCGACAAGCAAAAATCTGACTTTGTCGGCACTATATCTCATGAAATGCGAAGTCCACTACACGGTCTCCTTGCCAGTGTGGAGTTTCTCGCTGAAACAGACCTATCTGGATTTCAGAGGTCCCTTATTTCTACTATTGACTCTTGTGGGCGAACGCTCCTAGACACCATCAACCACGTCCTGGACTTCTCGAAAATTAATTCGTTTCAAAAGCACTGGCAGGCTTCGAACAAGAAGCACTCCCACGGATCACGTCGCCACAACTTTCTAGGCCCGGACAACTCTTCTAAGACCATATCTCACGGTGCCCCCGCTCTGCTGCAGCTTCTTGGCGTTATAGATGTGTCAGCAGTGTTAGAGGAGGTTGTTGACGGTTTGGTTCTTGGTTATACATACACATCTGGATTGGACTTGACGGATATGCCACGAGAAACGTCAGGTCGAGGAAAACGGGGACGGTCCGAAAACCACTGCGTGGATCCTGTCAAGATCACATTAGACGTGCAGAAAGCCGATTGGACGTTCTTGACCCAGCCAGGGGCAGTCCGTCGTATTATCATGAATCTCACCGGAAATGCTATCAAATACACAAGTCGGGGATCTATCAAAGTTCGACTCCAACTGCAAACTTCCCAGGAGGAGAAAGGCAACGACGTGATGGTGTTGACGGTGGCCGATACTGGAAAGGGTATCTCGCAGGAGTTCTTGTCGACCAAGCTCTTTGTACCATTTGCGCAAGAAAACGCTCTGGCGCCCGGGACCGGCCTTGGCTTGAGCATTGTCCGCAGCATTATCCTGATGCTGGGTGGTTCGATCGATGTGAAAAGCAAATTAAACGAAGGGACAACGGTCGAAGTTGTACTACCCATCAAAAGACCTTTACCTGGGCAGACATCGACTCAGACTACTCCTTACTCTGACGGCGCCAGTGGCTTGAATTCTACCGGCAGCTCCAATTCCGATAACTCGATTTCTCTGCTGCGAGATGAATGGTCGGAGGCGGCAGTAACGTTCTGGCAACCGGAACTGGAGCCAGACGACGACCTCGCGCGCATCGTTGAGTCGTACGTACAGGACTGGTACAACCTTCCGTTCCTGGACCCTCAACTTTGTGATAGTTGCGCTGTTGTCATTGCAGAGGAGGAGAACTTGGAACGCTTGCTCAACAGGTTAGTGGCAACGCCGGGACGACGTCCAGCACTAGTGGTAATGTGTTCGGTTTTGTCCAGGCACAGTGTGGCACTGGTGCAGTCCCTGGAAGAGCGCATTTGCAGTGCAGTGGAATTTGTTTCAGAGCCTTGTGGCCCTCACAAACTGGCTCGTAGTATACGGTTAGCTCTCGAAAAGCAAGCCACCGTACGGTCCCGATTTTCACTGGCGGTCGATCCACAAGTGGTCCTCCCAAGCGCAGAGCTCGAAAGCACACCGCCCGGCCAAACTGAAACAGAGTCGGTGGCGGATGAGTTGGCCGAGATGGATCTCAACCGACCCGGCGAAACTGATAACGCTAAGGTGGTCCAGGCAACGGAGACCTTTGCCGCTTCCCAAGCGAGCCACAATGCGCAAATGGCAATTCATGATCCCATAACCGCTCTACGGACACCGAGAAATCATGTCAGCGAAGGAGAATCTTTCCCCTTTCCATCCCACAGTCAGGAGAGCTCTAGGATGCGTCGCGAGAGCGATCGGTGGTCGATCCACATGAGCTCAAGCAACCCAGCCTCACCCCACGAAGCACCAAGTATTCACGCAAAGGATCCTTCTCTACCAAAGCCAGCCACCGCCGCCAAAGTTGATCCGCACATTCTCCTGGTGGACGACAACAAGATCAATCTGAAACTCCTCGAGACGTTCTTGAAGACCAAGAGGAAATACAGTCGAATTAAACAAGCGGAAGATGGTCAGCAAGCCGTTGATGCTGTTAAAGCGGCTGAAGATCCCTTTGACATTATCTTTATGGACATTTCCATGCCAGTACTTGACGGATTCGAGGCCACCCGAACGATTCGTCAATATGAAGAACTCCGCGGATGTAAACCTGGTGCTATGATCATCGCGTTGACTGGATTGGCAAGTGCCAGGGACCAGAGTGAAGTTTTCAGCAGCGGATGCGACATATATATGACGAAGCCCGTGAGCTTTAAAGAGGTCGGCAAGCTGTTAAACAACTGGGAGGCTCATAAGAATATTGACTCTAAGTGAGGTATTCATTATTTGAGCATCAACCTTCTCTTGCGACGGGATACCACATATGGACCCCCACGTCAAGCCTCGCACCGGAGTGGAAAAGGATTCGACCGCTTTTTCCTCCTCAGTTCTGCTTGGACTGTCTGGCTCGGTCAACTGCTAACAAGCATAGCTGACAGACACGATGACCGATGTCTTCAGCGCAGACCAAGCTGCTGGCGCTGGAGTTGATATCGCATCGCAAACAGGTTCTGTGGGAGGGACAGGGTCTCCAAATTCCCATTCCCTGTATCGTCTGCGACAGCGTGCGTCACTGCTACGGGTCGACACAGAATCCACTGCAATAAGCAGAATGTCGTGTAAGGGCTATTTGATGTGCCATTGTCTGCGCCACTGCAGGGGCCGACCCTGGCGTGTCCTATGCCAAGGTGCCGGCAACACCCCGTATGAACCAGCCAACAGAAGTTTCTGAGGACAGGGTGATGACGTCAACGGGATCGTGAGCTGCCAATGAACCTACAAACGCTGGACACTCGGCTGCACCCCTATTAGCCTTGGTAACTAGACACCCAAAGTTGCCATATTACCAGATCCATACGAGATCTCCGCTCCCCGATCGCTCTCCTTGTAACTGGGCTACTCACTAAATTGAGTCCTCGGCCTCTCCTAATCTTCAAGACTAGTATTTGGCCACCGCCCCGCTGCGTAATGCATATCTATGTATGTGTTGTGGCGGAGGACGCGATCCAAATCGTTCTCCTGTAAGACAGAATGGATTGAGGGTGTAGGAACCGAGTTCGCGTGTAGCACAAGCGCCTCAGGACGATCAACGGGCACCTGCAGCCCTAAATCACTCGAAAGGCACTACTGGGAGGGAAAGAGAGACGCGTTGTTCATACACATTGCTTGTACAAGGGGAGCCAACAAATGACTACTCCACATCTATGGAGCTCTCGCGCAGTCCATACCTCACTATCAGGTCAGTGGTAGGTACATATCCAATATCTAGACCGTTTCCCCCTTCTCTCGTCTTTTTCTTTCTTCTCTTCTTCTTCTAAGACGTCGCAAAGTTGAGTCCACCAGCCATGACTCTCAACCTCTTGCCGAAGAACTGCAGGAACACGATCAAGCAGAAAGCGAAGGCGCAGATGGCGGCCTGGATGCCGAAGCTGACCTTGGTACCCTGGGCGTTGGCCCAGGTGACCTGAAAGTAGCTGATGATGAAGCCGCCGGTGGTGCGGCAGAAGTTGACCCACGAGGCGGTCTCGCCCGAGGCCTCGGGGTAACTGTCCAAGTTGTAGGCGTTCAGGCCGACGGTGGTGACCATGATGCCGAAGACGTAGAGGCCCCAGAAGACCGACGTTACCATGTAGTGGTAGCCGTCCTCGAGGGCGAAGCCCAGCCCCACGAGACCCGCCAGCATGAAGGGCGTGGACACCCACATGGCGCGCAGGCGCACCTCGGGCTCGAAGTGGCCCTTGTGCTTGCGGATGTAGCTCGTGGCGATGAAGTCGTGGAGCCAGTGACCTGTGACCTCGCCCAGCAGCGCCGCCACGATGGGTGTGAAGTAGAAGTATCCAATCTGCTTGGGGCCGAAGTTGTAGAGCGGGGTGAGGAAGATGGAGAGCGTGGTGTTGATGCCGACGACCCAGGCGAAGGTGAGGAGGTAGTAGAAGCACGAGATGAAGACGGTGGGCTTCAGGATGACCTTGACGGGTCGCATAAGCGCTTGAGACAGAGAGTTGCGCAGGTGGCGAGATCTCCACTGCGAAATCCCGACAAGACGCGAGATATGGCTGCCTCGAGGCGGCTGAGAGGCCTGGGGAATTCGGCGGTCGTAGTAGGTCTCTTCGACGAATAGGATGATCAGGACGAGACAGAGGGCAGTCTGGTTGTGTCAATGTCAGATGCTGGACTGGACGTGTCTCTGGTGAATGCGACCTTACCTCTGCAACGTACACCCAGAAAGGAACTTGCCAGGGCTGGGTGCTAATAATGAAAGCTGCAAATAATGGACCGAAGTATCTACAACGAGCTGTCAGCCTCTCGGGAAAATTCAAAGTGAAAGAATCAGAGGACTTACGGGGACAGGATGATAAATGCCGCCCAGATGTTGATCTTCCTGGCTCTTTCGTGGAAAAAGAACATGTCGTAGATAAACATGAGACCGCCGCCTTGAGCGACGGTGCTGAAGAAGCCATTGAGAATTCGTGCAGCCATGAATGATTCGAATGATTTTGCAGCCGCGCACCAGATCGCTGTTGCCGTGGCGAGTACCATAAAATAAAACAGCACAGGAAGACGACCAAAGTAGGCTGACAGCGCAACGACAACAACACCACCTGCGCCCAACATGAAGACGTTGCCGACTTGGGAATGATTGACATGGTCAGGAGTCATGTTCCAGATTGCGGCTTGCGGGAGCAACGTGACTGCTCCTGTCGCGCTGCCATAGTCTGGCAAAAATGCTGTCATGGAGATTATGATGAGGATGAGGTGCTTTCTGAAGCGACTCCAGTTGAGAGGGTCGTGGGGGTCAGAGGAGGGCTGTGGCAAGAGGATCGTGTGGCCATCGCGAGCTCGTTTGAGGTTTGCGTGCTCCGGGTCGCTGGCATCGATAACATAGCCTTCTGCGTTCTTGAACTCGTGCAGCTCCGTGACATTCTCAACAGCTGTAGGCTGGCCAATTTCTTTGTCTTCCGCCATGACTGTCATTGCGAGGAGGAAGGAGAGAAGGAATAGAACTGTGTTACAAGGCTGCTCAGAGTATTTCCTTCCACAGTCAATAACTCCAGGAAGCTGGGGAGGAAGAGAGACGACTCCATCTGGGGAAGCGGACTGTTCTTATTTAAAAGTAAAAGATCCTCTCAGGTTGGACTCGTGGCCATCTCTCCAGGCCAGAGCAAGACCCGCAAATCACCCACAGAGAGCCCAGACCCGATATGGAGAAAACACAATGTGGAGAAGACGTTCAGAGTGTCCCGGATAGAAGATCACGGGAGTAGCTGCGGAATATCCCCCACATTGCCCCCATGAATTTTCCGCGGGAGCGACCAAGAGAAGAGACCTGGCCTTGCCGCCCTGGCTTAGAAGCAAAAAGGTGTTTTTGCTGGAAGGAGAACTTCGGCAATGGGTAAATTGCGAGTCTGTCCTGCATCCGAACGACAATCATAAGAGTTGATTCGTTCAGTATTAGCCATTTTTGACGAAGCACCAAAGTTTGTCTTCGAGTTCATCGATTCAGTTCGAAAGATCCCATCTCGATAATCGTCATTTCTGATTCATGATTCGAGGGAAACGTCTTCCCGTACGAGTCCTCGCTGGCTTATTCATGTTGTTAAGCGAAAGACCGCTAACAGGAAAGAACGGCAGGACTCTGATTGGGCCAGACAGAGGCAAGGACAATCAACTCCGTTCAAGTAAGTGCAAAGCAGCCTTTGCAAGCCGGTCAATAACGGTAACGGTGATCGTGCCGAAGCATTCGGCCGTATAATGCATTTTCAGGATTCGAATCCGTGGTTTTGGTACTGCTGACTGTCTAATCCTTTACGTATCGACTTGGTTGACCGATTTGGCCGAGGTCTTGATTCTTCTAGTGAGGAAGCCTCGAACCAGAAATCAGGATGTAGGATTTTCACCCTCAACGCTCGAGGCGCCTTTGAAACTGGGTCTGGGTGGAACCGATCTCAAACACAAAGGGCCAGAAAGCCATGTTTGATATCGCGTTCACCTAGTGAGATCTCGTGCGTGGCAGAGCACTTCAAGAAGCTGGTGGAATGGCTCTTGCATTGGTGCTTGAGCTTTTCCATCGCTTCGCACGTCTTTTCAGAGGAGTTTGCTCGAAATTAAGGGCACAAAGCAACGCCATGTGCCCGTTAGCATTTGATTTTAGTCTCACAGATATGCTTCACTCACTCACTGTCGCTCGGTGCACGTTTCCACCTCCTCAAGGACGCTGCTCCAGAGCTTGACTGGTCACCACCCAAGAGCCCCAGCTCGTTGAACGACCAGCTAATATGCCTTGCATTAATAATGGACCAGAGCCACCGTATGTCTTTTGGAAAATGTTTCCGGTTTCTGTCCTTCCGTGGGATCACGAGTAATTCTTTCCGGTCTTACCTGAAGCTCGATAGCCATACGCATAAGTTCCAATCTAAAGGGGGGAGTTGTTCACCTGCTTTTTCCTTCTAAGGACCTTTGAGTCGTTAGGCGTCATCCTATTCAATGCAGTGGCGCAATCAATAGCGGAAGTCTTGTCCGGCCACAACTGTGCTTCTCGCCCTATGTATTCTTAAGCCCGACTTTGCATACTCTTCGATCAAGACAGAAATGACCCTTTCCTAAGATCTAGTTCACTAGCCGACGGAATCAGAGTGGTGTCAGCTAGAGGTAGAAACTGTCCGACGAGCTATCGCGAGGCTGTTGCGTGAGTTTTGGGGGCCAAAAGTCGGATAGCATCTAAATGATACATAGAGCGTCATGTTTCCGGGAGAAAAGATCGACTCCAGACGATCCCTTGGAGGGGGAAAGAAGGGTCAAGAGTCTCTGGCGGACGTGTGAGACGGAGCAACACCGGGGTATTACCGACAATCACCTTCAGCCCATTCTGGATGATTGAAGTTGAGCATCATTATCTAACTCCCACACTGTTCAAGGCTGATCATGAGGCCCGTGGCCGGACTAACGCAGGAAGCGGACAGGGAATGAGGCCTCATGCAAAGAGGTTGATTTTGTAGAGCCACGTCAAGCGTTCCCTCGAGGCTCTCCTTCGTACGGACGTTGAAAGACTCACGAGAGGATTCTAGACAGTTGAAAAGGCACGGGATAGACAGCGGCGAATTAATGCAAGCTCAAGAATGCAGTCAGCAACGAGAAGCGAGGCGATGAGAAAGCTACGGTGTCTGTGAGTGGTGATCTTGTTTATTTCGTTCCGCCGAGTCTCGGTGTCGGTGAAACGAGCTTCCGAACGATATCAACTTCTGACCCTTCCAGCTTGCCTTGGTCAACATCATCCTCTGCCGAGGGAGGCTTCTCGATCGGTAGGATGCTACCTCTTCGAGGAACTTCCGGTCTGAGGCCTCGACCGGGAGCCCATCATGGACTCGCTTCTCTCAAATGTATCATTCGTTTTCGTACCTTCCGCTCGTCTCAACCGAAGCAATATCCTCTCTCCCGCCCTCTACCAAAAGGCACCTGGGACAGCCACATGCACGTTGTGGACCCGACTCGCTTTCCTTTGGCCGCCAATGCACAATATAGACCGCATCCGCATACGCTGACAGATGCCAAAGCATTTTACTCTCAGTACGGCATCGAAAACATGGTACTTGTGCAACCGTCAATTTATGGAGACGACAATTCATGTATGCTAGAAGCACTCGAAGAATTGACGCCTAAACACGGTCGCGCTGTGGTGGGCTTAGACCCAGAGAGCATCGACGCAAAGACGCTGGAGAGGTGGCATGCCCTTGGCGTGCGAGGAGCCAGGCTGAATCTCGTCAGTGTGTCGAGGGAAATCACCGAGGATGACTTGCGGGCTGAACTGAAGAGCTATGCAAACGTGTTAAGACCCTTCGACTGGGTGCTTCAGCTCTATATCCCACTGAAGTTGGCAATTCCGCTCTTGAACATCGTCCCAGATCTAGGGATTACAGTATGTGTCGATCATTTCGGATGGCCTGTTCTTCCCGAACGATCTGATCCGTCGACGCCCGTTTATCCATACGACATGCGAGGCTTCGCGTCCCTGATGAATTTGCTCCAGGATGGTAGGACGTGGGTGAAGCTCTCAGCACCATATCGACTTTCCAAAGACCCGGACATGAGAGATTTGGATCCCATTGGCAGGGAGTTGATCATCAAAGGTTCGGATCGTGTTGTCTATGCGACGGATTGGCCGCACACGAGGTTTGAGAATATCAACTCAGAACCGTTCATCGAGAAGTGCTATGAGTGGTGCAACGGCGACGCTACGTTAATCGACAAGCTGTTTCGATCCAACGCTGAGAAGCTTTGGCACGCTTCCTCAAATATATAGCGTATCACGCTTTATGTGACTCTGTCAATCTCTCCTACGAACCAGGCAAGGGTGCGATTGAACAGTTGTGTGGCGACATTGTTGAACGCTTGAGACAGTAAACTTTTCGTAAATATAGAGATCGCAGAGGATGAGGCTCAGCACGGTCAGATGGAACGTGATCTGTTTGCGCATTTATGCATTCGAAAGCGCCACAAGCGTGCCAATTCATTACTTGTAAGTCCCTCAAGTTGTGCCCGGTGCTAACAAAAAACCTTCCCGTTGTAAACGCCTGGCACGAAAGACGCAGCTGAAGCAAATATTTGCACACAATTTTGGGAGCGATGCCTCAATCATCTTCGAAAACTTTCCAGATGCCAGGTCTCAACACTTTCGTCTTCGTCTGTATCCAGGCTCAGATCTTCCTAAGGTCTACTGAAGAAGACGGTGCTCTCCATGCATGAGATCTTCTCCTTGTCAACTGTGTTGACATCGGCAAGAACAGTGTACTTCCCGGGGGGCTGTAGGAGATGTTAATATCTTATCTCGGCAGGATTGATGCTCGTGCAAACTCACCACTTGTTTTGGGATATCAACTTCCTTCTTCAGTGTCATGACACCTTCCTTGAGAGGGCAGGTGATATCAATCTTGGGTAGATTGTCACAGAGATCTGCTTCTTGCTTTATGAGTGTAATGAGCCCATATTTGACTTGGAGGAAGACGGTAGCGCCAGGGTCGATATCTTTCGAAAAGGTCCCGTTCGCCGTGATGGTGAGCTTCTGGCCTCTATTGCTAGTCAGATAGGAGATTTATTGTTCGCAGGAATGCTGTAAAACGTACGGGAGAGGTGGATTGGGTGACAGGTCAACATAGTCGACGGTGAGGATATAGTCCTTAGGATCGGCGCAGAACTAGATACTCATGAGAACAAGCTCCGACGGTGTGATTGTAGACAACCGACATTTAGAGGATTCTTGCCTGGGACCTTGAACTTTGGCTCCTCATCAACGAGGGCGTTCTGCCCGCCAAACAGAGAACGAGAAGATACGGCAGAGGCGGCGGTAAGGAGCGACAGGAGGATGGCCGAGACCTTCATGGCGACGAATTTGGCTGGTCAAGGAGGCTACACAAAGAAGGATATTTCGTGGCCCTCCTGAAGTATGGTTTGCACAATTGGGAGTGGTGGTCGTCGATATCGCTGAGGGAAAGAGAAGAGATTGTACAGCCAAGAGGCTTTTGACGACAGGTTGATAGGTGACGAGTGGCGCGGGCGCATGACTTGCTTTCCCCAGGCATTGCAGTGAGGACCAATAGAGGCAAGTGTGCCGACGATTTCATAATCCTCTTGCGTCACTAGACCAAGCCAAGTACGCTTGCACTCTCATTGCTTCACAGTACTGCACCACGGAGCACCAGAGGGTCTAGAAAGTCCATGCATATATAGATGCGTCGTTCCTACTCTGTATATAAAGTTGAGGACCTCAGCAATTATGCTTCGGTTGCCTGGCTGGCGCCTGCCGCCAAGGCATCGCAAAATGATACAAATTCCCTTTCGCACTGTGCTTTTTAGACATCACCTTCTCTGCCACACACTGCCCTTACCACCTTTATCAACAATAATAGATCATGGACACAATGTCCTCTCCGTGTACGCCCCAGCGCAAGATTATCGGGGAGCTACTTCTCGTATCGCCAATAGCGGTCGGTGGCTTGGGCCTCTCTTCCTCGAGAAGACGCCAAATCACGCCCACGGCCGAAAAAATATCGCCAAACCGGTTCGCAATCATCACCAGGCCAGGAGCAGTGAGCCCCGTGGTTAACACCATTGATCGCTCTACGCTTCCGAATCCACTCAGATGGCCCATTCAGTCCGAACAGGCTTCTATCGGTAAGTACTTCATATTCTCTCCAGGGAAATGGCAATAATAACATAGTTCTTAGAAAATCGGTGCACTCTCTACGAAGACTTCCCAAACCCGCTCTTCCAGGCTTGGTCAGCACCGGTTCAACAAGAGTCATCAATGCCACGCCACCTTGCTTTGCCATTCGACCTTCGGGACGAGAAAGATGCCCTCTATGACTCCAAAAAGCGGGACTTTCTGCTTAATATCTTCCCAGGAACGACTGGTGTTTCGATCGACGGGTTCTTCCTATGCCTCCAGCAATCCTCCCTACCGCCGAAGCCTTGGCCTTTGACCGTTGCCGGACTTCCGCTCTACCTCACGACGGAGCTCGGCCAGACTCCCATGCCAAAAGCAAAGCCTGCCTATTGGAAGAACGGCTCCATCGCTGAAGACCGAAATGGCCGAGATATGGAGGATTGGGAGCCGCTCTTCCACATCATCAAGGACCATTTCCGCGACATTGGTGTCTCAATTACGGAGGTCATATACTTTTTTGACCACGTCTACATCGTGTTGGAGCATAGGGATACTGATCACACAAAATTGCCGCACTTAGCTGCAAAAATCATCTGTTTCTACATGTTCGAAGATGAGATGGGGAGACCCTCGACACCACATGTTCGCCGCCTTCACGACCCTGCTCCGGGGAATCCGGACCTCAGCCAATACGATACTCTGCAGCCAGGGTTGCGTGTATCATCTGCCTACCTGCCGGACTGCCCTAACACGTTTCTTGCGACCACAACTGGCGTCCTTCTCAAGGATAAAGTGGGCAACGAGTTCATGACTGCGGCCGCGCATGGATTCCCAGGCGGCAAATCTGGCACGTCGGTCTGGCACCCTTTCCCTGGCACCGGTCGCGATATTGGTGAGCTCTGTATGGAAGTGTCGCACACGGACATTGCACTTATTAGGCTGCACGACAACGAAAAGTTCTCCAACATTACCTTCCAGAGTGACTCGATCCCGGCACCTATTCAGCTCAAGAAGTTCGTTGGATCCAGAGAATGTCTACGCAGAAGCATCATGTGCCTAGATTCTCCTGACACCGGCTTCATTGAAGGCTTTTACCAGGCTCCAGCATACCAGGCAATCCCTAGTGACGACGGTTCACCAACGCAGAATTGGGTCTTCACAAAATGGTATTACTTGGGCCAAGACTCAGGAATCAACCTCCCTCAAGGAATGTGCGGCAGCGCTATGTGGGACCAAGACGGAAATGTCCTGGGACTCTTCAGGTACGCTCCACAAGAAGGAGCCATGAAGGATTGGTGCACCGGAATCGCTGCTGACGAGCTCATTAACCGAGGATTTTCGCTCGTCGATACGAGTGATAGAACATAAGGATGCCTTCGGGCACTGACAGCCGCAAAGCCACGGCACTCCTCTTCGGCTTCGGACTTGCGAATAGCTACTTTCAGTCAAATCGTGTGGTGCGATCAAAGCATTTGGTATGGCGGAGCGGCACATGGTCGAGGAGCAAGCTCTTAAGTTGTTGTATTTCTTATGGACAAGAAGACAAAGCTGAGGAGGATACAAGGAAGAGGAACAGGCCCTGCGCCTCGCGCGAAGTGTAAGCAACATAATAAGGTCTCGGCCAATCAGATCGCTCTTGACAGTACGTGGCGTGTGCGTGCATATCTGGCCATAATATCTGGCCTGCTCTGGCCGTATCGTGACCCTCTTTCCTTACCGCTTTGTATACTGCAGAATTTGAAAGAGAAGCTTGTAGCGTGTTCGCTCAGAGGCGAGAGAGACGCTATTCTGCACCCAGGGTCGACGAGGTGACGAGAGGGGAAGCAGCAGACCTCAGATCTGAAAGTCAAGAACCCCCTGGTTGTTCCCCAATTATGGAACTCATCTTGGGACGGGGCGTATCAGGGGGACTGCAGTAGAAATGAGACCGTCGATGCGAGGGTGCGTGAGAGTGAATCGCGAGCAGGTTACCTTAAAAGCGGCGTGGGCGTGCCGAGGATTGCTTGTGCTGCCAAGGACTCCTGATGCAGATCCCATCGCCTTCGTGTCTGGAGCAGACCTGGCTCACTCTCCCACTCCATGCTTCAAGAGTTGTAGTCTAGTCTCGTTGAGCGGGCAGACCTTTGTCAATTGTTGCAGTTATTTTCCTCACTTGATTCCGCTTCGATTCTTACACTCGTTTCTCTTTCTCCCTCCGACGACTGCCAGGCGATTGTGCGAAAACGATCCAGTGTCTCCCCATCGGCGACCCCGTCTGCATTGGTTGAGTGATTCGGTTCTTGCCTGGTATAGGTCATTTCCTGGCCAACCTACAAGATGAGGCCAGCTTTGCTGGCGTGCGCTATCGCAGCCTTCCTCTCTACCTCTATCGCAGCGCCACCAGGATCGCAAAGAGGGGCCGCAGTAATAGCAGATGAGGCTGTCCAGGGAGAGACTCCTGCTGAAGGAGGAGACGGTGTGGATTATACGGTCTTCAATGGCATCAAGGTGCCGCCGATGAAAGAAATACAAGGCGATGAGTTCGCCGAGACGATAAAAGATGGATATTGGTGGGTTAAACATTACTCGCCTTATTGCGGCCACTGCAAAGCGATCGCGCCACTCTGGCAGACTCTCTACGAATTCTACGCAACGTCAGATCCTTTACAGGGTATGACAAAGTCTGGTCAGCCCGACTTGTTCTCTCCAAACAGCTTTCACGGATATTACAATTTCCACTTTGCCTCGATAAATTGCATTGCCTTTGGGGATGTTTGCGATAAGAACGGGGTGAGGGCTTGGCCAACATTCCTATTGTACAAAGATGGGGAATTCGTCGAAAAATTCACTGGAGGAAGATCAATGGAGGATTTCAGCAACTATGTCGAAGAAAAGCTGGAACAGATAAAGCCCGGCTCGAGACCCAGAGAAGGTGTCCACGTTCCCAAGCCTGGTGCAAAGAGTGTTGACAGAACAGCCGAGCCCGAAAAGCCACTGGCCAAGGACAAAGATGTCGCGGCCGGCGCCGCAGCTGGGGAGAAGCAGAACAAGGCAGCGGCGCTGTCGACCGAGACCACCTCATCAATGTTGGCTTCGGAGACCGCGAAACTCGGAAAGTCTCTGAATGCGAAGACTGGCCTCCAACCGAATCCCAAAGGAGCCTCCGTCCCTTTAATTCCAGAGTCCTTCCAAAAGCTCGTCACTACTTCTCAAGACCCATGGTTTGTCAAGTTTTACGTGCCATGGTGTTCGCACTGTCAGCATCTGGCTCCGACATGGGCCCAATTGGCGAAAGAAATGGAAGGCAAGCTCAACATTGGAGAGGTCAACTGTGAAGCGTCACCGCGGCTATGCAAGGACGCCAAGGTCAGCGCTTATCCCACCGTCTACTTTTTCCGCGGCGGCGAGCGTGTCGAGTATGAAGGCCTTCGGGGTCTAGGCGACCTTCTCTCGTTTGCAAACAAAGCGCTGGATAGCGATGTCAAGTATGTTGACGCCGCTGCGTTCAAGGAGATGGAAGAGACGGAGGAAGTAATCTTCATCTATTTCTTCGACCATGCCACGACGTCTGAAGACTTTGCAGCCCTCGATCGACTGACTCTCAGCCTGATCGGACATGCAAAGATTGTCAAGACGGACTCTGAGATCCTGGCGAATCGGTTCAAGATCTCAACTTGGCCAAGGCTGTTGGTGTCCCGGGATGGACGACCAAGCTACTACAATGCCCTTGCTCCCAAGGACATGCGTGATTTTAGACGCGTCCTGACATGGATGCAATCGGTCTGGCTACCAATTGTACCTGAACTGAGCGCTTCCAATGCGAAGGAGATCATGAGCGGAAAATATGTGGTACTGGGCATCCTTTCTCGAGACCGACCGGACGAGTTTCTCCAATCCAAGAGGGAGTTAAAGAACGCCGCACTGGAGTGGATGGATAAGCAAACACAAGCTTTTCAACTTGAGAGACAAGAACTGCGTGACTCGAAGCAATTGCGCATCGAAGAGGCCGAAGATCGCAATGACCAACGGGCTTTACGCCAAGCAAAGAGCCGAGTCATCAGCATCACCGAGGAAACATTCCGGAAGCAGGTCGCCTTTGCCTGGGTGGATGGTGTTTTCTGGGAGAGATGGTTGAGGTCAACGTACGGCGTGGACGTCTCGAAGGGTGAGAGGGTGATTATTAACGATGAGGATGTGAGTATTTTCTGTCCCCGACCTACAGATATTGTTGAACTGACATGTACGACAGAACCGACGTTATTGGGACGTCACCGACTCTGGGGCCTATATCATGCCCTCCCGGACTTCCATTCTCGAAACGCTACCCCGAATCGTTGCCAACCCGCCGAAGCTGACTCCGAAGTCCACCATCGGCGCCTTTGAGAATGTTTTCTTCCAGATCCGAAATTTCGGCACCTACCACCCGTACCTGTCGTTCGGACTGCTCATAATAAGTGTGGTGATGCTATTCTGGGTGTTGAGGAATGGCAGCACCATTAAGAGGACACTAAGTCGGAATAGCTCAGGCTATTTCCACTTGGATGGAAAGGAGGGACTTTTGGGAACCACGAACGGCAAGGCCGATTGAGGATTTATCACTGGATTTTATGACAGAATATATCATTCAGGCGGCAGGCGAGGTATTTCCTACATGTACAGAAGCATTGCATTGGCGTTCGGATGTGGACCGGAGGTCGGAAAGGGGCCACAAAAGACCCAAACCCATTGTCAGGAGATTCGAATCGAGGTTGGTTATCACTAGGGTTATCATGGGAAGAACATAAAACTGCCAATTCAATCATGATCGCTCATATCGTGCGAGTTCGAACGCAGCCTGTGCGAAAGATACAAGGGGGGGTATTTCGTGTGAGAGAAGGCCGGTCAAGGCTTCACGCTCACGGTACTCCATGGGAAAAATGAGGGAAGGGGAAGAGGGGAAGGAATTTGGCAATCAAGCTTCGTTCCTGGATAGGGACTAGGCGACACCTTGAATGTTTTGAATGAGTTTCTTTCTACCGTACCGCTGCTGCACTTGGGAGGCGCAGTCGCAGCTCCGCCTACGTCGATACCTCGATATTCCGTCTCTCTTGGTAGTGTCGACAAGATGTTCAAAGGTGAATTCTGAATGAGTGCGTAGGTAGAAACGGGCAGTCGTAGTCTTTTGTGTCATGGTCAGCATGAGGTGGGTAGGTTGTCGCTTGACGTCGGACCCCAGCTTCCAGGATTTTGGACATTCTGAATCGAGATAGACCATGCAAGGGAAAGCAACCGACACAGCCGTGAAAAACAGGCAATGCGACAGTCCCCATTCCATCACTCCCAGTTTCGACCACTCTTGCTCCATTATTGTGCCGTCTCAAAAAAAAACCACCAGTTGCTTAAATCTACTCGCGGCGACCGGGCCGATCGGTACCGAAAACTCGCCTTCCGCCTCGTTCTTGAGGAGCCTGCTGGCTGACGGGGACGACGTTGACGGGGATGCTGTCGAAGCCCATGCTCTTGAGCAGGTCCTTGGTGTCGCTGTCGACGTCGAGCTGTCCGGACTCGGTGTTCTGGGTGAAGTCGAGGGCGGAGATCTCGGGCACGTATTGATCCTTGCGCTCACGCTCTTCTTCCTGCAGCTTGAACGAGATGCCGCGCACGGGGCCGCGCTGGATACGTTTCATCAAGTGCGTGGTGTAGCCGGCAATCTGCATCCAACCCAAAGTCAGCCAACTGTTCTGCCCGTACAATATATAACCCGGCCCCAGCGGAGCTTCAACTTTGGGGGTGGAAAGGGAGAGTGGCATTATACCTTGTTGCGAAGGCGCTTCGAGGCGATAATGGCGATCTCATCGCAGATGCGCTTGTTGGTCTCGAAGTCGAGGGTGAGTTTGGGATAGTACCGCTCAATGATAACTTTGGCGGACTTCTTGACGGTCTAGATGTACACAGCACTGGTCAGCAATCTTGGTAATTGTCACAGGAAGCCATCAGACTCACCTTCGTGCGAACGCGACCCATCTTGACTGCTGGATTGAAGTTGTCGTGAGGGATGCGAAAGTTGAGACAGTGGTGGGTGCAACGAGAATTGATGTGTGGAAATGAATTTCGGAGGAATTGTGGCTGCTTGGCAAAAATTAGTGCCAAGAGATAAGATATGATTATGTGTGTATGTGAATCTTCCAGAGTCATGTGCTTCAATTTGATCTTCCAGTGGAGGGTATTCAAGTATTGATACAAAAAAAATATGGATTCCTAAAAGCTATTTGTTTTTTATAGAACTGCAGACGGCTCTCGAGAGTCATCAACTCGGAAGTTGCCCAAAGAAGCAAATCAATCAGAGCGGTAAACAGAGGAATTCACCTGCCCGGCAGGCTTGGCCGCTGTTTTGAGAATGTAAAGTAAACACAACTGAGAATCATGCTAGTAAAGAGATGATGATAATTGTCTATACAAGTTTTGTACATCAAGCGAGCTTGTTCGTTTTATACTTCGAGTTCGCCCGCAACAATAAACCTATCTCTTCGTCGATGCTCTGACTGGGTTCCGGTGCTGGCCGCTGCCGTCGACTAGGGGTTCCTTTGCGACCAAAAGTCGGCAATTGAGAAGATAAAGGTCTCGTGGGAGTCGGAGTACCTTTCAGAGTCCGTCTTTCGGTGATATTGACAGGTACATCGTCCTCTACAATCCAGTCAGGCTGCATTCTGGTCTGGATCTCAACTTTGCCAGCTTGTGAAATGCTGGTGGCAATTGGAGTGACGACAAGTTTAGGCCCATCTTTGACCGGTGCCCACTTCCAGTTCTGCTCCGAAATGCCAGGGTTTGTGGGTTGCGGAACGACAAATCCAGCCACACCCACGAAGGGGATGTGCTTGTTATGAGTAGACTGGATGGATCGAAGAAGGCGAGCTGCAACGGGCGACCGTGTCCCTCTGGGACCGGTGACAGCGTCGTTCGCCGCAAACATCTCTGTTTTAATATAGGACAGACCTGCAGATGGATGCGTGCGTGGTGGCCCGGACTCTTTGTAGAGATCCGCCGATACGGTATCACGCCCATAAGACCAAGGGTCGGTCGTGTCCGGCGAGGGCTTCGGACCATCGGCGAGATCGAAGAACTCGGCAATCAGGGGACCAAATTTGCCGGGTTCTGATCGCAAATATCGTAGGTGCTCTGTGACTTCTGAGTCTGTGATCTCTGACGGAGCCGGCGGAGGTGGATCCACCTGGCCTTCCTCAAGAGCTTTCAATCGCTGATCAGAAGCTCGCTGCCCAGCTAAATGATTTTTGACCAATTCCCTAAACGCAGCTCTCTTCTCCCTCGTGATGCCTTTAAGGAAAGAATCGAATTCCATCCCGTTCAGCCCCGCCAGATATGGTCCAGAGTAACGCCATCTGCGAGCAGCTTGTGTGGGTGGTGAAGCTGTAGGGGAAGTAGGTTGTGGTTGAATTGAGTGCGTCTCAGCCCCAGGTTTTGTTGCATCTGCTCTTGCTTGGGTAATCTTCTCGAGTGCATCTTTGAGATGCTGCGGCATCCGTTTCGCTCGTTCCGATGGACTTTCATCTAACCATGACGTTGATGTATTTCCGATGAGGCTTGAGTGAGGTTTGTCGGCAGTGTGATCTACTTCCGAATCAAAGGCGCTCGTTCGTTGTGTATTCAATGTTGATTTCCGATCCCTCGGCGCAGGCAAAACAACTCTAAGGTTCAGCTCCTGGTACTTGCGCAAAGTGAGGACATGATCTGCTGCTGACTCGAAGTCGACGACGTGCTCGGGGGTGTCTATTCCTCTTTGAAAACGGACAAGAGGTGTCCCAGACTTTGTAGTAGTTTTGATAGGCAGCGGCCTTTTCAAACCCCAGTCTCCTTGATTTAATGAGGTCAATGGAGTCTCAAGAGCAGCTCGAGTCGGGTATGGAGTGGTAGCAGAATCCGAGTATGAGATGGGTTCTGATGAAGGTTCTATCGCAGGTAGGGACACAGCAGCTGGGATGGCGAAGAGTCTGGAGTTGCGGAGCAAGTTCGCTGCTGGTGACAGACGGGCAGCAGTCATTGCTGCGGAGCCTGGCCAGACTTATACAAGCCGGACGTGTTGAGAGCGTGATTGAAGCTGCAGACTGGATCAACAGAGTGGAAGTCGCAGTTCAATCGAGACAAATTATCGCCAAGCCCAGATTCTGCACTAAGGGGACTCATGCTCTGCAGTAGCGCAAGGCTACGAGGCTGGGTCTTCATCTGGTACATCAATGGTGAACCTCTCCTCACAAGTAGTAGTCTCTGTGAGAAACCGAGTCACAGGCCATCATATTTTTGATCGGGTAAAAGTAGCTGCTCGCTGATAGTTGATCGGTGAACTGTCCCCAGCTCCACAAGCCTCTGCTGGGACCCGACCTGCCCCTCGTGGTATGACCCCGACCTGCTCGAGCTCGGTCTTTGACTGTTACTAACTTGAGCATCTTTGTCAGTCAGTTGACGTTCTGCAGGCCCCAAAGCACAGTATCCTGCTATCCTGGCATTTGCACAGACTACACCCCGGCAGTCTCGGGGTTTGTGCCAACAACCCATGTGAACAGCCATTTAAGCCTTCTACAAGTGCTTCTGGTGGTGCTTCTGAGGACGAATCGGTTGTCATGGTGTAATGTGGTCCACAAATCAGGCTCACATTTACGGTAAGCCGCAATCTATATTAAGGACACCGGTTGCATGATTTCTCCATCTCCGCTCTTGATTCCGTCGCCTCCAGTACCGAACTATAAGGCTCCATCGCCTAGGCCATGAATGCAACGGCTAGACGATTATTACCCTGACAGCTTTATATCGCAAATAACCGTCGATGAATACGAATACGAGTGCTTCATCGCAAGCAAGATTCCGCACATTTCAAATACCCGTTTACCAACATGCCATTCGCAACAAAAATACTGTGTCACCCTCGTGGTCACGAAGAGCGGTGCTGTCTTTCGACTATATATGATCCGTGGGCATTCTAGGACCATCTGCTTGCAACGAGTCTTCCACAATCATATTTTGTGTTTTGCTGAGTCTTCAAATTCCACCTCGTGTCAGGATGATTGTCCTCATAACCCTCTATTCCTTGAGCGTTGCTCTTGGAGCCTCGTGTCAAACAGTCCCATTACCTCCACCCCAAGTCTCCACGAACGCCTTCGTCACTACCTTCCCTCTAATAGATGCATCTCGTATTGACCCCTTCGCACCATGCTGCAATCAGCCTCGCCGCTTGATGCTGTCCCTTTTTCAGCCAACAAACTGCACCACGACTCACGAAATTCCGTATATGCCACCTGTCACGGCTGCTTTCCACGATGCTATGTTCAGTTCGATCGGCGTCCCAAACGGAACCTTCGAAGCATTCCGCCTCCAAACATGTCATTTGCCCCCAAAGAACACCAATTTCCCTGTGCTGCTCTTTTCCACAGGAGCCGGAGGCTCTCGCCTGATTTACAATGTACTCTGTCAATGGGTAGCCTCGATGGGGTTCAATGTCATCTCAATCGATCATACGTACGATGCCCAGATTGTGGAATTTCCGGATGGTACTGTCATTCTGGGCGCCAACATTACCCTGCCGGATGACCTGCCACAAGTTCTGTCCCTGAGAGTTGCAGACGTCGGTTCTGTGCTGAACGCGTTATCCAACTCGACCATGACAAAGGAACTTGGCATCCCAGCTTTTGATGTCAAGCATGTAGGGATATTTGGGCATTCGCTGGGTGGTGCAACTGCTGCAAATGCAATGCTGACGAAGCCAAGACTTATTAGCGGTCTGAACATGGATGGCAGTGTGTATGGTCCGGCAATGAATCGAACCGACAGAAACCCGTTCACCATTTTCGCGGCACAGCAGCACAATCAAAGCTCTGATGCAACGTGGGCGGCTTTCTGGCATGAACTGAAAGGGTTGAAGCTACAACTACAAGTCAATGGTACCCAGCATGGAACCTTCTCTGATTATCCAATCCTGGCCAAAAGCATCGGGATCAATTCAACCGTTATTCCACAGATAGTGGACTTGATCGGGACCATTGATGGAGTTAGGATGATGAATATCCTCCGGAGATACATCGGCGGATTTTTCCAGGAGACTCTGGAGTCACAAAAGGTCAGACTCCTCGAAGGACCGAGCCCACAATTTCCCGAGGTCGCATTCGTGAACATGTCGTTGAGCTCGTAGACATGATCGCTGGCAGCACATAGTTCCATACCACAGCAGGGCTGGACTGAAGGGGGCCACGGCGTCTCCAATTCTCTACCGGGAATAGCCCAGAGGTTCTCTCACAATTCCCCTGAGCTGCCACTGTTCTTACACTCGCATCAAAGTTTCCAATATTGTGTCGCTATAACTGCCGTGATCTTGATTCTGTCGTGGACGTGAGAAATGACTCCCTTCACTCACCGACTCTTGCTACGACGGAAATGGCTAAGTGGCTAAGTGGTTGAAAGTGAGGCGTCCAAGGGAGTAATACGACGACTTCCATTGCGAATCATGCTGCTTCAAAATCTCTAGTCAGTTTGGTAGAGAGGACCAGGTCTGATCACGAAGCAGGTTTTGGAGGATCCGACAAGACATGGCTGCTCCCTCGGGGAGGTCGCCGAAAACTTCTGCAATTCAAGTTACCTAAGTACAGGTATCTCGGCTGGCTTAGGCATTAGTTTTCGTAGTCTATGATACTGTCGGGGATGTTGGACTGTAGGCTTATGGAAAAAACACATGGAAGTCCAAAGTTGGGTATCAGGGAAACTGCCACAGGACGGCCCGTGTGTGATCTGTGAAACGTCAAAGGTGGCATTTTTTGGTATCACATTATAGCATTCGATGCCAACTTCTGCGTTTCCTCCATAGTCGGATTTTGCTACTTTCATGAACAACTAGATTCCTTTGACCAAGCACTGAGGAAGGGTCTGCTTTTGCAAAAAGGTCACGCATCTTCGACCGCCTTGGTGCCCTGATCTTCACTCGACGAGCATCACAACTTCGAAGCCGACTGTCCCTTGTGACATACATTTGTTGCGCAACGTCCGTGTCCTTGGCTTTGAGCCTTGGTAGTGACCTCTTCCGTTCGAAAAGCAGAACCCTCATTCAAAGATCGTGTTGAAGTCCTTGCAGTCGAGATGGCACTGATTGGCGTTCAAGCAACACTGCAGCGGGACTACAAGGCAGCCATTGATCCCCGGTCCGCCCCAGGAATGAGAACCCCACGGAGGCTGAAAGGCACATGGCCAGCGTGGGCATTGACAACATACTTGGGGAAGAAGAAGAGAAAAAAAATGGTGCTGATACCAGAAACTATTACCGACACTGACGCCTCCGCCTTACAATCATGACTCGGGCTGTGCATGGTTCAGGAGATTCATGAGGACGCTAGCATCAAGGAAAATGCGCCTGCAATTTTGAGCTCCATCCTGCCTGCGCCGGGCAGCGACGGCAGATTTCCGACGATAAGAAACCTGCTACAGCAGCTCCGTGTTCCGGACAGGGTTCCTGGTGAGAAAGCACTGGGTATGCCTCAAGGTCAGCAGGGAGATATTAGACGAAGCACAAGCAAATGCGGGGTCGGCCCGTCCAATGTCTCCGTGTGGTGGCTGCCAAAGTCTGTCGCAGAGTGCAAGGTCGGCTGACGGAGTGGAATGTGCTGTCGGGCGGGAGAAATTCATCTTCTATGGCCGTCAATTCAGCTGGTATACATGTCAAAGGGCGCGATGTGCACGGGCAATTGTATCCTCGACACTTACTGGAACACAAATGCCTCTGGGATCATGGCTCTTGGACAATGTCCCATGGCTTACAGTTGAAGTGATCATGTTCCGTCTACACAACCAGGAAATGACAGCCAGTGGACCAGGTCGTCACTTCGAAGTCGGCAATGGAGCGCAGGGACCCTACACTAGGAAGGCCTAGTCGGATCCAGGACTCAAAGCACCTGCGCCACTAGCCCATTGTTGGAGGCGATACCGGTTTTGTGATCCCCTGACGAGGCAGGAGGCAGTTCTACGGCCTCGACTAATTCAGCAATCTGAGGGCATATGCAGCCCGGAAAACAGTAGTGACACGGTGTACCAGCTGAAGCACGCCCAACGGAGCGAGCAACAACACGCCAGAGCAGCCAGAGCCGCCAAAGCCTCAGTTTTCCAGCGGTCCTACTTTCGCTTTGTCAACACTCAGCCCCGTTTTGACCAGATTTTTCAACACAATTAGCCATGCTACTACTTTGTGTTCAACAACATTTCCTTCCACTGGAATATTGTCACAAAGGAAAGGGTCGGACGTAGTAAAGGCTCTTCCAAACGGTTTGGACGGGGCGCCGAGCACTTGCCGGTTATTAGCGAAACCATGAAAATGGCTGGCACAAGATGATTCTGGCCATTCTGAAAAGAACTCTGCAATTGCGTCGGCGGCCTCCAATTGACATGATTCGTGCTCGTACCGGACGCGCCAGGCAACATCCATGATTACGACGAGACTGGCAGTAAGGCAAAGACAGCATCCCGAGCCTCACAGCATTATGTCCACTTACACGTTGTCAATGTGTCCCAGTTGGGCACTGATCGCCGGAACGGAGCCCAATTGGCTTCTCCCAGCACCATTACTATTGCACTTTGCAAGATACAGCAGAATACTGCAAGAACAGCTCTGGAGAAAGCAGATGCCATTCCTCCCGCTGTCTAGCGTGTCTAAAGAACACACAGCCCGACAGCACCAGGAGTCGGAACAGCAGCTCCTCTTATAATCTCGCAATCCTGCCTACTTGAGCATGTCTCGGGTTCTTCAGCATATAGCCTTGAGATGTCCAAGGATTTTGTTTCATCTAGCCGTCCGCCTTGCCTTCTTGCCTTATCATAGCTGCGTTTGCTGCTGCCCACCACCATCAGATCCATCTGTGCCAGAAAGGTCAGCTCAAGATGGCAACCAGTCCGCCAAACTTCTCAGACCTCCTCTTGACGAGAGTTCCCCCGTTTCAACCTGATCAGGACAAAAGCTCTTCAGGTCTCCCTCAATTAGCTATTTCACGAGGTTCCAATGCTTTGTTCTTCGTGACCTGTCTAGCCCTCTTTCTCCTTGTCTCAGCTACAGAGATCTTCAGTTATGTGACCCTCGCTCTATGCCTTCAGCTTTGTCCCGGAATTCGGGAGAGACAGCAGCAGTCAATACTCCAATTGATCAGCCTGAGGAGCTCCCAACATGTGCTGGAGCGATTACTCGAAGAACTCTCACGAACCAGTTCGCCATATCAACCAGGATGCCTCACAAGACTTGGAGAGAAGAGAGGCGAGCTGTTCGGAGAACCTTTGAAGCCTTTGTGTATCTCAGAAGAACGCCACCATTTGACACCTCCTAAAGACCTCTGGCCGCAGAAAGGGTCTCGTTATCACCACTATCCCTGCACCCCGTCCAGAAAACCCAAGCCACTGAAACGCGGCGAACTTGGTTTCCTATCTCGTTCGGGGCCAGCTCGAGGCAGCGATCCTGGACCCTCGCCACTACCACACAATAGACCAAGACCACTTCTCCAACAATCGTCTCGCCTTCCTCAAGGTTCTGGTAGCCGGATTGGGCATTCGTCCCAAAGATCTATTTATAAAGGACACCCTCTGCGCCAACAACTGTATCCTAGTCAGCCTTATCGCGCCCAACTGCCCACCCCGCTCGAAGCGCCACGCCCCCCCTCAGTTCCAACGCCACCGCAAGATCATTTATCACAAGCTGCAGCACCCCGAACTGCGATCCAGACGTCCTCGTCCGCTGTCGGCATCTCCCCAAATATTCGCAGGCTGTCGGACCAACCGACAGCAAGCCCAAAGCAACAAGATATTCATATTTTGCCTGGCCTTCCTCTTACTGGTGCCTCCGAATATCTGCAGCCTCAGCGAACAGGGCTGGGTCCAATCTCAAAGAGCATCCAGGCTTCTTTCACAGCTGGTGTACACCTCCGAACCACCACAGAATCTTTGCGCCGGCCCGACATCGAGCCAGAGGGAATCACCTATGCGGGAGGAGATACTCCCAAAAAGAGAAAAAGAGACACGCAGAGCTCGTCGCGCCCTCAATACAACGCTTCGGGTGTGCAGAACATTAATGAGAATGAGGAATCTCAAGATTCTTCTTCAGAGCATGATTCCGAATCTCCCGATGAGGACGAAAATCCGAATCCGAACCCAAATGAGAAGACAACGTCAAAGAGCAAAGGGAGGGGACCATTCTTCCGATGCCCGATGTACTCTGCTCATCCTCAGAGGTATGATGATACAAAGTGCAAACACTGGCACGGTAGCTCCATTGCAGATGTGACTCGGCATTCCCTCAAAGATGCGGGAGAAGGCTCAGATAAGTGGAAGAAGATCAAGAAGCTATCAAAGGCAAAACTCAGTCCCAGAGAGCGCTGGAAAAAGTACTTCGTGATTTTCAATGACGAGACTCAGACAGATCGAATGAATTACCCATATTGGGTCAATGGAGATGCGGAGGACCAGGTGACTGATTTCTTGAGGAGCATGATGGACCAAATGAAATCTGATCTCAATCCAACATTGGGCTTGATGAAGGTTCAGCAATACTACAACATGTTAATGGAAAAGAAGCAAAGAGACGACGTCATCAGGCTCCAATACCAGGAAGATAAGACAGCTGCAATGAGACGAGAGGTCAAGGATTTAGAAACCTCGCGGTCACAGCTTACCACCCAGTTCGAAGCACTCGTTAGCCCCGAAAATCCAGAAGCAATATCATCCGCCTCCATGTTCCCCAGCGAGAGTCAATGTTACGCCCTGACAGGGCTCACGACGCCGAGTGTCATGCCTGAAGTCTATGTGCACAATCTTGATACACAATTTCCTGAAGCTGGACCGGGTTTCAACCCATTCATGATGCAGACAGGACCACCTCCGATATGCGGAGATCATTACTCTACACCACAACCCCTCGTCAACAAAGTCAGATCGGCCACAGTCAATACCATGGTTGGTGGTGCCCATACTACTAATACCATCAACGATACCTTGCAGTCATACGACCAACAACCACATATGCTGGGCCCTCCGCAGGCTTACATGCCCTCTGACTCTGGGCTTGGCTCTTCCAGGCGAAGTGCACACCGGTCTATCAGTTCGGCCAACTCTACTGAAGACAACGGCTACAGTTATAGCTTCAACAACGGTGTACGACCGATTGAAGACACTTCTCCATTTGACTTTGAGGCGCAAAATAAGTTTAGCAGAAATCCATATCTGCGGCAATTAGGGAGACACTGAATCTCATCCATACAGAAACTCAAAGCCGCCTTGGTAAATTGAGGATGCGTGCAGTGAATTGTCGTCTTGACCTGCTTCAGGAATACGGGTCTGCACCTTGGCGACTCTGTTGGGGTGGCTCATGTGGCTCTTATGATGTTCCTGAAATTGGTAACTAGATTTATTGATGAAGACCCATCAGCTGTGGCATTCTTACTTTACGCCCGGAGCTGGTGGCGGCGAGGCTGGACGAGGCTGGACGAGGCTGAAATGCCCCTGCTTCAGCAGTATGATTTCCCATTTATGATTTCTGACAATTCTTCCATAGCTAGGCCCCTCGGTTCCATTCATATTCTACTTAAATTCTTACGCTGTTTATGACGACTATTCAATATCAGAGTGCTGTCAACCAAGATATTCCCCCGGAGAATTTTGAAGTTAATTCTCCTATGAGCATTCTTCACTTGGTCTACCAGTCGTCGTCCGTGGTCGTTCGAAGACGACTTGAGTACCTTTCTGTCGCTCAGAGGCTCATCATTCACAGTGAGAAGCCCATATGCATTGACCACAAGCAGTTTGAGAAATCTGTCGAACCGAACAGATGCACAGGATCGAGGACGAGTCCCAGGTCAGCTACCGACGATCTCAGTACATGAGCAGGGCATTTGGCATTGTCCTTTCCCGCCATTCTTTCCTCATTGCCACACCGAGTACAAAGGGGGTACGTGCCCTATGTTCACTCTCTACCCTGACTAGGTAGGTACATGTATGTCTACAGAAAAAAAATACCGCACGCCTTGTTGCAGCTGTCCGGAGGGGTTTGTATCACCACCCACTAATCAGTCCTTTTTCGCGCCGAAACCTTTTCTTCCTCTGCTACTGTCCGTCGCCCTGGTAGGGCGCATCAGGGGACGGAGTACGTACCCGTCTCCGTGTTACCAGGGCCTCTCGTCTCTCCTTCCGCTCAATCTACCTGGACATCTCTACCGGGCACCTACGGCTTCGTTGGCCTATTCTCCTACCCTCTGGTCCTCAGCCTCCGTCTCTTCGCGTCCATATCCGATTTCGACGAAGACGTGTTGCGATTGAAGGCCTCCTTTACTTCCGCCCTTCGGTGGGTGGGGGGTCCTGCAGGGTAGTTTCGGGTCATCATGCAAGCCGGGGTGGCCCCATTCTCTAGGTGTCTGTCGACTTGGAGGAATAAGCCGGAGAATTATTGCTAAAGTGAACAACCTTCCTTGAAATTTGTTTTGCTAAGAGCCGTTCTCGCCCTTCAATGACCCAAGAAACGGCCACAGCAGCTTTGCACCCGCCTCCCATGCTATCCACGCTGCCGACACTCGTGAGCTGTGAGACGCAGGGTTCGGGAAGGGCAACGACCTCGCGCCCTCGATGTGGCTTGCCGGCCCTTCTTCACTCTCTCAAGGCGCAGCGAACGCGGGCTCGTGATGGCTGGTCTGTCTCTTGTCAACCCCGACGGCGGCAAGTAGCAGGCTTCATGTTCGTCCGCCTTGTTGTGCCCATTTTGACAAATCCTGGCGGCGTGTGGCAAATCGGACACCCCCTTTGCTTGCCTGTTGCAGTCGAGTTTGTGCGTGCAAATAAAGTCTCAGCGGCACGCGGTGATGTAAACGTTGCTGGAAGTGTGCGTACACATCTCTCTTCCTGCCCGTTTCTTCACTCCCGACTTTCTCACTCACGACATTCGTCTCACCATGCACTTCACGAACGCGACAAGGAGCCAAAGGGCCGTGATTGTCGTCAACGGCATCATTCGCCTCATCCAAATGGGCGTCGGAGTCCTCACCATCGACCTCTATGAGCGGGAGAAGGGATATTGGTTGGCTGACGACATCTCAAGCAAGCTCGTAGGTCTTTTCCTCCATTCCTTCCTTCCTTCCTTCGTATATGAGAGAGAGCGAGAGAGGAAGCAATGTCGTGTGGCATGCTGAAAAGGCCGGGAAGGATCTGATCCGCTCTTATGCATGCAGACCTACGAGCTCGTGCTCGGCCCCTTCGCCGTCGTGACCGGCCTCATCTGCGCCATCGTTCCCCTCCAGATCTCCTACCGCCCCGTGGCCCTGGCGTGCCCGTGGGACCTGGTCATGTTCTTCATGTACTCAGCAGCATTCGGGTACATGCGCGCCATCGACGGCAAATTGGGGCACCAGCCCTTCCGCACCAAAGACCCGGATAACACCGAGCTGTTCTTCTCCCACGCGTCAGCTATGATGCACAAAGTCTGGGTGAATCTGGCGGGCATGGCCGTTTTCCTCACCAGTGGCGTCATGGGCGCTGTCTTGATCTGGATCGGAAGGAGAAACGGTCGCGGCACCAAACATAGCGCTGTTTGAATCCAGCGCTCAGAGGGTATGTGTTGACACTGGACAGGTCAGGGGAAAGCAGCAGAACGAGTCTTCGTGATTGGGTTTGGAAGACAAGACCTCCAGCACAAGACACTTGCAGTCATGGCGAAAACGGCGCTCAGCCTGAAGGGGTCCGTGTCCTGCAGGTTGGGGAGAGAGGTGTATTAGCTCGAACTCCTTCGTGGGAGAGTTTCTTCTCTGTTTTTCAACTTGTTCCTTGAAGAAATCAGGGTATATCTGAAACGTTGCTGTTCCTTGGAGTCCCAAGTTGTTGGAAATCGTAGCTTGAGCTTGATTGAACATCTCGATTCCATCCATATCTAATAGAGGGCAGCCACCCTAGTATACAAGATGTTTTAATCATACAAGTCATAAACAAAGTCATCATGAATGAGGACCGGCTAGACAGGGTCCACCGGACCGGTTCATTTACAGCAGCCACAGCCCGGCACCAGCGACGCCAAACACCACCGCTACCACCAGGCGGCACATGTTGTCACGCGCATCGATTATGCCCGCCCCAGAGCCGCTGCCTAGACTGACGCTCGCACTGGCACTCGGCTGTGAGCTGGCGACGGTGCTCGGCGGGGCGGTCGTGGTAGGTAGACCTGCCGTTGTCACGGTCGTTATGGTTGATGGTCCGGCGGGGGTTTCGCTGGTCGAATCGCTCGCAGTGGCCGACGCCGTTACAGTGGCGACAGTCATAGTAGTATTTGATACAAACGTCTGCGTAGAGCTAGAGCTAGAGCTGGGGATGGAAGATGTCATAAATGTGGTTTCGGAAGTTGTCGTTGATGACGATGATGATGTCGAAGTGGAAGTAGTGGTCGAGGTTGTGGACGTGGTCGACGTCGAGGTTGTGCTGCTTGGCGGCGGCTGCGAAGTGTTCTGGACCTCGAACCAGTTCGCTGCGACGGGTTGACCGATCCCAGCAGCGGCAGCTAACCCAGCCATATCGAAGCCGAGCCTGGCGTCCGAATCCGTGGAATCAAAGAACGACTCGAAAGACGACGGGATGTCAAAATTCTCGGGCTGCGGGTATAGCAGCAGCGTGTACCGATGTGCCTTGTCCCCGGCCGGCGGCGTTGGCGGCATATATGACACGGCGGGGGCGGAGGTAAAGTTCTGGGCGTCGCTCCCGAAGTCGGACAGCACTTCTGATGCTCCGCCTAGATTGGGTTGATACCATTGGAGAAACTGTACGCGTGTGTTGGCATCGTCCGAAGAGGCGGCATCCTGGTCGATCATGAAGATCATGAAATCCCGCGTTGAGGATGAATCCTTCGGTCCGTCCACCGTAGGAGCCGCGAGGACGTCTAGTATTGGGGCTCGATGTCAGACGACGTCCGAGCGAAGGGATAGATATGGATCCGATATGAACAATAGCAGAATAGAAAGCGACTCACCATCACGGGATATAAGCACACCTGCCGGATTGACACTGGTAGAGGAACTCTGGAAGTCGACCCGCAAATTCGTCGACACTTGTACAGGAAAGTCCGGTGCAGACTGAGCATTGGCAACCGTAGCCAGAACTAATAGCATAAAGGAGCGGTAGGCTTTCATGTTAATGAGCGACATGATGGCAAACACAGGGTTTTCAACAAGCAAGCCTGTATAGAGGGAATGGCAGACTGAGACAGAGACGCCCTCTCATGCATTCAGTAGGGTTTGGGGCCTTCATTATGTACTTCTCCTGGCCTCGAGTCCAGGTCGATCGATGGAGATCGCTAATGAATCACATGGAGATCTTTAGCGGTTTTATCAAGCGTATAAATAAAGTTGCCTCTCGAGACAGGCCCGTGTCAGAGTTCCAGGCTGGGCCACACAAGGCTCTGTTGCTTCGATTTGGCCGCCTCCAGATCGGACAAGGTTCAATGCCTCTCATTGAACAATTCCAGCGAGCCCTGTCAGTGATAGGAACGGTGATGTGCTTCGGCTTGACCGGTCGCCTCGTTGAAAATAGTCTCTTGAACAGCTGTAGGCTCGAGGACCGAATAAGGAGAGTGGTGGACACAGCCTTTGGCGAGACGCTCAAATGTCGGAGGTTGAAGCACATGGTGTTTCAGAATCTGGAGGCGAGATTGGCATCAGTTTCGGCCCCTGAGGCTCCATGAGGCGTTGATTGCTGTGCACCGCCACACCCTCATCTATCGTATCCAATCACGAGCAGCTTCAATGTAGACTCCGACTCGCAGGGTGATGAATCAGTCCAGTGCTCATTTTCATCAACTGTATGACGAATACTGAGAGAATAGAAGAGGAATACGCTACACGGTGCAGAGCAGTTAACAACACATCACCCAAAGGAGAATGGACTTTGGACAAGCGACAGGATAGAGTTTATATCGGAGTATAATCTCTATGACACCAGAGAACCGAGATACTCCAGAGTCGGTCTGCAACTGTAATGAGCTGGTCAGTTTGTACAGCTTTCAAAGGCGTTCGAGGACGCGATCAATAGCAGAGACAACGGGAATTCCTCGTTGGTGTCGTATGTCGAGTTCAGATCGTTCAAGGGAACGAAAGCACCGCCTTGAAAATGGAAGTACATGCTCTGAGAGACTGCACATTCCGCCACTGTATATAATCTCTGCAGGAAAGATGAGTAACGTATTCGTGTTAGGTTTTCCTGGGAAAACGAGGAGACTGCTGTCGCGGAAAGGCCAATGTCCATCCCAAGGACCTTTCGGGCACTTCCGAAAACGCGTTGCATGTTTCGGAGAGCAGCTGCTTTTGCAAAACCTCGCATTGGGACACACAGCGTATCGATGTAGAAGGGCACTGGGTGATTTTCTTTTGGCAGCAGTCGGTTGCTCAGACCTTGAAGATACTCCACTTGACACCTGGGCAAGCAGTTCTCTTCGCTGAATCCCAACCCATCAGACCTGAGATGTGAGTGGAGGCTAGGCATGGTGCATAGCGTGTACGTTGCCAATGCCGCACGTAAGCCCGCGGCTCATGGTGTGCCTGTGAAAGTGACCCTTGACAAATGTACGCGCATCAAAGCCGAATCTGAAGAAAGAGGCATGGATGTCCTGAAGAAGGCCGAGGCACTTCGACCGGGTGTCGGCTTGGCCGTGTTGACGACTTTTTTCCCTGGGAGACGCAGGAAGGACGAGGCAGATGCATGGGCCAACGCAAGGTTAACTCTCGACCTTCGGAGAAAAGCCTTCAAAAATGGTGAGTATCCGCTTCCTAGCCCATGGACCGTGCCAGAAGAAACCGCTACGGCTACCACTACGAATGCACAGAACTCTGTGGAGGGCTTCCGGGAACAGGCAGAGCCAGTAAGCATACGCCGGAGCTCTACTATCCCATCCCCCGCCATTTGATAGGGTTGCTATGCCGGGGGCAATATACAGGAATATATGGGAATGGTCGGCCGACATACTGAGATGAAGTTGGTCACTCAACCATCTCTGGATACAGACAATGGCGACGATGAGCAGGGACACAATGGAGATTGATATCCGTGGGCGATATAACCCAGAGCTACTCCAGAGATGACCTAAGAACCATATTGATCTCTGAAACATTCCTCCCGAAGAAGCCTTATCATACAATAAGTCCCGGAGGATTGATTCGTTTTGCATAAAGCAGCTGAGAATACGAACTTGGTTTGTGACGCTGAAGTATAGGGCGCCTCGGAGGAAATTCGATGTTGGCTATTTCATGACTCCCCCACTGGAAGGTCAAGCCATAGATAGTACATGTAGACAGCGACCTCATACTCAGTCCTGCCCCCAAAACCAAAGTACTGCGGCTTAAGATCGCCAAAGGCCAATTCCTCTTCATCGTATGCCTTCTCCCCGATTCCAAGAAAGAGGAGCTTCCCGCCTTGGAAATCGCCATCGCTACCGCCAGTCTTCTTAGTAAGATCCTGAACCAACTTCCACTCTCGCTGAAATTTCTCGACAAAATTTGGAAAGCTGGTGTCGTTCTCACCGGGGGTTGCGGTGCAAATCCAAATAGCCACGTTGTCCAGGTTCTGGTTGGCAGCAGGTTCCACTGTCAGGTCCACCTCGGGGTCGTTCTCTCCCCATACACGAACGCTATGGGAGACAACGTAGTCCCATCTAGGGTGATCTGGCCTGACTTCCCGGCACATGCCCTTTGCGAGATGCGCGTACAGATCGAATCGAGCCCAGCCTCGCCAGTCAGCGTGTAGCCAGAATGAGGTGATCTTTTCCAAGTTGGCATCGAGCCACTTTTTGATCTCTGGGATGATGTCGGGGACAGGTCGAGTGGTCATGGTCAATTGATCTGAAAGAGTGGTGCTCTGCTATGTGCGAAACGGGGACCTGATGGGAGAGAGGTGTCTGGAGACGAGGAGCGGGTGGTCTCTTGGGGAGCAGTACAATAGCCTTTATACTCATGAGGCATGTGGCTGAAATTCTGCAGCTGAACTTCGTGGAAGGTTGGATTAGCTTCCCAGCTGAAGTTCCACACCCCCAATCATCCGCGTTGTCCAGGAGGTCTAGACTTCAAGGAAAAGCTCTCGAGACGTCCCAAAACGACAACTTACATTGTGCTCAACGTGAGTCCAGGGCTGCACGCAGTGGAGGGGGGTGGCATTCAGCTGGTATTGGACATGGGAGGCTGGCGTCTCTGGACTCTGAAAAACCGTGGTGGCGGCCGCAGTGGCAGGATTTTGACATTCTTCCAAAGATACAGGGACGAATGTGAGACGGAGGGTGACTGCAGATAGTCGAAGGATACAAGAGGGGCAAGGCTGTGGTTGAGTTGTTGACAAGGCGCGAGCAGTTTCAGTATTATCTCATATTCGCATTAGTGACAGCCAAGCCGCTAGGAACTGTAGCCACTTGGCAAACAACCTTCGAGCAAGACAATGACTGTATCGAGGACCTCGTTCTCTATGTTCTATACTCTATACCGAGTACCGAGTACAACCTCGACACTCCTTCTCACCAACCCACTAACTCATGTGTCCACGCTTGCCGCCAAGATGATCGACTCCATAGTTGCACGTCACCCCCGAGAAGTTGGGGGCGAGCCCGGCGAGCGCCCGGCAGTAGCACTCAAGGAATTGCGTGGACAGACCTGTAGGGGTCTACATACTGGAACTCTGTCGCGAGGATGTACTCGGTCCTCGTGGTGCCTTTGACTGCGCCTCACATTTCACTACCGCAGGCTGTGAATGCTTCTCATGGGCACTTGTGCCTTGTCCGGAGTACTCGGACTGCTCCGTAACCGGTACTTTAATCAAACGCTTACTCCCCGCAACTCGGTCAACAGCGGTATCCGTTCATGCTCTTCGGCCATGTCTTAGCCTGACATTGGATCCGCCACGATAATTGACGTCAATACACATACCAAAGACAGATTACTCCGTACTGATATCTTTATCTGGGCTAGTTTCCGCGGCTTTTTGCTTACCCATATACATAGTTATGGTAGCTGATCGGGATATCAAGTTGCTGCAGCCTCCACCGCATAACCAAAAAGGGCAATGGGCTCCATGATGGTTGACGGACGCCTGTTTTCCCACGGGCTCAAAACTCTGCTCATTCTTGCTTCTCGACTGGAATTTCGAAGCCCTGCATAACGTGCCATCCCCGAGATGAGATCCGATCGCGTGTGGAGAAAGGCCACGTACCATCGTTGATTTAAATTAAATCAAAGCCTGCGAGGCCTAATATCTTCGCACAGCCTGGTTGCTAACTGGAAGCAGGTTGACCATCCAAGATCAATCGGATAGACGGCATATGAATCGTCAGCTTTGAGGTCCAGGCGACTGCCGGTGGTATCAAGCAATATATACTGGAGCTTGAACCTGCCCCCTGCACTCGCCCTCGTGCAGCGGCTACTGCAACAACTCTTCTCACAAGATGGCCATCACGTCGGTATGGCTCAGACAGCTTCTCTGCCTCGTCGTGGCAGCGTAAGTCCTATCACATCCCGAATTTAGCTCGAAGGGAAGCTGAAAAAGACTTCCAGAGTATCGGTCGATGCATACAAGTCTGTAGCCAGAAGGCAGTCGGGGGCAGTTCAATACCCGTCAGTATATCCCGATTTCGGTCACAAACAAATCTTTTTCTGCCCATCCACCGCTGCTCCGGGTCCCATTTCCCACCCTTGGTCACGGAATGAAGCTAGGTGGCACCTGTGTCCTGATTCATGAACAGCACCCAAAACTTTACGATGCCAGTCGACCATTTTCATAACGAATCTCGATATGAACCTCATACCAATGCTACATTTACACAGTTCTACTGGCTGGATACTACCAACTATGTTCCTGGGGGCCCGGTCATAATCCTTGCTATTGGAGAGGATTCAGAGTCGGGTGACTTTCAATGGCTGCAGAAAGGTCTTCTCCATGACATCGCCAACGCCACTGGAGGAGTTGCGGTTCTATGGGCCCAAAGGTGAGGGACGAGGCCATCGATGGAAGCTAGAGCTCCGGCTGATTTCAAAACAGGTACTATAGTGGCGGCAACATTGTACCCCCAAGTCAGCCTTATACCACCGAAAACCTTCGCTTTCACAGCACCGAACAAGCGATGGCCGACCTCGCCTACTTTGCCCAAAGAGTGAGTTTCCCAGGGCTCGAAGATCGGAACCTCACGGCCGCTACGACCCCTTGGATAATACTTGGCGGGTCTTATGGTGGAGTTATTTCTGCCTTTACTCGTATTCAGTACCCCGATATCTTTTGGGGCGGATTGTCGTCTTCCGGAATCTCTGTCGCCATCGCGGACGATTGGCAATACTACGACGTCGTACGACGGTACGGACCCCCGGAATGCATCAAGAGACAGCAACAACTCACGAATCTAATGGATAATATCTACGAGAGTGGTAACAAGACGGCGCTGTCTGAGCTCTACGCGGCCTTTAATGTGTCGGACACCACAAAATATCCTGATCTGGCAAATCTTCTTAGTGGTCTATTGGGTCCCTGGGACCAATCTTGGAATTACCCGCCATATCCTCTGACTGGTGAGTACATAAGCGTCCATATAACAGATTGGTGCTAGCACTGACGGGCATTCTCCTCTGCATAGGCCCGGGTTCGTACTGCGACTTCATCACTTCTCAAACCAATGCGACTGTGTCTGAAGCCGCCCTTCAGACCGCGGTACATTCTTTGCTTGTGTACGCCAACAAGACTGCTACTCCTAACGTCACGGACCTCTACTACCCTCTCCTGAACCTGTTCCTGTATGTGCAAACTCAGTACGACTTCTGTTCAGGCAAGTCGGTGGCCGAGTGCGAGTTCCTGGGTGACCCGGATCCGTTTGGGTGGCTCGAGTGCACAGAGTACGGAGGGTTTGCAACTGGATACACCCCAGGCACACCGGGTCGCCCTGATGCCCTGCCCTTGGTCTCCCGCACAATGACTCTAGAATACAATCTCGACCTCTGTCACTCTACCTACAACATCACATACGATCCACAGCTTGAGCGGTTCAACAAATATGGCGGGTTCAATATGTCCTATCCTCGCCTGGCTCTTTCGACCGGCCAACTCGATTACTATCGACCGCAGACGCCCCTGGCGGAATTCCTCGAGGACGGAAGCCCCAATCCGCGCCTCAAGAGTAATGGCACGAGCAGCGACCCGGAAATCGTGATCCAGGGCGGCTACCACGAATGGGACTTTCCGGGCCTGCTGCCCAACGAGACGGACTACCAGATGCCGGCGGTAGCGCGCAGTGCGCAAATCAGAGAGGTTGAGGCCGTGAAGCTGTGGTTGCAGGCCTGGAATCAGACGCACGCGGCTTGAGGGGCAAAAGCAAACGACGGATTTCCAGGTCGTATTTTTCTCTCTTTTCTTTCTTTTCCAGCCGCCCTCACGTTACGAGCTGCTGCCCAGGTTTCACTTGCATTAGGGTTCACTCGCGTCTGGTAGGAGCATGTGGTTGGGCTGTCCAGCCATTGTATTGTGTGTTATTCTTACAAAGTTGAAGGATGACGATCGGGTGCCTGTAGCCAAAGCGTCACCAGGTATAATTTCTATTTGACTCGATTCTTTCCTCTCCCTCCTTATTGTCCATGACGCTCACTGTCCATCCTAAACCTGCCACTCCAAGAGATGCCAGAGCAGAATCTACCAAAGCGACCACCAGGGCCACATGGAGTAGCGGGACGTCTTTGTTTGCAAGCATCTCCAGCGCCCTCCAGACACTTTCTTGTCATGCTCGCTGAGTGGTATGAGGTTCCTGCCTCGATTATGCTTCTCTATAGCCTTGAAGCGTTCACTCATCTGAAATTTCCTTGGGCTAGTGCTCCACAGGGGCTCAATGCTGTGCCTTGTCCTGAGAACGGAAGGGATAAAAGAGGCTAAGGTAAACCCTGACCTTTAGCGTCATTTTCGGATCAATTTTACAGGGTTGGGCGGTCCCTTCATCCGAGCTCAAATCTTGAACCTCTTTCTTGTGCCATAACATGCGGGTAAGGGCAAGAAGAATTTGGACGACGCCTTGTGTAGGCAGAAGCCATTATGTGTCGAGCAGGGAAGGGAAAGGTGGTGGCGTGGGTGGGGGATGGGCTCGATTTACCTTCCCCTTTCTAGTACCCGCCAAGACAGGCTGGCGGCAATGACGATTATTAGACATGGTCTTCACAAGATGTTGACAGCCTTGAGGCAACAGAGAGATACGCACAGTACTCTGTCCACTTGTTCAATTCTCACACCACCGCGCCCTCGTCCTCAGATCAAAATGGTATGTCTAGGTGCTCCTTCTCTCAACAGGTCGCTAACACATCTCAGTCTCTCTCCGACTCCAAAAAGCGCCTGGCGCTGTCGATAATAGACTTCCTGTCCACCTCGCTCAAAGATGGCACTCTCACTGCAGATGACGCCGACAACATTGAAATTGCCAGCAACTGTATCGCAGAGGCCTTCAAAGTCGACCCGTCCAACAAGGCAGCCGTGTCAGAAGCCGTCGGCTCTCAGTCCTTGCTCAACATCTTCTCGGTCTACGAGAAACTGCAAGGAAAAGCTCCTCCGGCAGGAACCCAAGCCCCTCCTCCGCAGCCATCGGCGCCGCCGGCCATAAACCCAGAGGCAGAGAAGCTCAAGAGTGCCGGCAATGCAGCCATGCAACAGAAAGATTACAAGACGGCGATCGAAAAATACACCCAAGCCATCTCGTACGCTCCTACAAATCCCATCTACCTTTCCAACCGTGCCGCAGCATATTCTGCGAGTGGGGATCATGCTTCCGCTGTCAAAGACGCCGAACTCGCCGTTGCCGCAGACCCCAAGTATACCAAAGCTTGGTCGAGATTAGGACTGGCGAGATTCGCCATGGGCGACGCCAAAGGAAGTGTTGAGGCTTACCAGCAGGGCATCGACTTCGAAGGAAATGGAGGCAGTGAAGCCATGAGAAAAGGACTGGAGACGGCAAAGAAGGAGTTGGCTCGGATGGAAGCAGAAGAACAGAAGATACCTGAAGATGAGGTGGACGACGCTGCGGGCGAGACACGTGGCGGAGGCGGAATGCCGGATCTGGCCAGCCTGGCGGGAATGTTCGGTGGTGGTGGTCGTGGTGGAGGTGGTATGCCTGACCTGTCCAGCATCATGAGCAATCCTATGTTCGCCTCCATGGCACAGAACATCATGCGCAATCCGGAGGCTCTGAACGGAATCATGAGCAACCCGACCATCCAGAACATGATGAACAATCGCCGAGAGGGCCAAGGTGGTATGCCCGACATGAGCCAAATCCAACAAATGATGCAAGATCCCCAGCTCGCCAACCTGTGAGTGCCGGCCCCGGAGACTTGCTGAAGACTTTTGCTAACAGCTGCAGTGCACAACAATTCATGGGTGGAGGTGCCGGCGGTGCCGGTGCTGGTGCTGGGCGAGGTGGGCAACGATGAACGGATGGAAGATGAGCTACGCTGTGAATAGGTAATACGAAGATATGATACACCCAGCACGACCACAATAGGCATGTCGATACAAATGTGACTGTTTCAGAGATCACTCGTTCCGTCTTACGCTGGGTCTGCTTCGATCGCACATTTATTTTCCTCTTCTAAGCGCCCAGTGGAGCTCTACTGACTGTTGTGTTCAACACCCTTCCTCGGCGCTTCACCGGATCCAGTCCAGCCTAGATCTGGTGGGATCTATCACAACGTGAGGACGTTGGACTTCGGCCGAATCGCTGCACCACCCAAGATATCTTGCATGAAGCTAACGTACCAGACCAATACCACATCCGATGTGCTGGCATGGATGCACTGCAACGCAATAGGGCATCAGCCCCTCTTCGGCAGAAGTACATGAGGTGTGTACATATTTACGTGGTGATCAGGGTCGTGGGTGTTCTACGAATCCTCTCTCTTCCCTCTCAGCGTGTCGGGTTTCTTATCCGGGTTTCCCTGAATCCAACCTGACCAATCGTGGTCGCATTTTTCCTTTTCAGCGCCTCCGCATGGCTTCTATCGCTGGCAAAGTATTTGCCCTGACAGGTGCGAGCTCGGGTCTCGGATTAGCGACATGCTGCCGGCTTGCCAGGCTCAAAGCCAGAGCCGTCTCCGTTGGCGACGTCAACCCCAGCTTCTTTGACAGCGCGAGGAAGAAGCTACAGGCCATCAACCCCGAGATGCAGGTATCTATGACAAAAGTCGACGTTACTTCGAGCCTGGATGTCAACGCCTGGATCAAGGACACGGTCCACACATTTGACGGGCTCGACGGAGCCGTGAATTGCGCGGGAGTCATCAACATGTCGGCAAACCAACAGACGCCACTGTTCTTGAACGAAACGGACGAAACATGGAATCGCGTGGTGAACGTGAACCTCACGGGGATCTTGTACAGCATGAGGGCGCAAGTGACGGCGATGATGGCGTTGCCCAAGTCGCCACGCAGCATCGTCAACATTGCCAGTGCGGCCAGTCTGTTCCACGATCCGACCATTTTGTCATATTGTGTGACGAAGCACGCCGTGGCATGCTTGACGACGACCGTGTCGAAGGAATTGGGGCCGTTGGGGATTAGGTTAAATGCCGTCTCTCCCAGTGAGCTGCTGTCTTACGATCTGTCTCGAGGTTCCACTTGCTAACAAGTGTTCTCAGGCGCCACGAAGACGGGAATGGCATTATCCTGGTACAAGGACGAAGAAGAAGCCGAGGCAGATATGGCGAGGCGTGGAGTGATATTGCTTGACCCGGAGAGAGTCGCCGAGACGATAACGTGGCTGCTGAGCGAGGATTCGGCAGCAATCAACGGCATCAATATTCCTGTCGGAGCGAGTGCCTCATAGTTATTGATCCATGCAGTCGTTGTACATATGTACCTACCTACATAGTCGACACGGGGCAGTGTGGGTGAAAGAGAAACGGGCGTGAGCATGGTGGGAGACAGAAGAAAGAAGGATGCCACCGTTGCCCTTCTCCCCGCCACCCGCCCGCCTCGCCTCTGTCCCACCGAACCACCCACGACCATGTGCCAGAGCCACTTTCGTCGTTTTCTTCTACCCTCATCCATGTCCCTCCCTCCGGCTAGCCAAACTAACTTCCTCGGGTTGACATCACACTGCAGCTGTTCGACGGACTTTGACTTCAACGCTCCTTCGCACGCTTTCATGCAAGGCATTTTGTCGCCCGCCCGGTGTTCGCACCTGCGCCGTTGATTGGCCTCTGCGCCCAAACCCAAGAAAATCCTACGCCAACTCGTTGCCCCTCCGTGCCCTCCAAGTTCTCGAGCAATCACCGTGCTGATAAGACATACTGTACCTTCCCCCTCCTCTCTTCGAGTTGTCCTGTGTTCCCGGATTTCTGCTCCAGCAGCGGGTCCCATGGCGGGGTCGATGCTTTTTCTACCCATCGCAACTACACTGCGGCAAAAAGGGAGCTGCGAGGAAGCTCGCCCGTCGAGCTTGGAGCTCGAAGCTTGGGAGCTTGGGAGCTTGGGAGCTCTAGAAAGCTCTTCCCGGAAAAAGTTTCTCAGCTGAAGCTCGCGGGACTACGTAACTCCCAAGTCATGGCACCCAGCTGCGAGCTCCCATCTATGAAAAAGGTGGGCATGGGTTGATTGTCTCCAATCCCTTCCTGATTGTCATTTCTCTTTCCAATTCCCCTACTTTACCTCTGCGGCCGCCTCTGCCTCGATCTGAGTCCATCTACTCTTCGGTCCGATTCGCTCGCTATCTGCTGGCCGCTGATGGGAACAATGCTGTGGCCCCTCCTCACATTCGTCGGACTTCTTCTGGGACAAGGCTTGGCCTAGTGAGCAGCTCCCCTCTTTCTCCTCCCGCTGCTGATCGTGTAGCACCTAACGCGTGTGCAGCGACTCAGGATACTGGACACCGACAACCACATCATATTGGTCGTACTGGACACCTTCGACGACCTATGTAACGTGCTACACGCAAGAAAACGTCATCGTCACTGTCACGTCGGTGCTGCCCTGCCCTGTCACCTCGACGATCGTGTACTGGGAATGCTGCGACCAATGCGAAAACAACTGCTACAATCCCCCGACGTCATATCAGCCGACCCCATGGGTTGGTACCACGACGGTCACTTCGTACACAACCACCACTCCGGCGGCTCAGGCGGTGCAGACAATTACCAGTAACGGATTGGTGATTGTGATGGTGGACTCAACTGCGGTATCTCAAACGGCGACACCCAGTGTCGTCTACGAAGTTAGCAGTGAAGCAGGGCCGCTGCAAGAAGGCGTTCTATCGATATTTTTGCCGATGGGAATATTTTTGGCAGCCATTGCGACGATCATGATAATGTTATAATAATAATGCCTCGGAGGTCATATAGTGCTGGTCATTATCTATTACTGGGTAATTTCTGCGCCAGAAGAATCCACCATAATTAATATCTTGTATATAGTTGATGCGGCGGGTCTACGACTTTGATGAACAGATCTGATGAGAGAGAGAGATATATATATATATAGATTATATCATCCACGAACTGTGCTTCGTCCATTACAATTTTCGTTCAGGAAAGGGAGCGCGGCCGCTTTACTCGGGCACGTGGCGGAGTATCGGAGGCACCCGGCCGAGCACGGAAGAGCATCGAGGGAGCTACGGTAGATCTAGCTAGTATAAATAAGTAGACTATGATAGATCTCGGATGAGAAAATTTGATTGAACAATACCAGAATTCATCACCCAGTTCTATTCGCTTCAAGCTCGAGGTGCAGCTTTAAATAGGGGTTGCTCTATCTATTCTAAACTTGTGGCCGGTGTGCCTTGTAATTGCATTGTCCATCCGAACTGTCATCGTCACTAATCTCAAGTTTCTACCTGCCACCTTGACCCGACTTAAGCAAAAGACATTGCTCTCTCGCACATTATGAAGTCTGCTACCTTGCGTCATTGTCAGCAGCATTGTCTCAATGCAGGGCCTTCATATATACAAATAAGACCACTCTGCTATTCTATGTGCTCTGTACATGTTAAGCATGGTCTGGGGGATGCCACTGCTTTGGTCGAGCAAGTGTACGCAGATACTGGCTGCGCCCAACTGCTTTAGTGCTTGTGTCCAACGTGGTTCTGCCCATCGTCTTCCCCCATTGCCATCGGCTCTGGCCAGTCTTCGAATCCATCTATGTTGTGGTCAGATCACAGGTCTTTGACTCTTCGAGCAAACTGAGGGACTTTTCTCACCTTCAAACTCTGTGTCGAGATACTCCTGAATGACATCGGCACTCTTTCTCAACCGCATGATACGCTCCCACTTTTTCATCTCTTGCTTATTGAGCAGACACCTATCGAATTCGGCTTCGAGACCCTTTTTATCCAGTTTCTCGCCGATAAACACGATCTCCTGTCTTCGGTCGCCCCAAGGCTTCTGGAAGTCTTTGAGGATGAGGTCTCTGGTGGCAGCTTCTGGAGGCCATTGAGCTAAGAGATACTGTTAGCAGAAGCATGAGCTTTCAGGAATCACATACATTCGTCCTGTACGCAAAACCACTGGTCACCTCCCTCCATGGTCAACATGGCACCGGCTTGGCTCCAGGCTCCGTGCATGGTTGGTCTTGTGGCAAGCCAAAAGAAGCCTTTGGATCTAATCAGTCCCCTGAACACTGGGTGCTTGCGTTTGTTCTCTAAAATTGTCTGTACCGTGTTGGCAGAAACTCTCGGCATGCAGGAACGGTGTATCGCTCACCTCATTGTCGACAGGTTTGGACAGATCGGGGGCATCGCCAATGTCCTTATCATCAACCGACTGCCATGAATCACTGTCACTGCCAGCGCCGTCGTCATTCGAGCTGCCGTCCGACGACGCTTGGATGTCGTGGGCTTCGGCTTCTCCACCTTCCGTCTCTTCCTCCCGATTCTCTTCATCACCAACATCCTCCTCTTCATTGTCTTGCTCAGCATTCTCCATCAGCACAAACTTGTCATGCACAAGTTCATACAGTCTTTTCGGGTGGAACGGTCTCCTCCTGGTATAGACGAAGCTCGAAATGCCGTATTCTTCAGTCTCTGGCTTCGGCGCGATCCGGATCTTCCCACCAATCTCACGCTTCGACATCTCATGCAAGCTTTGCAGCCAACCCATTCCAGTCGCAGCCTTCTCGAAATCGAAGGTCGAAGTACCCAATACCTCGGCAATATTGACCTGCGCAAACCTTGACTCCAAGATCTTGGCCAAGGGATTGAGCTTCTTGACGACACCGTGAATCCGCAAGCGCGTCTCTTCATCTACACAGTCCACCTTGTTGATGATGACTGTGTTTGCAAACTCAATCTGATCTACCATGAGGTCTGTCACCGTCCGCTCGTCCTCAGGCGCTATATCTTTATCACCCCAGCGCTCGGTGATGAAATCTGTCGTCGAGAAATTGTTGAAGAAATTGAAGGCGTCGACCATGGTAATCAGCGTATCAAGTCTGGCGAGCTTGTGCAAGCCACCCATTTCCGCGACCTCCTTCAGCACTTTCTCGCCATAGACCTCAACCCCTTGCATGCCATCAGCTCCTTCTTGGGGCTCCTCGCGAGCAGCAGCAATCATAGCGTCCGCGAAATCTTCAGTAAAAGTCTCAGCGACCTGCATCGGCTCGCTGATGCCTGTACTTTCAATCACGATGTATTCTGCCTCTCCGGCCTTGGCCATCGACACAAGCGCTTCGAGAAGGTCACCTCGGAGTGTACAACAGATACACCCGTTCTGCAGTTGGATAAGTTTGTCACTCTCATTTGCTTGTGACACGATATGCTTCTTAATTAGGTGGGCATCGATGTTGAGGGCAGCCATGTCGTTGACAACCACCGCAACCTTGAATGTGGTGTTTGGCGAGGTCAAGATATGTTGGAGGAGAGTGGTCTTGCCGGAGCCTAGGAAGCCCGACAAGAGTGTCACTGGGATGGGCGCCCGCGGCACGATTTTTGAAGTTGCTTCGGCCATCGTTACTGTTGTCAACAATGATCCAATGCGCTCACCCGGCCCAAGAATACAGCCAAACGTGAGCTAATCTATGCGCGTTCCAGAGAGTCAAGTTCGTGCTTTCTCAACACATGAACAAGAATTGGAGGACAGCAGACACTACGCAGCTACAATTTTCATCGCACATTACTTTTCTTCGACCCTAACGATTCCTCTGTCCCCCCAGTTTGAAATTGACGCTTTTACTGATTGGGCCGGGCCTACATTTTGTGATCGAGGACCTTACGGGCCCCACATCTAGGCGCAACATTCCTGCGGACAACGGTCAATTAATTCTTTGAGCTGTGCTCAACAGCATAATAGCGACTGCGGTGTGCAAGGCGCCGTGTGCCGCCTACATCTATAGGCGTTGAGAGAGCGTTGAGACAGCTGCGGTCTGGATCGAGTGCCTCCGAGGTTCGTTGTCAATGTGTCGACGATTTAGACCAACAACTTCGTTCTATATGAAAGATAAGAGACTTTAAATCTTGCGTGCGAGTGCAATGATCCCCGTACCCTTGAGCGTTCCTGGGGCAGCGGGATTCATGCCGCGCAGATTCTCAACCACCTGGTCGAGCAAGCGCTTCCTCTCATCTTCGCCATAGCCCTCAGTAGCATTTTTCATGACCGGCATAAGCAACAACGTGTCCGCGAAATCACGGTGGTCCTTGTACTGGATCTCCGACTCGATCAAAAAAGTCTCAACATCCACAAAACCAGTATCCTCTAATTCCTTTCTAACGCCCTCTTCCGAGGCCCAAGGCTCGCGAGTGAGTCTCAAATGCGTTCCTGGTCTGATGTGTTCAACCGCATCCTGCAGCGCGTCCAAGTGTTGGCTGCCCTTGCCACTCGAGAGTGCTAGCACACCGCCCAGCCCTAAAATTCGTTGGGTCTCCGACAGCGCCTTACGAGCATCCGAAAGCAAGAAATAGAGATGTCCACCGGTGACATGGGATATCGAGCTTTCAGGAATTTTTGACAGGTCGTGGGCATCGAGGTTGAGAAGCTCCAGCCGGTCCCACGCTTTGTTCCCCATCGAGACTCTGGTCTTCTTTGTCTCACCTAACACCTTAAGCATATGCACACTGAAATCCGCAGCAATAATTCTAGCCGAATCAGGTATCTCGCCGCCGAAAGTATCAAGGATATGCGATATGATGGTGCCGGTGCCGCATCCATTGTCGAATATACCTCTTGCGGTTGCAAACGGTAAGATCTCGTTCATTCGAGCAATCATCGTTTTCACGGTGTCTCCAGCTTTCAGGCCATGTTTCTTGTTGGCGAGTTCCTTCCAGGATTCTCCGGTAGCTACTGAGTTGTTAGTCATATGGTGCTATCTCCATCTTTGGACGATGCATCTCACAGTGCATGACAGTCTGGCTCATGTCTGCGACGGATCGTAAAAGTCTTGTATAGGTCTGGCTTGTGTCCCTTTGGAAAGAACGGCTTGTACAGACATTCCGTTCCTTGCTGGAAGTACGGCATAAGTATGGCTTTTCAGGTCCTCATTCTCATGTAAAAGTGGGGCGAGGCAAGGGAGGGAGAAATGTTTCCGAGATGGACAGGATTAAAGTCTCCGAAAACCATGCACTTCGACACCGCTGGGCAACCAGAGGGCTGGACAGCTTTTCTCCACGAATCCAATGACGGCGATGCAGAAGGATGTGGAAGGATGCTCTGAATCCGAGGACTGTTTCTCAAGTCTCGCATGCGATAGGCGGACATGTGGAAGGCTCATCCAGGCCGTAAGCCACTGGGAAAGACGATGCACGCCGGTTGGGCCTCAAATCTGCTCAGCTTCTTCATACACTTTTGTTTGCGTCGCGCGATCGCCTCGTTCACCGATGGAAGGATCACGCAGGCCAGTGCTCCCGAGTTTGTCAAGAAGGTGACGTCCCGAAATTTCAAATCGCTTTACAACGGAAAACTGATGGCCAAGAGGCTCGCCAGCCTATGACCTCTCAGTGTCGTCAATGGTGCTCACTTGAAGAGCATTCTTCCGCGACGTAGGTCGGCACACGAGTTCCCTAGGCTATGAAGTGTATGCTGCGTGCTCGATGGCATCTCTGAAGCCCTAAAAACTCCTTGACGTTGAAGATAACCGGCAGTGAGTAAATCGGGCTGACTCAGAAATACAAAGCCGCCTATTTGTGGATTCGCAGCTCTCGAATTTGGGGACCTCTTTCTCTGCTCTCCAGGGCTGTTCGCTCGCCTACGCGGATTTGTCCAAGGAATGTGACCTTCGAGCCCCAGAACCGCAAACGGATGGTGCCCTAGACCTGTCCTGGAATCTCGGACCAGAACCATTTGAGTCCCCGAATGCAACCCTTGCTTGGCCCAGCGCGAGTCCCGGGTGTCGAGAGGACCGATGTATTGATCGGAATGGAATTTCTGAAGCAAAAAGCAACTTGCTTTGGTCTTCTGCTGCGAGCGGGATTAGTCATCGAGACATCTGCTTTTCGTGTCGGGAGGCTGATAATGGCAAGGCGGTCATATGCATGAGGATGACGCGAACCGTCATTTCTTAGACGCGTTCTTCAGCCTCGTCAGCCCGTGAAAACCGGAGCGGGTCTTCGAAGCGTAGCCGAATTTGGCCGTCTAGGCGGCTGACCATAATAACCTTGTCCGATCCGTCCCTCCTCGAGCGCGATACCACCTCCACGAGCACCGATGATGTTCTTCCGAGCCCGACGACGCTTCTTGGCCGGCTCCTCTACCTTCGTTTCTCCCTTATCCTCCTCGCGCTCTTTTCACTTCCTATGATCCAGAATACCGAATTATTGTTGAGGCCTTACAGATATAGTAGATCGTGGACTGCGTATGGAGATCTACTAATATACTGCGGATCCGCTGGCCCTTCTCAAAGAAGAACGGATAATGTGTCCTTAGTTTTAAATGCGACCTTTTCACGAAAGGTTCCAAGGTTTTCCATCTTCGTTGCTTGACGCGATAAGCTTAACGTCATCTGCTTCCCGATTGGTCGTGCCTCCCCATTTCCCATTACATACTCCCCAGCTATTATCAAGCCCTATCTATCTATCAGTCCGTCAGTCCGTCAAGTCAATCAGTTGAGGATTCCATTCCGGCACGCTGCCAGCATTATTACTCTGTAGCTATTGACTTTCTTCTGAACCTTCCACAGGGTTACCGTACAGTACCTGACGATCTTTCGTTCGATCTCTTTCTTGGTCCGGACCCGCTGCCCGAGAGCCCCCGTGTGCACACGACTGCGTAATGCCCTGCAGGGAGCCGGAGGAGCGACGAGTCCTTGATTCGGTTGATAGGCTTTAATCAACCGTTTCAACGCTTCCCCTGTATTTTCTTTTTATTGCCTTTTGGCCTTTTGATCCCCCCCTCCACTCCCCATTAATATTACTCGTGCCGCGCCGCGCCGATCTATTATTCTTTCCCTCTCCAGACCACTTTTCCCTCTGGCCAAGGACATAAACATATCCACACCCCCCCCCCCCTCCGTCCACAGAAAGATACACCATACCATGCCCTCCCCACCGACCGGGAACGGCACTGGTAGCAACAACAATAACAACAACAGCCGCACTCCACGCCCCCGACCTTCCAAAAACAAATCCTCCACCTCGTCGTCGTCCCGCCGCGGCAGAAGACCCGGCGGCGGCGGCGCAACGCTCTTCTCGAGCCAGTTCCGGCTCAACAGGCAGCGGACCGAGACCGAGGCGCTGCTGGCGACGCAGCACGACGAGGAGGACTTTGCCGACAGCGACGGCCTGTACCCGCCGCACTGCACGTGGACGAGTCTCCAGCAGGAGCGGCTGAACGGGCGCCCGCCGCCCGAGGCCGACCCGTTCGGCAACACTCATTGTAATGTCTATGAGAATATTCATCGGTGAGTGCGACGATCTATCTATGTCTCTTTCTCTCGGCCGGATCGTGGTGTATGGACTGGTTGATGATGGACGGGGAGTGTTGTTGGTCCAGAAGGCTTCACGAGCATTTGGAAGAGTTGGGTTTGTTGTGGGAGGGCAGCACGAAGGCAAGATGGAAATGAGGTCATTCTGTTTTGCGTTTCGAGGATGCCGATGCTGACTGTCTGGTGTGGGAATAGTATACGGCGGGATATTGTCACGAGTATCGGTAAGTTTGACCCGATATACCTCCAACGCGGATACGATCCTCCGACCATCGCCATCATGTGCTCACATCTATTCCAGATGACCCTTATTCTCTCGACCAGCTCAAAGCCCCGCGGATGAACATCTCGGTCGTGCGGCCCTTGGTCGATTCTCTCTACGAGACAAATGACCTATCCATCGGTCTGACACCCTCTGGATCGCCATTGCGCTGTTGATGCTGACCATCGCTCTTCTCCAGTGTACTGCCTCCTCGTCAACCGGATGCAATTTATCCGCGAACAATCCTTCGCGACACACCATCAAACGGTCAACCTCACGCGCGCACTTCTGTGTGAGCTCGTCGCGGAGAAGATCCTCCGGCGATACAATGAACACAATCCAGGGCCGAAGGGCCTGCTCAAATTGGCAAACATCCTGGTGGCAGGCTTTGAGCCCTTCCAAGGTGCTCCCGACGAGGTGACCAAGCAGAGCCAGCACGCGATGCATTACTGGGCAGCCCAGCACACATCCAAGTCGGGTAAGGTGGAGAGGAAATTGACAGCGCTGGAAGTTGCTATTGTCAGCGCCAGCAAGTCCTTCCTGGCAAGCAGCGCGTGCCAGAAGGTGGTCGACGCCATCTACCGTGGCAAGGTGGTGTACACACCCACCAGTTTCATCGACATCATACCCGACCACTGGAAGAAGAGACCCATCTCGCTCTACGATCCCCGACGAGCCCCGTTGCTGAACCAGTACCGATTGATCGTGCCGCGGACCAGGAACCTGATCGAGGTGTGTCAGTTTATCATCTTGCTGGCTCTGTACATCGCGGTCATGGCGGGGAGGGAGAACCGGATGAATACTGCCTATGAGGTTCTCGAGCTGGTATTTGACGTTTATGCTGCCGGTTGGGTATGTTCTTCTCCCGTGAGGAAACGGTTCACAGCTGACCAGGAGATGCCGCTAGGTGCTCGATCAATTCGCATCGATACTCGAACATGGTTGGGGCGTCTACACCCAGAACTTATGGTCGTTCCTCGATGTCATGTTCTCGACAATATTCCTCATATACCTGGTCTTGCGGATCTACGCCTTTTCGATTGTCGACGAGGAAAAGTCCACTGATTTCGCCCGGACGGCGCTTGACATCCTCAGTTGTGGCGCTCCAGTTCTAATTCCCCGGCTCGCATTTAACATCATGTCGGAAAACATGCTCTTTCTCTCGTTGAGGGCGATGATGTCTGATTTTCTGACATTGACTGCGCTAGCCGTGTGGTGCTTTGCGGGTTTCCTCTTGAGCCTCAAGTGGCTGCACGCTGGCGCTCACCAGGCTGTGACGATCGGGGAGTGGATGATTTGGATTTGGTTCGGTCTAGATGGGACCGGCATTGATCAATCCCCAGATTTCCATTGGCTTCTCGGACCTCTGTTGATGGTCTTGTTCGCGTTCCTGGGCAATACATTGTTCCTGACGGTTCTGGTCTCCATGTTGACGAACACATTCAGCGGCATCGTGGGAAATGCTGTTCAAGAAATCCAATTTCGACGAGCTGTCTTGACTTTCGAAGGGGTCAAGTCGGACGCCATCTTTGCGTACATGCCCCCATTCAACATCCTTGCACTGATCGTCATGCTCCCTCTGAAGTGGGTACTTTCCGACCGCATGTTCCACAAGGTCAACGTCACCGCCGTCAGAGTTATCAACCTGCCGATGTTGCTGCTTGTTGCATGGTACGAAAGGAGGACACTGTGGATGTCTGACAAGCGGAAGATTTCGAGCGGGAAAAAAATTGATTGGAAGCATCCCGGCGGGCCTCGAGCGACACCGGCACAATACTGGGCTCTCTCACGGTTTAGTGTACATGGAGATATCCACGCAGTATTCGACATCGACCCGCCACAGTCAGTGCTGGACAAGATAGCCGAAGAGGATCACCTGAACCATAGCGACGACATGGGAATCCTATCCAACACCAAATTGCAGGATCAATTCACGCATTTATCGGAAGAGAGGAGAGCCAGCCAGACAGCGAACCAGGCAATTGATCCGAACCGAAGGGCATCGGTGGCTTCGCAAGCAACAAAAACCCAAAGAAGAGAGTCACACTCGGACCAAAAATTGAAAAATGAGTTTCATGATACGAGTGATGAGGCGAAGGACGAAGAACAGCATCCGCCCGGGCACCGAAAAATACAGAAGCGTCAAAGAATTGATTCGCTGGTTGACTTGAGCGGAGATCACGACGGTCGGCTGCTGGAGGCGACCGCCAGACTGCACAAGATAGAAGAAGCCCTGGAGAGAATGGAGGCCATGATTTCCCAGCTGATCGGCGGAGAGGCGAGCAGCGAGAACAGCGAGGGACGGGAAGAGCTCGCCTCGGAGATGCGGGACAACTCGATCCCGTGAAGAATTGGTTGTGCTGTGGGCGAAGTTATTTATATAGCAAGCGAAGAGATACCAAATTGTATTAACAGCGATTGATGATTGAGCCCGTTATTAAATAGTATGACAAGGTGGTGTTGTGGCTGCGCTGAGGTGGTCAACGGAGCCAAGCAACCTCGGCGCTGGTTGCCCGGTCGACTGGAGTTTGTGCCCTGCGCGCAAACTGCAAACTGCGGTGCCAACATCTGAACATCTGAACGTGACGGGGGCCTGCACGTCGTCCAACAACTCTTTCGTCCAAAACAGAATACAGACACAATTCGCAACAATGGCTACCGCTGTCCCTTCGTCGACATTCGCGACGAGCACGTCTTCCTTCCGCGCGTCGCAATCGCAAATGGCGACGCCCATATCGTATTCGGACAACCCTCTCACGCAGCTACCCGCCGTTGACTTCAACTTTGACGATCTACGGAAGAGAATGGCCGATTTCACCGTCAAGTTTGACGCGTTCATTGAACGAGGAAGAAAGAGGGTGCTAGAAGAGAGGAATGAATTTCGGGGGCGTCTGGGAGAGTTGACCGGTAAGCCGAGCACCATTCCACAGAAGAATCGCAGAGCACACAACTGACGGGATCCGACAGAGGAGCAGCGGTCAGCAAGCACACAGATCGTAACGCTACAATCCACCCTGTCAACACAGAGTCAAGTCCTCGCCCGTGAACAGGCAGAAAAGAACGAGATGCACGCGCAGATCGCCAAACTGGAGTCGCACCAAGCCGCTCAATCGGCCCAGCGAGACCGCCTCAAATCGGCCATTGCACAAACGCAGCGACAGATTGACGCGAAACTACAAGCTCAAAGAGAATACGCTGCGAAGATGGAGGGCCAGAGCCGACTTAATGGGCCGGAGTTGAGTTTCTGGGAGACGTATCTGGGCTGTCGAATCGAAGGCAGTGGGGACGAGAACAAGGTCAGGATCGTTTTCGTGTTTCCGCCAGCGAAAGGTGCTGGAAAGGGTGGTGAGGACAGGGAAGGGCTCTTTGAGTTGCTGGTCCCCGATACCGGGCACGGGAAGTACGACGTGGTGTACACGAAGCCTAGATTAGAGGGTACCAAAGTCGCCAAAGTGGTGGACCGGCTCAATGCGACAAGGGAGATTGGGACTCTGCTCAAAGGAATGAGAGGGTTGTTTGGGGAGGCACTGAAATGACCCCCTTGTCTTGCGTGGGAGATTCACGATGGCGTTGATGAACTTATTATACCCTGAAAATGAATGAGCGGTGTTTTGGCATCTTGACAGCGGCATAGGTAGCGTGGCCTACTGTGTACTCGGTACTGTGTAGCTTGTAACCTTGGTGGCGGACAGACGATGTTTTGCTTCGGTAGAATTGTCAGCGAAGGGGCCGAACCCGTCACCATTACGCCAAGCAACAATTGACACCTTTCGAGATCCCCCATGTCCATCCCCCCGTAGCATAGGCTGCTCGAGACCCAGGAATAAACCATGTCGTCCACAAACATGTCGTCGATGCCTCAAGGAGGTACGTGTGCATGCCGCAGTCCGTCCAACCACCGCGCCCATGCTGACTGTGGCAGACCAGAAATCCAAAAAGAAGAAAAAGTCCAAGAAGAAGGGCACCAGCGCGCCAGCCGCCGCGACCGACGCTCCCCCGACACTTGTCGATCCCAGCGACACGCAGAATGGACCGGATGAGGAGGATGAAGCCGACAATGACGAGCAAGAAGCGGAGCACACTGTTATCACCCCCGTCCACGAGGAGCCACCGGACGCAGCTCCTGGCACGGTAACTGTTGCAACAAATGGGGTCAAAGACCTGTCAATCGCCGAGGGCAACGATGCCGCCGCCCGCTTTGACGCTCTGGTGAAAGACCGTGATGCTTTACGACTCGAAGTGACTGAGCTCCGCAAGTCTCTAGAAGAACTGCAGGCCAAACATGCTACGGAAATTGAGGCGGTGCAGACCGAGCTGGCCGACACGCAGGCCGAAAAAGAAAACGCCGAAGAGCAATACCAGTCCTTGTTAGGGAAAGTGAATACCATACGATCGCAGTTGGGAGAGAGATTAAAGGCCGACGCAGTACGTGATTCTCAGACTGTTAGACAATGGGGAGACGCTTCACAGCCAGACTAACAAGTCTCCTACAGGAGGATTTAGCACAGGCCCGGACACGCATCGAAGAGCTCGAAGAACAAAGATCTGAGCTGCAAGAGCGCTACACCGCCCGCTCCGCCGAGGTCGACGAGCTCACGGCTCGAAACGCCGACCTGTCCCAGAAACAAGCCGAACAGTCCAAAGAGTTGTCCACCCTCCGCAACCGCCTGACCCTCTCGCAGCAAAATTGGCTCAAGGAGAAAGAAGAACTCGTCGAGTCGGAAGCCTACATGCGGGACGAATTCGAGAACGCCAAACAGGCCATGCACGACTGGGAAGTGCTCGCCATGGAAGAACGCACCATGCGGAAGGACCTGGCAGACCGCAACGCTGACCTGGAGGAACAACTCAATTCACTCAAGGAGGCTTACGAGAAGGTCGCGAGCGAGAGGGACACCCACTCTGCCGCGGTCGACGGTCTGCAAAAGGCCCTCCAGGAGATCCAGACGGTCCGAAAGCAGGAGCTGAAAGAACTGGTCGAAACTTCTCAGAACGAACAAGAGATCCTACGTAAGCAGTTGTCAGATCTCCAGGCGATCCATGACGCGACCGTCGCGGAGCTGGAGCAGACCAAGAAGGAACTCGAGCGAGCCCTGCCATTCGAGAAGGAAGTCAAAGAGAAGAACCTTCTGATCGGCAAGCTGAGGCACGAGGCGGTGATCCTCAACGATCATCTGACGAAAGCGCTGAGATTCCTCAAGAAGGGCAAGCCCGAGGATAATGTGGACAGGTTAGTTTTGTTTTCTTCTCTCTCTCTTTTGCCATATGTCTCCGGTCGCTGTTTTCTCTTATCCCCATCGCAACTCCAGAGTGTGTGGATTCATGACGACTCCACTCCTCGTTACTCCGCATTCTAACTCCCCCCTGGGGCCTCATGGATCATGCGGTGTGAGGACAGGCAAATTTAGCAACGCCACGCCTAAGCAGCGACGATCATTCGCCACCCGACGAGGCTGAGGCTTTTTCTCCCCTAAGGCCTCCCCTTTGATCCCCCCCCCTGCCCGCCCCTATTACCTTTAGCGAGGTTTGTCGTACGACCCAATCGATTGACGATGTGCTTTGTCTCTCTGATTTGTTTTGCTTTGCTTTCTTTTCTCTTTGGCTGACGGAGCCGTACCTGGCCGGCGCCCCTTTCACAGACAGATCGTGACGAACCACTTCCTGCACTTCTTGGCCCTGGACCGTTCGGACCCCAAGAAGTTCCAGATCCTCCAGCTCATCGCCGCCCTGCTGGGCTGGAACGACGAACAGCGCGAGCAGGCCGGTCTGGCCAGGCCCGGCACCACCACCGGGATCTCGACGACAGCGTCCACCACCGCTACTTCGAGCTTCAATTCCCTGCGGGGTCTGGGCTCCCTGGCTGGTGCCGCTTCCGGGTCTCCCTCCGTGCACAGGACCCCGAGCACCCCGGCCCTCAACCACCATCCCGACTATTTCGGCGGCGGCGGGTCTGGGCCCGAGAGCGCCACCAGTCCGCACTCGCGCGAGACCCTGGCCGACCTGTGGCAGCATTTCTTGGAGCAGGAGGCCGCCGCGGGGAGTGCAACCAAGTCGTCGTCGAGGCAGGGCATGCAGAGTCAGAGTCAGAGTCATCCAAGTACAACCACGTCGGGTACAGGTCCTGGTCCAGGAACGCCTGCGCCGCCGCGATAAGACGAGACGAGACGAGACGAGACGAGATGTGGTGAAATGGGAATGGAATGGAATGGGCATGACGCAAGGCGGGATGGATTGACCCTCATGGAGCAGAACAAACGAACAGCGGCAGTTCTAACATCATCATGTCTTGAGAATCGAACGGAACGGAACAGAACAGCAGCATCCATCACCTAATGAAAAATAAAAGAAAACGAGTGCTGAAACAAATACCCTGTATAATGTCTGTAACATGCCAAACCAAGTAATACATACAAAAAGAGAACCGCCAGCTTGATGGTACGATCGAGGCCCCTTTGCCGTGTTCTTGATACGTTCTGCTCCCTGTTGCCTATTCCTTGTTGGTTGTCCCGTTGATTGTCCCGTCCCGCCCCGTCCAGTTCAGTGTCGTAAAGCCTTTCAGTCTGGTTCCCACCCAAGTTCATTCATTCTGAAGTTGTGTTGCTGTCGTAACCCCTCGCCAACGCCTAAAGAACCTGCGAAATAAGAAGCAAAATCATGCGTAGCTTAAAAAACCACGTCAACTGTCAAAGTGACGAGGCAACTGAAGTTCATCAAATAAACGCCACCCGAGGTGAGGCTATGCCGTTGAACAGAGGCCCACAGGCATCACCGTCGTCGGTGTCGTCAGTGCTGTTTATTTATTTCACTCATTTGAAGGAGAAGTCCCTCCGTCAACCCTCCCGTCAAGGATGGTGGTGTAAGAGTGGTCCATGAAACTCCCGTATCGAGTGGACGTGATCGCCAGGACTGGAGTGTTCTGAACCCTCTGAGCAACGTCGATTTTCACGCATACTGCAAAGAGCCATGCTATCCCCAGTTAACTCATTAAGGCAGCGTCATAGCTGTCGAAGGAGGGGGCTGGTAGCCGGATCTACTGATCAGCTTGACTACATCGTACTGTAACCAAATAGTCAATTCAAAGCACATTAGAGAGCAAGAACGTGTCGACTTACTAAGTTATCCCAATTCATGCTTCGCGCATCGATATCTTTGACCATGGTGCCGTTCAGCACGGTTGGATCCTCCGGTTCCCATCTCATGCTCAACGCCCTGCGGTCTTCGTCAAACCCGAACTGTATGTGCCGCAACTCGACTGCGGAGGGAGGAATGACACAGTCATGTGCAATCTCCAGCATCCCTTCGGCAATCTGCGCCGCGAGCTCTGTGTTCCATGGCCCCTCGGTCACATTCATCAGTCTCAACACATTGATTGCCCTTGTCCTGGTCTCTAGTCTCGGCGCTGCCGTCGCAGCCAAGAACACGGGGGGTATGAAACCCAGACTTGGCGGTTTCTTCCTGCGTGACTCCACTGTAGCCAGCGGATCGTACCGTAAAACATCCTCAACTTCCACGACTGTGAAGTTGAACCGACAGTGGCGGGCCTCCTCGTCCTGCTCCTCACCACCCGTGTTGTGAAATTGTGTTCCAGCTTTGAGTTGGTCTAGCAGGATGTTGGCCGCGACGTTGTGTACGACGAGCATTCGTCGGATGTATACGGGTCCCGTGGCTGTGAGGTTCTGGAAAAGGTTCATCCACTTGTAAAGGCGAGCGTCCAGGACCTCCACCTGTTCGATGAGGTCGGCACTTGGACTGAGCTGTGCTGTTGTTTGTATTTTGAGTCTGAGAATCTGATTGATGCAGTCGTCCAAATAGTCACTCGCATCCTCAAGACTGTTGAACGCAGGGTAATCTATGTTCATGATCCTGACGTCGCGTGTCGTCAGGGAAAGTGCACTCATCTGACTCGCTAATTCCTCGACGCGACATTTCGAGGCGAATTTCACCCCATCCCGAATTGTCGGCTCGATGTATTTGGTTATGAAGTCTTTGGCGGGATCATTTGGTCGGCGTTTGCTTTTCCACTCCCCCAAGATCTTGATTGCGGCTTGCATGTGGTCAATGGCCACCTGACCGCCGCCATTGAAGTTCTCAAGCGCCCAGAAAATGACACAGGCTGCAAGCACAACGTCAATGGACGGTTTGTCCGTTATCAGGGCGCTAATGGCACTATTGTAGTGGAACACAAAGTTGTGGTTTGCTCGTTGGGAGGCGGGCCCGACCGTGGTGAGGTACCGGTGTAGCGATGCGAGTGCGATGAGGGAATGTTTGATAGAGGGCTGGTGCCATGTGGCCTGGGGCAAGAGCACCGTCCATAGGTGTGGCTGCGAATATACTGAGATCAGCTCAGAGGTCTTTTCGAGGAAGAACTGGAAGGATTGGGATTCTTCCTGCGTGCCGAATCTGGGGACAAGAGCGAGTCCTTGAGGATGAGGATAAGCGGGCGGCTGGGAGTGCAGTTGGCTGTCATGGAAGACTGCCGGCTCGTGTCGAGATAGGCGGCTGGGGCTCGTCGCTGGCTCCAGGGTCGAGGATGAAGCTGTCGATGAAGATGCGGGATCAAACAGCCTGATCTTGGGTGCTGCATATCCATTACATTTGAGATTCGATTTGATACATCTGGGTTGGCATCAGTGATAAGAACTGTTGGATCCGTCGAAGTTGCGCCAACCTTTGACACGATGGCTTGCCCTCGTCACACTTGATTCTTCTCCGTCTTGGAGGATTTGTCAGTGACGAGAAGGACGGCGAAGAGGGATATGGGGAGGCATACTTGCAGGTCAGACATCCATTAAACGTCTTTGGAGCCCATTTCTTTATTCGGGCTTTGTCGCCCGGCATCGCACGAGAAGGTGGAGGAGGTTCATTGAGGTTGGCGGCCTTCGGGTTGCCGCTCATAATAGTTGCGGATATGTCTTCGAGCATTTGAAGAGTGGGTTGATCTCCAATCGGAGTGAATGCTGTCGTCGGATCGCTTGAAGCTGAAGTGGGCAACGCGATGGCCGACCCATAGAACTGTGATAGTGAGTATGCAATTCTTTCCAGAAAGCAATTTATAGCTGATAGGAAAGAACCGGTGGGCAACGATATAAGTGCCGTGTCCCAGATGTAGTTGGCTGGACAGGAAATAAGATAGTATCCCGGGCCATTGGGTCGGTAAGGGACAAATTACCCTTCAACCCGTGTGCACGGTATCATAAAGGTAAGGCGTAGGGCGGGACAATCAGGGGAACAAGAGACAGCGGTGGCTTCTGGAGGTTCCAAGGGGCAGGAACCATCTTCAGCCTCATACTTGTCTGCTTTGATTTGCTTTCTATTTCTCTTCCATGATATCGTGCTTGAATTGACTCACCACTGTGCGGCTCCCTTGGGGCCTTGTATTCCTGACAGATTGTCTTCGGTAGATCGTTTGTTGATATGGTACCACCACAATACCATGTGGAGACAGCGGTCCTGGAGCTGGGAGGGATGGAGTGGGACCTAACAGTAGCGAATGTCGGCGAGGTCCTGTCATTGATCGTCCCTCGTTTGTTGTAATTCGTAAAGTGCAGGTGAGGGGAATGGAACAGTCCATTTCCTTCTCATCTGAGAAATTCACGACTGTGGCTCAGCAGCAGAAATATAATGCAGTTTTGTCAACATCTGGGCTGTGCCCATCTACCTCAACGGGGCGAGAACCAGCGGGAGCACTTGGGCGTACTGTAGAGAGGGCCGTAAGGGATTCCGACTCCGGGGTCAAGATCGGAACGTGGAAGAGTGCCACGACCCTTGGTGGATATGATTGGGACCGTGTCGTAAGGTAGCGCTTCTCGTGGGCAGCTGCTGACACAGCCGGGTTTTTTCCCGTGTATACTGGAATCTCTCACCTTCCGATCTGATAGGTGGTGCCCGGCGCATAGCCAGGAGGACGTTCCAGTAGCAGTCGCAGGCATCGGGTGGAGAACAGTGTATGCAATTCCACTTTGGCTAGGGCCATAGGGCTTAACGTACCCGTCCACACTCAGGAGACAGGACCCATATCTCCACCCACCGTTGCTTTAGAAGACTTCTGGTCGAGTTCGAGATCCCTGATGAGTTGCGGTCTCGCGAATGATACCACGATGAGTTAATAAAGTGTAAAAGAACCGACGATTCCGGACTCTGATGTAGGACTAAGAAATATGTCCAGCTCTCAGCCAATCATGTTGACAGCAAAAGGTAGTATTTCTCCCTGGCAGCACGGCGAGGACATTCTGGAAGTCGATCATTGTGACAATAAGACTCTACAATACCACCGCACCGGGGATAAGAAGCGGAACCTTCTTTTCAGCTGTTCGGCCTAAGGCAAGACAAATCCAGGAGCGATCTGCATTGCCTAATATAATCTGCCATCGCATTTGCTGCCTGTCGCCTGGGCGAGGTTCTTCCAAATTCGCTCGGCTCAGGCGGAAGTAAGCGAAAGAAAAGGTGTTGACATGCAGTAGAAGTTAGGGAATAATCCATCTGATGCCTGAGCTTACCATTGTTGATGCCAACGCGGGATGGGCAAAGCCAAAGCTGCAGCCAAGGAGGAAACTGCAAATGCGTGGTGCCTGATCATAAGGCTGAGGGGAGGTAGCCATGGGTTCATCGCAAGCAGTGCCATCTTTTGACGCCATGATACGCGTTCGGTGGCGAGCCCTCACAGATCCGCCCAAGGGCGGTATGCGTGAATTTAGAACACGGTGTTAATGGATACGAGGAGATCGTCGTGCGTCGACACAAAAATACAAAGGTGCAGGCCCATCCCGTCCGACGTTGATCATTTGCAACTCGACGAAAGCCAATCGACCCCTCCTCGCGACTGGAGTATCCAATTGTCAATGAATGCAAGCCGAGGTTTGTTGTGTGCCATCGATGCAACCCATTTGAAGTCTCGACGGTTGGTTGAGGTCAGGACGGTGTCGGGTATGCTGGAGGGTACTCAGCCCTACACAGGATGGATCCTTCGGGTTCTCGGAAATGTCTTCCTCCATAAACAGGCAACCCTGCATCGAATGCAAGCACAGCCAAAGGGGAAACTGTCCTGTCAAATCGTAGCAGAGAAGCTGCAGGTGCTCTGGATGGATGTACTCAGTTCCGGGGCTATCGTCTGTGGCGAAGTCTACCATGATCGCAAGAGGGGATTCAATAGTTCATAGGTGGATTGCTCAGGGGGCCAGGGGACGTGGGAAAAGGGGCGGCGGTCGGGCGGACTTGCGCATGGTCTGTAGCAGAAACCAAGGAGCTTGGTCAGAGGGGAGGTTCTAGAACTCTGACAAGAGAGAGAACATGAGATCAAAGAGCGTAAGAGGTGCGACGTGCGAGGTGAGAGGAGACCATAGACTGCGGAAGGCCTAAGGCTGATTTGTGCATGCGTCTGACGCGCAGCGACTGACTGACCGTCCTTTTGACTCGGTTCGCTACCATCTTTTCTCCTTCGCACCCTAGACTCTTGCGGTCAAGCCGTCAAGCGATCCTTGCCTATCTCCCCTTCTGTCCTTCTGTGTTTTTCCCTGCGTCACGTCCTGCTTCCCTCGGTCGCGTCTTCCGACTTCTCGCCTCCTCCTCCCCCATTCGACCCTCCTTCTCCACTGAGCCCTCACGGTATTGGCCTCCTCGGAACTTGGCGCATCTGAATGAACATCACAGCAGTCGCTGGCCAACTGCAGTGCGACTTCGCCATGAGTGTGACTGTGGGCTGCTAATGCGAGGGAACCTATTCTCCCAGACTCAGCCGGTGGTCACACCTTCGAAATGGTTGATACCCACTCCACTGTTAGCATCTTTCTGCCTGGACCTCAAAGAGCCGCTCACATCCATCTCCCTTTCTGCGGCCGCTCATTCCACCTCCTGCTTGCCAGCTATGACTCTCTTCTGCCTGTCTATTTGCCACCATCACTGGTCATCTTTTTTGCTTCCTACCCCTTCATCCTCACTTGTGATCGATAGATCCGTTGTCCCGGATTGACGACAGATCTGCGCGGTCACACGATGGGAAAGGCTCAGTCTACGTTTGCTGAGCATCGATGACCTGACACCGGTGAGTCCGAGCGAGATCAGCATGCCCTGCTCATGTCCCCGGAATGGGAGTTCGACGGCAAAGTCGTCAGTGATGAATTCCTACATCTCTGGAAGGAATGTTGAGATTACGCAGGGATGGCCGATGCTTTGGAGTTATTGTACACCGCTCAGGTATGTCCCGCCCATAATTAGCCTAACAACGCAATGAAAAGCTTCGCCCCCCCATTCAATACGGGCCTCAATTGCGAACTATAGGAAGCTATCGTTGGTGCTTTCCTGGTTCGAATGAATGCGATAGGCACCTGGGTAAGCGTTGAGGCGGCTACAACACAGAACGAGATCTCTCGAAAGTTGAGGTATCTCGCCGTAAGATACTGGAACCACAACAGGATGACATAGAATGACTCCGGTTTTGGAAGATGCTATAATACTTCCATCTCCTCATGAGTGAGCTGATGTGATCGGTCCGGGGAAATACCTGTCGAATACGAGACACATTTCTTCGATTGGGGGCTCAGAGATGTAGGGTTGTCGGTGGCCAACGAGAGAACATCATCCCAACCCTTGGCCACGAAGCTCCCTACGACCACAAAGACCCTCCTAGCAATTCAAGGTCGCGCTTCCGCATCCTGTGACCACTTTGTTCACTCCGGCGGACGATTCCGACTTCTCGGCAGACTGACAGTACTTCCCAACATTCTACTCCACAAAAAGACAAGTCAGCTATACAGAGAGCCGAAGGTGAGCTGCCCATGGGAGTGGAGCAGGGGAGACTTAATACCGTGCTTCCCCGACAAAACACCACGCAGCAGCCGTCATTGAAGCTGGATTTCCAGATCCATGAGCCTGCGCCGCCGGACCAGGAGACCTTGTGTATGCCACTGTATTGACATACACGTAGTCGGTTAGCTTCTAGCCTTCTTTTTCTTCCACGGGAGCCTTCAAAAGGAGAGTGGTATGATTTACTCGGTTGTCTGTGCGTGACTGTCAGTGCGTGTTGAGCAAAGGGATAGTTGATGATCATTGGGCCAACAGCGAAAACCAATGGGATGGAAATCTTACAAATTTGGCTTGATCCCCCTGGTAATCGTACTTGCTCCAAAGGTCAATACTGTATGCAGAAGCGGTTGCTGCGAAGGCGAGCCCAGTGTATAGGGTGCAAGAGAGCTTCATGGTTGGACTGACTTCTCTCGTTCTGGTTCAGAGGTTATGACCAAACAGCGAGAGGAAGAAATCAAAGTCGGAGTTGGATGATCCTGAGTGGAGCCTGATACAAGAAGAAGAGAGGAATCGCTGCTGAAGAGAATTGAAGAGGATGAAACAAGGAGAAAGGAGATGGAAAAGGAAAAGATTCTTTTATACCACAGATCCAAGTCGGCCTGCTTCCTTCCCCCTTGTTCTCCCATCCCACTCCTCTTACATTCTTGGCTCTCTCCTGTCCTATCCACTGCTATTCCTCCCCCTCTCGTGCCAGATCCCATCGTTCGTTGATCGTGGAAGGAATGGGGCTTTGGAGCTCACGCTGGGGACGATCACAACCAAGACAACTGGGAGCCACAACAACTGGGGAGGAACCCAGCAAAAAGCGGGATAGAAAGGTGCATCATGCCATACTGCCTGACCTCCCATCGTGACCTGTTGGGTTGGCCAACTGATCGATTCATCCAATGGAGGAAGGAATGTTTGACTGATTGACTTGGCTGGGTAGCCGCACGATGCAAGTTCCCTTTCCCTTTCCTTCCAAGAGGCCTGACATTCTCCTTCTCTGTCTAGCCATATGGTGCCCAATCAAGGCGCAGAAGCCTCGAAAAGTTCCACCCACACGTCTTCCACGTCCACGTCCACGTCCACGTCCCCCCTTGCTGCTCCAAAATTCAGGTGAAGAGGAACGATGGGCCAAGTATACGAGGCACGTATACACATACATACACATACGCAAATGTTCTCTCACAACAACAACGACGACGACAACGACGACGCCAATATGTGAAGCACAAGCCAAGCGAAACGGGCAGGATGAAAGAGTGTGCGAGTGGGTACAAAATGAATGTATGTGTGCTGAATGGCCAGAGGGGAAGAAGGAGATACGCGGACCCTTGGACGACATTGATCAAGTACCTGGGTATAGTGCGTATCTGCATGTTTGTACGACCTTGATGTCTGTACCACGCTGGAGCAAATACGAGTACGTCGGCGAGCGAGGTGGTGGGAGGGATATGAGGTGAGGATCTTCCGCGCGCGACGAAACACTTTTGTTTTGCGACGAATTGATTCATGAGCTGGCTTTTTTTCTTCTTTGTTCTTGCTGCTTTTGCGCCATTTTCTTCGAATTCTCGTGCTCCTCTTCCCTTCTTCTTTGCCAAGGTGTAACGTGCAACCGAGTGTCGAACTCAGCATCAGATGATCCGCGCCCAGAGAGCTTGTTCGAGAAGGCACAATCTCATAAATCATGCACTCGGTTCGTCTGCTCAAATCGTTCCGGACCACCGAGATGGCTTCTTCTCGACCACATCACAAACCATCCGTAGAACCACATGTGACATATCCATCCCTCTTGCTCCATGCATTTCTCCTGGTTTTCTCGTACAGAATTAGGCGCTCAACCAATCCAAAAACTCTGGTGTAAAATAGCTCACGACGATGCCCGCCCCAGCTCGTAAGATGCCTTCGGTGCTCTCGAAGGCCATGGTTTTCAGATCAAACACGCCCGCCTTGGCCCCAGCGTGGATCATGGCATACTCTCCACTCACCTGATACGCCGCGATGGGCATATCCTTCGCGATCTCCTTGGCATCTGAGATGATATCTAGAAAGGACGAGGCGGGTTTCACCATAATGATATCGGCGCCCTCTTGGATATCTCGGGGGATGGCGCGGCGAGCCAGTCCTCGGCCACCAGGAGGCAGCTGGTAGCATTTCCGGTCCCCAAAGCTTGGGCACGATCCCGCTGCATCTCTAAACGGCCCATACAAGCAGCCCGAGAATTTAGCCGCGTAACTCATCAGGTTGACTTGATGCGAGAGCCCGGACTCAATGAGCTTGAGCTTGATGGCGCGAATGCGTCCGTCGTTCATGTCCGACGGCGCTACGCAGTGCGCGCCAGCATGAGCATACGCCATTGCGACGTCGGAAATACGTTCAACGCTCATGGCGTTGTTCAGGGAGCCGTCGTCGCGGAGAATTCCGCAGTGGCCGTGAGAAGTGTACTCACAGAGACAAACGTCTGCCACGACAAACAGTTGAGGAAAGTGTCGACGAATGAGTTGAATGCCCTTTATGACGGGACCTTCGGGATCATCGGCTGCTGTGCCTAGGGCATCTTTTGCATCGGGAGCGAGAGGTACGCCAAAGAGAATGACAGAGCGCAAGCCCTTCTGGACCAGAGGAGCGAGAAAAGGGACGAGTTTGTTCAGGCCCAGGCGACTTTGGTTCGGGAGGGATGGAATGGGAGTCATTTCGTCAGGGTTGTCGGTTATGAAGAGAGGGTAGATGAGCATTGACTTGGAGTTGTGTTAGACTAAGGCTTATGCTGAAGGACAGAACAGTGAATACGTACCTTTGTCAACTGTCTCTCCGCTTGCCATGCTCTGGAAAGTGGATGGCTGTAGCCGGCATGAAGCTGGCTTGAGATGTCGCCCGCAATGCTCACACTGGTGGCGGCAGTCGAAGTGTAGGATCGAGCCTGTGACGGCCGGGAGATGGTAGACTGAGTGTCATTGTTACTGACGTTGCTGGCACCTGTCCGTGCATTTGTTTGCGACGGTGAGTCGCGGAAGGCGATGTCCTGCACGAGGGAAGAGAAGGACATGGTGATGTGCGGGCGTCGCTAGGATGGCGACAAACCAGTTCTGGTAGTATAAAGGCGTGAGTGTGAGACACAGGGACAAGTTTATCAATAGCGACGTCGTCCAAGAGAAGTCGACCGCGTTGTGGTCAGAGAGACGAGTGGAAATATGTGTCGCAAGAGGCGGCGAGGCGGGCAAGTCGGTCAGCTAGAATAAAATAAAAATGGATGCGAGCCGTTCGCCGTCGTAGCTGCCGGCAAACTTTGTGGAGAAGGGCTGACAATTGGGAAATCGCTACGAACATCATTCGCCCAACCCCTCCACAAGCCTCGGGATTTCGACATTGCGTATTCTTTTGGTGGTGGACGTTGTATGCGAGTCTGGTGAAGATAGTCTACTCGTCCCCTACATAGATGGCTTTATAGCTGTGGTACATGGTAGTCTAAAGATGTCATCGACCGGAACGCCGTCGCCATGCCCCAAAATCCACTGCATACACATCTATAATTGAATCTCGTCGTTTAGGAGGCGAACCTCCTCGCCGGGTTTGAAGGCAGGAAGCCCGATATACGGGCAGCCGTCGCATCGGAAGGCATCTGATAAGACGCAGCGTATTAGAAGAGAAAGGGGTCAAGGACAATGGAGAGGTGCTCACCTCCAAGACTGCAGTTGCCACAACTTCCAACTTTGCCTTGCACAGTAAAATCGACTTCGGCCAAATCGTCTGCTTGTAGCTTCATCGTGTTTAATGCCTTGTCCGCATTCTCTCGTTTGGCTCGATCTTCGGCTTCCAGTTTCTGTGCAAGCCCGCAAGTACAGTCTTTGCATGCTCGACGTCGCTTCGCCTTGGGCTGACATTCAGTGGCTTAGGCCTGTTAATTGTTTGATCACTGCGGAGGATGGCGGTCCACTCACGAATTTTGATAGGCCTCTGCAAATCCTCATCGTCCATCAACGCATCTTCATCAATCAATTCATCGTCAGAGTCATCAGCTCCATTGTCAAATCCCACACCTGCAGGCAGAGTATCATCCATGCTCTTCCGCTTGCCGTTGACTGGGAGTGACACAGAATCATTATTCACTGTGTTATCAAGACCGCCAGCAGCCTGTGATGTCTTCTTTCTGCCGAATTTCAAGGGGACAGAGTCCTGTGCGCTGTAATTGGGCTTCACGAACCCCACTCCTGGCTGGAAAGAAAGACCAGCGAGGATGGTCTCGTTCTTCTCTGGACCATCCACAGTGCCAAACGTCCCATCTTGGCTGCGCAAATGTCCGCCACTCTTCAATGCTTTGACCAGCAAGGCCAGCAAGTCTCGGCTAATCAGATTCTGACTTTCGCGGCGTGAGCCATCTGCATCGGAGAGAATAGTAATGACATCATATGTAGACTGAGGCAGTGACACCAGGCCGAGGGACAGTCTGTCCAACATCTGCAGGTCGGTGTGGGCGCGGTCGTGCATTTCCAACAGGCTGGTCAGTATTTCTTGATGCGACGACAGCGACGGAGGCGAAAGGAGGAGGGTGCGGTGCGACGACTGCGGGGCCTTGGATGAAGGCATGACGAAATCGTCCGAGGTGTCCATGAGAACGGAGGGCGACATTGCAGCAGTAAGGAAGGGCGGCACTGGCGGAGGATAGAAGGCTGTAGCAATGGAGGAGAGCGAAAAGAAAGAATGATTCGAAATGCCCAGCTTAGAAATCGAGACTTGTGTTAGCGCTAGAGGGGCAGTTCTGACGCTAAGCCCGAGGGCCCTGCAGCATCCCAATACCACAAGGTGGTCGCTAGTATAGTCTCTCGGGTGTCAGTATATCCCTACCCACGTGGGTGGTGATGTGAAGCTCGGGTTCCTGAATGCCTGAGGCAAAGCAAGCTACAAAAAACTGCCTTTACATACATCTGGAAGAAAATATGCTGCAAGATCTAATGCTGCATAAAGCAGCCTTCCCCCACGCCTCCTCACGTGATCGACATGTCCCGAGAAACTCCGCCCTCACACCACTCTAGCAGGCCAGAGCTACAGAGTTACGTACCTGGCCATGTATATTATCAGGGGCAGTCCACTTCCCCAGGGCGTTGACGTCTGACTGAAACACAACGTGGAAACGCTGACCGCTACGTGGGGTCCATTTTGCGACATTTTGTGGCTTCTATCAGTTGACCTGTAGGCTCCAATATTCTGTCGGACCTGGTCACGCCCCTGTATCCACTTGGAACTGAATGGAATCGGTGGCGTCAGTCATCACATGGGCATCCGAGAGAGTGCCTGGGTCTTTGTACATACGTTGCTGAAAATCCCTCTGGGACTTGACGCGAAAGACTCTATTCACCCTTGTTTGTTTGTTCTCGTAAACAATGGGCATCCTTCAACGAACGGCCTAGGGATGGGGGGTTTCATGCCCGTGGGCGACACACTAAGTAGGTGCTAAGTGGAGGCCGACAAGGCCAAAACCCCGCGCTAGAAGTGCCCATTCGGAAAGGTGAAGGATGAGGAATCCGGGGAAGGCGTCTGACGATTGGAGCGAGGGGAAAGAAAGCGCCAGAAAGAGCAGGGAGGTCATGCGAGCAACGGGCTCTCTGCGCCTGTCTTTGCCAGCTGCCCCCCAATCACAACAAAGTCACCATCTAGAGCTTTCTAAGGTTCCACCCTGCTCCGGCTCTCATCTACCCTGACTTAATCACTGCTCCTCAAAACGAAGTGACAAACCCCTTCTGCTTAGAAGTCAATCGTAACCTCTTTCATCTTTCTCTACCAGCTTCACCCTGTCCCTGCGCTCGTATTGCCCTCTGTTCCCAAGTGTAAGCGAAGCGAAGTGTGTGGTGAGTTCAATGTGCTACCCATGCCCAAATCCATCAATGATCAACACGCAATGGGTGGTCCGAGCTTCTGTCCCTTTGACCTCACCTGCAGGTCGCGTGTCTTGACTTGTCCCCGTTGCCCAAACCTCTTCTCCAACTTCATATAACTGACTCTCATTCTCACAACCAGCACCAATCCATCACCACAGCCATCCTTCTATCACTTCGACCTTCTCAATCGGCTCTCTCTCATCAGTCCTCATCCTCCACTCCATCAGTATGTTGTCCCTGCTCTTCCGCACTGCAGTTCCCCTCACTAACCCTTGATTGAAGTGACTCGTACCAACAAAGGCAATGACCGCAACCACAGTGCCATCGCTGATGGTTCCGCCCTCCCTGAAGAACGCCTCCCTCGCTACTTCGCCAAACATGGTCACGTTGACGCCGATCCCAAGGGCGTGAAGAAGCAAGGTGGCGGCAAAGGCAACTGGTATGTTTGCTTTCCCTCACATGGATTGTCACTGAGCTCAGAGACACTGACCTGTTGACAGGGGTCGTGAGGGTGACGAAGTTCACGATTACGACTACAAATTCACCAATGCCCGTCGCCGCTCCAACTCCAGCACCCAAGTCCTAGGTGATTTCAAGACCAAGTTCGAAACCCTCGATGCCGAGCCAGTCTTCGAGGAGGGATTGCACGGACCGACGGACGAAGACATCGAAAAGGCCTCCACTCTATCCAAGGAAGAGAGCACCGACTCCAGCACTTTGGGAGGGAGCCTCGATGACGATGACAAGAAAATGTAATACTACAAAAACCAAGATACTCTTTCGAGATGATAACGATTCAACTGTTATTCTCGATATATGGCGCTCAAGGAAGGTGCTCTGGCTCAATGTATACTGTGACACCATACAGGCTCTTCTGCAGGCAAACCATCTGAACTGAATGAATGGCCTGGGCCAAGGGATGGAGTGAAACGATTCGAGCAAACATGTATTAGCTTAGCCGCAATCCAAATCCATCACGGGGAATTGTGACAACAGTGTTATGCCTACAGCTTTTTAAACCCTTTTTCCTTCACATTTTCCATGCGGTGTCTCGCGGATCGGTGTCACCTTTTACTCACCTAATGATACGCTGGCTCTCAATGAATGGGACCCACTGGGAACAACACCAACAACAAGGCTCACAGAATGTGTTTTTAGAATTAAACTGTTCACGGACTTTGACCATAACACGCTGCAGCTCAAGTGTCTTAAGCCGCTATGGATACAGTATTGACACTCAGGCAACCACAGGTGGCCTCTCACGTCCTCAGGCTGGCATTGAAGCGACTAGTTACCAGGGGCCGGCTTCCGGAGACTGCGACTTGTTCACCTCAGCGCCCAATCAGCTATTGAAGTTCTCGGTTCCCCTCCCCCCCTCTTTGCACCTCGTACACCACATCCAATCTGGAGGTGTTTCGGTCATCATACCATATGAAAATCTTCGATCCTCTGTCGCCGATTGGAACGGCCTTTCCCAACGCAGGCAGCATTTAGAACAGTACGAGCTACGCAGTATTTACCAGTCTTCTGGCCCATCACGTCGGACTTTCCCTGGAGCAGCGGAGATGCTTTCACCTGCAAGAGTCAAGCAAAAAACTCATATCAGCTCAGCTACCATGAATCCGTTCAGCATCGGACGGGGCTCCGTCAGGTGGTCGGAGACAGAAGCTGTTCATGGTCTGCGCCAAACGGCATCCTGTTGTTCCCAGCAGTGGGCATGCCCACTCAGTTTGGAGATGTCCTTGACTGGAGGATCGGGTGATCGCCAAAATATGGATCGAGGTAGGGTAGGAGAAAGGAAGTGTACACATAGCCACTGCACTTCTCGGTTCCTGAGTATTGAAGCAGAAGAGAGCGGCATGCAGTGGAAGTGATTAGAGCAGGCTCCAAATAGAACTGTGAGTTGTTAGAAGCCCGGTCGCCAAGCTGCATCAAAAGAAGAAGGTCTGGAGTCGAAAGGAATAGGTACATTCAGAAGCATGTCTAAAAGCGGCGTGCAACTCCACGGAAAAGCGTTCCAAAAGAAGGACGAAGGAGCTGCCAGTTTTATTTTCACCTTGGCGGACAGCAAACGCGAAAGCGAGTTCCCCGGGGTTTAGCACGGCAATAACATTGTAATATTTCCAACCCGTCATCAACAAACAACGGCTCAGCTGCCTTCATCCTTTCTTGTTCCCTTCACTTGTCCGTCCTGGTCCGCTGGGCAGGATGTTTTCGACAGACACTGCGCGTACGCCGTCGTTGCGTCCCAAAAGAACACGTCAGGCAGCAGGCTCAGAAGACTCCCTCAAATTACCTCAAGCAAAGCGAAAACGATCTGCACTACGACGAGACACCTTTGAGCCTCTGACAGAGTCCAGTATCGGTGACGTTGCAGGAAAAGATGTGATCGAAAGCAAGAGCAATGGACGTACTGTTACAATTGCGCCGGCAAAAGAATTGACTTTGCGAGGAGCCAAAAAAGCAGAAAAGCGTGCCGACAGAGCCACCAGCACCAACGCCGGCTTGACCCTGTCTAGCAATGACTTCTATACCGTTACTCAGCTCCCTGCACTGCCAGATCAGATCAGAAATCGACCGAGCATCCAATACTCATGTGTGATTTCCCCCGAATACGGTTACGCGCTGGCATTGACACATACCGACGCCATTATCTGGCCCTACAACTCAACTGCGTCCACGCCGCCACCTCGAGATGTCATCACCTTCAAACTGCCCTTCCCTCCCGCCGCCGTTGGCGATCCCCTCCCACATGCAACGTTCACGGCAAAATCTGCGAATGGAGAGCCCGGTATCGTGGCAGTATCAGCAAAATGGGGCAAGGTGGTGTACTGGGAAACCCTGTCCAACGCCTCCTCTTTCATACCTGGGCAAGTCTCAAACGTCCAGGGTTCAATACCAGGAATGATGAGTGGCGAAGTCGTTGAAGAATTGGTCAATGCGGAGCCCTCAGGCTTTATCCTCTCACTTCGACATGGTCGTGTAGCCCACCTGACGATTCGCGATCAAATGGGACGTCCTGGAATTGGCGTCCAGTTCCTACGCAAAAACACAAACGCCTCGGCAGGCATCTTTGGGAGCATTAGGAATGTGTTTGGCTCCGACCGACGCAAAGGGACACCTGTCATCAAAGCTGGAGGCTCAAAGAAGGGCCAGCGCGATGTAGTCATTGTGACCGAGGATGCTGAACTGGAATCCTGGAGTACGAATCTGGCTGTCGGCAACAATCTCGAGTACTCGTTCAACTTCAAGGACGAAATCCTAGAGGCGTTAAGATCAACACAACCGGATGTGACGCAATTCAAGGTCTGGGATGTGGAGCTCTCGACAGGACCCAGCACCGCCCTCAGCCGACGAGACAGCCATGGTGCGCCAATGATGGTGCTGGTTTCCAGCACGACGGAAGTGGAAACTAGGTATCACATCATCGAGATGGTGGTCGACCAAGGGGCTAAGATCAGAGTGGTGCACCCCATCAACTGCTATTCTTCGCCGTCCGAATCTGGCCGATGGAGGCCTCGGCTGTGCGTGTCAAAATCCCAGCCTGTGGCGTTCATTGTCTTTGAGGCTGCAATTGTGCTGTTCTCGCTGGCCAGGATCCGGGAGTCCCCGTCCTCCCAGTTGCTAATGGAACGGCAAGCACTGCCCGAACCGTTCCAAGATTGCATCCGATTCCAGGAGGCAACTATCTATGAGGTTCTTGGCTTCGCTCTGGAGATGACAGAGAAACAGTCATCTATTGTATTTGGAGTGCAGGGCTTTGGCGTGGTGAAATTGACTTCTCATCTTCGTGATGACGAGGAAGTTGATGTGGACGACATTGAAGAACGAGAGCGAATAACGGCGAAAAGTAAAATCGAACAAGCAGTCTTCTTTGGCACCATCAAGCAAAATCCCCTGGACCTCAAACACGCCAACCAAACATTCCCACCCGAAGAAATTGAAAGAGCCGCTTTGGAGATCAGCTCGGAGATCTTGTCTTCATCATCTAAACATCTTCCAAAGTCTGCGCCTTCGATTGACATGCAAATGCGGCTGCGCGCCAAAGCCCTTGACGATCTGGCCGAACATGTGATCAACCGTTATCCTTCGGCGGTCTCTCGACTGACGCGTTTTGCATTGCTGCTGAACGCAGAAAAACTCGCTGCGGCGCAGGCGATATGGAAGGTTCAGGAAGAGATCCAACGAAAATATCCGCAGCCCGACCGTGAGATGTCGTACTTGGATTTTACCCTCCGAGCTTTGCATGAATCTCGGCAAAAGTACCCCGATCCTGAGAGGGGTGAGAAAGATCGGGTGAGACATTGGCTTGTGAACAGTGTTAAGAACGTCGGCCATCTGATGTCTGAGTTGGTCAGCTGCATCCCCGAACTCGAACCGATGGATGTGACAGACCCCAGGGTGGTCGCCGATTACTTCAAGGAAGCCGTTGACCTTTGGATTGCCTCATACTCCGCCGCCTTCAAATTCCGTGAAGACAACGCACCTCTTTACGGACTCGGAGATGAAGTCTTCGAGAATGGAGTACTTATCTCGGGATTTCCAATCGAGATCCCCCATCCCTGGACATCCAGTCCAGAGCCGTTGCGCTTTGGCCAACGTCTAATTTATGACATCTGCAAATTTCTAAACGAGTGGTGGGAGTTTGCTCATGGGAGAAACAAGAAGAAAAAAATGCCCACGGATCTAGACGGAAAGCCGCACGAAGCACCGAGCAAACTCGCCCTTCAGGAATTGGCGAGTCGTCTGCCGACAGAACTCGAGTTATTTATCCGAATTGTACGTGAGGAGAGCATTCAGGCGAAATGCCAGTTCAAGGCCAGTGAGAAGGACCCCGAAGTATTGAGGGATGAGCTTACCAACCTCGAAAATGAAGAGCAAGATAGGCTGGGTCAGGCTCTGCAAGCTATTTCTTTGTTCAACATGCCCGGAGCAATCCACCTGGCAGAAAAGTTGAAATATTACGGGGAGCTTGTGACGCTGCACTACAGCTACTACAAGCAACTGGTGGCTGAGGCTCAAGCTGACCCAAGTCTGGCCGAAGAGAATCAACGCAAGCTTGAGGAGATGCAAGAGAGAGCCGAGTCGTATTACGGGAAGTTTGGCAAAGGATGGGCCTTCGCCGCTTTCAGCCAGATGCTCATTGACGATGAATGTGGTAGTCTTTTGGTCAAGGGCCAAGAAGACGCGGAGAAAGAAAGATTCCTCACGTGGTTCTTCAAGATAGCTCCGAAGGCTCACCAAGATCTCGGGAAGCTCAGCTGGATCCACGATGTTATCTCCTGTGACGATTACCACCGTGCCGCAAGGACACTCCAGGATGTCGCTGCTCAAGAGACCAGTAATGTCTGGAACAAGAAGACTGAATTGGCTCTCGGGAAGCTTGCTAGCTTGGCTGCGGATGAAGGTAGCGGCAAGCACAGAGATTCGAAAGCATACGACGATGCGCTTGCGATGATCGCGATTCAGGAGCAAGTCTACACCCACGTCATGGGGTCAGTTGGTGCAGCTCTCGACGAGAAAGCCGCGGTTGATCTTGCCGCGGAAACTTTCACTTCTCGAGTCGTGGCGAAGACCCCAGCCTTGAAAAGAGAGCTGAAGCAGATCTTGAAGTCATTGATTCGTCAGACGCCTTTGACCGCGGAAGAATTGGTCAATCTGCTGACACTGATGGATCCCATTGAATGGAGCGGACCTCCTGAAGAGGATCCTGGAGTTGAAGGCCAGGAGTTTATTCTCGCCCTGAATGTTGTGGATGAATCTAATTTGCCGATCCCGAAGCAAGATGATCTTCGAGCCCTGATCTGGAGGAGAGCGATGATTCGCGATGAGTGGCTCGTTCTGAACGAGACCGGTGGAAAAGATGACCAGCGAGTGGAGGAAGAGATGCAGGAGTCCAGTCTGTTCCGCCTTTTACAGCACGTCTTCGTGATGGAACAGATTGAGGGAACTCCACTTCACCTGTTCTCCCCCAGCGAGCTTCTACGCCGTGACGCATTCCCTGTCAGTCTCCAAGATTGGCTGGCCGAAAATGAGGTAGAAGGCCTTCGGAAGGACATGGAAAAGGAACAGACGAAACTCCAAAGTTTTGTGGAGAAGGGAAGGCTGGAAGATCATTATGGTGGGCTGGTCACTTCTGCGCAGAGAATCGCCAGGGACATTGCTGACGAACAGGGAGAACAACTGGCTGAGCAGGTCGTCTAGGGGGGAAAGGAAAAATGTCGTGTATCATCTCACTAGGCAGTGCCTAAGAAGACCGGCACGTGCTGTGTTTCATTTGTAACACTAATGTTGAAGCGCCAAAGGCGGCGCCTACGAGGCTGCATGGAGAAAACAGGAGAGAAGACAACTTGTGACGCCTGCTGCCGACATGGTGCAGGCAGATTTGGCGGAAAGTCCAATTGGTATATGCGACTTGCATGAACATCATATACAGTCAGCCTCATCGCCCCGTCTCTATTGTTTTTTCTCTTGACCTCCTGGTGGGCTGGGCTCTATGTTCCCGTTGCCATTATATGTGTTAGCATTGTGACTCGGACGCGGACCATTGACCGTAGAGGAAGCGCCGGCTGTGTATATCGGCAGCACTGACACAATGTAGTTGAGTTGGCCGGCATGTGAGAGTTTCAAGCGCATGGTTGTCGTCATTGTTGTTGTCATTGCTTTGCATGACCGACGTCTCGCGGAAGAGGACGTCCGTCCTTGTCCTCGAGTTCTCACTGGATCTGTAGTATTCTTGCTTGCTCGACGTCCAAATCAGCCTCCACGACGTGGTGGTGGCTAGGCGTGTAATTCACAGATATCGCGTTGATCCAAGCGGCCAGTCTCCGTCCGGCCTTCTGGACCAGGTGGTTGATGACCGGGACGGCGCCGTCGTAGTAGGCCCCGCCGAGGTCCTGGTTGTGGACGTCGTGGGCCAGCACGTAGGAGCACACGTAGCTGTTCGCCTCGCCGGCCCAGGACAGAGCGCAGGCTGCCGCGTCGTGCAGGCATTCTCCCTCTCCCTTTCCCTCTTCCGCCGCCGTCGCCGCGTCGGAGAGCTGGTGCGCCCACAGCCACGCGGCGGCGAATTCGTCGTCGTCGTCGTCGTCGTCGCCGTGGTGGCCCGGCCCCGCGTACTTGTTCGGGATGAGCGTGTCCCACACGCTGTGCAGGTTGGTGTGGCGGCCGTCAAAGAGCACGGCGTACTCGTTGCCGCCGCGGTCCTCGGCCTCGGTGTGCAGCGGCTGGTGCACGTCGCCGAAGAAGTGCATCATGAAGCGCAGGCTCTGGCCGCGCAGGGCGGGCGGCAACGCCGGGTCGGCGACGCGGGCCGTGTGATTGGCGATGGCGCTGACCACGCAGCCACCTCCCAGGGCGCAGTCCCGCGTCATGTTGATCCCGCACTGCTGCGGCGGCGCGTCCTGCGCGTCGATGTAGTGCCACCCCCGCGTGTACGCGAACTGCGGCATGTGGCGCACCTTGTCCGGGAACAGCGCCGCCTCCGAGATGTCCTGGCCGTGGAGCAGCTGGTTCGTCATGCGCGTCGACTCGGCCGTGAAGTACGTCGACGCCAGGTACGCCACGGTGCGGTGGCCCAGAGAGCCCCACGCCGTGGCAGGGTGGAAGAGCGGGAGGAGGAGGCCGAGGGAGAAGACGAGGGAGGGGGTGGAATGCATTGTTGTTCGTGGTATAGTATATGGAAGGTCACAGACGAAGGTGGTGGAACAAGGAGAAGAAGAAAGGGGAGGTTGAGGGTATTCTAGTTGTTTTTCTTGCTCACATTGCACGGTAGATATTCTGGGCCGCCAAAGCGGTCAAGTGGTCCATTGTCAACCCATGAATGTTGTGGCGGTGGTGGTCGTTGTCATGGGGAAGACGACAGGCGGCTAGCTGGAGGTCACTTGGTCATGGGCTGCGTCGCACGTAGTACCAGTACTTACATACGCAGGGGTGAGAGCCGAGATGCTGTGGGCCCGCTAAGAGGAAGACAGTCATGCGGTGGAGTGGACTCGACTGACTTGTTAGCTAGGCGGCGAGGTGGCTCGGTGGGTATCGGTACGATGGCTGCTAAGCTGGTTAGGTATGGATGGAACTAGCATGTCCCGGAGCCTTGTATTTTACCTCCTGTACATAATACTGAAAGGACGATGAAGTCGAGTGAAGATGACCTTGGAACGGAGTGCCTTACCGCACGTAAATAGACAGGCAGAACAACCGCCGGGATATGGCGTTGGGGTGCCGGGCGGGGCAATCAATGATGGGCACTGGGAGGGATGAGAAGTGGAAATTGAAATTGCTACAACATACTGTATCTTTCAAAGAAAGAGCAACACGGAATGCATTTGGTGTGTTTTGTTTGGTCAAACTACTATGATCGCACAGTCCTCGCTAGCATCCGACCAAACCAGGCGACGTCGTCCCACACGCCCTGGGGACGCTCTGGGGGCGGTTCCACGGAATCGTCGAACCGCACAGTAGGACCAGGAGGGTGATCGGCGTCCTTCGCAGGCGGCGGTGCAGGAGATGCTGCTGCAGGGTCGGATTGGGCTTTCGTCTTCGCAGCCTCCAGGTCGACTTGGGGCGTGGAAAAGTCATCTTCCAGCCGCAAGAAAACATCCACAAGCCCGTCCATCCACCTGCCCAGCCGGTACCCGTTGATGGATTTCCGTAGTTCCTCCTCGTCATCGCTGTCGAATTGAGCATCGAAATCCAGCATGCCGTATGGATCGCCGTCGTCCAGTTCGTCCGAGAACTCGGCGTCCATCTGTGCCGCGATCTCCGCTTGCGTCTGCTCGTCCGCCCAGTCCGGCCCGGTGTCCATCTCTACCATCGGCGTCGTGGCCGGGACAGGGGTCATGGCCAAGGATCTCTTGCTGCGTCGCTGGAAACTGCCTCGTCGGCTGAGATTGCCGCTCGGGGTTGCCCGTCCAGATCTGAACCCCATGGACGGTCGTTCGTCGATCGGTGTGGCCAGGGTGGTGGATGAGTCGCGTTTGGATATCCAAGATTGACCCTTTGATTCTCTTGAGCCTTCGGTCAAGCTAAGGCCCGTCTGGATGAACCACGAGGAATCGGAGGTGTGAAAGGATCGGCCGCTCGAGTGCTCGGCGGGGTTATGCGTCTGCTGTGGTGACAGGTTTGTGGTGGCGGAGAGACGCGAGATAGATTTGTGGCCGAGCCCTTCGCTCGTCAGCGCCCCGGATGGCAGCACGACGCCCGTGGTCGCATCGGTGAGAGGTAGAGGCGCCTGGATCGTCACGAAGGATCGATTCTTCTTTTTCTGGTTCAATCGCGTCCGGGAACTGGCCCGCGACTGCGCCCGCGACTGCGCCGCAGAACCGCTCCTCGACAGAATGCCTCCAGGAGACGGCAAGCTCGCGACGTGAGAGATAGATGCGGATGTGTGCAGCTCTGAGGTCTCGGGGTTGAAGTAGGCGGCATAATCGGCCGGATCGATGGGGTATTTGGGCGTCAAGGGCGCCAGGGACAGGTGTTGGAGGTTTGGATGGGAGCGGCGGTGCGGGCCAGGGGCAAAGGACGAGGAGCGACTGAGAGGTGAAGAAGGGGACTGTGGCATCTTGGAGTTAATATCATTGGCATATGTGGACGAACGAGGACAAGAACAAAGTGAAGGTGAGGGAGGTTGCTAGGCTGGGAGGCAGAGAGGGAGAGGACGTGTGGGGAGACAGACCTCCATCGGGTCTTTTCTCTTTCTTGTGACTTCCACCCAAGACTTTTTCGAGGGAGCCGGATGGTGAAGCTCTTATGGGGAGCGGCCGGCAAGGAAGAAAGGAGTGTAGCAGGCGGTCAAGCAAGAGCTTGGTGTTGGTGGGGAGTTTCGAGAGAAAGCAGATGATGTCGCTGTCGGTCTTGGGATTGTGCTTTGGAGACCGAGGCATGTGCTTCTTAAACCGGGTGTCCAATCACAAGCTTCCATTTAGGGGCCTCCTGTATACACCCAAGACCCATATTATTCTGATGATTCCTCCTCGTGTGAGTCGTCGTTCGGTGATTCCCCCCGCGTCTCTCCCTGATGGATATGGGATGGTATAAACTACTATCCATCGTCTTTGTGGCTTTTGTAATGCGTGGACTAGGGGCCAATATCCCTTCAAAAAGCGGCGTGCTCATCGAATCTATTACTGCTCCGCCTTCCTGACTTCTCCCTTGTTCACCACAAACGCCTCCAACGTGGCAATCGCCGACCAGAGTCTGTTTTGCGCCTCCGGGAAAACCAACGACCGTGGGCCATAGAAAACGTCGTCGCTGACTTCCTCCGGATGCCGCGGAAGGCAGTGCATGAACTTCCAGTCCTCCGCTGCCCCTCCCTTGCGAGCCATCTCTTCCGTCACTTGATACCCCTCGAATGCCCGCAGGCGTTTTTGCTTCTCAGATTCTTGGCCCATGGAGATCCATGTATCGGTGACGATGATGTTTGCGTTCTTGACTGCTTCCTCGGGTTTCGTCGTTTCGAAAAGCTTGCCAGGTCCGGCGGCCTCGATTTCTTGTTTGATGCTCGAGGGAATCTTGTAGCCCTCGGGTGAGGCTACTGCCATCTCGATCCCCAGTTTCCTGGCTCCAATGCACATGTCATACAACACATTGTTGGCGTCTCCTACCCAGGCGATCTTCAGACCATTTAATTTCTCCGCCGGCGTAGAAAAGGTCTGTGTCAGGGTCGCAAAGTCGGCAATGATTTGCATCGGGTGATATGTATCACATAGTGCGTTGATCACGGGCACGGAGCTGTCCTTTGCGAGATTTGCGATGTCTGCATGCGGGCCAACCCGTGCCACGATCCCTGCAACCATGCTCGATATCACCACCGAGCTATCATAGAGTGACTCGTTCACACCCAGCTGTATATCGTCCTTGCCAAGGAACATCGGATGTCCCCCCATCGCTACCACGGCCCCCTCTGTGGAGATTCTTGTCCGTGTCGAGCGCTTGGAGAAAAGCATAGCGATGGTCTTGTTGGAGAGGGCGGTGCGCTTGGGCCATGTTGGCTGAAGAGCAGAAGACTTGAAGGATGTTGCGTTGTTCACGAGGGTGCTGAACTCGGTCGGTGTGAGCTCGGATATGGACAGGAGGTGACGGGGACTCGGTTTCGTAGAGGTCGATAGCGAGCGGCCATATTGGCAAAGCGGGGGGAGGAAAGGTCGCAAAGCTGCCATGACGTTCGTTGGTAGTTCAATGCTAACACTGTGGAATCATTACAGGAAGCATTTCCTGAGGAGAACGAGACTTTATATGACTCCCAAAACAAAAATTTTCTTTCTGCGCGTCACACTCTGGGGAGGAAAAAACATTGCAGCTGTAGCAGCATTTGCGGCGTCGTGCTCCGCAGTCTGCGGGTTTTGGTTCGTCGACCCCCCGTGAGGGGAAATTTCTTCTGCGCCAGGGCGTGCATATGTACGGAGTATGTTGGTGTAAGTATATTTTCCCTCTCCCATCCAAGCACTATGACACCCTCTCTGTTGCACAGGCCAATACTCCTCCTGGATGGTGGGCTGGGTACGACGCTTGAGGACGAGCACGGTGTGAAATTCTCCACTGCAACGCCACTATGGTCGTCTCACCTTCTGGTCGACGGCGTGGAGATCCTCAAAACCGTCCAGCGCGATTTTGCGGAAGCTGGAGCGGATATCATTCTTACTGCAACATATCAAGCGAGCCTTCATGGCTTCAAGAATACCCGAACTACAAACGAGAATGGCGTTGAACGAGAAGAGGCGAGGAGATACATGCTCTCCGCAGTTCGGATTGCACGAGAAGCGTTTAATGGACGACCCGGTCTGGTGGCTTTGAGCCTGGGTGCATACGGTGCTACCATGGTTCCGAGTACCGAATACAGTGGAAAATATGGTGCCATGACTGAAGATGACCTTCTCAACTTCCACCTGGAAAGGATCGTGTGCTTTGTGGACAGCGACGAGTGGACGGATATTGATCTGGTCGCGATCGAGACTCTGCCCAGAATCGACGAAGTAAGAGCGGTTAGGAGAATGATGCAACGAGTGTCCGACAAGGAATACTGGATTTCCTGTGTCTTCCCCAATGGTCAGGAGGAATTGCCTGATGGGACAGTAGTGGGAGAGTTGGTCAAGACCTTGCTGGAAGGGGAGCGGACCCCGTACGCGATTGGCATTAACTGCACAAAGGTTTCGAACATTGCCGGCTTGGTCAAGAGATTCGAAGACGCCGCCAATGCCCTGGCTCTGGACCTCCCTCGGTTGGTTATCTACCCCGACGGCGCAGGCGGGCAAGTATACGACACCAGGCTGCAGCAATGGGTGGGTGGTGATGAGGGTCAGCTATCGTGGGATCAGCAAGTATACAGCATTGTCAAGGACGTGCAGGAGAGGAGTAAATGGAAAGGAATCCTCGTGGGTGGATGCTGCAAGACCAGGCCAGAACATATCAAGAAATTGGCTGCGAAACTGCGGGAATTGAGATAGAATAATAATGGTCCGGACCGTCGGGAGACTTTCCACCTGCGTTTTCGCCCCGCGAATTCCAACGGCCTCACTAGCCTGTTCCTTGCAGATCGCGGAACGTCAAACAATCCCATGCCGAGTTTCACCTTTCGTGTTCGTCACCACTTTCCTCGCCTCAAACCACTTCGATCGCCATTGTTGTTTCTCTCCCTCTCCATGTCTTGAATCAGCTCGAGAGAGCAGCTATCCGCCTGCTCAACATGGCCTCACCGCAAACCTCGCCGCCGCCTTCCGAACGAACCCCCCTCCTCTCCGGCCCTGAAGATGACACTCGATCAAGTTACTCCGACCAGCCCAATGGCGATGTACCCGCTCCATCGTCTGAGTCGCCGGGTTCTCCAAAATCCAAAAAGCAGCCGAGATGGCCCAGCATAATAGCTCTGACTATTCTATGCCTACTGGTAGTAGCAGTATGCTTTGGTCTCACCCTGCCGTCTACAATCGAAGAATATGCGAAAGAATGCCTCGTCTTCGAGCCCACCAAGCTGTCCATCGATTCCTTTACTTCTCTCGGCATCCGTGCTAGGATTCAAGGAGACTTTTATATGGATGCTTCAAGAGTACGCAACAAGGCAACAAGGGATCTCGGCAGATTTGGGACCTGGCTGGCAAAAGAAGTCAAGAGCGGAGAATCAGAGGTCAATGTCTATCTGCCGGCGTACCACAATGTCCTCTTGGGGACAGCCACTATTCCCCCTGTCCGTGTCAACATCCGAAATCACCACTACAACCACCTCGACTTCTTCGTTGACCTGGAGCCGGGTGATCTTGACGGGGTCCGAAGAGTTGCCAAAGATTTCATGGATCGAAAACTGGAGGAAATCACCGTCGATGCCGTCGCAACTGTCTCCTTGCAGAGTGGATTGATCAAGCTGGGCAAACAGACCATTTCGCAAACTCTACAATTCAAAGGTCAGGCTGTGCCGGCGGTGCCAAAGTTTGATATTCAACAACTCCGTTTTGCCGAATATGGTCTGCCGGGGCATCCTGAGGGTGTCAAGGCCATGGCGATGGTTTCTGTCATGAATCGATATCCCGTCAAATTTGATGTGCCGCCATTGGCATTTGAGGTTCTTCTCCCAGACTGCGCGGACAACTACCTCCTATTCGGAACAGCCAGGACAGATGTTATCCATATCCTCCCAAAGCAAAATATCAGCGCGAGCGTTATCGGCTTGGTGAAGCAGTTGCCTACATCTCTGACATCTGTGTGCCCTGGCTCGAAGTCCTCCCCTTTGGACAGTCTAGTGGCCGACTACCTCGCTGGCCGCAATACCACTGTCTACATCCGTGGCGGCCAACAAGACGAGAACACTCCCGATTGGATAGGGAAGCTCTTGCACGATACCACGCTCCCGTTCTCCCTTCCGGGTCATCCCTTTGACAATCTCATCAAAAATTTCTCGTTGACGGATGTTCACTTTGCTCTGCCGGATCCGATGACAGGCTCACGGCCAGAGATATCGGCGGTTGTCCAAGTATTGGTCGGACTACCTGCTGAAATGAACGTCAATTTGGATGTTGATAAGGTCAGAGCCGACGCTGACGTTTTCTACAAAGGAGAGCTCCTCGGCAACCTTGACCTTTCCAAATGGCAAGCGGCAAATGCGACGCAGGTGGATGGTGACTTGTTGATCCAGTCCATTGTCAAAGATGCACCGCTTGAGATCAAAAACCAGGCGGTATTCTCTCAAGTAGTGCAGTCGTTGATCTTTGGGAAAGGAGCTTCGCTCGCCGTGGAAGCAACTGTTGACGTCAACACGCATACCGCTCTGGGAGAATTTGTAGTCCGCCGAATACCAGCAAAAGGCCAAATCTTCATCAAGCCCCTTCGCGCAGGGGATTTTCAAATGCCAGAAATCAAGGGTATGGAAGTCGTTGACTCGTCGGAAACCTCATTAACCATACAGGCAAGGGTTAATGTGACAAATCCCACGGACTATTCGGCCAAGATTCCCTACTGCAATGTTAGTATTTGGGTCAACAACACTCGCGTCGGTTACGCATGGGCATATTCACAACATGTCGTGCCGGGCCCCAATAATCTTACGGCAAATGCCTCATGGGAGATTGGGACCGTTGGAAGAGAATGGCTTTCTCAATATATCTCAGGGCATAATACGAGTCTAACTATCAAAAGCCATGCTGGCTCGATACCGAACTTTCCTGATCCCGGCGTGGAAATGACGGTACCGGCTCCACATATGCTGTCACATCCCCTGAGAGAAGCAACGGTACGTCGCTTAACAATGCCGAAATTTGGCTGACGGGGCGCAGATGCATATTTTTTCCTCGACTGCAACGTTCATTCTGGTTTCACCTCTCGCCTTTTATGTCACCAACATTGCAGCTGCTGCCTTTTACAACGAGTCAGAAGTGGGAACAATCGAATGGAACTATCCTTTTGCGATCGAGCCCGGAGAGAATCTAACGCCCCGGTTGCCCGTCGAATGGGGTGGGAATGCTCTGGGCACGATCAGGGAAGCTCTCGGGGGCACCTTGAAATTAGACGCAAAGGCCGATGTTGGCGTGCGGATAGGTAAGTGGCAGGAAAAGCTATGGTACGAAGGAAAAGGACTGGGAGCGAAAATTAGACTGTAGCTTTTGATATCGGTACGTCATGGTCGGAAGGGATGGAAAATCAGCTGATTGTCGATAGACACATCTCAATGCGATTTAGATTGCTTCTGTAATCACCCCTGTGGCGTTATTTCGCTCGAAAGGGAGACCGTGATCCTGGTCAGTCCCAATCCAGGCGAGAATTTTCTGTCGTGTCGGCGCAAGCTCGGCAACCTCGCGGGTACTCTACCGGTCACGTGCGCACACCGCCTCGAGGTATAATAGACGTCCACATTTCCTTCACACAGACGCCATCCCTCTCCAGGTTCAAAATGAGCTCCCAAACACCCACATACATGAAATCTCTTAATGCCCAACTCCGGAAAAGGGGCCTGGAGATGGTTCTGGAGCCCAACGCCAACCCGGCGCTGGGGAACGTCTACACTTTCCGGTCGATCAAACCGGGCATGACGAACAAGGACGTGGCGTACCGCCTGAACTACGCCGGGGAGGTGTGCAAATGGAGTGCGTCGAGGAGGAAAGCCATCGACAAGGCAGCCAAGAAGGTCAAGGCCCAGAAGGACAAGGAGGAGAGAGAGCGGAAGCGCGCGGCGAGTGAGAGCAGCGCGAGCGAGACGTCCGAATCCAGCTCCAGCTCCAGCCCTAGCTCCGCTTCAAGCTCGAGTGGAAGCGTTGAGGAGTGAGAAGTGAGGAAGACAACAAATTAGCGACTACGACTATTTTCTTCTTTGAAACACAACTTCTTCAAGAGGAAGCCAGCAGCCAGCAACTCCGGTGACAGTCCGGGTTTCGTCGTCCCTCCAATGGAGCTAGCTAGCTAGCTAGCTGTCCACGACACGGACGCGCGTGCCTGGTTGAGATCTGCTAGGAGGTTGGCGGGTCGGCGGGTTAACACGCTTCATCTCGGTTCTTCACGTAAGAAGAAGATATGAACACACTACGCACACACCCAGCCACCGTTGCTGGCTTTGGAGAACTGGATGAGCCCGCTATTGAAAAGGGGACGACGGGACGTTGCCATTCTCACACTGCAGGTCTGATGGTGATGGTGATGGTGATGCTGGATGGGAATACAAGGAAGGCTAGGACAACTACTACCATGACCATGACGAAGACGAAGACCGAAAAGTCGTCGCTTGAAAAAAGAGTACCTCCGGCTCCGGTGCTCCCCACACGGACGTGCATGCACATACATATACTCCTCCTCCTCCTGCTGCTGCTGCTGCTGCTGCTCGTGACCATCACCACCACCAGCTTCAAGCACGAGAAAGAAAGCTCAGATATTTTTGTCTCATGCTCTCGGTCTGTCTACCTGTGTGTCTGTCTTCCTCTCAAGCAAGCAAGCCTGCAGGCATCAATCAGACCGTCCACTCCGAGTGCCCATGGATGGGGCGGGGCGACAGACACCTTGGCTTTTTTTTTCATGGAATACAATACAATACGGCCACTACACTAATTTTCTGTTAAACTTATGGACATCTCGAAGAAGAAGGAGAAGTTGTAGAAAGAGGAGAAGAAGGAGAAGAAGAAGAAGAGGAAGAAGAAGAAGAAGAAGAAGAAGAAGAAGAAGATGAAGAAGAAGAAGAAGAAGAAGAAGAAGAAGAAGAAGAAGAAGAAGAAGAAGAAGAAGAAGAAGAAGAAGAAGAAGAAGAAGAAGAAGAAGAAGAAGAAGAAGAAGAAGAAGAAGAAAGCTGTGCAGAAGAAACTGGCGGCGTTGGATTGATTATAGGACAAGTAAGCCAGTGCGTGCGTCTCAATCCGCTTAGCGATTGGATTGATTCGGAGCTTGAAAAAGGAGGAGAGAAAGATGATGATGTTGCAATTTTGATGAATTCCTTAAGAAGGCTGTTCGGTCGGTCCATTTCGAATATATTTATAGCTTCAATGGTGGCAGTCACGGCATGTGACTGCACACTCAAGCTATTGATTAATTGCTGCCAACACCCACCACTCCCTCCGTTCCATTTCCCATTTCCCATTTCCCATTTCCCATCTCCCTTTTCCCTTCCCCCTTTTCCCTATACCTCGTCCACCAGGCAGACAAGGAGGGATGATAGCAATCCCTACGAAATGCTTTGCGTGTCACAAGCCACTGTGGCGTGGTGCCAGCACTCACTCACCCGCTCCCCTCTGGTATGGGAGAAGAGGACCTTTCTCTTCGGCGTTTCGCCCTGCGGGATCTGGCGAGAGCTTCTTTGACCGAGTCTGGCCATCCAAGCTGCCACTTGCCAAACATGGGATCCTCTCGAATCCCGGGCGTGGAGGCGTTCCCCGACAACATGCCCCTGACGAAGTCGATGGCACCCGGTGTCTGCCGCCACGCCTCGTAGGTGTGCTTGATAGCACTGAGCGTGTCTGCCGTGTGGCAATCGAGTCCGACGGGAGCTAACAAAGCTGCTTCTATCGACTCACGCGGCCCAAGAAGCAGGCCCCACGTTGGACAAGTGGCGCAGCCATCATACGTGAAGAGGTCCATCAACTGGGTGCGCAACTGCTCGATAACCAAGGATTGATCTGTGCTGGACATGATGGCTCTGTTGTTGCGCACGGTGTTGCAGCAGACCAGGTAGCCCCGCACTTGGTCGTGGATCTCCTGCGGCAGCTTGCTGTCACGGACGGTGTCGGAATACACTTGGAGCGCCGTCACGTCGAGCAGAAGCCGGTACTTGAGCAAGGTCAAGCAAACAAGGTGAGGCCCAAAGAAGTCGGCGAACCTTGATCGGAACGGCTCCAGAGATTCGAAGACATCCTGCGCAGATAGGTTCGGGGTCTGCGTGATCGTCTCATGCAGGGGTTTGGCTTCGATCCTGATGGCTTTCCACTTAAGGCATATGTTGTACTTATTGACGGCCAGTCACTTAAGGTAGTCGTAGCATCCCTGTTCGTTGCCGAGGCGGATATCCAAAATCGGAGCGATGGTATACATCCGCACGTTGCGTCCGCCGTGTACTTTATGCAGGGGTATGACATAGGTCTGAGCCAGCCTGTCGGCCCGGGAGGTTTCGATTTTGAGAAGGAGCATGACGAGCTGACGACAGTATCTGAAATCTTCCTTCTTCAAGTCTTGCAGTCAAGTCAGCGCATACTTTTCTAGAAAACGTGGTTGGGTGGATGGTGCCTTGCCCCTGGTCATTGATGGAATACCATCAGCGGGCCTCTGACTCTCTTCCCTTTCGAGCATTATCTGGAACTTTCGGATGACACGACAGGCCTTCTGATGACGGTCCTCGTCCGCCGTTAGGTGCTCAGGCCCACAGTAGCCTTGTAGACCGCATTCTGGGCACGAGATCGGCGTGGTCGTCTTGCCGCAGATCCGGCAGGAGTCGTACCCTACGGCGCCTGAGGCCATGTCTTCTCTTCTCTCAGGGGATGGGATGACAGTAAACAGATATGAGGACTTGAGAAAAAGGTAAGGGAGGAGGAGGAGCAAGAGGGCGCATGAGAATACAAGGCATAGAGGTGTCAAAAAAGCCAGCTAGACCTAAAACGGTTGGTCAAGCAGCCACCAACCACACACAGGACGCAGTTTATTCTCCATTCTCCACTGCGGGGATCCAAGTGCCATTTGAGGCTCAACTATATCAAACCTCACACACATACACACAGACACTGCTGATCGGTTTGCGTGGCAACACCATCAGCTCCTACATGATGTCGTCTGAGAGACACTCCAGAGGCCACCTCGCATCCCTGTGGCACTGCGGCACTGCTAACTGTCTTTTGAACAGACACGTCGTCCTCCGGACATACCATGAGCAGAAAGCAGGACTTGTCGAACTGCCGCTCCCACACGTGCTGATAGGAGAAGAAGGCTCCTTGACTTATCAATGTCTCTAATGGATTCAGATCACAAAACTCCTTGTTCTTGTTTACATTGACATGTGCCTTCGCGTGGTCACTCTACTCTGTTCCCTCCTCATGCACACAATCCGCCTGCTCCCACGACTCCAAGTACTTTGGATTGTACACAATCGAGGATTTTTATCAGTAATCGTTCTGCTAGAGCAGTGTTGAACACCGCAAGGTCCGTTGGAACACCTACCTCCAGTCCCCCATGCTTAGCAGTACATCGAGCCACCCTGCACACCCTCTGCTCCCCTTGTGGCCTGACATGCGCTAAATCTGTAACATAGTACTGAACACCTGGCCGAAAATGTCCCACAACGACTCTGACTCCGATGCCATGTCTTCGTCTTCGTTTCCTGCTTCTGGTGCAACCTCACAACCATACGACGACGAAGTCAAATACCTCTTAGCCGCTCTACGCCCAATCCCGGAACACCTTCGAGGGAGGAGAATGTCGCGGGACCTGGAGAAGGCGGCCAAACGTGCTCAAATTACGGCGGAAAATCAACACGCCATAAGCGATGCCGAGGCGGCGGGATGTCATGTTCGAGACTTTGCAACGGAGTATGCGACCAGCGTTTCTGGAGAGAAGAGCGTGATGAAGGAATAATGCTGATAGAGGTCCGCCGATCGTGAATGTGCTTATGTTCAGACTCGATTCCTGGTTGTCGGAAATGAGGGTGCGGTTCTGTTGGCATGGCATCATGTTGTCGTCGTTGGTAAAGATCATCTCAGAATGTGCAGCCCAGGGAGCTGTCAGATGGACCACACCCCGCTCAGACAGAAGCTCTCAAGCAACCAATGTTTGAGCAAGAGACAAGTTGGGTCTCGAGATTAACCAAAACAAAATTGTACAAAATCTCCCTCTTCTGCTCTTCGTGCATCCAGTTCCTCTCCCCACCAAAACGCTTCGTCTCCCGCGTCTTGCTTCGCCCAGACGGTCTGCATGACATTCAGCACGGTTGCGTACATCTGGTACCCAAACCTTTCGTACCACCGCCTACAGTATTCTTCGACAAGCACACGATGTGTTATGCTGCGTGTCTCCGACCCCGCTATGAAGACAGCAAACAGGAGCTGCTTCTGGATGAACCCGTCCGGTCGGCATGCCGCGACGTGGTCGAGGCAGACCCGTGACAGGAACGAGATTCGTGCGCTCAGCTTGCCTGGGCAGTCGGTTCGTGGCCAGCGGAATACCCTCAGGATATAGATCAACAGCGCGTACCGGAAGCCCTCGCAGCAGTGATAGCGATCGCGTTCGATGTGCATGGTTTCTTCGTCGTCCGAGTCGCAGTCAAGACCCCGGCCAGGATACGAGTACCTGGTGATGGACTGCTCGATCTCCGTGACCAAGACTGAGACCGTCTTGCTCCATTTACGGCCGGAGAGGTTGGCGAGCTGCGTCATTGGAACGAACAGCTCGCGTGGGCAGCCGTTCAGCTGGTAGAATGTCCACGGCTGGCGTCCTTCGGTTTTGAGGACAGTCTCGAGGTATGCGTAGGGCAGGACACATTCTGTTCGTGCCAAAAGGGATACCATGGCGTCCCACCTAAACTGATTAGCACAAGGCCCAGGGAACAGTGCAGGAGTGCCCAGGCTAACCAAAGAATCATCGAGACTTGGACGTTGGCTTTTCTGCTCATCGACCATCTTCTCACCCCACCATAAAGCTCCAGAAGGTGATATGCGTCGGTCAAGTGGGATCTCCATATATTGAGGGCTGAAATGGTGGCCTTCCCGTGGAATCAGATTACAATACAACGAGTTACCTGATTTGGGCACGTACCTCAAGTTGCCAGAGGGCAAGTGCCGTGTCGAGTAGGCTCAATGCATTGGTGTAGTTGCCAACCTCCGCCCATGCTCCCTGGTATAACACCATTGCTGCTCCTTTGTGGCTCAAAGCCTCCATAGGCGGGGAAGCTTGGGCAGGAGACCACAGTCTAAAGTGGCAGGAGATCGCCATAATGGCGTGCAGCAAATGCTGGGAGCCCTGAGTAGTTTCGGGTCTATAGCGGTAAGGGTTGATGCTGAAATCGCAAGTGATTGGATAATTGCAGAATTCTCGATCATCTGGAACGACCGTAGTTAGCAAACGCCCGCGTCAAACCAGACTGGCGTATGGAGCCCAAAACATACAAATGTCGAGAAGGCCAGAGAATTTATCATGCAGTGTTGGAAAGCAGACTTGGGGGATGAAAGAGAGGCTGGTTTGACTGGCATATCCAGATTCTATAAGGTGCTCAATCTCGGACGAGGATCCGCTGACATTCTCTGACGAAACGGGGCTCCATACTGCCGACGAGTCCTGAGAATGTTGGATTTGCAGACATTGTTCTAGACTTTCGCTGTCAGGAGTGTCCACGGCTTCGACTTCTGTTATCACGTCGGCGTCTAATTGTCCATGTAGCCATGGAGCACCAGAAGGAGACCGTAATTGCAGAGGATACGGCTCGATTTGTGTTTGGACTGTACTATATTCTGCAGCCACCTGGGGGTCTTGGAATGCATCTGTTGGTGCTCGAGGAGGACTTGACTCGTCAGTGTTTGTAACGTGTTTGCCGCTGTCAAAAGAGGCCTCTCTTGTCGCAATGTTCCTCGGGACATGCCGGCGCTTTCGTCTCTTTGCTGCTCTCCCAGAGACAAACATATACTGGCGAGGATTGCTAGAAGTGGACTCTTCGCCACGAGCGCTTTGATTGCTGTGAGGCAATTCTCCTTCGATAGAAGACGATGCTCCTGAGCCCCGCCTCGCTTGAGAGAGGGCCGCCTGCACTTTGGGAGGCTTATCAGCGGTGGAGTGGTTGCTGTGCCATGTTAATTGCATGGAATAGCCCTGACACAATCGCCCAGATTGCTGGCAGGTCGTGCATCGCGGCCTTTGTCTATCGCAATGCAGGCCGAACGACTCGCAATTGTGGCAGTCGGATTTTGCAAAGGCTAGAGAATTTGTCCGACGAGTCTTTGGCACGCGCGAGGCCTGCTGATAAGGAGATAAGGTGGTTGCCATCATGAAATGCCTGCCTGCGGCGTTGACGGTTGCACTTCTAACTTCTATTGTCGGCTGTGAAAAGGAAAGCAAGGTCTTACAGGACTCAATGAACCAACAAAAGACAATGCTGCAGGTTGCCGGAGATATACAGAAGAGAAAAGCAAAAGGATCCTCGACACCAGATCAAGCAACCTTATTCTAGCGACGCGTCTCCACTCACGGCTGTAGCGCCAGACGGCAGCCATTACCCGCACGTGTAAGGAATACTAATGATATTGTCGAAGATGAATTGTTTCTGCGTGAGAAATCAAGCCCTAAAAACTGTGGCCAGGGCTATTGCATGGCCAGGGGAGCTCTGCGCTCGACCTAAACAATATTCTACATCCCCTAAAATTCCCTTCTATGCCTTCTTGGCCTCAGAGATTGAGCGCTGTCTCAGTGCTTCAATGATCTCATTGTCATCCGCAACAGCAATCCCTTCGATGGTTCGATGACCAAGAAGCTCGTCATGACGTGCAGCTTGAAGGAGTTCAAAGTTGATATTTGGCCCTTTGAAAACATATCGCTGGTGGGTAAACCATGCAACGAGAAGGAACGAAACCAAGCCAACGGTGACCACGCTGCCGTCTTGTTAGTAGCCCTTCTGCTAAGTGATGTTGTTACATACCTGATCCAGTTCATGTTCTCGAGTGTGACGGGATACGACACGGGAATGCAGTAGATAATGTCGATGAAGACCACCCAGACGCAAGCAAGCACATTCAGCGGAAGACCAAACTTCCCCAAGTCCAAAGCCCTGGGAGGAAGGATCTTGTCGCGTCCACGCCAGGCCAGAATTCCTTGAGGAATCACATATGATGTCGTCATAAAAACGATGCAAGCCCCTACCATGGAAGAAAATGCGGCCGACGAACCCAGGAAGATCAGGCCGTATAGCTAGGGATATAATCAGTAAATGAGAAACCGGTTGCGAGATTCTCACCCACCGAGACGAGTGTCGCTTGTAAGCATGCCGCATTGAGTGGCATCTGCCATCTGGGGTGGACTTGCTTCCAGTACCTCGAGAGAGGGAAACAGTTGTCTCTTGATGCTGACCACATTTGGCGACTTGCGCTGGTGATGTTGGCAGTAGCGCAACCGAAGAAGCAGATCGCAAATGCCACCATGAGGACTGAGGTGGCGGCTTTGCTGCCTGTAGCTTGATAGTATACTTCGATAAGAGGGAGTCCGGTCGGGGTGGAGATGACACTGTTAAAGTCGGTAATCACAAATGATAGTGAGATAGAGTAAGGAAAAGCTGTACCTCGTCAGCACCATTATCCAGCCACGTACATGCATAACTTACCAGTAATAAATCCCATCAGCACGGGATACATCTAGAATTGTCAGTGGATTCACTCTTCCTGCTCGGGTAAGTTTGCTCACAATGACTTTCGGTACATTGACGGTCGGGTTCGGGATTTCTTCGCATCTACACATTGCTGTCAACTCTTGGCTCCCAGTATCGCGTCAACAGCGGCAATTATGCCTCCATCGACGCCAGAATCCTGCAAATACTTACAAATGCGCGCCACAGTCTACACCAAGGAAGCCATAGAGTGAGTTCACGATCCCAAATAGGAAGGCTAACCCGTCATTCGGCCAACCTGTCGAATTGGTGGTATCCGTGAAGACAAATTTGGCAGATTGAAAGTTGGGCGCGGCACACGCCAAAATGGTGATCATTGTGACCGCCAGGGACGTTGCTGAGAAGTAAACTGTTCGCACATTAGTGAAGAGGTAGGCAATCCCATGAGAGACAAACATACGAATGAACTTGTTCCACATAGGAAGCCATCTGGTCGCAAACACGTTCAGTGCAACGGCTAACCAGGTGACCACCACGAAAACCAACCAGATATGCCATCTTTGGATAACATAGTCTGGATGATTGAGAACAGCAATTCCAGTAATCATTGCCGCAATGAAATTTGTGACGCTGGCGAGCCCCAGCCACCATCCTAATGTGCTGATACCCGCAGATCTGGCGTGGCTTAGTAGGGGCTAACATAAGCAGATTCTCGACTTACATGTAGGAAGCAAATGGCCCCCATTCAGGAGAAGAGACCACAAAAGACCAGTAGTACTGAGCACCAGCGACAGGAAACGCGCTGGACAGCTCGGCCATGCCGAATCCTGTGACTGCTGTCATAAATGCAGCGATGATCAGAGTCCAGATGGAACCCGCAGACGAGGCTTCGATGAAGCCGGTACCGAAAGCACTGCCAAAGCCGTTCCAGGTTGCAAGGAGGGCATAAGACATTGATATGAGGGAGAGGAGGGAAAATCGTCGTGGCATCGCTCGGGTATAACCCTGAGCCCGCAACTCGAGGTCATCAATGTCGATCTGAGCATTTTTGCGGTCTGCCGTGGTGGAGGAAGTTGCCATCCTGAGGCACTTTGTGACGGAGTCTGGTCAAAGGGAAGTGAAGAAGTTGTCGCCGCTCACGAGGCGGCTGCTGTCCTTTCATGATATGTATCTGTTCGTTATACGAACGTGCACTGTCGACTTGATAAGCTAGGGGTTGGCCTCGATTGCCTCTCTAGGCATGAAAGATAAATCCCTGAAAGTCCAGACCCTTGCGATAGGCTGACACAGATACACCACGCACCAGCCTCAGCTAGTAAGTGGTCCAATTTGAGGTTTGTCTAAACTTTCGAGGTTAGTATAGCTGGCCAAGAACGATAACGCTCAATTGGGCAAGTGAGTTTGTGGAGATGACCGACTTCAACCGGCCTCTGAGATAAGGATCTTGGAGAGCCACAATTTCCCGTTCAGGTAGGAAAGTTATTCGGGGGATGCAATTATAATATACAGGCTTGTGAGGAAATGGGGGGTGGGTTCAAGAGCATTGTAATGAAAAGGAGAGAATGGCAACAACAATAATCACGACCGCCACGGCGGAAAGGGTTTTCCTCCCAATCAAAGTGGAGAGCCTTCCACCCGTCCTCACCTTCGAGGCTGATGCCGATCCAGCAGATGTGATAAAAGCGCTCAAAATCAGTGGCGGATGTAGGGTCAAAGGGGCCGTTGATAAGAAGATCCTTGCCCAGGTGGAAAGGGAGTTGCGCCCACATATCGAGGCGGATGTTGTGTGGGAGGGAGACTTCTTTCCGATCCAAACTCGGAGGGTTGAGGGCATGATCGGCAAAAGTCCAATCTGTGCCGAGCATATCATCAACCATCCACTCTATCAGGCTGTGTGCAAGGAGTTCCTGACAACCAAGAACTGGTATTGGAGTGGTCAAAAGAAAATCTTTGCAACGTCGGATCCTCAGCTCAACAATTCGATTTGTTTCTCCATCGGACCGGGAGCATGGGACCAACCTCTCCACAGGGACAGCTGGTGTCACCAGACTTATGAGAAAGAAGTGGCAGTATATCCTGACAATTATGATCGAGATGTTGGCATCGGCTGGTTCATTGCTGGTAAACCTGCGACTCGAGAAAATGGTGCGACAAGATTTATCCCCGGCAGTCATCTCTGGTCCAAGGACCGACCACCTCAGGAGGAACTTGCTGTACACGCCGAGTTAGAACCAGGGGTAAGTCCCGTTGCCATCCTGAATCCCGACGCTCGTGACACTGACGGTGTGTGCAGGACGCCTTTATGATGTTGAGTTCATGTTATCACGGTGGTTCTGCCAACAAGACGACAGATCAGGAACGGTTGCTCTTCAGGTAAGGTCATTGAGCCATTCACATGAAACAGGAAGGCCTGACTACTTTAGTTGCTTCATGACCAAGGGCTGGCTGCGGCAGGAAGAAAACCGTGAGTTCCTCTCCCTTTTCGGTAAAATTGAAGACTGTGACACATGCTAACACGCTGGCCCAGAATACCTGGCCATCTCACGGGAGGTGGTGCTTAAGATGCCTGTCCATATCCAACAGCTGATGGGTTACAAGCTGAGCCAGCCGTTCTGTGGGTGGGTGGAAAGTGATGATCCGCGTGTTGTGCTGGACCCATCGTTAAAGGACGACCCGTCAGGACATTATGACGAAGATAAAGACGAGCATTAATCCTCTGAATATCTCGGTAGGCCGCGCGGCCAGGTGTGTAGATGTGTTTGCCGTGGTTGCACCGGTTAGTTCTCTGTAGCACCACCGCAGTAAGTCCGACTTGTTCTCCCGGTATTATTGGTGCCACATGTCTCCTGTCTAGTGTCATCGTGTCCAGTGCTCAAAGTGGGAGGTTTGTTCCAGCTGTGAGAAGAGGACCGAAAGAAAAAAGATCAAACTTATTTACCGTTTGGGCTATGCCTTGGATTGTGTCAACTTAACGTAGAGCCAAGGCGCTAATATCCTTGCTCACAGCCACTTTTGAATACACATTTGACGCTAATAATTATAGCGCATTTTGTGGCCTTGGCATCACGACGAACCACAGGTTTCACGTGTCTTACCAGGACCACCATTCCATCCTGACCTGGCATTGAACCTGGAACTGTCTGGCATGCCCCTTGTCACAGGCGAATGATCCATTCAGCTCAGCACATTCTTTAGACGACGTCTGGATGCGCCAGACAAGCTTCAATATGGGCCCCCAAAGAACCCGGTCGTTGTTGGTTCGCCCTTTCCGCCGGGGTTGGCACAAGGAAGCGGAGGACATCACACTGCAGTGCTGGAGCTCAGTCGAGGAGTATAAGAAGCACGTCACTTGCCAAAAGGCCCAGCTGCTCAGCCACTTGTCCATGACGCGCCCTCCACATACGGAAACGACATGGCCGACAAGGGCCCCTCTACCGCGACACCGCGGCTCGAACTCTCCCTGCAGACAGCCGAGCAGTCGGTGGACGATGAGCCGACACTGTGGAAGTCCATAAGAAAGTGGCCCAAGATCGTGGGGTACTCCCTTGGTTTGACGTCGGCCATATTGCTCAATGGATTTGACACGTCGATAGTGGGCAACCTCTCAGCGATACCAGCGTTTCAGTGAGCCTGCCTTGTCCTTGGAATCGATTTCGTCGCCAGAGCTAATATTATGGCCCTCAGGGAAGACTATGGCCAAGAATTAGATCACCGCTTCATCATCCCCTCGATGTGGGTGGGGCTTTGGAATTCTGTCGGCACGCTTGGTGCTATGATCGGCAGTATCATCGCTGGCTGGCTTCAAGACCATGTTGGGCGACGTCCGACACTTGCTCTGGGAAGCCTCTTGTCGGCCGCAGGAGTAGCTACTATATATTGTTCGCATTTATTCGAGGCATTGGACTCGCGGAGGAGCGCCTTTTTGGCAGCCAAACTCATCCAGGGGGTGGCTGTTGGAACACTCCTCTGTTCCACACAAACATATCTCTCAGAAATCCTCCCACTGACATTGAGAGCAACGGTCATGGCCTTTTTCCCGGTGTTCACGCTGCTAGGGCAACTGGTTGGTGCAGTCATCGTCTATACATCCTTGAAATATCCGGATAACCAGCCCTATACTACCCCGATAATTGCACAATGGCCATTTTCGGCTGTGCCTTTCATCCTAGCTCTGCTGGTGCCGGAGAGTCCGACTTACCTGCTCCGGAAGAAGGCATACGACAAGGCATTGAAAGCTCAACAGCGCCTCGACAGTTCGAGAACCGAGCCGCAGGAGAATATCGACAGCCTGCTGCTCTCGTTACAGAAAGAGGAAGCACAGTCCAGACACGATCGAGCAACATATATGGAATGCTTGCAGGGCACAAATAGGCGGCGTACACTGATAGTCACCCTGGCAAATATGCTGCCTCAGCTTTTTGGGCTTTCCTTGCTCGGTGATGCCAGCTATTTCATCCAGATCATCGGAATGAGCGCACAAAATGCTCTTCTATTCCTTCAACTTGGCGTTGGCCTAGGGTTGCTGGCCAATATTGTCAGCATGTGGCTTGTCACAAAGGTTGGACGGCGAGTCCTCGGCTTGACGACGTTGACCGTTAGCACAGTCCTCTGGCTGGGTATGGGAATCGCCGGGTGTTTTGACGGTGTTGTCGTGATATGGTATCAGATCTCCCCTGTTGAGGTAAACCGACCTGCTGATCTCTTTGCAGGTACGCGGCGGTCACCATGATGGCAGTAGTCGTGGTCGTTGGTGTTGGAATATGGCCGGTCTCGGTCGTCGTTGGCGCCGAAACCTCGTCTCTTCGGCTCCGTGCAAAGACCCAAGGCATCGGTTGGTTCTCAGGAGCCTTAGCGCAGGGAGTCTTTGGGATCAGTCTCCCTTATGTGTACAACGTCGATCAGGGTGACCTAAGGGCCAAGGCGGGATTTATCATCGCAGGGTTCTCGGCTATCGCGTGTGTGCTGACCTGGCTCTTCGTTCCAGAAATGAAGGATCGCAATGCCGCAGAAATCGATGCAATGTTCGAGCACCGATTACCCGCGAGGAAATTCAAAACCTGGCAAGGTACAATTTCCGAGGTTGTCACGGATGGTTCCTTCGAGTCCCAACCACGGTCGGCATAGAACGAATCAATTCCAGGAGCGTTTTCTCTCATAATATTTGGGCAGGTCAGCACACGTCGATCCCTCCAGCCTTGCCTTTCACCTAGCGTGCTCGTGCAGTCGGTGGGGCCTCTGGATAGTGCATTGCTGACAACCTCACGGACAGACTGGAGGCACCAGTGGATGTCGTGCAACCCTCGCTGTCTCGCAATGAAGGACCATAGACTTGCACCTGGGAAGCCATTGTACCAAGAACTCTAGGGCTTTCTGTGCATCAGGGACAGGTCGATTCCCGGATCTGCATCTCGTCAAACCTCGGCAAGCGCTATAGCCGGCATTGCTATTAAACAATGCCTCCCGGTTAAGTCCACTCCAGACCCCTCACTCCGCTTCCTCCGCTCACATCCGTCATCGTGTCCTCGTACGAAAGACTGGTGGAGAAGACCACCCTGACCACTGTCCGCTGACCTTGGCGTGAGAATGGATCTCTGGCAGCAAATCAGAAACACCAGGCAAGAACAGAGCATTGACGCTGCTTCAAGACTTGTCCCGCGGATAGAAGGTGTGGCAGGGCCTCCCGTCCCTTGATTACCATAAGAGGGACCCCTTCTTCCCTCTTGCTGTACCACTACTCCTGACTCGACCCGTCCCATACAATCTCTCTTTGTCCCGCAAAACAAGATGACGGATACAAACCCATCAATGGGCGCCATCGTCCACTGCGATGCTCTCGTAGTCGGAGCCGGATTCAGCGGCATATCCATGCTATACCGTCTCCGCAAGGCAGGTTTCAATGCCAAGGTGTTTGAGTCTGGAGGCGACTTTGGCGGGGTCTGGTACTGGAACCGTTACCCCGGAGCCCGCGTGGACTCCGAGTGGCCCTACTATCAATTGAATATCCCTGAAGTCTGGCGCGACTGGGAGTTCAGCGAGAAGTTCCCCGGTCACAAGGAGATCCGGGCGTACTGCGCGCATATCGACAAGGTACTCAACCTCCGCAAGGACGTGCAATTCAATGCGCACGTGGTCGATGCTCGATGGAATCCGAGCGACGAGAAGTGGACGGTCAAGACCGAACAGGGCCACATTGCACAGAGCAAGTACTTGATTCTGTGCACAGGCTTGCTGCACCGGAGACATATCCCGGACTTCCCTGGCTTGACGGACTACAAGGGGGTCCTGCACCACACCGGCTTCTGGCCAGAAGACATGAGCGTGAAGGGAAAGAAAGTGGGCCTTATTGGAGCCGGCGCCACCGCTGTGCAAGTCGTGCAAGAATTGGCCAAGGAAGCCGACCAGCTCACCGTCTTCATGCGACGGCCGAGTCTGTGCTTGCCCATGGGCCAACGCCCGCTCAGCCCCGCAGAGCAAAAGGGCTGGAAATCCTATTTCCAGGCTCTGTTCCGCGAAGGCCGTAAGTCGAGGGCTGGGTTTCCCGGCTCAACCGAGCCATGCGGTGTGCTTGATGTATCTGACGAGGAACGCGAGCGGCACTTTGAAGAGATTTGGGAGAGAGGCGGCTTCAACTTCCTCATGACGAACTACAACGACGTCGTGCTGAGCAAAGAAGCTAACCAGAAAGTGTATGACTTCTGGGCGAAGAAGATGAGGCAGAGGATCAAGGACCCGAGGAAGCAAGAGCTGATGGTCCCGGTCAAGGCACCTTATCACTTCGGCACCAAGAGAAGCCCTCTGGAGCAGGACTACTACGAGATGCTCGATCGCCCGAATGTCGACATCATCAACATGAATGAGAACCCTCTCAAAACGTTCAATGCCACCGGCGTGCTGATGGAGGACGGTACGCAGCATGATTTCGACGTCATGGTTCTTGCGACGGGATTCGACTCCTTTTCTGGATCGTAAGTTATTGGACTTTGTTGTCGCTGATCATCACTAAGCTGTGACCAGGTTGACACAGATGGGATTGAAAAACAAGGACGGCGTCGATATCAAAGATGTCTGGAAAGACGGCATTCGCACCTACCTGGGGATGACCATCAACGGCTTCCCCAACCTGTTTATGGTTTACACACCTCACGGTACGTCTTATTCCCCTCTCTTCTCACTCATCCATTTTCTTAGGGACTCAGTGCTGACTTACCTCCTCATTTAGCTCCGACCGCGTTGTCCAACGGGCCCACCATCATCGAAGCACAGAGCGACTTCATCCTGTCGGCAATCGAGAAGCTGGAGAAGGAAGGCGCTGGGACGATCGAGCCAAACCGCGACGCCGAGGACTCGTGGGACAGCATGATCGACGCCATGAACCAGCACACGCTCTTCCCACTCACCAACAGCTGGTGGAACGGGGCCAACATTCCCGGCAAGAAGGTCCAGATCCTGACCCACCCGGGCGGCATCCAGATGTACGAGGAACAGTGCCGCGACACCCTTCCCGACTGGAAGGGCTTCACGGTCGTGCACCACCACAAGGATGAGAGGGAGGAGAAGAGCAACGGCGTTGTGGCGAGTGAGAAGGTCGTGCCGACGGAGAAGACGGTCGAGATTGCGGTACCGGTCTAAGCTTGTCATCCAGGAGGAGAAGGAGGAGACGCTGAGATGTTTTAGAAGGAGAGTGCTAGACACCTAGCTAGATGAAGACGAAGAGGATTGAGAAGACAATTTGAAATTCAAGCTCGGGACAAACAGTAAACCACCCAGACATTATCAATCGAATGCAGCTTTTCTCCAGCTCACTTATCATATCGTTGAGAGATTTGAATAGATTTTTTCTACTATAAATGACGCCCTTCTCTTCGCTTGTTTCATCTCCTTCCCCTCTCCTCTCGCCTGGTAGGCCCGAGAGGGCCGCAGAAACACGAAACTTGGGTCGAATACATGGATATCGATACATATCTATATATATAACTATATATATATGCGAACCTACCAAATAACCACCATCCTAACCTCGACGCTCCTACGAAGTCTCTCGCCTTCTTGGTCCGGAAGCGCAAAGGCACTGTGCGCCACCCACTCGGCGACCTCATTGCCGTCGCGGCGATGCGCCTCGCTGTCGAACAGCTTGAGGGCGTAGACCTCCTCTGGTTGTTGCTGGCTGATATAGAACCAGCGATGCTGGCTGCCGTCACGGGGCGCCACGGCCAGCATGTTCTCGCTGCGGAACTCGGGCTCAAAGCCCGGCCGGGACTTGTAGACGCGCTGCAGCGCGACATACGGAGTCTTCCCGTCCTCCCCCTCCTGCTCCTCCTCCTCCCGCCGCCGCCGCGGCAGCAGTGTGCGCGGGTCCATGAGCCCCAGCGGGTCGGCGGCCACGGGCTCCAGCGGCCGCCACACGCTGAGCATGGCCCAGCGGGGACCCGTGTAGTTCTCCCCGCTCCACTGCCACTGGTCGGTGATGCCCTGGAGCCGCATGGCGGCGTCTTCGGCGGCGATGATCTCGGCGCGCAGGGCGAAGAACTTGTCCCGCTCGGCCGCGCTCGTGCCGGCCATGTTGTTGTTGTCGGCGAAGAAGGTCGGCGCCACCGCGCGCAGCTGCGCCCGCGCTCCTGCCGCCGTGTAGTCGCCGTGCACGATGAAGAACGGCTGCATGCTCTGCTGCGTGAAGCGCGGGTGCTTGGGGTCGAACCCGGTCGGGGCGGTCTGCTTGATGTCTCGCACCGTGGTGTTGATGGCGGCCGCGCAGCGCACGCCCAGTTGCGCTTTGAGCAGGGACACCAGTTCGGGCCAGTACGTCCCGTTGACCAGGTCCGTGTCGTGGAAATCCGGGATCGAGTCGCGCTGCGGGGGCAGTAGGGCCGACGAGTGTCTCATGACTTTGAACCCGTGCGTATTGAGATCGAAGTTCGAGAGTCCGTAGGGGCGAATGTCGGTGACGGGACACTCTACGCTTCGGAGCTCGGTCGATGAGCCGTTGAAGATATGCAGGATCTCGGACTCTTTCGGCGCCGACGTGCTGCCCCAGTAGTTGAACGAGGCGGTCAGCGTGTCCTTGTCCTTGAGGGCGATAGAGGACGAAGGATGTGAATTAGTAGAGGTGGTGGTGGCAGTGGTGGTAGTCGACATAGTGACCGTTCTCACTATTGATGGTCTGAGAGAATTCCGTAGAGAAGAGCAATGTCCTAGCTAGCGGTTCTGTGACTTTTGACTTGAAAGTGATGCTTCTGATTTTTCTTAATTCTTGGGTCGTCAGTAGAAGTCGGAAACATGAACAATGCTGACGTCGAGGAGGTCCAAGTAGTCCGTCGTAGTCAGCTCATTGCTGGTCCACAGACCTTTATAAAATGGCTCACCACATGAGCCGCTCCTTTAAGGCGGCAGCTGCAAGGGACCAGGCCGTTGGGACGCCTGAGGGATGCAGAGAAGGGATGGGCTTCTTGCGAGGTGGTCTGTGTTCTGTAGTTTGCATATGTATATAAACGCTGGAGAGTGGGTGAAGGGAGGGCGTGAAACACATATAGACATACCCAGTAGATATCCAGGACATCACAACCCCCGGTGTTCCTTTATGTCATATGTCCTCCGTCCCGGGCACAGACTGACTCGTCGACTGACTTACGTATACCGTCTCGTACATAGCCATAGAAAAGAACGCGACAACAGGGGAGGATGGGAGGCCTGAAGATCCCTCGTGCTTCTTTCGTCTTGTCGCTGTCGCCGTATCTGTTCGTCACCATAGCTTTTCGCTTCTCTCCACTAAATATCGGCACGCACAGCCGCGTCTCGTTTGATGGGCGCCGATCGTCCCAACCTCTCGTGCCTTTATGACGTATGCACGTATGCGTCCAACTTGTTGTCGTTGTTGTTCTTGCTGTAACTAGGAACCACGGATGGTATAGTATATGTCTCAAGGGTATATCGCATTATTTAGTTAGTTCTCGATCATCCCGTTAAGCTGCAAGGCAGAGCCCTTCATGGTCGATTTGGTGCTGTTCTTCCATGTCACATATGAGAGCAACAGGCTCTATTTCTCCGAATACGATGGACGGGAGTGTCTCTCTCCAACCTCGCAGGATCCGAGCATCTGAGTCAGCTCAACGGCAGGCACGAGGAAGAAACTTCCACTGTGGGGGAATATGGGACGTGTAATAATCACTGGTAAAGAGATGGAGGTGGACCTCGTCTTTCGGATTCACTTTCACGTTGGACGCCGAGTCGTGCTCCGGTCAAGTGAGACGCCAGACAAAGATGGTTGGTGTAGTATGTATAGAGATAGAGGGATACATTTGATGTCCTTCCACTAACTCACTGCCAAACAATAACAGTTGACTTGTCGAGTGCATGCAATGGAATGTTTTATTGTGCATCATACACTTGGTATCTCTTCAACTCATGATTGAAACTGTTCTCTCAGGCGTGGCCTCCCTTGCCGCCCATGTTCTCAAAACCCCTCAACCAACAAGGCAGCTCGTCTCACTCTGACTACAGAGCTCCGGTCGTCTCGTCCCGAAACTTCTTCGTTCCCAACGAGCTCGTGTCGTAGCCGTGCTCCTCCAAGTATCGCCGGAATCTCTCGTCTTCCTCCTCGATCATGCCCTGGCCAACGTTCGGCAGCCCCACAAACGCCACAACCGCGCTGAAGATGCACAGACTGCTGCTGACCCAAAAGGGATACTGGCCCTGCTTGACCGTGTCGTCGCCGGCAGCATCAATTAGAAGAGGAAACACATAAGTGCCGACAAAGGCGCCCACTTTTCCCCAAGCCGCCGCAATACCGTAGAACTGTCCGCGGATCGGGGTGGAAGAGAGTTTGGATGCGAATAGGCCAATGTTGTCGCCGGGTCCAACTTCACCCAAGGCCATGAAGATACCGGTCAGGATGATGAACCCGGCAACCCGTGAAGGATGGTTCAGCTCCGAATAGGCGCCCGTCATGGCGAAACCAACGATACCTTGCAACAAAACACCCGAGATGAGACACCACTTGGGACCAATCCAGTCCGCTAGGAAGGCACCAAGGAGGGAACCTGGAATCCAGAAACTGCAATTATCTGTCAGTCTGGTTTCTGAACCTGAGCCAGAATACGCCGTCGCTGATCGATGCGGCCGGAGACACAGTCTCCAACCAGGGCAGCTCACCTGTTGATGGCTGTAGCCATCCCGAAATTCTTCCACAGAGGTGCATTTGTGGGGAGGATAAAGACCAGCCATGACGACGCAAAGATGCCAAAGGAATAGGCGGAGAAGTTCTACTACCTGGTTAGAACAGACCTCGATGACAGACACTATGACAAGACTCACATAAACAAACCAGATGACCGAAATGACTGTACATCTCCACCAATAGAACTTGACAATCAGCCACACCGGAAACTTGTGCATCTTGTTGCGATTATACTGTTCCGGTTCTTGAAGTTTTATTCTGAGGGACGTCAGCAACAATGGTGCCATCACATCTAACCAGGGACAGCTTACCGGAGGTAGAGCAGACTCAGTGGCGGAATGGCCCCTAATGCTAGACAGATCCGCCACGCCGCACGCAAGTGGTTTTCGCCAGTCGCAAGCACCACAATCATAGGGACGAATGCACTGATGACAAAACCCAGATCAATCTGAAAGTCGGTAGCGAGAATAAACCAGCGGTTGCGATGGCCTTTCTTGAGTTCGCCGGTCGATTCGGCCGCGCCAACCGACCCGGCAGGGCTTGATGGTGTCAGTACAACGAAAAGCACGACGGGAACAGAGAGCCTTACTATTCTCCTCCAATACCCAGGCCGATCAGAAAACGATAGGCCGACAGAGCAGCGAAGAGACCTTGGGTGCTGCCACCTGCTCCATAGGCGCCGGCGCAGAGGATTGAAAAGATTATGAGGACTATGCACTTCCGTTAGCACCGGGGTTTGCGGGCGGTTAGAGTCGTACTGATGGTGGAAATGAGCAACGTATTACGGCGAGACCAATGGTCGCTCAGAATCCCAAAGAACAGATGTCCAACCACGGTGCCCGCAAAGGCAATACTAGGGACAGCACTCTTGTACGATGACTTGGTGTACTGATCACCATAAATGAGCTGCAGCATCGTCGACACTGAGCCGATAACACCGTTCAGATAGCCGTCGGAGAAGAGCCCAGCTCCACAAGCTATTACTGGCCAAGATCGCTCCCATCTCCCCTTTGGCACTTCGGCGAGAGGTGCGGCGTGGGCAGCGACGTCCCGTTCTTGGTCTGCATCGTAGTCGTGCGAGGCAGGGAGCTTCGTCTCCTGGACCTGCTTCTCATACTCCATCTCGTCAAGTTACTGTTCCGGACGATTGGGGGAGTCTGCAATCAAAATCGTCGAGGGACATCGAGCGTGGGAAACTGGAGCTGACGGACCTCCATTTCAGGTGTTGCGCCAGCCTGCATTATATTGTCCCTTTGAGATAAAATCGACAGTCCAAGCGACGAGTCTCGCCAGCGCCCCATTCATGCTGCAGAGATTTTCCCGAGATAGCTTGATGGCAGCATTGAGTCGCATTGAACCGAAAGAGGAAGGAATACTGCATGGTGGATTGAGGTTCGTCAGCCAATCATGTTGAGCGGTTAAAGCACATTGTGCAATGGACGGCAATGCCACGAACGACGAGTTCGCCTGCGGCAATTAGACTCTGGTCTGATGGGCCCAATGCTCATGATAAGAAGATTCTCACGCTGTGAAGACGGCGTCGGAACCGTTGAAACGCTCCTCAAATGCATCCCACACGTGGCATATACTATGGGCTAAGCGGCCACGTCTCACCACAATTTTTGCCTCTGCGGCAAGACTCGATAATGTAGGGTAAGGGAATCTCATTCTAGAACCAGCCAGGCCACGGGTTCGACCGACGGCTGATCTTGGGTCAAGGCTACTGGATGCCGTTCATCATTGCTCGGGACATCTGTCTTCACAATACTGCAGAAGAAACATCTCCAGCTTCTCACTCTCAGTCGTAGTAGTTCTGGACTTTCATCCCCTTGAAGTTGAAAGAGGTCCCTTCGCGCTTTTCTATCACTTTCTTGTAATGCACATCTTTGACGCGCGCTCGCACATATTCGGTTCCTGTCGGGACTGACTTGTTCGGGTTCTTGTCCTCGTCCGATAGAAGGCCAAGACGCTCCAGGAGAGGTGACGGGACGGTCCTCATGGGAGTCCTCGCTCCAGGGCGACTGAAATAGAGCAAGCCTAGACGAGGGATGTGCATTTGATCTTTCGGAGGCGTGACAACCCTGTGTACTGTTGATTTGATGAAGCCTGTTCTTTCATTTAGCCATCCTGAATTTCCTGATCATCGGTCGCGTCTTACCATTTGTGAGGAAAGACAACGTGTCGGCGGCGTTACACGTGATGCCTCCTTCAACAGGCTTTACCCACTTCCATTGCCCTTCAGGCGTCCGGATCTGTAGGCCTGCGACGTGCTGTGAGAACAGTAAAGTGAGGCTGCCAAAGTCTGTATGGCCCCCTTTGGTATACGCTTGAGCTCTGTCCCATTCGTCCTGAGTTCTCACATTGTAGATCATATATCGAAGGTGGTCATCGGACTCTCCATCGTAGGCATGTGCGTCCACGAAGTAATTCTCCGGGAGTTCAAGAATGATGGCAATGAGCACATATAGCTTTCGAAGGACCTTGTCCCACAATTCGCGATGGAATGCCGAAATCTCCTCCCAATTCTCACGGACAATTTGGTGCTTCGGCACATTCTCGTAGATAGGAATGGGCTTTGGGATATTGAGCTGCACAGGATGAGCTTGCTGAGTGTCAATTGAAGTAAGGAACACACCATCTCGACGTTCTCCTTGACGCCACTATCTCCAACCCAGCGCGAGTTCTCCCTGTAGCCAAAGTACTCTCCTTCCGCAAAGTTACATGGGAAGAAACGCTTTTCTTCGACTGGTTGCTTGAAAAAAGTGTTGCCGAAGCTGAACTGGCGGAGCACCTTGCTATCGTCGATGCCACTGTTAACCACCGTCCAGAAGCCGACTCTCGTTACGGCATCATAAAGTTGTTTGGCCAACGATTGTTTGCCTCCTTCCTCATCAAAACGGGATAGGTCGATTGTTGTAAGTGGAGCCCAATCAAGGTCCTCTTTCGTATACTGTGGCCGGTTCCACGGCTTGATCAGTATCTGTTTGGCTGGCTGTGGCGCCGATTCAGTGTCGGTGGCAGATGGCGCCATTTTCGGGTCTGTGTTGCTCTGTCACGTTAAGAGGAGTATCTTGGTTCACAGAGCCGTCAGACCTTTCAGTCAGGTGGTGTGGGCGGTGGTGCTTAAAAAGGCAGAGGCACCATCGTGCCTCTTGAGATGCGGGGTTGCAGTGGTTAGTCCAGCGTGCTCCTTGTCCGATCTCTCACCAAAGGCTGAGACGATTGCGTGCTTGCGTCTCAGAAACGCGTGCTACAAGCCCGGACCAGCGAATGACCGCGATACGGTCCCCCAAGATCGTCTAGGACTTCTCCAAAGACCCCTCCTCTCCGCCTGGGATGAGCAGGGCATTCTCTTGGGGCTGCATCGCCTCGCTGCAAGCCGAGGTTCATTTCAAGGAAGGTGTCGACTTGTCAGGGTCAAGTTACAAAGAAGGAGGGGAAATGAATAGTCCAGTCAGAAGAATGAGCGGTACAATTTGCCAAGGAAATGGCAGTCGTATTTGTCGTGTTTGGGATGTTTGCCGGATTTGCACCGTTTGGAGGTCCACTGTTCCATTCTGATTCCCATCTTACTTCGTCCACAGCACTGCTCCGCCCTCGACATTATTCTGGCCCAACGGATTTTTCTTGCCATCCTTGTCGGCAGTCTTGGTCGTATACCCTACTATCTCATTGAATCCGACCTTGCGGTAGAACTCTTCCTTGCGATGCGCCGCGACCACGCAGACGGGAAGGTCCCCTGACGGGTCTTTCTTCGCTCTCAACAGTCCATCCTCGACGAGCTCTCGACCATACCCTTTACCCTGATGGCTGGGGTGCACAGTGAGAACCTCCAATGACCAGCGTATCTGGCGATGCGGCGCACTGAAAAAGTGAGCGCAGAAGGGGAGTATGCGAGGCACGAAGTTCCAAAGAGTCAAAGGGTCGGGATCTTTTGCCGTTGGCTGAACTGCCGCTTTGTTGGGCCAGAAATATCGTCGCACGCTGTAGAACGTCGACACGGTAGGTTTGATCAAGAGACCTGGAATGGAAGAGCTCAGAGGACATGCTTTGTCAGTGGGAAAGATACGAGACTCACGAGGGTCCCACCGTCCCCAAGCCCCATGTACATGCTCCCATCCTTTTCCCACCCGCTCCCACAGCGCGAAGCCCGTGACCATCTCGCTTCCAATCTGTTTCGGTGCTCCACTGGCCAGCAAGGCGCTTCCTTCATCCTGATCTTGTCCCATATCTCCTGGGCTGGCCTGATACGACACCATAAGGATTTGGCCGAAGTCGTACCATGCCAGCGAAAGCCTCTCTCTGGCAGCCTCTACAAAATCGTCTGGGTGCTGCTCTGAGTGAGGGAATAGCAACCGGAACAATGAGTCGTTCTGGAACGCTGCAGCGTATATCTCCGCCATCGCAGGTATATCGGACCTGGTGGCCGGGCGGACCGGCATGATGGGAGAGAGGAGACGGTCACCAGAAGGTTTGAGCCTATGCTGGGGCTAAACAAACTTATACCCTCGTGACAACGTCGTATACTTGGGAAGTACTCGGTCTCGACCTTTTCTCTGCCACGTCAAGAGTTATGGACTGCGAGAACCTGTGGTCTGGAGGGAAGTGTAAGGAGACCGCGTGCGTTGGTTACCACGTTGACATATCGCATCTTCGTCACCATTGCCCGCGGGGTCTCTTTATACTTCGTGTTAGAATATAACGCCACACCCTTCACCAAGCGTGTCCGAAAGCTACCTAGGTACCTTCCACGTAAGATCTATTTACGACGTAGGAGCCGCGCTAGCGAATCGGTTCTTCCATAGAAAGATCTAGTGCAATACCTTAAGAAGGGGAGACCTGCTTGTGGGATTGTCTGACGGCTGACAGAAATCCTATTGTTACATGACAATACTACGGTCCCATTCCCCCCAAAGGAAAAAAATTATGAAACCCCCCTGGCAGAACATCATGTCGAACAAGTTGGCTTTTGCAGGACCTCCTGTACCCTGAAGATGTTTGTTTTAATAAGATAAGACTATGCGAAACGCCTTCGTTGCACCAGGTATTTATTTCCCACATTCTCGATGTGATGGCCGTCTTGCCGCCCAAGAATTAGTATTAGTATTGCAAAGTATCCTGTCCCCCTCTTCTTCTCGGCTGTTCCGGCCCGTCTCGAAATATATATTACTATATGATTGATATAGAAATACGCCGTCGTCAATGTCATTCAGCAAAATGGATGCTGGCTCCCCTCGACGCTTGAGCCTCGATGTCAACCTCTTGCTGTTGATCGGTGGACCGAGGCGAGGAGCTGGCCTTGGATCGAATCTCAGTCGTCACCACGGTCTTCGAGTTGTCCTTGCGAAGCATCCTCCTGATCGGAAATCTGCGGTCGCGTCCCATCGGACCCATATGCCTGCTGCTCGGGGCGTCAGAATTAGTAGAATTCCCTTCTATTTCTTCATCGCTATCACCATTGTCACTCGTATCTTCCTTTTCCCGTCCGCTGGCTTGTTTCAGCTTCGTCAGAGCACGCGACGTCCAGGTCACAGGCAGGATGACGATGGCAAAGCAGGACCATGCCCAGAAGCCAAGGTACCAGAGCTTGCTCGGAGGCGGCTTTTCGGTCTCGGGGACCGGCAACTTCGAGCTCTTTCCGGACCTCTTCTCCGAGTCCTTCTCTGGTGACTGGGACTGCAGGTACCCTTCTTCGCGAAGCCGTTGCTCCTTGAGGGCCTTTGCCTTGCCTCCCCAGAAGACATTCGTGCTTTTCTCCATTCTGCCCTGCGTGCCGTCGATGAATGAATCGGTGAGTTCTTGGGCGCCCCAGGCGAAACTCTTCACGTTCATCAACATCATCACGGTAACGACGAGGACGACGAATACAGTCACTGCAAAAGCCCGAATCGTGGTGTGAGACCTGGAAAACCCATTAGCTCCCGTTACCGGATTTCCGCAGGAACAGAGAGTTTGCATACGGTGATCCTCCCATGCTAAATAAGCTCTATGATGTCCATGTCGTTAGCAACGGAACTCCCATTAAGCAGGAGTAAGGCCAATCAGAGATTGACACACCGGCCTGGCTTGCGACAGGGGTAGTTTCTCATGGTGTACTGCTCACGGAATTGAGGAAGAGCCATAACTCACCGACGAGAAGCCCAAAGGAAGGAAAATCACGGTTGCGTAGGTGAAAAGGCGCACATTTTCATCTGTCCGGCTCTGAACGATGGTGAGGTTCACCGAGAGTTCAGATATGGTCTGCAGATCCACCCACCACCAAGACAGGAAAAGGTCAGTTGGTGTGCAACATCAATGACATGGAAGGCAAAGGCAGGAAAGCAAAGCTCATGTCGACTCACCCTTTCGTTTGCCCGTTCAACCTCCAAGATCTTATTCCGTATCTTTTCGCTCTGCTCTAGCAGATCGTCAATAGTTCGACGACTGCGCCCGGACTCTTGACTTAGCTTCGTCCCGTACTTGGCTTCGTCGGATTTTGACCACCGTGGCTTTTCTGAAGCTTGTGGTCCTCCCTCGTTCCAGTCTTTCGCTGCTTTGTTGATGGCTTCGGAGTTGTTCTGAAATCCCTTAAGGAGAGCAATGATCTGAGCGTACATCTCGAGGTTACGTTTGCTCCCAAAGATGAAAGAAGAGTTGGAAGCCCCTGGAGGGAAACGGATGACCTGGTTAACACGATAAGCATGTCTTCTGATCTTGCACAACAGCATCGCTTCAATTTACCTGGTGATTGAGATACTCATCCACGGTATGAAGAACCGCTTTGGTGCTTGCGAGGGCCTCTTTGGCGATTTTCTCAAACAGTCGGATCTCGAGCACCGTCCTCTGGTGGTGGAATTCGTCGTTCGCTATTGACATCCATTTATTCCAGGGAAGCTTCTTTCCTCCGGCGGAATCGTCGTCGCTGGAATATTCCCAAGGCGATACCTCTTCATCACTGTCTGTCTTCTCTTCAGGGACTGCAGACAAGACCCAGCACGTCCAAGATCTGTCGTACATATCGCCCACTGTTCGAAAGCTCCTCGTAGCCCTACAGAGAAAATGTGATTTAGATGGACCATCCAACCGGTAATTCGATGAAAGGTTCACAAATTCAGCCTCCTGGTTGTCCAAAGTAATTTCTCTCGAGAATATTTTGAAAAAGCTAATGTGAAGCTCTGTCGTCCAAAGGTTCGCAAGCCGGCTGGTCTAAATCCTGTCAGCAGCCGCAGTCGGTAACGCCCAATTGGACGGTGAGTAGTCTTACTGCTTTTGAAGCCATGTTTGAGAACTTCGCATGACGTTTAATAAAACGAGCAATCGAGCTCTGCTCTGAAGGCGGGCAGCGCGCATACACCACCAAGACGGAGTAGTTTGTTGGCGAATATAGCATACTTTCACAGGGTTAGGAAGGCGGCTACGCGAATCAAATGCGGCGACACTTACATCAACCGCTTCTTGGCCTCATCCCTAGTCCTTGTGTCTCTCAGAAAGTTATCCAATTCAGAGGAATCTTTCAAGAGGCTTTCTTTCCACAATTGTTTCATGTTAGGAACGGCTCTCATGTTCGTATTTCTGCGTACATCGATTGCGAGCGCCTTTAGGTCGTCCACCGTCGGTTGTTCGACCTCACCTTCGTTCTGGACTGTCAGTTTTCTGAGCTTTTCGAGCTCCGTTCTGAGGGTCTTCGGAAGTGCTCTATCTGACGGGGACGACTCTTGGCCGCGTATGTCGACCTTATCGCGCTCTCGAAAGCATGGCATTTCATGGTAAAGCCATTCAAGCTCAGGGTCTGCCTCATTTATGTTAGTATGGCACTGAGTGACGGGGAAGACACATGCATAACTTTAGTGACTTGCGGCAGAAAGATGTCGAGTCGCTGACGGAGTATAAGGAAGGATAGAACTCACACTCCACAATGCGCTTTTCACCGGCTTGTGATATTATGGGCATCTTGCCAGTTCTGGCTTTCCGCTTTCTCTTGAGGGCTTTTCGCCTTTCTTCGGAAAGATCTTCTTTGTCTCTCCTCGTTTGCTTGTCGTCTTTGTCAACCTCCAATATATCCAAGCGGCTCACGACGAGTTTCTGACTGCTCCACACAAAATGTCAAAAGCTCGATTCAGGAAGGCGGGTTTGAAGAGTAGCTATGAACTTGGAGGAATCTTGGGGAATCCATATTGACGAGCACTTACGTTCGCGGTAGAATGGCTTTAAAGTCAGAAGCCAAAAGACGGTAGGCGGCTTCGTACCGAAGCTCTGGCTGAAAGGGATAGACCACTTGAACGGGTCTCCTGGAAACATCGAGGTCATGCGCAAGTAGACCACTGGAGAGTGCGGATCGCAATAGCGTATGTCGAAAATACTGTACCCTAGACGGACTCTCCTTGTCCTTATCCTCAAATGTGACGACTTTACTTGAGGACTCTGAGCCTCCTGAAGTATCGGTCACGCTTTTGTCTCGTTCAAGTGTTGAATTCGTCGACCTCTGTTGCTTGCCATCAAGGATAGACCCATCTCTTGCAGCAAGCGAGTTTTTTCCACCCTCGCCGGTAGGATCGCTTCCACTATCTAAATGTTCCTGATCACTTCGAGAGATTGCAAATGCATAATATATTGGAGAGTCCCAGTCGTTGTCTGTTTTATCTTGTAGTTTGACTGTCTCAACCCACGCAGGAAGCAGTCCCCCCGACTCGTCATCGAAGAAGCCCCAGTTGACCGCATCGGAGAGGCGGTAATCACTTCTGTGGAAATCGGATCGAGGTATCAGTGACCTGGCGGACCGGCACACGGCTATCCAAGCAGAGTTCTCGCCTCGAGAATCTGAATCCGGATTGGTTGCTGGAGGGGTGAAAATGAACCTCTCAAATATCTTGGAGCGAATAGCAGCTGGATCCAGTCTCTGAAGACAGTCATTAATTTCCTTCCTACAGTCATCTAGCTCCTCGTTCATTCTTTTGTTGAGCTCCTCAAGCGGGTCCTGCATCTCAGTATTCTTTGGGTCTGAGTGACTACCACCTCCCTCCTGGGCAATGAGTTGCCTTGGGTCCATATCAATACTTGTAATCGAGAGATTCCTTTTCTGTGTTGATACAGCTGGTGTTGGAGGAGCAGAAGGAAGTTTGATTCGGCTAGAGACGCCTCTGTTCGGTGTGGATTCTAACTCCCTGGTCTCACAAATCTTTTGCAGAAATCGAAGGCTCCTCCAAAGACATATCAGAAACACGAGACTGTAATGGGGTAGCTTGATTTCGTTGTTGTCGTTGTAGTCATGATCATACCAATCAATCGAGTGGCTGATTTCTTTGTCGATCCATAGTTTTGAAGCTTTATGTCGCTGCTTCCACACTCCTTCCAAGAAGCAGGTAACCTGCTTTTGCTGAAGGCTCTTCTCGACGAGTGTTTGCTCTTCGGGGAATGCTGTGATAAATTCGTGGAACATTTCAATCAGTGGCGTAAGGAACCGGCCGGGCTCTGGTGGCCCAGGCATCCTCTTGCCGGAAATGAAATAGGGAGTTTGAAACCAACCGCCGTCATCATCGACTTCAGCATGGTCGTACCACCACCTCAGAGCGCCGATGCAAGTATGCTTGATGCGACGCTGCAGATAGTCTTTCAATTTCGGATCCGCAATAGTGTTTTTGGTGTCACTTTTTAGTAATTCAGACATCCTGGTGAGAAACCTAAACGGAGAGCTACAGAAGATCAGCATTTCATCAACCAACACCTACCATGGAATTGACCAACCTGTATAAAAGTGTGGGATCAAGCATCTCACCATCCGTGATCGCTATCAAGGCCGACTTCTCGCCCTCTCTGGCCATCGGAACCGCACATACGGAAAGGATGTGTTCTAATGTGCGTCTCAAGACAAACCCGGATACGTCTTTGGGATCCCAATTCCAAGAACCATATTGTTCGCTCTCTTGGGTTAAGAAGCTGCAGACATCGACATACTTCTGTATATCTACGTCTGGCTCAATGCCCGATTCTTTCGCTCCCAAGTGATACTTTGCTGTCAGCTCATGCGTTTGGTTTTCACTGAGCTCGATTGTGTAGTAAGCAAAGAGATTGCTGGACTCGAACTCAACATTTATTGCCTTGCCATCCTCGAACAGGGCGAAGCTTAACACCAATTCCCCGATTGAGGGAGATGGGAAATCGAAACCCGGCTTTGGCTTCGGTTCCCCTTTGCGCCGTACAACCGGATCTTCAGGGTCTGATTCAAGAGTCATGTCGGAATTGTCGTATACATCGTACTGTTGCCTGACGTGCGATGTAGGCCATAGACCAATATCCATGTCGATCCTGAATACCAGCTCTTGGGGCTCGTCTGACAAACTCTTAACAACGTACTGTTGGATGACACAACCATCTTGGACAATATACTGGACTGTAACTTGGGCAATCTCTTCTAAGGATAACTGTCAGTTCGGTGCTCTGCAGCATCTCCAGAACAAAGCAAGGTTTATTGAGAAGCATTATGTACAAGATTAGTAGTATAGAACTTACGCAGGATGAACGATACCCTTGGCCAGCGATCGTGAACGAATTCGACCCGGGGATCGTCGATGTAATGATATGGGCGCAATCCAATGCCTCCAGCAGTGGCGCTCAACTGTTCTCCCAGTACCATCACGAGTACAGCCTCGGACACTTGTGCCGCAGCTGTGACCATGCCAGTATTTCCGACGTCGAGGTATTTCGTCATCATCACGAGCTCACCATCCTCGCTGATATACCCTATTGTGCCCTGGTCCCCGAAGGCAATGTCCGTTTTGGTTCTTTCCCCTTTCGGCGGCGACAATACTTTGCTGTTGTCCAGTGTGAAGTCGCGAAAGGTTGGTGTTGTGGCTGAAAAAAATAAATAAATTGATTAACATATGCTCGAGGCGTGCTGAGGTCGCCATACCATTATCATTTGTGTGAGTTGACGTGTTGGAAGCTTCGCCAGCACCAGCCTCAGCCTCAGCCTCAGCCTCACCAAGAGTATCCATTGAGTTCTGAGGATTCCTGTATCTTTGGGAGATCCTCACACGCACAACAAGCGGTCAAGACAGCAATCCAGGGGGATGTTTTGCAGCTGAACTGGTACTAAACTGAGAGTGCGTTGAGGTGAATTGACAATTTCGCTGAGCAGAGTGATGGGAAAGAATCTGGGAGGGGGGTTGGAGGATTTAGTCGTCTCGTGGAGGGCATGTCGGATGGGTGGCCGCATGTCGTTCTTACTGGGTATGGCTGTTGCCGAGCTTCCGCTGGCTAGCGACATGGCTTTGCTGCAGTAGGTGCAGTCTTTATCCAATCACCCAAGAACAATGGTGAGCTGTCACTCCCCGAGACGGTGCCGTTGAATAAGTCAACCCCAGATTGGACCCGTCGGAGCGCCGCCATTTCGCTTGTCACGCATGCCGGCAAGTCGACAACCAGGAGCTTGGTGTACCCTTTGGGACCAGTATTCATTAACTCCTTGGTGCCCTACACACTTTGGAAGCATTGCAGATACTCAAGTCGGTCGCATGGAATGAAGTTTAAGTTTCCTTAAGCAACTTTAACCTTCTTTCGTTTCCCGTCTCGCCGTCTTGGTATGTTTAGTCGCTCCTACAACATACTCGGTAGTGCATGTACCTTTCCGCCTCTACTTTGCTGCCTTCAGTCGACTCGTGAATAGTCGTCTAAGTTAACCGTGCACACATACAAATGTGGAAGCTCAACAGAAGTGGCCCTTTGACTCGGCAATGTGGTCCTCGCTCCTGAAGTTAGTTAGTGCAATCCCTTTCTATTCCTCGACATCTCCACTCCTTTTTTCTGTTAGCCCTATGCTGACTTCAACTGCCATAGCTTCCAGACCGAAAGATGCGTCCATCGTAGTTAGTTCAACTTTTCAATGGCACATACGATGTACTTTTCTCCGAAGGCATCCACAATATCCCCTTCTTTGCGGTCTTCCTCCCATTGTTGTATACCCTTGCCCGGAAAATTCTGCTGACCATCCGCCCGCCTGGGGAGAGCTCGAAGATTTTGTTCGTCTCCTGCCTCGTATTTCGTCACCCAGTCAGCCTTCGTATCTTCCCAAGTTTCTCTCCTTGCGCAGAACCCCGTCATCCCTGCTGGCCCCTCGTTGCCGCCCTTCAAAGCAAGAAAATCTCCCCCAATCTGTCCCAAAAATGTATGACCATCCTCGCTGCGCAAGATCCAGGCATAATGAAAATGCTCCGTGAAGGAAGCAGAGAGGGTCCGCCAGACTTCCTCATAGGGTGTCATCCTATTGGTCTCGGGGTGAAGCATGCTGCCTGTTTCGATGCTGTCGGTTGATTCAAGCGCAGGTTGGAAACTACCGATATCAGGCTCCGTGTATCCCCTCGAATCAATCCAATGAGTCCATTTGCACGTTACTAGGACTTGTCTCAGCGAAAAGCCTGACCAGGAGAAAGGGCGCAAGGGGATACCACCTACATGGCTCCTGTGACAATATGAGCCTTTCACCAGCCATTGCCCAATCGATCGAGCCATCAGCCTTAGTGATGCGAAGGTCGACATACCAGCCTCCCACACCAATGATCAACGTATCGGTGGGTTCTGATGCTTCACCTGGGACCCAGCGTATGCTGAGCCGAGTCGAAAGGCGGGCTGGCATTTTTGGTAGTCTGTGATTGAGACGCTGGCTCGAGAAATACGTTGAAGCGTGAAATTTATCGCATACTTTATATCTTAAACTTCGATACAGCTTGGCCATACACTGAGGGACTCAATGGGGGATGGATTGAGATACTGTCGCTTCATCATTCCCTTTACGGCTTAGTCTCAATGGATTAAAGATTCTCCCTTGTTCCGGAGTAGTCCGCCTCCTCAGCTGCACCACCCACCCACCACCAGTGACCACCCAGACTTCTTGTTATCCAACGCTAATGTCTCCATCACCCTGAATTGGTCCACCGGCTTTCTTCTCTTTGTTCTGCCCTATACAGACAATCGGGCTTCTGTACTTGAGCAATGCTTCCACAAGGCGCAGCGTTGATCTTGCGACCGAGGACACAGACAGCATTGACGTAGCAATCATGACACCCCCTTCCCGGTCCTGGAATGGCTGCGTTCGGTGTAGGAAGCGACGGCAAAAGTGTGGAGAGCAGAAGCCGCAATGTGCGCGATGTGAGAAAGACGGGATAGCTTGTGCTTACCAGAAGCCGCTGAGGTTTGGAGGTCGCCCGTTCGAACAATCGCGATTTGGAGCCTGTCTAGCAAAGAAAGACGGAGGAGCCCGAAAAGCCGGTAGGTTAGCCAACGACAGTGATTCCAGTGCATCAGAGACTAACTGCGCAGCAGCGACTACTTATGGAGGATTTATATATACTTCAGCGTCGGCCACCAGCGCTGACGCATCAGAGACGTCGTTATGCGAACTACCTCTGAGCACCGAGACACAATCAGTAACGGCTGAGCCGGTAGTCGAGGACGAGACCTCCTTGGATTTAATTCAAGTCAGCCAACAGGTACCCATTCACGTCCCAAGCCACGTCGACATGTTGTCGTTCATTCCTTGGAACAATCGCGCGCTCCTCCAATACTTCACTTGCAACGCCTCCATGGCTCTGGCTTCACACACTGTTGTCCATCAAGAGGTCTGTGAGTTGATATTACCCATGGCCCTCGGGAACCCCGCCCTGCTTCATGCCACCCTAGCCCTAGCTGCTATTCATCGGAATTCCTTGACATCTACCACCGAAAACGAGATGAATGACCGTGCTCAAAGACTTGTCACCCACCTGATGGCTACAAGCATACGCCATCTGCGTCAAGAGCTCCGCGACCCAAGATCCAGCCCACTGGCAGCAAAAGTTGCCACCACTCGCACACTGTTCCTCTGTGAGGCCATCTCTGGGTCCCACTCTCTTCGGGCTTGGAGAGCTCACTTTCTGGGGGCCCGAGCCTTATTGTCGTCGTGTGAAAGATCCGTGGACGGGGCGCGAGTGTTTGAGCAGGATCCCTCGCTCCTCTTTTTGCAGCGGTGGTATAACATCACCGAAGCGCTGGTTTCTGTCACAACCGAAGGGCTATCGGCGGGCCAAATCGCGTGTGGTGGACCACGATCTCTCATTGGCGAAAAGGGAGAGGCGGATGTCTGCATTGACATGTACACCGGCTGTGCGGAAGACGTTTCTGCCGTGTTTCGAGAGATCGGAGCCGTCGCTTGGGAGAGACGACGTGCAGTTGATGATCCCGGCCGACACCCCAGGCTTTCTGAACATGACTTCTTGCGTGAAGCCGATCTCCTGGAGATGGCGGTCCGAAGGATGATTGAGCGTGATAAGGCCCGGACGACAGTGTTCAACATATCTGGCACTCGTGATTTGTCTGTGGAGGAGTCAAAGGAATTCTTGCTTTGTAACGAAGCCTACCAACAAACCGCGCTCATTCACATCCATCGACGAGTTTCGCGGCTTCCGCCCAATGCTGCAGTCGTCCAAGAAGCCGTCAAAAGGATTGTGGAATGTGTCGAGAGCATCAGACCTGCTGCAACCTTGTCGCCCCTAACCCTGCTGACAACACCCCTGTTCACTGCCGGCTGCGAAGCTACAGGTGCCGAACGCTGCAAGATTGCGCAGTTATTGACCAACATGTTCACCCTTCTACGTCTACCAAACATGAAACGTGCGTTACAAGTGCTCGAAGCCTTTTGGCGTGAGTCAGAAGCTTCCGGGATTGCATGGGAAGACTTTTCGCGTGGGTTATATCTACAGCACGGTGTACGAAAGCATAGACTGACGAGAATATAGGTCAAAGGAACTGGGATTTTCTGCCATATTGAGTTGAGCAGATGTGCTGTTCCGTATTCCATAAGGGCCATCTGCTGTTCAGCCCCACACGGCCCAGAATGCGTCCTAATGGCAACGACCAAGTTGCTCTTCTCTTTTCTTCTGACGGAGGCGCCCTGTTGACGCCATAGCCGAGGAACTCATTTCTCCTGCTGTACACTACTTTCGACTCTCGGTTCATCCGGTAATTCATCGGACGAGAGCACTATGGGCTTGACCCACCTATTACCCCATCGATGGAGTACAAAATAAACGACTGGCAGACAAACGGCGCAGATAATTGCCTGAGTACCGAAGCACCATCCATAACCTGGGCGCAAAGGTCAGCATCCATCTTTGCAAGAGAGAGACTCGATGTGTTCCTTACCAACAGCGGCGGTCCAGTCGTAAATATACCAGGGAACAATAAATGCCGACATCTTTTCCAGTCAGTCCCGAATGTTATGGTGCTCAGGCAGGTAGGTGTTCACTCACATTGATGATGACGGAATAAAATGTTATGACCTCAATGGCGTGCTCCGGGTAGCTGTCCACAATATATGTGGACAACGTGGTGTTTCCCGCTTGAAGGCCGACTGCAAACAAGAAGAGGGCCACCTGACCAACCATCCAGTGCCATCCTTTCTGTACCGAAGCTCCCCAGACGGCAAGACCGACAGCAGAGAGAAGAGCGCCAGGGTAGCCCAGCCACAGCCGCATTTCCGGCACCCGTTGGCCGTGATTATGGCTCGCAAGCCGGACAACGATCCAGTCGCTCAAATGACCCGAGCAGAATATCTCGGCAAAGATAACTCCGATCAGGGCTCCTGTGAAGAACAAACCTTGAATCTGGATTTTGTACTCATAGTACGCTGCGGGAATCATGGAAAGAAGAGCCACGATCCTGTCTTCTTTCAGTCCTTGTTCAGCGGGATACGCTATCAGGGCGACTTACCACCAATAATGCAGAAATATGTATCCACATACGCTGGCAACCAACTTGGGGTACGCCCACAACTTGCAGAATGTGATCAGGGTCGCCCAAGGTTTCGGATGGGAAACCCCTGGGATTTTGTAGATGTTCTGGAAGGGTGTCAGTATGTCATGGCTTCATTGCTTCCTAGAACATGTCTCACGAGCCAGGGGAGTTGCTTAGTTCTTTTGATGTCCACGGCCGTATCCTGCAGGGTCTCACCACGCGCCTTCGCCGCGGCTTGTTGCAGCTCCAGAGCCACAACATGAGCGCGGGGATATTGGGTTTCTGGCAGAAACAGAAGTTCCCAGAGCAAGAGAAATGCGAAAGCTATGGTGACGTGGTAAGCCACCCAGTATTGGTTCACGGTGGCTATGAACCCGCCAACTGTCATGTCGTGGTTAGTTCTCTACTCTTTCACTCGAAAGGGACGGCAGGCTTACTGAGACCACCCAGCACACTCCCTATGTTTGCAGACATGGCCCAGAGACCAATTCGATAGCCTCGCTCGTGCTCCCAGGAGATGTCATTGATGATGCTGAGGCCCACGTTCGCTGCCGGGCCCGCCGCAAACCCCTGGAAGAACCTGGCTGCCATGTACTGGCCGATTGATTGTCCCTTGATCGAGGTACAACCACTAGCCAGCACTGCAGTCGCCGTGGCCACGATGGTCACCACCCGACGGCCGTATGTCTCCGCCAGCGACGAGGTGACCAGAGGGCCAAAAGCGAGACCAAAGGCTGAGATTCCGAAGGACCAGTTGACTTGGTTGTACGAGGCATCGAATTGCTCCTCGAGCAGCGAAAACGAGGGCACCGGGGCAGTGGTCAAGTAGGTCAACAGGAAGTAAAAGAAGCACACGATGCCAATGATGTTGTATTTCTGCAGCGCGGACCAGTTCAAGGGGTCGAAGGAGTCCTTGGTCGGCGTAGGTACCAGTGGTTTGTCGCTAGCCTCGACCGGCAGTTGGTACAGGTCGGCCACGTCCACGGGGGGGTTTTGTGCGGTAACATCGGCCGCCATGGGGTTCTTCTCGATGCTATTCACCTCTGAGGACATGTTGGCAGTCGAGGGACCAGGGGGGTTGGAAAGTATTGGGTAATGAAAAGAGCGGGGCGGGGTCCTGGACTTGTCACCTGCGATGGATCACGGTGGGTTGACAGCCCATATATACTCGTCAAGAACCCCTAAGACACATGGACTGGAAGACGTAAGACGAGAGAGTCAAGATAAGAACTCGGTTTATGCTTCTTGTATCGAAGGCTTGTTTTGCCCCAAGATGGCCACGACGCATGACACGGGGCTATACTGGAGAAGGAAAGTTGAGGAGACGAGAAGGCTAGACAGGGAGCAGACAGCGATAGGACATGGCCCGAGAGCCTTTCCGGCCATATGCGCCCATCTACGCAGTAATGTGCGGGCGATTAGCAAATGAAATTGAACTTTATCGGTGGTATTTGCCATATTACTATGACACAGGCTCCACCCAGTCCCAATGGGGAAGGATGAGGAGACGGCCGGCGACAGCGAGATACGACGGAAAGATACCAAACAACACCACAGCCAGCACCACCTGATCTTCCCATCCCATCACTCCCCTGTCGCCTCATTATTATCTTCTGGGTGATGAAATGGAATAGCCAACGTGCCAAGTCCGCATTGTGGTGGTGGCTATATACCCTCGTCGCCACAACCTTCCCGCTTGGGAGTGATCTGTCAAATCGCGGCTTGATTCGATCACTGAGCCTCCTCAATCCATCATATATAGTGCTCACAGGTCTATGACCAGCCTTATCAGTGCCTCACGCCTTCCAACAGGACTCCAGCCGCCAGGAACAAGAACAGTGCGCAGACTTCTTCCGTGCACCGGATAAGTCGGGGACATTCTTCACCACCCACACCGTCCCGATATCCAAACCAGCCCTCTATCATCATCCAGCACCATGCTGCTTCTCTACCTCCTACCGTACATCCTACTCGTTGGCGTCCTGGTCTCAGTCCTGCAGAGACTACGTTCTCCGATATCCAAACTACCAGGACCCTGGTACACGGCATGGACGTCGCTGGTGCTGCAGTACCGCGAGTTCACGCACGGGCGCCGACTGTACATCCACGCCCTGCACCAGCGGTACGGACCCGTGGTGCGGCTGAGCCCGCACGAGGTGTCGTTCGCGACCGCCGACGCCGCCAAGGAGATCTACATGTCCGGCGGCAGTGGCTACGACAAGACGCCCTTCTACTCACTGTTCACCCAGTTCGGCACGCGGACGCTGTTCTCGACGCTGCCACGCGCGGAGGTATGTATTCTCAATATTCTAGAGAAACCTCTCTCTCTGTGGTTAGGGTTCTTGAGAATGTGTCGGCTAACTCTGATCATGGCGGTTTCTAGCATAGCTACATGAAGCGCTACCTGGCCGACCGGTACGCCAACACGAGCATCATGAAGCCCGACGTCCTGAACGGCATCGTCCAGCACGCCCGCGACTTTGTAAACAAGTGCCTGGCCCAATGTCACGGGAGTGATGGGTTTGCGGACATCTATGTAAGGAATCCGAATTGACATTTTTTTCTGATTGGCCATGCTAGATTAATAGCCCTGAGCTCTGCAGACTGACGGCGCCCCAGGTATCACTCCATTGCTTCGCCCTGGACGGGGTGACGCATCAGCTGTTCCACCCGTACGGCACGCACGCCAACAGGGACGAGAAGGATCTGCGCCTGATGCAAGAATTGTCCTATCACGACAGCTTGAAAAGTAACGTCGCCATCTACTACATGCCGTGGCTGTCGGGTGTGGTCCACGCGCTCAGCCCGCCGAAGCCCGCGCCGCTGTCGAACGAGTATGTGCTCCGGACCAGCGCCCTCCCCTCCCCGTCACCGTTCAGCCTGCTCGCGAAGCTGCAGGCCCAGGCCAAGGCGACGCCCACCATGGCCCCCCGCGCCGTGCCCGCCGAGTGCAAAGACCACCTGGCCGCGGGCGTCGACACGACCGGCGACGCGCTGTGCTTCCTCATGCACCACCTCTCGCTGCCCAGGCCGGCCTCCCAGCGCATCCAGGACCGGCTGCGCCAGGAACTCGCCGAGAACAGCGCCGCGGCGGTCCCGTTCGACCAGCTCCCCTACCTCGACGCCGTGGTCAAGGAAGGCCTGCGCTGTTTTCCGCCCATACCGATGTCCATGCCGCGATACGTCCCCGCCGGGGGCAGCGTGATCGAAGGCCACTTCATCCCCGAGGGGACGATCGTCAGCTGTCAGGCGTACACGCTGCACAAAGATCCCGCGGTGTTTCCCCAGCCGTTGGAATTCTTGCCGGAGCGCTGGCTCGACAAGGCCGGCGAGGCCGAGCGGAACAGATTGTTCTTCGCCTTCTCCAGCGGCGGGAGGGGCTGTTTGGGCCGACAGTGAGTTTTATTTCCCCCCCTTCGTCTCCCCTTCTTCATCTCTCTTCTACTTCTCCTTCTCCCCTACGTCATCTCAATCCGCCGAGCAAGATCTCGCTAACCAAGGTCCTCGTGGCTCACAACGCAGCCTCGCCATCGCCGAGATGAAGCTCCTCCTTCGCGAGGTCTATTCGCAGTATCGGACAACCCTCTCCAGCCAGATGGACAGCGACATGGAGATGGAGGACCAGATCATCGCGAGCCGGCCCAAGGGCCAGAGCTGCAAGCTGGTGTTTGAGAAGGTCGTGTCATGAACGAGGCGTATGTCATGTATGATGGATGGGAAGACAGAGCCAGTCGGATTTTATGTCCTTTCTTCCTGGTTGGCTGACGGGGCAATTTATAGAACGGGAAATCGTGAACTACACCATTTAGCGTTTTCGTTGGATAGGGGATCTATCTAAAAGAAAAAAAAAAGCCGGCACGGCCTTTTTCTTCTTCTTTTTCTTCTTCTTCTTCTTCTTCTTCTTCTTCTATTGTTACAATTTCTCAATTTTGCTCTATTTCCATCTTGTACGGTTGGTTGTGTGCGTCTGCTGCTCTCGGCGGAGGTGGGCTGCTACTGTATGTATCTGCGACCACTGACTGCCCTACTACTTACTTACTGAAACACCCACCCGACCCCCACGGGTCACCGCGAATACGACCATATTATGGATTCGCTTTGTGTGCTGCCCTGGCACTGGACTTCGTGGCTGAGAAAAGGAAGATTTTAATCAGCGGCTCGAACAAGTGGGATAGATCTATCGTTATCATAGCAGGAAATATCTGGCTGTTTTTACATTCTGTACACAACATGATGAATACCTTCCATTGGCACCGGTCCACGAGATGGATGACTTGGAAATTGGGCAAGAAAAAGAGATGGCCAAGTAAATCAGTGCCTGTGCCAGCTGCTGGTCATCATCATTCATTCATATCGTGACTCAATAATACAATCCTTCCTTCTCTCAAGCGAGGCAGCAGCGAGCCACCTGATTAGTTACTATGCTGGCGGACATGCTTCAGCGCCTCCAGGGCTTCCTCCACCTGCTCTGCAGTTTGAGTCAGCATCAGGCCTTTGTTAATGTCACGGGCGAAGAGCGTTACTTACGGACCATGCCGTTCAGCGCCTCGAACGCAACGGCATAATTTTGCAACGCCTTCAGCACTCGGCTGACCCCGGCATACAAGTCCTCAATGCCCTTGTCGGCGGCCGAACTCCGTTGGTTGACGCATTGCATCTCCATGCTCTTGTAGCATAGCGTGAGCAGGGTGTAGCAGCTTTGCATGGCGCAGCAGGCAAATGACGGCATGGTTCGGGGCGCCGGAGTCGAGGATATTATCGACAGCGTTGGGGGAGAAAACATCGGGATGGGCGACTGCATGGGGTTGGGGTAGGGCAAAGACTCGAACGCCCGGCCGATGGCCAGGGCGGCTTTGAGACAGGTCTTTGCGGCGGGCAGGTCAGTAATCGACACGCCCTTGGGGAGGCCGTCACTCTGGTCGCTGGATGCATCCATAGAGGACCCATGTGGGGATTGCGGCCAGAGCCCGGGGAACCCGCCAGACTGGAAGCCGTTGGGCGAAGTGTTGGAGAATGCAGACGGCAGCATGGCGTGACAGGAACATCCGAGTGGGCGCGGAGACGACACATCCGCCTGGTCCAGATCGCAGTGCCGACGGGTAAAGATTGGGACGTCTTGAAACGCGCGGTATCGGTGGAGTTTAATCCTCGCGCTGTTGAGCTTGATCACCGCCTGCAGTCGCAGTGATTTGGCGAGAGAGTGCTCCTCAGCATCTGTGAGCGACAGGGCAGGCGTTTCGGTCGGGGAGGACGCATATTTCAGGAGGACTGAATCAAGGTCGCTCTCCAGCATGGCTTTCCTCTGCTCCAAAGCGCTGTCGCCAAGGCCGCCGTCGAGGGCCTTCTTCAGCGCGACAGTGTACTGGGTACACCTGAGGATACACTGCTGGGCTTCGATGAAGAACAACCACGCGTCAGGATCCGCCGACGATGTTGGCAGCGGAGTCCTGAATTGATGGAAGTCTATGGAGATGATGGGAGGCTAGTTCAACAGGATTAGACAACATTATCCATAGGGTCTCAATGATCTAACCTACCGTGCTGCTAACAATAGAAGACTGTAGAACGACGATATACTAGGTCAAGGTCAGCAGGCATTGTCCCACAGTCGTGGCTCATTGACTTACCGTCATCCACCAGGCGCGACGGCGTGCTTCCGTGTATTCATCCAGAACAAGATCAGAAATGTCGTGCAGGCAGAGTCTGATGGCAGCGTCATAGGCTTGGCTGGCTCGATTTCTCATCTTGGCCAGATTCCCGCGCTGGGCGTATTCATAGATACTCAGCAGCACGTGTGCCAGCACACCTTCCAGCTCTGGTAGGACGTATGGATGGAGCTTTTCGCGTTCGACCGATGGTCGTCGATGATCGAGAGCCTCGGACGGGTTGATGGTGGACTCGAGCAGCTCGGTCTCGATCTCAATACTCTCCATGGCCATCTGGGAGAATGAGTGCGCCCGCTGCCTTCGCAGACAGACAGACTCATCGCTGTCCGGGAACTCGTCTTCCGGATGTGGGATCAGGACAAGAATCGCCATCAACGCCATCACCAAAGGAGACGCTGGTTCGAAGAACTTGGATTCGATCATTGGGTCGTCAAGCTGCAGGGGGGTGACTGGCGGTGGCAGGATGGGGAAGTACGGGTGGATGAAGATGTAGTAGGCGTTGAGAATGGCTTCGTTGTCTCGATAGCTCCGAGTGATAGGCACGTAGGGTTTGCCCTGTGAATCGTCGTCCATGGAGTCCATTGTCTCATCTCCGTCGGAGGAGGCGGGCATGAAAATATTGTCGAAGATCTGGTCGCTGTCGTCCTGGTCCCCGTCCCCGACGTCAATCAACCCCGCTCCGGGGGAGATCATGGTCGCAATGAGGTCGTTGTGGATCTCTTCCGACGACAGGATCAGGGCGTCCCAGTCAATGTGAATGTCTGGGATAGTTGGCATAGTTTCTGGGATCGGAGGGGGTGCTGGTTCCTCAGCCCGCTTCTGCCTCTCGACCGCCATGATGGCTTTTTTGCGCGACACACGGGGTCCGCCACGATTGCTCTTGACATAGCGACATTCTTTGCCCCGGACCACACACTAGCGAACAAGGTCAGGCACCGGCCGAGTCAGTTGCAGCATGGCCCACCACATACATTGTTACAGGGAACCTTGGCATCGCATCGTGTTCGAGACGCACGGCTTTGATCCCAGTTATAAAGTGGACTTCGCAAGGAGACGCTCGATCCAACAGCGCTTACCAAGACGTGCACGCCACCTTGACCGGCGGCAGCATATTCTTCCTCCGGCGGCTTTGGCCGGATGCCGTCGACTCGGTCTCCATCACGGTAGACGTAGACATGAGGTCGGAAAGGGGGTTCGGGGCTCTGGCCTCCCAGAGTTGCATAGACGCCAAATCTGGAAGTGTTCGTGGGGCGCTTCCTATACTTCCGAGCCCCACCGTCGACATAGACTGCTGGGAAATGGACGGGTTTATGGGCGACGAGACGCAAGTACAGAAGAGAAAGAGGACTCGACCGTGTTATAATTAATCAGTTACACTGGTTGACTTTGGGGCCCCGGGACTTGGCACCCTTCTTCACCCGTTGCACTGGCCTGTGGTGAGCAATCCTTCGTACACGATAGAGATAAGCAAGTTTCCTTATCACCCAATGAAACCCGCCCTATCGCCTCTACAAAATAACTAGACCGAAACGCCCCCCCGAGGTGTTCTGGAGCCATCTACTGTATGTACCGAGTATAATGTCCTGGTCTGGCGACTGGTCACGCCACAGAACAGGAGGCGAGGCTCTGAACTGCCCCATTGCGCCCCTGTTCAGTTGCTGAAAACGACATGGTCTCCAGGCTTTCTATTGACCGTTAGCGTGAAGATATCCGGCCTTGCATAGCTCCCGACCGCATCAAAGTCCATTCTCGCCTGCACCAGATCGTCCATCTTGAGTTCCCCATACACGATCTCTTCCCGATCCCAGACGGGCTCGGTCACAAATGTACCCAACGGTCCCACGATACAAGACCCGCCGTGGCTGAGGATGGCGTCCGGGGTCCAGGGCGACCCGTCGGGTTGTCTGTCATGGTGTCCAGGGGAGAAGGGTGGATAGTCAGACGGAAAGTCGGCCACCTTGCAGAACTGGTTGCACGAGATCACAAAACAGCGTCCCTCTTTAGCGATGTGTTGCATCGACGCCACCCACGCGGGCAGGTCGTCCGCGTTTGGTGCGATGTATATCTCGATGCCTTGCTGGTAGAGGGCCAGTCTTGCAGCGGGCATATAGTTCTCCCAACAGATGAGTCCGCCAACACGGCCAATGTCGGTGTCCACCACATGAAGTCCATCTCCTGCTCCTCTTCCCCACACGAGTCGTTCAGCTGCCTGTGAGAAACGGTTGTCAGTTGCTGAAGGACCTCTCTGCTTTGAAGTGCGGAATGTGAACATACTGTAGGGATGAGTTTGCGATGTGTGTACAGCAAGTCTCCCGTTCTCGAGATCAGGATCGCGGTGCAATACAAGGTTGCTCTTTCTTTCTCGATGATACCGATGGACAGCAGCACGTTATAGTCTCTTGCAATGTTCCGGAGCTCGTCAAATTCGGGAGAAGGAATGGCGACAGCCGAGTGATAGTATTTGGCGAACCATTCGCGGCCTCGAGGTTCTCGTGCTCCTATCGTTGCATCGAAGGCGTATCGCCAGGGGTAAGCGCTGAGGAACCCTTCTGGGAAAACGACGAGATCAGCCGACTCCTGCGCTGCAGCTTTCGTGAATTGTCTGACTCTCTGGATCGAGGCAGGAAGGTCGAATGAGACGGGAGCTGCTTGTACGGCAGCGACCTTGAAGCTGGTCGATGGAGACATTGTGGTATAGAATCGAGTGTGATGCTCTTGCGCAAGAAGCAGCTGGGGTCTGGCCTGCGCACGACATCCTTTTGAGCTCTCTACACAGACTTGGCTCTGCGTCTGGCGGTGGCCACATATTCCACCTATTCACCTGATCCAGACACCTGATCGTTCGAACACCGCATGCATTATTGATTCTCCGCTGCGTCTGCTGCGTCTGCATCTTCGTCTCCTGGAGTGAGACCCACTTTCCGGAGGATGCCATTCGTGACCAAAGCCCGAAAAGCAAACACCGAGAGATACGGAATACATATCCTCCACTGGGCCTTATTGGTTGGAGCACGCATTCGGCAATGGGTGGACCCGAGCATTCGCCTCGAGATCTATTGATATAGCATATAGCACATAAACAACACCCACCTGTGAACAATCCATAAGTGCAAGTCGAGAAAGAAGAACTCTTGTGGCACACGAATCCACACCTGTCTATCGCGACCCGAATAGCACAATGGACGTCGGTATGTTGAAGTGTTGCAAGAGGAGTTCCCAAGGACCATTGTCTGACACCCGAATAGTACTGAACGCTCAACCTGAACGCAACTACTACACGAATCTGGTGCGAAACATTAAGACTGCCATCATACCGACCTTCACCTTGGAATCGGGCCAACAACTCCACCGAGTGCCTGTGGCCTACAGTGCCTTTGGCACCTTGAATGAGGAGGGAGACAATGTCCTTTTAATTTGCCACGCCCTCACCGGGAGCAGCGATGTCGAGGACTGGTGGAAGCCCTTGATCGGTCGAGGCAAGGCGGTCGATACGAGTCGATTCTTTGTTATTTGCTTCAACTCACTCGGGTCGCCGTATGGCTCCGCATCACCTCTCACGACCGACCCCATGACCGGCAAGCTGTACGGGCCGACCTTCCCCGACACAACATTCAGAGACGATGTGAGAATCCAGAAGATCGTTCTCGACGCACTGGGTGTCAGACAGATCGCCTCCGTCATTGGCGGATCGATGGGTGGAATGGTTGCCCTAGAGTGGCCTCTGTGCACGCCTCCCGGTTACGTGAAGACGGTGATCCCTATCTCGACCTCAGCTTATCAGACTGCATGGGGCATCTCGTGGAATACGTCACAGATTCGATGTATCCAAGCCGACGCACAATACAAGGGAGGATACTATGCTCCTCACCCTTCCAGCCAGCCCATCCAAGGCCTAGGGGCTGCACGAATGATCGGGATGCTCACCTATCGATCATACACTTCCTTCGAAGCACGATTTGGCCGGCGCAAGGCTGGACCCAAAAAGACCTCACAGGCCTTCTCAAGACCCATGACTTCCATCCCCTCTCCACCGCTCCCTGCGGTTTCAGACGACGTCCCTGAGACGGCAGCCTCAAAGACCGAGGCGCAGAGCTTCGGCCCGGCCACGATATACTCGGCCCAAAGCTACATGCAGTACCAGGCGGACAAGTTCCTAAAGCGCTTCGACGCCAACTGCTATATCCACCTGCTGCGCAAGATGGACTCGCACGACATCACAAGAGAGCGGACCTCAACAGTGTCGTTCGAAGAGCACCCCAGCGTGAAAAGCGTTGCCGCCGTGCTGGCCTCATGCACCGCACCAGCCTTGGTGGTGAGCATCGAATCAGACATGCTGTTTCCAGCAGAACAGCAGACACTGCTGGCCAATTCTCTGCCACGGGCAAAACTGATGAAGCTGGATTCGTCCGACGGGCACGACGGCTTTCTGCTGGAGATGTCGGCGATGGAACAGGCGATCAGTGCGTTCTTGCGGAATCATTGTGCCGATGTCTTCGAGGCTCCTGCTTTCGACGACAGCGAAGGCGATAGTGAGGACGGTGTGACGAATAGTGTGTTTGGCGAGTTGGATTCTGGCTTTTGATGATAGCGTGTATTGTTACAATATGTCTGATAGATTCACGTCTTCATGTGCTTTTCACATAATGACCAAAAGAAATGTTCCAACAATGTCAACTTTCGAGTCTACTAGCTGCTATTCTTTCTGGCACTTAATCTGTAGCATACCCAATTTGTGATCCGCTGTGCGCAAGTCTCGTTCATATCGAAGATAGTGTATCTTATTGCAATATGCCTGATATGTCATACATTCTTCCTTTTCACACAATGGCCAGAAGAATGCTACATGCTATAGATTGTGCCAACTATTCAGTCTTCAACCCGCCGTACTTTCTGCTGGTTTACTTTGCTACTACGTCTTCACGACCTGCTGTTCACACGACTCGTCAGTTTCGAAGAGCGACGAGCTAATCCGCTTTCTCACGCTATAGCAGGTGCCTGCCACGCAGCTACAGCACATTCATTCCAGTCAGATGATCCCCATTACCACACACACCACTCCCCTCTGGCATACACCTACTAGCCTCACAACGTCGACGAACATTCCAGAGGCCGGCTTCACGCCTGAATTCCATTGGCCGACGCAGATCTCGTCATCCGGTGTTTGAGGCTAGCGTATGTCGAGATTGGGGAATCAACGGTCGGGCCACCAGAGCTAAGAGCAATCCCCGGTCGGAGCATTACTCTGCCCTTATCTCTTTCGCCCGATCGCCTTTCGGTGACTGCTTGTTTCGGGCCTGGTGTCGTGAGATTCTCCCCCATCTCCGCCGTCTCATTGGTACAGGCCCCTATGGATCAGTAGAGCATCATATGTCTATATTACTGTCCGTTTATACTCCTTTCAGATGTATCATTCTGTATCAACCTCACTCATACTCATCAAGGCATTGTCTTAGCTATACTTCACAGAAGCCAAATCCAAACAGGACCAGCAAGCCTTGAGAGAAACGATCCAAGACAACCAAACTTCGACAGAGAAACAACACAAGACAAGCAGGTCTGATCAACACAGAATACGAAATGATTGCACGAACTGAGGACTATCGACCATGGCTGGTCCAGAAATACGGCGGCACCAGTGTCGGCAAGCTGCTGAGCACCATCACCCAGTCCATCATCCCCGAATACCTGACAGAGTATCATGTCGCCGTCGTGTGCTCGGCACGGTCGAGTGCAAGCAAATCAGCCGGCACCACAAATCTCCTCCTGAGGGCGTTGTCCTGTGCCGTGTCGGAGCAGACCAAGGGAGCTGATTTCGACGAGGTCATCGACATGATCCAGACTGAACATCTTTCGGTGGCGGCATCTCTCCCCCACGATGCCTCCCTCAAATCCGCCCCTAAGGTCATCCAGCACTTACGGCAGAGCATTATCGACGAATGCGAAGCCTTGAGGAGATTCCTCAGGGCCACTCGGGTCATCGGCGAGGCGTCTGACAGAACCCAAGATCGGGTGCTTGGTGTTGGAGAGAAGCTGTCCTGCCTGGTCGTTGCTGCCGCGTTGTCGCTCGGCGGCGTCGAAGCAGAGATGGTGAATCTGGAAAACATCGTCCAGACAGCGGACAAGCGCTCGACTCGGGAACAGCAAGCCGCCTACAAGCAAAACCCCATCCTCTTCCTCCAGGGGCTTCGCGACGCGGTCAGAGGCGCAATCCTCCAGTGCTCCGCCATGGGCAAAGTACCAGTCGTCACGGGGTTCTTCGGTGCCATGCCACACTCGCTCCTGCATACCGTTGGTCGGGGGTATTCAGACCTGTGCGCCGCGCTGTGTGCCGTCTCATTAGGAGCTGAGGAGCTTCAGATCTGGAAGGAGGTTGCTGGTATCTTCACCGCCGACCCGACGAAAGTGTCGACCGCAAGAGTCCTGCCAATGATCACGCTGGAGGAAGCGGTCGAGTTGACATACTACGGCAGCGAGGTCATCCACCCGCTGACCATGTCTCTCCTCAACAAGGAAGACATCAACCTACGCCTGAAGAACGTGAAAGACCCCGCCGGCGCCGGCACCGTCGTCTACTCGACGTCGCCTAGCGCGAGTGGACTGCAGACACCCATTTCCACGGAGATGGAACTCAGCCGGTCCATGTTCATGACTTCGAACGGGTACTACGGCAAAGACCAGGGGAAGCGAGTTCCCACCGCCATCACCACCAAGGATGCCATCACGCTCGTCAACATCACGTCGAACGGCAAGTTGCCTCCGCAGGCATTCCTGGGCCAAGTGATCGGCATCCTGGGCCAGCACCAGCTGTCCGTCGACCTGGCCAGCAGCAGCCGACAGTCGCTCAGCCTGGCCGTGTCAGCGAACGGCATGGTGAACGTCGCCGACGCCATCGAAGAGGCCCTCCCGGACCTTGAGGAGTTTGGCGCCACGTGCATCGTGCCCAAGATGTCCATCATCTCGGTGGTCGGCCACAAGATGAAGAACATGGTCGGCATCGCCGCCGAGATCTTCTCCGCTCTGGCCAGCGCCCGCATCAACATCCGTCTGATCTCGCAGGGTGCAAGTGAGATCAACATCTCGTTCGTCGTGCGGGCGCAGGACGCCCTGCTGGCCATGGAGGTCATCCACTCGAAAGTCATGCAGATTGAGGGCCACATGGAGCGCGAGGTCCGACTCATAACAGGTGAGAACTGCCCCCCTTGATCGTTCCTTTACAGGTTCAGTATACTGATATCTATGACCAGGTCCATGGCTCTACTGAACTCATGATCTTATGTGTCTATATGTCTCTTTTTTTAGCATGCATGCCTCCAGGAAGCGCGGGGGTCGGTTTGGGTTTCTATGGGAAATACAGATACCTTTTCTAGATGTTAGATAAAAACATACCACCAGGAATGTATATCACGAAAGTTGATGATCACGATGACTCTGCCGTCAGTGGCCCTCTCTGGTTCTGTCTGTTTGGCACATTGATTCCCTCAGGATTGCCGAAGCATCCCTAACTTCTTAACTAAACCTTGATTGAGATTAGTTAAGGCACCCCTGTAGCTATCGCCTAATCTAATTAAACAAGCCCCCAGAACATTTGGTAATCCTGTCGACAGATCTCCTTTGTGCTTCAAACAAGATCTATACGGTAGATGGCATCAAAGCAATAGTATAGACTCTTTGACTCCCCCGTAATTCTCCTTTGAAGGGGAGTTACATCGGATCTTATGGCCTGTTTATCTGATCACTATCCTTCTGGTGAGGCTGCCATACAAATCGGGTGCCAAGTACAGTCACAATACTTTTTGTTTTTGTTTCTTTCTCCTTCGTCTCCAATTTAACGACTCAACCAACCAACTCCTTCACTCTGGTGCTCTGCGTGTACAATGTCCAACAATTCCTTATCAAAAAGGGCACAGGTATATCTCTGACACGACGACTCCTCTCTCGGCAACAGGTCCATCGTCGATGTCAACTGATGCTTCTCTCTTCCCCAGTCTCAGAGGGGCTGTCAGGATCTCTTGGCCCCTCAGCGTAGTGGCGGCCATTGACTTAGGGAACCTTGGGGGTGCCGGGGTTTGGTTCTGATAAGCGGTGTTTGCCAGACACCACCCAGAAGGGACCAATCAGCAAACGCCATCCCTATTGAGAGTACTCGTATCTTCGGCCTTTGGCTACTCAATGCTGTTCTGGACTTTGCCAGGCGTGCAGCAGCCTCCCGGTCAATCCGACAAGCAAACACCCGTTCGTTAGACGGCCAGGCTACCTATGCACCTGTCAGTCATGCCGCATGCGTGGGGTGAGTGCACGAGCACAGTCTCCGTCTCTGGTGTTTGGCGTCTTGCCAGTCACCGGCCTTTGTCGAGATAAGGCAGGTATTGATATCTCGATGGGGAGCAAAGGCCGCGCGATGTAGGCAATATACACTCCGATGGGATTGGCTGTCGAAGAGTTGTCTGTATGTTGAGTATAGATTATATCAAGGGGAACATCTCTCGTCGTCAGGACCGAACAATTCGAACATCTTCAAGCAGCTCAATCACTCCAAGCAAAGGCTTCCATCTCAAGCACACGCCTCAATCGATCGACATTTTCTGTCTCTAACAAGCTTCGCCCTTTTCTCAAACCGACGTCGACGACAAACAGACAGACAGCCAGACAAACGAACTGAAAGATGGTTTCCGGACACTTGGGCGAGGTGAGCAAGGCTCCCGAATACGAGACCGTCGCCCTGCACGGTGGCCAGCAGCCAGACCCCGTCAATGGCTCTCGAGCAGTGCCCCTGTACCAGACATGCGCGTACAACTTCACCGATGCATCGGACGGTGCCAGCAAGTTCGCGTGGTCCAAGGATGGCTACGTGTATACCCGCATGGGCAACCCTACCAACACGGTGTTCGAGACCCGGATGGCAATGCTCGAGGGAGGCGTCGGTGCCGTCGCCACCGCCAGCGGCCACGCGGCCCAGTTCATGGCCATCACGTCGGTGTGCGAGCCCGGCCACAACTTTATCAGCACCATGAACCTCTACGGCGGCACCCACAACCAGTTCCGCGTCTACATGAAGAAGTTCAACATCAACTGCAAGTTCATGGAGGGCAATGACCCGCAGGCCATCCGAGACCTGGTCGACGACCAGACCCGCGCCGTGTACATTGAGACCATTGGCAACCCCCAATTCAACGTCCCCAACATCAGCGCCATCGCCGAGGTCTGCCACGAGGCCGGCATCCCCCTGATCGTCGACAACACCTTCGGCATGGGCGGCTATCTGGCGCAGCCCATCCGGCAGGGCGCCGACATCGTCACGGCCTCGTGCACCAAGTGGATCGGCGGCCACGGCACGTCCATGGGCGGCATCGTCATTGACGGCGGCCACTTCGACTGGTCTGCCTCGGGCAAGTTCCCTGGCTTCACGGAGCCGTCCGAAGGCTACCACGGCATGAAATTCTGGGACACCTACGGCTACAAGGCTCTGGCGGCCAAGCTCCGCATGGATGCCATGCGTGACCTGGGCCCGTGCATGTCGCCCTTCAATGCCTGGCTCTTCCTCCAGGGCCTCGAGTCCCTCCCCGTCCGCGCCGACCGACACGTCTCCAACACGCTCGCATTCGCACAGTGGCTGGAGAAGCACCCCTGCGTCGCGTGGGTCAACTACCCCGGTCTGAAATCCCACCCGGACTACGAGCTCGCGCAGAAGGTCCTGCCCAAGGGCGCCGGTGCGGTGCTCACCTTCGGCGTGGCCGGCAACATCGACGAGGTCGAAGCCGTGGTCAACAACCTCAAGCTCTGCTCTCACCTGGCCAACGTCGGCGACGCGAAGACCCTGATCATCCACCCCTGGCGGACCACCCACCAGCAGATCCCCGACGCGGAGAAGATCAAGGGCGGCGTCACCCCGGATATGATCCGCATCAGTCTCGGCCTGGAGCACATCAACGACATCATCCACGACTTCGAGCAGGCCTTCAAGGCTGCCGGACTGAAGGGCGCCAAGGACTGGGTCCCCACGTGGAAGAAGGGAATGGACGGAGAGGAATGGGCCAAGGGCACGTTATACGCACCGGCCCCGCCTAAGGCCTAGATTGGTGGTCCAGAGAAAAGAGAGAAAGAGAGTACATGGTATGTTCCTGCTTTTGGAGATCTGTTGGCGTTGGAGCGGGATGGGGGTTTATGATTAGATGCTGCTCTAGATGACCTTGTTAATCTTGAAATAAGAATTACTATTTGAAAACATCTTGACGGCTTTGTCGCTCTCAGGAACATAATCAATCTACTATTACTGGTGACGTCCGGGTCCGGTGGAGCTGGTGAACAAGCCTCCTTCATTTCCATTGAGATCTATAAGGAAGGAATAGAAAGAAGGAAACGCGAGCACCCTCCGCTGAAGAAACCAGACGGCATATTCTCCCCGAGAAATCGCAGATGTCGTCACTATGTGTCTGTCCCGCTCATCTTGATATCGATCGGTGTTGTTGACGAGCGAGAGAACGCGCACGGATACTATCTATATTACATCCATATTAGAGGGTTTCGTTTGTACGATCGATCTCCTTCGCGATCCCGCATCTCCACCCACAACAACCCGGACGGACCTTTCGGAATCCCGAGTGGCTTTTGCCCGACCAACTCCAACGTGTTCTATGTATTCTGATTTGGTCGCACGGTTACTACGTAAGCAATATCGTCTCCGATGCTTCCGCGTCCCCGGACCGCGTCCAATTCTGATGCTGGGAATAATACTTACTCGCTCGGACCTGGGCACTGGTCTGATACATATAAATAAGAGAGAGATGACTACGCACGCAACTCCGCAACAAGAATGCATTGTCTCTGTCGATTTGGACCACAGTGACGACGACGGCCCCTGAAGGGAAAGGAAGCAACAACAACAGCAGCAGCAACAATAATAACAATAATGCTGAAACCCCAGGACCTCCGCAACATCTACGGGAGGAGCCACGAAAACCGCATCTCCTCCAGGGACAAGGACATCAAGGGCCCCAATGTGATCGCCATTAAAGCCATTGTCAAGGGACTCGTCCTCGTCCAGCTGACCTTCTTTCTCCTGTTCTGCTACATCTTCGGCACGCTGTACGTTTCCAACTCGCACGTGAAGCACCTGGGCGTCGTGTTCGTCGACTACGACCAGGGCCTCGTTGGACAGTCCGTGTGGGCGGCGTACAATCAGCTCAAGGGCGACGACTTCCCGACTCTGTACCCGCGCAGCCCGTCCGAGTATCCGACGCCTGATTCGATCCGGCATGGCGTTTGCAAGACGGACTTCTGGGCAGGCTACTTCGTCTCGGCCCACGCCTCGGAGCGCCTCGCTGCTGCTTTGGGCGGAGGAGAGGCGGCCTCGAGCTACAACCCAGCGGACGTGGTGACGTACGTCTGGAACGAGGCAAGGTGGCCCTTGAACGTCGAGAGTGATCTCGCGACAAACTTCGTCAAACTCTCGACGGCTGCGCAGGGAGCATACCACGCCCTTAATGGCACCGGCGCCATCCGGGCCCTGAATCTGTCCTCTCCCCAAGCGGTGGCGGCGTTGTACAATCCGTGGCAGGTCCAAAGCATCAACATCCAGCAGACGAACCAGGGCCCACGCACCGTCTATAACACCATCGTCGTGGTGCTGATCATCATTAAGCAGTTTTTCTTCCTGCTCCTCATCAACGGCGTCTGCAGCACCTTCAAACTGTACCTCCGGCTCAAACCTCACCACCTCGTCTTCCGCCGTCTGCTCGGCAGCTCCGTCGCCACCATCACTGGTAGCCTGCTGCTCACGGGGGCCATCTGGGCATTCCGCGCCAACTGGATCGTGAATGGAAACCAGTTCGTGCTGACGTGGATGACGTACTGGCTCTACGAGGAGATCAACTTCTTCTTCATCGACGCCGCCACGGCCTGGGTCCCGGCGCCCTTCATGCCCAGCGTGCTGGTCACCTGGGTCATCATGAACGTGTCGTCGACGCTGCAGCCGATCGAGCTCAGCGCCGGCTTCTTCAAGTGGATGTACGCCCTGCCCGCGCACGAGATGTACGAGACCCTCGTCGACATCTGGTCGGGCGGTTGCAACCCGCAGCTCTACCGCTCGTTGCCCATCTTGTTCTCGTGGTGGATCCTCTTCACACCCCTGGCCATGCTAGGCGTACTGCGGCGTTGCCACTTCGCGGCGATCGATTTCGACAAGGAGGAGGCCGCGTTCCAGAAGCGGTTCCAGGAGGCGAAGGAATTCGAGAGGAAGCGCGATCGGGAGCGGAGCAGGGATCTCGCCACGGCCGCGGAGAAGGATTCCATCGATCAAGAGGACGACGTCGAGTTGGCCAACATCCTGAGGAAGCAGGAGACAGAGATTCGCTCGCTGTATTCCGCGGACAGCCGGACCCGGTATGGGCCTTCGATCGTGGCTCCAGGCACTGAGCGTCTTGGCTAGAGGTTTGAGTGATTAACAGAGCCTGGCATGGCTCGGGGATGAATCCAGTGGTCAGACCTGTTATGGATTTGACTGCTTGCATGCGCTTCACGGCGATCGAGAAACCCAAGCTTGGTTCTCGGAGCTTTTTGAGCCGCCGAACATTCCATCTCTGTCGGCGTACTTGTTGAACCGCATTCTCAACCCTCATGCGCACAGGGGTGTGGATTTTCCGAGAAAATCTTACCAAATGAGACGGTCGCCTTCTGGTGCAGGGTGGAAAATCCAGCCGTTGCACCTGCTGTCAACTTCGCATCCAAGGGAGCCGTTTTCTGATCAGAAATGAGCAAGGCTGAGTGCTTGTTTACACCAGCGCTGTATATCATCCTCGTTTTCGAATATCACTGTTGCAGGATGGGTCATTCCGGCAAATTTGATCAACTGTGGCAGAGCAGCAAACTTTCAGGCCCTGCAAAAGCAACGTCAATAGAAACTTCGACTCCATTGGAAAGAAAGACATGGTTTTTCGACCTCCACACAAAAAGTCAAGTATGAAGGCGTCTACTACCACCACGGATCACTTCGCCGAGTTACTCTGGCCTCGAAGATGGTCTGGATCCTGATCGAGTCGACAAAATCACGATGCTCTCTCTTCTTGGGACGGGAAAAAATGAAAAAGGGACAATATATCTCCAAAAAGCTGGGAGCAGTATCCACGAGCGCCATCATACCGCAGCCCTTCAACTGCTGCCACCGCATCAATACCACGCCGTGGCTGGAGTCAATCACATGTTTGATTGATTAATTGGTTGGTTGATTTGTTCCTCCGAAGAACTCTTAATCAATCACTCACGGATCTGAAGAACATACCCGGCGACATTATATGTACATTGTTTGGAACGGAGGGGAAAACAAAAAAGCATCATAATAGACTTTGAAATCAAATACATCCTGACGGTATGTAATACCGACATAATGAAGAAAGAAAGAAAGAAAGTCGTTAGACATCCGTTTTTTCCGTCCCCAGACTTGGTCATAATACGAGATCTATGTACAGTATGTACACACAAGCGGGGCGTGGGACCGAGCATCCCTCGTGCATACTGTACGTATTACCTACATACATGTACCTAGGTTAGGTAGGGAGACGCCGAGAATAGTGACAGCGCGCTAGATACAAGACGACGAAGAGCCCACCAGAGTCGGCAATAGGATTGATGCCTGTGTCGATGTGACCAACTCCCTCCCACTCCGCCCTTAATTAACTTCGTGTGCTCGGTACAGGAGATACTGTAATCAAGGAGGACTGTCGTTCGCGATGACACACAGATCGGCAGCCCACGAGTGCGTGGACATCAATCATGTGGTTGGTCCGGGATATCTGCTGCTGCGAGCATGCATGTACTTAATATTGGCGCAGGTATGTATGACACGGAGGGGAGATCGGGTCGAGACGAGGAACAATCTCAAACATCAGAACGCAACTTGTCATTCATTAGATGTCCCGCCGCTACCGCGATACCATGATCACTTGTCCTGCGCTCATGAGGGACTTCGTCAAGCTAACGCCTCCCACCAGGACCAATGTTCCCTAGCAATACGACCCGACGATGAACAGACTTCAGCACCGCATCTCAATCCTCCATTTTGACGTCCTGCTTGGCTGAGTTTCCCAAGTTCTTCAGCAGGTAACTCCTCTTGAAGTAGGTGTTCGGGTGGACAATCGTCTCCAGCTCAGCAGGTCCCCATATACCTTCGTCCTTGACCTTTTTGATTTCCTGCTTATGTGCCCATTCAAACACACGGTTACACGCGATGTGAAACCTCTTTTTCTCCACGTCGTCCTTGACACCTCTCAGAACTTCTCGATCGTGGACTCCTGTGGCTTGGAGCATGGCGGTGAGATTGTCCACGCTGAAATGTCTATAAGGGCAGCCATGAGCTTCACCAGTGCCGGGCGGATGTTCTGTGAGAATCTTTTGGCATGAATAGGGCGCATATCCCCGCCCACGACGATTCGCGTCGCCGCCGACATCGCCATATGAGTGGCGAACGTTGTAGCGGTATTCCTTGTTGAATTGGTCGTCCGTGATGAGTTTGAATGCCTGCCTCCAAAAGATGAGGCAGTCTTCCAGATTGAGCCCAATACCCTTGAGAAAGAGGGTGTACTGTAGGCGGCCAAAGTGCTTCAAATGGCTATTCTTCCGAAGCGTGTTGTGCAAGTGCTTCATACAGAGGGGGAAATGCTGTGAGAGGTTGTCGATGTTGGCCGCAGTGATGGCAGCACCGGCGAGGGAAGAGTCCGAGTCGGAGAAGCCGGCATCGGGAGTAGCGAAGTTTTTGGAAAGGTGGTCCAGGATGGGCGACAGACGATCATCTTCATCGAGTCGCGGCAGGTTGCGGGCCGTCAGCTCGAGACCTCTGTCCAGACGGCTCGTGAACTCGGTGAGCACCATGCTGGTCTGTTCGCGCATCGGAACATATGCCTTGCCTTTCCGCACAAGGACGGTTCGGTGCTCGACCAATTCCGGCACACGGGTCCAATCCACTTTAAACCAGTTCTCGCCCTCGAGACGTCGAAGACCAGGTGTAGCGGACAGCAGTTGCTCTCCCATCGCTCTCTTCTCTTCCTCTTGCACTACCTCCCAGTTCATGTTTAAGCTTTCGACGAAGGCTTGACGTTCACGTGTGTCATCTGACTGGAAACGAAGTCGGAACAACATGGTTTCGACTCTGGCGAAGCGTCTGCGGAGGTCCTCTGTTCTTGAAAAGGCCAGTCTAAGAATGTAGTGAGAGTAATGGTCCTTGCGCCGTTGATTTTTCAATTTCTGGTCCACAATACCTCCCGGAGCTGCTGAATTGGACGAGAGCGGGAGGTATTTCTTGAGCAAAGGTTCAAGGTGGGCGGAGGTCTCCTCGGGCGACTTGTTTCTGAATGAGCAAGCCTCGATCTCCGCAAGTACTGGTGTCCAGTTAGTGATTGATATTTCCCTCCCAGTCTCATACCAACGTACCCCTCAACCTGTCGATAGCCCATGTCTCGAATTCTTCCAGGCTGATTTCCTGGGTAGGGGGAACATCGTAGAAAGACAGCCGGAAGGGATAGTCGTTTTCTTTATAGGATGCGGTTGCGAACTGAGTCTTCTTGTGATCGATACGTTTCCGCTTGGGGTCGAATCGTGGCTCTGAGCGCATCATTTTGCCTGTGGGTTGCGTGGTCAAGACTTGGGAAAACTGATGTTGGAGGGCCGTAATATGCAATCAGCGCGGGGAGAGACGCGTCGAGGCTCGCGGGTTTCGATTTCACGCGTCGCGACGCCGCACGTGGTGTTTGCTTTGCGGAGCCCCCTCGGAGCGGAGAATCGTTTATGCATCCCGGGTATTTTCCTCCTCGCAAAATCATTTTCGGGGTGAATGATGAGCGGCGTTTCATCTTTGACTCGTCTGAACAAAGCCTTGACAGAGACATCTTGTTTTGCATAAACCCGACTTCTGGATGCCGCATCCGTAGGTAGTTTTCAAAATCCAAGATCCTCGATTCATAATATGGGCTTTGCGGCATCAGAATGGTGGGCGAACGGAAACTTCTGCTTACAGTAGAAACCCTTATCGGCGCAGTGCGACCCGAGACTTGAAATTCAATGGGCGTTTCCCCACGATGCTAACTATTGATTCTTCGGCTTACTCAACCATTTCTAGGGCCGCCATCTCGGTTGCTTCATTTACCTACTTCGGCTTCTCCTCTTCTTGAAAGCTGCCGCTCTCTCCTCTGTTTGTTATCTTCCCTCGGGAGGTTGCCTTGTTCTGACAGTCCCAGCGGCGTCCAATCTAAGGGTTTTCATTCTTCAGTCTTTTGCGATAGCAGCTCTTGCATCCCCTTCGGGCGAGATGACGGGCTCTTGACACGGGCGGCACTGCCCTAGAGAAGGTGCACCCAGTGTCACGCGCCAGTTCCCGTCTGCGTTCAGATCACAATGACTTTCGCAACCGCCACCCGGAAGCTGAAACGAGCCGCGAGGATCATCCTAGTGGGAGCTCCAGGTGTTGGAAAGGGCACACAATCTGAGAGACTTATGAAACGGTTCCCACAGTTATGCTCGATTGCGACCGGAGATCTATTGCGCGACAACGTCCAAAAACAGACTGCGCTGGGTAGCTGCTTGCCCCCTAGCATTTATCCTAATCCATCGATGCTAACCGAATGTTTGCAGGCCAGCAAGCCGACGCCTACATGAAAGCCGGTGGCCTTGTACCGGACCCCTTAATCCTGAACCTCATTCTAAACGAACTCACCTCGAGAAAGTGGCTTGACACATCCGACTCCAACGAGAATATAATCGCAGCTCTCGAGAGGGGAAATGGTTCTGCCTCTTCGGTCGTTCACGCATCCAATTCACCCGACACATCGTTCATCCTCGACGGCTTTCCCCGTACGGCGACCCAAGCCAAGGCCCTGTCCCATTTGCTCCCCATAAACTTGGTATTCCAGCTCATCACGCCCGTGGACATCATTCTGTCTCGCATGGCCAACCGCTGGATACACGCGGCGTCCGGGAGAGTGTACAACGTGGGATTCAATGATCCAAGGGTTCCTGGCAAGGACGACGTTACAGGAGAGCCATTGATGCAAAGAGATGACGACAGTGAGGATACGTGGAGGAGGCGACTCGCGAAATTTGAGGAAACGAGCCAGAGCCTGTTGGATTTTTACCGGGAGAGGGACCAAAGCCTGGTAGTCAAAGTGCAGGGAAATAGCAGCGACGAAATCACGCCTCAGATCTTTGCAGAAGTTGAAGAGCGATTTGGATGAGACATTAATAGAATAGAATTTTGACTCTCGCAAGATAAACCTTCTGTAACCTCGACTGTGATTTTCCAGACCCCATGGAGATCAAGATGACCTCTAAGCCCCGGATGCCCAGCCAGAGGTCTTATGTGTGTGTCAATCTGCGCTCGACACGAAAACAACCTCAGCATGGAAAGATGCCCGAGACTGGCGATATACGTAATGCATTTTGTTGTCGGCGGGTTTGATGAAGGAAAAAGGAAAAAAAGAACAGAACGGAATCAGACTAATAATGGGTGCAGTGCGAAGCTCGAAACGCTGTGCTTGGCGTGTTTGCGCCTGTTTCGAAGCTAAGTTCCCCATCAGTAGTGATGAGCATATCTTTACCTACTACCTGGTACATACCTTCAAGTGCCTAACGGCTGACCGAGGCTAGGGAAACAGACAGTCTCTCTCCCTCTCGTGCCTTCGCATGATCGAACTAGCCGCCGGCATATGTTGTAACACAGTTCTCGACCAACCCTTGCTTCTGCCTAGAACTATCAAGTGAAAGCAACCACCATCAGTCCCACTCAGAGAGACCAGTCCCAGGGGTCCCCCCGGACGCGGCGGTGTCTGATACTCCCGCCTACCTCTGTAGAGTTCGACTTCGTTTTACACATATACAGGTCCGAAGTTATAGGGTGCCCAGAGCTCCAGCGAACGGGAATTCGGCCTCCGTTACAGGGACGATCGAACTCAGAGTCTGGGTTGCCGCTCGACTTCTCTCTGCACCAGGCTGCTCTTGTCTGAGACCATGGTGACATCAAGTTACTAACACGGCCGGGCTTGCCGACAACATGCAGCATCCCACCCGCACCCTGGTTGCAGGGTTCCGCAGAATACCACAAGCCTCTTGCACAGAGTCTGTCGAATTCCACCTTGCACCATTACCCCGGTTCCAATCGGAAGAAGCATAGAGTGACCATGGAGGGATACGACAGGCTTGACAGCGTCTGACATTTCTGTGATTCGGGAAAGATGGCACCAAAGACATCCGTGTGACATACAATGAAATGTGGCCTTTTCCTTCCTTTTTTCCCTTTGGCGGCGACGATCCTAGGGGAGCAGAGATAGCGGTCCACGTTTTGCGCCTAGCCTTTCCCCAGAAGGCGGTTCATTTCCCCCCGCCGAGCATCGTGGCTCAAGACAAACACGCTTTTGCCCGAATTTTGTGGCAAGCCACATCACCTATAGGCAGAGAGCTCTGCTTTTCCCCTTGTCGCCTGGCGGCGGTGTACTATGTACATGGGCCCGCCTTCTTCTGGCCTCGATTCGTTCTTGGTTGATGGCTTTTCTTCGACTGCATAGTCACGCCTCAAGGCAAGAATGTGCTGGTGACCAAGGGAGCAAATCGCATAGCTGACTGGACTCCTGCGCTTTGGAATGGGAAGCTCCGGCTCCATTTAGGCACATCACGATTCACGATCGTCTCTCTAATGCTCATATTTCCATCCCTTGGCCTCCACCGAGTCCTCCACTTGGCTCAGTCGGTGCCCGCTTCATCGTCATCACTAGGCCCGAAAGGCATGGGGGTGGCACAGAGGGCGCCTGAGGGAATGCAGCTGGGCGCGAGCCAGGCTGCGGTAGCCCAGCCGTAGTCCGGTAGAAGAACCAATGAAGCCCACATCTATCGCCGTGACACATCCAGCTGCGGGCGACTGACACACACCATACTCACTCCGCCCCCCAAGGCTGCTGAGGCCCTTCAGGTCTCGAGGCCAGTCACAAGCCACCAGGGGGCAGCCCGCCGACCAGGGAGGGGCATCGCAGGCTCCATCTTTGCAAGCCACGCCCACCCTTTGCGACGGTTGGCGTCTAACGAGGGCAAAAAAGGAAAGAAAATCATGGTTGACGGTCCGTAAGGATGGGTAGATGCGCCCAGCATAAGGCGTGGGCAAAACAAAAAATCCGTTGCTTGCTGGGGCCCTGCAGGGTGAGCATAGAAAGTGGTCAGGAAGGGAACGTGGGCATAGAAGAATCATCACATTCACTTCTTTCTTCATGGACGCTTGGGCGAAAGGACCTCCAGTCCGGATATCGAGCGGACCGTTTAGCATCACTTAGTTCACCCTCCCCATTCCGCCTCCCTCTCCGCTGGGCTCCATACCTGCTCCATCTCCAAAAAAACAACATCACAATCCTGGCCGGTCCGCTGCCCGCCTTCGTTTCCTCGTGTTCACAGCCCACAGAGATCAAAGATCGATCGACGACTCGACGACTTGCTCCTCGACGTGTCCTTTCCCTGTCTACTCGGTATCCTGTCCTCTCTCCTTGCATCCAACAACTGGCCGAACTCCCATCGATACCTGATACCTGGCGTCAACGAGCACAGACCCAGACCTAGTCTCATCCAATTCATCCCTTCCTTGCATACTTCACCTCTCGATTTCCCCCCGAGTTGTGGACATTTTCTGCCACACCTTTCCATCCATGATTGGGCAGAGATTGGCACGCAGGAGTAAAACTGGAGGAACACAATGAGCTTCGGGGATGGAACTAAGAGCAGGCCCAGTTGCCTTCTTTCATCTTCGAGCGACCTGAAGTCGTCGAGACGACCTCCCACCGCATTTGAGGCAGGTTGACTTGTGCTGTCCGCCGCCGCATTTTCATCTCTGCCTGAAAAGAATACACCGTCCCTCTCCCAATCTAAACTCAAAGCGACCACTCTTCTAGAGACGATGCTTTCGGCACATCAACGTTACGTGAATACGATGGATCCCATCAGGGACCCGAACATCTACCAACGCCCGTCAAACGGTACGGCTCCCCGACAATATGCCATTCCCGCCAACTCAGGCACCCCAGGACATGGGCGTTCACGTTCTACACAGCTCAGCTATGCGGAACACGAGATGATTAGACACCGGAAGACACCTAATGGAGGGCGGTTATATGAGCCAGACACCGCTGCATTGGACAAGAGTGTGCAAATACCCGCATCGAAGCATCTCATCCTCGGTTCTTCACCAGCATTCCAACGCCCTACCCCGTCTTTCGCCAATCCACCATCATGGTCAGAAAATAAACGTCCTCAGCGAACAGACCGGTTTGACGGATCAGATTTGGGAAGAGATGGAAGACAAGACATGCATTCTCAGCCCTACAGACCCTCGAAACCATTGGCGTATCGCCCAGCTTGGGACTTTCCTGGCGGACTTGATTCAATGCTCAACCAGACTCTGCCAATACAGCCGACACAGAGGTATTATGTCCAGCCGGGCTCGAATATCCCCACCGTTCTTCCTGCTACCCTTCAGTCCCAATTCGGGCCCACTGCGTCCGCCGGCCAGGAATTGTATGGCCCATATTGGCCAGACGGAACTTACAATCCCTATCGTCCAGCTGCCGTGCGAGATAGTCGTTTCTTTCCACGTGCTCCAGCCGAGAGGTTTCCTTTAGATCATCAACCTGAGCACTTTCACACTCTTCGAAAACATGGCCGGCTGCCGGTCGCACCGAACGACAGTTACCTCCAAAGCCTCCCCCAGCAGATGCTGGGTACGCCAATGGGATTGGTAGAATCGCCTTCATCGAAATGGAATCCTCACCAGAATGCGTACCAGGGCGCGCAATATCCCTACGCTCATGCTTATGCACCACGAGAACGCCCGATGGCTGATGTGGTGACTTCTGTGACCGGGCCAACACTGGTATCTCTTATGCCTGGACCCCGGTCTGAGCGCATCGCCTTCAGAGATAAGACTTTCGCATGGGCTAACAAAATCTATATGGATCTTCTGCAGACAATCAGATGTACCAGCAAGGATCAGCGTTCGGGCGCGCATAGTGCCTCGTCGATGAGGCCTGCATTGAAGCCTGCCATTTTCCCGAAACCACCCATCAGATCTGGATCACACTTCCAACTTGATTCGACAGAGCAACCACCATCCCAGCGGCGGGAGCCCTCGAACACGTATCTGAGTATTGGCTCCGGCCAGTCCACGTACGAAACTCCATCCCGACCACAGACCGCCATTTTTAGACCACCCAAACCTCTGACTCTGCAAGATTTTACATCTTTTCCAGCTCACACCGAGTCCAAAAATATACCTCGTCAACCGTGTGAAGGACATCAATTGCAAGAAATGAGGCAGGTCAGCACCAGACCCAATAATGCGCCGCAAATACCCTCATTCGAATCGGCGGTCACTGCACTCCAAACTATGGAACTGCTTTGTCAAGAAGCTGATGCTCCCTGGGTGGACGGCATGTTGTTGGCAGGTTGTCTGGCTTACGGCCTGGGGAACTACATCAAAGCTGAGGAGTGGTACAGGGCCGTTTTGAGACAAGACCCTTATCATATTGAAGCTATGTCTAACCTAGCCGCAACCTGTCACGCTCTCCATCGCCGCGAAGATGCGCTTAAATATTGGTCAGATGCTGTCAGCTTACGACCGAGCTACTTTGAGGCCGTGGAACATCTGATCGGGCTGCTGTGTGCGAACCACAGAGCGCGGGAGGCTGTCAGTGTGATCGAGTATGTGGAGAACACGTTACGGATCCGAGGCGACGACCCTCACAGCTCCAGTGCCGAACTGAGTGACGCAGAAAGCGATACCAGAAGCCACGCTTCGAGCATCAGCACAGTCGCCTCCTACGATACTGCCCAGTATGACTACGATCCTGATCCCAGCCATATCTCGACAGGGTCCGAATCTCAGCCTCCTGGCTATGGAACGAGCGGCTATGCCATCCCAGGGGCAGACAATGGCCGAATGCTGGCTCTGGTGCATGCAAAGGGAAATATGCTCTATGCGCTCGGCCAAAACCACGCTGCTGCTGCGGCATTCGAGGACGCCGTCCTGATCTCCACAGGCCAGAGGAAACAAGGAATCCGGGGTCTGATCGATGACATCTTGACGGCATGTCTGCGATCCATCCGGGACCGCGAATATGTCCGAGCAAAACTTGAGAGCAAGGAACCCATTTTGCTGGCGCCCGAGCACGCTGAAGCCACCGCCAGGCACATGTTCCCCCCGGAAGGCAGTCTACCTGGTCTCGAATACGTCTCGTCGCCCTTTGCCGTACAGGCTGGAATCTCCACCACCAGCAACTCGTTGCTTTCACTCGCCAAAATCTATCAGGATGGCATGTCTAATGCGACCGAGATTGGGACCTTGAGATCGCCGACAACACGGGAGATTCTAGCATTGTACTACTTGTCGCTGTCGCTGCAGCGGAGTCCCTCAACGGCAAACAATGTGGGAATCCTCCTTGCCGGCGTTCAGCAAAGCGTGCATCCCGATCATCTCGCCGATTCAAACTTTTCGCAGATTGCTAACATCCCAGGGGTTGTCGCCGGCACCGGAGTGTCTTTGGCATTGATGTATTACAACTACGGCCTCAATATCGACCAGAAGCACGCGCATTTATTCACGAATTTGGGCAGCCTGCTCAAAGATATTGGGCAACTTGGCGCGGCCATTAAAATGTACGAGCGGGCCGTCGCCTGCGATGGCAGTTTCGATATTGCGCTGGCCAATTTGGCAAACGCCGTCAAGGATCAAGGCCGCGTGGCTGATGCGATTGCCTATTACAGGCGAGCAGTGGCGGCCAACCCCGACTTCGCGGAAGCAGTTTGTGGGCTCGCTACGGCCTTGAATTCGGTGTGCAGTTGGGATGGGCGCGGAGGCATCTGTTCGAGTGACATGGTGCGGGACAGTCTGCATGTCGACGAGAGGGGGATGAAACAACCACCGTCCCGACCGCACGGCTGGATCAACCGAGTGGTGGAAATTGTCAAGAAACAGCTGAAGGAGGGGGAAACTTGGGGATGTGGAACATTGACCCCGGCCGTCATCGACTCGTTAGCAGTGCAATTGACCTTGCACAAGCAGTCCTCGCGAGACAGCGGACGAAATCTGACTCTGGAGACCGTCCGACAATCACTACGATACTGGTCCGGGCAGAGATGGGAAGGGTCCAGGATCGTGCGACTGGTTGAACGTGCAATCCGTCAGATTGGATGGCAATGGTACCAAGATCGGTATAAACGTCGAAAGGAATACCCGGCTCGAAAATACGCTCGGCCATATCTTCCCAATTCGCTCTCCCCGCCATCAGCACCAACGGTTCTCCCTTTCCATACATTTACCGCACCGCTCTCTGCCAAACAGGTTCGACAGATATCTCAGAGAAATGCTCTCCGCATCTCTGTCTGCACCCTCCGATCGGCGTGGCTTCCCGCCACAGTGTTTCCTCCACCGTCGCCTCCCAATCCCTACCTGAACGTGGGGTACGTCAGCTCAGACTTCAACAATCATCCTTTGGCGCATTTGATGCAATCCGTGTTTGGTCTGCACGACCCGTCGCAAGTGAGAGCTATCTGCTACGCAACGACTGCCTCTGATGGGTCTGTCCACCGTCAGCAGATCGAACGTGAAGCACCAATCTTCCATGACGCGTCGTCGTGGAGCGTTGAACGACTTGTGAATCAAATTGTCAAAGACAACGTCCACATCTTGGTCAATCTCAATGGGTATACTCGAGGCGCACGAAACGAAGTGTTTGCCGCTCGGCCTGCCCCTATCCACATGTCTTTTATGGGATTCGCTGGTACGCTGGGGGCCGAGTGGTGCGACTACGTATTTGCCGACACGATCTCGGTGCCGCCTGACACTCTCTCGCCCTGGCGACGTAATGTGGATATTGAAGATCGACTGCGGGCGGACTCCTTGGTGGAGGATGTCGAAGATTGGGTGTACGCGGAAAACGTCATCTTCGCCCGTGACACGTTCTTTTGCGTCGACCACAAGCAAAGCGCGCCGGATGCCGAGACTGGCCCGCCGAATTTCAGAGATGTCGGGAAACGACAGGCGGCTTGGGAACGCGAACAAGACAAGCGCTGGAAACTGAGGAAGGAGCTGTTTCCGAACCTGTCCGACTCGGCTGTCATTTTGGGCAACTTCAATCAACTATACAAAATTGATCCGGCGACGTTTGACATGTATCTACAGATTCTCAAGGCGGTTCCCAACGCAATATTGTGGCTCCTGCGTTTTCCTGATTTGGGGGAGCAAAACCTCAAACGCTACGCAGAAAAGTGGGCGGGCAAACAAGTTGCTGATCGTATCGTGTTTACCGACGTGGCGGCCAAAGGAACGCACATCACACGCGCCTCTGTCGTTGACCTCTTCCTTGACACACCGGAATGCAATGCACATACTACTGCTGCCGACACCGTCTGGTCCGGCACGCCCATAGTCACTTGGGGGAAATGGAAATACAAGATGTGCAGTCGTATGGCCGGAAGCATCGTTGCCAGTGCACTCCCCGAGGGTCGAGATGGCGATGAAGCGAGGAGGGATCTGCTCGTCCGAAGCGAGAGGCAATATATTGACACGGCAATCGATCTCGCGCTGGACCTCAAGTACCCGACATCGGAGTCTAATGGACAGAGAGTTGGGCATGGGAGGGGGAGACTGGTGGAATTGCGGCGCATGCTGTGGGAAGGGCGTTGGACGAGTCGGTTGTTCGATACGAAGCGCTGGGTTAGGGATTTGGAACTGGCATACTGGTCTGCCTGGGGGAAGTGGGAGAAAGGCGAAGGGGGCGACATATGGTTATGAGCATCCAGAAACGAACGGGACACACAACGGCAAGTGGGGGACTGATTGGCTGCGTCTTTGTGGTTGTCAGGTTTCAAGGCGCTTTCTTTTTGCATGCAATGATGAACGAGCAAGCGAATTATCCAGGGATGGTGCTTGCAAGCCAGCGAGCGATGGGTCGATTGATTCTACTTTTTTTTCCCTTTTCTTTTTGTTTTCAACACAAAGACCGGGAGTGGAAAGGTTGTCTTACAATGCTCGCGCAGGACATGAATGGTAGGGGGTAGTTAGGGACAGACACACACACACACACAGAGAGATACCAGACACGGCGAGAGACGCCTGCACGCACGCAGCACGCACGCAAACACACACGCTGGTGCGCTTTTTCTTCTCTTCTCTTCTTTTCTGTTTCTCCTTCTTGTGTCTTAGTTAGGGCGCAAAGACCCTAGAAGGCTGGATGGAGAGGGTTTATCTATCTATCTTTTCAACCCTCCCCATGCATCCATCCATCCATCCATGCATGTATGGGGCACGAAGATCATATATATACATATCAAACAAACTCTGACAACTTCAAAATTCTGGTTCACACACAAACTTGTTTGTTTCATGCCATGCATTCATCCATCCATCCATCTATCTATCTATCTATCTACATGGATATTCGCAGCTATCTATGTCGGAGCTGTCTCTCGGTCAGTCAATATATGGTGTTATGAGACAGACGAGGGAGGGAGGGATATTTGACGTCGTCGTCTCGTCAAGGGAACGCGGGTGTCCCCCCTGTCCTTTTTCATCTACTGCTACTGTAGCACTTGTAGGTCATCCGTCAACTTATCGTTCGTGCCCCCCATGTTGGTTATGTTATGTTTGTGGATTGTTGGTGAATTGCTGCGCTGTGTCGCTATGTCGCTATGTCGCTACGTATCTATATTGTATACATACCTTTCCAGAGGTTGGTTGCTAAATACGTATGTGTCGGTGCATGGAAGTTTTTATTCATATTTATACATATGCGCGTGCGTGCGTCTGAACGTCTGTCTGCATTGGATCAATCAATGAATCCTGTTTGTTCAACGTCCCTTTCTCCTCCTTCCCCCTCGTTCGGTGGTCAGCGGTGCACGAGTGTATATATATCTATACATATACAGATAGACCTATAGACAGACATGCATGTACATGTATATCCGTCTCCAGCCTTTTCTCCAACGGCGGACGGAGAGGTACGTGTATACGTACCATGTGTATACATGGGACACACACACCACACATACACCCAGTGTGTATCCCCTTCCGTCGCCCCTATCGGTCTCCCATGTCCTACCTACCTATCCTGGTATCCTTGCTCCCTCCCTCACGTACCAAAAAGAAGAGAGAAGAAAAAGAAGCAAGAAGAGAAAAGGAGGAAGCGAACCGAGTTCTCAAGAATGTCAACTAGGCGGAAGAGGAGACAAATGAATCCTCAATCAATTCCTCTTCATGGTCTTTTTCTTCTCCCTTTGTTGATTGATATAACACTGATTGGGCGTGGAGGCCGTGGCCTCTTCCTGAAGTTCCGTCGTCGTCGTCGTGGTAGTCGGCACTCATCTCTGTGTTGATGTTGATGTTGATGTCCACGCCACCCTGGTCTGGTCTGTATATGGTCATACCTTCCTTCCACTATCACTCATTGACGGTGCCGATGCTCGAAACTCAAGAACCGCCAGACCAGAGCTGAGGGATGAATCATGTCCTCTAAATACCTGTTTGTCTGTCCGTCTGTTTTTTCATCTTTTCCGTCTGTCACGCGCAGATAGATCCCCAGCTCCCTCAACCATCTATCTACCACGCACATATTTCTCGGTTTGATCCTCAGGATCGAGACTCCGATACAATTGAAGGAGAGCCAGAGAGAGAGAGAGAGAGAGAGAGAGAGAGAGAGAGAGAGAGAGAGAGAGAGAGAGAGAAATGGGGGGCCGGGCAAGGGGACAACAGGACGAAAAATAATGAAGAAGGGAGAAGGAGTCGAGATAGATGGACCGTAAGAAAGAAGAGAAAGAAAGAACATCGAAACGAATCTGGGGAAAAGAGCAATATAAAGTCCTCGAGGGAAAGCATCCTGCACACCCAGTCTTTGAATAGGTTTCCCTCGTACGATATGCATTTGGTGTGGTAACAAGTAAGTAAGGAGGTAGGTATTTGAGGGCTGTGAGAGTTGTCGTATCCACAGGGTCGTTGCTGGGGATAAAGGCTTTTCGTTGAGTTTATTTCTGCCCTCTGGGATGAACACATTCAGGACTTCCGTCCGCTTTTTGTTCACGAGCGACCCAAATGCCAATCTCTTCCTCCTTCATCTTCCTTTCACTAGCATGACCTACCTCAATTCTGCTGAGATTCCCGTCGTACACCTCCAGGGCATGTTTCTTGCAGAGAGACAGAGAGATGCTGCAGAAGTATGTCCCGTCGTCTCAGATCCGTCATCACCCTTGTCCTCTTTCTAGAGCTGTTCCATCCCCCCTCCTCATCTTGTTGTTTCCCTCCTTTTGTCGTGTCCTGTCTCGCGTGTTCTCTCGGAGGAAATACAGAGTCTCTGGAGAATACACCTCTGTGGGTATACGGCTGCCACAGTCTTCTCGAGGAGGTAAGGCATCAGGGAGGGGGAAACAGCACACAAGGACCGGCAAACTTATCTAGCAGTATTAGTAGTGAGAGGCTGACCTTTCCGCCCGTTAGGCGTTGAGGATGGATGAAAAGACCCGGAGGAATGATGAAGAGAAATGAAATGAAGGAATGTCGTCCCTGGCAAGCTCTTCTTCATAGCTCGCTTCTTCTTTGTCAGATTGAAGGACTGGTATAATATATAGACGAATGAATGATTCGAAATGGAAGGGGGAGGATTGATCAGTCCGTTTCTCGTCGGCAAGTGCTCCTGAATCAGGCACGGCGGCTCTTGATACCGCTTCGGTCTGGTAAAATCAGGCATGAAATCGAGCATTGGGAGCACAGACGGTCATCCTGGGCAGCGACATCTGACGAGTTTCTCATCACTTAAAGAAACAAGTGTCGCAGGTAACCGGCTCAATCGATAGGAAACCTGGCGGTAATTGCTAAGACAGACTTTCCGACGGTTGAGGGCTTTGTGCAGACGAGACATGAATGCGCGACTCCAGACTCATCAAGGCCCGTTTCCGAGTGCAGGGGTTGCCCGCCATCCCATCTCTTTCCGTATATCAACAGAAGTCCGGAACAAGGCTCGAGAAGAAGGACAAGACTGTCAGTCATCGCAAGGGAGAAACGCCGCAGGTGGACACAGAGGCAACAGAGCATGAAAACCGTATATCATTTGGCAAGTCAAGGCAAGAAAGAACCTCGATTGAGCATAAGGCCCAATTATAGTGTAGAAATTCTCGATATCCCAGGAGTTTTGAGCTGGGTGTCGACAGACGCGTTGGACAATGGGGTTCGTCCAGGAAGAGAGATGAACTCTTCCTTCCCAGAACTTTCCACCATCCATTTTCGCCAGCCCTGCGTTGATTCCTCTGGCAGGATGTCCACTTACTCTTTGGCTGAGCCTAGCGATACACGCAAACTACTGGACTCACCTCTTCCAGGGAAATTATGCGCAAAAAGGCATGAATGAGAGCCCTACTCCAACGAAGAGCGGCGGGCTGGCTACCTGGTGCATCTCCCCCATAGTGCTGGGAGCTGGGAGGGCCCGACAGGGTTGGACAAAGGACCCGATGGGGAGAACGGCGGGTGGCAAAGGTTGAGGGACTCCAGACTAACATGCCAGAGATCACGAAATCAAAGACAGACAGCATCTCAGCAACGGCAGATGTTGCCTGTATGGCCTGCTGGATCTTTTACCCTACCGAGAGTTTTGGGAAGTTCTGGGGAGAACCCACAGCACAGCTGGTTTCCTTCTCTCCCTCGTCGCCGATGGCGAGTCTGGAGTCGGAGGCCCAGGATCCTTCACACCTCTGAAGCGCCTGCTCAGCGAATCGGTACCGCACATCCAGTCAACGAAGAGTGAGTGGTGGTTACGGAGGAAGCAGGAGGTGTCTCGGACATGAGTCGCAGCTTGGTGCTCATTCAAATCCAGGGGGTCCATCCTAGCCCGTCGTCTTTGGGCGGGTCTGCCTGCTGGGGACTCGAGGGGACTCAAGGGGACTTGACTTGTTCGCCGCGGACAAAAGCACTTCGTCACCGCAGCATCCATGTTGGTCGAGAATTGATTCAGTCTGGCGAAACTCGCTCGATGCAATCCCCCAAGCCAGAATATTGAATTCTCTCAGCTGTCGATGTGCCTACAGTGGATCAGAAGGAAGCAACGAGTAGTATCGAAGAGGCTGCTCACAGCTGCTCACAGCTGCTCACAGCACGATAGATCCAACAGGCGTGTTCTGGACGTTGTCCATTGCGTAACCTCATACCCACCGTGCTGGAGGGGTGGCAAACCCACAAGTTTTGCATCCAATATGCACTGTATCTTGAGGAGACCTAGTCTGTTGATACGTGACCAGATACCACCTGAATTCTTGATTTTGGGCATCCTAGGTCGATTATTGAAGGACATCTGATCCAGGGGGGCAAAAGAGAGCGGCAGGGCGTCTTGCATCTGCCCTGGTTCAGCTGAAGGATCTGCAGCGCGACGGATTCAGCTTAACGCTATGCAGGTATGTGCATATCCGAGCACCGAATGGGAAGAGCTCCAAGGCACAAGATCGACCGATCGGAAGTTGACGCTCGGCTTGATCAAGCGGTAAGTCAGTAAGCGGGTTGAGATGGTGAGGTTCAAATCTCTTTGCCAGCATCCTATCAGTCGCAGTGCTCCAAAACATGATTTTACGCCTCACGTTTCTGCCTCCACATTCCAATAAGAAGATGGTATTCGGTGGGCGTATAACTAGATTAGCCAATCTCCTGTCGACGTGGACAATGGCAAGCTCCGCACGAGCACAGAGGGGTAGCACAGGACCTAACTAGCTCGTGAAAGGGCTACGGTCCTGGAGAGTTTGTTAGGGTATCCCTGAGCGAGT